GCTTCATCCCTTTGGCTCTACGACTGGCCCGAGTACGGGTACGCCACCAGAGAAAGATCTAATCTCCTCATGCCTTCGCGCCTTCAACAAAGAAACCTCCCCCGGTGCCAGCGGCTGGACCGTCCCCCTCCTCCAAATCGTCGCCCAAGACCCCATCGTCCTCACCTTCCTCCACTCCCTCACCACCTCTATCGTCGGCGGATACGCACCCGGCGTCCAGATGCTCTGTACGAGCCGGATCACTCCGCTGCTCAAGAAGGAGGAGATGGGTGTAGCAGGAGGGATTAGGCCGATTGCGGTGGGAGAGTTGATCTATCGCCTGGCGCTCAAGGCGATAGTGAGGAAGATGGTGAAGAGAGAGATGATGGCGAGGACGCAGTTCGGCGTCAACACCAAGGGAGGCGTAGAGCCGGTCGTCAGGTTGATTGATCGGGCGGTCAAGGGAGAGCTTGGGGTCGAGTACCGGTACGTTACCAGTCTTGATTTCAAGAATGCCTTCAACACCCTTCATCGCAAGATGATCGTCGACGGTCTCCGCAAACACGCACCCGGCCTCTATCGGTGCGCCAAGTGGGCCTACAACGACCGAACCCCCCTCATCGTCCCCGGCGCCCCCTTCCTCCTCTACTCGTCCGAAGGCGTCCGCCAAGGCGATCCATTCGGTCCCTTCCTCTTCTCCGTCGCCTATCGCCCCATCCTCGAGGCCCTCCAAGCCCACCTCGGCGATGACTTTATCATCGTCGCGTACCTCGACGACACCTACATCCTCTCTCGGTTCTCGGACCCGCTGGATCGCATCAGCGAGTTCTTCTCTCGACCAGAGTCAAGCCTGCAGCTCAATTTGAGCAAGTGCAAGACGCTGGGGATGGAGGATATCAGGGAGAATGGGATGGAGATACTGGGGACGATGGTCGGACCAGAGAGCGCCAGGCGAGTCTTCCTTACCAAGAAGGTTGATGCGCAGATTGCCAAGCTCCAACACCTATCCCGCCTCGACAAATCCCAATCCTCCTTCCTCATCTTCCGAACCTGCTTCCAGCAAGATCTGCGTCATCTCCAAAGATCTCTGGACACCTCCGACCTCGGGGACATTTGGGACCGGCTCGACTCCGCATACACTTCCATCATAACCGACATGCGGTCGTCTACTGGCTCGGGTCCAGCCGACGCCGAGCTCATCTCTCTGCCAGCCAAAATGGGAGGGATGGGAATACTCTCTCATCGTGAGTGTTCTGTTCATGCTCGAGCAGCGGCGGAGGAGAGTGCGGATGCTATCTTGGCCCCGATCTTGGGCGAGGGTAGAGAGGATGGATTGGACGATGAGGTCAAGGGACAGGGTGAGAGGTGTCAGGAGGCGTTTGAGATCAGAAGGGACGCGCTGCTGGAGAGGTTGGAGGATAAGGAGAGGAAGTCGATGGTTGAGAACGGTTCTCCGTTGGCAAGAAAGTGGATGTCCGCAATTCCATACAATTCTACAGGACATCTCACCAACTTCGAACTCTCCTGCGGTCTCCATTACCGCACCCTCCTTCCTCCCCTCCTTCCCTGCCGCCATTGCACCTCTCCCATCGAGCTCGGACACGACGAGGTCTGCCGAGGCGCCACCCGTCCCCAATATACCATCGTTCGCCATAATGGTATCGTCAACGCCATCGCAGACGCTCTACGGTCGGTCAGCGGTACCAGAGTGCAGCTCGAGCCGCTCACGACCGACCATGGGTCCCAGCGGCGCAACGACCTGCTCGTTTGGGGATCGGACGGGCTAGGGAACGCCACGACGGAGCATGACGTCAAGGTGTACTCTATCCTCGGCGACAAGGTCTACAAGTCGGTCGGGCAGATGAGGGCGGGCAGGTTGACGGAGGCGCCGCCTGCAGACGCCAATCCATGGGACAAGACCATGTGGCAGATGCAGCGGTACCTGTTCACGGTGGACGCAGAGACGGCGAAGGCGGCAGCTGGAGGGATGGGGAGATTCTCACCGTTGGTGTTCTCGGCGGGCGGTTTAGTCGAGAAGGGGACGATAGGGAGGATGATGGAATGGAAGGAGGCGGTATCGGATGGCGCGTGGGAGTACATGCTGCGGAGGATGGCGCTGGGACTGTTGAGGAGCAGGGCGAAGATGTGGGAGGTTGGAGGGTAGACGGAGTGATGAGTAGCTAACTTGATAGAAACACTTGTATCTCATAGCAATAAGTATGCACATCAATCACCCCTAAGCCCCCTAACCCTTGTCAATCACCCTTGTCCATCCATCCGCCTTTTCCCCCCTCCTCCTCCTATCATACACACTGTCGTCGACTCGGACGACGATGACGAGCTCGCCGACGTCATTGTCGCTACCGAGCGACCCATATCGACCAATCTACTCTCCCCACCGAAAAACACCGGAAAAGCGCCCAAGCCTATCCATCCCATCTTCAACCCTCCCGCCCATCCTCCTCGCCGTCTCGCGCCGCCTCCACGGATACGGCCCGACCCCAAGCGAGCGCCCGCGGTGATACCATGCTCACCTGGACGGGCGGTAGCGGGTGTCGTGCGAGCGGCACCAGTCGGCGTTAAGACCAAGGAGAAAGGAAAGGGGAGGGAGAAGGTGGTAGTGAGTACTCCTATACCGGCGCCTACTGTGGAGGACGCGCTGGATGAAGATGACGAAGTGGAAGAGGAGATCGAGGAAGTGAGAGACGGGATGTTCTACCAAGGGGACAGGGAGCCTGTACCGGTCGCCCAAGCCATGGAATACGACGACCCGATCGCCAAATACCTCTCCCTCCAACACCTCCCTCACATTCAAACACTACTTCCCTCTCACCTCCATGCGCCCTTCACTCAAGCCGCAAGGAGATGCGCCCAGCGCTACTTGGAGTCGCCGTCAACCGAGACACTCCTCTCCTTCCTCGCCCTCGTCAAAGTCGGACTTCCGCCAAAGAACCTTGGCAAAGCGGACAAGCCTGTCAAGCGGCTCGAGAACTACCCCATGGTCTCTTGGCCGAAGCCACCAGATGCGGCAGGTGGAGGAGGCGGGGTGGACCCAGTCAAAAGGGCAGAAAAGCTGATCAAGAGGGGGAAACTTGGCCAAGCGGGGAGGGCGCTGGTTGCGCAGGGCAAGGTGGCCCTGTACTCGGAGGGTGTGGGCAGTTCCTTAAAGAGCCTACACCCAGTTGGTGAGCTTCATCCCTTTGGCTCTACGACTGGCCCGAGTACGGGTACGCCACCAGAGAAAGATCTAATCTCCTCATGCCTTCGCGCCTTCAACAAAGAAACCTCCCCCGGTGCCAGCGGCTGGACCGTCCCCCTCCTCCAAATCGTCGCCCAAGACCCCATCGTCCTCACCTTCCTCCACTCCCTCACCACCTCTATCGTCGGCGGATACGCACCCGGCGTCCAGATGCTCTGTACGAGCCGGATCACTCCGCTGCTCAAGAAGGAGGAGATGGGTGTAGCAGGAGGGATTAGGCCGATTGCGGTGGGAGAGTTGATCTATCGCCTGGCGCTCAAGGCGATAGTGAGGAAGATGGTGAAGAGAGAGATGATGGCGAGGACGCAGTTCGGCGTCAACACCAAGGGAGGCGTAGAGCCGGTCGTCAGGTTGATTGATCGGGCGGTCAAGGGAGAGCTTGGGGTCGAGTACCGGTACGTTACCAGTCTTGATTTCAAGAATGCCTTCAACACCCTTCATCGCAAGATGATCGTCGACGGTCTCCGCAAACACGCACCCGGCCTCTATCGGTGCGCCAAGTGGGCCTACAACGACCGAACCCCCCTCATCGTCCCCGGCGCCCCCTTCCTCCTCTACTCGTCCGAAGGCGTCCGCCAAGGCGATCCATTCGGTCCCTTCCTCTTCTCCGTCGCCTATCGCCCCATCCTCGAGGCCCTCCAAGCCCACCTCGGCGATGACTTTATCATCGTCGCGTACCTCGACGACACCTACATCCTCTCTCGGTTCTCGGACCCGCTGGATCGCATCAGCGAGTTCTTCTCTCGACCAGAGTCAAGCCTGCAGCTCAATTTGAGCAAGTGCAAGACGCTGGGGATGGAGGATATCAGGGAGAATGGGATGGAGATACTGGGGACGATGGTCGGACCAGAGAGCGCCAGGCGAGTCTTCCTTACCAAGAAGGTTGATGCGCAGATTGCCAAGCTCCAACACCTATCCCGCCTCGACAAATCCCAATCCTCCTTCCTCATCTTCCGAACCTGCTTCCAGCAAGATCTGCGTCATCTCCAAAGATCTCTGGACACCTCCGACCTCGGGGACATTTGGGACCGGCTCGACTCCGCATACACTTCCATCATAACCGACATGCGGTCGTCTACTGGCTCGGGTCCAGCCGACGCCGAGCTCATCTCTCTGCCAGCCAAAATGGGAGGGATGGGAATACTCTCTCATCGTGAGTGTTCTGTTCATGCTCGAGCAGCGGCGGAGGAGAGTGCGGATGCTATCTTGGCCCCGATCTTGGGCGAGGGTAGAGAGGATGGATTGGACGATGAGGTCAAGGGACAGGGTGAGAGGTGTCAGGAGGCGTTTGAGATCAGAAGGGACGCGCTGCTGGAGAGGTTGGAGGATAAGGAGAGGAAGTCGATGGTTGAGAACGGTTCTCCGTTGGCAAGAAAGTGGATGTCCGCAATTCCATACAATTCTACAGGACATCTCACCAACTTCGAACTCTCCTGCGGTCTCCATTACCGCACCCTCCTTCCTCCCCTCCTTCCCTGCCGCCATTGCACCTCTCCCATCGAGCTCGGACACGACGAGGTCTGCCGAGGCGCCACCCGTCCCCAATATACCATCGTTCGCCATAATGGTATCGTCAACGCCATCGCAGACGCTCTACGGTCGGTCAGCGGTACCAGAGTGCAGCTCGAGCCGCTCACGACCGACCATGGGTCCCAGCGGCGCAACGACCTGCTCGTTTGGGGATCGGACGGGCTAGGGAACGCCACGACGGAGCATGACGTCAAGGTGTACTCTATCCTCGGCGACAAGGTCTACAAGTCGGTCGGGCAGATGAGGGCGGGCAGGTTGACGGAGGCGCCGCCTGCAGATGCTAATCCATGGGACAAGACCATGTGGCAGATGCAGCGGTACCTGTTCACGGTGGACGCAGAGACGGCGAAGGCGGCAGCTGGAGGGATGGGGAGATTCTCACCGTTGGTGTTCTCGGCGGGCGGTTTAGTCGAGAAGGGGACGATAGGGAGGATGATGGAATGGAAGGAGGCGGTATCGGATGGCGCGTGGGAGTACATGCTGCGGAGGATGGCGCTGGGACTGTTGAGGAGCAGGGCGAAGATGTGGGAGGTTGGAGGGTAGACGGAGTGATGAGTAGCTAACTTGATAGAAACACTTGTATCTCATAGCAATAAGTATGCACATCAATCACCCCCTACAAGACATCTCACCAACTTCGAACTCTCCTGCGGTCTCCATTACCGCACCCTCCTTCCTCCCCTCCTTCCCTGCCGCCATTGCACCTCTCCCATCGAGCTCGGACACGACGAGGTCTGCCGAGGCGCCACCCGTCTCCAATATACCATCGTTCGCCATAATGGTATCGTCAACGCCATCGCCGACGCTCTACGGTCGGTCAGCGGTACCAGAGTGCAGCTCGAGCCTCTCACGACCGACCACGGTTCCCAGCGGCGCAACGACCTGCTCGTTTGGGGATCGGACGGGCTAGGGAACGCCACGACGGAGCATGACGTCAAGGTGTACTCTATCCTCGGCGACAAGGTCTACAAGTCGGTCGGGCAGATGAGGGCGGGCAGGTTGACGGAGGCGCCGCCCGCAGACGCCAATCCATGGGACAAGACCATGTGGCAGATGCAGCGGTACCTATTCACGGTGGACGCAGAGACGGCGAAGGCGGCAGCTGGAGGGATGGGGAGATTCTCACCGTTGGTGTTCTCGGCGGGCGGTTTGGTCGAGAAGGGGACGATGGGAAGGATGATGGAATGGAAGGAGGCGGTATCGGACGGAGCTTGGGAGTACATGCTGCGGAGGATGGCGCTGGGGCTGTTGAGGAGCAGGGCGAAGATGTGGCAGGTTGGAGGGTAGACGGAGTGATGAGTAGCTAACTTGATAGAAACACTTGTATCTCATAGCAATAAGTATGCAGCTCAATCACCCTCCCCTCCTTCCCTGCCGCCATTGCACCTCTCCCATCGAGCTCGGACACGACGAGGTCTGCCGAGGCGCCACCCGTCTCCAATATACCATCGTTCGCCATAATGGTATCGTCAACGCCATCGCCGACGCTCTACGGTCGGTCAGCGGTACCAGAGTGCAGCTCGAGCCTCTCACGACCGACCACGGTTCCCAGCGGCGCAACGACCTGCTCGTTTGGGGATCGGACGGGCTAGGGAACGCCACGACGGAGCATGACGTCAAGGTGTACTCTATCCTCGGCGACAAGGTCTACAAGTCGGTCGGGCAGATGAGGGCGGGCAGGTTGACGGAGGCGCCGCCCGCAGACGCCAATCCATGGGACAAGACCATGTGGCAGATGCAGCGGTACCTATTCACGGTGGACGCAGAGACGGCGAAGGCGGCAGCTGGAGGGATGGGGAGATTCTCACCGTTGGTGTTCTCGGCGGGCGGTTTGGTCGAGAAGGGGACGATGGGAAGGATGATGGAATGGAAGGAGGCGGTATCGGACGGAGCTTGGGAGTACATGCTGCGGAGGATGGCGCTGGGGCTGTTGAGGAGCAGGGCGAAGATGTGGCAGGTTGGAGGGTAGACGGAGTGATGAGTAGCTAACTTGATAGAAACACTTGTATCTCATAGCAATAAGTATGCAGCTCAATCACCCTTGGAGGGATGGGGAGATTCTCACCGTTGGTGTTCTCGGCGGGCGGTTTGGTCGAGAAGGGGACGATGGGAAGGATGATGGAATGGAAGGAGGCGGTATCGGACGGAGCTTGGGAGTACATGCTGCGGAGGATGGCGCTGGGGCTGTTGAGGAGCAGGGCGAAGATGTGGCAGGTTGGAGGGTAGACGGAGTGATGAGTAGCTAACTTGATAGAAACACTTGTATCTCATAGCAATAAGTATGCAGCTCAATCACCCCTAAGTTACGATGCGTTTAGACGCCTCAGCCCTCCTCGCCACTGCCTGGTAGCCCCTCCCCTTCCCGCGTGCCTAGCCGCAAAGCCACACCATCGCAATGTCCAACGCAAATACTGCCCAGCCAAAGCTCACATACAGGCCGACATCCTCGGGATCCATTCCACGCCGGCCTTCGCGCCCCACCACAGCACGTACGCCTCAGCTCTCCCGTCTCTTCTGCGCCCTGAGTACCGCCAGTCCTGCAGACCACACCATACTGCCTGTACGCCCGACGGCTGAGTCTCGTCTCGTAGGGGTGCGGCGATCGCGTGGGTAGTGGTACGATTACGACGGCGGTGGCGTTGTGAGTGGCGGAGGTAGTCCTATGCCGTGTAGCGCTCGTGGACGGAGGTTGAGGATCGGTCGGTAGAAGATAGAAGTCCCGTGTTGGTGGCAAGCGAGCGGGGACGACGATTTGGGCCGCAAGGACGTGTCCGTGGTCGCAATCCGCTCAGAGACGCGCAGCCGGAGTGTAGACGTCCTATACGGTCGTAAGCTAGGTCTCCGTCGACCTGAATGGAGAGGGCAGAAGAGAGAGAGAAGAGTAGGGGTAGCACAATCAACTTACATAGCTCAAAAAGATATCCTCGAGCCTGGATTGAGCTCTCCGTCCGCCGAGCTTGATACGACCGGTAACGTCGTTCTGGGTGGTCGAGGCCGCTGGTCGACCTCACAACTGAGCACTGAAGATTCAGTGACGGGTACTGAGAAGTCAGCTGCAGCCCAAGCCGTTACAGACGCAACCCAAGAACACTCCAACCACTCACATCTGCGATGTACCGCGGGCGGACTGATGAGACAGGGCGTAGAGTCATCCGCGAATAGTGCCCAACTGCATGTCAAGTAAGGAGGATACACCAGGCCTGAGAGGGCGCTATAGGAGGGCTTGTGAGGCTAGGTCAGAGTGTGGACCGGCAAGGTGAACAAGAGGAATGGATCAAGCGCGGAAAGGTTACTTGACGACCTGGGCCTGGGTGCTGCTCCACCGGTCAGTAAGGTCGAGATGATCGATGATCTGCATCGCAGATGGTGCTTACCAACCAGTGTGCCCAGAGAGTGCATACCCTCTCTCATCAGCTATTTAGTTGGCTTAAAGCTGGGCCTTCGTCATTGAGAGAGAGAGTGAAAAGAGTAGTATCAGTAGATAGATCCACCCGGCGATATTTGATCAGCTCGCTCCGTCATCTGCCCTTTCATCCAACCGTACACTTCCCTCACGTACTCATTCCTGCTCGATATGCAGAGCTCGGTACAACGACCGCCAGAGACGCCCGTAAGCAGGTCCTGGGTTCCGAGAGCTTGTGACAGGTGTAAGTCTGGCCCACGGTCCCCGCCCACCCACTTGATCAAGCTGATTGTTCAGGCAGGAAGCGGAAAGCACGCTGTGGTGAGTGTACGAACAAGGCGTTCGCGCCTGGCGCTGATCTGTAGATGAGGCTGTACCCTGTCAGAACTGCTCCACTGCCGGAGTAAGCTGTACCCACAATGCCCCTGTACTCAAGCGAGGTCCACGCCCTCGGTACGTTCTCCACTTTTCCGGTCCTCATGACCAAGGGCTGATGTCTGCAGCCAACCACAACCTGATCTCGACTCGCGTCTCCGCAATCTGGAACATCTGATATCATCCATACCAAACGCCGGCGTCCAAGGCTCTCTATCTCTCTCGACCGACGAGCTCAACCAGGTCCGGACGGCCGCCCACTTCTCCCCGAGCTCAGACACCAGTACTCCGGATGCTGCAGGACTCGGGGCTCCAACCTCGATAGACATGAGCTGGATGGGGGGATTGTCGTTTGGGAATGGAACTGGATCGTCTGGGGTCTTGACGGAGGGGTCTGGGGAGTTGGCGGGGCGGATGGGGGAGTTGGACGGGTTCGCGGGGGAACCTCTCCTGCTTGGCGCCTTAGCAGGGGCCGGCGACGGGATGTTCCTGCCCAGTCGAGGTGGTCAGGGTATGGGGAGTGTATCATCTGGAAGTGGAGGAGGGGGAGGAGGCTCGAACCTATACGGGAAGGCAGGATCAGGCTACGGGCGAGATATGCTGTATCGGTGAGTACTGACTTGGCTGCCCTTGCATGCAGAGCTGATAGGACAGTGACTCGAGCGGTCAGACGAAATGGCTCGGCCCGTCAAGGTGAGTCTGCTTTTGCGATATTGCTGACCTCAGCGGTATGCCTCTGCTCGACCGCCTCAAGACTGTACATCCCACTCCCGCTCCGTCCGGTCTATCGCTCGCAGAGGAGTGGATGTCCCTATCCGCCGCTATCGGTATGACTGTCGACTCGCAGCAACTTCCGGGTCCGAGCCAGCCCTTCTCATCTCGATCCGACGTGCCATCGCAGGAGGAAGACGAGGCAGAGGCGATCTGGAGGCGGCTTCTGAGCGTGTGTCCGCAGGACTTGGTTGATCAGTGAGTGATCACCGCTAGCTGAGCTGATATCAGTCTTGTCCGAGCGTACTTTACCATTAGCCACTTGTGTGAGTCCACTCTGTCTCCTCGGAGTGACTTTCGCTGATCTTACAGTGTACCCCATCCTCCATGCACCCGCCTTCATGGATCAGTACTCGTCCCCTTCATCCCGCAAGAATCGCTCATTCGTCGCTCTCGTCCTCTCTATCTGCTGCCTCTCTTCCCGCTACACGCAAGATCCTCGCCTACCGGGCGCCAGTACGGGTCTCTTCGACCTCGCCCAACAGGTCGTTTCCACTCTGGCCTCGGAGCGGATGGATCTTGAACTCGTACAGGCGCTCTTCAACATGTCGGTTGTCCAAGAGGGCACATCTCGGCCGGCGCTGCTTTGGAGCTATCTCAGTCAAGCTGTATCGTAAGTCCGTGGCGAGGATCAAGCTGATCTCCAGCGGTGCCATCGAGCTCGGACTACACCGCCGGACGGACGAGTACAGCTCATTCTCAGCGATCGATGTTGAGGTTCGGAAGCGTACAATCTGGGCAATCTATGCGCAGGATATCAAGGCGAGCTGTACCTCTGGACGACCGCCTATACTACGTCTGGCAGATCTTGGTAAGCCGTCGATCTCCAATGTCTGGGCTCAAGCTAATCTACAGATGTGGAGGAGTGCTCGGCCGTCGACGACGTGTACATCTCTGCTCAGTCTGGTATCGGCGTACAGCCTACAGATCGTCCCTCTGTGATGGCGGGATTCGTCTGTGCGGTCAGATTGCATATGATACTGGAGAAGACGTGAGTTTTGTGCAGGTCAGGGCTGATCATCAGCATATCTCGGATCAATAGCACCACCGAGCAGAGCGAAACTCGTCCCTTCATCTCCCTTCTCCGCCCTCCCATTTCTCAACCTCCCCAAGATGAGCTACCGCTTCTCGACCATGTCACCGACGGCGTACCAGGCGACTGGGTATACACTCCAGCAACCGTTGCCGATCCCGATAGCGTCCGCTTCTTTCAAAAGACCCGAGTCTTTGCCCTGCAGAACTTCATCCGCCTGCTTATCGCTCGCCATCGGTTCAGCGAGATGCTGGAGCGGACTCGGAACGGCTCGGCATCGATGGCGGATATCCAGCCCATCTTGACGCAGATCACGCAGTGTGAGTGCTGCGATAGGCAGAGCTGATGATAGCTGCTTTGGGTATCATCGGGACGTACTGTGCTATTGACACGAGGGGCAGACTAGGCTTCTTTGGTGCTCATGCTGTATGTTCCTGTGATGATCGAGCTGATTGTAGATTGCTCAGCTATCTCAAGCGGGCGTAGGTCTCATCGGAGTCATACTCCATCTCCGTACTCAGCCTGGCGGAGGTGACGATGTCTCGCATTTGGCGATGCAGGGACTGCCTGCGGTGATCCAGGTTCTGCGTCAGCTGGGCAAGAGAGTGAGTAGTGTCTAGGCTATATCATGGTGGGACATGCGCTGACAAAGCAGCGTGCTGCCGGATCGCGGTCAGCCGAGCTACTCGCCGAGTTCTGCCGGGCCTGTCGTCTCGGTATCTTCACTGGCGCAGAGCCCATCGAGGACAGCGGCGATGCCGCACCTGTCGAGGTCCCCATGCTCCAGTCGCTACCTCGCCGATCATCCGCCTCCCTACCCTCAGCAGATCTCCCGCTCTCGGCTGGCGCGTTCGAGGACTGGCTGGAGATGGCGTTCTCGGACTCGGCGGACATCTGGGGTGTACCGCCGTCGACTTGATGTATCTTTTGGGGTTTGTGATCATCTCGCTGATCATCGTCAACGTTACTTACCCATTGATTCCCCTCTGCGCAGCTTCTCAAAGGCGCTGGTGCTCATGCGCGGAGGTCGCTCTGGACCGCGTGAGGCAGCGACGTGAGTGAGGCGGTACCGTCATTCTGTCACCATCATCAGGTTGACCGGAATCTTCCGGACTCATTATTGACCTCGCTCATACATCAATCCATCTTGATGCTGCCTGGTTCGACCTATCTGTGTCTCACTGCCACTAACCCCAACCACTGAGGCAAGCGGGCGTGAGGGTAGTTGTCGTCTAAAAGACACAATACTGCCCCGATGTTAAAGCGGCCTTCTTCGCCGGTGCAACGGCTGACAAGTGCAGGCTGCTCTGGCCTGCTGACTTCAGGCTGTCAGAGCGCAAGGGAGATATGATGTCCGCTTGCGATATCTGGGTACGAGTATTTGAGAGACCGCTTGTTCTCGCAAAGCCCATCTTCAGACCTGATGACGCAGTGCCCCTTGGAGTCCAGCGATACAACGTATATGCCGATTGACCAGAGACGCCCTGTCAGCCGCTGAGCCCCGTTCCATCTATGATGGGAAAGGATCTGATCTATCTGAGAATCTCTCAAGCACTCACGATAAGACCGCAACTGCACCCCAACAGGACATGCGTCGACTTGCGATCGGACGAGCAGAAGGGGCGGTGCTCACGGGCCCTCTGCGCTACTCCCACCAGTGCGAAGCCATGTGCTGCTATCAGAGCCGGCCTGTGACCCTCCTCGGCCCGCGAAGAATGATTCTCGACTGCCTGTGCTCGGTGACTGAGCTCGCTTGTCTACAGCCTCCAAGACGCGGCCGGATATGTCCACCGCACTGCAGCATGTCTGCAATGATTGCCAGCAGATGTACGACATGCTTCAACGTGTCAGATACAGCGTGAAGGTATATTGGGAGATTAGTGCTGCGACCAGTACGAGGCTCATGATTCCTAGCACCTATCCTGCCCCCAGTATGCCTGGCTGCTGCTACTTGTGCATGATCAGAAGAGGAGAGATCTACCATACACGGCGCGTAAGCCGCAGGGTGGGGAAAAGAACCGTCCCCCCACTTTACGCTTATCGGCCTGAACGAGCCGGAACGACTAGCCTCTTCCCCACTCTTGACTCTACATCCGCAGCCTTATCTACCCTTCGGAGATCCCTCCCACAGCTACTGCCGAGCACTTGTCTGAGGGTGGGGGAGGTCATGGGACTCGGAAGGTATATAGTCGAGCCGTCAGGCAAGGCGGAAGTCCCACATCCCCACCTCGTTTTCGTTCGCAATGGCCACTATCCCCCTCGAGAACGACAAGTATCCGCTTGACGAGGAGACTGTGCAGGATGTGCTCAGCGACGAGGACTACCGCAAGCTCGACAGGAGGGTGACGAGGAAGATTGATATACACATTCTGCCTTGGATCATCGTTTGTGAGTGGGACCGAACGCTCTGCGGGACGATAGCTGATCATACAGCGTACCTTCTGTGCGTCTCCCTCTATCCTCAAAAAGCGCATAGTTGATAGTGTCCAGAAATTATCTCGACCGAACCAACCTCGGCAATGCGCGGACTCTCAACAATGACATCCCCGGCCATTCCATGGTCGAGCAGCTCGACCTCCAAGGCGATCGCTACCTGCTCATTGTCGCTATCTTCTTCATGTCAGTCTTCGTCTTTCTCACCCAGTATCAAGAACTGATCCATAGACCATATGTGATCTTTGAGTTCCCAAGTAACCTCTTGATGAGTAAGTCCTCGCTCCAGTCCTCTTGAGGATGACTGGAGCTGAACTGGCAGAGTACTTCACGCCCTCCCGATGGATATCCCGGATCATGGTTTCTTGGGGAATCGGTAAGTCGCTTACTGCTATCACCTGCTAAGCTTTCAATGTCTGGGCAGACGCTGACGCCCAGTCACCTGCTGTACCGCTGCCGTCAAGAGCTATGAGGGGCTCATCGCCTGTCGTATCTTCCTCGGTATCGCTGAAGCTGGATTCTTCGTAGGTTCTTGTTCCCAGCTCCCATGTACCGGGGCTAACGAGCAGCCTGGTATCCTCTGTTACCTCTGCTTCTGGTACCCTCCTACCATCCGCGCGACTCGTATGGCCTTCTTCTCTGCCTCGATCACCATTGCCGGTATGCTGCATGTCTCTTTCGGGAGGAGATCAAACTGACAACCCAGGCGCTTTCGGCGGTCTCATCGCTACTGGGGTCTCTTTCATGTCTGGCAAGGGAGGCTTGTATGGCTGGCAGTGGCTGTGGGTGTCTGCTTTACCCGACCGCTCTTCCACATATCTGCGACTGCGCCTACACTCCGTACCCATACCGACATGTTTGGGCATCCGCTGACTACTCAGATTCCTCCTCGAAGGCATGCCCACTATCATCATCGGCGTCGCCATCTGGTTCTGCCTCCCCGACTACCCCGAGACCGCCTCTTGGCTCACCGAGGAGGAGCGGGCCCACGCGATGGAGCGCATGGGGCCGTACGCACCCAAGGGAACCGACAAGCACTTTGACAAGAAGGAGTTTGTCTCGACCGTCATGAGCTGGAACTTTGTGCTATTCTCTGTGGCCTACTTCCTCATGGCGTAAGTCATAGTCACCCGAGTCGTTAGCTAGCTGACCAATCAGCAATTCCGGAAACGCATTCGGCTACTTTACCCCCACCATCGTCGCCACCCTTGGCTATACTGGCTGTGAGTCCCCTTTCTTCTGTCTCAACTATTAGCTGACAACGCAGACCTCGGCCAGCTCATGACAGTACCGCCTAACGTACTTGGCTTCTTCGCCATCATCGGCAACTCGATGTGGTCCGACTACCGCAAAGAACGTCCCACCCATGTCCTCGGCGCGCTCGCATTCGTCATGACCGGCTGGATCTTGCTTGCCTCAGTCGACGGTGTCGGCGGTCGTTACGTCGGTGTTCACATGGTCGCTTGTACCAACGCGGCCATCATTCCCTTCGTCGGCTACCTGTCATCGTCCTTCAAGGGATCGACCTCAACCGGGATTGCCATGGGTGGCGTGTGAGTCCATACATGTGATGAAGGTAGTTTCGTGGCTGACAAGCAGGGTGGCTATCGCCAATCTCTCCGGCATAGTCACTCCCTTTGTCTTTCCCGCCGCAAACGCGCCCCGGTAGTAAGTCGCGAGACCCGCTATCATGCTGTTACACGACCCCTTGTCTTCGTCAACATCGCTGACTTGATCAGCTACCCAGGTCTGTGGACCCTCTTTGCCATGCTCGGCACCTCCGCCATTCTGGTTGGCATCCTGTGGTACCGCCTTGGTAGCAGCGCCGAATATCGCGAGGCAGAGCCGGATCAGGCGATCGAGAGCGAGACAATCGATCCGCTCGATGAGCAGTCCAGGCCGGTGCCTCGCGAGACCGCTGTGTTGGAAGATGACGTCAAAGCGCGCGCTTGAGATGCGCTTATCGGAATTGAGGGTAATTCTGTAGGTGGGCGAGCTCGAGGAAGTAGTAGTCAAGGGATTTTCTTCGATGCATTCAGGCTTGTCAAGCGCTACAAGCGATTGCGACATCATCTCGCCCCAAGTTTGGCTCGTTTTGCGCTTTTTCCGCCGAACTTGTCTGAGATGACCCTCATCAGGTATTCCTCTATGCACGTATGCTTCGGTCAGGTCGCTTCTCGATAGCGCTCCGCCCAGACTCCTTGCACATGCTCATGCTGGCAAGAAGCAGAGTAAGAACCGACCGCCACAGTCAGCGATAGGAGCCACTTGGCGTTTCGGAGGATCCGAAGATTCGGACAAACCGGTTGCTATTTTTGGCCGCTTGACCTCCACCTCCCGTGGCTCTCTCCACCCATTGCCGCCGACTCATATTAAGAGGACCAGGAGCCCCCTCCTTGCCCCTCATCCCCCCACACCATACTCCTTGACCATGTCCTTCCGCAAATCCGACGAGATCCTCAAGATCGAGACCCACCATGTCGAAGCCGGAGAGGAGGGCGAACGGAGAGTCCAGTGGGATGGCTCGGCTGGCTTTGACATTGAAACGGAGCGCAAATTGACAAAGTCACTCCTCCGCAAGCTCGACACGCGTATGCTCCCCATGCTGGCGGTGCTCTTCTTGTTCTCCTTCCTGGATCGCACCAACATCGGAAATGCTAAAGTGAGTAGTCTCTCTGAACGCGAGGGGTCCACGCTGACTGGCAGATTCTCGGTCTCCAGACAGACCTCCGCCTCGATGCCACCCAATACTCCTCCTGCCTCGCCATTTTCTTCGCCTTCTATATCGCATCCGAAGTACCCTCCAACCTCATCATCAAGAAAGTCTCGCCCCGCATCTGGCTCGGTGTCCTCACCATGATCTGGGGCGTCATCGGCATGGCCATGGGCTTCGTCCAGGACTTTACGGGCATGCTGGTCGTGCGGGCGTTCTTGGGTGCCTCGGAGGGAGGGCTACTCCCCGGTATCGTCCTCTACCTCTCCATGATGTACCGCCGTCAAGAGATCGGGTTCAGACTGGGTATCATCTACTCTGCTGCGAGTCTGTCTGGAGCTTTCGGCGGTCTACTCGGTACGTTCTCCTTGGTTCGGACACGGCCTTGCTGACCAGCAGCTACTGGTCTGTACCAAATCGGGAATGTGGGAGGGCAGAGCGGATGGCGCTGGATCTTGATCATCGAAGGTGTGTCCACTCAGCCTTTCTGCTTGTACTCGGCTGACGTCCAGGTATCCTCACTGTCGGTGTCGGCCTCGCTGCCATCCTCATCCTCCCCTCGGACGTCGAGAAGGCCCGCTTCTTCACGGACGACGAGCGCAAGCTAGCTATCGCCCGCCTCCTCGCCGACCGGCCCATGGCTGTCGATGCCAACGGCGACACCGTCATCCTTGCCGAGCCCTTCTCATGGTGGCGCGTCGGAGAGGCCGTCCTCTCCATCAAGACCTGGCTCTCGGCTATCGCTTACTTTGCCATCCTCAGCGCCCTCTACTCTTTCGGCCTCTTCGTCCCCTCCATTATCCAAGGTCTCGGATACAGCGCCATCAATGCCCAACTCTACTCGGTCCCTCCTTACGCCGTGGCTGCCTTCCTCACTGTCTGCGCCGCCTACGTATCGGACAAGTACAAGATCCGCGGTCCTATCATGCTCGCCTTCCTCCCCCTCTCCATCATCGGCTATGGTGTCATTGCCAACACGTCTGACCTCAAGCTCAAGTACGGGATGCTCTTCATGATGGCGGCCGGTCTCTACCCTTCGGTCCCTCCCGTTCTCGTCTGGCTCGGTGAGTTTACGCTTCATTTCGCCTGCTGGCAAGGCTTCGAGACTGACGATGCGCAGCGGGCAACAATACGAACCATTATACCCGTGCAACGGCCATCGGGCTGCAGCTGGCTATCGCAAACTGCGGCGGATTCGTGGCCGCGTTTGTCTACCCCTCCACGCAAGCGCCGTCGTATCAGCCGTCCCACACGCTCATCATGGGTCTCCTCATCGGCGCATGGGTGCTCGTGGCGGTAAAGTGTGCGTATCTTGCTTTCCTCAACAGGCAGAAGGCGGCGGGGAAGCACGACAGGCATATCGGGTGTGGGGACAACAGGGATCCGGCTTTCAAGTATGTCATTTAGGGATGTAGTTGTACTGTACCATTTGGGGTAGATCTAGTGTAGAATGAATTAGGATGCTTGACAGAGCAAGCCCCGCATGGTTGATGACCTGCACAGATCCTCAGAAGCCTATGTGCGCTCAATTGCCTACCTCGGTTCTTCTGTCGCAGTCACCTCATTTTAAGGGGGCGAGAGGGACACCTGGCCGAGCAGACATGAGAGAAGACAAGGGAGAAGGCAGAGGAGATGGCAAGGGAGAAGGAGGGGGGTGAATGTGCCGAAGAGCGCCAGGTACTTGCATGCTTGTAGTGTTACTCTTGCTTAGGTAAATTTAGCGGCCATATGTTCGACCTGTACTGCTCATATACTGCTGTGAATGCGTAGCCAAGCCTGCGATATGGTATGTGATAACGGAGGGGAGCAAGAGGCGAAGGGAAACTCTGAAACCAACCTGAAACACCTGAAACACCACCCAAACGAGTCCGTGCGCCGCCCCATCTCAGCGGAGTCTCGCTAGGTGTTTGACGAGAAGAGTGAGAGTGTGCGTGCGAGTCACTTGGGCAGCTCCTTGATAGGCTAGCTAGTCTGCATGATGCCCATAGAGCTCCTGTCTTTGGTCTCTACCGTCATCACAGTCGCAAAGAAACCCGCAGAATTGGGGCGAGCGAACCTAGCGATAACTTCAAAAGGTGTACTCGAAGTACGCTGGAGGATCCGCAAGTACCTCAACTGCGGCTGTACCTACGCTGATTACTTGCCCAAAGTGATCGCTTCAGGCCTCCCACTGGCCGCATCTATATGGACAGAATCACACTGCTCCCGCCCGCGCGGGCAATTACCGGCATCGCTACCTACAGTCAGTAAGCTGTAGATCGCAAGGTATCACATCCTGAAGGCCTCTCTATACGCGCTGTGCAGAGCTTCTGACCAAGTCACAAACCAAAGATAAGCAGGATACCCATCAGTAAGAGCTAGCACAACCATGAGATGAGATTAGTAAGAGTGTCTCTTCAGCTTAGCTGCGCGCATACCAGCTATCGCATGAACGAGGAGAACATCAGTCTAGGTCCCCCTCCTTCATCCTCACGTCCATGTCCGTCCAGCTCAGTCCCGCCGACGCTTAGCTCTTCTCCAGCCGCCTGCACGCCATCATCTCCCTGCGCCTCCAGAATCGTCCCCTCTTCTTCAGTCGTGTATGAGCTGATAGGCGGCGGACGCCTACTGCACATTAGCTCAATATCGCAGCTCCAGCACTACTCTCGGCCGCCAAGAACAGAAGATGAAGCTCACGCGGGTACCAGCTCCCCCTCCTTCCCCTCCATCTCCCACCCCATCGCTCGTAGATGCGACGCCACGCTCTGCGACAGTATCTCCCTCGCGTTTTCTCTGATAAACCTATTCGGCCAGGATGAGGTGGCTTGGGAGAAGGGTAGGGAGGCGAGGGTGTGCTGGATTGCTCGGACGTCTTTGGGGCCGAGGGGTATCTGGAGAGTCAGTCCTAGTCAGAGTATCTGGATTGACTGCATATGCCAGCGGCTCGCATGCCAAAGTCACTCCATTCTCCTCGAGGCTTTGTCGCATCATCACTCCTTTACCGCCGCCATCCTCTCTCAGCATCGGTTGCTCCCGCACGTACTTCAGACCCTAGCATCCAACTTCGCCACGCAGCGCCCCTATGTCGAGCCCTTGCTCCGATAGTCCCTCACCCCCTCCTCAGCTAGCTTGCGTCCCCAGGTCCCTACTTTTCCGCTGAATCATCGCTTCAGAGTTGACCAGCCTCAAGCGGTCCAGTCGACTCCCCATCCCCCTCCAGCATCCCGCTGAGCCGCCTCACTCCCACATCACAAATGTCCACCTTCATCCCTTCGGCCAATGCCCTCTTGTCCCCCTGACCGCCCCAGACTTGTCCTCCGCATTGAAGCCATACACAAGGCAAGATCAAAGCTCACCATATTCGGCACAGACCAGATGAATGTAAACCCCCGCTGAGTAGGCTGGACCATCACCGTATCCGCCACGAGCAAAAGACCGGATACGGGCGTGCGCTTGGTCGGGTGATCGGTAGGTGCGGGTTCTTGCAGGCGATCCCAGTGGAGAACGGATGAACCGGGAAAGTGTCTGATATGTCAGCTTCGGCACTCAGCGGATGATCATTGCGTTGATCTTTCGCACATCCTTGCGCGCCCCTGTCGCTGAACCTCATATCTGACCATTGCCGTCTGGTTCGACTGACAGTATATGAGCTACTCACCCTCCGCATTGTATCAACCTCAGGCCCTTCCCGATCTCCCTCTCTCCAGTCCACCACACCACCTTATCGCCCTCTCCAATCTCGTCCAAGCGGACATACCACGCCTTGTCCGCTTCGTTCAAGTACAGTGGTACGCCGAGGAGGCGAGACCAAGTGAGCGAGGTGGAGAAGAACTGGTCGTCAGCTGAATATCACTTGCTATGAGCAGTACAAGGTGGAGACAGCTCATCAGGGTCCCATCGCCAGCAGCTGATCCATACCCGCTAGATCCCTCCTCGAGCAAATGCTGACTTACATGGGGATGCGAGATGGCTATACCACGCAGAGGGGTCCTGAGCTCCTTGGAGAGGTAATGAATCAGTGCGGTGGAGATGTAGGCGGAGCAGTCCCATATGTATGAGCCCTCGGCGGTCTCGAGGAGGATAGCTGGTTGGTCAGCATGTGACCGTCACCCGCTTCAATTCCCCTTTATCCGCTCCACTGAATATCTTTTATCTTATTGCAGCATCGCCGCCCGCATCCCCCGTCGCGATCATAGCACACTCACGAGTCTGGTTGATCGCAAAGCCCGCCTCGGTCCCAATGAACTTGACCCTATGATCATCCGTATCCTCTAGTATCGTATTCCGTCTTGACGAGCTGAGCTGCGTGAGGCTCGTCCATGTCTGGCCCGTGGGCGGTACAGCTTGTCTAGGATCCTCGCATATCATACCTGGAAGACATCAGCATTGAAGTCCTCAAAATGAAAAGCAAAGCGAGGGTGATGTGCTTACAGGTATCTCTTGCCGAGCCATATTGCGTCCCGCACGCCGTACAGATCGGGAGGTTCCCCTCTTTGCTGAGAATCTCGAGAGTCCGTGACGAGACTGATGCTGTGTCTGGTAGCGAGTGAGCTGTGTGTGCCATGATCAGTGAAGTAGATGGGAATTGTAGTGAGAAGGTGATATGGTCAGAGATAAGATAGCGATGGGAGCTCGGTTCTCGGACGTGGACGCGTGGACGTCCGTGCGTCAGCCAAGATGAGATCAGCGAGGCATGAAGAGGTGGAGCCAGGAGATCAGAGGAGCTCATGGAAGAGCTAGGTGGTGACCTTGAGGGGACGCTCATAGTCCAGAAAGCTACCGTGCCCGCACTGCAGGAGGCTGCGATCGACCAAGCGAGAGCGAGTTGGGTGGCAAAAGACAAAGCCAGCAGGTCCAGCGCTCCCGATCGCGCTGTCGCCAATCCTGATCTCCCTCATGCATGGAGCCTCGGGGGCATCACATCTGTAGCTCTCCTGTCTGCCCCGCTGTGCCCCTCCTCTGTTCTCCACTGGGGCATTGTCGAGCGCTGAGTGGGGGACGCGTTGATATGGGGAGTACGTACGAATGGCAAAGTCAAAGTCAAAATTTCCCTGAACCAGTGAGCGGGCCGAGCGAGATCCTCTTTTCACCTCGCTTACCGCTCTTTTCCTTCTCTTCCTTCTGTCATCCATTCCTTCAGAGGCTCTTGCTTGCTCTATAGACGGGCTTGCTAGCAGTACTGTGTATAGACCTGCTCGACCCGTCGCTCTGTGTATCGCCTGCTCGACCACTTCTGTAGCATACCGTCAATCCCGTCGATCGTCACCGTCTCGGCAACCATCACGCGCCCAGTGTCTCACGTACTCCCTCTCTCGCGAGACCGCCATTCAGCGTCAGCGACAGCTTCTTTTCGCCCATCGGTTGGAACATCTGTGTATAGTGGAGGTCATCCATACACGTCGACGGCGCTTCTCTCATAATTTGGTACTGGATACATCATTGATCAGCGAATTGTGAGTACAAAGGTCCAGAGCTCTGTTTATCCTTTGCGGGGCCGTCTCCCTGGTTCAGCCCCACCTCCCTTGCCGCAACCCTGCCTTTGTCTCACCTCTCTGGCGCTTTGTCACGATGAGACCCTCACGAACTTCAGCTCACACGACTGCAGCTGTTCACGCGAAACAACCCCGCCCGTCGGTCTCGCCTCAGCAACCAGCTCGCGAAGCTGAGCAAACGATTTACCCCACTCCTCCGACCACCCCGGATCTCATCGACTCGGCGGTCGTCCTAGACGCCTCTCCCGTCTCGCCGGTAACGCTCACGACCCCCGCTGGATCTTCTTATTCAGCTACGACCGCCCCTCTTCCTATCCATTTTCAGCTGGATACCCCGCACACACACCCTCACGCGTCCGGACTTCGTCTCACACCTGATTTCAGCATCCTCGGCGCGCTAGGCGGCACTCGCATCTTGGACCTGAACAAGCAGAGTCTCTGGGACAGGATGCCTCACCCTGTTATTGCGGCCTCGGTGGTTGCGGACAGGTCGAACGGTCAGAAAGGAGAGGAGGAACATGTGGAGCGTATGCTGGGTGGGAAAGCGGAAAAGAAGAAGATGTCGACGTGAGCTACTTCTGCGTCCCAGTGTGGACTGCGCTGATCATCAGACAAGAACATATCCGGTCCATCTTTGTCCAGCCTCCCACGCCGGAGCGGGAAACACCTCCATCACCTACCCCGATCGTCCTCCCTCCCATCCCATCCGTCCCAGAAACATCCCGCTCTTCTACCCCATCCACCGCCCAAGCCAGTCTCATCCCCCTTCACGTCCTCCCCGAGGTACGATCACCTCCTCGTCGCTCCCTCGCCATGGCGGCCGACTCTCTCCAGCTCAATCTCCGTCGCGGACGTCGTCCACGTCTTTTCGGCTTTACCGAAATCCCAGACTCGGGAAGCAGCGCCAGCTCCGCAGCCAGCAGCGTCAACAATTCGCGGAGTAATAGTCCAGAGCGCAAGGGCGCAAGTCCGCTGGGTCTGACGTTGGACGGAGACGGAACGGGGTCAATAGGAGCAAGCATATCAATACCAAGTGGACCAGGTCCAGGATCGGTCCTACCGCGTCGCGGACCTGTACGCGCCCAGTCCGAAACAAACCTTCCTACTATCGCCAGCACCATGTCGTCCATACCCCGATCTCGAACCTCTAGCGCGGATGACCACATCATGCTCACGCCTCGTCGGGCGCGGGATAACGGTCTCAAGCTCGACTTTACCGGTATCACACCCCTCACCTCCCCTATCGACCCCGCATCGACCTACATCCCCTCTCCATACTCGGCCAAGCTCATCCGGAAAAAGTCGGGCGAGCTCGTCAAGCCAGCACTCAAGTATGGCGGTCCCCTCACTGCGAGCGGGACGCCTATGGTTGAGCGCTCCCCTCCTGTCTTTGGCGAGAGCTCGAGCCCGCCGTCCTACCCAAATCGTCTCGGCTCGCGGTCACTGCCCGGTACACCCAATTTCCCCAAGGCGGTCCATTTCGACTCGCAGCTCGAGCGGGTCAAGCTGTTCAACAAGGACCACAAACCTCAGGTCGTCAGCCGGGACGGGTCACCCACTCAGTATACCACGTCGGAGGGAGAAGAGTTCCCCTTCCCATCTACAGACGACGAGGCGGCTACTCGGTCAGCCGCCGAAGAGCGCAAAGTCTTATCCATCAAACTACCCAATTTCCCGTCCTCCCCAAACACCTTCGCCGACCTCCAACTCGAATCCCTCTACCTGGACGAATCGGATCGCAAAACCCTCCGAGGCGTTATCGTCGTCAAGAACTTTGCGTTCAACAAGTGGGTTGCCGTCCGATTCACTCTGGACTGGTGGCAGACCACGTCGGAGGTTTCGGCGTCGCACAAGGAGACGATCCGGGAAGGGGCGTACGATCGTTTCTCCTTTGCGATCAAGCTGGGGGATGTGATGGCCAAGATTGAGGAGAAGACGCTGTTCATGTGCGTGAGGTACAACAGCGAGGGGCGGGAAATCTGGGACAGCAACAATGGGGAGAACTACCAAGTCAACTTTGAGCGGAAGGCGGCTGCGCCGGTGGCGGTGGACAAGGCGTCTTTGCTGTCGCCCGGCTTGGCGAGGGGAGGTGGGAAGCGGATGATGAACCAGTGGGGCGGAGTGGGGAAGGCTGGGAAGGATGATGATCGAATGGCGAGTCTGCGGGAGAAGCTATCGCGTCTCACGGCGGAAGACGACGAGATGAACGCGGTCCCTCAACTCTCGCCCAACCGGTCATCGTACCTCTCGGCCGGGAAACGGGGCGTCAACTTTGGCGGATCTCCAAACTCGTCCCCTCGGAAAGGGTTTGCGGCGCTGGCGGATCTGGACCCGGCGCAGGGTATCCCCAGTCAGGCTCTTGCGGCGAGGTACGACTTTGGGTCGGCGTTCAAGGGGGCTCGGGAAGGACGGTCAGCTTCGCCCGACTCGCGGAATGCCGAGTTGCCCAATGTCCGCACGGGGCTGTTGGCATTCGAGCCCAAGGGTGATACGCCAACTCGGCCAGAACGGCCGGGTATGGACTATTACTCGCCTCGGTATAGTCCAAGTGGTCTGCCCGAGTCGAGCTTCTCGGCCGACTTTTTCGCTCCTCCTAAAATCGGCTATACGGACTCGCCCACCCCAATATCCAACCCATCTACCTCTTCCTCCCGTATAGAATCGCCCCTTCCCGTCCCCGCGTCCGCTACCTCGTCGGCTATCGGTATCCTCCCCACCCCGCTCGAAGTACCCGACGTGACAGTTCAAGGTCCCTCCCCTCCCCCACCCGACAGCCCTATCGCGACCATCTCCCACGCGTCCGGCTCGACCACCAAATCACCTACCCGACCGACCTTCGGCCGAAGCTCCACCTCTCCCGCACTCATCACTACTTCGCTTCCCCATCGTCCCTCTTCCGTTCGTCCACCTTCGAGCCCGCTCGCCCGCTCGCCCGCCCTCCCCCCTTCGTCACCTACCGCTCTCCCTACTTCCCGCTTGGCAATGTCGGGCTCGCGCTCCCCCTCCCCGCCCATATTGGGCATGAGCACCTCGTCGGTCGCGTCGACAGACACGAGCGATAGTCCTCGGAGTTTGGACACGCAGGCGAGTCCGTTGACGGGGCAAGATATGAGTTTGAGTGGGTTCATGGCGAGTCGGGAGAGGGGGAGTGGGGATAGTATGGCGAGCTATAGCAGCTTTATTGAGCAGTGAGTCGCGTTCTTTTATCGCTCGACGAGGTCCTCAGGGGGGTAAGAGGACGGCCAGGGGTGCTTTGCGGCCCGGGCGTTAGGGAGGAAGGACAGAAGAGGACAAGCAATACATCAAGACCTCGCGCTGACGTTCAGGTTCTGCTGGGGCGGCGGCTCATCCACAACTCCCACACCTACATCCTCAAACGAGATTTCTCCTCCCCGCCGCACGCACTCCAGCTCATCATTGGACGAGTACTTTGCGCATTCATCATCGACGGCGAGTATGGCGGGAGGATCGGGGCTGGCTACGCCCCGAGCACCCAGCGGGCGGCAAGGGCCAGAGTATGGCGCGTATGGTGAGAGTGGGATGCGGGGGTATGTCGCTGCGCAGGTCAAGTGATCAAGTGAGGGAGTGGGGTGCTGGTTTTGGCCCGGAGGCTTGATATCTGTAGCTGCCTTGTCATGGATCTTTTCGGTTGTATCTTTTGCCTCATCATATTCGTTCTTCATACACAGTCAACTAGTCAGTCATCATATTACATGTCATACTTGCATACCATGATCAGACTGACTTGTTACTGTTAGACTGACCATCTTTAGACTGACCATCTACTATGACTAGAATTCCTCTATTTGGACGAGCACGATGGATGTGACCAAGCGGCCGCTGATGTATGCAGTGTACAATGTCGCCCAAGGACAACCACCTCCTGCAGGATGACAGGATGTTTGCGGTACAGGCAGTGCATCCGCTCGTACCTGAGCGCAGCACGCGCCCCCGTTCGGACTAGAGCAAGCGCGGTCCGAATTGGGCCTCTAGAGATGACGTGCGACAAGGTCACAACATAGTATGATATGCACGGTACAGCTAAACCCAAGGCGCCCACTTAGTGGGCGATAGTGATACCGATGATTATCCCCTAGCGAGTCGAGGAGGTCTACCGCATCGATCTGGCTCTGGAGTTTCTTCTCAATCCATGGCAGGGCGCCACGCGAGTGCGTCTCGGCCCTCACGGGGGAGACATCCAACTATGTGTACAATGAGCAGAAGGGATACCTCCTGACTCTGTTGCATCCTTTCTCTCTGTGCCTGACCGACTCCCTGTCCCTGAACTCTGAAACGATTTGAGATCTATAGTAGCCTCTGCTGCCCCTATCAGAGGACCATCGCGCCGGCACGAGGGCAGAATTTGACCCTCGACGTTCCCTATTGACTACCCGCAAAGCAGCCGGCTCATCAAAAAGATATGCAGCTTGCGCGTTTAGCACTACTCGGCGCCACTTGTGTCCTCCTTGCTCACTCCGCTCCGGCGGACAAGCATACAGTCCGCCTCATGTTTGGTCCAGGTGTCAGATGTTTGATCCGAGCAGGCGAGGAAACTACGTTCGGGCCCGCAATGACCATTCTTGATGCATGGGAGGACTGGCCAGGGTACACCGTGTACCCTATATTTCGTCATCTGCCCAATGAGGAGGTCATGTATGCTGTGAGTCCAGTGCCGAACTGATCGGCATGGCTGGACCGCGTATTCTCCACCACCTCCCTTGACGCGCCATATGCTGATCTGCTTCAGTGCAATATCACGCGCAAAGACAACAAGCCGCTACAGGATGACCGGATGTTTGTGTTTCAAGCAGTACACCCGCTCGTACCGATGCACGAGAACGGCCCTTTGCAAATGATCTGCAAGGAGGGCGGAGGGGGGCCGTGAGTAATATCAGAGCGTGTTATGAGTATAGTACCCATGTAAGCATCAGGCGACGAGGCGAGGCGGCTCCATCTTTCGTCGTCGGCTTATAAGTCGTGCGCCAAGTGTGAGATCTCGAGCATTAGAGGCGATGTCATAGATGACAGTGTCAGTACGATGCTAGGTACAGATCCAGCTGGCCGCTGGACTGCCACTGGCGAAATATGGTAGACGCATGAGATGGGGCGACGCCGAGCAGGCACTGACCTTGAGGACCGATGCCGAAGTTCACGAGCAACTACGCTGCCCGAGCGATCAGTACTCGCTCGTGTCAGCATTAACGAGAGCTATCAGTATTGAGCGCCAGTATCGAGAACGGGAATCTAATCTGTTCCATCGAGCTCGGCGCTGGAAAACATCTACATGAGTGGTTGAACTATGTCGTATACCGGTGCGTGCGGGGCGAGACAGCGGGGATATGGCTGGAGGTGGGTCGGACAAAGTGGAATGGGGGAGCTAATGAAGTGCGAGGAGGAAGGGGACGGAAAGGCAAGAGAGGGCAAACGGGTAAGTTGGGCACGCGGGGAGGGTGTCAATTGGGGAGATGCAGGAAGAGACGATGCTGAGGCAGTAGCCAGCACGACCACCCCGCCGCTTCTCTCGTGACCTTGTGCCTTCTCCCTGACCGCATATCTAGCCGAATGGCCAGAAACGGAGGTGGAGAGGAGGCACAGAGGGGGCCACGAGAAGTGCGCAGGGAGGGCGTGCTGGTGTGCCTTGAGCTGGAGGAGGGGAGGAAGGGGGGAAAGATGGGATCAGACGAGTTGGGTGGAAGATGGAGCTGGAGTGTGGTGTATGGATGCATGAAAAGGGGAGTTGACAGGAGCGACTGGAATAGACAGGAGGAAGCGGGAGAAGGGGTAGAAGGCAAGTAGGAGCAAGATGATAAGGAAGATCCCGCCCAGCACGACCACCCCGCCGCTTCTCTCGTGGCCTTGTGCCTTCTCCCTGACCGCATATCTAGCCAAATGGCCAGGAACGGAGGTGGAGAGGAGACACAGAGGAGGCCACGAGAAGTGCGCAGGGAGGGCGTGCTGGTGTGCCTCAAGGGGGATGGGGGGAATGGGGGAAAGGTGGGATCAGACGAGGTGGGACGAAGATGGGCCTGGATTGGGAGTGGAAGCGAAGAGAATGGACAGAAAGAGGATGTTGATAGGAGCGACTGGAAGTGACGGGAAGAAGCGGGAGAAGGGGCAGAAGGCAAGTAGAAGCAAGATGATAAGGATAATCCCGCCCAGCACGACCACCCCGCCGCTTCTCTCGTGACCGTGTGCCTCCCCGATCTCGTCTCTTGACCGAGTGGCCGCGAAATGGAGAGAGAAAGGAGGCTCAGAGGGGGCCACGAGAGGCGCGCAGGGAGAGCCGAGCTGGGCATGCGGGCTGTGAGCTGATGATGGTGAGTGTGGTTGGCGTGGAAGATGATGTCGGATGGGGACAAGGAGTGAAGAGTAGGAAGAGTAGGGGGTGAATCGTGGTCAGAAGAAGTGAGTATATACCGGATGAAAGGAAAGGCGAAAGGGGAATGAAAGGACAAAAGGGAGACAGAAGTGCAGTTGAAGATGTGAGATGCTGAATCGGGATCCATTCCCCATCCCCTCTCGTTCCCTGCATCCACCACCGCCTACTTCTTCTTCCCCTTGCCCTTCTGCACCAACTCGAACCCATCCTCATCAACCACCTTCTCCACCTTCTCTTTTTCCTTCTCTTTCGGCCGCTCATCCACCTCCATCCCTTCATCCTCATCCTCATCGCTCCACTCCCCCTCATCATCGTCACTATCATCACTGAACGCCTCCCCATCCTCGCCTACATCCGGCCCACTCCCTTTTGTCGCCTTGACCTTCACCCCTTGCCCCTTGACATTCTCCAGCGCCGCGACTGTCGCCTCCGCCTCGCCGCGAGGCTTCTGGACGATGGTGTCCCAAACTTTGAGCAAGTCGCGTGAGACAAGGTCAATCGATCCGTCTTCGAGGTTGGCGTCGAATTCGTCCGAGAGCATTTGGGAGAGGAGGTCGGCGAGGTCGTCAAAGTCGAGTGGGGATTCGGATTTGGGGTCGACGATGAGGGTGGAGGGGGAGGATGGGCTGGGGATCAGCTTGGGGTCAAGGGTGGTTAAACTTCAAGACGGGGGGATGGGACAGAAGGGGTAGTGCAGAAGGTGGAAGAGAAAGGAGAGGGATGGGTTGGAATGAGAAGATTGGGGAAGACCCCAGCCCCAGTCTGGTACTACTCGATATACCCTTCCTCCTCTCCCCGCCCAATCTCCTCTGCTCCATACCCTTTCTTCCTACTCTCCTCCAACTTCCTCTGCTCTCATTCATTCCCTCGCTCTGCCTGACGCAACTCACTCTTTCACCCACTGTGCCCCTCCCTCAAACTCATCGATAACCGTACTCGCCATCCACGTCTTCTTCTCTTTTGACTCGACACCTCCCCATTCCTCCTTGACCGCGATCGTCAATGCCGGCCATATGTCCAGTATAGCCAATACTGCTCTGGCAAAGAGGAGTATTTGGGGTGAGGGTGCCGCGGCAACGCCGGCAGCGGGAGTGGATGCGGATGCGGAAGCTGAGGCAGACATCTAAGAGTAAGCTGTGTGACAAGAAGCAGAGAGATAAGAGAAGCTTACAGTGAGGAGAGGATGCGGAAGTAAAGAAGCTAGAGCAGTTGAGGTGTGTGTGAGGCACACAGAAGACGCCTCGGCCTCGAGGTCGAGAGGGAGCTAGCTAGACGAGCGCTAGACGGGCTATGTCGGCTTGTTCAGAGCCGATTTTTGTTCCGCCGGAATGGTATAAGCTGAGGCTGAGCTTCTGGAGTAGCCAGGTGTGTAGCGAAGCTGTAGACTGTTTGCTTGTGGCTGTATGGTGGTAGGGGCTAGAGCTCTAGAGTTCGAGAAGCGGTATACTGGGTATACTATAGGAGAGAATTTCAACCAGCCAAGCCAAGCTACAGCTGAAGCCAAAGCGGCGACCGCCGAAAGTGGCACCTCCAGCGAGCCACTCTCCTCCACACCCATCTCACTCTCTCTGTGCATGTGCCTTAGCTCCATAGTCTTCACCGCGCCTACAGCACAGCGCAAATAGCTCAGTCCAGCTTAGCTCAACAGCTATGCGCCTCCCAATCCCAACCCTCGCGTTGATCGCGTCAATACTGAGCGTCGTGACAGCCAAGAGCAGTACGGGGGATCGCGTCCTCGTGGTATTGGAATCTGGCATAGAGAAGGGGGATTACTCCAAGTTCTGGAAGTCATTAGAGGGTGGGTCAATCACTATGAAGAGAGAGCAGGGGGTCCGACGGATATGTGGATGGAGTGAGAGAAGAACATGACTGATACTATAGCTCGAGGGTATAGTCTCACGTTCAAATCGCCAAAAGATGATACTGCCGAATTGATCAAGTATGGAGAGAGGAAATATGATCATTTGATTATGTATGCCCCAGGGCAGAAGAGTAAGTCGCGGGTGTACAGAGGGGCTGTCCGAGGGGTGAGGCTGGGGTCCGAGGAGACTGGGGATTGGCGGTAGAGGGTACAGGAGGTATGGGGTTCGAGGAGACTGAGGATTGGCGGTAGAGCAATGTCCGAGTCTATGTGGAAGGGCCTTGAGGGGCATCTCCTCCTTATTCTCTCCAATCATCATCCCATATCACATCTCACTTTGACCCCTGTCACTCCGATCAGTGCTCAACTATATCTCCCGCTCTCCCCTGAGCCTAGCTGACGCCCCAGCCTTCTCCCCCGCCCTCTCCCCCCAATCCATCCTGCACGCCCAGCTCGACGGCCTCAACACCCTCTACCTCCTCTCTCCCTCCCTCTCTCCCCTTAACCGGGACACATTCCGGGAATACGACCTGGAATTTACCGATTCTTCTGCCGGAAACACCCTCATCTCCCCCTTCTCCTCCCTCGCCTCTGACCCTTCCTCGCCACTCATCTTCCCCGCCCACTCCCCACTCCTCTCTTCCTCACCCGCCAACCCGGTCCTGTCGCCCAGTACACTCTCCGGAGGACCGATCGTCTTTCCCGAGGCGATCAGCCACTTTGCGGGCGAGACGCCCTATGGTTTCCCGATCCTCGGGGCGCCGAGAGGGAGCTATGTCGGAGGGTCAGGTGGAAATTCGAACTCGACTGCAGGGGAAGGGAGAAAGGGCGGGGAGGTGGTACTAGCGGGGAAAATGGCAGGGGTGGTCAGTGCGTTCCAGACGAGAGATAATGTGCGGATTGGGTTTGTGGGGAGTGGGAAGGCGTTGAGCGATAAGGTCTGGGAGGCAAGTGTGGAGGATCAGGAGGGGGTCACGTGAGTTGTTCTCCCATTCCGGACGTCGAGTGAGAGATGTGGGTAATGGGGGCTGGGAAAATAGGGTGGGCTACCCGTTGGGCGGGGTCGTGGGGGATGAAACGGGTAGGGAGACTGGGGTTGAGATACCGGGGCTGTAGAGAGGCCTGAACCTCTTCCTATCCTTCGTCCAATCTCATCCTTGGCCATACTCTCCAGCCCTACTACCCATGAAAGCTACTCTGACTCTACCCACTTTCACATTCCTCTGTCCTCATCCCTTGTCGTCCCTATTCCTATCAGTCCAAGCTGACCCGTAGTCACCGTACTGCCAACGCCGCCTTTGCGCAAGACCTGACCTCCTGGGTATTCCAAGAAACCGGCGTGTTGCGCGTGGAATGCGCGACGCACTGGAGCAAGACGGGCGGGGAGGTGGAGAAGGCAGAGTATAGGAAGAATGAGGAGGTGGTGAGTCTTTGCTGTTGTCTTTCGCTGTGTTTTCCGGGACAGCTGGAGGCTACAGGGATGGGCGGGGGTGCAGGAGAGGTGCATGTCCGGCAATATCGCCGGATGGAAGGAGGGGAGAGCTGGGGTTGGGGTCGGGGTTGAGGCTGGTCCAAGCACAAGAAATGAGAGTCGGGAGGACAAATATCCGGCAGACTCAGAGGCGGGGGAAGAAGGATCATCAGCTTGGGCCTGGCGAGAACCACTTTCTTTTCTCTCTTCATCCTCGCGATTGATCTGATTTGATCCTCTCTTGTCCTCGCTCCAAACCTCCCTCGTACCCTTCCACTACCTCCTGCATCTGCATCTGCATCTGCATCTGCATCTGTCCTTCCACTCTCGCCCATATCCCATACAGCGCACAACTGACCCGCATAGGCCTACTCAGTCTCCATCACCCAATACTCGCCTTCCTCAGGCACCTACATCCCCCTCGTCACCCCGCCCTCTGACCTCCAGCTCGAATTTACAATGCTCGACCCGTTTGTCCGCACCCCGCTCATCCTCAACTCTACCGCCAGCTCTGCGCAGGGGTCGACGACGTACTCGGCCAGCTTTAGGGCGCCGGATAGGCATGGGGTGTTCAAGTTTGTGGTGGAGTATTGGAGGCCTGGGTAAGTTTTCTCTCTTCCGGGTTTGAATGGGGATTGTTCGGATGGGATGAGGAGATGGGATGGGCTCGAGGGGAGTCTGCGGGAATATGATTTTGAGGGTATAGACTCAAAGCGGAACGAAGGGGTGGAGCAGGAACTAGGTTGGCGGCAGGGGTCAAAGACGACACGACACATACGGGCTTGGCTTCAGCGGGATAATTCAGCTCCTCCTTGACTGTATTCAACCTACACTGGAGTCACTTCATTTACCACCCTCAACGTCCCAATTTTTGCCTCTACAGCTCTACCCCCACGGCATCTTTTTCACTGCATCCCCTCCTCCCCTGTCCCCCATTCCCACCTCCGCCCCAGCTCTCGTCACCGACCCCTGATTCCTTATGCTGAGCTGAGCTGACACCTCAGATACACCTACCTCCGCTCATCCACCACCACCGCCGTCGTCCCTTTACGGCACGACGAGCACAAGCGGTTCATCACGGGCGCATACCCGTTCTATGGGGCGACGGTCAGTGTGTCGGTTGCTTTTGTCCTGTTTTGTGGGATGTGGTTGGGGATGGGTGAGGAGAGGGGGAGGAAGAAGGCAGAGTGAAGGGGAGGGGATTTGCGGGGGCGGGAAAGAAAAATAGAAGTAGGAAAGCCGGTATGGGAGACAGGGCAAAGGGAGACGTGGTAACGTGGAGAAAAGCACGATCAGAGATCAGGTGCATAGATGCTACTGGCTTTCGGAGCGCAGATGGCCCGGTGTGCCATGCACACACCTCTACTGCTGATAAGCCACTGATGTCAGTCGATCTCGGGCACACGACTGATGCCCCAGCCAGTGATCGTGCGTCATGGTCGGACAGGCGTTAACGCTTGATACGATTGCTAAGGTCTGCCATTGACAAGGCCAGTAGAGGTCAAGGTCGACACATCCCCCACGCGCTCGCTCTCATCTTCGCGAGGGGAGTAGATATTGACGACAGGCACTGACGCGCAATTAGCGCACGTCAGGTTGGCCCTTGGCGCACGCCTCGGATGGCTTTCAAGCTCATACGATGCATTCGGAAACGGGTAGTATGCGCAGGGAGATGTACAGCAGATCACTTTGATTGGCACAAAACATCGGCTTTGTGGTTATTCTGACCACCCTCTCAGGCGCGAGCGGCCTCATCATCATCATCACCGCCGCATGAAGTGTCAGCCTCCATGGCCTCAGTCGCATTGCGGGAACCCCCTTGTTCGCTTGCATCGAGCTGTCGGGGCCTCGTTCGCTCGTAGTCCCGATCGTATGGCCCGTGCCGATGCTGCCGGGATCGGTGCTGTCGAGATCCGAGCCCGCCACGCCGGCGAGAGTCATCAGACCGGTCCGAGTGAGGCATGGTCGGCTCACGGACGCTCTCTGTGCGATCGACGCGCTCGGAATGTTTCTTGACCCTGTTCTCGCCTGTCCTGTTTGGGACCGTCTTCCACTCTGGAATATGTTCACCCGTGGAGATGGTACAGACCTCGACCGACGTCAAGGGCGCCTCGGGATCATGTCCCAAGAGGAACAACACCATAGAACAGATGGCGCCATATTTGGTGGCGAGAGCAATGCGGGATCTGCTCGCGTTGCTGATGTCTTCGCGGCGGGACAGGGGATCCGCGGTGCCCTCAATCAGCGCGATGATATGCTGCGACCCATCGTCCAACGTGTATCGCATCAGCTCGGTCAGTTGGGTAAACCCTTCGGTGGGAGCATCAACAGTGGGATTCCCCTGTGCAGACATGTCGCACTAGGGGGGATGGGGTACACGTGGGAGTGAGAGTGTATCTGTCGAAAGCTAAGTGTACGCGTGATAGGAGACTGGTGGAAGTGGTGAAAGAGTTTGGATTGTATATAGAGGCAACAGGGAATTGCGACGCCTGACGGGGCATTTGTATCTCTCGCTCACGCGTACGGTCTCTCGATCAAGGGCAGTACAGACACCTCGAGCGCTCAATTCTATGATGTCTACCCCTGATGGCATGCTCTGACGTGCAGGGACGTAAATTACAGACCCCTCGCCTATCCTTTGCACTCGCGCTACACGAGATCATATACGCAAGCCCCTGTTTGTGAGGACAGAGGATCGCTGCTCGGCACACCAAGGGCTGAAACGCGTTTATATAGCTATGCGCGCGGAGCAAGGGGACAAAGGATCATCGGGAACGCACGCGATGGGGGCGTTTGGGGGTCTCAGAGGAAAAACAGAATCCCCACCTCAAAGGCACAGGTCGTTGTCATTTTGCCACTCGGCCCGCTTGACTCGTGGAACGATCTTGAATACTGCCAGTCCTGGGCCCACATTGATGGGTCGTTACATATATTCAAGCGCCTCGGAGCTGCGTCCCGCGGAGTACATGTGCTTGTCCCTGATGCCTGGCTGAGAGAGCTGGACAACGTTCATATCAGAGGAAAGGGGCCATTGGCGCCGCTCAAGTGTGCTGCTGCAAGCTTATATAGGGGCGTGTTCAGTGAGTGTCGTCACAAATGGGCTTTGGTCGAGCCTGTCACAAAATCAGAAACCCTTTTTCGGTGATGTCTGAGTGATGGATGCAGCTGCTCGACAGATCAGAGCACACCCCCGGACATCCGGTACTTCGGTCCTAGGCCTCCGCCATCATATCAATTAAAATTTCAGCGATCGGAAGTGAGTAGCTCAAAGTCAGGGTTGCATCATAAAAATTTCTGTCAGCTTTCATGACCGATATGTCTCTCATCAACGATACGAGGCCCAGTATCTTAGCCTAATAACAGCGGCATCCCCATCTCCAGCATCACCTCGCTCCACCCACACGCCTCCTCATCCCTTCCCTCATCTACCCTTTTCCAGACCTCCTCGATGACTCGTAACGTTCCCTCTGCTTCAAAGCAGCATTGATACTGGAACGTCTTGAACAGTTCTCGAGCGCTGGAACGCAGAGTCGGGTCGAGTAAGACGGAAGATGCGACCATCATGGGCTGTGCAGATCAGCGCATTGTCCATTTGATCTCTGTGTTCGCACGCCGAGTCGAGCTCCTGATATCTTGACCCCTCCTCACGCCCTCTTACGTCCATCCATCCTCTCCTTCAGACCCCCGTAAATAAAGAGAGGGTCCCTGTACTCACCCACATCATGAACTCAGCCTTATCGCCCGCTTCCCTCCCTAACCTGATAGCCTCCCTCGCACTCTCCTGCACCCGCTCGTCTTCCCTCCCCCTCCCCTCCAGATCCCGCAAGAGCAGTATCATACATGCATGCCAATACGCCATGCTCCCAGTATAGGTTCGCGCGTCGATATGACCCGCCAGCCCGGGAAGTATGCTTGCACGCCAGGCCTGAAGGTCGAGCAGGACCTTTTGGCCCGATTCGGCGGTCTGTGGCGGGAGCGGTTTTGGGGCGGACGAAGATGAAGGGGAGAGGAGGTAGTATTCGTTCGTCCGATCTCGAGCGGCTCGGCCGATGTATATGGCAGTGCTGAGGGCGAGATGGAAGATTGTGCGATGGACCCCAAAGGACGCTTCGATGGTCTCGGCCTGGATATGAGCCATAGCCCCAATTACAGAAAGATTTGGCGTACCATGTTATCCTCAATGGCAAGTTCACCGAGGCGGTCAAACCAGCTCAGATCGCCCAGCATGAGGAGCGGGACATCCCGCCTGATATGTGCCGCTACAGAATCAGTCTATGCTTTATGGTATATTAAGCAGTCTTGGGACTTACACATGAGCTCCAAGAACGCAATGCCCTCGACCAGATACTTGCGGAGTGAACTCGGGGTCTCCGGCGCCGACTTGTTTCGACCAAAAAGCATCACCGCGAGACCGCCCCGACGGATGACACTGTCTCGTACCATACGGTAGATCTCCCGCCATTCGATGCGAGCTGAAAGCACCTGAATCATCAGCGGAGAAGCCTTCTCCATAGCGGGTAAAGACTTACATCGGCAATAAGGAGCATACTGGTTGCCCCCAGAAATGTATCCGACAGGAACTCCGCTTCGGAGCGGAGAGCTTGCCGGAGTAGACGGACTGTATGCGCTCGGTATCGTTCAGAAAGGACCCGCCATTGCGATCCATCCCCAGGGGAGACGGGATCTCGGTGATCAAGGCTGATGTGTCAGCTGCGCTCGCTACCGTGCCACTGGACTTACTAGGATAGGTGAGCAGCACCTGTGCTGAGCATGGCGTACTTGACAGCCTCGGCGCAAATGGGCGAGTCGCCGCTCGGAAATAAGAAAAGAGGAGCGATATGCTGGACCCAGGGGTTGAACTCTTCGCGGGTGACGCAAATGGAGAAGGAATAGGTGACGCAGTGATGAAACTGAGAGTCAGCACGAGTCGCGCGTGAGATCCTCCCTCCTCCGCCTCTTATGTGCCTGCATCCTACCCAATGCCCACACGTTCATTGTAAGCTGAAGAGAAAAGACTCACGCATCGTAGATCGTCAGGATCCGGAAAGACGGGCCGTAAAAAGTCTGGCGGCTCGATAGGTTCACGATAGTAAGACCCCATCTGCGTCTGGCGGAAGAACGTCATGAGCTCATCGATTGTGAAGAGAGGAGGTACCATGAGCTCCTCAGTGTTGAGAGGTGCGAGTCGAGACGAGAATCCGATCAGAGTGGGATCGAGGTCCAGCCCATCGTGTCTTAGCGACCGCGGATCCGCGTCGAGGTGGGCTAGCGAGAGAGGTACCCGGGGGCTCTCGAGGCGGTCTGACGATATGGGCGTTGCTCCGAGCGACTGGAGCTGCTCCGGAAGGATCTGAGGGGAGCTTGGCCCAGATGTCTTCTTGTGCCGGCTCGCGAGTGCCGCAGATACGGCCTCGGCGTCGAAGCGCTTCTTCTCAGGATAGACGCACTAAGCGCTGAGCTCGATTTCACGAAGGTCATATCAGAAAGGGCGAGCATACCTCCGCGTCGAACTTGGCGCATCTGTCACACCCTGGTCGGCCTATTTGGGTTAGCTAGTGCCCATACCGTCAAGCCTGTCGGACTCACCGTTGTCACACTTGACCCTTCTCCTCCTGCAGACCAAGCAGCCTTGTTTCGACCTGGTCTTCTTTTCCACCGTTGACGCTGCTGGTTCCGGCGCTTCGGGTACAAGCGCTCCCCATGGTGCGGGTGGTTGTTCTGCCATAGTGATTGTGAGGAGTAAAAGGAGAGAGATGGGTAATCTTATCTTGGCGAGTTTGGCATGAAAAGGCGAGTCACCCTCGACCTCTCCGTCGGAAGCGCGACCGGCCCGGTTATTTCCGGGTCACGAGGGAGGCTTAGATCGAGCGCTCAGCTCGTTATCTGCTCAATCGTCTGTCTCCATCGTGTCCTGCGATATGCATGTGGTGAGCTGCAGCAGACCTGTGCGATCCTAGAGTCCTGCTAGTCCGAAAGAATCAAGTCCACTTCCCATCCATCGGTCGGACTCTTCCGCGATTTGCCGACTGACGAAGGCCGGATCGCAGAAAGCCGAGACCTGTTGTTGCCTGTTCTATAAGTAGCCGGGCAGGTCGAGGAGGGTCATCCGCCCTTCTCTCCACCAACACGTGATGAGACCAGTTATATCTCGCAGAGCTGGCCAGCTGGCCCGAAGGCAGTATCATCTGCAGCCAGCAGCTGTGTCAGATCTGATCAGAAAGGTCAAGGCAAGTCCACCTATTCAGATCGGCAAGGGCGAAGTCTGACCATCAGGACATCGCGGTCGCAGCAACAGGATCCTCCCCAACGGACGACTCTGCCTTTACAGCTCACATCTACCCCTCACGCCAGAGTAACAAGCCTCATCTTGACGTCAGGCGCAATGATGGAGCCGCCCTCGAGCTGGATCTGGATATCGGATCGACCACATTACCGCTCGACGTGGAGGCGCGGCTACAGGAGCTCGGTATGGAGGGCTCCAAGCATGGGGCCGAGGTGCTGCAGGGACTGTGGGAGACATGGCGGACGAATGATCTGCTCCGACTGAAGGGAAAGCTGGGGTACAGCGACGGTGTTGTTACCTTGTACGTTTCAGCCTGGCTACAGCGTGCTTGAGCTGACAATGTAGGGAAGAGGTGTCTGGTCTAGCCGACCCATTTGCGACACATCGTCATCCCAATCTGGCCGAGCTGGTCGATAGCTCAGAAACACATCCTCTTGAAGCTCAAGCGGCCAAAGCTGGCTTGTTCTACCACAAATCTCGGCGGGGAGGCAACATCGGATGCTACGGCTACGGCGCGGGATCAGCCATGTCCACGATGGACGTTCTGGCTGTGGTGGGCGGGAAGCCGACCAACTTTCTGGACGGAGGAGGCGGAGCGACCGAGGCGAATGTCCGGGCAGCGCTGGATGTGCTCATGAATGATCCGGATGTGGAGGTGGTGTTTGTGAATACTTTCGGCGGGTTGACCAAAACAGTGAGTCGAGATCGAAGCTCCGAGAGCAGTAGCTGATGGCGCAGGAACTGATTGCGGACGGTATTGTGCGTTTTCTGAGGGAACGGAAAGAGGCGGGCAAGGCGACTCCACCATTCGTCATCCGGTTGAGAGGGACAGGTGAGAATGAAGCGAGGGAGATCGTAAGTCGACCTACACACGATCACACGGGTAGATCTGACATCCAGATCAACGGTGCAACAGATCTCGACAACATCCAATTCATCCCCGATCTCAAGGCTGCCGCGACCGAAGCTACCCGCCTCGCTTCAAAATCCTCCATACTAGCTGCCCTGACAACAACTACCGCTTCTCAGCCGCTTGCTACGCTTTCTCCAGTCGTCTTCAGCCAAGACGGACAATATGAGAGAACGGCGGGGAACATCATGGTGAAAGAGGGGGCTAAGGTGCTGATTATGGGCACTGGCAAAGCTGTGAGTACCACTAGCGTGCCTATGGCGGGGCTGATCCGCAGTCTCAATTCCACAACTCCATCGCCCAAAAGTTCGGTACAAACATACTCGGCGCCACCTCACCCAACAAGTCGGGCCAGACCTTCCTCGGCAAACCGGTCTTCCCTTCCCTCCGCGAGGCCCAATCAGAGCTCAAGCCAGATGTCGTCTCGGTGTTCGTACCTGCCAAGCTCGCGGCTGACGCTGTAATCGAGTGTATCGAGGCGGAAGTGCCGCTGATTGTGGCGTATGCGGAAGGTGTACCGACCCAGGATCAGCTGCGGGTAAATCTGTCCGTCTTGAGGTGGATGCTAGGGCTGATTAGTCAGATTCAGTCTGTTCTGCGCAGCCAGGGCAAGTCTAGGCTTATCGGCGCCAACTGTCCCGGTATGATCATCCCGCACGCCAAGGTCAAGCTGGGCATCCAACCATTAGCGGTCCACTCGCCTGGATGCGTCGGTAGGTTCTACGCCCCCCATCCTCCCCAGGTCAAGCTAATGAGCAGGTCTCGCATCTCGGTCCGGTACCATCTCTTACGAGCTCGCCGCCCAAACAACCGCCCTCGGCCTCGGCCAATCGATCGTGTTCGGTCTCGGCGGTGACCCCTTCCCCGGTACCCGCACACACGAGGCCCTCTCGCTCATGCTCGCCGACCCGCACTCCAAGGTCATCTGCGTGATAGGCGAGGTCGGTGGTCAGATGGAGGAGGAGGTGGCGGAGGTGTATAAGAAGTATCTCGCCTCACTGGCGTCAGGCGAACAGGCCAAGCCGGTCGTCGGTTTCGTAGCGGGTCTCAATACGGAGAGGGGGTTGATGTATGGTCACGCAGGGGCGGTGTGGTGGGATGAGACAGAGACAGCGAGGAGTAAGAAGCAGTGCTGGGCAGATGCGGGGATCAGGGTGGTCGAGACCCTTGGGGAGGTGGGTGGGGTCCTCATGGAGGAGGCGAAGCGTGTCGGCGCAGCATGACTTTCTATTGCTCCTGGGTCATTGTATGTCTCTTTGGCCATTCCTACCTTCTCGTCGGCGTGGTGAAGACTGGACACAGTGTGCATGCAGCCCTATGCAGACATGGTATCGCCAGCTGTAATCGCCCCTCGCGCCACCTCTACGATCACCCGGAAATGGCTTGAGATCCATGACGTAAATCCGGCCGGATTCGGTTTAATGACGTTCTCTTTCCGGTTTCAGCTTTTTCCACCGGTGCCTGACGATCACTCCCCTCTCTCTGCGAATCAATCAAGGACAACATGCACCTCGGCTCCCCATTGACCTCTTTCCTATTCTCACTCAGCTGTCTCACTGCCCGAAGCCACCTTATCAGCTTGGCGGGTCTCAATAATCACGATCCCGAGCTTCATCATCCTCGTGTATCGCTCAAATGATCTCGCTTGCGCCTGCTTCCCACGCGTCCCTCGGCCCGAAGAGTATGCCGCCAGCCTCGTCCACTCATCCTGCAGACGCCGAGACGCAGGCATGGAACCTGCTCGACGCGCTAGACTGGCCTCGTAGACCTCTGGGATCGATACCTAAGCTCAAACCGCTCGAGATTAGTATCGGCGACGCGATCTCAACGACCAGTCCTGACTGGCTGCAAGGCTCGACATTCAAATCGTGGGGTGCGAACGAGAGTGCAAAGTCGGCGCCATGGGAGGATCTCGTCATTCCACATTTTCCAGATCTCAACTCGAGAGACGGAGAGCAGCGGACTAGTGGTAAGTTAAGCTTCTACCAGGGAAGAGGTTGAGCTGATAGAGCAGAACCGATATCCGTGGTCGAGCCAAAGAAGGACCAGGAGGTGCTTGACCTCGTGACACGGGATAGGCTGCGCGAACTTCTAGATGCACCGGCAGGTCTCCTATTCCCAACATCGAGGCGAGGCTGACTAGTTAGATGGGTATGGTACGGTTCGCGGAATGGCTTCGGGAGGAAGGGCAGCCCGGATCGACGGAGCTCTTACAGTATTACAAGGACGTCCGCTCTCAAGCGGTTCTCATGCAGGAAGTCAAGGTGAGCTCCCAGCATGGGGAGTGTCGGGCACTTCTAACTTTCAGGCTATCAGTCAAGGACTGCACACCACCTACTTTTCAGACCTGGCCGGGAACGCCTCATTCCGCAAGTGAGCTCGCCTTCTCTGCTCCTCCCTGCCAGTGTAAAGGCTGACGGAAAGCTTTTCGACAAGTCCAGCGCAGTGTCTTCCTGCATTGCAATCAGCTGTCCTCGCCATGAGCTCCGCGGAGGACGAAGTCCTAGACAGACTATACGCAAGGGAGTTTAAGCGTTTCATATCGGGCAAGATTGTGAGTGTTCGCTGTGGCCGCGAGCCGTACGTTGCTGACAAGCAGACTGAGCAAGCAAGCGCATGCTTGGGATCGTTTACAGATACGGTAGGCCGTGGAGATCTGGGCGAGATATACTGTACGTCCGCTCTCTGTTCAGCTTTATTGGTCAGAGACTGACGGATAGGTCTCGCTGACCCGCGACAATATGATACACCTGTGAGTGCATGTGTCTATAGTGTAAGCTATAAACGCTGACCATACAGCTCGTTTACGTCTCTGATGGCTTCTGCGAGCTTTCAGAGTACCCCAGAAATCGCTTGGTAGGGCGCAACTGTCGGTTCCTTCAAGGGCCCGGAACAGATCCCGATGCTGTGCGAGTGTTAAGATGTGAGTACATTTCTGTGTCCCGAGCTGATCCTCAGATGCTCTGCGAGAGGGTAAAGAACATACCTCATTGTTGCTCAATTACACTCGTACTGGCAAGCCCTTCTGGAACCGTATGTGCACTCATCGCATCTCGTGAAGATAGTAATCTTGCTGACACCCAGTCCTGACAATGGTTTGTATCTATGCCCACATTGCCTTCGATTAGATTGCAGCTGACCAGCAGATCCCACTGCGTAATGCAAAGGGCAAGATCGACTTTTACTTAGGCGCACAGATCAATGTAGGTATCCCGCTTTGCTCGAGTGATATAGCTGACAAGCAGGTCACTCGCGCACTCACCTCAAAGAAGACGTTCGACGCCCTGACCGGGATGGCGGAGAAGGTCCAGCGGCGGACAGACCCGAGGACGGTCAAAATCGAGTTTAGCGAGGCCGTCTTACTGGCCGTGAGTATAATCCCTTCCGGACGTTTAGATCACACTAACGAATCAGGCCAAGGGACAGCCTAATCCTCAAGCGATCTCGGAACCATCTACCCCCGCAAGCTCGCTGAACGGGTCAAGAATGAAATCGTCAAGCGGGCTACCGTCGCATGAGACTGTGTCATCACACTTTAGTGAGGAGCTAGAGGACGCGGGAAAGCCGCATCGCTGGTACAAAGACTTCATGGTTCGGAGGCCGAGTGGCGGTAGCATCTTTAAGAGCGAATCGTGAGTTTTGCAAATCACACACCGGATGCGTTCCAAGCTGATATAAACAAGGACCGATAGTGCCCTGTCATCGGCCGGTACACCGATCGTCCAGGACGTCGAAGCGTCAGTAAAGGAACACATGGCCAACTTTGCTTCAGTGTACTCCAAGATCATCGTCTTCGTGAATACCATCAGTGCAAGTTAGTCCTTAGCTGACAGCTCAGCGAGCCCGTGATCGGCGCATCACTCATATCACCCCCGCCTTACTTGCTTTCCTGGGTAAGTCGATACTAGCTTAGTGTCGATTTCAAGCTGACGTTAAGGCTATCCTGTCAAGACACCCAAAGACCGCAACGCCTCCCCACTCATCGGGACCGAGTGAGTCTCCGGATGACGCCCATTGGGAAATCAGCTGACCTTCAGCGTTCTGAACCTGCTCGCAAGCTCTTCAGCAGCCGAAATCGCCGTCACCCGCCAGATCGTTGCCAAGTCTATAAACGAATCACTGCCACACTCCTTCTTTACCGGTCTAGCGTCGTATAGTCACAAGCGCAAAAAGCGGAATGACGACGAGCAGGTGGAATTGACAGAGGCGGGCAAGCCGTTCGCCAGGGGTCTGCTGCATCTGACGCCGGTGAAGGATGTCAATGTGAGTGCGAGATCATCGCTCTTCCTTTAGATTGTCAGAGCTGGGCTGATGGGCGCAGGATGTCGTTGTCAGCTACGTTCTTCTCGTTGGGTGATTCAGATGGGATCAGTGTTGTCAGAGGTCTCATTCGCGGAGCTTGTTGTACCGGTGTATCTTTACTAGTACTGTACTTCAAGCTAGCCTGGCGTCGAGCTGCTCGGATCGAACGCTCACGCGCCAAATGAGCTATTGATGATCCAGCGGCAGATCGTCCGCGACAAAGACAGTCTTATTGATCTTGCCCTGATCAAACAGCGCGTAGTACTGGATAGTCAGCTTCATATGCTTGCTCAAGGGTCATTGAGCTCACCTCGGGAGCCTGGTCGAACCTGACTCGGTACTCGATGAAACTCTCAAACAGCTCGCGATTCGCCTCGAGCACCTTGAGCGCACCAGGGAAGAACCGGCGTACAGAGCATCTTCCGAATTGGAGCTTGACACTGTCTGTCAGCATCTCCTCTGCTCGCACTAGAAGTTGACTCACTTCTTGCTGTACAGGTACTCTCCTGACAGCGTCAAGGGCTTGATGTGCATCCCGATTGAGCTGACTGCGCCAAACGGCCGGACCAAGTCCATGCTGGTCTTCAGTGCCGCCTCGTTCCCTACCAGCTCAAGCGCAGCGTCGGCGCCTCTTCCGTCTGTCGCTTGAAGGATGGCCGGGTGGAGCTCATCGAGGGGGAGAGCGATTGCGCCGTGTTTCTCAGCGAGAGCGCGCCTGGCGGGGGAGGGGTCGGTGGCGTAGACGGTCTTGAACATGAGCTTGGCGGAGGAGATGCAGCAAAGACCGACCTGCATAGTCAGTATTCACTACACCCTACAGAGCGCCTGGCCAGAGGGGAAGACAGGTACTCACTGGTCCGCAGCCGATGACTACCGCTACCCCATCCATTGGGCTCGTCATCTCCCGGTCGTCATCCTCATCCAGTAGTCGCCTTCCATGATATGCACAGCTGTAACCAGTCGGAAGAATGTCGCAAAGGAGCAGCATAAGATGCTCAGGCACTCCCGGAGGGATGGTGAAGAGAGCAGCATCGGCCAGGGGTTGACGGACGTACTCGGCCTGGGCGCCGTTGAGGGCGGGGCTACCGAAAGGTTGAGCCTGTGCGCAGCGGGCGGTGTAGCCCTTTGAGCAGTACCAGCAGTCACCTGAGAGATCAGCTTGACCAAAATGCAGGATGAATCAGGACATACCGCAGTTGGAAGCGAAAGGGGAAGCGACGATATCCCCCACCTTGAACTTCTTGACCGCCGATCCGACCTCATACACCTCGCTGACGACTTCATGTCCTATTGTGAAGCCCACTCCTGGATCGGTCTGACGATAGCTATGCAGGTCAGAGCCTGTATTGTCAGCCTCTGCCCAGAGTAGGTCATGTGTGAAGATGGTAGTGAGGCCGCGAGGACTTACCGCACAGTCCAGACAGGCGCGTCTTGAGGATGACATCCGTATCTGCCTTGATCGTCGGCATGGGCACATCATGGACCGCCACGTCTCTCACGCCCTGGATGACTACGCCCTTCATTGTGAAGATGCTGATGATAGAGGTAGAAGGAGAAAGCGCAAGAAGCGGTACGTTAGGGGGAGCGGGATGTCGTTCCGGCTTGTGCCGGGAGCCGGGCGCCAGGAGCCATCCCCATATGCCTCGAGAGACCCAGAGACCATGGCAGCGACTGATGGCACAAAGCGTAGAGAGGGTCTGGCTTGCATTGCTGTCTACTCATCCACAAATCTTCAATTAATATGCTACAAAGACAGCTGTCCATGTCCTCCCGCCCACCGCCCGCACTGCCCCCGCCAAGACCGCTCCCCCACCTTCCCCACTCCACCTCGACAGCCTCATCATCTCTTCTCCACCTCTACCGCGTACACATGCCTCTCCCCACCCATGTTCGACCGGTAGATCACCCACTTCCCATTCGGCGAGAACATCGCGTTCGGCTCATACCGATAGTCCTGCCCCGCCAGATCCACCAAACGCCTACTCTCCAGATACCCCGCCTTGACCAGCTGATCCGCATTCTTCGCCTTGATCCCCGCCACGTCTGGCACCGCACGCGGCGTGAAGAGGTACAGCCACGTTGCGCCTTTGGTATGGGAGACCATGGTATCGTCCGATCCGTCCCCGCAAAAGAGGTCGGCCGTGGGACTAGAGTTGAAGTGGACGGACCATTCTTCGGGCTTGAGGTGATACCGCCTCCGCTCGCCCGTGATGATATTGTACGATGCGAGCCAAAAGACGAGTCCGCGAGGAGTCTGGAGGTCGTAGTAGATTGTCCGCCCGTCATGCGACCACCATTCGTGCCCCGCTATCTCCATGTTCATCTCCCTCTCGTGCACCTTGACCGGGGCGGGCGGATGTTGGTCCAGGCGCAGTACCCACATCCGATCCACCTTGTGCCATGGCCCCTCGTGGCAGAACATCAGGGCGTGCGGGTCCGTGGGTGAGAAGAGGAGGTGGTTGAGCCAGTCCGTCGACGAGTAGACGTCCCGCCTGATCCCCGTCGCCGTATCCACCACGAATAGCTTCATGTGGATCCCCGCCTCCAGCCTTTCGTCCAGCCCCACCTCCTTGGCATCCGCATAGCACATATCCGTCCCATCTGGCCACTTCGCCCGAAAGTCCACCTGATCAAAGCGCGGATCCCGCGGCTGCGAGATCTGCAGGTTGGCGATCCGAGGGTGGTCCGGGGGCAGATCGATATCTACCCCAGCGAGCAGAGTCTCGTCCGCATTCAGCGCCTGGATATTTCCCTTCTCCACCTCACACACCACCCTGGATACGCCCGTATCAATGTCGACCGCGCAAATAGTCTTGGCAGTGTACCCCTGCGTCGCGTGCGCCTGCAGCGAGTAGTATGCCGTGCGGGTCTTCCGGCCGGTGAAGAGGAGCTTGAACGGTGTCGAGATGGATATGATGGGAGTGGTCTCGAATGTAGAAAGAGAGGTCTTTGAGATACAGGTAGGGGTGGAGACGATGAGATAGTCACCGGATGGAGTGAAGGAGGAGTAGTTGAAGTAGAGAGTAGACGTGCCGGGCTCGGTCGATAGGCGGCGGATGCGGTGTCCAGTGGACTTGTCGGTCCAGGCTGCAGGGAACATGGCAGTAGACTGGCAGGAGAGCGTAGATCGAGCAGCATCCCTTGCTGTGCGAGGTGAGTGTACAGGCTGATATATGAGAGAGCTGACGGAGCATGATCACACCGAGACCGACCAGGTCCGGGCCTCCGGGCCGGGTCCGGTGGATGTGTCGAAACTGCCCGAAGGGGCAATTTGGCCTGTTTCACCTGCCTCTTGCTGCTCGTTGGTGGTGAGCTGTAACAAACATAGCTTCATGCCTTCCAGTGCAATGCCTTAGGGAGAGGCTAAAGTACAGAGAATGATGCATCAACAACCCCCAACACAATATACCTCCGTTTCATTTGACCCCTTCAGTGACCAATGGCCAAGACCCCCTACGACCGCTCCGAATCCTGGATCCTCGCAGGCTCTGTCTCACCAGTCCGAGCCTTTTCAGCCTCGAGCGCCTTCTTTGCGTCCGTGACGTATGACCTGAACCTGGGGATATCAGCTTAGTGCCATACGCCGGGGGACAAAGGGAGACTCACCGCCAGGGCCGGACCTTCTTTCTGAACATCTCATCGAGCTCGGCTGGAGTTCGGCGCGATGTATCGGGAATGAGGAAGAAGGAGGCGACTACGAGAGGTGCAGAGATACCGCTGAAGAAGAAGGCGGTCTTGAGACCCCAGTTACTGGCTCGTCAGCTTAGATTCCTCACTGAGCTTTGACGATATATACGACTCACGCTCCGATGGGGTTTAGCATATAAGGCACCGTTGTGTTGAAGATCAAGCCCATGCACACCCCGCCAGCCGCAGCAATACCTCCCGTCTTTGCTCGAAGCCTACTCGATCCCGTCTCGGCGACATACGACCAACCGAGGTTACCGAGCAGAGTGGAACCGATACGCCACATGAGTGAGAAGAAGAGGGTAAGGGAATTGATAGCGCTGGATCGGTTGACCGGCAGGGACATGCAACCGACGACGAAGCACATGGTCCAGCAGCCGATGGCACCGCCCAAGAAGAGGTTGCGACGCCCGATAATGTCGATAAGGGACGCTTCGATCACCGTACAGGCGAGCGCTACCAGGCTGTTACTTAGCCCTGCTCATGCGCTCATGCACGATCAAACAGGTGAAGGGAAATGATAGAGTATCCGACTCACGCAAGAAGGAGGGAGAACCTGTAAAATCAGCCGAGCCCGATGATCGTCTCTCTACGCGCGTTTCAAGCCGCAACTTCGACCAAATTCGCCAAATCCGATCAAGTTGCGGCTTGAAACGCGTCCTCTGTCTTCCGGACTCACAGAAATGGATCTGCGAAGGATGCTATTTGAGCGAAGTAAGAGGAGTAGCTGGAGAGCTAGCGGGTCAGCTGGCTAGGAAAAGATCTGTGATGGATGAGGTGTAACATACCACAGCAAGACCGGCCAACTGCTGCAAAAATGCCGGCCAAAACGCAATAAGAGTACGGAACTGCTCGTCAGCTCTATCCGGATCCCCAGCTGCAGTACTCACTCCGTTGACACCAGTCAAGACCTCCTTGACGTTCGCCAGCTCCTGCAAGAACCCCTTGCCCTCCCCGAACATTTGCTTCTGGTACGCCGTCTCCTTTTCGACCGACCGCTTGATGATGTCGTAGTGATACTCGACGTCGTATCCCTCGATCCCGCCGTTGAGGAAGCGGATCACTTTGACGCCCTCCTCGTGCTTGCCTCGTGCAGCACACCAGTATGGGGATTCTGGGATGATGGCGTAGACGATGGCCATGATACCGATCATGGCAAATTCGGTGTAGATGGGCACCTTGAAGTTGAGAGGATCTCGATCGGAGGCGACTTTGAGCGCGATCGAGGCGCAGAGCTGGCCCAGACCGTAGAAGAAGGAGTAGCCAATGAGGAGGAAACTGGTCGTGAGCTCAAGCCATATTGGGTATCGTAATTACTCACCCTCGGATTCGAGCAGGGCATAGCTCAGCGATGTACATTCCAGTCAAGAATTGCACACTGCCGACACCATAGCCGCTGAACACTGAGGTGTCAGCTTGACCCTGGGACTTGGTACGAGCAGGGACCTCAAGATCAAGGTCCTAGGGGATTTCAAAACTATGGTTATCAAACGCACGCTTAGCCACCAGCCATGTTTTCCAATTGGTACCGAACGACTGCAAGCATACAGCGATGAGGAGAGTGCACCATAAGAGGTAGAAGCTGGCCTTGCGACCATAGCGGTCGGCGATGAAGTGCTGAGACAACATGGCAAAGCCTGATAGTCAGCGCTAGGTTCCGGTTCCGTGGTCAAATCACTGACCCTGTCCAGCGGACTGTATACCACCCCACGCAGCTATTTCATCAGCTCATGCTACCTTCAAAGTGGTCGGGTAGATCTCTCACCGATGTGGTCGGCCCTGAGGATGACATCCCCCGCCGCGTTCACACCTTCACCGTATTGTAGAACGAATCCACGGAATGCGATGATTGAGCCAGTGAGTGCGATCTGGTAGCCGCTGTCTTGTCAGCAGAAGCCATGTTGGACGACTTGATAGACTCACTCGGCAGCCGCAGAGACGGTGGCAAAGAGGCAGACCGCGGCGCATTTCCGAAACACCGACCAGGTCTTGCGGATCCCCATGTCTTCAAACGGAGACATCATGATAGTATCCTGAGGCAGCGCATCCGGATCCACCTTCTCGACCATGTCTACATCGTGCTTCTCGTCCAACCCTACCCCAGGTGAGTCGAGGGGTTGAGCCATGGCGGGGTGAAGTTCTTTCTCGGTTAGTACAGCCATCGTGAAGGCAGAAGTGAGGGGTGTTAGATCATGGCGGCGACCTTGGCCCATCCTTATACTCCACGGAGTGCCGTCTTGGATGCTACGACCCGGAGCGGACCCGGAGCAGCGACACGAAGGTAGAGATGGTCGGCACAATTGGACACAGCTATACCGAGCCTCGCCAATATCAGTTGCCGTAATCTCATCGGACCAAAGATATTCCTTCGGCTTTCGGCTTACGCCGAGTGTGGCGGAACTTTCCTCAGCTGCACAGCGCAAGCTCTTATCGGTCACTCTAATCTTATCTCACTCTGCATCAAGACTCAGCATGTCCCCGCCCAGCTTGCCTGCCTCGCGCGCACCATCTCCATCCCACTCAGGCAACCCAGCTAAGCGCAAGAAGCTCTCGACATCGTGCGATGCCTGCCAAAAGCGCAAATCCAGATGCGAGATGGTCACGGCCAACGGGTGCCATCGGTGTCGCACGCTAAACACCAAGTGCTCCCGAGCTGGAAAGGCGTCGGGGAATGGGGGAAGCGGAGAGGTGTTTGATGATTTTGGGACAGAAGCAGAAGGATCGGAGGGGGGTCCTGCAGATCGAGGCAGTGCGCTGGCAGAGATCCAGGGTCGGACGAGGCGGATAGAGGCGATGCTAGGGGGCCTGCTGGCCCAATCTGGAGGCTTTGGGCGGCCAGGGCCATCCCTCACCGAGGATCTCCCGGAGGTGTCATCCACCGGTCAGAGCACCCATCATGCTGCTAGTGCAACGGCCAACCGCGCTCTGATACTGAACCGCGGAAACAACCTGGCAGATCCGGTGTCGGCGGGGATCATAACGGCGGCTTTATGGGAGGCCGTCTACAGCAGGCAAGTTCCAATTCATTGTTATCAGCCAGAGATAGGCTGATGAAGAAGTTTCGTTGCCGACATACAGCACATCATCCCTCTGAGCTCGCTTCTCCACACGCTCCAGCCGTACGAACCCTTCCTCCGCACCTGCATCCTGGTATATCAGGCGAACGGCAGATCCATGGCTCAGCCGGGATACGATCACCTATTCCGTCTCCTACGCGACAGCTTAGATCGCCTCCCTGTTGTCCGCCCAACCCGTCAGATCGTACTCGGCCTCTTCATCCTCTCCCTTACGCCGTCGCTCCCCCACAGTGGGCGGACTTACGTGTCACCGGACCATTTTGGAGCTGCTAGCCGGGCTATGGATATGGCGAGGGTTGTTGGGCTGGAACAGGCAGAGGAGCGAGTCCTAAGGGAAGCGCCGGAGGATTGGGAGCGAGACTGGCTGAAGAGAGATATCGAAGGCATGAAGCTGGTGAGCTCATCTCTCGGTCTGGTCTACCTACCAAGCTGACAATGTAGTGGTATGCGATCATCCATCGCGTCAGATGGTGAGTCAGAGAAGCGTCAGGTGGCAAGCTGATAGATTTAGGGTGGAACTGCTCAACTCGCCTTTTCTCCACTCATCGCCGGTTACCCCTATACCGACACAAGCATACGCCCTGCAAGACCCTATGTTCGCCTATCTCTTTCTCGAGAACGATTTACTGGGACTGTTCGAGCTCGTATCCGTCCCTTTTCGACTGATGTGCACATCACGAATCTACGATCCGTCGCACGCACTCGACCTGATCCAAGCAGTCAACACATACACCGAGAGGGCGGTAACATGGGAGGGCCGGGTGATGAATAATCCGCTGCTAGGTGCGTCCTCACAATATTCACAGCTGACGTCCAGGCTCGTCAAAGCATCACCTCATCGTCACCCATCACCTCATCAACATCATATTCTACCTTCGCCTGTCAGACTGGCACAACCTCTCCAGCCCTCTCGGCCCGGATACCACTACCCAGTTCACTCGACTATTTGCCAGTCGTATTCTCACCTCGTCAGTCTCGGCCATCAATTCCCTGCTCGACCACCTTGCGGCTTCGCCATCATCCTCGCCGTCTCCCTTACTTCGCGTCTTACCGGCCTTCACATTCATGCTCGTCCTGCTGGCTTACAAGGCTGTCGTACAGTCCCGCAAACTCAAGGAGGCTACTCCTCCTCCCGGGGGAACGGGTCAAGACTCGACGGACGGGGAGATCATAGATCCGGGACGTCTCTCGCGCATACGGTCCGCTCTCATTCAGGCACACCGTCAGTACGTCCCCCTTGTGGCCATGATCGATGGGGAGGCGCCGCCTCGAGAGTGGGGCGAAGGACTTCGGGATCTCCAGGCGCAGCATGAGTTTGGTGGGTCGGATTGGCAAGAGTGGGAGAGATTGTTTGACTTTGACCTATATTCAGGGTCATTGGTCGGATGGGGGATGGCTTTCGATGGGGATGATATGGGTCTGAGGTTGGCGGAGTCGGAAGTGGGGGATATCTGACGCACATGTCATTCTAGGTATCGGTGGATCTCGTGTTTCACTGACCTATGCGCTAATGATGCCGGTCACAGCTCGCTCATTCATACCCATACCAAGATCGACTGTTCAGTACGCGGTGGATGTCAAAGGACTAAGAGGGAGTGGAGCAAGCCAGACTCATCTATAGACATGCATGTGTATACTTCGCTGGTATCTACTGATAATGGCGCTCAGGCGTTGTTGGTCCCTGGCTGTCGTCGTACCTTGTCCATCTCCACCGTGCCGCCCGGTCTGGACCATCGATCGACGGCGGATGGTAGTATCTTGCCCTCGAGACACCTGGGCGCCCAGACGACACAAAAGCCAATGATGAGGAGAAGCATCATCAGGGCGTCCAGGATGTAGAAGGCAGTCTCGCTCAGACCGAGGGCTGATTTCGCGCTGTGGACGAATCAGCTTGGGAAGGAGACTTTGACGATGGCCACTTACCCAGAGGTGTACTCTGCGACACGATAGATCGACCGTACCTCGGTTTATAAGCTCCAGCTTGACTGAGTGATGGGGCAACTCACGAAAAGGCACAAGCACGCCTCAAACATGACGTATATCAAGCTCGTGCACCGGTCGATCCACTTGTGTCCACCCACGTCCGCCCCTATTCCTCCCTGATCGAGATGGCGTTTCCGCAGCCGAGAAGCAAAGATGCTAAAGATGACCATGAAAGTCAGGAAAAAGACGAGCTGGACCCAGAGACCGCCAGTGACGACCTGATAGTCAGCGGTGTCGGTACAGGGCAAGGGATGACCCACCCATTTCCCTATCTCTACGAGATCGCCGAACGTGATCGTGAGCGCCGTTCCTGCGAGCTGCGCGAGTACCGTAATGATGTCCGCGGAGATGAAGATCCACTTGAGCGCGCGACCGCCGATGGGAAGGCAGTCTTCCGCTTCGAGTGCCTCGGCCAAATGGGGGAGTAGAACATATACTTGGGCGAGAAACGCGCACGGCGACAGGAGGAGGAACTGCTATTTCAGCCAGTACTCAGGCTTGACTCATGCACTCTGGTGATGCTCACGAAGGTCTCAAAGAGCCAGGACCAGGCATTGATCCCGGTTCTCCGAGAGAATCGGCACAGGTATCCGAAGGCCATGATGGTCGCGCCCCACCTGACCGGTCTCATATACTTGGCTCTAGGATGAGTCTTGAAGTGTCCTAAGAGCCATCAGCTTGTGTTCTCGTCATGGGCAGCATGACAACGATTGGCCACGCCGGAGGAGACCTAGAACTCGCGGTACCATAATCCTGCTGCGACGACAAGGTAGATGAGGAAGAAGACAATGGCGGCCGGGCCATTAGGATCGTACAAAGCGCTATAGCATATCAGCAAGTGACCACAGCAGAATGCCAAACAGGCAAACGGAGTGAAACGTACATCGAGTTTGAGATGTCATCGCCGTATTCTTGTGACATGTTGAGCCTCTGATGTGGATAAATGGGTTGACTTCGTAGCCTGATTGGAGTGATTCTGAAGACATCATGTTGGGCGAGGTGCAGTATATGTACGCTGTGACAAGCACAGGTCCGAAGCGGGCATAACGCAGGAAAAGCGGACTCCGACGGTGACCTGCGGACGCAGATGAGGGGTAACGTAAGTAAGTTCCGGCGCCGCCGCCGGGATCTGGTTTAAGGAATGCTGGGATTTGTACGTGCGCACGGCCATGCAGGTGGGCATCTGCGGGCGTTGGCGAGCTGATCAGTGGGGGAAGATAGTCAGTGAGCGCAGCTAAGACCTCTCCGCGCAGCATCTCGTTCCGGAGCGAAAGCGAACAAACTGCATCATCTGTCAAACCGTACCACATCACCCAAAATACAACTACATACACCCCCTCATCCTTTGAAAGCCCCAACGCCGCTGTCTCCGCTCTACCTCTGTGCCGCATCCGCGAGAAGCTGCCGTATAAGTCCCGCTGATACGTGAACACTCTCCTTCCCACTCTCGAGTGCGACAAGTAGTCCCCACACATTCTGTATCGCCGCCGAGTCATCCGGGACCGATCCGGTTGTCCCGCTCGAGTCTGACACCGCCGCGTGAGATGGCAGGTCCAAGCTTGGCTGGCCGAGCTGCCCGAAACCCCTCCAGTCGATAGGATTGACGTTGCTGAGCCAGCCAGTCATGAAGTCGCCCCCTTCCGGCAAGCCCATAGCTGGGTCACACGCCTCCCCGTGGTCCGTGCTCATCCCGCTACTCGTCCCCATCTGACTACCGAGCAGCGTGTCGAACCAGGTCTGATCCTGGTAGTCCTCGGGATCCGGCTCGGGATCTTGAGCTTGAGCGGATGGATCTATCCACTGAGGCGCGTAGGCGGCCGAGAGATCGCGCAGGCTGTGGTTCGTTCCAAGGATTTTGTTCAGCAAAGAGAGATCCTCGTTTGGCGAATGAGCAAGATTGAGCTCATGGGGGAAGAAGGGATTGGATGAGGATGAGGCGATGGTGAGAGGAGAGTCGGTCGGTGGGTCGTCAGTGAGGGGAGTTGTATCCGGTTGAGTAGGATCTGACGCTCAGCTCGCTCTGATGCTGGACATACCTGGCCGTATACTGCGAAAGCGCCTAAAGCGATTCCGAACGGCAATACCATTCCGCGTCGCAAAGGAGTGTGATATCTTGGTCCACTTCGGTCCATGCTCTTTGAATAGACGCAAAAGAAGCGCGTCCTCCTCGGGCGTCCAGGGCGCGTCGAGGACAAGATCGGGTGACAGTACGTCTCGCCACCGCTTCGCGACCTGTTCGTCGGTACGTCCAGGTACTCGCAAAGCTGATTTTCAGCTGGATGTCGCATATCGGTGACTAGTTGCTGCTCACCCATCTCCTTCCACTGCGCTCCAACTTCCAGAAACGCCTTGCGCAAAGCCTCATCCTCGTCCTGCGTCCACCGCCCCTTCTTCAGACCCGGATCAAGTGTGTAGAACCATCGCTTCCGGCAGTCCTTCTTGGTCAGCGAGTGTCCACATGGGTATGAACGACCTACTTTATTTGTGCGACCGCCGTGTATGGACACATGCCGACTGATCGCGGACCAGGCCGAGCCTGCACCTGTGCGGCTACCGTATAGCCGGATGGCTTCTTTGAGCGCGTCGTCTTCTGCGGCGGTCCAGAGACGCCGCTTGGCTGGTTCAGAGGGGCCAGCACCTGGACTGGAAGCAGAGAGCACCGGTAGCATTGCGCTTGAGGTCTCCATGAACGCTAGGTAGTGGGTAGAGAAGTGTGATTACAAAAGCTGCTGCTATTTGGCTGAGACCCCAAACTTAAAGGCAAAATCGCATCACGGCATGGAAGAGCTTCATGGCTACAGACGGCTAAAATTACTACTCCGCCAAAGGTCCATCGATAATGCACTTGATCACGGTCTGCCAAGTCAGCGCTGATGTCAGCCGCGAAGCGATAAGGTCTACCTTGCCATCGACATCCCTGCCCAACTTTGTCGCCTCAAAGGCGGCCCCACTGTCTAGGAAAGCATATCGTTGCGTGATCAAGGGCTTGACGTCCACCAGTCCCCGCTCGACCAGCGAAATCGCAAGTTGGTATGCGCCAGGGCCGTACCGGAATGATCCCAATATCTGGAGCTCCCGACTGATGATGTGGAAGAGAGGGACGGGGACAGACGACTGAGCGCCCATGCCGACCTGAACATATCGTCCGCTGATTGTCAGCTCAATGGCGATTGTCTACTCACCCAGGAGACAATGCCAGACAGCCCATGTGCACGCACGATGGTGCGCCAGATGCCTCGATAGCGAGCTGAATACCTCCTGGGCCGACCTCCGGTACGGCGAGTTTCTTGCTGAGCTCGTCTACCGCTCGGGCAGCGTACGCCTCGAGTCCCTCATCGGCGAGCTTGGCGGGCTAGAGTCAGCTCGTGGCGCCACGATGCGCTTACAGGCAGAAAAACGTCGGTCGCAGCATATCCCAGCGCAAAGTCTAGCTTCTCCTGCATGATATCCACCGCAATCACACGCCGCGCCCCCAGCGCCTTGGCTACAGCCATACAAAGCAGCCCGATCGGTCCAGCGCCGAAGACAATAACCACCTCGTTTGTCGAGCACCTGCCCAAAGTCTTGACGCTATGCACGCCGACAGATAGTGGCTCCATCATGGCACCGTCTTCAAAGCTGACATTGTCAGGAAGTGGGTGGAGAAGGTGCGAGGGAAGGGCGTAGTATCTGGCGAGGGTGCCGAGGGTACTGGGCGGGGTCGCGGCAAAGCTCATGGCTGGACAAAGCTAGAATCAGCCCCGCGCTGCGAGGGACTCACCTCATACCTGCCCTCCCGGCAAAGATCGCAAGTCCCACATCCTACTCCAGGCTCCATGGCCACTCGATCACCTGTTTTCAGACCCTTAACCGCCGCGCCCACCTGCACCACTGTTCCCGCAGACTCGTGCCCCAGACACATTGGCTCCTCCATTACATAGTGGCCGATACGAGCGTGCTTCAAGTAGTGGACGTCCGAGCCGCAGATGCCAGTTTTTGTGACTGCGACAAGCGCTTCGTGGGCGCTGACGCTTGGCGTCGGTCTCTGATGGTCAGTTGGGCCTATACTTGGGACTTACATCCTCTATTCGAAGGTCACCTATGCCGTGCAGGACGAGGCTGGGATTGTTGTTGCTTAGCATCTTGAGGTCGAGTAGCGGATGTAGACGCCTGACGACCGCTGTCAGTCATATGAGCGGTCATTGAGTGCCGAGTAGACTGCAGGGACCCCCGAGTCAGTGGCGAAACAACGATCAGCATCTCGATCCAGAAAGACCAGCACTGGAGTACTGGGATCCCGAGTCACGACAGCCGTCACGACTAAAGCACCAGCGACCTGGCACGAGCATGTACTGAGCTGCACCTTGATCGAACAAGTGAACGCCAAGGGTGGCAGATGCCACATAGCTCATACCACCCCGAGTCACCCCGAGTCAGCGGCTCTGGGGGGTTCCGGGGATCGCGGAGGCCCCATATAGAACCCCTTTGGTGCGTGCCTGGTTATGCCGTAATAGATACCCTCGCTTAGAAGGCGATTACGTACAGCACATGCTCATGCACGCCGTCTTCCCCGCCCCGAGTCATCTAAAATCTTCTGTGCCCATTCATCGCCGAAGATGTGGGATAGTGTGCCGCAGTCAGCAGTACTCAACCGTATAGGTGTGCTCCGCATGGTGCCCCTTCGTCGATCTTCGCCCATCGAACCCCGAGTCACCGGCGGTACTGGCGATCCAGCTGTGAGGGAGATCTTGGCGATCCTCATATATAGCTGCTAATGAAGAGCTCCTCCTGCTCATCCCTCTCTTCTGACTAGTTGCAAACTTCTTCCCACTCATTCATTATGTCCGACAAACACCTAGCCACCGAAGCCGATGTCAAGAATGACCACCTGGCCACCCACCATGAAGACCTCGAGTACGGCGATGCCGGGCCTCGCGTTCGCAACCCCCTCCGCGGTATCCCCAAGCACGAGCTCTACCAAGGCGTCGAAGCATTCACGCAGGAGCACAATCTTCAGGAGTATACTGAGGTCTTCAAGCGCGGCGCCTTGGTCGCACAGAAGCCGCTCGGATACAACAGTCTCTCCGAGCTCTCATCGGAGGAGAAGGAGGCGCTCCAGTACGAGCAGGACCACAAGTGGAGCGGTCCTTGGCCTCTCTACTTTACGGGTAGGTTGTCTCGGTCATCAGTCAGGTCGAGCTGATATCCAGTCTTTGTCTGCGCCATCGGTGCTGCGTGCCAGGGATGGGACCAGACCGGGTCGAACGGAGCTAGTGAGTACTTGCTCTACCCAGCGTGAGCTTCGCTGACGACCAGACTTGTCCTTCCCTGCCGAGTTCGGTATCGCTACGCCCTTTGACCAGCCCGGCGGTGCCAACGATGAGTGGAAAGTTGGATTCGTCAACTCTGCTCCCTACATCTCGGCCGCTCTCGTCGGTGTCTGGCGTAAGCTCATCCCTCCTTACCTGACTTGAGGGTACTTGCTGACCTGCCAGTCTCTGACCCGCTCAACAACTACTTTGGCCGCCGAGGAGAAATCTTCATCACTGCTCTTGTCCTGATCGTCACTCCCATCGCTTCCGGTTTCACCCAATCTTGGCAGGCCCTCCTCGCTGTCCGTCTTGTCCTTGGTCTGGCTCTTGGTGCCAAGGGTGAGTCTATCAGATCTTCTTCGTAACTCAGGCTGACCAGTCAGCTGCGACTGTGCCCATGTACGCCGCCGAGCTCGCCCCTGCGCGTATCCGTGGTGCTCTCGTCATGGGATGGCAGCTGTAAGTCATGCCATCTCTTATCTCGGTGTGTACTGACTCTGCAGCTGGACCGCCTTCGGTATTTTCATCGGATTCTGCGCCAACGCTGTGGTCAAGGTGAGACATCCTCAAGGGCTACTGTGACAAGACAAGTGGCAAAGCTGATCTACAGGACGCGGGCAGAATCACCTGGCGTCTCCAGCTCGGCTCCGCCTTCATCCCCGCGGTCCCCCTCGCCATCCTCATCTACATGTGTCCCGAGTCGCCTCGTTGGTACATGAAAAAGGGGCGCCTCACAGATGCCTGGGCATCGATGCGCAAGATCCGCCACCACGAGATCCAGGCGGCTCGTGACCTGTACTACGCCTACGTCCAGTTCGTCGAGGAGTCGCAGACAGTCCAGGGCACCACCTACGTCTCTCGCTTCACCGAGCTCTTCACTATCCCTCGGTGCCGCCGCGCCACTATTGCCTCTTCTGCGGTCATGCTCGCCCAGCAGCTTTGCGGTATCAACATTATGGCTTTCTACAGGTACGTCAATTGTCTGTAGCATGGTGGCAAACCCTGACAATCAGTTCCACAATCTTCGTTGAGGGCGGCTACACTCCCACTCAGGCGCTCTACGCATCTATTGGTTAGTCTTCTTCACCCCTCTCTCCTCGTACTGCAGCTGACTTTCAGGTTTCGGCGCCGTCAACTTCCTCTTTGCCTTCCCGGCCGTCTTCACCATCGACACCTTTGGCCGGCGCAGTCTTCTTCTCCTTACTTTCCGTAAGTATCTGCGCTGCCCCACCTCTTCGGCATGGCTGATCATCAGCCAACATGTGCTGGACCTTGCTCGCCGGCGGCATGTGCTTCTTTATCCAGGATGCCAGCCTCCGTACCACCCTCGTCGCTCTTTTCGTCTACATCTTCACCGCCTTCTACTCTTTCGGAGAGGGTCCTGTCCCGTAAGCTGTTCACCTCTCGCCCATGAGAATACGCTGACCTCACAGCAACATGTACGCCGCTGAGGTCTTCCCTCTTGCTCAGCGTGAACAAGGTGTCGCATGGGCTATCGCAGTCACCAACTTCTTCTCCTCCGTCCTCGCCCTCACCTTCCCTCGTCTCCTCCGAGCCTTCACCGCTCCCGGCGCGTTCGGCTTCTACGCCTTCCTCAACGCCGTCGCCTTTGTCATGCTCTTCTTGGTCTTCCCCGAGGTGAGTTTCCTGCCTGAATAACGGGGGTGTTGTGCTGATCCTCCAGACCAAGCAGCTTACGCTCGAGGAGCTGGACTCGGTCTTCTCGGTGCCGGTGCCCGTATTCGCCAAGTACCAGACAACCAAGGTGCTCCCCTGGTGGTTCAAGCGCTACGTCTTCCGCAATAAGTCGGCGGTCTGCCCCCCTCTCTACCACAACGCAAGCGATGAGTAGGCGTCTGGAAGCCGTCGCCGAGATCACCTGGTTTCATGGGTTTGTTACGGAGACAGATAGTATAGTATTATGGGTCGTTGTTGGGCATGTATCAATGATGATCTACATGGAAGGTCGCCCTGCTTTCAGCTCACCCTTGACACTCACTTGATCTGAGTGGTAATCGTCCGAGCAACAAGCATTTAGCTGCCAGGCTTTTACGCATGATGGCTGGCCCGTCTGCCTGTTACCTACATCATGCGCCTCGTACGGTAAAACTCCTTGTAGGTCGCACAATGGCCGTCACGGTGAGCATGCAATGCAGTCAAACACAATCGTACGACAAGGGGCCTGCGAGAAAGGTGGACACCTGAAAGGATATCGTAGACTGGAGGGTAGACTCATGCTCGTGCTGGATCTCGAAGGATCTGCTTGATCTGCACAGCACGTCAAAGGCGAGTTGACGGAGGCGTGAGAGTCAAAGGGGTGGTCAATCTCATCAGGAGCGCCTCGATGCATTAGCTGTAGCTGTAGGTGTCCAGCATGAGGTGAGCTTCTGAGCTGTACGTGGCGACCCCTTGCTGCTTTCGTCCAGGTGTGGCATGTCAAAAGTCAAAGGAATGTCGCGACACTTGTCATCGTAGCCTTCACAGCCACACGCTGCTTTACAGATCGCTCGCCGTTCCTGCCGAGCTTTCCGTTGTTCCTTCATCGGTCCTCCCTGTTCAGACACGTATCACCAGCGCTGAATTACAGCCACATTGTCTGACGGCAAAGGAAGAGCTAGATTGAGTGATGCCCCTCGCGGCGTGACCTGCTGGGCGTGATCTCGAAAGCTGTGCTGTGTATGCGAAAGGATCGTGAGGCCGGGGTCAAGAATCAAAGGACAGGTGAGGTGGAACATGTACTGACCTGGGTGGCCACCCTCCTAAGGGGCATATAAGTCGTGCACCCCCCGCAAGTTTCTTCGACTCACCCTCTCCCTCACACAATCCTGCCAACCACATTCAGATCCTTTGCGTCAGTATCGCAACCTAGAACTATTATCACTTCAATACTTTGCGTCCATCCCTGCACACACAGCTCCTCCAAATGAAGTATCAGACCCATGACGCCTCAAGCCCCACGGTGCCTAACTCTGCTACTTACTCCTATCTGACCGTTCCGGAGGGGACCAAGGATTCTGAGAGCGCGCTGTCATTCCGAAGGCTCGCCAACGGTGTGGTGAAGAGGGTCCGCTCTGTGAGATCATTCCTCAAGGACGTGGGAGAGGGTTGCACGCCCTACCTCCTTGTCAGGACCGAGAACGCCAGCGGATACCACAACCACTACATCCCTTTCCCCGGCGAGGTTGCTACCGCCGACATCCGGCGCCACGCGAATCGGGGCGCGCGATGCGCCAACAGCGAGTCATGCGCAGCGAGCAAGGCTCTCATCGCTGAAGTCCAACGAGGGGATGACTGGGGAGGCGTTCGCAAGGAAGTGACGGACGTGGTGAACAGTTACATCGCTTCCATCACCTCTCCCTCCCAGACCGACGAGGCAGACGACAAGAAGAAGGCGATCCCAGGCTCTTGGGCGCTGAAGTGGCTGACCGATGAGGAGGAGGCAGAGTGCTCGGGCAAGTCAACGTCAGCGGACGCTTGATGGTTCTATCTTTCGGCAGCGAACGACGCCTGACTGCGTGATCTCTCTGTCGAATTGGACTGCTCCTCACGTGACATACTTCCTACGACTGTACCCACCATGCTCCGTACTCAGCTCCTCCATGCTTCTCGATATGCATTTACAATTTCATCCAGGCGCGTGGTACCTGTGCTGACTGTCCTCCAACAGCCACCTGAGTTTGAGTAGTGAAGATCTGCGCAGCACGACCATTCAGTATGTGTCAGCAGCCCCGATGTCCATAAGGGCCAAAACGAGGGCAGAGCAGTCAGTCCAGCCGAAAGTCCACTTTCGATGACATCTCCACAGATCCCCCATAACCCCTGACCACATCCTCCCCACCTCATCCCTGCAGCTCCAGCGTCCAGTTGTACGGCTGGAACTTTGTGCCCAGCGCCCGCGCCCTCTCTGGGTTCAGCGAGTAATCCATCTTTTTCGGCTTCATCCATTTTCGCGGTTCGAGACCGAGGACGTTCCCTATCACTTCTGCTGCAAAGTATCTGCTAGAGTCAGCTTTTATCCACTTTGATGCTGGGCTCCTTCTCCGGACCTGGCGTATCCTCCCCGTCCCTTGCTCCACCCGCTTTCGCAACCTGGAGAAGTGAGGACAAGCGAAGACTCACGGTGGAAACCCCCCACTCCCGCCTTTATCTCCCTCATACACCCCACCTTCCCCATCCTCCCCTCCTCCCCTTCCCGCATTCTCATCATCCCCCTCAATGATATGCCCATACCCCTTCTCGCCTTTATAATCCCACTGGACCATAAAGTACGGTAAAGTCGCGACGAGGGCGCGCCGGAACCCGCCTGGACGGGTGGAGAAGTCGATGAGCTTTTTGTGTTGGGACCATTCGGATTCCGAGGCGAGGATGGATTCCTGGATTGTCAGCTGGCACCCCAGAGAGGTAACGGATGTAGCAGAGCGAGGGATGAAGGTGAGAAGGCACATAAGGGGAGGTGATGAGACAGGAGAAACCTAAGGGGTGGGAAAGGGGACTTACGCGGAAGTAAGCCGGACAGTCCTGGAATAGCTCGAACGGGACGGGTACCGCCTCGATATACGTATGTCGTTGCTGCCTGAAGCTCGGGATAGTTTCGAAGAAGAGGACACCTTTGTTTTCCTTGGCGTACATCCTCATCAAGCACTTCATGAAGTTCTGCCAGATCAGCTCGGTCCTCCCAGTCAAGACCTAGTCCGCCGCTGGAACTCTGCGCATGCTCCACATCCCCTTATCCCCCTTCTGGTTCTTGGTCTTCTCCTAGCCATCATCCGCCAGCCGATCCACACCAAATCCAAACCCGACTCTGACCCCAAACTCACCCGTATTTCCTCCCAATCATCATCCTCCAACTCCAAAGTACTCAAATGATGTTGGATAGGAACAATCAGACAATGGCCCGGAACAAGCTCCTCGGTGAGCGTACACGACATGTAGATTCTTGTACCGAGTGCGACGATGGCCGTGAGGGGGTTCCGATCTTCTTGGTGGCAGAGGGCGCAGGAGTCGAGGGCTTTCTTGGTCCGTGCGTAGTCTGGGGATCAGCCGAGGTCTTTGTCCCAAACAAAGCGGACCGGTAACAGCGACATGGAGGTAAAAGGAGTAGAGGGGAGAGGCAGACGTAAGTGTACGTGGCGATCCAACGCATGGATGAGAAAGACGGGAAGATACCCACCGTTGATCGCAAACTGCCGCTTCATAGCATCCGACTTCATCTTCCGCCTCGCCAATCTCTCCGCATTATCATCGACGTAATCCAGGTTGTCCTGCCATATCAGCTGTCATCCCTTTCCCCAGATCATCCAGATCAACAACAGAGCGGTGGGAGATCAGCTCACCTGATATTTTGCGTCCCCAGCGATCGCGCCCGCCATGGCCGCATCCAGACTCTTCTGCTCGGCCGACCCAGCGCCGAAGCGTTCTTGCCGAACCAGCTCGCCGAGGGTCTGATCATCGTCGTCTGCATTATATCGGACGAGGTTGTCTTGCTTGTCTCGTGTTTCAAACTGAATATCAGCTCACCCCTCCCAGCCTTCGAGCAGCGCAGTGAGCATGGACTCACCTTCTCCACCTTCTTCCTCCTGTTCCCCGGCCTCCTCTCTTCCGCCTCCTCAACCCCTCCTCCGCCCGATCCAACATCATACAACCTCCCCGCTCCATCCAGCGTCGGCAACACCTCGGTCTGTACCTCCTTCCCGCCCTCCATCCGTCTAATCCCCCTCTCCCCACCGGCATCCCCACCCCCTTGCGTCCCTTCATATCTGAGCCGCTCATACTCGTACTCCTCCTCCAGCTCGGCCGCATTATCATCCTCCATCAATTTCGCACGCAACACCTTGGCCTGGAGCCTGTTGAGCTGCTCGAGCGTCAAGGCCGGTCGGTCCGGCTCTAGCGCTTGTCCCGCGGGGAGGTCGAAAGGGTATCCGGAGCCCGAGCGCTGAAGGGCTGCTTGGGGCGTAAAGACCGATGGGATGGGTGTTGACACTTTGGGAATTTGAGCGGTGGATCCGTTTCGGCGGAGCTGGTCCACTCTCCCGGCCCCGGCTGTGGTCGGCGTGGACAGGCCCTCCGCCCCTCCTCCGGCCTCCCCAGGCCGCCGGAATCCCGCTCGCGATCCAGGCCGAGATAGGTCCTCTGAGGTATTGGTAAACATATATCGCCTCGTCGAGGCTTCTCCACCCGGAGTACGCATACCCGCCGTGGACGGTGTCGAGGGACCGCCGACGTCCGAGTTGGAGGTTCCCCGCCGAGAGAGCCGACGGGAATCGCGCTCGTCCAGTACCCGACGCTCTTCGAGGGCTTCATTGTACTCGTCGATATTGCCGTATCGCTCCAATGCGACTTCCTCTACTGGTCGTTTCCTAGGCATCAGCTTCTCATATCTGCCATGGAAGAACTCGAGATAGCTCACATCTCCGCTGCCTGCTCGATGAGCCTCGCCAACTTCCTCATCCGGAACTGCCATCCCGGTCCCCCCGCCCCATTCTTCTTCCGCTCAGTCGTCTCGTACTCGTCCAGCTTCTTTCCCTGCACGAGCTGCGTGTTGAGTTCCCGATAATCCACCGCGGGCTTGTTGGGGTCCGGCTTGCCCGCATCGGGGTCTTTGCGCTTGTGCTCTGTTCCGAAGGAGGTGAAGAAGTCGGGCTCGTCTGCCTCGCCTTTGGAGGTGCGAAGTGGAGAAGCGGCTGCGTTCAGGGTGGCGGAGTGTGGTGCATCGCTGGTGGGTGGGCGAGAGGAAGGAGCGACGGAGGCGTCAGGTTCGAGCATCCACGAGTCGCGTTCGTTCGGGTAGGATGTGGAATGGGTGGTGGACGGTAGGGTTGCTGAGGTAGCCTCGGAGACGTTGGACTTTAGTGCCAAAGCTTCGGAGGAAGGTATACTAGATATAGGGTCCTGGGTATCAGCTCCAATCCGCCAATTCTCAGCACACTCAAACTCACCCCAGACACCCCCTTCTCAACCCACATATCCTCCTCCTGATCATCATCGACCACTTCCATCCCACCCCTCTCTTCCTTCCTCCGCTTATACTTCTTCTCCCCATCATCTCTGTCCCTGTCCCTCTTGTCCTCTTTGTCCCGCTTAGCCCGCTTCCGCTCCCTCCGCTCCTCCTCAGTCTCGTCCCGCTCGGAGTGCTTGTGCTTATGCCGGTCTTTCCGATTAGGCGACGCATCGCGCCGGTCCTTATGCGATGAGTCCTTTTCTTGGCGGCTACTCGAGCCTGATGGAGCGTCTCTGCTACTGCTGGAAGGCATCTTGGGCTATAGATGTAGTAGGCAGCGATTGAGTTGAGAGCACCTCCACCGGCATCATCAACGGCTGGGTGGGGGGTTGCTTCCGAATTCGTTATCGAGAGGGGTTGGAGATATTCCCGCTAAACCCCGTTTGCGCCCAGCGAGTTCAACCCTCACCGTGAACAGTTTTCGAAGCGCCCCCGGAACCAAGACTATCGCATGGAAACCTAATGGAATTGTTGCTGATAAGTCTATTGCAGGACTGATCAGATTCCTAATAAGGGCCCGTTGCAACCTATGTTCATTAGGACGTTTGTCAGCGTCATTAGGAAATGATCCTACTTCCGAATTTGCGGTCGAGCTGATGATCGATATCGCCGTCAATCTCCGTGCGAGTCTCACGCCTGAAGACGAGATTCGTCTCACGGCCGTGAGACTGAGAGCGTGAGCCAGCTTGAGCGTGAGTGTGAGCGTGAGCGATACCTCCCCGGGACCGGGACGCTGTATCGAGGACGACTAGAAGTTCTTGTAAGGAAGTGTCTGCATTGTACTTGCCCCGTAGAGTTGAGCGCACATCAAGCCAATAACGATATGGCTGACAGATCGATACCAATTGATCTGAACACTGATAGCTCTAGCAGCTAGTAGACCCCGCCCGCAAGTCCTGTGCTGACCCCCTGCGGATCGATGACCTTCCCCCAATTCCGCTCTAGACGCATCATCATCCCGCCCGATAACCGGAGCATGCTCTGGAGGGCCGACCGGGAGATGACATGGTCGAATCGGTCCGAGAGGGCGATGGCGAAGGGGTAGTCCTACGTGGGTTAGTGAGGAGATCTTGCAAATCGATGAGGAGTCATGAACGGTGGCTAGGGGGTAGGACGTACGAGGACGTTTGGATATTGTACCCAGTCCCACATCAAGCTAATCCGATCTTCATGGTGGTCTTTTGTACACTTCAGCAGCTCGAGTATCTCCTCGAGTGCTGCATCGAGCTCATCGATCACTTCCTCCTGGACTTCCGCACATATGGGTCAGCGGAGAAGAGCAGAGTGGCACGTAAGAGCACGTACCGAAGCCATCCCCATCATCGCACGCTGGGATCTCTAGCTCGAGCCAGATCCGGAGGTCAGTCATGAGCATGTACATGTCCTCGAGCTCTCTAATGGTTAGCGCTGGAACTGCGCAGAGTCGGGGAGGTAGGAATAGCTCACCTCGTCATCTGCTTAACCAGCGCCGTTTGCAGGTCATTCCGAGGTATCACTTCAAGCCACTTCTCGCCCCACAGTCCGGTATGCTTGGCTGTCCGCCCGAGATCTGACGCATGTGGAGAAGGGCCGCTTTATGGCTGGTACATCCTTGCTTGATGGGCGAGCTCGTACTCTACGTGCTGAGCGGAGAAGGGTGAGTTGGAGTCCGAAGCGGAAGCGCTTAGTTGCTGGATATGCGCCAATCGGGATGGAAGGTCTTGCTTGAGGTGAGAGCTGCGCGGGTGCGATAGTGACTGATCATATCCTGCAGGATGGGTCAGTGATTACACTCGGAGAATTGGAACGCGATCAGACTTGCGTCAAGGGGTGACGAGTGGTAAGTTGTCTTCCACATTCCTGGCAATGCGGAGACAGGACTGAATCGTGGCTCATCAGTGGACATGGTGAGCCGGACCCTCCCCAGAATCAGAAGTTAGCAGTGAAGGCAGCGAATGTGGACTGCATAGATGAGATGTTAGTTTGGTACACCCAGCAATAAAGGAGTCTCGACCGGCCAAGAAGAAAGGGATAGCGCCAGGGAGAAGGGGAGTATCGAATAACCGAGCTCCGTCGGCATCACATCGCAAAAAAGGGGCCATGGCGGTTCTGCTGTGTGTTTGGTCGTTCCGTGTCCTGCCGGCCTCCATCATAGCCAGCGTAATCATGAAGCACAAGTGATGAGAGGGACTGCCAGCGATAGAGGTGAAGTATAATCGATACGAGCATTAGCAAATTCGTTAGAAATGTCATTAGGAATGAACCCGATAAAGGTTAGCGGATTCAGAAATCCTAATTAGCTTGGCATGGATGCGGGGTAAAGCAATACAAACGGGGTAACGCGTAAGCGGGGAAAGCAATTAGCTATGCAGCGCGCAGCAACAACACCGCTCTCTCCCACCGCTACTTATACCAGCACTGGACAGTAGAGCCCACCCATCAGATCCTCTCAGTCACTCTACTTACTCTCCGCTAGGCACGCTCGAAATGTCCACCCCGCCTCCGACATCCACAGCCGCCCCGCTCTCTCCCGCCCGAACCATCTCCCCCGCTCAGACCACCACACCCTCCTACGCGCCCCCTACCACCCGCCCGCCCCCGCCCGCCCCGGCTCCAGCGCTCAACATGCACTCTGATCCCAAAGTGGCGGAGCTGCAGACGATGTTCCCCTCGGTCGATCCGGGGGTGATTGAGATTGTCCTGGAGAGTGTGAGCGGGAGTCAGGATCGGGCGATTGAGCAGTTGTTGAGCATTACGGATGAGAACTTTAAGGCCGAGGAGGACGTTCCGGGGTATAGGCGCGAGGCTGAGGTAGGTCACACTCCACTACTTTCCAGTCAGATCCGCGAAGAGACGGACGAGAGCATTGGCGGAAAGGACCACCCTTCACTGCCCCAATCACCTAGCCAGGCCTGAACTGACCAGCAGCAACAAGTTGACCTGGACGCCGAATTTGCCCGGTCCCTCCAGCTCGAAGACGAGCAGTCCGCGCGTCAATACGCAGACCAGAACCAAGGGTACACTGGCGGTCAAGCGGGTCATACCAACCCCGGAGCCGGGGGGCTGCCGTATCAAGCCCGAGTCAGGCGGAACCAGCCGTCCCAGCAGGGTCAAGCCCAGACACAGGCGGGAGGCTATGGCGGGTATGAGAATGAGCGGTATAGTGCGGATAATGGAGGTCCGCCTCCTGGAGTCGGGGTGGGGATGTTGCAAGTTGAAGAGAAGCTGCAGAAGGCCGCCGAAGGTGAGTCTTGTCGGGCATCGTGCTAGCCAGGGCTGACCCGACAGTCGGTAAACAGACATTCAACAACCTCTTCTCGCTCGCCAAGACCAAATACGCCGAGTTTCAGCAGACCCAGGCTCAAAACCAATCTCAGCAGACTCAGGGACAGCACGGTAGCTCAAGCGGAGGAGGGCTTTGGGGTGGGGAGCAGGCGCAGCAGTCACCGTCGGCGGCTGGGTGGGGGAGAGGCGGCGCGGGTGGAGCGGGATCGAGAGGTGGAGTGCAGAATTATGGGTATGGGCAGCAGGGGCAGCAAGGTCTGGGGATGGGGTACGGTGCGAGGGCCGGAAGTAGGGGTCAGGACGATCAGGCGTCGTATGTCCCTCTCTCTGGTTCTTGGTGGAAAGATGGAATGAGCTGATGAGCAGGTTCAGTACCCGCTCTGAATCATTCTCGAGCGAGAGTACGAACGAGCGCGAGATGGCCTCGGACCCGAGACCCGTCATCAGGCCGAGCAGTAACAGGTGGACCCCTTCGGACACATACGGTATGTTAATTCTCCTTCCGACCAGTTCTTGGTCGCATACATGCAACGGGGTGGCTGCTTACTCTCCGCAGAAGACCCACTCCCCCCAGGTCGCTCAACCCCGACTGGGAACCGCGGAATCAGCATGAACCCCACGGGCCGTCAAAGCCCCGCTGGAGCCTCTGGGACAGGCGCGGTCGGTAGTCCAGAAGGACGCGGGACGGCCAAAATTGACGCATGTAAGTGTCCCTTCCCACCCCTTCCTTTCCGTCGTCTTTCACCCTTATCTTGACCGAGCCCAGCTGACGACTAGCCAAACTCGGTATCCTCCCGAAAAAGAAGGTCGACCTCCTCTCCTCCTCGCCCAATTCCTCCACTACCATCCCCTCCCAGACTCAGCCGAAACAAGAGGTCAATCTTCTGGACGATCACGGCTCCTCGGACCCCAATCCGGGGATTCCGGGGGCGAGCCATTCGGTGATCTCAAAGATACCGCCTACGCCGCCGGGGAGGGCGAGAGGCCAGTTTGAGCTGGAGGATAGCGATGATGAGTTGGAGTACACAAAGTGAGTTGAGAGATCGTACATTCCGGTGTCCTGGCGTGAAGGACGTGCGTTGGGTGGGCAGAGTCTGAGGATGGAACTGATACGTGTAGGAACCCGTTTGACGAGAAGTAAGTTGGGGCGGGAGATCAGGAGATCTTGTGGGGGTAAGCGTATAAGAGGGATCGCGGCCGGTATCTTACATCCTGTGCGGATAGGGTCATACTATCCTTACTGCACATGACGCCTGGACCTGATCAGTACTCAAATTTTCAGAGGATGCCCGAGAGGATTCGCCCATCCCGCATACTGGCTTGTCACTCACTGTCCTGTGGCGGTGCTGATCACTCGATAGGCTCGCCTTCGAAGCTGACGAGTGTCCGGAAACCTCGCCGCCTCTGGAGGCGGTGAAGCTAAATGACGAGAAGGCCACTGCAGAGACACGTTGACATTTTCTTACCTCTACACCGATCGATCGCCTTTGCACATTTCATGGAAGGCTCTCGTTCAGCCCCAGTCGATGCCGCTCGTGCCGTGGCGGAGTTCCGGACGTGGACCGCTCGTCATCAGTTGCCTTTCCTTGGAGAGCAGTATCAAAGGAGTCGCTGATCTTGCTGGGCCAGACTCTGTCGGTCGATGGAGTTCACGATCGAATGCTGTATTCCGCTCCGACGCTCCTTTATGGCTTGATCGCCTGGCGCAACGTCCACTGCGCAATCTTACGCCTGCCCGCACGGACGGACAAGAACAATGACCCCACTTTGCAATCAAATGCTCGCCCGCTCCACCGAGTAGAAGACACGTCGGCGACAAGTTGCCTTCCTAACACCGCTTTTGTATAACTGACATAATCATAAGTCGACATCCTTTGCAGCAGCAGCTTTGATCCAATCCAATGTTGGCCTGTCCGTAAAGGAAGCGGGCTTCTGACACTCTCATCTAGCGGGCTCTCAGGAGATTGCATGGCCTTCTCTACATACTGATAGGTGCGGCGCGTGTTCCGATGGGCAGACCTGGGGTCCTCTCCAAGGAAAAGCTCTCCTCTCCCGTGGAGCGCGGAGCTGTCTGAGTTGCATCTGGAATGCAACGCGCACAGCTAGCCTTCCTACCTCTTTCAAATGACTCAACCTGGGCTTGCCTTCTCACTCAAGGGAAATTCTGCGAGTGCTGATAGCGCTAGCCCATCCAAGAGCTATAGAGAGGGCGCCAAAAATCTGTTCTTTTCCTCACCACCTCTCACTTCCGCTTCACCCCTTCCCACCTGTCACTTCCGCTTCACCCCCTCCCACCTTTTCACGCCACTTCACTTACCCACCCACTCACTCAGACCAACATGTCCTCCGCCGGCAACGACAATGACGATTCCGCGACGATCTCTACACCCGAGTACATGAAACTCTGGGATGACATGATGCGACGATCCGCATCGACGGAACCGGTGCCCGTCACCATCACCCCTACCCAGGGCCTGACCTTGGCGAACTCTCAGGGACGAGCTGCAGCCGAAGGCAAGACTCTCAAGTGCTGGTCGAAGGACGGCGTGGCATGGGGCACTCTGACCGACCACAAACCGAGCTCTCGGGAGAAGACCGAACACTGGGCGAACAACGGGAATTTGACCCTTGACAACAATACCGGGTACGTCTGTGCTTCAAGGGGCTGTGGCGCGGGGCGATCAATGGAGAAGGAGCAGGCGTGGATCGACCGTGAGCTTTTCCTCTAATTTCAAAGACATCGTAGTGGACTGATCTTCTCAGACAAGGCGCAGTACCCGGATCACGTCATGAAGGTCACCACATCCTGTGCACAGGCGGAAGAGGAGCGCCTGACCTGTGCCACGTGCCTGAAGAGGGGGACTGTCTTCAAGTTCAGTACCACTGACGACTCGACCTGGGAACCTAAGGCCTAGGGCGGCGAGCCAGCCCATGGCCGTCTCCCAGCTCACCTGTTCACCCCTTACCTGTTCCCAGAATCAACTTGTCAAATCGTTCTTTCATACACTCTGTTCATATTTACTCGTATCCGCCCATGTGATTCATTGCATCTACAACAATTCGTGCAATCCTGTTTTGGCAAGCCGCCTACGATCAACATATGGTGGTGGTATTGATTCCCAACTAACCACCTGATACTGAACAATGGAACTCGTTCACTTGCACTCGAGCTTGACTTCTATGTATCAAAGCTTTTGGTCAACGCAGGGCCAATGACGCCCTCATTTAGCTGATGAGCGGCCTTCTCTTCAGCTAGCAGCCCAGCGATATTTCCAGCGACCTCCTCATTTAGCTGATCAGCGGCCTTCGCGCACTTCAGCGCCCCAGCGGCGACATCGCCGAGGTAAGGCAAAGTGCTCTAATCACCCAAGGGGATTTCTGTCGAAGTCCGCGACCACCGAAAAAAAGTCAGCGACCGTGAAAGGACCGCAGATTCGCAGACCGCTCGAGACCACGCATAATGACGTATGGCAACCCAGACGATCCTGCTGAGCCAGGCTCCGCTGATACACAATGCGCTTGTGCCTTCCGAGTAGATATCGATCGGTCTGAGCTCATCAAGGTGGCTTGCGATCGGCCTTCGGACTTTGTTCTCAGCTAGGTATCGATCGCTCGAGTCGATCAGACTGTCGGGTGTCCAAGCTGGCTTCGGATCCGAGCCTGGCCATCACATCACCAGGACGGCGGGCGAATAAGGGAGGCGCGACAGGGTGGCGAGGCGGCTATCAAGGTGGCGAACCAGGGTGGCAAATCGGTCAGCGGCGGTCGGTAGCGGCGACTATCAGAGGGTGGCGAACCAGGGTGGCGAATCGGTCAGTGGTGGTCAGTCTCGGCTGCGCCGTCCTCAGTGAATGAGCATCCAATCCACCACAGACGTATCCTATACGAGCGCCCGACAGAGACCTAGCTTAGCGCGTCCCATCCTCCCTAGAGGTCCCCACCTCGCACTTTGGCGGAAGATCGTCTCCGCCCAGCCTTTGACGTAGTCTCGCCCGACTCCGGCACTGGTTGATCTGCTAAATCTGCCTGTGCAGTGACGTCCGTCTTGGCCTTGCCCGAGCGCTTTGGCTGTGTGATGACCGAACGGGATAGCAGAGAAAGTCAGGAAGGCGGAGGGATAGTACGGATAGACCGAAGGTAGCCCGTGTGTTCGCGCAGGTGAGGTGAGGGGTGGTGAAGTCAGGAGTGAAGGAGGTGGAAAGAGAACCTGTGATCAGCGTTAGCCCCTTCGAGCTGTCTCGTTCGAGAGTGCACATACCTTCTTTGCTGGTGATGGCATCTCCTCCTTGATCTCCGCCTTGACCCTCGACCGCCTACCTGCACTACCGAGCTCGGCATCCGCTTTCTGGAAATGGGGAGACTGGGCAGTGAGCTTGCTGTTCCGCAACCAACGACCCTGAACTCACTTCCATCTTCACCTCTTCAGCTACCTGGACCCGCTCCTCTTGGACCGCCTTCTTCCCTCTCGAGCGCTTCCTAGACGGTCCTGCCTCTTCCTCCGAAGGCCCTCCATCCATCTGAGCTTTGGCGAGCTTGGCAGCTACAGCCGCCGCGTGTCTGGGCGTAGCCGCCCTTTTAGGCGTTGAGGTCCCGGCAGTACCTTCGCTCGGTGGAGGTGTCAGCGAGCCACCCTGGCGTGTCAGCATAGGTCAGTACCTTACATGGCTAGATGCTACTCACTGATGATCCTCCATCCTCGCCATCCCCTTTGCCCTTCTTGCTCCGACTCCCCTTCCCACCCTTGGTGATCTTTGGCTTGATCTCCACCCCCTCCGGCATCTTTTGCATCTCGGCTACTACAGCTGTAGTACGCCCGCCGACTTCGATAAATGTGATAGTAGCCGGCGATCCATCAGGCTAGGAACGTCAGCCATAGAGAACATCACAAAGCAGTGACCGCGGCGCAGCTTACCAAAGCCATAAAGTCCTTGCTCTTCGGTACGACCTTCTCCCCCTTGACTTCCGCCTCTTCCTCTGCCTCTTCCTCCTCTTCCATCTCCTCCAAATCACTCCCTTCTTCTTCTTTGACATCCTTGATCCTCCCGTCCTCCTTCGCATTCTTTACCCTTCTCTCCTGTTTCTTCCCTTTGCCCCACCTCCACCGGAACAACCAATCATCCGGAAACTTGCCGTGCATCGCATTCACCTTGACGGCGGTCAGCGGGATCTCGCGGATCCAGTGATGGAGCCGTTCGAGGTCAGCCTGGGAGAGAGCGGGAACGGGGCAGGCGGGGTGTATTCGGGATTGGTACAGAATCTCATCGGCTACCCACTGGAACTTCAGCTGCGTCTAGTTCGGGGAGAGAGATGGACTGACATTCCCGACGCCGGCGGAGAAGGCTTGGTCCATTATGACACCTTTTATGGTCCCCTTCTTGCGCTTGAGGAGGCCGAGGAAGTCATCCAGGTTCGGCATGCTAAGGACGGGGTCGAAGCCCAGGGCAGATACAGGTGGGTGGTCCGAGACGGGGGAAGGGACGAGGCGGAGTCGAGCGAGTCGACGGGAGTCGAGGAAGGCAAGGTGTACGACCTCGGTGGATTTGGAGCCTGCAGGCGGGTCCAGCTCCATAGCGCTTGAGATCAGCTATAAACCGACTTGAACGTGGTGAGGAGTCTCACAACTTGTAGTACTGCCGGATCAGCTCCACCGACGTTGGCTGACCGAGGCGGGCGTATCGCTTACTTTTGGTGGCCACTCCTTTGGCCGCTCTCTTGGTCTGCGCACATACCATGTCGGTTCCTGACCTTTGATCTACGGGGTCAGCCATGACCCGTTGCGCGCAAAGCTAAGGCTGTGTGACTCACCTGGACCATCCCGTTCATCCCAAAGTGCATGACTGGTAGTCTCCCACCTCCGGAGAGTGTCATCCAGAATCTGAACAAGTCAGTTAAAGCCTTCCCGCTTGGAGCACCGAGGGCGTACATCTTGCCCTTGCGCTCACATCCTGTGATTGTCCGGCCAACGAGCTCTTTGGTCTACATTGTCAGCCTCAGCTCGATATGGGGCGCGTCAAAAAGATCAGGCAGTCAGTAGAGGAGCTCATAGGAAAAGCGGGAAAGACTTGCATAGTCCTCATGGGTGATACCCCCTGCATAGACGATCTTGTCCTCGGTCGTATCGACAGACCTGATCGTGTAGCCCGTACAGCTGTCCGCGATCAGCTTTCGGGCTCTTTCGACCTCTGAAAAGTTAGCTGCTGATCTTGCCGCTCAACGGGATATATCGGGCGTACCAGGAAGCTCCGGCATACTGCTATACTGAGCTGTGAACGAGGAAAGCGCAGCGAAAGGGAGGAGCTTAGATCGGCGGACCATCTCGATCTCGTTTAGCTCGCCAAAGACGGAGATGTCCGAAACACCTCCGCAGCCCTCCACAGGCGACGAGGACGGCCACGACGACGACATCGGCGACCTTGTTGTCGACTTGATCATATCACCCACTCATCTTACTCATCTATCAGGCAGTCAAGATGCTTCCTAATCTGCCATCACAATCTCAAGTCCTGAAAGCCAACGAGAGGTTCACACATGTCGCTCGACTGGCGCTGCTTTACTGGCTTTCCAGATTCATCTTGCTCGATGGGTGGCGACATCTCCGGGCGAAGGGGGTCTTTGGCGCAGGACAGCAGCTGTATAAGAAGATACAAGGCGTAAGCTGATCCTCTTTTTCAGCGCGAGCCCCAGCTGAGCCCACAGGTTGTAGTGGCGATAATGCTCTCCCTCCCTTCGTCCCGGCGCCAAATATCGTCAGAGCTCGCCAAAACCCGCGCCGAGCTCAAGGCGAAGCTGGCACCGACGACCTTTCCTAATGGAATCACTTTGACCCCGACAAGAGTGATGCCGCAGAAAGGGAGGGACAGGGGATGGTTGGAGGAGGAGTGGAAAGGGATGAAGAAGCTCGAGAGGGGGGATGTGGACAGTGGGAGAGTGAGCGGGACAGTCTACCATGTAAGTCCGCGCTAACATTGTGATAGGAACATAGAGGACGAGCTGACACCCATAGGGCGGAGAGGAGCTCAACGGTATCATCAACGATGCTATGGCCAAATTTGTGGTCTCGAACCCGCTCCACCCGGATGTCTTCCCTGGCGTACGCAAGATGGAGAGCGAGATCGTGGCGATGTGTCTGAATCTGTACGTTCGTATTCTTCCTCGCCGAGGCAATGAGCACTTAGCTGACTCGCCCAGCTTTAATGCTGCTGACGGGGCTGGGACCAGTGAGTTGCGGTACTGAGGATCCCGAGCAGGTCGCTGATTCCCAACAGCCACCTCGGGAGGAACAGAATCGATTTTGATGGCTTGCAAGAGCTACCGAGACTGGGCAAGAGCGACAAAAGGGATCACCAGACCAGAAATGTGAGTATCTGCGGCAGAGTCATCTTCAGCTTGTCCGTCAAGGATGAGTAGCCCGAGTCACGGATTAAGCTGATCAAGCTAGGATCATCCCCTCTTCAGCACATGCGGCATTCTGGAAAGCCTCCCAGTACTTTGGTATCAAGCTTCACGTCGTCCCCGTCGATGACGTCTCACGGAAAGCCGATGTGAGGCGGATGAAGCGAGCCATGTAGGTCCACCCCAGCTCGGTGACACGCGTCGATATCGGCATACAGAGCTGATGCTCGCAGCAACCCAAATACAATCATGCTAGTAGGCTCGGCCCCGAACTTCCCAGACGGAGCTATTGTATGTGACACGTTACTCATACGTCTGGCTGTATCTGTACGAGTACTGATCCGCAGGACCCCATACCCAACCTCGCTGCTCTTGCTCGGAAACACAACTTAGGCCTACACGTCGACTGCTGCCTCGGCTCATTCCTTATGCCCTTCCTAGAACGGAGCGGATTTGGGGACGGGGTTGAGCCGTTTGATTTCAGGGTACCAGGCGTGACGTCCATTTCTTGCGATACCGTACGTGTCTAAAGTCTTCTCATCGTCTCCCCTCTACCTTGTTGAGGATATGAAGAGCGAGAGGAGCTAGGCGGATACAAGAGGCGAAGGGCGAGGGGTGACGAGTTGATGACCCAGCTAACACCTCAGCATAAGTACGGTTTCTGCCCCAAAGGCTCTTCCGTCATCATGTATAACTCTCCTCATCTCCGGAAATATCAATACTACATCTTCCCCGAATGGGCTGGCGGGGTTTATGCTTCGCCGTCGATGGCAGGAAGTCGGCCGGGGAGCGTCTTGGCGGGTGCTTGGGCGGTGATGAATCATCTTGGACAAGAGTATGTGTTCTTTGCTTCTGCCTGTTTCTTTCCATTTCTCTGTCGCCTTCGCACAATCCCCTTCCCTGCTTCTTGCGAAGTATAGCTCACGCTAGCAGAGGCTACGAAGCGTCCTGCCGTCAAATCATCGGCGCTGCCCGCACATTCGCACAACAAATCACCCTCCGTTTCCCCGCCGACCTATACGTCCTCGGAGATCCCAAAGTCTCGGTCGTGGCTTTCGCATCCAAGAGCAAGAGCGTCAATATCTATCAGGTTGGGGATGGGATGGGGAAGAGGGGGTGGCATTTGAATGCCCTGAGCGGACCGGCGGCGCTGCATATGGCTTTCACTGTGAGTGTTTCTTTACCCAGATGGAGGAGGGGGAGGGGGGAGGAAGGGGATGAGAAGGATAGTGGCTGACGGCAGAGCGACTATCAGCGAAGAGTGTCGATAAGCTCCTTAGCGACCTGGAGGAGGTTATCGCCGAGGTCAAGGCGGACGAGTCGGAGAGCTCGGGGGATATGGTGGCGCTGTACGGTAAGTTATTCCAACGGCTCCCCTGCTACGTGGACCGGGCTAATCCAGTAGGACTGGGACAGACCAGCGTTGGGCCTCATGTCGTAGGCAAGCTGGCCGAGACGTTCCTAGACGTTCTGTATGAGTAGATAGCCGCGGATCCGGATATAACTTCAAGACAGCCGGAAGTAGGTATGTATTCCCCGCTGCATCGTCGCGTAGCATAGTACATCGTCAGGATCGGTATACCGGGCGTTACTCTGCCTTCATTCACAGAGATCTAGCAGTCCCAGTGTCTGTCTCGCGTATCAAACATCATCGCCCACAATGACCACCGTCTCTCCCCGCGACTTGCTCAGGTACGTACTCTGCACGTACGCTTCCACAGCACGGACCACAGCTTTCCTGCCGATGCTGCCGCTAGCGGCGGCGCTGGCGCTTTCGGGCCCGAGGGTCCCGACGAGGGCCGTCTGGCCATCCACGTACCGCGCACGCAGATCGCAACTCCCCTGCTGACCGTTCTGAGTGTAAAACTCGAGAATACCCAGTTGAGCCAGGGTGATCTTGTGATTTGAGCGCAAGTCAGCGTTCGATATGGTGATGCTTGACATCGCGGAATGTCGGTAGTCTGCAGAATGAGATGAGTAGGCGTACGTTGTGGCTCCTCGAGAATCGTATACGGATGATATAAGTCGACAGGTCAGAGGTATAACGAGACTGAAGGAGCGGCATGGGGGAGCGGGGCGGTGAGCATGAAACAGGTGCTCCTGATGCTCATCCTTTGTTCGTCGTTTCGCAGTCCGCTGACCCGTGGCCATTCTGGCACATTCCAAGATAAGGCAAGTCAGCGCGCAATCACAATCAGTAAGCTGGGCGGACTGTTGCGCTATGCCTCAATCAAGGCGGCACAACGTTACAGGGTCACGAGTGTGCATCATTGTGCTTTCTTCTTTCCCTTGACTGGCTTTGGTCCAGACCCCGCCGATGCCGATGTCACTGCCGTACGGGCTTGAGCCGAGCCGCCCACCCTTGGCGGAATATCCCCGACGTCGGTCTGGCGTAGGATATGCCGGAGACGCTCATATTGGACTATCTGCGTCAGCTGGGCTAGTCTCCACGAGGGCTTGTGTAGCTTACTGGACTCCCAGAACTCGCTTATTGTAGCCCAGCCAAGGAGAGCCGTGCTGAACACCCATAGTATCTGACATATATGAGCTGTGTCCTGGCCAGGAGGGATAGAACGGGTAAAGCTCACTGATGAGAATAATGGGACGCTATGTTGCGTCATTGCCCATGCCATGTACACTGTCTCGACAGAGTGCTATACAGTCAAAAGAGTCGAACTCAGGGCCAGAGAGGGACTGACCGAGACGATCACGAGCCACTTCGCAGCAGGCAGCATCCCCGGCCCAAAGAAGTTATTGATCCAGAACCGGAACTTGTCCGCGTAGTCGCCTTTTCCATACAGGGCGAACCCGAGCGCTGCGAGGCCGACGATGATGGGCAGTGTGAATGGGAAGAGGTCAGGTTCGGAGTAGTACCCGATCTTTGGCTTTCCTTGCTGCCAGTGTCAGCTGTCATCCACGGCGAGTCCGGAAAATTCAGCAGACTACCCACAATTTTGTAATGCTTGAACGCCTCGTCTCTCCATGCCAGTATCCTGGGCCGGAAATCCGTCAAGTCTTCCATGGGCGGATCAAACTTGATCTCCACCTCGACTGGTTTCCTCGATCGAGGCGGTTGAGCCTGGATGATGATCTTGTCGAGCGTCTTGGGGATGGGCAGGATGTAGAGGTCTCCTGGGTGGCCTTTGAAGTCGGTACGGTGCTTGAGGATAGCTGATGGATCAGCGTGATGGTCAGAGTCACCCACCCAAGGTCAGCAGGAGACATACCGGTCAGCATATCGGGCTGATTGTTCATGTACGAGAGCATGTTCTCGCTGTGGTGGTCAGCCAGTTCGCCTTTCCACAGGCAGTAGATTGATCGAGAGCTTAAGGACGCACGCATCCTGCTGTCCTTTCGGACCCTTGGCTATGAGTCCTGCCATCGTGTATTCGGACGTCTGAGGTGTATAGGGTGAGGTCGATAAGAGCTTGTTGACGCTTGCTGGCTCTGTCGGCTGAATCTCCCCCGGAACCAGCACGGAGATTGAGCCGATGACCGAAATCAGGCTCACCCGACTCAAGCGGTCCTCATGCTCGCGATATCTTCGTTGACTGTGCTCTATATACTTAGCCTTAACAATCTAGGGAGGCTCATATATAGAGCCCTTCGCACGTAGAAGAGGACGGATATGTCAGCCCAAGCGAGCTCATCGCGGCCTGCGAGGTCTAGGGCACACTCCAGAGGCAGGAAAGCACAAGACCCGGTGGACGATGCCGGCGAGATGGTATGCTACACTGCCTCAAGGTCGCGAGCTGCAGTAGTTGATCCAACGTAGGCTCAGCAGGGTACGAAGACACCCAAACCTCTTACAATCGTCATCAAGCTCGGTATGTCACTGAATCTTGCAAATCTGCCATCCTGGACCCTCTTTCTGATCATGTGGAGAATCTGATCATGTGGAGAGCTGACAGCTTAGGCACCTCATCTATCGTCTCCACCTCGTATCCGTTCCTTCCGCACCTGCATCTCCTCTCGTCAATAGTCGAAACGGTGGTCCAGCTGAGAGAGCTCGGACATCGAGTGGTGCTTTGTAGCTCTGGCGCTATCGGTGTTGGTTTGAGGCGGATGGGGTTGAAAGAGAGGGGTAAGGGGTTATCGCAGAAGCAGGTGAGTCCGAAGCTTCTGAATGAGGCACAGACTTTCTGCGCAGTCACAGAGGCAAGGGTCCGAGACGATGAAAGTCATATGCTGATGGCGAAGGCTCTGGCTGCTGTCGGTCAAGGCCGCCTCATAGCCTTATGGGACAACCTGTTCTCCCAGCTGGACCAGCCCATTGCCCAGATCCTGCTCACTCGGACGGACATCGCAGACGTAAGTGATGGTCTAATCTTGCGCCCGAGAACCAGCGATGTCCAGGATATGGCCAGCCCATCCAGAAAGGACCGTGCTGACTTCATGCCAGCGAACACGATACCTCAATGCTCAAAACACGTTTTCAGAATTGCTGAATATGGGCGTAGTCCCTATTGTCAACGAAAACGATACAGTATCCGTATCTGTAAGTCTCTTGCTATGACCTCTGGCTGGTCTGTAGAGGGATCTGCTCACCAAGCAAGGAAATCAAATTCGGCGATAACGACACCCTATCTGCCATTTCTTCCGCTATCGTCCACGCAGACTACTTGTTCCTGCTCACCGATGTGGAGTGTCTGTGAGCTGGACATACGATGCACCTCGTAGAAGAAGGATCAAAGGCTGACTGTTACAGCTACACCGACAACCCTCGGAACAACCCAGACGCCAAGCCCGTTTACGTCGTGCGGGATATAGAAAAGGTCAAGCAAAGCGGTAAGTAGATACTTCCACTCTCGCATTCTATTCTCAGTGTCCGATCTACCAATCTTTCACAGCTGAAGTGGTCTCGACGTCGGTAGTATCCAGCTGATACCCCAGTATCCACCTCCACATTAGGCACCTCCCTCGGTACCGGCGGTATGTCCACCAAACTCATTGCCGCCGATCTCGCAACAGCCGCAGGCGTCACGACAGTCATCATGCACTCAGAGCACGTCCGGGATGTGTTTGCGGTGATCAAGGATGGGCCGGGGCCTGCTAGGGACTATGATGGGGTCATACCGGGGGAAGTGGAGGGTGGGGAGGTGGGGGTCAGGTGTACGAGGTTTTTGAGGAGGGAGGTGGCATTGAAAGAGTGAGTCTTGCCGTACCTTCCCAGCAGCTCGGACGGTCGAGGGGGTGGGACCATGACCCCAAAGCTGACGAGACAGCCGGAAATGGTGGATCGCGCACGGACTTCACGCTTCTGGCTCAGTCGTGTAAGTTGACCTTCCTACGATCGCCCAGGTTGAGCTGATCTTTTAGGATCGACGAAGGAGCGTACCGAGCCATCCGGAAACGAGAATCAGGCCATCGGGTCCTTCCAGCCGGTGTCGTCCGTATCGAGGGCGTCTTTGCTTCTTCGCAAGCCGTCAGACTGCTCGTCCGTCGTCGACGCCGCACGGCCGATCTATCCCAGTCACACCAGTCCGGGCGGTCCAGTATCGACGACAATTCTTCACGTCCGCCTCGACGCTCAGGCTCGAAACGCGGTTCCTCCTCCGCTCTGGCGAACGAGCTGGGACACTCTGACGTGGATACCGAGACGGAGGGAGAGGGCCGGGGAGTTCAGCGAGGGAGAGGGAGTGAGCCTGAAACTCCGACGATACTGCCTGCAGCGAGCATGTCGAGCTCGATCGCGTCGCTGGATCCGCTCAATCGGGCGGGATCGGCTAGTCCTGCGCTACCCAGCGGGGCCAGCGGGGGAATGGGGATGGGGATGTCGACGATGAAGGAGGAAGGGGAAGGACAGGAGGACGGGCGGGTGGTCATTACGGGCTTGAGTGTCGGGGAGGCTATAGCGCAGAATGGGATCGGGGCCCGGGAGGATGATGGGCAAGGGGAATGGGAAGAGGTGGATGTGGGCAAGGGGCTGGCGCTGTATAATTCGATGGAGATGGAGAGGATCAAGGGGATGAAGAGGTATGTCTCTGCTTTTTGCGAAGGTGGGCTCGGGATGTGTGGGTACACAAGCTGATGCTGCAGTTCTCATATCGGGCAGATATTGGGGTACTGCGAGAGCGAGCACGTGGTCGACTCCATCACGTTTTGGTAGATCTTTCACGATGGTACGCCCAGGTATGGCATCGACAGGACTGCATCAGTCAAAGCCGACTGATACTGACTGTACTCACTATGGCTGATCCTTGTCGCTCTTTGATGCCGCCAACAATGCTCAGAGGGAGCGCACGGACATCCGGCTGCCACATCGTCAGATATCTCTTCGGGGCTCGAATGCTGACACGCAAAAGACACCTCAGGGCGATATGGCTCACCCCTGTACATCAAAGGATACTCGACGGTATACTCAACCCTGATGGCGTAGTATGAAACTACGGTCAAGGTTCCCCCGTTCCCTCATCCACCTCTTATCTCACGATCTTTTGGCCATCACCACAATCCCATCCGGCGAGACCTATACATACTCACTCACTCACTCACTCACTCACTCACTCACTCACTCACTCACTCACTCACTCACTCACTCACTCACTCACTCACTCACTCACTCACTCACTCACTCACTCACTCACTCACTCTGCCCAGCCAAGATGTCCACCAACACCTCCGCCGCTCCCACTTTCGCCACTGCTGCTGATGCTGCACTTTCCAGACGATGCTGACCGCCTCCCTCAAGAACTTCGCGGATGGACTTATTGGATGTCCAACGGATGTATTGATCGGGATCACAGAGGCGTCCAAACAGAACCCGACGGATGCCGTCCTCGGGAAGAAATCTGAGTGGAGTGACTATGTGCTTTCGTACCGTGAGGCGCAGAAGGACGGCTTTAGCAGTCAATTCCCTTTGGTTCTCTGGCTCAAGGCCCTGCCGTCATACTTGCGCTTTGCCGATTCCATCGAAGCCGCCGTGGGAAGTGGTGCTCCCCCGTAAGTCCGTCTGATGCTCACGAGCTGAAGGTGCAGCGGAACAGGCCGGTTCAGCGGGAAGAAATGTTGCGACATCGCCGCCGACAGCATGACGACTCCTCAGCGCGCCACGGACGGCAGCACCGGCCCGTGAGATGCTGCTTATTGGTGCCGTCGGAGAGTTGAAGGAGGTCCATGGTTCTGCTAGACTCTCAGGTATCGTTCGATGTACTTATAGCCGTGATGAGCCGATTTGCGATGCGCCTCTTTCGGCGGGTGCAGCTTTGTTTCATCTGAACAACTGACCATTGCATGACCCCAATTCATGATTCTCTCCGCTGATAGGATATGACACTGAGGTACATGACTACTGAGATGGTGCGAGCGTCAGCTGATTTGACGTGTCTGGGGTGCGGTATCTCTGATCCACGCTCGCGCAGAGCTTTACACAGCCTCGGCTGATAGACATCTCTGCTTCATCGTCCTCGAAGCTGCTATATACTTGGCTTGACTCGCACAATCTTGGACTGAGGATACAAGGGGCCAGCCGCCTCTCCGCCACTTCAGCCGCGCCCGATTGCGTCTTGCGATACCGGTCCAGGGGTCTCATGCGTGCGATAAGGTCTTTTGCCGTAGGGGAGCGTCCAGGGGTTCGTCAAAGGAGCTTGAAAGATAGCGGTACACAAGGCTAACTGGGGAGACTCACAATAAAGAGCGGCTCATAGACGTCAGCGCACGCCATCAGCTGCATGATAGAAAGGATATCACCTGCAGGTGGCTGACCCTCGATCATTCCAGACGGGACCCCCGCGCGAGGAGGGTATATATAGCTGGGTTGCGCCACCCGATTTGACCCGTCGCCTCTCAACATACCATATCTATCCCCGCTTACGATAACAACAACGACTCCCTGCGACTGCACTATACCAAATTCCGACGCACTTCTTGAAGACCGCAATGCCGCCGACGGACCGTACGACTCGCTCCAAACAGGGTCAGAAGCAGATCGAGGCCTTGAGGACGATGACGAGCCTCGTGGAATCCTCTGTTCTGACCGGTACGCCATCTGACGCTTCTCTCGCCATCCTGAAAGAGTTCCACAAAGTCGGCGCGAGTCTGAGCACCATCTCCGACTTGCTCAACTCGTGCACCCCAGCAACAGAAGCCGCATCGGAGACCAAGCCATGCGAGCTCGGCGAGGAGTGCACGGCCGATCAACCGCTGAGATCCGCCTTTCCGAGCTTCGTGGATCTTTGGGCGACAGACCCAGCAAGTCCTGGCAGTCTGCCTGATGAGGCGTCCGCACATGAGCCATTCTGGCTGAACAGCGCCGACCTTGACCGGCTGGATGAGGTGACCAGGTGGTACGAGGACTCGACCTGCGCCGGTTCGTCGCCCGCCAGTCAGGTGAGTTGCCATTCAGGTCTTGCGCTAGTATGGCTGCAACCGATATTCTGGCTGTGCGAAACATTTCCCTGACATAATAGTTCCAACGCGGGATGAGGGACCTTCTGGACGGGAAAGTTCTCGCCACTTCTGTTTCCTGGGCCGCCACCCGAGACCTGGCCCGCCTTTTGGTGAAGTCCTCCCGAGCCCGTCCCGCACTCGACACCCAGACCCAGCGTCGCATCCCGTGGCGCTTGTATGGGCCGATCGTCACCGCAAACCGGAACATCGACTACGCCTACACCGCCCTCGAGGGAGTATGGGCTACACTGGGGACTGCGTACGACTCGGAGATGACATCTGCCGTTGACCTGAAATCCGCTACCAAAGCTGTCACTGAGCGGACTGAGGCTCTGGCGAACAAACTGGGGGTGCTGAAGGGCTTGTATCAAAAGCCTGGTGTTCCCAGATGATGCTGTCCTCCTACACGTGCCCCGCCGGTGTCGCGCACAATTGACTCAATTCACCGTCTAATTGTCTCATACTCTATCATCCCTCACGATACCCCTCACCTTGATTATGTTCCCTTACTCTGGTACATGCACAGCTTTTGAGCGAGTTTTACTGGACCGTAATCTACAATCAGCTGCGATGATCCTACTTGCGAACGATGACAGAACTCCTACCGGGAGCATCATGAGCCTCAGATTCAAGCATGGCGTAGCGGATATCAATGAACACACCCTCTAGCTCCGATTGCTGGGTCATGATTTGGGGAAGCTGTCCCCACAACTACCCAGGTGACGAGCAAGGGTGTTGACAGCAGGATTAGTGGTCCGCAGATGACTATGTGTATCTCTGCCTCTTTGGCACTTCCACAAGGGTGGTACGTACATGCTCCGGTCTCGGTTCATCGCTGAGAATCTGGGTGTACTACGTCCTCACTTCGGTACCACAGACTGAACCTTGTCCAGCTCGTACTCGCAGAACGTGTGTCGTACGCCCTGAGTATTGCTCCAATAAGTCGCCGGCCGGACCATGTTGAAACCAGAATTGATCAAGCTCTCCTTCCACGGCAACTTGTAATCAGAATTTGAGCAGGTCAATCTCCCTTCAGAAACCTCTTCGACTGCACGTCTGACGAGCTCCCTCATGGCTTTTGGATCCTGATATCCGGTCTTCAGGTAGAGAACGTGGAAGTCAGTCGTGCTGACCGGAGGCAAGGCACGCTTCGATATCAGGTACAGAGGGTTTTTGCTGTCCTCTTCGTTCACGAGTGAGGGCAAATTTTTGTTGATCTTGGTCAGACCGACAAAGCAACCGATTTGCGTAGTGATCTGACCGTCATCGGTGGTGTCGGTCACGGTCTCGGCGATGAGCACAGTGCGCTCCTCATCAGCGGGGGCAGGCTGCGTCCAGCGGGACACATTCTCTTCGATGTAACATAAGAGTTTCGCAGAGACGGCGGGATGCCTGCGATCACTGAGCTTTACGCCCATCTCGCCCATCAATGCGTGTGCTGATCCGTCTCTGAGCACCAAAAGATCGCTTTCGGGGACGGGACCCGGATCGAGTTCGATCCGTCTGAATCGGAGACGCGGATCCGGTGCCAGGCCAGAGCCAGAGTCTGTATCAGCCGCAGCATCCGGCCATCCCGCACGAACGTATTCCGCAACCGTGCGCCAGGCATTGCTTCCTGGCGCCGGTCCCATCATCACCTTGGAGTAGTACCACGAGCCTCTGATCGACATGGGGTTCCGAACGAATCCCTTGTCACACCCATGAACCATGAGGGACCCGTTCTCGCGATTGCCACGGATGCGCAGACTCTCGCGCGGGATCTGCGTGGCCTGATCACGAGATATGGCCGTCTGGAATAACTCCCCGGCGATGTGAAGCGCTGAGTGCTCGTGATCCGGAGCAAAGTGATGTAACGATGTGCAGGCGTAAGGACCGTACCGGTCGACCATTGTGGCATCTCTCACCATGGCGAGCAGTCCAACCACCGTCGACTGATCAGGTGATTCATCAGAGGAGCGAGAAGTCTTTTCCGCCACCCAAAGGGTCTGGAGCTGATTGTGCTTGCTTGCGGCTGTGATTAAGTCGTCGAAAGAGCTGGGGACCTGTTGGGAGAACAATGTCAATTCTTCTCCGTTCTTCTTCCAGTAGGACCTCAGGAAAGCGACGTGATCGGGGCGGTCGGGGTCAAAGAGCTGAATCGTGAGGGGAGAAGGAGTAGAGCAGGTGTCAGACATGGTGAAGCGGTATATTAGAATGGGAAGGTGTATGAGATCGTCCTGAGTGAGAGTGAGTGGAGGGTGCTTGATGAGTATTCGGCAATGGGATCAGGTGTGGGTATGCACCAGAGGTTGCTGCTCGATGGGATGTTGGTTAATGTGGTGCGCGAGTGCGGGTTGACTGAGGGAAAGGAGCGGATCGGTTGGGAGGGGATGCATGGTATAGTCAACGGGTAGGATTGCTCGCCTTGCGGCGATGCAGCTTGTCGTCCCTTGTCCCGGCCCTCTGATACGCTAAAAGAGCACTTCTCCTTTAAAGATCACCCCTCGCTGTAGCAGGCAGATTGGTCCTCTCGTGATATCTGATAGGGACCCGAGAGGTCGTAAGAAGGCCTAGGTATCACGCCATACGTACACGTTCTGCGCAATCTGGGGGAGCGATGTCAAAGGTGGGATCGCTCCCACCCCGCCTCAATATCAGTCCAGCGTCTGTGCCATGGCGTGGAGGGGACTGCGGCAGATCTCCAGACCACACATGTAGGGTCGGGCAGATCGGAGGGGGGTCAAAGGGGAAGATGGATGGCGTGATCAGGCGCACAAGGGGGTAGGCTGGAAAGGAGTGTCCGCTCTTACGCGCTCGAGACGAGCAGGGCGGGAGAGACTAAGTGCTGTGCACAGTGTGAAAGGAGGCGCTAGATTGCGACGCTCTCAGAGGCAGCAGCACGACTACATAGACTGATAGATGCCCCTCTTGTTTCTCAACTACAACCACTCGCCACTTTCCAAACCAGAACCTACTTCAGTGAGTGAGACTCTTCTGACCAGCTACTGTGCATCTGTGCGGCTGCGTGCATGGCAGCAGCCTGGAAAGCGGCGGGCGATGCGAATCAGGGTGTTCTCATCCCCCAGGCTTAACGCGACCAGCCTCCCACTCCTCGTCGCCAGCCTATTTGGTAGCTCTGACATACAGACCCTATCCATCTTCCTCATATCCGATCGCTCAACCATGATGACTACCGACCCCACAACGTCTGCATCCCCCACCAGCATCTCCGATGCCTCGGCTCTTACCGCAAAGCTGCCATCCCAGGTTAGCGCTCTGCAAGCAAGATTCTCCCCTACGGACGCGGAAGTTCTGGACATGTTCCAGGAGTTACAAAAGACTATCGGCGAGCTTTCAGATGCTGTCAAGCTTACACAGACGTGTGGACTGTGCCTTGAGCCCACTGTCGACTCTGAGAAACAATGGACGACCATTACGGACGGGATCAAGCCGACAGAGACGAAGGAGAGAGAAGTCTCGATCTGGCAGACCAAGAAGGGTCGGGACAGCCTGTACAACTTGGCTTTCGCCGGGAGGAACCCTTGCGGCTCAAACACCGCCCGCGCAATCGTGAGTCCTCGGCCTGGATACCGTCCTCATTGACATGTACTGATGAGCTCAGGTGACGTCAGAGATGGATGAAATGCGGCTCAAGCCCAATCTGGTCAATAGCGACGGACAGGGCCTGCTCGAAAGCACCCTGGCTCAATTCGTCAGTGCGATCAGGGACATGCCGACGGAGGAACAGTTCTCCGAGATGTAAACAGGCTCTCTGCACCCAAAGGGCGCAGCTGAAGCGACAGAGGAGTTTCTGTGGTATGCCAAGCAGGCAAAAGATGGTCTGCAGGAATTCGATGCGGGGTTGAGCAACCTGGCGGACGTCCTGAACGCTTCGAGCGGGTCACAGTCTGACCTCAACGCCACGAAGAGCGACCTTCGACTATCCGGTGGATCAAGCGAACCTGCAGTCCACGCCGCTTGGTTGGCTCAGAACTCTTTTGAGCTCTTGGCGGACCGCCTGGGACATATCGCAAGCTTGATTTCCCACCTGAAGTCAAAGACGTCAGCCACGTCGATGGCTTTATACTCTCCCTCGGCTTCCCTTCGATCCCCCTGATAGCCCTTCCGAACACACCTCGATCATCTCGCCCTGTTTCCCTGTTCCGTACCGGATTGCAGCTGCGCCTCGCTTGGATAACTTCCATGCAACATACTCCTCTACATGTGCCACCCTATGCATCCCTTGCCAATCTGCCCACTTCCCCCAACGCAGCAGCTCACAGCGCTCTCCATAGCCTTGATAGTGGCACTGTATCATGCCGTAACGTGTTTCATCCTGCCTGCAGCTGGCGCCACTTTCACGCGCCACGTGGCGTGTGCCTGACTCTGAATCGCGCGCGTCAACAAGCCACCTCCGCTTCAGCTTCACCCACTTCGCATTCATCTTGCTATAGTCATCGCCTGCTCTCCATATACACACAGCCAGCACGCTTTCTAGCAGCGGCTAGATCTGTATACCGTCCAGGTCAATCCGCCTCGTACGGCACGATTTGGCACAGTCGACTGGTCAGGGCAAATCGTCAGCCTGACTTGAACCGCTCGTTTCCTCCTCGTGTCCCTCTACCTTGACAGACCGCCTACTTCGCTGTCCCTCATCACGCCCATCAGACTGTCTAGATCGCCGGGGTCCTGTCCAGAGCTCGAGTTAAGATGTCACAAATGACTCCAAGTCGGAGACGGACCGAGTCCAAGCATCCCAAGTACAATCCCGACCCCAAGAATGTTGGCACGTGAGTCAGCCCTCTCCGACTAGCCTCATCTGGTCCTCTCTTGCCTATGATCACCTGACGATACTGTACGATGATTTAATGAAGAGCCTGTAGCTGATATCCCAGTCGCACCGGCACCGCCATGCCCACAGACGTCCGGCGCGATTCCACCGGCTTTGAAAATCCCGCCGACTTCTTCCGCTCCTCCCCTAGTGCACCCGGAACGGGCAAGACCGGGCATACGCGCCGAGATGGGTCAACACCGGGTGGACCATCGGGGGCGAATTCAGGCAGTGCAACGCGGAGGAGGATGAGCCAGTTGGATGATGGGGATGGGGATGGGGACGATACGTTTGGACCGGGGGGTGGGAGGGAGTTACTGAGGGATGATTTCGATGATGGTACGGTTGTCAATTAGAGTGTATCACAGGTAAAGTAGAGTCGTTGCTGATGATCAGATGAGCCCGAGATACCCCGAGCACCGATGTTCAAGTCCAGTACGTCCACTTCTGCCCCAAGGAGGTCCATGTAAGCTGACGTCCAGAAACCCCCACGTCCATCAATCTCCCCTCCGGCTCCCAGCTCCCCCCTCGTACCCCAACCGCCGCCTACTCTTCCCTTCCCTCCCCCTCCACAGCTTCCCCAAGGACGTATGGCCGGAACCTCAAGTCCAACAATGCCAGCGGCGCGGCGGGCCGGAAAGGATCCACCATTGGCGTAGGGTATCGACCATCACCTGCTCCAGGCACTGCGCCCACCACAGGTTCCGGCCTCGGTGCTGGCGCCGGCGCAAGCGTCAACATTCATGCCCATGCCTCACCAAGCGGGACGGGTTGGGGGTCTAGGCGGACCACGATGGGAACGACAACGGACGGGATGGGGGAGCAGGATATGGATCTCGATCTCGATCTGGACCTCGAGCTGGGGCCGGATATGAATATCGATATCGACGCCGAGCTGGATAATTTCGGAAGCGGAAGTGGGGGTGGCGATAGTCTAGAGCCGGAGCCAGAGCCGGAACCTGAGGCTGAGCCGGAGCCGGAGCCGGAGGTGTCGAAGACGAACCAAAAGGGCAAGGCGAAGGAGAAAGAAACTGGGAAGGATAAAGATAAAGGGAAGGGCAAAAAGAAGGGGCGTCAAGATCCAGACGAGGAGGAGGACGTGGAGGCTGCCGATCAGAGTATGGACGGTGCGGGTGGGTCGGGTGGTGGAGGTGGGGTCGGGGAGGAGGATGATGACGACGATGAGGAGGAGGTAGAGATGGGTCGAAGGGAGACGCTCAAAAGTCGGCTTTCTACCAAATCGAATTGGAGGCGGATGGCGGATAGTGAGATGGGGACTGTACGGGGGAGTTTAGGCGGGCAGACGGATATGGATCCGGAGTTGGATGGTGGGGATGAGGGGGATGAGGGGATGCAGTTGGGGGGTATGGACGATGGTGAGGATGACGATCGGCCTGAGCAGGAGCAGGGGCCGGAAGGGGGAGATGGGGAAGAACAGGAGGGTGATGAGGAGGAGGAAGATGAGGATGTGGGGATGGAGCAGGCTGCTGTCGATGCTGAAGAGAATGGGGAGGGGGATGCAGATGAGGACGAGGAGGGGGAAGAAGCAGATGTACCAAGGGCGAACGGCCGGCGCAAGAAGGCGGCGGGGAAGGCTCGACAAGTCAACGGAGCGGGTGGGCTGAATAAGCGCGGAGCGGACGGGAAGGTCATCAAGAAGAAGACTAGGATCTCGCAGATTGGAGGTGGTGAGTTTAGCTTCCTACGCGTTACCCTCTGAGACGGATACTCCCAGGTGGACTGGACTTGGCAAAGCTGACGTGACAGATGGAAATGGCGTCGAAGGCAACTTCACAACCCGCCGTTCCGGCCGCCAACATATCGCTCCGCTCGCGCACTGGCGGGGCGAGAAGGTCGAATACCGGCGCGGGGTATACGGTACGGAAATCTCGGGGGTCGTGCATGTTCCGGTCGAGCAGAGTCTGCCGCTTGCGGGCGCGGCGAAGCGCCGGCGGGCTCGGTCGAGGAGCATGAGTGTCCGGCCGAAGGGCGGGCGCGGGGGCGGTGGAGGGGGAGGGGTAGGGGAGAATGGGAATGGGGTGTGGGTGCATCCTGAAGCGGGGTGGGACGATATGACGCAGCCGCTGGGCAAGGTGATTGATTTCGAGACGGGTTTGGAGACTGAGCGACGTGAGTTTCTCTTTGGGCCTTGCGGCAGACGGCAGGGGTCGGTGGGATGAAAAGGGATGAGAAGGGGAGCTGATGGGCATAGGTGTGATGTATCCCGCCAGACTACTCAACCCCAAAGTCGTCGATGGGGAAGGCCACTTTCGGTATCAGAAGGTGTTTGGGGATGATGTGTATATGGCGTCGGGGATATTGGAATTGCCGGCGGGGACGGGGATGAAGCCTGAAAAGTCGAGTAAAGACAATTCTTATGTGAGTTGGGGTCGGCCTAGACGCTGGACCGTCGGAGGAGCAGAGTCGCTTGGGTAAGGGGGGATGAGCTGATCAGTATAGTCATTCTACGTCGTCCAAGGTGCCGTCAGGATCACGCTACACCGCACGTCCTATATCCTCGCTCCGGGCGGTATGACCCTTGTTCCCCGAGGTAAGTCTTTGCTTTCTTGTACTGGGCTCTGGAATTATGGCTGATATGATAATAGGCAACAAATACTCCATCCAGAACATCTCGGAGAACGACGCGGTCCTCTTCTTTGCTCAAGCTCGCAAAATCCGGATGCGGGAAGAGGAGGAGGCTGCCAATGCGGCTGCATCCCAGAGTCAGGGTCAGAGCCAGCGGTCCAATAGAGCGGCATCGAGCTCGCAGGTCGGGGTAGGGGGGAAAAGGAAGAAGCACGCGATGAGGGCTGTAGAGGAGGAAGAGGAAGAAGAAGAGGGGGCGGAGGGAGCGGAAGAGGAGGATGGGGAAGAGGATGAGGAGGTGGTGGTTGTGGAAAAGAGCAGGGCGAAGGGGAAGAAGAGGGGGAAGGTGAGGTAGTGCTCACGCCTGGAGGAGGGGAGAAGGGGGGAAGGGGGATTGGGATTCTTGCTGGGCTTCCTGGGATTTGATGATGAGACTTGACGACTGATATGAGGCCATGAGTAGGAGACGCTTGGGTGGGAGTATATATAGTACGTAGAGCAGATATAACGATGCAAGAGACCGAAGATAGACCATACTCGAGGCCTTTGGCGGTCGGCGGCAGGGGCCGCCTCGGAATCGCAAGCGGTCGGATCCGATCTTGGATTTCTACCGCTTTGGGAAATCGAAGTCCTTTGAGTCATCGTAGCTCCTCCCTCTCTATACTTGTCTGTTGTTATTTTGCTATAGCATAGCCTGTCTCTTACATCTCGACCTACGCCTACAGACGCAGCAGCGTATCCTACGTGATCAGAGAGAGAGTAGAGAAACCCAACATGGTCCAGCCGAACAGGGCCAACCTGTAAGTTAGGGAGGGGGCTGGAAACGTCGAAGGGGCGGTGCTGACCAAGACCTTTCTATTTCTCCGACTCTCTACCTGCTTGACACTCTTCGCTATTTTCGACTCTGCCGCACATCCGCTCGCTACTACGCTACCTATCTATCGGGACTTTGATATGCTACATGGGATTATTGGAAACAGGGAGAAGTCGATCCGGATAACGAGTGAGTTCTATTCCCCTGCCTATTTTCGGTCGAGATGTGATATGGACGTGGACCGAGCTGATCACGTTTCTTCTTCTCTCGCTTCTCCTCTGCCATCTATGTAACCCCATGTTATCGCCTTCTCCATCTCGCCCCCTCGGCTCATCGATAATCCCTGATCCCGCGCGCCTCCTTTGTCGAACCCCTCCGCCCTTTCTCCTCCGCCGCACTTCCGTCATTATCACCAACAGTCGTCGCTGCCGATTCGCTCATCAAGCGGGACATCCTGCGTCTGCCGGACCCGTTCGCGATCGTCTCGGTCGATGGGGAGCAGATCCACACGACGAGCGTCATCAAGAAGACGCTGAACCCTTATTGGAATGAGTGAGTTTTTGGCCGTGATTGCGATTCGGAGAGAATTATTACTGATCGTACAGGAATTTTGACATGTCAGTTGATGAGGGAGCAGAGCTTCGAGTATCAAGCTGACAACTAGTACCGTCAAGGACTCGTCCGTCGTCGCTGTTCAGATCTTTGACCAGCGCAAGTTCAAGCGGAAGCAGGACCAGGGATTCTTGGGTGTCATCAACCTGAAGGTATCGGATGTGATCGATCTGGAGCTTGGCGGGCAGGGTGAGTGTTTTCACCACTGTTCAGAAAGGGATGTCGAGGGGAACGGCCGCGCGGAGATAGCTCTAAGGAAGAACAGCCGAATTATAGCTGACTTTTAGAAATGCTCACTCGCGAGCTCCGCAAGGGATCCGACCAGGTCACCGTCCAGGGCAAACTCATCGTCTACCTTTCTACCCAGACCCAGACCCCTATCGCCAACCCCGGCCCGTCCACGTCCACCTCGGGCGCCACCATCGCGTCCACCGCTGCCGATACCTCGGCGGCAACTTCCCGCCCCGCTTCGTCCATCCGGCCGTCTGATGACCCACCCGCCATCCAGCCGGAGAATCAGACACCCATCATTACCGCTCCATCAGCGGCTGTTCCGCTCCCGCAGAACCCGAACGCGGTCGCTGCGGCCTCCCTCGGCGCGCCTACCGTCATGCCCTCTGCTCAGGCGGCGTCTACCGGTCAGACCGGTACCAACAACACGCCTGGCCACCAATTCGACTCGCACGCTGACCAGCTCGGTCGGTTGCCTGAAGGCTGGGAGCGCCGGATCGACCACCTCGGGCGTCAATACTATGTCGACCACAACACGCGTACCACCACCTGGAACCGTCCTAGCGACAGCCAGAGCAGCAACACTGCCAACCAGGCTACGTCGACCACGGAGGCGCGTGCGCGTCACAACCAGCGTACCCTCGCGGATGACATGCTGGACGTCCAGCACGGCAGCGCGGGAACGGGCGCTACCACCCCTACCGCGGGCGGCGCGGCCGTTCCTGGTGCTCAGAGCAACGTCACATCGGTCGGAGCGGGTCCTTTGCCCGCGGGATGGGAGCAGCGGTTCACCCCCGAGGGTCGGCCGTACTTTGTCGACCACAACACGCGGACCACCACCTGGGTCGATCCGCGTCGACAACAACTCCTGCGCGTGATCGCTCCGGGCCAGGGCAACCTCTCTGTCCAGCCCCAAACCGTCTCGCAGCTCGGCCCCCTTCCCTCGGGCTGGGAAATGCGACTCACCTCTACGGCGCGCGTCTACTTTGTCGACCACAATACCAAGACGACGACATGGGACGACCCGCGTCTCCCGTCCTCGCTCGACCAGAATGTGCCGCAGTACAAGCGCGACTTTAGGCGCAAGCTCATCTACTTCCGGTCTCAGCCGGCTTTGAGGAGCAACACGGGGCAGTGCCATATCAAGGTGTCGCGGGAGAGTATCTTTGAGGGGAGTTATACCGAGATTATGAGGCAGAGCCCGAATGATCTCAAGAAGAGGTTGATGATCAAGTTTGAGGGGGAGGATGGATTGGATTATGGAGGATTGTCAAGGTTAGTCCACCTGTCGAGTGTACTCATGAGAGCGGAGCTGACAAGTACAGAGAATTCTTCTTCTTGCTCTCGCACGAAATGTTCAACCCCTTCTACTGTCTATTCGAATACTCTGCCCACGACAATTACACGCTCCAAATCAACCCCAACTCAGGCGTCAACCCCGAACACCTCAACTACTTCAAATTCATCGGTCGCGTCGTCGGACTCGGAATCTTCCACCGCCGCTTCCTCGACGCCTACTTTATCGTCTCGTTCTACAAGATGATTCTGAAGAAGAAGATTGCGCTGCCGGATCTGGAAAGTGTGGATGCGGGATTGCATCGGGGATTGACGTGGATGCTGGAGAATGATATCACGGACGTGATTGAGGATACGTTCAGTATTACCGAGGAACACTTTGGGGAGGTTGTGACGGTGGATCTGAAGCCTGGGGGACGGGACGTGGAGGTTACGGAGGATAACAAGAAGGATTATGTCGAGTGAGTGCGAGTTCATTGAGTGGCGAGTGGGAGAGGGGTGAGGGGGGATTGAGGAGATGAGGTGGCGTCTGGGTAGAGGGTGTTGGGGTCTTTTGATGAAATGAGAAGGAGAATGCTGACCCTCAGCTATGTGACCGAATACCGGATCTCCCGCCGAGTCTCGGAACAGTTCGACGCATTCATGTCGGGTTTCAACGAGTTGATTCCCCAGGAGCTCATCAACGTGTTTGACGAGCGCGAGCTGGAGGTCAGTCTTGCTTCCACTTAGCTCCCTCCTCTTGCCCTTCTCGTTCCTCTTCCTACTCTGCTCATCCCCTACTCGCTTACCAGTCTCCTTATTGAGTATTTTCAAGGTGAACCCGAGCTGACACCCCAGTTGCTCATTGGCGGAATGTCCGAAATCGACGTGGACGACTGGCAGAAGCACACCGACTATCGCGGGTACAACCCTAGCGATGAAGTCGTCGAGTGGTTTTGGCAGATTGTCAAGGCGTGGCCGGCCGAGAGGAAGAGTAGGCTGTTGCAGTTTACGACGGGGACGAGTCGGATACCAGATAAGTCTTGTTCCTCTGGCTTGGTTTTGGAGAGTCGGGACGGTGGGTGGTGTACCTTGGCAGAAGAGAGGGAAGGTGGGGAAGTTATGAGCGCGGAATCCATGGGGCCACAGGAGAAAGGGGATAAGGGGATATGGGGAAAGGGGATCGGTGCGGAAAGGGCTATAGCTGACTTTAGTACTGGCCGGCTTTAAGGACCTGCAGGGCTCAGACGGACCTCGACGTGAGCTCTCTCCCTCCTGCTCTAGTCTACAGGTCGAGGACACGAGCTAACATACCTAGGATTCACCATTGAGAAGGCGGGCGAGATCAACCAGCTGCCCAAGAGTCATACCTGCTTCAATCGGATCGATCTGCCGCAGTATCCTACCTTCCAGCTTCTCGAGAACAAGTTGACTATTGCGTGAGTTGTCTCTCTGCGCTGTGTATATCCCCCTTCCAGCCGCTTCACTCCTCGTCGTGGAGTTCAGGCGGTGAGGGTATTGTCCGATTGGCGGAGTTTGGGGAGTGGCGAAAGGATTCCGGCAGGGTGGCAAAGTGCCACATCCCTCATTCCTCTTGGTTCTCGCATTACCATCTCTCATCCAATATGGACTCAAGCTGACTAGTCACAGCGTAGAGGAGACCCTTGGCTTCGTGAGACCTCTTTCATCCTGCACTCCATCAAGTCCCGAGCTAATGTCAACAGGGTGTCGAATAAACGCTTGCCTCATCTCAAATCCCGCCTCCTTATCCCCAACTCGTCCCATACATACTTCGATCATCTCGCTTACACGCCACTATCTCGACTCTCTCCTCTCTTCCTGTCTCTATACACGCTTCATGTCTACCTCGTCTTCGACCTCGGCATCGGCTTTGGCTTGGCTTCGGCGACCGGCTCGAAAGCAATGAGGCAGGGAGCTACTTGTACTTTTTTCTGTATCTGTGTGGTTTTTGGCGTATGCAATCTAGTATTCTTATCATCGTACTGACTTGGATAACTCGCATGCTTCACAGTCTGATCCAGTCTGATCGGGATTGACAAGAAATGCATAACGACATGAAATACACACCGGAACGGTCTCGGAAACAAAGGAGAAGGACGAGCGGGAACAAAGACTTCGGAGACCGGTCAGCCGCTGAAGTCAAGCCCCCGCAGCAGCCTTCCCTATTCAACGGGACTGGGCTCCTCAACACCAACCTCGTTCAAGTTGCAGTAGAGACCGAGAAGGTCCCGACCGAAGCGGTGCGTTCGCTGCTCAACGTCACGGACGCACTCTGCCAGCTCCTTCACGCATTGAAGCTGTGGCTTCCGGCCGATCGAGTCAAAGTCGCACCCCTTCGCGAACGCCAACTCCTGCGCCTTCCGCAGCTCCTCCCAAGCCGATTCCAAGCGAGTCTCGGAGAGTCGAAGGCAGCTTGCCGGACTGAGGACGCCCTCATTTTCGGGCTGCTCATTGAGGTCCGTGTACCGCGCGAGGTACCCCGCCACCTCCACCAACAGGCCCAGAGACTCGTTGTACACTTTCCACTCATCCGTCTCATGGAAACCGGTGTCATGTGTCCCTTCAGTCGCCCTCTTGAACGCTGCAATAGCCTGTCGCCTCAGCCTCAGACTTGTCCAGGCTTGTCGGGCAGCGCCGCAGCGGTTGAAACTCACCTGATTTTTGACCCAGTCCACAGTGTCTGTATGAACGAGCTCCAGGACACGCTTCGCCACGTCCGAGTCCAGCACCATACCCACCTCGTTCTGTTTTTGAGATAAATCGAAGCGTGTTCCGCTGTAGAGCGTCTGGCCCTGGCTCACAAAGTCCTTCCAGTGAGGAAGAATGTACCGGATTGATGTCTCACTTGCAGTGGGGGTCACATTGGTCTTGGTGGCGATGTCCATAGCCGGTTCAGGGATTGTCGACATCTCTGGCGATAGTGGTTGGTGGATGGATCTGGAGCTGCGGAAAGTGGCGAAAGGTGGCGAAAGGGAAAGAGTACGGGCAGGATGGAGGGGTCTGGCTGAAGCCCATATATCCCTCGGTCCGCTCTGCGTTTTGAACTGCGATCAGTGCATTCCTTTCATGCCTAGCACCGCATGTCACACCGTGTCCTTATCACAGAGCAGTGTCAAATGACTCATTGGCAAGCTCCGAGGCGCTCCACATTGTCATACGCGTATCAGCACGATGCTCCCTTCATTCCTCACCCTCTGGCTCGTCCGATACGATCTGTAGAGACTCTTTGACATGCATGCGACTGTCATTCTAGCCAGTTCTTGGGGGTCTACATAGAATACCCAGGTCCTACGGACCCGGCTGACGCGGGATCATCGTTCGGCGATTCGCCACCGTGAACCTGCGGTATGTGCCGGGCAAGCTCTCTTCTCCGGTGAGTCAGATCGTGCGACGTATGAGGTAGCATTACCACAGATGCTGCGCTGCCGCTTCTCTTGGTACAGTATTAGCGGCTGTGTTTGGCTGGCGTATACGAGGCTGGAGTACTGCTGTTGGCCTGCCCACAGCATACCGCTGTCATCATCGTGACGTAAGTCAGGCACGAGATTAAGCTTATCGGAGACAACTTTTTGAAACGCGCCCACCTGTCCTTTCACATCGGTACTCGCGCACTGGGAGGTGATGAAGCAGTCAGATACAGCCTAGGTCTCTCCTGCGCCCAACAAGACTGCTATATGGGACGGCACATATCCGCTGTAACCCCTACTATATACATAGCGGTCCCAACCGGACCTTGGACGCCAGAGCCGCAAGCCGTGATCTGACGATGGAAGCCGAGATTCGGTGCGCCATGCCGCTAGCCGCCGAGCCCACACACACAAGCCTCGTCCCTCCGCAACAGACCCCAGGCCTCGTCCCTTTGAGGCTTTCAGCAATCTCCGACAAGCTTTGGGGTCAGCTCACCATGCCAATCAAGTCAGACATCCGGTACCTTCGACTTGCCTATATCTCCGTTGCGAGGCGCTTTTACCGCTTGCGTATTGACCCCTTCACCTAGTCAATCACTTTTTCGATGCACCGCGTCACCTTGCCTATCACCCCTCGCGATCGACTGTCTGAGAGCAGGACATATAGCAATGACACCCCAGATCTTGTTTGCTGACGCCTCTCACTCATCCCTCACCCTCTCTCCAATCTCTCTCTCGGTTGCCCCACTCCTCATTGCACATCTTCCTTGGACATGAAGCTCGCGATACTCTTCAGCTTCGCAGCACTGGTGCTCTCTACAGTCTCATCTACTCCCGCTCGTCTGTGGCCGCAGACTGCGCGGATCGACGGGAGAGCGGCTCGTAAAGCCTTTCACGGAGTTGATTATATGACCAATGCCGAGCGTATGAAGCGGTGAGTCATAGTGACGACTACAACAGTGCTCCCACTCAGCCTGAGCTAGGCTGACATGTACAGAAAGCTTCCCCTCAATCCACCCGTTCGCCGAGCCAAACGCAACACGGTGAAGGGCATGGCGAAACGTCTCGACGCGGCACCTGCCGCAGCTATGGCTAGCGGATCGTCGACCCGCTACGGTTTCCTCTTCTGTACCTACGAGGATCCCGGTGAGTAATCGTGTGCCAGAAGTTGTGCCCCGTCTCAGGCTCGGCTACACTCAAGAGTCACCGCTGACTCTCCTTGCAGCTTTCAGAAACCTCTACTTGATCTCCACCACCGACATCCAGGAGGCTGTCAATACCTGTGCAGGATATCAGGTCCGCGACCTCGGAGATGTTGGTGGGCAATTCGCTGTCTCTGATGCCTCGCTCGAAGGGTCGTTGTTTGAGTGTTCTATCGGTATAGTGCTCCCCAATAGTAATAGTACGGGAAAATACCAGGCTGATATACCATTACCATGGTCCTTAGTATGGTAAATTACTAATACCAGCTATATGCCTTGGTATTAGTATGGTATTTAGTATCGCCCCCCGCGAATCCAGTGGTAGCAGGTATTACCAAGTACTAGGCCTGGTATACCAAAAATACTACAGCTTTTCCGCCACCCGTCCTTTCCTGAGCTGCTTACTGAGTAGCAGTCCCGCCAGGAGGACTCTGCGTCAGTCTTACAGCTCTCAAGTAGCCTTTTGGTACATGCGGACATGCACTGGCGCTGCTTCTGCATCTGTGACCACGAACGGCACTCCTTTGTTCGAAGTCAGACACTATTTTGTCCGAAGTCAGACACCACTTTGTCCGAAATCAGCACCGCTTTGATTGGTCTACAGCCTGATTATGGCTCTACCATGGCCTGAGAGGGTGATGACGGGGATGATTGGACTACGTTGCTGCTCAAAGAAAGCCTCAATGTTCGCATGCTTGCAGCCACATACGACTTTGGTGGCGGACTGGGTGGCAACGGAAGCAAAGATTGCTCCTCATGTTCCTCACTGGGTCTCACCTATGTCCGCACTTTCAGTTAGAATCGTATGATTCTGAGCCTCAGCCTCAACCTGTAATAACCAGAGGATGCATGTACTGACCTGAGCCTCAGCCTCAACCTGTAATAACCAGAGGATGAGGAGAGACCCAAGAGTTTCGCCCACTACAACTCTACAAGGGCGTGAAGGGTGATTACCTAAACTATGTGTCACGTGACCTGTTTCAACTCTCCCCTTCACCCGAACGCCCGAACTCCCCTTGCTCAAACTCCCCTTATCTGCACTCCCCTCACTCCTGCTCTTCTCGCTCCCCTCGCTCCTGCTCCCCTCCATCTGTAGCCACCTGACTCGCAGGGGACGCACGCCAGAGTAAGAGGCCCAGCGCGGTAGCTAGCTGGTGTGTCCGAGGACCCGGTAGGGATTTGGTGAGGAGGTCCGCCTTGTTGAGTTCAGTGCGGATGTACTCGAGCTTGAGAACACCATCGACGCGCAGCTCCCGTAGATAGCCGGCCTTGATACCAAAGTGCTTGGTCGCGCCGTGATTTTGGGGGTGTTTGGAGAGGGTGATGGCGGATTGATTGTCGTTGTAGACGGTGGTGGCGGTGTGCTGGGGAAGACCGATATCGCTGAGTAGCTGACGGAGGAATTCCAGCTGTCGAGCCGCTTCTGTGGAGGCCAAGACCTCCGCCTGTGTAGTGGAGAGCGCGATGGCTGGCTGGCGCCGGACCTTCCACGCAATCGCTCCCCCATACTCGTAGATCCACCCGGTAGTAGACCGACGTGTATCCTCGCAGCCACCCCAATCCGCGTCCGCATATCCCACCAATCCCCTACGCAGCGCTTCTTCTCCATCATAGGTGATGGACAGCCCGGATGTACCGCGGATGTATCGGAGGAGGTGCTTGGCTGCTCGGTAGTGCTCCATGCTCCATCTGCTGATGTACCGGCAGAGGACGGATGCGGAGTAGGATATGTCTGGACGGGTAATCGACGCGAGGTAGAGGATGCCGCCCGCCATGGCTGGGTAGTCGAGGTGTTTCGCCTCCGCCCATTCCTCGTCTGTTGCCTTTGTGGGCTTGAAACTGGTGGGGAAGGGGACACGAGTGGGGGATGCTTCCTTCATGTCGAACCGACCGAGGAGCTCCTCAACGTAGTGGCCCTGGGAGATTGAGAGCTTGCGTTGCGCCCGATCGCGCCGGATCGTGATGCCAAGGAAGTATGACATTTCTCCCCCATCCTGGCACTCGAAACGGGCGTTGAGGCGAGCCTTGAACGCGTCTAGCTCCTTCCGACACGACGATGCGATGAGCTGATCGTCGACATGGACGGAGAGCATCATAAAGAGCTCCCCTACCCGCCGGACGTATAGGCAGGGATCCGCGGGTGATGGAACGAACCCCTCCGTCCGGAGCCACTCGTCCAGAGTTTTGTTGAAGAGGTGGGGCGCCTGCTTGAGACCGTACAGCGATCGCTGCAGCCGGAGGACGTGTCCTTCCGGGACGTTGCTGCCTTCCGGAGGTTCCACGTGGATGAGATGGTCGATATCGCTATTGAGGAAGGCGCCTTTGATATCGACCTGATCGCACTCGAGGTCATGCGCGTTGACCACCGACAGGAAGAGACGGATCGAGTCTTTGTGCGCGACCGATGCCCAGAGGTCCGAGTAGTCCCGACCTTTGACCTGTTGGAATCCGCGGACGACGAAGCGAGCTTTGAACTTGTTGGGTACCCCCGAGATGGCGTCGATCTTCTCGGTAAAGACCCATTTCCCGGTCAGGGCGCGGTGCCCCTTTGGCATATTCTTTCTCGGCACCGCCACCCATACTTGGTACTTCTCCATATTGTCCAGCTCTTTCACAATCGCCTCGTCCCACTTTTCCTTCTCAGGTGACCCCTTTGCCTGCTTGTACGTCTTGGGGATATTCTGCGCCGACGCGGCGGCCATCAGAGCGATGAGAGCTCGACGCGGAGGCTCGACCGCTTGCTCCTCCGCACGAGCGGCACGAGTGGGGTATCTCCTCTCCTGATCCCGGAGCTCGATTGGCTCTACCGGTCGCTCTTGGAATCCGGGAGGTGGCCGCGGTTCCTCGACGTATTGCCAGTGACGGGCGTCTGCGGGCGGGATACCGAGGGCCTCTTCCGTTCCAGCTGTCAGGATATCCGGCTCCCCTTCTCCCCACTCATCTTCATCGTCCTCGTCTTCCTCCCATTCCTCCTCCTCGATGATCGCGAGGTCCGGCTGGAGATTTGGACTTGGCGTGGCGAGCGCCGGAGGATTAGCAGAGGGGGGTGTGATACCGACGTAGTTCAAAGGGATGACATCGCGAGAGGTGATTACGCGACGGAGGAGGGGGTCGTAGATGCGGTAGAAGGAGGCGTCTGGCTCGTATCCGACGATGACTGCTTTACGAGCTCGAGGGAGGAGTTTGCTTTGCTGTTCAGTGACCCTGTACATCACAGCTTGGCCGAAAGCTTGGAGATGGCTGATATCGACCGTTTTGCCTTGCCAAAGGTCTTGCGGTGATTTGTCCGACCCGGCGCGCAGGGTGCGGTTCCGAGTGTGAGCGGAGTACCGTGCTGCCTCGGCCCAAAAGGAGGGCGGGAGCCGGCTTGACGCGAGAAGCGTGCGGACGTCATTCAGGGTGGTTAGGTGGGACCGCTCCACCCGCCCATTTTGAGAGTGATCGGCGGGCGGAATGACGGCGTGCGATATCCCCTTATCCGCGAACCAGCCTCTGAGCGAGCGAGCGAGGAATTCTCCCCCCGCATCGCTGCGCACCAGCTTGACCGTGCTCCCCTGCTGATTCTCGCCCCAGGCTATGAGCCGCTGGAGAGCTTTGCACGCGTCCGACTTGAGGACGAGGGGTGTACTGGTGACGTGATGTGTGTAGTCATCGTAAGAGGTGAGGAGGTATCTCGAGCCGTCCCGAGCGGCGACCGAGGATGGACCCCATAGATCCACCGATATGACCTCAAAGGGGCGCGTGGCTCGCGTCGTCCCTTCCCCCGTGTTCTTACGCCTAGTCTTCCCTTCCAGACACGGTATGCATTTCGCCTTACTCCCCACATTCTCTTCCCATCCTTTACCCAGACGCCCGCTCTTTCCCAGCCTTGTTACGCCAGCGGGATTAAGATGACCGCACCTGTCATGCCAAGAGGTAGGGGCATGGTCAGCGCGGGCGACGGGAGGTGAGGGCGTAGGGGAAGGGGAAGGGGTATCGCGTACCGTGTAGAGACCGTCTCGGATGGGGGCGTGGAGGTGGACCTTTCCGTCGGGACCGCGGAGCGTGCTGGTGTCATCCGCGAAAGTCCAGCTCCAGCCGTTCCTGGCGACACGGCGGACAGAGAGGAGGTTGTGGGCGAGGAGGGGGACGTGATACGAACCGCGCATGCGCAGTTTGCCGACCTTGAGGTCGCCCTTTCCGACGGCTTCGACGTATTTGCCGTCGCCGACCTGGACTTGGACGGGCTTGGCGAGGGGTTTGTAGTTGAGAAGGAGGGATTTGTCCTTGATAAAGTGTTCCGACGCGCCCGAGTCGGCGATGACGGAGGCCTGGTTGGCCTGGACAGACAGCGCAAAGCCCGCGAGTGTCGCGAAGCTGCAGCTGACCGAGGAGGTGTCCGACGCGGCATCGAACCAGAACTCCTCGTCCCCCTTGGTCTCATTCTTGCCCTTGACCGCCATCGCCTTCCTGCCCTCCTGCTTGGCCTTGCCCTCCTGTCTAGGCGGCTTGACTCCGAAGCAGTTGGATAGGTCGTGGCCGTACCGCTTGTGCTCGGGGCAGTACAAGCTCGGGTCGTCCCCCAAAAGCCTTTTCCCGTCCGGGCCCAGCTTCGGCTCGTACCTCCTAGCCCCGCTGCTCCCCTTCCCGCTCTCTGCTCCCTTCTGTTCCCGCACCTTGGGCTGCACCTTGGCAACATAGCCCTTGGCGTCGACCGCCATGCCCTCGCGTTCGCGCGCGCGGAAGACGTTATCGACCTTGGTGATGATGGTTTGGGGGTCGGGGAGGTCATCGTCGTCCGCCGGCAAGAGTGACTCGACGGTGGGGCGGAAGGAGTAGGGAAGGGTTTTGAGCATGAAGTAGACCTTCATGTGGGTGAGGAATTTGGACAGGGTCCAGGAGCTTGCGGTAGCCGAATCCGAAATTTGCTCGACGAGGGATTTCATGAGCGCGAGGTTGTCGCCGGGATTGGCGTTCTCCTCCGTCTTCATCTCGCACGCCTGGCTCCACAGCTCCGCCATGCGACTCGGCGAGGCGGCGCTGTACTGCTTGACGAGCCAGTCCCATAAGCCCTTGGTATCGGGCTTACGAGGATCCGCCAAATCCTCCGGCACCCGAAGCCGGACGGAGGACGAGAGTGCGTTGAAGATGGTCATGTAGGCCTTCTTGTGATCCTTCACGCACTTCTCCAGCGCCTGCTCCTTCCGATCCGCCTCGCTGGGGGTCAATGTTGACTCATCCCACTTCGACCACCGCTGGGGGACTTTGCCTTGAGCCCCAGAAAGGGTGGCGTTGGTGTAGTCGTCAATGTCCTTATTGGCGAGTAGCCCGAGGACGTTCCGACTCCAGCTGGTGTAGTCGTCGGCGCCGGAGAGGCACACGATCGAGCGAGACGTGGTTTCGACGTAGAGATCCTCCATCCTGGTTGTGTTGAGTGGTATTTGCTGAAAGGCTGGCCCGGATCGATTTCGATACGACGAGCGGCGTTACCAAGTCAGAGTTATACCACCGTACCAAAAGACAATTGCCACTTGGGAGTAGCATACTCATATTCTAACTCTCCCCCATGCGACGATACCTAGTGGTCGGGTGTATCACGTTGTTTAAGCAGGCTACTGCTGATATACGTTGTTTTCAGGGAGACTTCTCCCTACCTCGTGGAATCGCTAAAGTCTTCAACATCGAGGGTTTCGAACCTGCGACCAATGGTAGTGTGAACGAAGAGCGGCGTTACCAAGTTAGAATCGTATGATTCTGAGCCTCAGCCTCAACCTGTAATAACCAGAGGATGCATGTACTGACCTGAGCCTCAGCCTCAACCTGTAATAACCAGAGGATGAGGAGAGACCCAAGAGTTTCGCCCACTACAACTCTACAAGGGCGTGAAGGGTGATTACCTAAACTATGTGTCACGTGACCTGTTTCAACTCTTTCGGTACGAAATGAGCAGGGGTAGGCTTAGGGAGGAGCGCTCCTGGCAATCTGAGCACCTTTATAGCATCATACGGCGCTCTATTGGACGATGGAGAGTAGTCTAGAGATTTCCACTCGGGCCTGGTATACCATGATATACCAGCTTGGTATTGGTATTTTACCAATACCATGCTCTCCCGCCTGGTATAGTACAATTACTTACCAGACGATTCTCCTGGTAGATAGTATGGTATTTGGTATTGGCCTCCGGCCCTCCACTGGTATTAGTATATCTACCAAAATACTATTGGGGAGCACTATATCGGTACAGCTGCGGACCCCGCCTTGGCAGTGGTCTGCGATTTTGGTAATCGTGCTGTTTACGCTGCGTAGGGCTTGTGATCGTCTAGAAAGTCTTGATAGATCATTATGATGGTATCTTCGGACAGCGTATGCGGCCTCACGCTATATATGACGTTCCGTTCAGACATTGACCAATGACAATCGCGCCGTCTTGCTGCTTGAACGGACGATCGGACGGAACACCAACTAACACCCATAGCGCCCTTCTAGTCGGCCACCAAAAGTCTGCCATCCATCTCGCCCACGGCTCAACTCAACTCTCTCTCCTCAGGTCTCATCTTCGCCTCTTCTTCAGCACACTCCGAGTCATGCGGAGCCGCCACACTGCACCATCACGGCATATGCATCAGGAATGACGAGCTGTCTTGAAAAGCCATTTTGGCGACATAATGCCGCCCGCACTGACGGGCAACAGCCCATCGGCGGGGCAAAGCTGTACTGCACTCCCAACAAGCTAATCGTCCAGAGCTGATACATAGCGACAGTGAGTGCACCATGGATGCCTTAAGTCAACCTTCACGCCGAATCCAAAAACTTTAAACTACATGCTTACGGCAGGTCTGGGATAAGGTTATCAGTGAAAATTGCCCCTTCTGATAAGGCACTCCATAATCCTCCGCTGCTCCGCATCCCATCCTCGCTCTGCTTGAGGATACCTCCGCTAACATGTCAGCTAGAAGAACGCCATGCAGTCTCTCTTCTCTACTCCAACAGTACTGAACTCACATCTGACCAAGCTCAGACGATACCCACACGATGAAGCTCGCCAATTCCTGCTGGATCGCAGCGATACTCCTCGCTGTCACGTCAGTCGCGGTTGAAAGCGCGGGTCAGACACACGTTCTTGTTACTCGCGGTCCCGCTTGGCCTAGATCTGTTCGGGTGGATGGATACCTTGCTCGCAGAGTCGCTAGGGCCGGCGGCTTGACCAACGCGGAACGTATCAAGCGGTGAGTACTGGACGTTACTCCTGCGCTTTGCAGGCGCGACCTCGATCTGGCGACGTGTCAAACTTCCACTGACATGAGCTGACGTAGCCAGAGGCTTGCCACTGAATCCTCCCGTACGCCGCATCTCGCGCCCACAGCCAATGCACAAGCGATTCGACCCTGCACCTGCCAACGCCCAGGCGTCCGGATCGTCCGCCCGCTTTCGGTTCGTTACCTGCACGTTCCAGACCTTGAGTGAGTCTCTGCTCCCCGCTTGGTCCCTCAGACACAGGGAAAGGATACAGCAGCTGATACCACCTCAGTCTTCTTCGAATCCTACACCCTCAACACGGGCAGCGATCAAGCAGCGGCCCAAGCGGCGGTGGACCAATGCGCGGGCCTTCAGGCCATCGATAATAGAAGTGCCACTGGACAGTTTATCGTACGGAAACCAGTCACTTCCGGATTTGAGTGTTATACTGTCACGAATGCGGATCCTGCGGCTGGAGAGATATGTGATGATGAGAATTGGGATCTATGCTGCGTAGGCGCGCAGGAAGGGCTGTGTATCTAGGGTTGATAGCTTATAGAAATGTAGATCTTTGTTGTTGGAGACCCGTAGATTTTCGGTACGGGCAGGATGCTACTAGATAGCCGTCATCCCTATATGCTGATGGTACCTCCCCTCATGCTTACACAGGTACAGATACAGCTCGTCTCGTACCAGAAGCTCCGCCATCCCACGCGCCCCCAAGGCTCAACATGCCTCGTAGCGCAGCTTTATACCTTCGGCACTGTCCTTCAGCCCTGGCCTGGATACACTTCACACATCGGGCTTGTACTGATTGATACTGACAGATGCATTCTGTCCCCACGCATTGGCTTATACATGTTGTACAACGCTTCCTCATTAATTGCCCCAGGCCAGACCAGACGAGACCCCACGTGTCCTCCGCGCCTCGTCCCTACCGTTACAACACCCAGCACCACCCACTCTTCGCCCACCCTCCCCCTCCCTCTCCCCTTCACTATCTCTTCTTCCCACCCCCAAACCCCGAGAACCCCAACATCCCCTCCAGCCCCTGCATTTCCCTCGCCTTATCCTCCCTCTCTTTCGCGCCCGCCCCAGCTTCCAGCCCTATCCTACCCAACCCCTCCGCATCCCTCCGCTCCGCCCTCTTCCGCTTCCGATCCTCCTTTCGTATCGCCTTTTCCTGCGCTTCATTCTCGCGTATCGCTTCTAGGCGTTTGGCAAAGTCAAAGTTCTTCGAGTTGACCTTTTCGGCGGTCTGGGCGCGGAGGGATGCGATTTTACGGCGAACGTCGAGGAGGGTGGAGCGGGTTACTTGGGTGGTTTGGCCCAGGTGTCGGAGGTCTGGTATTCAGCATTAGGCCTGAGATGGGAGAGAGGGGGAGGGGAGCATACGATATCGAGAGTTAACGTGGTCGAGGTATGATAGACTGTCTTTCAGAGTCCGGTCGCATAGGTCACACTGGATGTCAGCTCAAGCTCTACCGGTAGGAGAAAACAGCTCAGAGCTCACGTAGAAGCCAGGCCCTCTTGGACCTTTCCCATTCCCCGCAGCTGTCGTCGTGACAATCATCGTCTTGTTGAGATTCTTCTCTAATCCCAGATCATCCGTACGCTGCTTGAGCGACTCAGTCGCTTCTGGCAGATTGTCCATAGCTGACGGCTTGAATTTCCGCCCTGCCCATTAGCTCCAGACTCATCCGCAGGTTCATGAGTTCGCTACTGCTCAGGCCCAAGAGCTATAGCGACTCACCCTGCTGCAAGGCCTCGTCCCTCGCTTTGGCCTGCTCGGCATAATGCGCATCCTTCTGCTTTGCTTTGGCGTCCCACTCGGATTTGTCCCATTGGGGCCGGGCTTTCGGGGCCTGTAAATCAGCGCCGCCTTGAGGAGAACCCACAGCTGGCTTGGACTCTGTCATAGCTGCTTCGTTAGGGAGGTCAGTATAGGAGGAAGATGTATAGTTGAAGGTAAACAGCAGATCGAGTTGCGAGTTGCCTCTTTGAAATGACCAAGTCAAAACCACGTGGAGTCAACAACTTCAACACCACCACCCACCCACTGACCTTTCTCCTCATTCCTCTTCTACCTCTATACCTCTCACTTCTATCCATAATGTTCTCCTCCCCAGCTCCTAGGGCGACACCGCGCAAGTCGGTATTCCGCGGCCGAGGCGACACCGCCTCCGTGTCGCGCGGAACGCCCAGCATCGCCTCCGCATCCGAGAGGGAACCTCTGACCCCCTCGCACCGCTCGTCCCGGCTCAACGCGCTCAAGCGGGCCGCATCACCCACGTCTACAGCAGGGGAGACGGCACGGACAGCGAGGTATGAGGAAGGAGGGGAGCGGGTGTTTTTGGCGAAAGATCAGAGGGGGGAGATCTACTCGTTAGGCGGGTTACCGAGGGAAGTGCAGCAGATCGTCAAGAATTCAGGTAGGTCCTGCTACTGGCCGTATGGGTGGGTAAGGGAGGGGTGCTGACGAGTAGATATGATCAGGAATACTGTATCGGGCCAAGTGTACCCAGCGTCAGGGTACGCACTGGTTACGACGTCGACGATGTGCATCGCCTGGAACTACGCCAGGGTGAGCTGGCATGTACGTGTCCCAAGCGTAGTAGCTGATCCTCCTAGCGGACCCAGTCCAGTCCGACGGTATATGTCTTCCACCCTCCTCCATCCTCTCGACCATACCCTGCTCAATCGCCGCCGCCCATGATCGCCGCGCTGCAACACGCGGGATCAGGCGAGCCCGGTGTCATCCTCGTTTCGACATCAGGAGAGGTGCGCTTCTGGGAGAACATGAGTCTCGCACTATCAAATGTGGATCGATACCAGGGCGTCCAGCTGGACCTGGGGGCGGACGATTACGCGGACAAGATCTGGGCTGTCGAGGTAAGCTTGTATACACCCACTAACAGCTAAAACATCCAGTCAAATACCTACCTCATCACCACAACCTCCTCCCTCGCCTTCCGGCTCTTCATTACATCCCACTCTGGCCGGCAAACACCGACGGTCACCCCCCTCATGCGCCCAGGCGGGATGTTCGGGCGCGCCTCCCCCGTTATCTTCAGCTTGGGGGAGGATAAGCAGGGGATCACAGCCGTAGCGGCAGACGGAGGGCGCTTGTGGGTGCTAGCGAAGAGGACAGCGCAGAAGTGGCAGTTGGGGAGTGAGGACCAGAAGGTCAGTTGACCACCAGCCTGAACAGAGATACTTCTGGGCTAAAGCTGATGATGCAGTATGTGCAGGATGTGGACCTGTACGATGTACTAGGAAATGGGATGTTCCCGGGCAGGTGGTCGACTGGAGAGGTAGAGCTGGAGATCAACGATCTGGTCACGCTAGCGTAAGGCCCATTAAGCTAGACCGGTTCCGGTGTGCGGTAAGCTGATCTCAATAGGCCGGGATACCTCGCTTCGCTCGTTTCGACTATCGATCAAGGCGCTACCTCGTCTACGTCCTCCTCGCGAGTATCTCACGCCATCGTCATCCTCTCTTCGTCCGCCCGGAATGGCAGTCTCGCCGTTTCGAGGGTGATCCCTATGTCCTACTCACCCGTACGCTCAAGTTCTTACATCCGCGCATGTCGAGCCCCAGCTTACAAGTAGGAACCCGACTCGCGATCGCTGGAAACGCCTCGGCTGATCATCCCTGCTGAGAGCACGACAGCTTTTGTCCGATTCGCCAGCTCGGTACTGATGGTTTCGCTCGTCGAAGGTATGACTGCTATCCACATCTCGACTGCCCATAACGAAGAGGCGTATAGCTGATCCTTTAGGCGACTCGTACGAAGAAACCATCACCCTGAGAGACTCCAAGCGCAACGCCTTCATCGGCGCGGGACACGTCCGATCTGTCAACCTGAAACGCCCAACACCACCTTTAGTGCTCATGCCCGCCTCTGGAGGCTTACTCGGCGTCGAAACCTTCTCACCGCCAGTTTCAGCTCGAGGCCTGTGAGCTACCAGGGTCCGAAGACGGACGAGCGTGAGCTGACATATCAGATCGTCCAGCGCAGCCGCTACTGCTCGCCTCAAGTCCAAGATGGAACAAGCTGTCTTTTTCGGTGATCGATCCGAGAACCCCTTGAGCTTTGATGTACTAGGATCAGGGGCGGGAGGGGACGTGGCTGCTGCTGCAGAGGCAGTCTCGGCGGAGATATTGTCGTGTAGTCAGCTTTCTTCCTTCCGAGCTTTGCAACAAGGAAGAAATGAGCTGACTCCCGGTAGCCTCAGCACACATGCCCGGGATATATGAACTCCGACCTCAGCTGGCTGATCGGCTCGCTAGGCTCAAAGACCTTGTTGGGTATATACGTAGGAATGGGCTGCTGGTCAAGGTCAGCTGTGTTGACCAGGTGGCGGTACACCCAGGGGGAAAGCTGACTTTTAGTTGCCTCAAGCTTCTAGGCGGACACTATCGCGGGATGGTGAAAAAGCCAAGGCTGCGGTGGATCTGTGGGACTACCAGAACCGACTGATGGAGTGAGTTGTCAACCATCCGAATACGCTAGTCAAAGCTCATCCTTTTAGCCAAATGCACTCTCGCTCTCCTCAGTCTTTACTTTCCGACTCGATCATGCTCTTTATGAGACAGACCGAGGTGCGGGAGGACGAGGACCCCGTCAGGCATTTCTTCAGGCACAAGGTACATCAGCTAGCTTGTGTGGATCCTTGCCGCCGACGCGCAGTGATCGGGAAGCATCAGCTGACTTTATCAGTCGCAATTTATGGATCGCCTTCTCGATGTCGTCTACTCGACATTCCGAGCTGCCATCGAAGCACTAGGAGGCGGCAGAGCTGGAGCGCTCGAGCGGTCTGCTTGGGTTCTCGAGGCGAACAGGATCTTCATTGTACGCTGCTTTGTCATTCGCATAGTCATCTCAACGAGCTGACATGTAGATCGTCGTCCGTGCTGCGGCCCAGTACCGCGAAGACTCTGTCCAGGCATACGAAATGGACCGTCGATCCCCTTCGATCGAACAATGGACCGCTGCCGCACCACTCATGGCTTCTCTGGAAGATCTGTACTATACCACCGAGACGCTCATCGCGGATCGAACGCGGGATCTCGGCTCGGCGATCGACGCGCCGCCAACTGCTGGTGATGCCGCTGCGGGTATCGGCGCTGGCGCTGGTGGTGGAGGGGGAGTGGGGGATGTCAAGGCGCAAAGGGCGGTACAGAATTCGTTGAAGAACCAGATGGCGGAGCTGGCGGCTGCTTTGTGTAATAATATGGAGGATAAGCTCCGGGCGACTTCGCGGTATGTCTATTTCGTATCGCAAGGGAAGAGGAAGGAAGAGAGATGGCTGACATCCCAGAAGACATATTGAGGATGGAGGAGAAGAACAAGAAGGGATTGCGTTACAGCGGAAATGGGCCGAAATGCGTCCAAGGGTGATTCGTCCGCTTGGTGAGCTTTGACGTTCACTTCGCAGCGTCGTTGAATGGGGAGCGAACAGTAGCTGACTCGCGTAGTGACGATTGACCGTATATCTCACGCATACGACCTCGCGGAACATCACAACGACTACGAAACGCTCGTATGGCTGGCGAACCATCCTATAGCTGGCGCCGCGGGCGGGGTCGTCAAGCTACAAGAATATATTGAGCGTTTTGGCGAGGAGTTTGCGTTTGTGCTGTACCAGTGGTATATCGACCAAGGTGAGCTCAATCATCCCCGGATGTAGAGGACAAAAGCTGATACTTTCAGGTCAACAGCATGCGCTGCTCAGCCAAGACGAAGTATACGGCGGGCTAGTCACCAAGTTCTTTGCACAGCGGGACTATCCCGAGTTGGCTTGGCTGCATCATTTAGCGTGTAGGCGGTATAGCCCAGCAGCGGCTGCTTTGGGGGTGGTGGACCAGCGGGAAGTAGGGCTGGACGCAAAGAATGTAAGCTTATAGCCGTGTATCGGTAATATGTTGACGCAAGCTGACGTTTCAGATCATCAGCAGTATTGGCAAGCTCGCGGCTGTGGCTGAGATGAAGATCAAGGGGACTTCTGAAGCTCGGAGACAGGCGCTCGTCGGTACGTTTATGGTCCCCGCATCTGGTAGTACGGGCTCAAGCTGACTTCTAGACTTCGATGACCAGCTCGACCTTATCCACGTCCAAGAGACCCTCCGATCCACACTCATCGCTTCCCCTACCACGCGTCGGCTGAGCCCGCAAGACGCTCTGGCCGAGTATCTCGACAAGAACCTCACGCTGCTTTCTTCCCGGCCGGCGTTCAGAGAAATGATGGTGGATCTGGCGAGACGGCTGGTCGATGGCGAGGCGCTGGGGATTGAGGGGCTGGTGGATGTTTTGACGCTCAAGGATAATAAGGGTGAGGAGGGCAGGGGAGATGCGGCGGTTGCGCTGGATAGGTTGAGAGGTGATATGGTGAGTTGCTCTTGCTCGACTGTACGCTCGTGCAGGTGGTATATGGATACAGCTGACCTGGATAGACGTTGCCGGAGGGCCGGAAACAGGTCGCTTTGCTCTCGATCTGGCGGAGGGTGTTCATCCGGGACGAGTGAGCCCACACCTGCCTTTCACAGTATGCGGAACGAACGACAGCTGACTGAGGCAGCTGGATGCTCATCTCCAATACAGCCGGCAAAAGTGAAGAACGCATCCAAGCCCTCCTACGCCAAACATCCACCTACGCTACCCTCCGCGCCATATCCACCCTCCACGGCTTTCCACAGTCATACATTCTCTCCCCATATACGTCGGCCCAGCCACCTCTGCTCGCCGAGCTTACCGCGCGATTCCCGGATCGCACGCTGCAACAGATCGAAGCGTTGATGGCGGATCACGAGGAGGAGATTAGGGTGTTGGAGAGGTACATAGAGCAAGGGGGGCTGGAGAGTAGGGTCAAGGAGGTGGCGGAGCTTGTTAAGAGGGATCAGGGGGCTGGAGTGGGGATGGGGGCGGGTGTGGGAGCTGGAGAGGAAGATGAGCAGGGGGATGTAGAGATGTAGAAAATGTTATACTGTGGGATCAAGCAGAGCTGGGGACATCCGAAACATCCGTTGAATTATCGAGCAAGTCTTACTATGGACACGGAGAGCGTATTAGATCATATGCATAGCTCTATAGACTGAAAAGGGACCGGAAAGATAAGGTAGAAGGGATAAATTAATCTATAGTGGCACCAGCCCCCTTTTGCACGAGATCCTCTACAAAGACGCCTAGAATCGGGGGGCGTTGATGAAGAGACCGGTAAGACATCCAGCGGCAGTTCCCGCGATAGGCACAGTGAGGACCCATCCAGCCTGGTGCGTCAGCTTGGGACAAATACGAGAGAGGGGAATGCGAGGGTGATCGATGAGAAGACAGCGAGGAAGTGAAGACACTCACGAAGATCCACGCGAAGGCCTTGTAGTTGAGACCCTTGAGACCAGACGACACGATACCGACACCGGCGGTAGCGCCGACGATGCACATGGTGGACGAGACGGGGATAGCGTACTGCGAGGCCAGGAGGACAGTGATAGCCGCGCCGAACTCCATCGAGAATCCACGCGAGGGAGAGTGCATGGTGAGACGGTTACCGAGGGCGGACATGATATTGTACCCGTAGGTCGCGAGACCGATAACGAGCATGCCAGCACCGAAGGCGAGCATCCAGACGGGGGTGGGCGAGTTGGAAGGGGTAACAACACCGTTGGACCAGACGTAGTAGATGGCGGCAAAAGGACCGATGGCGTTGGCAACGTCGTTGGAGCCGTGGGCAAACTAGAATAGTCAGCGACGAATCCTTCCAACAGCCGCAGAAGTACTCACAGAGTTGGTGCAGGCAGTCAAAACCTGGAGGAAGGAGAAGAGGTGTTCAGTCTGTCTCATCAGCTCCGTCCAAAGCACCCCAAATAGCCACTAACCTCGTTGTCGTACTGCTTGGCCCGCTCGTGCATCTCAGAGATCCGCTGCTGCTCCCCGGTCGCACCCGCCTGGAGTTTGTGGACATCCACCGATGAGCCGTGGAGAAGCGCCTTGGGGACACGGTATCGAAGGATGATCCAGAGGTTCTTGGGGAGGATCCAAGAGCCCTCGATCGGGTGAGGCTCCGCTGGCGCCTCGACCTCGGTCAATGGGGCGTGGTGGGGAGTGTGAGAGGTAGTGGGGGTGTGGGTAGGCTTGTGGCCGTCGACGGGGTAGTTCTTCTCCGATCCGTCGGGCGAGTTGGCGGCGGTGTCCTCGTGTGACCCGGTGGTCATGAGGGTGGGGTTGATCCGGTTCTCGACGTCGTGCATGTCATTGCCTGCGGGCGCGTCGACCGGCTGATCACGGCCATAGGTCCGGTAGTCGGGGACCGAGGAGATGGCAGCGTCGAGCGCGACCTCGGGAGCGGGACGAGACCAGAGGAGGGGACCATAGAAGAAGTGGTACCACCGGATAGTGTAGTCGCGCTTGATGACCTTGGCGCGGACAAAGGGGAGCCAGAAGAGGGCGGCGAGGACGGCAATGACGGCGCCAGTACCGACGATGGCAGCGGCGATGGTACCCTCGGACAATTTGTCGAGCTTGAGTTCGGGCGCACCCTTGTACACTGCAAGTCAGCATCGTTCTATGGAGCCAGACCGAAGAGCTTACCGATTGACATGGTGAGGACCGCGGCGACAGTGAAGAAGTACATGGGCGAGATGATGAGACCGGCTTTGATGGGGTTCTTGCGCTCAAGTACCGCGTACTTGGTGATGAGGTAGATGACGGCGCCAAAGCCGGCAGCGAGCGCAGGGGCGATGACCATACCGGCGTAGATCGTACCGAGACCTTTACCGCCGTTCCAGCCCCACTGGACCGCACCGGAACCGCCGAGCGCCACTCCGACACCGGCCAGTGCAGAGACGATAGAGTAGGTGGTGGAGACCGGCCATGAGTTGATGGTGGCAATCATGAGCCAGGTGGCGGACGCGACGAGGGCGCAGGTGAAACCGAGCATCTGCACGCCGGCGTTACCACGGAAGACCGAGAGGGAGATGATACCGTTCTTGATGGTCCCCGCCACTCGAGCACCGACAAGGACGGCACCGAGGAACTCGCAGATGGCGGCAGCGACACACGCCTGCCGGAGAGTGAGGGAGCGAGAGGCGACCGAGGTGGCAAAGGAGCTGTGGATCAGTTCGGTCTCGCTCAGTGCCGGCTGTCTCGACGTTGTACTCACTTTGCGACATCGTTTGCTCCGATGTTGTAACTTTTGGAGCGTCAGCACGATGTCCACTACTACAGCTCGAAGGCACAAGGACAACTCACGCGTCAAGCGCAGCGAAAATGGTGCCGATCGCGAATATGTAGTCATATTGGTGAAGGTAGGGCATCTTGACCAAGAGGCGAGTCGCCGAGTATGTGTAGAGGTCGACAAGTGTAAGAAGTACAGTCAGAAGCAGCACAAGAGACGGTAAGCAGCTTTAAGTACGAGCAGGGATGGAATCGCTCAAGTTTTCACTCCACCACGCCAAGTGTGTCCGCCTGTCTATTTGGAACGTGTTTCATGTCATTCTGGCTCTTGCAGCTCGTGCAGTCAGTCTGCCCACTCAACACTGATTCTATTGGGCCATTCCAGTATATCAAGGAACGTGCACACAGTTTAGTCCGTCAGAGGTCGTCTGCCAAGCCTTCCATACCTTGACAAGACGCGCCAAGGTCTTCTCGGCCCCCTGACATCTGGCGGACCCGACGTGCCGCACTGCCGAACATAGTGTGGCCCTTGTTCTCCCGTCCGCGAGAAAGTCGGATAATTTGGTACAGAGCGGGCAAGAGAGATAAACGTGCGAAGTCAAAAAAGGTCGGGGGTCTTGGCAGCGTCAGAGGGACTTAACCGGGACTTGCTGACCAAGGGCCCCACGTTGCCCCACGCGCCATGAATTTCGCCTCGACAGTATGAGCAGGTGGGAGATACGAAGCGTGGCGTGGCAAAGTGTGGGCTGCACGAGCAGGAGGGCGCTGCTAGGCGCTGCTATCATCGATGACAATTATGAGAGCCAATGTATGGATGTAGGGGAGCATAAGGGAAACCCCGTTCGCCCCGCTTGATTGCCGAATGCGGCAGAGCCTGGTAGGGCTATTCATCCTGATTACGGCATCGGGAAGCTCCGCATTCCTCAAAAATTGAGTAATGGCTGATCATTGACAGCTTGATGAACTTTGAGGATTGAGATTGACTCGTTGACGCGGAACCCAGCGCGATTGAGAGCATCCCAAAGTCCGCCACCCTGTACAGCCCCTCGAACCCCTCTGCCTCCTTCATGGCCGCCACCCAGAGCTCGGACCTCGACAGTAGTAGCGAAGCATTGTTGGGAGGGTTGTGTCTGTACATATAATGATCCCGTGTTTGTAATGTATTTGAGCGATTATACTGCAATTGTCCTTCCTTTGGCTTCCATCCGACCGCCAGATCCCCCTTCTTCCCGCCCCGGCGCCACCTTTCTCACGCATCTGCCCCTGCCCCTCTCCCTTACGTCCGCACCGGAGGCGCAAGTGTAGGGTAGGAAGGCACGGTCGAAGCGGCGATACCTGGTCCCGCACCTCCGTACTGGAGCGCGCCCGCCATACCGGGCAGAGGAGGACTCGCTGGGGGAGGCGGGACGGATGCCATCTCGTCGCCGAAGGGTCCGGCCGGAGGCGGGGTTCGGCGTCGGCGGCAGCAGAGGAGGAGGAAAGCGAGTAAGGCGAGGAGCTGAATGTCAGCTATTGCCACCATTAGGGAAGGACATGAAGACTTACGAGTAAACCGCCCAAGATGCTTCCTACGATGATACCAGCAAGCTGACCACCGGTCAGACCGGTCGAGCCGACGGTATTGGCGCTGTTGGCTTGTGCAGCTCCGGCCCCAGCCCCGCCTGAGCTCGAGCTGGATGCCGAGCTGGACGAACCGGTGCCAGATCCGGATCCGTTGGTGGTAGGAGTCGAGGTGGCGCCTCCGCCCGCGGCAGTGTTGGTACCTGATCCCGAGCCCGAACCGCCAGACGTGGCTCCGCCGCCGATGACGCCAACGCCAGTCCCGGACCCGTTGCCGTTGCCGTTGCCATTGCCATTGCCATTGCCATTGCCAGTGCCCGTGGCGCCAGCAGTCGCACCTGCACCAGCAGCTCCCGTTCCTGTAGCGCCGCCGTTGGGGGTGTTGGTACCGCCGTTCCCGTTTCCGTTCCCGTTTCCGTTGGCGCCGCCATTTCCGTTGCCGTTCCCGTTGCCATTTCCGTTACCGTTGCCTGTACCGCCAGTAGCGACTGGGACGGGCACGACACCTGCACCGCCTCCCCCTCCGCCTGTACCGGTTGCGCCACCAACACCCGCGCCCGCTCCGGTAGCGTCGCCGTTGCCATTTCCGTTTCCGTTTCCGTTGGCGCCGCCATTGCCATTGCCATTGCCGTTGCCAGCACCCGCTCCGTTGCCAGTACCGTCGCCATTGCCATTTCCGTTACCCCCTGCGACCCCAGCTCCGTTCCCGTTTCCATTCCCATTCCCATTCCCGTTTCCGTTGCCACTGCCATTGCCAGACCCTACTCCGACGCCGGCACCGCTTCCGTTGCCGTTGTCGCCGCTGGCGTTCCCGGAGCCGTCGCCTGATCCGTTGCCATTGCCATTGGCTCCGCCGCTGCCGTTGCCATTGCCACCGCCGTTGCCATTGCCACTGCCGTTGCCGTTGCCAGATCCAGAGCCAGATCCAGAGCCAGATCCAGAGCCAGATCCAGAGCCAGAACCGGAGCCAGAACCGGAGCCAGAGCCCGAGCCCGATCCGGAGCCGGAGCCGGAGCCATTACCGCCACCGTTACCGTCCCGGTTGCCGTTACCAGGGCCGTACCCTAGACCCTCGCAGCACGAGAGATCCGTGCCGGCTGCCTCGTCAGTTTCTGCCCTCACTAGCAGAGAAGCACAGGTCAGATGGACTTACCAGCCCAGCAGCAAGGCTGTGCGCTGTCGCCCTTGCACAGCGCGCAGAGCTTCTCGGCGTCAGACTCTGAGACGGGGGTGGGACCGTAGCCGCAGTTGGGGGCGTAGTTCCAGTTGTTCCGGCGGAAGTTGGAGCGTTGGTCTGTGGCAAGTCAGCGCTAGTACAATGCGGGATGAGGCATAGTAGCGAGTAGGTCAGGCGGAGAAGAGGGAGTGATGTGCGTAGATCTTGGAAGGGGAAGAGGTGAAGAGAGAGAGGTCGCTCGAAACTCACCTGCTGCACACCAAGCACTACCTGTCAGACAGTCCGCCACTGTCGCTACCTCCCCTTGCTGCTTGATGATGCTCCGTCCCAGAGCTGGAGAGCCCAGGAGGACGAGGATGACTGAGAAAGGGATGAACATGGTGTGTCGACTGTCGAGATGGGTGCGGGGATGTTGTCGATGTCGATGAGGAGGGAAGGGTGAAGTCTAGATTGGGGGAGGCGCTTATGTCAAGAAGAAGAGAAATGGCACCGAGAAGGAGGATACGTGAAGGTCCAGGTATATAGATGTAGATCTAGATCTGCAGAGATCAGCGCGTGGACAGTCTCGGACCCGGATCTCCAACCGAGACAAGAGGTGAGACATACCGACCGGATGCTGCGTGCTGGTTGCTGGGTGCTGGTTGCTGGGTGCTGGGTGCGAATACGCGGCCGTTTCTGAATTTGATGCCTGAGGACTGAAGATTGAGGACTGAAGACTGAGGATGGTGAGTCCGCTTGAGACCTCTTTGACCGGAAGGAGGATTGGTCCGCGTTGGTCAGGTATCGAGCTGAGTCGGGGGTATAGGATATTGACTATTGGCTACAAGTGTAAAGTAGAAGTGTGAGTTGTAGAGGTGGGCGTAAAGCAAAACAGAGGGGTTCCCGAGTCAGTCACGCAGATATCTATAAGAGGTGGCATTTCATACCCCGCGCTCAACTGACACGACAGTGTCATGGCTTTTCCGCAAGAAGGGATCGCGAGTTACCGGCGGAATACGTTACGCGTTAGTCGCGTTCAGCGCTCAGCGTCACTCACAGGCTCGCCGGAGCCTCGTATCCACCGTCCAGCAGGAAGCTGGCCCATGTACCCATGTGAAGATGAGATGAGATGAGACGCCGCTGTATGATGGAAACAAGTGGGAAGGGAGATCTGAGACAGGGTGTGGCGGTCGATCACTCAGATCTCGAATCTCGTGCATCATGGTGACGGCAGGTAGGAATGGTTCCGGCGGAAAGGTAAAACGCCATCCGACGGTTCTGCGCTGCTTGCTGCGACTTGCTCTGCTCAGTGACAGACTACACTTATCGGGGGCGACGCTGGAGCAACGTAGCCACGGGTAGCCACCCCACCGCGCGAAGGATCTCGAGGATCAGAAGCCCCATATCCAACGGAGCTAGCCGGGTCAATCATGAGAGTAGGAACCCCATTGTGCGCTTCGAGAGCCCCGTACCCCGTACGCACTCGGGCGAAGTCTGCATCGCGCAGTAAAAGAAAACTATCATGTACAGCGCCCTCTGAGGCTATGCCAGTCCTCACTCACTGTCACCCTCTCACCCTCTCCAGTTCGCCGCATGCTTTTCGCCAAAAGCGTCCGCAGATCCAGATGAAACGGCTAATGACGTCAGTCTTCAAGCTTCGTGTCTGACCTTGCCTGATGCTTCTCACGTCAGCAGATGCAGTTGGTCCCACACCACGACGCATCACATAGACAAACAGACACCGCAAGGCACAAGCAGCTTCAGAGCCGACCTTCGCTGACAGCCCCGACCTACACACTCATTACACCCACATACAGTCGCCCATAATGTCCGCATCAACAGGCTCAGCAGCTACTACCACTCCAGCCTCCGGATCCGCCAATGTCTCCAACACAGCAGCGGGGACATCGGGGGTCGCACCTGGGATCGGGGCGTCGGGGGGAACAAGTGTCTCCGGACAGGGTGAGTTTCGCGTGGTGGCAAGTCGTCGTGTTCTGTTGAGCTGATACGGAGTAGAGATCGGAGATAAAGTCAAGGGAGGTCTAGGGGGTGAGTATTGGCTTGCTTCTCTCCTATTCAGAATCTTTAGATTGTGGAATCGAGCTGACCCTGGCAGTCATCCACGGTATGTATCAACCTGGAACCCTGGATGAGCTCGGAACCCGGTAGGACAGTGCGCTGATAGCTTACTTGTAGGCGCCGGTGAAGCTCTCCGAGGAGGAATCAACAAGTTTCTCGATGATGCCGGCGAAGGAATAGCCGGGCGAAGCGGCACCGCCACCAACACCGCCACCGCTACCGCCGGTACGACCTCTACGAGCGAGACGGCCTTTAAGCGGGGCGATGGTGGTGTGTCGAGTGCGGATGTGGCGAATAATGGGGTGAATGAGGTGCAGCGGGGCATGGACGCTCTCAGGCGGTAGAGTAGGACCGGGTCCGCAGGAAGCAGGAGCAGGACTCAGCATATCCAACCATGAACCATGAAGCATTAGTACGAGTACCTGTAATCCTACACCGTACCGTCAGATCAAGTCGACCTCGACATTGCTTAAAGTATGTACGTTAGACAAACGCGAGCGTGAAGGCAAACAGGTACCTATGCAGACTCTAGTATTTGCATACTCTTGCCTATCCTCCACGACATCCAGGCATCTATTTGACCCGGCTGCCGCATCTCCCCATCCCCTCATCCGCCCCACTACCTTCTACCGCCTCGCCAAACTGGACCATCTTTGATTTAGATAGCCTTTGCCCGGGAGAGCTCTGCACAAAGTCAGCTTCTGTGCCCGACTAGAAGCGCCGCTTGATCTGGCGAAAGCTGAGACCTCCGAGCGCGGAACGCAATATGCAAAACTCACGCTCAACCTGCCCCAACGCCTCCTCCAAAAGCTGCTTCCTAAACCCCGCATCCGCCAACCGCTCCTCCACTCCCGCCTTGACACTCGCCACGAGCGCGACCTGCTCCGCCTCGCGCTGCTGCTGCTCGAACCTGACCCAGCTGTCCAACACGCTCTTCAACTCGGCCTTGACGGCCGATTCCTGCGCGAGGCGGAAGTTTTCGTGCTCGAGCGTCGCCGTCTCCTTGGCGACGGCGTAGAGCTGCTCGGTGAGGGGGACGACGTCCTTGAGGGCCGAGACCGAGGTGATGCGCTCGGTTATGGCCGAGGTGTGTTCTTCGCGGGCCGAGTTGAGAATGCCCTTGATGCGCTGGGGGATTAGCACTAGGACTAGGGCACGATTGAAAGATTTGGTAGGTTGAGAATTATCAAGTAGATTGAGGGGTTGGGGGATCAAAAGGGGGAGATAGGAGGAAGGCAAGGCAAGGCAAAGCAGAAGGGCTATAAGTGCAAGGCAGGAGAGAACTCACGTCAATGTGGCCAGTGGCCCATGAGGAGTAAGGGGCACCGATGGAGCGACCGACAGCGGCGACAATGATGAAGAAACCGACAGCGAGGACAGTCTCCTCGTTCGCGACCTGGACGTCAGCAGATTCTCAGCATGGTATCCGTATCATTTTGGCGCGGCCTTCACTCCGCCCCTCGTATCCCCGACAAGGTTCCCCAGGCCCAGCACCAGGTCCACATTCAACTCCCCCAACTTTATCCTCCCCTCGTTCGGCTCCGCCTATTCTCCCCCTTCCCCACTCCTGCTTCACGCGCCTCTCCGCCGATCATTCCACCAGCATCCCCCGATCCGCTCCTCATTCGCTTCCAGCAGCCAAACAACTCACGTAGAGCTCAGTCGAGACGGCGGCAGCGGTAACCGCCGTACCGAGCACCACACCGCCCGTCTTGGTCCAAAGCGAGCTGGTAGGGACGGCGTTGATGAGCGACGCGGCCTTCTCGTCTGGTGATTGCTCTGCGAGGGGTCAGCTCGCGCTCTGCTATCCAGTCCCTCGTTGCGTTCCATCCCTCCTGACCGCCTCCGCCGAGACCGTCTCCCGTCTTCATTTCTCCGCGACATAGCTTGGGCCGTAAATCCTCCTCTCTGCCTTCCGCTCTACCCGCCCTCTCTGCAGGCATCCGAACGCTGACTGAAATGTGGACAGTAACTGACGGGAAGCGTAACCGCGAGATCTATTCGTCAGTGCTGTACTCTATTCGACAGAGGTGACAACTCACGAAGGCACAGCCAAAGCGCGCGGGAGAGCCGCTGAGCGGATACCTATCCTATCAGCTCCTACCCTCTCATTACCCCCAATATTCCGCATTCCTCATGTCCACCACCTCGCCGACCCATCCGCGTCCGACCCCTCCTCTTGCATCTATCCATATCTCCCCCATTCCCCAACCCTTTTCCTCCATTCTTTTCCCTGCAGAAAGAGCACGCACCGGCGCTTCGGAGGGACCTAAGTGCGAATCTGGACGACATAGTAGTCTATGCTTTTTGGTATATAGAAAGATATAACAGTCGCTATAGCGCAGAGGAGGAGGCGGAAAGACCCGGCCAGGGCGCAGCGGGGAAAAGCGGAGATTGCCGAATGTGGCACCTGTCTAGAGGAGGTATGGGGCGACGAGGGAGAGCTTGATGGTGACATTGCCTATATACATACGCCTATACCTCTCACATACAGCATGTCGGACAGTGGCAAGGTGGACGACCTGTTCGGAGACTCGGATAATGAGGCGCCTGGGCCTGCTGCGCCAGCTTCAGCCTCGCCCAGAGCTGGGTCTTCGAAGGGGTCGCCTAGGTCTGCTGCTGGGGATGAAGCAGCGCCAGGATCGCCAGCAGGGGATGTAGATGATCTCGTTCGTCCCTTCTCCATCTTCTGCTCTGTGCGCGCGCTTAGAGCTAATGGACCAGTTCGCAGATGACGATGATATCCCCCCACCTCCCATTCGGACACGCACCGCGACACGCTCCACGTCCAGATCGAGGTCGAGATCAGGGTCAAGATCAAGATCGCGCTCGGGGACAGCAGGGCGGAAGAATGAGCTGGAATATGCAGAGGAAGAAGGGGATGCGGAGGAGGTTCAGGAGCAGTGGGCGAATAGTATTGTGCCGACGTGGAATAGGCTCGGAGGGGAGGATGGGAAGGTGAGTTTGGGTGCGGACTGGGTTTGGGTCTTGATTCGGGCGCTAGGGAGGGCGAGGGGCGGGAGGGCATGATTTAGGGCGGCGTCATTGGGGTTTGGGAAGAGAGTAAAGACCATACCTCGAGCTCGAGGGAGACGGCGGTCATATTGCGGCCGCCTCACCAACACGCCTGATCACCAAACTCAGCTTACACGCAGATATGGCACCTCAAACTCCCCGCCTACGTCAATATCGACGCCAAGCCATTCGACCCGTCCCTCTTTCGCGCTCAGATGGACCCGGGGGAGCTCCAGACGCCTTTGACGGGGCTGGCAGCCAAGAGCCGGATGATCGGGGTCAAGAATACAATACGGTGGAGATGGGTCCAGGACGCGGATGGGAACTATGTGCGTTAATTTTAGCTTCGGCCGCCCGGGAGGATCTGCGGGAAGGGGACAGACATTGGTCTGGTGGCTGGTAGCTGGTAGCTGACGAGACAGAAGAAACAAAGTAACGCCCGAGTCCTCCGGTGGTCTGACGGAACCACGTCCCTCCAGCTCGGATCGGACTTGTTTGATATTTCCAACTCGACCGGACAACCCATTTTCCCATCTTCCTCCTCCGCCGACGCGAACGGCACGCAACACCCCTCGGACTCGCAACCCAAATCCCAATCCCAATCACAATCACAATCCCAATCGCAAATCCCCTCCCAAAGCCAAACCCAAAGCCGGTCGGCCCCGAAAAAACAAGACGACACCACAGCGACCACCTACATCTGCGCGGCCCTCCCCTCCGCCGGCGTCCTCATGGCCGAAGCGCCCCTCGCGGGGCACCTATCCCTCGTCCCCACCTCGATGAACTCCAAGACGCACATGGAGCTGGTCCGGCACGTGGGCCAGCAACATACCAAGCACTCTAAATTGCAATTCATCGACGAGGTTGTGGGTGATCCAGAGACGGAGGCGGCTGCGAAGGCGTCCAAGGCGGCTGGGAAGAAGAAGGGCGGGGGTGGGGGAGGAAAGAGGAGGATGCCCGCTGGCGGCGGAGGTGGAGGTGGAGGTGGGAGAGGAAAGAAGAGGGGAGGAAGAGCACGGAGCGATGATGAGTCTGACGATGACCTTTCGAGGGAGAGACCAAGAGGCGTGGATAGGGGGGATTATGAGGAAGATGGGTTTGTGGTGGACGATGATGATGATGATGAGTCGGATAGTGGGGGAGGGGGAGGGGGAGGGGGAGGGAAGCGAAGGGGAAGTTCGGATGAGGAGGCCGAGTACAGGTCTAAGGGCAAGAAGAGCGGTGGGGGTGGGGGTGGGGAGAAGAGGCGGAGTGGGCGGAAGCGGAAAGATGAGTCTGAAGAGCTGGACGAGATTGAATTGGCAGAGAGGGATATAGAGGAGAAGGAGAGGGAGAGGAAGCGGGCCAGGAAAGACAAGGGGGGGAAGAAGGAGAAGACGAAAAAGAAGACGAGTACAACGAGGGATTATGGGGATTCGTCAGAGGAGGAGAGCAACACCAAAGGGGCTGGGAAGGGGAAAGCAAAGGAACGGGAACGGGAGAAGGTACCGGAGAAGGTACCGGACGAGGAGGATGCGGACGGGTCGGAAGATATGGATGTGGAGAGTGAGGAAGAGTAGGGTTGTAGCTCCCAAAGTAGTGAGGGTACGGTATGACACGACACGACGAGACGAGACCCAAGCGGGACGGACAGTATAGCTGACATGGGTACATGGGTGCTGGACACTGGTACTGCTTTCTCATTGTTTACTAATCCAGAAAGTAAAGGGATACTGTTATTGACTAGGTACTGATCATTGACCTTTCTAGCTTCTAGCACAATCCCGCAAGCGGCACTCACACCCCCTTTGACCTCCCACCGCTGAGAACCGAGGGGGCCTTTGGATAAAGGTATCCCGCGCTGCTCGTCATGCAAGGGACAAAGCAGCCAGCCGGTATATATGCTCTCCATCTCGCCGTTATACTTCCTGCATCTGCTTTCATCTTACTAGCATCTAGCTTCTACTATAACCCAGCTGACAAAAAATGGCCGGCGAGAAATCGAACGTCTTCTTGGAGATCACTATTGGCGGTAAATTCTTACAAGCTGGATGCTGTAGTCCTCGGCTGCTAAGCTCCCTTTTGAAAGCATTGGCTGATTACGAAGGGAAGGAAGCGGGTCGGGTCGAGTTCAAGCTGTACGACGACGTTGCCCCCAAAGTACGTATACGTCCCACCCTTTCCCCCTCTCTCCCCTCTTCTCTGCCCTGCCCTCATCCTCTGCGTGACCCGTACCCCCTGTACCTTTTCCCACTCCAACATCCTCCATCCCACCTCGCCCATCTCCACTTCTCAACTCCAAACCGGCACTGACCACCATCAGACAGCAGCCAACTTCCGTGGCCTATGCACCGGCTTCAAAGCGGACGGCACGACCCCCCTGCCCCCTAAATTCGGGTACAAGGGCACGCTGTTCCACAGGGTCATTCCGGGGTTTATGGTCCAGGGTGGGGATTTCGAGAAGGGGGATGGGACGGGTGGGCAGAGTATCTACGGGAGCAAGGTGAGTTCGAGTTCGAGTCCGGGGCGTGCTAGGCTCCGACCGCGACCGCAAGCAGCTCCCTATAGCTAGAGACCGATGAGGGATGTCTTAGGCGGTAGTCATGGTGGATGCTGGAAGTTTTGCATAAAGGGAGGAGCGGGAAAGGGGGTATAGCCGGGATCACGGCTGATCAGTATAGTTCGACGATGAGAAGTTCGTCAAGAAGCACGACAGTGAGTTCTCACCCTACCTGTCTGGTGTCCTGCAATCTGGCAATGTCGCTAAATGGCCAGAGATCGGACTCCTATCCAGCGCCAACGCCGGGCCCAACACCAACGGCAGTCAGTTCTTCATGACGCTCGTCGAAAAGGCCGAGTGGCTCGAGTGAGTCCGTCTCCGACCTTGCTACCTACGAGGCAAAGCACTCGACGTTACGTCCCGCTTCTTGAGTTTGCTGCCCAGTACCGGAACCACATTTGGGCTTGCTTGAGAGGGCTGGAGGCCATAGCTGACTCGGCAGCGGCAAGCACGTCGTCTTTGGCGAGATCGTGTCCGGACTGGACGTCGTCAAGGCTATTGAAAAGACGGGGAATAAGGAGGGGAAGATGCCAAGTAAGGACAAGGTGGCGATGATCAAGGACTGCGGAGCTGTCAAGGCTTAGCTTAGCCCATGTACTCAATCAATGATCATGCAACGCTCTCGATGTGCTCTGCTCCGTCCGCGGCCCAGTAGTCAGGCACTTGTCAGTGACAGTTTCGCTGTCAATGAGCTGGTGTCAGCAATTAGCCCCGCTCCACACCCTACGACCCGACGTTGTAATATTCTGCGTCTCTCGAGTGTACTTCGCGCCTTTTCCTTCTCCTCTGCTGCCGCCCCGCCATCCTATATCCTCCGCCTATACCGTCCCAAAGCTATACTCCGCCCAATTGACATACGGCGCGTCCCCTGGCCCCTTGATCTGCTCCCCCGCCTGGCCCCAGCTCGTCTGGCTAATCCCATCAATCCACCCCTGTGGCTCAATCACGACACACCCATTCTTCTCCAAGAACCCCGTGCTCTTCCCCTGACTATGCGCCTTCTTGAGCGGAATAGTCCCATCCTGCGCCGCCGCCGCATACACCTGCAAACTCGGCTGGTTCGTCCGTACCTTCATCTGGATGCCCGTATCCGCCGACGTCCAAACGAGCTGCACAGGGCCCTGGGACCACTCGCTAGCTGGCAATATAGGCTGGTCTAAGATGAAGGCATTGTCGATGCCTACACACCCCTCGCCGCAGAACTTGGCGGTCAGGGCGCCTTCCTTGATCTTCTTGGGGGCGGTAAAGTTTAGAGCGTCGCCAGGGGAGAGTGTCTTGATTTCGCCAGTAGGGACGAGGATGGAATCGCCCACGACAAACCGGTTCGCGTGCGGGAGGTGGAGCGTGTCTTCGAGGACGGTCGGTGAGGCAAAGCCGCCGATGTTCCAGTAGATGTGCGTGGTGGGCATGATGGGCGTCTTGGCGGTCAGGGAGATGGAGGTGGAGGTGGCGACGAAGCGAGGAGGGGAGGAGAGGACGGCGTAGGTGACGTGGTTTTGCTGAGGCGTGAGCTGGGGCTCCAACAAGGGTGGACCACTGCGTAGCTTACCGTTGCTCCCGGGAAACCGCTCGTCCCGGCCGGATCGAGCATACTGAATGTGATCGACGAGTTAGAGTGGTCCGTTACATCCCAGTTGCGCTGTATCGTCAGCTTGACCTAGCATCTGTCTAAGGTTGGCAGCTCACAGCATCCCAGCCATCCTTCCCGCCGTGGAGCGTATTGGCGCCATCGTGCTCATTCCGATCAACCTGGTACTCCTTGCCGTCAATCGTGAGCTTCCCACCGCCGATTCGGTTAGCATACGGGCTATATCGTCAGCTTACGTCTTCATCGCCGCCTTTTAGCCCGAGCCGGAGAGCAGAGCACTGACCCGACGATGCAGCCATAGTACGTCCGGCTGTTCTTGGTATCGTTGTAAAACTCCGAGACATCATCATAGCCCACTACGACGTCCTTCTCCTCCCCTGCCTTGTCCTTGACGTGCAGATGCGTGAGCCTCGCACCGTGCGCGATGAAGGAGGCCGAGATGCCATCGGCGGAGATGGTGTAGGGCTTGATGCCCTCGGGCGAGGAGGTGTTGGTGACGGACATTTTTGCTGGCGATTCTGTGTTATATGGGCGGGTGAGACGTAGAGGGATGGTGGCTAGAAGATGTATAGATGAGTGATGGATGAATGAGGGAAAGAAGAGCACGCAGGAGAGCCAAGGTGGACCGCCCGGCGGTGGAGGAGCCGGAGCGGAGGAATGCAGCGTGAATGGACCGAGAATCGTCCGGGTGGCAAATGGCGCACTCGAGGCACCTAGCATCGGTCTCACCTTTAGCTGCGTGGCACCCAAAGCAGGTGAGAGCTGTGTGAGAGCTGGAGGGACTAGAGCGGTACGTCGCGCCTAGATTGCGTGGGATACCTTACCTGACCCGCCCTAGCTTTCATGTGGGGAGGGGCGAGAATAGGGATGGTATCTATATCACTTGTGAGGCACTTGCCTACATCCCCGTCCTCTTTAGGTCGATCAGTCCGACCGAAGCGTTCGCCGTACTCTCTCATCGTGTGCTGCTACATCAGTGCTACGCGAGCCGGACGGCGGGCGCTGCCCTTGCAGCGTTCCTTTCACTTTGGTCCCCTGTCGAGCACCGATATGAGGCCTTTCCAGACATATGTACATACCGCCATTTTGCCGCCCAAGATCCTACAGTCGAACATATCACAGCCATGCCCAGACTCGAAAAAGGCATACGCAGACCCAATTACGTTGACGCTCCTTCTGTTACTGAGACCTCTGAGGCTATCTCTCCGGCGAGCGAGCATCAATCCACGGCAGAAGTAGCTTCCTTCTGGCCGTACCAGACCCACCAAATCGCTCTGTACTACACTCGCCCAGCGTTCCCGCAGCAATGGGCGAGTGAATGGTTCTCTGCTGGCATGAGCTGCACTCCGGGTTGGTCCGAGACGGAGAAGATCAAGGCCGATTCGGTCATACAGAGACTGGTCCAACGCGCCTACTCTAACTCTTCAAAGATGCGAGATCCACGTGAACGGGCCACCAAGTTCTATTGGGCGGAAGAGCTGAGCGAACTCTTGCAAGAGGAGGGGCTCTCAGGCCACGTGAGGAGTTGCGAGCAAGTGAGTGATGCTCAGCTGAGTGCGAAGGCTGAGGCGGGATCGACGAGCGAGTCGACAAATGTGGGCGCTGGGAGTAGCAGCTGGTCGATGGACAGAGTTCGCGAAGCGCCCAAAGAGGAGGCTGATAGCGGTCTTGTGCCGTACCAGAGTCTGCGTATTCCTGATAGAACCCATGTGTGAGACGAAGGGGATCCAGGATTGGGCGACGAGCAGGGATTCGAACGGGAAGGCGACTCTGTACAGCAAGAAGATCTGTACATGCGATTCTCATACTCTATGAATATATGCCAGCCGGGATGTTGGTCCTGTCTGAAGCCCTCAGAGGGAATCTAGCGCAACATCAGGCCAACAGCGGGTGACCCAACAGCGGGTGGTGCTGCTGCTGCTGCTGCTGCCGCTGCTGCTGTGAAGAGTTGGCGATGGACCAGTATTTTAGTGAGCTGGCTCTCGTTCGCCACGCCACCCATTTGCCACTCAGCTTGCCGCCACGTGGCCCGGCTACCACGCCGACCTGCGGCCTTACGGCATTCCCCCGCATCGCCAGTCAACGCTTCGTCATAGACCTCTTGCATCTGTACATCAACAACATCTACTATACACCTCGACCGACCCCCCAGCAGTCCTCACTATAGGCATCACAGCCTCCCTATACCCGCGTATACGGACCATAGAAGAAGCTCGGGCAAGATGGACATCGCCTTTGTCTTTACGCTCATCCTCGCGAGCTTCATCATGGTATTGCTCATGGCGGCCGGGGTGGCCATCACCATGCCGTTCCATGGAGCTCTGGTCCGTTTACGGGCCAACTACAATCCAAGAGCAGTAGGGCTGGAAGGTGTGGAGAACAGGTGAGCTCATCCCGGAGCTGAGTCCAGCTTGAATGGGGGAGAGGTCCCGTCCGCCTCGAGACGCTCCCTTTGTTCCTCGGGTTATGGCAGGCAATTTGGCTACGGAAGGCAGTCTGGGGGACGGAAGGCGTCGCGACCCAGTATGCATCGGAGGAAGCCAGACAACTGACAAAGCAGAGTCGGACCGACCCTGTCAACCCTCCTCGGCACGCTCAAGCGGACGAAGCAGCTCGAAGGCTGGTACGGTCTGTACAAAGGTAGGCCACTGCTTTACCCCTATCATCCGAGCAGATATCAGCTGGCGAAGGCGTTCCGATCCGAAGCAGTACTCGAGAAGCAGCTGACAACTATAGGAGCATATCCTATGGTCGCCTTTACTACGCTCATTTCGGTCTGCTCCATCATCTTTGTCGGCGGGAGCTCGACAAGGGGACCAAGAGGGACATACAGCGTGCCAGAAGCAGGAGGATTCCAGTGAGTCCAGCAATCTAAGCCGTCGCATTACACGCCACTCGGGTCTCAGTTAGGAGAAGCGACAGTAGCTGATACCACAGAATGGGCATCTTCACCATCCTGCTTACTCTGATCAGCCTGCCCATGACCGTCATCGTCAATCGGTAAGGAAACCTTTGAGATCTTTGAGAAATAAAAGACCTCTTCGGCCCGAGCTGACCCTTTAGCTCGATCATTACTCCCTACCGCCTCCCCAACAACCCTCGCCAATCCCTCAAAATCCTTCTATCTATCCGCGAGCTCTCCATGCCTTGGACGCTGTACCTCACCCCCGGTCTCCTTCTCGTGACCTTCCTCCACTCCCTCTCCGTCACCCTCGTCGCCCGCACCATGCGCCTCCTCCTCCTCGGCACTCCCGACGCAGGCGATGTATGGAACAACACGGCCTACTGGCGCTGGGCCCTATTCACGATCTGGCAAGCTGGCGCCGCGGGCTGGTTGACGCCTCTCGAGGTTGTCGCGACCCGTCTCTCGGTCCAGCCAAACACCGGAAACGGGTATACCGGAGTCGGAGGGGAAGAGGCGGCAAGTGAGGAATATGTGCCGGAAGGTGTGGAGTTTTGCGGGAGTGGAGAGGACGTGATTGGCCTGAGACCGACGAGCGAGCCGTATGAGGGTATGGTGGATTGCGGGCGGAAGATTATCCAGGAGGAGGGTGGGGGGAGTCTGTATAGGGGATGGTGGTGGACGATGCTGGGGAATGTGGTGGCTGTGGCGAGCTAGAGGATTGAAGGAGGAAGAGCGCGGGAATCAGCAATATCAGAAGTACACGGCAATGCCAAGGATAATAGTGCTTAGTCTTGGCTCTTTCGGCAAGAGAGGAGACAGCTTCAGCTCTAGCTGAGAGAGTACTAGCTGGCACGTTGATGAGACTGAAAAATGCATGTCATAATCATCAAGCCGTTGAAATGGGACGGACGGGGGATGGGTGAATGGACAGGAAGGGAACGAAATGCAGACGATGCGCTCATTGGTGACCCGCCATCGTGCTCCCCACCGTGTGCTTGCTGGCCTGATCCTGAGCCCACTTTGCGACCAGAAGGGCCGGCACCAGCTGGTGCCTTTTTGGATCCTTCGCCTTGCTGCCGGTCCGAGTGTACAAGATTCGGTCATCCGGACCGATCTCGTCTGACTCGGGACAGACGGGATGGAGGGTTGTCTCGACCAACGCCTTGCTCGTGGCGTCAGGGTCCTTGTAGTCCGTCCGGTAAGTGTGCGGGTATGGGAACTTCGATAGGATCTCCTGCCGGATCTCGTCTGGAACCTTGCTGGCCTCCGCGTGAAGAGAACTGGTTGCCCCATGCGTATCCCACACCACTTGTGTCACGTCGCTCTCGGGGAATTCCTCCTCGGTGCAGGCAGGATGGAAAACCGTTCCGCCCCGCCTCGAGTGAATTTGTCCGACTCATTCTTCGACTCATTTTTCGACTCATTCTCCGACTCATTCTCCGACTCATTCTCCGACTCAAGGAAGATACTGGTGTCCTCGCATCCGGTGGCATCGCACGTCCGGTCGCCCATGTTGACGGACAGGGCGTACCACTCAAGCTTTCCGGTGCCCGGATCAATGACGGACACTTGGAGCGGGACCGTTTGGTAGTACCCAAGGTCAGACTTGGACGCGAGGGGGATCTCCTTGGAGTAGGGGTAAATGATGGTATACGGCGTCACCATGTTGTCTGCAGATTCCGGTAGTCGAGCTTGAGAAGTGGTTAGGGAGGGAAGATGTTTGGACTGTAAGGGTGAAGTGAAGGAGAACGAGTACGGGCACGAGGACCCAGCTATATAGCCAATGTATGACCCTCAGCACTTGATCTCGCCACTGGGGCGAAAGGAACATTAAAGGGGTACTTGTCAAGATCGGTTTGACTTTAGCGGTGTCCTTTCATGCAGCGAAACGTAGATTGCGATAGTGTGCTCAACGAGCGTATCTCACACACGTGCACAAGCGGGTAGAATCGCACAGAATCCCGTCGAACAAAAGACCAAGCTCTCGAGGTGCGAAGAAAGTGGATATGCTCTCGAGCGTCCACGCGTGTCAGTACAGTGGTCAGTGCGATCAGAAAGCTCAGTGGTAGATCAGTTTGTACATCAAAGCAAGATGATATATTGTCACTATAAACAAGGCATGAGCTGAAGCAGAGAGTATACGAGGTATGCTATAAGTAGCTCTTTGGTGATGGATGTAGTGGCTGATTCCGTCCGGCAGGTCGCCCAGTTTCGTTCGGACATGGCGCAAGCGCGAGGGTAGGTAGGCGTATAGGGCATGATATGGCGTATGATCGGTGTCGGACAACTCGTGTCAAACGAGGTGGTGATGGCGAAGGGGATAGGGGAGTCGTGTGCGGTCGTGCGATTTATACTTTTTCTGTTTGCTTTTCGTTCAAGCCTGGTATCCAGACCGGCCGTACATCCCCTGTTGATCAGCTTTATCCTCTTCAGCCAGCGCCAACCCTGAGTCGCCAAGAAGAGCTCACCATGCTCTGCTGATAATACAATGGCCCTGGCTGCATCTGCGGCCCCATAATCCCCAATCCCCCAAAACTCGGCTGTTGCTCAAACTGCATCGGCGGCATCCCATTCGTCAAGCGCAGTTGGCCGTGAGAGGCGAGGTATGGGACGTCGATACTGGGTGAGGCGAACTGCATCGTCAGCTCACTCCATCCCACCGCCAATAACCCTAGATAGAGGAAAAGTGGGAAGAGACGGGACTTACAGGATTAAATGGATCCGATCCAGGTGACATCATCTGACTCGCGGGGCTCAGCCGGCCCCGATAACTCGGCACCGGTGTCCTGGGCGAGTTTCCCCCATTCATCCCCGGACTTGCATGCGGGACCGAGAGGGGCGCAAGCCCACCTCCGCCCCCATGCCCATTCATGCCTTGGTACATCCCCGGTCCAGGCGAGCCTCCATTCCGTCCGTACGGACTCCCTCCGTAGCCTCCTGCTCCACCATATCCCCTTCCTCCTCCTTGACCCTGACCCTGCCCTTGGCCCTGCCATCCACCCGCCCCGCCCTGACCTCGCGCAGAGTAAGGCGACGCCGCGCTGGCGGGAACGGGCAATCCCACCGCCTCCAATAATAACCGATACGGCGGCGTATTGCTAGCCTTGACGCCGGGAAGGACTCGGCGAACCGCTTCGACCATCTTCTCCTTCTCGTCCGGCGGAATATTCGATGTCGCGAGGACTTTGCCGATGATTTGGGCGCCGTTGTTGGCGTCGCTGAGGATCTCGATGAGGGTCGAGTCGGAGGGGGAGGTGAAGATTGCAGAGAGGAGAGAGGCGGAGGCGGAGGGTTCGGACGCTTGGGAGATGACTGCGGGTCAGCGGAAGTCTCCACGATCTGTTTCGAAAGAAGACGGAGTAGCGAAGCGAAGTGGAGAGGAGAGAGGTAGACTTACTGCGCAGAACAGTCAAGCTGGCCAGCTTGTGCGTGCACAAATGGGCAACATGGGGAGCGAACCGGTTCGCGAGCAGCCCGTACCTTCCGGGCAAGTTGGACTGGTCGACTAGCCAAGTCAAAAGCAATGCGCCGTTCGGGTTGGTCGATAGTGGAATGGCATTGAGGATAATCCCGCCCGAGATACGTTTCTGTACATCAGCTTCACCGTCTTTTGAGTCTGGAAGTTTGTCCCTGATCCCTCCTAATGTACGAGCTAGACCCATACCGCACCACCATCATCTACCCCACCTTCCCTCTCCCTGACAACTCCAGTCCCCGCCAGTTTCCACTGTGACCAGAATTAAACCCAAAACTCACCTTCTGATACAAGCTCGTATGCGGGCTCTCCAAACAGGTCCTCATACATCTCGCTCCGAACCGATTCTGCGCAATATCCCACATCCGATCCGCCATCGCATCAAACACATAATCGCTATGCGGCGCGCCGAACCGCAGCGTCCCCGCGCAGACGTAATTACCGAGCGAATCGCACATGAGGGGCGGGGCGAACGGGCGGAGGTTGGCGGCAATCATTGATCGCTCGGGGTCGGTCACGGAGCATTCGATAATTTTCTGGGCGGCCCACGTTCCATTCTTGTGTACGCCGATCATGGCGAGATGGGGGGCTGCGCGTTCGAGCATGGATAGGCGGATAGGGTATGAGACGCGCTCGAAGAGCTTTTGAATGACCGTATTGCCGATATGATCCGCTGCGAGCTATCTTGTCAGCTTCCGCCCCGCTCTCCTCCCTCTCAACGATCACGACTCACCTCGGCGGTATCCTCAATCAATTCCAACGCCATCTCATCCACCTCCCCCTGACTCATCATTCCTGATTCCAACCTCTTCCTCTGATCCTTCAACCTGAGCACATCGAACCGCTTGAACGGCTGCCCCGTACTCTGATCGCCCATCGGCGGGATGGACGAGTAATACATCCCCACCGGCCTATTCGCCTCTGCCGCCGCGCGCACATCTTCCGCCGATGCCGTACCGGGCTGACCAGCACTTAGCACCTGCATGATCATTTGCTCCTCGCTGACCACCCCGTCGCTCGCCAGGCCTTGCTGGAGCACTTGCTCGTGCACCCCCGCCTTGATCAGGTCGATGACGAGCGGGGACCGATAATTTTCGACGCCACCGCCGGAGGGCGAGAGCTGTTGTTGCGTAGGAACGGCGGCTGCGCCTTGGATGGAGCCGAGGGCCTCGCCGAACCGTTCGGGCGATCGAGCGAGGTCGGGGTCGACTTCTGGACCGCCGATGATGGGCGTCTTGGTTGGGACTCGGGCGTAGCCGATCCGGATGGGTCCAACGTCGGAACCGAGGATGTTTCGCCCATTCAGCGCGTTCCGGGCGGAAACGGCAGAATCGAGTCTCTCAAAGTTGATGAACCCGCAGCACTGCTCGTCAGCTCATTCCCCAATTCCCGGATCCGACAAAGATGACTGACCTTGTGCATTAACACCCGCGCAGACTCGACCGGACCGAACGGCGAGAAGATCTGAAGAAGCGTCGCCGAGCTAGTCGGAGCGGGAATGCTCCCGATCCAAAGCGCACGAGTAGGCATCGAGCTCTGCTCATCCCCCGGTTCTGGCGAGAGCGGGGCCAGAGGCGCAATGCTGGAGGCGCCAGCAGCGGCGGCAGCAGCGATATTACCGGTCGGCATTACCGGAGCTGGGGACGGAGCAGCGATTGGAAAGACGAGTCCAGGTGGCGGAGCAGCGACGGTACTGGTATTGAGACCGACAGGGGCGGAATCGATCTTGCCAAACCCGATCCGAACGGGCGCAGTCTCGGAGAGGGAGGTAATATGCCCGCCGAGACGATTGAGGACGTCGTCTCGAGCTCGAACGGCATCGACCTTGTCCAGATAATTGACGAAAGCGCAAGTCTACCAGTCAGCTCTGTAAACGCCCACAGACGGTCATCGAGATGTAGCTCACCTTCTCCGGCAACATCCGCACGCTTTCAATAGGTCCATACTGCGCAAACACCATCAACAGCGTATCGCTCGTCGCGTCCACATCTAAATTCCCAATCCACAAACTCCTCGTTGGGACTTGCGGGTTCATGCCCATTCCTCCCCCTCCGCCCATCCCCATAATCCGATCAAAGTCCGGCGTGCCCGTTCGGGACGTGTGCGAGCTGGCGCTCATGCGAGGTCCGCGTCCGCCGGCGCCGATCGAACCATCTCGGGATCGGGTCTGGGGATACTGGGGATAACCACCGCCACCACCGCTTCCCCCAGAACCATAGATGCTGTTGTAGATCATGGGGTTGACGAGGTGCGCCCCGCCCATCGGCGATTGGGGGATAGACTGGAGGTATCCGCCCCGAGTTGGCCGACGTGGATTATCAAGGGTGCCGACCGTTATAGCCCGAGGCCTGTAGGCGTCTTTGAGGCCGTACGGCCCGTCCAGCCCGCTCCCCGTATGAGAGCTAGGATCGTACATTGCCAGAGTCTCCATCGCGCCGGCCAGTGACGACCCATACTCGTCCTGCCCCTGACCCTGCCCCTGCCCCTGCCCCTGCCCCTGTCCATATCCCGCACCTCCTCCAGCGCCACCGTAGATCTCCTGATTCTGATCCGTCACCGACTGCCTAAGCGGCCGCGCAAAGTTCGAGACTGTGCTTGCGCGCAATCGACTCGCCGGTCCATTCTGCGCAATAGCTTTCTGAGCAGCCGTACGCACTCCCGCCATACTCGCGGGTGCGAGCTGGTTCTGCCCATCATTGCCCTCCGCGAGTCCCAGGTAGTCGAGGGTGGAGAAGTTGAGGTGGCCGGACAGAGTAGCGGCCGTGTCGGAAGGCGAGTAAGCAGACATGGGATCTTCATTCTCGTCGGCGCCCGTCCCGGCTCCTCCAGGTTGACCGAGCGGAGAGCGAGCCGGGCCCGGATTGGCAAGCCACGATTTGGAAAATGGAGAATTCCCGAATGCTGAGCCGAGGGCATGCTGCGGGAGCCCGAGCGAGCCGGATCGCGGTCGGTTGATGGTGGAGGCGGCGGACCGAGGGGATGTTCCGGGGATCTCGCCATTCGAGGACGCTGCGTGGCGGAGGGAAGGGCGCGTAGGGGTTGTGTTGGTAGGATAGGCAGGTGAGAGGGCTGAGGTGCGTATGAACCCCTCTGGAGTGGTCGGAGTAAGGGAGGTGGAACCGTCGCTTTCGTGTAGCTTGACCGAGGGCATGGTACTGCTGATCAGCTACTTTCCCCATCCTTCAACCTGTCTGCAGGGGCGAAGAATGGAAGACCTACCCAGCCCGTGCACGTCGATAACCCCCAAACCCGACTCCTTGCTCAACCCCCTCCGCCTCTCCGGGCGCAACGACCTCCCCGCCCAGATCAGCTACAGATACGACGGGCAGAACAACTCCTTCACCCTCCATAATCTCGCGCGCGCGCCGGGCGTACGCCGCGCTAGGCGCAGGAGGGGGCGTGCGGCCCTCGCGCGAACGGCTGCCCGTCCCGGCCTCAGGAGGGGAGAGCGAGGTGCGCGGTGTTTTGGTAGGTGTTGAGAGGGGAAGGGGGACTGGGACGGCAGAGGGGAGGGAGCGAGGAGGGGACATGTTGAGTGGGGTGGAGAGGTCGTGAGGCTGTGAGGACTGAAGGTGGGCGTTGGACGTTGAACGTGAACGTGGAGGAATGTGGTTCGCTAAAGGTGGTCAGTGGGTCCTTTTGAGTAGGAGCGAAGCTCGGATGGCCGACAGAGATGGCGGAGGAGGAAGCAGACGGGACGTGGAAGATGTACAAGAGGGACAGCAGACTCACAGCTCTAAAGCTGAAACCTAATACTCGTATAGACTCAAAGCGTATCCAGTCGTCAAGATGCCTTAAACCCAAGGACAACGAGGACTAGGCCGTCCGCGTCAAGGGCGAGTATCGTCCGTCGGGGAGGTAGAGGAAGAGACCAGCTCTGAATCAATATGCGGCGCCAAGCTGGTGATGGCTTTACTTGGGCGACCCAGTGTAGGAGATGGTGCGAGGATAGATGGTCCGTCCGTGGTCGGGTCCTGGGTCGACACCGCTTCCTTTACCTCCGTCTTCCGTCTCGTTCTCCGTGCAGCTCTTTTCGAGCGGTCGTGATTATACGTGACAGATAACGAGATCCACAATTAGAGCGCAAAGCGGTATATACTAGTGATACTGCAATATAGATGTATAGTCAATGAAGTCAAAGGGGAGCTCAAGGGGGCGCAGTAATGGCTGCTGGACAACGGGGTCAGTTAACATTTCGGAGTCCCCACACATGCCGCATGCTCCTTGCTGCGCACCTACGTTACGGCTCTTGCCGCCTCCAACTTGTCGTTTCTACCTCGACTGAGCAGCGAGCAGCGAGCAGACAAGGAAAGAATACCAGCTGCATCCACAACGGGGTATCTACCTACCCCACAGGGTATACACTCTGCGTAATTCCTAATAGGAAATCCAAAGATACCCCCTCTTCTCCCCCCCTTTCCCTGATCTAGCACAAAGCGCAGCCTCGGCCGCCTCTCTACTTCATACCAGCTCCACCTCCTCCTCCCACTCTATCTGCCCTTCCATCGGGGCAGCCGCCGTTCGCCGTGGGTCGTCGTGATGGTCCGTTTTATTGATGGTACCGAAATGCCGAAATGCCAGAAATGAAAAACAAGCACAAAGTGTAAAGGGGAGGAGAACCGAATGATCCGGAAATGTATGGGAGGGAGAAGAAGGGGAAGGAACGATCGAGGGACCGAATAGAAAATGGAGTTGGTTGCCCTCTCCCGCCGAGCGTTGGGAAATCCGAGTGATATGTGATAGGGGTGGAGGAAGGCGATGGTGATACATGCCGACTGGGGGCCGAGCGTGGTGGGAGGGGGATTGGAGGTGGATTTCCGGGCAGCTCGTATGCTTTTGAGGTGACGCGTTATGGGCGTCGAGTTGATGTCTATCCGAATGGGGTCTAAGTTGAAGGATGTTGTACAGGTGAGACTGAAGGGGGAAAGCGGAAGGAGGGAGTCGAGAATGGGAATGAGAATGATCGGAGCAAAGGCGGAGAGGCGATTATGAGCCAAAGTTGAAACCACCCTGAGGCGCCGCAACTACCAGCGTCAGCTTACCCTCCAAGTCCTCGGTAAAGCAGCAACTCACCATCCGACTGGAAAGCATACTGTCCCTGCTCATCTACCGCCGCCTCTGCGCCATCCGCCTCCTCCTCGTCATCCTCCGGGAAGAACTCTATTCTCATCAGCTCTTATCCTCTCCTGCGGCCAAAAAAGAACTCACTGTCCATCATATAGAAGCACTTCTTGTAAATCTCCAAATTCTCCGAATGCTGCAAATGGTGAATCGAAACCATCCCGCCCGCCTCCTCAATAAACTGCGCATAGGCATTAACAGCGCCCGGCCCACTCGCCTCCTTGTCCATCTCCCCCACCTTCAAAATGTTCTCCAAACCATCCAAAGCAACCTGGATAATCTTGTTATCCATCGACTGCAACAAGTCGCACATCGGCTTGATACAGCCCTGGGAGACGAGGTAGCGGATTTGGTTGGGTTCTTGGAGTCCGCCCGAGGTTGCGTTCGAGATGGCCCAGCAGGCTTCTTTTTTGGACTTGAAGTCGCCGTGCGAGAGGGTGTTGATGAGTGGGGGAATAATGTTGCTGGGGTACGGTCAGCTGGCTCCGTTTCTTTCGTTCTGGGCGGCGGTCAAGCTTACGCATCAATGACGGCCTGGATCTGTTGAGGGGATCCAGCAGTGACGTTAGAGATGGTCCAGCATGACTCCTTACGGATCCCGTCCTTGGGCGAAGACAGGAGACTGAGAAGCGCAGGGAGAGATCCCGACGAGATGATGACCTGGGTCTGGAGATCGTCACCAGTGACAATGTTCCCGACGGAGCGGAGCGCGGGGGTCTGAACGGCGGTCGAGTGGTGCCTGCCAGGTCAGCTTCGTCTACTTCTCGCCCTCAAAGTGATCGCAGAAACGTACATCAAGAGATCAACGAGACGCCTGCAGACACCGGCCTCGATAACAGCCTGGATCTTGTCGTTCGACCCGTCCGAGAGGTAGCTGATCGCCCAGCACGCATCGATGAGGACCTCGTCGTCGAGCGAGTAGATGAGCTTGGCGAGGACGCCGAGAGCGGGGGCGATCTATATATCAGCCCTTGTTCCTCTTCGCTTCCGATCCCACTTCCGTTGTGCTCCCTCTTGTCTCCCGGCTCTCCTCCACCTTCCCACAATGGTTCATGCCGTATCCAGTCTCAACTCACCTTGGACCACTCCGGCTGAGGGCTCTTGCCACGACAAAAGTTGCTCAGCGTCCACGTAGCGTTCCTCAACATTGACAACTTGTGGTTCTCATTGAGCAGCACCAAGAGCGGCTGGAGCGCACCCGAGGCGAGAACGTGGTCCCTGCACTTGGGGGAATCACCGGCGATGTTTCCGAGAGCCCAGACGCTGTATGTCAGCTTCCGCTTATCACCAAACGTAAATGGCAACGAAAAACGAAACTCACGCTTGCTCGCGAACGTCCAGGACGGACGAGGAGAGGAGGCGGACAAAGTGAGGGACGGCACCGGCTTGGATGACTACCTGGGTGTGGTCGGAAGTACCGGAGGCGATGTCTACATATCAGCTGAAGGCTTCATGCTCAAGGACGAGTCAGCGCACTGGTCAAAGCCCAAGCTGCCTCGAACTAAAATGTCAGCTGTAACCTGCTCTAAAAGGGATGAGAGTCGAGTAGCTCACCTGAAGCATGGTATTTTGGCTGGAAAGGAACTCGACAAAGCGAGGGACGACACCGCACTGGATGACCTTGTCGATCGGGGGGTTCTTCTCCTTAGACAGAAGCCTGCTTGATCAGCATCCGCTCCTTCCCTCTTCCCGGTTGCCAGCTAGAATGTCCCCTTTCCTCATTCCTCCTCAACACGTCGCCTTCAACCTCCTGTCGACCCCTTCTTTCCCTGCCCCGCAACAGACCAGACTTCGCACTCACTTCCTGAACTTCATGGTCGCCTCGAGCTGATCCTCCTGACTCGAGCTATACACCGCCTGCAGCATCTGCGGCAGAGTCGTCGCGAGACCCTGTGTCCCGAGGTCGGTATCCTCATCGGAATCGAGCCCATCCTCGTCGTCTCCCCCAGGCTGGAAGTTTCGGCGCTTCGCGATGGATTCCTCGCGCTGAGTCGTCAGCTGAGATTCCTCCACGTTACAACGCGAGACCAGGGGAGGAAAGAAGCAGAATGTCTGGCAAAGCAGCCCTTCGCATTCCTCCTTCTCCTCATCCCACACGCGAAACGCGAAAACAAACAACGTCAACTCACCTTCTGCTTCCTAATCTCGACCTGCTGTTCCTCGCGTCTACGTCTCAACTATACGATCAGCTCCTATCCTTGTGGCATTTACTCGAGATCGCCACCCAGCCACCCAGCCACCCAGGCATCGCGTGATCAACCCCTTTCGACGCAATGAAGGCGACATACCTCAGTCGCTGAGAACTGAGTCTTTCCCTTGAAGTTTGCCCTTCTGTGGTCGAGGTTACGGTCGGCCATGGTGTGTAGTATCTGTACTGTAGAAGGTGTAAAGAGGGGAAAGGAATGTTTTGTTATGCAGGAGAATGGGTCAAAGGGAAAAGGGGGCGGGAGTAATTTTTGGCTCAGCAGCTTTAAAGGAGGGACTGAATAGAGACGCCAGTAAAGCTGCTTTGGGAAGGTGTGACGTAATGAGGAATGAGGAGTTACTGTCCCGCCAAGCCATCTATCTGTCCAGCTCTGAGATCTTGCCATGTACTGAAGATCAAGCGCTCAAGGATAGTGGTAACACAAGTCAAGTGCGACAAGAAAGATCGGTACATATACTCAAGAGATAAGGACTTCGGCTGAGCTAGATTGCGAAACGACGGCCAGCTGGTCAAGCTCAAGCTCAAGTTGAGGACAACGTCGATCGCGCGGCCAGGGCGAGAAACGCCCCCTTCGCATTCGTGCGCGGGCGAGCTATCAGATCTCCGATGAACTTTTGCCGCTTCCGTTCTTATCTGCTCTCACTCGTGTCCTTCGGGCCTTACGCGTTACGGACTGTACATAAGAGCTGATCGACCGTAATCCGTATGAGCCTCTTGCATCTGATTCTCAGCTGCCTTCACACTGTCAATCACATCGCATTGACACTCTCCTTCGCACCTCAACGGCCTCAAATATCACAGTTGATGTGCATCATGACGAGGCTCGCCATTATCTGCCGCATCGCCACGCTATTGCATTGCGCACTAGCATCCAGTATCGCTCAGCCACACAATATCAATGCCGGTCATGCCGGTCATGCCGGTCGTGCAGGCGTAGTATCCATCGCCCTCGAGACACCCCTTCGCAGCTCGGAAAGCCGCCCATGGGGGTAGACTGACCACTGCCGAGCGTATCCAGCAGTGAGTAATAGTCCAGCGATGCGGCCCAGCCGATGGGATGGCGAGGAGCACAGCGCGCAGCGCAGCTAACACCCTCAGAAATCTCCCCCTCCTCCCCCCAGTCCGCCGAGTCCAGCGCGCCAAGACTAAGCGTCTCAACCCTGCTCCAGCCGCAGCCAGAGCCAGCGGGTCATCAACAAGCTTCATATTCCACTTTTGTACCGGCCCCAGCTTCAGTACGTGTACGTATCCGTCTTGCCCGACTGTCTTTCTCCTCTGACGATCGATTCTCTTTCCCCTCCACGCTCGTCGATCACTCTACTATCCAGGCCAACCAGGCAGCTCATGTCTTTACAGACGCGTACAATGGCTATGACATCCCCGAGATGGACCTACAAGAAGTGGCCAACGCGTGCTCGGCCTACCAAGCTATCGATAACGGAGATGCGTCGGGACAATTCGCTTTCCGACGCAAAACACCCAGTCCGGTATTTTACTGCTATACTGTCACGGACGCGGTGGACGTTACGCCCACGGTGGTATGTACCAACACAAACAACAACTTTGGTATATATTCTGCGTAGTTTGATTAGAGCAGCTGCTGGCTGCAGTAGATAAAATAGATGTAGCGCTCTAGGGGTGAGTAAAGTAGTTGTCTGCTTTCCTTTCATGGTATGGTAGATGATATAAACGCGCTAGCTTTCCCTAGCTTGTCGACTGAGGACGGTAGTCTCGCATTCATACCCTGTAGCTTACTTCATGAATCCCGGGAGAAGGTATAGGGAGGCAAAAGAAGGGGCAGCGCCTCAGTAAGAAATACCTTTCTACCGAGAGGGGCCTGCCCATCGGCAAAGTTTCGTAGTCGCACAGAACTGCTATGTGTCCGAGCTGCTGTCCCCATGTCCACGGTCAGCTTGACTCATGACTCGCCTCACCACCACTCACGGCGATGCCACTCTCCGGGACACTCACGTGGCGTTCGGCCGCGGTATGCCGATGCGCGCGATCGTGCCTGACGCTTAAGTGAGGCGACACCTTTCGGATCTCGCTCCCGAGCTATCTCTCTGTTGATTGTCTCTTATCTCTGACGGGAACATATTCCGATAGCACATGACTAGCATGATTGGCAGCCGGCAAGACAGCGATGGGCAGCATCTGCTATGTACCAAGCGCAGGACGCCCACTGCCCAACTGAACGCCTCACCTACCTCTCCTCTTACTCGCCCCTTCTCACACCAAATTCCGAGTTCACAGTATGACCTACTCCGAGTTCACCCACGAGCGCCCCCTGTACGGGTACGAGCTCACCCCTCCGAACCCGCAATGGCCTAACGGCGCCAAGATCGCAGTGACGTTCGTGATTGAGTATACAGAGGGCGCAGAGAGCAGTACCGAGCATGGCGATGCGTCTTCAGAGGGTAAGTCATACGTCGTGCCGCCTTGATCTGGGAGGTGGATCGCAGCTGACGCCTCCAGCGCTCTTTAATGAGCTGGTCATCGACGTCTCGAGGCAGGCAAGGGACGACATGGTCGAGTCGGAGTTTGAGTATGGGCCGAGGGCGGGCTTGCCGCGCTTGATCAAGATGTTCAAGAAGTAAGGCCCATCCTCTCTTCCTTCCTCCCTTCCTCTTCGGATATTGCCAATCCCTCCTCTCCTTCTGCGCAGGCCTGACTGCTATGTGATCTGAGCTAATCAAGCAGATACAACATGAAAGGCACCTTCAACATCGTCACCCGCGCCCTCGAGCGCGCCCCATACTGGCAGAAAGTCATCCGCGAGTCGGGCTGGGAGCTCTCTTGCGCCGGCGCGAGGTGGTTGGACTTTATGCACGTCAAGCCCGAGGAGGAGGATAAGCAGCTCAGGGAGGCTATCCAGTCGGTGGTGGAGATCAGGGGTGGGGATAAGGCTGCGCCCATGGGTAAGTCAGACATTCACGCTGAGGGATACAAGGGGCACAAGGTTCGGCACTGATACAGCAGGTTTATGCGTCGGTCGGAAGTCCAACTACTCCCAGCGGCTCTATGCCCAGGCGTGCGAGGATCTCAAAGTCCCGATGCTATACTCTGCCGACTCTTTCGCGGATGAGATTCCGGTGAGCCCTCTCCCTCCCCCTTCTCGCTCATCCTCCACTACCTTTCTACTGCCTCATTATCTCCAGCTATCTGCGTTATAATCCAGCTGACGCCCAGTTCTGGATCACCTCCCCGCTCGCCACCTCCACATCCGACCCCGGCCTCCTCATCGTCCCCTCCTCCCTCGACACCTCCGACTTCCGCTTCAACGTCCCCGGTCAAGGATGGGGCACAGGTGCCGATTATCTCCAGTATCTCAAGGACACGTTCGACTATATGAAGAGCGAAGGGGAGGCGGGGATGGGACGAAACATGGTGGTTCAGCTGCATCCGAGGATTATCGGGCATGGGTCTAGAGCTTATTACCTGGAGCAGTGAGTTGGCTATCCAAGTCATATGTCGCGTGCAGGAGCAGGGGGAGGTGGCGCCGTCGTGGCTCGACAAGGCAGGCGGGATCAGTCAGTGTGAGGCGAGAAGAACGGGGAGTGGAGGACGAACCTTCGAGGAGCCGGCGCTGATCTCCAGGTTCCTCAAATACGTCTCGGGACAGTCCGATGTCTGGGTGGCAAGCCGCGCTGAGGTCGCCCAGCACTGGCGCGCGACTTTTCCATACGAACCCACCAAGGCTCAAGACAAGGTAAAGATCCCAAGGAATGTCAACCCCTTCCAGAGCTAGTCTCGAGGATTGGGGGGGTTTCCTGCCCGAGCCAGCTCTGGCCGCCAGATTCTGATGTTTTATGCACCTGCTGCCTTCCTTCGCCTGCCCATGCTGCTCGAGCTCTTCCTAGATACGCACTACTTATCCGCTGACGCTCACGCCTGCTACAAGCACTCACTAATTACTGCGGCTTGGTCTGCACTGGGCCTCTTCCATCCGCTCAAGCTTGCTCCCGACCGCCTGCTACTCTGATGTTGATTCATGATCCCCGCTGGCATCGGACTCGGGCTTTACTGCCTCACTTGCCTCAGTGGTCCCGGCTTCGGCCGGCTCGGGGCTCGGACTCGCTCGGCCCGTAAGGCGATCTTCCGTCGGTTCACAGTCGGGCCCAGCTGGCGCTCGGCTCAAAGCTGCACTAGACGTGGCCGAGATCTCAAGAGTCATGCTAGTTACGGCAGTTGCCTGTGGACTGTCCAGGACCACCCCCACTCCACCAAAGGTTAGGTTCCAGATTTCCCGAAAATCCGGTTTGAAATCCCGATCCGAGGCTCCCTCAAATCCGGATTTGCACCTAACCTCGGATTCACGCACCAGCGAATGCACCTAAACCTTCAGATTTTTTCCGGCGCCTGCGGCGGGCTGGTCTACGCGCCTCCCTCTGGGAAGCCAGGTCCCCCCTCCTGATTTTTTTGCGATACGCGCAAGTCGACCCTCCAAATTTTTTTGCGCTTCGCGCAATGTCCACCCATCACAAAGGTCCGGCCGACCTCCGGCCGGCCGGTTGAAATCCGGACGCGCACCTGACATCTATCCCGACCGGCTCTCAAATCCTGGGCGGAACCTGAGGTCCGGATTCCGGAGACCCTTTTCAAATCCCGATGGAACCTAACCTCCTTAGAGTGGGGGTGGTCCTGACTGTCCGCAGCCTTGACTGCAGCCTCGCTCCAATCTGAGATCCTGAGATTCATCACCCACGCTTTTGCAAGCCGTTTACGTTAGCCATGTCAGGGCCTGCGGCCTGGCCTGTCTCGGACTAATAAAACATCTCGTACATCTGTCGTACGCCCTTCCATAAAGCCGCGTGAGACTTGATGCCACCGCATGCCGCTTTGCCATCAGTCCCACCCCGCTGAAGCAGCGGCTTGCCCCAGGGTCCCATCAGATGAATTGAGAGCAGGGCTGCGAGCATCAGTCTGCCAGCTCTATACCGGTGATCGATGAGCGCGAGCTTCAGAAAACGGCGTCGGCCGTGATTTCGTCTTTGCATCTATCGGCTCATCTACTAGCTGTACGTACACGAACGCAATCTGAGATCTGCCTCGCCTGCTGCCGGTGCACCGGGGCCCTGATCTTCGGCGGAAGCTGAGAGGATCTGCTCATCCGCCTTGAGCCCTCTGCCAGCCTCTGCCTTCCTGTGCAACGCGGCCCTCCGGTCTCCGCCCTTCCCCTGGTTGACCGACCGGTACCTATCGTGTTATGCAACTGCGCGATTACGACTCCGCTGTGCGGACCGGCCACACTGAGGCTGCGGCATCGGCTCAGTGGCTCACTGCCTTATGCTGTAAAAGGAGGATTTGCCGGCCGATTGGTGGCCCACTCTTTCGGGAGTCGCAAGCTATGTCGTGGGACCGGACCCCTTGGACTTCCCTCGGTCGGCGCGCGGAATGGGCGCCTGGAGGAGCACTTCGGTTCCGCTGGTTCTGTCGGCACTGGTGCCGTCACAACGACTGATTGGGAACAGATGAGATGGTGCGACGCCCAGGTGTTTTGTTTTGGGGTTGTGTCTCCATGTTGTCACCCGGGATGTTTCAATGATATAAGGCCGGCGAGATCAGTGCGACAGAATTTCCCCCCGTCTCTGCTCTCATCTACATCATGAAGGTCTCCACAGCTTACTGTCTTCTCGCCATGATCACCTCGGCACTCGCTGGTGGGATCCTCCCCTTCGTCGGAGTGCCAGAGGACGGAGCGCCCGACGTTGTGCCCGTCTGGCCCAGGAGCGCTCAAGCTGACACCTGGGCGGCGCGCAGGATGGCACGCGGTGATCAGCTCAGCAACGCGGAACGAATGAAGCGGTGGGTGCTTTACAGGCAGGTGGCCGGCGTGGTCACTGTGTGAAGCTGATCAGGACAGCAATCTCCCACTCAACAAGCCAGCCCGCCGGACGGCTGCAAAGCGCCTTGACAACGCCCCGGGTCAGGCCATACCCGACCCACGGCCCAGCGACCGCACATTCGTTTATAACTTCAACGGCTGCAGCAACGGCGGCGGCAGTGAGTCTCCTGGAAACCCTGTTCTCGATTTGCCTCCTCTCAATTTACACCGCTCTTAGCTGACACTACCGCAGACTTCCTCAAATCGTACAGCAACATTGCCTTCAACACACAGGACGCTGCAAACAATTGCGCCACCATGCAGAACAAGGATACAGGGGGCGGCGGCGGCCAGTTTGTTATCATACCGTCTTTCTCGGGAGGTTCGGGGTATGACTGCTATACAGGTACCGGTGCCGGGATAGATGCTTGTGACTCCGTCAATTACGCAGTATACTCATCCTAGCCTTTGAATTCATGGTCATGCAGCCCATTATCATTGGCATCGGAGTGGTTCGCACGCTGTGGACTGGGGGCATTTTTAGTGCCCGCAATTCGACGGTCGAGGTAGCAAGCGAGCTGCTTGCGCAGGTCAGCGGGAGTTTGGACCCCTTGGCGAAACGCAAGAAGCACATGACGTTGATCAAACACCTATTCATGCACAGTCTGTCTCACTAATCCAGCAGCCGATGACCATTGCGTGCTACTCTGCTCCGTGCGCAAGCCGCTGAGCGCCGACAGTCTCATACGGGAACTTCTCCCTCCAGTGCTTTGCGATATCCGCGCGGGTAGTCACCCATACATCATCCTTTGCGGTGATGTACTCGAGGAACCTGATCGTCAGCTGGGAAAAAAGAAGTGGAGATGGGAGAAGTTCTACTCACTTCTTCAATCCGGCGAGGCGTCCAGGCCTGCCGATAAGTCTGCTGTGCAGCGCGATAGTCATCATCTGTTTGTCAGTTCTTGGTCTCAGTCCCCTTGAGACGGGATTCAGGGGGAAAGCGTACCTTGGGTTCACCGTCTTGCCCTTCCGAGTAGAGCGTCTCAAAGTCTCCCTTGAGAATACTAATCTTGTCAGCTGTATGCTATATGAGCTTGGCAAGATGGAAGTCACTTGAACCAGTCAACAGCAGTCGAAGCACCAGCGCCCTTGCTATAGAATTCTGATCGGTCAGCGACATGGGAGACGGGCCCACGAGGGGGATGATGACATACTGTGGTCGTTGTTGACAAGGCCGTAAGGCACCTGCATGATCAGCCCCTTCCTTCCCTACCTTACTAGCCTGACGGGCAGGTGCAGACTCACCATCAACATCCCCTTGTCCTCCTCGCCGTCTAGCGAGAGCGGGTCCTCGACCCAGTAAGGCAGATCATCGGCGTACGAGTCGGAGCAATACAGCAGTGGTACGCCCATCTCCTTGTGTACCTTGTCGGGTCAGCTACATCCACCGGCTGGAGTCGAAAGACTGACCTTGGAGATGACGTGCTTGGAGTACAAGCTGCCTCGGCCGAGATACCACCCGGACGGGACATCTTGCTTTCCGCTCGCCTTCTGGATACGCTCGATACCCTGACGGACGTGTCTGCGAGTCAGCACAGGCTCTGCGCTCCCCCCACTACAAGAAAAGTGGGTGATCGAGATCGAGATCCTGAGGGGATGTAGACTCACGCTGCTTCCTCCTCTGGCCCGCTTAGCTCCGTCTGCGTAATCCACCTGTTCCCATGCGCGGCCATATCGCACCCCATACCCACGAGGATCGGACCATACTGCGCCGACGTCTCGATGGCGCGCGAGTTGAGCCAGAGAGTGAAGGGGTAGGAGAAGGACTGGAAGAGTCGGATGATCCGGGGTAGACCGGCGCGGATTCCATAGTCCTGTAATCGTCAGCTCCACCCTCTTTCCCTTATGCTCGGTCTGGACGTCAAAGCTCATGGTCGGGTCCAGCAGAGTAGACGACTCACGTATAGCGACTCGGTATACATGTCCCTCTTGCCTTCCGCTCGGTTGCGGTAGTAGTTCGCCTCGTTAAGGAAAGGCTCAGAGTGCTCATCCCCGTTCCAGACGGTATGCTCGGCACCCTCCTCGTCTGAAGTATCAGCTACATTCTGGTCGCTCTACGACAGTACCCGACACCCTTGAGCACGGAGTACATAACTCACAGTTCAGCACAAAAGACACTGCAATCTTGGCACCCTTGGGCCAAACATCCCCCTTGGGCTTTTCGAGCCCATACCCAACGAAATCGCGAGGAGGCAGGAAGACCTTGTACTCCGAGTCGGCTGAGGCAGTGTAGACCATGGTGATAGGAAGTGCGAGTGATCAAAATGGTCGGTCAGGCGTGTCAGTCAGAATTCAAGCTGAGGATCAATGTCGGCAGCTGAAAGCAAAAAGGCTGATATCGGTCGCAGCGCGCAGTGGTTTGGGCTGCGCTGCGATACTGATGCGGGCTCAGAGACAGATTCGGCTCGGAGCTCCATCCCGTGGTGCCTCAGTAGATTGTAGGAACGCTGTGCCGACATTGCGGTGGTGTAGATAACAGAGATAACAGAGTTAGACAGCATGATAACGGTTGCGCTACCCGAAATCGGATCTCCCGTGCCTGAATTGGGGGCCGCTGTCGGGGATCGCCGAGTGTGGCACTACTAGCTGCTGGGTGGCAAATGTGCCACTCTGGCATGCCAGGTCCAAGCGAAGCCCCTTCTCCCTCTCGAGGGTCGATGCACGTATCATAAGACATCAAACACGCTTTGAAACGCAGCGGCAACAGGGAGGCTGGCTGCGATAGATCTTGAGGCCTTCGCAGGAGGCTTGCCTGAATTAAGCGAGGTCAGGGGTAGGCAAGGCTCTCCTTTGCGACTTGCCCTATGAAGTCGTTGCCAATGCGCACTGTTACCTTTCATCTGATGCCAAACATGGAGTCAAACACGGACTACGCTGGGCTCAAACATGATTGCAGGCGGAGGCTGTCAAGGAGATATGATGCCTTCCACTCATGCGGCCTTTGCTGGAGGTCGGTATCAAAGGACGCAGGGGTACACGTGCCCGTCCTTCGATGCTAGTCTCTTCTGTCAGCCCAGGTACTCCGTGTGTGCATACGGTATTAGCCTTTGGAAGACTGATATAAGGCGGCATCTAGCTGGGCTCCGAGCTCAATTGCAAAGCACAGCGAAGATCGATACGTCAACAATTTATACTTCCAGCTTACCCCAACTCAATGCTCAACTCGCTGTTCTACCTCATTCCCCTACTGGGCCTTACCCTCCCCGTTGCTGCAAGCCCACCGGCCGGTCAAATCAACGTCTTCGCGAATGGGAAACAGGTTGGGAAGGCACTCATAACATTCGAGATTGGGGGCGTGACCTCGGGTGGCCCAAAGGGCCAGAGCACACTGTCGTTCCGGCGAAAAGGCCCCGAATCATTCCTCCTTGTTGACTATACGACTTACAAGTATCACGATCGTGCAGTGGACGCCGAGGTCAAAGCAGAGCATGACGGGCTGCTGGCGGGAATTGCAGAATTCTCGGTGCACAAGAGGCTCGGTGACAAGGACGAGATCGTCATCGTGAGTCCCCTGTTTCCGCTGCGGATGGTGTTGAGTGTTATGTGATTGACCTTCAGTGCGATCTAGGAGGAGACTTCAAGGATCCCAGCAAAGGCGTAGATTGGGTCTTTACCTGGGACGGAGCAGAGGGAGTCAAGACCGAGATCTGCCCGGAGGAGAAGAACGGCATCACCTTGAACTGCAAGGGCGACAAAGGCTTCAAGCCGAGATGCATGTCGCCGTTGTGACCCAGCTAGTATATGTATATGCGGATCTGAAGACGTGTGCGATTATTATTGTACCCGTAGAGCCATAAATGTACAATATGATTGATGGATTGGACTTGTGGAGAGGCCGACTAATGCTAAACCTCCCCTCGATGGCAAGGGCAGATATATCTCTCGCGCCTTCCGTTTACACGGTGTTCGAAGGAGGCATACATCAATAGATCCAGGGGTACACTTAAGGCTCCTTTGATACTCGGCTCCTTACCCCTATGCGTCAAACATTGCTCTCTTCACCTATATATGGGGCGCCGACGCCCCCGGGTCATTCGCGCGGCACACTGAATTGAATCAGTCTGAGACCAGCGTTATACCCCAAGACTCAGTTGCAGCAACTACAAGATGTTCATCTCGCTTTCTGAACTCCTTCCCCTCCTCTGCCTCGCCATCGGTGTCGTTGCCGCTGATAGCGGTGATCATTTTCCCGTTACGGCCGGACAGATAAGGCTCTTCACCGATGGCGAAACGATCCCCAATCAGCTTGGGCACGACCCCTTATCATTCAATGTTGGTGGGGTGTCTCCGGGGCAAACGTTTCTGAGATTTGAGCGGAATTTGAAGGGTCAGGGGCCTTTCCTACTTGCCGATTATTCGATTTGGCAGGGACGTAAGACTATTGGCGCCGACGCAGACAACAAAGACGAGGCGGAGATGAAGCACGAGGAAGATCTCAAAAAGCTCAAAGCGGGCGAGGGGGCCTTCTCGCTCCACAAAAAGGTCGGTGAAAAGGACGAGCATTTGGACGTGAGTATGACTTCAAAGGCCAGGTATAGACGGAGGCTGACTTGTCCCAGTGTCGCCTGGGTGGAGACTTTAAAGACCCGAGTAAAGGCGTTTACTGGGCGTTCACCTGGGAGTCGACGAGCTGAAGGGCATCGACACAGAGATCTGTGCGGAGCAATACAACGGCATCACTCTGTCGTGCAAGGGTGTCGACGGCTCCATCTTCAAGCCGCGATGCAGGCGGTACTAGTGCCCATTGCCACCAGTATGTATGGATTGTGGACTTTTGCGTCGAGCTAGCAGTGTAACAGTAGATCGATATCGATACATGCACGTATCATATGTACATTTTGTTTGAATACTTGCGCAAGGAGAGCTAGCTACCAGACTCGTCCGCGGCATCCCGTAAGAGTGTCAACAGAGAATATTGTAAGATGCATGGTGGTATATGATGCATGCAGCATGATGAGGGCTGTGGCTCCGAGTCGTGGCTTCTGGACATGCAGTCCTGCCAGTGCCAGTGATATGAGGGTTTCAGGAATATTTTACCCTCGTCGCCAGTGCAGCTTGTGTCGGCAAGCCACTCATGGAGAATCGGGGGTTGTATGAGGCGATCATTGATACAAATCCCAGTGGTCCGTACGGTGATGTTCTACTCAGGTTGATCATATTCATATCTCAGTGATGCTCTTAACGCTAGACTGGACGGATCAATTGTTGACGAGCGTTGAATTGCCTACGGTGCTAGAGAGCCTGGTTGTATCCTCCTCTAACGTGCTCTGACTCGTAGCGCCATCTAACATGTATCACAGCGACATCTGTATCATCCTCAGTCCACGGCAATGTGAAGGCACCGGTACTGGAAAGGACGGCGACGTCGAGCGTGCAACATCAGCGCACCAGCCTCCTGAGACGTCGCCCATACAGCGGCTACACGTCAGTGCTTTTCCGTATCACCTGATCATTAAGTCACAGGCCACCTCAAACACGAAATATCCGGGGGAGATGGTGCCTTCGGATCCGCTTATCTTGGTCTTCGTAGGGGGCTATCTTGAAAGGTCGCAAGGGTCACACGTGATGGTCCTTGGACTGGCCACATGTGAAACCGTTGTTCATGACGTCCATGTGCGTTTCAAAGCATCCAGACACAGGCTATACAGGAGCCAAACGTAATCGTAATCGTAATCACAGGGACCAAGGGGGAGGCGGTCATATGGTCTTCGTCGAAGGCTAGTTTGCACAGAGGAAGGGGTATATCCTTGACGTAGCTTTGATGCCAGTCTCCCCACTCCACATAGATACAGCGTATCATATGCGCAGGCCCAGCCCTTTCAAGACATATATAAGGCGGCACTAAGCCGCCCTCTCCGCTTGTTCACGCTTCACAGCTAAAGTCAAAGTCAGCATACTCTGAAAGCTTTACTCCAGCCAAGAAAGGTCAGCTCGCTCCTTTACCTCGTCCCTCTGCTCGGTCTCATCCTCCCCGCCACTGCTGTCCCAGACAAGGTAGACGTTGCTATGCCCGCTGGTACCATTGGTGTCTTCACAGGCCAGCCAATGGGGAATCCAGCGTTGTCCTTCGAATACGGTGGCGTCGCCCACGGCCAGAAGTTCCTGGAACTCAATCGCAAAGGCCCCGACTCTTTCCTACTCGTCAACTATACGTCTTGGTCGTGGCCTGACCATGACGAGGAGGAGCACAAGAAGCTACAAGCGGGCGGGGGGACGTTCTCACTCCACAAGAAGGTCGAGGGCAAGGCGGATGAGCAGCTGAACGTGAGCACTTCTTGCTCTCCGCATTGATTCTGATATGTGGGGTACGTGGCTGACCCTCTCAGTGTGATCTCGATGGAGATTTCAAGGACCCCACCAAGGGTGTGTTCTGGGCTTTCACATGGGATGAAGTGAAGGGTGTCGAGACCCAGATCTGCCCGGAGGAGTCCAACGGTATCACTCTGAAGTGCAAGGGCGAGACTGACTTCAAGCCGCGGTGCAGGCGGTTCTGAGGCAGCCTTCATAAAATGGATCTGTACATAGACTCTTGCATTCAGCAATGTAACAGTAGATCGATATGTACAGTATGCTCTACCTCGTTGAGGCAGCCGTAAAGACTCAGCCGAGCTTCCCGCTCAACGTGTCCAGACTAGGCTGTCACAGTCACAGAGCCTGGGAATGACGGATCGCACGACCTTAAGGCTGAAACAAAGACGTAGTAACATCGGACTGGTGCCGTGACTAGACGTGGCTTAAGGACCATCGTGAGCGCAGTACATGATCTCTGTCGACCTCGCGTCCATGTCCCGCCCTAGACCTCTTAAAGCTCTCAGCTCGTCTCCGCGGCGGAGTGATTCCAGTGTTTCCCGGCGCCATCGTCGGTCGAAAGCTATAAGTAGCCTGAAACCTATCGCTGGCAATGGATTGCATCCCCTTTCGAAATGCACAGCACAGTTTCACTTACATATCCTGATCAGGGGTTGAGAGACTTTGAGTATGCGGGGCTGGGGAGCCATTTTGGAAAGGAGGTGTCACATCCTTGGCGGCCGATACAGCCGTCACAGCACGATATGCAGTCTCACCTGACCGATGCCTCATGCCAAACACGGAGTCTAAGAGAGAGATGGTGACTTCCGATCATGAGGTCTTCGCATGAGGCTGGTTTCGAAAGAGGGAGCTCGGAGCGTACGATCCTTCGGTGCAAGTCTCCTCGCTCCGCACACGTACGGGGTATCACCTGCAAAGACCAGTCCTTCGATGACCTATATAGGGCGGCACCTGCCTCCCCTTCGTACGAGCTCACACATATGCAGTGAGAATCGATTACTCGCCAAAATACTTTGAAGATGATTTCCACCAAAATGCTGAAGTCGCTTTTCTACCTCATACCTCTGCTCAGCCTCACTCCTCCCGCTGCTGCTGCTCCTGCAGTAGGTGAGCAGATCCCCCCGGCTGGTCAGATACGGCTGTTCACCGAAGGCAAACTGGTAGGGGATGCAGCCCTGACCTTCAACATCGGCGGCGTACCCAGAGGCCAGACGTTCCTGAGGTTCGAGCGAAAAGGTCCGAACTCCTTCTTACTTGTCGATTATTCGGCGACACAGCGAGCTCAGAGAGACAACGGCGCAGTACTCGAAGGGCTGGAAGCGGGCGAAGGGGCGTTCTCGCTCCACAAGAGGTCTGGCGACAAGGATGAGCACCTGGATGTACGTGGCATTGCTCTCTTTCAGATCTGGGTATTGAAAGGCGATTGGCTTATCTCAGTGTGATCTCGATGGCGACTTCAAGGATCCCAGCAAAGGCGTGTATTGGGCTTTTACCTGGGACGAAGTGGGGGACTTCAAGACCGAGATCTGTGCGGAGGAGTACAACGGTATCACCTTGAAATGCAAAGATACCGATGGCTCCACCTTCAAGCCGAGATGCACGCGGTACTAGTTTTAGTGCTGCCTGTGTATATATATCTGTAGGCTCTTGCTTTAGCAGTGTACTACCAGTAGATCGATACATGTACAGTTCACTCGAAGACTAGATTGAGGTCGCAGACAGCTCCTGGACCCCTACCCGGACGCCATAACATACCTGGAGGACGGTTCGGTGACAAGCATGTCTTGCTCTGACCTGTGGATGGACCGCTACTCGTAAGGCTCTGCCCTACCTGCAGTCAATTCATCCTGCGTCTCATAAACCGTATGAGCCCCTGACGCACAGGCTCAATGCATAGGGGAAAGGAGACCAGACTGGAAAGGAAAGGGTGTACATGCAAAAAATCTGTCGATCCGGGGCTCGGGATCGCTGTCTTGCTCATATCAAGCTATTCGACCAGTATCAAGCTAACCTCGCAAATATGGTGAAATTCCTCCTCTACCTCATCCCTTTGCTTGCCCTGATTCTTCCTGCTACGTGCGAGGATGGGAAGGCTGGAAAAATTGGCATCTATATGGCCGAAGTCGACAGGCTCACCGACAATGCGTGGCTCCAGATCGGTGGGCGCGAGCTTTGGGGGTCTAAATGGGGGATGTTAGGGTTCGAGAGAAAGGGCGAGAATCTCTTCCTGCTCAACGATCATAGCTGGACAGGGAAGCAGATTACCCAGGCTGAGAAAGATGGGTGGCTAGTAGGCCGCGGGGTTTTCTTCCACTATACCAAGGGCAAGGCCGGCGAGAAGGATGTAGAAGTCAAGGTGAGCATTGAGTGGCAATGCCTCGTCTACCTGCTTTTGACTGACATCTCCCAGTGTACGCTATCAGGAGATTGGAAACAGATCAAAGATGGGGCGGAGTGGAACATGGTCGTAACGGAGAGGGGTGAGGAGTGCCCAAAGTCAATCAACGGCATTGAGCTGCACTGCGAGACTCCGGTCAGATGCGCTGTGAAGAATTGAGCTACGGGGCGGGCGATGGGAGTGCAGCAGAATTGAGGCCCAATATGTACGATTATACGAGTAGAGCGACGCAAACAGGCCTTATTGACTCCTGCACATCGAAAGACCCTATGGAACTGCTGATCGGTCGGCGGGGAATACCGCGCGATGGTCACAGACCGCGCCAAAGTCTACACGGAGTGTGAGGAAAGGCCGGCGTCGAATGTTCTCACCACAGGCAGTGCAATAAAGTGTAGATCCTCGGCAGCGGCAGTCCCAGTAGCTACCGTACTACCGTGGCCCCTGGCACAGATTGACATTGTGTGCAACTGACCGCCACTGAGTTCTCAGGAATGCGGTCCCGAACCGCCGGCGCCGGGGCGCCTCATCATCGTTGCCACCTCCGCGCCTATAAATAGACCTCGACATCCGCCCCTGTCATCCGATAAGTATGGACTCCATCACGTCTTTCACCTCAACATGAGCTCTTCTCTACCTACCATAGAGCCTGATGTTCACTCCTCGCATCATTATCACAGGTGCCGGACCTGGCGGTCTCGCCCTCGCCCGACTCTTGCACCTGCGCAATATCCCCACTACCCTTCTTGACCTCCGCTCTCGGCCCACTATCTCCGAGCTCGAACGCCCGTCCGGTATGCTGGACCTGCATGAAGATACTGGACTGGCGACCATACAGGCCTGCGGCCTAGAAAGGGGGTTCAAAGAGGCACTCGGAGACTGCTCAGAGGCTGTACGGATCCGGACACCCTCGGGGAAGCTGCTGTTTTCGGATGAAGGGGAGGGAGCCAATCGGCCGGAGATACCGAGAGCGTCACTCGTGGATCTACTGGTACGCTCTATTCCGGATAGGGCGGTACGATGGGGGACCAAGGTATCGGGGTTGCGCACAGAGCAGACCGGGCCGGACGGGACCGAGGCGGTCGTCTCCCTAGCAGACGGCGGGGAAATGAGGGCAGACCTCGTCATTGGCGCAGATGGCGCCTGGTCGAAGACTCGGAGGCTCCTCACATCTTCCACACCTATCTACACCGGTATCCAGTACATCACAGCCACTGCTCGGCATATCACCAGATCACACCCTCATCTCCTTGAAATCATCGGTTCGGGATCGTCCTTTGCCCTCGGCTCCGGACACGGCATCATGACTCACCGGGGACCGCAGGATTCTATGCGGGTCTACATCGCTATCAAGACTCCCGAGGAGCACTGGGCGGAGAAGGTGGGTCTGAGGGGAGCGTCAGCGAGGACGGCAGGGGAGGCGGTACTGTCAGATCCGGACCTGTTTAGGGATTGGGCGCCCGAGCTGCGTGAGGTCATCCAGGTGGCGTGCGAGGCGGACACGAAGGACGGGTATAACTCGGCATTGGATATCAAGCCGATCTATACCCTTCCACATAAGGAGCTATGGCCGGCTCAGGCGGGAGTGACGGTACTCGGAGACGCCGCACATCTTATGGCTCCGAACGGGGAGGGAGTCAATACCGCCCTGGCCGACGCTCTCGACCTCTCTCGTCTCCTTGGCGATCCCTTCGAGGCCGAGACGGCGGCGGAGTGGCAGGCGGCGGTCGCGCCGAAGTTACGCGAGTATGAGAAGCTCATGCACGAGCGCGCGGCGAGGAGCTTTGCGGATACGGAAGAGCTGCTGGGGATCATGCATGGGGAGAATGGGGCGGAGGCGATGACAGCCATGTTCGAGGGCTTCGGGATGGGCAGCGGAGAGGCACAAGCGGCGGTGGAGATGAGCAAGTGAAGCTGAGTGTAAGACCCGTCCTAGTGCTCAATCATGACTGAGCTGATTAGCAGCCGGCTCACTGGAGGTTTGGGGATCTGTCCGGGCGGTCTCGTAGAGTAAAGAAGTATCAGAAAGAGTAGATTAGTAGATGCATTGCTTGGTCAGACAGCATCAGTGAATTCAAGGGCCGACATACAGCTTTGCGATACAACCTGTCCACCGCGACAGCCCAAAATGATCATGATCCCTTCCTTCTCCGCCACAGTCCCATCAACCATGGCGACAAAGTGATGCACGAACCCAGCGCCATTGTACACACCGCGAAAATCCCGCTATACGTGAAGCGTCCTCCGGGCGTAGCATTGATGATATCTGCGTCGTCAGCTTTGTCCTCTCCAGCCCCAGCAATCTCTCCCGCCAGAATAGACTCACATCCACAGATCACCGGCCCAAGGAGGTTCGGCACCGCCATCACTCCAAACAAAAGCCCCAGCCGCAACCCCAGCTGATCCACCTTCCCCGAAGCAGCCGTGACGCTCGCGCAGCACCCTCCAATCATTGTGATCCACATCCCGCTAAAGTGCCCATACGCCCAGAGTCCGATGACAGTTCCGGCTGTACCGGTATCGCCGATCCAGAAGGCTGCGAGGGAGATGACTGCGCCGATGGCGGCTCCGAGGTATGTCCGCCATACGCCCAGGCGGTCCGCGAAGAGTCCAGCGGAGACTCGACCGGTAGTACTTCCAGCTTGGAGGATGGCGACTGCGTAGGAGGCGAGAGAGGGGGGAAGGGAATTTGTTGCGGCAAGGAGAGGAGCGTATATGAAGGGTGAGAAGAGACTGGAGATCAGCTTGCGTAAACAAGTGAAAGATAGGCAGACTGACTTGATAGCGACGATAGATGTGCCGAGGTCCAAGAAGGCGTATGCCCTATCCTTGAATGGCTCCTTGACGATTCGCCATGGTGGCAAGATCTTGGGCGGTAGTCGACCTCGAGCGATGAAGATGGTAGGGAAGGTGAGGCAAAAGTTCATGCTGGCCATGATAAGAAGGGTATCCCGAAATGCTGAAGCATCAGCTTCCATTCTCGTTGACCTGTCGAATGACATCAACCTACACAGTACAGCCAGCAGTCTGGACAGCATGATCGGATAGACCACACCTCCGATACCGGTCCCCGCGACGATAATGCCCATAGCGGTGGATCTGCGCTTGGCGAACCAGTGTCCTGCCAGGGCAACGGTTGGAGCAAAGACGCTAGCGCAGCCAAAGCCGTACAGGAGATGAGCCAGGAGGAATTGGTAGAACTCCTTGCAGACTGCCAGTCAGCTCTGCGATTTGGCGAGTAGTCAAAGATCACGACAACTCACATGCGACAGCGATCAGGGATCCGGTAAAGCAAACGGTGCCAGATATGGCTGGACCGCGCATCCCGTGGGCGTCAAACCATCTTCCAGCGGGCAGGGAGAGGGCGAAGGTGACAAAGAGCTGTATAGAGCCGATCCACCTACAGTATATCAGGGAGTAATCGAAGGCGGTTTGCCTTGATAGTAATCCGGAAGAGGCAAAGCTCACGCGACAGTAGATTTTGAGTAGGTCGATAGCTGGTTGGCAAGGTAGTACGACTGAAACTGCCCAAAGCTGGTAACTTGCATGAATCAGCATACATTCTATGCCATTTCCCAATCCACATAAGCGACTCGGTATCTCATCTCGCGTGATCCACATCAAGGTGAACTTACTGAATCCGAACGACACGTACATCAACAGAAATCCGCCCAGTACGACGAGCCACGCATCTCGGCCTCCATCCGGCGGCGGTCCGACTGCTGAAGGTATCGCGACTGGAGTAGGCGACTTCTCATCCCGGCCAACATCCGCTGATGAAAGTGTGCGGTCGCACTTGAGAGGAAGAGGGTCCGGATTAGGACCGGCGAATTGCATCGCGTCGTCCGACACCTTGCGGTCGACCTCCTCGCGGAGCATGGGATCGGTCGAGCTTGTCATATTAAGTCTGCGGGGATAGGAGCGGGTCCTGCCATCCTGTACACAGATATATAGACGAGGATGAGTGGCAGATGGTGTACCTAGCTAATTATGAAGCGAATGGACAGCAGGTACTCGTAGATGGCCGCGAGTCGGCAGGCTATTTCCGGATTCGGAATAACCGAAACTGCCGAAGTCACGTGCATACTTGAAACTCTGGCTCACATGTGCTGAAACGTGAGGTATGTCGGCCCCGCCAGGGGTCAGCGGCGCCACGATAGTGGCCGACGAAGCGCAAAGTCCTCTGCATAGCCTGCTGGCCCATCGACGGTTGAGAGGAGTCAGTCTGCGGATCTGGTGATACTCCTTTGACACTGTGAAACTTGTCACCCCACCCCGTGAGAGAAAAAGAGGACTCGATCGTGAAAGCATCATCATGCGCGCGGAGTCTGGAATCGAGTGGGCCACGCCCGTATCTCCCCCGGTCGACCTTTATATTTCATGATTCGTCGCTAGAGTTCGTTCATCATACTTCGTACTGCAGCACAAGGCAGCAGAACTCTCTACAGATACCTCTTCAGTCAACCTCACAACCTCTGAACAGGATGAGCGGTCGTCAACACCACGATACAGCGATTGACCGACAGAGCTCCCCGCCGTCCGATACAACCTGGAGTGAGTCATATCAGTCAGAAGTCGGTGTATCACGGCTGGTATGCCGCAGGTGACAAGATAGCTGAACAGGATCTCGCTGCTGCCGATGTGATGTGCAGTTTGTACGCCATTACCATATCCAGCAGCAATACAGGCACCGCTCCGAACCACGTTCAAGACACATCAGATTCCTTTTCAGATGTGGACCGTTCGCCTGATGGCCACATCTGGTTGCGACCTCCAGAAGGAAGTACGTTGAGCAACCGATCCGACAGCACAGTCCAGTGTCTACGGTGCTTGAAAGGGCTCTCGATCAGCATGATCCTCTCGACGAATTGTCAGGGAGGGCATTCACGCCGGCGACCGTCAGACATGCGTGAGCGATTCTGTCGATGAGCCGTCTCTCGTCGCAGTGCGAGGTCGGGCAGACTTCCACTCGTATTGTTCACAGCGCTGATCCGTTCTTAGGCAAGCACAAGCCTGTCTTCGCCCCAGATCAGGCAAGGAAGGATGGGAAGGTGCGCAACATCCATCGAGACGGCACCCTTTGAGAGTGCACAGTATGCTCTGATGCGGCTCGATCTCGTCCCACATTGACCCCAGGAGAATGTTCCCGATGGAGCTCTGAGAGACTGTACAGAGCGGAGGATTACTGGAGGGGGAGACACGGAGATCCCGCAGCTCCCGAGTCGAGTTGTGTTGCAACTTGTGACTAGCAAGGCTAAATTGAATTACTAGTTTCCGGTCACTCCTTGTGCATGGGTCGAGGTATACAATCATGCAAAAAGTGTCAGGCAGGAGCCCAGGATCACACTAAGAACCGAGGAGAGGGGGATTATCACCTTTGGCTACGGCCGGGCGTTGTAGTGAGAATGGGTGGACTAGCTGTGCCCAGTGGGCCCGCAGCGTGACCCATTCCACGGCTCGTCAGCTTCAGGAGCACAATCATCCCCACCCTGTAAGTGGTGTACGTATCTGACTCTGTCACACGAGTAATTAGATCCAGCCTAGTTAAGCAGAACAGACGCCTGAGATGGCGGAGGCCTCGCCCCGGTCAAGCAGGCAAGACATCCAGGCGTGACCTCTCTTATCTTGCCCCTTGATGTAGCTTACCAACATCCTTTGCGAAGCTGTAACAGTTCGAGCTCCGCTTGCACTGCAAAGGAAGCAGTACCCTCATCCCAACTTAGTTGCGCGGTGGACGCTCCACTGATGTGCATCAAACTCCCGCGGGTCCAGAGACAGTCAGCATCTGGGGGTCGTGGGAGCCGGAGTCTGCTGTCTCTGGAGAAGGGGATGAGAGCATCAATGATGACGCGACGTTTGAAGGCGGTCGGACTGAGTGGCTGATCGCGTTCTCTTGAGGCCTATAGCTTGAGTGGGGATCAGGTTCAAGGATGTATGCCATGCAAATGACCGTCTCAGTCTATACCTCCTCGCCAAATTCCGCCACCTGCCCAGACTCTCTCCATATCCACTCCCCCGCCAGATCCCTCCCTTCCGATCTCCTCTTCTCCCCGTCCCCTCTCGCCCTTATCTCATCCAGTACCTCATGACCCTCCATCCACTCTTCCATATCCGCCTTGCATTCCGCTGCTCTCCTCTTGTATCCTTCTGATGCTGTATCGCACTTGGTGCGACCGATCACGGAGAGGAAGGCTTTCGTGATATCTCCAGCGTCAAACTGCGGGCTGGATATCAGCTCGAGATCCAAGCGGGTGCGGAGGAGAGACGAGAGCTAGTAAGAGGTGAGAAGAAGCACAAGGCAAGACATACCCTGTACGCTTGTTCGCCCATTCGCCTACCCTGACATAAGCAAACCTCGCGCCGAAATCGTGCGTATCCAACCACCCAGAGAGGATGACCTGCGGTACACCAGCACTGCTCTATCAGCTCCATGTCCCTCCATACCCAGCTCACATCACGCGAAGAAGGTGGAAGCACTCACGCCAAAGCCTCATGATACGAATTACTCCCACCATGATGAACCACCATTCCCATCTTCCCACTCCTCAACAGATCCACCGGCTCACTCTCCAACCACTCCACGACCCTCACTCTATTTCCGAACCCATACCGCTCCATCTCTTCCTTATCCCCAATCTCGTACCTTCCCTTCTTGCACAACTTCCACAGAACCTGCACATCCGCTCGGGCATCCAACATCGCCTTGACACCCGCCCATACCGCCTCTGCCTGTTGCTCATCCAACCGAAAATGCGTCCCGAGGGAAATCAAGACCGTCTCCATCCCTTCCTTATTCAGCCATTCCCACATCCCCGGATCTTTCTCCTCGATAGGCCGCGAGCGGGGCGTGACGGGTCCGCAGCATATCACGCGGTCCGGGATAGGCATGGGATAGTCGAGGCCGGGCGTAGGTGTCGTCATGCACAGAACTGGTACGTCTGGGTCGGGATGAGGGAGTGGCATAGGTCCGGAGAAGCCTGCGTGGTGGCGCGCGGCGTTGAGGGCGCGGGTGTGCGCGTCAAAGTGGGTGAGGTGGAGGGCCATGTGATGGGTGGAGAGGACATTGAGGGGGAGGAGGACGGGGGAGAGGGGGTAAGTGTAGCCTATACCGAGTCTGGGGGTCAGTCATCCCCTCGACTATGACACCTGACCGAAATAAGAAGGCAAGCGGACAGGAGAACGTACAAGGGGTATGCTAGACCCTTCAATCCCAAATCGCACGCCCCCACATCTTTCAGACTATTCGGGCTCAACAAACAATATCGCCGCTCAGAGTAATTCACCGCATCGATAGCTTGCTGGAAGAGCGTATCCACCACGGTATAGTATGGGTCGACTTGGCGAATAATGGAAAGAGAGGATTGGGCGGTTTGGACGTATTCGGCCGGAGAGTAGGGTACGAGGATGCCGGAGATGGTGTGCGCGAGGGAGAGGGTGGGGAGGAAGCCGGAGCCGAGGGCGGCTGACCTCTGGAGGACTAGATCATCAGCATGTGGCTCGACATCGAGGGTACGGGCACGAAAGACAGGCTATAAAGGGATTGAATGGTGTAGGACAAGGTGGGTGGACGAGAGCTCACGTTCTGGCCATTCCGTATCACGCATAGCTTTCCCCTCGACCGCATGGAACGTCAATCCCTCCGATACCCGAGATCTCAGTGCCTCGAATGACGCCAGGTGGATCTCCACCTCCCCCGAGTGATGCTGGAGCAAGGAGGAGATGACTGCGAGATGGACATTGGCTTGGCCTGATTCGGCGCTGGAGGCATCAGCACCAACCCGGAGCGTGGCATAAAACGACTCACTGAGTCATGAAGAGCAAGCGGCGGGGACGTGCGGGCGAGGCGGTGGCGGTGATCATGATGTGGACAAAGTCGAGTGGTAATGTGCGGTCCAGTTGATGACGATGGAGGTATCGCTGGTGGCTGGTGAACGAGTGACTAGAGTAAGTAGATCATTCATACCCCTCCGCCTTCTTATATAACCATCACCACATCCCCCCCTTCATCCGCTCAATCATGTCAACATCAACCCATCACTCAACCTTTCACTCGCCCACTCACACATGCCGTAAATTAGCAGAACCCTGAAACACGCAAAGGACACCCGAAACACCATTCCTCATACCTGAAACGTCCCCCGCGGTCCCTTTGTCCCCCAATCATCAGCTGTCGACAGTAAATCGGATGCATGCCCATAGATCCCGACAGGTGTGGTCGATCGCTAGTAGCTAGTAGCTATGCGCTATTCCGGTATCCTGACTCTCCACGCGCTCATCGGTAACGCTGCGCCGTTAGCTAAATTCCCGACTTTCAGATCGCCTCTCATCCGCGGAATCTCCTCTTTTCTCGCTCTCCGTATCTCCTGGCTATTTCTTCCCTCACCTCCCTCTTCTCCTTCGAGGCTGACTCCACACAAAAAGACCAGAACTCACACTGCAACCTCCTCACGGTAGGCAACACAAACCCCACCAAAACCGCCGCGCCCAGGGCCACACACGCCGCACTCATAATATAATACCCATCCTGCGTAACCACGCAGTGCCCGCCGACCTTCTCGCACATGTGTTTCCCATGCTCCGAGATGCACTCTTCGCCGCCGATGGAGCAGGAGGCTTTGGTGAGGACGTCGACGGAGCGGAGGATGAGGGGTTTGGGCCAGGTGCCGCCGAGGTTGGAGATGGTATTGAGGAGCTTGGAATTAGCGATACTTACGAGAAGAAGAAGAGCGAGGGATAGGCAAGGAGAGGGAAAGGGGCAAGGGGGTACGAGGTGAACTTTGGGAGTGGGGCTTACAGTCATATACGTTCCGCCGATAAGCGGGTCGGCGATCTGCGTATGGAACGCCGTTATCCCCACAAACTGTACCGTGCTGCCTCATCAGCTTCCCCTTCTCCCCTCCCCCTTCTCATTCACCCAAAAGAACTCACCTAGCCAAACTCGACAAAAGCGTCGTGAGCACAACCAGCCCAAAATACCCCTTCCCCACCTCCCCTCTCGGAAACCCATACACAACAAACGCCGCAATCGCCGCCATCCCCAACCGTGCCCAAAACGCCCACACCCACGGCCGGAGGACTTTATCACCTCCACCCCCGGGCCCGCTGTGCGTCGGACGCGCCCATTTCGCGGCCAGCCAGCCAGCGACCATTTGGGCCGGGAAATCGAGGAGGACGGCGACTGCCATGTCTTCTTTCGAGAGGCCCTTTTCGAGGAGTTTGAGCGAGGTGACGGATTCGTTTACCTGGAAACCGATCTTGCAGACTAGGTGGATGAGGAGGAAGGATTGGATGTCTGGTGTGTCAGCTTGGGCTCAAGCTCGGACTCGGACTGCAGCATGCAGCTACAGCAGAACGTCCAAGTCCAACCGGTATCATAGTATAGAGGGTTGACACGAGAGACGGGGACGGAATGGAGCTCACTCTTCAACTTGACGATACTCCACATGACCTTGTACACCTTCTTGACGTCCATATCAGGGTCATCCTCACTGACCGGATCTTCGGTCTTGTACATGGCCAAGCAGAATGTGACCAGTGCGAACACGACGGCCCAGAAGCGCATGTAGGAACCGAGGGAGAGAAGGCCGTATGGCAGGGGTTGGGAGCGGAAGTAGCGATTTCTGGCTGTCAGCTATACTCCGAAGTCTAGTTGAGGACCACGGAGGAGGGCGAGAGACATACGAAAAGTCGACCGAGTTGAAGGCGAGGAAGACGGTAAATGCCAGGGCATTACCTATTCCCAGACCTATTGTCTGAGCCGTAGAGGCATAAGAGAGGTTTGGGGATGATAATAATGTGAGAGCCCAGCCTGAATTTCAGCTCTGGCTCTTGCCCTATAACGCTTCGGGTCGAGATATCAAACTGACCGTCCACGGCGATATCTACCCGTCAGCTCCTTCCCTCACTTCCTAGAACCCTAGGCTCGCGCAGACTCACCCTGCGTCGCCGCCGCCAAGATCAAACTCCCAAATACCCCCGTCACGAACCGTATATCCACCTCTTCCGCATCCAACCACCCTTCGACCCTTCCCCCGATCCACCACAATCCCATCCCCACGACGGCCTGGACGGGCACGATCCAGCTCTTCCGTCTGCCCCATCTGGGCACAAACCACGCGTCGACAATGGGGGACCAGAGGAGCTTGAGAGAGTAGGGCCAGGTGGAGAGTGCAAAGATGGCGAGTTGGGAGTAGGAGAGGTGCGGTTTGAGGAGGAAGGGGAGGGTGCCGAATGTGAGGCCGAGGGGGATCCCTTGGAGTCTGGGGTTGAGCTAAGTCTGGCTCACGCTGAGCATATATGGAGGGCTTACAGATCTGACAGTCAGCTGTTGTTCCGAATTGATCAATCAGAGATTACAGAGCCGGTAGACTCACAAAGAAGGACCAAAAGCGCAAACGCCTGCTTATCCCTCGTGCTCGTCAATCCCCCTCCACCCTCCTGCTCCGCCTTCTCATCCACTTTTATCCGCTCAAAAACCACCTCCTTTCCCTTCTCCCCTAGACTCGCCCCCTTTCCTGCCGCTCTCCGCCTAGGCGAGCCCATCCCCTCCATTCCCATCCTCTCCTGACTCTGCCCCCTCTCTGGGCTTTTACGCCTCAACAACCCCTTCTCCTCCAATTCGCCCAGATCCTCCACGTTCCGCCCTCTCAATCCGGATCCATCGCGCCCAAACATGCCCTCTGGTGGTGAAGGAGACCGTGAGACCGGGTCGGCAGGTACGAGGCTGTCGGGTGTGTTGCTCGTAGTCAGCGCGGGGACAGCGGAGGGGGAGCGAGAAGGTTCGGCGGTGGTTGAGCGGGTCTGGCGCCGGGTAAGAGGAGGCGCAAGGCGCGATGATGAAGACGAGGCGGTTGCTGTTGCTGTGGAGATGGACGTGGAAGCTGACGAAGGTGAAGAGGGCTGGACAGAAACAGCTCGGCGGGTCGTCATTGGCATATTGACGCTTTAGGGGGATATGGTACAGACGGAAGAGAGCATGAGTAGTGTCTGCCCTGAGCTTCCCTTTGTCTTGTCTTAGTATTGTGTATGAGTAGATAGTGAGGCAAATGCACCGAGCGCTGCTGCCACGTCTACGAGCCAAATTCGTGGGTGGCAAATCTTCCACGTGGCCCAGATCGACGCGTCGCGCTGGCACCGGACGCGTCTAGGAGCTTTTTTCCGCACCTCCTCATTCCTCATCTATCCATCCCGCTCTCTGCCTCAACAAACAGCTCAAGGATCAACATGGCCACCACCACCCCACAGAACGTCTTCCCTAAGGGTGTCCTCCCGTTTGCGGAGCGCAAACACCCTAAAACCATCTGCATGTTTGATGTGGATGGGACATTGTCGCTCGCGAGGCAGAGCGCGACGCCCGAGATGCACGCGGCGTTGAAGAAGCTGAGGGGGTATACGGCGGTCGCGTTTGTGGGGGGAAGTGATTTGGTCAAGATTGTGGAGCAGCTGGAGGTTAAGGGGGAGGATGGTGAGTTTTGGGAGCGGCTTGAGGTTGGGTGATTTGAGGCAGCGGAGATGCGGGGATGGGGCATTGGGTGAGGGGGCGAGCGGGGAGAGTGGACGAGGAGGTAGGGCGGATAGAGGGGGACGAGAACCGTCAAGCCCGTAGATTCAAGGCTGGCTCTGGCGGGAGAAGGGAGATATATACTCGCATCCATCACCCAACCCTTTCATCTCCATCCTTTCCCTCTCTCCTGACCCATCCATAGAACCCCCGCTCACACCCAGTCATCGAGAACTTTGACTACTGTTTCTCCGAGAATGGTCTCACCGCCTTCAAGCTCGGCCAGCCCCTCGCTTCCGCGTCCTTTATCGAGCACGTAGGGGAGGAGGAGTACAAGAACCTCGTCAACTTTGTGTTGAGGTATTTCTCCGAGCTGGACATTCCTATTAAGCGGTCAGTTGGCCAGTCCTTTTTGACCATAGTTTTGTCAAGGCGGAGGATGAGCTGATGGGATAGAGGAACTTTTATCGAGTACCGACGAGGGATGGTCAACATGTCGCCTATCGGCAGGGCGTGCTCGTGAGTCTAGCCATTCCACTCTTGTCCTGCATGAAGCAGAGGGTGGAGCTGATGTTCTAGACTGGAGGAGCGAGCCGCGTTCTACAAGTACGACCAGGTCAGTCAGCTCCATGTCTTGCGGTTACTATACCGCATGCCATATGATCTGAGCTGATCGCGCAGGAACACAAAGTCCGCGAAAAGATGGTCAAGATCCTGCAGGAGAAGTTTGCCCACCTGGGGCTGACATTCGCTATCGGTGGTCAAATCAGCTTTGACGTTTTCCCGCACGGTACGTCTATGTCGCAATGGCGTCAGGCTGTGCATGTGCAGCCTCTCAACAGTCCTTTCACTTTTCCCCCTGGCCATCTGCCCGATATTTCTTGTGCATCGTGAGTCCGGGCTGACCTTCAGGCTGGGACAAGACCTACTCCCTCGGCCACATCGAAAACGAGGGATTCGACCAGATCCACTTTTTCGGCGACAAGACCTTCCCGGGCGGGAACGACTATGAGATTTTCGAAGACCCCAGGACGATCGGGCATACCGTTACGAGCCCGGAGCACACGCAGCAGCTACTCGAGGAGCTGTTCTTCTCCAAGGCTTAGGCTTTACGCGGGGCGGGTAGGCAGTGGGGGCTAGCTGTACTGGGGAGGCGCAGGAGGGTGTGTCAGGTAGGGCGGATCTAAGGGGAGTTGGAGGGAGAAGGGTAACATGGGATGTAGAGTACTTCAGGGCTTAAGAGATGAGATAGATGTTTTTCGGTACTGTACCGTGTCTTTGGAGATGGCCACCATTTCGCCGGCTGTCCACCCGAGCACCTGCCCGGAGCTTGCAGGACGGGGCTTGCCTGGTTCAGTAGAGTCCAGCGGCAGAGCGCAGAGCGGACTGCCGTGGTCCCCGGCGATCCCATGCCGTAAAGCGGAACTCGGCGGGCGGGTATCTCACATGCTCATCATCATTCAGCTTTGGTATTGCCCAGCTCGGCGCTCGAGTCCACAGGAACCTATCATGTCTGGCAACGCATTCGGACAGGTACAGCGCACGAGATTGCGCCCTGGGGGCTGCGTAGCGGTGAGCCTAACCCTTGCCTTGCCTTGGTCGTTCGACCTGCTACTGAGCTGATCAACATCAGTGTCACCGGGTCAAGCACAAAGTACGTAGGACCTCCAAGACCAAGGCCGGACACACTGACAGCGCCTACTACCGGCTGATCGTCTGACGACGTAGTGCAGTAAGTCTCTGCTGAGCTGAGCTGGGGCACGACCCCGAGCCCGAGCTGTACTGCATTCGCGCTCTACTGAACACCCACCAGGCGCCGCGGCGGAGGGGTCCGAACCGGGCTTATACCCCTGTTTACAATGTATGATCATCTCCGGGAGGAAATGCGAGAGGCGGCCGCATGGTAAGTAAGCCTTCCGAGCTACTCCTGAGCTGCCTGAGCTGGACCATGGATCGACTGCTAATCGTACAGCTCGCGAGAGAGCAGCCGCCGCGCTTTCTGGCTCCAACTCGAGCTCGTTAGTCTCCCCCGGCTCAGCAGGATCAGGGTCCAGCTCGACACCTGAGTCCGTCCCGGGCTCGGTAGCGGCGGCCTTGATGAGCCCTATTGCGATGTAAGCTTCGCTATTTCTTTGCTGGAGAGGGTATCAGAGAGCTAGAGCTCACGCGCCAGCGCTGGCGCATCGGGCTCGCAGAGCGTACCTCTGCCTCCGCCTCAACCGGTGCCGGTTCCGGTATCGGCGCCAGACCACGTACCGCACATGTGTGAGTCCTAAGTACTGCTACGGGTATAAGCTATCGTGAGCGAGCCTGTCGACTTGGAGCTAACGGGACAGTACAAAGGGTATACGGTTCAGCGCTAGACGGGTTGCTCATCCCCTCTTCGGAAGTCATCCTTCGGTTTCTAAACTTTGCGCCCATGTTCAGAGAGGTCATTAACGTCCAGGTACGTCCCGACTATCGATACCCAGATTGTTCCAACCTTGCCTTGACGTTTCCACAACCTTGAATCGCTCAGTCGGCAGAAGACAATTGCTGACATCCAGGACATGATATCCCTCTTCAACGGTGAAGTCTCGGACGAGTCCGCCTACCCAACACTAGCGCTCGTCCATGCCATCTGCGCAGTGGCGTACCTCGCCGACCCGGCTACTTCGGGGGCGGCACCGGCGGAAGCGCAAAAGGCTCAGATGGCGAATGATGTCTTGTTTGATGGGGGCCGGTCTAGGCTGGGGTCGAATATCATCTTGAGTGAGTCTCGTGTAGTCTTCGACTATGATTCAATCGGGCTTGTATGGATTCATCGTGGGTAGTGGACGGCGGAGTATGGATATGGGTGGAGCTAGAGCTGGGGTGTCCGCGTGTGGGGGCTGATGGATCTGTCAGAAGTGGAGCCGGGCTGGAGCTGACATTCCAGCCGTCATCATACGCCTCTTCTACAACCTCTACCAAGGCACCCTGATGCAGAACTCGCGTCTCTCCGTCGAAGCTATCGGATGGTGCAACTCTGCGGGCTTACACCTCGATCCGGACCTGATGCCGGACGGGAATGTGACGGGGAAGCAGGCGCCGCTGGTCAGTCCGGAGAATGTGTTTTGGTTGGCTTATATCTTGAACATACAAGTGTGAGTGCCTGCTTTTCTCTCCCTGTTCGAGATTGGAATGGACGCCGGTCGAGTCCAGTGGGAATCAGTGGCCGAGAGAGATAGGTGGGAAGATGGGACGGATGGGACGGACAGTCAAGAGAAGACGTGGGCTAACACGATAGTCTGGTCTGCTCCGTCCCGTTCAGTCTGGGCCAGCTGAGGAATTGCGAAATCACCTTGCCTGTCCCGTCCGCTCTCGACGCCCATGGGAGACGGATGGGCGAGAAGCAGTGTCCGGACTCGCCGGATCTTTTCTCGCAACATCAACATACCACGTTAGTTTCTCTTCCGCGTCCCGCCACCTTTTTTTAGCTCACTGTCCTCTTCTTCCTGTTCCGCCCAATCGATTCCACGTCTCTATGGTTTCAGCGGCAGAGCTGACTCATCAGGTGGTTCGGCCTCTACGTCAAATCCGCCATCCTCCTCCGAGATACCCAATACTTTGTCAACCGCATCATAATCCTCAGGACCCCACTTCCCATCGACGATGTCATCAGCGAGCTCGATCGGCTTGGGACACAGCTGTGCGCTTTGCAGGAAACGTATATGACCGTCCAGTGCTCGCCTGCGCAGGCTTTGAGTGGGTTATAAGAGGGATGAGAGCTGATAAGGAGCTATAAGAGCTATGATTGCTGTGTGTCATATCGTACGTCATTTCGCCGATAGAAGGGACTGCGCTGGAGTCCGGCAGAGAGACTGGGCTGATGTGCGTACAGCTACCACGTGCACCGTGTATGCGCGGAACGCATCATCGGAGTATACATCATATGCGCGCTGACTATTTTGGGCAGATCATACATGGTAAGTCACTCGCACTCCTGATCTCGCTTGAAGCCTGGCTGATGGATTAGCGGTCGGAGAGGATGCGCTCCATGTGACCCAAACCATGACTCACGCTCGGTAAGTCTTAGCCTTTAAGTTGACCTCATCGCTACTGCTGGGTGCCTGTCTGCATCGGCCGCGTGGAGAGAAACCCACGCTGACTTGGCAGAATACCAGATATCGAGCCGTTTGTGGTGTACGCATGGATGATGGTGAACCGGATCTGCCTCCATCCGGATACATCACCCGAATTCGAAGGACAACTCGATGCGACTCGGTCCGTCGCCATTGCCGATGCTACCTTGTATGTTTAATCTACCTCTCCAATTCTATCGTCAAAGGGAAAGACGTTGAGAGTGAGAGCTAATGATTCAGTAAAGCAATAGAAGCGGTCGAAGCGGTCGGTGTGCCGGCCGCTCAAGGCTGTATGCGCATCCTGCGGTCTTCTCAGGGGATATTACCGCCTGACGCTCCGGTCAGTCAGCTCATTACGAGCACTCACTGCTCGGCACGCGGGGAGTTCCAAGCTGACTATGGCAGATCTCAGAGATTGAGCTAGCGTTGGCGCATTTCTCGCGATATGCCAACGACCCGCACTTTTACTTCACGAATTAATAAGTTAGTAGGTCAATTACCAGTAGCTTCAGGACAATCGACGAGATGCGAATATAGCAAGTGGCTCTCTAGCTAGCCGAATAAAGCCAAATCAGGGTCCGAACACCATTGACCTAATTTGCCGTTGTGCAAATAGAGCTGGAAGTCAACTCGTACATTCACAATCGACCGTACTCGGGGTCGTGTCGCCACCGTACCGGTGATTCGGTCACCGTCACGTTACCAGCTGGTCCTCGCCTGTTCCCGGCGTCAAAGATCCCGACCTCAGCTCCTGTCTACAGGTTTATGTTCTCAGCTGCTCGCTCTCCGCTGCCTCCTGACCTGGCTTCGTGAGGTGCCTCTCCCGCATACGCATCGTATCGGAGAGACTTGTCACGCAGGAGATCTTTTTTGGCTGTCATCGAAGGAAGGCACTCCGCCTTCCACAAGGTCTCCTTTCTCTCGGCTGGCAGTCACCGAAGTTGACCAGGACCGCAGTGCTCTACTTTGTGCGGGAGAGGGTGTGCGCTGAGAAGGGCGGGTCCAAGGAGAAGGCGCGCGGGAGGGGATGTATACGAGTAGGATTGATATGATGCGATACATAGATGACTTTGAGTCCTATACTGCGTCTTTGTTGATTCTTGCACGTCCCAGTGCCGGTGCATTTGAGCACCCTCCTAGAGCTTGCGGGACGGGGTGGCCTACATATGTAGCAACCGAGCGGACTACGGTGATCCGCGGCGATCACATACCGTAAGGCGGAACTCGGCGCGCGGGTATGAGCTCGACATCCGGTCGAATTGCTGCTATCATGATCAGTCCGCTTCATCATAGCTTAGACTTTGATATTGCCCGGCTCGAAGTGGAGAGTAGACCATGTCTAGCAGCGCCGTAGGACGGGTCGAACGCAAGAGATTGCGCCCTGGGGGCTGCGTAGCGGTGAGCTTCGCATTACAGCCGCTGAAACGGAGGCTCGGAGGCGAGCTCAGTGCTGATCAGATTTAGTGCCACCGGGTCAAGCACAAAGTACGTGGTATGCCGGACTTTGCACTGACCTCATCAACTGACGATCTCAGTGTAGTAAGTCCTTTGTCCAGCTGAGACATAACTCTGAGGCGTTCGGATAGTGAGCAATACTGACCACCAGGCGCCGCGGCGGAGGGGTCCGAACCGGGCTTATACCCCTGTTTACAATGTATGATCATAACGGGGCGGCAATGTGAGCGACGGCCACATGGTGAGTCTGAAACTATCTCCTGTGGTTCGGTAAGCGAGCCGTGTTGATGGGACAGCTCGTGAACGAGCAGCTGTCGCGTCGGGCCAAACCAGCGCGGGCTCATTGCCATTCCCCGACTCAGCAGGATTGAGTTCGACATCCGACTCGGCTACTAGCTCGACATCCGTCCTCCGCCCCAATACCACGTAAGCTCGGCCATATTCTGGAGACGAACCAAAGAGGAGCGCGAAGTCAAGCTCATGACTCCAGCGCCTCGAGCTCACTCAGGGAGACTGGCGTCCACCAAGAATATCATCGTGGTCCGCCTCTCCCGAATCATGTGCCACGCATGTGTAAGTCCTGATACTAACTGTCATACTCAACCCACTAATGACTGTTTGTCAGACCCTGCATGTAGATTAAGGCTGAGAGACAGTACGTCGCGTTTATGGGTCAGCGCTCGACGGGCTCTTGCTCCCATCTTCGGAGATAATAACTCGTTTTCTGTACTATGCGCCAATGTTTAAAGAGGTCATCAACGTCCAGGTAAGTCTGATGATCACTACTGATCCACGTCCCCCTTCCAATCCCAGTCCTTCTCCCTCTGAGCCAGTCTGTGGTTTGATGCCCCGGCATTGGAGGGGGAAGAATGACTCGAGGGCTCACACGAACGACTAGGACATGATCGCCATTTTCAATGGTGAAACGACCGACGAATCAGCTTATCCGACCCTCGCGCTCGTACATGCCATCTGTGCAGTTGCGTACCTCGCTGACCCGTCTACCTCGGACGCGGCACCTGCCGAAGCGCAGAAAGCTCAGATGGCGAACGATCATCTATTCGAAACGGGCCGATCTAGACTGGGGACTTACTTCATCCTCAGTGAGTTGGAGGGGATCAGAGGAGCACACTGCGCACTACATCTCGCCGCTCCAACTTGCGCAGGATGTTGTCGATGCCGGGAGAAGCGTGCCTCGAAGCAGCTGGAGTTCAGGCTGGCTAGGTGTACCCCGGCAATTTGACGAGCTCGAGCCGAAGCTAAAGCTGACACATTAGCCGTAATTATTCGTTGTTTCTATAACCTTTATCAAGGCACCTTGATGCAGAACCACCGCCTCTCGGTCGAAGCCGTCGGATGGTGCAACTCGGCGGGACTACATCTCGATCCGGACCTCTTGCCGGATGGCAACGTGGTGGGGGAGCACCCATTGATCATTACGGCGAATCTATTCTGGTTGACTAATATCTTGAATATACAAGTGTGAGTCTTTGTTACCTTGTCTGCGTGCAGCCCCGAGGCCATCATGCTGGCTGGCATGATGAGAACTATGAGGGGCAGATGGAGGTGGAGGCGACGGGGAAGGGGTCCAGGCAGGCGAAATGAGCTGATTTCGCCAGTCTTGTTTGTTCCGTCCCGTTCAGTCTGGGCCTGTTGAGAAACTGCGAAATCACTGTACCAGTCCCTTCGGCTCTCGACATACATGGGCAACGACTGGGCGAGAAACAATATGTAGACTCGCCGGACCTCTTTTCATACCATGAACACACCACGTATGTTCACCTTTCATTCGATGTGTCTTGGTATTGATATCTCGTTCACAATGCTGAATGCTATTTTGGGGTATTATTCGGAAATCGGTACTCCACAAGCTGAAAATCTTAGCTGGCTGGGCCTCTACGCTAAGACCGCCATTCTCCTTCGCGATACCCAGTACTTTGTCAACCGCATCATAACCGTCCGAAACCCAATGCCCATCGACGACGTCATCAGCGAACTCGACCGGATAGGGGAGAAATTATGTGCCTTACAAGACAGCTATATGCAGGTCGATTGTTCGCCGGCGCAAGTTTTGAGTAAGTTCAACGGGAGGGATCAGGACTGACGTGCAGTTGTCAGAGCTATGATTGCTGCATGTCATATTGTGAATCTTGCCTTACCTTTGTTGGAGATAAAGGGTCAAGGTGGAATAGGGAGCTGATCAGATCAGTTACCGCGAGCGCCGTGTATGCGCGGAACGCATCATCGAGGAATACACCATATGCGTGCAGATCACTTTGGGAGGATCATACATAGTAAGCTGATCCCCAACTTTGCACTCCCACCGAAGGGAAGCAGCTGACGTGGTATCAGCCGTAGGCGAGGATGCACTCCATATCACCCAGACTATGAGTCGCGCTCGGTGAGTCTTCATGAGCTGTGACTTTCCGTCCCCGTCCCATCCAGACGGAGACGAGATCTTCGCGATAGTGAGGAGGGACGGCCATGCTGACCTAGCAGCATCCCAGATATTGAGCCTTTCCTCGTTTACACGTGGATGATGGTGAACCGGATTTGCCTCCATCCGGATACATCCCCCGAATTCGAGGGACAGCTCGATGCGACTCGGTCCGTCGCTATCGCCGATGCCACCTTGTAGGTTTAGCTCTAGCCCTTGGTCACTGCCGGTTCGGGAGCAGAGGAAGCGGGAGGAAGAGCTTTGCAGTGTGAGCTCGAGCTGATCCTGCAGTAAAGCAATAGAAGCGGTAGAAGCTGTGGGTGTGCCTGCCGCACAAGGCTGTATGCGGATTCTTCGATCATCTAACGGGATATTACCGCCTGACGCTCCGGTCAGTATAGCGTCCACTCGCGCAACTGATTGCAAGGAGCGTGGATCTGACACAGCAGATCTCGGAAATTGAGCTTGCGCTGGCTCATTTCTCAAGATACGCCAACGATCCGCATTTCTACTTTTCGAATCAGGCATAGCCATCTAAGGGATGTATAGTGCCTCGCAGGAAACGCGAGCAAACCCGGCTTCCTCTCGGAAACCTGACTGGCTTTGTTTTATGCAGCAAAGACTGACTCCTACTGATACTAGCTGTGTCCTTCCAGCGCAAACAAGGGTCGGGACACGGAACAGAGAAACGTAGCGCTAGCAGAAAGCCCGCTGGTGCTCACTCTGTGGCCATTGATGGACAAACCTGCAGCTATACATCTGCCTGAATATCTCCCACTAGGTCCCATCTCCAGCAACGCCAACAAGCTCATCTCGAATCACGCCGCCACCGCGGCACCCTGCATGCTACTCTATGCCCAGAGGTCTTCCCGATTCGCCGCCGACACGAGCACGTGCATACCAAGGTGAATATGTTGGAATTTTGAGAAGATATATGTACAACGCAGTGTGAGGATGCATTTGACTCGAACTACTCCTACTTATATAGTCCAGGATCTAACGGCCGTTAACGGCCGTTCTCCCCTTAACGCCGTTGACCAGCCCTTTAACGGCCGTTTTCCCGTCAAGACGCCGTTAACGGTGCAACTCGCCAACCGCCCGTTTTTAGGAATGAGGATTCGCCACCCAGCTGCGAGCACCCTTTAACCTCATTTTCCTGACAGAATAGCCCAAGGGTCGCGCCAATGGCCGCGATGGTCTTTCGCTCATCCCATGTCTCCTCTCGCCAGGTCACTGGCGTTGCGTCCTTGGTCCCGTTCTCACTTCCATGTGCGATATCGTCCGCCTGCGATTGACCAGGAATTTGACCGCCATCGCTCGGCTGGTTCCTGATCGCCTCCTCGATGGCTTTGAGCCTGCTGGTGATCTCGGCTTGACTGTCAGCGGTACTGATAGACACTGTAGGGGGAGTCGAGTGATCGCGAGTCGACAGATCCGGAGCTGGATCTTGCGTCTGTGCAGTGATGTGCCAGCCTGCCAGATTAAGGTATCGTTCGAATTCGGTGCGCAGGTCATCTTCATTCTCTGGGGTCCAGCAGATTTCGCTGACTTTGGGGAGGATGTCCTGAGCGTTTTCGGATTGCACCACGGAGCTGAGCGCGCTGATGGCGGCTTGACGGCACGCCACGGACTGTGGCGAATGATCGGTCAAGCGCCATGTGGGAACCAAGGGGAAGTTATGAGCCGCCATGGTCCTGTGTGGTCAGAGCTTTTGCGGGATGCAGATAGGTAGTGGTTGAACGTGAGTTATGTGATGTGAGGGGCGAATGAGCGAAGAGAGTCGTATGTATAATCAGTACTCTTGGGTCCGGTCTGCGACTCTGATATCCTAGTCGGCGCTCTCTACACAGCTGTGAATGCAGTGCAGGCTATGAACGGTCCTTTCTTGCTTACCTCTGGCAGCCCTGCTTTGTAAGTCGAACGCGTTCGAGCAGAGATATACTTTCTCTTATGGTTGGGATCCCCTGACTAGTTGCCACGACTGCTCGGCTGTGTTCAAACATCGACATAAGGTCAGCAGTGTCGTTGACATGCGCAGGGATAAGCGAAATCGACAATCTCAGTATGCATGTCAGTCAAGTATCAGTGGAAAGGATCAGATCAATACGTGGTATCTGCAATATTCATATCTTCATCTATACACTCGCCGACCACTCTTCAGATTCCTTAGACTTTACACTGATTACCTCTCGTAAGCTAGCTTCCCAAGACATCTTCCCTTCCAGCTTTGCCTCCCCGGCTCCTTACTGGCGCGCCTTGGCGTCTTGTTCCCGCTTTGCCTGACGTTCGGCGATGTCCACCCCTACGAGCTACACATATCAGCACCAGTCATCATCCTCCGTGCCGCCAAATGCCAGACCATGATCGTCAGAGCGAAAAGTCCACTCACAATCTTACTAGCCTTCCAAAACTGCACCACATTGATGACCTGCTTGCCCGCGCAAATCGGGAACGTCACACCCGCTACGAGCTGGGGCCACGACACCCGTCCGAGCACGGCCGCCACGCCCGCCGGCAAGCCCAGATCCCGACACATGACGAGCAAAAAGGGGAGGGACTGTGCGATCGAGTGCGTCCAAAACTTGTTGAGGTAGAGGCAAAAGAAGAAGGTTTCGTTTGCAAAGCAGAAGATGAAGAGGGTGATCTTGTTGTTGTAGTAGAGCCAGAGGATGCGGGAGACGTCGGAGGTGACGGTCTTGTGTGAGGTGGAGCCGGTGGCGAGGGATCTGGACTTTAGTTTGGGCTCCGGGGAGCTAGGGATAGTGTGGGGAGGGGTGGCGGGCAGCAGAGCGGTATGAGGAGCGGGAGGCTGTTAGGGGGCGGGACAATGGCACTTACGAGTACATGTGCATGTAGTGCGAGGAGAAGTCGAGGGAGATGAGGAATTGGAATAGGAGCGCCCAGGGTTTATAGGCTATAGCGAGGAAACATAGCAGACAGGCTGTTGTGCACCTGAGATATCAGCTACTGAGCCTTGCTCTGGCGTCCAGCTGTGAGGGGACATACCGATCAGTCACCATATCCAGCACCGCCCCAAACTTGCTTGTCTGATTCAACGCCCGCGCGACCTGCCCATCCGCCACATCGAGGATACACGATGTAAAGTACAACACTGTACAGATCCTCGGGTGGATAGGCATGATGCAGAGGCTGGCGCCGGCGAGGACGACGCGGAGATAGCCGATGAGGTTGGAGGGGAAGAGAAAGACGTTATCTGTGACGCTGACATGTCAGCTCGTGGGCTGGTTGGGGTTGAGGCAGGGCTTACGTGGTAGTTCTGCTGTATGAGCAAGGTTAGTGTTAGTAGGAAAAGAGAGGGGCTCACGCCAAGTCCACAGCGCTGAGACGTCAGCTTTATCTCTGGAAGCACCGGCACGCGAGCTCCTGTGCAGCTCGACGCAGTGGATGCCACCTGGTCTGAACTCACTATTTCGGATGATACACGTCTTCCCTGGGTGGCCTGGTCCGACTTCCCTCCCTGGGCCTCATAGCAGGCGTAAGACCCCCTTCGGGCCCGCCAGACGAGGTATCCAGCGCGGTCGTCATACCTGCTGTACCTGTAGCTGTGGGTTCTGGGGTGGATCTTCGGGATGCGCGTGTTGTAGCTGGCATTTCTGCTTTCTGTGTTGGAGGTGCGGTGAGTGATATGTATATGATAGAGATGTGATGAGGCTGAGATGAAAGTTAGATAGATAGAGAAAGAGGCTGGACATGCTGTGGCTACCTTATGACGAAGGTCGGAATTTAGATTCCGGCGGAGTCCCCACAAATTACGTCAACCCTCCGAAGACCGTGCGTTTGAGAACATGCATCCAGCGCGAACAGCAGCGCGCTGTTGAGAACTCTTTGCTTCCTATATCTCAGCGTAGAGCACTTACAGACAGCCCAGCATGTCCGCCACGCCTACGCGATCATCCACGCTGAATCTATCAGCGCCTACCGCGCCATCACGAAACAATCCCATCTCTCTACGGATCTACAAAGCCCTAGGGACGACATTCGACGATCCCTCCTCGCGCGAGGCGTTAGAGATAGCTGCGAGCTTCTACGCTCCGGCCGATACGAATGGTCCATCACATGGTGAAGAGCTGAATGATGGGCTGGAAAAGCCGCGTCGGACGTTGAAGGGCCAATCGGCAGCTATGGCGCGAAGGTACTTGAAGAGGGACGTGGAGATGAAATTGGCGGAAAGCAGTCAGAGGTTCTTGGATGCTTTTGGGGAAGTGGACCAGGTAAGCTGCAGTCTGCTTCATGTAGTGAGGTGGTCAGAGCTGATAGCGAAGAAATTGCAAGTCCTACGTGGACATATGCTAGAGATGCAGGCGAGGTGTGATCAGGTGGAAGCGGAGCTGGAACAGGCGAATAGCGGGACAAAGTATCTGCTGGAACGAGCTGAAGGGCTGCGTGCTCAGCGGTATGTCCCAGAATCTCATCTGTCTAAGTACCTGCTGATCACCCAGTGACTCTGCCCAACTCCGAGCCAAGATCATCTCCCTATTCATACAACGCTTCACCCTTTCCCCGGCCGAGCTCGAATGCCTCACTTCGCGCGAAATAGCGGTCGGTAAACCGGTATTCAGCGCTTTGGACAGGGTCCAAGCGATCCGGAGAGACTGTAGGGCGCTTTTAGGCGGAGAAGAAGGGAAAGAACAGGCAGGGTGAGCCGTCTCTGCTGCCACGTCTGCCTCGACGTCATACTTGAGCTCAGCTGACGATACAGGCTTGATATCATGCAGTCTACCTCGGAACAGATGGAAGCGGGGTACAAGAAGATCTATCGATGGTGTCAGTTCGAACTGCGGCAGTATACCCGTGAAGGGCAATTGGACGTTTCGCCGACTATGCGAGAGGCGATGTTGCGTCTTAGGGAACGGTCTTCGATGTTTAGGTATGACCTCTTCCCCTCCTTCCCTCTCTTTCTCTACCTCATCCTTGACCGATACTGAATGCATAGCGATGTCATCCAGACCCTCACCCATACACGTGCCTCATCGCTTCTCCAAGCCCTCCTGGACGCCTTGACCCGGGGCGGGCCGAACGGCCTCCCCCGCCCGATCGAGATCCACGCACACGACCCGATTCGGTATGTCGGGGACATGCTCGCGTGGGTACATCAAGCGACGGCGAGCGAGCACGAGTTCTTGGAGAGCCTGTTTGGGGTGGAACAGGGTAAGAGGATGGTAGGTGAAGTCAGAGGGCAGGGGCGGGGGAAGGGGCAGCGGGGTGTAGGGGGAGTTTCGAAGGAGAAGGAGAGGAATGTGGAGGGGGAGGAGGGGCAAGGGCGAGGAGAGGGCAAGGACTCGTTTGATCTAGGCGGGGAAGAGAGGAATGTGGCGGCGGAATCGGAGGAGCTTGTGCGGGAGTGTCTGGACAAAGATCTGGAAGGGCTAGGACGGCCATTAAAGGTGAGTCGACCGCCAAGAAACGAATAGTGATTCTTGGGACATAGCTGAAATGGTAGCTTCGCATCCAGCAGACGATCAAGTCGCAAGAGGGGATCATCATGACTTATCGGATTGCGAACCTCCTCCAGTTCTACTTGGTGACTATGAAGCGGACGATAGGTGATCAAGCGTTGCTTTGTCGGACGCTGCAAGATTGAGTTGACTCGATCGAGTAATCGTTGGATGTTCGGCTGATGGTTCAGAATCTACGATTCAAGCCAGTCGTCTTTCCTCGAGATGCTTGACGCCCAAGGCAGGAGTCTCCTTCGATTCCTACACGTAAGTCCACCCCATACACCTCTCTTCCACTCCTGTAAGAGCAAGAGCTGACCCCTTAGCCCCCCGACGCTACCCTCACGCCACCCCTCGCGCTGCGCGAATCGACCCACACCCTTCGAGAGATCATATCGACATATGAAACGTCCCTCGTGGACGCCTCGGACCGCGAGCAGGGCTTTGGGGATATTCTGAAAAGAGCGGTGAATCCCGCGGTGGAGATGTGTGAGAGGATGGCGGAGATGCGGAGGCAGAGTCAGAGTCAGCAGGGGCAAGGCGGAGAAGAAGGGAAAGGGGATTGGGAGCGGGATATCTTCTTGATTAATTGTTTGAACTATCTGCTTGTGAGTCACCGGTGTGGGCGGGAGGTGCTGGCTGCTGGCGCTTGATGAGGGGCCCGCGAAAGCGAGTCAGATTCAGAGCTGACCGAATAGCACGCATTGGAGGGGTATGAATCGACCGAGGAACGCGCGAGGGCGCTGGAAGAGCAGATTGGGCGACATGTGGAGAGTATGACGTTTGAGCATGTGAGTCAGGTTCTTAAGACAGGTTTATAGAGTGAGTGGACGTAGCTGATATGGTAGCATGGGAAATTACTGGAGCAGTGTGGACTGGCACCGATTATGCGGGCGGTGAGGACTCGACCTGCGGATGTGAGTCGTGTCTCTTCTTTCCCCTCACTCCCTGTCTGCCCTCTTCCCAGCCACCCAGCCACCTACCGGAGTGGTATGATCACGACCCGAATTGCTCACTACGTTCCGGGATCACTAGCTGACGCCCCACAGACCCCCCTCTCCCGCCTCCCCTCCACCTCCCCCAAATCCCTCTCTTCCGCCCTCGCCCAATTTTCCTTGTTTCTCAACTCGCTCGACGTCCTCTCGTCCCCGCGCCTCGCCCTGCTCACGTCGGGCGCACTGGCAGAGACGATCCACCGGCAGGCGCTTGCCAAGATTAGTGAAGCGTATGGCGAGGTGTGCGATCTGGTACTGGACAAAAAGGAGGGATATGAGTTTGGGGAGACGATGGTTAGGAGAGATAGGGGGGAGGTGGCCGTGGCGCTGGGGGTGGGGGAGGGGATGTAGAAGCGGGAACGAAGTGAGATGATGTGTGAAGATACTCGGAATGCATATGCGTATGTACGATGAGCTATGAACAGAGGAACGATGAAGATGGCGACGATAGCTAGTAAGAGCTCCGACTACGTCTACCAACAGTGCGGCTGACCACACGTGCACCCGTCACCGCTTGTGTCGGTAGGGCGGGAAATGACCATCGGCTCCTCGCTCGTCTCTGCCGTCTTGATCAGAGTAGTGGTCACTTCAACCGGTCCCCTTGACGTCGACGGCTTCCCCCAGGCATCGGCACCGGTGGCAACCCGGCTGTCGTCCGTCTTCCCCGCCTCGCTGCCTTCAGCCGCCGGCGCACGGATTGTGCCCTCGGTCAGCTTGGCGATCTGGTTCCTGACATCCACCGGGAGCTCATAGCGAGAGGTCACCTGGTCAACGACGCTTTGGGTTCGTACCGTTCCCTACGAGCCGTACCCTTGCTGTGGGAAGTACAGCCGCCGCTGCTCCTTCGACTCAATGGAGTCCTGGTCGTGGGTCGCATTGTGGTACTGGAAGAAGACTCTGTCTCCGGCGCTTCGATCAGGCCGAGACGAAGCGGTGTCAGACTCGGCAGTGGGGGGAGCAGCCGTGGTCTGGTCAGGCTTGGGAGGGGTATTGGGAAGAGCAGGCATGATGGAGAGCACAGTGATTGTATCGTGGAAGTGAAAGTGGCAGTGGAAGTATTAGGGTAAGGTCTGGTGATGGAGAGGCCGGAGGAACGTATATGTAAGAAAGAGAGGGAAGAGGTGGGCGGGGGTGCGCATTTCTGCCCCGACGAGAGGGAGGGTGGCGAGCGCAGGGTGGCGAATATTGCTATCCTTTGAAGAGGCATAGGTCTAAAGCTCTCTTACACGTTGCAGCTGCAGGCGCACATCCATTGATGCCCATATGTGATGGGGCCATCGTTGGTAAGCTAGCGGCTCATAGGCGGCTACGACGCTGCTGCGTCCTCGGGCGATGGACTTCATGGGCGAGTCCAGGGCATGGGTGCCATTGCAGCACTTACAGTGGAGTCAGATATCCGTCACCTGGGGAAGGAAATGCATGTGTATCATACGGTGATGATTGACTGGCTACCACTGCTCGACCGCCGGCTCATATCCCCACCATCCTCAGCATGCGTTCGTACGTGCGCCGCCGCAAAGTCTTCGCGCTCTCCGCGGAGCTCTCATCCGCCTTCTGGCTCTCCGCATTGGACGCCACTCCCTCGTTCCAGGTCGTGGTCACACCCGACCTCGCTGCGTTGGGAGCGAAGAAATCGGCGAGCCGTATGCAGTACTCTGTCCCGAGTTCGTCCATCGTCTCTTCGATCTTCCGTCGCATGTCTGCCTCCTTTGGGTCGTCCGATTGCTGTCCCGACAGCCTGAGCGCCCCGTCACGGTCACGGTGGAAGTAGAGGCGTTCCACATTCTCCATGCCTGAATCGCCAAAAATGATTTGACTGGCGGACTGGGTCGGCGTATGGATGGCGCCGGAATCCGTCAGAGTCGACTCATCGGGCCGGGCTGGGGTGTCGGTAGGGACAGACATGGTAGGGTGCGAGGTCAGTGTGATGTGGTCGCTGAAGTGGAACTGCCAGTGAGAGACAGAAGTCTGGCGGATGCGAAGGGGAGAAGGTGTATGTAAGGTAGAGGCCGAAGGAGGGGGCGGGGGCGTGCTCATACACTACGACGAGGGCGGGTGGCGAGGGCGGCGAGTATCATCCTTTGATGAGGCACAGCTTTGGTCTCTTGCGCGTTTCATGCGCTCGTCCGTTGATGGATGTCAGTAATCACGCCTTGACATAGATGCTGGTAAGGTTGAAAGGCTGCTAGCCCTCAGTGGGATTACGGGGGACAGCGGCGGTGGATCGGGGTACGAGGGACAAGAGTCAGCCCATGAGGACCAGTCGTCAGAGGCGTTTTCAGGCCTGAGCTGCAAATGAATGTCATACTAAACCATGGCATGATCGGCTCTGATCAATCATACATATGAGATATCTGAAAGGTATGATGAAGCATTGGTATTGAGTGGCGGAAAACTTCGTTCCGACTACTTGCCCGAACCATAACCCCCGGCCCCTACCCATGCAGTCATGCTCGCGGTCAAGTCGCGACCCGCCTGAGAATCATCGCCCCCGGGCATGAGAGGCCGACGCGTGCCTCCGGTGCTCGCCACGGTGGAGGCATTGCTCGCCGTCGTGGGTATGGTACTGGCGTTGCCGTCCGACGAAGAGGTGTTGGAGGTGTTGTCGTTAGTAGCGGCAGGCATGATGTCGATCGAGTACTGTGATGGAATGAAAATGGGTCAGGTATATGTGATTGTGTGTGAGGACAGGTAGATAGATGTACGAAAGGTGGGGAACAGAAGGGAGGGGCCCGCTTGTATACCTCGCGCAGGGGGCCGGGAGGCGCGGCCGGCGATCGAGGGTGGCCATGATAGCCTTTGATGAGGCACAGCTCTGGTGCTTTCTTACGCGTGTCCGGCGGAGATCCATTGATGACGGTCTGCCCGACACCTGAGCCGCGTGGCAGCTTTGAGCTGCTAGACCACATCCCAATTGGTGCTTAGCGCTGAGGTCTGCTGCTAAAGCTGACTCCAAATTCCCCTTTTACCGCTGCCATATTCAGTCGTCTTGCCTTCGCAAGCGTCTGCCAACCACGAGGGTACTGTCTGGTCCCAAAGGAAAGGTACGGAAAGAGCATCAACTCATACACTTCACTAGACATAGGGTTTTGCTCCCTGAAAGGAGACTAGGCTTCTTCGCAGACGTCTCGTTCTGTCCGTGCCACGCAACCATCTTCGTCTCGGCACCATCACCAAACGATGTGGCAGATGAGTGGGGCGGATAGCCATGCCGAGCTTGTGTGGCCAGGAACAAGCTCATATGAAACGCCACACTCAGGGTGTTGCGTTTCAGATAGAGTTCGCGCTATACCCGGATGCACACACCTCGACACACCGCGCTGAAGCACTGAGGAAGACTGAGGATCCAACTGACAGCGGTGGCCATAAACACCATACTTCCTTTCTCACGTATCCCCTCGACGTGATTGAAACGCAAAGCCACGAAGTCCCGGACCATGGCCGACAGTAGCAGCGAGACCAGCCGCACGGACCTCGACTTTGGCTGGGTCTCCGACTTGCCAACCTACACCGGTCTTTTGCCCGTCAATCGTATGTTTACCTTCCTTCACCCATATCAGACCTCTCGCCCAATCACTGACAGACAGCGTCATCCCTCCTACCCCGCTTCTCCCTCTTCTCCCTCTTTCGCTCATCCCGCCCATCTCTTCCGCGGGAAGATCAACTTGAACCCCTCTTCTCGCGCTCCAGCACTCAACCTATATCCATCGGCGAGGCGACGAAGGGCCTCACGGCGCTCTCGGAGTATATCGCGTCGCTCAAGACTGCATGTGTCGATGTTACGGAGGATCGGGCGGAGGAAGCAGAGGGATGGGTGTTGCAAGCGATGGAGGGGTATCTGGTCGCTATCTCCGTTGTCGCCCGGGCAATGTTCGCAGCGGACGGAACGGACACGACTGGACTTAGCGGGACAATCTCTCAATCTCTACGCGGTCTCTTCACCATCCACGCCCACTACATCGGAGGCACGTCCTCAGCCATCACGGCTGCCCTCGACAGAATTGTCTCCAACCTGCTCGCTGCTCCGCATATCCAGCCGGAGGGCGACGACACCTCCAATCACCTCGTGCCCATCTTCGTCCAAACGCGGGAAATCATCAGTCATCTTCAGCACGCGGCTAGGGCAAGCCACGTCAAGGCCGCGGTGGTGCTGTCAAGCGAGGATGAAGCGGGGAAATGGGAGTCAAGGGCGGAGGAGCGGATGGAATGGCTCCGGCTGTTCGCGGACCACGTGCGCGGACTGGGCGGTCTGCCGGCCATGGTCAAAGAGGAAGAGCCGAAGGGCAAGGCGAAGAAAGTGACTAAGAAAGCTACGAAGCTGGCGGAGCAGGAGGCGCAGGAACGACCGATGCGGATCGGGATTGAGGCGGACCTGCTACGGTGCGATCTGGCGATCAGTATGGCGACTGCAAAGATTGGGGAGGTGAAGCGGCGTGCTAGGGCAGGATTGTCTGCTGTGCAAGTAGGAGTGGATGTGGTGAAGGAGGAGGTGGTCAAAGAGGAGGTGGCGGTCAGGGACAAGAAACCGGTGTTGAACAGGAGGCGACGGGCGTTGACGGATGAGTCGGACCTGGGGACCATCGTGGATCAGGACGAATGGCTGGCGGATGCACCGGCGGCGAAGCTAGACTCAGCTGGGGAATCAGGGAGGAGGTGGGAGGACGATGTCGATGTGGGGTTGTGGGAAACGCTCGGTAAGGTCAGAGCCATTCTTGAAGGGAAGCACGCCGAGGTGCTCGTTGCCCGGATCGACCGGTCGGACTGGCTGGACGATCCCAGCCCACCCGATCCTCGCGGTTCTGTATCGCCATACGAACCACCTCGGACGGACACAGCGGAGTCGGAATCGGACGGATCTGCCTCGCCTTCCTCGTCGTCCGAGAGCGATAGCGACGAGTCGGAGGACGACCTCTCCCACTCGTGTCCCCTCCGAACTCTCTTCCGCCTGCATGACCGATACGAAGAACAACGACTGGCCGTATGGCTATCACTTCAAAACGAGCAGAGGGGCAAGATGGGCGCCTACATGAGAGGCGTGGAGGGTAGGGTCGGATCAGCATGGGATGCGGTGGGACTGAGGCTCTTGATGGAATTTGACGCGTGAGTCCAGCTGCGTCTCCTCCTTCCGCCATGCGAAGATCAAAGCTGATATCTAAGGGACACACTTGAGGCGTATGGGCTGAGCCCGGACAAGCACGATAAATGGGTGGAGCTAGCCTCAAGGCGGAATACCAAGAAGATCAAGAAGGGCCGGAAGACTGTTTGATGTTGGGGGAGTGAGTCTATCCGGTACGCGTCGATATCATGGAGACGCGCTGATCGCGCAGATTGGAGGAGACTGTACACGAGATATGCCTATCATAATGTCCTATCAAATGTAAAGTATATGCTGTCTACCGCAATTGTCCGAAAACCACTAATGTACACCACTACCTTACACTACTCGCTAGCTAAGCCACGACCTACAACAACCCCTCCGAGTCATCAGTCCCTTGCGACCCTCTCCCCGTCCAGCTCCTCTGCGGCTCTGCCCACTCATATCCCCTTGCGCTCGCTTTGCTCCGCACGCTCCCCTGCTCACTCCCATACGCGTCCGCACCGTACGTCTGTCCCGGCGCTAAGTATCTCCCCAAGTCCGCCTGCTCTGCGCCGCCTCCACCGCCTCCACCGCCATAGACGTTGTATGCTGGGGAAGAATAGGCGTATCCTCCGGCCTGGCCGCTTGGCTGAAGATTCTCGTATGGATCTACCGACGGCGCAACCTGAGTTCTGGGAGCGGTAGCCCGAGGCCCGGCTGGTCTGCGCGAGGCGAGGGCAGCCTCGATCGTAGTAGCGGTGGTACTGACCGACGAAGCCGACAGATTGCGCTGCAGCCCCGCAGAGGGTCGGGAAGGGGGCGAGAACGACACCTCCAATCTCGGGGGAGACTGCCATCCGAATCCGGTCGAACCGGCCTCGTGCATGGGAGGAGGAGAAGCGCCGAAAGGCCGACGGGTAATGTACGTCGTGCCTCCGAGCGCAGGAGTGGTGGCGGTGGGCTTATCGATGATGTCGTCAGATGCAGACCGGACGGGCCTTGCACCCAGAGCAGCAGTGTAGGACCGGCGTTTCCGGACGACCTTGTCGGCCGCTTCTACTTCTTGCGCAGGCGCAGAGTTCCGGTTGCCACCATTGTTGCTCTCGCGCCTGACCACCTCCCCACCTGCGTGCGTCGGGATTGACGCAACCCGCTCCCGCTCGTACCCCGTACCGACCGAACCGCGGGGAACAAGCCCCGACCCGGCCCTCTCCCTCTCATACCCTCCGACTGACCCCCTGACCTGCCCAGACCCCTGTCTCTCCCGTTCGTACCCCTGCCCACCGCCCTGCCCCGACGCGGCACTAGCCACGCTAAACTTTCTCAACGCCTCATCCCGCGCCTCGAGCTGCTTCAGCCGGCTCTGCATCCCGCTCGGCATAGGCGCGTGGCTCGAGTGACTCGTCCCTGACGGCGACGTCGGACGGGACCGACCATGTTGTGCGTGGGAGGCATATGTTTCGTCCTCGTGCGAGTAGACACTGTGGTCTCCTGCCGAGATTGCCTTGCCCGATTCTTTGCGCGAGGCTTTCCCGCGAGGAGATTCGGCGTGCGGATCGGGAGCAGAGAATGACGTTCGGGCGAATGCGACCTGGGTGTGGAGGTGATGGGGAGCGGGAAGCCAGTTGGGGTCGAGAACAGGATTGAAGGTGGTTGATTTAGCGGGATCGGAAGGGAGAGGTTTGTCCGCTCCGCCAGAGAGACGGGATCCTGCGGGGTCGTGCAGTATAACAGCCTCCATGCCTGCCGGATTGGAAGCGATGGGAGGACTCTCCAACCCGTGTCCCTCGGAAGAGCCCGAATCGCTCGCGACGGACGGCGCGAGCTGTGGGAGCTCCTCGCTGGGTGGGCGGACTCGGACCTGGTTTCGCAGTTGACTGGACTGAGCCGAGAGCTGGCGCTGCATTGGCTCGGAGGGTGGTGGGTCCGGGAACCCAGAACGGGGACTTGGACCGGGGGACAGGCTGTAGGTGTTCCCGCCACGGGGCGATTGGCTGACCTCGCGGTCCCGGTTAGGTCCGGGGGCGTTGAAGGAGAAGGAAGGACGATTGGCGAATACACGACCGATAGAAGAGGGGGCGAGGGTGGTAGTGTCTCGTAGAGGAGAGGGAGCGACAGGTGTAGAAGAACTTTCGCGCCGAGGCATCAGACCCTGGATGTTGGGCGCGGACGAGTACCGTGTACCCATCTTTGGCGATATACCCGCTGACTCGGCAGCAGCGCTTGCCCGTTTCTCCGGCGAAGGAGTATGCGAGAACTTCCTCCCTCCTCCGCCAGCCATCCCGAACGGCGCGGAGCCAGACCGAGGGATATTGAGTGCCCGAGTAGGCGACAGCTTGTCCTCGTCCGTATCTCCCTCTACCCCATCGTCGTCCTGACGGTACCTCATCGTCCGACTCGGAGTCTTTATCGACAAGTTCCGCTTGACCGCCTCCGTCACCTGCCCCACCTCCGAGTCCTGCTCGCTGACCGCCGAAGCCGCGAACGAGCCATACAGCGAGCGCGTCTGCTGAATGTGTGCCTCGCGCTCACTGTCCACCGACCGGATGAGCATCGTATCCAGTGCCGAGCCAGAGCGGGACGGGACGCGGAGCGAGGACGCCGTGTTGCCCGTCCCAGAGGTGGAGTTGAGCGAGCCGAGCAAAGCGGGATCGGGAGAGCGCTCAATCTCGTCGCTGTATTCGAAAGCGTCTTCGCTGGGGTCGCCCGCTTCGGCATGACTTGGGAGGGTCATACGGAGGGTATCGTCCTCGTGCGGAGCGACCAGATCCTCCAGGACGGTCTCGTTGCCCACTTGTGTGTCCTCCTCCTCGGGCTCTTCTTCCTCCGGGATGACCTCGTGGCTCCGCCGATGCTCCGTCCGGCTCTGACGTTGAGCCGAGGTACCGGTGATGGGCGGAGCGAGCCGTACTTCAGCTTCCGGGTCCACTGCGCGGAGCTCATGGTCCGCGTACCCTCCTCCGCCCTCGTGCTCCTCCCCTGACCCTGAGCCCGACGCCGACCCATAATGATGGTCATCCGACGATCCTCTCGTAGACGCCAACGCCTCCTGCTCCTCGGCAATAGTGAGCCGTTCGAGCCGGCGCATCTCGTCCGCCTCCTCAGCCTTGGAGCTGCGCCGCGTCCTCCCGCTCCCGATGGTAGGTACAGGCGCCGGGCTTCCTACGCTCCGACTACGCATACTGGGCGTCTCGCCCAGCACCTTGAAGCCCTCCTCGTATGGCGTCTCGGTAGGGAACCACGTACCCGTGGGCGGAGTTTCGCGAGTAGGGGAGAGGAGGTCGTCCCGATCTTGATGCATGTAGTCGTCTGCTTCCCGCTCCGCCGCACGAGTGAGGGCCGCGAGTGACATCTTGCGTCCCTCGCGCCGAGCAGCAGCAAGGAGGAGCCGGTCCGCCTCGACGTCGATATCGATCTCCTCGTCTTCATCTTCCTCTGACAGGGGGTGATCCTGCTGACTAGACCGAGCGGAGAGATACGACATCATACGCTGGCCTTTTGGACGCATCATCCCAGCGCCAATTCCGCCAGGCATGGGGAGGGAAGCCCGGTTCGCCCATCCGCCAAGGGGCGTACCGTGGCCATGGCCGTGGCTTTGACCAAAGACGTCCGGCGTATTATACTCGCTAATAGTGGAGATAGGGCGTGGTTGACGACTCCGAGCATGCTCCGGGTAATTGGCAGCCGCCTCGGCGTCCGCGCGTGCCCGACCGGCAGAGAGGAGCGCGTCGATATGTAGTGTAGTAGAGCTGGCACGAGCAGGTCCTTCTCCAGAATGAAGGGAGGCCGACCCGTCTTGGCTATGGGCGCCATACGGGCCGCCCGCGGTCGACGCGACGGGGTGCGAGGCGTATTGGCCGATAGGTACCGCCTGGGCGTTTCGTACACCGAAGCGGGCGCCGTCTCCGGGCATGGGCGGTGGATCGATGCTCAGGAAATTGATGAGGGTGACGGGGACGTCGACGAAGAGGTTCGTGCTCGAGTTGGCGGTGAGGCGGAGGGTATATGTGACCTCCACCAAGCGCGAGCGAGGGATGGTAAGGAGACCGTTCTGACTATCAGCTACTACTCGTGTATCTGACCGAGGGAGGACTTACAGGTATGAGCAAGCTCAGATCCCAGCCGCCCATCTCTCCAGCTTCTACGCCAGTCCACCAGTTCTTGCCCGTGACCCTTCCCCCTCCATGATCCTGCTCATCCGCCATGATGCTTTCCTCTGCAACTTTGCGCCGGAAGGTACTAGCGATCCCGAGCGCCTCGTCTGCATTGGGGATGCCATCCTTGTCCGTCGAAACAGCAGCGGTATCATTATCCGGTAGGAAAGTCTGGACCGTCTGCAGCAGAGCCAGAGTAAGACGTTTGATCTACTCATCAGCTCGCCACACACTCTCAGGAGGGTTGCGACCTACCCGCTTGCTCGACTCATTCCTCACGCCAACTTCACACCACACTCTTTGCCCACTAACCCAAACATCCCTCCCTAACGCCACCCGCAGCTCCACCACTCCCTTCGCTCCGCCCAAACTCCACCCCAATCCTCTCCTCTCGACCACCTCCACCATCTCCTCACACGGCGCCAATACGATTCCCGGGTTGAGGTACGGCAGAATGACAATCGGGCGGTAAAAGTGCGCAATTGACCGTTTGCCCGTTTTGGGGTGTAAGAGCTTGACCGAGCCGACGACGACGTAGCGCACCGAAGGGCCTTTCGGGCTAGGCGAGGTATATGCGCCTTTGGCGCCCCCGGCGAGAGGGAGGCGCATGCAGAAGGGGATAAAGTGCGTCCCGGGGCTGACTTCGCGAAACCCGTCGTTATCGGGATGAGAAGCGAACAGGGAGGATACGGGCCCGTTTGGGATCGGCGGGTGCGCAAAGAGGGGAAGGGGGTGGGGGTGGTGGTAGAAGATATGTCTGGATTGGGGGGAGATATCTGCTTGTCAGCTGAAATCCCAATGTAGACCATGAAGAAGACATACCTTCATAGCCCACAACTCTCACTTTCCCACCTCCTACTCGAAGACCTTCGCTTTTACTCCCATTGACGCGGATCTCCATCCTCCCCCTGACTTCTCCGCCCTCGACGACACACTCCCGCTCAAGCACCACATCGACCTCGACCCTTGCTCGCCGCTTCCTTGCCGCTTCCAGCTTGACCTTCTCCGCTCCTGCCCCTCCGGTCGCTTTCCACGCCTCGAGTTCTGGCGGGGGAAGTAGCTTGCCCTGGCTGAGCCGGCGCGACTTGTTGCCGAGCATGATCCCCAGCTCGGTGCTGGCCCGCTGACCGCCCGATCCGGGATGTAGGAGCGTGCCATACCGCGCTAACGTAGCCCCTTCGGAGAGTGACCGGACGTGCGGCGGCCGGTGATGTTGGTGCGTTTCGGTACTGTAGCTCCATGGACGCGCCTTGAGATCCTCGTCGTCCTGCATCGTCAAGCGCGGTTGAGGGTGCTGGGGGTGCTGAGCGAGACTCCCGACGGGAGGGGTGGACGCGATGGAATTGGCGGACCAGATCCCGTCCGCCGAGTACGCGAGCATCTTGCCTCCTTTCTCGGCGACGAAGAGGGCATGGTTTTGCGAGTGGATGCCGGTAGAGGGGTCCGATATCCGCTTGGGATCGGCAGAGTACCGCAGTTCCGGGCCGTCCGGGTAAAACCCGTTGGGAGGTTGCGACTGGGACCGGGCGAGTGCGGCGGAGGGAGGAGGGTGGTGAGATGAGGGACGGTATGAGGAGTCGGGGCGGTATGGGGGATCAGGGAAGGAGGTGGGCATGAAGTGGTGGCCGGAGTCAGAAGGGCTGGGCTCGTGTGTCTGAGGAGAGAGAGCCGCGTGGGCCGAGATGGTCGAGACGGTGTGACTCCGCTCGCGAGAGGGACGCCGTTCAGGCTGAGTCGCCTCCTCTGCTTCCTCCCGTTCCCCATCGTCTCCCGATAGAGGCTGGTACTTTCCCCCCGAAATCGTCTCGTGTCCCCGAGCCGAGAGACGACGGAGCAGCTCTGAGCTCCGACTCTTCTTTATCCGACTCCCGATAGTGCTCGCCGACGCATTAGACAAGTTCCGCCTCAGGTTGCTGTCCGCTGATTCTCCCCGATGATTCTCGGGGCGACTGCCGCTGCCGCTGCCGATCGAGCCATCCTGCCGATCCTCAGGACGAGACCTCAGAGGCGACGACCGAGTAGGGGATGGAGCGAGCGCCGAGAATGACGCAAAGCCCTTGGAGCTTGCCCCGCGATGATGTGTTGGCCGGAGAGCTACCTTGGGCTGGTAGTGGTTGGATCCGGATGCCTTGGAGGGGGACGCTTGTTGTTGGTATGCCCGTGGAGAGGGGAGAGGGCGGCTGGGGGAGGTGGGAGGGGAGACGATAAAGTCTGTACTAACTTGGGTGGTGGACACCGATGGCGGCGAGAGGGAGGCGTTGCTGATGCCCAGCCCGGACCCGGTAGATAGGCGGTGGACGAGCTGAGATGTTGACATTTCCGCAGATCGGTCCGACATTTCCGCAAGCGTAGGGAGAAGAGGACGCTCAAAGAGCTATGCGTAGGGCGAGCGCCGATGGCGGTCGTGAAACGACTAGGGCTGCTGCAGTAGGAGGAGTATGAGGTGGTGAGAAAGATCAGACAAGGTGCTGAGGAAGAGTTTGCTTTCTCCAATGGCATCTGCCAAGGTCAAAGTCAGTCGCCCGAGAGCCGGGCTTGTCACCACGTCATGCATCTCCTCTTCCTTCCGAGCTGTTCCTCCGATGTGCCGATGTGCGCAGGCATGATATAGCCCGCTGGATGGTCAATATCTCGGGAGTGAAAGAGGTTGCTTGTCGGATGGGACAAGCTTAAAGACGTCGATCTGTTTGGTTCCGCCTGTGGCTTTCCAACGGAAGCGAGACTTGACGTCACGTGATCAGATGATTACGTACAAGACATCTGATTTCGAGATTTTGGATTCGAGCTCGTCGGTGCTGCAACTGGAGAAGGTCATCATACATCTTGCTCCTATATCCAAAGACCGCACCTTCAGCTCGCACTATGAGCATCAAGAGGAAGCGAGACGAAGCGACTGCCGGTCTATCCGATGTGGTCGCAAAGCCAGCAGCCGGGACGCGAGTCTTCGTATCCGGCAAGGCAGTCAAGGAGGGGCTCAGCGCTGGGAACAGGCAGTGTAAGCTGCGTCCTCTACAACCCGTGGGTGTATAGAGCTGATACTGGCTAGCTCTGGTAGCCTTCCACCAGCAGATCCTGACGCTGCACTCTGAGCTACCGCTGACCATCTCCCATCCGACGGTGGTGGTCATCCAGCATTACCTGGACCTTTCGCCGACGTGCGACGAGATCTTTGGAACATGGCAAGAGGGAGAGAAAGTAAGCCGCACAGTTCCTTCTGTGGTGAGAGGACAAGAGCTGACTGTATTAGCGCCGGGACGAGAAGCTGGTTGAAGCTGCAATCCACCTGCTAGCACAGATTATCCGGATTCTGACGCCCTTGCCGTTCTTCCGGAATCTGCTTATTGGAATCGTGGACAAGCTGCTGGCTCCACAAGAGCGATACCATGATCAGGTGAGCTGAAAAGCGCTCATGCCCTCCTGGAGTGGAGCGAGTCAGCTGACAATTGCAGCTTAGCAGAATGGTCAACTCCGCCAACCGGGAGACAACGCTCGCCGGTCTCTCCCTGGCCGCTGCAGCGATGCAGGTCGATAAGCCTGACCCGTCCTGGAGCTCGTCAAACAGCTCAAGCGGGAGATTGTCACTTCGTCTCTGGGCAGCACTGGTGGAAGGCGGTGTCGTGAAAAATCTGGGGAAGCTGTTGATTATGCGGAAGAGGCGGAAGGACGGTACGGCGGACTATGGCAGGAAAGACCCGCTCGACCGACCAGGTTAGTTGCTCGGAACTCGCTGTGAGGTCCAAGCTGACTATCAGATATGCGTCATCTGTGCCTCGAGATCATCTCCCCGCTCTTCTCCTCCCCCGCCTTCCACTCTCACACCCGCCAGATCATGAAGAACGTGTACAGCCAATTCGAGCAAGATCCTCCCATCACCATCCTCCGTCTCCTCAATTCCCTCTGGGAGGCGATCACCGCTCCATCACCCGGCACAGGCCGAAAAGTCTCGCTAGCGCTCCTCGACGAGCGGGCCATCGACGCCATCGCCAGTCTTTTCTCCCGAGAAGAGATGGAGCCGAGTACGGGCCGGACCGTCGCTGAGATCGCCTCGTCCTTCCTTGAAGGTGTCACTACCGTTCCTGGACGGGGTGTCTGCTTTGTCGACGAAGGATGGTATCCTCGGCGACAGTCTGACAATCCGGCAGCGGTACGGATGAACGAGATGGATGATGATGAGCAGCAAATGAATGGGAATAGGGAAGATAGGATTCGGAAGGGACTGCATAATCGGATCTTGTCCAATGTGGTCAGGAAGCTGGGAGGGAAGGTGGTGGACGATAATAGGAGGGTAGGGGAGTGGGCGGTCAAGCTTTTCCAAGCGTGTCCGGAGCTTGTAGCGGGGTGAGTCCGAATCCGAAAACCGGCCGATCAAGTGACCATGCTGATTCTGACAGGTACTGGCCAAACTCGGCACTCGCTATCGAGCCCCGCCTCCACGCTCGGTGGATGGCAACCATGTCTTATGTTGGCCACATCGTTTCCCTTCCTCCCCCTTCACTCCTCACCTTCCGCCAACAGGTACCCCGCGGTACGGACCCCGACCTCGTCCCCTTCCGCCGCCTCCCGCCCGCTCTCGAGACCGTCGTCGAGTCTATTCTCCCCTCCCCACTCACCAAAGCGCACATGACCAAAGGCCTACAGCACGCCGACCACCTCGTGCAATACATGACCGCCATCACTATTGCTCGGTGCCTGCAAAAGCTGGCGGTCACGCAGGCTCTGTTTGCCCGGATCGAAAAGGAAATCGGGGACGAGCCCTCCACGTCCTCTGTCGTCTTCTCCGAGAACCCCTGGACGCGGCGCCGGAAAGAGCTCGAGATGGAGTGCCGCAGGCGTCTGCCGGAGATCCTCGTCATCATCTCTTATGCTCAGAAATCTGCCACACTCGCCCCGCCCGACGCGGATGGAGAGGTCGATCCCACCCTATCCGCCAAATCAGCCATGCTGACCGAATCGGCTTTGCGGCTGTTTAGGCTGTACCACTCGACGCTTCCCGTCGTTGCCCAAGACGCCAAGTTTGATGTCGGGCGGCTGCTCGTGTCGTCCTCTTCGGTCAAGCAAGAACGGCGGGAGAGGAAGGATGCGAAAGCGACGGCCAAGACGGGGTCGGTCGTAGATGAGACGAGAGACGGGATGAGTTCTGCAATGTCGTCAGCGGGGACAGTGGGTACTGCGGGTATGGGCGGAGGGTTCGGGTATGCCAAGGGGAATGTAGAGGGGTTTGAGGCATTGAGTCAGGTACATGTTCTGAAGCTCCTCGGCGCCGTCAAGGGGTGGCAGTGGACCAACAAGGCCTGTAAGTAACCCGCCACCCTTTGTAGCCAGGTCTGACAGTATAGCCGCCTCGCAATATTCCTACTTCTACCATATACTCCAACTCCACCTGGCCAGCTCCAACCCCACCACCACACACCACTCTACCGCCCTTCTCCGGACCCTCCTCGTCGGGACGCCACTGTACGACCACGACCCCACAGAACTCTCCATCCTCCTCTCGTCCCTGCCCCGCCTACCCGCCGAGTCCGGCGCAGCCGGTGTCATCCAACAAGTCCACTTTCTGTCATTTATCGACGACTGCGTCCGCCGGTGTACCAAGCTGCCGTATCGATATATCGACGAAGTCCTCTCTCTCATCCCCGACTACTTTTTGATCGGGGACGAAACGAGCCTGCCCAGTCCGCTGCTCATGACGATCCTAGAGCAGTGGGTTGCCAAGGTCGGAGGACAGCACATATCGAGCGAGGCGGCCGGGGTGGTAGGGAGGGTCATTAGGAGGTTGATGCTGGGTATTTTGGGGAAAATGAGGGATACAAAGTGGGTAGAGGCGTATATTGGCAAGATGGAGGCGGTATTGCAGAAGCTGAGAGCGGAGGGGAAGACGAAAGACGGACTGGAGGGGGTCGTGGCCGATATAAGGAAGGATGTGCAGGCGGTGAAGGGGATCATCACGGATGCGGTACAGCCAGAGACGCCACTGGCGGAATTGCTGGATGAAGCGTAAGCTTTTCGCTCCTCTGACGGGAATGGGACGTAGCTGATACAACAGCGAGTGGCGCAACACATCATTCGAATGGCGTCTCGTCCACGTCGGTGCGGACAGCATCCTCCCCATCGTCGAGTCCCTCAAGCCCGAGCTCGTTTCCGCCTCTGAAGGTATTCTTGCGCGGTACGCGCGCTTCTCTGCGCTCCTTCTCGCTTCCCGCACAGCTGCGGACCGATCTGCACTCCTCAGTCTTATCCAGGCTGCGCTGTTGGCCATGCCGAGCGGGAAACTACGGACCTGGGCGAAGGATGCGGTGTTTAGCGGGTCGTGGATGCAGCAGGCGTATCTGAACGCTGCGGATCATTCTTGCCGAACAGGTGAGTTTCGCTGGCCCCAGTTTTGATCGAGGATCGAAGCAGCTGACGTGGATAGAGCTCGATAGTCTCGCTACGGTTCTGAATGAGAATTCAGCGGAGGAGAAGCCGATTGCGGAGCCGTATGTCCTCGAATTAACCAAGGCGATCAATGGAGACAAGAAGGGAAAGCATATCCTCGACGTGAGTTTTGGAAATACCGCCACTCCGGACTGAAGAGGGCGTAGCTGACCTTCCAGGCATTGCACCTTTTCCACCCCTGGACACGCTTCCTCCAGCCCTCTCAAGCCGCCTCTACCCTCTCCAAGATCGGGGCCCACCCCGACCGGCTCATCGGCACGACCAAGAAGGGCAAGCCTATCGAGGTGTCTGAACGGGTCAAGCTTGTCCTGGGACAAATTGCTGTTCGGGCGGACGACCCCTCACTTGCTTTATCGCACTTCGGGATCTTCCTCGATCTCGGTATTCTGGAGCCGCTCGTCCTTCTTCTGGCGAAACAGCGGTCCGCGCGGGACATCTCGACCCAGAGTGCCCTTCCTATCATTGATCAGGCGGCTATCGAGCGGCTCATTAAGGCGGACACGGACGAGTCGAGCTCGCTCCTCCAGGCTTTGGTCCTCACGTATCCAAGTATCGCATCGACGACCGCCGTCCTCCTCGCCGCGTCGCCGGATCTACTCAAGCGGCAGTCGAGCCTTGTCGTCGTCGCTAGTCTGCTGGACATCCCTTGTGGCTCCAGTGTCCTACAAGACGCCCAAGGAATCGCTGAGACGGCCATCTCGGCGATCTCTAGCTCGAGCGCAGCGGGGACGGTCCAAGCAGCGATCGATATCCTCGTCTACCTCTCGAAGGACCAGGTCGGGGTGGTCAATACGGCTCTAGAGGCCTTGGCCGAGTTCAGCCCGTCCGTCGGGAAGCTGCTCGAGCGGCTCTCGGCCGTTCCTACGCCCGCGTACGAGCAGGGTCTCCGCCTAGGCGGGATCTGGGGCATGGCTCTGAGGTATGCTGTAAGGGTGTGCTCTGATCTGGCGCCGATCTCGGCGGATCAGATTGAAATTATGCAGAGTCTGGGTAAGTTGCTTCTGTTGGGGGAGGGAAATCAGCTGACTCAATAGTGAGGAGTTTGAAGATCGGCAAGAAGGTGGATAAGGATCTGGACGTTATGCTGGTCGAGCCGGTCATGACTGCTATCATGCAGGACCGGCTTGATGAGGCTGTTCCGCTCCAGTTGGCTTTGGCCCTGGTGGACCGGTGCGAAATCAGGGTAAGCTGCCTTGAGACTGTTGTTCGCAGTGATCGTAAGCTGACCATTCCAGGCCAGCTTTATTCGTCAACATCTCCAACTCCTCATGTCCTCGACGACCTACACCGCCCTCTCCCGCCCGTCCTCGACCGCAGCAGACCGACTCCCCTTTATCCGTCTCTACTCGGCCCTCTTCCACGCGTCCACCTACACTTCGTGTCAGCCACCATTCATCGAGCCCCTTGTACCCCTCTACAGAGGTACCATAGCGCTCTCCGACCGCCTCGTACTCGGTATGTGGCGGACTTTCGAGTCCATCCGACACATCTCGACCTCCTCTATCCTCCTGCACTGGTCCCCGTCCGGCTCGCCTTCCAGTCGCGCCTTTGACGGGATCACGTCCCTCGACTCGGCCCGGGTCCTCGCTAGCTGCGTCGCCTTCCCGCTTCGCCGCAAGATCGCTCCAGTCGGCGGAGAGGAAGCCGAGGGCAAAGAGGCAGATGAGAAGGTGTATGATCCGGTGTTTGTCTTGTCGTTGTTGGCGGCCATGATGAGTGACGAGACGATGACGGGTCTGGACTGGGTGGAGGTCTTGCGCTCGAATACGCTCGGTGTGGCGTTTTGCGCATTGTCCAGTCGGGATGAAGGGATGAGGGATCTGGCGGGATACTGTCTTGCCCAGACTATCGATATCATCAAGGTCAGCTCACAGCACAGAGTCACGATCATACCTTGTGATTCTCAAGCTGATCAATCAGGACAAACCGTTCCACGAACGAGACCAGCTCCTCCATACCCTCCTCCTCCTGCGTCACGCACTCATCCCCCACCCTTCTCAACCAGGCATCACACCCCGCCTCCCCGCCCTCCCCACCCTTTTCCTCGCGCACGTCCTACACGCCCAATCGCAGCCCTCGCACTTTCTCTACCCGCTCACTTCGCGCTTCCTCTTCCAGCGCCCGGTGTTTGATGCGTGGGACCTCCCGATGTTGTACACGTTGTTGTTGGGGGATCGGGGCGAGAAGAAGGGGGAGATGGGGATGGTGCAGGAAGTGAAGCGGGACAGAGGGTGGATTGTGCGGTTGATCAGGGATGGGACGAGGACTGAGGCGGTGAGTAAAGCTGTTTGGAAGACCTGCGTGAGGGATGAGAGCTGATCAGTAGGACTGGACGTTGTTGAAGAAACGACATGTCTGGGAGTACCTCTCGGATATGTTCCATATCAGCGTGGATATCCCCTTCCGCCGATTGATCCTTCAGGTGAGCTCGTGCTTCCTGACCTTTTCCTGATGGGTGCGGACCGAGCTGATCAACAGGCAATGGAAAGTATGGTGCAGATCCCCCAAGCCGCGCGGTCCCTCGTACACCGAAACCACCTCATTACGTGGTGCTGGCTCCAGCTACAGACAAGCCTGCTTAGCCCTCCGAGGAACGCAGCGGAAGAGCGCGGGAGGTTGGTCGGTCTTGTGGAGGGGTGCGTGAAGGCTTGTGTAGAGGGCGAGGCGCAGAAAAGGCAGGGGGACGCCGCGGCTGGCGCGAAGGCGAATGTAATCGCGGCGGGCGGGCCGGATGCGGTCAATGGGCTGAATGGAGGAGAAGAGGGCTCGGAGGGCGATGATGAGGCGGACAAAGGTGCACAGCGGAAGGGCGGACACCAGGGCAAGGCGGCGTATGAGGCCTTGAGGGAGCACAAGGAAAGGGACGATTGGCTTGTCCGGACTGAGCGCTTCGTGTGTCTCGCAGCAGAGACAGCAGGTGAGCTAGCCTCTAGCCTCTTGCACTTTGTGCAGTAGCAAGAGCATAGCTGACAATCCCAGATCTAAATCGCCTCATCCCGCTCTCCCGCATCGCACACCTCATCTCCACCCTCTCGCCCACATCAACCTCCATCCTCCTCCCTGCGCTCGTCGATCGCCTGGTCCTCCTTACGACATCTACGTCTTCAACCAATCCTATCTCGGCGATCACCGCCACCACCGCAGATCTCGACCAAGTCAAGGAAGACACCATCGTCCAGAATCTCTTTTCTGCCGGTCTTGGACTCGGCGGGCCGGAGGGCGTCAAGGTCGAGATGGGCGTAGATGTCATCAAGGCCAAGAAGGCGGTGGAGGAGCTGGGGTACAGGGCGGGGATGATCAGTGGGGATTTGGGCGAGTGGGTAGGACGGGAGAAGAGGCGGTATGCGTGGGATCAGTGGAAGAGGGGTCAGTAGAGTAGAGGCATCTAGCGCGTTAGATCTAGATGCAGATTGTTGTTGGATCTTGCGTTAAGTACTACGATAAGCTGGAGTGCCCTGATAAGATCTCAACGAACCGACCAAGGCAAGATCAGAAAGGCAAGATCAGATAGCTGTACATGCCTGAGCCGAAAACCTGAAGGTAAAAGGATTATCGATTATCCACAGCCCCCGGTCCAATCATCCTCGCGTCCGACCTCGTCCGCCGCCGAAATCGAGACCGGGACCAAGACCGAGGATGAGACCGGGGTGAAAGGGGTATATATATGTAATGTATGAACAAGTCCAAAAGCAGGAAAAAAGAAGGTCGTTGGAGGGCAAGATGGCAGTAATCGTGTTTGTCCGTTTATAGGATCAGACACTTGTTCTTCTTCTTTACGACGGGTGGCTCCAGTGCGGCGACGATAGCCTGGGAGTCAGTGATGGTCTTGTCGTTGAACATGATGGCCCTATGCTCCGCCTTAGCGATCCAACCCCCGCCCCTCGACGTCTCCGGCCCCTTTCCGCCTATCCGTTCATATGCTTATCCATCACTCCCACTTCCCCCAGTCTTCCGAGCCAACCCTCAACCCTGATCTGAAACTCGGACTCACCTCATCAAACACATTCTTCAAACCCCTCTGCGTCAACGCACTACACTCCACATACTTGACGGCCCCCACCTCCCTCGCGAGCCTCTCGCCCGCCTCGGCCGAAATGGGCCGCTGCTTCTGCCGTGCCAGCTTCTCGACGTGGCCCGGGTCTTCGCGAAGATCGGCTTGGGTGCCGACGACGAGCAAGGGGACACCGGGGCAGTGGTGTCGGACTTCGGGGACCCATTTTTCTGGCCCATCAGCGAGAGTCCAGCACAGGAGGGGTGATGACTCACCCTTGACGTTTTCAAATGACGCCGGACTTGTTACGCTGAAGCAAACCAGGAAGACGTCGGTTTGGGGGTATGAGAGCGGGCGGAGACGATCGTAATCTTCCTGTCCTGAGGGGGTCAGCTATTGCGCATACGCGTGTGAGGTATAGCTGAGCGGGATGCGCTCAAAGCCGAGGTAAATCCCTCAATTCGCCGACACGCCATCTCCACATGCTCTCCCGGCCCATCAAAGGTCGCGCAAAGAGACAGATACTGATACGAGTATCTGAGAGTTTGACTTACCGGCAGTATCGAACAGACCCAGGGTGTATGGGTCATCACCTATCATAACCGTTACCGCATCTATTGCCATCAGCTTCGGTCCTTGTGTATCAAAGCCCTCCTCGAAGTCTCCTAGGACAGCGAAGAGCTCGGTGTTTCGATGTCATCAAAGACGACAAACTCACAGTTGTCAAAGACGGTGGGAACATATTCCGAGGGGAACTTGTTGGTTGTGTATGATATCAGCAAACACGTCCTGTTGTGTCAGCCATTGGCCGAAAAGCATCCACGGGACTCTTCCCTACAGCAGCCCATCCGCCTACACTCCCTCATCAGCTCATATCCCAAGCTCTGCGCCGTCCTTTCCCAGGTTCCCATCCTCATTCCAACACCGCATCACACAACCCCATTCCGCGCCAGAACATCCCGGTCAACGAGACCTACTTTCCGACAGCTCCATCCCCAACTACTACGCATTTGATCGTCTGCATCCTGTCCTCCGTTTATGCCGGTGTGATAATCGTCTAAAGGTCGAGTTTGCGGCGAAGCTACAAGCGATAGTTTACGCTTGGACAGGTGGCGAAATGAGGTATCCGGGTGATTTCTCTCGGTACAGTCGTGGTTGCTCGCTGCGCGATTACGCTGTGGTGCGCTGGCTCTCGCTGGTGATGTATACCTGCGGAGTGTAGTATATGCTTGACTAGATAGGTATGGTGTGAAGGCAGATACAAAGGCGTATCTGAATGGGTGTGAAGGGGTGTTGTTGGTCCAGGCTCGAAGTGGGTGGGCTTTTTGATCCCGCTAATGCTAAAACCTGAAACGGGCTTACGATAAGGTTATTACAAAAAGGGGAACCGATAGGGTAAACAACGTCAGGGATAAAAGGGGAAAATAGGCATGCAAGTATAGCTTGTTTCAGATAAGCGTGGCTGAGACCATGTGGCGGGTTTCAAGCCGAAGGTATGTGGCGCTGCTACCTGCCGCTCACAGCTGGCTACGGTGTACTATACGCGGGGCATGTGTGGTTGTGATACTGCTCATGATGTCCGCAGAGTACAGCACACGTATCGAGAATCATGTAAATGGATGCGCTTGAGCGTCCTCCCTAGAAAATGCTTACAATTGCGACTGCCATTTGTATCCTTACCTCTTGCTGATTCGACGGCCAACGTAAATGACCTGCTAACAGTGAGGACTCTCTTTGCTGCATTCAGAGCTACCTCTCACCGAGGGTGCATCAATGGTGCTCTGCCTTCCAAACTCTCTCGCACTTCCCCGTTCTTCTCCTGCAGCGCTCTTGTTTCCCTTTGTCCTCTCGTTGTCTCAGTGTACCCCTTCCTCTGTGCGATACCTCCTCCCATGCTTGGCGTCAACGCGACAAGTGAGAGGATGCGGTACAGGCTGTCCTTGTCCCGATAAGTCACACAGACCCCCGTCCTGCTTGATACTACCATAATTTGCAGCAAGAACGATTACAATCATCATGAAGTTTACCCCACTACTGGCGTTCCTCGCTATCGCCGCTCCCTGCGCCCTCGCTATCTTTGACATCGAAATCTTCGCCGATGTGCCCACTCTCTCAATATTCGGCGTGAATGGCGATCGAGCATCACTCAGATTCCGCAGCACAGAAAGCCGGGAGTTTCTCCTCGTCGCCACTAGTCGAGAGATGGAGGGCACCACGAATGCCCTTCCAGCGTTGGAACCGGGCAATGCGTCATTCGGGCACGAGTCGGATGGGATGAAAGTCAACGTGCGTATCCTCATCTCTCCAACGTGCAGGCAGTGTACAAGGCAGCTGATGGTGTGCAATGCCGTATCGAGGGCTTCTCTTCCAGAGTCTCACCCGCCGGCGACCGGCCTGGTGCGTTCGTGTGGACGCTTGCGGGCCTGGCAGACAAGGGAGCCAAACCCTGTGAAGAGCAGGATGGCTTGAGGCTGGTCTGTCTGGAAGTGATGAAGGATGGAAAGCCTGTTGCCGACGTCAAGCAGCTGTGTAGATGAGGAGCGCCAGGCCGGTGCTATTGAGCTGTACACCGTAGAAGATGTAGTCTCAAATGACCGAACATGACGTTTGCTTTGCGGGGATCAGTAATGCTGAACTGCGGATGAACTTAGAGTCACCGTTTCCCCTGCGCGCGTGGGATTTCCGGGCCTCAGTCTAGCTCGCACGCACAAAGTTCCTCACTCATTCCCAGGAGATACACTTCATCCTAAGCTCTCTCCGTGTGTGGGTGTACCCCTTCCTCTGTACAATGTGCTCCTTCCGGGCTGCCTTGAACAAGGGAGTGACTTGGGCCACAAAGCTCCCACTTCAGCCTATATTACACAGTGGACACAGCGTAGCATCCCCGGCGTTGTGAATCAAAATCTGTTGGACGCGTAAAGACACCGAAACCACATGAGGCTTACATCAGTACTGGCAACCCTTGCCATTTCTGCTCCCGCTGTGCTGGCCACCCTCAACATCAAGATCAAAGCCCAAGACCCCACACTCTCGATATTTGGCGTCGATGGTGACCGAGAGTGGCTCGCTTTTCAGAGCAACAAACACAGGGAGTTCCTCCTGATCGCCACCAGCCAAGACTACATGACATACCTACCCGGATTGAAGCCAGGCAATGCATCTTTCAGGCACAGATCGGACAAGATGCAGGTCGACGTGAGTAATCTATCTTGTCGAGTAGGGTATATTGATTAGCTGAGGCTGTGTAGTGTCACATTGAGGGCTTCCCAGCGAGCAGCGATCCGAACGACGCCCGTCCCATATCCTGGAATTGGACACTTGCGAGCCTTGCCGACACGAGCGCCAAACCCTGCGTAACGCTGGACGGTATGAAGCTTGTCTGTCTGGACGTGATCGAGGTCGACACCAAGGTAGTCTTGTCTGACCGCAAACAGTTGTGCATGTGAAACTTTAGCCTATACTGCGCGCATGCGAGTCCGAGTGCACTCGATACACATAGTAGACTATACTAGAGTGATGGCAGATAGCGGTCCGATTGAATGTATCAATAAGACGTCTGCTTCTCGCTGGGGCGGATCCCACCAATCCCCCTTTCACTCTATGGTCAACAAGGGGAGGTTGCTCGAAGACGGAGAGCGTCGGCGGTCCGATCAGCAGACAACGCGCAACGCGCTGTTCGCCCTGTCCCCTTGAGCGCTGATACACGTTCGGTAACTGCACTCCTATGTCGCTTGCTATGTACTTCCCTTCTCGAACGCTCTCCTACCCCTCTTCATACACTTCACGAATTGCATTGTAATCCCTGGATTCTCCTATGTGCTAGGTAACCCTTCCCCCCGCGTCAAGAAAGGAGCCTGCTAGCTGCCCCAACACAGAGGACTCCCTGCCCTGCTTTCACTTATATACAGCCAACTTTCACCCCGGCCAGAGTGAACTTCCTTGTGACTTCAGTGACTAACACTCAAGTAAGTGGCAAATCGCAGTCGAGATGCGCCTCAGTCCTCTCCTCATTTCTTTTGCCATCGCCGCTTCAAGAAGTCTTGCTACGGTCATCGTCCATATACAAGCCTCAGATTCTTCCCTCTCGGTTGCCGATGTTGAAGGCCCGCGGAAAACACTGTCTTTTCAGTACGTCGGCGAGGAGAAATATTTGCTCGTTGGCACAGACCAGGACACATTCGGCTTGAACGATCCGTCGAGGCTGAATGCCGGCGATGGCTCCTTTAGGCACACATCGGATGGGATCTATGTCAAAGTGGGTATTAGTACTCTCTTTTGGTGAGGATACTGAAGCAAAGCTGAGGGTTCAGTGTTACATAGAGGGCTTTCCAAGCGGGGATCTCAGCTCTGATGCGGACTTCGTCGTCACTGATGGCGATAAGAACGCCTTTTCCACGGCGTGGGCGCTTGCGAGCTTGTCGGATTCGAGCGCACACGTTTGCAAGGAGAAGGGCGGGATGAAGCTACTCTGCGGGCCTCATATCATTGATAAAATCGGCAGCGAAGATTGGCTCACTGAGGGTTACGGTCAGTGGTGTACGGGTCGCTAGGACATACACAGCACTCCATACACAGCACAACTACCTCGGCACGAGCACCAGATGACAGCCAATATGTACGAGTGTGAAGATTGATTCATCCCCTGTGAGAGAGGAGCCGCTCCCAGCCCCCATGTGAGTGTACCTGCCCATTCTGATAAGTTGAGCATCTACCTCATTTAAAGGCTTATACAGGCCCGGCAGACGGCCAGATCATCAGATCATGGGCAATTCTTTCGCCACACATATCCCGTGTTCCATCGCACCCCTAGCTCGTCTCAGTGGTGCGTACCAGATTGCCACTCACCCCTCTCGCTCGAAGGATGTCGGTGGCTCTCGAGACTCCATTCAGCAGATGTACAGCCCGCTATTCTCCCTTGCCCGAGCTCGAGCGCCGATACACGTTCAGTCGCTGCTCTCCAATGTCTCTTGCTATGTGCCTCCCTTCTCGAATCCACTCCTATCCCTGTTCATACAATTCACGTACTGCATTGTGACCCCTGAGTTCTCCTATGTGCTAGGTACACCCTTCACCTTTTAGCGTCAAGAAAGGAGCCTGCCCCAACATACGGCGCTCCCTGTCCTGCTTTCACTTATATATAGCCAACCTTTTCCCGACCGAGGTCGAAATTTCTGGTAACTCAGTCTCCTTGTAAGTCAGCTAATCAACCCTGAAAATCGCTACCGATATGCGCCTAAGCCCTCTTTTCGTATCCCTTGCCATCGCAGCTCCAGGCATCCTTGCCAGCGTGATCGTCCAGATGACAGCCGAAGACTCATCCCTTACGATCTTCGGCATCGAAGGCGGGCGCAAGAACCTAGCTTTCCAGACCACCGACGACACGAAATACATCCTCACCAGTACAGACCAAGAAGAGGCGGGCATGGAGACCCGCCTAAAGTTGAAAGCAGGAAATGCTTCTTTTAGGCACACATCGGATGGGAAATATGTCAACGTGGGTATTCCTTCTTGGCAGGAAAGCGAAGCGCAGCTGAGGTCATTTAGTGCCGGATTGAGGGCTTCCCGAGCGGTGATCTCACCGCGAACAAAGACTTCGCGGTCCATGTCGAACATTACCGCGAAGTCTACACGACCGCATGGAACCTTGCCAGCCTGTCGGACACGTCCGCACAGCCGTGCGCAGAAAGGGCCGGGATGAAGCTGGTCTGCGGGGAACATTTCAAAGCTGGCGGCGGAGACGGAGACGGAGACCGCCCGCCTGAGCTGGCTGGGGGCGCCGCTGGTCAGGGGTGTACGCGTCGCTGATATTGAGCACTTGTACCCCTCCCTGAGCTGTCGATCTACGTAGCAGCCAGTATGTAAGGACAATACGTATGCCCCGTCTGACGGCAAGAGGACATGCCTCCTCTGTCTCTCCACACCGCTATCGCTCACAGAAGATAGAAAACCTACAGCCGCAGCTTCCGGGACGGCGCCACACTTGAGCAACTGAGCCGTCGGCCGTCCTTTCGCCGCACATACCCCGTGTTTCATCGTACCCCTAGCCCGTCTCATTGGTGCGTCTAGATCGCCACTCGTCCCTCTCGCTACCTCGAAGGATGTCGGTGGCTCTCCCTTCAGCAGCCAGCCCGCTATTCTCCCTCTCCCCTTGAGCGCTGATACACGTTCTGTTGCTGCTCTCCTATGTCGCTCGCAATGTGGCTCCCTTCTCGACCGCGCTCCTATCTGTCTCCATACATATCAGGTACTGCATTGTAACCCCTGAGCTCTCCTATGTGCTAGGTACAACCTTCACCCCACCGTCAACAAAGGAGCCTGCCCAAAAATAAAGCACTTCCTGCCCTGCTTTCACTTATATCGAGCCATCCTCCCCCCGCCCGAGTCGCATTTCCCTGTGACTGAAGTAAATAACACTCAAGTAAGCAACAAACACCCGGAAATCGCAATCGACATGCGCCTTAGTCCTCTTTTCGTATCTCTTTTCATCGCCGCCCCAGGCGCTCTGGCCCTCATCGTTCAGATGAAAGCCGAAGATTCCTCCCTTACGATCTTTGGCGTCGATGGCCCGCGCGATCACCTCGATTTCCAGGGCAAGAAGGCAGAGGACTACCTGCTCATCAGTCCGGACAAAGACCCCTTAGGGAACAAATTGAAGGCGGGAAATGCCTCTTTCAGGCACACAACCGGTGAGAAGCATGTCGACGTGAGGCCTCTTTGGTGAGGTGGCCACCTCACAACTCCATTCCAACATATAGGGGTTTTTAAGTTTGGCCAGCACGCTGTAGGGGTTCTTGAGCTCTGACTAAGGTCTCATATGGTAGGGCAGTCCCGCCCCATCTCAACGATATCATTTATACCCATTTGTATATTGCTATGCATGGCAAACGATGTAATAAAGTGAAACACACCCAAAAGTCGCGGCTCAGCGAACTTGGTGCGAAATGCGCGAGTGAGGCGATAAATGCCGTCATTTGTGGCACTTTTCATCACTTTCAGCTGCCCTGCCCGCTGCCCGCTGGTACCGGAGGACTTTAGTGCGTGCTCCATACAGCTTTTCGCTGCTCGTTTGCCCCCATCGTCTCACTCCGTATACGACGTCCCTAATAGATGGGCCATGGAGGCAGGACGCATCAAATCTACAGCCGGTCAAGCTTCTCGGTCCCTGCGCAGCGCGCTTCTGGCTTTCCCCCCTCCCCCTTGCTCCCGCTTTCCTGTCCTTCTGTCTCTCCTTCTACTTTATCCTCTCGTACCGCATGATTCCCCCGGATAGACTCGGCCGTGGGGGCCCAAGGTGACCCGGTAGATATAGCGTGGGGTCCGCGCTGTACGACAGAATTGACGGCAGCGGTGCATGAAGAGCGGGGTGCAGCGGCCGCGGCGCGGGAGAATGGGAACTGTGCGTCAGGCCGATCGAGTGTTCCGGGGCCTGACGGTACGAAGCCGAGCTCGGATACCTTGATAATGCGATCGTGTGCGAAGAGGCAGCGTTGGAGGAAGCCAGCGGCCGAGTGTCTCTACTCACATGGGTCCGATCCCGATCATGCACCCTCGCCTCCGCTCCCCTAGCTTGCAGCTCTTCCTCCCTCGCTGCTGCCCCTTTCTCCTGCTCTTTCGTCCTTCACCTCCACCTGTTGAACTTCTTGAATCTTGACCCCGTGAGAAAATCCAGGCCTGGTAGGACTCAAATGTGCGAGACGTACTCGGCCGAGACGACATGTGAGCCGAGCTTGACGACGGAAAGTACCCTAATGGAAGGAGGTTTGATTGCGTGGCTTAAAGGATGATGCAGTTTGGAGGGAGGCGTGGGCGTGGGCGTGGATAGCTTGCAGTGAATGTACCGGTCCTATACTGTGCGAGAGCCGAGATTGATGGCGTGTATGAGGTTCTGTGAGAGGGACAACAGCTTCCGGAGTAATAACGGGCGATAATGTTCTGATCTCCATCGTTCATCGTAGAAGCCTCTTCCCCGGCATCGCGCTCCTCCAGCCCCGCCTTTGCCCTCGTCTCCTTAGCTCTCCCCCTTTTGCTTCTGCTTTCTGCACCTTTTGTCCCCCGGGCCTGGTACGTTTTGAACGAGCGGGCACCAAGTCCTTGTAAGCCGATCAGGTGAGTTCTTGGTGAGTTATAGAGAATGATTGCGTGGTGCTGGTGAGACGCATTGAGCGAGTACAGCCTCTGTGCCCTCGGTAAGAGCCTATGATGGTAAATAATGGGTAGCATAGCAGAGTGGATTTCCAGTTCAATGCAATCGATGACGTGTTGCCACCTCACCACTGCGGACGTCTTGGGCTTCGGACGGCCGCTACTGGATCTATTCAGACTTTCCGGAGGCTGAGGCGATACAGTGTCACATTGAGGGCTACCCAAGCGGAGACCTCAGCTCCAACAAGGACTTCCACCTCATCATGGACCAGGCTTATCACACTACGTGGAAGCTTGCAAAGTTATCGGACCCGGCTGCACAGCCTTGCAAAGAGTTGGCCCGTATGAAGCTGGTCTGCGATCCTCCGCTCGACAAGGACGACAAGCCCGCGGGAGGCGTCGGTCAGATGTGTCTAGGTCCCTGATACATACCTCTGCGTCATCGCTGTACTAGAGTCGTGGGTTCGCATAACAGTCGATATGTACGAGTAGGAAGAGCGATTCGTCTGATGCGCATCAAGCGTGGACTCGTACGTGGAGATCTGACAGGGTGTTGGCTGTTGTCTTCTCCACCGCTGTCAGAGCGGCTTGGGCCAACAAGCTGAGCGTCGGGCCGTACCTGGAGCTCTGGAAGGACAAAGCGGATCTTGGGGAGTCCTTTCACCACACATACCCCGTGTTTCATCTTCCCCCTAGTCTCACTAGCGCTCTAGCAGCGTCCCCAATCATCCCTGTCGCTCCAAGGATCACAGCTTTCACACAGCTGACAGTATCTAGTCCCTCCGTACCCCGTGGAGCTGGGGTATCGATACATGCACTAGTGGCCCGTCATACATGTGGACCAGGAGAGGATGGCCTATCCAGAGCTTTCCCCTAGATCCCCTCCTGGATCCCGCTAGCTGCACCGCTTCCTTTGTTGATCTAGCCCTTCACTTCTCAGTCTCTCAGCTATAAGAGGGGTTCCCATCTCCAGCTTTTGTCCGCAACGAGTCAGCGAAGCGAATCTCTAGCCAGCCAAAGTCAATCACCGTACGATCAAGCAAGCACCAAGTCAACACTGAGCCATCATGCGCCTCTCTACCTTCATCACCTCTCTCTTCCTGGTCCTCCCGGCGCTGGTCGCCGCGGACAAAAACATCATCATCACCACCAGTACCGGCGATCAGACCCTCCACATCGCCGGCGGAGCCTTCACTCGGCTCACCTTTGAGTACATGAGCCCTGACTTGTACAAGCTCGTGCAGGCGGACGATAGGCACGATGATGGGTGGCAAGCTGGGAATGGCTCTTTTGACCATGATGACCGCCTTGTGAGTGGTCTTTCTCAGCTGTCAAGCCCGTGCTCGAGCCCTTCGAAGCAGCAGCAGTGGCTGACCCCCCCAGTGCCACCTCACTGGCGCCCTGGACCAGACGGCCATTGACGGCTCGGGTCAGGCGTTCTGGAACATCGCTCCGAAAGCCAGCTCCGGCGCCAACAGCTGCAAGGCCGCCAAACTGGGCATTCAGCTCGTTTGCGGCGACGATGTGAGGTGCTGGAACTAGAGCTAGAGCCATGATTAGCTAAATAGTGCAGATCATAGCGTATGTAAACGATTACTCTTGCAATTTTGGGGTCAAGGAGGAGCCGTCCAGACTGCTCGTCCGCGCGGCGCTGCTTGGAGTCCTAAGGACGAGAGCGCCATCTGTCTTGACATCCCCGCGTTCGCCATCAGATCCGCCACTCTACCCAGCATTCCAAAATTTGCATTTATCCTACTGTTGGAAATCCGAGCTAATCAACTAAGGTCTATGGAACTATACTATAACTATCTATTCCCACCCAGCATTCCTCCGCTTTTACGGCATCAGAAATTGCTGATCCTGCTGCACGCTGCAGTCGCTTTCTCTACCTCACATCTATCACAACAAGACTGCTGACCCAGAGCCACCATGTCCGCCATGCCCACTCCAGCAGACTCCAGTGCAGAAGCTGGCCCTTCCCGAGCTCCGCCTGCTGCAGCTCCTCCGGTAGGTGCAGCTGGCGCAGACGGTGAAGCCAAGAAGCAGCCCGTTGTGATTCTGTGTATCGGCATGGCCGGCTCCGTAAGTTGACATCTCCCCGACCTGCGATCTTTCTGGGATCCGATGTGATAAGCAGCTGACACATGACAGGGAAAGACAACCCTCCTCCAGCGTCTCAACTCGCACCTCCACTCCAAAGGCTCCCCGCCTTATATCCTCAACCTCGACCCGGCCGTGACGCACATGCCTTACTCGGCGAACATAGATATTAGGGATACAGTCGACTACAAGGAGGTGATGAAGCAGTGAGCTAATCCTTGCTTTCCCGCGCTGCGCCTAACGTAGCGAGGAAGCGCAAGAGCTGACACGCTAGATATAACCTCGGTCCAAACGGAGGGATCTTGACTGCCTTGAATCTGTTCACGACCAAGTTTGACCAGGTCTTGGGATATGTCGAGAAGCGCGCTGAGACTGTCGAGTGAGTCCACAAGGCCAATAGTGCTCCACACAGCTCTCTTGGCCCCTACAGCTCATCGATTTCGCTCGACGCGGCCCAAAAGGAAGAGAAGTGCTGACCAAGCAGCTATATCCTCGTCGATACCCCCGGCCAAATCGAAATCTTTACCTGGTCCGCTTCGGGCGCGATCATCACCGATGCCATAGCCTCGACATTACCGACCGTCGTGGCGTACATCATTGATACACCCAGGACAACGAGTCCTGCTACGTTCATGAGCAATATGCTCTATGCTTGCTCGTAAGCCCTCTTCCTCTCGCCTCCCACGCTTCCCTTATCCCAACCCTTCTCCCCTGTCCCTGGTCCACCTTGGTGTCTCCATATTCGGACGCACTCTCTTCAATGCGATGCGCGCTGACCCACACCTAGGATCATGTACAAGACCCGCCTCCCCTTCCTCCTCGTATTCAACAAGATCGATGTCGAGCCGCACGATTTCGCCCTGGAGTGGATGACCGACTTCGAGGCGTATCAGGCTGCCCTGGCGGGTGCGGGCGGGGGAGAGGATGGGGAGTCGGGGTACATGAATAGTCTGATGGGGAGTATGTGTCTGGTCCTCGAGGAGTTTTACAACAACCTCAAGGTGCGTCTCGGTGTTCACCAGCACATTGAGGATGAGCGGGACTTATGCGTCCGAGGGCTGAGGCGGCGAGGACTCTGAGGAGCTATAGGAGGGAAAGCAGATGAAGGGTCAAAGCTGATACTTAGGCTGTCGGGGTGAGCGCTATGACTGGACAAGGGATGCGCGAGTTCTTTGCAGCAGTAGAAGAATCAAGGAAAGAGTGGGAAACGTGAGTGCTGTCAAGAATCACCGATCCTGCCTCGCGCAGCGTTGTTTGACGTGGAAGAGGGCCGAGCTGATTCGTGTGCAGGGATTACAAGCCGGAATTAGACCGTCTGGCCGCCGAACGCGAATCGAAAGCCGCCGACGAAAAGAAGAAGCACCTGGAGCGATTGATGAAGGATATGAACATGTCTGATGCACCCGGCGCTGGCGCCGGCGCTGCCGCTCGGTCTCGAGGGGGGCAGATGGGGGAGAAGGGGAAAGGAAGGGGAGATAATCCGTTTGGTCCGTATGCGCGGAACGAGCGGGAAGACCGGTGAGTTCTGATTGCGACTCTTCTGTCACTTATGGAACTCGCTGGATTGGAGGATCTGATAGATGGTGAAAGGGAGGTGGTAGAGCTGATTCCGCAGATATCTGGACGACGAAGGGAGCGGGACGGACGAAGAAGAGGAAGATCGGATACGGCGGCAGGAGGAAGATGAGGAAGAAGCGGAGCATGCGGAGATTTTCGATTCTAGGGATGTTCGTGAGTACAGCCATAATGGCCCGCGAGATATGTTTGATCTTGCCCGAGCTGATCCACACAGCGGCAGCAGATACAGCCATCTCGTATGGGAGTCAATTATAGCGAGAGTACCAGGTCATGTATATGCATGTCTACCCTGCACGATGAAACCCAAGTTACCCGTCCCAGCCCAAAATCACTAGTGTCCACACCCCATCCCTATCCCCACCCACACTGACCGCACTAAGCCTCCAACTCGCTCAGATCCAGCTTGGGCAACTTATCTCCCGCCTCCTCCCACCCCTCCCACCCCATCGCCACCCTCTCGAGCACGCCCGCGGCCCTCTCCACCTCGTCATTCACAACGACGACCTCGAACCCTTCCCCCTCCTTCCCGTCCGACTGGATCGCATACTCCAACTCGCGCCGGGCGGCCTCGAGCCGCTTCTTGATGCTGTCGGCGGTCTCGGTGCCTCGTCCGTCTAGGCGGGAGCGGAGGGATGAGGCGGAGGGCGGGGAGAGGAAGAGATAGACGGGGGACAAGGAGTGGGAGGCGGCGCGTTGGCGCAATTGTTGCACGCCTTGGAGGTCGATGTCGAGGATACAGCGGAGGGGGGCGAGGGCGGAGAGGGCGGCGAAGGTGGTGCCGTAGCTGGGGGTTAGCGAGTGGGGCATGGAGATTGGTCGAGAAGGGGAACGGAGCTAGGGATGATGAGGAGAGGTGTGGTAGACGGAAGATAGGCGAATTGAGAATGATGTGGGAATCTTCTAGTCTCCACATACGGTAGACGGAAGATAGGCGAATTGAGAATGATGTGGGAATCTTCTAGTCTCCACATACAGATCCTCCTGCAAGGGATGCCCTGAGACTCTGCTCTCCACGTCTACTCCCCGACCCGGCCCCTGCCGCGCCCTCTTGTCCTCATTCTCAAAGTGCTGGACTCACCAGTTCCCGCCAAACTTTGCCCATTCCAAAAACTCCCCTTCCCCTACCCTCCTCATAAACTCCTCCTCCGTCACAAAATGATACTCCCGCCCATTCTGCTCCCCCTCCCTCGGTTTCCTTGTCGTATGGCTGATGGAGAAACCGAATGTGTTTGGGTGAGCTGCGAAGAGGTGTTTGAGCAGGGTGGATTTGCCTGTTCCGGAGGGGCCACACATGACCAAAGGCTAGACATCAGCTCAGTATAGGAAGGGGATAGAGAGCGGAATTGGATACGATGATGGGGAGAGGGGAGGTGAAGGGGGACATACCCGCTTGACGACGTCTGGGTTGATAGGCTTGGGCATCCTGGATAGTGATCGCGTGGAGGCGAGTTGAGTAGAGCGGAGAGACAGCAGCGGTCTAGCTAGGGATAGCACGGTGGGCGATGGTCCTGTAGCTACTCTACTGTAGCTGTATCAGAGGGCGAGAAAGATGCGCCCAGTCGCGTCCGTTGCTGCAGCTGCCGGTTCCGGGGGCGATTCCGACGCACGGGCCACTCCGCCACTCTGGCTGAACTCCGGCTATTCCCGATCTCACCGAAAGCGGCGCACGCCTAACACTGGTGGTGTTGTCGAGCCTCTCTTGCTCCCAACCATCACCTATCTTCCCATACAACCTCCACTTCGAACGTCCACCCTTGTCCAGCGCCCAGCAGTGGCGCCCAGTAGTATGGACACCCAAGGCTTCGACTTCCCCCTCGATCCGGCTTTGGCGAATGAAGACGGGACAGACGATGTTGACGCAGAGGCGGCGGCACTCGAAGCTATTCGCGTAGCTATCAATAACAACAATCAGCACCATGATCACGGGCATGGGCAAGGGCAGGACCATTCGGGGCATGTCGACACGCTAGCGAGACACTCGGGCGCCAGCAATGCGCCTGTCTTCTCGCTAGAGCAGCAAGAAGCGCTGCGGACGGCGAGCCAGGCCGCGCAGGTCGAGAAAGCCATACAGAATCTAGGGAGGTTGAGTGGGCAGAACGCGTCCGCTTTGGAGGGCATGGACTTTCAGGCGGTATTGGGAGGAATGATCACTGGATTACAGGAACTTCAAGCGGGTCTGAGAAGGCAGGAGCAGCTGGCTGGAGGCTTGACTGCGCAGCTGGGGGGTGATTCGTCCGGTATGTCCAGTATATGAGATCGGTCGAGTCCCGACTATACCTAGATCCCAGCTGACACTGCAGCTCTATCATCGCTCGATCCGACTCTAGCCCAGATGTTTGTGCCCCGTGCCGAATACGATGCTCTGAAGCAGAAATACGACGTCCTACTCGCTTCGACGTCTGGATACGCCCCGGCTCAGTCCGGACCCATCGCGGGCCTTCCCGCTGCGTCCGGATCTGGGGCCCTCTCCACGCCCATCGCCGGTACTCGGAAGCGCAAGGCTCGGCAGTCCAAGCTCTCTCAGAGCGTCGGGCCCGAAGGCGAGGATCTCCAGAATCTGGCGGAGATGGAGGATAAGGCGCAGCTTATGGATGTCGGGCAGTCTGGTCGGAAGAAGCGGAGTATGCGTCTAGAGGTGAGTTCCCCATCTCCATTTCTTACTCAGTCGGTAGTAGAGCCGATCTGACCCTCAGCACTTAGTCCATCAAATGGCCAACCGCCGACTCGGCCTCGAATACCCCATCTCAGGCTTCAAATGCGCCGGCTCCACCCTCCTTCCTGATCCGGCTACACCGGCGCCACCCGTCCATATGTCCGCAAACGGGGTGCAAGAGTGTCGGCCCGATTTTACAAAGGGAATGGACGATACGGATGTGAGGGCGTATTTGGATGTTGTCATTGGGGACGCGTGGGGCGCTTGGACGGGTGGAGTCAGGGAGGACGAGACGGGGGTGGATATGCCAAAGGTAAGCTAATTGGATGGCTCTTCTGCGGTATAAACAAGGAGATGGGGCTGATATAACAGGTACGAGAGGCGGTCGAGACGTACTGGAATAGACTGCAAGTGAGTCTGACTCTTCGGCGTGTGTCAAAGTGGGGCTGACAGGCAGAAACGGTGGATCGAACAGCAAGCTCGAACGCGAGGCGAAATGTCCAAGGATGAACTCACGCGGAAGAAGCAGAACCAGTATCGCCGACAGCAATCTGTACGTCCCTCCCTTACCTTCCCTCCCGCTCCTCCCAGCCCCGTTAGCTCTTCATGCACAAGCTGACATGATAGCTCGTCGGGAGACGTATGGCAGCGTTCGACGCCTCGCCCTTAAACGCCTGTCGCCTTCGAGCGCTGTACCGCACCCTACTCACCATCGACTTTGCGGCGCCGACGAATGAACGTCCGGACCCGACGCGCGCGTATACCGAGGATCAGTGGTATGCTTATCGAAGGCAGCAGTTGGGTGGAAGGGCGATGGGGGGACATGAGGTGGTTGATATATTTTGGTTATCGCCAGCTGTAAGTCCACAGTCCCAATCTCTTTGTTTGCTTCTCTGCTGTTTCCACTGTCCGGCTCGATACTCCACGAGCACGATCGGTAGTCAATATCATAGGCTGACACATAGGCCCGCTCCCTCCTCATCCTGCTCGACGTCTTCTCCCTCGCCCGCTCTTCTTCCTCCCGCAAAAAGGGCCGTCCAAAAGCCCCTTCACCGACCTTCCACCTCCCCTCTTCTCTCTGGGACACCTCACCCTCCCGCCTTCCCGCCCTTCGACCCAAGGACGAGACCGGCCTCCCCATCCCCAACACCCCCGGGATCATCCTCTTCAAATTCCACGTCCACCCCCACATCATTGCCGCGCACCCCCTGTGGGCCCTGGGACTGTATGACGACCCGCCCGCCGATCCCGCGGATGTCGCCGCTGGACTGGGGAGTCTCGCGGAGGTCTTAGGCCAGGAGGTTTATGGTGTACTGAGAGCGAAGGTGGGGCGGGAGAAGGAGAGACAGGGGGTGCAGGAGATGGGAGAGGCGGAGATTAGGGAGATGTTGGCGCGTCCGGAGGAGGTTGATGAGGAGGAGGGAGAGCAAGAGGGGGAGGGGGAGTTTATCATTGATACCCCGCCAATGAGGTATGGGTCTGTTAACCCCGGCGGTCCAACAGGAGGGTCAGGGATAGGGTCACAAGGGTCACAAGGGGGCCAAACGATGGATTATGGGGGATTGACGCTAGGGATCGGAGGGATGGATAATGATTCTCTTGATGGGACGCTGGAGGCGGGGTTGGAGTATGTGGCCTTGACGCAGCAGGCGGAGGCGGATGCTGAGGTGGAGGCGAGGATGGCGATACATGCTGCAGGAGGCGCGGGTGGGGGGTCAGCTTCTCCAGCTGGAGCGGCAGCGGGGACGGGGACGGGGGCGGCGGCTGGAGGGTCAGCGCCAGGCGGGAGGGGCTTTGAACGAGAAGCCTCCGCGTCAGCCTCGGGAGCAGTACTCTTACCTGCCGGACCGGGGATCAGGGGCGGAGGCGGACAAGGCACCTCGCTCCGAGCGCGCAAGATAGGGAAGAAGGGGATGGGGTCGGGTCCGCCTGAAGGGGCAGCGATGCCCGTGCCGAAGAGGCAGCGGGTTGGGGGGATTGGGGTGGGCGTGGGGCTGGGAGGGGTGGGTGTGGGCGTGGGGATGGGGATGGGGATGGGCGGCATGGGCGGCATGGGGATGGGTGGAATGGGAATGGGAGGAATAGGGGGGATGGGAATGGGCATGGCGGGAGAGGAAGAGGTGAGGAGGGAGATTCAGGGGGATGCGGGCTTTCTGGAGGGGTTGTAATCTATCAGGCCTAGTTTGAGAACCATGTCCGTCAGTACTGTTATGCGGTCCACGAGGTGCTGTCTGACGGCCACTATATCATCCAGCTGATCCTGTCCCTAACAACGATTTGGCAACTGGTACTGACTATGCATACACTACGCTGTGACTAGGACGAGAGCTCTTACACCCCTCGCCATCTTATTATCGTCCATCAATCAATCAGAATTTGCCATTCTTCTCAAAGGCGTTCACGCCACGCGCGGTCGTCTCCCAGGACTCCATGTCTTTGGTGAATGTCTCCATCGTGGGCGTTGGGACATCTCCGGGATTGAAGAGACCTACAAACATGAGCTTGGCGCCTATCAAGATGCATGTTGAGAGAAGGTACAAAGTCAAGCTGTACGCACCTGCTTTGAAGAATGATGGACCCTTCTCTGCGCGCGACTCAGGCATGATATACAGGCCGCTGTATGTATCAGCGATGACTCCCCTGTCAGGATCTATAGTGAGGCGCTTACGATCAGCAAGTATCACACCATGCTCGAATCATATTCTCCCCATCCACACCCTTGACAGAGTGCGTCCTCGGCTTTGGGCCCTCCAGCTTGACCTTGTCGGCAGGTGCACCGACATGCGCAGAGTACCTCCTAGATCAGCACCACCGCTACCTCTATGGTTGACAGACGGTACATCGATCCTGCCCATCGTCTGCAGTCGACGCAGTCTGCGGATCAGTGCCCATCGAGCGAGAAGCTGCGAGAACTAGCACTCACGACAGAGGTTCATCTGGGTCGGACGGGGGATGGTCACAGTGTACGCCTTGCAAACGCAGTGGCCGGTCACGGTGTCGGTATCGGAGGTCATGACGAGTGATAGCTGCAAGTAGGTTGTAGGATGGTGGTCTCAAGCGTGTTGATCCGCTCTAGAGGGCGACGATAGCGCATATGACATCATGAGAAGCGGTGACTAACCGGAGCGTAAGCGGATTCTGCACCTCATTCCTCAAACTCAATAGGTCCTGCAACAAGCAGCTGGTGCAGTGGCTGTTGCAGTGCGAGAGGGGTGCCTAGGCCTAAGCATTGCCAGCTGTACTAGTTGCATCCCTGACTGATGACTACCAAAAGAGACCATTACAAAACTCGACTACTATATGTATAGATCGTTTCCTCGATCGCCCGTTTGCCCTACTCCTCCACCTCCCGGTTCTTGTGGTCCAGCGCACCGGGCTGGTCCGCACCCGCCATCCTGTCCTTGTCCGCAAACTGCTCCATGGGGACGTTGAGGTGTTTGAAGTAGGTTGGGAAGAGGCAGGCGCACGCAAAGGTGGCGACGGCAAGAGCGACCCATGGCCAGATGAGGTACGGGTCGTCGATGGCCTTGGCGCACGCGAGGGAGATGGCAGCCGCGACGGCCGAGTTGAAGAGCGCCAGCGCATAGACGAGAGCCTTCATGCGCGCCGGGGACCGGGTGTAGGCGAGCTCATACGAGGTGACGTTGACGAAGAGTTCTCCGACGGCGGGGACCATGACGATGGGGATTTGGAGCCAGATGGAGATGGAAGTGACGGTATCGCAGGTGGACGCGTAGTAGCCGCAGTCCGACTCCTGGTAGATTTTCCACTGGACGATGGCGGCGACGATGTCCGAGAAGCAGGCGAGGAGGAAACCGATGGTCATCCGGGTCATGGGCTTGATGGGCTTGCCGAAGCGGGCGAAGAGGGGGTAAAGACCAAAGTTGAGGATGGGGGCAAAGACGATGATGGCAAGGGGGTTGAATTGGTCGATGAGATCATTGGGGACACCGTTGAGGGTCATGGAGCCCGACATGGAGTTGAGGGAGTTTCCGATACCGCCGTTTCCGAGGGTGAAGATGGGGATGAGAGCAAAGACCGCGCACGCGCTGATGGTCTGCCTGATCTCGTCGACGAATTTGTCGTCCCAGAACACCTTGGTGGTGTCCAAGGTGCCCTCCTGCTCCTGGATGACGGAAGGCTTGGCCTGGTCCCAGAACTGGTCACCACCCCTCCACATCCGCTTCCAGCCGCCGTTCGCCATCAGGCGACCAAACACCTTGCCAGCCTCCGCGACGACCGAGCCCTGAGGAGGGGCCTTGTAGAGCCGCTTGTAGACGAGGACGAGGACGATGGGCATGAGCATGTAGAGGATACCGGGCATGAGGAAGCCGAGCCAGAACCCGACGAGACGAGCCGAGTACGTGGTGGCGACCGCAAAGAAGGAACCGACGTTGATGCACCAGTAAAAGACGAGGAGATAACGCTGGACGGTGGTGGTGGGGTCGACAATGACGCGCTCGCCAGAGGGGAGGACTTTGAGTGTGGGGTGACGGACGGGAGATTGGTCGCAGAGGAGGGGGCCGAGGCAGGGTTTGATAAAGCCAGCGGCAGCGGCAAGGATGAGGATGGAGATGATAAAGGCGCCGAGGGAGCCTTGGGGGTTGGCAATGACGGCGGGAATGGCGGGGACGACCAGGATAACGTGCGCGACGGCGCCGACAGCGGTACCGACAGCGATGGTCTTGAAACGACCCCACTTGGTGTCCGAGATGATACCGCCGACGATGGGCATGACGTACGCCAGAAAGTTGAACATTTGGACGAGGGCGGTGGCAGTGACGGAGCCGCGACCGAGGGCACCAGCGGACTGGTTCAGACCGGCAGCACCGGGAGCAACAGCGCCTGCGCCGTTACCGCCAGCAGGAAGGGGACGGTTGATGAAGTTGTTGAAGGGGCCCTTGCAGCCGTAGTAGGAGGCCCGCTCGGCGAATTCGATCAAGCACATGGCAACACCAGCCCATCTGAAACGTCAGCCAAAGCCTCAGGCACGATCGAGACGCAAACTCACGGCAATGGTGCTGCCACCTTCCTCAGCGTCAACAAATCCTCCTCCGTGGGGATCAACTCCGAGTCCATCTCCGCCCGCTCCCCGTTCCCAGCAGTATAGGTGGCGACCGTGATGTCCTCCTCTCCTCCCTTCTTGTCGTCGTGGTAGTCGGTGCGAGCGAGCTCATTCGTGGGCAGCCCCTTGGGGTTGACGGGTGCAGACTCGAAATCGACGATAGTGTCGGCGGGCATTGTGGCGAGAGGGGGGAAGGGGTCGTGCGAGCAGACTGGCGAGAGCGGATGACTATATATAAGTAGCGGATGTGCAGACGAGCTCGGGAGGGCTCGGACTGCCCGATAAGCGGTTCGGCATGAGCTTAGGCAGATCCCAAGAGATCCCAAGACTTCTCACGTCCGACTGATAGTCACAGATCTTGCCCACATGGCCCACTAGCCCTCTGATACCATGTGGACCATCCTCCGGCATCTCGATGACAGCTGTTTTCAGTGCAGTTTAGCCCTGTATAGCGCGATAAGGCGGGGAGAGGAGGGTGACAGCACCCTCCACAGGGATCTTAGCCCTCTTAAACGTACGACGATGCCGCAGATCGCGGACCAAAATAGTAACCGAAGCCAGGCCGCATGAGACAGATGACGAGATCCCGGCAATCGCAGATCCGGTGTTCCAGCTGGTGATCCATCCACCCTCTGCCGCCGGTATGAGACGGCTACCGCAGGATCAAGCTACCAAGATTAGGTCAAGATAAGATATCGTGCGAAGCCGCAAGATGTAATGAGTGGAGAAGGTGCGACCGCGATCTTGGAGCGGACTGGTCAACAACGCAACATCCGCCAGCGCTACGTATCATGTGATCAGAGCGGAAGCAGATTCACCGCCTCATTCCTCAAAAGCGATCGGCCGCCGTTCGATACTGCCCAGTAGCGTCGATGCGTGAGAGCGCGAGCAGACTCATCTACTGACTGCCAGCTTCGACTGACTGCATCTATCAAGCACTAATATCAAATCAGACCAATACAAACCTCGACTAGTTGATTCTTAGACCTAAACCCCCTCTATATCCCCCTCCACCACTGCGCTCCATCACTCCTCGCCTCTGGCCTTATGGTCCAACGCAGTCGGCTGGTCCGCCCCCGCCATCCTGTCCTTGTCCGCAAACTGCTCCATGGGGATGTTGAGGTGTTTGAAGTAGGTGGGGAAGAGGCATGCGCAGCCAAAGGTGGAGACCGCGAGTGCGACCCATGGCCAGATAAGATAAGGGTCGTCGATAGCCTTGGCGCAAGCGAGGGAGATGGCCGCCGCAACCGCCGAGTTGAACAGCGCCAGAGCGTAGACAAGAGCCTTCATCCGCGCCGGAGACCGAGTGTACGCGAGCTCGTACGACGTCACGTTGACAAAGAGCTCGCCGACCGCAGGGACCATGACGATGGGGATCTGAAGCCAGATGGAGATAGAGGTGACGGTGTCACAGGTAGACGCGTAGTAGCCGCAGTCCGACTCCTGGTAGATCTTCCATTGGACGACGGCGGCGACGATGTCCGAGAAGGTGGCCATGAGGAACCCGATGGTCATGCGGGTCATGGGCTTGATCGGCTTGCCGTACCGAGCAAAGAGGGGGTAGAGACCGAAGTTGAGGATGGGGGCAAAGAGGATGATGGCCAGGGCGTTGAACTGGTCGATGAGGTCATTGGGAACGCCGTTGAGGGTCATAGAGCCGGACATGGAGTTGAGTGAGTTTCCGATACCGCCGTTTCCGAGGGTGAAGATGGGGATGAGGGCAAAGACCGCACAGGCGCTGATGGTCTGCCTGATCTCGTCGACAAACTTGTCATCCCAAAACACCTTGGTGACGTCCAGCATCCCTTCCTGCTCCTGAATGACCGAGGGCTTGGCACGGTCCCAGAAGGCATCTCCGCCTTTCCACATCCTCCTCCATCCGCCATCCGCCAGCAACTTCTTGAACACCTTGGCCGCCTCTGCGACGACCGAGCCCTGGGGCGGCGCCTTGTAGAGCCGCTTGTAGACGATAACGAGGACGATAGGCATGAGCATGTAGATCACGCCGGGCATGAGGAAGGCGAGCCAGAAGCCGACGAGCCTGGCCGAGTAGGTAGTAGCGACCGCGAAGAAGGAGCCGACGTTGATGCACCAATAGAAGACCAGGAGGTAGCGTTGGATGGTAGTGGTAGGGTCCAGGATGACCCGCTCGCCGGAAGGGAGGACTTTGAGCGTGGGGTGACGGACGGGGGATTGGTCGCAGAGGAGGGGTCCAAGGCAGGGCTTGATGAAGCCAGCCGCAGCGGCGAGGATGAGGATGGAGATGATGAAGGCGGCAAGGGAGCCGTTGGGATTATTGATGATGGAAGGAACGGCAGGGACGACGAGGATAAAGTGTGCGACGGCCCCGACCGCGGCGCCGATAGCGATAGTCTTGAAGCGACCCCACTTGGTGTCGGAGATGATACCGCCGACGATGGGCATGACGTAGGCGAGGAAGTTGAACATCTGGACGAGAGCGGTGGCTGTGACGGAGCCCAGACCGAGCGCGCCTGCCGATTGGTTGAGACCCGCAGCGCCGGGTGCGACTGCACCGGCGCCGTTACCGCCAATAGGAAGAGGACGGTTGATGAAGTTGTTGAAGGGACCCTTGCAGCCATAGTAAGAGGCGCGCTCGGCGAACTCGATGAGACACATGGCAACGCCAGCCCACCTGGATTGTCAGCCTAGCTCGTCTAGGGAGTATATATGAACTCACGGTAACGGTGCAGCTACCTTGCGCAGCGTCAAAAGATCCTCCTCGGTCGGGATCAACTCTGAATCCATCTCCTCCGCCTGCTCCCTAGCTCCGACATCATACGTAGCGACAGTGATCTCGTCTAGGCCCCCTTTCTTGTCGTCATCGTAACCGGTGCGAGCGAGCTCGGACGTGGGTAGACCCTTGGGATTGACGGGCGCAGACTCGAAGTCGAGGATGGTGGTGGCGGCCATTTTGCGTGCGTGGGGGATAGTGAGCAGGTCAGACAGAGGGGCGGTACATAAGTAATGACCGCGATGAGGACCGAGGGGCAAGCTGGAAGGCTGTAACGGCGCGATAAGCCCTCGGCAGATAAGAATCAAGCTTCACGAGCTTCATTGCCAGTCTGATTGTAGCGCATGGTCGACATCCTCCGCCGCCATAGCACATGTGGGTCGGTTAATGCTCCGGCCGACTGCGCAAGGATGCTCATAGCGCTCATAGGAAGGTCCTTATAGACTGAAAGATAAGGTGGAGAAGAGCAAGGCTGGGCAGCTAGAAATAGGCTTCCAAGCAGGTGACGCAAGCCGGCATCATCCGGCACCGTTTCGGCTATCAGAAGGTCCGGCGGAGCGATCTTATCATCTGACACCTTATATAAGCCCATGCTGCTCATGCCACCGCCGCCGCTCTGGATTATAGCTCAGTGCCCAGCAAGAGATAGATGGTAGTCACACGACTCTGATATGTCATCCGCTTGGCAGCTCTGCCAGCCAATAACACCGACTGAATTGGAGACTACAGATGCGCCGCTTTTCGCGGGAAAGTCCAGACCGTTTGCGGGCCCCGGACTAGTCGCATGGGCGGTGAATGAGCCTAGCGGGGCATATGTACTGTATCTAGCTCAGAATTTGGCCCTCCTCCACATTGACCAGCATGGACCGGTGGAGGTGGAGGACAGACACGCAAGATAGCTGATCACATCGCCAAGAGAGACAGGACAATCGGATCCACCGGACTCCACATGGGACCGCAGGTACCGCTGACAATCTTCAATGAGCCAGAGCGAGCCAGCAAGGGCAACTGACACTCTAGCAAGAGCTATCGTTCATCACGCCGCTCGTCAACACCGCAGAATCTGGAATGGGACCACATGTATTGTCGGGAGTCGCTTATCGGTGAACCCGCGTGGGCAAGGTGTTCTGCTGTATCTGATAGCTGACATGTGACGAGCGTACCCTCGCAGTGATATTAGAGCCCTTGCGGTGCTCTCTTATCGGCAGAAAGTCGGCAGATACCAATCGCTACATATTGACAAGCTGAGCTTTTTGCTCGAGCTCAATGTGGCGGAGTGGCGGGTTGGGCTTGGGACGATGTATCGCTGCGCCGCCTGACATGAACTTCCCGAGCCCTGTCCTCAAGATCCAGCCAGAACAGCGGACTGATTTATTGCGTATAGCAGATAAGGCTTTGCTGACTGTACAACCCTGCCAACGAGGCACACCTATCTCACGCTTCCGAGATGCGTCCTCGCTGAGCCACTGACTGCCTCTTCGATGTCTGGCAGAATGATGACCTACCGAATAGCAGACCCATCCCCACAAGAATGAGTCCATGTATGTGTCATGGCGGATTTATGGCGGATAAGACGGTAGGCATGTTAGCGATTGGAGGCGCACACGCAAGGTGCGATCCAGATTACCGCGCCGCGCAGAAGTACGGAACAACGAGCACCCGTCAGCTTGAAGCGCGAGCAATCGCCTTAGTCAGCAAAGATTTCCCGATTTCCTTCATCTGTGCGCCCGCATGAGCGCCGAGAAGGGCAGGTACTTGCCCCGAGAGGTCGAGAGAGCGCAGCATGGACGTGGGTGTAATTCAATCAGTCATCAGGCTCAGCTATGGCTCTAGTGATGAGCTGTCTTTCGGCCCCTTGCTGACGATTACGAGCGGATAGAAGACCTCTTGAAAAGCCCCAGCTCCATCAGCCTCCTTGTCGATAGCGGATAGCACAACCAGGTCCCGGCAGGAGTACATGTCACCTTCTAGGCGCTTGTCTCCGTCGACCGCGCCGACAATGCCAGCAATCAGCAACCGAGCAAGGCTGTTGTGAGTCGAGCGATGATGAAGTCGTGGCTTGTGATGCTGGCGAGCCATGCGTTACCTCAGTAGCCCGTTCCCTCAGTAGCCCGTCACAACACGCATGGCCTGCACTTCGCCAGCAACAGGCAGCTAGATTAGTAAATCACTGATCAGCTGTCAGTTTGGGCCAAGCCTGAGCCAAGTCAAACCAGTATGTCCAAGCACATCAGCATTGACATGAGTATCCCTAGACATCCACCCGATTAGCCCACCTCACCGTCGTCTATCTCCTATTTTATACATATACACACATGCCCCCTCGTTAGACACCTTCCCGCTCAGCAGCAGCTCTCTCAACTATCTACTAGCAGCCTACATATATAGTCCCAGTCGTTCGTCTCTGACGCAAGGTTTTCTTTTACTTCTTTGCAGATATCTCGCCCGTCCTCCCCTTCCCCTGCTTTTCCCCTAGTCCCTCATACCAGAGCTCCGCCCCACCTCCGCAGCTCTTCTCATTTGTCCTCTCCCCCTCGTCCCTCGTCCTCCTCTTTTGAGTGGTGTTTTTTTTCCGCAATCACGGCTTGGTCGATTCCCCGCCTACGCTGGCCCGTGTCGTCCTCCGAGGCGGTACGAGCGGCGCTGGCCCCGAAGCAGAAGGAGTGGGGGTGGATGTCGAAGTCTGAGTGGTGATTGAGGGTGGTACTGCTGGCGGTGCGGGTGCTGGTGCTGGCGTAGGAGCGGGAGCCAGCGGGACCTGGGCTTTGGCAGGCGCGATAGTGACTGGAGGGGGAGCTACCGGTCTTGCCGCACCTGCGGAGGGCGCAGACTGAGGTGCAATAGGTCTACCGAGGGCGGGTAAACCTGGAGCACGGGGTGCTGGTGCCGGTGCGATTTTGGGTGGACCTGCCGCCGACCCTGCAGTAGGTGCTGTAGCCGAGGTGGCGCCGGCAGGAGGTACCCCCACGCGCTTGACAGGGGTAGGCGTCAGACCCTGGATGGCTGTAGGGGTGACTTTTGCGACAGCAGGTTTCGGGGGCTGAACCATACTTGGCGGCTTGGACGCAGCGACCGACCCAGCCTGTGGTTTCGCGATGACCGGTACTGGTGGTTTCGCTGCGACCGGCGTGGGCGCGGTGGAGGTGGGAGTAGGGGTGGGCTTGGCGGCGATCATGGCCTTGACAGGGCTTGTACCCACGACGGTCGCGCGCCGACGCTTCGCCTGAGGACATTCGTCCGGGTTGGCATTGGCTGGACGGACGAGCGGTCCTTTTGGCGTAGGCCGAGCCGGAGCAGTCGACGCAGCGATAGAGTTGGCGCGCTGGTGCGAAGGTCCGGCTGCCCCAGGTGCAGAGACTGGAGCGGCCTTCCGCGCCGCCGCGGTGGTAGCAGCCGGCGCGGCAGGTTTGGGTCGAGCTCCCGGAGCTGAGTCGGGCCGTGGCGGGGCCGAACCGATCGGTGTGGAGCCCGGCGAGATCTTGCGTGGAGTGGCATGGAACGCGCTCCCGAACTGGTCCTTCCTCGTATGGATATGCGAGACCTCCTGGTTCTTGATGACTTCCATGAACTATACGTCAGCCTCATCCCCTAAGACTATAGGACAGACTTACCCGTTCGACAATATCATCATTCAGCATCGCCCAAATAGGACTATCCGCCAGACTCTTGAACCGATCCCGGAGGAACCGCGCATCCGTCAACCTGATCCAGAGACCGACAACTCCGGGATCGTACCCCATATTCGGCTCGGTCGGCTCCGGGACCTCCTTGGTAGCTTGGAAGGTATGGCCAGAGGGGTTGACAATGGTGTGGTGCTTGCTCTTGGGGATACCGAGTGCGAGGAGGAGGGTAGTAACGTTGACTATGGGTCAGCTTGACTCCGAAGACCAGAAGAATTGAACATACCGTAGTCGCTATCAATACGCCTGATGAGAACAAACGTTCCGAGTCTGCTTGTGTGGTGTAAGAAGTAGACGGGAATCATGCTGATCACGCTGATCTGAACGCCATTGCACAGCGGGACGGCGATGTGAAGGTTGTTGGGGCGAGGTGCAGGCTTGGGTGCGGGCGCGGCGACAGCAGTAGCCGGAGCTGACGCCGGGGCCTGGGCGGCAGTGGCAGCCGGAGCGGGGGTTATGGTGCGTGCGGGAGTAGGTGCTGGCGTTGGCTTAGCCGACGTCGACGCAGCAGGTGCCGGAGCGATGGGGATTGGCGCCGACGATACCGCTTTGGCGACCGTGGGAGGCACCTCCGCCGTACTTCCATCCATGGCCACATCTCCCCCTTGCGCCGGGACAGGCATTGGCAGCATCGGCGGCGCCGAAGCGGGATACATGCCCATCATCTCCTCCATCCCTCCCATCCCCATGCCCATTCCCATCTGCATCCCCATATTGACCCCATCCCAACGGATAGGCGGACTGCGCAGCGCACGCGGATCCACCGCGCTCGGCATATCCTTGAGACTGAGCATGCTCATCGAGTGAAGCGCGAGGGGGCTCATCGCGCCGGAGGAGGGTGGGTAGAGTGATTCTGTCGATCCGGTGCCCCATGTCCCTGTACCGTCGGCACCGCTAGCACCGTACTCCCAGGACATGCGAGTATTTCCATCCGGGGACGAGGCGATCCTCGCTCGGTACGCCTCGAGGAGCGCCCGCTTCTGCTCCGCCTTTTCCCGCGCGGCAAGGCGGCGTTCCTCCTCTTTTGCTTCTGCCTCCGCTACCGCCCGCTCAAAGTCCGCCGTCCCAATCGCGTCTATCCACTCTTGGTCTTGCCCGTCCTCTGCGGTATTGACGGGTAGCAGACCGAGCGGCGATTCCGTGAGAGGGGGTGTAGGCGGAGTTTCCGTAGGTGGTGGGATGGTACTCGATTTTCGACGGCGGGTGGAGGGACGGGTGGATCGGGTCCGAGGTGTCCCCGACCCCGTTGAAGCCTTGACCGGACTCTCCGCCCTCGTCATGAACCCCACCGCCACGCCGATCTTGCCCAAACTCTCCCTCCGACGATGATGAGCCGTCGTCGTGTTCCGGCCCCTCGCCTTCTTTCCCCTCTGTGGCGTCTTCTCGACCGGGCAGAGGGGATGATACAGCCCATCTACATCTTCCACCGTGATACTCTCTGGGCCCTCATACTCCCCCTCCGCCTCCTGATCATCAAGAAGCACCTCTTCCGACCGCGTCGTATCCGCCGACGAAGCGCGAGAAATGTCGTGCGAGCCAACAATGGAATCTGGCTCCTCATCGCACTCCGTCAGGCCGGGTGAGGGGTAATCGACCAGCTCCTCCTTGACTGGGAAAGCGGTCGATACGGCGGCGTTGATCGCCCATTCCGCAGTATGCCGCCGCCGGTCGTGGCCGGGAGAAGGGACATCTCCAGCCTGCGAAACGTCCTCGACATCCGAAAGGTCGTCAGGGTCGGCACGGACCGGTCCCTCGCCCGACTCGTCCAGCCATGCAGAGTCGTCAATGTCCATCGAATCATCTTCGAGGGTAGTGTGGTGCCGAGGGAGGTGTTGAGTGGGTGATAAGTCGGAAGGAAGGGGGACGGCGAACCGCAGGACGGGCGACGGGACGGGCGAGGACGAATGCGCTAGCCAGGCGTTGAGGGGGAGGTATGACTCGCCAGGTCTGAGTCTGGGAGCCGCCGTCGAGGTAGATTCCGCGATGGATGAAGCATCCGAAGCGAGCGGACGATTGTCCAGCCGGTTAAGCTCCAGCTGATCCGTCTCCATCACGTCGTCCGCGAGACCAGGCGGGAAGAGGACCCGCAGAGCATCCGTCGTCTCCTTGACCTTCGCCTCTGCCTCCATCTCCGCCGTCGTCCAGATGCGCACCTCCTCATCGTCCGCTCCGGCGCGAATGAGCACTCCGCTCTCTTGCCCATAGTCCAGATCCCGCATTTCGTCGTCCGAAGAAGAGGAGGAGCTTTCCATGCCGTACTGATCCAGCTCGCGTGAGCGGGACCGGTCGACCCAGGAAGTATTGTCGAGGGAGTGGGTAGGGAAGGGTGGGACGTGTGGTGATGCCGGGCAGATCGGGAAGGGGGATGATGTGGCATGTGGCGAGGAAGGGAAGAAGAGCTCCTTGAACGGTGAGCCCTGAGGAAGACGAGCGAGGTGGGGAAAGCGAGGCGAGTTCGTGATTGATACAGGAGCAGGAGGGGGACGACGGAGTGGTCGATTGAGCCGAGGGAAGCGGGACGTGGATGCAGTGGTGGGTGTCTCCTCCTCCGAATCGGAAGAGTCGCTATCGTCGGAAGAGTCGTATGTTCGACTAGACCGACGATTTTGCCGTCGAGGTGGGAACGTCCCCGAGGCAGTGTCAACGGGCGAGCTCTGCCCACTTCCCTCTCGACTAGCCGGGACGCTCGGTCCCGCGCTGCTGTTCCGGGAGAGAGGTTCTCCCATGACCAGCTCCTCCTCCCTCGCCTTGGCCGCCTCCTCCTTCGCCGCCGCCGCTGCTGGATTGAGAAACAGCCTCAGCTTGACTGGCTGTACACTCCCTGCGGCCGCCAGCGGTACCGCCTCCTTCTCCGTCTTGCCCTTCCCCTTCACGCCTGCCTCCTTCTTCTTCTCCTTGGTCGTATTGTACTTCTTGACCGGTCCCGGCTTTTTCGGCGCCGTCTTCGGTACCTCTATCCCCGCAAACGGACTCTTCCACTTCATCTTCCCCGCCGGCGCCAGGTAGTATACCGTTCCTTTTGGCCTCATTCCGTCTGCCAGCGCATCCGGGTGTAACGCCGGCTCGAGCACCTGCTCAGCGACCGATCCGCCGAGCTGATATTTGAGTATGAGGGGATGACGGGGTGGGACAGCCTTCTCGCACCGCTTGAAGTGATTCCGGATGGATGTTGCGAAAGGGGTAGAAGGCTCGACAGCGGCGGTAGGTGGTCGTACCCAGCCCTTGTCGACTGAGATACGGGCCATCTCTTCCGGGGAGAGCGCGCGGTTGTGCTGCGGGTCAGCCATAAGCCCCTACTCAGCGAATTCGATGGACGTACGAAGTGAGCCAAAGAACCACAGACAGCCATCAACACCTCATCCGCCTCGTCCTCCTCGCTGACCCCGCACTTATCCCTCCCTCCATACTCCGCAGGAAACGGACACGCCGTCCGTTCCGCTGCCATCCACTCGCTCCTGAGCGCATGACTCCGCTGGCCCCTACTCGGCCCCGCCACCGCCGATGCTGATATGGGTGTCAAGCCAGTGAGTGGCGAAGGTGCGTCCGCTGCCGATGCTGACGCAGGTGAGGGCGCGGCTGACGCAGAAGCCGAGACGCTCTTCCGCCGCCGAGATGGCCGGGTAGCGATGGCTGATGTCGATGCCGAGGCGGTAGGGGTTGATGTTTGAGGGGCAGGCGGGACCGCCGTCCGTGGGCTACGAGCCATCGAGACGGACGTGGAGTGATCCACCCGACGAGGGATCGAGGCAAGTAATCCAGTAAAGGACACCTGCTAGATCCGCCGATATGGGTAGATGGGGAGATGGGGGTAGATCGACCTCTCGTTGATCAGTGGAGAGGTTGATCAGGAACGATGATGATAGGCGAGGGACATGGGCCGATGATTGCGGACAGCCGGTGGCGAGGTACTTTTAGGTATTGAGCTTGCCGTGTCGAGAATGGGGTAGGTAGATGTAGAGTGGCGATAACGAGACGCGTAGGACCGCGTCGACGAGGATGTGTGTGTCGACGACGTTGACGCAAAGGACCCCTCCCTTGGCCTAAGCAAATCTTCCTTCTGACTGGTTGCCCCGTGACACCGCACCGCCTAAGCCGAGGAATGTCGCAGCAGCAGCCGAGCGTCCGAGCGGGATCCCTTTCTTTTCCTCTACACCGCCGCAAGTCCGTCAAAGTATTCCCTTTACTTGTCAAGAACAGGCGTAGGTGTCCAACGCCTTCTCTCTTCCCTCTTTATATCGCCTCCCGTCCTGATTCGCCTCGACTCGACTCGACTTGGCCCGGTGTTGACCGTTGACTGACGCCTAGCCGATGTTTTTTGAACGACGTGTCAACGCCGCGTCACTGCTTTGTGATCGGCCGAATGGGCGCTAGACGAGGCGGGGCGTTTCGGGCAGTATGTTGCAGGAGGAGCCGGGAGTGTTTGATCGCTGGGGGTCTGGATTTCAGACGATGGGGGAGGGTGCCGAAAGAAGGTTTCGGCCGTTCGTCTATGCTCTATCTTTGAGGGGTCGAGAGAGAGGGAGGAGTGTTTCGGATTATTCGTCTAACTATAGTATGTGTCTAGCAAGTCAGCCTATGGCGTGGATGTAATGAGCGTGATTTGAGAAGGAAGGTGGGACGCGGAACGAGTGATTAGGCAAGGGTTGAATGAGGAGGATCTCCAATGCCCGAGCCGAGCCGTTCCTCTACCGCCATTCCCCTAGATCGCCAAAGGACCCCCGTCTCGCTCGGATCACATCGGATGTTTCACTTTGTCCTCACCTCCACCCAAAGGACCTTGCTCCACCGATCATCTTTCACTACCTCTCTGCGGTCGCTAAAGAGATTGGATGACATACCGGTCCCGCCGATCTTTGTTCCTTCCTATACAATATTTCCTTCTTCTTCCTTCTATGTCTGTTTAATCCGGAGGCGAGTACAATCGATTGATGTCGAACGAAGCGATGAGAGTCTTGGGCAACAGACAGCCCTTTTGAGTACGGGTATGAGGAGAAACGAGGTATGGATATGTAGACAAGGGATGACCGCTATCCACGTCCATGCCATGTCGACCGTCGCCCTCCGCTGCGAAAAGCGACCCCCATGCAGGGTAAATAGGGTTCATTAGGAAATTAAGCTATAGAGAATGACCGAGAGGCGCTAATACCTCCCTTGGCTGTTACGCCGTCGATTACGAGAGAATCTGTAAGTGATTAAGGCCGATTAGGAAAATAGGCCGAGAGTGGTAATTCTAATAGAAGAGCGTCGATCATGATGAACCTTGGCTGGGATCTGATCTTGATTTCTGCTCTACCGTACGACTGCCGCAGGCAGCAGCAGCTACGCTGAGCAAAGGGCACATATCTCGCTGCTGCCCATTGCACGTTGGAAGGTATCCGCGGCCCAGTCGCGGTAGCTACTACATATTTGCATCAGATCTACACGTAATGCAACAGATCCAACACCCTTCCTTTTACTCCTCTCCTTCCTCCCTTTTCCTCGTTCATAGCTTAGAGGTGCTTCAACACCTCGTCAGCGTGCGAGACAGAGACCGCTCCCGGGTTCTCCTCGACAACGACGCTCTTGACGAGCCCGTCCTCGATGACGATGGCGCCGCGCTTGAGACGGGGTCCGCCAAAGATGGCCTGGGCGTCCAGGACGAGACCGAGTGCGTGGGCGAGGGTTCCAGCGTCGTCAGCGGCTGGGGAATCAGCTGTGGTCTAGCGGGTAGGAACAGGGGGATAAGGAGGGATTATCAAGCTCGGCATGGACCAGTATAGCATCTCCCTCTCCACACTCCGCCTCATTGCCAGTATAAATCCCAGTCAATCAGAAGAAACCACTCACCAAACTTGACGCTCGTCTCGCTCTCCTTCTTGGCCTCAGCGAGCATCTGCTGCTTCCACGCCTTGACGACAAACATGTCGTTGACAGTGACGACGTAGACGTCCTTGACGCCCTTCTTGGTGTACTCGGCGTACGAGTCAATGTAGGACGGGACCTGAGAAGAGCAGGTGGGGGAGAAGCTGGAGGTCAGCCCCGCTCAGTGTTATCCCCTTCCCTGCAGCTTCGGCATACTCCACGTGCCTCCTCCTCTCGCCCCACCCGCTTCGCTCAGGGAGACACGATGACTCACGCTCCCGGAACAAGGACAAGGACGTTCTTTCCGGTCAACTTGGAAAAGTTGACCTTGTCCTCCATGTCGTTAATCCTAATCTCCACATCCGGGACCTTGTCGCCGGCCTTGACAGGCGAGGCAGAAGCGAGGGACGCAAAGGCAGAGTGCGCGGTGGACGCGGCGGCTTGGACGATGGATGCTGTCGAGTCAGCTGGGTAATATCTCCCCATCCAGGATCTGACTTACCCATTTTGGGAGTGGTTGATAGACTTCGGGAAGTTATGCGAGGTGCAACAAGGGTATATCTACTGCTCTGATCAGCTCAACGCCCATCGCTCACCCAAGACCGGCACGGACGACTCAGCCCAGCCGGCGCCCGAGGCCCGAGCTGTGGGCTATGGCCAAGAATAGCTGAGACTGGACTCACGCTGAGACAGGTCTGACTGATACTTTTGATACGCCAACGAGATTCCGGGCGATACGTGTACTAGATCTGATAGACATGGATGAAAGACAGATAGTAGGGGAACTAGGTCTTTATACTGGCCTGAGCTCGGGTCGGCAATAGGAGACGCAGCGGAGCTGGTTGGCTGCCGGCGGCGATTGCGCCATGGCCATGGTCCGAGTGGAGGCTTCGTAATCAGATACCAGCATTCCGCCGGAAGGGGAAAGTGGCAGCTGCGTGCAAGTGGCAGTTGGCAGATCCGCAGGTGGCGGGATGAGGAAGGATGAGGCCACGAAGAGGTGCGGATACTGTAGGCTGATGAGACAATGTGACACCCAGATGATCTCCCAGCTCGTACGGCGTGAGTGAGCGTGGGACACTGCACAGTCATGAGGACTAACGTGTGAGGGATGGAGTCACAATCATCAAAATAGACGGGGAGTCACTGTCTGTCCAGCTCGACACTGAAGCTGGTCGAGAAGCTAGCTACACTGTGCATGCACTTGAATGAGACGAGGTAGCTATCTATACTACGCCGGTACTGAACAGGACTGACTCTAAGGAACCGAGGAATAAATACCAGAGTTACCATTTCTCAGGGCACAGGCCGCAGCGAACCGAGGTTCCGCGCTGATGGTGGTATAGCACCAGTACGTCCCCGGTCTTCCGTCCCCCGCGTTCATTTCGTCCCCTTCGACACCGAATTGGCCCCCCGAACTATCGTCGACAAGCTGTTCGGCCGCACAAAGATCGACGGCTTCCTGGACTGTGGCACGGAAAGGCAATGCACGAAGGTATGCTGTGACGCCAGTCAGCTACATGGTCTCTTACGAATCCAGCAAGATTGCAGCAGGTAGGACAAGGATTGGAAAGGGGTGAAGTTGTCAGTCTTTGAGATGACTCACTGAAATCACCGAAATAGTCCACACAGTAGCGGAATGTGAAGAGTATGGCCGATCCGCTGGCCCTTGCAGCGGCGGGTGCGGGATCCAGGCGCTTAGCTTTGGCGCGCTGAGCGCGGCGGACAGGAGGATTGAGGGGTAGTTGGCTACAGGCGTCAGCGGTCAATCGGGATCCTGGAAATCTGGAGCAACATTGCACGACGTGTGGAGTCACTCATTGCTGGATACGTTCCGTATTGGTCATTCCACCGGCTCTGGCAGCTTTGCGGGCTTTGTAAGGATTCACCCGCGCGGACCGCGGCCAATTAGAAGGAGGGGCTGTAAAATCTGGGCTAGACGCGATGAGAATGGCGAGGTCGAGAGCAAGCGCGACAATGAGGGCGAGGGTGCTGAGGCATACAGCTGCGACGGTGCCGAGGAGGGCGAGCCTCATATTTGAGGATACTGAGAGGGTAAGTGAGTAATGAGTGAATGAATGTTGGGTTTTTTTCAGAGCTGACGGAATACATGGCGACAGCGTCAAAGCTTTGTACCATATGCGGTGAGATTTGTTGGTAACAAGCCACCGGACATATATGAAATACAGTTCCTGAAATCTCGCCCGTGTCGGAGGTTATCTGTGGCCCGCGATCCGCCTTATTCGGCTCCGTTCCTGTGGCTGCACCGAAAGCTATCGTCCGTGGAGGTCCGTGGCTGTCAATATCACCCGCAATCGCCCATAGAGGGGATAGAGCCTGATAATGGCCGCAAATATACAGTGTCGACAGATCCGCAATACTGGGTAAACTACGGCTGAGAATGGGCTGGCTAGATCGTTCCCTTGAGCCCGTGGGGGCTGCTCCTCATTCCTTGAACAAAAGTTTGCAAATGTCCCAAAGAGGCAATTATCCCGCCGCAGCCGAGATCCCGAGAGCCAGCACAAGCCAAAATTATCGGTTCGATCCACTTTGATCACAAGCACCAGCATACCAAGCAAGCATGACCTACCTCACGCCTCACCTGGGATTCGCAGACACATCTTCCGGCTCGTCGACAGCCGCCGCACTACCACCCGCGGGAACTCATCTGCTTATCACCGACACCCTCGAATCGCCTGGTCATTTCGCGAGCTACCATCTCGTTTCGGCCGCTTTGCAAGCCAAGCGGAAGGCGAGTCCTCAACTATATCAATGACAAAGAATGGTAGCTGAAGATGTCTAGATCATCTGGGTGGACTTTCGAGGCGAAGGCAGGACAAGCTGGGAGACTGTGCTGAAAAAGCTGGTACATCAATTCCTGCTTCGGCTCTTTCCATGCCATGATACCAAGCTGACAGTCACAGGGAACACTGCTTCCACCCCCTCCATCACCGCTCTTCGTCCACATTACTCCCTCCGCCTTAGATCTCCAGGTGAAGGCATCACCTGTCAACCCCTCCCCTAAGCTGTTTGACGGGTCCACCCCGACTCTGCGAGCGACATACGATGCCATTTCGAGCGGTCTCTCAGCCGCATCTGGCCCTGCAGCAGACTCCGCCAAGACCACATCAACGGGCTCGTCCAGCGCACAGAGCCCTTTGGTCATCCTGGACGGTCTGGCCGAATTGCTCTGGATAGGGTTCACACCTATCGCTATAGCGCAATTCGTCCGCGCCACACTCGCGCTTGCTCGAAAGGTAAGCTCTCTTGCCGTACTCCATGCTACGACCCACGGAAAGAGGACTGCTTATGCTGTCCAACAACCATAGCTGACACGATAGACAAACAGCAGCCTCGTATCTACCCTCCACGCCGACCACCTTCCCCTGACCGCCGCTTCACCCTCCTCCTCTTCCGCTTCACCATCCGCGGACCTCTTAGATCGACTCATCAGACTGGGCGGAGGGGGATGGTGGCGTGTCTCCAACCTCTCCAGTGGGCGTAGCGGGGATGTCCATGGCGAAGTGAGTGTCTTCACTGCTTCTCTCAGATTTAGTAACAGCGAGCGGGGTGTTCGCCGGGCGAGAGTGTCTCATGCGAGATTTGCGCGGTGGTCTGGAGGACACAGCTGATTGCGCAGATCTCTTCTCACCCTCTATATCCTCCTGGGACCGGATCATATCCCGACGTACCCGCCCATCAACCCCTCCAGTACCGACTCGAAGCGAGCACCGTGCGGGTGTTCCCGAAAGGGACAGGTCGAGGGTTCCTATGAGCGGCGGAAGTAACATATCGGGGAGGGGCCAGGGGAAGCCACCTTGAAATCATGGTCGCCCGGGCTCGGAAGGGAGAAGGTCAAGCCACAAACGGCACCGAGCGCTCCTCGACACAGCTGCTCAGCGTGTTCTGCGTCGGGAACCTGGCGCGATCTCGGCCCGAGGACCGTGACACGTACGGGACTGCCTTTGAGCCGGGTGGAGGATGAAGCAACATTGGCAGACAGATATTCAGGATGCATTATCCCGTACTGCTTCACCTCCGAGAGATCGTCCATATCCTAGCTCTCTAATCCTTCACGCCGCTTTTTATCCCCTTAGGCTCCGCACCCAGCTTGCAAAAACAGCACTAACGGGAGGTCCCGCCCCTGGTGCCGCACACGAATAGTCGTACCGCATATCATGGACCGTAAAGACGGCTTTGTAGTGCAGGATGATGGCGATGACGATACCGAGGTGCCAGACCTGGATGTCAGCTCTCGTCCGCATGAAGGTGTCATGTGTAGTGCTAGATTGCTAGTGGACATACCTGATGTGAATGTCCGACCCTGTCGAACTTGCCGGGCCACACACATTCGGGAAAGTGGAAGGCGTAGAAGATCAGGCCGAAGGCGTAGCATGCGATAGAGGAGACGAAGGGCGCTGTATAGTTAGCTGAGTCCGACTGTTCCCGCCGTTTCGAACGATGCCTAGAAGAAGCTGGGACAGTGAGGAAGAGACATACAGGTGAAAGCGATCCCCTTGGTCCATCCATACTTCCAAAACAATTGCGATATAGGCGCAAACATCGCAAAGTTCAGGAAGAGGAAGAAGGCTATCCGATAAGGCTAATGAGTCAGCTGAGATCGCTCCAACTCTACTGGATCTGTTGTGAGCTTATTAGCTGATAGGGTAGGGCGCAGATCAGAGAGAAGCGAGACCCACCTTCATTCGGCGCTGGTTGAACCACCGCTGGAAAGGCAAGTAACTACCCAGAGCCCCGCAAGCGGCATTCGTACTGCAGTAAAGCAGAACAGCTTTGGGCTGGCAGTAAAATGCGTTGTAGACGACGGTTCCGAATGAGGCAGCTATGAGCCCTGCTCGGATCAGCTCTTGCCCGGGCGGTGGGTCGGGTGGTTCAGCTGGACTTGCATGAGATACCGACGTCTGTTCTAGTCAGCTTCTTTCTCGCAAGCTGGTATAAAGGATTTAAAAAGTAGGTGAGGGGCAGGATCTATGTGAAAGATGGAGGAAACTCACAGTCTACACAAGCACCCCACTCCATCCATTTCTTACTTGCGCATCCGCTCAGGACGTGCCATTCCGCCGAAGTAAACAAGCATGATATGGCCGCAGTAAGGTACAACACCAGAACGGCGGTATCGAGCGGGTGAGCGTCTGGCAGAGGCGTATTGAGGATGATGAACTGCAGATCAGCTTCTTCCCAGAGAAAGCTTCTCCAGAACCAGAGAGGCGGATAACGGAGAAGATAGACTAACCGGTATGACGAGCATGATGAACATGCTGGGGATGAAATGCGAGTGGATATTGACTTCCGAGTCAGCTTCGGTACCAATGCTGACCGCAGTACTAAGCTCACTAGTCTCATTATGCCATGCGAAGGCGGACTTGAGGAGGGGTATAGGCCCGGTCGTAGCGTGGAGAGGGATGAAGCGGCTACTCAGTCAGCTTCTGCTGGCCGGACCGCCCAATCAATCCACTTCCTCCTTCTCCCGCTCTCCGCTTTCGTCAAGGGACTTTCATCAAGGGAAGAACCTACTATCCAGTAACGATATGCTCGTTATTCCGCCAATCAATTGGCAGGTTCTCATATAGCATCAATCGCCGTCCGTGATCACTCGACACGAGCGCTTCGGCGATGGACGGTCCGAGCCCCTCCAGAACTTTGCCCTTTCCTTTCCTGGGCGAGTCAATGCGGACTTGTTCTCCCTTCACACCGAGCTCCTCCAGGACTTCCGGCCCATTTCCCATCCCCAGCTCTGGACTCGCCACCTTCATCCCCTCCACTTCGTCTCCATCAGACTCGTCCTCATCATCCATAGTCGTCCGCGAGAGCATCGGCATCGTCCTCATCCTTTGCAACTTCGGCATCCCCCCTGCCCCTTCCCTGTCCGCCAATCCCCCACCTCCCTGCAAAGCAGCCCAGCTCCCCGGCTGCCCCGCCGCGCCCAGGCTCTTACTCCGTATTGTCCGCCTCCGGCTCGCTATAGCCTGCTTGGCCGCCGGCGTCCTATTCGGGAAGAAGAATTTCGAGCTCTCTTCTTCTTCCTCCTCTTCGGTCGGCCCGTCCTCGTCCCCATTGGCACTCAGACCGAGCTTTGACGAGAACATAGCCGGTCGAGCAGCCATCGGATCCGTCTCTTCCCATCCCAGCCTCTCCCATCCTTCCCACTCGTCCGTAGGTAATACCCCTCTGACAATTTCCAGCACCTTCAATCGTGCACTTTCGACCGCAGCAGCCGGAAGTGCTAGGCCCGGCACGCTCCCCCATTCTCCTTCCTGACCAGAGCCGGAACCTGGGCCAGCAGGGGAGGTAGACCCCTCCGCCCATAGTCCTCGCTCCACAGCCATCAGCCGCGCTGGGAGGGCGCGGAGCCATTCCCTACTTCCGCTCAAGCTCGGCGCGGAAAGTACCGCCGGAGGAAGGGAGGCGAGGATATCTTCCCGAAGCCAGGAGAGGTGCGAGAGGAGGGCGTCTTGTGAGGAGTAGGACGCGTTCCGGGTTGGGAATGGAGGTTGGGCGAGGAGAGGGGAAGAAGAGGAAGTAGGGGGTCCGCGGTACCGTAGTTGCGGCTCCCCTATTCCGCCGTATGCACCGTGGCCGAGACCGAGTCCGGACCCGGTAGATGAGGGATCTCCTCGTGCACCCTCCGGGTCGAGCTCTTCGAGAGGTGTATCCTCGCTGAGCCCCTCCGAGGCTGAGGAGTCATCCCGGACTTCGCTGTCGCGCTCGGGCGTGCCCGATAATCTCCCCCGAATGGACGCTTCCACTTCGCCTAGATACCCCAAAAGGGCGGCCCGGAGGCCCAAGCCAGGGACGGGGAGAGGAGGTTGGGAGTGTCGACGAGGGAGCGAGGAGGAGGAGGAGGCCATTGGCTGGGGATAGGTAGAGCCGGACATGGTGGAGGACGGGCCAGAGATGCCCGGATAGCAATCCCGACGCGGTTTTGGGGCCAGTGCAGCTGCCTTTCCACGATTCTCTCCAGCCTGCACCGTGTAGATGCTGCACGATGCAGAAAGATCAACAAGATGGAGAAATGGGAGGCAAGATTAGCGGAGGGCGGGACTTCACCAAAGCTTTGGCTTGGATTGTCTGGGCTCTGGACCAACTCTAAAACGCGTGCCTGAAACACGTGACCGCCGAGTAAGAGTGGGGGAGACCATGGACCAAGCATGGGGCCGACAGCGGCTACATGTAAGTGCCCATTCAGCCCATCGACCAGACGGTGTATTCCCCGGTACCTCACACGGGAGGCAAAGTAAAGTTACAGTATGTACATGAAAAAGTTAGAACAACAGGAATCTTCACGCTATGCTATATGTATGCTATTGCTATGCTGTACTCATATTCCGCTCCGCCATCCCTATCCATCCGCCTCATCGCACATATCCGCCGGTTCCCTCCCATTCGGTGGTATTCTACCTTCCATTCTCCTTCCTTCCGACATCAGCGACAGCGAGAGCACCGAGCAGCGAACGCGTATGTTTGGGGGACGTATGGGTGTCGATATGGGTCTCGTCCAAGAATGAAATGAAGGGGGGGTGTGATCGTAAAAGAGGAAATTCGTTAAGAGAGAGATCGTTATCGAGAGCGATGCTTTTTTTTGTTGGTTTTATGGGGTTTCGGGAGAAGAGTCGTACAGTCCAGTCGAGAGGAGAGCGTCCGAGGCGAGGATAAGGGGGTTCTTGTTGGCGGAGAAGCTATTGATCAGCTGTGGTCCATCGAGCAGGCGTGGTCAAGGCGCAGCTCACAGGTGGATGGCCTATCGGCTCATGTACCCCTCATAGGCACGATCAAGTGCGGTACCGCTTCTGAGGTCGTACATTCCCCGAGAGCCGCTGATTGTGCTGGCAGGGAAATGGTTCGTTCCGGAAGCGAGGCCCGACAGCCCCCGCCCGAATGGCAAGCTCGCGGCACTCGCATACGCTTGGGGACGCGGGTCGGGATAGTTGAATGTTCGATCTTGATGTCAGCTATGCCATTTGTCTACCTCAAGCAGTATTGGCCAGCTTACCGGAATTGGACGGGTGGTCCGGGAAGCACTTCATGCACAGGGTCCGACGGCGCCAATCTGTTCAGTCAGCTAGTTCTTGACATCAAGCAGAAGGACATACTGATGAACAGGCATGTCGCGCACTGCCAATCCCCCGCCGAGCCGAGCGGCGGCCCAGGCTGCTGTCCGCTCCTCTGCTAGATGTTTAGCTTGCCTCGAATTACCATGAAATGAATTGAACATACTGATGGATCGTCGATATTCTTCCGTACACCGCACCTGATCAATCAGCTTCATCCTATCGCAGTGGCAAAGCCAAACTTACAATTTGCATTCCGGGTTCCTCGCGAAGTTCAGGAAGCGGCAGTCCACGCGAGGACAGACTAGCCCCATTAGCTCTCCCGCTATCAACAGTACTAGTGGTGCTGTTGGAGAGGAGGCTAGCTACGGTGGTGTCAATAGGAAAGGGAGAAGGGGTGGAGTTGCCGGAACGAAAGAAAGGGGACTCACTCCAATCAACAGAGCTGATACCGTCCTGCGAGTAGAGGTCGTACGAGGAATGAGTGGAAGGCCGGTATTGGTGCTGTTGGTATGCTTGTCGTTGCACTTGGGCGGCCAGACTGGTCTGCTGATAAGGCCAGTCGAGATAGTCGGAACTTGGGATGATGCCACTGTCCCGAGTGGCTTGGGCGACGGGCTGCCGCGGCGCAGGAGAGCGAGCGCTGCGGTCCCAGATGGAGCGGATCTCGGGCTGGACGAGTGACCGAATGTGAGCCGGAAGGTTTGGCTCGTTTGGGCTGGGAACAGGGAGATGGCCCCAAGCCCTCTGGGAAGACTGAGTGATGTCGAGGGCGGGGTGATCGGCGTGGTAATCCCGAGGATCGATCGCGTGGTGGAGGTCATCCCAGCCACCATAGCCCGGCTCGAACATGGCGGACGCAAACGAGATGTCCGAGATGGCCGAGACGTTACTGTTGCGGGACGCGGTTCCAAAGGACCCAGACCCAGAGCTCACCTGCCCGGTCAGCTAACCATGCTTTCACCTGGACAAGGCCTAACTCACTCGCTGCCCCCCTTGAGGAGATGTGACCCGAGGCCTCGACAGAGCCTGCAGCATCGCCCTTGCCCGTTGGGCTCGCTCGGGCGATCCAGGAAGAAGAGCCTCGTCATTGACGCTCGATTGGTGGAACTTGTAGTAGTCGACGTCTTGCTGCTTCTCCGTTGCCTGGTTGTCAGCTTGTTCGACATTCTACAGATTCCATCAGCTCACCTTGACTGCCTCAGACTTGACCTTGCTCCCATCCCTGCCCTCCGAGTGGTAGCCGATCGGAGTAACTTGCGACGCCGCTGAGACCGGAGGAGTCGAGCCGTGGTCGGAGCGAAGAGCGGGCGAGTCAGGCTGCGACATGGGCGGCTGAGAGACGATATCGGCGTACTCCGCCGGGATATCGATATGAAGGCTCGCCGTAGAGGAGGAGAGAGCTGACGCCTTGGACGCGTGGGTTGCAGATGGCTTAGTAGTCGGCAAAGGGGGGTAGTGAGCGTCATACGAGTAGTTGGCGGGGGTCGAGACCGAAGCAGTCTTGCCGTTGACGGGAGAGGTAGGGAGGGAGCTGCCTGGCGCGACGTAGACAGGTGTGGGGATGTACGGCTTGAAAGTAAAGGTAGGGGAGACCGTTGCCGACTGGCGGGCGAGAGTAGGCTGGCCGGGAGCCAGATACGCCGATCGGAAGAGGGGGTCAGACCGCAGGCGATCCGGGTCGATGTCACCAGAGATGTTGTCCGTCGAGCCGGATGTGGTAGAGGATGCGTGAGCGACCGAGGACTCGGAAGCATGCGCAGACTTCGCTGCAGACTGGCAGAGGTTGAAATAATCTTCGTGGAAAGGCGGGAATACGGCCTGAGTCATCAGCTATGTTCTAGGAGGTGTAGCCAACATAAGCAAATGAGGGAAGTGAGCGGGAGCGCCCAAGGGGCGGCGGTAAAGTCGGTAGAGAGGGAGACAAGGGCCGGGCGAGGTACGTGGAAGAAGATCTGATAGACTAGGAGCGGTGGAAGAGCGAGAGACCAGGGGAAGAGGGCGTACATCAAAGCGGTGGATGTGAAGGCGAACTCAAGATCGAAAGATAGTACTTACTCGGTCATCCGTCCCGAATCGCCTGGTGGGATCATCCCGAACGCTCCCAAGGTGCAGTGTGGACCAGTGTCCCTCCCCGATGCGTGGCGAGGTCCTCTGGAGAGGCCGGTGCTGGTATTCCGCGGGATGGCGGCTCTGACCGATCGAACGGGTCATAGGCACGCTCGAGAGGGTTGTCGAAGCGACGAGAGGTGGGGCGAAGCGGAATTCCGGAGCTTCGGCCGAGAGGGATGGGGTGCGCGCGAGCTCGCGTTCCTTGGCGTACTGGAGCATGCTGGCCCGGACAGCCGCGTTCGGGTGGACTGCGTTGTCGGGGGCGACACTGAGCTTGGGAGTGTCGGCAGGACGGAGGATGTCGGCGAGGGTGTCACGGTCGGATGTGGACCGCGTGTTGCTGTACTCCATGATGGAGGAGGTGGGGAGGATGGAGGTGGCAGAGATAGCGGTGGTGTGATGGAAGTGGAGGAGTGGAGGAATGTCCGATGAGGTGTAGGCGGATGATGATGTAGAAGGTGAAGTATCCTGTGGCGATAGGGGGGGTGGCTGGAGGATGGGAAGGGGCAGTGTAGTCGATGTTCCGGCCGCAATAGGGCTCTAGAAGCGGATCAGCCTCAGCTTTTGGGGCGAAGAGGAGTCGAGGAAGTGCAGGAAGGGAAGGAGGGGGAGAGGACTGACCTCAGTCGAAGTAGACTTGAACTTGTTTGCTATTGGATGTTCGGGGGAGGGCGAATGACGATGATGGGGGACGGGGGAGGGGACGGTGGGCAGGGGGCGGCGTGCGTGTAGTGTGGAGGTCGAGCGGCGGGTGGCGTATCTGGATATCAGGTCAAGCTCGACTGACGACAGAGTCCGGGATGTTTGATGGAGTATGGTGGCGAAGAGGAAGAAGGAAGCCACTCACTCAGCCCCGAGCCTAGTAACCTGTAACTACTGAACGCCGGTGATATCTTCCTACTTCCTGGATCAAGCTGAAAGCTTTAGCTGGAATGTTGGAAGACTGGTGAGAAGGGAGGGTGATGTAGAAGAGAGGAAGGGAAAGAGTGAGAAGCTCACCTTTTGACTGGACAGCGAAAGTTGGAGAGGGTGGCGGGCGTTCCTGGACGCGGAATGGAAGGGGTAATTTGGGAGAAGCGGTGCCCTATTGGGAAAACGTGACGGTGGAGTGAGACCGGGAGGCGCTCGCTAGCTCGGTGCGGCGTGACAGGTGAGTGGACCGTACCGATCGGGGGATAGTCGGGCGGAGTGGAGCACCTGTTCGCGAGCGCTGTGGGTAGGGGGTAAATTGCGACCTCGATGAAACGCCGCTGGGAGAGTGGGAAGGGCGGAGAGCGTGATGGGCGGCGATGGGGCAGATTTCCCAGGTCCGAGGTCCGATAAGGTGTAGAAGGATGTGAAACCAGATCTTGAGCTAGTCGATAAAGAGGGGATAGAGAGGGGAGAAGGAAGAAGTACGAAAGAGAGAATGTGGATGGTGTTGGTGGTCGATGGGCGACTTCCTTCCCTCCTCTCTGCTCGCTGGGTCTGTGCGCCTTCCTCCATACCTGCCCACCCATCCTCAGTGGCCGTGCACGAGCCCCCACCTTCCCTAGATCTGGATCCACCGTCATCTGAGACAAAAGACAGTCGCGCGGCCTCGATCCAATTTCCGTGCCTGAGCATTCCGAAGCTTAATTTCCCCGTGTTTCAGAATTGCGCTTGACCTTGCGTTTCTGCGCTGCAGCGAGGAGGATGTTCCGGATTGGCCAATGCTGACTAAGCGCCGAGGGAGCGATGACGCTGGGAAAAGGCGGAGGTGGCGGGCTGCAAAGATGCAGCGGAGGTGGAGGCAATGGCTGTGGATGCAAGCTAGCTGAGGAGGCAAACATCAGCGTGGTATTCTCATGCTCTCGCTTGCGCCTCACAGACTCTACGATAGGTGTGGAGGTCTCAGGACAGTGATGCAGCTACTCGGACTGCTGAAGAAAATCCTCGATATCAGGAGGTACACTCACATTGCTTGAGCTACTGGACAACTATCTATCCGGCAAATCATCATACAGGTCCTCCAGACTCCACTTTGGCCGGATGGGGAGACCATACTCCTCTGGCCTAGCTCCAGCTTGTATCCGAACGATCGCCGTCCAGGCTATCATTGCTGCATTATCTATACCTGAATCAGCTCGGACCTGGAGAAGTGAAGGAGAAGCAGAGGCCGGACAGGAGAAAGAGCTTACCGGTACAGAGCTCGAGAGGGGGGTAGTACAGCTTTACTTTACGGCCAGGTGGGAGCGCATCCGACATAGCTTGTAGTCTGATTGGGTTAGCTGATGGCGTGGGCAGTATCCGTCCCTGAGCTTACTGATGGCGGAGATAGAGATTGCTCGCCACTCCCCCACTGACCACCAACCCCTTTACCCGCTCCACTTTTGTCTCTCCGTCTTCTCTTTGGTCTATGACGTTTGTCATATCTCCACCACTCAATACGCCCCTGATCTGCTGGACCAGGTGCCCGACCGCCGCCACCTGGAACCTTCTCCCAACCTCCCTCCAGATCGCCTCTTCCCTAACCCCCTCCTTTCTCAGACTCTCCACTACCCTTCCCGTATGCGTCAACAAGCCCGCAAAAGAGAATACTGGCCCGCCATGCTGTCGCTTGTGCTGCTTCGAAGCGGAAGAGGACGGGGATAGAGGGATTGGGAAGGGTGGAAGGGGCTCGGTATCGAAGGGCGGCAGACTAGGGAGGGAAGCTTGCTGTTCGAGTAGTGCGCCTGGGTTGTGGGTTGAGGATGCGGGGAGATTGAGGAGCCGAGCAGCCTTGTCGAAGGCGTCCCTGATGGGTCAGCTCTTGTATTTGGCGGAGTCAAGCCAGTTGACTCTCTTGGGAGGGCTTGGTCCCTGGACCGCAGCGAAGCATACGGGAGCGAGAAGAAAGACTGACCCTACAGAGTTGTCCAGCGTATTCGCTACTATCCTAAACTCGTTCAGACCCTTCGCCAAGACCAGCTGCGTATGACCTCCCGAGACGAGCAAGACCAAGAATGGGAACTCTGGCGGCTCCAGCTCAGTGAGGAGCGGAGTGAGGGCGTGCGCTTGCTACATGATCAGCTGAGTCCTACGGCCGTACCAACAACGGTTTAGACTTAGCTGGCAGCTAAGACGTATCTTCTCCGCGATAGAAGACCTACCATGTGATGTATCCCATATACCGGCTTCCCCGCACTCGTAGCCAACGCCTTCGCACTCCCCGCAGCTACCGACAGGCAGCCGTACATGCCCGGTCCGCGAGTATAGGCTATCGCATCGACGTCCTCGAGCTTCATACGCGCTTCAGAGAGTGCTTGAGCTATAGCGAGAGGCTACTGCGGGCATCAGCTTCTTATATCAACCCGACTAGTCCCCTCGCACGGGCGCCTCGCTCGGACCCCTTCGCCATCCCAATCAAGAAAAAGTGACCTACCACACCGGCCGCATGCGCTTCTTGCGCCCTGAGAGGATGTATACCCCCATATTGAGCATTGAGGAGGTGTTGCTTGATCACTACGTTGGCGAGTATCTGGCGGGAGGAGGTGATGATGGAGCAGCACGAGTCATCTGCGGATGATTCGAGCGCCAGGACCGTGAGCGGTCTCCCGGTTCTTGTCGTCAGGCAGCGGCCGGTTGAAGGAGCTCGTAGCTGGAGGGTCCGTGATGAGTACCTGCACAGACGTCGCCTGCATACTGCTGCGAAGGGCGGCATGATGGGCGGACAGAAGCTGAGCTTGGACGTTTGGACCTGCTGCTTCTGCTTCTTTTTGGTTGAGCTCGGTTACCTCGCCAAATTCCGCCGTAACTTGGTCCACCTTAGCGCCAAACACGCCTCACACTCTTTGTAACATACCTCTGTCTTGCTTCTGTCTCACTCCGCTTCAGGCAGCAAGAGCCGCTCCTATAACCAGCCATAGAAGTTACCGTGTGTCTTTATTCGTTCTGCCCGCTTTCGCCGACAGAATTGAACGTGATATCAGGCGGAAAAGGCATGTCCACCCCCTCGTCAGCATCCGCCCCCAGCGCCGACCCCGTTCCCCGCTTCGCCGAGCCCCCCAAGACGCCTCCCAACCAGACTCCAGCACACCTAGAGCAGGACCTCGCCGTCGTCCGCGGAACACCCACCAGCGCGCACAAGCCAAAGAGCATTCTCAAGCCAGCTGCAGCCGGGCCGGACGCCGAGGTCATCGGCGATAAGCAGCCCTGAGGTCTGAAGTCCGGAGAGCAAGGGCAAGATGAGCATGCTGAGTGAGCGGTCTGGAGCGGGGAGGAAGATGGGTGGGGAGATGCAGAAGTTTACTAGCATGTATGCGAATGGTACGTTCTCTTCCAAGGCGGAGAGAGGCATGATAGGAGGCTGACTTGATAGCGTATGACGAGGAGAAGAATCCGAATGGGCTGGTCTCGCTGAATGTCCTCTTCTTTTACATCATGGAGCGCAAGCTGATGAGACCAGAGGGGTAGCAGAGAACCACCTGATGGACAAAGAATGCCTCGAGGTCAGCTATGATGGACGCGTATCTTCGACGTACATAAGCTGATCAGTCAGATGTTCCGCAAAGCGGCGAACGAGACTTTCGAAGTGGCCGATATGGGCTATGGGGACGGCATCACGTCCAGCAGGCGTCTCGCTAACGCTATGAGCTCATTCTTCAATGAGTACATTCAGCTGAGCTTTCACCCCAAGTCCAGTGACCGCAAACAGCTGACGAAATAGCTATTTCGACCCGCTCGAGAATGTCAAGCCTGAGCACATCAGCTTTGGTAAGCTCAGCCTCTCTGCCCTCTTGTAAAAGCACGTCGCTGATCAACAGCGAATGGTTGTACCGCCCGTACGTCTGCTCACCATCTCTTGCCGGCGGCGCTGACGGTCAGTCTTTGACCAGCTTGGTCATGTCCTCTGCGACGAGGGAGACGCCATCCTCATTCCAGTTCCCTTGTGAGCTCTCGCAAATACTGGCTCGAGAAGAGCGAACGCTCAGCTGACTCATCAGCTACAACGCATACGCGTGGGACTTCTCGATCCGAACCAAAGCCAAAGTCGTCCCTGTCCCCGTTGGGTCCATGGACGAGGGGTTCGAGCCTAATTCCGTGGAGGCCTACAAGAGGACTGTCGATGAGCTGCGGCAAAAGGGTGTCAAGCCGAGAGTACTTGTGGGTTCTCAACCAACAACAGCTGGGAGAAATAGACCGTAGCCTGTCAGAAGCCTCAGCTGATATAGTAGGTCATCACCAACCCCCACAATCCTCTCGGGAGGACATATCCCCGGTCTACGCTCCTGGCGCTCGCGAAGTTCGCGGAAGAGGAGGATCTGCAGTTGATCATGAATGAAATTTACGCCAAAAGCATATATGAAAACAAGGGTCAGTACCTCTTTTGCATCCCATTATTGGTGCCTCAGCGTTCTTCTCATCCCTTCCATCGCATTGACGGTCTCCTCACCTTCCTACCGCAGCAGGATGGCAACCAAGATGCAGGAGTGTCGGGTGTTGTATGGATCTCAAGCTGATGCAGTAGATTGGCCGGATGCACCTCCATTCGTCAGCGCGCTGAGTATCAACTACGCCAAGGAGCTAGGCAAATTCGATAGGTCAAGACTGCACCGTGAGCTCTGAGTATCGCGGTTTTGTAGCCCGGACATAAAGCTGACTCTTGTAGTGGTGTACGGGATGAGCAAAGAGTGAGTTGGATATCTGCCCAGTATCGGCAGACACGTGGGCTTACTCTGCAGTTTCTGCGCCAACGGTCTTCGCATTGGTGTATTCGTATCACAGCACAATCCAGAGCTCATCACCACCCTCAGCGGTACCGGGTTCTTTGTCAAGGGTAAGCTGGTCTACTCTCGCTATTGCGTAGTCGCAGCAAGGGCAAACCCAGCTTATACCTCAGTATCATCCATGGCCGACGCGATCTGGTCGCACATCCTAAAAGACCGAGAATGGCTCGGCTGGTTCCTCGCTGAAAACAAGAAAAGGCTGGGCGAAGCGGCGCAGTTCACGAGGGAGTGGTTCCAGGAGCGGGGAGTATCTGTTGCGAGGTGTAACGCGTGAGCCATACTTCCCCCCAGGCCATCGACCGAAGACTTGGGATGATAAGCTGACTAGGAAGTGGGAATTTTTTGATGGTCCATATGGGCAGAAGACTACAGATTACGACGGAGCAAGAGGAGATCGCAATTGGGGACAAGCTGATTGCTGCTGGCGTATTCATCGTAAGCTTCCTCGTCCTCTTCAGGAATTCCCGCACTTATGAGCGCGGCTGGAAAAGGAACAAGCTGATCCCCTCAGGCCCGAGGTGGATCATACAAGCACCCCACGCCCGGATGGTATCGCGTAACGTTCTGCTCGGACCCAGCCAAGCTCAGGGTCAGTCTTCATTCTCGCTCAATGCCATGGCCGGGAATAAGCTGATCCGTAGGTCGCGCTGGAGAGGATCGAGAAGACTTTGGATCTGACGCCTATGGGGAAGGAATAGTATGATGCTCTCGCTTTATAATGATGAATCTAGATGTTGACTTCTCGGTCAAGGTGGCTTGAGGCTGAGTGACGGAAAGACTGGTTAGCGCACTGACCAGCTCGACTGACGCCTGGCCGCTGACGATGTACAAGTGATCTGATATCATGCATCAAAGACCCATTATAAAGCTATAGACCCCAGCAATAATCCCAAAAAATGAAAGACCTGCACTAATTAAACCCAAAAGATCAGAGAAGAATTACTAGCAACGAAATAAAACTGATGACTTTGACCCAAAATATCCATGATCCCTCCCCTCTCGCTCCGCTGCCTACGTCCTTGCTGGCTTGATCGCCACCGCCTGACTGGGCGCCCGCCCAGCGTACCGTGACCTGTTGACCGGCGGGAGGCTGGTATACTGATACGATATTGCACGCGCTAACATGCCCCGGAGGACCTCTTGGGCGAGAACGTCGGATCTGTATGTGCTGCCGTACCCCTCGTCCCGCATGGCGGGTTCCCATCCGACCCATGGCTCCTCCCCGACCGGCTCGACCGGCATGATAATCTCGACGTCGGACTTGGGCGGTGGGTGTTCGGTGGCGGGATCGATCAATTGCCCTGAGCAGCCGTAGTAAATATAGTAATGTTCAACCGGCGCGGACGCGGGCGAGGAGTGGTACTCCTTCTCTTGGGGCGGAGGGGCGGAGTGACTGGTAGGGGAAGAAGGTGAGTCACGAGAGAGGGACGCGGGCGACGGGTATGAAGCGAGCGCGTGCGAGGATGGGGAAGTCTAAGGTAAATCAGCCACCGCCACAAGCTCACTCCCGTCTACCAAAGAAGGAGAACTAACCTGTATCCCGCTATGCCCATACTCAAGCTGACGCCCTTGAAACCCGTTTACTGTCCGGGGAAGCTCGTACCCGTCCGATTGGAGGTCGGCAGGCTCGGGGGTAGGGGGCGTCAAGACGAGAAGAGGGATCGACGTGTTGCTCGTCTCGGGCGAAGTGAAGTATCCGACCTCGGACGAGCTGGTGACCGGCGTTGCGCATTGGGACGACAAGGAGTCACATTCCTGATGATCAGCTCGACACACACGACTCAGGAACGATGTATAACTCACGTCAGACCCATCCGCTCCCCGGCGGCTCCAATCGTCCTCATCTAGCTCAGGAACCTCCTCCACAGTCTCAAGGGATGGTGCCCAGCGCGACGATCCCGAAGTCCCCTCGTCACTAGACTCCGAAGCGTCCCCGTCCGATTCGTCGCCGGAGTCACGGCCAAAAGAGGTAGTGTACCGGTATATGCTGTCCTCGTCGTCCTCGTCCTCATCGTCGCCGAGTGACCACCATGCCGACTGCAGCGCGGGCTTCGGGACGGGCGAGTGGACGACGAGGGGCAGAGGGGCGGGAAGTGGAGTGGGGGCTGTTACGACGGGGAGGGACGTATAGTAATATGGGAAGCACTCAGGGCCAATACACGCGAAGATGGGCTCGGCCTTGACGGTTTGAGCCCTGGGCGTGAACACCTTGGCGCCGGGGTTGAGTGTCGAGCGGAAGATACCGGTGCCCGACATGGTGAGGCTGGTGCTGATGGAGCAGGGCAGATATGAAGTATGAGGTACTGGAGAGTCAGCTGTGTCCCTCCCAGAAAAGATTGACCTTGATGGACTTACTTCGAGCTACCTGACGAGGATGACCTGCCGTCAAGTCGTTCGAGCGGCGAGATTAGAGATTGGAGGTGATGGAGATGTTAGAGGTGTTGGGAGGCAGAGATTTGGTATGTTGCACCTGCAAAGTCAGCTTCGTTCTCTAATTGAGATTATCGCGAGGACGAACTAGATGATAGATGCAGAGGATGGGTGAGGGAATGAGATGAGGTTTGTGGTGGGTGATATGTAGCTAAAAGCTAAGATGGGGGTGGTGGAGCTGGTGAGGCAGGATGTGTGGCTGATGTAGGTGATGGTGGAAGTGGGAAGATGAAGAAGAGAAGAGGGAGGGGGAGGCAGAACAGCTCACTCTTATAGGCTATCGAGTCACAGCACACCAGGGCGACTCGCCATTGCATAGCACGCCACCTCTTCATTTACTCCACCGACCCATGCTCAAACGCCAGTCCCCCGAGACAGAGCTGTGGCCATGGTGCCCGCGAGTGCACGATGAGTCGCTACCGATCGCCCGCGCCCGCGCGATGAAGGGTAGCGTGAGACATACACCATGGCCAGAAATGGTGTTGTGTTGCCGGGTGGCTGATAATATCGGAGGGGGAGGAAGCGGCGGATCCCGCGCTTAGCCTCTGGGCTAGAGACGCGTCGGGAGGTGTCTCGATGTACTGAGGTGCTGCTGGAGGAGGAGGGCTGGGACGGATGCGCTGTTTGGAGGAGAATGAAGTAGCCGAAAATTGGTAGATGGGTGTAAGAACGGAAGGGATGAAGGTGAGTGAGCAGGTGAAGGGGAGTGCTCGTGCGCATCACATTCCTTGCGCAGCGCGGTCAAAGCGCAAACCTTGATACCATCATAGCAGTCATGCATCCTCACGCCGTTCTCATGCTACCGCTCATCATCCATCAAGTATCTGATGGTAGTCTTGACCGCAGCACAGCTGCTCGCCACCCGCAACTTCGCCGGCCGCACTCATGCGCCACACTCCCCAATCAGCTCATCCGCCGCGTTGGCGACACGGAGGAAGGTCTCAGCATAGTGAACGAGACCTAATCATTGTGAAATGCACAGCGGAGTCAGATTGCGTGCTCGACGAGCGAGAGAGGATCGGCGCATATCTGAAACATGGCCCATTCTCGGATCTCTGCCCACTAGAGATCACTTCCTCTGGGCTTGGGAGCCGAGAAGCTGTGCATGATCGAGCCTTGCCTAGATCCGACGAGCAGAAACGGGGGATATGAGTCGTGCATCAGGTGGTCTGGGATTAATAAGCGATTTGTGAGAGGGAAAAAGTAAGGAAAGAGGTGAGTGAGACACGCCGCGCGGCATGCGCCACTGGAGGAAATCTGAAACACGCGGGGTAAAACTCGGTCATCCACCTCAGCGCCACATAACCTATATTGCCATGCAGCGAAGCATAGAAACCCTAGGGTAGCATGTAAGATATGCATTGAGTCGGTGATCAGTACAGTGAGGGCCACCACCACTTGAATGGCCTCGCCAGCTGGCGTATAGCCCAAGAAACGCTCAAGACGGATGAGTAAACAAACACCTCGGCCTCGCCCGACTTGACTTTGCCACCCGGCCATGCTACCCAGACTCGGGGCCTTTTGTACGATCCAAATCGTACGCTATCCCTGGAGATGTCTTGAGCATCAGTGATCGGCCAGTAGCTCAGGATCACGCAAGAGCGAGTAGAAGACGAAACGGACTCACACCCCCCCTCATTAATTTCCCTCAGCACAGCATGTCGACGTGGATGAGTGCTCCGTTCAAAGCAGCTGCCGCAGCGAGGACCCGTCAGTAGTATATAGAGCAGTCAGTGGATGCAATAAAGTCCTCTATTCCTCCATCCACTCCCTACCTTCAAAGAGCACGCACCTGCGACCTACCCACAACTTCCAGCTCACTTCCACCTCTCCAGCCCACATCCACCTTACAAGAGCCTTCCACACCTCTCCTATCACTCTCCTCTGCAACCTCTCCACCGCCCTGACACCCACAAAGCACCATGACCTCTCCCGTCGCCCTTCCGAGTATGCGGGTTAGCGTATCGACGCGTTATGAGGTGAGTTCTATATCTTGATATCAGTCTCGATGGGATGTTGGCTGATTAGCTAGGATATTACCCCGCCCATGACTCCCATCTACGATTCTCCCCAGGCCGGCACCTTCATCCCAGTCTTCGCCTTCGCCCTTGACGAGGGCTGGTGCCCTTACGCCGCAGAGTACCGCAAGTGGACTAAGGTGAGTGCATTCTTGAGCTTGTCTTGGAGTGTTCTGATCAGTCTAGGTTTCACCTGCAGAGTCCCACTACGCGAACGATGATACGGTGCCGCTTTTCGCTCGACCGGCTCCCAGACCCAAGGTGGTCATCTCCACCCCACCAGGCCACGTCTCAGCCCAGCTCTCCTGCGCCCAGGATACGCCCTTGGAACCTCCGTCCAGCTGCCACGTCGACAATGTCCCTCTTTTTGCTCTACCGGCACCCAAGGCCCGAGTCGTGATTCGAGCCCCGCCGGGCCACGTCTCGGACCAGGTGATCTGCGACCAGGCTGCGCCCCTGCCATCTCCGTCCAAGTGCGTCATCGAGGAAATCCCGCTTGTCTCTCTACCGGTACCCAAGGCCAAGGTCAGCCTCCGGGCTCCTCCGTGCGCCATCTCAGACCCGCGGGTCAAGATTATATGGGGTGAGACCACTGCCCAGGACCGTGAGTACTAGTCCTCTTTTGGTTTTGCTACTCCGTGTGATTTGCTGACTTTGTAGGGGCTGACACTGCCTGGAATGGGCTCGATGGGCGTATGATCGCGCAGCGAGCGGCTAGGCTCGGGATATGGATCAGCAGCACGTCGGCCCAGGGCTGGCCCCTCACTGGTCTTCCTTTCTAGTCTTGTGAGTACTTTTACGACCTCAACGTCCAGAGCTGATAGTTCAGGTTTTCTCTCCTCTCTTTCCGATCTCCAACTTCTTCCTCTTGTCGCCTGGCGTTTTTGTCTCCTGGGATGTGACTGTTTCTTCTTCTTGGGCTTAAGTATAGTAGCTTAATTCAGTATTGTGTTCTGCTTGTAGTTTCCGTTCGTCTTCTCGTTTGGTAGCTTACTTTTGGGTTTGGAGGAGTGTCGGGGAGCAGGTGCGGCGCTGGGTGGGGGAGGGGCTTGGTATAATGGGTTATGATTATTGTTATGCAGATAAGATTTGACGCAGCGAGCAGCAGGCTGTCCTAGCAAGGAGTAGAGCAGGTCATGGGCCCCTTGGACGCAAACAACGACAAGGAGCTGGGAAGGCGTTACAAGGTGACACTTGTTGCTCTTACGTGTGAATTTCAGTCTTCTGGGTGTGACCCAACTACATTCCTCTGAGCAGAACTCTGGCTCTGGCTCTGGCATCTGATATCTACCTGATGCTCGACCAGATCTCACGGAGATAAGAGATCATCACCCGGCCGACACTTATATTACATACACATCATCCTCGTGCCGGTCTACCAAGATACCTAGCCCCGACCCCACGCTCGCCCCTCCGCGCCCCATCCCTCTTCACCTCTAGAAGTAATCAGGCCGGAAGAGCGCCGAGATAGATTCCCTTGTATGTCAGCTAACGATCGACTTGTCCGCAGGAAGCGGTATCGGATTGCTGGCTTACCCGTTGTGTGTCCGCCTTATACTCTCGGCAATAACAGGAGCAATATCTATCGTCTCGAGCATCCCGTCACAGGCTGCTATTCGGTCGGTCTGGTCGATCGAGTTTGTGACCACCAGTTTCTGCACCGGGAGGTCTTTGAGATTTTCCATGGTAGTATCGCTCAACAGACCTGCGAGTCAGCTTCAATTTCTCTGTGCCGATCAAGAGCGACCAGAGATAACAGCTCACCATGCGAGATCAACGCATAAACCTCACTCGCCCCATTCTCCCTCAACACCTGCGCCGCCAGCCTGACCGTATGTCCCGTATCAATCATGTCATCCACCAAAATCGCGACCCTCCCCCTCACATCCCCGACTAGCAGCTCCATCGTCTCGACCCGTTCTTCATCGTCCGGATCTTGGGCGCCGTGGTTCGAGCCTGAGTCAGAGCCGGAGGGGGTGGGGGGGACGGTACCGGTAGGTGTTGGCGGCACGGTGGGGATGTGGGAGAAGCCGCCGTGGAATGAGGCGGTCATGTCCCGTCTGCGTTTCCGGTTGATCAGGGCGAAATCGAGGTTGAGCTGGTCGGCGAGAGCGGTGGCGCTAGTATATCAGCTGCTGCCGTGTTCAGTGTGAAATGAGGGGAACTTACCGCTTCGCACCACCCGCATCGGGGGAGACCATAATGGCCGTCTTCCAATTGGGGATCTCTTGCTTGATGTAAGACATGAGAGAGGGTTCGGAAAAGAGGTTGTCGACGGGGATATCGAAGAAGCCCTGGATTTGAGAGGCGTGGAGGTCCATGGTGATGACGTGGTCGGCACCAGCCACGGCGAGGAGATTGGCAACGAGTCTGACAGTCAGCAGTAGGCCTGTAATACGGCACTGGGACCGAAGGATTGAGCAGGATAGGGGGAGAGGCACGTAACAAAATCGTGCACAGGATGTCCAGCGAGTGCCTGAAGGTCTGTGGAGGACAGAGGGGAGGATATCAATGAGCCGAACCGAGAAATTAGCTCAACTTACTTGGCGGTGATTGGAGCCCTTGACTTATCCTTCTTATCTTGCCGAGCATAAGGGTAGCAAGGGATGACAGCGGTGATCCGCTTTGCCGAAGCAGTCTTACATGCTGACCTGTCAGCTGCAGTCTTGTTTTCCGGCAGACAACTCCTGCGAGATCTCGCCTTCCCCGCCACCCTTATCCGGACTCCACTCGTAGCGAGCTTGAAGTCAACTCACCTGAGATCATGATCAACAGTTCCATCAGATGATCATTCACGTCCGGCGGTGACGGCGACTGGAGAATGAAGACATCCTCATCTCGGACGGACGAGTGGATCTGGACCGAAGTCTCGAGAGAGAGGAACTTGGAGACGTGGCAGGGAGTGAGCTGGATACCGAGTCTGCTCGAGCAAAGTTCCGGGGCGATAATTGATGTGGCGTGCAAGCGTGAAGGCGAAGCATGGGTGGTGAGCATAGTGGTGCAGTAGAGAGAGTGGATCATGGAAGAACCTTGATCAGCTGCTTTCTTTGATTAGGAGAACGTGCGTGATGGGGCTGAAGACCGATAAGCAGGGAGAAGCCCGCCCGCTCCCTTGCCAAGTTTGGCATTTGTGAGAGGGAATGGAAGGGTAGAGACAGAACATACCTGGCAGCGACAGCTTCCGCGAGCTTGGGATGACTGTTGCCTGCAGTAGAGTCAGGCCAGACGTCCTCTCTCTTGTACCAAAGGCACAATGGGCGGCAGGCTCAACCCACCCGTCAAGAGCTTGATGGAATTGCCGGTGTTGTGCATGCTGTGTGATCTTCGCATGTATACTCTTCTGATAGTGTGTTCCGGCGGTTGAAGATTCTGCTTCTATATCCGTGGGTGCTGTGGGCCGATAGATTATGCTATAAGCAAGGCATCAAGATAGGTGCAAGGTGTAAGAAGAGGCTGAATTTTGGCCCGACAAGTTGGCCGGTGGGGGTCTGTACGTAATACCCAAGGGGAAAATCCGGGGTTCTCAGATCCGGCCACCGGACGTGCAGATCTTTCCGGATTTCCGGGTCCCGCCATGCAGAATTCCGTATCAGAAATGACGTGTGACCATTCCTCACGACTTGGACCGAACGACTACCAAAAGGTGGTCTCTTTGTACCTCATCCTTGCTCATTGTAGGAATAGAGTCCCATAGACAGCTAAGCAGCAGCTAGAGATACCCCAGCAGCTAGCAGATCATCATGTCGACTGAGCCTCAATATGCCTGTAAGCTCGAATTCGCATGGCTCCTGGCGAGAAAGAGCTCATACTTTAGTCCGGGCTCAAAAGGCCTCTGGTCTCGCCGACGGATCATCATGGGAGCCAAGCGTACACCTGGCGACGTGAGCTCCCTCCTTCCGGCTGCATAACGATTACGAGCTGACGCTGTAGCGACGCAGAGAGCAGATGTTTTGCCTACTCCCCCGACGGACAGTGGTTTGCCCATGCCTCATCCACGGGGTAAGCTAGGTCTTGCATATTGGCGCTGTACGAACTCAGCTGATGATGTGCAGTGTACACCTTCTGCCTTCCTCCGGATCGTCGTCGTCGTCTACCCGCACACTGGCGCCGACTGCGGTCTTCGCGCTGAAGTTCTCACCGCTGTCAAGTACGCTCTTCACCTTTGAGCGTCCAGGCAAGACGGACGGGACCGAGGTGCACAAGAATGTCCGAGCGTGGAGCGTGGAGAGCGGAGAGGAAGTAGCGGGATGGCATCAGAAGTCGCAGGACGACTGGTGAGCTCCCCACTCCACGTAGAACACGCCCAGCTGACACTCTAGGGAACCAATCATCACCGCGACTGAATCTCACCGGTTCATACCTACCGGTTCCGACCTTCTCGTCTTCTCGCCGCCTCTCGCTCCCCGTCCTACACTTCGACTCAAAGGCGATGGCGCACCCATCCGCGGTGTATTCCTCTCGAACCCCCGCGCCATGCCCGAGGGGACGTCCAACGCTAGGCCTATACCGGCGCATAGCGAGCCAGCTGTAGCGGTCTGGTTTGGCGAGAAGAAGGGCGCCCCGGGCGGTGTGAGACTGTTCCCACTCAGTCAGCTCGTTGGAGCGGAGGTGAAGGATGCGGATAGTACGGAGAACAGGGAGTTCCCGCAGAGTTTGGCGAGGAAGGCGTTCTACAAGGCGGACAAGTTGAATGTCAAGTGGAACAACGCGGGGACTATGGTAAGTTCAGCTGTTGAACCCCTGGGTGCAGGGATAAGCTGATAGGTTAGGCCCTCTTCCTCACGCATAACGATGTCGACACGACCGGGAAATCCTATTATGGAGAAACAAATTTGTATCTTGTCAGCTTGGACGGGTCATATGATGGTCTCGTGGATCTTGGTCAGTTGTCGAGTTCAGCCTCCCCTGTACGCATAAGCTGACTCATGACAGACAAAGAGGGACCCATATACGACTTCACCTGGTCCCCTACATCTCGCGAATTTACTGTCTGCTACGGATGTGAGCTTACAAAAGACCTACGTCTACGGAGTCCGAAACTGACTTTCCAGACATGCCCGCCCGCACACAGCTGTTCGACATCAAGAACAAGCCGGTCCACTCATTCGGCCACGGTCCCCGGAACTTTATCCTCTACCAGCCCCAGGGGAAGCTGTTGCTCTCGGCAGGGTTTGGGAATTTGGCCGGAGGAATGGATGTTTGGGATATCAGTACAAGGAACAAGGTCGCTGAGTTCACGTAAGCTACCGCTCCAGTACATCTGACCCATCCCTGGTACCTATAGCTGACACCACAGCGCGTCCAATTCGAGCACATGCGAATGGTCCCCTTGTGGCCGGTACATCCTCACAGCGACCCTCTCTCCTCGTCTGCGCGTCGACAACGGCGTCAAAGTCTGGTGGTGCGGCGGTCAGCTCCTGCACATACATCCCGTCGACTCTTTGTACCAGGCATCATGGCGGCCTCAGCTGCTCGATAAGCTGCAGCCGTTCCCTGCTGTCATTCCTGCTCCGCCGGCAGTCAATGAGAGCGTGGCGCTGTATCGACCAAAAGGGGAGGAAAGCAATGGAGGTGAGCTAGTATTGGCGATACGGCCGGACAGCCAGCTGACGGGATAGCGGCTGCCAAGCCTAAAGGAGCGTACCGGCCACCAGGTGCCCGTGGAACACTCGCCTCGGACGCATATAAGCGAGACGACAACGACCATACCGCATCCGCATCGGCTTCCCAGCCCACCTCGGCGCCCGGATCCGGTACATCCACCCCGACCCCCATGTTCCGCGGCGGAAAGCCCGCTGGACGGTATACACCCGGTCTGCCTCCGGGGGCTGCGCCGGCCTCTCCGGCCGCTGGCAAGGAGGACAAGAAGAAGCGTGTGCGGACGAAGCGGCCACAGAAGGAAACGGCGGTGGATGGTGATGGGGTGGAGGCTGTTGCGGAGAAGGTGGAACAGGTGAAGATCGAGGAGCAGGCACCTCAATCTACAGGGGAAGAGGGGGTGCAGAAGAAGATCAGGGGGCTGAATAAGAAGGTGAGTTTGCATGTCCGGAAAGGGTCCAAAGCTGACTTGATAGCTGAAAGCGATCGATGATTTGCTCAATCGGCAAAATAAGGGCGAGACGCTCGAAAAGACTCAGATGATGAAGATTGAGTCGGCGGCTTCTATTCGGGCGGAGATTGTGGGTCTGGGGGGTGAGCCGTTGAGCTGAGCAAGGGTGGAAGGATGGGCTGAAGCTACTGGACTGGGGGAAGTCGCTGGGCTGGGCGGTGAGCCTTTGAGCTGAGCAGAAGTGGACGCAATGGAGCTGGACATAGTGGGGTAGATGTGATGCGGGGAGGCGGAGGTGCGGGTCGGCCTGTGATCACCACGCTTGTAAGGGCCAACCACTGGACCTACAGCGCAGCGTTTTTGTATCTTCCAAACCCATTTGCATTTGTCCCGCATCGAATCAGTTAGCAGTGTGCAGTGAACAGCTTGAAAATGAAGGCCTTCTTCACTTCCGGACCTCGGCGCTGCCTCTGCCCCTGCAACGACTTCATGAGGTATGCTGGAAATTGGCCCCGAAGTCCGACGTCTGAATGGACGCACATCTATTCCGCATGTACTCTTATCTCGCTGTACCCCACCAGTCATTCATACACGATGGACACTAGAGAAGCATGGACCCGCGACCCCGCCAAAGTCGCGATATGGACCAGAAGAATGAGGAGTTCCAGAGGGACCTGATGTCGGCCGCGGGGGCAATCGCGAAGCTCAATAAGCTCCTCAATACAGAGGCTAGACCGTACGTCCTGCATACCATAAGGCTTTAGAGGGCCTTGTGGAACTGTATTGATACCCAGCTAGCACTCTTACCGTGCCGGAGAAGATTACAAAACTCGTCAAAGCTGTCCGAGCCAAATATCCCGCCAAAGCCGCAGAGTGCGATAAGGTCGACAAAGCGCTCGACGACTGGCAGGGGGAGGATGAATGGCATGAGCCAACGTCGGGGCCTCCCTCTATCCAGCTTGACCGAGTGATCTTCCAATCTGCCCGTACCAAGAAATATGCGTAAGTTGAATTGAATCCATCTTTATACTGCGCAATGCGGTGGCTGGCGCTGACTTTCACCTCAGAGACGCGCTTGCCGTCATTGTCCCATTTGTCGAGCAGCACCGCGCGTTGCTGCGATAGACAATGACCGTAGCTAGTGCTAGATGGAAGGGAAAGCTTCACATGGTGGTGACGTTCCAGGTCAGGCGTAATGGTTCTAGATAATTATGCGATATGAGCGGGTCGGACCTCTTGCTGTCGTGACTAGCGCGGGAGGATACGAAGCCTTGATTGCATCGGCTAGTTGCTCTATGAAGCGGTGCTCGAGTCAGCTGACACGCTCGAGATTAGTGCGGGAGCTGCCTCGGCACCTCAGCGTCTGTCGTAAAGCTTCTACACAGCACACCAGAGCACACCCCAGCGGATCCATTAGGTGACGTAGGTGACCTACATTCCTCGCAATTAGGGTTTCCCTTGCCAAGCCAGCAAGCCACCGCCCGGAATCCGGCTGCCGAGCCGCGCCGAAGCTCCGCCGCAAGACCGCAATAACAGGCAATAACCCAGCATGGGCAGAGCTATAAAGGTAGAGTCAACAGCAACAGCTCCCTTCCCCCCCTCTTACCTTCCAATATTTTCCTCCACCGCTAGCATTCGCTCCTGTCTATATACTCGACCTCATTCTGATTGCGACAATGCTGCACCCCTCGGCCGCGCTACTCCTCACCGCCCTCGTCGCTTCCGCGGGGCTCATCAATCGACAAGCGTCATCAGCAGCCAGCTCAGCCGCCAGCTTCACAGCTAATCAAGTCCCCCAATCGGTAATCACCACGTCGATCTTTCCCGGCGGTGTCGCACAGGGTAGTGTGGGGCAAGAGTCGACCATACCGCTGCCGTGCCTCGATGGCTGTTGGCCCCATGCTGCACCCTATGCGTAGGTTTCTCCTTCTGCCGCCGCGTCAGTCGAGACCTAGCTGATCGATAGGTACTGCTTCTTATTAGACACGTATCCCGGCGGCCGACCCATCCCCGCCACGCAGTGTGACAGTCTGTGTAATCAGACCTATTATGACGGATTATCTCAGTGTCTGAACTGTATTGTCGCTAACGGTACGTCGAGATCCATCTCTTATTGGCTAGACAACCTGTATATCGGTCGGGATCACAGCTGATATTGTAGGAAATGAACGTCCATTCGGCTACTCGACCAATACATCCATCACTGCTCTCCCCACCCGCGCGCCTGCGCCCAGTGGCTCGTCCAACCTCGACACAACCAATCCTAATGGCCTCATCGACGCCGCTCAGGCGGACGGGTGGTTGAGGAACATGACGGATATGTGCTCAGCGAAGGGCAAGGCTTTGACCGGAGCAACGAGCGTTACAGCTATCCCGACCACAACGTCAGTATTGATCCCCCTTTGCCCCTCCCACTCCATCTCAAAAATGATACTTGGATATAGCTGATGATGTAGCGGAGGTTACAAGACAAGCTGGATCAGGGGCGAGACCATCGTCCGACCCCAATGGACAGGTCTCACCCAATTCCCACCGCCAGTAGCTACCCTTACCCGCATTCTCGCCGCTGGATCGTCCTCTACTCCGGGGGCTAGCGGGAGCGGAGCCGGCAGTGCAAGCGGTTCTGCAGCGAGCGGTGCAGCCGCAAGTCAGAGCAGTAGGGCCGCGGGGATGGCGACGGTGGGGCAAGGTCCGGCCGGCTGGGCGCTGGGAGGGGCACTGCTGGCTTGGGCGGTCTTGTGAGCACTCGCTGGGTCTGAGGTTTCGATGGGATGAAGGAGGAGAGTGGATGGGAGTGAAGGGATGGATAGGCTGGGGTTAGGCATTTGTACCGTAGTAAGAAGGACTTGCAAGACAACATCAGGCACAGTATTATAATGAGGCGGTAGTGCGGTGTAGACGTTGTATTGCAAGCCAGATGGGCGGGTCGGCAGCGAACAAGGACGAGATATGGGTGTACATGGTGTACTGAGGCCTGCCATATGATCGGCCATAAGAGTGTATAGATTGACTGCAGCAGGCGTTTCCATTGGCTTCTAGTTCTGAAAGTGCGGAACAGCCGGATGCTGGAGATAGTCAAGCGGATCGACGACCGGCGTGACCGTGTTCCTTCCCAGTGCACATGAGTGAGAGGGCAGTAAATCGCTCATGACAAATGCAGATCCGATGGAGGGCTGTGCTATTATAGTCAGTTGATCCACTGTAATAGACAGCGCGCCGACTCCGCCAATCACCTTGCGTTCCTCAATAAAGTTTTCCCTTGCGGTACCGAGATCTGAGACAGCCCCAGCCACAACCCGGGACCCGGCTGCCGGGCTCCGCTGAGCTATTTAGCTGCTGAGCTCCGCCGCAAGACCAGTGCAAGACCGCAACAATCCCGCATGACTTGTTGCTAAAATAGACCTGCACCCACAATGAGCAGAGCTATATATGAAGGACCGACAAGATCTCTCTTCCTCTTCCCACCTTGACACCTTCTTCTGCTCTGCTCCATCGCTCACTCCCGCTCCTGCTTTACTACTCTTATCTACTCACTATGCTTCTCCCCTCAGTAGCGCTGCTCCTTACCGCCCTCGCCGCTTCCGCAGAGCTCAACAATCGTCAAGCATCCTCGGCGGCCAGCTCGGCGGCTAGTAACAACCCATCACCATCGGTTATTACCCGGTCGATCTTCCCAGGCGGGGTCGCGGACAACAACATACAGGAGGAATCGACCATCCCGATCGAATGCCTCAACGGCTGTTGGCCTCTTGCTTCACCCTATGCGTATGTTACTCCTGCTGCCGCCTCGTCCGGGTCCTAGCTGATCGACAGGTACTGCTTTTTGTTTAGCAAGTACCCTAACGGCCAAGCCATCCCCGCTTCGGTTTGCGATGGCCTGTGCAATCAGACATACTATGATGGTCTATCCCAATGCCTCAATTGCATCGTTGCTAACGGTATATCCCATTTCTAACTGTATGAGTAATTGACGTGTGGCTGATGAAGTAGGCAACGAACGGCCATTGGGCTACTCTACCAACACATCCATCACTGCCTTCCCAACCCGCTCAGCCGTCCCCGGCACGTCCCTCATCGACATGACCAATCCTAATGGCCCAATCGATGCCGCACAAGCGGACGGGTGGTTGAGGAACGTGACGAACATGTGCTCGACGAAGGGGAAGGCCTTGACGGGTGCGACGAGCGTCACTGCTATCCCTACCACGACGTGAGTATTGTGTCTCGTTGCGTCCTCTGGTACACTTCATGGATCATTCCTGAATGAGTATGGCTGATGTGACGAGAGGGATCTACAAGACCAGCTGGACCAAGGGCGAGACCATTGACCGACCACAATGGACTGGCCTCACTCAATACCCACCGCCGGTTGCTACTTATACCCTCAACACAACTATCGTCACCAGGCCAGCCTCGACCGGAGCGACAGGTAGTGGCAGTGGTGGTACGAGTGCCTCTGCAGCGAGCGCGGTCGCGGCAAGTCAGAGCAGCAAGGCTGCGGGTACATATACCAAGCAAGAAAGGTCGGCGGGCTGGACGCTCGCCGGGGCGTTACTGGCTTTGGCGTTGCTGTAGCTGTAGTAGCACGAAGTCTAGGCAAGTGCGCCCAAATGTGGGCTTTTGTACGGTATATACGGGGCATTCGTCTCCAAGACATTGCCGAAAGTAGGGTAAGGGGGTATGCAATTTCAAAATCTTTCTGCATGATCCTTGCGTGCCTTCTGCAGTGGTACTGGACTTGCAGCTCTTACGCTCGGCATTGTACTAGCGTCAAGATCGCTCGTCCTTGTATGACAGAGTACACCTCCGGGGAAACCAGGCGCACCAGGCGGGAGGGATCACATTCCTCAAGCGCCGCGGATCTCCGCGGTGCAGTGACGTCATGACCTTGCCAAGCTCCGATTTTCCCCTATCTCTCTCCTGGGTCTGTTCTTAGCGCGAGCATCGCCCCGCATCTGCCGCCGAGTACCATATCCGCCGCCGAGATCAGCCTCGGGTTATCTGTATTGTGAATCGTATGGCCAGCTCCGTGCCAAGCCGCTCCGCATGCTCACTAGTGGGTCCAAGCGATCCGACAGAGCTCCGTTGGCCGGGCCGGTCTGGTCTGGTGTCCCCCACCCCACCTGAGTCATAATAAGGTGAGGGCGGGAAGATACGCTGATATCGACTCGTCTCTTGACTCCACTTCCTCAGACGCCTTTGTTGTACTTATCGTTCCATACTGACTAAGATGCTATACCGAGCGACCGCCATGATCGCTACCGCGCTGCTAGCCACTGCGGGCCTGGTCGAGCGTCAAGCTCCGAGCTCAGCCCCAGCACTATCCGCGCCCTCCGGCTCTACCGTCCAAGTTATCACCACCTCTCTGTTCCCTGGCGGTGTTTCCCCTGGGTATACTGCACTCGTGACAACCATCCCGCTGGTGTGCCTTGATGGCTGCTTTGCTGTCGCCACTTACTACGAGTACGTGCTCTCTACCGCCTGATATGTTTGCCTCAGTCCCTCTGAAGTGGGAGAAGAAGCTGACTCATCTCCAGGTACTGCTTTCTCCAAAACACCTTCCTCAATGGTACCACCGTTGGCGCCGAGCCATGTAACAATGTCTGCAACCAGACCAACTTTAACGGAATCACTCAGTGTCTCAACTGCATTGTGGCAAACGGTACGTCTCTTTGACCCGGCCAGGTCAAGAGGTCGTAGCTCATCCATGCAGGAGACGAGCGGCCATACGGCTATACCAATAACACCTCACTCACTGCCCTCCCATCTGCGACGAACAGTGCGGGCGGGGTCACACCGCAGGCGTTTGTAGGGGCGACGCTTATCAATGCGACGGTGGCAAATGGGTGGTTGAGGAATATGACCAACTTGTGCTCGTCTAGAGGAACGAACGTGACGGCTGCTACGAGCATCACTGCTGTTCCAACCACGACGTAAGTACACCCCTTCTCCCTATCACTTTGAGGAACCGAACTGAACCTGTAGCGGCCCATACCAGGCATCTTGGACGTCCGGTCAGACCATCTCGCGCACACAATGGCCTGGTCTCTCCCAGTACCCCCCACGCGTCTATACCAGCACCCGCACCATCGGCATCGCGGCGCTCGCAAGCGAGAGCAGTCGGGGGGCTGGGATGAGTACGGTGGAGGGGGCGCCGCTGCGTTGGGTGATGGGCGGAGCTCTGCTTGCGTGGGCGGTGTTGTAAACGGGCGTGTGGAGCTGGGAGATGATGTAGTACGACAACACGCGAGAGGGGTGAGGCGCTATAGTGCTATCCGGGGGTGGGGCTCATGACGACGTGAGAGCGAGACCGGAGCCATCTGGCGTTTTTATAAGATAACTATGGGGCATCATTCTGTAATTGACATCGCGTCCGTTCTCAAGGAACATCGCCGCTTTACCCCTTTTACATGCTCTGTCCAGACACTCTGTCTGAAACTGCGATCAGTGACATGAAGGTCGCCTCTGTGCCTGATTTTGCTCCGGCTCCGCGGCTTCCGCCAAGCCGCTAATACCCATGGGGTGTATCCCTATCTGAACCTAGCTCTGCGCTTCTCTCCGATAGGTGATGCGACGCTCGCGGTGATCTAGTGTTGATCTGATATGCTCACAGTAAGTCTGTAGGTGTTGTGCATACTGCATCTATGACTCATTCCTCTCTCACCAATCCTTACTCCTCACTCTAGCCGACCCTGATGCTCCGTCACGCTGCCGTCCTCCTCAGTACCGCCCTTGTCGGCTTCGCTGCCCTTGTTCCTCGTCAAGCAGTCATCACGACTGCCGTCTATCCCGCGGGCGTCGCCTCGCAGCAACTCCGCTTCGAATCCGGGATCCCACTGGCGTGCTCTGACGGCTGTTACTACTTCTCCATTCCATACACGTACGTCCGCTTTCAGACAGCCCAGAGCGACTTGCTGATTTGCAGCTATTGCTTCCTGTACGATAGGTACTTTGATGGGTCCGCCATTCCAGCCGGAATGTGCGACTCCCTCTGCAGTCAACAATACTACGACGGCCTATCGCAATGCCTCAATTGTGTCGTAGCCAACGGCGGCGAGAGACCGCTCGGATACTCAGCCAATACCGCCCTCACGACCAATGTCATCCCCTCGTTTGTCAGCGGTGGCGAGAATGTCAAGAACCTGGTTAACCCAAACGGCTTCCTCAATTCCACTCAGGCGAACGGGTGGTTAGGAAACGTAACGAGCTTGTGTGCCTCCAAGGGCAAGGCAATCGCTACGAGCTCTAGTATCACTGCCACTGCTACCACTACGTGAGTCTTCTCATCCGTAATAGCCGCACGCTGCCCGGAGCTATGTGTCTAAGTTGATAAGTGGAGCTGACGATATAGCGGACCGTACGCAGCCACTTGGTTTCCCGGCCAAACCATCGCTCGGACCACTTGGACTGGCCTCACGCAGTACGGCCCACCCACGGTCACCGTCACCGCGACGAGTGGTGCGGTACTTCCACTCGCGGTCTACTCGTCCGGTGCTGGACTGGTTACCAGCGGGGCTGCGGCGAGCCAGAGTAGCAGGGCAGCGGGGATGAGCACAGTGGAGCGGGCGCCGTTGGGGTGGACTCTGGGTGGCGCACTCTTAGCCTGGGCTGTTTTGTGATACGACTGCTTATAAGGCGGGAGGAGGAGCTAGGGAGGCAGGTGCAAGTGAACAGGCGAGCAGGGCGGACGCGGATCCGAGGAGATGCATCATGCGGTTGTAAACAAGGGGAGGTGTCAGCTTAGCATAATGCCATAAACGGAGAGTCGATATAATGAGATCTATCCCCTCTGATCTCCCTTATTCTATCATGCTGAGGCGTTGAGACCTCCCAGCTACCAATTATTGAACGGACTCTTGTAACGCAAAGTTAGGCTGATCTTGCCATAGCACCCGCCTTGCCCCTGCTACCCATCCGCTACTAGCCTTGCTACCAGCATTCCTCCGCTGCGAAAACGACGAAAGATCCTTGTATTTTCCCTGTCAATTGCCCCTCTCGCTGCATCGCGTCATGACCTGCGCACTCACTGGCCAAGCGACAGGAATGGTCAAGATCCGACGAGCTGGGCTTGTCCGAGCCGCTCCCGCACTCTGTCGCCTGCCGAGCTGTCTATCTGCCGCTGACATCAATGCGGCCCCGCTATTTCGGATCCTACACCCTGATCTAGTGCCGAGTCCGCGCCAAGCGGCTCGGCCGTATGCTCTCCTTCGCTCCGACGTACATTCCAACGTTCGATTCCCTCACCGACAGCCCCAGTGAGAATGGTCGAAAGACCTGCACACACCGAAGCTGTTTTACTGATCCGTCCTAACGCTAAAACATGTTGTACTGCGCGAGCACCCTAATCGTCTTCGCCCTACTTGCGACCGCTGGTCTAAGCGAGCGTCAAGCCCCAAGCTTTGCCCCGGCGTCGTCCGTTCCTTCCGGCTACACGGTGCAGGTCTATACCACCCCCGTGTATCCGGGAGGGGTCACAGACGTATCCCAATTCCTGGTGACAACCTACCCGCTGCCATGCCTTGATGGCTGCTTCTCCGTTATTAGCTACTACACGTAAGTGTCTGCTCCTCCCCTTCAGTTTTTGCGGTCTCCTTTAGTTAGTGGGACGAATTGCGCTGATCACCCTATAGTTACTGTTTCCTACAGAGCACCTTTCCCAACGGTACCGCGGTCGGGGCCGAGCCGTGTAACAACATATGCAACCAAGCCAACTTTAACCAGCTCAATGGATGCCTTAATTGCATTGTGGCGAATGGTACGGCTGAGAAGACACGCGGAGTGGTCAGAGCTGACACAAGTGCAGGTGGCGAGCGACCGATTGGCTCTGCGAATGGTACCACCCTCCCCGCCGTCCCAACAGGACAGCAGGAGTTTAGAGGGCGAACGCTCATCAATGCGGGTATGGCGAATGGGTGGTTGAGGAATATGACCGAGTTGTGTTCGCCGAGAGGAACAAATGTGACGGGCGCATCGAGCATTATAGCTGTTGCCACCACTACATGAGTCTTCGGGCGCCCAACATACCTCGATTCAAGGCTTCCGATCGGCGCTGATGCGACCAGCGGCCCATACGAGGCGTCTTGGACATCCGGACAAACCATCTCGCGAACCCAATGGACCGGTCTCACGCAATACACCCCTCCCATCGCAACCGTGACTCGTACGATCGCAACGGCGGCGCTCGCGAGCCAGAGCAGTCGGGCGGCGGGGATGAGCACGGTAGAGCGGGCACCGTTGAGGTGGTTTCTGGGTGGCCTCTTGGCATGGAGCGTGTTGTGAGGATAGCGGTACATGACCGAGGTGGTCAAGTGGGGTTAGTGGGTGGAGCATGTGCGGATACTCGGTATGCAGAGTGGTCGCATTCAGTACGCATCCAGTCGAGGGACGTCTCCGTGTATTGAATCTTCTGGGCGAGTCGTGCGCATTATGAGCCTTCATCCTTCTGTCAATCAAGGTGGATTTTGCAAGCCCCTGCTTATAAACCGAGAGCTACTGCTGTCACCTCGCCCCGAGATACACACCCTTACCCAATCCTTATCCCCTCATGCGCCTCTTTGAGCTCGAGCAAGATGTAGCAGCATTCCTCAACGAAAAGTATTAGAGCAGCTGAAAGATCGCTAGCGAGTTGGAGTCCGGCTAGAGCTCTCACAACTGCTCCTCATCTTGCAACCTCACCTGGAAGCTAAAGCGCCGCTACCATGGTCGACTCTGGAATGATATGGACGTACGGTCTCCTCACTGTCCAAGCGATCGCGCCGATCATTCTCGGCTCTTTCAAGTCGCTAAAAGTAAGCAAGCTGTCCTCCGGTCTTCCACCATACACATGGCGAGCCACCTCTCCGGACTCGGGCCTCACAGACCCATCTTGGTTCTGAGGCTCCTCACCTCACTTCTCTTGACATTCACTACCGACCTCGACAGCTGACTCTCAGACGCCTGCATCCGTCCGCGCTCGCAGAAAAGCCCGGAAATCCCCTTCGGCCATCCCCTCCGGCGACTCAGACACAGAGGACGAGGACGATCTCGACGCCGATGCCGAGCTGGACGAGACACTCACTTGGGGAGATACGCTTCTTTTCCCAGTCATGGGTAGCGTGGCGCTGCTAGGGTTCTATATGGTCTTGAAGTATGTGGGGAAGGAGTGGATCAATCTGATCTTGGGGGTATACTGTGAGTCTGATGTCTTGCTAGTAAAAGACAGCTGGGAGGGTTTCATCATCCGACGTAGTAGCTGACGCAGATAGTTTCTGGAGCCGGAATGTTCGCTATGCACTCTGTGAGTCCCTCTTCCTCTCTGAGCGAATGGAAGGCTCGTACCCTTCCTCGCTTCAAAGCTCGGAAGCCCCGCTGACAATTAGACTTTCGATACCCTCATCTCCTTCTTCCTCCGCACAGTCGGCATCAAGCCCGCTAAATATCACTTCCGCGTGTCCTCCAAGCTAAGGCGTAAGCTCTATCTGTCGGACCCAAAACTGATCAGCCAGAGGTCTTCCACGCCTCATTCACACTCCCCTCGCTCCTCCTCATTCCCCTCTCGATCGCCCTTCCGGCGCTCTACATTCCCCTCGGCCGACCTTATGTCCTCTCCAACCTCATCGCGCTCTCGTTGAGCACGGCCACTCTCCAGCTCCTCAAGCTCGACTCGTTTCTCACTGCCGGTGTCCTCCTCGGCGCTTTGCTAGTCTATGACATCTTCTGGGTATGTCTCAGCTCACCGCTTCCCCGAACCTTCCTTGGGCTTTCAGCTGATCTTTCAGGTCTTTGCCACTCCCGTGATGGTCACAGTAGCCAAAGGGCTCGACGCACCTATAAAACTCCTCGCCCCTCGTCCGTCTACCGGTACCGTCACAGACTTCGCCATGCTGGGACTGGGCGACGTCGTCGTTCCGGGTCTCATGGTTGCTCTTTGCCTTCGTTTCGATCTGGCTCAGTATGCCCGACGGCATCCCGGAAAGGACGTCGGGCCGAGGAGCAGCTTCAGCAGGCCATATTTCTGGACTGGAGTGTTCAGCTACCTGCTGGGTCTGGCGATTACGATGAGCGTCATGACGTATTTCAAGAGGGCGCAGCCGGCGTTGCTGTACCTTTCGCCTGCGTGCAGTAAGTCGTAGCATCTCTGCTATCACAGGACCGGCATCGCCAGCTGACACAGTAGTCCTCGGGCCGTTCCTCCTTGCTCTTGTCCGTGGCGAGATTGCCGATCTCTGGGCATACAAAGAAGGCGCGGAGGATTCGAAGTCGATAGTGGACGAGACGATCGAGCGCGGGTCCGAGATTGCTCAGAAGGCACGGGCGGAGGCGAGGGCAAAAGCTGCTGCGCTGGCAGATGGGGTCTCTGGCGGGGAAGGGGAAGATAAAGCGAGCGGAGCGGAAGGGGAGGAGCAGGACGGGGCAGTCGAGGGAGATGATAGCTGGATGGAGGGCGGAGTAGCTGGGAGTGGGCAAGAGGGGAAGGCGAGAAAGAGGCGGACAAAGAAGAAGTAGCGCGTTCACCTGCTCAAGTCCAGGCCGATTCAAACCAAAATGCATCAATTGCCAGATCTTCGGTGATTACCTTTCCACTTTTCGTGGATACTACGTCCAGCGCCTCATCTACAAACCCCTCCACTCGAGATCCTCCTCGATGGTGAACTTGACCTCGCCCTCGAGCGTCTGCGCGTCCCGCCCAATCTTGATGGTCCATTCGCCCTGCTCCGCCCGGAAAGTTTTGTACAGGTCGTCCCAGTGCGAGATGGCGTCTACTCGTCAGCTCATTCCCTCTCACAAGCCAAGACAGACTCACACTTGTCCAAAGTAACCTTGACGGTCTCCTTCTTGCCCGGCTGGAGATTCTCCACCTTTCCAAACGCCTGAAGTGAATGGCTGGGGTGACGCAGACCCGTCTCCGTCTCGTTTGGCGGGCACGTGTAAAAGTGGACCGAGTGGCTCCCCGCCTTCTTGCCCGTATTCTCCACCGTCACCTCGACGTCCATCATCCAGTCCTTGGCATCCGTGACGCCCTCCTTGGGCTGGCCCGTGATCTTGAGACCCGAGTACGCGAACGACGTGTAGGAAAGACCGTGGCCGTACGGGAAGAGCGGTGCGATCCCGCGCGCATTGTGGTGCTTGTACCCGACCCAGATACCCTCTTCGTAGTGGATCTTGGTGCGCGCCGACTTGAAGTTCTGGGAGGCGGCAATATCCTGTTCTCGGACAGGGAGGGAGATGGGGAGACGGCCCGAGGGGTTGACGGACCCGTAGACGATATCGGCGATGGCGTTGCCGGTCTCGTTCCCGCCGTACCAGGCGTACACGACGCCCGCGACGTCATTGATCCATGGCATGGACACGGCCGAGCCGGCTTGGATCACGACGACGGTATTGGGGTTGGCGGCGGCCACGCGGGAGATGAGCTCGTCCGACCGCAGGGGAAGAGAGAGGGTAGGACGGTCGTACCCCTCCGACTCCCAGTCGGCGTTGAGGCCCGCAACGATGACGGCGGTATCGACCGACTTGGCGAGTTTGACGGCGTCCTCGATAGCTTGGTCGGCGTCAAAGACGGGGAAGGCGCCGACGCGGATACCGACGATTCGGAAGGGGGTATTGGCGCCTGCTTTGGCAAACTTGCCGGCGCGAGCGTCGTGCAGAGCTCGGACTTGGTAGGTCTGCGAATCAGCGAGCGTCCACACAGTTTATGAAGTGACATACCTTGCCCTTCTGGACCTTGGCGCTCCCCTTGACCTCAACCGTCCCGCAGTTGAAGAAGCTGGTCCCCCTGACCTGCTCCACCGTATTGTCGACCACCAACTCCCCGTCCACCCACAGCTTGGCCTGACCAGTGACCGCGAGCGAGAACTCGTACTCGCCATCGATAGGAGAGGTGAGGGTCGAGGTGAGCTCGGTAAGCCACTGCGGCCCAAGCTGAGGGAAGCCCTCCGCCATGAACATGGAAGACTCGTCCCATTCCTCCGTCACGGCCGGCTCGGACCCCTCGATCGACATCTCCTCGTCCTTGAGCGGGTAGTGTTTGAGGTCGAACCCCTTGTTTCCGGAAGCGGCGGTGAAGTTCTCGTCCAGAACAGGGAGGAACTTGGCCGTGTACGCGCCGAGGGTGTATTCGAGCTCCACTCCTTCCGGCTTGTTCGCCTCCAACCCCTCCCATGGGGACTGGCTCCATAACGAACGGAGCTGAGCCGACCCACCGCCCGTAAGCACCTTGGCCTTGGCGTTAGGTCCCATGATCCCCACCTTCCGCTTGCCCTGGATAGGCAACACCTCCTTCTCATTTTTGAGCAGGACCGTCCCGTCCGCTGCGAGCTTGCGAATGACCTTGGCGTCCTCTGTCTGCTCGGACGAGCGCGTCTTCTCCTTGCTCGGCTTGGCGTAGACGAGCTCGGTGTTGGCTTTGGTAAGCTTCTGCACCCAAGTGAGAGTCTCGCCGACGACCTTGTCGATGGCCCGGGGGTTGATCTTGTGTGCGCGGATCAGGTGGTTGACTTGGTGGGAACCGCGCCAGACGGTCGGGCCGGGCATCTCGACATTGAGGCCGGCGTTGATCGATTCCGAGACAGAGTATGTGCCGAACCAGTCCGACATGACGAGGCCGTCGTGCTGACGCATCAGCTACTATTTCCAAGTCATGAGGAGGCGGAAAGAGAACGTACCTTCCACTCGCCTCGGAGAAGATCCTGGAGAAGCCACTTGTCCTCAGAGCAATGCGTGCCGTTCAGCTTGTTGTACGACGTCATGTACCTAACAATCAGCGTCATGTCAACTTGCAAAGGACTTGACTCACGCCCAAGGCTGACTCTTGGCCTGAGCAATCTGGAACGGCCGGAGATACACCTCTCTTAACGTCCGTTCCGCCATGATGGAGTCCACACCATTCCGCTCATGCTCGCCATCATTCGCGACGAAGTGCTTGATCGTCGCCGAGACACCATTGTCCTGCAGTCCCTTGACGTACGCAGCGGCGATGAGGCCCGAGTGCGTCGGGTCTTCTGAGTAGGATTCGAATGCGCGACCGCCGAGGGGAGAGCGCTGGATGTTGATGGTAGGCGCCAGTAGGCAGGTCGCGTTTCGGGCTTTGGTTTCCTTGGCGAGGAGATGGGCGGCGGTCTCAATGAGGGATGTGGAGAAGGTCGCGCCGAGAGCGGTTGCACATGGGATAGCCGAGGCGGGGCCTGCAGGTCAGCGGGGATCATGGCAGAGTTGGCAGAAGGCTCACACATGTGGTAGAACGATTCTCCACGAGCGCCGTTAGGTCCATCAGTCACCTTGACGCTAGTAAGTCAGCGCAACTCTCCTCGGACAGCGTGATCACCAAGAAGTTCCCCTTCCGCAGATCAAGTGAAGCGGAACGAATGAGGCAGACCGCTAGCTTACCTAGGGATGTTCAACCTTGGTACTGGCACAGTGCTACCTCATTAGCTTTGCATCACATACCCCACCCAGACTTGACTCACTTCCACCAGTCCTTCCCCGCCAACAAGCTAATCTTCTCCTCCATCGTCAGCTGCTTGAGCAGCTCCGGGATGCTCGCATCGAGGAACGAGCGATCCATCTGGTCGTTTGTCTTTGTCTTTTCCGCTGTCGACATTTTGTCTCTGTCTTTTCTTTGTTTTCCTTTGTTGCAGCGCGAGAGATGCTGATGCAGATGAAGGGAGTCATGATGAGAGAGCCGAGTATATAGGTGCGGAGGTGGGAGGCGCCCGGACCAAGCGGCCGGTGGACTCTGGCGGGACCCGGGGTTTATCCGGCGGCACAGTGTGGGGTTGTGGAGGGTTTATCCGGGCTTGGCGACCCGCCGAGAGCCGCCGAGTGGCCGCAGAGTGGCACCGCATCAGACCGCAGCTGCAGCGAGTCCCACGCCTGTTGGCCAAGCAGTAGGGGATAGCGATAGCAAGGAACCTCATCGACCATCGACCATCCTGGATAGAGCACCTCTTGGGACGAAGATATGCATCAGATAATAACCGCTATGACCCACAGCGGCACCCACACCGCAAATACCCCTGGCCAAAACGCATTCCCCAACACCTCCCACTCCGCCCTCAAGCCGGGCAACGCCCACTGCACCAGCGCTGGGTGCGCCGCGAGCGCTACAAGCCGTACCGATCTATACGGCACCAGATACGCAATAGTGACCGTAGCGAGCAACAGGGACTGGGGGTAGTTGAGCATCGCCAGCGTCGGGATCATCGCCCCATATCCGATATGCGCAAGGCACCGGACCGTCTCCCTCGCTCTTCCCTCCGGACGAGGAAGGAGGAACGCCAGTATCGAGACCAGTGGGGTCTGGGCGATCCATGCCAGTCCGCCAATCCCCATCGAGAGAAGGAGGTAGAGCATGCCCGCGGGAGAAGGGGGCTGAGGGCACGCCAGACCGCCAATGACGACAGAGGCGCCGAGGAGGATGGACGAGGGGAGGTAATTGCCCACGGGGATGAAGTGGCCGGGAGACGGGAGGAGGTAGAAGAAGTACGAGGCGTGGAGGCGTTCAAGGAGGTTGTTTAGTGATCGAAGGGTCGATTCGAGGGTCCGACCAAGGGTGTGAAAGCCGTGTGGTCCGGAGGCGGGGGTGCAGTAGAGAGTGGACGAGTCGATACGGTATCTGGGAGTCAGCTTTGACATTGACCAATCCTGCTCAGGACGTGTTGGGCATTGAAAAGCTCACTTTGCCATGACTCCATGGGCCCCACTCGCCCGCCCTAGCGCCATATACCCCGCATGCGTCCAAAGATGCCTCGCACCGACGACATACCGCTCCACCATCCCCCTGACATCCTCTCTACCCGGTATACTTCGCACCCACTCCGGCGCCTCCTCTGGCACATCATGTAATCGCATCTCGACCCCTCCTGCCCATTTCCCGACATGCGCGATCGTGTTGGGTACGTCCTGATTCGGGAGCCGGCCGTTCAGCCCCTCATAGAAGACCCCGAGGTGCGAGAAGGAGTGACCGGGATAGTCGATGTTAAGACCGGTCCAGATGACGCCGGGGAAGAGGGTGTGGTACGAGGCCAGGAAGGAGGAGAGGCCGGTGAGGTACGAGTCACCGATGACGAGGACGAAATTGAATGCCCAGTGGTTTTGGCCTAGGAGTGAGCTTGGTCTTTTGCTCAGGCTCAAGAAGGGCAGTCTTGTCCTATCATGAGGAAGACAGCGGGAGATGTGAGAGGGCATCGAAGAGGAGATAGCGTACCTCTCAGAAAGTCACCCATGGCCAACAAAGTGGCCACTCCCCTCAAATTCGGACCCCCATCCCTCGACACCCAATTCGCCGAAATAAGAATCGTCTCCGTCCCAGCCGACCTCGGAGGCATTACGCTCGCATAGACCGCTGATGTCGTGTTGCCCGCCGAAAGGCCCGCTTCCGAGAACGCTTGGATGAGGTATGCACTCCGCCTGATCGTCAGCTTGCCTCCTCCTCACCAAGAAGCTGTATAAGCGAGAATGAGGGGAGGAAAAGCTCACTCGTCAAACGTGCTGTTGCTCCTCACAAGCTCTTCTAGGCGTTCGAGAAATTGATCCGCTTTATGCACATTCGGCCAATCCCAGTACATTGTCACCTAGCCATCAGCTCGCATACTTAAAGATGGCTGCGCCAGCTCACCTGTGCAGGCTGAAGCGAATGCTCGTCTATATATGTCCCCTTCCATAATCCGTCATACGGGAGCGCCAGCACCCAGAGATAGCCCAGGATGACCATTGCTATCCGTAGGAGCAGGACGAAGCGCGCTTTCTTGGGACCCCATGATATTTCTTCGAGCGATCTGGGGACGCATCCAGGCGGTGATGGCTTGGAGGGGAGGATGGACGGGTGTGAAAGCGAAGGGTCGGGATTGGGGGAAAGTGCTCGTCCTTTGCCTTTCGATGATGCGGCTGGGAGGCGATGACGGAGCGCAGAGGCTGAAGACTCGGCTACTGGCTCGTCATGGAACGGCTGGGATGTCGACATGATGGTGGAGTGGAGCGATGAGGGGGAGAAGACGGGAGTGAAAGCGCAAGCTTTGAGCTTCGAGGGTTGGAGGAGAGGTCCGAGCTAGATTGCCAGCGCGACCGCTTCGCTGCGCTTATTGATTGGAGATTCAAGGTACACCAGCGATAGGATGGGATTGCCAAATGCGCTTTCGGACGTGTCTGTGTCTATGATCTATGCCGATCGTAGAATGGAGGCTGAGAAGCGGAGGAGCAGAAAGTAGAGTACTGAGGAATGTGGTGTCAAGTGGAGGTTGCTCTTGCAGCTTCTAGGTGGAGGCAGTCTTGGATATTGGATCTTGATTCTTGGACCTGTCGGCCATGCTCTGCCCATCTCCTCTCTAGTGTAGGCGAACACCGCTATACCTCATCACATCATCAGATCAAACTAGACACGAACCATGTAAAATTTCTCAGACGATTGACCGACCGCTATGTATTGAGCCCGCACTACTCCTCGCCGCCTAAGCTACTCGAAATACCAAACCACATCAATCATGCCCGCCGCGACCGGCGCAAATCTTGTGAATGCCGCCTGGGAGAGATCCAGCCCGCCCGCCGCGCAAAAGATACACTGGTCGACTATCTGAACGTTCTTGAGGGTGATTCCGCCCGATTGGACGGTTATTCGTTTGAAGCACTTGTGGCCGGGGACTGCGGGCGTCAGCTATGCGCTTGCAAGACGTCTGCGGCGGGGTGGGCGGGGATCTGGCTGGGTGAGGGAGTAGGACTGTTGGAGCTGGTCTGAAAGAAGGGGTTGAGGCAGGTGAGGAGGTGGGTCGTTGGGTCGTTGGGTCGTTGGGTCGTTGAATTGCACGAGAAGTCCGGGAGGGAGGTAGAGGGTAAGGGAGAGGGAGGGTACTTACATCCGCTCCCAAACTGGGCCGGGGGGATAGCACCGACCAAGTCGGTCGCACGCGTGACTCGGCCTGTCCTGTCAGCCATCTCCCTCTTCCATGGCTTCCTACCGCGCCGACACTGAAGAAAAGACGTACCGCAAGCCCCAAGACCAGGCTCATAGATTGTCGCTCTGCCCATGTAGATCTGTGCCTGGCGTCTCTCTACCGCCAATCCGCCGGCGGATACCATGTCCCTGCCGGCGATGGGGCCGCCTCCGTCAACGAGGGAGGCTGTGCCCGGGTCGAAGGCGGGCATGGGCGAGGCGATGCTGAGTGTGAAGCATGAGAAGAGGGTGAGGAGGACGAAGAGGGGTTGGAAGGTGATGAAGGAGGAGGTGGGGCGCATGTTGGGTGTTGGATCTTGTTTCGGAGATTTTGAGTAGGTGTAATATCGGGGTTGGGTCGGAGGAGAGCTGCAGACGAGGTCAGGGGATGTCTACCAGGCTTTATAGGCCTTGAGAGCGGAAACAAAGAATCAAAGGGGGCTCGAGAAGCATTAGATGATTAGTACCCTCAAATCTTTGTGAGAGCCCATATGGACGCGTCCGCATACACGCCCACTGGGGCTGAGTTTGGTGCCTTTCCTCGTGCCTCGCCATCCCTCCCCATCAAAAGTCAGCCTTCTTGATCAGTAGGCCATAATGTATGAGACAAAGTTAGTGATGGTCAATGAGAAAGTTGATCAGCCATCAGTGGGGTGCTCACGGAAGACCGAAGGAGACCGAACTCTATGCACCCAAATACGAAATATAGGTGAAGGAAAACCGTTGGGTACCGAACTAGCGGCCCCGCACACAAATAGATACACGAAGAGGTAACAGAGAGAGAGAAAGCCGAAATGTCCATACTATAGCCAGATTGAATGTCCGCATTTCGTCCGCTCCGCTCTGCCTGTTTCTACCCAACACACCTCTCGTCACTCCCTCTTCCCACTCCCTCGCTTGAGACCTTTCCGCCGTGTCCGGGACGCTCCGTTATGCCCCCTGGGCACCCACCACAATCAACTGCCCATAGTTCGCCACCAGCCCATTGATAGCCATCAAATTGTTTCCCTGTACCGCCTGCTGAGCTCCACCTCCGCCTGCTCCCCCGGCTGCACCCGAAACCGACGCGCTCGCGCTCGCCGCCGACGCCGACACTGACGTCGAGGACGACGTGCCGTTGTATGACGATACGACCGCGAAGGGGTTGACGGTCCCGTTGACGCTGGCGGAGGACGACGATGAGGCGTACGAAGATGAGGATGAAGAGGAAGGGGGAGGGGTGGTGGCGGATGAGCTGCTGGGTGCGACCCATGCGGAGGAGGAGGGGGGTGTCCATGTTGTGGTAGGTGCGGGAGGAGGCGACCAGGTCGATGTCGGTGCTTGCCAGGTCGAAGTGGGGGGTGTCCAGGTGGAGGTAGGCGCGACCCAGTGAGAGGTCGTTGTGGTGCTGGGTGCAGGGGCGGGCTGGTCGTCAGCCAAGATTCTCGGGCCAAGCAAAAAGACGGCGACTTACAGCTTGTCCGTCGAACCACCAAGTCACTTGAATCACACCCGCACCTTCATCCGCGAACCGCTTGAACAGACCGGGGGACAGGTCCAGCCCGCCAAAGTCGCACGTGGGGCACTCGTCCATGATTTGCACGCCGCCGACGGTGACGCCGTTGGCTTGGACAGTGATCATTTTGAAGCATTGTGGGCCGGGGTCTGCATGTCAGCTTTGTCCCCCGGGATACAGGATATCGTAAACTTACATCCACCGCCGTATTGAGCCGAGTTGAGGGCGACCATATAGTCCGAGTCCTTTGAGTATTGGCCTATCCGTCAGCTCGGACCATGGCGAAGAGGACGATGGACAAGCTTACCGCACGCGCCAAGACCGGTATAGTAGAATGTCCCTCGGCCGTTGAACGACTGCCTCTTTGCCAACGTCGCATTGTGCTGGTTGGCATCCCTAATCTCCAGGTCCCGCTCTTGCTCCGGACTGGTCTTTGCGAGACGCTTGTGTGCGCGCCTGTTGTTGGATTTATGGTTGGACGACCCGGCGGCGGCGAAGGGGGAGAGGAGGAGAAGGGGGAGGGCAAGGGCGTCGACGCGCATATTGGTGATACTGATGGGCAGTGAGGTGGTTGAGTGATAGAGGTAATTGATGAAGGATCAATTAGGCGATCCTTTCCGTTGTCGTGGATGTGGAGCGGGAGCGCGAGGCGAAGGGCGGTCGTGCGAAAGGATGAGATCAGTTGTCAAGCTGAAGCTGAAGGTCCGAGCGTGGAGCGTGGAGCGTTGTGGTTGTTTATCGTGTGTGTTTCGGCCGGTAGGGTGTGGTGTGGACGACGGGCGGGGCTGGACGTTGTGTCGCGGAATGAGCGTGATTGTTTCAAAGAGTGTGAGTGAGTTGGCTGGTTTGTCGTAGTTAGTGGTCGATATGGATAGAAGAGAGAGAGAGAAGGAGATACGTTGAAGGAAAGGGGGGTCAAAGACTAGAGTCAGGGCGAACAACGTTCACTCAGCCAACAAGATGAAACACACAACCCCCTTCCCTTGGCTTTAGCGCTAGGACCTCCGTTTCCATTAGCTTTTTGCTATACTGGTCAGTGCTAATAGTAATACCCTTTCCTGATGAACGTGTGGAGCTGTCCTGTCCAGCATGTCAAGCTGTGCGTCGTGGTGAGGGTAGCGTTGTTTACCTTGCCCCGTCAGTTGGTGTACTGCACTTTTTAGGAGGTAAACAACGGCACGGAACGAATTACGGCAGTTCGGCCCGGGAATGCGTCATTCCGCCGGGACCTTTCTTCTGGCTCCGACCGATGGGAGGGGGCTCGAATAAGAGGTGAGCTTTGGGTTGCACGTGGTCCGCTTACCTCAGCAAACAAGCTGCTGCCCCTTTTTGGCTGATGACCGCGCAGGTCCTCCCTCGTCGCCATTGCGCCATCTCGCTCTGTATAGCTCCTTCTTGACTGGCTCGTCCTCACCCATTCACCTACCACTCACCCATCTGACTACTGCGCACGACCACAAGCATCGGGGACCGAAACTGCTACGACCGAAAGACTAATACGTGCGCCTGCGCCAGGTTTATCCGGAGATCCATCTCGAGGGCGAGGTATTCAGTCTCCGTCTTCTGCAAGAAGGCAGAGAAGCGGGAGGGAAAGTGGGACTGGGGATTCGGGCAGAGCGGGAAGATTTGCGAAGGCATTCACTCTGGCTCTTTGTCTGAGCAGGGCGGTCCAGGCGAGCTTCTAGGCGCAGCAGTCTCCTCTCCCGGAGGCAGGAGAGGACCTCTCGAAACTCCATCTCGCTCGGTCACCTCTTTGCGGTCCATCATCTATCATGCACAACCAGCAGCTTCCGCACCACTCGCATTCGGACCCCTGGGCGCTCAACTACATCTGCTGTGATGCCTCACACGCCGCTTCGTCCTCTATCCCCTCGACCAGCACGCCTCAGATGACCTCTCGAGGCGCCGGCTTCACCTCCACCGCCGCTTCGCCCCTCGCTGGGATATTCCCACACTCCCACCCCTTCCCCTTCCCCTCGCCCTCCAATCTTAGCCCAGCGGGGCCAGCTCGACCTCACGCTCCCGGTCAGCAGGCACATTCATGCGAAGCGGATCAATGCTGTACGGAACCCGCTTGCGGTCCGGTGGAATGCTGCACCGATCCCTTATGCTCCGCGGACCGGTGCGACGAGCTGCACTCGCACGAGCATCAGCATCTTCAGCTGGGGTTGCAGCAGCCACAGCCCGGCCTCGGTGGTGCCGGCGCTGGTGCAGGTGCAGGGGACAGTGGCGTTGATGGCGCGCTGGGCGGGATGGAAGGTGACGAGTTGATGAAGTGGGCATGTAGCAAAGAGGGGTGCGAGGCTATCCAGCAATATGTAAGTTCGCAGAAATGTCTCTCATATCATGGGCTTTGCCATCCTTTGTCTTTGCTCGTGTTTCCTGTGGTTCAGATTTGGGGGAGCGCTGCTGATACCGTTTAGTTGGAATGCTGTACTCAGCCTGATTGTCAACTACCTATCGTCCCGCCAGCGAACGAGTCTGGTCAAGTCGGTACAACATCGGCGCACTACCATATGCCAAGCGGACTGACTGGACTCGATAATATTTCGGGTGGACTGCAATCGCCCTTCCAGCTAGGGTCGCCTGCTGCTGGTACCGGTCAACATCGGAACCATCACCAGCACCAGCACCAGCAGCAATCGTCCATCTTCGGCGGCGGGGTCAACCTCCATCAATTTCAATCTCAGTCTCGACCCTCCTCTTCCTCGTCCACCTTTCACCAACACCAGCACCAGCACCCGCACCAGCATCAGCATCCCCATCACCACAACCACAACCACAGTCACAGCGCGCAAAACCACCATCCACATCACCACTCGCACTCTCATCAATCCCATCATCCGCTACAGCACCAACAGCTGCATGAGCACTCTCACCAGCATGCCCACTCTCACTCGCATTCCCACCATTCTCACGCGCACATGCACCGTTCCTCCCAATCGCTCCAGCATCAACTCCCCTCATTCCAGCAACACCGCCATCCCCACTCACACTCACACAATACCTCCATCTCCTCGCTGCCCCAATCAACAATGACGAGTCCCGATATTCTCCCCTGGTCAACCTCTTCCTCGGCCCTTACACCCGCTTCTAACGCCTCCCAAACCCCCGCGACCAACTCCGGCCCCGCGCCGATGGTCTTCCCGACTCATGTGTGCCACTGGCAGAACTGTCACCTGACGTTCTCGTCCATGCCCGACCTGCTCGCACACGTCGCAGCGGACCACCTGGGAGCACCGGGGTTCGGTCCGTCAAATCCTCTACCTCCGCCAACCGGCAGCGAAAATAGTCCGGCGCTGTTCCTCCCGCATCAGGCACACGCGCTTGAGGAACAGCATCAGCAGCAGCGGCAGCGGCTCCAGGCGCACCAGGAGGAGCAGCGACGACGGCAGGCCCAGACTACCGGTCAAACTCAAAGTCAAGGTCAAGGACCGGGTCAAAGGCAGAGCCAGATGCTTTCTCACTCTCAAAACCCCTTCGACCCTCCCTCCACCTCTACGTCCACGTCCAACCTCCTCCCCTCTCTCTCCGCCCTCGGCTTTCCCCCCACCTCCTCTTCCTCGACTTTCCAAGCCGAACAAGACCGCCTCCTCTCTTGTCTATGGGACGACTGTTTCCCCCTCCCTACCACCTGCTCCGCCGAGGACCCGCTCCAGTGTCCGCCGCACACGCACATCCCCGCCCCCGCCGACTGTACAGTGCAGCACCCGCACTCGCACACCCACACCCACCTCGCCGCGAATGGGGGCGGCGAGCCGTTTAGTCCGCAGACGATGTTGCGGCATGTCCTGGAGGAGCATCTGGGGGTTCCGGGCGATATATTGGGGTGGGAGGCGGGAGATGCGGATTTTGCGCTGGAGCAGCTGGCGGGCGGTGGCGCTGGCGCTGGCAGCTTCGGTGGAGTCGGTAATGATGGCGGAGGGTTCTCGTTTGGACAAGCGGGGTCGGTAGTGGGTGGTCCACAGACGGAGAAGGAGCTGGAATTACCGCCAGCCGCTTTGCCTCTGCCCCTTGCGGCCTCCGGAATCAGCGCTGGCGCTAAGGGGCACAAACGCCTTAAATCGACAGCGGACCCCACTCTCCCTACTCCGCCGCAATCGGACCCTTCGCCCGCCTCACCCCCCAAACCCCTCTTTTGTCAATGGCACGACTGTACTCATTCCGCCCCGTTCAATACGCCCGCGGAAATGATGGATCATCTCTCCGAAGTGCACGTGGGGAGGGGGAAGGAGAGTTATGCGTGTCTTTGGGGAGAGTGCGCTTGTCCTGCCCATGCCCACGCCCATGCCCAGCCGCAGACCGAGGTGGTCGAGGGGTCGGATACGTCGTCGTCGGATGATAAGGGTGCAGAAGGGGAGGACTCTGGCGGCAGCGGCGGTGGTGATGGCGGCGGTAGTGGGGACAGAATCGCCGGCAGCACCGAAATCGCAACCACCGGTCGCGTCTTCCGATCCCGCCAAAAAGTCTTGCGCCATCTCCAATCCCATACCGGCTATCGCCCGTACGTGTGTACAGTCTGCGATCAGGCTTTTAGCGAGGCGGCACCGCTCGCGGCGCATCTACGGAGACATAATGAGGAGAAACCGTTTGTGTGTGGGTATGAAGGATGCGGGAGGGGGTTTGCGATTAGTAGTAGTTTGACTATACACATGGTGAGTTGTCTTTCTCCCCGCCTGCCCGCTCTCCGCTCGGAATTCCAGTCGAGAGGATTCAGCTGATATGCAGCGAACACACAATGGCGAAAAACCCTTCATCTGCCCCCACTGCCATAAAGGCTTTGTGGAGGCATCTAACCTAACCAAGCACATCCGGACGCATACGGGTGAGAAACCGTTTGCGTGTCCTCATCCGGGGTGCGGGAAACGGTTTCCGAGGCCGGATCAGTTGAAGCGGCATGTCGGGATACACGAGAAGGAGAAGGAGAGGGAGAAGGAGGGTGTGGGGGTGGGGGCTGTGGGGAGGAAGAAGGGGGGAAAAGTGAAGAGTAAAGCGGGATGAAGGGGGGAATTTGGGTGGGTGAGAAGGAACGGGCGCGCGGGAGAGGGCCTGGGTGCTTGGTGCTCCGTGCAGGAAGCTCTGACTTGATATTATGCAGCCATCATTGTCGATCCGTTAACTTGAGGGCTTGCGGTGCATGGCTGTCCGATCTCTAGCGGTAGGAGTGGTGGGCTAGAAGTATTGATACATCTCATCTCATGTCTGATCTACTGACACCATTCGCTCTACTTTCTTGTCTACAGGTCTTCCCGCAAGCTATACGACCAGCGTCAAGCTCCCGGCCTCCTCCGCCCTCCGTCAGTCGCCCACTGTCCTCTGGCGGTCCCACCGGGACCTTAGACAACAGGATCATTCGCGCTACTATACATCATCAGCTACCATCCCTTCTCTATGCTCTCCCATGAGGAGGCGCAGCGTCAGAACCAAGAGCGTAAACCCACTAAGGCTTGACCCCGCTCCCGTCGTTACTGACCGGGTACGTATCGCTCTCCGGCTCGTCCGACGTCGTATCCACCGCTGGCGCAGGCGTATCCGCACCCGCGCCGCCGGCCCCGTCCTGCCGCTTGGCCCTGCTGATGGCTTTGCTGATACCGCCGGCGCCGCCGACGGGGATGAAGGGCTTGAGTCCGGAGGCCGAGTCGGCTTGGACGGGGTAGGTATCCGATTCGGGCTCGGCTTGGGTGAGTTGGCGTTTGGCGAGAATACTGCAAGGATCAGTGTTGGTGCTTGATCAGCGGGATAAAACATCATCGGCAACGAGGGGAAGTACGAATAGAGTGGGGGACTGAGATATCGATGGAGATAGCTCACTCAGCTTCAAGACTCCTTCGGTCTTCCTCGTGGAAGAAGTCGATCCCGCCATCTCTATCCCTATCAGTCTTTGTCCTTCCGGCCGCCCTACCAGAGGAAGAGGATGAAGTGTGGAGGGTGGTAGAGTGGACTTACGCGCTCGCTCGGACAGCGATGTTGCTCGGAATCTCGCCGTGCTGGTATGCCATCCCAAGGGAGGCTGCACCAAGGGCAAAGAGGACTGAGGGGAGGCGCATGTTGATGTTTGGCTTGGGTTGGGTTTTGGCTGAGAGGTACGCCTTGATGGTGTAGCAGAAAGCAGGTAAATGAGCTAGTATCGAGCCATATATAGCCTAGCTGTGCTCAAAACAAGATAAACGTCCAAGATACATCGCCTATACCTGCACGTCAACAACCCAGAAGCTTGCTTGACGACCGCCCATATCCGTATCTAAGCAGCAGCGGCGGTCGCAGCGGGCCGTTTCCGCTTATTCCCCGAAACGATCTTCTTGCCCTTCTTTTGCGGCTCATCCCATGCTTTCGCAGTTGGTGCACCGAGCAATGTTTCGTGGCCTGGACATATCAGCTTTTGCCCTCCCCAGTCTATGTCCACCTGGGCAACCACGGCGTCTGAAGCGAAAACTCACCGGAAGCTCTGACGAGATCATCAATGATGACCTTGCTCCCTCCGGTAGGATACCTCGCCGATACGCCCCTGGCGACAAGCGGCTCCTTCATCAGGTGCTTGAGCTCCGCTTTGAGATTAGCGACCGATTCGGTCCGATTTCCTTTTCGGCGATGTTGAGGCCGGATATGGGGTCGGTCGAATGTCAGTTCGCCGTCGTCCAGCCTGCCCAGTCAGCTCTACGTCCACTTCGACATGAGGTCAAGGAAAGAAAATGGGAAACAGAGCTCACATATCATCGTCCAGATCGATATCCATCGCCTCGGCAGCCTCCTTGAGCCAATTCCGATCGTGCGTCTCTTTCTTGACTTCGTGTTGCGCCTTCTCGATCGCCTGAGCGACGCGAAGACGTTCTTTTAGTTTGGGAAGGAAGCCACTTTCGATAGGTAGTTCGGGTAGTTCCACAGCTGAAGCAATCAGCTTAAACCCTTATTTCCTCCTTTTCGCTGCCATCTCTCCTCTTCCCCATCCTGTTCTTCTCATCTCGGCCGACCTTCTCTCCACGACCCTGACATTCCCTGTCCTTCTCCCCGATCCTGATATCCCCGTTCAGTAGAGGACCCAAACTCACTCCTTCCCAAACTCCTCATCAAACTCCGCTGCATCCCCCTCTCCTCCGCACTAACAATCTGCAACGCAAACCCCGGGTTCTGGGCACGCGCCGTACGTCCACTCCGGTGGATATAGGCGTCTGCCGTGCGGGGCAAGTTGAAGTGGACGACGTGGTCAACGTTGGGAATGTCGAGACCGCGCGAAGCGACGTCGGTGGCTATGAGAACGGCGGATTTGGCTTCTTTGAATCTGAAAGTCAGCTCCGGCCTGCGATAAGTGATCATCCCCAATCGTGAGCATGGCTGGAGATGGATATCAAGGGAGACGAGGGTATGGCGGGACCTACCGGTCAAGATTCTTCAGTCGCTGCTTTTGCTGCAACTGCGAGTGCAAGGGGTACACCGGCATCTGCAACATCTCGAACAAGGGGATGAGTCGGCGAATACCGTCGATGCTGCCGGTGAAGACCATCGTTCGGCCGGGGTAGCGAAGGAGGAAGTAGTAAAGGTAGAGATCCTAATTCATCAGCTTCTGCCTCTTTCAGCTGGCCGAATTACGGATCAGTAGCTCACCTTGTCTGTAACGACACACTCGACCATACTCTCCCTCAGCGTAGCAACGACACCTCCTTCCGGACTCAGATCGATAACTTCGGGATTCGCATCTCTAAAGTCCAGCCGATCCACCAGGTCCTCTGCAGAGTATCAGCTTTCGCCTAATCGAAGAAGGCAAAGGAGGCGGGAGAGCTCACCCAATGCTGAAGCCCGCTTGGTTCCATTCTTCGGTTTCCGCTGTTTCCGCTTCAAGTTTTGCTGCAGGTCTTTCGAGAGCGTCGCGGAGAAGACGAAAGTCTGCATGTCTTCCCGAGGGCGGGATTCGGGCGCAGAGTCAGAGTTGGCGGCTGCGAAGACGGGGTCGTCGTCGTCTGGCCCGGCTGTAGAGCTGTAGAATCAGCTACAATCCTGGCGCATGGATAAGATGATGACTTACGCTCCCTGCCTTTGAGTCAGACGAACGATGTTCTCCAGTTCGGCGAAGTGCCCATTCTCGATCATACGGTCCGCTTCGTCAATAATCAAGAACTTGAGGGTTCTTACGCCAGTAGCAAGATCCTCATCCTACACTGTCAGCTAGGCCCAAAATGTAAAATGGGGTCGCTGCTCACCGACTTGATCAGGTCCCACAATCGTCCTGGCGTAGCAACCAGGATATCCGCGCCCCGATCTACGATCCTCTTCTGCTTATGCGCGCTCAGACCACCAATAACACTCCCTATACTGACTCGTGGGGGCTTGTTGTGCTTCTTTGCCTGTGCGCGCTCCTCGTCGTCCATCAGGTGCGCTACGACCTTTTGGAGGTGGTCTACCACTTGAAGCGCAAGCTCTCTTGTTGGGCAGACGATGAGGGCGGATAGCGGGCGACGGGTGGACTTCGACGGAGTGGGCGAGAGAAGGAGGTGTGAGAGGATAGGAAGGGAGTAGGCGAGGGTTTTACCGGAACCCTAGCTTGTCAGCTTGGTCTATCAGAGCAGAAGGGGACGTACGGTCTCAGCAACGCCGACAACGTCTCGGCCGCTTAGACCTGAAGGGAGAGCACGGCCTTGAATGCCTGTAGGCGATACGAAACCGAGGGCGAGAAGGGCCCGCTTGATGCGGGGATGTAAGGAGATTTCGGACCAGGCGGGCAGAAGGGCATCTGCGGTTATCAGCTCAGTCTTGCCGGATGAGCACCATGGACAAAGCTGACCATCGAATGGCTCTGCTGCCTCTGTTTCCTCCTCATCTTCCTCGTCCAGGTCCTCCTTCTCCACCCTGCTGAACTCAGGGAGGTCGGCTCCGTCCTCAGAACCGCTCCCTTCTGCTTCATCCGCCTCGGGAACGGCGTCGTCTGGGATACCTCCCCATACCTCCTCCTCATCCACCACTGCCGGCTCAACAGCCTTCGCCTTGCCTTTTCCTTTCTTGCCTTCCGCGGCCTATCTCATCAGCTTCCCGTTCGCCCATCATAAGCAGCAGGCAGCGCACCACAAACCGCGCGACCTTCATTCCACCTTCCGCCGTCTCCCACTCCACACCCACATCGTCCAGCTCCTCCAGCATCATCATTCCTCCACCATCATCGAAGCCCGAAAACGATGCCGGGTTGAGCGTACGCCATTGCAGCGACTCGGCCGTCAGACGGTCTTTCTTCGCCTTGGGAGCGTCTGAGGTGGAGGCCGCGGACGAGGCAATTCTGGCCCGTTTGTTCCCCTTTTTGGGCTTGGACGAGGATGCGAGTGTATTTGCCTGTGCTAGGCTGCTTAGGCTACCTCCTCTCATGTTGATAGATAGGGTTCGGAGTGGTATGTAGAGAGGTGGAAGAAGAGCTTGGGTGGACCTGCAGATTTCCGGAAATCTTGCTCGTTACGTAACGGAATTTGCGTCAGTGCATCATCACACCCTGCCCACCCATATCCTATCCTACCTTTGTACTTCTCCCTTCTATCCATAGTCACTTACAAGAAGACGTTATGCCCCCTCGCAAGCCCCGCGCCGCTCGCTCTACGGCCCCTACGCCGTCCCCAGCACTTCCCGGCGGCGGAAAATCCAGGTCGAGCCGATCCCGCTCAAACAAGACGGATGCGAGCAGCAGCAGCGAGACGGCCGAGTCTGGTGTCGGCGCCGTGGTAGAAACGGACGAGGATGAGCAGGGGGATGAGACTGCGACTGCTATTGATGGCGAGGCGGTGGACGCCGAAGAGGCGGAGGACGTTGATGGAGGTGTGGGAGAGTGTGAGGCGGCCGGTGGCGAGGATGCCGAGCCCGTGGTGGAGGCGGAAGCTGTAGCGGGAGGAAGTAAGGGCAAGACATCGATGGAGGAGCGGATGGCGAAGCTCAAGGATCTTCGCATGCGGATGGTGAGTTGACGGATACTCGCCGAGATTCGAAAGCGACCTTAGCTGACGCTTCAGAACCAAAGCACCGCCGCCAACAGACAGGATCTCGTGACCGACCACCAGAAGCAAAAAGTCACCGCTAAGGAGCTCCAGCGACTCGAAAAGCAGAAGAAGCTCGCTCAGACACTACGGCTCAAGACGGAGGCGGAGGCGTCAGGGGAGGATGTGGAACGGCGCAAGGCGTGGGAGTGGAGTATCGAGCAGAATGAGAGGTGGGAGGCCAAGCAGGAGGAGTCGAAGATCAAGAGTGACACGCACTTTCACAGTGAGCTATCTCGCCCATCGATATACTGTAGGGGCATGAGCTGATTCTGTAGACGCTGAGGACGACGCCTGGAAGCTGTACAACCGGAATATTCGATCTACCAAGGCCGACCTGCTATCGTACGAAAAGCAAAAGGAGGCTGCGCTCGGTCTCGCGCCGGGAACGCTCGTACCCCTCAACGCAACATCGCAGTCCTTGCAGGCCAGCGGATCTCGACGGCCTGGTGCACTGTCCGCGGCTGAGGATCTGTATCGCGGGGCGGATACTTTGGCTTATGGTGACAGCAAGCCGAGTGAGGACGCGGTGGATCGGCTCACAGCCAAGATCAACAAAGAGTACGTTTTGGTTCTTGCGAGAAGCAATTCGGAAATCAATGCTGATATTTCTAGTATGGACAAGCCTGGCAAGCGGAAGAAGAGGGTCGAGGAGGAGGGCGAGATCAATTATATCAACGACCGGAACAAGGTCTTCAACAAGAAGGTTGCGAGGTATTACGACAAGTATACCAAGGAGTATGTTGCCCTTTACCAGGCTGAGATTGGACTACGGCTGATGCTACTAGGATCCGCGCCAACTTCGAGCGAGGAACCGCCCTCTGATACCTATCCAGCGTGTGTATGCGAGGCGCAGTTCCTGTCTCCGAAGCGGGCTGGTCGGAGAGGAGATATCTTGGCTCGTCATTGTACTATCGTTCATGTATCAGTATACCTGCTACCAGCTGACCATTGTCATACAATCTCACTGACAACGAGCGAGCCAGCTCAGCGCCCAGACTCAGACATATTGCATACCGACGCGTACCATGACCAGCTAATTAGGACACCCAAAATTGAGCAGCTTTTCTCCCTCCACTCTCGGACCGCCCTAGCCGATCCTTGCCCAGCCTTCGACGGTCTCGGCTACGCCTCTCTCGGAGTGAAGATCCACTTGCACTCCCCCGATGCAGGGATCAGCGTCCCCCAGTCTCTCGGCTCCATCGACTGTACCGTCGTCTCGGGGGCCGGGCGCAGGTGAAATGATCGGACGATGGACGACACGCTCACTCGCAGGGTGGCGGATGCGAAGCTGGCGGTTAGCGACTTGTCACATTGTGGGGGTGTCGAGATAGATGCTCACTTCTGACCAGGGCAGGGTCTGTTGCCCGATGAGAAGGGGCTGAACGCTACAGTCTGTTCCGGTGTCATCTCCTCCAAGAATCGCTCGGGTCGGAAGCCTGCTCATCAGCTATAACGCTGACGGTGGCGGTGAGCCAAGGAGGGAACGTACAAGCTGCGTCAGATCCCCAGATGCCAACCGACCGATGAGCCGTCCAGACTTGCACGCCGACCGCGGTTCCAGCTGGGATATGGTACTCGCCGACCATCATCCCTTCTTTGCCCAGGACGCGGAGTCGAGGACCGGGGGCGGCGGGGTAGAGCCGTATAGCTGAGAGGACAAGCCACTTGAAGATACGGCGGAAGAGACTGCTGGTACTCACTCTCTTTGAGCACAGCCAGGAGGTACTCGTATTCTGCGACTTCTCTCACTCCTGCCACTTCCCCTCGCTCCAGCCTGTGCGCCCTGACCTCGTCGGCCAGCTTCTCCTGGACGCGAGGATGGGTCGAGAGGAGCCACAAAGCATAAGCGGCAACACCGGTAGGTTCGGGGGAAACCATACTGTACGATCAGCAGCTCCTCGCGATCAAAGAGCTCGAGTAGCAAGCTCACATATGGTCCATACACTCTTCGATGATGTGGTGCTCCGTCCAAGGCAAGCGGGTATGGTGGTCCACCGTCGCTCGGAGTCTTTGGGCGGTACAGGGTCGATCACCCATGGGCTTGTTCATTGCCGCTCGGATAAGAGGGGTGTAGTACTGACTCTCATCAGCTGGGTCTTGACTCTGATATATACGGAGCGCTCACGTTCTGCAGGACCCGTTCGGACTGGACGATGGTCTGCCATGATGCTACCGGAAGCCACTCGAGCATACTCCAGACTAGCGATGGGAGTGAGGACGCCTGAAGTGTCAGCTCAGGTCTCCGGATCCCATGACACCAGGGAGGCAACGACGTAGCTCACGCAGAGCGACCGGTAGAATGCGATCCGCGTTTGTTCGCCCATCCCCCTATCCCTTCCTTGGAGATAGGCATCCATCATGCCCAGCTCCGTTCCCATGACGATCTGACCTCCGATCTGGCCAGTCAGCTAATGCTGCGATTCGAATCTCGGCTGAGTCAAAAGATGGAGGCAGGCACTCACATCGATACAGGTCAGGCGGAAGATCGGCATAATGTCGATGCCTTCTCCGGGCTTGGTGGATGAGACGGCGTTGATCAGGCGAAGTAGCTTGCCGAACTGGACTGGTCAGCTCATTCTTGCACGCCAATATAACATGAGGACTCCATGATTCCCACATGCTCCTGGTATTCTGGGTTCCACTGCGGCATCTGATGCGCCGCGTAGTGGGGCAGAATTGCCTTGCGTTTGCCGGCTGCGACGTGGTGGTCGCTGTCGTGTGAGCTGGGATTTCGTCAGGAGACAATGCACACAGAGAGCTCACTGATTGAAGAATAACTTAGCAGCCCGACCATCGCGTCTGCAGTGTCAGCTCGTCGACGTCCCTCTAGTCTGTGTACTGGAATAGCTTCGGCACTCACCTGCTGACCTCGTGATGATTGGTCACCTATCCCTATCAGCGCGCTGACCCTGTCCCTGTCCAGCACAACCAGTGCTTACCTTGGAGAACTTGCTACCCATGATAAACCGGTTCCACGCCGGGTCAGACAGAACGACCTCGTTCGCCCCAGTCCTCATTACCGGCCCTACGAAAAGCTGGCGCTCGTGTACCTCGACGTGTCGCTTGCCCTTGAACAGCATCGACATGGTAGCCGGCCATGCAGATGCGACGCTCCCGACCGAGTAAAGCGGAATACGGGCGCGGGCCAAAGGGTGGAGGGTGAGGTTGTGTAGGGCGACGAGGGGGAGGTAGAGGATGAGACCCGTGATGAGGCCGTACAAGAGAGGAGCAAAGTCCAGGGGGGAGAGATTCACGCCGAGGTGGTGAGCTTGAACGTCCATTTTGCACAGGGTGAGGGAGTAGGTCAAGGGGTTTGATCAGCAAGTCAGGGGCGTCAAGTCCTCCAGCGGCAGTCAGCTCTTATATCCCCCTTTCCGGATCTTCAGCTGACAACGTGCTCGTGGTCCATCATCCCCAAAGGTCAAGTGTCGTGTCCCGTCCGAGCGGGTCCCGAGCTGTCCACACGCCAAAAAGCCGGCGCCACAACTATTCTCGAACGCTTGGACCTTTCCAGCATACCGTTAGACTGGTCCCAAGGAGTTTCGTAAGTAGCGGAGAGAGATGATTGGTACTTCGACGGGGATCTTCAGTGCACGGGTGATGTACAAGCTCGACTGGACCACTTCAGCTAGAGCACCTTATCTCGACCGCGTCCGTCTAAGGAATCCTCTTGAAGTTTATGTCTTGACGGCATCAAAGGACGTGTGCGATGCCGTCGAGTGCCGATCTTGGTAATTAGATGGTAAATGAGCAAAAGGACGTGACATGGGTGTGACTGTGTGGATGAGGAAAGAGCGATCTGGAGACAGAGTAGCTTTGAGAGGAAGATGAAGGTTCAACTGAGGAAGAGTCAAAGGCTCTGAAGGTTTCGGTACTCTGATTGGCCCGGTGCCTGGAGCCGGGCTTACGGCACAGTTTCGGCGCCGAACAACCGAGTGCAGCGAAGCTCGAGCAGTCAGCAGCTGAGGAGGGCAGAGGTAGCCAAGTGACAAGTCGCGACCAGCTTGCGACTTTCCACACCTTCCAGCCTCGAGAGGGCGGAATGAAGAGATCCGAGGGGCGCTTGTCAGCTGTAAGCCTGGAGACCACAACTCTGAAACAGTCTGAAACGTTTCGGCGAATCAGCTGATGCGAAGCGCGTGATCGGCGTCCCGATGCGCGATGCTGACAGATACAACTATGACGTAGTACTGGATCATCGGAAGCTGAGGCGACTTCAAGTACTGCTCACTACTGCCCAGTAGCTGCTCGTCCGCACCACTACCACCCTCACACCACCCAAGAACTCCACAACACCAAAACACAATGTTCACCCTACGCACAGCCCGTACCTTCCCCTCCCTCCTCCGCGCCGCCCCCATCCGCGCGCTCTCCACATCCATCCCGCGCTTCAGCGTCCAAGCCCCTGACGCCGTTCCCGGCGGCGCTACAGACGCCTCCAACCCTCCTGGCGTCCGTAGGCCCGTCGAGCCCTCGGACCCTGCGTTCAAGAAGCAGCAGGACGCCCATGTCCGCGAGAAGGACTCGGGATCGGCGGACAAGGTGGTGCAGAATGATACGCCCGAGTCGGTGGAGAGGGCGACTGGGTCCGGCGCGGATGCGGGTGGGGGCGTGACGGGGGATGCGGGGATGCAGAAGGGGCAGGGGAAGGGGGATGCGGAGGGGCTTAAGCAGGCCAAGGAGGTCGGGAAGGAGGCGGGGTCGGCGGGGAGCGTGCCGAGGTCGGGTTAGATGTTGGATATGGCGGCGGACGGTAGGGGGGCCCATAGGATTAGGTAGCGATGTAAGAAGATTGTAAGTAGGAAAGACGACGTAGGTCTGGCCCAATACTGCGTGAGTACTGATCAGAGCGCAATGCGAGTTAGTTAAGTCTTGATGCGCAACCACTGATGCGGGAGCGTCACCGAGCTACTTTAGGGCTTGTCTTGTGTTCTGACGATGTCAAACTCCCAGGCTGCAGTGTTCACAGAATGTTGAGGTCGACCTTTACTCACCGTGGGGCAGCAGCTGACATCTACCACACATACTTGTCTCGATGCAGGCGGCGACGCTGCTCTCGCTTGGACATTAACTCTCTCCAATCATGGGAGCCTGACTGTTGGATGTGGTCGCTGGTGGCCGGGAGCGAGCGAGTGAGTCAATGAAAGTGCAAAAGGCTACTACTTCATTGTGATCCAATCATGGCTGAATGATTGTCGTGCAGCTCCTATCATCCTTTACTCGCCAGTAGAGCTCGAACGCTCAGAGGATCTAAATCTGCATCATCTAGCGTTTCCGCGTTTGACCTCCTTTCATCAGGTTCGAGGACCGTATGGTCGACAAATGGCGCTCATCCTTTACGCCCAAACTCGAACGGTGTCTAGGTCTGCCATGTAGCTCGTCCGCCCGGCCACCTCATTTTACCTTCTCCTTATATCCCTGCTTGCCACCCACATTCACATCTTGGCTATCACTAGGCGTCGTTACTGCTGCAGACAAGTACGATACCACCCCCACGTCACGTCAGCCATGGACACCGTCATTTCACCCTCGGAGGTCGAAAGCCAGCCTGACTCCTACGATCCCTCATGGTGCCGGAACCGCACGATGTCGAAGTCGCAGATTCACAATTGGCGCAACCTGACGGTGAACCAGGCCGGGGACACGGTCTTCTGTCCGTCGTGCAAAAGCTTCCTGAATATTGCGGGTTGGTTTGGTGGCATCGAGTGCACACGGAAGGGTGAGTCACGCCAGACCTTTCGGAACTCTCAGGGCCAATCTATGCAGGTTCTAACTGACACTGACAATGCAGGTGGGAAACACAAAGTCAACCCGCGGAACCATACGTTGGGTGAAGAGGGAATCCAATCACGCTGCACAATTCGGCGATGCAAGAGGCCGACGTCGAGGTTGTTCCTGAACGAGTACCAGTACCAGGCTCCATACTCTGAGGAGGATTTAAGCGGCGATGAAGGCCCCGCCAGCGTGGACACCGCCGAAAATGACTCCGACCACCCTGTTGAGCCATGCGAACCCGGCACGCACAAGCTCTCTACGGGTCGCGGGACTGCACACGGTCGCAAAGACCACAACCCTGCTACCGGGTCCTTCATTGTCACTCCGAGGGCAATTCTGACGTGTTTGACTTGCGGGCTCGCCGAGGTTCCAATCTACTCGTATGAGACCATGCGTTGCCCCAGCGAAGGGCCGAAGTACTCTGGCGATGCTCGTAAGTCCTCTTCATCATCCGCCTTGAGAAAGACAGTAGCCGCTAGCGCCCGGATGGAAGCCTGACATCGACAGGATACCACGAGCAAGTCATTTCCGACGATCAGTCCAAGAATCCGCCCGGTACCAGGGTCCATGACAAGGAAGGGGTGCTGTCAAACTGCAAACATTGCTTCCGGCACCACAGGAGTGAGCCTTTCATCACTCGGGACGTCGCGGAGGCATGGATCCAGCGCAAACGTTCGGGTGCCACCGATGAGATGAAAAGGCGTCCTTAGAGTTCAGTGTGGGTGGTCAAGGTGTGATGCGGCTTCAGTCGAATGACATTAGCGCTGTTGACTGAGAGCTCCGCACGCTTCTGAGCTGGGTCGCGATTGTGAAGGACGGATGTCAGATTTCCATGCATATCAATTCGAGTTGACTCGTTGATCTGGGCAAGGGGCACTCATCATCCCAGCCTAACATCTCAGCGGGAGCCGGTAAAGCCATCATGAAGGGCTCAAATCGATTCTCGGACGCTGTCGCTTCAAAATCACTGATCCGAGTTTGCCTCAAGCTTCTCGGCTACATCGACCTCGGTGTCATCTTGATTCAGGATCAGTTTGATCACTTGTCGAGACGCGTCTGGTCCTTCGATAATAACGACTAGGCTTAAGCATGGTCATCAGCGTGAGTGGAAAAGTCAATATATGTCTTGAAGTGATTGGCTGGATGAGCTCAAGAGACACTGAAGGTCAACAGCCTGGTCCCCGCGCTGGCGCCCGTTCCCCGTCCTTCCGACCCCATGTGACTGGGTGCCTCTTGATTTCTTCCCGGGGATATCCCTCCATACTGTCATAGTCATCCCTGATTCTCAACGCTCCGGTGGCGCGTCTCATGGGCATGGCATGTCTTCGAGATGGCAGATCAGCCCACATCTTCAGTATCTTTTTAGTAGGTGACGCCCTGACTTTCCTTTCAGCTCGTGCAGAGAACGCATCCCGCGAGGAGCTGTACAGTCAGTATTTAAGTATACTTATGGCGTGATAGCCTTGTGGGTCCGAAGTAAGATGTGAATCGATCACAAGGTTCAAACAGTGGGAGGCGATCACGTGATCTATTGCAAGAGGAACCGAGGAATGTGGATCCCGCTCAGCTGTTGATGATCAAGCTGCCGTCTTATCATTCACACTCAACTCTACAGCACACCCGCAGCCCTTCGCGGGACCCATACGACTGCTCATCTTGCCCGGCTCACCACCCGACCTTGCCCATCATGCCGCTCAACTCCCTCCCACCCTGGCCCCCCTCCCTCCCATCCTCCGCGCACCTCCAACACCTCCAGACCCTCGCCGTGACCCACGCCCTCGCCCACGGGTTCACTCACCTCCCCGCCAACCCCTCCGATCCTCCTACACACGCTACGGCCGCTCCTCTCTCCCTCTTCCCCTCCCCGTTCCCTCGACACCTCTTCGAGCTCGCGACGGAGATCCAGACGGTGTATAATGCGCTTTACGCGCGAATCGCGCTGGACTGGGGGTTTCTCGATAGAGTGATGGGTGGGGTGGCGAAGGTCGATAGTTTCCAGGGAGAATTGTGGAGGGGGTGGAAGGCTGTCAGGGAGGAGCTCGTCCAGGTGAGTCTGGGAGACTAACAGAGGGGAGGGATGAAGAGGACGGAGCTGATAATACAGCCGCTACAGCTCGGGATCTTCCGCTCGGACTATCTCCTGCACTCGCTTTCGTCCTTAGCGCCCCTGGAGCTCAAGCAGGTCGAGTTCAATACGATCTCGTCGTCTTTCGGGGCATTGAGTCAGAAGGCGAGCGAGACTCATCGGTGAGCTCTTCCCTCTCGCTTATCCCACTGCCTGTCTTTAATCCCCTCACTACCTCTTCATCTCCGCTGTATCGAGACGTAGGAGTGGTCTATGCAGCACGATTGACGCTGACTGCCAGATACCTAGCCAAAGAGACAGACATGTTTTTCGACTCCTCCCCCTACCTGTCCACATTCGACAATTATCCCCTCAATGATGCGCTCACCTCGATCGCGCAAGGTCTCGCGGAAGGATGGGCGGCGTACGGGCGCAAAGATGCAGTGGTGCTCTTTGTGGTGCAGGATGGGGAGAGGAATGTGTTTGATCAATGGGCGTTGCAGTATGAGCTTATGGAGCGGTATGTCCCCTTTCTAACAATTCGGAAGCTACAGGAGAGGAAAGGAGGGCTTAGGTGGTGCGACGATGACAGGTCTTGCTTGTTGATAAGGCTAGGAGTTCGGGAGGGAAGGGGGGTCCGACAAGGAGGGACAGAGAAGAGATCTTGCATAGTCAAACGCTGATTCTCCAGACACGGCATCAAGACCGTCCGGCACACCTTCTCCGAGCTGGACAACCTCGTTCAATTCGACCGAAACTCGAAGCGAATCTACCTCCCCGACCCCCTCGCGGACCTCGTCCAGCCCCGGGAAGTCGCCGTCATCTACTACCGCTCCGCTTACACCCCTACCGACTACCCTGGCCCTGGCGAATGGTCCACCCGCCTCCTTCTCGAGCGGTCCCGCGCCATCAAGTGCCCCTCCATGGCGCTCCAACTCGCCGGCGCCAAAAAGGTCCAGCAGGTCCTCACCGAGCCGGGAGTCCTCGAGGATTTCCTGCTCTCCCCGGACCGGCCGGACGTCGGGTTCGGGAAGGGCGCCGGGGCGTTTACGCAAGAGGACGTCGATAATATCCGAAAGACGTGGATTGGGCTTTGGCCCATGGACAACTCGGAGGCGGGGCAGGAGGGGTATCGGCTCGCTATGACGCAGAGCAGCCGGTTTGTGCTCAAGCCGCAAAGGGAGGGAGGGGGGAACAATATCTATCGGTCGGATATCCCGCAAGAGCTGAAGCGGCTGGAACAGCAGCAGCACCAGCAGCAGCAGTATGGAGCGAGGGATGTGATGCCCCGAGAGGCGTATATTCTGATGGAGCTCATCACGCCGCCGGATGGGGTGGGGAATTGGTTAGTCCGGGGAGGGGACAACAAGGCGAGAAAGGCGGATGTAGTCTCGGAGTTGGGAGTGTTTGGGGTGGCGCTGTTTGGGCCGGAAGGGTCGACTGGGGGGAATGAGGGGCAGCCGAGGGTCGTCAATAGGGAGGCGGGGTTCTTGATGAGGACTAAGGGGAGGGAGAGCGATGAAGGGGGTGTGGCGATCGGTAGGTTTTTTTCTCTGTATGGGCTTCTAGGTCTCTTATGAAGGGAGGGAAGCTGATAAGACAGGTATCAGCTCGATTGACAGCCCGGTCCTCGTCGATGTGGTGTAAAGATGGGTCATGTGGGTATGGAGCAGGGAGGTTATCGATGAGGGCTAAAGAAAGGGGGAGCGATAAGGGCGGTATGGCGATCGGTAGGTCTTCCTGTTCATAGGCTTTTGAGCCTGATCTAGGAGGGAGAAGAGCTGACGAGACAGGTAATCAGCTCGATTGACAGTCCGGTTCTCGTCGATGGGGAGTGAGGAGGTGTCATAACGGGTATGGAAGTCAGGGAGGTGCTTGATGAAGCTTGAAGCCTAAAGGAGAGGAGAGCGATGAAGGCGGTGTGGCGATTGGTACGTCCCTCTTGGTTTGTCTGCTTAGTCCAGGCTCGAAGGAAGAAGGGCTGATGAAGCAGGTATCAGCTCAATCGACCGTACGGTCTTTGTCGATGTGGTGTTAAGAGGGGTAGGGTCACGCTGGGTATAGAAATAAGAGAACAGAGAGAGGTGTCCGAGCAAAGCATGCTATGCATCAAGCATCGTCCTTCTCGCTCTCGGTCCCGGCCTCACCAGGATGCAGAGCCTTGTGCTGTTTCAACATTGACCGAATGGGGAGCCTTTGCCCTCATCTTCCTCGAGCACAACGCACCCAAGGTAATCAAAATATGGTAGCCTCACTCATCCTCCTTGTAGGTCTCGGTCTCACTAGGAGACAGTGCTCGTGCGGTCTCAAGGGTGACCGACGGTACCGAATGGGAAGCCTTCCTACTCCTCTTGCTCTCGCTTGACGCAAGTAAGGATGTACATAGTATGCCTCAGTCGTCGTCCTTCGCGTTCAAGCTCGATTTGACCAGGGCTCAGTAGTCAATCCTAGTGCTGTACTGAGACTACGCGATCAAATGGGAAGCCGCCTCCTCTATCCTGCGCTAGAGGCACTTGACGTTCGTTTCATCATGATGGCCATATTCGCTTGTACATACGATATAGTGTGACTTGTACACCAAGACTCAATAGCTCTGCTTGACCACCGCTGCGGCGCCACACGGTCCTGCAGCTAGTTCCTCCTTCTCTCACACCGCTACAGCATCAACACTATCTGTCCCTGCCTCCAAACCTAGCGCCCGTTGACCTCTCCTTCCCAACTTCATCCCCTATCCCCCTGAACCTCCCCGCCCGGCCCAACCGCATCCCCAGCAGCCAACAGCGCCGATATCGACTCATACGAAGCCGACTCGAGGAACTTGTTGATATCGAACGAGGGATCGCCGACATTGACTCCGGCGCCCAGCATCCTCTGCTGGGACTCGGGTTGTGCGGCGGAAAGAGGCTGCTGCTGCTGCGAATGGGCTATGGGGGGCGGAGGATGGGAGATATGTGATGGGGCAGGTACAGGAACAGGTACAGGCGGGAGATCGTCCGCGTGATCGAGCGGCCGTTGAGGTAGATGTTGGGTCTGCGATTCTTGAAGGTAGCCGAAGTATGGGGTGAAGCCGCTTTCTCCTTCCCCTAGGCCTCCAGCGCCATTGTCCGCTTGACTGCCGAAAGGGACAGGGGGTTCTGCTTCTGACCGAGGATGGCTGAGTAACGAGGAAGACCCCTCTCCCATTTGTAAAGCCGGGTCGATCGGCGTGTATCCCTCCATCCCCTCCATCCCTGCCATTCCCCCTATCCGCCCCATTCCCCCAGCACCAGCTGTAGCTGCAACTGCTGAGATACGCGCCTGATCCCGGGCCATACCCTGCCCCAGAGCCGACAATGCCCGGACCGAGTCTGGGAGTGGGTCGAGATGGGAGACATGATCTGGGTTGTAGGGTTTCCATTTTGGATCGAGGGGGTTGCCAGGGGGAGGAGGGGGAAGGTCGGGATGATGGCAGGGATACCGGAAGGGGGTGAGGCCGATAGGGTAGGGAAGGTGTGTGCGAAGAGGAGGGAGAGGGGGAAGGAAGGGGTCGGGGTGGGTGAGCTGGGGAGTCAGCTACGTCCACAATAGATATGAAGGAAGAAATAGGAAGGGTCAGGTGGCCGAGGAGATGGGGAGGATGGGGAAAGCTCAGCCTCGACCGCAGATCTCTACCACTTCCCCTGCCTTCCTATCTCCACCTGAGGCTGGGGAAGGATTGGAGGCCAGGAAGGGCTTACCTCCTTCGTTGGCGAGCTCTTTTGTCCGCCTGACTTCTGGCGTGTTCTGCCAGTCGTACCGCCGTCGGACTGCTTCGTAGCGCCAGAAGAGGATGGCATACGCTTCGCGCGTTTCTGAGCTGTCGGTATGTAGTCCCTCTCTTTGTTCATCGAGAACAGCAGACTCACAGCTGGCTGGTACTCTGGGTCCTCCTTGGACGAAGTAGCTCCGGCGCGTCTCCCCTCGCGTCCCTGCGACCGGCCCACCTGATCCATATCTCCCACCCCATCTTCCTCAAACGTACTCCTCAGACTGTCTGGCTGTGCGACGCCAGCAGCGACCGCCGCCGACCGCCTCGTCACTCGTCCAAGTACAATCCCACCAGCTCCCGTCCCCGGTACCCCTGCCAGACCGTACGCGGGACCCGTCCTCGCCGAAGCTGATCCAAGCTCATCGGTCGTGTGAGCTGCTTTCCGCTTGCGCTTGTCCTTGACCGGAGGTGTGTGGGTGGATGACGACCCTGTTGTCGCCATAGTCTTATATATTATGAGATGAGTAGAAGTGCGGGGTAAGATGGAGGTGGGGGCCCGGTCTTAGCTGGATGCGGAGAGAGAGGTGAATGGCGGCGATCGCCGATCAGACCAAAGCGGAGCGGAATCTTTTTCGGCGTGATGACGTATCACCTGCAGAAGCAGAAATGTGAAACATGGTGAAACTCCGCCGCGTTCCTTTGACGACCATCAACAAACCATACCTCAACTAAAAATCCAAGACATCACTAGTCAGCAATACATACCGTCCTACCCCGGGGTCCGGTCTCAGCATACCGAGACACCATCGCGCCGAGATGAGCTTGCGTAAGCGTCAGCAGACAGGCGCAGGCGCAGGCACGGCGCCAGCGCTCTTCCCCGGGGCAGATCTGGGCAGCGCGGCAAATGGGGGCCTGCACCGATGACGCCCTTCGGATTGCTTGATGTCTCAGCTAGCATTTGACCTCCTCCTCGCGCCCTCAGGAGGCTCAGAGGCTCCCTACAGGCCTCGGGTGGCCATACGGCCGACTATGGGTTAGCGGGCCGGTCGTCCAGCCGGTATAGGGGGGACATACGGTCCATCTCGTCGATTCCACGTCCTCCTTGGTGGCCGGACGCTTTTTCACCGCCCAAACATCCGGTCTCACTCGGTCGCGTTACTATCATTCCCCCACCCTCTTCGCTTAGGTCGAAATCGGTGATCGGGGTCGGGTCTACTCCTCGGAACGGCGTCCATCGGGTCGTAACGGCGCGCAAGGCACGGTCGGGCGCGGGATTAGGGCAGAACATGGCGGTGTCGCTCGTCCATTCACATCGGAGCCGATGTAACGCCCCTTCCTGATGACGGGGAAGGGAAACTTTGCCACTGCTATATCAGCAACATCTATCCCTCTTTCTCTCCTCTTTCCTCATCATCTACCTCCCATCTCCTCTCATCCACCGCGTCACCTATCCCACACCGACCAGCCAGCAACCTCTTTGCATCCCCAAACCGTCGAAAGGCCCATCCACAAGCACCATCGGCGTCCTCAACTCCATCCCAGCATCCCTTACTCCCTCCGGCTATCCTCACCCTATTACACTGTACCCTATCATCTCTGGATCGGAGATACATCGCCGGCTAGCTTGTATCTTGTCAGAGGATCCACCAGTGAGTCCAAACCACCTCTTTCCTCCCCATTCCCCTCCATCACAGTCTTTCAACTCTTCCGACCCCATCAGATGCACCACTTTCCATCCACCACAAGCCCCAGCTGCCTCTACCCCTGCTCTTGCTCTTCCTACGCCTCACCATCCGCTTTTCAGGATACTAGAACGTCCGCTGACCCTTCAGATCACAATGTCCTTTACCACCACCTTCCCTACCGGCGGCTACACCTCTCTCACCTTCACTGCCGCAGCGGAGCCCCATCCCCTTTACCTCCCCCTCGGCCTCGACTATCATCTCGGATCCTACCCGTCTCAGCCGAATGACTTCATCTGGTCCCCGTTCCTCATTCCCCAGGCTCCCCCTGTGTACTTCGGCAACTACCTGCACGCCCATGAGGCTCAACGGAAAGCCCTCAGAGTCTCCGGTACCTCCCAATCCCCCGTCGCCATGGCTGCCACCATCAGCGGCCTTTCCCAAGTCCCTGTCGCTCCGGCTCCGACCTTTGGCGGTCAATTCCAAATCACCGACGCCCCCGCTCAGTCCGTCGGCGGCCCAGCGTCCGGCCTACTCACAGTCGTCCAAACCGTGAGCCAAGGTTCGAGCGAGGACGGACAGGTCAAGGATGAAGATCTTGTCGCCCTCTACTGTACTGTGATTCGGGAGGTGAAGGAGGAGGGGGGTAAGCCAGTCAAAAGGTGGAAGTGCGACTTCGATGACTGCAGCAAGGTCAGCGATCGCAGGTGTGCGGCGATGGAGCATGCACAGATGCATGTTAATCAGAGGCCCTTTGCGTGCGAGGAAGTGAACTGGTAAGTCTCTCCACTATATCCTTTCCCACCTTGTGTAAAAATAGGAGAAGCATGAAAGAAGCTGATTCGAATAGCACCAAATCTTTTGTTCGCTTCCACGACTACAAACGCCATCTGGCGTTACACTCGAAGCTTCGACGATTCCCCTGCTCGTGGTGACTCCCCTCCTCTCACGGTCTCTAGGGTGTGAAGCTGACAACTCAGCGGCAAAGCTTTCTCCCGAGCCGATGCTCTCACCCGCCACCGCAAGCGAAAGATTAACCCGGAGTGCGCAGACAAAAGCAACACTCTGCAACCCGCGGTCGACATCGCCCAAGGTCAAGCCTCCTCCAGCGGTCCCGCACGCAAGTCAAATGTCGCTCACCGCCGTACCTCTCCCTATTAGAGATACGGTCCCACTTTGCTCCTTTCTTCCAGCCTTTTCCCCCTTCAATACTTCATTTTCTCATATTGATAGTAGGTGTGGTGGGTCTTGATCAAGTGTTGGCGTCCTAGTCTAGATCTAGTGCTTGATTCCCTTCCAACATGGTCCTTCTGGTAGCTTGCAGTCTTTTGTCAGTAGATATCGATGTAATATTGACGAGTACGTGTCTCGATCGGTTCTATCAGTCCACCTCGAGCCCTGGCGCAACCATAAGCTCATGCATCAATAGCATGAAGGAGGCTGGTCATAGGAGGCAATGTGTTTACGGCATTGCGCCTAGACCGCCTTGAACGTGTCTTGCATTCCTCATCCACATTCATATCAATCCCTCCATCCATCCATCACTCTCGCTATAACATCAGCAACATAACAGCTCTTCACCGCATACAGGAAATATGTGAGACCAGCTATATACTACAAGCGAAAGAGAAAAGGCTGAATGCGCAGGAACTACGTACAGCTCGAGAAGCTGGGAGAAGGGACTTATGCGACTGTTTACAAGGTATCTCCCTCGCCGCTCCTTTTGGCTACCCTCCACCTTCTTCCGCCAGGCTGCCTTGCTCCGAGTTGTCTGATGTATCTAGCTGACGCGAACAGGGCAGATCACGGACCAATGGCGACATTGTAGCGCTCAAGGAGATCCACCTGGATGCGGAGGAGGGGACACCTAGTACCGCTATCCGAGAAATCAGTCTCATGAAGGGTATGTTCCTCCTCTGCCTCTTCTCATACGGACATGTGATCACTACTGACTTTCACAGAGCTCCGCCATGTCAACATTGTCAGACTACACGATGTAATTCACACCGAGACCAAGCTTGTCCTGATCTTTGAGGTCAGCTATGGTTCCCTTAGCAAGCCAGAGAAGCAAGAGGCGAGAGCTGACGATGCCTTAGTTCTGCGAGATGGATCTGAAGAAGTTCATGGATCTGCATGGGGACAGGGGAGCTCTGGACCTGAATACCGTCCGCAGCTTTACGCTTCAACTACTCGAAGTGAGACCTTCCTCCCTCAAAAGTCCTCCCCATTCAGCAAGCATTACGGAACACTGGCTAACAAGCAGGGTATCGAGTTCTGTCATGACAACCGTGTACTCCACCGTGACCTCAAACCTCAGAACCTGCTCATCAATCGAAGGTGCGAGCTCAAGATTGGGGACTTTGGTCTGGCTAGGGCGTTTGGGGTGCCGGTCAACACTTTCTCGAACGAGGTGAGCTGAAGTCCCTCCACACGCTTAGGAAGGCACGAGCTCATCTCATAGGTCGTCACGCTCTGGTACCGAGCCCCAGACGTGCTGCTCGGGTCCAGAACATACAGTACCAGCATTGACATCTGGTCTGTCGGCTGCATGTGAGTCCGCCTTTCGTCAGGACAGTGGCAGGCTCGGAGCTGACTTGGTAGTATGGCAGAGATGATCACCGGCTACCCATTGTTCCGTGGTCGAGACAATCAGGATCAATTGATCCAGATTATGAAGATTGTGGGGACGCCGAGCGACGCTACTCTGGCTCAAATACGCATGAACTCTGTGAGTTCGCTGGCTCGTAGATGGGTTCATCTAGGAAGACCATAAGCTCACACTATACAGCCGGAAATCCAGATCAAGACCCCGCTGGCAAAGCATGCTAAGCAGCCTTTGCAGACCATCATTCCCAAAGCACCTCGAGATGGTAAGCTCTCCTTCTGCCTACGAGCCGACATCCCGGTCCTCATTATCCGAGCACCTTCTCCGCTCTCGCTGATCATTTCCTGTTTGCGCCCACATACAACACAGCAGCGCTGACAGTCCAGCCATCAACCTCATTGAACACCTTCTCCAGTTCGAGCCTACCCGCCGACTAGACGCTCACCAAGCCAAAGTCCACTCATACTTCACCTCGACCCCCATCACTCCGCCCACAATGCCCGCTTCATCTTCCATATCATCATCGACCGCCTCCCTCGCCCTGCCTCCCCGAGTTGCGGCTCGCGCTAGCCAAGCGAGCGCAGCTGTCGCCGCTCAACAGGCGCAGAACCAGCAAAGTCAGCAGATGCAGCAGGCGCAAGTCCAGGCACAGCAGCAACATCAGCAGCAGCAATTTATGATGATGGAGCAGGCGAGGCAGCAGCAGCAACAGCAACAACAGCAGCAGCAGTACTACTGTGAGTCGATCTCATACCTGCAGCGACCTGAGGCGCATTGACAGCTGACTTCTCAGCCGATCCTCAGCAACAGGCTAACGCGAATGCGCAGATGCAGATGGCGCAAGCGCAGGCTCACGCGCAAGCTCTCGCTCATGCCCAAGTTATGCAGGACCAGCAACAGCAGCAGCAGAATGTGAGTGAATGTTTGGGAGATGATGTTCCATCGGTCTGTGGCTGATGAGAGCAGGCCTACTACATGAACGGGAACGGGAGTGGTAATGGAGGATACCAGCAGTAAGGCGGTAGTAAGCGCGGGGCGGGCGCGGACTTCAAGGTGTGCCAGAGAGCACGGGTGGTGTAGGCAGGTGACTTTTCTTGCGGTAGAAGCATAACTTTCACGGACGTACGAGTCTTTCATGTATCTGTATACCTTCTGTGAGGGTAGGGATCCGCTATAGCTATCCACTAGGATGCAGCAAACGACAGCGAGCGTGGCCGCTCGGATATACGCGGATATACCTCCCAACCTGCAGCTGGTCTTGCGGAGATGCTTCTCTCGGCTGAACTGGACTCATGCATAGCTATCAACTCCTACTACCCTCCTCGACATCATCTACTCGTACAATAAGCTACGCATCATCGCCGGACATCCTAGGACGAGGCGGCGGAAGAACCCGGCCGTGACAGAATCAGCAGCCGCACGCGGTCCCGCAGGCACACCTATCGATCAGCGCCATCCGCGATGTATGAGATAGGCAGAGAAGATGAGAAGATGAGAGGTAAGAGATGGGAAGACTTACGAGCCAACAGTACCGCACGAGCTGCATGAGCCATTCTCCCCGGAAGAGTTGCACTGGTTGATCTGACCTGTCAGTTCTGTGAGGCGGAAGGGTCGAGAGCAGGGGGGTACGTACGGGAGACATTGTGGGTGTTCAGGTGGAGTTGTTGGATTGAAGGTGTCGTTGACTGATTTGGGTGGTGGTGTGGTGTTGGGATGAGAGGGGGAAGGGGGTCTTGTTAGGGGCTCTTATACCCTCCGAGGCCTCCTAGGGAGGAGCATGGGGACGCAGTCGTCCTTGTCCTTTAGCGAGCGAGAGAAGCACGAAAACAAGCTCCGCTTCTCGTCTCCGTCTTGATCATACTCAATCACTAATCACTTGATCGCTTCGGCGGTCATCTCGGCGATCACGAGGAAGGCTCGATCAGAGGACACAGTACCCTCGCGGTATACACACGGCGGCGGCCTCGAGGGCGCCAAATCCGACCGAGAACAATAAGCGAGCTGTCGTCACAACCAAACCAAGATCCTCCAAGGTTCACTCTGGCTTCGTTACTTGCACCTCACGACTCGGCACTACCAGGCGCCGCACACATCTTAAGTGATCTGACCCTGATTCCGGTGCTCAGCCGAGCACAACAAGGGCTGAGCAAGAAGCCTCACCCCTTCGGCACCCCTCCTTTGCTGCTGATGCCGACGCCACTGATCTCTCACCTAGGCCTTCCAGCCTTGCTCCGGCGGCAGATCTGGGGTGACTAATACAGCGTGCTTCTCTGATGGAGCGCTTATTGTCCCCGATATGTTTTAGGGGGTGGGACGACACCAGTCCAGTCACCTGCCGAGCGGCCCATGAGAGCTATATAAACCCCTTCACCTCCTCCGAGTTCATCTTCTCTATCCCACACTTCCAACTCCACTTCAATTCCACCAACCTCAACCAGCAGCAGTCCAGTCTAGTCACTTTACGACCTCACCAACGACCAAACAAGATGTTCACTGTTAGTCCGTCTCCTTCTCCCTCCCCGGCCCTGCCCACTTCTCTCTTCGCTCTTGCCTGCCCCGGGGATGAAGCTGACTTGTAGGCTCCCGTCAACACTCACGAGCCCTGTACCAGCTGCGGCAAGCCTGGGTACGTGTTCCTCCCCCACCTCACCTTCTCCCCACATTTACCTTCTGTCCTACTCCTTCTTCTTCCTTCTTGGTCTCCTCTCGAGCTTCCTACCCGTTCCTCCGACTCTGAGCCCTCTTTGTGCCCCTGCCTCACGTTGGATCCGCGCGCCTCTCACTCCCCTCCTCTCTTTGATCATAGTTCACGCCGCCTCCTCATCCCCTCCCTCTGGTCCGGACTCTGCCCGGAATATTGCTGATCCCCAGCTGTTCTTGCAATGCCGGTGCTTGCGGCTGCTAAGCCCTGGCACAGCCCACCTCGCCCCGGCACTCTCTGCTCGCAGTAGCCCCCGGTGGCACCATCAATCCCTTCACTCTTCGCTCGACTTCAACTTGATCCTACTCAACTACACGCATGTACTTTCGATCGCATAGGCGGATATAGACGGATGGGGATAGGGATAGGCGGATAGTAAATCAGATGTGGGGAACATGCAACTTTTTTACCTCCTTCGAGTCCGAATATCCTACTGCTTGCGTCGAGAACTTGATAGCTGTCGTGCATGGAGCATCTCGTCACATTGCATGATATACAACCGGTCGAGTGGATTTGTCCGCTACTGATCTGCTTTCGCCTGTTGGTGCCTGAAGATACCGCCAAGGATGGATGTCATCGGTCGAGGGGAGTTCTGACAGCATCAGGGCTCATTCAAATTCTGAGTACAAGCCAGGCAGGTCTGATCTCACCTTCAGCACCAAGGTCGGTATTCCTGCTTTCGCACTAGGTCGTAATTCGAAGTAGATCCCGGCTGCCCATGTCAGTTCGTAGACTAGCCCGTACGGCTGCACGACGCAACTGACCTGGAAGTCTTGACGGCTCCTTGACCCGTAACAGCACTTCAAAGAGCGGAAACGAGTTGAGCGCAGTCCTCAGTGTCCGCAGACAATAGGTCAAAGCAGATACTACCACTGCAAGCTGATAGCTGAGCTTGCTTCCCTTAACAGATCTTAATTCTAAGCCGGCAGCTCACCAGAAGGAAGAGGCTAGCATAGGTCAGCACGGTTGGAAGGAGGAAGGCAGATACTGTGAAGAGTAGTGTACCGAGGAAGAGCTGATCCACGTCGTATTGGTACGAGTCTGTGCGCTGGCGGAGCACGTTCCATCGCTTGCCTGGACTATCAGCTTGGATCGTCTTGGGAGAGCCAAGAAGTGGTTAGCTCACCTCGGAAGAGGTTCCATAGACCGCCTAGCGACGCGAGCTGCCACCGGCATATCCCCCTCGTCATCGTGTTGCAGAGCCGTAGGTGTAGGGTGAACAGCGATACCACGTCCTCCAGCGCGGCAAGGAAGAGGGTAAGACCGGCCAGCGAAGTGATAGCGAGGGCGGTGGTCAGCAACAGCGCAAGAGACTGGGTCATTGGTAGCATGATTTCTGAATGATTAGCTTGTGTGTAGACCCAAACATGATGGGGCACGTAAGCTCACCTTTCCAACTTTGCAGTAATATGGTGAGGGTGGAGCAGTAGAATTGACTGAGCGGGGTATTAAGCTTCAGCCCGACCGGCCAGTCATTGAGCCAGGTCAGAGCGGAGATGATGTCGCTCGCGAGGTACCGCTCGACGAAGGCGGGGAGATGATGCGCGAAGAAGCGGTCGTTGTGCGTGAGGACCTGATATGCGCAGTAGCCCAGGATAAGGTCATTCTGCTGCGTTAGCTTGACCCTAGACAATGAGAATGTGCGTGCAGCTCACCAGGATGAGCCAGACAGTATTCCAGAAGCTAAAATATCAGTAAGGATCAGACATCGGAAGACCCAAGGAAGACCCAAGGAAGCTGATGCGCACCGCATATAACGCTTGCTCCTGGTCTCGATCGGAACCTCTTGCGCTCGAAGCGTATTATGGAAGCGCCGAGGCGCTTCTAGAAGCTGGGTGCTTCGCAAGGCGATTTGTTGTACTGCTCATCAGCGTCATTTCCGTGGCTACGAGCTTAAGACGGACTGACGGGTCGCGCTGGCGCTCAGAGTTGAAACTGGACTCCAGCCGACGGACTGCCGCTGGTTGGCCAGTCGCACGAGCAGCCCTGAGAGGATGGTGATCGGCACGAAAGCGAGTGCGAGTACGTTTATGACAGGCATCGTGGAGGAAGCGAAGCGTGAGATGGACGGTGGAGCGGACTTGGTCTTTGGGACCAAAGCTCGCTCGATCCGCCTTCGGGCCGCCTTCATCGTGTTGATCTGAAAGTCAGCTTGAGGGTGACAGAAACGGATAAAGCTGGGCCAGGTATCGCTCCCCAGCCTTTGACTCCTGCGGATCCACAGCGGATTCCCTCACTGCCTGGTACCGTCCCCCCACCCCTTCATTGTATATGTGCGCCCGTCGTTCTGCTGAATATGCGGTGAATGACCTACCAAGCGCAGCATCTCCTCTACCTCACTTTCACTCTTTGAAAATCCCGCTCTCGGACCATATGAGTCTTGCACGCCCAAGCAATCAACAGCCGCTGACTGATCGTCCGCTTCGGCGGTCGGTCCCGAGGCGGTGAGGTATCGCAATCGATCCGGATCAGGCGGATCAACTAGGATCACCTCCATAGACGGCCTGCATTTGTCAGCTATCAGTCTCAGACCCCTTGGGAGGGTAAGGAGGTGGAAAGCTTACTCGCAGTGCACCAAGCGCCCCGTACTGAGCGTCAAGCGGGGCAGATCCACTTCTTCTCGAAATTCCCCTTTGGCCTCCTCGGGGCGACAGACGACGGCGATGACCCCAACGACCGGTGTTTTTGGTGTTTTTGCAAGACCGACTGCGTCTCGGCACTGTCTGATGATATTCTGAGCCTGTTGCTGCGAAGTCAGGTGAGGGCGCATGGACCAAGAGAAAGGAGGACTGACCCAGTCGTTGACGACAGTCAGGACGTACACCGCTCGACTCGTCCGCCAGCCGAGGGCATAGCCTTCATCAGGGGAGCGTAAGCTGGTCGGCCAGATCAGATGCATAGTCCCGCTCCGCTAGGCGCTGAAGACAGCTCGAAGGTGTTGTGGTAGCAGGGGAGTTGACAAAGTAGAACGTCTTGATGCTTGGGTCGCGCAGAAGCTGGCGCAGAAGGCAGCAGTGACTAGTGAATGCCGGCATGACGAGGAATGCGGAGTTTGGAGATTTAGCTTGTCGGCGGACTGTGATGACAGGAGAGCGATGGGATGCGGCTGTAGTCTAACAAAGTCTATGCTCTTATATGTGAATAACCATGATATCCGCTTCAAAATGGGCCTCAGAACTCGTATAGATCCGGGCGGTCATGCCTGACTATTGGCTTCTGACCGCCCCCCGCTCCATGCCCGTGCCCATGCCCGTGCCCATGATCATGAGCATGTCCGTGCCCTTCCCCGGCTGGCTCTTCGTCCTCATCGCCTCCGAAGCGCACTTTCGCCCTGACCTTCTTCGGCTTCTTCCCCACCTCCACCTGATCCGGGACACTCTCTGCATTCCCCATCTTCCCGACCACCTCCACGCCCTCCACCGCCTCACTCCTCACTTCCGTCACCCGGGTCGGTCCGGCATCCAGTACCGCTGCAACATCCTCCACTGGCCCCGTCCGTCTTTCACTGCTCCCCCCTTCGATCCCGAGGTGTGCAGTCTCAATGACGAGCCCCTTCCGCTTGACGCGGAATCCGAGGTTGTTCGCCCCGGCACCACCGCCGCCGCGCTCGTTTGTGGCTGACTGAGAGACACCGAGGAGGGCGGAATGGCGGAGTGTGGGGGAAAGTAGGGTATGGGTCGTGGGGAATTGATGTAGCGTCAGGAGGCCGTGTAAGGGTGCGAATGTTGGTGCGAGGGCGGGATTATCTGTCGTGTCAGCTTGCCCACTTGCAGCATGCAAAGCACAGGGCATTTGATAGCCCACCTGCAAAGCCGTGCATTTCGACACACGAGTCCGTCATCCACGCCAAGGACTTGATCCAGTCCTCCTGCCCGCCCGTCCAGGCCGCTGGCGGTGTCGATACCAGATGTGGGGGCAGGGTGATGATCGTTCCGACCGGTCGAGACCGAGTGAGACTTCTCAAGGCATGCAGGAAGCGATGCATTTCCTGTTTGGTCAGCTTTCTCAGTGACAATGTCAGACACCTGTGAGCTCACCTGTGCTGTTGGATCTCCCCAGTCTCCCCCACCCAGCTCATTGATGGCCAGCCGGACCGCCGTGTTCTTCTCTACCTTGTCTAGATATATGCTCAACCGCGATAAGATGTCAGACATGGTCTCCCATGCTGTTGGCTTGGTAGCGAGATCGAGAAATGCATGTTGACCTGATCTGGTCGCTTGGGACAGGGTATCGGCGGGGATGGTCTTCATCAGGTTGAGCCCACTAGATCTGCCTATGCGGTCAGCTGAGGTCTGAGTCATACCACTTCGAGCCATCGACTCGACGGACAAGAGCTGGAAGCTCGTCGGAGTCCCGCATCCTCTGCTCCAAGTTCCGACTACTCACACTCGTCCATAGTCGCCAAAACAGGAACAGTCAACTCACCGGTTGAAGTCCTAAACTTGCTCATTCCCTCATATCGCCATGCGATTTTCCCTCCTCCCCTTCCTTCTCCCTGCTCCCCACCCGCTCCTTCACCCTCACTCTCGCTCCCTCCTCCATCTGTACTCCGCTCCTCAACCCACATACACCCCTTGACCGTCTCCCGGCTCCCGTCCTCCTCGCCAACGATACAGCAGCTCTGACCACTTGTCAAGCCCTGGGCTAACCAGTACCGAGTTAGTAGTCGACCCCATGCTGAATGTACGTCCGGTGTAAGAACGAGCAGCGAGGCACCAAGAGGGAGACCACCGCCGAGGAGGTCGTCTAGTGAGGGAACGCCTGAAGGAAGGAGGGGAAGCGAGGTGGATGGGGATGGGCGAGTTCCAGCTGGCGGAGCTGCGGACGACGGACCAGCCCGGCGAGTGAAGGAGGGCATGAGTGTGGTAAGTTGTGGTTTGATGTCGTCGGTTGTTGCTTCGTCGCTACCAAAAGTCCTCTCGTCGTCGCCTCCACTTCTCTCGTCATCACTTTCCCACGGTGGTTGTTGAAATTTCCGCCCAGACAGCTTGCGACCTCCACTTTGACCGCACTCCTCACTGCTCATATACCTTTCATACTATATCCAGTCACCATGGGCAAATCGCAGACCAAGAAGAAGACGCAAGCATGGCGCCACAACCCCATCCGAGTGCCAGATGCGCACGTCGGAGCTGGAAAAGCGGAGGGCAAGGCGGACCCAGGAAAAGAGAAGCAGATGCTTCCTATTCTGAAGAAGGTGCGTCCCCCTGAATGAAGCATACAACTTGTAGTTGAGTACATGTTGGTCCTCAAGCCTCAGCTGATACCAGATAGCTTTCTTCGCCCGAATACGCCGACCGGACATGGGCTTGCGCTGCTATCTGCAACCTCATCCAAAACGACGCAGCGACGAGGCGACTCTTCCAGTCTCGCAATGTCGTTGGGGAGCTGATCGAGCGGCTGTCGGACAGCGTAGACGAAGTGGTAGTGGAGGCTTCTGGAGCCCTCAGGTGAGCCCACTAATCCAGTCTGTCCCCGACGGCCAGAGCTGACGGAGCAGGAATCTTGCTATTGATGGTGGACACGAGCTGTGCGGAGAGATGTTCAACAAGGGGATCATGTCCCACTTGACCACTCTGACGGTCAAGGTGAGCTCCGAGGAATGCACCATTGGCAGGACAATAGCTGACATTGCAAGATCTCAGCTACGATCGATACCATCCTCGCCTCAGACCCTTCGGTTCCTCGGGAACATACCGACGCGGAGGCTCAAGCCCGGAAACACCTCCTGGCCTTGTCTGAGAATATCATCTCTCTGATTTGGTGCTTGGCTGAAGCGAGCCACAAGACTTTGAATGCGGTCAATGGAGCCGGGGTAGAAGGATTGCTGGTCAAGGTAGTGGAGGGGCGGAAGGTCGTGGGTGCGGGCGTGACTCTGGCAGCGCGTGAGCTTGTCTCCTCAGGAATGCCTTTGATCCTGATCTAAGCTGACAGACGCAGTACAAGCGCTCTACTCCCTCACCCAGGACAATCGGCCCTTCACCTCATCCGTCCTCCGCCATCCTTCCGCCATCTATGCACTGGCCGAGCTGTGTCGGGAAGACCACACCCCAGCTGAAGAAGCTGGAGCAAAGAAGCGGTCGAAGAAGGGGAAGGGGAAGTCGGAGGGTTCAGAGGAGGTAGGGGACGGCAGGGCTCTTCTCTCTCGTCTCCTAGCGTGCGGTATGTCCAATTCAGCTTCATACGGAAATGCAGCTGATGGCCAAGGTATCCTGCGCAGTATTGTCAAGCCGGGCTCGAGATCAGACGAGGATGTCGATATCCAGCGCTTGACGAATGAGGTCATCATGCCGCTTGTCAATGAGATGCTGGACCTCGATCTTCCCAACATCACCAACCGAGTCTCTCAACTGGCTTCTGAAGCTGTAAGCTGAAACCTGCACCGTGCGGGAAATTAAGCTGACTATCCAGGCCCAAACGGAAACGGACAAACCATCAGCAAAGGATTTGAAGACAGACCATCAATCCTCGGCCGAGCAGACACTTGAGCGGATCGAGCGGATGCTCAATACCGTTGTGGTCGCACTCGAGATCCTTACCGGTATCTGCGCCGGTCTGGAGGATGAGGAAGAGAAGGAGCCGGCTGGTCCCGGCGCGGAAGTGGAGGAAGAGGGGATGGTGCAGGATGACCAAGACGAGGATGAGGAGATGGATTCGGATGAGGCGGAGATGGACGACGAGGATCTCATCAACGAGGCGCTGGATCATGCCGATATGGCCGAGGACGACGAGGACGACTCGCCCACAAAGGTCAATACTGCGGTCACCATCCAAAGTCTTCTCTCGCACCACCTCCCTCAGCGACTCGCCAAGCTCGGTCAGCTCACTCCTCTCTCCTTCCCGCCAGCGGGAAGTCAACCATCATCGCATCCTCCTACTACCTCGGTCCTCTCAACTCTTCATCTGCGGTCGTACGAGGCGCTCAACAATCTGTTGTTGACTGTCGTTGCGTCACTATCCGGCTCGACGAGCGATGCGCGGACGGCAGAGACGTTCCCATTACAGGAGCTGTGGAGCTCCCTGATGGGGACGGTACAGATGGTGTCAAGCGAGCCGGATGTGCTCATGGAGCGGGGACAGGAGATGAGGCCGGAAGTGCTGGAGATGGCTTTGGGGTGCTTGTGGGGTATCATTAAGCTTGGTCCAGGCAGTCTGGTAAGCTAACGACTTCCCACACTTGTTGATCCCGGGGCAATTAGCTGACATCCAGAATATCACGCCAGACCAACTCCAGCTTCTCCTCTCCCTTTCGCCCCTCCTTCGCACTCCTCTCGCCCGAACCCGGCTCATCGAATCCCTCTCGACCCTCGCCTCCCGCCCTTCTGTCACCTCCTCCGAAAATCAGCTCATCTCCACTTCCCTCTTATCGTCCCTGTCGGTATCAAATGAGCCCGAAACTACCATCTCCCTCGTCAATGCCCTTATCGATATCTACGCGGACGAAACACGCGAATATGATGCGGTATTCAGGGATGGAGGGTATCTGGCGGCCTTGACCTCGGCGGTAGGGGGCGTGAGGGCGGCAGTGAGGAAGGTGGACAAGAAAAAGGAGAGGGAGATGAGGGCCCGAGGGGAGGAGGCGGTAGAGAATCTGACGGCGTTCATAAAGTATCGGAGACAGCTTGCGAAGACTTCATAGCTTCATAGATTCGGACATGCAGCTTGCGATCTTGTGTAGCTGCCAGCTTCTGCACACCCCTCTCAGAGCGCTTCTACTGCTATTGCATAGTCAGGGCATGCCCTGAACGAGTGCCGTAAAGTCAGCAAATCTACACCCTCTCTCCTCCCTTGTCGACCCACCTTGTGGCATGTCTCACATCTCACACCTTACTTCACTGCTCCTCCCTCCAAGTCAGACATAAAATACAGGATTCATAGTCGTTTTTGAAACGCTGAATCGGACCGACCTCCCGTTTAATTTTCGACGATAACCGTAGGAGAGTAAGTGGTCCAGACGTCCAGGACTGAGACACATTCCGCAGATGTCTCAGACCGGGATGACCTCGACGTCTTTGCTCACACCTTTACACTGCTCTCCTTGCACTCTTCTTAGTCTCATTATCCAGTAAAGGTCTGTCGCCGTATGATATGGGGGACAGGTCTCGGGTCTCGCGTCGCCTCGGAGCCGAACTTTCCTTTCATTCTGACAGCTAACAGGATAGTTCTGACCTGTGTCGACGTGACCTGTGGTCAAGAAGACGGTCCAAACTGACTCTTCGTTATCCAGGTCTTCCTATGCGCCCGCGATACGGCTCGTTTGGAAATCGCGTCAGTGTGTGTGAAAGACCCTCTGGTCTATGGTCGAGGGGATCAGGACGGCGCTCACCTGTGCCTCAGGCTCCGGACCCCGCTTACCTTCTCACCTCTTGCTGATCGACCTTATAAGCCTGATGATATCGGTCGAAGACGTTCTCTCCCTCTTGCCATTAGCTGATCGAGCTGCCTGCTGCTGTGGGCGGAGATTGAGGAGCCTTAGCGGAGGGGCTCTACTTCAGCTGAGGATGATCAGGGTGAGTTGTCCGTGCGTCTCTTGCTGGACTGAAGATCTGACGACGTGTCATCTGACACGTATTCGTAGCATCACTACTCATATACGTCATGCCTCGCTGGCTGGGCAAGCTCGGCATCCATCGGCTCCGGTCGATGATATCATAAGTCTCATTTGACTCACCTTCTGACCTTCCCCTCAATGGGCGCTAGGCAAAGTGACACAGTTTGTCATACTATGTCACGCAAGCGAGGAGGTCCTGCGCAGGCCTTTCTCAAGTTCTTGACTAATAGGCGTGGGATAGAGGTGCTGATGAAGCGGCAAGGTCCGAGGATGCGCCCGGCACGGCCACTGCAGCCATGGAGAGGACAGACGAGCGAGCGCTGCCTACCGGCCGGGACTTGCCGCTATGCGCGTGCCTATGGATGATGTGCGCTGTTGGGGCTATGAGATCGAGCTGGGCAAAGAGTGGCGAGGCAGCTACCTATACCAAGCTCCCTCGCAGCGTTACCGGTTGGCTCCTTGAGCGATCAAGCAAGCGGGGCGGAAGATCGCCGGCTCGTGCGTGGCGTGACGTGCCCAGGGGATCCAGGAGAAGCTGTATCGCCATAGTGAGCAATGTCTGACCTCGATCATTGCCTGGGTATGGATGTTGCGTCAAAGGGCGCGGGAACACCATACTAACGAGCTCGGTATGCTGTACTATATCTGCTTGAAGTTCCACGTTGAAGACACGGGAACGGGAACGGGAAAAGGAGGCGGGAATCTGTGTCAAGACGACAGTATAAGTACAGAGTGCATGCCTTTTCCATCCCTTCCCCTCCTTTCCTCCTCCAAGTAGCTGCCTGCTGATCGACTGAACTAGCTCTTCCCCTCCCCAACCACTTGCCTGCTCGCCCCACTTGCTATCTGTGTCGTCAGTATAGCACTTCACTCAGCGACGCAAAGAAGAGAGAAAACTCACCATCTCGCCCCCTTGCCGCACTCCATGATACTCCTCCTCTTTTTTTGTGCTTTTTCATTTCTGATATATCAGCTCGATACTCATAGCTCGACATCGAACGGTAGGACGCTGAGGCAGGGACGAGTAGGTGGGACGCAGAACCAGAGAAGGACTTACTATTCATTTTTTTGGAAGTTTCTATTTTCTACCCTCTCCCCTCCCGTTCCCCCTCCTCCTCCACTCAACTGTCCTTGATCTTCTGACCTCCCCTACTACTATCCTCCTCCTCCCTGATTCTCCCCATCCCCCCGCACCTCCACCGTCCTACTGCTGACCGGCAGGTCCGGTGGCCACAGGAGACGCGGGAGGGGTCGGCAGGCTTGGCTGCGAGGTGGGGAGGGGGGGTTGCGAGGCTGCAGGAAGGCCCTGCACAGCCTGATACTGCCAGTACTGAGGCAGAACTGGCGGGCCTGGGTAGGCCAGCACCCGCCTCGCCAGCCGGGGGGCTGGCGGACAGGGTGCGTCATGCGCCAGCGGGGGAGGCGAGGCGGTGGGGGAGGCGAGGGGGGCGGTTTGGCTCATTCCGGCGTTCTGACATCAGCTCCTTTGACCATACTTACTCTTCCAGATGTTCTCGAATACTCACTGGCTCGAGGATGGCTATACTGAAAATACAATGAGAGGGGGGATTGACGTGCAAGGGGGCAAGCTTATGTACCCGATCCCAATCTGACCCTGATGCTCATTGACTCACTTTCCCTTGGTGGCAAGTCGGCGCTAACACTACACAGGGCACGAAATCGCCTCCGGAATACATATCGCACCTATACCCGAGACATCAAGACCAACGCCTGCGCTCTTTCCCTGCCCTTACGCACGATAGGCGCACCTGGAAGGGACTAATTTCGACCTGCCTCGTCGTGAAACGCTTCGAGGCGATGCAGCTGGGGCACTCATCGGTGGTCATGGGGTCAGACTATCGCCCGGCAGACCCGGTAGTCTGTTCCGGACCCTCGGTCATGGAGGAGCAGAGGAAGATGTAGTTCCGGGCCGAGGTGAGTAATCCCCATTGATTCAGTCTTTGGAGTTGTTTGGAGGATAGGAGGGTCAGGAAGGCGGCGGAGGAAAGATTTGGAATGGGATGAGGAAGTGGGAGATCTATCCCTGACCATCTCTGGCTTGGCTTTGTTGGGCTGGGAGCACGATTTCAAGGTCTCACATTCCCAATTCATGCTCCTGAGCTCCTCTGGGGTGTCTGGGGAGAGTAGGAGATCGATCGGGAAGGATAGGAATGCGGAGTGTAGCTTAGGAGCTCTCTCTGGGGCCGCTGTAAGCTCTGGTGCCACTATGGATGATCTGTGCGCGACTTGTGTGTATGAGAGGACGGTCTGTGTGTGCCCAGCTTTGACACCCTTGGATTCCCCCTTCACCTCGCTTGTTCATCCTCTTCTCTCTCCGTCTTACTTCTTCATCATCCTTCATCCTCATTTCAAGCTCATTACAAGCACTTCAGTATCCTATATCTCGTAGACAGGCAGAAAAATGGCGCCCCGAGGACTCAGTGCAGCCGAGAAGAAAATCAAGAGTAAGCCCAAAGGATATCCACTCAACCCTTCCTTTCCTTCCTCTCCCAGACGCGCCTCCCCCTTCCCCTGCTCCCACTCTCTCGCCTGGACGCGCCGCTGACTCCCCCTACAGTGCTGGAGATCTTCCATGAGACTGTACGCTCTCCCTCTGCTTTGCTCGCCACCGGAGACTGACGAGCGTAGAAGGAGTTCTTCACCCTCAAGGAAATGGAAAAGCATGGCCCCAGCAAGTCTTTCGATACCTCCCACCCTCTTCACTTCTCCTGGACCCGCTCTACTCCCCCCGTGATGCCTTTGAAATGAGCTGATGGAAGCAGAAATGAAGGGGATTAGTGAGTTTTTGCCCCTTCCCTCTTCCTCCTCCTTGTACTGCCCCGACAGTTCCTTCCTGACGCGTCCGTAGCACAGCAGACGGTCAAGGAGACACTGGACGACCTAGTTGGTGATGGCTTGGTCAACTTTGACAAGATGTGAGCTATGTGGGCCTCCACGTTGGCAGTGGCCGGAAAGCTGACTCAACAGTGGCACAAGCAACTGTACGCCCTTCCCCTTGCCCCCCTCTTTCCTTCTCCTTCACCTCCACGCCTTCATTTAGACCTCCTAGACTGCGCCCCGTCGTTCCAGCTCCGAGCGTTACCAACTTCCGGCCCCGCGCAGGTCGCAGACCCGCCTGGACTGGCTCAGCCACCTCTGCGCTACTCGCTGACCTCTGCTGACGCCATAGACTTCTGGGCTTTCCCCTCTGCGGCCGGTGCGGCGGTACGTTCCCTCTTCCTCCCTCATTTAACACCCTATAGACATGAGCTGACGGCCATAGAAACAAGCCGCCGTCGACAAAGCCAACAAGGAGCTCGAAAGCGTCACGGCCCGTATCGCTCAAGTCCAGGCCGCACTCGTTGCTGCTCAGAAAGGGAGGGAAGACACTGTGAGTACTGGCCACTCATGGCCCACCGCCTCGCGACTCAACTAGAGCGTCCTCTCTGGCGAAACAATGGGCGAGAACTAGCTGATTCCCTTAGGCGGATCGGAAGAAGCTCCTCGTCACTCTCGACTCTGCCCGGGCGACCAACATCGAGCTCAAGACGGAACTTGACGCCTATGGAGCCGCCGACCCCGTCAAGTATGAGCGCAAGAAGCGGGCCATTGAGGTGTGCAAGGAGTCTGCTTTGCGGTGGACCGGTACGTTCCCAGATAGCGCTCAGCCACCTCCACCGTCCCCTTGACTCCCATCTCTCGACCTAAAGAGCTGTAGCTGATGGTGTAGACAACAGCGTCGCGGCTATGCAGTATGGCAGGGCCACTCTTGGGGTGGATACGGAGTCACTGAAGCACATCACAGGTATCGGTAAGCTGGATGCGCTCCGCCCATGGTACCCAGATCCAACAGCTCACGACCCAGATGACCTTGACGAATGGGAGGAGCTCAAGCTTTAACGACCGCTCAGCAGTCCTACCCGCTCCGGCTCATCCTCACTCACTGACCCCCGCTCGACTCCCGCTTCATCAAGAATCGCCCAGGAAAGCTGTACCCGACCGAGTTGTAGAATAGAGCAGTTTCCTAGTTCACACCGTCATGTCCATGCATTGTATAGCTAATATAATCTCTGGCTCCTGATCGTCTTCAACCCTCGTATTGAGAGGTAGCACGCCGGCGAGGGGCTTAGCACCTGATTGCAGCTCAACTTTGTCAGTGGTCGCTAGTACTGGCATTTGCGATGGATCCGTATATAGCCGGCTCGCTTTCTCTTCTGGATGAGTTTCTCGACCTGATGTCTGCTTGCCCTCTCAGAGTAATGGCTGTCACCGCGTAGAAGCATTGCATGCTGCCGATCTCTGCCCTCGCTGTGGGTGGCTGGCTCTGGCTGATTGCTGCCAGCCAAAACGCCACATAAGCGGAGCCACGTTCGGCGATGGCCGGGAGGTGGTGACGTAATTGAGGAATGGGATCTTTTGGTGTTGCTGGTGCTGTGCAGGTGATGATGAGGGCGTCAGCGTCAGCTGTTTGGGAGCGAGTCTTCCTCGTCTGCCTTCGTCGGGCGTCATGAGAAGGGTAGAGCAACGATAGGCTGGATATCAGCATGTAGACACCTGCTTCCTTCTGCCCGGCGCCGACCTCCCTCTTCAGCCTTCCGTGACTCCCAGCGACCCGCGGCTTCAATCTATCAATCATCCCCATTACCATGTGTCTCACTTCGTCTCACTCAGTGTCACGCTCATACGCACCAAATCGACACGACTCGGTTCGGTTCCGCCCTCAGCCGGTACCTGATTACATCGACCCCGAGACGATTCCCAGCGCTGGAACCGCTTGGGAAATGGCCAATAGCGCGTGACAAGTTGAGTCAGGTGTCACTTTACTCCGCTTGTTTGGTGGAAAAGCTAGCTCGGGAGGCGAAGTTGGGTGACTCTGATAGGTCCCGTGAGTCGTGGAGCTGGTCGACTCGCCCTCCGTCGAAAGAACTATAACAACCCGCCTCCTCGATCTTGCAGCCACCTCTCTACAATCAACCTCGAGCCCACCAGATCACTCAACAGCCCTCATCGGCGTCCCCTCCCTCTCCATCTCACCATCTCCCCTTCGCGACCTTCACATATCCCATTCATACTCCCACTCCCTACGCATACAATCCTCCTCGGCCCACCGTCAGCACACTCCTAGACATCCAGCCGCCGAGCCTCCTCCAGAGCAAAGCTCAGAAGGGAAGGGAAGAGGATGTCCTTCTTTCCGGGGTACGAGCACCCAGTCCAGGAGGAGTACCCACCCCATACAATGCAGGCGTCATCATCCGGGTACTTTGACCCGTCGGCACACTACGAGGATCCCCCTCATGCTGGGTCGGGGGTCTTCCAGCCCTCAGTCCTCGGCCCTCCTGGCCCTCCACGCCCTCCTTACCTCGGACCGCCAAGTATGGCTTCCCTCCCACTCGCATCCCCTGCCGAAATAGATACCCCTCGCCTCGCTCCATCCGGCATACCTCCCTCCCCTCCTGACAACATGCCTCCACACCTCCAGCACGGCAACGACGAACGCATGTATCAGGCCCAACTCCAGCAGGACCAGCTCATGCTGGCAATCCAGCAACAGAATGGCGGACCACTCGTCGGCCGGCCGGCTCTCTCGCTCCATATGGACGTCCGTCAGCGCGCCACACCTGCGGCGGGGGAGCAGATCCACTGCCTCCCCAAGGACGTCGTAGACCGGTTCTGCGACATCTATAGCGAGTATGACCCGGAGCTGGGCAAGCAGGCGAAGCGCTTCAAGTGCCTCATTGCGGATTGCGAGCGCGTTTTTCCTCGCAAGAGCGCTATTTCAAGTCATATCCAGACCCACCTGGATGATCGCCCGTTCAAGTGCCCGGCGGAAAACTGGTAAGTCTGATATCTCTCTCGCGGTCGCTATAGTGAGCGACAGCCGAGCTGATGGACCAGCACCAAATCCTTTGTCCGCCACCATGACTTCAACCGGCACATGGAGATGCACATACCGAAGAGAAAACACTCATGTAATTGGTGAGCAGACCTCTTTTTTACGCCTGTGCTCGTCATGCTCGTGATAGTCAAGGACGTCGCTGACCATTGCAGTGGCAAGGACTTTGCCCGCGCCGACGCACTCGCACGACACCGCCGGCGAGAGCTCTTCCCCTCCTGCGCGATCGACGTCGAGCAAAACGACCTCCCCTTCCCCGCTGCTGGCGAGCAGGCTCCACACTCGGGTGGTCCGGAACGTGCGGTCAGGTCGCAGCCCGCTCGACACCGCTCGGGACCATACACATCAAGGTAGACTCATTGTTGATAGTCGTCGTGATACCTATTCCTCTTCTTAGCTTTTCCTTTTGGTTACCTTAGTAGTTTGTTTGATCAATAAAAACGAGCTGTTACGAGTCTCTCTCTGCTGGCCCCTGCTGGTCTGTACAATATGATGCATGTACATATACCTCCAGCCTGCGTATGTACAGCGGCATGATGAGAAGTTGCGCCGGGCGTGATGGAACGAGTGAGGTGGATAAGTATGGTGTCGAGGTCTTGAGCCGGAAAGTGGTGTCGAAGTGGACGAGGGCGTATCTTGAAGAGCGAGGGCGAGTCTTAAAGGTAGGGCATCAGGTCCAGGAGAGAAAGCGTTTCGTACCGCGAGTGAAGGAGGAGAAGTCCTGTGCGTCCTACAGGGATCAGCTCAGTCCTGGTTGGCAAAAGGAACGATAACTGACCTCGATGTACCGTGACCCAGCCTCGGCCGCCCCGGTCTGCACCTTGTCCAAGCTGAGCAACACCTCCCTGAGCCTGGCAGGAAGCTCCTGGTCTGTGAATGTCAGCTGGCGCTCGGGACATCATATGCTCCTGGAGTCGAGTTGCTAGAGCTCACATCGTTCCATAGCGCTGTTTAAGCGACTGACGAGCTCCGCCCGGTCCTTCAGAAGAGCCTCGAGCGGGTTACAGGTCGCTGAGAAGTCAGTCTGTGATATCAGCTGTGCTTTAAGCCTATTCAAAGCCGAAAGCGGCCGGCAGCTGATGATTACGGTCCGCTGTACCTCTGTCGGGTTCAGGATCCAAGGGATGAGACCTACCTGCATTGTGGATCGAGCATGACCGAGCTTCTTGATCTGATCCGTCGGGATAGAGATTTGCGCCTCGAGCTTGTCCAGCGTAGCTGTGACAGTATCGAGCCTGTTACAAGTCAGCTTGGGAACCGTCGGATGCACCAATCCTACGCTGCTCGCAGCTCACCTCGTCTGCACCGAAGTATCCGCCAGGACCTCGTTACCCGCTGCGTAGATCTCGCTGATCTTGTCTTTGCCTTTGCTTGATCCCTGGCGCGTAGGTCTGATACTGGACGGCTTAAGACCTGACTGAGTAAGCTCAGGTCGTCTCGTCCCTACGCTCCTTGTAGCTAACCTGCGGCTCCCTTTTTGGACTTGGGGCCCGTGGTAGACTTGGCGCTGATCGATATGAGCTATGTTCCCGTGCCGTACCGCTAGGTGAGGAGCAGACAAGGCCCTGGTAGCTCACATAGACTTGAATATACCCTTGACAGGCTGTTCTCCTGTCTGCTCGTCTCCTCCCCCATCTTCCTCCGCGTCTACAGGGTCCGTCCGCGCCTTCTTCTTCGCGGGCGACTTGGCTCCCACCTTCGCCCGCTTCGAAGTAGGCATGGAAGGCTGACCGACTTCCTCTTCGTGCTCCACAATTTCAGTCTTCGATGTCGGCTTGGGAGAAGAGTGCGAGGTGGCCGGGAGGGAGGTTCGGGACTTCTTGGCGGCCGCAGGGGGTGCGGGGCCGGGCTCGGACTGACGAGGCTTTCTCGCTAGAAGAGTCAGCTTCTGGACAACCGTACTGCGGCGTACCCGAAACTGACGAGGCATGGTGCTCACAGCTCATGAAGAGCTGCTAGGTCAGTGACGGCGGTATTTCAAGTTGAAGAGTGAAGTATGAAAAGGGAAGAAGGAAGTATGAAGCGAAGGGGGGGAAGTTGCCCCCTCGTCCCCTTCGTGACGCCCACCCGCACTGACCTCCACTTGCCCACATTCCTTTGCTTCTTTGGGTTCTACCGATAATTAACCGGAAAAGCAAGTCGCGTCCAAGCGCGTCCACTTTTGCTTCTCTTTCGCTTCTTCTCCTCTGCTTCTTGCTTCTCGCTTCTTGAAGTCCAAGCGCCACTCGCAGCTCGTTGCTCGGACCTCTTCACGAGAAGCAAAAGCTATGACCGCCCTCTCGCCCCCACCCGCCCTGCAGAACCAGGAGCAAAGCTTCGACACTTCAAATACCCTGTTCGACTTTGATCCTCTTCCTCCTTCTTCCCCTCCTACTTCCAGAACCACCGAACCATCGACCAGCACCAGCGCGAGTACCAGCACCAAGGCTATCCCTCCTACTTCCACTACTACCTCCAAACCGGTAGAAGACGAGTTCGATGCGGGCGATATCTTTAACTTCGAGCCCCTCCCCAAGGTTCCCGCTGCGGCCAAGAGGGATGTACCCTTCCAGCGGGGAGGGGACAGTCCTCCTCCAGACATGGAAGAAGAACCAGAGGACTGGGATGCTTTAGCCGCCATAGCAGAAATGGAGGCGGAGTATGGTGGTCCAGATCTCGCTCCTTCCTCCTTCAAACCAGCTGCTTCTGCCTCAGCGAGTCAGAGTGGACAGAAGGAGAAGGACAGAAGCCTATACGAGGAGTTCGGGATGGCCGATATGTTTGATTTTGACGAGCAGCCCAAAGCGTCTGGTAAGCTCCCTGCCGCTCAAGGTCGTGTGTCTTGACCGCGAGAGGAGACCGAAGCTGATATGATAGGTTCACGGTCAATATATGTCCGACCCGCCAGCCCGGTGTATGTACCCCCTCCAAGGGTGCAACCGCGGTGCGACCTTCCTCCTCTTCGCGCAGAGACAGCTTCGGGGAGCTATATCACCTTCAACCGGAGGTTCAAGCCTAGTCCACCATCACTCACCGTGAGTTCACGCGTTCGAGGGGAGAGCGACGCGAACGCACAGCTGACTTTTAGGACGAGTCTCTCGGAGGTAGAGGTACTGCACCGTCCTTGCTCGGTCAGCCGCTTCATCGACTCATGAAGGACGTGGAAGATCTGAAGAATGAGCAAAAAGCAATCCAGTCAGTTAGTGAACGCGGAAGAGCATGGAAATCCGAGACGCAGGAGCTGATATATAGGTTGCAGCGGAAGTACGACGAAGAGACTCGCCGTGCAGCGCTCGAAGCTCGGACGGCAGCAGGTGTTGGGCCGGGTCGGACGATGTGGGTGGACAAGTATCGACCGAAGAAGTTCTCGGATCTACTAGGGGAGGATGTGAGTTGACAAGTTCTCTGCGAGAGTTGCATTGAGGAGAAGCAGCTCATGACATAGCGTACACACCGAGACGTCATGTCCTGGTTGAAAGAATGGGACAAGTGCGTCTTCAAGCGCGCTGCGCCTAGTAAGAAGCGGAAAGCTGGCGCGGAGGAGGAAGAGAATCCATATGTGAGCTCCTCCCCCTTCCTCTTCGGTAAGAGTCCGAAGTGGGAACTCGAGCTGATCTTATTAGACAGACGCCTTGGGTCGACCTCGCGAACGTATCCTCCTCCTCTCCGGCCCGCCCGGATTTGGGAAGACCACCCTCGCCCATGTTCTCACCAAACAAGCGGGGTATCGTACCCTCGAGATCAACGCGTCGGACGATCGGAATGCGGCGACTGTATCGACACGGATCAAGAATGCGATTGAGGCCGGAGGGGGGATCATGGATAAGGGCCGGCCGGTGTGTGTGGTGGTTGATGAGATTGATGGGGCGACGGGTGGAGACCAAGTAAGTACTGAGCTATGGTGGCTTGATAAGCAGGCTGAAGCTGAGATATCCAGAGCTTCGTCAAGAGTCTCATCAAGTTGATTCAGGACGTACCTGCAAATCGCAAGAGTGAGCTACGTGCTCCACCATCCTTCGCACGCAAGCTCACGTCTCAGAGAACACACCAGCAAGACCGCTGCGAAGACCCATCATCTGTATCTGCAATGATCTGTCAGTTGTGCACCCCGGTCACAGGCATATGAGCGGCACATGAGCTGACTGTGCAGCTACGCCAACGCTCTCCGTCCACTACGTCCTTATGCCCGTATCGTCCGATTCCGGAAACCTGCGCCTCAGATCCTCGTCAAGCGCCTTCAGGAAGTATGCGAGCGGGAGTCCCTCCAGGCGGATCTGAGGGTCTTGACGAGTCTTGTAGATCTTACAGGTGGGGATGTCCGAAGCTGCCTCAATACACTCCAAGTGAGCTGGTGGTAATTTTGTGATTGATCAATCCAGACCTTAGCTCACTTCACAGTTCATCAAATCCAAATCTAGGACTGTTACCGAAGATCAAATCCGGACCGCCTCTATCGGATCCAAAGACTCACTCACCACCCTCCAGAACGTCTGGAACGCCCTCTTTATCCCCCTCGCTTCGAAAGAACGGCGGAAGCGACAAGCCTCTTCCGGGTCGGACGGCCGATACATCCACCGCCTCGTCCCCCTTATCGCCTCCAGCGGGGACATGGACCGTCTCGTCCAAGGCTGCTTTGAGCATTATCCAAACCTCAAGCCACTGGACGGGAGCCTCGCCAATGTCAGCAAGCTCCTCGATGGTCCGCTGGGCTTCTATGATACGCTCTCCAAACGGGTCGGAGAGGGGGAGTATGAGATCATGGGGTATATGGCCTACGCGATTACTGGGTTTCATGCGCACTTGGCGGCGCCGGCGAATAGTACGAGGTTGACCGAGTGGCCAAAAGCGGATTATGAGGTGAGCTGCCGGCCTACCGAAGTGAAGTGGAAGCCGTTTAGCTGACGAGAAATAGTCGTATCAGGCCCGAACGGTCAATGCGGAAGTAGCCACCACGCTCAAGACTGGATTCCCACCCATCCTCCGTAGTCTCTTTTCGACAACGACGACACTGACGGAGCTCATCCCGCTCTTGATACGGATCATTACCCCGCCTCTCCGACCTGTGAGCTTTGATGCTTGAGGAAGATGAGCTTCTGGGTCATAAGCTGATATAATAGGTGAATGCGAATATCGTCAAGCCTGCCGAGAGGGCGGTGCTGGACCGGCTGGTGGAGTTGATGATACCCCACGGGCTGAGCTTTTGGGCTGAGAAGGCCGAGAATGGACAGCCGATGATGCGGTTGGAACCGTACGTCCGCTAACTTCTTCTTACAGGTTTGGAGGGATCAGCTGACACTGTAGCCCGATTGATTGTTTCATCCATTATGATGGCAAGAGAGCGGACGATGTGGCTGCTGGGAGGTTTGCGGTGCGGCAGGTTGTTGCTCAGGCTGTGAGTTAAGGCGTGTGGGACAACTAGGCAGCCCGCTTGTAACTGATACAGTAGATGGATGCGGAGATTGCTAGGCGTAAGAGTGGAGCTTCGGGGGATACGAGGACCGTAAAGGATAAGCTGGTGGGAATGTATGGGGCAGCCAAGTGAGTTCAGCTGAGGACTGCGCCGCGGTGTGCGGGTCAAAGCTGATATGCGTAGGAAAGGGCATCAGGTGCATACTGCGCCGGCTAAACCTGACGCGGTGAGCTTATCCTCCAGGTTCCGCTTGAAAGCAGGGCTAGAGAACAAGCTCATGCCGTAGCCTATACCGACTGATTTCTTTGGGCGGATCATCAGCAAGAAGCCATCAGCTATCCTGGGCGAGACCGAGGGTCAGTTGGGGCACCTGCAGACTGCGGCCTAGGACAAAGCTGACAAGACCAGCGCTGGATCCCGAAGCCGAACTCAGTGCCACACCGCCTCCACCGGCCAAACGATTCCGCGCCGTCTATAAATTCCACGAAGGCTCCAGTAGCGCCGTCCGGAAGTGCATCAAGATGGCGACATTGATGTGATTTGCTCTAAGCGAGGAATTGAGGTCGGGCCGATGTCGGTCGGGTGGATGAAGAGTTCGGGGCGGGCTGAACGGGGTATGAGAGCATGCCGTTTGGCGCTTAGCAATTAGTACGACATCTGCGTAAGGAATGGCATGATCTTTGGCGACTCGGCAGGCTCCAGAGATCCAGATCTTGCGTGATTAAAATGCGGCAGGAGGATGGACCTCTATGGATCTACGGCGTTCTAACCGCGCTTTCATTTCGGCAGAGGACTGAGCGGTTTTTTCCATTGTGCGGGACTCTCGAGTAATGAGCAGTGTACCCCAGTGGAGCGACATTACTATGATATGCTTGAAAGGGAGGCGCAGAGCAATCGCTCCTCCTCCTGCTGCCACCTTCGGGGCCTATAACAAACGCAACCCCGGCCCAACCCCGAAATGGTGACGGAATCAAACTGGCCAGGCACGGCGGAGCACTGGATCTGCTCCTATCGCCCCTTACCACACACCCTGAATTGCTGACTCCCGTTCCCTGATAGACCCTGAGTGAGTCTAGAATTACCCCTTTGAGATTGGACTGGCGGAGGAGGAGAGGAGGGGTATCCTTTGGAGCGCGCACCGCCGCTTGCTGCTGTGAGCATGGGAGTGAAACCCCCCTCCCTCCCCTTCTCTCCTTCAACCTTACCTTGCAACAGATAGAGAAAGCAGCAGCTTTCATCTCAAGCGATACCCCCGCTCCCCCTCCCGCCGCCTTGCTGTGATTTGGATACCGCGCTTGGTGAGTCTTTGTTAACGAAAAGATGGTAGAGGGTCGGAGATGCGCGGAATGGGAGATGGGGGTGAGATGGGCGGGATGCGATTAGGTGAAATGGGTGCGAAAGGATGGATGGCAAGAGTTGTCCGCGTGCCGCCGGGTGGAAAGTAGGAGATGCGCTCATGGCAGAAGGCCACAGAGTGAAGGTGTAAGAACGGATACTTCAAGCGGGAGATGGTGGTGGCGGCGGTGGAGAGAGGTCAGACGAGCCTTATCACGTGTCCCTGCTCGCATCGTGTCAACCCCCTTCTCTCCTCCTTTCGATGGTCTTCGCTCTATGACTACACCATACTCTATCCCATCTCGTTTCGCCTGTTGGATACTGCAAAAAGAAACGTCGCTAACGCTTTTTCCTCTCTTATCAACCTACTCGATCTATTACTTTTCCTTATCTCTCGCTCCCGTACTTTTCACCAACAGCTCGCGACCCAATCCAGCCCTCCCTCCCCCCTACCCCTCACCACCACTCCACCCACGCCCAACCACCCCGTACACAGTATACCGGACACATCTCGTCCAACCTCTTTTATCCGTGGTCCACCCCACCGACCGGCCCCCGCAGAAAGTCGCCAAGCTGGGTGAATAACCCACTCCCCGGCCTCCTTCCGACTCCCTTGTGCACGTTTGAGATTCGTCTCGCGGCACGCTCCTCCACCTCTCTCTACATCTCATCGGATACCTACTCCTCCGCATATACCCCTTCGATTTTACCTACACTTTACCTCACGACCCGATCAACGACTTCCTCTCCGGTCCCATCTCGGATCGCACGACCTTACAATTGGTATCATGCACCACCTCAACCTTTCCCCCTTCTCGAGCTCGCCCGATTCTGCCAAGATGGAGCAGCTCTCCCCTTCCCAACTCGGCTCGTACCCCCAACCGGCTCTCACCGCCGCTCCGGCCCCGGCAGCCAACAACAAGCCCAAGTCCAAGCCTCGCAAACGCGTCAATACCGCCGAGAAGCGGCACCAGCACAATGCTGTCGAGCGCCAGCGTCGTGAGACGCTGAACAGCAAGTTCATCGTTCTTGCCCGTCTCCTCCCCGCGCTCGCGCAGCACCGTCGGCCGTCCAAGTCGGCCATCGTCAACGGGTCCATCTCCCACCTCACCAAGCAGAGGGACCAGCGTCTCCTCGCTGCGGGACTTCTTCGCCAGCTCTGTGCGGAGCGGGACGCGCTCGCCAAGGAGTGCAAGGAGTGGCGTGCGGCGAGCGGGTTCAATGGGGACGAGAAGCTGTCTGCAACGGCATGGACCGGGGAGATGGACGAGGTGTGCGCGGTAGAGCAGGAGACGTTTGGGGAGTTTGCGAATATGGGCGAGGGGGAGGATGGGGAGGATGACCCTGAGCAGGATGAGGCGGACATGAACCCTGTCGGTGCCGGCGCGGCCATGCCTTTGGGCGGACCGGTCCAAACGGGCATGGGCTTCGGTTTCCAGGCGGGCGGCGGAGTGGGCATGGGCATCGAAGCAGCCACAGCGGCAGTATCGAGCTTCACCACATCGGGTCTCATTACTCCTCGGATGTCCACCGACATCGACCCATTGTCGCTCGCCCTCGGTCTCACCATCCCTCTTCCCGGATCGCAAGGTCGGCAGGCTCAGGCTCAGTCCCAGACCCAGTCCCAGTCACTGGGCATGGACTGGCCCGATGCGTTCAACTTCCTCGGCGCCACCCCCGACGCGTCCTCGGACCCCATCTCCATCCACTCCTCTTCGGCCCCGCCCGCCTCTACTATCCCTTTCAACGCCTTCATGGTCGACTCGCTCGAGAACCTCTCGGCGTCCCCTCCTGGCTCCCTCGGTCTGCCTACCCCTCCCACCTCGGACTTTTCACGCTTCACCCATACTCCCTCCCCCCGCTCGTCCGGCTCTTTCGTCGAGGAATTGTCCAAGTCCCAAGGCCAGTCCCAGAGCCAGGGTCAGGACCGATCCAACTACTTCCTCAACCAAGCGCAGTTCCCCCAGCAACAACAACAGCAGCCACAACACAACTCGCAAGCCTGGGCTCAGCAACAACTCCTCTACTTTCACTCGATGCAGCAACAGCAGCTCCAGCATTCCCAGCTTGCCGAGCTCCAGTCCACCCGGTCCCTCTCTTCGCCAACAAACCCGCTCTTCCCCGCTCGGTCCATGAGCACTGGATCGGGCTCGGATGGGGCGTACTTTTCTGTCCCCACCCAAAGCCAGAACATCCACTCGCAGCGCCAGAGTCTGCCGGTCTATCCCCCGACTGCGTTCCAGCAGATTCAGCAGATGCAGGCGCAGCAGCAGCAGCAGCCTCAGCAGCAGCAAAGGGGTCAAGCGCCGGCGCAGGCACAGGCGCCGAGGATGAGCCAAGAGCAACTGGAGGCGTGGCGCAAGATTGCGACGGGTGGGGGTGGGGCCAGGGCGGATTTGGGGATGTGGGCGCAGAATGCGTTGAAGGGATTCTAGGCGTTGGACGGAGCAGCAAGTCACAGGAGGGCGAAAGAGGACGGGTTCCGGGAAGGGTCAGTTGTGGTTAATTGATCGTTGTGCAGTATCCGCGGTCGATATTTTTGGTTGTTTGTTAACAATATCTAGTCTTTTGCTTGTCTTTAGGTAGTAGTCTAGTAGGTGGTGCGAAGGGGGCGGATGTGGTCTATCAGGGGAAGGGGACCGTTGTAATAGATTTGAATATAGGGTGGGAAATGCGACACTTCTCAAGACTACTCTTCAAGTCAATGCTCTAGGATCTGGGATGTACATGGACTGAGGTCTGGACAAGCTTGCTGGGACTGCCCTACGAGGACCGAGCAGCCCGCAGCAGCGACTAAAAGGCAAGAAGGACGCGGAAGGTGCGAGTAGCTTGCCTCGACATAACGCTTGCTGCCTTGTCCGGAAAATTCCCTCAAGGCTCAGAGTCGCAACTTTCGTCGTCAACAATCTCTTTCGCCTCTCTCCTACAAAAGCCTTTGGCATTTACTTTGCAGACTCTAGCAGTATTCCAGCGCTCTCAAGATGACCCGTAAGTCCTTTCTCCTGGTCGCAGGGGGAGTCGGAGCGTGTGCAATGCTTGCTTTCTCGCTCGGTCGCTCGGTCACTCGGTTGGATAGAACTGGTCCCCCTTCGTGCTGGTCTTTTGCGCTCTGTGGTGCCTCTCTCCAACATCAGGCCTGTTCCGTGGTCTCAGACGTCGACAGCTGGGAAGCATGGGACTGTGGTCCCCGTTCGAGCGGAGGATCGCCCCCCAAGAGCCGCACAAGACAACAGTCAGTCCAGAGTCTCAGCTGATACAGTAGGCGGGGACCAGCGAGATCGCGATAGGGCCAAGAATCTCGCCAAGCTGTGAGTAGCCTTTCGCCTGCTCGCTCGAAACCTAGAGAGGAGACAGCGAGTGGGGAGTAGGATGGGGCAAAGCTACTGGACATGCACCGTTACGGTTCTCCCTTCGCAGTCGGACAATCAGATAGTTGGGGATGGCTCCGCACATCTACATTCACAGGCCAACTCGGAGTGAAGGAGAGCTGGAGCTGATATGTACAGTGCGGCGGCGGGCACCAAGAAGAGTGGGAACCCCCAGCAGCGCAGAGAGGCCGATGCGAAGGCATTAGCGGACAAGTGAGTCTTCGTTACTCTATCCCTGATCGTTCTCTTCGTCCTTGTCTCTGCGCCGAGGGCGAGCTGAGAAGGACCGACGAGACTGAGGTGTTGGCGCGTGACCGCGGCAAGCGGAGAGGATGCGACACTACTGAAGACCGAGCTGAGCTTTCAGGATTGCCGCTAAAGCACTCGCTGCAGAACAAGCAGCGGCAGATCCGAAGAACAAAGTCGGAGTAGCGGCCAAGACTGGTGCTGTGCCAGCGAAGAAGTAGGGCGCTGTCAGTAGTGCGTATCTCCGACGAGATAGCGGGACTCAGCATCAGAGGGAGGTGAGTCCGTCTCCTGTTACAGGCTATCGCTACACTTGGGATGGGACCCACTAGGGATGGGACAGATCGCTGATGCAGCAGGTATGGAGCGGTGTATATAGCTAGCGGACATCCCCAAATCCGCCTCGAGGGTCTCAAAGCATGGTATGGCATAGATGGGGCTTTTCAGCATGCATAGTTGAGTATCTGTCCTCCTACAGTAGGCTAATCCACTGACAATGGTCGTCAAATCTACACTAAAATGATATGTCATGGGGCATGATGGGACGATGGTGATGATGAGGATGGTCTAGTCTACAGCTATTCTAAGTATTCTACAGGGTAAGGATAAAGCAGCACATCATGATCGTTTCCTCGTTTCCTCCCTTCCTCCCTGTCTCCCCTCCCTGTCTCCCCTCCCTGCCGCCTTGAGCTCCTACTGATCCGATCCACCTCAACTTCCCAACCACTGTTCTTTGGATGACGTTGACCGCCAGCCTTCACTCGTTCGTCGTCCGCCTCGCCCGTCCCGGTGGTCTACTCCCACTCGACCCTCTTCCGCCTCCCCTTCGACCGACCGAGCGGGACTGTCGATGTCCCAGGGGCCGAAACATCTCCGCCAGACCGAGGTCTTTCTTGACTACCGCCATTTCGTCCTCCCTTCCTCCCTCTTCTTCATCTTGCCCCTCTTTGCCGTCGTCATCGCCTCGGCCGATCGGCAGATTATTCGATGCCTCGAGTTCGAGGCACATATCGGGCGAGACGCCCCTCGAGCTACCGCTTGACGCCGCTCGTGGGGGAGGGGGGACCGATAGTCCGCCCGTCAATCCATCGTCCCTCGCTGATACCGCACCGCCTAGGCCGAGTGGAGACGCCTGCCTCCCCATCCCGACGCCTCCGCTCCCTACAACGCCGCTAGCGGGCATACCGGCCGAAAGTGTGGTCCGCCGACTCATCCCTATCCGCGTCGGACCAGGCGACCTCCCTCTCCTGCCCGTCCACTCCAGCCCCGCCCCTATCCCCATTCTCCCCTCTTCCGCTCTTCCCTCCCGCTCGAGCCGCTGCACGCCCTCATCGCTTACGCTCCGCATCCCCGCCAATCCCTTTGTTACCGCCAGGCCCGTACTACTCCCTCTCGCACTCCCTCCCGCGCTAGTAGTCGTACTACCACCGGCCACCCCGCCTGCACTGCCACTCCGACTCTCCGAGCGCTTGACTGTCGACAAGGTCGTAGCGCTCCTTGGCCGCCCTCGGAAGATCATCACGCTCCTCGGGTCCGTTTGAGCCCCATTGGGCAGCTGATGCGGAGCGAATCCCTCGATTTGGGGCGTCTGGATCACTGGCGATCTGCTCGGTGATTGGGCGGAGGACGCGATGCGCATAGAGAGGAGATGAAGCGATAAGGAGAGTGGGGCGGAGATGGACCGGCTGATACCCGTCGGGCGAGGTGCGTCGCCGCTGCCGTCGGTATCGGCACGAGTGCGCGTGCGGGAGGACCCGGACGGGTGGGCAGGGCGCGGTGGGGAGTAATGCAGAGGAACTGCAGGGGATGTGGGGACGGTGTGGGAACCGCTGGGGGCGATATAGGGCGTAAACGGGGTGGAAGAGAGGGTATGGGAGCGGTGGTGGCCGTGGTGAGCTGGAGTAGGGGTGTTGGGAAGAGAAGGGCGAGCGAGGGGGCGCATGCGTCTATGGAGTCAGCTACTGCACACCTTGGAGCCGAATCATCCGCGCCGCAAATTTCCTCATTCCTCGCTTTCTTCTCGGTGCTGTAGTAGCTCCGAGTATTTGAAGTCCGACGGCCTGATGAATGAAAGATCGACTTACTGGGAATAGAATCTACTGATCCCTCCCAGCTTCTCCTTCCCTTCCGCACCGCCATTTGCCCCGCCACCACCACCTGGACTGCTCAGCCCACTCCCGCTCGCGAGCGCCGCGCCGACCGATGAGTGCCGCGTCAGCGTTTCTGGGGAGGTGGAGGTCGTGTGCCCGGCTGAGCTTAAGCGAGTATGAGGGAGGTTGGAGAGAGGAGAGGGACGGGGTCTGGGGGCGGTGAGGATCGTATCTGGGGAGGGGAAGGGAAGGTGCGAGGGTCCGGGACCGAGGAGGGGGTCTGTCTCGGGCTGAAAGATATCAGCTCCGAACTTGCGACTCGTGGACGGAGACCCACATCTTGCCAGCTGGCGAAGCATGTCCTCTGTAGTATCCAGCGCAACATCTTGGCCCAGCCTCTGAACAGACTGAGTGGCAGCACAGGGCCGAGAGACTGAATGAAAGAGGCAGGCAAACAAGTGGAGAGACAACGAAGATAGGTGGTAGGAAATTTTGCTCAGACTAGCCTACTGTCGGCCGAAGCAGGGGAGGGGATGACAACGGATGTCCTCGAGAGTCGAGTCACCCTTTGCGGACTGTATGGCCTCCTTGGGCGAACGGATGATGGGCAAGTGAGGGGTGCTCAACCGGCGTCGACGTTGGCTGTGACACCCTAACGCACTGTTCACCCCCGTTCGACTGATGGGATCTAGAAGAAATCTGGCGTGCGTACAGGGTCAGGGAAGGGTCAAAGGTACGATACAGCATGGCGACCATCAGTCATCCCAACTATGCCTTGATGCTTGATGGCTGCCCATCAACCAACCTCGCTGACGCGTTGAAACACGTCCGAGCGGGTCATCGGTCACGGCTTCGGTCACGCTCATGGTATACATCGCCGCTGCCGATGAGGCCGATGGCGATGGCTGTGAGATCCTTTTGTTCTCCTCGAAAATCTGCCGCCGGAGCCAAAGGAAGCGAGAGTATACATCAAAGGTATGTGTGTGTGTGGAGGCGTTCGAGGCACCGAGACGGTACAATTGCTCGAAGTGGCTACCTCGGGACGATGGGGCGTAGTTGGGCTGAGGGCGATGAGGATGCTCCGACGGGGGTTATGCTACTCCGCATCGCCGCTTGCGCCGGCGACCATTGCTCTCGCCCTCTCTCTCTGCCGCCAGGACTGATAAGAACACAAGAGCCACCAAAGAGCTGAAACTGGACAAGTTTCGGGCCTCGTTTCACTTTAGGTTCGAGTGACTCGAGTGACATTCCTCGCTTGCTTACTTCCGACGGACCGCGATGCGCAGATTGCTGCTTGAGCTTGAGCTTGAGCCTAGCGCGGTCAATGATTAATGAGATGGTGTCAGCGGCGGTAAGCAGAGATCAGATAAATGAAAACCCAAAATGCATACTTTGGATGAATAGCCATCGGCGAGACTACGCTCTGCTCGAGCTCCCACCCTCTTTCCACGCGACACGCTGACATCTCGCTCCACTCCAGCCCTACGCCTAACCTAGTCCGACTCCTCCTCCGACTGAGTCGACTGGACCTTCTTGGCCGCAGCCGCCCGTTTGGGCCGACCGCCCGTCTTTGCAGCTTTCCACTGACTCTATCTTATCAGCTATTGCTTTTCTCATTCTCTGCAACTTCGAGGATTGCAAAGCTTACCGTGCCATTCCCCACCTGAACACTACTACCCCCCGCCGCGCCCGCACTCCCTTCCTCCGGCTCCTCATTATCCGTCTGCCCTTCCTCCTCCTCCAGCTCATCCTCCTCGTCATCATCACCACCGCGACTCGGCCCCGCCCTCCCATTCGCTCCAGATTCGGTGTTGCGCTTCCGTTTCGTCCGGATCTGAGTGGTGGTGTCCTCGACTCGATTGACCGCCTTCTCGCCGAGCGGTTTCGGATCATAGGTCGCAAAGTCTTTCTTGCAGACGGGGCAGGCGGGGGTACGACCGGTCATGAGGAGGGTGTAGCAGGTTTTGTGGATGTGGGATTCGCATTCGCTGTTTGCGCAGATGACACCCTGCATTATCAGCTCAGCTCAGCCCTAGAGTCTAGAAGAGGTGATAGAAGCTTACAGAGAGAACAGTTTTGCTGCATCGGCCACACTTCTGGATGTATTCCTCGTGCTCCGCCAAAAGCCAGTTGTCGAGCTCCATAATTGCCCGCGGAGCGAGCGAGTATCGTCCGCGCCTAAAGAGTCAGCTGAGGTACGCTGGAACCGCGTATACACATCATGCAGCTTACTTGACAGACTTGGCGAGCCAGCCCCTCGCAACAAAAGTCGACAACAGCGTATCCCCGGCAGATTTGGTCAGTTGCCCCGGGAGACCAGACGTCAGGCTCAAAGCTTGGAAGTGATTGATCGAATTGGCAGGGTAGGATGTGATGATGTTGTTGGCCTACCGCGTCAGTTCTGCGTACCTGCAAGAGTCGATGAGGACGTACGATAGCCTTGAAGAAGGAGAGCTGCAGGGGTTCCAAATCCGTCATGTTCGCCGCTTCGTCCGTGGGGTCCGTGTTAATCTACTATATCAGCTGCGTCCTGCCTACCACTAGGTCACTGCCAGCTGACATACCATAGCCCACATATCCCTCGGTACCGACCCTTCATCCCGTATTGACTTCATTTCCATTTGCATCCCGCTCTGTTCCAGAATCCGGTTGATTTCCAGGGCAAAGCTTCTGGCGCCTGCTTTGTTCGTACCGTGCGTGGGACGGAAGTTCTCATCGGCCACTGTGGAGTCAGCTGAGCCTTCCCATGTCCCATAGGAAGAGCGCTATAGCTTACCTTGACAAGCGGATATGGCGCGGAGGTAGAGCTGAACCATGATTTCCTCTGGCATGACCCGTCGAGACAGGACGGATTGGAGGAAGACTCGGTGCAAGTCCGTGGGGCGGATAGTCCCTTGTGTAGCCTGAGTGGGGTTGACCATCTTGTCTATAGAGCTATGTATCTCCTACTGCAAGTCTACGGAGAAGAAGTATGATAGCAAGCAAGCAAGGTGAGACGCGTCGAAATTCGCTGCTTGGATCGACGCGTCGAACGCTGGTCCGTGCGTTGTGGTTGTAGCTGACGTAATGCGATTGGTTCACCGAGATTTTCACCGCCAAAAGGTCCACCCAAACACCCTATAAACCCTCTTCTCTGGACCAAACATCTACCATACAGCAAGCAAGATGAGCGACACTGTCACCAAGCGGCTTCATATCGGCGGTCTTACGCCCAATATTACCCCCACGCATCTCCGGGATAGGTTCAAGATCTTTGGGCAGGTCGACGAGGTGGAGCAGCTCCAGCCGGATGCGCTGGGTATGTCTTCCCATGGCCTGAGGGATGATGAGGCAGGAGCTAATGATGCAGGACAGCCCAGACCGTTTGCGTATCTCACTATGCAGATAACGCCTGCTCAGCTCAAACGATGTATGTCCCTCCTCCTCTTCTACACTCATCGCCTGCACTGCACCTGCTATGCGCTCTGGCGTTCAACCGAGACGACCAGGTCTGGGCATTGCCATGCGAGAACTCGACTGACCTGTACTCAGGCATGAACATCCTCTCTGGATCCATGTACCGCGGCACCCAACTCCGAATCGCCGAAGCCAAGCCCCGCTTCTCTGAGCGTCTCGCTGCGGAGGCGAACCCCCCGGCTCGTCAGATCGAGAAGGAGCAGGTGAGCAAACGGAAGAGAGCGAGGAGGGAGATGGGTCTTGAAGTGGGGAAAGAGGCGCAGGATATGGGGGTGGTCACAGAGGATAATTATAAGCGGTCCAAGGTGAGCTGCCTCATGTTCTCGCAGGACAGGGAAGATGACGAGCTGATGCGCTAGTTTTGGAAAGTCGCGGATGACCACCTAATCCGGCCGCTCGCTATCCGCCCAACACATCCTCTTCCCCCACCAGTCATTCAGCCGGCTCAGCTAGCCAAGAAGGAGTCCAAAGCTGGTCCCAGCAAGCCCGTCAAGCGTAATCCGCCAAATCGACAGCGGAGGCGCGTGATCGACCCATTTCTTTGGCAGCCTACACATCTCTCCGGCTCAACTTTGGAAGGCTCGGGAGGCAGAAAGACGGACGGGGAATGGGTCTTTGAGGAAGTGGATGAGGACGAGCTGGAGGCGGATGTCGAACTGGAGGGCGGCGAGGATGGGGTCGTGCTCGGCGTATGGCGCAGAATCGGTGGTGATGTCGATGGGGCGGAGCAGGTCGTCCGTGTCAAGCGCCAACGAGTGGCTTTTGAAGCGGGCGAGGAGGGGGAAGAAGGCGCCGAGTATGACTGGGGAGTGAGTGGTGGTGAGAGGGGGGACTCGCCGCTCTTTGGGGACAGGGCGGATTCGCCCTTGTTCGGCAATAGGGATGGTGGGCCGGAAGGGGATGAGAAGTCGCTCTTTGGAAACGGAGAGGCGGAAGGCGGTGAGGAAGCAGAAGAGAGGGAGTCTTCGCCGCTTTTCGGTACTCGGTCGGATGCGTACCCCGCCTCGGACGGCCAGTCGGGCTCGGACCGCTCAGAATCGCCTCTGTTCGCTTCGAGGCCGGCTGTGGTGGGGACGAGCGAGCTCGTTGACGCTGTCGAGGTGGAGGAGGAGCTGTCGATCGCTTCTCCAGTTGGGACGGACGGTGTCGATATCGAGGTGAATGTCAATGCTTCCATACCATCATCCCCGCTCTTCACTGCCTGTCCCGCCATTATCGACGACACCCAGATCATCACCAGAATCACCATATCTACTTCGCCCCCCACTCCTCCACCTGCCCAGGTCACCGCTGCCCCGGCAGTCCACTCCCTTCCCGCCGCCCTGGTCCACCAAGCCAAATCCGAGACATCCCTCTCCCTTTCGGTCCTCTCCTCCCTTCTCGCTTCACGTCCCGATGCGCCTTTCGTCCCCACCAAACCCGGGAAGGACGAGTGGCGCGGGTTCGCAGAGAGCGATAGTGAGGATGAGCTGGAAGGGGAGGATATCTTCCAGGGGCGGAATGTGGCCGGTGAAGGCGTTTTGCGATTACGAGGAGGTGCGCCTGATGGAGTAGAAGATGAGCATGCGGGAGAAGGGGACGACGACATGGATAGCGACGATGAGGATGCGGCGTCTGTGGCTTCGTCAGAGGCGCCAAGTTCTTCTGGATCGGACATCTCGTCAGACTCTTCCTCTTCATCCTCGTCCTCTTCATCCTCGTCCTCTTCATCCTCGTCCTCTTCATCCTCACCTTCCTCGTCATCCTCATCATCGGACTCCGACTCCGCTGCCTCCAGCTCCCCCGCAAAGCCCGCACCCAAACTCAACGCCCTCCGTGGCTTTTTCGGCTCCCGCCCCATCCCCTCTTCCTCCTCCTCTACCGCTGCTCCCGCAGCCGCGGCCGGAGGCTTCTCCCTCTCGGCCCTGTACGGCGCCGATATCGAGATGGACGACGAGCTGGACATTCCGCTCGCTCCTCGTGCGTCCGACGCACGGCGTCCAGAGCTCGAGCTACTCGCTCAGGCCCCGAGGCAGGTGTTTGACGATTCGGCGGATATACCTCTGTTCTTCGCTCCGGGACCGGTGCCGAAGGGTGGGAGGGGCGTGGAGTCGAGGCCAGGGTGGGCGAAGCATCCGATTACAATCCAGAGGGAGGCGGCGGCGGGTGGTCCGTCGAGCTCGGGATTCGGTGGGATGGGTGGTCTAGGAGAAGGAGTGGCAGCGGAAGGGACGGGGGAGAAGGTGGAATCATCAGCTGGGTTCTGGAGGAAAGACTCGGATGAGAGTATGAGGCATAGATGGGATCGAGTGAAGGGGGAGTTGACGTCTGAGTGGAAGAGAAGAGGGAGGGAGGCGAGGAAGCAGCGAAAGAGGAGGGGTGGGGGTGGGGATGATGAGTAGCTTGCTGGATAGGAGCGTCACCTTGATCTGATGTCATATATTGAGGAACGGCCGGCGGGCCATTCGGGGTTCCAAAGGGAGGGATGAATGAGCTGACATTGATGCTGTTCGGGTTGTGGGCACCTACCTCTGATACGCGCGGCTTCACTTGGTCTGCACAAGTGTTTTCTAAGGGTTCCGGTACAAGCTTTTCTCACACATATATCTACTAATCATACATCTCAGGTCTCTCCAGCCTTATGACACATACTCGTACACCTCACTCCTGTCATGATCGTCATCGTCCACATCGACCACGGACGCTGAACGGTTCGGCATCGCTGGACTGTAACATTAGAATGACTTGCGGAGGCTCTTTGGCTTCTTACTGCAGCGACTCACTCCTCTTCACGCCGCTGTGGATCCGTAGGAGTCGGGTGCTGTTTGGTTGCCATCCGAGGCAGCGGATCCGTCCTGCCACCCACTTGCAGATTGGTCGGCTGTGTTGTAAGCTAATACTTGCAGCGGTACAAGCACGTCTCCAGCGCGTTCATCCGGCCCATAAGGGGCTCTTCGAAGCAAGTCCTCGGCGTGAGACTTACCGTCCGACTTGGCTGAGGCAGAAGAGGGTTCTTGCCACCCAGACCGAGACCCGCTCGAGTCGTCTGCGTCGTCAGCCGTGACTCGATACCCATAACTGCGTCTGGTGCACTGAGGTTCTTTGTGTGCGATACGAGGATCCAGAAATTCAGCGCAAGACTCACTCTGCTTCGTGTCCTGGGCCGACCCTGGGCACCATTCTGTGAGGTGCAAATCCGAGAGGTACATCGCGATCTCTTCTCTGTCGCTTGGCGACACAGCTTGTCGTCGGTCAGCCCATCCTACCTCGGCTCGCCTGTCATCCCGGTTTCTCATACTCACACTGGTCGCTTCCAGAGCTCTCCGTGGCCTCGCTCTTCATGATAAATCTATAGGCAGGAAGCCGACCCGGCGTCTGCTCTGGGGGCGAGTCAGCCCAATATTTGGCCACGCCTTCTCCAATTTCTTTTTGCTTCGCCCGCAATGCTCACCATTTCGCTCATCCCCAACGTCTCGGTCTGTCCCGCTCCAAGCCGTAGATCTAGAGCTCTCTGACGGGTCCTGCGAGGGGCCCTCGCGCTCCGTGTATCCATTTTCATGTGTAGCTAACCACTCTGAGACAGCCTCCGTCGGTTGATACTCAATCTCAGCAGGTGGATTGTCTTTAATGAAGCTACGTTCACTAACGTCAGGTACCGTATTCGAGATGTGACCTATTGGTGGATCAGCCCATCTTACCTGGGTTTACCTCTTCCGGAGGTCTTGGCCATGTCCTCGTACTTACTTTGATCGCTACCAGACCTCGCTTTGTCGCCATAGCTGTCGCCACTGCGCGTCTTGTCCGACTTGAGGGATGGCCGCTTTTGCGAGCTATGAGATCCTTCTTCTGAGCTCATGAGGCCGATATCATCATGCGTGCTGTTGCCGCTGTTGCTGGGAGCGTATGTGGGAATGCCATCTCCGAAATGGCCCCTGGGACCACTAGTGTCAGACCCCATGAAAGAGCGCTCAGAACTGATCTTGACGGCTGCATTTTGTATTAGCTTCGTGCCGGCTGATCGATTCCGCCGCACTCCGGGCAGAAACGCATCAAGATCACTAGCCAGGTTGTACTCACAGGCAGTACTGTGATTGCCACCATCATCCGAATTGGTATACTCGCTCAACCCTGATTGATGTCGGCAGATACTACTCGCTCTTGGCCGAAGGGATACGAGTAGTGGAGACGCTCATGCGACGCATACTCACTACCACCGTAAGACGACTGTACGTAGCCTGTGTCGCTGTTCCCAGACTTCGTCGAGCGATCACCCATACTGTATAATCCCTGACTAGGCGCTGTGTCACTGTAGAATTGGCACTGCTTGGGCTGACTTGTCGGTGAAACTGGCTCTCGCGCGGGCGATGGTGAAACTTCGAAAGTATTAAATAGCGCTGTTGATGTAAGATCGCGAGCATACGCAACAGTCACTACCTCTTAGCGGTTCTGCGCCCCCAAGTTGATAAAGAAACGTATTGTACCATGATCAAGGGGTACAAAGGGGCAGAGAACATCTCAGGGGCAAGCCAACCATCCTTTGGCCCCGTCTCACTGACCCGCTGCTCCTTCCATCTGCAGTTGCAACCGCCTGCACTGAGGACCCATACACATTGATATCACCTACTTGAGCCCAGATGAGCTGCACTGATAACACATGGTTGTTCGTTCAAGTCCGCTCTCACGCTCGAGCCCCTCCACTAAAGAAGCTCGTAAAGCCTCGCCTGCTGCCCTGCATCGTCGTCCTGTCGAGCTTAGTCTCCCCTCCAGCTCGGTAACGAGCCTCTCTAGTACCGGCACGTAGCCGCACGATCATTCGTATGGGGATCTGAATGATCGAACACCGAGGAACGCAGGCCGGACAGCCCTAGTACGTGTACGTTGTCCTTTGAAGTCTTCAGCCTGACCAGTGACGGCTGAGACACCTTTCCAATTTGACTGCTCGAGTCAGTATCTCCCTAGTCATATATAGCTAGATCTGGGGCACGGCGTCACCACTCCGACGCGATTGCCTCCCACGTACATCACAACCTGTCTACACCGCAGGCGAGCGGACGTGACCGGGCTGAGGAATGTGGGGCTACACCGACCGGGGAATGCTGCGGTGTCGCGAGCTCACATTAAGATAAATTGGACACGCTCACATTACACAGCGAACAAATGATATGCTCGCGGCAAGTTTACTGCTGCCAATGAGGCCACCAACTTCTCGCTCGCTCCTCGTCCGCCCGTGTCTTCGCTCGCATCTCCTCCATGATGGTATCTGCGGTAGAAGCAAGGGAGTTCCTTCTCATCTTCCTCTCCTCCTCTAGCGCCTTATACTCCCCCTGCAGCTCGTCATCCCGGAGATCCATCAGAAGTCGATTCTTCTTTGCGATATCGTCGATAGCCGAGGGCAGAGATGTCACGACACCCTCGACGGAGTCTAGAGCCTCAAAGTAAATATACTCGGGCGCCCCCTCTTTGTATGCCGTCCCCTTCGTGTATGCCGAGGAAAGAGTGGCTTGAATGCAGTCCAGTGTTGTCGTGCTCAGACTCAGTGTCTCGGCTTCGACTATCGCATCAGCACATGGACTTTGATCACAGGCTCGGACTCGGTCCGATTCGCCATGCAACACTCACTCTCATCGCAATTGTTCAGGCGACCATCATCATCTTCTGTGAGGCCCAACTCCTCCAGCAACCATTGCCGTTGTTCCAGCTCAACATTGAGATCAGACTTCAGGATACGAGCTTCCTTCTTCAGGGCACTCTCCTCCCTCCGCAAGGCTTCGAAGAGCGCCTCGGTCCTCTCTTCGGGGTTCTCGTGACCCGCGCGATTGTCCCACGTGATCCCAACTTCGCTCAAGAACTTGTCCACAATGCTTTCGTCGGGAAGGAACTTTTCCCCGCCAAGATTGCCTACTTGTCAGCATACTGTCCCAACAGCACTGCCGCATGCTCGGACAAAGTATAGGGTGTACTGGCTTACCCTGGCAGCCGAGCTTAGCGAGCCCCCATTGTTTCTGTCTCACACTCATGGGTCCCCTCGCACTACGCTCAGCTGATTTCTGCGTGGCCATCTCTGTCGTCAGAACAGGGTCCTCATACTCCCGTCTGGAGGATGGGTAGGCTCTGGCGGGCGTAGATCGGCTTCGACTTTTCGAGCGCTTGAGAGAAGCACGGTCCCTCTCCCAGCTCTCGTACCGGTCATCTTCGGATTCGCTCTCCCATGCCTCATTCCCCAGCCACCTGCCATCAGAAGAATGTACGTAGCTTCCCCACTGGTCATCAACAAAGCGAGCGTTGCGAGCCGGATACCACTCGTGGTCCCTGCGCGTCCGATTTTGCTTCCTCTCCGGCTTCCTCCCCATCGCAGATGTATGGCCTCCTCGGCGTAAGTGTCCGGTGTAAAGCGGCTCGATCGAATGCCACCGCAGAGAGGTCACCCTGTCCGATGTGCAGTATATGTCGTCGGTAATCGAAAAATGGCCGTGTTGTGAGGTGTTCCTGATGTGTTGAGAGTGAGCGCAGGAAGAGATTGTGACGATAACAAACGCATGTAGTCGCTTCGCAGGCTATGGTGCGTTCTGGAAAATGCTCCTTCCATCCGCGGGTCGAAACAAGAGGGCGGAGGTATCCTTTGATGACCTCCTTCAGTATGATAGGGGCTGGTGGATACGCGTAGCATCATCTGGTACGCCGAAGAGCAAGCAGGAGCTGTGGAGTCTTGACGAAACGTATAGGCCTTACTCATCAGCTTGGGAATGCCCGCTTTGTACAGTGAATGACTGGGACTGGGTCAGGTGGCAGCTGAAACTTGGGCATACGGAGGTAAAAGATGAGCATGCGAATGTATACGCCAGTACAAGTACAGCATATTTGCATCCCTTTACATACCTTCCGATCCTCCGAAGTGTACCGTAGCCGACCCCGCTGGAACAATCTCGGCGACTCAGTAATAGTCAGAGAGATCCTGGATGGTCGGGCGGTCGCTGAAGTTGCTCTCCCTTCCGGTACCGGAGCGTCGGGCGGACCGCCTTGGCCCTCGACGGTGTTTCCTACCCCGCCCGCGGCGGCGGCAAGTTGGCTTAGAGCTCTTCATCCTGCTCCCCTGACGCGCTGACTCTTTACACCACGGCTCTCGCTCCTCCTCTGCGTCTTGTGCGCCACTGAGCGCTTCCAGTTCAGCAGTCATAGTCCGATTCTCCCATTCAATTTGTGACAGCATGGTAGAGGCGCCCTGCCTCAAGGCGACCATGCGGTCAATATTGATGAACCAATTCCAAATGTCCTGCTCGTTGTGTTTCTCGTACACAGCGGATAGAGTGTCGAGCGGCGGCCCAATGGTCGGGATTGTCGGGACCTCTGATAGCATCAGTATCTCATACGTGCCCAAAAACCCATTCCGGTCAAGTAGAAGACTGAACTCACTGGGCTCCATGCCTAGCACGCTTCGAAGTTCTTGATAAGTCGAGTGCGCCTTCTCGAGCTGTGTTCGCACTTCTTCGTAGTCTGATCTGATCTTGTTCCATTCGCTAACCAGGTTGCCAAAGAGTGATCTGATGTATGTGTCTCCCCTCGACCTGTCCGACTTCGAGATGTTGGTCTCTCCCCTATTGTAGCTCGAGACACTCAGGAGAAAATTGCTGACCGGGTCGCCGCGTAGGAGTTTGAATTGATCGACATCACCTACGAGCAACGTCAGCGATCGATCAATCAAACAAACGAAGATCGGCCGTTGAGGCACTCACCGTCCCACCCAGCCTGTGCTCCCTCGTACTGGAGTTTCCTCCACTGTAGCTGAGTGTCCGGTATCAGGCTTTTCAGCCTTGTGATTTCTCTGTTTCGCCAAGTCTCATCCTCATCCAAGCAATTGAGTACGGTGCAATTGTAGACGGGATTAGGGTTGGCTGCCCGTATCTCCCGGATCTCCTTGGCGAGCTCCTCGATTTCTGCCTCGTATTCGGCTTTCAGTGTCGTAAGAGCGGCTATAGAGCTGTCAGTGCCTGTGACGATCAGATTTGACCTTCACTCACACCCTAGACATGGGACAATAGGCTTAAAACGACAAGGTCCGTGAAGCTTACCATCATCGTCAAGATACTTCTCGCCATCCTGATCATCATAATCTCCGTCGACCGTTTCCTCATCACTGTCCCATGAATCGCATTCGACCGCCGTATGTTCATCGCTGTCCCACTTATGATCGACGTGCGGTGCGGTGAATGCGGAGCTCTTCGTCATATTGCTCTGACAATCGGGCCAATGCGCGAGGAAGTACAAGTAGTAGATGATACGAAGTGGCGGATTGGTCAGCGCAGTTGTGATGATCTGAAGGTTGAAGAAAGGACCTGCAGGATAGGTCAACGAGATATAAGGGGGACTCGGGCGCCCTACAGTCAAGGTGCAGTGAGAGTCATCCTTTGACAAAGCAGCGTCTGGCGTAGAGAATGGGTGATCCTTTCGTCGCTGGCTCCACTGGATCCTAAACGTGTGGTCTAGACTGTTCCAGCAGAAGTCTGCCTCCAATGGACGGAGTGCCGCACGTGCGTGCGGGATCGCCTTTAGCAGTGTCAGTGGCATTTCGTCGGCCCATTGGTAAGCACGCACGTACAGCGAGGCATTTCAGGACGACATGCGCTGTCGGATCGCGCGGGGAAGCTAGTGAAAGAGAAAGAGGACCGGAAAGAGTGGTCACGGACGCGGGAAGGTCAGCACGAGGTCAGCTCGAGCCCGTTCAGTATACATCACGATGTCAACTTGATCGCGCCTTCTCCTTGATAATTCATCCGCCGACTGCCATCCCTCGACCCCAGGCCATCCCCCTCAGCGCCGCATACTGGAACCACGCCCCGAAGAGCACGAAGACGTGAAAGATCTGATGCGAGTTGCCGATGAAGTCGACTTTCCCGGGAAGGTGGCGTTCAGGAAATCGAGCAGCACTGAAATAGGGTCAGCATTGTTCTCAATCAGATCCGCAGATCCCCCATGCTTGGGATGAGGATCAAACTCACTATAATACGGCACCAAAGATATAGCTCGCCCCGCTGGCAATGACCAAGTCGAGGCTCATCTGACCTCTTGCAATGTCCAGCCCTCGGGTCGCTACGACGTGCCCTATCGGCAGAATGCTGGATAGGCCGAGGCCGATGAATGTGAGGGTACGGTGCCATCGGTGAGCGCGACCATAAGGAGACAGGACCATCTGTAGATCGTCAACTCCAGGTCATGCGTGAGCACGGTTGCAATAGCTCACCCATGCTGCCCCAAGACCAGCTGAGGAGATGAGGACTAGCCTGTCAGCTATCATACTAGGCCGCCGGCGATAGATGTTCGTCAGCAGCTTACCCATGTAGAAGGCTTGCAGCCTTGGAGAATCGTGGAAGGCGTAATACATGCCCGGCAGGATACTTCCCACGATTAAGATGACAATTCCAGTCTATCCCATCAGCTATAAGTCCACCTCCCCGCAGAGAAGGAGAGTCAGAATGATGACTCACATAATCTCCGCTATGACCCGCCAAGCAAACCTTCTTATTGCACGGCTGGATAGTATGGAACCAAGCGCTGAGGCTGAGGCAAGCGACCGCACAGAGCAGGTACGCGGTAAGAGCAACCCGATCGTGCAGTGTTGGCGGTACCGGTGCCGGATCATGTCTGCCTGTCCAAGACGACGGGTGCGGGAGGAAGGGCGCGAGCGCAGGGAACGGGTGCGGGGTGAGGTGCAGGGGGATGAGGGCGGCGAAGATGAGTGCGCCGATCGAGTGGGTGTGGATATTGACTGATCGATCAGCGCTCATAGACATGACTGTTGAAGATGAGGGGCATACTGGTCTCATTGTGTAGGGCTGCCAAGATCAGCCAAACTCGCCCAAGCGCTTGGACTGAGAGACCGATCGAGCTTACAAGCTACCGCACTCCACAAGCAAGCTCGGATAGTGTGCAGCTGCCTTCGATAGCCTGTCAAGATCCACGGATTGTCTGTCTGCCATGGCAGCTGCTTGAGCGACTCCTCGTAGCTCAGAAGCTCTGCCCGATTACTGCCGGCCGACGCGTCAGGGACGAGCGGGGTGGTCTCGGTCGAGTCGGACATCTGTGCGCTATCCTCGCTTGGGCCTGTCGACAGCGTCGCGGACCGTCGAGTGACGGGCATAAGATTACAGTGAGGATGCTCCTACTGATCTGCTGATGAGGATGAAGTAGAGATGCAGAAGTCAGTCGCGCTGTGTCGCGGCAATCTGCAGCAGCATCCCGCAAGTACCCGGTCCAGCTCCACATTCCTCAGTCAAAACAATCCACCGAAAATTCCCCGCCCACCAAGCTCCCAGTCTCAAAGACCTCTGATCAACCTCTCTGCAACATCATCACGCCCTCTACCTCATGTCAGACCTCGGCGCCCTCGTCGAAGAACAACACGACACCCTCATCCTCCTCCAAGCGATGTATCCACGCGAGTCGGAGCGCGTCTTTCCCACCCCTTCGGCTCTTGCGTTCCTCTCTTCCCCTTCCGCCCTGCCCAGCTCCAGGGAGGTCTACGTCGAGCTTAAACTCTCCCTGGACCCCTCCTCGGTATCAGCGGATAGCGCGGTAACGCTCGAGATCACCCTTTGCCTGACTACGGCCGAACCAAAGGTCAATCTCAATCTGGGCAGCTCGGCGCTCAGTCGGTCAGAGCATGAGAACCTCCGTGAGGTGATCCGCCCGATGGCGGACGAAGAGGGGAGCAGCGATTATATCCTCGATATGATCGCTTCCCTCGAAACGCATTTCTCGACCATTATCGACGGGCGTGCTGCGCCGCAGGTACCCCTGGCGAAGCAGGAGAAGGAGGAGAAGCTGGAAAGGGTGTGGTTTTGGTTCCCCTCGTTGTCGTCCAGAGAGAAGAGGAAGGATTTGGTTGTCTTTGCGCATGATGCGGGGCTGACGGGATTTGTGCTTGCTGGTGAGTCAGCTCATGACTTTCCATGGCACCCCTCGAGCGGTAAGAGAGGAGCAAGCTGATAAGTTAGGCAAACCCGGACTACTTTGCGTGGAGGGGGACGGAGCGGACGTGGACGCCTATATGGGACGTATCAAGTCGGAATCATGGTCCGACATCCCATCATACCAGAAGAAGGTCAGCTTTCTTCCTCTTTCGGTTTTTCAAGAGAGAGACAGTGAAAGCTGATATTAAGGTGACTGAGCGACTCCGCAATACCCTCGCTTCACCCACAGACCGCCTTCTCCCTCGTATGGTCGACATCACGGACCAGATCTCGCATTATGGCACGTACGCCCATCGGCCCGAGATGGGCGAGGTCAAGGCGCAGATGCAGAAGTGGGGAGTGGAAGAGGAGTGGGCGGAGGTGATTATGGGTCCTGGAGGTGGGGCGTCGGGATGACGATAAGGAGGAGTCCAATCCGGACGGTCCGAGACGGATACTGAGCAGCTCGGAGTGAGGGTCAGCGCTGGACGCTGGACTGGGTATCCGACCGCCAGCTCGACGAACAGCTGCCCGACAAGAGCGCAGAGCCGAGAGGCGCGCATAGGGCAGCATGGCGCGCACCGCGAGGCTGGGATCTGGAGGTACCTGGAATGAGCGGTCTTGAGCGTCAGCAAGTAAAGTGGCGGGAGGTTGAACGCAGCAGGGCGAACGTCGTGGCTAGATACGTAGATGCATGCAACACACCATGCGCTCTCCTGCCCCCCTCCCCCATCCCCGCGCTCCCGACCGTACGCAAGACCACCAAGACCACCTGTGACATACAGCACGCAGCAACGAAGCGAAAGAAGCGATATGCAGGGGTATCTAGCTTGCCGCCTGGAAGGGTATCGTTTGAATTGGTTTACAACTTGGTTGAGATGATGGGTTGATTATGCACATTGTCAAAGTGCTGGTAGACCTGTACCGATGCTGATGGTGATGATGTCGGTCCCTCTCCCTTCCCAGCTACCCTCCTCCTGTCCTCCCCAGTACGACTCTCGATCCCACTGCGCCTTCCCATCTTCCTTCCCGCTTCCCGCTTCCCAACTCCCCCCTCCGTCTGCATCCAGCCCCATCCACCTCAAAATCTCCTCCCGCCCGCCCCGGCCGGTGGTGCCCTATGCATCACATTCCTGCCCCCGCCCTGCGGTACCGGCACCCCCTGCATCGGCGGTCCCCGTCTTGGATCATACCCTCCCTGTCCCGGTCCCGCACCCGGACTCGGCGCACCCCCGCCATACTGCTGCTGCTGCTGCTGCTGCTGCTGTTGTTGCGGCGGGGGAGCGCCTCGATAGCTTCCCGGCCCCATACCCTGACTCGGACCCGAGTTCATCCGGGGTGGTGGGTTCTGGCGATACGTTTGCGCGAGATTCGATGCGGGATGAGCAGGGAGAGAGGACGAGGTGGATGCGATGCCGGGGCCGGGGCGGGGTGGGGGTGGACCGCTACGCAGAGCTGTGGATGCGATACCTCCTCCTCCGCCGCCATTGGCGCCGATTGGAGAGGGGGCGGAACGGGGCCCTGTCCCGGGTCGTTGAAGCTGCGAGAGGACAGGGCGGGTGGCGGCTGGGGCGGAAGAGGCGGTGGATGCTGGTCCGGTCGGGCCGGCGCGTTTCTCGGCGGCTTGCAGGATTTGGTCACTGACTTGTCAGCCTGGAGGGCTACGAGTCAGACCATGACAACTCACTCTAGCAGGTTCAAGCACGCGCAGCATACGACCCATTCCACACAGTCCTCATTCCCTACTCCAAGCGTCTGCCATATCTGCTTCTCATCGTCAGATTTGCCAGTGATGGTAATCCGAGTCCCGCCGCCCTTTTCTGGCGGGTTCTTGGCGACCCTTCCAAACTGTACGTCAGCTACTTTCCTCACATGATGAAACAGGCAGCTCACCTCGATCCGTTTAGGCGGTATTTGATGCCCCGCATACTTGAAATAAAACATCGTCCAAAACTCGGCATTCGGATTAGGCTTGGAGATCTGGTACAGCGGCGTATCGTCCTGGTTTACAATCTTGTAGATTGGCGACATGACGCCTGTATTTTCGATGGTCCATTTGAGGTCGCGAGAGGCTTCGCACCGGACGACGTTGGGCGGTTGCTTGTTGGCGGTCGGGACCGACATGGAGGATGAAGGGTTGCCGAGGCCGCCGCCATTGGCTTGGCGGTTGGGCGGGTAGAGCTTGGCGACGCATAGATCGCCTTGTGGGGAGGGGGTGAGAAGGTAGTTGACCCGATTCTCTTCTGTGTGGAGGTAGGTGTAGAGGATTTGATTTGGTTGGCCTGAGGGATCAGCGCGGGTCTTTGCACAGACCTTCAACCCAAGGTTGCTGGCTTACCGTGCGGCGTGACGATAAGGGTAGGGAGATGATTTGGCATTGGCGCATGATGCGGGGATGTAAATCTAGAGAGTCAGCGGTCTCTCATTCTCGACTGTGCGAGGCATTGAGGGGGTCAACTCACACCGTGTAGATGGCTGTATGTGGGTTCGCGGTCGTAAAGGGAGTCCGTTGAGTGATTTGCACCGGCAGAGAAAGCGGCAGAGTTGCGTGTCGAGATATGAAGGGAGGGTTGGCGTCGAGTAGGGAAGAGCATAGGTAAGCTTGCTTTCAAATATGAACGGTCTGTGCGGTAGGTATGGAGGGTGAAACACCTCCACGCGAGGGAGAATAGAGTTTGGAGGGGAATGCAGGACATACCTGACATGCTGGGCGACTACTCCCTCTGGAACTTCTCCCTTCCAAGATCAAGAATGATGGCTAGATGATACGCCTGTTGATGCTCCACTCCACCTGTTGTTGTTGACAAGTTGTCCCCGTGACAGTCGACCCCAGACCGAAACAGCAGCGAGACAGCGCGTTCGGCGATTCCGTCCTTCCCTCCTTCCTTTCCGAGCACCACTTGAAGCTTTGCGCGCCGAGCGGATAATGGGCAGAGAGTGGTAGGCCTTTGTTGAGGTCAAAGTCACGAGTAAAAAGGCGGTGAAGTGCCTGCGTTGACTGCGGAGTCCCGGCGAAGAGGAGGGGGGTTGCGAGGCTCGAGCTCTGTTGACGCGCCTTTCCGAGTTGAGGGGATGCTTTCGGGCTGGTATCTCCAGGGGCTACGCGCTGTCGGTGCGGCTATATGTGTACCGCGAGTACGACCGTCTGTGCTGATGTGGAGGTGTTGTTGTATATGACAAGGTAACAACAAATACTAGAAGGGAGAGATGGCACGCGCGCAGCAGCAAAGTCCAGGCAAAGGGGAAGGTGAGGAACGTAATAACAGCTGCGGCGAACACCGTGGGAAAGCAGCTACAACCACGTTTTGCTCATCCGTGCGTCATTTCCGGTAAACCGGTAAGCGTTACGTTATCCGGACGTGCCTGGATCTGCATCCGCGGCGGCTCAGGGTCAGGCCGGTCAGGAACGAAAGAACAAAAGACTCCTCGAGCTCTTCCATATCTTCTCTTCCTCTCTCCGTCCACTTCGTCAGCCGGATTGCGCCGAGACCGGCCCCGATCGGCAGCCCATGAGAGTTCCCATGAAGCTCGATTACAGGGTCGCGCAGCCTCTGGAGCCTCTTACCCCTTTTACGGGGTAATCAAGGGGCAGGACAACGATGGTAACGCACCTCCGAAATCCTCTCCTCCTGCCCTTCTCGCCGAAGCTCCGACTACCAGATTCGATGGCCCGCCGCCAGCCCTCCGCGTGCCTCCGCCGTTCCCACCGTTTCAGGATCCGATATGACGCGCGCGGCGCTCTCGGCGGATCGACGTCGGACATTAGAGTTGGACCGAATCGGTGAGGACAAAAGAAAAGTGTTGTTCTGTGTGTCTCACTATCTGACCCGAAGTATGCTATTCCGAGCGCTGTAAACTATGAGAACAACGATGGAGGGATCGGCAGCTGCAGAGATGCGGTAATGGAAAAGTGCGAGTAGGGGTCTTGGAAAAGGGTGAAAAGAGGGGCTACTGATGAGACGATCGCCCACTATCTATTCTCAATTCTAACATCTCTTCCTCCTCATATTCTCTCATCTTCAGTCTCACCACACATCACACTCATTCACTCAACACATTCTCAACATGCGCTCCTCACTCTCCATCCTCGCCACTGTCCTCTTCCTGGCAGGCCAGGCAAGAGCCTTTAACGCATACGTCGGCTGCTTGGACATCAACTCGGCGGCTCTCGATAGCACGATTATTCTGAATTCTGCAGCTGTCCAAAGTCCTGCAGCATGTGCGGTGAGGACACTCAAACCAGCGGTGGAGGACTTGGCTAAGATGTCAGGACGCATGCGCAGCAAGGCCAAACGGCCACGGTTACTCTGCCTTCAGAGCTGCCGGACCCTCCTGTGAATGCCTCAACATTGGTGGTAGAACCCGTCCAGGTGCCGACATAACCTCCCCGGCAGACTGGACGATAGCTACGGACAGTGCAGGCACTTGTGCGGCCGGCGACTACAGTGTACGTGACCACGAGCCCTGAATGTCACTCACAAACTGTCCTGACTCATCAGCTTTACCGCTTGAACTCGGAATGGCAGAGCGATTCTGTGGCCTGCAACTCGGAGTATGCAGCTACCCGCCCTCGTACGAGCGTCGAGATCGTCCCATCGCTCGGAGAATGCTTCCGGCTATGCGTAACATATCCCGCCATGGTCGTCGTCCCTTCCCCCCGTACCGGCGGATTCTCCTGCCAATGTGCCCAAGCTATTCTTGACCCGGTCGCTGCCACCTGCCAGCAGGATACCGGCTTCGCATACCGTCGTTCCGCCGCCGCCGCCGCCTCCGGTGTCTACCGTCGTTCCCTCAAGGACACCGCCAGCCGCAAACTCGCCGCCCGTCAAAATCACAAGTACTGCCCCGCCTCCCTGCAGCCCTGTCGTATCTCCGGCTCCAACCCGGACGCATACGAGTGTATGGACACACAGTACGAGCTTGGTGAGTCCGCCCTCCTCTTCCTCTTCCTCCCACCCTTCTCTTCCCTCATCGCCCTCCCTCCCCATCTACCAATTGGGCTTGAGCTGACATCCCCCAGAATCATGCGGTGGCTGCGCAATGGGCGAGTTTGGCTCGTCAGGCAACTCCACAGCGACAGCGGCCGGTATCGAGTAAGTCCTCTCCTTCTCTCCCTCCACCTGCCCCCCCCCCCCCCTCCCCCCCCCCCCCCCCCTCCATTTCCACCTCATACCCGCCACCTCCCCTTATCTACACGCCTGGACTATAGCTGATATCCCAGCTGCACCCGCCTCACCGGTGTACCCATGGGCGCGGTCTCGTGCCTCGAAGGCAAATGCGTCGCCTACGCCTGCAAGAAGGGCTTCACCCTCCAGTCCGGCGGCTGCGTCAAGGCATAATCCCCCTCCATCCCTCTTCCTCCTCTGTCCACTTTCGACCAATCTCATCATTCACCACATGGGCGGTCCGGCTCGCCTCAGCTAGGGCTCGGGGGCGGAGGAACAGGCAGGGGGCAGGGGCAGGTTGGAGGGGCATTGGCGCGGAGTAGGCAGGGGAGTGCACCTTTTTGGATTCTGTGCTGGACCATATATCTATGGACGTACTGTAAGACCCGCTCTTGTATACCCCATCTCTAATCATCATCCCCCTCATATAAATCTACAATATTTAGTCAGCTCAATGCAAGCTTGGTACAATCATCTTAGCTGGCACTCGGCTTCCCTCGGTAAGTGATCATGAGCGGTCAGGTCGCTTGTCGAGTTCCCAGATGGGATCAGCCCAGATTGAGCTGGGCCTGACAGGGGCAGCGGCTGAGGTGTCGACTGCAAAGCGGCACCTTGCAGATAGATATCAACAAGGCTTCCGCGGGGATCCCATTCGGGCTGAAAGCAGGTACACCGTCAGCACTAAACAGACTCACCGTTGACCTGTCGTACAATCATGCCGATGTGTGGCCGGCAACAAGAGCAACTGTGGGCTCATTCTGGTGATGTACAGTTCAGGGAAGGGTTCGTGCGCAACACACATACACGGTCCCCCTTACCTTTTGAGCCTCACAGTGCTGCCCCACTTTTCCCCACTCTCCTGCGCGCTTGCTGAGCGCTGAGCGGCCTTGTCCGTCCCGCGCTATCGAACTCTGACTTACACCAAACCTCCTCAATTTGCACATCTCTATCTCGACTGCACCCTTGCACCGCTGTCATTCATCTGAGTCTCTTCCATGTCCTTACACCATCCTCTCGCAAGAATATTCATCTACTAGAATGCTCAAGATATTCGCGGCCGCGCTCCTCGCTGCTTCCGCCGCCTCGTCTGGAGTCCTATCGAACCCCTTCACTCACCCGCCCATGACTGATGCTTCCAACCTATTCAAGACAGGTGGTCCGACCGATACGTTCATCAATCACTGTGAGTCTGCCTGCCTTGCTATGCTTTGTACAGCTAACTGATCCAATAGTTGATCAGCACCGCGTGGCGACGGACATCTACATGCAATTTCACATTGCTGCGCTTTACCCCAACCAGACCATCACCATCACCCAAGAGCGCTTCTTCCAGCCTCTGGCCTACGCCAAAGGCGCTCCCTGGCACACACTCGTTGTCAGAGAGCTCGACGACGTGGAATCCATCAAGCGGACATGGTACGTGCCTAGTATGAGGAGGAGGGACGGGGACGGCGTAGTGCAGGATCAGGTCGTATTTGCGGGATACGAGATTGCCTGGGGTTTTCAATCATTTATAGCTATTGTGGGATCGGTGAGTCTCCAACCTCTGGTCGCGCAAACCGAGATGCTGACAAAGGCAGTGGACTGAGGGGTACGCCAGCATTACCCAGTGGCATCTCATCGGCGAGGACGAGCAGGCGGCCAAGCAGCTCATCCACGATTGCGCCGCGTTCATGTCGACCGTCACGGATGCCGTCTGGGTCTTTGAGCAGAGCTACTGGAAGCCGGACTTTGAGCTCTGGAAGGCCGTGCAAAAAGTAAGTGATGTCCGCTTTCCACGGCAAGGAACATATAGCTTACTCCCAGGCTTCTTGGAACGATGTGGTACTCGACGACAAGCTCAAGAGCTCCATTCAAGATGACTACCGCTCCTTCTTCAAGTCGGAGGAGGTTTACAAGCACCTCGAGGTGCCTTGGAAGCGGGGACTGATCTTCCTTGGCGTGAGTGCCCTAGGTTTCAGCCCTCCTTAATGCAACTGAGCTGATAAACTAGCCTCCGGGGAACGGCAAGACCATCAGCTTGAAGGCTATAATGAAGGAGGTCAACGTGCCTCTCCTGTACGTCAAGTCGTTCCATAGTAAGCTTGCAGAAGCTGGTAGACGGTCCTCGGATAGAGACACGCTGACTTGATAAGCTTACCAAGGAGATGAGCTGGGTATGCCTTCCTCCCAGATCGCTTCATGCTGGACTGTGGACTCATCTGATCAGGCATCCGTGCGGTCTTTGCCCAGGCCCGAGCCTTTGCTCCCTGCGTGCTCGTCCTCGAAGATCTCGACTCTCTCATAACGGACCAGAACCGCGCGTTCTTCCTCAACGAGGTAGATGGCCTAGACGACAATGACGGATTGTTGCTGGTCAGTCCATCTATCCATTTCAAGCAGAATCGACCGGCTGATGGACAGATCGGCTCTACCAACCACGTCGACCGTCTCGACCCCGCGCTTTCTAGCCGTCCCTCCCGATTCGACCGCAAATAGTAAGTCTACCTAGCGGCACCTTGCCCCTCATCCGCATCTGCCAATAATGGTGGTCCGGTCCTACAGGGTGGCTCATATGACTCAGCGCGTTTCCAAACCCCAGCAAAGCCGAGCGACGGGCGTACGCCGTCTACTGGCAAGATAAGCTCGCGTACAACAAGGACCTCAAGTTCCCGGATGAGCTGCTCGATACCTTTGCGGACAAGACCAGCAAGTTCTCGTTTGCGTACATGAAGGAGGCATTGTGAGTATCACTTCTTCCGTTCCATTTCAAGGCGGAAGAGTGGCGCGAGGGGCTTTCCTGCTGGGACGGTAGGGCCAGCAGCTAATACCATCCAGCATCTCCACCCTTCTCATCCTCGCCGGCCAGGAGCCAACCTACCAGATCCACTTTGGCCCCACTTTGCTCGAACAGATCAAGAAACTCCGACAGCAGATGGAGGACGGCGAGGAGGCCATGATGACTGGTAGTGGTGGTTATGCTGGCGCTGAGGCTGCATATGCCGGGATGAGCTGGGGCAGGAATGGGCAGGAGCAGGTGGACGAAGCTGTCGGAGAGGGGATGTGGGGCAGAAGGGAGGAGCAGAGGGGGGGACTGATGGTGCCTGTTGGACAGAAGGTGTTTGGGCGTGGTGTATGAAGGGACTCATGGAAGTTCTGTCGGGGACAGCGAGGGATAAGGCCGGATACAAATTCACAGTGATCACTTCCGGTATGCCCATTACCCTTGGCTATTCCGACCAGCTGGTAGCCAAATATGCTTTGGCAGTACCTATACTCTGACTGAAACTGCTAAATCTCCAAACAGTCCAGCTTTCAGGAGGCCTAGGATTGGGGGCTCAAACACGCATCAGGATGGGCAAGCGAGGACACCTTTGGGTGAGCCCTGACCGTTCCTTTGCATGTCGAGGAGGGTTTCAAACGTCGCCTGCTCATCTACCTGATGATACTCACGGTACATTCAGATAAGAGCGCGCCGTCTACACCACAACCCCCAGCAAAATCAAACACCACTTATCCTCTACTAGACCAATTCATTGCCACCCACAACGCTAACCCACAACTTCAATCACAGATATGATCATCAAGTCCACTGTCTGTGACACCAGTACTGATAGCTCCTCCAGCAGCCGCAGCAGCTCGTCTGGCTCCTCAAGCCGCGACAGCTTCTACTCTGCTTCCTCTTATCCCTCTTCAGCTCCGCCTCAATCCTCCAACACTGAGGTGACCGCAAGCTCTCACCGGCCCTGGTCCTCCGCGCATTCCAGTAGTGAGCTGCCTTCGGGAACGATGAGACGCGTTGTAAGCTTGCTAATCACGGCAGATACTGCAAAAACATCAGGGCGCATATCACGACACTTTCCAGAGACAGACTTGACCTACGGATATAGCGCGTGGCCGGAAGGCAGTGAGTGAGATCGAGATCTCGACGCGCGAGCTCTATCGAGCCTGACTGACTCCAGCAGCTAGTAACTCAGGACTGTCAGCCATCTCGGAACAAGAAAGCACAGTTTGTTGCAGTGCCGCGTCAGAGAACGGCTTCACGGGCGACATCCCAGAACTCGGCTATCGCCCCGGAGGAGACTTCGACGGCTGGACTGGTCGCTCGCCCTCGCGCACTGGAACAACCTACAAATGTCCCTCTTACCGAAACCCGGATTTACCATCCGGCTGGTATGCTACTGCTTCTCGCGTTGACAAGGAGCTGCACATGCTTCGGGACCACTGACCAGGCCCGCGCGCCTACTGCACTGTCAGGAAAAACGTCGTTTGGCCAATCCACCTTCCAGCCACACAGTGGAGTTTCCACCGCAAGGCCGACAGCGTCGACGGGTCGGACAGCGTTTAGGAGTATGCTCAGAACGCTTCGTTGTGTGTGATAATACTCGTAGCCAACATGCATGCCGGCGGACAATCAATGACGCCCGATGGCTCGTCAGGTGATTAAAGTGTGTCAGGCCGCGCTCTGGAGTCTGAGCGGTAATCATCACCGGTAGCTGCTGTGGTACAGAGTCTTCATCAGTAGATGGCGATACATCCCTCCGACAAGCTCGATAGGACAATCAAGCCAGTCCTCATCCCATGTAAGGGACTCTATGGGTGCATTCGAACAATCCTCGCCCTCGACCTTGCCATTCAGCTGCAATCGGTTCCTGTCTGAACTCGTCGACACAGTCCGCAGTCTCTTGAGTCATAAGTCAGTAAATCAGTAAAAAGATCCGTCCAGCCAGCAGCTTACGAGCGCACGGTCAGGAAGTGAGACTCGCATCGCCACGCCTCAGCCTCTACCAGCTCCACTAAACTGCTTGTCAGCTCCCTGAACTTCCGCCTACCGTCCTCTTCACACTGCCATCTCCGCTTATGCATATTGGTGGCCTTCACCGTCCACTCTCCACTCTATGATCTAGGCTCTTGCCTGGATGGCCGCGTTGGCCAGTATGTCCGCGCCAGAGCGGAGCCTGCAGCTCCTAAACATGCAAGTCATTTACGGGACCCACGGGGTAAAGGGATCGCTGGCCTGCTACGCGTAAGACCCGTAGGTGATCCACAGTTCATTCTTCCTGAGTCCGTACAGGTTTCAGCACAGATAAGCGTTGTTCCGAGGCCCTTTCATGAGGAGTAAGCTGTGCACCTGCAGGTCGACTCACCCGTTTGCCCGCCCTCATAAAGCATTTATGTATCGGTGTTCGTTCTCAATACAGTATACCGCTCAGACGGGCTTCTCAGAGCAGTATGACTCTGTGGCGAAATGTACCGCTGATACTATTATTTTTTGATGATCTCGAACATATTCTAGGGGCTTCTACAGCACGCCGACCTTTACTGCCAGCCTGGTGAATGGAGTGGTTCTCAAACGTGTCGCTGAAGAGCCCTCAATGGATTAAGGATTTGATACGCGTACGACGTGTGAGTGCCCCTGACCCCTGTGGCGTTCAGTACGATCATGTCGGGGATCCGTCAACCTTTGATACGTGATCCTTTCTCATGAACGATGAGGGCTCTCTCGGGCCTGTTGCAGCCCGTATATATCTCAAGGTTGGCAGGACCCCCGCCCCTCGTTTGCCACTTTCCCTTCAATCACATCAGCCAAGTGATTTCCCCCCAAACACCACCAATACCTTGACACTTCATCGTTCTCCCATCAGCGACAACAATGAGCAATCGTCCCGTCGGTCGAGAAGCGGCAGAGACTGCGTCCATCAGAAGTCACAGTGAGTCAATTCCCCATGATCTTCAACCTCAGTACAGGACCACGGTTGACTTCGTCATTAGCCGGGGCTGTCACCAGAATGCCGGCGCCTCGTTCCGCGTACACTGAAGACACGATCTCGATGACCGAGATTCCCCCAAACACCACAACCGAAGCCTCCGACCAAGACTACCGGACTGATCCGTCCGCGATGGTCGCACGAGTTCGTGCTCTCTTGACCGAGCAGACACACGGAGCGACCACAATCGCCCGCATCCGCGAGATCAGCAATGAGCTCAGCGAGCTGGAGCAGATCTGTGCCGACAACCAAGAGGCAAGCAAGGACCGAAGCAAGGCGGATTGGGATTCGCGCAATACCTTGGGCAAGGTGGGGCTCTGTGTCAAGACCGCCCTTCTCTGCCCCGTGATCTGCTGCTTCGGCGTCAGTGCTTGCTGCTGCCCTTGCTGTTTCACCAAGAAGTCCGCTCAGGCTGGAAATTCGGAGTGATCGGCCTGGTCAGAGTGTTCACATTGGCGGACTACAGGGGTGACGATGCTATGACGGGTGGCGGGAGGCGGCGCGATATCAGCAGGTTTGACTTACTGAGTTTCCGATGTATACGTGCTGGCTTGTTTCAGCTTAGTGTGACCGTGTTCAGGAATTGCAGTAACGCCATGATCAGCGTCTTCAGAAGTTTCCGTCCAGCTAGGGAAGCGATGCTCTGATACAGACTACCAAGGCCGTATTTAGCTGTGATCTATAATGTAGACACTGGATGTGCACGTTCTAGAAGCCAGCAAGACGAGCTGAGGCGCGGTGCGCTATGCTAGTCTTCAAACTCTCCAGCGGGCAACCCGCGGACGTAGGGAGTAGGGGCCAAGTAACTATAATGACCTCTCAGTATGGATGAGCCTAGAGCTAGAATTGTCAGTGACGCTAGATCAGTATACAGACCCAAATCGGCATACATAGCGGCAAACGACAATACAGTCTATCCGCACCCTCACCGCCCCGCTGCAGCCTCCTCCACCTCCGCGGCATCCTGCCAGCTCCCCGAACTCCCGCTCGCTCTATCCCCTCCATGCTCTCTCCTCGGCTCATCATACTCTGGCGGTCCACTTCCACTCGCTCCACTCCCTTCCGCACTCCCTCTCCCCGATCCTCTCGGTCCAGGCGAAACCGCGTCCTCATCATCCAAAAAGGAATCATGGTACCTCAATCCCACCCCATCCCCTTCACTCCCCTCGTCATCCTCATCATCATCAGACGGCCCATCCCCAAACGCGTCATACAAATCTTTCGTCCCCCCTCCCCCACCTCCCCCTGCTCCGCTGCCAACCCCAAACTTCCGCCTCCCCCGCTCCAAGAGACCCATGGGCATATCATCCGTCACGCGGCTGTACGCCCCCCGAGCCCCTTCGCCCGAATTAGCAAGTCCGAGCCCGAAGCCCATGCCCCTCTTCTTGCGCTGGCGGAGGATGAAGAACCCGCCTATTGCCGCGCCGGAAACGAGGACGATCCCGCCCGCTCCGGCGAGCCAGGACGTGTTGGTTCCGAGGTTCGATACGCCGCTGAACCATCCTTCGTCCAGTGCTGATTCTCCCTCTTTCCCGTCATCTCCCCCGGTGGGGACGGGATCGGGCGCACCGTCCTCCTGTCCCGCCTCATCCCCTATGCCTGACCCGGTCCCCGACCCCTGGCCTAGACCGGGCTCGTGCGACTCGCCCGGCGCCTCCCCGTGGTCGTCCGGTAGATGTTCCGTCGGTTTAGGTTTTTGAGACACGACAGGCGTCGCGCCCGTCCCGACTTGCTCTTCGTCCGGCTGCCCATCCTCTGGTGGGGCCCAATCTCGAGCGAGGGCGGGATCGACACACTCGCCCCAGAGCTGAAGTGACCAAGCGACGAATTTGCCGGTCGATTCGGGATTGGACTGGTCTTTGACGGTAAGGGTCCATTCGCCCACTGGGTTTTCTTCCCTAAGATATCAGCTACCTCCCACATCTGCTCGAATATCGGGGAGAGGGGCAACTGACCAATGCTTGAGACTCATAAACTTCCACCCCCAGAGCCCATTCGGATCCACGTCGAACCGTCTCGCCCTCGCCAAAACACTGACAATCCCCTTCGGACTCTTCAGCTCCACCTCTACATCCCCCCTCCGCGCGTGCGTGACCCACACGCGGACAGTAATGTGCTCGAGCGCCTCAAAGTTGGCCTCGGAAAGCATCTTCTCGGTGACGGTATAGGTAGACGAGACGCCTTCGGCGGGGATGAAGCTGCCTTCGGCCTCGGCGGGGGGTGGAGCCGGTTCGGAAGGGGTTGGGGGTTCGCCCTCGGCTGGTGCTGGGTCGGAGAAGGCGCCATCGCCGTTGGCGGCTTCTTGGCGTCGGGAGAGGCGGCGAGGGGAGGGACGAGAAGGGTTCTTGGTAGTGGGGAGGTAGATGGCGGGGGAGTCGAACCAGGATTGAGGCTTGACGAGTTTGAATGACTCGGCGTGCTCGACGAAGCGGCCAGCATCGATCCGACCGTATCCATCTGCATATTGTCAGTTGACATCCGTTCCTATGGTGAAGGTACTACAGCAAACTAACATTTGTAGCTGTAATTCCGGCCCGCGGCGGTCTTCTGCCAATCTGGGTCCTCGGGGTTGAAGAAGACCGCGCTCTGGACAGCGATGTGCTGGAGGTCTCGCCATGTCAGATCAGGCCTGGAATGTCAGCTATTGATCTGCACCGCTTGGGATGAGCACGGCTCGGGGGACATCCTATAAGCTGACCTGGCTTGTAGGGCGAGCGCAAAAACCCCAGCTCCGAGTGGTGCAGCCGCACTCGTACCGCCGTGTGTATGCGCACAGCTGTTCTTGCCGACATCGGTGGTATGCTGCTCAAGTCAGCTTGAGCACCGGACCAAGTGCTGCTGCTTAGCTCACAATATGATCCCCACTCCCCGAGCTCGGCGCGACCATCATCATCGCACTGCACATCTCCGAGTAATACGGATGTAACCCCCTCCTATCAATCGCCCCAATCGTGATCGAGAAGATACTATTGGTATACCCGTCAAAGTTGCACTGATCGTCCGACCCGCCTCCATTCCCTGCCGCAAAAACAAAGATGCTCCCCTTCCCCCCTCGGCCCTTCTGGATCCCATTCACCATCGCCTTCAATATCAACCCGTCCGGCGCCTCCATAGACTGCCCGTCGTCCGGCGGTCCCCATGAACAAGAGTAGATGTCGTTCAACTGGTATGCGTAGTTGAGAGCCGCCGCTTCGTCCGCGTCCGAGATAGGACCCGAGAGGATCCGGACGCCCGAGATCTTTGCGCGGTAGCTGACGCCGACACCGCAGACGTCGTTTGGGATGGCAGCGATCTCGCCGGCGCACCGAGTTCCGTGCTGGTCGTCCGAGAGCCGGGGCTCGGGGAGCTCAGTGTGGTCGTTGAAGTCGTATGAACCTTCTGGGTACTGCGGTGTGAGCTACGTCCCAAGGTGATGGTGTGGGGATCAACTCACAAAGTTCCCCGCTAGATCATCCGACTTCATATCCAGCCCATCATCAATGATGCACACTTTGACGCCTTCGCCCGTGATCCCCCTCGCCCACAGTCCCGTGACGTTCAGCTCATAGTCCCTCATCTGGGTATTGATGAGGTGCCATTGCTGCGGCAAGAGCGGGTCCTGCAGGCTCAATGTGTCCTGCGCGAACTGCAATTCCGACAGGTCACCTCCCTCTTCCTCCCGCGAATGGAGGTATGGTGACCTCCGCCCGTGCTTCGCCGGCTCGTAGACCCTCTTTGACCGTTTCCGAACCGTAAGTTGTTTGATGGAGCGGAAGCGGTCGAACCCCCCTGTTGCGCGCAGATTGCGGAACCGCCGACTAACAGGATCCCGGGGGATGAGGCATGGTACATGTTCCGACGAGGGCGAGATCAAGGAGGACGCAGGCGTGCGGAGGAGCCACTGGCCCGCGAGCTCCCCGATGGGCTCGACGAGCTCCAGGCGGAGGTGGTCGGCGGCGTGGGCGGCGTCGCGGTAGGTGGAGGAAGGGGAGAGGTCGAGGTGGAAGTAGCCGTGGGTGTCGTATGATCTGGGCTGGGGGGTACGGGGGCGCAGGTCGGCGGAGGAAGAGGCGAGGAAGAGGAGAACCGAGAAGAGGACGGCGGAGGTATGGGCGAGCGTCATTGTGGTCCTGGGGTGCTGCCTGCTCGGTCGAGCTGCTTTTGCACAAAGCAGATATCTCCGTTATATACAAGCGTAGAGCTCGTGCTGCGTCTAACTTAGACTGACCAGCAGCTACTATGTATACAAGCAAGATGGGGAGGTAGATGTATCACCTTGAGACGTGATTTTGCTGCGAGCTTAGCTTGGCGGACGCGCGATTCGGGTGAGGGACATCATGGGAAAGCCCGCCTTGGTGGCTCTCTGCTGGTGCAGGATGCTGCAAGCTGCAGGGCCACTGCGTAGCTAGAGCGCTCAGATCATACATACACTACATAGCCCTGACATGTCACCCTCACCCTTGCCGACAGAACCACTCCTGATAGCGAGTGGTCCAATAATCAGAGTACGCCTGAATCTCTCGTCTTTCCTGGGCACCGAGAGCTCTCTGCAGATAGAGGAGCTGTCAAAATCAGCGGCGCCTTTAAGCTTCGATGCTCACAGGAGCCAATAGATTAGGATAAAACTCACACATAACGCATCCCTCTCTTCCTCGCTAATCCTGGGTTTCCCGTCCCATCTGCTCAGAGTCCGTCCCAACGCCGCATCAACACATCATCCACCCAGGCCCTCTTCTCCAGTTCCGCGATACGTTCTGCCACTTCCTTCATCCTGTCTTGAAGACTCGCGTTGCGCTCCACGCGTTCGGCTTCTCTCTCCCCCATTGTCTCCTGAAAATCCGTCAGATACGGCGCCTGTTGTGCGGGCAGAGCTAGATTCTGGTTGATCAGCTTCCGGCTCCAAATGGTGGATCGAGGGGTACGGTGATCAACCGCCCTAGTCCCGCTCATGAAGACCACGCGTGGCCACGGACGGAAGACTTGTACATATAATTGTACCCGCACAAGGGTAGAGAACTTACGTTGGCGGTTGACACGGCTACTGCCTCGACAGGATGCTGTGAAGGCCGTGGAGGGTCTCGCGCGACCAGAGGCGATGCGATTGCCTCGATGCTCTGCCCTTGGCCCGGTGTTCGGGTCCCTGGTGAGGCGGGGAGCGGACGACCTTCCTCGGCAGCTACCTCGGTGAAATCGTCGGCTATGGCGACCTTGGCGAAGCCCGCTAGGTGGTCGAGACCGTCGACGTCCGGGTGAGGATCACTAGTGGTAGAGGACGAACCGGTTTCGGGGGGTTCGGACAACCCGCCAGGGTTCGAGGCAGAGGAGGACGGCATGATGGTGAAGAGGATGGATTCAGGGGGATGGTAAAGAGGAAGAAGTGAGTCTATCGAGACCGATAGAGTCTGTTGGGTGTGTATGCCTGGTGAGTCTTCGTGAAGAGCAAGAAGTTAATGTCTTGCGATGAGTACCCCATGTAAGGGAGTGAGTAGGTCTGGGTCAGTGCATTATGTTAGGAGACTCTGGTTGTTGATTAGTTAGCTGCCGGTTCCGAGTCTGACTCGAGCTATGTGGGTGTCAACAACAGCTCGCACTCGATCTGCTCGCGGTTTGGTCGCTGTCAGCTCGGATCGGATATGACGGGCGAGAAGGGTCAACCGTTTTTCTTTGAAATAGGGCTCGAAAGGGGCTCAACGCGAGTGATTTTGGCTGGCAAGGGGCTCGAGCCCCGAGCCCCAGTGACTGGCAGAGGCGATGCCATGCATGGAGAAGTGCCATTTGGAACTGAGATCATGCATAGGATACGCTGGGGTACAACGAACACTAAACCTCGTTCCTACGGACCACGGTACACCCCCGACACTCAGCAAAGCTTACTGATCAGTGACCGGACCAAAGAGCTTCGAGCTGCCATACTGACCCGGGCATCATTCTGCTATTGTAAGTGGAGACCACCTGATGTTGTACCCCAGTGAGAAGTATCCAGCGGCTGTCTGTCTACGTAGCGCTGTCATCGATGCATAAGCTGCATGAATGAGCCAGTCATGGCTGAGGATATGTTTAAAAGACGAAGCCGGAAATGTTTTTGTCCGTAAAAGACGAAGAGAGTCCGAAACCTGTCTAAAAGACGAAGATCAGAGCCAAAAACAGGGTTTCTGAGGTCCCGGGGGACGCGAACAAGTCCCAAAAACCCCCTCCGCGCCGCAGACGCTCAGTCAGACGGTATCGCTCGTACGGACTTGGAATTTGGCATGGGCGTAGCCAAGACGTCGAGCTACCTGCTGATACTCTTTGCCGGCCCAATGGACAACTCACAGCGGACTTGTGAGGATATCTGTCCAAAGCATTCGTCTTTTAAACATCATTCCGGGTCATCTTCGTCTTTTACGGACAAAAACATTTCCGGCTTCGTCTTTTAAACATATCCTCAGTCATGGCTCTACAGCAACAGAGGTGCACAGTCCGCACTTACGGCATGAAGTAAGGCATGCTAGATCCAGCTGGATAAGTGGCCAAGTGCATCTGTACCTGCTGCGAGAGGACTTCCAAAGACGCTGTGTGGGTGAGGGAAGGCGATAGAGCATGCTCATGGCCAGATTATGTGTAGAATGGAGGCCGAGGGGCGCGCCCTCCAGAGAGCCCCTGGAGCCAAAAAAACTTTAAAGCGCCCTTTCCGAGCCCTTTTCGAAAAATATCGCTGACCCTTCTCGCCCTCCACAGGATCCGCGATCCGCTGATTGGCAATTCGCCGAAAAAGTTTTATCACTGCGCAACTCGAGCTAATTTCCAGCTCCACATTCCTCGTCTGCCCTTCATCTACCCTTCGCTATGCCACCCTCAAACACAGAGAAGGAGATCGCGACCCTCCTCCTGTCCCTTGCTGGATCTAACACCCACTCCATCTCCCCCTCCCAGGTTGTATTGCTCGAACGGTCTCTCCTACCCACATCCCCAAAGTCCGAGCGCTCCCTCGCTTACATCTGCCTCTCTAAAATCGTCGAGAATGCCTCTTCCCGCGGGGATCAGCGGGACACTTACCTCGCGGAGGTGTTTCAACCCATCGTAGCGCCTTTTCTAGCCGAAGGAGCCGTCGAGGGGACAGATGAGCGATTCATCCCTCTCATCACATTCCTTACGGCACTCTTCCCCCTCGCGTCGGCGGTCTGCGTCGCACTCCTCACTACCCCATTATCCAAAGAGGAAGAGGCGCCGGATGCACTGGCGATCATTCTGGAGCTGGCGGAGATTGACGAGCCTATCCAGCTCGTACTGGCGGAGATGCTCGTTGCGGCAACAGGGACGAAGGCGGGGCGGACAATGGTCCTGGCGAGAGCGATGCCGTGGTTGGAGGGAGGCCGGCCTATACGGGGAGACGGAAAGCTATCTGGGCTATGCTGCGCAGCGTTCTGTAAGCTTGGGCTGTGGGAGCGGACGCCGGCAGAGGTGGGGTATGGGATAGGGAGTGCCGATCCGCAGGCGGACCCGTCACATACCGTCAGCGCGACGGAACTCGTCGATGACATGCTGGCGTCCCTGGCGCGGAATCTAGAGTATCCGTCAAGGGTATCGGCCATCATCGAGGGGTTGGCAGTCATCTCCACTCGGCCCGCTTCCAAGCGCTACCTCGCTGGAAAGTCGGATTTCCTCCGTTCCCTCCAGACACTCCTTCCTGCCATACCTACCCGAGGCGGCTCGCTTCCCGTCACATCTCGCGGCACTAACTCATCCCCTGCGCCCATCGCTGCCGAGCCGGCCGATACTGCCCTCTGCTACGGTATCACCACCATCCTCCTCAATCTCACATCGCGGAAACCGGTCCTTTCGGCGGAGGAGGAGCAGATGGCCAAGCTGCGCGCTATGGCCGCGTCGGGCAAGAAGGGCGGAGGGGAGATACGCACCGACCCACTGGATGAGGCGCCAGAGGTCCAAAAGCGGGTGGGGCAGCTGTACGATGCGGGTATCATTCCTGCGCTGAGCGGGCTGGTACGGGCGGAGAGTCTGCTATTGAAGCAGTCACTGGGGAAGCTGTGCCTGAATCTGGTGGAGGACAAGGAACGGCGACTGCAGTTCATCCGGGAAGGGGGATACAAGGTGCTTGCCGAAGTCACCCGGAAACTACTGGCGGCGTATGACGGGACGGCCGAGTCGACTTCCCCCATCCATACCCCCTCAGCCGAGATCGACCTCTTACCCGCCCTCCAAGTGAACGCTAAGCTCATCATTACTACCCCGCCCAACCTCCTCTTTCCTCCTCCCCACCTCACCACCTCCCTCAACGCCCTAACGCCAATGTACACCCTCCTCACGCACCCATCGGCGACCCTCCTCCAGACCTTCGAGGCGCTTATGGCGCTCACCAACCTCGCGTCGATCTCTGCGGACGTGGCGGACCGGATCGTCACTGCTACGATCATCCCGAAGCGGACGGACGAGATGTGGCGGTCTACGGGGAACGATGAGGTGCGGATAGTGGGCAAGGTGGAGGAGATGATGATGGAGGATAACGAGTTGGTGAGGCGGGCAGCGACGGAGTTGGTGTGTAATCTGGCGGGGTGCGAGAAGGGCTTCGGGTACTTTTCTGGCGAGGCGGAAGGCAGCGGGAAGACGGGACGGGTCAAGCAGAGATTAACATTCTTGCTCGTCCTCACCGATATCGACGATCTACCTACTCGTCTAGCGGCCGGCGGCGCTCTCGCTATCGTTACGGAATCCCATACAGCCTGCGCGGCCATACTCGAACCGTCATCAGGCGAGCCGTCGGGAAGGTCGGCGTGGAAGAGGCTGGCGAGCCTGTTGGAGCCAGAAGAGATAGAGGAGGAAGGGGAGAAGATTGCCCTCATCTCGAGCACGCCGCCCGATGAGGGGTTGATTTTGAGGGCGGTATGTGTCCTGCAGAACCTTCTGCAGTATACGGTGGGGATGAAGGGGGAGGCGAGGGAGAGGGAGGTGCAGAGGATAAAGGGGGATGGGGTGCAAGAGGCGTTGAGAGGGGTGGTGGGCCTGAAAGTGGGGCAGGGGGTTTTGAGGCCTGTAGTGGAGTGTTTGCAGTTGTTGAAGAAGATGAGTGGATAGAAGATTTGTATTATATGATGATTAGTGTAGGTAGAGTAGGTGGTCATAGAGTGATCGAGGTATCTAGCACGTACTCCTAGGCATGTAGCTGTATCATCTCTGCAAGCTGCAGGAGCTTTCACCACCCCGAAGAATCGACGCACGGCCTGATCAAAACTGCCTCTTCTGGCAATTTCTGTTTTACCTCCGTTTGGCCACCCAGCAGCAACTTCCACCTCCTCTCCTCTCTCTCTTCTATGCCTCTACCTGCCTAATCATCATGGCAGCACTAGCATCGTGAGTTTTGTGTCACGCATTAGTCTTCTAAAGCTGCTATGCGCGACAAAACTGACAAGACAGAGCCCTCCCTGCGCCGATATACACCCAAGCGGCCGAAGAGGAGACATACGATGCTCTCCTCCCCGCCGCTCTGCCCCAAGCGTCCAATGCGCCCGCTTACGGCTCGCGGAAGGGCTGGAAGCCCAAGTCGGCTGTAGATTTCGGACAGGGCGGTGCTTATCCCGAGGTCAGTCCTGGTCGTCGAACATAAGTATAGGAGCAGAGGTGCTGACTTGCAGTGTCATGTTGCTCAGTACCCCCTGGATATGGGGCGGAAGAAGGTGAGCTGGCGGTGGCACGAAGATGTAGACCAGAGCTGATCTCTAGGTGAATAAAGGGACGACATTGGCGTTGCAGGTGGATCAAGATGGGACGGTGCGGTATGATGCGATCGCGCAGCATGGTCGAGCTGTAGGGAGTAAAGTGCAGTCTAGCTTCAAAGGTCAGCTGGAATTGTAGGAGAAGTGGATCCCCATAGAAGCTGACTATCAGACCTCGTACCCCTTCACAACCGGTCCGACGTCTCTGAGAAAGACCGCCTCATGGAGCGCCCCGCCGATGAGGATCTCCAAGCCACCACCGACCGCACCCGTCTCGCCCTCGAGCGCATCACCCACGGCAAGATCAAAGCCGCCCAACCCAAACACGTTCCTAAAACCAACAATGAATCCTCCTTTATCCGATACACGCCCGCCAACCAGGGGGCGGACGAGGGAAAACAGCGCATCATCAAGATGACCACGGTGCAGGAGGATCCGCTGGAGCCGCCTCGGTTCAAACACAAGAAGATCCCGCGGGCGCCGGACGAGCCGCCACCCCCTGTCCTGCAGAGTCCGCCGCGGGCGGCGACGGCGCAGGACCAAAAGGACTGGATGATCCCCCCGTGTATCAGTAATTGGAAGAATAATAAGGGGTACACGATCCCGCTGGATAAGCGGTTGGCGGCGGATGGAAGGGGGTTGCAGGATGTGAGTTCGAAGTCCTGCACTTGCTGGTGAGGAGATAGCTGACCCTTAGATCCACATCAATGACAACTTTGCGAAATTCTCGGAAGCGCTCTACATTGCGGATCGGCACGCTCGGGAGGAGGTTCGTGCTCGGTCGCAGATGCAGCAGCTGCTCGCGCAAAAGGAAAAGGCGCAGAAGGAGGAGAATCTTCGCCTGCTCGCTCAGCGCGCCAGGGAAGAACGGTCCGGCGTTACTCCGTCCATTGCAGGCGGCTCTTCGGCTCCTCCTCGGGCTATCGAAACCGGCACGGGACTTGGCGGGTACGCGTCCGATTCGGACTCCTCGGACTCTGCGTCTGACGCGGAAGAGGAGGAGGAGGATACCGAGGCGATCAGGGAGCGAGAGCAGGTGCGGGCGGAGAAGCGGAAAGAGCGCGAGAAGCAGATGCGTCTGAACAATATGGGGTCCGAGATGCGGGCCAAGATGATTGCCAAGGAGGCGAATCGGGACATTTCGGAGAAGATTGCTCTGGGTTTGGCCAAGCCCTCTGCGTCGAAAGAAACACTGCTCGATTCCCGACTCTTCAACCGCGAAGCCATGTCGACCGGTTTCGCCTCGGAGGACTCGTACAATCTGTACGACAAGCCCCTATTCCACGGCTCGTCAGCGGCGGCGGCGATCTACAAGCCCAGGGGCAATGACGGGGGCAATGATGAGTCGTTTGGAGGCGGGACGGAAGCCGGGGTGGTGGAGGAGCTCAAGAAGGATCGGTTTGGGCTGGGGAACGCGACGAGGGGGTTCGAAGGTGCCGATACGGCCGAACAGCGGGATGGACCTGTGTTGTTTGAGAAGGATCAAGTCATTGCGCTGGATGGGAGCGCGGATCCGTTTGGGGTGGAACAGTTTATGGATGCTGCGAGGAGAGGGGGGAAGCGGACGGCGGCGGATAGGGAGGATGAGAGGAGGAAGAGGCAGAGGGAGGAGTAGGCGGAGACGAGGTGGATGGGGAATAGGGGGTGGAGGAGGATTTGTATGTATCGTATCTGCAGTTCTTATGCTGTCTTGTCTTCTGCTACCTATCACTCCGGGACTTGCATGGGCTCGAAGCCATGTCAAGCGCCGTGCCCGTAGATAACGCGCTATAACGCGTCGAGGGCGCCTTACGGCATCGGCAAAGTCACTTTGGTCCGACGCCGAAGAACAATTCGCGCTGCTGTCTGTGCACCTTCTTCTTCTCAGCCAGTAGAGCTCTACAGGATCACGCAGGATGGCTGACCTTCGCGGTAGTAAGCTATTTCCGGCCGTTTGCACTGGAAGGTGATCAATCAGCTGACACAACAGGCGGCTATGGCAACGCCATCGCTATAGATTCCTCGGACTCGGAGGGAGACGGCCGGCCCGCGCAACCTGCTCCGCGCGTCCATCAAGGTCCGCCCCCATCTAGACGTCAAGTCGTCGTCAATCCTCGACCTAGCCAATTGAAGGCTGGGAGGAGACCGACGTCGACTGGAAAGACGCTGGGCGGGGCGGGGGCAACGGGTACGGGAAGTGAAGCGGATGGAGAGGGAGGTGAGCCTTGGTCTATCTCCTGAGAGGAAGGCGTGGCTGACGAGGACAGATGATTCGCTGGGGCTCCCGTCTGTGACTCAGAAGAAGAGGGAGAGGCAGGAGAGCTCTGCGAGCCCGCAGTGGGATGGAGGGGCATGGAGGAAGAAAGGCAACGGCAAGGGCAAGAGCAAGGAGAAGCACAAGCGCAACTCGGAGAGGGCGTCTGATACGTCGAACTTGGACGGTACTGGGTCCAGATCAAGACGTGGGTGACCTGCTTGAAACAAGGTGCAAGAAGTAGGAGACAGCTGATTGTATAGCCCAGAAGAAGAAAGTGCTCCCAAGCAACGGTGAGCCTCCCCTGTCTCTCCTTGTGGCCTGAGTGACGAGCGGGGACTCATGCTAATATACGTGCAGTAGTCATCGAGATCTCCAGCTCGGAAGACGATCTCCCTGGTCCATCACGGCCTCGTCCGTCCCTCTCGGCCACCCCCCAGAAGACCCGTATACGGACGGACGAGCCCTCCAACTCCCCCTTCCGGCCCTCTCCGAGCAAGACGCCCGGCGGAAGACCTAAAAAGCGGATATCGATATTGGATCAGCCGCACATGTCCATCTCGCCCGATGTGCCGATCGTTCCAGCGCTTTGGCGGGCTTCAGCTTCCGCTGCAGGCGTCCAGACATCAAAGGGAAAGGGGAAGGCTAGAGCCAGGGAGGATCCTCCCGCGGGTGCAGCTGGGTCGTCGGGGGCCGGATTCGAGGGCGGTGGGAGTGCGGTGACGGCGCTTGAGGCGGCGCTGGACAGGACTGGGAGTGTCGAGCTGATGAGCCGCGTGCTGGAGAGCGGGGAGGGATCAAGGAATAAGCGGGACCTTGCCCCTATCGAGGAGGACGAGGATGACCCGATGGATGGGTACGGGAACGACAACCGGGATAGTCCCGGCCCATCTCAGCTGAAACGGCCGCCTTCGTCTTCGCCAGTCGGCCGGCCCAGTAAGCTCAAGAATGGCGGGAATGCTCCTCGACGGCGCGTCGTCGAGACCCCCTCGAGTCCGAAAGTCGCGAACGACGAGAGCGAGGCGCCGTCTGCGCCAACCTTCATGCCTATGGAGCAGCCGCGCTCTGATACCGCGGACATAAAGGGCAAGGGGCGGATCCGATTGTCGGCGGACGGAGAAGATGAGCTGGATACTCTGCGGACGCCTTCTGTTCATGGCTCTCCGCTCCTTGCCGCAGCTGGAGCGAGTGCGTCTACTGCAGCTCCGCAAGTTCTCCAACCTCGAGCAATCCCTCCCTCAGCCGCTGCTGGTCCGTCCAGACTCCTTTCCCCGCCAACTGCCGTCCACTCCCGCACATCCACGGACCCGCTCGACCTCATCACCCAAGAACTTGATGAACCGCTCGACGATTTCCCACCCCTATCGGACTCGGTCGAGCCGTTCCACTTCATCTTTGACGACTCCGTACCAGGTACCGCGGCCGAATCGCCCTCCAATCCTCTCCCTGGCGACGCCGAAGAGGAAGAGCAGTACTCTGACGACGCGCTCGAGCGGGCTTTGACCGCTCTAGTCGATGACCCAAACATCCTAGGAGGCGATGATGATGGTCTCGACTTGTTGCCCTCGCCCGATGCTGGTCCGTCAAGGTTGTCATCGGCGGCGGTGGAGGATGCGATCGAGGATGCGACGGTCGGCGTGGACGAGGTGGATATTGCGGATCCGGCGGGTCCGTCTTCTGATACAGGGCTGGAGCGGGTCAATATCAGCAAGGTCGCGTTGAGGGTTCGGGCGGAGTTTGCGGCGATGAGCAGGGAGGAGAAGATGGCGCTTATCGAGCGAGAGGGGCGGCCTGCCGGGCACGAGCGGGGACGTGCAGATTGGGCGAGCGGTTCGGGAGCAGCAGGATCAGCTTCGGTAGTCAAGGACGGCGTCACCATCGCTGGATCGTGGAGCTTCAAGCCCCCGCCAGACACATCGGGATCGGGGCTGGTCTCGAGACCCAGGTCCCCCGCTTCAGACGCGGAAACAGACGGCCTGGTCATCGAACACCCTCCCGATCGATACCGCGGCGTCGCCCTCCGTCACGTGTCGACCGAAATGGTCGATCAATGGAACATGATGCTCCCTCAGCTCACACACAAGCCGGCGCTCCACCGACTCATCTTTCAGCAAATCATGGCGGACGCGCATGCCACGACCGAGCCGTACGCGGGCGAGATCTTCGTCACGAATTCGGCAGGGAGTGTGGATGCGGCCCCCGAGATCCAGTATCAGTACGGCAATGAGGTGATGTACCACCCGGGCGTGCCGGATCCGGATACGGGGACGGGGTGCGGGTGCGTGGGACCGTGTAATCCGAATGATGGTGGGTGTCGGTGTGTCCGGAGGCAGGAGCTGTACTTCGCTATTATTGGCATGACGGGTTTTGCGTATAATGAGTGAGTCTCAGCTCGGTGAGTTGGGGAGAGGGGAGAGAGCTTACGGGAGTAGAGATGGGACGGTCAAGAACCTTTCATGTCCGATTTGGGAATGCGGACCGAATTGCGGCTGTCCTCCTAGCTGCATGAACAGGGTAAGCGTCTTCCGTGCCTGTGCAGCGAGGGGTAGTCCTGCTGACGACCAGCGCATCCAAAGAGGCAGAGGCAAAAATATCGAGCTCGACCTCTTCAAGACTCGCCAGAAAGGCTGGGGCGTCAAGACCAGGCAAAACATCCCCATTGGGACTTTTGTGGGCATGTACTCGGGAGAGCTCATACCGCACTACGAGAGTGACCGGCGGGCGACTTTGTACGATGATCAGATCGGGCGGACGTAGGTTTTGCTTCCAGGAAACCGTAGATATCGGTGATGAGCTGAGCTGATGCACCTTAGGTACCTGTTTGACTGCGAGGGCTGGCATATCCGACATCCGCCTGATTTGAATGAGTTGTGTCAGGTCGATCCGAGGCTGGCGGAGTTGGCGGCGCAGACGGTGGAGCGGTATGAGGCGGCCGTGGAACTTGCGGGTGTTGCGGAATTGACGGACTATTCGAAGTACAGTGGTGAGTTTGCGCCTTGGGAACAGACTTGTATGATCTGTGCTGATTGAACAGTCGATGCGTTTCATTATGGCGTACGTGTCTGTCCTGCTACGTTTTGATTTTTAGCTGACCTTGCTTTCCCTCTTCAAATACAGAATGTAAGTGCTTCCTGTCCGTGTAAACCGGCAACATACGCTGACAATGCCAGTACACTCGATATTTCGTGAGCTGAGTTGTCGCAATCAACTTGCAGGCAGACTAGCTGACCACTAGAATCACTCTTGCGACCCTAATCTGATCATCACCCCGGCCTATGTCTATGTGAGCTTCCTGTCAGGCTCAGGGAGTATGTAGCTGATCTCATACAGGACTATCATCCGGAACGTCCCAAGTGAGACCTTCATGCCAGCTTCATACTACCGCATATGGTCTAGCGCTGATCCACAGGCTCATCATGTTCGCCCGAAAGAACATAGCCGCCGGAGAAGAGATGTGTATCTCGTACCGAGGCTCCGTAAGTCTACTCTACAGCTTTTCATCACGCTTGAGCTGATACTTGCAGGACTCGGAGGATGATGCGGCACCTGTCAAACCTCGCAAGAAGACCTACAAGAGGCCGCGGACCAAGAGGGTCGGGGCACGCCGTATGGGCGCGAGCAAAGCTGGGTCCAAGGCGGCTTTGGAGCGTTGTCGCTGGTACGTCATCTCGCAGGTCTATATGGCGCTGGTGGCAAGGATATCGCGCTGATGTGGATAGTGGCGCTCCGAATTGCAAGGGCTTCATGTTCCCGCAATAGGGGATCCTACCGAGGCTTGACCGCGCGCACCGAGAGGGTGGCGGATGGAGGATCTTGCTCGAGCATGTTGGGGCGGACGAACTTGTATCTTCCACTTGCTATGTCTTGGGCATGCTATGTTGCTACATTTTGCGTGTCTATGACGGGCTCATAAGCTCTGCCGCTGTCTGTCTGTCTCACTAGTCTGTCTGAGGAGGCACGACCTGGTCCGTCCGGGTCCGTCAGGGTCAATCGTCGGAGATATCTTTACGGCATCGTTTGGTGCCTGGCCGAAGTTAGAGGTCCAGTCAACGCGACTTCAGCTTCAGCTGTTCTTTCAATCTTCCTTCATCATCCTTCACTTCGAAGCTGGTGGACCCGGCAGCCGGGCAAGATGTACAGTAGGGGCTCGAGTGGAAGTGAGCTCAGACTGTGTCGCATGCGAAGGGCTTCTACTGACTTGACAGTCGACAAGACACAGCCTATAATCATCGACTCTGACTCCGAGCCGGAAGATGATGGCCGACCTGTCCGGCCCGTATCGCAAGCACACTCCGCCTCTGGATCATACGCCTCAGCACCTGCCAATGATCCTCCCAGGCTATCTCTCCGGGTGTCGAGGCAGCCCGTCGTCTCGCAAGGGAGCTCCTCGAGTGTACGGCCAAAGAACGGCAATGAGGGTGAAGGTGGGTTCTTCCTTCCTCGTCCGAGCTCGCCAAGCTGAGATAGCAGACGCATCGCTGTTGCCCGCAACAACAATACCCCTGAGGAAGGAGCGGGAGGACATCGCGCAGAGGGTGCAGCGGGAAAGAAGGGCAGGCAGTAGCGCCAAGCAGGGGAAGAGTAGGGACGATTGGAGGCGCGGGTCTCAGCGACCCTCGGTGACGCCCAACCCAGAAGCTGAGGGATCGAGACCCACGGGTGTGCTCCGTTCTCTACTCATATTGCTTTGCTTGGAGCTGAGGATACAGCTCCGAAGAAGAAGGAATCGACCACTGAAGGTGAGATCTCGTCAGCCATGCGGCCCATTTCTCAGCCCATCTCTATTCACCTGATTTTCACCGTCCTCTCTTACAGCCAGAGAGGTTGTTCTGACCCTTTAGTGATCGAGTTCATTGACTCTGACATTGACGACTTAGCGCCAGCCCAGGCTGGACCCTCACGTCCACCGCAAATCGCTCTCTCGAGAAACCACGAACCACTCTCCTCTAAGGACATGGCGGCTCAGATGGCGAGCTGGAGGAAGGAGGAGGATGAGGCGCAGCGGAGTCCCGGTCCATCTCGGCTGAAACGTCCTCCCACTTCGCCCCGGGTCGATCGGCCGGCCAAAATCCCATCCGGCGGTAAACCCGTCCACCGGAGTGACGTCGAGGCAAATCCAATGGACTGGGATCTCTCCTGCTACAAGGTGCCGCGGCGTGGCATCGATAGCGAGGAGAACCGGTCCAAGCGTGCAGTCGCCAGCTCGGAGTCCGGCTTCGGTCCTCTTCTCGCCAAGGATATGCCTGGCTCGTCGGCCGCGGCTGCGGCTTCACGCTCATCGCACACCCAGCTATTCCCGCCGGATGCAGTAGCAGGTCCATCCCGATCCCCCCGCCCCCCAAATGCACTCTCACGCGCCTCCACAGACTCACTGGGCACCGTCAACGGAGACGTCCCCATGGTCGACGGGTCGGTATCCGGAACGGTCGTCGGTACGTCTCGCAGCCGCCTCGCTGAGGCCCGAGAAGAGGCGCGACGCTTGGAAGAGTATCAGAGGGGGCTGGGCGGCCTGAACGATGACTCGGATGGCCGAAGGAGATCCGCCCTGTCGGCGACGTTGGTGGAAGAGGCGATTGAGGATGCTACTGCCGGAGTGAGCGACGTGGATATAACCACCTCCGGTAGTTCCACTCCGCCGGACACGGGACCGACAAGGACGTCGATCTGCGCGACAGCGCTGAAGGTACGGGCGGAGATGGCAGCGATGAGCAGGGAGGATAAGCTCGCGCTGATCGAGCGGGAAGGGAGGGGGTATCCCGCGAACCTGTCATCAACCCAGGCCTCCTCCGTGGATCACGTCGAGTCTACCATCTGCGGTCACCCGAAGGTCAAAGCCAAAGCCTCCGACGCCGCTCTTATTCCCTCGTCTCCCGAGCTCGCTGCCGGTACTTCCGTCAACATCATGCCCGAGCATCCCCCCGACAGATATCGCGGGATCGCCATCCGCGAGTTCTCAACCCAGATGGTCGATGAATGGAACGACCGCCGAGCAGACTTTACGCACAAACCCGCCCTCCACCGCCAAATCTTCCAGCAGTACATGGCCGAGGCGTACGCGTCTTTCGAGCCTCACGCGGGCGAGATCAATGTCGTCAATACCGTCGGGACGGCGGATGCTGCTCCGGATATGGAGTACCAGTACGGGAATGACATCATGTACCACGGCCATGTTCCTGATCCCGATACGGGGACAGGGTGCGGGTGCGTGGGTCCGTGCAAGCCGGGCGATAGGGGATGTCGTTGTGTGCGGAGGCAGGAGCTGTACTCGTATGGGATGATCCCGCCTGGGTTTGCGTACCATGAGTCAGTTCCGAGTCCTTCTCCTTCCACTGGCCTCCGCGAGTGAACAGAGCTGACAAATCAGAGATGGGACGGTCCAGAACTTCACGATCCCAATATGGGAGTGCGGACCAAATTGCGGCTGTCCTCCGACCTGCATGAACCGCGTACGTCTTTCCAATCGTCGATGAAGAGTACTGCTGATGTTCAGATCATCCAGAGGGGCCGGAGTAAGGACACCGAGCTGGATCTCTTCAAGACCCATCAGAAGGGTTGGGGGGTCAAGGCTCGGTACGACATCCCCAAGGGCACATTCCTCGGCATCTACTCTGGCGAACTTGTTCCTGACTACGAGTCTGAGCGGCGCAGCTACCTCTACGACCAGATCGGGCGAACGTGGGTCGGCTGTCTGGCTTCGGTACGGCAGTATAGCTGATGGAGGAGATACCTCTTCGACTGCGATAGCTGGTCGATCCGGCATCCGCCTGATCTGAAAGAGCTGCGCAAGGTCGATCCAAGGTTGGGAGACCTGGCGGAACAATCTTTAAGGCGGTATGAGGCGGTATTGGAGGGGTCGGAAGAGGTGGAGATGGAGAACTATTCGGCGTATAGCGGTAGGTCCAGCGAAGTAAACTGCGATGAAGGTACACAAGCTGATTGGTAGTCGACGCTTTTCATTACGGGGTATGTACGAGCTCTGACTGAATTGGCTGACAAGCTGACCTTGCCTTTTTGTTTTCACACAGAACGTGAGTTTAATTGACTGCAGATTTGAGCGGAATCGAAGCTGATCCTCTCAGTTCACCCGATACTTTGTATGTCTCCCCGAGCAATACAGAGCGGAGTGCCCAAGCCGAGCTGATTGTGTAGAATCACTCGTGTGACCCCAATCTGGTCATCATGCAGGCATATGTCAACGTGAGCTGGCCGCTTGATCCGATATGGGCCTTGAACATCAGGCCCCAGCTGACAATATCTAGGACTACCACCCTGAGAGACCCAAGTGAGTTCTTTATCAAGCACTAAAGCTCGAGCTGGATCAGAGCTGATGACTAGGCTCGTGATGTTTACCCGATGTCCTATTGTCGCAGGCGAGGAAATGTGCATCTCGTACATGGGCCTCCCGGTACGTCCCTCTTCTTGCGTGACCCGGCACCGCCCCCTCGCATTGATCCCCTGCCGTTAGAGAAAAGCTGATGGCTATAGGACGATGATGAGGAACCTTCTGATGTTCCCGCCACGAAGAATAAGTCTAACTCCCGAAAGAAGACCTCGGAGAAGGGCAAAGGCAAGACCTCCGCGAAAGCTAGGGAGGCCGAGTTGGTTCAGGCGGTGAGGCTGGGCGCGGAGATTTGTCGCTGGTGAGCTGTTGACGATATTTCCGCCTGTCATGGCGTGAAGTATTTGACAAGCTGACTGGTATAGTGGCGCACATAACTGTAAGGGCTACATGTTCACGGGCGGGAATTATGCGGAAGACTGAGAAGTACGAGCGAGGCGGATGGCGAGGAAGCAAGCCATCTGAGAGATCATCTATGCCGATCATGCGTTGTATCAACACTATCGTACATCTGTCTGTAGCTTCTATCTACTATGTATGTGATCTCTATCAACGTCTACGGTACATCTCATCGCACCCCACGCTACGCCTTCTTCTTCTTCCTCGGCTGCAACATCGTAACCACCTCCTCCACCCTTCCCCTCTTCCCCCCCGATCCCGAAATCGCCTCGACCTCAGCCGCCGTCTTGGCCTCCACAACTCCCTCCACGTGCTGCACCATCGCCTCCTCCCCAGTCTCCCCGCCTACAATCTGCGCCACGCTGACCAGCCAGGCTTCTGAACCTTCGAGCGCGTTCGGTAGGTCGTGGAAGTCGGTATTCATCAGGGCCGCTTGCATTCGGGTGACGATGGCGGGCGAGAGGTGGCCTGGTGCTGGCGCGGGATCGGCCGACGTCTGAGTGGCAGTGGCAGGGACCGCAGGGACGGAAGGGGAAGGGGAAGAGACGCCGAGGGAGAAGAAACCAGTCACGTCGAATGCGCACTCTCCGCGGAATCCGATCCGTTCCCAGAATTCGGCGGGGGTGATGCGAGCGAGGGCGGCGTGCGTTTGTTGGCGCTCGACGAGGTCGAGAGAGCGGGTTGTGCGCCGGGAGGTCTTGTCGGAGTACTGGGCAGGCTTCAGAGGATGGGAGGGATGTGATGGTTCCGAGGCGGAAGGGGCGGCTGTCGAGTGATTCTTCTCCACTTCCGCCTGTTCTTCTCTCTTCTCGTCTCGCTTCGCACCTCTGGCTTCTCCATTCCCTTTTACTTTCCCTGCTGCCCCTGCGCCCCCTCCCCCTGCCTCCGCCCCATTCCCCGATTCACCGTCCACGCCGTCCCCACCTCCCTCCGCCTTCTCATGCGCCACCTCATCCAAAAACCGAGTCTTCGGATCATCCTCCAGACTCGGTATCAGATCCGCCAAACTCAAACCCCCGCCCTCCCCCTCCTCGCCCGCTCCCACCCCGGTATCCTTACCGCGAACGGCGGCTCATACTTCCACCCCAAACCCACGGGGAGCGGTCTCCTCGGCGCCCCCACAAACGCACTCGCCTCATAAGCGCTATTCGGCGGGAGATAGTACGCCAGGTACACCTCCCCCGGCTCCATCCGTCCCTGATCGACCAACACCTCCGCAACGGCCTCATAGACGCCCTTCCACCACCCGCAGAGCCGCGCGCCGGATATATTGGGCTTGTTTTCGGCCGAATTGGGGAAGAGGTAGTGCCCCTGACTTCGCGCGAAGAGGTGGACTCGGACGAACGGGGTGGGGCGGGTAGAGGGGAGGAGAAAGTAGGATAGGAAGGCGGTGATGAGTGTTCGGGTGAGGGGGAGGGGAGAGATGTGGAGTTGGGAGAGACAAGGGGGAAGGCGGACGAGTCGACCTTGGATATGTAGAGGATGGAGGTTTGGGAGTGCGGGAGGATGTAGAGGTGTGCGGAGATGGCGGAGGTCAGGACCAGCCGGGGGGAGGGTGTTGTAGATGATTCAGGATAAGGTGGAGAGTCTTCCACTTCTGTGCCGAGGACGACAAAGTAGTCGACCTGGAAGCATCGAGGGTGGGTGATGGTGTGTGGGAACAGAGTGGAGGTGCGGGTTGGCGAAGAAGTGAGCGCCACTACTTTGAGCTTTTGTGCGTTGGGCAGCGCGGAGAGCTGGGACAGGAGGTGGTCCCGTAAGCTATGGAGTCAGCTGTTCAATCGAGGATGAGGGATTGATAGCTGACAGGGAAACATACCTCGTCGAGGTCGACATCTCGAGATACCCCTTTCCGAGGTTAACTTGGGCCGGATGGTGAAGGCAGACAGAGCGAAGGGTGCTCCTTTATGGACGTGTGCAGGAGTAGTAGCCGCGTAGTGATAGCGTCTGGTCGCTGCTGTTGAGGATATCGCACTTGGGAAGGAGGATGATGTAGAAAGGCAAAGTGTATTTGACCGTTCGACGCGGTCTGCCTCCACCACCTTCGACGCGTCCTCATTCCTCGATATCACCAAGACCATGCTACCGGTGCCAGTCATAGCTAGCTGACAGATGATAAGAGGAGCGGATACATGACGGCCTTCTATAATGGTCCACAGCGCGAAGCCCTTCACAGCGATAACTAATAGTACAAAATACCTTGACCCGCAAGTACAACCCCCAATCCCTTCGATTTCCGTTACGCCCCAACCTCCACCTCCGCCATCCTCCTCTCCATCCGCTTGGTCCTATAATCCAAATTAACAGCCACAAGCCACGCCCTAATCAGCGCAGCGTGCTTCCGCCTCCTCTGCACCTCCTCGTCCTCGTGCCCCAGCCCCAGCGCCGCAGCCGCAGCGGCCTCGACCGACCCCCGTCTACTCGGCCCATCCAGCTCCAGCCGCTTGACGGCGCGCACCATATCATCCTCCGTGTGGCGCTTGACGGGCGGGCGGTACCCCTCAATATCGCGCACCGAGGGGAGGTGCTCGTGGTGCTCGGCGTCGTCGTCGTGCGGGGAGTGAATACGGGGGAGGACGAGATTGGGTCCGTCAGGGAGATCATCGGCCGTAAGGAGTGACCGGATGGATATTTTGGGCGTCGCCATTTGTTCGGGCGATTCCGCCATGGCCGATCCCTCGTCATCATCCTCTTCCCCAAGATCGCCATCGCCGTACTGCGAGTCATGGTCCGCCTCGAGGTCCAGCTCGGTGCGGAGAGACGACTCGTTGATCCGGTTGATACCGCGCGACGAGACGGCCGCTCCGAGTGGCGCGACGTGGCGGTACGTCTTCTTGTGGTAGTCCCGTGGCTGGATGGTGGCGCCCATGGCCGGCTTGGAGCGAACGAGGGACTCAAAGTCAAAGTCCGTCCCCGTCGTCCGGAACGCCGCGCCCATAGGGAGCTCGGGGTAGCTCGGGACATTGAGGTCGTACCGGGGCATCCGGGCCTGTTGCTGGTTGTAGTTGGGAGGAGTGGTAGATACCGAGTGATTCCGAGGGAGACCGGCAATGGCACGCTTGGTAAAGTCGTTCATTGCCAAGTCGGGGTTGGAGGATGCGCGAGACCGGGTGGCGTCGAGCGAGGGGTACATGTTGCCGAACGAGATGTTCTGGCCGAGCGCCGCGGGAGGAAGCATGGGGATGCCGGGCATACCTGCCAGTCCCAACGAGGCGAGCTCTTCCGGGTTGAAGAGGTCCTCGATGGGCGATTGATCAGACAGGGGCGAGTCGCTGCTGATGGAGCTTCCAGAGAAGCCCGAGGTGAATGAACCGGTGTGCGTCATGGGGACGTTGTTGTATTGCGGCATAGGAGGGCCAATAGCGGCGTCGCGTCCGAGGGAGATCATGAATTGGTTGAACATGGCCAAGTCGTCGTCCGACTTGATCTCGGGGAAGGGAAGAGAGTCGAGGTCGGATCCGCCACCGCCGCCGGGGTTGGAAGACATGACCGGCGCAGAGTTGAAATTGGTGGTGTTGCCGCCAAAGCTAGAGTATTGGGTGTAGGGGTTGTGGACGCCTTGGGAGGGTGCCGAGAAGTGGTTCGGCAGGCTGGAGGATTGAGGGTAAGAGGGAGGGACCATGCCATTCAGGCGGGAGATCATATCTGACGATCAGCCGTATCCTTCGAGTTAACCGCAAGACTTACCGCCATTGTACACCGGCTCAACCTTCCTCTTCTTCATATCCGACCAAAGATCACCAAACGCATCGTCCGTCCCCCGCTTCGACCCCTTCGGCACGCTGTCCTGGGCGAACTGAGCGGCATACGCTTGGGTCTGCTGCTGCTGGTAGGCAAGTTGCTGAAGCATTGCCATCTCGCGCTGCTGGAAAGCGGCAAGCTCCTCGTGCTGCTTCTTGTGAAGTAGAGCGAGGGCGGTAGGAGTGGGAGAAGCGGATTTGGCTACTAGTCAGCTTGGTCCGGTGGAAGGTGGAGAGACTTACTGTGCTCGATGACTCGGGTACGCTCCTGGGGTACCGGTGCGGAGGGCTGTGAGGTAGTAACCGGTCCGACTCGCTGGTTGAAGACTGGATCGGACGAGGTGGCCGCCTTGGAGAGTTTGTGAAGAGCGTGGTGCTCCTGCGTATGGATACGCTCGTGCTTCTTGAGATCCTGAGGGCGCTTGAAGGTTTTGCCACAGACCGAGCATGGGTGGGGCTTGAGTGGCGTGTGCACTGAATGTCAGCTAGAGTCTTTGGCAAAGAGTATCTACTCACCTCGAAGATGACTGGTAATGTGGTCCCTCTTGACACACTTGGTCCCGCATCCCTCCCACCCACACGTCAGGTTGAGATTTCCCGTACTCTTCCGCCCGACGTGCGTGTTGCAAAGATGATCGTACAGCTTGTCCGGGGTGGAGAAGGTGTCCTCGCAATCGGCCCATTTGCACTCGATGACATCCTCGTTGCTGCCGTTGGAAGCGTTACTGATGCGACGATCATTGCTGGAGTGGAGACCCGAAAGGGACGCCAATTCCGGTGTGACCGGTTCGACCGAGGAAGACGAGGGGGAGGTGATACTGGCCGAGTGCGAGTGAGAGTGGGAGAAGGAGGGTTGGTAGTGCGAGTAGGAGTGGTGCGATTGGTGCGGGTGGAGGAACGAGGGCGGGAGCGAGGGGTACGCCGTGCTCATCTTGGCGAGAGATGAGGGAAGATTTGTAACAAGTTTCGATGGTCTCTCTTGGTTCTGAGAGCGGTAGTTAGGCCAGATTATATCTGGCTGGTTGACGATAGGTGTCGCTGTATACAATATAGCAGCAAGTATAGCTGTCGGTGTTGTTGTGAGGGGTGTTTGTAGGTAGATGTATAGATGCAAGGTGGGCGGCGGGGGGGATGTATGCGAAGAGTGAGCTTTTGCCAAGAACTTGAACTGGGAGATTAGCCAAGCGCCGAGAACACGCAGCTCGTGGCGGAGGCTTGGCCTTGGCGCCCAGTCAATCTTAATTGGCACGCCTAATCGATCATAGGCGTGTTCTTCAAGGCACTGTCAGGCACAGCTTCTGTCACGCCTAACTACTGGGCCGATCGGAACTAAACTCGTAACGCCGAGAGTGGCGGTAACATCGATCCGCCACCCAGTGGCCAACAGCTCATGTGGCAGGCCGCCTCTTGCTCAATGCTGTCTACGTTGTGGCTGCATATCACCCGACTTCACTAGCCCTCGGTATCTAGGTGGGTGTCCGGCTTAGGAATACATAGGCATAGCAAGCCGGCACGAAGGGCATAGCAGCGAAGAGATAGGTGATTATGGCTTTGCGATGCTCAGATCACCGGTGCACGGGTGAGGTTATGACTTCACCGCCTCCAGATCTTTTTTGACCCAGTAGACAGGAGTCAAAACTGAAGGGATATCACCTGTCGTAACGCGTCATTAAGCAAAGACAAAGGACAGCAACCAGGTTATCGCTGGCGCTCGCTCATCGAGCCCGAACTTTAGACCGCAGGTTCTCCGTTCTTCCCTCTTCTCTATCTCTCTTCTCGCCACTCACTCTTACTCACAGATCAACATCACTGACACCTGACATGACGTCGAAAGCAGCTAGCCGGCCAGGCGAGACATACGAGCTCATTGGCCAGGACTTGGGCTGGAACACCCGCGGGCGCGCCGGGGTCAGCATCACCTTCCAGGACGGCGACTTCCAAATCCAGCCTTTCGCGCACCTTGGGTTTGAAACCCAGTCTGAGCAGAAACAGGACGAACTCCTCGCCAGTACTTTGTCAGGGCTTCTCGGATCCACGCGCGTAAGTATCAGTCTGGGTGCGATGATACCCGTACGTGACCACGTACACGTGCTGATGCTGTAGCCCATCCGGCAGAGACTCAGGTTGAAAGACTTTCAGAGCCAGAGCGGGTCACCAGAGCATACGGAGATGGGGATTCCGCATCCTCTGCTCGAGAAATGGGGCAGCTCCCTCGTTGAGAGCCGTGGTGCCTTCAAGAAGTGGGCGGACACGCACTGCCAGGCCGGATGGCCTGCTTTGATGACCAATGACAGCAGGATCGCTTGCCAGGACATCGTGTCGGCTGTGAATCAGAGCTATCGCGGAGCCTTGGGAGAGCTGTACTCAGAGTCGATGGACGAAGTTCGGAGGAAGCAGGACGAGCTTGACGGCGTCCTGTTCGACGAGCCGGTCGATGAGTTCCCGAGGATCATGCTCCTGAAGGCTGTCCGGGGCCTCATGAAGCGGCAGATACATTCCGACTACCTGCCCTTCTTCCTGAAGATCTCGCCTTCAGCCTGGAGCGCCGAGTCCCTCGAGACCGGAAACACAGCGCGAGGTGATCTCGTTCGCGATCGGCAAATCGTCCAAAACTGGCTCGATACGTGGCCTGGATTGTTCACGAGGCATGTCATTGGCAGAAGTCCACAGGATTTCCAGACGATCGTCGAGGCGGTCAACGCCACGCAGACAGCGAGTTCTGGTGATAGCACAGCGTGATCGGGGACTGATTCGACTGATATTCTGACCTGGATGAATGTGTATATGTATCTGATTGTGAATATGTGATGTACAGATCACTGACGTACCTCATGCGCTTTGATATACCAGCACACCCCGCCGGCCTCATGTGGAATGCCCCTATCGCCACTCGTTCGCTCGCTGCGAGGCAGGCGGGCCTATATGATTACGAACCTGATGCCTACCAGCGTGTGGTCTCTAGGGGTACATGATCGACGGAGTCATCTTACATATGGCGCAATCAATCGCGCCACGTATGGGTCATCTTCGGTACTGTGCTGATTCATAGCCAGCATGTAGCATAGCATCCGATCATTATAGCTACACAGATAAAGAGATTATACCTAGATCATCCCTCCCCTTCCCGCCTTCCCGGTCCGTGCCCCCACGCCCTCCTTCGCCACCGCGACCCCCACCGCACCCGTCACTCCCGCCCGCCTCGGCATAGTCCGACGACTACTGACTGACCCCGTCCTTTCCACCTTCGCCCCCTCCGCCACTTTCCCCGCCGTCCCGCTCATCTCCCTCTTTCCCCCATTCCCCATCCCATTCCTATTCTTCGGCGAGAGCGGCGCGGGCGGTGTCGCGCTATGCACCCTATCCAGCGCCTGAGGATTGAGAGCAAGGGGCCGACCCTTCCCTACTGTCGCTGCGCCATTAACAGCCGAGCGCATCATCGCCGGTGGTAAACTCCGCCGAGCCGCAGATTCCGATGACGGGCGGACCGTACTGCCCTTCATCCCTTCGTCTAGGGGTACCTCGGTCGACCGGAGTCGATGGGCAAACTTGGCATCCGCCGCTTTGCCCTGTAGGTTCCCACCAGCGGGTCTGGGCGCTCGCGCACCGGTACCCTTCGTCGGCGTCTGAGAGGTAGCGAGGGTGCGAGCTCCCGTTGGAGATGTCCCGATACTCTTTGGTCGGAGCCGAGTGGGACGGACTTGATCCCCTCCGTTGAACGCAAATGACATGACGCTCATCCGGTCCGAGACGACTGTATCGGTATCGCTAGGCCGGGGCCGGATAGTGCGGGATGGAGAGGGAGTAGGACCATCTTCCGTCTTGATGGGTACGCGGCTGGGAGCGAGAGAGGGAGTGGCGCCGCTAGGTGTGCGCGAGTGGGCCTTGCGTGGAGAAGCAGGGGCAGGGAGGGAGGAGATGCGCTTGGATGAGGTGGATGCGGAAGGAGGAGGGGCGGCGGACCGAACGCGTGAGATTCTGCTTCATTAGCTATGTCAGATAAACGTCGTATAGGCTAAGCTAGCTCACTCCTCCATGGATAGCAACGCATCCGTACTGCCTGTCTTTGGTCTCAAGTGCCATTCATGAACCTTGACGAACTGCTCGTCAGCTCGATTCCAGCCACGAAGAGGTCAGACTCACGCGATATAGATTCCTCGCCCGGATAGACTGATGTCGCTTCCCCACCGTCGCATACTTGCCCTTGTTGCCCATCTCCGGCATACTCTCGCGCTTCGATTTCGTGCTTGAGATGGGCAACTGCGTCGAGCCGGTCTTCTCACACAGGAGCGACACATCGGAGAAGCGCCTACTTTGTGAGCTCTTCTGCCTCTGCTTCAACATTATTGAGACGTCAACAACTCACACGATCCAGTACTCAGCCTTCTCGGGCTTCTTGAGCATATCGCTCAGACGATGCTTGGATTTCCGGCTCTTCGTTCCCGCCTCTACCGCCGCTGATTCGCCAACTGACAGCTGCGTTTCGTCTACAACCAATCTGCTCGCTTTGGGCGCCATCAACACCTGTCCATCAGCCCAACCCTTGGATCCAAACGAGACATCGGACCCACCTTATCAGCCTCTAGCCCCTCTATCCTCGCCCAAACATCCCTCGTCCGCTCACTCTCCTCCTTCGACACCTTCTCATCCTCAATCCCCCTCACAATCATCTCCACCTCATCCACCATCGCCAGCGTCGCCTCATACTCCCTCAAGCTTGGGTCCGTATTGAATAGCAGATTCTGGAAGAGAAGCGGGTACTTTAGAAGGCGCTGGAACGGTTTCGAGAGCGATATGGCCAGACCCGACTCTCCGCGCTCAGTCGCGAGCTCTTCGAGGCCGAGGAGGGTCTTGCCGAGTGTCAATTCGGGGGAATGGTCGAGTTGACGCGAGTGCCGGCGGGGAGGGCGGGTAGCGAGGGAGAGGGCGGAGTCGATCGTGGAGAGGGCGGACTCGAGGTGGAGGATGTAGGTTGCGTATTCCCGGAGAATGTAGGACTGGGAGTCAGCTCTCTCTCCATGAAAAAGAAGAGTAAGCTTACATGGGCTGTAAACACATCCGCGAGACTCCGGACGAGGGGGTACTGATCCTCATACCGCCTCCTCAGCGCCGCCGCCAATTTCAAGTGCCCCTCCAGAATCCCCCCGCTCAGGACCGCCAGCACCTGCGCCAGCTCATCCGGCAGTATCACGTCCTTCTTGTCCAGACCCTGAGCTATACTGGCCAGACTGGATCCAGAACCTATTCGCGTTGAGCCCGCTTTGGCCGGGTGCGAGAGGCGCGCGAAGGATCCGGACCAGCCTTTGCTGCTACCCCCTGATCGGGACTCTGGGATGCCTCGCGAGAGGGGAGGTAAGGACTGGTGCGCCTTTGCCTTGTCGCGCATGGACGAGAGGCTTGGTTGTCCGCGTGGAGCAACGGCAGGGTTGGTGGGCCGGCCGTTGGTGAGCTTGTTGTACGCGTCCAAGCGCGCCGAGACGCCCGTTTGGGTTGGCGAGGTCGTATGTGATCCAGGCTCTGAGGGTTGGGCGGAGGTGGACGTGGAGCGGGAGTAGCGTGCGGCGATAGGGAGATTTGGGGAGTCGTGTGAGGAAGGAGACGAAGGCGACATGGTGGATGACGGGGAGAGGGTGCGGGATAGAGCGACGAGCGGGTCGTGCAGTGTCAGAGTGGGTGAATGGGCTGATGGGGGAAGTAGTGCGCGACAAAAGGTGTCGTTCAGCTTGATGAGCTCCTGAACGTATCTGACAGTCAGCTCAGCCATGCATAAAAGCTGTAGAGCTCACCTCTCCTCGCTTGAGACAATCTCCCAGAGCACTTCCTGCCGTGTCCGCTCCCTCGGTCCCAGATTCGCAATCAATTCCTCCTCCGCCATCTCCGACCAGCTATTTGGCTGAGCGAGGTAGGTCTGCGTCGAAGCAAGCGACGTCTCGCTGGCCATCGACACAGACGTCGACGGAGTGGGACTCATCAGGCTCCCAGGCCCGCTGCCGCCGAATGTACATGATTTGATCGGTGAGGGGGACCGATACGAGCTGGACGAGGGATGGATGGGGCGTATGGAAGTAAGGGGTGGTAAAGAGTGTTTGCGCAGTGTATTTGGTCTTTGTCGATCCGCCATGGATTGTCGCAAAGGAGGAGGAAGGACGGGCGATGAGGATGTTGAAGGGGTTGTTGATGTGGCTCGAGGTTGGGTGTCTTGTTGGATGTCATCCATCAATGCGCTAGATGGCGGTGTAGGCACCGGACTCCTGAACGTGACCTTCTTCCCTCCTCCAGCGCCCATCACGTCCAGATATGCCGCACTCAACGTCCGTTGTCTTTCCTCCATGGTGCTCTCCTCCTCGATATCCAGCTTGGAGGGTCCGAGCGCCGAGCTCGGACGCGATTGCTCTGCTGACGCATACGAGCTGCTCCGGTAGGGTATGCTAGGCGGGCGGGGGGACGACGATCTAGGAGAGCCAGGCCGTGATGACGAATCTGACCCGAGAGCGGGAGACGAGATGGGTGAAAGGTGATCCGGATCGTGATTGACCGATTGACGTCGTGAGATTGGAGGGGTACGCAGCGTGTCCCTCGATGGGGGCCGCGAGGGTCCCGCTACGCCCGGAGCGGGAGTCTCCTTCTCCTTTGTCCGGAAGCGCGAGAGGAGCGACTTCATCCTGCGTGGTATATGTAGGAGAAGGCAGAGATGTTGATGCAAAATGTAAAGGAGGTGTAAAGCTTAATTCTCGGAGGCGTGTGTTTGTGTGTGTGGCAACAATCAGGCAGGTGTTTCAGCGTCATTACTGGAACGACTCCCCACTCTGGCGTGCGAGAGCATGTATAGACCCTGGATGAGACGAGGCACTGCATAGGGGATCAGGAAAGCATACATGATCCATAGGAGTGACGATGGCATCCTCTCAGAGATATCAGCTATTGTCTGCGCCGGCAAGACAAAAAGCAAACGCGCTCAAGGGGATCGAGAATGCCGGCAACCCCTCGCCTCTTGAAGATACCCAGGCAGTTGAGCAGCGAGGTTGAAAGGGGATAGAGGTGGCATCAGCAGAGATGCGAGGAGATTGTGAGAGCTGGAGACAGTATTCATCACATCCATCCTTGTGTCCGACAAGTCCCCCTACGACCGCTCCACCGAAGATCCCCGCCTGTCTGCTATTCTCACCGCCTCTTGGAGTTTCAGCTGTCAAGGCAGAGAACACCTGCATCGTCAGCTTTGCACGAAGGTCATGGTACTGCGGGGCTCACCTCACGCATCCACAACAACAGCGCCATCCACCACGACCTGCCCATACCCCTTCCCGTACTTCTCCCTGAACACCTCGATATCCTTCTCATCCACCCTACTCCCTCCACACACGACGACAATAACTTTCAACTTCTCCGGCAGTCCCTTCTCCTTGATCATATGCTCCAACACCTGGGGATGGTACACCGGTACTACCGCCGCGCCGGTACTGAGCTCGATGGGCTGACCGAGCTCGTCCGTTGCCTGCCAGGCTGCCGCGCCGCACTGGGCGTCGTCCGCACGTACCGAAGAGAGGTATGGGGCATCCTTGCCAGCGGTAGAGCCATGTGTCTCCGGCGTCGCACCTTCGACGGAACCGGTACGGGCGTATTGACGTGCCGCGTCGATAGCGAGGGTGGAGCACATGATGCAGTTGAGGGAGACGGCGAGGGAGGTGTTTGCGCCGTCGACGTAGTCGTGATCCGTCTCGAGACTCAATCCCCATGGATCCCCACCCATCGCTGAGACACCGACAACATGAGTGGGCCGCCGACCGTCCGCTGCCGCCCGCTCGCCCAGGCCCGTCATGATCCCCCTGATGAACCCGCCTCCGCCCACCGCGGACGAGACCACGTCCGGCCTATCCGTGGGATTCTCCAGTCCCGCCTCCCTCATGGCTCCCTCTAGCTGGTCGTAGATCTCATCCACGATGGACACGTGACCCCTGACCACATCCTCCCCGACAAAAGGGTGGACATAGTGCGCGTTAGGATCCGCCGCGACGCATTCCCGCGCCAGACGATCCACCGTCTCCCATCCCGAGTCGCTAACATTCACCTCGGCGCCGTACCCCTTCATGCGCTCAATGATGGGGGGCTGTGTCTTTTTGTGGACAAAGACCGTGCATTTGACGCCGAGCTTCTGGGAGCAGAGTGCCGCGGCCAGACCGGCATTACCGCCCGAGGCAACGACGAGGTGCGCGTTGGGGCCGATGCGGTGTGCGGCGGCCCAGCAGGCCCGACCGATCCCGCGAGCCTTGAAGGAGCCAGAGATTTGCTTGGTCTCGAGCTTGAGGAAGACGTTATGGCCGGAATGCTGGGAGAGGGGGGCAGAGTAGATGAGGGGCGTGACGATGTGGAGGGGTTCGTAAGTGGAGGGTATGGAGGGCATGGTGAAGAGGGGTTTTGATTCTTTCTGGATGGCGGTCTTTGGTGGGACGGGGCTGGGTGGGGAGGGCGAGCTTTAACATGGTCAGGTATATGAGTAGATGGTGGACGGCGAGCTAGAGATTGGCGGCGAGAATTACCGTCGGCTGTGACCGGGATCAATTGACCGCGGCGAGATTAGCAGCTGGTTCAACGTGGGATCGCCCGAGCACCTGCTATGTAGTGAGCGTCCCGCAGGCTGCTCCGGACAACTCGTGCTGCAGTTCATATTGCCTGTATAGAGAGCCTGGCTGATCCCTGGGCACCCTACTCAACATTGGAGCCCTTCCCGCCCACCTCTCTGCACGGAACCGGCGCCGCTCAAGGCCGAGCAATTCGAAACGAGGCCCAACCTGTGCCTCGCTTAGCCCCCGTTTCAGATTAATCCCTTGTAGTAACGTTAGTCTCGGGGGCCAGGTCCCGGGTCTTTTCAGGGTCGTTCCTCTCTGCCCGCGCCTTGCTCCGCTTCTGAGGCTTAATTTAAAGTTTTTGCTCAGGGCGATGAGCGCGTCACGCCGTTTCTCTGGCCCTTGTGCCTGAGTGACCGGCATGACTGCTGCTGAGCCGAGGTGTTGACCTTTGCTTTGGTCAGAAATCTACCTTGTGAGACCATCAACCATTCGTACATTCCCATCAATACAACCCGTCAGCAGATCATTACGACTCCGCGTTTCACAGCAGATCAGTCACCCGAGAGACCGGCTCCGCCCGAAAAAGTCTGTAGTGACGCAGTGACGAGTCAGCAAAGATCTACCAGCCGACCGAACCGAACCGGCACCAAACAGCTTCGGGCAGGCTGGTCGTTCCCGCCCTGCCTAGGAGAGAAATACCTCAACAGGAATTCTCGCCTCTTCTCGCCTCTCTTCATCCATACTTGAACAATCCTACGGCGCAGCTGGCAGGTTTGTTGCCCAGGAAGAGCAAAGAACCAGTGAGTAATCTTTGCCTCAGAGATAAAGAGTTTGCCGGCAACGTTCTCGAGATCTTGTGCCTGGGGGCTTTCTTGCGCAGAGGCACTGCGTTGCGGATCCCTCCCGTTTCCCCTCCTTTCCTCCACCTTCCTCCTGTTCCTGGCTGTCAGCGCAACCACAGCTTGGCGAGATCGTGGCAGACATCAGCTTTGGGTGGATGCATGACTTGCTCTGGAGAATGTGCGGTAGCAGCGATAGTGGCGAGAGAAAAAAGTAGGAACCGCCGGGACCTGATGGATTCTGTGTGCCTCCCTCTGTGTTCTCACACCACCCTCCTTCCGCTCCAAACTCGCTCAGATCTCTTCCTTTAGCTCCGTCTTCCCCTTCCTTTGGCCATCCCTGTCCCCAGAATTCGCTCCGTGATCTGGCTTCGAAATAGCTGACCCGTGTGCCTTAGGCTTAAGCTCGCTCGTGCCTAGCGACCATCCCGGTTCCTGTTCTACCCAACAGAGAAGCATCAACTTCTCCCATCAGCTCATCGGATTCGGCGTATCAGCGTGAGCTCCACTCGTTCGTTCGTCATGGCTCGAGGCTGACGATACCCTTTAGACCGGTTCTCATACCCCTCCTCCCCTTCCCCATCCTACACAGCTCTATCCACCGCTCAGCTTCCCCTGGCGATCAACTACCGCCGGGTGCCTTTCTCAGCTCATCGGCGGTGCCTTTCGGCCCCTCGCCCTTTGACTCTCCCCCATACCTCTCCCGATAAACAAGGCACCAACCCCTATCCCTGATCGCCCCTCTCACTCTGCGACCATGTCGCTCACCACTACCGCACCCCTCGCTCCTCCGCACCGACACGGTTCCATCTCGATGACAACCCCCTATGAGGACCGACCTTATCCCAATCAGGGGCAGGGCCCGGCACCTACCCAGGGTCAAGATCATCAAGCTCCCATCCCTCCTCCCTACTATTCCCGCCCTCCATCATCGCACGATGACGCCCCATCTTCATCGCACGGCGTAAACCGCTCGGATACACACACCTCTCCCGAGCGAAATGACTCTTCCCACTCTGCTCGGTCCCAGGAATTCGGCACCCTCCCCTCTGCCACCCCTCAGGCCGCCTCGTACCCACCGGACAGCACCTACGCTACTCCTGCCTCAGGGTCGTTTGTCCCATACTATGGCGCCGGGCAGGGCTCCGATCACGTACCCAGTCCACCTCTGAACGGCGACGAGCGCGGCTCGCTCATCCAATTCACGCCGGACGGAAATCCCATCGTTCCCGTCGGGATCAGCGGGGGCAAGATGTTCCAGTGCAGGGGGTTTGAGAAGTGTGATCGGGTCTTTACGAGGAGCGAGCACTTGGCTAGGCACGTTCGGTAAGTCTCCCTTGAATCCGCACCCGACATAGCTGACGATCAGAAAACATACCGGAGAGCGCCCGTTCCCGTGCCACTGCGGCAAGGCATTCTCCCGCCTCGACAATCTCCGTCAACATGCCGCTACGGTCCACTCGGACGCTCCCGACCTGAATGAGAACATGCTCAACACACTCTCGCCCGTCCATGCCGCTCTCTCGGCGCGTGCGACCAAGGAGCAAAAGAAACGGGGCGAGGTCGTCGAGGTGCCCAAGAACGCGGTGGAGCGGCCTCGGAATGCAGAGCGTCGAGGGAGCAAGGAGGGAACCGTCTCTCCTCCCGTCGTCACTGCCGCCGCATACCCTCCTTATGCGGACGAAGGGACCACATGGGATCACAATACCCGCCCCCGGACCAGCAATAGCGGGTACGACTATCCCTTCCATCCCCCTCCGGAGATTCCTCATGCCGGCATGGAGGGGACACCCGGTCCATCTCGTCGTCCTGGCTCTTCGGCGGGATACTCGGCTTATGGCGGTGGATACTATGAGGGACCGCCCGCCCGGCCTCAGACGGGCGACATCGCTCAGCCCGCCAAGGGATTCGGGGGGTATCGATCCCGAGATGGCCCTCCTCCTCTCCACAGCGGATCTCAGGGACACTATGCCGATTCGGAGCCACCCACGTCCGCCCATGGTCCACCTCAATCACCTATGTATACCGCTCCCCCGCCTGTCCCACAGCCAAATTGGTCCTCCCCTCCCCCACCACACACTGCCTACGGGCACGAGCAGAGAGCGTACTACCCATCTCACCCTGCCCCGGCTCCCACCGCGGAAGGGTACACATACCCCGAGCCTACTTATGCTCAGACGTCAACCACGGCCAACGGTCCCAATGGCAGCTCGTACGGCCCCGCTCCGCCCGGGAGTGCCGGCAGTACAGGGCCTTACAATTACCCTCCTCCTCCTCCGACTGCGAACGGCTATTACGGCCAGTCGCAGAATCAAGGCCCATACGCCCAACCCCTCCCTCCCCCTTCCAGTCACGGGCACGGACCCAGCCACGGCCATCACTCGAGCTACTCGGTCGCCTCCTACGCTGCTACCCAGCCGAATACGCCCTACTCGTACCCCACTCCCCTCTCTGGACCTGGATCGTCGCACGGACCCCCTTCTGCCCCCCTCCACACGCCCTCCGTCGCCGCTCCACCTTCTGTCGTGGAATATCAGTACCCCGCCCTACCTACCTCCTCCTCCTCTGGCGGTATCGGCAAGCGCCGGCTGGACGATATCGACATCTCCTCTTCTTCGTCAAGCATCGGCGGCGACTCGCTCCCCGCGCGCAAGATCCCCAGGGCATCAGCGATCAACCAGCCTATCCGGGCACTGCAAGAGCCGAACCCGCCCGGACATGATGATGATCAGCTGTGGTTCCCGCCTACGACGGAGAGACGGTCCAGTTTGGCCATTTCGGCGTTGTTGGGGAGTCCGGTCGAGGAGCATAAGCCCCGAGCACCGTGGGATGGGGGTGTGGCGGTCGGGAGTGGGAACGGGGGTGTGGGGGAGGGAATGGAGGAGAAGGCGAAGGCGTTGTTGGGGAGTGCGCATTAGCGCCTAGGAGGGGGTGGAGGGTGGGAAGGGTGAGGGGGATGGAGAGGGAGAGAGGTTTCAGGAATGGGAGTGAAGAGGGAGGTGAAGAGGGAGAAGGGGAGAAGAACAAAAGTAGGGAAGAAGAAAAAAGGCGGAAGCCGATAGGGAGAAGACAAGAAGAGAAGAGGAGAAGGAGAAGGAGAAGTCAACACGGCACATGCCGAACGGTCTGCGCGAATCGGGCGCGAAGCGCATGACGACAAAACACAACGGCGGAAAAGAAGTACCAAAACAACGATCGACGTCCACGTCGGCAATGAACGGGGAGAGGCGAAGTAGCAGGCGCAAAAGGGAATAGAGGACGCGGCAGAGATGGCGGAACGCCGTTGGCTTATTTGGGACTAGGACAGAAGGGGGCCAAGGAAGTAGGCGCATACAATATTCTCGTCTTTGCCCTTCCTCTCTTACTACGTACACCTTCAAATACTTCATATATTATAGCCATCATACATAGCTCGAGGGTGGTTCTTGTTCAACTAGTTGGCGGTTCATATTTGGGACACCTCACTTGTGTAGCTACTAGCTATGCCATATGATACATGATACATGATACAACATTACAAGCAGAGTCTCGATGTCTCAGCATCAGCGTCAACAGCTTTATCAAACTTGATACGTGATACTGTCTACCCCCCACACCACGAAGGCGTCATCTCAGCTTTATCCGCCCATCCTTCACTTGCGCCCCCTTCCCCTCTGCCCACTCCCCTACTTCGCCCTCCTCGAGGCCTAGCCACTCCCCAGCCCATTCCATCCCGAGCTCCAGATATGCTTTCTTCAACACCTCCCAGGCCCTCTCTCTGACCCTATCCGTACCCCAGCTGATCATCGCCCCCTCCGCGCTGCTTGTCTTCGGATCGGCCAGTATACCCCAGTATGCGACCGGATCGAACCGTTCTGCCGAGAGAATACGAGCGAGGCGCCGAGCCAGACGAAGAGAGGGGTCGAGAGGATGTAAGAAGGGCCGAGGGGGGAGTTTTGGTTTCTCAGTCGGTTGAGACCCGTTGGTACCGCTGGAGCCGCTGGTGCTATCTGCGAATGGCGCCCGGAATATTGTCCGCTTAGGCCTTGTCAACTCCCCCAGCGCCGCCGTGTACGCCGTGATTGACCCAGAATGGCACAGATGATATAGTAACAACAAGGAGGCGTAGAGCCCCCGATTGTCCGGGATGTCCGGAGCGGGCGGGAGGAGCTTGAGCTCTGAGAAGGAGGCGGTCAGCCCGACGGGGGTCCGCTTGGCTATAGCGGAGGAACGGCAGATGTCGGCCGAGGTGTACAGGGTGTGAACGAGGGGGGAGAGGGAGGAGAGGAGTTGGGTGGGTGTGCGAGCGTATAGCGCGAGGAGGGCGGAAGATTCGACGGCTGGAGAGTCAGCTACACAACCCCATGAGAGGGAGGAGATCAGCTGAGATGGATAGGTGAATGGGTCAAGCACACGGGCAAGGAGGTATACGCATACCTACCCTCTATAGCGAAGTCGTCGACCCGGCCTGAAGCTGCGATACCTTCGCGTAGTTTCCGGAAGAGCAGGACGATACTGCCTAGACTTTCGAGCTGGTCCGTCGCCCTAGCGGGTGGTGGAGTATCTCTGAAACCAGGAAAGAGAGCGTAATGCTTGTCGAGCTGCCCGGTCAGATTTACTTTTTATCGTAGAAGACGATAGCTGCGGAGTGAGCTCACTCGTTCGTCAATATACCGCCTGTACCGCTCTTGCAAACCCCAATTCTTCAGTCTGCCGCATCAGTACTTGCACATCAGTGTGAGTCAGGGGAAGGGGACGGACCTACGCATCTCCCTCTGCCCCATCTCCTCCGCTCCTTGACACAGACTGAATAAACTCCATGTCCTCCATCCCAGTACCTTCTACCGCTTTCTTGGGCCTAGAATGCAGGTCTGTCCGTGTGGACGGACGGATATCGCTAGCTGGGGACGCTAGGACCGAGGATGATGCTCTGGACGGAGAGGACCAGTCTCGTGTTGAGGATGGCAGGCCAGGTATGCCAGTACCAGGGCCGCCACGAGCTGGAGCGGGCGTCCGGGGAGGCATGTGTCCGGATGTCTCGGCCTGAACTCGCGTTCGGGGCGGCGGGGGATCGGCTGATCCTCCAGCTTCGGGATTTCGAGGAGGTACCGCTGGAGGGCGAGTCCGGGTATGAGGAGGCTGATAAGCCGGCATGGTGATTATACACAGCTGCTGAATGCTAGACACAGTCGATGCATGGAATCGTGTGTGACAGTGGACCACCGAAAGTGGTGAGGAATGTGCCGTTGTATCCGGGGGGATCGACTGAGGTACTGCCTCCACCCGGCCTGACGCGTCCGAGCCAAAGTCAAGCGCGCAGCGATGCCTTGCCTTCTCTTATTCCACTTTACCTTACCTTACTTACCTTTACTGAGCTCCTCACTCAATTCCGACCAAGGAACCCGCGATATGTCCACCTTCGCTTCGAGATCAGCAGCGCCGGGACCATCCGTCGACCCAAAACTTCAACCATGGGTGGAGAAGTAGTATGTCCACATCGTTCCCGATCCTCCATCAAGCCATCAGCTTAGTCAAGCTCGCAATGTCCTCTGAGAAGCTGACCTTTCAGTCGACCAAAGACCATCGATGATGTCTCATCGCAGGAGAATACGGTCGCTGTGCTGCAAAAAGCACTAGCTTCGACGAATGTGAGCTGCCCTACTTCGACGTTTGCGTCGACTCATCGTCCGAAGCGTGCTCAGCTGATCACACAGCTGCCTCACATGCTCTTCTACGGTCCGCCAGGAACGGGCAAGACAAGTAAGCTGGACACATTCCGACTTTGTTTCGCGGACGTCTGAGCTGACACAACAGGCACAATCCTTGCTCTTGCTCGTCAACTCTTCGGGTGAGCTGAGCCTTCCTGACCCTCCGAACACACCAGCAGGCAACACAAGCTGACGGGATCAGACCAGACCTCTTTCGGTCCCGCGTACTGGAGCTCAACGCCTCAGACGAAAGAGGTATCTCCGTAGTCCGGGAGAAGATCAAGACGTTCGCTCGGGAAACGCCTCGGAACGTCAAGCTGTCATCGTAAGCAGTCGATATCCGCACAACGTCGAGACAGAGCTGACGACTCGCAGTGACGGCAAGACATATCCCTGCCCCCCATTCAAGCTCATTATCTTGGATGAAGCCGACTCGATGACGCAGGATGCGCAGTCGGCGCTGAGGCGGATCATGGAGACGTACTCGAGAATCACTCGATTCTGCCTGGTCTGCAATTATGTCACCAGGTAAGCTGCGCAATTTTCGTCTGCGACCAGTCGGAGACGCCAAGCTGACCCTGCAGAATCATCGATCCCGTCGCTTCTCGGTGTAGCAAGTTCCGGTTCCGACCGCTCGCTCAGAGCAGCTCGCAAGCGCGGATAGAAATGATTGCTCAGGCTGAGGGCGTCAAGACGGATGATGGGGTAAGCTTGCGCGTCCTCGTTTATTCCATAAGGGTCAACAGCTGATATCAAAGGTACTGGAACTTATCCTCAACCTCGCCGGCGGAGACCTGAGGAAAGCGATTACATATCTTCAGACCGCTCAACGTCTGCACGCGGCCGCTGTACCACCAGAACCAATATCTGCCATCTCCAGTAAGCTGCTCGGCTCAGTGCGTTGGCCCTAAGCGAGACTAGAAGCTGATCAGATAGTACATGAAATATCAGGCGTCGTACCTGACGAAGTGATTGACTCGCTCCTCAACGCCGTAGGAGTTACGCGAGAAGATGGCATCTCGCCTGCTTTGATCAGAGGCGGGTTCGAGACAGTCAGGAAGGCGGTCAAGAAGATTGGGAGGGAGGGTTGGAGTGCGGGACAGGTCTTGGAACAGGTACGTCTTCTTGCTTGACGATAATCAGCTAGATGTCCCGGCATGGCCAGGGATTTCAGAGCTGATACAGTAGTTTCATGATGCGCTCATCCCGCTCGCTACTATCCCGGCTATACCGAAGAGTCTTGCGGCGATCGCAGTCGCAGAGTGCGACAAGGCGCTCTGTGAGGGCGGGGACGAGGAGCTGCAGTTATTGGAATGTTGCCTGCAGGTGAGGCACGCTATGGCGAGGGGATAGCACAGCATGGCGTGTACGAAGCAAAGAGGTGGACTTGGTATGGCATACATCTCTTTCTGCTACTGATCCACGTCACGATCTCCTCGCCGGGTACAGTCTTGGTCAAGGTTACAGAGGTATACAGGGTCCGGTACAGGTCATGTACACCCACTCTCATAGCTTACACCACATTTACATCAGCCCAAACCAGCATGGTTTGTCAAATCCCGCAAGACCCGCCGCTGGCGCCCGGTGGACATGGTGGACCCGACCGAACCAAATGTGCGCGGCGGGCGAATCATGGAGCTGGAGAAGCGGAAGGGGCAGATGATACCGCCGGTCAGGAGGGGTACGGGGCTGAAGAGTTAGCTCCTAGGTGCTTTGGCGTGGTACAGGTGAGGATGGAGGGGGTACTCACGGGGCGTTACGCTGAGAGCAGAAGGAGTAGAATGATCCATCCGCCGTGTCGTGGAACTCGGTCGATACCTTAGCGCCCTCGCGCTCCACTCGCTCCACGCACGCCTTGGCGTTCTCGCCTCCCTTCCGCCGAATCACGTCCGTCTGCCCCTCCGTAGCCATCGGCATAGCGATCTTCCTCGCCCTCCGGTCCGGCTGCCTCGCGTGCAGAATACACTCAATCCCAACCACATTTGCCCCGCACGACCGAGCAGGGAGCGAGGCGGTGGACCAATTTCCCGTTCGAGCATATCCTTCATACATCACCGCACACGCGCTCGAGGGCTTCACCATCGCCACCGCCACCCTCGACTGCTGTACTGGGCGTATCGGCAGGGACGCGCGCGTTGACGTGGTCTCGAACCCTCCTGGTACGGCGCGACCCAGAGCTGGATCTCGGCGCGGACTAGGACTCGGCGGGGGAACAGTAGCGAGGCTCTGAGCGATATCCGTATAGCTCGAACCGGAGCTCCTGGAGAGGGGGACGACGTGCGCGTGGGGTCTGCGCGGAGAGTTGGGGCAGAGAGGTGCCGCCTGGTGTTTGTGTCGGCGAGGAGGGGGTGGCGAGCCCGCGTGAGACTGAGGGGGCATTGCGCGTGCGAGGCCGCGCTGGTGCGAGCGGATAAGGGGTTGAAGGGGGGATGAGAGGTTTGGGTAGGCGAGGTGCGCGTGGAGTCGGGCAGCGAAGGAGGAGTGGACGAATGAGAGGGGGAGAGAGGGGTCGAAGCCCGGGTATAATGGCAGGACAGGGAGGCGAGGGTGCGGGGGAGGCGATGAAGGGGATGGAGTCGAAAGGGGGTCCGTTGATGCTGTGCTGTGGTGTTTGGGTTGCGGGGTGTAGCTAGTAATACCGGGAGGAGATTGCATATGTAGTGAGGAGTGAGGAGGAAGTGGGGTGCCTCCCGCCGAGTATGTAGTGGTGCCATTGACAGTATGGGTAGTAGCCTTCATACTAGCAGTAGCCAGTAGCCTTCGGGATCTAGGAGCTGCAGGTTAGATCCCTTAGATGTACAGCTATGTCAAACACCAACAGCAACAGCCTCCTCCCTCGTACACGGGGCACCCCATCTAGATAAGCCTAGCAAGGGCGAGAAGATGGAAGGAAGCGCCTCTCCCGGCTCAAAACGGTACAGCGCGGGAGATGTTCTGCATGGGAGTTGCTGATCCTTTGTCCGGAGAAAAAGGGGGGCGTTTCAGAAGGGGCGAAGCTGAAGTGAATTTTGGGGTAGAGAAGGGATTACTGAGAGGGGGCAGGGAAGGGGCGATGTCATGGTGCTCGATAAGGCGAAGTGCTGCTCGGATCGAAGACCTGTCAGTCTGCGAGGGAGAGCTCACGGCAGAGAAGGGGAAGGGGGGGAGCATGGGTGCTCGGCTCCGGTATGTCTCGGCAATGATCGAGAGGGTGGCGCGTGCGGGCGAGCGCGCGGCCGTGCTTGACTAGGTATTAGTCCCCGCAGCGAAAATAAGAAGCTGGTTGTAGGATGATTCAATCAGGGGCGTAGACTATGCTTCTCGAACTCGGGCAGCTTACTCGGGCAGCCGCTTGCGCTTGCCAAGCAATTCAAGCCTTAGGATCAGTCTCTGCAGTTCCATCGGCAGAGAGTCGGCGGATTGACGATTGACCACGACGTCCCAGATCTCAGACCTTCTCAGATCCAGCGAAACTGCGACTCATTCCTCATCCGGGCGAATCACGTCATGGCATCTACCGAAGCAGGCGCTGAAGCAGGCTTCATGACAGTCGCACAGCACTGGATGAATTGGCCAGGCTGGCTGGTCTTGAACCTGCCCTTGAAGCGCTCGAGTAGAGGGTCTCTGTAGGACTCTCGACCAAATGGAGGTGTACATGTCAGCATAAAGTTACAACTCGATTCCAGCGAATTGAGAGTGGCTTGAATGGGTGGCGCAGATAGTTACGCCGGAATCGGCAACTTATCGCCTACAATTCATTCATGCGTATGCCCGGATCCGCTGCTCGTTCTTGCTCGGGCACGAAGCATATCTTGATCCATGGCGCATCCACTGCCCGCGGCAGCCGGTAGAGTTATGCATCCTATACAGCGGCAGAAGCAGAATTATATTGACGCTCCACATGTCCATGCCGTCATTCAAATTCAGGCACCACCCATTCCGCGCTAGTGGACGCGGACGAGCTGTCAGCCGGCACACGGAGCAAGGCGGAGTAGCATTCGTACCCCTTCTGAAGATCTTGAATGCTCGTCACTCGCCCTCATGTAGATTGCGAACTGTGTGGGCTGATGTCCGCTTTGAGGCATGCATAGTGAAACCTTGTGAGATGTAAGGAATGGTAAAAATGGGAGGAAGTCGTGGTAGATATGGGCTGTAGGTCGAGCTCGAGATGTCAATGTCAATCCTGCCTAGCCTCGCCCCACGCCAGCCCAGTTCTCCCCTACAGCTGCAAGCTGAACCATGCACGTCCTCGCCCACTTCCTTCTCGCCTCCCTTCTCATCATGACCTCCGCCGAGAGCCAGAGCGCAGACTCCCCCCTCGTCCCACCCCCCTTCGCCGGCGCTCCGACCCGTGTCACCCCCGCCCAGCAACAGCGCGCGCGTATCAAGGCAGCCGAAAAGGCCCGGGTCAAAGCGATCATCTCACAGCGGCAGACGAGTCGGAAGAAGCTCAATGGGCGGCGAATAGCAGAGGAGGCGGTGGTACTGGTCAGAAGAGCGTGTACGGCGATTGTCTATGCGGCAAAGACGAGCAGTCCAGTGTACCCTACGTGTTCGAATAGCCTGGGGACGGGATATGCGAGGTATACAGGCTGGTGAGTACTCTCCTCCAGAGCCCCTTGCAGATTGGATGCTGGATTGGGCTGACAAGCAGGAACCTCACAGGCGATGATCTACCCGGTAACCCCATTATGACCTCGGACCAGAGCGAGAAGAGCTGTATCGCCGCATGTAATGCATACAAGACCAATGGAGGTGAGCTCTCATGGCTATGCGCGACTGTACCCCTGACGTGCACTCCCCTTCTTCTCCGAGCTCTGGCTGATATCGCAGATCTCACTTGCGTCGGTATCGGCCAAGCTCTACCCCGTACCGGACTCGTCTGCACCGTCAATCCTCTCACAGCCAGTATCGGTCTCCCGCTCTGCGACTACCCCTGCTACCTCAAGAACAAGTATCTCTGCGAGGGGACATGGACATCGGCGTCGAACTTTGCAGTGGATCTCAAGGGCGGATGTGCGGCTTGGCAGGGGCTGGTACCGACCAATGTGGACTCGACGTGCTGTAACAATTAGGTCACAGTGGTATGCATCCGTAGAGCTCTGTCTCGAGTAGAAGAGTACGGCGGGAGGACCAGTCAAGAAAGGCCATAGCTCGTACCCGAGGGCTAAGGATGTGGCTGGCCTTCGCTGAAAACAACCACGTGCGTCAAGGTATGACGTGAGACTGTCCGTGTAGGATCTCGCGTGGGCATCGTGTTCGGCCTGCATAGCTCTGCATAGCAGCTTGACGCGTAACGTTTGACCGGCAAGGTCTGCTGGAGCGAGATCTGACGGCCGTGCCTCGACCGAGAAGCCGAGACACATTCCTTACGCATCTGAATCAAATTACGGCATCTATGACGTCGCTGATCACCTGTTCAGCTGCAGTGGGAAATTGTATCCTTCTGCGCCGAACTGCGCCCTCGGCTTCCAATCCGCCGGACACTCCGCCTACATGCGTCATCAGATCATCCGAGACATTCTATAACGCCCCGACGAAGCATATGGCATCATGAAACAACGCTCTACCCCCACAGATCCCATCGTTTCCAGCGACGCAGGTCTGCTCATCGCCTGTTTCGAGGCCGGAATGGGCAAGTTGCGGTCAAGTCATGCGGCAAGAGCACCACTCGCCGTCTGTCGGATCCGAGTCTACAGGTTAGCCGGAACGCGGCACGTTCCAGCTGTACCTCATCGTATTACGTCGTGGAAGATTCGCCAGGCCATCAAGCTTACTATGAAACAGGCACCGGGAACACGGCTGGAGCACCTGATCGATCGATACGTCAGCGCGTCAGCAGCACGTTCGCTGTACCGACGCTGTGGAGTAAATGAGCTGTCGGCAGTCGGGGTATGCACGGTAAGCTGCTGCATAGCCATCTCGCGCATCATCGCTGATGAGTAAGCAGGCAATGTGCGAAAGCCTACTCCGAGACACACAGGCACCGGATGTTTCAGGCAGGCGGGATGATCTCTGTCGTCATGGACTCACAGGATGACAGCTGTCCAGGCATGTAGATCATTGAAAAGTGAGCTAGAGAAGATTCCTCAGCCTTTAGTGTAAAGATCGTCCACTCTGCTATGTCGAAGGAGTGCCATGCACCTCGCCCACCTCTTGCTGGCTGTACTCCTCCTCCTCATTCCCCTCGCCCAATGCAGCTCCGTCGAAGCCCCTCCCCTCTTCATCGGTCGCCCCACCCGAGTCCACCCCGCCCAGCAACAGTGCAACCGGATCAAAGCGGCGGAGAAGGCTCGCGTAGCCGCCATCATCGCCAAGCGGCAGACGAGTCGGCAGAAGTTGCTCGCCAAGGAGGAAGGAGAAGAGGCCGTCTCGCTCACTCGCCGCGCCTGTACCGCTATCCACTACGGCCCAAAGACGAGCAGCAGGGTGTATCCTACATGCAGGAACAGCCTCAGGACGGGGTATGCGAGGTATACTGGCTGGTAAGTCTGCGCAGCTCGTCGTGGGGGTTCGGACTGATCAGCAGGGATCTGAGCGGAGACAACCTTCCCAATCAACCCGTATACGTCTCGTACACTTCCGGCGAGAAGGGCTGTGTCGCTGCTTGCAACTCATATAGGACCAACGGTGGTGAGTTTCTCTCTCGCTCCCGACATGGTCTAGGCTGACGAGCAGACTACACTTGCGTCGGCGTAAGCTCTGATCCACCCGACGGCCTCTGCTCCACCGACAATCCTCTCCTACCCCTCTTCCCCCTCCTCGGTATCTGCAACATCCCATGCTATCTCAAGAATCGCTACCTCTGCGCTGGGCAGTGGCAACAGAAGGAGGGCTCGGTGGTGAACCTCAAGGGCGGTTGCGCAGCGTGGCAGGGGCTGGTACCGGCAAATGTGGATGCCGCATGTTGTAACAACTAGAATAGATCAATAGACATCATAGACAACTGTAGGTATAGTATACGATAGAGTCATAGACGATGTATTACTTAGTCAAGTCGGCTTATACGTGAGCTTCTGCACGGTTGACCAACGACGCAATCCAGTCAGCTCGGGGCACGCCGAAGGGGAGGACCGCGACGGGCGCGGACTGTGCGGCCTTGAGCAGAGTTCCCGAGCTCTCGATAGTACTCGCCCGCATCGTCCAGATCCCTTGCGAGCTGGAAGTACTGCCAATGTAGCCACAGTGTCAAGAGGCCGAGCTGAAGACCAGCTGAAGAAAGTCTACGCGCAGCTCAAGCTGCTACTCTCGATCACTCTCGCGTACCCTGGTCACGTGACCTTACGGCAAGCTTCTGTGCCTGGATCGACCCTGACGGTCAAAATAGAACAACAAGCGGAAGTAAACGTAATAGGCAAAAGTGCCACACGAAAGTATCCTTTGCGGGAACAAGGCAAGGAGCACTCATGAGCAGGTGTAGGGACAGGCCTCCCATGCATTCACCCATGTCTTTCACCAGTCCTCGACTTCCCCCACTCCCTCCGTGAAGCCTCTCGCCGTGTGAAGCCAGGAGGCCTAGGTCGCCTGGTCGGTGTTCGGCTCCAGCGATTCAGCAGCGGGAATTAGTGGCGGTTTTACTCGCGCTCGGTCGAAGCATTCGTCTGCTTTGCTCGCTTCTCTCGACAGTCACCTGTCGCCTTCTGGGTGTGTGCAGGCGTCCGACCGCTTTTTCCAGAGGACCACAGGGCGTCGGTCCGCCTCATCTGATACTCTCTTCTGGGCATCACTAGCGTCATGTGAGTTTCTGCCCGTCCTTTTTGTTTCACGTCCGTGGTGGTCGGAGCGGCTTGGTGTGTGGTCCGACACCATCGGGAACGGCGCTACTGCTGGCTTGGGGGACAGGTGGACGTTGGGCGGGCGGGGCAGAGCAGGAGGCAGTCATTCCAAATATCCCTCCTTTGATAATCCCTCAATCCCAATTCCAATCAATAGAGGACTCCTTGAAACAGATCACGGAGCTTGTTTTGTGTTTGCTTCGACCCGAGTGGCGGCGGTGCTAACAGCACCTAGAACTCCCTTCTCGACGCTCTTTACCCCTCGATACATCGCTTAACATGAACCTTTTCGAATAACACCGCGTTGACTTCGGTCCAACATCTACATTCTCCTCTTCTCGACTATCACCCTATCACACATTCGCCTTCACCATGAGCATTCCCACGCCCTACCTTGTCCTTGCCGGACCCTCATCACCTATACTCCACATCGAAACCAGTATTCCCCCATCACCCACCTCAGTACCTGTACCTCCCAAACGCCTTCGCTCATGCCTCTCCCCCTCGCGCCGCCGACCCTCGCCCGGTCCTTTCGGTACCTCCATGTCGATCATCTCCAACGCGTCCACGGATGAGCCGAGCCTCACCTGCTCCTCATCGCCTATGACCAGTCGGTCAGCGAGCTTTTCATCTCAGGATGGAGGGGATTATTGGCGGCGGGGAAGGAACGTGCGCTGGGACGAGAGCGAGGGGTGTGTCTTGGCTGTACGTTGTCCAGCTTGGTACCATTGAGCCCGGCTGACGTTCAGGCATACTACTCTACCTGGTCCGCAGATGACTATGACCGTTCCCCCCTCGAACCTCCCAAGCCAGAAGAGCGCGCGTGCCTCATGCCCGCGCGTGGATCTCGGTGCCTATCCCCCCTCGATTGCTTCGCCGATCTCAACCCTGACGAGGCCTTCTTCCCTCGTCAATCCTACCCTATCGTCGCCGAACCCCTACCCATCGTTACCCTTGAGGCCGCCCCGGCTCTCACTCCAGACAGGGAGGAAACCGACTGTCAAGAAGCAGACGCGGAAGACAAGGAGTGGGAAGAGTGTATGGAGCGGCGGCGAATGATGTTTGCGCAAATGTGCCGTCCTAGCGCACCTGCACATGAGGAGGAAGAGGAGAAGGAGGAGCAAAGACGGTTCGAGGGATATACCAGTATCTCGGCCAGCCTGGTCGCTTTGCTCGCTCAATCGGGGATTCGAGCCGAGGCGCAACATCGGGACGTCGCTACGCCCGTCGGAACGCCCGTCGAGGTGGAAGAGGCGTATGGCGCTTTTGGAATTGGGGGTCGGCCAAAGATGGTCAGGGTGGAACACCGGTTGAGGGTCTCGTCGTTGGTGGAGGATGAGGTGGTCGAGGAGGCTGAGGAAGATGCCGAAGATGTCGAAGAGGACGAAGAAGAGGAGGAAGGTGGGGAGGAGCCATCAGCGGAGATGGTGTTTGCTGCGCTGAGGGCTATGCGCATGGGGCCGGGTAGGGATATGAGGACTGGGGCAGAGGAGAGAGATAGAGTCGACTAGTCATTTCATTTCTTCTGGGCATCCCATGTCATGTCTAGATGGGCTACCTGATTTGTGCACAGTGAGACCAAGAATGGTGGATCAGCACATATTGAATTTCCGGTGCACATGGTCAGTCCCAGATGGGCAGTGAATCACCACAATAGCATAGCTGCATTGACACGGCGTACTCGAGTCCCCCGTCCAGCGCCGCCGAGCCGTCCTGTGTTACCAAGAGCAGAGACTGCCAAGCTCCGCCGCCGCCGAAAATATGGCTGCATGGCGGTATAGGCGGTATATACACGCCGAATGCGTCGCCTTGGTGGATTTCGCCGTGGCGGACCTCGTCGTCTGACTCTGGGCCTGGACCGGCTTCGAGCTGACGCGGACAGGTGGTATGCCTTTCGCTCGGGCTCTGCGGAACAGACCTCAAAAGTTGATCCAGGGCATCCCGTCGATGGTCCATACCGACGGATCAAAGCCGTCGTTGATGAACCCAAAGTGGTTCGACGGCGCCACGTCGTCCCAAGCGGTATCTAAAGCGTCGGCTCATCCTTGGACAGCAGCAACTGTTCCTCAACTCACCCAAGACTTGATAGCCTAACGCATTCGAGATGATCCTATACACCTCTCTCGCCTCCCTAACCTCCCTGCCCACCGTGAACGCAGGCTCCGCAAGTCGCTTTAGCGTCTCGTCCGCCGGGTCCCACTGCTCCTCTTGCCAGTACTGTGCGAGGGTGGTGCAGAAGCTGATGGCGAGAGTGATGGCTCGGGTTGAGACGAGGGGATCGGATGTGCGATATTCGGACGCGATACGGAGCAGGAGGGAGCCGGCATTGGACATGTGATGAAAGGTGTCTACCGGTCAGCGGAGAATCGAGCGTGAGGAAAGAGAGCGTACAAGGCATCCAGAAGCTCATGCGATCCGCCAGGGTCAACTCCGACACCGTCAGGACAGCAGTCGTAGCGGTGGCCAACGCCGACTCGTACACTGTGGCGAGGACGTGCGGCGGGTATTCCCGATCGATGATGTCCAGCTCGATGCGGTGGACGATGATCTTGAGGCCGACTATACACAATTGTAGCGAGCCTACCTGATCAGCGGAGGGCGCATAGCTGTGGAAAGCCGCACTCACGGACTCCAGTAGCGTAGCTTCGTGATGATTGTAGACCGGCAATATCTCCGCGTAACAACGCAGGAGATAGACCCCCTTCCAGAGCATCCAGATCTGAGCGGATCTCATAGAGAAGAGCAATCCGAGATAGGTATCCCATTGGCTTGGTTGCTGCTTTGACAGTCATGAAACCGTCCAGTAGTCTGATATCAGCTCAGAATCAAACTTTGACCTACTTTTCGATGATCGGTACGAGCTGGCAAGTCGCCACGAATGCCTCCATGCTTGCAACTTGATCTGCACTCAAGGTGGTACGCGCAGTCTCGTTGTCCCACTGCGCGTCCTCGATGGTCGGCATGGGTGTAGAGTAGTTGTCGGACGACAGATGGCTAGGCCGACCGAGCAAGAGCGACCGGATCTTGTCGTGGAACAGGGTCGTCCAGAATAGGCGGATGCGGAGTGACCGCTCCCATCGGGGCAATGACCACTGCGATGGGTCGATGTGCAGCCCCAGGACGTGGACAGCACCGATAGCCCGGGAGAGGGCGAGGTCGCTCTGCGCAAAGTTGACGCCCGGTCTGCTGGAGAGAAGGAGCAGGACGAGCTGGATGACGAGCAGTCTGGGCTGGCGGAACTCGGCGTCAATGGCGTTGACGACGTGAGCCCAGATCTGCTGGTGTAGTGGACGAAGACCGGGGATGTAGGATACCGAGTGGGCGACCGCGGCGGCTAGGAGGGCATATGGCGGTCCAGATCCCTCGGCGGAGCGGCACGCCTGCTCGAGCTGAGGCCAATTGACGATGGGGAGGGTGGGAAGGACAGTCTTCTCCAGTCTACGATCAGCGCGATCCTTGTCCCAGGTGTGACTCAACTCACATGACTAGCGCCTGAGAAAGTGTTCCCCTTCCCAAATGCGCGCACAGTCGCGTCACCTTGTCCCACGCCGCCTTACCATTCTCCGGTGCCTGCCCATACTGGAGTGATGGATGTCGGACAAAGTAGACAGGATACCGCTCGTCCGCTGACACTTGCCGAAACTCGACCATACCAGGCCGATTGGGGATGGACTGAGTCGCGGTGTTGATCTCGCGAAGCGTCAATCCCCGAAAAGTACCGGTACCGAGAAAGTGCGACTCGACGCCTTGAGCGGCTTCCAGATCGAGTGAGACGGGGTCCGGGGGTGGAAGGAGCTACATGTCAGCGCCCACCGATCATATCCCAGATTTCACTCACTCCTGCTTGCGCAGCTTCTGGATGAAAGAGGGTCTGCCATATTTCCGGATCAAGCCAGGTTGTCTACCTATCAGCAAAGAGGTTGAGGGATCGGCTAAAACTGACATTGTTGTTCCTTGCCAGAGGAGCCGAAGGCGATGTCGATGCTCCAGGCTGTCGAGATCCGCCATCCATCTGTCCCAGCTCGAAATGCCCGGGAAGAATACCCGGATCCACATCTGGTAGGCTTGATCTCGCTCCATCTCCCCTCCATCCCAGGGCAGGCGTCTGATTTGGCTGTTCCGGCGACAAGTATGGGTCCATATACGCCCCCTCTTGCTCTTCTGCTGCCATAACAGACGAGGATGGACCAGCGATAGCGCCATTCCCAATGCTGCCATCGCCGTTCGCGTTATCGACCGACTTGGCCTGCCGGTGCCGGCGCAGAGGGGGTAGGTCAAAGGTGCAATGCTGCTTCCGGGCTGTACAGCCACCGCAGGGCTCTCCTTCGACGTTGATGATGCAAAGCTGTTTCGATCTCCGGCCTACGGGTCAGCATAGATAGATGTGCAGAGAAAGATAAGGGAAAGCTCACACTTGTCACAAGGCCTGGTGCGGCGGGACCGGTATGCTCTGGACGCTCCGGCTGTCGGGCCAGCGGATGTCTCCATGATGACTGGTGGCTAGTGGTGGTGTCGAGCTAAAACAACTGCTCTCAGTACCAGCTAGACCGACCGACGAAGACGAGAGGTGATTGTAGAACGGCAACAACAACTCGGGCAAGACGGTGCGAAGTTCGGGCTGAACTTGGTTTCGGAGAACCCCTTTCGGACCATTGCCTATGGTATTTTGTCCTTGTGGCACATGGACCCTTGCATATTCTATAACAACTAGACTAGATTCACGACAGAGATGATCAATAAATAACCCAAAGCTGAAGTCGATTCTCCCTCGGACATCCCGACAAAGACCATCTGAAAGTACCCATCCCCAACAGATTACCTCTCGTACCTGTACAAAGGCGACAAGTCCCCCAGCGCTGCCAGCTCGTCCTGCGAGTGGTTGGCGAGGATCTGCTCCTTAGACATCGCCTCGCGCTTGCTGTTCTGCCTGCCGCAGAACCACCAGTAGAAGGCCGGGACGATGAGATTACCGAAGCCGAGGACCGCGAGGGAGGTACCAAAGCCGGTGGGGTAGCGGGCTGGGTATAAGCTGGGTCTCGAGAGTTAAAAGATCAGACTTACGAGCTTCCTTGGCGATGTAGATGTAACTTCCTGGGACACCACCGATGGCGGCAGCAAAGAAGACAATCGAGATGGCAGCGGCACGCTTGGTCTGGCCGGCGCTGTTGAGACCGATCCAGACGGTGAGGGCGGGAGTGAGACAGTAAAGACCGCCAGCGGCAACACAAGTGGCGATGTCTACGGGTCAGTCAAGCCGTGTCGAGACGCTGAAAATACTCACACGACAAGGCGACCAGGTTGGGCAGGTGAACAGTCAGGTAGCAGGTCAGGATACCGCTGAGATGATCAGCCCCGGCTTCTGTCAATCTCTATGAAAGAACTCACACAAAGGCAAAGAATGAAGGAACGATGATGGTGGCAGCGCGGAGACGATACTTGTCGGAGAAAAAACCAGACGCTACCACGCAGATGGAAGCGAACACGTATGGTGGCGCACTGAGTCCCTGGAGGGTCAGCTCTGCGACGCGTACTGATGACAACGCCAGACCTACCTGGGCGTCCGCAGCTGTGAAGCCCATGTTCTTGACGATCGTCGGGAGCGACAACGAGAAACCGTAGAGAGCCATGGTGTTGCAGATGGCAATAAGGCACAGGATCCAGGTGTGAACAGACTGAAAGTCAGCTTTTCGCACTCTTCATCTTGAGCGTATGGCTCACCTTGATAGCCTGGAGAACGTCAGTCCATCGGAACCCATCCTTGCCCTTGGCAGAACCACCTCCGTACATGAACTTGTTACGAAGGTGCAAGAACCGCTTGTCGGTCTCGGACAACCAGCCCTTGGTTTTGGCGGGGGTATCCTGGAGAGTGAAGATGGCGATGAGACCGACGACGAAGGTGATGAGACCTTCGATGACATAGATGAAACGCCAGCCGCGGAAGCCCCAGGTGTAATCGAGCCTGCCGATGCCATAGGCAAGGATGCCGGAGAAGGCGCCAGACCTTGGAGGTCAGCACAATGCAAAGTTCTGACTGCTGCCCAGAGCGACTCACAAGACACCGCCCAAGTAGTAGATCGAGGTCCTTGAGTGAATCTGACTCGGCGTGTACCAGGTGGTCAATGTGTAAGTACACCCGGGGTACATCCCAGCTTCGAAGGCTCCGAGGACTGAAATCAGCATAGTTCGTGCCTAAGGACAGAGCACTCACGGATTCGAAGAGCAAACCAAGAAGCACGGTTGTTGCAGCAACCCGCACCGATGAGGATACCACCTACGCACATCAGGAGCGTGGGAAGCACTATCTTTGGGCCAAAACGCTTCACTAGAAGGTTGGAGGGGAGACCGAAGCAGGCGAAGGTGATGACTGAGAGTCAGCAGATGTCATGGGAAAAGAAACAAAAGTACAGACACAAGAGGGAGAGACCGATGTTCCAGTCGGTATCGCTCAGACCAGTATCTAATAATCAGCCTCATTGCTCTAGGATCTAGCCGCTTCCCAGCATGGGAGAGATAGGTAGGCAGAGCAGTGCGTGGGAAGATCGAAGAGATGGGCAGGCAGGGAATTGCGGGGGAAGATCGGACTTGTGACACATACCGGTTTGGGCACCGAACAGACGGGCATTACCGACATTGGCACGATCAATGTAGGACACTGATCAGTCAGTACAAGTAGATGGGTCAGGAGTATAAGGTCTATCAGTAGCTGGGTGGCGACTAGGCGTAACAGCCAAAATCGTGGCAAGACGGAAACAGCAGAAATCGAAGACGGAACTCACACATGTAGATAAAAATCAGCTGGGGGACAACCCGGAAGTCGATGGCACGCTGAGGTGATCAGCTCAGCGCTCATTGATGCCCGTAGCCAGAGAAAGGCCCGACTCACTGTGAGCCGCTTCATCTTGTCGCCAGTATACTCCTCCGCCAAGACGAGGTACTCGGCGTACTCGGGATCCTCATTCTCATGGTCGTCATGCACCTTGGTTTGGGCGATGCTCTTCTCTCCCGAGTATTGTCGTTCCAGGTCGGACATGATGGTAGATGTATGCTCTTGAAGGTGTTGGGGGCATCGTTCTCAACTCGAGCAGTATAAGTACAGTCGAGCAGGTGATTGTCCTTGCCCGCGGTGGCCCGAACAAGTACCGGCCCGATAATAAGTGAACCAAATACCAGTCCCAAAGAGGAAATGATAAGCTTGTCTTGCTGTTCCCCTCGGGGAAGGCGGGGTAAGGGAAGGGGGAGAGGGCGATAGCCTATCACATGACTTCGGGCAAGAGACCTTGCTCGGACTCCGGGTAGCTCTCTTCGGACCTTGTCGAGGCGACCAGACATGCACTGTGCGGAGTATCCACGACGGTAGAGCCGGCTGCCCGAGGGCAGTTGATGCTCGCGGCCTCAAGATACGATGAGGTCGAAGAGCCGGGCTATCTTGCTCTTGTCACTTGCCCTCCACTGGCCATCACACACTCAGAGACTCTACCCTCATCAAAAACCCGCTATCAAGTCTTATCCAGAGTATCATCCACCATGTCCGATTCCTTCGACTACGCAAAGGCGTTCCCCAACCCGCCTGTCGTCAGAGACGCTCTGTAGGTATCATACCAGCTCATCTTGCGAGCCCAGAGCTGACTCGCAGTCTTGCCGAGCTCAATGTCAAGCCCTGGCTCACTCAGACCCACGAGAGCTTCTACCTCATCAACGCGACCATTGTCGATGCTGCTGGTGGCAAGCTCATGGACGGGGAATACGCCATCAGGGTCGAGAAGGGCGAGATCGTCTCGGTGGACGCGCAGAAGGGTGCTCGGCTCGACAATGGCGTCAAGCAGATAGACGTGAAGGGGAAGTTCATCTGTCCTGGATTGATTGATGCGCATGTGCATGTCTGCGCTGTACCTGGTGTTGCTGTAAGTTTTGTCTGCCTCTTGCGTTGACACTGCTGACAATTAGACCATGGGAGATATGGTCCGTCTCAACCCTCAAGTCGTCACCCTCCGCTCCACCTATATCCTCAAGGGCATGCTCCAGCGTGGCTTCACTACCGTCCGCGACACCGGCGGCGCTACCAAGTTCATCGCCAATGCCATCTCGGAAGGGCTCATCGAGGGTCCCCGGCTGTTCCAGTGCGGCAAGGCGCTTTCCCAGACCGGCGGGCACGGCGACCTTCTCCCGGGCCAGTCCGGCGGAGACGGCACGGGCTGCTGCGGAGGAAACCACGCAGCTTATGGTCGTACGGCGGACGGCGTACCGGCGTGTCTCAAGGCGGTACGGGAGGAGCTGAAGCAAGGGGCGGACTTTATCAAGATCATGCTGGGTGGAGGTGTATCGAGTGAGACGGACGCGATCGACACGATCCAGTACTCGCCTGACGAGGTCAGGGCGATCACTTCTTCCGCGTGGCAGATGGGCAAGAAGATGGTGAGTCTTCCCTTTCGTTATGATGCTAAAGCTGATATCCAGTGTACCGCTCATGCCTACACTGCAGAGGCGATCAACCACGCTATCGATAATGGAGTCAAGGGGATCGAGCACGGAAACTTGCTGGATAAGCCTACAGCTGAACGGTATGTTTCCCCCTCGAATTGGCATGTCCGAGCTGACCCTTCAGGATGGCCAAAGAAGGCGTCTACCTCACCCCCACACTCAGCTGCTACGGTATCATGCTTCGCAAGCCATTCGAAGACTTCCTCTCTCCCGACTGCCGCGACAAGTCCGTCGAGGTCATGCAGGACGGCCTCACTGCTCTCAAGATCGCCAACGAAGCTGGCGTCACTATCTGTTACGGCTCCGACCTTCTGATCTCGATGCAGGCTCTTCAAACAGGTGAGTAGTGCTCCTTGCAGCGTTGAACAAAGCTGACGTGCGCAGAGGAGTTTACGGTCCGAGCCAGTGTCATCGACTCCCCTACCCTCCTCAAGCAAGCTACCATCAACCCCGCCAAGATGCTCAAACAAGAAGGACGTCTCGGTCTGATCGCCAAGGGCGCTATCGCTGATATTTTGGTGTTGGAGAAGAACCCATTGGAGGACATTACGGTGCTGGACAGGCCAGAATTGTACCTCAAGGCGGTGTTCAAGGAGGGGAAGTTGTACAAGGGAGATCTGTAGATGGACATCTCATTCTGTATCTCAAATGCATAGTCATCGGTCCAGCACCCATCGTCCCTCCCATAGCTATGGCTCCGCCTCTGTTGGTCTCGCTGGCGTGCCAGCCAAACAGCCGGACGGCCAGGCCCCCTCTCAGAGGCTTCTCAGAGGCCTTATAGACATGCTATGCACTCAATCTCGAATGATGCACCGTGAGGTAACCGAGCAGGAGCGACGCAAGTCCGAGCAGGGGTGGGGACATCCTGATCTGCGAACCACTGCAGAAGTCAGCCCTACCCCAGCCTGGCTGCTATCATCGCCTAGCGCAATCCAATGAGACATACCTTGACGTATACCACATTCATCCTGTTAAAGTTGTCCATATCCGCCAAGTAGATGTTGCACTTCCCAATCTTGTTGACACCGGACCCCGCGTGGCCCAAGATCATCTTGATCTGCTCAAGAGCCGTGAGCTGAGAGAGGTCAGACCCGCTAGCCGCGTTTGTAAATGAAAGGGGGAAGGACCCACAGCAGCGCCCTCGATCTCGCCATCACCAGTCTGGCCAGAGACAAAGACGATGTTCCCCATGATAGTCGCCGGGGCTGCGGGTCAGAGTGTGCCAAGTGAGTGACCCAGGAGGTAGGGTTCTTGACTTACTAGCATGTTTCGAGCCGGGGTATTCCGGGTTTCTGATGTACTGGATGGACATATTGCGCTCAATATCTTGAATGAAAGAGAGATGACTGTGAAAGCGCAGGTCATTCGGCCGCTTCATCATATGGCTCTGGATCTGATGTCCCCTGGGTGGACCTCCATAACCGCCGGCTACGGCTCGAGTCGCCGGAGATGTCCGTAGTGGGGAACAGAACTGCTGCCTTTCAGGACTGGACTCCCGGGTCTATATGGGCACATGTAGCTTGCGACAGGAGACAGCTCAGCAGACGGGCGTAATCTGCCGCCAGGAAATGGACTCGCAGAGTTTCATCCTGCCAGCCTGCCAGGCGCCAGGCAGGTGGCTCGGAACCCCAAGCTCCGCATTCCTCATTACGGACAAACTTTATCGATCTAGCTGGATGAGAATTTGGCGCGAAACCTATATATCCGCCAAGTCACCCGGATAATCCGCGGACTTTTTCCTATGTATAGCCGATACATCCGCCGACTTTCAGCAAGACCCGCCAACTCTCCCAATTAATCCGCCGACTTCTTCAATCGCTATTTCCCGCTCGCCATGCATAGCTGCAGCTCTGGGACTCTACAGGAGGATATAACAGTGTCGTGCAAGCCATGGAAAATTGTCCCCATGCGGCTGGCACGCGCACATGCGTGACAAATCGCGAATGAAAATGACACTGCTATCAGCCTGTCATGGCCCGATTTGGTCCGCTTCTTGGCTTACCTGCAACCTGAGCATCAGATCTGACGGCTCTGGTTTGCAATAGAAGGGTCACTGAGTACAAAGAGACCTCCTGCAGGACCCGTACAGTCCAGAGCGATCGCAAGGCAGCCCTAGCGGCCGGTTTATGGCCGTGCCACACCCAAAATCGACAAGGTCCTCCTGCCACACATTCCTCAGGCCACGTGGCACTCAACAGCTTAGATTCAGCGTGCTTTCGCCGCTCCCCATACGGTTAGTCAGGCCACTAGGGATACTCCATAGGCACTGATGTCCTGGCTGCCATGTAGCAAAGTTGTACTGGGGCGGGTCCAGGCTGCAGAAGACTACAGACAGATATCTGGGTCTGAGATGACGTCAGACTGCTCACTGCTGCGCGAATGTGCCGGATTAGAGGGGTGCCATCCTGCGGTACCTTACCTTCTGGGAAGACCTACACAAGGAGGGATCGCGATAATGCTGGCTACAGCAGCTGCCAGGAGAAAGTATAGATGATGTGCCTGAAAAATGTAGTCATGAGTGGAGATTAAGGCAGAATTTTGAGGCTGTCTTTGGGCGGAGCTCCACGCCTCTGGCGGGTCCCGGAGTGCTCCTGAACAATTTTCCCGTACTCTATGCTACTGTCCCTACCATATCTAGGAGTTTCACGATCCTAGCTATGCACGACGAGTGGGAAATAGCGATTGAAAAAGTCGGCGGATTAATTGGGAGAGTTGGCTGATTCACCGGACATGCATATGAAAAAGTCGGCGGATTATCCGGCTGACTTGGCGGATAAATTGGACACGCGAATTTGGCTCGCTCCTCTTCCTCTCAGCCGACCCTTCGATACACATCAGCATCATCGTCCCGCACATCCGTCAGGCTACCATGGTCAAGGCCAAGCAAGGCAAATCAGCGGCTCCATCTGCTCGCGCCGGTCCCCCTCTTCCAAACCGAGATGTCTTTCACCGTATCAATTTTGCACATCAAGCCGCGGCGTTCTTGCAGCAGCTTGTCCCAGCGTCTGGCTCGGGACCCAGCGTACGCGCTGGTCCATCGAAGAAGAAGAAGGCAGGGCGTGGCAGTAATGGGCGAGGCGAGACGGAGCGGGGAACGGTGCCGGAACAGGCTGTGACGGTCGAGGGAGTGGAGGGAGAGAAGCAGGACAGAACGGTCGAGTGGGGGCGACTTGCCAGGAAGGGGACGAAGGAGATGAAGAAGATGGCTGTACATACCCAGATCAAGCTGTGAGTGTCTACCTTGGCTTGAGGGTTGGATGAGCTGATAAATAGTGACCCCTCGATCAAGCGCGCTATCTGTAAAACATGCTCGACGGTATTAATTCCCGGTCTGACTTGCAAAGTCCGCAATCGACGTGAGTACATACTTTCTGATAGTCCCTAGCGTTATCTGTGGCCGCAGCTGACAACGCAGCGAGCAAGACGCATACTCACAAGACCCACTATACCTGCCTCGCCTGCCAAGCTATCCGAAGCATCCCGAACCCTCCCATTCTCGATGCTTTGTCCGCTACCTCTACCTCGGACTCGAGCCCTGTCGTCGCAAGTAAGCGACAACCAGCAAAGATGGCGTTCCATGAGAGGGAGGAAGTGGCGGATGATGCTTCGCAGAATGGAGGAGGGCAGAAGAACGGACAAGTGGACGGCAAGAAGGGGCATTTGCTCTGGCGGGGCGATACGTGCCTGAGCGGTTGGGGCGCTGTCCCTACCGAGGCCGAGGCGGAGGGAACCAGCGCGACCTGATCTCCACCGGCAATCATACATCGTATACACCCCCCACGGACTAGGCGTCCATACCGAATTCAAACCCGCTTCTCCTCCTCTCCGACCTTCGCTTCTCCCGCCCGCTTGGCGCCCTCCGCCACGGCCTCCCCCTGCTTCTGTCTCTCCTGCCAACACGTCGGGCTCCCACAGAGACACAAAACACACCCCACGCCATACCCGCAACAGAACCACCGGTTCCACCAGACCGGTCGGCCATCCTTGTTGGACGCGTCGGCGGGGTTCCAGCTGTCGTATGTGGATTTGACGAGGGGAGCTTTGGCGGTGGGTTGGGCTGTGATGTTCTCTGAGGGTCTGCGGGTCAGCAGAGTTCTCAGAAGAAGATGGGACGGGGATGGACGCACACTTGGGGAGTAGGGTTGATGGCGGTATTGGAGGACGAGGCGGAGCTATCGGGGCTCTGGGCCGACAAGGGGGCGAGCAGGCCCGTCTTCGTACCGAGACTGTACTGTCAGTCATTGCTAGGTCAATCGGAGGGATTCTGGCATGCAAGAGGTGCAATAGGACTAGACTAAAAGATGCTCTGCTACTCACTTGGCGTCGTGGATTGGCGTATACGAGGGAGGCTGTCCGTCAGGAGAAAGGGGCGGGGCAAGCGTAGCTTGCGCCTGAGAGGGCTGAGCAGTAGGATGGTCCATCGTCAGTAGAGTCAGTGTCAGCTTGAGGGTCTTGTCAGCTCTGTTGTAGGTATAAGACGGAGGCGCGGGCGAAAGTGAATAAAAACGACGAAGAGGGAACAGTGGAAGAGATCACAAAGCTGCACAATTGAGAACAGCGGAGCGAGTCCAGGGGACCCGGCTCGAGCTCTTCCAGTCCCTTTGTGCACAGCTGAGCGCTGCTGTCGAGGAGAAAGGAGAGTATATTCTCTTTGTCCCATAGTCGAGCCGCTGGGAGTGGCGACCCGGACGTGGCTGGTTCGCGCAACAGCTAGCTTCGAAGCGAGATGCACCACAATCGTTAACGTCCGTAAATCTCGCATACAACCATTACCTCGTATCTGTCCCACTAGACCCCCTTGCCCGAGTACCTCCGTCTTCTTCTTCCCCACCAGATCAGCCCCGCCACCAACACCAAAAATGCCAAACAGCCCAGTACAATCCCTGCGATAGCTCCAGCGGGAAGACGATTCCCGCATGGTAAGGCCGCATCGCATGGCTGACCCGAGGGGATCGAATAGGTCCCGGCTTGGACGTTGACGTAGTAGGGGTCGGGCGAGGATGAGTTGGCAAGCTAGATTATAAGCTCACATTCATCACCAGGCAAATGAAGGCATAAGCTTACCTGCATGGCAGCTATACCGGGAATGGCAGCATTGTAGTCCAACGCAATTTCTGCCTGAACCCAATCATCCCTCCAGTCCCAGTACAGGTCATTTGCGAGCGGTCCGCCGACCACCGCGCCGTATAGCGTATGTATGTTCTGGGGAGGGTTGGTGCGAAGGTTGGTGAAGCCTGTTCCGCCCGACGCTGGGGCCGAATGCGGGTTCTTAGGCGAGTTGGGATGAGAGCCGACCATGTAGACAGCTAGACAAGTAAGCTCCGAGGGCCCAGCGACATCAGCTCAAAAGCTCACCATTAGCGGGGTTCTTGCCCATGACATAGTCGATCTGGGTTTGCGCAAATGCCTACTTTGTCAGCTTGGTTCTGTGTCATAGCGTCAAAAGGCTCACGGTGTACTGATTCGACTTGTCGATGCTAGAAGCCATAGGAGCGTACTTTAGCAGCAGCATCGTGAACGCCAGAGCTGGATTCAAACTGGCAAAATCGGAATCTCCTCTCCAAAGCTGCAATCCAGCTAAAGAATCAGCTTAGTCCGATGCCATCGCAGACGAGTTAGCTGTCACTCACCTCCTGTCCGGTAGGTATTGGTCGTTTGGCCATTGATCACCCTGTCAAAGTAATTCTCCGCCTCACGCTGCCATCCCGTCTCATTCACCGCGAGTCCTGCTCCCCTCGCCAAACTCGGGTTCGCCCTCGCCGCCTCGACAAACAGGACAAACACAGCTGGGGTCTTGCTGTCCCAGTTGTAGACAAAGCTGGTCCCGGTAAGGCTATATCGCCCGTACCATCTATACGCGTCCGCATAGTACCGGGACTGATTGGTTGCGAGAGCGAGCGAGAGAGCGGCAAGTGCCATGTCGTCTCCCCATCCGCTGGAGCCATATGCACTCGCGACGGCCGGAATGGAAGTGGCGAATGATACTTGCTTGGTGGTATTGGCGACGGTGTATAGCCGGGTAGCGTGGTCCAGGAGTTGAGCGGAGTAGGTGGTATTCGATAATGATGGGTTCGCGGGTTGTTGTGACGAGGCGAAGGGGGAGTAAGTCGCGTTGGAGTAGAGCAGGGAGGCCATGGCTAAGGCAGCGGAGCTGGCAGCCCAGACATCCGTACCTGGGAAAGAGGAGTTGACGGGGAAGGCGGGTCGAGGAGTTGCGATGTTCCGGTCTCCTCCCCTTCACCGTCAGCTTACGCCCTTGACCTCCGAAGAAGGTGCTTACCAGTACGAATTATCAATGTCTGAGTCACCGACCTGGACGAAGAGGACGTCGTCAGAGGGATGAGCCTGATATCAGCGCATGATCAAGCCTAAAACGCCAGTATCTCACCTTCATTAACCAGTCATATCCCCATCTCAGCGTTCCGTCCAGATAGGCCGTCTGAGAGGCTATCGAGTAGCCTTGACCATGCGTCAGGGCGGACCACGAAATAGCGAAGAGAGTATGAACAAGGGGGAAAGTCGCCTTGATGTACTGCAAAGTCAGCACGGCCCTCTTTTCCGTCCGCCCGCTCCATCGCGCAGTAGCACGCCGTGGCCCCTTGTACACTTAGACTCACATCGCCAGCATCATACCACCCGCCCGTCAGATCCACTCCATAGTCACTCCCATCGTTCAACGCCGAGTCGTTCCTCCACGCCACCCGATTCCCGTACGTCCCCTGATCCAACTTCCCGGACCTCTGGGCGTCAAAGAAGTATAGCGAGTTCCCCAGGACGTTCGCCCATTGGGTATTGGGCGTGCTGCTGGACTTGGCCAGACCGGCAGTTGGCGATGGTGGAGCGTAGGTGGGCGACGGAGTGAGCTGGGCCGAAGAAAGGAGGGGGAAGGCGGCCAGGAGGGTGAGGAGCTCGACGAGCTGCGTTGGGACCATGATGGCGGGATCCTTCTTGACAATCACTGGTAGTGGACGCCCTGGAGCAGTCGAGAACGCGGAGGAGGAGCTGCTGGCTTCGAGCTTCGAGAAAAGTCAACTGCCAAGACCGATCAACGCGATGTCAAACGTCAAGCGGCGACTGGTCAGGGTGGGCGGTATATGCTTTGGCGTACCGCACCACAATGGAGCAGTAGAGAGCGCTCTGTACCGTGTACCCTACCGACGAGGAGCGAGGGCCTGCTGAGTCTCCTTATAACTGATGATGTAGAGTCAAACAAGAGATGGATGGCCGTTAAAGGTCGCGCGAAGGTGGATCTTGTCGATCTTTTTAGACCCTGCAGGCCCTGAACAGGTCCGAGACATCCCGCTCATCCCATGCATGCCCAGCTCTCCCTCTTGTACATACAAGAGGACTATCGATGAGCGCTAGGGCGGGGGTCCCTCGCCCCTCGGACTCGAGGGGTGAAGCAAGGGAGGAAGACACAAAGAGCTGATATCGCGAATTGCGCACTGACCATACCTGAAACGCACTGACGCTGTGTGCTCCTCTTGTTGTCGTCCGGGTCCGTCGAGGAAGCTCTGGCTGACTTCTGATATTGCCTTTCACTTCGCTCATATACATATACACACTGATCATCACTCACCGCTTACCATCATGGCGGCGCCCCCTCGAATGCTGCTCCTCAACGGAGGCGGGAATGAAGCTTTCGTCGCCCTGCCGACGACGTATGATGTGAATTGCCATTCGAGGTTGGACGAATCTCGCGCTGACTTCGCAGAAAGCTGTTCAAGCGGCCGCAGACAAGTTCACTATACCCAAAAATGACATCCGCCTCTCTTGCGCCGCAAGCGATATGCCCTGGATCGGCGCATACGTCAACTCGCCTCAAGTCTTCATGTGAGTTGTAGATATCGGTTGACGTCGATGCCTCCTGGGATCACAGCTCACATTCGCAGCACCGACAACGACTCGTACTACTATGCCTGCGCCCAAAAGGCTGTCGTCCGACTCACCGTCATCAACGTGGGTGCACTTGCGGCCGCCGCGAAGGCAGCAGAGGAGGCGGCAAAGAAGGCGACCTAGTGCTGATGGATGCGTAGCTGAAGGCTGGTGAGGCGACTGCCGCGGCTCCTGCTACTGGAGGAGGGGCGCCAGCTAAGGGCGGTGCTCCCGCTGGCGGTGGAGGGGGAGGAGGTACGCTACTCCATATCAACATCATGTATCTTGCTTATAACTCAGCTGCCCCTGCCAAGGCGGAGAAGACGGCAGAAGTTAGTTTGACGTGCGAAACAGCTGCTGGAAAGACTGTTAGCATGAGCGGAACCGTCGCAGGGTATGTCCAGCTGAAACTTCACAGTTAAGGTGGGCTGACATTGCAGAGATCTCGCCAACGGACCACCAGCAGGACGTGAGTTGGGTTCTCAGACCACTGACTTGAGTAGGAAGCTGATCTTCAGAATATCTAGGCACGCTGACCGTAGAGGTGGATATCTTCTTTCGCGAGCTCCAGGCCAATGTTCAAAGCTGACGTCCCAGGACAAAACCGCAAAGCAAAAATTCGTCGGCAAGGCACTCGGCCCCAACGATATTCTCACCAAGTGTAAGCTGCGTACTGTTCGGCAATCGCGGACCTATAGCTGACGGCCTAGTCGTGATACATGATCAAGCCACCGCCCGGCTTCTCTGCCGACCCCGATCCATCCAGCCCAAGCTCGACATTCTCTCTCGGACAGACACCGGTGTAAGCTGGTGGTTGTCGACTAACGATGAGGACGTAGCTGACGACTTTAGGTTGAAGTGTCATACTCCCTCACAGACTGGCAGGTCCTCACAGCGTACCCCATGACCAGTCTTAGCAGCGAGTCTGGGCAGACTCGGATCCGGTGGTTTGCGCAGGTCGGAGCTGGAGGGAGAGTGACAGACCTGTTGACTGGGACGGAGAGCAGTGGGCTCTTCATGGACATACTGTGAGCTGTCGGTGACTGGTCTGTGCATAGTCTAGGCTCGTAGTTCATACTGTAGCCCAACATCGAAGCCAGCACCGGCCGCGGTCGAGCCAGAAGGTCCGCTATTACCTGGTGAGCTTACTCCCCTCATTGTGTCCATGGAGAGAATCAGCTGACGTACCAGCATGGCCGGATATCCGCCCCATCAACGCCTTCTGTCTGCCTCAGTCCCTCTTCATCCCGCACATTGACCGGATCCTTACCGCCCTAGGGGTCCCCGTCGAGGGTCGGACCAGCATGATCACCAGCTGGCTTCCGAGCCTGATGCGACACAAAAACATCGTCAGTCTACGGAAGCATGTCACTAGCGCCAGTCTCCAAGCACTGACACCCTAGGCCTATCGACTGCTCAGCCCCGCCCAGCTCGAGCCGAGCATATCTCTGCGGATCATCCCGCCTCCAGAGGTCCTCGTCCGGATCTTCGTGAGCTTCCCACCCCATGAGATACGGCGCGTTGAGCTGATGCGAGCAGGTTCTGTTCCGAGGTGTGCCCGATGCGGAAGTGGGGGAATGGCACGATCGAGGTCTGCTGCACGCTGAAGCTGGTCTGGACTGGAAAGATGCGTGAGTCAGCTGTCACGAGTCCTGGAATCCGTGTGAAAGTAGCTTTGGGCCGCAGCTGAGATGAGCAGTATCGGGTGGGATGTCAATGTCGGCGACGAGTCTAAGTTCAGGGTCATTGAGTACGCGTTCATGTGAGCTGAGCCTGCGAGAAGATCGTCGACGGTGCATCGAGCTTAGAGCTGACGCATCAGGGAGGTACACAACTAAGGTCAACTCGTTACATCTCGTCTGTCAAGAAGATGTTTGGGAGTGGAGATTGTCATCAAGAAGGCCGGCGATGTACATACATGCTGTGTCTTCTCATGGTTGTACCAATCCGTCGCATCGTGCTGTACTGACAGACACTCACCACAAGAGCACGTCCACCATGAGCGGAGGCATGAGGGCTCTGGCAGTGTGAGCACGCCCATATAGGGGCGGTCTTCGATGGATCTGGTGCCGCTCCGTGCTCTGCGATACTTCAAGGTAGTCTCGGTAGCCTTCCGTGTTCCCCAACGAGATCCCCAGGATTGCGTGGACCGATCGCGCACCGTAGTCTTCACGCGATAGGCCCTACTTGGTACGGCGTCGATCATTACAAAGGACGATCATCGAAGCCACATCTCGCAAAGGCGCTCTTCTCGCAATATCCCAAGATCCTGATCGTTCTGTCGATCCCCACGCTATAATCCTTTATCCTCAACGCCTTGATCAGAAGAAGCGATGTCAGATGCCAAGGTATACGGTCAGCTTTTTGACGATCGAAGCACATCAGCCTGCGCCTCCTTCTCGCTCGCTTGCAAGTAGCTTCAGTGGGCGTATGGCGCCTTCCAGCGAAGGTTAGCCAAGGCCAGCAATCAAGCAGGATCGACAGTCTAGCCAGAAGGTGCCTATATAAGTCTCGCTTTCGTGTGAGTGGCTCAGCATCATCAGTATCCCCTGACCACTTGTACCAAAGTCTCTCCCATCCAGCGATCCACACTCCGAGGCTAACATCCATATTCCCACCCCCAGTCTACTTGTGCCCCCCCGTGCTGCCATGTCGTCTTCAACCACCACTGCGGACACCCACCCGCCGGCCGACCCCATCAAGCGCCGGTCCAGCTTCTCCAGCGACGACTCCTCCTGCCCCGGCCCCATTGTCGGCTCGGACAGCTATCGCCGCCGCACCCTCGCCAACTTCATTTCCTTCCTGCAAGACACCAACGACGCCGCATTCGAGCAAGCTCCAGGCCCCACCCGCCCCACCCGCCAATTCCAGTTCCGCACGATGCGCGGCTCGGACGATGTAGAGGACAGGGAGAGCGAGGTGTTCGGGCAGCCCAGCGCTCAGGGTCTGGAGGTGATTTTTGACGGGGAGGGGACGAGGTACTGTACGAAGCGAGGACCGGAGTCCGAGATGGAGCCGGACAAGAGGCTTGATGTGATTGCGCGGAGCATGTCGGGTCCGGATGTGGTGTGGCTGACTCAGGTAGGGACGGAGATGCAGGAGGGCACGGCGACGAGGGAGGATTGGGAGGTGGCGCTCTTAACAGTCTTCCGGGGGGCGTACGAGCGGAAGAAGGGGTCCGTGGGCGGTGTCTGGTTTGAAGAGCTGCCCCGCGCCAGCATGAGCGCTCGATTTGTGGAGGGACGAGCGGAACGCAGGTGTTCCGGTATTACACTGACCTTCCGCCCTAAGGTCGCCGCGCCGAAGTGAGGTGTATGGGTGGCAGGGGCGAGAAGTGGCCGTCGAGGCTAATGAGGCATGAGGCAGATTGTGTATATACAGTATATGCACATATCGGTTTTGGTACATAGCGAGCCGAGACCGATCAGGACGAGAAAGGGTGGGCGACGAGCTCGCGGTACAGGTCCTCCGGGATATCCTTGACGAGCGCGACCGTGACGCCGATGATTGGCCGAGCGTTGAGGGGAGGGAAGGTACGAAGGAGCTTCATGGGCCTAAGGAGTCAGTTCCTACCCTTGACCTGTATGTCCGAAAGTCGGGGCAGCTACAACTCACGATGGCGAGTCCATAATATCCTGTCGAAGAAGGAGGAGCTGAGCGATGACGCAGAGAATGTTGAGGTGGACCCCGAAAGCCAGTAGGAAGCTGTGAGATCGATATCAGCTGTGGTCTTTGCTATGCGCAAACAAGACGATCAGCTTACTCCCATAGCTGCAAGACTTCCTCTAATGGCGGTGTACAGGCGCAAAGGGTCAGAACCGCTAAGGAGGTTAGCCTGATACTGTACGCTTCGCCAGTAAGAAGACGTACAGGGGAAGGCATATAGCTCAGCAGAAAGGTTCTTGCTCCTCAAATGATCGAAGAGTTCTGGGTCGACTATCTTTAGGCATTGATCCAAGAGCTGTGGTGTCAGCTTGACCTGCTCAGCGGTGCGATGAAGGCTTCAGCTTACCTTCAACCCTTTGTGTACCCCTACGAGCGTCGGTTGGACATACAGAGGACAGCTCTGCTCGATGAAGGTGGAGAAGCAAGCAAATGCTTCGAGCTGGGAGGGGAGAGTGAACAGGAAGGGAGCCGAGAGGACGTTCATGCCTATAGTGGTCAGCTCCGAGCTGTGCTTCGACGACACGTTCAGCTCAACTGACCCTGGACGTAAGTGAAAGGCAGTCCATCCCTCTCGGAGCCTACTATATCAGCACCTTGTACACACCGGGTCCCAGCTCTCTAAGCTCACCGTGATTCTTCCAGACAAACGCCTCAAGAAGCCTGATGAGCATATCCTCCTTGACCTTCCCCTTGAATTGCGTATCCGTCGCCAAAGTTCGGAATGTATCGTTCTTGACTGATACTGTAAGCTTTATTCCATCCAGCTCTCGATCTTGAGTCTGGGGGGTATAGCTCACTCTTTGTACTGACGGCCGAAGGACCCATCGTTACCCATCTAAGGTATTCGTCTGCATTGAGAGAATCGATTTTTAGCATGAGCTTCCATATACGGGGTCGAAGGGGTGGTCTACCAGGCTAAGTATGTCAGGTCCTGCCGTCATGGAGATTTGCATCCAATCATTGCAGCCGCAAAGCGTCCTCATGTCGACCGCCGTCGCAATCCCGATCACCGTATCTTCTCCCTCGAACTGCAGCTGACTCTAGTCTGGACTTACCACCTCAGGGATACCTTCGGTCAGGACTATCCGCCTGATCCGTTTCAGACCATCAGAGACCTCCGAGTGGCTGCGATGCCTGCCCCATGATGCCGTGGGCGTCAAGAGCGCGAGGAGCGAGTCGTACACCTGCGTCGGGGTGGACATGGATGTCGAAAGGGTAGGGACGGTATCGGAAAGCTAGCTTCGGCGGCTAGTAGCTGATCTGTGCCTGCTCCGCGGTGACTACAGACTGTATTCTCAGCCGCTAGAGGCTTAATTTGAGTGAAAGGAGTCCAAATGAGAAGGTTCGAGCGCTCGACGCGTTTGTTTTGCTGTTTGAGGAATGAGGAGTTGCCTACACGTGGCTGATTTCTCCTGTTGTTGTGCTCGTGCGGGAAGACTCAGGCAACGGCTTCGCTACAAGGTCTCATCGAACGGCATCCAGCCTCTACACCTTTCTGATCCACAGAAACAGCTCGTCCGCCTTTCCCCGGCGACGTCATCCGCTACCTCCGACCCCTTACTCCCCTTCTGTCCATCCGCTATCGATCTCCCAGACCCCGAGGCGTTCCCATAGTCGAACGTGAGCTCTTCGTCGGGGGCGATGGATCTCTTTGTCTGTCATACCTATCAGCTTGGTCCCTCTCGTATCAAAGAAGGTAAGAAGAAGACTCACAAAGATCGCTGCTCGAGGCCAACTCCCTGCTCCCCACCTGACCACCTGAATCACGCAGTTCGGATCACACGAGTGATTCATGAATCTGCCGATGTTGCCATACCGTCGAGGGTCGATGTGAAGTACCAGGCCTGGCTCACGGAGGGTGAGAATGTAGTTCCCCTCTCCCTCCTCGGCTTTGACTGCGGAGGACCAGCGGGAGCGGGCCTGCGAGGTCGTGAGGTATTCACCGGCGTATAGCGAGACGAAGCTTCCTCGTGGCAGATCGCACGAGGTAGATGGGGAATAGAAGAGGCAAAGACCGGCTTGAGGGACAGGGCGGATGGTGAGGGGGACGCTGGGATTTCAGCTGTGGCCTTGGGACTGGATACAAGAAAGACCTACCGTACCCCTCCTTGCGTCAGTCGGTTTCCGCACGTCCTCGCGCATAGGCAGTCCGGAGAGCATTCCACCAGGGGCCATCGCTCAGGCAGAGCGTCCAAGTTGAGCAGCTGCTCTAGTAGGCCGCCCGGAGCTTCGAGCGTGTCGCTGTAGAAGTTGCCTAGATCACGATCAGCTTTGGTTCCCGATCTGCGAGAGCGGCTACTTACCAAAGTCACCCACGCATTCACAAGAAGCACCATCTGCGCGTGTGCAAATGCTACCTCGCGCCTCTCCCACTTCACAGTCGCATCCGCCTACCTCATCTCGGTCGGAGTCTTCGTCGTCCTGCAGACCGCTCGGGGGTCTAGCTAGAGATATAGGCGTTCCGTCAGGTAGGACGCTATCTGTGATGTACTGCCAGACATCAGCAATTGACTCGTTTTCGATGCCGTTGCCGGGCAGGTACTGACTCGATCGAACCTGCTTAGACTCGCTAGATGGGACGCGGAAAGACCGGTCGTGGGTATACGGACCGGTTCCGTTCCGCATGAGACGTCGAGGAGGTCGTTCTCAGCGCCTTCACTATCTGCCCAGGGTGACGCCGATCTATCGACGTGCATCCATGATAGATGTATGATGCTAGTGGCCGACAACAGCTAACTTACTTACTCTGCTCGAGTAAAGCGCCAGACTTCTGTTCCGGCGGCCAGGCCGTGCGTGTGGTGCCTGACCCGCTTCCAACGGAAGATGGATACACTTCCATCGGCTATAGGATGAGCACTCCGAACCGTCAGTCGACTCTGCTCGCTGCTGCAAGCCGCTCTACGAGGCAGGTGGGCGAGATGCAAGCGTCTGCAAGCCCTCAGCGCCTCAGCGTTCCAAAGGACCCCTCCCAAGCCGCCACACTGCCACAGTGCCACACACAGCTGCCACACTCGTTATGATTAGAGTTTGGCGGGTGGCCAATCGCCAAGGCACAGCAAACGATAAGCAAATTGCGGCATTTGGATTACGGCCGCCAGGTCGCCAGGCACCGACGACGTTGGCTTGGCCGCGGAGGGCGGAGTGATCTAATAACCGTCCTGCGCCACCCACCGGCTGCGCCCGCAGCCCGCCGACTATATAGACAGCACCCGACAGCTTGTCCTCGCCCACCAAACTTGTCTCATCTGCACTTGTCCCGACCAGAAACGAAGAAAACGATTTCTACGATGTTCTTCAAGATTGCCGCTCCTGTTCTCCTGGCTGCCTCGGCCCTTGCGCAGACCTTCTCGGTCAGCACTCCGGTACGTCCCGCATCCGATCAACCTGGGTTGATAAGCTCGTCCTAGGAGCAAGAGCTCACCAGTCCAGGCTTCGCTCCCTCAGTGTTGTGCGTACACACCGTGATCCGACTGGAGCAGTTGCTGACTACTAAACAGTGCCGGCCCAGATCCAGATCACGGGCGGGACTTCGCCTTACATCCTGTGAGTGCGCAATGGGTCCTGCAGGAGAAATATGGGCTGATCATACAGGGCCGCTATTCCTGCTGCTCAGCCAGCAGCGCCCGCGATCGCCATCATCGCGACCAACATCGCCTCCTCGCCGTACACTTGGACTGTGAACCTCCAGACCGGGCTGAACATTACTCTCCGAGTTACGGACTCCACCGGAGCCTTGACCTACTCTTCTCCCATCGTGGTACGTGCCACAGCCTCTCAATATGTGGGACAGAGGCTTATGAGCCCAGATCCAAGCTGGATCGAGCAGTAGCTGCTTGAACGCCTCGGCCTCTACTGGCGGCCTGTCGACTGTGTCTGTCAGCACCACTATCACCACCTCAGGAACGTGCGTGCCAAGTCTTCATCTGGGGATTCTGCATCCGCTCTTTGAGCTCCGATACTGACTTGACAGACAAAGCGGAACCGTCTCGGCCGCCGTCACGACCTCGACCACCCGCCTGTCTTCCAGCTCGTCGTCCATGTCCATGACTAGCAGCATGGCCAGCTCCAGCTCCGCCGGTGCGGCTACCAGCAGGTCAGTCATGCCTCGCCTTCACTTCTTGTCCGGATGAAGAAACTGATATCTACAGCGCTGCCAGCTCCGCCGCTGCCTCATCCTCCCGCGCCTGGGCTGTGCCCACTGCCGTGGCCGGTATTCCCGCCCTCGCCATGGCCGCCATTGGTGGTGTTGCTGTCTTGATGTAAGGGTCTAGACCCATTAGTCATGGCGGAGGGGGGTCTACGACGGCGTCGTACACGACAGACGGCGAGGACAGGCGGTGCAGGCGGAGACAGGAATGAGTCGATACGATCAAGCTTATGGTGGAATCTGCTAAATCTCCACGAAAGAATACGTCCGATCCCTAATATAATGGCCCTTCTCTATGCATTACCTTATGTTGACCCCCCCTACGCTCGATCTCCGCAGCAACAGATCCCTGCCATCTGCATCACCCGAGTACATACAGCCTTCAATGCTTAAGTGGGGGGATGGAACCAAATAGTCAAGATCAGTCGCGTCGACTCTCCTCGACCTCCCCACCAAAGTTCCCTCATCTCATCTTGCCTCATACCTTGATCGTACTCGTATACTCATACCCACCAAGCCGTACATCAGGCACCATAGCTGTGATCCTCTTGTAGCAGCGAAAGCTACGTCCTGTCTTTGGGTACGGCCCACCCATCTTGCTCCCACCCACCCCTTCGCTTCGCAATTCCCGCTCGGACCATGGCTGCTCGCAAAGCCCAAGCCCCACCCGCCGCTCCAAGCACAGATCTTTCTACTATACTGGCGGGGGAACGAGTGTACCTCAATCACAAGGTCTTTGACGATGAAGTCGCACATATAATCGTACACGAGTACATTCTCGTGAGTCTGCCTGGATTGGGGCATCTGATGGGAGGATCGGGCTGATAGGTTACAGAAATTGGGGGCAGAGACGGTCGAAGCGCGTCGAGATGCTACCATCAACCTCCTCAACCCTTCACACCCATCGTACCAAGCCGAACTTCATCATAATGCCCTGCTCGCCTCGGACTATCCGGAAGTCCAGCAACCGCTCCATCTACCCTACCACTGGCTCACCCTCTGCCTCCATCTTGGCAAGCGCGTTGCCCACGAAGATCTCGATCCCGCGGAGCCCTTTTTCGTCTTCCCAGGCAGCCGCCAACCTCTCCGCGCATGGGTATCGCTCAACGTCATCAAACGGCACGATGAGGGGTCGCCAGAAGTGGCGCACGCCAACACGGTCCTGCTCATGGTCCGAGGTGGCGCGTTGATGGTCAAGAGGCGGGCACAGGCGGACGTCCTGATCATAGACCCTGGAACCAAGTTTTACCAGGTGGTCAAGGCGGAGAAGATCAAGCACAAGCGGGATCACCAGAGGCTGGCGGAAAGGGATTGGGTGGAGGATTGCTCCAAGAATCAGCTGGTGGCGTGGAAGTCGGAGCGGGAGATTGAAGAGGCACCGTCGGATGCGGAGAGCTTTGCGAGTGAAGATGCAAAGCCGACTAAGAGAGGTCCGGGCAGACCAGCAGGCCGGTAAGTCTATCTATCGCTCTGATGACTGTAGCTGACAGTTGCAGACCACGCGCAGAATTTGCTCCGGCAGAGGATGATTTTCTCTGTCGCTATCTCGCTGCATTTCAGCCTGATGGATCTTGGGGAAGCAGAGCGACCTATGAGCGTATGGTAAGTCCCGAAGACCTTATCAATTGCACTTATGCTGATCTCAAGGTGGAGCGCAGCAGCTTATTCCCCGTGGCGTCGACTCATCCTTCCCAATCATGGCACGGGCGCTTCAAGAACAATTCGGGAAGCTTTACCAAGCGAGTCTTAAACTATATCCAGGCGGGCATAGACGAGTCGCTCAAGACGAAGGTGGAGCGTAAGGCGAGCAAGTCTTCCCGGGAGGCGAAAGAGGAGCAGTGAGTGTTCCCTCCTTTGCATGGGGTCCTGGCTGACGAGCAGTATACCGCCGAGGGCATCAACCAGCGCGGGGCCGGAGCGCACCTCAGCATCGAAGAGTCCGACCAAGAAGCGGACGGGCGAAACCAGCGCTCCTCAAATCAAGCGGAATTTGGTCGAGCCGGATGGTGAGGAGGAGTCGATCGCTCCCGAACGGTCCGCTGGGCACGGCACGCAGGCCCCAGGCTCGGTCGACCAGCTGGATGTCGAGATGGCCAACGGTGAAGCCAACGTCAATGATGCCGAGCCGATGTTGGATGACCCGGAACCCATCGTACCCCCCAAGTCCCAGTCTGGTCAGCAATTGCATGGCGACAGCATCATGGTCGACCAGTCGCTCGAGCACGTCCCATCAGACGACCCCATGGGGCAGGTCGACGAACATCAGCCCAGCCAGCAGCTGGACGAAAGTCTCGCTGAGGATCGGCAGATGGTCGGGGCGGAGACGCAGGTCCTGCTTGACGAATTTGCCCATGTCAATGCGGCGGTGGCAGCCAAGGAGGCGGCAAGGGCGCCGGCGCAAGCAATTGCCAATTCCCGTCTTCAGCAGCTGCAAGCGGACCGTTACTCGGCAGATCGGATCCCCTCTTTACCTCAATCTCCTCGGCGCACGGCATCACCTGCTCCATCCACAAAACGTGCTCGCCCCTCTGAGCCTCGCGCATCCAGCGAGCGGCGCGGCGAGATGCCAGCTCCGCCCTGGCCGGCCCGTGCTCCTCGGATATCGCACGGAAGCGACGGTTCCGGCAGTCATCGGGTATCGGTACCGGTCAAGCTGAACTTTAAGGTCGTCGGCGTCACAGAGGACGGGAGCACGGAGGAGGAGGGCGATGACGACGGTCAAGGGGCAAGACCGCATCCTCATCATCGGATACATATGAGTACGCAGACACCCAGTCCCGGTTCACGCGGTCCACGGGTATCTACCTCTCGGAAGCGGTCTCGCCTATCCCAGGCCACACCTCATCACCATCAAACGCCCGATACCGTCTACGCTACCCCTGAGGTACCCCCTCGGCCTCCTGTTCCGCCCCCATCCATTTCGCCCGCCGTCAAATCCCGCGCATCACCACGGCCACTCACACGCAGCGAGCACGACGCGGCGATTCTTCATGGTCAGGTCGTGGCTAAGGAGAAGACGGACCAGTACAAGTCGCACATCCGGCGATTGTGCTCGCGGTATAACGATGGGCCGGTGACGGTCATCAAGGCGGTGGATCTGGTCAAGCGGGAAGGGGAGTTGAAGATGTCTTGGGAAGAGGTAGAGCGGAGGCTGGACGTGCATTACGAGTACAGGGAGCAGGAGCAGGAGGATTGAGAGAGATAGGGATGTGGATGGCGAGGTGGACCGGTGGATAGCCATCACGTGTCGATATGGATATTTTGCACAGGGTCGTCACTCATTCTACTGATACATATAATGTTACAGGTAGTCCTAATCCTCACTGATGAAGTCTCTGGACTGACTACTCTAGGTCGCAAAGGTGCCCTGAACCACCTTGACAGGCTTGCAGTAAGCGTCTTTGAACTCAGCACCCTCCGCCTTGGCTGTGGGTTTGGCGGGGTCCCTGATGTCCCAAGTCACGACAGCTCCAGGAGCGATCGTGTTGACTGACGTGACGGCGCACTGACACATCAGCACTAGCAGCACGTCTCGCTGTACATCACAAAGAAGACATACCTGAACCACCGCGGTCGTCAGATCAGTCTTCAAAGCGAACATACCCCCGTATATCTGCTCCGGAAGGGGCAACACGCCGCCCCCCTTGGGCTTGAGCCTCTGCACCTCCGGAGCGGTGGCAGGAATAGGCGCACGTCCAGTGAACGACCCGAGCACCTTGTCGCCGAGGTCGGCCTCGTACAATTCGGCACCAAGGATGTTGATGGTAAAGGTCCCGTCCTTGTCGGCCTCGGGGATCGGAGGGGGCTTGTAGTCGCCGTTACCCGGTGCTTTGTCGGCCCCGAATTGGGGTGCAGGTGCAGCCGAGGCGAACATGAGGAACGGTAAGAGGGCGACGAGGGTGCTGAGCTGCATCGTGGCGGTGACTTGGAGAAGCGACTAGAGACTGTTACCGCTTATTGACTGACCGATTTGAGTGACGCTGGGTCTGAGGGCCTGGAGGGCCAGACCATCCCGGCTTATAAGCCCTCAGAGACGGCGTCGTCTGACGCCAAGCCTGCTTACTCAGGGGTGCGGTCCTTTCGAGCCCCTAGCCCCTGATGCCTCTAACAAAAATCTCTTTTGCGCTGACCCCGCGAAACCCTTCAATCTTTGCTTTGACCCCACAAAATCCGCCCTTCAAGCCAGATCCCATCTTGATGCATCTCTCCGTAACGCGTACGAGCTGGATCTAGGGGCTATGACACATACCGCGGTCCCTAGGGGTGGTTTCATTGCGACTGTGTGTTGCGCCAAGGGATCTCCGTGTTGATGACGTGCTACGATCAACCACCACAATGAAGCCCCAGCCTGCTGTCTTCCTTTGACCGCACTCCTTAAAGTCTACCAGGCACGCCGGGCCACGGTCTCGTCTTGTCTCGCCACCCGTCTGGACGGCGCTCACGTCTTGTAGTTCTTCATTCGTCTTCTTGTACACCACATCGATCTACAACTGACTATCGCCGCACTCATGATACCACTCATGTCCGAGCACGAACAGACTGCAACTGGTTTCGAGCCCAGATTAGCGCTTGTGCGCATGCGCGGCTCCAAAGAAGAGTATACGTATCAAGTCGTGCGGGTCGGTACTGAAGAACAGGTGGACAGCCTGAATGCCGACGGACACAGTGATCCACTATCCCGCTTGCCATGCATTGAAAGGTTCGAGACCAACATCACCTTACTCGGCGAGCTTCGACATCACTTGCGAGACGGTTACCATTCCCGTGTCAAACTCACAACGCTGGGGATGTACAATGCTTGGGCTGTGGCGATGTATCAGGTCTTGGGCAACCTCAAACTTGAGCAGTACGAAAGCAACGGAAAAGTGAGCGACTCATGCCGGGACAAGCTTATACTGATAGGTCATGGACTACTTCAATCTTGCCAGCCACTTCACCCGCGCTTTCAAAGGTCAAGCAGAAGACTTGTTCTCCTACATCGACAAGCTGACTGCTGAACGGGATACGGATATTTTCTCTTCTCTAGCCAAGTCTTGGCCGAAGGAAGAGCTCTGTCCACATCCAGGGATACCGGCCATGCTCCTCGCTGGTCTCTGGGATGATCAAGACTTCATGAAGCTGTCCGATGTTGCCATGACCGCACTGGGCGAGACAATCAGACTGATCAAAATGCTTGATCTGCCGGTGACTACCCCAAAGGCTGGAATGGAAACCTTGTCGAAGATTCGGCGTGGAGCTGAGAAGATGATCGAGCGGTCTCGATCGGATACCATGGACGACCCAGACAATTTCGCCGCCTGGTTATGCAGCGTGGCGGGCTGGACAGAATCCGGCGTTTCGCGGGCGCGAACCAGAGACACAGTCGCGAGGGCTCACCGTTTGAGAGCTACAGAAGGCAGTCGCGCAGACCTGCTCGATGCCTGCTCGCGGTATTTCTCGTTTCATAAAGAGGCGGGCAAAGGCCAAGAATCGGATAGACTCCTGCGAAGTCTTGCGAGTATCGGTGAAGACGATGACGGTCGATTGGTCGAGACTTTCGCCATATTCGAACGAGATAGGGTTAGGGATGGGGATCACGAAGAGTCTACAGGTCCGCAAGATACGGATATGCAAGAGGTTTGATAGCACAGGCAGAGGCCTAGCTAGATACTCAGGTCTGTGAACTTGATACAATCGCATTACGATGACTGAATAAGCGAAGTATCGTCTGCTCCAGACTGACAGCTTTGATTGATCTGCCACGATATGCGACGCTCTACGGTGATCGCTAGGTCGCGATCTCATTTAGCTGATCCCTTCTGAAGTTCTGGTCTCACCTCCCTGTTGTCCCCACCAATGGAGCAGGGGACCAAGGTGCACTGTCCTTTGAGATGGCGACTCCTTTCTCCTTTTTGAGCATGACTGGACGTTGACCATAAAGTAGACACCCCTAGATCTGGCTCCCCTAGATCTGGCTAGCCTTCCACGGTCCCCACCCGCCCAGTCAAGAACGCCACATCGTACCGAGAGGACCAATCCTCCTTTGTATCTATTCTCAAGCCTGTAAGCATCAAGTCCTCATCGTCCTCTATATATCGCTGCGAGCTCTCATCACCCTCCCCCTCTGCTCATCCGCCTCTGCTATCATCACCTACGTTCACTTACTGATCGATCCTTCCTCGATCTGAGCGGACCGAAGCGCATCTCCTCCACAATCATGCCGGCGAAATTCAAGTGTCTTCACAGCACTGACACTGGGTCTGCGACACGCGAGCTCACTCTTGTCCAATGCACTGCTCAGAGCGACAAATCCTACGAGGTGGTCAGCAGCCTCAAGGGCGGACCAGACGACGCGAGCACCACCGGTCTTGACCCCTTTCCCAGTACTCGGTGGAAGCGAGCTGACGAGACCACTGTGACTTTGCTGACACCGATTGAAGCCAGTTCGGCAGGCAGCGAGAAGAAGCTGAGCGCCATGGAGGTCGAGGAGATGTACGCAAGCATACGCGAGTCATGGGCCAAGGTCTTGACAACTGCTGCTGCCCAGCTCAAGGCTGGCGTCCGGGATAATCAAGCAGTGAGTCATATTGTACCTCTCTGACCGTTTTGGCCGCTGCTCAGATTTAAGATGCACTTCAGCTGACCGACACCAGGAGCAGGCTCACGCTCTCTCTGAGGGTCCGCATGCGTACGCCTCGAGTAACTTCATGGCCCTTGCGGCCCAGGCCCAGGATATCATCCAATCGTCCGAGCGCGACTGGATGAGGGACATCTTCGAGGGGCTGAAGGAACATCCAGAAGTTCTTGACCACCACCCGGGGATGCAAGTCATTATGACTGCGGCTCTGTGGTCGCGGGTTGTGCGTCGGACCGGGGATGTACAGTTCGCTCTCAAGGCTACCGCTTCCATCCTGCAGTCCGCCGAAGACTTCATCGACCATCCCGATACCAGCTTCACCCGAGACCCTGCCCAGGTCGAGCTGCGCGCTATGCTGTCGATGCTACGCAAAACGGCGCTGGAGGTCGAAGATGCGATATCGAGCCGCTGCCCCAAGGACATCGAGGCGCTGCATGACTTTCTGTACCCCAGCAACGTCAAGCCCCCGACCATCGATCAGAAGAGGGAGGTGTTGGATGTTCTGCGCAGAGCTGATAGCGTGCGCCACGCATACAGTGAGGGTGTCCTGGATGCCGCTCACCGGACCTTTCTCCGGATTGCCAGAGGGGAGGTCCATCAGGACTTTATCGACAGCCTGATCCATGAGCAGACGGATGAATGCCTCCTCGCCGTGCTGGCGAGCTATTCAGCGGAGTCAGTCGCGGAGTCAGCGATTCAGCTCGGCTCGTCGTGAACGTCAGCGAAGGACTCGGGAGGGATTTTCAGGGATCGAGCGTCAGTATGTCAGTCTGTGATGTGAAAAGTCTGTGCGGCTAGGTAGAGAAGTACTTGTGTTTATGGATATGTACACGAGCCGGGGTGAGGACTTCTTCAGTCTAGGATCGTAAGCTCAAGCCGACCAGGTACGAAAGTAGGCTACATGTATACGCCGCCATCGCCAGCAATCAGCTACACTACCCTCAGGACCTCATCGCTATTGTCCCAGAACACGATTTGAAACTCAGATGCCAATACCCCTGCCCCCTTCTGACCCCTGATCCCTCTCGTTGCGATCCAGCCCCGCTTCTTCCTCGCCAGTCCACACCAGATTCCCTCCCGCCCCCGCCCTACACCTTGCGTTCCAGCTTCTTCTTGGCGCGGAAGAGCGAAAACCTCGCATTCGTCTGCATATCCTTCCACTGTCGCTTGAACTGCTCTTTAGCATCGGGTCTGTCTCATCAGCTTTATCCTTCCAGCTCACTAGCCCCCTCTCCCTATATCTCGGAAACAAAGACGGAATAGACGACTCACTTCCACTCCTCCTGCCTCCCACCCAAATCCCCATGTTTCCCACCCCATTCTTTCGGCCTATACGCCTCCTTACTCTCCTCGGTCGTCCGGAGCCGCCTATCCCCATTCGCCCATCTCGACGGCAAATACCCTCCTTGACCCTCCTCGATCACCCCACTCCCCCTCGCGCTGCCCGTAAGCGAGAACGGCGTGGATTTGACCGAGGACGGCCGACGACTTCCACCTCCACCTCCTGCACCTGGCCCAAATATAGGGAACCCATCCGGCCCGATCTCTCCTGCACCACCGCCAGGTCCTGGACTCCCCGCCCTCGACCCATTCCTCGATCCGCCCGACGGGATCCTCGCCAGCCCCTGTCCCTGCGCCTGGAGCGCAAGCGAGAACGGTCCCCGGATCACATGATCATGTACCGTCTGTACCCGCGTGACCGCCCCAGACGGGTTGAAGACGATACGCGGATCATCATCCGCCACGATCTGGATTTCGGGGAGGAGGCGGGTGCTCGTTCCCGTGAGTGGCGAGTCGGTCGCCAGACCGCGAGTGGAGGATGGGACGCGCGCAGAGGACGTTGTCCGGCCCGCTCGACGTTCCCTCTCTTCTCGCTTCTTGGCTTGCGCCGGGGTCTCGGGGAAAAGTTCCTCTCTTGGCCGCTCGGCGGGCTTGGGTCTGCGCGCTTGAGATATCATGGATTCCCCGTCCCCGCGCTCGCGGTCCCGGTACTGTTCCCGGTCGGACGAGCCGCGGGAGCCGCGAGACTGCCCCGATTTGGCCGATAAGGGGACGTCGAGTGCCTGGTTGGGCTGCTGCAGCGGGGTGGTGGAGGTGGGGTAGGACGGCGGCATAGGGGACGAGGGCGCGTCGAACCCGGTAATCTTCTTGGACCCGTCCGAGCGGATCTCGATCTTCTCCTTGGTCGGCTCGCGCGTCATGGAGGGCGATTTATGCCTTGGGAAAGGAGACAGAGGGGGCGGGGGAGGAGGCGACGATGTTCCAGGAGGAGCAAGGGTCGATTCGGTGACTTTGCGAGGATGGTCGTCTCCCCCGTCCGAGGTGGTATTGGTCCGTGCGCGAGAGGTGGTGACTGAGAGCGCAGGGGTGTCCGGGACGGGAAGAGGCGAGTCCGTATGTCCACTCTCGAACGTCGGTGAAAGCGGAGACGGGGTGTAATAGTATATACCGCCCTGTTGACTCCGGGTCCGCTGGGTTCCGAGACCCGCGCCATACCGTCCCTGCTCGTGAGGGTTGGTCGACATGGACCCGCCATCCTCGCTTGAGCGTAGACTGGGCGTCCCCCTTCCGCTCCGCTCAGACATCATACTCCTCCGTCTCGCCATCGCAATCCCCGACAATTCATCCAGCCTTCTCCGCTCCAGCTCTGCTCTGCGCCTCGCCTCCTCTTCTTCCCTTCCCCCATCTACACTCTTCCGCCCTCCCCCTCCCGCAGACGTGGCATGCTCCGACGTCCCGTCCCCCGCCTCACTGCCCGCCGAAGACCCGGAAGAGCTCCCGCTCCCATGCCGCCTATCCGAGCCGAACGCGGACCGCCTCCTCGAGTTCTTCCGACTCGCCTCTGATACACCCTTGAACGGATCATATTCCGTATCGTGCATCCGTCCCTTCCCATCCATGTACACTGGTCCCTTCTTCCCGCCGAGATTCATCGCCGACTTGAAGTTGCCGAGCGACGCAGTCGACTTGATCCCTAGTCCGGTCGTTCCGTTCCCGTTGGAATGACGGGAGAGAATACTGCCGCCTCGGTTCGACCGGGATGCACCCATAGATGACGACTCGCCGTTGGTCCCATCGTGTACGTGCGAGGGGATGGTGGTCTTGTAGTCGGGGTCGAGGATCCGGTCGAGCTCTGCCGCTTGGCCAAGACGGGCAATGTCCTTCTTGTTTCGGTGGAGTTGGAGTTGGAACGCAGGGGGAAGAGGGGCAAACGCGGAGTTGGGATTGGGGTCGTGGGAGTGAATAGTGCGCTTGCCGTGCGTCTCGCTAAGGGCTGAAGGGTCAGCTGGTAGGCCTGTAACGAGCACTTCGAAGCTGACGCACGAGGTCGGTACGTCTTGAATCCTCCTTCCACACGCTTCGACCCGGACGTATATGGCGCAGTGTTGGTCACGCTACTCAGCCCGTCCTGATCATGATTGACCGCAGCGTACGACCGCGATGGACGGCCGAACATGACTGTGACCGGAGAAGGTGGCGACCGAGGCTAGCTTCGAAGGCCGAGAGGAGGTTGAGCGAAAGGCAGGGGATAGACGCTGTTAAATCAGTACAGCAAGCGCATATAGGCTTATAAAGCGTACAGTAACGATAGAAACAAGTGATGGCGAGCGAACGTCAAGTAGGGCCCGACCGAAGTGGACGAGCGAAGGGTGATTCTACCCACGAGGCAATAGAAGGCGAAGTCACGAAACTCGAGGCCAGAGACTTCGGCTGATCAATCCAGTTGAACGAAAGTCGGGATTCCTTCTAGGATAAGGTCGAAAGTCTCGCTGTCGCTCTCTATGTCGTTGGCGCTGAGTGTAGGGGGTCACCGGCTCGACGTCATTATATGCTGTCAACGAAGACGTTATCATCGCCTCCATCATGCATCAACGCCTTCACCGTCAGGCAATGCAACGCCGGTTCCGGACGCCCACCCTAATTAGCTCCCGCTCCCTCGGCCACCGGCCCAGGCACGGACGGAGTTGCTAGTCCGCTCTCCGGGAGTCCGTGCGTCCCCTGCTTGAGATATATTTTTGTTTTCAGCCCTCCACCTCGTCTCTGCGCTCTGCAGCTCTGCACGTTCGCCTTCGCGTCTCTAGAAGCAGCAGGCCGCCAGCAGCAAGCAGTATGGCCATCGCCCAACCCACAAAGACAGGCGGAGACGACCTGGACGATTACCTAGAACTCGACCCGAATCTCGTCGCGTCAGGATCGGACGTCGGGTCTGATGATAGTGATAACGAGGCCGAGGAAGGGGATGAGGCCGAGTTGGACGTGGAGGGCGAGGGGGATAGGCCGGTGTTGGAGAGAGGGACGGGGATGAATGAAGGTGTCAAGCGGAAAGCCTCGGTCGATGCGTCCGATGATCCGGAGGAGAGTGGGGGGAGAGTGGGAGCTGTGGAAGAAGGAGGGGAAGAGGAAGAGCGGAAACGGCGTAAGAAGGAGAAGACGAAAGAGCGGAAAGCGAGGGTAAGCCTCAGCCTCTCTGAGAGAACTCAGAAGTAAGAGATTGCTGATTACGCCAGAGACTAGCAGCCTCCGCCCCCTCCTCCGCACCTACACCCCCAACCCACCTTTCCCCCGACGCCCTGCTCGCCCTCCTTCGCACCTCCCTAGTCTCCACCCACCCCGCTCTCACACCTATGGAAATAACCGACCGTCTCCCGCCACTCACCTCCCTCCTCGCGGCGCCCGAACACGCCGCGCCTGACCTCCCTGCCGCGTCGTTCGAGCCACTCCGGAGACGAGTGGCGGGGCTCCTCAAGAAGGGCGGTAAGATTCAGAAGGGGCGTCCGAGGATTGTGATTTTGTGTTTGAGTGGGCTGCGGTGTATCGAGGTGATGAATAATGTAAAGGACTTGAAGGGGGAGGCGCAGGTTGCGAAGGTCAGCTAAGCCACTCCTGTACTCCTAATATCTATGGTGAAGGACATGAGCTGATTCAGGTAGTTGTTCGCAAAGCATATCAAGGCGCCAGAGCAGAAGAAATTCCTCGAGTCCACGCCGGTCTCAATAGCCGTAGGGACACCCGCTCGTGTCGGCATGTTTTTGGGTGACGGTAAGCTCCGTCTCCGCGAGTTCCCACAGAGCGTAGACGGCGAGCTCATACGATAGGAACCATATCGGTGGATAAGAGCACGATCCTCCTCCTTGATATAGGCCACCAAGATAGCAGTGGGTCTTTAGCTACATGCTGTGAGGTGTTCAAGGGAATCAGCTTATATAGCAGAAACCCGCACACTCCTCACGATGCCGGAAATGCGGGTCGAGCTGTGGAAATCGGTCTTTGCGGGTCCGGGGCGGAAAGCCTTGCTGGACGGAGGGGCGAGGATCGGTGCTTTCTGAGCGACGTCCTTTTCAATTCTTCGCTTCTTTTGCTCGCGGGCACTTTGGGCGAGTCACCGGCATCAGCATCTTCCGTATCAGTATCCATTCCATCAGCCAGGGTTGCTATAATCCGCCTTGGTCTATCCAGATCTATGCATCTTATGATATAATGCCCTTTTCCCATTCCTTAGATTGGCCGCCTCCCCCTCTGCCTCCTCCCTGGATCCTCTCTCCTGCTACCCCAAGACTCCCTCGCGGCTTTACTTTCCCTCGTACGCCGCAGTATGGATACTAACAGCGCGTCCGGACGGGTCGGACGAGACGCCCCATTCCTGTTTGGGGATCCACCTATCTCGTCAGCTTCAAACCTCCTGCAGCCCAGATCTAAAACTAGCTCACCTAACAGCCGTCCCCGCTGCCGCCTGAGTCGGGAACTGCCCCTCAAACAGCTCTCTAATCCAATACGCCTCCTTGGTATCCGGCGTCTCAAACGGGAACCTCTCCCCCCTCTTCTGCATCATCTCCTCGCTCACCACCTCCTCCGCATGCGCCTTCATCCCATCAATCCAGCTGTACCCGACCCCATCGCTAAACTGCTCCTTCTGGCGCCAGAGGATACTATCGGGGAGATACGCCTTGCCGCCGGGCGCACAATCAAACGCCTTGCGCAGGATATATTTTTCCATGCGGGGTTTCCCGTCCGCGTCGACCTCTTGGTGCGCGCCCTTCGAGTACGTCTTGTGCTTGGCGTCAATGTTCATCGAGACTTCGAGGAAGGACTTGTCGAGGAAGGGGACGCGCGCCTCGAGGCCCCAGGCCATGGTGGACTTGTTGGCGCGGAGGCAGTCGGCGGTGTGGAGGTTCTTGACGCGCTTGATGAGTTCCCGGTGGAAGTCCTCGGCGTTGGGCGCGGCGTGGAAGTAGAGGTAGCCTGGGCGTTAGCGAGCTGCACCGGAGGGCAGAGGTCAAAGGCGCAGATTCAGAGAACAAGAGGGAAGGGAGGGGCACGATAGAATAAGAAAGGGGCAGACAGTTTCGTCCGAAGTCGCTCAAATCAATTTCCCTCTCCGCAGTGCAATGTTCCATCGCTGTCCGCCCTTTCTCCCCTCAACAATGTCAAGCTCCCGAACCCTAGCCCAAAGCCCAGACCCAGACCCAGACCCAGATCAAACCCAACCCTTCGCCAAGACTCACCTCCAAAAACCTCATCCGCCCCCTCCCCACTCAATACCATCTTGACCCCCATCGCCTTAATCTTCCGACTCAACAAATACATTGGCGTGCTCGCGCGCACCGTCGTCACGTCAAACGTCTCGAGGTGGTGAATCACCTCTGGGATCGCATCGAGACCTTCTTGGACGGTAAACGTGTATTCGTGGTGGACGGTGCCCAAGAAATCGGCGGCTTTGCGCGCGGCGAGCAGGTCGGGAGAGCCGACGAGGCCGACGGCGAAGGAGTGGAGGGAGGGCCAGGAAGCGATGGGTTCGTCGCCTTCTAAAAGGGTGTCAGCATGAGTCAAGCGGAAGAGAGAGTCCCAGAGCAAAACAGGTGATAAGGGGTAGGGGCAGGAAGAGCGGTGATGGAATATGGGATGTGAGATGAGGTTCTCGAGGACCACCATGCTTCTCCTCCTCCACCACGGATCGCTCTACCCTCCCATTTCCCTAATGTTCGATTCGAGCTCACTCACCCGGCTTCCTCCCCTCGTCAATCGCCTTCTTCCTCTCCCTCCTCAGCGCCTCGTGCTGCTCCGCCATCCGATCCGTCTCCCTCGCCGCAATACTCGCAATCAAACTCGAATCCAGCCCGCCAGACAGAAGTACTCCATACGGCACCTCACTCATCAGCCGCTTCCGTACCGCCTCTTCCAGCTTGGTACGGATCAGCTCGAGGTCCGCCGGGTTGGTAGGCACCGCCTCGACATCCGTCGACAACCAGGACGGGTTATAGTACCGCGTCATTTCCTTCTTGTTGGAATCGTAGAAATGGCCCGGAGGGAACGCGATGAGGTTGTCGCATTCGTCCTGAATGCACTTCATCTCCGAGGCGAAAAAGAGGGTGTCGGGCGCGGACGAGTGGAAGCCCATGTAGAGGGTGGTGATGCCGATTGGGTCGCGGGCGGCGATGAGGCGCGAAGGGGTGACGGAGGTGTCGAGGAGGACGAAGGAGAACATGCCGTCCAGCATGTTGCAGAGGTCCGTCCCGTGTTCCTTGTACTGGGAATCAGCCACGTTCAAGGTTGTATTAGCACAGGGGACGGGACGCACCAAGTACATGATGACCTCGCAGTCCGAGTGCGTCTTGAAATCATACTTGCCCGCCAAGCTCTGCTTGAGCGCAACGTGGTTGTAGATTTCGCCGTTAACGGCGAGGACGGTGGTCTCGTCGTCGCTGACCAAGGGTTGAGCACCGGTATCTAGCTTATCAGCTCATTCTCATTCCTCTCCTTCCCTTCCCCTCTCTCCGCTACTCCGCACAACGCGCATAGCTTTAAACTTACCAACACCAACGATGGCCAATCGCTCATGTACCAAAACCGTATCTTTGGCCATATAACACCCCGACCAATCCGGACCACGGTGTCGCTGGAGCTTGGACAGCGCGATGGCGCGAGGCCGGAATTGCGCCAGGTCGCCCTGGCGGTTGTAGCAGCAGAAGATACCGCACATGTTGGTTGGTGGCTGTTACTGCTGGAAGAAGTGGGGTAATGTGTGTGGGTGGATGAAAGAGAGATGCTTTACTGTTGGGTGATAGATAAGAAGGTGCGAGTCGAATTCGAACTTTTTGGGCGCTCGCTTGGCTGGGCAACGGAGCGGCCGACTCGGCTCTCGCGCGACGGCCGAAAGGGTATAGCCACGTGGATTCAGGGTTCTCGGCTAAGCCGCCAAGTAGATTAGCAGTGAGGTCCGTGTGTCTTCGCCACCCGCCTAGCTTTGGTGACGCAACCGGTCAAGCTGCTCGAGGTCATGCGACTCCAGCTGGTGACCAGAACGGCTTCTCCACCATCTCAAGAGTATCCTTCCTATCTGCCAGCTCATAGCAGAGGCCTACACATCGAGAAGCCGAACCGACGGCCATAACCATACGCAGAGGACAGAATGATCAATACCTCTCGCTAGGCCCGCAAGACCACCACCCTCCTTCCGCTTATCCAACCCCCGCGCTATCCGACATGCCCGCCGAATCCGCCCCACCTCCCCAAGCCGGGCCAGCAACACCCACAGTCTTTCCTCTCTCTGGGTCCAATATCAAATGCTCACACTGCGGCGGAACAAGCCTGCCGTCCTTATCGGCCGCATCCCGCGCGGGCGGGGAAGGGGAGGGCGTCATCATCCTCGATGAAGAGATCGAGCGGGTGTGCGCCTCGTGTTGGCGTGCACAGGTCAGCCCGGATGGCGGACCCGATATGAGGGCGGGGGAGGAGCAATATGAAGAGGGAGAGCGGAGGTTAGAGGCGGATATAAGCAGTATTGGGCTGGGATTGAGGGGGATGACCGTCAATCCGGTGGAAGAGGAGACGAGCCCCAGGGACGGTCAGGCGCAGGTACCACAAGCTGCGGCGGTTGGCGTCGGGGACGCCGAGTACTCTCCGCCGATGGTGTATGCTCAGCCGGTCCCGATTGCTTCTACCCCGGCACCCGCTGGTCCGCAGCATGGCGGACTGCTCTCGCACTCGCTCCCTTCTCAGCACACTCGACCGTGGGTCACCCAGCCGACTCGAGTGTCGCCCATCACGGAAGAACGAGGCGGTTTTTCTGCTACCCCCGCTCCGACTTCTTACAAGGAAGACCGGCCATATAATCCTTTATTGGACATCACGTCCGCCCGAGTATCCAACCGCGGTCGAGGCGCATTGTATCCCGGCTCAGTCTTTAAAGGCACCCAAACGAGCGGGAGGAGCGCATACGACGTGGAAGTCCGGTTCATCGTATGTCCCCATCTCTGTCCCCTCCCCGTCCCATACTCCCGCTGATTGCTAGGACGTCAACTTCCCCGAATCCTCCGTATCAGGCTACCTCTCCATCTCCCACCTAACCGACACCCACCCGCACCTCACCACCTTCTTCACCGGCGAGATCATCGGGCCTCGATATGGCTTCATCACGGGTCCGCGATATGGCGCGACCGAGCACGACGATATGCGCCATTGGGGCCGGTTTGAGCAGTTTCGCCGGCCCGCCACACGGGGCGATATGATCCGCCCAGAGTTGTTGTTTAGGGATCCGGTGCCGAGGCCTGGGACCGGAGGCGCGGGGAGGGTGACAGGGATGGAGAGGGATTTTGTGTTTTTGAGGATTAAAGAAAGGTTCTTGGTTCCGGATCATACGGTGAAGGATATCAGCGGGGCGAGCTTTGCGGGTGAGCTATTTCGTCCTCTCGGTTTGCCCGATCGGAACCCAGGGCAAGAAAAGCTGATAGGATAGGGTTTTACTTCGCGATGATCGATCTGAACCCTACCTCCGCTTCAGACCCACCACTCTCGCCTACCTCCCCTCTCCCCAAATCGCCTCCTACCCTCCCCCCACCTCCACTCTCACCTACCACATCCAACTCGCAGTACTTCCCGACGATGTCACTCCCGACCCCCTCGGCTCAAAGGCGGCAGAGCACGGGACCTCCCGCTCCCGCTCCAGCTTTGGGGCTGACTTCGACTTCGACTTCGGGGTCGGCGGGAGGGTTCGGGGGTCTACCTTCGCATCCGACCTTTACGATGCCGCGCCCTGCTGTTCGGAGGATGTCTAGTAATGGGCCGGGACCGAGGAGTCCGGGTTTGGACAGTGGGCCGGGAGCCGGGGTAGGGACGGGTGCCAGCGAGAGGAGGAGAAGGAGGGAAAGTAGTGGAGCGGTACCGGGAAGGGGGGAGAGGGAGCCGCAAAGAGAGGCGACTATTCGAGGGGTGAGTTATGAGCTTCTCGATATGTCGAGATATTTGAGGCGAGAGCTGACGGGATAGTATTACTTCCATTCGCTGAATCAAGAGCCGTTCCAGGAGCTTTTTCTTACGCATGTCCCGAATAGGAGCTCGGGGACTTATGAGATGCGGTGAAAGGTATAATTGGGAGGTGAGACTCATACTGGGAAGCAGAGATCAATAGCCTGCGTAGCGTATTAGCATTGTACAAGTTGGGGTTGTAGACCGCTTTGTACTTTTAAGTCGAACAGAGAGAAGCAAAGTCCAGGCCTCGTTGTATCTAATCAGGTCGATGAATGAGTTACAATGAAGAGGAACGGCAGAGGCTTCATCCTATCGACATAGACATGTGCATAGGAGACTGGGATTCTCGGACAGAAGATGAAGCATCTAGCTAGGATCTCGACACAGCTAGCTGAGCCGCAGAGCAAGGAACGTAACCCTTCGTACTGCTTCTCACTCGCTTCCCGGCAGAACACGACACCCTCACCGCTGCCACCGGTGGAATGTTTGGCTGGGTGTCTCCACCGAGCTCGCAGCAGTTCTGGACTGTTGGTTCCCCCACCAGGCGTCTTGGAGCTTCTTGGGGTCGACCTTGGGGTAACATGTCTTGAGCCATTCTAGTCCATGCTCGCCACCGTGACATTTCCATATTCGCACGCCAATCATGGTGTTGCGGTCACCATTCTGGAAGATCTCCTTGTGCAGGACCTTCGACTTGCCCACCGATCGGCTCGTACCGCCATTCATGATCGTCCCACGATTCCCCTCCCTCGCAATTTCAATGATGATGGGATGGGTTTCGAACGGCTCTGGTCCGAAATCAACATCGAGCTCGTCGATCTCTCTCCAGTCATGGGCCACCGAAACCGAGTTCCCAGCTGCGTCGGTTTTGGTCATGGCCCGCTCGATGAGCAGCTCCTCGTCGCCTTCCTCGCCTGGAAACTCCGCCTTGCGCAGCCGTTCGTTGGTAACGGAGGTGTCCTTGAAGAAGTATTGTTTGAGAACACTGAGCTGTGCGTCGAGATCCATGAATTCTCCGAGACGGACAGTCCGTCGGGGATCATCGAGCTCAGTGGTGTAATCCGTTCTCCAGCAGTGAGTGCGGGTGGGGTCTGCCAAATAAGCCTCTCATGCACCAGTGTGAGCCGCTCGCTCAAGCGCCGCACTTGCCCTTGTCCGGACTAGCGCTCAATAGCCAGTATCGTCTAGCAACGATGGTCAGAGGACTCACGGTCGGTGCTGGCGGTGGCAGGCTGGGACGTATGACCCGTGCCAATGGTGGACCCGGACTGACTGGTGGACATTGGATGCTGCGCAGCTGTAGACGGGGAATCAGTTAATGCTGTGAAGAGTTATAGATTCGGCCAGGCTATCTATGGTGGACGATGGGCGCAAAGGACTGTGAGTGGAGAAGCGATGATGAGGTGGGGAGGGGAGGGGAGGGGGATGTCCGCCACTCATCCTCTGGCTTATGAGTCGGGCCAGTTGCTCTATCGGAGCTTGAAGCGAAGCATCCCTTGTGCGAAAATGTGAAAGGATGAGCTACAAGTTGAAGGGTAGGGATCTTCTGCTACACCGATCAAAACCGGCTGATGACGTGCTCGGCCATGTCTATAGCGCAACATGACTCGCGTATCAGAGGATGCTCCCTCAAGGTGGGCACCCGAATAGACTCGGGGTACATGGCCGGAATGCTTCTGGAACTCTGGCACTGCTAGCAACCGCTGACACCCAAGCTGGCAACTGAGATACCGCCGCCGCACAGCTCGCCACACCGCTTTCGCTGGTTCCGGGGGCAGTCCATGTCCCGCCTCATCGACATCCGCCACATCCAGCAACAACCTCCACCTTTCCTCCTCCTCTCCTCTCTCATCATCCTTTCGTCGATACAACCTCCGTCCAGCTCGACTTCGCCTGCCAGCCTGGTCAGTATCGCTCTGTGATGCTCGTTGTGGCAACCCTGGGCCAAACATCGAGCTCGCGCCAACGGCAATGCTGAGCGAGGAGCTTTCCGCGGACATGGTATGTCTTTGTTGACATTTAGTTTGAGGGTCGTAGCTGACTGGTCTGTAGGACAGGATCACTCAAGTGAGCTAGTCCACCCGTTCAGCTCCTAGTGGACCGCTGGCTGGGCATAGAGGACCAAAGCTGACGCTGAATAGCTCCAGGATGCCATCTTAGATGTACATCCTCAATTCTCTTCCTGCCGATCTTAGGCAGCCAGAGGAGGCAGAGCTGACTAAGCGCAGCTCCTCACGCTTACTCATACCTCCATCGAATACATCACCAAGCGGACGGCATTCGAGCAGGCCTCTGCCGATATACCTCGAACACTAGCAAGCGAGCATACCGCTCCTCCGGAGGAATATCGAGGTGAGTCGGATTACCCTGACTTAACCTGGCTTCTGGGCCTATCTCCTACAACCGAACGGCTAAAGGCTCGTCGATTGCGCAGTGGGCAAAGCTGACGCATCAGAGGCAATACAGATCTTCGTAGCTGACATCATCTCCCGCTCGAAAGATGTCGAGAAGCTCATAGCGGCTCTGCCAAAAAAGGACGATAGCGGAGCGAGGGTGAGCTCCGCTCTTCATCTCTTTGCGGCGAGCACAGTAGCTGACATCAACTAGGCGGAGCGATTGAGAGAGCTACAGGGGGAGATGATTGTTGCGAATCAGGAATACAAGGAGGCATTAGCACAAGCTGGTAAGTTCAAACGAATCCCTGCTCGCCGGGATATTGGTAGAAGGGTAGGGAAGACCGAGCTAATCCCCCCAGAATCTCTGTTGGAGGAGATGCAAAATGCACTGGCGGTAGCATTAGACGATACGCGCGACCCGCAGTTGGAAGAAACGGCCAAGCAGTTCCGCAAGAAGGGCGTAGGGGATGTAGAGCGAGAAGAGGAGGTCGAAAAACGGGCGATATAATGGGCAGCAGCTACCATCCCATATTATAGATCATGATAGACTATCCGGAGGTGCATGCTACATACATGCCGCCGGACAGATCTTTGCTTTGATTATATAGGTACAACATGACGGGGATTCGGCAGTAGGCTCATACAGCGGCAGTAGTGATATTGGTGGTGTTGCTCGGAGGGACAAACACGCCCGCCACCATACAGAGGTTCCGCGGTGTATAGTGCGCCTTGAGGATGGGCGTCCGCTTGGTATGGAAGGTGGACAAGAGGTCCGACCTGGTCAAGTCAGCTTCTGACCCAATCCCGCTGTCCACAGTCCAGAGGCCTAAAACTCACGTAGCGCCCTCATCCCAACCCTCTCCAGGACCCATCGGCACCCTTCCTGTCCCAGCCAGATCGACGCCCCCACCCCGTCTGCCATCAGCCCCTTCCCCACGCGCCCGCTCCCCGCCGGCAGACTTGACATCCCAGCACCGGACCGTACAGTCCGCCGAGCCCGAAACGAGCACGCTCGATTCTGCCGAAAATGACAAAGAGTGGATGGGGGCGCGGTGGCCCGACATCTTCTTGATTGGGCGGGAGGAGCCGAGGTCCCATAGCCAGATATCCCTGTCGACGCCTGGCATGTCAGCTGGTCCGACAGTGTGTGCGAGGGATCGAGCTTACCTGCACTAGCCAGGACTTTGCCGTCTGGACTGATAGCCATCGTCGTAACGGCGTCTGTATGACCCAGGAAGAGACGTATACACGCTCCCCGTTGGACGTCCCAGAGTCGACACGAATTGTCTGAACTTCCAGTGGCGAGGTACAGCGAGTTTGGGTGGAACTTGACGCACTATCTGATCAGCTATCGCCTCAGACCTACACGAAGCCGACATAGCTCACATTGACATCCGACAGATGCCCCGTATACATCCTCAGCGGTGTGACCCTATCCGAGCTCCAGAGCCGCGCTGTCCGGTCCCTACTCGCCGAAGCAAAGTACACGCCCATCGGTCCCCACTCGACATCCCATACAGGATCCCGCCCGTGTCCGCGGTACACGACGAGATTGGAGTAGGTGTCCATGGACCAAAGCCGGATGGTGCCGTCCTGCGAGGAAGAGAGGAGGGAGGAGGGGGATTGGGCAGTCCCGTATATTGGGTCGAAGGAGAGGGAGTAGACGGGCCCGGAGTGGCCGATGAGTTTACGGTGGGCTAGGCCCTCGTCTTCTAGTATATCGCCAGTCGAGGGATCTGAAAAGTCAGCTTCGAGACATAGGACGTGGGGCCGGAAGGAAGAAGGGGGACATACCCATAGATTTGGCTTTTAATTTCTCGCCCTTGACGCTCCATAATCTGATACAGCTCTCGGGAGAGCCGACCGCCATTAATGACGAGTCTTGCGAGAATTCAACGGATGATACACTAGGCTGTCAGTCCTGCCCTTACGAAAAAGGATCGACCAGATGGAGCGAGCTTACCCCTCTCCCCCATCATACATTGTAAAAGCCACCACACTCGGCAAGACCGTCGTGGGCAAAACGCTCTTCCCGATATTCGCGCCCGGCCCTGATCGAATCATCCTCCTCTTATCCCTTACAGCCTCCACCTCTCGCTTCAGATCCGCCGTACGAAAGACAGCCGGGACAGGCGGGAACGTCTCCCCCGGTTCTGGACTGAGGGTGTCCGCGTCCAGATCGGGTTCGATCTCCTTCATGATCGGCTGGGTCATGTCGATATCCCCATTCGCGTCTGCTGCTCCATCGTTCGAGCCGGCCGCGTCGCGGTCACCATTCTCACCAGTGGCTGTACCGTTCGCTCCAGACGACTCAGTATCTTGTAACGTCCGCACCACCTGCTCCTTGAGCTTCTCGGTCTTGGGCGGGGGCCCGAGCTTGAGGGCGGTAGAGGTATTGAAGGTATCGAGGTCGGCTGTTGGGGGGATGTAGGAAGAGAGGAGTCCGGATGAGGAAGCGAGGGTGATTTTGTCGAGGGGCATGGGGGAGTGTGAGACTGGAAGTCAGCTCGGCTCCTGCGGCGTTTCAGAGGAAATGAGCTGACCTGTGATTTTGATGCGGTTGAAGACGATGCCCTTCACTGCCTCCTTCGCCCTTCCTGCCGTGGTGTGCAGACCGGCTTCCCAATCTTCGTCCAGTCCCGCTCCGCTCAGCCATTGCAGGAGGAGGTCATGCGAGTTTCGGGAAAGGGGTACAGTGTACTTGTTGTTTCTGCAGGTCAATCAGCTATCTTGCGAGTCACGTAAACGTGGACGAGCCTGAGGAAGCTCACAGAAGACGCTGAGATAGCGGGTGATTGCGTATTTGCAACTTGCTCGAGATGCCCGCTAAGGACGCTATTTCTGTCGAATGGAGAGCTTCGTGCGGTTTCCGATTACTGTCGAAGAATACACGGGCTGTATATGATGAGCTTGACGTCCGCTGCCATGGTGCGAGCTCTCAAGCTCACCTGATCGTTTGAAGCCAAAGTTCAGTAAGTCCAGGAAGGTATGAACGAATAACGGAAAGGATACCCCATCCAGCTCGGCCTGTACCCGTCAGCTCCTGCTGCCGAGCTCACGCAACGTCTAGCTCACCTTCCACAGATCCAGCCCCTGGTCGACCCATCTCCTATACCGCCCATACCCCTCCACTCTCTCACTCGGATCCAACACCCCTTCCCCCGTCTGCCTCGGTCGGTCCGCCGCGTCCCCTTCCGCCTCCATCGCCTCATCCGTCGCAGCCGCCTCCGACTTCCTCTGCAGCTGCTCAATGATGTATCTCGCTTGCGCCTCGAACTCTGGTGTAATCCGCTCCGACAGGGTCGAGGCTGAGACGGTCTGCGCTTGGGGTATATTCCGCTTGAGCGTAGATTCGATAGGGACAGGTTGAGGCGCGCGGATGATGGCTTCCCGTCCGCCCTGCGCTTCTTCCGTTTCTCCGCCGCCGCCTCCAGGACCTGACTGGTCCTTGATACCAGCTTGGATGATCTGGAGGGCGCGTTCAAAGCCGTGTGACTGGAGATACTCCATCACGAATTGGCGCAGGAGAGCTGCGTCGGCCCCGCCTGACTCGGGCTGGGAGCTGGGCCCAGCTTCGGCTGAGGGGTTGTCCGACATCTTGCGCAGCTCCAGAAGGGTCGAGGGAGGTGGATGCGGGGGTATGAGGAGAGTCAGGTAGAGAGAGATGTAAAGGCAAGGGTAGGCCTTGGGCTTGCTTGGTTCAGCCCGACGCCCACCCAAGCCACGTGGCGAGCATACCTCCACTTTCCCGGTCAGACCTCTCCCCCTCTGAAGCTTCAGTCCAGTCAACCTTCCTTCCTCTCATCCGCGCATATCACAACCCGAAACACGTACTCGCCCATGCAGCCCCCTTAACCCCTTTCGAGACCCCTCACCATCTTCTCATCCCCTCACATCCCCCTCATATCTCCGGACACGACCGTCAACCCTCAAGACCTCAAGATGCCAGACGGAACGGATGACTGGGCTGCCGACTGGGACGCCTCGGACTCTGGCGGGTCCGATACAGATCTCCCCCCTCCGCCGCCATACCTGAATCCCGACGCTGAGCTCGCCAAGTCGCTCGATCTTACTCGAGTATGGGAACCGGCCGCTCTAAAGTTTACGGAAACGCCCTTTACGATTGCGCAGCGGCAGAAGCAGAATGCGGCTGCGAATGCCCGCATGAGGCCTGGGGTGGGGGGAGGGGCGGGAGCAGGGAAGGGTACAGAATTCGGGAAGGAAGTCACTTTCCGAGCGGGCGATACACCACTCCTTCTCGGACCTTCAAGAACCACAGCGTCGAACTCGGCTGCTGCAAAAAAGAAGAATGCGGCCTCGACGGCAACTCAGGCGAACGGTCTCGGCGATACGGACGAACAGCCTCCGAGACGACGTGGACCTCGGCCTGCTCGGTCGAGTAATCTCTTTGGCGACGACCCGCCGGCCGAGAAGGCGGCTGCGAAGAAGAAGGCGGACAGGAAGTGGACCAAAGCCGAGGTGTACGGGTGGAAGGACGCGAATGGGAACCCTATCCCTTCGTCCAAACCCGCCAAGAAGGGGAAACAGCAGCCTAGTATATTGGATATGTTGGATCAGCCGGCGCCGAAGGGAAAGGCGGCGAAGGGTGGGAAAGGGAAGGGAAAGAAGGCGGCGGCGATAGGGGCGGAAGTTACGGTCAAGGCGGTAGGAGCGGGGATGGAGTTGCCGGAGGTGGAAGAGGTCGTGGGCAAGGGGAAGAAGAAGGCGCCGGCGAGGAAGAAGAAGGTCACTATTGCGGAGGAGGAGAATGAGGAGGTGAGCAGAGGCAGCTTCCTTCTTGGCGTACGCCGATTGAGGCATAAGCTGACCATGGCAGATCGTCCAAGGGAAAGGGAAGGGAAAGGCCAAGGCTGCCCCGAAGAAACAAGAAGACGACAGCGGTATCCCCGGTATTGAAGATATCGATCCGGCCGAATTCGACATCTCACCGCCCGACAGCCTCGTCCAGGCCGGTCCGAGCAAGAAGAAGTTCAAGTCCAAGGCGATCGTCGTCGATAGCGAGGACGAGGGGGACCTCGACGTGGAGGAGGCGGTGGAGCCGAAGGGGAAGAAGGGCAAGACGGCTGTCAAGCCAAAAAAGGCTGCGGTGGTGAGCAAGCCGAAGGCGAAGGGGAAAGGCAAGGCCAAAGATGAAGATGCGATCAAGTTCTCTTGTCTGCGTGAGTGCATTCTCCTCTCCCTGCCTTCCCCGCTTTGGTCTATTCTCTGCCCACTCAGTCCCTCGTAAAACGGATGGAGCTGACGCCCCAGCCGTCGGCGCCGAAGCGAGCGACGACTACCCCATCCTCCGACTCCTCGAGCATCAAAAGTCCCTCCCCGTCAAGCCCAAGCCCAAGCCCAAGACCAAAGCCGCGCCTAAAGTCCAAGCTGGAACCAAATCCAAAAAGTCCACCACCTCGGCGCTCGACGACCAAGCCGAGGAATTCCTCCGGACACTTCAAGCGGACCGAGCCAACAATCGCGCCAGCACGGGAATGAACATCGACGAGATCCTCCCTCAGATGGTCACTTCGCATCTCGCCAAGCGGAAACATACTGGCTCGGAGGGCGGGGGCAGCTCTATCGATCCGGAGGATACGGACGATGAGCGTTCGGGAAGGGGCGGGGATGATGGGGAGGAGGAAGAGGGAAAGAAGGGGTTGTTGAGTCGGTATTTCTCCGGAACGGGGACGGGCTCAATGGCCGATCACGCTCACCAGCATGGGGACCCCGAAGATCCGCCGACGATCACCAAGCTCACCCGCTCTGGCTCCGGTGCAGGCTCGGGCTCGGTCGAACCCGTCGAAGTGGCCGACTCATCCAGCGCCCTCCCGCATTCGTCGCCGCTCGAGTCCCGCGCGCTGAGGCGTCAAGACTCGTCCCTTGTCCACCCGCAGCCGATTCGGAAGATCCCTATCCCTGCTCTGCCGAACGCGGACAAGTTTGATCGGTTGGCGAGGCTGGCGGAGAAGACGAAGAGGGATGAGGAGGATGGAGGGGCCGGGGGAAGGGGAAAGAAGGGCAGGGACGTACCGGATATGACCTCTTTCATGAGGATGGGTGAGTTGTTCTCTCCTCTTCCTTATCTATCCCATTCGCCATCCTGTCCTGTGTGCGAGGAGAGACTACACAAACGCATATATAGGGTCAAAGAAGTCAAAGCTGATATCCAGGCTACACCAAAGTCGCCCCGCCAATGTCCACCTCCCGGGTCCGCGGCCGCTCCCCGCAACCCCAAATCGAGAGCCGATTCCGCCCTCCTCCGAACGTCCATCCCCTCAAACCGTCCCTCGACGAGGAGAGCACCGAGATGTTCCGGTCGCCGGCTTATCGGAAACGGCTCGCTTCACAGGCCAAGGCTAAGGCCGACGCAGATGCAGCGGCAGGAGCCAAGCCCGATCTCAGAGCAGAGCAGAGGCCTCAGCTGGAGTGGTCGACATCGAGCATTGGTCTTCTAGGGCAGAGAGGCAAGAAGCGGGCTGTGCCGGACTATGGTCACAGCGCCAATGGGGATGGGTACGACGATTCTCCAGGGTACGGCTCGACCTCCATATCGGCACGGGGCGGGACCTCGAACTCTGTGGAGATTGGCACGGCACGTACCATCAGCCAGCTCCCCAAGAAGGGAAACCTCTTCACTCCTCAGCCTCCGAAAATTACCGTCCCGATCCCGAAATTCCGGACTCTGGCGAGCGCGGAAAAGTCGGCGGCGATGACAGGGCAGTATGGCGCTGCAATGTCGACGACGAAGGGGGAGGCGGTATTGGATCCTTATGAGCGGGCGAAGAGGGAGGAGATGGCTCAGCGGGGTGTATTAGGAGGGATGGGAAACGGGCGGTCCAACGGGAACGGTTTCGGCTTCGGTATCGGCTATGGAAACGGGAACGGAAACGGACACAGAGGCGGAACGGTCCGGTGGGCGGATACCGACCCTTCCTCGGAGACTATCCCTCTCCCAGGCCGGTACGACAGCTATCAAACTCTCAGGCCAGCACTACAGAAGGGGAAGGAACAGGGGAAAGGGGACGTGAGGCCACGGTACATGCCTTCGCTGGCTGTCCCTTATGGCCGAGGCGGGAATGGGGAGGGGGTGTCTGCGGAGGAGAGGGGAAAGCGGTGGCAAGATGAGTGGAAGCTGCCGAGTAAGAAGCGGGGTAGGGTGGATGAGGATCGGCCGGTCTCGAGCTTTGGGCAGAGAGCGGAAGTTGACTTGGAGAGAGACGGGGAGTGGATGGGGAATGGGAATGGGAACGGCACCTCGGCGGACTACCCCGCGACATCCTCATCTGGTACTCGATACCCCAGCAGCGGCGACTACCCTACTCAGCGCTGGAAGGGCGATATCGACGAGGCCGATCTGTACGACACTTCCTACACCGCCCCAGCGGTACAGTCTGCGTCGTTCATGCCGGCCAGTACCTACCTCGACCAGCCAGAGTCTATCGTCGAATCTGAACCTACCCGGCGCTCCGCTCCTACCTTCCCTCGAGCCAACAAAGCGCCCATCGCTAGTTTCTCCGCTTCAGCGCGGCGCGCCCCCGCTAGCTTCTCATCCTCCAACGGCATAGCTGGGCACAGTGATCCCCACGGGCAAAGTAAGGCGGAGTGGAGGGACGATACTGTGGATTCGTATTTGAGGGGTGGACAAGGGTGGAGGGATGTCCATCAGCAAGGAGAGGCTGGGCCGTCTAGACTGGGCGGGTACAATGGTGCGTACGGAGGCGGAGACGACGAGGGGTGGGAGTATGGAGGATATGGGGAGCAGGGGTATGGGCAGATGGGATATGGCGGAGCGAGGGAGATGGACTGGGAGGGAGCTAGGGCATGAGAATGGTGCGCGTGGAAGAAGGTGATGCAGCAGAACGTGAGCTGAGTGGCGCAGATGCAGGATCGAGCATAGCTGACTTGGAATAGCTGTATATATCTATCATCAATCAGGAAGGCTGGGGCTGTGTAGATTCGACAAGGACGTACATGTCTCTTATGTGTAGCGATTACTATTGTGTATAGTAAGGGAGTTGCTCGAGCGTAATCATGCATGTTCATACCATCACCCCCTGTTTAGAGCGCGCAAGCTTGATGTGCGGCAACCTCACTGTCGACTCTTGCATGTTTGTGCGACATCTGATTATACGACCCTGCTACCGTTCTGTCTTCACAGTATGTATTCCGCCCTCGCTTGATCTTCACCTCATACAGATCGTCTCCCCTTCCCCATTTCGATCCCAACGATACCTTGATACCCTAGTAGGTCCCTCGATACGTCGTCTTGCTTTGCCAGCTAAACTGTCAGTCCTGGTTCTCAAGGCTGATCGGACTGGGTCATCGGCCTCCGACTTACGGGAACCTCCTCTTGGGCTTCTCACCAACCACAGTCATCCCTGGCGAGGCGTCATGGCTCGACCTGTACTTTTCCGAGTATCGGCCGAATGAGCCGCACCCCGCTGCGCAGATAGCGAGGGTAAGCAAGATCTAGCTTATCAGCTTACGGCCATCGTGGTAGGGTTCAAAGCTGGTCTACTCACAGCAGCGGCGAGAGCAAGCCACACGCCCGCCCCGAGCCTGGCATCAAAGACGTCTCGAGTATAGTCCTCGACCCTCTTGCGAGCGACGAGGGCGATCGAGATGTCTAGGGCGAATGCGACCCATGCTGCCAGGGACGTAAAGAAGAGTGTGAGGAAGCAGAGCTAATTCAGTCAGCTCATCTGGTACGTACCGGTAAGGAGGAGGTGGACGTACGATTTCAGCCACGCGGCTGGAAGCCAGCCAAGCGAGCAGGGCAAAGATGAAGCTGATGCCCGCAAATCCGGCCGCGATTGGGTTGAGGACCAACGCGCCCGCCAAAGTCTTGGCGACTACCTGAGCGCCGTTTGCGTTGCTGCCTGTCCCGAAGAACCGGGCGTCGAGGTCGTAGCCTACCGTAGCGGGTGTGCAGCGGGAGAAGCCGGAATATGAGTAACCGAGGAATCTGTGGTATCAGCTTGTGCCCCGATTCCCAATGAGAAGGTGGACCAGAGCTTACTCGGCATTCCCACCCTCGTAGCAGGCGCCAAAGACGCCAAGGCGGACGTTGCCTGATGCGCCGGGACCGGTGATGGACAAGAGGTAGATGGTCTTGGTGTATGGGACAGAGAGGGTGACGAGGAGGAGCAGTATGAAGCCGGAGGCTGAGGGTCAGCCAATGTTTACATTCGGGGAATGGACGTACCGGTGAAGAAAAGAGCGGGGAAAGCGGCAGGAGCGAGCATTGTGTGCGAGTCGGTATATAGCGGACTGGGATGTGAGGGGATGTACGAAGTTGAGAGTGAATCAAGCGGGCAGCGCTGTAGCTATAGTCGGAGAGTCAACCCACGCTGTGCAAGATGCAGTGTCAACAAAGGAAGGGATCGAGTGAGTGGCCAAAGGAAGGGACGTTGAGCTATGACATCCTTGTCCCTTTCGCGCAAAACTGTGACCGTCGTTGAGGGGCGGCTATACCCCGTGTCCGTGTTTCATATATCATATCTGAAACACATTCCACGATTTGATTCCGCGTGCCTATTCGGACTTGCCCCATCTGGCAAGTGGCCAACTACTGAAATGAGTTGCGGGTGCCGTTATCCGCTTTCTCAGGAACGGCGATTGCCGGAATCCAAGATGTCCTTATCTTTGACCTTCTCCTGACTTCTCTGTCCCTGGCACACCCAAAGGACTTTCGCCACCCACGCCTTCTATGTCTGCCACGAGCTTATCGCGGTGCGGCGCAGCTATGAGCCAAGGAGAACGACAAAAGACGCTAAGATGTGCTCTGGCTCTAAGCAGACGCGCTAAGGGCGGCAACGCATGGAGCCCCTTATCTGCCTGGAGCCCCTTATCAAGGGATCGAGATGAGTAAGCGATAAGGGAATGTTTGGTGGCGCGGCATGTCTGGGTAAGACAATCGCCGAGGGAGAGATCCATAAAGGATCTATCAATTCACCCGCCTCCCTCGTTCCCCTCTTTCCCTCGCACACACTCACATCCTTGATTCTTTCCATCACATTCCACGCATCTTCTGTTTATACTCCTACCTGTACACTCTCAACCACTCACAATGGCCACCGTACCCTTCCCCAAGTCCGCACCCAAAGACATCCCTGCTCGACTCCACGAGCACTACCACTGGATCGACGAGCCCATCGACCACGCTCAGCCCTTCTCCCCCGACTTCAGCTTCACCCACGATGGCGACAGCTTTGAATCGGGTCCATCCTCCTACCTCCAAACCCCTCCTTCCGATCCCATCCTCCACCCCTCCTCGCCACCCACCGGCAAATTTTCCTCCTCCCCCCACCCCAACCTCCAAGCACAGCTGGACGAGCGTCTCGCCACCCTCGCTGCTAACCCCACCACGCCCGTCATCGACCTCTTGACGGCTGGAGTAGGTGAGCTAGCACACGCCCTCGACTCGCGTGAGCTGACCAGCGTCCGCGCCATCAAGATGTACCTCTCGCAGATTGAGCGTTTGAACGGCTATCTCCACGCCTTGACGTATGTGGCTGGAAGGGACATGTTGCTCGAGCAGGCGAGGGAGTGTGATCGGCTCATCAGATCCGAGGGGTTTGATAGGCGCCAGATGCCCCTCTGCGGTATTCCCGTTGTGGTCAAGTGAGTCAGCCTCTGAGCCTTCCGGAGATAGCTGACACATCAGAGACAATATCGGAACGGCTGCCGAGCTTGGAATGCCAACCACAGCAGGCTCTCTGGCGCTTCTCGGCAACACGCCAAAGTACGACAGCACGGTTGTCAAGAAGCTACGGGCAGCAGGAGCTATCAGTACGTCCTGGGACGTCGTACAGTAAGCACGCCTTTGTGACTCTATTGACACCCAGTCATCGGAAAAGCCAACATGACCGAGCTGGCGTCTTATCGCTCCAGGTCATGCCCGAACGGATGGAGTCTGGTCGGAGGGCAGACAGTCAACGCCTATGTGAGCTGCCAACTCGTCCACCGATACTGGCCTAGCTGATATTCTCAGGCTGCTCATGTCTGCCCTGGATCCAGCTCAAGCGGGAACGGCGTCGCCGCAGCAGCGGGGTTTTGCGCTCTCTCTGTCGGGAGCGAGACTGGTAAGCTCCCTACTCGAGAGATATGAGCTAAGCTGACTCTACAGACGGCTCGATGACACTCCCCGCTATGCAATCCGCACTCTACGCTCTCAAGCCCACAGTCGGTCTCCTCTCCCGAGTCGGCTGTGTCCCTTTTGCACCCACCTTTGACACACCCGGAACGATGGCGAAGGATGTATGGAGCGTCGCGGTTGGGCTGGACGTCATGGCTGGGGAGGACGAGGAGGATCCGGAGAGTCTGACGGTCCCAAGGCTGCCTTCATCCATGCGAGTGAGTTGCTCACTCCAGCTTCAAACTGCCCCACTTCCCGTGCGGAAGCTGATATATCAGTACTCTGACTTCTGCACCAACGCCTCCTTCTCTGGACTCCGGATCGGTCTCCCACGAGCCGTATGTCTTTCCTTACCTGTCCCCTCATCTTCCCTGTCGCACCTTTGCTAACTGCCAGGGCTGGTTCAACTTTGACCCCTGGTCCCCTCCCAAGCCATACCACCCGCACCGCAACGTCCTCCGCGCCTTTAACGCCGCCATCGCCACCATGTCCCGCTGTGGCGCCACCATGGTGGACGACGCACTCGTCCCGTCCGCAGCGGACGGCACGCTCTGGTACAGTATGTGGAATGGGCGGGCTTTGGTGGTGAATGCCGACTTTAAGGAGGCGTTTGGGCGATACTTGAGGGGAACGGCACGGAGTGGAGGGTGTGAGAGTATCGAGGATGTCATTGCGTAGGTCCAGCTCTTGCTTCTCGAGGTAATAATAGGAATTGAGTACTGACGACCAGATTCAACACGCAAAATGCAGTCCTCGAGATGTCTCCAGAGCGAGCCGTGGGGCAGGAACTACTCGAAGGCGCGCTTTCCGCCCCATCGGTCGATTCGCCAGAGTATCGCGAGGCCAAGGAGGAAATGCGATACCTCGCTGGACCGCGCGGGCTGGATGCGGTCCTGGACGCCCATGGGGGTCTTGACGCGATCATGGTGATTGGGCATGGGAAGCATAGTCTTGCGGCTATGGCGGGGGCGCCCATTGGTATGTCTACTCTTTCTTTGCTTTGAATGATCAGAGGGAGCAGCGGAAGAGTAGAAGGGTGGAAGAGAACAGTGGCGGGCCAAGTGCTGATCAACAGGGACGGTCCCTCTAGGCCTGATGGATGATGGCGAACCGATCGGGGCGTACTTTATCGCTAGAAGGGGCGGGGAGGGGACCCTCTTGCGGATCATGGCGGCCTGGGAGAGGGAGTTTGGGGCGAGACCTGTACCGCCTATCTAGGCAGGCGATGTCGATGGTCACGGGAGAGAAATATGGGTGAGAGCTGGAAGAGTCTGTGGGGATTGTCGGTGTTACTGGTCAGGCTTAGATGTGTGTATAGATTAGATAAGGTCATATGTTAGATTGTGCCATATTGTACTCTTAAACCGTCTGAACAGAAGGGGGTGGGCTATCGATACATTCCGCATGGCTGGGCGATGATCTTGCGCCAAAGTCGAGCTAAGGCTATGACGGTCCAGTCGACCAATAGACTGGGGTGATCGGTCGCTCCCCAATCGAGGGAGAATCGAGGGAGAATCGCCGTCCTTGTCGTGGAGGGTTCTGTAACGTCGAGTGTCCCATGACCAGCTCGGATAAGGGGATTTAGCAGCTAGCCAGTCAGCTCCATCCATCATGAGAGTATGCAGCGTCCAGCTCACCTCTGAGAGTGTCCTCCTCGTCGCAGTCTCATTCTCGCCTGAGACGCAACGTAGAGCCTCTTCTAGGCAAACCCGACCTTCTTGGCGGTCTTCCCGCTCTTGGTCGGGACGGCTACCTCCCCTCCTCCCGCTGCTGCCCCGCCTTCTCTCTCATGTTTCCGAGCCTTCTTCGCCCGCCTCTTTTCGAGAATGACGGCCTTCGCGTCCGCCTGATTATCAGCTGCGCACTCAAAATCCTCTTCTGCTCCTCCTTGCCCATTCTCACCACTCAGAAAAGGGGGACATACCAAAGCCTTCTCCTTTTCTGCGCGCTTCACCTGACCCGCCGTACTCGTCTTCTTGGCAATCCCGCCCGCTCCAATCTTGGCACTGGCCTTCGCTTTGGCATTCTTGGATGAGCTACCGCCGGGACCGATACTGTTGGCGCCAGATGAGGGCGGAGGGAGGTTGGGTTTCACTTTGTCGACTTTGGATTGGGCGAGGGCGGCTTTGGAGGCTGTTATGCCGGAGACAAGGGAGAGGAGGGATGACTTAGAAGCGTCAGTTCTGTCATCATCGTTGAAGGATGGGCGTGATGGAGGAGGGATGAAATCATTCGAAGGTGGATGCGGGAGAAGAGAGTGACCCACCTTGTCTTCCATGAATGTCTTGCCCTTCTTGCCTGTCCCGCCGGCCTTACGCTTGACTTGCCCCTTCTGGAGAGGTTCTGATGGTGCCATGGCAGATACGGAGCGGCCTGAGCTCGTACGCTTCGAAGAAGGTAGACAATGCGATATGGACTGCAGACGGAGTAAGGTACAAATCGCAAGATATCAGCGAAAATTTGCACAATAGATATCCGCAAGACAAGCCCACGAGCACTGAGCGTTTCGACGAGTGAAACGGTGAAGGCTATCATTCAGCCGCTGAGGGGAGTCATGCTGTGGTGTTCACTCCATCGAGTGTGGCTCACTTTAGAGCTGCATGCTATACGGTACTGGTCCCCACGCGTAAATGTCCATGGACCATATCCCGCCGTATCGTCCACCTCAACTCAGTACAACTGCCAATCGTACCTCACCTTCTCCCCCCAGAATCCCTTCGGACACCCGCCCACCTTCCCGCCGCCCAGAGCATACACCTGACCCTCGTTCCCTGTATACCTGTCCCACCGCTCCGCCCGACTTTCGTGCTGCTTCGGTCCAACCACCGGTTCTGGCTTCGGCTTCGGCTTTGGCTGGGGCTTCGGCCCCTTGTCTGACGGACAGGATAGGTTCCTGTGCCGGATGGTACAGTCAATATGTTTTGGGATACCGAGCTCTGAGCCGATCCCGCCAGGAAGGACGGGAAGGGCGATACCGATCTCTGCACCTCCTGGCTTAGGGGGCGGGGCGGGAAGAAGAGGGGGAGATATGTTTGGGTCGAGGTTGTGGATGAAGGCGGACCAGTGCGAGAGGACTTTGTCTTGCTGCTTTCATCAGCTGATCCCCTATCGTCTTGTTCGGACATCAAATACATCTCAGCTGGTAGACTCACGAGTGCTGCTGTCTCTGCATTCGGTGAAGGTGTCATACGGAATGTCGGAAAGATGTCGTCCTACATGTCAGCTATGAGATCGTCCACCGGCCAAGAACAAGCCAGCTCACCTCATGGCACACTCTCCCCTGCTGCCCGCAATACCCGCCTCCAACATTACTGGCATACCCCACCCCCTTGGTCCACTCCCCAACCCACACCTTCCCGCCTTGTTCCGCCCATCGCCCCGCAAAGTCCCTACTCGGACACCTCCACACCCCATCACTGACCAGCCTCTCGAACGTCTGCCTGAACTCATCTTCCCCCTTCTTGCCCGTCATAGCGTACTCTGACGAATTGGCAATGACGCCCGCGCGAGATGGATTGACGAAGACCGATAGAACGCCGGTGTATGTTGCGTTGTCGGCGGGGATGGGGCGGGGAAAGAGGGATCCGACGACTTGACCGGCCTCGTTTGACGTCGTGGTAATGAGAAGGGGAACAGCGATAGGGGGACTGGGAAGGGTGTAGGCGGTGGAGAAGGCTTGGGAGGTCGACTCGAGAGGAAGAGTGGGGGTGTTGTGTGTCGGTCGTAGCGCTAGAGAGTCAGCTCAGTCAAGCTCAGCCTCAAGTACGAGAAGGATCCAGCTTACGAGTGACGACTGGAACACCGGGGACTTGACTTGGTGCGGCAACGATAAAGCCCGCCTGACCCTTGAGGATATCACCGACAGGGATGCGCTGGAGGCAGGCGAAGTCAGAGCAAAAGGCCAAGGCGGGCTGAGAGTAGAACATTTGTTGTAGTCGGGAAGTGATACTGGCCGAGGCTGTCCCGTATGTCTACTTCGTCAGCTCTGTAAGGCTCAGCGACAAGGATCACATACCATCGGATCAGACTGAAGTACTGCAGCCCGGAACAACCCTTTCGCTCTTGGTGCAGCTAGCAGTGCTACTGGTCAGCTCTGTACCCTGCTAAGAATGTGGAAGTAGGCAAGTAGCTCACCACGGATCATGGACGCGCCCGAGCTCTGTCCGCCCAAAGTGACCCTGCCCCGGTCCCCGCCAATCCACTCGGCGTACGACTGGATCTGGGTAAGAGCAAGAATGACATCCTTGATGGCGAGACTTGCATCGCCGCTTGCTGGACTGGAGGAGGGAGGGAGTAGGCCGAGGATACCTAGACTGCAAAGTGATTAGCTTGCTGTCTCCGCGAAGAGAGCGGAACGGGAAGCTAAAGAGCCAACGCACCGGTACTGTAGAACTACGACAATCATATTGCCCTTCGTAGCCAGTACCGATCCATCCAGACCGGGACTAGAAGCCGAGCCAGCATAGAAGGATCCTCCATGTATCCTATAATCGAGTCAGCTCGTTCTCATGCCCGCTAGAGCTGTCGAGACATCAGAAGCTCACCAAACAAAGACCGGAAGCCTATCCCCCCTCTTCGCGGTCTTTGGTGTATATACCACCGCGTAGAGGCACTGTTCGTCCTGACCCGGCGATGAGACCAGCATAGGCCCTCCCGGGGTCTGCGGACAGACAGGCGGGAGCGTCGTCGCGTCGTGTTTGCTATTCTGTCAGCTACCGCTCGTCTTCCTTCAGGCGGCTAGCCGAGAATGAGCTGACATACCTCTGATCCATCATAGGCACTGCATCCTCCCATCGCCTCGCCTGGGCATACTGGACCGTATATCTGCAAGCTCCGCCGTCGGTCGCTCGACCAGCAAGCGCCAACCCGGGGAAATCAAGGGTACATTCCGCACGTGCGGTCGCGGGCGCTGCCCGACCGAGATGTAGTAGCGAGAGCGAGAGCAACGCGAGCGAGGAGAGCAGCATTGGGCTAGGCGGAAGAGTGTCGGCGAGGTGAAGAGAGCAAGGCGAAGAGGGACTGATGATCTAGCATGGCTAGCATCTTGCACGCTAGTTCCCTTGGACGCGCTTTGGCCACTCGTCAATCAGGGGTCCGAGCGGGATGTTTCGACAACAAGAAGCACAAAGACGGGCGGCGTGTGCCTGGCTTGGAGGCTGGCCTCGTGCCTGCTCCATGACTGCTAGACTGCTAGACTGGTGTGGATGAACGAGAAGGACAAGGACAAAAAGCGAAAAGATGAAACAGCAACCCCTGTTTCAAATCGCCGAAAACGCCGAGGGGCAGGGAGATCGTCCGCCTGCAGTACTCAGCTGGCTGTCAGCTATCTCTTGCGGACCGATCCTACCCTCCACATGATTTCACCACTCTATGACGATGTTCTGGAAGAGGGCGAGGTAGTCGGGGCTTAAGCCTGGATGCGAGAGCGCTAGCGGTGCTGATCGAGTCGGCCAAGAATAACGGGACGCGAGACCAAAAGGATATCTGCCATGAAGCATCCCACCAGCCCCAGCGCCGAAAAAAGGGGCACATGATGAAGGGAATCTGAACGATGATGAGCGTGCTCACGGGCGGCCGTCGAAATATGTAAGCCAGGCAGACACCAGACATCCCCTTCCCCCTCAACCGTACTTCAACCTCTCAAATCCACCCATATCTCTTCGCCGCCCGATCTCATACTGAATTGACACAAGATGGAGCAGACCAACGACCCGAACTCCTCCAAACTCGGCCTCACCTCTTCCGGGACACAAGCTACCGTCAACTCCCACAGTGCGAATGACCCCTTCACGCAGACCACCGATGTCGACAGCGGGACATTCTTCTTCGAACTCCGCTTCACCCGCGCTGGCTCTGCAGAGGTCCAGATCATCCAAAGCAGTGGTCCAATGACTGACTTCTGGCCTCTCTCCTCACACGTGGGGCAGCCTCTGAGCCAAAAAATTGATTTCTGTCCCACTCGGCTCGGCTCTAACTGCATCCTCCGCCGAATTATGGCCGAAAACATCAACAGCTGTACCCTGGAGCCCGGGAGCGATCTTCTGTCGGTCTGGGTCGGAGAGCTGCCTGTTCAGGCAAGTGAGCGTGTGAGAGAGGAGGAGGGTGGGGCGGAGGGGAAGTAGCAGTTATCCGTCATATTGCTGATCGCTGGTATGGCTGCTTGTGCTTAGACTGGCAATGAGGGAGGGGTTTCAAATGTATACATTGCATGCAGCGATGTCCTCCTGCCTGGGTGACACATAGAAGGGAGTAGATACAGCCAAGCTAGCTCAAAGGAAGGTAAGGCTGTTCAAGGGCGCCATTCGCTCCTCCCGAATCGTCCTTCAATCTGTCGACCTTGCTTACATCTCTCTGACACCCAATCTCACTCTGAGCCCGCACATAATGAACGACACCCATGCCCGTAAGACTCCTACGCCCCCTCCAACCATGGCCGAGATACACCCTGCCAACCCCTCTCCCCGTCCCAACAAGCAGACAGCCAGTGTCGAGGGCGAGATATACCTATACCACCTTCAACTGACCTTTGGCGCGAGGACGGACTCGGATGTCCAGGTCATCCAGGTCGATGGGACGCGAGAGGACTTCCTACATCTCTGCGAGCACATATACTTGCCTCCCGCTCAGAGAGTGCCAGATGCTTGTCCGTCCGGACTGAACGGCCGAGACTGCGCTTTACGCCGGATCCTGGCGGACGAGACGCGCAATAGGACGGTATTGGGGGATGGAACGGAGCTGTTAGGGATGTCTTTCGAGCGCGAGAAGCTTGTCCGGGATGTTGCATCGGCGCGTGGGGAGAAGGGGAGAGAGCTCGAGAATGAGGGAGAGAAAGAGAGGGGAGAGGCGAAGGGAAAGGAGGAAGAGGACGCGAGGCAAGGAGCCGCCGCCGTGATAGCGGGAATTTCCGTACTTCGTATGTCCGCTTTAGCTAGGATGGCTACTAGGAGGAGAACCCCAGTTGTGTAGGTGATAAATATATATGATGTGTTTTCGAATACTCGCTGGATCCTCAAGGGCTCACACTCGCAGAAGCTATTAGTAGAGACGGCCCGTAGCTGCACAAGATCATATAGGTCAGATGATATGACTTGACATGGTGCAGGCCAACTATGATGTGCTATAAACATGCTATGAAAGATTAAGTCGAAGAAAGGTCTATGGATGGGGAGTATGTAGACAATCATGGGATCAAGACACAAGGTGACGATGATGGGAGGGGAGATAGGCAGAGATCACTACGTCCCAGATACACAGCTCCCTTCACTCCTCGTTCCCCCGCTCTCACACAGCCGACCTGACCGCCCTCGAACCCCTCGTCACAGGCTTCCGCCCTCCCGGCGTCCTAGGCGTAGGCGGCGGCGCCTGACTCCTCGTCTCCCTCTCCCTCGCCCGCTGAATCTCCATCCGTCTCTGCCTATCCCTTTCCCGCTCCCTCTCCCGCTCAGCCCGTGTTTCTTCCGCCCTAGCCGCCGCCGCTCTCGCTCGTAGACCCTCCAGGATGCTCTCCCTCGACGCCGAGGTCATCCGACTCGAGCTGCCGCTGGCGCTAGCGCCGGCCCTAGCACTCCCGCTAGTGCTAGCACTGGACAAGCTTGATCCTGATGACGACCCGCCCACTTCCCCAGACCCATCACTCGCCGAGTCCGACTCCCCATCATCCTCCTCCGACCCCGACGACGAGTCCGACTCCATGATGTAGTCGTCATCCTGCGATGGGATATCGATGGGGATAGGAGGGGAGACCGCGCGGCGTACAGCGAGCGGAGGAAGCGGAGGAACGCCGGGCGAGACGGGCTTGGCGGCGGGGAGGGAGGAAGAGGAAGAGGATGCAGTGTCGGGAGTAGGTTCAGCCATGATAATGTCCTCTCCGGGTTCGTCGCGCGAGTAGAGGGGGAGGGGGTCGCATTCCCTGAGATCGCCATTCTCGTGGAAGAGCTGAATGTAGGCGGGGAGGTGGGACTCGTCTTTTAGCTTGGAGTCGGGCGAGGTGGCTGGCAGGGTCCCGAACCGGATTGGCGTAGTGAGAAGGATGATTTTCTGTGTGTCAGCTATCTCTGCAAAGGAGCGGCAGAAAAAGCTTACAGTCTCATCCGACCCAGCGTTCCGGCAGACCATCTTGATCTTGAGGTTGTGGCGAACACGGAGGAACGGGCTATCCAGCTCGCTCTGCGGTCGGTTCCCTTTCTGCTTGGAGTCCACCGCCGGCATGGGCAAGACGACATTGACCTTTCTCCATCGATCAGCGAGCGAGAGCCCATCTCCCGCGAAAAAGAAGTTGCGCTGGCTACCGTCGTCCGCGAGCAGACACGGGCGGGAGGTGGTGGCTCGGTGCGGACGGGCGTCGTTTTGGAGTATGACGCCCATGTCGGCGAATGGGCTCCGGCCAGAGATGAGAGGGTGGACGGTGCCGGCGCGGTTGGGCTGGTTGGCGGGGACGGGGAAGGACTGGCCCCAGGACGTGATGGGTGTGGAGCTGATGATCAGCTTCGTCTTTGAAGCTAGTAGCGTGTACTCACGAGAACCGCTCGACCTCTTCCACTTCCATACCCAGCTCCAGAACGTGCGTGTAGATATCCTCCGCCTTGTCCACCTTGCTAGCCGAACCAGACTGAGAAGAAGGTCCCGCCGCCGCCACCGAGGAGGACGATGACGAGGACCCGGCACTTTGAGCTGGCTCCCGGATGTTGAGCGGACACGCATCCCCGCCCGCCGTCCAGTCTGGCGCCCGCTTCGCTCGCAGCCGCAGAGCAATCTTTAAACTCCTCTCTGGCCCATTGACATCCACCCAGTCCGGGCACATGACGATGCACTCGACAGGGCTGTCCGGGTCCGCCTCGGGCTTGAGAGTGTACTGGCGCTCGGCAGGGCGGTCGGAGAGGGAGATGGCAGCGGGGAGGCGGTGGCGGATGATATCGAAGAGGGTGTGTTTGGATGAGGAGGTGACGGGGGAGTTGGAGGTGGAGGATTTGGGGAGAAAATACTGGTCGAATCGAGATCGCCGTACCGAGGTCTTTTGCTCCATAGGCTCTTCTGCTGACAGACATTCCCTCCAGCTCTCCTTCGCCGCCGCTTGTTCCGCCAGGAAGCTGTACTGCGCCGTTGGGCTGGGCGAGGGGGATGATGCCCATACCAGCGTCGCCTTGGCCGTCACGCCATGCTCGATCTTGGTCATCCGAGAGATGTGGGTTGGTGGAAGCCAGCCGGGTAGACGAAGGTCGAAGGGGATGGAGAGGAGGAGCTTGGCGTCATTGGGACGGAGAGGGTCGTGTGAGGGGATGGAGAGGGCCTCGGTGGCGAGTGACGCGACGTAAGTGTGGAGGCGGAAGGGAGTGTAGCGGCCTAATGGATCAGCTAATGTCCATAATCGACAAGAATAAGCTAGCTCACCGTGATCGTCGTGATAATCGGTCATGCTCTCCATGGTAAGCGTGAGATCCTTGACCTCTCGCTTGCGCGTCTGCTGGACCCCGCGAGGTAAGGCAGGGAGCTGGAGCGTGACGAAGCCGGATAGCGAGTATGAAGATCTACCTATCAGCTCCACCCTGACCCAAAGCAGAACCGACATACCCAGTATTGGGTCCACCGACCATCTCGACCAGACCGCCATTTTCAAAGCTGACTTCGACCTTGGCCGTGAGGTAGTGGGAAGTGGGGTAGAGGAAGCTCATGTCGCTTTCTTCTGCGTCGAAGAAGGGTGGAGGGTGGATATCTAGGGGCAGAATGGGGGATTTGGGAGTGCCGATCTTGTTGACCCCTCGGTGGCTGGTCGACCGGGCTGATGTTCGACCTTTATTAGACCGAGTGTTTGGGCGAGATGAAAGTGAGGACGACGATGCAATGAGCCCGACTTGCGAAGTACTGATATAGGTACTAGGCTCGGTGGTCGTGTTCCTCCGTTTGCTTCTCCTATTGTCAATGTCGCTTATTGTTCTCTCGCGCGCTCGGGCCGGGTCCGCCTTTGGAGGTGAGGAGTAGGGCGGCGGTAGATCCGAATGAAGAGTTGCTGACGGCTGGGTGTGCGAGCGTAGTCTGCGCGGAGAGTACGAGTCGACGAGCTGGCTATATTTAGCTATAGGGAGGGCGGAAGCGGTGGAGGAGGAAGTTCGAGAGGAAGAGGAGGCTGCGGTTCGATGAGGGGGAGACATGGTGAAGGATGGGAGGGGCTGCCCTTTAAAGGGGCTGCCGTCGAGGGGTGAGCTGGCGAGGAAGAAGCCGATTGTTGTCCGTTGACCACAGGCTGTGCCTCCAGCCAGACCGGCAGATTATAGGTAGTGTATAGGTAGGACAAGAAGAAGTACAAGGAGTTCCGTCAAGGGGACGCCTAGAATCTGACACACTCAAATCTGCAAGTGGGTGGGGGACAAGGGGAAAGGCTGGGTGGCGGAAGGAGGTGAGGCAAAGGGCGTAGAGTGGGGGAGAAGGGCAGCGCGACGGTGGCTGTGTGTGCTGTGTGTATGGGTATGCCTTTGGGGCTTTTGTTCTGTCGGCTTCCGTGATGTGAGGCCGAGACGCGGAGGACGGACCGAAGGGCAGGTGACCGAGCTGCCCGCGTGTATCAATGACGCGGTTGATTGGTCGTATGGTCGGCAAGAGGACAATAAGAATGCTGAGCTGAGGAGGGGACAAGTGGTGGAGACAATAGAGCGAGGGAGGGGAGGGGAAGGAGGAGGGCCGTGGGTGTCCGCAGTGCTCAACTCTAATTACGCAACTGTCACAGCGGGGTAACCCTCTTTGTTCCCGTCGGACCCTTACCCCGCGTGTTTCAGCTTTGTTTCACCCAAGCGGAATGACGTATATGTACATATGTATCCAGCTCAATGAATCCGTGCTCAGGCCTTCCCAGCTAAGCCGACGGCCAGCCCAACTCAACTTGCCCAGATCATCATTCAGACCCCTAGCAGCTCGAAGCCGCAGTATCCATGCTCGCTGAATCGTCCCCATCCTTGTCTTCTTGTTGCCCCGAACCAGTGTGAGCGGCCGCCTGCTCCTCTGATCGACCGTCCTCTTCGTCCTCGCCGAATCCGTCGCCGAAGTCGCTCGTCAATGTGCCTTTGTACTTCGGCTTTGCCCACACAGCTTTGGTGAACTTGTCTGTTGCTGGGTTCATGGTGGTGAACTTGGGAACGATCACGAGATGCCGCAGGCCATCCGTCTGCAAGCTGTCAGCTGTTTACACTGTCAGATACGACAGACTTTGTCAGCAGAAACCGTACCGCAAATTGCACCGCGCTCCGCTCTTCCGCAGTCATGTCGGCGATCTCGGACTTCCAGTGTTCCTTGGCTTGCGTGAGGAGGTTGTACGTGATGCGCTCGACGTAAGCTGCAGTCGCCTTCGTGTCCTGCGGATGGGGTCGGTCTCCCTCGCCGCGGACCACGAAGTTGTTCTGAAGGACTGTCTTCGGATCAGTGTATAGCGTGACACTGATGGAGACAACGTCTCTGGACGAGGAGCCCTCCCACGGCACCGTGCCCTGGTATCTCGCGTCTGCCCATCCTGGTACGCCCATCCTCCCTGTGTTCATGCCGGCAGGAACAAGCAGGAGGTAGCTCAAGCCATCGGTCTGTATGCTGTCAGCTACATCCACAGTCATACTGAATCGACGAAGTCGGCTATAGACGACGTACGGCGAATTGGACTTCGCTCTGCTCGTACTGCGTCAGTTGTGCAGTATGCTTGCCAAAGTACCACTTGGCGCTTGAGGCAAGATCCTCCGCCATGAGCCGCACGTCCGCGTGAGTGGCCCCATCCGTACCTTGAAGGCTGAGACGAGGTCTTGCGGTCGTCTCGAGCACCTTGCTCGGGGGCGTGGCCTTCCCAGTGGGGTCTGTGTACAGCGTGACCTTGATGGCGACCTTGTCGCTGGCCATGGATGAAGAGCCAGTACCGGTGAGGTTGGACATGGTGAAGTGCAGGGACTTTGTGAGTGAAAGTGACTGATGGGATGAAGACTGTAGCTGGCGGGCCTGTGTTGTAGGATTCTACAGGGACTAGACGGGCTTTATGTAGTGCGACCTGAAGGAGAATGAGACTTGTGTCGCACACATGTCCTTTGTGACCGCAACGCAGGTGTTATCAGCACCATGTCTGTCCACTCCGCTCGCTCGCTTAGATTTGCAGGCCCGCCAGCCTCGCCACTTCCGACAGCTCCGATAGACACAGCTCCGCCAGCTCCGCCAGATTTGTCAGATCCCCCAGCTATTATCTGGGTGTTCACAGTTAGAAGAAAGGAGATTGCGCCGTCATATTGAGCCCCCTTGCCCAAATCAATCTGACCCAAAGGATCGTTGGTGCTCATACGTGTATGGCGCGTATGGAGCGGATCAGCTCATTTGAGCGGGGGTCCAAGCGTGCACCGATCTGAGTCCTAAAGATCTGCTGTCTCAGCGGAGTTTAGGTCAAACGCGACCGCACACCCTAGGCGACAGAATCCGCCGAGTGGGAACCGAGTAGCGAATGGTGGCGGAGTCCGCTGCGCGACAACGGGCGCATCTGACCCGGACTGGGCCTCAAAATTTCGATATAGCGGAGTCTCGCTCAAACGCCAACATACAACCTGCGCAATCAGTGAGGTCCGCCAGGCGGACGGGAGCCGAATGTGAGCGGAGCCGAGTACAAGTACGCACATTGCGTAGGGCACAAGATCCGACTCCGCCTCCGAGAGCGCCCCTCAACATCCCTTGATTCCCCTCAACATCCCTTGATTCCCCTCCTATTCGTTGTCTTGACGTTTCAGCAGAAAAATCAGCTTAATCGGTTGTCAGATAAGTGGGTCGGTGTGACAAGTATGATACTGTGCCCCGGAATGAGAATGATCAACGGGAGACCCAGCACTCGAGCGTGTCCAAAAAAAGATGTGCTGTAGTGCAGGGCATGCATTGCTGTATGCGGGATGGTGGACAAGGAGTCCAAACCGGAATAGTCGGATTTTCAGCTGGGGTCTCGGTCACCACACTATCGTAGGAGGGTCTGTTGTGGAGTCAGATGAGGGCCAGATACTGTAGTCGTGTGCTGTCGGGGCGGGTCGCGTAAGTAGCTAGCTTCAGTGATTGAGCGAGAGATGAGCTGACGAAGACATCGGTCGGCGCATCCGGCTGTGCCGAAGTTCTGCTGATGTCGCGAGACATGACCAGCATAGTCCCGCCCGACTGTACTGAAGGCTGCAGCTGGTGCTGAGCAATGTATCAAGAGTCGAAGATGATGTAGAATGTCAGCACAGGTAGTACTAGTTGCGGATTGGGCAATCGATCAAGGTGCGGGTTTATAATTTGCCGCCTCGGCGATACGTCTATTTGGCGGCTGCATGATGCGATCGCGAACGACCTCTCGGAACGCTGGTCAAGTACTGGGCCATACTCCATCTAAGACTGCTCATCCACCTCGATGTACAACTTATGAACATCCATCCTCTTCCGTCGAAACGCCTCCCAAAGATGAAACTGAACGATCGAGCAGCAAATTCTCCGAGATTGACTGGACGAAAGGGATGCTTTCCCCACAGTGCACAGAGGTCAAAGCGCAAAGGGGTGTGTGCATGTGGGGTATGGCTGAACTCTATCACCCTAGCTGTCAACAGCGTTCATCCTACTCATGCTCTAGCTTCTACACATATCACTGATACCGACGTCCCTCTCCTCAACAGCGCACCGCGTGAGAACAAGACCTCCGCCGTCCCCGCTTGTTCCTCCGGCTCCAAGCCCCAAGCGCCAGAACTAGTCCCCTCGGGAAATCCGCTTACACATCCCCGTCTTCACCGCTTTCAAAATGTCGAGCCGAGCAAACAAGGCGACGATGCATGAGCTCAAGCTCAGGAGGCTGCAGCAGCACAATCATAGGCTGAGGGAGGAGCTGGCGAGGCCGAGAGCGATGGTCAGTGCAGCGAGTGCCAAGTAGGTCCTTTTTCCCTTCGCCCTCGGTCCGATTGCTGTATTCAGTACGACGAGCTCCTCGTGGCCACCAGTGTCTTCGAAAGATTAGTATTGGAGTTATGCTGACTACCATAGCCTGATCAACCACTGCCGAGTCACCAAAGACCCTCTGGTGAGTACTTGCCTGGCCTCGGTATGGTCCCACTTTTGCCATCGTCCGCAAACTTGCCTGCTCACGATGGTCCCACTGCGTATATCTCAGAGCTGACAGTACAGATCCCGTCGCTGTGGGGACCTATCGGTAAGGGCGAAGACCCGTACGCGCCCGTCGAACAGGCTGGTGGATGTTGCTCTGGTAAGCTGCTTGTCCTTTCCCTTCTTTGGACCATCACAGCTGACAACGCAGTCATGTAGGCATACGGCGCGTCGGTATCCGCTCGCCCGGTACCCTGACGGCTGCAGCTGTCCATGGGTGGAAAGGAACGAGGGAGCTGGTGGGCGGAGATAGCGGGGCTCGCTCCCTTTCATGTTATGATGTTATAGATGGCTTTATTCTTCCTCTCAGCTCGCAACGTCATCGCACATCGGTCACTCGCTGCACATGGTCAGGAGAGCTCTTAAGAGAGAGCTGTGCCCAACTCAGAAGCATCAGAAGCAGAGGCCCCTCCTTGACCACCCGGAGCTGACCGAGTGGACGAGTGGAGGCAACAAGCCGAAGAACATATTCGTCAACAATCTTTCATCCATCTTTCTCAATCCCAATACCATCCGGATCGCCAAGATGCCTAGTGCCCTCGAGTATGAGGAAGAGGAAGACCTCTTCGAGTCCGGCGGTGAAGAAGCCATCCCCTTCGAGACAGTCAACAGCGCCGTCCCAGTTGCTGGTCCTTCTCGCCCCCGCCCACCCCCTGCTCCCGTAGTCCGAAGCTATGACCTGCCTCCTCTACCGCCTGGAACCGCTTCCAAAGGGCTGAGGGTACCGGCCGACCTACTGCCACTCCTCAAGCCCTCGGTGGGGCTTCTGCAGGTCAAGCCGAGATTGCTGGAGCTCAAGGAGATGAGGAGGCAGAGACCGGTCGAGGTGCCTGCCAAAGGGCCGACAAGCCTAAAGCAGCAGTGTTTGGCGGGTAAGCTTCCTCCTGCTGGTAATTCTGGCTTGCAGCTGATATCTAGTCATCAAAGCAAATTCTATCAGAATATGGGACGTTGGAGATACTCCATACCACCTCATAAAGGGCTTTATCGATATCCTACCAGCCGAGCAGCTCGCAGCTATCGAGGAAGCATCACCTGTGAGCCTGTGCCTGCTGTCTTGGATCCAGCTCTTCACCCTAGGGGTTTCAGCTAACTCCCGCAGTCAATACGACACGAGACCGACTGGCTATGGGAGTACTTTCTCCTCACGGACTTTCCGGCTGCCCACGCCGACGCAACCAAGCGGAAGGGCGAGAACCGGACGAGTGGTTGGAGGAGGGTGTACAAAGTGAGTCTGAGTGTTCGACGAAGAGTGCGTGAATATATGACAAAGCTGACCCCATAGAGAGCGGCGGAGCAAGCTCGAGATCGGCAATTCCTGGCGGCCGAGCGGGTGGCGGAGCGATACAAGGAGATGGACAGGGAACGGGCGGAGAAGAGAATCGTCGTCTTGGACAAGGTCATACCACCTAAGCAGAAGCGAGGACAGGGAGGCGCGTTTGGCGCTCAGAAGGGTTTGACAGGTGAGTGCCCAGTTCGGTCAGGTGATTAGTCAGGGATCGACCGCTGATATGGGAAGTAACGGCGAAAGCTACAGGCATCGTTGGGAAAGCTCGAGCAGACGCTCAAAGAGCTCGGATAGCCATGACCCACGCTTCTGGGAAGTTCATACCACCACCTGCTCCACGCGCTTCTTCATCCTCAACGGCAACTCGTACGCCCATACCGATCGTAACGTTCATCCGCGGTCAACCTGCACCTGTAGCGGTCGATGGCCCTCGTATACCCGCACCTCGATCCATGCCTCGGCCCGGTCCGATCGCACCTGCACCTACGAGCCAGGGCCAAATTCCCGATCTCATACCTGGCGCTATCCCCATACCCGAGTATAACGCCCAGCGCGCATCCCTACCCTCCCATCTCGTCGGTATCCCTCGGCCAGCCCCGGCTCCCGAGCCAGCGCGGTTCAGTACTGATCTGAAGCGGAAGTTCAGCACGGTCCGGAAAGCCGAGGTGCCTAGCTTCAAGCCACCAGAAGTGAGGTTGACTACTGGAGCTAAGGCCGACTTTTTCGGTTCTGCGGGATCGGGCGGAGGGGTCAAGCGGACAAGAAGTGGAGGAGAGGGGGAGGAGCCGTCACCTGCGAAGGCGCCTCGCTCGGCGGAGGTGGATGAGGAACGGACGCCACGATCGTCACCGGCAAGCGCAGCGAGTAGAGCAGGAGCTGGGTTTCATACGGCTGGGCATGGCGGAGGAGGACCACCGAAGCATGGAGGCATGTCTGCGGAGGCGGCGGATAAGCTCAAGGGGGTCTTATTTCGCTCGAAACCAAAGCGGAGAGCGGTGGGGCAGTAACCTGTTGCAGACATTGTAGCCTATATACCTGTGTAGCTTCTAGCCCCCTCTATCGCACCGGCAGGCGAACTCGTCGTGCCGCCATCGTATCTCAAGCACCATAGAGCCATGATCAATGGCGTGGGGCTCCACAGGCGCGTCTTGAGGTACGAGAGCGGGGAAACTCAAAAGTCAGACACGTTCCTGCTTTCGATCTCTTACTCCTCCCTCATCTCACTCCATCAGCGCTACCTCTGTCGTGCTCGCGTGACCCAGAGCAGCTGAAGGGCACTATGCAGCCTCCATTTCCGTTCAGTCGGACCTCCTACCCCGTCCCGCCAGCTACACGCCGTCCACGCGCAGCCGCGTCCAACTCCAACCTTAAGGGCGGAGCCGGGTCCCCTGGGCCGTCGATCTCTCGCTTACTGGCCGCGGCTGCTGCGGTTACAGCCAGTAGGAGCTGGGTACTACATGATGGGGACAGTACCGGAGGAGTAGGGCTGATCGTGCTCGCCCTCTTCGGAGGAAGGATATGGCGGGAAGTGATGAAGCGGAGAGGGGACAAGAAGGGGAAACGGAAAGAAGTAGGCGGTGTCGAGGTCCTCAGCTTGGTGAGCTGACTGCGTTTGATCGAGAGAGTGCAAGCTGATAGGCATAGGAGCAAGTCGGCTCGGCTCTTGCTCTGGTTGCTCAGGCCATCGCGTTCTTCATGGCTATAAAGTCGATTGGGCCATTACGGTTCGTCCCTCCCATTCTCGCCAAGACAATCGGACTGACGCTTCAGAGGCTCCTTGCTAACTATCACTTGTAGCATAATAGGACCGATGTGGAAAGATGATCCAGGGATCACACGACGGGTGAGCTGCCATGACCAGCTTCTAGTCTCTAAGGTCAGCTGACGTTTAGCCATTCCCCTTTGTCCCCGCCATTCTCGCTTGCGCTTTCGTCCTATTCGACGCACACAAGCTACACGGTCGTAAGCTGCCTCATTGTGATCGTTGTGTACCCAGAGCGCGAGCTGACTCTGCAGCCGAGTGCTTGATCAACCTCTTTACTTTGATCGCATTGACCCTTATCTTATGCGGTCCGTGGGCTTCCGCGCTCGAGCTTCGAAGCCGGAACGCCCGGCCTGGCGGAGGAGGACGGCTCGGTCGATTGGCTCTTACATTCGGCGTCGCTGTCGTATCCATCTTGGGCCTGGCCTATCTGGTAAGCTGGCGAGGTAGTACGCACGAGGACATAGCTGACACCAACAGGACGTCATCCCGTATCCGCATACTATGCTCCACTTTCCCCTACACCACCTCGGTCTTCCCCTCGCTACTGCTGCTCTGGCAGCCTACGCCCCTGTCCCTTTCGCGCCCTCCTATGACCCCAAGCCCGCCGCCCGACTCCGTAACCCCCGAGACTACGTCGTCTACCTCCTCGCCATCGTCGTCCTCCAATTCTTCGCGCTCCATCCGCTGCCGACTACGATCGACGTACTCGTCCTCCTTCCCTTGGTCCTATCGACGATATACCTCAAGCCGTACCCTGAGGCCTACACGCCCAAAGCAACCGGTATCAAGGACTGGAAGTACACCCCGGCGCCGATGGTGTCAACCAATTCGAAATGGTCCTACTGGAACCTCATTCCTCAGGCATGGAAACCCCACTTCCAGACCATACTACATACCGACTCGTCCCGCAAGATTCTGTACTTCTTGCTGATCAATCTTGGGTATATGGGAGTGCAGATGGGGTATGGAGTGATGACCAACTCTCTCGGCCTGATATCCGATGGTGAGCTGGTTCACATAGACTCTGTTGCGGGACAAGCTGACTTGACAGCAATTCACATGTTCTTCGACTGTTTGGGTATCGGCATTGGACTCTGGGCGTCCGTTGCGGCGACGTGGAAGCCGGACGGGCGGTATACGTTTGGTTACTCTCGTGTGGAGACATTGAGCGGCTTTACAAACGGTGAGCTCTACACCTCCTTCTGCGGATAAGTCACTAAGCTGATACCTCAGGTCTCTTCCTGATTCTGATCTCCGTCTTCATCATCTTCGAAGCTATCCAGCGCATGTAAGTTGCCATGTGCAGAACGTCCAAAGATACGCCGAGATAGCTGACGAGGCAGTATGGATCCACCTGAAATGGAAATGCGCCAGCTACTGCTCGTTTCCAGTATCGGCCTCGGGATCAACCTGTTTGGGATGTGGGCGACGGGCGGGCATCATCATCATGGCCATAGCCATGGCGGACACGGACACGATCATGGACATTCTCATGGACATGTACATCACAAGAAGGTAAGCTGAATGTTGCTCGGAACGGGCGAGAAATGCAGCTGACGGGCGTAGGAGGACCACATGCATGCCGACGACCACCAGCATCACGATCACTCGCATGACGACCACGACCACGGTCATTCTCACGGAGCGACCCCTCTCAATAGCCTGGGACACGCTCGGCGGCGGTCATCCGGCAAGGGCTCGAACGACCTGACGCTCTCCTCACAGCACCACCACGAGCACGATCACCATCGCGCCGACGCTTGTGACGGACACGACCACTCAACTCATGACCACGCCATGACGCCGGATCATTCACACTCCCACGACCACACTGACTGCCTTCACGACCACGGCCATCAAGAGCAGCATAATCACTCTGCGCATGGTCATGACCACACCCACGATCACCCACACGACCACAAGCACGACAATCATGTACACGACCACTCTCACGATCACGGACACTCCCACTCCCATCACGGCCACGCGCATAGTCACAACATGCGCGGAGTCTTCCTTCACGTCATGGCGGTAAGCTAGTTTATGTTTTTAGCACTGCATCTAGCTGATCTAGTAGGACACCTTAGGCAGTGTCGGGGTCATCATCTCCACCCTCATGATCAAGTACACAGGCTGGACCGTGTTTGATCCCATCGCCAGTCTCTTCATCGCCGCCCTCATCATGGCTTCCGTTATCCCACTCGTCATCGACTCGGGACGCGTCCTATGCTTGGACGTCGGTGCGGACTGCGATAAGGAGATCCAAGCTGCTCTCGCTGATGTAAGCTGTCATCATACTTGCGAAACCAGACGTAAACAGCAGCTGACACTCCAGCTCGCAACCGTAGAGGGTCTAGCCAACTTTAGCGCTCCCCGCTTCTGGCCTCGATGCGAGGGCGAATTGATCGGTTCCATCCATATCCAACTCGCCCTCTCCCGCTCGGCGCACGATCCTTCCCGCTATTCTTCACCGGCGCTGCACAAGGGTCCGGCGATCTATGCGAACGCGGACAAGGTGGTGGCGCGAGTGGAGAAAGTGCTGCGGAAGGGAATACCGGGGTTGGTGGAGATGGTGGTTCAGGTGGAGGGGAGCGAGGAGAGGGTATTTTGCGATTGCATGACAGGGGGATAGGGTTATCTGGGTTGATCGGTGTAGCAATCTGTCGATGCACATCTGGGGTCTTGTTCCTTGCACTTTCCGGTCAATATGACATATACATACAACATATACGAGGGATCGGATGTGCCAAGATTATCCTCTCGCTTTGGCTAGCTGCCCGCTGAACGGGTCTTTACAATGTAGATGTGTCACTTCACCTCTGTAGGCTCGTCAGCTGTTGGCAAGTGATGGCAAATGGTAAGGCTCACCTTGGCGCATGGACGGCAATCGCAGACTGCCCCAGCCGTTTATGGCATTGGGGACATCTACTGCATCAGCTCCCACTTGCTGGCTAAGAGAAAAAACTCACATTCTCTGATCGGTTATCCTGACTCTGTTCCCCTGAAGATCCATCAACGCCCTCTCCACTTCCTCCTTCCGCGCCCCTACCAGCCCCCTCACGATCCTAGCCTCGTTCCTCCTCTTCCTGCCCTCCCTCAGGGTCTTGACAAGAAACGCACGGACATCCTCCATCGTCACCAATGGCGGCAACATCTCCAAAACCTCCTTCGCGTCCAGTCTGGTGCCTTGACTCGTAATGAGCCCCAGTGCGGGAGTGAGCAGGACCGGGTCCGAAGGCGATGGGCGGAGGTACAAGCGCAAGAGGAGGAGAAAGATGCCTTTGGGATTGGGTTCCGTAGCGAAGACTTTGGCGCAGTATCGCTCGGCCGCGGCGTGGTCGGTGAGGCGGTAAATGTAAAGCCGGAGAGCATCCTCGTGTTTCCCCATTCGACCGAGAAGGATTGCGCGAGCTTCCGGCATGGACTCGGTAGGGATACGGGTGAGGAGCCGGTTGGAGCGATAGTGTTCGGATGAGGAGAGAAAGGAGAGGAGCCGTTGATATGTAGGAGACCCGTCTGTTTGTTAGGTCTGCCTCACAGAACTTTGAGCGAGTCAGCTAACCTTCCGATCCAGACCCCTTAGCTTCGGCCAGCAGCAGCTCCGCTAACTTGTCGTGAAAGTCTGATCCGGTCTCCTTGAGGGCGCCGATGATGTGCTGGAGATACGAAACGCAGGATGGCTCGTGTGTGCTCTCGAGGAACTGCACGACGTCTTTGCGGGGAAGTGCGTCGACCTCGGGCTCGTCCGCTGTAAAGATCTGATGAGTTCAGCTGCAGTCCTTCTACCTTGCGAAGATGCTGAAAGCTCCAGACACACCTGCAGCGCCATGACCGGGTCCTCCTTGAATATCCATTTGGAAGTCTCAAGAATGAGATCCAGCTCGGATGGTCCTAGCTTCTGCAAGTAGCGCACTGTCAAAGGATATCGATCCAGCCGGTCGTCTTCTTCTAGCGCGAGTCTGAGGATTAGCGTTTGCTACTGATCATTTACAATAAACATCACTTACTCGTGCAACATCTTCAAGGCCTTACCGTGCATCTTTTTACCCTGGTAAAGATCAATCAGGTCGCTGAATTTCTGCTCATCAACCAAGTCCTGCACCAAAATATTCCCAAGCTTACCTTTTGCGCCTTGAGAAGCTCTTCCACTTCCTCTACATCACACCAATTCTCAATGCGGCACAGACTGCCCACTAAAATAGGACGAGCCACGAGGTATACCTTCAACAGACCTGTATAGATGACTTGGGCGACGCGGAGGAGGGTCTCTGGCTCGAGCTCGGTATAAGGCAGGTTTGGAAGTTGGTGTAATTGTTCCGCTGGTAGTGCGGATAGCGGCGATAGCGAGGATTCGGCAGGTAGACCAGGCTCGGGAAGAGAATTGATCGCTCCGGTGACCTTTTGCCGCCGGTCAGAGAGATAATACATGAGAGCTTCGAGGGCTGCTCGGGGCACTGCAGAGTCAGCTCCTGGTCTCAAAAACGGTGGCGACCATAACACTCACTTTCCTCGTCATTGAAGACCGGCGCTTTCTCGTTCAGACTCCCCTCGTCCGCCTTCTTGTCTGCTGCCGAGCTCGTGGCTGTAGTCCGAATACTATCCATACTCGTTCGCTTCGACAGGCCCGCCGCAGCCGTCACGCTCTTCAGCAACCCCTTTGCCAATCCCTCTTCCGCCGAACCGCTCTTGGCGACTTCTGGCGATAAGCGGGCGCCCGGTACCGCTCCAAACGCTTCAAGCCACCGGTCCTTCGGCACATGAAGTTGGCCGGAGATAGTGGCTGCGGGATACAGGGATATGACGAGAGCGGGGTTGATATTGAAGATGAGGAAAGTTTCGATCGCGTTCTGATATTGACCTTTGGCAAAGTTGGTGACTGCTTGTAAAGTCTTCAGATGAGGCAGGCGACGCGTCTGATGGTCAGCCGAGGCCAGATGTAGTGATCGATTAACGTACAGGTGAGAACCCAGCTTCTCCTACAGACTCCACCAGACCAATCGCATCCGCTACTCTCCCTTCTCTGACCAGATCATCAACGTGATCTTCCAGATTACTCGTTGACAAGGCCCATATCGAAGAACCCTCGGCGGCCAGTAGTGCCTTGTCCGTCGGTGTCGAGCTGAAAAGGAGTTTCGCAGCTGGCTGTACAGCTTCGGCCGGAGTCCGAGAGGGTGACTGTGAAGTTGTGATGAGGTTGGAATAGCTTAGTGAGCCAGCCGAGGGTGATGGGACCTGGAGCGACCCGCGCGAGAGAAGGGAGGGACCGAGGTGGATTGACAGGCATGGCAGTGTCGCCGGAGCAGATGAAGATGAGCCGGCGGCAGGAGGAAGTATGGAGTAGATGTAGGGATTCGAAAAAGCTGGGCGCGTGAGCTAAGTCTGCCCAAGGTCCAGGTTCCACTTACAGATCGCGTCTGGAGAGGTAGGCCATTGCAGCGAGTGCGAGCGGGTGTAGCTGGCGTCGGAGGATAGGAAAGCTCCCATATCTGAGACATCAGCCATGCTCTATCAGATTGACGAGAGGACAACGCACCATCTCTACCAAGGAGGACCTCCCCATCTATAATACTACAGCCGACCGGCGCAGCCGCTTTGCTTCCCAATCCCACATATCCGCCCAGCCCGGTCAGGGCACCAACGCCCATCCCTGTCAAGCCGCTTCCGCTCTCGTGTACCCCAGCTCCACCTGTGCCATCGCCAGATCCAGCGACGGCCGATATGGACGGCGGGGGAGGCGCGTTTGGCGTGTCTGATACGCTCAGAAACGGTGCTGTCGGGCTGATGCTGAGTATCGCGGAGGATGTGGGCGAGTAAAGCAGGTGGACCGTTTCCGGAAAGCTCGGGGAGCGAGTGGACGTCGAAGGCACGACAATCTGCCGAGGAGAATGGGGAAGGGCAATCTCCTAATGATAATTAGCGCAAACCTCTTTGCAGGACGGGAAACCCACCCAAGCATCCCTGAAGCCCGGCTTAATTCCGCTGAAAACGACTACCTTTTTCCGACACCCAATGATCACCATATCGACAAGGCCATCGCCTCCTGGAGTGTTTCCTTTAGATGCGGAAGCAGCTCCATCTTGGCTTCGTTTCCCCTTTGTTGTGGATGGGTCGTATGTCGCGATGACGAGTGTGTGGGCATTCCGAGCCTGAGTAATCACTTTACCCTTGGCGGATGCCAGATTTTCCAGCGGATACGCCGTGACCGCTCCATCTACGAGCTCAGCTGAGGCCACCTATCCCAAAAGCAGCGGAATTACCGGAAAGCACGAGCAATTGCTTCGACGCGTTCGATACCCCTACTTGATCTATGGCCTTCCTGCCAAGGACGGCGCTGCTGAGCAGCTTGACGCTCGGCAGACCTCCATCCGATTGAGGGTCATACGAATAGGTTTGGAGGCTCCCCGTCGCGAGACCAACGTAGAGGCGATCATCTACCGAGTCAGCCCGGCCGTCGTGTAAGCCAGCCACGGGACGGACCTTGTTGGCAAAGAGCCGTAATTTTTGCCTTCAAAGACGGTAGGAGAGGTTGTAAGGAGAAGCCTTTCATCATGATGGATGCGAGGTGGAAGTCTAGGTAAGATGTGTAGGAAGGTCGTGGGCTTCGCGTTTGGGCTTCACTTGGCGAGTACCACGCACGGGCTAGGTAGCCACGTGGTGTAAGGAATGAGTCGCGATCGCCCGATCAGGGTTCGGGCATCGGCCATGACGCATGACTAAGGTGGAGGGAAAGTGGCGGCGATGGGGGGACGTATAGAAAGGCGCAGTCCCGGTGCCATGCCCTCCCTTATCAGCGATTCACCACACTCATCTCCCCCATCTCCCAATCTTCACCATGCCATACACCGTCCTCATCACCGGCGCCAATAAGGGCATCGGCTATGAAGCCGTCAAGCTTCTCGCCCAGAAAAAGCCCGATGCCATCATCCTCCTCGGCTCTCGGTCAACTAAAAACGGCGAGGACGCCATTGCCAAAATGAAGTCCTCTGCCCCCTCTCATGACTTTTCCAACGTCAAGGTCCTTCCTATCGACATTACCTCCTCTTCTTCCCTCTTTTCTGCCGCCGAGCACGTCAAATCTACCTATACCACCCTCGACGCCCTCATCCACAACAGCGGTATCTCGGAGCTTGACGGGGACGGCAAGCACCCCGCCATCTTTGACGTCAACGTCCGCGGTGCCAAGGACTGCGTCGCGACGTTCGCCCCCATCCTCACTCCTAAAACCGGTATCATCACCGTCGTCTCGTCCGAGGTCGGCGCATGGTACACTGCCACCGTCGACCCCTCCACCAAGGCTAAGCTGGAGGATATTGAGGGAGTCAGCTGGGAGAAGGTGGAGGGGTGGATGAAGGATTGGGAGGCGATGGCAGATGGGAAGGAGGCAAAGGAGAAGTGGGTGCCACTGGACAAAGGGATGATCGGGTCCAAGTACTGCGCTAGCAAGGGGATTCTCAACCCCTGGCTGAGGAAGTATGCGGCCACCCACCTCGAGGTCCGCTTCGCAGTGGTCTGCCCGGGCTACTGCGCGACCGAACTCAACCACTTTCAAGGCCCGAGGCCGGCTTCGGCGGGCGGAGAGAGTATCATTTGGCCGGTGCTCAATGAGTTTGAGAGTGGGAAATTCTACCAGGACGGGAAGGAGATGGCTTTCGCGCAGGAGCTACCGGATTGGGCGAAGTAGACAGAGTAGAAGGGGCTACAGCCGTGATCATAGCGTATCTAGATCTGTAGAGATGTAGACTTGTAGATGTAACAGCAATGCCACTGTCGGAGATAGCGCCGGATTTAGACCTGATTAGTCATCGATGATGCAGGCTAACTTTTGTCAGCTCTAATGTAGGTCAATTGTCTTGATTGCCTCTCTACCCGAACGGCTGTGCATAGACTTCCCCTTCCCCTTCCAGCTCCACCCCGCTTCGTCACAGACCACTACAATGCCCTATACCATCCTCGTCACCGGCGCAAACAGGGGCATTGGATACGAAGCGGTCAAACTCCTCTCACAAGAAAAGCCAGACGCCACCATCCTCCTCGGCTCCCGGACCACCCAGAATGGTCAAGCCGCCATCGAAAAGATGAAGACCTCTTCTCCATCCTCTGACTTCTCCAATGTCAAAGTCGTCGAGCTTGATATTACCTCCTCGTCTTCCCTCTCCTCCGCAGTGGACCTCATCAAATCTACCTACTCCACCCTCGATGTCCTCATCAACAACAGCGGGATCGCCGAGCTTGACGGAGACGGTCTCTCTCCCGCCATCTTTGACGTCAATGTCCGTGGCACCAAGAACACGATTGAGGCGTTCACACCTATCCTCACCCCCAAATCCGGCATCGTCGTATTCGTCTCCTCCCAGGTTGGCGGGTGGTATACCAAGGCGGTCGGACCCAAGATACAGGCGGAGCTGCTAGATGTGCAGAGCACGACGTGGGAGAAGGTGGAGGGTTGGATGGCGGATTGGCAGAAGATGGCTGAGGGCGGAAAGGCGCAGGGGGATTGGGTCCCGCTGGACCAGGGGATGACGGGGTCAATGTACTTTGTCAGCAAGGCCCTCATCAACCCCTGGGTCCGGAAGTACGCGGTCGATCACTCGGACGCCCGCGTGGCGATCGTCTGCCCCGGATACTGCGCCACGGGCATGACCAAGTTTGCGGCGCCGAGGGAGGCGTCAATGGGGGGCGCTAGCATCGCGTGGCCGGTGCTGAATGAGTTTGAGAGCGGGAAGTTCTACCAGGATGGGAAGGAGCTGGGATTTGACACCGGGGTGCCCAAGTAGGCGAGACCGACGGGCAGATGATGGAGGTGAACGACAGGGTCGCATAAGTATCACTAAGATTATAGTAGTATCTAGTTAATCTCTAATACACATAATAGGTGGGGTGCGGTTCAGAATCTCTTGGATAGACAATCTATGACAGGGTGTTGTCTTGCATAGCTAGGCCTGGATTCAAGCTGCACTTACCCCAGCTTCCTTGCCCATGCTGCCGCGATGTCATTTGGCGCAGGTGGAGACCCTACGCACACAGCGAGGAATGCGGATGTACCTGAACTCGGCCATCGGGCATCGAGCAAGTGGACGTGGACGTGGCCGGCCGGTGGAGGTGGAGGTCTACCGGGATGTCTTGATAATCACCTCTCGGCCAGCTCTGACCTCCAGCAGCCATATATCAGCAGCAGCTCCTACTCGCCTCTCCCCGCACCCCCCACACCTACCACCTCATTATCACCATGCCCTACACTATCCTCGTCACCGGCGCCAACAAAGGGATTGGGTACGAAGCAGTCAAGCTCCTGTCCCAGCGCAAGCCCGATGCTACCATCCTCCTTGGCTCCCGCTCCATCCAGAACGGCGAGGATGCCATCGCCAAAATGAAATCCTCCCTCCCCTCCCACTCTTTCTCCAACATCAAAGTCCTCCCCATCGACATCACCTCTTCCTCCTCCCTTCAATCCGCCGCCGAGCACGTCAAATCCACCTACACTACCCTTGATGTCCTCATCAACAACAGCGGCATCTCGGAGCTCAACGGAGACCCCAAGCACCCGGCCATCTTTGATGTCAACATCCGCGGAGCCAAAGACGCGATCGAAACCTTCGTCCCCCTCCTCACCCCCAAAATCGGCATCGTTACCCTCGTCTCCTCCGTCGTCGGTCCCTGGTACATGACGGAGCTCGGCGCTGACACACCCCTCCACAAGAAGCTGGATGATTACAAGAGCGTATCATGGGAGAAGGTGGAGGCATGGATGGCGGACTGGCAGGTGTACGCGGATGGCGGCAAGTCGGAGGACCAGTGGGTGCCGCTGGACAAGGGGGTCATTGGGAGCCGGTACTGCGCGAGCAAGGCGATCCTAAACCCATGGATCCGGTGGTACGCTGCCAAACATCCCGAGCTGCATATCGCGGTGGTCTGCCCCGGATACTGCGCGACGGAACTCAACAACTTCCAGGGGACGCGGTCGGCCGCGGAGGGAGGGGAGAGTATCATCTGGCCGGTGTTCAACCAGTTTGAGAGCGGAAAGTTCTACCAGGATGGCAATGAGATGTCGTATGATACATTCAAGTGGTAGGAAGGTACCGGAGGAGGAAACAGGAGTGGTCAGTAGGGGTACTTCGTAATCTGCAGACAAAGTATTTTGATAGGCTTGTAGCAAGTAAAATCTAGCTTAGATCAGCATCTTATATACGCATGTACTGGGATGGTAGTATCTTCTCAGGCTTCATCACATGCCTTGCGCGATAGGAACCAAGGGAGACGTGTGGAGGCACCTCCTGATACGGCGTGTCGGTCGATCCTGAGAAAGGTCAGGACAGAATAGGCTTTCCATAAACTTGTGACTTCTACTCTATTGATCTATTATACTTCTTCTCATCCTGAAGCCTGTCGGCTGCTTTTTCTTTCACGCCTGGCTCCTCCGGTCCCTCAGAACCCCTTGGTGGACAACCCATCCTTGGTGACCTGGTTCATCGCCTTCAGGCACCCCATGACCCTCTTGTAGTCCGCCTTGGGTGCGAGGTACTTGCCGTTGCGCTCGAGCTGGACCCGAACATCAGAGGGGTAGTCGGTGATGATACCGTCGACACCGAGGTTGATGAGAGGCTCGATGGCGTTCTTGCGGCTGGGGAAAATCAGCACCTGCCTAAGAGAGGCAGAGCGGACATAGAGAGACGCTGAACTCACTTGATGGTCCAAGCCTTAACCTTCATCCCGAGCGCGTGGGCGGTGTCGACCATGTCCTTGGTGATGAAGGAGACGTAGCCAGGGGACGAGGCGTCGGGGTTGGTCGAGGTGTACTCGGGAGTCAGCTCGTCTTCTGGGAGGGGTAGCTTGGGGATGGGCGATAGTCATGATGGTCATTGGAGGACTAAGGGACTCATCGAAACTCACTGATGCAGCAGCAGGAGCGAGGTTGTCCGCGTTGATCTGCTTGGCAGCCCGAGCAACACGCTCGCCGACAGTCGCACCCTCAACCTTGGTCAGGTCGATACCGGCGAGACGGTTGGTAGCACCAGGGCGGAGGTTGGCGATAGTGGTGGCATTGGGGTTGTTGTAGACTGCATGTCAGCACAAGCCTCGCCGGGAGTAGCTGTTCACTGACTGCTCGCGTCGCTGATCAAAGCACCAGTACGCATAGTCGGCCACTGCTTCTTGGACAGCACAGCCATGCGCCACTGACGATCAGCACGATCTAAATGATAGTAGAAGAAGACTCACGTCGAAGGACTGGTGGGTGATGCGGTCCATAAAGGTCGCATCTTTCTTGGCGAATGACTTGTCCATAATGGCGATAAAGTCTTCGGGGCTTCGGGTAGCGTTGGCCTTCTCGGGATTGACCTTGGTTTCGATGTTATAGAGGACAGGGTCGGAGGTGGCGCAGTCGACAAAGTCGAACATCTCGTCCATGGTGGAAAGCTTGGTGCCCGGGTAGACCTCTGAGATGTCAGCTGAGGCATAGTCATAGGGAGAGGTGGTAGAGGATAAATGATGTGGATTAGGAAGAGACCCAGCTAGAGAGAGACTGAAGGAGTGAGGACTCACCGGCCATAGGGTGAGCAGTCAACCTCAAGCTCCCACAGTCAAGAGTCTTGATCTGAGCCAGAGTAAGGTTGGCGACGCTCTTGCCGACGTAGGGGAACATCTTGTCGTCCGCCCAGGCCGCAGCGGTATCCTTGCACTTGGTCTTGTCAATGATCTCGTCGTGGTAGATAAGAGCGACGCCGTCCTTGGTGATCCCGACTATGATGTTAGCTGAATCCCAAACCGTAGGCGCAAAGACTCACCGTCAACCTCGAGACTCGTCACACCGGCCAGAAGACCCCAGGCGAGAGCGGGGAGGGTGTTCTCGACCGCCTCTCCGGTTCCGCCACGATGACCCTGGAGATCGAAGTACTTTTCGTAGAGCCATCGCTGCTTCATCGGCGAGGCAGAGGCGGTCGCTTGAAGAGCGACAAGGGCGCCGAGGAGGATGCTGGGAGTGGAGATCATCGTTGTGAAGTGTTGTGGGTGGGCGAGTTGGTTGAGTGTGGGGTGAGAAATGGATGAGGCCGAGAGCTGTCACAGCTGCCACCTATATAAGTTGCAAGGGTGGGTAAATCGGCAAAGAGTGGGGAGGCTTGGCAGAAACGTGTTGCGTCTTGCCCGAACATTATCCGCTTGTGAGCCACGTGAGGATCCGTCAGGCCTGGAACGTGCTAGGTCAGTGCTGGGCGCTCTTCTCTTGGACGGCGCATGTGATCCTGACCGATAAGGGAGATCTATGATGAATGCCAAAGAGGTCGAAAAGGACCTTGAAAAGGACAAGGAACAGGCCAAGGAACAGGCGGGGAATGTGACGGCGGACTAGGCGGTTACGGCATGTTTCGGCGAGTGGCAGATGAGACTGAGTGTGGCAGCTGTCTATGGCCAGAATTGGGATCACTCGCCGGCTGCTGCAGAGTACCGCTGGCCTAGTGAATGTGGTCTGATAAGCACATATGTCGAGAGCACCACACGAGGTCTTGGTGAGGCACGTGCAGAGACGTACAGCCAATGCGCACGGCGACGATCACTGGAGGAGGTATGCCAAGCCTCTTCTTTCAGCGGCAACGTGTCGGGATCTCGGCCGCAATTCGACTGGTACGGGATTGCGTGACGACTCAATCCCGAGCAGGGGTACATCTAGGTGCATGCGATAGCGGGATCTCGCGGAGGCATGAGTCAAGCATGGTGCGCGCTGACCTTCTACCATTTATATTGATTTGGTCTGAGCTGAGAGGAAACAAGCTCACTCTTAGCTCATAATGTGAGAGGTTTGGCTCACAACATTTTGACTCTGATCTGCCAGTCTCGCTAACTTGCTAACTGGATTGTATACGGGTCAGTGGGAAAAAAGACTTATCCCAGCCCTGGAAACAGCGCTATGCATACGGGTCCATGTTTCTGAGTTCCCGTGCAATGCTACATCCCTCCCTCACGCAAGCGAGAGATCTGCCCTCAGCTTGCTTCCCCAACGCTCTTCCTCGCCGACTCTCACATGAAAACCGCTCATATATAACGGACAACGCCAGTGGAGAGTGAAGAGTCAGGTCCCGGAGTGTACAGGTTCTGCTGGGAAGTGGCGTAACTGGAGGGGAAAGAGCTGACAACCGAGCGTGACATGGCACTTGGGCTATTGCTTGCCCCGCTCGTAAATACATACGACATACCTGTCGATGGGGTAAGGGAGGACGCCTGGCACCCCGAAGTGCCCGACCGGGTGTAGCTGGTATCCCATGGCTCCGACTTCTCGCTCGCGCTCATCGAGGCAGTGTATCTTGACCAATCGGGCGCAGTATCCTCCTCGGCGCTCGACCGAGAGATCTTTTTGGCAGTGGCAGTGGCGGTGCTGTCCGTACTGCCTTCGGAGGATGATCCGGATCCTGGACCATGGGAGATGTCGGTCTCTGCGGAGTCGTCCGTCCTTTTGAACGACTGAGCTCTGCTGAGTATGGCTGACTCGGAAGCGCTCGGGTTGTACCGAGACTGCCAGAAGGAGGGGATGGAAGGATCGACGCTGCTTGCGCCGGAATTAAGGATCGGGTAGTGGAGGCAGATGGTGATTGGAAAGTCGAAAAAGACGCGGATGATTTAGCGCTGCACAGGTCTTTGTATTGCCGTAGAGCTCCTCCTATACGAGGAGAGTTGACGAAAGCTTCTCTGAAGATGGTTTTAGCTGCTCGGCCGAATGACTCTGCGGCGGCGCGGCGCATCTTGAATAGAAGGTAGGGATCAGTGACGCGAGTACGGAGGTTGTTTTGTGTACTGATAGGGGATGTGAGGGCTGCGGAATGGAGATAGAGGGAAGAAAAGAGACAAAGAGAGAACTCTCGAGATGTAGCAGGGTCTCTTTTATAACCGCGGCCTCTGCTGTGGCTTCTATACCCCTGTGGACCACGCACGCTGTGTGTCAGACCTATCCCCTCGCAGTCTCGCAGCATCTGGAATGCACTCGTATGGTGTAGGCCCTTGGTCTGATGCGCCTCGTACATGTATGATGTGAGCTGGACACGAATGGGCGGAGTTTGGGGAGATCCGAGTCGAACGTCGACATCCTTTGGGCTTGTCAAACAGTCGCGGGTCAGCACAGTGACCGACAGCCGCTAATAAGTACAGTGAGCGATCACTGTCCCACGGTCTAAAATGTTACATGTGGCACTGCCTCTGCTTCGCGAGCACAAGAGCTCACCGTAGTGCAGAGCGTAGGAGGTCACCGTAGCGCAAAGCGGAAAAGGCCGCAGATACCTGATGAGCTGGCGGCGTCCGAGAGTACTCATGACAGATGAGCTTGCCTTAGCCTAGTCAGCAAAAGATTTGGTTGACTCATTACCTGAGTGGACCATCGCACGGGATTTCATCATGTCGCTAGGACTGGCCTTTTTTGTCCGAGCCCGCCGATCCCGCTTTGCGATCCTCGCCGGGTGTTTATCGTAAAGAATCGAGACACTGCAATAGTACCGACATGGAGCGCATCGTGGCCGATCAACAAAGGGCTAGTTGTTGACCACCAGAATTGTCCGTTTGACGGAACCTGAGCCAAGTTTGCATACGTTCTCGGGAACCCCTGTCTTTCAAACTCAGTTTCCGAATCCCGTGGCGTGCAGTGACAGAACCCCGTCAGGGGTCTACCCAGTGTACCCTCCTCCTTCTCTGCGACTATCGGCGATTCGGAGTTGTGAAAGTGAGGCAGTCTTTGCATCTAAACAACAGCGGCGCGAATCGGTGGAGTCCGCATAGCTGTGCTCCGTGCCTGAGTGTTCCGGGTATGGCGCTTGCAGACCTAGCCATGACCAAGCTCCGGGATGAGTCTAGTCACCAGACCCCACGCCTGTGAGCTTACTGATACCGCTCTACCACGTCATTTTAGGACTATTGAATGTGTGGCGGGAGGGAGGCGAGTTGTTGACTCTCTATCGACTCGATACCTCCCGGCTATGGCATATCAGTCGAGCCGGATGGGAGATCACAAGAGCGGCTGGATTCTGTACATAAGAGATCGGGCGTTGAGCAGGAGAGCCTCCTCTCAAACAATCTTTCAACGTTCTGCACCTCGTCAAGTTACAAACCCCCAACGTCGAACAGGTCTTGGAGGACTGGCCCCAATTCCCATAACCCCATCCGAACTTCTCTAGCCACATAGCTGGTGCAGCTTTCCTATACCCGACCTCCCCCAATTATCTCCTCGACCTCGCCGCCTATGCCCAAAGCCGAGAGCAAGCGGTTTGCGGATCGCAAGGAGGCTCGCTTCGACCCCGTGAAATCGGCTACCTCAACACACAAAGTCGTATCAAACGCCATCTTCTCTCACCTCTCGGATATACAGGCCAAAAAAGTCGGCCACAAGTACTGCTTTGAGGTGTGCGTGGCGGTAAAGGTGCAGAGTGGGCAGGATGCTATAGGAGAGCACTTGCGGATCGCGCTCAAGGTATGTGGAGTAGGCTTGACGTAAACGGCGCGGGCGAGGAATGCCAACTTCCACGCTTGGCTGGGGCTGAGCTGAGCTGACTCGCAGGCGCGCGGTATCTCTGTCCACCTCAATCCTCGAGAGAGTACCGGAACGGAGCTTCACTTCCTCCTCGCCGTACTCGACCCCATCGATAACTGGATCTCCATCCCAGGGTGCGAGACGGTGACGTACAACCAGATCGTCGAGGTGGTCTGGGAAGCGGACCTACAGGCCACAGCGCTCCGGAAGTCGCGTGTGGCCCTACCCACACTCGGGCTTCCTCTACGCACCTTTGAGCTCAATGCCTTGATCACCAAACATCCGGTCATCAGCAAGAAGCTTTGGATTTTGCGTCTTCACAAGCCCCTCCCTTCTCCTTTCCGCGTCGTTACTGCACCTGCGCTCGCAGTGGCCGACTTGCCTCAGCAGCCCCCGGTATCCCCCGAGTCGAGCTCTATCTCCCCCTCCAACACCATGCTTACACTCGTCGACACCGTCCTCCCCACACCCTCCTCCAAGACCAAACGCGTCGACACTCGAGGCCGTCGGGACGCCTCACCTCCTTCGTCCACTGTCGGACATGTACCGCGCTTCTCCAGCAACACGGCGGTCAAGAGGGACGAGAAGGGTCGGCCTATTCGCGACACATCGCGCGAATCTAGTCCAGAGTCGGAGAACAGGGACCGCCGCGTGGCGCCCAAGAGGGTCTGCGCGGGCAAGGGCGTCAGTAGGGGTGAGCGGGGAAAGACAGTCAAGGTCAACAAGGGAAAGGGTAGGGCTGGGGTGAGAGGTGGCAGAGGCGGACGCAAGCGTAGGGAGGACACGGGGTCAGCCTCGGACAAGGAGAGGGAGGTCACATCGGAGTCGGAGCCGGAATCGGAGGACGAGCCCGAGCCTACCACCTACATCGGGCACCGGATCTTCTTCAAGTCGCCTCCCCTCGGCCGAATCGACTTTGATCTGACCAAGGAGACGATGGACCGCAAGGCGGCTGAGAGGATGGCGAAGCTCGGCGAGCCGGGACCATCCGGTACAGTCTCCATGCTCGAGAGCGGTACGGCGCATGGCGTATGCCCGCATTGCAAGGGGACCGGTATGGTCAAGGTGGGAGCTAGCTTGACCAGCCTGGATTAGGAGGCAGCGGACTGAGTGAGCAGGAAGGAGGCTGGGTGGCAATAGATCGCGGTGTATGAAACATGAGGTGGCAAAGGTTCCGCTGTAAGCTCGTAGTTGCTAAGCTTTGGTACTTTGGTGTGGCTTGTGCTATTATTATTTGATGTATCATGTCAGTACATGTAACGATATGAGGCCCTCATCAGGTGTGATTACAGCCTCAGATGACAGAATGCTGAGCTGGCGACATGAGTGCAACAGATGGCTGACGCGCGCTTTCAGCAAGCGAATTACAGCACGCGGAGAGTGTGTAGTCATCTTTCCTGTCAGTACCATGGGTGGGACCTTCAGTACATCTTTACATTCGATGGATACTACGGCCGCCATCTTGCGCAAAGACCCCTGACCATGCCTTGGCTGCGCTCCACAAGGTACAGGTTGTCAGTACCCCGCAATGAAGAGCCGCGAGATACGCGAGTAATCTGTACCGACCGAGTCCAGAGAGGGCATATAAGAGCTGGCTCCGCATAAAAGCAATCCAGCGGCGCTAGTGGTCGGGGGCCTGGGGAACGATTGGGTTCTGCCGAGTCGAGGTAGCAAAGTCTTGAAGGCGTCGGGTAAGTACAACGTTGTGATCACGCGGGGCTCATCCGGTCCGGCGGTCTCGGAAGTGGAGGGGTAATCATCGATATGGACAGTATTGGCGGATGAGCAAGGCTCGGGCGCATCACCGTCACACTCTGCGTCGAGCGGGGAACCGTCTGTCGAAGCAAGAGGCTCGGCGCTGTCATCGTGGTGCTGATCGGCCCATGATTGCTTCCCGAAGGAGAGAGCTCGTTTGATGATAGGAGACGTGTGAGCCGTATTCTTGTCTAGGGGATGCCAAGCGCTTTTCAAATCAGCCATGCGTTTCAGCGCAAGCATCCAGCCGCTTGATGACGCTGACCCCGCCGACTCGTGGACAAGGGCAGAAGGAGACCTGCAGCCTCGCGTATTGAGAGACGCGGCGAGGTATTGCCTCAGTGCGCGCAATATTCGGGGACTGTTTGAGAACGTTTCTTGGCCTGCCGTCTCGATGACGGAAATGAGGGCTTGGACCCATCTTGCGCGGGGGACGGTCGACATCGCGTTGAGTAAGGTTATGGGTAGATGGTCAGGGTCGTAATGTTTTCAGGTGGGAGCTCGGCGCTCTGCGAGTCAGAGGCGTTCTGTAGGGACGGACGATAATATGTGAGAAAGTAGGGAAGAAGACCATAGGGGGAAGGTCAGCACTAAGGGCTCAGATCTGAGAGCCGCCAGATAGAAACTCCGCTCTCCCCGAGCTCCAACTATCACTTCAGCCCCCGCGCGAACGTGCGTCTCTCGTAGCTGTACCCAGGAAGGCAAAGGGGCAGTACTGCGCTGTCCGCGCTGCTCGAACGCGTCCGAGGCCGGCGGGGTGCCAACATCCTTTGACGTCCGCAGCAACGTGGCAGTCAGAGTATCAGTGCATCACATCAGCGGATCAGCTGGGGATTATATCAGCATATCAGTACAGGGCATCGTGCGCCAGCTCGAGAGGATCCCGAGACTGGAGGACCGACAAGTCCCAAGATTGATTGATGAAGTACAAAGTCAAAATCCACGCGGTCATTTCGCTCAACTCGGAACTCGACCTCCACCTCCTGCTTCATCCACCCATATCAAACCCACAACGCCATGATCTCCGATACCACCCTCACGAACCTCGCGAACGGACTCGGCGTCGCCGCGATGGCATGTATCGTGCTGTACCACTTTGTCGCGGTGAATGGGAAGCGGATGGAGCAGTCGCCATAGGAGGGGAAGGGAAATGAATCAAGGGGTGCGAGAACTGAAGGTATGTGGTCTTCCCGCCGGTGTGACTTTGAAGTTGAGGGCTATACTGACTGAACAGCCAACAACCACTGTACTACCACCACTAGATCAACGTCACACTACCAAAATGCCGACTTCAGGCAGGTGACGAGCTGAGATAGGGGGATTAGGGGAAGGAATGAGGAGGGAAAGGGGTCTGTGGGCGTTGGCGGTCCAACAAGCAAGGGGGAGGAACTCTTTGTATGCATAGCACGCTATAGATGGCTCAGTCTAGGCGGCGCGAGAGCTCTCGTTGAATATCGGCAAGACAGCGACTTTCAGGACAGCATAGTGCCGCAGGGTCGAGCTGGAAATGTTGACCCAAAGTTGCCGAAGGGACCCGTTGTCAACTGTACTTTATGCCCATCAACCCACTATCTCTCCTTCGACCTATCTCTAACGCACTACGACCATCCATCACCCCCTATCATCACTCTTATCGGTCCATACACCCAACGCCATCAGGATCAGCCTCACGCAAGATGCCCAGCCCAAACAAGAAGGAAATCACGGACGTTGGAGATATCCCGACACTACACGACCTATATGCTTCTAAGGAGTTGACGCCGCTGAGCGAGGCGGAGCTGATTGACGAGATGGGGGACGCGGAGGGGTACGCGGCGGATGAGAGCTTGAACAAGCGGGTGTCGATATGGCGAGGTGAGCTTATCCTTGCTTTTGGGTTCGGAAGCGGTCAACCTGACTGAGTAGGCGATATCACCGTACTCAAAGTTAGTCCTTGGATCCCTCGCCCCTTATCGCTCTATAGCTCTGCCACGCTCTGTAGACCCCATCGAGGGGCCGTCACGCTGATTCCGTAGGCGAGCATGATCGTCAATGCGGCCAACTCGTCATTACTGGGTGGAGGAGGTGTCGATGGGGCGATCCACCGAGCGGCCGGAGATGAGCTGTACGAGGAGTGCAAAACACTAGGAGGGGCAGAAACGGGAGAGACGAAGGTCACTGGCGCGTACGATGTGAGTACCAGCTTGTCCGACCTGGCCTGCAGTTGGCCCCTACGACCGGCGGGGTCGAGGAACGGAGAAGCAGACGCTGACGCCACAGCTCCCATCGACGTTTATCGCCCACACAGTCGGACCCATCTACTCCACTCGTAATCCCGGCCAATCACAAGATCAGCTGGAGTCATGCTACCGTACCTCGCTGGAGCACTGCCAGGAGAAGAAGGCGGAGACTATTGGATTCTCAAGTATCAGTACTGGGATCTGTGTGTTCTCCTCTCCTCTCCCCTTCCTTCTTCAACTACTTGAGACCTAGAGACTTGCTGATGTGACAGATGGATATCCCATAGGCGACGCAACACATGTCGCCCTAGAGCAAACTCGGATCTTCCTCGAGAAAGACGACTCGGTAAGTTGGTTTCTCCTCACGTCCTCCGCCTTGACTTTCGGTCGTCCAGGATGCAGCTGACCTCTCAGATCAAACGAGTCATCTACGTCGTCTTCTCCGCCAAAGACGAGCGGGTCTATCGATCCCTCGCGCCCATCTACTTCCCTACGCCCGCTGCACCCGCTGCGGACTCTGCCGCCGAGCCAGCTGTGGACGCCGCCGCCGAGACAGCTCCGGAAACCAGGACCGAAAGTCAGGTTCAGCCGCAGGTCGAGCCAACGCCGGAGGCGGAAACAAGGGAGGAGAAACGTTCAGCGGCAGAGACCATATCCGAGGCGAAGGCATGAGGATGGCAGACCGGCCAGGCTCGATGCTCGGCAGCTAGCCCGGTCCTCTCTCGGGCGATCCGATATAATCTAGTACCCTTTAACCTAAACAGGCCTCGTCATCAAAGCTATACAAAGACTATATGTACTCTGCACAAGAACTAACATCCCTCCCTCTCCTGTATCAAGGAGGCTTGGTCGTCATCTACAACACTTTACTATAGCTATATCTTATCTAACGTATCCCTACACAATCCCAAAACTTATACATCCCCTCCTTCTCCCACTCCCTCTGTCCCTGTCCCTGTCACCGTTCGCATTATCCCCTAGGTACCAACAACCTCCCCAACACCCACCTTCCCAAAGCCTTCACCACCCCCATGCCCGGAACAGCCCCCGCCACACTCTCAACAAGCGGGCTGAGCCCCGCATGGTGTTTGCTCCGTGGGTATCGGTCTTCGATTGCACGGCGGACTGACGAGTAGAGGAGGGCGTCATCGACAGCCCAGAGTTGAGTGAGGAGGGCGAGGCGGGATGCGAGGAGGTTGGAGCGGTCCGTTGCCGGTCCAGAAGAGGACGCAGTGGAATTGCCGGCTTGTCTGGCTTGTCAGCTACAGCTACAAGTCCGGGACAGCTGGACTTACGCGGAGAGAACACTGCTCATCAATCGCCTTCTGTCCGCATTGATGCCAGTCGAGCTGCTGCTATCCTCGCTGATATGTCGGAGGTGATGACCGGCCGTGATCCGGGGTGCCATCGGGCCTGTCATTTCAGCTCTTTTCCCCTAGGTTTCTGCTTGCCAAGGATAGCTCACCGACAGCGACCTCGCACACCTCTATTCCCACCTCCCCTAGCTCCTCCCGCAGTCTGACGGCAGTCTCGTCCCTTGCCGCTCGTACCACCTCCATTGCGGCCACTCCGGTTGTATCCGCCGCTGTGTGATTGTTGACAAAGACGATCCGTCCCCGTCGACCGTCAGGGTGAGATGGGAGGGACAGTAGATCCTGAAACTCCCGGATGACCGAGAGCGGATCGAGGACGTTGGCGCGGTATAGCGAGATGAGGGTAGACTCGTCCGTCTCGAGCAGGCCGGAAGGGATTGGTTGGCACGGCTCAGGAAGAGCAGGGCGGGGTTCGTATAGCTGTAGCGGAGCTTCCAGGGGGCTCACCACGCCTCTCGGCCGAACATCATCGACGTCCGCCTGCACCGCTTGGTAGTCCTCAATCATCTCCATATCGGGCGAGTCGGGTTGATAGTCCCGGTCCATTCCCTCCCCCGGATCGTTGGACGTCCCGTCCCTCTCGTCTATTTCGCCGGTATCCCCGCCATCTACACCATCGCCGGTCTCGCCTCGGCTAGCACATACGACAGCGACGAGCCTCAACCCGTTCTCCGCCGCGTACGCGCGGACGGTCTGACCGGCGTGGCTGAATCGCGCCCGGCCCTTCCCCTTCCATCCCGGAGATTGGGTCTCGGGGTCCGTCATGATCGGTACGATACATCCTGGATGGTGTGGATATCGCGACCGAAGACGTTTCTGGGCGGTGGACCACATGAGGAGGAGGGAGGAGAGGGCATGCGAAGTAGGTGGGGAGGAAGGGGATGGGAGGGCGAGGAGGGGGAAGACGGTATAGCCGGATTTGGCGAGGTGGAGTGTTAGAGATTGGCCAGCACCTGAAGGTCAGCCAGGGATATGGTGATGATGGTATAGTGACCTACCTTCTGCGGCGCCGATGACGACCACGGCTAGACCCCTACCGCTCTCGCCGTGACCTGACCGAGTCCGCTCATTCTGGGGAACGGGCGGAGTGCGGGGTGGTGCATAGCGCACCAGCTGCTGTCCACCTAGACCGAAAGATATGACCGAGGAGCGGAACCAGTCGTGCACCAGCGACGCGGTCGCCTCGACCGATAGGGAGATGAGGGCGGTGATGTCTTGCGTGAGCGAGAGGAGCTGGAGCGCTGATGCGGACGGTGGGGTGACCGCGACTGGTCCAGAGTAGTTAGAGGATGACGATGAGCCGGTAGAAGGAGCAGGGCCGGACTTTGACATGATGGCCGGTGGTGGAGACGTATCGGATGGATAGGAGATGCCAGATAAGGGTTGTTCGACACCACCCCTTCGCTCTACCTCTCCACCAGTATCGGGCTGCTTTGAGACACTGAAGGCGCTATGAGCTCATCGGAAGCGTTGTGGCTAGCCGATCTGGACCTGGGCGAGCTATAGTAGGGGAGTGAGACAGTCTATGAATGAGAATGGTGAAGCTGAAGGGTTGAGGCACGCACGGCCGGCGCAGAAGCTTCGTTCAGGAACGTGTTTCAGATTGTAGCTTTCCCACGATTGTAATTACGTCATTGACTGGGCCTGTTCGGAATTCGCTCAGAGATGGCGACAGCAAAGACCATCTATCGACTCGATACTCTATAGCTGTGAGCCTACCTATAAAGTTCGCGTCAAAGCAACTCAGGACCACCACTCACTCAAGCACTGTTGACGAGATGTCATTCTCACGCTCGGACGTTCACAACTTTGCCGCCGGGCCGTCGCCCCTCCCTACCCCGGTCCTGGAGGAGGCTGCCAAGGGGCTCTTGAACTACAAGGGGACCGGTATGGGGATTTGCGAGCTCAGTCATCGGAGCAAGGAATTCGAGGCGATCATCTTTGGCGCTGAGGGTGAGTCCACAGCTGCAATTCAGCTGACATGTAGCCAACCTGCGCAAGCTCTTGTCTATCCCCGACAATTACTCGGTCCTCTTTGCCCAAGGCGGCGCTACCACCCAATTCTCCTCCACCCTCCTCAACATCCTTGCATACCGCCGCATGCAACACAAAGCCGACACCTCCTATACACCCCCTCCCGTCGACTATGTCGTCACCGGTACCTGGTCGGCCAAGGCGCACCAAGAGGCGCAGCGCCTCTGCATGCCCCCTCAGCCCGGAGCGGAACCCCTCGCCCATCCCCGGATAGCGGCCACTACCAAGCCTACCAAGTACACCACGCTGCCCAAGGCGGACGAGTACTCGTTCTCGCCAGACGCGGCCATGGTGTACTATTGCGAGAACGAGACCATCAACGGGATCGAATACCCCTTGGACCAGTCCTCCCCTTGTGCCTTCCCATACGACAAGATCCCCGAGGGCGTCCCGCTCGTCGGCGACTACTCTTCCTCCTTCATCTCCCGCCCTATCCCCCATCTTGAGCGCCACGCCGTCATCCACGCCGGCGTCCAAAAGAACCTCGGTCCTGCCGGCGTAACGGTCATTATCGTCCGGAACGACTATCTCGTCGATACCACCGAAGCTATGAAGCTTGGCGGTATACCCCCCGTCCCCATCCAGAACGAATACAAGATCCTCGCGGATAACCAGTCTCTCTACAACACACCGCCAGTGTTTGCCATCTACGTCTCGGCGCTGGTGTTGGAGTATCTGCTGGCAAAGGGCGGGATAGAGAATCTGGAAAAGACAAATAGGGAGAAGGCGAGGGTGTTGTACGAGACGCTGGAGAAGGCGGAGGCGGCGGGCACAGTGAGGATGGTGGTAAGGGAAAAGGACGCGAGGAGCTGGATGAATGTGGTGTGGGAGCAGGTCGGGGAGGGGGCGAATGAAAAGTTCTTGAAGGGGGCGGATGGGAAGGGGTTCAGGCAGCTCAAGGGGCATCGGTCGGTCGGTGGTGAGTTTTGGGCTATTGAATAAGGGAATGCGCTGATGTTCAGGGATACGAGCCAGCCTGTACAATGCCGTGACGGTAGAGTCGGTTCAAGGCTTGAGCGAGTACATCGACGGGTTCTCAGCTTGACCAGGAGGAGTAGACGACTATGGCTTTGTAGGCGGCGTGCGGTTGACGACGCGGCCCCGCCGCCGATCGCCCAAGCAATTTGTCGTTAGGTTTGCCGAGACCTGGCTCACTACATTACTGAAGCCGCCAGTCTCATAGTCTGACTTGGAAGTGTACGGCAGATTGGCGGAACGTTATCAAGGAGAAGGAGACATGAGCATTTCCCTTTCCCCCTCTCCCATTCTCCACCACCCATCTGTTACATCCTCCTCCTCAACTTATTCCTCAATACTCTGATCTCTTCACCGCACATACAAGACCTGAATGGCCGTTGTTGGGCGAGGAGATACAGGCTGAGAGGGACTTCACTGACGGCTGGGACAGGCTTTATTTGTGTGCAGGATATGGGGAACGAAAAAGGTCAATATGGACATTACGGCGCAGTGGAACAGCATGCTGTTAACTCTGGAGATCCTCCCCCTCCTCTCCGCCCTCACGACCAGATCAACTGCGTCCATGTCTCACGGACGTTCCACTGCGTCGCCTCCTCGCTCATCCACCCCGCCTCCTGACAGGACCCTCTCGCTCGACATCTCCCTCACTGGAGGGGAAGCAATAGGAGGTGATTACATCTAAGCTAGGGACAGACGCCAACAGGCACCGCCAAAAAGTTACCAGTCTGGGTTCCCGACTACGCTCAATCTTGCTTGTCAACTTTTCGTTGCGTATTAGAGGGTTTAACATCAGAGTGGCGTGCTTTGCCGGCGCTAGGTCGGTTTCGACGCCGCCGTCCCGCAAGGGCAACCCATCTTTGGCCTGGTCATTCTGGATTTTTGGAAATGCGCGATCAGGTTGCAGATGTCAATAATTCTACGGTGCACTCACGTACACGGAAGGTGCTGAGTGGCGGACATGTAGACGGGAACTCTCGTGCGCGACTATCGGCGATATGCATCCTTGGTTATGGCGGTGATCTGGGACGGGGCGGGACACTGGCCACCGGCAGCGATGATGCAATGCGATGTGGCACGGCGAGCAAATGGGTGGAGAGAGGTGCTGGAATTGCCTGCATCTCAAGATGGCTTTCGCTTGGTATGTCTCGCTACCTGTAGAGAGCTGACTGCTTAGATCTTCGACTTCAACGAAACACATGTCTTCATCTGCGCTGTCGGCCAAATCCACATTGTGGACCGTAAAACGCAACAGCCAATGGCGTCCTTCCCTTCGCTTACCACCACGGTGCAAGACATGTGTGCCGTCGTTTACCACTTAGACTTTGACCCTGCTCACCTCACGATCACGACTGCCTATCCCTCCGGGCAGTCGGAGGGTACGCCTCCTTTGGGGTTCGAAGAGGACCGGGCCTTTGTTGGGCGTTTGGGAGTGAAGGGGAGGCGGAGTGACGATCCCACTTGTGATCCCTTGATGAGGGCGAAGATGCTGCGGATGATGGGGTTAACGGTTGACGGCAGTGAGGATCCGCTATGTTGGCCGCCCAACGATGAGATCATCACCTTCATTTCGTGAGTCGGGGATATGATGCAGAGTTGACATATCAGATGTCGCGTGCTAGGCTCAGATCTCATCTGTACCACCACGTACGGACAATGCTTCATCATCCGCGAATACGCCTCCAGCATTGAAGGAGCCTGTTGAAGTTTGGAAGGTAGAAGTACAAAAGCAGAATGAAGATGCATTGGACACGATCAGGTCTACTTATATAGTCCTGCTGGCGTCGCTGCGTCGCGACACCGACGCGACGACACGACGCCGACGAGTCGCTGGGACGTCGCTAGACGACGTCTCACGTCTCTATATGCTATAGGATACTTGGGTGGCGGCGTTGCCTCGCCGCCACTCAGCGCCGTCAGTCCGACACTAATGTAAAGTGTCCGGACACCCGGACAGACAATTCTGTCCGGCCCGTACAGTGACTATCCCGGATATTCACCTAGCGCTATCTCAGATCTAGTCGGCGCCGGCGCGGCGCCGCGACGCCGTGACGTCGCTGCGACGTCGCAAGGACATCCAGCGACGTGCTCCTGTTCTGAGATCTGTCGGCGCAGTCGCCCAGCGACGCGCCGCTATGCTCCTACAGCCAACAGAGCCACCGCATGGGGCGAGAAGACAATTGTCGTCAACTTCAACAAGCGCGCAACGGAGCTGGACGTCGATCAGACTCATGTCGTCCTCACTGTTGCCGGGCGCCCTTCGTTCTTCGATACGCGGTCTCTTCCCAGCCTGCCGCTTGGTCCGGATGCGGGATCCTCCAGCCCAATCCCCCCGCTTTACCTGCACTTGACCTCCACCTCCGCAGCCGACTTTGTCAGCTCCTTCTCCGATTCTTCGCCCAACCCCCATGGGCCGAGCATCCAACCTCGGATCCACCGGAACTCTCTGTACTACCATTACCACTCCAAGCAAGGGGGATATCTACGGGGCCCCCTGTTCAATCCGGTGGCAGACGGACAGGAGACTGTACAGGAGTGGCGCTCTTTGTTGGGAGAAAACAGGGACCAGGTATAGATTAGTATATGAGGCCTTATGTATGCTCAGCCAGTATGAGAGCCGTATCTCTCGTCCTGTATAGGGGGTCCGTATGGCAGATGAGCAAATGGTCCAGGAAGCCAGAACACCGAAGCGGACGACCTCCACCCTTAACTTTCCCCACCCAGTACCCACGTCCGCGTCTTGGTCCGCGTCCGTTTGGAAACCTTGCCATCGCCTTTTCTCCTTCTGTGTGAGCAAGAGTGCCTTCACTCGACCAGTCATGCAGCCTCCTATCTCCCACCCTCCTTCGCCACATGCCCTGCTCATCAGCCGATATGTTGCGCGACCCACCCCTCTCCAGCAACCCCCTCGAAGCCCTCGGCGAGTCCCTCTTCACATCCATCCTCCAGCAACTCGCATATCGTCCCCTAGCGGTCGTCCCTTCAGTCAGCTCGTCATGGCACAAGCACTCGGTGGCGAATGAGGCTAGCGTATGGAGGGGTGCAACCTTGGACGCGGACCTCGATCCTGACCACCTCGCTATGATTCGGCATTTCGAGGGATTTTCGGCGACCCAGGTTGCGGACGTGCAGGCGCTACCGGGGACTAAAGCGGACAAGGCGGCATCAGCTCAAATGATGGAGGTGGATCAGCAAGGCAAGCTTGTTGCGATGAACATGAGCTGGAAGAGGCACTGCGAATGGCACATTGTGTCTAATCGCAATTGGCAGACTGGGCGGTGCAGCAACAAGTGGCTAGAGAAGGGATGGGGACGAGCCGGTCTGGAAGAGATGGACGGCTACCATATCTCCACTTACCTACACCGGAGTGAGCAGGGCTTTACTGCGCATATGATCAGTGCTGACCCTACCCAGATGGATTAGACGTTATCGATCTCCGCAAGGACAAGACTCTCTTTTCTCTCCCGGACGTCCCGGCTCGAGCGAGGCTCGCAGTTGGCATGCGTCATGTAGTAGTTGACGTGAGCAGTGGGTTTGTTCCGCCCTCCACTCGGGGACAGGCTGACCCGACAGCGAGCTACCTCTCCCTGCAAGTGTACCGAATGCAGTTGGGAGTCAAGTTAGCCCTCTGGCCCTATCCCATTCTTGGGGACAGTTTCGACCTCCCCTCCATTGCCGCTTCCTCCAAATCGCAAATCCGTCCCACCTGGGATCCCAAATCTACCTTGGCTCCCGAGGACATCCTGGCCAGTCTCGCCCAGGGCATCCAACCCCGACCCTCGCCCCTCCCACAGGGCGGGCTCGCTTACTATCGGAAGATCACTGAATTAAAGCCATTCATAGCCTGCACATTCATCATCAGGCAGCTCGGGGAGGACATAAAAAAGGATTATCTCGCCATCGGCTCGGACAACGGCGTACCGATCTGTAGTCTAGATGACATCAAGAAGCCGGAGGTGGTTCCGATGCCGGCTGTGCCACCGGGAACGGCAGTCGTAAGTGACTTCTTCACACTCATATCGCAAACTGACAGACTAGACCTTCGATTTCAACGAAAGTCACATCTTCTTCTGCGGCGTCGGCCAAGTACACATCTACGACCGTCAATCTCGCCCTATGGCCCTGTCCTTCCCCTCGCTCCCGACGAGTATCAAAGACATGTGTGCCCTGGCGTATCACGTTCGTGACCCTAGCACGACCCACGCGCTCATACAACCCACCGATCCTTCTTCCGGCACACCGCCGCCGGGGTGGCAGGACATGAGGCCGCATGCTACTCGGGCGGACGTGCAAGGCATGAGGAGCGATGACCAACGCTGTGATCCCATCATGCGACAGAAATTGTTGCGGATGATGGGCATTGAAGGGGGCGGCGGCGGGGCTTCGTTGCTGTGGCCGCCTATCGGTGTCAGAATGGAGTTCTCCGCGTAAGCGCAATCTCGATCTAAGTCAAATTCACCACCTGACACCACAGGTGCCGCGTCTTTGGTTCGAACCTCGTCGTGACGACCACACCCGGCCAGCTCTACTTCATACGAGACTACGCCGCTCTGCTCGCTCTCGCCGACACGCAGGAGCGGCAGGAGCGCTGGGGCAAAGCAACCATCATCATCTACTTTCCTCAACCGATCAGGAATCTCGACGCGGAAGGCACCCATATCGTCGTGTCAGAGACCCACCAGCCAGTATTCATCGATACACGGTGCCTCCCACTTCTCCCACTCGCCCCAGACACTGAGGCGGCCACCTCCCGCGATATACCAGCCATCCACCTTCATCTGGTTCCCTCCTTCCCCATGATGCCACCATTCGACCCCCACAGGGCGCCGACCTTCCACCCTCTCAAGGGTACCCTCGGCTGGATGGATCGAAACTGCTCTACGAGTACGAGTCAAATGGCCGGCTGTATCATAGGACTCTGTTGTTTGGGCCGTAGGTAGCGGTCCGATGCAGAGGGACTTGTCGGATCACGTTTAGTATGATAAGTATGAGGCTGGATGCAATAGTGATGTTTATCTTAACCCAACAACCTGTAGTTATTCATACCGCGTTTCAAAGCCTTATGTGCGGATCTGTCTCCCCAAGCGCAGAAGCTATGAAGGAGAAACAGATCTGGCGATTCGAGTGGGGAAAAGTGGGGGAGATGTCACTGGACGCACGGACGTCGCTCCCAGCACGTCGTGTCTGCTCTTAAGCTTGTACCCAACTTGTATCTGCCCTCCGCGCTTCTAACCCGTAGCCGCCATGACTCTTCCTAATCCATACCCCGAAGACCCTTTGCAGGCTCTGGGAGACTCGCTATTCGTCACGATCCTATCTAATCTCCCAATCACCACCCTCGCCGTCTTTCCGGCCGTTTGTCGCGCATGGCGACAACACTCGCAAGACCACAAATCTGGCATATGGCGGGCCGCTTGTCATCGAGCCGGTATGGACAGGAAGGTCGTAGCGACGCTTCTCGACTCGGAAAAGAGCGACCAGCGCGGGACAGGGCACTCGGCGGAAGCGGCGCGGCTGTGCGGCCAGAATATCTCGCAGGCCAATGCCAACGGGCTTGATTGGAAGGCAGTGTGTCGTCGACTCGTTGTCGAGGGCAATAATTGGCGAGGCGGACGCTGCAAGGAGGAATGGGTGTACCCACACCACGCAAACGCGGTCTGTCGGTTCAAGATGGACGAGGAGCAGGAGGTTTGTATATCGACGAGTCGGACTGGTGAGTTGGCATGGCTGAATCACGAAATTCTGCTGACCCACGCAGGCGGTATCGAGGTTGTTGACTTGGAGAGCTCACACACACTGTTCTCAGCGCCACATGTCCGACCCTACGCGCATATCGAATTCGCCAAAGGACACGTCGTATTCGACACCGGTAACATGGGAGGTGAGTTAGTCGAGACTGCTGAACAATTGTTACTGCGGAAGCTGGACTGCTTCATACATCGGCGAGCGAAGGGATATCACAGGCAGGGCTAAGATGGAGCAATCGCTGGACTTTGCTAGTGGAGGCGCGGGGGATACCCAGGCTGATGAGACAGGCGCACTACAAGTCTGGCGCACGAAAGAAGCCATAAACCGCTCCCCGCGTCCGTGGCCGTCAGAGCGTCAGGTCTCCGCCGAAGCTCAAGATGCAGTCAGCCACATTGATCACGCTTGGCGGCCGACGTCGGCAATCCTACCTAGTTCCGCCGTCCTTGGCGCCGATCTTCCCAGGCCACCCACTCTCCCTCGGGGCGCCTTAGCCTACTACAGAAATATCTCAGCTCCAACCTATTGCAACGCGTTCCGGGCGAGGGTGGACGGCAGAGAGTCAGGTACAGAGCGAGCGGTGTTGGGTACCGCTGGGAATCAGGCGATCTACTTGTGGGATCTGGAGGATGAGGGCAGTCCGGCGGAAGTCATACCAACTGATAGTGAGGCGGCAATGAGAGCTTTACAAGTGAGTTTGCTTCGTCTTAGTGGCCAGTGCAGTCAGACATGGAGGAAAGCCGTGCTGAACCCGTCCCGTGTGTTTGGCCACCCGGACCATCGTCACACGGGATCCTTCCTTGCTTATCACGACGAGACCAGCTAGGGTATTAGCTGATCTGGCAGTATATCGAATTCGACGACAATTACGTCTTTCTCTGCGGCGATGCGCGGCTCTACGTCTACTGCCGCAGCACCAAAAAGCTCATCCACACCTACCCACCCCGCGACTCTACCACTCGTTCGACTTGCGCGGCCGCTTACTATCTCGAGATGCTCAATCGCAATTCTTACGAGGTCCTGCAAACCCCTGCCGACCCCTCTTCACGGGACCCCAGCAAACCAGGGGCAGATATGCCTGTACACGCCGTCATTGCGCGGGCTGATGTGCCCGGCTGTCGCCCGTCCGACCCGGAATTTGTCGATACGATGTACATGGAGGCAGGGGTACGGGATCGCCTGATGAGCGATTCTGGAGGCGATGAGCATCCTTGGCCTCCCGTGGGCTATGACTTTACTGCGTGAGTATCCTGTCCAACATCCCGACGAAAAGATTTGTCCCTGAGGAAGAGACTGTCTGAGCTCGGGGCAGTCTGCTTCGACTCCACTTCATCGTACGAGGAACACCGCTGACCCTACAGCTGTCATTACACCGCCTCGGACCTTATTTGTACCACCGGTCTCGGCCAGATATTGATCACTCGGGACTACGCTTCGGTGCTCACCTGCCCCGACGCCAACGAGCGGAGCAGGCGGTGGGCTGCGCGAACCATCGCTATCGGCCTTCGCAACCCCATCATGCAGCTAGCGGTAGAAGATACCCGGGTCACCGTTTCCTCACTATCGCACATTTACTTTTTTGATACCAACACCCTCCCCACCTTGCCTCTGTCCGATTCGCCCGCCACTCCTATCCGGATCTACGCCATCCTATCCACCCAGTCCGTCAACACATCCAGCTGCGTCCAAATCCACAGGTCTAAGCTGTTTTACGCCTATGATGCATCTGGCGAACCTACCCCGGAGGACCCGACTCCCGACAGCAGGCATGTTCTCCCTGCGCCGGAGAGAGCAAGAGAGCATTTTGGAAAGTGTATCAGAGTGTGGGACTTTTCGTAATAGGCGAAGAGGTCGAGTGGGGAGCGCGGTGAAGGAGTCTATGCAGAACATAGCTTGGCCTCGAGTTTCCTGGTCCAGCGGCGCATCAACAGGAGCTGCATCTTTGATCAGATCCGCTCTTCTCGCTAGACCCCCTCTTCAAGCTTCGCCTACACACCTCCCCTCTATACTTCTATATCTCTAAGCTCGGAGCTCCTTGTGTCCGGGCCACATGCTAGCGTGCGAAACTGCCGGTCTGCAGGTCAGCTGCGGTCCGGGCACATCCGACCTCTTTGTGGCAACTCACGAGATCTTGGTCTTGATGGGAGCGTGAATAGAGCTGTGCGACGGGATACCTTCGACCTGAGATTGTCAGCTATGCTCAAAGTACGATGGAGGCCGTATAGCTTACCCGGTGGTAACCGTTCAGGTTCTTGTGAGCGGTGATCTGAAACACGCTGGCGGACCCTTGGCGCGAGATGCTAAGACGGTCAGTTGATGCATGACAAAGAATCATTCTGAGATTCCCAACTCACATGACAGAGTAGGCCAAAAAGTAGACCCAGATCCTGTACCACCTGATGCCGTACTTCTCGACGACCTTATCCTTGTTGGAAACCCAGTTGAGGTACCACCTGTGGAGAGTAGCCGAGTAGTGGACGCCAAGCACGTCGACCGACTTGATTTCAAAGTTGGCAGCTTCGAGCTGTACTTGTCAGCTGATGCTCCGTGCTACACAGCCGACGGCAAATCGTAGCTGACCTGCTTGATGACCCATCCGAGGGGGAGCGAGGCGTCCGCACCGGGGAAGACATACTTGTTCATGCTGACTTATCAGCTCATGCTTCGATCCGAGACCTGGAGCTGACTCACAAAAGACCCCAGATCAGATCCTCGTACTGCCAGTTGGTCCTGATCCCAGCCACCTGGAACACCAGCGTTCCATCATCGTCCAGGAGCTCGTACACCTCGCGCAGGAACTTGGGGTAGTGCCTGATCCCGACGTGCTCTGCCATTTCGAGACACGAGATGGCATCGAAGGAGCCCTTGTTGGCGGGGATGTCGCGGTAGTCCATGCAGTTGATGCGGCCTTGGGATTCGGGAATATTGTTTTCGCGGAGACGGGCGTTTCCAAAGGCGGTTTGTTCGCGGGCCAGGGTGACTGTCATGTCAGCTTGATCCGCAAGGTAGGCAGAACCTAGCTGACCTCCAGTGACGTCGGCGCCATAGTTTTTGGCGGCAAAAGTAGCCAAAGTTCCCCATCCACACCCGATATCCAGCATCCGGTCCCCCTTCTTCAGGTTGAGCTTCTCGCAGACCATCGTGAGCTTGTTGTCCTGCAGCTCCTCGAGGGTCTCCTGGCGGGTGATATCGGTGATGACGCCGGAGGTGTAGATCATGCGGGGTCCAAGGAACCAAGAGTAAAAGTCGTTTCCTCGGTCATAGTGGTCTCGGACCTGCTCCTCGTCCTGGGTGCGCGAGTGGAGGAGAACGTCGGGGATGAGGTTGACAAAGACGTATTTGAAGAGCTGGACATCAGCTACAGTCCACTTCGATCAGTAAGAGAGCTTACAGCTGGGGTAAACTCGAACGAGGCCCAGTCATGACGGTACTCCATCACATCCAGCACGTCCCCCTTGAACTCAAATTTGCCCTCAAAGTAGGCATCGTGGAAGATCTGCATGGGGATCTTCTTTCCGCGCCACTTGTCCATATCGCCGCTCTTGATCTCGATATAGTCGCCCTGGGGCCGGTTCGGGAAGGGGACCTTTTCATTGACGCGTTTGCCAAACTTGGATGAGAGGGTCCAGTAGGCAACAGTGACAGGGAGGAAGAGGAGGACGAGGAGGACAAAGAAAGTAGTCCAGCTCTTGGCGAAGGGGAGGAAGATGCGCTGGAAGAGGTAGGTGACGGCAAAGACGGAGCCGGCGAGGTGGTAGTTGTTGAATGAAGCGCTACCTTCAGCAGGAAGCGGTGCGTTGGCAATGGCCGGGGAGTTGGTGCTGATTGTCAGCTAGAGTCGCTGGGAAAGCCGAACGACTTACACGCGGAAGGTCTTTTGCGGCGCATCGCCGTTGGGCTGCCCGCTGCTTGGCTTCTGTACGTCTGCCATACTGATGTCTGGGGAGAGGTATGGAGCAGAGCCTTGGACTTTTTAGGTGGTCGACGCGCAGGGGGGAATCTCGCGAGTGATTTTGAGTTGTGTGCCACGTCACCCATCCACATCCCCCGGAACCTCTTAAGTCCAGTCAACCCCCTAAATAACAGGGGTTAGGGGGCCCAAATCCCCTTCGCGACTTTCAACTTTCACCCTGCCCAGACTCCTATACTGCACAGGATGAGCCGCGAGTCAACGCGACGGTCCACAAGACAGCCTTCGGGCCAGTCGAGCGCGACTGACCTCTCCGCCGCTGAAGACGCGCCGACCCTATCCACGCGAAATACGCGTTCATCCCGGGCGCCATCAAACCGTTCATCTCGCGGAACAACCTTTTCTCGGACTGTCAACCTTGATGTGGAGGTGGATGTTGTCCCGGCACAGGGGCAGCGGGGACAGCATAGGATGCGGATGTCTAATCAGCCCGCACCGATCATCAGCGAGAGCGAGGGTGAGACCATGTCGGAGGGGGACGACGAGGAGCGGACAGAGCAAACCCCTTCTGTCCGGTCACGGTCGACGCCACGTCGGCGGAACGACGGTGGAGATGCGGATTCTACGCCCAGAGCGGCGAATGCGGGCCGTGCTTTGACGCGGCCGTCCCTGGGCGGATCAAGTCTTGCCAGGGGGATGACCGTGGACAAACGGGCGGAGATAGTTCGTGTTATTGCGCGGGACTGTCTCAACAAGCTCTTGTCCGGCGGAGATACCAACGAGGAGAGCGCAAGTAGGAAAGCTTGGGCAGTGCTTCATGGTGAGTCTCTCCGCCCAGCTTAGAACATGGGCTGATCATCAGTCGCGCGGACCAACTACCTCTTCAACATCGGAGCCCCTCCGTTCGCAGATCTGGCTCGCTTCGCGGCAGAAGTCCCCTCGGGATCGGGATACCACGTTGGGAGGATATCAGACACGATCGACCTGTCCAACCTCTGTACCTTCCTCTGGACCATCCTCGCTCCTGATCACGCCGCAAGTCAATTCCCTGGCCTGGACGCCGACGGGGACGCCGGGCCGAGTGATGGCGAGAGCTCCAGCGCCGTTTTGAGGAGGCAAGTCGCGCGTAGGAACGCCTTACTCTTGGCGGCATGGAAGAAGTTTTGGTTTTTGGTGGTTTCAAGGGAGGACAGAGCCAATGAGAAGGCGATGCGCTTATGGCTTGATTTCGCAACTATGGTAGGTCCTCTCTCCAGGAATCGATCAGGGCTGACGTCCAGATTGTCCGCACGTGGCAACTACCCACGATCTCACCTTCATCCCTCATCAACCCTTCCCTCCCTGCCATCCCCGACTCTATCCTCCGGGACCTCTTCTCGCCATCGGCTCTCTTCACGTATGGACAATGGCCGCCATCCGCCTCGCAGGCCGCAGAGGACGAGGACGCCGACCCGCCCACCGAGGAATCCATCGTCAAGAACCTATGGAAAGACTTCGCTAGGCGTCGGCAAAAGACGCTGAACGAAAAACGGCCGGAAATTCTCGACGAGCAGTTCCGGTGGGGACCATTCAGCGGCGACATGCACCAATTCGTCCAAGTGCATATCATGCAGGAGGAGCGGGCACACGAGGGGGCGCCATCGGAACGAGCCGAGACGCCAAGGGCGGGACCGGCGTCGGGTCGGCGGATGAAGATGAAGCGGACTGGTCATCCCGCGGATACTAGTCAGGGACAGAATGGGGCGGAGGAGGACGAGCTGGAGTCAGAGGAGGATCAGTTGATGTTTCAGTCGGAAGATGAGGAAGAGGAGGCGGACGCTCAGCTCAAGGAGGAAGAGGACGAGGTACACCTCGCGGACCTCGCGGGCCTCGCACAGGAGATGCAGAATGACGATGAAGAGGAAGGACGAGCATCTCGGATGGCGTCGGCGGTCTCGCCAAACAAGGCTCGGTCGGTCACTGCCACACCACGCGCTGCTGCCCTCGGTCGCCGCGGGGTCGAAGCGGAAAGCTCGGGCGTGGACTTTGCGTTGGCTGCAGAAATTGCGGAGGAAATGGAGAGGGAGGCGGCAGTAGCATCGAGCAGTCGTCGGACCACCAACGGCCAAGGCGCAGATGTCGACGTCAGTGATATGATGCCCTCCATGCAGGATATCGGCGGTCGGCGCCGGCGGGATCCGCCCCAGCGCGAGCTGGACCCAGAAGAAGCGGTGGACCAGTCACAATGGGCGCTCAACGACATGATGCCCAATACTCAGGACATCCAAGGCCGGGCGGTGCGGCGCGATGATATCACCCCCGGGCCGAGTCGGTCCATCTTTAATCTCAACGGTCGCCGGAACGAATCTCATCCCGCGGACGGAAAGCCCAAATTCAACTTTGCTGCGCCCCAGCCCGGGGCAAAGCAGATCCCGTGGGATAGTCAGCCTTCTCAACCTTCCCCTTCGCCCCAGAAACGGCCTGCTGCGCGCGGCACAAGTCGGAACGGCGGAGATGAGGACCGCACGCCCCGTCCCCAGCCTCGCGGTATCCCTTCATCTCGAGCGCCGGCCGCGGGAAGAGGTCGGACTGCTCCATCCAGTTCCCCACCCCGCACGTCGCGCAGAGACGCCCAGGATTTGGGCGCTACCCCTGGAGGCTTTGCCACGTCGCAAGCGGGCGGATCCGACGAGGAGCTAGAAGATGAGGAGGAGGAGGAAGCACAGGAAAGGGAGGAAGAAGAGGAGGAAAGGGAGGAGTCGACTTCCCCCTCTAGGCGCCGGAAGCTAGACAAGGGCAAAGGTCGCGAGACTGCTCTTACACCCATGGACGTCGAGCCCGCACAAACTCGGGAAGATCGGTCTCTGACTGAATACTCGGTCGAGTCCCCGCCTCGCCATACAGCGAAAGATAAGGGCAAGGGGAGGGATACGGCACCTACCCCGTCGGCGGATTTCGACCGGATCCGGAGCTATCCGCACGGGGAGCATAATGATGTCGGGCAGGACCAGGAGTGGCAGAATTACGACCCGGACGACTATGTTCAGCAGGACCAGGATCAGGATCGGGACCAGTTCCTGGATCAGGATCAGAACCCTGATCTGGACCAGTACGATGATCAGTATGATGATCAGCTGGACGAACAGGAGCGGCGACCGGCGTATCAGCGACAGGGAAGGGGAGGGGGTCATGGGGATGATGGAGAGGAAGACGAGCTGGACTCGCGCAATGCGTCCCCGCAGCCGAAGCAGGAGTCTATGGGACGGAAACGGCGTCACAGCGAGGTGGAGGATGACTCGGACTCGGAGGAGATTGAGGAGATTGAAGAGGCGGAACACGCCCGCTCGGCTCTGCGGAAACAACAAGCGCAGGCGGGTCCTTCTACCCATCGCATCCAGCTCAAGCCTACTACCAAGCGGCGGAATGGAAGGGCGGCCCAGCCTCCGGCTAAGCGTGCTCGTCCGTCGGCTCGGGCTCAGCCTCGCCAGAACGGTAGCGACTTTGCGAGTCCAACGCATTCGGAAGATGAGGAGGATCAGGCGTTGCTTCGGGACCGTCGTCAGGGTCAGCGTCAGCGTGAGGACCAGCGCTCTTCTTCTCGTCGAGAACCTCAATTCCGGACGGGCGAAGCGGGTCCGAGCAACCATAATCGGCGGTCCAGCTCGTCCTCGACCGCCCCATCCGCCGCCGGTTCAGGTCGTAAACGCAAGATCCGGGCGCACGAGTCGTCGGACTCTCTCGACTCGAGGGGAAGGTCCAGGAGCGGGTCGCACGACTCGTTCATGTACGACAGCGACGGAGAGCGATTGCGTCCCGACCCAAACTACGTGGTTGTCGGGGCGTACGATCGCGGTCTTTCCAACATCCACGGTCAGAGACACCTCGGCGGGTACACATTCGCTCGTCTAGACGGGGTTCGATACTGGACGCACGAGCAGCAATTGCTGTTCTACCGAACCGTCCAAAAGGTGCCAATGACCGAGGAATACCCTTTCCGCGTCGTTTGGCAACTCCATGGCGAGGACGGTCGGATCGATAATCGGCTGGAAGACTATAATACCCAGCATATGAAGGATAAGATGAAGACGATCTTGGATGCGCGGCGGAACCAGGGTCGTCTCATCGAGCTCCGGGCACGGCGATACTTGCCGTGGGATGACGAGAGGCGGATAAAGTTTGAGGAGGAGATGGATGCAGTCAAGGGCAAGCGGAGGAGGCAGCAGGCGAGGAAGAACGCGGCGAGGACAAAGAGGAACGCGGAGGCTAATGCGAAAGCCAAGGAAAAGAGGAAGGCGGCTGCGGACGCTCGGAAGCGTGTCAAGGAGGCGGAGAAGGCTGAGGAGGAGGAAATTGATACTGGAGACGAGTCGTACGAGGAGCCGCAGTCGAAGCGGAAACAGGCCAAGCGAAAACAGCCAAAGCGGGCCAAGAAGAAGACAAAGAAGCAGGAGCAGCCAAGCGAAGATGGGGCGGAAGAGGATGATGCGGAAAAGCAAGGATCTGTTGCGCCTCCATCATCGGTCGCTCCGAGTCAGAACGGCGACGCCGATCACCAGGACGGGCAGGCGGAACGGGACGAGCTTGATAATCCCGACGGCGATGTCGATGACAATCCGGACGACCGATCGAACAAGGCCCCGTCGGAGGTCGTGGAGGATGATAACCCGCCACCTGGACCCCGGCGCGATCGGTATGGACTATCTATCACGGCTGAGGTGGAGCCAAATGCGGACAGAGATGCGCTTGAGAAGGCGGGCGAGGATGTGGATGAGGGAATGCCGCCGGGAGGAGATGAGGCGGATCAGCAGGATGGACAAGGAGATGATGAGCGTGTGAGTACTCGTCCTTGGCAACGAAATATGAGGCACGAAATGCGCATGCTGATGTTCACAGAGGTCCCGATCTCCGTCGGCCCCCGCGGAACCCGTCGAAGCGCCCAAGCGGAAACGCGGTCGTCCTCGGAAGAATCCCGTACCCGAGGTCATTGTGCCTGCTCCCGCACGCACAACTCGGTCTGGGTCAAAGCGGGCCGCCTCGCTTGCGGTGGATAACGAGCCGTCTGGCTCTAGTCGGACGTTACGGTCGAGATCGAAACCTGCCACTCAGCAAAAGCCGGCGGATGATGTCGAGGAGAATGAGGAGGTGGAAGATGGGGATGAGGCAGACCAGTCCAAGGTGACGGCAGCAGAAGGGGAAGGAGATGAGGATATCGTCGAACCCCCCGCTGGTCAGCCTTCTCGCTCGCTCGAGACTCGAGTGCCGCACAAGATGAAGCGGTCCAAGCCTTCAAGTCAACCGGATGTGGACGTGGGTGGTGAGCTGGATCCCGAGGATGATGATGACGAGGACGAGGAGGAAGAAGGGGAGGGTGGGGGCGACAAGGGGTCTGGAGATGAGGATGAGGAAGAGGAAGAGGCCGAAAACGCAGAGGCAGCTCCGGATGCGCAGCCGGATATGGACGAGGAGGACGAAGAAACCGCCGAGGCTGCTGCGGAGCGAGTGGCGGCAGAGGAGGCGGAGATGGTTAGGATGGCGGAGCTCAAGCACAGGGCGAAGATGGGATAGCGCTAGCTTTGGGGCGTGGCGGCTCGATACAGGGGATTTGCGAGGAATCTAGGCTGGATCTATTGGTGAATGCGTATCTGTCAGACTAGTAGCTTTGGGATGTTGGAGTCCTATAGTCGTTTTACAGTAAATGTCAATATGTAAATCGGGAAATCTGGTGCAGAAGATAGCGCTACATCCTGCCTGTATCGACATCTAGAAACGAGAAACGACACTGTTCCCGTACCCCAGATTCTCAATCTCCTTCATCGCCTCCCTCAGATCCCGATGGAAATGATGCGGTCCATACTATGAGGTCAGCTCGTTCGAACCACAGCTCAGATGTGGAGGAGGCAGCGGACGTACGATATCAGTGATGCCCACGAATTGAAACATGGTCAGATGGGCAGGATGGAGATGGACAAAGTGCAACCCGACCCCGCGTTCGGAATAGGATTTGGTCAATTCGTACAAAATCTGTAACGCTCTGAGAGTTATCAGCTGACTTCTTGCGAGCTGCAAGAGGATCCTGTAAGCTGAGATGCGGCTCACGAGGCGTCCATAGTCTCCACATCCCCCATGTGCAGAATAACGGCCTTGGCGGATTCTCGTCGAGGAGCGTCGGAGGGATGGCTCTTCTGCATCCCGTACAATTCCAGCTATGTTGTCAGCTCGCGGTGCGCCCGCCTAATAACTGAAGCGAGACCTGCAACTTACTCGCCGTAGCCGTTCCTTCAGTTGACCGGTATTTGCAAAGCTCAGGTTTTCTCTGATCCGCACAACGAGCTAATATGTGAGCTTCGAGCCGGGCATGCGTCCACTAGACCATCACGAGGCTATGGCAAACTCACCACACCCGGTATCTCCTCTTGCGCGGCCTCGTCCTCATCGATCGGAACCCACTCATCCGTATTCGGTAATCGACCAATAATCTTGATGCGAGTTTGGGTGGATTTCTGAATGACGAGGATGAGTGAGAAGACTACGGAAGCTACGAGACCAGTCTGCATGGTCAGCTGAACCGCTTCGCCCGGCTCGCAGGAAGGGGGGCTTAAGCGCACCTCGATAGAGAATAGGAGGGTGAGGAAGAACGTTCCAGTCATTTGAAGGAAATCGGTCCATGCTCGCATACGCCAGAGGAAGATGATTTCGTGCGGCGCCTCAGCGAGGACTGAAGTGATCAGCTTGCTCCGTCAGACGTCAACTTGAAGTCGCCAGCTGTTTGGGAAAAGGAAACATACTCGAGTAAACAACCAGCACAACGATACAAGCTAGAACAGCCTACGTCGAATCAGCTTGTGCCTCTGTGTGGGCCCATCCATGAGGAGGCGGTAACTGACCTTTGGCAAGAAATACAACCAAGGAAGTAGGAAGATGGAACCAATCATGATCACAGCAGTGATAGCGCTGGCTATCTGGGTCCGAGCGCCAGTAGCCCCATTCAGCCGGGACCCTGCTTCTGTCAGCTTCGGCCTTTGAGGGTGACTCGTGCACAACGCCTGCAGCCTGCAGCTTACGAGTGATTGACCCGAAGATGGGTATGGAGCCCGTCGCGACCATGCATGAAGAGACGAGATTGGCCGCGCCTGTTACATCAGCTCAGCGCCCCGGATGAAATCGGTGAGCGCCAGATAGCTCACCCAGCGCTACCAGTTCGCGATTTGGCCCGACTGCATATCCATACTTGCTCCCATTCTCCCTGGCAGCAACGATAGAGTCCACCATGCCTACCACCGCACAGACGAAGGCTGTAGGGAACTATCATGTCAGCTGAAGCTCTCCGTAAAAGCTCGCACTTCGACTAGCTCACGGTATAGCTAAAGTACTTCATCCTCCGCTTGTCCAGCGGCCAGCCAATAGGGATAGTTGTCCCGCCTGAGACTTCCCCGAGGATATCTATACCGTGTCTGTCCCACCTCAGCTGTCCAGCCAGGACTACATACATCAGCTCTGTCTTGCTCTCACTTGTGGAGAGCGCCACAAAACACTCACACGTCAAACCAACAACAGCGATGAAGATCTCGGGGATATACCTAACCCAGCCCCCTCCTGGCCTCTGCACGATCCGCGCTTTGGCCACCCGCATCAAGATCAAGAAGGCCAAACACGCCGCTGAGAGGATAGCGGTGGGCCGATTGGTTTGCTGGATGTGCTGAATGACGAATGCGAGCTTGTCGAGTGGGAGTGAGGGGGCGTTGTGAGATTTACCGATTGATGCGAGGAGGGCAGAGAGGCCTAGCATGGGGATGGACTGCTCGATGAAGATAATCTGGGGATCAGCGAGGTGTCTGGAAGTAAGGTAGAGAGGGTGGACGTACGATTCCGACGGCGGTGATGAACCCCCTAAGAAGCGCTCGGGAGAGCACGACGTCAAGGAAGCCTAGACGCAGGAGACCTAGAACGCTGGTGATCAATCCGATCTGATACGTCAGCTGATGCCTCCAGCATGCGATCCGGATCAAGAAGCTTACTTGGAAGGTGGTCACAATAGCTATCGCAGCACCTTCCAGCTCCGGATGCTTAGCGGGGTGATCCGGGTCATTTACGACCTCCTGGATCATCTGGCCGATCAAGAGCGATAGAGCTGCTTCTGGACCGACCGATAGCTGCCTGTTCAATCTCAGCTTTCGAGTCCTTGCCTGATCGGATGGATAAGCTGAGACTCACCGGCACGTCCCAAATATCCCATAAATCAAGGATGGGAGCGCAGTGGACCAGATCCCGGCCACAGGCGTGAGTTTCGCTAGCCCACTGGCATAACTCATGGCCTGAGGCACTAGCAGGCACGCCAGCGAAACGCCCGCCGTCAAGTCCCCATAGAACACCGGGAGGGAGTATTGCGGTAACCATTCGGTTATGGGGATGTAGTATTTGGACCGCTGGCGGATCTTCTTGGCCATTTCTTTGGTGTTCATCCGCTTCTTGGGTGGTCCTAGATATATGAGCCGGTAACTTCGAGAGGGAAGAAAGAACGAGGAGCTTTAGCGTACTTTGTGGTGTCCTCGCCGCAGCAGGTATCTTCCCATCCTCTTCCTCCTCATTCCCATCCATCTCTTGCGTGTAATTCCGCCTTATCCCTCCTCCCCCAACCGAGCTACCTGCACCCGGATCGGTACTTTCTCTGGAATGTCCTGCACTCCCCGAAGCTCTCGAAGGAGGCAAGAGAGCTGACCGCTCATTCGTCGTGTCCATCGAATTGCGCGAGAAGAGACCGGAGAGCTGTGCTGACAGATTGGACTTGAGCGAGCTTCGGCTAGCGGGTCGAGACGGACCCGCTGCGGCATTCTCCTGCTGTGTCCTGGCGGCTAGGTCGGCGCTGGGCATGATGGGACGAAGATGTATAAGCTATAAACAATGTAGTGAGGTCCTAATGAGGGTGGTCTCATTCGTGCGCGTCGGTCTCAGCTCTAACTTTAGCTCAGTCTAGCTTCCGACGGAAAGAAGGCGATGAGGAATGTGGAAGCCAGCAGGGAGAGGAGCGAAATCGAAATGGCTTTGGCCTCTTTCACAGTCCCATCGACCTATAGAACTACCCTCAACGTCATGGCTGTGTCCTCCGAGCCGTCTGGCGCAATCGGACCTGGATCGAAGAGGGGAGGACAATTTCTCCGCCTCTTGACCGGCGTCCAAAATGCCTCTGCCTTGGTTTTCTCCGTCTTCCTCACGGTCCACCTCGCCTCCCCGCTCGCTGCAGCCGTCGGTGGCATAAAGCTAGCTGGCAAGACAATGGTGATTGATCTGACTATCTATGAACCCAATCAGGCTGTTACTGACCCAGCAGCTGATCGGCCGAGACCTCTATCTCCCTCTCGAGCCTATACTCATCTACGCCCCCCTCGCCCTCCACCTCTCCGCCTCAATAACCAAGCGGGCCTACCTCACCCTCCGCACCCGCCGCCTCCCAGCACTCACCATCCACCTCATCACAGGCTATCTCCTCATCCCCTTCCTCCTGCCCCATATCGTCTCACATCGACTCGTTCCCCAAACCCCCTCTCCACCGATCTCTTCCCTCTCACCCTCAGAGTTCGGCCTCGAATTCGTCGCGTACTCGCTCTACACCCGACCCATCACTTCCTTCTTTGCCTATCTGGGGCTAGTGGGTCTGGCGGTCCCCCATGCGGTATTGGGAAGTATGAAGATTGTTTCGTGGATCCGGCGTTTGAGGGCGGGGACCGAGCCGGTGGGAGTGCAGGAAACGCCGAGGCGGACGGCGGCGGGCATACCGAAGGGACGGAGAAGGAGTGCGGGGTGGCTACTGTTTGGGTTGCTGGATGTGGTGCTGGTGGGTTTGGTGAGGCTGTATTGGGAGGGGGCGCACGTCAGTGGGTTCATGGCGAGGCGGTATGAGGAGGTGTTTGCCAAGACAGCGCGGCTGGGCTTTGGCTTGAGATGATACTCATGAGAGAAGAGGGTTGAGATCTTGAGAGTATAGTACACTGCATATATGTTGTATGTACAATCACGACTACGGAAGCATGACTAACCCTAAGTTACCCTTACTACTTACACACATATCTGGAATCATCTTCTTACTACTTATCACACACACCTCCGTCGCTGTCATACTTCGTGACCTAGCTCTCCTCCTCCTCTTCCACCTCCTCCTCATCATCATCATCCTCTCCCGCCTCCGCCTCATCCTCCTCCTCGTCTTCCTCCTCGGCCATGCGCTTCTTTCCATTCCCCTTGTTCTTCCCAGCTCCATGCACGATGAGATTGTCTGCAAAAGCGCTCATCGCGTCCTTGATCCTCATCCCGACGTCTTTGGCGATAGCGTCTTCGTCCGTGTACTTCTTGTACTGCTTTGTCAGCTGTCACTCGGACTGGACTGGCCGCGAGACCAGAAGCGTGGTACGAAGCTCACCAATTTTACGTGCTTCTTCCGGGACTTCTCCAGCTCGATCTTGAACCCCTCGATCTCCGCTCTATGCTCCTCGGCTGACCGCGTCAGCTGCAACTCCACCACTAGGTGTATGCTACGCTAGATGTGAGCTCACACTTGTCGGCAAATGCCTTGCGGGCTGCAGCAACGATCCTCATCCTTTCCGCCACTGCCACTTCGAGCTCCTTGGCTTTATTCACCAGCGCTTCCTGTACGGTTCAGCTTATGTCAAGTATGTGCTAACTACGTCCTGTATTTGGAAGCTGAATTTGAACGCACCGTCTTCTCTTTGAGGGCCTTGGAGGTGTCGTTCCACCCGGCGACCATACTCTTCTTGTATGCCCGTTCCGCTTCGGTCCAGTCGTAATACTCTTTTCTGTACATGTCAGCTGACGCGCAAGGGAGAGGTGCGTCCGTGGGCCCGAGTGAACCCGATGACTCGAAACAGCCAGCACCGGCCGAGGGACAGCCTGGAAGGGACCGATACCGCAGACCTGAGTGAGTACTCACAGGAGCTTGTCTCCTCGCTGAGCCTCAACACACGCTTTCACACTCTTGACGATCGAGTCGGCCTTGTAGCTAGCGATCTTGTGTCTGTTTTCGTCGGTGATGGCTTGAAGTCGATCTGACATTGTCAGCTTCCAAGCCGATGACCAATCATCGCGGCTATATGCAAGCTAACTTACCCTCCAGGCTGTGTCGACATTCTCGCCTGTGACAGTCAGCTACGGTAGTCACTCGGTAGATAAAGTGAGATCCTGACAGCTTACGCCATGGTTGCATACTCCGCTTCATCCTCCTCATCGTCCTCCAGCCTGAGATCAACCTCCCCCGTCTCGCCCATTCCCCCTTCTTCGTCCATAGCCATCCCCAACCCTTCCTTCTCCATCGCACCAATCAGCGCCTCAGACCCTTTTCCCAGCATCGCGAGGAGAGCGGTCACCTGGTCCGCCGAGAGCTTTTGGCCGCTGATGATGCTCGAGATCCCGTCCGGCTGTCCCCTCTTTTTGAGCTTCCTTCCTCCCCTCGACTCCCTCCTGCTATCCTCCTTCGCGTGCCTTTGCTTTCCCCTTCGGCCCCTATACTCCTCCTCCTCAGATCCCTCGTCATCGCTATCCGTCTCCGTCTCGCTCGCATCCCCTTCCTTCCTCCCTCCCCTGCTCCTCCGCCTCGGCTCCTCAGCTACCTCTGAATCCGCCGTCTCGCCCGTCTCCCCCGTAGTAGCAGTATCCATCGACACTCCACTCCCCTCCATCCTCTCCAGCGCCCTCGAGCGTCCCTTGATGTCCCTATACGGCTCCGAGACGCCCTTCCCTCCCTTCGCGCCAGAGATAGGCTTGAAACGATGTCCTGTACCCGACGGCGCGCTCTTTGATCCGGGCTTGATGCTGGCGCTGGTGCTGGTGCTCGGTCTCTTCCGAGCGGGAGGAGGAGTGAGGGACTCGGACCGAGAGTGCGTATGAGACGAGCGGCGGCGGTGAGCGGTGGAAGCTGAGGGATCGTTGGAGGATCTTTTACGGCGAGGGCGGGAAGGAGCGGGTTTGGACTTGGGCTTGGAAGTGGTACCGGTTTTGGGCATGATGCCGGTGGATTATGGGGTTGATGGGCAGGAAGTCGTGATGTGAGGGGGATTGCGCGGTGATTATATGAAGGTGAAATCGTGTGCTATGCTGGATTAGGATCAGGATGAAGTACAAATGACGGAGAAGGAACCGTGAGTTGTGACCGCTTTGACCTCCTCCACCCCCAAGAAAGTGAAACACACAATGCCGGCATGGTCCAGTCACCTTGCGCCTCATTCCTCCTCTTGTCGCTGGCTGCCCCCCTGGAAGAACCGGCGATAGGTAACTCGCCTAGTGGGAAGTGAGAAGAACGAGTGATGCATAAAGATATATGTATGTGATCCGCCAGCGGAAAATAAGATAATGGTATGGACATCTAACGATCTATACACAAGAATCACCTGCAGCTTTTCATTTGCTCCTCCCTGCCCCCCAGCTCCTCACCTGCCCCACCCTTGTCGCATCCCACTCCCTACCCTCTCGCTCCCTGTAGCTGTAGCCTACCTCCCTACGCCATCCCTACAGCGTCATCACAGCCACCTCGACCCCCGAGCGATTCTCCAGCTGTTCCCTCGGTTTCCCAATAAAGCTCTCCGTCTCGGTCGAGATCGTGCGCCAATTCGCAGTAAGCGCGAGTTCTAGATCTCGGATAGACTTCGGAAGCGCCTTGAGATGCTTGTTGTCCTTCAGGAGAATCTCCGCTTCCTTCTCCATATCAATCTCCGAATCCGAGCCCGAGTCCGAGCCCGAGTCGGAACCGGTCTCGCCGTCCGAGTGGGACTCCATGTCCGAGGACGAGTCTGCCGAGCTTGATTCGGACGAGGAATGACAACGAGAGCGGGACCGCCTCCTCCTTTCCTTCCTCCTCTCTTCCTTCTGCTTCGCCCGCTTCACCCGAGCCTTCTTCGAAGCCGCACTGGGCAGACTCAAATCCGGCACATCCTTCTCTTTACACGCCTCAAAGGCGGCCGAGAATCCCATCGGGTTCGGAGCGGGTTTGGTTTCGCCAACGCCGACGAGCTCGGGTGCCGAGTGCTGGAGGGTAGGGTAGAAGGGCTGGTTGAGATGTGAAAGGATGATTTGGGACGAGGGGACATCGCAGGGGAACTGCGCGTCAGCTTAGCCTCGTGTCTTGTTTCGGAGAGACGGAAAGCGTACAGCGGTGACTTCAGCTAGCTGATGAGCGATCTTGAGCGTAAACTTGTCGAGGTCCAGATCACTCTGATCATACGCCTACAATATCAGCTTTGCCCTCAGGAGCCAACCTTGGAAGGGAGTATTCTAGCTTACAAAAGGCATCTCAATCTGCTCCCCAATCTCCAAATACCCCAAGAACGTCAAAGCCGCCACCGTAACCGCCGGGACCGTCACCCACTTCAACAGCGGGTAGATCTGGAACGGCAAAAACAGGAGGTACGCCCAGACGGTCAGGCGGAGGTGGAACGAGTAGGCCGAGGGGATGGGCGTCGTTGCTATTTTTTCGAGGTCGGTGAGGGCTTTTTGGAATTCGAGGATGCCGTTCATAAAGAGACCGATGTACGAGGTGTTGATCATTTCTCGGCGGACGAGGTCGTCAATGTAGGCTGAGAGGTACATGCTAGATCGTCAGCTATTGGCCTGTCGACATGTTGAGAGTGACAGAAGAGCAGAGCTTACATGATCTCTTGCGGAATCTCCGAGTGCACACCGTTCCTCTTTCGCTTCCCGCCCCGGACCCTATCCTGCTTCATGACCAAGTCCCTCCGCCTCACCCAATCCGTCACCAGCTTGACGATCCTCAACGGCGGAAACAGATCATAGTACCGCGCCGGCGGGGGATGACGGGGCGGCATCAACTCCACCGTCGTGATCGGCACCTTATCCCCCTTCCTATCTTCACTCCGCCTGACCACCCGGTGTTTCTTGTCCAGCCGCGCGAAACAATGACGCCGACTCTCGCCCTCGGTACGGATATACGCGGTAGCCGAATTGAGCGCCTGGTCCCTGAACTGATAGGATGTCGTTGTAAAGTTGGTAGACGCAGTCTTTTCCTCGTCGATGGGCGGCGCGTCCGAGTCGGAATCGGCGGGAGGCATCTCGAAGGCGTAGCCGGTGAAAGGGGCGGGGTTGGTAAGGGGGACAGCGATGGAGTCGTCGTCGTAGTCGGCTTTCTGGCGGGGGATGCCGTTGTTCCACCCGACAAAGAGGTGGTCTCGGTTGACAGGGGGCACAACGGACATGTTGTATCTGAAAATCAGCTAGGGTCGAGGTGGTTCAGAGAAGACTTACTTGGGAAGGAAGGCAATCAGGTGGTAGAGGTCGGTATAGAACGGGCCGGTCTCGCCCCTGAGAGCATGCTTCATAGCCACGCCGAAAGCTTGGACCTGGTCCATCAGCCTCGTCCCCTCTAGACACCTCAAGCCATCCAACGCGGATACAACGGAGAAACAGACTTACCAAGCCAATGTATGTCTTCTTCTCAACCATCCCCGCGATCTGCGCCCGCATCTTGACCTCCTCCTCCTTACTCAGCACCTTGTCTACGCCCTTACACGCCCCCTTCTCCTCCTTCCCACGCCTCTCCTTCTCCTTTCCCCCATCCTTCTCTCCCTCCCCAATATCCAGACCCGTAGCATTACTCGCGACCGTATTGGTCGTCCGCGTACTCCCCGCGTATCCCGCCCCAATAGGTCTCTTGTCCAGCCCAGCGGGGTAGACCGCCGCACCGCCTGACCCAGACCCCTCCCCCACCTTCTCGTTTCCGGCATAAGAATCCTCGAACTTGATAGCCTCCCGCAAAGGTGGCTCGGTGATACCGTACCCATGCAGTAATGTCTCGGTCGCTTCGGGCTCTTCATGTACTGTCGCTCGGAACGAGTGGCGGGACGAGCGCCGGGAGTGGGATGGGGGGTCGGTATGGGCGGTGGCGGAGGCGGAGGGGGTTTTGGACCTCGATTTGGATTTGGATTTCGAGTTATTCTTGTGCTTCTTTTTGGAGGGTTTGTCCTTTGGATCGTCCTTCGCTGGGGGCTTGCTGTTGGGAACCTGAGACTGTCAGCTTTGTCGGTCTCAAGTCAAGGTGGACGTAGCTTACATGCATCCACATCAGCATGGCCATGTGTCGGCTGTTCGAAGTCAAGGTCGCCCAGATATTCCGTCCTACATCATCAGCTCGGTTCTCAAAATGAAGCGGAACATGGAAGCTCACCTTCCCACCACCGATTGTAGGCCGAGTTGGTCTTGAACGAGACGGTCAAAGAGCTGCACGAATGAGCTTTTGACCCTCGCAAGAATGAAGGCATCGTCCAGCTTACACGACAGTGCCGAGGACGGAGATCATCACGTTGTTGATACCCAGGTTGGTACCGGTCTTTTCACTGACGGCGCAGACCACTGATGAATCAGCGCCCAGCTCCAAACGAGCTATTCTCCTTCAGAGCAGCGGACCGAGTTGAAAGCGAGCTTGGGGGAAGGTTGACTCACTAACTGCAAAGAGCGTAAAGAAGATGACTTGATGTTGAATATCACTACTTGATCAGCTTGATCCACGCCAATCCAGTCAGGTCACGGGCGAAGAGAGGGAGCTTACTCGAGGATGGTAGAAGTGAATCGGAACGCCGCCCACTTGAAGGCATGTTTGATCCCCATCGTGTCTCGCGTCGGACCAGAGTCGTTGGCGTGGTGTCGTGATGAAGGCTATAGGTATCGATGTGTCAGGTTGAGTGAGTCCAGCTCAAGAGACGTGGATGAATGGTCAAACCAGAAGGAGGAGGAGGTAGAGAAGCACATGGCCTCATGTTCCCTGCTTGGATCCGCAGCCGCAGCCGCAGCCCGCTCGCTCGGACCACACGACCAAACCTTGTCCGCTTGGACATGGTGAACCCTCCTTTGGCTCCTTGCTTCATCGTCATGCTCCCCAAGATCCCCATTTCCACCTCCGCCCTGAGGGCCACTCGCGGACTCCTCGCGGTCCACTAGCCCAGGTCCCAAAGGTTGGTCTGCATGGCTCCACCCTCATACGACATGTGAGGGGATGGGGAGGATGAGCAGAATGGGGTGAAGGCTGGTGAAGGTGAAAATTTCCGAAACACACACAGAAGCACACAGCTTGACGACATTCCCTGAACTCACCTTCGACCGTGACGCGTGACGCGGGGTAATCGCGTTGTTACAGCCTTAGCAATGCGTCCGCTCGGTGCTCGCAGCATCGAAGGATCGTGATAGGTCACATCGTATGCATCGCTTCGGTTCTCGTGTACTGATCTCGCTGTCTATCGAGTTTGGACATTTCCTCTTCTTCTCTTCTCTCTCTTTCGCTATAATTTGGGTACCTGTCGAGTCAGCTTACTCGTCTGCTGCAAGCTGAGACGGAGCTTCCAGCTGGACGTACCTTGAGCGTCTTTGAAACCATCATAGCAGCCCAGGTGGCAAAAATGAAAGAAGCGACGTGGACCTAGAGAGTCAGCTTGGCAACTCCACGTAGGGGCAAACGAAGCTCACATCGCCGTAACCCCCCTTCTCGCCAAACAGAGTCACCAACCCAAACGGCACCGATCCCCCGCCCCGCTTGCCCATCGCATACGCCCCCTTCTTGACGCAATACGCCATCATGCTCGTCAAGAACAGACTCGAGGGAATGGGCAACCCCTCAAAGTACTTGCTCTTCCCGCTCTTGTCGGCCGGGATGAGCGCGACCGTCGCGTTGAACCTCGCCAGCCTCGCCAGACCGCCCGACACAAACAACAGCAGACAAACGCAGTCGAGAGCCGTGCGCAGTCCGAGCGTAAATGCGAGGGTGGCCGGTGCGACGCCGAAGGAAACGAGATCGGCGAGCGAGTCCATTTCTTGGCCGAGCATGGATCCGCCGCCGCGCCATCGTGCGACCTTGCCGTCCAGGGCGTCAAAGCCGAACCCGAGGATAGGGAGGAGGTGGGCAAAGTAGAGGACACGGACGGCTTCGGCGGAGGGGGGTCCGGGGAGGTTGGAGGAGAGGATGAGGTATCGAGCCGAAGAGAGGATGGAGAGGGTTCCGCAGACGCCATTCATGATGGTGATCATGTCTGCGAGGCGGAAGTTGCTGGCTGTGAGCTAAGGCCAGCTGGGGAGAAGGAGGGGAGCTTACCGGACGAGGGAAAAGTGCCCATCATCGTCCTTGTACTGCTGCAGGAGTTTCTTCTTCTCCTCGACGACGGTGGCGCCCTTGTTCTCTGTGAAGGAACGTTTCTTGACTGGTGTAGGCGCAGACATGATGGCTGAGTGTATGGTTCTGGGTAGTGATAGGATGAAGGGCAATAGAGAAAGAGAGTGGATCACTTCGCCGCATACCTGGTCTGATCTTCCTTTGGGTTTGGCTCATGGCCCAGGAATGACGTCAAGCTTAGCACGTGGCAATTGTGTACTCAATTTGATTCCGCTGCCACGCGAGACTGACTTCTCTTTTGGCGTCAACAAACCTTACCTCACCTCTTGGCCTCTCCTTCTCCATTCTACCCTCTATGTTACAGGCAGTATGTCAGCCTACCTAGCCGAACACCTCCCGCATCTCCAGTCGCTACACGCACAACTCGCACTGGACACGACAGCCCTACAAGGGGATCAAGAACGGATCGAAACAGCCATCAAAGCGGCGGTTGAGACGCTTCTCCGAGAGAGGGAACTACAGGTGGATGAGTACAAGGATGTGATTGCGGGGCAGAAGAGACGGCTGGCGTGTCTTGCGAGGGCGGTAGGTGATAAAGGGCGGAATGTGATACAGGAGAGCAGAAGGGAGAGTGTGGAGAATGAGGTGAGTACAAACGGCGAGGGAAATGGGAGGGGGAAGAAGCTGACTGGTCAGAGTTTGCCGAAGCAGTTGGAGAGGCTCGTTAAGCAGTCAGAGGAGCTGGAGAAGGTATGTCATCAGCTACGAACCCCTCAAAGAAGGAAGAAGCTGACTCGGAAGGTATATGACGAACGCCTAAAGCATATCGAAAGTAAGCCCTTTCCTCGTTGATCATTCACCCAACATAGCTAACAGGCAGAACAACAATCCTACCTGAATCAACTCGCCATCCTCCTCGGAGCACCTTTCGAGCCCGCCGCACCCCTGGCTCCGATAGCTTCTGGGTCAAACCACGGCAGTATGGTACCGCCCGCACCTGGTCTCGCTCGGATCGTCAGCGGCACAGCTGCCGGCGGGCGTTTATCTGTCGATCGGAAAGGTCGGAGCGATTCCGTCTCTGTCATCCCTGCGCCTCCAACGGCGGGAGAGGAGGGACTGTACGATGTCAGCGAGGCGGTCACGGGGGAGCTGGAGAGTCGCGTCACTGTCGCGCTCGAAGAAAGGGTACGCTTGTCCGCCCCCAACTTCTTGTATCCGGGAGGGAAGCATACTGATGTCCAGGCGAGCCGCCTAGTCGACCTCGAATCATCAATGCACGACCTCCGTACCCTCCACACCGAGCTCGCGCTCCCCCCGATCCCTCTTTCCCACCCACATCATTTCCCACTCCACCTCCTCCCCAATCGATCCACCGAAGAGACGCCAGGCGCGCAGCAGGGGTATGAGCGACTCCTGGCGAGAGTGGTGACGGAGAAGGTGGGGATGGTTCCTGGTGTGGACGAGGAGGGAGGGGAGAATGAAGTGGAGGGGGATTTGGAGAGTATGCAGGGGGTAGAGCCGGATGTGGGGTTGATTCGGTGGGTGGAGGAGGTACGGGAATTGGTATGTCCGCTGACCTTCTTTCTCAGTCTGAAGAGAAGAGTGGCAAAGCTGATAAGACAGTGGGAGAAGGAACAGGCCACTAGGGCGATCCGGATCCAAGCGATATACGACCAGCTGGAACCCCTCTGGCAGCGATTACAGCTGGATCAGGATCATATTGATCTTTTCATCCAGATGAATATCGGGTGTAGCGAGGCGGCCATCAAAGCGGTGAGCTGGCCTCTTCCCGCCGAGAGATAGGACAGGAACATGAAGCTGACATGGTAGTATGAAGCAGAACTGGAACGATGCCTCGAACTCCGCCGTTCCAGCCTCTCGTCGTTTATCGTCTCTGTCCGCGCCGAGATTGATAGTCTATGGACGGAGCTTATGCTCTCGGACGAAGAGAAGTCGGACTTTGGGGCGTACATCAATGGTGAGTCATATATCTTGGAATGAGATTCGCCACCCCTCCCTCCCCGTCAGCTCGACGATACCCTTCCTCAAACCTTCCTTCCTTCGGCATTCCGCCACCCCTTTCTTCCCTCGCCCAGGGAATATCTCCATCTCTCGCGCCCGTCCTTACCGGTCCTCAGCGAGGGTCCAAGCTGACGAGATAGACGATTACTGCGAAGAATTACTCGCTGAGCATGAAACTTATATCGAGCAGCTCCGCGCAGAGATTGAGAGCAAGGCGAACCTCTTGCCGAAAGTGAGGGAATGGCATGCTTTGGTGGTGGATGAAGATGAGCTGGAGAGGGCGCAGACGGACCCGGATCGGTTCAAGCGGAGGGGAGGGGCTATGTTGCGGGAGGAGAAGTTGAGGAAGAGGGTGACTGTGGCAAAACCAAGAGTAAGCTCGCCCTTCTGTATCCTTTAGCACGGGAGTAAGCTGACCTTTCAGGTGGAGCAGGAGCTGTTGAAGTACTTGCCAGTTTGGGAAGAGGCGAACGAACGGCCATTCATGGTCCAGGGCGAGAGGGTGGTGGATAAGATACATAATGCGTTGGAAGCGAAAGATCAGGCTAAAGAAGCCAAGAAGGTCAGCTCGCCGAACCTCGACTGGGAATACCGAGCTGACTGTATAGCGTATAAGGATGGGTCTTGCACCTACCGCCCCTCCGCCCCGTCCCCTCGCTCCCGCCAAAACAATCCGTCCCACCCCTTTACCCTCCACACGATCTACCGCCTCTTCCCATTCCACGTCTATATCGGGGACGTATGGCCGGAAGAGGGAAGCCCCGACGCCTACGCCGGTCATGATGAGTATGAACAAGCGGCAGAAGGTGGCTCAGCCGCCGTCGGTCTCGCTCGGTACCGGCACGGGGATGGGGACGGGGATTCGACAACCGAGTCGGACACGGATACCCTCCAGCGTGACATCGACCAGTACCTCCAACCGGGTCGTCAGCGGCGGTACAGGCAGCGGATCCGGATCGGGTCTAGGGAGAGGGAGGGATCCGAGTAGCTCGCCTACGCTCGTTTCTTGCCTTCTCCCTCGTCCAGCGCTAAGCGGCAAGCTCGTACCGCCCATATCGTCTAGTCGCATCCCATCCTACGCCGCCACCTCCACGACCAACGCCTCACTATCGATCCCTGGGACTGGAGGAGGTACGTCGGGGAAGGTGCAGGTCCCGCTTCCACCGCTACACGCTATCGCCAAGGCGAACGGGCGGCGGCCGCCTCGGAAGAGCTTCAGGCCGAGGGCGAGCGTCGCGTGTGGGTTTGGGTTTATCAGTGGGGTCGAGGTGGGAACAAGCGATGAGGGGGATGGGGACGGGTATGGGCATGGAGGGCAAGGAGAGGGGACGGGGATGGACATGGAGATGATGGAGGAGGAAGAGGGGGATGTGTTCGAATGACGTGAGAGAGAAGGTGGAGACTTGATCTGATTGGGCTTGAGATTTGTATACTGCACCATGATTCGCCCGAAGCATGCTCTTATAGCGTCAGACCCGAAACCGAACAACGGATCATCAAAGTCAACGATGCTGTACGTCCACATTGCATATGGGATACTGGACGGTGAATACCTAGCTAGAACTCCCACATGATATCATCATCGGCTTCTCTGTCTCGCACAGCTTCCCATGTCGGCCAATCCCACGCCCCTCGCGCCATTGGCAACTTGTTCTTTCCCATCCAGAATCGCTTCCCTTTCTTCCTCTCCATCTCTTTAGCCTGTCGGTCCTCGTACTCGATTTGCCGGAGAACCGAGTAATGGCATTTGTGTCCAGGTGAAATTTGCCGAGGTCGGCCTAGGTGGAACCTTTGGTCGGTCAGCGCAGCATCAAGTGCGAGAGCAGTGTCAGGGTAAAAAGAGGATATTGAACTTACATGAGGCCATCCTTCTTCGGGTTCCCGCTCGCCGAGTACTTTCTCCGCCTCACCAGTATCGCCTCAAGAGCATGGTACGCCCCCTTCAGACTTTCGTTCTTTTTCGCCGCCATATCAAGGGATGACACCGCCCCGTCGCCGTGTGAACCGTATGAGTCCCAAAGCGCCAGGACTGTTGCGAGGCCTTCCAGGTGACCTTGATCGACGTTCTCCGGTGCGTTGCCCGGCTGAAACAGAGCACGGATGTGTTCGGCCTGGTCCGCGTGGAAGGGATCCGCCGGTGACTTTGATAGGGCCGCACGCAGGAAAGTTGGATTCCAGAATTCGGGCGCGACGCATGATAGGTGGTCCGTCATACCCTCCAGACTGAGCCGTATCCCGCTTCTGGCTGCTTCGCGTAACATCCATCTGCGCCATCAGCGCCAGCCCGCTTCTTAATAAGCTACAGGGCCATGTCGTGATACGCCAAAACGCGTAACGTACCTGAAGGGGATGTTGGACAAGCTCGGCTTCCCGTTTTCCTCACCTCCTCCGCCAACGTCCGAATGACACCCCGCGAACCAACACTCGACGCGGCCCTTGACCGTGATGGGACGTGTTCCGCTCCGTTCGACAGAGACGATGTGCGTACCGAGGACCTTGTTCAAACCCCGCTGCGAGCTTCTCACGTCCTTGAGTAGATCCCTGACTTGGTTGGTATCGAGGCCGGGATGGTCCGCGCGTGCCACATAGTCAGATATGAGCGTAGCCCATTTTCTGATCTGCTGCAATTCGCCATAGGCGCCATGGTGCTGGAAGTACTCTGGGGAGAAGCGGGAGCGGTGCTCGTCGAGGGCTAGCGCCTGCCGAAATATGCGTACTTCCTGCGGGGCCGCCGCGGAGGGGATGACTGAGATAAGCTCGAGATTGTACGTGTGAACCGGGTTACTCACTGGGAAGACGAAGCGGGCCGCCCAAAGACGAGACCGAGTCCTGTCCGTCAGCAAAAGGTATTGGTATCATCTGGTTATCTCATGACGCACCCAAACGCCCATAAAGTAGACACCCGCTAAACGCTCGCGCATAGCTTTCCGGAATCTCGTTGGAAGCTGAATCCCCTTTACGGTCTCCACATTGAGCTCAGACTTCTCAGCTGTGCAGAGATCATACAGCCTGCATGATTCAGTTGAGGGTCTCCTCGAAACCTACGGATGTATCAGATATGTCTGGTCGGACCTAAGGATCAATGGCTGTCAAATCAGCTCCACTCTACCCGTCGAGCCCACAACAGTGGCCCCCGGGGAATAACGAAACTCACCCACTGCAACATCGCTGCCAAAACCCTCACGGCCCAGGCACCTCTCGAGTAGCCTATAAGGTACACTCTATCGTTCGGTCGAGATTCCTTGACTAGGATCTCGTAGGCTTCGCAGACCTGCTTGTCGAGCCCGCTGCGAATCATCAGCGGTGTCCCCGGTACAGCTGGAACACTTTGGCAAGAGCAGGATACTCACCTTCCGAACGCAAGATTCTTTGCGCGAGTGACTAGATTCTGCTTTGAATCTGTGCCTGTTTGATTAGCGCGGCACAAAGCAGGGTCCGTTGAACCCAAACATACCCAGGCCGGTGATGTAGAAGACCAGCTGCGTCGCATCTTTCAGAAGGACGTTGTATGTCTTGGCTACATTGGTATTTTTGTCTCCGATCTTATTGCCGGTACCGTCGATGCAAATGACGATGTTGCGGTACTCGCTGCCATTGGAGATGGGCGGTGGTCCGAAGGGCGGTGGTGCCGGCCAGGTAGCTGGTGCCGCCTGAGTGGCCGCGCCCGGCTGGGCGGCTGCTTCTGCCTGGGCGACTGGAGTGTCCCAAAACAGGCCGAGATCGGGACGGAGGATTGGGGCTGACGGACGGGCGGCTTGGTCGCCGACGTGCGGTGGAGGGTGTTCGGGCCAGGGTCGGTTTATCGTGGTGGGCGGCATATCATCTTCAGAGGTGTCTGACGCAGCTGGACCGATCGAGGTGTAGGAGCGGGACAATGCAGGACCGTCGGAGATCGCGTCCATGCTGGCGTGGGCGTGACTCAAAGAACGTCAACTGTGCAGTGAGATTATCTCTCGACTCGGTTTTAGTCAAGCAGAAACGAAGCTGGGCGCTCGGACAGAGTCAGATCGGTCATCTGGGCTCTTCGGGTGCCTGTCCAAGAGATCCAAAGGAGTTGAACGAGTCAGCCTAGTCAGCTCTCGCGCACCGGGGGCCAGGAGAACAATATCTTGCTCCCAGAGTCCCAGCTCCCTCCCTATTTCATATTTTCAGCTCGACGACTTTGCGTCTGCTGACCGAACAGCGAAGATGTCCCTTCGATGGCTGTGATGTAGTGTCAGTCTGCAGACCTGCATGAACCTCTCACTCGAAGCAGATCTTCCCGATGTGGGGTCTCCAAGTGCTCGGCCGTCCATCCCGGCCGTGACGTTGTGCCTGAGCTCTGAGCCTGAGCTGTGCCTGACGGCGGTGCTAACGTGCAAGCGTGACAACGCTTTCTTTTCACCTTGTCCATCTCTTCTATACTGTCGGATCTAGTAGAGCCCGCGGCTTCGCCTGCTTCCTAGGACGACGCTGTCGAGCAGCCAAGACTGCGCGAAGCTCAGCCTCGGCGATATCACTCCCCCACCCTCCTCCTCCTCCTCCTCGCTGTTTCACGTTTCACACCGGAAAAGGGGTCCCGGAGTAGGTCGTTTCGCCCCTATATAGCGAGCTTCTGTTTACAGCGACGAAGATCAAAAAGTAATTGGCGCGTCGAGAGTCCTTCCCCGTCCCGCATTGAAGGACATCACCTACACACTCCTTTCGGATACTGCGGTTCTGATTGTGTCTTGAATCGAAACAGACACCGCTTGACTATTGCACTACGAAAGGGTCCCGATCTCGACATCTCCCAGGTCTATACGCCACACTTCTCCATCCACGCGGAAGGCCGTACGATGATTCCCCTCTTCCTCGCCCTGGCACTAGGGCTCGGTCCCGCCTCTGTCCGATCGCAGACGGACGCGACGCCCGGACCTGGGAAATTCTTCTTTATGTGGCCGACGCAGGTATCGCAGTGTCAGGTGAGCCAAAGGCCGACCTACCTATCTTGAGACTAGATTGGCGGGGGCATGAGCTGATGATTCAGCTTGTCAATCTGACTTGGGGAGCTGGAGCGGTCGCGCCATTCCAAGCTTGGGTCGTGTGAGTTCAGGAGCTCTGCCTATTTGAAGCGAAAGGGGCAGTGGGAGCTGATAGCTGTGCAGACCAATAGGTCAACAGCCTTTCATCTACCAGATACCAGCTTCAGCGTATTCAAATAACCAGGGGTTCTATCAGGTCAGCTGGAGTGGTCCCAAACTCGGTAGTCGAGACCTTGAGCTGATCCTTCCAGATACAAGTCCAGCTTAATCAGGGGACGAACTACGTGATGCTCATGTCTGACGCCCGAGGCGTCGGATCCGGTAAGTCTGTTGTCCTGCTCGTAGACCTGTGCAGAGCGGTGTCTACGCGCCTACAGATGGACTTGGCTGACCTTCAGGCGGCACTTCCGCCCTCCAAATCGTCTCCTCCTCTCCTGACACCTCCTGCCTCAACACCGCCTCCCGCAATCAAACCGCCAAAGCCTTCTCCTACTCTGTCGCCGGGCGCGCCCAACAGTGCTCCAACGGGTTCGAAATAGCCTGGGATGGCAGTTCCGCGAATGCGCCGTACAACTTTACGGTCATTCCGCTCACGCAGCGGTATTACCCGTTTGATGTGGTGCTCGAGCAGAAGAGCGGGTGGAGTACCGACTGGGTGGTTAATATGACGACGGGGACCAGGTTTACGGTGGTGATGAAGTGAGTCAGCCTCCTGCGCTAGGCCTGTAATGAAGAGAAAGGATGGACGTTCGAGCTCGAGCTGATACTTTGCAGCAACAAGAACGGGTACGGTAGAGGCGGCGCAGCAGGCATTTACGAAGTCGCCAATACCAACAACACTCCCTCCTCCTGCGTTTCCCAAAGCATCATGGGCACGGGCGCCTGGCCCATCGGGGTAGCCACCAACACCCTACCGGTCGCTACCCGACCCGCCCAGACTCTGGCATACGGCAATAGCGGCGGCGGCGGGGACAACGGCTTCGGCGCCGCTATCGCCGGTATAGTCGTCGGATGCCTCGCAGCTCTTGTTATCGCCGGCGTGACGATCTGGTTCTGCCTCCGCCGGCGACGGCGGCTCAGGATGGGTCTGGACGCGAGGGGGAATAAGCGGAAGGCGGAAGAGGTGGACCTGGCGGATGAGATTGATGATGGAGATACAGATGGACAGGGGTATAGTGATGCCCAAGTGGGGATGCCGGTCGTTTCGCCGTACCCTACCAGTGCGAGCGGGGGAGGAGGGAGGTACTCGGCTGTACCTGGAGAAGAGAGGAGGGGGAGCTTTGGGGTGTCGGAAGGAGGGACGATGACTTCGGCGGGAGTGGCGGGTGTGGGCGCTGCGGCTGGTGTCGGCGGGAGAGGGTCGATGGGGGAGGATAGGGAGCGGGAGCGAGAACGTTGGGAAGGGAACGGGGTGGCTGGTCCATTACCGTCGAAATCGCCTCTCGGACCCGGATCCAGCGCGGCAGGTACGAGTACGGCGGTATCGCCTCATCAATTGTCCCCGCCTGTCTCAAGGACGGGCGGCTCGAACGACTCGGTACCTTCGCTCAAGAGGGATACGCAGAATATGCTGGGTCTGCCACCTGGTGCTGGCGCTGGCATTGGCTTGGGCGATGGCATAGGCGGAGGCGGGGGGATGCGTGTGATGAACCACGATCATCCGGATTATCTCCCAGCTATCCCAGTAGGGGCCGGAGGGAGCGGGAATTCCCGAGGAAGTGGGAACAGACAGTCGAGGGAGGATAGACAACCGCAGTTCCGCAGACATGCGGACGCGGGGAGGGTGGAAGATGTCGTAGATCTCCCACCGCTGTATACGGATGTCCCGAGGGAGGGGCGGCTGGAACACGAGGTGGATGTGGGGGAACGCACAGGCTTAGCGCCGGACAGTCCTAGGTATACGGGGAGATAGGACGTTTCAAATGCGTCAACGCCAGGCTGGAAGTAGCTGGCCTGTATCTAGAGAGCATATAATGTAGCACTTTGAATGACACTGCAGCCAACAGATAGATGTTGCATCACGACGCGATACTGACTAGCCCAAACCGTTTCCCAGGCTTGGCGACCGCGATCGGACTTCTGAACTCTGTCGTCCCCGCTGATTTTGCCTCGCCCTCCCCAGAGCCAATTCCAGGAGCAGCGATCCGTCCTAGTGGCGCACCGAAGCGAAGGAGTTGTGCACGCGTATCGGCCGGTCCGCGCGTTTTGGCGGGTGCAGAAGTCGCGGATAGGTCAAGCGAGGGAGTCAAAGTCGGCGGAAGATGAGTGAGTATTGGGTGGAGGATGAGTTGGACGCGCCGGAGAGATTCAGCGAGGATAGGTGAGAGGAGCGGAGGGAGGGTAGTTTGGTATGATTCGGGTATCTGCGGTGTGAGCTTCTGAGCCATATCGACTGGATGGTATGCAGCTGCTAGCTCACCCTGTTCAACATCCCTTGTACCGCCGCATCATCCGCCACCTTTCCGCCTCTGACCAAACACAAGAACCCCAGATCGACTACAGCCTGCACGCAGCTCTCATCCTTCATCTCCGCCCACCCTTCTAACTCCAGCGCAGAGTCCACGAACCCCTCCACAAGCTGCCTGACCACCTGTTGCTGCTCCTCCCCTTTCCCATCGGGCGAAGGTGGAGAAGGTGGAATTCCGAGGTGTCGAATGGCCTTGACGAGTGAGTTGAGTGTAACGACCACGGAAGCGGATGGGGAGATTGGATGGGGGCCTTGCCATGATGCGAGAACTTCGCGTGGGCCGCGCAGGGGACTGAAGAGGGGAGTGAGGTGTGTGAGGGCGGTGGTGATGCTTGTGGTGCGCCAGGAGGAGGTGGAGTCTGCGTGGAGAGAGATGAGGGACGTCAGGATCGGGTCTGGTAGGTCAGCTTGGTTGAGCAACAATCCCGCGCAACGCAGCTCACCTGATGATGTTTTGGGACGACCGGAAAGATCCTCGAGGAACGTGGATTGTCTCGCCAAGAACAGCGCTACCCGCCCAACCAACAACTCCGCATATACCCGCTTCTCCCCTCCGTCCTCCATTTCTCTCAGTCCGTCAAGAGAGGCACGAAGCACCGCCACAATCCGCTCCAGCGCATCCGCCACCAACTCGGTGTACACCCCTACCAACCCCTCCGGCAGACCCCTCACGTCTGACTGTAAAGCCCTCGCTTGATCCTCCAGCACGCTCAACACCCGATCGAGAAGCGGCGTGCGGTAGACGTTCCGCTTCTTCACGCCAGCCATGAAGGTCGGGAACGAGACGGGGTTGGGAATGTTGAGTGTTGCAGAGGCGACCGAGGGGAATGTCATTGCTGAGAAGACGTATTTCTCGGGATTGATATCTGGGGCATCAGCTAGTCTTCTCCGATCGAAAGAAATCGCCAGTGGAAGACATACCGCTCTCGTTCCCCTTGGATTGGATCTCCTCGACAGCCCTTCCTACTTCCCGTTCTGTGGTATGCACCAGGTCCGAAAACCCCGCTATCCAGATCCCCCTCGTCCTCGCTCCCCACTCATCCTCCAACGCTTTCCCTATTCTCCCCTCAAACTCCCCCTCGCCTACCGCCCGGACCAAACTCCCTCTTACAGCCCATACAGCCTGAGCGGAGCTCAAATCCGCCAACCAAGCAGGCGCCGCTCCGCCCAATATCCCCAGTCCGTCACTCTGCCACTTCTCCAGCTGAGTATCAAGGTCCGGGGATTGAGGCGGTGTGATGAACGGAGTGAAGCCCGTTATCGATGCCGGGAGGTGCCGAAGCAGGATCTGAGAGGAAGGGAGGGACCGAAGGATTCGGATGGTAGTAATGGGAGGTACATCGGAGGTAGAGGGGGACGAGGGGTCGTTGAAAGGTAATGAGATCGAAACCAGGCGTGACGCTCGCCTAGTATGTGTAGAGGAGGATGAGCGCCGGAGTGGGGTGTGCTGAGTGATGGTTGGGGGGTTGATGTCGCCTTTTTGGACGAGCCGGATAAGCTCTTCCAGAAGGCTCTCGGAGCGGTCGGACTGTTTCGCGAAGACTTGGTGGGCAGCTTCGGAGGTGCTTAAGAGGCACTGGACGGCTGAGCCGAGGACGTCACCGATGGACGGACCGGCTGGCGGTAGGCTAGGTTCAACCGATTTGCCTGTCCGCGATGACGGGCCGGGAGCGGGTGCCGAGGCGGTAGGATGGGCGAGTAGGTCTCGAAGAGCTAGGGATCGCTGGCTGAGCAGTAGAGATAGCGCCTCGGGGACGGGGAGATTGTCGAGCAGCACTATTGTCAAAAGAGTTTCCGCTAGAGTCTGCGGACGTCAGCTTATGGGCAGAAGTCATTTATCCGACCTTCGAAGCTTACCCTGGTCTCTATTTTGTCCTTGGACCTGAGCTTCTCTGATGCCCGCTGTACGATCTGCGCTCTGAACGGGACAAGCACCTCCCATTGCTTGGCCAATAGCGGTTGATACACCTTCAGGGTCAGCTAAGGCTCTAGTAACGGCACCTCTCAGCTCACCTCGCTCGCTTCTCCCATACCCGCCAATCCTTCCTTGACCACCCTCGCCACGAGCCACAACCACCCCGCGCGCAACACCTCCCCTTCCGCAAGGTACGCATACAGCGCTTCCGGCGCGTCTAGGAGGAGTTTCATGTGCGCCGCGACCGGGAGGAGGGTCATGACGTCCTCTGTGTCGGAGACTTGAGTAGAGTTCTCAGCTGTGATGGCGATATCGTCCGCGTTGGAGCAGGTGTTGGCTACTGTCCGGAGGGAGTCTGAGAGGTGGAGGGAGGCGGTCCGGAGGGTAGATATTTGGGTAGCGGAGGTGAGGAGGTCTCGATACCGTGTTCTAGCAGTGTCAGCTTAACTAGTCCGTATGATCGTTATAGAAGCTGCGCCACTCACCCGACCATAGCCCTCAGCTCTGACTGCTTATCCAGAGCCTCCTGCCTCATCTTCCCTTCCACCCTTCTGACCTCCAACACCGGCAGCTTCCTAAACACCTCGTCCGGCTCCACATTCCCCCAATCCCTCTCTCCCTCCTTGATCAATCCCTTCTCCGCCATCCGCCTTGCCCGACGCTTGTAGTCCGGCGTGGACGCGCCTGAGTCTGAAGGCAATACCGACGAAGAAGAGATATGCCTTAGATTCGGATTTGGCGTGTATTGTCGGCTGGCCGAGTAGGCGGAGGAGGCCTTCGTAGGTGTGAACTCGGCGAGGGAGCTGAAGGTGGACATGATACTTTGTTGTCGCGCATTACGGGGTGGACCGGAGGGACGGGAGGAGCTCGAAGCGGTCGGCGAGAGCTGGGGAAAGGGGTCGAGGGAGCGGAAGCTGCTTGGTGGGGAGATAACCGAGGGGCCTCCATTTCTTTGCGAGGCCATCTTTGCGCGGCTCTTTGTGATAGATCCTGCCGCGCCGATACCGACCGTGTCGCTGACAGAAGTGTGCGTGCTAGAGGGCGATAAGGCATCAACAGGGTTAGGGAATGAGGAGCTGGCGGTTGCAGGCGGACTAAGAGAGACGCATATGGAGACAACCGTGGGAAAGTCAATTCGCCCGCACCAGTTTCCGCTCACCCAACCCAGAGCTATCTCTCTCCCTACAACCCTCATCCCTACGCCGCCTCAACAGCTAAATTAGCTATACAACTAGCCACAATGGAGTCCTACATCCTTCCTCACTTCCCCGCCGAAGTCCGCGCGGTCCATATCGCGCTCTTCCACGACCTGACCAATGCGCCCGAAATTCGCAAACGGCTGATCGCTGCTGCGACCGCCGAAGGCCAAGAAGGAGACGAGGCGAGAGCAGAAGTGGACTTTGGCTTTGTCGAAGCTAGCACTGTCAGTCTATAGTCTCCGGGATACGATGCCAACGGACAGGCGAGCTGATGCTTCTAGATCGTATCTCGAGAACACCTCCTCACCGCCATCCAAACCACCCTTCTCAATGCCCTCACTCCGACCGGTCTCCAGACCCGCTCACATAATATCCACTCGGAGCTCCTTCTAGCCCTCTCGCCAAACAACAACATCACCGACTCGATACGCCGGCACGGTCTTTCAGATAAGACGACGGAATTGCTTGTTGTGCGGATAGAGCCAGAATCTGGAATGGGGAAAGGGAGGGCAGAGGAGGTATGGAGGGAGATTGAGGAGGTGGTCAAGGGGAGACTGGTCAGTGTGGATGAGCTTGAAGGTGGAAAGACAGATTGGAGCAGGGTGGATAAGGTGAGCTGGGCTCTGCTTCTCGAACTGCAATCTCAGCTGACATGTCAGATCTACAAGCTGAGCGAAATGAACGCACTCAAGCTGCCCCCGGCAGAGCTGCTGGCGCTCAAGAAGGCGGCTGTCGTCACCGCGGTCGCAATCAAGTCGGTCACATAGCCTGACGAAGCGGGAGAAGTCGGCATCACAGCTGCAGCCACGCGCATGGGCGCATCCCCCCGGATCAGCACGAGTAGGCGCGGACCTGTTGGGCAGGCTCGCGGGGCGCGTCGCTCTTGCTGTAAACGATTGAACCAAGGCAGAAGAGTGACTCGTCACCCGCGCCGTGGCGGAGCTGCAGGCGTCATAGGTGGCGAATGTATAGCGGAGACCATTGACTCGGTATATCATTGCCCTAGCTCCTCCTGACCACAGGGCAATTTGCGGCGTCTCATCATTTCTGACCAGTCCATTGAATCACTGAAACATTTTTGATCACTGATCACTGATCACTGATCACTGATCACTGATCACTGATCACTGACGTACTGGTCCGTTCGGACAACGCGCTACATGCATCCGGATCTTCCCCCTTTGAGCCCCATGTCAGCCAGGACGCCATGTTTGAGGGAGCTGACGATGGCCATGGGGATGAGACGGACGAGGAGGAGGATGATGATGATGATGAGGTCGAGGATGGGGATGGCGCGGATGGGGGAATTGGGTCGGATATGGAGGAGGGGTCAAACGATGGAACGGATGACAGAATAGATGGGGAGGGTGACGAGGATCTCCCGGATGATCAGCTGGATGATGAGGAGCTCGAGGAGCGTCAGATACGCCGAGCGGCCGAGATTGAGGCAGACGAGGCAGCGGCGGAAGAGGCATACAGCACGGTGGAGAGAGAGTCCCTGGCGGAGGCGCTAGAGCAGCTGAAGCGGCGGAAAGAGGCCGACAGGGTCGGGAGGAGCGTTTATGAGGATGCTTTGCTTCTCACGTTCATCCTCTCCATCAATAGACAGGGTACCAGACTGATGATCAGAGCACAACCAATCCTTGGTCGAAATCCAGCAAGTCCTTGTCGACGCTTAGCGTACCACCTCGTTCTTCCAAAAGGCAGGCCGGTATGACAAAGCGGAGCAAGGCCCTATCCAAGCAGTACTATCCCACCGCCAACATGCTCAGCCCAGATGCAGCTCGACGCGTCATTGCGACCGCGGCCGACTACAGCCCAGTCTGGGATGACAAATGCAAGAAGGGGGACTTCCTCTTCTACATTCCTCGCGAGGAGCAAATGGCCTGCCTCCTATGCGGTACCGGTCGACTCACTCCGCGCCGCAAGCGCTGGTCGCAGGTGCCATACTTCCCCATCACCCCTCGCCTCGCCGCCCTTATGTCCAACTCCAAGTGGTATGAAATTCTTCTTATCGGTCTACCTTTCTCGGCTCGGCCGACCTGTACGGCGATACCTTCCTTGGTTCAAGGCATCTGGATCTGAAGGAACAAGAGGTCAAGGTAGACGGGAAGGGGTTGGGTTTCAAATACTTCGATCATCGGATGGACATGGCGATGAGCGTTTCCGGTGATGAAGTGGGCGTACGGAAGCGTCAGAGCTGAAGACGCAGGACGGGAACAAGAAGGGAGGTATCAACCCACTTATTCTGATATGAGCAACAGAAGCCTGCCACCCGACATTCGTAACCAGATCGCCAATATCCAACCCGTCATTTTCTTTGACGGTCATCCTCGCAACATGCACTCCTTCATGCGCCCCTTGGTCGAAATATCGCCAAAGACGGGATACGCGCGGTCGACCCCACATCCTCGGCCGATCCCGCCAAGCGGTCGTGCTTCACGTTCCGGGTATATCTCCTCGACCTCTTCAGTGACCTGCCGTTCAAAGCCCAGATGACAGGCTTCGTCGGTCACAACGGTCAACATCCCTGCACGTATTGCAAAATCGGCGGGACCCATTCCCTTTACCACAAGCATACGTACTTCCCTCTCTCACCACCTCGCGGCTCCTCATCGCCCTCGTACGACCCGCTGGCCCTCCCTCTCCGTAAGCACAAGCGCTTCATCAAAGCTGCCCGCGGGTGGAAGAGCCTCGTCGGGACGGATCGGAGGCTGCGACAGAGCGCGAGATCAAGAGGACGGGGCATGGGCCTGGCTGAGTTTCGCTGAGTATAGAGCTGATACCCAGGTTGTCGAGGCATGCGCGCTATACCTCACGTTCTTCTATACCGGGGCCAAATCTTCAGAGGAGGTCTTGCCCGCATGATGCCCATCTCTTCGGAGCGGACGTGGCTCGATAATTCATGGGCCACGCTGCGGGTAGTCTTGGCCTCGAACGTTTCTACCTCTTGTCCCCAGTCGAGATGGAGGTACTCCGGGGTCTCGTCCATGGCGACGAGCGGAACGAGCTCGTGTGGACGGCGCTGGCGTGGAAGCGGTGAGCTACCCGTTCTCATCGATGGATTTCGCTGATTGACAGTCGAGGTGCAGGCGTGGATGGGGTGGGATTGACGTGGAAGATGCGCTGGATGAGTTAGAGAGAATGGAGGAGGAAGGGGGGGAGGCACTACCGGGTATTCGGGTGACAATGGAGGAGGCGAAGCGCAGCGTGGACGAGGAGATGCGGACCCGCCTATTCGAGATCTCCAGGTTGATCCCAAACGGGACTCATCGGGCGGCGCAGCGACATTATGCGTTCGCCGAAAGCTTCATCTCGGCGCACGAAGGCGGACGCGGAGCTGTGGGAGGAGGGGTGATGGTCGGTCGGGAAAGGGAAGCAGAGTCGTTGACCGGTGAGTGCAACTGTTATCGAATGATGAGCGGGGCTTATTTTGCAGAGCGACTTTGCGAGTACTTACACCTCCGCGTACTGAAGTTGAAGAAGCTCTCGGAAGATGGAGCGCCTGTCCTGAGAGAGGGGTCGAACGAGGAGGTGTACATGAGCAAGAGATCTCTCCACCTGCTCCAGCAGTATGCGGCAAAGCTGGTGAGTGGACGTTGCGTATCGAAATAGCTCTAGCTGATTTCTTAAGCTCGAGATGATGGCGTACCCCCCTCTTTCCCCCGTCCAGGCGTACGAAGGGCGAAAGCTACTGAGATCGGTATGTCCCCGTATCGGTCAGGTCTGCAGTAGCTGATGAGCAGTACGAAGGGGTCCTCTGCGCTGCGATGGGCCTAAGGGATGAAGGTCGCGAGAAGATGGCGGTGTACCCGGAGGAGATGAAGGTGTTGGTGGAGGAGGCGATGGGTGGTACCACTACGGCGTGGGCCTGGGTGAGTTGCGCTGGGTGTGGAGCTGATAGGCAGGTCGTAGAGGCATGTGCGCTGTATCTGACGTTCTTCTACACCGGTGCCAGACCCGGGTTATTGCTCACGTCGAAAGCATACGACGAGTATTTGCAATGGGAGGTGAGTTCTTATACCAGCTGTGGGGGCTGCGCTGATCTGCAGGGTGTCAAGTTCATCCCCCAAAGGGACGAAGATGGCGACTTTGCTGGCTTCGACGTTGTGGTGACGCTGCGTAACTGGAAGGGGAGGCATGGGAATGATGCCCAGCCGCTCATGTAAGCGTTTCGAATGACGTGATGATGCGAGCTGACATTCCAGCATAAGGTACCCGATTAGGACGGTGATGCGCTCGGAAGATCTGCTCTTGGATCTCGGCGTATTCCTCTTTTCACATGGTTCCGGTGCGGTATCTTCGGCTCGCGGTCGCTCGACGACCTCTTCGATGCCGAAGAGAGTTCGGATGTGAGCCGGGGAGGTCACAAGATCGGGTGTTCCTGGCGCGCTCGTCGAGGTCGGGATTGGGCACAATGCCGCTGGGGAGGGAGGCGGCGACGAATTACCTCAAGGAGTTGCTGGTTTCGTCGGGATTGGGGGGAGGGGGTTGTAAGTCGGCCTTCTGGTATGATGGGTCGTGCTAACAAAGTAGAATTCGGCGAAACCTTGTACATCTTCAGGCGAGGCTTCGCCAGGATGATGACCATCCTCTTCGGAGCGGAGGTCGCTCGTTACTTCATGGGCCATGCTGTGGGTAGCCTCGTCCTCGAGAAGTTCTATCTGCTGTCCCCGGTCGAGATGGAGGTGCCCCGGGGTCTCTTCGACGGCAACGAGCGGAACGAGCTGGTGTGGACGGCGCTGGCGTGGAAGCGGTGAGCTACCCTTTCTTATCGATGGATTTCGCTGATTGGCAGGCGAGGCACGGGCGTGGACACCGCCAAGATGACTTTGGCCGAAGCGGCGCGGAGATCGCCCATCGTGGCGGCGCTGGCCAAAAGAAGGCTTTTGCTCAAAGCGAGTTTGGCAGGAGGGACTGATGGTTGGAAGCGCATGCGGCCTGTAAGTTATTCATTTACAGTGTTGTGCCGGGGCTGATGATGAAAGTTCTCCGATATGAGGCAGATCAAAAGCCTCAATCAAGAGCACCTCCCAGCGCTGATCCGGCGGTATGACAATCAGCTGCGCCGCTGGGTCCGATCGCTGAGGACCAACGTATACGAGTCGGCGGCGGATCGCGACCTCGCTGAGCTCGCCGACGAGGCGTACGAGGAGATGAGCCGGGGGAAGGACGACGGGTCCAGCAAGCTCTTGGATGCTCTGCACCAGAGGCTGGTGGCGCAAGAGGCGGCGTTCTTGGGGAGTGGGGAGATCGCTGGCGGCGCGGAAGGCGGGAGGGGTGATGAGGTGGAGATGGAGGGTGTCACCGTGGAACTCGCTACGTCCCTGATCGATCAGCGATCAGCGGGATAGCAGCTATCATATGCCTCTGGAATGATTGGTTCCTACACTGTGATCACTCGAGGCTGTATCCGCCTGCGGCTGATTACGCATCTGCCTGCAGCTGCATCTGCTACACATTCCTCGCCAACGACTCTCCCATTACGGCATGACTTGAAACGCGGTCGCGAATCGCCGGCTATCGCCGCTGCTCAGACCATCAACCTTTTGCCTTGCGAGGTTATGAGCCACCTATCACGCACACACCTATACAACACAGAAGACGCACATCAATCCTATGGCTATCATTGAAGAGGTGCAAGATGAAGAGGCGGCCCCTGCTATCGCCACTCCAAGCAGGACTGAAATGATGAGCACGCTGCGAGCACTTTCGGCCAAATTGCGTTTGCCCGAGGACCTCCTTCCGGGATTTATGGACGATGAGGATGGTAAGCTCTTCCTACCACCGGCCAGCTCGCGTACTGATCATGTCAGATGGTTCCAATGCTGTATACTGCCGCACGTGCAGATCCGTACTGCAGGATATGGTCGCGTCAACGGAGAATCCGGCATGGGAGGAAACCGGACTGGAGGAACAAGGGGAGATCTTTGGCGTGGTGACTAGACTATACGGGGAGGACGGATGGACCTCTGCAGAGATCAGAACTTTGATAGGAGGTCAGCTGGAGTACCTTCGCCGAGTCTTCGGGGCAATGAGCTGACAGGCCAGACCTCGCACGCGACGTCGATACCGCCCAACTCGCGCAGTACCTCCTCACCCACGCCCTCCGCCCTTACTTCTCCTCCACCCACCCCATGCTCAACCCCTCCACCTCTCGTGCCCTCTCGAGGCCCGCTGGCGGTCCTGAGGCACTATCAGACGCCCAAGACGCTGCGGCCGGAACCTGGAAAACTTACGCCGCATGGGGAAACTACAATATCCTCGCGTGGTGCTGTGCCCAAATTCCGCCGGCGGATCTACCGGACAAGATCGGTCTCGTCCTCCCTCCGACTCTGATGATGATGGACGACTCGGACCCTGCGTGGCGTGGTCGAGGGGCATGGGTGCTCAGCAAGTGGATCGGGGGGATTCCGACCTTGACGATGAAGCGGATGGGGATGGACACGCTGCTCCTGAAATCGCTCATCCATACGCTGTCACTGCATTCGATTACACCGCTGCCGCACGTCATGCCACTCACGCTGGAGCTGATTGGGCGAGCGAGCGAGGGGGAAAAGGAGGCGGAGCTGCTGAGCGAGGTGATGGATAAGGCGGTATTGACGGGGTGGATGTACGCGCCCAGCGGGGCGGAGGGGAGGGTGGTTCTCACGCAGGTCGCGAAGGATCTGGAGCAAATTTGTGGAGTGCTGGGAGCGGGCATACTGAGGTGGATGAAGGTATGTCTGGGCTTATCCAGCTTGAGTGATTGAGCTGATAATGCTAGTCTATCATACCAAACCTTCTCCAGCCCCTGGCTTATCCGCCGACACCAGCCGTCTTATCCCACTTCGAAGCCAACCTCTCTGCCCTCCTCTGCGTCATGCGAGTCACCGCTCCTACCGGTCGAGTCCCGAGATGGCGCGGACAGATCCTCGATGTCCTCTCGCGCCTCTGTATTCATCTCGACGAGAAGGAAAAGGAGGATGCTGCGATCTCGCGAGGGCAGCGGAATAGAGTGTCCATATATGGAGGATTGAGGGGACGGGTGGAGGCGGTGTTCGCGCTACTCGCCGAGCTTTGCCCCTCGGTCAAGCAGGTGAGTGTGAATGGGAATCTGTGGCCGAGTCGGGCTGATAAGCAGGACGAGTTTGCCCGGTTGATCAAGCTTGACCACTCTGTATTCGATCCCATCGTTGGACGTACCATCGTCGGGACGGGAGAAGGAGTGAGAGCATGAAATGTCTAAGCTGGAGCGTACCGCTATGCAGAACTTCGAGATAGGCGTGGTGCTGATTTCTGATATACAACTTACCCTCCTGATTATAACAATGGCGTTTCTGACCCTGGCGAATCAGTATGGCCTATGATGGAGGAAGAGCTCAAGAATCATGCATGAGGACTCCGCTCGTCTCCCTGACCGAAGACGATACTCTGACTTCGCATGGTGGGAATCTTGGCTGGGTGGCGAAAATTCGGTTGACGGGGCGAAAGAAATGGGAAAGAGGGGGGAGGGCGTGAGAGAGGTCAGGTCAGCGCGACAAACGAGGAGATGACAAAGGTTGAGCTCAAGCAGAGAGGGAGGGCGTTCACGGTCTCGCTATCCGGAGGTATGCAAAGGAGGAGCAAGTGTCTCACGTCGAGTCAGCGCTGGAAGGTCGGTGGTCATAAATTGCGCACTCCATGCCCTTTGTGGAACCGCACTATAGCTCACTCTACTTTGGCGATCACCCAGATGGGCGTCTGTCGCCTCTGCGCACGTGCGTGGCGACCCTAATTTAGACGTGCATTCAGATCTGTCGTTGAGATCTGAGTCAAAGGATCCGATGGATGACACGCTTAAGGGCGCGTAATTTAGTCAAAGTCGATCGCAATGTCGAGTTCTGGGCGGCTAACGAAGGCGACACTGAGAGGGAATCAAAGGTGGCTCAGCTGATGGCGTGCTCAAGGCGTGAGGCTGATCCGCATTTAGATGTGCATTTAGATCTGTCGCCAAAGGATCCGAGGGATGACCCGCGCAAAGGCGCGCAATCTAGTCCAGGTCGATCAAAAACTCGAGCTCTGGGCGCTCAACGAAGGCGACACTGAGCGAGTATCAAAGGTGGCCTAGCTGATGGCGTGCTCATGGCGTGCTCAGAGCACAATCCCCCTCCAGGCGACGACCCTCAACCGGACATATATAAAGCGGGCTCGCCATCGCCGAATTTCGCATCGTACTTCATCCTGTACTCACTCTCCTTCACGACATCCTCACAGCCCACCCTTTGCCTCCACCCCCACCAGCTACCAACCACACCATCCCGCACCTGCCACCCATACTCCACATAGCACCACTCACTCACACTCACACTCACGCCACCAGTCTCTCACACTCGTCTTACCTGCTTCGTCATGTCCTCATCTGCTGCCCCTACGGCTTCTGTCCCCGACGGATTTGCCTCGATGGAAGAGTGGAGAGAAGCACTCACGCGTCCTTGTGTTGACGCCTGGGGAAATCCGCGAGCAGCAAATTGTCGTACCACGCGGACTGTCCCGATTGAAATCATGATGGTCAGTCCCTCAATGCCACTAAGCCAGATCAACATGAGAAGCGTGCGCATGCTGACTTGTCCACAGCTCGGCGATACCAGTATCTCGACCAAGAATTGGTGGGTTGACGACATCTGCGTGAGTGGATCGTCCTTGGGTTGGTAACTCAGTGACCACTGACCCCCCTTAGCACCCGATGAACGGCATGTATCGGACCTTCACGCAGCCTGGTGTCTCCGGGACATTCGATGAGAAGAAGAACCTGTGGTTCACCCTGCCTGAGCCGGCCGGTGGAGAGCGGGGGCTTTACATCTACTCCCCTCCTGACGGAAAGGAGGACGACAGCAAGGAAAGCTTCGCGGTATACATGACCCCAGAGCAATTCGAGGAAACGCGGGGGAACGATCCAGGATCCAGGTCAGTCCTTGTCGGCCCAGTCCTGTCCTACGTCATCACCGAGAATGGCAAACATCGGCTATCCACCGAGGTGTTCAAGGAGCACGATGGCGACAAGAAAGGCTATCAGAAGCCAGACATTCCCCGAAAAACCTGGCGGGGTGGATGGATTTCAGCGGATGGCTCTCGCCTAAAGTCGAATGGAGGGGAGAGGCAAGACTCTTACCGCCATGAGGAGCGCTCAGTGTCGTCGAAGCGCCCGGATGTCAACGCGTTTGGCGAAGACTCAATCGGACCTGATGGACTCCAAGTGAGTCAAATACAGCGCTCCTCTGAGCCTAGCTTGTCACACCTGCTGATAAGATAGACTTACAGCATGATGGACGTGAGCGACGAAGACGGAGAAAGCAATTCCGAGCGAGAGATGGCAAAGGCGGATATTGCAAGGAACCTCTTCCCCAACTCATTTATACCAATCTCCAAAGACTGACGGTCGCTTGAATTTCCTTGCTCGATCTCCCCTTCCACATCAGCTATTTTTTGATGAGTATACCAGACTGTGCATGCATATATCCCTGTGAAGCGCGTAGGCTAGACCTGTTTCCATGGCCACTCGCGACTCGTAGAGTGACGGAGCTGACACGCGCGTGTACACTCGTGCAACGTCAACAAGGACAGCTTTTCGACTGGTTCGTGTTACAGTTGAATTACTTAGGGACGACCACGTGTAGCACGTGCAATCGGAGACCGTCAAGAATACATAGGTCGTCCGACTGCTCGTGGTCGGATCCCGAGCGTGACGGATCGTCCGACGTCGGATCCGATGGTCCGACTGCCATATCCGATTGCTAGAGTCACTATGCGATTGCGAGTGGTATTGGTTGTGACTGGTGTCACGCTGGACTACATAAAGAGGAGTAATTCGAGTCAAATACATCCTCACACTGCTGTTGTACATATATCTTCTCCAAATTCCAACACAACTGAGAGGTTGAGAATCAAAAATGGCGCCGGCGCCGCTCTCGGCCCGAGTGACAGAAATCGCCCGTGCCGGCCAGTGTAGATCGTATCGGCCATAGTACAAAGCAACAGCGTTGGAGCCCGTTGTACACAGAGTTTCGAGGATGTAGAAACGTATATCGACGTCCAGCCTAGAGACAGCTAGTATGCGGTCACCTAGGCCTACTGTGCCTGACTGGGGCGAAGGACAGGGTCAGGAGGGATGTGATCAGACAGGGAGGAAGAGCAGAAATGATCCGGAGAGGGGGTGGCGCAAGAAGTTCAGGTGGCAAATTTGGGTGGCGCGCGGCACCTATAGATGCTACAGCAGGAGCGTAGCATGTGGCAACACCATTGTCTTGATCCTTGTCCAAAGTATGCATATGGAAGGTGTACCTCAGTGCACTCTAGCCGGGGCATAAGTGGTCGCATGTCAGACCATGGCTCACAGCGTAGCGAACAGCCACATAAGGCAATCTGGCGGGTCGAAAGGATCATGATGGGGAAAGAGGAGATGGGCGAGTCATCGCGGGCAGAAAAATGGCAAAGATGGGGGGTGACTGGTGCGAGGCTAGACCAGCGAGACAGGCGGCGGAATGACAAAGGGGTACCGATCACAGAGCGCGACTGTCAGATCGAGATAGCGGCCTAAAGGTTTTGCTAGATTACTCTGCACTGATGGAATGGAGAAAGCAAGTGCAGCGGTGGCCGCGGGACCGACTTGTCGCGTTACAGTAAATTGCGAGTCCCCTTTGTTGTTGAAAGGATATCTTCAATGACCCCTGCCAGACCTTGCCAGCCGACAAGGTAAGTTTTTCACCGTGGAGGTCAAGGGAGGCCCCTTCAGCCTATATATATGGCCACATCCAGCCCTCATGTCCCCCTCATCCCCCAATCGCCACTCAAAACGGCCAGCATTACCCCTCAACTCCTTCGACCGACCACTGATCACAATCATGCCCACTCCTCGATTCACAGACATCACGGGATACTGCTACGATGAGGCTACAGACGGATACCTGACGTGCACAGTGACTCACCCTTCCGAGATCTCCATCGCCGTTAGTTCTTCCGTCGATGTCGGAGATAAAGCATTGTCAGTACTGACATTACAGAGCCAGAACCTCACCATTCCAGTGGATGATGTGAAGTTCAGCAATCTGTCCGTGAGTAAATTCGGGCCAGGGCCGAAACAAGGTAATGCGGTAGCCAGCTGACACAATGTCGCATGTGCTCAACAGACTTTTTACCAAGTGCACTGGGCTGGAGGGACGCTACGATGCGTACAGAATCCTCTGGATCCCAAACCCCGAGACAGAGCCGGGCTATACGGGCAGGATCTCTCACATCGTGAGGGGCCAGGCACCGTCCTCCACGAGTGCTGCACCGCTTGAGCCCGACGACAGCTTGGGTGCGTACATGACGCCGGAACAGAGCCAGGATCGAGAGCCCGGAATTTTCAAGATTGTCCGTTCCCTTGGTCTGACTGCGGACAGAAAGATTGTGTTGTCTTCCCTACCGGCGCCAAGCGAGGGAGAGAAAGGGGTCTTGCCTGACAACCTGATACGACCGCAATGGGATGGCACGTGGATGACTGCGAAGGGGCTGAAATGGTGGGCCGGTGAGACGGATGAGCAGTACGCCCATGACCCGGAGATCGCAACGACGGCCATCACCGAGGACATGTTCGCCATTGAGCCCCAGGAAGTTGACTTTGGTGATCTGCCTTGGAATTTTGACGCCTGATACTCGTGACAAAGCAAGTGATCGATACAATGGGAGAGTTGCACATACGCATTATGTTACTGTATTGTCCTCGTACGTTTACAGCCTCGCGGTCCCGAGCTCTGTTGGGGTCACAGGATGCATGCTGACACCGACCGCTAGGGTCGTCCGACCCGAACGACAGGTGCACGGGCTAATGCTGTTAATGCTGCTCACACAGACTTCTGCCGGCCCGCTGAAGCCGGCCCGCTGAAGAATTAAGCGTTCCTGAAGCTGGACGACGAAAGGAGTCCGAAGTTTCTTGCCGGCATGGGTTACCAGCCGCTCGAGCGGGATGAGTAATAAGCACCTCGTCCCCGTCTCATCGCTTGATCTCCCTCTATCCCCAGTTCCCGATGTGGCTCAGATACCCATTGTACCTGTGCATGGTCTTATTGCAATGTGAGCTGACAATGATGTCTTTCACCCGCTAGCTCGCTCAGTAGAAGCAGACAGATCAGCCAAGGATCCAACCTGATCATCTTCTCCTCCAATTGATTAGGGCCTCCTGAGGCATGGGTAAATATGGCGAGTACCAGCCCCCTCCTCCCTGCCTCATCATCAGTTCAGTGAGTATTATCCGCGATTTCAGTATCGGCGTGGCCGACCGATAATCATGTCTCCTCCTTCCACGCATTCAGCGTATCTGCTATGCTCCAGCTTATAAGTATTGCTCCCCAGCACAATCAGCATGGTGTACGGTGCGACGAGCCTTGCATGCCCCCAAATCACCCTACTGGAACTCGGGAAGGTTGAATTGTCCTGGTTTGGGCGGCTGAAGCTTCAGCATACGCCCTCCACTCTCTTCTTGTAGCCTTTTCCAGAGACATGGCACCACCACGTATCTGAAAGGATGTACTCACAGGTCCAGTAAGCGTCGTCAATCCCGCCGAGTTCTCTGATGTCCTCCTCCCCGATTGCGGTCCGGGCTTTGGTCTCTCCCCCTTGCTCAACGCCTGCAGGACCTGGATGGTCGTTTCGGGTGTAAGGTCCTCGTAGAAGTCGTCGTTGATTTGCATCACTGCGGGTTAGCACAAGTCTCTGCCCTCTGTCCACACGCCCCAACCCCCGGTCTCCATTGACCCAATCCCGTGCAAGGTGAACAAGACGTACTAGGGGCATTCGAACAAGCACCCAAACACTCGACCTCAATCAACGTAAACTTCCCATCCTTGGTCGTCTGTCCCGGGTGGACGTTGAGGTGCGACTCGATCGTCTCGAGAATCTTGGTCGAGCCGCATCCGCCGAGCTGGCAGGGTGTGGTTGTGCAGAGCTGGACAAAGTTGGTGGCGACGGGTTCGCGGTTGTACATTGTGTAGAAGGTTGCGACCTGGGTATGAGCTCGTGTCTAATGCGGGGAGAAAACGATAGCGTAAACAGGCGATACTAGGAACGAGATAGTATCGAATGGGTGTATTATCTGGAATCCGCAAGAACGATGTTCGCATTCCCCTCACTCTTGTCTTTCCTGGGTCCACTCTCCCCGTCCATCCGCAATTCAGAACCGCTTTACCCTCTCCTTCCAGATCTGTCTCCGCTCCCTCGATCCTGCCTAGAACCTGACTCACCTCATACACCCTCATCTTGGGCATCTCCAACAACTTTGCCACGGCATTCATGACGCTAATACTCGTCCATCCACCATTCTGCCGTTGCCCCAAATCCAAGATCGGCATACATGCCGCCTTTTTGTACTGAGGGGGATATCGATCAATGATCTTTTGAGCCTCTTTGAGATTCTCGGGGGTGAATTCGAATTTGATCTATCTTGTCAGCTACTTGACGAGCGGCGGCGCGGTGCATGCAGCTCACGTTAGGGTTGTTGTAGTCTGTATCGCGGTGCTATACCTATCAGCTCAATCCAACCAGCTCCAGCTCGGAGATCTGCACATCGGACGCTCGACGTACGACAAAGAGCGATTCCGACTGCCTCGAAGCTGAAGAGCCGAATGCACGCCGAGGAGTCACGCGGACTGCTTGACGCAGGGGAGCGAGAGCTGAGCGGAGGGACATGATGCTGGTGTATGATACTATATAGTGGTTGCTGATATTGCTTGCTTGGGACCATTTCCGCCTTGCTGGTTGGCTGGGCTCTAGCGGGACTATTTGCTAGCTTCCGTTGGAACCGCTGGCGGCGGTCGCCGGATTTGGCCTCCACCGGTAGATCGCGATCGACGACCACCCAGCAGCTATGACCTTGACCACTATCACTCAAGCTCAAGCCAGAGCCCCTAGCAGCCATGCCCGCCCGCACACTGACATCCCGCTCAATCCCCCTGGTTGCAGCCACTACCCTCTCAGTCTCCCTCTACGCCCTCCACACGCACGTCCGCCCCGTCCTCCTCGATGCCGCACCTGGTCCTACCGAATCTACCTTTGGTCTCCCCAAGAAGCCCCGCTCGGCCATAATACCCTCCTCTTCCAGCCCCTACTTACCACTAGGATGGGGAAGCAACCGATACCTGACGCTCAGCCCCGATCAGTCTTTATCTCAACTGAAGAAGCCGACTCCGTTGACGCAGTTCGGGGCGACCCCGCTGAGAGATCTGGTTCTGGCGGAGAAGTACGGGGCGGCCGTGGATGCAAGAGGGGACTGTTGGATGTGGGGCACGGGGTATGATCCGAGTGGAGAAGTAGGGCGGTCCATCAAGGGCAAGGTGAGTCCCGCGTCAGCTCAGCAGGGGTGGAGCTGAGCGACAGAATATCAAGACGCTTATACCCGCCTCGGCGAAGCTCTTTTGCCTGAGCAAGTCGGGCAACCTTTATGCGGTCTCGACGTCCCGAGCTGTCCAGACGTCCTCGCAGCAGTACAAGGCGGAACGGTCCTGGTGGTCTTCGATGTTCGGCACCGACGCCGGCGTGGACTTTTACGAGCTCCAAGCGGAGGGCGGACTGAAGCGTGGGGAACGCTGGGCAAGTGTGTCAGCGGGCAAACATCATTTGTTGGCCGTAACGACCAAAGGCCGGACCTTCTCATTACCTATCGATCCGCTCGCGAATTCTCATCGTCAACTCGGGACCCGACAGGTCCTTGACGCATCGACCGCCCCTCTCGCCTCTATCCGCTCTTCCCCCTCATCTTCTTCCCCCACACCGACCCCCTCTCTCCCCCTCAACCCAGCAACCGACCCCCGCGCCTACCCCACCCTGACTGAAATCCCATCCCTCGCCTCCGTCCCCATCGCCTCCGTCACAGCCTCCGCCCTCTCCTCCTTCGCCCGCACACCCACCGGCCGCGTCCTCGGCTGGGGCGCGAACGAATCGGGTCAGATCGGTCTCGGCCCGTCTGGCGCTATCGAGGTCGTCTCGTCCCCCGTCGAAGTGGTACTCGCGCGGAATTATCCAGGAGGGACGACGATGAATTGTACCCGAGTCGTAGCTGCCGGGGCACTGACGATGTTTGTGGTGGAGAGGGATGTGCCTGGGAAGGAGGGGACGTGGGTTGATTTACTGGCTTGTGGGAATGGGATGAGTGGGGGGCTGGGGAATGGGCTGTGGAGCTCGGCGTGTACGAGCCCGGTCAAGGTCAAGACGGTCAGTGGGCTGCAGGAGTGTAAGTCCAACCACGTAGAGGTTGAGGGGTTCGGGGTGGAATGATGCTGACTATCGTCAGACTCGGAGAAGAAGAATGCGTTTGTTCCTCTAGGCATCCACGATCTCTCCATTTCATCAGGACCCGCGGCGCATATCTTTGCGGTGCTTGATACGGCGGACCAAGCCGAGGAGAAGGGCGTCAAGATGGGGCTGTATGGGAAAGACGTGATGGTGTGGGGTGGGAACGGTGAGTCTCCGTAGTCGGGGAGGTGATCAATGAGGCCGGAGCTGATGACACAGTCGACTATCAATTGGGCAATGGGAAACGGTCTAGTCTGGCTGTACCTCAACACATCCCCCAGCTCATCTCGCGCTCCAGCGGCGACATTGCCGCCGCGGCAAAAGAGGCTGGTCTGTCATCTGGAACCGTGAGTCAAAGTCCTGCTCAGCTGCGGCTGGAAGCGCGGTCGGCTTCATGTGCGGATCCATCGGCCATGGGACTTTCAACATCGGAAGAAATAGCTGATGGTTAAGCTCTCACCGATGCCGCATTCCCGCCTGCAGCTGCATCAGAGCAAGACAGACGCATATGACCTCAGTGGGAAGCTCATCAAGCGGGGAGTGAAGTGCGAGGAGACGATGGTCGCGGGGTATAACTCGAGTGTACTGTATAATAAGACTCTGGATTAGGCCTAGGATGGCTGTAAGTAAGCAGGACGTAGGTTCACTGGGATTATGCTCTTCTCCGCTGCCTGAGATGATGATACGAGTACATGATGATGTGGCAAAGATGCCGCTACCGCTGCTGCAGTGGTATCCCCTCTTCTTCGCGCGAGACGGGCTCGTATGTTGACACCTCGAGATCTGACGATAGTTCCCGCTTGACACAGAGCTGAGGGTCAGGATAGGTCTGAGACGAAGCGCCAAAACTTACCTGCTCCGCTATTGTGATCATCAACAGCGCTCCGAGAGCCTGTATGACCCAGTAGAACAGACTCGTAGGGAATGCTTTGGCGTAGTAGGTCGTCAGTATCAGATGTACGAGGTTGAGGGTCAGGGAAAAGTCGAGGATGAATGTCGGGCGTCGGACGAGGTAGTACAGGGGTACGATACTGCTCGTCAGCCACACCGAGCAGAGAGAACGGCAAATTAAAAGGGGAAGAATCCACTCCACAGCAGAAGCGAGGAGCCACAACCCCGCCTCCACCCACCCCCGTCCATCATCCACCCCGAAATCCCACACTTCCTCCTGCTCATCCGCGCCCATCTTTCCCTTCGTACCCGCCCCAATCCCCTCTTCCCCCTCTACAACACCTACGTGCTTCCCCCCCGCCCACGCGCCGCCGAGATACCTCCACCCGCCCAACCCTGAAGTGGCAGAAGATGACAATTGGGCGTGCCGGTGTATATCGCCAAAAGCGGCGGAAGAGATCGTCGGGCGGCCAGCCATCTCCCGCCAGTCCAGGATGTGCGCGACTGTACTGGGTCCGCCGGAGTATTCGAGGAGTGGCGGAGAGGTGAGAAGGGAGAGGAGGGATGGGGTCAGGAGGGAGAGGGTCAGGTAGTGGATTGCTTGGAGGGAGACTATCTGCCGAGGGTCAGTAAAGGAGACTTTGTGGTCCAGAGGGGAGAAGGAGCTGACTTGGCAGATTATCCTGTTTGGTCAGCTTGGTCTTATTCAATGCACATGAGGGAGCTTACAGGACGGGATCCCAGCCCTGAACCCTCATCTTTACCTGCTACCTGCGCGTATCTGCGTTCTGTTTATGGGCGGTGAGGGAAAGAGGGTTTGAGGAATGAGGAGGTTGGATCCTCATGGAGTTCAGTTAAATCTCCGTTGGCACCAAGAAGTCGACCTCGCCCAAAGCCTAGAAATCGCCTTCACAGTCGCCCTCTCATCGCTCCGTCCACATCTCACACCCATATCGACTTCTTCGGCATCATATTAGCGTATCCAGAATCTCTCCTTAGGAGGACTTTAACCGATCAACCCAATCCCCGTGATATCGATGGCAGCAAAAAGATAGCACCCCTTCGCCATCAACATGGCTGCTCCCCGGCCTGCGTCCGCAGGGCCTCTTCCACCCGTCATCCCAACGCGGTGGCTGCAGCCTCACGAGCAGCGCTTTTTGTTTATCTCAGCCTTCGGACTGCTCGAGGTATGTCCGCTTCTCTTGAGCAAGCCCACCGTAGCTGATCCCAGACCATCAAAATATGGGACATCCTCGCGCCCTACCTCATCCCCTCCCCCGAGCCCACCTGGTCCTCGACCTTCCGCCCCTCTTCACTCTCCACCGCGGCCTTCTGGCTATTCCTCGAAATATCCATCTTCTCCCTGATCTCCATCCTCCGTATCCCCCAACTATCACCCTCGACCCCGCGCCTCGCCCAACTCTCGCTCGCCGCAGTGGCGTATAACGTTCTGTGCTGGTTCGTCGCTGAACCGGCATCCTTCTGGGTCTCGCTGAACCTGTTCGGACCGCCCTCGCTGGGCGTCAGCTGGTATTTCGCTTGGTGGCCACTCGTGCGGGGGTTGATATGGAAGAATGATGGGCATATTTCAGGTGTACACAAGATCCGACTATTGCCATTCAGGTGTGTTGCCACCGTGTTGAGGTAAAGGAAAGAGCTGATGGATAGTACCGCAACTCTCAACCCTCTATCCTTGACGTACTGTCTTCCCCCTGACGCTCAATCCCCCATCTACATCCCCGTCGTCTTCAACAACTCCATCCCCTCCGAGGTCTCGTACTACCTCCGTTCTCTCGACACGGGCCACTCCAAGACCCTGACCGTCAGCGGCTCATCCATGAAGCGGTCCTCTCTCATCCCTCACAAGGCTCGACTGGAAATCACCGATAATGATGAGGACGACGTTTCCGAGCCCGCTCCCGATCCGCTGTCCGCCATGGTCCTTCGGTCTCATGGTGATCCGCTCGAACTCGCCAAACTACCCTCAATCCGTCCTGCCGACTCGCTGGCCGTCGTACCCAAGAATCTGGCGGGAAGCGAGAATATGCTGTTCATAGCGGTGGACCGACCCGGCGTGATCAGTCTTCGCACCGTCAGCGATAAGCGTGGAGACCGATTCCACGTCGCTCCGCATAGGGAGGCGGTGATTATCGAGTGTCCGCTCGGTGGAGACTTTGTGGCGGAGCACGAGGGAAAGATGGTAAAGAAGGGAGATAAGCGGGCCGCGGCCGAGACGAGGTGTGTAGGGGACGAAGAGGTGGTCAAGTTTCAAGTGAGGGGTGTGGGGTCGTTGCGAGCCGGATGGAGAAAGAAGAGTAAGGACGGACAGGAACACGGCGTGATTGAGGGAATAGAGGAGGATCTTATGGTCGATCCTCTAACGGCGGAGGATGGGGCGATAGTCCGCAGGGACAAAGTCGCCAAGACACATACGGTCCCTCTTCGGATCAAACACGATACCCCCGGAACATACACCGTCTCCCTCACCTCCGTCACCGATTCCCACCACAATACGCACACGCCAAGCGGACACTCGGCAGAAAAGGTGTTTACGGTCGTCGCTCGGCCATACGCTCAATTCGAGTGCGCCGCGCCGATCCAAATCCTCCAGGGCGGAAAGGTCAATCTCCCATTTACGGCGGATGCGAAGGGCGGGCTGCCGGCGGACGTGCAGATGTCGTATAGCTACAAGCTGGTCGATGGGTCGAGCGGGACAGAGAAAATCAAGGTGGGGAAGAGGCAGGATAGTATTTCTGTTTCAGAGCCGGGGACGTATCGCCTCTTGGACATCGGTGGACAGTGTGCTGGGAGTATAAGGGAGCCGGCGACGTGTACGGTGGTTCTGGTCCCCCCGCCGAGTGTCGAGATGGGCGTGACGACCCTGCACGAGTGGTGAGCTAGTCCTCCTGTAACTCCCTTCCGGGTGGGATCAAGCTGACGTGATAGTGCGATGGACGTCGGAGTTACCGCTGCGTTCGACTTTAGCGGCACGCCTCCCTTCACTATCGAGTATACGGAACAGCGGAGAGGCGCCCGTGCGATCTCGAGGAAGCAGCGCTTCGAGGCGATGCACGGCGAGATCGTCTTGCTGCCTGAGCACGAGGGGTCTTATACCTACGTTAGCTTACAGACTCGTATCGACGTATGGCAAGTTGACAAATCAGAGCTTCAACATCCTCAGCGACAAGCACTACCAGCGGCAACAGCTCGACAAGCCGCCCATCGAACAGACGGTCCATCCGCTCGCTAGCGTCGATATCGTCTCGTCCAAGCGCCTCAAGCTATTCGCCTGTTCCGCCGATAGCGTCGATATCCAGCTCGAAGCGAAAGGCCGATCACCCCTCCGCGTCACCTACCTCCTCAGCAGCACTACCAGCTCTCGCACCGAGAACATTACGCGCGAGATCCCAGCGGGCAGATCGAGCATCACTGTGCCGGTCCCCGAGGCGCTCCAGGCGGCCAGTGGGAATACTGGGAAGTTCAGCGTCGGGCTGGTTGGGCTGGAAGATGGGAATGGGTGCGCGAGGAGGTTGAACGTCCCGGGGTTGGAGGTGGATGTGGATCGGGTCAAGCCGACGGGGAGGTTTGCGAAGAGCGACAAGGTGGTGGTGGTGGAGGGGGAGGTGGCGAAGGCTGGAATGAGGTTGACGGGGACTGGGGTAAGTTAATAGTTTCAGTCAGAAGCAAGGATGTCTGAGATAAAGCTGACAATTCAGCCTTGGACGGTGGCTTATGCGCGGGATGGGGGGGAGGAGAAGCGGGTGACTGTCAGAGATCCCAATTCCCAGCTCAGTCTGGACCAGGAGGGCGTGTATCGGATACTACGTGTAAGCTTGCAGGTACTCGCACAGTCGTAGGACGACAGCTTACACTTCAGGTCAACGATGCGCATTGTCCAGGATCTATACTGGACGCGGACTCGACATTCGAAGTGGCTTTCAAACCTCGGCCGGAGGTACATATCCAGCCTGCTACTTCGCTCCGGCAGACGGGACGGGACTCCCAGCACAAGGGTCTCTGCGCAGAGGAGGAAGACCAGGTGGCAATCAAGTTCAAAGGTCAGTTTCCAGCACTGCTTGGATACGGGTCTTGAGCTGACTATCAGGCCAAGCACCGTTCGAGCTTACCTACCGCCATACTCGCGAAGGGCACACCAGCCGGCACACCCTCAAGAGCGCACAAGAGACCGGGATCCTTCACCTCGCCCCTGAGCCCGGAGCACACCGGTACGACTTTACCGAGCTCCGGGATTCCAACTACCCCTCCACCCCCATGTCCTTCTCCCTATCACACGAGGTCCACTCTCGACCTTCCGTTTCTTTCGTCCGATCCTCCTCTTCGCCCATCTGCCTCGACTCGCCTCTCAAGGGAGACGCCAAGATCCGTCTTCAGGGCAAAGCGCCCTTCAAGCTCGGTCTGGCGGTACGGAAACCCGCTTCGTCCGTCGTGGCGACCTACAACGTCAACGTGGCGGGGCAGGAATGGGCGCTGGACCTGCCGCATACGATGAAGGAGGTAGGGAGGCATGAGGTGGTCATTACGAGTTTGGTCGATCAGAGCGGGTGTGAGTGGGCGGTAGGCGATGAGGATGTACTGAGTAGCGTGGTGGAGGTGGTGGAGAGCGCGAGGATCGTACCTGTGAATCAGGTGGAGGATTTGTGTGTGGGCGATACGTTGGACTTTTTGTTACAGGGCAAAGCGCCGTGGACTATTGAGTGAGGCTATCTCTGGCTCTTGAGGTGGAATGATGCTGATCCATAGGTACGAGTGGTCTGGCAAGAAACATAAGGTCACTTCGTCGGCTTCGCGGTTCTCGCGTTCCGCGGAACGGCCGGGCAAGTTTGCCGTTACTTCTGTCGCGCTAAAAGATAACCAAGTGAGCTACACTCGCTCTCGAACGCGATGGACTGAGAGCTGACACTACCACAGTGTAAACGCGAAATAAGCAATCTCATCCGGCACGTCCACCCCTTACCATCCGTCAAGATCCAAGAAGGCGTCAACCACCTTCGAGAGGGGGACGACCCCGCGGTCTTTTCGGTGCACTTTACAGGATCGGCGCCGTTCAGCTTCACGTATACGAGAAGCGAGGTGGTTAGTCCAGGTGGGAAGGCAAAGGTTGTCGAGACGCAGGTGAGTAGTCTCAGTTGACCAGCGCCCGGTGTGGAACATGCCAGAGTTGATGCCTGCAGACGATAACGGATGTCCAAGATATGGAGTATACGATCTCATCTTCCCTCCCTGGAGACTATCAGGTCGTATCAGTCAGCGATCGATACTGTAGGTATCCGCCATTAAAGGCCAGGAGAGATAAGTAGTCATAGACAACGAGACCTATTCATGCAATGATCGAAGCTAGATTATGACTACACTTGTACCCGACGCAATTTGATCCCTCCAAAACGCCACCTCCCAACCCACTTTCCATCGAATCCCGAAATCGTGACGAGAACGTTGTTCAGATCCTTTTTGAGGACCAATTCATGCGCAGGCGCTGCCCCACTGACCAACATGACCATGGCGCCGACGCCTTTTGTGTCCGGGGCGCCATGTCCGAGCGACACCCAGCCGCCCGCCGTATGCGCGGCTTCAATCGCCGGGCTGTCTAGCTGCGAACACGCGACAGCTCCACCTTCCTTAGGGAACAGATTGCGGTGAAGATCCGCATCGTGCATGGTATCCCATTGCTTGCTCCACGACTTGAGAGTTCTCTTGCCGCCGCCGTGGCCGTAAACGCCAGACATGATCCAGAGATTGGTTGGGTATCCCGGTCTTGAGGGCTTATCGCCATTGGGCGCGAAGTGGTCTGCGCTATGACGAAAGAATAGGGGGTTGGGGTCATCGAGAATTCGACTGGGCTGAGTGAAGTGAAAGTAGTATGCCAGGGTATAGGTTCCGGGCGGGAGATTGACAATCTGGTATCGCATCTGGTGAAGTTTAGCGCGACTGAACACGTGTCAGTCATATGGATGCTGGGGTGGTGCAACTCACATCTACAGCAGATACCCTTCGACAGCTGATTATTCCCGGGGGAGTCATTTTCTGACTGAAGGACGGTATCCGCGAGGTGCGGGCTTGGTCCGTAAAAGCCGCCACCGCCGAGACTGAGTCGGAGTGATTGTCCACCCATATCCGCGGATCAACGCTACATCCAGTCAGCAAACGACGAGCCGTGAGATTTGGGATCTCACTCCATTCCCCAATCATAGAGAGGAAACACCTTTGTCCCCCCTGGCATGGACTGCAGAAAGTCCGGTGGACTCGTCTCGAAGGGACAGTCGCTGTAGTATCGAGGTGAGGGAGAAGGCTGATTGGTCAGTCATACTCTGTGGATGAGGGTCAGTGACTACAGCTGTGACTGACGCCTGGATCGAGCTGGCGACGTCCCACCAGAGCGCGCATAGGGTTAAGTATAGCACGCTGCTGCTCGTATTCAACATCATGGTCCCTGAAGCTCGGCATGGTGGTACCGTCATGATCATCCGTGAGGCTCCTGTTGAAGTGCCGGATGGCAAAGTAGGTGGCGGGTATGTACCATTCGCCCGGCTCTTTGTCATCTGACCATGGAGGTGCTTGCGTTCCTGGCCAGGTCAGTGAGCTCCAGCGTGTAGTGATGGCAAACGCATACCGCAAGGCTTCTCCCCTGCTACACAGTTCACACATGGCCCGCTTTCCCCGGGAGGATAGGTGCAGCCCTTGCGGTCCGACCGGCATTGATAGCAGCGGTCGCGCTCGGCGGAGGCCTGCTTCCGCTTCATCGCAGACAACGCCTCTGGCGCGGGTGTGTTACTGGTCTTCGACTCTTTTTGGACGTGCGAGATCGGCCGTGATTACTTCTGTAAGCCGCGGGATCTCCTCTCAGAGATATCAAGCGAGCTCGATCGATGGACTTGAGCAGTAAATGGCGATATACTGGTTAGTGTATCGAGAAGAGGCCTGCGAACCGCGCTCCGCCCGACCATGCCGTAGCCCAAGCTGCACACTTGCCTGATCAGGCAACGCTTAATTACGGTTACAGCACGGTTGAACACGGCAACTCGCGGGCCAGCTTACAGCATTGCTCGGCGCCACCATCTGCTGAGCTGGTAACGTTTGGCGATATATATGGCCATGATCGCGAAGTTGAGCTGCCCACTTTCGCTTCGGAACAAATCATCGACCAAGATGTTAATCGGTACCATCTATCTATCGTACATCGTGGTCGAGGACGATGAGAAAGGCGTCATAGCCCGAGGGCCCCGGTTCCGAGAATCGCGAAAGTCACCCAACCGTCTTCGCTGAGCTATGTGATTGGATCATCTGGCAAATTGCTCACTCATATGCTCCGATTCTCGTCCATGAGCTGACCGGAAGCGATGGTGACGATATGGAGCGACCTCACACGCATCGGATCCCTCCTCCTCCTGCGAGATATTTAAGCTGGACCCAAATCCTCTTTTCCCCACTTTTTAATCCATATCCCTCAACTATACCACACTCCACGCCACTCAAACTCACTCACCACCACTACTATATATCATCAACTGTACATAATGGAGGTCATCGCCGCTGTCAAACCCGTCGCCGAAGTCGTCTCCAAGGCCGTCCCGGTACTCAGCACCGCCAAGACGATCGCCCAAGCCGGTGCTAAGATCTTCAATACCTGCCAGGACGTGGTCCCCGAGGATATGCGGACCGTTTATGAATGCCCATTCTGCGGTGATCCCTGCTTCGTCATCAAGGGTTGCCCTCCCGTCCGTAAGTGAAGTTTCCCATCTATTCTCCCTGACTGACGCTGACGAGCTTAGTCCCCTGCTGGAAGCACTACTGAGCGCTTCACCCAGGCCATGTGTGTCAGCACTACATACACTATGGCCGTGAGTGTCTGTCAGTGGACCAAGCTAATACCCAGTGAGGTTCAAAGCAAGGTCGGACTTCTGGGCTGGTTAGTGGCGGGAGGGGCGGACGTAGTCAGGGGTGAAGTTAGCGGAGATTTGTGTGAGACTAGGAACGATGAGGATGAATTGACTTTACCTCTTGACTCGGCACTGGACATTGTACACATTCGATCGAGTACTAGCTGTCGAGCCTGACCTTACCTGTAGAGCCCTGTTGGACTGCTCCCCGCGGGCACCCACCGAGGGGCTTTGCATTGAGCGCATCGGATCAATGTGAGCAACCTTGGACCCCGGAAGAGATTTGCATACAATTTGACAGATTCCGGAGATCCCCCTCGACAGTGAATCATACTGCGACTTGCCCATCTCCGCTATGTTCCGTCTGATCCACTGGGGAGGCTTGGTCGCTCCCCATACTCTCCCTCCAGCCTTGTAAACCCAGCATCCCAAAGGCTGATACAACCAATACGGCCCCGCCTAGCGAGAGTGGTGTGATCGCATCCGGGCTCGACGAGGGGATGAAGAGTGACCCGACAAGGGCGAGAGGGATTGTGAGGGATAGTCCGACGGTCGCAACTGTAGCGTCAGCTATTTTATTGCTTGTTGGCCGAGAATCAGGACCAGTAGAGAATGCTCAACTGACGCATAGGCGTTGTTTTGAGCATGGCGAGCATGTACATGTAATCGCTTGAAAGCGTGATGGCCATATTGATGCCGCAGATGATCCAGGCTGTCCTTGTTGGGGGCAGCTCGAATGGCTCCCAGTTGAGATAGTGTAGGATGGGGATGAGGGGGAGAAGGAGCGTCGTGCTGAAGAGGCCGGCAAAACTAGCGGTCAGCAAAATTGGCTCAATATCCCTCATTTGAGGGGGATGCAAGCTCAGTGGGTCAAACGTACCCAAGCATGAGCTGCATATCCGCTCGATCTTCGTCGCCGACTTGCTTCTTGAGGAGGATCACATATTTGGCGTAGAAGCATGCCGAGAGAATCGCCGCAAGGTCACCGAGGACAGGGTGCGCGGGGAGGTCGGAGAGGGTGGATGAGGATGAGGAGGAAAGGGTAGAGTCTGAGCGAGTGACCATGACCACTCCGACAAAGCTATCACGTCAGCTATGTGACTCCCATGACGACGCATTGGGTCACGAACCTAGCTAGCACGGCCAGGAATTTGGTCCGGGTAAGAGACTCGACGCCGACCATACGGCCCAAGGCTAAAGTAAAGAATCCTGTAATGTCAGCTTGTACAACGTTGCAGCTTCGGCATACAAAGAGATCTACAGCTGACTCACCACTAGTACTGCTGAGAATAGTCACACTCGCCACGCTAGTCCAGGCCAGACTGGCATTTACAGCCCAGTTCGCCGCGAACCATACTGCCGCCCACCATGCAGCGACCTGGGCGGTCTCGCGGATAGTCAGCTTCGGAAGCTCTCCCGGAAGCTGAGACTCCGTCAGGGGTGCGGAGTCGAGGTCGATCGAGCGAGGAGGACGGTACGGCGATGCGGAGGGCGAGCGGGATCGGGCGGACCGATTTGACGGGTTGGAGGGGTCTTCCGATTGCGATAAGGGCTGATATGCTCTGCAGCTATCAGGATAGTTACCGGATCCACAAATGAACAACACTAACTCCGAGCGCTTGTCAGAATGGAGCTCTCCTCTCCAGTAGCGTAGCAACGTCGGGATCAGGTAGACCGTAAAGCCCGCCGTATCAATATAGGTTATTCTGGTCCGTCAGCTCCTGTGCTCCGCGACGTCCTTGAAAACACGAATAGCTTACAAGAAGGGCTTATTCCAAGCCTTCTCGCCAGTCTCCAAGCTGTTCGTGATGAAGTTCGAGACTGTCCAGAGGAGGACCACCCCAAGAAGCAGACCCACACCGACGAGATATCGGCGAGCTGTCCGAAGCAGCGATTCTGGAGCTGGCGGCATTTCGCTCGTTCCGGACCGCTTGAGCAGTGGAGCAGCCTCCTGAGACATCTATCGGCCGGGCTGAGTAGCTACTAAGCTATGGATGTGGCATGTATATGGTGCAATCAATGGAAACGCATCTTTATCGCAGGCAAGTTTGGTTCCAAATCGCCCCCGGAACCAGCTCACGCGGGGCTCCATAAACAAAGTTGAGCACCGAGGAGGGCAGGGTGAAAGATGCTATCGACTATACCTCATCATGCTCATATAGCTGGCCTACGATGGGCGTAAATGGCCTTCTACATTGGATCAGAAAGTCCCAGTGAGCTATCCTGGCCATGTAGGTCATCATCGGGGTTCCTGTAGCTGACGTGATCAGTCCGACCGCCCTCAAATCCTTTCCCAAACGATGGGCATCGCCCGAGATCAAGGGGAAGCGAATCGCCATGTCAGTTGCGCGGCTTCTACTAATCTAGTGGTACAGAGCGTCGAAAGCTGACCTTCCAGTGATGCAACGCTTCTGACTACACGATACCATTTCGCCATCACAGAAGGGCCGTTGCGAGGCAAAGGTGCTTTGGTAGGATGGTACAAGTGAGTCCTCACCAGCGACTCGAGAGCTCAGGCTGATCAGACAGTCTTTTGAGTCTGATGAGAGCACACGATGTCCAGCCGGTAGCTATCTGGGACCGACCAGGCGTACGAGCCTGGAAGGCGGCTGAGGTGAGCCGCTTGTGAAATATAACAATGTGATTCAGCTGAAGGTCAGGCTCGACGGCGACTGAATACCCGCTTAGTTGCCAGTGCAAGACGGCAACACGAGGATGAGCGACAGGAACGTCTGACCGATCTTCGAGAGGGCTTGTCGGCCCTCCAGGCCCTTTCAGAGGAGGAGCAGGAGGTCATCAGGCTGGGATGGTCTCGAGGCAGATACACGAACGACCCGGCGTCTACGGTCCCCTCGACTGCCACTCTACCACCTCCCAAGTCAACGCATACACCATCACTTCATACACACGCCCCAGAGGAAGTCGAAGATACCGCGGAAGAAGCCATTGAGAGGATATCTTCGATGGAAGATACCCTTCGCACTCTTGTCGGCCGATACCGCGCATCCCTCCCCTCCCCCACAATCCGAGATGCTCGAGGCGGAATCGACGACGTCGTCGAACATATCGTCGAGCTGGAAAAGCTGTCAGAGTCACTCGACGTAGCGGCGGAACGGGCGACGCTGGACCATGCAGAACGGCGGTCGACGAGGCAGGCGGCAAGGGACTATGTGGACGACAGGCTGGGTGAACTGCTGCCTCCGGGAGAGTTTAGCGAGACGAGGCGGCAGACTGAGCTGACGCTGGAGGAAGGGAGAATCATCGAGGAGTTTATGCGGCCAAAGAGCGTGGAGGCGGAAGGGGCAGCAAGTGAGGAAACCCAGGCGGGATCGTCCTCGGCCGAAGTCGAAGCCCCGGTGAAACCGGAAACCCCATCTATACCGGCGGAGGTCTCATCACTCCCGATCCTGGCAGGGTATCTCGACGCCGCAGAGCCGCTCGACCGCCTCGACGCCCTCATCGAGGCCGCCCCGCCCGTCAGGGACATTTACGACCGCGCACTCTTCGTTCCCACGGCCGACACGCACGCAGATTGCCGGGATCTGCTCGCTCGTTTGGGCGTCCCCATTCTGATGGCGGAACCGCCTTATGAGGCGGAGGGACTAGCGACGAGTCTGGCGTTGGCTGGCGTGGTGGATTGGGTCGGATCAGAGGACTCGGACGTCATCCCTCTCGGTGTAAGTTGACCGCCTCCCCGCACTCCGAGGATCAAGCTGACATCCAGGGACCCTTGCTCAAAAACCTCTCGCTAGCCCGCCAGCCACTCATCGCCCTGCCACCATCGGACCTTCTCTCCATCATCTCCCTGACCCGGGCGCAACTCATCGACTTTTGTATCCTCCTCGGAAACGACGCGTGTCCGCGCATCCCCGGCGTCGGAGCTGTTGCGGGCTACAAGCAGATTGTCAAGCACGGCTCGATCGAGGCGATTCTTGAGCATGAGAAGAAGGTCAGGGATAAGGTGCCCGACATGCAGGAGTATATGGAACTGGTCAGAGGGGCGAGGACGGTGTTTGGGGATCTGCCGCCTATCTCGGAGGAAGTCAAGGCGGAGTTGACGGTGACTTTTGAGGGGATGAAGGGGCAGGAGCTGGATCTGGAAGGGGTGGAGAGGTGGATGGAGGAGAGGCATGGGATACGATTCGTCAATCCCGATGAGGGGTATGTGAGCGATGCAGCAGCCTGATAATGCGGGGAGGGAGAAGATCCGAACGAGACCGCTTGTAGCCCCAGAACTGATTGTGTTCGTGCTGTACGGGTGCAGTAGTGTATTACATGGGGACTATCATTCTTCTCACGTCCTGCAAAATCAGCGTCGTGCCTCCCTCAATGATAAGCTGTCGGCTCACCAGTTCACCTCATCTCAGAAGCGGTCGTTCCTCGTGTATAGGCCACCATCATTAATGCTCCCGCTCCTTTCTCGTTCGCCCTTCACTTGGCTGCGCCTTTCGCCTTCTTTGACTTCCGCTCAACCGGCTGATGCACCGGATCGAGGGACGCTTTGATCGACGATGAGCCAGCAGAGGCGTGAGTGCGCTTGCCTATGTAGACGAGCTGATGGGGGGCTGGTGCCGTGGCGTCATTCAAGCCCAGTCGCGTCTGTTGTGAGAGGTCTGGAACCACGGCAGTCGGAGCTGGCTGCATCTGTCGATGTGTTAGCCGAAGTCAAGGGTTTGATGTAGGCACAAGTACGATAAACTGACCTCCTCTGCTTTCTGCTCCTTCTTGTGCTTCTTCGCCTTCTTCTCCACCTTGACCTTGGCCGCCTCTGACTTCCAGAGATCCACCGCTGGCCCTCCCAGAAGCGGCATCAACTCCACCATCTCCTTCGGACATTCGGCCACAGCGCGTCGCTCATCCTTGCGCTCTTTCCGCCTCTCCTTTTGTCCTTCCTTTCTCTCATCCTTACGTTCCTGCTTTTCCACCTGCGCTTCCCGATTCATCTCCCTCATTTCCTCCCACGCCGTCCTCGCCTCCTCCGATCTCGCCACCATCCCCACCTGTCCCCATCGGTTATCACTCCCCAGCGTCATCCCGTCAACGCCGTTGGTATTGAAGGTGTTGGATGTCCACACCGCATCAACGTTCGTGCCGTTCTCATATGCCGTGAGGACGACGCTGGCGTCGAGGAGCCTGAGGATGTCGCTTGTGTTGCCCCTCATGCCCTGCGGATGCCAGTCTCGAACGGCCTGGTCGATGACCTTCCGGGCGATATTCTCGAACAGCTGGGTGCGGAGAGACTCCGACTGAGTGATGGTTGGCGTCTGTTTGGCGGTCATGTTGAGATGGGGATTGTAAAGTTGAGTGATTGGATAGGTGAAGGGGGGTTTGGAAAGGGGAGTACCGCGCCGGCTGGAGGGGTGTGTGACTAGAACGCTGTGCGATGAGACCGAAGTCAACAGTCAACACTGCGAGCGTAGAGAGTGTAATCTACCGAGCGTTCTGTTCTGTAGAAGATGATTGGGAGGTCGTCACAGAGGAAATGAGAAGAGTTGAGTCAGATCTGGCTAGACGCGGCTGACTGAACCTTGAGCCAAAATGTGAAACATGGCGCCCCTGGATGAGGTGCGTTTCAGAATCGCCACCCCGCGCGCCACCGTGAGGCGTTTCGCTGGCAGCTTGTGCTACTTACAGACGCCTGACCCTGACGACAAGGTGTTGCAAGCCACTCCGATCTTGAGAATACGGGGACGTTGGCGAGGAAGATGATAGTCAGTCAGTCAGCATCGATATTGACGAAGAACCGAGATAGCCTGTCGCCGGAAGGATCTGCCAGCGGTCGCAGCCCGAAAGACAGCGGTGCATGCGATGTGATGTGATATAATGTAATGCGATGCTCCATCATCAGCCCCAGCAATCCCGATTCCCTACTGGTCGGAGACACAGCTAGGACAGCGCTCGCTGAGGGTACACGATACCCGACCAGCGAGGTATCGATGGTCAGTGGGAGATCGCGACGGTACTTTCGGACTATGTAGTCACCTCATCATTCTCTATTGTTTCTAGCAATAGACGATCTCTGGTCTGTCAGCGTCGTTCACAGAATCCATGACGCTATGTAGACTGACCCTCGTCGATGATTACCCACCCTTCCGCCAGACATGAAGTGCCCACCGCCTCTGGCCATACCACTCCTTGCGACGTATAGTACAACAGCTCACGCTCCTCGAAGGTATCATCAGGGTGCGGTGCCGTACGCTTTTGAGCGCGGCGATCCAAGTCGAGCCTGGCTGTTTGGCAGCCGAGCTAGCCGGTCCGGCTGTCGCGCGTCCGGAACGGCGCAGTCAGGCCATGATGTTTCTCTGCGGGACCTCCGGGTCGAGAGATGCGCTTACTGATGTGCGAGCTCCGTCTTCATGTGCCGTGGGGAGGGTGGCGGGTGGTATACCAGGTGAAATGTAGCTTATATATTGTACTGAAACAGGCCAAACATCAAACAAGCAAGTCTCGATAGCTCAGTTGGGAGAGCATTCGACTGAAGATCAGTCTTTCAGCTAGGATTAACTCCTGCGATTCGAAAGGTCCCTGGTTCGATCCCGGGTCTGGACAGCTTCTTTTTGCTTCTCTACACTATCCTGCATCATCGGGCAGGTCGTAGGGACTCGTAGCAGCATTTTTGGTCGAGGGGGATAGCCCAACAGATGAGGAATGCCCTTTTGGCGGGTTTCTGGCTGATGCCGTAACGAATCCGCCACAATGCCGTAATTATTTTGGCTGGGTGGCGAATAAGAAGTGGCGGATTGGCTAAGACCGAATTAAATCAAAGGTGCGGTATTACCACTGTGCCAACGGTTATTTAGTGGACTGGTTCATCGCTCAAACTCTGCCAGGTCTCGCTGGTCTGGGACTGGCGATGGGCCATCACGATAGCTCGACGACATGGTCATGCTGATGCATGCACCTGACGGCAGAAGGACCAGCGTATAGGGGTGGAGATCGATGCAGATATCCTATTTGCCTGTGGCAGCGGTCGTGTGCCGGATCAGCAGTCAATGTCATTAGAGCATGCTCCCATAAGCTGGCACAGACTCCTACCTCACGTCATAGACTGCTCAGTGCGCCTGGCATCAGCGTGAGTACGAGTCAGTCCTACACCTTCATGATCATCATGCTGCATGCACCAACTCTCCATGCCATCAACTACTGTATGCCCATATGAAGCAAGTGGCAGAAAGCGGCCCGTCCCGGTCAAATCGTCAGTGGCTTGACGGTCTTTACAGCAGCATGCTCGCCACCTCCGCCTTAAGCTGACGTCTCCGAGGCATGCGTAGATGGAGGCCGATAACAAAACATGCCTGCTTCGGCCTCAGCGAAGATGAGATGGATCAGCAAAGAGGCAAAAAATGGGGGGCGACGCGTCCGAATTGCCGTTTGTGGTAATTTTGAGTGACCGAAACGGCATCGGTCAGCGAGCCGATGGTCTCCGTCAACGGTGAAAACATCGGCCCCCGCTCTGTCTCTCTTGCCTGTCCATCCACCCCACTCTTGTGACTGCTCACCATCATCATCATCCTCTACCTACACAAGGCATTCCTATAGACCACTCAAATCTATCTATCTCATCGACCAAAACAACCAATTCGCCACTATCGAATAGCCTAGCGGAAAACCCCCGAGCTCAGTCAGGCACGAAAAGAAAGGAGGGCCTGAGCGCGTCTTTCCCCATCGCCCTTGTTTTCGCCTCTTACTCATCCATACCTATACCCCCGTAAACCTATCCACCATACCGACCTCGACTCCCCCACGCCGTCCCGTCTCCTCTTCCACTACCCCGTCGCCCTCGTCGCGCTCGCTCTCTGCCACCATGGGGCGCACGACCCGCCCATCCTTGGCGACGACCAGTACATCTACCCCTCCCACCTCCTATTCCAAGGGCTCCCTCTCTTCCGCCCGATCCTCCCTTATCAACGTCCTCTCCCGTCCGCGTCTTCCCCTCACCTCCCTCTCCACAGCGACAGCATTGGCGCAGAGCGATGGCCAGTTGACGCCCGAGGATGATTACTCCACGGCGTCATCATATGCCAGTTCGGTCTCGTCTTCGGGTGGCAGCTTCAGCGGAAACTCCAAGGAGGACAATGCAGAGGAGATTGCCAAGGCGTACAGGAACTACCTGGAGAAGCCGTTTGTCAACACCAAGAGTGGAATCAAGCATTCCGAGTTTGGGCACTGTAACAACCCCAATTGGCGCTGGACCAGTCAAGTAAGTTCAAATCAAGAGTGCGCTGACAATCAGTGGAACACGGACGAACCCATCCATCCGGAAGAAGATCTTGCACCTCCCCTCTACATCCTCGTCTCGACCTACTTCTCCTACCTCATCTTCATTATCCTCGGCCACATGCGCGACTTTTTCGGCAAACACTTTGCCGTCTCACGCTATGCCCACCTCCTGCCTACCAAAGACTACGCCGCCCTCTACTCAGATTTCGACTCGTTCTACGTCCGTCGGCTCAAGAAGCGGATTGACGACTGCTTCTCTCGTCCCGTTACTCAGGTCCCCGGTCGTACCATCAACCTGCTCGATCGAGAGTCGTCCGACCAGAATGAGCACTTTGAGCTCACCGGAACGCAAACTCGCGCACTGAACGTCTCGTCCTACAACTATCTCGGATTCGCTTCTTCCACCGGCGGTTGTGCTGACGCCGTGGAAAGCTCTATCCGGCGGTACGGTGTCGCGTCGGGCGGTCCCCGGCACGACGCCAACACGCTCGACCTGCATCAGCAGTGCGAGAAGCTCGTCGCTAAATTCTGTGGCGCCGAGTCGTCCATGGTCTTTTCGATGGGGTTCGCTACCAACTCTACCAATATCCCCGCACTCGTCGGCAAGGGCTGTCTTGTCATTTCCGATGAGCTCAACCACGCGTCCATCCGGTTCGGTGTACGGCTTTCCGGCGCGTCGGTCCGCATGTTCAAGCACAACGACATGGGCGCGCTGGAACAGTTGTTGCGGGAGGTGATCAGTCAGGGTCAGCCGCGGACACACCGTCCGTGGAAGAAGATCCTGGTGATTGTGGAAGGGCTTTACAGTATGGAGGGGAGTTTGTTGAACCTTCCGGTCTTGATTGACTTGAAGCGGCGATACAAGGTGAGCTTCGCGTTGGTCTACAAGTGACCGTGCTGATTTCAGTTCTACGTCTACGTCGATGAGGCCCACTCTATCGGTGCGATCGGACCCAACGGACGCGGCGTCTGCGATTACTTTGGCATTGACCCGCGCGAAATCGACGTCCTCATGGGTACCTTCACCAAGTCTTTCGGAGCGGCCGGCGGATACGTCGCGGGAACCAAAGAATTGATCGACCGTCTCCGCGTTCGGTCCCACGCCTACACCTACGCCGACGCCGTCTCCCCCGCCATCCTCACCCAGGTCATCTCATCCATGGGCTCCATCATGGGTGTCGCTCCTCCGCTTGCACCTGTCAAGGAGGATGACGACGCCATGTCGGTCATGTCTCGCCCCATCTCTTACGGTCCCGCACTCGCCAGCCAACTCCCTCCATGGCTCAACCTCCCCGCAACACTCTTGAACGGCACAGAAGGGCGGGAGAGATTACGCCGTCTCGCTTTCAACTCGCGATACCTTTCATCGGGACTGAGGAAACTCGGCTTCCTGATGTACGGTCATCGCGATTCTCCCATCATCCCTTTGCTCATCTTCAACCCGGGCAAGATGCCGTATTTCAGTCAGATGATGTTGAAGCGGATCGGGCCGGATCTGACCCCTATCGTCGTCGTTGTTGTGGCCTACCCGTAAGTCTTACATTCTGATGTATGGGGATTCAAGCTGATCCTCAGCGCAACACCGCTCATCACCTCCCGCGTTCGGTTCTGCCTCTCGGCATCGCATACCAAAAACGATATCGATCTCATCCTGCGCGCAGCAGACGAGGTCGGAGATGTGCTGGATTTGAAGTTGGGCGAGCAGACCATGTCGGTCGAGGAGGTCATTGCGAGCGCAGAGGAACTGGTGGCGGCGGCTTTCTGAGGGGGCGCAGCGGAATCAGCGCGAGGACGGCCGCGTGTCCCGAGTTGGGAGCAGGGGATAGAGGAAAGAGGAAGATTACATGCCCTTTTAATCGGTACTTTGGGTGGAAGAAGCAGCGGACGGGCGGCAGAGATTCCAGGCTGGATCTTGGGTTTCTTTTCACCTAGTATAGAGGCTGTATCTGGCTATGGTGGACGGTCTTGTACGTGTCTGTGTAGAAGAATGTGCAGGATAATGCATATACAACATCTGTATAAAGGCTACACTTGATCTCGAAGTCCACCTTCCTCCACGCCCGAACCACCGATCCAGCTGGTCGATCACTTGAACCATCCCAGCTTGATGCCGACTACGGTCAAGCTGACGCCGATGACCAGTACCCCGAAGACCAGGAACACAGGCAGGATGTAGGAGCCATAACACTTGATTTCGCTGGATATCAGCACCGTCCCTTGATTACCCCTTCGATAGCCCAACCATCAGGCTCACCTCCATAAACACTCTCTGCTGAGCTTCGGCACCCCCTCTTTCCGCCTCACCTCTCCCTCGCCTACTGCTCCTAGCCGACTCTTCCCACTGCGGACTCCTGATCCCCGATCTGACCCAACAAGCGTCGATTCTGCCTCGGAAGCGTCGGTGGCGAAGGCAGAGGAGGATGATGAGGGGAAGGAGATTCGGGCGTGGGAAAGGCGATGTGGCTGCGAATGGATCGATGAGCCTTGGAGGAGGGACTGACGCTCTGGCTGGGCTGCGGCGGTGGGCGGCATGTTTGGGATGATATAGGTAGACTTAAGACAGATGGAAAAGACGATACAAAGAAAGTCTGTAGATTAATCTGGCCGACACGGCGAGACACACATTCCTTGCCACCGCCAAGCGCCCAGTTGACTTCACCCTGCATCTACACCTTCATCGGTGTGCTTACCCAAAGAGCGTGTCAATATGGCCGGCCAGGAAGCCTCGGTGAGCACCCAATTTGCTGTCTGCGTGCGCTACCTGCGTTCCGCCGAACGAGGGCTGACGACCCAGTCCATTCCCCCATCCGCATCCCTAATCTCCCTTCCACCCGAGATCGTCACCCAGATCGTACTCTTCCTCGATAGGCAGACAGCTTGCTCCTTGGCGCGCTGCTGTCGTCTCCTCGCCGATCACGCTACGCGCAGGATCTGGCGCAACATCGATCTCACGGTCAATCCGAATTACGGCGGGTACCCACTCATCCAGCCGCATCCGAAACTCATGGACAATGGCGAGGCGAATCTGGATCATTGGGAATGGGCATACGCGGAGACTGAAGCGGTGGAGGAGCGGCATGATGCAGGCGTGAAGGCAGAGATGGAGGGCCTGCTGGGACGCTCAGGTCATCAGGGCTGGGGCTGGATACGAACCGTGAACTTCATCACGGTTCCTTCTGCCATACCCGCTATAGCGGAGGTACTGGCGAAAGTCGCCCCCACCCTCAGGGAAATGGACATGGAGGACCCCGATCGGCCGGCTACTGGGCTGCCCGACCCGGCGCAAGCGGATGAAGCGCTCGGCCATCGCATACTCAGCCAAGGCATACGTATTACCTTCCCGTCGCTCACCTCCATTCGGCTCGGCGACGGCTGCCTGCGGTTCCTCGAATGGCTCGTGCTGCTATGCTCGTCAGCGCCCGAACTCATCGACCTGGACGTCTCCCTGGCGTATGTCGGAGCATATCACTACCCCGGAGATGCAAAAGCCACACGCCCCATTTTCCCCTCCATCGTTGCCCACACCACAAAGATTCAGCGACTACGGCTGTCCTGTCGGGATGATGAACTCGTTGACCGAAGCGGCCGTCCTTTATCAGCGATGCGGTCTCTGATCACCCATAGTCCCGCCCTTCGCCTGGCTTCCTTCAATTACGACGAGCCTTACAACGTCGGCACGCGCTTGCTGATCGACTCGCTGCGCTCGCAGCTCCGGCTGCAAGACCTTCATTGGTATGCAGGGGAGGTCGGATTTCGGATGGAGGTGGACGAGGCGCACAGGCGAACGGGCGAGGCCGGATTTCCTAGTCTGAAGCGGCTTGTTTTCAGCGACTGCCGAGGATTCGACGTGGTGAGTCTTCGCTACCTTATCCCGAGCGCCTGGCCGACTCAGCGAGTTCACCCATATCCCATCGATCCCATCGTTGGAGATCATCTATCTCAACACGGTCCCGACGGACGACGTCGTCTATCCGGCGGTCGACTTTAACTCTACGCGCACCTTCAGTCATGCCATGCCGTCGTGCCTAGCCGAACGGCTGCGAAGCTGTCCGCGTCTTCACACGATCGCCAGTGCTCCGAGCCCAGCTATCGATATCGATCTGGACTACTTTCACCGGCTCGACCTCATGGAACATCAGTTCGACATCGGTACCGTGGCATCCTTCCAGCACAATGGTTGCGAGCTAGTCTGCCTCTGGCTGCTGACCCGATACTCTGTGCAAGAGCTCGGGCAGTCTGCCGACTTCGGTGCGCCCGTCTCGGATATCCAGCTCATCGCTTCTGCGTTGGACGGGAGTCATCACCTCCTGGAATTCGAATCGGTCGATCAAGCCAGCTGGCAGGTGTACACAGATCTTGGCGGTATGGCGGTACCTCTCGAGATTATGGACGAGATGTCTGCCGTGCAAGGAGTGGAGGAATGGGAAGGGAAGGGGATTGAGGCGAGCGACGATGCGTGGAGAGTTGTGGTGGAGTGGCGCGAAAGGGTTTTGGCAAATCCTCCTCGCGTTGGACATGGGCCTGATCCTGTGAGTGTCAGCCGTATTGGGCCCTTCATTTTGAGCGCAGCTGACGATCAGCTATGAATTACCTTCCATTCAGCAAAGTCGTGGCCAAAGAACACTCGTACTGCTACTATAGTCGCTCGTGGTCGGTACCTACTCATGCATAGTCTGCCTGTTAGTCAGGCTCTGCGATTGCGATTGGCGGTCGCGTACGCCTCTCATTAACCCACTACCAGCTATGACTTGGTAGATACACCTTGTATAACATGATCTTGACTTCTGAGCAGACCCAGCCGTCTGGATATGCGCCTAGTAGAGGCCTAAAAAGGACGGGGTCTCAAGCTGCCGAGGTCTCGGCGGGCTCCACATCCGCAGCAACCGCTTCCCCGCGCCCGAACTGGCAGGCATGAACTCTGCCTCCTCTCCGCACCCACATCTCCGCAGCGCTCGGACATTTGCTCAACACCGAGGGGTTGGCGTTCTGGAAACACCAGAGTAAGGACCGGGCCATCGACAAGACCGCTCAAAGCCCCTCATCTCTACAGCTCCTGTGGGGCTTCCGCGAAGATTCGCCCGACTATTGAGGCTAACAAGATATCACGGGAAGAAAGCTTCTCAGAAGGCATCGGACTAGTCTTGGCCAATGACATGACGGTCAAACGTTAATGGCTCGTCCCATCCGTTGCTCTTGCAGCTTTCCCGAAGTCACCGATCTCCAGACTGCCATGTAATGCTATAGGCATGGTCCGCAAAAGCATGGATGAGAATTCTACCGATCTAACAAAATCCCCCGCCAACCTCATCCCTCATCTGTCCACCTTCGCTTCGGCCAGCCCTTCCTCCTTGACCGGCTTCACCTCCACAAACTCCACCGCACCAGTCACCGGATCTGTCCTCGCAACCAACTCCGCCTCCTCACCCACTTTTGCCTCCTTCGCCTCCTCGCCGGCTGGGCGCTCCACCGGACTCGTCTCCGGCTCGGTAACCAACGACGGGACGTCCTTGGGCAGTCGGACCGGCATCGGCGAGACAATCTCCACTTGGGCCGGTTGCGCATCACCCCCTCCCTCTTCCACCTCCTTCTCCTTCTCCGTCTTCTTGGGTACGGGTGGCGGACTAGCCTTCTCCAGGCCCTCCACCTCCCCCTTGCCCAACCCTGAACTCGGCCGATCCCCCTCTATACTCCTCCTCAACCCCTCTATACTCTGTCGGTCCGGAGTCAACGGTAGTGGAGGAGACTGCATTGGCTCCGTCTCCCGGTCCACACTTCCTGCACGGGTGACGACGCCCTTCAGGCGATTAGCCAGACTGACTCTGGGAGCGCGGATCGAGCGGACCGCCGAGGTGAATTCGGAGGTGGAGGGTGAGGGGGCTGGAGAGGGGGAGGCAGGGAGAGGCGGGAGGCCAGAGGGGGAGCGGAGCTCCGAGTGGAGGTGGGGCGGTGGGGATGTCATGCTCAGGTAGGACGAGGGTAGGGAGGTCAGGAGCGCGGTGGGCGAGGTGGAGATGGTGGCAGTTGGGAGAGAGGTAGGTGGGGCGGAGGGAGGGGCGGGCGGGGCGGGGGCGGCGGAGGTGATGATGGGTAATGGAGGTTCCGACGTTGGCGGAAGAGGAGGGGATTTGTCGACTGGGAGGGGAGGTGTAGGTGTCTCTGCCTCAGGCTCCGTCGGGGTGGCCGTGGCTTTAGCCGGTATCGACGGAGCCGAGACGTCGACGTCCGAATTAGGTTCGCTGGACTGACCACCCTCAGCCTCCAGAGCATCCGGTACGCTCGTCGCCGTCGTGGAAGCGGTAGTCGCGTCCGTCTCGCTCGATTCCCGACGAGTCTCGGTTGACACCTTGGGCGTCTCCTCCGCTGGTGCTGCCGCTGTTGCATCTGCCCCGCTTCCCGTCTCCTCTGGCTGCTCCATTGTCGACGCGTCCCCCGTCCCATTCGGCTGAGCAGGGGCAGACGGAGTCACCTCCCCATCCTCATCCCCATCATCGTACTCCTCTTCTTCCACCTCCGCCGCCTGGCCGCCAGCCACAGCCGCCGCCGCCCCATCCTTCTTTCCCCGCTTGAGCAAGTTCCCGATGATATTTTTGCGCGGGACCGGTTTATCCTTAACCAGCACTTCGAGACTCGAGACTGTTTTACCGGCTTCGGACAGCGGGGTCAGGCGGGCAGTAATAAGCGCCGCATCCTGCATCAAGCTATGATCATCAGCTTAGACCCAGGAATATCAACGGCAGCTTCAAAACAGGGAACGCACCGTTTCTTGGCATCATCCGATTTTAGCTCTATCCGACTATATTCCTCGCTTAGGCGATGCGTAATAGCCGCAAGTACCTCCGACATGACCGCCTAAAGTATCAGCTGTCTGCTCGTCCCTTAAGCGGGAAGAGTAGAATCACCTCGACCGTCGATGAAGCAAGATACTTGCCCAACACCTTATGCAGCGTCGCCGTCTCCTTGACCAGCAGCTCAGCATATGCCCTTGGAGCGTCTTTCTCAGGCGTGGCTTCCCAGTCGATATCCTGCCTTATGAGCTATTGGCCCCCGCCAAAAGAAGACGGCAAGAGTAAGCTCACTCTCAATGACCCCACATGCACCGCCAGTCTATCCGACATGATCGCGACAAGCTTCGCATGGATCTCATTCTGATGTTCTTGATAGTCCTACCCAAATCAGCTTTGCCCCCGGGGCTGAGTCCGGTCCGTTCAGCTGACATACCCGTTTCAACTTGTCAAACTCTGTAAGCATCACAGCCTGCTTAACGCTCAGATGTCGACGTATGAATTCCCGGATGTACGGTATTAACGCGACAATGACGGACAAGGACTGAGATGCAAGCGCTGCAGTGGTCAGCTTATCATCACTACGACAACGACGAAGGAGTAAACTAACCTAGATGCTTCGCGGTGATGTTTTTGAGACCGGCGGATCGCATGGCCCCCGCACCGAGGACGACCTGGCAAGTCCTGGAATTGAACGACTAATTCATCAGCTCTCTTCCCTACCCATCTCCGTCCCTGGACCCGGACCCAAACTGACCTTCAAAAATTCGATAATCCTGCCCATCACATCCGTGACCACCACCTCCAGATTAACCACCACGCCCAGATAATCTCTGAGCAGCCCAATACTCTCCGCCGTCGCGCGAACCACAAAGAACTTCTTCTCCTCCACATCCATCGTCTTGCTCGGTCCGCCCTCCCCGTTCACATGCCCATTAGCGAGGGGTGGTCTGGGCGGGATGAAGCATTCCGAGGGGTCCGAAACGGCCGCTTCTATGAGTATGTTGACGCTGTGTTGCATGGCCGGAGAGACATCGATTTGGTTCCATTGTTCCTCCTCGACGAGCTTGGCGGATTTGGTGAGCCGTTGAGAGTGGTAGGCGATGAGGAACGTCCGGGCCTGATTGTCAGCTCTGATACAAGCCTTTGAGGCGGGTGTGATAGGAATAGCTCACCTGTGAAGCCGTCACCCCTCTTAATGAAGCAATCATCCGTCCCGCCAGCTCCTCCGTCGCGAGCACAAACTCCCAATTCTCCTTGAAGAGCTCCACAAACTCATTGATACCCAGCCCCGCATGTTGTTCGCCTCGCACAGCAAGAATCTTGCTCGCGCGGAGGTTTCCAAGCTCGCATGCTGCAGCGATGATTTCCGTTTGGTCGATCGATAGGCTGGGCTGGTCGGTGGTGATTGGGTCGGACGGGACAAATGAGCGGATCTGGAGGGGAGGGAGTGGGGAGGCGGAAGTGAGGATGGAGGATAGGTCGGGGCCGATAGTCTGCGCAAGGCGGAGGCGGGCGAGGATGGACGAGTACATCTGAGTAGCAAGTAGGAGGTAGCGCGAGTGGTCCATCGATTTGAGCGCTCCAGCTAGGGTCGCCCTGGCAGTCAGCTTGGGCGGAAGGAGCTCATATGCGGATCAGCTCACCCCCGCATTTCCTGGGGCACATTCTCGTCCCCTTCATCTTCCCCTTGAGCGACCGGTAAGTGCTGGGAATCAGCTCATTCCCATTTGACCTAAGGGTGACCTACCTTTCTTGACCCCTCCCTTACAGCCAGAGTCACCACCTCACGCCAGACCCCTTCTACCGCATCCCCAGCTCCGCACCGTACCAGCCCCTCGACAATAGGCACGACATGATCTCTGAACCGTTCCTTGTCGTACGGGACGTCGAGCTCGGCCGAGGAGAGGGTGGAGAGAAGGTATGATTGTAATGCCGATTCGAGCTGAAGCGCTATCTGCGTCGTGAGGTCGCTTATCGCAAGAGGCATCGCCGATAATGACGGTAGTGTCGCCAGTGGCAAGGGATGTTGAGTACCCTCCCCCTCGTCATTCGGATCTGGCGGTTCGGTCTCCTCCTTCGGCCGATGTCTTTCCCACCACCTCACTACGTCCCCTACGCAGCCCAGCGCACCCGCCCAATCCCCACCCTCCACCTGACTTCTCGCTACCGCCATCACCTCCTCTGCTTCCCTCAGCTCCTCCATCCCCTGCTCCGTCACCCGCAACACCCTCAGATCCTCCATCTTGTCCAGAATAGTCAACCCCTTTCGCGCCTGCTTATCCCCCACCTCCCTCAGACCCGACTGGAGGTCTGCTATTCTCCGCAGACATGACGCCGACTCGGAGTGCAGGTCCTGCAGGTTCGACAAGGCCGAGAAGAACGAGGTGGACCGGAGGGTGATTTCGTGGATGAGATGCCGTTCCAGCGTGTCCAGATGGGAAGAGAGGTCGTCCTGCACGTTGGTAGAGTGAGTACGAGACGGACCGGCCTCGACGACTTGAGACCAGATGGCTGGGTCGGCGAGGTCAAAGTTTCGGCTGTAGAAGAGGTCAGGGACTGAGGTGAGGGGAGGGAGGTCGGTCGGGGCCGGAGCTTGATTGTCGAATGCTCCGGTGAGGACGTCTGAGGGAGCAGCATCCGCCGCCGCGCGAGACTGGACCAAGGTATCGTATAAGGGAGTGACAGCTTTGAGGTAGGTGTCAAAGTGAGAAGCTGGAGGAGGTCGAGGGACGGGCGGGGCAGGACCGAGTGGTGGGAGGGGTTTACGACTCGTTCGGAGGGGGTTGGCTTTTTTAGTAGGGTGATTCAGCACTGTTGATATAGCTATATTGTCAGCTGCTGGCCTGGAACGGTTGTACCTGTTAGCTGCATGGTCCACCGGACATACCGTAGAACCCCCTCTTATCCATCACTTCATCCCCCTCCTCGACACCCTTCTTCCAGCTGACGAGGTTCAGACCATGACCACTCGTTCCAACATCCCATTGAAACTCTCCCGATGTATCCAGCACGCTCGGTGCCGTTCCATCCAGCTCTGAGAGGAACGACTCGGACGGTGGAGGCGAGGAGGGCGCGGGGGTGGCCGAAGCGGATGGCACCGCTTGCGGAGCTCTCGAGGAGGAAGGCATGATGCGATCGCTCTCCGATCTCGCCAGTGAGATCAGGCGACAGTGACGCTCCGGACGATGTGATGTGCGGTGCTGAGCTGTCTAGCTCAAACACCTATAGAGGTTGTCGAAGATATAGCTGAATAGCTTGGTCCATCGCGAACCTCTTGAAGCTGTCGCGCGAAGTCGCTCAGGCACGCGCCGCGGGGTACCCATCGGCGGTCGCCGCCTGGGCCCAAGCATTATTTGACCCCGGAGGTTTCCTCTTTTTCTCCTTCGGCTATGTTTGGTTCCGGCTCTGGACGGCCGCGGCCAGATAGAGCCGAAGTTCAGCCGGCCGACGCGAATATTTCCAGTCAGGCCTTCAGGCAGACGACCACCTCTATCAGTCACCTCTTCATAGCTACAACCACTAGACGTCTAGTCTACCCACAAGGCTCTCCTCAGGCGAAACGCAACCTCAGCGGTCTCTGCAAGAGTACGCTATCTCGAAAGGAAACGACTCGAAAAGAGCTTACAAAGCAGTGTGCGGTGTTCTCGGTGTTCTCCTCCATGACCCCCTCGCGACTCAGACAGCTCAGGCTGGATCCGAGATGTACGTCCGCTGCGATTATCCGCAGTCAGTCCAAGGATCAGCAGCTGACTTCTCAGTGCTGAAGGTCTCTCGCTGCTCCAACATCGGTTTGTCCCTCCGAGCTGGTGATTCAGAGGCAGTCCTGATGAATCAGCGGTCAAGATGCAGCTGGGTGTGTGACCTGTGGGCAGGGCGGACGGTTCTACCAGGTCAAGGCGAACGGTATGGTCCGGGATGTGTTTGATGGGGCGTCCGTCGCTGGTCTCAAGGGATGGATGGGAGTCGGGCACGGTCAGTGTTTTACGTTGGAGTGGGGACGAAGGTGGCTGATGGGATAGTGCGTTACCCTACTGCGGGCAGTTCGGGACATGCGGAGGCTCAACCCTTCTACGTCAACTCGCCATACGGTATCGTCCTCGCACACGTGAGCTAAGATCTCCTGACGAAGGGCACAGGCATAGCTGATAGTTAGAACGGGAACCTCATCAACACCCCTTCGCTCCGCCAATTCCTGGACGCCGATGCGCACAGACATGTCAACACCGACTCGGACTCGGAGCTCATGCTCAACATCTTTGCCGATAACCTCCAGAAGACTGGAAAGTTCCGGTCAGTCAAGGGTCTCCCCCGTGTCTGGAGTGTCCGGAGCTGACCAAACAGTATCAACGAAGAAGATATCTTCACAGCTCTGCGGGACATGATGGTCACCTGCTCGGGCGCCTATGCCTGCGTAGCTATGCTGGCTGGTTTCGGAATCATCGCATTCAGGGATCCGAACGGTATTCGCCCGCTTGGCGTGGCGACGCGTCAAGGAGCACGAGGCGGGGTGGACTATATGGCCGCGAGCGAGAGTGTCGTAGCGCAGGGTCTGGGGTACTCGGACTGGCAGGATGTGCAGCCAGGTCAGTTGACGAGTGCAGATTGCAGCACAGGGACAGCAGCTGACAGTGCTAGGAGAAGCAGTCATCATTACCCGCGCCGGCGCGACCCGCCGGATCGTAGCGCCCAACAAGAAGTTCGCTCCCGACATGTTCGAATTCGTCTACTTTGCTCGGCCCGACTCGACCATCGATGGGATCTCGGTATACAGAAGCAGGATGCGGATGGGGGAGTTGCTCGGCGAGACGGCCAAGGCGGAATTGACCAAGGCGGGTTTGACGGTGGATGTTGTTATTCCGGTCAGTTTCCAGGTGTGCGACGTCTTCAAGGTCTACAGAAAGTTGATACCCCAGGTACCGGACACGTCGCGAGTCGCTGCGCTGCAATTAGCACAGTACCTTGGTATCCCGTACAGAGAGGGTTTCGTCAAGAACCGATATGTCGGGCGGACTTTCATCATGCCCGGTCAAACACAGCGGTGAGCTGCTTCGTACCGCATTGCTGCCAATTACGAGTATAGCTAATTCCCCAGGCGCAAGAACGTCCGGAGGAAGCTCAACGCTATTCCGATGGAATTCGCCGGCAAGACCGTCATGCTCGTTGATGGTGAGCCCTTCCCCCGCCCCTCACTCATCTTTCACTGACCCCTTAGACTCCATCGTCCGCGGAACCACCTCGAAAGAGATCGTCCAAATGGCCAAAGACGTCGGCGCCCTCAAAGTCATCTTTGCCTCCTGCGCACCCCCTATCCGCTTCTCCAACGTGTACGGTATCGACATGCCCTCGCGCCACGAGCTCGTCGCGCACAACCGGACAACCGACGAGATTGCCACCGAGATCGGCGCCGACCTCGTCATTTACCAAGAAATGCAGGATCTCGTGCGGTCCTGCCAGGAGCTCAACGAGGGGATCGAGTCGTTTGACTGTTCAGTTTTCAACGGAGAGTATGTGACGGGCGGGGTGGACGCGGCGTACCTTGATAGGTTGGAACGGTTGAGGAATGATAATGCCAAGGCGAAGAAATTGGGCAAGGGGCTCGAGGAGGCCGAGTTCCAGATTGAGGGGGGATGCGCGGGACCGATGAGTGAGTTGAGACCTCAGCTTCCTGGTGCCCCTCTGAGTTTTGGCTGGAAAGGGATGATAAGCTGACTAGAGCAGACGGGTCAGACTCGCTCATTGGCCTCGGGAACCACTCGCCCAAAGTCGGACCGACCAACATGCCTACACCGAACGACTCGGTCGGCCTGCACAACTCGTGGTTCGGCTCATAGCCTTAGCGCTAGCGCCAGGCGGGGATCAAGGAGATACATAGAAGAAGTGGGATCTAGCGGATATCTTGGACTGAGCTGTAACTTCTGTGGATTGTCGCTGTGCATAGCATGAATTGTCTAGACCTAGCTGCTCTGAATTCGGACACCGGCCACTGTCCAGCGTGCAGCAGCAAGCACTTGACGAGCGACTCATTCTCCGATTTCATACGGATTGCTCCAGCGGAGGGAAAGCGAAAACAGCCAGTACGAGACCAGCCAGCCAGCCACCTGACATAGACAACGAGATACCATGACAGATCGTCTAAACTTTACACAGAGATAGCTACCCAAAAGTAATGACAATTGTCCAAGAAAGATCCCCGCCCTCACATCGCCCGCCGCTTCGGCCTGCTCGTGTTCCACGCTTCTTCTCTGACCGTCATATACCCCTCTCCGCCCATCTTGGCCCTCAGTGAACACGCCGTGATATAGTCCATATCAAATCTATTCATCAGCCCTTTCTTCTCGACCATTCCGAGCCATTCAAGCAAAGGTTCGACTCACACAAACACCTGTTTCGGCTGGAAACTTACCACTTCCGCCCCACTCGAGACCTTCAACTCCCTCACCCACTCCTCCCCCAGTCCCATGACGCACAGCGCACCCAGATCTTTCAACCCCACTTCATCCCTCCACACCCTCGCCAATTCCCTCATATTCCCCTGCCGGATCCGCCGCTCCAGCTTGCGCGTTTCATCCGTCTCGGGCGCATAAGGTGTCGTTTTTCGGCGGGGCGTCATGGGTGTCGGCGGGGCAGCGACCGCATTGCCGACAATGACGGCCAACCGGGCGCGGTATTGTTCCAGAATAGAGTCGGGGGGTGTTCGACCGGAATTGACATCTTCCCAGATGGTATAGCATGCCTTGACGTGCGCTTGGAGGAGGGCGAGTTGGCGTGTGCTCTCTGGGTGAGGAGAGGCGGCGACGTACGCCTCAAGACCGAGGATACGGCCAGAGAGGGCTTTGTGGTCGGGCATGTCGTTCCGCGAGCCCGAGAACTCGGGGAAGGACGCGAGGACAGAGTTGATGCGTTCTTTGCCAATCTCGTATAGCTTGTCCATCTATCGTGTGAGCTGAGTTGTGCTGACTCATAAAAGAGCACCTGACAACTCACCACATACTGCCCCAGTCCGTGAGGCCGCTTGATCTCCCTAGTCGACCTGGGCCCATTGAACGCCTTGCCCTTCTTGACGCAACGCCACTCGACCTCGCCGTCGTACTCGTCCGCGTCACGCTTGAAGACATCCTCTCGGACTTGAAGACCGGACTTTCGAGCATCGAGAACTAGACCAGACCTGGCGGAGTCAGCTTTTACTCATCCTGCGTGCAGTTAAGCGCAAAGCAGCTCACATGCGGCCCAGTCGGACTGTAGCGGGATGAGAGACCCCGAGGGTGTACTGAGCATTCCCATGCCAGTCCGAGTCTGTCCAAGTCAGCTTGACAGCCCATATCACCACGAACTCAGCAGCTCACATTTCGCCGTCAACACATCCCCTCCCAGCCCAGCCAACAGGTACCTCTGCAGATTGACCACCCTGTCTTCTTCCCCCTTTCCCTCCAACCCCTCCAAGACTTCCGTACCCGTCACCGTCGTCTTTTCAAAATTCGCCTCAATGAACCCCGGCTCCGCCACCGCCCCCGCCTCATCCGCATTCTGAAACGGCCCCACCAATCCCGGGTCCCAATACAGCGTCACCGTATCCCCATCATAATCCCCTCCTGACAGATCCGACGCGGGTGATCTGGCGCACAATGCCGCATTGGCAGACATGACAATCACGTTTGGGAGATGCGCCAGTTCCGGCCGGTACACCGCCACCATCTTTTTGATGTCGGTGGGCAATTTGCACGGGACGCGAAGGGCGAGGACGGGACCGAGGAGACACCATGAGGGCTGTTGAGTCGCCGGGTCAATGATGAGTTGCTCGTCGGTGCAGATGTGGATCTCGTTCGGTGCGAGAATACCGAGAGGGTCGGGGACGATGAATGCGGATAAGGATTGGGGGACGGGCAGGCGGAACCGGTTGACGATAGTCTCGCATTGGAGCTTGACGAGCGATCGAAGTTTTCCGGCGGTGTAGGCGGATTGAGTGGGGTGGAACCCAGCGCAGAGGGGATTGTATAGGCTGACGAGTCAGCTTGCAGCCTGCCACAGACTTCTCAGCTGACTCACGCTTCGGCGATAGAGTATGGCTGCCCGCTGACTGGGCAAACATCATAGTTCGACAAAGCCTCCGAATGCGCCTTTAGCGCCAATGGCATATCCACCGCCGACAACCCCATCACGTCCTTCTCCTCCTCGTCCACGTCCTTCCACGTCAACCCCGCCACCTTCTGACTCTTCCCCTGATTCTTGCACTCGCGCTTCTTGGCATCCTGCCCCACCCCTCCTAACCTATACACATTCTCCCTCACTCGCCGCGCTGCATCCGCCTCGCTCTCGCCGGTTTGCGGGGTCGGTGCGAACGCGACTTTGAGCTCGTCCAGGACGTTCTCTTGCAGCTTGACAAAGACCGATTTGGGTACACCGCGGTCGACGAGGATAGGCATGGGCTCGGCGGATAGGCCGACGCCGACCTTGAGAGACGTCCATCGGACGAGGTTGAGGGTGAAGTGGGAGGTATCGCCGGCGTGTCGAGGGTGGACGAGGGCCTTCATGAGGGATGGGCGGAGAGCGATGTCGATGCCGGGGTACTGCTTCTCTTGCTCTTCGGTCATGACGATGAGCATGCCCTTGGAGCCGCCGAACCGGATCTGGATGGCGGAGGGATGACCGCAGGGCGGGGTGGACCCGTTCCGTGAGAGGAAGATGTACACCTGACGAGCAACATGTCGGGCTGTGAGTTCAGCTCAGTACGCTGTCGAAAAGCGCGAAGTAAGCTTACACATGAGACCGCAGCCATCGGTGAGTATCTCTTCGGTCGCTGGGTTGGCGGGATTTGGCGCAGAGGATGACACGACATCTGGGATGACTGTAACCGCCTTTGGATCCACGCTCATGATGGGGACCGAATCTGTGAAGAAGATCTGTAGACGAGAGCCCCACCTGTTTGTCAGCTTTAGGAGACCTCGATCCTGCCAGTGAGATAGCTGACTTGGCGATAGCTTGTCCGGGCTTTTGCTCCAGCGCATTGAAGCCTACTGTATCAGTCTCCTGATTCTCACAGAGATTCAAGTCAACGTACGATCCAATATCTGCGCAAAAGATAGAGCCTGCCCAATCTCCGGCCGGCTCGCAAACATCTTCGGCAGCACATCATTCGTTTCGACCGCATAAACTCGCTGACCATCCGGATGCGCCCAGAGCGCCCGGAACGGCCTTCCGAGCACCACCAGGACCGTCCCTTCCAGCAGCTCCCTCAGCTGCGCTTGACTCGCCTTGGGCGGTATCTTGAGGGTGATGACTCGACCAGGACCGAGCTCCCGTGCGATCCTGGAGGATTTCCCGGGCATTTGTGGCGGATCGAGGAAAGCGAGGAAAGAAGGCTTCTTTGCAGCCTGCGCTTTCGAGGCGATTCCGAGCGGATTGGAGAGGTCATCCTGCGGGCCCGCGCCCCGCCGGGCTGGTGTCTTGGGATCGACAGGTGAGGTGGGTTTGATATCTGGCGGTCGGATCCAGGGGGCAGATTCGTCCGGCCGAGGGTTCTTGGACCGAGCGCCATAGTGGTCGATAAGCACCGCGTAGGAGATTTTGCCGCCGTATGGACGTTCCCCTATCGGCACCTCCTTTCCTTTGCCTTTCCTAGCCCGGCTCAGCTCCTCCTCTTCCCGATCCACCTCGTGCCTCAAACGCCGGGCTGCATCGTTCTGCCCATACTTCTTTGCAATCTCCGCCGCTTCCGTGTCCCCCTTCTTGGTGCAGATTTCCTCTAGCAATGGAGCTATCTTGGCGGACGCAATCTCGGTCGGGCCGTCGAGCGATCCGAGTTGGTCCAGCCGGATATCATCGTACGAAAGACCGCAGAGGTTGAGGGCGTACTCCAGCTCCCATTGTGTATGGAAGCGGATATCGTGGTTGAACGCGAAGGCCTGATAGGGATTCTGGGGAGTGACGAGGAGGTACCGCTCGGCCTCGGCTCGGGGTGGGAGGGGGACCCATCGGTCGGTCTGAACGTCCGGTACAGTGGTGAACTTGGGGATGGGGGATGTCGAGCGTGACTTTTTGGCTTCGCGGGGGAGTTTGGATATCAAGAGAGGGGGAGGGAGGGGACCGAGTCGAGAAGCGCGGGATGGAGCCGAGGTGGACGCGACTGCTCGGAAGCTTTTGGTCAGAGGGGATTCAAAGGATTCGCCTCGTCGCTTGGTGGGGGATGTCTGTCGGGCTGGAGCGCTGACAGCGGCTTTGCGGTCATAGTCAGAAGTGAAGACTGGGTCGTCAGCTCAGATCGACCTGGTTCGGAGAAGAGGAGCTTACCATCACAAACTTCGTCCGGCTCTTCGGTAGCTACCCTCTTCCTCCCCTGCGACTCCCTATCTGCCTGACGCAGCGACTGACTCAATGAGTCGAGATCATACGCCGCTACCTCCTTCTCCGCCGCGTCTATCGCCGCTTCCATCCTCCACCGAAAGTCCAGCAAGGGACCGACGGTCCGCCGAAGCCCCTTGATCGGGGCCGGCCGGGGCTGTGATGTCGAGTCGGCGCGTTCCGCCTCCGATTTGGCAAAAGTGATGAATTGATCCGTGTACGTCTTTGAGAACTTGACGAGCGAGACATGGACGCGCAGAGCGGTATCTGAGGTCTCGACCGCGACTCCGAATTTCAGACCAACGTTGATGTTGTGCAAGATAACCCACTGTTTGTTAGCTGATGAGCGGCGTCGAGTGATGAGCGGCTCTCACAGCTGCCTGAAGCGGAGGGACCGGTTTAGCCTCCACCGAGGTAGCTCCCGTCATGATCAAGATAAGATAGAGCCAAGATAGGAGTAGGATGCAGTGTGAAACCAGAAATCAAGAAATCATGAGGCAGGCTGATGATAGCCGCGGAAACGCTCGGATGCCTCCTCGTGTAGAGCTGGGTCTACTTGACTACAGGTGCAGTCAGAAGCGTATCCTCTGCGCTCATGGCGCTTCGAATGCACGGACCGCTTGTGCTAGAGGGAGTATGGGAAGGAGGAGGTTCAATTGATTGAGCTTGACATCAGCGCTCAGCGCTCAGCGCTCAGCTTGCGCGCTATCTCGGGAACGCGACTGATTTCGGACTGCTTACCTCAGCATTTCCGATGTCATTTCGGATGTCACGTGACTGTCGGCGACCACCGCCCAAGAGTTGCCGGAATTACGCGTTACGGTTCAGATCTCGCTTATGATGTCATCATCACGCAGCGCGTCATACCCTCTCTGAGCGCAGCTCTGCGGTATACTAGAACAAACCCCCTTCCCTTGCATCAAGCTTCATCTCTCTCATCCATCCTTTTCCATTCACAGACAGACACTCAGCAGATATGTCCGCAATCCGCTCAGCAACCAGGGTAGCCACTCGGTCCATCAAGCCCACCGTGAGTCACGCCTCCGCTACTTGCTTGAACCCAGCTGACTCTCAGATCGCTCGCCGCAGCGCCAGCACCATCCCCCCTCCTCCCCCTGCTGGAGGTGTCCGACCGGTCGTGGTCAACACTCCCGGACCCAATGTGCCGCCACCCCCACTGGGCTCCGCGCCCCCTCCCCCTCCCCCTCCTCCCCCACCACCATCGGGAGGTGGATGTGAGTCTACTCTCTTCCTCAGAGCCGGGGTACACGCTGACGATCTCAGCGGGACTGATGTACGCTGCCATCGCTGCCGCCGCCGTCGGTCTCGGCTACTACTTCCTCGCCGGTGAGAGCAAGGAGGACCTCAAGGCCAAGGCAGACAAGATGAAGGGCAAGGCCGACAACATGCTCGGCAAGGTCGAGGGCAAGGTAAGCTCTTGCTTACTTCTGGGGTCGGGATGGCGCTGACCGTTCAGGCTCACGAGCTGTCCGGCAAGGCCCAGGGCGCGTACGAGGAGGCCAAGGGCGACGCCAAGTCCAAGTTTGCTGAGCTCAAGGGCGACGCACGGGGCACGTTCGAGTCGGCAAAGGGTGATGCCAAGTCGGCTTACTACGAGGCCAAGGGCGATGTTAAGTCGGCTGCCGCTGATGCTGAGAGGCGCGTCAGATAGTTGGATGGTCGTAGGAAGTAAACATCGAGCAGCATGTATACTATACAATACTGCCCCACCCGCCCCTTCATGCCCGGACACAACTCACTCGCCGCTTACGCTCCGGCTGCTGACCGATAGCTATCTCGAACCAGTAAGTATACTGCAAATATACACATTCTGCACACTGCCCATCTATCCACGGCGTACAATACAAGAGCAGGTGTCCTCTCGCGCCCAATCTATCAAGCAGACTTCACTGCGTCCGCCTGGATCCGAACAAGGTCATCCCGGGTAATCTGCTTGGTATCGCAGAGGGATCTGAAGATGGAGTCGGGACGATCAAAGAGGATGAGGGGACTGTCGAACTATCCTCATCAGCTGATTGTCTAGCTCAATTTAAGACTCTTGGCTCACCTTGGCTACCACTCCAGCATCCATGACGAGGATCCGATCATAGTACGCCACCGTTTGCAGACGATGCGCAATCGAGATGAGCTGTCGACTCGTGAGCTGTATGCCCGCTACTGGATGAGACTACTGACCGTGACGTGGGAGAACTCTGATTGAATGATTCGCTGAATCAAGGCATCCGTCTCTGGGTCGACAGAGGAAGTGGCTTCGTCCAAAACCAAGATCTTGCATCCCCGAACAAGCGCTCTCATCAGTGCCACTGATGATCAGTCCTATTGCGCATAGATCTGAATAGTACTCACACAGCTGGCGTTCCCCGGCACTGAAATTCGCCCCCTCTGCCTGAACGTCCGTCTCGAGTCTGAACTTGTCGCGCAGACTGCTCGAGGCGGCGGTATTGGCTGAAATGAGCGCGAGCGCGTTGTTGAGGTCGGCATCAGACTTCAGACCGGCCGGATCGATATTCTCGCTATGGGTCAGAGAGGCATCGGCGGATACTCACCGGACAGATCCGGCAAAGAGGAAGCTTTCTTGCGGGATGATGGAGAGTCTCGACCGGAGCTGCCTTCTCAGCTCATATACCTTGTATAGTATCGCACAACTCACAGTCTCCAGTCCAAGCGCGGCGATATCTTGGTCGTCGATGCAGATCTTGCCCTCCACAAGCTCGACGGTGCGATACAGAGCCTGGACCAGACTGCTCTTCCCGGCGCCTGTCCTGCCGATGATTCCGACTTTCTCTCCTGGGCGAATCTCGGAATTGAGACCTTTGAGGACCAGCGGTAACTCCGGACGATATCGCAGCTGGAAGTTGTCGAATGTGATGGTACCTTTGCTCGGCCACTGGGCAACGATTGGGTCGGTTGATCGGATAGACTCTCCCTCGCTCTCCAGTTTGGTGTAGTGTCCGACTCGCTCAACATTGTTCTGCAAGTCAGCGGAGATCATCTACCGGGACCAAGATTGACGGATGATTTGCCACTCACCATTTCTTGCTCCACTTGAGCGACATTGGGGATGAGATCTTGCAATACTGTTTACTTGTCAGCTGATCCAGGTGCCAGGCAGAGGTCACTCACCAAACGCGGCAGTCATGACATAGGTGAGAACGATGCCGAACCGGTAGGGGTCCGACTCGTCGCGGGTGGCAACACCGAAGATCGCAACCGCCTAAGGATCAGGTCAGTGGAAAATCATGCGCCCGAACAGTAGGACATACCCAAACAAGCAGCTGGCCGCCGCAGGCGATGCGAATGTAAAGCCAGCTTGTATGCCAGCTTGGCCTCATCTATCTTTTAGCCGGGGAAACACACCAGTTCATGCTCCACTGTTTGCAGAGGTCAGCTACTGCCGCAAGGGCTGCGAGAGGCATGCCGCGAGTCACAACTCACCCTGATCGCGGCCAATTTCTACATGATCAGTTATGACATCCGTCTACAAACATTGAAAAACTTACGCTCTGCTCATCCAAGGAGCTCTGCATCTGTAGCTGGAATCGAGCCTGCTTGCGGAACGCCTTGATGATTGCCAGACCAGCGTACTAGGGGCTGAGCGGGTCACAATCCAGCAGGACGCGAGCTGAACGTACCTGTTCCCCTATATTCCCAAATACAAAGCTGCGCATCACTGATTCGACTCGATTGATTTCACGACTTGTCTTCGAGTAAAAGACGATGGTGATGATCTGCGAAAAGCGGTCAGATATACCTTTCATAGATGTTGAGTTACCACTGGAACTCACTGTGAACAGGACAACCGGAATGAACGCCAGTCCAAGCCAGGGGTAGACGTAAACGACCAGCGCAAAAGTCCCAACCATGCTCAGTGAGTTGCTACAATTTCAGTCGGGGACGTTATTTGCTGAGCAAATCGCTGCTGCCCTACTCACGTTATACAGTGCCAGGTGACATCCGCCAGCCAGTAGTCCATAGTATACACATCTGAAGGTCAGTGTCCGCCTTGTGATGTATTATAGAGGGATGAGCGGTCTTCTCACCGCCTGAAAGCCGGCTGATGATTCTTCCGGTCTGGTCAATCAATCAGCTCTGATACAGGTTTATGATGCCTGGTCTCGTGAACGTACCGGGGTACGATCATGCCAGCCCGCCGGGCACCGCAGCACCCCCTGCCAAGCTTTCCCGAACATGCTGAAAGATGCGTGTAAAGCAAGTACGGCGAAGAGGCACGTGCTCAAAAACTGTATTTGTCAGCGCCGACTGACAGGCAAAGTATGGCGCCACTCACTAGACATAGAGCAAACATAAGTCCGATCCCTGTGATCTCAGCACTGTACCGCAGAAAGGAGGCGCTAAAGGAGACGCTCACCAGCATAGACACCCATATAAGCTCCCCTGGAGAGGTTGCTGAATCGGTTTCCGCCCCACCAACCCAGCCAGAGGATGTTGGCGATGGAGGCTATCTGGGCAATAACAAACAGCATGCCGAGCAAAAGCACCAGACTCCAGTGACCCATGTTGGCGACCCAAAGACCGTACGTCGAGAGGGCGACAGCACCGGTCTCGCGATCCTCCTCCATATGGAGCGCATCCCCTTCTTTGTCCGCAGACGCACCAGCTGTCTTCTGGACTTCGTCGATGGCGTCATCTTCTTCCTCCTTGGTAGTCTTGGACCCATACTCGTTGACCAGCGATCGGAAAGGACCGTCAATCATCATCAGATCCTACCTCGTCAGTCCGAGTGGGACCAGTGGATACTTTCAAGCCTACCTGATACGATCCCTGCTGCACGATCTGACCCACTTCGCCATCCCCCTGCATCATGAGTATCATGTCAGCCAGAGGTAGTACATCCAGGTGGTGAGTGACCAGTATGCGAGTCCGGCCAGCCAAGGGACCGCTGAGGATGCACTTGTGGAGGATGTGCTGCCCGACCTGTGCGTCCACAGCCGAAAGAGGATCGTCAAGAAGGACAACATCAGTATCTTCGTATGCCGCACGGGCCACGCAGATGCGCTGCCTTTGGCCGCCCGACAGCGTGATTCCTCGCTCGCCGATCTTGGTCCTGTGACTATCAGCAATCTACCTCGCTGCCGCTACCTTCTTGTGAGACATACAGATCACCCTCGTCCAGCTTTTCCAGATAAACACTGAGACAGCAGGCCTCCACCACCGCGGCGACCCGATCCAGATCGACGTGCGAGCGTTCGGCCGAGAAGGTGATGTTCTCGGGAATGGTCCCGGACTGTACCCAAGCATGCTGAGGGACTTGCCATCAGCTTATCGGTTATAGTTGTCGGAACATACCGTAGCTGATTGAACCACCGAAAGTGATCTGCCCCGAGACCTTTCGCACCTCATTGATCATGGATCCGAGCAGAGTCGATTTCCCGGCGCCCACTCGACCCACAATGCAGACCAATGCACCTGTCGAGAGTCAGTAACAGCTTCTATTGCGCGCACCGGGGAAGATGACTCACCGTGCGGGATATCGAGGTTCACATCTTTCAGTATGAAAGGCTCCTTGACACTCTCATTCTTCTCCGCCGTTGAACCCAGAGCGCCCAGGTCGATCTGGCTGGAGATTGGCGTACTGAGAGGCGATTTCAGACGTTTCTTCAAGTCCTCGAGCTTTGCGCCGAGATTGACCGCCCCCCGGACCGCTCTCTCGTCCGCGTGCCCCTGCGTTCGGGTGGTCTCGTACTGGAAACTTCCTTTGACGGAGACCGCGTAGGGTAGGTCCCGCTCGATGTTCATGTCGTCAGCTTGCTCTTCTGCCTGACTTGTCAGCTACATCTACAAAGCGGGCATACCTGAAGTAAAGTCCCAATCCGGCCTGTAAATCGGATCAGCCGTCATTCGATGAGCTGAGACGTTGTCGTCCAGACCTACGTGCAGAGATCAGGGCGTTAGCAGCGGCAGCGATGATCCGCGGGAACCATGCGATGGGCGCGCGCATGATGGTGAGGAATTGCAGGGAGGTGAAGAGCTTCCCGGCATCGAGAGGGTTTCCGGCGGCTGCGAAGACAATGAAAGCACCTGACAGTCAGATCTGGTACTAGGTAAGGAGCGGGTGCGTTCACTCACATACTGCGGCTACCGTGGGGATGAAGAACATGAAAGATCTGCTGATCGAGTTCATCAGCGTGATGCGCCGCATGACCTTCAGCTCTTCTTTTCGCTTCTCAGCGACTTTGAGGCCGAAGAGGGTCTCGTACGCATAGAGCTTGATGGTGCGAATATTGCCCACGACCTCCGTCAGCAAGGAAACACGCTGGTCCATGATGCCTTGGTGCTCATTGCGGTATTTAAGGAACCGGCCGAGAGCGAAAACTCCATTCGTCAGCATATGCTGTGCTCTCTAAGAACCAGAATATAAAGTACCTTGAACCGGGCCTGAGGCAGCAAGGATCTGAGCACTTCAGCGCGGACTCTCAGCGACATAAGCGCAAAAGCTGCTCCACTTACAGCCAAGGCGACCAGTGCTGAATAGCCCAGTTGCCAGATCAAGAGACCACACCCAACGATCAATTGCGGAATGAGCGCAGCCATGATGACTTGGTCTGCTACGGACCGTTCCTATGCATATCAGCATGTGACAAACACCTAGATCATATCGGAAACTCACAATTGTGGTTGAGTCAGATGTGACTAAGGCGTTGATCTGCCCCTGGGGAGAGTCTTGGCGGGCTTTGCTGGACAGGCGCCTGCAGTCAGCAGGATGTGCAAGCCGCAAACACCACAATAAGCTACCCACATTGTCTTCCGCGAGATCAAATCAATCACCTGAATGATCAGCACACTCTCACAAACGCTGACAAGCAGGCAGGCGAGACTTACCGCTCCCCGCAGGCTCAGACCCAATAGTCCGAAACGTTGCTCCCCGTGCGCTCTGAAGACTGAGCTGACGATGAGCATGACTAGTAAGGCGACGCAGATGCCAAAGGAGAATCCAAGTGTGTGGGGAGGGATCAGATCTTGGACAGACTGGCCTGATCCGAGAGCATCCCTGTATGCTTTGGCTCGCGTGAACTCATCGATCAGTACCTTGGACAGGAGCGGTGCCGCAATTTGCAGCATGACTCCAGTCATCAGCAAATGTGCTTGCAGATTGAGAAAGTCCGAGGGGTACTCACATGATGTCAAGACGAGAGCAATCGCTTTCATGACGTCAAGTCTTCCTGTCAAGAACAATGCCCGCCAGAGACTCTGATCGTACACCTGGCCGCCCTCCAGTGCGTAGCGACCAGATTCGATCTTATTGGATGTGCGCTTGCCGTACTTTGACTTGCTGTCCTCTATGGGAGACTCGAGTGCGTTGGAATCAGCGACAGGGGCATCTTTCAGCCGGTAGCCCTTCGTCCGTTTCGACGGTGGGAGGCGGGACTGGAAGTATTCTTGCAGTCGGTCAGCCACCTGAGCGCAGTCAGCGAGGTGGTCTGAATCCTGAGCAAAACACAGAGTACGGGCAGCGAGCTTACCGGCTTTGCGCGCAGAAAATCCTCGAGGTCCCACACATCTGTCTGTCAGCCAAGTCCTCGTCTGGGCGACACACGGACGTACCGGTCGCTTGTAGAGGCCTGGAGTATCCCAGCTTGAGGATTGGGGCGACCCAGAAGAAGAAGATGCGAGAAAGGGGGTTGACTCGCTTGCGGGGAACCGCCTCGCCCCCGAAGACAGCCGATGGAGCGGGAGCGGGGTGGTAGAGGGGGACTCGCATTGTCGCCAATATGTATGGGGGGCTGAGGTGCTGGCACTGTAAATGGGTGAAGGTCCGATGAGTAGGGTAGTGAGGGAATTTATCAGCTGGAGGGGAAAGAGATGTAGAGTAAGGTGGGTGGTCTCTCCTTGGCCACCTATATACCCTCCGCCCTTCGAGTCGAGTCGACCTTTCGACCCCGCTGCACAGGTCTCTCCTTTCATGCTCGATAGGCGCCATCAGATCTCCAGGTGTTTCACAAGTCGACTCAGTACCCGCCGCTTCCTTTCTTATCTTTTCGAAGCTTGAAACCAGACGAGCAAAGCCACCAAGGGGGTCTCTCGACAAAGGAGGCTGCAGAAGGACGTGCAGAAGCGGTCAACGACGCATCGAGTCTATACGTGTCAGCGTGCGGCAGTTTGCGGACGTCAATGGCCTCGTAACCTGGGTTGGGGTGCGGCTCGTGGGGCGATCGGACGATGAATTGAGTTTTGATCCAGAGATGAAGGTAGACCGGTGCGGTCCGCTGGGTGACCGATGCTCCGTCGGATTGTGGATGGAATCACATGTCGGACCATGTAGGCGCAACCTTGTCCCATATTACCGATATTCGGAATGACCGAAGCGATGGGCGGAAGCGGGCGAAGACGGATACCTGCGACCTCGAGCTTTACGCGTCTAGCCATATCTACGAGGCCGCAGAGATACCCGCTGGCGTCGTTGCCGTCCCCGCTCGGTCATGATCGGTCGAGGAGCAGAGGAAGGAGGCGGAGGTTCTGGGCCAGGACCTGCAGAGGGTGATGCGGCTTGACAGTGGAATGGCGGATGTTGTGCGCTGGTACCCCAGGCAGGACGCCCCACTATGTCCATGTTGCGGCTCATTGCCGCCGCCCTAGGTACTTTGGAGCAGAGGTCTGGGAAGGAAGGGCTGAAGGGTTTGGAGATATTTTCGAAGGGAAGGGACGGAGGTTTGGGAAGGGTCTTGGAGTTGAGGGATGGAGGGTTTGAAGAGGGTCTTTAAGTGGAGGGATGGAGGGTCTGGAGAGGAAGGTGCCGACGGTCCACACTATTCACGTCCACGAGAGAATCACCGGCGGTGAGTTGATCCAGCTTTGGATCAGGGACAATGCTGACCAAGCTCAGCCATCCGCCATCACTATGTTGGCGCTGAATGTATTCATAATATGGCCTATGAGATGAACACGATTATACGATGATTGTTCTTTCCTGTCTTCTTCTTCTGCTTCTGATCCACCTCTTTCCCCGAGATCAGAGTGACACGTACTAGTTGAGTCCGACCTTCTGCACGAACCCAATGATCTGCTGGTACGCAGTGTAGGCAGTGGTGTCTATCTTGTCAGCGTCATACGTGACTGGGATACACAGGCAAGAATGACTCACGGAAGTTGATACCGTGAGCAGTGTCCTTGACGACATAAGTGCTGAAGTTGGCACTCGGGACCGAAGGGAAGGATGCGCGGGCAGTGTCGAGCTGGGTCTGGCCGGCGCCGAGGGAGGTGACGGAGCAGTTGGCGGCGCCTGCAAGTCAGCTTGGACTAGCCCAGGAAGAGGGGATGGGAGATGACTCACAGAACGGCGCATCGTAATCACCGGTGATGATGAAGGTGGGTCGGGTGTAGCTGGTTCTGTTGAGGGCGTAAGGTCCGCCGATGGAGTCTGCGAGTCAGCACTAGGCATGAGATCAGAGAGAAAGGGGGACACCCACTTTGCTGGCCGAGAGTGTATTCGCCCTTGGTGGTGGTGAACTGGTCCAGCGCAGCCTGGGTATAGTTGGGGTAGCTGCATGTCAGCTACAGCTACCAGGCCCAGCGCAGAGATAGGTCACTTACTGGAAGAAGCCAAGCTGGTCGTTGCTGACGGTCGGGGTGATGACGTAGCTGTTGGGGAGCGAGGCGAAACGCGCGGGGTAGGCGACGCTGGCGATGGTGCTCATGAAGCCAGCGAGTCCGAGGGGACCCATGGTGACATTGGAGGTGAAGCCAGTGAGGACGAGAGCGTCAAAGACGGTAGGTGCGACCGAGGCGATACCTGCCATCATGATGGAACCGTACGCTGCTGGTCAGCCAGGCTCACGCCGACCAGAAGGTAAAGCTTACAGTGACCAACACCGACGATCTTGTTGAAAGCTCCGAGGTCGCTGAGCTGGCCAGCACGGAGCATCCGGCTGATGACAGCAGACTGAGCGATCTCGTAGTTGATCTGGACGGTCTGGAGTCCGTCAGGGTGGGCAGAGCGGCCGACGCCGAGACGATCGTAGGCCAGAGTGGCTGATGGTCATTGATGTCCTCCTCGACCTCAGAGATGAGACTCACCCCATCCAGCGGCTGCGGCAGACTCAGCGAAGGAGTTGCGGCCGTTGTCCAGCCTGACGTTCCAGTAGCCAGCGTTACCAACGAGACCTGCATGTCAGCTCGGTCATGACGAAGGGGAGAGGGCAGACTTACCGTGGTGAGCTTGGAAGATACCGCGAGGAGCGCCGTTGGTGGGAGCGCAGTACTCGAACCACATGCTGTAGGTCCCAGAGACGTTGCGCATGGGTGCAGCAGCGAGCATGGCCGCAACGTTGGATCCGGCACGGAACTGCGAGATGGATGACTCGACGAGGACCTGTTGGTTGGCGGGCCTGCAGGTCAGCTCACGACTCTCCACATACGGGGTCAAGACCACTCACGCTCCACCGGTGACAGCGTTATAGTCGTAGTTCATCGCCGAGGCAGTGATGTCGGCGTAGAAGCTCCTGCAGACAGCTGCTCCGCCATTGTTGCGCTTGACCTCGGTGACGGGTGAGGCGACGACGGCGGTAGCTGCGATGAGCGGAAGGAGAGCTGAGACGAACATAGTGATGGCTGATGGGATGGTGTTGAGGGATAAGTCTGGGCAGGGGGAGCTCCAACGGCGGTCCTTATACCATTTCGGCGGGTAATGGGGAGGACTGAGACAGCTCGCCTGAATCAGCTTAGCCGGGTTATACGTAACGCCTTCCCGATCAATGATGCATGACCGCGCTAGAACCGTTGCCGATGCCGGCGATTATGGCAAGACCTCCACTCTACACATACCTTTGAGTGGCTGCCTGGAGCTGCCCGGAACGCGCACAGTCGGTGCCTTGCCAGTGCCACATGCTCGGGCCCTCCTGCGTCGCCCTCTGGCGTTTTTAGACCGCCGCGATCCGCTTCTGTCCGCTCGACTCCGAGGCCGATGGGGAGAGGCTGACGGGCGTCGCAAGGCGTCGTCAAGGCGTTCCTTGGACCTTGATAATTGATAGCCCGATTAGAGCAGGATGTCGAGAGCGGGTGGAAGAGATTCGTTACCCCGGGTCAGACCCCGGACTCGTCAGATCGATAAGATAATACATGCTGACACTATGACGTCAGTGAGTGCTCGGACCGCTTGCGCACAAATTCATCGCCCGCCTTCCACAACGGGGCCTGACTGAGTCAGTGATTCGTGAGGAATAGCTCGTGCTCATGATCAGAGACCTACCTCCGACCACGACAATGATGAATAGACCCACGGTCTGTATACACACGAGTAACGCATATCCACCAAAGCCCCTCGAGTTTCAGATGCTCAACTCTGAAACGCGCCTGCCCCGTGCGCAGCGGAAGCTAATTTCTCGTCCACTCCGGCCGGGGGTCCCCTTTGAAACGTGCTGCCTATCTGATATGCCCACCCACGTCCTCTACCGCACACACTCCATCTCCTCGATTACGTCCGCCGCCCAGTCCGCACACTGAGCCTATTCGTCCATCTCCGCGACGTGCACGAGGAGCGGTAGTCACCGTGTTCAACTAGCTCACCCGCTCACCCGTGTTTCAACCCCGCACTGAGGGCGATCAGAAAGGCAGGTACACCTGTCAGGCACGAGGCGTCGAAAGGGAGGGACCAGGTCAGGCCTGTCAGGTGATAGCAGTACCCGAGGCGAGCGCAAAAAATCGGTCCGCTATATAGGAGTCGGCGGCATCTACCCTCTCGAACTCTACCCGGCCCCTATCTATCTAACGACTCGACTCCGCGATCAGCTCGATCACCAAATCCTTCAACCCCGCGCGTCCCACCTTGACTGCAACTAAACCGTCACGTCCAGCCGATATGACCGTGACTATGATGGATCTTGGCGATCGACCCGCTGTCGCGGCTGTCAAAGCCGGCGGACCATCATCGGACCCAGGAGTGCTCTGTCCACCCCAGAAGTTCGACTACAAGGTATGTTTGGTCCCCCTGTGCGCTGATCTGCATTTTTCATTCTCACCTCACGACGCCCCACGCGGCTTACTCCCTCTTGTCTCCCACCGCGGACATTTTGACCAGTGGCTGACGCTATAGATCGTCAAGGGCTTCTTTGTTCAGAACGACCCATCCATCCCTCGCGTAGCATTTGAGCCCACCCTCGTGAGCTTCCTCAGTGCTTGTCATCGAGTACAGCGGCTGACAACTTAGCTTGAGCGAAACTTTGGACTGGTCGATACCTCGCCTGAACGCTGGGCGAACCTCGACCGTGATGTCAAGCGGTTACAAGCGGACGCCGAGGATGGCGTGCAGTACAAGGTGTTCTTCCTAGGTGAGCTGATTTGATCGCACGTGACTGGCGACGGGCATCTAGCTGACGAGTAGGTCGTCATGGTCAAGGATGGCACAATGCCGCAGTAGACGTTATCGGCGTAGATGTGAGCTGTCTTGATCATGCTGACGGTTTGACGTGGGGATAAGCTGACAAAGCAGCCATGGGAGGCGTACTGGACCTTTCAATACGGCAACGACGAGTTCACCTGGGGACCCGACCCGGAGCTCACTCCCGAGGGGATCAGACAAGCAAGAGAGGTCTGCAAGGTGTGGAAGCGGGAGAAGGAGTTCGGCGCGCCTGTCGACAAGGAGCGGATGAAGTGGTCAGTGCTGTCTCCGAACTTCTCGTGTCGCCGAGCTGTAGCTGACAGTCAGGTATGTCTCGCCATTGACGCGTACGGGTCAGACCATGCAAGAGAGCTTTCAAGAGCTCTTGACGGGTGTTCCGGAGGTATGGGAGGACTGGAGGGAGATCTACGGAAGTCATACTTGTGATCTGAGGTCCACTCGGGTATGCCCCATCCCTCGGTAATCGTCCAAGTAAGGGAGGTCGCTGATCCCTCAGACACAAATCGCCGAGCGATTCCCAACCTTCATGATCGAGAAGGGCTTCGCCGAAGAGGATCCCCTCTGGACGGCCGACTATCGCGAGACGGACAAGGAGATGCAGATAAGGTCGAGAAGGGCATTTGATCGGGTGTTCAGCGAAGGAGGGGCGGAAGAGCTGTGTAAGTCCCAAGTCCGCTTGAGAGTCGGTCACCTCAGCTTGAGGAGATATGGCTGACCCCATAGATGTCTCGATCACCTCTCACTCGGCTATCCTGCGGAACGTCCTCGCTGTCCTCGGTCATGGTCCATACCCTCTCCAAACGGGCGAGATGATCCCGGTCGTCATCAAGGCCACGCCAGTCAAGCAGGAGCAGAAAGTCAACGGAAGGAGTGGGACGAACGGGACGAACGGTCCTGCCGACACGAACAGTAACGGGGTGAATGGTCATGCGGTCAACGGTCAAGCCGGCTCGAACGGTCATGCCTACACCAATGGCGTCAACGGTCACTAGGGTATGGGAGCGGGTTGGCAGAGGAGAAAGACGGCCGGTGAAGACGGGGCAGAGGCGGAACGGGCAGATTCGAGGGGTAGTCAGGTACTGGATGACAAGGGAAAAGGGGATCTCATACTATCGCTGGCTCGGTACAACATCTCTCATATCATCAAAAGCCATCATAGGCAGTACACATCACTACATGCATTTCTAGGACCTTGACAGCTACACAGCAAGGGAGGGCAGGGTATAGTAGCAAGGTATGCATTGCAGACTGGATCTGACTGCCAAGCCACCTCCACACCGGTTGCCGATAAGACCGAAGAAGAGGCGCCGCGGGGACCCATGGCACGAGGATCGTCATGCAGCCATGTCTTGGATCTCTCTTGTCACATTCATCTTGAGTCTTGACTCAATAGCACCGCGGCGATACCGCGCACCTCATTCGACAGCCTGACGTTGATCGTTTGCATAAATAGCAGGACTGTGTCCTACACCACCTCGGCCTGAACACTCAACGGTCGAGATCGAAAATCCTCTGGATCCCAAGATCTCTCGGCTGCCCTCGGCCTCGTGCCTCGTGCCTCGCCCTCGCTCAAAGGACCTTTGGATCCATCGGCGTTTCAATCTGACACGCCCGGGTCATTATCGTCGATCCGAACAAAGGAAACGATCTGCGAGTGGAGCTCTGCCGGGCTTGAGCATCGCGAGAGGAGGCGAGAAAATCAGCTCGTGCTGCTTTCTGGCGTCATCCATCGGTCCTCACTTCAGCGTCTATCTGGGAGATATCATATCTGAGCTTCATCACCATGTCGAGCTCAGCGTCCTCAGTGGTGTCCGCCTCCCCTTCCTCCTCTCCCTCGCCCTTTACCAACAGTAACCAGAACAGCAGCGGAATGTACGTTCCTCTTTCCCTTCGTCCAGTTCGCCCCTCCCCCATGTACCCCTCCGTCGCTTAATTCCTCGCTAACGAACAGCTCGTCCTCCCTCTACCTATTCACCTTCCTCATCACCGTCCTCGTCCTGGGCGCCATATCCGGCATCCTCCTCTTCCGCGCCTACTACGTGCGACGCCGCTATCAGGCCCAGGTCGAAGAGGCGATCCGCAATAATCAGCCGGTGCCTGTGCAGGCGGCGCGGGCGCTGGGGCTTTGGAGGCCCGAGAGGGGCAGAGGGGGAAGAGGGGGAAAGCCAGAAGAGAGGTTGGGGCCGATGCCGGGCATGTGGGAGGTGGAGATGGTTTTGGATAGGAAGGCGGGGGATGTGGCGACGGAGAGCAGAGATCGGGATGGTGGCGGAGATAGGGGGCTGAGAAAGTGGGACGAGTTTACGGTGAGTCGCAGGACCGGGTCAGCGAATTCGGGGTCGGACGGTGGAGGTATTGTGGGTCCGATCTGCAGGATTCAGCGAGAGAAGAAGCATTGATGCTGGAGCCTGGAGGGGAGGGGTCGCTCCATACGCCGTCTTCTCCTCCCTTCATCTTTCTGTACCGTCGAGTGACCGCTTGCGCCATGACTCCTCCATATAGTCCAGGCTGATCTCCAGCCCGTCTCCGTCGTCCACTTCCCCTCCAACCCAGACCCGGAACCCTTCATACCCCAATACATAATCCCCCCACCCACCACCCGCCGCTTCACCCCTTCCTGGGTACCTACACGGCGTCCCTTACCGCGCATAGCCGTCCTCCCCGAACAAACCCTCGCCAATATACCGAGGGCCGGACCAAAATATACCATCCCGCCTGCAGGGGAAGAAGTGACTGTGGGGGTGTTGATCGCGTTACCGTTCGAAGAAAAGGCGGGGAATCCGTGGGAGAGAAAAGACGATGATGGGGAGGGAGAAGTAGAAGGAGAGGTTCCGCAGGTGCTGTTAGGGGTCGTAGCGGTCAGAACAGAATGAACGTCCGGAGCCAGGTCGAGATGATCAGTATTGTAGAGTATATTCTGGATACGTATGTATCGGAACCTAGCATACATACAAGATGGTCTCATTCAGGGCACTACTTCTACCTCTGCAATGTCCTACTTCATCTTCAATGGCGACGTCTCCGGTTCAAGCTGACTCAGAAGTTCTTTGAGCTTCTGTACATCCTCCGTCCGCGGCATGCCTGAGTGGCTCGGTAAGAGCTTGGTCTGCGAGTTCTGAAGATCTTCCATGGCCAGCCAGCTGTGCGTGTTAGCTTTCCTCCTCACCGTCCCTCGGTTCCGGGCGATGCAGCTCACTGGTCAAGTTGTGTACGTAGTGATTTCGCCTTTAGCCGGAAGTGCGAGTACATCGCCTGTTCATCTATATGGTCAGCTAACCTATCTCTCATTCAGCTAGTCAAGGCAACTCACAAGGAAATGTAACCTTCCCATCCGGTCCCACCTCTCCCTCACCAGACTCCAACTCCCTCATCCGGCCATACAAAAACTCCTTCTCCTCCCTCTCATCTTCGAGCTGATTCCGCAGCCCATTGATCTCCGTCTCGAGTTGTCGTACCCGCTTCATATCCGGACCGGGACTGGGGTAATTGGCGTTCGACTGGCTCAGACTGGAATTGTGCCGGCGGGACGGGGTGAGGGGCTGCGAGTCAAGCTTCCGGAGTTGCTCCGACATGTCCTTCCCAAGTGCGTCGTGCGACTTTTCGAGGCCGCGCAAGAGGTCCGCACGGGAAGGTGTGCCGGGAGCGATGGGGGCAGGGAGGTTCTCCTTGGGCGGGTGACGGAGGGTTCGGTGGAGATCCGCGAGTTCCGCTTGGAGCTTTTGGTTATGCGCCAAAGTCGTCTCGTGCGTGTGTTTGAGGCGCGCATAGTCGTCCTCTTTCCGAGCGAGCTTGGCATCCGCCGAAGTCGACGAGAACCCCGACCCGCCTGGACGAGATGACGCCAGCGTCTTGGTGGACAACTGTCTCCGATAATCCGCCACATCCACCTCCAGACTCGCCACCTTTGCTTCGGCCGCCTTCCGTCCCCTCCTCTCCTCCTCATACGTCGCCGTCAATTCCTTTTCTTCCGGCGACATCGATACGCGCGCCTTTCTAGCCTCCTTGCTCTTGCTCACCCGAGCCACCTCGACTTGCCGCTGCAAGTCCTCCATATCCCCCTGCAGACGGTTCCGCTGCGCCTCGAGATTCTTCAGCAACCCATTGAGCCGCCGGTTCTCGCCCACCTGCTCATGCAGCTGCTTCTCGGCATACTTCTTGGCCGACTCGAGGACGTGCACGTGCTCCACGATCGTCTTGTTTTCGCGGGACCGGAGGAGAGCGATCTCCTTGTCCCGCTCCTTGATGTCGCCGGTGAAACGGAGTATTTCCCGTTCTGCCTCCGAGACGGCGTTCCGGAACTCGGCGAGCTCGAGCTGAGAGTGTAGGAGTTGCTGCTCAAAGTGTTGCCGCTTCGCCGACTCATCGACGAGCTGCCGGGAGGTCGAGTCCATCCGCTGAACCCAATCCGCCTTCTCGGTTTCGATCTCCAGTACCGCATCTTCGAGATTCTCGTACTCGATTTGCTTCTGGTTGAGCTGTTTCGAGAGTTGCTAATCTGTCAGCTAGCTGCTCGCTGGATATTCGAGTACCAACTCACATCTCTTGCCCCTTCTGCTCCCTTCAACTTCCTCTCCACATCCCCGAGACTCTCCCTCACCCGCTTCAAATCCGCCTCCACCGCCCTCTTCTCCCCATCTGCACGCTCCATCCGCCCCTGCAGACTTTGCATCTCCTTCTCTCGGCCCTCCAGCGCCGCCTTGGTCGCCTTCAGGTCCCGATCCGCCGCCTTCCAGTTCCCCATAATCCCATCAAAGTCCACGCGCAGCTTATTGCTCAACTGCTGACTCTGCTCCCGCTGGCTCTCCAGCGCATTCTGAGCAGCCGTCACCTGCTCCCTTAGCCGAGCCATCTCGGCCTCGCGGGACCGGTCCGCCTCTTGCCGCTTGCTATCCTCGGATGACTTGGCGGCCATGACTTTGCGAAGGTCATCCAGCTCCTTCTCAAGCTTTTGACGGGCCGAGGCATCGACAGCCTTCTCTCGATCCCGAGCAGCGAGGTCGGATGTGAGGGTCTCGATGCGATTTCTGAGTGTGGACTGGGCCTGGTCGGCGATTTGCTGAGCCTTCGCACCGGCTCCGAGCTTGGCTTCCAGATCGGCAATGTCGCGCTGCTTTGACGAGACAGCTGCCTCGTGTCGCTTGATCTGCTGGAGAAGGTCATCCTGTTGGAGTCTGGCCCGCCGGATCTCCTCGTTGAGAGTTGATACCTGTGTACTGCCAGATTCCCTGCTGGATCAGCTAGGTCTACTGTCACGGGAGGATGAACTCACGCCTTGCCCTTCTCCAGCTGCAGTCTCTTCTCCGCCTCGGCCAGACCCAGATCCGCCCTCTCCTTAACCCTCCGCATCGCCTCTTCCTTCTGCGTCACTTCCCGCCGGAGACCCTCAACCACCCCCTCCAGCCCCTTCCTCTCGCTCTCCATCTTCCCGAGCACCCCTGAGCGCTCCTTCGTTTCCTTGAGCAGCTCCCCTTCTCTTGCCCGCCACGCCTTGCCCTCCTTCTCCAGCAATTCCATCTGCTTGACCAGCTGGTCATACTCATGCTGTACCGCCGAGAGCTTCTCCCTTGCCTTCTCCGCCGCTAAAATCGCAGCCTCCCTATCGCGATCTAGCACGTCCACATCCGTCTCGAGATTCTTGATTGTCTCTTCCAGCTCCGCCTCCCTCTTTTTGCTCCGCTCCAGCATCCTATCCTTGTCCACTCCCAACTGCCTTTCAGACGAAAGCTCCACCTCGACCTTCTCCTTGGCGAGCACCAACTGTGCCTTGAGATCCTCCAGCCTCTTCTTCTCAATGACATCCCGCTCCGCCCGCTCCTTGGCCATCGCCAGCTCGGCCTGCTTCTTGACGAGCTCCCCGTCTGTTCTTGTCGCAGCGAGGAGTGGCCGGACCTTGACGTACAGGCTCCACCAAGGCCAGTCCCGGAGCTGGATGTACACGCGCGCGTTCCGCTGTATCGTTCGGACCGCCTGCGCCCGGCCGATGAGCTTGAGTATGCGACGGCGGGCGACATACATCCGCGCAGCCGACTGAAAACGGCGAAACACATCCGTGAGGAGGTTGTCCCGCCTCTCCTCCAGATCCGCCAGCACGCCGGCTTTGAAGAAGATCTTGGTCGCTCCGATCTTGTAAAAGTCCTTTTCGATCTCGAGGGCGTTGGCGATCTTTTCCGCCGCTTTCCGGCCGTCCATGTACCCCTTGGGGATGACGCCGGGGGTGAGGACCTCATACCGCGTGCGGAACTCGGCAAAGGAGTGTCGATTGGGGTATCCGAGCCGGGCGATACGGATACCCTCGAGGACACCATTACACCGTAATTGGTCGAGGACGAGGTTGACCTCGACCTTGCCCGCCTTCTTTTCGCTATTGGGGACGATACACCGGACGAAATGTGGCTGAGTCGCTCCGAGTTGCGTCATGAGTTGACCGAGTTGCTCCTTGTGTCGTTGTCCGACCGTCCGGAACGCTCCCCGCTTCACCTTCTTGACCATCCCCGTCGCCTCCTTGTCCTCCGCATACTCCGAGAACAACGCAGCTACTGCCGGTATCTCCGAGACCGCCAACAACCGCGCCACCGCATCATTGATGGGGTCCTTGTTCTTCTCCAACCACCCTTCCGTGCGATACTCGACATCCCCCGCATAGTGCTTGACGACGAATCCGGTGCCGAAGCGCGTGTGCCGGATCTTGGCCGAACCGGGATGAGCATCCTTGCTCCCGCGTGGCGGATCCCAGATCTGCTGCACCTTCTCCGTAAAGGTAAGATCCGTCGCGCGAGGCATGATGCACTCCTCATCTAAGCACGCGAGGATACCGACCGGCTGACTCGACTCGATCAGCTCAATGGTGGGTTGGAGGTCGAGACCGAAATTGACATAGTCCCAGTCGATCCCTTCACGAGTGTACTCCTCCTGTTCGAGGGTGAACATATGAAAGTTGAAGAATTGCTGGAGCCGCTCGTTGGTAAAGTTGATGAGGAGCTGCTCGTAGCTGTTCTCCTCGAAGATTTCGAATCCGGCGATATCGAGAACGCCGATCGAGAGGGCTTTGGCGCTGGGTCGATCGAGGGCCTGGTTGATCCGTCCCACCATCCATCCGAATGACTTCTCGTACATGAACTTGCACAGCGCCGCCAGCTCATCCTCCGCCTGCTTCTTGGTCCGGGCCTGCGTGACCCACTCCCGTCCAGCGCGGACTTTGGGCGAAAGTACCGCCCGAGTAAAGTCCTTGACGGGGATGGCGAGGAGGTGGCAGATCTTGTCGGCGGTGGATTGGGAAGTGGGAGGGAGGAAGGCTTGGTCCGAGGAGGAGCCGGTGAGGACGAGATTACCGATGTGGAGAATGACCGCCAGGACTCGGAAGAGCTCGAATTGCTCGGTAGTCGAGAAGCCGACTACGCCCATCGCTTCCTGCTTGTCAGTCGAGTCAAGTAAGGGCTTACCTTGAGCAGTCTCCATTCCTCCAAATCGTCCACCCCGTCAATCTCCTTTCTGCTCCCCTTTAAGAACGCGTACTGATCCGGTCCACCTTCCAACAGCAGTTTGTCTGGGAATCAGCTTCGCCCTATACAAGTGTAGAAGCTGACTCACCGACAAGCTTGGCCTCCTTCGCTCCCCTCAGCAACTGATAGAACACATGGAAGCTCCTCTCCCCTGGCGCCCGTCTCGTCACCCTACTCTTCTCCAGCAGATACCAATCGATATTCGCTCCAGCGATCGCGCCACTCGGATTGAAGAAGATCCGAATGAACTTTCCGAACCGGGACGAATTGTTGTTCCGCATCGTCTGGGCATTTCCAAATGCCTCGAGAACCGGATTGGCCTGCAGGATCTGGCGTTCGAGGAGTCCGAGAGCAGAGTTGGTGGATGCGATGGAGAAAAGGTCGATCTCCTCGGCTTCCTTGCCTTTGAAGGAAGAAGAGCGCGGGAGACCGGACATGGGTGCTTTGGAGGTGAGGGATGATGAGGATGAGGAAGCGGGGATGGCGGACGCCGGGGGAACTGTGGCGGTGGCGATGGCAGCGAGATATTGAATAACCTTCTTGGTGTTCTCGGTCTTTCCAGCTCCAGACTCTCCCCTAGGTGGTCAGCTCAGAGATCGTCAAGCGCAGCTCGCAGACGGCTTAGCTCACGTGATAAGGATCGACTGGCTTTCCCTTTCTTCCCCTATCTGCTGCCATGCCCGCTCGGCCACCGCAAAGATATGCGGCGGATTCTCTTCCCTCCGTTTCGTCCGGTACTGAGCAATCACTCGAGGGGTGTAGATCGGGAGGTTCCGGTAGGGATTGAGGGAGATCAAGAAGAGCCCAGAGTATGTCTGTCAAGTCAGCTGAAGGTTCATCGTGATAGTCAACCAAGACAAGCTCACATATATGCTACCCCCGCCATAGCGCATCTTCAAGTTATTGATAACGCTCGCCTCATTCAGATGCGTCAAGTCGGCGATATCGTCTACCGCATCGAATTGGGGAGGGTTCATAGGCGCCAGGGAGAAGAAGGGGACCGTGCGGGTCTCGTTGGACGAGGAGACGACGACTTCGGCCGTCGCGTTTGGGTCTGACTCGGACTTGGGAGGCGTCTTGATCCATCCTGCGAGGAAGCCGTCCGCTGTGTCGGGTATCCATACTCGTCTGACGTGTCAGCTTGACTCGGAGCAGCAGTCCTCTGGCTAGCGAAAGTTCACCTCTTCTCGTTGAACTCGGCCTGAGCCGCAGCGGTAGTAGCCGCATCCTTTGTCGAGCGGCGCAGCAGCTTCTCCGGATCCATGTTGACGAAGGCTGTCGGCAGGGGCGATGAGCTGAAACGAAGGCAGAGTGATAGCGATGAGAGGAAGTCGAGTGGCAAAGAAGAGAGAGAGAGAGGCCCGAGCGGATTTGTTTACGTTTGTCGGAATGCGATTCGGAATGCTTCGCAAGCGAGGAATCGTTCTTCCGATCCTATAGGATCGATTCGCGATCGTTCTAGCCGCCGCAGATCTTGGATCCCGCAACAGAGTCGGAGTCTGTAGGCGAGTATAGTGGTAAAAGCTGAATAGGCAACCCCTTTCTTGCTGCTCGTCATATGGGGTTCGCGATGAATGCGCGACGCGCCGGGTTTGGTCCCGTCATCTCAAACAAGGTCCCTTCTTCTCTCGTAAGAAGCGTGTTTCAAGTCGTGCCTGAAACGCCACTCAAATGCTGGGCGGGAGGAGGCGTGCTCGTCATCTTCCCATCATCCTTGTATATATCACGATGAACAGGCGGATTATCCCGACTATCGAGGCACTCGAGAACAGCACTCCTCCACTACCCCACAATGACCCTCTCCTCATGATTGCTTCGCATGGCGGAGGGAGCTGGGGCTTCGGAACCACCCCCATCGCCGACAGCCCAGAGACCTATATTGCCCTCCTCCAGCCCGCGATGCGCTTCGCTCAGCGCTTGCTCGTCCACCCTCATATCATCGCAAAAGCGGTTGCCATCATCTCCGAGACGCCCAAGCCCCACCCAGTCGTCGAAAAGGCCTTCCGATGGGTACTTGGTCCTACTCGATAGGCGATATCGTTGAGCGAGTACACCAGCTTAGAAGCTGTCGCATGGTTCGTCCGTCCTCAGCAGTCCGATCTGGCGGATGTCTATACTTTGGAGGAGTTGACCATCATGCTGCACAAAGGCGTGAGTATTGCTTCAATGTTCCGTTCCAATCAGAGAGGGTGTCTAACACAGTAGAACGTCGAGCGGCTGAGGCGGAGTAAGGAGAAAGTCGACGATGAGCCCGGGGTATCTGGTCGGCATCTCCTCTCCACAGCGATAGCCATGATTCATGCCCTGGTCCCTGCTGCACGGACACAGGTACGTATACGTTACTGGGAACTCTATCACTATCGAGCATTGTGCTGATCAATCAGGTCTACTGCCTTCTGCGGGGCTCGCCAACATTCCATATCCCTTACTCCCCAGCATTGGTGCCTCTATTGGCCACGAGCAATGCCAGTTTTGAGCTGGATATCCACTTACTAAGGGGGTGTCATGGGGGCTGGTTGGCGTTACGTTCCGGCGGCGGCGGGTCAGTCCGAGTTTGAAAGAGACTCGCAAGTGCCAGTCTTTCTTGCGGAGGCTCTACAGTCTACAGTAACGGCTAGGAAGGCGTTCGTAGACTCATTGAAGGTAGGCACCAGACCAGCATCGCAGGGTGACTGTCTATTACTGATGATCCCAGGATAAAGATATCGATTTCCTCGTCGTTCTTCAGACCGGAGCTGCCGATGGCGTCTTCATCAAGAAGGTGATAGATAGTGCTTGGATAGCTGAAGCTGTCGAGGGTGAGTGATGACCATCGCAGCCACTGTCGAGGTCTTTAGCTTTCAGCTGACCCCTGAAGCTTTCGAGCACGATCAGATCCACTTACTTCAATTGCCAGCGAAGCTCCTACCCGACCCCATAGTCGACAGAAACATCGCCGTGATGGATCGTCGCCGCGAAGCTGGAGAGCACGCTGCCAGGGGGTGGTATGGAATCCTGTTCTGAGCAGAACATATGTAGACGCTGTGCTCATATAGAACGGCTGTACGGACTACGGTAGCATGTAGGAGCATCCCGTGCTGTAGAAAAGGGTCGAGCAGTAGAATAGGGATGATCGATGAATGTCTCGAGCTTTACCCACTGCCAAGCTACCATGACCTTTTCCATACCGACTTTCCTCGTCTTTCTGCCGTACTGTAGCTCTCCTCTCCCCTATGACCCGATGATGCACGCCCGTCCCTCACGCTATCGGCCACTCCTATTGATCGCGCCAACAGCATCATTCCTCCGAGGTTTACCCGGAGCTGTTACTGCACGCGTTTTGGTCCACTCTTTGGTCCACTCCTTCTCCCGCCTCTCATCTTGGCTGTTTGATAATATCATCCCCCTCAGCGTCTCAGCCTCTGAGACTGTCTCCATACCATGCGCAGACTCGCCGTACCTCTCGAGCCCCAATTCGCCAACGCCCTTACTTGTCAATACGTCCCCGGCAACGCCCGACCCCTTCACCAACGTCCTCACCCGACGTCCCATCCTCCTCCCACCCCACGTCCCTCGCCTTTCCCCTTCTCCCCCCTTGCCCCCACAGCCATCTCCTCTCGCCCCTCCTCGCCCATCATGGACATGAACAAGCGCGTCACCGTCACGCTCGAGGAACTCGAAAATCAAGAGCCCCTCCCGCCCCACCCAGACCCGCTCGGAGCGGTCATGCACGCCTCAGCTCCTCTGTATGACGATCCTATCGTCGTTGACAACGAGGGGCCAGTCAATCCTTAGGGCCTCGATACCCTAGCACGGGTCATGCGCTTTGCTCAGCTCCTCTTATTGCACCCATCCTCTATCGGCAAGCTCGCAACTATCATCGCTGCAACCGGAGAACCACGACCTCTCATCGAGACCGCTATTCGAAGAGTCTTGGGGACAACGCAATGGGTCGTTGCTATCGATAACTTGCAAATGCTCCCTTCTTTGGCGGTACATGTGCGGCCTCCAAAGGACGATTTGGCCGATATCTTCACCCTGCCTGAGTTGACCATCTTTGTGAATTCCACAGTATGTCTTTCTCCTTTGGGGCCAGAATCTATTGAATGACTGGGTAGATCGAGGAGTGGAGGGGTGTCTGACACAAAAAGGTTCGTCCGCTAACTTCTCAGCAAGTCGAAAGATTACGGATCGCCAGGGACATCATGGAGAAGGAGGACAAGCGCGAAGCTTGGGATCTCCACCTCTTCCTTACTGCGGTAGCGATGGCCCATGCGCTTGTCCCAGCAATCCGAACACAGGTATGTTGGACGGATTGAATCGTGTACTATCTGATCATTAGGTCTTCTGTATCCTCAAGAGCTCGCCCGACTCTCAAATACCGTATCCCCGTTCGCCAACCGGCCGCGAGCGGGACATCGGATGGTATTGGGAGAGCATGGTGCTAGGTGGTATTTTGGAGGGCGCATGGCGCTGCACTCCGACAGTCATCGGCCTCCCAACATCGAACCGAGCGCCTTCGGATCCTAGGATCCCGAAGTTTGACTTTGTTGCATTACAGGCCGCGGGGACGATGCGGGTGCCGGTGGCACAGGTAAGCATGCCCCATTGGGTCTGCATGCGCCTGCTGATGGACCAGTATGATGTCTTCGAGTTCCTTCTACTTCAGCGACGAAATGCGAAGGGCGAGCCCACGGTGAAGTGGGAACTGGATGAGACATGGGTTGCCGAAACTGTCGAGGGTAAGTGCAGTTACTCGAATCAGGATGAACAGCTGCCTGAAAACCCCACTGCCCATACCCCCTGTTCACGCCCTGCTTACGCCGGATACGCTTCTGTGACTTTATATGTGAAATGAGCGGGCATAGCTGACGATGCAGCCTTCGAGCACGGCCAACTCGATCGCATTTCGTTACCACCCAAAATCGACGGGAAACCCTTGGACGATCGATACTTTACCATACTCGATCGACGCAACACTACAGCCGAGGCGGAAATGCGGTCGGCTCATCGCGTACCCTCGCTTCCAAAGAAATCGGTCACGAAGCGTCGGAAGGCAACCGACCAGCCTACGGCAGAGGCAGGCCCGTCCGAAAAGAAGAAGGCGGCGGTGGTGAAGGTGAACGCTGAGCCAAATGTGGCTTGAATATAGCTCCCACGCCTCTTTCTGCTGCCTCTACATATGTTGTACTTCTCTTTGATGTGCATGTTGTAAAGTCAGTCAGATGAGTGCAGCTCTCTAGCCATATCTCCATCAGAGCAGAGTCCAGAGGTACGGGCGAGCTCGACTGCCTGCGTTCCGCTTGTTTCACTTTCCTCCGAGATTTACCCGAGACCGGCCCACTCGACCACTCACCCGTACGTTTCGCCTGCACCCATCTTCGCTGCGTTTCCACCACTTCACTTGTCTATCTTGTGCGCGTCTTGCACTTCTTGACACCTTGACTTCTTGGCAAAGCATCCGACGTACACGCTCCTGATCCCTGAAAAATACCGGCCGGTCCACGTCTAGTACTGCTCTCGCGCGTCGCGCCGCACCATTGAGCTCGAGCTATACTCAAATACACCCTTCTGGACCATCCCACATCCCCGACGTCTCCTCCCCCAACCATCTCCATCCACCATGGCGAACAAGCGGAAATTCGTCTGCCGAGAGGAGCTCGACAGCGAGACGGCCCCTCTTCCCCACCCCGACCCGCTCGGATCCGTTATGCACGCCAAGGCCTTCCTTTCGCAGACCATCACCGTGGAGACCGACAGGCCGGTCGACCCAGCCCACGTCGACCTCATCACGCGCGCGATGCGCTTTGCTCAGCTCCTCCTCCTCCACCCCGATTCCATCGGCAAGCTCGCCTCCATCTACGCCAACAAGCCAGGCCCGCAACCTTTGATCGAGAAGGCGATCCGGAGGGTGTTGGGAACTACCCAGTGGGCGGTGGGTCTGGACTCATACGTCGTCCTAGCGTGCCTGGCGAGTCACTCTCGTCCGGCGCGGGAGGACCTCTCGGAGGTCTATACCTTGGCTGAATTGACCATCTTCCTCAATCCCACGGTACGTCTTCTTGCTTTGTATGTCCAGCGAGTTGGCCACGAGGAGGGGCAGGCTCATGGAATCTGGGTAGCTACATATGGCCTGCGATCTGTCAAAAGCCATGCTGATACCACAGCAAGTCTCACGTCTGGAGAAAGCCAGAATCAAGATGGACGACGACGACGATCGCGAAGAATGGGACGCCCACCTCTTCTTGACGGCGGTAGCACTCGCCCATGCGATGGTGCCGGCTATCAGAACTCAGGTCAGTCTGCACACTCGCGGGCATGGCTGGTGCTGATGCAATGAACAGGTTTACTGCATCCTTCAGTGCGCGCCGGACGAGCAAATCAAATTCCCCAAGCTATCATGCTACGCCTACGAGCACGACGCGGGATGGTACTGGGAGAGCCAGGTCTTTGGCGGGATCCTGGAAGGAGCGTGGCGCTCGAGTCTGCCCCAGCCGGTGATCGTCAAGTCCAGTCACCCGTCGACGGACTCGAGGGTGCCGACCTTTGACTTTGCCTCGCTGCAAGCTGGGCTCGCTCGGAACCCGCTGAACCAGGTGAGCTTCCAGTCCCACAAAGTTGGCCACCCCGAGATCTGATCACAGTCACAGCTCCCACAATAAGACCATCCGCTGATGTAACAGAGGGAAAAGTTCGAGTTCCTCTTACTCCGACGAGACGAGGCAGAGGGGGTACCAGCCGCCAAGATGGAGCTGAGGAAGGATTGGCTCGCTGAAGCCGGAGAGGGTGAACTGAAATCTGCTTCCCGCGTTGGCCCAGCTGACGATACAGCTTTCGAGAATGGCGAACTGGACAAGCTATCATTATCGCCCAAATTCCTCGAGCCCCCTCTCGAAGAAGGCCGATTCACGATACTCGATCGTCGTGGCGCACGAGGCGAACGCCAGCTAGACTCGATGGTCAAGGACGGACAAGCACCGTCAAAGAAGGGGTCTGGGAACTTCAAGAGGAAGATAGAGGAGCTGGCGGGAGGGCTGTTCAAGAAGGGCAAGACGGCGGCGATGGCCGAGGGTGGCACCTGATTTGAAATCCCGCTTCTGTACGAGTAGCTGCCGACCACCACCAAGTTGTACATACCTCCTCCTTGTTACCATACATACTACAAGTCAATACATGTATAGCACCATACACTACCCTACTACGCAGAACAACACCCTACAAACCATCTGAACGCAGAAGAAACACCGCAAATCGCACCTCTGCAGCAGCCGCAATCAGCATCCGCGTCGACCCCGCTTCTTCCTTCCGCCAGGCAGAGAGGATTGCTTCCTATCGCCTGATCCCTACCTACCCCTACTTCCTCAACTCTCACCCCTTCACATCCCATCATGGCTGCCACCGCCGCGTGAGTATCTCTCTGAAGGATCTCGCTCCTTTAATGCTCAGCCATCACTTTGATCCGAGCTAATGACGCAGCCGACCTGACGACGACTACCGAGCGGGTCTGGTAGCTCCCGAGAAGGATTTCCGACCGCAGACCGAAGTGAATAGCCCTTAACTTCTACTCGGGGCTCGAGCTGACACCTGGAGGATGTCACCAATACGCAAGGATCCACCTTTGACGACCTCGGACTCAAACGAGAATTGTTGATGGGGCTCTACCTCGCGGGTTTCGAGAAGCCCAGTCCTATCCAAGAAGAGTCTATACCTCCCGCACTGACTGGGAGAGATATTCTCGCTCGTTCCAAGAACGGAACGGGTAAAGTGAGCCAATACTACTGGTTGATATGGCCTAGACTGACTTCTCAGACCGCCTCCTTCCTCATCCCCACCCTCAACAACGTGAACGTTCGCCTTCCCCACATCCAAGCCCTCATCCTCGTCCCTACCCGTGAACTCGCCCTCCAAACATCCCAAGTATGCAAGACGCTCGGCGCCAAAATCGCTGGTCTCCAGGTCATGGTCACTACCGGCGGAACTACCCTTCGCGACGACATTCTCCGCCTGCAAGAACCGGTCCACATCCTCGTTGGTACGCCTGGGCGAATATTGGATCTGGGAGGAAAGGGGATTGCGGATCTGCGAAAGTGTACTACTTTTATCATGGACGAGGCGGACAAGCTGCTCAGCGAGGAGTTTGAGCCGGTGGTGGAGCAGCTGCTTCAGCTCGTTCCGGCTGAGAGGCAGCTCATGATGTTCTCGGCTACCTTCCCTGTTTCGGTCAAGCACTTCTCAGTGAGTCCCGTCTCGTTTCTGTAAGGCGCAAGCTGACCAGCAGGAACGTCACATGGTCCAGCCAGCAATCATCAACCTCATGGAAGAACTCACCCTCAAGGGTGTTACCCAATACTATGCCTACGTCGAGGAACGGCAAAAAGTACACTGCCTCAATACTCTCTTCTCCAAGGTCAGCACCGCCTACTCTCCAGACTGTCAGAATGAGCTGACATCCCAGCTCCAAATCAACCAATCTATCATCTTCTGCAACTCTACCAACCGTGTCGAACTCCTTGCCAAAAAGATCACCGAGCTCGGCTACTCGTGCTTCTACTCTCACGCCAAAATGCTCCAGGCCCACCGTAACCGAGTCTTCCACGACTTTAGGAACGGAATGACCAGGAACTTGGTCTGCTCTGGTACGTCTGCCACTTCTATTGATGGAACGCCCGTACTCTTACTGATATGGTAGATCTCCTCACACGTGGTATTGATATCCAGGCTGTCAACGTCGTCATCAACTTTGACTTTCCCCGCACAGCAGAATCCTATCTTCACCGAATGTGAGCTTCGCATAACTGACGATAGTATTCAGCTCAGCTGACACTTGCTTAGCGGTCGATCTGGCCGATTCGGACATCTTGGTGTTGCCATCTCTCTCCTCACAGTCAGTTGTGCGAAATTCTCAATCCTTGCGCCGAGCTGACATATCAGATCGAAGACCGCCACAACCTATACCGCATTGAGTCCGAACTCGGTACCGAGATCCAGCCTATCCCACAGGAGATCGACCCGGTCCTCTACGTCGCTCCCACCATGCCCGCCGAACCCTCTCCTCCTCCCAAGCCTAAGGCTATCCTCCCCCGCGTGCAAGCCCCACGTCAGCAACCACCATCGCGACAACAAGAACAGCCGACCCAGTCTGCTCAGTCACAAGCTCGCTTCGCCCAAGTGCCTGCCGGGCCGTCAGCACCGACTCAAGCTCAGAACCAGTCGACACCCAATTCCAAAGACTCGGCAGCGACATCGGCGTCATTCACTACAGCAAATGAAAGCACAGGGAGCGGTGCGGCCCCCCCTTCGTCGAGCGGCACCTTACCAAGCGTACCGCAGGGACGGCCGCAGCAGGAGAGGGGACCGAGTACACGTGGCAGAGGCGGGCCCAGGCCGCCAAATGCCAGTCGGGGGAGCGGGGCGCCGGCGAACGGAGGCGGAAGTGCGGCGCCTGCGGAAGGAGGAGAGGCAGCAGCGGGGTCGGTCCCAACTGGTCCGGGAGGTGGGCGTGGAGGTCAGCCTGGGAGGGGGCGGGGCGGATTCAGGGGACGAGGTGGCGGTCAGGGTCAGGGAGGAGGAAGACCGCCTCGAGCAGCTGAGGGGCCGTAGATGGACGGGAAGATGGGGCAGCGGGAAGGGAGGAAGGGGGAAGGGGAATGGGAGGGATGCGGAGGGGTAGGAAGATCCGGGACACGGAGTGGAAGCTGGGGGTTGGGAGGAAGGGCAGGGAGGTGGCGATCAGTCAAAGGGCATGAGGGGAAGAGAGGGAGGGAGCGGGCGGGGAGGAGAGTAGGTTTTGAGAGGGGAGAGTACCGGTAGAGCAGGGGAGGAGGATGTGGCCGGGAGATTCAACTCTTCAACTTCGCTCGCGGAGGGCATGGGATAGCAAAGGGGATGGGGGATGTTTCAGGGCGATCCAGGACGATATATGGGCTCCTCGGCCAGTTGAGTCTGTATATGCATTTCTTGCGCACTGATATAATCTGATCTTCTTAACCTTGTCTCACATTCTCTGCTTTCCTTCCCTCGTCCCGCACGCCGCATGATTATCCTGGATCGCCTCTCGTCGCCCTGTATCAGTTCTGACGAGCCGACCTTAAAATGAGCTCGTGTCTCGCGTATGCGATCTGCCTCGGGACTGGGCAACCTACATCTGTTAATGTGATAGCCTCATCGAGCTGCCTCCCGCTTTGCTTCTCCCTGTGCCCTCTTGCTCGGTCCTGGCTTGCAGTCCTCATCCTCGTCCTCGTCCTCGTCCTCATCCTCGTATTTCGGCTCGGTCATGGGAGTCTTTCGTACGACCTTCCTGGGGCGCATGGATCTAGCGGGTCGCGGTGCATCACCTGCACATCAGCTGCCTTATCCACTAGATGAAGGCTCACTCACCGATGATGCCGAGTAAGCCCAATTCTGCTCGTGTATGATACTGCGATATCAGCCTTTATCTCGCGGTATGACAACAGAGTCATCCCGCTCACCTTGAAGACGAAGCGGCAAACATCTGCATGTTCTTGGTCCGCATAGAACGTCGCTGACAGGGCGTCCACGTATGGTCTCAGATTGGTTGCTCTATATGCAGTCAGCTACAACCTCTACACCCGATCACTGGATTGAGGATGACTCACTCTACGACCGAACCAAGTCTATCCATCAGCTGAAAGTAGAGATGACAGTGAAGCCAAAGATGACTTCAATTCGTCTTCGAGGCACGGCCCCAGTCGGCCTTGAGTCGATAGGAAATGGCGATCATCTTCCTCGTCCTCATCCTCTTCATCCTCGTCCTCATCTGACCAGATCAACGTACCCCGCGTAATCGTCACCTCAATCTTGCTGAGCGCATTGAGTGCTGCACCATGAATTTGTACACGATCCTTGTCGTCGGTCTTGGGCTGTACGATCAGCGAAGGGTCGCACTCTGTGAGCTCTTGCGATCAGCACTCACCATAGGAGCAAAGGTCATGTCGGCCTCCTGTATCTCTCCGTCGTCCCCCGGGACGAACATGGATTGTATTCGAATGTTGTTGCCCCAATGCGCCCGATCTTGCGGTCCCACAGTCAAGCCGTCGACCTGTCTGCCATCCACAGCCAGATCGAGCTGTAGAGCGTCATTGTCGTACTGTCGTGGGATCCTAGAGCGCTGGTAGACCCTGAATCTGACTCGGAAGCTCTGCGCTTATCAGCTTGGTCCCTGTCCACACCAAATACCAATTACCGCTCCTTCTTCGCACTCCAGATGGCAATGGCCGAGAGCGCCGGCCTTTCCGCTCTTCTCATCCCGGCCATAGACCTCTTGGTGTTCATCTGTAGCTTTAGCTTGACCTTATTGCGATGCAAGCAGAAGGCTCACGGAAACGGTGCGAGCCGTCGAGGCGCTCAATCCAGGACTACTATTAGCCGACATTTTCACGCTATGCCTCACCTCGATTGTGTATCCTCCTCCGTTATAGATCATAGTGCAGTCTTTCTATGAAACGAGACGATAGGTCAGTATCTTGACAAGAGGAGGAGACAAACAACAGAGGTCCGAGGAGGAACGTAAGGAATGTGGAGTTGGTCAAAGCGGAAAGTTTTTGAAGAATCCTTGTCGGTCAAGTGTCCTTCTTATCTGATCAAAATCGCGAGGTGCGAGCTCAGGGGTAGAAACAAGGCGGCCTGTAGTGTTCAGACTGTAGATGAGACGCTAGTGGAGGAATCCCGGGACTGGGACCGCATCGGAGCAGGGGCCAATGTTATCTGAATGGCGGCTTGCCTGCCCCTCCAGCGTGCCTAGAACGAGATGATGGCATGTGTCAGTGTTGGCATGTTTACAATTGTACAGACTATCTATACACCCAGGAACCCCATCCACTCATCGCGCATACCAACCGACTTCGTGGTCGAATCTCATCTCTCGTCGTCATTCCATCGTGAGATCGATGACTCCCGCTCTCGCTCGGATACCTCGTTTTGGGGGGTCAATCTGCGATCATCAGCTGATAGCTCTTCCGCGATAATGAGAAGTATGCTCACCTCGGACACCACAATAGGTTTGATCTCGGACCCCAAGCCTGTCTTCTCCTTCTTGACCCGCTTGATTACTTCGATATCATCTTGATTGTCGTCGGAGAGCTCTCGTTTGACGGTCCCATTGGCGAGTGGTGCGAGTACGCGCGAGGGAACAGGCGCTGATGCAGCCGGCGCGATCGCTGCAGGCACATTGTCGGACTCTTAGCACGGTCAGCTGATAGCCCATGATGTAGTGTCTTGAGCCTACCGGTGATACCCATGATGTCGAGTTTCGCTCTAGTATGGTACTGGACATCTGTCAGCTCTGCTCATCCAAGGTCGCTACATGCTGATCACTACATACCTTCCATACGAATCGGCATAGAGTAGGATCGCGCAAGGTCGGAGTGAAGTCCAGGGCATGCCGTTTGTGAGCTGGTCGTAGATTTGCAGCTCTATACTCAGCGTTGTCTAAGGACTCTAGGCTCACTGTACAGTTGATCCTAGCCTGTTCTCATCAGCGCGATCACCAGATTGGGAGTGATGCCTCACTTCAGCAGCTTCTCATTTACAAATCCCACTGAGGATGTGTTCGTAGGCGTTGCGTGAGGTTTGCTGGGTCGGAAGCTGCCTTGCTGGATGACAATCTCGATCTTTCCGAGGCAATCGATTGCTGGGCCCCTGACCTGAACTTTGTCCTCGTCATCGGTCTTGGACTGGACATGATCAGCGGAACACTCTGTCTCCTGTGACAAGCAGCTCACTAGCGGTGCAAAGACCAGGTCGGCAATCTTGGCGCCTCCGCCTGCCCCGTCGTCGACGTACATCCTCCCGATGTCTGACTCCTGGTCCTTCGCCCTCCAAGCTCTGCCAGGTATCTTCCGCCCGTCGACCAGTAGTTTCACTTGGAAGTCTGGACGTGATATGGGTGCACGATTACAGCGGGACTCGACGCGGAAGGACTGCGCATGTCAGCTAACCCTGCACACGAATTGACCCAATTTGAGAGAACATACCTTGCCCTCTTCGCATTCTAGGTATGACTCGATCAGACCGCCTGCCTTGCCTGTTTCCACGTCCGTCTTCGGTGCCTCTCGGTGCTCGGCTATTCGACCAGCTATATCGCGGCTGAACAAAATCGCACCACGGCCCACCGAATCGTTTCGACTCCGCCAAAGTCTCCACCCACGCCTGACAATTAGCGCTCAGGTCGGGCCATCGTGTTTGCTCACCTCGACCTCCAATACACCAGAACTATATATCATGCCGGCAACTGGATCTAGCGGAGTACAGACGACTTGCGAGTAGGCGAGTGGTACAGTGAAGGTAGGAGTATGAAAGGTGCAGTCGACGCGACTGACTTTTGAGACATTCCTCGGTCGCCTCGAGGCCTCGACGCGTGCGAGATACCTAGGGTTCCTTCTACGTGCGCTACGTGAATAGTCGTACCCTATTGCTCTGCTATGTTGCCTGAATCATCTGCGTAATTGCGCCCGTGCACGCTCAAGGGAGATTGGAATACAATACATAGTTAAAAAAATCGAGCACGATCAGCACGGAGCGTTTCCCCTTCGCCTTATCCTTCCTTCCATACATAGTTGAGCGTTTCCCCCTCGCCTCATTCTTCCTTTCTCCTCATGTCCCTGGCGATCTAGTCCTCAGTAAGGTCAATGATCCCGCCCGCAATACCGGAGAGCCGTCGGGGTGGGTCAAGCTAAAGGATCAGCCTTCCACCCTTCCACCCTTCCACCCTTCCACCCTTCCACCCTTAGATACGAACTGAATATGGATGAGGACTCACGTCAGACACCATGATGGGTTTGTTCTGAGACCCAGCCCCCGTCTTCTCCTTCTTGACTTCCGTCTTGACCCGCTTGACACCCTCGGCTTTGACACTACCCTCGGCGTCCGACTCGCGTTTGGCTGTGATCCTGGTCGCCGCGGCAGCTTCCTGGACGATGGGAGCGAGGGGTTCGTCTTGCGCTGGAGCTTGGACCGGAGCAGGGACCTCCTCTTCGTCTGATGATATTAGCAGCTTCCCTTGGAGGTATGTAGGCGAGCATACCGGTGATGCCCATGATGTTCAGAGCTGCTCTCGAGTGATATTGTCCTGGTTAGCTGGGGCCGTCAGGATAAGAGAAGGCGAGCGTTCCTTCCAGACGAATACGCAGACGTTTGGGTCGTAACGTGCTGGTTTGAATTTTGCTGTTTTGGTAGGGACGAAGGGCCGCACATTTCCAGCTCTGGAACTGTCAGCTCGTGGGCAGCAATACAGAAGCGGTCTGCTCACTGTATCGTGGATCCCAATCGGAGATGTCAGCTGGGCCTTCTCTTCAAATACAGACAAAGAAAAGTTTCAGAGCTTTCTCGTGAACCTTTCCAACAGGCTTGATCGGCTTCCAGTCGTGTGGGCGAACGGTCCCCTGAGTACCGCGCATGATGAGGACTTCGATCCGGCACAGGGCATCCAGCTCTGCTCCCTTCACCTCCACCTCGGCCAAGTCATCCGTTTTTTCCTGTCCAATCAGCCCAGCTCCATCTTAAATAGCGTCATCCGTTCCTGCTGATCTCCCTCTCCTCCGACCTCCTGACGAGGAACTCACGAGCTCTGCGAAGCGCAGTTCAGCAGAATAAGTTTGTCCATTCTCGCTAGCTATCATCTTGTCCAGCGAGATCGTGGGTGTCATATTCCAGTGACTCCCTGATACGCTCCGGCCATCAACGGATAGGTAGACCGCCAGTCCAGGCTGCATCATGATCATGCCTAATGGGGACTTCAGAGTGACGCGGAAAGTCTAATCATCAGCTTTGCCCCTGCAGACATGAGCTGTAGCTCGCCACTAACCTTGCCGAGCTCGCACTCCAGCAGAGACTCGCACAGCCCATTCTCGACCCCATATCTGGGATCTCTGACACATGTAGGCCTGTACTCGTCTAGCGGTCAGCCAAAGACTAGGCGAAACGATCAAAGACTGACTGAGCGGTTTCCCGTCGATCTCAACGTGCGCCTGACCCGTCAGCATGCAGGCCAGCCAGGTTGTGATGGTGCTCACCTCGATAGTGAGGTCTGATGAAGTGAACAGCATCTTCCAGAGTTGTGTGTCGCAGCAAGCCAGATGTACAGATGACGGAGAACAGATCGCCAAAAATCACTCCCCCACGTCGCGTCGCGCTCACACCGGACAGACGAGGATCCGGAATGTGAAACACGGGAAGGGGTCTCATACTCTACGGGTCAGGCTCGATGGCATCATTGCTGACCGCAGCTTTGTCTACCCGAAGTATGCATCGCGTGTCCCGATGTAGAACGGGAGCCGAACGACTTCGCGAGTAGCCTGAGCGAGCAATCATCGTGCCCAAGAAAGAGCCCTTCACCGCTCGTTCCAAGCCCCTCGCGCTCAGAGGGACGGTCTGGCGAGGATCCTTCCGTAGCACGCGGGGTTTGGGACGAGCGTACCTTCACCGAGGCGTTCAAGCCTCTCTAAATCGCGTTGGGAATCAGGATGATGGACGCCTGCATGAGTGAATGGTCGCAAGAGCGACGTGTACTTTGGCACCTAAACCTCTCGCCTGTTCTATCTTCTCTCTTGCTCCCCCTTCCCCTCTTTCTCCGATCACTTCACCCTGCTGGTCATCTGCCTCCCGTAGATCAAGAATAACCCCGCGACGATCGGCAGGGCGGTGACGAATAGCCAGAACCCCACGAACATCAAGACGGGCAGCCAGAAGAGGTACAGCATCGTGTCGTCTATCAAGTCAGCTGCTGACCCTTCCCATCTTTCGCAGCAACAAAAGAGAGAAACAGAGACTCACTTCTCGTCATGCCCCTCTTGCCACGCTTCTTTCCGTTCTCGGCCACCGCATTACTGCCTTCCCCTTGTCCCTCCTCACCGTCCACCGGCCTTATCGACGCCCTACTATGGTCCCCCAGGTCCAACCCCTCTATCCCTCCTAGATGCTGCACCAGCACATTCAGGAATTGTACCGCCAGCGCCTGAGTAAACAGCTTGACCTCGTCTGGGCTGGTGAGCTTGTACAATGTTCCCCATGTCGGAGGGGGAAGTACCGCCCATCCGTCCGGTGAGACCGCCTCGTCCAAAAGCTCTGTGAGCGGTGCGGGCAGGAGGTGAAGCGGGAGACTCTTCCAGAGCAGTTCGACAAGGGTATGGAATGCCGGAGCAGGAGGAGCGACGGTGCTGCTCTCGCCCCGCGCGGGCTTGGTCTCCAATACGAGCGGAGCTTCGTGCGCTCGGTTCGGACCGGGCTCGTATGGCGGTGGACTGTCAGGTGGGAGGGGTATAGCAGTCGACGTGGACAGGGGTGTGAGGTCCGCCACGTCAGCCGTGGCCGGCGGGCTCGCTTGCCGAGGCGGAGACGCCCGAGGTGAGGAGCGAGTGGAAGTCTCCCTCTGCTTGCCCCGCGCTTTCGGACTGAGACGCCGAGCGCTCGGCTGAGCGAGCGGGGTCTCGCCCGCAGTATCGCTACCGGAAGTGGAGGGATTATCATTATCGACCTCATTAAGCTTCTCCGGTTCCGGCGCTGGCGCGGTGCTTGGCTGGGACCGAAGTGCAGGCGTGTCCGTTTTGATCGTGCCCGATGAGGTCGACCACACCGCCGAGAGCAGCAAAGCTTCGACACCCTCCTTCTCGCCCGACTTGGCAAGATCGAGCGGCATCTCTCCGAAGGCGGTAGGCAGGTCGTACGCTGCTCCAGCCTCGATGAGGACCCGAGCGCAAGCGACCTGCCCGCAGAGCGCGGCAAACGAGAGCGCCGTAAAGCCATTGACGTCCTGCAGGTCGACCTGGGCGCCCATGAGGAGCAGCCTCCGGACGAGCCGGTGATACCCCGATACTGTGGCGATGTGTAGCAAGGTCTGCTGGGCTGTATTACGGGTGTTGATGGCGCCGGAACGGCGGAGCGAGCCCGGAGCATGCTCGTCGATAGAGGCGAGGAAGTTGATGACGGTGAGCTGGAGATCGTCCTCTTTGTCCTCGGTTGTGAAAGTAGACGAGGTGGTAGACAAATTGAGATACGTTGGTGATGCGCCCGACGCCATCGGGCTGGCTGAAGACCGATCGCTCGAGTTGCCGCTGTGAGATGATTGGGCGACCCGCTGGGCAAGGCGATACGCCGCATCGCTGGAAGAGCCCGAGTACTGATCTCTGACCTCTAGCGCCAGTCTCATCCTGCTGAATCAGCTTTGACTTCTCTCAGTAACGGGCATGTCAACTCACATTTCCTTGTCCATCCCCTGATACCTGAACTGCTCCACCGTCTGCCCTGGCGCCACAATCGCTCCCTGCACGCTGACCTCCACAAAGCCCGGCTCCGGCCCGGCCGGAAGCTCGCATGTGCAGAAGCTGTCCGAAATGACCATCGTCTTGGCGGCTCTCCCGCCAAACATCACAGTCATGCCCGGCACGAACCGCTGACCTGCCACTGCGATCTGGACGCCGCCGCCTAGGGGTCCTTCGGCGGGTATGACGTGCGATACGACCGGTTGGGGCGGGACAGGCTGCGCCTGAGCCTGTGCCTGGGAGCCAAAGGACATCAGCATCTGTCGCAGCTGGTCTTCGGTCGGCTGGGGCTGTGGTGGGATGTTGGCGAAGTTGGGCTGAGGGCGCTGGGATTGAATGGGGGAATGGGAGAGTTCCAGGTCGAATAGGGGGGGTATAGGCGCTCCGCCGACGGGAGAGACCTGGTCAAATGCCGGCTGGGCTAGACCTTGGTCCTCCCCACCCGAGAAGTCAAGGAACTCCATGCCTGTATCTGGGACAAGCCCGCTCTCCGAGAAGAGGCCTGATGCGCTGTCCCGGTATCCGGAGAACCCAGATGCGTCGTCGTTGAAGCTGGACGAATGGGACGACGCATCGAACAGCCCATCCATTGCCGAGTTGAGCGTATGCGCCATGTCCTGGTCCGCCAGGTAGTCCGACAGCATAAGCGACTGCTGTTGCTGCTGCTGTTGGGCGCTGATGGCGTTCAGGCTGGCAAACGCGTTCGAGAGCGGGTTTGGCTGGAGCGACCGAAGCTGGCTCCCGTGCATCATGACGTCGTCACCGAGCGGGCGGAGACCATTGACGGGGCTGGCGACGTTGGACGAGGCGGCCGAGTGAGGGCGAGAGGAGTAGTTGTACGAGTCGAAGTTGGACATGGCGAAATTGGGATGACGCAGTGCGCCAGGAGAGACCGTGCCGGTGACAGGAAGTGGTTCGAGGTTGATAAAGTCGGCAGGAGTGGGGCGCGCGGAGGAGAGGCCGAGGTTGACTCCGGTATCTGTTGGTGGGGCATTGGGAGGGGGATTAAGAGGGGTCAAGGAGGTGAGAGAGTGCACCGAGCTGGCAGAGTGCTGGCGGTGGAAGCGAGGTGGGGCGGGACCGGTCCCATTGACGTTGAAATCAAAAGGCAAACCTCCGATGGATACCGCCGGGGAGTGCGTAGTCGGTCGCTCATAAGGCTTCGAGCGGACGCTAGGAGTCTGCTTCTGCATCATAGCCCCAGCTTCCGACAACGACTGTCCGCTCTCCGCGTCCGACGCTACCGGCGACTGCCTGCGTGAGGATGCGGCGCTCGCTCGGCCTTTCCGGGGACGCGGTACGGCCGGTTGCGCTTGCGAAGCCGCAGGAGAGACTACCTTGGGCTTCGGATTCTTGTCGGTCTTGTGGTCGTCGGTTATACGGATAGGGTCGGTAGTGGCTGTAAAGACCGCCGCGCCATCGATCGTGCGAAGGGTGAATTTGATTCTGAGAATCAGCGCGTGTCCACTGCAAAGACCGGTGACTCACTTGAATCCGACCTTCTCTCCGTGGCACTTCCCATAGCACACCACCCTGAACGGGAGCCACATACAGCTCCCATCCTTGATGGGCATCTCCGGCGCCGAATTGAAGAGCACAATCTCATGGCGCCAATCCGACCTATCAGGGTCAAATCCCGGCTCCTCCACCACCTGATCCTGCCGATGGGGATCGTACTGATCCGGGTTGGCGCCTGTAATGTAGTCCGGACCCGGTGTAGCCCCGGATGGCAGTACCTGAGGCATAGACGTGATCGCCTCGCCACCCAACGATGGTTTCTTCCTCGAAGCATCCTTGCTCGCTCGTCGCCGCAGCTCCCTCAGCCGACATCGCTTGCACGCGTACACCCTCCGTCCGCCCTCCTCCGACTTGTACACCGCCGCATCCAGGTATAGCAGCTCCCTCTCTGGCGTCTTGCCCGCTTGAAGCTGCTTCTTGGCCGTTGCCTTGGTGGTCGTGCCGAGCTGTAGCCGAAGCCCGCTGAAGCAGCCGACGCGCTCGAGGGATAGGTTGGCGAGGGTGTTGTCGGCAGGGAGGATGTTGAAAAGATCTGGAGGCAGGGGTGCGGATGTGGGAGTTGAGGGAATTGAGCGGATGAGATCCATTATTACGCGAATAGCAGTCTCGACCCGCTGTTTGCTGATGACCTGTGGATCGCCCTGGAGCAGCAAGACATTTCGACTGCAGGGTTAGCTCCTTCCGAGATCTTGAGTGTGGAGCTCACTGTGGTGTGGCCTTGACAACCTCCATGGGGGCATCTCCTACGGGCAATACATCCACGTCAATCAGACGCCTCGGCGGATCCGAACGGCTCTGTATAGTCGACGCTAGCCCGCTGCCCATAGGTGGTCCAGAGGAGAAGCCGTTGACGCTATCTGGTATACCGACAGAGGTCGCTCGAGACGATACGGAGGGCGACGCAAAAACGCTCGGCTTCTGCTCGGTAGGGAGCGCTAGTGGCCGAGGGACAGTGGATGGATGTAGAGATTGAGGGGAATGCGATGACCTGCATGTCAGCGGAAAATGTGAGAGACCATGAAATGAGATAGAAGCACCTGTAGGTCGCTGGTCTCGCTGATCCCGGTTCCAACTTTACATCTCTCAGCGGCGAACCCGCTCGTGCCGCCTTGGATCCGCCCACGTTGACCAGAGGCCCAAACCCCCGTTGAGGTGGCACCGCCTGCATATGAAGAGCCTGAGAGTAGCTATCCCCCGATGGTCCAGCGCCGGCGTTACCCTCCGATTGAGCCGAGTTGGACGATTGGACGAAGAAGGGTGGATTGGATGACGAATCCATGAGGGCGGTACCTCCACCGAGTGAGGGGCGTAGAGGCGGAAGGTGGTCGGAGGGATACGATCCCAGAGCTCGGAAGCTACTGGGAGACCATGCACGAGGGATAGAAGGTATAGGCGATATACACAGGTGAGGGAAAGGGCGAAAGGTATGTATCCGTTAGATTCGCAGTGCCAGGCACGGGACACGGGGGCGACACCCTCCTTTGAAACGTGACCTCCTCGGCGATCTCGTTTCGATGTTGTGAACTGAATCGAGACTTCGGAGTTCGGCTTGAGGTCTACGCCTGGAGGTAGAGGAGTCGACGAAGGGACGGAGGAGAGGGTTCTGGCTGGGATCTGGGCTGACGACGACGAAGGCCCGAAATTTGAGTTCCGCAGGGAAAGCAGCGAGTGGTGCTACTGAATCTAATGTCCGTAATGAGCGACCGGATCTCAAGCCAATTACATACAAGAGAGAAGAGTGGATAAAGGGAGCTATGCGGGGAGATGGTACAGCGGGCCAGCTCTACGAATGAAGGTTTCGTTATTAGCGTTTTGCGTGCTGTGGTGGCGGCGGCGGCGTGGTCCGGGCGAAAAAGGCTATCATAAGCGGGAGTGCAAGGTATGTTCCAGAGCATGATGGATCAAGCTGGTATGCATCCGATAGCGGATGAATCTGGTGACAGCCTGATAGCATGCAGCTGCATGCAGCGACGAGTTTTGTGTCAGATGATCATAAGGCCGCCGAGGGCAAAATGAGGATCTTGCGCAGGGCCCAAATGGACCAAGAAAGGATTTCCAAATTTTAGCTATACTATGTACTATATGTGTCTTTGCTTGTAAGATGGAGGACCTCCTATCTCTTCGGTGACCTCATCCTGCGCCCTCGGTCACATCCTCATCGCCCTCCTCCTGCTGATCGGGGCAAAATCTCCGAAATTGCAATCAAGCATGGGCCTCTCTTCCCCGCTCTGAGCCCCTCACGCTCGGACCGCCTGTGCAACGGCGATCAGTCGATGTCGTCTCGATCGCGATTGGACCACCGAGTCAGAGAGTCCTTCACGGTCTCAAAGGTGTAGAACGAGACGGCGATGGAGGGGACGACCTTGATGATATTGGGTACCAGTCCGCGGCTGGACGAATCAGCTCCAATCTCGTACGACGTATGTGGCTGGACTCACTACATCCCCTTCCAGAAGCCCTCTCTCGCCGAGATCTTCCTGATACAGTCGATCGCACCATCAAACTCCCTGTTTGCTCCGCCTATGCCCACGACTTGCAACTTCCGCCGGACGACGTCGAATGGGTGGGTGAAGAGGAGAGAGGTACCGCCGGCCAAAGCACCAGAGAGGAGTTGGCGTCCAACACGCTCGATGTCGTGTGTGGGATGATAGTCTGCGGGAAGGATGATAGGTTTGACTGTGGTCGTCAGCTAGGGGTCCCGCTGGGAAGGGTCAGCTAGACTGACGAGTCTCGTAGATATAGAAATTTAGCGATACTGCCGGTCAGCGCGGACCTCGAGATCGGAAAAGCAGCTCACCATATGGCGCGACGCCGACGGCCGTGGCCCAACATCCTCGACTGAGGAGTCAGCTTTGTCAAGTGCCTAACGGGCAGAGGGACTTACTACAACCCCCGGATGCCTCCTTCCGTTCTGTACACCTTCTTGGTCATACCCATGATGCCGAGTTTTGCATCTTCCGCTGTAAACATGGAGCCAGAAGAGCGCGACATATTCGCCGTAGCGATAGATAGTCTCGCTCGAACGAGGTCAAGAGGATATGTTGCAGCTGGGACAATCAGCTGAGACTCAACGAGAACGAGCGAGCAAGTCCACTCACACACTGCAAGGATACCAGCAGTAGCACCCGCTGCGAGTCGGAAGGGAGTAGATAGCGTTTCTTGGCCGGACCAACGAGCAAAGAGGGTCTTGACATAGCCGTAAGACTGTCTTGTCAGTATAGGTGCCTGTGAAGGGCATAGTGGCTTGTCAGATAATGATATCTCACTGTAAACTGGATAGCAGAATATGGCAAGATCTTGGAGATCAGCATCTGCCCCTGACCTGCCCACACAGACACTTACCCTGACAACATTGATCCCATTGCCCTTCATAAAGCCCGCAAACCCTTCTTCCCTCCACATCCGGACCAGTCCCGGCCATACCCCTCCGTACGCCTGACCAGCTGCGCCCTTCCCATTGCTCGGCGCTTGGACTTGCCTAACAGGTCAGCACAGTTGCTCTTCCACCCCCTGTACATCTGATCCGACTCACAGGATGATCTTCAGCCTCTCCAGCGGACTTACGACAGTCCGACTCGTCGCGCCCGCCAACCCTCCCGCAATGAAGGTATTGATCACCGCCGAGTTCTCGTACATCTTGTCCTGTATCCTTTCGGTGAGGGTCTCGGCGGGATGCCAATGAGTGCTGTGATGTTCTGTTGATGGAGACGATGTGTCGAGCGAGTTGGCGGTATCAGCCGTAAGGGGCGGGTTGGGCCGTATGTTCCCGGCGGGGCTGGTCAGATCGAGCGGATCAGGTGCGGGGGAGATACCGGCTGCACCGGCCGTGCTGCTTTCCTGCACAGGAATGGTGGAACTGCGACTGAGTCTAGACTTCCAACCGGACCGAGGGAAGGTTGAGAGGGGTGAGGAGCGGGTGCCAGCGCCGGCCGACGCGACGTCAAAGTGCATTGAATGGACCTGGGGCGTGTGGGAGCGGACCTATTCGGGATGGCGATTTCCGAGCGATTCGGGCGAATGGCTATATTCTGGACATCGGACCTGGTGTTGGCGGGTAGTATCTGCTTGATGCTGGTGGTAGATGGAGCTGTGATATGGGTAGATAAGTCGAGTCGTGCGACTGACCGTAGCCGCTCTCATGACGCTGTTCGGGACGATCCGGAAGCGGCCCAAAGGGGTTTACGGCACGCGTTTCACCCGCTGCATGACCCCATGGATCCCGCGGCAGTGGTGCCCGCGCTCGTCTTGTACATCATCAGCTAGATACTCGAGTCCGCGAATTGTCCTCCTCACTCCGAAGGCTACTGGAAGTAAGCCGAAGGCCATATTGGTAATCGACATAGCGCCGCTCAGACGATAAGAAGCCGATTGCGGGGAGAAGCGATCATGGTGGAAGAAGCTTGCAATTCCGGGCGAGGCCTGTGCTCAGTGGAGCAGACCTACTGGGCGTACTGACCGGCCTCTTCTGCCTGGCATTGTACATCACTCTCACCTGCGCTGATACACACCTTTACCTCCTGTTTCATCTTGACCTACAGAAAACGAAAATAGCGATACCTCAAGATGGTCAAAGGATAGGGTCCCGGCAGCGGCTTCGAGGCAAGTCAACCCCTCGCGAAGGGACAAGTTCATGACTAAAGTGGAGCTGATGCTGGATAGGTGTATCTCCGCTTTGTCGATGGAGAGAGACTCAGCACGTTCTCCTCCGCCTCCACTTGCTCGGTTGATGGCATCTGACGACTCCAGATGAGTTCAATCCCGTGTATCTACCCGCCTTAGGGGACAGCCCGGCGAAAACAGAGGTGTGGATGGAGTGTGAGGCTGCAAGGGTGTGTGGTGTCAGTCCTGTAGGGTAATGGACCCTCGCTGACGTTGCCTAGGCATTTGAGATCGTCATAGACGACCTCCAAGAACCTGGCCGACCATACCCGCACTCAGTTGCCGACGTGCAGATTGATGGGAGACAGACGAACAGCCGCATTCTCAGTGGCCCTTCCCGTCCAACAGCGATAATTCGACGAATGACATACAAGCGCGATGAGCAAATCCTCAAATATCCCCTGATCTTTGCCCCAATTGTGGGTATAGATACCCGAGCCGAAATGCCAAGAAAGTCACTGACGACAGCAGAGGGCTGTGGCCGACCGTGAAGTAGCGGCTCTTGTCTCATCTCACAGCCTCGTCGTGAGCACAATGTCGGTGAGCCTCACATACGGCACGCAAGGCGGGAGAAGCGAGGAGTGTAAAAGGCTTGTCGTGGAAGAGCTGGGTACGATGTGGGAAGAGCACGCGGCAAAGTAAGGTGTTCCTCACCCCCTGCCACCCCTGCCTCGAAGTCTTGCTGCACCTCAAGCACGACTCGCTAATCGTTTTAGGCTGGGCTCCATGGTGGAGTGCGTATCCATCCTGGATAGCCAGGCGATAATGAGCTAAATGATAGCGGCGGCGAGCGGCCTTGCGAGAACCAGACGCCATCAATATTTTACGACTTCAAAAGGGCTAAGGAGGGAGTCTTCTATGAGTTCCGTATCAAAGTACGTACGCCGCTGGGACAGACGCTGGCTGTGACTGATCCTTCAGTATGCGCTGCGGACTGTCATCGATGAGAGACTGAAGCTTGGTATGTTCTCGCTTCTCAGATGTGATTGTCGCCAAGACTCGCTCATTCGCTCATTCGCTCATTCGCTCATAGTGCCCGACGACGCTTCACTGCTCGGTCCACTCCAGCCCAAGGCAGGTCCCTCAATTGCGGCTGCCAAGAAAAGAGAGCGGAGCGACACTGCATTCCGGCGTGAGGTTTCTACTGCTTCGTCGTCCAGCTCATCATCCGAGGACGAGCCTGCAGGCCCGACAAAGAGCGCTCAAGGCGGTACCCTAGCCATTTTTCAGGCCTTGTTGAAAGTCAGTACCCCTAACCCGCGGCCTTAGGGCACGCTGACGAGCATCAGGCTCATGAAGAGGAAGCGGAGGCTCAGCGCAAGGAGGCACGAGCGAAGAAGGAGAAGCGGACCGCGAGGAAGAAGGAGAGGCGGGAGAAGAAGGAGAGGAGACTGGAGGGGAAAAGAGCTAGGTATGCTATTGATCTGACGGGCAATTCGGAGCAGGAAGGGGAGTCGATAGGTCAAGAGCTCAAGGAGACATGTAAGAAAGAGGAGATGTAAGCAGAAGATAGGGTAGATGTAGCCCGGTCACGTATACAAGCGGCGAGCTCATCATGTAAGATGATTACCGTGTGCTGGGGGCTCAGTCGCTGCTGATCAGCCTGTCTTATGCTGCGAATGGAAGCCGCTTCACTTGATGGGGTCAGGCATCTCTCCTGTGATCAACAGGGCGGTCGCACTCCACCCAAGCTGGGCACCGCGACCTCCGGCCGACCGGCCGCCGCTCGAATCCACATACCTCAGATTCTTCAGTGGGGCCCCAATCACGGGATGTCCTTCCCCCACCTTACTCCTCTGAAACCTCAGTTAGACCTCAGTCTCACTTTCTCCTACTTTATAGCCTCTTGCCTCCGGGGAAGACTACCACCTTAGGCGACACTCCGCCCCAGAGCTGCAGATATCGCCTATAGAGACCCCTCATCTCGACACCTACCCCAACCCGGCTGCTGATCTCGGACAACCAGTTCGGGGTCGACCCCTTCACCAGGACATTCAGAGCCTTTAGCCAATATGCCGAAGGGCGCAGGTATCGCCAGTGACGTCGAGGTGAGCTCTCGTACGCTACTTCTTGCTGCCAGGGACCATGACTGATCACTCAGGTCTGTGTAAACTTTGCAGACGGGCGAAAACTCAGTGGGTTTCTGACAATCGCGATTCGGGGAGCATGTCGGAAGCGATATGGTCCTTAGCAGTACGCTGAACAGTGCAGATGAGTTCAGAGTGGAGCACCATGCCGCAACGGCAAACGACCCCGCCGTACCGAGGCCTGGTTGGAGGCTGAAACTTCAAAGGTCTGTCCGCTTGATCCACAGCGCGTGACTGGCTCAAGTTAGAATCAGGGCTCGAGCACTGATGCCACAGGACTTTGAGGTCGATATTCGAGACCCAAGGGGCACACCTAGGGGCTTCGAAGAGCGATTGCAATTGACTTCGGCGCTCGATGGTCGCTTAGCAAAGAAGGTCGTATTCAGTTCCGATCACAAGAGACACTCGACGACAAGAACTATCACCGTCGTGCACGAGGGGCAGCTTCTGAGTTGCCCCTTGAATTTCTCGGTACCAGTGAGTCGATGTCGTTCCATCACGTAGCTCGCATACTCATGGACAGGATACGGTGGACGACCTCGAAGCAGCCGACGTCGGCTTGAAGGAGGCGCATGCGATGGGTCATATAATCGTCACCGTGGAACTAGGCCGCTTAACCCTCTTCGGCGACTCTCTCAGCACTGCCTCGCCCCTGCCGGATGTGGGGACATTCTGGGAGAAGCACATTAAAATTGGGTCCATGATCAAGTGCGTATAGCTACACTTGTGTCCAGTTTCTTAGGCTGAGACCCAGGGGTAATCTGGCCAAAGCCGAGCCGGCGCCTCCTCCAAAGAGCGAGAGGAGATATATTTTCACTCCAGCCAGTGGAAAGCCCCATTACGAGTTTCGCCTGAAGGTATGCCTTGGTCACATCTCTCCCACGCGACTGAAGCTGACTGTCATCAGTACTGCACTCGCGCCATCATCGATCTCAAATTAGGCCTCTGTACGTATGCTGTTGTTCCCGCTTTGCGTGGGCAGGAAAGACTGGCTGACTAATCAGGCAAGCCTGTCGTCCAACCTGCCCCGACGACCCCTGCGGCTCGAGCCTCGGCGTCTACCATCTCCATTCCCGTTTTAGGAGAGCGGCCTCGAGCACCATCGATAGCGCTCTCCGACTGTTCGTCGAGCTCTTCGTCCTCGTCCGACTCAGAAGCTGCTGCTCCTGCTGGCGGATCAGACGGGATGATGGCGCTTTTCCAAGCATATATCCAGGCGAGTCAATGCTGATCCACTCAGAGCACGTGGGGGAGTATCAGTAGCTGATCGCATCTAGTCGCAAAACGCTGCGGCCGAGAAGAAGCGCAAGGCGAAGAAGGAGAAGAAAAAGCTCAAAAAGGAGGCGAAGCGAAAGCGGCGCGAGGAGAAGGACAAGAGACGGGAGCGAGACGGGCCCGCCATGATCGATTTGACGGCGGACTCGGATGGAGAAGCCGAGTCTGAGGCGGTAGCGGCGGGTCCGAGAAGAAGGGGAGAACCAAGTATGACAGAATGGCGAAAGGGGTCAAGCAGGAGATGTTGGACAAGTAGAGACATATGTAGGTAGAAACTCGGCTGTAATATACAATCATATAGGCTTCCTTTTCATACGCTTGGCTGGCATGCTGGCTAAGCGGACTTACCGAGCTCCAGGAGCAGCTCCAGGTGACAGCATCTCGGCCTATCTCGGCCGTCACGCGTCAAGCCCAATACATACCTCACGCAAAACTTCTCTTCCCCACTCGCGGAGGACTAGACTTTCGTTCTATGGCTTCTTTGTGTCGCACTTCATCGCCAGGCCCATCTCAGCGAACGTGCTTGAGCGAGCACAGAGGATCAGGAAGCACCTCCATCCGCAACGTCGGCAATATCCCGCGGTACCCACTCGCCCTTCGGTCTGCACGGTCGGCCCGCCGAACCTCTACTTACGGCCAGCTGACTTCTGCTTGACTTTCCGACGCAACGGGACTGACCGAAGATGCCAAGAGGCGCAGGCATCGCTAATGGGATAGAAGTGAGCCTCCTCACCCTCTTCTCCTCCTACGCGCCGCCGAGAATTGGGCTGACAAGTCCGATCTCGGTGGAGTTCGCAGATGGGCGGAAGCTGAGTGAGTCGATCATTCTCCCCAGGACTCAATTTAGCTTAGCTGCAGAACCCAAGCTGACTTGACAGACGAGTTCAAGACCCAACACTTCTCAGCTACAGAAACCGAAGTCGCTCGAACGGACGTCTGGCTGGAGGCGGAAACGGAAAAGGTCTGTCTCTTGTGCTGCATTGAGCAGCTGAGGACTGACATGGCAGGAGTTCCAAGTCGTTCTGAGGGATCTTACGCCTGCCCCTCGAAGTGCCGATGGCATCATCCGAGTCAAGCTGGCTCTTGACGGACGTCCTGCCGGTGATGGGCTATTGGACGGCTTCAAAACCTGGACGTGTGATAGTATCGATCTACAGCACGACGGCGTAATCTCGATGTGTCCGATGGCTTTCTCAGTCATTGTCAGTCTACAATTGGGGTCTTAGGTATCCGACCAGCTGACTGATAGTTCCTGGGACACGGTCGATGATGTGAACAACGCAGATGTCAGTCGTGAGGAAGCGCGAAGCATCGGCTCCATCACTGCCATGGTCAAATTCGGCAGGATTGTAACCAAGCCGAGCGGTATAAGAAGGACAACGATCTTGGCAGACGTAGGCAAAATTCTGGAGTCTGACGCAAAGTGAGTCTCCGCTTGTATTTGACGCGGTCGACTTGGCTGACCCTGTTCGGATTGGGCACGATGGTCAGGTATGCCAGGACTTCATCTGGTGCTATGAGCAGAAGCTGACGGGCAGTGGTAATCTGGCCAAAGCAACTGAAGCGGAGGCGCCAACGAGCTGTAATAAGTTCAAGTTCTACGCCCGGAAGACCGACTCGCACTATGAGTTTCGGATGAGGGTATGTGTTCCCCCTATCAGGGTATGATCTAGCTGATTCCATGCAGTACTGCACGCGTGAAGTCATTAGGATCAAGCTGGGTCCCGGTACGTCGCGCTGTACATGGTATCCGAATGATAGAGGGTCCACTGACGGTGCAGACAAGCCTGCGCAAAGCATACCCACCCCCTCTCCGGCTCGCGCCTCCACCTCCCTATCGTCTACTCCTGTCAATCGTAAACGGCTCCGACAGCCGTCTCTCTCCCTCTCCGAATCTTCTTCCAGTTCTTCGTCATCTTCCTCCTCCGAATCAGACGATGCTGGCCCGACGCCGGCTCTCCCGATCGACGGTCCCCAATATAGGATGCAGGCTATGTTCAAGGCATTCATCGAAGTAGGTCTACCCTCAGCCGCCTAGATAAGATCCAAATGAGTCAACAGCTGACTATTATCAGTCGCAATTGGCAGAGGCGGAAAGACAGCGGAAAGCGAAAGCAGCGAAGAAGCTGTCAAAGGCCGAAGCGAAGAAGCAGAAGCGGGAGGCACGGGCTCGGAGACGGACGGAGAAGGGCTCGAGGGCTGTGGTTGATGTGACCCTTGACTCACATGGCGAGAAGGAGGCGTCAGGCGGGATGGCTAGCACAGCAGTCCGTGGCGTGGAGAGTGAGGTAGCCAGTGGGGTGAAGCTTGAACGAACCGGAAAGTAGGACTGATAGGTGGGACAGCAGGCGTCATCCGTGTTGAGACTGCTTATACGTTTAATTGCTGGCCTCGGTAAGTCCTGTGTGAACAAGACGGTCTTTGTACGCGAGTGGACGTGTCCAGCTGACGTAGCCGCGTAGGCTGCAAGCTGATCAGAGTACTGACATAGGCGTATATGGCTCAGCTCTTACTTACACATTCCTCATCCGAAGTCGGAGCCCCGCACGGGCGTGCAGACACACTCACATGCACACACCCTCGCCTCCTCCTCTTCCGCATTGAATTTCAGAATGATGTCTTCCTTCTGTACATATCCCCCACTTCAGATCGAGAAGTGTCCTCTGACCTTCTCCGCAATCGTAAGTCTTATTGAATTCTTGAAGGACGAAGCTTGAGTCCCTGCTAAATAGAGTCAGGAGACGGTCGATGACATCAGGGACGCTGAAGTTGACCACAAAGAGGCAGCCGCTGTTGGATCAATTATCATCACTGTGACATTGGGCCGAATTGAATCACGCCCCGCCGCTCCCGACCGAATAACGCAACCCACCCAAGCGCACCTATTCCCAGAGATTGGTAAGATGTTTGAGAGATGTGCCAAGCGAGTATTACCATTGATTGCCGTGGATGAAGCTGACTCTGGGGTTACAGAATGGGTACAATGATCAAGTAGGTCAGAATCGTGTGCCCCGGACGGAGGAGGGCCTTACTGACTATCAGAGCGGATCTGACAAAGGCGACGCCGGCGCCAGCTCCGGTCAGGAGTACTACCAATTACTTCTTCTATCCCGCCCAGAACGAGCCGCGCTATGAGTTCCGCATGAAGGTGAATCACCCAATCTTCTTTCAGCTCCACAGCGTAGCTAATCAGATCAGTACTGTGACCGCAAAGTTCTCGACATCAAGTTGGGCTTGAGTAGGTGGATAGATTCATCCAAGGGGACCAGCTGAATGTGCAGACGTGCCCGAAGTACAGCCTAAGCGCATGCTAGCCCCACTCCGCGCGTCGCGAGCTTCAGGCTCCGGTCTCCGCATCTCCAAAAGACGTCGGTCCCCATCGACTTCCTCCTCCGACTCCTCTTCCAGCGATGCTGAGACGTCATCGAACTCATCCGACTCGTCATCCGGCTCTTCGTCCTCGTCCTCCGATTCGAACGCCGACGGCTCTGCCGAAGAGTCAGGCGGTGTGAGGACTTCTTCGAAGAAACGCGACAAGGCAAGTCCAATCTTCTGTTGCGTAGGCAGATGTGGGAAGCGCCGCTGACTGGTATCAGGAGAAGAAGAAAGCGAAAGCTGCAGTCAAGAAAGCACGCGAGAAGCTCCGCAAGGCCAAGACGAAAGCCAAAAAGCAGGCGTCGAAGCGGAAGCGGGAGAAGAAGGCAGAGAAGCGGGCGAAGCGGCGGCCAGTCCCTATCGACCTGACGGGCGACTCTGACGACGAGTAGCCAACTCGAGGTGGTGGCCAGGAAGGCGAACGGAGAGGAAAGGGGGATGTGTCGGGAAAGACGACGGGAAGGTCAAGAAGGTGGCGGCGGGCAAATAGTCAACTGTGCACATAAGTCTTCGGCTGCAGTATTATCATCATGTACAGTTTTATGCTCTGTCCTAGACCATGGTTACTCAGAAGCAGAGTGTGCACGATCCTCGCCCCCCTCCCACATGCCATGGTTGCCCGCCACGGCTATGACCGCTCGGACCCGAACGGAGCGCGAAGGTCAGTCGCGTCAACAGGTCGACAGACATCGCCTCTTGTTCGCATTATTCTCTATCATCTGCCCACATCATCATACAGTAGCCCAGGACCGCTGAACTGGCCCAAGCCTCGTAGGCAGCACACAGCTTATACCTCCTCTTATCAGTCAAAATGCCCCGAGGCTCAGAAGCGGGTAAAGAGTTCGAGGTGAATAAGCTTTTCACCTCATCTCCCCTCAGACTGGAGTATTAGCCTAACCCTACAGGTCTTCCTAGAGCATGCGAATGGCAAGAGACTAGGTAGGCCATTGTTCGCGTCCAGCTGCTAAATTTGAGGGATATGAGCTGATACGACTCAGAGGAGTACGATATCTCGAATCATGAGCCAACCGACGTGCAGCCTGGCCGGACAGAGGTCTGGGTCGAGAGCAAGCCTAATACGGTCAGCTTTGAGCTTCCTTGTGTACGGAACGACAGCTGACCAGAGCAGCCATTCCATATCGTCATCAAAGACTACTGTCATGCCAAGCGTAAAGGCAAGAGGGAGGTCATGGCAACGGTCTACGTGGATGGGAAGACAGAGGACCGGGTCGCGGACCGCTTGATGTTTCTGTCGGACTCGAAGCAATTCGTGGTCAAGACGATCAATATTGAGAAGGGCGGAAGACCTTACACTTACCCCCTCATGTTCTCTGAGCCGGCAAGTCATTTATAGAACTCGAGCCAGGCGATAGAGAGCTGATTCCGTCAGGACACGGTGGACGACCTCTCGAAAGCCCAGGTTGTGGGCGACAGAGTCAATGCGGTAGGCACCATCGTTGTAGAGTTGGACTATGGGTCTTCGACGGGAGATAGAGGCCGGGCGTACCCAGCGCCGGTGATGAAGGACGTTGGGTTGCTGTATGAGAAGCATGCGAAGGTTGGCACGATCGTCAAGTACGTCACTCAGCACACCTCTATGCCATGTACTGCAGCTGACTCTTCAGGAGCGCGGGCAAGCCTAAACCACCAAAGTCGAAAGCAGCCAAGACGGCTCAGAAACACGAGGATGCGTCCATCTTCACACCTTGCGAAGAAGCCCCGTTCTACACCTTCAAGATAAAAGTGAGTCTCTTGGCGGTCCGTTCTCGTATAAGCTGACGATGACAGTACGCTATCCAAGCTTTCCTCGTTCGGAATGGTCATATGGGTGGGTTGATCTCCTGCATCACGCCACGGAGCATCTGATCTTGAGCTGATGAGCTAGAGGATCCAAATCCGATCCCAAAGCCTCCGCCAACACCCAAATCCAATCCTCCTCCTTCCGTCCCGCCGACAGACTCTCGCAAACGCGCTCGCACATCCTCTTCATCTCAACCACGCGCTCGCTCTCTGAGCAGCTCATCATCATCCTCGTCTTCGTCGTCCGATTCCGAAGCGCCACCACCTATTGGCCAGGCTTCGATGTTCCAGATGTTCCAGATGTTCATGGCGGTACGTCCACTGCCGATGCCAGGGAGGTCCGGAATTACAGCTGATATCCTGTAGACGCAAGAAGCTGAAAAGAAGGCGGCGGCGGAGGCGAAAAAGGCGAGAAAGGAGAAGAAGCGGGCCAAGAAGGACAAGCGGAAAGCGGAGAAGGCCAAGCGCCCACGGAAGCGGTCGGGGCCGTATATCGAGACGGTGGACCTGACGCTCTCGTCGGATGAGGAGGATGCGGCGGGCCCATCGACGCAGATAGCGAATGGGAGTAGGAGCGTGGCGGTGAAGCAGGAGCGGAGATAGGAGACACAGATATTGTGGATTTGGGCTGCGAGCTGTACTATAGACACTGTCAAGAACCGCATAGATACGACATAATACCATATACATAGCGACCTAATGCCTGTCAGCCTGGACTCCTTAGCGCGGGGACTTGACTCCGTTCAGCCACGCTATGTACTGCCGGCTAAACCCGGATGCAGTCGCTGCCGGGGAGGACGCGCTTGCTCTCGGCAAACCTCCTCATTCCTCAAACTCTCTTTTGCCTTATTCACCTGTTGCTCGTCTTGTCAAGCTTGTACACTTCGTAATCAAAAGAGCTCCTCGGCCCATCTATATTCCCGACATCAGCCGCTCAAAGCAGCACCCGAACGTATCGGAATCAGATCGCTCAATAGTGGCTTGGGGCTTAAGCGGGCCAATATCGTCGCCCGGGCATGGCGTCTGTCAAAGTAGCGAGCTTGGTGATACGCGTGCGTCAAGCTCTATCACCTTGCGCAAAGTCACAGCTGATGGATGCGGACACTAGCGAAGCCTATCGCAAACTCTATCAAAGCCCAGGCTACCGAGTAGGTCACCATGATGTCCCATCACGGACGTCCGCTTGGGGACGAGCGAAGTCGCTGTACTGCTGTGTGTCTATGCTGACTCCGTCAGACATGAGACTTTCCGTAACGTCTGTATCGGTATAGCTCAGGCAAGTCCTCTAGCTGACACGACCTGATCTCCGGGTTCATAGCTAATAGACTAGCGAATGCACCGGTCCGAAGCGAGATTACGGCTTGGCCTACTCAACGAGGAAGCTAAGAATGTCAAGCCTTTAAATGATGTCAAGTGAGCTGCTGCTGCCCTTTGGACCATATGAATCGCAGCATACTCTCGAAGGTAACACATGCTGACCCCGACAGAGCAGTGCAGAACGGCGCCAACTTTATCGCCGAATCATTCCTCTTCACCGTCGCGATTGGGCTGCTCGCTGGAGAGCAATGGCGGTCTTCCCGGAAAGAGAAGAATCGGCGGGACGATGTCAAGGAACGTCTAGACGCGCTGGAGGAGGAGAATAAGCAGTACAGGGAGGAGAGGGAAGGGGTGGGGACGTCATATCAGCAGGAGCTGGAAGCTCAGCGGGTGCAGTGAGTCGGCTTCGCTCTACTCCTCATGTCCGTCTCTTCCGGAGAGCTAGCTGGCGCGAGGGGGAGCTGCGGTCTGGACGAGCTATCTCCGCGCCGGGTCTGGCCCTCTTCTGCTCCTCTCCTTACAGCTGGCCAATGTCCTGCCACGCATCAAGGAAGTCAGCTGACCACTGCAGTATCTCACAGCTCGAGACGGTCCTCTCGACAGTCGTCAACAACGGGCTCAAAGCAGGCTGGCTCGCCCTCGGCCATGGCCAGAGCGACACCTCCGATTCCTCCATCCTACCCCTGCTCGATCCACCACGGAACCCCGCCTCGTCAAATCCGCCAATACGAGATCCTGGCGCGGAGGTGGACTTTCAACAAAGCGCGGTCTTGTCTGCCCTTGCCAGCACCCGGTCGAGCAAGACGGATCGGGATGAGCTGTGATCATAATTGCATGGATCCTTGCATGATGCTAGGCCTCAGCCTCACTTCGGGCCTGGACTTATACCATATACCAGGCACGGGCGATCGTCGGATGTCTGCCGATGCGCCTCCACGGTGTAATCGAGCCTATTACGGGCGGATGAGTATGGGCCAACCGCTCCCCTTCTGCTACAAGTTCCACTTCTAACATGAGGTATGGGCACCGCGATGTCGTTCTTCGTGCCATATTGTCCCGGTACAACACATGCACAGCTGACACCCATCGAGGCGTTGTGCATGTGAGCAAGGGACGATTCAGCCCCGATGTGCCACATCCGGAGAATTGCCACTTTGGGTTGAAAAAGGCGCGCGGCTTCTGCAGGAATCCTCACCTCGCTGCGCCTGCCATGCTGACAGTTGCGCAAAGGTTGCTATCATCCCCGTGAAAGTTTACCTTGCTTCCATCCTATACCTACCCACTCGTACCTAGCAGCTACCAGTCTCCTCAAGGTTCTCCTGGCTCAACAATTCGAAGAGGCAGAGATACGCCTCACCGGAAGGACCTCTCTTGAGCCGGAATCTATCTCAAACTCGCGATCCGATCTCGTCTTCACCCGACTACGCATTCGTCTTCGTCCTCAACCTCACACCTCATCCGTTTCCTCTTCCAAGTTCGTTTCTGTCCTCGCGTCACCTCGACATCCGCCCGTGGTCCAGCTAGTAGCATAACCTATCGGTAAGCTTGCCTTCCATTCTGCGCTCGAGCCTTTGCGTTCAGGATAAGAAGTCCTGCAATTCGCCAAGGTTTGGCTGAGCATTGCGCTCCCTTCTTATCCTTCTTTCCACAATTGCTCTCGTCCCAATCATATCGCGTGGCTACATGGTCCGCATCGTGTACGTGTTGTGCAGCTGCTCACACTATCAAGTCTTTTCGAATATCCCGCGTGAATCTCCCGAATCAAACGCGCAAAATGGCAGACTTCGTCAAGCTCTCTATCTTTGGTACCGTGAGTCTCCTTTACCCTCTCCCCCCACTCCCTATACAGCAGAGCTGATGTGCTAGGTCTTCGAGGTCACCACCCGATATGTCGACCTCCAGCCGGTCGGTATGGGCGCGTTCGGACTTGTCTGGTGGGTCTTTGTTCTCGTTTCAACCCCCTTCACCCACCTCCATTAGTTTTCGAAGCTGATAGGGTTAGCTCGGCAAAGGACCAGCTGTCCAACACGTCGGTCGCGATCAAGAAGATTATGAAGCCGTTCTCGACACCGGTGTTGAGCAAGCGGACGTACCGAGAGTTGAAGCTGTTGAAGCACCTCCGGCATGAGAACGTGAGTTGCCGCCTTCCCAGGGTCTGTCAGCTCTGTTGGAAACGAAAGAGCTGACATGTCAGATCATTTCGCTGAGCGATATCTTCATCTCTCCCCTCGAGGACATGTAGGTTGATTCATATTTACAATTCGGCGATTCCCGGGCAGTGTGGAGTCGAGCGGCGCGGGATGTTGGACAATGGCGGGACAAGTAATGAGCTCTTAGCTGATTTCCCAGCTACTTCGTCACCGAGCTCCTCGGAACCGACCTGCACCGCCTCCTCACCTCCCGCCCGCTCGAAAAGCAATTCATCCAATACTTCCTTTACCAGATCCTCCGGGGTTTGAAGTATGTGCACTCGGCCGGTGTTGTGCACCGGGATTTGAAGCCTAGTAACATTTTGGTCAATGAGAACTGCGATTTGAAGGTGAGTTTTGTGATCAAGGAAAAGGCGAGCAGCTAGCTAGTCGATTATGGGTGATGGGTGGCGACAGCGAGAGGAGGGCCGACGGGAAGCTCAACGATGGGCGAAGCAGTCCCGAGGGGAAGAAAAGGCGTGAGAAGGGATTAAGGGGATATTGATCGCGGGTGAAGGTGGATCAGAGCGAAGTTGGGTAGCAGGAAAAGACGATTTGGAGGGACGCGCTGTGGATGATTTGGGGCAAGGTTGCTGATTCTCAGATTTGCGACTTTGGTCTTGCCCGTATCCAGGACCCCCAGATGACTGGTTACGTCTCGACACGGTATTACCGCGCGCCCGAGATCATGTTGACATGGCAAAAATACGACGTCGCTGGTGAGCTTCCCTCCACTCAAGATACTCGGTGATGGAGATAAGCTCACGCTTGTAGTCGATATCTGGAGCACAGGATGTATCTTTGCCGAGATGCTGGAAGGCAAGCCGCTCTTCCCCGGAAAGGACCGTAAGTTGGCTCTGTCATCATGCCGGTACAGCTTACTGACGGGCAGACGTCAACCAGTTCTCGATCATCACCGAGCTGCTCGGTACACCCCCCGACGATGTCATCCAGACCATCGCTAGCGAGAACGTGAGCTAGCATTTCATATACTTGTGCAGTACAAAATAGCTGATATTTCAGACCCTCCGATTCGTCCAGAGCTTGCCAAAGCGGGAGAAGGTCCCCTTCGCCACCAAATTCCCCAACGCTGACCCCTTAGGTGAGCTGAAGCTGGCCTAGTGAAGAGAAGCTAGCTGACATCAAGCCCTGGACCTGCTGGAGAAGATGCTCGTATTCGACCCGCGCACACGTATCTCGGCTACCGAGGCGCTCGCGCACGAATACCTCGCGCCATACCACGACCCATCCGACGAGCCCGCCGCGGCCGAGGTGTTTGACTGGTCCTTCAATGACGCGGACCTGCCGGTGGACACGTGGAAGGTGATGATGTACTCGGAGATCCTCGGTGAGTTTATTGGATCGGTGACTGTGCAAACGACCATAAGCTGACGCGGCAGACTTCCACAACCTCGGAGATATCTCCCAGGTCGAAGCCGAGGGACCGATCACTGGCGAAATATCAGCTGCGCCCGCTTCGTGATCCCGCTCTCCTCTCGGATGCTTCGTATCGGTCTCGTCTCGGCCCGCCTGGTTTCTCGGATATCGGTATCGCATCGCTTCGAGGGACACCACAAACTGTACAAGATAAGAAGGAAATTTAGAATTTCTCGGCTTTGCCTTCCCCTCCCTTCCTCTTTCCCAACCTACTCTCACTTCCTCTACACCTTTTTCAACCGGTAACACAAAGTGCATGGATTGATTTTGGTCACCCCTGGATCGCTCAGATGGGGGGATGGGTGGGAGCTTGGCTTGGTATACCCATCACTCTCCTCCTTCCCTCAGCGACCATCTTACACTAGCTAGACTCTCTTTCTCTCTTTCGGCCGTACGTGCTCGTTTTCCTATATACACGCAGAGGGATGAAGCATGGACAATCATTGTGTAACCCCCACTGGACACGTTCTTCAGGCTGGACACGTGCATGACTGGTGACTAACTAGTGCGCTGCAGAGCTATAAGTGGCGTTGTGGAGGCATGAAGGAATGTCTTGGCGCTCCGAACTTCGACGCATCAGCTGCTCCGCTCCACTCTTTAGCACCATCCCACAGCTTGATCAAGATGACTCCCACTCCGCCTTGCCATTGTACTTCATCTCCCAGAGGCCAATACTGCTCATCATGCCCAGCTTCACGCCCGACGAGATGCGCCAGCTCTGGCGATACTCCTTGGAGCAAGACTTCCGCCCTCTCTCCGCCCCCGCTCCCGAGGGGTTCCTCCCCACCACCCTGAAGCCAATCGGAACGGAAAGCACCTTCCATCCCTTCTCCCCCTCCTCTCCTCCCGAGTCCATCCTCCGCGCTGTGCCCAGTATTGACGACTCCGGATCCCGCCTCGCACTCCCGAATGGTCCAGATATCCACGTATTCGACTTGTCTCCCTGGACGGGCACGCCCATTCGCGTTCTTCAGGGACATACAGAGGCGGTCACGGTGGTGCAGTTTATCCCTGGGAGTAGAACACGGCTTATCTCCTCCTCGAGCGGGTATACTGTCGGACGATGGAGCGGAAACGGAGTAGAGAAAGGACCGGAGATCATCCTCTGGGATCTGGATGCGGCGCTTCCGGGCTCGGAGCAGCGGGAGAGGGCGACAGAGGCGACTCTGGATATGGCTACGGAGGCAGCTATAGCTACTGCTCTCGACAGCTTATCTTCGGCTTCGTATACTACCGGAGCTTCTCAGTGGGGTCCCCCTCGTCACCCCGTACCCGGTCTCCCTATCTCTACGGAACACCGGTACGCCCTCCCTCCGGCCCAGCTCGCAAGCCTGCGCTCGAGCATCCGGACCGCCCTTTCTCAAGCGGAGCGGACCACTCTCGTCCTGGACCAGAACAAGCTGAATGGGCGGCTCATCACGTCGTGCCAATCCCATATCTTCAGCCACGACGGCAAGAAGCTCGTCTACCTCCCGGGACCGGCACCCCAGAGCAACAAGGACGCGCCGTGGGATATCTGCCTTCGGAACTTCGCGTCTGACGCCAATGCACCCAAGACGCTCACGCTCCAAGGGCACCGGGACGCGGTCGTATGGCTGGGCTTCTCGCCGGACGATACCCTCCTCGCGTCGGTGTCATGGGACGGCACCGTGCGGATCTGGGACGTCTCCACTGGCGCGCAAAAGCAGGTCTGGCAGACGGGCCATCAGAACTGGGCGGGCCATTGGGCGGCGGACGGGCAGTCGTTCCTCGCTACCCGGGGTAACGGGATGGTGTTCCTGTGGGACGTACAGACGGGAGATGAGGTCTGGCGATACAATGCGGGGCAAGGGGAATGGTGTCGCGCCCTCTCGTGGAGTGTGCCTGCTCCCGGATCTCCAGAGGGAATCATTGCGGTCGGCGGGAATGAGCTGGGAAGGGTCTTGCTGCTTTCCCCCGACAGGCCGCCGGATGGGGTCAAGAGGGAGGCGATACAGGAGCGAAAGCTCAGTACGTCGCGGGTGGAGGGGTCGGTGGAGACGAAGCGGATGGCGGGGAAGTTCTTGGGCGTCAATCTTGTCAAGTTCCTCCCTTCTTCTCCTGGCGAGCTGGGGACAGGCTTGAGGTTGGCGCACGGGACGGACTTTGAGAAGGGGATGGAGGTGGTGGATTTGGTACAAGGGAGAAAGTGGAGGTTTGGATTTGAGGACGACGGGATGCGGGAAGAGGCGGGCAGGGGAGTCGATAAGGCTCGGTATCACTGGAAGTATCTAGAGAGGACGGGACAGGTGTTGCGCGTTAGTGCAGACGGTATTAGGTACTTTGATCTGGATTAGAGATGGTTGTAAGCGGCAGATTGATATAGATATATACAACTCTGGATTGCTATAGGCTTGTTCCCTCGCGATGCTCCATTATATCCCAGATCCTTGCACACTGCCTCACCTCATCTCAATCCCCATCTCGCTGACTACTCTCTTCTGGACCTGATCTTGCAGTGCATTGACTTCCTCGTTCGACAATGATCTGATGATCAGCGAATACCGCGAAATGAGCGCAAGAATCGCCGACTCACCTGTCCATGGATCGATAGTTCAGTCTGTAGCACTTTGACTGTCTCTTCGATTTGGGATGTGTAAAGTCATCAATCTGATCATATCAGCTGCTACTCCCAAACTACGGTTGAGACAGGCCAGCTTACCAGAGTAACAGTCTCGACCAGATCCCCCGCTACTTCCCTCACAATCTCGCAATAATCATTTTCGTGGAACACCCTCCTACCCGCCTCCACCTTCGTCACCCCCTCTCCCGCCCCGCCCGCCTCACTCCCCGCCTCCACAGCCACCGTCGCCTCGGGCAGCCAGAACGACATGTCCTTGTGGCACGGTGGGTATTTCGAGTATGGCTTGAACTGGGTGATTTGGCCTGGTTTGAATTGGGACAGGAAGCGCGCATCGGTGGACCAGAACAAGCGGATATCGGGGATATTGTAGAGTACCATGGCGATTCGTTCGAGGCCTAGTCCGAAGGCCCATCCAGATTTATGTGATTGGCCTGACGGTCAGCGCGGTGCTTCGAAGGGGCGAAAGGGGAAAGAGGACGCACCGGCCAGATCTAGCGTCTTTTGCATGACTACGCCGCATCCTAGCAGTTCCAGCCATTCACCGCCCCACCACACTTCCACTTCGTAGCTCGGCGTTGTGAACGGGAAGAATGCCTCGATCCAGCGTACCCTCAATGGCTCGCCTCCGCTCTGAGCGACCCCGCCAAACAGGCGGAAGATGAGCGAGTTGAGAGAGTGTTTGAGATGTTGAGTGATCTGCGCGGCATGCCGAGGATCGTGAGAGGGCTGATAAGGGTTGGAAGGGGAGATCTGGGTTGTATCCTCGATGACGAGCGGACATCCCGCCAAATCCGCCGCGAGTTTGGCATTCAGCGCGGGCAGCGCGTCCAGCTCTGACTCTGACCAGACATGCGTTCCTTCCATCTGGTGGAACACCGGGTAATGCGACGCATCAATCTCGTCCCGCCGATAGACGTCCGCCGAGAGAAGCCAATGATCCAGTCCCGAGCGGTATGTCTCCACCTCGTGTGCGGACGTATGTGCCCGCAGCATATAGTCTTTATTCAGGTAGTACGAGTCCGTCACTGCCCGACCAGGGTGGTCCGCTGGGAAACCCAGCTCGTCGAAGTTTTGAAAGACCGAAACGACCGGATTGGGATGTACGATGGATGTGGCCGAGGCGAAATGATCCTGGATGATCTGGCGGAGGATGGAGAGGGGATGCGAGGGGTGAGTGAGGAGGCCCCGGTCAAGCTTGGAGATGATGGTAGGAGGGAGGTTGGAGTGGGTGTCGAGAGGGTAGGTCTGGCCGTATAGCTTGTACGGCTCTCGCTGAGGTCGAGGGGTGGAGGAGGAGAAGAGCCGGGCGTGGCGAGAGAGGGACCGAGGGAGCTGCGGGAGGGGAGCGAAGGGCGGTCGAGGTGGGATAGGGCATTGTGGGAGGGCTGAGAAGAGATAGCCCGTGCGGATTGTGAGCGCTCGGCTGCGTGTCCTGATCATTGCGAGCGAGTTCAGAGGTAAGTGAAGCGGCATGCACTTGGCTTGGGTCCTCAGAGCAGATGCGACCCGAAAAACGGTCCCTCCGATCTCACGCACGGACTACAATCTGAAACGCGCCCAGCCACGTGGATTGAAATGCAATCCGAACTACAGTAGTTAGGCTTGATTTTGTAACCAAAACGTCCCAGAGTAGTAACTCTTATCATCTCAATGCCTCTTGCGGGTGTTTGTTTCACTTCGCCAGCTAGCTCTTCACCACAATTCGCCTAGCCAAACTCTGATTGACGGTGATCTTATCTGACACAAGCAAGAGATGCTCGATGGAGTAGTAACGCGGCGGGTTAGTTGTAACGCCGCGATGCCGCTCCGTCACGATTGCACCGGCACCTGAGCTTTACGGCAGGCCGGGTGGCGTTCAAGCCACCAGATATGCCCCATCCGATGAACAACATGACGGAGAACACTGACGCTACCCTTCAATAGGAGAATTCGCACTTTGTTCACGAAGGTTTCACGCGTCCGTCACGATCAACTTCACGTCGCCGTTCGTCGCGGCATGCCAGCCAAGGAAAGAGATAAGAAGGATCGGGGATATCCTGTCAAGAGCCCGCTCACCCACTTCACTTCAAAGCTATCAACACGTCTTTCTTTTTGCTAACGTTCGCTCTTTGCTTCTCTTTACAGTCTCTCCTTTCTACAGCTGGTCTTTCGCCTCCCACCAACCCACCCACACTCACTTACACCACCTCAAAATGCGCTTCTTCATCATCGCCGCAGCTCTCGCTGTCTCGCTCGTCTCGGCCGCCAGCGCGCCTCGTGCCGCTGATGCGCCCTTCGCTGCCCGCCAGGTCACTCGCGCGCAAGTCGTCCGCCGTCATGCCAACAAGGGCATGCGCAAGCGTCAATCCCTTCCATCTGGCGGGGTGTACCCAACCTGCGCTGGCTCCCCAGCTACCGGCTCGACCTCATACGCTGTAATCCAAGGTGTACAGGTTACGTCTGCTAATCCTGTGAGTATCTTCGCGCAACGCACCGTATGAAATGGACACTCATACGTCTAGAATCGCCCCCTTGTCACGCTCGAATCATTGAACACGGGCAGCGCTCTGGACTGCACCAGGAGGTGCATCGACAACAGTAAGCTGGCCCATCTTGGATCGTGAAGAAAGGGCACACTAACCGATTTGTAGCGAACTGCCTCTCCACTTTCTACGACTCGTCTGTCACAAACGGAGGCGTCAACTGCATTCTGTACGACTACTACGATAGCGCTTTGCAGAACGCCGACGCAACTTCGACCTACGCCTTCCAGACTTGCACACAGTGGAGCACCACCTACGCGGGTGAGTCTCTTTTTTCTATTTCTACACCGTGTGCGTGCTGACTGGTCAGCTGGAGCTGATGTCACTTGCTGTAACTACAACGCCGCTTAGATGTCGGGTAGTCGAAGATTGGCGCTGGGCGCAGGACGCATGGCGGACAATTTTACATATATCTCTCTCTGTTCCTCTCTCCCTTGGGCTTTTGGGCTTGTAGCACTATCTAGATGGGTGTGTATCTATCGATGGACTTTCTGATCGTAGCTTTCAGTATGTCGGCGCATGCTTCTCGGTGCATCTTAGCCGGGATTGGCTGGTCCGAGCGCGACTCGGCAATAATCGCGTCATGTCCGAATAGGAACGCGAGCTGTTGACAAGCTCGGCTTCCATTCCACTCATATCATATCATCGCATCTCTTCATTGACAGCTCACGCATACACATACACCTACCCTGCGCAGGCCATCACCCTTAGCCAGCGACCATACCGTCCGCCAGCAGCACAAAGCTGGCTAGCCCACCCCGGTCCAGATCCATCTCACGCTCGGCGCTCGGTTCAGCCTCGTGCCTGTCGATCAGTGCTCGCTTTACATAGCCATACCGACAATCCCCTCATCTTAGGGCGGCTCACACAAAGGACGCCCCGCCCCGCCCTACCTCTTGCTATATCTACCCCTATCACCTGACCAGCCCTTATCACTCTTGCCACCCACCTATCATGTCCGTCCCACTCCCATCCCCTTCAGCGCTCCAATCGCCCACCTCGGCCAAAGCTATCCCTCGTGGTCGACCTACGCCGACAAGTCTCGGGGCGGGGAACGAGTCCCACTCGCCAGCTTCGCCAGGTCAATCACCTGCCCAAGGTGGTCAGCTGAGGGGTTCGGGGAGCAGAGAGCGGCGAGGATCCCGGTCGGGGACAAGGCCGGGCTCGGCGGCGCTAGGTCAGAGTCCTGGGGATGGGGTCAATTGGAGAGAGAGGACCATGGGCGGAGGCCAAGGTCAGAAGAGTAAGGGGCCTGAACGGACAGTAGGGGGGTTCGGCAAGAAGGAGGTGCCTAGTCCGACGGCTGCGAGTGGGGGCGGAGCCAGCGCGATTCCAGGGAGTGCTGCGGCAGCTACAGAGTCGGCAGCGAAGAAGGCGCTGAGTGCGGAGAAGAGTGAGTCAACCACGGCGTTTATGATGAGGACGGTCGAGCTGATTAGGCAGCTGCTGCGCTTGCCCATGTGCCGTGTAGATTCTACAAGTCTGGGACGTGTACCGCTGGGGACAGCTGTCCGTTCTCGCACGAAGGAGGTGGGTCTTCTCAAAGCTCTGTTAGGATATAGCTGACAAACAGGTGGGAAGAAGGAGGTGTGCCAGTGGTTCTTGAAAGGAAACTGCAAGTTCGGTCACAAGTGTATGTCCTCATTTTGATACCCCTGGTCCGACGCTAACGATCAGGCGCGCTCGCCCATCTCAGACCTGGAGAGCCAATATCGATGGACCGTAAGAACAAGCGCGCGGCGCAGATGGATGCAAAGGCGGACCCCAAGCTAGAATCCAAAGACGAGAAACCGGCTCCTGGCCCGGCGCCTGAAGAAACACCCGCTGCTCCGGTGCCAATCCGCTCGGCTGCCTCGACTCATCAAACCCCTCCCACCACAATGCAGAGCCGAGGGACCGGCTCATCGCCTATGCGGGAGCCATACGGACCGCCATCAGCCATGGGCGCCGGTTCGCCATCTGGCGGCTTCATGGGTCGCAGTCCCGGCGCATTCGGAGCGAGTCCCAACCGCCCATCCCCACTATCCGCGTCCTTCTCGGCTCGTCTGACCGTTCCTGGGTCATTCGCGCTCAAGGGGTCGCCCACTACCGCGGTTCAGCCATTACGCCAACCCGCAACCGCCGGTCCCACATCCGGCTTCTCAGCCTCCCTCTCCCACTCCCCACTCACATCCGAGTACGCCAAGCCCCCTCTGTCCGCCTCGCTCGCCGACTCGTCCTACCTCCGCCGCTCAATCTGGGCACACTCTGAAAAGGCGGACGAGGTCCTCTCGCCCCGTCGACCTATCGCGCCAGCATCGGTCTCGCGGGCCCAGGCGGACGTATTCGACAATGATGATGATGACGACCATGGCGAAGATCTCATCCCCTCTTCCCTGTCAGATCTGCTTACGCCCATGGAGCGCGCACGGCGGAAGAGCAGGCGCGATAGTAATGACTACTTTGGCGCCAGTCCCGCGCGGTCCGGATCGCAAGTCTCGCCCAATCCCAGATGGCTCGGGGAACGCCTGGCCCAGTCTGCCAACGCCACCATGGGCCCGCCCAACTTCCTGCAGGGTCTGTGGTCGCCCACTGGCTCGGATGCCCGGCAGGGATCTACCGGATCGGGCAGTACAGCAGGGGGCGACTTCACTTTCGGACCCGCTACCGCTGCTCCTACCCCTAAACACTCGCTTCTATCGCAACAGCGCTCCCCTGTCTCTTCACTTCGTGCATCCTCCTGCTCCTCCAGCAGCACCAACTCTCGTCCCGCCGTCTCGGCACGAGGAATGGCCGGGGGTGCCGATGTCGACCTCACAACGCACCTCGTCCCTCCTCAATTCCCGCGCGTGGCGAATCCCTCGAGTCCCAGCGCGAGGGCATTATCGGAGCATGCGCCGGGCATGAGTCTGCCCGGTGGCGTGGCGGCTGGTATGAGCCGGCTACACCTGCAGGATGAAGCGGAGATGACGAGGAGTTCGCATAGAGGTGGATCGGGACATCGGCGGGAGGAGGAGAAGAGGGAGGAGGTGGATAAGGGGGAAGATAGGGAGGAGGTTATGTTTGCGATGGATGGATGAGGCGGATGATGGCGAATCCAGGTGTATGGCCAGGGTGATTATCGGGGTATGAGGCTTGGACCTTGGGTTTCAGATCTTGGAAGGTGGATCGCAAAGGATGGGTCGACGTCGTGCTGAGTTGGGGTGGGAGAAGTGTGTACATAAAAGAAGGGCCAAGAAAACAGGTCCGATCAGTGAGCAGTATAATTGTATGTGAACAGAGTGGAAGGACTGATCACAAGCTGGATGCTAACGCCATCACTTAGTACTGGACAGACCTGTGAGCTCATCCACGCACAGTGCTCGCCGAGTCACAACTCAGGATGCTGGAAGAGGATCGCAGGCTCGTGAATGACACTTGACAAGTCGATGTCATATTTCACCCTGTGCCTGTATATCTACACACTGTACTCGTACTGATCGTTCTCTCATCCGCGCTCATCACTCCTCCTGTATCGACTGCATCGTTGACGCTCTGCCGCTCTGAGCCGTCCTGCTCGACAACGCCTTGTCCAGGGGCCGCAAATCCGGCGGATTGTACACCGACACCTTGAGCCAGACCGGCACCTTCTTCTTGCCCTTGCGACCATCCGTCATTGAGCGCAGACAGGCACCATCAAGCTCGTACTCTGTCTTATCGGTGCGGACAAAATCATGGGAGAAGAGACTGACCTTTGACGCCTCGGCGGCGTCCAGGGCGGCGATGGCAAGCTCGGTGACCCATGCCTGCAGCTTGGGGATGTCTGACTTTGAATCGAGCTCGAAAGTGAGGGGCGTTTCGCTCCATTCGTCATATTCATCGCCTGCGCCACGTTGCACCACAGCACGCAGCCTGCGGTGTTCTCCCGTCCCGGACACCGCCAAGTCCAAGCTCAACGACCCGTCGTCGCTCTCGTTTTTTTCCGCCAGGATTCCGATGTTGACGATGAGCTGGCCTCGTTTGGCTGGAGAGCCGAGGGGACCGTAGAAAGTGCAGTGAGGATCTTGATCGTCGGATGGCTTCACCCAGGTGGGAATGGTGGATGTACTGGCTGACATGGTGTGGTTGTATGGATCCAAGTGCGTAATGGTATGGAGGGAGGAAGAGGGAGGGAAGAGACAGGATGGGGTCGCAGACTATTCCCAGGGCAACCGCCTGCTGCGCAACACGGAGAGACACCTCAAATTGTGCTGGTCCGTTCATGCTTGTAGCGCATGCTCCTTTCTGAGGTATGAATGCAAATCTGTGGTCGTGTGACCGCACTCAGCGTCTCCTTGACGTTTCAGCAGTGGAGACGAAGTACGAGACGACCGCACTGATATGATCGTGACGCGGCCATTTGCCTCTTAGGTGAAAGACGCGATCAGCATCAGACGGATCACAGTCCGGATCACGCGGTGCCTTGTCGCATCTCCAAAACATGCATCGCTCACTACCGCTCAGAAGACCGCCGGGGAACTTTCAACATCACCGTCGGATCTTGCATCGTAGAGTTCCACGACGCGTCCGATGAGGCAGACTCGCTACTCGAAGCTCGAGTGACCACGATGCTCGGTGGGGCGAAACTCTGGCCCTCGCACTCGAGCTTCTTCTTCCCGCGAACACCTGTATCAGCACTTGTGACCATGCGTCGCCAAATCGCGAAGGGGGATGGTAACCGTCAGGGAGGAGGGAGCTGTAATCCGCGTGCGTGACTTCATGGCCTGAGGTGGAAGTCGATGGACCAGCTGCGCTGGAAGATTCCGACGCGTCGTACACCGAGCTGTCGTACCGTGTGGGCGTGCCGAACCTCGTCAATTCCTGATCCTCTCCAATGATGGGTTCACCGGGATTCGACACTGTGAACCTCAACCACACCTCCTGCGTACCTCCTTCTCCGGCAGCGTACTCCTCCTTGAGCTCCATATCCGCAGGATCGATCTCGGTCGTCTCCCGAATGGTGAAAGACTTTGGCAGCAGCTTCTCTGTATCGCTGCTCGAGAGACCTTCCCACACAGACCGAGCGTAGTCCCTCATCCATTCGCTGGTCTCCCGCCTCCAGTCCTCATCCTTGCTCGCCTGATTGATGTCTAACCTCTCCCCACTCCCGCTGTGGACTGGCATGCTGACGCTGAGAGTCTTGACGTGTATATCTTCCCCGTCACCGTCACTGTCCTCATCTCGCTTGACGGTCAAGTATCGCCCGATGCTTGTAGTTGTAGATAGGTCAATCTCACGTGAGGCCGGATCTTCTTGGACGTTGGCGGTAGTCGGCGCCTTGATGGTGAGGAAGAGGGTGGCGGGATGAGTGTCTGTGCTGCCGTATAATTTACTGCGAATTCGGCTGTCCGAACACCGTTTCATCCACTTGTATTCACCGAGAGTATTCATGTATGTCGCACGGCGCCGCAGCGAGCAAGAGAGACGTCAGTATGATGTGAAGATGCGTAAGGGGATTTAGAGGGCGAAAAACGGGGATGAAGTGAGGAGCAGATGCCTCAGGCGGGTCGGGACGTCAGTAGCCCTAAAGGCGATTCTCGCGCGGAGTATGAACTCAGGAAGGCGCTCGAAGCCCCCAGCTCAAGCTGGCGATCTCGAAGATCCTTTGTGCCACCGCAGTAGGCTTGACTCAGCAGACAAGGCAGAGCATGAGGCGCGGAGGCCCGCCGATTTGATCGCTCAGTAGAGCTGCATGAATGCTTCGGCGAATCTGCTCATGGATCCCCTGGCACTGTGGTAGCCACATTGTGTCAGCGACACGGAGACCTGTATCGCTTCCTGTCAAAGGTCAGAGCGGAGAGACCTTCGGCACCCTAAGTCGTGCATACCAGCTTCAGCCTGATCAGTACATCCACGTTCAAATCAAGGTGACAACGCCTTCCCCCGCAGTCGATCCAGGGAGGCCGGTGGATCGCGACCCCTAGCTGATCGCCTAAGTCTGGCCAGCGCCTCCCTCGATTCCCTTCCACTCGTCCCCGCCGGTCGATTCTGCTGTTGGATTGGAGGGATTGTGTGCCCCGAACTCCAGCCATACCGCCTCGCCGAGTGATGAAGCTTCTCCGGTTCCACTGAGTCGAGCCCCCAGGAACTCAAACACCGTCTTGTCAGTGAACTGGAAACCCTTCATGCGATCTTCGGGATCCATGTTGGATAACTGACCCGCCTCGGCGGCTTTGCGCATCGTGGACTTGACAAAATCGGTCGTCCATCTCTCGCTCGGAGCAATCGCGTACCCGAGTCTCCGGTCGTTGAATGATCCGTCCACCGCCGCCATGCTGTTCGCCACGAAGAAAGGACGGCGTTGGGTATTGAGGCTGATGCCACCCTCTTTTGGGCTTGAGTCGTAATTCAGATCGATGAGCAGCCATGTCTCTCCCAGCCTGGTGGCTTCGACCTGGACGTCGAGCAAGAGCTCTCCCGGTCCTCCTCCAGCGGGTGGTCGTTGCAATATGCGACACAGATCTTTTCGTCTGATGAAGCCCACATGTAGCTGCGCGATTCGTCTTCCGAGTCTGACGCTTCATCATCGCCACTGTCAGACGCATGGGTGTCAGACGAAGCTTGAGTAGCCGTCAGCATGATAGGAGAGTAGGCGGAGATGAGAAGAGAGCCGGGACGATAATGTAGTAGGGTAGTGGCTGTACATCACACATGCTGGAAGGTCGTCAGCGGGACTAGCTGGGGCTAGAAGGGCGGGGCTGCGTTGGCACACCATGTATCGGCTTCCTTTGATATACCCCTGGCGCCGTGCCCTTTGTCCCAAAAGCTAGCGCTACCCGTATCAGTAGTAAGCGGGCTGGGATAAGGAGATAAGAGAAGACATGTTTGACAGTCATTGATCGGACCTGATCCGACACGTCTGGGCGGTCGGTGGTCCAATTGTCGAGCGACCAGTCGGGGCGGAGCGGGTCATACCCAGAGATGCGAGACGCTGCATGCCGTGTCATCTCCAAGACGACCCAATACTGCTGGTCGACAGCGAATCCAAGAACCCTCCAAACTGACCATATTGCTGTGCGGTATTCCCACATGCGCTCGCAGCGCGTATCTGCTGTGCCTGGATTTGTCAGGTGGCGTCCACCAACTACATCTCGGCCAAAAAAGATGCAACTGACCTCTGGGAGCCAAGCAGTCAATTGCTAGACCCGTCAGCTAGGTCTCGGTACGCGTTGTATCGAACCTTCTAGCTCACCTTTATCCGCTTTGCGTTAGCCGGGTGAGTTGATAAGAAGTCGACATTCATGCTCTTGCCACCACCTTCGGACTGTGACATCCGTTCCCACATCCTGCAACTGATCAGTTTGACCAGCGATTCTGAAGAGGAGCCAGCTGACTTTGTTGACTCGGACGGATCAAAACAAGCTTTACTGTCGGCGTCAGCTCGTAACCAGACTCAAGAACTTCTGGAGGACAGATGAAGCTCACGACATCAAGCGAAGACCGATGTAGTCCGCCTCAGACTCTGACTTTCGCGAATTTGGTAGTCTGGAAGGATCAGCTAATGCCCATAAAACCAAGAGCAAGTCAGCTTACTGATACAAGAAGGTCAAAAGAATACGCGATATCCCGACATCAAGACCCAGAGACTCGAGCAGAAATCCGATCCCGAAGAGCACCTACGTCGTCAGCCACGTCTCGCATGAAGAGTGGCGGATCTGAAACAAGCGGAACACATACCTTCATCGAGCTCATGCGTTCAGCAGGATGTCTCGCCACTGACAGATATCAGCTGATGCGTCTTGTCGCCTCGGGCGCTCTCTAGCTCACCCTGATGTGCGATCTCGTGTCCGAGTACGGTCGCGAGCCCGTCGTCGTTGGCGCTGACGGGCAAGATCCCGGTAAAGACGAAGATCTTGCCTCCGGGGAGGACGAAGGCATTCTTCACGCTCTTGTCATCCACCACATACACCTATCGTATCAGCTATACACTCTGCACATAGGGCCACAACCAGAGCGGGCAGCTCACCTCCCACTCCGTCTCCTTCCCCTCCCGCACCGCATTCCCCTCCGACCCCCCAAAGAGCACCTCCCCCACGTCGAGCCCACCTATCTCTCCCCCTCCACCGAAGGACGGTACTTTCCCCTCCACGGCGCCGAGCTCTGTCCCGCTCTTGACCCGCCCGAGACCGGAGGACTCGATGATCCGGCTTGCTATTGCGCGGACGCGCTTTGAGGAGGGATGCGAGGGCGGGAGGAGGTTGGTCGAGTACTCGGAGAGCGTTTGCAGTTGGGTCTGATAGCCCATCTGCGGTGTCAGCTGGGTCCGAGCGATCGAAGCTGCGATCGAAGAGGCAGCCTACCTCTCGTTCTTGCGCTTCGCTGACGTCGATGAAGCGTAATCTACCAGTCTCCGCTACTCGCTCCAGGCTGGTTGGTCAGCTCAGAAGCACCACTATGCAGCTTGAATTAGCTCACTGGACAACATAGTACACCACCGCCCCGCCCACTCCAATCCCGTAGATCCATACCGCCCGATCCCCGCCTAACCGTCTCTTCAGATACCCCCCAAAGTCTGGCCGCCCCCGTGGCCCACCAGAGCCTCCAGACGGTCCAGGTGGAGGTGTGCGATACGGCGAGTTGAAGCGCTCATATTGCGCCGAAGAGCGGGAGGTGGCGTGGAAGCCTCGGTACGCAGTCGGGGGGAGGACAGGTGGACGAGCTACGGGGAGGGATAGGCGGGCAGCTGGAGCGATGGGTTGGCGCTCGAGCAGCTTGATAGCCTGCTTGGCTGATGATGCGGTACTTCGGAACATCTTCACTTTAAGTACTGGATGTTCGTAAGATAGTCAGTAGTCACTTGTCGGAGGCAAGGTGAGAGGCGAAAGATTATGCTCGTCGTTCCTCTCGGCGCCAGCTCGCTGATCAGCTCAGCCGGACCAGTACGTCATCGCTCGCATGCCTAAGCTTGCATGCCTAAATTGTGGTCCGCCTTGGCTGTAAATAGGCGCGCCGCATCACCACTGACGCACCAGCGACCAGCAGTCCAAGCTCAGCTCAAGCTCAGCTCATTCCACTCCATTCATACACCTCTATCCTACCTCACAAGGTAACACCGACAGCATGCCCTCCGACCTCTCATACTGGCTCATATCCGCCCCACTCAAAGATGGGGACCCGAGTGTCATGCTCGAAGAGGTACAGCGGGCGCTCCCGGGCGTACCTGTTGGAGGTTGGGAGATCCCAGAGCTGAAGGTGGGTCATTGGGACTGAGCCGCCATATAAGCCCAGTCACTGGGCTTACCTTCCACCCCAGAAGTGGAGGGAGACTGTACCAGCTACCACCCTCTCTAAGGCCATCACGCCAAGAGCCGTAGCTGACATACCAGACCGGCACCCTCTCCGCCCTCCTCACCCTCTCCGACAACCTCCCAAAGCTCGATACGCAGTTCACAGCTACCGTTACAAAGTGCCACGACACGCTCCGGTCACTTGTATCGGATCCCAGGGAGCTATCGCAGCATACCCGAGTGAATGACCGGCCGGCGGACGAGTATGTGTTGCCAGAAGGACCAGGGGGGAGTGCGACGTTGGGACAGGGTGGGGGATTGTGGAGGTGGGATGCGGGAAGGTGGGGGACGGGAGGGAAGGTCGGGGAGGTGTTGGAAGCGCTGACTACGGTGAGTCTAGCGTCAGTGGGCATAGGAAGAGCAGAGGAGAAGCCGAGAGGGTGAGGAGGCAGAAGATGCAGCAGGAAGGGAGGTCATCCCCATGATCGGTGGACGGATGTATCAGCTGGAGGGATAGCAGCGACGCTTGCGCGCACCGGAAGCTGATACTATCAGGAAATGACGTCCATCGACCAGCAACAGAAACAGCGGACACAATCATACAACCTCGCAAAAGGCGGATTGACCAATATACAGCGAAAGAGAACGTGCGTAACCCCATGTCTCGCTCCACCTTCAGCTGCCGCGTCCCTATTCGATACACAGGGCATGAAGCTGATGTTTACAGAGGGAACCTGTCCCAAAGATCTTTGCTGGACGTAGTGAGCAAAGGCGACCTCGTTGAGAACTCGGAGTTCTTAGAAACGTTATTGGTAGCTGTACCAAAGTGAGCTGCTCCACCCGCTCTGATGGCTGCAGGAGACAGCTAACGGCCTAGAAACATCGTCAAGGACTGGGAGGTCAAGTATGAAAGATTGACGAGTATGGTCGTCCCCCGAAGTTCTCAGTAAGTCTGCGTCACAGCTGAGCTCCTCCCGAGACCCGATCGGCGGACATTAGCTGAGCCCTGTAGGCAAATAGCAGCAGACGATGAATATGTCTTACAGACAGTCACGGTGTTCAAGAAGGTCCGGGATGAGTATGTGCACAAGTGCCGGGAGAACAAGTGAGCTACCTACCCCTTAACCGCGTGCAAGACAGAGGTAGCGGGACCGCAGCTGATCAGCCCAGATTCATCGTGCGGGATTTCAAGTGGGATGATGAGGCGTATGAGAAGCAGCAGCAGGAATTGGCGGATCTGGAAGTGGAGGAGAAGGAGCTCTGGGTGAGTGCACAGTACTGGATGAGATTGGAGTAGTCAGTGTGGAGAAGGAGGAGAATGGGAGAGGCGCGCAGTGTGATGCTTCTCGTGTCGGTGGATCTTGCCGAGCGTGAAAAACACGGACTCGCCTGGGGGACGCAGTTATCCTCCCCAACCTCCCATCCCCCCTTTCAACCTCTTCCCCCTCGGCATAAGCTAACATCCCAGACCGACCTCCTCAAACTGACCCGTATAAACTTCTCCGAATCCTACCAACTCCTATGCCACCTCAAGACCGTCCGCCTCTTTATCGAGTCGGTCCTCCGCTACGGCCTCCCCGCCGACTACGCGGGCGTCGTCGTCCGCCCCGACGCCTCCAAATCCGGCATGGCGGGCAAAACGCTCAAAGCGCTCGGCAACCACTTTCATTATCTCGCGGGTGCGTCCAAGGCGCCCGAGCGTAAGAAGGGCAAGGGCGGTGCGGGCGCGAGCGGGAATGATGGAGAGGTCGGTGGAGAGTGGGCGGGAGTTATGGAGATGGAGTACTTTGACTTTGTGCTGTTTGAGGTGCCGATGGTTCTTGCCGAGACGAAGTAGGCGGGAGGGGCGGAGATGGAGGTAGAGGATTGTAGATGACTGGACTTATGAGATGGATTGTTCGATACCCGGTGCAGAGCTGCTGGGAAGACCGTCAAGATCAGTCCGCTAGAAGAAGCAAAGATAGAGTGACCTGACCTGCTCTGACTTGATTACTGACTATTCTTCCATGATCTACCTTGTATCTATCTATATATTCTGCCTCCCACCTCCCATCCTCTCGTTCCGCACATCTCTTTCCACCCTCATCACTACACCGCCTACTCAGCCATCTTCCTCCTCAAATACGCCACCACCTCGCTCACATTAACCTCCTCCCCCCTCTCATCCGCGACCGCCCCACCCTCCACCGCCTCTTTCCCCACCTGCTTCTTAATCCTCACCGTCCCCTTCTCGAGCTCCGCCGGCGCCAGGATAGCGACGAATGGGATCTGATCATCGTCGGCTGCTTTCCACTGTGCGGGCGGCTTGGGCTTGGTTTTGTACATGAACTCGGCCTGGGTGTCAGCTCCTATTCTCGCTACGCGCAGACGACAGGTACAGGCAGTGTACTAGCAAGAGTAAGAGAAATAACCCACCTTGATCCCATTATCCCTCAACATCTTTGTGAACCCCATACGCTCCTTAACAAGCCCCCCGCCCAACGCCAACACATACACCTCCGTCTCTTTCCCGCTCTTTTTGCCGGCCGTCCCCTCCTTGGCCTCCCTTGCTCGCCGCTTCATCTCCATAATACTGTATATCCGCTCGACGCCAAATGAGATCCCGACGCAGGGGACGGGATCGGCCTTGCGCCCCGCTGAGGCGGAGAACATACCGACCAGGTTGTCGTAGCGTCCCCCGGCGGCTATAGAGCCGACGCCGACGGAGGTCTCGTCCGGTTCGCCGTCTGCCGGCACGGCACCGGAGCCAGCTGGCGGAGAAGTGGACGAGGACTTGGATTTGGAGGAAGAGGTGGCAGTGGTAGGGGGTGGGACGGACGGGACGGGGGATTTGGACGGAGGCGCAGAAGCCTCAGTGATGGCTTCGTAGATGATCCCGGTATAATAGTCGAGACCGCGCGCGAGGGACATGTCGAAGCTCATCTACAGGGTCAGATGATGTCTGTATCGCACCCCTAGACCGCCCAACTCACCTTGTCCAGCGCACCATACACCTCCAAATAGTCAAACAGCAACTTCATATCCTCCAGCCCTGCCTTGGCCGACTTGACACTCATCAGCCCATCGTCCGCTTCGAGCTTGGCGAGCACCTCTCGTCCGGGTCCTAAGGAATCAGCTCTGAGTCTCACGCGGTTCCAGCCATCATAGCTCACCTTTCCACCCGACATACTGCCCGATCTTATCGGCAACGACCTCGCTCAGTCCCTTTTCGGAAACCATCTCCCGCTTGACCTCTTCCCAGGATACCTGCCACGTCAGCTAGTTGCCTCCAATCTACACCTTGCAGTTTCTGTGGGGCATAACGCACCTTGTCCAGCTTATCGACCGCAGACGAGATCGCCCGAGTCTTGTCGGCCGGAACCCCCGCGTGCTCAAAGATCCCATCGAGGATTTTACGGTGGTTGAGCTTGACGGTGAACTCGCCGACGTCCAGAGCTGTCAGGGCCTCGACGACGAGCGAGAGGACTTCGGCGTCGGGGACCATGGAGTCGTATGTCCCTGCGATGTCAAAGTCCTGCTCATCAGCATCAAGCTCGAAGAGTTGAAGCTTTAGGTAATTAGAAGAGAACTCACGCATTGGTAGAACTCCCTCATGCGTCCTTTCGACATGACGGGCTGGTCTCGCCTGTAGACTTTTCCGATGTGGAATCGCTTCATTGAGACTACACCGTTCATCGCCAGGTACCTCGCGAATGGAACCTGCTCATCAGCTCCAACCCAGACACACAAGTAAAGGACTGCTAGCTCACCGTCAAGTCATATCGCAACGAACAAAGCTCCCCACCCTGATCCTGCAGATCATAAATCAATTTACTATCCTCCCCATACTTCCCCGCCAAAATCTCCCGGAGCTCAAATACGGGCGTATCAATCGTCGCGCCGCCATACTTGACAAAGATCCCTTCGAGCGTATTGAAGATCTTCTTGCGCATGAGCGTCGCAGCGGGGTCATGGTCTTTTGTCCCCTTGGGCACTTTGAGCTGGAAGCCTCCCTCCCCGCCCGCAGAAGGGGCGGCGAGGCCGGCAGCAGCGTCCGCCTTCTTCTGCTCGGCCACCTGGAGCTTGAGAGACTTCATCTCGTCGATCAGAGGCGTAGCATCCTGCTTCTGGACCTTGAGCTCCTTGATCTGCGATTGGAGCAGGGCGATGCGGTCGGTGATGGCGGTAGAGGAGGACATGGCGCGGACGAGGTTGAGGAGGAGCGGGCGGGCGCTATGGGGGCTTGTGTTCAGGGGGAGAAGTCTGGGTATGGAGCGGAGGAGCATACGCTCGTCGGCAGTAGGTCGGGTCGTGGGTGGAAGGATGGGGGGAAGAGAGGATATAAGGGGGGATGGTCGCCTTGCTCACGCCCGCTGAACTTGATCTGTCGAGTCGGAAATTATACTTCCGCTTGGTCGCCGGCAGCATGCAGCTGCCGGATCAAAATGCCTGTGAACATCTGTGATTTGTGACTTATTCCGGATGGCGACACCCTGGACATGAGGCTAGATTTTATCTGCTCCTTACCAGCTGTCCATCTGCCGTACGCATCGGAACGTTCAAAGCGACCGCCTCTTGGAGAGTCAACACACCCGTGATGAAGAAATGGCCGGGATTACCATCGGCCACACCTGGAGAGCCGAAGCCGCTGTCATGCTCAAACGCTGGAACCTGACATATCTGACCTTACTCATGTTTACTTACTCTATAATGACAGAAAACGACCAATACCGTCATCCCCGAGGCGCATTCTTCGCAGAAGTGGATGAGCAGATCTGCCCGACCCATCCTGATCCCCAGCCTACATTTGACAAAGCTAGCTCTTCGCTTACGATGCACCTCTTATCATCCCCGCCAAATCTAGCAGGTCGGAGGTAATCCTCACTCTACGCAAGAGCCTCGGTCAAATACGGCCTATTAGGGAGCGAGTCTCGGCGGGAAGGAGGAGATGGCGCGCACGAGAGAGAAGCGCGGATATGGGGACCATTGCTGCCTTCGGGAGTATCCGAGCGGTGACGTCGGGTGAGAGTCACAGAGCGGGGGGACTCCAGTGAGGAGATCAGCTGTGGATTGCCTGATGTCAGGCTAGCAGTGGCTGTCGGGTTTGAGGCGTCTTGGCTGCGGATGTTCGGGAACTCGGGGTACTGAGCAATAGCATCGTCCGAGTGGTCCAGGTGATCTCTCAGCCTTCTTGACGGGTTCACCCTGCAGATATCCGGCACAAGGTACTACACCAGCCAACACATCGGCTAGCAAGCTCTCCTCGGAGCCTTGTGCTTGGCCGTGGTCCTCTGGCCGTCCACAGCAAGTGATCTCCTCGCACCACGAATCTGGCACCGCATTCCTCATGCCGTAGATGTGTCAGCAAGCTGACGTGGTCTCACTCACCGCGAAACATAAAATCAACCGCGCACGTCCTTTGTTGCTTCCTCTTCTATACTTCTCGCAGCTACCTCTCAGCACCCTCTGCCACCTCCCAGCCTTATCGCCTACACGAGCCCATCAGTCGATTCGATCAAATTGCCTGAGGGCAGCGGTACATGTTCTCAAACGGGCTTTGTAGCACTCACAACTCGCACCGGTAAGCTGCCACCTTACTACACATTTTGATGGGAAAGACGAGAGCTGACGGATGATAGCGGAGTCAAGCACACTTCCGTGGGCGACATTATACCTTTCTAAACCCCTCTCCGACCCACGAACAAGAAACCAGAATGTCTCCGACGGCGTTGAACCCGGACGAGGCCAAAGGGCACCATGACTCCTTTACCCTTCCCGCTGTGCGGAATGGGCATGGGGGGTTCAAGGCGGAGGAGGTACATGCGAGCGCGGCGAGAGCGCCGGAGGGAGGGAGGTTCAGGGTGGAGAGTGAGAACACGACGTATGAGGCGGATGGGATCCGGTCGAGGTTTGTTGATCGGGGAGCGGAGGTGATTCGTGAGCTATGACGTGTGCTTCATATTGCGAACAGGTCCCAGCTGACACCCAGGCGGGGAGGATGGCAAGTATACTGTCAAGAAGACGGAGACGGCATACGAGTTCTTCACCAAGAGTCGAGTTGGCAAAGTCGGGTACGTTCCTTTCTCCTCTTCCCCCGATCGTCAGCTGACAATCAGCCTCCTCCTGGTTGGTCTAGGCGGTAACAACGGCACCACGACGCTCGCGACCCACCTCGCCAACAAACACAATATCTCCTGGCACACCAAGTCCGGCGTCCAGACGCCCAACTATATCGGCTCGCTCGTACGCGCCTCAACGGTCCGGCTCGGCACCGACAGCGAGACGGGCAAGGACGTGCACATCCCCATGGGAGACATGCTGCCCATGGTGCACCCCGATGACTTTGTGATTGGCGGGTGGGACATCAGTGGGATGCGGATGGACAAGGCGATGGAGAGGGCGCAGGTGCTCGATTGGGACTTGCAGAGGCAGTTGGGGGTGTATATGAAGGATATCAAGCCGATGCCTGGTATTTACTGTGAGTCAGCTCAAGTTTGCACGACTGCCTCGATCGTTCTAAATGACCGGATCGTGAGGAATGAGCTGATACCTAGACCCCGACTTTATCGCGGCCAACCAAGCCGACCGAGCCGACAACCTCCTCCCCGGCTCAGACAAGCAGGCTCACCTCGAGCACCTGCGCTCCGACATCCGCGGCTTCAAGGCCACGCACGACCTCGACAACCTCGTCGTCCTCTGGACGGCCAACACGGAACGATACGCCGAGATCATCCCCGGCGTTAACGATACCGCCGATAATCTCCTCGCGGCAATCAAGGCGAGCCATGACGAAGTCTCGCCATCCACGATCTTTGCGGTAGCGGCCATTCTGGAGGGCGTACCGTTCATCAATGGGTCCCCGCAGAATACGTTTGTTCCGGGCTGTATGGAGCTGGCGGAGCGGCACCAGAGCTTTATTGGGGGCGACGATTTCAAGTCGGGCCAGACCAAGGTGAAGAGCGTGCTGGCCGAGTTCTTGGTCAATGCGGGTATCAAGCCGTTGAGCATTGCTTCGTACAACCACCTTGGGAACAACGATGGGAAGAAGTGAGTATATGACCTTGCGCTTGACCTCTGATCCCCTAAATCTACTACTTGATGGCCAAGCTGACTCACAGTCTTTCTTCGCACGCCCAGTTCCGGTCCAAGGAGATCTCCAAGTCCTCCGTCGTGGACGATATGGTCGCTGCCAACCCGATCCTCTACAAGACGGCCGCGCAACTTACGGCCAAGACAGGCGAGGTGCACAAGAAGGGGGAACACCCGGATCATATCGTGGTCATCAAGCATGTGCCTGCTGTGGGGGACTCCAGTGAGTTTCCTGGCTCCAGACTTTGTACCAGCCGAGGCGGAATGTAAGCTGACGTGAGCAGAGAGGGCGATTGATGAATATTACTCGGAGTTGCTCATGGGTGGTCGGAACGTCATGGTAAGCTCCGATGCCCACGACATACTCTCCGTTTGAGAGCAAGTGGTCAACCAGCTCACAAACCAGAACATCTTCAACGAATGCGAAGACTCCCTCCTCGCCACCCCCCTCATATTCGACCTCGCCATCCTCGCCGAGCTCCTCACGCGCATCACCTACCGCCAGCTCCCCGCTCCCAATGCTGCCGAGACCGAGACCGAGACCGAGTTCAAACCCCTCTATAGCGTCCTCTCGCTCCTCAGCTTCATGCTCAAGGCGCCGCTCGTCAAGCCGGGCACGGACGTCGTCAATAGTTTGAACAGGCAAAGGAATGGGCTGGAGGCGTTTTTGAAGGCGTGTGTGGGGCTGGAGGGGAGTGGGGATTTGATGCTCAACACGAGGGTGTGGTAGCGGCGCGGAGCGGGATAGCTAAGAGGAAACGGAGGTGTAGGGGAGGAAGTGTTTTCTTTTTCGCTCATTCTTCTTTGATTGTTAGTTGTGGCTTCGAAGGTCCCATTTATATATGCTCTGCATGAAACGCGTTCTACGCACACGCTTGGCGATGCTCGCAGTCGACTCCACGTTCTACTGGCAGCATAGACACCATAGGGCACCAAAGCCCTCACCCGCGAGCTATGCGACCACCCGACCTTACGAGCTGGTCGCGTGCGAGTGGGGTAGGTGGAGGTGAGGGTTAGGGCTCAGGGAGCATGCTTTTTTGGCTGGCCAAACGGTTGCAACCGGTAGCTGCCCGGGGTGGGAGCATGGGGAAGGTGGTTGCTACCGGTAGCAACCAGCGGTAGATTGATCACGTGCCGCGCTCTGCCTATAATGGGTCAAGCTGAAGAGCTCTGAACAGGGCGAAAATCGCATGCTTTTTGACCTGAAATGCATGCGGCAGCATGGCCAGGTATCACGTTGACGCTGCAGGTCTGTTAGCCCTGTGTAACTAGCTCTTTGCCCCGTTGATAGCATCCATGCTACCCATGCTACCAGTTCTCCCCCGGCCGAGGTGGTTGCTACCGGGTTGTAACCGGTGGTTGCAACCACCTCATGCTACCAGTGGTAGCATGGAGGAGCATGCTCCCTGAGCCCTAGTGAGGGTGGAGGCACAGAGTGGGGCAAGACTCCGTGCGTGATCCGGCCGGCAGCCGGCCTTCCCGCCCAGGAACGAGGGTGCCGAGTGGAGCTCTCTGCAGTCTCACCGTCATCCTCCGTCATTTCGCCGCGTCCGCCCCGAATCTGAGGCCAGGTACCGGACTTGCGGACTTTACCACCCGAGACTCACCCGAGCCGCCGTCAGCATACAGCAGCAGGCACACACCCGAAACCCCCTTTTCTGAACCAAGATCGAGAAAATGCATGGGAATTGCCCGGAATACCTTCGGCTTGTAATCTCGGCGCGGTGGTTGAAACCTGCACTCAGCAGGCGGCGATCACGGAAACCCCCTCAGATGTCGGGGGACAATGGTAAAGAGGGTCTGTCACCAGATACCTCCTCGATCTTCGTAAGGGGCCCTCATTTGGATTTTCCACTGTCTTTGCGCAATAGCCGGTTAGTAGCCTCCTAGCCTGGCCGCAGATCCGATCTGAGCCTCCGAGGCGCTACGGGGCGCTGCGTTGAGACTGAGGCTACTGCGAGATCCGGCTCTTTGGGAATCGGGATCGGCGCTAGGGGAATGCGTCCGTAGCTTCGTTCCTGCGGCAGTGGATGCACAGCTGACAGCATGCCTCGTCACTAACCCTCTTTCGTCGACAGGCATGCATGAGGATTTTTTTCGAGGGTGCTTTATCTAATCTAGATCCCGGTCTTTACGGAACACCAACTCAGGCACGACAAAGGAATGCAGTTGCGCCGATCTAGCCGATCGGCCGATCGACCGCGTGGTGGCTGTTTCGGGAACTTTAGAGTCTCCGTCAGGAACGAGCCAAGCTTGTGCCTTGTGGCGGATGGCGGATGTGCGGGAGGTGTGTGGCAGTACCCGGGCGAGCGTCGCAGTGCTGCGGGCCAGACGAGGGAGAGGAACGAGGGTGCTGCAGTATTGGAGGAGAGGAACTGCGGGAACAATGTAGCTCTCAGCCGCAACTCCGTCAGGCGGCACTGCAGTGCTCTTTGTGCGTGTTTCAGTGACTGCGGCTCTGATAGTGCTATGTGTTTCAAGTGTTGTCCTACTGATGCGCCACCTCCCCTGCGCTGATCGAATACTAATGGCTGTATTGTCCCTTTGTTTCAATTTCTATTAGGATCCTTGTCTAATTCGAGTACAACCATAGCAGTTGCCGCTGAAACGCAAGGGGTGAGAAGGCTGCAGCCAAAAGTTAGGGAACTCAGGGACACAGAGCAAGGTGAAACACGGATTAACTTTTGGGGTGCCAGCTATATTACCGGAAGGAGTAACTCTGAGCTGGTTGGACCTCTTTTCTGGTAACGGGATGCCGTTATTTTGTCGCGTCGCGGCGCGTCCCCCGCGCGTGTCAGTAAAAAGGGGGGTGCCTGTTGTCCTTACGCGAAGTTGTGGATCTCCCGACGGCCACCCTCGTTTGTATAACTACCCTATCCTCCTTCCTCTTTCTATCCATCAATCTCCTCACTCTCACCGCCGCAGCATTCCATCATCACCCTCGTTTCGCCTCTTCCGCCTCGACCCACACCGTTCATTCGAGAACAATCCACACAGCACACTCGTTTTTACCGACATCGCATACCTCGCCCTCGGCTCTCCTGCCTGTTCTACGCCCGGCGCGCAAGATCAGCTCGACACCACCCCAAAAAAAAGTCAGGTCAATCCAAAAGGTATATAGGCTGATACTCGGTGAGTCCTTCTTTCCCCTCATCCACTCACTCATCTCTCTCACTACCACTACCACCACCAACCCACCCACCCCTTCACACTCAAAAGAGCTACGCTCACTCGACTTCCAGTCTAGCACAATCACTCGCCAACACTCACTCTTCACCACCACCACACCAACCAACATCCACAAAATGTTCGCTACTTCCTTCTTTGCGCTTGCCGCTGTCGCTTCCTTCGCCGTCGCTGCCCCCATCGAGCAGCGCGGTGCTCCCGCCAACTGGGCTTACGGGTACCTCGAGGACTACCAGACCTGTAAGTTGCCTCGCCTCCATTCCTTGCCTTTGGACGCTGGCTGACTCTCAGACCACGTCCGGTACCTCGCCCTCAAGTGCTACGACCGCAAGAACTCGGACTACTTCCAGGACTGCTGCCGTCCCATGCTCTCCACCGAGAACCTCCAGGACAACCGCAAGGCCTACTGTGTCCCCTCGGCCGAAGACGTAGCCTACGTCTCTTCCTCCCTCGCCGGCAACCTCCCCTCCGCCACCGCCTCGGCTGACAAGGCTTCCGAGTCGGAGTACGTCTCGGTCCAGGCTTCCGCTTCCTCGGCTGCCCCCTCCAACGCCAAGGTCGCCGCTGCCCTCTCTTCGTCGGCTGCTCCCTCCCCCGTCGCCGAGTCCAAGGTCAACAACTACGTCGCTCCCGTCCCCACCACCACCTCTACCACCCCTGCGTGGACTCCTTCCCCCACCCCCACCTCCACCACCCCGGCCTACACTCCTCCCGCTGCCACCTCCACCAAGGCTGCCTCCAACGGCGGCGGTGAGACCATGACCGGCGGTTACGCAACCTTCTTCTACCAGGGCGGTAACCCGGGCGCGTGCGGCCAGTACCACGGTGACGGTGACATGATCGTCGCCATTGACCAGGCCCGATGGGGATCCTCTTCGTTCGGCGGTGGCTCCAACACCTGCGGCAAGTGGGTCACCATCACCAACACCAACAACGGTCGCTCGGTCTCGGCCATGATCGCCGACGTCTGCCCCACCTGCACCAACGGCAACTCGCTCGACCTCTCGGTCGGTGCCTTCAACGCCATTGCCAGCGAGTCGGACGGCATGGTCCCCATCTCGTACCACTTCAACTAGGTGGTCGGTCGCCTTTCCTTTTCTTTCCTAGGGGTCCTCTTCTCTCTTCCTTCTCTTTCTGGGCCTTTAGGGTGTCTCTCATCATCGTCTCTCCATAGAAATTACAATCAAATCATGTAGCCGCCGGGCGGTCCCCAACACTCCTCCCCTCCTCTTTCTACTCTTTGTACCCTTCTTCCCACCCTTCCTTGAAGCCTTTCCTTTCTCTGCCTTTGACTGCCTAGTGCATCAAACTGGCCTTTGTAGTAGATCTACCGAGGGGCGGGCGGGAACGTTGCTAGGGACGGTGCGCGGTGGAGTGCAGGGATAGTTAGAGGCGGATGGACATACTGTAGCTAGTTCTGGTAGTTGGCTACAGTACGATGTATCAGCATCAGAAACTCAAGCGATTCCGAGGCAGCCCCTGCTGCCGACTGACAAGTGATACAAGAAGAAGAAGGGTTGACTGGATGTTAGCGCCTCAGTCTCAGAGAGTTCAGAGGAATGGCTGATCACTGATCATCCCGCCCCGTCCGATCTCGGATCTCTTGTTTATACTCCTCACTAGCGCGCAACTAGCGCACAAGCCACCCCTCACCACAGCAGCTACCGCAGGTCTCACTGGTGCGCTGGCAGATCCACAGCGTCTCACGTAGGCTTTGCTCGTCTGAATCACTGCTCATGCTCGGCGACCGTAGCTGCGGTGAGGGAGTATTGGTGGGGCACAAGAAGAAGGAGGGGGAAGGATGTCTTCTGCTCACGTTCCGCTCACACTCACACGTACTGCTTGCACTGCTACTCCCTGTAGAGCTTACCAAGGACCCAACGCTACTCTCTAGCTCCAGGACCAGACAAGCACAAGTGAGCTTCTTCGATCGAAGGTCCAGGTGCAGAGTAGTTGGGGTAAAGCTGACTATCCGCAGCTAAGCCAGTCACGATGCCGCCCATGCCCCTCGATCTCGATGCTGCCCTGATCGGACTGGGGATCTACATCCCCTTTTCCCCCTCCTCTTCATCTCCACTCGACTCCGCCTCCTCCAGCAGCACAGGCGCAGAAGCCTCGTCATCCGCCTCGTCATCAGCACACCTCCTCAGCCCACCTTCGGCATTTCATACCCCTCAAGCCCAGACCCGGCGATCTCGCTCTCGCGCGCACATCCAGCCTGGGTCGTCTACCCCTCGATCGCTTGGTACGCGGGGCGGGTTTCGTGCGCCAGGAGAGGGACTCCCCCGGTCCATCTACGCAGGAGAGGAGAATCCATTCTTGCCTCTGCAGCTGCCGGAGTCTAATGCGGACTCGGAGGATGAAGCGATGCGGGACCAGGACCAAGAGGAAAGGGAGGAATTGAGGGGGAGTAGGATGCGCAGAAGGCGGAGCAGGGAGTACGACGAGGCGATACTCGATGTAGAGCTGGACGCCTCGGATCTTCCTCCCTCCCTCTTCAACCCTGCCCTGCTTTCTCCCCCTCCGACCGGCGGCAGGCGATACATCCCTCTCTCGCCTTCACCGCTCCACACCCCAATCTTGCGCTCCTCTCGCCTCTCCCGCCGGACGCTCGGGGGCACATCAGGCGGCTCCGACCCTTCTCTCGCAGGCTACAACCCCGGACCTGGTCCTACACCCTCCGATCCCCATACTCCTACTCTTCCCTCCACCCCTCGACCAGCCGGAGAAGCTACGCCTCTCGCTTTCGCCTCGCCCTCGCCGCACCCGACCCCGTCCGCTGTACGCGGGATGGGCGCCATAGCCAGCGCGCTCGCAGAGGACATCGCACCCGTCCCCAATCCCCTCTTCGCGGCCAGCATAGCTCTCTCCGTCGTGCTCGGCGTGCTCATCGTCGGGCTCGTGAGCGTCTCGGTCGCGTACTGTCGCCGAGGCAAAGGCGCGTCAAGGGGAGGAGGCGAGGACGGTGCTGGTGCTGAGGGAGAGGCAGGAAGGGAGAAGCCGATGGGCAGTCCGAAGCGGCCTTCCTTGGCGGGATTGTATACGCGAAAAGGGAGCGAAACGCCCACGTCGACGAAGAGCAGCCAGAGCCCCTTCCGCGCTCTCGGTTTCGGACTAGGATTGAAGTCCTCGGATACCCTCACCAGCTTCTCGACCCAGCGCAACGGAGCGGCAGATACGGACTCGGCCTCGCGCCCGGCTAGTATCCTCAAATCACCCATCATCGCTTCGTCGCCGGATACGGTCTCCAAAGTCAGCTTCGGCCACGGTGGTGGCGGGATAGGCGAGCCGACATCCCCCCAGTCGATCTGCGTGACGCTCAACGAGAGCCCCAACGGTGTCAGTCGGCAGCTGTACACACCTCCGACGTGGCATGCGACGTCAGCGGGACCGTCGTCCCCGCTCTCGCAGTCTATCGGCCCTTCCACATCGGATGCCTCGCTCGCGCGGACACCGGTCGATCCACCGGCGATGCCTACGGCAGTGCGGGAGTCGGTCGCGTCCCGCCTGAGCATATGTGCGGTCCCTCCTCTCGACTCCATCCAGGAAGAGCCGTCCAGCGGGTCGGTATCCACTGCAGACCATCACCAGCCGGCGGCCGCCGTGCACGACATCGAGGCGGAACACGAAGGCGAATCCGTATCCTACCACTCCTGCTCGGACAACAGCAGTATGACTACCCACGCCTCTGACGACGCCTTTGGGTACACCTCGCGCCCCTCGACTCCTCTCGCGCGGAGCATCAGCCTCGCCTCGCACGCGTCCCGGCCCATCTCTACGGCGTCCCTCGCGAGCTCGGCGTCATTCACGCCGACAATAGAGTACCCGCACTACCCGTCCATCTCGGATCTGGCGCATTCGGAATTGGAGGCGGATACGAGCTTTGATACGGTCTCGTCAGTATCGCCCGGGACGCCGGGAACGTCTAGGGGATCCAGTCCGGTCGGCGGCGGGGTGCTGGATTCGCCCCTTCCGCTCATTCTGGGGTCGGGGGGCAGCTTCTTATCGGATGAGAAGGGCAGAGGGGGGCGGAGGAGGACGATAGGTGGAAGTCCGGGGGCGCTGAGGTTGCGCACGAGGTTCGCTGTCGACGATGATGAGGAGGAGGAGGAGGAGGAGGAAGACGAAGAGGAAGAGATTGGAGATGTCAAGGAGATGCCCGAGGCGCAAGAGATGGCAGTCTATGGGATAGGAACACGGCAGTCCCTCTTTGTCGGTACGCTCCAAGTCGACCCCTCTCGGTCCGCTGCCGAAATCAAGCGCTCCCTCTCCCTCCCCTCCAAACAACCCGTCATCGGCACGCCCCCTTCCTCTGGCGTCTTCAAGCGCGCCTTCCGAGCCATGCGCGGTCCGGCCCCATCAGCCCCTCGCCCACCGACTCCACCTCGTCCCGCTCGCCGAATCCATTCCTCACCTTCCTCCACCTCCACCCTCAACACATCCACCACGATGGACAGCGTCCGCACCACCGATACCGCCGATACGGCCGAAACAAGCTGCACCGACGCCACTACGGCTACGGACGCGGACGAGGGGGACGTTGGCATAGCCCGATTCTCGACCATGTCGTGGGACCAGCTCGGGTCTGCTGCGGGTTTTGATGCGTATTACCTCGGACATGAGGGCGCGGGGCGGCCCGACTCACTGGCGGATTCCAGTGTGTCTGGGAGCTCGGGAGACGAGGACGAGCTGGATGCGGACACGTTGGCAGAGATCAATCAGGCGAGGATATCGTTTGGGTTTTTGTCCACGGATCAGCACGCCATGACGGAGGGGGAGCTGGTCATGCATCTAGAGGCGTTCCCGGAGCCGGCCAGTCATTTGCCACATATAAGGATCACGAGCCATTAGGCCGCAACATGGGGCAAGGGGGAAGGAGGTAGATGAGCAGAAGGTGGTCAGAAGATACATAGAAATTAGACAAATCATGGCAGGTAAAGGACACTTTGTTGTACCCCATGTAGAGACTTGTTGTAGAGCTTAAGATGATGCACCGGTACAACTTTAGATTTACTCTATGGACAAGATCGTCTCCCCGCTCCGCTTCTCCCGCTCATTCCCGTCCCCACCAGTTCCGCTCATGATCCCCAGCTGTTCCCCGGATCAAGCAGTGACACGCGGCGGTATCGACGTACCGTGGCCCGACGCACCCGCGACGTCCCCGTTCCTGTGCGGTATACTGTCCAGCGGATCCGAGTTCAGATCCCCTCCAACATGTCCGTGTCCATTCGGCATTCCGACACCGGCAGCAGCCAACTGATCCCCCACAAACTCCTTGATTTGGGGTAGGACGGCATTGAGGACATCGACGACCTTGGTGTTTCCTTCAGAGGGGACGACCTGGCCGCCTAGTCGACGGCGGGCACGGTCGTCTGCTAGGATCCGATGTGCCTGGGGGATGTAGATCCTGCTTGACTGGGAATGTCAGCTGGGATCTCCATACCATGCAACAGGAAGAGGGAATGCTGGCTGAGGCTTACAGATCTGAACCAGGCGCCCTTGTCGTCATCATTCGGATCTATCTTGACGAGCGAATGCAGCCCCGCGACCTGAACCACCGCCTTGACTTTATGCTCCACATCTGCCTCCATCAGCTTCGGCCCGTTCTGCATCGCGGTTCTATAAGCTCACCTCGATTATTGACGAGATCGACCACAGCCTGGCATCCCGACCCATGCCCGATCAGGACGATATGCTCGCACTCTGATAATTCGATATAGTTGTCCCAGAGATATCGCATCAGTTTGCCTTGGTCCGAAGGGGCGCGGGGGATGATGTTCTTGCCGCCCTGTATTTGTCAGCTTGCGCTCCCTGCAGCGATCCGAATCGTAGAGGCTCTCCAGCGTACCTCAGGACTCTTGTCGGGAAGATTGGTGAGGACGTTGACGTCGATAAGGCCATACGAAGATTTGGTGACCCAATCGACGATCAGGTCGGAGGTATCGAGCTGAAGTATGAGCTAAACATCTCGTACAATGACCAGCATATGTAAGCTCACAAGGTAGCTATTTGTCAGGTGCACATTTGTGGTCGATACTCCATCTGTCTCCACGCGTAGATTCCCACTGCACGTGTAAGCTATGCCCGAAGAACAACCCTCAACAAGTAGCTTACAAGTCATGCACAAACACCACGAGCACACTCTTCTCCCCCGCCTCATACACTGTCGGACTACATATCACCTGCCCCTCAAAGATGTTCTGTAGTTCATCACTGGCCAGTGGGATCTGATAGAGTCCATGTTTGGTGTACATGTGATGTGCCCGATGAGCTTTGAGCAGATCTATCATTTCAGCTACTGTCGCTTCCACGCGCTTTCGCTAGCTAGCTTGCCTGGTATCGACGTCCGCGCAGACACATCCCCCATCTGCACAATCTCTGGCGGCTCGCACGCCTTCACATCGATACTCTTCCAGTACTTGGACTGGACCTTGGCCACTTCCCACATGACTTCCGTAGCCACACCGCTCGCTTGGAGTGGGGGCAGGACAGCTGGGGTCTCGCCCAGGAGGACTTGGGTAACAGCGACGGCCGAGTCGGAGATGGCTCGGAGATTGTAGCCGCCCTGTCTAGTCAGCTTATGCCCTCTCGTGTGTGAGGGATCGTGACATGAAAGCTAACCTCGAGAGCAACAACGACTTTGCCTCCAGCGACAGCACAAAGCATGTGTGTCATATGTCCATATGCCGCGGGAGTGACATTGCAGCCTCCGAGGTGGTCCCCTTCTGCCGCATCGAATCCCGCCGAAACTGCCAAGTCAGCTAAGGCAACGACGTTCAGCACCGACTAGCTTACTGATGACCAGATCAGGCGCGAATTCGTACGCTATTGGCATGACGATGCGCTGAAAGGCATACAGGTAATCCGCATCTCCCGGACCCTGGTCAGGCCATGGGATATTGACCGATCTAGCGCATAAGCTGGGGTCGCAACAGTACTTTGGACCGGACAGCTCACGTTCCGATGCCGGCGCCTGACCCGACCATATCCAACCCGCCGAAATCGCTTGTAGGGTAGAACTTGCCGCCTTGGTGTACATGTATCGAGATGTACAGGACGTCGGGATCTTCCCAGAATGCCCGCTGAGTACCATTCCCGTGGTGCACATCCCTGAGCCATCAGCTATAGTCTGAGGACACGCCGGACTCCGAAGCTCACCAGTCCAGAATCAAGACCTTCTTCGCCAGCCCCAGCCGCTGCACCTCCCTCGCCGCAACCGCCACGTTGTTGTAGAAGCAGAACCCCATATGTTCGTCCGGCTCGGCGTGATGTCCGGGTGGACGGACGATAGCGAACGCGTTCCTGACTTCCCCGGTACAGACGGCGATACATGCCTGGATGACACCGCCGCATGAGAGCCGGGCACAATGGGCCGTCTCGCGGCAGACATAGAGTGAGAGCTGCTCATAGAAGTGTTTTGTCTGAAGGATGATCTCATCCGACATTTCTGACAGGTCAGCTTTCTTCTCGATTCTCGGCGCACAACGCAGAAAGGGGCGAAGATGACATACCCTGTGTCCCCTCGACTTTGGCCCAGTGATCCTCGCTGTGCACGAGCATGACCTGTTCATACGACACTTGCCGAAAGTCCAGCTTCTTCATCCGCGCGACCAGCCCCGCGTCCCGCAGGCGATTGAAGATCCGCTTGATCCGGACTGGATCTTCCGGATGATCGTCCTTCCAGTCCAGCGAGTCCTCGGTGGGCTCATACCCGTCCACGCAGTGAAGCATCATCCGGGCATCGTAGATGTAGCCGGTACGGAATGTGCGAGGCCGAGGGATGGGCGCGGGGGACTCGGCGCGGATGGAGGATGCAAGGGCGTGGTGGCCGACGGTGAGGTCGTCGTGCGTGCCAGAAGCGGAGGAGGGACGGGACGAGGAGGAGCCAGCGACGGCGGTGATGAAGGGAGATTGCGCCTGAGCGGAGGATACCCGCGCGACAGCGGAGGAGCCGGCAGTACGGTCCGTACTGGAGGAGCCTTCCGAGGGGTGGAGAGCTCCGTTTCCGTTCGTCATGGAGGTGGGGAGTACGCCTTCCAGGGCAGGGAGGATGCTGTCAACAATGGGGTTGATGATGTTCGAAGCCGCCTGGGCGATGCCCTGCAGCACCGAGCTGGGGCCGGATTCCTCTCCATCAATCTCCATCGTTCCGTCCCCTCTTGCCCGTGCATAACCCCCGCCGAACGCGCCTCCTCCGACAGTAGCTCCAGCCGACTCGGGGAAGAACGTCTCGGGCACGAAGGAGGCCCGTTCACCCTGCGCCGAAGCCTGCCCAAGACTCTGAGAGCCTTCTGCTTGATGGAGCACCGAGTTGGGCGAAGTGAAGTCCAGGAGTGTCTCCGGGATGGGAAGGTCCTGGCTCTGACCGTTGGTGGGCGCGAGGCTCCTCTCAACCTGATGGGAAGAGGTACCGGTGTTGCCGGAGGGGTTACGGCTGTTGCTTTCGGACATGATGCACTGAGCAAGAGACTGGCAGGATCAGTGAGATGTAACGCGGCAAGATGTCAGCGGACACCAGGAGGAAGACTGACAAAGGAGAGAAGGGCAGAAGGAGGAGGAAGGAAGGGTCGCTTCCAGCTCGGCTGAAGCTCTGGAGGAGGACCGTTACTCCAGATTTTTTTTGGCGCGGCGCAGAGCTGAGGATACGGCGCTCCTGCTTCTCTGTATGACTGTCCTTGGTGTTCTAATATACTATAGTGAATGTGAGGATGAAGATGGGAGGAAGGACAAGCCGAAATCTCGCTCTCTCGGTTGCCCTCGCCGGTGTGTTTACGTAACTCGTCACGCCCCTTTGACTTTGCTTCTTCCGCGTGACAATCTGAAACGAGTGCCTGGAGCTACGGAATGACGCACCGAGATCCAGAGTGGAGTAGGAAGGGCAGGGGGAATGAGGTGAGCAAGTCACAGCGGGGCGGCGATGTCTCAGCCATTCGTTAGCCAGTCGCGTCATCCAACTGGACGCTAGATCGGTAACTTCTTCTTTCTCTTCTTCCTCTATCTCATCTCTGCCTCTCTTTCATACCTCTTCTGACCGACTTCCAGCTCCTACTTGTGTCTTCCTACATCCTCTTCCATCCCTTACAGTCAGCAAGATGAGCTACGACAATGAGGCGGATAGGACGGTCGAAGCTCGGCTGGCTATCTTCATGTATAGTACGGATCCTTCTCCTTCATCTCCACCCTCCCCCCTTGACCTCTCCACCACCTTCCTCGGGCTCAGGCTCCCCTCCTCATCCCATCCACCCATACTGAGGACCCTCTGTATCCTCTCGCGCTGCATCCAGCTGACGCCCAGGCCCGCGTCCCGGTCCACCAACCCCCGAGAACCCGTAAGCACCCTCTCTCCCCTCCACCTACCCATCCCGTCACCACCTTCCCCTATCCTCGGTACCTATCGCTGACAAGCAGCAACAAGCCCGGTCCGATGACATACCACTGTATCTTCTTTGACCTCTGCCGGACCCCCGACACCCCTCGGCACGATTGGAGGGAGAAGGGCAAGTGAGTCATGATCATCGCCTGCATCTCCGAGGAGTGCGATAGCTGACGCCCAGAAACCTTCTCTCGATCGACGACATGCGCGTCCAGCGCTTCGCCGTACACTACAAAGAAGAGGAGTTCCCTGAGCTGGTAGCGGTCTACAAGTGAGCCTATCTCCCCCAGAGCGAGCCATCCGTAGCTGATGAGGATAGGTGGGAGTTTGAGACGCACAGCAGGACCGAGTTCGTCAATGCCATGGAGGACGTGGATGGGCTGGTGCTGATGTGAGTCCGTCGTTTACTTGAGGCTGGACTTGGCTGACCCTCTAGCCAAGACATAGGCAAGGAGGCGGAGGTCGAGAGGGAGGTGGATATCGAGAAGCAGATGGAGGGTATCGCTGGCTTCATTGCGGAGGCCAAGGGCATGTTTGAGGCTGGTGATCCTGGGCTTATCAGTGAGTCCAACCCCCACTTCTCGCTCAGAGATGAGTATAGCGCTAATGAGCAGCTCCCAACTCATTCGTACGCTACCCCCACCTCTCCCTTGCGTAGCGCTAACAGCCCCAGCCCGTCCCTGTCAGCGTCATGGCCGGGACCCTCGGTGGGCGAGTCGGTAATCGGAACCGCGAGGAGGTCAAGGAGATCGCCAAGAAGGCCGACTGGATATATACCTACATCTCGACTCTCTCGCACGAGATGGAGATTGCCCAGTAAGCCCTAAGCAGGATCAGTAGTGTGAGTCAGCTGACGGAGGAAGAAACATTGTCAAGCTCGTTGAACGCATCAAGAAGCGAGGGGTATTTCGATCTCGACTCGTCCCTGGCCTCGTTCGCCCTAGACCTACGCCAAAGTCTACCCCCAAAACACCCAAAGCTACACCTCCCACAAAAGCCCTCTCGCCCGCCTTGCCGGAAACGCCCGCGAGCCAGCTCCTCCACACTCACGACTCCCCCTCGAGCACGCGCCCCCTCAAAACCCCCAAGCGCTCCATCGACTATAATGAGAATCCCGTGCCGCCCCTGCCGGTCGCGTCGGGGAGCCGGGACGAGAGTGGCGAGTTCGGCCCTGTCACCATCCCACGCATCAGCCCCAAGCGCGTCCCACGTATCGATATCCAGCAGCCCAAAATCCCGCCGGTCCCCGCACTCCCCGCATCCACCTCGTCTGGCTCTCTCCGATCAGTCCGGCCCCACCCCTTCCGCGCCCAGTCGTCCGCCACCTCTATCCCCAAGAATGGCAGCTTCGACAATACCGTAGCAATCCCTGACGTTCCCCGCGCTCCCCTCCGTATCCAGGTTCCCCCAGCACCTCGCGGCAAGGGCGACCCCATCGTCAATGTCCTCCGCAACTCCCCTCCGCGGAACGTCGACCTCGACGACTACGTCCCAGAGATCAGCACCGCCGGTCAGGGCGATAGCATCCTCAACAACATCGAGCGATTCAAGAACCCGCTCCGGCCGGCTCCTCTCCCGCCCAAGGGCGAGAGCTTCATGCCTTCGTACTTTGACATGGAGGGCGGAGAGCTACGAGGTCGGCTGGATAGTAAGGCGGAGTCGAGCTCGAAGGCCGCTGGAGGGGGTTTGTTGGGGAAGTGGGGAAGGGCGATGAGCGTCAAGGGAAGCGATGGGAGGTCGGGGAGTATCTCGCCTGTCCCCGGTGGAAGTGGAAGTGGGGGCGGAGACGTGGATGCGTCAACCCCCGGTCCGACTCCGGGGTATACCTACCCGCCCAAGCCCGAGGCACAGCCCAAGCCGAATCCAGCTGCTCCTTCCGCCGCATCGGGAGCGCCTGTCCCTACCGTCTCGGTCACCCCTGCGGCCGACAACCCCGGCACCGTCCTCCCCGGGGCGAGCTTCACGGACGAGCCCACCACCATGAGCGGCCGAAACTCCCGCGCCGATGCGATCACCCGGACGACATCGGAGGAGATTGCGTATAATGAGCGCATGATGAGGCGGTTCGGGGATATCCCTGGTTCGAATGCGGGGTCGGAGATACAGGAGGTGGAGTTTGAGCCGAGGGAAGGGAAGAAGAAGAGGTGGGGGTGTTGTGTTGTCATGTGAGCGGTGAGCGGGGGAGGGAAGCGGGAGGAGGTGAGCAGAGTGAGCGAGGGATTAGGGGGGAAGGGCAGGGGAAGGAGAGAGGCGGGAAGGGGCTGTTCAAGGCGTTTATAAGGGGCGCTCTTGGGCTTTAGGTCTGCTTTGTGTTGTTCCGCCTGTCCTCAGACCGCTATTATAGTATTGATAGAAGTATTGTACCTTGTCATAGATGTATAGTTGCAGTGTCAGCTGAGGCTCGCTTTGGCTCGCAAGGCGAAAGTGAAAGTGGCACTTTGGCTCAGGGAAATGTGGCTGGGCTGTGTCGGACGCGTTGTTTGCGCCGTGTACAAGCCAAGCAGAGCAGTAAGCGGACTGCGGCAGAAGACAAAGCAAGGTACACAGGACACGGTATCACATCTCGCGCTCCCGCTACGGCGCAACTATGTATAAAGATGACCGGTCAAAAGGCTAGATACTGCCCAACTAAGCGAAGACGAAGGCGAAGAGGAAAGGTGGCGGAGGGGAACCCAAGATGGGGAAGAGTGAAGGGAAGTATGAACGAAAGAAGAGAGAAGAGATAGACTACCCGGAAACCTCGACAAGAAGAGAACATCGCCTAGGCCTTGGTCTTGCGCTCGGCGGGGGCCTTGCGGGCGGCCTTGGGTGCGGGTGCGGCCTTGGGAGCGGGGGCGGCCTTCTTCGCGGCGGGCTTGGCGGCGGATTTGGCTGGGGGTCAGCGCAGGTCTAACGGATAGGAAACGAAGGTGATCGAGGAGGAAGGAAAAGGGAGAAGAGGGAAGTGAGGGAGGGAAAAGAGGAGGAAAGAACATACCAGCAGGGGCCTTCTTGGCGGCAGCAGACGACACCTTCTTCTTGGGGGCAGCAGCAGCGGCGGCCTTCTTGGGGGCGGCGGCAGCCTTCTTCGCGGCGGGCTTAGCGGGTGCGGCGGCCTTCTTGGCAGCGGGCGCAGCAGCCTTCTTTGCGGCGGGAGCAGCGGCCTTCTTGGCGGCGGGGGCGGCGGCCTTCTTGGGTGCGGCAGCCTTCTTGGGGGCGACGTTCTCCTTGTCGGACGCGGCGGGCTTGGTCTGTGAGTCAGCCTGTGCTCAAGAGAAGAAGAACGGAGAGGAAGGGGAAGGGGACATACCTTGGGAGCGAGCTTGACCTTGCCGGAAGCACCGTTAGGGAGGACAAGGGCACCAGTGTCGGCTCCGCGCTTGATGGCCTGAAGGTCAGCTTAGCACTTGTATACAGAGGAAGGGAGGGACATACGTTGTTCAAGTTGCTGGTGTTGGCAGCGGAAGACATGTCGAGCTTGTACTTGTCGGCAAGGAACCTAGTGGGTCAGCTTGAGATCCGGCGAAGGAGGCTGGTAAGCTTACTTCTTGATGGTAGGGCGAGAAACACCGTGACGGGCAGCGGCAGTGTCGGCCTTGACACATTCCTGATAAGTCAGCGATGGTCCCAGAGTAGGGAAGGTTGAGCGATAGAGAGAAGGGGGAGGACGCGCCGGAAGAGCGAAGCGAAAGGGAGGTGATGAGGGGGGTATGCATAGCCAGGGTGAGATAGGGTGAGATAGGGTGAGATAGGGTGGGAGAGGATATGAAGATGAAGGAGGGGTTGGTAGCTGAGAGGTGGAAGAGGCAAGGTGGGAGGACGTGAAGCAAATTTGGGAATGTAAACAAACACCCTCCTTCGGCGCGTTCCTCCCGTCGCGGGACCCGGGCCTTGTCTCCGCGCGACACCGTCCAGCCCCTGCGCACCGTCCAGATCGCGCTCTTGCGTAGGCCAGCGGGGAGCCCACCGCTTTCGCTCCGGAGAGAAAGAGAGACGAGAAAGGGGGGAAGAAGCAAAGAAGGCGCAAGAAGGAACCGGGTTGACTCACCTGGATCATGGCCAAGAAGGTGGGGTGGGCAGACGCCTTCTTAGCGGCGGCGGGCTTGGAAGCGGTAGACTTGGTGGGTGCCATTGTTGCTGTTGTTGAGTCGGGGTGGGGTTGGTTGAGTAGAGTGAGTGGAACTGCGAGGTTGACGGCGGTGGCGGGAGAAAGCGGAACAGGCGCGAGCGTCAGACAAGAAAGAAGAGACCTAGATCAGCTGCGTGTTCTTGCTTGATGCTATGCTTGAGAGTGATGCTGGATGTATGCTGAGGGGTAGATGAGACTCACGTTGATGTATAAGAGACTTGTTGATTGAAAGTAGAAGATATGGATGAAAGAGAGGGGGGAAGAAGGGAAAGGGGGTCGAGGTATATGTGACGCCAGGTGACGTTGGACGATTTGAGAAATCGATAAACACGCCCCAGACCCCATATCACAGAAAAGCTCCCTGTGATTGTAATCTTGCACTTGGACGCTTATTTTTTGGCGGAATCGGTAGCTGTCCCATGCATCTACCCAATGGTACCGCTCACACCTTCTATGCATAGAGTGGATAAGGCGATACTGGGAGTTCAAGAAAAGCCAAGTCACGTGACCGACCGCGGGACGTGTGTGTCGAGATAACGCCGTCGGGGATATCATGTCGACAGGGTCCGGAGCTGTTTGGGGAGTCGACGCTTGCTACTGATGAGAGCAGGTTATAGGTAGAGTGGAGAGGAGGTCCAGCTGCATATCCTAGATACATTCATGACGTTCAATTATGTGCATGTGGCAGACGCAGAAGCTGTAGAGGCCCGAGCTTGATACTTCCCCCTCGAGAGTTCTTGCTCCTATGCCTAGACCTGTATAGCTGATCACTCAAGTCTGCTCCCTGCATGCATGCCTGCGACCTCTATGTGTGTCTACCGGCACTATATAGGTACCATGCGCCAGCAGAAGAAGGCTCAGATCGCGATGCATGACCCACAGTGAGCCGTAGAAGGTACTCCGCCCTCATCGGCGGACGGCTCAAAATGGGTGATTTCGCCACATAGGTCTCGTTGAGATGATGCAGACCGTCCCGAGGCGAGGTTGATGCTCAGGCTACTTCTCCACCTGCTAGAGAGTCGGCCTGAGGCTTCAGAGCACCCATCATATATGGACATTGACGCGCAGGAGGTAGTAGAAGCTGAACACGCCGGAAGAGGCAGTAGAGCCCAGACCTGTCCGCTTCCTCAGCTCCTCCAGCGATGTATACTCCACCACAAGCTGCATAAAGATCACTCATATGTCGATGATGGCGCGTATAATAGCCCTACCAAGTCCCATCGTCATAACTTGACTCCTTGATCTACTTGTATCGAGAGCGAGCACACCCTCCATACCCCCGTTGACGCGCTCTTCGCCACCGAAACGCGGTGGACGTGCCTCCACTTGTCAACAACTCCGTCTCGGATGATCATTTACGGCATGCGGTCTCGGACACCCTGAGGCTGACGGCTTGTTTGGTTCGTGTGACGTGGTTATAAATATCAGTTAACAGATCAGAGGTTCCGGGGGCAGTACTGTGCCGAGCGGCGGCCTTGTCCGGCTCTGAAATTTCTGGACCAGCAGCAGGAACGTCCATACAGAGGCGTCCACTTTGCTCATATCACCCAATAGCTACAGCTACAATGGCAGAACAGATCATAGCCGCCAGACTCAAAGAGGACAAGAAGAAGGACAAGAAGCGGAAGAGAGAGGTACCAGCAGCGGGGGCAGCAGCGAAGAAATCAGAGAAGGGCTTCTCGCTCGTAGGCGAGAAGAAGGATGCAGAGTTGGAGGATATCTTTGGGAAGAGCGTGAGTGGCTGGTGCTCTATTTGAGGCAAATGATACCCTGAATATGCTGATGTTACTATAGACTGCTTACGTCGCACCGGCTCGAACGACGCTCTCAGCTCCAGGTCCGTCCAAGCGGTCCAGGGCGGAGAAGGCGGATGAGGCGATAGAGGCCAAAGATGGCAAGACGAAGAGGCAGAAGAAGAGCCGGCTGCCAGCCGCTGAGGAGGAGTCAGCACCTGTCGCCAAGGCTGGGCCGACAAAGGTGGCTCCTGCTCCTGCCCCGGCCGCGGCCTCGGCTGAGGAGGATGAGGAGATGGATTCGGACGAGGCGGACGATTCAGCAGACGACGAAGCTGTCGAGGACCTCGTCCACGAGACCCTCAAATCCCCGAAGAAACCCCGTCAAAAGCCCTCCGAGCTCAAGTTCACCCCACTCAATGAAACCCCCGCGGACCGGGATCGCCGCTCCCTCTTCCTCGGCAACCTTCCTATCGAAGTCGCCAAGTCCAAATCAGCCGTCAGCCAGCTCAAGGCGCACATCCTCTCTTTTGCTCAAGGGGCCAAGATCGAGTCGATCCGGTTCCGCTCGGTGGCGTTTGCGGCGCCGACAGCTGCGCTGCCAGAGGAGGAAGAGGTCGCGGAGGGGAAGAGGCAGAAGCGGGAGATTGAGCGGGCGCGCAAGTGGAAGGAGGAGCAGGAGGTGTTGAAGGAGGGTGGGAAGGAGGCGGAGGAGGTTGATCCGAGTAAGAGTTACTTGGATAATAAGGGGAAGCGGAAGGTCGCTTTCATCAAGAAGGACGTGAGTGATCTTCTCTCTGCCTCTGCAAGTAAGCGGGAGCTGACTGGTAGTTCCATGAAGATCTTGCCAGCTGCAACGGTTATGTCGTATTCTCCCACCCTCATCCCGATCGCGCGACCAACGTCGCACCCATCATGGACCCCTACCTCGCCGCCGAGCAAATCCTCGCCGCCAACGGCTCCGTCTTCCAAGAACGCACAATCCGGGTCGACCGGCTCCGGAAACCCTCCGCCGAGGGGTTGCAGTCAGCCACAACGGCACTGGGCAAGCGGGACGCGTGGCTGCCCAGCGGTACAGATCCCAAGCGGAGTCTGTTTGTTGGCGGGCTGGACTATGCGGCCAAGGAGGAGGATGTCAGGGTATTTTTTGAGGGGCTGGTGAAGGCTGAGAGGGGAGCGAGGGAGGGGGGCGGAAGATGGGTTACGGAGGTCAGATTGATCAGGGATCGGGAGACCCAGATGGGCAAGGGGTTCGGATATGTCCACTTTGTGGTGAGTCTTAATTCATTTCCGGGAATGTCACGCTACCCTACGTTGTAATCTACTTATCTGACTCGCCCTACCACTGAAGTACGTACTGAGCTGATTCCGCAGGACCGCGAATCCGCAGACGAGATCGTCGCGCTCCCATCAACAAAGCTCAAATTTGCCAAACGCCCTCTCCGCGTTCAAACCAGCAAGACCCTCCCCACTAGCGTCACCGCCCCCAAAAAGGCACTTCCCGGCGCCTCCGCCTCCGCCTCCTCCTCTTCCAGCAAACCCACCCCCAAACCCCGTCCCGTCGGACCCATCAAAGTCCCCAAGGGCGACCCCCTCCTCGGCGAAAAGCTCAAAGACCTTTCTAAAGAGGACCGTAAAGTCGCCAAAGCGGCAGATACGGACCGTGCGGCTCGTCGTCTGGCAAAGAAGCAGTCGAAAGCAGCGAGCAGGAGCAACGAGACGGGCGCGGTCAAGCTGGGTCCGACGAAGAGTGAGCGGAAGGACAGGGCGGGCGGGGCTGGGAAGGCCAAGAAGAGCAGAGTGAGGAGTAGTAATGCTCTTGCGAATATGAAGGGGAGTAGGACGTGAGCGGCTTATCAGTCATATGTAGGGGCGGACGGGGCTGGTCCTGAGGCCAAGGGGAATGTATATATTCATCGTGTATCGAAGGAATGCGGTCAGACGCCGGGATCTGGAACATGCATCGGGGTCTCATATCTGTCGCATGACCAGTAGGACGATGCATCGTGCAGTCCAGATAGCGAGGGAGGACGCTCGAGCAAAAGTCGCGTTTGACTAAAATCAAAACAAAGTCAAAGTCGCGACCTCCTTTGCCCCTCTATCTTGCTTCTTCCCCCTATCTGCCCCTGCACCATCAACACGGATCTATCGGACACTGGGCCATGCCCATCGCTATAGCCATGAACCACCCCACTCCCACCCTTCATGCCCCCTCCCCGACCTCGCCGCGGATGACCAAGGCTGCCTTTTTCCGGGCGCGCTCCCCGCCCGCCCTTGACCGGAGTAGCGCCACGGGCACGGCGCGCGCGCATAGCCCCAACGACCTCGCGGCGAGGCTTCATCAGATGGAGTTGAACACTGCGCCGCCGCACAATGCAGCAGCAGGGCCAAGTAGGGGTTTCTCGCCTGCATCGCCCTCGGACGAGGACGGAGGGTACGAGGAGGTCCGTGATCAGGACCACCACCACGGAATGGGCGGACTTCGGGTCGATCATGCGATGCCTATGGCAAACGGGAGCGGTCATCGGGCGAATGGGTACGGGCACGAAGGGTACGCGAGTAGCGTGGGAACGTTGGGACATACGCCCGAGATGGGCCATACGGCGGGGGTACCGTATGACCAGCCGGAGGCGTCTGAGGGGAGGAGTCCAGGCGCGTCGGGTCCGATGGGTATGGGCGGGGGGTCGGATGAGATGGTCATGTCACTGTTGGCGGGGCAGGCGGTGGTAGATTGCGAGACGATGGTCGTTGGGGGATGGGAGGAGGTGGAGAGCTGGAAGAAGGTACGTCTAGTCTCGCCGGTGGGGGATAGTCAGGGGGACCGGACGAGATGATCGTGTCCCTCCTAGCGGGGCAGGCGGTAGTGGGTCGCGGGGCGATGGTCCTTGGGGGATGCGAGGAAGCTGAGGGCTATATACAAGGGGATAGTGAGGGACCGAGCTGACGGATAGGAACTCGCAGTACTGAAGAACCGCCTGGACGCGCTCGTGGCTCGACATCAACGAGAAGTCAAGATCCTCACGGCGGCGCGGACGCTCCAGAAGCTAAATCACACCAACAAGCGGATGAGCAAGCAGACGACGGAAAGTCTGGAGCAGGCCGAGAAGCGCGTCGAAGCTGCGGAGAGGGTACGTCCTCGATAGGAGAACAAGGGACGTAATTGACACTGCAGGAAGTCCTCACACTGAAAGAACGCGAAGCGGACCTTCGACGCCGACTCATGGAGCACTGGTCTGGCGTCATGGCGTGGGAAGTTCGGCGCCTCGAAAAGGTCTCCTCGGACACTCAAGCCCGGTTCCACCGTCAATCCCGACACGTCGATATGAGCAAGGATCGAGAAGCCAAGTTGCTCAAGCAGATGGGCGAACTCGAGACGGAGTGTGAGCAGCGTCTCGCCCGGATCCAGGAACTGGACGGCGAGCTTCATCGGCGGGGAGGGAGGGAGAAGGAGCTGCAGGAGATGGTGGTGGATTTGGGCCGAAGGGAGCGAGGGATGGAGGAGGAGTTACGGGCGGTGGATAAAGTCAAGAGAGGGCTGGAGATGGAGAAGGAGGGGTGGGAGTTGCAAAGGCGTGCAGTCGAGCGTGATGGGGGTGCATTCGAGGCGGAGAAGAGGGAATGGGCGAAGGAGAGGGAAGAGTGGGCGAGTCACAAGCGGCTCTTGGCGGAGGAGATGGAGCGGCTCATGAAGGATCGTCAAAAGATGCTGGATGCGGGCAAGACGAGTGAGCGGGATAAGGCGGTGATGCAGGGTGTCAGGGCCAGGGTTGGAGAGGTGCTGGGTAGGCAGACACCAGCGGAGCATGAGCTCGAGGCGGCCATCAAGGAGATGGGGGCGTTGGTGCAGCGTCGAGAGAACGAGGTGGCGAGTCTGCGAGAGGAGATGAAGGAGGTGAATATGGGGTTGGAAGAGGAGTTGAGGAGGGTCTCGGCGGATCGGGATAACTGGAAGGGCAAGGCGGATCAGGTGGAGCAGGGGTACAAGGGCGATATGGCTGCGATTGAGCGCAAGGCAAGAGTGAGTGCTCAATTCCCAGTCAGGAATCCAGCTGACATGACAGGGCCAAGCAGAGCAGATCTCGGACCTCACACTACGGAACGAAACTCTCGCTTCCTCGCTCGCGGCCGCCCAGTCCGCCGTCACGTCCATGTCCTCCTCTTCCACTCAAACGAAAGCCCTCCAAACCCGGTGCGACGCCCTCACCGCAGAACTCGACAGCATCGCCGGTCAGTTCAACGAAGTGTGGACGATCCTTCCTCCCCTCTCGCGCCGCGTCGACGCCCAGCTCGCCCGGCCGGACGGGACCTCCGCCGATGGCGTGTCGAGTCCGACCAAATCACTCAATTTTGCGGCACTGCAGCAGCTGTACACGCCCACGCGGGAAGAGTTTGGCGGGATCGATGAGATGCTGGAGAGGGTCAGGGGGTTGGTGGAGGATGGAAAGGTGTTGGTGGCACGCGTGGTGAGGCTTGGACAGGAGCGGGAGATGTACAAGTCGAACGCGGCCAAAGCGAAGAAGCTGGTAGAGGACAGTAGGGGGAGCTTGGAGACGTACCAGCAGCAGGTGGCGGTTCTGGAGGATCGGCTCGCCAAGTCTGGGTCGACCGAGAGTCACTTCCTGTCAGTTATCTTCTACGTACACACCTTTCTTTGTGGACGAGTAAGCTGACAGTACAGGGAGGAGCTCAACACCCTTCGCTCAGCGCTCGATACCGCCCAAATAGCTAAACGGCAAGCCGAGTCCCGCCTCAAATCAACAGCCGAGACCGTCGCCAGACTCGAAGCCGCCAATGCGGACCTCTCCACCCGAGCGCTCACGCTCGCCGAGGATGCGGAAGATCAGCGTTCCGCGCTGGTCAAGAAGACGCAGGCGGAGATTCAGGATCTCAAGAGGCAGGTCGGGGAGGTTCAAGGCGAGGCGGATGAGGAGCGCATGCGGGGTCAGACGCAGAGGATACAGCTGTTGGATGAGGTGAGTACCTGGCTTTGTGAGATAGGAGGGATGACGCTGATGGGATAGCTGAACTCACTGCAAGCTGAGGTAGGCGATCTCCGGAAGCAGCTACGGATGGCAAAGGGTGGTACCCCGGCTAAATAATGGGCTCTGATTATTGCGATGCTTGTACATTTTCGCTTGTCGCAGCATCTCAGTCACTCCCGCTGTGGCGGGTTGTGGGATACTAATGGGCATGGCGACTGGAGTTCCATCCTTTCTTTGTTTAGACTCATTCCGCTGACAAAGGAGCTTAGGAACGCTAATCCCACCCTGCTCGTCAAGGCGTCTTGTCAATTGACTTGTAGCTCATCCCCAGAACAACGACCCTTATCTCGATCGCTATTGCTTACGAGGTCAACCCTGGCTCACAATGCCCGCCACGGTACCCCCGACAGAGGTTGAGCTAGGAGGCTTGACAGCTTGGTCCCGAGCTCAGCAGGCAGCACTGTATCATCGCCATATCGTCGAGCAGAGCACCAAGGACGAAGCGAAGGCAGAGAAGGATGAGAAGGAGAAGAAGGAAAAGAAGAAGAAAGATGATGAGGTCAAGCTTGATAAGATCACCGCGGCGACTATCCTGGCCAACATCGTACGTTTCCCTTGGAATGTCACTTTTCTTGGTATACAGTACTGATCGATCGCAGCTACAAGGGTGGTGTCCTGCCCTATACGAGTTCCTTGATATCTTTGGCCCGCCCCATGCCGGCCTACCAGTCTTCATAGCCTTGCACATCCTCGCATGGTATGTCCCATCTTATCACTCATCGCTGACAGACAGGGCCACATTACCATGGTATCTCATCCCCCTCCTCCCTCTTCCCCTAACACACCTCCTTCCGATGTCTCTCTCCCTCAAGTCTCTCTTTTCCCCCGCTGCGACTCTGGAGAAGGCATACGACGACGCTAAGCGCAGATGGCAAAAGCAGACCGAGGACCTCAAGAAGCAAGGCAAAGACAAGGCGGATTTCCCGGACCCACCGAAACCGCCCGCGGGGTGGCAGCTTTGCGTGAGGGACAGAGCGGGCTGGTTGGCTTACTGGTCGTTCGTAGGTGGAGTGGAGTACCTTGAGAGCGTGTGCTTTGGGGATCAGGTTGGTGGGTTGGTGTGGTGGCCCAAGGTATGTGAATATGACGGGCAGACTGATGCGGCTAGATCAAGGCTGTGTTCTTTGTCTCGCTCTATTTCATCTGGGAGACGGATGAAAAGGGACATCAGACCACGGGAGCGATGAAGCTCATTGAGCCGTTCCTCCCAAAATCAAAGCTGGAGCAGAAGGATGCGGACAAGAGCAAGGACAGAAGGAGGGAAAAGTAGACAGTGTATTTCTTAATTGACGGATCCCCGGAGAGGCCATCCCATCGATGCAAGAGATACACAATACAGCAGACCTGTTCATTATCGAGCATACGAAGTCGGAAAATAGCTAAGGGTATGATGCTAAGATGCTGAAACAAAATTACACGCTGAAAGGTTCTTGCTGACCCCGTCGCCACCGAAAGCCGCCTCGCCACATGCCTCGACAATGGTTCCGGACGGCAGATCGCCCATCCTCCTCCCTACCGCTTCTCCTTCTCATGTCATCATCTCCATGCTCCGCACCGAGTCCCGCACGTTCGGACCCGTGCTCAACCGCTTCACTCGCCCCTCGTCCCCCGCCTCCTCCGTCTCCGACCGCTTCACCCCAGCGCCTATCGAGCTGTGAGCACTCGATGTGCGCACGTGCCGACCGGTACTGCCTGACTGGAAGAAGATGGACGGGCCATGCGCGCGGTTGAATGACGCCGGGTTGGTGGGGGAGGAGTCTGGCGCCGAACCCGGTAGCGTAGGCCCAAAGGTCAACGACGGTACCGACGCGGACGAGTTGACCGATCCGTTCGATGACTTGCCAGAGCGCGAGGGCAATTTGTTGGACGAGCCAGAGTAGAGGTCTGCGATAGGAGTGGAAGTGGAGGGTGTGAAGACCTTTGCGCGCTCCTCGACCGTTCCAGTGCGGTAGGGTGATTCCGCCGTTGATGGCTCTGTGGGCTCCGTTGCCAGATACTTCTCTTGGAGGACCTCCGGCTCCCGCTCGGCCTCGCTCTCGAAAGAGGGCAGACGAGGGGAGTCTGTCCGCAGCTCCACTCGAGGCGGTGAAGGCTGGACGAGCGATGGGGAAGCTGCGCCATCCTGCCGGGCCGGCACTGGGGATGGGGAGCTGAACAGCCGAGAGAGACTTGGCTTCTTCGGCAGAAGGTTCAGCTTCTTTGGTTTGTCAGCGACAGGGGCGGAAACCGGTTCGGCGGTATGTCTGGATACCGGTGACGCCGAACGGGAGATGTCTTCGGCAGTAGCGAGGACCACGGGGGTATCGCCAAAGTCGATGAGCTCGTAGGCGGTCTGCCTGGCTGAAATAGGGGGAGGCGCGGAGAAGAGCTCGACCCGCCGGTCTAGGAGATCGGTCAGGACAGTTCCGGGGACATTGAGCGAAGGTCCGAGAGAGAGCATGAGCGCATTGAGCGTCATGCGATTGGTGGCGGAATGGCTGGGGATGAGGTGGAGGAGTTTGACGATATCGGCGAGGAGGAACCAGTTTGCGGCTGGTAGCAGGGGAAGGAGGGTGGAGAGGTCGTCTGGTTCCGCATTGAGATCGACGGTGTGAGAGGGTGGTGCTGAGCGAACGGCGGCTTCAAAGCGAGGACAGAGGTCTTTGGTGAGGAGCGGTGAAGGAACTGAGGGTCAGTCTGGACTATCAGGCTAACTCACGTTCTCGCAAGTAGGATTTGAAGAGGCCAGATACGGCGTGGGGGTCCAGGTCTCCGGGATGACAATCAGACATGTCTATATCGGCACCTGAGGATCAGCACGACTCCCAGCGGCAAGAAATCGACGTACCTGCATCAAACTCTTTCCTTAGTCGATTGAGATGACTGCTTCTTCCGCTTATACGGAAGATCCCCTCCTCCTTCGGCCCCCATATCTCCACTGTCTATTAGCTCCGGTTCCTTCGAGAGAAACTCACGATAATCGACGGCGCGGATCACTACAGCGGGCAAGCACTCTCTTCTCCGCTTTTCTCGAGGGTCCATTCCCTCCACATCTCGCGCAGACTCGACAACTCCACACGCCTTTGCAGCCTCGGTGATATCCCGCCCAAACACCTTTCCAAATCCCGGCGCGGCGGGTCGCAGGATTGCTGACGGGTGAAGAACCGGTCCGTCCACCGAGCTCCCCATAGATGCTTGCGCAGAGACGCTCCTGTCCCGGCTTGACTTGCGCGAGACTTTGGGCGGTTCTAGCCGACTCCCAGATCCCTCTCCCGCAGCGATAGACGATAGTCCGCTGATGCTTCCGCCCATGCCTCTCGCCCGCAGACCCGCCCACCCCTTCTGTACGGCCGAGCCCGCTGACCCGATCATCCGCTGCGCCGAGGATGGTAAACGCTGCTGCGCGGTGGAGAAAGCGGAAGATGCGGCGGTGGCGATGGTATTGCTAGAGTCTGACCGCTGAAGGGAGGATTGCTGAGAGACCGATGTCCACGCTGAGATCCGACCACGGATGTTGAAATTGTCCCGAGTTGGCTGAGTAGATATGGGAGGGGAGTACGCTGGCCGGCCAGCCCCTTCGCCTAGGCGGCTGCGAGATGGGCCCGCCGCTGCGGCGATGCTAGCATAAGATGTCTTGCTAGGGTGGTCAGGGGGTTTGCTTGACCCTGCCAAACGCCCCTCGCTAGCATTCGCAATAGCCGTGCGCCGAGGTGGGAGCTCTGGTGGAAGCACGGGTGGCGGTGCTGAGAGCTCCTCCGCCGGTACCGGTGATTTCGATTTCGAGCGTAGGGTTACCGTTCCCGATGCTCGTCTCAGCCAACTTGGCTTGGACTTTGGGTTTGGCTTTGCGCTAGAGTCGAATGACGAGCGGGCAGAGCTGGTTGCGAGAGAGATGACGCTCTCGTTGGGGATGGGATTGGGTTGCTGGTCGACGGAGGGGGTGGGAGGTTCGGATTTTGCGACATCCGCATACGTCGCACCGAGGGGTGAGGGGCGTAAGGATGCCCGTTTGGCCACCAGTAAAGGATGTCCCTCCTTTGTATCCCTAGCCATCAGCCCAAATCCGATTGCGTCTGAAAGGAGGCACGCACTGTTCCGCTACTTTCGACTCGGTGACCGACCGCGTAGCTGCGTCCTCCTTCTGTGCCTCCTTGATGGAAGAAACAGATGTCGTCCGATACGACACTGGTCGTTCAGGCTTTGCAGACGTCCTGTTGACGCTCGGTCCGGCCGTTGTCGCAGGTGAGATGAGGCTGTCCCGGGACTTGCTCGAGACTCCAGATGGTGGGCGTTTAGCGACCGAGGCATAGTCGTTTAGGTTAAGGGTGAGGGTGGCGATATGGGCCGAGAGCCGCCGTCCATCATCCTTGACCTCTGAATTAGGACGCGACTTCTCCCCCTTGACCGAGTGGAGAGATTGACGCGCAGACGACCGCCGCCGGTTATCATGATCTGATATCTCGGAGAGGGGCCGGCTCGCCCGTAGTGTCGTCGCGTCGGGCATAATGGAAGTGGAGGAGAGAGGAGCAGCGAGGGAGAAGGATGATGGTGTCGTGTGAGAAGTATCGTTGTTGGGCCGAGCGGACAGGGAAGGACCGGCCTCCGTCATGGCTGTGTGGGAGATAATGAAGAGGATGCGGCGGCCGCGGAAGCGTGTGGGAGAAGACTAGCCTGACTCCATCTGTCAAGAGTCGTCCAACATGAGACTAGCCCAAAGAGCTATACTGTACCTCCAATCCGAACGAGCACGCAAGTAAGCAAGCAGGTGCAAGCAAGACAGGATGAAGAGAGTGGTGGGAGGGGTACGGTTTCAGGATAGTGTCGATAGAGTTTACGCTTGTCTCACAAGCGGAAAGCGGGGAGATGTGGGGAAACGTCAAGTGGCGGATCTGTTGAAGGCGATTTGGTGGTGCGTCTCGCGATTCTTCTACCCAGAGAGAAGTCTGGCAGAGACATGCGAGCTACAGGTCCTATATAGATGACTTGCCACTGCATGCTCAGAAATTCGCGCTCAGGGATGCTAAGATCTGCCGCTGCGGGAGATCGGACACCCTCAGCGGCTGTCATATCCCGCTCATCTTTACGTACCCGATCGGCAGGCACGCATCTTAGACATACCTTTGCTATGCCTATCAGGTGCAGACTGTACGCGTCATGACCAGCTCCCAGGCCAATGGTAGGCAGGAGCGGTCCGACCAACCACGATCAGACTCCCGGAGGAAATCCTGCCGAGCTTCTACTCCGCAGATTTGTGGGCTTGGCCACCACCGGAGGCGGCTTCTTGTCCGCCTTTGCAGCAGGAGGAGCCGCCTCTATGTTGTCCGGCATGACGGGCGGCATGAGGTCCTTGGGGGGCGACTCGTCGAGATCAAGTGGCACTGGCTTGCTGGGCTGTCGAGCCGGTAATACTGGAGGACGAGCGCGGGCGGATGACGGGGTGGTGACGATCATGTAGTCGCCTGTGGAGGCTGGAGTGATGCTGGGGGACTCAAAGGTGGGGCTGTCCTTGGTGGGAAGGGTGACAGGGGAGGATCGAGCGACTGTTGGAGGGGGTTTGCGGTATGAGGGATTTCGGGGAGCGGCCGCCGCAGTCGACCGTGAGGTCTCGAAAGCAGAGATGGCACTCGCGACCGAGCCCTTCTTGCGCTCCGAGGGTGATTCGGATGAGTCGATTGTGGGTTTGCGCACCGGCAATTGTGGCTTTTGTGAAGAGGTGGCGGAGGCAGTAGAGGCGCTGAGCGGATTGGCGGAGCTCACCGAGGGTCGAGGAGGGAGCTTTGGTATGATGGTGGAAGGTACAGGTCGGGATGAGGAGGAGGATGCGGCGGGCGAGGGAAGATGTTGGGCCGTGCCTCGAGTAGGTGGAGGGGGGGCCGGTCCTCGTCTCGAAGGCCCTGCGGTCCCCTGCCCGGAAGCCATCTGACCAACAGAGACAGACGGCTTACTGCCCTGGGAAGGTCGAGGGGGCTTATTTGGCTTCCGAATCCGACCTGACAGTCAGCAACATGTCCAGAGATCTAGTACAAAGACTCATTTACTATCGTCCTCCTCATCCATCAGATCCCTCACACCACTTTCTTCCAGCCCAGCAAATCCCTCGCCCGAATTCAGCTTCCCCTTGATCTCCCTCGTGATCTTGTCCTTCTTGCCGTGATCCACCTCCCGGACCTTCGCCTCGAAGATTGCATACACCGGCCGATGATCCGACGTCCGCAACTCTGAGCGGTCGTACACTGAAAGCTTGAGCTGGCCTTTATACAGCACTCGGTCGGTCCAGGCCGGAATCCGAGCCTTGTCTGAGGTGTCATACTCGTCCGTGCCATTGTCGCTGGGAAGTTAGCTGGCGCATCTCGGACTCGCCGGAAGCAGCTCACTACTTGTATGTCGGGCGGAAAGTGATAGGCGCTTCCGTATAACCATTGAAGACGTCCCCTGCATCCATCGCTTGCATGAGCTGGTCCATGCCGAGAAGCTGGTCCATCTGATCGGTTTCTGCATAACCTCGAACCTCTTCGTTCGAAAGACCGATCCGGTAATTGAAGTCCGCAGACCATATGACAATGCTACATAGTCAGTGCTTTCTTTAGAGGTTGTACCGATGACTCACTCGTGGTCCTCAATGGTCTTGCCTCGGAGAAACTTCAGCCCGCTATCGATAGTCCGGTAGTCGGCGTTTCGTTCTGTCACGTTCGAGTGTCCGGCGGCCAGGTGACAAGTCATGAAGCAGACGGTCGAGTCGAAAAGATTGAAGCGGATCCCGACTCCGCCTTTATTGCCCGACAAGCCTTGTAGGCCGGTCTTCTTGGTAGCAGATTCGACGTGGCGCATGGCTGATGCCACGCCGTGCTTGACAACGACGATCAGGGCGGTACCGACAAGCTAAGCAGTCAGCTAAAGCATTGAAGATGGGTTTTTGGCATACCTGCTCGCTCCGGTACAAGACATAGTCCGACTGCTTGCCCTTGCCCTTCCGCGTCGCAAAAGTGTCCATGATGTACTTTTCCCACATCCGGCTGAGCTGTCAGCTGCGTTAAGCACGAGTGATGCTACACTTACCGCTTGGCAGGATCCGTCTGCAGTATTTGCCCAGCAGTGAGCTCGACAATCTCCTGGAATGCAATCATGTACACATCCGCCCTGAATGTAAGCTCTGTGGTCTCCGATACTCAGTCATATAGCTCACTCTGGTTGACCTTCCGGAAACAGCCATGGGTTCAGCGACTCATCCGGAGCCTTGCCGTTCAAGTTCCAGGTCCCAGAGAATATCGTCACTGATCGGGATCGCGAGTACTCCTTGATCCTGGCGTTGAGCGCAGAGTTGACCGAGTCGCTGATGGGATCGAAGAGGATGACTTGGCGTTGCCCCGCCATCATACCCTACTCATCAACTCATTTCCATAACCAGACAAGGACAGCTTACGAGGAGCATGTCAATGGCCGCCTGCTTGTCCTTATCCTGGAAGTTGTTGATATAGGCTCTGAAATATGAGCTGAGGTCTCCGACACCGGAGGTCACGATCAAGCTCACCTTCCAATAGACTTTGTAGCATCGCTCAGTAGCCCAGCGAACGTCTTCTTCCCGCTTCTTGTTGCACTCGTATTGAGCGCGCCGGTCCCAGCGTATATCTTCGACAATCGATCCCCGTTGTCCGCCCATAATTCCCGATGTGCAGCTGAGAGCGCAGCTGAGCCGAGCATTGGTGACTGTACCGATTCGAGGAAAGCGTTGAGCGTGAGTAGCGACAGGACGTCTTGTACGTAGTTGGTGCGATCCAAGCTGACGTTATAAGCTATAGAGACAAAGGCGGCAGTCGGACAGCTCACCAATCAAGACAGTTGACTCTGAACGCCCCCCTCTGCTGCTCCACGATCTGACCAGACTGAGAATCCACCGCGGTCCACCCAAACTTTTGCCTAGAAATCACCATCTCCCTCAACCGCGTCGCAAAGTCGTATCGTACCCCCTCGTGTCCATGAGTCCGGACCGTAGCGTGAAAGTCGTAGGGTGTGAGTTCGACTGTCCGATCTTGCTCCGCCTCCAGCTGAGACTTTTCATCGGGCGACATTTTCTCGAGAGTGTGTTTGAGGGATTCGAGGTGGTCCGAGTAGGAAGCAGAGAGCATGGCCTCGGCGTCTTTTTGGCCGAGGAGGTTGACGGCGTGAATTGAGTGATAATGTTGGAGAAGCTCCATGAAGTGCTTGTCGAAAGCGGGTTGCGATGCTTGTGGCGGCTGAGAATCAGCTCAGTCCTTGGGAAGTCGACTTGCTCTTGTAATCTCAACCTTCTGCTGCAAGGTACCCAGTCCCTGACTTGGCTGCTGCCAGAACAGCGGTACCGACCCTCGTACAATCACCCAGCTGAAAGTGACCGAGGGCGTGGCAAGGATGACCTCGGTCTCGACAAAGTTGGCGACTTGCCCATCATCGTCGATTCCCCTCGTCCTAAACCTCGCCCCTGCCCGTTTCCAGCTGAGCCTGCTGATCATCCCTAGCGCAACGATCTCTGGCTTTCCGTCATCCGACCACGACCCCGTTGAGACCGGAGACGATCCGACGAACCCCTGGATGACGGGAATCAGGAGCGCCTGCTCGTCCAGCTTGTCCCGTTGATCCAGGGGCAGGGCCGACCGGAAAGCGATGAAAGGCGCCAGGAGGTTGGCGTTCCATACGAACCGCTCGTCGAACGTTTCTAGCGGGTGCGCCGTCTGACCCTTCTCCGCCTGAAGCCAATTCGTTTCTCCCATCCGGGTACTGATGTCCCACTTGGTATCTTGCGCGTAGAAGAACCCGCCCGACTCGAGGTACTTCTTCATCCCCGCGCATGGATGTTCGACGCCCTGCGCTGCCGCCTGACTTTGCACCGAGGGCGACGAAGTCGAGGCGGCCTGGAAAGATGATACGTAGTATGGATCATCCGATTCGTCCTCGGCGAGGGAGCCGTAGGATGACACTGCAAGTTCCGGGCCGTCCCAGAAGGATGAAGTGAGAGAGTAGAACTCGACACCAACGACGCGAGCTGGCCGAAGTGCAGAGGAAGACTGGAGAGGAGAGAGGGGAGTTGAGGCGGAGACGAGGAGGAGGAAGATTTCGGGGATGGGCGACCGATCTTAGGTCAGTCCCGGCTGATACTGGTGACATACCACTTGGAACGCTCGTCACGCCCAACACGCCCTCGATAGGGCGGCCCTTGGTCACCTTGACCAGTCCTCGCATGTCTACATCCTGGACTGGAAGGAACTCTGCGACCACGACGCTCCGCGCCGCCTTGGACTCGCTCGCGTGGGGCTGCCGGAAGACGAGGGCATGTGTCTCGGTCAGCAGAAAGAACGCCCTTGGGGATGGGCGGAGGTAGAGCGTCGCCATGATTTGTGAGTGATATATGACGCCTTGAGGACGAAAACAACAGTTCAAATCGTGGACGTGCGGGCGACCAATTACGTCATAGGCGACATGGCTAGTTAAGTCATCAGGCAGGCGTTACAGCTGCTGGCTCTAGATGTGCCAACGGCAGCCGCATCGACTCCTTGTGATGACATGGAGGCTTCAATGCCTTCGACCAGAATCTACTTGTACACACGCTAACCAATGTCCGAAGTCCATCGTTTCCCTCTACGCGTCTCGCCGCCAACATTTTGCTGGACACATTTTGCCTCCACATACCAAGGCTTTCAAGCTCCGAAGACATTCGCTCCAGCGACGACATCTGGATTATATGAATAGCTGAAGGGTCAGTCTTCTCCCTCGGCATTAATGCCGCCCACTTACTTGAAACACTGTTGAGACAAATTGTACTCCGCGTGCCTCCGGAGCGGGTTGGGATTGTGCTCTGGGCCAGGCCGGTCGATGCAGATGTCAAGTGTGATGTCGTATGACCGGGCGTCATTGACCTAGTGACGGTCAGCGTCCAAACCATAGGAGCTATGTGGGACGGTCATACCTTGAAATGTATACTCCCAATCACCCTCTCGCCCTTGTTCGCAGCCAATGGCTCAGGTAAAAGCAGTCGCGCTTGTCTGTATCTATTAGCACTCATCGCCCATTAAGCAGCCAGAGGAGACAACAACTCACTGCCAATGTGTCCGAGGGACGTTTGGCCCGGTGCTCAGCTGAACATCCAGTCCACCTTTGGGTGCAGGTGGCGGATTGGCCGGGTTGAGCGGGTTCTCAGCCTGCATCCAGGGCCACGTCTGTGCAGACGAGCCGACGGAGAAGTCCCAGGCCTCTAATTCAGCTTGTGTTGACGCTGGCGTGGATGGAGGGGGGCGAGGTGTAAAGGCAAGGTCAAACCAAGATGCAAGCTGATCTATCAGCCCCAGGCCATACAGAGAGTAGCACGAACTTACACCGTGTACGAGCGCTGTGCGATGTATCACAAAGTCCACGTCGACGGTGAACTCGTGCAAGTCGGCCATCTTGGCGTCGTAAAAGTCGAAAACTTTCGGCGGACATGCTGAGGAGACGAGAGAGGGAGGTGGGAACATGCCGACGATGGGCTGAGCTGGACGGTCAGTTCGACGTTTGCGGACGGCGTGAGGATTACAGCTCACCGAAAGCCTCTTTCCGAGCTTCGTCATACAGAGCGCGGAAGTCCGTCCCTGTCTAATCAGTTTAAGGGTTCTGGCGATTAGCCTTGGACAGACGTACCAAAGAGCTCTTGGTTAAAGAATTGGGCCTTTTCATCAGCGCCACATTTCGATGGAGATAGATGAGCGACCCACCTTCTGTTCAGTCTCCATAAAGAGTCCTTCATCTGTGAACGGCGAGAAGAAGATGGACCCTCCGCTGGGCAAAAGCTGTCCATCAGGCTTCAAAAACAGGTCTCGGGCGAGTAGGAAGCTCTCCACCTGAGTGATGAGCGACTATCTTCCGGCTATGATGCGGCCACTCACCATGCGCTCATGCAGCAGCATGACCCCAATTGGCTCCGAGATGATGGTGTCCACCTTGCCCGTTCTGAGAACGTCCTGCTGAACCTTGGGGTTCTCCACCATACCCTTCACCAGCCGGATCTTGTTCTTGAAGTGAGGGTTTGCTTCGCCACGGTCGGACTGCTTGATCATCTGCTGGTCAGCTCCAGCACGGACTCCAAGCTATCTTCAGCTCACGATGTCAAGCTTATCAGCCATAGATGACGCTTCCAGGGCGATCACCTGCTTTGCGCCGGCTTGGGCAGACATGAACGATAGAATGCCAGATCCTGCTCCGTCAGCCTAAATTCTCGCTTGCTCTAGTGTGATCTCACCAGCTCCAAGGTCTAGGACATTCTTATCCCGAAAAGCTACCTGACTTATCAGCTACCCACTCCAACATCACTGTTGTTGCTGTTAAAAGTTACCTCCGCATTCCCCAGTATCGCCTTGCGATATGTCCCAGTCCTCGCGATATCTCCAATCATGTTCGCCTGATTCTGGAGCGACGCATAAAAGTTGAAGTAGAAGTCCGAGTCCTTGACCTTGCCCTCTTTGCTGCACTATGAGCTCCATCACCGTCCTCTGCGAAGGGCGGGCCTCACCTTTCACCTGTCTTTGCTCCATTTGCTGCCCGGTTTCCACGCGACTTTTCGCCTGATCTTCGCGAGCTCTCCGCTTGGGGAACGTCCTCTTCTGTCGTCGACATGTTTGAATCGTAGCTGAAGGTGCTATGTACATGCTCAGATGAATGTGCAGGCAAGGGAAATTTCCCAGCTGCTTCTTCGTGCGGGGCTCCGAGACCAGCCCAGTCCGTGCGAGCGAGGAATGTGGAGCAGAAGGTGGACGTCGGACCACCGGTAGTCCCTCGTAGTCCGTAGATTCCATACCACCTGTAACGCTCGGCAGGGACGACCAAGTCCTCCGGGGAATGCAGATTCATGTCCCAGTGCCCCTCTCGTACTCGTCCTTGAAACCCTCTCGCCCCTCTCGCAAGTCTCCCCACATCCCAACGGCCGTTGCTCCTCCAAATGCTTGCAGCTTCTTTCCCAACCTCTCCAGCTCCTCCAGTCCCATCGCACAGGCGCAGTTCCGCCAATGCGAGTCACCTTGATAGGGAAGCAAGACCGAACAGACGGGACAACTGCCTTCGGGATTCCCTACGAGTTTCGGTGGGTGGTCATGCCTGGCATGAGAGGGTCGGTCGTACGGACATGTCAAACAAAGCCGGTCCTCGGGCGGTATCTTGCACAAGGGGCACTGTTCGCTTTGCAAAGCGAGACGACTGTCGGGTGTGGCGGCGTATTTTGGCAGACCAACGATATCGGGAATAAGGACGCACTGAACGTCAGCGGTGTCACCTTTACGCAGGAATGTCGCTCACCGAGGGGATTATAAATGGTCGACTGATAGTCATGATCCGCAGCTCGCCCGGACCAGTCTTGCTGAGCGGCTGGTCGAGGTGATCCCGGCCCCACATCGAGTAGACAATCTCGAACACCAGTTGGTGGCTGACATGTACGGGCGTTTCGACCCTGCTTGTCAGCTAAAGCCGCATCGCTCATCGGATCGAGCTTACCACTCCATTGTCGATGGGCGCGTATCAACATCGTGGGGCAGGCGGCCTTTGAGGATGGACACAAACTCCCCCGAGTCCTCGCCATCCGCTTCGGCCCCTCTCCATAATGCCGGGCCCGAGCTTTTGATATCTCGGGATCTGGAAGACTGCTTGCCTTCCCAGTGTATGAGGATCCGCTTGGTCGTCCGAACCTGCTTGTCCTGGGAGCTCGAGCCTTCGTCTCTTGGCGAGCGAAGAGTGACTGTTTGGAGCAGGTCCAGTCGGACGGAAAAGATGGTCGCTGTGGGCGGGAGAGAGGGAAAGCGGACGCGAGCGTGGAGGATGCAACATACAGTCCACTACAAGATTAGCTGGGAGCAGGAACACACTCACTAGAGGGGCATTGAGCTGGATAGTGTAGTTCCCAGGAGGATCCGTACGTCCCTGGAGCCCATCGTCGAGCGAGTCGACCCCGCCACTGGTATTGGGGTTCCAAAAGACACGGATACTGCGATTGACGCTGAATGTCCCCTCGAGCCATGATGCTCCGTCCTGTGCGCCAACGGCGGCTTCGTATGAAGGTGCTTGAGGTAGCTCTTGACGCCGAACCAAAGAGATTGATGGGGTATCGAGAGCGAGACGAGACATGCCTTGGACGTCCGGTGAGGGCGAGCGGCTAGGAGTGGAATCTGGCGAGCCTCCTTTGCCTCCGCGGGGGTTGGAGGACCGTCTGCTTGGACCAGAAATAGGCGATACGGATCGAGTGGATTGGAATGTCCAGATACCCTGTGATTGCTGGGGCTGACCTTCGACGATAGCGTAGAGCTCATGCTTGATCTTGGCGTTTGCGTGCCAGTCCATAGCCAGGAAGTCGTCAGGCAGGATGAAAGCGAACTCATACCTGCTGATGAGCTCTATATCTTGCGGAGACTCACTCTGTAGCGCCTTCCTCTATCCAGACCCCTGCCTCATCCGCCAGGACCTCCTCTCTCGGAAAGATCACGTCTTCCTCCCATCCCCGCTCCGGACCCATATCTAAACGGCATACCGTCCGAAGCCCGACTTTGATCGATAGGCATCGGCAGCGTCCGTATCCATCTGGCACTTTGATTCGCAGCTGACCCTTCAGGCTGAACGGCGCATTAACATATCCGGCCTCGAGATCGTGTGGCCCGAAAGGCGCAACATTGCGGGTGAGGTAGAGCGCACCATACGAGTCGACGTGCAAGCTCAGTGTAGGGTCTTCTCGGCGATAAGAGTTGCTTCTTAATGTAGGCAGGAGGCGTAGGAATGACATTGGTGATAGACAGCACAATCAAGGCTGATCGATGAGGGATGAAGCTGAAGAGAAAGCTGGATGAATCGAGTCGACATTTCTTCGGTTGGCGGTGCCGAAGCTCCGAGGAGCCGAACGCCGAGAGACACCCTGCGACTCGTCCGCCGACCAAGAGCCGACCCATGCAGTGCAGACATCGTACAACGGTCCCTTCTACTGTACAAGCCTCGGAGACCTCTCCCTCACCGCTGAATCTGCCGTCCGCGGGCGTACTCATACTCCTCCTTTCCGTAATTCTCATCCTCCTCCCACCTCCTCACAGCAGCCGCCCCTCCCGCCCGCTCGACACTTTCCCCTAGTCTCTCCATCTCTTCGAAACCCAGCGCACAGGCACAGGCAGTCCAGTGCTTGTCTCCCTCGTGGACCACCAAGACCGAGCATACCGGACAGACTCCGTCCGGTGATCCTACGACTTTGGGATTGTGGTCATGCCGAGGATGTACCGCCCGGTCGAATGGGCACTTGGTGCAGTATCGATCTTCCGGAGGTATCTTGCAGAGTGGGCACGGTGTATTTGGCTGAGAGAATCGGGAGGCAGGATCGGGGACGTATTCTGGTAGACCAACATTTTCGGGTATGTTTGGGCACTGCGGATCAGCGAGCAAGGCTAAGCAGGACGATTAAAGCTTACCCCAGGCAGGGTGACCGAGCGTGCGATCATGCTCGTCCGCTGTTCGCCCGGTCCAGCTTTGTGGAGGGGAGCGCCAAGATGGTCCTGACCCCAGATAGAATAAACGACCTCGACTTGAAGCTGATGGGAAACATGAACAGGAGTCTCGACGCTGTTGTCAGCTCCGCCCATTGCAGCACTCACCCCTCCAGAGTAGACGGCCTAGAATCCACATCATTTGGCAGCCGCCCCTTGGTGACCATGTTGAACTCGCCGTCATCCTCTCCGCCTGCGTTCACGCCTCGCCAAACCGCATGGAAGCTCGCATCTGGTTTCTTGACTTCCTTGGCCGGGCGGTTGCCCTGCTTGCTGATGATGTGACGCCGAGTGGTATGGATAGCTTTATCCTCCGATCCGGGACCTCGATCTCGGGGAGACCGAAGTACTACAGTCTGGACGAGGTCGATACGGATGTAGAAGATGGTAGCGGTGGGCGGAAGGTGTTGAAAGTGGATTCGGGTATGCATGACGCAGCAGACGGTCCACTGGATATCAGCGATAGTATTATGGCGACTCACTATTGGCGCCTTGAAGTGGACCTCGTACTCTCCCAGATCGCTCGCCGAATCCCGCACCTTCTCGTCCAGCGAGTTGACGCCGCCAGTGGGGTTAGGGTTCCAGACCACCCTGATATTTCTTTTGACTGCAAAAGTCCCCTCCAGCCAGTCCTGACCCTCTGACGACGGACCCGCGACATCATCGTATGAGGGCGTTTGAGGAAGACTACTGTTCGTGTGACGATGTATGAGCGAGATCGATGGGCTGTCCAGCCGTAAAGCGGACATTTCGCCGACAGGAGGAGAGGGTGGTCGGGATGGGGATGGCGAGGGGAGGGGAGACCGACCGCGAGAAGCAGTAGGAGAGTGGTGTCGGCTTGGAGCAGGAGACCGTCCTCTGCTCCTGCTCGGACCAGCCGAGGGCGAGGATGCGCGTAAGGACTGGAAGAGTCGGACTCCATGGGACTGCGGAGGGACGCCCTCGACGACCGCATGTAGCTCGTGACGGATCTTGGCGTTCTCATGCCAGTCCATAGCGGGTACACCGTCCGGGAGTGTGAAGGCGAACTCGTATCTTCGATCAGCATGCCCCCATCCTCTGGGTCCAGGTGAGAACCCACCTCGTACTGCCTTCCTCGAACCAGATACCATTTTCATCCTCCAGTAACTCTTCCCGCTCAAATATGACATCCTCCTCCCAGCCCCGATTCGGCCCCATCGCCAGCCTGCAGATCGTCTTGAACGCCACCTTGATGGATTTGCACCGACATCGCCCGTGATCCGCAGGAACTTTGACCTGTACCCAACCCCTCAGAGAATACGGTTCGCTGTGATACCCCTCATCCTCTTGGACGCCGAAAGGTCGGACTTGTCTCGTGAGGTAGAGAGCGCCGTAAGCTGGGACATGGAGGGTGAGTGTCGGGTCCTCTCGTTTATTCGATGTGGTGCGTCTCGTGGGTGCTAAGCGTTGGAAGAAGGACATGATGCACTATCACAAGAAGAGTTGTAATTTCTGTCTGCTCGGAAATAGCCGGGCCACTACTGCCGAATACCCTTGGGCGCATATAGTCTCTATGAGGTCCAGTGTCTATGGCACGACGTACTCCTCCTTCCTGCTCTCCCCTTCTGCACCCCAACGCGGCATCACCATCGCCCCTCCAGCTTTGTCTATGCTTTCTCCCAGCTTTTCCATCTCCTCAAATGTCATCTTGCACGCACAGTTCTTCCAGCTGTTCCCCCTAGCATCCACCACCATGGTCGAGCAGACTGGACAGACGCCATCCTTATTTCCTACGAGTTTGGGGTCGTGATCATGCCGGGGATGGACGTCTAGCTCGAAGTTGCAAGCATTGCAGGTTCGCTCGGCCGGCAGGACCCGACACAAAGGGCAGGGCTGGTCCGGCTGAGCTAGACGAACATTACTCATTGGCGCGTATTGAGGTAAACCGATCCGTTCCGGGATATTTGTACACTAGACTCAGCATCATAGCTTCAGGCGCGTAGACTTACGTGTGGTAGGATGAGGCCGCGAGCGACAGACACTGTGCGCTGCTCTCCAGGCCCTGAGACGGGCAAAACCCGCCCCGCTTGATCCTGACCCCACACCGCGTACACGACCTCGACGAATAATTGATGGCTTACTCGTACCGGTGTCTTTGTGCTGCGTGTCAGCCCCACAACAAGGTATGACTCACCTATCGAAGGTCGATGGCCTGACTTGGGGATCATCCGGTAGCCGGCCCTTGCCGATTATCTCGAGGGCTCCGACGCTGCACCCGCCAGCCTCGGAACCGCACCAGATCGACGGAAAGCTCGGATTGGGACGCCGCAGCTCTCTTGGTGGTCGCCTTCCCGATTGATGTATTATATGCCGACGTGTGGTCCTGACTTCCTTTTCTTCCGCCTTTGGTCCTTGATCTCGAGGGGAGCGGATGACTACGTGTTCTGTGAGACCGATACTGACGTAGAAGATGCTGACGGCCGGAGGGAGATCGGTTGAGCGAATACGCGTGTGCAGGATACTGCTTATAGTCCACTACGAGTGAGCGACAGCGTACATACGACTCACGATAGAAGCTTTGAAGTGAGCCTCGAACTCTCCCACTCCCTCAGCCTGAAAGACGAGCTTTTCGTCCAGCGAGTTGATACCGCCGGTCGGATTGGGATTCCAAAACACCTTGATATGCCGCATGACATTGTAGGTTCCGTGAATCCATCCCTCATCGCCACTTGAGATGACTGCTTCTTCGTATGTAGGTACTTGGGGCAGATGATCTGACCGGTCGGTAAGGGACATGGACGGCAGCTCAAGGGACGCAGGAGAGGGCGATCGCGAGGCGGGAGTTGGAGAGCCTTGTCGACTGCCTGGACCAGGCGATGGGGATAGCGACCGTAGCGACCTGAAGAGACCATTGTCCTCGACCGGTAGCCCCTCCATGATGGCGTAGAGTTCCAGCCGGACTTTGGCGTTGTCGTGGTAATCGTGCGCAAGCATGCTCTCTGGGAGTTGGAACGCAAAGTCGTACCTGGGTGTCAGCAGTGAGACACCTTGATCTTACCTCGTACTACCCTCCTCAAACCAAATCCCATCGACTTCTTCCAACTTTTCCTCCTTGTTCAGTACGATATCCTCTTCCCATCCCCGCCAAGCACCCATCGCCAAGCGACACACAGCTCGGACCCCAACTTTGATCGACTTGCATCGGCATCGGCCACGACCAGGCGGTATACTGACTTGTAGCCAGCCCTGTAGGGTGTAGGGCTCGGTAACGTATCCGGGGTCTTGCGGACCAAAGGGCTGATTGATCTTTGTGAGAAAGAGGCAGCCGAACGCTTCCGCGTTCAAGCTAAGCGTGGGGTCTTCCCTCGTAGGGCCAGGCGCACGTTGACGAGGGGCGAACAGGCGGAAGAACGACATCTTGATCTGCTAGCGTGGGCAGCGATGACCAGCCTGCGTTGTGACTGTCAACGAGAAGAGCTGGGTGTAATGCTACGGAAACTACCTCTTTGGGGAGCGATACATAGAGGCTTTTTAGCTACACATTCCTCGTGCCTGAAACCCTCTCGACTCGTGACAGCTCGTGACTGGATCACTGGAGTATCACTGGACTGGAAACGTCCTCCTGCCTAACGGCAGTCATATATCTGTTCACAGTGGGAGATCCATGATCGACTTCTGATGAGAGATGTAGAGTGAAGCTTCATCCTCGATCCTGACGCCCGCCCTGGGCCCAAAGAATCCCTTTCACCTCGGAGTACGGACCGCCTTCTCACGCGCCGGTCTCCTTTGTCCTCCCAAGCTATTCTCTTGCAGCAGACTGTAGCTATCCAGCAGCTCGGAGATCATCATGTACGATCCCTCAGTACTGTCGACCTCCCCTAAGTCGCTCTCGATCCCACACCAAAGCGCAATGTCCGAACTCAATGTCGCGACCATCAACGTGTGAGTCTGCTCTGCCGCAAGCGGCTGGAAGAGAACCCGCGCTGATAAGCAGTCGTTATGACAGGAACAGTCGAGAACCAGTACCTATACCGCACGATGGTCCAGTACTTCCTACGAAGCGCTGGAAAGACTGGGTCGAGATTCCGTGGTCAGAGCGTCGGACCTGGTTAGTGGACTGCCTGCTGAGTACCGGGCCACTGGATATTATCGGCTTCCAGGTATGCTTGTCGGCACATTCTACACTTTCCCAATGCTGACTCGAGCAGGAAGTGTTGCATAACCAATTGCGAGACCTACAAGACCTCCTCGGCGACACCTACCGGCACGTTGGGGTCGGGCGGGACGATGGCAAGACTGCAGGGGAGTACTCGCCCATCTTTTACGACCGGACCCAATTTGAGGAGCTGGGATGGAGGACTATCTGGTTGAGCAAGACATCGGATGTGCCGGGCTCGAAGGACTGGGATGCGGTCAGTCCAAAGCTCCAGCGCTGATGGCCAAGCTGACAGACAGAACCTTACTCGAATCGCTACCTTCCTCTGCCTTCGGCGTATCTGGGACGGAGGGCTCATACATGTCATCAATACCCACTATGACGATATGGGCAAGCGGGCCAGGGCGGAGAGCAGCTACATCATCCGCGAGGAAGCTGAAGCCTACTTTCGGGCGGTCGAGAGTGGGCTGGAGTTGCGAAGGGATGCCCCAGCGACAGCTATCGTCCTCTTGGGTGACTTCAGTGAGTTTCCGTTATCTAAGGAGGTGAACAAAAGCTGACATGCCAGATTCTCCTCCCAGTGAAGCTGGCTACGGCAACATCTCATCTCCTGATCCCGTCCCCTCCGGCAAACCATCCTACACCTTCACCGACGCATACACTCAACTTCGGACTCGCTCAGGCATCTCCTTATCCCCTCGGCAGTCCGCACCTTACGGTCCAGAGAGCACGTACAGCACATTTGGCAGGCCTGGCTCGTCTGAGGCCGCACGGATCGATTTCGTCTTTCTCGGCCAAAAGCCAAGTCAAACAGTCGTATCGGAGAATGGGAAGACAAAAGCCCACTGGGTCGCCACACGCTATGCGTGCTTGGATAACAGCGTCTGGGGTGAAGTAAGCGGGTGGAAGGGCAGGTGGAGCGATCATCGAGCGGTGAGGGTCAAGCTGGAGCTTCAGGTGACAGGCGAGATTTAGGTGTGTATGCATTGCGCAATCTCCGCTAGGTGAGCGGGCGTATACAAAGACTGCACCCAAGGTCAACCATCGGAGACATCGTGCAGGCTTTGGTACGACCTATCATACGCAGCCACTATTCGGCTCCGGGAAACGGAGCAGCGGAGGTGGCGCACGTCCGCAGCGGAGACGGACGCGGGCGCCATGTCAGGCACACAGATGACTCAACTCCGCCAGACTCTGCTCATCTCACTTTTCACCCTTATATATGTCCACGATGGAGCCCGATACCCGCAGCCATCGCACTCTCCTCGTCATAGCTTACCCTCAGCGCATCATGTAATCCAAGATGTCCCTCGCCGCACCTCTCCGCATCATACACACCAACTCCGCCCGAGACGGCTCGCCCATCATCAAAGAGGACAATGTCGAGCTTGACCGGATGGGCAACATGGCTTGGAAGCCCGCTTTTGTCCAGCCCACTTTGGTCGGTGATCCTAGCAAGGTCCTCGATGGAGCAGACAGAGGGACCGACACGCCGATGAGCTGGATCTGCAGTACCGGTGTCACCTGCGCTTGGACAGGTGAGCTTTGCTGCATATACCTTGAGATTGACGCTGCGTCTTGTATGATGGGCTGAGAAGACAGACCTTGACCCTGGGTTCGGCACGGAAGGGCCTTCCAAGCACCTCTTCTACGTCGGCGCGACCGGTACATGTCGCTCCTTCCGTGCCTTGCCATGACGAGCCGGGCGCGGCTGATACCGCAGATATGACCACAGTGAGCAAAGGCCAGCTGACAGTGATCTTCAAGGATGACACGCGCAAGATACTTCACCCCGGAGACATCTTTGTCAACGCGGCTGGGATCTTCAGGTATGAGAACAACGGTACCGAGACAGTCCGTAAGCTGTGTTTTGGTCTCCCAGGCTACTTAGTATCGAGCTGATTGCCAGGCTTGGTCGTCTTCTCCACCCCGTCCGACACCGTCAAGATTGATGGCAAAGAGCTGGAGCAGGTCACTGGGGTCAGGCGCTTCTTCTAGCAGGGATCTGTAGAAATTTGGAACGTGGTTCTCAGTGATATGGGCATGTACGCTCGCGGCTTATTGAGCTCTGGCAGAGACTGACATACCTACTACTGATTTTACAAGCGAACGCTCGCGTCTGCGCTGCTTCCCCGCTCACTCCTGGTTCTTGATCAAGACCTTCAAGTACTTCCCGCTCGCCACCGCCTCGAACGCGTCCTGCGCTTGCGACAGAGGGAAGCTAACCGAGATCAAGGGCTCGAGATCGACGACACCGCGGGCGAGCAAGTCGATGGCGTCCGGGAAGCAGCTGGGCGTGTAGTGCATGATGCCTTTGAAGTCGATCTCTTTGCTATTCAGTGCGATCGTGGGGATACTGTGAATCAACTCAAGCCCAGGCTGGTCAACAAAAGACTCACGCGGCAGTCTGGTGAGGACCCAATCCGACGGCCAGGACTAGCCGTGTGAGCTCAGTCCCACTCGCGAGATTCAGCGGTACTCACCAGTTCCGCCCTGCTTTGCCAGAGCTACGCTCAGCATCAGGCAATCCTCCACACCCGTCGTCTCTACCACTCTGTCAAGACTCTCTTTGTCAATCCCAGCTTCCCTCAGGTACCCTGCGGCCAGTCTTTCCGCCCATTCCCACTTCCGGTCCCCGATCGGGACCTCTGCCTTGTCGGCGTCATTATCGCCCGCCGAGGCGCCAGGACCGGACGTGGTCTGTCTTTCTTCATTGCCGACTGAGGAGGTGGATAGCGGCTCGCTGAGGAAGACGTGATTGATGATCGGTTTTCCGGTCAAGGGCGATAGATACGTTCTTGCGAATTCGACCCGCTCAGGGCTGTTGTCGGATGCGATGATTTCGCTGGCAGAGTAGGCGCGGGCTATGGCAGCGGTGATGAGCCCGATAGGACTGCATCCACTAAATTATCAGCTCTGCCTCCCGTGACAGCTGATAGTGCTGCTCACAAAATGGCAATGTTCTGATGCGCTCGGAGATCCCCTCGCTTGCCAATCTGCACACCGATCTGCCCATGTCAGCTACAGGCCTGGTCTTTACAGCGGTTTTGAAGACTCACGGCCAAGGGTTGTATACATCCCGCTTCATCCCACGAGATACTGGCCGGGATCTTGGGCGCCATATCCGCTGGAAGCGCAAAGTACCTGCATATCAGCCTGATATCACGTCCGCAAGCACCCCACTCACCTTGAAAGCGATCCGACAGAGCCTGGCATCCCACAGTAAGTCAGATCCAGACAGATATTGCTCCGTCCATCCTTGCAGTTCCTGCACCGCCGACAAGGGAGTCCAGGCTCGATCGCTACCCTATCGCCAACCTGGTGGCTCGTCACCATCCCTCCAACAGCGATGACCTCGCCGGCCGACTCATGCCCGAGAACAATGGGCTCCGTGATGGCCTGTCCGCCAAATCCTCCAGAAAGGTAACTATGCATGTCGGTCCCGCAGATACCTTTGCTTATCAGCATAGAACTTGGGGAAGAGATATCAACTCACCAGTGCTGATGACCTCGACGAGTACACCATCCGGCTGTAGGGAAGGCATAGGGCACTCCTGTACGGCAATATTTCGCCTTCCCAGCAGTACCGCAGCTGTGTTCTCTCCGGAGTTCCACTCCATCGCAGACTGAGGCTTGATCTTGTTGAAGGCGCGAAGGGAGTTGCGAATTGCAGTCACGACAGTGACTCGCATGAAGAGCGATGTCAGTATCCCTTCGACCCAGTATTGTAAGGTCCTTTCGCCTTTCGAGAGCTTCGATCTGCGTCCGCATGGTGCCTTGCAATTGCTTACTCCGCGAAGCTCTCGCTGTGATATGTATTCACGGTCGGAATGTGTATTAAGTTTGAGCCTCTCGACAGGGGGGGGAGGAATCCTGGAGCCCCGCGCCGAATAAATGCCTGTTCCAACGGAACAACCTACCCGAACCAGTGGAGCGCCAGCTCGAGAGTGCCCTTGCCCTTGCTCGACCTGCAGTGCAGCCGCGCACCTACAGTTGCATCCCTAAGTACGGACTGCATGACTCAGATACAAATAGCACACACGTCGAACCCTCACCCGCTTGCCCAGACCCCGCTCACATTTCCTGATTCTTGATCAACACCTTCATGTGCTTGCCGCTCGCGACCGCCTCGAATGCGTCTTGCGCCTGCGAAAGAGGGAACTTGATCGTGATGAGCTGCTTGAGGTCGACGACTCCGCGGTTGAGCATCTCAATAGCGGATGGGAAGCAGCTTGGGGTGTAGCGAGTCACTCCGCGGAAGTCGAGCTCCTTGTTTGTGATGGCGATCGTTGGGATGCTGATGATTATTAGCTCGTTTCGGACCATGTATTCGATCTCTACTCACGCGAGAGTCTGATGGTGGCCGAGACCGACAGCAAGCACTACATCATCAGATTTGACCGGAGCTCAGCAGACAGGCTGACTCACTGATACCGCCCTGCTTGGCGATCGCCACGCCCAACATCGAACAGTCCTCCGTTCCCGTCGCCTCGATCACCCGGTCCACACCCTCATCCTCCTCCAGTCCAGCCTCTTTCAGATACTGAGCCGCCATCTTGGTCGCAGCCTCCCACTTCCGATCCGCGACAGATACCTCATCGTGATGGTCATCCACTTCGCCATCGCCTACGCCTGCGCCAGACCCGTTCTCTCCGATCTTGCTCGCAAGACCGGTGTCCTTGTCGTCGGGGGCCGAGGTGGGTACGACCTTGTTCAGAAAGACATGGTCGATGATGGGCTTGCCGGTCAAGGGGGAGATGTACTTCTTGGCAAATGCGACACGGTCGGGATTGATGTCGAAGGCGATGATCTTGCTGGCGGAGTAGGCGTGCGCGACGGCTGCGGTGATGAGACCGATGGGACCACACCCGCTGTATCGTTACCCCCGGTTTTATGTTAGGGAGTCGCCAGCTTACAAAATGGCGATGGTCTGATGAGCCCTGAGGTCGACTCGCTTGCCAATCTGAACACCGATCTACAAGTGTCAGCTGCCGAGCTCTCCAAATGATTGGGAAGGACTCACTGCCAGAGGCTGAATGCTTCCCGCCTCATCCCACGAGATCTTGTCTGGGATCTTGGGCGCCATGTCCGCAGGAAGAGCAAAGTACCTGCTGATCAGCACATGAGGAGTAACAACTGGTCCCGTCCACCCTCGACTCACTTCGACAAAGATCCGACCGATCCAGGAGCGCCGCAGTACCGCATGTCCAAGCAGATATTGCTCCTCCCATTCTTGCAGTTGATGCACCGCCGACAAGGCAGTCCCGGCTCCACGGCGACCCGGTCGCCCACCTTGTGGCTCGTCACCAGCTCTCCCACCGCAATGACCTCTCCAGCAGACTCGTGGCCCGGGATGATGGCTTCCTTCATAGGACGTCCGCCCACTCCGCCCGAGAGGTAGTTGTGCATGTCCGAGCCACAGATGCCTATACATCAGCCACATGACCTCGTCGCGAGAGAGAAGGACGTGCCAGTGGAGATGACCTTGACAAGCACTCCATCGGGCTGCAGGATGGGCATGGGCGACTCCTGAACCGAGATGGTCCGTTTCTTGAGCAACACCGCCGCCGTGTTCTCCCCGCACTGCAGCTCCTCGACGTGCTTCGGCTGGACCTTGTTGAGGAAGTGGAAGTGACTCATTGTGCGATGTGGAGGTGGATAGCAGTTCGAGGGGTTCAAGCGTCTTTCGGCTGTTGATAGTGTTCGGACGGTGGATGTATGGATGCAAGGGAAGCGCAGCTATCTAACCGCTTCTTATAGACTACTGTGGCCTCTTGGCTGTTGGTATTCCTTTCACCAGCGTTGGTATTCCTTATGGCGCCAGGCGGATTGGAAGGCTCCGGAGTGGAGGTTCGGGCCACCTTCCCGGGCCGGTAATTGCCGAGATCCGAACAAGCAGTTCCGTCGGAAGCGTAGGACCGTGCGTCGGTTTTCCGATCGTCATCGGTCGCGAGTTAAGAGCTTTCAAGCAGTCCATCTGTCCACCTGCATCGCTTCCCAAAGGATGACTCTACGTGTCCTAGCGCTCTGTGGCTTCACTCAGAATGCTCACATCTACATGAAACAGGCGAGCTGCTCATATGGTTGCCGAGAAATCAGCTGATTAGAAGCTTGGGGCTATCCGGAAGACATGCAAGGATGTCGAATTCGGTAACTCACCCTTCTCTGTCCATTGAGACTCTATTGACTCAGTAGTCTTCCTTGATCCCCCAATCATCGTCGAGAAGGTCGACATGCCATGGAATCAGAATCTCTCAGACTTCAACTCATCAGCGAGTACGGAAGAGGAGGAACGGACGGCAGAGACGACGCCGAGGGCCTGGTGGTTGAGCAATGACGACAGGAGTCAATACAGACGTGAGCTCGTCGGTCTATGTAGATCCGGACAAGCTGACCTGCGGTGTAGGGTTTGACGAGACTCTGGAGTACCTTTACGACTACCTGATCAAAGAGGGTCCATTTGATGGTGTAATGGGGTTCTCGCAAGGGGGATGTATGGCCGCCATCCTCGCTGCTCTGCTGGAGAAGCCAGGATACTCCTCGCACTTCCCGGCCGAGCCCCCAATACCCAAGTTCAAGTGTGAGCTACTGTACTGCGTGTCACTGCGAGCATAGCTGAGCCTCAGTCATGATCTCGGTCGGTGGCTTCCTCCCTACCCCTTCGACCCCAAACCTCACCTCGTTGTTCCCATTACCAGCCTCTCTCCCCACTCTCCACATTACAGGCCGGAATGACGTCGTGGTCACTCCTGAGCGGAGTCAGACGCTCATCGACGCGTGCTTGAACAAGCGGGTAGAAGTGCATGATGGAGGACACTTTACACCTAGTAAAGCCAGCTGGCGGCATTTCTTTCAGTAAGTCTCCCTTTCCACTCAGGGCAGAGTTGACATGCTGACTCTCAGTGCGTATACATCCTCCTTCTTGCCGGACGGATCGAACGGGGATGTACCGCCACCTTCAGCATTCGGTCCTTCAGGCGCCAATACCCCCGCTGCTGGACCTAGCAGACCCGCTACCCCGCCCAAACCATCATTATAATGTATCTAGCATGGCATCGTATATGTATCGTCACTATAGGCTACACAGCGTCTGTTAAAAGCAGGCCAGAAAAGTGTCCGTACGCCCCACCCTAATTCGCCCCCACCTCTTCTTCTTCCTCCATCCCCACCAACGTTCGGTGACCCGTGCGCGAGACCGAAGCTGGCCGAGCAAGAGTAGGGAGGCTCGTCTTGCGCTTGACCTGCCCCGCTGGCTCCACCGCTAGTGACTTGCGAGGACCGGCAAGCTTCAGGTCGGAAGTGTGGTTATGCTTGGTCGACGAGCTGAGAACCCGCGTAGCCGGAGTGGGAGTAGCGAGCGAAGGACGACGAGCGAGACTCGGCGCAGTAGGAGTTGGCTTGGGCGTACTCATGATGGAGCTCTCCCTCCTTCCCGACTTGGCCGCCCCCGCCGCGCTGACCGGACGCTTGATCGCCGATCCGTGCATACTGACCGAAAGCCGGCGATTCGGACCCGGTGTTTCCCCCGGCCGAGCGATAGTCGAAGCCGAGGGAGTAGAAGGGATGCGACTCGTACTAGCGACCAGCCGTTTCCTCGTCGGCGTGACGCTCCCCGATCGCGACGCCTGACGATTCAAGAGCGTGATTTCCGTCTCCTTATTATCCAGCGAGATGTCCATCAACATCTTGTCCTCCTCCAGCTCCTTGATCCGCTTTTCCAGCTCCACGACCCGCAGTGTCTCGCCAGACGATGCAGCCCGCAGATCGCCCACCTCGGACAATAGCTTTGTCTCGGCCAGCTTCAACCGGTCAATCTCGCCGAGGTACGCCGTGAGTCGAGATTGTACGTCCGCTGTGGTAGCGCTTGACATTTCCCGCTCGACAAAGGCGACCCGGACTTTGGTTTCTTGGTCGGCGAGCTGGGTGCGGAGGTCGTCAATCTTCCATTTGAGGTCAGAGGCGGTCCGGTCGTGCTCCCGCTGAGCCCGGGTGGATTGGGCCGTAACACGCGCGAGCGATTCTTGGGTGGCTTCCAAGTCGGCGCGGAGCTGCTTCACCTCGCCCTGCTGGAGCGACATGTCGCCGACTTGCGCCTCGATCTCGCTCCGGGCAGCTTCGAGCTGGTTGAGCGACTCCTCATAGAGGAACTGAAGTTCTTGGACGTCCTCCTCAAGGCGGGTGTTGTCATCTTCCAGCTGAGTGGTACGGCCTGAGCTGTCCTTGGCAGTGTTGAGCTGAACATCAGCTTGATCATTTCACATGCAGCTCATTACTCACCTGTTCCATCAACTCCCCCCTCTCCTGCAGTGCCCTGTCCAGCTTCGCCCTTAACTCCATGATCTCCCCCTCCGCCTCCACTCTCCCCTCGTCCACCTCGAATTGCTTCGTTCCCACCTTATCCCTCAACTGCTGAAGCACCATATCTTTCTCCACCAACTTCCTCTCCCACCCCCTCATCTCCTCTCGCAGCTCTACCGCCGCCGCCTGACTCGCCTCGAGCTCCGACTCGCGCAAACTCAGCAGGCTGCGGAGCGTATCCACCTCAGAGACCCTCACGCCCATTTCCGCCGCTCGACGATCGCAGTCCGCCAGATGCGTAGTGTACTCTTCGACGGTGACTTCGAGTTGACGCGCCGCATCGTTGAGCTCCTTCGTTCGAGCCTCGAGCGTGGCGGTGGATTCGTGCAGTTGAGACTCGAGGTCGAGCTTGTCCTTCCTCAGCGCCGCAGAAGCGAGGACGAGTTCCCCGTTCGTCCGACCGAGAGCGGCGATTTGATCCGCCTGCTTCTCGCGTACCTCGGCGCCATTGGTGAGAGCCATCTCCATCCGCTCGAATCGTTCCGCCAGATTATCGTGTGCCTCCTGCAGCTGATCGAAGAATTCCTCATTCTCTACCATCGCCTGACGCATCGATTCCAGCGCTACAGGGTCAGCTATTTCCCCTTGGGTTCGAAGGTTCTGACTCACCCTGATGCTTCTCCTCTGAGCTAGCCTCCGCCTGCTTCAGATCCGCCTGCATCTCATCGACCACCTTCCACGCCGCCTCGTTCTCGCACGACTCATCCTCTAGCTCCTTCTTGAGCATGGCGATCTCCTCTCGCAGACCCGCAATGAGGACCTCGCCCTCCCGGACCCGGGCGTCGAGCTGGCGGGTGTGGTCCGTATGCGCCTGGATGAGCTGCCGGGATAGACTAACAGGGACGGGCGAGTATGAGCTGTCCGTACCCGTGGAGGTCGAGTGGGAGTCGGGGGTATAGTAGGCGGTCGGACCGGTCTCCCCTCCAGCTTGAGTGGGAGCGGAGGGTGTGCTCTGAGCTTGAGCGAGGTACGCCGTACTGTGGACGGACGAGGGGGATTCCGCGATTGTCGTGAGCTGGGTCCCGGTCCATCCTTCGAGAGTATTGGGCTTGGCGAGGTCGATGAGCCCCGTAGCCACGCCTTTCTCCTCGTCCAGCTCAAACTGATCATCATCCATCTCCTCGACGCTCTCCGCGAGACTCTGCAGGCTTTCCCGCTTGTCCCCATCGTCCTTGACTAGGCCGAGGGTAGGACCAAAGACCTCGAGGGACATGCGCTTGGTAACGAGGGGAGAGAGCTTGACTTCGAAGGGCGATTCGGCGCGCTGAGCGGGGGAAAGACCGGCCGGGTTGGGGATAGTGAGAGTTGGGGTGGGGCATGGGGATGGGCGAGGAGACTCAGAGGGGGACTCCGATAGTCGAGCGTAGGTGTCTCGGGAGAAGAACCGGATCGCTACATGTCAGCTTGTATATTGCCAAAGAGGAAGATAGCTTACAGCCCTTCTCATGCTTTGCGCCGTCCGAAAGCATGCCCCTCCGCTTATCAGCCGTCGTCCCGCCCGGCGTCCCGTCCGGTAGCTCCTCCGGCAGCCGCAGGATATCCAGTCCATCTTCCAGCTGCCCTGCGAGGTCTTCGGGCGTCCCAGGTCGATCCCCATAATTGCTCGGATCGTACTCTTCGATTGAGTCCCGTCGGGTCCAGTCGAGGGGGACGGGGTGGGGATGCTGCGAGGGTGCAGGAAGGGAGAGACGAGGAGGCGAGGGTGAGTAGCCGCGGTCGGCTTTAGCGGGCGTGGAGAGATGGCCTGGGGATCAGCTTGATTCAGAGGCCAAGGACAGGACGTACGTGGTAGAATAGGCTGCCGTTTCGGCGACAGGTCCTCTGACTTGCCTCGTGTCCGGGGCATCCGCATAGGCGAAGTTGAAGCCCTAGGGGCGATGCGAGTGGGCGAGACGGGTGTCTCGTACCCCTCCAAGCAGATCTCGATGTCCGGCGTTAGGGCTTTGGAGAAGTCGATCCCTTTCGACGTGCGCTTGACGTACATTTCCGGAAGAGCGGGTACGGGGACGTCCATACTTGATCGATAGTCTGGACGTCAGCTTGCTTATCGTCAATCGTGGAGGTAGAAGTTCACCATCGCTCTCGTCACTGGTCCGAACGCTCGGCATGCTCTTCGCCAGCTTTAAACTCCCCTTTCTCGCCCGTTTCTTCTTGGCACTCCCCCACGTCCCCATCCATCCCTTGCGCTCCTCCTCATCCCTCTCTGGGACTTCATCGTCCACACTCCCGCTCAATCTCTCTTCCCGCTCTTCGACTTCCCGCTTCTTCTCCCGCTTCTGCTTGCCCTTCAGTGCGGACAGGCTCGGGTGGTGCGCTAGCGTGCGAAGGATCGAGGGTGTCCTGGCCCGCCGACCTGGAGTGGTCGTAGGTGGTGGGTCAGTGTGAGGGTATGGGGAGTGCGAAGGGGACGAGGGGACTGGCGTAAATACCGGCCGATCCAGATCCATCGACCGCTGTGTGTCGAGCAGGTAACGGCCGTACGGTACGTCGGGGAGTGGAGACTCGAGGGACGACGAAGCGCGAGAGGGGAGATGTCCCGCCGCCGAGTCGGGGCGATCGCGCTCGAGATATAGCGTGAGGTGGTGGGGTGATTTCGTACGTTTACGGATGGGCGACGAAGTGCGAAGCTGGGAGTGGGGTGGTGGTTTTGCAGGTGAGGCGGGTCGGAAGGGGTTTAGCCGGTGAAGTAGGTCAGACATGCTGCTAGAAGTAAGGTGAGTAGGATGAGTGTGTATGGCAGGAGTGAGAGATGGCGAATGGGACGAAAACAATGAAAGCTAGGAGTGAGGGTGGAAGTTGAGTGAACCTCTACCCGACAGAAACATTCCTCATCCGCCACACACACGCAACCTCAAACCCAAAGGACCCGCTGAAACATGGCGGGTTGTTTCATCTCGGCCCACCTACTGACTGTTACTGTACTCACTAGATACTACGTGCAGATCGTTCTATGGGCGAATGGCGATCTTGAGGGCATTCCTAGAAGCCATCTTATCCAATGCCTTCTGATAATCTTTGAGCGCAAAGACATCGGTGACCATCCCGTCCGTCCGGATCTTTTTGGAGTCAAGCAGTTCTACGGCTCGCGGGAAGCAGAATACCTGGGCGAACGAGCCGACGATGCTGTCCTGTCAGCAAAAGCCCACTTCCGCGTGCTAGAAGCCACTCACTTGATCTCGTTCAAGAAGATCTTGGTCGGGCTCCACGTAACCCTCGCTGAGTCGGCATACACCCCATACACGAGCAGTGTTCCACCTCGGCCGACATAGTTGATCGAGTCGTTCACGATCGACTCGACACCGGTGCACTCGGCTACCACGTCGAATCCGTCTATGTTGTCAGCTCGATCTCCCAGCGCTCTTGGAAATGGGTACGACAACTCACAAGGATTGTCCGCTAACAGCTGATCCCACTGCTTCTTCGCCTCCCCTCGATCCCGCTCCAGGTCGAGATAATGGTCGGCAGCCTGTACTTTCCGCGCAATGTCCATCTTGATCCCCTTGTTCGCCGCGATGGTGACTGACGAAGCGCCTCCAAGCTGTAGCATGAGCTATGATCGATACGGGCGCCGCCTGAAGTAGACACACCTTCAATAGCTGAGCTAGCATGAGTCCCGTAGGTCCCGCTCCGATCAAGAGACACTTTGCGCCAAAGGGCATCTTGATCTTGTCCATTCCGTGTATGGCGCAACTGGCAGGTTCCAGCAGGGTCGCTTCTTCGTCTGTCAGATTGTGGATCTTGAAGCATTTGGCAAAGTTGCTGCAGCATCAGCGAGGTCTCCGTTCTTCGAGACATAATCGATAGGTAGCTATAACTCACAAAGCAACGTATTGAGCGAATCCTCCAGGCTTGACAATCCCCTTGGGCGTAAAGTTCTCGCAAAACAGATGTTTGCCCTGCTTGCAGTAGTGACAATAGTCACAGCACTCTTGACAGATCAGCTCCACACGTCTAAGGGGTGCTCACCGCTCCCGTCTCCGACAACCTTGTCCCCCTCGCTAAACCCCTGCACCTTGCTCCCCATTTTTACGACCGTACCCACGACCTCATGTCCTGGGATAAGCGGGAACTTGGCGATGAATTCTCCCTCGTGTATGTGTGCCTACTCCATCAGCCCGTTTCCGACTGTATGATAGCAAGCTCACATCTGTTCCGCACACACCGCACAAGTTGACCTTGAGCAACATCTCATCCTCGGCGATTTCGGGTATCGGGATTTGCTTGATCTCAAACTCGCGGGGCTTGTTGTACCACAACGCGGTCATTTCGCCTTCGTGAGCGGACATGGCTGAATGTTTTGGTTTGATGCAGGTAGATTGTTCGTTGAGATGATGAGCAGGTGGGTGACAGATGGCTGAAGCTGGAACTTCTTGGACGTCCGACCTTGGACGAGCTGGAGAGGAGACCCGGCCCGGTGGCCGGAACGCGTCATAGTTGCCTCTTTGGGTAAGTTTCACCAGCGTTCCAGCTGAGTCCAAAACGTTAAAACCTCTTGATCTCTTGAGCTTCAAGCTCCATGAGTGAGTCGGAGTCTTCCTCCACCGCATCACACCACGGACCCTATCCCCAAGCACAGCCGAACTATTGATCTCATGACTAACTACTCACTGAACTGACTCTGTACTCGCGACCCCGCCCCACGCGGTGTTAAGGACGAATCGCAATCTTGAGCGCGTTCCTGTACGCCATCTTGTCCAGCGCCATCTGGTAGTCCTTCAGCGCAGACACATCCGTCACCATCCCGGCCGTCCTGATCTTCTTGGACTCGAGGAGCTCGACAGCGCGGGTGAAGCAGTAGACCTGCGCGAAGGAGCCGACGATGCTTGCTGATCAGCAAAAGTTTACCTACCCTCCAACAAGCATTATATGTAAGTGCAGATATCCACTCACTTGATCTCGTTCATGAAGATCTTGGCAGGACTCCAGGTGACCCTGGCTGCATCCGGGTACACCCCATAGACGAGCAGGGTCCCGCCTCGACCGACGTAGTTGATGGCGTCGTTCACGATGGACTCGACGCCCGTGCATTCGGCAACGACGTCAAAGCCGTCTATCTATCAGCTTGATCTTCGCTGCTCTCGGATGGACAGTGGCTGATGGAAGTGCTTACAAGGGTTGTCGGTAAGGAGCTGATCCCACTGCTTCTTCGCCGCATCCTCATCCCGCTCGAGATCGAGATAATGGTCCGCCGCCTCGATCTTGCGCGCGATATCCATCTTGATTCCCTTGTTGGCGGCGATAGTCACTGAAGAAGCACCTCCGAGCTCCCTGTCAGCCACGCTCACACACGAACTCACCTTAAGTAGCTGAGCAAGCATAAGCCCCGTCGGTCCCGCCCCGATCAAGAGGCATTTCGCCCCGAACGGCATCTTGATCTTGTCCATCCCGTGGATGGCGCAACTGGCCGGCTCGACCAGGGTGGCCTCTTCATCTGTCAAATTGTTGATCTTGTGACATTTGGAGAAGTTACTGACGATGTCAGCTCAATAGCCCGCCGAGACTGCTATCCCCAGGCAGGCACAGCCTATCCCAAGGCTTGAAGAGACGACACTCACAAAGCGACGTATTCTGCGAATCCTCCAGGTTCGGTACAACCCTGCGCTCTGAGGTTCAGGCAAAACAGCGGCTTGCCCTGCTTGCAGTAGACACAATGATGGCATGATTCTGTGCTGATCAGCATCACCTCCAATCCCATATTTGACGCGCAGCGGAACCTGGACTGAGACTTACGCATCACGTCCGCGACGACCCTGTCACCTTCGCTGAACCCCTGCACCTCGCTCCCCAGCTTGACCACCGTCCCGACGACCTCATGCCCCGGGATCAAGGGAAACGTAGCCGAGAAACTCTCCCTCGTGAATGTGGGTCTGTCCCGTCAGCTGTCAGCTCCTGCTTCATGACTTCAATGCGAGATTAGCCAGCTCACGTCCGTCCCGCATACACCGCACATATTGACCTCGAGTAAGACCTCACCCTCGCCAATGTCAGGGATGGGGACCTGCCTGATCTCAAAGTCGCGGGGCTTGTTGTACCATAGCGCAGTCATTTTGCCTTCGTGAGTGGACATGGTGGCGAGCACTGCGTCAGTAGAAGAGGACCGCAAAATGAGTGGTAGAACGGTGAGTGATGAAAGCGAATCATGGTCCAGGTCTTTGTGGGAAGGGCGCTTGTGAAGCGAGTGTGTGTGCCGAAGCAAGATAAGATTCAGCTTCTCGCCGCATTCGCTTTGCTTCTCAACCTCATTCCTCTGCTGGTCCGGCGCGACCGGGATACCTCCGTTGACGTCGGCAGTATGCAGCATCAATACGTCTTGACCTTGCCCTACCGCAATGAGATCTGCCAAGTCTATGCCGGCTCAAGCGTTCAAGTCCATACATCGTGATGAGACTGCTTCAACCGTTTTCGCGACCCCTTCATCCCTCTCGTGGTCCTGCCTTACTTGGCCAACATCATCGTCACGAACTGTATTGTCAGTGTGGATCGCTTCTACCCCGAGTACGAAGTGACAGACCTCGTTGTAGTCGATCCTGGATAATCAGCCACAATCCTCCACTTGTCGAATAGCAGCGAAGACACTCACATTCCATCCCCATCCTTGTCGGCCTCACGGATCATCTCGTTGATCTCGGCGTCCGAGAGCTTCTCACCGAGGTTGGCTAAGGTATTAGCTATCGGGCCATTACCAGCATACAGCCACGTCAGCTCACTCATCACGTGCTTCAGCTCCGCTGCGGAAATGTGCCCATCATTGTTCTTGTCAAACACCTTGAACGCCTCCCTGATCTCCTCCTCGGAATCGGTATCGTGCATCTTGCGCGCCATGAGCGTGATGAACTCTGCAAAGTCTATCGAGTTGTTTCCGTCCGCGTCGACCTGGATGTCAGCTGCATCCAGCGTGGTACGTGGGTAAAACAGCGGACCTCGTTGATCATATCCTCGAGTTCGGCCTGGGTGGGGTTCTGGCCAAGCGAGCGCATAACGGTACCGAGCTCTTTGGTGGTGATGGTTCCATCTCCGTCCTTGTCAAACAGGGAGAATGCCTCCTTGAATTCTGGATATCAGCTAAGCCCATTGATGCCTGCATAGGTATAAGAGCGTATGCGGGGAACGTACCGGCGATTTGCTCTGCGAGAGTAAGCCATCAGTTCAGCCAGGTACGCTTATCACGGATCTCCCGGTAGCCAAGCCGTTGCAGAGACCAGGCAGCCACCGCCGGTCTCGTTTCTTCTGCGATGCAGTCCATCTGTGTCCACCTGGCCGTTCAGACGCATCCGCCTCCGCCTGTTCCGCAGCCTTTACCCTTTCATAACCGGTTCCCGGCTCGATCAAGACATATCAGGACCCGCTCAACGCACCTTTGGTCTGCTCTGTCAGCTCCGGCCGTATCTTCCGGTGCTCCCAGGACACTCACAAGTTGTTCAGCCATGTTGTATGTGTCTAAAGCAGAGGTATGTACAGAAAGAGAAGCAGAGCACGGACAATAGGGGAGGAGCGTGGAGAGCGCGCATCAGCTGTGCAGGTCATTTGATCCCGGTCCCCCCACTTAAGTGATGACGCAGAGCTATGACGTAAACCCCTTTTGATCAAGCCTCGAGCGATTCAAGCTGCAGCTGAGGAATTTCTAAATCTCGCCTATCACTCTACCCTTGACCAGTACAGCTATCCAAGATGGCGCCTCCCACAGCCGCACCCAACGCTATCCTCACACGGGCCATCAACGTCTATGCCCTCCCAAAAGAATTACTCGATAACCTCATCGTCCGGTCCATCCAGGCCGAAGCGCCCGAAGAGGAGGACGCGCAACCCTCCTCTCGGTCCAAGACCGACGCAGCATCCAGCGGGCCGGCTGGATCGCTCAGGTGTCAAGCATGTCCCGATATCGGCTTTGAGACTGTCGAGGACCAACGGGCGCACTTCAAGTCGGATTGGCATCGGTATAACGTCAAGGCGAGGATGACGGGACGGGCGGTCAGCGCGGAAGAATGGGAGGGGATGGTTGAGGGTCAGTTGGCGCTTTCGCACAACGCGGTCAAAGCTGATCATTAGGCGTATCGTCCATCTCTGGCTCGGCGTCCTCCTCTTCTGGCTCATCCGACGAATCCCAATCCAAAGTCTCGCGACTCCTGCGCAAAGCCAAACTCAACGCCAATATCAACGGCGGTGGCTCGGTCGATTCGGATGAAGAAGCCGAAGTGGCCGACCGAGTCCGGCGAGCTCAACTTCGTACGGCCGTTATCTGGTTCTCCCCCTCATCTCCACTGCCAGCTTTAGGCGTTCCCCAGGATACGCAATTCGGGATCCACCGTGCCCTCTTCCCGCCGCTCGATACGGCCAGCGACTATCTCGGCGAGCTGCGCCGGATGCAATTGTCCGCCCGGCCGAGTATAGAGGGTACGGACGGAGAAGATAGGCGGATCACGCTGCTCATGGTCGCCGGCGGGCACTTTGCGGGGATGGTCGTGGGTCTGAAGCCAAGAGGGAAGGGGGACAAGATGGAAGTCAAGGGAGCAGGGGAGATTAAGATTTTCAAGCACAAGACGTTCCATAGATACACCAGTAAGCTCCCCTTCGCCCGCATCCCGCACTGAGCTGACCTCTAGCGCGTAAGAAACAAGGAGGATCGCAGGCCCTCAACGATAATGCAAAGTCCAAAGCTGTATCCGCTGGAGCCATGCTGCGTCGATATGGAGAAGCGGCGCTGCAGGAGGAGATCCGGCAGTTGATGTCGGACTGGGAAGAGGATATCGCCATGAGTGAGCGGGTGTTTATTCGGGCGAGTACGCACGGGAGGAAGAGCTTTGTGGGGTATGAGGGGGCGGTGTTGGAGAAGAATGACGCGAGGATACGGGTGTTTCCGTTTCCTACTCGGCGTCCGGTGAGATGTCTAGCCCACATCTGTGAGACTTAGCTTATACGGTAGACACTCCAAGAACTGCTTCGCTGCTGGCACGAACTGGTCCGAACCAAGGTGTCCCACCTATCATCGGACGCCCTCCAGGCTTTGGACGACGCGTATATCGCCTCGCTTCAGCCCCGCAAACCCATCATCAAACCTGTCACAGCCCCAGCTCCCTCCGCCCCCTCCGCCCCGATCAAAACCCCGGACGAGCTCGCGCGCGAAGACCGCCAGCGCCGTCTCTCCGAAATGATCAAAAAGGGCCGTCTCGACGCCCTCCGTCCCTTCTGGGAGAAACACCAGTCCGAATTCGATAACTCGGCCCTCGGGCTCGCGTGCACTTCAGGCCAAGAAGACATCATCCGGTTCTTCCTGGATGAGATCCGCCTGGATCCGACCGTCTCCATAGACGGCAAGAAACCATATGATCTCTGTTCTACCCGGGGCGCGCGCAACGTATTTCGGCGGACACGATACGAGCATGAAGAGTGGTATGACTGGGCCGTCGCGCACGTGCCTAGTGGGCTCTCGGAGGAGATGGAGGAGAAGCAGGATAGTAAGAAGGCGGAAAGGCGGAAAGGGCTCAAGGAGAAACTGAAGGAGAGGGAAAAGGCGCGGAGTGAGGCCGAGGCGGCGGAAGAGGGGGAGAAGGAAAAGGAGAGACGGTTGGAAGAGGTCGATAGGCAGCGGAAGGCGGCGATGCCTACGATGGGTGGGGGAGGGGTGCAGAAGCTCGGAGGGAGGGATAGTAAGACGTTGGGGATGGGGGGGATGAGTGAGGAGATGAGGATGAGGGTGGAGAGGGAACGGAGGGCAAAGGCGGCCGAGGCGAGGTTTGCTAATTTGGGGGCAAAGTAGTGCGAGAGTAATAATGCATAGACTGGACGGATGGTGCAGGTTTTGGTTGGCGCAAGAATGATATCAGCCGAAAGCTGGCAGGAGTACCCCGGCTCCCCTTAGATATTACTATATCCACTCGCTTGAGAACAACTTGAGGGGTTGGAATGCCTGATTCTTTCCTTCTGAAATTCTGTTTCCTTATTGAGTCGCTGCTTGATATGCATGGTAAAAGAAGGGCGAGAGTGATTAGGGGGGACTTGCGGGAGTTTGATGTGTCAAGATTAGAGACGACCCCTTCCCCCTCTCCCCTTCTCTGCACCCAAAGAGTGGCTAGTGAGAACGCTCTCCATCGGAGTAGGGATAACCAGATGGAGGCAGAAAGAGCATCAGAACACGCTATACATCGAAATCAGATACTTCTCCCTTTCATCCACCATCTACTCGCCTGCGCCCGCGCCCAGCCTTTGTTTTCCCTCCTTCTAGGCAATCTCCGCGATAGACATCGGCATCTCGTCGATCTGACACGAGTAGTACTGTTCGATATCTACTTATCAGCACTAGCACAGGCGTGGAAGGGGATATAGACTCACCGCGGAGGATCCGGACATCTTCGACTGTAACAAAGTTGATCGCGACACCCTTGCGGCCGAACCTGCCCAGAGTCAGCTAGAACCGAATTATAGCGAAAAGAAGTCGATTTACCTCCCTGACCGGCCGATGCGGTGAAGATACGCTTCTCTGTTTATGGGCAGGTCATACTGCAACATCAGTCCCAGAGGACCTCAAGGAGAAGCCGCACCAAAGTATGAGGCAAAAACTCACGTTGATGACCAAGGAGACTTGTTGGACGTCTGTAATCGTTAGCTGAGACTCCAGAACGACAGGGAATCACTGTACCAATTCCACGACTCCAGATATCAGTTGTAATAAGCACCCTGGACTTCCCACCCCGGAATTCTGTCATGATAAAGTCACGTTCCTGCGAAAAAGTCAGATTTTGCCCTTGGTCACCAAAAATTTGCACATGCCTTCTGCTGGTGCTCTCCATGCAGGGACGAGACGGTAAAGTTGGCCTCCCGCATCTTCTCGGTGAGCCAGTCGACCTTCCGACGAGTGTTGCAAAAGATGACGGCTTGGGTGATGGTGAGACTGAAGAGTAAGTTTCGCTTTACGTAACGCAAATGGTAGCTGTGCGGAAACTCACGTATCGTAGAGATCGCAAAGAGTGTCAAACTTCCAGTCCTCCTTCTCTACGGCGACAAAGAACTGCTTGATCCCCTCGAGGGTCAACTCGTCACGCTTGACGAGGATCCGGATGGGGTCAGTCATGAACTTGGTGGTCATCTCGAGCACGTCGTGCGGGAGGGTGGCCGAGACGACGACGACCTGCGTCGCGGGCGGGAGGTACCTGGGATCAGCACAGCCAACAGCCGGAACATACCGGTAGATATCGTAGATCTGATCCTTGAACCCCTTGTTGAGCAGCTCATCCGCCTCATCCAGAATCAACATCTTGATTTCCTTGGTGCGCAAATTTCTGCGCCGAATCATATCAAACACCCGTCCCGGCGTTCCAGATACGACCTGCTGTCCCGCCTCAAGCTTGCGGATGTCCTCGCCGACACTTGTACCGCCGATACACGCGTGGCACGAGACGTTCGAGTAGTCGCCGAGCGCGAGGACGACCGTTTGGATCTGGACGGCCAGTTCACGGGTGGGCGAGAGGATGAGCGCCTGCGTCTCGCGGATATTGTTGTCGATGGACTGGAGGGCGGAGATGGAGAAGGTCGCGGTTTTACCGGTACCAGATTGGGCTTGAGCAATGACGTCTCGACCCCGCATGATGGGGATGATAGCTCGCTGCTGGATCGCAGAGGGCTTCTCGAAGTCTGCGAATCAGCCAGGTCCGTTGAAGCTGTAGGGGGACTTACTGTAGGCATAGATACCGCGAAGAAGGTCTTCCTTGAGGTTGAGAGCTTCGACTATTGACATTGTCAGCTGCGCCCTGATTCATCAATAGGGGAACGTTAACTCACAAGTAGGTGCCTGTATTCGGAAGGAGCAAAAGTGATCACATGGTGAGCACTCCCACCCCTTCCGTGGAATCTGGATAGCTACGTACGACTGTTACCGACTCTGAAGACTCAAAAATGAGCTTCTCGTCGCCACTAAGAGGTCAGCGTGATTCTTACTCTTCCCCCTTCTCGTTTAGCCTGGGTCAAAGCTCCGCCGTCCGTCCAACACCTTTAAACCTCATCCACCAGTCTGTAGACGCCCTTGGCCGAGCGATGGGCACTGCCGCGGAGTACAGGCTGGCCCATTTCGATGTCCCTCAAATCTCTTACTCCCCCAATTTCCGGCTGTTTCCGCCCGTCCTTTCGCCCAGCATCCTCGTGGATACTCACTTGTTGATTCCCGCCATGTTGACTGGTGGATGATTATAGGTAAGTAACAAGTAAAATGAGATATAGGTACAGAGAGTGTCGACTGCAAGGCCTTTGCTGCTGTCTTGTTCTTTTTGCGACTGGGCGGGATCAAATTTCGCCCCCTTTCTGGTGGCACACTCTCAACGCAGCTCTCTTTTGACCATACACAACCCATTTGCTACAGCCGATATGGACTCCATCATAGAGACACAGCGAGCAACGCACGAGGAGATAGAGCGATACGAGCAGGCGCTCGCGGATGTCCTCATGCAGGCGCCAACGATCCAGCGGAATATCGCCAGAAGGGACCGGAAGGCAGCTGATATCCTCGCGCGGATTGGCGAGCTCCGGCAGAACTTGGTCCTCATGTATGAGGATGCCCCGGGGTAAGCTACCGACTTCAACAGGAAGAGTCTCAGTTGACAAACAGTCTTCGTCCCGTCGAAATCGCCCTCCTTTCCAACCCGCCCGCGGGCCAAGACGACCTCGCGGAGTTCTACACCCGGTTCGAGAAGGTCAAGGACTTTCACTCCAAGAACCAAGGCATCAACGCCCGGACGTTCCTCAGCGAGATTGACGAGCTGGTGCGGAGTGATGGACTCCAGACTGTTTACGTGGAGGGGGAGGACGAGCCGGTGGTGATTGATCCGCTGGACTCGGTGTTTTCGGGAGAAGAGGCGTATGGGAAGCACCTGGACTTGTATGGGTCGCATACGCAGTATATGAATCTGAAGGGGGCGAACAGGTGAGCTCCAGCACGCGTCACTGCGTCCATAGCTCGAGCTGACATATAGGCTATCATATATTGCCTACCTCGACATGCTCCGGAAAGGCACGATCCAGCGCAACCTCGATGCCAAGGAGAAAGCCTCAGCCGCCTACCTATCCTACGTCACCGCCCTCTACAACTACCTCGTCTCCTTCTTTGACCGCGCCTTACCCCTCATCGACGTCCAAGAAAAGCTGCGCGAGGAGGAGGACAACTTTGCGTCCGCGTGGGAGGCGGGACAAGTGGGCGGCTGGAAGGGAGAAAGCAGCACCGTCACTGCCAATGGCGGAGAGGGGATCTGGTGTCCTTTCTGTCAAAAGAACTACTCGAAGCAAACGGTATACGACGCCCACCTCAAATCCGAGAAGCACCGGAAAAAGGAAGCGGCCGGAAACGCTGTCGCCAACCCCGCGGCCGCCAGCGGGGCAGCACCAGCGGCTTCGTCTACCCAAAAAGACAGATTAAGGGCGCCCGCACGGCTCACGTACCTCGTCGGCGCGCTCTTGACGTTCCCGCCCATACCGGAGATTATTGCGAGGTCGAGGGGAGAAGTGGAGCGCAGGGCGGCATTGACGGCGAGGGAGAGAGATGCGGAGATGGAGGAGACGGAGGAGGCGCCGCCGGTGGAAGTTATCAAGATTGATAATGGCGAGTCGGACGAGGAGTCGGATGATGGGACGATATTCAATCCGTTGAAATTGCCTCTCGGTGAGTTTGCTGAACCGGTCGACCATGGGGCACAAGCTCATACATGCAGGTTTCGATGGCAAGCCCATCCCATTCTGGCTTTGTGAGTGAACCCATTGTCCTGTAGTTGTGATAGGCTGATAGATTCCCAGATAAGCTACATGGTCTCGGTACATCTTACACGTAAGACCTTTCGTATTGGTTAGACCAAAGACCAGAGCTGACATTATCTATAGGTGTCAAATCTGCTCCGACGCAACGTACCAAGGCCGAAAAGCCTTCGACAAGCACTTTTCGGAAGCTCGACACTCGCTCGGTATGCGCGCGCTGGGTCTGCCCAATACGAAGCATTTCCACGAGATCACTCAGATTGCCGATGCTATAGCGTGTGAGTCTTCGTCTCATTCGCCTCCATTGTCCCACCATCGCCTCATACCACTTCATTCTCGCCATCTCATCCCCCACTCCTTTCCCCTTATCGTCAAGCTTTGCGTGCCCGGCAGTGATGAGGACTATGGACCGCCACGATACTCAACCTGCCCCCGAGCATCAGGACGCAAGCTGACTCTCCACAGTGGCTGAAAAACTCAAGTTCGAGGGCCGACAGGAGCTCGCTGCGATGGAACGAGCTGTCGAGATGGAGGATTCGGACGGCAATGTGTATAGCAAACAGGTATACGATTCGTTGAAGCGCCAAGGCGTCATATAATTGATATCTTATCCGAAGAGAGGTACATGTAACTGGAGTCCTTCAAGTATGAAACTGAGTAGACAACCACCTACCCCCACCTGCTGATCCAGGCATGAATGCGCGGTATTCTGGGGAATTGCAATACTTCCGCCCACGTGACCAGCCACCTGAACTTCCAGCCGAGTAAGCAGTTCGCATTCTGCATCCCGCTCATCACTCATTCGTTTCCGTTACATGCCAGGCAATAGCAGGATAAGAGATGCTCACCCTCGGATAGCCGGAGAACGCTGAAGTAGAAAGGCATACCTGTGTACCCAATGCTCGGCGCCGACCGAGATAGTTTAGGAACGTCCAGGAACGGAGGGCGCGCTCGGACGACTGCGAGCTACCTGGTCCGAGCGAGCTTGCTTATGATGACATCGGTATCCTCGTGACGGTTGCGATGCCCTCCTTTCGATCGTGGTGTGCTCGGCTGAGGATCGGGGAAACGGTCTGCTAACTGTCATACCGACCTGATCACGAGTAATCCTCATTCTACCAGATAGAAGCGCTCTCCCCTCTAATCTCTCAAGCTCACCCTAATCGTCAATATGCCGAAACGACAGCTTCAACCCACGTCCTCTTCCGCATCATCCGGGTCTGCCGCGCCCCCCTCTCGTCAGTATCGTCGCGTATCTCAGCCCGCAGCGTCTAATAACGGCGGAGCCACCAACTCGGTCGACCGTCCGCTCAGCCCGCAGGGCCAGACTGAGGACTATCAAGCAACCGAGGTCGGGAGCATAGACGGGGCGCAGGATGCACTCATGAGTAGTCTCGCCAGTATGGGGTTGGATCATGACGAGGCCCGAAGCGAGGCTGAGGACGCGACGGAGGAGGGAATCTTGTCTTGGGCGGCGTCAATGGCGGGGGAGGCAGAGTCAGACCGGGAAGCTCAGTCGGAGGAGCAGCAAGGGTCTGAGGGTCAAGCAGGGGAGGCGGAGGGAGGTGAAGATGGGGATTCGGATTGGGACGACGATGATGACGATGGAGGTGATGGGGAGGATGGTGAGGAGATGTATATCGAGGTCACCGTGGAGGTGATGCGGGAACTCGAGAAGCGAGATGCAACCAAGTCTCGGAAGGAGCAAAGAGAGATAGAAGCCGACGACGAAGCTCTGCGTCGGTGGACTGAAGAGGTACTGGATAGTCATTTTGCGAGGTGCTCGGAAGAAATGGTTGAACTGGTGAGCATCCCACATATACATCATTGCCGTTGTCGGTGCTTCGCACCCGAATGCAATTACTGACAGTGATAGGCCTACGAGTGTCTTCCAGTGGTCAAGAAGCAAGTCACGAGCCAGTCGAAGGGATTGCTGCACGTCGTTAAAGGCTCACTCCGGAAATCCTTCGACTTCAAAAGCAGTCTCCTCTCATCGCTGCTTAACTGCCGGTACAACGATCATCACGGGTCGTCGAGACAAGTCATCGACAAGGTGCTCGCCGTCATGCTACATCACGGGCACGGTACCTTCCGCGAGGCTTTTCGCAAGATGGCGGACAATGACACCCTACTCGATCTTGACCTCATTATCAAAGGTGCTGCCCCAGCGAGAGGTGCGAAGGTGACGGGGATTTATGTAAGGAAGATCAATGCGGTGAGTCTCGTTTACCAGCCCTGCCACGTAAAAGATGTACGCGTGTGGATTCCTGCTGATTTCTCAGGCGGTAAAACGGTATTATGTTGGCAAAGCCATCAACATACATCGCCGGCAAATCGCCCATGACTCGAAGCCTATCAACAAGCTAGCGAGAGCGGCGACCGACCCATCGAAACCGCGGTGGCGAGCTCACACCCTGCTCTCTTTCGGCCCAACCAAGCTCGCACAGATACCCCCGCCCCTTCTGTCCGCGGTCGAGTGCTTGATCATCGGTAGTGCTGGACTCATCACGCGGAAGGACGCGCTGCAAATCAACCTCATCGATCGTGCTCCCCACAAGCTGCCGCGAGTGCAAAAACCGCTGCCGCCATCATCGCTGCCGAAGTTGGACAAAATCTTGGTCCAATGCTGGAATGACATGCATGGTCGGATTGAAAGGAGTAAGGCGGCGTTAAAGGAGTACCCCAGAGGGGCCGGATTTGAGTATCCACAGGACAAACGTGAGCATCAGATTGTCTCGAGCGACACACAATGAGTCGACGTTGATCCTTTAGCTTTCTACCTCACCCCCTACGCGGACGCCGCAGGCGTATCCTGACACATCTTCCGTCAGAGATTGTTTGGTCTCGCACCCCTGATCCAAGATGGACAGGTAGTCTACGGTGTACGTTCCGCAGCTCTTCGACAAGCGAAGAAAGACTATCCGATACCTCGACATCTCCTATACAACTTGGTGAGTCTAGTATATTGTTCTCGCTGACGCGTAGAACTTCGACTTCGTCAAATCGACATTTCCCTGGGCCCGGAGAACAGGACCACAGCGTCACCCTATCCAGCATCTCAAGCCAGGGCGTGATCTAAGGCAATCGAGCAGAGTATGTCATTTGTGAGCTATGATGAGGTTCGCCTGCAGCTGACGGCGCGGGTCGCTGGATTTGTACCTGCTTACGCCCCCTACCGTTTACCTGATAGAGCTCACTCTTACCTACTGAAGAGCTTGTTGTGCGCTAGCAGGTCACAGAGTAGGGGTAGGTATGGGAAGTCAATGTTTGGAAGCCTACCCTGATACTCGTATACACAGGAATTTAGAACATAAATAGGCGGGAGCTCAACACAGCGTTGTAAGAGTAGTAGTGACGAGGACAATGAGCCTTTGGTTGCATCTCTCCTCATGGTCACGACGCAGCTATACGGATATGTGCATATGTTCTGACCCAGACTACGTATTCCAGAAGTCCCAACCCCTCACTCATTGCATGGTCTAATACTCCTCTTCATCATGCAATGACGGCGCGATGCGCCTACTCACTGCGGGAGCCAGGCTCACCCACGGGATCGTCTGCCCCCGCCGTCGCTTTCCCTCCCTCAGTCTCATCGGGCTTCGCGAGTTCGGCGAGGATCTTGACCAGCTCCTTCGCTGAGACATTGCTGGGAATGATGGTCACCTCACCCGACTCGAAGACTTCCACGCTGACCACTATGGGAATCCCAGCCTGCTCGTGCAGCGATCGGATCCTTGGGGCGGTATCCTTGGGTATGGCAATGTGAGTCTTGCTCATGTCTGCTGCGTCCGGGTCGTCGACAAGGCGACCGTAAGACCGCATATGAAGGACGAAGGGAAGCCATTGTGTTTGTTCGTCAGCTCATACGTCTTGTAGGATGGTCCGCTGTTGGTAGACATTGCGTTGTATCTGTGGTCGGTGGTGTGTCTGAACTGGGTATGCCGAAAGGAGGAGGAGGATGTACGATTCATGAGTCGAGGGGGGCGTTGACATGGCTTATAAAGGCCCAACGCCGACTGACTCGCCACCGCGTTGCATGGTCCGGCCGGCAAACCTTTGTGTATCGTGTACAAGGGAACCACCTTGGTTTACCTTTCCAGCGCCACGCAGATGATCGTAGAATGTTCTAGCGCTGCGCCAGAAATCTGTCTGCAACTTGGAGAGCGGGTGGCGATTAACAATGGGGATCCGGCGTCGACATCGCGGACTTTTGTTCTTGGGTTGAGAAAGGTTGAGGTCTCGCTCCCCCAGCCAGAGGTGTCTAGTCACCTGGCTCCAAGTGCAAAGTGTGCATGTCACGATCCCCTGCTAGCGCATATATATATGATCAGCGGCGGCAAGTCCGCTAAGCCCACACTAGTTCGCCCCTGCTGCTGCCTCTCTGGCTTCCCTCAGGCGTTTCTCCACCCTGTTGAGCGGTTCCCATAGGTCGGGCGCCTCCGTCAGAGTAGGCACGAGGATGAGAAGGTCCTCGGAGTCCTCAACGTCCTGAATGGAGGCAAATCTCTCGTAGTAATCTGGTGCTTCAGGCCATACCGCCACGAGCAGATTCGTGTCGTCCTCGGTGAGATCGTAGTCGTGGGCCTTTGTCTCCCAGGTTTCAGCCTGTTCAGTCACACGAAGAATCGAAGTGGGTTCCGTAACCGACAGGTAAAGTGTGAAGGTCTTCCCGGCTGGCGCGGACATGGTGAAGGGTGTGTGGATGATGTATGCGAGTGAATGGGCTTGCTTGGCTGATGAGGGGTGGAGACTGGGTGGATGTAGAGACAGTAATGGGGAATCATGCAGAGTAGGAAAAAAAGGGTGGCGCGGGGAGGCCAATCAAATATATCAGACCTGGATTCGCGCCCCGCACATGACTCCCTGGGTACTCTCACCTTCAGCGCTGTCTCACTTACGGCGGCCACTCAAGTCTCCGACCGCTGCGATCTGTAGACGGAGGGCGGGGTACGCAGGCGGTATTCCGAATGGAGATCCCGCCTTACATTGTACTCCGCTTTCTCGCTTCACACGCTCCCTCAAATTGGCATTTCCCCGTTCGACTCGGTGGCGCAATTCTCCGCTCGCCGCACTTTTGCGGAGACGGCAGCGAAAGCAGTCGGAACCAGAATGAGACATGGAATGCCGCCCGACACACTCCGCTTTCTCGCATGTAGCCTTGTCACAAGCTCCCTTGATTCAGAGTCAGCTAGTCTTTCCTCCTTTCAGCCCCCGGGCGGCCGATCGCCGGCCCGCCTGGACCGCGACAGACACCTTTTGGTGGGGGTTCTTGTCGAGCTTGGATTGCAAGTTGTCCGGTAGTCGGACTGGTTCGCCGTGGTGATCGTAACAAGCAGCAAGGTTAGTACTTTGCGGGAGCTTGAGGACTTCAGCACCGATCAGCAGTTCACCATCAGTCGACAGTCCGCTAGAGCTCGTATACCAGTCAGTTCCCCACCTGTCGATTTCACGTTTCATATGTATGAACTCTAGGGCAATGAAAGGTTCCTACGCCTGAGGCACAGTCCACGTCCTAGCACACCCATCCTGCCCCGTCGAGATCAACTTCTCACTTCCTGCAACCCAAGACACCCCCGAGACCCCTCCTGGATGCGCATTCTAAGATGTCAGCTCTTGCCCCAACTCATGCCGTCCCTTACAGCTCACCTTGATAGCCGTATTCTTCATCACCTTCTCCACCTCCCACACATAGATACTCTCATCCCCACCCGCACTTGCCAGCCTTTTCCCGTCCGGCGAAAAGCTCAACGCCGCCACTCGCCCGGTATGGAACTGCCACCTGCTACTGACGAGCACTTCCTTCTTGCCCACATCGACGAGGATGATCCGCCCGGCGCTATCTCCCGCAGCGACGAGTTTCCCGTCCGGCGAGAATGCGATCGAGAGGATGTCGCCCTTGTTGTCGGTAAAGTCCGCCTCGGTTTTGAGAGAAGAGCCAGAGTTGGTGGCGAGGGTGAGGGTCTTGCCTGAGCCGTAGGCGACCGAGGGGCCGTTTGCGCCGACCGCCGAGATGTTTCCGGGTTGGGTGAAGGGGGAGCCGGAGGTGGGGTGGACTTCCAAGCCGGAGGCGGAGGCGATGTAGGTGGCGGAAGGGGTAGCAGCGATCCCGGTGGGTTGGGATTTGGCCGAGATGGAAGAGGCGAACTTGGTTCCGCTTATGGAGGTTGCGCGATCGTCCCATCCTGCCGCCCATACTTTTCCATCCGTGTCCGACGCGACGCCAACGATCCTTGCGGCATGCCCGCCCCCCTCGATCTCCTTCCACGCCCCTTCGTCCTCGGCCGTCGAGAACGCCTTAATCGATCCGTCGAATGATCCTGCGTAGAATGTCTGATCCTTTTCGTTCAGCCCGCTTGCTGTGATTGCCTTGGTGGGGCCGTGCAGCTTGCGCCAGCTGTTCCCCTCGCGCGGGTCAAAGAGGTTGATGGTACCCGAGAGCGAGACCGAGGCGATGACATTCGGGTTGGCCCAGACAATCCCGTTCTGCTGCGACTCGACGTCCGAGCCGACCTTCCAGCTTTGCCCAGCCTGGCCGGTAGCAGCATCCCAGATGGCAACTACGCCGTCCGCGCCGGCCGTAGCGATCTGTGCAGAGTCAAGCGCCCACGAGGCAGCCATAAGACTGCTTGTCTCTGGCCGAGCAGCCTCAGCTTTCTTCTCGCCGGTCTTGCCGTCATAAAAGAACAGCTTTCCGTCCGACGCGACCGAGGCAAAGAGGTCCCCATTGGGAGCGTACTGAACGTCTCGGACGAAACGGGTATGGTGATTGAAGATCTTGTCGTACTTGAATGGGACGGCAGTGTGAAGGCAAACCGACGTATCGTCCGAACCGGACACGGCGCGGAACGGACGCTGATGTCGGACCGAGAGGGAGGTGATGGGCTGAGAATAAGCTCGGCAGGCGCAGTCAGACTTATAGCTCACCTTGGAGTGTCCAGTGATCTCCCCACAACTACTCCCCGAGTCCATAAAGAACGCCGCGCCAAACTTGTCCTTGCCCTCTCCGCCCACGATGATCCGCTTGCTCTCCCCGTCCCAAGCAAGATCGTTGATCTTCCCGCTCATCGGTCGGCCGGCGTACTTGAGGACGTTCTCCTGGTTGACGACATCCCAGACACGGACGTTCCCGGCGATATCTGCAGATGCGCAGTAGAAGCCGGACGGGGAGATCCGAGCGACCGTTGCGGTCTGGGTGTGCTGGGTGTAAACATGGGAAAGGGAGGGGTTCTATCGATCAGTGAAGCCCGAACACATAGGAGCTTACATTGAGGTCGCGGATCTGTTCATCAGCTATAATCCACCCCTGAGGCCGATGTACTCACAACCACAGCCCGCCCGTTGGTGTAGATCAACTTCTCCCCCTTTGGATCCGCCGCGAGCTTGGTCGACTCGGACCGCGCCGTCCAGGGATTGCAGGGGTACACGGAGCCTGCCCATCAGACTTGTTCTACTGAGCTGCGCTCACCTGCTTTCCAGCTCATCTTGCTTAGCGAGGAGGTATGTATGGTGAAAGATAGCGGTCCATGCTGCGCGGCTGCTGTTCGGGTCTCGGCTGTGCGGTTCCGGGGTCAAATACGGCATTGAACTTAGCGTCGATCGCTGGGACGTTTGAGCAGCTGCTCTTGTCAGCGCGCTGGTCAACGACCGGTAAACTGGTAGATAGCAACCGGCAACTCACAACTGGTATATATTAGAGGTGCTCAAGGAGGGAGCTGAGAAGACACTGTCCCACCCAAGAGAGATTTGGACCCACAATGACTGCTCAAACGACAGCGACAACAGCGGCCAAGGGCATTGTCACGACCGTGTTCATTGCCCTCGTCCTTGATCTCCTCGGTAGGTCCAGCTTGACTCCTGCCAGGCCTGGACTCACTCTACAGCTTTCACTCTGCCCCTGCCGCTATTTCCTCGGCTGATTGCTTGGTACCTTCAGCGCGAATCTCACTCGCCGTCCACGCTTCTCGCTCGCCTACTCAACCTCTCGTACTCATGGCGAGGCTACCTGACCTCCCTGTCAGGAGCCAAGTCTGTCGTGCCCGAGATCAGGTGGGGCAAGGCCGCTGCCGACTCCATCACCCAGGGGAAGAACTGGGATGTGGTGCTTCTCGGTGGGGCCATGGGAAGTTTGTTCTCCCTGTGTCAATGTGTGATCAGCCCATGGCTGGGGAGCTGTAAGTCTGGCGCTGGGTCGAGCTGATAACAGTGTCTGACAAATACGGAAGGAAGAAGGTCTTGCTGGCTACCATGGTCGGCAACATTGTGTCTGCCGCTATTTGGCTGAGATCCACCACCTTCGTACGTGTCGCTGTGGACCAACAGCTGACGCGCAGAGCACATACCTGCTCTCCAGACTCGTTGGCGGTCTTTCTGAGGGCAACGTGCAGATAAGCACCGCCATTATCTCAGACGTCACCACCGCCGCCACCAGGTCCAGATCTCTGGCTCTGATAGGCATTGCTTTCTCCATTTGCTTCACAATTGGGTGAGTACCCCTCATCCGGTGGAGTTCAAGCTCATAGCCAGTCCGTCGGTAGGCGCTTACTTTGCGTCACGTTCTTTGCCCAATACCGTCCCATCAGCAGATTGGAACGTCTTTGCCGTCCCCGCCGCCATCTCGCTCGGCCTGCTCGTCATCGAAACGCTCTACCTCGCGGCTAGGCTACCGGAAACGCGCAACTGGTCCGAGAAGCAGGTAGAAAAGGGGGATGTCAAGGCTGCTGTACCCGTCGACAGCGTTGACGCTCGGCTCAGAAAGCTCAGGGCGATGGGGAGACTGCACGGGCTGTTCCTGCTGTTCTTCTCCGGTGTACGTCCCTCTTGGTCACAGCGGACTTTGCTGATGTTCAGGCGGAATTCACTTTGACATTCCTCACATACGACCTCTTCTCAGCTTCCAATGCCCAAAACGGCCGTCTCTTGTCATGTACGTACGCCCCCCGACTTCGCTGACTCCAGACATCGGCGTCCTCTCTGCTCTGCTCCAAGGAAGACACGTCCGCCCCTCTATGGCTCGACTCGGCGAAGTCCGGCTCGCCACACGCGGTATCCTCTCCTGCGTCCTCGCGCTCGGCCTCCTCTCCCTCCTTCCCCATCCGCGCATAGTCACCTCCTACGCCCTATCCACCACCGTCCTCTACGCCGCCGCCACCTTGTTGTCATACACCAGCGCGACGGTGGTGTCATGCCTCACAGCCGCCGCGGCGGGATGTACGACCGAGGGAGCGGGTGGGGATCCGCGCTTGCAAAGAGGGAGGGCGTTGGGCGGGTACAGGTCCAAGGGGCAGCTGGGGCGGGCGATCGGACCGATACTTGCGAGTTCGGTGTATTGGGTGATGGGGCCCAAGGTGTGTTACTCGGGGTTGGCGGGGTGCTTGGTGTTGGTTTGGGCGAGTACGAGGGGGTTAGTGGCGGAAGAGAGATCTAGGAAATTGATGAAGGCAGAGTAGGATGCAAAGAATGCCCGTTGATCTTCCGCAACCTATCCGCTCCAGCCCACCACCGCCCGATCCTTGCCGTACTGATCCTGCCAGATCTCGGTGCGGGTGAACATCGATCCGTCACCAGCTTGATAGAGGATCTGCGAGACATCCTCCCCTTGACTCTCGCCTATCTCCATTACGACTCTTGGGGCACTTGCCCAACCCTTCCCCGCCATGTCCTTGTCGTCCAGCAGCAGGTCCGGCAACATATCGGCAATCCTTCCATAGAACGCCAGCCCCTCGCCGTCCCCGTCTTGGGTGTCCCCCAGCAGAGCTCGCGGATCCTCATACCGCCTGACCGAGTCCGGCAGCTGCTCGTACTCGGCTTGGGAGATATAGGGCGGGTTGGCAGTGAGGACCGATACCTTGCCTTTGGTCGCCGCGAGAATGTCCGAGACGGCCGTCGGGCTGAGGATGTCCAGCTGGGAGAAAGAGGTGTTGCGGATGCCAAGCGATGCGGCATTGTCCCGTGCGAGCTGAAGCGCTTTGCTGCTGAGTTCGAACCCGAAGGCGTGGGCGAGGCGGTCCTGGAGGGTGTGTGAGAGCAAGAGGGGGATACAGCCGGACCCACTGCAGAGATCGACAATGGATAAGTGCTCGCTGGAGGCTGATGAGGCGGATCTGAGCTCATCGGAGAGGCGAGTAAAGATGTGGGCGGTCTCTGGGCGAGGAATAAGGGTGGGAGGGCGGCAGATGAGTTGGAGCGGTCCGAAGTCGACGTTTCCTGCTCGTTAGGCCGTGGTCAATCAGAACTGCCCCTCCTCTTGATCTTACCAGAGGGATTACAGCGTGAAAGAGACGATTGAAGGATGACTTACCGAGTATGTATTGGAGCGGCTCGCCCTGCGCCCTCCGCTCCACCAGCCCCAGCACAACCCCACTCTCCAACCCCCTCATAGCCTCCATATCCTCCTTCTTCGGCATCGACACCCCAAAGATAGCTGCCGCCTGCCTCTGGATATCCTCTCTTGCCTCCTCTCGGATCCATCGCAGCTCGTTCACCGCTTCTTCACGCGAGAGCTCGCGGTTCCGGAGGAGGGTCTTGAGGAGGGGGTCGTCCGAAAATGACCGCGTACCTCTTATTATTGGCAGCGGGTTCAGCGATCTCCGCGGCGCGATGCTGCGCGGCCCGGCGGACCTTAGAGCCGCGATAAACATTCTGATTGAATGTACAGGATGTATCAAGGTGAAGACGTCGTCGAGTGCGTGACCAAAATATGGGGCGGCGGGGAACGCCGCCTCCACCTTGACTCCCCCACTCTCCCCCACCTTACTCTCCTCTATCTCCCGTGAGCCTTGTGGGCGTTGCACGACTATGGACAGCTGTGCAGAGGATATGGCCCTGTCCATTGATAGCTACAGTAGCCTATAGGCCCTACAGGAACTCAGAAGATTGCATGAGAAGAGGATTCATAGAGTCAATGCGTCGTCCTGCTCCCCAATCCCCCTTTCCGCCTCCTTCGCCATCCCCCCTGTCCCGTCCGGTCCCTAAGTCGGCTTGACCTTCGCGGCGAGACCGGATACTATAAGTGACTTGTAACTAGTGACGTCCCCTGTGTATTTCTGAACAGTGCCTTCCGCACATGTGAACAGCAAATTGGCGGTACGCTGAATGTATCTGAGTTGTCAGCTACATCCTATGGGGTGCCCTACCTCTCGTCGTGGCTGATAGAGATCACTCCGCCGCGGAATTTTCCTATGGCATCGATCAGTGCATCGAGCCCTGGCGAGTCAGCTTGCCCAGACACGGGACTCAGTACAAAACACTCACCTTCGATATCCAAGTGATTGGTAGGCTGGGACATCAGCACGGCTCTTAAACCCATGAAGAAGCAGCTCACCTCGTCCAAGAGCAAGATATGCGGCCTCTGCATACTCAACACCGCAAACGCCACCCTGGACTTTTGCCCTCCCGACAACGTCCCAATCTTCTGGATACCCGTCAACCCGGTAATCCCGAATTGACCGAGATGGGACCGGTACTCCTGCTCGACCTTTCCGGGGAATTTGTGCTGAAGGAACGCGACCGGCGTCATGGTGACGTCGAGCTGGTCGATATGGTGTTGGGTAAAGTAGGCGACCCGGACACGAGGGTTGATCGTCGCCGACCCCTTCATGGGCTGAATGGCGCCAGTGAGGAGCTTGATGAGGGTGGATTTACCGGCTCCGTTTGGTCCGATAATGGCGATCCGGCTATCAAAGTCGACATTGATGTTGACGCCTTTGAGGATGATCTTTTCCGGCGAGTACCCGAATGTCACCTCGTCGAGCTGCAACAGAGGAGGAGAGATCTTTTCCGGATCAGGGAATTTGAAACTCTCGTTATCCTCCTCCTCTGGCGGTTCGAGCTCGGGCAGCTTCTCCAGAATCTTGATCCGGGATTGCGCCTGCGGCGCCCGGTTGGCATTGTACCGCCACCGGTCGATGTACGCCTGAAGATGTTGCCGGTAGGCGAGCTGGGCTTCGTACTCTTTCTTTTGGTTCTTGGCCCGGTCGGTCTTGGTGGCGTAGAACTGGGAAAAGTTCCCTTTGTAGTAGTCGAGACGCTGCGAGTGTTGGTGGATGATGTCGGTAGCGACGTGGTCGAGGAAGGCTCTGTCGTGCGAGCTGGGGTCAGCGGGGACGGATCTGGACTTACACAACGAGGATGGTTCCGGGCCAGGTTTGGAGATAGTCTTCCAGCCAGGCGATGGCGTTCAAGTCCAACATGTTGGACGGTTCGTCGAGCATGAGAAGCTGGGATCAGCAAGGTTCAGCGAGTATAGTCCACTCCTTCATAGTATCCTCCGCCTTTGCCCGAGGTTCCGCCGAAACCCAGTCCATCCTCTCCTGCACCCCGGATTCGCTTAACAGTACTCACATCTGGCTTGACAAACAACGCCCTGGCCAACGCCAATCGCATCCTCCATCCACCCGAGAAACTCCTCGTCGCCATCTTTTGGTCCGATTCCGAGAATCCAAGACCCGCCAATAGGAGCGCCGCCCTGGCAGGACCCGTTTCCGCCTCCATGTCCACCAGCTTCTTTTGGATATCCCCCAGCGTCGCCGACAGCTCGTCCTTTTCTCCATCCAGCTTGTTCTCCTCTCCTTCTGCCACCAGCGCCTTTTCCATCCTTTCCAGCTTGGCATTGATCTCCTTTTCATCTGTGAGGAGCTTGTGTCGCCAGACGTCGGCTTGGAGGACCGAGTCCAGGGCGGTCGTGTCGTCTCCGACAATTTCCTGCTCGACGTACAGGACCGAGATGTGGGTAGGTACGGCGACCTCTCGGAGGGCGATATGACGAAGAAGGGTAGATTTTCCGACACCGTTTCGACCAATCACACTGAAATTAGCTTTGCCAGACCTCTACTCACCCGTAGCGTCGCCCATGGGCCATGGTCAATGTCGCCCCCGACAAAATCTTGTTGCTCGCGAACGAAACGTCGATATTGATAAGGTGGACATCCTTGGACTTTCCCTTGGCCGCCCCACTCAGATCCAGCGGATTGACCTTCATAAACATCTCCTCGTAGCTCTGCTGCTTGAGATGAGCGTCGATCAATTTGGAGCCTTGGTACAGGTCTCCGCCCTTTCTCGCTCGCTTCTCCACCTTGGCCCGTAGCTTGGCCTCGGCCTTGGCCAGCTTCCCGAGGTCTACCCGAGACGCCTGACCCTTGGTGTTGGATTCGAGATCCACCTTGCCAGACATGGCGATTGTCGCCGACATGGCTTGGGATCGCATGTGGACGGTTTTATCGAGTTGACGGGCGACGGTGATTTTACGGACCCGCTTGGCCGATTGGGTCTCGAGGTAGGCGAGAAGCCGGTCCATACTGCTGTCAGCTAGGTCTAGCTAGGACTTACAAGTTGTCGAGATCGCCATTTTTGCTGGTGGAAGGACCGCTCGACAGCATCCCCCGGGTCATATCCACGATATCCTCCATTTCCTCGTCCTCGTCGTCGACGAGTCCGGCAATGTACGACACGACGACATCGTCTGTGCGGGGAAAGGTGCGGCGCTAAGTCAGCTCTGCCTACGTTACGCTTACAATGTCAGTTGCGATGGAAGCCATGATGAAGTATGGTTGAAAAATCACAACTCCACATTCCGCAACTATACATCATGGCGGCTCTCAACAGGCTGTCGCAGCGCATCAAGGAGAACTTTCAAGAGTCCACACGAGACTTTGCCATCCCGGGCGGCTCTGCATCCACAGCGACGTACTTTGATACGAGCGATGACAAGATCAAGGAGATCTCCAAGCTCTTGGAGAGCAGGCACGACAAGGAGCGTCTGGAGGGGATGAAGCGGATCATCGCCGGGATCTCCAAGGGGAGGGACATGGAGCCGTTCTTCGCCCAAGTTGTGAAGAATGTGGTGGCGCCGAGTATAGAGATCAGGAAGCTGGTCTACATCTACCTGCTGAGATTGTAAGTCCTGGCGAGATGGGGCTGATGTAGTGCCTCGACCAACTCGGACCTGCTCTTGCTGAGTATCAACACCTTTCAGAAGGACCTCTCGGACCAGTCGCCCCTCATACGGTCCATGTCGCTGAGGGTGTTGACCTCCATACGAGTGCCAGTTATCCAAGGGATCGTCATGCTCGGTCTCAAGAAGCTCGTCAACGATAGGAATCCCTGGGTCCGCAAGACCGTCGCGGGGGGCTTGGCCAAGGTGTACGAGTGAGTCTAGGCTTGGCCGAGCTGATGCAGGGTCGACAACTCCCAGCTGTCATCGCTTATACCCCTACTCCAAACGCTACTCTCGTCGCAATCGCCCTTGACGCTTGGCGCGACCCTCACTGCGTTTGTCGAGATCTGCCCGGACCGCTTGGACCTGCTCCACCCTTACTATCGCCATATCTGCCGCTTACTCGTCGACGCGGACGAGTGGGGACAGGCCGTCGCGGTAGAAGTCCTTACACGGTACTGCAGGGCCATGCTCGAGAAGCCCGAACCACTCACTACGAACGCGGACAGCGACGACGAGCTGGAGGGAGTAGATATCGACTTGGCCATGTTTCTCGACTGCGCCAAGCCGCTCTTTCAGTCCAGGAACCCCGCGGTCGTCCTCGCGATGGCCAAGGCGTACTATCACCTCGCACCGGCAGGACACAAGCTGGTCGGTCAGGAACAACTCGTCGCGCCGGTGCTGCGGCTCGCGAATGGCAAGGCGGAAGTGATGGGGTTGGCGTGGGAGGTCATCGCGGTGATGTCGGAGGAGCGTCCTGTGAGTAAATGCAAGACCGAGCTGATAGCAGTGGCTGTTCCGACCCCGCTTCACTAGCACCTTCCTTCATGCGGCCGACTCGACCTACGTCAATCTCGTCAAGCTCAGAGCTATGTCTGCACTCGTCACGCCGGAGACGGCTGAAGCGGCGATGCGGGAGTTCAAGCATTACATCCGGTTCCCAGATACCGCTGTCGCCGAAGAAGCGGTCCGCGCTATTGGCGCTCTTGTCCGCTCGCAGCCGGTTGTCGCTTCTACCGGACTCGCCACTCTGATGCGTTGGCTCAGGAGCAATCGAGGTGAGGTTCAGCCGGGACTAGCTGATATAGATAATCTCGTCGGACAATCTGTCATCAGTCTCAAGTCGATCATCCTCACTCTACCCGCGTCTGCTACGCCATCCCCCCGAGCTCTGGTCGCGCGTCTCGCCAAACAATTACCGACCGTCACTAACCATAATGCTCGAGCTAGCGTCTTTTGGCTGGTCGGCCAGTATGCGTCGTCGGACTCACCCAATGAGCACGGGCTGGGCTGGGAAGGGGTTCAGGCCTGGGTACCGGATGTGCTCAGGCAGGCTGTAAAGGGCTTTGCAGAAGAGGTGAGCTAGACGTAAGCGGAGCTGACGATAGTCGAGCATCGCCAAGCTCCAAATCCTCACGCTCTCCACCAAAGTCGCCGCTCTTGCTCCTGCCTCCTCCCAACTCACCCTGCTCACGCAGTACCTCTTCAATCTCGCCCGATACGACGCGTCATACGATGTGCGCGACCGAGGGCGGCTCCTATCGTCCCTGCTTCGTGGCGTGGTATCAGAGGCGGATACAGAGGAGGACCAAGGCGGGGTGGTACTAAGGAGGGAGCAGGTCAAGGCGGTACTTCTGGGGCAGAGGCCGGTGGCGGAAAAGCAATCTGTGGATGCGGAGCTGGAGGCGGGGAGCATGTCGAGAGTGTTGAGGAGAAGGATGGTGGGGTATGAGGGACTACCAGAATGGACGAATGATCCGACCGACTCGAATTTGAGGGATTCCGAGGTGAGTCGGGGCCCGCTGCTCCATAGTATCTTCCTAGCCGAGGTGCAAGGGAGAAAGGACAGTGGAGAAGCTGGTCAACAAAGGTGGAGCAGCGGGGATCTTTCATGAGGAGCGAAGTAGCGTCGAAGCAGAGGCGGGGCATGGGTTGGAACGCGATCTTTCCGCTGAATGTAAGGCTGATTCAGCAGGTTGAACACCAGAAGCCACCAGCACCAACATCGATGGGCTCGCATATTCCCCCTCCTGCGATCCCAGTCCACCTGTCATCTTCCGTCACCTCCATCGCGCGGTCACCCAGCACTAGTAACGCCTCTCCGGTCGGGTCCGCTCCTATCGTCAAGAGCAAGTTCCAAGACTTGGACGCATTCTTGGATAGCGAGACAGAGGATGAGACGGAGAGCGAGGAAGAGTGAGTCATTGTCACGATACGGTATGTGCAGAGGCTGACAACAGATCGCCAAGGGCCACGCAGATGAAGATGACAGCACCTCCCCGAAGCGCTATAGTGCCGGAGTATGATGAGAGCAGTAGCAGTGAGGGCAGCAATGACAGTGAGGAGGAGTCAGAGGAATCGGAAAGCATTAGGGGAGGCGAGAACAACCGCTTCATGGGTATCAGATAGAGATAGTGAATGGGACATGTGGTGCGCGAGAGGCTCAGATATGAAGCTATAGCGCCTGCCCTGCGTCCCGTATCCACTGACCTCATGGGCGCGTGGGAGGCTCAACTTTGAACAAATGAGGAGGCAGGAGGCGCAGTAAAGAGCGTTCTAGAGATGAGCCATTAATTCTCTGTCCCGGCCGCTCCAAAGAATTCCAAAAAGAAAGGATCGAATCGCTGGACCGGTACGGGGTTCGAACTCCATAATTTTCGACTGATATGCGATATTTCGATCTCCTCAGCCTCAAGAGTCCTCCAGAATGATCCGTAGAGGTACCGGAGTATGCAGCAAGGGGTGAGAAGGCATGGGGAACGATAAGAGAGCCAAAAGAAGGGGAAAGAAAATCATTTTCTAAAAAGGTCCTAGCGAGGTTCGAACTCGCGTTACAGGTATTCGCTCATCTTTAATTAATTCAAAAACCTGGGTACTAAACCGCTATACGATAGGGCCTCCAAAAAATTGTTCCCTCGCTTGAATATCAACCTCCCACAACTTGGGACCCTAGCGGCGCGCCCAGGTCGCTCTAGGACATGATGTTTAGTAGCAGGCTACTGTCGCACCCGATGTACAGTAACTAGCCGATGCGCAGCGTTCGCCCTGAGATGTGCGTGTAGCCTCTCACACCTCGTCCTGCCTGTTTAGCTGCCTCAATCATTGAAGCGCTAATACAGCAGCTGCGAATATCAGCATTCCTGCGGTCTGCTCTGAATTTTACCACCGAGGCCCAGCGAGCGGCTTTCTGGGTCAGCGTATGTGTGTACCGTCTTTCCACCCATTCTCATCCGAATTGCCCTCATCTGGAAATGCCAAAGTGTACCAGACAAGGGTGTCAGCAGGAGTATGCCGAGTCCGAGAACTCGGAAGGGTCGTGCTCTTACCATCCCGGAGGGCCTGTATGTTGCTACTTTCGCTAGTCTTCGAGGTCACCGATACTGACCGATAGGTGTTTCACGAAGGCCTGAAATCATGGTGTGCGTCAATTTAGAGTCTGACAAAGTTTGAGGAAGAGCTGACCACAAAGACAGCGTGCTGCAAGGACATATCAAAGGTGCGCTCACTAGAAAGGATGTGGTGTGGATACGACTGATCAGCGCAGCCCGTGCTGGAGTTTGACCAGTTCATGGCTATACCGGTGAGTGCAGCAAGGTCGCCGCGATTTATACGCCGGAGATCTGCTGAATGCTAGCCATGTACGAAAGGCACACATACCTCCGTAAAAATCGCTCAACCCGCCCCAACTAGCGATGTCCCACACACAGCTCCTAATTCCTACATCAACGAGGCTGGCGCAGAGGTCTACGGATCGGCTCCGCCCATGTCCGCAGTCGTCGACAGCTCTCCGAGTCCCTCTTTTCCTGCGTCCTCTGTCCCAGCGGTGACGAAAACATCTGCTCCACCCAAACCCGGCGCCGCGGTGGTTGAGGAGGATGATCTCACCGTGCCCGTACCGGAGGGCGCGAAGTGCAAGCGTCTGACCTGTGGCAAGGAATGGGAGGGAGAGGACAGGTCGAGAGGAGATGGTGAGGCGGCTAGATGTAGGCATCATCCGCAAGGGGTGAGTCCGGGCACCAGGCAAAGTTTGCGGGAGGACATAATGGTGCCTGGCTGACCTTCTAGGCAATCTTCCACGAGGGTTCGAAAGGTTATCTCTGCTGCAAGAGACGCGTCCTCGAGTTTGACGAGTTTCTAAAGATTGAAGGGTGCACTGTAGGCAACCACCTATTCGTCGGGACGAAGAAGGACGAGGTGCGATGCCCCACCCGCTCAGCTTGCGATGGGAAGCTGATAATTCTAGGACCAGGAGGAGATCATCAACTGCCGAATAGACCACTATCAGACTCCTCTCACCGTCCACGTCTCCGCATTTGCCAAATCCGCCGATAAATTCAAATCATCAGTCACCTTTCGCTCCCAAGAGCTCATTCTCGACCTCTACCTTCCCGCCAACAAACGAGTCAATAAAACACTTACACTCTACGGTCCCATCTCACCGGAAGAGTGCACTTATCGGATCCTAGGGAGTAAGGTGGAGATCGTGTTGAAGAAGCCGGGGGCGGCGAGTTGGCCATTATTGGAGCTACCAGCGGCGGGAGCGGAGCTGCCTAAAGGATACGCTCTGACTTTTGGGGTAAGCGGCAGGACGGGCACCGTCGGTGGGAAGGAGATTGTGCTGGCGCAGGAGGAGGTGGCGAAGAGAGGGTAGAGCAAACGGGGAGTATGCAGAAGTCTAGTCACACTTATGCTTCATCGTTTTGTTCTTGCTCTTGCCTGTTGCCCTTGCATAGCCCTTACCGGGCGTTGAATGGCTTTTCAGCCGACGCCCAAATGACAGCCGCCTCCATGAGCAAAGGCTACAATGTAATCTATCCAAGTATAGCAAGGCATTACTGTACAGTCTTGAATTCCCTCTCTAGTTCCATCATTTCGTCCGCCGTCAAGAGCCATGAGGCGTCGAGCTGCCACATCAGCTTGATCAGTAGCCCCGCTCGGTGCACGACAGCTCACCTCAACATCCACATCTCTCTGTCGCTCCGGATCTATTTGCGCGGGAGATTCGTCGTCATCTTCCGGATCCAACCAGTCCGTCCTCTCCGGTAGGGACGGCATCATCGCGCCTCGTTTTGCTAATTTCTGCCAATCGTCAGCTAGCTTCTCGCCCGCAAACTAAGCGGAGCGAACTTACATCGGCGGCCTCATTCCCCTCCCAGCCCACATGCGCCGCAACATACTTGAACCTCACGCCCGCCTTTGGCTGCCTCCGACGAAGCAAAACGAGAAGGTGCTTGATGAGGTCGACGTTTTTGATACCCTTGCCCTCATCGCCGCCGGCCCTGGTCTTGGCAGAAAGGCGGAAGTTGTTCCGCATCCACTTAGGGAGGTAGGTGGTCATCGCTAGTGGTCAGCTGTCGCGAGTATTATTCACGTTCGGAAAAGCTGACATGAAATCGTATATTGAGAGTCTGTCCGTATTTCCAGGGGTATTGAAGGGTACGGACACAACTCGACAGCTCGTATGACAGACTGGAGTGTCAGCTGAGCACACTTCAGGTGTGGGCAGACTTACCAGTAGCTCCCCCCTGTTGTTCGTCTGCAGCTTCCCCGGCACCCTCTCGCTCAAATTTCTCGCACCGGCTTCCCCGTCCCTGCCCCAGAAGACACCCAGCCCCGCCTTGGCTCCAACCTGACCATTGCCCAAGCCGGATCCATCGGTGTACACCACCAGACGCTGGTCCTTGGAGAAGGTGTAGCCTTTTCTTGACAGCTCTTGAAGGTCAGAAGGTAAAAGAGAAGGATCAATTGCGGTTGGAGGGGAAGAGGCGCGGAAGGGGTCGTCCGGTTGAGAGGTTCGAGCGCTGGGGGTTTGAGCGTGATTGGGCGGGGCGTAGGGTCCTACCGACCCCTCCATGAATTCCTGTGCGGCCGCTTGGCTTGGGAACTTCTTGAACTTGGCCCTGACTGTCAGCATGGTCCAGGCGCGCTGAAATAAACGCACGCAGGATACCCCTTCACCTGCGCTTCCGCCTCTGCCCACGTCAGATAGATCCCTGGCTTGTGCCCGGTATGAACAGCATAGTAGCTTGCTTTCGGCCTACCTATTAGCCGTAGCTCTTGGACATTAGTGAGTCAGCTGACATGGCGTTCAAAGCTATCTTGGCTCTGATGTCCTTGACCACCGTTGGCTGTCCGATGACCCTTATACGGAGATGCCCGATTGTGTTCCAAAGACCACCTTTGGAGCGAAGCGAAAGGAGGGGCGGGAGGGAGTACTGCCTGATGATGGACTGGAGGAGCTTCTGGGTGCCCTTCATGCGCCTCAGAGGCGATGCTCAGCTGGATAGATAGATGCGAAGTGGAGATGTAACAGGACGTTTCAGATTTTGCACCACGCGACCTCACCACGCGGCTCGGGCATCTCCCGGCTCCGAAGTTTATCAGCAGCTATATAAAGACGAGTCGTATCTGACGTTGGACATATCACCGTCAGCTCATCAGGGTAGCTCTTGTATCTAGTCGGTAAAAGAGAGTTGCAGGGAATTGAGCTGCTCCCCGCTTGCTGGCAAATTTGCTCTTCCGCGATGAACGCTCAAGCGATCTTCAGCGAGCTCGAGGCTCACCGGCCCAAAAGACAGTACGTCCAAGCCAAGACCCGACTGACAATAGTCCCACGCCACTGCTCATTGAGAACTCGCTTCTCCTTCTTCCTCTCCTGGTTGTCATCTCCCTCGGAATCCTCCTCCTCTCATACCTCGTCCCAAAGGCATACCGCTTCTTATCCCGCCATGTTTTCAGGCGGAATCGCCAACCCATCTTTCTCGAAGATGACGACGACCTCGCAGAAGCAGAGCCAGAACCCTCGCCCCTCTACATGCCGTCCCGCGGACTCTGGTCCGACTTTCGAGCGCACGTCCGGTCATTCAAGGAGGCTGGCACGGTCCTCTTTGCTCTTGAAGTGTTCAGGACCCTGTGTCTGTGCGCTCTGCTCGCCCTCAGCATATACGCGACGATCCAAGCGGAATCACCGGACACGGTGGACGTGCTGAGGAAAAAGGAGCACAAGGGAAAGAAGCACAAACACCACTCGCATTCTGTGGATGAGTATTCGAGTTTGGAGTGGGGAGAGTTTGGAGCGTCTGTTTTCTACGTGAGCTATCAGTATCGATTCGATCGCCTAGAGCTGACTTTTAGACCTACACGCTGATATTCTCCTTCCTGCTGCTCACACTGCGCCCCGCCACTCCCCTCCGCCTTCACATTATCACGCACCTCGATACGCTCCTCTTGCTCGCCTGGTGCCTCTACGCTTACCGCGACTTTTGGCCGCTATGCACAACCTACCTCACAGCGGTCGACCTGCCAAATGCTGTCACCTGGTCCCGTTTGGCCATCCTCTCCGTCGCGGCGGTGCTCCTTCCCCTCATCCGGCCGCGGACCTACGTCCCGGTTGACAAGTTCAACCCTAGGGTCAAAGGGCAAATCCATCCCGAGCAGGTCGCACCGCTACTCTTCTACCTGTCCTACGAGTACATGTAAGTCTGGGGCAGGCCAAGCTGACGTCAGGACACCAATCATCTGGAAGGCATGGAGAAATCCTTCGTTACCCTACGAAGACCTACCACCACTGGCAGACTACGATGAGGCGGATCACCTGTACACGGTGAGTCATGTCTACGTGAGCTAGCTGACGATCAGAAACACATGAAGCACCTCGACCCGTATCGACGAGAGCAAGAGGGCAAGAAGCCAAGGCATCTGGCAGCCATGATCGCTTACATCTTCCGCTGGGAGCTATTCGTGACATGTAGGTGTCAGATCGGCAACGCTGACGTTCAGCTCTGATGTGCGTAATTTCTGGTGTGGCTGAGCTGGCGGCTCCTGTCGGTACTCAACAGATTCTCTTGTAAGTCCAAGGATCCAGCTTGTGCTGATAGCAGGTATCTTCAAGCGGATGGACAGGGTCAGGCGATGCACCCGCTGTTCTGGGTCGTCATCCTCTTCCTAGGTGAGCCATACCTGTGGCTCAGCTGACTCCAGGCCCTTTCATCGGCTCCGTCGCCATTCAGTACTACATTTTTATCACTACTCGCTCCTTGGTCCGCGCCGAGTCACTCCTCACCCAGCTACTTTTCGACCACTCGCTCCGACTTCGCATGAAGGACTCGCTCGGCGACGAGGAGAAGAAGGAGGTTGCAGCAGAAGGCACCAAGACCCCTCTGATCCGCATCGAAGCAGCAGAGGGACCAGGTCCAGAAGCCGCCATCGAGCACATCGATACAGTCGATAGCGAAGAAGGCCAGCTTCTCGGCGAGTCGACTGCGGTCGGCTCGACGACCAGCTCGAAAGGCAAGGACAAGGCTGCAGATGCCGAGTCCGTGGCGGATAAGCCTGCCGCGGCGGTCGTCCCCGGGCAAGGCATGGCCGGCAAGATCAACGTCTTGATGGCAGCGGATGTGGAGTCGATTGTTGAGGGTATGTGGGGTCGCCCAACAGAGCTGACGGGCAGGTCGCGATCTTCCTCTCGTCTTCATATACACCCCCATCCAGCTCGCCCTGTGTATCGTCTTCCTGTACCGCATCCTCAGCTGGAGTGCCCTGATCGGCATGTTCATCATGCTCATCACTCTGCCTATCCCGGGCTTCCTCACCAAGTTCAACGCAGACTTCCAGACAAAGCGGATGGTAGCGGTAAGTTCCAAATGGCAGAAGCACTTTCCTCTGCATTTGAGCTGACGATACCAGACGGACGCGCGAGTCGATGTCATCACCGAAGCTGTCGGCGCGCTTCGTATGCTCAAGATGTTTGCCTGGGAGGGGCGGATGAAGGAGCGGATTGCCGAGAAGCGAGAAGTTGAGCTGGACCTCATCTGGAAGAGGAGACTCATGAGTCTGTGAGTGTGACTCGTCAGCTGAGCTTATGACAGATTCACCACGGTGGCCAACCTCGTACTTCCAGTCCTGACCATGTCCATCACCTATGCTGTCTACACCTTGGTTCAAAAGAAACAGCTCACCGCTGCCACCGGTACGTTCCCCCTCTCACGCTATAGACCTTGCTGACAAGCAGTCTTTTCAAGTATGGCCGTCTTTGAACTCGTCAAGGGTCAGCTTAGCATGTGCTTCTACCTGATCAACGGCTTTGTTACTGCTTCGGTATCTCTTGGCCGAATAAACGCTTTCTTGAAGACGGTAAGCTGTGATACTCCGATCGCCCGGCCTGTGAGCTAAATCAGTCAGAGCGAAATGGTAGACGAGTTTGAGCCCAAGTCACCGGTGTTCCTCCAGCCTGCGGCGCAACTCGAAGCGGAAGAGCAAGGCTTGATTCGCTTGAAGCACGCCGAGTTCAACTGGGGCTCGTCCAAAGGCACCGATACGCCCGGCTTTTCGCTCAAGGTGGAAGATGTCACGTTTGTCAAGGGCAAGATCAACCTTATCACCGGACCGACGGGATCTGGAAAGTCCTCTTTCCTCAAGGTCAGTTTTTATAAACTCGAGCTGGTGCACAAGCTGACTTCTAGGCGCTCATTGGCGAACTCCACTTCGTCAACCATCCCGGATCATTCTTCCACCTTCCCCGCTCTGGTGGCGTCTCCTATGCAGCCCAGGAATCATGGTGTCTCTCCGAAACCATCCGGGATAATATCGTCTTTGGGGATGAATTCGACGAAAAGAGGTATCGGTCGGTCCTGCATGATTGCGGTCTAGAGCCGGATCTGAAGCTTTTGGACAACGGGGACCAGACCGAGATTGGGGAGAAGGGCGTTACGCTCAGCGGCGGCCAGAAGGCCAGGGTCACGCTAGCACGCTCGGTTTACGCCCAGACCGAGGTGGTGCTTCTCGATGGTGAGTTTGAGTCTGCTGGGAGCTGATTCAGACATCTTCTCGGCGCTGGACACCTTGACATCGAGATTTATCATCGATAATCTGTTCCGAGGGCCGCTCATGAAGGACCGGACTGTGCTTCTTATCGTACGTCGCTCCTGCAGCCGAAAAGAATCAGGCTAATTTCAGACCCATCACATCGGCCTCGTCGCTCCCATGGCGGACTTTATGCTGGCTCTGAACGAGGACGGAACGATACGCTCAGCCGGTCCCATCGAAGACGTTCTGGATCACGACGAGGAGCTCGCCGCTGTTGTCGAGAAGGAGAAGAAGGAGGATGACTCTGCCCCCAAGGAGGATCTGACCAAGCCCGAGGAGAAGAAGTCTGCGGCGAAGCTCATTCAGGCGGAAGAAAAGGCAGAAGGGCGGATCAGCAAGAAGGCTATGTTTTCGTTCTTTTCGTGAGTTTCCTTGTGCGAGTATGTGCACTATCAAGCTCATCCCATAGCACGTTCGGCGGCCCAGTCTTCTGGATCCTCTACTTTGGCCTCCTCCTCGCCGGTCAAGGCTTTGCATCCTTCGAGACGTACTGGCTCGGAGTGTGGGCAAGAGCATACGACCACGCTCGTGTCCCCGGCGAAGTCTCGGTACCCTACTTCCTCGGCATCTACTTTGTCTGGGTCGCCTCGGGCCTGATCACCGCCAGCGCCTCGAACGTCCTCTTCTACCTCGGCGCCATCAAAGCCAGCCGGACCATCCACAAGCGGCTCGTCGACCGGATCTTTGGCGCCTATTCGAGGTTCCTGGATGTCACGCCGGTGGGCCGGCTCGTCGGGCGGTTTACAAAGGACATGAAGAGTATTGATGGGGCTTTCACCGAGGTCATTTAACCCGCGATCTCCGAACGTGCGCTTCATCAACTGACTCATTAGACATTTTCGACGGTCGCGGAGATCACCATCGGGATGATCATCAAGTTCATGATCGTCGTTTCGCTCGTTCCCCTCTTCTCAATCCCAGCAATTGTAAGCTGGACAGTCCAAGAGACGGCAATCAAAAGCTGACTTCACAGGTCATCGGAGCAGTCGGTGCCTTCCTCGGCGAAGTCTACATCCACGGCCAGCTCTCGGTCAAGCGCGAAATGTCCAACGCCAAATCCCCCCTCTTCTCGCACTTCTCCGCCGCCGTCAACGGAATCGTCTCTATCCGCGCTTTCGGTGCGCAGGAGAAGCTCCGCCGCGAGGCGCGCAAGCGGGCCGACAAGTACACTCGCGCTGCCACGGCTTTCTACAATCTGAACCGATGGGTGACGGTCCGGATCGACATGCTCGGTGGGCTGTTTGCGGCGCTTTTGGCGGCGTTCTTGGTCTATGGGCCTAGGATGGATGCTAGTACGGCTGGCTTCGCGCTGAACCAGGCTATCGCGTTCTCGTACACCATCTTGGTGAGTGTCATGCCTGTGCACCACCAATGACGAATGAAGCTGATCGAGTAGTGGTGGGTGAGGCTGGTCAACCAGATGGAAGTTGAGGGTAACTCAGTCGAGGTGAGCTCTTGCATACATACCGACTTTCCTGGTGCTCAGCTCACACTACAGCGCATCCAAGACTACCTCGTTATCGATCAAGAACCCCAGGCGACTTCCAGGAACCAGCCACCCGCCGCGTGGCCAACAAGCGGGGAGATCATCCTCGACAAGCTGTCGGCCAAGTACTCGACGGATGGACCGACCGTGCTGGACAATCTGGAGGTAACGATCAAGAGCGGCGAGCGGGTCGGAATTGTTGGGAGGACGGGAAGTGGGAAGTCGACACTGGTACGCTATGCGATTGTCTCTGACCGGATGCAGTTCTAAGCTTACCAAATAGGCGCTGGCTATCCTCAGAATGGTCCCCACCACCGGCAGCGTCAAGATTGACGGTCTCGCTACCGAAAAGATCAACCTCGAGGCGCTTCGGTCGAATGTCACTATCATCCCGCAAGACCCCGTCCTGCTATCCGGTAGCATGCGCTTCAACTTGGTGAGCTACCTACACGTCCATAGGCCCGAGCTGTAGGCTGACAATCAGGACCCATTCGGCGATCATGACGACGCCGAGCTGAATGACGCCCTCCAGTCCTCGGGCCTGGGGTCCGTTCGTCAATCTACCAGCGGTACCGCTACGCCTCAGCGGCTCACACTCGACTCGCCCATTGCTGCTGGAGGTGGTAACCTGTCGCAGGGCCAGCGCCAGTTAGTCGCCCTCGCGCGGGCGCTTGTCCGGGGAAGCAAGCTCTTGATACTGGATGAGGTGAGCCATGTCGATCTGGTTGACGTTCATGGAGCTGATCACTTAGGCTACTGCGTCCGTGGACTTTGAAACCGACACCCTGATTCAGCAATCCATCCGGAATCTCCCGCGCAACACTACCGTTCTCACCGTCGCCCACCGCCTCGCGACCGTCATGGACTATGACAAAATCCTCGTGCTCGGTGCCGGCAAGGTGCTGGAGTTTGACGCACCTGGGGTTTTGAAGGATAAGAAGGACAGCTACTTTGCCAAGCTCGTCCAGGCGATGGAGGGGTGAGTTATCTTGTCATAACCTTAGTGTTGATTAGACTTTATCTTTGGTGAATAGTAAATGCAGGTGATTTTGATTAGCGGGAGTAGATCTGATTAGTTCCATTCCTTAGCGTCATGCGTCACATGCACCAAAGGCACCTCGCCCTCTTCAGTCTTCATTCTATACATTCCACACTATACCCAACTACTTCATACTTGACCATTCTTCCCACAGCACGCGTCCACTTAACACAGCCTATCATACCGCTTCACATCCAGAAAGAAAGCCCGACGGAAAGATCTCGCCCGCAAGTACCGGACTCAATCTCGTCTACCTCTACCGGAATAGATAGCGCGCTGCTATAATCTCCCGAGCGAGCCATACGAAGGGCAGGGCCCCCAGATATCTCGTTCAGCTCTTCTGCTATACTTCATCTGCCACCTCCGCTGGGTATAGGATCAAGATGAATCCCCACAAGCTGGTAAGTGGACCGTCCCCGGACCCCCTGTTACCGGCGCGACCAGGGATAGTTGGCTAACCGATACAGAACAAGGTCGATATCTCGGTGAGTCTGATGCTACTATAAGCTCTGGATCGAGCTGACATCCAGTCCATGAGCGAGGAAGACCAGAAAGCGTTCAAGCTGTATGGCAAAGTTCCCGGCAAGAACGTGTTGACCAAGATGCAGAAGGTGAGCTAGCTCTGCCTCCTTCATGGTGAAAGCACTAGCTTTACAGCACAGGACCGCAAGTACTTTGACTCGGGAGACTACATGATGAACAAGGCGGGAGTCCAGTCTGCCCAGGCGCCCGGAACCGCTATCCCCACTCCCGAGGGGTATGTCCAGTCTCTAGCGCCTTGCGCTCCGCTGACCTCTAGTCTTCCCCACGCATTCTCACCCTCGATCGGCTCACCCCCCCCTATCGCTTCCAGCTCGCCACCAGGCTCCATCCCCATCCCGTCCAATGTCACCCGCGAATCCTTCAGTGCTCAACAGGGCCAGGGGCAGCAGGGCAACGACCGGCTCTCACCCTCTCAGGGCGTCGGAGTGGGGATCAGCCCAGCAGCAACGAGCGAGGCAATGGAAGTTCCGGGAGGAGGCGTGAAGCACGTCCGGAGAGGGAGTGAGAGGTGAGCTAAAATCACCTCGAGTGTCTCGAGGGGACGTTAGCTGATCGACTAGCCACACTCGCGCGTCTCCACCGACCGTCCTGAGGGAGAACTCCAACCCGTCTAGCTCCTTCCCGATCCACCACTCGGGCGTATTCGGTTCGAGCCCCGTCAAGACGAGCAACTTGGGAAGGATGGTAGATGAGGAGAGTTAGGGCTGTCTGTTGGAGACCGGGCGGGTAAGAAGGGATTTCAGAAGTGGGGGAAGTTCAATTTCGCTGTCAAGGTGTACTGCATGTATTATACGATCCGCACGAACTGCGCAGAGAACACATCGGGACGTGACTCATCTGCTCCACTTGACCTTGAAACCCCGCTCAACCTCATATGCCCATCGTTCAGATCGCTTTCGTCGTGATGCCTACATGCCCAAGTCTACAATGATGCTATTTTGTCTATCTACTACAATCTAATTCAACCACTACCACCAGTCACCCTGGTCGCGCATGGCATCGGCGACCTTGATGAATCCAGCAATGTTGGCACCGGCCACGAGCGAGGGGATCGCACCCTTGGTCGAGTACTTTTCACCAGTCTCACGGCATGTCTTGTCTGGATGATCAGCACAGTCCCTTTTGCATGTACGGCAGACTTACAGCAAGTGACCATGATGTCCTTGAGCTTGGCGTCAACCTCCTCGGGGGTCCACTTGAGGCGGGCAGAGTTCTGGGCCATCTCGAGACCGGATACAGCGACACCACCGGCGTTGGCAGCCTTTCCGGGGGCGTAGTAGCAGACACCAGATGTCTCGGTGGCGGAGGTGGTGGCAGCGCGGGTCGCCTCGAATACCTCGATAGCCTCCTGGGTGCAGCCCCTACCAGTCAGCACAACTCGTAAGGCCTAGGGAATGGCTTACATGTTGGAACCCTCGGCAACGTATCGGACGCCGGCCTTGATCAAAGCCTTGGCCTCCTCCTCGGACACCTCGTTCTGGGTTGCGGAAGGGAGAGCGACATCGGCCTTGGAGACCAATGTCCAGGGACGCTTGCCCTCGTGCCATGTGAAGCGGTCCTGGGACCAGGCGGTGAGGGATTTGCGGGCGAGCTTGATGTCGGCGACGGTCTGGATGTCCTCTGGCGAGAATCCCTCGTCGTCGTTGGCGATGAGCGAACCGGTTGAGTCGGAGAGGGAGAGAACCTTTCCGCCGAGCTCAATGACCTTGAGAGCGGCGTACTGGGCGACGTTTCCGGCACCGGAGAGGAGGACGCGCTTGCCCTTCCAGTCGGTGTTGTCGAGGTCGCGCAGCATCTCGGTGACGTAGTAAACGAGACCGTAACTGCTGTCAGCGAGTTCGACAGGTAGACTTACCCAGTGGCCTCGGGACGGATGAAGGATCCTCCCCAGTCGGCACCCTTGCCGGTCAAGACACCGACAAACTCGTTCCTGTACTTCTTGTACGCGCCAAACATGAAGCCAATCTCGCGACCGCCGGTACCAATGTCTCCAGCGGGGACATCGGTGTTGTCGCCAATGTGTCGGGAGAGCTCGAGCATGAAGGCGTAGCACTACCGTCAGCTCTATCTAGCAGATAGACTTACGAATCGCCTGATCTCATTGTCGGACTTGCCCTTGGGGTCAAAGTCACAACCACCCTTTCCACCACCCATCATCAAGCCAGTAAGCGCATTCTTGAAGACCTGCTCGAATCCGAGGAACTTGAGGATGGACAAGTTGACGGAGGGGTGGAGACTGCGGTTTAGTCAAGCTCGCGCGACTTATCACAAAACTCACCGGAGACCACCCTTGTATGGGCCAAGAGCAGAGTTGAACTGGACACGGTATCCCCGGTTGACGGCGATGGTTCCATCGTCACGTTCCCAGGTGACACGGAACTGGATGATACGCTCGGGGATCTGGACAACAGCGAGCGCCTTGCGGTACTCGGGGTTGGCGTCGAGGAAGGGCTCGAGGGTAGAGGTGATCTCGTGGACGGCCTGCTCGAACTCGGGCTCGGAGGGGAGGTTGTAGGGCTTGGCGACCATTTTTGTTGTGGATTTGGGGATAAGTAGAGTAGAGGTAGGATGTGATGATATGGATAGATGATGGGGGCCTGGGGATAAGCTGCTCTACCTATATACTCCTGGATAGCCAAGCTAGAGCGGACTTTTGCCTTCCCCCCACTCGACCGGCTTTCACTTCCGCGCCCTCCCGACTCATCCCGAGGCGCACGAGCAGAGGGAGACCCCGGAGAAATAGATCGTAACGTAATAGCGGCTAGATATGATTGGCTCATCAGATCTTATCAGTAATCTAAGGTCAAGATCATCAGCCAATCAGAACGCTTCGGGTCCCCTCGGCCGGTCAGAACCGGGCCGGCTTGAACCGCTGAGAAGAGACGGCCGAAGTCGTCCAGCTGCCAGCAGCTGGCCAGCAGCTCTGCCACGCCCGATAGCGCCGCCGCAGCTATGCCCCCTGACAAGAATAACCAGACCTTCTGCCAGCCTGTATGTAGCCAGCATGATAGCTATGTAGATCAGCGTGGCCAGCTTCATGGTGAAGGCCGGCCTGCGTGTGACAGAATCTCAGGCTCTGTAGGATTGCCCGTACTGACTGGTCGAGTCTCTTCGATCTGATGTCCTGCCGAAGTTTCGGACATAATCACGACTCGCTACTGAATGATGAAGGCGACGACGCCATCGACACTGACAGCTGACAACTTAGAAATACTCACCCACAAAATGACCTTGATGCTTGGGCCTTGATACTCGAGCTGCTAAGGAGGTTGCTCTTCCAAAGGAGGTGGCAAGAGAAAGCATGCGCGTCGTGCTCGTCCACCCCCAACTGTTTCGAGGGGTCCTTTGGCGGAAAATTTCGGACGACGCGCTGATCAGCCTTGACGACTGGGAAGCTGATTTGTCCAGCCACTCCTTCCTTGGTTCTTGTTCGACATATCCCGGTTCCCAGTGATCACACGCCACATCTAGTAGGTCTTCCGTCGAGCTAGGTCATCCTAATGAACGAGACGTGTGAGCTTCAACTGAATAGGCGCAGGTCTCCTGAATCAGTATCGCACTCTCTGCCCGCGTCCTGCCGACGCCCCACCTGAACCGTGTGAGCCATTATGTGCACCGAAATGTGGAATGAAGCTTGGTCATTGATACCGCCAGCATGGTCTCCAGCAAAACCTTCCGATGCGAGCAAGAACGCTGCTACTTCGAAACCAGCAATCCCGCGACCTTCCAATCTCACCGGGGTGAGCTACACTCTGACTGCCGAGGACACATCTGTCCATTTCGAGGAACCGATCGTATGCTCGCTGTGCATGAAGCGACGCACTACTGGCCTTACGGACACCCAGAACCCTAGTAGGTCAAGCAATCGCGATTGCCCTTCCCCGTCCTGATCGTGTCACGTTCCTCATCTCAAACACGACTTCAGCTCATATCTCAGCGTAAGCCAATACGACCTGATCACGCTCGACGTATTACTCATCCTCCGTAAAACGTTCCAGGGCGGTGCGGAGATACTCAATCACTTTTTCCCACAACACAGTCTTGCCACAATGCGCGACATCATCGCCGAACATCGGGAAAGATTCGTGGCGCTGGACTTGACGGTAGACGTAGAGGAGCATGCAGGAGCGTTGTGGGAAAATATGAGAAGGACGCGGAAGTGGAAGAAGCGCTCGTAGATGTATGACATACTGCATCATTCGGCATCAATTAGGGTCTACTCATGGCAGGAGGTTTCTCATCATCTCATAAAACACAGACGCTGAACCGCACCGCCATAGAGAGCTATTCACATGAGAAGGGGCGCAGAGCGGGTGCGCGCTTATCTATTGCACCTCTTCTTCGTATGTACTGTATGCATAGTAAAGTGGTCATTGAACATAGATACCCACCCTTTCCGACCTAAGCTGCTTCAAGCCCGTTGCCCGTTAAGCTGATAGCGGAGAGCACAGCCTACTTCTTCCCGCCTCCTCCGCCGCCACTCTTTCCACCGCCGCCACCTCCATTCCCTCCGCCGCCACCCCCGCTCTTGCCTCCACCCCCACCGCCCCCGCTACCTTTCCCACCGCCACCACTCCCTCCGCCGCCGATGCCATTGTTGAAGTTGGTAGCGCCGGCCGACTGGGCCCTGGCGGAGAAGGAATTCGACGAGACGCCGCCGCCGCCAGCGCGAGCTTCGGAGCTCTGGATCCGCGAGGCGTCGGAAGATGTCATGGGAGTATGGTTGGGCATTGTCTGAGTGCATCAGCCGATGTCAGACTCGTCGAAGCGAGATGGAGGCTACGAGGCATCATACGCTATAGGGTAGTGTAGGGGGGAGGGGTACATTACTTACTGTTGTTATTAAGGTGGGTTTGGCTGACGTTAAGTTGATGTTTGGGTGTAAAGTGCTACAATAGTCAGTATGGACAGAGGAGGAGTCGGCGGGAGAAGGGTGGAGGGAGAGGAAGAGGCTCACTTGAGATACTGCTTATGAGATGAAGATCAGAACGATGAAGAGAGGAAGAATAGCGATGGAAGAGACCGCCTTATATACCCAGGCGTCAGTCAGCAATCAGGCTGACCAGATCCCTGCTAGCGATAGACTGTGTGTTGATCAGGGTGGGGACCCTTGACGACAAGAAAACAGGGGACCGGAGCGAAAGGTACCATCAGATGATGGGACCAGGCACCATCAATCAGCATCAATATAGTCAGCGGCGTAGAACGACGTGCATTGCCAGGTCCCGTCAGGTAGAGTCAATCCCAGACTAACTAATGGTTCGCTTTTTGATGGCAGGATCGGAAGTCAAGACATACCTGAGCAGATGATGTTATCGCCTCAGCCACCATACTACTATAAAGAGCCAGAGAACAAACATGACAAACGCCAGAAACCAGCACCACGTCCCGCCTTGTCGCTTGGCCATCTTCGTCATACGACGATATGTCCCGTTGAGGAAGTTGGAGGTGGATGTAAAGGCGTCGTTCTGGTCCATCAGCTCCTCTCCAAGGCCGGCCGCAAGACGGGGATCTCACCATTCCTCCCAATTCCATATTACTATCTCTCACTTCGTTCCCTATACCTACGGTGATCTAACTAGTCAGCATAGCATTCTCAGGGCCCAAGCGGTCCGTGCAAGAATCCTCGCATATTGCTCAACTCACATCTTTCAGTATCTTCACCTTCCCTAGCAATCCCTCCAGCTTGTCGTCATTCTGCCCCTCAAGATGCATCGCCGTTCTCGAGTATCCCGACCCGTTGCTCCCACTCCCCATACCACCTCCATATGGACTCTCCGAGTACTGCGAGGATGACGAGCCTGGGCGGGGAAAGGGAGCGGGTGAGACCCGGCCGGATGATGGACCGGCTGATGGGGGCAGGAGGACAGGCGATGGGGATGAAGAAGATTGTGGGAGTCGCTGATTCAGCTGGTTACGTCTTGAATATCAGCACGGTAGCCATGTCACTTGTTGCGTACACTCACCTGTTCATGGTGGATGGCGGTACAAGCTGGCGGAGAGGAAGGGCGTCTTTCGCGATCTGATAATTTTCGTCGGCGCTGACAGCCCGGTGATGTCTGGGCACGTCGATGAGAGCTACGAAGCTTGGTAGTCACTGCGAATTCTTGTATCTTTTGGCTATACATGCAATGTCACCAGTCGTGCTCTCCTCGCTGCCTCGCTGGCCGACTTCAACGCCACGGGCAAGCATCTCCATCTCCGCTCGACGCGTCTGACTTCCAACGGAAAGAAGCTCCTCAGACGTCACAACTTGGGATCGACGATATTTACACCGTCAACCACAAACAGAACCTATCTCAGCCTCACCTCCGCTGCGATGAGGGCCAGCGAAGAGCCCGACGTCGAGCTCACGGGCTCGAGTCAGCCAAAGCCGGGGGTATACCCATATCTCTCTGGCTTGAACCCCGCTCAACATAAGGGTGCGCTCCCTGAGTTGTCCACCCCGTCCGGCCAGAGTCGAGCTGACGCCATAGCTGTCACTGCCGACCCTGCAGTCCCACTACAGATCCTTGCCGGTCCTGGCTCAGGAAAGACCCGCGTTCTCACTTCCCGCGTCGCCTATCTCGTCCAACATCACAAGCTGTTTCCCCATCAAATCACCGCCGTCACCTTCACAAACAAGGCCGCAAATGAGATGCGGAAGCGTCTGGAGAAACTTCTGGGACCAAAGCTGGCGGGAGGGCTTGTGCTTGGTAGGTCTGACCTCTGGGAGACGCTGATAATAGGCACGTTCCATGCAACTTGCGTTCGCTTCTTGAGGCGGTATGGCGGGCTTGTGGACATACCCAACAACTTTGCCATTGCCGACGCGGACGACTGGTATGCCTCCCACAGCTCGTGAAGTCAAAGCTGACAGACAGTAAGAAAATAGTGGCTGGCCTGATCAAGGCCCGCGCGGAACACCTAGAAGGCGCGAATATATCGCTCAAGGACCGTGCGGTCCTGTCAGACATCAGCAAGGCCAAGTCCAGGGGCGAGACCGCGGACGCCATGGCGATCCGAGCGATGAATGAGCCGAGCGCATCGACGAGCACGACTGCTGTTATCGCCGAGGTGAGTCATCAGCTGTCTACGTCGCTTTCATTGACTTTCAGATATATGGCGAGTACGAGGCATCACTCCGGGAAAGCAATTCGCTCGACTTCGACGACCTGCTAGTGTACGGGCTCAAGCTCTTCACCGGTAGTCCGGGCATATTGGCGTCTTGTCACCACATCCTTGTCGACGAATTCCAGGTAAGCCCACAAGCCCGCCACGATAAAAAGAGCTCACGCTGCAGGACACCAACGTCATCCAGTATGAGCTGATGAAATGCTTTGCGAAGGCTCATCAGGGGGTGACTATTGTCGGGGACCCGGATCAGAGTGTGTATGGGTGGCGGTCGGCCGAGGTGGAGAACTTGAATCGGATGAAGAAGGGTGAGCTCTCCTGTCAGGCTCAGCCTTCAAATAGCTCATGCTCCAGATTTTACCGGTGTCAAAGCCATATACCTGGAGCAAAACTACCGCTCGACCGGTTCCATTCTCTCCGCCGCATCCACCCTGATCACACAGGGTCAGCTCATCCTGTCACAGCACACTGGCGACAAAGCTGACTCATAGACCGCGATCGACCCCCTAAGTCGCTTTACACATCACATCCCAAATCCACCACCGTCAACCTGAAAACCTTCAGCACACCCGTCATCGAGGCAAGCTTTATCGCGACCGAGATCAAGCGGATGATCGCGTATTCGGGTGACGTACTGAATCATGGCGACTTTGCGATATTGCGTGAGCTTCCACCAAGTTGCACTGTATCAAACTACTTCAGCTGACCTGTAGTCCGGTATAACGCTCTCTCGCGAGTCATCGAGAGCGCCCTGCAGAAGGATGGTATCCCAAACCGCATCGTCGGGGGACACAAGTTCTTTGACCGACTAGAAGTCAAGGATCTTCTGGCTTATCTTCAACTAGCCGAGAATCCAAACTTCACCGTAAGCTTTGGACACTCCTAGGTCTGCTCATCCTGACATGCAGCCCGCCTTCATCCGCGTCGTCAACACCCCGAAACGAGCCATCGGCGACAAGTCGGTCGCGGACCTAGTCGCAGCGGCCAAGCGCGCCAAGATCAGCCCGATGGAACTATGCGAGCGGATGACCGACGGCGACCCCTTACCTGAGGGCATCAAGGCTGGGCTCAAGAACAAGCTCGCCTCGTTCGTTGGGATCGTGCGAAAGTTGCGGAGGGCGGCGCAGAAGGGATCGTCAGTCGCGGATCTGCTCAAGATGGTCGTCGACAAGACGGACTACGAGAACTATCTGAAGACGACGCAGCAGGATGCGGAGATGAGACTGGAGAACGTCAAGGAATTGGTACGTCTCGTGTTTGGCTGAACTAATGTCAGATATCCTTCTCCGTAACAATAGCGGAAGAACAGCAGCGCCAGGCTAACGCGGATCAAGATAACCCGAGCTTCGTCCCTGCGTCTTCAGCAGCCATGGAGGCGTACGTCATGTCGCAAGTCAAAGAGGAGAAGCCGGACTTGGCTGTTCGCCCGCTCTTCCGGAGGAGATCGAGCAGTGTCTCCACCAGCGTGGCGGCAGGGAGTAAAGCCGCCGGGAAAGGCAAAACGGCGGCGAAAGGGAAGGGCAAGAAGGGGAAGATGAGGGAGGAAGATATCTTTGAGGTCTTGTCGAGCGATGAGGAGGCAGAGAAGGGCAAGGCGGCGAAGAAGCGGGAAGCAACAAGGAATCGGGCAGACTCGGAGTTGAGCGGAGAGGAGTCAAAGGAAGGTACCGCTGCCAAGTAAGCTAAGACTCGCGCTGCCGCGTAAAAATAGTAGCTGATCTCACAGTCTCAATCCCCTCAGCTACTTTCTGCAGACGTCGATGTTGTCGACCGATACGGAGAATCAGAATCAGGAAGATCAGGCTTCTGTACCTGTATGTTCTCAGCTTTGCAACGCATATGGCCTGGAATTAACAGCTGATCAATATAGAAAGTCACCATCTCCACCGTACACGCTGCAAAGGGTCTGGAATGGCCGGTCGTCTTCATTCCGGCAGGTGAGCTCGCGTCTACCTTTGTACGATCAACCAGGGCACGAAGCTCACATCCAAGTTGAAAGCGGTACATTCCCATTCTATCGATGTGTCGAGCCGGCCGAGGTGGCAGAAGAGAGGCGATTGCTTTATGTCGCCATGACCAGGGCGCAGCTGTTCTTGGTGAGCTCTCAGAAACATCAGGTCCAGCGACCAATCTGTAAAGCTGACGCGTATAGACCATGTCACACTGCCAATTCCGGATGGCGGGAGGAGACGAGAAAGATCGGAGCGTTAGCGAATTTATTGCCCTTGCTCAGAAGACCGCTCCTGTAAGTCTTGACCTGAAGCCCGATGTTTGTGCCAGCCTTCACAATTGGTCTGACAAACATTGTGATGGGAAAAGCACCATACACAATCCTACCCCAAAAAGATGGTTATTTGACGTAGGGAACCAGCTGATTTCAGACCCACTTCTCGGCGGATCTACCAGATATTGAGGAGTCGGGGCGGAAGACCATCTCGTCGATGTTGGAGAGGCCTGTACCGGATGAAAGCGGGATGAAAGACAAGATCATGAAGCAGTCAGTTTGTTCCCCCACACTTCCGTCTGGCTGGGACACCAACTGACCTCTCAGTGTTCGTGCCGCACCCCCTCTATCCACCTGGGACGCCCCTGAGGCTCGCGATTCCTCCTTCAACCGCTTCGCCCGCCGCGAGGTCACCAAAGCCACCCGAGCTGCTGAATACTGGAACTCCGAGGCGGACGAATACGCCCTCCCCGGCCAAAAAGGCTTCGCGTCCGCCCTACATGCCAGCAATGCCCAGCGGGACCGAACTGGCGGCGGCGGCAGCGACCGCGATCGGATGTTACAGCCCAACAACATCGTTCGGTCCCCCAAACCCCCTCCTGTCCTCCTCCCATCCCGGAATCATCAGTTCCCCGAAATGCCGAAATTCTCATTCAACGTCGACAAGGACGATGGGCGGGGAAAAGACGCAGGCCTAGGGAGCTTCACCAATGCGAGTACGAGCAGTCTGGCGATGATGAAGAATCTGGGGTTGCCTGGTGGAAGCGGTAGTGGGGGATCATCGCCGATGGGCGCTGGTGGATCAGGGGCGACGTCGCCTGCGCTGGGGAGCAGTGCGCGGTTCCCCGGGCTGGGGTCGGCGGTGGGTGGAGGGTTCCAGGCGAGTGCGGCGGCTGGTCTGGCGGGCATGAAGGGGCTCGGGATGCCGGATCTGCCTGGGGCGGCTGGAGGGGGCGGAGAGGTATTGCTTGCAAAGGGGAAGAAGAGGTTGGGGATGGGTAGACCACAACCTTGGGGTGCAAAGAAGACGAGGAATGACTAGGGGTGCCAGATTGTGTATATACTATCTTGTAGAATAGTGCACGTACTTTGCTGTCAGTGACGAAGGGGGATGGGCCTAGGTGCGAGACCAGCAGCATTGTGTATCTGATTGTATGAGCTCCTGGACGAATCGATAAGAGTTACATAGTCGTGTTAAATCATGTCTCTTCTGATTCAAACATCCACCTATACTACAGCTCCAAACCCTCGCCTTCCTCTCCCATCTCCTTGGTCCCGACCTGAACCCCATCTCCCACGTTCAGCGTCGACGGCTGCCATATCCGGACCTGATGGTCGTCTGAGCAAGACGCAAAGAGCTTGCGGGAGGCAATAGGGTTCCAGGCCACCGCGTTGACACTGTCCGAATGGCCGTGGAGGACGTGCAGGCTCTTTCCGGTGGTTGCGTCCCAGACGTAGACGTGGCCATCTACGATGTCAGCGAGGTCCAGGCAAAGAGCGAGAATCAAAGAGTGGATTGGGAGAAGGGGGAAGAAGGAGTAGGTCTAGAGAAAAGGTAACTCTACGCACCTTCGGAACCAGAGAGCACATATCGATTCTTGGGCGGGCCAAAGCAGGACCGAATGACGTAGCGGGAATGTACATGGCCCTCAAACTTGCGCTCAAGCTTGAGATGCGTGTCGTTGAGGCTGTACAAGCGGACATTCTGCAAGTCAGCTACACTTGCCCTGCCATCTCCAGCCAGCTCAACCTTGTCTCCCTCCAAGTTCGGCGCCGCCACTTTCCGCCCCTTTCCGCCTCTTTTGACAACCTCATCGGATACGCCCGTAGTGAGAAGACTCACCTCATCCTCAACATTGACCAAGAATCGCTTCCCGTCGCTAGCCATCGAGAGCGAGCTGATTCCGCATCCTAAAACAGGTAATGCCCTGCCTCATCAGCTGACACCTCCCTCTGAGCGGTCAATAAGCTTACGATTCAATCCTCTTCTCTGCGAGCAAGATGACCACCACCCCGTTATCCATCTCTTCATACCCAAAGTCCTTGATATGCTCGCTGTTGATCCCGTTGATTGGATCGTGGATCGGCCGACCCATTATCGATGGCTTTGGCTTTGGGTCGTCCAGATGTCTCCGGATGTGTGCTACCGCGCAGACGAGCCTCAGCCCATCGGGCGTGATGTCAAAGTCCCGGATCTGCATCGTGGGAGTGTTCCACTGACGCTTCATATCGCCTCGTGCGGACTGGGATCAGCTCGACCCAAGGAAGCACTCACGTAGAAGGTCAATTTGCAATCCATGGTGGAGACGAGAAATTGGGTCCCGTCTGGCATCCATCGGATAGCAGAGATTTCGTCGGTGTGTTGGAGTGGGCTCGTTGGGGAGTTCTTGAGCGTGCCATCCTGATTGTCAGCCAGATCCAGTCAAGTATCCCCAGCAGATGAGCGTTCTCCATAACCTCCTCTCCCTCTAGATCTCCCCATTAACTCGCGACCTATCCCCGTCTTCTCCCTGACTCGCTCGTACCCCCTTCGCCGAATTCCGGCCCTTGTACAGAGAGACATACCTCGGTGTTCCACATGTACAGCCCTCGATCTGCCGACGTGACCAGGATACTACCGTCAGGCGACCAAGCGAGCGCCCCAACCGATTCTCGATGATCCTTCAACTGATGAACAGGCACGATATCCCAACCTGCCTCCCCGCTTGGTCGAGTCAGAGGCTACCATCAGCGATGTCTCTGCAAGACAATGTACTCACTATTAAACGCCAGATCACCACCATCTTATCATGTCCCGCCGTAGCCAGCATAGTCCCATCTCTACTCCAAGCGAGGTTATGTACCTCATCCCCATGATCGACGAGGATATGGGATGTGGCGGAAGGGAAGGAGGTCGTGGCGCATTCGTGGTCGGTGTAGAGGGACGAAGGGGTGGGGTCATTGTGGAAGAAGCAGGATTCTTGTTGATGCAGCCGGGCTTGTTCGAGGAGGGTGGCGAGCCGGCGAGGGGGTAGTAATAGTTTTGGCGAGATGTACGCTGAGGATTAGCTTGGCGTTGGCGGGAAGAAAGCAGATCATACGCTGTATTTGCTCGAGTAGTCGACGTCGAGAAGTACCGGCTGCCCCATCCCACTGCGCCCGCTCATACAGATCCTCCCGATCCATGCACATCATATACCTGCAACATCAGCTTTGCCCAGTCTGTGTCCCAAGGTGCGGGTGAGCTAGCTTACCCCGACATGTGATGCAGCACATCCGGATCCTGCGCGACCGGCGCCAACTCATTCCTCAAAACCGCGAGCGCCTTCTTTTGCGCCCCCATCTCAATCATCTCCAGATATTTTTGCTGGCTGACCAGAAAGCGTATACAGTCGGCAGGGGTATCTTTGCCGGTAGCTGCGACGGCCTTGCTCTTTCCGGACGCAATGGAGGATGCGGACGAGACGACTGCTTCGGGCGGGGTCGGAAGGGTGATGCCGAGTGCAGGGAGGAGGGCGAGGGCTTCGGACCATCGGCCGCCGAGGATGGCGGATTGGAAGTCGGCTCCTGCTTGAGACGCAAGGACGTAGCCTGATTCGCTCTCGAGTAGGTCGGCCGATTGGCTACATGTCAGCATCATCATTGATAGGGGAGAGGCTTGAACTTACTGATACCCGATGTCTCGTAAGGCCTGAAGCATCACCCTTGTGACCTCTTCCCGATCAACAGGTATCCTCTTGGTCCCCGTCAACTCTGGTAACCGCTTCGAGCTGGATTCGCCGCTCTTTACCACTCCATCCACGTCCATCGCCTCGTCCTCGTCATCTGCTGCTCTCCAATCGCTATCGTCTGGATACATCAGGCTCCCTTGGAGCTGGACGCGTTGGCTCCCATTGCCGGACGGCCCGGCGATGGGCTGGTGGGCGGCGGCACCGTTTCCGTTGGTAGGCTGAGTCATATCGGCAGTGGGGATCGCGGCGGGGACGGCTGGGGTAGAGGAGGGTCCTGCGGGGGGATGAGTAGCAGTGGAGATAGGCGAGGACGCGCGTGGCCGCTTGGAGGACCCAGAGTTCCGATGAGTCGAGCTGTCGGATGCAGAAGAATCTGATCGACGTCGCCTGGTACCGGTCTGCATGGGTCAGAATGAGCTCAAGTGGAGTTGATCGTTGTGATGTCAGAGACCGAGATGGTTGAACAAGATAATAAGTGATGGAGAAGTAAGAGCTGATCACGGAAAGGACCTAGCCCGGGCCGCTCGGACGTACCTTGTCCTCCTCACGGATACCGCTCGCGGTCGCAGCCTCGGCCGGACGTGCGCCAGAGCCTGGAGCAGGAGAGCCTGCGCTGAGCGGCAGATTGGCGATGGTTATTGATGGTGAAGGTGGTGATCTAGCGCCTGGCTTTCATATGATTAGGTAGCTGGCAAGCGAGATGAGGGTGGAATGGGATCGATGTCGTCAGCGGGGAGCGGAGGAAGGAATGGGCGATAAGAGCTGATTCGAGCTGGACTCGGCCTCTCACGAGCTATATTGACCGTAGCAGCTGGAGGGGTGAGGCGCAGCTGATCCTGCTGTGCTATCAGCTGATAGTGGATAGAGTGGATGCATAGATAGTTGGCTCAGGACCGCTGATGGAGTAGCCTGGCCAAGGTCGTTACGTAAAGCGACCTCCACCACCTGATATGCTGTGCTGGCGTTGAGGAGATGACCACATGATACCTCATCCTACACCTATCTTAGCTATCACGCTCACCCATATCGCTCCCCGCCATCGCTGCGCTCGAATCACAGCTGCACCCTCGTACTTAAAACGTCTCAAACCGCCCAGAAATGTCCTCCCAGCCAATCGACGAAGACGGCTTCCACTCCATCGCATGGGACGATGCCCCTTCCCTCCTTCCCAAAGGTGGTCAGTCAGGTACGGCATCCTCGACGTCCGGCTTTGACATCTCTTCTGAATCGGACAATGGGTTCGAGAATATCTCTCCTGTCTCGCCGGGCGCGGGAGAGGGGTCCGCATCGGGATCTGGGTTTGCTCCGGGCGCGTCAACGGACACTATTCAGCAACACAAGCGGTACCGCTCGGATATAGAGGCGAACAGGGAGCACGCAGAGGTCGATGGGACAGAGTGGGGAGGCAGATGGATGGCGATAAGCGTCAAGGACCCTGTCAAGGAACACGAGGGAAGCAAGGACATGTTTGTGAGCTATGCGGTGCGGACGCAGGTGAGTGCCTCTTCTCTGAGACCCAGAGCGGCCTTCCTGCTTGCTCTATCTCAGGCTTATGCTGACCCTTAGACAAACGTTCAGAACTTCTCGCAGCCCATACCCGTGGTCCGCCGTCGGTTCCAGGACTTTGCCTTCTTGCGAGAACACCTAGCCAAGGCGTTCCCTGCTTGTATCGTACCGCCTATTCCGGACAAGCACCGACTAGGTTCGTTCTCAGGCCCGTGCTCAGGATGTATCGACGCTGACCTCACAGAGTATATCAAGGGAGACCGCTTCGCGCCCGACTTTATTGAGAAGCGGCGTATGGAGTAAGCTATTCCGATCAGAAGAGATTCTGAGAGCGAAGCTTACGATCAGTTTGCAAAGATTCGCCGATAGGATAGCGCGACACCCAACTCTACAGCGTAGCAAGCTCGTCAACGACTTCCTGACAAGTACCGAATGGGTATGTCCTCTTATCTGCATCTCCGGGCCCGAGCTGATACCCAGACCGTCGCCAAGCACCACCACATCTCGCACCCTCCACCCGACTCTCACCTCTCCATGATGGACTCTCTCTCCGACACCTTTATCAACGCGTTCAGCAAAGTCCGGAAGCCGGACGCGCGATTCGTGGAAATGAGCGAGGAGCTTGAGCGGTTCGAGGAGGGCTTGACGGGTGTGGAGCGCTTGGTCGGTCGGGGCAAGAATAGGGTAGATGGTAAGCTGGTCTCTCCGGTAGTACGGTGCGAAAGCTGACATACAGATCTGGCGGCGGATTATCAAGACATGGCAGCGGCGTATCAGACTCTGGGCTATCTCGAGAGCGGGATCACCGAGCCGCTCAACCGCTTTGCTGAGAAAATGCTCGACTTCTCGGCTTTGCTCAAGCACACAGTAAGTCCTCCCCTTCCGCTATTGGGCTTCATATCGCCGACATACCTGCCTCCCCTCCACCTCCTCCGCTCAAGCCTCAATCACCATCCAGTCTGAAGTCACCTCTCCCCTTCTCGAGGTCCACGCCTAAGCGGACGGGCTCGGAGGCGAGCATGCAGGATGTGGACCTGCGCCGAGGGACGACTCCCCTCTGCCAATTAGCGACAGCTGACGAGCAGAACTCGACCACCACTGAGCCACTCCTTCACTCCTCGCAATCCCTTCTCGCTCACTCCACCTCGCACCGCAGCACCATCAAGCTCCGAGATCAGAAGCAGCTAGATTTCGAGGAACTTTCGGCATACCTCTCTGCGATCGTATCGGAGCGGGACAGGCTGGCGGCCGTTCAGACGGGGCATGCGGGCGGGCCGGTCGGGCTGGGGACGTACCTCCGGGACCAGGTGGATAAGCTTCGCGGGACGGATGATATCCACACAAGACGGGAGAGGATCAGAAAGCTTGATATCAAGATAAAGGAGGTAAGTTTGGACCAGACAGACGACTGCTGACCAATAGTTGCAAGAAGCAGTGACGACGGCGCACGAGACCAGCAACGCATTCTCGGACGAGGTGCTCAAGGAGCACCAATACTTTGAGATGAACAAGCAAGAGGAGATGCGCGAGATGCTCCAGTCGTATGCGGATGGACAGGTCGAGATGCTCAAGCGGTCCATGGAGGACTGGGACAGGGTGAGTCACGTGTCTGCCGAGCGGGGTGGGGCTGATGAGACAGATCATTCCGGTTCTACAGAGAATCAGGGTGGATATTTGATCCTCTGACCGAGAAGAGGAACGGCAGTGACCGCGGCGGGTGGTAGCCGGCATTCTTGTATACTCTGTACTCTATCAATCAAACTCGTCCCATTTCGGGAAGGGCTCTGTCTCAGACCTGAGGGTAGGTTTGTGCGGTGAACGTTTTTTGAAGGACGTGGACATACTGAAGGCTAGTGTACAGGCTCACCCACTAATATCTAATCGCTGATAGGCGATCTATTTCCCGCGCGCGGCGCTACAATACAAGCTGTCAAGAATTGCCACCCACCTTCGCCACGCCATATCTTTACCGATAACGGTCCATCCATGGAGCCAATAAGGACACGCTCCGTCCGCCACCTTCAAGCCCGACAGCCTCCCTCCAGTCCAACAGTACGGGATGGCACGTATTCCTATTAGCGGCGGTATTGTGCAGAACCAGACCCGAAAAGGGCGCCTCAGAGAACGGATCGACAGGGATAGAATCTGTCCGGTCGACGACTCCATTCACGAATTTCGGGGGCGCGCGTTGCGTTGAGAATTGGAGCGTCCGGCGCACGCCACGAGCTTCGAGCACAAAGTACGCCTTGGCTAAGCGCTGAAGATCATTATCCCGCCGCCATCTGCGGTCTGCCCGCGCCTCCTCGCGCAACGACTTTTCTCTCGAGGAGATCTCTGCGTCGTACTGAGCAGCTCCAAGGTCAGTATCCCAAGCTGGCGCGGAAAGCTGTCGCTGCGAGAGGAGCGGCAACGTCGCAGCTGCCACTTTGAGGGCTGCCTGTGGGTCGAGGAAAGAATACGTCCTCTGCCCATCGGTGGCGCGACTCACGTCAATCGCGTATCCCGCATAACGGTTTTTATCGGCCTTATCAGTGAAGTCGGTCAGCTTGTCCAGAAGGGTCAAGGGCATGTCCAAGGACCTGGCGGCAGGGGTGCGGCAGATGCCTCGAGTCATAAGCGTCTCCAGTCGCTGTCGGATTTTGGCGCGCTTTTTCCGTTGGGTGTAGGTCCTTTCCTGGGGTACATCCCGCCTTGCAGCGGACAGCGAGTGCGATGTATCATCAGCCAAGTGCGGCACGGCGGCTGACTCCGCAAGCGTGGTGCCGCTTTGTCGTGAGGCGTGATCGTGGTAGTCAGGTCCAGGATGTTGTTCACGTTCGAGTTCCTCTGTTAAAGCGAACCAGATACGGTCTTCAAGCTCAGTGTCGAAGCCAGCGCTAGCGTCGAAGCCATGATCACGCACTGGCAGGTCTCTTGACGGTCCCGATGTTGCGACTTGTGATATGGAGCCGTCGTAATGTTTAATACGCATCGCCACAAGCGCGCGGATTCCACCCGGGACACTCTTCGCAGTGTCTGGGTCGAGAAGCTCGTACGACCTTTTTCCGTCCGCATCGCGCGTCTCGTGAATCGCCTAACCCTTGTAGTTCATGCTCTGACCGGCATCATTGGTCTGCCTCACCAGGCTGTCCAAATAGCCAAGAGGCATATTTCCAGCAACGAGTTCCCGAGTGCGGCCGATCCCTCGAATCATGAGTGTGATCTGCCGTTCCCGAACCTTGTCGTAGACTTTGCGCTTGTGCTTGGCGGCAGAAGGCTTTGCCCCTGCGCTAGTGCCAGTGCCGGGCGACTCGGCATCTGCGACTGGGATGACTCCATAGCCGCCAAAGACGAGATGGGGGCATTGTGATGTGTATCGTCAGTCGAGGAGTCTTCTGGTCTCGGTTGTTGGTCACTGTCAAGGTCTGAGAGGTCAAGGTCTGGGAGGTCAAACATGCTATGTTCACGCATCTGCAAAAGCGGGAGTGTCCCACCAGGAATACTCATGGCAGTATCTGGATCAAGAAATCTGTATGACCTCCTTCCATCCGCATCGCGGGTCTCGTGAATCGCGTATCCCTCGTACTTCATGCTGTGGCCGGCATCAGCGGTCTGGCTTATCAAGCTGTTCAGATAGCCAAGAGGCATAGCTTGAGCACTGAGTCCCTTGGTGCGGCCGATCCCTCGACGCATAAGCATAAGCTGCCGTTGTCGCACCTTGTCGTGCCGTTTGCGAAGACCCATGGCGCGAGTCTGCCTCTGTCGAGTATGTACGGTCTGTGCATGTGCGCCAGAGTCGGGCGACTTGGCGCTTCCATCCAAGGCTATCGAAGTCACGTTCGCAGTGCCTTGTCCATCCGAGACGTCACGGACACCGTGGTTGATATCCTGCTGGCTCTCCATGGTATAGATGGAGGGGCGCCACTCAGTATCTAAGAAGTCGAGACCAGCGTCGTCATCAGGAAACAGGGTCAATGGGTGCAGTGGATCTCCGCTGATGGGGCCGAATGATGGCGAGACTGCCTCGCTCGGACTTTCTTGTTGCCAGGCAGCGTGGTGGTGGCGGTCGCGTCCGAGGTCTTGCCCACTTTCAATGCTTTGATTGCTTTCCCACAAGGCGATCCAGTCAGGGTCCTCTGGATCAAAGGCAAAGCCGAGATCGGGGTCGATGGGGAGATCGCTTGGCGCGAAGGGTCCTTCAGTGACTTCTGTAGACAGTGGGTCCTGCGAGGTCGGAGGGACATGCGATCGAAAGTCAAGTTCAGGCTCATCGAGAAATGTAGCCCATATCAGGTGAATATGCTGCAAGACTCGGTTGCGAATCCACCATTCGCGGCGCCATATCGGACGACCAGCCTTGCTGATTAACATTGTATTGAGGAGCCCACATTGAGAGCGTGAGTGATCGGTATTGAGAAGAAAAGTTGTGAAGGCCTTGAAGTGGATGAGTGGGATAAGTCAAACGATCTTCGTCGAATCGTGCCCGGACTGGATTGGGTGCTTGGAGAGAGAAGCATCAGGATATGGGAGGGGCATCAGCACAGTGGCAAAGAAGAAGGGCGGAAGACTAGATGAAACCGTGAAAGGCTAAGCACAAAGGAGGACCCGCGCTGTGTGGCTTCTCGCAAAGCTGGCGCTACTCATGGTCAGCACTCAAACGGAGAGTGCTCCAGGGTCAGGTATGACTAGGTCAGTATAGACATCACACGGGGTTGCATATGAGTCGGTCTTCAAGTCCTTGCCGCCCATTATCTCCTCATGCCAGCCCAATTCGCCACCCTCCTTCGCCCCCACCAACTCTATTTTACCGATACTTTTCCATCCATGGTAGCAACAAGGACTCGCTCCGTCCGCCGCCCTCAAGCCCAACCCTCTCCCTCCAGTCCAGCAGTACGGGGTGGCACGCATGTCTACTCACGGCGGTATTATGCAGGACTAGCCCCGAACACTCTGGCTCTTCAGAAAGCGGATCCACTGACAGGAGGTCGATATGGGCGATGACTCCCTCCACGTAGATGGGAGGCGCACGCTGCGTGGGAAACTGGGACGTCCGGCGCACACCGCGAGCTTCGAGGATAAAATACGCCTTAGCCAAGCGCCGAAGCCGACGCTCACGATCCTCCCTGCGGTCCCTGCGGGCGCCTCGGGACTGCTTTGAACCCCGTGATGACACAGGTCTCGAGAAAGTCGTCGTTCCAGGGTGAGCATCTTCAAGATGAGTTTCGACTGCTGGTGCGGAGGGTGTCGCGAGGAGCGGCAACGTCGTCTCTCCCACCCTGATGGCTGCCTGCGGGTCGAGGAACGAGTAGATCCTCTTCCCATCTGCCGCACGACTCATGTGGATCGCGTAACCTGCATACTCGTCGGGATCTGAGTTCTCGGTGAAGGTCACCAGCTTGTCCAGGAGGGTCAGAGGCATGTCTGAGGGGCAAGCGGCAGGCGTGCGACGGATCCCTCGCGTCATAAGCGTCACTTGTCGCTGTCGGATGGTGGCGAATCTTTTTCGTTCGGCATTAATGCGACCAGCGGATACGTTCCGCCTTGCAGTGGCTATGTGCGGTGCTTGATCGTGGTTGGAGCCAAGACCTAGTTCGCGGTCAACTCCATCCATAAAGGCGAGCCAGTCAGGGTCTTCAATGTCAGGGCCGAGGTCAAATTCAGCGTCGAGGCCATCACCAGCTTCCATCCGGGGCGATGTCGCGACGCCTGAAATGGCCAGTGGATGGCCTGTGCTGCGAGTGGAGTATTGTCGAATCGGTTCTTGATCTTTGATCAGGTCCGGGAAGTCAAACGTGGTCCGTGTTCGTACCTCAATCAGTTGGTGTACCCCACCGGCGACGTTCATAGCGGTCTTTGGGTCGAGAAAATGGTATAACCTCTTCCCGGTCGCATCGCAAGTCTCGTGAATCGCGTATCCCTTGTACTTCCTGCTGTAAGCGGCATCATCCGTCTGGCTGATCAGACTGTCCAGATAGCCGAGAGGCATATTTGAAGCGTTGAGGTCCAAAGTTCGGCCGATCCCTCGACTCATGAGTGTCATTTGTCGTTGCTTGACTTTGAGGTACACTTTGCGCGCGGATCTGATAGTCTGCTTCTGCCTAATACATGTCGTCTGCAACCTCGCGCCGGGCACGCGCGACCCCGCATCGTCGATGTCCATCGCGTCGGGTGATTGTGGTAAAGTCGCCGAAAGCTCATTCTCAGACTCCCGTCCGACGATCACATAGGTGTCATCCTCTCCGCCTTTGAGATCCCGCTCGCCCCCGATGTTACCGAAGGAAGGGCTCCAATCTGTGTCTGAAGCGTTGGTGTCAAAGTCAGCGTCAGGGTCGTACGAGACAGGTCGTCCGAGACGTAAGTGGCCTGTATCTTGAACAGTAGTGGCAGTACTTGGATCAATATTGATGCCATCTGCTGCATGCCAAAGGGAAGCGGTCTGCTGAGGCATGTAAGCTTTGTAGTACCATATGGAGAAGCACGTACCTGAGCGGGACTCGTATGCAAGTCGCTGCTGGCCCAAAGGGGGGTCTCGAGCACACGCTCGGATGGAGTGTTGGGCGAGCCGGTATGAGTGAGCTCTCGGGCCGAGAGCGGTGGCCAGTGAAAATTCATCCAAGGCAAGGAGCCCTGCCCCGCCCGCTCAATATCTCCTGCTAGCCAGGGGTCTTCTCCGGGGAGTCGGGACTGCTCGCCGATAGGCTGGGCGTAGCCTGCGCTCCGTGAAGGATCGCCACTCGGTTGGAACTCGGCTGTCCGTTGCCGGTCGTCAGCGGGCCAATATCGCGACCGATTGGTTGTTTGAGGTGCCCACATTGTGCCTGTGTGTGATCGCTGTAGAATTGATGCTGAAGCGGGGGTCAAGGTGAATGAGCAATCTCAAACCTGTTCAAAGCAAACTAAACTCGCAGCGAGATATCAGAGCAGTATAAGAGAAAGAAGCGTGGCGGTCAGAACCATAAAGGATCAGTTAGGGAACCAAAACAAAGGAATGGTGCAGCGTGTCTTCTGTGAAAGGCCTGCGGGTGCTCAGTACTGGAGTCGTGGCTATAAGCCAAAGGCGAGCGTGCGTGAGCAAAGAGACCTCACGCGCTGATGCATGTATTCAGCCAAGTCGTTAGTACGATATTTAGCCTGCCAGACTCGCCGCCACCGACCGCCTTCGCAGTACTTGCCACCCAGCATCGCCACCCTCTTCTCGCCTTTACCTGTATTTTTCCATCCACGGACGCAGCAGCGAGACGCTCTCTCCATCTCCTTCAGTCCAAACAGTCTCCCTCCAGTCCAGCAGAATCGGCTCCGATGCATGTTTGCTAGCAGCGGTGTCATGAATGACCAGTCCCAAATATTCCGGGACCGCAGACTGCGGATTCGCAGAGTCTGTTTGAGTGACGAGCGCGTCCAGAAACTCTCGAGGGACACGCTGCGACTGAACACGCCGCATCCGTCGAATTCCTCGAGCTTCGAGTATGAAGTACGCGCGTGCAAGGTTCCGAAGCCGACGACCGTTCCGCTCAAGCTGGTCGGCCTTCGATGCATTGGGTAAGCGAGTCCGCATTGGCTCCGATCCCGCTGTCAAAGTGGTGGGGGTCACGACGTCAGATCTGCTGGTTGAAGATCTTGACACAGCAGCTCTCATTGCGTTCAACTGAGCAAGCCTTGAGGCTTTGCGAGGTAGGCTTATTAAGGAAAGTAAAGGCACGATCTTCTTAGCGACCTTGAGGGCCGCATTCGGATCGAGGAATGAGTATGTCCGTTTCCCCTCCGGGGTACGGCTCTGGTGGATGGCATAGCCCTTGTAATCCTTGTGTCCTGCTGAGTCTGTGAGATCTATCAACTCGTCCACGAGTGTCAAGGGCATGTCCCGAGCCCGAGACGATGACGTGCGGCATACTCCTCGCCCCATCAGTACTTCTTGACGCTCCCGGAGCTTGGCTTTTTTCCTGAGGTCGGCGTTGCGTAGCTGGCCACGACGAATGGAAGTACTAGGTACAGAGGTATTCGCGGTCGGTGACTCTGATAAAGGCGTGCTCACGGGGTCTGGTGAGGACTGCGAGACTTCCTCGGGGTCAAGTTCTGAGCCACACGATGTGGTATCGCGACTGTAGTCAAGCTTGGGATCTTGCTCGGTCTTGGTGTCTGCCATATAGGCGATCCAGTCCGGGTCATCAGAATCGTAGTCAAGGTCCGTATCGGAGTCAGGTGTGAGATCAGGCCGTTCCATCCCCTGAGCCGACGCACCAGTCACCCGGGAGCCGTCTGGCGCGGAAGCAACAGGCCCATGGTGATCAGCCGCACGGACCGCGTCAGTCAGCACCGCTTGTGAAATCGAGGGGTATGAGCGAGTCGGTGGGAAGTGAAAGTTCATCCACGGCAAAGAGCCCTCGCGCGTCCTATCAATGTTTTCTGATACCCAGGGGTCAATCCTGGAGGGTCGAGGCTCATCGATGAAGGGCAGATCGTAGCTCATATCATGTGGGTACGCTACGCGGCTGGGCTGTCCAGCTGACCAGCCGGGAGTCGTGTCGCTCCAATGAGAGACGGGCATTGTGCTCGTGCAAGGAGGGTGGCGAATGATGCGCTTGAACAAGCTGAACCCTCGATGAAGCCGTGAAAATGAGTAGAGAAAGTCAGGTAGTCTTCTTTGAGGTGAGTCCGCGTTGGAGAGATCGGTGGGGTAGTTGTTCGGGGCATCAGCCAGTAAGCTAGTAGATAAGAAGCAAGACCGTCGTGAAGAAGCATGGAAGCCAGGACGGGAAGCGACGTACGGGGCGTGCCCGAGCGAGACACAAAGGGATCCCTCACCGTGTGTCTTCTGAGATCCCTTGAGTGCGTCTACGGTCAGTAGTGAGAGGACCTGGCGCGAGGGCCCAAAGCTCGACCAGACTGTACACTGTGTGCGGTTGAAGTACATTGCCGAGCGAGACCTCTGCACGTTCGCCCCCCATCGCCGCCCAGCGAACGTGCGGCAATTGCCTTGGCTATATCCGGAGCTCCGGCCGGACCCCGCTCCGGATTGGGGTAAAATGACGCAATGACGACGCGTCTCGCTGGAGTTTCAGAGTTCCGTCGGAAGATTTTCCGCATCTTCCATGACCTTCTTTGAGCTTCGAATTGGTTCACAGACCCTCCCCATGTATGATGCATGCATTCCCTCCAAGCAGAGAGAGTGCCTTTCTCGGTAGCAGGGGCGCGAGAGGAGCATCTCTCCTTGAGAGCATGATTGGCCGACTATCCTTGTCTCCGTTGGAACTTTAGAATGCCAAATACAGCGAGGTGACGACATTCCTTCGCCTGATGCCGGCATTTTGGCGAAGTCGTTGGTCCGCGTCGGAATCGAGTCATTTTTTGGCTTCGCTCGATTAGGGGGCCGGGCAGAGCATCAAAGGGCAAAGCAGACAGCGTAATACTCGAGCGCGACCAGTGGCATCTGTGCCTACATCTATACTTCATCTAAATCTTCCCAGTTGCCCTGTCTGTGCGTCGAATCGCCGTATCGCCACAAGGTGAGTAAGCTCGCGGGTAATCCGAAACACCAGCGAGGGTTTCGAACGTGCCTCGGAGGCGCTGTGCCTGAGCGACCAAAATTTCAGTTTTGAAGTTTGGGACAACGGGCCATGGATGGGACAACAGAGCGGAAGGGATGGGAGACAAGCGCAGGATGGGGAGACACCAAGCGACCGGCGGGCATGTGACTATGCGCAAAGGCGGTGCATGCCCGTCTAAGGGGGAAGAGAGGAGGTGGTCCCAGGCCTGAAATTCTGAAACAGGGGTGGACCTGATCGGTCCTCTGCCCTTATCACCTATCACCTCATTTTTCCCACTTCATTCGTCTTGACTTGCCTATATAGGGAAGACGTATTCATCCCTGGGCCTACCGCTAATACCCTTGTGTAGCTCCATTACAGTGTGCATACCCCCATCCCGCGAATTCCCTCATTGCTAGTCAAGAGGCACGTAGCGGTATTTCGGCCGACGAATCATATCGACTCGCCTCGTCTCGCTTGTCGAAATTAGGCACCCACCCTTAGCGGACAGCCAAAGCACGCTTAACCGCCCGACCTCTCATCTCGACACCCACCCTTTCATCTTTGCCCCCTTCAAACGACGCCTCCACGACGCCACGGCCACGCCCGAAATTTCCGACCACATACCCCTCCTTCCCTTCTCACTTTCACCCTTCGTCCTCGTCGCAACGCCCAGCTGCGACCGTTTCGGCGTCTACCCGCTATTCGTCCCCCGCGGACCTGCGACACGCCTCGGACCTTGGTCAGCGGTGGAGGAAGAAAGGAGGTCGACGCACCGCATCTCAAGGCGTAGGGTCGGACATTGGCGGAGCTGTATCTGAACGAGTTTGCGGAGGAGGAAAGATCTGAAGTATTGGGACTCAGAGCCGCTCGTCGGGGATATAAGCTAGCCCAATCGTGAGTTGACCCCTCTTTCCTATATCTCACCAAAACCAAAAGCCTCACTTCCACCCTACCCTGAAAAAGAAGCTACCCATACTCCCTTTTGTCATACAGCAACTGATGTCCCCTCAGCTCTCACTTCATACCCTTCCTCGTCCCCACCTACCTGCGCTCTTCACCATGTTTGAGCTTGAAGAGAACCAGCCGTGCTACATCTGCCACCAGCCTACACGTGGTACAGAGTGAGTCCTTCCTTTCCATGCGAGATTCCGTGCTGACCAGCAGTATGTACTGCTCTGGCGAGTGTAGGCTTCAGGATCAGGGCGAAAAGGCGAAGCAGCAAAAAGCGCACCCTGTCCACTTGACGGCGCAACTTCACCCCTCCCTCTCACCCCATTTCCGCCCTCACACCGCTATCCAGCCGTCGCCCCGGATGCCGCCCCACGTCCGGCCCAGCTCCACTTCGTCGGAGTCAGACGAGTCGACCTCCCCGCTCAACAGCCCAAATACCATCCCCGCCGGCGCTGAGTCTCCTCACAAGGACCCGCTCGACCTCGGTCCGCCCGCCTTCCCCAACTCTCACTCCCACATTGGCTTTCCCGGGTCGTCCGTACCGGTCAAGATTCCCGCGGTGGTGCCTCGTCCTGCACCCGCTCCAACCCCCGCCCCGGTCCCCTCTCACGGGACCTACGGGACCTCGATCGATACGCTGCGTTTCGGCCGTAAACCGGCATTGATCAACTCGGTCACTTCCCCCAACGCCCTGATCGCGCGGTGTGCGTGTGGCAAACCAGCCAACCATCCCCTCCGAGCCACGAGCAAAGAGCGGGGCGAGAGCGAGTTTTCGCTCCTCTCCCTCGGTCCTTCGCGCACGTCGCACCGCGTCGTATCAGATACCTCGGGTCCTTCGAACTCGGTCGATCGGCGCGCGGTATCAGGCTACGCCAGCCCTACGCTCGAGCCTCTCCAGCTCGCAGATGGGGTCGGTGCTTCCGCGCTTTCCCGGTCTCGCTCAGATCCCATGCACCCCAAGTTGGACTACACTCGCGCCACACCCACCGAATCCACCTTTGCGGAATCGTCCGCTGCTCCCCGTCGCAAGTCGCACGCCGCGCAGACCGACCGGCCGGGCGTGGCTACCCTGGGCAGCAGAGAGACGGGCGAAGGGCGAGGGAGGTCGAGGGATCGGATCCGTCATGCTGTCGAGGCGCAGCAGGGCGGGCTCAGCGGCATGCTCACCCAGCCCCCAGAGAGGGAACCTGCGCCCTCGCGGTCCCGGCACAGGCGGGACGAGGCGGAGAGGGAGCGTGAGCGCCAGCGATCGCACAGACTACAGAGGCAGAGTCCGGCACTGGCGCCGGTGGATGCTGCACCGATCGTGCCGAGCTGGAGCCGGGCTGTAGGGGCGGACGATGGAATCGCGCCCAGTCCGCTCAGAGGTGGATGGAGGAGTCCGAGCAAGGTTGCGGGGAGGGGATGACCGGCGGAGGGCGTCAGAAAAATGAGGAGACCATTCCTCGATACCACACATATCCCTTCTCATATCAGGAAACTACCATACAAAAACACTCATAGCATACTCGTCTGTCTAGACTAGAGACATACATGCAACTGCACTTTACCATGTCGCTTCGGGCCAGGTACCCGTCAGGTACGAGTCAAGCAAGGCACGCGCTGACTAGCGGCGATCGCCGTGGTGAGAAACGGAGCTCGACGCGTCCAGCCAAAAGATCAACGCGCTCCTCACTCACTCAACTCCATATCTCACCACACAGAACCATTTACACCTACAGCTAGCCGCCTACCACGCGTAGACCCGCGAGAAGAAGTACTATACCGCTGCAGACTATCCTGCAGATCCGCCCTCTCGACTCCCTTCCCCTCCCCTTCACCTCAGCCAAGATTGACATGGCCACGCCTCGTCCGCGGAGTCACGAGCCAATGACACCGACCCTCAGCGCCGACAACATGCAGGTAGACTCGCCTTCTGGCGGCATTGCTACACCGCCGCTCAAGCGGAAGCTTGAAGTTGATGGTGAGCTATGCGCCCGTGTCCGCTTTGGATCTGAGAGCTCGAGCTGATATACCAGGAACGGGGACGCGCCCAAGCGCAGGAGAGGGCAAAGAGAATAGCTGCGCCCCAGATAAGCGGCAAAAGGTCGATCTGACCAACATCCCTTCGTCTCCGCTGCCCTGCGCCATTCCGGACCCAAGAGCTAGCTCTACGCCCACGGCCAAGTCGGGTCTGGGCGCGGGCTCGCTGGTGGAGCTGCAGAAGCGGAAGCTGGTACTTAAGCAGTCTCCTCATACGTTTGAGATTCCGAGAAGAAGTAAGCTCAACCCTTCTTCGCTGACGACAACGAGCTGATGCGTTGTAGAAAAGCTTGAGTTTGAGGCGTTCTTGCTGGATGTCCAGGATGGCAAGGCGAGCCTGGAGCACGGTATTCCGGAGGAGCACCACGCAGTCATCGTTCTAGCTGGACAAGAAGCGTGAGCTAGAATTGGCAGATTGCTGCTGCGACGTAGCTGATGTGTCAGGACATCACCGAGCGATGGCTACCTCACCAATCACATCAAGAAAGTGCTGGACATGAAAGACGTCCCGGGTGAGCTTCTCACGCCCTTCTGAGCTCTACTTGAAATGCTGAAGCTAATCCTCAGATGTCATTCCACCCGGTACCTGGTCTGCACTCATAATCCTCCTCTTCCGTCTGAAGCAATACGGCTTTACCGCCGCGGACCTCCCTACCCCTTCTTCATCCGGAACGCCCGCCAAGCGGCTCCCTGCAGCCCTGCAGATTCGATGTTGGGAAGCGCGACAGCCGAGCAAGTTCTTCAGTGAGGAACAGCTCGTGATTGTTCGTGCGAGGATGGCGGAGAGGGCCCGGGCGAGGGAGGAGGTGCAGGCGATGATTAAGGGGTTGGGTGAGGTGGAGTGGGCGGATCTTTTGAGAGGGGAGAAGGGGGACAAGGTGAAGGGAGAGAAGAAAGCCAAGGTGATTGATACGTCGGAAGTGTGGGGGTTTGGCTGATAAGTAGGACTCGCCGGCGCCTAGTCTGGACAGGAAGAGCAGGGAGGGGACAGCAGCCAGTGGACGGTCTGGGAGGAGCGCATCACCTGTCAAGAAGTCCAAGTTGACCGCCGAGGAGGTGAGCTAGCGTGACCGCGGTTGAGTCCGGGAAGCCGCATTAGCTGATGATATAGGAGGAGGCAGCTCGGGTCAAACAGGAAGAGCGGGATGCCAAGAAGGCCGAAAAGGAGGAGAAGCGGAAAGAGAAGGAGCAGAAGGAGGCGTGAGTTGTCATTGCCCGCTTCTTCCTCTGAGGGCAGTAGCTGATATCCCAGAGCAAAGGCGGCCGAAGCAGAAAAGAAGCAGAAGCTCATGGCGAAGCAAAAGCAAACTATGAGCTCCTTCTTCATCAAGCCAAAGGTTACACCCAAGGCGGCGGTAGCAGCGAGCAAGCCTGAGGAGGCCGGACCGTCCAGTCAGTTTCGAGGAGCTCGTTATAGAGTAGACGGAAAGGCCAGAAGCTGATCTTTAGAACCGCCCAAAGTACAGCTTGGCGACTTTGACCGGACCTTTAAGCCTGTCACGTTCAGAGCTACCGTGGAATGGGCGCCAGTCAACAGGTTCACTAGGAAACGACGCTCAGTCACGCCAGAGGAGACGCGTCAGGCGTCGGAAGACTGGCGATTATCAGGTCAGCTATATTCAGGACTTGCGTCAACACAAGAGCTGACGATCCAGAACACATCTCACACTTGGTCCGGAAATCAGGCGTCAAGTCTTCGAAGGCTGCACGACTACCAAAAGGGCTCAAGTCGGCTCCGCTGTACGGCTCGGTCGGGGAAGTGTGGCTGGAGCATCAAGATGCGGCGGACCCACGGAAAGTCTTGAATCGGTTGAAGAACCAGATGAAGTTTCCGTGGAAGACGCTTGCGTTTGATGGGCAGGTCAGACCGCCATACTCAGGTAAGCTGCATAGTTTCCCGCTGCTGTCACGCCGGGTGTGGGGCTTACGCCTTAGGCACATTCACCAAGAAGTCGGTCGTGGTCGGTCCTCGAACCCCTTTCGCCCAGGATCCTATGTTTGACTATACGTACGATTCCGGCGATGATTGGCAAGATGACGAAGGCGGGGAGGACGTCGACGATAATGCCAACCTTGAGCCGGAGGAGCAGGACGAGGAGGATGACGTGGAAGAAGGAGAGTTTGATGATTGGCTGGACGACTCGGACGATGTCGTTGCAGGTGAAGGAGATGGGACGCCCGTTCCTGCCGCCATACCGGTGGATGGGGACGCGGACGCGCCTATCCTGATCAGTAGTGGAGGGGAGCAGCCACGACTGCCTATGAAGGTCGTCAAGAAGCGCGAGGTGCAGCCGAAGCGCGTCGTCAAGGTTGTGCCGACGTGGAGGGGGCCATTGTGGGAGAATAGGATCGGGGAGGGGAATGAGGGTATGGAGGGGTACAGACTGCAGCTGTTAAACGGTATGTCCGGCTTACCGGGGAGAGAGGATGGGACTGATGAGCAGATACGCCAGACTCGATTGATCCGTTCACGTACACCTCGGCCGAACCGCTTCCGCAGTACAAGTGCAACTTTACGTCGGTATCGATAGGCCTGTGGACGGGCGTCAAGGCGCTCCTATCGGTCGACGAAATACACCCGGTCGCTCAGGCGGATCACGCAAAGCCTGCCTTATCCGCCTCTGCAGGACAAGGCGGTCCTCCACCCCACGCAACACATATGGCTCCCGGCTCAGCCGCATCGGAAACTACCGGTGCCCCAACTGCCCAGCCAAAACCCAGACCGACCGGCCCCAAAGTCGCCTTCCCCGCTTCGCACCTCCTTCAACTGCTCCAGCTGATCGAGGGCAACACGCGGAATATGAGCGATATGATCTCGGATCTGAAGACACACTTTGACAGTGTGGCGAGTAAGGTGGCGATTGAGTTCAAGGTGCGGGAGGTTGCCGTCAAGCAGGGCAAGGGGAAGGAGAAGGTCTGGAGGGTATTGCCGGAGGCTTGGGTAAGTCGATCTGTTGATTGAGGGGAGCCGTAGCTGATGACGCAGACTTCGGTTGGAGTGGTGCCTCCATAAGCTTGGTCAAGATTTCGGTTGTGCAGAACGGCGGGGTGAGATCGAAGGGTGTAACATAGAAGAGGGCGGTTTCTCTACATTTATTGCTAGCGTTGGCGACTCATGCCGAGTCAGTAAAGCTTGAGATAGATGGCCACGTCATGATTCATGCAATTTGTATACAGGTACAAGGGGTTGCGACGGGCAGATCGGGATTCAGCTGGTCATTCGCTATCGGCTTATTCTTCGCTCCGCCCTGGGGGGCGAGAATTTGTCGTTACTGTTCCCACTGGCCTGGCTGTAGGATGAGTCGTCAGTGTCGCTTGGGACAGATGGCTACATATAATGCATTCGTTGTATACAGGTACAAGGTAGTGTATGCAGATTCCGACCAGTAGATCAAGCCTTGGCCGGAGATTCGATAGATGTCTGCCCCAACGCCATTGTCAATGTCTCGACTTCGTCTGCTTCTTCTTCGCTCTTGTCCCCCTCATCCTCTGGCTCGTCCCAGTCTTGGTGATTAGGGTTGGATCTGAGGAGATCTCCATCATCGTACGCGCCTGTATGATCAGCTTTTGGCCACATATGTGTGCGAGTTGGGAACTGACGTTTCTCCCGCTTGCGCAATTCCGCATCCCTCGCTTGCTCCGCCTGGATCAACTCCTGCATCGCCACAATATCCTCCGAGGTCGTGCACGTGCGATACCGCTTGATGAGGTGGGCGTTCATCTTGTAGAACGAGTGACCCCAGGAGAATTTGGACAGACTTCCTGTGTCAGCTGAGATCCGATGTCTACGGAAGCTTCCAGCTTACAGGTGCTCGGCCCAGTCGTCATGTCCTGTAATGTAGAAGCCCGCTGCTAGTGCTTCGACGCAGTTGAGCCGCCAGGGTTTACCGTAGTTGACAGGATTTGTCGCGATGAGGTAAGGTACTGGTTGTCAGCTGACAGGCCTCTCCTTCCTCGCGTACGCCATACCAGACACGATCCGCACAATCAATGCTATCCAATCGACCGCCATCACCAGCCACGCCGCCGACACCTTGTACACCAAAGCAGAGATGAGAGAGACACTTACACAGCCGCTCGTATGGGCCCTTGATCTTCCCAAAGGGCACTTCGTCCAATCTCGCCCAACTACACTCCACAACCGCCAGTCCGCTCAGCATGATGATCTCGTCGTCGCACGGTGCGATCGGTTTCTTCCCTTTCGGACTACATGTCAGCTGCTTCTTCCTCACATGGTACGTAGCAGCTCACGTCAAGACTATCCCTCGGAATCTCTGCCCTATCCGCATGCTCACGCATAAGCCATGCCGTGCCAGCTTCTTCCCCGAACATCGCTTTGGATCGCAGTGATCGAAATCCCACATCGCAACCGGTACGCCAATCTCCACTGGTACCGCTTCTTCTTCGCTGGACTCTTCTTCCTCCTCTTCTTCCTCTTCGTCCTCCTCACTGGATTCGGGAGCGTCAAGATCGTTACCCAGGGCGTCGCGTTTCTTCCCCGAAGTTGAGCCGGCTGTTGACGATTCTGAACAATCAGCAGCGTTCCCGTAGCCGAGAGAGATGGCAAGCTGACCAGCTTCATCAGAGCTATCCGAGTCGCCTGGACTCTCCAAGTCTGAGGGCAGGACCAAGCTGTCAGGCTTCGCGCCGTACATGCTAGCATCCGCCGGACCGAAAGTCGAGCGCGCAGACCGACCGCCTGAAGGTCCACCTCGGCCGCCTCCACCCGCTCCTCTGCCTCGACCCCGGCCCCGACCTCGTCCAGCTACCGGCTGGTTCTTCTCCTTTTGTGGCTTGCCCATGATTGACGATGTAATTGGCTGCTAAGGAGACGCTTGTTCAAGCAGGTCAGATGGTAATTGCGCGAAGCAGGGGACGATTTCAGATTTTGTACCTTGTCACAGATCATCACGTGATCAAATCCGGCAGTGAGGAACGACTTTAGGGCGACATGGAAGGGCAATCTGTCGACATGCTCCACCCATCGCCCACAGATAGCTATCTCCAGGGCATTGTAGCAGCGATGCCCGGCCCCTCGCCAACAGCTCACCAGGTCCTTGTCTACTCCGGCCCCGGCGTCTCCCCACTCTCCCTCTCGCACACCCTCCTCACGCTCTCCCTCCTGCTCCTACCGCACTACACAGTCCAGCCTGCGACGCCCGAGGTGCTCTCCACCCAGCCGTGGGAGCCTGCTTGCGCTTTGCTTGTCATCCCCGGCGGCCGGGACTTGCCCTATGTCAGCGAAATGAGCGGAAGGAGCGGAATCGCGAGGCGGATCAAAGAGTATGTGAGCGAGGGGGGACGGTATCTTGGGCTATGCGCTGGTGGCTACTTTGGGTCGGGAGAGGTCCGATTCGATGAAGGCGGGAAGATGGAGGTGATGGGGAAAAGAGAATTGGTAGGTCTACCTCAATAGGGCAGAGACAAAGCTGATATCAGGCGTTCTTCCCGGGTGTCTGTGCGGGACCGACATATCCCGGCTTTGCATATGCTGCCGAGTCGGGATCCCGAGCTGTCCCTTTGGCTATCGAGTCTCGGAATGGAAGGCCGGCCAGGACTCTCCGTAACATGTACTACAACGGCGGCGGCCACTTTCTCCTGCCCGAGCCACACCCCAACGTCGAAGTCCTCGCGCGATACGGCGACCTCCCCGAGAGCTCTACGGCACCCAAAGATGCCATCGCCGCTGTCCTGACTCGCAATGGAAAGGGTAGGGCCATCCTCTGCTCAGTGCATCCCGAGTACCCGCTGCATGACCCGCCGGCACGAGATGCAAACCGCAAGCTGGACAATCCACCTTCGGATGAAGAGGTAGCGGAGAGCGACAAGGCGAGGGTGGAATGGATGGTGGAGCTGCTGGTTCTGCTCGGTCTGGATCCGCCCAGCCGGTCTTCCGGGCTGTCGGATGAGGCGTTGCTCTCAGGAGAAGCAGAGGAGGACATGTTGCTCCTGCAGCACCCTACCCACCCCTCGCCCATCTTCGTCTTTCCCCTCCCCCTCCTCCCGGAAACAGCATCATCGGTCTTTGCTGCCCCGGCGCTCCAAGCCAAATTGGTCGACCATGCATCGGCCGGAAAGGTCCTGCGGGACGGGAATGACGAGCTTCACATCCTCGATACGCACGCTTTCGGCGGGGAGAGCAGCTCGGCAGCTATTACTCGCCAGCTTGCCCTGCGTCGCCGGGATCAGCCCGTCTTCCCTCCTGCGGTCGATCGCCTTTCGCTCGAGCCATCAGATACCACACTCCTTTATCCTTCCCCACCAGATTTTCACTCGCTCGTCAAGACCGTCATTACCCCACACCCGGACCTGCCGTACTCGCCTAGTTGGACACCGCTGTTCAACTTTGAGACGTACTGGTCGGAACTCGCCGCGGCTCGGAAAGCCAGCGGGAAGCGGCACGGACAATCGCGGAAGGGGCATGATGGGGAGGAGAGGCTGAGTTTGGGAGATCTGGTATGGTATGCCGAGACGGTGACTAGTACGCAGACAATGCTTGATCGGTGAGTACCTCTCATACTCATAGAGATGCGCTGACTCCTAGTAATACAACACTTCTGACCAATCTCCCCACCCCGCTCGTTTTTCTCGCGACATTCCAGCTCGCCGGCCGCGGACGCGGTTCCAACGTCTGGCTCTCCCCTCCCGGCTGCCTGCAATACTCTATCCTCATCACCCTCCCCTCCAAGATGTCGAGCAAGCTCGTCTTCATCCAGTACCTCATGGCGCTCGCCGTAGCGGAAGCGGTCGATCCCGATGGTCGACTGGGCGTACGCATCAAATGGCCCAATGACATATATGCGCAGGTCGAAGGCGTCGGCGAGTCCAAAATTGGGGATGGGAAGAAGGGGCTCGCCAAGCTGGGCGGAATATTGGTTAATACCAACCTGATCAATGGGGAATGGCGAGTCGTCATCGGCTGCGGGATCAACGTGCTCAATGCCCTCCCGACGACGTCGCTCAGCCACCTGCATAACCTGCTATCGGCCCGGTCGGCGCCCGGGAAGAAGCTCCCAGAGCCACCTACGATGGAAGGGACGTTTGCACGGATCATGGATGCTTTTGAGAGCAAGTGGGAGGGGTTCCTGGAGGAAGGCGGCTTCCAAGGCTTCATGGACGAGTACTACGGCCGATGGCTGCATTCGTGAGTAATAACTCATTTGGCCTCCACCGTGTCATTCGCCACATCTACAAGTCCTGTCTGGACTGCGGAGGAGAGCACCATGACGGGAAGTATAAAAGGGGGAGTAGGATGGCCATCATGCTATGTGCGCTGGATGTTGCTGATGCGCGCAGAAACCAAGAAGTCACACTTACCACTGTGGAACCACATCAAAAACTCCGCATTCACTCCATCACCTCGGACTATGGTCTTCTCCGCTGTAAACCGCTCAGCACCGCCCCCGCCACGGCGAGTCGAGGCCTGACGCCACTATACAGCCGTGGCGACTTTGGCGGTGAAGACAGGTCCACAATGGGTGGTAAGAAGGGCGGGGAAGAGTGGGTCGATCTGCAGCCGGATGGCAACTCGTTTGATCTCATGAGCGGTCTTATCAAGAGGAAGATTTGAGCAGCGGATGGGGCAGGCGTACGCTACAGCATTGTCAGCTTCGATGCTGTGGCTTATTTATGCAACGCACTGAACAGCCCTGTCTTTACGACAAGACATCGTGGGGAAATCCACGTCACTTTCAACCTTAAGAGGTCTCGGCCGATCTCGGAGCTCGGCTCCGTGGCTGCCCAATTCCGTAAGTCCGTCATCGTTATCGCACAGCGCCAGCCTTATCTATATCCGCTGATGATTACCGAGGGGCCGCCCGACAGCCAGCCGAGCTCTGCCGTCGAGTAAATATCACTGATCGCTTGATGCGTACTTCTCCAGTTATATATGGAATGGCATGTAGACAAATGTGATTGTCTACACCGAAAATGAAGAAGCCCTACCGTCCCTTACTCACAGCATGTCGACCCAGCTCTACAACCACCCGGCAACGGGTAGCGAGGACTTTGATGTTCTGCCTCCTCCCCCTGCCGCAAAGAACAAATGGGCGAGGATTTACCGATCCGCACGCTTCCAGATCTGCGTGGTCTCGGCACTCGCGTTCTGCGGACCCGCCATGGCGGATGCTATCTCCGGTCTAGGAGGAGGGGGACAAGCCACCCCCTACACCGTCAGTGAGTGAGCCCTTAACGACTGTGGACAGCGCTGATGATAGGTGCCGCGCAAGCCGCATCGTATTGTGCGGTTGCTACAGTTGCACTCTTCGGAGGTCCCCTCGCGTCCCGCATGGGCCTCAAGCTCATGCTTATCATCGGCGCAGCCACCTTCCCTATCAACGGCTCGGCTTACTACGTCAACTCAGCCTACGGTACACAGTGGTACCTGATCTTTGGTCGCTTCATCTACGGCATCGGCTTTGGTTTCTGGTATGTCGCTGAAGCGGCGATGATTCTCAGTTACCCGGAAGAGGGACGCCGCGGAGAGTGAGGCTGGGAACAAGCCTGTATGGCCCAGGCTTATGATAGATACCTTGCCATTTGGGTCGGGGCCAGAAATTTGGGTCAACTTGTCGGCGGGTCCATTGCTCTTGCAAGAAAGTGAGCACCTTATCTCCACAAAGACCACAACGCTGACAGACAGCGCGCAAGCTGCCGCAGCGGGAGCCATCGCAACCTCGACCTACCTTGCCTTCGTCGCTATCGAAGCTGTCGGTTTCCCAGTCAGTTTTCTCATCTCTCCTCCCGAGAAGGTCACCCGTAGCGATGGTGTTCCCATCGTCCTCGCCGCCCGCAAGCCGATCCGGGCCGAGATGGTGCTCCTCTGGAAGGCCGTCATTCACCCGCGGATGCTTCTCCTCACGCCCATTGCCTTCTACTCGTACTTTGCCGGTGGAACTCTGTCAACTTATCTCACACTGTACTTCACTGTCCGCGCTCGGGCACTATCGTCTTAAGCTTTCCTCGTGCCAACGACTATCATTATGTAAGTTTCTAAAGTTGCCTCGGCTAATATTAGCCTAATGTCTAGCTTCACCGCCATCTACTGTCGGTTCGTCCTCGACAACCAGCGCTGGTCGCAGCGTACTCGCGCAATGATAGGCTTCTGGGCTTGGATGTTGCCAACCCTCGCTGTCTTTGCGTGGCTCTCGGCCAACACTGCAAAGTTCCTCTCGATGTCGGCTGCGCCCAAGTACGATTGGTCGTCTGACGGCTGGGCCAACGCCTACATCCCCTTCTGCACCTTACAGATCACAACCTACCTTTGTCAAACTGTGAGTTCTCGCTGCTTTCTATCTGACGGATAGTACATCTACTGGCTCATCTCTTGCTTTGTGGTCGACGTGCAAGGCAACGCTCGCAACGGCGGTATCTTCCGCTCGTGGGAGGCAATCGGCCAGGCTGTTTCGTACGGCCTGAACTCCAACATCTCGCTCACCTTCGTGCCCCTGTAAGTACCTCGCAACGATGAGGTTATAGCCGCTAAAGGTTTAGTGCTGTCAATTTTGCCCTCTGCCTTCTTTGCATCTTCCCCACCCTCCTGGTCGCTCGTCAGGTCCCTTTGTGGCGCTCCGACTCGCTCAAAAACCCTGATCGACAGGAAACGGTGACTGGCAAGGAGGCGATTGAGCTGGAAGAGGCCGACAAGACAGGGGATACCACGGTGGACATTGAGTCGGTACCGACGCAGAGAATGAAGTAGGCGGCGGGGCTCTGTGATCGGTATGTGGTGAATATCTCAATAGGGATGTTGTCTCTTCTCTAGTTCTCTAGTTGGATGGGTTGGATTATTCTTTGCTATTGCAGCCCAGGCTCTGCCAGTCTTCATTCTCTCTTCCCCTGTGTGCTGGCTCAACATCACTATGTGACCTTATGTAACCTTATGAGGCTTGACCAGGACACCGCACCATGATATCAGACAGGCCTTCACCCACCGGCACCACCTGGTCTCGCTTCGCCACCCCTGTCTCCACATTCCTGCCTCCACCAAGCCTAGCGTCAGCGGTGGAGGCAAGGTGGATCCAGTGGAGGCCGAGGCCTCTCCGTCGCCCATATGTGCAGCGTGTGGATCCCTCTGAACTCACATCACAGATCGCTCCTCTCACACCGCTATCTTCAGCCAAGGAATCATGGCCACTTCAAGCAAGATGGAATACGTCAATCTCGGCGGATCCGGCCTCAAGGTGAGCTTCATGCCTTTCGGCTGACACAGTGCAAGCTGATAATCAGGTCTCCAAGATCATCCTGGGCTGCATGACCTACGGATCGTCGTATAAATGGATGGTCAGCGATGAGCAGGAAGCCATAAAGCACATTAAATATGCCTACGATCAGGGCATCAACGTCTGTTACCTCTTGTCTGAGCGGTGCTCGAGCTAATTGGGTAGACCTTCGATACGGCTAATGTGTACTCTGCGGGTGAATCAGAGGTCCTTCTAGGCAAGATGCTCAAGCAGCACAACGTTCCCAGGGAAAGCGTGGTCATCATGACCAAGACTTATGCGCCGGTGAGCCAGATGATGTCTCTGGTGTTGGCCGTACTGACTGCAGGGCGACAAGCCGGACAAGTGGGGTCCAGCAGGAATCAACAACCAACTTGGTCTGAGCCGGAAGGTACGTATTCCTACCCCAGGTGAGATGGCTCCAGCTAAGACCACAGCACATTCTCGCCTCTGTCAAGGACTCGCTCGAGCGGCTCCAGCTCGACTATATCGACGTTCTCCAATGTCATAGGTTCGACAAGGATACGCCCATCGAAGAGACCATGCACGCCCTTCATGACGTCGTCAGATCAGGCCAGGTCCGATACGTCGGAATGAGCAGTTGCTTTGCCTGGCAGTTCCAGCTCATGCAGCGTAAGTCGTGAAGGCGAAAATGTGAGCTGACAGCTAGAATATGCCATTCATAACAAGCTCACGCCTTTCATCTCGATGCAGAACCAGTACAACGCCCTCTTCAGGGAAGAAGAACGGGAGATGATGCCTACCATCGAGCACTTTGGCGTGGGATGTATCCCTTGGGGTCCGCTATCCGGCGGGAGTAAGATCACAAATTCCCCTTGCCTTCCCAGCTGACATCCAGCTCTCGCCCGGCCCGCCGCCAAGTTCTCCGACTCTGAGCGCTCTGACAAGTACCACGCCTACAACAAGGGCCCGTCCGACGATGAAATCATCGCTGCCGTCGAGAAGATCGCCAAGGCAAAAGGCATCCCAATGGTCCATGTCGCCCTGGCCTGGGTCCTGTCCAAGCCCTACGTGACGGCTCCGATCGTGGGCGTCAAGTCGATCGAGAGGATGGACGAGATCATTGCGGCGCTGAAGGTCAGGTTGACCGACGAGGAGATCAAGGCCATCGAGGCGGAGTACAAGGATCAGCCGATCAAGGGGCACTCGGGACTGCAGGATGGGGTGAATGCGGAGAACTAGGGAGGGTGCATAATGATTTTCCGTGTATGAATGGTGGACCGGCTAGAAGACTAGCTGTACAGATGACTGATGTATCATGTATGATATACGACGCCCTACAGCCTGTCATACTTTGGCAGAATCATGCATGCAGTCAGCACATTCAGGCACGATGCACGGTGGCCGAGCCAAGGCCGAGACCGAGCGGGAGTGCGACGACAATCTCGCCCGTCGTCTACCTTTCTTGCATCTACCTACCAACACATACGGAGTTCCTTCCCGCTGATCAAGCGCAGCCCTACTCACCCTCGACGGCCAACAGCCAGGCCCGAGAGCACTGGTCGTGTTTCGAAGATCCATCCCGACCAAGATACGCGTTTCACGATGGCCAGGAATGCGACTGGGCAGGGGTCGGAGATACGCCATCGTCTCGACCCTCAGACGTCGACTGCACCCTCACAATCGGCATCGCGCTCGAGTCCTGCTCTAGGTGGACGGCGGGGAGTAGTGAGATTGAAAGACAAAGGCAAGAAGAGGGCTTTCGGGTGGGGGCTGGGTCAGGATGCGTGGGTGGAGGAGAAGTTTAGGCGCTTTGGCGAGCACTGCGCGAGAAATCAAGTGGGTCGTGACTATTTTGACAATGAGCTGTAGCTGACAACTATAGATACGGACACTCCTGCTCGACTGCTTGGTCATGACCAACCTCTTCTACCCCTCACTTGCCATCTACCTCTCGAAGCGCTTCCCGCCCCCATCCTCGGATTCCCCATTCGCTCAGCCCCGCGCAGGACCATCACGCGCTACACCCCGAGAGCACCCGCTGTCGATCTTGACAACCCGACTGTTGGACAGCTTCTTCCCATATCCACCACCATTGTTACCCCGATTGGCGTGGACGGGATGGTGGGATGACACCCCTCCTGATCCGGAGGATGGCGCGTGGTTTCTCGACCGGCCAGACGGCGAGATGGAATGGCTCGAGGAGGAGGTGCGGGTGATGCGGATCGCCTGGGCAGACGTAGGAGACGTGCTAGATGGACCAGGGGCCAGCGAGAGGTCCTGGGCGCAGCGGGACCACACGATTCTGGGGATACTACGGGAGATGGCCGAGGGGTGGGAAGAGAGCGGAGGCGGTCAGCGGTGCGTGAGGAGTCTGGAAGACCAGAGGTGCATGCTGTTCTCTCCGGACGAGCTGGATGAAGAGGCAGTCCAGCACATACAGCTGCCGCCTGCGGCCAAGCTGAGAACGGAGGATATTTACCGAGGAGTGGTGGTGCCATTCCACGTTCCAAGAGGGGAGCTGCTCGAATTTGAGCGGCGATGGGCCGAGGGGATGGGGGCTTTGGGAGGAGTAGCGCAGGCGGAGCTCTTTGGGGAGGCAAGAGTCACGGGCAGAGGCGCAGACAACAGCGGGGCTTGGCTCTTGACAGTCAGTGTGACGATTTCGGAGCTCGCTTAGGGCTGATGAGGCAGTTCCAATCAGAATCATTACCACCGCCCACGACACTTCCCACTGTTGAGCCCACCCTGTCCCCCTCACCATCCAAATTCGTCTATCTTCTCTACCTCGCACTATTCAGCGTACTCGGCCACCAGATCTCCAACGCGTCCAAAGTCCACTCGCGCTTCGGTCTCGCCTTTACCGGCTGCGTCCAGCTGTGCTGCTCGTCCGTCATGTCCTTCTCCATCCTCGCGCTTCTGGGCTGGAATGGCTGGGGCGTATCGATGGAGCCGACGACGTTACCGACGTATATCTTGCCGTTCGTCGTCACGGTGGTAGGAGCGGAGAATATGTCTACTCTTGTGAGCTATCAGACCCCGTTGACCGGTCCGCACAGCTGATGCAACAGACCAAAGCGGTCTTCTCAGTCCCATTTACATACTCCGTCCCCGCTAGGATCGGTCTGGCACTCAGCAAGGTTGGGACTAGCATCAGCATCACCTCGCTGTCGGATCTAGTCTTGCTCGGCGTGGTCTGGTTTGTCGCCAATATCCGCCCTGTCCGGGAGTTTTGCGTCTTTGCAGCGGTCTTGATTGTCACCGACTGGTTCATGCTCAATACTTTCTTCTTGACTGTAAGTCATAATCTATCTGCCTGAACGTGTACTGACTGCAGATCTTGTCAATCGACGCGCAACGTTTGGAGCTGGCGGACGTACTCGCCTCGTCTGATGGAACCGCCTCACCCACCGACGCCAGCCAAAAGGCGAAGCAGGGGGTCTCGGACTCGCCCCGACAAGGGTGGAAGAAGTTCATCCAGGCTCGGACCGCCAAATCAGGCAGTCTGATCGCTATCCTCTGCTGCGTCGGTATCATTTACTACCTCACCGAAAGGCACCGACTCCCCGCCACCGCTGCCACTCTGTACGGGTACGATCCCACTTCTACGGCGTACCAGCCTCCTCTGCGACCAACTCCTACTCCCCTCGACCTCGCATCCTCACCTCACAACACGACCAGCTCCCAAAACCTGTGGCACGCCATCAATCCAGACGGCTGGCCGTCAATCCGTATCTCCCTGCCACCCGCTTCTATCTTCGTCCTCCCGCGTACCGGCCATGCTATGGCCCCGTCCTCTCTCCGCGACCTTGCGGGGAATCGCCCGCGGTCTCCATACCCCCGTATCAAGCCCCTCCTTCACGCCATCAAGGTACTCATCCTTCCTCAGGCAGTGACTGCATTCGCACTGTGGGGTATCTTGCTGTATCTCTTGAAGGACAAGGATCTGCTCGATGCGCAGCGGAACAAGTTGGGAAGAGGAGAGTCGGAGCCCTTGCCGGAACGTGCTGGCAAGACGGCCACCACGTCGAAACTAGCGAGCAAGCTTCAGGTGCGGATGCTGCCTTGTACGCCAGCGAGCGACGTTGAGATTGTCGTCGCGAGTGCGGACGGGAAGCTCGTCCTCACCATCTCGCTGGACAACTCGGTTCATCTCTGGCGGTTCACCGAGACGGAGGGCGGAGGCACGCGCGAGAGGCTGGACCTGGAGCTAGAGGATACAACTGCCGTCATAGCGGCGGCTACGTTCTGTGCGAGCGGCAGATGGGCGGCTGTTGTCACTCGAGGTGGCACAGTTCAGATCTGGGAGGTGGTGGAGACCGGATCGGCCAAGCTCGTCCAAACTCGCTCGGCAACCCCAGGCGGACGCATCTGCGAAATTGCCTTCCAGCCCATCTCGCGCGATGCCGACGACCCATTCATCATGTCCCGTCAGTCTTCGGCAACGGACACGTCTCCTCCTCCTGTGCTCGTCATTATGGCGGACGGCTCGGTTGTCAGTCTCGATGACAGCAGCCGCCGGACGCTCATCCCCTCGTCCGGCAACGTCGCTCGGGCACACCTCATCCCCGACGCTACGGGCGAGCGATGCGATATCGTTGCAGAGTCATCTAGCGGGATCGATCTCTGGCGAGCGTCAGACTCGGGCTGGGACGCGATCTCCCTGCACTCTACAAGGATGTCGCGGGATCGGCTCACTGCGAGCCAGGCCTTCCGCCTCAATCGGGGATCGTACGGGACCATCTACGCCTTCGGCTACGCATCCGGCCTCGTCGAGATCTTTGATACGGGCGGTACCCTCTTGATAGTCCTTCATCATCCGGAGACCATCACGGCGCTGTATCTCTCGGCGCCGAAATCTAGCAGGTGCACGACTTGCTCTTCGGTTCTGACCGCTGGGTTCTTTGTCGTCGCTTGCACGGCCACGCAAACGCATGTGGACCTTGTCCACCCCAGGAGCAATTCCGGACTATGTCGGTGTGCTAGCATATCGGCTCCGCCCCGCCGCTCAGCTTCAGGCGAGGACTATCCCTCCTCTACCCCATCATACACTGCATCCCCCGTCGGCAAGTCCGGCGTGTCCCTCGTCATCCCCCCATCTCCCGCTCGGCGGTCTACACCGGGCAACTCCCCTCGTCGCTCCCCATCGTTACTCCCGCCCGTATCGAATGGCGAATTCCCGCTCTCCTCGCACGGGACACGTCGGTACTCGTCACTACACCGAGACGATGGGCCCGAGCAATCTGGCGCAGCTAGTCAAGACAGCGTATCATGGTCCGACCTCGACTTCACGTCCCTCGGCGCCATAGCTACCGCCGGCGGAGGGGGATCAGCCCTTCTCGGCCAATCGCGCGACCGGCTTGTTGCCCTGCATCGAGCGGGGACGGGCATAGACGATAGCTCGTGGCTCGTCCTCTCCCTAGACCTCGCGGCGCCATGGAACGGTACCACGCTCGTCGTGGACTCGGCGAGCCTCTCGGTCGTGCAGAGACGTACGGCCGCGAAGCAGATTATGGGTGAAACGAGCATGAGGGCAAGGCGGACTGAACGCCTTCTTTCGCTCAGCGGGCGAATGACGTTCCCTAGTCTCAGTGCTGGAGGGAGCGGGGGTGCAGCCTTGGGCGGGGGACTGGCGTATGTCGGGATAAGGCCGGTGAGGGCTTTGGGGACGAGAGGGGTAGTTGGTGGGTTTGGGAATAGGTTGGGAGTGGTGACATTAGAGGAAGATGGGAAGGGCAAAGAGGAGGGCCACAAGGAGGTAGGGGTCAGACGAGAGGGTGGGGATGGCGGGCTAGGGAACGGTGTTAGGGCGAAAGTGGGCTCAGCGGTGGGAGTGACGGGATCGCCATTCCTTGTTCCGCCCCCATTGACTTTTGGGAATAGTGGTAGCAGCAGTAAAAAGGCTTTGTAGAGAAGCATGGTATATCTGTACAGGGTTCTAGGAGGTCGATACATCGTGGTAGTTATCAAGCTTGATTTACACAGACCACACTTTGACTCATTCCCCGACACGATATGCCACCATAGCCTGTACGGTCAGCATCTCGTCTGCCAGACCTTCAAGGTAAGGAAAGACTTGCCTCGAGCGAGTGCACGTTGGTACTGAAACTCCGTAATCTGACCTGCTCGACTTTGCCCCGGTCGATAAGGTGAGGATCGGCATCGCCCCATGTGTTTGGGATGGCCGTCTCGGCGTCGGTATTTGTATATGCGAGTAGGGTGAATGTACCTGAGTACTAGTCAGCTATTGCTCAGACGTCCTTGGACCCTAAGCTGCAAGGTCACTTCGGCTCAGACTCTCTCTTTACCGCTCGAGACTGATCGTTGTGAAACCGGCCTGCCTTGCTTTTCAAAGAATCTCCGCAGCCTTTCCCCTTCCACAAGCATCCCGCCATCAATAGGCAAGTTCCTGCACGCAGACGTCAAGTTCAAAGAGAGAGAGGGGAAGACTCACATGGATCCTCCAGTATCGGCAAGAAAGTCACAGAGCTCGTAATCTGCTTCATAATCTCCCTAATCTCCCCCTGTACCTCCTTCTCCGTCTTCTCCTTCTTCTTCCCATTTCCTGCCGAGGCTCCACCCCCCGCTGCTGCTGCCCCCGCCGACTTCGGCGCAGGCTTCCCGGCTGCCTTGGCCTCCTCGGCAGCTGCCAAAGCAGCTATCGCCGCCTCATCCGTCTGCACGTCGAATTGCCACCGTTCGAGGGTCTCGTCCGTTTCGAGGGATTTTATGGCGAGGACGAGGCGGGTGATGGAGGATGTCATGAGCCATTCTGAGGGTCAGCAGGGACAGACTAGGCATCATGGTTAATTATCGACGAGGAGGTGGTCAGGAGGAAGACATACCTTGGACCTGGGCGAGGACTGTTTGAAGATATTCCTTGAGGGATTCGTCCGCGGTGATGAGGAGGGGGATACCGTATTTCTTGACCATACTGCAATACATCAGCACGTATCTTAGGATAGCAGTATGGGGACAGCGCGAGGGCCACGCCTGCAGCACTGTTGTTCGCGCGTCTAGGCGAAGTTGGGAAAGGTTGACTCACCGAAAGTCGTCGGAAGGATACACGCCTCGTTGATACAGAATACTGCTGGTTCAGCTTTACGACCCACAGCCGCAGTCGCCGCAGTACGGATAGCTGATCTTGGCCGAGATCACGAAGACCTACCTGTTGACTCCGTACTCGAAGAATTCGGTAACGAGCGCGGTCGACCCCTTGAGGGTGATTGCCTGATTTGTGCTCGTTCGCGTCGCTTGTTTTTGCGCCATAGCGAATGCAGTCAGAGTGAGGGTGAGCTAAGGGTACTGGCTGTGCCGTCGTCGTTGCTGTGATGGCTCTGCTATGACAGGCGAGTGAAAGATGGTTGGTGATGAAGGAATGAGGAGTTGGGTGATGTGATCAAAGTCAACGTGTTTTTGGACGCGTTGACATGCATGGAAATCAACCGCGACTCTTCACGTGCTCCTGGTCTGATCCAACTTCCGACGCCACACCCATGATCTACACTGCGCTCCAGGCTCCTTCTCAAGCTTCGAGATTGCACAATCAATCCTGCCACATGGATAGTGTTACATGCTTGATCCGCGGGGAGACGATACCCTACTATACCTATATGCTCGAACTCGGCTGATCACACTCCCCCCGCCGCCACCGCCGCCACCGCCGCCACCGCCGCCACCGCCGTCATTGTCGCCGTCGTCGTCAGGAAAGAGGAGAGGGGAAAGAGACTAATAGCACAACATTGGAATGAGTTTCCGTAGAGTATTTCGGAAGCCGAAAAGGGCCAAAGCCGGGGATGCTACCAGCGAGACCGAGTTCTGGGATAGCCGCTTTACATTGCCAGCTCGGCCTGCAATTGACGGAGCTGCGCTTCCTCGTCGTCCTCTTCTGCTTGCGCATGGACACCTATGAGATCAGCTGCTAGTTTCCTAAACAGGGGGGAAAGAAGAAACTGACGTTCTCGTCCATTTGCGACTGGCGATGCTGGGGTGTGTACCGGGACGTGATCTGCGCCCTTGAGTCGGTCGTCCAGCTCTTCCTGCTCCAGAGCCTCGAGCTCCGCCGCCAGCTCGTCCTGGATATTCAGCAAGTGCGCGGAAGAAGGGAGCAGTGATGTCGGCGCGGTTCTGAACTCACCTCGTCCACCATATTGCCCATTCCGACCGGATTTGAGATCGCATCTGAGATCTCGTTCGTCAAGTCCATCTGCTCCCTGATAGCATCCATAGTCTGATCGACCTTCTCGACTTTCCTGGTGATTATCAGTATCGTGATGATCGTTCAGCCTGGACGGAGAACGCACAGGCTGCTGTGGATCCCCTTGAGCGCATCCGCACCCTTCTTCATCGCCAGCATTGTCTCGGCATTGAGATTCGCCGATTCGATAGCGTTCACCTGGGTCTCGAGGGTGAGGCGTGTACCCGCGATCCGGTCGAGCTCATTCTCGTGTGCCTTCTTTTGTCGTAATGCCGCAGTTGCCACTGAGGGGTCAGCACTGAGACAGGCGATGATGGCCGATTCCTTCCTCCTATTTTCGGCCAACAGCCAAGGAACAGCAAGGTAATATGGCAGCGCTAATGCCGCCTTCCGTTCGCACACTCACATCGCTTGTTCGTCGACGCATTCGCCCTCGCCTTCTTCATCTCATCATCAATCTTCTTGTTCAAATGCTCCTCCTTCTTCTCCAGCATGAGAAGCTGCTGCCTCAGCCCGACGATAGCATCTCGGGCGCCTTCCTGTGTGTTGCGCCGGGAGCCGGTAAAGTACGACATCCAGCCTGACATGGCGGTTGTGTTTGGATGGGGGAGATAAAGGGAAGGGAGTTCCGCGGAATGGCAGAGTTGAGCGGTAGTATCTGGACGAGCGGCGGTTACGACTATAGATCAGGCGGTACCACTGCTGTTGTGGTGTAAGGTCTGTGTCTATCTAATGGTCTGTGGATGGCTGTATTATGGTGTTGTGAGCGAACAGATAGCGGACATGCATGACGAGTGGCCACCCAAACGGTTGCAACCCAGGTCCACGTGGTTATTTACGTCAGCTAGGTTACCCCGCATCTTACCCCATGCCCAACGCGCCTCGCCTTGTAGCAGCAAAGCGAGAGAAGCCTAGCTAAGCCTTACATCCCTACTGATCCCTCCTATACTTGATGGGTATACAAGGATGACTATCCATCTGACAGATCCATAGGATAGTAGCTCTATTCGCCGACGGTGCGATGTCTCTCACCCAAGGACGAGGTGAGCGGTTCGACCAGACTACCCCCTTTTCCATCGAGCCTAGCTCACGGTGTAGGACCAATCTCGCCCGCTCGCCCAAGTGGTACTCGCACGCGCTCGTCCACTCTGACAAGTTCACGGCCACCAACATCTACTAGCACAGACCGCAAAGCGAGCCATGCGTCCACTATTGCTCCCCCATCAGCTAGCACCCTTCGGTCCACCTCGGCCAGCGGGGCCGGGACGGCAGCTACAAAGGCTCTGAACAGCATCCAGGCTGGTCCGTCCCGCTCCCATCGGCCGCCTCCAGTCAGCGTGCCCCCTCCGGCGTACCCACAATCTTCATCTCCGACAGACCGGACCTCCCCGTCCGCTCGATATCGGTATGAGCACCGACCGAGCGTTGATCACGCCGACGACGGGCTGTATCCCGAGGAACGCGCTACACTCGCGTTGTACACCTATAAGCCCTCATCGGCGTCTATGGGCATCAGCCAGCCCTCCCCTCTACCTTCCACATCGTCCGCTGCGCCTCCTTCGGCCGTACAGTTCAACCACGCCTCTCTACCGTTTCGGGTCCGGCCGGGCGAGTATCTCGAAATACGGCGGATCAGGCGGGCGCCCGCCGAGAAGGTGAAAGGCGAAGAGAGTACTCCCAAGACGGGCGGAGAGGCGCTGAAGGGTGTGCCGAGATACCTCGGCCGGGATGGATACGTGTTTCGGGCAGGCGAGGATGCGCCGAACGTACCTGTCAATCAGGTCCAGGTGCCAGACTCAGTCGCCACTGCATTCAGGCTACAGCACCGGTCTGATGTGGAGATCATCCGGGTGAGCTAGATTGTCCGTCCTGTAGGAGAAGTAGCTGATCTCCAGCTCTCGGACTCAAGCTTAGCCCATATCGACCACTTTGAGCTGCGCTTCTCGCAATACCTCGGTCGGGCAGATATGTGGCGTCTCGGCATGTCGCTCGAGGGACACACGATCCACGTCGGCGAGAAGATCAACCTCGCGGGCGGAGCGATTCGAGCCGAAGTCCATGCGATCTGGCGAGGCGGGGACCGATACTCCAGCGGGATCGTCACGAGCAAGTCGAAGACCATCTACCGGAGTCGAAGTGCGCAGGTCTACATCTTCATTCAGCTCTGCCAGGAGACGTATCAGTTTGACGAGGACGGGGAGCGATACCTCGAGAAGGTTGTTCATAGTAAGTCATCGGTAAGAGTGGGGCTGAGACAGGCTTCTTACCAGATCTGTTTGCTAGATGGGGTAAAGGCGCCGCTTCGCATCTCGTCACTATCATCCTCTTTGGTCGGATCATCTACCACCCAACTTCGGTGGCGTACATGGAAGAACATGGTCTGACGGTGGGACTGAGAAAAGACTCGAACGATAAATGGGTCAAGGACTTTTATCGCGTCGTGTTTGATTTCGAGCGGCGGACGGACTGGGTGCAGGCTTTACCGGAGATCAAGCAGAGACTGGAGAAGAGTGAGCGGGAGGTATTGATGGATTTCCACTTGGGGTTGATGGAGGGGCAAAAAGGCAAGGATACGGTGCCGAAGCGGATACTGGGGAAATGGAGCTTTGTAAGTTCATCTATTGGCAGGACTGACGGTAGGCATATGATGGTTGCGTCCTCGAAGCAGTCAATCTCGCTCTCAACCCCTTTGACGAACACCATATCGACCGTGACCTCTCGCGGACCGGTCTGAACCTCACCGTCATCTCCCCGGGTACCGGTCATTTCGCGGTCGACAAGAATCTGCTCCGACTCACAACGGAACGAATGGTCGACCATGGCATCAGCCTGGACTTGGTGTGTCTTACCAAGATGCCCCTGCATAGCGTCCCGCTCTTCAGCTATGTCAGCAAAAGGCCGGTGGCAAAGGAGGGCAAGGTCAAGGCGGGGACGGCGACTCCGGATTTGCTCTACTTTGACGCGCATCTGTCGAGCGCGACGGATGTAGAGCTGGCAGACTGTTACTGTGAGTAAAAGTATGTACAGAGCTAATGGCAGCTATACCTAAATGGGTCAATGCGTCCTTCTACTCGCGAACGGCCGACAAGCCATTCCGGGATGACCGCTTCATCCCCCGCTGCAAAATGTACGAAATCCAGATGCTCGGTATCCTCGATCACAACCTCACGACCGTCACTATCCCCCTCCTCGACGTCGAGGATACCACGCGGCAGATGAAGGCGATGACGGCGGACGAGCGCAAGCGGCTCCGGGAAGACTTTGACTCGGCGACTTTTGGGGGCGCGAAGCGGGAGGATCCACCAGCGGCTAGGCTGTCCCCGCCCACAATCGTGGAGGGGAGCAGGCCGTCCAGCTTTGTGGCGAGCTACCAGTCGGCTCGGCTCGTCGCGCTCATGCAGCAAGATACGGCGGATAGGGAGGCGGCATCGAAGTCGATCAGGGAGGATCTGCCGGTCAAGCCGGTGGCGCACTCGCCGACGACATTGACGATCGGTTGGTCCCCTGCCAAATTGCCCAAACAGCTCGAGGAAGAACCGCTCGATCTCCACCGAACGGAAATACGGGGTACCTCGCCCGCTCCGTCATCATTGTCGATGCTTACCAAGCAATCGACCTTGAGATCCGCCTCGCCTTCGCACTCCACTACCGAAGCCCAGCCGGAGCTAGGCCAAGCGGACCACGGATCGGGTCAGTCCACGCCCAGAGTGACGCCGGGGAAACGGCTACGGAATCAGCCTAGTCGGGGGTCTTTTGCGTCCCGCTTCGGCCCCAATTGGCTCTTTGGCGCGTTCGGCGGACGGTCACAGCCGTCCTTTCCTGCCGCGGCGGCGGAGACGGTCGGTCGGCAGGACGTGTCCATCACGACCAACGAGGGCGGGAGCCATCCACCTTCACCTGTCGTTCCTGCCAAGACGGCACCTCGGCCCCGACCCATGGCTGTGCCCGGCGCGGTGGAGGTCCAGCCTCCCACCCCCTCTCCCCATCGCGAGAAGTACACCACCTCTACCGCACACACTACCCCCTCCAAAGCCACCCAACCTGTTCCTATCGCCTCACGCCGTCCTCTTCCCGGAACAGAAGAGGAACTCTCCAAATCCCTCCGCAATTCCGTCAAATTCCAGCAGTCCTCCCGGTCGCCCGCGGACTCGTGGGGCCGATCCGCCGACCTCGGTCGCGCAAGTCGACACGTCACCGTCAACCCGTGCAACCCTCGCGAGAACTTTGACCCGGCCATCCTGGAGGGGAGGCGATGGCAGCATATCCGCCCAATCAACATGTCCGACTCGGCCAATTCACACTTGATGAAATGGACGAGTCTGTGTGCGCCGGCGTGTCTGCCGTTGACTACGGACTATCTACCCACCTCGAGGGAGATTTCAGAATTCTACGAGGTCAACTCGTACGACATCGCCTGCTTTTCGGATCAGGTGTCGTTCTTGATTAGGCCGGACGTGGCGTCGGGGAACCTGGCTCTGGCGGTCATGAGGGAGATGGCGTCTCAGCGATTGACCCGTGAGTCCTCGCTTCGACGGAGCTGATTCAGAAAACTTCCAATACATTGTCCTCCCGCACGATACCGAACAACGGACGGCCGAACTCGCGCGCGTCGCACATCGCAAGATCCTCGCATCGGGTGAATCTATGGCGGACGACCTGCGCATCGGGGGCGCGTCCGAAGCGCTCCGTGATGCCGATAGCGTCATCTACTTGTTGCTGAGCCACCACATCCACCGGCTTAGTTGCGATACGCACAAACAGAGCGTGACGGTGCAGAAGTTTGTGCGAAGGTTAAAGTACGCGACGGAGGCGGTCAAATATCAGGCGCTGGTGTGGCCCGCGCAGATGAGGGGGTTTGGGCTGGTAGATGCCGAGTTCAAGTATCCTGTGAGTTGCAGCAAGAGGTTGGGCTGATGTCAGAATATCGAAAGCAAGCTTGGTTTCAATTATTTGGACCGCTTGATCAACGGAGATGAGGCCGATTTGAACGATAAAGTCAAGTACTGGCGGACGCGGTATATCCTCATTCCGTCCGGCAAGGATCCGCTTCACAATATCGCCTCGGTCATGCCCAAAGGCGACACCTTTGAATGGTACGAAGTCCTCATGGAGGGAGCGTACCGTGTCGTCGACGTCTTCAACAAGCACTGCCTCAAGCGCCAAAATTCCACTCATACCGCCGCTTTCCACCTCGGCGGATCGACCCTCCGCGGAAGCAAAGACGACAAGCCGCTCAAGCTCATTCCGACGACGTGGGACCCGTCCGCGTGTGTCTTGGACGAAGGGCTGATGGCGGAGCGGGAGAGGGTGTTTCGGAATGAAGAGGTGTTTGAGCGGGGGAAGCGGATCGAGGGGATGACACTGGCGGGTGTAGGGGAGATGATGACCAAGTTGAAGAATGGCCTGGTCATTAGGGATAGGTGGTGGCATTGTGAGTGTAACGTCAAGGTGGGGCTGATGATAGTCTCGGTTCATGAGGATTCGTTTACCGGCGAGCAGTTTTGCGAGTGGTTACTCAAGACGTTTGAGGATGTCAAGACGATCGATCAGGCTGCCGATTGGGCAAGATCTCTTTTTGATAAGGGTCTCATCGGTGAGTTGATGATTGGTCGTAGCTGACTCTAGAACACGTGACTGGCGCACATGCCTTTTACAATTATGGTCACTTCTACTACCGCCTCCGACCTGGGTACGACAAGAATGCCAAAAACCGGCGGACGCTACAGTGGTTCAACGAATCCTCGTCCGCCAATCCGGCGCCGCAAGACCCTCGGGACGTGATTGACCGTCATGCGAAGCTGTCCACCTCCCCTTACTCGAGCTCGCACGCCGACCAGGCGCCCATCGCGCAGCTCGCAGCTGGGAACCGCAAGAAGCGCAAGATCCGGATGAGCCAGAGCGTCGTCATTGACCTGGATCCCAATAAGCGCTCGGACCGCGCCGAAGTGGCCATACTGCATGCGGATATCATTCATAATGCCCGGAATGCGTAAGTCTCAGCACAGGCGTAGCTGATGACAGATTGCACTTTGAGCTGAATTGGCTGGGCGTCACTGCTGGGCTTTTGGACGAGCTGCGGTCGAAATGCGCCGCTCAGGCCGAGAGGTTCGGATTGCGGTTCATCGAGGCGCCCGTCGAGCAAATCAAGGACATTTCTTCCCGGTGCGCATACCGTGCCCCCATCCCTATCCTCCTCGCACTCGAACCTCCCTTCATCCCCGACCTCGCGGCCCGTCTGCGCCAGACCTCGCCCGACCAATCCACCGGCAACTTTACCAACTGGTTCGAGTACCGCATCCTGACTGAGAAATTCGGGTTCGTGCTCGACGTGGAAGGCAGGGATCGATACCCCGATACCGTCGAGGTGGAGTATCTGTACCGGACCGACTCGTCCTCGGCGGGTCTGGGCGGGTTCGACTACTCGCAATTCTGCCACAAGTCGGGATTGGCGCTCGTGCAGTGTATAGGCGGCAAAGAGGGGTTTTTATGGGCGGACAATAGACCGTTTATATCCAGTCATGGGAGAGGGACAGGGCGAGGCGGCGGGAGTGGTGGTGGGAGTGGAGAGAATTACCCCATGGCGCCTGTGCCGAGGTTGGGGAGGGCGGAGGAGGCGAAATTGCTCAAAGAGGAGATGGAGCGGTTTTGTGCGGATGAAGAGGGGCTGAGGAGATTCTATGAGGAAGTGACGCCAAAGGAGTTGGTCAAGGAGGATGAGGTGGAAGAGAAGGGGGGGTTGGATATTCCGGGGAGGGAGAAGGAGGGGTAGAAGATCTATGAGAGGCGAATCTTGGGAATCATCTAAGAGAAGTTGTATAGCTAGATCATACAGTATACTGGTACATTGTCTTTCGCTACCTACATTGTCTTTCGGTACCTGCACTGTATTTAGCTCCTTGATCGGGATCTTCGCCTCTCTGCTGGTCGGCGTGCGATGGGACTGCGCGACCTGCGCGCGTCGGGGTTACTGCTGCTCCGCCTTCTCCGTCTCTCTGGGCTGGGTGAGCGCTGCCTGGGAGCATCTTTCGTCCGCGAAGGTGGTGGGGAAGACGAGTATCGCTTCCTCACGCGCCGAGGAGGTGAGCGGGACCGAGAGGAAGAGCTCGAATCAGACGAGTCAGACCTTGAATCAGAGTCCGAGTCGGACGAGGGTGATGGGCTGAGCTGTCAGCCTCTGCCCTACCTGCGTCATGTGTGGCACTCACCTCCTCTTCCTGCTCTTCTTACTCTTCTTGACCTCCTTCCCCTTCCCCTTCTTCCCCTTCTTATCCTCCACGCCTAACCGCCGCCTCGCCTCCTCCTTTGCCCTCAATATCTCATCCGCCAGCCCCACGCCCGCCGGCCCCTTCTTGAACTCATCAGGGACCTCCACGCTCGGCTGATCTCTATCTTTGCCTCGTCCAAACATGCCCCCGCCGCCCCCGGACCGGACGATATCGCTTGCGTCCGCGAGCTGTTTTGTGCGCGAGGGGCGGGCGACGTAGGTCGCTGCGGCTGCTTTACAGTTGTAGGAGAAGTGGCCGAATTGGAGGCATTTCTGAGGATCAGCGGGGATCAGAGGGGACAAGGAGATGCTGGAGGGAGGGCTGGGAACTAAGGTTCGGTCGCTGGCGGGGTTGTCGCCACGAAGAACACGGAGAGGGAAGTAGGTGAGACTTACCTGACAGCGTGTATTAGGGCCTGCCCTTGAGGACTGCAGCTGTGGTGGGATGCGGGTGTACATGGCTGATTATGGATGTCAGAGTGAGGTAGAGAGGAGTCGCGCAAGATGTAGGTTGTCCATTAGGAAATAGGTTTATGGGATAGCCGAGCAATTCCGATTACATACTGTAGCTAATGACTATCAGGAATCTCATTAGCGGAGGCAAAATAGAACACCTAATTTGTATTAGCTGTTCCTTGGCGAAGTTTGTGCCGTAATATTTACCAATTCTAGATCTGGCGAGGTTATGATCTGAAGCGGCAACAGCACACAGCACACAGCTATCACCTGCTCTCTCTCCATCTCTCTCTTCACCACCGACCCACCTACTTCACTCATACACTAGCATCTGACACACCGGTATCCCACGGCTCAGACGAAACATCCTATCGCTACCGAGCCATTCTCTCCCAAAGGAGCGCTCCCTTGACCTATTTTTCAAACGCGCCACTTCCAACCACACTCTACTCGACCCCACAAAGCATCGCCCAACAGGTATGACAAGCCCATAGCATCCATCCCCACTTGCCTTTGCAGAGTGCTCGTTCGGCATCATGAACCCGCCACCACCCACCGCGGCGCTGTTCGGATCCACCTCCCACTCGACCCCCTCTGCCACCTCATCTACCATTGACAGCGCGTCACCCAATCCCGGCCCTCCCAACGCTCACCCACACTACGCGCTCATGTTTGATCCCTCCCATCCACTCCCGTCCAGCTTCCTCCCATCGTACTTCCTCGGTCAGCGGAACGGAGATTTTCGTACTGGCGATACGGGAGATGCCATCTTTGGTCTCTCGGCCAATGCTCTGTCGGGTGCGCCTCAGCCAAACAGGACAGCCAGGAATCAATTGGAAGACATGGCGCTCCCACCTGTCCCTCCTCGCGCAGCGGTACCCAGCTTCTTCTCTCCCCCCATCCCCGGCGCATCGCTCCCTGGACCCAAACCATGGCTCCCGCAAGACAGGGGACCATGGCAAGAACCATCCATCCAGGATGTACTGGATGACTGGGCGGGCGTACTGGACAGCGGTGGTGGCTCGCGGGGACAGGTCCCACAGCCTGAAGGCTCCAACCACGCCATGTCCGTCCCACCAGGAACGGAATCGCCCTTCTCGGTCCCGCAACCCCTTCAGCGGAATCCCCACTCTGGTGTCCCAGCCTCCCCGGTAGGCGATTATGACTATCCCAAGTCCGCTACCTACCCTGGAAATCTCTACGCCGACCTCGTAGCAGATGGATCAGGCTGGACGGGTGGACGCGAATTGAGCGGAGACGCATGTGGACAGGTGAGTTTGGCTTGTGACACAGCTGATGATAGGCATTACCCATATACGAACACCTCCTCTCTTCCCTCCCTCACCTCCGACCCGTCCGGTCAGGCGGGGATGCATCCGCCCCATCCGGCCTTCAGCCGCTTATTGACCTCGCCTCGGAAGGTCTCTCACTCTTATCTGCCCAACAAGGCCTGACGCAGCCGTACATTCCCATCGAAATGCCACCCGCACCTCCCAGCATCCCGGCCCCGCAAGGATCAGGCGGGCCACAGGCGTCTAAAAGGTCCGGAGGGAAAGATAAGGGGACGACCAAGTGTCTCGGGTGCGGCGCCACCGAGACGCCCGAGTGGAGACGGGGGCCAATGGGGCCAAGAACGCTGTGTAATGCTTGTGTAAGTTTTTGGATCTGACGGAGGTGCGAAGCTGATGAGATAGGGACTGGTACACATGAAGCTGCAGCGGAAGAGGAAGAAGCAGGAGGAAAAGGCGGCGGCGGCCAAGGGGGACGAGGATGGTGTGGGCGGGATGGTAGAGGGCAAGACGAAGAGGGCGAGAACGGATGAAGAGGATTGAGGCTCGGGCTGTGGTCTTGGATCTTGGGTCTTGGGTCTTGAGTCTTGAGGGTCGGTGAGCTACGAGTGGACTTTGGGACACACACGTATCTCGACGGTCGGGTATGTAGTATCATTGGTTGTAGATAATAGATTACCGCGATGTCTCTGCTAATGGGTCATCGGGGTGCGAAAGGGGTCTCACTTCTGACATACAGGTACAACTGCCTCGATTCAAGCTCACACCCTGTACTGACCACTGTCGATCTCCCCCGTCGGCCCTAGTCCGAGTCCCCAGTCAGGTCGATGACATCCCCAGCTACCGCTCGCTTCTTCGGCCCAGGAATCTCCACCACGCTCCCCGACGCCCTCGCCCTCTGCCGCTTCTCCACCACTTCCGATGGGTCCCTCTCATCCCTCCTCCTTCGCTTGAGCTTGGCGAAGTCTGCTTGTCGCTGGGGCTCCTCCTCCTCCCGTTTCTTTTCTTCCGCGGCCTGCCGCTCCGCCCGTTCTTTAAGCTGCCGCTGTCGGTGCCGCTCGCGGCGGTGCTCCTCGTGCTCGAGTTCGCGCTGAGTGGGAATATGCGGTGGCGTCCACATTGGGATGATACGGCTCGGTGGCTGATCCCACCTTGACTTCCGAACGGATGGTTTGGGGTCGGCAGGCGAAGGGTGAGCGGGAGCGGCGTGGGAGCTGAGCTGATCCGGGCGTTCATCGCGAGTCTCCGAATCCCGACGATATTGCTTTCTGCCGCCTCGGTGTGTGTACAAGCGCGTTTCGAGTGGCTGACGAGCCTGATCGCGCTCGCCCTTCGTCTGACCCATCACATGCGTCTCGGGTGTGGAGCAGCGAGCATCCTCTGGAGGTCGGTAAGACCTGCTGCTTCCTTTGTGCTTGCTGATCCGCGGAGCATCCCGCCACTGATCCTCCTCCGGCTGGTCGAGCGGGCCTGGAGACTGCGGTGGCTGGTCTACCGCCATCGTGTTCGGGAGATCGTGATCGAGGACATCGGATCCGCGGACGGGCGAGTGGGATATCGGCTTGGGAGGCAAGGAGGGGTGATGAATCCCGCGACTCGGCAGAGTTTCCGCCCGCCATTTCTTGACCTTCTGTACCGGATCGGCCGTCCCGTCTGGTAGTGGGATCGTAGGGATTGGAGTAACGCCCATAGCTCTTGCTTCGTTCGAGGTAGGCATTACTGGACGCATGGGAAGCGATGGTGGAGGGCTCGCCCGATCCGTGCCCGTTCGTTGACGGCGAACAGGGAACAGACCACTGAGCGTGGCCTCGCCCTTCCGCTGAGGTTCGGTGGGTAGAGGCGCGACCTCTTGATGCTTGTCCTGACGACCTGGCTGGTGGGTGTCTGCGGAGCCGGACGGGACAGGTGCGGACTGCTCAAGGGCCTTGCGCTTCGGCTCGCGCTCCGCCAACTTCGATTCCGACCCGCTACCGCCGACCCTCCTCACTGACGACTCTTGCTCAACCTCGTCGAGCTGCCTCTTCTTCCGCTGCTTCTCCTGGTGTATAGGCCCAGGACCCAGCGGCGGCGAAGTGGACGGAATGTAAAATCGCATCTCGTCCGTTGTGCCAGACCGCCTCCCTTTTGCTCTTGCTTTGACCTGCGGGACTATCGGCACCGGCGCTGACATCTGGGTGAGCGGGATACGGGGCGGGGGAGGCGTGATGGAGAGTCTGTCGCGTCGATGGTCGACCCGAGTAGAGAAGAGGAGGGTGCCTGATGCCGACGGTGGGGTGTCGACGTCGCCGCGATCTAGCGCATCTTCGACGAGCGCCGGGTCCGACTTGAGGATGGGCTCTGCCGCCGCCGGCTTGGTGGTATCGGCGATTGGTAAGGGGATCTGAGAGGATGCCGGGGGTCCCTCCGCCGGATCGATCGCTTGGCTGGCAATGATATCGAGCAGCTCTACTAGAGCGATGCCGTCCATGGGATCCTCTGATTCCGGCTCGATATCGACTCCGGCTTGCGAGTGAACGGTCACGGGGACAACGAGCTCGGCGGCGTATTCGACGAGGGTATCGATAGGTAACGGAGGTACTTCTTGGAGTGGGGCAGGGTTTACAGTTAGCGCTGCTTGGGAAGGTGGCTCGAGTTGCAGCAGCGGGACGGTGTCCGGTTCGGTGACGATGGGGTTGACAACAGTCTCGGATGGTACCGCCGGCCGGACGTGAGGGGTTGTGACCGATGTGAGCTCATCAGCGGGTGAGGGAGGCAGTGTCGCCGAGGCTGGGGCATACTGGAGGAGTGGAGTATGGGCCGGTACATCCTCTCCCTTCATCTCGAGCCCCAGAGGCACCGCCGCCACTTGCTCCGACTCTGGAACAGCCACAGCCAGAGGGATACTATCCCCCGCCTGTGTGTCCGCCCGACCGCCCTGCTCTGGCTGGCTCGGGGTCGTACTGTCGAGCTTCTTGTCTGTTGCAAGATGATATACGTCGATGAGCTGGACTATACCGGCCGGCGGCGCCACCAACGTCTTGGGTTTGGGTACAGGACGGCTGACCGACCGCTGTGTCGATCGGATTTGGATAGGCTGTGGAGTCTTCTTGCTCGACGGGGTTGATGCGGGCGGGGGAGCGAGCTTTGGGGTGGGAGGAAGGGCAGGTGGTGGGACAGGTGCAGACAGCTATGGTATGAGCTTCTGGCGTGGACAGCGATCGATACGTTGGCGATAGCTCACAAGGATGGTATATGTTCGCCAGGGAGTAGTCTCCCTCTCGAGGGGTACGAAGACCTCCTTGGGAGTCGCACGGTCTGGTCGAGAGGGCTTGGAAGAGCCGAGACTGATAGGCGGCTTTTCGTGGAAGTCAGGGCTAGACATCAGCTAAGCGATTCAAAGATTACGACGGGTACGCCAGCTTACAGCTTGCCGTTGTAGAAGTCCATATCCTTTCGTGTCAGCTGACTTCACACCGACACGTTGTCAGCGGTCGAAGCAGATGGGCTCACAGCTCCTGCCGATGGGACCGCTTGCAGGTTCCCTCTGAACACCTCAAGGACTAGCTTCTGCCGCTTCTCCAGCTGAGGGAATCTCGCGTCGAGCTTGCCCTGTCGAGTCAGCTACCTCAGTTCCTGCTGACCTCAGTCTGGACCTTCAAGCTTACATCGTCCGACCCATTTCCGTCCTCTTCATCCACCTCAGGCTCAGCGGGGATCTCCTCTAGACTGACCACCTTCTCCATATCAACCGAGCGCATGACAACCCCTCGGAACTTGAGCTCGTCCATGGACGGACGCAGCATCAGCGCATCTTGACCGCCAAAGATCTGGCGCCGGACTCGAAGCTGAATATGCTCCTAGCTGGTCAGTGGCGTTAAGGAGGTGATGGAGGAGGGGACATACAGGCTCAACATCGGCGTGTTGAGGGAGGCTGAGGAGGGCGCTATCGGGGAAGAGGTGGAATGTAGGATGAGTGGCGGGAGCGGTGCGGTCCCTGATGATGGCTGTGAGGTCAGCTTATCTGACCATAGTTATATATGTTCAAACTAGCTGACGCCCAGCTCGAAGTCGAACAAGACTTACGCGTTGATTTCCGCTGGTATAGCAGCTCGACCTGTGTGTCAGCTGAGGCGGGACGCTTCTGCTCCCGAGAAGGCTTCATCGCGACCTGAAACTCACCTCCAGGTCCATCGCATCAGACACGCCCGACATGGCTGACCCTGGTGTTCAGTATCGCGAAAGGGAAGCGACTGATCTGGATGAGGAGGTGTAGGTCAAAAGGCAAACGGGGACGTAAGGCGAAATGTGACCAGGGATTAGTCGGAACAGGTGGGCCGCTCGGACCCTCGAGGTCAGTGCGCCAGCGCTTCTTCAGCCGATCTGCCGAGCCTTAAAGCACGGACCGGGTGTCCGTGAGCGGGTCGACGGTAGGGTGTAGGACCTGTCCACGTTCGGCCTGGGGCCCACCTGTACATCTGCTTGAGCTCGGACGCCTGATCGTCCGTGGTGTGGCTGCAGAAGCCCACAAGCCGAGAGCCACATATCCGTCATCCATCAACTGCCTCAGTCAGTAAGATATACAGAGCGTGGATGATCGTTGGACGAGTCATAACGCCGCAAAACCCCGTGCTGGAGGCCGATCCCCTCATCATCCACGCGCTGTATATCATACCCAATTTGCGCTGAAATTTGGGTGCATGAATGACCATGCACACAGACATCAGCAGAATCTGCAACGCGATGTCCCAGGCTTGGTCTTAGGTCGTATGACCCAATTCGATGATCAGACGGGTTTAGCGAAGTCTCAGTACCGAGGGTCAAGAAGAGTGTTTTGAGGTGCCCTCGGCCAGCCGGGCTGGACTTGCCTGACCTAAGTATGCGGTACAGGGCTACAATAGTCACGTTTCCTGACACCCACATGAGTATACCGACAGATGAAGGCCGTAAGTGAAAGGGGAGAGGAGAAAATTTAGTCCAAGCGGAGGCCTTTCCCCTTTTTCGCCAATATTTCCCGTATAAGTGGGTTAGCGCATCTCCCACTGATCCGATCGGTCCCAAATTTCGGCCAGCGATTCCCCTACGCCTCTCGCATCGCGCCGTACCCCTCAGTATCGAAGACTACCCTTGCATCATGTCTCATTTCCCCTTAAAACCATATCTCGCCTCCTAGCTCGAATTTCCACCTTCTCTCGACGGATTTGAAGTCCCAGAACGCCCCGGAGGCGCCTGGGACGCTCAGTACTTCAGAATAATGTACAAGGCATGAATGATACCGGGGATAAAGCCGAGGACGGCGGGATCAGCTCGGGTCCATGTCGAGTAGCTCTGAGTCAAAGAAGGAAGGGAAATGAACGAGAAATGGGCGAGGAATGTGATTTCGGAGTTCGCCGATGCAGCTTTTGAGGGCCGACAATCACGATGATAGGGAGGTGATGGTAGAAGAGGCAGGGAGCGAATGTGGTGAGACAGTATGAATGAGAAGGAGATATAGGTTGGAACTCACTGGTAAGAAGGATGTTGACTGATGGGTCAGCATAGCTCCCTTTCGCCAGACTCAAAGCCATTTGTACTCACTGAGGAAGTCGGCGTTGCAACCACGCTCAAGGAAGACACCGAGAGGTGGGAGGATGATCGCGAGGACGATCTTGATGATGTCGGAGCAGGCTGGGGGTCAGCTATTGAGGAACGTGGGGTCTGTGCGTTTTGGACCAGAGTTTGCCGCTGGATCTCTGGCAGGGCGCTACAGGAGATGAGGACGTACTGAAAGGCATCTTGTCTGTGATATGGAGGTGTAGTAGGGGTAGCTGATATAGATTTGGATGATTGAAGAACAAACAAGAGACAGAATGAGGAATCCGGAAGGGGGAGGATTGAGTGGCGAAACACGTTCAGGAACGGCGACGGGGTTGCACAGCTCCGGTGACGTCATGAACAACTCTGTTGTCCTTTCGCAGCCTCCGTTGTCAACTTGTCAAGCTCGAAGCGATGCATTGCCTAGGCGCCAAGATGAGGAGCGCGCATCGTGTGCTCAGCGCTCAGCGCTCGGCGATGCCACTGCTTCGCAAGATCGTCAACTTCTAGACGAGCCCGAACAGAGCTCGAAAGGGGTCTTGCGGTGGACATCCTCGCTCGGCGTTCGCCGCCGGACGTTGCGTGATGGCATGAGGCTGAGATAGCTGCTGACATGCATGTGTTCGATGACAGACGAGTGGGATGGCTGCTCGGTCTGTGATGCTCTCAGTAGGCTCGAACTCTGTCGAGGCATCCCAGAAGCTTGGTCTCCAAGCAGCAAGCGTGAAGGCCCAATATTGCTCTGCGCGGAATGCAGGCACGATCCGAGACAACCCGGCTCTGAGACTTTCGTTCTACATGGAATATGTCTCGCCGTCAGTTCCCTAATCCGCGCCTGTCACTCCGCCTCTGCTCGTCGAGTTGCACTTCTGCCTGCGCTGTCCAGTGTCTGTGGCACAATATAATGACAGTGTGGCAGTTGCCTGCTTGGCGCCACATGACGGCTCATGACGGCCTTCCTCTTTTGGTTCCGCGGCTTCCTTTTTGATTTTCCCCGCTTTGCACTGATCGCCCTGAGCCGAGCACGCCGGGAAAAGCAGTCGCGCTCATATCAACCAACTTCTATCTACCATCCATTGATCCTAGTCATCTCTTACAGTCTCACTCTCTCAAGCCTCATCACATCATCAATACCTCCGGCAGCGGGAGACAAAGGACCAGAACAAGCAGCGACAAGGACAGCAAAGGTGAAACCAACCCGCTTTCAGAGCACTCCAAATCATCCTCTCAAGAGGCCGAACAGGGGCACATCTCGACCGGGTTGCGCTCCGCTCCATCCTCCTCGCTCTTTGCTGTTCCCCCCATCTTTCCCAGTTGCTCATTTCCCACCTCTTCTCTCATCTCTGCATCTAGCGCGGTGGTCAGGGCGTCAGCGTGATCTTCGCTATAGGTCCGTATCAGAAGTGTTGCGTCTCGCGGTCGTTGTCGGTGAGTAGCTGGACTGTATGATCTGCGTTGGATCTGCGCGAGCGGTGCTAGCGATGGCGACGAGGGGAACGTCCGCTGATCCTACAGCTCTCCGTCTTCCTCTGGATCTGCCCACATAGCATCACCATCATCACCCAACCCATATCTCGCACCATCCTTTGCACATCACTCAACTACAATCACGGTCCTTACATACCACGCTCTTTTATCACCAACAATACCTACCCCGGATCGACACCCCGCTGTTGTCTCACTCAGCCCCGTCTGCATCAAAATCCATCACTCCAGCCGACACTGCCGGTCTTTGCAGCTCACACGAGCGCTCTGTCGATCTTGTCTCACATCTCGGCACTATAGCGCTGGTCTGGATCCTACCTCGCGAAGGGTGTACAAGAATAAGGGTTATCTCTTGTAGGTTTACACCCATCCGTCCATCATCGTCTCTCCATATCCACTCTCGGCTTGTTTCATCTCCGCTCCGCTGTTGGGCACTAGCTCGGGATGGGCGCAATAGCTAATCTCCCGTTCAGAATCATCTGCCTGTTGTCCGCAAATCAACCCCGCCTATCCCCGCCGCCAAAACGCCATCATGAGCTTTTCATCCTCCCCCATCGCCGACTCATTTCCCTCGACCCGGTACTCGTCCCCAAACCCATCGCCAACCACCGAGTCGGGGGACCTCCCTATTGAGGTGGACCAATCGTTCAACTCGTCCATGTCAATATCGGAGTCGCCCTACTTTTCGCCTACGCCCAACCACGCAAAGTATCAGGCGTCTCCATTATCCGACACTCTTTCTCCGCCCCCGGCCAACCTCTTCGGAGCTAGAGTCAAGCGTCCAGATCCCGTCCCGCTCCAACGCGGATCGGCAGACCTGGGCGTCGGCCTGGACATGAAGCGGGGGTTCGGGCGGGAATTGAGTGGAAATGCGGTCCAGGCAAGAGGGAAGGGCATGATGCTGCCCCCGGCGGTACCAGACAAGACGAAGCGAGGGGGTCTGCCTATGCAGTGGAGCAGTAGTAACGAGGAGAACGGGGCGAAGCTATTTCAGCCGCACATGCCGAGGAGAGAAGTGAGTCTTACTTTAGACATAGCTGACGGTAGACGGAACCATGGCCATCACCCAAATCCAGCACGTCCAGTAGGAATGGGATGGAAATCGACTCGCCTGCCAACTCTGCTCGCATGGACGGATCAGTGATCGGCGACTCGCCCGGCTTCGGCTCACTCTTCCACGACTCGCCAATAGCTCCCCCTCAACAAAGCAAGCGTCGACCTCTCATCACGGAATCTCCCGCATCGCCGTCCGGCTCCCCGTCGGCGAAGCGTACCTCGCTCGGCTCGCGCGGCATGGAAAAGACTGTCTCGTCTGGACCCATGCTCTTTGGCAGTACAGCGATCCGGGGCAATACTCTCGGCACCCGCCGTCCGCAGCCATACAAGCGGCCTATGCTCGCTCCGGTCAATACTGCCGACACTCGGATGCAGTCTTTCGGCTCGGCGGATGCGGTGCTCTACCCCTCCCTTCCGGCCGGTTCGGCCCAGCTCGCGCCCTTTGCTCGAGCAATGGCTGCACCGATGCGTCGTGCCTATTCCGTCTGCGACCAACCCAATGTGCCCGATATCTCGGAAGACGAGTCGGAGTACGAAGCCTCCCCGTCCAATCCGGGTGGACTGGGTCGGCCGGGCGGAGCGCGCCAAAAGCTGGGCGGGTCGAGATTGGCCACGGGTGTCGATGGCTCGCCGGGCGTCAAGCCTATGCGGAGCAGCATAGCCGTGCCGATGGTAGCTGCGGACGGGGCGAGTCCGATGCGGAAGGGCAAGTGGGCCAGCCCGTACGCGGGCATGCCAGGGTTTGGGGATAACGAAATGGACGGCAAGATCTTGCCGTGTCACAAGGTCAAGGAAGATGGGCTGGTACGGATCACACCTGATACTGTAAGTCGTCTTTTGGTGCGTTGGACGAAGCTGATAAACAGCTCGACAGCCTTATTTCCGGCCAGTACACCGACAAGATCAAGCGGTATCACATTATCGACTGTCGGTTCGACTATGAATACGCCGGCGGACATATCGCCGGCGCTATCAACGTCAAGTCGATGGACGCGCTGGATGAGTTGTTGCTGCAGGAGGCTACGGGGGTGTATCAGGATGGGATGGATCTGCCTGTGCCGAGCAGGAGTGGGGAGTTGGAGGATGGGGAACAGGTGGTGCTGGTGTTTCATTGCGAGTTCTCGGCCAAGCGGGCGCCTACTTTGTGAGCTTAGACGTGGCGAACGTCTCGCGGGCAAAGCTGACTGAATAGTGCGAAACATTTACGGTCAAGGGATCGAACGGTCAACTCTGCTCTTTACCCCAAGATCTTCTACCCCGAGATTTACATCTTGGAAGGGGGGTATTGCGGATTCTACCAGCAACAACCTGTACGCTATCTCGCACAAGCGAAAGATCCGCGCTGACAGTCAGAACCACTGCGATCCACAAGGCTATATCCCTATGGACGATCCCCGACACTTTCAACGGCGGGATTCCGACCTGCACGACTTTCGCAAATTCGCACGTACCCGCTCCTTTACCTACGGCGAGACACAACCCGTCGCGCCTTCGCGAAGCGCACTTCCGTGCCCTCCCCTCGCCTTTGCCGCGGCCTCGGCGGCTCAGGGTCGGCGTAGTGGCCCCACTATTGACGAGGACGACGAGCACGACTCGAGCCCGTCCGGCCCGTCGGGGGATAGCGGGATGGAGGCGAGTCCATGTCCCCGTGTGTGCTCCATGGGGACCGCACCTATCTTTGGGAGCGCCAAGACGAGGACTCTAGGGCGGATGGGGATGGGACGGACGGCATCGTACGCCGGGACAACATTCGGTCGATAACCACCGGACACCATCGTTACCCCTCCCCGCTTTGACTCGCCTCGCCTCGCCCGACCCCACACCCAGCCTCAGACCTGATCGACACTGTGTAGCCCATATCTTCTTTTTTCCTACTTTGCCTGTTATACATGTTGACACTTCCTCTTTTCCTTTCTTCCCGAGACTAGTCTCCTGCATTTCTCTCCTTTCTTGGTGGCGCCCCATCTTGGACAATCTCTTGCCCTCTTTTACTGCACGTTGGCCCTGCCGCTGCCAATCTCTTTTCTTTGTCTTGCTATTATATATTGCTCTCTTGGTTTGCTAGAAATAGCTGTAGCTCATGTATCCCTACGTGTCCGAATGTGGATGCAGCTGTTGACATCTATGTTCAGCTATGGCCGAAGCCCGTCCACGGGTAGCCTCACGCCGCGCAGGGGCCCCGATCCGACCAACCCTCCTTGTCAGGTCATCAGGCGGTCGTATAACTTCTTACTCTCCTAGCAGATGCTGAGACGCTCAGCCTAGATTGTACAAAAGGGGGATCCTTCAGCACCTTATTCAGCACATCCCTGCTACATACCCCCTATACCCCCGACCCTCTGCGCTAGATGCGCTCTGCAACAAAGTGAACGCACGGATCAGATGGAGCTTGGAGCTTGGAGCCCCGCATTATTGATTTTCGAAAAGTTGAACCAGCTGAAGATCTTCTCCACTCTTGATCCATACCTTACTCCTCCTTATACTCAAAGAGCAATGACGTCCAACGTTCTCCCGCTCTTTTGGAACCTCGCCTCGTCCTCCAAGGACACCCGGCTCCAGGCTTCGGCCGACCTCGTGGCGAACCTCGAGTCGTTCCAGCGGGATTTCGTCGCTGGCCGAGGAGACGTCGGCTCGGATGGCGAAGACGATGAGGATGTAGACATGGCGAATGGCGGTGACGAAGAGGATGAGGAGGAGGCCGACGATGATGCCGAGTCAGGCGTAGAAGTGGATGGAAGCGACGATGAGATGGACGGGGATGTTGACGAGGATGCGGCGGTCTTAGATGCTACTTTGGCCAAGGACAATGCGGAGGACGTGGCGTATACCGTCAAGCGGCTAGTCAGGGGTCTGGCGAGCTCGAGGGAGAGCAGTAGACTGGGGTTTGCGGTGGCCTTGACTGAGGTGAGTTGTCGCCCCGGCTATGCCCTTCTTGAGCTGACGCGTAGCTCTTGTCCCGGATACAAAGCGTCTCGGCTTCGCAAGTCTTCTCCCTCATCCTCCGGAACTCGCAGACCAACAAGGGCATGAAGGGGACGGATGAGCGGGACGGACTCTTCGCTCGTCTTTTCGGTCTTCTGGCTCTGATCGAATCCGGATGCCTGTTTGCTTCGCTGCAACAGAACAAGTCGGCCAAGGAGGGCGCAGAGGTCGTAGGGCGTGTCATGGCCTGCCTGGTTGAGCTAGGCGGAAAGAAGGGCTGGCTGAGAGAAAGTGCGTGGTGGGGTGTTCTCAAAGCACTGGAGGGGGCTATTGCGCTGCCAGAGGGGGAGGGTCGGAAGATGGCCCTGGAAAAGGTGTACGAAGTGGTCAGGGCGGAGAATGTCTTCAGCCAGGAGAAGCTCGCGCTGGTTTTGCTGCTGGAGAAGGAGGGCCTTGTGAGCTCGCCATCTTCGGAAATCGTTGGGACTGAGCTGACGAGATAGGCCGCGGACGCAAAGAGCATATCAAGCGCTGCTTTCAAGCACACCCCCGTCCTATCTAGCCAGAATCTTGTTTCTCTGGCCCGTGTACTGAAGGTGAGCTGCCAAAACCCGACCGCCAGAGTGCTAGCTCACGCAGGTAGGGCTCCGATGTCTCTGACGATGATGAAGCTGGCAATGCGGTCTCAAGCGGAAGCTGGAAGCCACAGCTCCACTTTGTCTGGACGTCCCTCCTCGATGCGCTGCTCTCCAACTCCACCTCGTCTCAAGCGAGCTTTCCCGAGTTCTTCCGCGTGGTCGTGGATGGTGCGTCATCACTCTTCCACCTACTGTTGCTGACCCCCAGAATCCTTATTTGCCAACACCTCCTCACCTCAGCGCCGGTACTGGGGTTTCCAGATCTTCATCTCCGCCCTTCCCCGCGTCCCCGCCGAACAAATGCCTCAACTTTTCTCCCCAAACTTCATGCGATGCTGGATCAACAATCTCGCCTCGTCCGACCGATACCTCAACAAGGCGGCCCAGCAGACCGCCAAGGTCGTACAGGAGGTTGTCAAGGCGCACCCGAAAGTCGGAGTCGCGCTCCTTTCGAGACTGGTGGGCAAGAATGGGCGGATGGACTTTGATAAGGCGACCAAGACCAAGACGGTCGAGGGGATCTTGGGCAATCTGGATGCGAAGGGCGTCATGGAGTATGTGCGGTATTTGCAGGGATTGGTCGTGGCCGGCGGGGATGCGTGAGTTGCCGCTTTGATAAGGATTGGCGAAGCTGACAAGTAGTGACGTCAATGGTCTGGACGACCGGAGACGGTGGGCTATCGACCAAATGGTATCGCTTTGCCGAAACTCGTCCGTCCCCAAGGACGACGAATGGGTCACCTCGGTTGTCGACTTTTTGGCGGTGCATGGTTTCTACACAATCAAGAAGGCCAACAAGAAGTCCAATATCTCAGCGGTAAGTCAACCATACCTTGGCGTGGGTTTCGCTGATGATCAGGTACAATCGATCCCCAAGCCGCCCATGCCAGAGCCGACCGCCCAGATTTGCAGGGATCGATTTTTCTCCGCCATCGTCGAACTCACCACCGCCGCCCTGCCTCGTGGTACCGCCGAGACTCCATCGACCCGGCAACAAGGCTGCGATGCTTCCGGCAAGCTCTGGCTCCTCCGTGCCATCGAGGTCTTCGCGACCCTCAGCGGGGACGGCAAGCACCTCCAGCCGGCCATCGAGGCGGACGAGGAGATCCTGCAGGCGAGACATCAGGGTCTCGACACGCTCGAGAAGCTCAAGGGTGTCAAGAAGGGGTCAGAGGAGGTGGTCAGGGGTGTCCAGATTCTGTTGGCGTATACCGTGTTGCAGACGTATGACGACAAGGAGGACATGCTCGAAATGCTTGAGGTAAGCCGGCTTTACCGTCCGCTTGCTTCAGATGATCAGCTGACAAGATAGGATGTCAATACTGCCGCTGAACGCATGTTCAGCCTTGGCCCCTCCCAGCCGTCATCTTCCTCCGCCACCGACCCGGAACCGATCGATATGCTCCTCGACACCCTGATTGCTCTGCTCGACAAGGGGTCTTCGGACCTGAAGAATCTGGCATCTATGGTTGTTGGACTGGTCGCACCGGCTTTCACACGGTCGAGTATCGAACATCTCGTCGCAGTAAGTTGGCATTTATGGTCCGAAACACCAAACTCTAGCTTACGTCATAGCAACTCGAGGCAGCACCGTCTGTCGAAGGTGGTGTCATGGACGCGAACGAGGTCGATCCCGATGATGAGGAGGGTTCCGACGCGGAGGGTGATGATGATGAAGCAGACGACGACGAGAACGAGGACGACGAGGATGAGGAGAGCTCCGCAGATGAGGTGGAGGACGACGACGAGGAACTTCCGCCCGTCGATCCTGCGTTCCGGCGCAAGGTTGCAGCTGCGCTCAAGTCTGCCGGCGTGGGCATAGACGAAGATGCCGAGGAGGAGGACGAGGATGATGCGGATGAGGTGGATTCCGACGTCTGGGATGATGAGCAGATGGACAAGGTGGACGAGCAGCTTGCGGCTGTGTTCAAGGAACGAGCCACCACAGATAAGAAGACGAGCTCGAAGCGTGAGTCCATCCGATTGTCACCAAGAACTGAGCTGATCATCAGGTCTCCTCATGGAGTCGTTGCATTTCAAGACCCGCATTCTCGACCTCTTTGACACCTTTATCCGCAAACAATCCGCAAATCCCCTGGCCCTCGACACCCTTCTCCCCCTCCTCCGCCTCACACGTAATACCACACCTACCGAGGCCGATCTCGCCAGCAAGGCGAGCGCGCTCCTTCGCTCCCGGATTGGCAAATCCAAAGACGTCCCATCTACCGTTGACCTCACACACGCCACTGCCCTCCTGACTGAGATCCACGAGACCGCTCGCAAAGCTTCATCGGCGGACTACTCGGCCCTCTGCTCGGCGTGCAGCATATTCATTGCGCGGTCTATCGAGGCGACCGACCCTACGTCCACCGCCGGGACCGACGCATACCGCGCCACTCTGGACGAGTTCATGTCTCGCAAATCCTCCCTCGTCCACCCCTCTTTCCTCCTCGACTATATCCGCCGATTCCCGCTCGTCGCTTGGCCCCTACACGCCGACCTCGTCAAATACATTGCACCCGGAAAGGGCGTCAACGCATTCAGGCAGACGCAGGCATACGGCATGCTTCAGGTATTCAGCCAGCACCTTGCGGCAATCGCCAAATCCCCCTCGGTGCCATCGGAGCAGGTCCAGAGTTTCATCTCGTCTGCAAGACAAGAGGTGTACGCGACATTTTCAGCTGCGGCCTCGGCGGAGAATGCGACCGAGTGGAAGGCGGACAGATTGAAGGATGTGGCCAAGTTTGGGTTGCACCTGGCGCGGTCGACCAAGGGGGTCTTCCCAGACCAGCTGGAAAGCCTGTGGGAGCCCAAGGCGCTTGTAGGGGTCGAGGAGGAGTTGAAGGCGGGCGCAAGGACGAAGGAGATGAAGGGTGTGCTGGGGCTGGTTGTTCAGCTCAAGGCGGTCTTGGGTGGTGCGCAGGCCAAGGCAGATAAGAAGGCCAAGGGCAAGGCGGAGAAGGCGGAAGAGCCTGTTGCCGTGCCGAATGGGAAGGCGGGGAAGGACGGAAGAAAGCGCAAGTCGGTCAATGGGGTGCATGAGCCCAAGGCGGAGGGTGAGAAGAAGGAGAAGAAGGTAAAGAAGGCCAAAAAGGTCAAGGTGGCCGAATAGGGCAGATCTCGTAGCATCTTGTGGTAATTTGCATAGTCTTGGTCTTCTGATCTGTGCTGCTCCCTGTGCAGTAGGCTTCCGGCAATGCGATATTTCGCATGGACAAGACGCAAGACTACACAAATGCTACAACTTATAGACAGCACAAGCAAGGCATGGGTCACACGCAAGCCGCAGCCAGACTACAGAGTCTTCAACAAAGACAGCGCATTCCGCAGCATGACGGTGCTCTGCCCTCCGGTCGACGAGTCAGAGCTAGACAGTAGGAGCTTGACCCTCCGCGCGAGAGCCGCAGCCGCCTTCTTCTCGGTGTCGGCTTTGAGGACGTCAGAGCGGAGCTGCGCGTTCTCGAGGACGGTCTTCGGTAAGCCAGCAAGCCTAGGTATTTCAGCTATGCCCTGGTACAGGACGACAGTGACTGGGCAGCTCACCTGGCACACCAGACTCCGAAAGATGCTTCAGCCAGTCCCCGTGTCAAGCGATACAAGAAGGTGATCTCGGCGCTCCCATCTGAAATGTCAGCTTCGCTTCCCTTGCACAATATGTTCGAGTTCGATATAGCTTACCTGGAAGTTTGACCTCCTCAAACCCCATATGCCAATTACTGATCAGCTTCGGAAACTCCCTCGCCAGCTCCTCCGCTACGGTCGGGTAGTGCGTCACAAACAGCGTGTTGCATCGGGCAGCAGCGACGTGCGAGAGCGTAGCGTAGGCGATAGCGACTCCATCGTACGTGGAAGTGCCGCGACCGAGTCTGCAGTATAAGCTTTGCACTCTACGTGATGATATGGCCTTTAGCTCACTCGTCAAGAATCACCAATGTCCTTGGAGTCAAAGTCCGCAAGATATCGCTCGTCTCGGACAGCTCAACCATGAATGTCGATTTGCCTCGACCGATCTCGTCCGACGCGCCCATCCGCCTATTCCGTCAGCTGGTCTGCACGAAAGATCAAGGCGCCTAGCTTACGTCTGGACAGCATCATGGACCCCCAGCGTGACCGAGGAAGCAGGTACGAATGAGCCGATCTGAGCCATACAAACGATCAGTGCCTGTCTGTCAGCGCACTCTATCCATAATTCGTGGGTCACAGATTGGGCGGATACACACGGTCGCTCGGACACAAGAACTCTTGCCTGGTCTCGTCAGCTACACTCGCCGACACCGGGCGCCACGCAGCTCACCAGCCATATTCGGCCCGGTAATGACCTTCGCACACCCCTCTCCCTCGCTAAAATCAATATCGAACGGCACATACGCATCATCCTTCAACATCTCCACCATCGGATGTCTACCCTCTCGGATATGCAGCTCCGGGTTGCCCGTAAAGGTTGGCTTGCAGTACCCCGATCCGGCCGCCACTTGGGCGAGAGACATCAGGCAGTCAATGACGGCGAGTTGGCGCGAGACGACGAGGAGCGAGTGGGATTCTGAAATGTCGGATTGGAAGGATGCGAAGGCGGCTTTGGCGGCTATGGATAGGGTCTCTTTGTGTTGCTCCAGCTCGGCAGATCTACAAAGGTCAGCTGAGGCTGGTCCCCGGGGAAGGAGTGCGGAACCCAGCTGGGGCACATACATCCGGAGTATATCAGGTGTATGAAAGCGAACAACGTGTTTCGTCCTATACGGTCAGCTATGCACCAGACGACTTACGTCCAAGCTAGCTGAAAGAGCCTCACGCTTGCACCTTGACCCACTTGGCCGGCACCGTCTTCGCCTGCGCCACCGGGATTTCCACCAGATTATCCACCCCCGCCACGCTCACATACTGCAACGTCGGCCTCTTGACAGTCTGCCGAATCTCTTTCAGATGCTCTGCCAAATCACTCTCGCATATCCCAATGCACTATCTCCGTCAGCTCCGCCCGTATTAGCATCAGTTGAGACTTACGTCCTTGGCATCCTGCACGTCTGAGAACTTGTCAGGATCCGCCCAGAGATCTGCAATCTTGTCTTCGCGCGCAGCCTTGATATCGATCGCGTTGAGAAAAGAGCGCGCGGGCTCCAGGATGGTAGGTAGGGTCTTGATGATGTTGTTGAGGAGACCAGAAGAGCATATCCGGTCTTCGGTAGGCTTGAACTCGGCGCCGATGCGCACGAGAGCCACCAAAAGGGTGGCGACTTCCGAGGTGGTGGCCTGAAAGTCAGCTAAGTCCCGCCCGGAGAACAACGCAGCTCACTTTGCCATACTGGATCCTGGTCAGACCCTTGACGAGATCAGGCATGTTCACAAGCAGACTGCGCATCTTCTCCATATGGTATGTCTTGTTCTCGATAATCTCCTCGATGGCGTCTATGCGAGCTTGGAGCGCGCTGACTAGTCAGCTCTCCTCCTTGAGTACCCTGACACACGACAATGAGCTCACATGACATCGAGCAGCGGTCTGCCTATCCACTCCCGAAGCAGTCGACGTCCCATCCTGGTCTTGGTACTGTGGGTCAGCTCTGGTGTGATCACACTGTTGAGCACAAGGCAGCTCACTGGTCCAGCACTAATGATGTCAGCTACACCTCCCAGCCAGCTGAGGATCGCAAATGCACTCACACCATACCAAACTGCCATACACCCCTCCATCATCCTGATTCCGGTAGATCTCGAGATTGACCAGAGTATTGCTCGACAGAAGCATATGCGCCCGATTGATGAACTGGCCTTTAAGCTCTTGACCTTGGATAGTGCAGGAGCTTGCGTACCTTGGTGAATGACGAGCGATGTCTGAAGGCATCCTGAAGCCCGAACGCTGCTTGTCAGCTCCAAAGTACCCAGCTGTTCCGCTTGAGCATCTCTGAGCTCACCCTTCATATATTGGATGATAACCGAGAATGCAACGACGACCTGCTTCGGGAAGTCGACGATAGCAAGGACAGCCTCTTCCGCTATCATTGTCAGCTAATGCCTCAATTCCAAAAACACCTATTAACTCGCATGGTAGTCCACTAGCGAGGTCGATCGGATCCACGACCGCATTCGCTTGACTCCCACCTGGAAGCTCATCCATCCCCTCACCATCTCCAGTGGGCACCTCATCGTCGCTCCCAGTCAGATCAATCTCATCTTTCGCAGAGTTGCCTTTCTGCTTGCCCTTGGCGGCCGCAGGGTCAGTGTAGAATTTGGTGATGTAGTCGAAGGCTTTATTGTAGGGTAAGATCTTATCTATCCGCTCGATGCGGATCTTGCTGCTCGCGCTTGACCTACTGAGTGAGCTCAAGCCGCTCCGCCCTGAAAGCCATCGGCCAGTTCTCAGCTTACTTTGTCGTTCCAGCGAAATGACTCAACACCTTCTCTGTCGCCTTGCTCAGTCCAGAAACAGGAAGTAAGAGCTCGGCAGGCTGCAGATGCGTCAAACGGGTTTCGAGCTCCGTTCGGACTTGCGAATCTAAACAATCAGCTTCCTTCTGCCCTGGCAGTCTGCAGACGCGATAACTGACCATCAAACTCATCCCACACCACATCCCCCGTCTCTGGAACCACACTGACCAACCCGATCCTGACTCTCTCATCAAGCGCCATCCCACCCATCCCAATCTCCACGAGCGCAACCAGCGCATTCGTCGGCGGGGGCGCGGAACCAGGGACGACCGGATCATCCAGCATCGTCGATGCCGATCCGAGCGCCGCGTCCTCAACGTACGTCGCGGCCGTGAACAGGTGGGTGAGGCGGCGGGTGAAGGGGGCGTTTCGGTTATCGGATACTTTTTTGAGGGCGGCGGTTTCGGTCTGCGAGATGACGCCGACTTTATACCCTAGGGAGATGAGCCTGAGGGTCAGCTTGGCGCTTCATCGGTAAGTATGGGCGAGCTCACTTCTTGACGTGGATGTGAAGGCGGTGGGTAGGTATCGAGGCGGTATAGAAGTTCCGAGCGGGAAATCTAGTCATTATCAGTCTCGTCCGATGCCACTGTCCGGCCAGTTCACTCACGCTGCTATCCCCAACTCCCGACTAGCAATCTTGGCATCCTCGCCATGAAACCTGCATTGTAAGCTCGTTGCACCATGTACCTAGAATACAAGAAAGCGTACTTATACTTGTACCCCACCTCCATAAGCAACAGCACATCCTGATTCTCCGCCTTGATCTCCATAAACTGCTTCTCCAACGGCGTATACGTCTGCCCACTGGGCCCCACCTCCTCCTTCTTCTTCCCCTTCCCCTTGCCCTTCGTCTTCGCATCCTCCTTCGTCTTTGCCGCAAACTTGGCGGCCAACTTTGACCCGACGCCCGACGCAGACTTTTGACGCTCGTCGTCTGATCCCTTGGCTTCTTCACCATCTGGGACGGACAGACCTCCGCCTCCGCCCGCTTCCGCTTCGCCGTCCCCTTCTTCCCCTTCCGCATCACCTGCGGCCTGTCCCCGCGCCTCAGCCGCCGCCGCCTCGTCCAGAGCTAAAGACTTCCTCCGCGGTCGGATGCCCCCCGGACCTAGCACGCGCGCCTGCCATCGCTCGTGCCGCGCTTCCTGCTCGACCGTCTTGGGCTGGCGCTGCGAGCTCTCCCCGGCTGACGCGGGATCGAGCGAGACAGTGTAATTGTCGAATGCGGACCCCGACTGAGAAGGGGGAGGGAGGACCGTGCGTGGAAGTCGATAGCTCGCGAGGTTGACCGCTTGCGTCGACGGGCGACTCTTGGGTGCGACCACCTTTGCTGGAAGAGTGGATGATGATGCTACAGCCTGAGAGGGCTCGTTAGACGAGGAGGCAGCCTTCTTTCCGAAATAGCTGGACTGTGTGCCGGCCATAGCCTTCTTCCTCGCTTCGGCAGCAGCAGAAGTCGGGGCCGCCGTATCCGTTGACGTCCGAGCTTTCTTCGTAGGTGGAGGCTCGTCATATAGGGCCACGATATCGTCCTCATCGTCCTCATCATCTGCTATCGACTGGACTCGGAAGACTTTGATGTCGTTACTGATCGAGCGGGAGGTGGGTTTGGCAGGCGAAGAAGGGGGAGGGGATTTGCGTTTGAAGAAGGCGGATATTGATGGCCTGTCTGTGTGAGCTATGGCATCCTAACGTCAAGGGGAGGTACGCGAGCTCACTGCTTCTGGCCCTGACTCTGCGAAGGCGACATGATGGGAGCACAGCTTTGACTCGAAACGAGAGCAATGTAATGGTTAAGCGATGTACAAAATCAACCTCTTGCTGATCGACGCGTCCGAGTGGAGGTGAGTCAAATGCCGTAATAGAATTCCTCATTCCTCGCGAAGAGCTGATGCGGACAAGCTGCAGTGCCAGCTGCTCAGGCCTCACGTCGAAGGACAGAGATCAGAAGGTACGATACACTCTACACATCTTCCCCCCCCCCCCCCAGATGAGCGCGTGAACGATTGTCGCCTTGACCACTTCTATCCATACATTCATTCTACCTCTACTCCTCTCTCTAATGCCCATGCCCATCATCCCCCCCTCCCCTCTCCTCGGGCTGCACCACAATACTATCATCGATCCTCAACAGACTCGTCGCCGCCTCCAACGCCGACTTGAGACTCTTGATCTTCGAGATTGTAGGCTCCAACACCCCCGCCTCCCGATTATCCACCACTTCCCCCTTCAACAGGTCCAACCCGTAAAACATGAGCTTCCGCTTGGGGTCCGAGGTCGGTGCGGCTTGCGCGGCATTGTGGTAGGCCCGGAGCTTGGCGACGAGGTCGGTCGAGTCCTTGGCGGCGTTCATGGAGAGGGTTTTGGGGATTGTTAGGAGGGCATTGGCGAATTCTGCAATAGCGAGTTGTTCGCGCGAGCCCTGAGGGGTCAGCTATATCTCGCGAATGAAAAGGAGGGCTTACAAGGGTCGTAGCAAAGTTCTCGAGGTAGATACTCAGAGCAGTCTCTACCGCTCCGCCACCGGGCACAACGCTCCCACTCTCCAACGTCCGCTTCACGATGCTCAGCGCGTCGTGCAGGGCCCTCTCCATCTCATCCAGCATGTAGTCGTTCGCACCCCGCAAGATGATACTAGAGCTCGAGACGACCTTGGTGCCCTTGACAAGGATCAACTCGTCGTCCGATATCCGCTCCTGTACGACCTCCTCCGCGTGGCCCAGAGAAGACGCCTCAAATGTCTCCTCGCCCTCCAGGTTGGCGAGCGACGAGATCATCGTACCGCCTGTAGCGCGCGCTATCCGCCGGAGATCCTCCTTTCGGCATCGCCGCACAGCCATCGCGCCGGCTTCGATGAACTCTTTCAGGCAGAGGTCGTCGATACCTTTGGTAGTGAGGATGACGTTGGCGCCGGTAGCGAGGATCTTGCGGACGCGCTCCAAAGTGATCTCGGATTCCCTACACTATCAGCTCTGGAAACGTGGCGAGCTACCGTCAACTGACCTCGCGCGGATAGCCTCAAGCTGCTCCGGGTCATCAATGGTGATATGCACACCCAGGTGCATCCGCTGCTTTGCCAGGTTGATGTCCAAACAGGCGATCTTCGCACCCTGTATTCTCGTCTTCATCGCTAAAGGGTCAGCTGTGCCGTAACATGTGCGAAAGGCTATTCCCAACTCACCCTGACTCGCAACAGTGCAGTTGAGCGCATACCCCTTGACCATGAAACTCTCCCTCGCGCTCTTTCCGTGCGCCTTGAGCACATTCACCGCCTTGACCGGATACTTCTTCTCGCCTCGGGGGTTGACAGTCATGACCGCAAGCATAGCATCCACGACCATGGGCGCGAAGAAGTCGTCGTCGCTACAGCATCAGCTCATTGCACCTCCAGCAGTCAGCACGTGGGAGCTTACGCAGCGAGGATCTTGGAGCTCATTGATGTCTTGGCGACATTCACAAGGCATCCCCGACCGAGCTTGTCGACCTTGGTCGATAATTGATCAGCCATGAATCTGCACGCTTCCTTGCATGCCAACCTAGATGATCAGCTCTGGCCCGACCGAATCGGTGACACGTGAACTCACCGGTATCCAGTGATAACGGTCGTAGGGTGGATCTTGTTCCGTACGAGCTCATTCGCCCGCCTCAGCAATTCCGACGCAAGAAGAACGACCGAGGTGGTTCCGTCTCCTACTTCCTTGTCTTGCTGAGTGGCAAGAGAGACGAGGATTCGAGCCTGCCTGATCAGCTGCTTACCCCTCCGTTGGGGGTTTATAGCTGGGACGTACAGCCGGATGTGAGACTTCGAGCAGAGATAGAATGGTCGCGCCGTCATTCGTAATCGTCACATCTCCAACATTGTCCACCAGCATCTTGTCCAGACTGGGACGTCAGCTGTATACGATACCGCGGTCACGTTACACGTTAACTCACCCAACGGGTCCGAGCGAGGATTTCAGGATGTTGGATACTGTTTGACACGCCATGACTGCCAAGGTCAGCTTCACGGTCAAGCAGCGACAGGACCATTTAGCTCACCGTTCTGATCCCTGATCTCCGCCCCACTTGTCCGCTGTCCACCCAAGAACAAGCCCTGCAGATATCAGCCAAGCCCCTTCACAACCTCCCTTCCCAGCTCTCCCTCTCGTTGACGACAGGACGTACCGCCCGCGGGTCACGCTGGTACATTTGGGCCGACATATCTGATCGTTCTCTGAGCTGTAAGTCGGGCTGGATATGATGGTGGATAGCTCTATACCCGCTGTGGAATGTAAGAGAAGGTTGACGCTGCAGGTGGACGCGAACATTTGGGAAAGAGCGTGACGCGGGATCAAACACACCTCCACCTACGGCAGGCTCGTTACGTAAACGCCTAGGCCGAGGCTGCTGGGAGAGGGGTGGAGGGGTATCGATCCCACCTGTACCTGTCATCTATAGCCCAGACACAGCTACGGCCGTACCATGTCGCCCCGGATTCGAATAGCCCTCGCGATTTTAGCTCGACCAGCTACCCGCAAATGCCCCGCGCACTTCGCAGCTCCTCTTGGCAGCTTCCACCCAAAACTGACCTGGAGCTCCGTCCGGTGCTTCGCTACGCACACTGAACGGCCTATCCCAGGCTCATCGGCTGGCCCGGCTGGCTCCTCCTCATCTTCATCTGCACCATCGACGGAAGACCTGCTCCGCCGGCTGGAAGCCGATGCTCGGAAAGGGGGGTCTGGTTTCCGAGGCCAAGAGACCGTCGGACCGTTCCCCCTAGGCGTTGGGCCGAGTGGAAGGAGTAAAGGCTGGAAGAGATGGGGTGAGCTGGGTATAGGCGGGAAGGGTATGTCGTATCTGTACGCAGGTCGGGCCAGTGCTAATGAAATAGTGGCTCGGGCAGGGCGACAAACCGGGAACCTCTCGGTCATCCTCGTCGGCGGGACCCTATTCGTCATTCTCGCCTTCGCACTCTCAACCGAGCTGTTTGCAAAGAACTCTCCGTCCGTATTGTACTCACAAGCCGTAGATCTCATCCGAGCGAGTGACGCCGTAAGTCCTCTCTCTACCCTCTAGCCCTCTGACCACGACCAGCAACCACAAGCTGATTCTTAGCTCAACGCCCACCTTCTCCCCCCACTCTCATTCACCCACACCCCACACGCCGCCGCACCCATCCGCGGCTCCCCGCCCCTTCCACACCGGAACGTCCTCCATCCTCGATCAGGCCGGGAACACATGCTCCTCACTTTCTGGGTACACGGGCGGGGTATAGGCGAGGAAGAACCACTGGGTTTCGTAAAGCGGTATTACAGGACGGTATTGGAGTATGGGCATAGAGCTGGGGAATGGGCGGGGCTGGTTCCTCCTTCTTCGGCGGCGGCGGTAGCGTCGGCGTCGACGTCGACAGCGGAGAGGCTGGAGAGCGCTAGTAAGGCCGGGGTGGAGCCGGCGAGGGACGAAGGGAGTGGATGGTTAGGCGGGATGCTTGGCGGGTTTAGCGGCCTGAGGGGCGGGGCGGCGCAGAAGATTTCGGGAGGGAGTACGAGGGGCGCGCCGCCGCCGGGGACGTATAAGGTCGGGGAGGTACATGGGGACTATGTCAAGGTGAGTTTGCCCCAAATCTGGCCTTGATAAAGCTTCGTCTGACAAGCAGAATGCTGCTGGACAATATCAACTCTTATCCCTCGTCATCGACATTCCCGGCTCGCACGCCTCTTATCCTACTCGAGCAGTGGTCTTTTGGTCGCCTGAAGCAGATACGGAGGGACTACAGGGACGGAAGAGATAGCATGCATCTCATGAAGGCAACGGAGGGAGCGACTATCAAGGACCTGACGTTCTCATCCTCCTCGTTAGCGATAGCGCGAGCATGATTCGCATGGTGTGCATGTTTGACTTCTGACTTTGACTCCCAACTACTGATCCCTTAGCTATACTTTGCCCCCCTCCATCCTGATCCAGGGGTAACCGAGAATGTCCGTGATCCGCCTGGGATACCTCTACGATCTAATAGATACCAAGAAAGTATCCGTCTATCTCTACGCCTGAAGAAGGTGGGGGAAAGGGGAAGGGAAAGAAGGGAAAGAAGGGGGTTGGTGCTACATAAGGGAAATCCGAGGTTTACTGGGACCCTCGAGATGCCGGGTGTGATGATCGAGAGACGTGATGGGTCGTTATGTCGTTGATACATGATTTGTGCGTGGTGCGGTGGAACGGTTCTGACTTGGTGGATACATGAGGAGGGAAGGCGAGGTTGAGGAAGTCCTGGGCCGAGAGGACGGGCGGAGCGTCAGACTCGAGTCGAGAGCTGCGAGCCGAGGAGTGCGAGGAGTAAGGATGCGGAGTGGGAGGGCTGGCTCACGTTGAGGTCTTCAGCAAGAAGCGGTATCAAGGTCCGACCTTGGTAGCGTACGCCGCGAAGATACGCTGACGGACGGGGGAATAAGGGTGTGAAAGCTGAGGGTATCAGCTGTTACGTCCCCAGAGTCGCTCCATGGAATACGCTCGACTCACCTCATGGCGCACAGCCTCCTTGTGCGGCCATAACTCCGTATGACCATACCCAAACCTGACGAGCTCCGCGAGTTGTCGATCGAGTATCACGGCGATGAGGTCGGGATGTAAGCGGCCTGCGCAAGCGAGGGATTCCACGTCTGGCTGGTCAGCTCTGGGACCATCCTCTCAAGGGGGTTCCGCAAGCGGCGAACTGACCGCCTTGACCGCCTGAAGCTCCCCGGATCGTCGCTGTGTGGTGGTATACCGCCGAGGAAAAGACACCGCGGGAGCCGATGAACCCCACAAGGTCAGTAGCGAGCCCGGAGTCGACTATCGGGTCAGCTATGGCTGGGTCAAATGGTCAAGTAGGCAGTAGCTCACTCCCTTTCCCCGCCATTGCCTCCCTGATGCAAGCATTCCAAGTCCGCATACTCGGCGACATGGGCTGATCAGAGGACTATCATATCAGCTCTATTCTGCGATGTACATCTGCAGGTGCAAACTTACATAGCCGACCTCGCTCTCGACGAGGATGAGCATTCCTCCTGGGCGAAGACAGGCGGCGAGTCGCTCAATCAGGCCTGCGTAGCCCGGTAAGGAAGGGAGAAGGCATTTGACGTGGATGAGGTCTGCTGGTCAGCTTTGGGTCAGGTAGATGCTTCCCAGTCCCCGACAAGACGGCCACTTGAGCAGAAGAGGAGACATACCAAAGTAGCTGGGATGGAACGGTAGTGCCGCAGAGACGTCTGCACAAGTTAGCAGTGCTCCTTGGAGGGGGATGCTGGACTGGGGCGGACATACCGATAGTCTGGAAGTCCAGATTGCCATGAACAGATTGAGAAGGAGTGAACCAAGACCAGTCCCAGCTTGTGAGGTCAGCTCCCTTTCGGTCTGTGATGCGGTCCCGTCAACTCACTCGACTCCGATGACATCAGCATATGGCTGCGTATTGGCGAGATTGATGGCCCATGTCCCTGCGTCTTGTCGGTATGAGTTATATGCCTTACATGACATGAAGAAGTTAGCCTACCTGTTCCCTGCGACATCAGCGAGACCCTCATGAGCACAGGGAGGAAGGTCTATACTTACACATCCGACATCCAAGACACTGCTCCTCCTTCCCGCTTGATGTACCGAGGCAAGGTGCTGGTCGATAAGCTGCGAGTGAGTCGGATTGAGGACGGCGGTATGAGCGATATGGAGGAGCTGCAAGCTTCTGACCGTCAGCTCGATCCCACTTCAGACCGACTGTCAAGGGAGGCCAACTCACCGACTTGCCTCGTCGACGTCGCTGACGACGGTACTACTGCTTCTACTTCTGCGTACGCGCTCAAGAACGCCACGGAGCATAGATCGGTCCTGAGGGGAGCTGAAGTCGGTCGCGGCCGGGGAGGGGAGGTGGGGGTAGTAAGCCGGGAGATAGGCTGTCATTGGTGTGCTGACATGTCAGCTTTCCGCATGTCTAGCGAAGAGGCGACCCAGACGATGAGACTCACAATGTCCGAAGGGCCCAGCTCAGCCGGGGAGGAAACAGGGGGTATGAACTTAAGGTGAAAATGGCTGAAGGCAAAGCTACGAGCCAGCGTACGGCGTATGGAGAAGAGAGGAAAAGGTGTGAAGAGTGGAAGTCCTGGTTGAGCAGATGAAGGTGTCGAAGCTGAGGAAAGTTCGAGCATCATCATCTATAGGTCAGTTCCTCTCCCCTCTCATTCACCGTCAACTTTTTTTCTCTCACCTTGCTAGATCCACCTGCGCCCCAAACGTTCAAGCCAGTCTGAAACATCCCGCCCCCTCTCATCTCTCCCTCCTGTTACATTCCTGGGCGGTGACACTCCTCCTTTCCTAGCCTGTTCCGGACTTCCCGCCCCAGATCCCCGGCTGCTCCGAAGCGACCACGAGGATTCGATGGAGGTATGAATGATGAAACGTGTTGGTTGATAAGCGGTAAGAGATCTCCCATGCGACAAATTCAAACTGAATCTCGCGTGTCATGGTTGTGGGGACCGAAAGGACGGGAGCGGCAGGGGGTGGTAAGCGTGAGGAACGTGAAACCAGGTCCCGATCTGAGCCGATCTCGATCGAGGTCCCTCCGGCTTGGGATCGGCTGGGCAAGATGGATTAATTTAGCGGAGTTGGCGGAGAAGAGGGCGATTTTCCGTGGAATGAGGGGGGTTATATATTCGAGGGGGCGGCGCGAGGAATGTGTTTGAGGGCATGGCGAGTCAAACGCCGTAGGAACGGCGGAGATAGATGTCGATCGGACATGAAGGCATGAGCATATGGTGCCTAATTGGAGATCTCGTCAGCCACCCTCTCCAGAGAAGCGAAGAGTGGGCGGGCGAGCATGAGCTTGAGATCAGCTGGGTGCGGAGGCTGCTTGACTACCGATTACTTTGGAGTAATCTGAGGCGAGTACCGCAGGGTAAGGCCATCATCGAGGGTGCTGATGACTAACGCGTCATGCTGCTGCTGCAAAGGTTGACTGGAGATCCGGTATGCACAAGTTGAGTGTATGAAAGGCAAAGGATAGGGACGGCGAGGAGGTAAAGGCTGCGCAAACTTGAAACGCGCCTTTCTGACCCTGAGCTAACAGGTGGCGTTTCAGGATACTACCCTTTCGGGAAGCTCACAGATTGATTCCGTCACAGCTACACATTCCTCAGTCGCGTCGCGTCAACACGTCAGATGCTGAGACACGTCGTCACCTCCACTCTCACTGCCCAGCGACCGACAGCAACGATATGTCCAGACCAGAGAGCAGGACAAGCTCCTCAACCGCACCTCTCTCAGCTCGGACTCGACCCACCTCGTTGTCCTCCCGGCCTCCTCTCGAATCGCTGATCTACACCCTCGTGCCTTCGCTTGCGCCCTCGCGATCTCGTCATGGTAGCGATCTCCGCGGGACCTCGTCAGGCCGAAGCTCGGTCGCTGGGTCTCGCCTGGATACGAGGGCGGTGGACGAGGAAGCGGAGGGGGAGAAAAGGGAGAAGGTGAAGGAGTTGATGCACTTTTGTGATGAGATTATGGGGAGGTGCGTCTGAACTCTGGACCTACGATGAAGCAAAGAGGAGAATGAGCTGACGGGGAAGCCGTATAACATCTTCGTCCTCTCTGGGTTTGTCTCAGCTTCCAGACGCTGCTCGAAGACTGCTCGCTCAGTCAGGTCCATCTCGCTCTTCTTCCCGGCAGGAGAGCAGCGGCGCGGACAAGGCACTCCGTTTCGGAGGAGTCTGGAACAAGCTGGAGAAGGGCGTAAGTCCTCACCTGCATGATGCACGCCTGATGAAAGCTGACATGTGTAGCGTACTTTAGCTTCCCCTTTGCCACACTTGCAGTTCTTACTTGCCCTCTCCCAGCTCGACCCCGCCAACGATACCTCCCCAGCCACGCCATCCTCCTCCCGCAAAACCTTCCCCACGTCTCAACCCATCGCCAGCTCGTCCCGCCAACCTCTCGCCCCGACCTCGAATCCTAATCACCAAGTCCCCAATACATGGAGCGGGAAGGGCAAGTCCAAAGCTGACGTCCTGAATTCCTGGCGGAAAGCACAAGGTGACCTTATTCTCGACGATTGAGATGTCCCGCTGACGGACAGCTCGACCCGTCTTCCCCTCTGACCTTCTCCTGCGCGACACCCTCTATCTCCTCCAAGGGATCGACGGGCGCTATATCCATTTCGCGCGCCGACCGCCAAAGGAGCAAAATCCATATGCGACCCAAGCTGCGCGAGCGGCTGATGGACTGGGCTTCCCCCTACCAAAGGGGGAGAAGGAGACGCCTGATGAGGACGTAGTGGGGATCGAAATAGTTGCGGATGAGGCAAAGGTGAGGTTTCAGGATGATGGAGCTGATGGTAGGATGGGTACATGTCAGCGCCGACGAGGACAATCCTAGTCCAACTGTCAGAGATGGGGGTGATGTATCGCAAAGTCACAGAGTTTATCAATACTCGACAGGCTGGGACAAGTAGGGGCGGGATGACGGAACAGGTGAGCTATATCAGCATACGGTAGATCTAGGATATAGCTGATCAAATAGAGCTTGTGCCATTTCCTACACCATGAATTGTCGGAATACCATCGTCTACTCGCTGTCCTCGAGTCGCAACTGTCTGAGAGTCTTACTTCTCCAGAGGGCCCCGCCTCTGGGCTGACTCTACTCCGACTGGGACTGTGGACGGAGGAAATGAAGATCAAGATGAGAATCATGAGCGAGATTGTCGATGACGCTATGAGTGAGTCTAAAGCCAACCCAGAGCTGATGGTCAGGCGCACATGGTGGAGCTCTAGTATCCCGTATACATGCTCGAACGCGACATGGCGACCCCTTCGTCCGGCGGTTCATGGATCAGATTCTCGAAGAGGTACGTCCCTCGCCCCCAATCAAGCTGACGACAGGTCTCTAAACCCTTCTTCCTCAGTCTCCAAAGATGGATCTTCTCCGGAGACCTCCACGATCCCTTTGAAGAGTTCTTTGTCCAGCTCAACCCCGACCCGCTCATGCGCGAAGGCAGTACCCCATATTCCACCGACTTGGGATTTGGGAGCGGCCTCGACGCGATCGGATCTGGAGACGAAGCGGGCAAAGTATGGGAGAAGAAGTATGTGTTTGTCAAGGCGATGGTTCCTGGTTTTGTCAATGAGGACTTTGGGAAGAAGGTATGTTGCCAGTCCAGACAGAGCTGATGCTAGATCTTCTCGACGGGACGGAGTCTGAATTTTATCCGGTATACGTGCCACGATAGCGAGTGGATCGAGACGCAGGCCAAGCTCGCTAATGCCGGTCGAGGTGAGTTTACGCGAGGACAAAGCTGACGATCAGCATTGAAGTATAGCGACCTCGCGGGACTTGAACGGTCTATAGATGACGCCTACGCAATAGCCAGCGACCGACTCCTCGAGATTTTCTTTGACAAGTTCCGGCTTCTAGAGCACCTCCGCGCACTCAAGTCATACCTCATGCTTGGCGCTGGAGACTTTACAGAGGTCCTCCTCGAAGCTATATCGTACGCCTTCCCTAGCCGGCCATGCCTCCCGCTGACATCCAGACCGAGACTCGCCAAGCCCGCTATCAGTCTATATCGGCACCACCTGACGTCTGACCTCGAGACTGCCATCCGCGGTTCCAATGCGCAGTATGACGACCCCGATATCCTCCGTCGGCTCGATGCGAGGATACTGGAGTACGCGCACGGCGAATTGGGATGGGACTGTTTTGCCCTCGAGTATAAGGTCGAGGCGCCGCTCAATGCCTTGTTGGACAGTCGGGCGATGGCAGAGTATGATCGGCTGTTTCATCATTTGTGGAGAGTCAAGAGGGTCGAGGTGGCGCTCTCGAGTGGGTGGATGAAGGTCGTTAGTAGTTCCAGGATGTTTGAGAAGATCCCAGGTAAGCTCTTCCTCGGACCCTTGTCGTTTCGAAGGAGGGCGTGAGCTGACATGGTAGAACTGGGAAACAACTGGCATTCTGCCCGGATAGTCCAAGCGGAGATGGTCCACTTCCTACGCCAACTCCAAGCATTCTATCAGCTCGAAGTGATCGAATGCTCCTGGGCCGCCTTGATGGAGTTTACGGCCAAAAGGCAAGGAGACCTCGATTCGCTTATCCAGGCCCACAGGACGTATCTTGATCGGGTGGTCAAGAAGGTTTTGTTGCTGGGTCATCGAAGGGACAAGGATGTGAGTATTCGGCACGATAAAGTATCAGCGGCAAGGAGCTGAAAATCAGATATTGCTGGGTCTGGTGCAGGACGCTTTCGAGTACATCCTCCAGTTCCGCGCGGCTACCGTACGTTCTTCTTCACTTTCGCATACGGAAGTGCTGACAACCAGGACGACCTCTACGCCTGGTCCCTAACAGAAGCTACCCGGCTAGACCATCTCCGCGATGCCTCCCGCGGTCTCTACTCCACCCCTTTATCTACCGGGCCCCGCTCCGAACCCAATATCGACGCCCTCGACAATATCCGGAATCGCGTCAAGTCGGCCGCGCATGCGTTCAGCGATCGGCTCGCGACGATCTGTCATCTTGCGGCGAGCCACCCGGATTTGGATATCAGGTTTTTGGCGGTTAGGATCAATTTCAATGGGGTGTTTAAGCGGAGTAGTGGGAAGAGCCGGAGTGTACGGAGTGGGCATGAGGGGAGATGAGTACGAGGTGTCAGTATATTTAAAGACATCAAAAGCAAGGCGAGCCATTGATGAGAGATTCCGCTTCTTGGAACGCTACCCTTCGTTCGTTACGCTCCACTTGTCCGTCAACCTGACTACTTCACTCCCACCCGCTCCGACAATAGCATCTACCTCAATCTCCACCAGCAACTCCTCCAGGGCCATCTTCACACCCGCCAGCGCCGTCGCCGCTGGCCTGACCCCCGCTCGCGCAAACACCTCTCCATGCACCGTCATCACCGCCTCAAAGTCCGCCTCATTCCTCAGAAAGACTCGCACGCGGGTGATATCCCCCATGGACCCGCCTAGCGCAGTGAGCGCCTTGTCGATGGTGCTGAAGATAGAGCGGGTCTGGTCGGCTGCGACCGTGGAAGGGGTGGAGGTGGGGAGGGAGGGGGCGGTCGTCCCTGCGATGGAGATGGAGGGGCCGAAGCGGACGGCTCGGGTGTACCCCTGGGATTGAGTCAGCGAGAGGTGCGGATGAGTGGGACGAGGAGGGGGCGAAGGGGAAGAAGCGTACGTAGATCGGCTCCCATTGCGATCCGGAAGCGTACTCGATGCGCTTCCCGGCTGCGATGAGCGCCTCGATGTTGGTCTCGGTCGTCATCCTGTAAAGCGGGGCAAAGTGAGCTATGAAGTAGTCTGCGACGTGAATGGAGGATTCAGCAGAGCCGTATGATCGAGCGGGCGAGAGAAGTCATATGTCCAGAAGATAGTGGAGCGGATCATGTAGCAAGCTCTGTATCCGGATTCTCGTATGCACTCGACCTGACTCGACTCGACTCGACTCGACTCGACGTGAACCGTATCGCAAGTTTTGCATGCGAAACGGATCCATCCGCCCCGTCCATAATTGTGAATCGTACAAGAGCAAAACCGATAGTGAAGAGATGTAACGACGCGTCGGTGGTCCCACCGCCTCGTAGACACCCCGAAAGGCACAGAAGGAGAGGTGGGGTACAGAACCGATAAGGAGGTATGAAGGGTTTGATCTTCCGACGAAACGTGACGAGGGCAGCGTGGAAAGAGGCTGCCGACGTGTCTGATGTCGGGTGGGATGGGAGGAGTGAGGATCAGGAAGGAGGAGGAGTATGAGGGATGGGGACTGGATGAGTGAGGACGGTGAGATTGCGGGCATAGGGACGGGGTTCAAGTGGAGATCCGTATGGGAGTACGAGCTGGAGACTGCTGCTGCGCCAAACCGGGGTCTGGTAGCTGGGCAGTGTGGCTGCATGCGAGAGGCAGCAGGATGCGATGCAATGTGCTCGAAGATGTGGAGATGAGGGAAGAAAGATGAAGGCAGGTTCTTCGTTGCGAGCAGCGGGCAGGCTGAGCGAGCGGAAATTCAGAAACCCTTTCCCGCGGAGTGGCAGAACAGGTCCGTGCGAAATGAACTCTCCATACCCGCTCTATGCTCAGCGAGGTCGATCGTATGGGCGGAGATTGGTAAGCTGGAGGTCTTGTGAGGTAGTGTGAGGTCTGCGAAGTGACTGTGCGAAGATATTGACTTGGACAAAGGCCAAATGGTGGTCACGATCTTGGGAGGATTTTGAACCGTGCCTGAAATCTCAGCATTCCTCGGATGTCGGAACTCCCTTGTACCACCGAACCATCACCTCACTCACAACAACAAGCCCGCAGTTGAGCCCGCTGAGCCCCTAAGCCGGCAGACTGGCTCAAGATGCCGTCTCCGCCATTGTCAATAGTCCAGCCGCTCTCCCCTCGAGTCGCCATCCTCGCGTCGGACGATGTCAAGCTTAGCTGCGAGGCGAACGGGTGTAGGGGGATGGAGGAGCTGTTGCGGCCTTGGGAGGGCGGGACGGAGCGGGGTGAGCTTAGCCCGTCAGGCAGACGATAGCATGAGCTCATCAGGTAGTGTCGGTGCTCTCCTCGACGCTGACGCCGACGGTACACCCGTCGTTCCCTCTCCGGTTCGTCAGCTTTGACTCTATCTTTCCGAATCCTGCTGTCGGGGCGCCAATGCCGGATATGGTCGTGGACATGATCAGCAGCTACGTAGGAGACAGGAAGCCAGGTCAGCTCAAAGCTCTTTCGCTTGACCTTCGTTAGGGTCACTAGTCTAGGGAGACAGAGCTGACTTCTAGACGAGGAACAGCACTACCCTCTTGCTCGGTCACTCCTCCTCTCCTCGTGCCCCTTGGCGGCATACGAGACCTTCAATCACCCGGTCGGAGTCCTCTTTGCGATCTCCTCGGGAGATGCAGACCCTCTCATGGCGATGCGGCGGCTTGTGCAGCAGCATATTGGCGCAGTGCAGACTGTACCGTGGATGGACGCTGTGAATGTGTTGAAGTTCTACGTGGTGGTCCACGATGCCGGCAGGCAAGGGCAGGACATGGCTCAGTGAGTCTGGAGACCGCCATGGAAGGGTCTGTAGCTGATGGGCAGGGCGAATGAGATCCTGATGGCCGTCAAGAAGACATACGGACCGCACTCCACCCTGCTCATCACCAACTCGCGACCCCCGCCCACCTCTCCGCCTTCCACACCCGATACTCGGCCACATCCCGCCATATCCCTTCCACGCCCCCTCACTTCCGAGGAAGACAGCCCCGGCGCCATCTCCCAGATCTACGCGTCTGCCCTTTCCTCTCTCGCCCTTTCCCCAATGTCCGCCGTGGCCGCAGCAATGGGGGACGAGTCCTCCTCGGACACGCCCGCTCGGAGAAATCTTTACGGTGCCGCTTTATCCGCAGAGGATACTCAGCGATTAGCGGCGCTGGTGAGGGAGCTAGTCGTGCAGAGTCTGTTACCGTGGATGGAGGCGCGGGTGAGGGAATGGAACGAGGTGTATCATGCGAATAGGCGGGGCATTACAGGAAGGCTTTTTGGGGCAGGGAGGAAGTTCTTTGGGAGTCGTCCCGCGAGCCCTGCGCCGAATGCTTCTGCGACGGGCTATAACACTGCCAAGGGATAGTGAGTTCCCATCCATATGGACTGGACCTGGCTCGAAGCTGACATTCAGCTACCCCATCGCGGCGGTCGAGTCCCTCACCAGACGCCTCGCAGACTTTGCATTCATGCTCCGCGACTACCGCTTCGCATCTAGCATCTACGACTCCCTCCGACGCGACTATGCGCAAGACCGCGCCCTACGCCACTCGGCAGCGGCTACGGAGATGTACGGTCTCTCGCTCCTCCTTTCCAACCCTTACTTCTTCCCTTCGACCCCACCCCGCCCGATCGCCCTGACGCCCTTCACGACCCTCCAGCACACCGATATCTCGTCCTGGCTCGAGCAGGCCGTCTTGGCGTACTATGATGCTGGACAGGGGATCCAGCTGGATGCTCTGCGGGCGACATTGCTATATTATGAGGCCTGGAAGATGATTGGGGAGTATAGGGGCGTGGGGGCAGCACTGGTCCGCGCGGCGGGCGAGGCAGAGGAGGTCGTGGGCGCGGTGATGATTGAGGAGGCGGCGCAGGCTGATTTGAGGGGTGGGAGGGATCCGGAAGGGAGGGGAAGGAGGAGGAGGGCATTCCACCTGGTTATAGCTGGAAGGAGGTACGAGACTGCCGGTCTGGTGCGTTTCTTTTTCTTCAATCTGGGCGGGCTAGGCTGATGAGCAGAAATCGTACTCTCGTCGATGTCTGACCCGTGCGGCGGAAATATATCGCTCAACGCCATGGACAGCCATCAAAGACAGGATAGAATACTCGCTTGGTAGACAAGCGTACGCTTCGGGCGAGATGGCGGGTGCTGTACGCCACTTCCTGTCTTTACTGGGCAGGGACGACACGGGTGTTCCGGGCAGTCAAGGGGGTCCCTTGGAGGATATGGGCCTGGCATATGAGGTGAGCCCCCAGACGGATCTCGATCAGATGTGGTCCGGCCTGAGCTGAACGTGTAGCAACTCGTCAGCTATCCTGAACAGCTCGAGGAGATCAAGGGGACGCTTCGACTCCCAACGCCGGTCTTCGACGTCCAAAAGACGCGGATTGTGGGCAGTGCGAGCGAAGCTTCCGGCAGTCGGAGCCAAGGACGGTACACCGAGCTGGAGGCGAAAGCGCTCGGAGAGTGGGATCGGAAGGGCAAGAAACCGATGCGCCTTCTCCCGGATCAAGGGCGGACGGAGGTCAATGCCGGATGTGAGCTACCAGCTTCCCGCACAATCCAGGTAGGGGAGAGAGCTTACCAAGAAAAGACACTTTCCACGTCCAGCTGCATGCTACAAACCCCCTCAATACCCCTCTTATCATCTCGGACTTGACGGTGGCCTTCTCCTCCCCTACCCTCGTTTCCGCCGATATCCAGATCGAACACACCCCAGAGGTCTCGCTGGAAGCGTACGAGACCCGCCTGGTCCATATCTCCGTCACCGTCCCTTCTCCCGGCAGCGTCACCCTCGACTCGGTATCGTTCCTCTTCCACAAGTTCCTCCCCGTTACTCAACCGCTCAAGAAGCGCGGGAAACGGCTGCACGCGACGAAAGCGCAGAGGATCAGTACGGAGTATGGGACAGATACGAGTCTTACGGCGCAGATCTTCCAGGGCGGACCGAGCATCCGCGCGGAGCTGGTCAGGGTGGGTGAGGGGGTGGTGTATGATGGCGAAGAGGTGCAGCTGGGGTTGAGGATACGGAATGGAGGCGGAGAGGCTGTAGTGGGGGTGCAGATGGTACTGGGGGAGGCTGGGTCTTTACATTTGCGAGAGAAGGGTAAGCTCGCGGGTCGACACTCATTGACGGAGGGAAGCTGATAACTTAGAAGCACAAGGTGATCAGAATCTACCGAACCGGCTGGACGGGTCACATACTCTTAATCTCGATGTTGCGGGCCTTGGACCAGGAGAGGAGAAGACCATACATGTCGTCTACACACCACGAACGACCGGTCCGATCGATCTTGACGTCCTCGTACTCGGTAACTCCGCAGGCGAGGAAGACGAGATCGCCTGTACGCCCGCCAGCCTATCCTTCGACGTCCGGCCCTCGCTAGCCGTCTCGACGCGGATCAGACCCTCGTCCGACTCTGGCGGATATCAAGTCTTGGTGGAAGTGAGCTCAGTCCTCCGTTGTCGGGTTGAATCAAGCTGATCATGTAGGCGCATAATCAGTCTGATACGTCCATACAGCTCGACGGGCTGCATTCGTTTAGCCCGTACTGGTCCGCATCGCCGGTCGAGCTGGGATCGGTGGTACTCCTGCCGAACCAGACGTACAGGATGGTCTTACCTGTACACCCGCCGAAGGAGCTACCGGCGAACCTGGACCTGCGGCAGACACAGCTGGTTGATGCGCTGTCGCTCCTCATTCAGGGCAAGCCCGCCGGAGAAACTCCGATCGACCACCCCCCAATTTCAATCATTGCCGCCAAGGACGGGTCCCCTATCGATCTAGGCGCCTACCTCGCCTCTCGACAGACATACCGCGCCAAGTCACTCCGCTCTTCCTTCCCTACCATTCCTTCGTCGCAACTTGCCTCCCTATTCCCCTTGATCGATCCGCTCGATCTCGACCTCATCCTCTCCTGGTCCATTCCTTCCTCTGCCCTTTCCAGCTCGTCTTCGGTGTCGCGGATAGGCAAGACATACATCCACGCCCTCCGCCCCTCGCCCTCTTTCTCTCTCGTCGGCCCCATCCACGAGCAGATTGCCTCGGCGCTCGCTGGTGGCTCAAAGGCCAAGCGGACGATGTATGAGGAGACGGGACGGCTGAGGCGGGTATTGGTTGATAGTGTCCTGGAGGGAGGGCTGGCAGCGGAGGATGATCCGGTCGACGTGCGGATGAAGGTGAAAGGGGCGGCCAGGGGAGTATTGAGGCTAGAGGAGGCGGAGGTGGGCGCGACAGGCGTAGAGGTGGAACTGAGGAATCGGTCGGTCGCCATACCCGTCAGATGGTTGCTAAGATTACCGTCGGATCTGTCCGGCAGGTGAGTACTGTGCTATAACCCCGAGTAGAGGAGGGAAGCTGGTGCTGGTGCTGATGATGTAGCAGTATGGGACAGAGGGACCAGGCAGTCTTCACTGGCTCGTTAGTCCATAGTGGCACCCTACAGCCGAATACATCCGAGGTACTGCGTTGCAAGGTGCTTGTTCCGGAATCGGGCATGTTGGATCTTAGCGGGTGGACGGCGGATGTGGAGACTGGAGATGAAGTAGAGGACGGGTGGAGGCCACGCATGAGCTGGAGTAGAGTGGGATCAGGGGGCGTGGTACAGATTATCAGGGAGTAGCTAGGTAGGTAGGCAGGCGCATCTAGGGTGGAGTATCGGCTATAATATGGATGTGAACTCGAGGTGCGAGACTTGCCCGGCTGCTGAGGGCGGCCGCTCCTCTCGCTGCAGTCCTGCTATGCAACCAAGACAGAGCTGAGGGAGTCGAAAGTGAAGGAGTCGAAAGAGCAGGAATACCTGTTGAAGCTTGACACTATCGCCGATACATACTGCATGGCAACAATCATCTACTTCTTTCCCTTCTTCTTCTTCACAGGTGTGGACTACGGTTGTCAGATGCGCCCTCGAGTTCAAAACGACGCCCGAGTGACCATAACTCACCTTTGATGGTGTCCCTCCTGGCGTGGAGGTGCCAGATCCTGGTGATGCCACTACTAGACCGGCTGACGGGCCGGGCGAAGTACTACGAGACGCGGACCCACTGGCGGAGGGAGAAGCCCCGGTGCTCTGTGGAGGAGTGGACTCGATGGCTCTGACCGTCGCTGGCGCAGGGGTGGCAGGAGCAGCGATTTGAGCCCGTTCTGCCGCGGGGAGGTATTTCTGCCTCCGCTCTTGTCTCTTGTCTGGCACGTCAGCTCGGATAGTCCAGAATGATGGACGTGACAAAGCTCACCCTCCTGCGCCTTGACCTTCCCAACGTCCATGACAATCTCCCTCGTCCTCTCCGCCTGCGCCATCTCCGTCGCCGTCGCAAAGATCAACCCTCCCCATCCCTGCCGGAACGTATTCGCCTCCTGCACCACATCCACAATCTCCGCCTCCAGCTCCTTCTCGGCCGCCTCGAACCGCTGCAGCGTCTCATCACCTAGCAGTCCGCGCTGATGCAGATTTGTTAAGGCCATCTTGTCCTCCCGGAGGCGCCAGATACGCTTGACGTCTGCCGAGGCGCGCGTGAGGAGGGCGGATTTGAGGAGCGAGTCGGGTACGGGCGAGGAGCAGGATAGGAGGGTCATGTAGATGTCCCGGGTGGGGTGGGAGGGGAACCATGCTTCGTATGCGCGCTTCTCGGCTAAGGCGTTAGTAAGGGAGGTCAAGCTGGGGGATGGGAGAAAGGAAGGTAGGGCTTACCAGCTTTTCTCTTCCGGTAGACCCGTGAGAAGATGGCGAGGGCCGTCACGAGGACGGTGATGTACGCGACGGGGACGGCGAGGGAGGTCGCCATAGTGTCTATGAGTAGGACGTAGCTGGAGTCTGTTGGAGTGGTGTAGCAAAGGAATGCGTGGAAGTTGCTTTGGTGCCAGGTGAAACGCTAAATGGAGGGAGCATACAAACTGTCCTCGGCCATACCCAAGGCCGAGGTGGTCCAGCAGCTCAAGCAGCGATTGCTACCCAAATTCATTATATCTCGACTACCACCATGGAGCTCGAATCAGACACATACGACGTCGTAGTGATAGGTACAGGGCTGGCAGAGAGTCTGGCAGCAGCGTGAGCTCGCACGTGGACACCGCTCATGGAGTCAAGCTCACACTACAGCTCCCTCGCCAACTCGGGCAAGACCGTGCTCCACCTCGACCCTAACGAATACTACGGCGCCTCCCAGGCTTCTTTGACGCTCGACGAGCTCTCTTCGTGGGCGACTGCTCGATCGGGATCCTCTGCATCTGCCGAAGCTGGACCCAGTACACCTGCACCGTCGATCTACATCTCCGCCCAAAGACGGCGCTACACCCACGCCTCCACCTCCGCCCTGTCCCCCGCCCTCCAGGCCTCTCGGCGGCAGTACGCACTCTCGCTCTACCCTGCTCTTCTCCCCAGTCGAGGTCCGCTTATATCCACCCTGATCACTTCGGGAGTGAGCAACTACGTCGGCTTCCGGATCCTCGATTCAATCAGCGTATGGCGAGGGGAGGGGCAGGAGGTCAAGCGAGTCCCGGGGAGTAAGGAGGAGGTATTTAAGGATAAGAGTATTGGGCTGGTGGATAAGCGGAGGTTGATGAAGTTTTTGATGTTTGTGGCTGGCGAGTTTGAGGGGGAGGAGCTGTTGAAAGGTGAGCTGTCTCGAACAGCATTTTGCCAGGATTATGACACCAGCTGACGGTACAGGCAAGGAAGCGCTCGCACTGCCGGAATTCTTGGCTCAGTCGTTCTCAATACCACCCGGACTATGTCAAGAGATTACATACGCGATAGCACACTGTTCCTCACCAAACGAAGCGACACTACCTGCTCTGCAACGGACAAGAAGATATCTGAAATCTATCGGCCGATATGGACCCAGCGCATTCTTGGTGGGGCAATACGGCGGTGCGGGAGAAGTAGCACAAGGCTTCTGCCGGTGAGCTTCCTGGTGTCCGTTTGCTAGGAAGCACGCAACCTCGAGCTGATCTCTCAGTGCCTGCGCCGTAAAAGGCGGTACATACGTCCTTGGCAGTCAAGCGGATATCGAGTCCCTCGACATCTCATCAGAAAAAGATATCGAGACGCCAATAACGATGAAGCTCGCATGCCACCCTCGACCAATCTCCGCAAAACACCTCATCACGACCCCGGATCACCTACCTCCCCATCTTCTCCCTAATCCAACCGGACCAGGCCCAGAACGGACCACAGCGCACTGTATAGCCGTCCTCTCATCCTTCCCGGTCCTGCTCAGACGAAAGGCAGACGCAGAAGAGACCGAAGAGAGAGAAGAGGATGACACGGCCGTGGTGCTGTTCCCGCCTGAAGGGGAGAGAGGTCTGGTCAGGGGTCTGTTGATGGGTGAGGGGACCGGGAGTTGCCCAGCTGGACAATGTAAGCTAGTAGGCCTTATTCCCGGACTTTTCGCAGATGACGCTGTAGTCATTCTGTACCTCAGCTCGACCGTCACCGATGCGGATGCGGTAGACCCGAAGACCGTTCTGAGACCATATCTCGAGCGCCTTAGCCAAGAGCCACTATTCGAGGCGTACTACCTCTCGCACGACACACAGTCCCCGCCAACAGCCCCATCCAGCTCAGAGTCGCCCCAGTATGCCGCAGGAAGGGTAGTCGTAGTGGAATCATATAGCCAGGGAGAGTCGATAACGGAAGGTCTTGACTGGGAGGCGGAGCAGGGCGAGAAGGCGTTCTGGGCGGTCATGGGTGATAAGGATAAGCTCGAGGCGGGAGTCAAGGGGTGGTGGGAGAAAGATGGGGAGGTGGAAGAGGGAGAAGGAGAAGAGGAGGTCGAGCTGCAGGGCCTGTGAGCGCCGCGCAGAGTTGATCCAGTTGAGATTGGGTCAGCCATAGACCGCGCCGGACACTGCATCTTATTTGGTCGTCATAGCATATTGCATTTCGGTGTAGATTCTGTATGATCAGTGGGGTTCCACATTCCCGAGACAGGACACAGACCTACATTCTTACTCATGGTCTATCCGTACCACCTCACTTTGATCCGAAGAATAGCAATCTCGCCAACTCGACGACAGCTGACCATATCAGCTCCCATCCTCCCGTCCCCGCTATCCCATCCCCTGATCGACGATCCATGACCCCATCCGCCGACGATGATCACTCACTCCCTCCGACAAGCAAGAACCCCATCCCTATCAATACCCAAGCACCCACACTCCGCTTATTCGCCCGGCGTGCTGGTCTTGCGGTCCGTTTCCCAGCTTGAGCCCTCGCTGCGAAATTGGCGTTTTTGCGCCGGATATCAGCTTGGGTCGGCTATAGCGTCAGATCTCACATATCCTTGCTCATCTGAGATGGGTACGCACCATCTCCTACCGCTGCCTGTGGTGGATAAGGTGGGTGAATGCTGCAGCGGATTGGCGATTACAGTCGTGGTTGTTGTCGTGACCGAGCGCGAGACGTGGCAAGGAATGCTGCATGGTTCCGTCGGAAGATAGGTGGCTGTGGGGCTCCAGCGGAGCGGATGGGTTGGGTGGAGGTGCTGGCCGTCGGTCATGGCGCACATGGTGCATCAGCCTTACCTTGATCAGCCTTTGAACCCCCCTGCCCTCCTTCACTTCATACCATCGCCACACTAGTCCAGTCAACATGGCAGCAGCAGCTACAGCAAATAAGATGAAATATGTCAACCTTGGAAAAAGCGGTCTGAAGGTACGTCCACCTTGTCCAGCGGCTCGTTCCTAAGGGTCAAGTTGGCTGATAAGCGTTAGGTTTCCAAGATCATTCTGGGGTGTATGAGCTACGGTGTCAAGCGGCCCAAGGACAAGTGGACCTGGGTACTTGAGGAGGAGGAAGCTATGAAGCACCTCAAGGTGGGTCTGGGCCTGTCATTGTCAGGACCTTCAGCTGATACGGATAGTACGCCTACGACAATGGTATCAACGTATGTTTGTCGTCTACATCAGCTTACTACTCTACGATTTTACAATTCCAGCAGCTAGCTGACCCACTAGACCTTCGACACCGCCGACACCTACAGTCAAGGTTAGCTTACTGTATACCAGCAGCGATAGTATGCAGACAAGCTGACATACCCAGGCAACAGCGAGCGCATCCTCGGATCCTTCCTTAAGAAGTACGACATCCCCCGGGAGAGCGTCGTCATCCTCACCAAGACCTTCTTCAAGTGGGGCGATGCGGAATCGTACGGTCCCGCAGGCCATGTAAATAACTCTGGTTTGAACAGGAAGCGCATCTTTGCGGCTGTCAAGGCATCGTGCGAGCGGCTTGGGACGGACTATGTCGATGTCTTCCAGGTGAGTTGAAACCTTCCGTCGTCTGCCTCTGTGGAGACGAAGGATGAGAAGCTGATATAGGTAGTGCCATCGCTTCGACAATGATACCCCGGTAAGTTGGGCATTACGTCTCATTGGATAGCCAGTAGCTGACAAGTCAGATCGAAGAGACCATGCAGGCGCTGCACGACATAGTCCAGGCTGGGTACGCGAGATACATCGGCATGTCGAGTTGCTGGGCTTGGCAGTTCCAGGTCATGCAGCGTGGGCTATCATCTTCTCTACTCCGGAGACACCAGCTGATTTCATAGAGTATGCCATTCAGAACCGCTTGACTCCGTTCATCAGCATGCAGAACTTCCACAATGCAATGTATCGGGAGGTCAGTTATTGTATCTACAGACTTCTTTGGTAAAATGTGTAGGGAAGCTGACGCAGTGCAGGAAGAGCGCGAGATGATGCCTACCCTGCAGCACTTTGGTGTCGGCTGCATCCCCTGGTCCCCGCTCGGAGGTGGCAGTATGTCTCACTTTCATCCTCTTGTTCCTGTCCCGTGCTGATATCGCAGTCCTCTGCCGCCCATACTCTGCCGAGAAATCGACCGACCGCTCCAAGGAGCTCTCCTTCGGCGGCGAACCTAGCGCCGCAACCCAAGCCATCATCGCCGAGATCGAAGAGATCGCCAAGAAGCGCGGGATCCCCATGTCGCACGTCGCCTTCGCATGGTCCACCTCCAAGCCGTTCGTCACTGCTCCTATCATTGGGACGACCAAGATCGAACAGTTGAAGGACGCGATCGAGGCGGTCAGTGTCGAATTGACCAAGGAGGAGGTGGAGGAGATTGACAAGTTGTACGAGCCGACCAAGGTGTTTGGGCATGCTTAGCCGGACGTCCTGAGGAAGACAATGCATTTTGCTGCCAATACTGATAGAGCCCAATGATACCGAACAAGATCTAACGCTCACGCCTACTTGACCTCCACAGCCCATACTTTCCTCCCCTTCCACTTGCCCTCCTTTGCGCCCTTGACGACCCTCACGTCCGCCTCGGGTAACGCGACCCATACCGTGCTTCCCCAGAGCGTCGGGAACCCATGCTCTTCCCACCTCGCACTGACCTCAACCTCCTCCTTCCCTCCCTTGTACGTAACCTCCACCACGCTCTTCTTCGGCTTCATCGAAATCCCATCATCCTCGATCCACCTCCCGGCCTCCTCCTTGCCCTCTTTGCCGGGGAAGATGAGCGCCCCGCGCCAATCGTCCAATCCCACCACACCTCCCTCGCTCTCCAGCTGGACATTTACGCCGTCCGGCGTAGTCCGCGCCGGACCTTTCTCTTGCGTGACGGTATGATAGTCCTTTCCTACCGGAATGACGGAACCTTCGCGCGCAAACAGCCCAAAGTGTTCGAGTGGGGTAGCGATAGTGGCGCGCGTGCCGGCGGCGTAGGACCGGAAGGGCGCGTGCAAGTCAAAGTAGAGGGAAGTGTCGGTAGGTGATGATTTGGGGAAGTAAACTTCGCGCGTGAGCATACCGGGGAAGAGGGCGGGGCAGGATAGGAGCTGGCCGGGACCGATCCATGCGTCAAAGCCTTTCAGAAGGGGCTCGGTGTAGAGCTCAGGGTCGGATGCGAAGGGGCCGTAGAAGAGGGGCAGGTTGGTCGCTACCGCGTGCAGGTGAGAACCCCACATGAGCGAATTGCTAGACGATCAGCCAGAACCTTGTGCTGACAGAGACAAGATTTACAAGAAGGGGAGGAACTCGTATCGCCACTTTATCTCTTTCCGGACGATAGGCAGCATCTCGGGGTACTACCATGTCAGCACCCACGTCGGTTAGTGTCATGAGTCGTTGAAGGTAGCTCACCATCCATGGCAGATTAGTCGCGGCCGCACCGCTCGGATCATCCTTGTTCGGCTTGTAACTGTGAATACAGAAACGACTGTGCGTCACGCCCAACTGGACCCAACGGACAAACAGCTCTGGGTCGGGCAGAGGTCCGCCGAACCCGCCAACGTCCGCACCGTACGCTGTCAGAAGAGAGAGACCGGCGTTCAGCTGCATTGGCTGAGAGCCGCGCATGTTGTGCCAGCTACAGAGTTAGCCAAGCGCCAAGAACAAAGTGCAAGAGAGGACTGACCTGGTATAGTTGTCGCCGGACCAGGTGGAGCAGGCGTATTTGAAAGTCCCGACGTTCCCGGATCGGGTGAGGACGTATGTACGCCGGTCGGGCAGCTCGGCGGCGAGGGTGTCATTACTGACTTTGGCCATCATCTCGGTCTGTGGTGTCAGTACTGGTGGACCCCACACCGCAGTCAATTACTCACATTGATCATTCTCCCCAGAAGACCGACATTCTGCTTCCCCTCGATTGGTGAAGCAAACTCATGCGGCGCCTCGTTTTTGGCCAAGAAGAAGTCATCTCGGAGGTAGTACTCGTTGTTATCGCTGACGGATGAGCTTGACCATCCTGCAGGTAAACGAAGAACTCACTTCCACATCCCATCGACACCGAGGTCGATCAGACTCTTGACACCGTCGGCCCACCACGCCCTCCCTTCGATACTCGTCAAGTCGCTCCATCCACCCGGCGCGGTCGTCCCCACTCCGGAAGACCAGATGCGCACCTCGACCGACTTGCCAGTGTGCGGGTTGTGGAAGAAACCGTCCGCTTTGTGCACGCGCTCGTAGTGTGGGTGACTGGCCAGCATGTCTAGAGTATCAGCTTGATTCTCCTTGAAGCATGACGAGCCAAAGATCCGCTCACAAGGCTTGATGTTGGGCACGACCTTGATTCCAGCCTTGTGGAAGACCCCAACCATACTCTTGAAATCAGGGTACCGCTCCTTGTTCATAGTAAAGACGAGCCGGTCGCCTGTTTTGGGGTCCGCAGTATAGCCTGATGAGAGCTGATGGTCAGCTGGTTGCCTCGCCACGAATGGCGGACGGACTTACGTGCATGGCGGAACAGGGGATATCGTGCTTCTTACAAAGCTCTGGCCAGCCTTCGAGCAGATACTGGGCTTTCGGCTCATCCTGGATATCAGTAAAGCACCATTTCATGGACTGAGGAGGACTTACTGTCTCTCCGAGACCCATCCCGGATGCAAGATACCCCAGCCAATCCCTTCCGACCAGCTTCGGCATGCCCACAATCTCTCCCCATGTCCGCACCACCTGCGGCACCCCCTTACCCACCAACACCCACTCCTCAATCCCGCCAAAGTCCTGGGTGTAACTCTTGAAGTACCCACTCGGATCATCGTGCTGCTTCCCAACGTCCCAAATTCCAAAGCTGTTGGTAGCGTGGAAGATAGCGTAGGTCGAGACCGGCGCCTTGCCGTCGTCGGTCGGCCGAGGCGTGGAGATGAGGTATGGGGTATGCTTGTACAGCGGGTCACCCTCATACGCGTCATAGTGCGCCGAGTCCTGTCCGTGCATCTGGAACGCCCGCTGTGAGAGGTCGATAGGACCCCCTCGCTCTCCGCCGCCAAGATGGAGGTTGTTGAGGGGGATATACCAGCGGCGGGCGACGCCGTGCTCCGAGAGCCCGTACGACCGGTTCGGTAGGTCCTGCAGGATCCGGACGGGCGCCGAGGAAGAGTCTGTAAACTCCCAAGAGGAGAGCACGAGGGATGAGGACCAGTCGAGCTTCAAGAAGCGCTTCTTGTCGTCCGCGCCGTCCATCTCGGCCGGACCAGCCGAGGGGAAGTCGAAAGTCGCGGTGCACGCCTTGGCGTCGAGGGAGGTGAGTTTGAAGTCGACGGGCTTGGACCGGAGGATGACATTGTCATGTGGCGGACGCGGACGGTCGGGGCCAGTGAGGATGGTGCGGTAGGCGTTGGAGAGAGGGAAGTCGAGCGTCCACTTGAAGCCGCCAAAGATGGCCTCGGGGGACGACTCGAGGGAGAAGGAGGAGATGGAGGTGCCGGTCTTGGGCGAGGAGGAGGCAAGTTGCCACCCGGCGAGTTCACGTTCGACGATAGGCATGATGGTCTGTTGTTGTACTAGGCCGATGATGGGGATGTGCGAGCGGTCAACGCGAGCTTTATCAACCCAAGCGGCAACAAGCCAAGAACGCGACCGGATCTGCGGCTCATCATCCGATTACGTTACCGGTCTAACGGACGCCGGTGGACCGGTCCAGCCGGACCTTGTCGTTCGGTCAGTTTCTCTCTTCAGATGCTCTTGCATGATGAGTTACACTGGTTGAGCGCTTGAGCAGCTGAAGGTGGAACAGCAGACGATATCTGAGCATAGTTGGACCCTCCACGCTGGCGATTGGACGGCGAACGAGCTGTGTGAACTGAGTTTCGCGTCGAGAAGCTTGAATCTGCGAAGTCCGTGCGAGCGTTTCATCTTACGCGTCAGCCAAGAGCTGCGAGGGACAGGGTGAACGCGAAGCTGATCATAGCTGCGCGGAAGAGTCTGACTTCTATCTGATACACAACTTGGTATCTGAGGGACTGACCGTCTAATTCGAGATCTAGCCTACCCCTCGAGGCGCGATGGATAGGCCGGTCCCGACCTCGAGCAGGCAGGCTGGGAAAGACGGCGGTGAAAGGGTGATCGAGCATGAGAGCTGGGAGCTGCATACCGAGAGCGCAGGGGACGATGGGGAGGATGTGGTACGTTGGGCTGCTGTGGATGCAGCTACTGCCCTCGGGGAAAACAGCTGATAGCAGCAGCATGGCCTGAGCGATATCCAGGAATCCCATCGTCGGGAAATCAAGCATTATCGAAACCTTCTCATTCGCGCCCAGTCAGCGTCAGCAGCCAGCATACACGAGCTCGACGGGAGGCTACGTGAGGCGGAGACACGGTATGACGATCTTCTCAGGCAGCATGGGGAATGTGGTAAAGGCAAGGGGAAGGAGGTGGATGTTGATACGATCAGGGAGGTAATGCGGACTTTGGACAGGAGCGGGAGACTGGAGATGCTGGATATGGTCCTGGAGGGTGAGTCCATCAATTATCATGTACATCTAGAGCTGTCGTAGCTGATCCACCAGGCTGCCTACCTTCTGATATATCATCGCAAATCGGCGTGCTGCAGAGGTATAAACGGTCCCGATTCGACATCCTCGGCAATCTCGGTGCTACCATCATACCCACAGTGATGGAGTATTTGGACGTCTCCGATATCGTGTCTCTGAGACAGGTGAGTCTCTGCCGATGGCACAGGACTGGATCGCCTGACCGACTCTAGGTGTCCAGGGCGTATCACGACATCACCAAGTCGGCGTCTATCTGGAGGGCGCGTTGCCTTGTACTGGAGGGGTCGGAGGCTCTCGCTTGGCGGGTGCAAGCTCATAGAGCCGAGCCGAGTCGCGAGATTGAGTGGTGAGTAGTACTCCGCACTATACAGGCGGGGGTGTGCTGATTCTGTAGGGAGGATGTATACAAAAGAATGCTTCATCGGGAGAAGAATTGGAGATCTGCCAAAGTGGGTCAAGATGGAGCATGGGCTACGAGATTGCAGCTGATGGTATAGCCAGTGTGCGTACAGGTGCTTCAGGGTCATTTGAAGCATGTCGTTGCTGTGGTCTTGCATCACGATACGTTGTTTAGTGGCTCAATGGACGGATCGTGAGCTGTCACCAGCATCACTGCGAGCTGGAGCTGATGAGAGCAGTATCAAAGTCTGGCGCGTTCCATATCTCGCTTCAACTGACCAGCGGACCGTCAATCTCATACATACTATCTCGACCTCGCCAACTCGAGCTATCTCTTGTTTAGCTTTTCATCCCGCCGACAAGATCTTGGTGGCCGGTAGTTCCGATGGGCGGGTCCAGATCTGGCAGCAGGTCGGGAAGGAGTGGCGATCCCAGCATGTCCTGCTTGGGCATACCCACGGAGTGCGCTCAGTCGCGTACGTCGAGGCTACTAAACCGACTGTAGACAGGAGCTGATGAGTGCAGTATAGATGGCAAGCGTGTTGTCTCGGCCGGTCAAGACAAGACCATCTACATCTGGGATTGCCGGTATGTCCGCCCATCAGCTGGTCAGATTTACAAGCTGACTTCACAGGACTGGCGAGCGGTTGATGCGCTTCCCTCAAGCCGAGTACTGCCTCGAAGTTCGAATCATCGGCGATACCGTCCTGGCGATCATGATGGAGGGCTCGATCAGCGTCTTCTCCGTCGAGGAGCGGCGGATGGTGGCTCAGCACAGGTTGGCAAGTCTGTCATCTGCTGTCTCCGAAGTCGGGTCCGGTGGAAGCACTCGTATTCCGATCAGCTGGTTCGGCCTGGACGGAAGATACATGGTAGTGAGTACTCTGTGCGGTCCACGACCGAGCAGCGCTGATATCCAGTGCGGCAATTACGATACTTGCTATCGCTTCGAATGGCGACTTCCAGATCCCAATCGAGTCGAGGCACTCCCTGATACCGCCTCGCGCCCCTCGCCCGTCAAGCCGAAACTCCTCTCCACACCAGGAGCGAAACCTCCCTCTCGATCCACTACCACTCCTCTTCCGGCTCAGCGTGTCGGATCAACCCCATCAGCAACGCCCACCAGATCGTCCACACTGCCCCTGCTTCGGCCCCATTTAGCCAAGTCGACATCGTCGTCATTATCGTCCGCCCGCACAACTCCAAAGCGCTCAATGAGTGGATCCGACCGGCTTCTCAGCCCTACCGCGCCCTCTTCCTCCTCGGGATCTCGCCATGCCAGTCGGCTATCCCGATCCCCTTCCTCAATCGGTCTCGCGGCCATCAGCCCGGTCACTACCAGCCCAGGCGATAGCGGGAGCGCCGAGCCTGAGGGCTTGAGTCCCATACCGTCTCTCTCCGTCCAGACCCTACCTGACTTCCGCATCCCGCCAGTACTTGTCTGCTGTCACCCAGTCACGTCGATCGAGAAGGGTGCTCTCGGTCCAAAGGGTCGAATCGTCTGCTCTACTCGCTTTGCAGCTCGTAAAGGGGCGAAGAGGGAGGTAGGCTACGATCAGCATCTTTTCGGCGGTACGTTGCTGACTCCTATGTCAGATCTACGTTGGTTCTGTGACGACCGCAGAAGCCGGCCTGGAGAAGATGGAGTGCGTACGCCTGGGAGGGGCTTGGTGCGCACAGGCCGAGGAGCTGGGACTAGAGACACCGGACAAGAACCCGCTGACCATCGCGGTGGATTGCGAGAAGTTCATCGTGAGTAGATCACATCTTTCTCGGGGGATGATGAGCTGACTCGGTCAGTATGGGTGCACGGATGGATCAATAGTCGTCGCTTCTTTTGGTTGAACTGAAGAGCCAATATGCACACGCATCTTGCCTTGGCCAGTAAGCGCGTCCATAGCAGAGCGCCACTACACCGATGTCATCAGCGTACCGAGTGCCCATCCACCATGAGCATGCCCGTCGGCGAGATAAGACCCGAATATCACGGACGTTGACTGAGATACATGTGAGCATCTGCCGAGATCCTCACGCAATCGAACAATATCGATTGCAACACCCCCACCACCACCAACCTCAGCGGAGTATCGTTTTATAATTCTTTCCCTACCATTCGTCCGCGAAAGGCACAGCAGAGCTATATCGTGTGCACTGATCATGTGCCGAAGTGATCTCTCGCTCGGCCGCCGCGTGCCGCTCCGCCGGAGCCTCTCTGCGGTTCCCGAAATAGGTAGTCACCCCGATCGCACGGTAGATTACAAGCCGCATACCCCGGGAGCCCCGCGGAATCCGGCTGTGGGGCGCACGAGTGCCGGCTGAAACACTTACGGCATGGTCCACCTGACCTCTCGATCTGGGATGTTGCTCCACTTATGAGATGCCTGTCGAAGGCCACTAGCTCCGTTTGAGGTTACTACATTCACAGTTTGACACATCCACACCGGCACACACAAAGTCGATACCCGGACCAGACATGTTGTCTGCCCAAAATGTTTATATATGGCCTGAGAGGCGCTCGTCTCGCCCCATCCATCCTCTGCCAGACACTTCTTACACGGTCTTCACTCAGCCACTCACTTTTCCATCACCTACTACCGAGAGCACTCCAGCATGGCGTTCGGCAAAGACTCCATCATCTACCTCATCTCTACCATTCTCTGTACCCTCACCTTGGCGGCGAGTGGCAACGCCCTCCGCCAGCGTAATATCAACGTAGGCAATCAGACAGCTACGGCGGCTGCGACCGGTGGTGAGTGCTCTGCGCCAGTGCTGCTAGGCTCGAGCTGACAGGAGCAGTGCGTCTTGAGATCAACACCGATGACTTGACCAACGCTGGATGGGCGTTGGGCGTGGGAGCCGGTGGAGCAGCAGTGAGTCTTGCCTTCGTCTCCCGAGGCCGGGTAGTGGCAATAGCTGACATCGCTCCAGGTCGGCTCTCTCATCCTCTTCCTCTACTCGCTCCACCTTCGCCCCGTTGACCGCTTCTCCCGCAAGGTCTTCTTCCTCAGCCCCTTGATGCTCACCCTCAACACCCTCCTCATGTTCGCCTCAGCCATCCCCGTTACCATCTTCGGTCGGACCAGGGAGGCCGGTGTCAAGGGGTTCATTGGCAACACTCAGCTACCTGATGCTGTCATCAAAGGCGCGAGCACCATTCCCGCCGAGTAGTACGTCTCTGCCAGGTGCTGTCTCTCGTCTGTGACCAAAGCTGACTCGTCGTAGCTGGCAGAATGCCTACGTCAAGTTCATGGTCATTGCTGCTTGGCCTGAGCTCCCTTTCGCCATTCTTGTGAGTGATCCGCCGCGAAGCAAGTGGTTCTAGAGTTGATTGTGTCAGTCTTGCTTCCTCGCGTACAGGGCGTGGCGCAAGGAACGGCCCTCTGCTCAGCACCACCACACCGACACTGTTCACCCCGTCATTAGTCACAATGAGGAGAAGACTCAAGATATTCGACACGCAGAACGAATGTAGAGGAGGTCCGGAACCAAGGACAGGGTGCGGTTTCAAGGGTTGTTATCGCATGGGAAGCAAATGTGAAAGAAGTAGTGCTACTGTAGTATGTCATTGTGTATGCAGGTGTGGAATGAAGCTGTCGCGCAGATGCAGAAGAGCAAAGCCAGACCCTGTGAGTTTAGCAACGCAGGAACCAATAACCTTTCCACTCGTGCTCGAGCCGCTGATCGCTGTGCTTCCCCGCTCGCTCCGCGTTTCTGATCTGCCAATCCCGTGCCTACTCGCCACCCATGCTCATCATCATGACTGTTCACGCCCCGCGGAGTCCACCGAGGTAGGGAGTCACTTGCAGGCAAAGCGGGAGGTTCTAGGCTCCTTAGACCGTCCACTTGATCCAGTCATTTTCGGACGGGGTGAGCATCTACGTAATATTCGCTAATATAAGCTAGGTGTGCTATCGGGATGGTGATCTACAGTGGTATCAGGTACTAGGTGCGTATGGGTTGATCGGGGACGAAGGGGACCAGCGCAGTCGAGCGTGTGGACCGATACTACCAAAACAAGCTTTGATGGTACTGGTGGCTCATAGTCATAAGCTCCCACATGGTACTGGCGAGATGGCACGCATCACGAGCAAGCATCGGACGCGCGTCGGCCTGTAGTAACGTCAGCGGGGCATCGTTGCACAAGCGTGCATCCTAATGACTTACAGTGGCCGCGACTGACAGATCCTCCCCATCACAAATACATTTGGGTGGCCAAAGGTGGTCTTCGGGCGCGAACCAGACCGTTGATCTGATGTGCTTGTCCGGATCGCTCTGGATATCCTCGCCGCCGTATCCGAGAGAGTCGAGGTGTTCGAGGACAAGCGTGCGTAGAAAGGCTGAGTCGCCGGGTGTGAAGGGGGATGCAAGCTGAAAGGCTCCGAAAACCTTTACAAACCTCGCCTCTGAACGGGTGAGACAGTCGTGCCAGATGTCGAAGTGACGGTCCGCGATCTGGTCAAGCTCTATATCCTGTGCTGACTCCTCTTCTTCGCTGTCCGAAGCTTCCGAGCCTCCTTCTACTTCCACCTGACCCGGCTCGAGTGGTCCTTGTGGGCCGTGGATGAAGACGTAGTTCCGCCTGCCCCTGAAGGAGCCGATCCATTCCGGTAGCGTCTCCGGATTGGGGACGTGCAGTGCCGCAGAATTGATCTTCCCTTCGATTGCTATATCCTTGAGCCAATATTGGACCGAGCTGATGGACGAGAGGGACGATGGATTGAGGCCGACGTTGTGAGGGTATTCGAGTGAAACGCAGACGTCCCATTCCGACGGCTCCTCGGGCGGAGCTGGCGATCCGACCGACCGAGATCCGCTACCGATGCACGTGCCGATGCTTGGCGAAGCCGGTGATCCCAGCGCAGATAGACCAGGGGGAGAAGATGGAGCGGGGGTGTCCCCGAGCGACGCGTCTGTGTCGACAATTGGGCGGATCGTAATATTAAGCTCGTAAGTGCCTCTATCATCGCCCCTGTCTTGTCAGCTGTGAGCTCGCCTGAGCTATTTGCACGGCGGAGACTTGCTGTACTCACTCGGTGTAGGCTATGTAACGTAAAGCAGGGAACGCTATACTCGCAACAGGCCATGCGTTGATCGTGCCCTCTAGTAACCTCGCCAGGCCCGCCCCGTTCAGCTGCGAGCTCGAGCGGTCTGGACCGCCCTCCCCCGGAGTTGCGGGTAGAGATCCCCGTACCTCCAGCTCCTCCACACGCCTCCACAACGTCGTCTGGTCCTCCAGCCCGGGTGGGCGGATGCTCGTTGCGGTGTCTATCGCCATGGCATCGCTTCCCAGCAGGGTTGACAGAGACGGGCGACGCCTGCTGGCATGAGGGCTGGGGTAGAAGCTATCGATGTCCTCCGTCCGAAGTGAAGGCCGACGATACAGCATAGGCGATGCAATCTGATACATCTGCTGCGACGTTCTCATGAGAGTCGCCATGGTTGCCTGAGCGTCGCCCGCCGCTAGATCTTTGACGATTTGGGTGAGCAGCTCGACCGGGAAGCGAGTGGACGTCAGCGACATATCGGTTGAGGGAGTGTCCGGTATGAGACGGGTCGGAGAGATAGGAGGAGGTGTGGGAGCGGGGACTGGTATCGACATGTCTTGATGTGGCGATATCGAGGATGAGAGGCAAACGAGAGAAGGAGGGAAGGGCTGCTGATCGTGGCGACACTGAAACATGGCTGGTGTTTCATGTGTCAGCACGATGACGAGAGCGATAATTCTGATTCCGTCACTGCTTGAAATCTTCGACCACCTTGGTCCACCAGCAAATGGCTCATCTTCATAGCATATCATCTCTCTACGAGCATACAGTAAAACTATACTGACGCCATGGTCAGTTGGGCTGACTATATCAGAGATCTGTGCTGATCCCCTTAGCCGCTTGCACGAACGAAAGCATCCAGCTCAGGCCTCGGAAAGGCGCTGATCAACCGGAAAGCCAAGGAAGCTGTAGCGCCGAAGGAGAGCGGACTGGTGAGTGCTCCCCATGCGCTGGCTGTGTATACACATGAGAGCCAACAGCTGATCCAAACAGTACTCGCTGGATGAGTCGAACCCGCTGCAGTCGGTCACCCACGAGCGAGACCTGGATGAATTCCTCGCCAATGCTGCATTGGCAGATGCAGACTTCACGACGGGTTAGTCTGCTCATGAAATGTTCATATCAGTATGTGATAGCTGACATGGTGCAGAAAGATCAAAATTGCGGATTATCGCCGGTCCTGGAGTGTCCACAAGCGGCGAGAACCCATTCTTGCTGAATGAGCAAGAGGAGAAGGTGGTCAAGGCGAAGCAGCGGGACTTGCGGAGTGAATTGAGGGTGCCCAGAAGGTAAGCTATCCTTGCTCCATCCAAGGGAAAGGTAGCTGACGCTTTAGACCCGCATGGACGAGACATACCACCCGGCAAGAATTGGAGAAGCAGGAGCGAGAATCTTTCCTCGACTGGCGGCGGAGCCTAGCAGCGTGAGCTATCTTCGACTCAGACATTCTAAAATGAAGCTCATTCTCCAGACTAGGCGAAGACTCCAGCCTCCTCATGACACCTTTCGAGCGCAACATCCAACTCTGGCGACAACTCTGGCGTGTCCTCGAGCGGTCTCACTTGGTCGTGCAGATCGTGGACGCCCGGAATCCGCTCGGCTTCCGCTGTGTCGATCTTGAGGCGTACGTTGAGGAGATTGGGGATGATAGTGCGGAAGCGGCGGTGCCAGGGAAGGGAAAGCGGAGGAGTTTGTTGTTGATCAATAAGGCGGATCTGTTGACTGTTGAGCAGAGGTACGTCCTCAACGATAGAATGGTGGCGGGAAGTAATGCTGATCGTTTAGAGGAGTATGGGCGGACTACTTTGAACGTCATCGCATCACCTACGCTTTCTTCTCGGCTACAAACGCTGCTGCTGCTCTCGAGCAGGCGGATAAGCAGAGACGGAGGGCTGAGGGGGACTATGAGGAGGAGGAGAGCGATGAGGAGGAAGGAGATGCCGCGGAGCAATCAGACGATGAGGAGGTGTCGGGAGAAGAAGTCGAGCCGGAATCCGACGACAACGAGGACATTGCTGCGAAGGTGGACAAGCTGGATATTGGGGACGATGAAGAAGGATGGTCAACCGAAGGAGAAGATACGGAGGATGCAGAGCTGGCAGGAGAGGTGGAGAAAAAGTTGACCGAGGGGCAGACAGTACCGCTGCAGGAAGTCGCACGGGAGGTGGCGGAGACGGCAGCGGAGGGCGACGAGCACCCTCGGACAAGGGTATTGAGCGTGACGGAGCTGGAGGACTTGTTCATCGGTTCTGCACCCCCTCTCAGCGGTACGTCGAATGTGCTCCGGGAGAGTGCGAGTGATCCTGAGCTGATTATCAGAATTCGCCACGCAACGCGATCCTACCCCTACCAAACTTGTCGTCGGACTCGTCGGGTACCCCAACGTCGGTAAATCATCCACTATCAACGCCCTCCTCGGCTCCAAAAAGGTCTCGGTCTCCTCCACTCCCGGAAAGACCAAGCACTTCCAGACTCTCGTCCTCTCGGACGAAATCACTCTCTGCGATTGTCCCGGTCTGGTCTTCCCTCAGTTCGCCAATACCCAGGCGGATATGGTGGTGGACGGAGTGCTTCCCATCGATCAGATGAAGGAGTACTCTGCGCCGGTAGATCTGCTCTGTCGGCGGATACCGAGGGAGATTATCGAGGGGACGTACGGAATCAGGATTGATGTGGTCGGCGTGGAAGAAGGCGGGACGGGGAAGATGGGCTGGGAAGAGATGCTTTCGGCATATGCCAGTAAGTTCTGTCAGCTGGGGTGGTGAGAGTGTGGCTGATGAGACAGTCGCAAGAGGTATGACCCGTGCATCGTTCGGTATGCCCGATACATCCCGCGCGGCCCGCCATATCCTCAAAGACTACGTCAACGCCCGTCTCCTCTTCGCCCACCCTCCGCCCAACATGACAGCCGACGACTACATGCGGACCAGTCGGGAAGAAACCCTCGACCGCCTGGAAGAGGAGTTCCGGAATGGCCGGAAGCGCGCCCCTGCCACGCACGTCACCAAGAACGCCGATACTTTTGTGGCGCCTGCCCGTCGTGCACCCGCAGCTGGCGCTGAAGAGGATGACGATGCAGAGTCGACCGTTCCGGAATCGGAGAATCAGGTGGAAGAAGCGCCCACTCCGTTCGGCCTGCGTGATCGCCAAGCAACCTCCCGCCAGATCAAGGCCAACGCTGCCTCGGCGCCCACGCGGACAGGCAAGCAAAAAGCCGCGGCGCTCGACGACTACTACTTTACCGAGTCGGGACCGGCTCCTCGTCCAGTCATCAGCGGTAGAAGGCAGGCGCCGATGGAGCAGGAAGAGGGACTCGGGTACTCTAGGCAGAAGGTGTACCCGCACCAACGGCGATTGGGCCCTGATGGACAGCCGTTGCTCCAGCCGCCAGAGGGGCCGAGGAGCGGTGTAGGGAGTAACAAGAAGCACTTCAAGGTGAAGGAGGGGAAGAAGCGGAGTGGGAGGGGGTATGATTAGCCGAGTTGTACAGCGCAGAGATGTATGTGGCGGTTCATCAGAAGTACTGGCCGATTGCTGCGGGCCGCTCCGGGCCGGTCAGGTGCCGCTGCTAAACTGCTAAACACCTTGTTTTTGCGGCAGGTGACCGCTTGATCTCTTTGCGCATCTTGTCTCTGCCTCTGTAGCCGGCGTGCATATATAGCGGGCTCTGGCTCTCTGTTTGCGCATGTTATCCTCCTCCAGCCTGCAAGATCACTCACCGGAAATTACAAGGAACCATGCCCATCTTGGCCCACTCATCCCGTCGCCTCGCACGGAGAAGAACGGCTGATATTCTCTCTGTGTCTCCCGCAAGCCGGCCTGTGGCCTCACTGTCCCCGTCTGTGCAAGCGGCCGCTGTCGCGCGTCAGCCAAGGAAGGAAGGCGACGTAAGTGCGCTTGTCTCTCGCTCTAGCGGAGTAGCTGATCCTCCCAGATCGGCTCTGTTTTCGCCTCGCTTTCGGGGGAAAAGGAGACTCCTCTTCCCGCCCGGTTTGGCGAGCTCAAGCAGTAAGCATCGAGCGGACCTAGCTATACGGCAGGCTATCTGACCTCCTAGTCTCATCATCGGCGATGCGGACAATCAAGCGAGACTGACGGCCAGTTGGAGGAGCCTTATCGAGCGATTGAGGCAGCTCGCGCCCGAGATTGAGAGGAAGCAGCAACAGGTTGGCCTGCTTCGTCGTCTGTGACCAGAAGGTCAAGCTTCAAGACGAGAAGCTGACGGTAGCAGTCGATTCCAACGGTCAGCTATGAAGAGCTAATCGAGGCTCCGTCGGAGCGCACAATTCAGGATATCAAGCGGTGTGGAACGCTGGTCCTCACTGGTGTGATCCCGGAACAGGAGGTAAATTCGATAAGTGCAGATGGAGCGTGAGCGACAACGAGGAAGGAGGCATGCTGATCCGGACACAGGCACAACAGTGGCTCGAGGACATCCGCACTTACATCCATCTCAATCCATCAGTGAAAGGCTTCCCAGCGAATGATAAGCAGGTCTTTGAGATCTAGTGAGTCCAGCCAAGCGCTCTAATACTCCCGCTTCACCCACTCACAGGTCCTCAGCTGGTCCAGACCCCAACTCGCCGCCCGCTCTCACCCCCGTGCCCTCGCAGCCCAACGCGCCCTCCTCAAGCTCTTCTCCGCCCCGCCCTCCGCGCCCGTCTCCCTTGAGACCCCCTTGACCTACGCCGACAGACTCCGAATCAGGCATCCGGGAGATGCCAAATTCGCGCTGGGTCCGCATATGGATGGCGGGAGTGTGGAGCGGTGGGAGGATGAGCGGTATCGTAGTGTGTATGGCGAGATTCTGAGGGGGAGATGGGAGGCGTTCGATGCATGGCAGATGGGTGAGTGACTTCCCCAGAAGTAGTGGCGGATGAGCTGATTTGGATTAGATCATCGGGTGGAGGCGAATCAGAACATGTACGATGGAGCCGGGTCGGTCAGTCTCCTTCTCTTCCCCGATCAAGACGCGGACTGATCAGCAGTGCGGCGTCTTCCGAGCTTTCCAAGGCTGGACGTCCCTTTCTTCGACGGGGCCGAAGGAGGGAACACTCCGCGTCTATCCCCACATCCGAGAACAGACCGCATACACTCTCCTTCGACCACTCTTCAAAGAGCTCCAGCCGCGATCGGCACTCTCGCACGAGGACTACCTGTCCGCCGAGAATTGGGTTCTCGATATGGAATCGACACGGTTCCCCGGTGCACCGCTCGCACGAGGTCAAGAGCTGAATAACGAGACGCATCCGCATCTTGAGCTGGAAAGGAGTATGGTCAGTATCCCGAGGGTGAAGCCGGGAGATCAGGCTTGGTGGCATTGTGGTGGGTAAATCCACCTAGAGGCGGGGGACAAGCTGATGATTTCAGACGTGGTCCATGCTGTCGAGTCGACACATCAGGGCCAAGGCCCGTCAGCCGTCATGTACATCCCGACTGTACCGCTGACGGCCATCAATGCTCAGTACGTGAGGGATCAGCGCGAGTCGTTCCTTCAAGCGATTCCCCCACCGGACTTTCCCGGTGGAGTCGGCGAGAGCCAGTTCCAGGGTACAGGCAGGGAGAGCGACATTGTTGGAGATACAGCAAAGAACGGGTAAGTAGCACAGCTGGATTATGCGGCGTCGACGAAGCTGATAAGCAGGATGGGTATGGCGGCTTTCGAGGTCCCAGCAGATCTTTCCCCTGGCGAAGCGGACATCCGGAGGCGAGCGAATGAGGTATTTGGGTTCTAGATCCCATGTGACTTATATCTTGATAGACGTCCTTATGCCTGTTGTATCTCCAGCGACCCCGCCTCGCCCAGCCTGGCCTTGTGGATCTTGATATCCTCTACTGGCCGGTCGTTGTTGTCCGTCCGGACCGCTTCTAGGCGCTGGACGGTCTTCATACCGGATGATATACGGCCAAAGATGGTGTGCTTGCCGTCGAGGAATGGTGTTGGTGCCTGTAAATCAGCAAGTATTCACACTGACGGGTGGTTGATGGATGGGGAGTGGAGGTGGATCGGCAAAGCTCACGCAGGTGATGAAGAACTGCGATCCTGATCCATCAGCTATCTTTCTTCGTCTGGCAGGCGCAGCTGTATGAGAGGGCAGCACAGACGCTCACCGTTTGTGTTGGGTCCAGAATTCGCCATTGCTAAGATCCCAGCACCGACGAAGCGCAGGTCCGGATGTAATTCGTCAGCGAACTTATCGCCATAGACGGATGTTCCGCCTCGACCGGTTCCTGTTGGGTCTCCTCCTTGGATCATGAATCCCTACATGATCAGCCACCACTTTGCCCGAAACAAGAGCCATCTGCCACGATTTGACAGGAACAGCGAGGGCAAGGAGGCGAGAAGAGGACTAACTGGTATTATCCGGTGGAAGACAACGCCGTTATAGTATCCTCTTTCCGCCAGCTTGCTGAAGTTGTTACATGTCTACATCTCGTCAGCTACAAGGCTTCCGCAGGTGTACACGCACTCAGCTCACCTTAGGCGCGTGCTTTGTATACAGCTCGACCGTGAACTGCCCGACGTTCGTGTCGAAGGTAACGTATTCTGCACCGCTCATTTTTGCTCGTCTAGTGGAGTTATGGGTATCGTTCGGTTCCTCTCCTAAGCGGCTATCCGATAGGATGCTTCAGTATGTGGTGCAGTATGTATGCTTGCAATGTGGATGAGGTATAGACCTGAAACGAAGCATAGGGAGGATCTGAAACTTGGGCGAAATTTGGTCCCGTTCACCACCTTGTCGAGCTCACGGAAGTCCACCTTCTTAACTGCCTTCCTCACCCACATCACTCAAATCTCGCTGACAGGCGCTGATCAAGATGGGTCGCAATGGCCTCATGGGCACCTTCCAGGGCCTTGACGCGTTCGGAAAGGTCAGCTCAGTTGGCTGTATCACGAGGAGCTGCAGCTGATAGTCGCGTAGACCATGGAGGATGTCAAAATCAAGACGCGCACCGGAGCGCTATGTGAGCTAGCCCGTTCTGGAGAAGGAAGCGAAGTGCTGAAGCTGACCATCATCAGTGACCTTCATATCGTTGTCCATCATCCTGTCGTCGATGATGATCGAGTTCATCGATTATCGCCGGATTCACGTCGAGCCGAGTATCGAGGTGGACAGGTCAAGAGGGGAGAAGCTCGTCATTGATGTGGACGTGACATTCCCAAGAATACCTTGTTACTGTAAGCTTTCCAGACTGCGTCGGTCAGGGGTAAAGAAGCTCACATATCAGTGCTCGCTCTGGACGTGATGGATATTTCGGGAGAACAGCAGCACGATGTTACCCACGATATCACCAAGACCAGGGTCAGCAAGGAGGGGTACGAGCTCGAGACGCTGCGGAATGGGCGTATGTCCCTTTCGCTGCGAGAATGACTGGAGCATCCGGGCTGACTATCGCAGGGCTAGTCAGCGATGTCGAGCAGGCTAGCGCGAACAAGGATCCAAATTACTGTGGATCGTGTTATGGCGCCTCAGCTCCAACAAGCGGGTGAGTCATAGCTTCCAGGCGACGGTTTTATGCAGCGTAGCTGACATGATAGCTGCTGCAACTCCTGCGAGGACGTCCGCCAGGCTTACATACGGAAAGGCTGGTCCTTTGACGATCCCCAGAGCATCGAGCAATGTGTACAGGAGGGATGGGTCGACAAGGTCAAGGAGCAAAACACCGAAGGGTGCAGAATAGCGGGCAAGGTTCGGGTCAACAAGGTGCGCCATCCATGACCTGAGTCGAGACTGTGCTCGACTTTGTCTGATCCCGCAGGTCGTCGGCAACTTGCAGTTCTCTCCCGGAAGGGCCTTCCGGAGCAACATGGTCCAGATGCAGGAGCTCGTGAGCTGATTCTCAGTTTCGCCTCTGCGAGAGGATCGGAATGTAGCTAACAGCCAGGTCCCTTACCTCAAAGACTCAAACCACCACGACTTTGGCCACATCATCAACAAGTTCCGGTTTGCCGCCGACATGGACGATGTTCAGGAGAAGAAGGTCATCGGAAAGGAGATGATGAGCCGGACAAAGCTGGGCATCATGGACCCGCTGTATGGCGTCAAGGCACATACCGAGGAGTGTGAGTGGGCAAAGGAGCGAAGAGTACGCAAGCGTAGCTGACTTTGACAGCTGATTACATGTTCCAATGTACGTCTGCAGATTCGCTATTGTCCCTAGGTTTGCATTGTTGACTGATGTCTAGACTTCATCAAGGTTGTCTCGACAGACCTCGTCTACCTCAACGGAGAGCACATTCCCACACATCAGTACTCGGTCACGCAGTATGAGCGGGACCTGAGAAAGGGTGATGCCCCAAGTCGAGACGAGCACGGTCGTAAGTTTGCCCCTTTGATGACTATGAGAACTCGAGCTGATCAGGACAGACGTTACCAGCCATGGTATGCAAGGTGTTCCCGGTGTCTTTGTCAAGTGAGCTAGCCGGCTGGAGGTTATGGATCACTCCGGAACCTGAGCTGATATACGCTAGCTACGAGATATCGCCCATGAAGGTCATACATACGGAAACACGCCAATCATTTGCACACTTCCTCACATCGTAAGCTCGCCGGTCAGATTTTGCCGGCCAGCTCTCTCAGCTTACACCATCAGATCATGCGCCATCATCGGTGGTGTCTTGACTGTAGCCGGGCTCGTAGACAGCTTCATCTTCTCCAGCTCGAAAAGGTTAGGAGGCAGAATGGAGGATGGCTTTGCGGCTCCGGGCGGGAAGATGGTGAGCCCCTTTTTACCGGCAGGTGGGATCCGTGTTGACCGTCAGATGTGATCTTGTTTCAGGAGATGGTGATGCATAGATGACTATTGACCGGACATCCCGAATTTGACTTGACTGCTGGCACTCATCGGCTTAGCTCGCGGGTCCGGGTTGAGGTGGAATCTCGGGACTAAAGGGACCGCTGCCCGTTTTTAAGCTGCTCTCATCGTTCTAGCATTGTGTATATCGGCAGATGTGCTCGGTCTCAGGTTGAGGATAGACGGTCTGATGGGTAGGGCCTTGATAGACACTCTTGCATTCTAATTATATGTATCCCAATTGCCCAGAAATTGTCCTCCCTCCCATATATCCCCCCGGGGCCGGCCTCAGCCATCCCCCTCCATGCCATACTCAATGACATCTCGCCATCCTGGCCTAAGCCGCACGATATTGGGTGCAGCAAGTGACACCTGAGAAGCCAGCTGTACTCGTCAGCTTGGCCGAGCATGCTCATATGCGTAAGCTGAGAAGGCGACTCACACGTGGCCGCGCTTTCCTGCGCACACGTCTTACCCCTGGTAGCGGCGTTGAGGCCATTCTTAAAGTAGCTACCGGCCACTCTGACAATGTAGCAGGTACCTTGGTTCGAGGTGTAGGTAGTCACGATACAAGCTACAATCGTTAGCTCGAGATCGCCAGGTCTAGGCGAAAGCTAAGGCAGCTCGGTACGTACCACTATCCGATTCACACATCTTGATACAGGCCTCGCGAGTGGCGACGCCGGTGAGCTTGGTATAGCCCGACGCCGAGTTGTAGTCGAGACCGGTAAAGACGGCGTATGGGACTGTGCCAGTCGATGTGTAGTCGGTGCAAGTGGATGGGGGAAACGGAACAGGGCTGGCCCGTCTCTGCAACTGACGAGGACGGGTCATGCGCTTGATGACCTGGGATCGAGTCGCCTGCTTGAGGAGAGGTGAGCGAGCGGTTCCGGCCGAGGAGAGCTGACCGAAAGGCGTCGCTTGCGCGAAGAGGCTGAGGAAGGCCACGAGGAGGAAGGTAGGGATGAACATTGTGGCGAGTGATGACCGCACGGAGCTGATGTAGGTGTTGACTAGTTTCAGAGATGTGGGATAGGCTCATTCGGCTCTTGGATTCCAGCTATATATGACTGGAAGGCCGCAGTGGTGACCAGAGGCTAGCGGGACATCGCGGACGCTGGCACCTATCGGTCAATTTTTGGGGTCTCGTTCGTTCGGAAGCGAAGCGTCGACAGCTGAGGCATGCGAGCCACATCTCGTCAGTAAGGGCAAGGAGCAGGAAGGCCTTAGAAAGAGTAAGTGGACATCGCTGGCGGGGATGATAGTGAGATTGGGGTAAACCTCGGCTCGCTTTCGCTTCCGGTACCATCATAACGTCAGTGCCGAAATATCGAAGAGTACGTACTCGGAGATCTGCGAGTACCTCAGGGTACCTATAGGTACCTATCATGTACTTGTAACGTCAAATAAGGAAACCCTAGTACGAGTCTAGTACATACGCCACACCGCTGAGCTCGGACCTGGTGCCTTAGATCGCTCTTGGATCCGAGCCCTCCAGGACTCTCTGCTCGTTGTTCCGAGATCGGCGGAGCCATCCGCGAAGCCGACCCCTTGTGCGCTTAACTTTTGGGATTGTTACTCTTCTCAGCAATTTCTCCAGCCATTCAAGCTTCATCTGTTCTCATCCGTTGGCAGTCTATTCGCAGTACCCGAGTTGGCTTACATACCTACCTGACCCTACAGAGTCCCCGCAGCGTGTATCCTGATGTAACCTGGCAGAAATTGGGTGCTTGAATGTCCGTTCTTACGTGGACTGTCGATTTCTCCTTCAAACGCATAATGGCAGGCCAGGCAGGGAGGGCATTCCGGCGGCCCCACTCCATAATGAGGAGTCGAGCACATCGAGACCCTCCTTCTCTTTTGGTGTTTCGTGCATGGTCATGATGGAGCCATTGACTCGCATTCGGCTTGATACATGATAGCTTGCATGGATAGAAGTTGATAGGAGCTTGGTCCCTGATAATGCATCAGGGACTGATTCACAAGCCTGAAGCCGGGGGAACCCGGATCCGGTGCGCCGGAGTGGCTCTGGCGACTCTTGCGCTTGCGACTCATGCTGCGCGTCCAGAGGACTTGCATACTGAGCAACAGTGCATAGTGGTGATACGTATGTGCGGCACATCGTATGTGTGGAGCGTTGTGCTACTGTGTGCCTTTTCAGGTGTTGCTTACATCGCGAATCATTTTCGCTACTGCATGTATGATAGCAACGCTGATCCTCCTCATTCCTCGCCTCAGACCCCAGATACCATAGCCGCTAGTAGCCGCCCACCCAACGAGCCAAATGAAAGCTTATACGAGCCTCCCCCTTAGAGCGTCGAAAAGTTCACGCTGGGCTCGGGCTGGTTGATTGATACAACTTGTTGCTAATACCACAACAGCTAGCACACTCGTCCCTGTAGCATCATGTCGCCCGCATCTGCACGCGCTATCGCCAGCTCATCACGAGCAGCTGTTCGAGCGATCGTCACCCCTACACCCACTTTGGCTCGGCACTACGCCTCCTCTCCATCCTCCACCCCTAATCCCGACTTCGTCCTCCCCTCCATCCACCTCGGTCCCACCCATGCATCCCGCTACCATGCACACTATGACCAGACCCTCGCCTCCGACCTCCTCTACATGACGTACAATCATCGCCTCTCCTCTACTCCCACACCCCCTCCTCCACCTCCCACCGCATCCCTCAAAACAGCATACGAGCTGAACCGCCCTACTCCCCTTCCTCGCGGAAACCGTCCCGCCCGTCCCGCCGCCAAGGCGCTCTCGGCTAGCACTGTCCCCCGTCTCGAGTCCATCGTCGTACACACCATGGTCAAGGAAGCTATCGGCAACAAGCAGGCATTATTGTCGGCCATCATGGCGCTCCGGGCTATTTCTGGGGAGACGGAGGAAGGAGATGGGCGGAGCGGATCGACCGGCGTGCAAGTCATCGTTTCCAAATCAGGAGCTGCGGCCTTCAAGCTGCGAGCGGGGATGCCGGTCGCCGCGCAGGTGGAGTTGAAGGGAGAGGCGATGTACGATTTCATCCAGTCTTTGGTGGACTTTGTTCTCCCCCGGCTCAGGGAGTTCCCGGGCTTTGCCATCCCCCTCGCATCGGCGTCCAAGACATCTCCTTCGGCGGTCGGCGGCGTAGTCAGCGTCGGTCTCCCACATACCGCCATGGGGCTTTTCCCGCAGATCGAGGCCAACCTGGACAGCTATCCCAAGCTCCACGGTTTCCACATGGTGTTCAAGACGAATCAGAAGGGAGAGAGGGCGCAGGAGAATGCGAGGGCGTTGTTGAGCGGGTTCAGAATACCATTCTACAAGAGATGAGGGGGCGGCGGCCATAGGCACGGGGAGGTTGGCGGTTAGTGGAAGACGGGGTGTAGGTGAAGAGGGAAAGGGGAGGGGGGCAGAAAGTGCGGGCGGTATCGTAGCAGGGGCGCAGTCTGATGCTATAGGTAGAGCAGACTCAGTCCGTAGAGAATGGTGGAGTAGATAGTCTTTAGTAGCATAGCAGGGCGTAAGGGCATGATAGTGTAAACTAGATAGGCAGAAGATGTAGTTCAGCCTCATATCTGCTCCGTATCTGACGCTGCCTTGCTCAGAACCACCTCATCGATCTTCCACTCCAAGACCTCTTGCTACACGATCAGCTCCGACCTTTTGGTTTGCCGATGATGGTCAACTGACCTTTTGCCATAGGCCCCCGCAACTCCCCGTCACGCCAACGTACCAGTCGCCTCCCGGCCCCTCCCCCGGCGGGACCGACACCTCCCATAGCCCTATCTCATCCACCTTTCCTTCCTTGCTCGCATCGTCCTTGCCTTTCATCCAGCCAACCAGCTGGCGGCTTAACCCATCATAGACCAGCTCCAGCGTCCATAGCCTGCCGTCGCTGAGAAAGGGGACCTGTCCAGGCTTCGTACAGGCTATACTATTCCGGTGGTGTGCGTCAGGTGGAGAGTGAACCGAAATGTGCGGAGCTGGAGGGTCGTCTGCGTGATCTTGAGTCCGGTAGGTATCGACTGCTTGATATCAGCTCAGCTTCCACCTGATCAAAGAGTCATGGCACCCACTCTCGACCGCAAAATCCCCTTTCCCACCCAAGCCAGAATAACCCAGCCCGTACCCTCCGAGACCTAGCTTCCTATCCCTGGAAAAGACGATGGCCATCCCATCTGCCTCGCGCGCTCCAGGCGGTGCGAACATCCGGAATGTGACTGTCGCCCGGAAAGACGTAGTCTGCGCTATGCGGACATCGGCGAAGACACCCGAGGCCTGCGATGATCGTGTCGTGAGCACCACGCCGGAGCCGGCTCGAACAGCATCGCCGAAGAGATACACATCGGAGGATTTGAGGTCGTGTAGAAGCTTTGTCACTGTTTTGATCAGCTCCACTGTCCACTCGGACAATCAGGGTACGCACCCGAGAACGAGGGTCTGGGGACCTTATCACTCCCCATCTCGTCCCGCATCTTCCTCCACTCTTCCGGTCCGCTGACTCTCCCTCCCAGTTCCTCCTCTTCCGCCTCGGCCAGACGTCTCTTCACGTCCAACTTCCATTCGTGCTGTTTTCGGATCATGTAGTCCCAGCCCTCGAGCTCCGCGTGGGGTCTTTGCGCCTGAAGAGAGATGGTGTGTTGTTCCAAGGCCTGCTAGTCAGCGCTCGGCTCTACGCTATCAGTGATCTATCGGACGACTCACGACTGCGAGAATATGCTCCCTCCAGCCTTTTGTTTGCCTTCGAAGTTCGCATCCGGCTTGATCGACGACATAGACGGCAGTGACATCCTCCGCCCCGCGGGAACCGAAAGCACTGCCAGATCAGCATTGCACGGTAGCAACATCGAGCTCGTAACCAACTCACAGGCAATAGGACTGCTTCTTGCCCCACCCCTTCTCATACAGAAACGGCTTGTCGACAGCTGCTTCGCTAAGAATCATCAGTCTCGATTCTCAGAATTACACGACGGGGAAGCTCACCAGGGATCCACATGTACCCAACGCTCTTTGGCTGCCGACCAATACTCCGCCCATACATGATCTTCACTACTAACATCAGCTGCTGCTCTCAAGGTATGCTAGCTACAGCTCAGACATACCTGTTCCAGATGTATCGTGCCTCGATCCCCGCGACTCGTAGAAACGCGTAGAACAGGTGCGCCCATTCCCCACACCTCCCTTCTCTTGTCCGCATCAACGGCCGTATCTGCCCATACCGCACAAATCTCCTTGTAGCACCGCATCCACCTTTGACGCACTGGTGTAGCTCGACTCTTCCTCCTCCTTCTGACCGTTCACCCTCCGTAGGATTGGTCGACCCGGTCCCTTTTGTCGGTCCTTTACAGTCCGGGCAGGGTATGGGGTCGATCCACTTCATATAGTCGGACTTGAACCATCGAGCGAGGGCTAGAACGAAGTCGTCCGTCTCGGAACCGGTCGAGGTCGCCGAGGGACGTACAAGCCCGGATGTAGCAATGACAGTCAGAATTTCCTCCTTCGAGACACCATCAAGCTATCTGTTCAGCTTCAGCTGCGCCAGTTTTGGCGGAATGCAGGGAAGCTCACATATGACTCCAGATCCCAGCTATGCTTTCCCAGACTTTTTAACGTCTCCCGCATCTGAGCTTCCCCAAAGCCTCTTAGCTGCGCCCGTCTTGAAGGTCCTTTGAGCCGCATCCACTCTGTCATGGCAGGTATAGCTGCATCCACCCATCTAATATCCCAATCAGTTCCGAAGCTGATATAGCTAGGCCTTGCTGGATCGATCTCCAGGCCGGACGTGCCAGAAGGTGCGGACCAGAGAAGGCCTTGCCGCGTAGAGGAGGCGATCCGGGAGTGAGCGATGAAGCCAGCTGGGGAGGGCTCGAGAGGCGGACAGGGGCGGATCTTTGCCCCAGGTCGCTCGGGCAGAGGCGGCATACTGCGAGTTCGTGTCCTTGAGGAGATTCGTCGGCCGGAAAGAGAGGGCAAGCAGAAGTGTATTGCGAAATGAAGCGGTCGTGATCAGCGCGGTCATCGTTCATGCTTGCTCCGCATTCCTCGAAGCTTATTTAAAAGTGGCGCCGGTGGCCAGGCCGGGTGGCGAATTGCCACCATGGACACTTGTACTCGAGTACAGCTAAGATAGACCGTAGCAATGCATCTCGAGCCAGGCGCGAGCCCACCTGTCGACCTCGCTCAGATGACCTCCAGGATACCACCAACAACCTCCGCAGGCTGTGCCTACCCGCCGTATCCTCCCGATTCTCACTCGCGATCCCGAGCGAAAGATGCGGAAGCCTCTCATCTGCCAATTCATCGACGAGGCCGTGAAGCGTAGACACTGGCTACGGTACTCGACGTTCTCGTATCTGGACCGGACTGCCAGACGTAGGATATGTACTGATCCCGAGGCTCAAGCGCTCAAGCCTGCGTAGTGCCACGATTAGTGGTCAATATCTATCTTCTGGCCTCCGCACCTCTTGCATACGCACTGTCGTGTAATCACAGCGAAACTAGCGCCTTCCCGCATCACTCAAAAGGGATAGTGGCCGTCCGCCAACTCAGGTCAAAATTCAGTTCGATTTCGAGTGCTCCCCCGGCCTCACGGCCCAGTCCCGGCACTCAACTCAATCATCCTCCCCAGTCCCCGTTTCGTCACCGCCTGTCACGGGATCCTTCTCCTTCCCCTCGTCGGTCAGCCTCCCACTCTTCCGCTGCAGCACGGCTGATCGGTCGCTGAACATAGTTCTGCCGCGCTCAACAGCTGATCCTTCATCAGGGACGTCGATTGACGCTTGTCCGTGACTGTACCGCTCTTGATCCCGGCTGGATCGGTGAGTGAACCGAGGGAAGCCACCCGTAACGAGCTTGGCCGTGTCCAGGGTGTGGTACTTGATGTACCCGGCGAGTCCGCGCAGCGAGATTGTGAGATTGACAGAGTGTCGTCTGCCGTCAGGCAATGTATCTGCTGTTGACATCTGGGTAGCGGCGGTCGTATGATATGTAGATTGTAGATGACGGTAGGACAGCGACTGGTAGGACTGATCAGCGGGAAGTAATACGTGACCGAAAAGATATGCGACAGTGGCGAAAGAGGAGTGGGGTCTGTTGGGGACATGTACCCATAGGGGGGAGATACCTTTCAAGGCGCTCCTGTACAAAGGAAGCCTCCAGCCGCGGAGCAGTGACGTGGCACCTGCCTCAGCACACTCTCAGGCGATGTACTGGCACGATTCGGGCGAGGACTGCCGACTGAATAGGGCGAGATCAGAAGAATTAGGATGTTATTGATCAACCCTAGCTCCTCCCGGGGGCTTTAGCTGCTCGATTGAGTGCAGTAAAGGTTAGTGTACCGCCCGTGTATGAGCAATCCATCCGTGTATGCACATCTACCTGATACCCCTCACTGGTCATCCACCAGGGCCTCCTTGATCGCCTCCTTATTATCCTTCCCACCCTTCTTCTCGTCCTTACCCTTCTTATCCTCCGGTCCCTCGCTGATGATCCGCTCCAGTCTGTCAATCTGTGCTTTGAGAGCCTTCATCTCCTTGTGGACCACGGCAGATTCGGTGATGGCGGTACTGCACTATCAGCATAGCCCCTACTGCACGTTGTAGGAGGAAATACGCACTCCGGGAAAGCCTTGACCAACTGCTCAAAGCTGTACTTGCTGATCTCCCCGTTCGGATCATCGCTCTCTGGGTCCTCGACCTTGGGGTCGCCCTCCTCCTCGGGTGCAGGACCGGCAAAGTACAGCCGGATCCGCTCGGACCGGGAGTGCGAGATCTGGGTCTCGAACACCGCGATGATGACCAGGGGAATGAAGAAGATAGTAGACATGACGATACGGTTCAGCTTGACGTAGGCTTTAGCGGGGAGAACGAATCTGGCTTGTCAGCTGATGACGAGATGAGGGGGGAGGGCAGACATACTCGAAGGGAGCAATGAGGACCGCCTCGATCAAGTTGAAAGGTGCGGGGCTACATGATCAGTGGGTCTCCATGCCCTCCGTCGATATGCTATACTCACTAGACGAATGAGTCAGGCGCGCGAACTGCTAGTCAGCGTTGCCCAGATTTCTCATAGCTAGAGGAAGAAGCTCACTCAGTTCAATCGTCTTTCCGGCAAAGAAAGCCAGATACTCGTCGGTAGCATTCTCGACCACATCCGAATACGCCGAGCCGAACAAGGCGATCAGGACGTTGACGAGAATGATGGTAGCGAGGAAGTTCCAGCTGTAGTAGACAATCAGGCCGAATGGGTATCCGAACCGCTCATTGGGAGTATCGAAGTCAGGTGATCTGAACGTCAGTTTCACCCCTCTATCTCCGAGCATGATGGCTCACCCCAGCAGAGCCTGCAGCAAGGAGTTGAAGACCTGGATACCTCCGCCTGATTCTCCATCGGCGGCGTCCAGGGCGTACATGGACTGCATGAATCCGACACCAAGGATGGCAAGCCTGTTCGTCAGCTCGGTACGGCTATGCTCGGAGACGATACAGCTTACAAGATGAAGAAGATGGCCGATTCGCGCCTTGCGAGTTAGCTCAATTCAGGCATCAGAGTATGCTGGGGGCTCACAGCATCCGGAATACCACAACCTGCAAGGTTCCGACCGCTTTGACACCGTCAAACACGGTCAACTGTATCGTCAGCTCTATACTAGCCGATATGCGAAGGATGGAAACAACTGACAAGTCTCATCCAAATAAGCGGAGCAGCACAACTCAGAAGCTGGAAACTCCTGAATTGCAAGTTCCGCGCCTGTTCGTTGTCCTCTTGTCCCATTATGAGCCCGGCGACTCGCAGGCCGAAGGCAGAGAGAAGGACGACATCGGTCATGAAGTTGATGACAGACCAGAAGTTCTGTTCTCCATGAGCAGAGCTCTCCACTAAGGTGACTTTGAAGTAGACTAACGATAGTTGCGAGCGGGCGGGTCGAGATTCGAATAGTCTGCCGATCGTCAGCGGATCTTTCTGAGCTATTGTGATAGCTTATTCACCTTGAAGACCTTGACGGCCTCTGATTCATCAGCGAGATCTCCGATTGACCGAGAAACATCAAGAACGGACCTTCAACAAGGAAAGACAGGGTCATGATGTAGAGCACGTACTCCCACTCGTCGAGCTGGTGCGCAGGGTCAAGACTGTCAAGCGGACTGAACAGTCAAACACTGCAAACTTTCATCATGACGGGAGCAGGGCTCACCTAGATACAGCTTGCGAATATACTGTAAGATCAGCTAAATGCCCTTGTGGGGTCTTCGGCGGACTCACCAAATAGGAAGATGGCCCAGACTATGATCTTGAATGTGCTCTGATACCTCGGAACGCTGAGGCGCTCAGGGTTGACGTGGTCCCAGAAGCTCCAGTTCTCGGTCCGCTCATATTGGACGTAATCGATATCGTCGTCCTCGTTGTTCCGCTGGACCCAGTCACCTCGCCAGAGCGAGTTGACGACGTGCTGAGACTCGGTAGAGGACAGGAAGATCTATCCTAGCTCAGCTCTGTGATACTCCTTTGTCTGAGATGCGTACTCACCGTACAGTGCTGGTCAATAGCTGATTCCAAAGCAGAGATGGGGGCAGACGCATCTCCATCGCTCTCCCTGTACCTGAACCGCGTGCTCATGACGCTCTCAAGCCTGTCCGGGTCCAACGTATGCACGATCCTTCTCGCGAGCGTCTCGCAGGCCGTAGCTCGGCACACTGACTCTCCGTAGTCTGGCGGATTGAGATAGGCGTCCCGCATGAAGGTCGCCCGAGCGCGAAGCAGGCTGAGTGTCAGCTGGACCCTTCTAAGGTGGTGTCGGGCTCACCAGAATGGGATGGCCTCTGCGAAGTCTCCTCCACATTTGGCGAAGGCCGTGATGACCTCGGGCGTGATGATGCTCGAAGTCGCATCCGTGATATCGGTCAATTCAACCTCGACAGGAAGAAGCTTTGTGACGAGCGCCCTGATGCGGCGGACGATCTCTGCTTGTTAAGTCCAATCATGGAGACTAGAGAGCGACTATCTCACTGGTCACAGTATCCTGGTAGCATTAGTCAAGCTCATGATATACCGCAAAAGCAATAGCCCACTCACCGGCTCGGGCGTAACGGACCCGGTGCTCAAGATGGAGCGTTGCTCCTCAATGGCCTAGTATCGATCAACTACTACGCTCCATACGGCCATTCGGTACCGTGCTACTTACCATAGCGTCTCCCATCTTGCTTGGAGGTATCGCTGATATAGATGGGACGCTCTGAAGACAGAGCGGATACAAGAGTTTCGCAGCAAAGGGCAGTCCAAACTTTCCCGACGCGCGGAAGTGACGTCACTAGCCTTCTTTGCAGCTGATCAAGGTGTCAAGATGTGGGCATGCTATTGCACTGCAGTGGAGTGCTGGCCAGGTGACATATGGACTAAGGATAAGACGAGCGTGTCATCGGATATGAAGCCATTGCAGATGATCACCCACCCTCGCTCGCTTGCAGCGCACCATCCCATACTGTCTGCCTTTCCTGCCGCGCGGGGCTCAAGCTCCTTCCCATCTCCCGCCTGTGTCCCTCCGCGCTATGCCACTGCCGCCGACGTGAGACTCCTCAGTCTCTCCCTAAGATTTTCAGCCACCCCGGATAGCTCCTCGTCGCCCCAGCCGGGTTCTCCCCCTTTCGAGCCGAGCCGTCCGTCCAGCAGCGATATCCCCCATAACCACTCCCCATACGACTGCTCCCGCCAGGGGCGATCCTAAGCGTCGTCCTCGCCCTCTCCCGCCTTGACCAGTGACCCCTCATCCGGTTCGACCTCCGCCCGCTCATATACCGCACCACAGGCGCCGCAGGGTGGGGTATCCATTGCGGGGTGCCATGTATCCCTGCTCCCGACCTTACATAGCCCGGCTTGCCGCTTGCGCACAAGAGCCAAGAAGCCAGCATCCCTCAGCATGGCCCGCTCGCCTCCGGCAGTGAGGATCTCGCACGTCCGTCCGAGAGTGGGATCGACCGGGACCTCAGGCGGATAGGATAGATCGCTGCTGGCGAAGATCTCTATCTCGAAGTCGCCGAGGGCGGTCTTGGACTCCCGCTTCAGCTCCCCGAGAAGTTCCAGCTGGTGGAAGACTAGATTGTTCATAGTTTGTATGTCGATTGCGCCGTCTCCGGTGGACCAGAGGTTGTCGAATGTCCATCGAGTAGGGCAGCCGACCGCGGCAGGGAAGAAGGTCATGTAGGGGTCGAGGTGGACTGTGAACTGGGGTTTGACCGCCGTAGAACTGGAGGTTGTCCGATCAACGAAGACCGGGCAGGACAGAGGTCCGACGTTGCCCCTCGAACAGTACTGCTGAATGGGCGACGAGCCGAAGGCATGCGCCATCATCCGCCTGCACTGGTCGAGTAGCTGGTCGGCGTCTTTCCTGCCGGCCACGTCGTCGGGGGATGTAGGGTATATCGAGTGCCATTTTCGTGTCTGGGCGCCGAAAATCGCACCCACGGTCAAGCGGGATACGTGGACGAAGGGATTTTTGTGGCCGTCTACTGCCTGGGTGACCGCTAGGAGGCTCATCATGACACCTGTAAGCTCTACCGTAGCTTGGATGCCCGCCCATTCCACCATCGCCATCTGGTGGTGCCGCGGTCCCACGAAATCCCAGCCGCCTGGGTCCTGCAAGAGATCGGCGTAAGTGTGTCCGCCCTTGTGAGAGTACTCGAGCTGCAGAAAGCGGATCTGCTGGAGGAGCTGGAGTTTGCTGTAGATAAGGGGGTGGGCAGAGGGTTCTCGATGATTATGGATGAGGTGGGGTAGGGAGTCGGTAATGACATGATTGTAGAGGAGCGGGGAAGCGAGATGATTGAACGCCTGCTACTGTTAGCTCGCTTGTCCGCTCTCCACACTCTCCACACTTTTTGAAGACACGAACCAGGCTGGTACGCATGAGAGTCGCCAAGTCATCCGCCCTGATATCCGCCCTGCTCGTCGCATCCGGAGATGCGGCATCGAGCAGCCCTTCACTCTCCTGCTCATTCGCGTCGAAAAGATGGTCTTCTTTTGTACACCCCGACTGTGGTTTCCCCACCTTGGGCTTCAGGAAGCTCAGGACGTGCCTCCAGAGATCGGGCTCGGTGTTGAGCTTGGCGAAGGATATCTCTCCGAGTCGCCACTGTACTGTAGAGAAGCGGGTGGGTTGGATGTACTTTTGACGAATGATTGATGATCGCTGGAAGTTGCTAATTACAAATCTTGCTAATCACGCTCACATGCGCGCGGATGTAGGTCTAGGTTTGTTCGTCAGCCATCTGGCAATTCGACCTATGAGCAGCTCGGTAGCGAGGTACTGGTAAGGTCCTACATAGACATTGCACGCAGATCACCTCAATCCGCAGAGCTACACAGTAGTTACACCGAAATTACCCAGCATTTGTACCTGATCTCCCATTCCCCGCAGCTGCTGCAGCCTCCTCAGGTCCAGCGTTCCGCCTCTGCGCCTCATGCGAACATGCCCGCTGCTCCCATATCGGACTCCGCCAGCGACGATGCACCACGTGACCCCTCGAGTTCAGGCCCTAGCCTGCCCAGACCTGCTTCCCCACAGGCCTCTGCCCCCCGCGCCGCTCACTCAGCTCGTGCCGGTCTCGCCGCGCCCCTCCCTACACCTCCGCAAACCTCTCCTTCTTCTCCACCTTTTCCCCTCCTGATTGCAGCTCCTCCATCCCATACTCCCATCCGCACGCCTCGCACGGCGGACAGTCCATCGTCGGGCCCCATGATACCAGATCTTGGCTGGGGCCCATGCCCTTCTTCTCCCGATTGCCCTTGAGCACCTCTCGAAGCTTGAGCAACAGCGCTCGCTCACCGGCAGGGTCTTGAGAGACACCATTCCGACTGGCCTGCTCCGCAGTGGGCACCCCGCTCCCGTAGATCTCGATTTGAAAGGGTTCCGCGTCTTTTTCTGTCTCGCGGATTTCAGCCAGCCGCTTGAGTTGATTATCGAAGGAACTGGCAACCTGGTAGGCATTGACCGAGTGAATGCGACGATGATAGTCTTCATCGAGCACCCAGCGTGTGCGCTGCCCGACGGCTGAAGGGTGCATGTACCGATCCGGCGGAACATGCATTGTGAAGAGCGGGTTGGTGACGGGTGTGGGGGCAGATTTCGGACCCCTCCAGTTGGGAAAGGGACCGAAACTGAGTGGTCCGAAACATCCGTATTGACACCAGTGAGTGATGGGCGAGTTCCGAAGGATACCCATAAAGATTTGCGTGCTCCGGACGAGCACCTCTCCATGGTCTTGTCGGAAGGCCGGACGCGGGATTTGGAGACGTAATTGACCATCTTCGCCTTGGACATTACGATGCTGTTCCACAGATTGTAATGCCCGCCGAAGATGGCCCCCACTGAGACGTGATGCAGCCGTGGAAAGGGTGATGGGAACGCGGGCTTCGTGTGGGGAGCCAGGTCGTCCAAGCTGAGGAAGATGCGCACCGCTTCCGAACGACCTACACCGATTGCCCGAGATAAGGGAGTCGCCGAGGCGATGGTCTGGAAGTATCCTGTGTCCGACATGATCAGGGAGTAGTCGACATCGTCCGTCTTCCGGCAGTATTCAAGGTGAAGACGGCGGCAGTAACGTAGGTTCTCGTCTTTACTGGTAATGAGGGGATGGGCGGACGGGCGTCTGGACTTGTAGAGTAAACTAGGGAGGTCGTCGCAGATGACGTCGCGGTAGAGGAAGGGGGAGACGTAGTGATTGAAAGACTGGAATGCGTCAGCAAATGATCATGGAATTGCAGAGTCCATCATCCCTTCCTCCCTTCTCAGGCTATGATCGGACCTCATTGGGTCACTGAAAACTCACTATATTGACCCTCATAAGCTTCGCTAGAGAATCCGACCTAATCCCATTCCTAGAAGTCATTCCGGGCGCTGACTCATCCGGGAGCCTCTCATATTCTTCCTTGTCCTTCCCAAAATACTCCTGCCGCGTTATGCCCGAGGACGCCTTGGGAGGGATGGGAGTGAGGTAGTAGATGATGAGGTCCATGATAGGAGGCTTTCCCAGGAGGTCGCTGAAAGGCATGGCGGTGGCGAGAAGAGTGTGGGTTAAGGCAACGTCGAGGTTAGCAAAAAGCGACAAGGGCAACGCGACTGGGCTTGGCCAAACCGCAAAATTCTCACAGCTCCACATTCCTTGTGAAAACTTTAGCGAATGCCGTGATTAATAACACCGCCCTCACACAACTTGGTGAGAACCAAGTGCATGAACTCGCTTGTCTCTCTCTGCTGACCATACGCAGGGATTATTCCGCGGCTCTGGGCCGTATGCATCGATTTTTCCCGGTCAGCCTCTGAATCCTCTCAGATGAAACACGCTGGGATTCGCGTACGTTTCAAGGCACGCATCCAGTGACGTCATGAAATGCAGCCAAGTCCAGCTGCGACTTGCACCGCTCGTCTCTCTCAGCGTTGATTCTAATCGTAAACTTGAAATCCATACCCACACAGTCGAACGGCACCTCACCCATCATGCCGCTCCTCGATTCGCTCAAATCCAAGATCAAAGCGAAGGCGTCCGAATCGGGCATCCCAGGCTCATCCAACCTCACCCGCTCGACCCACTCTTCCCCTCCTCTCGGTCCCAATGACGTCTTTCGGTATCGCCAACAGCGCGGAGTGAATCTCGGCTCCTGGTTTGTGCTGGAGCAATGGATCACGCCCGAGCCGTTCAAGAACGCCGCGGGGACAAAGCAGTCGGATCTGGATATCGCGAGGGGGAAGGACGCCAAGGCGGTGTTGGAACATCATTGGGATACGTGGATTACAGATGAGGATTGGGACTGGATCAGGGAGAGGGGCTTTAATTCGGTCAGATTACCGGTGAGTCGGCTGTTTTGCGGCCGTAATGGACAGGCTGCTGCTGATGGTCAGATTGGCTACTATCACCTCACCCAGCCGTGTCCGAAGGTGCTCGAGGGGACTGACTTCGAGTCCCACGCGGACGTTTTTGGAGGTGCATGGCAGAGAATCACGAAGTCTATTGAGAAGGCTGGGTCTATGGGCCTGGGAGTGCTGGTCGGTGAGTCGTCTATTCTACTCAAGCTCGTCGGAATCTCAAGCTGATCCCTAGATCTCCACGCAGCAGCAGGCGGGCAGAACGATGATGGTGAGTCGATATCAGGCTATCTGCGCTCTATATTTGAGTACCTGAGACCCGAGCTGATACTCCAGGTCACTCTGGCTGCTCCGGCAAGCCCAACCTCTTCTCCTCCAAGAAGAACCTGGCATCTACATCTCAAGCCCTCCGCTTTCTCGCCACCTACCTCGCCCCCATCCCCCACGTCATCGGCCTCCAGCTCCTCAATGAGCCGGCCAACAACAACAGCATTCAAGGCTGGTACGAGTCCACCATCGCCGAGCTTCGACCCATCTGCGGGCCCGACTTCCCCCTCTACGTACATGATGCGTGGGATGCCCAGTGGTACGCCCAATGGGTGGGGAAGCGGGACGATTTCGTCGTTCTCGACCATCATCTCTATCGGTGCTTTACCGACCGGGATAACGGAATGAATGGGGACCAGCACGCTCAGGACCTCCGGGGTGGATTCGCCGGTACCTTTGGCGGCCAGTCGGGTCAGGCAAGGGGCCAGCTGGTAGTGGCGGAATGGTCGGCCTCGCTCTCGCCGAAAGGGATTGGACACCTCCCAGCGGGCGAGCAGGACCGGCATAGGCGGGAGTTTGTCAAGGCGCAATTGCAGCTGTATGAGAAGAATACAGGAGGGTGGTGGTTCTGGACTTTGAAGCTGGCGGAGCCGTGGAATGCAGGGTGGTCAGCGAAGAATGCGGCGCAGGCGGAGATATTACCAAAAGTCGGAGAGGCAAAGACGGGGGCTCCTCCGTCAGGTGCGAAAGATCAGACGGCAAAGAAAGCGGAATGTGAGCAGCTTCTTGTTCCTATCTTCAGACATAGACGATAGCACAGGAGCTGACATCACAGCCGACCACAGGGGCTATTGGTCCTCCAACGGCGGCTCGCCCAACCCAGACCTCTTCGCCCCCGCCTACTCGCAAGGATGGGACGACGCGCTGCTCTTCCGGACACATTCGGCGGGAGCGAGCAGTATCGGCTTTTTGGATCAGTGGACGAGGCGGCGGAGGGCAGAGTATGAGGCGGCGCATGGAGGATGCGGGGAGGCGGTTTGGGAGTGGGAGCATGGTTTCAAACAAGGTGTGCAGGGATGTCAAGGCGCTTAGAGGAGCGGGCAGACTAATCTGATGTACGGATATTTGAGGCTAAATCAGGCAGTACTCAGAAGTTAACGCTTCATGGTTATAGGCTCACAGTACGCCGCTGAGTGGAACGCTCGTATATGTCGGCTGGTCACTCATAGCGCTTCGCGGAGCAGCTGACGAGAATGATGTTCACGATGCCCTCTGTCTCGCCGCACTGATTCAAAGGACATCTTATGGGATCCGCGTGTCCTAACCGCCGCAAAGCCCCCTTTCAATCCTTTGTCTCATGTCGTCCCCTCCGCATAAGCTGTCTGAGCACCGCCACCGGTCATTCTCACGCGTCCCATCATAGCCATCCTTTGCCCCGGTGGCCTGTGTCTCATAGCGTCTCCGCGCTTACAGTCCGCACAGACGGTCGCGGTGTAGCGGCCTTGGCGGGCTGCGGCCAGCTCGGGTGTTCAGACGTGTTCGAAGCAGTTTATCCCTTGCGGTCCCACATCCCTCCGGTCTGCACGGAACGCGCAAGAACCCATTGATCCCTTCGAACAGCGACCCTGGACCTCCGTGTATCGTCTCTCTTCTATGAGTCCACGAGCGGGTCGGTCCGCTGCGGACGAGCTGTGAGGCAGAGCTATAAGTAGCAGTGCTCAATGCCCGAAGTCTTCCTCTTCGTCACACTATCATCTCCACCAAATACAGCTCTTCTTTGCCCAAGCTCTTCCTTTTTCATCCACTCCTCACACACCAACATGTCTGCACGATCCTCCACTCCTACCAGTCTCTACGAGTCACCTGATGGTACTGAGGCGAGTCAGACTGGTACCACTTCCACCGGACGTACTGCCCTTGCGCTCAGTGTTGCGGACAGTGAGTTCAATCTGAACCACAACGACCTGAAACTGTTAAGCTTCTAAACTTATCCCATCAGCGTTGGAAAGCCTTGCGAACGTCATCACATCTGGGGACAGGTATGAGCGACGCGGGCCGAGTCACGTCTGGTGCGGACAGGAACCGGTAGGACCCCAGTCTCGAGGCCATTGAGGTAGTTTAGGCCAACGCGAAAGGCTGTGAGGCAGCACCAAACCTGGTGATCTTGAAGGATGCATTTCGGTTTGACGATTAGGTGTCAGAATTGAAGTCATAGTTTAGAGGCCGGACCGGGCGAAAATCGGAAAGGCAAGGCGTGCTGCATCCGAAACGGATACATAGTCACATGTCTCCGCCCCTACAATCGGCACTAATCACTCATACGCATAACTAACGAAACGAGCGCCGAAATCCATGGGATGGAAAGTCGATCTGTCCCGCGATTGGAAGGCGACAGCTGTGGATGTGCAGCGTGGACGCCCTTTTGTGATGGGGAGAGGGTAGGGGTGGGAGGGGTCAGTATCGGGTCAGTACAGGTATAAGCCGAACGGAAATGGCGTGGATAGTGTGTGCATGCAGATCTGTCTCGTCAGCGCCTGCCCAGCCAAATATGGAGACAGAATGTAAAGGATAGAGAGGGTAGGTTGCTCCGATACCGTTGAAGTTGTTGTGCGCATTCTCCGAAGAGTCACACAGTGTGAATACGATTAGGAAAGTGTTTTTCTTCATTGCAGGGTGGGGTGGGGATGGGGATGGAAAGAAGAAGGAAGAGAGGAAAAGAGGAGGAGAGACTTACTTGATCAGGAGAGAAAGACAGAGGGCTGTTTACATTATTTCTGCCCCACGGTCCCGCGAACCGCACCTGCAGCCCCCATCAGACCGCGCAGCAACCTCTTCCGGGCCTTAGCCCGAGGACCGACAGCTACCGAGACCCGCCCTCCAGCCCCTCAAGACGAAGGAAAGAAGGAGCGCGGGCCCTCCCCCGCAAAGGGGAAAAGAGGTTTGGAATAATGACTATCCCGCGGGTTGACTCATGCAAAGACCAATCGCGCACCCTGGTAGAGGTAGCGGAGGACTCTCCCCGTCCCGATACGTATCCATCATATGGTCCGACAGCGTGCACCGCGGAAATCTCCACTCCCCGAGGGAAGAGGGAAAATCACGGGCAGGGGCCGAAGGCGAGGAGGGGACGAGGCGGTACGGTCCTCCTGGTCTTGGATCTAAGAACCGCGGTTTCGGTGGGGGAGGAGGGGAGAAAGGAGAGTGGACTGAGAGGGGAGGAGAAGGATATGGGGATGCATGTCGAAGGCTAAGAAGAGGTATGATGGAGAGAGAGGGGGAAGTTTGGGCAGAAGGTTGAGGGAAATCTGCCGCCACACTCGCCCGACGGGCGGGATTACAGCGGAAATACGCTGCAGCCTGAGCCACGCTTACGTGATCTACTCATTCCGGGGGCCTTTCTTATTTGATTCCGCACCCCTGACGTCGCTGCTGGCTGGCTGTGTGCGAGTTGGCTCTGGCTGGCTTGACAAGCGCGAACTCCATAGCTCATACCCATAAATCCACGTTCTCCCTATACACATCCTTCTCGCCAGCAGCTCACAAGCACTCCGGAAGCGACAGCTCGCACGTATTCCTCCAGGCCGAATAGGCAGACAAAGCGCTTGTCGAAGTCGCCGGGAAAGGAGCGTCCTCCGAGTCGATATCGGCTATTCCGCCTCATTCCTTCATCTCACCGCAGTATCCATCGCCCAGCATGGTCAGTGTCTCTACGCTTGGCCAGGAAGAAGGCTCAGCTGGCTATCTTCCCCTCAGTGACCGTACTGAAGCCATGCAGAGTTCCGAAGTCGCAGATATCATCATTGACGATCCTCAACAGGGGGCGCCGATGGAGATGGACGACCACCCGAACGTGCATGACTGTGAGTGGTCCCACAGGCTGTAGGGTTGTGCGGATAGGAGAAGTGAAAGAGGCTGTACGCCGTGGACCTGGCGGAAACAGATGGAACGGGCGGAAAACAGAGCGGGTCGTAGGAACAATGCTGACTGTGCAGTCGAGGCGTATGCTGCGCGGGCCATGCCCGATCTCGGGCTGGAGATTGAAGACTTCCAGGCGCAGACATGGCGGATCGAGCGCTGGAGTCAGCAGCCAAAGAGGCTGGTAGGGCCCGAATTCTCCTGCGGTGGACACAAATGGTACGCGCCCTGCTCGGGATGTCAATAAGCGGTGCTGACAGATCAGGCGGATACTGCTCTTCCCACAAGGCAACGCCAATGGACAGCCGAACGATATGGTGTCTGTCTATCTTGACTATGCCAATCCCAAAACCGCCCCCGAGGGGTGGCATGCCTGCGCCCAGTTCTGCTTGGCCATCTCCAACCCCGCCGACCCTACCATCCAGACCTCATCCCGTCAGTCCCTCCTTTGATGATAATCCATGTCGGAACGCCCAGAGCTGACGTGCTAGATGCCCACCACCGTTTCGTCGCCGAAGAATGCGATTGGGGATTCACGCGCTTTGTCGATCTGCGGAAACTGTACACGCCAGACCCAAGCGGCGGGAAGGCCAAGGCGACGATAGATAATGACGAGGTGGAGATCACGGCGTTCGTGAGGGTCTTGAAGGATCCAACGGGTGTTTTATGGCACAACTTTGTTAAGTGAGCTTCATCTCCTCTCGGACGGGCAGGAAGGAGCTGATGGACAGCTATGACTCCAAGAAGGAGACGGGCTACGTCGGTTTGAAGAACCAAGGCGCTACCTGCTACATGAACTCTCTCCTCCAATCTCTCTTCTGCACCAACTATTTCAGAAAGGCGGTATACCAAATACCTACCGATCAGGACATCCCCTCCGAATCCCTTCCCCTCGCTCTCCAAAGAGTATTCTACCACCTCCAGACGTCGCCAGGACCAGTCGGTAAGTGCCTTCTTTTGAGTATGTTGACTGTGCTGATTCGCAGGAACGACCGAGTTGACAAAGTCGTTTGGTTGGAAGTCACTAGATGCGTTCATGCAGCACGATGTGCAGGAGTTTAGTCGGATCTTGCAGGATAAGCTGGAGGCAAAGATGAAGGTGAGTCGGGGTCCCGCGGTACCTACGATCTGCAGAGCTGATCCATAGGGGACACCTGCGGACGATGCTATTCCTCGGCTGTTCAAGGGGCAGATGAAGAACTTCATCAAATGCTTGAACGTCGATTACGAGTCATCCGTCACGGAGGACTTTTACGGTACGTCCTCCACCACAGATATGGCGAGATGGTCAGAGCTGATGGGCTAGACATCCAGCTCACCATCAAGGGGCTCAAGACGCTCCGAGAATCGTTCCTCGACTACATCCAGAACGAGACCCTTGTCGGGGACAACAAGTACATGGCGGAGGGGTATGGTCTGCAGGATGCGCAGAAGGGTGTCATCTTCAAGGCATTCCCACCTGTCTTGCACTTGCAGTTGAGGCGGTTCGAGTATGATGTAGAGAAGGATGCTCTCGTCAAGGTCAGCTTTTTTGTCCCGTACGGAATGGCACAGCTGACCTCTAGATCAATGACCGTCACGAATTTCCCTTCTCGATCGACCTTGGCGAGTTCCTCGATGCCTCGGCCGACCGGACCCAGTCGCACGTGTACAAGCTGCACGGTGTCCTCGTTCACTCTGGCGATCTGCACGGCGGGCACTACTTTGCGCTCATCAAGCCCGAAAAGGACGGTCGGTGGTTCAAGTTCGACGATGACCGGGTGACACCCGTCACGGACAAGGAGGTGCTGGAGGACAACTACGGAGGGGATATGGGGAACGGGTCGTTGCCGCAGCAGCAGCGGACGCAGGCGCGGACGCTCAAGAAGTTTACGAATGCGTACATGTTGGTGTATATCCGCGAGACGGAGCTGGATACTGTCATGGCGCCATTCAAGGAGAGCGATACACCTTCGCACCTCAGTGAGTTCCCGTCTGAGGTCAAGGTGGTCGAAGCTGACGCAGCAGAATCTCGTCTTGATGCCGAGCGGGAACAACTCGAAGCGAAGCGTCGCGAACGGGACGAGCAGCACCTCTACCTTACCGCCAAAGTCATCACGGACGAGATCTTCCAGCGGCATGAAGGCTTCGACCTCGCCTCGTTCGATGACCGGAATCTGCCCGCTACCGACCTGCCCACTTTCCGGATCATGAAGACCGAGACGTTTGCGGTGTTCAAGCAGCGGATCGCATCGTATTTTAAGCTCTCGGAGAGGGACTTCCGGCTCTGGGTGTTGGTGAATCGCCAGAATAAGACGATCCGACCGGATGTGCCGGTTCATGATAGCGAGAACAACCAGAGTGAGTTCGGGAAGGGGGGTTTGCGATGGCAAGAGCTGACGGAGTAGCGATGGACAATATCCGGAATAATATGGCTGCTCGTGCGGCTGATCTGAGGCTGTATCTCGACTTCAACCCTGACCACCAGCGCTTCAATGCTGTGAGTCTGGGTGTCGTTTGGGGAGAGAAGCGAAGCTGACATGCTAGCTCCACGCCGACCCCAACAACCCACCCATCATGGTCTTCCTCAAATGGTTCAATGTCGACCGGCAACAACTCATCGGGCAAGGCAAGGTATTTGTCAACAAGGCGTGGAAGATTGCCGATCTGGTGCCGCTCATCCAGGAGAAGATGGGCTGGGACAACTCTGTCCCCATCAAGCTCTTCGAGGTGAGCTCAATTTCCCCCCAAAGCAAGCAAAGGTCAGAGCTGATGGCGCTCTAGGAGATCAAGGCGGGTATGATTGAGGTGATGAAGGTCAAGCAGACGTTTATGCAGAATGAGATTCAGGATGGGGATGTTATCGCCTTCCAGGTTGAGAAGTCCGAGAAGGAGTGAGTGTCTTGATGGCAGAAGAAGGAAAGGATTGAGCTGATGTTGCAGGGTGCAAGATCTCGAAGCGCAGAACCTCTACCCTACCGTTCCCCAATACTACGACTTCCTGCAGAACCGGGTCTTGGTCCAGTTCAAGCCGCGGTATGAGGACAACCCAGGCCGGTCAGCCGACTTTGACATCATGCTCAGCAAGAAGATGACATACGAGGTGGTAAGTTCCCCTCACTTGTCTTGGGGTCTGGAGGGCACATGGGCTGATGATGTAGATGGCAAGCCGCGTGGGCGATTATCTCAAGCACGACCCGCTCAAACTCCGATTCACTTCGTCCAACCCCCAATCTGGCGCTCCCAAGGCGGTCATCAAGCGGGCGCTCAACCAGAGCGTCGCGGATATCACGCAGACGAATTATTACTCGCAACATCCGAACGTCATTGTCTACTATGAGATTCTGGATATTTCGATTGTGGAGCTCGAGACGAAGAAGAGTTTGAAGGTTGTATGGACGGGACGGAACAACAAGGAAGAGGTGAGCTGCAACTCCGTCAGTGGGAACATAGAAGCTGACGATCCAGGCGACACACTCTTTCCTCCTTCCCAAGACATCAACATTCACCGACCTTTCCGAACAACTCTCCAAGCAGGTCAAACTCCAGCCTGGCGGATCGGGCCGAATTCGGGTTTTCGACATTGCCTCGACCGGACGTGCTCAGAAAGAGTACACGGGCTCGGAAATGATCGGCAATTTGAATGAACCGGTTGAGCTGTATGCGGAGGAAGTACCGCAAGAAGAATTGAATGCGGGGGATAATACGCGGATAGTGAATGTGTTTCATTATTCCAAGGAACCGAGTCGGATACATGGGGTTCCGTGCAAGTTTGTGCTTCTCGAGGTGAGTCTTCCTCAGGGGAATGGAGTGATATAGAGGTGAGGGGAAGATGAGCTGATGAAGACAGGGTGAAGTGTTTACCGAGACACGGACGAGATTACAAGAAAGACTGGGCGTGGCGGATAAGGACTTTGCGAAATACAAGTTCTCGCTTGTTACTTCGGGTGTCTTCAAGCAGCCATCACCAATGGAAGATGGTGAGTTCTCTTCAGGATTTTGTGGTTCGGTGAGCGGGACTTGAGCTGACGCGGGTAGATGATGTCCTGTTTGAGCACAAATGGGCGGGAGATGACGCGATCGGGGTGGATCATTATGATCGGAGGCCAAACAAGTCGACGGCGGAGAAGGGGATCGTTATGCGCTAGCGCTAGTCCGGACTAGAGTAAGAGAAGAGAAAAGAAGACCCCGAAGAAGGAGATGGGGAGAACAGGGACGAGCGCTATATATAGGGTGCGCTCGGTAGGGGTCGTAGTTGGAAGGTAGTATACCTGATCAGGCCTTAGGACTTGTGTTGTGCATCTGTGTTTCTCGTAGTGCATAAGCTCAGATGCTATCTCGGGCGCAGGTCCAACAGCCTGGTGATGGTCATTCCTGACACGGTCCGTATATTATGAATAGATCAGATGTAGAGATGTAGTTTCGTCGCCTCGTGCCTCATATCATACCTTTCCGGCCTTCCCATCTCCCTCTCCAGACTCCTGCTTCTTCTTCTCCGCCTCCTCCACCCGCTTCTGCAGCGCCTCGGACTTTTCCATCTCGTTCAACTCGTGCTTCAGGTGCAGCTTGCGCTTGAAATCTTCGAAAAAGGTCTTTTGCCCTTTGGTGATTGCGGTATAGTGGCCAAGGCCCCACATTTGCTGCTGAGTCAGCTTATGCCCTTCGCGCCTCAGGGCTGAGGTGAGGATGGGTATGTGAGCTCACCAGGACGCTCTTTCCGACCTTGACGTGCGATAGGTCCGCGCCTTTGTCTTCCAGCTGGGCGATAAAGGCTTTGTAGTGCTGCATTCAGTCAGCTCTACTTCAGACTAAAGACCACACCCCGAGCTCCAGGGAAATTCACCTGGATAGTGCTCCGATAGTGCCCGCTATGGGGGTTGAGCTTGGTGATACGGCCTCGTTTAACCACAAGGATACCCGCCGAGGTGACTTTACCGCCTGACGTGACTGAAGTGATCAGCTTCCACTCACTCGTCGAGAAGTAGGGACAAGCTTACAGGATGAATGTTGAAACGTCCCGCTCTGCTTGATCCCGATAAACATGTTCATCTTCATATCGCTGGCGTATATCCAGGTGTTACCTCTGTCAAATCAGCGTCCTCCTTTCTCCACGACTCGCTGGCTCTCGCCAACTCACTTGAGTGTCTTCCTCAACAACTCCTTGTTCATCCCCGCAGGCGTCACAGCCTTGACTTTCCGCTCCAACCAGTTCCCCTCGTTCTCCGGATTATACTCGTCATAATGCGTCGCTTCATTCTCTTGCAGATCGCTAAGGGCCCCGTACGAATCAGACGATACGCTCGAGGCGGAGTCATCGGCGTCCCCTTCCCCGTCGGTGCGCGCGGGTCGAGGCGTCGAGTTGGCTCCGGCGGTAGAGTAAACGGGCTTTGAGTCGGCATGAGCCTCGATATAGGCCTCGTCTTCGACTATACCGGTGCCGTTGCCCGAGTCGCGCCATCTTCCGGCTGCTGTATCGACCTAGGACGTCAGCTGAGACTCAGCAGTATAGATGGGAGAGACGGACCAGCTCGTTATTGTGAACCCTGGGACGTCAGTTTCTGCGCGTCCCTCTGGACGAGATGAGTTGCTCACCATCTTAACAGCCCATCCTCATCAATCTTCACCAAGTAATTCAGCCTTTGCTCTCCGGACAAGTACCTGATAGGTCAGCCGAGTCCGCCAACATGCGTCGTCACCTAAGATTGACTTGCGTGATGACCTCCTTCTCTAGACGTTCGCGCGGTAGCTCCTCCAAATCGAGATGTTTCCCATCTCCTCTGTCCAGCCTGGAGATTATCAGTCTTCTGTCCTGGTCGCAGTCGGGATAGCGGTCTAGGGGTACACACCATCTGAAGAAGTTGTCCTTCGTATCTGCTTCTTTCCACTCCCGGAAATAGAACTTCAGATTGCTCCCATACCGATGCTATACAGTCAGCCTGTCCCCTGTCCCCAGTCCCTGCCCGTCCAGGCCCATACTAGCTCACCTTCGCATCAATCATCTCCAACCAGTGCTGCTGCTCTAACGCCTTACTCTGGAAAGGCAGCTCCTCCCCTTCATCCCTCGGTTTCCCAGTCGGAGCCGTCAATTTCCCCCAGAACCTCGCCTTCCGAGCCTTCTTGGTCTTCTCGTCCAGCTGAGGCCGGGAGGCACGGGATGGGCCCGCTTCGGCGTTGGCATCGTGCTCGGACGGGTGGATCGCATCTCCCGCTTGGAGCCGAGCTGCGACTTTGACGGCGCGTTGCCATCTGCCAAACTCAGCGATGAGGCTTCTACGTAGCTGGGAGTGAGATGAGACGAAGAGGCGTACCTGGACTTGACGTCGTTCTTGTTGTCTAGCTGGTCTGTCGCTACCGCCTGCTCGCCTGTGCCTTTGAACAAGTCGTCCCAACGAGCCTCTGTGTTCCTGCAGCGTTGGCTCGCCCTTGTTCTCGCCGCTGGAGGATATGATGAAGCTCACATTTGAGTACCCTCGGACTTCTTCGGCTCGCTGCTTTCCCCATGAGGCGTCTGAGACCTCGTCGCAAGCGCCTCATGCGGTTTCTGCACATCGACAATGACATTACCACCTGCACCCTCATTCCTCGCGTCCGGCTGAGAAAGGCCCGAAGTGTTCCTCGTCCCTCCCGAGCCGTCCACAACCGGTTCTGACATGCCTGCGACGGGTCCGAGAGTCGGTGTGGTCCCGGTAGGGCCTCCTGGTTGTGTGACCGACATGCTGCTTGAGCGAGGGATATAGGAGATGAGATTGCCGTAAATGTAGGAGGAGGTGCGTTATCGATTTGTCAACAAAGGAGATAGACAAGGCCTTGCTCTTTCCTTGTCGATAAGTGGAGTAAGCGGCTGAACGACGCTTTGACGAAGATGGCGAGCCGCAATAAGATTTGCCTGGATGAAAGTGAATGATACGCTATGTACAAAGCAGGATGAGCGCCCGTACCAAGATAGCTCGGGCTGCTGTGCGGCTGGGCCGAACTTGGCCGTGCCTGACTTTCCAAATTCTGAAACTCGTCATGATATCATCGCCGACGGCCTGGACGCCGGTGCAGGCCATACGACTGACGTCTCGGGCACAGGATCACCAGTGGAGCATCGCAGAGTGGCCGAGAAGACGAGTTTAGATCAGAACTGCATACACAAGTTGGGAGAAGATAATAGAGACTTAAAAGCAATCATAACCCGCGGAGCCGGACCCCCCCAGACGTCCGCCCAAGCATCCCCATATCCCACTCATCCTCCTCCGCTTCTACCTCCCCGCCGCCCCACTTCCAGTCATATCCGCCGGTCACATCCTCAAGCTCCGCGGAGTCCAGCCGGGGAGTAGGGCACTCGTCCGAGTCCGAGCTGTCGCTGGACCACGAGCGGCGCATGAGGGGAGGGAGGACGAGGTCGTCGTACTCGTCCAGCTCGTCTAGGGGCAGAAGGTCCGGGTTGGTAGTTTCGTCCGTGGGAGTGATGGGGAGGGAGCAGGGAGGAGAGAGGTCGAGTGAGGGAAGGATGTATTCGATGTGAGAAGTGGGACCGAGGGCTGCCTCAAAGGCGGAAGGGGTCGTATCCGCCGAGAGGACCTGTACGGTTGCGACCGCGGGGGAAAGGGTGTACGACGGAGTAGACGAAGAGGCCGAAAGGGAGTAGACGTAGGCCGGCGGTTCCTCCTCCTCTCCTAGGTCCGACAGGAGATCTTCGAACCACCTGTCCTCCTTCTCCGCCAGACTTTCCGCCTCTTCCTCATCCTCCTCGCCGAGGACGTCCAGGCCCATCGCGGTAGGCGAAGACCAGTCGTTCAGGCCACCCTGGCGCCCCTGGTCGACCGCATCCCACGCAGCCCGGACGGTCTGCTGGACGAGGATGGTGCGGAGGAGGGTGGTACCGGACTCGCGCGTCCCGATGGGGGCGTCGAGGTCATACAGCTTACGCTCGGAGAGGATGAGGAGCCGCTGCCCCAGTGGGGTCAGGATCGGGCGGGAGTAGGTGGTTGAGAATCGCATCTTTTTTGATGTGTCTTGTGTTTGTTTTGTACTGATCGTCAGCAGGATGCTCTGGTCCAGAGAGACTGTCACTCACGTGTTGGATCGATGAATCGATGTATCGTTTGACAGGGTGAAATTACCAGTAGTTGCCTCGATGGAGGTGGTACAGTTACTTAATCCCCTAGGTGGTGTGATGTTTCTCCTAGGATCGGGAGGGGATGTCGCAATATGGTATAGCTTGTAGTTGGGCTGGGTATAGGTCCGATAGGGCTTAGCGATGGGGTTGAGGGGTAGAGCATATTGGGTGGATATGGGAGTGGGTAGGTATTGATCGGAATTGATGTAGGAGGTGACTGGGTATGACGCGTGGATGGTTGACGGGGATTTAGCAAGACATCTTGTATGGGCTGTTGTGGTGAGTAAGGTGATGTGTGTTGATGGGGGAAGAGATGGGACGTGGGTCGTTGTTATATAGATCGAGATGTTGACGATTGACGTGCTCGACTCGAGTCGAGATTAATCAGCTTCGGCCGAGATGTGCCGTACCGTAATCGATATCGGAGATACTCGGACGCTGATAAGCAGATAAAGAATTGCCCTTTCCGGCAATAATCTGCGAATGTGGTAGTGTGGCACTCATGCAACACTTAGCAGCTAGCGAGTCACCTCCGACTAAGTTGCCCGCGCTCGACACGTCAGCTGGTCGAGCGATATCAGAGGTGTCGCACAATCAGACAGGCTGTATAAAGAGGCTGCTATGAAGCATGTCACCGTCTGGAGTATATGGACACATTCACTCGGCTATGCTAGTTGACAACTTGACCTATCCGCAATGCACCGCCGATCCCGCCAAGACTCACAAGACCACACGTACGAGTACATCTGTCTGCCCGCACCTCCTACACACGCCTGCGCTCCTTTGACCCGAACTCAGGAAGAGTGCTGACAGAACACCAGTAGTCGATGCGGGTTTTAGCCTCCTTCCAGGTCTTGCATCCCGCTTGCTCGAGCACTACCTCCAGCATGCCCAACCACGCGATCGCTCGTGCTGAGCCTGTGATTGCGCTTTCCACGTCGATCAGAGAGCCCCACGATGGGCCGTGGAGTCGTGAGACGCGTCTCATCTGATCCAGGACGATTCCCACCGTCGTCACAGCACTTGTCCGACAGAGCTCCACCTGCTCGTCTCTCTTGTCGCCCTCGATGAACGCATTCCCTGACCATTTCACCATATTCTTCGCGAAGGCGTTGAACGAAGTAAAGTTGTCTTCGGCGTCCTTACTAAGCGGGTACATCTTGCTTCCCCATTCGGAAATCGAGTTACTGAAGTCTTCAATCGCTGAGGTAAGGGTTTTGATATGCTTCGCGGCCGCTTTCTTCTCATGCTGGAATCGCAACCACGAGTACTTCGTCGACCGTACGAGTAGCGTGTCGAAGGCCTCGCCAAGCTTGATCAACCCTGTTTGGCCTGACTCCACCGCTTCCACCGTTGTTTTCGAGGCGGGGTTCATGGCCGCCAAACGATCGAGCCCAATGGACAGCCAGAAATCATCGATCTCTGGCGCAGTTGTGGGGCTGGCGAGGGGATAGGTCGTCGCACGCGAGGGAGGGGGAGGAGGGGAATAGTCGTCGTTCTTATTCGACAGCATCATGGTACGTGACGTTCAGTAGACTCGTGGAGGAGGAGATATGTTGGAAAGTAAAAGGTAATCCGCCTTTGGGGGGAGGAAGGGGCACAGACACGTACTGTTCCGAGTTCGACCTTTGCCACCCAAAGGCGCAATCTTCTCATGATCCTTTGTTCCACGTCCCTTTGTCCGCGCGTATTCTTTGTGCACTTGCGTTTCTTCGAGATCATTGCAAGGGACACGTCGTCCAGGCGTGCACCTGAGCGAATTGGGGAACCCTCTGCCGGCTCCCTCCGACTAGGAAAACTGGCCGCCTATCTTTGTATGTCTGAGCAGGTTTCGACTGCCAGCCTCGCCTGAGATGGCCGATGATCATGTACGACCAGCAAATGATGCGTCGGGCAACAGGCATTATATCGTAGATCGAGAGTGTGAATACTCTCTGCGCCCAACGGCATCGTACAAAAGGTCACCTCAACTTTGTGATATGAAGTCTTTTCTCTTGCAGTCCGGTCCTGCGCTCTGCCCGTCACAGGTGTGGTAGGACAGCAGCCTATAGCAGGCTCATCGCTGTCACCCAAAACCGTATCTCAGGGTCAGACTCAGCAGTAGCATCTCTATATTCCTGATTACTCGATCCTGGCCTCCCGGTTGATCAAGCTACGCGGCTGACTATGCCTCCGACCTCGGCTCGCCTATTCACCCAAGCACGTATCATGGCCTTACCCCCAATGTCTTCCAGTATGAGTTCCATCCCATCACTCCAGAACCACGTAAAAATCTCCACGTCAATCGTCTCCTTGTATACGAATGACTGTGTCGGTCCAGACTCGAGGTGCTTCGAATGCCGCGATGTCGGACCGCATCGCTTTGAGACTGCAGTGGAGCTCAGACGTCTGCACCGCCAGTGCCTCCTCCATCTCTTCGATGTCTCCGGGTGTGTACTCCTCAAAGTCGACGTCCCCGCCACCTGCCGGCTCTGTCTCGGGCTCAGCACTCAAGACATCCTCATCGAGCGTTTGACCACCATCAGTGAGCGCGCGAGCTCTGCAATCGCCTCATCTGCTGCGCGCGTGGTACTTCCCGACCCAACGTCTGCCCTCCCACCGATGCGCGACTCCTTCGCGACGGCGAGCTGCTCCCGTAAGTCGATCAGGCTGCTCACATCGTGCGCAAGCTCTTGGAGCGTGTACGAGACCGCGCGGGTCGCGGCGTCCAGCGTGCGCGATCTGGAGGGGCTGCGACCGGCTTGGAGCATCAGCTGTCCTTAAGTCGACTTGTGCCACGCAAATTCATCGCCCTTCTCGCCGGACGGACGGGAGACATGGCTGTCATCAGGAGCATCGAGAGCGAGCTTCGTGGCGATGACCTCCACGACCTCCCTCATGGCTGCAATGATAGCCTGGAAAGGATCATCATCGTTCGCTGTCTCGTTCTTGCTGTCGCCATCGCCATCTGCCGCGGGTTTGATCGCCGCCTGGATCGCTTCGACGTCCTCCCGAGACAGACCCTGCCCGGTATGTGTGCTGCTCTGCGCTTCAGGGCCAGGCATCGCGGATGTAGATGAGATGAGAGCTCGTGTTGATGGGGTGAGGGGACTGAGCGATGAAATGGAGGAGGAGTTGAATAGAGTGGCGAGGTCTGAGCTGATTGATGAGGGGAATGACCGAGGGGAGGGGGTGTGCGCGCAGCTTAAATAGGTGCGAGACCCCTCCAAGCTCGTACAATGCGTGCCCGACAGGCCCTCCTTTGTCCGCACTCGGGGTGGGCGTGAAAGGTGGCATTCAGCTGAGCGTTTCGCCACACTCGCCACAACACTGTGAGCTGCGCCGCGAGACCACGTCATATATGTCGAAACGTGCGAGCTTAAATCAGTGCTGTGCTGGATCGCTGATCCCAGCATACACATCCACAGTCTGAGCTGGTATCTGATTACGGCTTTGGAGGCCATGTCCGCGCATGCCAGGTAAGTGTTTCAGTATTATCACTGAATAGGTATGCGTCCGAAGTACCTCATAGACAGCTCTTGCATCATCAGACAATGTTAGCGCTTCTTCGACTCCGGCCGATTGTCCCCGCACATCATCCTGGTCACTCGTACGTATCACCTGGCTGAGCTATCGTCGCTCTGAATGTCAGACAGGACCCCATACCACTCATCGAGCAGCTGCTCTACAGCTCTTCCTGCGTCGCCCGCCGTCCCGTCCGCCCCATCAAACCGCTTCAAGACAGCCGTAATAGCAGTCAAGCCAAGATCAGTGCGGGCACAAAAGTCTTCAATGTATGCCGTGATGCAGGGCGGTTCGATCGCCCACTTGAGCTCATGGAGCTCCTCGAGTGTGATGAAGATCGACTGGAACAAGACCTCCCTCGCGGACCGGCCCTCCTCTTCGCCATCGATGACAGCGTTGCACACACCACCCGCCACGGAAGCACAGATACCGGCGACGACCGTACCGCGGCACTTCTCGTGAGCGCCAACAGTCCTGCCACTCTGGAGATAGTCGATCAGATACCGTCCTCGCTCGGACTGAAGGAACGACTTTTTCTGCTCCGTGGTGACGGTATTGTCACTGAAAGGCCGGCCTCGAATAGCCGCCAAATGCTTTCTGATGTCGTCGATGAATGTCGGCTTGGCTGTCAGAGTCGAGGCCTCGGGGAAGGACTCGTTAGCCCAATCCACAAGGATGTTCTGCGCAAGGGGGTAAGGAGGAACAGGCGCCTTCTTGACAGAAGTATCAGTGGAGGCAACAGACATCGCGTGTACTGGGGCTGTCTGCTGGGGTGAGTAGGAGTGAGTGTCGGGGTCTCGGTATGACTGAAGGGGGTTGGACGCGCTGAGGTAGTGTGACGACAAATCAGCACGGTATAAGCTATCTCTCAATATTGCGCATAAAAGCACCCAATCACTCGTAAGCCCCCTTTGAGCCTCCGCTGGGCCGACCGCCGACAGAGATCTCTAGTCCGCTCATTTGGGCACGCACGTTCGTTATCCCTCCCTTCTGAAACGCCAAAGTGAGCAGATCCACGCACGATGCCCCGCACGTGCAGTATACATGCCTTCGCCTCCCCTACTTGGCCGCCGTCTTCAACGCCGACGCAATCTGACTCATCGCCCCCGGCCTCTCCCTCAGATACCCCACTTTCGCCCTTCCCAGATTCTTCAGCCCGCTCTTCCCATCCGCCCTCTTAATCACCTTGATCTCCTTGATCAACGGACTCAACACCTTAAAGTCCACCTCCATCCCTACTTTCGCAATGACGTTCCGCAGCCTAAAGGCCGTATCGATCCCGCGCCGCCTGACGCCCATGAGCACGCCCGAGAAGGTGGAGGTGGTCGTGCGCGCGGAAGAAGTGTAGGAGGTGACGGTCATGACGGACCCTGCGAGGATGCGGTTCTTGTGCCGCCGGGAAAAGAGGGTGGTGGTTAGGGATTTGGCATCGTAGGTTTCGCGAAGCTGCTCGTTGATGTGATTGATGAGCCCGGCGCCTTTGCGGGGGGAGAGGAGGTTGGGGGTGGGATTGGGAGTGGGTGAGGACTTGGAGAGGGCGGTGGAGGAGAAGGGGTAAGCTGTTGGATTAGCGAGAGCCCAATTTCAAGACAGGATGGATTTACGGGTTTGAGGAGCAGGTGCAGACCGCGAGAAAGTCCTCAGGAAGCCCATCTTCGATGTTTCGCCAGCTTTCACGACGGATCGGAGAGCTGTCATGGCGGTAGAGGGTGTGCTTGCCATGTTGATTATGGATAGATGCTGTATAGAAGGAATTGCTATAGCATCTATAGGATGATTTGAACCGACTTTCTCTAGCTAGCGCGGACAAGGTCGATGCCGGCAACAGGGTGGGTTCAGACGCGATACACGGGAATATGCGGGATTATCTCGCGGCTCAGTAGCTGTTACTCCTTTGATGGTCGACCCCCTGAGGCTGCTGGCTGTCCTCCAAGTCAGCATCGTCGTATCAGCTACCAGCCTCATACTCCGCTGTCCCACAACGGATAACCAGCTGCACGCACCGCTCTCTCCTCGAGAGAGCCGCAACCTCGTCCAATGAGCACCTTGCCAGCACGCCATATCATCATCGAGTATCCGGGTGTATAGCCTGCGCCTCCCATCGCAGTGCGCAGATAGCACCCACCATATTCGGCAGCAAGCCGGATTCCCCCTAAGGGGACAACGTATCATCGAACAATATGCACGACAATGACCTCGTACGTCTGGCTATGTACGAGGCTGTAATCAAGCTAGAGCTTACCCCACAGGCATCCCGCCAGGCTGCTCTGCAGAAATCGCTATCAACTGCCCTGCTGACGCATCAGATCCAGGAGCTCGAGTCCAAGGTCCAGTCTATCCAAGTGGCCAAGCAGCAGCCGGCACCGGCCAAGCCCAAGGCCAATGTCACTGCCGAGAATGGACAAGCTGGCGATGTCAAGCAGAATAGGATCGGCGGAGGGGTCAAGGACAAGTTTGCCGGATTCGGGCGAATCGACATGGACGAGAATGACCGTCAGGACGCTCTGACGCACGATGAGGATATCGAGCCAGAGCTGGCGGAGGGGGAGGATGAGGACGATAAGTGGCGAGTGGCGGTTCTGGACGTATCGGTTCTGATTTGGGCACCGAGGAGTGTCCGGAGGCTGGCGGCGAAGGGGTGGGAGCTGGTGCTTCCTATCGATGGTGAGTCAGCTTTGAAGCGAGCTGGGATCTTGCATGAGAGCGATAGCTGATCTATCAGCCATCCGAACCCTTGACCTGCTCAAGAAAGGCTCGTCCCACGCCGCCATCGGCGCCCGCTCAGCCACACGCTACATCGAGCACGCTACTCGGATGTACAAGCTCCTCTCCTCCGACCCATCCATCACCGTCCAAGCCGGCACCAACTACAAGCGCGGCCTCGGTATCCGTATTCAAAGAGAAGACGAGCTACTCCCCATCACGGAACTCAGCGATCTGCCCATCCCCGTCGACGACGTCCCGAGATGGGCCGCCAACGTCCTCGGATGCGCAGGCTGGTTTGCGCGTATCAATGCGGCCGAAGTCTCCGGGGAGGAGATGTATGGGCTGTGGCCGACACTTTTTGTGGCGAACCCGCCATTGGCTGTTGAGGCGCTAGGGGGCGAGGATGGGCGGGACCAGTATGCGGAGCGAGGGGAGGGGTATCTCATCAGTCAAGAGGCGGAGCGGTTCGAGCTCGCGCTGGAGGTGTTGAGGGATGAGGAGCAGGAGGATATGTCGTTTGGTGCGGATTCGGGCGGGCGAGGAGCAAGGGGAAGGGGTCGGGGAGGAAAGACTGGTCCAGGTGGCGGAGGTGGGAGAAGGGGTGGCGGAGGAGGAGGGGGAAAAGAGAGAGATGGACAGAAGGGCAATGGGAGAGGAGGCGGGAGGGGGCATACTCGGAATGAGTCCAAAACCAAGTCGGAAGAGCCAGAAAGGGAGGTCAAGATCCTTCTGAGGCGACCGGCGCCCGTGCTCGTGGCCGGGGACGACGCCTCGGCTGGTCGCGCGAGCAACGAGCATCCATCGCCCAATTCGAATCGGTCCAATCTGCCCGCGGGCCCGGACATCCGAAACCCCCCGATCGTTGGCGGGCGGGCACAGCCAGCCGGACTCGTCAATGTGGCGAGCGATGCCAAGTCGGACAAGGTGTCCGATCAGGGGAGACATGAGGGTCGAAGTGGTCGAGGAAGGGGAGATGGCGGGAGAGGCAGGGGACGCGGGCGGGGGAGAGGCGGAAGGGATGGCGGACCCCCTTCGCCGGGCAGAGGCGGGTTTGTGCTTTTACAGCGACCCGGACCGCCCCGACCTCCACCTATCGACGGGCAGCCCAGTCGGCCTCCTCCTCCACCTTCTGTCCCGCCTCCGCCGTCGTATGCTCATGGACATGGGCAAGGAAACGGTGGTCCGGGACATCACCCCCACCATCGCGGCGGCCCTCCAGCGCCCCCACCACCGGCGTCTTTCGGACATCATCACGGACCTCCACCGGGCCCACCCGGCCCACCGCCTGGCCCGCCCAGCGGTATACCCCACCAGTTTCGAGGTCCCCCTCCGCCCGAATTCCAGCCGAGGCTGCTACAGCGTCCACCTCCACCTCCCCCACCTGGCCCGCCAGGTCTTCAAGGTCCATCCGGCGTCTTTGCTCGACCGCCCCTACCCCCTCCGTTCCAGCCAACGGGTGTAATGTTCCCTCGTCCACCTGGTCCGCCATACCATCATAGTCATGCTCCCGGTCCCGGTCCAGACTATGGTCACGGCCACGGACACGGACACGGACACGGACATGGGCATGGACACGCTCACCTCGGTCCTGGTTTCGAGCAGAACATGGGCGGTCCGCGCAAGGTCGTACTTCTGCAACGGCCCAAGGGGTGACAGGCGGCCATCGGCGTATAGCATTGAATACTACCGATCGATCAATCAATGATTCGTATGGACCGTTCCACCACCGGCGGCCTGTCTTACTTGACCAGGGCGACTTTGTGCGCCAAAACGTCAAGCTCTTGTCCAGATCGAAGGGGGTGTGCGTCCGTGCCGAAGGAGGTGTGTGGCGGCGGCGTTGTGAAGGGTCCGATATGCCCTACCTTCGGCTAGCGTTGCGTGGAGATACAGACGGGAGGACAGCGGAAGGGAAGAGCAATGAGTGGGGGCTGATAGGGTGGCGTAGATACTTATAGGTAGTATTTCTATCTATGCATCTGAGATTCACCCTATGAGCATGGACAAGAACCAAGATACATCGACTGCGTTCGCTCGCGGCCACCAGACTGATCCCAGCCCTCATGCTCTCCGGCTCCGCCCATCCCCTTTCCCCTCCGGCCGATACACCCGCCTACACCGAGATCGTTTTGAACGCATTAAAGCTATCACTCGCCGTCGTAATCATCATCCCCGGGATCTGGGGATGCCAGTGCAACTCCTTGACGTCCTTCTGCCCCTGATGCACAAACAGCAATTGTGGGGGAACGGTAATGGGTGTCCCATCCGCATTGACGCCCGAGGCGATGGGCTCCTCGTCCTCGTCCTGCTCGACTGACAGGTCCCAGAGGGTGACCTGGTCGTCTGAGCCCGAGGCGGCGAATACGGATGTGTCTGTGGGGTGCCATTCGACGGATGTGATGGGGGCTTTGTGCCATGAGAAGTCGGCGACTGGTGTGGGGGTGCTGACTGTCAGCTCCGACCATGGACTAAGGGGCAAGAGGCAAGGGGCAAGGATACATAAAAGAGATTAGGGCTCACTCTTTGAACATTCTCAAATCCCAGACTTTCAACCCTCCTTCGTCCCCTCCACTGACCAACAGATAGTCCGTACCCTTATTCCAGGAGATGACATTCACGTCCTGGCTGTGCGCCTCGACACTGACGACACTCTTCCTATTCTTCGCCCGTATATCCCACACCCGTACCGTCCTATCCGCCGACGCCGACGCAAACACCGTCGATTCCGAGGGGGACCACTGCAGATCCTCTATCGAGGAGGTATGCGACATGTAGGGATTGGGGGAGGTATGGAATCCGGTAGGCGTGACGGTCGTCAAGAAGATCTTGGACGCCAGATCTCCCGTCAACAGCCCCGTCTGTCCCCATTCCAGCGCGAACCCCTCGTTCCGCCCATGGTTCGTGATGGTGTGCACCGGGATTTTCTGGCGGGGACGAGATGGACCGGCGAGGGTATCGATATATGGGCGTACGTCAAAGACGTGCACTTTGCCCGTTTCCGAGAATGTGGCGACGTGGTACGGGTCTGGTATTTGGGCTGTGCTAGCGACAGGGGCGGCGCGGATCCGGTTCACCGAGCCGACGTGGGGGATGGTGAGGAAGTCAAGGGTAGCGTCTTCCTCCGTCTCGTCCTCGTCCTCCGACTCGGCGTCCGAGTCGTCCTCGTCATGCCGTTGCGTCCGAGAGAGTCCGCCTAGGCGCATGACGACGACCTCGTCCTTGGCCTTGCCCTGCCCAGGGACCTCGCCCGCTTGTGTCCCGGTGACGATCCAGGCGGTGTGCGGGAAGGTGGAGCGGTCTTCCCCGAGATTGTCCCGGAGGATGTCGAAGGAGAGGCACGGCCATGCGTACGAGAGGGAGTGGAGGGCGAGGTAGACAGACTGGTCGGCGACCAGTTGCTCCCCTGGCCCCAGCTTTGTTCCGGGCAGATAGGTCTGCTTGGCTGGTGGTGCTTCTTCCACCACTTCATCTTCCTGTGCAGGCGTGAACTCTGTCTGTCAGCTTACTGGTCAGAAACCATGACATTAGCGCTGGCTTACCATCCTCCTCTCCCTCCTCATCTCCTCCAATCTCCTCCTCCCCTCCACTCTCACTCTCAATATCGTCCTCCCACCGATCTTCAAACTCCCCCATCCCTTCATCCTCCTCCGCCACCCTCGGCTCCCGACCATTCGGCGCAGCCTTTGCTGCGGGCTCGTCCGCTGCGTCTGATGTTCGTTTGGGCATGGCTGATGCTGTCCTTGAGCTGAGAGATGGTTGTATGAGCAACACAAGGCCTTTGGTAGCTGCCTCCACCTTGTCCACCTGGAAATTTATGGGACACATCGTGAGAAACCGCTTTGGTCCCGCCTGTCTCTCTCTCTCTCCAGCCAAAAGTCGAACTCACTCGACCATCTATCCATACCTGTAACACACAGCCATCATGTCCATCAGACAGTCCCTCCGCGCAGTCTCTGCCCTTTCATCGACAACCCGCTCCTTCGCCTCATCCTCCCGAGTCCTCGTCCCTCCAATCACGCCCGGCCCGCCCCCAGATCCCAACGCCTCGAGCGGATTCGATCTGCTCATCAACAACCTCCTCCCACCTCCGACATCATCCGCAAAGCCAGTCCCCGCTCTGCGATATGGCTCGCCATCGTCGCATACTCCCGAAGCCGCTGCCGCAGTCCGGGGATATACACCCGAGGCATTACCGCCTCAAATTGACCCCCTCCTGGATCTATTTACGAACATGCTCATGAAGCACGGTCGGAAGGCCGAGGCGCAGGGCCATGTCTCTGACATACTGTCTATGCTGTAAGCTCAAAGTTTCCGCCAGTCAGGAGCTAGAGCTAAGACATTAGTCAAAAAGCTTCCAACTCTCCACCCCAGCCCCTCCTCTCCCGCGCAATAACCCTCGCCTCCCCCTCCGTCCGTCTAAACTCGACAAGGAGACGGGCAAAACTCGTCCAGACTCCGAAAGCGCTAGATGAGCGGCAGAGCACAAGACAGGGGATCGTGTGGCTTCTGAAAGCGGCGGAGAGGGGCAGGAAGGGTGGGCTGCCAAGAAATCAGCGGATAGCGAGGGAGGTCTTTGCGGTTCTCGAGGGGAGCAGCGATGTGTACAAGTGGGTGGAGGAGAGGCATCGATTGGCGACTGCAAACAGGTACGTGTGCTCTGTGCCGCGAAGTGGGTGAGGCTACTCTGGTTGACATTTACAGGTCAAATCTGGGCAGATGATCTCGGATGCTTCCCTGTCCTGTCAGTCTTAGCGGTCTATAGCACAGGTCTTGCATTATGATATCAATGATCCAGCATTTCTACGATACCCCTTCACACCCTAGACTTCTTCTCCCCGCCTATTGCGTCCTCTGCTTCTTCTTGGGCTTCGGGTCCTCCTCGAGATCAATCTCCTCATCATCGTCCCCATCCTCCTCATCCAGCTCGTCCTCCTCGTCTTCCGAATCGTACTGGTCGACGCAATTGTCGCCGATCCCGCGGAAGTAGTCGAACACGTCCGGAAGGATGTCTTGCTGCATTATCACGCCGAGCTGGGATGTCAGCTTTTCCTTTTGCTTCGGGGACCGAATCGAACGAAGGGCAACTCACCGACCAAGGGTCAGACGCCTCGGTAAAGTAGTGGAAGAATGATCCTTGGTCTCCGTCATACTCTTCCGAGTTATCCTGGACCTTCTTCCGGGGGTACTTCTCGCATAGGTTGTCCTTCCAGTCGATAGTTGAGGCCTGAGTAATCAGCTTTGACTCCTACCTATGAAGGGAAAGGTGGGAAGAAGCTCACAGAGCACTCGAGGTCTCCAACGTCAAAGTCCCGCATCTCCTGGGTGACAGATCCGTCCGCCGGGGCAGTCTCAACGCCCTTGGGCAGAGAGTACTTCTTGCTAAGGGACGAGTTAGAGAAGAAGGGGTTCTCGCGGAAGTGCTATCGCGTCAGCCTCCTTCGTTGTGCCTTTCCGCTCATCATGCGAGCAATCCGCACATCCCGAGTCTGATCTCGACCTTGCAGGTAGAGAAACTCACGAAGATCACCTCGTACGGCCGAGGGTCTTTCGGGTCCTGGATGTACTCGACGTCCTTGAGGTAGGTCAGAGCCTGACGGTCCGCCTTGGCGGAGCAAGCCTGCTTGACGGAGATATGTGAGAGCTGCTCATGTCAGCTCTGGGTCTACCGCAGCTCTGGCGTTCGAAGAGAGCATTGAGATCATTCTGATAGCTCACCAGTGTGAAGGGCCAGAAGTTCTCAACCTCTTTGACTTGTTCACGGACAAAGTTGACGTGCTGGACAGTCTGTTCGGCCATGAACCGGAGATATCGGATCTTTTTCTCGCCAGAGGCTGAGCCGTCAACTGGAGCTCCTCATCCCACAACGGCGTCCCCAGAGGCGGCGCAGAAGAAGGAAGGAAGGAAAGCAAGCTTGGACACCGAGCACTCACCATCCTCAATCTTCTGCTGGACCGCGTCGGGCACGCCTGATTATGTCAGCTCTCATCGCGAGACGATGATCAGCGCGGGATAGCTCACTAGGCACCTCGATTTCGAACTCGTCGCTCATTTTGTGTATAGTGGGGTTGATAGGGGTGTGGTAGGACAGTGATAGCGACAGTGATGGAGGCTCAAGCACGTTCAGCCAGGCGCCAGCTGCAGGCATATGTTGACGAAAATCCGAAATGTAATCGAGCACCCCATTTAAGGCCTCCTTTAGACGTCCCGCCATGTGTGATCCGAGCAGCTACTTGCTGCAGGATCCGCCCTAGCGATATGGCGATCATGCTGAACAAGGGCTTGCAGCGCACCTAACTGAACATCGAAGACAAGAAGAAAGGCTAATACGCGTCATGTGGATCCTTGATCACGTGACCTTTTGAAACGACGTGTCTCGGCGAGGGTGTTTCAAGTAGCGAATCAGTCGCCTTCCAGCCGAGATATGCCTGGTGCAGTCAGAGCGAGGGTCCGTGACCTCTCCGCACTGGGCGCCGAAGACGATCGCGCGCTCGCGGTTGGAGATTAGGGCGTCTTCGAGGGGACGAGCGACATATGGGCTCACGAGACCTTTCTTTATCTTATAACCCGATCGCGGGAGCACGATATCACGTCACCGCGATCCAAGATGGTGTGATTCTGAAACATCAGTGCATCAGCGCGGATGTGACTCGTGGGTACTGCGATGAGTGCGCCTATAGCTGATGCATTTGACGTGTGATGGTCCGAGCTGAATACTCAGAGCAGGGGTTTCAAAAGGCCCGCGACCTAGAATGCTCTTACTCGATGACGGGCTTTCTCTCATCCTCGAACGTACATCAATAGACAGACAAGGGCTTAGCAATCTGGCCATAACCATGATGCCAGAAGTACGTCAAGCGACGATGCCTCTTAGTAGTGGTTACAGCCCTTCCTCCGAAACGTGTAAGCCACCAGATGCCAGCGAGAAACGCCGCGCATGGAGAACTGACTACCTAGTTCTATTGGCGTTCAGCTTCAACCACCCTCACGTTCCTCCGGGCGCATACGGCAGCATCGCAATCAGCCGATCTGCCTCGCCGACGGCACCGCTTGACGATCAATCCTCGACTACAGCGAGTGCGGTCCTCTCCATCTGGTCACGTTGGGTGGGCAGCGCGGGCATACTGGCGGACTACGAGCTCCCCTTTCAAATAAGGAGCTCCAGGGGCTACGGCGAGGCCGACCATCCAGAGCATCGGCGGGGCAAGAGGCGATGGCGGCAGAGAGGAAGGGAAGACGTTCCTGCAGATGCGCTGGTGTTGCCATTGCTGGTCATCACGTTCTCCTGCGCGTGAGTTCGATACATAGCCATGATGTGACAGAGGTGGACGCTGAGTAGTGTGTAGCATGGCTGATGCGGGGACTCTGGTCGCATACCAGACGTTCGCTACTAGCATGACTGGGTGAGACAGCTCTCCGATGCGCGGCTGGGAGAGCCGTGGGATTGGCAAAAGCTGATACAGGCAGGAACACCGTACTCCTCGCTATCGCAGCCTTCGGTCTGTCACCCAAACGACCTATCTATGCCGCCGCCTCCTTGTCATCGTTTATCGGGGCGGGGCTCATATTTGGGCAACTGGGCGGCATGATAGGTGAGCTCGTTCACACCCCTCCTAGCTCGCGGTGGTACACCAGCTGACCGACTCAACAGGACACAGACATCGATCCTGGCTCCTCTTCAGTCTCACCGTCCAGATCGCGCTCCTCTTCCTCGCTACGTGGACCGTCTCCCCCCTCGGCTGGCCCAGTCTGCGATACGGCGGCAGATCAGACTGGGTGTACCTCCTCCTCATAGGCCTGCAGGGAGGCCCGCAAGTCACGCTCGTCAGTTCCCTCCTTCTCCTGACTGTCCCGACGCGCCCGACCGATCGCGAGCTGATGAGCCAGGCTACCAACTCTGGCGTCCGAGAACTCCCCACGGCAATGATGACCACCCCTTACGCGGCCTTCATATCCGACCCGTCTCTCTTCTCCTTCCCATCGACCGCACTCTCCGAATCGGCGGACGTTATCTCCCGGAATCGACGGTTCCTATATATTGTCTTCTTCTGGGCGGGGGCGTTCGCCGGCGGGGCGCTCATGAAACGGAGTAGTCTGTGGGCGTTGACGGGTGTGGTGGGTGCGCTGAAGGCCTTTGCGGCGCTGCTGGTATGGGTGTCGAAGGCTGAGGAGGCGCTTGAAGAGGCAGGTCCACCGGCTCGGCATGGTCGAAGATTAGGGGTCGAGGAGGAGGCAGTGGGCGAGATGGAGACGGAGACTGAAGGGAGTGCGCTCATTATCGAGCGTGGACAAAAGACGCGGACCTCATCGATCTTCGGCTCGCTGTCAAGACAAAAGCCAAGAGATGAGCATAGCATCGCCATGTAGCAATATCATTCGTGGATTAGCGAGGTCAATGTATCAGTAGCAGTTCAGTAGCCTCACGGTGATATCTGTCATCCATAGCTGAGAGGAGATTCGTACCAGGTCAAACAAGCACCTTGGGCATTCTCACAATACTACCACGTGATACAACTGCACGCCTCCTTATGCCACCGCATACCAACCCACACCCACTCCGCTCCGCCATCTTGGAATCTACGCATTAGGCTTCGGACTCGCCCGAGCCGCCGCTTGCGCCTGTGCGGCCTGTACCGCCTGAACACTCGGAGAGCGTGCGTACTGCGGCTGCATCATCAGCCTGATCCCCATATCAGACATCAAGCAAGAGATAGAAAGACTCGCCTGACCCCCGAGATTCTGCATACCCATCTGCGGCGTCCCCTGACCCATCTGCTGTTGCTGCCCCATCTGCTGCTGCTGCGCCTGCTGCTGCTGTTGGATCTGCTGCTGCTGCTGATGTTGCTGTTGCTGTCCCATCAGCTCCTTCCCCTCCCTCTCGCGATAGACGACTAACCCTTGCAACAATACTCATCTGCAACGCCCGCAGATTCTCCGGAGTCGGCGCCGTTCCTGACGCCTGCAGCTGGGCAATCAGATTCTGCACAAATTGCTGATTACCGTTGCCCATGATCTGCTGTTGCTGTTGTTGCTGCGGCTGTAGCTGTTGCTGTTGCTGCTGGGGCGGAGGCACCGACGTCGAAGCCATCTGCGGTGACCCTTGGCTCCCATTGCTCGAAATGCGGAGATGCGGCTGGGCCATGGCGAGGCCCATATTGGCCACCCGACCCGCTTGAAGCTGCGGTGACGAGTGCATGCCTTCTTGTCCGGGCAGATCGCCGCCGGGTCCGTTGTACGGCGAGGCCGAGGCGGTCCCGTCCGGTTGTCTAGCGGGGTGATTTTGGCCCTGACCCTGACCCTGACTCTGCGCTCGCGCGTGCGCGAGGGATTGCGCCTGCTGAGCGGCAGCTTGCTGCGCTTGGAGCATCTGAATGTGCGCCTGGACCTGAGTGGACTGGGTAGGCTGACCCAGCTGGCCCTGGCCCTGTCCTTGGAGCTGGACCTGACCATGCCCTCCAGCCTGATTCGCCATCGCCGCAGCCGCCGCAGCTGCGCGCATTGCCGGACCCGCCGCATTCCCCGCCTGCCTCGCCGCAGCTACAGCAGTGAGGAGCTGCTGCGTTGGCAAAAGACCAGGCCCTGATCCAGGACCCGGACCGACCTGGCCCGATGGCCCCGCGCGAGCATTGGGATTAGGAGCGTTATTGACGATGGGCGAGTTATTTGCCCGAAGTTGCTGTTGCGCCGCATGCGCCGCGAGGATCTGCGCTTGATTCTGCTGTTGATGCACGCGCATAGCGTCCTGCCGGGCTGCTTGGTCCTGCATCGCCCGAGCTTGACGCTGCCGGACGATAAGCGTATCACGCTGCCATTTGTTCTCGACGAGATCCCAGGGTGTGGGGACGGTAGCGGCCATATAGGTCGCGTGACTCTCGTGGACATTGATGACTCGTTGGGGTTGTTCTGCTGCTATAAGCTTCACTCCAGCTGTCAGTCGAACAGAGTGGACAGGACATACGATTCGCCTTTTGCTTGTTCTGCTCGCGTCGCCTAGATAGCCTCCGCATTGAATCAAAGAGGACTTGATGCCTGACCGCCTTCTTGCTCCCTTCGTACTTGTTCTTCTGCGCCCTCGCTTCGCGCTTCGACAAGCCAGGAGGCGGCGGTCCTTCCCCATTCGCCTCGCCACCACCAGACAGAGGAGGCAGAGTCGGTACTGCTATACCGCCGGGCGTCGACGCGCCTCCAAGCCGACTCGGCCCGGCCAGAGCTGAGGGCGGCTGCGAGCCGGCCCCGGATGCTGTTGGCGGTACAGGCGTGAGAGACGACGACGCAGCCGATCCGGGAACGATAGAGGACCTCGCGCTCCCCGGTGCGGCTACCTCGGGCTTGGTCTGTCCCTTTCCTGGCCCCCACTTCCAGTACCACTTGTCCCAACAATCAAACGCCGTCCGCTTTTCCGTAGGGATGACAACGATCTCCGAGTTGAAAGAGTCGGCGATAAGTGCCCAATTGTACGGGTAGGTGGTGATGAGGCGGACGAGCACTCTCTCCTCCTCGTCTGTCCAGACGAGCACCGTTTTGAGGTGATGAGCGGCAGGAGTAGGTTGCATGGGAACGTGCGAGGCGTTGGGCGGGCGGATACCTCGACCGCCAAAGACGCTGCACGTAGCAGCGAGGACTTCGGGGCCGATCGCGGAAGATCCCCGCGGGTCTTCGTAGAATGGTCCGACGGAGAGATCCCACTCGCCGAGATGCGCATTCTGCGCCGGCTTGATGGTGGACACGAATACAGGACGGATGTCCATGAGGCGGGAAGTGTGCGCGATGCGGTGGCCAGAAGTATAGCCGTCGTCCATCCGATAAGCGGATTTCCCGTCTGTAGGCGGGTGAGGTCCATCGTATGCCGCCAGATCCGGAAAGAGGTCAGTGAGGTATGCGGAAGGAGCCGGCTCGGATGGTCCTGCTTCGGCAGAAGGAGGGGGTAGTTCCGGATATGGCAGGCCGTCAAGGTCGACCGACGCTTCGGTGAGGGAGAGGTTGAGGAGTGGTCTACGCGCAACGACGAGCTCGTCAAGCTTTGAAAAGCGCTTGTTGAGGATGAGTCCGTTGGCCAGGACGGTGTCTTTCCGTTCGGCCGGCTCGCTGATTTTTTCCTCTTCCTCCGCTTCTGAGCCCTTGGTAGACTTGGCGGTCGCTAGGTCTGAGAGACCAATGACGCCCTCGACGGCCGTATCGTCCACCTCGCCATCCGCGTCCGCCTCCCCTTCGGCATCTGCTTCTCCCTCGGCGTCCGCTTCGCCTTCGGCATCCGCCTCGTCCCCCGCAGGGTCCACGACCATCGCCTCTCCGACCTTGCTGCTAGCTGCCACAGGTTGAGACTGTGAGGCGATCGCCTCAGCCGCCTTGCCCGCCTCTGTCTCCCGTTCCTTCTCTTTATCCTTCGCCGTCGCCTGGGCCGCCTCCTCCCCCTTGGCCGCCTCGTCCATAATCTCGTCCAACACTTCTCCCGCTGTGCCCCTACCATCCCCTCCCTCCCCCTCAGGCTCCGGCAACACCATCATCTCCACATCCTCCTCCGCCGCGCTTGACCCCGCCCGTACTTCCGTCGCTCCCGCGAGTACGGGTGCAGGCCCAATTCTCCCCGGTATTGGCTGGAGTCTCGCCGCACCCCATCCTCTCCCGCCGACCATCGATTTCGCCTTTTCCTCCGGGCTGGACAGATGCCACTCAACGACTTGGTATGCGAATTCCAGAGCGAGCATACGTTTCCATCGGCGTTCCTCGGCAAAGTCATCCCTCATCCAAGACTGCCTGTCAGCTTCACCACATAAACCCGCCAGACATGAGGATGAGCTCACCATTTCTTCGAGCATATAGTCCCAATGTGACTTGACAACCGGTACGCCTCTCCCCTTCTTTGGCTGTCTCAAACTCCACCTCCCCTCACTCTTCTTCGCCTCTATCCTCTCCATCGCGCGCATATGCCTCAGCTCTTGCGTCGCAATCCTCCAATCGGCAGTCAAGACGCATTTGGCCGACTTGCTCAGATTGTCCGAAAGCGGGTTGACCGCGAACTGCGCATACAGCTTGGTGATGCCCTGCTTGTCGTCCTTCTTCTTTTGGCGCGCCCTGGGCTGGGCAGCCGGAATAGGCGGCAGCCGCGGAAGGGCGGTCGTGTACCCCGAAGCGAGGGGCATCGGGATTGAAGGCGGTGTCTTGGGAGGGGAGGAAGCGGGGTGATAGTTGTCCAAAGGGATCCAGTCGGGTGCGACGAGTTGTGGGATGGGAGAGTACGACCTTCGCCGAGAGAAGATGTCGGCGGGGTTCACAGTTCGTTGGCGTGGTGATTCGGGAGGAGGGATAGGCAGGAGGGGGGACACGCGCGGTTCCATACGGGGTCGTTTGGCGGACGGACTGCCGTGAGAGGGGGAGGGAGATATGGCCCGCTTGTTGTTTAGCGAGGGGTCCGCTACCGCTTGAGAGGGTGGCTGGCTGGGGTCGGGCATGGCGTCAGCAGCAACCTCGTCGGGGAAGATAGTGGCGCTCGCGGGTGGGGAGATGGGAGGAAGGACCGGTAATTCCAGCGAAGCGATCTGGGCCGACTCGAGACTGAACGGGTGGCTGGCTCGCCAGGCGTCATACCCCTCTGACTCAGCGGCACCCGCCGTGCTGCTGTCGGGCCCAGCATCCATCCCGACATCAGGAAACGTCGATCCGGACGCCTGAGGCCGCGACACCAACGCGTACAACCCGCGGAGGGTCGCATCATGCTGCGCGCGGAGATGCCTGATTGTCAGGCTCGAGTCGCGGGATCTTGGAGCGGTAACTTACTTGATGCTTTCTTCTCTGGATATCAGGAGTTCATGGATGCCATCCCGAAGTTCAAATGACTTCCAGGATCAGCTTGATTCGGCTCAGAGGTGCTTCGCGAAGGGAGGGGGAGATGGGGACTCACATCCACCTGATCCTCCATCTTGCCCAATTTTGGCCCTTTATCGGCGAATCAAATTGGTGAAGCCGAAGTAAAGGTCCAGAGAGAAGCTTCACGACCGTTGGAAGTAGATGCGGTCGGGATGCAGGGGATGTAGCAGGTTTTATAGCACGGAGGGTATGGCTTTCTGCGGGGGCTTGGTGAAGTCAATACAGCTGGGTAGATAGGCGCGTGAGGGGGACGACGTGAGATAGGCTCGTGAGACTTCGATGCGCCTATACATGCCGAGATGGGGACTCCACATTCCTCATGATCAGCGCAACGGAGGTCTTTTGTTCTCGACCTTCACTTTGAGCCAGCAAGAGTATATACCTCGCAGTACTCTTTGCCTTGACCTTCACTCATACTCGCTGACACGGTCAACTCTCCGAAATGTCGACCTCAGTCAGGCAACGCACCACCTCCACTCAATCCCCGGCTCCCTTTCCCCCTCCATCCAGCTCGGCCCCCCTCCCCGTACCGAGCTCCATCCTTCCCTCTACGCCCCTGAACCAACCAAATGGCTCCCTACCCAACACCCCTCTCGCCATATCCTTCATATCCGCCGTACTCGCCACTCTGGTCGTCGTTCCCCTGACATACGTGGTGCAGCCGTACCTCGTCTCCCTCGGTTCGGCGGGGTGGGGATGGGCGAGACCGCAATTGGGAGCGTACCTCGCTAGTGTCGGCGTGTTCCATCTGTTAGAGTTCTGGGTGACGGCGGGCTGGAACCCTGCGAAGCTGAGTGTGGACTGTGAGTTCCCCACCGCTTCCTTCTTGCGTCCCCGGGATAGGGAGCGGAGCTGATGTCGCAGCGTTCTTGATCAATAATGGAGCGGGCTATCATGCTGCGCACGTTGCGGGCCTGGTGGAATACTTCTTGTCGTCATACTTCTTCCCGGGGAAGTATACAGGGATCCTCTCGTCCCCACTATACCTTGTCCCTGGTAAGCTGAGCTGCCTTCTTCTTCCTGAGGGATCTCAGGGCTCCAGCTGACCATCCCTAGTCTTCGCTATCCTGATCCTCGCTCAGACTTTCCGATCGTTAGCGATGATCCACGCGAACCACTCCTTCTCCCACGTCGTCAAGGCTGTCAAGCACGACGATCACGTCTTGATAACCAACGGAGTATATGCGTGAGTATAGCTGCTCAAGTCTCGCCCTCTCTACCGCTCCGATTGCCTCACCCCATGATATTCAGCTGCGACACTCTCATGGCCTCAGCTGACATCGCAGCTGGGTCCGGCATCCTTCCTACGTTGGCTTCTTCTGGTGGGCTATTGCAACCCAGCTCCTTCTGGGCAACATCGCTTCGACCCTGGCTTTCGTCTACGTTCTCGGCCGGTTCTTCTACTACCGCATCATCAGTACGTCAACAGCTGATAGCGGCTCGGCGGGAGATACAGGAATCCCGGTAGCTGATCTGACAGACGAAGAGAGACATCTCGTTCGGTTCTTCGGGAAGGATTACGTCGAGTATCGCAAAAGGGTCGGAACGGGACTGCCATTCCCCATCCCCACGAACCAGGAATGACACCTCCAGGTACATCGGAACAGTGAGGGCAGTTGGAATACAGACGATGCATCTCATATCTAGTCCTCTGCCCTGATACTCAAGCCTTCACCCTGACCTTCTTCTTTGCCGGCCGAGGTGGTGCCTCATCCTCACTCTCCTCTTCCTCCTCCTCGCTGACCTCTCCAGCGCCCACATCCGCATCCCAATCTCCCTCATCATCGTCGTCCTCATCCTCCATTCCTGCATCCTCATACGCAAACTCATCATCCTCATCTTCCTCCTCATCCCCCTGGTCCCCACCCGCCGCCTTCGCAGCTTTGATCTCTCTCCTCCGTTGCAAGACCTCGTCCGGGTCCACATCGACATCTGACAGGCCGGATAGGTCCACATCGTCCCCTTCCTCTTCTTCCTCGTCATCGTCGTCGTCGTCGTCTCCGCCTCCAGCCTTCTTCGACGCCTTCTCCTTCTCTGCCTTTTTACGCGCAACGTTGGCGGCTTGCTCGGCCCGCCGAGCGTCTTTGAGGGCGCGACGCTCATCGTGCTTCCTCTTCATATCGTTGGCCTGGGTCTTTGACTTTTGTTCTACCAAGGTCAGCTATGCTCCGCACCAAACGTTGGACCGAAGGTGTCAACTCACCAAACTCATGGAATACCGTCTCCCCCTCGCCCTTCTTACTCCCCACCAGCCCCTCCACGACCTTGATCAACCTCAACTCCATCCTCGGCCCAATCTCCACCAGCCTCACCGCCTTCCGATCCCCCTTTTTATTTCCCCGCCCATAATCATCCGGCAATTCCACCGCATTCGTATCGCTCTCTGCCTCGCTCCCGTCCGTATCCCCCGCACTCTCATAGCCCGACGTAGACGCGGTAGTTTCCGTCGTCTCCGACCCGGGAGTACCCACGCGCCGAAGGAGATAATCTGCGATATCGTCCTTCGATGACAAGTTTGGAATTCGCGCTGAGACAGAAGAGGAAGTGAGGAGTTTGCGGACCCGGCGAGAGACGCCGTGAGCGCGCACAGTGATTGTGTAGTGGCGGATGGAAATGAGGTTGGTGGTTGGGTTGTAGGAGATGAGGAGGACGCGGCGGAAGCTGGGGAGGGCGGACTGAAGGGCAGGTCAGCAGAGTCCGAAACCAGAAAGTGAGAGTAGACATACGCGCTCGACAGAGATGGCAGGGAAGAGACCCTGGAACATGGTACTCATCAGCTTGAGCTGAGGAAGAGGCTTCGCCCCGGGTTGCTGGGTGAAATTGTTCAGGACAAGCTGTATTGTCAGCTATCTAGTCTTCTGCGTTCCGGGGCATATTCACCAATGGCGGATTCCGGTACTCTGTGCCTGGAGCTTTACCAATGTTCTTCAATGATGAGTTGACGAGGTCCCTACGGAGTCAGTATGAGCTACAGGCATAGAATCCGATAGATGGCCAGACCCACTTCATCAGAGAGTACCGGTTGACACGGAATGTCAAGGTAGGGCCCTGCGGCATACGAGCCATCCTCAGGTGGACATTTGCCGCTTCTGTCAGAGTGAAGGCGAGGAGATGCGTGACGCCGAGAGTAGGGGCGATGGTGAGATAGTCTCGGAGCCGAGCATTCGGGCGTTCCTTCTGGGTCAGCTGGGCTGCGGAAGAGCGGCTGGCATGAGATAGCTTACCCGAAGACGAGTGGCCGTGTTTGGCTCCATGACCTGCCTAACATCTCTCACGAGCTGAGAGACCGACTTGGTCACACTCCCAGACTACATCGTCAGCTCGATCCCTCGCATTATACAGAATTGAACAAAACGGAGGACGAGCTGGACAAGGGCGTACCTTGATCACGAAAGACTTTGGCGCACTATCATCATCCTCTCCCCTGTCTCCGCCTTTGAGATGTGTCCTGTTCTTCTTTCTGCGTGCTCCCATTGCTGCTTGTCTGTGTCGATGGATGAGTGATGAAGATCAGTCCATGTCGTCGGCTGCAGCAACTTGCTCCGGCCATGCAAGCAAATATTTCGGATTCGCTTTACGTAATAACTTCATTACGGTATTCGGGCCGCTGGCTTCCGATGGAACTTGTTTCCCCGCGCGTTTCAAGTTGGAAAATAATGTGCGCTAGGAAGTGCTGATAACGGCTTTCGAGGCCTGCATGACCTGTGCATGCACATCCCTAGGTATGAGACCTTGGCGCGTAGGCAGTCAACATGTAAGATAGCGCTTCGGATGTATCTGCGGGGGCTTGACGGAGTGAAACTCGGAATGAAGCTTGGTCTTATCTCCTTTTCCAACGATTGGGAGCGAGTTTCCAATAAATCAGTGGAATTTCCACAGACACTGTGCCGACGCAAAGTGCTGGGCAGGGACGGGGCGGAGGGGTATAGATAGGACCCGAGTCGAAGGACGATCTTCTCATCCCCTCTTCATCCTCATACTCCTCCTCGGCGAAGACACGATCTTCCCACCCGAAAGAGCTCTTATCGCGATAAGAAGCGCGTCTGGAATTCTTAATCGGCCTTCGCTTCGCGATCCACATTCCTTGCCCAAATCAAACTTAACTCCTTTTCTTTGCTTCTGCCATCACACCCAGCGATCATGTCTCTCCGACCCTTCGCAGGACGCGCTCTGCGCCGATCGCTTCCCCTCCCCGTCTCCCGATCCCTCTACACCTCCCTCCCTCGCCTCTCACCGGCACCGACCACTCCCCTCGCATCCTCTACCACCGCGACGCAGCCGCACCCCTACCCGCCTTCCGCCTCTTACCACCCCTCCACCTCCTCCGTCTTCACCCCGCTCGACACCTTCCTCCCGCGTCACCTCGGCCCGCGCGATGCGGACGTCAAGGATATGCTCTCGGCTCTGGGGTACAAGGATATGGATTCGTTCATCAACGAGTGTATCCCCAAGGATGTGCGCGTCAGCCCGTTGAGCGATAACGACGCCGATGGGATCAGGCCGATGAGCGAGCTGGAGCTGAGGAGGCGGGCGGAGGAAGTCGCGGGGATGAACAAGGGCATGAAGAGCTATATTGGGATGGGGTGAGCTACCTTCCGACTTTACATCGGAGAACAACAGCTGATAGTGGCAGATACCACAACGCGATCGTCCCGCCCGTGATCCAGCGCAATGTAGGTCGTGTCCGCACTACAGACACGTTTTGGAATGCTCGTGCTTACTTTCAGGTACTCGAGAACCCCGCTTGGTACACCGCCTACACCCCATACTCTCCCGAACAAGCCCAAGGCCGCTTGGAATCCCTCATCAACTTCCAGACCGTCATCATCTCCCTCACTTCCCTTCCCATCGCCAACGCCTCTCTTCTCGACGAAGGCACCGCCGCCGCCGAGGGGATGGCCATGTGCCTCGCCAACGTCCCCAAGGCCAAATTTACAAAGGGCAAGAAGGTCTTCCTCGTCTCGCCTACGGTCGCGCCGCAGACGATCGAGGTCCTCAAGACGCGCGCGAGCGGCTTTGGCATTGAGCTTCGAGTAGCCAAAAGCAACGAGAGTCTCGAGGAGGAGGTGGAGGAGCTAGGGGAGGCGGGTCTCATGGGTGCGATGGTGCAGTACCCGGATGTCAATGGGGAGGTGGGCCAGTGGGAGGGCGTGACTAAGAAAGTCAAGGGAACGGGGGCCAAGATGGTCGTTGCGTCGGATCTGCTGGCTTTGACCATGCTCAAGCCGCCAGGAGAGTGGGGAGCGGATATCGTCTGCGGGAACTCGCAGCGCTTCGGTGAGCTTCCTCCAAGAGATCATCCGGTCGAAGCTGACGGTCAGGTGTGCCGGTCGGTTATGGTGGACCCCACGCGGCTTTCTTCTCGTGTACCGACGAGCTCAAGAGGAAGATGCCTGGACGTCTCGTCGGGCTCAGTAAGGGTGCCAGGGGCGAACCAGCGTACCGTCTGGCACTGCAGAGTGAGCTAGCTGATCTGCTGCTTCGGAGGCATAGCTGACATCCAGCCCGCGAGCAGCACATTCGCCGAGAGAAGGCTACTTCCAACGTCTGCACTGCGTAAGTTGACGTATACCCATGCGTGCAGATGTAGCTTACACTCTAGGCAAGCGCTCCTCGCCAACATGGCCGCCATGTACGCGGTCTACCACGGTCCCGCCGGTCTTCGTCGCATCGCCGGCAAGGTCCACGCCCTGACCCGTATCCTCGCCTCCTCCCTCGAATCCCTCGGCTTCGAGATTGTCAACAAGACCTACTTTGACACCCTCACCGTCAATGTGAAAGCCGCCGGCCTTGGTGCCGCACACGTCCACGCTGCATCCGTCCAGGCAGGCATCAACTTCCGTCGGATCGACGAGAACTCTATCGGTATCACGCTGGACGAGTCGGTCGGCCCGCTCGACCTCACGGATATCGTCAATGTCTTTTACCAGCTCAAGGGCAAGGCGGCTATCGAGCCGGACGTGCTCGACCGCCTCGCTACCGAGATGGATCTCTCGGCATCCTCGGTGGACGGTGTGTCCAGCCTCGGCCGGTCTACCCCTTTCCTCCAACAATCGGTCTTCAACAAGCATCACTCCGAGACCGACATGCTGCGGTACATGATGCACCTGCAGGAGAAGGACTACTCCCTCGTGCACGGCATGATCCCCCTCGGATCCTGCACTATGAAGCTCAACTCTACGTCCGCCATGGTCCCTCTCTCCTGGAAAGAGTTTGGCGGGATCCACCCCTTCGCCCCCGTCGACCAGGCCAAGGGGTACGAGGTGCTCATCAATGAGCTCGAGCGCGATCTCAGCTTGGTCACGGGGTACGACGCGACGTCCGTCCAGCCCAACTCGGGAGCCAGTGGCGAGTACGCCGGCCTCAAGGTCATCCAGGCGTTCCACGAGAGCAAGGGGCAGGGACACCGGAACGTCTGTCTCATCCCTCTCTCGGCGCACGGAACAAACCCCGCCTCGGCAGCTATGGTCGGCTACAAGGTGGTCCCCATCAAGGCACTCGCGGATGGTTCGCTCGATCTCGAGGATCTCCGCGAGAAGGCGACCAAGCACAAGGATGACCTGGCGAGCTTTATGGTCACTTACCCATCTACCTTTGGGGTGTTTGAAGAGGGGATCGAGGAGGCATGCCAGATCGTCCATGATAATGGCGGGCAGGTGTATGTGGACGGCGCGAACTGTAACAGTTTGGTCGGTCTGACGAGTCTGGGCAGAGTCGGCGGTGATGTCAGCCACACCAACCTCCACAAGGTAAGCTCCTCCTCTGCTCTGCCTGGAGTTCGCTGACCCGTAGACCTTCTCCATCCCCCATGGCGGTGGCGGACCCGGTATTGGCCCCATCTCGTGCAAATCCCACCTCGCCCCCTTCCTCCCCACCCACAGCATCATCCCTACCGGCGGCTCCACCCCCATTCCCGCCGTCTCGGCCGCCCCCTGGGGTTCAGCCAGTATCAACACCATCTCCTGGGCATACATCAAAATGCTGGGTGGATCGGGGCTGACCGACGTCTCGCGCATCGCCCTCCTCTCTGCCAATTACATCGCTCACAGATTGGCACCCTACTATAACATCCGGTTCACGAACCGGAATGGCCGGGTGGCGCACGAGTGCCTGATCGATCTGGGAGAGTTTGAGAAGAGCGCGGGGTTGAAGGTGACCGACTTTAGTAAGCGGTTGCAGGACTACAGCTTCCACCCGCCTACCGCTCAGTGGCCCATCTCTACGTAAATCAGCTTTTCATCCGCAGTGGTCAGAGCTGACAGGCAGGTGCTGGTTGATTGAGCCGACCGAGTCGGAGCCTAAGCACGAGCTCGACCGCTTTATCGATGCCCTCATTGCCATGCGGAAAGAGGTCGACCTCATCGTGGACGGCAAGGCGGACAAGGAGAACAATGTTTTCAAGCACGCTCCCCACCCGCTTGCTGTGCTCTTAGATGACAAGTGGGACAGGTGAGCCTTCCGGGTCTGGGCTATCTGATCGAGGCCATATGCTGACAGTGTAGGCCGTACTCCAAGCAGACTGCTGTCTACCCGGTCGCTGGGCTTAGGAAGAGCAAGTTCTGGCCCTCCGTCAGCCGGCTTGATGATGGTGAGCTTTGTTTCTCCCGTTCCTTGTCGAGTGAGCTGGGCACAGAGCTGATGAGACAGCCGCTGGAGATCTCAACCTCATCTGCGAATGCGGCTCGACCGAGGACTACGCATAGTCACCTGCCCTTCTTGCTGAAGCCGTCAACCGGTTCCCAGCTTTCCCTCATCCTGCCTCCCTTCCCTCCCCCGCCGCTTCGCCTGATCTCAGTTCTCATCTTCCGGGTCTTCTTGTCTATTTCAACAATAATCACTTGTAATATACGTTCAACACTTGTACAGTCCCCCTCATACATTAGGTAGAATAGCATGTGCACTTCAACTGCACCGTAGATACCCACCCTTTGCACATACTCATAGTATCATGCAGCAGTCGTCGTACTTGATAGCTACAGACGTGAGCCACAATGTGCTCGAGGGACCTCGAGTCGCACAGCCCAGTCGACGGTGCTGAAAGGACTCCGAAAAGTCAGTAGCGCGAACGCAGAGGGGGCCGAGTGCAGACCAAAGCCATCTCCCAGAGACCCCCAAAAGCAGCCACGACGTCGCGGGTCCAGCTGTCCTTTGTCGGCCTGCTCCACACTGTCGGCTGCCTCGATCTGACCAAGTGGCCTGAAACACGATCTCAATGCCTCAGAGCGCCTCTCCGCCGAGAAGGCGAAAGGATCAGACCTTCACGAGTAGTCAAAGTCGATCTCTGTGGCGGTGCAACACCTGTCGGGGCGTTGAGCTACAGGTATCGCCCCTTTGGTGAGTTCTGGATTCGCCACTTTCTTTCCGCCTTTCCGTCAGCCCACTTCAGCGACAGCGATGAGCGGCTTCGACTCCACTCACAATTCTGGCGACCCGGAAACCTCGGTCGATGACAATGCGCGGTCGGATTTCCAATGTGTTGGCCCGAATCTGCGCTTGTCAGACGGCGTAGACATTCCCCACCCGGGACACCGATGGCCCCATGGAATTTCTTGCCACCTTGTGGCTGAGCAACTCGATTGACGAGCAGAGGCAACTCATCGACAGACACCTTACGGAGTGGTCCAGTCAGAATACAACGATCAATCAATCTCGATCGCCTTCAAGGGCTCCTAATCCTCCTCTCTCGACAATGACCCGAGTCCGCGGCTTCTTCAGTCGCCCGAAGAAGACATCTGTGACTGCTGCAAGCGATACGCATCGCCAACTTCAGAACTCAAGCCCTCACTCTCCCGTGCGGCCATCCGATACATCTCAGACGACCCGACCCGCTCTCGCGCCCCGGGTCGCGGCCTCTCCCTTCGTTCTGGTTGGCGGATTGCTGGAGACGCGAGGGACCGGCGGGAACAGCATCGACGATCAGTCAAGCCTCGTCGGAGCTCCGCTCGGCACCCTGACAGTCGTCATGAAGCCGTCCAGGACTGGTCCCTCCGATATCGCCAGCAGGACAACCGAGATCGATTTTACCGGTGACCAGGCCTTGAGGGTGGCGGCATTTGTCCTTACGCTGACATCTGTGGGCGGCTCAGGCGTCCGGCCGATGATGGGCACAATCATCCGACCCTTTGACGACGAACACGATACTGACAGGTGGCTGGCTGTGCACGATTACTTCGAGGGCAAGTATCGACAAGGTGTCCCGTCCAATAGCCCCTTGGAGTCTCCCAGCTTCGCTTTCAAGACTACTGTGGGTGATGAGTGAGGATCAGATCCCTTCGCTGGAGACATCGTTTTGGTTTTTTGTCGTTCTTTTTAGTTTCCATCTTGGCCATACACGCATGCGCATTGTCTAAATGAAAGTGCTATTTCCCCGACTTCGTACTGACCATCCTTCTGCTGCTCATCAGTCTGTGAGCGCCAGCCCTGATCGGCCGGTCGGGGGGGCAAAACGGCCGGACCGAGCGGTCGCTTCACACCCTATACCGTAGCATGCTACGCGACGCCACAGCGCACTCGGTCATGATGAGTGATGGCCTGCCTTTCCTGATCGCCCCTTCCCTTTGCTCTGCAATTTGATGTACGTCTACTGAGTTTCAGCACTATGCATACATCGTTTGGGATGATAGCTTGCTCCCATTGTCTTCTTTCTGAGTGAGTACGATCCGTCAGCGATCAGCGACATCAGTATCGACCGCTCCCGTTGTACTCGCCTTTCACCTAGCGGCCGCGCTCTCTCGCGGTATGCCATGTGATCCAGCTCTCAAGCTACAGACTTACAAAGTCTTCCACAAAGATGCCGCTTCTGTTATCACCGCTCCTGTGCCGGCTCTTCTTCCGACTATCGCCCGTGACCTCACCACGCCTCATCCATATCCTCTCCAGGCCGCTTCCACCCCTCCTCCTCTTCTTCCCAATCATCGTCCGCATAAGCTGCATCACCTCCAGCACCCTCATCCCCCTCTTCTCCCGCATACATCCTCAACAGCTCTTCCTCCTCCGCCCCCTCTCCTTCCGCTTCTTCATGGACCATATCCACCCCTCCCACCCTCACATCCTGACCCCGTTTTGCCGCCTTCAGACGCCGAGCCGCCTCGGGATCAAAGAGGGACTTGTAGACGAGGTCCGCTTTGGTGCGCTGGGCGAGGGGTTTGGTAGGTGATCGAAGGGAGAGGAGGGAGAGGAGGTGTGGAGGGAGGGAAGAGGTTGCGTCTGCTTCTGCTTCGGCGTGGTCGTCCGGGTCGTCCTCTGCCTCCATTGCGTCAGGGTCGAGATCGTCTCCCGAGTCCCCCGCAGCCGCCGAGTCCCGGCTATGGTAGGACCCGACTGAATCCAGACTGCCTCGCCGCCGCCGTGGGTGGATAGCTGCACGCGTAGAGGTGATAACGATCTCGCGATCCATCGCGCTGCCCTCCCCGTCGTCGTCATCCGAATTGGCGGTGATACGCTTGATGGTCCGCCGTCGAGTGGAAGAAGGAGCGGTCTGGACCGGAGCAGCAGCAAGAAGCTCCATCTCTGGGTCCGGAGGAGGGGTGGGAAGCCGCTCAACAGGGTCCGAGTCGGGCGCGGTCTCCCAAGTATCGGCGTCGGCGTCGGCGGGAGGAGGGGAGATGGAGGGACGTCTGGAAGGTCCGGCATATGGAGGGGAGAGGGGAGGTATGTCTTGTGCAGAGGATCTGTCTGTGTCGGCGGGAACGCGGGCGGATCCGTTCCCGTTCGATATGACCGGATCGGACGATTTGGGCTTTGGTGCACGCTGGAAGAAGGTGTTCATCTTCATTTGCCGGGCATCTTCCTTCCCCTTCCCCTTGGCTCCCTTCGCCGGAACCTTGGACTTCGCTGCGCCCTTCCCATTTGCTCCTGCCGCCGCGCTGAGAGCGGCGTTCAGCATCGCCTTTGGCGCCTTCTTTCCCGCCGCGGCCGAACTCTCCGCTACGCCTCTTGTCTCCGGTATCAGCTCCGTAAAGCCCCATTGACCAGGCTTGATCGGTGTCTCTCCCAGCTCCTCATCGTCCGCCTCTTCTTCGTCATCTTCTTCTCCCATGTCCACCTCCAGATCAAACATCATCTCCCTCTTCCCTCTCTCTTCGACTACCTCCAACGGCTCCACATCCCGCTGGCCCCTTTTCCTCCGTAAACCTTGTGTCGGCTTCCCAGGCGTGTCCTCCACCGCCTCACCCCTCAATCTCTTCCGCGCCCGTGTCCGAGGCGTAATATCCACCTTGGAAGGAGACGCGCCTGTCCCCTCCATCCTTGCCCTGACATTCCGGAGCGAATTCGCCTCGAGCACCTCTTTCAGCTTGCGCGGGGACGAGGCGTGGATGAAGGGAGATGCCCCATTCCCGGTTGGAGCAGAAGAGTAGGATGGCTGGAAGGGCGAGATCCGGTTCTTGGACGGAGAAGCGAGGAACGGGTTGAGGGGGTTCGGGTCGAGTATGGGTCCAGAGTAAGCCGGTGCCGTTTCCGCTTGTGGACGGCTCTTGCGCGGAGTATGGAAGGTGCCCAGCGAGGTAGATGCCTGAGGCGACGAAGGTAGTTCCGCCTTGCTCGCTGTGCGCTTGAGCTTCCGGTCCCCCGGAGCCGGGGCCGGCCTGGAAGGTCCAGCCTCAGGCTCGAGCGTTTCGCCCAGGCTCAGCGGGGTCCGACTGGCGCGTCCAGGCTGAGTATAAGAGCGCCGAGCGGGAGGAGTGGGCGTGGTGGGATACTCGGAGTTGGGGATGATGCGGGGTGTGCGCTGAGTTACGCCGCTTGCACCCGGACCGGCGGTGGAGGTGGACGTCGAGGCCGACGACGAGGGGGGTTGGGAGCTCGCACCGAGCTTTGTGAGCTTCCGATACAGAGCATACTGCTCAGCTATCCGGTCAGCATCACTCTGCCTGACCTAGAAGAGCAAGTCAAGCTCGTGAAGAACAGCACGCACCGATACCTCCGGAATCCTTCTTGATGTCCTCCTTGGTTGGTTCCCGTTTATTCTTGAGCTTGAAGGCCTTTTCCCACGCTTTGACCGCTGCTTTGACTTGCGGCAGGTCCATAGCTGCTCCTAGTGTCGCTACTGATGCAGCTGTATGCTGTCTTTGGGGGTATATGAGCTGTGCAATACAATGTCAACAGCAACAGAGCCGGACGCGCGCTCTACTGGAAGCTTTGAGTGAGGAGATCCACGTGGTTAAGGTTTCCGCGCGCCCGTTGCAGCAGCAGAAAAGTTCGATCGATCTGCTACTGCATCTCTCTCTATCCACCGTTCATACCCCTGTGACAGCTCCAAAGCAGCTAGCATACACAGCACCATGTCCACAGTCCAGCGCCAGACGGCGTCGCGCCTCCTCCGCGCTTCTGCCCGCCCCCGGGCCTCCCGATCGATCCACACCTCTCTCCCCACCCTCGCCGCTTCCGACTCGTCAAACAACTCCTCCCCCTCCAACCCTACTACTCAAACACCTCCCAAGCCCGTGACCCGCGCCTCCCGCATCCCATTTATCGGTCGTGCCCCCAAGGCTGCTCTTCCCTCTACGCCCTATACCGTCTCGCAGCCGCCTCAATTCCCGGCGCCGAATGACCCGTTCTTCCAGCCCTCGACTACGCCGGGGGAGAACGCGCAGAATGGGGAGACGGCGACGCCTGTTCCTGTAACCACCCGATCAGGGGTCCCAGGGGGTCAGTATAGCGACACGACCAAGGCGGTGGTTAGGGGGTTGGCGAGGGCGATGGGGTACAATTCGAAAGCGAGTACCGCGATTAGAGAGACGGGGAGGATGATGAGAGGGATCGTGGAAAGCATCGAGAGGGATAGGGTATACTGGTACGAAGGTGAGTCTCTCATTCCCAAAGGTGAGACTCCAGTGCTGATTGGCAGAATGCGGTCTTCCCCCGACATACCAGACGTTCTTCCAGCTACATCTGCTCTACGTCCTCATCCTCCTTCCGCGTCTCAGAGCCCTGGCGGTCTCCTCACCCACCCACAGCCACCCAATACCTGAACCTCTCGACCCTTCGTCACCCCATCACCCCCGACCCGATGTCGCAACATCCACCGTCTCTTCCTCAAACCCCTCATCGCCCGCTTCCGCCGGAAACCCCATGCTCGGGAAACCAGACCATGACGCCTACCCCTCTGAGCTGCTGAACCACTTCTTTGAGCTCGCAGAGTCGGAGATGCGGAAAGTGCTAGGCAGAGGCGAGAGGGAGCGGGTCGTCAAGAAGTATATGGCGGAGATGGGTGAACAGTGGAAGGGTGCCGGAGCGGGCTTGGACTATGTTATGGGTCTAGACAACGCGCTGAGTGCGGCGACGGGCACGGGTACGGCGGGAGCTATAAGCGCAGGTGGAGCCGGAGATGGAGGCGACGTGGAGCTGGCAAGCTGGGTCTGGCGGAACCTGTATGCTTCGCAGGGGTTGACGGCGGGTCCAGGGGTCGAGCAGGATATGGGCAACAAGGAGGTCGAAATGGTGCAGCGCTTGGAAGAAGTTGTGAGATTCGTGAGGAGGGAGATGGCGAGATTAGACAGTCTTGAGGATGCGGAGGTCTTGGACGCGGTGATTGGTGAATGGGGGTCAGCGAAGCAGTGAGATTAGTAGATGAGATATCAGAAGCCACACAGTGTAATGCATACAAACAACATGAAGTCCTGTTGATGTCTGCTGTTGGTCGTACGGACGTGCGGGTTCGGTGATGCGTGAGAAGTAACAAGCGATCATCTCCCGGATTGGAGGGATCTGGGTAGCTATGACATACGCTCCGTCTCGATCTTGTCCTCCAGCCGGAGGGTCTCCCCAGAGTCAGCGATGACTTTGTATCGTACTGAGCGTATCAGCTCGTCCTGGCCATCTGCCTGATCTTGTCGAGTGAGGGAAACACCTACCGATCCGCCACGCTCCTTCCTGCTGAGGTCGAATCGACGTGAAATAAACGGTTCCAGCGCCTTGCGAGATCAGCTGTCGGCCCGTATGGCAACCCGGACGTGATAGCTGACATACCCTTTGAGCCTATTATCCTGAAGCTGAGGTCCACTCGTCCCTGCATCATATTGATCTAGCCGTCAGCTATCGTTCTTAGGCCATTCTGGAGGAAGTGGACATACCGATCCCGAGATCCATGGTTCACCAATACCTATCGGGTACCGTCAGCTCTGACCAGACGCGAGAGCATCCATCACATTATCTCACCTAACCAATTTGGCTCGAGTCTTATCCCGTCGCCGAGCAGTTCTCTGACGTCGTTCGAGTTTCGCAGCTGAAAGTTTACTTGACGAAGGACGGAAGATGCGAGGCGTTCTGCCAGAGTCAGCTTGTCCAGACCTCCCTCGACTAAGAGGAAGCGCACTGTCTCTCGTTAGCTGGACATACCTGCATTAGTCGCTTGCAGGATGAAAGCTCCCCACACGCCCATCCCGAGCAAGCCCAATGCGATGACTACCTGCATCAGCTCCTTGTATCTTGTAACAACATTTGCGCTGGTAGCTTACACCACGGTAATCGGCTCTATACCAGTCAGCTGCGCGAACCAGCTCTCTCTCGGGTATGTGGTAGCTCACCGAGATCATAGGCAACTCCCTCCCCCCCGGCCGCTCATACATCACCCTCGGCTTACTCGGTCCCGCAAACGCCTCCCCCCCTTCTTCCTCTAGGCTCCGCTTGGCCATCCCCGCCCGATGTAACGTCTCCCACTGCGGCCTAGGCGCTGATGGGTCGGGCATACCCCTCTGTGATTCAGGTCGATAGTGGACTTCTCGAGGCTGGGACTTGGAGGCGAAGATGGTAGGCTCGATCTTGGGTGAGGGGGGCGGTGGAGGAGGCCGGGTGGAGGCGTGCCGTACTGAGCGAAGGGAGAGGGGCAGGCGACATGCTGGGAGGCGGATGGGAGGGCGCATCGTGCTCATTGAAATGGTGGTTATAGAGCTGGAAGGGGGGGAAAGTGTAGGTAGAGTCACACCGCCGGCTCTGATTTGAACGTTTGAACCGGTTCAAGATCCGCATTCCTCAACCTGGGTACCTGACGTGGTATTGCTCCATTGCTCATGCCATTGCTGCACCCGCTCTACATGATGTACATAGACCTCATACCGTCTGTCGGACGAGCCTGCGCCCCTAGTGGGGCGAGATCGGCAAGCCTTCGAGCTTGAAGGGACCTGACGCCTTTCAATCCCCTCCCGCCTTCAGGGAGCCCGTGCTGGAGCCTGCAACCCAAAGGAGGGCCTGGTTGCCAATTTTTGGCGCCTGCCGAAGATCCCGGCGCGTCCCAAGTCCCGCGCATTCTCGGTGTGGCAAGCTCCAGTCGTAATTTCTCCAGGCGGGAGGGGAGTGGGCTGGAGTCGAGCCCGCCGAAGATCGCACGCACGGCCGCCCCTGCCCCTCGGGGCTCACCACTAGCGCTAACACTAGCTCGGGCGAGCCTGAGACACCTCACCCTCAACAAGGATACCAATGATTCGGATCAACATCGTGCCTGACAAAAAGCCCGTGCTCGGTGCACGGTGTACCGGTGCCTGTGCCTAAATGGAATGCGTCCTCCGAGCTCCGCCCTTCCACCTTTGTGCCTGACGCAACGTGTTTCTAATAGCCGATACACACCACTCACTCCAGAGGGGCGACCGTCCTGGAGCGTCGCTCCTTCCTTGACTTCGTACTCATCCCTGCATATTCTACAACTGTTCGCTGACCCACCGTGACCCTCTCATCCTCTGATCCTATCAACCATGGCGATATCTGGCCTCACTCCGGAACAGCAGGCCATTGCGGAGCTCGTGGCGAAGCAGGTAGTCGGCGAACAACGGGCGCTCAGGATACTTCCCTTCTGGCTGGATGAGTACCGCCCGCTTGTCCTCCATGACCTCTTCACTTCCCTGCTACGCAAAGAAGGCGACAGCTGATGATGTACGCGCCTTCCTCGACCACTTCCTGCTCGGTTGCGTGGTATGCGAATGCATTCGGTATTATCGCTTCATCAGGACCGACAAGAACCTCATTGTATTCATCGTCGTAAGTCACACCTCGCTGCCTTCGAATCAAGCGGATGGGTTACTCGCTAACGCGATCAGGTCACATCAGTCGCGTGCACGCTCGGACACACTGTCGAGTGAGTCGCTCTCTACCTCCAGGGCGCGCGCGGCTCTGTGCTGATACTCCAGACTGATGGTCTGGCTGTCTGATATCTTTGTCTGGTCATACGGCTCCTTCGTCTCCTTCGCCGAAGGTCGATGTGAGTGGCAGCGTCAATGATGAGCGAGAGCTGACAAGGCAGACCTTCATAGGTCCGTCTTTCCGCCGCTTTATGGCTATGGCTCCGATATATATCCAGTAGCTCATCAGCCAGCTACCTCCTCGTCGACTCCATCTGCACCGTCCTCGTCCAAGTACGCTCCTGCTTAGATCTCCCCCAGTCAGCGCCCCAGCTAACTCAGGCAGACCTTCTACATCGACCGAGCGTATCGTCTCCACAGACACTGGTGGCCACTTGCCTTGCTTGGTCCGATCACGTACGTCCAGCCATGCTATCCCCCGTCCTATTAGCTCAGCTGATGTGGTCAGCATATTGGCATTCGCGAGCGGAGTAGTCATCGCGCAGCTCATGGCGTACAAGCTCACCATGCTGGATCCGAGCTTGATCAGCCTCCCGGTTCGTCCTCCCTCTATTTGGTGCCTCTTGCTTCACTGTGCTGTCGACTGACGTTTCAGCGGGTCCAAGTTGCCGCCTACATCTCGGTAGGTCATCCACGCGTCCGCGGCGTTTGCGGACCAGGATCACATCGCGCTGAATCTCGCTGACAGAGCAGAACGCTCTCTCGATAGTCGCCGACGCCGGTATCACATTCGCTATTGTCTATGGTCTCCACAAGAACAAGACGGGCTGGAAACATACCGACTCTCACTTGAAAGGTTTGATCATGTGAGCTCAAACCATTCTGGCACGCGGACGAAGCTGACCTGGGTGCAGAGTATGTTTCGAAGCGCAGATCCCAGCCTTATTCGTGTAAGTCTGCTCTGCGCTCTCCCACCTACTCAAGAAGCTCGAGCAAGATGAGGCAGCTGATTGTTAGGGCCATTCTGACCACGATCTTCTGGACGACCAAAGTCGAAATTGCTATTCTCTGCTTGCTAGTCCATACCAAGGTTTATTGCACTGGTCTACTCATCACCCTCAACTTCCGCTCGAAGCCCGGCTCAACTACCTCGGTCCAGTCCTACTCGCACCGATCCCACGATCTTGTAAGCATTTAGCTGGAGTTGGGCTGGGAGCACAAAGGGTGGGCAGGGCTGATCAGATCCAGAGCGGAAGTCACGAGCTCTCGGATATTGGAAGTAAGGGTCTTGGGGTGATGATCCAGATGGAGACCGAGACGGCGGTATGTCTTCCCTTGCCTCTCCTCCTCTCCCTGTCTCCATCCCTAGCTGGTCATCTCGGGGACTTATTTGGCTCGAGCTACAAGCTGATCTATCAGTCCCATCAAGTCCCCGTCTACTCGAAACGATCCAAAGTCATGGGGTGCGACGCCGAACACGCCAGTACATACTCCACTACAACCCACCATAGTCGGGCCGAGTCCGATCATCGATTCGCGCAGCAAGAGTACGGGTCGGAATGGGACTCCACGGCGGCTTTGTATCATCTTCCGCGGGATGAGGAGAAAGGACAGGCTTTTAGCGGGTAGTGCGGTGGAGGCGGCAGGAACGAAAGTCAGGGTCTGTGGGGTGTGCGCCGCGTCTGAGATGTCAAGAATGATATTGATAGGAGGAGTAGTCCGGCCGGAGCTCGTATCAAGTATGAGCTTCTCGATTTTTAGTAGGTCAAGCAGTTGAGGTTGTACAGACATTAACCATCCCGCAGTATCAGCTCCGCCACATTCCCCGTCGTGACGTGGCATTCTTGCGACCCGTCTGCCGCTCCGATCGGCCGCTCTGGCAGCCCGAGCATATTTGCCCACACTCTCCCGTCCTTTCGGACACACACAGCGGGGACTCTGCACCTACACAACGGGCACCATGATCCCTCCCTATCTTTCCTCCGTCGCATGGATTGGCCGCCACCGGCGCCAAAGGAATTTGATGCGGATCCGCTGTTCGGAAATTGACCCTGACCGATCTCTTCCAAGGCTTCCGCCTCTTACACGACGCATCCTTCCAGGCACACAATCACCATCCAATCACCCCTGATATGCTCGCTCCGTCGGGATACCGACTGGGGCTTGGAACGAGCGTACAGGCGTACACCCCTGACTTCTGACACGGAGAGGAATCCCTCACGGACACTCCAAGCGGCAATGGATGCGTCAATACAGTTCAGCCACCAATTGGGCTCGAGATCCCCTGATGCTCCAGCATGATGAGGTACATAATCAGCGAGCTCGCTGATGATAGGATTGATCCACTCTCGCCTCCTGCCTTTGCGCTACACTCACATCTCACTCATCTCCAGATATGTCCACGTCACTCTCCGACTTCACTCCAGAGCAGCTTGTCATGGCCGAAGCCCTCGCCGAGCAGATGATAAGCGGTCAGAGAGCGCTCCGAATTCTGCCGTTCTACTTGGATGAGTCCCCATTCCCTTCCCTGCATCACTACTGCGATACCTTGCGACTTACCGGTGGAACACTGCTGATCTCCTCACGCGGCTTCTTTGACACCTTGTTGCTCGGTGTCGTTGCCGTTCAAAGTGTCGGCTATATCCGTTTCGTGAGGACCGACAGGAGGTACATTATCGCCATAGTGGTGAGTTGGCCCCTTCTTATTAGGCACGGGCTACTCGCTGACCCCTCCAGATTCTCAATGTGCTCGCAACGCTCGCCGCCAGCATCGTGTGCGTCGACTTGGGCTCTCGGTTCCCGAATAGTCCCAAAAAGCTGATCAAGTAGGGTCACGCTCTGGCTGACCAAAATCTTCGTTTGGGACTACGGCTCGTTTCTCTCTTTCGCGGACGGCTCATGTAAGCGACTGCCCAGTCTTCTAGCGCGAGAGCTGACAGCCAGATATCTGCAGGTCAGAGCCGAAACTTTGCTCGTCATGAGGACAAGCAGCTGACGGGAGTACAGTTACCTCAGTATCGATGCGATCTGTATTTTCGTCGTCCAGGTAAGCCTCTTCCAATCTTCCTTCATATGTATGTATACTCTAGCTGACTTTTCAGGTGTTCTATGTCGATCGCGCGTACCGCCTTCACCGGCACTGGTGGCCTCTCGCGGTGCTTGGCCCAATCATGTACGTCTCACTAGAGACGATTCGCTGAGTGTCTGCTGACGGGCTTAGCTTGGCGTCATTAGCGGCCGGAGTAGCTATGCTCAAAATCGAGGCGTCCAACCTCACGTATATTGATCCTGAGTTCCTGAAACTCCCGGTACGATTCCACATTCTGATTCTGCGCGTGCTTTTGAGTCATGGCTAACACCCCAGCACGTCAGAGCCGTCACTTTTACCTATGTATGTTCATTATTCTTCGGTCTATCAAGGAGGTTGGTGTTGCGCTGACCACTTAGAACGGGCTCGTCTTGCTTGTTGATGCCGCCATTACTGTCGTAATGGTGTACGGCTTACACAGGAATAAGACGGGATGGCGACACACCGATTCTGTCCTCAAGGGTCTCATCATGTGAGCTAAACTGCTTGTAGGGACAAGTCCGCTCGAAACGACGCTTACACGAACAGCAAGTGCTTTGAAGCCCAAATCCCGGCCCTGATCCTGTAAGTTGAGCTCCCTTCCTCTCGGTAGAGAAACCCAGCTGACGAGCAGTGCCATCTGCACTATAACCCTTTGGGAGGCCAAGCTCGAAATTGCCATTTGCTTCGTGTGAGTCTCTCCCTTTGATCCCCTTGACTTTGATTTGGTGCTCATATTGACGGACAGCATGGTGCATACCAAGATATACGTGACCGGTCTGCTGGCTACGCTCAACTTCCGCGTGTCTCCAGCTGGCTCGAACGATTCGGGGCAGTCGTACCAGTCGCAAGATATTGTGAGTAGCAGATCATCCAAGGCTACGATGGGAGGGCGTAAAGCTGACTAGTCTAGAGCGGGAATAACTTGTCATTGACCGAGATACCGAACAAGAAGCTTGGTGTGGTGGTTCGGCGACAGACCGAGAGCGCTGTGAGTTTGTGTGTTCACTGTCCCCTCTCGTCAAGCGCGGTGCAGGCAGCGGGACTGGGCTAATGATCAGACCCATCAAATTCCGCCTTACGATTCCAAGCGATCCAAAGTGATGGACGTCGAGCAGGCGAGCTCGCACTCGGATCAATTCACCACTGGCAGTCAGGGCGAATTTCACCACCCTTTCGCCCAGCACGATCCGGCGGGCTGGGAGTCTACTGCGGCGCTGCACTACCTGCCGAGTACGGAACTGAAGCGCAAGCTCTGAGGGTCGAGGCCTCAGTACAGCGAGGAGTAGCAGGGACGCGTTCGGTAAACTCTGGTTGGCGTCTGCGAGTGCGCGATGATGTATGCATATGCTGGTACATGAAAGTGAGATTGAGATTGTCCCACCTGTAAGCTACGAGCCGCTGTGCTGGATGTTGTACGCCCGGTATACGCGCACTCAGCAGGCTCGGACGCGCGGCTGAGGCCTCGATGAGATCGACTCTTATAGCTACAGTAGGCCCACATGATGTTGTACAGTATACAATGGCAAGGCCTGTCCGAGCTCCGCATTCCTCGACACCTCCCTCGGCCCTCATCATTAGACCGTTACGGCCGTAACGTGCAACGTGGTATCGCTTACGGCATTTGCCTTCAGCGAGCCGCGGCCGATCAACGCGAACCCTCTCCCTCCCCTCGTCCGTCCCCACACCACCGCCTCCCTATACCGATGCAGAGGCACACGTCCACGGCTGCAGATAGACAGTGTCTACTCATTTGTCCTTCGGAGATCGAAGAGTCCTCGCGCCGTTCTTCCCCTTGAAATTCTAACCCGTCCTTCCGCGGACAAATGGTCCCTCGTTGTTCTTTCTACGTCGCATCTCCGGTCAATTAATGGAGGAGGACACCACATCCGGCAGGGTATCCACCTTCTCCCCTGCTGGCCGGCATGACACCTATATAACCAGGCATCCTACCCTCTTCCCCCTCACTGTCTGGACATCTCTGTGATCTACGATCTCACCTTACATTCTGACGTCTATACATCATGTCTCTTGTCGGTGCAACTCCAGCCCAGCTCGCGCTTGCCGAGGCAATTGCCGAACGCGCTATAAGCAGTAATCGATCGCTCAGGATCCTCCCCTTCTACCTGGATGAGTCCACTTTCTTCTACATCTCCTTACCCGTGATATACTGGTCGATTTCGAAGCTAACACTAAGTACGCGGCTTTGCCGACTCCCTGCTGCTTGGCGTAGTCGTAACCCAGTGCTTCGCCTACCTCCGCTTCGTCAAGACCGACAAGAAGCATATCGTCGTTCTGGTGGTAAGTCCATCCTTGGGTTACCACCGGCAAGAACGCTGACTAGCTGACATGTCAGGTGCTTTCTGTTCTCAGCGCGCTAGCGGCATCCATCGAGTCAATCACTTTTCAATCCAGCTCGTCGGATGGTACATAGCTGACCTTCAGTGTGATGCTGTGGCTCACCGACATTTTTGTCTTCAGATACGGACAATTTCTGAGCTTCGGTGAGTACCAATAGACCTGCCGAACCGACAGTATCCGCAGCTGACAGGCATAGCGACTGGGAAATGTGAGTTCAAGCTAGGTGCACACAGAAGAACGAAGGCTGGCAATGCAGATATCTACAGGTCAATATCCATACTCCCGACTCTATACATCGCTCGAAGCCTCCTAGGCTGACTGTAGCAGGTACATGATCATTGATGCCATCTGCACCTTCCTCGTCCAGGTAAGTCCGGAGACTATTGTGTCCAGGAGGACCTTAGCTGATAGTGCAAGGCCTTCTACGTCGACCGAGCATACAGACTCCACCGCCACTGGTGGCCCTTGGCCGTGCTCTGTCCGCTTGTGTACGTCGTTTTCTGACTGCTACCTACTCTGGTCTTCGCGCAATAGCTGATGCGGTTCCAGCCTTGGCGCAGCGGTATCCTGGGGTGTCTTCATCCAGATCATGGCGGCGCCTTTGTCGGAATCTATCGATCCTTCTCTGTTCACGACTGGGGTATGTCCGCTTCTGCATCTGTATCGGAAGGACTAGCTGACTCTGCAGGCCACACAGGCGTGGGCGTTCGCAACTGTGAGTTCCTGGCATCCACTCGATCGACTCCTGATGGTCGCTGACGAGAAGAACTCCCTCATCCTCGCTGCCGACTTCTCTATCACCGTAATCATGACTTACGGTCTACACAAGAATAAGACTGGCTGGCGCCATACCGATTCTCATCTCAAAGGACTCATTCTGTGAGCACATGCTCCCCCGATAGTCATCGAAAATAATGGAGCTGACTCGCCCTCCAGTCGCTTCTTCGAAGCCCAAGTGCCAGCCCTCTTGCTGTAAGCTCGCCTCTTTCTGCAACCTGGATCATCGTCTAATGACCAGTGCTATCCTCACTCTTATCTTCTGGACCACCAAGCTCGAGATCGCTACCTTCCTCCTGTAAGTCTTCGGCTGCCAAGAACAACTTCATTCCCTTCAGTAATTTGCAGTGCGCTTCGTGCTGATGTAAAAGCATGTGCCATACGAAGATCTACGTCACAGGCGTGCTGGTTACCCTCAATTTCCGCGCGACACCCGGCTCTGGCACCAGTATGCAGTCGTACCGCTCCGATGAGAACGTGAGACAACATGCACTGCCGTTTTGTGCGTATCGCTGATGTAGACAGAGTGGCAGCCACGCGTTGAGCGATATCTCGGGCAAGAACGGTACGGTGGTAATCCAGCGGGACACGGAGACGACGGTATGTTGCCATGTCCACCTCACCCGTTTCCAAAGCGGGAGCGATTGAGCTGATCTAGCAGTCCCACCAGTCCCCTCCGCACTACTCGAAACGGTCTAAAGTTATGGATGCCGAACAAGGCAGTACCCACTCCGACCAGCTCAACCAGAGCCAGAGCGACTTCCACCACCCGTTCGCCCAGAACGATCCGGCCGGCTGGGAGTCTACCGCGGCACTATTTTCGCTACCGAGCGGGGGCGATATCGCAACGATCGGGCACAGGGGCTAGCAATCCGGCGGTCGTAAGAATGGAAGAGGTTGCGATTGGGGAAGGGTAGCTTTGGGTTCGCCGGCTTCACATCAAGGATTGGCGGCAGGGAATAGGCGCTTTGCAGACTGTACTTCACCTTGTCCTAGGTATGCGATTTCGTATCCCTTCCTCCAGTCCACCTCGTTGGTCTTTGTCAGCCATGCAGATCCCCATCGCTGCTCATACTCTTCCGCCTTTTGAGGGCCAAGGAGGCCCCAGTTGTTGGACCGTGCGCGGACAAACTCCGCATTCCTCGTCATGACGTGCCGGTACTGAACCTTCTTCGCCGATCCGGCATCCCGGTCCGCCTTCACGGACGCATTATCCTCCCGTCATGCACACTCGCACTCTATTCCTGCCATCTATCTGGTACGGACACACAGTGTGCTCCTACCCTGTGATCGCTACATACGGGCTCCGCTTCCGCTCCAGAGGCGATGAAGGTTTGAGGGTGGGGAGGGGTGGGGCTCGATGGTGGCGCATCGTCTGCCCGTGTCCCTTTGATTGCTCAATCAAGCAATGTCCTCCGATGTACCCATCTTCGTCCGTGTCGGCGGCCATCGGCACTAGCCTCGAAGTCGACTTTCAGCGCTCCACGATGGACAAGATGGTAATCTGCTTTACCATCATCTCTCCAGCTCGACCAGACTGAATACGAGCTCCCAACGATCCCAACCCCCTCTGATCTCTCACTCTTCTGATCAAGACATCAGCTTTACGCCATGTCGCTCGCCGGCGCAAGTCCGGCCCAGCTCGCCCTTGCCGAAGCTATCGCCGAGCGATACATCACCAGCAACCGGGCGCTTCGTATCCTCCCTTACTACCTGGATGAGTGCTACTCCCTTTGACCTTGTTGCCTTGGAATCAGAAGCTGATATCACCACGCGGAGTGTTCGACAGCGCCCTCCTCGGTGTCGTGCTGTGCCATAGCCTCTCATATCTCCGTTTTGTCCGAACCGACAAGAAGCACATCGTCGTGCTGGTGGTATGTCCTGGACTTATAGCCCTCCCTCTGATCTATGGAGCTTGCTAACGAGTAAGGTACTTTCTGTGCTGACGACCCTGGCAGCCTCCATCGAGTAAGTCCTATCGTCTCGACAGACGGAGACTGTACTGACGGCAGTGTAATGCTTTGGCTCACCAATATCTTTGTATCTCAGCTTTGGTGAGTCCTGATCCTATGGGCTATCCCGAGATTTCTGCAATTGCTGAAGAAGCAGGAAGTGTGGACTGTGAGTGCGCGACTTTTCTCACCTAGTGGAAGATGATAGCTGACGAGCTAGATATCTACACGTCAATTCTGATGCCTCCATGCAATCTCGCCCGAAGACCACTGCTGACTGAGGCAGATATATGATCATCGATGCAATCGGCACCGCTCTCGTCCAGGTAAGCTTCCATCTTGCTGGATTACGACCTTGACTGACCGCCCCAGATCTTCTATGTCGACCGGGCGTACCGACTGCACCGCCACTGGTGGCCCTTGGCCGTGCTCTGCCCGCTCGTGTAAGTCCTCCGCATCTCTATGCGGTCTTTGACAAGTACATAGCTGACCAAGCTTAGTCTTGGGACGATAGCGGCGTGGGCTACCCTTGTCCAGTTCATGGGGCGACTCATCGCCCAGGGTCTCGATCCGACGACTATGCTCACACCGGTACGTATCGTCTACATATCATCCTCAGCTCGGCAATTCGCCCATATGGTGAAAGGCGCTGACTGTGTAGGCCTACATGACTGTGGCTAATGCTACCGTGGGTGCTCTTCGAGCCAAGAGCTGACCCATAGCTCTCGCTCATCATGGTCACCGACCTGGCTATTACCGCCGTCGTGATTTACGGTCTGCAGAAGAACAAGACCGGCTGGAAACACACCGATTCGCACCTCAAGGGGCTAGTTATGTGAGCGTTCCTCATGCTCCAGAGGAGTCAGCCAAGCTGAAACTCTGACTAGCAAGTGCTTCGAGGCTCAGATACCGGCCCTGATCATGTAAGCTTGATGATTTACACACTACAGTGAAATGAGGTTGATGACCAGTGCTATTCTGATCCTTGTCTTCTGGACAATCAAGATTGAAATCGCGACCTGCATCTTGTGAGTGTCAGCGCATGCCACTCCAGCTCAGCTATCGTAATAACCTCCACAGGATGTTTCATACCAAAGTCTATGTTGCGGGCCTGCTGGTCACGCTCAACTTCCGGTCGACCCCCGGAGCTACTTCCATCGGGCAGTCGTACGAGTCCAATGTGATCGTAAGTCCCTACGATCACAGTCTTACGATCACAGTGAGGTATACAGTGCTAATGATTCTAGTCTGAGGGTCATGTACTCAGCGACATCTCGGGCAAGAACATCAACAACTCGGTACTCGTCCAGCGAGACACAGAGACAATTGTACGTTCCTACCCTCCGACTTTGCCCTCTTGCGAGGCGAATCGGCTGAATAGCAGTCTCACCAGGCCCCACCGTACTACTCCAAGCGCCACAAGGTTATGGACGCCGAAGAAGGCAGCTCACACTCGGACCAGCCGAGTCTGCGGAGTCACAGCACCTTCCACCACCCTTTTGCGCAGCACGACCCAGCCGGCTGGGAGTCGACCGTAGCGCTTCAGGAGCCACACAGGTCCAGGGAGCGATGAAGAGTGGGGAGGAATAAGCAGACTGTCCAGCCACGGCTGTAGCGCTTTGGCCGGGTCGGGTTGTGGACGAAGCGGAGCGGGGGACTTCGGGCGGAGCAGAGGGCATCTCAGTCAGAGATATAGTATATAAAACATGTATATTGCTCTTGCTTCCTGTCTCGAGCTATGCTGGCTGACTCAGCCCATCTGTGCCTCTGGCTGATTGCCCCACCACGAACGAGGAGCCAGTCGCTACCGCGCTACCTGCTATCAGCCAGACGCTCCGGGCGCCGAAGCAGCGCGGAGCAACGAATGCCGTAAATTCACGTGCTCATGTTTCAGCCGTTTCAGGGTCAAAAAAGTTAGAAATCCTCGGACGATACCTTGCGCGCGTCAACAAAGAGCCGCTCTATCCTGCTCCTCATCCTCTACATAGCTATCGGGCAATATGGCGACCCCCACCGCCTCATCACTGCGGCAGCGCAGCACCAAGACCGACGCCGATATTGCCAATGGCGTGACGGACTCTTCAAAGATCGCGTCGGGCGCGAGCCGGGCGCTGATGAAGCCCGGAGGGATCCCTACCGAGCATGGGCAAGAGATGGATAAGCTCCTGGATACGCACGAGGAGTATGAGTTTGGGGGACCGGTGGGCGTTGTGGCTATGATGCTTGGGTTTCCGCCTTTGATGTGTGAGTTGTCCGCTTGACAGGGAATGTTGCGAGATCGGGGAGAAGGGGTCCAAGCGAGGCTGAAGGGGTGAAGATGCGTGCCTACGGGAGGAAGGGCTAGAGCTGCGTGGTGGATGAGGCGCTGGCATGACTGAAAGCGACTGTGCTGACCCACAGACTACTTCTTCATCTGCCTGTGGTACTACGAGGGAAAGCTCGTCCACCCTACCTCGCTCAATGACTTTGGACCTTTCCTCCAGCGAATGTGGGCACACGGAGTCGACGTCAGTCCTGTTCAATGTCGCAGGTACTCCCGCTGATAACCAGGGCGCCTACCCTACTGCCTTCGCTTTCAAGACCTACCTCGGTCTCGGTGCGGTCCAGCTCTTCTTCGCCGCCGTCCTCCCCGGTGTGCAGCAAAACGGCCTTCCCGTCCCGTCCCTCGGCTACGATGTCCTGCCCTACAAGTGCAACGCCCTCGCTTCGTGGTACACCACCCTCATCCTCGCCGGCTCCCTGCACTACACCGGTATCTTCCGCCTCCCCTGGATCGTCGAGAACTTTGGCAGCCTCATGACGGTCGCCATCCTCACATCCTTCATTGTCACTTTCGTCATCTACTTTGCGTCCGTCTTCTTCCACTATGGCGGCAAACCCCTCCGCATGTCCGGCAGCTTCGTCTATGACCTGTTCATGGGCGCTGCGCTCAATCCCCGCCTGGGCCCGGTGGACCTCAAGATGTTTGCGGAGGTCAGGGTACCGTGGGTGCTGCTGTTCCTGACGGCGCTGAGTGGGACGGTGAAGCAGTATGAGGAGCTGGGCAGGGTGACGGGGAATATGGGGCACTACCTCTTGGCGATTGGGCTGTATATGAACGCCTGCGCCAAGGGGGAGCACCTCATCCCGCAGACATGGGACATGTTCCACGAGAAGTTTGGATGGCTCTTGATCTTTTGGAACATGGCCGGCGTGTAAGTGTCTCATTCGCTCGCGGGAACCAAGCTGATCCCCAGTCCCTTCACCTACTGCTACCCCGTCATCTATATGACTCGGAACGCACCCTCGAAATACGAATACCCCCTCCTCGGCCAGATCGCCATGTACGCCACCCTCCTCACATGCTACTACGTCTTCGACTGCGCCATGTGCCAAAAGTCCGCCTTCAAGCTCCAACAGCAAGGCGACTACAAGCCCCGGAACGCATTCCCCGTCCTCCCCGGAAGCGTCGTCCAGGACCCGACCTACATCCAGACCAAGCACGGCAACAAGCTTCTCACGTCAGGCTGGTGGGCGTACGCGCGCAAGATCAACTATACGGCCGATTGGATTCAAAGTCTCACGTGGGGCCTGTCGGGCGGGCTGCAGACGCCCATCACGATGTGGTATCCCGTCTTCTTTTTGGCGGTGCTGCTGCATAGGTGCGAGAGGGACTTTGCAAAGTGCAGTAGGAAGTATGGGGAGGACTGGGACGAGTACTGCAGGCAGGTACCGTACAAGTATATCCCGTACGTGTACTAGAGAGGGAAGAGAGTGGAATTAGAACTTAGAAAGCGAGGCGATGGAGTCATAATGTCGGATGGATTAGTGATGCGCAAGTCTTGACATCGATCTACATGGCCGTCGGATTCACACCAGACATAGGTTCACTGTTCCAACAGTAGATGTGCATGGATATGTCCTCCCCTAGCGCCCCTCTCCCACCCAGCATCCACCCGACCCAGCCTCATCAAGCCCCACACTACCCACTCTTGCGAGAGGATCAGGGGCTCCTAGCCGCTGCGCCGAGAAGCGTGAGCTCCGTATTGGATCAAGAGAATGAGACGCCCCACAAGGCACGGCTTGGTTATCGCCCGAGAATGGAGAATGTCGGTATAGGGGACGGGAACGCGAGTAAGTCTATGGAACAGACGGACTCGAACTTTTGTGTCCCTGCGATGTCAGCGATGGTTTCAATATGTCTAAAGAGCGTGGAATGGCGAGATAGATCACGCGGTGGTGAGGGCAGGGAAAGAGGAGAGAAGATAGGGGTCACTTACACATTGTTTTATTTGTTCAAAGAAGGAAGAAGAGGGGGGAGATTGGATTCTTATAGGCAGCACCGCAGCCAAATTTGCTGATACCGCACCGAGGAATGCATGACGTGTCACCGCCCCATTTGGGACTGACGCCAGGTTCCGGGGGCGCGTTTCAGGTCGACAGCAAGAGACGCGTCGCGACAAGGGAGGTCCATGCCATATACACTACTTACAGCTATACTGAGCAGTCACTGATACCGCAGACTGAGAGTCTATGGAGATGGCAGCAAACACATCGCGTTCCCGGCCGCGATATGACTCGATGAAGTCACAGTCGAGCGAAACGGGCGGGTGGCAGCGACCGCCTAGTCCGAGCGTTAGTTGGCGCGTTATCTACCGTGGTCATCCCTCGGGCTCAGAGGACAAGCAGCTGATCGAAACAGTTCTCGACGACCACAACGGGGTCTAGGGTGAATCTGCCAGCGGCGTATCTGTTGATATCCCGGAAGGATCTTCGGCAATCTATCGCTTGTTTCGAAGATGTAGGTCGTTGGTGGAACCTATCAGAGGCCGGCGCACAGGTCTGCCGCTCGATAGCAGACTCAGCTGACGAGTGTAGCTGATGGCGGCTGCCAAAGCCTACCGGAATGCGCTGCTAGCCATGTCACAAGCTACCGCCGCTTTCGCGCAAGCAATGGAGGCCTGCTCCAGGTCCGTCTCCCCTCGCCCATCCCCTTAGCGCTAGCTGATTTCTCAGAGTCAAAGGCTGCCGCTCTGCAAACTCTGCCCTAGCTGGCGCATCAGGCCTCCAACACCTTTTGGCGAACCACGATCAGCTCCTCGCGGATACTGTATACCGCCAATTCGAGATTCCCCTTCTTTCCGCCCTAGACCACTACAAGCTGATAACGGCGGACCGGCTCGCGAGCTACGAGCAGCGCCTCTCTGAGCAGAGCGCGAGGATACGCAAGACAGAGGCGGAGAATCTCAGGGGAGGGAGGCGGAGGAAGAGGGATCTGGACAGTTTCAGGCTGGCTCTGGCGGAGTTGCAGAGGCAGGTGGATGAGCTGGATGGGATCAAGGCGGGGTATCACGAGGAGGTGCTCGAAGAGGAGGACGAGGTGGGTCCACTTCTCTGCCCGGGATCTCAGGGGCACTCGAGACAGGTTGCTAATGAGATAGATCTGGGACACTGTTCTCGCCAAAGTAGCATTTGTCGTCAGGTCTCAACTCGACTTCTACGAGAAGATCGCAGGCAAAGCAAGCGATTCCATACTCGAACCACTCGTCTCCTCGGTACCGGATCCGTTCGACTCATACGGGCCGCCAAAAGAAGAAGGACAGATATTCAGCGTGCTCGCTCCGTGAGCTACCATTTCTGATGTACAGATTTATGTGCGATAGGGGCAACAGCTGACCGTCAGACTCGGCATGATGGACTCTATCCCCCAATCCCCTACTCCTGGCTTCTCGCGCACTCGCTCGTCTCCCTCCCACTCGGCCAGCGCGTCGACATCGGGCAACGCCTCACCAAGTAGATCCGCGGTCTTCGCGCCATTGACACCGGTAGCTGTACCTGCGCGGGCAGAGACGAGCACGGTCTCGGCTCTGGGGATCAGCTCGCCGGACGATGGGGTGGGTAGAGCGAGGCGGGAGCTGAGTGTGATTGACGAACGGGAAGTCGCGCTTGGTGAGGGGAGCCATGTTGAGGTCCTGGATGGCGAGCAGGACGAGCGTGAGGTCGGACAGGGGGATGGTCAGCCTGGTGACGAGGCAGGGTCGGTCCTTCCTGACCGAGAGGAAGGTGTAGAGGAGGAGGGGGCGGAGGAGGCGGATGGCGGTGCCCAGGCAGCTCAGGTGAAGAGGCGCCCGAGCCAGTTACAGGAGGGGACGGTCGAGGAGAACACTAGTCCCGGACCAGAAGCTAGCTCTGCTGCCGCGGGCGGAGTCGAGACGGACGCGGCGGGGGAGCGACTGGGAGAAGAAGAAGACGGGGTGGGTGGGGAGCAAAAGATCGGATCGAAGGAAGGGTCGTAGGTCGTCTGAGGAGAAGGGTGGACACTTTCAATACCCTATAACAGCTTTATTTCAATTGCTACATATCGGACACTGTACTCGTATCGCTGGCAGGATCCGACTCTCCTGAGGCCGACTTGTGGCCGTCCTTGGTACATGACCGCAATCCTTTACGGCATGCTCTAGAGCCATGACGATGCGCTTCGACGTTGCCACCTTGCCATTCCACCTTTGTACCTCGTCCCCCGCCCACTCCCAACAGCTCATAGAGCTCAGCCTCGCTCTTCCGTCACCTCACAAGAGGGACGAGAGACACTCTTGCGCCGCTTGTCCGCTGACCAGCGCCAGCGGAGCTCACACGGCCGCTGAAGCTTCTCCCAGTCCTTATCTTCGTCCTTCCTTCGCCTCTGTCGCTCTCCTCTGTCTGCCTCACGGAATATGTCGCTCCCTAACTTCCCTGGCGCGGGTCATGGATCTCCAAGCCGACATGAGCCCATCATACCCTCTCATCGGCCGATCTTCGAGCTCCCCGGTGGCGGGACGGGTGACTCGCTGCCTATTTGGCTCCTCGCGTGTTGTGGGGTCTTTACTATCATTGGTATATTTCTTCAGCTGATGCGATCTCGCTGTCTCTGGAAATGGAACTGTATGGATGTAGCTGACTAGTCAGCTACCGGGGTATCTATCATGTCTATCACACTGCAACTCAAGAACTACCGGAAACCTGCGCTCCAGAGGGCTGTCGTACGGATAATGATCATGTGAGTACTCTCGCCAATCGTCAGCTTACTATCCGAGCTCCGTCAGCAGTGATAAGACGTAGCTGATACCCCAGGATTCCAATCTACGCTCTATCATCCTTTATTGCCCTCTACTCGCTAGAAGCTGCCTTCTTCATCGATACCGTCCGAGATCTCTATGAGGTGCGCTATCTCACACCGAGCTTCGCAGGACTAGGAAGCTCACCCAACAGGCATTTGTGATCTACACCTTCTTCCAGCTGCTGGTGACCTATCTGGGCGGCGAGCGCTCCCTCCTCATCGTCCTACATGGGAGACCGCCTATTCCTCATCCGTTCCCATTCGGGATCTTCCTTAGTCCGATGGATGTCAGTGATCCCTGGACATTGCTCAACCTCAAGCGGGGGATATTGCGTGAGTTAGCACCTCCTTCAGATCGACACGGGATCAGCTGACAAGCGCAGAATATGTCCAGGTCAAGCCGGTCTTGGTACTAGCCACGGTCATCCTCAAGGCTACCGGCAAATACCAGGAAGGCAAGTTCGCTTGGGACTCGGGCTATACGTACATTAGTGTGGTGTACAACACGAGTATCTGTCTGAGTCTCTAGTAAGTGCCATGAACACCGGGTTGAGCTTGTGCTGCGGTGAATTTAGGCTGACGACTACAGCTGCCTGGCCATGTTCTGGATCTGCGTCTCGACCGATCTCAAGCCATTCCGGCCAGTCCGTAAGTTGACAGACGTCACGATGACTTGTCGAGCTCACAAGATAGCCAAGTTCCTCTGCGTCAAGGGCATCCTGTTCTTCTCGTTTTGGCAGAGTATCGCTGTCTCGTTCTTGGTCGCAGTCAAAGCTATAAAGCAGAGTGAGCTTACGAAATTTCTCCTTGCGGAACATGTCTCGAAAGCTGACCACCAGTCGGACCCTATACCGATGCAGAACACATGTCCCTTGCATTGGTGGACTCGTTGGTCTGCTTTGAGATGCCTCTGTTCGCAATCGCACATGTATGTGCATCCGCTCCTGATTATCGGCTGGGGTTGATCAACGTAGCAATTCGCTTTCCGTGCCAGTGACTACATCGATGATAGCCTGGTATACTGCGTGAGTCTTACCTTCTTCCTTCCACATCTGCCCGCTGACTCTATAGGCACGTCTCCCCTACATCTACGCTCTGCGGGACGCCTTCGGCCTCAAGGACGTCTGGGAGGACACCAAAGACACCATTCGCGGCTCTGGAATCTCGTACCAAGCATACGAGCCCGCCGAGGGTGGTCTGCACTACGGTGCCGGACGGCAGAAACGTATCCGCGCCGGGTTGCGCTACTCGCGCGGCGGACAATCAAAGTATTGGCTCCCCATTCCGGGAGACGAAGGGCGAAACCGAGGCGAGACCGGTCCCCTCTCCGCTCTCAAGCGGCGGGTGGACAATAGACTTCAGACTCGAGAAGGGTACGCCCCACTCCTTCCCAAACAGGCGCACAAGGTCGTACACGACGACCCAAACGTCAAGTTCAAGGAATCTCGATGGGGCGGGTTGTTCGATTCGGACGACAGCGAAGAGTCGGACGCGCCGTCTCTCGACTTTGACAGTATGGGCGAGGATGAGGAGGGCTTGTATCAGCGCGCGAGGAGGATAGGATATGCGGGATTTCCGAATGTCGATGTGAGCAATGAGGCGAAGAAGAGACGGAAGAGGGAGGAGGAGGATGGGATATTGGCGGGTAAGTGGGCGAGGGGGGCTGGAGGTGGGCAGAGTCGACCTGGAGGTAGGGAAGCGGGCGAGGAGCGGAAGAAGGGGAAGGGGAAGGGGAAAGGGAAGGGCAAAGGAAAAGACGCTCGGAGGGTGTATGGGGATTGTGAGTGGCTGAGAATCTGACATGGGGTTGATGAGCTGATATATCAGGGGCGGATAGACAGTCGAGTGTCGAGCCTGATTTGTACTCGCCTGAAGAAGCTAAGGATCGGGCGAAGCACGATGGTCCCGTCGGCTTGTTTGACGGCGATAACGAACGACCCGGGACATGGCGGGCGAACGGAAAGGACGAAGCATCCCAGATGCGCTGGGCCAAGAAGAAACCCAACGGCCTCGCGCCACCCAAGAATGGCTCTCGAAATCCCTCTCCAGGCACATCCAAGCCCAATTCCATCAAACCTCCCCTCTCTCGCGGAACATCCAATAAATCCTCATCCTCCCGCTCCCCCTTCTCTCTCGGCGATGACGACGACGACCCACCTTCAGATCCCGACCCCGACTCACCCGTCTCCCCCGCCAAGCGCCCTCTTCCCTCAGACGCAGTCGACCTCGTCGTGGAAGATACTACCGCAGCGGACACTGCTCGCCAGCATGAACGGCGGAAAGGCGAGCCCCAGACACATGCGCCTTCGCACGTCTATATCGCGCAGCGGTCGGGGGTGGACATTAAGGTGGACCATGTGCAGAATGTGTATGATGATGACAATGGGGAGGAAGGGGCGGCGGATGAGATGGGTCAGATCAAGGCTGGGGAGGGGCCAGGTGGGGATCCGGTGGATATGGTGGAGAGTATAGATAAGGTCGTGGAGGAGGAGACGGGGCCGGTGACTGCGAGTCCGGAGAGACGGTGGGGCGAGGACGGGGGGAAGAGTACAGAGTATCAGGAGGATAATCCATGGGCATGAATGGTGGCGGCCTTGTCGATATCTGGTACGTATGGCTGACTGGCATGACCTCGGGTCCCCCGGCGCGCTTACCACAGGTCTGGCTGATCTCGATGGCTTTGATGTGCGGAACATACTGATGATACCTTCCTGCTCGAACATCTATCGCTGCGGTCGGGGACGAAGGCAACACGTCAACGAACGCTGCAAGCCACCTTCACAGTTTTTCTTGACGCAAGTGGCGCGCGCACACCATTTCGTGATATGACTGACCGAGCCCATCTCTGCTGTGACCGGAGTATCCCGTGGCATACGAGACGCAGGACTGCTGGCCGATGGTCGGCCTCGAGGAGCGACTCCCTCGCAATTGTCGACCTTACTTCAGTCGGTAGTCTGCAGCTTTACTACACTGTAAACCATAAACCACCTGAAACAAAACTGAAAGGGCGTTCCGGTGGTTTATACTTTACAGTGCTATCAGAACTGACGGACGGCGATAATCAGGGTTTCGTTCTGATTTCGGGCAGTCTCATTCAAAGCTCTTCAGCGATTGTCATGCCTTAACACCTCGAGATCAAACTGCGCGTTCTCATTCGTGCGCAAGGGTCAGCAACAGTCAATGTGGCCCACGCACCGATCACGCTGGGAGGATCACGCTGGAGAGGGGGCAGTCTTCAGCTTGCTCGACAGTCATTTTCTGATCCCATTATGACTGATCTCTCATGATCTACGCATGTATGCGAGGTGGAGACAGATGAGGAAGGACCACGTAATGTACCTCCTGGACAAATGTACATCGTGCATAGAAGCGAAGGATACCTGCTAACTACTCGGTCGCCTGGGGCAGGAAATCGTAGTGGACACAGTGAGCACGGGGATATCAACGTCGTCAGGCCGTTCCGTCTGCAGACAAGCGCCAGCCTCGGTCAGGGCTGAGAGGGTCGACGCGAGCATTTCGCTCATGGATTCCATGCAGGCCAAGAGACGCTGTCGTTTGCCCTCGAACGGATCAGGAGTGGAGAAATTCCCCGTTCCGAGAAGGACTGTGCAACCAATGTCATTGCTGTACGCAGATGCGAGCAAGTCGACCCGTGAGAGGGCGCTTTCGAAAGGGTCCTGTACCGCCTCATCCTCATCGCTCAGTGCAGGGGTGGTCGTCGGGTCGACTCTCAACGGAACTTCTGTGGCCGGGGCCACAGGGGAGGGCTGTGGGGTTGTGGCGTGAGGCATACTGGTGGATGAGACTATGCCTGTCAGTGTGGTCGGTCGTGATGTAATGGAGTTTGGTATGGAGAATGACAACGATGTATGAAGTGGCGACTCCACAAGGATAGCCAGTCAGAGGATTTTGTCAGCATGGCGTGCGCGGAGTTGCGTGCAAGATCTTCCCTTCACAGCGACCCCTGCCGTACCTGCCTTTGTTCTCATTCAGGTGCTGACGTGCACGGCGACGCCTCCGAATACCCTCAGAAAAGCTCACCACGGACGAACGAGCCAGAAACACACATACATGTAGATGCTACAACTCCGGTCTCCCCTTCGACATGACTTCCTCAGCCGCCTGATCTGCCTCGTACTTCAGTCTTGTTGTCAAAGTGGTCGCCAAATTCCCTGAATGGTTAGCCGAGACCAAAGACGGCAGTCAAAGACTTACCACTTGTAACAATCCACACAATCATCCTCCGATCTGGCTGGCGGCACACCCCCATGCTTCTCCCACCCTCCATCATCGTCATCATCATCGTCATTCCCCTTCCCGCCCTTTCTGCGCCTGGGCGGACCCCTCCTTCCCCATCCCCACCAGCTTGTCCACCCCCGCCACTCTGCCCCACTCTCATCCCCATCTCCTGGCTCGTCAGGCGACTCGGTCGGCCACGGATCTACCAACACCTTATTGATAATCTCGCCGATCCTGTGCGTCCGCACATCGACAGACCAGCCCTTGACCGTTACGGTGTCGTACAGGATCGTCTGGCCCGTATGGCATTTACTCTCGAGGGCAAAGCCGGCGGCGTAGCAGCCTGAGTAGCTTCCGGTACATGCGCCCTGCGGGATAGGATCGGCGGTATGGTATATGTGGGTGATGCCTGTCTTCTCGGAAGGGACACCTGGAGGTTGGGGGAGGTGGAGACGGCGGGAGGGGAGGCGGTCGCCTGGTGCCTCGAAGGTGACGACGGGGGAACCGAAGGCGAGACCGATCATGGCTGATACAGATCCGCCGAGCTAAGATTAGCGATAATTCTGGATGTGGGATTGGTTGACTCACAGAGTGGCCCGTCAGCCAGATATTAGCGTTGGGGTACATATAGGTGACGTTATTGTAAAGGTTCTACGAGTTAGCCCAGCCGCCACAGTTCCCTGAACGGTCGCACTCACAGTCCCAACAGTAGCATATACCGAGTCTTCTACTAGAGCCTTCTCCAGACAGGTCTGCTTGCAGTTGTAGCCGCCAGCATAGCAGTCGCAGACGGTACTCCAGGAGAAGTCAACCCTCGCGCAGCAGCACGAGAAGAGCAGGTTGTCCTAAATGGTAAGCTTTGATACACACCCAGAGTACATCCTGAGCTTACGTTGTACTTGTCGTTCTTGGCCGTCGGACCACCTGACCCCAATACGCCCGCGCTGGTCCCCTTGATCGCAATAATCACAGTCTCATTCTTTGGATCCGCAAAGATGTGCCCCCTCAACCCGTCAGCATCCGCCTCCCAGCCGAATGGTACCGTGTCGTTCCACCCGTTGACAGGCCACCACTCGTCTGTCCCCGGCAGGATGTACGCGTCCGATGCCATCTTGGCCAGCGCGATGAGTGTCTGACGATCGGTGACGTCCGGTCCCGGGATCTCCACGTCGTCCCATTCGCCATCGATATCGGCATAGTCAGGCGCGACCCAGGCCTGGGTGTGATTTGGGGAGGACGAGTAGGGAAGGACGATGCCAGGCTGAGTGGCAAAGTACGATTGAGCCCAGGACGTCATGTGGGGTGGACGAGAGCGAGGGCGGCGGATTGTGATCGGACGAGTCCGGATATGGAGGTCTGAGCCGTCGCCACTCGCAGAAGCCTGATACTCTGATGGTGACTGACTCGCATCGTGGAGCAAGAGCTGCGGTGTGCTCTTGCCTGAGCTCGTCTTTGACTGAGCATGGGCGTGTATTGGCCGGAACCCGAGGGTGGTGGGACCGGATGGCGGTGGCGGGGATTGGAAGAAAGGGAGGAGGTGAGCAGCGTATTGCGCGACGAGTGGGATGTGCATTTTGTATGCTGAGTGTCTCTAGGCCCGCGCGTGAGCGCTATATGGAGTATGGGTGTCGCTATAGAGTGAGTATATAGGTGGACAGTGGTTGAATGGGCCAGCCAAGCGTTGCTGCTGCTGTGAGCGGCTAAAGTTGCCGCTTATGGCAGGTGGCCCGGAATTACGTCAAGCGGCGAACTCCGAAGAATGGAGACTCCACATTCCTTGATGACGATCGTTGGTTCTGATCTGCAACTCGTCCACCGTGAGCTCATACTGCCCATCTATCTACTCGACTGCAGTGAACAAAATGGTATCTACTCGATCAGGCGGAGCGAAGAACACAGACGAGAAAGCCGGCGACAAGCGGACAGCCTCGGCTACAACTGCCAAGAAGCCACCAGCGAAGAAGGCAAAGAAGGAGCAGGATGGGAAGCTAGAAGTCGGGGATAATGGAGAGGTCGGGCTTGCCAAGGAAGAGGACGATGCGGAGGGAGAGTCAGAAGATGCCGGAGACGGCGAGACCAAAGGCAAAGGCCAGGACGAGAACGGGGTGGGAGACGCCAGGATGACCAACGAGCGAGGGGAGGACGAGACCAAGGGGTTCACGGACGCGAGGGGCGACGATGCGGACAAGTCGATCGGAGAGATGGTTCAAGGCGAGGAGGCGTCTAATGGGCACGATGAGGGGAAGGAAGATAACGGCGCAGGAGACGTAGTGAGTCTAGATTCCTGATCAACGTCAGCCATTTGAAGGGTGCTCATTGCTAGGGCGAGGAGACCTCCGAGGCTGATACCTCCAAGGCTGACGCTGCTCGCCAAGCGACACCTTCCAGTGGTGGTAACGAGGAACCATCTCATGGTAAGTCTTTCTGCACGGCTCCCGGTCCGCTACTGATCAATGGGCACACTCGAGAGCGGTCATATCTACTTCCTCTACCGGCCAAAGATAGATGCTACCGACGTTGAGTCTCTCGACGACGTATCAAAGTGAGTTGACACTTGATGGCTTCTCGTGTAGCTTATAGACAGATTCCATATCCTCCTTCTTCCCAAGAGTGGACCACACGCCTCCAGCCATTATCACCGGATCATCGAAGTCGGCAAGAAGAAGCTGCCTGACCCTGGCGCAAAGAGGCAGAACATCTGGGGCTTGGTCGGCACGACCAGTACCGACAAGGCTGGTCTGAAGACTGCTTTTGGGGAGTACTCGTACGAGACCAAGACCAAGGGTGAGTACTGTCGTCGAGAGCAGGATCCAACTAACTGCATAGGTACCCGCCACCAACCCGCCGCTCGTCCTGCTGCTCGCGGGCACTACATCCTTCACTCACCCCGAGACGAAGCTGCCGACTCGCCCGACCACAACAAGCAGCGCGACTACAAGGTCCTGCTTGCGTACGAGATCACCACTCCACCTCCAGAGGACTTTGGGCGGGTCCAGGAGGAACTGGGGCTGGAGCAAAAGGGTGCCGTGGTACTCACCATCAAGGACCCGGACTCGGGGGATAACGTCCAAGCGAACCCACGAGCGGCCAACATGCCGCGTGAGAAGAAGGCACACGTGAGTGAGCGATGTGAGTATAGCTGACAATCAGTACCCCAAGCACCTGCACGACCTGTTTGGGAACCGCCGCTGGATTGCCCCCAACCCGGTGTCGTTCCTCGACTACGAAGGCACCGAGCTGCTCCTCATGTCCTCGCCGCACGACCTGGAGGATATGCTCGGCAAAGATGGGGAGAAGGTCGAGGCGGATATGGATCAGGCGGCGGAGAAGGAGAGCACGGATATCGAGGGGGCGCTGAAGGAGCTTGGGATGAGTAAGGGGGACGTGGAGATCGAGGCGCTGGAGGGGGCTTGGGCATGAGCTATAAGGAGTTGCTGGGGGCCTGGGCTTGAGGCCATGAGTGTTGGAGGGGCTTGGGCATAAGGGGACCCGCAAGGAGCGGACGCGTCAGGAGTCAAAAGAGGTCTGTGTTTCTCATATGCACGTACATGTACAAGGCTTGGGTAGCTGAGCTGATGTGTACTGAACGGCTACTGACCACGACCCCGACCCCCACTTGACACTCACCGATAAGCCCAACACTCACCGCCACACTCGCACAGGGCGGACACCGAAGAACCGCCTTTCGGCTACACGTGTACACGAACGCCTCGCTATTTTGATCACGTGCAGTGGGCTCGTTCAAAACGCCGCGGAATCAGCGACTTTTGGTGCGTGCCTGAATGGAAAGCGTAATCTCGGCATCGGCGAGTCGCCACTCGCGCGTTGTTTGTCTCACCCATCGAGCGCTATATAATCTCGCCCCGTCTCGCTCTTTCCCCTCTCTCTTCCATCCAACTCTTATCCACATCCACCACTCTCCCCCTCTCTCACTCACCCCACCCCACCAACCCACTTACACATACAATGTCCGGCAGAGGAAAGGGCGGCAAGGGTCTCGGCAAGGGCGGTGCTAAGCGCCACCGTAAGGTCCTTCGTGACAACATCCAGTACGTCTTCCTTTTGTGCTTGTACTTGGTCAGGACCTGGCTGATATCCCAGGGGTATTACCAAGCCCGCTATCCGTCGTCTGGCCCGTCGTGGAGGTGTCAAGCGTATCTCTGGTCTCATCTACGAGGGTGAGTGTCCCAGATTTCTTATTTCCCTTCCCCCTCTACCTGCCCCCTTCCACCTCTTCATGCTCCTTACTCTTTTCGTCCGAATATCCGCTGATCAATTCAGAGACTCGGGGCGTATTGAAGATCTTCCTTGAGAGTGAGTACACCTTTTTCCACCTTTCCAAACACCCTCCGACCTCCCCTAGTGCCCCAGGGACGGCCAAACCCCCTTCTCAGCCCCTCCTACTTCCCCTGTGCCTCCAGGACGCCCGCTGACCCCTCCAGACGTCATCCGTGACAGCGTTACATACACGGAGCACGCCAAGCGCAAGACCGTCACCTCGCTCGACGTCGTCTACGCCCTCAAGAGGCAGGGCCGCACCCTCTACGGTTTCGGCGCCTAGGCGGTCTATCCAGGCGGAGTAGGGAGGTTCATCGACAGGGGGTGAGGGGATGTTCGATTCGTTTCTTGTGCCTTGTCTCTTTCCTCTCGGGGTTTGAGCTTGGTCTTTTGTAGTGCCTCTTCTTTGCCGGGTAGAGAGTCGATGCTATACCTGTGCCGATCGTACTGCACTGTGCCTTGTCTGGTCCAGCTTGTTCTAACTTGTTCTAACTAGTCTGATCAGTACTCATGCTTAGCGGCGCTGATCTATACTGATTTGATCACACACTTTCCGCTCATCAAAAGGCTCGTCCCTCCGCGCCGCCGCTTGACAGTGTGTCTGACTCGCAAGCCAGCACGTCATGTCAAGCTTGTCAAAGGAGGACGTCTGGACTGCAAAGAAGGCTTGAGACGGGACGAATCGGTCATTCCTACAGTAGTCCCGTTATACCTTCTCACCACTGCTTCTGCGTACCTACCCTCATCTGATGTCTGAGTTCATGGCTCCTTGCGACGAGTGCCGAGCGGAGCTTTCAGCCTTGCGTGGCGCTACCCTTACCCTATCCACTGGTGTCCGGACGTACGAAGTCCAGTACGACCCCCGCGCCGCGACCTGCACACGGCACGTCCGGCGCACATTCTCATGACACTCCAGGAAAAGCCTGCAGGACATCACCCGCATCGTGGATGCGTTGATCACCACCCTCTCTGAAGCTGGGGTCTCAGTCTTCTCCCTCATCCAGTATCAACGGGACCGTGATGACCGCGCTGGCCTGGCAAGCGAACCTTATCGGACGACTCGGGCCGAGAAGATCGAGAAGGACGCAGTGGCGCTGAGGGCGTTCGCGGCTTCTCTGGGGGTACCTGGCGAGACGCAGATGACGGTGCGGGCATGGGCGGCATTCTCGGCCTTGCTTGATCATAAGGAGGCGGAGAATGTTACTGCTGAGGTTGTGCCGATGATGCTGTTGATCCCTCTGAGCAGTACACCCCAAGATGAGATCCATGCGAACACGCCAGCTGACGCTGAGGGAGCTGGGGGTGTCGGCGGCGGACTAGTGTCATGATGTGCTTGGCTGGGCGAGGGGGGTCACGAGGTTGGGCGAATGGGCGGCGGACCGTCTCTTATTGATCGCTTTGCAGGGAGATGACCGCGTTGTGAAGTCATCTTCGGCGGGGTCAGAGGAGTCAGGCGATATAGAGACTTGATCTTGTACTCACGGTTGATACCTTATGTCTGCAGACTAGCTGCAACATATGACCATCTCTCAGCGCGCCGCAAGCTCAAATCCGTCGCGTACGTGCTCTAGTGATTTCCTCTGACTTTCAAAAACGCGAAAGGAGTGCGATGACTGGGCGTTTCGAGGTTGCAGCGCTCAAGCAGCGCAGCACGTCTGCTCCGCGCCCAACACCTGCGTGCAGTTGCGCATTACATCCCCCAAATCAACATGTCGCACAGCTCCTCTGCTTCAAATGTCTCCCAAGCGGACACAGCCTTCATGATGAACGGCTTTGATGCCAGCGATGACACTCCCCTCTATCCTCGAAAACTTGATGAGTCTGACCTCGGCTTTAGCCTTCAGACTCTTCCTCCCTGCCGCTCCATCTTCAAGCTCGAGACACTCGTCAGCGAGATACATCAGCTCCTTGTGTCATGTACGCCGCAATCATCATCGCAGCTGGAGAGGAAAATCCTCCTTGATCTATCGGCAAGCCTTGACCGACACGACGTATACACAAATCAGCTGTCCGAGCTCGACAAGCTCAAGGCGCTGAGGAGCTTTCTCACCTGCAAGCGGGCCGGTCGCGACCTTACTACATCGTCGTCGCCGGGCCTTCGGGATGTATGGGAGAGGTTGTTTCAGGTCTTGGAGACGCGAGAGGAGCTAGTCAGCGTGCAGACTATCGATTCCATGGATGAGAGCGTGTAGCCATCAGTAGGATGGCGGTGCAATAGCTGTCTGTAAAGTCCGCGTCTTGTGATCTCAGCAGGGCGTCTGAGGTGCCTAAGAAATACAAGACTCAATAGATCAGCACAGTCCGGTAGAGTCTGCAGGATCCGGCAGTCAGCATAAGTGAATGGGGACGAGATCAATCTGCTTTGCCACCTTGCGGGAGCCGGACCTCGTGCCTCAGCCAAGCAAGGCACACCAAGCAGAGATTATGCTCTTAGACAATCTCGGCCACAGTGTGCGTCGTCAGTATATATGCTGGGCTCAGCTAGGAAGGCATGGCCCGGAAGAGAACGGGCCGCTTGTATCGTGCCCGTCCCCATACAGTGACCACTCCAACACCCTCGGTGCTTGGCATTCGAGGATGAGATTTGACCTGTACTCCCACTCCGTCGGCGCACCTGATGGGACATGTATTGTGCCTGTGTCCCTTGGACTTTGCAGTTCGCTGGGCCTGGCACATGCTCAGTGTGACAGTCCACCTTAACCCCCTCCTTTCCAACGGAGCACCACGGGTAACCACGGGCAGATCTCGGTTCGATCGAGATAACCTTATCACCTCCACTCTGGGTCACTGACCCTCACTGACCGACCCGTGGATCCGTCGGTCACTCACGGATGACGCTTTCCAGCAGCCAATGCCGGCGGTACTGCGTCTTGTTAAGCTTCTATACATGCGCAAAGCACCGCAACGCGTAGTGGACCACTCAAAGACCGCGCGCAGATGGAGACGTCGCTGCATCCCGACGGAAACTTCTACTGACCGATTGAGGGCTCGACCGGCCCCGAAGGCCCGGAGTGCTGGACACGACAAGACTTTTGCGCTGGAAAGGCCATATGGACTCATGTGGGCGGTGAGTACTCATCGTCACGGTCTACGTACAGAAAAGAGATCTTCCGAGTGGAGCGAGCTGCGCGAAAGGAATATATACTGGATAGAGGTCTTGGTATACCCCGCCATGTAGCAACCGACCCCGCCTATCGCCATTTGCTATTCCACGTACCTCCCCCTGCCGATCTGACTATGCGATGGGGGCAGACAAGTGCGACAAGCCGCAGAGGGAGGTGGCCGTGTCGATCATCTACGACCAGTCTACATCAAGGATCTTGATGGTCACTCGGCGCAAGCACCCCAAGATCTGGATATGTGAGTTTGCTGCTGGGTCCGCTGCTCCCCGTACCCGCCTGCCTGCAACATCATCGGCTGACGCAACAGTACCCCAAGGTGGTGTCGAGCCAGGAGAGAGTTCCGGGCAGGCGGCCATCCGGGAGTCGTGGGAAGAGGGTGAGTCACAATCATGCGAGAACAATAATCACCTTCTGGCCTGAGCTGACCCGATCAGCTGGCTGTCCTCGCCACCTCGACCCACCACCAAAGCTATTATCCCTGGACCTCGAGCCCGAGGCGAGCAAGCGGTATAATGTATACTGGCATATCCACGTCATACACACTACCGAGGATGCGGTGAATAGTACAACCGACTGGTAAGTCCCGTCTCAGCCTTTCGCCCGCCACATTATCACTTGCCTCGCCTGCGACCAAGACGCAGCGCTGATCCTCCCAGGCCTGAACGCGGCGAGAGGGATCGAGCCTGGTTCTCCGTGCCTGACGCCATCACCAAGATCTGCGAGTGGTACATCGACGAGAAGCCCGTAGCCAGCCCAGACACGATGGAGGATGTCGGAGCTCTCGCAGCCAAGATGGAGAAGAAGTCGGCCAAGCGGAGTCTGAAGGGCGGAGCGATGGAGACTGCGTTGAAGGCGTTCATCGAGGATCAGGCGGGTGCGACCCGGGGCGGTTTGGCGGTCAAAGCGAGTTAGGAGGTCAGTGTGTGATTCGTGGCGGTTCCCTTGTATCGGCTCGACGATAGTATACACGATTCCTGTACTGTATCCATAGTTTTACTCTGTAGCGATGTAGTGATACCATGCAATGACCTTCTCACGAGCAGGACCCAGGTCTTCAGCAGCTCAAAGCTCAGGCAGGCGCCACCTTGACTGCACGTGACGTGGCATTTTACTCCCGCGCTCTCTCCGCCTATAGGAATCCCTCCAAACGACGATCTCGATCTCTATCTGTGCTGCCTCTACACTTATAGCTAGTATAAGGCAGGATGATCCGCACACTCCGTCCCATCGCTTCCAGGCTGCCATCGCGGCACGTCGCTTCATCGTCGACCCCGCTTCGAGCAGCAGCGGCGGGAGCGAGCTCGATCCGCGGGCTTGCCACACCGACTATCGAGGGCCGATCTAGCCCTCTCCGCGCGCACTCTGTTGAAGAGTTAGTCGATCTCTCTTAAGGGCAAGGGTGAGGATATGGGCTGATACTTCAGACTGCACGGCTTGAGCGCAGAGGAGATTCTGAAGGAGGGGACAAGCAGGAAAGATGCGAGCATGAGACATTTCACCGGTACTTCCCTTTGTCGATACGGGTACTGGCCTAGCTGATGTTATAGTCAACTTCGGACCTCAACATCCCGCTGCCCACGGTGTGCTTCGTCTGATTCTCGAGCTTAACGGAGAGGTACGTTAGTCTCGATGTTGACTCCAAGGGAGTTGCTGATCGGTTAGGAAATCCTTCGAGCCGACCCGCACATTGGGTTGTTGCACCGCGGAACTGAGAAGTTGATCGAGTACAAGAACTATACTCAGGCACTGCCATACTTTGACCGACTGGACTATGTCTCCATGAGTACGTCATGCTTGGGAATACGATCCGGGTCGTGCTGATCGGCAGTGACCAACGAGCTGGTCTACTCTATGGCCGTCGAGAAGCTGCTCAACATTGAGGTGCCAGAACGAGCCAAGTGGATCCGAACTCTCTTCGGAGAGATCACCCGGGTGCTTAACCACCTGATGGCCGTCCTCACCCACGCCATGGGTACGCATCTTTCTCCAAAATGCTTAACTCCGCTAATTATCAGATGTCGGAGCTCTCACTCCCTTCCTGTGGGGTTTCGAAGAGCGTGAAAAGCTCATGGAGTTCTACGAGCGAGTCTCGGGTGCGCGTATGCACGCCGCGTACGTCCGGCCCGGTGGTGTCGCCTTCGACCTGCCCCATGGCCTTCTCGACGACATCTTCAAGTGGGCCACGCAGTTCTCGAGCCGGATCGACGAGATTGAGGAGGTCGTCACCGGCAACCGGATCTGGAAGGGACGGACCGTCGGCGTCGGAGTGGTGACTGCGCAAGAGGCGCTCGACTACTCGTTCTCTGGTGTCATGCTGCGAGGATCGGGGGTGCCGTGGGATATCCGAAAGGTGGCGCCTTATGACGCGTATGATAAGGTCGAGTTTGACGTGCCTGTGGGGAAGAACGGGGATTGCTGTGAGTTCTGGGTATTCGTCATCTGCATAGAACAAGAGCTGATTAGTAGATGACCGATACCTCTGCCGAGTACAGGAATTCCGCGAGTCCCTTCGAATCATCGACCAGTGTCTCAACAAGATGCCCACCGGTGCCGTCAAGGTAGACGACCACAAGATCGTCCCTCCCCCACGAGCCAGCATGAAGGAATCGATGGAGTCGCTGATCCACCACTTCAAGGTGAGCCTTTCCCTCCCGCCTGTGTAGGTTACTCGCTGACGCAATAGCTCTACTCTGAGGGCTACTCGGTCCCACCCGGCGAGACCTACACCGCCATCGAAGCCCCCAAGGGCGAAATGGGTGTCTACCTCGTTTCGGACGGTACGCAGCGCCCGTACAGGTGCAAGATCCGCGCGCCTGGATTCGCGCACCTCGCAGGAAGTGACTTTATGATGAGGCACCACTTCTTGCCCGATGCGGTGGCGATCATTGGGACGATGGATTTGGTGTTTGGGGAGGTGGACCGATAGATGGAGATCAAGGGGGAACGGGGGTGTATGAGGATTTGTATAATAGTATGCAAGTGTTGCGCCCGCAGGTCCATACAGGGCATCAAATCTGCTTCTATCTACGGCAGGGCAGGGATAGGACGCATGTTCATTTCCCGCAAAGTATGATACATCGGTCTACCGTCTACTCCGTCTACCCTAGAACAGCCCAGAATCGTTTCGTTTCGTCATAAGGGCTACTAGTCCATCAGCCGGCCCCTTGACACCACATCAGAGCGGCGCAAGGAGACGCACCAATTCGTCTGCTGATCTTCTTGCTTCCCCATCTTCAGGTATTCTCTTTCCGCTGCTTGCCGATGATTCTGGCGCCAGGCCCAGATACTCCGCAGTGAAGACTCGAAGAATCTTGTTCCATCTGTTCATGGCCGGTACGGAGAGTGCGGATGCGTCGTCCTGCCATATCAGCTTTAGCTCACGAGTAGCAATCGCGCCGGGATAGCGACTTACACCGAGCGAGTGCCAGACATTCGGGAATGGGTTTGAAATAACATGCAAGACGCTGACGCCGCGCTGATTGAACTGAACCATCAGCCCGCACCCTCTTTCCGCTTCCGGAGCAGACACCACCAGAGAGAGCTCGACTCACAGGCACATGGTCATCCCCAATCATCCCCGGCCCATACCGATTCTCGCTAAACCACCCCTCTTCCCCACTTTCGACCTCTACGAGCCCCGCCTCCCGCAGCCGCTTGTCCGCACTCGACATGAGACCGTGCAGCCAGTCCGTCTCGCGGTAGTACGAGTGGATGCGCGGAGAGCGATGGCCGAGGAGATCGAGCAGGACGAGGACGTCTATCGTGGATAGGACGGAGGGGGTGGGATCGAAGCGGCGGGCAGAGAGGGAGAGGGGGTGGGTGGGCGGGAGGAAGGATTCGGACCATTTGTGTGCTAGATGTCTGGATGTCAGCGCTCACTCCTTCTGAGAAAAGCGGCAGGGAGGGAAGTCGACATACCTTGCCCCATAGATGCTGTCCGTATTTGTCCAATCCTTGAACGCCTCCTCCCCATCCAAAAACAAGAGCTGCAACGTCGTCTCGCCCGCGTCTTCCTCGTCGAATCCATCCCGGAGTATCCCTGTTCCGTTCCGCAGGCGGTCTCGCCGAGACTGTAACAGGGGCGTCATAGCTTCCGCGAGGTCGAGCATGAAGGAGCAGGGAGCGGCGGAGTCGGTCGCGCCGATGAACTAGGGGTCAGCTTTACCGGCCATACACTTCCTAAGTTCATGGCGTATCGCATACGGAGGCGCAATGTAGGATGAAGCAAGAGCTCACCTGATTAGCGGGATAGTCAGGAAAGTACTTTGAATCAAAATGAGCAGCAATGATGATCTTCCTCGGTGCATCCGGGTCGAACGTGTAGATGAGATTCGTAAAGTCTAGTTCTCCTATTGGCGTTTCTGACTTGAAGGGGTTCTGGACAGTCAGCTTGCGGACTCATACGAACATGAGTTAGGCTCAGGAAGCTGGCATACCTGTTCTTCGTGCCATCCTAAGCGTTTGAACACGGATGAGATGTAATTCTGGACCAACGTGCTGCTTCATCAGCTTGAGCTCATTTTGCGTGTGGAAAGCGTCCCCGGATTGTAGCTAACCTATTCTTCGATCCGACTGTCTGTATCAGCTATCACTTCCTCAGGCGAAGAAAGCAAACGCACCTGGTCTAGGTATAAGCAATTTCCCCAGGTGCCCTTCAACCGTCCCCTCCCATTCTGGCGGATCTGCTTCTGCGAGATACCGCAGATGGTCTGCCGATAGGGCATGTATGTCTCGAGGGGCGGATCGATCCTGCCGGGCTGATGTGGGAGGCAGGAGGGAGAGGAAGTGGAGGATGAGGGGAAAGAGAACAGGGGAGGAGAGGAGGAAGAGCATTTTGACTTTGAGCTCTGAAGCTTGAGGCGCGGTGAGCCGAGGGTGGGTATAGATCTTAGCTAGGCTATTCTCTAGACTACGTCCGGACGGATGGCCCGATACAAGATAGCGTGTGCAGGGAGCCGATGATGATACTACTGCACGTATAGATAGATGGTCTCTTGTACAGCCTTGGTAGAGCCTCTTTCGCTGAAGTGAACGGCGCCAAGCCATAACTGCCCCCGGAACCAGCAGCGCCCAAATGACCTCAAAGACTGCAGAGCTCATCGCTGACGTGGTAGACGACCTATAGGCTGCAGTTGCTCCCAAAAACCATATGTCCAGCCTGACAGGAAGACGAGCAATCTCTTGCGCCGCCAGCCAGATCGTCCTCAGCTCGGCCCTGCAGGGCAGGAGCGGAAACTCGTGGCAGCGGACGACGCCGTGCCTGCGTTGAACCAAGCCGTGAAGGGGTGAGCCAGCCGAGCGCGACGCGGGTACTCCGGTCAGCACGTATACAAGCTGGAGGAGTATACTTGACCTTCACCGCCGGTCGCTGCGATACCATCGGCCTGACGTTTTTGAGCAGCCAGCTCGACATCGCAGTCGAGGTCAAGCTGAGAGCCGGCTGCGCGGCGCGGTATCGGGATAATCATCTGCCTCCCGCCCGGCATAAGTCAGTACCTCGAACTCCGATCGGGCGTCAGTATGTCGGGACAAAACGTCGGCCCCTCCATCCTGTCCGCGGCGTCCAAAATCGAGCTAGGTGCATCTCCGCCCCACCCTGCACTGTCCCCGCGTCGCCGTCCACGAAACCCTCATCCCGCCCTTATCTGTTGCACCAACAGCGTCTCCAGACTCCGAAAGCAGTCCCTCTCTCTACATCGCCCCTTCACCCGCCTATTCCTTGTCGATATACCGCCCACGGATGTCCTTCCATTGTTTCTGGCAAGTCAGCGATGCTCCGGCAGCTCCACCTTTGCCATAATGCTATGACCCTATCCTTGTATCTTCCAGGACGAGAACTCACGCCGCGGTTGTGCATGTCCCAGTATGCTGATGTGAGGACGTCGAATCCGATGGAGAATGAGAAGGCGCCGGCAAAGATGGCAGCGACGAAGACGGAATTACGCTTGAACAGCGTGCTGTAGACGGGCTGTTCGTCGAATGGTTCCCGATAATAGCAATTCGAGTCATAGGTGAGGTAGGGCAATTGTGACCAACAAGCGGTCGTAGTCGAGGGGTAAAGGTACGGTCAAAAGTATCGGAAAGGAGCGGAGATTGAGAAGGAAAGCTCGGTCAGCTCTAATTTTTTCGCGTGGTGCACAAGCTCGACTTACAGCGGCCATGGCGGTCTCTGATCTGTCGGGATGTACTAGTAGGGGAGCTTGTAGGCTGAGTATCTGGGTGGGTGTTGATGCTTAGGACCAATTGGAGTTGCGACAAAACGGAAAGCTCAACTCAGAGTTCCGGGTGGTAAAAGGGGGGGCCGGACAGATAAAACCCGGATATTCAGGGTCTACACCGGCAAGTGCCACACTCGGAGACCCAGCCATGCCATGTCTCGCTTGCTTGCCCCCCCGCACACCCAATGCTCACCCTCTATCTCTCATCTCATACAGCTCATACAGCATACATAGGTCTTCACAACACAGCAGCTCGACAGCTACCACAGCTCTAGATCGCTCTGAACGCCCGCTCAGATCATCCCGAAAGAATCGGTATCGCACGCGCAGGATCAAAGGACCTCGTCCTCCCGCATCCGCGTCAACATCGACCTCTATACCCGGCCTAGCCCAGCCACACGCGTCCGGACATCTTTGCTGGTCACCGCGAAGTTCACCTGAGGCCAGAAAGTGGTACAACTTCCATTCGCTGCCGCCCCGTCGATCTCGCGGAGGGTACACCCAATTACCGAAGCTTGTTTGCCTAGTTGAGGAAAGAAGGGGACAGGTTGGCCATCATGAAGGGTCTCAAGAAAGCAATGGTGAGTGTCATCTGGTCCTCAATCGGAGTTGCGGGGCTGGATGTATGCGCAAATCTACCGTCGGAGTTAGGAGGCGGAGTACAGCCGGGCTGGGTTGCTGGCGTCCAAAAAGTGCCAAAGGAGCAGCGAAACGGGGAGCAGCTCGCTACCGCCCGCGCATATCATCTTTGCAACCCAAGCTGATCACCCAGAACCTCTCGAGGACGAAGTCGAGCGATACAAAGAACAAGACACCCTCCCCTTCCAACTCCAAACCTACCCCTCCCGTCCCCTCCAACGCGTCACCCGGCCCTTCCTCACCAATGGCCTCCTCACCCGTCAACCGTACCATGCAAACCCCCTTCGGCGGCTCTGGCAACCCCAACGGGAACGGCGAGCCCTCCTCCCTCGCTCCTCAACAACCCATCACACCCCGCAGATCGCCCGTCGGGGAGAAGACATCCCCCGCTCCCCCTCTTGTCGTCATTTCCGGCGCTCCCCAGGCCTCGATGGTACAGTCCGAGATGCCTGCCGACCCTCTGCCCCACTCTCCACATGGACGGGGCTTTGGCAGTCCTGAGCGAATGCTCGGACCGGACGGGCAGCCGACACCACCGAAAGCGGGTCCGCTGAATCGGCTCAGGGGGACGCCGAAGGATACGATCCCGATTGTAGGCAAGACGCCGAGGAAGCAGAGGAGTAGCAGATTCTACGTGTCGGAGAAGGTGGATATTGAGAAGCTGCCCGGGTTTGACGGTAAGTCCCGGTATAACATTGTTGGAATTGAGCTGATTAGGTAGAGGTCAGACCAGAGGAGAAGACGGAATTGTTCATCCAAAAGCTGCAGCAATGCCGCGTCGTCTTTGACTTCAACGACGCGAGCTCGGACCTGAATGGAAAGCAGGTCAAGGCGCAGACACTGCATGAGATGCTCGAGTACATCACGCAGTCGAGGGGGGTTATCACGGAGGCGATCTATCCCGAGGTGGTTGGCATGGTAAGTTAACTTGATACACGGGAGGATTCGGCTGACGATTAGTTCGCCACCAATCTGTTCAGATCTATCCCTCCGCAGGTCAACCCCACCGGCGATGCATATGACCCGGAAGAGGATGAGCCTGTACTGGAACTCGCCTGGCCCCACCTCCAGATCGTTTACGAGTTCTTCCTGCGCTTCGTCGAGTCGGTGGACTTCAACACCAACGTCGGCAAGCGATACATTGACCAGAACTTTGTCCTCTCCGTAAGTATCTGCTATACTGTTTGTGACCAGCGCTGATGACCAGCTCCTGGAACTGTTCGATAGCGAAGACCCCCGGGAGCGCGATTTCCTCAAAACAACCCTCCACCGGATCTACGGTAAATTCCTCAACCTCCGCGCCTTTATTCGCCGCTCCATCAACAACGTCTTTTTCCAATTCGTCTACGAGACGGAACGTCATAATGGTATCGCCGAGCTCCTCGAGATTCTCGGTTCCATCATCAACGGTTTCGCCCTTCCGCTCAAGGACGAGCACAAGTCCTTCCTCACCCGCGTCCTTATCCCCCTGCACAAGGCCAAATCGCTCGCGCTGTACCATCCCCAACTCGCCTACTGCGTGGTGCAGTTCCTCGAGAAGGATGCGGGGTTGACGGAGGAGGTCTTGTTGGGCTTACTGCGGTATTGGCCCAAAGTCAACAGTCCGAAGGAGGTCATGTTCCTCAACGAGGTGGAGGAGATTTTGGACGTGATTGAGGGGAATGAGTTCCAGAAGATTATGGTGCCCCTCTTTACGCAGCTGTCGAGGTGTATCAACAGTCAGCACTTCCAGGTGAGTTGACGTGTCGGTCAAAATGGAGTGCGAGCTGACGATGTAGGTGGCTGAACGAGCACTTTACTATTGGAACAACGAATACATTGTCAATCTCATGTCCGAGAATATACACACGATCCTCCCTATCGTCTTCCCGCCATTATACATCAACTCCAAGACGCACTGGAATAGGTGAGCTTAGCATTTCATGACGTCTGCGTGAGCTAGGAGCTGACGTTGCAGAACAATACACGGCATGGTCTACAATGCGCTGAAGCTGTTCATGGAGATCAACGCGGAGTTGTTTGAGCAGTGTCAGAATGGGTACAAGGATCAGCGGAAAGCGTGAGTTGTTTGGCGTGAGGTGTCGATCACCCGACCGGACGCAGCTGACACTCCTAGCGAGTGCGACCGGGCGATAGCGCGCTACGAAGAATGGCTCGTCCTCCGCGAAAAGGCGATCGCAAATCATCGCGCTAGCGGATCGACCGAACCCCTGCCTAAATCCCTGACGACCGAACCCCCACCCCGGCCCGATGCGTATGTGGACGAGGGCGCGTGCGATGTGTCGGTGGATATGATGGCGAATGGGTTCGATATCAGCGAGAGCTTCACGATGGACAAGAGTCAGGCGGATGAGGTTGTTCCGGTGGCGGATCCTGGGATCGAGGCTAGGACAGTGAGTTATGTGTTGCGGTGCTGCGTCGAAGAAGGAAAGGGGCGGATACTGATGAATAGACACCGACAGCGCCGGCACCGCCTACTCTTGGGGGACCACCGATGCTGGGCGGCCCTGTTGGATTGGGGATACATCAGAACGCCGCATCGCCATCCCCTACGGGTAGTCCTGCCAATCCACACGTCAGACGGAAGTCGACTCTCCCGATGGATCCCCAGGTGATGCGTGATCTTCAGGTAAGCTCATCAACTCCTCTACGAGAATTGGGCACGGAGCTGATGCGGTAGAACCACAAGAGCCTGGAAAATACCCCCTTTGGCGCCAAATCAACCTCGACCGCCACATCCGCCGGACCTCCCGAACCATCACCCAACCACATCGCTCCCCCTCCTACAGCATCCAACACCGAACCGACAAATCTGAACCTAAACCAACAATGAAGTCCCGGCCCATCTGAACGACCATTTCGCCCGCGGCTACGCCGTTTGAAATCTCTATTGTTTTCGAAATCCGACGGCGCCTCCTTAGTTTAGCTTTTATCCGGTTCGGTTTTCGTTGGTTCTCTTTTGCATTGCGTCTTTCTCTCTCTCCCTATTTAGTATATACATGTCAGCTAGGGGTCAGACGTTTTCTCTGTAGATGTACGAAAGATATGAAGCGCCGAGAATGAACACCTCGTTCGGGCGTTCGTGCCCAGCAGGGCTTGAGGGGGAAAGCCTGATGCAGTCGTGATAGAGACAGACGTCCTATACTTGTTACCGTCAGCTGATGGTGGACCCCGCCTTTGTGGCTAGTACACGACCATCAGAAAGTTCATCCATGGTAACGTCATATGCCTTGATCAAGAGCGCGGTGCAAGCCAACCATATAAAACACACAGCGTTGGTGGTACTGGACAGGGTGCGACTAGCCAATACTGAGCGACGCAATCGTCTTGTTCAGAGCCCGATTCATCATCTCTTCCACGGTCACGCCCAGCCTCTTGTAGTACTCATCCATCTCCGCCGATGACTTGAAGCTCCGCGTCATCTCGAGCAGCTTGTCCATGGCGTCCCTGCCCTTCTCCGCCTGGACCTGGCACTGCCGGTAACGTGGCGATTGCTGGGCCGAGAATTTGGCTTTCTCAACCTCGCTCGCCTTTGGCTCGACCTTGCCTTCCTCGATCATCTTGCGAGTGGCCTCAGACCTGAGGTAATACGTGAGAAGCGTCTGCATGAGGTGAGTCGGATCTGCGTCTGATGCTTGAACGCCATACTTGGATTTCTTGTCCACGCAAACGCGCTTGATGCCATCCAGCCGACCGTATGTCTCCTGCATGTCCGTCGAGAACGGCATGCCATCCAGGATCATGCCAGCAAGGGCTCGTCCCGCCTTTTCAGCCCAGTAGTGACAGTGGTTGACCTGCTCCTCCCTTTCGTCTCCTCCACTGATCAGGCCGTATGCTTTTTTCGCACTTGCCAGACCGACAGAAAACCTCGACAACCGGCTCTGTCCCGATCGGATGTTGCTGCTTTGTGCCAAAGCGGGGTACTGGGCGGTCAACCAGGTCTCGTACCTGGTAAGGGCGGTGAGCTGAGTCTGCAGAGAGGCGGTGAGGGTGGATCCAGGCTGAGTAAGCATCTTCTCGAGATCGTTGAGAGCAGCTCTGGTCTCGTTCAAGCAATCCTCGAGTCGCTGTTGTCGGGTGTCGCCTCTGTATACGTAACCATAGTATTTCATTGCCGAATCGTAGTGGGCGGTGAAATCCTGAGCGAGGCTCGTAGTGGGTTGGGTCGATGGTGTCATGATGCCAGTGGCAGATGCAGTCGTTGGCCTCTGGAATGGTTGTGTAGTCGCCGAGAATGGGATGTACAGTGGAATTATTATATCTACACTGCCGCTGGGCGCCGGCGGCCTCCGACGTAAATGCTGTTTCAGGTCTACACCGCCCTTTCCGGATGGAAGGAAGGCCATTGCTGTGCGATGTAGGCGGAGACCAGATCTCGCGATTTGCTCATCATTGCGAGTGGGGAGGACGCGCCACCGTGCTCAGCGTTAGCACGTGCATCTTGCGAGTGGCGTGTGTGGGGCGCCCGCTCGTCCGCGTCGATCGGTCAATCGCCTTCGAAGATGCCCAACGAGTCGCCCTGCTCGCAATCAGCGTTTCTTCTAGCCTTCGAGCTTTCTCTTTTGCCTCGCATACGTGAGACTCTGTCACTGCTATCAAGACCTCATCCATCCACGCCCCTGCCCCGGGCGTGGCGCCGGGTGGCAAATTCCTGCCCGACCTGCAGCTGGCGCCACTTTCGCGCTTCCGACGGAAGCTGACACACGTCAACAAGCCGATGCGACTGACTTCTTTCCTTCCTCGCTCAACTCCTCTCTTTCCCTCCATACCAACCCCATAGTCTGCTCATATCCGACCTATGGACACACCACCCCGAGCTTTCGCAGATGATGACGACGTAGGAGGGTACGGTAAGACGCCTGAGCCCCGAAGGCAGCGTTTGGAGAACCTGGAACGGAAGGTCGAGTTGTTGTGTCGAGAAAAGGGGTCTTTAGTGGTGAGCTGCCTCCTGTGTACTTCGGTCGGGCTACAGCTCATATCGTCGCAGAGGAAGCTAGACGCCGATACGAAACGCTTCGATTCGACGCTCAAGGCGAAGATGACCGAGTCAGAGGAGATGCGGGCGTCCTTGAGCAAGTCGCAGAGGGATCTGGAGAGGTGTAAGGCGGAAGGAGAGGGGATGCGGGAGGAGGTGAGCTGTCGTCTGCGCAATTTTCTGAACGAGAGCTCATGTCTTCTCAGCTGGACATGTACGCCGTTGTCGCTCAGCAGAAGGCGTTACTCGCTCTATCGCAGGAACAGCTGCAGGTGGTTGAGCTGGAGCATCGGTTGGTCCTGGCGGAACAACAACGAGGTCAGCTGATCAACTTACGGTGCGGTGAACCTACAGCTGACTTTCAGTGATGCGCGACCACAAGATCGCTCTCTTCCATGCAAGGGAGGCCGAACTTCTCTCGGAGCTGGAAGAGCGGGATGAGCGTATTGTGGAGCTCGAGGTGAGTACCGTCACTTTGCCTTCGGTCTCCCCGATCTTGCCTAGACTGGGCTCATATTGTAGGCATCCCTCAGCCACGCCAGGACCTCTGCAAAGGCACATATTGCCTCTTCTGCCAAGTCCGCATCATCTGATCTCGCTCGAGCGCTCGACGACAACGCCAAGCTCTCAGCAAGGGTTGACGAGCTCCAAGGCACTGCGGCCTCGCTCAAGGCCAAGGAGAAGGAGCTGGCCAAGGCGGTGACGGAGAAGGAGAAGCTGCTTGGGCAGGTGCAGAAGCTAGAGGCGAGCGTGGAGGTCTGGAAAGGGAAGGAGAAGGAGGTCCGCGCTCAGCTGGACGAGCGGATGACGGAAGAAGAGAGCAGGGATGGTAGCGTGAGCCATGATCTGCCCTATCTGTGCGCAGAGCTACGAGCTGACGGTACAGTCTGACAAGGAGATCCGCGCCCTCAAGGCTCAGCTTAGAGCTGCCAAGACCGACCTGGACGCCAAAGAGGGGGAATGCGTTGATCTGCAAGAGGAGATGGCGACGCTCAAGGAGAAGAGCAAGGAGAGGGAGCGCGAGCTCAAGATGAAGCTCAAAGAAGCGGCGGCTGCGTCTGAGCAGGTGACGTCCTTGCAGGTACGACCGCTCACTCTTAGCAGGGATGACGAGCTGACGTATACAGGAGGAGGTGGACGCTCTTAAACTCTCGCAGAAGAAGGCGTCAGCGGATGCTCACCGAGCAAAGGTGGCTCTGATGGAGGCGAGCGCTAGCGTGGGACCTGAAGAGCGGAAAAAGACTGCTAGTCCCGTCAGAGCTGCTAAGGTTGTCAAGGAGAAGATTAGAAAGGTGAGCTCAATGGAGAATGGAAAGACCACTGCATCAGATGCTTACCAACATTAGGCAGCCACGGCTGAGCCGGAGTCAGAAGCGGAGACGATTCCGAAGAAGACGAAGCGGACTCATGGTTCGGTAAGCTACTCGTCTCGCTTTACGTCTGGACGGGGCTGACTCTCAGCCGACCGCAAAGTTAACCAAGAAAGCCAGCAAGTCGGCCCCGGCGTCAGAGGACGAAGCCGAAAGCCTTCCTGCTGCCTCTCCGAAGATCCGCAAAGCACCTCGTCCATCCAAGGTCGTCATCCCCAAATCCCTCCCTCTAGGCGAATCCAGCATCCTCAACAGGTTCGCCAAGCCCGCTGTCCCTGTGATCAAGCGCAAATCTATCGTCTCCGACAAGGCGCCAAAGATCACCGTTACACCGGCAGACGAGGACGTCGAGCCCGATGCGGATGAGTCCGCCGGGGACAAGTCAATAGGGCCAGAGAAGAAGAAGAAGCGGAAGCTGTTGGTGAATAAGCCGGCGTTCAAGTGGGATCCGATCCTCGAGGTGCGTACTCTTCATGAGCGGTGTGATGGGATAGGCTGACCAGTACAGAGCGGGAGTGGTGTGATCCCATCGACCTTCTCACCGATGAAGCCCCCCGGAGCGATTGGGTCTATTCCGCGGGTGGCGTTCCCGACCTCATCCTCGTCCCGATCGCTCAGCCGGATCTAAGGTGGTAGGGCTCAACTCGATCTCGACAGCATCGATGTATGTTCGGACCTGGGGAGCTGATGTGGTGCCCGGTGTGTACCTGTATATGTGTCTATATGGATCGTGTATCTCGTCGGGAGAGGACAGCGCCTGAGCACTCGCTGATTCAGGTCCGACAGCAAGATTCTTGGCTACAAAGATGGTCGTACAAATACCGTCCAAGATCGACTCTGCGTCCATTTCCCCAATTTGGCAACTGAACTTTGAACACGGCCAGTCTTTATCCGTCAAACGCGTATCTTTCCCTCAGATGCCGGCCATACTTGAACATCTGAAAGGATCAGCTGACGAGGCTCTATCGTAGACACGAGCGTCACAGCAGGCATACTCACTATCAACGGGGCAGGGACAGCCACTAATGCGATACCAGCGAGCAATGTCCCACCTACTCCCCAACCCAGATCAGCAAACATGTCCGCTGAGAAGACGGGCAATACAGCCGTCAGAGCGGATCGGCACTGTGCACCGTCAGCTGCGGCGCAAACCTTTGCAACCAGTGAGCTTACCGCTGTGGCGCTGGCTATAGCAGCAGCAGAGTACGGGAAGAAGGCGTCGACCAAGCTGACTCGTCAGCGTGCGGCTCTGACGCGGGTGCTGGCCCAGGAGGTGGTCACTCACAAGTTCTGGATACTGTTGAACGCCAACATGAGACCAAGGGCGACGAAGACCATCCCTATCTGCGGCCCGATCCAGTGCGTATGGGCATTGGCGGTCCAGCCGAAGATCAAGAGACCGATGGGCATGATGAGCATCCCTGATTGGGTCATAACGAGCTGCTTGTCAGCTCAGACCTTCTTGCAATGGGAGGTATTGAGTGACATACTCGATATTCTGGTTGCCCATTGCCCCCGTTCTTCTTCTTGAGGGCTTTGTATATCTTGTCCTGGTAGGTCGACGCGATGGCGGCCGCACTGAAAAAGCCGATGGCTGAGGTGTAAGCTGAAGTCACACCAAGTGCGATGAATAACTCACCGAGACCGATATATGCTAAAGACACCGTGTTCATGGACCACGAGTATGAGAACAGCCCTGTGCGGCTGTATGGCGCGGAACCGAAAAGGAGGGGTACAGACACGAGGAAGAGGTAGATGCAGGCTAAACGCAGTATCAGCTATACATCACTTCGCTTCGATGGGTGTCGAGCTTACCGTAGATGTAGGCATAATAGACGCAGAAGATGGCGCAGACGGGGTTGAACAGTAACAGCCGGAATGGCCGAGAGAAGGTCCGCTTGAAGACAGCTTTGGCTTCATGCCGGGAAACCATGGCTGACATCCACCCTTGATCGTGGATGAAGCGAGAGGGGGATATGCGATCTAGGAAAGTGTTTGGGGGCGAGATAGGGTGGTTGATACGGTATTTAAGTTTCTTCTCAATCACCCTGAGGTTATCAGTGGGTGCTAAGAGTAAGATGGGTAAGGGATACTTACTGGGCGTTGGTCTCGGTCGATATGACGATAAACAGGAGAGCGTTCGCGAAGGCGAGGATGGTGATCGTCCAAAAGAGCCATCGCCATCCTCCGCCACCGAGGATCCAATAGCCGATCATGCTGCCGAGTACGGGGCCAGCCTGTAGGTCAGCATCTGAAATCGACCAGGACGGCGAGACTTACCATCGGCCCGATAGCGTACAAGCTAAGTGGTCTTCCCCTTTCTTCTGGAGCCCAGACCTGGCGGGTCAGTATACCAACTGCCAGCAGCGGCGGGTGTACTCACATCAGCACAAGTGGTGACACCCAGACCAGGGCCGGACGAAGCGAAAACGCCGCAGAAGAATCGCAGCACAAGGATACTGGCCATACTGACCTGTCAGATCCGCTTCTGGCGTGGGAGTTCGAGAAGAACTCACTTTTGGGATACGGCGGTACCGAGACAAAAGAAGAAGAACAAGCTTTGACTGATCATGTAGGCGACCTGCCGGCCGTATAGCTCTGAGATCGGGGCGAACACGAAAGGACCAGCTCTGCCGCTGTCAGAAGGGCGTCTCTGTCACAGCTAAAACCGAGACTCACCCGAGACCCAGCACATAGAAGGTGGTGATCAACACCCCGATCTTGGGATTAGATATCCCAAAGTCATTAGTAATGGCGTGCACACCCGGTACGGCGATACTCGATCCGCACGTCGCGATAAAGCCAGTGATCGACACCGTTATAGATATGGACCATTTCTGCCGCCGTGGCCAATTTCGCGGGTTTGCAGGATGCGTCGCAAAGTTGGCGAGGATCTGAGCGGCCTCGACCGCAGTGGCGGATTGATGGGTGGTCGTGTGACGGAGTGGGGGTAGTGGAGCTTGGGTGGGGGAAGGGGATGTTTCAGACGCATTCTGATCCTTTTCTGCTGGGAGGGAGTCCGAGCATGGCGGGGACGATGACCGTAGCTGCTCCCCTTGTTCATGCGCTTTGACGCCTCGTTCTGACTTGACGGGTGTCGCCATGTCAGGGCGATCCTATCGACATCCACTCGTACCCGCTGTTCGTGAGGTTCAGAACTCTGCGAAAATTTCGCTTGGGTGCTGGTTTCGACGATCCCGCTTTCCACCCAGATTCGTTCGAGGTTGAGGAGGCTCTTTAGGCGAGGGAGGAGCGTACGCACAGGTGGACGAGGGATGAGAGCGATGCATAGAGTCAGATAAGTCCCTCTGCCTATGGGAGCCCCGACCTTCCCCGACCCCCCTCCCACTCGGAGATACCCGTCTCCAACCGGCCCGAATATCCGGCCCGATAAATCGAGCCTCACATGCCTCTCTCCCTCGACTTCACCTCTCTACATGCGCAAGATGACCCAGCTCTACGATACGATCATCCTCGGGGCAGGCTGGTCAGGCGCCGTCGCAGCGCAAAGTCTCGCGGGGAAGGGTCACAAGGTGCTCGTTTTAGAGGCTAGGGACAGGGTTGGAGGTCGGGCTCAAACTTGGGTTGGGGGCGGCGCTAAGGTTGATGTGGGATGTAGCTGGATACATGGGTATCGGGAGGGGAACCCTACGAGGGGGATCGCCAAAAGTCTGGGTGTGGTAAGTTGTCGCTCTGTGAAGTATAGGAAGATGTACTGACAAGCAGGATGCGCATTTGCCCAAACCAGCTGACGGCGTGATCTATGGGCCGAACGGTATGCGTGACCACTTGCGTCATGGATTCAGGCTAATAGTCAGGGCTGCTTTCGAAAGAAGAGACAGCGTCGCTCCGTGCCAACCTATCCGCGGCTCAGGCATCTCTCAAAACCCCTCATCCCGCACCTTCCCCTACTGCGTCACTCGCATCTGGCCTCTTCGCGTCGTTATCGCCACTCTTTAAAGGCGGCAAGCCTGCGTCCAAGCCGGAAGACACCAACGTCACTTCTACCCATCCCGCTGATCCGACCTCAGCCGAGGATACCGCTTCCGAAGGCTCGCCGGCCGACAAGAAGCTCGCGCAGGACTTTGCGCGCATGCTCGAGGTCCCGCTCGGCGTCAAGCTGGAGAAGGCGTCCTTGAAGTGGGCGGGATGGGAAACGTCCACAAACTTTGCTGGATCGGATGCCGCCCCTGAGGGCGGGTACGAGGCCCTGGTTGGCAAGGTGCTCGCCGATGCCAAGTCGAAGGGCGCGGAGGTCAAGCTCAGCTCCAAGGTGGAGAAGGTGGAGGACGGGTCGGAATCGGCAACGGTCACAGCGGGTGGGTCGACCTACACCGCCCGGACTATCCTCTCGACCATTCCCCTCGGGGTTCTCAAGAAGCTGTCCTCGGACTTCTTCTCGCCTGCTCTACCTCCCGCACTCCAGGAGACAATCAAGGGTACCCATGTGGGTGTCCTCGAGAAGCTCCTCCTGCAGTACCCCTCTGCCTGGTGGCCGGAAGCCGAGAAGATCGGATCGTACACTTTCCTTCCTACCGGTCCCACACCGACACCCAACTCGAGCCTCCAAGAGGTCTTTGACGGATCGACCATCATGTGCGCCAACTTTGCTGCACCCAGCCTCCCCGGTCCTACCCCTACTCTACTCTCGTACCTCTCCGAGACCCCGGCCACACTGTTGCTCAAGCACGACCCTAAGGACGTCGCCGAAGCGTACCATCAGTTCCTTATCTCCCGGTTCAAGCCGTCGACTCCTCCCCCGTCCCCGTCCAACAGCAACCTGACCAACTGGCTCACGGACGAGTACTCGCACGGGGCGACTACGACGCCAAGCATTGTGAGCGATGGCGAGCGGAGTCCGATGGACTTCAAGGAGCTAGGGAGGCCGGTATGGTCCGGTCGTCTAGGGTTTGCAGGGGAGCATACGGACATGGACCACAGGGGGAGCGTGGCGGGCGCGGTGGTTAGTGGGCAGAGGGAAGCGGATCGAATCGATCGATTTTTGGCTCGATTGGATGACGAGGCATGATAATTCAATCTAGGCTGTAGATCTGCTCCTATGTCAGAGTAAATGTCTAGTCCGGCCCCCTGCCTGTGCATAGATTGGTCATCCATATAGAGGCCGGAGAGCTCGAGGAGCTGCGAGATCCGGGAGTAAAAGCTAATCCGTGCGTCAAAACGCGAAATTCTCCTAGACCGCCTCCACGTAACGCTAGCCTACACTTTGCCCCTATACATTCCACTTGCATCTCTATAGTGCTCCAGCTACGGCGGCTGGTAACGCCGGCAAACCTACAGCACTTCTTAAAGCCCAAGAAGAATCGCGCTTCCGGAGGTCAAATCGCCGATAATCGAGCTTGGGACCGGACCCTTACTCGTCCAACAATAACAATAACAAATCACACTCCTTTCGCCTAATCATCTACAATCCGCCCTCAGTATGGTATACGATCCCATCCGGGACATAGACGTCCCGTCTCCTGCGGCATCTACCCAATCGGACCAGCCCTGGCGCCAGAACATCACGCCGGGATCGGGTGCGTACTTTGACCCTGCCCGACAGGTGGATTACGGGAACTCCCCGAACGGCCATGAAGCAGTCTATGATGGTCGTCCTCCGGCTTTCCACGGTGCTGGGAGCTCGCCATCATCGACGATGGGGATGCGGCGTTCGGTGTCGGGTGGTCTGCGGGGATTGCTGAACGATGAAGAGGAGGATACATCTCGACGGAGCAGCGCGCAGAGCGGGTTTGATGGAAACGGATCGATGGAGGATGATCATCGGCCTTCCATCTCGCGCATCCTCAACAGCGGACCGGGGGATGGAGGTGCCATGGTCAAGTCTACGTCTTACTCGTCTCGCGTATCCAGCTCGCCAGCGAACGCATCACCGGTCATCTCGGGCCGGCCTCTCGACAACTCGGGGTTCCTCACTCCTGCCTCGACGTCAAGGCGAGCGAGCCGGTCTCCCTACCCCGTCAACAGCTCGGTCTCACCGGCTCAGCAGCATACTATGCTGCCGCATGACGGTCACGCGCTAGAGTATGAGGCTCAGCTTCATCCCCAGGCCGGACCAAGCAGGCGCCGGGTCAGCGGCGGACAGAGCAACCCTCGACCCATGCTCCCGCCTGACACTATCCCTCGGCAGGAGTACTATGATCCCTCTCGTATCACTCCTGGCGCTCAGTCGTACGCCCTCCCTATGCGCTCCCCGTCCATCTCGGTCTCTCCCCGCTCTCACCATCAGGCGCTGGGCGGACAGCTCTCCCGGCCCACCTCGTCATCCTCTATGGGCCAGCCGTTCTCATTTCAGCCACCCCCTCTCCCCGCCGAGTCCCCCTCCTACGTCACACGGCAGCTTTCTGAAGCTCCATCCCGCCCGTCTTCCGGCTCGCAGCCCCCTCGGCAGTCATCGCTCGTCCCACGCGACTCGGGCAGATCGAGCGTCGCCTCTCGTACACCACTCCGATCCCCTACACCCCTCCGCGTACCCTACCAGCCAAATCGCACGACACAGCCGACTTCGGTCCTCCGTCCCATACTACCGGACGAGGTGGCCAGGATGCGGTCCGCTGCGATAGTGAACAACCCTCTCCGTCGGCGGCCACGCAAAGCTGCACCATCCTGGTCCGGACCCTCGCCTGGTGCGCGGGCGGATCGGTCGAGTCTGCCAACCGAGTCCGACTCGTCCTACTTCCCAGCCACACATCAGACGCCCGAACCTGGACCAAGCCGCAAAGCATCACAAATCTCACGGCGGGATGGCTCGGTCTCGGCGGGCCTGACGAGCCTCACTTCTGGTGGGACGGCAGTGACACCCACGGAGACGAATGGGAAGGCGCCGAAAGGGTCAGGGAAGCGGAAACAGAGCTCGCAGGATGCAGGGAACGATGAGCAGAGGCGAAAGGGGAATGATGGGCACTACGTGGGCAATAGCGCGGTGGCGAGTCATTGTGCGTCATGCTTGAGCTTCTGGATAAGCGAGGATGAAGGCTGATGCTCAGATAACGCTCGGCCGGAAGTAGGGATAGAACACCGCGAGTTCTCGCCCATTATCGGTCTCAAGAAGTTCAACAACTGGATCAAATCCGTCCTGATCGGCAAGTTCACGCATAGAGGTACAGGCGGGAAAGGTGCCAACGTCCTGGATATCGGGTGTGGGAAGGGCGGTGATTTGAACAAGTGGAGGCAGGCCAAGATCAAGCTCTACGTTGCTCTGGGTGAGTTCAGGCATCAATAAGGCCCGGTCAAAGCTGATGTAGCAGATATCGCCGACATGTCGATCGCACAAGCGAAGGAGCGGTATGCGACCATGCGGAATCCGTCATTTGATGCCCACTTCTATGCTCATGACTGTTATGCTGTGAGTGTCCCCTTGCATACTTTAGCCGTGTCATGATCTGACAAATCAGCAACCCATATCAGAGGTCCTTCCCGACCAGCTGAAGGTGCGCGACCTGTACGACAACGTCACCATGCAGTTCTGCATGCACTACGCGTTCGAGTCGCCCAACAAGGCGAGGATGATGATGGAGAATGTTTCGAGGTATCTTCGGCCTGGAGGAGTGTATATCGGGACGATCCCAGATGCTCAGATGCTACTGTGAGTGACTTCCGCCACCGTCGGGGCTCGATGCTGACGTTCCAGCGATAAATTGGAGGAAGTACCCGAGGATGCCCCAGAACTTCGCTTCGGCAACTCGTGCTACTTTATCGAATTCACCGAACGGCATCACAAGGGCATGTACGGGCACGCCTATCGCTTCTACCTCCAAGACGCCGTCGACGATGTCCCCGAGTACATTGTCCACTGGGATAATTTTGTCAAGTGAGTACGATCCGCCTCGGGGACTGGGCTAGGCTGATCGTGCAGCCTCGCCAACGAATATCGTCTTCGCCTGGTTTACAAGAAACCTTTCCACGAGGTGCTGGCGGAAGAGCAGGATAGTCGGGACTTTGGGGGTCTGCTGCGGAAGATGGGGGTGATCAACGAAGCTGGCGAGAGCGCTATGGATGGCGATCAGTGGGAGGCGGCCAGTAAGTTCATCTGCTGCCTCTGATCTGCTCTCGGCGAGGGATGTCGGCTGACCCCTAGATCTGTACATGGCATTTGCCTTCGAGAAGTATTGAGGGGAAGAGGAAGAGGAAAGAGGGAAGAGGGAAGAGAGAGTTCTTGGGCCCAGTGGCGCAGGCTTACAATGGCAGTCAGAAAGTTGTAGCGTTGCTGATCTTGTCTCAGTCGGCAGCGGCAGGCAGATGTATCGATGGAACAAGTATGCTCTCAAGACGCTGACGTGCTGATCTGCGGATGGCAGTGAATATCACATACCCACCTTACCCAATCGACATTGACTGGATTACTGGCAAAGCTGGGTCCGAAGGATGCGCTAGACAAGATCCGGCAGCGAGATCCGCGACCGCTGAGCTACATTGAAATACAAGGCAGACATCTATATAAGCAGATCCTAGACGCGAATCAAGAGCATGGTGTACAATCAATCGGCATCGGTCATCCACCAGATCGCCGTGCCGACTACTGCCCCTGCGATGGCGAGAGAAGTCAAGGCCCCGGTCAATGTCGGAGCCCTCCCCGTACTTTCTGCAGATACAGTGGTAGGAGGTTTTCGCTCTCGCGACCTCGCCGTCGACGCACCCGTCATCGTGCATGATGGCTCTGGATCGATTGGCTGATGATCGGTAAAGTGCTTTCCGGCGAGGCCGTCCGAGTACTCCGCTTTCTTGGCATTCGTATTCTTGACGAGCAGGTCGGTCAAGACGCTGACCGCTGCATGGGGATTCCAGCCATCGTAACCTGTGTCCTCGGGCTCGTACCCGTTTCCTGGCCTCTCCGTTTCCCGAGCAACTCGCTTGGCAAACGCGTCTTCGTAATCGTGGGCACCGCGGTTGATGCAGAACCGGTAGATGCTTTGCAAATTGCCACGATCGGAGCAGTCATAGCGGTAACGATCGCGGGCGCAGGCGATGGAAGTGAATTGCAGCAATTTGCCGACGTCAGTCTCGCTGAGGTCTTTTGTGAAGGAGGGCATGTGCCTGCTGTAGGCTTCCATGACGCCTGCCGCCTTCAACATGGACGCGAGGACGCCGGTCTTGACTTCGGACTCGTAGCCGCGCGAACCGAAAGATCGGCACGCGTCTGCATTGCCGAGTCTGTCCGTACTGGGGCCCGTGGTCGGGGCCGAGGAAGAGTCGGTGGGTGTGCCTGCGGATGATTCGGGTTTGACAGAGATGTCGGCCGTGGGACTGGTGGCTGTCGGCTGGGCAGAGGGACATGTGGAGTGAAAGTTCAGCTCGAGACCTGTCTGAAAGTCTTCCGGGAAGAAATTTACTACGGGTTTTGTCGGCCGGTATTCTTGTCGCATGGTGGAAGCTGATGAGAATTGGGGTGCCGGCGAAGGTCAAGGTGTGGTAGATTATTGAGTGAGGGGCGAAGAAGCTGATAGAGAAGAGGAATGTCCGGGGATGTGAGGTAAGAGCGACAGCAGGAGGAAGCGAGTCAGCCATACCAAGCACCGCTCCGGAAGGATGCGCCCAAGCTGTGTCACGATCCTTTACCGTCCTCAAACACGGGCCACCAGTGCAGCGAGTGTCGCAGGTGACCTTTGTCTCCCGGGTCTTGGAACGCGTTTGGCCGTTATCGATACACGGAGTGGACGTCCACTGCTCGCTGCTACGACCGACCAGAATGTTCCGGCACATTCCACCGCCTCTTGGAGTGACCCCTGCTTCCCGAAGATGAGGGGGCTGACAGATGAATGAGTACAGTGGAAGTGATCAGTATCACGGCGGTTTCAATCAGCGAGCGTGGCCTGGTCAGCGGCCATTCCCACTCAAATCCTGTCTTTCATCTGTCCCCTACCTAAGATCATGCCACACACCCCACTTACATCCCCTCCCCTTCCTATTGCCCCACATCCCTCCTTTCCCAAACCTGCACCACCGTCTCCCCCAAGAAGACCATCTCCTTCCTAACCTCCTCCACCCTCAAATCCTGCATCTCAAACCACTTTTCTTCATCCCCACCACCCCGTCCAGCCCGACAATGGATCTTCCACGTCATCCCCTGCTCATCCTCTTGCGCCTTCTTCATCGACTTGGCAGTCACCCCGGGGCCAGTGCCGGAGGATGAGGTGGACGCGGCGGTGGTATCCAGGGAGATATTGGAAACGAGGTCGTAGATTGTTGAGATGGGTGATGAGGGTTTCGGATCGACATCTTGGTCTGTCAGCTCATGCGGGAGGCCCGGAGGCCGGGAAGCCGAGAAGCCGGAAAGGAGGAGGAAGACTTACAGTCATTCAGGTCCACACCGCGCAGGGGAAAGTTGACGATAGTTGGATTCCGTTCCTCCACAAAGTTGTTCTTGGTGAACCGCTTGATATGGAGGATGAGGTATGGCGGTAGAGCAGTCAGGTGATGCCTCTTCAAGGTGGGTCCGAACTCCTAAGTAGCGTCAGCTAAAGGTCCATCGACCTTTGCAGGAACCGTATAACTGACCTGGGTTGTCTTGCCGTCAAACTTGGCGAGGATAGCTGAGAGCGGGACTTGAGGGATGATCTTCTTTTCGTTCTGGTCCTGGAAGAGTGGAGTGGCGGGGAGGTCGAGAGCGAGGAAGAGGAACGGCGAGGATATTGCTTGGATATCTGCGGAGTCAGCTAGACGTCCAGCTTATCTGCTCACCACAGCTGATCACTCACCTCTCGAAATATCAAACATCGGCCGAGCATACTCCTTGTGTATAATCACCTGCTGATTCTCTATCCTCACCATCCCTTGCAACGCCCTGTAAATCACACTACTTCCCCTCTTCTTGGTTCCCCCCAGATCCCGATGCAAGGTATTCACCAGCCATCCCAGAAACTCCACCGGATCCCCTTGCTCTGTCATCTTGAACTTCCCATTCGACCTCTTGTTCACCTCCTGCAAAAACTCGTGCGGGCTGATCTGCGCCTTGAAGAGTTTGGGGTTCCATAATCGCCTCGTCAGGGTCGCGAGACGCGTAATGAGCTCCGTCGGTTTTGTCGTGGGCTGCAACTCCGGCGTGGTCGGATCGAGGAGGAACGAACGGACGGGCGGGATGTGGAGCAGCAGATGGAGAATGACGGTGAGGTAGTCATTCTTCTTGACGTTGTTGATGCCAATGTAGCCGGGGACGAAGGGGGTACTGGAGAGTGTATAGGCGGGCTTGGCGGGGAGGTGGGTGAGCGCAGGGAGAGCGGAGGGTTTGAAGCGGGGGTTGAGGACGGATATGATGTCGTTCAAGGAGGGGTCGGTGACTTGATATCCTTCAGGCAAGACGTAGAACTGGTCGTCAGCTGTGATCCGCTGTCGTGGATCCTCAAGCTCACCTTCTCGGTCGCCAAGTTCAACCACACTCGATGGTTGTCTCCCACTGCATGTCGATACGCCCAGCTCCCTCGACCTCGTCCTTGAAAGTACTTTCCGCAGACAAGACACGCGTACACGTTGATATTGCTCAAGCTCTTGGAACAGAGCCGTTCAAAGTCAAAGTCGAGGTTCACCCTGTTCACCTACCATGTAAGCTTGTGTCACCAGAACGTGACCTCGGGTTTGCTAGCTCACCGTGTCGAGGTACATATCTCTGTGCCCCAGGTCCTCCTCTTCCCGCGCGACCACCTCTTCTGGCTCTTCATCGCTTTCCACGGTGTCGCGAACCATGACCGGCGCAGACGACACGACCGGTGCGGAAGAGGCGCTCCCATTCGCTGCTATTGGGTCACCGCCGTTGGTCTGGGGGCCTGTTCCATTCGATACCTCAGCGGGAGTAGACCCGTTCGTTGCTTCCGTACGTTGTCGCTTGGCAGCGGGTGGAGATGACAGTGGTGAGGGCGGCATGTTGATATTGTTGGTAACTGTCCATCAGGTCCAGTTCCACATATACGGCCACCTGCAACTCCGCAACTCACTGCCGGCTTGAGGTATGAAAGGTGTCCTCACCAGGAGTAAGACAAAGAAAGCGGAGTTTGTCGGATTTGGAGTCTCTCCTCGCAGGTGCGATGTGAAGCGAGTTTACCTTTCGCTGAAGGTTGATCAGGGATCAATCAAGGCGTACGCTGCCTATCCGCTAGATGGCGTGTCTCCCGCTATAGTGATAGATAGAGGTAAGAGGTGTAGAAGATAGCCTTCCTTCGTCGAGGTTCGGCCCAGCCAAATGAGTAGTTACGTAACGACCCTGACCATCCACCAAGATTTCGAACACCACCACCACCCGAGCCAACAGCTCTAACCTTTGTACTTACAGGTACCTCACACCAGCTAGCTATACTGCCTAGACGTCCTCATCCTCTCACAGCACCATAGAATCCATTAGCCAAGCTGTCACTCCGCCGTTTCATAAAGCCATACCTCCGCCCGCCCACCCTGTCCGTCTTCAACGCGCCCATCATGCCTAAAGCGCCCAGCGCTCCTCCCCTGCCCTTGAATGGCTTGTTCCCTATCGCAAAGCCGTCTGGGCCTAGCTCGTAAGCTTACCCTATTCATGTGCAGTGACTTGACCTGATGAACAGAATGAGATGTATCGACGATATCACCCCGCTCCTGCTCGACTCGAAGCTCTTCTATGATCCCGAGCGGATCAAGCCGCAAGAGAAGCGAAAGAGGAAGCAGAATTTGACGCATATGGGGCTCAAGATTGGGCAAGGGGGGACTTTGGATCCGCTGGCGGATGGTGTGCTGGGTGAGTCAGCGGAAGTGTGCGATATCTATTATGAGCCCTGAAGCTGATCATGGCAGTCATTGGAGTGAACAGGGGGACGAAGCACCTAAACCGGTTCTTGGAATGCTCAAAGGTCAGCTATGGAAACTATATCGATCGCCGAGTGCAGGACATCAGCTGATACCCTCTAGGAGTACGAGAGCGAAGCTCTGCTCGGCGCCGCTACGACGACCTACGACTCTGAGGGACCCGTCATGTCCACCCACTCATTCGACAATGTCACTCGGGAAGATATCGAGCGAGTACTCGATCAATTCCGAGGCAAGATCAAGCAGACTCCCCCAATGTACGTCTTCCTAAATCTCAAGTCTCCTGTCCTCGCGCTCATTTTCAGCTTCTCCGCGCTCAAGATGGACGGCAAGCCATTATACGAATACGCACGCGAGTCCAAGCCCCTCCCCCGCGCCATTCCCGTCCGGGAATGTACCGTCTCCATCGACCTGATCGACTTCCGCCCTGCCTCCACCTCCCCAAGCGACGGCGGCCACTCCTGGGTTTGGCCCAAAGAACGTCTGTCCGCCGAGGAGAAGACGGTCTTCAAGCGCCTGACGGATATCGTACATCAGGCGTCGGCATCGACAGGCCAATCAGAGTCGGATCCGGCGGTATTTGATCTATCGGCGGAGGAGGTCCCGGAGGTCTCTGCGGTGACTGGGAAACGACCGGCGAGTTTCAAGGTCCGGATGACCGTCTCGAGCGGGACGTACGTGCGGAGTATCGTGCATGACATTGGGCTGGCGTTGGGGTGTGGGGCGCACGTGGTCACGTTGACGAGGACGAGGCAGGGGGAGTTCCCGCTGTATGGGGATGAGGAGATATTGGATGGGTCGGTCAAGACGGAGGATAAAGGGAAAAAGGGGGCGAATTCGGGGGTCAATGAATTGATCATCGACGCCGAACCAGCACCGGTTCATGCGCCCGCCCCGGACCCGGTTGACACGGCCGAAATGGACGAAGAAGAAGCCATGATGAACGCGCAGAACGCTCCGCCTCCGGCGCCGGCACCGCCGTACCAGAACCCCGCACCATCTGGCCCAAGCGGCGGCTGTATCCCATGGGCGGTCTTCCAGCGTGCCCTGGTGGAGCGGGACGAGATGCTCACGAGGGAGCGAAACGAGCGGGAGGAGGCCCAGCTAAGCCAAGTCGAGGAGGCCAAGCTCAAGGAGATGTTTTCGGACGAGGCGGTCATGCGTCGGAGAAGGGAGAGGGACTATCTAGAGTGGGAGGTGGAGCTGCTCAAGAGGTTCCAGAGCGTGCCTGTTCCGATTGGCGGGTCTGGCGGGGTGTACCGATACAAGTAGTAAGCTTGATCAGGAGATGGCGTCGGCGTGGATACGTGGCTGTGCATGCTGTAGCGTTATCGAAGAGGTAGTAGATGTACCTCCTTGCCTAGCTTGAGCTCTAGATGATCTACCTCCCATCCGCCTTGTGGCTGTGCAGCCAGGATCGCCTTGCCGAACTTCTCTGATAACTGAGCCAGCACTTCGGGCGAGAAAGGGGTCTCGCCCGTACTCGCCTCGGATGTGCTGGGTGACAGCTCGGCGTCGTCGAGCGATACGTCTGCGTCCGGGCCGGCTCCGCTAGTCGAGGGAGGAAAGTCCGGCGAATCTGACGCCGGATGCGCAGAGACAGGATCGATCAGGGTCCAAGCGAAAGATGCGTGGAACTGGGGGTTCGTGTGGTACAGCGGTAGGTGCAATTTGGAGAGGATAGGATGGATAGCCTGGTCGAGGAGCCGCTCGAGCTGCACGTCGTCAGCTTCGTTCTTCGGCCAGGATACTGATCCGTCCGGCTCCGCAAGGACTGACCTCTTTCGATCCGGCAGTCACGCGCACCGCAAGGAACGCCCGTCCTCCTTTTCCCTCTCCACCTGTTTTGCGGCCATTGACGAAGCCCACGACCTCGCCCGCTATGCTCAGGCGAAGGCCCCGGGTACCGGTGATGGCTCCTGCTGATCGTCGAAGAGCAGTACGGAGGTCATCCCGGAAGCTGATGAGCTGGGATTGGCGGAGTGGGAGGGGATGAGTGAGGGAGACGTGCAGTGGGAAGTCCTTCCTGTCTGCCGAGATCGGAGGACGGGGCTGCTGCTCGGCGGAGGGAACAAGCGCAGCGGTCGCAGACGCAGGCTCAATTCCCGCCGTTGATGTCGATATAAGCGAGTGAATCGCGTGGCCCGGGCATAGCTCTTGCGCAAGAGAGGTGATCTCTCCAATGACACGTCTCAACCCATGCGGAAGCGGTACTGATGATCAGCGCTCTTCTTCTCATACCATCTCCAGGCTATTGGGAGGCGTACAAGAGATATAGACATGCGCGTTGTATTCGCCCTGTACGAACGGCCGAGATCGCGTGCGGCCTTGATGCTGCGTTGGGTCATCCCTGGGATCTTTGATTATCAGCTCGGCCGCGCTCCGCTTGTCAGAAAGCGAGAGTTAGCCAGCTTACTATTCGTATCGAATGTAGAAGGCAGCTTTGGTAGTCCGCGCTTTCTGTCATCGGATAAGCTTGGTCGATGGACCCCGGGGGGGCAGAGGGATTGCCTACCTCTTGTTCGTCGGCGGGACGGCTATCTCGGTCCCCGGCGATGCGGTACGGGGCTTGCTACTGGGACCGGCCTCGTCGGATGAGGACGAGTCATAGCTGACCAGGGGCATGAAGTCTCTGCGCGCACGGGAGATGAGGTACAGACGATGTGAGATGAAATTGAGGAATGAGGAGTTTGCGAGGCAAGTCACTCAGATCTGCGAGCGAATGCTCCCAGCAGGAACGACTGTCGGTCAGAGCACCTAGACGGCAATCAGGACGCCCTACATATTGCTACATGGAACATGACGACGCGAATTGCTTATCGAAAAGCTCCAAGCTCCCTTGTCCCAGGTTCCGAATGCCGGAGGACAAGAATACAGATTCTACATCACTCGGTGCCTCCGCCTGATCAAGGCTTCACCTTGCTGAAAATAGCTTGCATCATCTGTGGTATCAGCTATGGGTTCAAAGATAAAGCCGCAGCAAGCATACCTCAGGCTTCATCTCGACCCCAGCAGCCTTCATTTCGTTCATCAACTATGCGGCCGTCAGCTTACGTCCCGGGACTCTTCCAGCTCACCGTCACGGTCAAACCCACCTTTTGTCCAGCTGCACGCATATCCTTGTCCATACTCAGCTTGGCCATCTCCATCATACTAGGCGGCCGATCCGTCGCGTATCCTGTCTTCATTAGCCTTAGCACGACGAGGTCCACACAGAGTTGGATGCCCACCCACCCTTGGACTCCATCAGCTTCGCCACTGCCATCATGGCATCAACCGCGCCCTGGTGATTCCGCAGCTTCTCATAGAATGCTTGGATCTTGGGGTCTGCTAAGGGGTCTTGAGGGACCTCTGAGGCCAGTCGGGCGGGGGTCGAGTGCAGGGATCGGGCCAGGAATAGCCGGGGAGATACCGCTGTTTGTCCGACTCGCGGGAGGACCGGGACGGTGCGGAGAGCTCGGAGGAGACTGATGGATGCTCGTGAGGCGGACATGGTGCTTATCTGAGGGCGGATGTAGGACGATACGTTTATGGGCAGGAGAGATATGGCGCAGTTGACTGAGACATCTTGATCTAGGCGACCGCGGGTGGCGATTAATTATAATGACGCGGCGGATGCCGTAAAGATATCCACTTTGGTCTTGCTGCAGCTGCGACTCCTTCTTTCTCTTGACCTTATCTCATATCCCCATAGCGACAATGGCCAAATGCCACCACCCCTGTACCCTCACGCTCGATGACGGGACGCACTATGACCTCTCGTCTCTCTCATCCGCCAAGTCGGACTATACAGCGACGGTCGGGGAGCGAGAGTATAATCTGAACGTGTGCCGCGCGGTCGTCGGGGAGCTGTACAAGGTGGATGATCCAGAATTGGTCGGTGGATACACGACAAGAGATCGGGGTGACTTCTCGCTCGGGTATGTAGTCACCGCTGATGTGAAAAGAAGGAGATGAGGGGGAAGGCTGACGGGACAGACAGTTCAACTCGACGTTGCTTCTCTCAGAAAGCACAAAGCAGCCCATGATGTACATGAAGATGGGCTCGGCGTGTCCATTGAACCCGCTCACAGCTGCCTCATCCGCCGTACGAGTGAGTGCTATGATAACGAGGGGTCCTAGATGAACTTTTGCCTACCCTCTAGTTTGTTTGCAACCCAAACGAATTCTCAGCCGGCAAGCCCGTCCTCGTCGCTGCGCTCCCACCTGGTGACCCGGCAAACCACTGCCAGTTCTTCTTTGAGTGGCATACGCACGTCGCGTGCCCTACGACGTCCAAGACGGAGCTGGAGAAGGGGCATTATATCGCTTTTGGCTCCATGTAAGCTGGGACTCGCGTCGACCAGGAGAGGCCTGTCGAGAAGGCGTTAGCTGACAAGGCAGACTCCTGGTAGCCGTCCTGACCTGGTTCCTCGGACACACATTCTACAACCGTCTCTACCTTGGCCGACGAGGGATCGAGCAGTTCCCTATCCCCCACTCCCTCCCCTCCCTGTCTCTGCCTAGAATCAACCTCCCCGGCCGCTCACCCGGCAACTCCGGGGGCTTCGGATCTGCGAGTACCAACACCTCAAAGCCAAGCGGTGGTGGATTCGGATGGCGCCGGTCTAGCCAAAGGAGAGGGTACAGCCATATCCGTGCAGCAGAGGCGGAGGAGGATGAGGAAGATGGATTCGCGGGCAGGTTTAGTCTGGAGGATGATGATGATCTGGATGAGCCCCGAGATTTGACCCAGGGGCTGGTTAGGGAGAATGCGCTGGGTGGGGAGGCGGATGCGTGGAGGTCTAGCGGGGCGGGGGGCGGTGTGGGGCAGACAGGGGGAGGGAAGGGGAAGGCGGTGGAGCAAGGGGGTTTGGTCGATCTTTAGGTTTAAGCATTTCGCGAACTGCAAGTTCTTTCGGCTACTGACATAGCTTGAGCTATACTGACTCAGTGATATCCACTCAGACTAACTGGATGTTCGGAATCCGAAACACGCTCACATACTTTTCGCACATCGGTACTCACCGGGAATTCGGATGACGCCTTGAGTCGGGCATGACTTATCACTTAGCGCGGGGCATCATCGACATGCTGATCCTTACTTTACCGGGAGGACAAGGACAGGAGGAAGTGAAGGCCTTATACCACTACCGACTTGTTGGCAGATCTGAGTGGACCGTTCAGGACGGGTGTCACCTGTGCGCCAAGGCAAGGTCTCCCCCTACTGGATTTTGCATTTTTCCTAGACAATGCATGAGTGATCACTCGGTGTGATGGCGCTTCTCTAACGCTCATCACATTCCTGTCGTCAAGCGTGAGAGCATCCAGCGGCTGCGTCCAAGAGCTCGACCAGCCAGGACCAGCCACCCGACCACCGATATCGGGCTGATCAGCGCACGGACCTCAATTTGTTTACAAAATCAAAACGCGTCGCTGGTTGACTCAGCTGTTGCTCTCCCCCTCGCTTATCTAGCGGACCTGATATACAGAACGCATTTGCCCGAAAAGGAGTCGTGCCCATGCCCGCTTCCGACGCTCCCGAAACCGCTCAGGGGAGCACGGACGCCCCAGTCAGCCCGGACCTCCTCCTGGGCGCTCTACGCGACCATCTCCTCCCCGATATCCTCTGGCTCAAGCTTCCGATCGCGCTCGAGATATACGCCCATATCCAGCTCATTTCCCGGAAGATCATAGCGGAAGCATATCAGGCACTGGCAGCTCAAATGCGCATCGCACCCGAGCTCTCCCAGCTGCGGATAGCGAAGGAGGACTGGGCAGCTAGGGGCGCTCTGACGGACAGGGAGGTGCAGCGCCTGACGGGATGGACTTGCCAGGAACAGAAGGCGGAGGCGATGATACTCTGGTCCTTGACTCTGCGGAAACGTGTGCGTACTGTGCCGGAGTAACAACAGCTGAATAGTGAGCTGACTGTGCAGCACCTTGCCCAGTTGATAGCTATGACGGAGGTCTCCCCGGACAAGATCTTCATGCTTGCAGACACGTACTTCCCTGAGCGATCCACACTTGCCACAGAGGACGGTCAGATAGCGGCGAATCTGTACATCGAGGTCATGACGGACAAGCAGTGGCTACAGCTGGAGGTATACAGGGACGAGACGCAAGGCTGGTGCGATGATCTATACAACTCAGTCCTGTACGTCCCTCGACGCGATTCGCTTCTGTAAGGCGGCGCTGATTCCGTTTAGGGCTGGGAGACCACGTCCATCCCTCGTTAGTCTACTCGGCGAAATGACAGACGCCGGTGCAATCGGTCGACGGATGTTGGAAGCTGCAGAGAAGGTGGTCGAGGATGCCAAGGCGTTCGAGGCGATGTTTGATCCGACCGCTCCTGTCAAGCCAGTAGCTGGTCCGCAGACACAGACGCTAGGCACTCAGGTGAGTCACCGAGTTGTCTGACAGGGATCCAAGCTGATCTCCTTCAGGTACAGAAAGCAGCTAAGAGAGCCCCGCCCTCAACAACAACCGTACCATCGGCCAAGTCCCGGCAATCCCTCCCCAACACAGTCGCGTCTTCTTCCAAGATCTCACTGCCGCTGGAATCCGCGCCCGCTGCTAAGCGTAGAGCCACCCTAGGCTCCGATCAGATCTCAGTACCGTCGAAACGTCCTCATGATGCCACCATCTCGGACACTTCCCGTCCTACACCTGCCCTTATACCCAAGCCAGCAACGAAAGCGACACCGGCGCAAGCTACTCCACAGCGCCATCGTCGCTTCGTTCCGCACAAAGCGGCCATACCGGACTATACGCGGCCCATAGCAGTTATGGGGTCGAATGTTCCAAAAGCCAGCCTGAAACCATTTGATGCTCGGGACATCAAGCGGTCAAGACCGAGCGGCAGCAGTACGACGAGCGCTGGCAAGGCGGACGCGCGGGAAAGGGACGTGGAGTTGATGACCGAGAGGCGGGTGCCGGAAGACAAGGCGAAGGTGGGGACGGGAGTTGTGAAGAGGAAGGCGCTGGGAAACGCAGAGAGTCTGGAGAATAGTCAGAGTTCGGGCGAGAGTCAGGGAACCAAGGATAAGCGGAGGCTGGAGAAAGGGAAAGGCAGGTGAGTTCAGTTGCAGTCCAGTCTGAGCTGGAACAGTGACAAGCTGACAAGGCAGGGCGATAGATCCAGCACTCCCAGCTGCGCAGAAAGTGGTGAAATCTAGTCGACCATATTGATATTGACAGTATAATGCAGAATTTGACGGATGCTGCATGACCTAAACCCAAGATTTACAACGAACCGATCAAAAGCCCCGCTACGCGCCTGACCTCCTGCACTTGCTCTGCCCGATCCAAACACCCCCGAACGGCCCCGCATGGTCCAACAGACTCGTCTTGGGCAATGGGATGCTCGCGCTGCACGCCTCGCTGGCCTCTCCCTCCGACTCTCCCCTGCACGCGTACGCCACTCGCGGGTCTGCACCGACCCAGATCTCGCCAATGGAGGGGTGGACGAGGTCAAGGTGGCGCGCGGGCAGATGCGCGACGGTGTCCGCGTAGGAGGTGATGCGGTTGATGCGGAGTTCCGGGGACTCGATCTGGAGCTGATCGACCCAGGCCGCAAAGACCTCGTCGCCAACGCGGGGGCTGCCAAAGAGGGTAGCGGAGATGCCGACCGGGGAAAGAGGGTTGGCGTATGACTCTGCAGCGGGTCCAGCGACCTCGAGGTGGAGCGCGACCGAGACGAGGAGGGCCATGCTCGCCCCGAGACCGTGTCCGACGACCTCGACGTGCTTGATGGGCTTAGCAGCGAGGGGTTCCGGGTGGCGCGAGAGCGAGTTGATGAAGCTCTGGAGGACGTTGCGGTTGGTGCGGATGGGGATGGGAGGGGTTTCGAGCAGGTCCAGAACGGCAAGCAGGGCAGAGGTACCGTGTGTCTCGAGCGCGGGGAGGTACGAGTGGTGGATCGCCGGGGAGGGATCAAAGGGAACGCTGTCCTCGGGGAACAGGTAGGTGGGGAGCTCGACGAAATTGTCGTTCAGCGTGGCGTTGGGGAAGGGGGAGGACGAGAGGAGGTCCATGAGGTCGTCTGTGGAAGGGAGGGAGGAGAAGGCGAGAGTAAGGGTTTGGGTGGAGGGGGTGTGCGAGATGTACCCTGATCGATCAGCGAAATCCCGTGCTCTACCGTACAGGCTGGACTCACAGTTCATATCCACCTCTTCGGCCTGCGAGGCGAACTCGGGGTCCTGGCTGGAGATGACGATGCTAGAGGCATGTCGGATAGGGGTGTGGCTGCGCTTGTGCCGACCGGGAGAGGAGACTTCGGCGGTGGGGTGAGGCTGGAGCAAGCGGTCCATGGGGCAGTAGGCGGTACTGAGGGATCAGCTGTGCTCCGCGGGATGGGCGCGGATACCGGTACTCACTTGACAGCGATTGCCAGTCGGGCCATCTCCTCCATATCGGCGCGAGAGACAGCGGTCCTGCCCATAGGCATGTTGAGTGCGGCCTGCGGACCGCCAGTGAGGACCGAGATGAAGTCGCCCGTCGGGCGAGCGAGGACGCTGGCGACGAGGGAGAGCGCCGAGATGGCGTTGGAGTTGGAGATGCGCATGGTGGAGGTTGGCTGAGGGCTGAGGGATGGGTGAGGAGTGGGAAGGTCAGACTGGGAAAGAGTGATAGAAGCAGAGTAGCCGAGTAGGAGTGTGAAGGGGAGGTCAGGAGGACAAGATGCCATCAGCTGACTATATACTTGCTCAAACCTTCCTTGCTGCAGATCACAAAAGGCTTCGGACTACAGGGGCGTCGCTGAGACAACCTATTAGCTCGCCCGAGTCCCGATGGCTTGAAGCAAGTCTGCTACCCATTGTTCCCGAAGTCAAGGCGCCTGGATACTTTCATCAAGTCATTCCCGCGTTCTCCATAGCGACCTATCATTACCGCTCGGAAGCGAAGTACGAGCCTGTGCCGGTCTCGGCTAGAGGGGTCACCATAGCTATGGCTGCATTGTCTGCGTGATGAATGCCCCGAGGAGTCGAGGACAATGGGGGGTAATGTGTGAATGAGGGATAGATGGACAGCGGGGAGACAGGGAAGCAGCGCGGGGAGGGCAAATGCGGGGAGGCGGGAGGTCCCGGATGAAACGTTGCCGCATCAGGCAATTTTCCGAATGTGGCGGTCCGAACAGCTGGGTCCGTGCGCAGATTGTTCTTTGATCGGGCGCTTAGGCAGGCTGCGTGAGCGCATGCATGAGGGGAAACGATGCATGCACACGCGAGCAGTGTGCGGGTAGGTGGCGAGGTCGCTCCAAACAGGGGAAGGGAAGGTCCCGCCGCACCGGATTGTTAGAGGAAATATGGCGCTCTTGTAATACGGGCTGCAGTGGCGACTGCGACCCCTCCTCTCCCGCGCTAGTCGTGAGCCATCCATCACCGCAGGTGCGCCGAGCGAGCATTTAATCTGGTCTGTGCATGTACAATCTAGCTTCCATAGGCCCTTGAGATACGCACGCATCCTGCCTACGAGTCTCTGCGTACCTTCCGCTCTCTGGACACAGCCTTTCTCGACACGGGATCTGGCAGGATCTGGCCCGCTTCCATCTGGACTGTGGAACATCTTGAAACACCCCCTCTTCGGGCATAGCGCAATACGCGTCTCAAGGTGAAACGCCACCGGTGTCATGGTGGCGTGGTGGCGTCCAGGATCCAGAGCGACTTCGCTGAAGTAATCAGCATCCGGCCACTCCGGCTTGCATCATCGATTCATCCAGCCCACACCCTCAGATTCCATTCCTGGGTCTTCCATCGTCCCACCTTTCTCTTTTGGAGAATACCGCAGTCAATCGAATCTACTTCGCAATCTTGTCGACGCCTACCATTGCCCGGCCTCGCCGGTCGGAGGATGATATGCTCATTGCCCAGCTCCTTCAACGCCAGCGCGTCAACTGATCGGAGATAACCGTAACGGTGCCTGTCGTCTCCGCCGAAGGCGATCTTCGCACCTGACACTAGTGCAAGGCACGACCTGCAGGCACCGACTGAAGATCTCGAACTCTGATTCTTAGGCTAGAATGATTTGCCGCGGGGCGGAGATGCCAGAAAGTCAACCGCCGACATACGGCCTCGAACGGACCGGAGCACCGTCATGCCCCCGTGTGGTGGAGTCGAGGAGGCGTGGCGAGCCCCTAATGCCCAATCTATCGCTGATCGCGACGCGACCAACATAAGCAGGCGGTCTGCTCTCTCGACCCTCCCTTCCCCTCACCTCCAGTCACCTCCTCGCAGCGAAGAAGCATCGATTTTTCATCCGGTCTCGCCCGCAGCACACCGCCCGATCACCTCAGATCTTAGCGCCAAAGAAGACGCGTCGCAGGGTCAACTTCGGCATCGACAGCCGTCGTGCTCCGAGCGAGCTTCTGCGCGTCGCTTCAGAAGAGCCAAGAACGTCACGACGATCCCCCCGGCACGCTGTCAACACGCTAAGTTCGGGACCGGGTTCCTTGTTGTCAAACCTTAAGGTAAGCGGGCAGTATATTTCGAAATTGACCCCTTGTGTACTCCTGAGGCTGCCGCAGCCTGTCTTGTGGAGAGCGAGGCATAAGCTGGGATAGTAGTATCACCGTGCTGATGCAGCAGAAGGTTGCAGGTTGGCTCAGTCGCTGGTGAGGACGATAGCACTTTCGCCACTTGTTCCGAATACGAACTCAGTGAGTTGCTCACCCTCCTTTGACATTCCCTGCATTCCCTGACTACCTGAGCGCCCTCCGTGCCTGTCGCACATGCCCGGTGCCCGACATGCCGAAGCTCCTAGCAGATGCAAACTACTGATATCGTAGATGGGCGAGAGCATCTGACCTCCTGCGTCCGGCTGCTCTTACCCAGCTTTGACAGAACCCAAAATCTCAAGGTGAGTCGCTGTGGCTTCTGCCTGCTCTGCGCGCGTTCCCCTCATCTCGGAGCAGCCGCTTCCGAGCGGCTCCGATTGTGTCGGCATGTAGATGGGGATGTTTGGAAGACCGCATGGGCGGAGCCGAGCAGATCGCGAAGGGATGAGGAGAGCGCAGAAGGACGGGGCGGGCGGGAAGGAGGTGGGTGTACACAAGAGGAGGGGTACCGCATGCAGCCTGGCTCGGGCTGGAATAGCTGATCTAAGCGTTACACTCTGCTGATCGCTGTAGAATATCGAGGGCTGTCCCCTTGGATCTCCTTAACGGACTCCCCTCGAGCCTGTTTGGAGCTTGTTCCTTGGCACGATCTGAAAGGAGGGTTCTTCATACCCATAAATAAAGGACGGGTCTCGCGCGGGTCACGCGCTCCTGCGCCCCTGCCGCTGACGACGAGCCGTACATCTCGAACGTCGATCAACGGTGGCTCGACATTTTGGTCTTAACCGCGGCATCGGCAAGCTCTACGTCAGCATCATCGCTCAGCAGCACCCGTTGCTTGGTTACGGAGGGTACGCTCCCGATCCTTGATCTTGGTAAGTCAGGCACGAGGGGTGTGATTAGGTTGCGCCCTTTTCCCCCCACTCATTTTGATGTTAAGTTTGAGATCCAGTGTGTTGGGACGGCTGGGGTGGCGTCGTTCGTGGCGGCTGGCGCAGGCTAGTGACGGATGGTCGACCGAAGTAAGAGCCCAGTCTGATGGATCAGGACACCTCGCTATCCTTTCTTCTTCCTCGAACCGCCCTTCACAAGGTCTGGTGATCGATCTAAACCTTTGACGTCCTCGCATCTCGCCACCGCTATCATCCGGATGACCTTGTCCTTGGTATGTCCGGCTCGCCATCATATCACCGATCTCCACCCGCAGAGGAGGAGGAAGATAGCCCGAGATCGAAGCGCCGTCGTGTCGGACCCTCGCCGACACCCTTATTCGATCAGTCGGCGGAACCGGGGCCGTCAAGACTTCGATCAGAGCCGCGCAGGATACCGTCGCATAGCCCCTCAGGTCAAAGCTCGGCTGATGCCGATGCCGACGGCGAGGACATCAGTGGGAGTGAGGAGGACGAAGAGGAGGATTCATCAGCCGGTGGATGGTATGTTTAGTTCTGCCTGAGAAGGGGAGAGTCAGAGCTGATCGATAGGTCATATGAGCTAGTGGTGATACAGCATCCTCAGCGAGCGCGAGCATGTGGTTTTGGAGACAAGGTGAGCAGATTAACACCTTCTCTGCCGCTTTTGGCTGACATCCGCAAGGATCGGCGTCCGCTCTCGCCTCCTCCGATATTGCGCTTATACATCCGCACAGCATCAGGACGACTTGTCCCTCCAGAGTCAGCTATCTCACTAATAGCCTTCCAAAAAGGCGCTGATTTTTTACAGTAAGATACCTACACACACTTTGATGGTCATGGTCGATCTATGGTCCGCCGACTCGACACAGCAGCGAAACGTGGTCATGCACCCGTCATCCTCTTCGGCTGGACGTCCGGTCTCCCCTCTCCCAGCCCCAGGGGCCACTCCGGCAATGGTGGAAGCAGAGACCACTTCGAGACCGACAACAGCGGATAGGCCGCTCACGTCTCATTACCCCACCACCGGCTGGGGCTGGTCCGGTAAGCTAACTCCTTTGCTAGTCCAGCCTATACTGATATCTCGCAGAAGCGCCGCTGCCCCGTATCCCAGCGGGCCAGTCGACCGGTCCATCTCCGCATACACGCATGACCGGCTCAGTGCAGATCCAAGACCATCTCCCCGTTCCATCCTACCCAGACTACTCGCAGCCCCGTCCGGCGTCAAGTCCAATACCAAGTCATCACTATCATCTTGCCCCACTCGCTGCCTTCAACTCACCTCGACCCCTGACTGCCCCGTCCTCTACCCTCCGCCCACTTCACACCGGCCCTACGCCCCGCAGCGGATCTATCCACCTACCACCTCTGTCTACTATCACCGAGAATCTCCCTCCAGCTTCTCCAATTACCATGACCATCCATACCGTCCGCGACTCGTCTGGAAGGCCAACAACGGCCACGACGACCACCTCGTACGGTACCGGTCGACCAAGCACGTCTACCTCTGAGTGGACGACGAATGCCTCGCGCCCATCCTGGTCGACCGAGTCGAGTCGGCAAGCTACCGATTACTCTTTCGGTCGGACGTCTACATCCACGTGGAACACCTCGTCCACGTCGTCGGACGGGGCCGAGCGGGAACGTCCAGTCATCACCGGCTGGCCTCCTCCTCGTACTTCCTCACTGGCGGCGATGACCAGTCCCCAATTCGCGCCCTTAACGCCTCGGCCCGCATCGTCCGGTCAGGCTTGGAGCAGAGGCGTCGAGCACTCAGTCTTGCCCGTCCGACCGTCTACTTCCGGCCACCCTACGTCGAGTCGTTTTCGGAATACCCCCGCCTCTCGCTCTACCTCTGGCCTCGTGCCCGCTCCATTGGCTACCTCCCTGCCGGAAGAAGAATCAGAGGACGAGGAGGACAGCTCCACACCGACCGGCGGCGGCAACTTCTCGCGCGTCCTCGTCGGCTCGGTCTGCGCCATCTGTCAGCGCCTGACAGATGAGAACGGGAATGAGGGGTTGTTCTTTTTTACGCACGACCTCGCCGTGCGGACAGAGGGGACATTCCGGCTCAAGTTCTCTTTGTCTGACTTATCATCGTAAGTGCATTCTTGCTTGTACTCGTCGAAATACTCTGACTGATAGCGGTAGGCTTCTGGGTGGGCAGATGCAACCTGGTGATGGTTCTGCCGTTCTCGCGCAAGCAATCAGCGATCCCTTCTCAGTACAGTAAGTCTTGACCTGTAAATCCAATGAGCCTTGGCTGACTGAAGTAGCTCGGCCAAGAAGTTTCCGGGTGTTATTCCCACCACGGAGCTCACGAGGCTGTTTGCGAGCCAGCATGTTAGATTGCCAACGAGGCAGAAACGCAAGGCGGGTACGGAGGGTGAAGAGGGGGATGAGGATGAAGAGGGTGGATAGGGCTAGCTCCTTTGGAATGAGGTGGCGATCGGGAGGGGTTAAGGCGGGGACAGATGGCGCTTGTCAGTCCGATGTCGTCGTTGGGAACGATCCTTGTAGCTCATTAGGTGATCTTGAAATATGTGAATTAGAAGTAGAATGGTGCACCTTGGCTACACCTGGGACCTCCGGCTTCAAGCTTCGAGCCCCTGCCGCCTCTGCCTGCCTCTGCCAGATCTGTCGAGGGCTGACTGAAGCTCCACATTCCTCATCACCTCATCGACCTTCGTCATTCTGAACCTTGTTCTCGACCAAATCTTACATCGGACTTGCTCTATCCCTCCACACCAACCCACCACTTCACTGCCTGCTCGCAGCTTGCTTAAAAGGCATTCTTGCAAGGCAATCTTTGCGAGCAATGACGACAGCCTCATCTACTGGCTTCGGCTCTTCCGCCTCCACTTCTGCCTCTGCCTCTGCCTCGACCGACAGGACCCTCCGAGTCCTGTCTTTCAACGTCTGGTATGTTTGAGAAGCTATGTCGCCTGATCTTCTTGGATCGCTGCTAATCAGAAGCTAGGGGTCTAGCCATCATCGCAAAAGAAAGAGCCGCCCGGATCCGGGCTATCGCAAAGCACCTCGCCTCGTCGAACTATGACATCGTCTGCTTACAGGAGTGCTGGGTGTACAAGGACTTCGAATTGATACGGGATGAGGTGGTACATACGCTCCCCTACGCTCGATTCTTCAACTCGTAAGTCATCTCTGTTACTCTATGGCTAGAGGTTGATTAGCTGACAAGACAGGGGAGCACTGGGATCCGGTCTCGCCATCTTCACTCGCTTCCCACTGATTTCGGCGCGAGTCATGCCATATGATCTATCGGGTACCCCACAGCAGGCTATAGCTGGAGATTTCTTTGTCAATAAAGCAGCGGCGAACGTGGGGGTGTTTCATCCGATATTGGGCGAGCTGGAGATCTGGACGACCCACGTGAGCTCGCTCAGATCTCACCGGGATGAAGGCTGGGCTGATGTTGTAGATGCACGCCGGAGGCGACCAAGCACCCGACACGAGGCAAGCGCATAGGATAGGCGAGGCGTGGCAGCTGTCGAACGCTGTGCGGGACGGCGCAGCAAGAGGTCGATATGTCATGGCTGTGAGTCCTCACTCCATCGCCAACTATCTACCCCTCCCGAGATGGGGAGGATGAAGAAGGCGTAAATAGCTAATAAGAAGATGGGCGACTTCAACGCCCAACCCGACTCAATCCCCATCTCCCTCCTTCGCTCCCACGCCCAAATGACCGACTCCTTCCTCCAGACACATCCGCGCGCAAACGAGCTCGACAACCTCCCCCTCTCCCCAGAGGTTGCGATGAGCGAATGTGGCATGTCTTGCGATTCGCCACTGAACACCTGGTCAGCAGCTAAGAACATCTCGGAGAAGATTCGGGCGCAGGGCGGGAAACGGCTGGACTATATTTTCTATCGGCAGCCGGATGGGCGAGGGGGCGTGACTTCGAGAAGTGGGGATCGGGAGAGGGGCGATAGCGAAGAGGAGGGAAGAGGGCCAGAGCTGCACTGTGTCAAGTGCGAGCTGGTCTTGACGGACCTGGTACCTGGGAAGGCGTTCTCTTACTCGGACCACGCTGGCCTATATGCTACATTTGAGATTGGCAAGCCGAGGCCAACGTCCAACCCCTTTTCTTCCTCGGCCTGGACATCGACGGCAGCATCAGACAAGGACGATCCGCCTTACACCTTCACACCGGCTCTCGCTCACCTTCCCGGCTCCCCATCTACCCCCGAGAGACAACAGCAATCCCCCTCATCCCTCTCGACACCGGACCTTATCAGGCGCGCCTCGGGCATCATCTCAGACTACGCCATCCTGTCTCAGCGAGCCGCACGGCTGCACCTGCGCATGTCTGCCGTGTGTATAGTAGCGCTGGTGGCGCTATCGGTGGGCTCGGCGTGGCAGCCAAAGTCGTACATCCAGCCGATATTCACGGTATTGGGAGGTCTGCTGGGCGCGGCGGGGGCGACATCCTTCTACTTGGGCTTCGCGTGGGGAAGGTGGGAGGCGGGTATACTGAGCGAGGTGGTGCAGGAGATGGAGCTGGAGCTGGACGTGATTGGGCAGGGAAGAAGGATAGAAGGATAACGCTATTGCAGCCATGTAGATAGATACAATTGCAACCAACATACAATGTACCCTCAATCCAACCCATCAAACATCCCTCCAGCCGCCGCAGCCTTCACCCTTCCCCCACCCCTCTCCACCCTCACCTCCCGCTTCAACAACTTGTACTCCCTCTCTTGCTCTTCACGCTCCACCTGACCCGCCGCCTTCTCCTTCTTGAACCGCTCGACCATGCCCACCTCGACCCCTCCGTCCTCTGCAAGCTTCTGCGCCCAGATCTCATCTTTCCGCTTCTCCCGCTTCTCCTTCTTCACCTCTTTACGCGCCCGCTTATCGTTCTGCTCCGACCACGACTCGCGCATCTCGGCGCGGATCTTGCGCTTCTTCTGGACGTCCTCGGAGATGGGGGTAGCACGTTTGGTTTCCAACGCAGCGAGGCGGGCGGTCTCGCGCGTCTTGTTGGCATATGCGTAAGTGTCCCACTAGAGGTGTCAGCTAAGCACTGACCTCGAAGGGGCTCCTTCAACTCACGTCGACATTCGCATCCTCCCATAGAAAGTCCTGTACATCCTCGACAACCTCCACGGCCTCCCGCTTCTTCTCCACCACCTTCCGCTGCGCCTCCTTCCGTTTCCGCCAGTCCTTGATCTCCGGCATCGTCGGCAGTCGAAGCAGACCAAACCCAGTCGCGAGATTATGAAAGTCCAGATCCGCCAGCCGGAAGATAAAGGACGCCTCATGCTTCGTATACGCCCTCAAAGCCGACACGAACGACTTGGCCGCCCGATCATGCAGCTCCCGATCCTTCATCACCTGTTTCCGGATCGAGTCGCGCATGGTTATCGCCCCCGAATCGACTACGTCTGGTAGATCCGAATCCTCAAGTTGAGCGTTGAGGTACGCTTTGGGCGCAATAGGGATCTTCCGAGCGAGGAGGAAGTCGACGTATTCCTCTTCCCGACCTTGAGCTAGAAGGACCACACCCTTCCCTTGTCGTCCGGCCCGAGCTGTCCGGCCAGCACGGTGGCTGAACGTCTTGGGGTCCGTGGGTGGGTCGTACTGGATGACGACGTCGACGTCGGCAAAGTCGACTCCGCGGGCGGCGACGTCGGTACAGAGTAGAACGGCAGGATGGAGGTGGGAGGAAGGATGGGTGGTGAAGCTCTTCAGAGCAGTCTCGCGCACGCGGGGAGGGAGGTCGCCATGTAGGGAAGTAAGGTGGAAGGTGGAAAGGGCAGGCATGGCAGATAGTATCTGATCGTCAGTATTACGAGCGAGGTGAGGTATAGATGGACTCACTCGGTAGAAGTAATCCACGGCTGCGCAGGTCGAGAAGTAAACGATATACTTCGCCGCCTCATATCTGCTCGATTCGGACTGAAGCAGCCTGACGAGCTGCAGTGTCTTCTCTGCATGTCGACAGATAAGGTAGGTGTTCTGCAGACTATACTTGTCAGCTAAATCCGACGTCTCAGAGGTCTGAGGTCTTCGCCAAGCTCACCTCATCGGCGTCCTTCGCTCCTTTGCCTCCTCTCCAGTCCTCTTATCCTTCAAATTGACCACAATCCTGACAGGATTCCTCAACCCCAGCCCAATCATCTCCTCCACCGCATCCGTCATCGTCGCCGAGAAAAGGTGCGTTCTCCTCTGCTTTGGTAGATGCCGCATGATGCGCTCCACATCCCGCCGATGATCAGGTGAGGAGAGCAGTCGGTCCGCTTCGTCCAGGACCAAACAGTCCAGGTCCGACACGCGGACGACAGACTGGCCCCGCGGCGACAGGAGGAAAGCGGCGAGTCGACCAGGAGTGCCGATGAGGATGTTGGAGGAGAGGGCAAGAAAGGTCTCGTATGGCGTCGGTGTACCCGAGGTGATTAGGCATGGAAGGGAGTAAGGGGCCTCGATGACCTCGCGAGGGGGCGATGGGGAGCGAGAGGAGGAGGCGATAGGTGAGGAAGCAGAAGGAGGGACGAGGGAAGCGAGGAAGGAATGGAAGACGTTGTGGATCTGTGAGGCGAGTTCTCTGGTACTGTCAATAAGGCGCTTGCGGAGCATGAGGAAGAGGGGCTGACCTTGTTGGCGCAATGACTATGGCTGCGACCTCTCCTTTCTTGTACACCTTGTCACTTCTCGCCAGTCTCTCAAGGATGGGCAGGACGAAAGCGAGAGTCTTGCCTGAGCCAGTGACAGCCTACCCAGTCAGCTGAAGTCCGCAACATTTCCTGCGGCGGGGTGAAGAAGCTGACCTCGACTACACAGTCCTGGTTCTTGATAGCACGCGGGATCGTACCAGCCTGAACAGGCGTCATATTTGTGAAGCCTGACGACCTCACGACGTCCATACTGCAAAGTCAGCCGTCGTGATAGCAAGGAGCAAGATGAAAGGACTCACATCCACGGGGTCAGTGGCGGGCTCAGCTTCTCCCACGAGCCGCCGATGGCCGGGGCGGCCGTATGATTTCTATTCATCCTGCTTCTTATCGGCTAGGCTTAGCAGAGCAGAGGGTGTCGCTTAGACCGATCGTGCTGGTCGGTGCAGTTGAGAGAGACGATGGATGAAGGTGGTGCTGAGGTGGTGAAGGTTTGCACCAAGGGCTGAAATTTCAGCGGTAACGTAATGGATTTGGCTCAGCAAGGATCGACCTGCAACTCGCGCGCGCGAAGCCTTCACTTCGCACATCTTCACGCTGTACGACTCAAGCCTCACCTAGCTGCCATGACCGCCCTCAGATCATCAACAAGAGCTCTATCGCTTCTAGCTAAAAGAGCTACCCCGATTCCATCGCGGAGTCTAGCGGGACCTTCAACCGGTCTCGCCCGATCTCAGCCTGTCTTCCAGAGAGGGTATGCTGGTGGAGCGGACGACGGGGGAAGGGCGAGAGATAAGGCCGCTGTAGGAGTAAGTTTACTGACCTGGAGCCATGTAGTGGACAAGCGGACCATGGCTGACCGATAGCCATTCACGTGGAAAGCGGCAAGCGTGTTCCTGGTGACCGGTGTCGGACTGTACTTCTACTTTGAATCGGAGAAGGCCAAAGTACAAGCACGGAGACGTGAGTCCTTCACTCCGGGCCACTGAGCTAGATCTGCTCTCAGCTAGGACCACTATGCTGACCCCCCAGGCGAGGAGTCAGCTACAAAATCAATAGGCAAACCGCAAATCGGGGGACCCTTCCTCCTGACCAACCAGGACAATCAGCCCTTCACAGAGAAGGATCTTCTCGGTAATTGGACCTTGATCTACTTTGGGTTCACACATTGCCCTGATATCTGCCCGGAAGAATTGGACAAGATGGGCGAGGCGGTAGAGAAGGTGGATGGGGAGCGGAAGGAGCGGATCCTGCCGTTGTTCGTCTCGGTCGATCCGGCCAGGGATACAGTGGGACAGGTGAAGAAGTATGTCGCAGGTGAGTACTATGGTGCCGAGAGGGGGAAAAGTCCGGCCGCCTGCGCGAGAATTAGCTGATTATGGTAGACTTCCACCCTCGTATGGTCGGCTTGACTGGGGACTTTGACTCTGTCAAGCGCGCGTGCAAGTCATACCGAGTCTACTTCTCCACACCGCCAGACGCCAAGGCGACAGATGATTACCTCGTGGATCACAGGTGATTCTTGGACTTTCAAGCAGCCTTCGGCTAGCCTGACTCCATTTGCTATCTATGCCCAAGAGCCCGGGAGCTGACTCTGCAGTATCTTCTTCTATCTGATGGACCCCCTCGGCCAGTTCGTCGACGCCTTTGGGAAGAACACCACCTCGGACGAAGTAGCGGGCAAGGTCAAGCAGGCGATGGAGAAATGGGAGGCGGCCGGCGGGAACGCCATGGCAGGGGTGCCACTCCAGGTCGGCAGATGATGGCGGACGGGTCAGGATCCGCTGTCAGCCAGGGAACTTTCTTGGATCTCCCAGCAGACCGAGAGGAGCAGCATTGATCTGAGCGTAGACGTACCGAGTCTTGTATGCATTATCACCCAGCTCACACCCTATCGGCCATCGCTAGACCTGGGCAAGTACTGTAGCCAAGCAGTGCTGGGTGAACGGGATCAAATTACCACCACTCATTCAGCAGCGTCATAGAGTTCCATCCTGTACCTGTGTCCTTTGTCCATATACCTCTCATACCCACCCCTACAACACCAGTATAGCCAAGATGTCCCGCCCAGGAGCCCTGTCCGACAATGAAATCCAAGGCGAGATGAACAAGATGGTACGTTCGCGCGCGCAAGAGAGGGGCGGACAGACGCTATGTTCCTCTCGGTCCCGGTCCCGGTTCGCCTTGACACGTTCACGGCCTATCGCTCATACAGGCTCGGGCAACGCTGATCAGTGCAGGTGGCGTTCATCTCGCAGGAGGCTAGGGAGAAGTCTCGCGAGATTCAGGTGAAGGCCGACGAGGAATTCGCCATTGAGAAGGTGTGTCTTCGTTTTGGCTGGCTGGAAGTTTAGCTTCTAAGCGGACCGGCAGCTAATGACCTCAGGCGAAGATTGTCCGTCAGGAGTCCCTCGCGATAGATCAACAGTTCGAGAAGAAGCGCAAGCAAGCCGAGACTGGATGGAAGATGTGAGCTCGCGATGGCAATTGGATGTAGGCAGTCAGCTGATACGGTGTAGTTCGCAGTCGACCGCACTCAACAGCTCTCGGTTAAAGGTCCTCCAGGCGAGGAACGACCACTTGGAGCAGCTCTTCGAGGATGCTGGAAAGGACGTCAAGGAGCTGGCGTCGGGAGACAAGTACGCCAAGGCACTCGAGGCGTTCATTCTCGAGGTGAGCTTTGACCTGATCTCACTCCACTCGGACGTTTCCCCCGCTTCCCAAGCCAAGGATGTCTTCATCGTATCAAAAGGCTCATATTAATATCCAGGTCCTCCTCATCCTCCTATCGCCCACCGTAACCCTCGCGCACCGCCCAAAAGACACGGACCTCATCAAGAAGGCCACCGAATCCGCCAACAGCTCATACAAGGAGATGTCGGGCCGGGAGTGCAAGATTGAGTTTGACGCGAGTCTGCCGGATGACTCGGCGGGCGGAGTGGTGGGTAGTACATTGGGCGGGAAGATCAAGGTGGACAACACGCTCGAGGAGAGGCTCAAGATTCTGCGGGAAAAGGTGAGTTGGATCGTGGTTCGGGATGGAGGTTGCTGGTGATTGTTGAGGTGCTGATAGTTTTAGATGTTGCCCGAGTTGAGGTCCGCGCTGTTCGGAAAGGACAAGGCGAATGTGAGTGTCTTGCATCGACGTTCCAATGAAATGTGGCTGATATCCTCAGTAATCTAGACCGGCTCTTTGTGCCTTTCGACCATGCACGTTTGTCATCACGGGTGTTGAGTGCTCATCTGCATTCGTAAGGCTTCCCGACAGTCTGTTCGTGTGATGGCCAAACCGGTCGGAACGGCAGACCCGGCTGATCTGTGGCAAGTGTCTCAGGAAGCACAGCGGGCAACTGATTGACACTGGCGTCAGGCTCCCCCGGGAGATACTCCTGCTATACTTTGACAAGATCTACACGATCTACACGACCTAATGACCAGCAGGTGACATCACCCAGTCGATCCTACCTTACTCCTGAGAATTAAGTCCAATTCCGCTTCCCAACTCCTCGCCTTCTTGTTCAGCTCCCTTGCGAGTCGCGCTTCCGCCCCCGCTTCCCCGACCTCGACTTGCCCGAGCTGACCGAATGTGTCCTGCTGCTCGCTTTCCGCGCCGCGCCTCCTATCGCTTGTTCCGCCTTGTCCGCCGCCTCCTGCAAGTAACGGATTCCGCCAAGGAACTTCTGTCTCCTCTCCGGCCCCAAAGCGTCTCGTATATCGTCGATGATCTTCTTACTCTCTCTCACCTCCTTCTGCAGATCGGCGATCTTCTTCACCCTTCCCCATTTGCCGGGAACAAGCGTGCAGCCAACCTTGTCATTGATCCATGGGCCGAGCCGTTGAGCCTGTGCCTTTTCTGGATCGTCCTCGACCGGTCCTCCGCAGCGCGTCAGGTAACTCGTATCTATACCCGAATATGCGACAAGCCGCTTTTCGGCCGCCTCGGCCGCTGCGTGTCTTCCGACACGGCATTTATCGGTAGCGACGCAGCATGCGCCGCATCGCAAGAAGCACGATTTGCAGCACATGCGAGACTTCTCATCGGTCGCTTTTCGGCCACACCAGCGGCCGACGTTGATGCAGAAGCAGCAGCTGTTCGTCCAGCATTTGAGCCACTGGAAGGCGCATTGGAGAAGGCACATTAGGATGATGCCGGCGATACAGGCGAGAACTGGTAGATCAGCTGACTGCACCTTAATGGCTGTGTGGTGGACTGACTGAAGTAGATGAGCGGCTTGTGGTCGAGATACCACTGGTAGTACTGAGAGCGTTTCAGCAAGTACACCCTCACCAGCGCGGCGTTCTGTACCACAAATTTCGGTGAAACTCACCCCTGTCACTTGATCCTTGAGTTTATTGTACGTCGCGAGCGCATCTTGCGCCTGGCCTACCGTCTAAGCAAGACGTCAGCCGTGTTATAATACACCAAGGCGAGGGAAATGTACATCTCCGAGCTCTTTAGCTTTATCCGCAGCGCCCCCGGCCTTATCGGTGAGATCTTTGCCGGTGTTTCCGATATCGTCAATGATTGATCGCGCAAGCCTTGTGAGGCGTAATGGCGCCATAATTGACAATTGTGGGTCGATGTATGCCGGACAAATACTCGGAGTTAGGGTGAATGTCAGACTGTAAGCTTTCAGTGAGTGCGAAGGTCTCTGCCGCTGCATCAGCTGAGGCCCGATCCCGCGTTCCAAGGAGCAGTCAGGGGCACTCCTCCCTTGCAGATAAGGGGCGGGAGGATAAAGGATAGTCGAGCCGTCAGGATACCGATGAGGGTACAAAGCCAGTCCAGTCAGGAGCAGGTCTGGTCAGAAAGGATGCCTATAGAGCTGATCGAGATCTGGCAGCTCTGCCTCCTAACCGCTAGTCAAGCTCTACTAGCCCCCGCGATCCCAAATCTACGCGCCACTACCACGGCCTTCCTCAGTCACTCTCCAATTTTGACATGACCCGTTCCATCCTCCCAAACGCCATCTTGACCTCTCCCCATGTCCCCTTCACCTCCTCCAGCATATCCTTCCGCTGGCCACTTGGGTCCGACTTGGGCTTGACGTCCTGCGTGCCGAGCGCTGAGGTGATCGCATGGAGTGCCTCCCGGCGAGGCTTGAAGTGCACCTCGCCAGACTCGCGGCTATCAGGATTCGGAATATAGGGCCGGCTCGGACCTGCGACGGAGGGGTGTGCAGCATGGCCCGACCTCCCCGACTTCGTGATGGGCTCATCGCGGAGCGTCGCAGGGTCGATCAGAGGGGAGGAAGATGGCTGGGGTTCGAGACCGAGGTCTGCCCACCACAAGAGCGGCATGGGAGGGATGTACGATGGTGGCGATGCAAGAGGCATCCTCGGTGCTTGCGCTTGCGCTTGGACCGGCTCGGGTGAGGTAGGGGCCGACAAGAAGAGGGGTTCCGCCTCGTCCCTGCTATTGAGGTCGTCATCGTCCGAATCTCGGGGAGTGAGGGGCGAGCTGAAACCCGAGATTGGGTATTTCATATGCGGGGGAGAAGTTGGACGAGTTGGTGGAGTCGGAGGAGGTGGTGCCGCCGCTGGTAATTTCCGCTTGTGAGACCGCTTGGGCGGCTGGTTGGTGGTCGTAAATTTGCCAGGCCCGGAGGACGCACTGCGGGGTTTCTGGCTGGGTCCAGCCTGTGGACCCGGCAGTTCCGCTCCCGCACCGGCGTAGTAGTCCATGAATGACTCATCCGGGACCTCTTCCTCCATAATCTCCCTCGCTACCCGCTCATGCATCCTCGCTCGCCTCTCCGCCTTGATGTTACTAGGTTCCGCCTCCAGGCCGACCGTCGAGCCTGGTCGGAAGATCTCCAAATGCCCCGCTTCGTCCGGCTTGCCGAAAGCCTCCGGTCCCTCGGCCGCGTATGATCGATGTAGGTACGAGCCCGGCCTGAATGCTCGATCTTCGCGCTCGTAGCGTGTGGCGGTGTTGCCGAGCTTGCTGGCGTATAGCTTCTGGTTGATAGGTGCGAAAGGGGTGGTGTACTGTTGTAGGATGTTGCGGGCAGCGCGGGCGGCGGCTTGCCTCTTGGGGGCGGTGGGCATCGTGGTGTTGAGATGGGGACAAGGTGGTCAAGAGTGAGACCAAGATCCTAGAGGTCCTAGAAGAGATGATGGACGTGATGGACGGAGGTTGACCAGTGTGAGATTGAAGTAGGGGGGGTCGCTCGTCAAGTTCAGTGATAGAGTAAGAAGGCAGAAGATCGCGCTTGTCCAGGTCAGATGTATACCAGACGTCCGGGCGCATCGCCTGAGTCTGTGCGCTGATTCAGTGGTCCAAGCGGCTATACATGCTCACAGCATAGCCAGGAACTTCTTGAGCTCGCCCTCTGGTCGGAAGCCGACTGTCCCTGTCAGCTTGAAACCCTGGAAGAGAAGGGCATAGACGCACCAAACTTGTTCTTGACCTTGCCATCCTTGAACGCCATGACCGTCGGTAAAGAGCTTATCTTCTCTTATCAGCGACTGCTACCACTGCTCATGCGGATCAGGTGATCTCACCTTGTACTCTGCTGCCAGCTCTGGCCGAGCGTCCACATCGATCGTCACCAAGTCATAAGCGCTTTCGGGCCCAGTGTGCGATTTGAGCAGTGGGGTGAGTACTCGACACGGCTGACACCATCTGAGAATTGTCAGCATCGTTGTGTCATCCGGGCGGGCACTGGCTGCGATGAGCCTTTCGCTGGACGGCTTACTCAGCGTAGAAATCGACCAGGACTGGCTTTGTGGCCGATCCGTCTATGGCTCGCTTCTGGAACTCCTACAATCATATCAGCTGGGATTCTCGAGCGATCGCGTCTGGCCAGAAGATGCAAGGGCAATGAGACGCACCGCGACATCTGCATCGAGGAAGTGGTCCCTCGCGATTCGGGTCGAGTGGAATCCAGCTCGGGCGGGAAGGACGCACGATCGAGCGATGGTTCGGGGGAGTGATCTGATACTCTGCATGGCTGATAGCGTCTGTGATGGAGGAGGACAGGCTACGACGTGGTCGTGAGTACAATATAGGTCAAGAGAGAGGAGCAACAGCAAGGGTCCTCGTCGGACGTCGCTGCGTCATGTCGACCGATGGACTCTTTGGCGAATTAACCGACGTCAACAATTTGGCTTCGGGCCAACTTTTGGTCGTATCTTTGCTCTTCAATCTCTGTGTCCCTTCATCCGAGCAATCTCTAATCTGATCACCCTAGCAGGCAGCTCAGAGGCCGTTCGCTTTAGCCCCGAGAACGAGTACAGAGAAATAGCTCGCACAGAAGACATCTGAGGGTCCGCCATGGCCTCCTCTTCTTCGAACGTGGCTTCTGCACCAGCTTCTGAGCCGGTCCGAGCTCAGCTCCAGGGCGCCGAGGCAGATGCCTTGATCACGAGCACTGATCCGGAACATGTCAGCTGTATCTCTTGCTTATTGTAGAGCATTCGCTGATAAAGATAGCCCGCCAACCTCATCTGCGAGCTCTGCCGCGACTTTTACAGTATGTCCAGCTGCCTTCAACCGAGCTTCAGCAGCTGACCGAGTAGCCCTGGGCTGGGTGACTGGCACTGGTGGAGGTATCTCCATCCGGCATGGCAAGCATGTCTATCTTGCCCCGTCAGGCGTCCAGAAAGAACGGATCAAGCCAGAGCACATCTTCGTTCTGCCCTTCGCGCAGTCGTCTGTCCCAAAGCCAGGGTCTCAGCGGGATTTCTTGCGCATACCGACCAGAGTTGTGAGCTCCGGAAATAGCGTCCTGGCGACCCGAAGTAGCTGACCTCACAGGGCCTGAAAGAATCGGCCTGCACTCCCCTCTTCTGGAACGCCTTCACCCTCCGTTCCGCTGGCGCCTGTATCCACACCCACTCGCAACACGCCGTCCTCCTCACTTTGCTCCTGGGCAAGTCGGCCAAGTCCTTCCGAATCAGCCACCAGGAGATGATCAAGGGAGTCCGGCTCGGCGGGAGCGGCAAGACCCTGCGTTTCTTCGACACGCTCGAAGTACCCATCATCGAGAACACGGCAGATGAGGAGGATCTGACGGAGGGGATGGCGAAGGCGATGGAAGAGTACCCGAACGCGGCTGCCATTCTCGTCAGGAGACACGGAGTGTATATCTGGGGTGAGCTGTCGGCTTTACAAATGCCCAGGACGAGCTGACTGTTAGGCAACACATGGGAACAGGCAAAGATACAGGCCGAGTGCCTCGACTACCTGTTCGAGATGGGTTGTAAGATGATCCAGGCGGGTCTGCCACTGGTTGGGGATGACTAAGATGCATCTTTTCGGAATCTGCCCGGGCACGTAAGGTCGACCACCGATAGATCACCATGCTGACGCTCCCCCATCAACTCGCAACTCCGTCCCAGTCGTATCTGCTCACAGTCAGCACTTGATTTTGCTCAGGATCGAGATTCTTGAGAGGCTCACATGTCGCATAATCAGACAAGAAATAGACCACCGCACCAGCCTGTTCATCGGGCTTGCCTATCCGCTTGGTCATGACCATATCTTCTGTCGATTTAAGAATCTTCTCGTCGTCCCGGAGGATCTGGTTGAGGTCGGTATCCACGAACCCGGGCGAGAGGCAGTTGACCTAAATTAATCAGCAGACGACCGAAATAGATGCTTACCAAGACGCCCATATCTGCCCACTCCATGGCTAGTGATCTCGCAAGGGCGTTCAGGGCTCCCTAGTGGTCAGCTATCTTCAACTTGAGCTGTAGTCATGAGCTGCCGCACCTTTGAGGCGTTGTAAAAGCACTGTGTGGTATTCCTATTGGCTATGCTCGCGGACATCGCTGAAGAGATCAGCTCGAGCAACTCGCCGAAAGTGTACTGCCTTGCAAGACAACACGTACAAGACACGAAGACAACGCGTCCGTTCTTATATCCGTGTTCTTGCCATAGCCTGAAATCAGCTTGTTGCCTGCTCATGCATGTAGCGACTCACTTGACGGCAGCCTGAGCAACGACGAAGCAGCCCCAGATGTTCGGATCCATCTGATTGTCGTAGTCCTCCTTAGTCATCTCTACCGCTGGTTTCGATACGGCAACCCCTAGTCCTGATCAGTCTTGGTCACCCCTACTCAGGAGTGCAGACTTACCAGCGTTACACACTACACCTCCCACAGGTCCTACATCCTTGTACACCCTGCCAACTAGCTCCGCGACTGCCGCCTGATCGCTCACGTCGCACTTGTACGCCTCGCAATGTACGCCATACTTCTGCGATATCTCCTTGGCCCGCTCGGGCGCGTCAGGAGAGGACTTGTAGATGATGGCGACATGTCCACCTGCTTGCGCTATTTGATGTGAGATGGCGAGCCCTATGCCCTGCACAGTCAGGCCTTAGTCAGCGGGCTGAGCCATGATGGCCGAGGACAGCCTACCCTGTTGCCGCCTGTCACGATGAAGCATTTGCTGGTGAGATCAATTTGCCAGACCATTATGCGCAGATGTGCTCGCTATGCAAGATGAGGTCGATCGAGAGGGGCGGAAATGAGTGGAAATGAAGTCGGACGATACTAGCGCCTGAGATCTAGCCTGAAGACACTGTACAGCGGATCGCGCACTGCGTCATACCTCAAAGTTTTGCAGTATGGAATGCGGAGCGGGATGTCGGCCAGTCAGTTCATCATGCAGGATGATGCAGCTTGTCGCGGCAGAGGAGTGGCGCTGGTAGCCTCAGGGGCTAGAAGATCGCTCCTAACTTGACTGGACTTTGTAGTAGCTATTTGTGGAGGAATCCTTTGCTATGTGGTTCTGCTATGTGTGGGGCCGTGGGCATCACCAAGCGGTCATACCTCCATCGATCCTCAGCTCTGTTCCGGTTGTATCTACTCCTAGTCAGCTGATGAATCGTAGAGCGGACCGAGTCCACTTACATGTCGAGTAGTCCGACAGGAAGTAGACGACTGCGCCAGCCTGCTCCTCTGGCTCGCTGAACCGTCCAAGCATGGTAGAGTCCTCGTTGCTCTTCTTCTTCTCATCATTCTGCCGCATACCCTTGGTCATGTCCGTGTTGACTGGTCCTGGTGATATACAGTTGACCTATCACATATCAGCTTCGGTGCGCACGATCCGGAGGAACAGCAATCGAGCTCACCAAGACGCCCATCTCGGCCCATTCCATCGCCAATGACCGAGCCAAAGCGTTCAGAGCTCCCTGCATGGTCAGCTCGAGAATGACGAGAAAGATGAGCTCTGCGCAGGAGGATGTACCTTCGATGTGTTGTAGAAGCATTGCTTTGCGCCCTTGTTGGCTATGCTGCCGGAGACGGCTCCCGAGTCAGCTGTCATTTCCCTCTATGTCCTGGCCGACTGGAGGACCCACAAGACACAAAGACGACCCGGCCATTCTGGTAGCCATGCTCCTGCCAAAGGCTATTATGGTCAGCTATGAGCTTAACAGAAGGTCATAGGTATTTTTCACTTGACAGCAGCCTGGGCGACCGTGAAGCATCCCCAGACGTTCGGGACCATCTGCTGATCAAAGTCTTCCTTGGTCATCTCGACCGCCGGCTTTGGGACAGCCACGCCTGACTAATTTAGTATCGTCTATATCTCGCGCATCGTGAGACTGACCAGCACTGCACACTACCCCTCCGACCGGTCCAACATCCTTGTAGATCCTGCCGACCAACTCCTGGACCGCCTTCTGATCGCTGACATCACACTGGAACGCCTCGCAGTGAACACCATACTTCTCCGAGACCTCCTTGGCACGTTCTGGTGCGTCCCCCGACGACTTGTAGAGGATTGCAACGTGAGCGCCGGCTTGGGCGATTTGTTGCGCAATGGCCAGACCGATACCCTACCGGGTCAGCTTCAAGCCGTCAGCAAATTCGCGACGCACCCTGTTCCCGCCGGAAACAATTATACACTTGCCCGAGAGGTCGACTTGCCAGACCATTTTTGCTTGTGCAGTATGTAACAAAGTAGAGTCTGGAAAGGCAGAAGATTCGGGGGCTGCAGGTCGCGTCGCCTCAAGATCGGCCTGATCCAGATCGACCCTGCTCGGCCCCAGCGTCATGATGCCGGCATGGAACCCTGGTGCGCGAAATCTGAAACCTTCTGAAACGATAGGGGTAGTCTGGAATGGATTGACCTATAGCTCAAAGCCATGGACCGCCGCAGATCGCTCTTCCCAAGAAGTGGGTGATCATGACAAGACATAGAGTATGCATGTGCTATAAACCGCCTTTCGGCGCGCCTACTGTCTGCAATTGTTGCTCCTGACATGGCCGATGCTCCTTGTCCACCTCCCGGTATCCACACCGGTTTCCGCAGGTGCGTCCCATCTTCTCAATCTCCCTGCGCCATCGACCGCTGGGACAATGCCTGTCTCCTGCATCTCCTCCGGAACCTGATCAGTCTAGTGCACCAAGGACGTCTTCCGCTGCCACTGACCGATCCGCTTCCTTGCGGGATCCCCGTGGTTCCACAAGTGTACCTCGCGGTGCTCGTCCGCTCTCATGCGGACTTCAATGGTACTGGCCCTCATGTCCTCGAAGTCTTGGCCAATAGGTCTCGGTAAGGTGTGCTCCACGATGGTGATGTTCTGTGCGCTACCCTCCCGTGTGGTCTCTGAGAGGACTGCGCTTTCAACCAGCTTACGGAAGGCCGGTGCCATACCGTAGACTCTTAACATCTTCTCCAGGGGATTGCCCCGGTCGGCCATGCTTGAGTACAGCTCAGAGCTGATTCGCTGTGACGATTGGATAGTATCGACCGCAGAGTTGGTGCCTGCCTGCGATGGCCTCGGGATCGAGTGAAAGGTAGCGATCATGTATTCTGCACCTTGATAGATCGTGACCACTACCTGAGCATCGCGGCTGGCATCTCCGTTGTGTCTCAGGTATTCGCTGCTCGCGTTGACAAGCTGCTGCCCAAATGAGCCCCGCTCTGCCCTCTCGCGCGAGGTCCTCTCCTCTCCTCGTATTCGTCAAACGTCTCCTCGTCGGTCGCTTCCGTGACAGGAATCTGCCCTTCCTCGAAGTAGTAGAATGCTTTCATGGGCATACGTCCTCCTTCATGATCCTCGGGATCCTGCGCAAGCCTGTGCTGCACCTCGATGAGATCTCGATGGTCCTGCTTGGCGTGTGATATGGCCCAGTTGCTGGATACCCGTTGTTCGGGGTCGTCCGACTGATGCTTATGCCAACCCCCCAGGTAAGGCCCTCTCCCGACGCGGTTGGGCTTGGTCCGCCCTTCGGACTCTGCGTGGCCCCATTGACGCTACCTGAGGGCTTTTGAAGCGGACTCGTCACCTGACCCTGCTCGCCAACGGTGACCGATCGACTTTGGTCACCGCCAGCGTCGACATTCCACTTATCTCTCAGAACGCCGCCATCCCCGCTTCGGCGTTCAACCGTACCATCCGGGTAGGCAAGCACGCAGATGGTCTCGTTCGTCAAGCTTTCCAGCCCTGACCCAGTAGGCATGTTCAACGGGATATCGCGCAGCAGTCGACCAAGTTGGTAATTCTCGTAGGCTGAAGCGTCTCTCGATCCCGTGATGATCTCGCTGAACGCGGCGTAAGTCGGTTCCCCCATGGGCCAGGTAGTGGGTGGGATCTGGACTGCACCGGTGAGCTTGTCGAAGAGCTCAGAGCTGGCGGCCAAAGCTATCGCCTTGGCTTCTTCATACCGTTCAAGCGCCTCAAATTCCCCGTCTGCAGGCAGCTCGCTCAGTGACAAGAATGTTGCGCCTGCGACGGGACCGCCGTTCTCTTGTCCATCCATTTCTGTATGACTACCCGTAGTCTGTTTTCTGAAGAGTCTTCCTTGATTGCAGACTCCGTAATGCGCTTTAGCAATTCGTGTACAGTGGGCGGACATTGACGTTTGAGGAAAATGTAGTCATCCGTGTCTTGAAAAGTGGGCACATCGACGTCGTAAGAAGGTATACAGTGCTTAGCAGAGCGACGGGGCTCACACCTGGGGTCGGAGGCATCGGCATCGTGGATCACCGACCGCTCAGACGTGGCTGGGGACTGGTCCTCTTCAGAGGTCGGGTCAGGTTTCGTTTGGTGAGAGGACGTGAAATTGAACATTGCGCAGGACGGGTCTGGTCAGCTGGCGCCGGGGGATGGAGACGAGCGCCCGGGCGGTGAAGCTCGCGTGAGCCTGGAAGTCGAACTTCGGGAGAGATTGCCGTAAGTTGGAGGACAGTCGGAGAGCCGTGTGAGTGAGGGGTATGTATGGTATACTTGGTGGATATGAGAGGAACGCTCTGTGCGGACAGCCTCTGAGTAGAATGATGTACAGAACAGAAATGAGAAAGCTCAGTGGGGGGGTCTTATATAGCCTGTCTTTCGCCTGTCTCAAACCCGTCATCGTGTAGCACCTTTCAGTCGCTCCGTGACAAAGGATGTAAGACTATTCCCGAGTATCGCCGATACGTCTATCACCGTCTGTATTTCCGCTTGTGGTACATGACTCTGTCGCTCAGCAGTGTCGGCCTCGAAAGGATTACCAGCAGCGACGACATCTGAATACTGAGCCAATCTAAGGACAAAGGCGATCAGGATGAGTATATCTAGCGTGGCGCTCAGTCGACACAATCACCGGTTGGACCATGAGCATAACCGCCAATGTCAGAGCCTTGTCAGAGCCTCACATGTAAGAGTATGGTCGCGTCTCAGTCACGCGATGTGCGACTCATCCTGTACCCCTCTATCCCATGACCACGTCCTCTTCCACCCTCGATGCTTGTGTCTCGCCGGTGTTTGGCCTCGATGTCCCCTGGAACACATCATCCGCGCGGACAAGACCGAATGCCCCTTCGTGCCCTGCAGTATCAGCGGTCGATCCATGTACCTGCTGAGAGCAGCTGCAAGCTAGTCTCACCTAGTGCATGCGCCGGTGTGAAGGTGTCTCTCCACCGGCCAAGGAGGTATCCGCCTGTGTGGATGTACCCGCGCCACAACCACCGGCCCATGGGATGTCTTGGGTTGCGCTACGACATCAGCCCGTATCCTTGCGCAGGTCACGTCAACAGACTCACCTCATATGTCATACACAGCGACACCAATCCATCCCAGGCCCTGACTCTCCCCCTCAACCTCGCCCATCCCCAGTTACTCTTCGCCCTCCCACTCAACAGTATCTCCTTGGTCCACCCCTCTTCATCCTCCTCATCCGGATGCACCACCTCATAGCCATAGCCCATCCGCACGCGCCTCTGCTCCGCATTCTCCCCATCCACATCTGGATCCTCATCATCCATTTCATCGAAACCCGCGCTCGCCATTCCCCCTTTACCCCCTTCCTCCCCCTTCCGCACCCTGATTACCGTCTCCGTGAGCTTCATCTCCATAATCTGCGCCGCGAACTCCCCAGTGTATACGGCGCGCATGTCCCCAGCCACGACCTGCCGGTACTGTTCCAGGCTGTAGAACAGGAAATGTCCCTTCCAGCCCCCGGCGAGCGCGCCGACAAAGGAGGTAGCGGGGAGTCCGGCGGAGGTGTGCGGGTCTTGACAGACCGAGTTGCGTTGCCATTCCCGATCATGGAGGTGTGAGGGGGTGACGATGGCCGATCCGAAGATACCGCGTAGAGGGGGATTGAGTAGGTGAGAGGGTGCTTGGTGTGCGCGAAGGTTCGAAGCTTGGAGCTGGAGGAGACTCATGAAGACAAAGTATGCGACGGGGACGAAATGAGGTGGAGCCCGACGCCAGGTATACCCGAATCGCTCATATGGGAGGGTGTTTGTTCCGTGCGATAGCTCGGCGTCGTGCTGATTACAGGTGCAGCCTGGAGGGCAGAGAGGAAGTTGGCGATGATGCCACGGTCCGAAACTGATGTCGTACTACAACTCATCAGCACAGGCCACACGAGAATAGAGATGACATACCTTGGCACAGGCAAAGACGTATGGTCGGAGCATGAAGATCTTCTCGTCTAGCTGTTTTGGGGTCGAGTGCTCGATCAGATCTACAGGTCAGCAACGAGGCGATAGACTTAGATTGTCAAGGACGTACCTATACCAGAGAGCAGAGCAGACCACATCCCCAAGGCATCCTCCGGGCTGACCTCGGGATAGCCAGGCGAGAGGGCGTCTTTGATGATCCGGTCGTCGTAGTAGATTCCGAGCCAGGCCTTGAAGAGACATTCATCTTCCAAGAACGCTGCATTTCGACCGTCTGCCCATCAGCTTGCTGAGGTCACAGTTTAACCTCGCTCAACATACCGCTCTCGGTGACCAAGAACCACACCGTCCACAGGTCCGGCATGAACGACCCCCTCAAGCGCTCCGCCCTTGTACTATTAGGATCCCCATCGAGCGACTTGAAGTTGACGACCTCCCTCAGTCGCCCTCTGGTCCTCCACCTCGCCTTGAAGTCCTCCGCTAGCGCCTTGGGCGGTCCAAAGAGGTCGTAAGCCCGCTTTTTGCCTCCCGACTGCCGTGAAAGGGCATCACTAATCCACGCATACCGCCGATAGATGGCCGCGCTGTCGAAAGTCGCCAGGTAGAGGTCGTGGTATAGCTTTGGATTGGTCGAGAAGGAGAGAGCGGAGTTTGCTGCCCGACAAGATAGAAGAAGTGGGAGGAGCGCTGACGGACGGGAGGAGAGGACGAGCTGATAGGCGATGAGCGAGAGGATGGGTTCCGGAAGATTGGGTAGCGAAGGGGCATAAGGACTGTTGAAGCCAGAGGGTGATTGGCGAGGTTGGGCTGTTTGGATGTCCGAGGGGAATTTGGGCGAGACGGGAGATAAGATGTACCCCAATGACGACTTTCTGGGGGTTGAGCGCGACATTCAGTCCAACTGAATCGGGAGATCGGGGACCGCTGAGCTGCTGGCTTGGCTGTTGAATGGGTAACTCAAAGGGACGCTGTCGTGAGAATTACTCGTATAGCTATATACCGACAGAGAGGCGCTGATGGCTGATGGCTCAGCCCTCTGCTTGATAAGTCCACCCCCTCTGGCCGAACCGGCTACTCCTCGATCTCATTTCGCTCAAAAGGCAGCTTTTTGGGTCCGGTTCCAGCCAGTTCCGATGGGAATCTGCGTAATCTCGGAGGCGTCCGTCGCTCAGGAACAGGGATTTACATCCGGGGTGACACACCTTTTACCTTTGTAGAACCTTATCGGTTGCTTGGCAACGAAATTGCTCCACTGTCCTCATTCCCCGTCCTCGAGAGCGTACCAAAGATAGCTTGACTAGCCTCGCAACAGGGTGGGACGGTTCGGTTCCGATGGTGTTCCGCATCGGAGGCCTCCGGAGGCTGACATTAGCGCTTCGGGTGTCGGAAATACCGTACCGTTCGGCAAAGGGAAGTCCGATCTTGCCGCTATGGAAGCGCTTGATACCTCGGCAGTAGCGAAGCGGATCAAGGGCATGGCGGGCGATGTATGGTACGGCCCGCTGACATCAGCTCACATCGTCATTTGGGTCTCACTAACGTGTACTTTATATAGGGTCCGAAGCGAAGCTTGCAAAAATCGCGATCGAGCTAGCTACTGAGCGCCGCGTGCGCTGCTGACGAGCTGCTGACCTTGGCGTGTATGTGGCTCACAAGCTTTTCGGTATTCACTTGTACGAGTGTGGAGCGCTCAGATATCGAGAACATACCGTGATCTCGCGGATGCACACGTAGAGTACTCTGTGGAACCTCGGCCGGTGCATCCCTCTACAGCACATTCTCTGATAGTGACAATGTCCTCGAGCATGGGACTGAACTGTTTTTGGCTTCAATCGTGCTTCGGAAGCTGTATATGCGGAACACCTCGGATACAACGGACTGATCACCTCGCTTCCTGTCCTTGGCCTCACCGCTCCTCGCGATCCAGCTCCGGCTCCCCACCTTCCGGCATCTCAGCCGTGAACGTCCCCTAGGTCTGTCTCACGAATGGTCGCCTCCTCGTCCGCCAGGACACGCTGTTGGGAGCCATCACTCCGCGTTCCCTCGGTCTGCGAGGGACGCCCCGCGCTCTTCCAGCTGGATGTAGCAGTACGCCCTTCCCTGCTCCCGCTCGCGTTGGAGGTCCCCTGCGATACCTGTCTTTCCGCCTCGGCCTCGGCCGCCTTCCGGTCGACGATTGGTTATGCCAAACCGAACCTAAATTGCCGCGTGGCTTCCGCACAGTTGGCTTTGCTACTGCCCTTGGAGTGTGAACTGTAGAGGCGCTGAAGCTCCGCTGCCCAAAGGAGAGTGACCAGGGCGTAATCGTCAGTCCTCGGGTCTGCAAGTGTTGTTGACATGGTGGATGCGGAGAAGGATGCCTTGGCTGTGTCTGTAATGGTCGAGTCAGCGCGAGTAACAAAACGAGCCTTCGAGTGTGATGGTATAAGTGGAATGTCCAGAGGAGCTGACAAGCCTCGTCTACCCAGGGTGAAACACGGGGTCCGCCCGTTCCTTTCACACATAAGCAGACAAAGGACACTTGCCTTATACCGAGTAAACCCGATCTATATCGCCGATGTCAGACTGTTAGTGGCAGTGGTGTGCCCTCGACACACCATGAAGTCCGTCAGCAAGGGCATGCGAGCGCAAAGGAACGTGTCTCAGTGGCTATAGTCACGAACAGTCAGTACTTGCACAGAAATCTGATCAGCTTTAGAAATGCTCGTACGACAACACTCCAGCCAAACTACCCCCTATTCTTCCTCTTTCCGCTCAATCCGCCCTCTCCGCGGACCTACCGCCGCCCGACTCGGTATAGGTATACCTCCACCTCCACCTTCCAGCGCATGCCGGCTCGTCCACCCCAGCACGCGGGACATGACCCACTCCCCTACGCCTTCTCCCGGCAGCGGCCGGATCGTCTCGACTTCATGTACCGAGATGAGGCCAGAGTAAGGGGAGAATGTATACAGGGAGGAAGTATGCCATAGTGCTTCCTACATGATCAGCTGGGCTCGCATACGTCAGCGTAAGACAGCTTACATTGTGAGGTGGTAGTCGAGGTGTTCCGCGGATAGAGAGCAAGACGCGGACCTGTTTATGCCGATGAGAAGGGAGACGCTTCGTGAAGAAGGCAGCGGCGGGTGCGCCTGCTGCTTGAGGCGAGGGTGAGAAGGACATGCGGTCGAGGGAACAGGTGAGGTCGGCGAAGAGGGCTGGAGGTGTCAGCTGGGATTGCGCTGAAATGGGCTATGGGCGGCGTCGAGTTCACCTGACATGCCATTTCGCGTGAGGGTGTGAGCCATAGAATAGCCAGCGAGGGACGAGATCTTGGAGTCAGCGCCGTGCTCCGGTAGCCGAGCCGAAGCTAGATTTAATGTGGACCCACCTTGACAGGGAACGGAGCTGGCAGCTTGAGGACCATATTCCTGCTGAACACTTCAGGTGGGCACATCTCCACTCCACCCTCGTCTGGACGAAAGAAGTGAGGCAGGGTGGTCTGTAGATGCAGCATAGCCTTCCCTGCGCCATCAGCTCCTACAAATGAAATTTTGGCACAGGAGGCAACGCACCAACTCGCATCTCCCACTCCTTGTCGCTCACTTCCAACTCTGGATCTTCTTCATCTCCTCTTCTCCCTTCCACAGCTCTTTCCTTGCCCTTCCGACTGTAAGAGCTCGGCGGCGAGGGTCGGTATGGCGGAGAAAAGAACGGGGTGGATTCGGGCTGACGAGGCGACAGGGCCGAGAATAATCGGGAGAGTGGCAAGCGGGATGGCCCTGCTGCTGCTCTGCTGCTCAAACCGCAGGCTCGACATAAAGGTCTCAGTGGAGGCATTAGAGCTGATTGATTCTGCTGGGCGAGCTTAGGAACGCGTGTATACAGTGAGGATCTGACCTTAGCTTTCTGGTGCGCGCAGCTGCGCCGAAATATCTGCTGACGTAACAGATGAAGACTGCCTCTTCTGGCAATTCCCCGTTCTATTACGTTATACCCCTGGTGCCTGACTTGTACCCTGAATACCAACCGCCACTCATTCCCCTTAAAGTTTGAAGATGATCGTCGGCCACGCTCTGGGCACTGCTACCAAAGTATCGGCTCATCCTCATAACCGTTGTCTCTCTGTAACATTTCACCCACTCACCACTCCCTTGGTCTTCCAAACCAAGGAAGAACATCCGAGACGATCTTGATCCGCATCCGCAGAGATCGAAAGGCAGGTGTTGCAAACAAGGCACGGCGGGGGAAACGCGCGCAGATCGGAAACGCTGTAGCGCTTAGATTAGGCACCCCAACTGCCCCTAGCTGTCCGCGTCGTGCCTGTTTGAACCCCCAACCTCCACACATCCTCACTCAACTTGCCCTTCTCCTCCGCAGCCTGCTCAGCCTACGGGCCAAGCCCTTGGGCATTGGGGGCCGAAGAAGTACATACCGCCGGAAGGATCGATCGCCCATCATGCCCAACTCTAACACAAAATCTCCCATCGCCCCTCCTCATCCTACCTTAGACCCAAAAACCGACCTGGTCGACCCCTCTCGCTCCACCCTCTCCCTCACCATGATCCGCTCCCGCTCCCTCTCCATCTCCCACGCGCCTACGCTCGACTCGCTCACCCTTGCCCATATTCTCAACGGCGAGACATGCCCCCCAATCGCCTTTCCGGACTTTGCGGCCTTTGTCTCCCACAAAGAGTTCACGACCGAGAACCTACTGTTCGTCATGTGGTTCAGGTCCTATCGGCATCGTTACGCGCAACTGCCCAAGGAAGTGCAGGATGCGATACCTGTCCCCTCGGCGCGCATGGGGGATAGGTACACTCCGTTCAAGTACCTCGACAGTGAGATGGTGGATGGGGTCATGGGCGGCGGAAGGGAGAGCATCGATGCCAAGGTGGAGTTTGATTCCTCGACGCCAAAGAGGGACAATCCCAGGCGTGTCCGGCACTACAAGGAGGGAGAGTTCCAGCCATGCGCGTGGTCGGCCGGAAGGGGGTGCAACTGCGGTAATCCGGCGGGACACAAGCACGACTCAAAACCACAAAAACGGCCATGGTTCGGTCGGCGCAAATCATCAACTCTGTCCAATCTCGACGCGTCTACGTCTCCGTACAAGGTCGCGCCGATCCTTAATCCGGCGTCAGCGTACCCATCATTACCCCCGCCCGGGACCAAGATGATGCCGGCAGAAGAGCAGCCATTGCGCGCAGAAGCGGAAAGGGCGTTTGGGACATTTCTCAAGAAGGGAGGGACGAGGGAGCTGGGTATCAGTGATGAGTTGAGGGTGTTTGCGAGGGATACATTAGCGAGGAGTACAGCCCCAAATTGCGTACGTCCTTTTACTCCCATTTGCTGCCTGTCGCTCATGCCCAGTTCTTACCTGTCTTTGAGGAAATTTACCATACCGTCGAAACGCAATCTCTACCACATTTCATCTCCCAAGCAAAAATGAACATTAACCGACCTAAGCAGATCTACTGGTAGGTCGCCTCTGAACCCGTCCGAAATACAGCTGACCACCAGGTATATGGTCGGTCTAGCAGACTTCCTCCTCGGCGTCACCATGTTCCTCCTCCTCACCCTCTTCGTCCCCGAACGGAACTACGGCTACCGCATCACCCGACTCCCGTGCATCATCTTCACCTCGTTCGGGGCCATGCAGTTTCATTCTGCCGCCCGGGGCTTCTGCTCGCAGATCTGGGGACGGGCGAGTCGACAGGTCCGACCGTGGGAGTTGGACAGTATGGACGGGGACGAAGAGGCAGCGGCCGGGCGGGAGATGGAAGAGGTGGAGGTGTTGCCCTTGACGGCGCTGACGGGGCTGGGGCTCAAGGGGCTGGACAAGAGCGTGGTGGATGTGCATGATGCGGAGGGAGGCGAGTCGAAGCGGTCGTCGAGGGATACGGCGACCGGAGCGGTGGAGTCGAGGGAGCTGGATATGGACATGGACATCACCCTTCCGGCGGGCGTACATCCCCTCGGCGAGCTGGTCGGGGTATTTCCAGAAGACCCACCGCCGGCGGGCTTGTCGAGTCCGGCCTTCTCGTTCGGATCGCCCTCGACCTTTGACCCCGAGGCGTGGCGGGCGCAAAACCAAGAAGCGGGAGATGAGGTGGGCGAGTCGTCCGAGTTTCACCGGAGGGAAGTGGTCGTCAGGCGCGAAACGATCAAGGTACCCGACGCGACGCAGGCGTTCCCTATCATCGACCATCAGCCTAAATCACCTACCACTCCGAATTCCGCCGTTCCCCTCATGATCGCTAGAGGCGGTAGCGCTAGCGGTCTCGCCTCTCCTCTTCCCTTATCAGCCACAACCGCTCCGCCCTCCTCGCTCGACACCGATATCTCCCCATTTGCATTTTCGGATCCCACCTCCTCCTCTTCTCCTTCCGCCCCTATCCGCTCTTCTAGCCGCTCCGCATCCCCTATCAAAACAGCACCGGCCGTACGGGCCGGGCCCGGTAACCCGCAGGCCAAACGACCCAGTACAGCCTACTCTACCGGACCCGCCCCCGAACATCGTATTCCAGCCGCCGACCTCTCCACCCTCCTCGTCAAATTCCGGCGGGCCGAGCCGCTCGATCCGCAGTCGTATCGCGAGGGCGAAAGTAGGCGGGAGAAGGCGATGCGGGTGTTTGGGCCAGAGCGGGTGATTGAGGATCCGAGAGTCAAGCGGTTGATGAGCAGGATTGTGAATGAGATATTGGTGGTGGGTGTGATTGTGGGCGTGGGGACGGTGGTGCTCTGTTTTGCGGTACCGATGAGGTTGAAGGCATAGGGGATAGGAGGGAGGGAAAACCCAGAGTATGGGTGTGGCCGCGGTAATAGGGCATGGGTGTAGGGCTTATAATACGCTTATGCGGAACGGCGCGGGTCAGGAGAAGCGGACGAGGGCGGGCTTGTACATAGCTGTTGTATCTAGATCATTGTTACGATGTACTGCGGGTGTGTATCGGGCGGGGCTTTAGCTGACCTATCTGACGATACTAGCTGACGTCTGATGATCTTCTGACGATATCTCATGACACCACGAGACCGATCGACGATTCAACATGCTAGGCGGCGCAGCCGCATACGACGTATAACACCAGATACTCGCCTCGCCGGCATGACACGTGCAGCTGTGCCCTGACCATAGCAGACGATTACATCTCTCAGACCAAGGTGATGTGCCCTCCTCAATCGTTCCTCGCCCTCCCTTCGCCATCGGCACCCTTGTTGGCCGCGTACGATCCGTCAGATACGCGTCGCAAGCGACGATATGACGCGTGTGGGGGGATGGTAGACTCGTGTCCTTTGGGGATCCTTTGGCCATGACCGGCACTGCCCGCGTTTGAGACTTGCAAACGTGTGTGCTACCCGGCCGGCTCGTCTCATGAGGGTGTACCTTTGAGGATCCTCCCGCTAAATGTGCCTGTCCGGGAATCCAAGTATAGACGAACGGCCAGGGCTGATACATAAGGCGGACTGTGCCCACCATTTTCTTCAGGTCTGAGGCAACTGAATCTTACTCACAGATTGCGAATCAGCTCACGCACAACACGCTTGCTGTACTCAGTCCAAAATGCGATCAAGCAGCACCTTTGCCCTCTTCTCTGCCTTCCTGATCGCCCATCTCGCCTCAGCCTCGCCCATCCTAGATGTCCGCGACGGCTCAGGCTTCAAGATTACGATCAACTACAAGGGCGACGTATATATCGCAGGCAGCAAGTCTTACTCGAACAATACCCCAGGCTTGCCATGGCCCAAGAGCATCTTCGACGGCGACAATCAGAGCGTGACTATCGTGGGTGTGGGCGAGAACGACGATCCGGCCAGCCAGGGGGTCCCCAAGGAGCCCAGCCCGATCACCAAGCTGATGTTCTGGTATTTCGGTACGGATACCAAGTCGGCTGCTTCCAACACCAAAGCCAGACGATATGGCAAGGTAGGTCGTTGACCTGTGTCATAGAGAATATGAGGGTGTAGACTGACGGAAGTAGTGTACGCTACAGCTTGTCGATACGGAGAAGAAGAAGATGCAGGGTGACGCAGTGTTTGATCTCTCCCCTGAAGACATCGCAGCGGCTGTGCGCGGGAATCAGGCGTATTACAAGAGCTTTGTCGATAAGAATGTCGATATGCGGTGTACGGACGTGGATGATGTGGCACAGTGAATTGGGGCGGGCGGTGACTGGTGAGTTGCCAGCAGCCCAGCCGGCTCTTCAGTGGAGCGTTGAGCTGATATCTGCAGGCACCCTAGGCCTGTACTTGTAATATGCTTCGAAAGTGGCGTGTGTGTATAGCGCGATGTAAGATGTACAATATGAGACTAGACATGCTGTCAGCCTGACCATGGACGTCCCTCTCACAGGACATGGTCGCAGTCTGCCAGTGTGGCATCAGGGCACATCGTTGATCCTGAAACAATGGTGAAACAAATGAGGAATGAGTAGTTGGAAAGTGGCACTGGATCAAAGTCGCCACACGTGTGATCACAGCTATTAAGACGTGAATGACGGGGTTGTACAATATAACATCACCGTCGAGGCTAGCTAAGATCGACCACAGCCGCTTCGTCAACTTGCGCAATCCGTCAGCGGCCAAACCTCATCAAGAAGATGTCGGTGGCTGGCGTCAGAGCTACGCGGATCAGCTGATATCCGCCGCATTTAATGGGCCGCGTCGAGCAGGTGACGAGGATATACAGTCACTCACCATTGAGCATTCGAGCTAACGTCACATGATATCGTCCACGGCGGTACAGCGGAACTCGCAGTTGGAATCCATCGACGCCTTGTAGAAGGGCTGCTTGCTCCGCACGCTCTCCGCCACGTCCTCAGGCGAGAGCGTGAACTCCGCTGTATTGTTCATCTTCATGGACGTATCGATGAGTTGCATTGTGCACTGTCTTAGTCAGCCTCATGATCCGGGTCTATTAGAGAGAGACACAAGACTCACCACACCGCTCACGGCAGTCGCATCCGTCGCAGAAGTCTTCACGTAGCTGCCCTTGTAGCCCATCACCTGCTTGATGACCGTATTGGACTTGTCCGTAGCGGCTGACCCGCTGGGAGGAGTGGTCAGCTCGCCCACCCCATTGATGACAAAGTTGGCATTGTCAGCGGCCAGGACGTCTTTGGGCCAAGGTCGCTTGACATTGGCGGTGAACGAATTACCGTTCACGGCGTGAAGATCGCCCGTGAGGCGGATCGTGATAGTATTGGGCTTGGAGGTGTCGCGCACTTCAAGTACGGGAGAGGAGGCGACGGATCGTGATAGTATTGGGCTTGGAGGTGTCGCGCACTTCAAGTACGGGAGAGGAGGCGACGCTGAGGTGTAGCACCGAGGTGGAGAGAAGGGCGATGAGGACCGAGTAATACATTTTGAAAGTTCAGAGTCGACTGCTTGCTTACCTGAGGCTGAGGTTCGGTGAAAGACGCACTTGGTCTGGCCGTCTTGGTACAAGGCAAGAGAGGGAGATACTAAACTTTATATTGTAAGCACAAGGCATCAGCTTAGCATCTATGTGGCTGCCGTAAAAGCCTTCCAAGATTCTGAGGGGGGTCCAATGAAGGCCTCTGGACATCTCAAACAGGTTACATGTCTCCGGGGAAGGGAGGAGCGAAAGGATGATACATCTCCTCCTGGGTCGCATTGCGTTCCGTGATTCCGGACGGAGAGTAAAGAAGGGGCGGTCAAGGGAGGTCCCCATAGAGACAAGATCAGCGGCGCAACCTGCGAGTCACGACGTGTCAAGGGGACTTGGCGCGCAAGCTTACATGTACCCACATATAATCTTCCTTTCAGCAGTGACAGCTCCATGGTGGTATAGGCTGTCGTACGTGTACCAGACTGATTGTACCTGTGTCATATGCTGTGGTCCCTTCACAACTGTCCCCGATGTGTTTCACTTTCGCCACTCGGTGGCGACCCCTTATAGATCCTGTACCTCCAACAAACATCCTCTGAACAGTGACAACTCGATATCAGCTAGCACCAGGAGCTCCTCGTACATGTCCCAGGACAACAGTCCTTTACGACCGACCCGTGTTCCATCTTGCTATCCATTTGACTCCATTCGGTGTGTCACAGTAGAGAGAGGCAGCTCCGTGCAGGCCATACTATCGCACATGTTCAGGATCACAAGGGACACGTCTCATCAGTCCTTTGCGGCTAGCTCCTGGCCTGCCCCGTAATCCCCTGGATGCCCCTTTCACTCCACCCCATGAGTCAGAGGCAGAGAGCTCAAGCTTTCCACTGTTCAACAGTATAGAAAGGGGCGTCGCGATCGTCCCTGTTCCCCTCTCTTCAAGTGAAGGAAGAAATCACCAGGACTGCATACGGATATATCAAGGACAGTCTCGCTCTACTAAGCTGGACACTGCATACCGATCATCGCTACAGCCACCTCACGTCGCCAAGCCCTAGATCCCCTTCGCGTCTCCCTTCCCTGATGCAAGTCTCAAGCCTTTTCGCCGTCCTGGCTTCTCTCGCCAGCACCCTCGTGCTGGCGGCTCCCGCTAGCCTCGTCACTCGTGAAGACGCTGGCATCGCACTGATTGTCGGACCCCAGTATCGAATCGACAGCGGTAAGGCACAGGTGTCTGGCAGCAAAGAGAGTGTCGGGGACTCATACGACCGCTGGTGGGGTCCGGACGTTCTCGGTCACGTCTCGCGGACCATCCACATCGGAGGGTTGGGCGAGCTCTTCGATCCCGCGTCGGGCCCTGAGGGGGCGAGGATCGCGAACCAGATGTTCCAGTACACGGAAAAGTTTGAGGCGGATGGAGTCAAGGTGAAAGCGGAGCCATACTGGATTGAAGTGAGTCGCCCCAGATTCAGCTGTTACTACTCGGCATAGACTGACCCTACCAGTGCTCCATACTCCCCCCACGTGAGCCCAAATCTGGTGGGATTCCTCGCTCGGTCCAATTCACGTTGCCGTCGTCCGAGGAGATAAAGAAGGCAGGGGCCGGCGAAGGTCCCAATACCAAATATCGCGTGAAAGATAAGGGCGTCCAGCTCTCGTGCGAACGGTCAACCCAGCTCAACCGTCCAGCGTAGAGACACATGATTAGTAGAAGCTCAACTGCAATGTATTTGTACTTGTACATGTCACCTGGCACAGGCAAGGATGCAGGCTGAACTAAGCGTTTCAGGATATCAGATACCTCACTGAAGCGGAGTCGTTGTGTATCGGGGTAGGGACCAGTCGCCCGCGGGTTGACTGGCACTCGGATCAGTAGATCTGACACGTTCCTGCGAATCTGAAGATGGCCGACTGCGGTATTCGGGAGGTTCAGCATCGGATCACGCACGAGTATCGTCTGCAAGTGCCTGGTCCACAAGGCAGTCACTGCAGACCGCGGAGTAGCACCAAGCTCGGGTGCGGATACTTTGTAAAATATCCGTCAGATACCCGAACCCGATCATAAAGGGTGCGGATACGGGTCAGAGATACCAGTGGACCTCGGATTAGGTGCGGATGCGGGTCTCAGTGAGGATTGGTACTCCTTTGCATCGCCTAGCGCGGCCTAGCCTACCTTTTGGACACTTCAACAGTCTCAGCTAGGGGGCGCGCGCCGGGTATGGGGGAGTAGCTACCAGGTCACCCAGCTTCCCCGAGCCTTCCACACTCCGGTCTAGCCAAGCCGACGCCTTGACAGCTGAGATTGAGAGACGCATGGCTGTCATCTGCATTGCGCAGCATGAGCGAGACAAGCTTGAACTTGCCGAGTCGACATCGAAGTCAGGGCTTACGAGATGAGGAATGAGGAGACGTCAAATTTGCCACCCAGTGGCAAGTGGCGCCGTTGCGGTCAGCTAGCTGAACATGGTCATACTCTGTCATAGGCTGAGGATGGACGTCTAGGTGAGAACGAGGGAGTTAGATAGGCTCGAAGGTCCCTGCCGAGTCGCAAAGGCTGACACTTTCCATAAAGCACACTGGAAGATCAAGCGACAGCTCAGGTGCAGAATGGATCTCCTCTCAGAGAAGTAGTACAGATACATCAGGTCCACGTTGTAGAAAGTCTCACGCCCGATTCACTACCTCTACCACAACCGCCTGACATCCATACTCTGTGACTTGCTCCTGAGCCGGCACTCTGTATTGTCAGTACTTATTAGACCTCCTGTGCCCCGGTATAAGATGGCACGACGGCGCTATTGATGGCCACTCACCCAGCGCGCACATACAGTCTCTCGCCGTGTCATCTAAAGTATTCCTCCTTGCAGATCATTTCGTAATTCGTGAATTGGCGAACCTGATGGTATGGGCTGTGGGATTGCATGGTCGCAGCCCATTCCGCCTCACTCAAGGTGAACCACGTGTGCGCAAGTGCCGGTTGGGACTTGTCCGTCAATGTCATCTGCACTGTTTACTGATCAGTGCACGCACAATGTCAAGGCAAAGCCATCAAGCAGCAAGCCTAGCGATCGACTTACGGATCCCTCCGTTTCTTTACGCTCCAGGCTGCCGTGGGGGTAGTACCAACCCCCGAACCGTATTTCATGCTCTTTGACAACGAACTTTTTACCTTCGTTGACAAACTCAAATCCTATGCCTGGCATGGTGAACGACTTGGTCTTGGAGTCAAGTATGGTGCCTGTCCATGCTTGATACACGCCATTATCTAAGACGTACCCGCCTCCGGTCATATGCAGATTCTCGCTGAAGTAGTAGTCCATAGTGCTCCCCAATAGTAATAGTACGGGAAAATACCAGCCTGGTATACCATTACCAGGGTCCTTAGTATGGTAAATTACTGATACCAGCTATATGCCTTGGTATTAGTATGGTATTTAGTATCGGCCCCCGCGAATTCAGTGGTAGCAGGTATTACCAAGTACTAGGCCTGGTATACCAAAAATACTGCAGCTTTTCCGCCACCCGTCCTTTCCTGAGCTGCTTTCTGAGTGGCGGTCCCGCCAGGAGGACTCTACGTCAGTCTTTCAGCTCTCAGGTAGCCTTGAGGTACATGCGGATATGCACTGACGCTGCTTCTGCATCTGTGACCACGAACGGCACTCCTTTGTCGCAAGTCAGACACTACTTTGTCCGAAGTCAGACACCACTTTGTCGGAAATCAGCACCGCTTTGATTGGTCTACGCCCTGATGATGGCTTTACCATGGCCTGAGAGGGTAGATACGCCGATGATTGGACTACATTGCTGCTCAAAGTAAGCCTCAATGTTCGCATGATTGCAGCCACATACGACTTTAGTGGCGGACTGGGTGGCAACGGAAGCAAAAATTGCTCCTCATTCCTCACTGGATCTCACCCCTGTCCGCACTTTCGGTACGAACTGAGCAGGGGTAGGCTGGGGGAGGAGCGCTCCGGGCAACCTGAGCACCTTTATAGCATCATAAGGCACTCTATTGGACGATGGAGAGTCGTCTAAAGATTTCCACTCGGGCCTGGTATGCCATGGTATACCAGCTTGGTATTGGTATTTTACCAATACCATGCTTTCCCGCCTGGTATAGTACAATTACTTATCAGACGATTCTCCTGGTAGATAGTATGATATTTGGTATTGGCCTCCAGCCCTCCGCTGGTATTAGTATATCTACCAAAATACTATTGGGGAGCACTAGTAGTCCACAAAGACATCATTCCCGGCGCGAGCTGTCAAGTCGTTGGCGGGCCTGGCGGCAATGCCTCGGAGAACGAGGAACAGGGGAATCAGGGGAGTGATGATGAATGATCGCTTTTTAGGAAGATACCCTCGTCGTCGAATGTGTAAGCTTGGCGTTTGAACGTTTTGAGAAGGGCGTCGAGTCACGAGCGGGAATTGACTAGCTTGAGTTTGGCACGTACTATTCGAGGCGATCTGCAAGCAATGTCAAGTTTGCGGCGTAGACTGACTAGGGAGAATGGGGACGAGCAGTGATGCCTCTTATAAATGCGTCGGCCCTACTGGGCACTGCCAGTCTGCTCTTACGCAGATGGAGTGGGACGAAACGCGGGGCAAGTGGAGAGGTGCACACAAAGGACCACTGTGCGAAACGAGCGTTGACTCGGGGGTTTCGTGTCGCATCAGTCTCGTCAGCCAAAGGATTCAACCTCCTCAGCAGTCCGTAAGGGGATGTGTGAGGTAAAAGGGGAGCAAAAGTGAGACGGGTTTCGGGTGCGGTAGGAAGGCTTACCCCTGGAGGGGTAGCCCATCTAACCCTGGGAAGGCGAGCTGCGACATGGCGAGATATCCGCGTGCGTGTGTCATCAAAACCATCAATGGATCCGGAGCCTGTCAGGAGTTCAGTCCAGATGGGACACGCTTCAGACCTATGGGCGAGCGGACAGACGTCCTTTCCAGGGTGAGTGATGCAAAGGACGGGAGGGTATTAAGTTTTCAACCGAATACCAAGGGTGGCAAGATACTTTTCCGACAGCAGAGTGGAGATGCATTGGACTCGCTCAGCACTCCTTATATATTCCAGACCTATCGATAGCTAACTAACAAGCTATCGATATCCAGCCGACCTACTGATAGCCTATCGATAGCTAACCTATCGATAGCTCTATGCTATCAACCTATCGATATCTAACCTATCGATAGCTATCACCTATCAACCTATCGATAGCTAACCTATCGATAGCTCACTGATAGTTACCACTTCCGGTATCTTCTCCGACTTGTAGCAAGAGCGCATTCGCCACCCGGTGGCGACACCCAGAATCTCAGTTTCTCAACAGAGGGTAAGACAATCAGTGATGCCGCAATATCTCGGGGGCATCAGCTGAGGCATCCCATTCCGATACGAGTAGGAACGGAACCTTACGGCCTTGCGGGTACCGTTGAGATGGAATCGGATCAGAAGTTCACAGCGACAATATTTGGCTCATCAAGCGGCTCGGGATCAGATCATGTAGTCCCTGCAGGCAGTACAATTTACATCAGGACTTTGGCAGATGACCCTCCGTTCGTCCCCGATGCACCACATCCCGCGCGGCATGCGAGTCAAGCTAGTGATCAGCGGCCTGGCATGTCAGTAGCGAACATGGTCGAACCCTTGCGTCGCTCCCTGACCTGACCTCGCCACTCGATCCGCGCAACGCCTGCGACTCACCTTTCGCACACAGCATCGTCAATTCCGTCAATCAAGTACTATCGAGCACACCATGTCGACGTTCGTATCTGCTGGAGCCTGATGATAAGTGGTATTGTAAGTCACAGCCCGCGCGATCTGTGCCTCCGAGAGCGAAAAGCAAGGCTGTCCCGACGCCGGCTTGGACTTGTCCACCAACTCGATAATGCACCGTGGATGGATCAGTGCGAGCGCTCTGGTCATTCATCCTCAAGGCCGGGTAACGAGGCTGGCCCATAGACTTACCTTTCCTGTCACGTTCTTGGCCTCGACCGAGTTGAGGGGGTAGTACATGCCAGCGTAGTCGAGGCTGTGTCCGGTAGTGGGCAGCTGCTCCGATCCGCCTTCGGTGGTACTCTTGAGCGTGCCTATGCCGGACATGATGAACGACTTGCGTTTCACGTCCAGTATATCTTTTGGCCATGTGGAGCTCAGATCGTCGAACAGGTAGGAACCGCCGACGAGCGTGATCTGCTGGCTGAGAAAGTAGCTCGTATTGGTCGGTTCATCACGGGCCTTCAGCCCGGATGCAGGCTTGGCGAGGGCGATCTGGAAACTGAGGAACAGGGGGATCAGCGCACTGATGGAGGATACCCGCATCTTCGGAAGGGGGGTTTGGCGCTTGATGCGTAGGCCCAGCTCGAGTGCGTGCCAAGAAAGGTACGGGCGGGGTCTTAGTGCTTGAGGCTGGCACTTGGTGTACGCAGACTGTAATCCCAGCTGTGTGAACGCGTATCTGTATACGGGTATCTGAGATACTGGGACTGTAGCGCCCTATAAAAGCCATCGACAGGGTCGACCCCTGACGCCGCTGCCAACTTCCAGGGGGGAAACATTGTTAAGTTTTGAGAGCAGACTGGGGATGCATTGGGCTTGACTACTGCTTCTTATATAGTGCTGAGCGGGTTCCTACAGACTAGTATCCTACTGATCCTCTACTAGGTATCCTACGAGTATCCTACGTCCACAAGGTATCCGACCAGTATCCTATTGGTCTCCGACTGGTCTCCGACTAGTCGCCGACGCGTATCCTACGTGTAGCCTACCAGATGCCTTGTCTGTGTCCGACGGAGACGAGGAGCCTACTCGTCTGCGCCTCGTCGCCTACCGACGTGACACGTCTCCGACGCGTCTCCTACTCGGCTCCTACTTGAATGGAGAGTACGACGTCTGTTTGTCCGCCTCAGGGATCCCCGTAATCCTAACAAACATGGGGTAAGTGGGGATGGACGAACTAAGGACCTTTGCCACTACATGTCAGTGACTGGATGACACGTGTCGCAGTGCTCGTCTAGTGAAAGGAATCAGCTTTCAACTCAGGCGGGCGCCTTCAGGGCTGGATGACAAGTTCAGTAATCTGATCACAGACTGACGAGAAACAGAGTCAAAGGTCATAGTTGCATCAGTCAATCAACGGTAAGTAGTCCAATATCAATATCTTGCTTGTACCCCAACCCTTCCTCGGACTCAACTGTTCTCAATGCTACAGTAGAAACTGACCCTCTCGTCGGCGGACATCTGGAACAGCGCCTGCTTGCTTCGCAGCCTCTTGGTGATATCAGCGTCTGAGAGTGTAAAGTCAGCGGTACCGTTCATCTTCTTGGTCGAGTCGAGGAGTTGCATCGTACACTGCATGGATCAGCCCCGCAGATCGGCGAACTCACGATACCGTGCACATCGATGAACTCTTTGGTAGCCACCAGCTGATAGCTGCCCATGTAGAACACGATCTGCCGCGTGATCGGCGCCTTGTCCGTCCCGTCCGAGGGACTATCGAGCTCGCCCAGTCCAAGAATGACAATGTTCTTGTTGACGGCGTCGGTAGCGAGATCGCCCCAGGGGTGCGAGGCGCCGGTGGTGCCGATCCCTGTACGGCCTGAGGTGGCGCGGAAGTCTTTGCCGAGGTGGAGGACGATGGTGTAGGGTCCGGGGGCGTCGTCGCGGGCGTGCATGCGGAGGAGGGGGGAGGCGGTGGTGGAGATGAAGAGGGTCAAAAGGGCGATGAGGGTGGATACGAGCATCTTGGGTTGGTTGGCAATGGAGTTGATGTGATAGTGGTAGTGTTATGAGTGGAGATGTGGAAGTGATGATAATATGTGGATCTGGGGAGGTGAGGTATGGTTGCAAAGTATAAAAACAGCAGAGCGGGGTCGTAGTCCTGAGAGTGGCGAGTCTTTGATCAGTAAGCGTTTCATGGAGGTGATGAAGGGAATGATAGGGGCGATGGCGAAAGGATGCAGTTCCTCGCAGGTTGGAGTGTCTGACCTGGGCTGCAGATGCTCGATCTGGCACCGGTGTGCAGGAGGGTCATATCGGTCAATAAGATCAGCTTGGCCATCGTGCCTCAACCGCTTAGAAGCAGTATTGTTTTTGATTGGGACCGGAGCTAGGACCTAGAAAAGCCCACAGCGATCACTCCAGCATCAGCAGATACTTGATGACTTGCAACAGACAGGAGCCATGATGTGCATGCAATACACAATACACAATCACGCCCCTCCCCTATCCCAGCGAGATCTGAAGGAACGCATCGCTTACTGGACCAATCAGCTAGGCCCAAAGATGGTCTGTAAGCACGACAACTCACAGCAGCGATGGTAACCTCAACCTCCACTCCGGGCTCAAGCGAGATCGAGGTCTGGCACGTCAGCTGATATTCTCTACCAGCCATCAAACATGGGCCAACTCACGATCTGCTTGACAACGTCGGCGGAAGAGTTAAGGTCGATCAGACGCTTGTGGATGCGCATCTCGTACCGGTCCCAGGTCTTGGAACCTTCACCACAGGGTCTGAAGGTATATCAGCTGGGATCCAAGGAGATACTAGGAAAGCAGCTCACGTCTTCCTGGTGGTGTGCTTGAGGACCTTGGTGGGGAGACGGACGGGGCCCTTGACGCGGAGGTCACGGTCCTTGGCGCGGCTGATGAGGTCGGCGCAGACTGGACGTCAGCGGCAGTCCGACAGCATGATCAGGATGTCTTTTCCCCTCCCAGAGTCCGCTCCTGAATTGCGCCGCCCTTCGATTCCATCCTCTAATTCCTGCCATCTCTCAAACTCTTCCCTTCCTTTCCTTTGCCTCCCGTTCCATCTCCTCGCAAGACTTTCCTGCCCTCTCCTTGCCGTACACACCAACTCACACTTCTCAAGGGGCTTGACGTTCCTCGAGGTGAGGGTGATCCTGATCTTGTGGATCTTGGCGGTCGCACCACCGGACTTGTCGAGGTCCTCCTTGTAGTCCATTTTGATTTGATTTGGGTCTGGCGGGTGAGAGAGTGTGGGTACGGCGACTTGATCTATTCTAGATAGATCGGCAAAGTGACCGTTGAGTTGTAGGGATAGAGAAGAAAAGTTACAGCGAAAAGGCAGGATTTGGGTGCAGCAGCAGCAGCTGAAGGAGAGAGAGAGAGGGCGGAGTTTGCCGCTTCTCAGGGTCAAAAGGGTTCATTTGTTTGATCCCGCTAACTAGATATGATATTACGTTATTCCTAATTCAGATAAGAAATGTTGAATTCGTTGCTCGCTGCTGCAGCTCCTCCAGCACTACCATACATACGGCCTCATACAGTCATCAGCGCTCATCAGCTCAATATGGTCCGCCTCATCACCCACAACATGCTCGCGTGTCACGTCAGTAAGTCAGCTGCGAGCTGTGCACAGCAATACGTGCTTCAATCTAGCTGACACTCGTTAGAGAACTGCACGAAAGACAACTTCCCCTTGGTCTTCTCCGAAGTCGAGCTAGTCATTCGCGAGTCTGAAGCCAACTATGACTTTCTCCGGCGCTTCATGCCAAAGTTGGACTGGCCAGCTCTGGTAGATACAGCCAGATCAGTGAGCTGCCCGTTCCTCGTATCTGCAAGACCGAAGGCACAAGCTGATACCCTCAGCTCGGAGACGAGACATTACCGGACGACCAGCCCGAAGAATGGACAGACGAGCAGCTGCAGGCGCTGCATCATGTCTTGATGGAGATGCATGTCGAGGAGGGGAATATGACATGTAGGGGGTGTGGGCATGTGTATCCTATATCGAACGGGATCCCAAATATGGTCAGTTCAGTGGCATGACTCGTGTGGTGCGAGCAAGAAAACAGAAGCTGACTGAGTAGCTGCTGGCAGAGCACGAGGTCGGACGATAGTTTCCGTCTCGCGAGGCGCATCATGACGATTTGGACCATGTTGTAAAGTACTAGTTAGATTGATCATGCATTTTAGTTTGGGCAAATGATCATCTGTGCCCACCTCCGCCTCCGCCACCGCCATTATATCCACCCTGACCGCCATACCCTCCGCCCTGCTGCTGTCCATATCCGCCTCCCTGGCCTCCTTGCCCCCCTCCGTATGACTGACCCCCTTGCGAGCCATACCCAGGTGGTGGTCCGCCCGGCCCTCTCGCTCCGTATCCGTTCGGCGGTCCTTGTGAGCCGGGAGGACCTGGTGGGCCAGACCGGCCATCATAACCCCCTCCCCCTCCTGGCGGGCCATAGCCCCCTCCTCCCGGCGGAGCGCCATAGCCACCGCCTCCTGTTGGTGCGCCGTACCCGCCTCCCCCTGGTGGCCCTCCGTATCCTCCTTGCCCAGGTCCTGGTCCTGGTGGTCCTGATGGTCCCCCATACCCTCCCTGTCCACCTCCATACCCGCCTCCGCCCCGATCCTGCCCATATCCACCCGCACCAGAAGGCATCCGATCTCTCCCCCGATCCCCTCCGAACCCTTCATCCCGTCTTGGCGGATACCCCCCCTGTGCCCTCCCAGAATCCGGTGTACTCCGGCCGCCCGTTTGACGCAGCATATCTTGCTGACTCGGGAGTGGACCGCCGGCTCGTGGGAATCCTGATCCAGGAGCGGAGTCGTCGATCTGGCCCCATGCTCTCTTGGGAGGATAGCTTGGTCCTCCACCACCGCCACCGCCATTTGACATGTTGGACATGGGTCCTCCCCCACCTCCACCGGCGCCGAAGCCTGGTAGACCTGGCATATCCCCCCCTTGTCGTCCATACCCATTCTCCACTTTGACTGGGCCTCCTCCGCTGCCGCCCCCACCTCCTCCGCCAGACAGACCCGGCATCCCCCCTAGCCCCGGTAAGCCCGGCAGACCCGGCGCTGCCGGCTTCGATCCATCCACCACCCCCCCCATCTTCCTCGGGACCGGCAGCTCCCCCTGTATTCTCGCACGCATAGCCTCCTCCTCCCCAACATGCCACCTATCCTTCTCGTGCCCTCCCGTCGGTCTTGGTCTGCCCCAGAATCGCGCCGTAAAGTCCTTACTGCCCGAAGCGAGCAGGTGACCAAGCGGATGGTAGGCCAGACTGAACACCGCCTCGTCATGCGCCGAAGCGACATTCGCGGAGGGTAATGAAGGGTCGGCAGCGAGGAGGGACCAGTGCAGTATCGCGCCGGACGAATCGCCAGATGAGAAGATTTGGTGATGGATGGGATGCCATTCGAGGGTGTTGACTTCTTTGGTGTGCCCTTTGAGGGTATCGAGTTCCCGGAAGGTACGGATATCGAAGAGCTTGATGCCCCCATCGCCGCCCGCGGTGGCTATTAGGTGGCCAGATGGGGCCCATTTGCAGGTGTTGACGGTGGACTTGTGGGAGTGTCTGGAGGTAAGCTGCAGTCGGACCGGTTGGAGGAGGGCTTACAGTGTGCTGAGTTCTTTGCCCGTTCTGGGATCCCAGAACTTGACGAGCATGTCTCTTGAGCCAGAGACGAGGAGTCCTTTGGTCGGATGCCAATCCACACAGCGTACATCCCAACCATGACCTGAAAGTCAGCTATCGCCCAATCCATAGACTCTGTTAACTCACCACTCAACGCCTTTTCTTCTCTGGCCTCTCTAAAGTTCCAGATCTTAACCAACCCATCATCACCCCCTGTCACGAACCGCTCATCATTCGCGCTCCAGCTGACCCCATGGCACGCCTCCCGGTGCCCCTGGAACCCATTTATATTGGTCAAATGCGGCGTAAAGTACTTGATCATGCCGAGCTTATCGGCCGATACGAGCGCTTGGCCATCATGCGACCACGCCATGGCGCGGATACTGTCGTCGTGGACCTGGGTGATGGATTCGTAGTTGAAGGAAGCGCCGTTCCAGAGTGTGAATTGGCCCTTGTCGTTGCCGGTCAAGAGGCGGCGGCAGTCGGGCGTCCAGGCGACGACGCGCGTGGGGGAGCGCTCTTTGTTGATGGAGGTGTGGATGAATTGGTCTAGGATGGAGGTGGAGGGGTTGAGAGGGTGGGCGGCGGGTGGGAGGAGCTGGGGGATTAGCTAGGGCTACGGCAGCTGCGGGGAGATAGCTATGAGGAGAGTATAGGGAGGACAAGAGGATAGTGGACGCTTCAGCTGGAGCTGTCAAGTCTGTGGTATCCTCTCATACGGCAGGTCCTTTGCACTACTTCCTAGCCCTTCTAAAGCAGCACACTGACTCACCCCTATCAACCCACTCGGGGTCGGCCTAATCGCAGGCAAACAATCCTCCACTCCCCTAACCTTGCTCAACTGCCTCCACTTGACCACGCCCCCTTGCCAGTCCACCGTCTTCCGCGGCTTGTACCGCGTCTTGCGATTATCACCCCCATGCTTCGTGACAGCCGCTTGGTACGCTGCCTGCTCGAGGACCTCTTCGTTGTCGGGGTGGTTCGGCTCGAGGTAGCGCGTAGGGGACCAGGTGTCGGCGCCGCGGGTACGATATGGACGGGAGGGGCCTGCGGTGGTCATTGCGCCGGAGCAGAGGCGGGTTCGGGGAGGAGTGGCGCGGGGAAGGGAGATAGATAGATGGAGGGATAAAGAGGTCTTTGGGGGTCGTCGAATTGGCAGAGAAGTTCAAGTTCAGAATGGCCCCGGAACCACCAGGAATGCAGAGTTCTCGCTCACCCAAGCTCTCGAGCTCAAGGTCCGCTGCATCTTGCTCCTTAGCCTCGACCTACATCCTTCTCCTGAGCCTTATAAGCCACTCTTAGCTCGATGACTGGGCACATACCGCCCAGCATCCCGAGCTCATGCCCGAAAAATACGATGTAGCCCGCTCTCGTCCCGGTCAGCGGGTCCCATCAGGCCCCCGTCCGCCCGCTTCGCGCCGTACAACCTCCTCGAGCTTCCTCGCTGTGTCTGCCAAAGATGCTGCCGAGGCCGCAGATGACTCTGCCACTGCTTGGGTCCCTGACGGTGGACCTGGTCTTACCGATAGTCCTCCGTTAGCTTCTCCGCCTGTGCCCATCACTGGCGGTCTCGTTAACCCGTTCGACGCACCCCTCGGCACGCCCATCTCTTCCAATGGCCTACCTCGGTCCTCTTCTTCGGGTACCGCCCTCTCCTCCCTTATCACCGGTACGACATCCCCCCTGAAACTCAGGAAACAGACTTCGACACCGCTACTTTCGCTACCAGCCAAACCGAAGCTCAAGCCGAAACCGCTCAGAGTGAACACGTCGGACCTCTTCCCTCCGCCGACCTCGTCCCCAAAGAAAGCCGTTTCGCCGAGCTTGAAACACTGGCAGCAGGTCCGGTCGCATGTGCTCGTCACTCCGCTCGAGGAGAAGAAGGCAGCCGCGCAAAAGCAGACGGAGACATACGGGAAGGCGAAGGGTGGGTTAGTGGGCAAGGCTGCAGCCCGGCTGGGGTTCCGGCAAGCCACGGAGGATGCAGGTCCGGGGCTGGCTACGCCGGCTTTAATACCTGAAGCAGGGAAAGCGGGGAGCTCCGGGCTGAGTCAGGCGGAGAAGGAGGAGATCGCGCGGGAGAGGCGCCGGTTTGCCCGGGACGTGCAGACCTGCCTCGATTCGTGCGCGCAGGAAGAGACGCGTCGGCGTCTTGCCGGATTCTCGCGCAAGGGCAAAGAGAAGGATCGAGGCATCGTACCGCCCTTACCTGGGCCTGGACACGCCGGTCCCACTGCGAACTCCACGTTCCGACCCGACTTCTCAGCTTTCGCACCCCTGCTCACAGAACTGCACAAGTACCTCCCTGCCGCTCGAGCTCGGAAGGCATGGTGTCGGACCTGTCCACACCACGCCATCATTCTCTCGGAACTATCTACCGCGTTCCTCCCGTCGTCCTCATCCTCTCACTCAGGCTCAGCATTGGCGACCGCGAGCACAAGCAGCGGAGAGCGACAACAAGCGCTCGAGATATTCGGGATCGTCGTCCGTACGTGGTCCGCGGACGGGGCGGAGGAGGAGCTCGCGCGGTGGCTATGGCTCGCCAGAGCGCTTAAAGTGGGAGATCGACAATTACGAAACCGGGGCTTGACGCTCTTATCGAGCTTTTTGCATCGGGATCCAGCCTTACCGGGAGCGCAGGAGGTGCCGAGCTCGCCTGCGGCGTTCGAAGCAGTCGGCGTAGCGTTGTTGGAGCTGCTCCAGGCCGTGGAAGGGGCGGAGTATGATGCGGCGGACCATCGGACGATCGTACTAGGTCTTTTGGCGGATTTGGCGGAGGGCAACATTGTCGATGTGCGGGGGCCGCAAGGCGCCGATGGGGAAAAGACGGGCGGGACAGAAAAGGAACTGCTTTGGCTGGCTCTGGGGAGGACTGTCGCCTCGCCCAGAATGGTGGAATGGCTATTCGCGCCTGATAATCCGCTCTTACTGGTGGGTCAACCAGCTTCCATACTTCGCGGTGCACTGGACTGATGTGACAGCGTTTCGCACCCCCTCCCATCCTGCATGCTACTCCTCCGACAATCCTGCAACTCAGGACGCAGTCCGCTGTCACATTCCTCACCTCGCTCGCAGGCGTCATACCGACCTTATCATCGCAGACGATCCGGCAGATCTACGGGACGACCAGCGACCTGATCATCAGCCAGCTCGACCATCTGCCCGAATTGCCCTCGGCCAACCGGCTGCCGATTGCGCTGGGCAGCTTCTTGGTCGCTTGTCTCGCATACGGTCGCACACCTGCTGAGACGGTCTCGGGGGACGATCCGTTCGTTCAGCAGGAACGAGACCTGCTCATTGACCGGATGTACCTCGATGCGGTGGAGAAGACGCTGGGGAAGGGCGGAGAATGGGCAAAGGGGCTCGAGGAAGCTCTGCGGCGCTTCGTTTCCGACACAGAAGCTGAAAGGGTGCTGGGTGTTCTGGAAGTTATACTCGCGGACAAGGGGACAAAGCAGCTTGCGGCTCCGAGCGTACAAGCTCTACTGAAGGTGTGTTGTCTCATTCTCCATTCCGAAAGCGGAGTTTCGCTCATACGCCAGCGTCTCGAAGCTGATCCCGGCACTGCGGGTGGCGCCAAGGACTTTCTACTCCGTCTCGCCAAATTCCATCCACAGCTATACTACAAGCCCCTCTTCGCCCTCGCCGCCGCAACCCTCCCCTCGACCGCGTCCGAGCACCTTCGGACCGTCCGCACCCTTACCAAAATCACCGGCACGACGACCTTCTGGCTCACTGCCGATCCGCAAATGATTTGTATCGTGCTCATGGGCGACGCTGGGCAGGCGAAGAGTAAAGGCAAGGGAAAGGAAGGCGAGGCGGAGCTGGTAAATGTCAGGATTGGGCGATATGCTGTTCTGGTCGAGTTTCTTCTTGCGCTCGGAGAAGTCACAGGCGGAGCTAAGGCAGGGAGTAGGTTGAGGGATTTCTTGGACGGGTTGGAGAGCAAGCTGGGGCAGATGATCGAATTGCAGGTCAGCTATGGGCTTTGATGTATTCGTGCTCAAGCTGACGAAGCAGGAGAAGGAGGCGAGTCTCCCCGCGCTATATCGAGCTCTTTTGTGCACCCTTTTCTGTCGGATCCGGACAATCACCCAGTCGACCAAGAAGATGGATTGGCAGCGGACCGCCTTTCGCTGGTTCGTCGACATTGCCAATGCCACTGGAACGTTTTCAGCAGGTCCATTAGCGGACCTCCGTGATGTTCATCGGTCTCTCCTTGCGGCGTCCAATCCTCCACCCGTGCGGTCCACCGCCACCGTACGCAAAAGCACTGGGATGACCGACATCATCCTCCAACATCCCGTCATCCCGCCGTCAGACCCCATACACCGCCTCCTCTACCCTGTACCGCTCAACAGCAGTATCGATCTTCTCGTGCTTCTACAAAGCTGCTGGACAGCAGACAACTGGGCCGTCCTTTTCCCCATCGCGTGGAGACTCCTTGGCACGCACCAGGCGCCTACCCTCCCCGTCCTCTTCATCCTGATGAAGAGTGGCGAGACCGTTCCCGCTCAGCTGCGCGCTGTGGTCGAGCATGACCTGCATCATGCCTCCCCCTCGGTCCGCTCTTCTGCCATTGACAAACTCGCCAAGGCGTACGGGTACCGACACCAGATCCTCTCCGTCCCTACACTCCACCATCGACGCGGACCGCTTTTTCACTTCCCTCAAGAAACGCTCGATTTCGTACTCACCGAGATCGGCTCGGCGATCTGGTCAGCACCACACGATACGAAGCAGGAGGCGCTGCAAAAGTATGGCGGGACGCTGCCGCTGGAGATGCGGCAGAGGTTGATGGAGCTGGGATGGAGTGATGATCCGGGATTGAAGGCGGATGAGGGGTATCTCCAGGAACCGATCTCGGCTTTGCCTATTCGACATGTGCTGGATGCTGGCGAGCCGGCGATGGGGGCCAAAACAGGTCTGGCGAGACACAATAGCGCCGGTTCGGGCTCGGAGAGCGGAATAGGGATAGGAGTGAAGCAGAAGGCGATATTCGCGCCGGTACTATGGGAGTTGGCGGGGTATCAGGCGCACCAGGCTTCCGGCGGGGATGGCGGTGCGGCGTCTTTGTCAATGGAGCTGGTCAGGATGATGCAGAGGGACGAGCCGACCCTGTTGATCAGGCCATTCGCGGACCACCTCTCCATCGACTTTCGCGGGACCCTCTCCCGCTTGAACGCCGTCACAATCCGCTCGACACCAGCTTTCGCCTATACCGCCTTCAACGTCCTCGTCGGGTATCTCAAGCACACCCTCCGCCAGTTCCCTATACTTCCGCACTACGCCGAGGCGCTCACGATCATCGCCTCCCTCGTCGGTCGGGTCCCGGAGATATCGCTCCGGGACATCCGGAAGAACAAGTCGGAGCATGTCCTCCTCCCCGCTTCGATCCAGGAGGAGGACGGAGGCTTCAAAGTCCACTCGCCATGGCGGGACGAGCTCGTCGATGTGCAATGCGCCCAGCTGCTGCTCATTACCGAGCTGCTCAAGGTCAATCCGCGCGAAACGCACCTCGTCAAGCGGATGATGTTCAATCTCCAGCTTCAACGGCCATCCCTCCTCGACCTTACATTCGCGCGGTCATGGCTCAGCCTCGTGGTTACTCTCTTTGGTCTCGTAAATCGGACATACAACGACAAGGCGGAACTACGCCATTTCCTCAGTACGGCCACTACAATTCTGGCTGCACACGAGTCGGACCTGCTCGTCGTCACTCTGGCGGTCAGGCTGTTCATGCTCTGCGCATCGCGCTTCCGCCGACTATTCGCGGTGATGGGCTTCCAGACCATCGTGCCGGCGTTATTCGAAACGTACGTTGGGGGCGATACAGCCATGCGGGACTGTATCGAGTACGCCATGCGGAGCTTCTACCGGATCCACCAAGATTCATTTGTCTACCAAGCATGTCTCGCCATTTCTTCCTCCTCCCCGGACTCTGACGCACACGCGGTCTACTCGCTTCTGTCGTGTCTTTCGAAACCAAACGGTCCCACCAGCGGAGTCTCATCCGGCATCCGCGGTCTCAACGACAAGGAGGAGCAAGACGCCCTCATTCAAATGCTCTCAGGCCCGGAAATCGCCCTGTCGGAGATAGGCAAGGACCGCGCTGTACGTCAAGCGGAGAAACTGGCCGAGGCCGCTCGGATCGAAACTCGCCTCTTTGCGAAAGGGAGTATCGTCCGGCTCTTTGTGACGGTCATTGCGGCAAATCCGCCCAGTGGGGCGGGGATCAATATGCTCAATCTTTTTGTCTGGATGGTACCCTTCATCAAGGACGAGGCTAGTCGACGGCTGCTGGAAGTTGGAGTGGAGGCGCTAGGCGGGATCATCAGTCGGGAGAAGGTGGATGCAGGGGCGGCGGGGATGCTAAGCGATGAGGTCGCGGGAGGGACGGACTGGGTCGGCGTCAAGGTCGGGTATGTCGCGCTGGTGGACGTATGGACCAGGGAGGGCGGACATATCTCCCAGGCGACGACGAGGACGGTGTTGGAGATGATACTGGGAATGGTCCAGATGGAACAGGCGCTGGCGTACGAGGCGTCAACGAGGGTGCTTTGCTCGCTTCTCAAGACGCACCTCGCAACGGACCGACCGGCGGCATACCTCAAAGTGGCGGCGGCGACGTTCCAGGCGGCTCTCGGCGTACTTGACCTCTCGGGCATGCTGCTCGCTATGGCAGAGTGGATCAGGAAGGCCGATTATGAGGTCGACGGTACCGCCGCGAAGATCGTCATCGATGGCTACCTTCGACCTGCCGTACTCTATATCGCTGGCGCGCCGGGTGGCGACCCATGGGATCGTCTGCGCCAGAGCGCGGTCTCCCTACTCGGTGCGGCGGTCCTCCTCCCATCGGGCGCCCTCGATGTGCTCGAGGCGGAAGGCCTCTCCCTCGGTCTTCTCGCGCATGTCATCTTCCCCCTCGTCACCTCTTTTCAGGTTCCACTCGGGATCGAGCTGGAGAAGCGGGCAGCGGGAGTGTGGATCCGACTCTTGAATCTCGTCATCAACCCAGTGCCCCTCGATACTGCCACCGATACTCGGTCGTCTGCCCTGCGCATCGCGCTCTCGTTACAGATCATCAAGGTGATTTGCGTCCGCGCCCCAGGTGTCATCTCGTCCATTGGCGGCCTTTGGAGCTATGTCGGTCAGCACCTCATCGGCATCATCGCCAACCATACCCACTCCGTTGATCAGCTGGGGTCGGTAAGGCTGGTCGATATGCTCGCTTGGTCGATATACGAGCTGCTCGCTTTACATCGGAGCCCGCTCATGGTGTATATGCGATATCACATTCAGTCTGCGCTCGCTCAGCTCCCTTCCGACTCGGCCGGTCCTTGCTCCTCGCTCGAACATCAGGGCGTAGCTTCTTCTACGCCCTCGGCCGGTCTCATGCCGGACTCTCGGCGAGATCGAGTCCCATCGATCAGCCTCCGCCGTCCATCCCATTCTACCGACGCTGGTTCCCCCTCCCTGTCGCGCCTGTCCCAGGCAGACTCCCCCTCTGCTCGGAGCGGCCGATCTCGACTCTCCCCTTCCCCCTCTCCGGAGCCTTCAAGTCGGCCGTACTTCCTCACTCCCCGTTTGTCGACCTCTGTATCCAATCCAGATCGTGTAGGCCTGACGCCCATTCCTCCCAGACCTACAATCACGGACCTGTCTCTCCGACGCGCGAGTAAGTGCAGGCCGACGCTCGAGCATCCGACCGGAAGACCGACGGGCGCGGCGGGAATGCGATTCCGATTCCCCTCGTCGGCTGATATGCGGAAGGTTGGTGGGGGTGGGGCGATCGTGCACCTTCTGGGTGCTTCGAGTGGCGTTGCGAATGCCGCTGGCGCGGGTGCTGGCGTTCAGCGGAATGCTGTTGCCGACGAGAGGGCTGAGTCGCCAGGGGGACCGCTGAGTCGCGTGCGGGTCACCAGCGAGGCGTTGTTGCATAGGATGGAGCGGTCGCGGCGGGCCTGCAAGACCATCTTTGGATACCCGGTGGAGATGGAGCATGACGAGGAGCCGATCAGGGCATGGTCGGTACACGATGCGCTGGTAGGTCGATCCCGCAGCTGTCCCGAGTATCCCTTGGCTGATAGTCCTAGGCTGAGATTTCGGAGGAAACGCGTCTACTTGTCGAGGTGGAGTTCGGAGGTCTGTTTGGTGTGGTGCCTGGGGTGGTTGGCGAGATGTCGAGTGGGGATGGTGATGGGTATCATGTGGATGAGCTGAGGGTGCTAGAGGAGGAGGACGACGACGAGCCGCTCTTGGCGACAACTTCAGCGCAGTAACGAGCGGAACGACCATGTAGATGTACTAGATAGATAGATGACACGACGCGCTTCAGTCAAGTGTCGACGTCGGCATGAGGGTTCATCATGTCATGACTTCTTACTATGGCTGCTATCGATGATCTTGTCTATGGGGATTGACTGTGTACAACAATATAGGGTCGGAACGGAACAACATGGTGAGGAACCCAGAATCTATGGCTACAATATGACCCTCAAGCCCAGCGAGGTGAGCGTCGAGTCGGCTGGAGCGGATTGAGGTCTTTCCGAGCGGGGACTTTCAGGCCTGGCCATCAGCTAGATTTGGCCGTAGACTCACCTTTTCTTTCTCCGGCTGGAGGAACATTCTCCTTGTCCATCGGCACTAGTACCCTGACAAGTCAGCAATCTACCCAGGCTACAACTGCACAATGAAGCTGACTTGGCCGGTTTGGTTCCCGTCTTCTCGTACGTCGTACTTGTAGTCTTAGCGGGCGCGGTCTGCTTGGTCTTGACAGCTGGGCGGGTGGCAACGAGGGTTGTGGAAGAAGAGGGACCTGGAGGAGGGTCATCGCGGAGGTCGATGAGGTCGACTTCGGGCGCGGCGACCGGCATCAATGGCCTATTTTGGGGAATGGGCGGAATGGCCAACTGGGATGATCAGCTTTATCCTTACCCCTTTTCCGAAGCTTAAGACCTCCAAAACTGACCCTTGTGAGATCCGTCATGGGCCTAACTCTAGTCCTCGTTCTCACGATCACCTTGGGAGAGGAAGCTTTGAACGCTGGCTCGGCCTTCCTAGCCTTGCGAGGTGCTACTGGCGGCAGTAGTGTATCATCCAGCGCACTCGCCGCCGGGACGAGAGGATACTGCTTGATCGGCGTGCTTGGCGATTGGATCTCGTCGAGATCAGCGGGCTGGAGCGGCTTGCGAGGTATCTTGGGCGCCGCTGGAGCCGCGGCCCGTTTCGGTGCTCGACGGCGCGGAGTGGCGGGAGCGGCGGGGATAGGGCGTTTGGTGGTTGGTATATTGAGCTTCTGCTATGGTCAGCTGTGAGCTCGCTGAAAGAAAGGCTACCCTTAGCCTACCTTCGGCGACAGAACGATCTCCTTGAGTGGTCTCAAGCTCGCTCGGCTTATCTTGGCGACATCGACTCCGGACAAGCGACCACCGCGCACGGCTAATGATGTCAGCTCAAAGTCACCTCGATCAGCTTGCTTGGGTGAGGACATGGATAATCCCGCTCACCCTTAGCCCATGGCGTATTGACAGCCGTCTCCGTCGGCATATCCTCCCATAGAGTCTCTTCCCTCTGCTGCCATTTGCTCAGCATCCCAGCCCACCGCTTCAACCAATGCGGTTCCGGATCTAGCAGCCAATAGGCGATGACGTCGATACTTTCGCACAGAAAGAATTGGCCGATGCTGAACGCGAGGAATGCGAGGTCGAGCAGGATCTCCTCATTGATCGCCACGTCCTCCGGGAGGTCCAGGGACGGGGCGATGAATGGCGGCGGGTCAGGCAGGTTGATCTGCATCGAGTGATGCGAGAGGATCTTGTGAATCTGAAACGCGTCAGCCACCAACCGCCAAACCTGAAACGAGCTGAAACGTGAAGGTGCAACTGACGGTCCACCGTTTTCGCGGATCCCGCCTCAACATGCCGCGTATGACCTGTCCGATCCGGCCCGGTCCGTCAATAGAGCTGAGATATGTCCAGTTTGGCTCGGTATCGATAACCTTGCGCTTGAAGTCGTCTTCGGTCTCGGGTTCTTTGGTGCGGTAGGGACTGGGGAGACCGAGGAGCTTCAGGAGGAGGATGCCGAGAGACCAAATGTCGTTGGCAAAGGGATTGTACAGCTTGTCCTGGTGTGTCAGCTTGAGACGCTCTCGATCGGAGGTATCGCGGATGGAAGCTCACGGCAAGCTTCTCCGGACTTGAATAGTCCATCGTGCCCCCCAAACTCCTGACCAGTCCTCCGTCCGGCGCAAAGTGCGCGAACCCGAAATCCACCAGAACAGGCTCCAGCTCGCTCGTCGCTAAGACATTGGAGCGCTTGAGATCTTCGTGCGAGATATCGAGATCATGTATGGCTTGAACGGACAGGAGGAGTCGCCGGAAGAAGGCGATGCGGTGATTGGGGAAGTTGGGAATGGCGGCCGCGGAGGAGGGGTACATGGTGAGGAAGATGAAGCTGCATTCGTGAGCTGTTTCGTGCTGATCATCAAGTCCGGATAGTAGAAGCAGCTCACTTCCATCCCTGATATGGTATCACTCCTTCCAGTCCCGCTGTACCTGGACACCCCGCCCCCGCCAGACCCTTCAGCAACACCAGCTCCTTGTGCGCCTCGCATGCGTCGATCCGCTCGTCCCGAGTCACCTTGCGCGCGATGGGTCGATGGAGGGCGGGGAGGATCTTGCAGGCGGATACATAGCCGCTGTCGTGGGTCGCCAGTCGGACATGAGCTGGGAGAGTCAGCTTCTGTGCTCGTTGTAGGTAAGAAGCCCCTCCATAAGTCCACTACAGCTGAGAAGGCCATCGAAGCATGGACGGTGCGCGACAGGAGACACACTCACCATATGCTCCTCGACCTAGTGTATGTCCCAGCGTCCATGCGCCTATCTTTGTCATCAATGTCCGCGGCGTGACTCCATCCTCGGGAAGCTCAGGTAGGTCCTTGGACATGATCATGCGCCAAGAGGACACCGGCCGAAGCTGCTGAGGTAGGGACGGTATGATGAAGAGAGCGGGAGCCCAGCTGTGAGGCTATAGCGGTACCTCCGATGGATGGGAGGCCGGAGGGTGGGAAGAGATATAGGAAGGTAAGGGAGATCGACCGGGATCAAGCTGGAGCGAAGGAGGCCGAGCGAGCTCTGCTCGACGCCGACCGGAAGATGGAGGGGGCTCTACCGACCGCTAGGGTGGGTACGGTGCCAAGAAGGTGGACTAGAGGATAAGAAGATGAACAAGAGATGTAAGAAGGAGAAAAGGTATGTATAGTGGAGGAATGAGGTGTGAGAGGGAGAAGAAGAAGAAGTAAAGACAGTCACGCGCACGGGCCGTTTGGCTGGGTGGCGACACGGTCTGTGCGCAGAAGCTGTTTCAGGATCCGGCGCACAGACACCTTCTACAGCCTTCTGCGCTAGTCTGATGCAAGGGAGGTCTCCAGCCAGGCTGATTGGCCTGAAGCGAGATCTCGAGGCGACTACAACTGCGAGACAAAGAATATACAGCCTGCTGCAAGTGCATGATGACAACTAGATATCCGTCCCGCCCCATTCCCACTTCCACCCCCCATTTTCCCTATACTGCCCAATCCCCCAATGCCTCACCTTCCTTGACGAACGGCCTATCCAGCCCCATCACCGCCCCTTCACACAAAGGACACACACCCGCCACAAGCTCATCCAGCTCCTTCCTCGCCACTTCCGTCCTCGCATCCTCCCTATCCCTCTCCTTCTTTGACTTCTTCTTCTCCGTGCCCCCTACGCCCGTCACTCCACTCACCACCGTCGAGCCCACGGCCGTAACAGCCTGCGCGAGCGCATCGGGGATAATGAGATCCCGGAGTTTGTCACCAGCGGCGAGAAGGGCGTTCCGGCCTGTGATGCCCAGGAGGAGGTCGGTCGCTGTGTTGCCCGAGGTGATCTTGGAGCGGGTCGTTCCCGACGGTGTAGAGGAATTAAGGGTGGATGGGAAGTTCTGGGAGAGGAGGATACGGCTGGACGAGGCGTCTTGCTTGACTAATTCGGTCTGGAGGTGTAGGATCCGCCGGAGAGCAGGGGCAGGGAGGAACTCCATCGCCTGGGACGTCAGCTTCTTGCCCAGTCCATTACGATGTGCAAGGGTTTTTAGCTCACCATACTGATCATACAATCCGCATGGAAGGTATGTTGACAAGGAAACACGTAGAATTGCCGACTCAACAACCCCAATCCACACCGCCAGCACTTGTCCCCCGCTTCGACAGTGACGAAGCGATTCGACAATCCCTCTATATCTCGCTTGATCGATTCGGCACTTTGCGTCGCCTCGTCCATCTCGGCCCGGAGCTCGTCGATGCGCGAAGCGTACTGCTCGAGTGCCGTACAGATCTCGGCCTTGAAGTCGTCAATGACAACAAAATCCGGGAAGAAGGGGAGGATATCTTCGATTTTGAGGAGGTCGGTGGATTCGAGGAATCTCATGGCGCTAAATGAGTCAGCTTGATCCGAGCATACTGCCTACTGCATGTGAAAGCTCACCTCTTAATGTCCTTTTGCTCCTGTACCACATACTTTGCAATCTTCAACCACAACTTCCTTCGGAGGACATCATCATCCTCCGGCCGATCCGCATTGATCTTCGCCAGCTCCAGATCCCCCTTCTGCAGCGCCAGATCCACACTCGACTCGTACATCCCCATCTTTGAGTATATATGCACGCAAGCCTGTATCTGACCGTGGGCCTTGCATACCCGCAGCGCATAGTCGAGATCATAGTATGGCCGCTCAGTGAGCGGGTCGTCCGGACATACCGAGAGGAATTTGAGGAGGAGTCCGTCGTTTGTTTTGGAGGTGGCGTGGAGGGTAAGGAGGAGGTTGTGAATGGTCGTATCTGTGGATTGTTGCTGGAAGACTACGGTGGAGAGGTATCGGATGGCGTGGTCGTTGACTGCCGAGGAGCCAGATTTGGTCGGGCGTTGTAGTAAGGCGGGTATAAGGCGGCGAGGCGATAGTGTGGGACGTCGAAGCCACGAGTCGACCGTTTCTTTTGGCGCATTCTGCATGAGGACCGAGGCGAAGCGGTAGTACAGGTCGAGAGAGTCCTGATTGATCAGCTATCGTTTCCATCTTGACGCTCGTTTTAACTGACCTGCCGGTTCAAGATATCGATCGCTCGGCTCCACGCCTCCTCCGTCACCCAGTGCTCGACCACCTTCCCATGATCCCGCATCAACCCCGCATAGAACAGATACAGGTCCTCTCTTCCATGACTCAATATCAGCTCGTAGACAACCTTGGCGTCCAGGTCATTCTGCACTGTAAGCTATACCCTCCGGACTGAGCGAACGGCCATAATAGCTCACCTGATAGGTCGTCATGAAGTTCCGAATATCCTCTTCCATGATCTGCCGCTCAACACTCAGGCTCTCCACGTCGGACACCGCCGACTCGGCTGCAACGATATCTTCCAGGTCGTTGCACTTGGAAAGGTAAATCTCGATAAGCCAGGTAGCGAGCATCATCCGCTGTGTTCGATCCTACCATGTCAGTTACTATGCTCTCTTCATACGAGCCAAGGTAGCTGTCGCGTACCCTCTTGTCTAGTAAGTCTAGTCGGTCCGAGAGGTATATCCTCAAGGCGTCCCGCTCGTCCACGTCGACAAATTTGAGCGTGACGTATTCGAAGCTCCGGCTGGACTTGGCGAAAGCTTGAGCGGACTGGATGAAGCGACCTTCTTCAAATAGCGCGTCTCCTTGGCGAGACAGCACTATATCCTGCTGTGCCTTCGACTACACAATCAGCTGGATGGACTTGCCAAGAAAACAATCTGCTCAGCTGATACTCACATGTGTAAACGTCAAAGCCTCCTCAAAGTCCCCTTTACTCAACTTCGCCCTCCACACATCCCGATCTTCCACCCTAACAAGCACCTCCAAGATACTCTTATCCGTATAAATCCAGAACGTCTGTCCCACCGGATCCCCACTTAGGCCTATGGCCCGCTCATTCCCCGTCAAGGGGAGCATCTCGTCCCATACCACCTTCTCCTCTTCCCGTGATATCCCAACGATACGTGTGGGGTAGAGAAGGAGGTAGTGATATTGCGTGATGAGTGCCGAAAGGGGGATAGAGGATGAGTCGGGGGAGGTGGCAGAGCGGGAAAAGACGGGAGCGGACGATGAGGGGGAGGAAGAAGGGTACGGGAGAAGCGAGGGTTTGGTGAGGATTTCGGGGACGTAGGTTGAGGATAAGGGGGATGTATAGAGACCGGGACCTGAGATATCAGCTGTGGACTGTGGGATTAGTGCGGAGCCGACGGACCTGTTATCCAGGCGAAAGCGGAAGGTGGGGCTAGTCGGCCGCTACCTGTACTATCGGATACAGCAGAGTATAGCCGTAATTCGGAAGACGGTGGATCTCCTGGGAGCTCTTGGAACTCTACTCATGTCAGCTCGTTCTCTCCTTGAAATCGCCTCGGACTCACTCGGCGTGCTTTCTCTGACAGGCTTGAAGACCTCTTCCGCCCATCCTCCGCTCTTCCCACCCGTACTCGTACTCGACACAATGCCTTGTACCTCGTACACCCTCTCCTTCGTGGTGAATACCACCCAAGCCTTCTTCTTCCCCTTCCTATCCGTCTCTGCCCAAAACCCAAACGCTACCCCCGTAATCGGCTGCTGATCCTGCAAAGCGTACAAAATCTGCAGATCCCGCTCGAGCGGCTTCGACATGGATATCGAGACCGATTTGAAGATATCGTCCTGGGGCGGTAATGGCAATGAGAGGATCTGGCCGCTGGATGTACCTAGCAGGACATCTGTTGCTGGTGGAGTGATAGCGTCTTGCTTGGCCGGCACTCCGTCTGCGACAGACGTATCGCTCGCGGGCCCGGAAAAGGGGGACCAGGCCACAGCGGTGATTGCTGCTCGTAGCCGGAGTGGCCGGGGCCTGCGGGATTGTATAGCGGCATTGCCGGGGCTGATGGGGAGGTAGAAGGTGTCACCGGTATCCGTGGTGATGAGAAGATGTCGAGCTGAGGGGTCGATGAACAGCTTCTGGATGACGGGTATTATAGGCGCGGCGTTGCTTTTGTCCGTAGCGGGCCGGGGGAGGTCGACGGTGACGAGCTCGTCTGGCTTGTTCAGGTTGATGATGATGACGCTCAAAGGCTGGACGGCGAGTACGAGCAGGTTGTTGGCTGTCACGAGGGAGAGGATAGAGGCAGGTGGGGTGTATTGGACGAGGGAGAGGGAGAAGAGAGGTGGAAGGGAGGTCTGAAGGCGAGAGGAGGGGATGAAGCCTGTCTCGAGCTATAGCGTCAGCTCTTGCCGCAAAGTGTACGAATATTAGCTACGTACCGCTTGGACCATCCCGGCATCCTCGTCCGGCTCGTCCTCGTCGTCCACCTCGAACCCCTCATACTCGACATCGTTGAAATCGTTCCCGGCCGAGGGCTTCGCAGCTGTATTGCTACGAGAGTAGGCAGATGGACCGCCACCGCGCTGAATAGATGAAGGCCCGGCTGAGGACTCGACGACTACTGGTCAGCTATGCTCGTGCTGTCGCCGGGAAAGAGGAAGCTCACAATCGTCGAGCATCGACATGATAGGTCTCGGCTCTACCGCTAACGCCTTCGTTTCCCAACCTTTTTGACCAGGATTTCTGGACGGCGACAATATGCGCCTCCCCTATCCTATGAGCGCGCAGCCACACCTGATGTATGAGCGGGGCTAATGTACGTAGAGGGAAGGAGAAGGGGGAGAGCCTTGGGGAGAGCTCGAGCTTGGAAGCCCGCCCAGTCCCACATGCCTCATTCACGGGCATCCGTTGGGAACTCCGTTACTCGGCGATCGCCGTGCCTGCCGTCACCGCCGAGACCGCCGAACTCGTCAACGGTCAAGTCCAAGTTGCCTTTGGATTGTACCTCATACTCATACCCATATACATAACCCTTCTTTGTCTATACATATTACCGCTCATACAGCAGCGAAGTCGCAGTGCGAGTCTTCCGATCCTGAAGCCAAAAACGCGCAGGACGCTTCGGGTTGGACTGTATACTCCAGCGAGAGGAGGGCTTCTTCGGCCGACGTCCGAACACGTCCTCCCTCGAGTTCTACGGCAACCCGGCTCCGAAGGATAGCTTACAGTGCTCAGAGTATCCTCAGTATCTGCGGGGCTCCAGGCGATAGGGTACAGCGAGGGCGGTGGAAGGCCGCACGCTGCGCGGCTGAAGGCTCATCGCGCCAAGGAAGGCTGAACCTGACTGCCTGCTTGGGCGCAAGGGCCCTTCCTGAGCTTGAGCCCCGGCCTGGACTCTTCCTTCTTCCGAGAATCTCTCAGGGAGGATGACCATCACTCAGCGGCGGAATCGGGTCGACCCGACCAAGCCCGAAGAGCGAGTCGGTAAGTCACTTGTCCAGGTGTCGACGTGCTTGGTTTGACTTGACTTGGACAACCAGCTTATATACTCAGGGATCGAACCGGGAATCAAGGTCACCTGCGACTTTTGTAAGCTTAAGCTTCCTGACTTGAGGTGAAGGAAGTGCAGCTCACAATGCAGGCCACCTCGATATCACCCATAGTACCGTCCGTTTCAAGTGCGCCGACGAAGCCTGCCGGGACGTAGACCTCTGCCCTTCCTGCTTCTGCGAAGGGAAGGAAGGACAGCGTCACAAGGCATGGCACGATTACCGCGTCGAGGTCAGCTTCTCGCGCTCTCGCTTCCTCCAGTCGGTCAAGCTGACGAGCAGGAATACCTCTCCACGCCGATCTTCTCCCCCGACTGGGGCGCAGACGAGGAGCTCCTCCTTATCTCCGGCCTGATTACTTTCGGTCTGGGGAACTGGTTAGAGGTCGCAGGGTATATCGGGACGAGGACGAAGGAGGAGTGCGAGAAGCATTATTATGAGGTGTTTCTCGGGGTGGGGCTGGATGGGCGGGAGTTGCCTCGAAAGGGGGAGGAGCGGAAGAGTGAAGTCAAAGTAGAGAGGAGTGGGGATGTGGAGATGGAGGGAGGGGAAGAGGGGCAGAAGAGGAAGAGGGAGTTCATGCCGGTATGTCAGCTCCATCATGCCCATGAATACATACCGGCATCAGCTGACCCTGTAGCCGATGAATGCGGAGTTCTCGGTTGACGCAGACGAATGGCAAGCTCGCAAGAAAGCCAGAATAGAGGAAATGCGGAAACCTCAAAGTAAGCTGCCACGATCTCAATCTCCAGTGCGAGAGACAACCAAGCTGACCCTATCAGCTCTCCCGCCACCCACCGGCCCCCTCGTCTCCGCACCGACCAACCACGAAGTCGCTGGATTCATGCCCGGCCGTCTCGAGTTCGAGCACGAGGTGGAGAATGAGGCCGAGATGGCGGTGAAGGATCTAGAGTTTGGCTTGGTCTGGCGCTATGGAGGGGATGAGCAGCCCGAGTCTGCTCCGGTGCCGGTGCCGGACGAGGATCCGGCCGAGGAGGAGGAAGAGGTAGATGGGGCGGATGGCGATGGGGCCAAGGGAGAGAAGAAGGGTGGAACGGAGAAGGAAGCCAAAGGAGACGGGGAGGAGAAGGTGGTCGTCAAGGTGGAGAAGGGGTCGGGAGAGGTCAAGGAGGAAGCGATTGACGTGGACGCTGAGGCGGACGTCAAGCCAGATATCAGCCGCATGGCGGATGTCGCCCCGGCAGCGGGTGAGGGGGTTGGAGTCAATGGGCTTGGACGTGGGGAGGAAGGACCGAATGGAAATGGGAAAGGTGTGAGCCCGACTAAGGTGGACAAGGGGAAAGAAAAGGCCAAGGAGGAGCCACTGTTCGAGGTGGAAGATGAGGACGAGCTGGATGTCAAGCTCGCATTGCTCGAGATTTACTTTAGTAAGCTCGACAAGAGGGAGGAGGCCAAGGAGATTATATTCGATCGGGGGTTGACGGAGCACAAGCGGGTGAGTACACGTCTCCGGCAGAGTAGTGCCGCAGATGAGAAGGGGTAGATGTATCTGACGGCCCAGATACAAGCGGCGGAGCGACGGAGGCCGAGGGAAGAAAGAGACCTTATACATCGGTACAAGGTATTTGCAAAATTGCAGACGGCAGAGGATTTCGAGGTCCTCACGGAAGGCTTGATAGGTGAGCTCGTCGATCCCTGGTGCCTCTCGTAGAAGGGGAGTTCAAGCTGATACACCTAGTCGAGCAGAACCTGCGGAAGCGGATTGCAGAGCTGCAAGAGTATCGCCGGATGGGGATCACGACTGCTGCCGAGGCAGAAGTATACGATCAGGCCAAGATCACACGCGTAAGCTACTCAATTTCTCCTCTTCGGTCTACACCCCAGGGCATAGAGACAGCAGAAAGCTGACGCACGACAGGCGGGATACAAGCCGATAGGCCTCGCACCCCGCGAGCGCGTCGAAGCGATCATCTCGGGTGCCCGGACAAACGCGGGCCAAAACAGGTTCTTGCATGGCACGCCACCGCCGCATGATAAGTCTGGGCGGGACACGCCAAAGGGTGCACCGAGACGACCCGGTGAGCTTCATCCCCTGTAGACTCCGTTTGAGTTGTGACTTGCAGCCGACACCTTCAGTCGCTCCCCTCAACCTCGCCAACTCGCAGTCCCTCGACCTGCTCACGGAGGGCGAACAAGCGCTGTGCTCTAGTCTACGGATACTGCCTAAGCCGTATCTGGCGATGAAGGAGCTGTATCTCCGGGAGAATGAGAGAAGGCATGGACACTTGAAGCGGCGAGAGGCGAGGTGAGTGTGCCCTATCTCAGCGACCTAAAGATCCTGTTAGCGTTTAGCGATCCTCGCTGACACCTGCCGCAGAAAAATGCTCAAGATCGACGTCAACAAGTCTGGCCGGATATTCGACTACCTCGTCTCCTCGGGCATCATGCGCCTGGCGTACGACCCGTCCGTCAAAGGAATAGGGCCAGGGAAGGAGGGGCACATCATCCATGCGAATGGGACTGGGCATCCGCCGTATGGTTCGGTCAGTGGTATCTCCAATGGTAACGGCGGTGCTGGGGCCGCGAACGGAGGCGGCGGAGGAGGAGGGGGAGGGGAGGTACCTTACCCAAGACAAGGACTGGCGGAGGTGTATCCTCCTAATGGGGCGGTGAACGGGAGTACTGGGGGGCGCTAAGGGCGGGTGGGGCGGTACATGTCGGAAGATGTCTTGAAGAGTTTGTATACTATCACTAGCCTTATTAGCCACTAGCCATATGCATAGCTTGGCTATCCTTGAGCCACACATCAGTATATACTCAGTCCTTCTGCCTGACCATTCCTCGTCTCGTCGCCTCCACCACCAATAAATGCGAAAAGCTACACCCATCTTCACCTCAATCTCACTTCATCTCTCCATACCATCCAGATAGCCACGCCAAGCGTAGCGTCCGAGCCGCTCAACCGCTCATTTGCTTAGCACGCAGCACCAGATCCTCCGCTCCAACATCCACGCAGTCGCAAGATGAACGCCGCATTCACGCCCCGTCTCTCCACCTCGACCTCCACGACCGCCTCCTCCTCTACTGGCTATGACGGTGCCGCTTCTGCCTCGTCCCCGCACGTCCAGAAATACCGTCCTTACTTCTCTGCACGAGAGATAGAGCGCTTGTCGGCCAAGCAGCGCGGGAAGCTGAGTGTGGCTAGGGAAGAGAGGGGACGGCAGCAGGCGTGTGGATTTATCGATGCGGTCGGCGTACGATGTGGATTGTGAGTTTCTGCCTTCTCTTGTGGGCTATGAGACATCTCGTGGATCTCATGTCTGGTCACGCTGGTCGGGGATGGCAAGGACTCGAGCTTCATGCTCGGCCGAAGTAAACGAGCTGACGCCGTAGTCCGAGAGGCACGATCGCTACAGCCCAGATGCTATATATACGGTTCCACCTGTACTTTCCATACAAAGACCACAACTACATGGTATGTTCTCCCTCCTCTTATCTGTCCTCCTCTCTGCCCCTGTCCCTCTCGTCTTTCTTCCCACACGCCCACCTCCGACGAGCCTAGCGCAGCCCAGCTAACAACCCGGGACGTCTCCCTCGCAACCCTTTACGTCTCTTCCAAGCTGCACGACACCCTCAAAAAGCCACGGGACATTATCCTCGCCTCGTATCCCCTCCGGTACCCGCACCTCATCGCACAACGCAAAGGCGGCGTCCTTGATCCTGCCCTCGTGGACGTGGCCGCGCTCGAAGCGGAGCGCGGGAGGGTATTGGGGATTGAGCGGCTGGTGTTGGAGAGTGTGTGCTTCCGGTTTGCGGTCGGTGGTGGGTTGGGGTGGGTCGTTAAGATTGCGAAGCGGCTGAAGAGTGGGTTCTGGACAGCTTGGAGGAGGTGTGCTGGACAGCGCTGATGCTCAGTGAGCAAGGAGACGACGATGGCTGCCTGGCGGACAGCAGTGGACTGGTATGTCCTGCTCGTCCCCTCACTGATTTGCTCGAGACAAATGCTGACTGCGACTCAGTTACAGAACGCCCGTCTCCCTCTCCTACCCGGCCCATACGATAGCTCTCGGCTCGATATACGCCTGCGCCCTACTCACACTCGCCGAGCCCAGACCGCACGACCAGGAGGAGTTGCCATCCGCTTCAGGCGCAACACCTGACAATTCGCCAGATCAGACCTGGCGCCGCCTCGCAGCGATTATGGGTACGGCAGGATCCTGGGAGCAGGATATGCATGCCTCGGCTGCCGAGGTGAACGGTGCGTCCTTTTAACTTCTGGTTCGAGGGTGTACACTCGCAAGAGACCCAAGCTGACTCTCAGCTATCGCCCAATCCACGCTCGACCTGCACATAACCATCCTCTCCACGCCGCCCTCGGATCCGCAACACGCCCTGACCCCCTCGCCTACCTCCCCGAGAGACGCCCCCAGTGCCCCTTCCGATCCCTCCGCGTCCACATCAGCATCAGCGGCCATCCGGAGCAGTATCGCCAATACTGCGTTCCGGCTCCCCGCGTACTGGACAGTGCAGACACTGACGGAGATGAAGGTGTATCTGCGGGAGAGGGCCCCGGTAGGGCCGGGGGACGGGGATGGGATGGAGGTGGATGGAGCGCCAGAGTGGGGGGATGAAGGGGGCGAGATGGGCGTGATTGAGGCGCAGGAGAAGGAGGAGGAGAGGAAGAGACGGAGAGGGATGAATGAGGGGACGACGAGGTTTGTATGGGATCATGGGGTCGCAGTGTAGGCTTAGGAATGCGAGGATGTTTTCGTCAAGCAGACTTCATCGTCAGGGCCATCTATGCTTGCAACCCGCACTATCAGTCTCAGACCAGACTGTAATCAGACCGTCAGCAGGACGACATGAAATGCGGCACATTCTGACATGGCACGCAGAAGTAGTCAAACACGATTATATGCTGCACTTCGCTAGAGTTAAAAGAGGTATGAATGTGAGGGTAGGGTGTGAAAGAATGCCACGATTGATATCTGCCTGTCTGTGTCTATGCCGCCCTACTCTATGCTCCTCCCTGACCCGAGCCGTTCCACCAGAATAGTCGCTACATCTGTGCACTTTTAAAGATGCACAGCGGGCTCCACATTCTGATAGATCTGACCGGCCCCTCTCTCTGCTCGCACCGTTCTCCCCACACGCCCGATACACCCCTTCCTCCTTTAACGCCAGCGAGTAGCTTAGTGAGCGGGAGCCTTGTCCATGTCGGCGTTGGCGGCGGGGACGTAGGGGATGTTCCAGAGCTGCTCGTTCCAGTTGCCGTGGCCCTTGACGAGGTAGGCGAGGAAGCCGAGGTAGATGAGCTGGAGGCCAAAGGTGGACCAGCCGAGACCCATGGTGCCCTTGAGGACACCGGAGCAGTCGTTGCGGATGGTGTTGGCGGGGCCGCAGTAGTTGGTGGTGTCGCGAAGGACGGTGGTGGCGATGACCGAGGCTGTATGTCAGCATCGGTCTGAGGTGAAGGATACTCCAGAAGCAGGGTGAAGAAGGGAGGAGAGGGGTGATGTTTCAGGCGGCACATCGGGAAAATGCGGGATTTCTAGGTCCGGGCTTGGCAACCAGTCGCTAGACCATAGCTACGAGCGAGAAGGGGACTTACCAAGAACGAAGAGAGCGAGGATACCGTTCGCAATGGCAATGTTCTTGGCCACGAACATCTTTCCGCGCGAGCCGCGGGCGAACTGAATGACCGAGTGGAAGGTCTGAAGCAGGGTCGCCACGAGGAGAGCGACGACCGCGGCGGGGTAGGTCTCACCACCCCGCTTGACCTTGACGATCTGGATGATGTTGAGGACGAAGGAGCAGTATGCTACGACGAGGAGGAGACCGAGGAGGAAGGACTTGAAGGTGCGGACGCTGTTTGGGTCAGTATGCGAAATTGTATTATGCTATGCGGCGAGGAAAAAGCGGGAGCGACGCTGCGTCCGACAGCGGGGGAGGGGCGGTAGGGGAACTCACGTAGGCATGTTGGCTGGATGTGTGGGGGGTTAGGTAGAGACAGGGAAGGTGCGAGTGGGAGGATAGGCAGAGGAGGAGGATTGTATAGATGCAGAAGAGAGAGAGTTCGGTAGCAAAGGCAGGCAGACGAGGTTACAAACAAAGCTCTATGGTGATTGGGTGAGGGAGGGACAGAGCGCGGGACCGAAAGCTGCCGTCAGGGTAAAAAGTAGAAATAGCTTATTTCTGGATGCAGCAAGTGTATTTCGGTAAGGAAAGGGGCTGAATTACTAATGATTGGTGACGCAGACTTTGTATCAGAGGGTCAGTAGTCCTTGCTCTGAATCGATGTCTCTGACCGCAGAGGGTACGCTCACACTGCCTGGTCCTCAACCGGTAGCAGCTGGGTTTGTTTCTGGTCAGAGACTTCTGCATGCATCGAATCCCAGTCCCAGCTGAGCTGGTCCGTTCCGCCAACACCCCATGCCAAGCGAGGTTTCTTGGCAGGCTTCGGTAATGGGGGGTCAAGAGATCTTGGGCTGATTAGGAAATGATATCCCGCTTTGGGTAATTCTTGGTACGGCCGACAATGTCCGCTGTGAGACCGACTGAGCGCGGAGACAGAAGCACCATGACAAGGTGAGATGCATTAAACTTGACCTGCATTGTGGTTTACAAAATACTACGAGCGCCAGATACGGTCCACACCTACTTGCATGTACCAGTGCTGATGCTGTCAAAAAGGTTGTAGAACAGCCGCTCTGATGCCACCTTCAGCGCCTGTCCAGCAGCGTTGTCATTGCCGACGCTGGACCGTCAGTACTGTATCATCCAAAGTTTTCTAGCAGCACCCCGGGGTACTCACGCTTTGGCCAATTGACATCCCGAGCCCTGGAAGACACGGCTGAGAAGGATCACAAACTCGTACAGTCCGCCACTACACTAATCAGCATCCGTCTTCGCGGACGAGACTGGAAAGAAGAAGACTTACTCGGTCTGAGTGGCAATGTCGGTAGCAATGGGGTTCTGCGCCACGTCGGTGAAGAGCCGCTTGAGGTCGAGGAGGGATAAGAAGACTGTCTCCGTGATGACGCGGACGAGGGGTGCGTAGCTGTTGGCGATGTAGACGGGGACGTTCTGGCCAGAGGTAGCGACAGTGGGAAGGGCTTCGATACCGGCGATGGCTTGGGCAAAGGCGTACTTCAGCTGGAGAGGTGTGTTGTAGCCGGTGGGCTCCAGCTTGAGCAGTGGGTCGGATTCTGCCTCGTCAGCGGAGTCCACGGTACACGGCGAGGGTGAGGAAGGGGTAAGACCTACCGATCTCGCCCATGATGCGGGTGATCTCGGAATTGAGATTTTGGCTGATGTACACCGCCTGCTTTACAGTTGCCTGGACCTCGGCGGGAGTAGGCCCCTTGTAGTCGGACGAGGGGAGCACATCCGAGAGCTGAAGGGGAAGAGGGCTGGCCGAGGCGGTCAAGGCGAGAAGACCGGTGATAGCGAGGGAGAAGTAGCGCATGATGAAAGATCGAGGTGAGTTGATTATCTAGGATGATTATGCGTGCGTTGTGAGGGTGTGAAGTGTTGTGAGTGGGATTGAGATGTGGGGTCAGGCTCGTTACTGGCCTCCGTTATATACCTCTCAGACCCACGTCCCACCTCGGATCTCGCGCCGAGATCCCATCTTCTCAGTTGCGCATCCGGCACCACCACGCTAGTACGTACTCCATTGGTGCTGAGATATTCGCCTGCTCGGATCGACTCTGCGAATGAAGGACGGAGTGGGGCAAGGCTAGAATTAGCAGCGCTAGCAAGGCGGAAGAGCAGAGATCGACGCCGAGGAATGCGGCGATGACGGCATAATTTCGATCGGCCGCATCGATTGCAGGTGGAGCCATGTGTCCATTGTGGAGCCTACACTACTTTACTCAAAGTATGGTACGGTGCGCCGGGTGCAGTACGGTACCGAGCCGAGCCGAACAGCCTGGAGAACCCTGGAGTACGATATGTACGTGGTACGACTACACCTAGTAACGCTACAGATGAATTATACGAGTAAGTTCTACCACTTCCAATCCAGCGCCGGTCATTCAGCAACTGCCCTGAGCAATGTTGTCGACCAAGGTGTAGAAGAGCTGCTCCGAGATGATCTTGAGGGTCTGCCCGGCGGCATTATCGGGACCGGCACTGATGTGTCAGCGGTGACCACTTCGAGAGCCTGATGGTCATCGGTCCCTGCGACGGAATTACTCACGCTTTGGCCAGCTGACATCCGAACCCCTGGAACTGCGCATTCAAGGCCTTGAAGACCGCCCAGATCCCATAGCTAGACAGATCAGCCTATGTCCTACCAGTAGATACTGACAAGAAACGATCACTCACTCAGTCTCCACCGTCCCATTGGTGACCATAGGGTTGTTGACCACGGTGTTGAACAGCCTCTCGAGGTTGATCAAGTTCTGGAAGACCGACTCGGCGAGGACCTCGACGAGAGGTAGGTAGCTGTCCGCGATGTACTGCGGGAGGTCCTCTCCGCCTCCGGTCGCGATGGTGGGGAGGGCCTGGATACCGGCTGTGGCTTTGGCAAAGGCGTTTTTGAGGTTGGTCGGGATGTCGTAGTTGTTGGGGTGGAGCTGAAAGAGTGGGTCGCTCGCTGTGGAGTCAGCTCACGCTTCCTTGGGGGACTGGACAGGCAGAGCTTACAAATGATACCCCTGATCCGACTGATCTCAGAATCGAGGTTCCGAGTGATGTAGATGGCCTGATCGACGGTCGCTTTGACACTGTCCGGGGTAGGGGTGTCGTAGTTGAACTGACGGACGCGGTTGGTGGATTCCGCAGGAATGGGACTAGCGGAGCTGGAGAGGGCAAGGAGGGTGGTGATAACGAGGGAAGCGTAGCGCATGGTGGAAGTCTGAGGGTAGATGATGGCTCAAATAGGGATGAGGTTTGGAATGGTGAGCGTTTGGGGCTTGGACCAGTGAATGTGTTGCGATGTGGGCGAATTGTGGAAGCGCGAATTGACAATGCTGCTGCTACTTATATAATTCATCTACCGCTCCACTGCGCCATCAACATTTCATTGTTCGGTACCGATCAGTTCAATGCACACAATCTAGTGCGTCACTTGTGTAGAAATGACGCGTTGCTGGTCCGAGCCAACATCCGGCATGGGCGACAGAAGCTCAAAGGAGGGCCAGGAATGTGTACCTGCCGTCATGATGTGAACTCAATCAGTCGATGTGGCGGAAGTGTGTGTATTGGGGCGATGGGCCGAGCCGAGCGGCTGCTGTGGCGCGAGCACATACTGAAATATATCGCGACGGAGAGTACAAACGATGTTCGAGGTCGTTCAAGCGGCGCTTCAACATTGACCTTGCGGGATGTTGTCCAAAAGGAGATAGAACAGCTGTTCCGAGACCACCTTGAGCGCCTGTCCCGCTGGCGAGTCCGCGCCCATCCTACGTTATATCAGCTTGCCGCGTCCCTGCTTCTGCTGATCATCAGATGGACTGACCTTGCTGACATAGCGCAGCCGAAGCCCTGGAATCGCTCGTTCAAAGCGAGGACATATCGATAGATCCCGGCACTGTCTATCAGCTACTGCGACCTTGTCCTCACGCTGACAAGGCGATCACTCACTCCATAGGTCCTATGAGCGAATCATACAGCTGATTCTCCAAGACCGCATTACTCAACTCCCTCATATCCAACAATGAGAGGAACAGCGTGTCCCCTACGACGGCCACGAGGGGCGCATAGTGGTCTGCGATGTACTGGGAGCTATCGGCGTCGGGGGAGTAGGTAGGCAAGGCCTCGATGCCGGTCTGGGCGGAGGCGAAGGCTCGGGCGAGCTCGGCGGGTGTATCGTACTGTGTTGGATGGAGTTGGAGGAGGGGGTCTGCTTCTGATCGAATCAGCTTACTCCGCTATGACTGTGGCATGGGTGGACTTGCGGATTGTATTGTGGATCCGGTGGATCTCGGAGTTGAGGTTTTGACTGATGTATACGGCTTGGGCGACGGAGGCGTCGATCTGGCCAGGGAGGACGGTGGGGCGGGATGTGAGGTAGTCTTTCTCGTCCTGAGAGAGAGGGGCAGCAAAGGCTGTGGCGGCCAACAGGCTGAGGGTGGCGAGTCGAAAGCAGCGCATAGTACTGATAGACGGTGTGCGGGGCAGTATCTGTGAAGGACAGACGGGTTCCGAATCAAACGAGAAGGTCTAGTGTATCTATTGAGGTGCTGAGCTACACAAAAGGCGCGCGTAAGCATCACCTGAGATGTCCCGCTCGAAAGTCGAGCCAGCCCCGTCCAGCGGGCGTCAGAGACATTGCAAGACATCACCGCAGGTGGCGCTGCGGAGTATTGGACCAGTCCGTCGAGGCTGACATCATTGAGCAGGAAGTATACGATGGTATATGGCAGACTTGAGAGTCCAAAACCATACTTGATGCTGGAGTCGTTCACGCCCGCCTCTCCAGCTGTACGTATCATATGTCTGAGTCGCCACCCTCCTCTCTGCTGTGCCAATGCTTCAAGCTTCCTGTTCGGGTGCACGATCGACCCCTGACCCAGTCCCAGGTCCTGAAACCGAGGTCGAATCGAGGCGGAACCTCTCCAGGGCCTGAATGTGGCCCTGCATCGTCCGCAAGGCAGCCATCGCTCCGGTGGCGGCTCCTTCGAACTGCTTTTCCGCTTCCTGTTGTGTCTGCTCTTTCCGCTCAATCCATGAGAGGATCTCGGTCAGGTACCGCTGCGACGTGCCGAGCTTGAGGAACGCCTTCCATTCCTTGCCGCTGCTCTTTGCCTCCGCCTCTGCCATGGCGCTTGGACTCAGTGCCGTACGCAGCGCACTGAGCCGGTCCAGCGGCATCCCATAGACTGTCTTCAGACCTTCGTCCACTTCCGACCCAGCCTTTGTAGTCATGGTAGTCGAAGTCTCTCCTCGACGGCCCTTTGCGGCAAGCTCCATCTTGTCGGTGTCTGCAGTGAATTGGGCACAGACTGGATGCTCAGCGAATGTTTCACACAAGCCACGGACCAGCTGGGAGTTGACCTGGTCGAATGCCGCTTCCAAGCTGGCAGCTCTCTGCTTTGCCCCTTGCGCTTCGGTAACGGCGTCCCTCAGCATGCGGAGTGGTTTGTTCTTCTTCAAAGGCTCGGGGTGACTGGTAGCGCTCTTGTTGGACCGAAAAACCTGACGTTGCTGCCATTGGATCGTGGCAACAATCATCCTTTGGTGAAGAGTCTTCAGATTCTCCAAGTGAGCATCCTGACCCTTGGTCAGCCAAGCCCTGCCCCTGCGTCCTCTCACGACACAGCGTACTCACCTCCCCGTATCGCAGCACATCCCAGCTGTGGACATCGGTAGCGTCTTGCAGCGTCTCACACCCTTCCTTCCAGGCCGCGACAATGCGCTGGACTTGGTCGTGCATCTCTTTCTCCGTCAAGAGATCTTCAAGGCTGCTCAGTAGCGTGACCTCCTCCATATCCTTGTCGCGGATGGGTACTTCGCCCAGGGGGAGGGCCCCACGCGGGATCTCCTCAGCCGGGATGTCGACCCAGAGATCTGTTCCCGCACGCCTGACCTGCGGCTGAGCGGCCATATACAGGCATCGGGACCCATCGGCCGTCTCATGTAGCGTGAACACTGCACCATACGCATTAAGGGTGGGCATTGCATCAGTCGTGAACATTGGGAGGCTGGGATGTACTTGAGTGAGTGTCAAGTGAGTAACTTTTGTGAAAGAAGGTGAGTGGCAAACGAGACAAGGGGGAGGGGGAGAGCCGGGGAAAAGGCGCTGAGTTATGTGGCCAGCCGTCGAGCCCTCGCTCTCGCTCGTTTCTCCCTATCATCCTTTTATGAACCGCTTCGCGTTTCGTCTTGAATCAGCGCACAGAGAAGCGTAAAGGATGGACAGGGGCTCCGTGTATGGCGGGCTATGGCCTCATTGAGTATGGCAGAAGCCCCTTCAGCTCTGTGGCCACTCGAGAGGACCGCATGCGTGACAGCGGCAGGTCGGCGATCGTCGGTATGAGGTGCCAGTGCCAAATTCACGGTGTCAGATCAGGATCCGAGTCAGTGCAAACGGTCAGTAGACTTTGGCGGTCCGGACCCGCCATCCACGAACATGCGATACAAGAGATACCTCCCCACCATGAGATCCCCCCGTGATCCGTGCGCCATCCCTCTCGCGGCATGAACACCTACCAAGGGTTCTTGATCGCCTCATCTTCCAGACTCTTCTGCTTCTTCCCCCATCCCCACATCCCACTCCCATTTGCTCCCCCTGTTCCTCCTCCACCACTCTTCTTGCTCTCATCTCCACCCGCAAAAGGATTCGCCATGAATTCCGGCGGATGCGGGCGAGCCGGGGGTGCAGGCCGAGGTATTGATGATGAGCCATAGGGCGATGACGATGATTGAGGATGAGACCAGTCGTTAGATGTGGGATAGGTGTATGGAGATGTATTGGAAGGGGATATGGCGAAGGAAGATGATGAAGAGGATCTGAGTGGGCTGGGCCGGTCCCAGGCGGCGGTATCGGATGGTGAGCGCAGGTTCAGCTCGCGAACGGCCGTGGCTGCTATATCGCCGACGGACTCTTCGTCATCATCCTCGCCGTTCGTGGCTTCTGCAGACCGCGACGAGAAGTCGTACGATGCGCTTCGGAGGAGGGTTGGCTGGTACATTCCTTTTGGCTCTGCTTCCGCTTCCCCTGGCGGTGGCCGAACCACCACGCTGACCGGAGGCGGCGCCGACCCCGTTCTCTCCCCATCCCACCTAAACTTGCCCTCTTCCCCTTCGGACTCCACCTCCCGGCCCGACGGCACCTTGATCTTGTCCACGTCAATCTCCTTCCCCAACTCCTTTGAGATCGCCGCGAAGTCAAACCCGGCAGTCTTTGGTATCTTCCGAACAGCCTCATCCTCCTCCACCGTGGCGATGGACTCTATACTGACTGCGGCAGCTGGCTGGGAGGGGGTACCGGGGGTATGGGCGCCCTCACGGGGTGGCATATCCTCGTCCGCGTCCGCGTCGTCGTATGAAGTTGACCGCGCACCGGGACCTGGACGGGTGATGTCACCCTGCTGGATTGGGCCAGAGGGGAGTGGTGTAGTCGAGCCAGAGGTGGAGCGGGACTTGGCCGACCGGGGGAAAAGACCAAGAATCTTCTTGCGGTCCTTCTTGGCTTCTTCCTCGGCTTCGTTGACAATCGTCCGTTCCTGCACATTCATGTCCACCTCGGGATCCTGCTACGTCAGCTAGACTTCACCACTGGGAGGTAACTAGCTTACATCAGGCTCATCGAAGTGATCCGCCGTGACTGGCAACCCGACCTTCTCCAACAACTTCGGCATCATGCTCCGATACGTCATATGCCCCGAGATGATCTCGGTCACATCGACGTTCTCCAGTCCGGGGACCGCCTCTACCGGCCGCAGCCCAGCAACAGTGTTGATACCTCCGCTGGTAGCGCGGAAGAGATAGCCGAGCATCCAGTCATTGGTGGCAAAGCCGTTGACAAAGCGACCGGCGACGACCGAGCGGGCTTCGAGCCAGGTGATCCGCGAGGCAGTCACGGTCGTTCCGAAGAGGAAGACGTCCTGGACGAGGCCGTATGCCTTGTGGCGAGCGAGCTCGGCGAGGGCGTAAAAGATGGCGCGGGAGCCGAGGGAGAAGCCGATAAGGGAGACAGGACGGACACCGGCGTTCCGCTGGAGGATGACATCGGCCAGGACGAGTCCGGCTGCTTTGGCTCGGTCAAGGGCATTGCTCCAGGGGTTGTCGATTAGGTAGCCGAGTTTGGTCAGGACTGGACGTCAGCTGGAGACCAGGCCTGATGAAGTCAGCCGAGACTTACTCATCGGCCATTGTAGAGCACTCATCAACGCCGCCATCAACGTAGCAGCCAGCACCTGCTGCCCGACCTGCGTCAAGACCTCCGATGTCAAGATCTTGAGAGCTGATCCCGTCTCCGCCAGCATCTCGGGCTCCCACGATACCGACAACACATCGCCGATGATCGGATCCAGGACCGAGAAGGGTAACCTGGAATCGTCCACTTTTGATGCCAAGAACCTACACGGATCAGCTCCGTGAAAAACAAGCTTCCCATCCTAGCTGACTCACCCTCCCATCGTGATATAACAGCAGACCCGCTTGTTGTTATGCAGCGGCCGAAACTCGAAGGTCCGTACATCCCTCATCCGCCTTCCCATCCCCGTCCCCGCAATATTCGCACCAGTCAAGATGCCTCCTGTGGTGATAACCGCTGCGCCTCCCGCACCCGCCAAGAAACCCGTCGTCCCTGTTATCCCTATTGTGGCGAAAGCCGCGCCCAGACCTGCTCCAATGACAGGCGCAAGCAGTCCCGCCGAGAGGCCGATGACCAGACCGCCACCCACCGCTGCTGCACCCATCATGGCGTATCTGCGCTTCGCCCCTCCCTTTCTCCGTCCCTCTATCACTTCCCCCTGGTCTGACCGCTCGACCGCCTCTTGTATCTCCAGCGCGTCCGTCACGCGGTTCTCGAACCGGACGACGTCGAGCCATTCGAAGCCGAGCGCCGTGGCTATGTGCTCCAGGTACGCGCGAGACCGGGCGTCGTATACTGAGTCTGCGATAAGGACGAGGAAGAGGTCGCACAGGACCGTCCACCGGATATCGAGCGTGACGTGCTCGTCGAGATTACTGAGGGTGGTCGAGACGCCAGGGAGTGAGGGAAGGGCTTCCGCTTTGCCCGGTAGGTCGGGGTTGTCTGCCTCTAGGTCGACGCTCTCCGTAGTTGGTATCGGTACTTCTGAATGGGAGAGAGTGGAAATATGTGGCTGCGTCGGCGTGGGCACCTCCGCCGACTCGCCAAAGACGCCATCCGCTCCCAGCCCGGATATCCTCGGAGTCTGATCCGGATCCCTTCCAGGCGAGCCAACCTCCTCTGACACCGCCGTGACCACCTCGCCCGATGATCTGCGGAACGATGATGAAGTAGATCCTGTGTCTGGCTTAGCAGGCGAGAATGACCGCCCGATATCTCCTTCCTCATCCTCGTCTTCGAATGACGACAAGCGGATTGGCGGCGGCCTTTGTGGCGGACGCGAGGTTGACGCTTTGGTAGGAGCGGCCGAAGGGAAGGAGAAGGGGTCCGAGTCATCCTCCTCGCCATCGCCGAACGGGTTGATGCTCTTGGGCTTGTCCACGAGTGGTAATGTGGTGATGGGAGATGGCGAGTGAGGGGGGAGAGGAGGGGGTGAAATAGTGGATTGAGGTCGGGGTGATAGGGCGGCGTCTGCTGGACCGGAGCTTGTAGAGGAGATAGACGCCTGGCGAGGTCGATAAGCCGGTAGTTGCTCCTCATCTTCCTCTTTGAGAACGCCTAGCTCGGCCTGCTTTTTCGCTTGCGGGTCGAATTCCGGGTTCTTGACGGTATGGGTGGTCATGAGGGCCGGTACGAGGTCCGAGGGGTCTACGCCGTGCTCTGCCAGGCTCTCGATCATCTTTTGCTCTGGACAATCAGCTTGGAACCCACAGCAGCCCACCATCCACATCTCTCCGTGTAGATCATAACTCACCAGCCTGTTCCAGCTCCATATGCTGATACAGCCGCGCCATGATCTTGATCATCCATATTCCCGCACTTTCCACCACCGGCAACTCAGCCTTCTCCTTGCCCTTTCCCTTCGCCACCTGGAGCAGTTTCTGCTTGAGCTTTGTCCCCTCCCACCCCCTCCCCGAATCCCGCACCATCCGCGCCGCAACCAAATGGCACAGGCCAACATAGGCGATCCTCTGACCCTCTGTGAGCAGCTCCTTGGTCGCCTGCATCTGTGACAGTGGCGTCATCGCCTTGTCCTCGTTGAAGAGGTACTTGGTCCGCATATGTACCGCGTCCGACTCCTCATCCTCGTCCAGCCGTAACCGCGTATAGTCGGATTCGTCGAGATCGTTCTTTTGCCGCCAAGAGTCCGTGACGAGCGTGTCTGCTTCAACGACTAGGTGCGCGCCAGTAGCATTGGAGCTGCTGCCTGCATCTTGCTCGGACGAGTCAAGCCGGACGGGTGGACGGTAGTGATAGCGCTTCTGATCGTCGTCGTCTAGGCCGAGAGGATTGTTATCGGACCGCACGACCGGCATGTCTGGTCATTAGCCCGGTCTACAAGCCCATAGTGTATGCAGACTTACCCTGCCACCCGTCATCATCCTCTATGTCCGGCCAGGTCATCTGCGGTGCGGCAGACTGCGACGCAGCTCGGCGTGGAGCAGGCAACATCTTTGGTCGGTCCGAGTTGGGTTTTTGGCGGTCGTAGCGCTTCTGCATCGGATCTTTGGGGACGGCAATGACACCAGCAGAGCAACAGCTGGTCCTCGGACGCTCAGCTACAGGTGAGGCCAAGGAGATAGAGCAAAGGAAGTAAGAGGTAAATATGAGGTGAGATATTGGATGCTGGCTGCAGGGTGGCACGCGCCAAAATAGCGCGTCATTTTCGTGGCTGGAGCTACTGGAGGTGTCTTTTCAAAGGCTCTATCGATAACGCACTGCAGTTTTTCGAGCGAAGGGTATCCTCACAGCGGGACCAAGTGTCTATATAGCTATAGCATGAAACGATGTCCAAAATCTGGTACAGCTGTAAATTATAGTAATCCCCTTAAGCCCTTTGTTCCGGCCTCAGAAGTGGTGGCTCCCCTCTCTCCGCCCTCCACCTGTTCGATATCGTGTAGACCTCTTCGTCCGCCAGTATCCTGAGGATTTAGCTGCGACCTGGGCCAGTGTATAAGCTAGGACGTACGGGAAATCATGAAGCCACTTCTCGGAGAACTCCCAGTTCCGATGATCAAGCGGGTCATCCGCTCGCAATACCATCTAGCCTGTCAGCTCGTCTGCCTACTATGCTCTTAGGCAAGGTGCCAGCTCACCTCTAGAAGAAGCCCCTGATATGCCTCGATGAGGTCATACCGCCCACGGAGGAGGATCATCCTATCTCTGATGGAAGGGAAGGGTACGCCGTCAATGGCATGCTCGTGCGGTATAGTCCGCTGGACGGCGGTAGGTCGCATCGAGGCTGGCAAGACGTAGGCGTGATTGACACGGAAGCTGCTCATCAGCTGAGTCCCAAGAGGGCGGTTGCACCATGCTCACTTGTTGATATGGTACGCGATAAGCTGCCATATTAGCGTCTGACACGATTATAACGATTTCCTAGACTCACCTGCATTGGCTCTATCCGCTTCCTCAACCCATCGTCCTCCTTGAAACTTTCGATGACCTGCCTCTGGACGCGCATCCTCTCCTCAATCTCATCTGCCGACATTGCCGGGCCATCCGTCACCCCCTTGGATTGCACCATCATTGTGACAGCGACCTTGAGCCTCTGTTGGTCCCGAGCCGAAAGATCAGGCTGCGCACTCGAGGTGTTTCGCCCTCCTGGCGGTTGCGACAATCCCATCAGAGGATTCGAGGGGTAATTAGCGCCGTTACCCATACCGGACGGTCCCGCCATAGAGGCCATTGACTGCGGGACAGCCTGTCCGGGCTGTGGCGGGAGAGTGAGCCCAAACCCGCTCAGATCGCCTGACATGGCGCCGAACGGGCCCCACATGGGCATCTGGGGCGAGTACATGGATCCGCCGAGTGGAAACATGCCTCGTGCCGCCTGCGCCTGTTGTTCCTGGGTGTACGCGTTGTACTGCTGCATCTGCGAATCGCGGATGGGACCGAGCGGCGATCCGGGGAAGGGCTGAAGGCTGGGGTCCACGTTCTGCTGCTGCGGACCAGCAGAATAGCGAGACCAGTCCGGGTTGGGTCCGTCCGAATTGGGGAAGAGATAGCTGTACGTGTCGGCGTAATTATCAGTGTCCATCTGAGTCGGCCGGGAGGAAGAGAGCTTGGCAATCTTGGGTTCCGGGGTGTTCTGGTGCGACTCGGCCTGGGCGGAACCGGTCGCTCTGGCTCCGCCGGCCAAGCTGGATCCTCCTTCGGCAGGTGACTCGCGTTTCCGCTTGGACATGGATTTGCGCCGGATCTCGCCGAATGGGATGCCGGGGTTGGCTTCTTCCAGCTCGCGACTGGCGCGGAGCTTGACGAAGGCTTCGTACGCCGTATCCGTGTCGGCACGATTGAGGATGGCGTCGAGCTGGGGCGCAGAGAGGCCCAGGCGGGGCAAACAAGAACCAAGTCCTGGAAATCAGCCCGAGCCTCTCCACTTATCCACAAGATGAGTGAGATTTACCTTCACCCACAAACCCCGCCATACCCTTGATCATCCCCCTCAATTCCTTATTCTCCTTCAATAGATTCTTCACCAACAGCATGACCAGCTCAATCCTCTCCTCCTTGTCGCCCGAGAGCACCTCGACCCTGGCCTCCAGATCCCTTATATACTGCTGCTTCCGCTGCCTGAACTCGCGCTGCGCGATCCTGTTCTGGGCTTTCCGAGCCTGGGTGGCGGACTTGTCCTTCCCGCCGGCGCCGCCCCCCTCGACTGAGTCGGCATGGTCGGAATGGTCATCGTCCTGTTTGCGTCGCGTCGCGAGAAGGTGAGAGTGAGCCAGGGGCGGAGTGAGGAGGATGGGCCGAGGAATGTAGCCAAGCGAAACAGGGACAGCGGATGATCATGGTCAGATAAGGATGTGTCAAAAAGCGTTGGTCAGCAGGGTCCCCTCGGCGGATTGTGAGCCGCGTAAGACTCTCTGACTCACGTCGTCCTCGGCATGATGATTGAGCGTAGCCTGTGCGGCCTTCGGGGGCATCTTGTCAGGTCAGTATCGTTGGATGTGATGTGGATGCTGTTAAAGAGGTCTTGCAAGTCGTCGCGGAGAAGCTTTTCATCCCAGCCGACAACCAGAGTTCAAGGTTTCTCATTCGGGAAAACTTTCCGGATCCGGACATCGACAAATTACGTTTGGACGGATTTCAAGCACCGCATTCCTCAAACCCGAGACCTTGGCTTCACCCATTCACATCAGGGTAGTGTCGGGATGCAAGGTCAGTCCCAAGCTAACCTTACTGATTCAGCGCAATCTACTGACGGCCCGCAGCGACTTCTCTTTGCTCCTTCGATACCGGATACTCGGCAGATTGTATCGAGTTCTGCCCACACGAGGGGTTTGAGCACATCTTTGTATGCGGGACGTATCAGGTCCTTGAGCCGGCGGCGGCGGTACCCGTAGGACGAGATGACGAGGATGAAGAGGAAGAGGAAGAGGATGCTGCTCCGAGGCAGACACAGCGGACGGGCAGGCTGCTGCTTTTCAAAGTAGATCAGGATCAATCAACTTTGTGAGCTCCGCGGCTCTTCTGGTATGGCCTGAGACGACAGCTCAAATATCAGCTCGGAGCTTCAGCGGATAGATACAGCAGCCATATTAGACGCTAAATGGTGAGCCAGTGTCTGATGACCATAGCGGCGCGACAGTAGCTGATCGCGTAGAAGGTCTCCACATCTCGAAGGTGGTTGTCCGGTCTTGGCAGTGGCCGATGCCAAAGGCGGCATCACGCGCTATGCCTTGAGCACTGAGCTTGTGAGCTTACATTCAACCGTTGTCTTTATTGGTCATCAGCTCACGCCACAGCAACTGGAACAGCTCGAGAGGGTGGAAGTAACAGAAGACACCACATTATGTCTCTCCCTCGACTACGCTCGCTGTCCTGCCAGGTCCGCCTCGCCGTCTCCCGTATTGCGTATTGAGTCTTACTGATCCGCAGCACATCCAACGACCTTATCACCTCCCTGTCGTCCGGACATTTGACCCACCTCACACCCACGCCGACCGGCTACGTCTCCACCTCTTCCTGGCAAGCACACGCCTACGAGCCCTGGATTGCCGCTTGGGACGTCTGGGATCCCAATCGCGTCTGGTCGGGCGGAGACGACTGCGTGCTCAAGGTGTGGGATGTGCGGATGCTGGAGATACCCGCTGGGCGATGTAAAGACTTCGAGGCGGGGGTGACTACTATTGCTAGTTCGCCCTACAATGAGTATTTGCTTGCTGTTGGAAGGTGAACCTCGTCCTTGCTCAATCCAGGGCCAAGCTGATTCATCAGTTACGACGCCAATCTCCGGCTATTTGACTCTCGATCCCTCAAATCGCCTGTCAGGATCATCCCCACCGCCGGTGGGATCTGGCGTACCAAGTTTCATCCCGCAGGGGATCGGAAAGGAGATATCCTTCTCGCTGGGATGCACGGCGGTTTCAGCATGGTCCACCTCGACAAGTCTATCGTCGGCGTATCAGGCGCAGGGGAGACTGTGTCCGAGTGGGAGGCTACAGGAGATGAGGCAGGTAGCGAGATTATCGGCAGGTTCGAAGGGCACACGAGCTTAGCGTATGGAGCGGACTGGTGTCGACTACCACCTACGGCCGAGGGGAGTCTCATAATCAGTTGTTCGTTCTACGACCACACCATGCATATGTGGCGCGCTTGCTTCAAGATCATTATACCGCAATACCAAGCCTACTCCTCCTCCTCAAACTCCTCTTCTTCCTGCCCATCCTCCCCTTCATCGTCTACCTCTTCTTCGCCCTTGGCCTCCTCAGATCCTTGCCTAATCACTTTCCCGACCCCCTCAGCGCCCACTTTCGCCGCCCGCGCAGGCGCCTCCTTGATCTGTCTCCTGTACATATCGGCAAATTGCTGGCTCGTGCTGGCCTGTTCCCAGCTCTTGTCATCTCGGCGCTTCATGAACCGCGGGAAGCGCATCGAGAGGCCTCGCTCTGAGCCGAGCAGGGACGCCGCGGCGGGATAGACAGGCGACAGGGTTATGCTGCCAGTCAGCTCAAGTATCACCAGTGCTTTCTCCTGAGACCAAAGCTACCAGGAGGAGGAAGAATAAAGGTCACTCACTCGGCACCTCGTATCTCCCACACCTCGCTCGGCTCAAACCAAACATTCGGCCTCAGCCCATTCGTCTCGTAATACCCCAGCGTGGTGTCCGTATTACACTTCTCCGGGATCGCATTGTGCGGCGGGAACCGAACGAGGAGGTCTTTGTAGAATGCGTCCGTGAAGCCCGATATACCTGGGGAGCATGAGCTTCTACCCTGACCGATTTCAAGGCACGATCAGCTCACATTTGCAGACAGCCTCCAATGCGCCAGTCTCGGGATTGTGACATGCCAAAAGGATCGGACTCCACCAGCCCGCTTTTCGGCCTTGTCCCCACCACGCCCCAATGGGTACAAGATCAAGGCTATCGCCCAGCCCTTCCAGGTAGTCTACACAATCAGCTCAGCTTCGCACGAGAAAGAGGCAGCGGAAAAGCTCACCCTTCTTCACCTTCAACCACCCCTGACTCCTCTGATCAGGCTCATAAGTCGCCGGTAGCGGTTTCTTCTTTCCCCCTTTCCCACCCTCTTTCACCTCTCCACCATCCACCTCAGTGCCTTTGCCTTTCTTTGCCTTCTTGATCTTCTCCCCAGCCCCATCGTCCTCCACTTCCTCATCATCCCCTACAAGCCCCTCCCCCGACTCCAACAGCTTGACCATCAACCCTTCACACTTCTGCTCTACGACCATCTCGAAGAACGCCTGTATCTCCGCCGGGGTATCGGCGCAAGCGGTAGAATCAAGAGACTCGACATGGGCGAAGCGGGCTTGGGTTGGGTCGATGGGGGCGTGTGCTGGGAAGAGGGTGTGCAGAATGTGCCGACGGTGGGAAAATGGCGAATTGAGGAGGGTCTATACCGTCAGCTACGCTCAGCAACTTCGCTAAGACATCATAAAGCTCACCTCATCGTTCATCGACATGAGATCAAACGCGAACACGCTGACAACAACCTTGATATCCTCCACCCTGACGTCCTTCTTTGCGCGATTACTCAGATCTTGGAAGGTCCGGTAAGCGCCGGTATCCTTGTCTATAGCGACCACTTCGGCGTCCATAATGAAAGACGATATCTTCTTGACGTGGAGGAGGTCGATGACTCGCTGAGGCGCTACAGAGGCGGTCGAGGGGAAAGCGGCGGGATCGGGAGGTACGGGTCGATAGAGCAGAGCGAGCACGAGTTGACAGATATCCGGGTATTTCTCGGTCATGTCTTCCAGATGTCTGATCCATGAGCTCCGCACGAACGGCCAAGCAGATACGGACATACCGGCTGAACAGTCGCACCCAGACCTTCTGGCCCTCTTCGCCCGTCACCCACCTCCCACCACCATCTTCCTCGCCCTGCGGTCCGTCCAGTCTCGCATGGATTTGCACGCGCTGCCCATCGAGCTTCGCCTCGGCTGTAAAAGGTAGATTTCCCAATCTCGTGAACACCTCGTTAAGCGATCTTGTAATAGACCCCAACATGGGCGAGAGCGGTATGCCTACTCAGTCAGCTATGACCTCCGGTTTACGCTTGTCCGCACTAGGCCGAGCAGACGCACCGACGCTGACAGGAACCCGCTCTTCCAGACCCTCCAAACCATGCCCCTCTAAGCCCTTGACCAGATCCCCATAATTCGGATGCCGGACATACACCTTCCGAACAAGCTTAGTAGCTTCCACGCATCGCACTTCGACTTCTTCTCGAGCGAGGTCGGGTTCGACCTTGGGGCGCGGGATCCGTTTTTGGCCTTTCTCGGCTTTGGGTGGCGGACCAGGGGGAGGAAGCACGGAGTTGATCAGGTCGGTGGGTGTATGGAAGAGGGCCGTAGCGCGAGCGAGGGAAGTGAGGAGAGTCTGCATCGTCAGTGCAGTCCTTGTGGGGTGATGGGGCAACGTACAAGTCGAACAGCGCCTATCTGTCCCGTCAGCTTCGCAGGAATCGTCCAGATAATGCTGGCTTACCCTAAGATTTCCAATCAGACTCCTAACCAGAAACCGTACTTCCTCCCCTCTCGCCTGAACCATCAATTTCCGCACCACATCGCCTTTCACCTTCCCGCTCTGGCTCCCCTTGACCTTACTCAACCCCAATAACCGCTTGTATACGTCCCCAACCAACAGCGGCGCGGGGGTGACTAGTGTCCGAAGCGTGCTCTTAGCTTCGTATGCTACGTCCCCTGGATCTCCCCATTTCTCCCACAGCTTCTTGAGGTCACGAGGCTGACAGCCTGAAACTTCCTGCACTGCCTTCGAGAGGATCTGGGAGCCGATGCCGAGTTCGCAGGGGAGGTATGATGGGAGAAGGTGGTTCGAGAGGAGGTAGAGCGAGGGTGGGAGGTCGATGGGTGATGCATGGATGAGGAGGTGGAGGAAGCTGGATGTCAGCGTGTGATTCCTTGCGTTATGGAGAGTCAACGTACTTGGTGAGAACGCGAACGATGGTCAATCTCGAGCGCGTAGATGAGACCTGGACGTATACGCCCACCAGAACGCTGTACGGTAGGCGGCCCTTGGGCCAGTTCGATATGTCGATATCGGATGGACGGAAGAGGAACGCGTCCGTATCGAAGTCGATAGCTTTGACAGCCTCCGCCGAGGTCGAGGTGATCGTTGCCGGTTTGACATCCTTCGGGGACGACGTCTCCGGCTTGACATCCCGCAGAGGTGTAGGACTTGGAGCCCGTTTCCGGCTCGAGCCGGCAAACATAGGATGTACGGGCTTGACATCCTTGGATGAGCCGCCCTGCTCCAGCTTGACCGGCTCCAGAAGCTTCTTCGATGAGCTGGACCCGTTCACCCCAGACCGAGCGGGGGATGGGTCCACACTCTCGATCTCGGGGCTCTCGCTCCGCCCTTTCCCCTTTTCCAGTCTCGATCCTTCCTTGCTATCCCCAGCGTCCCACTCTTCTGCCAGCTTCCTAGCCAACTTCGCATCCTGCTGCTCCTGCGCTACCGGTGAGCCAGGTAGGATATCGTCATCCGAGTCATCGATAGTGATGACTGTGTTATCCTTCTTTGGAGTCGGTTTAAACCCAGCCTTGCCCTTGCTTGGAGAAGCAAAGAACGAGTCGATAGATGGCTGAGCGGGCTTGGACGCCTTCTTGACCTTCTTCGCGGAAGGAGGGGTGACCTGCTTGGCCTGTCGCTTCGGGGCCATCTCGCCAGTGGCTATCGAGCTGGAGTGACCGACCAGAGACTTATTGAGCGTGTTTAGAAGAGCACGCCGGCTCGCTATGAGCATGTAAGGGGGTGTATAGGCAGCGTATGATAGGTAGTAGGTGTGATGGTATGGTGGGGCGGGGTGGGGCGTGGGCGATCTTGAGCTCGAGTTGGTCGACTGTCGACTGACATCATCTCGGAGATAAGCTTGATTTAAGCTTTTCGCTGATGGAGAGGCGCGCAAATTTCTAATCCACCTTGACTTCACACATCACGCTCTATACCACCCCAGGGACCGCCTAGACAGACCTACTGACAGCTTCCCGTGGACCGAGATCAGTAGCAAGTAGCGAAAATGCCCAAAGCAGGTATGTCCAGCTGGTCATGTCCGAGGCGTGGGCCCAAGCTGATAGTGCGAAGGCAAATCAACCAGTGGGTCGAAGAGCAAGCTCTACGCTGCTCCCGTAGCTCAGCGTATGTACCACCTTTTAAGCCCCAGGATATATCGCTGAAGTGTCAGGGAAGAAAGATTTTGGAGTCCCGAAATTTCAAGGTCTCAAGACGGCCGCCAAGCAGGCCATGCCGATGGGCACCAAGCGCCCTCAGTCCGCCGCTGCCCTCTCTGCCCTTGCTGGTACGGGTATCGACGACATCGAGTCGGGCCCTTCGTCTTTGCTCAACTTTGCGCCGGTTGACGCGGCATTGACAACGCGGGACTCTTCGTCCAAGGCGTTTCTGAGGGAGTTGCGGAAGGTCATTGATAGGAGCGATGTTATCATCCAGGTATTGGATGCGAGAGATCCGGATGGTACGCGGAGTCGATGGGTGGAGGAGGAGGTGGGAAAGCGGATAGGGGATGGGAAGAAGCTACTGGGCGTGGTGAACAAGATTGGTGAGCTCAGCATCGACGGACCGCCGGGCAACAGCTGACAATTAGACCTTGTACCGCGCGCAAACCTTGAAGCTTGGCTCAAACACCTCCGACACTCGTTCCCCTGCATGCCGTTCAAATCCTCCACCCAGGTCCAACGCCAGAATCTGTCACAAAACACCGTGCCCCTCGCTCAGACCGCCAATAAGCCCGGCGAGAAAGCGACATTCACCGAGCTCCCCACCACGTCCTCATCCCTCGGTGCCCCGGCCCTCCTCCATCTGCTCAAGCAGTACGCTCTTTCCACTCCCCACTCCTCCCTCACCGTCGGCGTCGTCGGCTATCCCAACGTCGGCAAATCAAGTCTGATCAACTCGCTCAAGCGCTCTCGTGCCTGCGCAGTTGCCGCTATGCCCGGCAAAACACGGGTGGTGCAGGAAGTCGTCCTTGACAAGGGCGTCAAGATCATCGACTGCCCCGGTGTCGTGCTGGAGGACTTTGGGCGGGTGATGGAAGGGGAAGAAGGCAGGCGGAAGCAGGCGGAAATCATGCTTCGGAACTGCATCAAGGCGGAGTTGGTCGAAGATCCCATCTCGCCCGTCGAGGTCATCTTATTGAAACTCGACCCGGGCTTCTTGCAGCGATTATACAACATCCCGCCATACGATAACGTACGAGACTTTCTCATCAAGATCGCGCTCGTTCGCGGCCGACTTGGGAAGGGCGGAATCCCAGATCTGGAGGGGTCGGCGGTCTCGGTTCTGCGGGACTGGAACTCGGGAAAGATTCCGTATCATACGGTTCCGCCTCAGATACATCCGTCGGCGGCGTCGGCGCAGGCAACATCTGCCGGTGGGGATGTGCAGATGGGCGAAGGGGCAAATGGAGATCAGGTGTTGAACACGCTCAGCGAGGCGTTCAGCCTTGAGGGACTGTTTGACAATACTGGAGATGGAGCCGAGTGGAAGGGCGACATAGACGAAGGAGCAGAGGAGATGGTGGAAGAGTGCGTATCATATTGGCAAACCAGGATCGAGCTGACTTTCAGCGAGGAACTCCGTGCGGACTCGGCGGCCATAGCCAGTGCGGTAGCTCCAGTAGCAGCGCGGATCGACTCGGACTCATCAGAATCAGACTCTGACTCAGAAGGGGACAACTTTGGGTTCCGTCCGCCCACCTCACGCCCAGCCGCCCCTCTTCCGCCTTCCTCTACCCTCTCTACCCAATCCTTCAACTTCCCCGCACCCACCACCTCGACGTACGCCCCCTCCGCCTTCTCCTCCGCTACGGCCGGCGCTCGGCCCTCGCTCAACCCCACCAAGCTCTTCACACCTGAAGAGCTCTCCATCCTCCCACCCGGCGTGCTCGACCGACAAAAGGCCAAGCAGGCAGCCAAGAAGGCCAAGAAGCGCCAGATGGAGAGGGAAAAGACGGAGGGAGAGCTCATGTTTGGGATGCTGGGGATGGATGTTGAGGGCAAAGCGGGGGAGCTGGTTCCGGGGACGGTGGAGAGGAAGAATAAGAAGGAGCGGAAGAGGGAGAAGAGGAGGGCAGAGCTGGAGGCGCGGAAGTGGGCTGGGACGTATGAGGCGCCGAAGAAGGAGAAGAAGGCGCCGGCGGCGGGGATGTTGGTGGATGATACGGAGGTGGATATGGAGAAGCAGAAGGAGGCCGAGTTTGAGCGGTTCTTGCAGGGTGTGGGGGCGGATATGGACGATGACCTATAATTCACTACGTATACACCTACACGTCGGCACTAATGTATACTTGATACGACCACCCTTTTCCGCCTCTCCACATTCAGTAGGAACGCTTCGTAGTATGCTTATCCTACTCCCGAGGCTCTTTTCTGGTCGCCTTCGCAGCTTCAGCATCTGATAGAGGTAGTCAGCGTTGAGATTATAGTTTGAAGCAGGGACGCTCACTCTGTTCCTCCACTCGGACCTTGAAATCGTTTGCGACCTCCGCCCACGTCCCTTGCGGCGACCTCATACGCAGCCTGCTAGCACGGAGCAAGGCAAGGAAGTACTTCCTCGGCAGACGTTCCTGCCATTCCACCGGCATGTTGGTGACGTCCAGAACGATGGACCCCTTGATGGTACAGAAGAACGATTGTGTCCCCAAATCTTGGTCACAGGGGAGCGACATCGCCGCCGCATACGGGAGCAGAAGATGTGCCGTCGCGAGGTCGTCGACGGCGCAAGCAAAGTAGAAGTGATTGTGATGGTCCTGTCACCTAGAGCCACGCACGGACCAGCCAAAACGATTCCGCCGGAACCCTCGCTCCTCATTCCTCAAATTCCCCCTCTCCCCCGGAACCTTCCAGAAATTCCTCGCAGTTTCCACCACCTTCTACCATCTTCTACCACCTTCTACCAGCATCGATTCAGCTTCCATCGGCCTCCCCGCCCTTCCAGTATCTTCGACCCCACTCGCCATCAGCATATGTCATCATGGAAGGCGCTGGAAGGATGATCTGGAAGCGGCGAGCGAGATATAAAAGGAGGACGAGTCGGGACTTGTAGATGTTTCATCCGCTTTTACATTAATCTTGCCATAGTCTCATTTGCATACCATTTCCTCACCTGCCCAACTTAGGATCCCGTGCACTCACCCCTCCCCCGTGACAGGTCCATGGATTCACCCATACGCTTCGAATAGAGGGATATTGTTTGAAGAGGCGTGACACAATCAAACTTCTCCGCAAGTTTGATCAGGTCTAGGATGTCGAAGGGATCATATCAGTCGAATTGATCGGGGTTATTGCACGCCATGTTGAGCAAGATTTTGAGGATGAGGGCACGTTCCAGGACCTAGTCGGTGAGGAGGATTTCCGGTCCTTGGACGCTGGAACAGTCCTGTAGCATGCTGCGGAAGACAGAGCTATGCAATCAGCTTCTGCGCTGAAATTCTGGCACATCAGGCGTACCTGACAGCCTTCAGATAATAGCTGTGTACCCTGAACTTCACGCCATCCGAGGAAACGAGAATGATATCCGCTTCCTCGTCGTTGTACTGCGGATCGTACTTCTCCTTGCCCGCATCCGACCCACCGCGCCGTCTCTTTGCGGGTACGAGTCGTTTCTGACTTCCTGCGGCGCTGTCGGCCTGCATTGTAGACCTTGCAAGAGGGTGAGATGAGTGCAATGCAAACAAGAGGAGGATCCATGGGGATCAGGCGTGAAGGGAAAGTTTTGCAGCGCGGACGCGCTCGGCCACGTGGTCGATAATCGATGATCAGCTGCGATAGAGTGGGAAAAGTGGGGGCTTTATACGATCACGTGCCGCAATGCCACATCCCCCATATGACGGGGCCTCAGCTTGAGCTTTCCGGATGTTTCCATCTAGCCAATGCTCTCTCTTCTGACAAGAGATCGTCTGCAGCTAGGATTCAAGCCAACATTCATAAGATTCACAGCATGTTTCCTCATCAGTAGCCCGCGCGCGCGTACCCGCCATTACAAGATGCGGTATGAAAGGTCATATAGCGGTATCGCAAGGTCTGGAAGAGATCACAAGGAGCTACAAGAGCAACATATTCTGTTCTGTGCGGTGACCTGCTTTTAAGACCCGACCGGTACCCATCATTTTGAAGTATGTGAAGCTCGACGGCCGACTTCGGAGCTCCTGGGTCCTGTCAATTTATAGCGTGCTGCCTGTCTGTCTGCTGAATAGACCAGTCGTAAGTCCTCACCACTCAGAGCGCAAGAAGCACGCGTCCTAGTCTCCATAGGAGTCCAGGACCTTCTCCTGAGTGGGCTGAGACAGGAGTCTGTATAGAGTAAGCGAGATAAGCTGGGGAGCTCTAGCAGGCGGATCAGTGGAAGAGACGAGACAGAAGTGTCATCGCGTGAGACGGTCAACCCGACAACATCATGCCATTCTTCATCAGCGCGGTTCTCAGTAGCATGTAGTATGCGAGGGTACCCTGGAGCCATCGACGACGTGCATCCTCAAAGCACCCTACGACCTTCTATCGCCGCCCGTCTTACGCCGCTGAATAGGTCGTGGTTGATCTCCGGCGTCGATGATGCTGGGCTGATGACGCGGCCGCGTTGGTGGTGATGGCACAGTGACGATGCTGGGTCCCGGTGAAGGATGAAATATGTGTACATGTGATGTGGAGTAGATGAAGGGTAGATGGAGTGGGTGAGGAGCAGGGGTAGGGGATCATTTGGTATCTGATAATCAGCTGAGGACATCTCGCTCCAACATGACATACTCACTTTGCAGGTTAACCTGTTTCTTGAACTCGTCCGCTACTGCGCTCCAGCTTTCCAAGTTTGAAGGGACACGCAGCCGCGAGGCACGTATGAGCGCAAGGAGATACTTGCGGGGCAAATAGTCCATCCACGCGCTCGACATGCTCGTGATATCGAGCACACTAGCGCCCGTTATGTTCTGGTTGACGGAGGCTATATCCTCCGCGAGGCCGGAACTCCAGGTGAAGCCCGCGGCGGCAGGGAGCAGCCTGTGAGCGACCTCGATGTTGTCGAGGGCGCAGGCGTAGAAGAAACGCTCCCAGAGATGAGTTTTGGACCCGACGGAGTGTTCCGTGTGCAGGGTGATGGCCTGCAGTAGGACGGAACAATCATACTTCTCAGCTACGCGGATGAGGCTGAATCTCGTATCGCACGGCAGGGAGTCGAAGTCTCCAAAGGGCTTGCAAATGTAGTCGAGTAGGGCTCGAATGGTTGTTGCGCATTCGAGCTTCTCGTCGGTGAACTCGACCTCTCCGTTCGCCCCACTGGTGCTGGACCCGAGCATATCGCGAAAGACGGGGCTGTATATCAGCAGATATCCTCCGCTGCGCCAAAAAAGCTCACCTAGCAGCCATGAGGTAGAAGCCATGAACGCGGAAGACAGTGTTGTCACTGGAGACGAGAACAACGTCCGCGTCCTCGTCCTTGTAGACATCGTCGTTCTTCCTTGCATCCCCGTCCTTATCCACCTTGTCGCCTATACCCTTCCCGACGACCGATTTCTTCTTCGGGGACATTGTATGATCACCTATGTTGTGTGACAGGTGATAGAAGATGTATGAAAGGCAAATGCAAGGTGAAGGGGTGTACGGACTGGCCCGGTGAAGGGTGCGCCCCCGGAACCAGCTGGACGCGTCGCCTTCTGAAACATTGAGCTCCGCGCCGTCAGGGTGGGGCTGATCTGGCGCTGGGACGAGCGGGGATCACTGTGGCACAGGCTCAGCCTCTGGGCGGAAGACGGCATGTAAGACATCAATCAGCCGACGACAAAGTACATGCCAATCTCAATATTAATGTTACAAAAAAAGTGAACAGAACGGAGGAAACTGGTGAAAAAAAGGGATGTCTCCAGGTCGCCTGCAGTGATCACCAGGGTGACAATGTGGTGTATGGTACAGACTTACTGACAGAACCAAAAGGAAGGAAGCTTCGCTGTGTGCCAGCCCAGGCAATCACACGGAGTAGGTGAACGCGTCTGCCGATGTGGGTGTTACACCGTGAGGTGCTGGAGCAGATGGACACCAACCGGACCGCTATAGCCGTGGATTGTCAACGATATGCTGGAAGATGTGCGCTGACTCGATGAGATGTAAGATGATATACGATGTGATTTGGCATCTGATTGTCAGAAAAGGCCACCTTGAAGATCGGAAATAGCTCACCTCCAGCATAGCCTGTACTGCTTTTCATAAGCGCTCCTGCGTGCACATGAGCCGCCCTGTCCTGGACGACCGCTCGCCCCAGCACGTCAGATTCAGCCGGTAAGATCAGGTGTGGTCAGGGCAGACCCGACACATCCGGCCACGACGCTCCCCGCAAGATGCATGCTGATATGTCGCCCGTCACCGCCAATCTGAATACAGCCTCATCTGCAACGTTGACAGCTGAAAGCGGAGTTTCAAGCTGAGTGTGAGGCGGGGCGGGGTGGGAAAAGTGTTGCATGGGTGTGGGCGCCCATATGATGGATAGGGGAAGAGGATTTGGGGATCACGGCGCGGCCGCTCCTAGTATCGATCAGCGCCAGCCAATTAAAAGCTCGGTAGAATAGACGAGATCTCCTCACCTTCTGATAGTAATAGGCGCTTGAACTCGTCCGCGACCAGGCTCCAGCTGGCGCTTTTCTCCCCAACTCGCAGACGCGAAGCCCGAAGGAGGGCAAAAAAGTACTTCCGCGGGAGACGCTCGATACATTGGCTGGACATGGCAGTCACGTCCAATCCGAGTCTGCCGCCATATCATGCGTAGATCGAGGCCGCGTCGGGATTGTCGACGGCTGGCCAAACAGATTCGGCCGCCAAGGGGAGCAGCCGGTGAGCGACTTCGACCTGATCTAGCAAGCATGCGTAGAAAAAGCGATGGTATTTGGCGCCGCCAGAGGTGGTTGGCGTTTCCAGGTATAGAGCAATCGTATGCAAGGCCAGATCTCAGCTGTACTTCTCGGCGAGACGTATGAGATCGCATACATCATCGTAGGGAAGTTGATCGTAGCCGTCGAAAGGTTTCCTGATGATGTCGAGAAGCAGTCCGAGCGTCGACGCTTTCTCAAGCTTTTCGTCTGTGAATACGACCTCGGCTGCTGACTCCCCTGCACCACCTTGCAGCATGCCACGGAAGACCGGACTGGATGTCAGCGCGCTCGTGAGGATCGGCGAGACTGGTATTGACCTAGCAGCTTTGAGGTAGAAACTGTGCACTTGGAACGCGACGTTATCGCTCGAGACGAGCACGACGTCGGCTTCCTTGTCATTGTAGACCTCATCCACCAACCTCTTCTTCGCCTCCTTCCTGGGCGTTTCGCTGTCCACCTCGCCGGACTTCCTCTTGGGTGGCATGGCTATTCAGTTGAAGCTGCTTTGATGGAGAGAGATGGGCAATTGGTCAAGGGAAGGCGAAATCCGGCGCGCTAGATGCAAATTCAATTGCCCCCGGAACCATTGGGATTCTACCTTATATTAATTAGCCTGCCAACACGAAATCGACCTCTCTCTTTCTCCATCATTTCTCGATACATTTGCTCACTTGAAAAGCGCAATAGCATCTAAGCTCCCAAGATAGACGGTCTCTCTTTTCTTGCATCCTGTAGTTTCATGCATAGCGTGCTTGAGCAACGGGCTCCTCACCATGCAGGGGGGGACTATTTAAGATACGCCTCTTGAGCGCGCTCGGGCATCGGGCATCGGTCATCGGGGTTCGCCCGACTCTGCGCACAGTCGCATGCTACCTTATCTCCCCTTCTCTCTTGCTCTCTTTACCTTGATGTCGCACAGTATCTCTCACGCATCGTGGAGAGCCTTGCTGATACGGTGCTACACCTCATCAATGTCTGCTGCCCGATGCTGCGCTGACCTTTGGCAAGAGCAGTGGGACCAGAAGCACAAAGTTTTTCTTTGACTGACGCTGAACGAAGCGGCGAGCCTGCTTACGATGACTCCTGTCCCCTGTGGGCAGTCTACTTTCTGAGTCTGGCGGCGTCACAGTGATCATAACTGACGTGCAGGCTATCGTAGATTGGGTAATTAAGCTGATGTCACCGCGGAGGTCCAAAGTTCCACTTAATACGCCGCATGGCGTTTCCTCGGTGTCTTCGATGCACTGCACCACCTGTGCCTCCCCTGTAACTGGGGTTAGCGATCTACTTCCCATAGTCCTCGATTTTGACTACGATCTGCACGCTTGTGCCTTTATTTTGTCACGCTAACCCCCTCCAGTCTTCTGTATTCTTCCTCTCCCTCTGACCGTCAAACTTTCTGTCAGACCTGTGGGCCTACTGTCTAGGGTGTAGCACCTGTATACCTGAGGCTCCTGGATCCACTGCTTGGTGCTGTAGGTACGATCTTGCTCTGTCCCAGAGTATTTGGCGCCGTCTCAGTATAGCTCTTCCAGGAGTACCAAAGGCCATCAGCTATTGTATCCGGATAGATCTTCCCTCTTAGTATCATATATGGACGACCGGTGCATTCTTTGCGTTGTGGTCGTGTCAATTGTCATTCTGCAAGATACTTCTGCAACGTCTCGCATGGCCTTCGTGACGATGGCTTAGCCTTATGGGCATTGGGACATCTCGCCGGTCGCCCGAAACTGCTTCCGCTCCAGTAGCTTGCTCGCCCTCAGTGACGCCCGCCCCAGGGGGGCGGGCTTTCCTGCTAGTCCAATTTTACCATCCGTTTTGACTCCAGCCCAGGCCTTGCTTCAGCCTCCGTGACATGCGGTCCCTACCCCTCGCTTCGTCTACATCTCTGTTACCTTGCTTCAGGAAGGTGCGGATGCTGGACCAAAACCCAATTGATGCATACGACTCTGCTTAGAGGAAGATTCCAAGAGTCTGCGGGGCGACGACACTACCGAAGCGGTGATGAAGACAGTCCCGTCAATGCCTGCTTCTCGGTCTCAGAGCTCCTTGTCTATGTATTGAGCTCGGCAGCCTACTGATGTACGTCAGGTAGCGACGGAGTTGGGCAATTCACCACGCATGAGAAAAAGCGAAACGGAGGGCAGGAGACATGGCAGGTGTAGACGTTTCCACGCGCACGAGCAGGGTGGAGGTCAGTACGGCGACCCCTGGGGGCTCTCCAGTCGAGCGATGAGCATTTAGTCTTCGTGCCAGTTGTTAGTCAGTCAGTAATGTGGCGAGTCTATCGGCAGTGGTCCAGAACCAGAGTCACCGTACATGCTGATACCGCCCCTATCCCTCTTCTGGTGCGCAGTGATATTTCCGTCCTAATGATGGACGTGCTCCCTCGTTTGGGCAAAGTAGTCTGGTGCGTGTGGTGCGGGAGGTAAGGGAGGTAAGGGAGGTAAGGGAGGTAAGGGAGGTAAGGGAGGTAAGGGAGGGAGCGGGAGGGAGGGATGTGCGTAAGGATGAAGGTGAAGTGTCATTTGGCATCTGACCGTCAGCTACATGCCATGGGTTCGCGGGACGCGGGACTCTAGTCAGAGGTGCTCACCCTGCAGCTTGACCTGCATCTTGAACTCGTCGGCAACAGCGGTCCAGCCCGCCGGACTGTCCGGAAGCAGTCCCGTCGCCTGCAGCAAAGCTAAGAAGTACTTGCGGGGAAGACGGTCAATCCACTCGCTGGACATGGTTGTAAGATCGAGCACGGGCGCCCCTTTGATCATGTCGTCGACTGTCGCCTCGGCCATCTCCTTGACCGTCGTCCACCTTTTTGTGCCCATCTCGAGGAAGAGCCGGTGCGCAGCCTCGACGTCGTCGAGCGCGCAAGCGTAGAAGAAACGGCCATACCGGTGGGCGGGCAACCCCGGGCATATTGGATGTTCGATCTGCAGCTTGATGCTTGACAGCAGATTTCCGAAATCCCATTTGTCGGCGAGACGTATGAGGTCGAGAGCGTTGTCGGTGCCCAGCATATCGAAGCCATCGAAGGGCTTACATATGAAGTTCAGGAGCAACCGAATGATCGCCGCCCGCTCGAGCTTGCCGTCGGTGAACTCCACCTCGGCGCTTGGCTCCTTGTTGCCCACTTGCAGCATAGTCCTGAATACTGGACTGATCATCAGCTCCTACACTATAGCAGATGATCATGGTTCTCACCTGGCAGCTTGGATAAAATAGCCGTAGACGCGGAAGACGACGATGTCGCTCGACACGAGGACAACATCGGCTCCCTCGTCATTGTATACCGCGTCGGTCCTCCGCGTCTTGGCTTCCTTCCGAGCCTCCTCGCTCCCCTCTGCGCTTGACTTTCTCTTGAGGGACATGAAGGCTTGCAGTGACCGGAGGGGATAGAGGAGATGGACAACTGAGCGCTGGACGCGCTGGAAAGCAAGGGCAAAATTATAGCTGACGCGGACGCGGATCCGGATGGCCCCGGAACTCGTCGGCAGCCCTTTCAGGAATATGCGGCTGCCCTCTGAGAGCTCCTCCGATCCTCTGAGCTGCCCCGCTGAGCTGCCCCGCTGAGCTGCAGCTGGCTTTAGGGACGCTTAAGCACGAAGTCAACCCGCCCTATACCTCTGTGTCTGACAGAGAGAGGGGAGGAGGATTGTATACGATCTAAAGCTTTGTCCCGACTTCGGTCCGCACGCCCCGTAGCGCCACTGCTCTCTTCAATCTCCTCCAATTTGTCGATACCTAGGTCTGATAGCGTGAAGAAGACGTCCAAGGGTACGATCCAACGCGTACTGAGTTCGACAGTCCCGGCGATGTCATACAGTACAATATTCTGTGCTCATTAGCTCCGACCTTCTCGCGCAGTCAGATATGTTGACTGCACTCACACAGAAGACAGTCCGTGACTTCATACAGTGGCAGCTGCCCCTCATCCCTAGCTTGCAGATACCTTCGCATCTGCTCGTCAGCTCGTAGCCCCTGCTTCAGCCTGCGAGTCTCCATCCGACTCACTCTGCAGCCTGACGATCGCCCGGAACTCTGTCGCCACCGTGTCCCAGATACCGGGTGCACAAGGAGTGATCATTCTCCACCTTGACGCTCTCAAGAGCGCCAAGAAGTATTTGCGGGGGAGCTGGTTGATCCATTCCTCGCTCATTGCACAGACGTCCAGGCAGGATTCGGCCGCGAGCGGCACGTCCGTCGATGAAGCCCCTGTAGGTGCACGGCCCGGGTGGCGCTGGAGTGCAGCCGCAGGAAGGAAGCGGTACGCAGCCTCAACGTCGTCAAGAGCGCAAGCATAGTAGAACCGGTTGAGGCTGCTCGACTTGGGGGCCAGAGGTTGCGTAACGAGGAGGGAGATCATTCGGAGGGGCGTCGCACAGTCTAGTTTGACGGCGAGGCGGATCAGACTGAGCATAGTCTTGCAGGGTATGAGGTCGAAATTGTCGAGAGGCTTGCTGTAGGCCAGGTCCAGCAGGAGTCGGAGGATGGAGGAGTGTTCGAGCTCATTGTCGGTGAGAGTCAATTCGGCCGCCGCCTCCGCCGCTCCGGCGGTACATGCGGCTATCATGTCCTTGAAGACAGAACTGATTGTTAGTCACGCACAGTCAGTACGTCAGTACCGGTTGCAATACTCACCTGACAGCTTTCAGGTATAGAGACTGCACAACAAACTTCATCCCGTCCGAGCTGATGATAGTCAAATCCCCATCCCTGTTGTAGACACTGTCGATCTTTGCCTGGACTTCAGGTGTGGCCTGACGAGCGCTGACTCGAGATCTCTTCCTCGCCGACATGCTGTCTACGCAGGCAATGTACAGTAGGTCACCAGGTTGAAGGACAACACAAAGAGCCTCTTGGGTGATCGAGTGATCGGCGCAATACCGCCGGACCCCTTACGGCATCGGCTATCGACTCGTGTGATGGCCGTCAAAAAGATCGCCTCTATCACCTTCTGTACCTCGACATTGCCCATCATGATTGCTACCCAGCGCGCCTCAGAAGCTATACCACTCGGCAGCTCAGTGCCTGCGCTGACGCCGCACGCTATTTCCGTGTCGCTGCCGACATGGCGGGACAACGTCGGGTATGAGGAGGGGGACAAGCGGGTCGTGGATCGGATGGAGACGGGGTATCCGAGGTTCTTTATTCATCGCAGTATACAGAAGGTAGGTCCCGGCTCGCCGGCATGGAGTCTGGCTGAGATTAGCTTGCCGCGCTCTGCGTTGCCAAATTCGGTCGCCCGGACGAGCTCTGCATCCTCCTCCCCTCACCTCAGGTCGCCGCGGAGGGCCGTGACTTTCTCGCCAATCAGAAACCCTCGCTCCCCGCTCGGATCGTCGAGTTTGTCATCTGCCCTTCCCTCACTCTCCCTTCGAGTCCTACCACTCCCCTGGACAGCTCGGTATCTTCCCTGTCCATCTCGGATGCCGCACCGGCGACCGGCGTCGACCTGATCGAGCTTCAGATTCTCCTCTTTGACAAGGCGCACTGGGCATTCGCCAAGGCGTTCTGGCAACATACTGGCGATGGCATTTCCTCGCGAACGGCGGAGCGGGCATTATCTTTCCTTGGCGAAGCTCCTGCTGGAGTCGCGCCAGACCCAGCGACCGGAGCTGCGCTGGAGAAGCAGGGCAAGAACGCCACTATCAATTGGAAGAACAACCGGCATTACGGCCGAAAGACCCCATCCATATCCACCCCATCTTCGTCTACCCCCTCTTTCACTCCTGCTCCACAGCGTCCGGACCCACCCAAGCGGCCGGTCGAGGAACGGATTGCGGATGAAAATCTCACGCCTGATCTCACCACGTATCTCGAGGAGCGGTATGGCCGGAATTTACCTCTCTTCAATGCGCATCTCGCGAAGCATGCGCTGAAGAGGCGGATAGCGGGAGGTTTGCTACCAAGCGATGAGGGCTTCGGAGCAGTAGCGGATATACAGCGAGGTGGCGGGGATGGAAAGAAGGCGGTCAGGGAGGAGGATGTGTATCTGTACCCGACGGGGATGAGCGCTATCTGGCACGCGCATGATATCGTGCGGAGGGCGAGAAGAGCAGAAGGCAAGCCGGAAGGGGAAAGCGTCTGCTACGGGTGAGTCTTGAGGTAAGCCAAGCGCTGATGACAGGTTTCCATATACCGACACACTCAAAATCCTACAAAAGTGGGGCGACGGCTGTCACTTCCTCGGTCGAGGCGGTCCCGACGATGTCGACGCACTGGCCGAGGTATGCGCCAAGGCGGAAACACCCATCCTCTCGCTCTTCTGCGAATTCCCCTCCAACCCTCTTCTCACCAGTCCGGATCTCGTGCGCTTGCGGAAACTGGCGGACCAGTACGGCTTTGCCATCGTGATCGACGAGACTATTGGAAACTTTATCAACGTCGAGGTGGTACAATTTGCGGATGTGGTGGTCAGCAGTCTATCCAAGATCTTCAGTGGGGATGCGAACGTTATGGGTGGAAGGTGAGCTCTCCTTAAGCGAGCGAGGATACAGCTGACGACTAGTCTCGTCCTCAATCCCAACGGTCCACTATACACCAAGCTTCAGACGGTCATGACCTCATCATACGAGGACAATTACTTCCCCGAAGACTCGGTCTACATGGAGCGTAACTCCCGGGACTACCGCGGTCGGATCAAGCGGATCAACGACAACACCTACGCCCTAACCTCCTTACTCCACTCCCGCTCCCTCCGCGATGACTCCTCCTCTTCCACCGGCAAAGCCGTCAAACGCGTCTACTATCCCCGCTATCAGACGCCCGAGATCTTCCACCAGGCGCGGCGGACCCCTACGCTAGGTGAAGGCGGATACGGCGGGCTGTTCAGCTTGACGTTCACATCGGCCAAGGCGAGCGAGGCGTTCTTTGACAATCTGCAATGTGCCAAGGGCCCGAGTTTGGGGACGGCGTTCACGCTGGCCTGTCCTTATACCATTCTGGCGCACTACTTTGAGCTGGACTGGGCGGCTGGGTATGGGGTCGAGGCGAATCTGGTCAGGGTCAGCGTGGGCGAAGAGGATATCGAGACATTGAAGGAGTGGTTTGGGGCAGCTGTGGATGCGGCTGAGGCGGCAGTTGGGGATGCATGAAGGGGGAAGATCTATCTTGGGGAGTATTTGGTACCAATTGCATCCAGAAAGTTGTCACAGCGAGCTAAAGATATAGAAGCGAGCTAGCTAATGTCCTGATCCCGTACTTAGATGGACCATCTGCCTACTGACGACCGAGATTATATATGTCCACCCAGTCTTAAGCCTTGGGGAAGATGGCGATGGCTGAAGATGTCAGCTTCAGGTCGGCAACAGACTTGCAGGAAAGACTCACTCTTGACCAGAAGGGGAGAGAACCCAGACGTACTGCTTAAGCCCTGCTTGTACGCCATGTCGGCGAAGGCTGTGGTGGAGAGGCCAATCACCTGGAGACCTCGGATATACGCAGCGAGGAGGGTATCGATGGAAGCAGCAGCGCTCCTGACCGAGCTGTTGGTGAGCAGGGTGGTGGGGAGGGCATTGAGGTAGGCGCTGAGATTCCTGATGAGGGTGACGATGTCGGTGACTACTCGAGCGAGGTCGACTTGACTGTAAGGTCAGCCACGTACACCCGAAGAGAGCTGTGACTCACCCCTTGAGAGCAGTAGCCTCCTCGTTGACGGCCTGCTGCAAGCTGCTAGTGATGGTGTTGAGCTGGGTGAGGGCTGTGATGAGGGAGGGTGCTTTGAGACCGACCTGCGTGTCAGCCCGGTCCAGTCAGAGATGAGACGAGGCACACACGAGAGAAGCCGACAGATTGTCCAAAGTGGTGGAGGGGGCGCCTGGGTTGACCGGGACAGAGGGAACAGACGGAGTGCTCGCGACCGGTGCGACCGCGGCGAGGACGCCGGGGACGACCTTGAGAGCCTTGGACGCTTCAGCGACTGCCGCGGACGCCTTGACCGGGACTGCAGCGATGACCTTGGACGCCTCAGCGACGACCGCAGATGCTTTGGAGGGTGCCGCGCCAGCGACGGAGCTTGCGCTCGAGACGACTGCGGCAACCCTGGCGGGAGCGTTGGCGAGGACATTGGGGGCCTCGGAGACTAGGCTTTGGACGATAGAGGTGGCGCTGGAAACGATGGGAAGCACCGACGGGACGACCTGGGTGTCCTTGAGGTTGATGGTGATGGAAGCGGAAGTGCCGATACTGGCGACGGCGTTGATGTTGACGAGGCCTGACTTGGGGCTGGGAACGGGAAGAGGGACGCCGAGGGGGGCGGCGGTGGCGAGAAGAGGGAGGAGCGTGAAGAGGGCGAAGAGCTGCATGGCGGGTAGGGTGATGGTCTTAGGTGTGGTGATTTGGGTGAGGTGGAGTGAGGCTGGTGAGGAATGGAGGGTGGAAGTGATGAGGGGGATGAGGGGAATCCAGACCCCTTCTTGTAGCTCTTCTGTCCACCTCGATCGCGACCGATTGCTCTGCTCTCCTCGAGTGTTCTTTGCTGAGATTGACTGTATGCCTGTACGATCAGCGCCTCATCACTCCATTCCTCACCGGTTCACCCATCACCGATATCCTCGCCGCCAGACTGCACGTTGTCCGGCGTCCCGCCAGTGCCTGCGATCGCACTCGATTGCATCTGAATAAACAGCTGCCAGAAGCCGCTCATGTCGATGGCGTCGAAATCATCAGCTGTTCGACTCCTGTCTTACTAGATAAGGCTTGGCCGGCAAAGAGCATGGTGTCTATACAAGCGCACTAGACACGCGGTGGCTTGATCTGGCGCGAGATCTTGGCGTGTCGGGGCTGATCGGCGGAATGAGTAACGTCAAGCAGAATTAGCTCGGAAGGCTGCAGTTCATTCCTACCTCTCAGTGTAGTGAACCCATAATTATGGAAGATCATAGCGCGAGGCGGTAGCTTGGACCGGTCCGCATGATGTCGATCAGGCCCCTATAGCAAACCCTACCAAACCCCTCGATCTGCCATCAGCTAATCTGGGTCAATTCTCAGCCGAATGGAGTAAAATCTCAGCGCAGAGTTCTCTCGTCCACATCGATCAGATGCAGGATCCACTACCGCCCAGTGTACGTTGCAGGCGGATGGACAGCAATGTTTCGAGACATGAGGAGAAGGCTGAGTTGAATGGCTGCCACAGATGCCGTTTCCCGCATGCGGTAATTCCGCGAGTGTGGCGGTGCGGCAGGCCGGGTGGCAAATTCGGCCTCGATGCTTCACAACAGGTGAGTGTAGTCGTGGAGTCGCCGGCAGAAGCAGCTGATTACTAAGAGGGCGTCTCATAGACTAGGCAGGATGTAGTAGGAGAGAAAATCGCAGTCGGCTCCGCCCATCTCCCTGTCCGGAACCAAGCCACCAAGATCCTCCACTGACTGCCTGCCTGGGTGTTCATGTCTCGCGAGCCCTGGAAGATCAGCACACCGGGGCAAGTGGAGGCGCCTTCCTCGAGCGTCGTGAGGAAGGTAGAGAGGAGACACCCGTGTGTGAAGCCAGAGAACGCCGTAAGATCGGCGGTGAGCGTTGCGTCTTGCAGGAGATCGAAGTGCTCAAAGGGCACGAAGGCTTTCGGTATGGACGGATGAGACGGCCCGAGATTGTCGAACATGAATGCGCGACGAGGACTTGACGTAGGCTCGGCAGACCAATCCTCTTCTGGTAAGGGCCGGGGTGAGAGCAGTAGCCCATCAGCCGGGTCAGAATGTGCGTTCGACCAAGGCAGGCCGAGCCCGCAGCACATGTGTACGTATCCTCCTCTCTCTCTTGTGTGTTCGCAGACCGGAAAGCTTTCGTCGCTCCTGTGCGATCAGAGCAGTCGACTTGTACAGGCCCCAGAAGAGGCATTTGCACGCCGTTGGCATCTTTGAGGCTCTCCCGCACTAGCGCCACGAGGCGGTCCAGGGAGCAGACCTCCCCTGCATTTGGCGCGAGTGCCTCATCCTTGCTGGCCTGTATGGCATCGTACGGTGCCCGCGGTTGGGCGGGATTGCGGGGTATGATGACCAGGGGTATGTTCCTGGGGGTAGGGGAAGTGGTATCGCGGATCATGATACCCTCGTCGTAGGCATCATGTTGCTGGTCGTTGGAGAAGCGGCATACCTCCCAGCTGTGTGTCTTTCCACAGGGGATGCAGGATTGCGGGTCGGTCCATCCGTCGATGATGCCCGTGATATGTGACTGTATGTAGCGAGAGGGTAGGGGGATGACCGTACCGTTGGTGAATCCGTACAGAGCGATATCAGACATGGCTGAAGTACGAATGATGGCGTGCTAGGGGCGCCATGAGCCAGTATAACAGCCTATGAGCGGAGACTCAACCTCTGAAAGGTAGTGAACGATAAGCACGCCATACAGCTGTATACGCTGTCTGCGATTCTCCTTTGATCAGAGCGCTGCTATGTCTCCGACGATCGTCTGGTACGTCCCCTAGAGGCATTATTAGTACAGTACCGAGTCAGCAAACATGGTGATCCAGCGAGACCTCCTGAAGCGTACACCCTCGAGCAGCAGATACCTTTCTCATCTCCGTCACCTACTAGCTGGAGTGTTCCACAGGAGACGACATGCAGGAGCGTAGGGAGTAGGCTAAGCATCGACGTGCATTCAGATGACTCCAAAGATATCGACACCACCTCAGAGCCAGTCCATGTCTCATCCCCCTCGCATATGGCATCATGCATCTTCCGACTTTCGGACGAATGCGTCACTGCTGATTGTAGGGTACTTTCCTGGGCAGATCGCAGCGAGTTCCCTCGACAAAATCGACATGACGCACTCCTTTCTCCCCTTGCCATCGACGATTGCCACCGTATTGATCGCGTCGTGGAGTTCCTTGGCATCAGAATAGATGGCATGGATGAGGAAAGGGGACTTCTCGTTAAGGCAGTCGAAGGTATCGAGGACCATGGTGCTGGGGCTGCCACGCTCAAAGTCAAGCGACCCCTCCACGGTAACAATGTCATGTTCGGAGCCGCCACACTGCTTGCAGAAGAGTGATCCACGGGGGGTTCCCATCAGCGAGCCGACCTCAAAGTCCCATCGTCGCCCGAGCGCATCTTTGAATTGTACTGATCCGGCTGCCCAGGGGAGCAGGTTTCCGTCTTCCTTTGGCGCGGCGTCCTGTAGGCTCCCCATGAGGCTGAGGAAGGAGCAATCGGACCTGGGTCCAGTCGAGGCTGCCTTTGCTTTCAGCAGCGCAGTACATGCGGCGGAGATAGCCTCGGTGTCATCTGGAATTGTGCACAGCAAAAGTGGAGCTTGAGGATTTGAGGTCTCCCAGGCCTGCAGGACATTGAGGTATACGTTGTCGGTACTCGCGGCGGTACCGGGAATGATTGCTGTGGCCCGCTGCACCTCGTAGCTATGCTGCGCCTCGTTGCAACCGGTACACCACTCGCCGTCCGACCATGCATCGTTCAGAGTGGCGTCTGAGACGGTCGGTCCTTCAGAGAGCGAAAGTGTGCCGTTGTGGAAGCCACGGGGATAGATGGAAGGCATCTTGGCGAATGGTGAGGGAGAGTGTGCGTGTTGATGTCGAGGTAGCTATCAGTAATTTGCGGTGAGCATTTATACCTGTCAGTAGTCGTCAGCAGGGCCTTCACTTGATGAGCACGACACCGAGAGCACGCCATATGAAGGCCATATCCGGTAAGGTTTTGGCCAAGAGAGAGTGCCGCTCTGAACATCCTTTTTCCTCCATCATCAGCTGGGCCTGGACTGTGGCCTTTGCGTCAAAGTCGTTCTCCGTACTCCTGCTGGTATCGTGCTCGCCTTCGTGAGCTGTGAGCAGTGGTCAGCCAGGCCTTCTCATGACAAGCAACACATGGCGAGCACGCCACCAGAAGGCATCACCCGACGGCGTGCTGCTGAAGAACGGGCGCCGCTCCAAACATCCTTTCTGATCGCCAATAGCTGGGTCTGGACTTTGCCTTTAGGCTCTCTTTGCGCCCTCACGTTGCCTTCCCAGAGTGGTGCGCGAGCATTCCCTTGTACTTGCTGATAAGCTGGGCCTGGACTTCAGTTCTTCGCGTCAGTTTATCGTACTCCCCCTTCCCTTGCAGCCAGGTCAGAGACTTCGTAAGTCGCATGTCGCAATTACCACTCCACTCGCTCCCCCTTCCAGTCGTAGAAGCCCCCGCCCCACGACCCCGTCCCCTCTCCGTCCCGCTCCACCTTACCCATGAGTCTCGTCATCTTCTCCAGCGCCTCCTCGACACCGAACCGACCATGCTCGGGATCCGGCTTGGCGTTTTGCCCGACGACAGCCTTGGAAAAGGAGGTGAGGACCGTGCCGGGGTGGTAGGCTACGGCTACGCCTGATGAGGACTTGTTGACGAGCTGAAGGTCAGTATGAGTTAGAGATGGTGGTGAGTGAGAGCCCACCTCGTGGTCCAGACTTCTGATGACTTGGTTGAGCGCTGCCTTCGATCTGTCACGTTAGCATCTGCTGGTGGTTAAAGGCAAGGCCCAACTCACGCTCGGTAAGAGTACCAGCCACCCTTCTCATTTCCCGATATCGACCCCACTCTGGCGGACATGGACCAGCACAGACTGTTCTCGGCGCCCACCAGCCCCTTTGCCGGATCACCTCCATCCTTCCATTGTGCCGAGACATCGCGCCATTCCTTCTTGGTAGGGAGGAGGGGGACGAAGTGCTTGTAAGTGAGGAGGTGGCCTATCGTGTTGACTTGGAATTGGGAGAGGACAGTAGCGGGGTCGATAGCGGAGAGTGACTTCTCGGCGGTGAGCTATAGGTAAGCTACATCCACGGTCATGTAGGATTTTATAGCTCACGATTCCGGCAAAGCAAGCCACGAGCCGGACTGCAGCCTTCCCTTCTCGCTCCTTGACCATCCTTGCAGCGTCCTCCAGTCCTCGCTCCTCCTTCAGATCCACGCCGTTGATGACTGTGAGCCTGTCGCCCTTGGCAAGGTCGCCGAGGTGGTCCTGGATCCCGCTGCCTTTACCGTGGGTGAGGGCGTAGACCTTCATTCCGGTGTTTCGGAGGATGTGGGAGGTGAGCGCGAGGGCTTGCCCGCCTGAGGCGCCTTGGATGATAGCGACGGACATGGCGAATCTGTGTGAGTCTCTGGTTGGATAGGGCGAGACTGAGGGAAGGGGTATGGTATGGTCGAGCGGCAGTGGACAGGTAGCAGGAGTAGTGAGATCGAGATCGTGGTGGACATCCTCCACCCAAAGGCTGGCTGGGCGGTTCTGACGTCATCGAGATGACGCGCAACTCGACGCGACTTGCCAGGCCAACGCCAGGCGCGTCCCTCTCTTCTGCCCATGACATTCATTACTCAGCTATGGGGGATGAGAAGATGCGCAGGTACGCTGGCTGAGTACTGACTACACTGTCACTGATACATGCTAACTTCTGACCAGCATCAAGGGGATCAAGGCGCTTCTGATCGATCTGAACGGGACCGTACATGTCGGGAACGACCCAACACCTCGGGCTGCGGAGGCTATCGCTAAGCTCCGGCGGGCTCATATCCCCTTCCTCTTCTGGTGAGTTGGTTCACACTCACGCGAGAGCCTCACTGACACCTCAGCTCGAACAACACCAAGGAGAGCACGAAGGACGCTGTTCAGCGGCTCGCAGATATGGGAATCTCGGCCGAGACCGAGGAGGTCATGACTAGTCTTGGGGCATGTCGGCAGCTCGTAGATGACCAGAAGCTCAGGTGAGCATGTGTGCATGTCCAGGAGACCAAGCTGAAAGTGTAGACCATATCTGCTGCTCTCCCCGTCGGCAAAAGAGGAGTTTGCTCATCTCCCTGTTGTCCGGCCAGACGAGCACGACTCGGTCATACTAGGTCAACATCCGCCCTCGCTATCTTACGAGGCACTCAATAAAGCATTCCGTATCCTCAAAGGCGAGCCTATAGCACACGACCAAAACCCCAATCGACCAGACAGGAAACCGTTACTCATCGCACCACATACGTCGTCCTTCCTGCAAGCACCAGCAACGTCCGACCTTCCAGCCGGTCTGTCCCTCGGCTTGGGGCCGTTCGTCAAAGCGCTCGAAAGTGCTACTGGACTGGAAGCGACCATCGTCGGTAAGCCGACCAGGCGGTTCTTTGAGATGGCTATAGAGAGGCTGAACGAGCTGTACCCCGGCGAACGAGAAGCAGGGGAGTATGCGGTGGTCGGGGATGACATAGTGAATGATCTTGGGGCAGGGACTACTGAGCTTGGGTTGCGCCGTATACTAGGTGAGTGGCACTATGGCATCGGTCAGGCGTGGCTGATTTGGCAGTGCGGACCGGAAAGTATCGGCCTGGCGCGGAGGCTGGGGAGAGACCTCCTGATTCGATCTTTGATAAATTTGCAGATCTGGTAGATGCTATAGTATAGAAGCTATCGAGCATGTTCCCGGCACGTCGCTGTTTGAATTGACGGCGAAATGTAAGGACAGAGGCGGAAGATATACATAGCTTTTGCGCCACCTTCATCGACCCGAAATTTTGCTTCCGCCTACCACCAACTGAAGCAGGTCACCGCGAAATTCGCTCCTCCCACCATCATCTATCCTACAGCCAACCTCCATATCATCACCCACAATGGCCGCTCTCTCCCTCTCAGCAGGACCACGATCAGCCTTCGCATCGCTCACCCGGTGGACAGCGCTCCGACCGAGCTGGTCTCTTCCCTGCGTCCCTTCTAGCTCAGCCTCGACTTCTGCCTCTTCTCCCCTTCCCCGCTCAGCCGTCCCCGCCGGTGAAGCGGCCCTGCCATCTCTCGAGCGGCCGACTGCACCATGGAGCTTGTCTCTTATCCCATTGCTCGATTCGCTAGCGGAGTTGTTCCCGCCGATCTTGCTCGCCGTGCCGAAAAGCAAGGTGTCGCATTCGAGGAAGAGTATGAGGAGCGCAAATAAGGGATTGAAGAACAAGACGAGTGCGTGTTCCCATCTCGTCTTTGTGCGGGACTCTATGTTCAGAGGCAAGGCGATTGCAGGAGCATGGATGGGCGGTAGATAGGCTGGAGGGGAGAGGCTGCTACTTCGACCGGCCGTAGGCTGACGATACAGACTTCTCGCAGTGCGAAGCATGCGGGCTTATCAAGCTCGCACACAATGTCTGCCCCAACTGCTACTCGCAGATATCACGACGGTCAGCTTGATCATCCTGACACGCGAGCCAGCAACGACACAGAGCTGACTTCTCCAGGTGGAAGAGAGAAGCGAGAGGAGAGGTACCGCCTGCTGGATCCGCTGGAGGAGGATCGGCGTCCGCGGAGGTATGAGGGACAGCGGAATGCGGGCGGAACGAAGGGATGAGGCGACGAGGTTAGGGGGAGCGTTATAGGGGTCGCGGCTTGAGTGAGGGAAGACCGCCGATATGGAGGGGGAAATGCTGTTCCACTTCTGGTCTCGACTTGTAGATATCCATCATCCCTTTATGGCAGTTTATCGCCTGGGAAGATACACTTCCACAGTTTTCTCTCGATGGAGAATCCAGTAGCAAATGCCCGGCCAAGCCTAGCCTAAATGGTTTGCAGTTCCAAGACATCCTGATCGAGGAATGCGGAGCGGTCAAGTTAGCGACTTTTGCATCTCTGCTTCCCCATTCATCTTCATCGTCATGTACTGGTACATCTCCTTCTTGAGGCCGCCTCCCGTCTCTGTCGAGTCTGGAGGTACCATCACCATCACTCCTCAAGTAGCCAACGACCTGCGCACCGAGTGGGTACGCGCCTACCTCTTCACTCGGAGCTCCAGACAAATTCAGCTGTATTTGGTGGCCTCAGCTGACTCTCGCAGACTTCGATATGATCCCACCGAAATCTACTATACCTGGCAGCGGACCGAGCCATCTATACAGCCCTCACTACCTTCGGAACATCTGACGAGTTTCGTTCCGCCCGAAAGCACCTATCGACCACTCAGCATCCCACTCCCTGCTAAGGCTGGTATCGGCGAGAAATGGCGGCTATGCCTTTTCGCACCGGGCCCTCCTGCCTCGTCTTTACGGTCGGATAGCGTCGAGACCGGTCGGCAAGACATCCTCGCTCTGACCGGGCCAAGCGCGAAGTGCTCCCCTATCAGTGTCTGGAGCGAGGGCATAGAGATTGTCCGGCCGGCCGGCGCGAGTACTGGCGGAGTGACCAAGGGGGTCGGCGGGCAGGGTGGCAAGGGAAGGGCCAAGGGGAAAGGCAAGGCGGAGGATAAGGATAAAGCGAAAGGGAAGGGAAAGGAGAAAGACGAGACTGTCAAGCAGACCAGGATCACGAGGGAATGGTCTACGCCGTCGGGGGTATTGAAGGTGGTAGAGCAGACGTCTTTCGATCTGGACAAGGTAAGTTCCTGGCATTAGGGACGTGGACGAGCTGACGAGCAGAAAATATGGGACTCGGGCCTTGCCCTCTCATCTTGGCTGTACCGCCATATACCAGCAGCTATTGCCCACCCAGCAGACACCTCCGACCTCCCAAAACCTGAACCAAGGGCGAGGTTCTTGCTGGGATATGTGACCGCCGTGCTCGGTATCACCGATCACGCTCATAACATCATCGAGCTGGGTAAGTCGGCCTCGCCTCTAGATACAGGCGCATGCTGACGCGCTAGGAAGCGGTACCGGTCTCGTCTCTATCGCTCTTCACTCCATGATCGGTGCTAAAGCCATGTCGAATCGAGGTAGAATCATAGCGACGGATCTGGGTGAGCTCACCCGCCGGACAGTAACATGCAGCAGCTGACATCTAGAATCCGCTCTCGAGCTCATGGACGAGAACATGTCGCTCAATCAGTCATCAAACGCTCCGGAAGCAGACGAGGGGTTGTGCGTCCATGCTCGAGTACTGGACTGGGACCAGCCTCTTCCAGCCTGGATCAGCGACGACTCGCGTGACGTTGGAAAGCGATGGCCAAGCCTCATCATGTGCGGCTCCTTCTGCCCTCCGAAACAGCGGGATATAGCTGACATCTGCAGTTCCGCAGATGTGACATACAACACCGCCTCATTCCCATCTCTCGTCCGCACCCTCACCGCCCTACTCAGACCAGGATCTCCAGACGAGAAGCAGCCGATGCTGCTTCTTGCGTACAAGCAGAGAGATCCTGGAGAACGGGAGCTGTGGAAGATGCTCGAAGACGTAGGGATTGTGATGCGGCTTGCGGATACGATCGAGGGCGCGGATGGGGGCGAAGGGGCAGTAGAGATCTGGCTGGGATCCTGCGAGGAGAGCACAATGATGCGCTATGACCTTAGTGACTATGAGGATACAACGGCGTAGTCTATGCAGCCTATGTCCCCTGTCGCTCGGCTGGGACCCCTCCCGCGGCAAGGCCTGGGTGGACCTAAGATCTGCGACTCATTCCTCAAAGTGCCACACACAGACACGGTGACGTGGCATTACCTTCAGCCGGATCAAGCTGTGACCGGCCGATTTAGCCGGTCTTACAAAGCTTGTGAATCCCGGCATGATCTCTCGACTCGGATCACCCATCACTGCTTGCTAAAGTCCTTATAGTCCAGCTACTACCCATCCCCCTTCGCTAGCAGGAATGCCCATGGTCATGTCCTCCCGTTCGGCACACCACCAGCCCTCGCAAGGCGATCTCGACCTCCTCGCTCTCTTGACCTCCGATTCAAGCTCCATGGGTCCGCTCTCTGGCTCCACACCTGCGCATGGCGATACGCATCCACATGGACCCAAAGCAAAGAAGCAGCTACCTCGGCGGGAGAACCCTGTAGATGCGCTTTTGATCAGTGCGGTCTTGGCCGGAAGTGGGCCAGTGACGAGGCATCATTTGGGGCACGGCGTCGGTAAGTCTCAGGTCAGACGAGCCGGAGGCACTAGCTGACGAACAGCCCGTCCCGGGGCCTATGCGTCATGCGACGAGCCGCCAGCGTCCTCTCCATCTCGCGATCCTATCCCCAACAAGGTGGTCATGCGCTCTCTGCAAGCTCCACGGTCGGAGCGGCTCCGGGTCCAGCAGGAGGCCGGGGCGCAACACCACGTCCCGCTTGAAAAGCTCGGTCAATCATCCACCTCCCCGGAGCCAGCTACCAGCCCATCGGGGATGGAAGCTCGCTCGCCAAAGACCGCAAGGTCGATGAGCTTGTCCTTTGGCAAGGATCGGCCTAAGCGGCGGATGAGCATCGATCCTGCCCCGGTATCGCAGATGCTCCAGGCGGCGAGTCCCAATGTCAACTTCTTCGCGCACGCCCAGCCTGGAGCGGCGTCTCAGACGGCTCTGCGGCGGCAAACGGGCTCACGCCCTCTTGTCCGGTGTATGGCCCGTACCCGTATCCCTACCCCTCACGGCGAGCTCTTCCTTCACCTCTACCACAACACCGCGGATAACAAGGAACACCTCGCTATCGTTATCGACCCCATCCAGCTATCGTCGGAAGATCGCGCGGCGTCTCCAAAGGGAAGAAGGGAGATCCGGAGTCGGACCCTGAACGAGCAGTGGAGAGAAGGGGAGACGGATATGGAGCGGGTCGTGAGAGGGGCGTACGTCGGCCGATTGTTGCCTGGAGGAGAAGGGCAGGCGAGTGTGCCTAGCACGGATCGTCCGGGAAGGATAGAAGAGGAGACCGAGGCGGTAGAGGATATTCTGCCTTTGGTCCGGATCCACTCGGAGTGCTTTACTGGCGAGACCATCGGGTCGATGCGGTGCGACTGCGGCGAGCAGCTCGACGAGGCTATGCGTCTCATCGCGCAGCCTCAGCCCCTTCCCTCTCACTCTCGCCAGGACATCCTCCCCACACCCGCAGATTCCCGCGCTGCTTCCCCTTCGTCTTCGGCCACCGTCCCCGGCCGCGGTGTCGTCATCTACATGCGCCAAGAAGGACGGGGTATCGGTCTCCTCGAGAAGATCCGGGCCTACAACCTCCAGGATCTCGGACACGATACCGTCACTGCCAACCTCATGCTCGGACACGGCGCCGACGAACGGAAGTATGACGTTGCAGCGGAGATACTGCGTGATTTGGGCTTGGCGGGTGAAGAGGGTGAGGGGATCCGGTTGTTGACGAATAACCCGGATAAGGTCGGGGGTCTGGCCAAGGAGGGGGTACAAGTGAGGGAGAGGGTGGGCATGGTGCCTCGGGATTGGAAGTGCCGGGATGGGGGATTAGGGGATGAGCAGGATTATGCGGATTGGAGGGAGAGGAGGGCGGGGGTGGGGCTGATCGGGGCGGGTAAAGCGAGTGGGGTGGAGTTGGAGAAGTATCTCAGGACAAAGGTGGAGAGGATGGGACATAGTGAGTCAACATACAAGCTGGAGGGGGCTGTGCTGATGGCCAGTGATCGATATCCCGGATGAGCATCGAGCGGACAAACAATGAGGTCAGGATTTTGTTGGCGGGTATGTAATAATTAAGCGGATGATGCGAGGATCGACAGCACCCATGTCAAGAATACCGAGCTTAGCGCAACGCTCACGCTACTCACTGACCCACATGTAGATCTTGACTGGTGGCCCGGTGGCCCTCCTGCACGGCGCCTTAAAACCAGGACCTCCATCATCTAAGCGACGAATCCCTAAGATGGCGACATACCACTAGGCCAAGCCAGCTGTGGGTGAAATTGGCTGGCAACTTCTGATGTTGACCGGGGCGCTGCGCGGTGTATGGAGGCAAACAACATTCCTCCTCTGTTCAGCCCGAGAGAAGCGCGCGCGACAGCTTGAAACCGCCTGACGAAGCCGAATCTGTGAGTAACTCTGTATATCCCGAATTAGCGCCCAGCTGCTCTTCCTCTCGTGCTGCGCCTACTTGGCCCTATCACACTAGACTTATCAGTCTTCGCCTTGCCCTCGAGGAGAGAATAGCTCATGAGGTGATGCGAGCGCCGGGGCGGGAACGTGAAATCTATCCATCTTATATATATAAGCTCAATCGTACGATTCTGAATAATATCACCTCCTGCTGATGCTGCTGGTCTCGCCCTTCTTTTTCACCTCAAACCGCCAGCTCTGTGACTGTCTCTCCCTCCAGAATTGTCATCTCCTCCTCCAACCCGCCAATCGTGAGAAGGTACCGCTGCACCTCCCCTTGAGGTCCCCCGCGCAGCTTCATGGGGTCTTCGAGCCGAGCATAGTGGTCTGACAAGGGCGGGGAGCGAGTGAGTCGAAGCTTGATCCATTGCTGGGCGAACGATTCGGCCCAGAGATGAGCGGGACGGCCGCCTTTGTAGCCTGTATATTAGCATCGCCTCAGCCACATAATTGAGGGAAGAAGCGTACTTTGAGCTGCTTCCTTGCGATGGAGTAGCTCCCTCAGCTCGTCAGACTCGGCAGGTACCACTCTGAGCTTATCAAGTTGGCTTTATATCAGCTGGGATCGCGGCGCATTAGGGGGTACTCACTACCAGCCAGCAAACTCGAGATTGTCATTCCTGCGCGTAGACTCGAGGAAGAGCGGAAGGGGCCGACCAAAGTTCCTCTTTTTCCCCTCCCCTTCCGCTCCATAGTCTTCCATCAACGCCTCCGCGCTAGTATGAATCCAGAGCTCGCCCGCGCTTTCCCAGTCGGGATGAGCGTTCTGGAAGACCGTAATGTAGCTGATGAGGTGACCGAGGACGTGCGCGGAGGCGGGCGGAGGCGGACTGGGAGGGAGGGGAGTGTCCTCAGGGGCTCGGAAGGGATCGTAAGCGAGACGAGCGCGGCGAGGGGGAGGAGGGGGTTTGTGGGAGAACATGGTGAAGGTGGAATCTTGGGGATGGTTGAAATGTCGGCCAATGGCGTATCGCGAGTAAAGTTCGGTAGAGGTTCGAGGGGGAGCGCGGGGCCTGTAGTCGGGCGGTAGGGTAGAAGAGGAGGGAGGGGCACATCCCGCGCGCTTGGAGGGGGGGGACGTACATGGCTGCAAGGTGCAAGAATGAGAGGTGATTGGAAGAGTGACGGGCCGAAAATCGTTGGCTTTGGCTGGCGTTGGCTGAAACGCTATGACTTACGGCATGACGCGTTGCATCTGATCACGTGCAGAGGGTGCGAGACCGGGCTGTTACAGGCCCTTCCGCGGCATGAGAGACCGGAGCGATAGCCTAGAGTAGCCCAGGGCGCTCGAGTCGTTGCAAGGTTGCAGTAGCGTAGTATATAAGCATTATACATCTCTTCTTCGCCACGACTGTAATGAACGTCTGCCCGGATCCCTATCTGTTCACTTTGTCCCTTTACCCGCCTATACTACACCTCGCTGACCTCCCCTCCTCCCTTCATCACCGACCAGACAGCATGATGGGCGATCCTAGTCGGACCGAGCAGAGGCAGGACCGCCGAAATCGTTCAGGTCGACGTCGAGCTTGAAGGGAGACGCGGAATGGTAAGGGGCGTTCAGGTTGACGAATCCGCCGTCGATGAGGGTGCGCCGAGCGATTGGCGGCCCGGCTTGAGCAACAATATAGTCCCGGAGCTCTTCGATCCGACGGTCCTTGAGGCGGGAGTTACCGTCCAGGAAGCGAATATGGGCAACCCGGTGCTCGTCCCGCCCCTCTAGCATTGCGATCGTCCTGGCCTGCTTCCGGATCGTCTCGCTGGAGTATATGAGTGCTTCTTCCTTGGAGCGAAGGTTATCGTGTAGGTTTTCAATCTCTGTGCTGTGCTGCTCAGCCAGGTTCTGCAAGTTTCAGCTCATCACTCCGACCTTGTAGAATAGAGGAGAGGACAGACTGACCTTCGAGCACGCGCAGCACGCTCCAGAGTGACTCTTCTGACTCGCAGCTTGATCAACAGCCGCCGACTGGGCATCTACAAAGTCAGCACAGTCTCTGGTCAGGGACGAGGGGGGGATGGGGCTGATCTCACTGATCTGCCCGTCTGGTCTACTAGGAAGACCCATAGCCTCCAGATCCTGCCCTTCCTTCCCGCCTCCCTCCTCGGATCCGAATAGCGACGAAAGCCCCGTGTCGCTGCTTTGGCTCCTGATGGCTTCCTGGTCTTCGCTGATTCGATCAATGCCGAGCTCCGAGAAGGGCATTCGGGTTACGCCGGACAGCGAAGTCATTGTTGAGGATGGCCTGGGGCGTACGTACGGACTCTACGGGATCAGGTGAGTCGCTGATTTCCTCGAAGGGAGACGTACAGCTGTATACCTACGTCTATTAGGAACACTGAAGGCTGAGGAAGCTCGATACATGGGACTGAGATGAGCTGCAGGTCAGCGGATGCGGGAGCAGCAGACGCGTAGAGACACTCACTGTTATATATGTCTGCGACGGAGAAGGATGACGTATGAACGATGGAGACTCGAGAGGGAAGGAAGAAGGAAACGAGAAAGGCGTGGCAGTGGCGACTTGCGCTTGGACCGCCAGGTTGACTAACCCGGGCCCCGAGGTTGAGCTCGGACCGCCAAGTAAGATTTCCGCGTGACCGTTGCTGCACTACCTCTGGCTATTACACCTTCGCTCAGTATATGAGCATCGGCCTTGTCAGTTGCGAATCTGCACCTCGCGGACGCCAGCTGCTGGAGGCCAGGCCCTGGACAGGCTGGACAGACAGTTCTTGCCCTTCCCAGGGGCTCAAATTCTCCGACCCGGAGCGGGCATTAGCAGATGATCAGCTTCTTCTGAAGGTGCATTAGTCAATACGAGTATCAATATGAAGCAGATGAGGTCATGTTCGTCCATCCAGCCCCTCTTCTCCGCGCGACATCCTGTCCCTACATACCGCATCAGCGCAGACTCCTACATCCCCTTCAACGCGACGGATGTCTCCTGGTCGGCTCCTGTCAAAGGCGGAAAGGTGACGCAATAGGACTGCTGAGATATTTCGGTCCTCTGCGCAGTGGACAGCATGGTCTGGCTCGAATCGGTGAGAGGGATCATTGGTAAGAAGCGACACCGTGACAGTCGGACATCCTCATCATGGTCGTTAGCCCGAACGCTAAATAACGGCATCTGTGTGTACATGGCGTTGCATAAGATCACGTGCAGCTGTTTTGGGGTGGCCTCGAGGCTTTGGCCGTATAAGAAAGCGCGCTGCTGCCTTCCTCCATGTTGGCATTGCCTCTCATCGTCAACATGAGCGATTCCGAAGTCGACGAAAATGCGTACATCGCCACCAATGGCGAAGACTACTTTGTGGACGATCCTCGTCAGATGGGAGATGTGGTCATTATGACGGACGGGAAGGAAGATGAGCCTCAGGCGTGGAGGATGGACAAGGGGATCATGATGATGGCCAGGTGAGTCCGCCTTCCTTCCTTCGACAGACTTCTCAACTACTCCCTGATTCAAGCTGAGACTCCAGTCCCATCTTCAAGGAGATGCTTGATAAGGCCCCCATCGGGACCTACGAGCTCGTCACCCCCGAAGCGGACCATTTTACCCTCAACGTCTTTGTCCGCGCCATCGAAGGCATCGCGCACGAACAGCTCGATCAGGATGAGTGGAGGGCCGAGGCTGGCATCAAACTCGCCATCAAGTACAAGGCCACCGAGGCTGCCAAGTTCCTTCTCTCTCACTCCATCGGGATCCTCAGCTCCGGCGACGCGACCTCTACCTCGCCTTCACTCTCGCATGTCAGCTCGACGACCGCCTCTCCGCCTTTCATATCCTCGCTCAGGGGTGGAAGGGATACGACAAGTATCGTCCCATCGCCGTCTCCCTCATCCCCTTCTCGCCCGTACGACCTTGGTCGGCCGAGCACGCCGGACGGATCGACTGGGTCTGGCTTTCGGCGCTTGTCCTCGCAACGCAGGGGGCTTCGAAGGCTACTGAGGCGCATCTGGCGGATCGGTCGTACTGGCGTGCCATTGCGGGAGACTTTCTGCAGAAGTTGGTGTCTCTCGGTATGGTTTTTTCGCTCGGGCTCAATTTGAAGTTGGAAGCTGATCCGTCAGCTCCGCGTTGAACGCCTTCCGCAGGTGTCAAAAGTTAGAGGGCAACGTAAGTATGAGAAGGGGTAGTGCTGATCAGGCAGCATCTAGCTCTACACCCGGTGTACACCTCAACATCCCTCCTCATGCCACGCACCCCCCGATCACGAATGCCCGCTGCACGTCAAAGTAGCTAGAAGTCTGCCAGTAGTATGAGTCTGTCAATAGTATTAGTATGTCGATAGTAAGAGTCTGTCAATAGTATGAGTATGTAAGCGTATCAAATACTGTCATACATGCCAAACACTTCTATCCTTACCGCCCCGCCGCAAACCCATACCTCTCGCCGACATTCCTCGCCATAATATCCTTGACCGGACCGAGCAGACGAGTGAACGCCTGTTCGCCGAGTGCAGCCACACGTAGCTGGCCGCCGGAAGCGCGGACGCTCGCCGCTCGGGTCTGACGATTGAGCAGCGCGAGTTCTATCATCAGCCCAGTCCACTCCGGTCAAAGCGGCTTGCTCACCTCCAAAGTAATCCCCCTTGACGTATTGCTTTACCACCACATCCTTCCCATCCTGCTTCTTGACCGCCACCGCCGATCCCTGCTCGATCAGGAAGAACTCTTCTCCCTCATCCCCCTCCTTGATGACGTCCTCTCCCTCGCCAAAGGTCCTCGACTCGAGGACGTCGGCGATCTTGGCGCGTTCTTGCGGCTGCAGCGAGGCGAGAATGGGGACCTCGGAGAGGAAGGTCTCGTATAGGCGACGCTTGCGGGAGGTGTGCTATTATCAGCTAAGCCAGATGATTACTTACGTCGAGGAGGATGGTACGGAACGAAACCCGGTCCAGAGCCCAGAGGGTACACTCCGAGGTCGAAATGATGGACGCGGCACGAGGAGCACTACATCAGCCGAGCCTAGCGTCGACTCACTTGTGCATCAACGCCAACTCTCCAAAGCTGTTGCCCTCCTTGCACGTCGCCACCTTCTTGCCCAACAACTGCTTGTCTCCCTTGTCGGCATCAATCATCTGCCCATCCTTCTTGACAAACACCTCGAGCGTCCCGCGCTCAACTACGTAAAAGTAGTCACCCGCCGCCCCCTGCTCAATGATCATTTCCCCCGCCCCGATATTGACCTCCTTCATTGCGCCGAGAACGTCCCGCTCTTGCTCCGGGTCGAGATTGCTAAAGAGGAAGTTGGGCGAGATGGCCGCCTTGATCCGCGCGAGCTGCTCGTCGGTCTTGGGGAAGTGTGGGGTCTGGGGCGCTTCCTCGTCTTCCTCCATGGTGGATTCGAGACCGGGACCTTTGCGGTGGTTCTGCGGGACGAGGGATTCGGCAGAGACGGATGTCCGCCGACCGAGCGCGTAAGACGGGATTGGGGGTTCATCGTTGTGCTCAGCCGGCGCGCCGAAGGGTGAGGTAAAGGCCATGCCTGACCGAGGCCCAGAGTTTGGTCCTCCATCATCATCCCCACCAAACGGGCTTGCCTCGCGGATAGGTTCCGCGGACGGTTGCGCACCGAATGGCGTTGAGGAGTTGAAGAGGCTCGAGCTGGACGCGATGGTTGCGCGACGGCCGCCGAAGGGTGAGTCGGACGGACCAGTCTCGGAGAAGGGCGAGAGGGTGCTACCTGGCGTGAAGTCCGCACGAGGGAGAGCACCAAGAGCGCCCGGGGCACCTCGCTTGATAGGGGCAGGAGCTTTACCGGCGGAACGCTACATCAGCTTTGTCGCTTTTGATCTCACCTCTCGCTTTAGTCTGGCCTGAAACCAGTCCGCACCGAACTGTACAACATCCTGTGGCTGCTCCTTGGCGACGTCCTTGTTGAGCTCGTTGAGCAGGTCGGTCCAGGAGGTGGAAGCCATGGTGAGGTATGGAGGGTGGAGATGGAAGTGGTCTACCTCCTTTGTGCTGGTTATAAGCCGATCGAGGAAGTAGTGGTGTCCGGCTGAGCTGCTCCTTCTGTTTGGCTGACTGGGTAGGATATAGTCTAGCGTGGGTAGATGTAGATGCAAGAGGAGATGTTGCGGTGCGGACCTTGGCTGTACTTTGTGGGGGGCGTCGAGAGGCACTTCAGGCACGACAGGGATCGCCCTTGACCGCTTTGGGAAATTCCAACTGCGCGCCACACGTCATGGCTAATCCGTGCGTGATCGACGCGTCAAAAAGTCAAAAGTCCATTCAACACATACATCTATCGTCGGGCTTTGGACATCTACCTCATTTACATATGTCAGTCGTCTAGAGCGTGGGCAGAATCATCTAAACACTCGCCCGCACCTGTGTACCCGCTTTTTCCGCTTGGAAATCGATAGACCCGCCGGTGAACCCAGGTCAAAGGAAGAGATGGCTTCGCCTTCCACGCCAACGCTCGAGCTGTCCAAGCTCTCCTTGGGTGACTACAGCGGTCCGCCGAGTCCCTCGGGCTCAAAGCATGAGCTGCTCTCGCCACCTGGTACTCCGACCCGGCCGAAGAGGAACCCACTGCGCGCTCAGTCGCATGCGAGCTTGAAGGATGCAGCCAAGCGACAGGCTGGTGTGGTTGATGACGGGTATGTGTTTCAATCGTCTGCCGGTACAGAGCTGATTGGAAGACTCGCAGAGATACGTGTGCTTCATCTTGAGGTGTCGAAGCTACAGGATCGGATGTACGGTAGGTTCTGACCGCTCTTGAAGCTGAAGCGAGCTGATGAGGCAGAAATCCAGGAGCTCCGACATTCATCGTCAGCACCTACAGAGCGCCTCAACATACTGTTGTCAAGTTTGACTGAGCAAGTGGAAGGTCTTGCTCCGCGCATGGGCGTCCTACTTGGAGAGAAGGGTGCAGCTGCGGCAGGACCGAGGGCGGATCTGAAGCAGGAATGGGACAAGCTGCTTCAACGGCAGAAGGTGCTGGGCGAGGAGATGAAGGAAGATGGGTGGCTGATACGATTCAGAACGTGAGTCTGCCCATAACAATCGAGATCTTGTGCTTATCTTTTAGGACAGCCGACCAGGCCGAGGCCATGATGGATCCTCTACAAAGGAGCCAGACCGACCTGTCAACATACCTCGACCGCTTGTCCGGAACCGCCACTCAGGCCGATCCGCGTGGTGATTTGAGCGTGTCTGGTCTAGACAAGCTTCATAAATCACACGAGTCACTAAAATCGTATGTCCGCTATCATCTGTAGCGAGACCCGGCTGACGCTCAGAACCTACCTTCCCAGCATCAACAAGATTCTCAAGATGATGGATCGCTCACTTCACGACCGCTCGACCAAAAACGGAGAAGCGCTACGTCGGTACGGGGATATGGAGACGCGCTGGACGGCTCTCCAGCGCTCTCTTGCCCAGCTCGACGCGAGGGTCAAGCTGGTCATATCTCAGTGTGAGCTGGACGAGGGAGGCGACGTCGAAGTTTTGGACGACCCCACCAGCCCCGCCTCCACCCTAGGTGCGAACGAAGGGGACTATCATCTAAAATCAAAACCACATCGGCTATCCGTCTCGTCCGGGAGCTCCTTCGCCGGCTTCTCTCCCCGCTCGAACCAATCGCCCCGCGTCATGCCCTCCCCAGCGTTCTCTATGGCCCCTGGCTCCCTCAGACGCCGGCCGTCCACCTCGTCCGTTGTGTCCAGCTCGACCAACCGACCTCAAGCGGAGAAGCCTCGGTGGAACGTCTCGACCAAGGTTGACCATTCGCCCAAGAACAGTCTCTCAACCCCAGCCCGGAATACCTTTGGGTATACGGGGCACGGATCGTACGGCGGAATCGGACGGGCAAGCAGCCCTACGCCGAGCAATATGAGCGGGATGACTTCGGTCTCGCGCAACATGACAGGCTCGCGGATACCCGTCGCCACGCCCAGGCGCGTCACGTCTGGGGTATCGTCATACGGCGGGCCTAGCCCACCTGGACGAAGCCCGACCACTCCAAATTCGAAACTTTCGGTCCCATCCCCACTCTCCACTCCCGCTCAACCATCCATGTACCGCGCACCACACACCACGCACATCCCCCGACAGAGCCTTTCCCGCGCGTCTACCGCCCCACTTGCCGCGTCAGCGCCCCGCGCTCGTCCTCTACGCACCACGGGCCCTCCATCCTCTTTTCGCCCTACCACGCCCTCCCCTTTTCCTCCTCTCCCTTCATCCCGCCCCGGGTCCCGTATGTCCATGGCGGGCGGCAGCGTGTCTGGCCGAGGCGGTATGGCCAGCTCCGTCCGGGGTCCAGCGCAAGATCTCCGGCCGTTCCATCCGAGCAAGTTTGATCTCCTCGATCAGACCGTTGCTGCGGTCATCGCCGAAGAAGGGTTTGACCTGTTTGTCGCTCGTGTGGATGCGCCTTTGCAAAGAGGTCAGCGAAAAGCGGAGAATGAAGAGTGGAAGGGGGAGTTTGTATTTGGAGCGGGCGAGAAGATGAGTCCCGTCAAGCTATTGATGCTGGCTGGGCCTCGGGTGGGCGCAGGCAAAGAGGCGGGCACGGGAAAGCGGACAAAGTGTCTGGTTAGAGTCGCGGGGATGTGGGTGGCCTTGGCGGATGTGTTGAGGGAGAGGAAGGCCAGAGCTGGGGATGTTTTTTGAGCGTTTTGCGGCGCACGTGTTGTATCCCTAGAGTTGTATAGTTTGCGTCTACAGTCTACAGTTGCTACCATTAACCACTAGATCCTAGCTAGCCAGCATATCATCTATCAAGCTTGGAGTGATCTCTATCCCATTCTTGGCGAGATAATCATCGCTCCAGAACTTGCTCTGATGCCTAGAACCCGAGTCACACCTGATTCGTCAGCCACTGATCAATGGAAGCAGGTTGTACCGGCGTAGCAATAGGAGTCTCACAAGATGGTAACTATTCTGGCGCCCTTTCCTAGTTTCTTCGCCAATCTGACGCTCGCGACAAGGTTACAAGCACTCGAGCTGCCCAGATAGAGCCCATTGTGGGTCACGAGATACCGCGACATGGCAACAGCTTCGACGTCCGTTATTCTGGTTATCAGCTCCTTCTAAAGTCTTATAGCAGGGAAGCGGTGCTGAAGGCTTACCTGTAAGCATCGTCGATAATGTCTAATCCCTGAGCAAAGTTATGCGTGATCTAGGATATCAGCAAAAGTCCAATGTCAAGCTGGCATAGAACTCACCCGGTTGATCCCTATCCCCTCGACTACCGTATCGACCTGGTGACGCCTCTTCTTCCCCTCGCTCTCTTTCGAGTCGTACATCACATTATACTTGACCTTATTATACAGTCCCGATCCTGCGGGTCAGCTCTTCACCTACTTGAGGATGATCTTAGCTCACCTTCCGGATCCGACATGACCACCTTCACCCCCCTCACATGCTCCTTCAAATATTTCCCGGTCCCACTGATCGTCCCTCCGGTCCCTGCCCCGCTCACGAACGCATCCAAATTCCCGCTCGTTTGCCGCAGAATCTCCGGTCCCGTCCCGTGATAGTGCGCATCAAAGTTGGACTGGTTCTCAAACTGATCGCAAAAGAAACCGCGGGGACGCTGGGCGGCCGCGATGGCGGAAGCGGAAGCGGAGGGGTTGAAGCGGACGCGAGTGCGACCTGATCGGGATACGGGCGGGGGCGAGGGACTGCGAGAGGGATGAGGCGAGGTTTCGAGTGGGGTAGCAGGACGTGTGGATGTGGAGGAGGAGGGGAAGGAGAAGTCGGTTATGGAGGAGTTGCGGGAAGAATCGGCGGGTGTTTGGGAGATGGTGACGAGGAGGTCGGGCTGGGTCTCGTCACTGTCCTCGGCGGAGCAGTGAGAAACGAGCTCTTTACGGCCAAACTCGTGCGCTCGCTTTCGGGCCATGTTCTGCGGGGTCAGCGATGGGGTCAAAGTCGAAGGGAGGATAGCACTGACGACGAATTGTTTCTCGTCGACATAGCTCGCTGAAAGCGTCAGCTGCGGCTTTCGGGCGGAAAAAGCAAACGTACCTGGTCGTACCCTCTCGACCCTAGCCCCTAGCTTCTCGAGCACCTGTACCTTCTCGATAGCCACATCGTCCGGCATGATGATGCAGCATTCGTAACCCCTGTGAATCAGTTCCTTCCTCCCGGCACACACGATCATTGAGCTCACTTTGCTCTGCCGACCGTAGCTAGGGAGATCCCTGTGCTCCCAACAGTCCCCTCAAAGAGCACCGAGCCTGTGTGGGGATGAAGCAGTCCATCCGCCTCTGCATCCTCGATGACTTGATTATCAGCTTGCAGCCTTTCACCAGCTCGAGAAGTAGCTTACTCCGGAGAGCCACGCGATCCTTGACGGATCCGCCTGGATTCAAGAACTGTTGCAAGGTCAGCTGGATCCACCTTTCAGGGGTCATCGTCTGGTGACATACTTCGCACTTGCCCATTATCTCGACCCCGAGGGCATCACTGAGCGAGTTGATCCGTATCAACGGTGTATTGCCTATGCCCTCAGCTCGGACCCCTCATTCCGACCGATACTCCCAACCATGACAGCGCACTGTCTACTGGCCTCGAAACGCACCTATCAGACCTATCATCCCATTGCCAATCTCCTCCGCACGTAGCTCGATAGGCCTGGGCGGTATCCGCTGGATAGCCTTCTTGCGCTTATACTGCTGTAACAGCAAAGCCGCCGATGTCGACGAAAGGGAGAGCGAAATCCCAAGGAGGAGGCCGAGGACGAGGTCTCGCGTGAGCCGGCGAGGCAGGGTGAACCATCCTTGGAGGCGAGGAAAGAGGGAAGAGGGCGCGAGCGAGGACAGGAAGGCTGGCCAGGCCATAGCGTCGCGAGTCGTGAGGAGGAAGGAGTTGAGATGAGGAATGAGGAGCGAAATATTTCTGAGTTTGGGTGAAAGGCTAATTAAAAGCCCACTGAAGTTACTTTGGAGATAGCGACCCTACGCACCGGACCTAGATGCGCAGGATCTTGAACAACACGCAGTAAGCTAGCATACGATATACAAGATGACTACCCAAACATCCGCCCTACTCGTTCCCGTTCATATCCAGCTTGCCCGCATAGTGCCTCCCATCCATCATGTGCCCATTCAGCAACTCTGCAAACTCGCCTACGCCCGGAAGACCGCCCTTCTGCTCCTCCTTGAACTGCTTGATGACCTTGGCGAGGTTATCCGCGCCGAACCCAAAGTGCTTGTACAGGACGTCCTGAGGCGCCGACAGGCCGAACGTGTGCATGTGACACCCTGCGTGCGCATAACGTGGCCACGAGAGCGAGCCCCATGCCTCGATAGCGACGACGAGGGACTTGGTCGTGGGGAGGACGGACCGGCGGTATTCTTTGGATTGGAGATCAAAGTGGCGTTGACTGGGCATGGAGACGACGCGGACGTTCCCCCCGATCGCCTTGGCCACTTCGACGGCGCGATAGACTTCGCACCCGGTAGAAACGAGGGTGAGGTTCGGCTCGACGTCCCCGCCGTAGATGATGTAAGCGCCCTTGGCGACTTTCGTGCGGTCCGAGCCTTCGAGAAGAGGGACGGCTTGGCGCGAGAGGGAGAGGAGGGAGGGGTGGCTGGCTTCTTGCTCGGACAGAGCAAGCATCCACGCGCCGACGACTTCTTCTGCGTCGGCCGGGCGGATGAAGTTTTGGTTGGGCAGGCCGCGGTAAAAGTTGGCGAGGGAGACGGGCTGGTGCGTCGGTCCGTCCTCGCCCAGACCGAGACCGTCGTGCGTGGCGATCCCGATGATGCGGAGGCGTTGAAGCGCGGCCATTCGGGCGGCAGGCGCGGCGTACAGCCAGAACATAAAGAAGGTGGACATGATACTGTCGTCAGCACGGCCAAGACAAGTACTCACGGAATAAACATCCCCTTCTGGTATGCCGCCATCCCATTCCCGCACGCCACCATCGCAAACTCCCTGATGCCCCACATCATCTGCCGCCCAGTGTAGTCCCCAAGCCCAGAGGCAGGGTTCTGGAACTGGACCTGCCCCTTGAAGTTGACAAAGGTGCTCTCCATGAGATCCGCCGAGCCCGATACAAACGTCTCGTCCGCCGGGACGAGAGCCTGAACCATAATCCCGCTGGCTTTGCGAGTGGGGACAGCGTCCTGCGGAAGCTTGTCCTTCGAAGGGACAGACGATTCCCATCCCTCCCTCAGCTTGCCCGCCTGGCGCCGCTGAAGCTCCTTGAAGTCTTCTGGGAACTTTTTGGCATAGTCCGCCATCATCCCGTTGTACTCGTCCTCGATGGTCTTGCCTCGAGCGCCGCACTCGCCAAAGAAGTCATAGACCTCCTTGCCGACCGTAAACTTGTCGGCGGTGTTGAAGCCGAGCTGCTTTTTGACGTGTGCGACGTCGTCCGGTCCAAGAGCCGCACCGTGCACCGAGCCCGTGTTTTGCTTTTGCGACCCGATACCGATAATAGTACGAATATTGACGAGGGTAGGCTTGCCCTTGGTGTGCTTAGCGAGCTCGAGAGCAGCGACAATGCCAGCGATCTGATCAGCCAAGCTCAAGCAACAACTCACATCGTTAGATCCGTCATACACCTCAATCACCTCCCAGCCCATCGCGCGTAGCTTGGCGGACGTGTCGTCCGTGAAGCACATGTCGATCGAGCCGTCCACGGTGACTCGGTTGTTGTCGTATATGAGCACGAGGTTGTCCAAGCCGAGATGACCAGCAATGGAGCAGGCTACATCAGCTCCACTCCAGCTTAGACTCACCTTCCTGTCCTACGCCCTCCTGGAGACATCCATCACCCGTCATCGCCCAGATCTTGCCGTCCACCACAGGATACCCGTCCTTGTTGAACCTCGCCCCGATCTGCTTGCCCGCCATAGCCATCCCCACTGCATTGGCGATACCCTGCCCCAATGGCCCCGTCGACGCCTCGATACCGGGGTACTCGATCTCCGGGTGGCCCGCGGCCATGTGCTCGGTCGAAGGCGAGTGGTACTTGCGGATCTCGTCGAGTGTCCATCCCTCGTACCCGGAAAAGTGAAGCATGAGGTACTGGAGAAGACAGGCGTGCCCAACCGACAAGACGAAGCGGTCTCGACCGAACCAGGAGGGGTTGGCAGGGTTGTACCGCATGACATGGCGCCAGAGGGCTACACCGATAGCAGCGGCGCCCATGACTGTGCCGGGATGGCCGCCTTTGAACTGTCGTCAGCTCGAGTGGGGGTGAGGCTCACCTCTTGGCAGAGATCTGCAGCGAGACATCGGATTGTATTGAGCACAAGCTGTTCCTTCTCGGCCTACAAGTCAGCTTGGACGAGAGTGTGAGTGGTGCACTCACGGCAGTTCCGTCCTTCTGGGGGACATTCGGCTTGCGGTCGAGGCCGTTCGAGTGGCCATCCTGGCCATTGCTAGTTGCGATAGGTGACATGGTGTATTGCTGTGGAGGGTGGACGACTTCTCTGGGCGACATCCACCTTCTGACTTTATAGAACCCCTTCTGCCGGTCCGGTCTACCGCGGGATACCGGTAAACGCCTGTTACCCGAAGATATGCATCGTCCCGAGAGACTCAGCTCCGAAGCGTGCTGGGCACTGGGCTGGCCGAGCTAGCGTTTACGCATGCGCAAGGGTGATATCACCCCGGTGGAGCAGGTGGTGGTCCAGCGAAGTGGAGGCGGAGGCGATAACTCCGGGCCCGGGGAAATAGCGATTCCGCAATAGGCGCGAGCGACCACAAGCCTTTCCTGCACAAGCCTATCTCGACCTCGGGGTCCCTCACGCCTAATTCCTGCCCACCCATCCACCTTGAACTGATTCGCGGATGACCTCTCTATCGCATCTACGCCAATATGACGACAATACCCTCTAGACTAGCCAAGCTGGCTACATCCTCGACCTCCATCGAACAGGCGCGGAGACGGAGCATCGATGCGTACAGAGCTTGGTACAGATCGGTACGTTTAGCTCGTCTCGCAGGATATACCCTTCTCTGCTTCTTCCCGAGAATTAGCTTTTGGCCGCGCGCATCCGGAGTAGCGACTCAAGCTGATCTCTCAGGCACCCGAGATTGTCGCTCTCTACGCCCTGAACATCTCTCCCTCGATGATCCGTATCAAGATACGCCAGGAGTTCGAAAAGAACCGCGCAGTGACGGATCTTTCAATCATCGACATGCTGCTTCACAAGAACCAGCAGGAGTATCAGGAGACCATGAATTGCTGGAAGCAGGAGGTGAGCTCTCTCTGGCAAGATATCAGACAGGAGCTGATATTTAGCCCCACATCCTGCACTGGTTCAAGCAGTACGACGACCCACCACCACCCCAGACCTTCCTCGACAAATTCTACGCTGGGCGGGACGATCCCAAGCAGATCGCCGCTTTCTAGGGTGGACAGAGATGCATTGTATAGCTGGAACTGGTGCCCAGAGCATACATTGACCTTATACAACAAGCTCATTCTAGATCACTTTTGATGCTACATGACCCTCCTAATACCCCTCAGAACCCGTCCGTCTCCGCCATAGCCGCCAGCGCATCATCATCAATCTCCCCATAGTCCATATCCGCATCCACCGCCCGTGCTCCGTTCGCCGGCGGCATCTCCCGATCCCTCTCCCTCGCGGCCATCGCCTCGATCTCGGCATCCCCATCAAGATCCGGATCCACCTCCATCGGCTCATACCCCTCCATCGCCAGCGCCGGCGTTCTCGCCGTCCCAAACGCTTCTCCGTATTCTCTCTGCGCACGCTCCATCTCCACCCGATCCCGTTCTTGCTTCGCCTCGATGTCTTCCAGCGTCCACAGACTGATTCCCGTTTGCGTATGGTCGAACGGCTGACTGATCTGCCGGATGAACTTTTTGGAAAGGGAGATGGCCATATCGGTCGACATGTTGGAGTGGGCCTCGATAATGTACTGATTGATCCATTTGGGTAGACGAGATCGCTTGTCTTGTCTGGCGAAGCGCTACTGGGTCAGCTGCGTACCTCAGGTGACCGGGAACTGACCTTGTCTGCAAACACCATCAACCCCCAGTCGGTCTTTCCTCGCAATACTCGCCCGACACACTGGGCCGCATGCCGCATGGCATCGAAAGTGAGGTAGTCGTTCTCCTTGATCCGATAGCTGTCGCGCAGGAATTCCAGGCGGGCCTTGAGGATACGCGACTCGGTGTACTGGTAGGGGATACCGAACATGATCACGGCTCGGCCATAATTGCTGAAGTGTCAGCTGACTTCTGCGCGATGACAGAAGACCACATAGCTCACTGATCAAAATCGATCCCCTCGGACACCTTCCCTCTGGCAACAGAAAGCAAGACCGCCCCTCTGCCGTTATTGCACGCCTCACGATAATTCTTGAGCGCAATACTCGTCTCCATCGCATCCGGCGTCTCCACAAACAAGAGCTTGTGCTTCCACACCTCACTTAGGATACCCTGCACATCAGCCCCGCTCTCTTCTCATTGTCCATACTTACCATATCGTACCAAGCCGACACTATACTCTCCATGTACAGATAACTCGGGAAGAAAGCGACAATCCCATCAGGTACCGTCTTACTCATATCAATGAGGATACTTCCAAAGTTCCGTACCACGGCGGGATCATTCCGGACCTCGAAGCGGGAAGAGATGGGGACTTGATCGGAACCGCGAGTGATGACCATGGGGAAGAAGGCGTTTCGGGTGAGGGTCATGGGGTAAGATTCCATCCGGGTAGGCTGGAATCCCAGGATCTTGGGGTACATGTCGAGCGGAGAGATGGTTCCAGAGGTGATGACCACCGAGCCGAAGCGCTCGAATACGGGGGCGATGGCTAGTGAGGGGTCCAGGCAGCTGCCAGTCAGCTTAGCCCAGATGTTCATCTGCTTCACGAAGCTCACGTGAAGTGGAAGATCGGATTCGGCACAGTAGCGTGCTCCGTTTCGTACGGCTCGAGAATGAGCAAGAAACCCTTCTCGTATGTAGCTACGAGAGTCCCGAAGCCCGCCACCTTCTGGAGAGAGTAGTGCTCGTCGATGTTGGTCAATTCGAGCGTTCGGACGAGAGACGTCAACCGTTCGGCCGCGAATTTGAGTGGTCTGCGTTCGATAAAGGTGATTTCTTTGAGATGGGCGAGGAAGGATTGGGGTGTTTCCGCGACGACATGTAGAACACGCATTCGAGTCTATGGTATCAGCTCTGAACGACGACCCCGTGACGGGGAGGCAAGCTCACTTTGAGGTACTCGATAAACCGCTTGAGGAAGGCGATAAAGTGCTCGGCTTTCCGGATATTCCCCGGTATAGCCTCATCCAGCATGTCTTTTGACAAGACTGGGTCTCAGCTATGCCTTGAAAGAGCTTCAGGGTTGGAGAGCTCACCTGGACTGTTCATCATATCCTCATCCTCGCGACTATCATTCGCCTCGGCCAGCCCCGCCACGAGCTTCTCATACTCATCTTGCAGCTTACTTGCGTCGGTCCGTTTGATCTCCTCGATTTTGTCCGCGATCTTGTTGACGGATCTTGCCGCTGATTCTAGCATTGGACGGGTGAGGTCAATCGAGAGGGACTCGATGCAGACGTTATCTATCCAGTGAGCTTGAATACGAGAACAACATGACGAATTGTTCTTCTCGCTAGCTTACCTATATTGTGTGCCTCGTCGAAAACGATTATGCTCTCTTTGCTGAGCTCGGCAGAGACATTCTCGGCGACTTTCGGATCAAGCAGGTAGTGGAAGGAGAAAATGACAACGTCGAGGTATGGCAGCTAAGCGTAGGTTTAGCTCTCCTCACTGGAGACGTGGTGGGTTATCAACCTACCATTCGTCGTACAGTAAAGTAAGGGCAGACCCCCTTCTCCTGTCCGTACCGCTTGACATCGTCCAGCGTATGTATACCAGCCGGGATCAAGTCACCCGTTTCGTAGTTGTTCAGTTCCTACTTTAGTCAGCTTCGGCCTCCACAATTGGGAGGGTCTATCAGCTTACTTCATGGAAGCTGCACAGAGGCACACTCCCAGGTTCCGCCCGGCCCTTCTCGCATGCGAACGCTGAAGTCAAATCTCGGCAACGCGAATCGACCATCTTGCCCTTCTTCTCCTTACTGACCTGATTTGTGAGCTAGTCCACGACGCAGCTCGTGTTTCTGGAGCTCACCTCGGGATGAAGACAGAGGTTCTTCCGACTGGTCAATCCCAGTCCGCGGAACTCTTCATCGTGCGCCCCATACTCTGCTCGATACTCCATCAACCGCTTGAGCTCGGCCAGCGCCTTCTCGATTTCAGGTACTGTTCGAGAGCAGTAGATGAGTTTCCTCTTCGTTGGGTAGAACTAAGTTGTCAAATGAAGAACCATTCCTGGGTCGGAACGGGACCTGCCAGCTCACCTGCATGTACGACACAATGAGCGAGAGAAGGGAGACAGTCTTCCCTGTCCCCGAAGGCATTTCGAGCACACAATGTCCGCCTGCATCGAGCGTTTCTTTCAGGTCGGTCATGTACGAGAACTGCTCTATAGTATGTCAGCTCAAGTGACTGTCTACTGGGCATTCAAACATTTGAAGCTCACCTGGGTAAATCCTGTCATAGGGGAACAAAACGGGGAGGTCCCCGATCATGAACTTCATCCTGCCGAACGAAACGCAGTGAGCTAGGCTCTGGCTGAGAAAGGAGGATCGTGATTGATGAGGCCTGGGCGGCCGGCAAAGCTTCTCAGCAGGGCCTGAATGCTGTGAGAGTGTGGACTGTAGACAGCAGAGGTATGTACGAAGTCAAGAGAGGGAGACCGAGTGACTGGACTTATAGCTGTTGTTTCGTTAGGCGAGCTAAGCGATCGCTCTGACCTCCACTTCTCAGCTGCAGCTTCTGCTCTTCTCTTCCTAGCTTCTCTCTGGTCCAAGCTCAGCCATCGCGATGGCGGGCGGCTTCATTCCGGAAGCAGACAGCAGCGCTTCCAACGCAGCACGGATCCCTGCTCCCACAAGAAAGGCCTGCCAGCCGCTACTCGCCCTGACGCCAAAGCAGGAGACGCGCCTTTGCGCTCATCTCGATGATCGCCTTCTTGGGCTGGAGAGGGACGAGCGTAAGCAGTGCGTCCTTCTCTCTGGCTTCTAGCGCGTACTTGTGCTGACGCTGATCAGAGCCTTCGGATCGATCCCACTACTCCTAGATCGTCTCTTTCCCCTCCTTCATCTGACTCTCCAAATCCCTGCTCGAACACCATGGGCCGATCTGCGCGTCTCGTACCTCTTGAACCTCACTGGCTTCTTGGCGACATATGTCACATCAATGCCCCTTCTCACATCAGGAGCTATGCGGCGGAAAGGCAAAGAAGCGGAACATGAAGCAGGGAGGGTGATGCGCGATGTCCTGGGCTTTTTGGCCGAGGTGGAGCGGGGATGGATGGCTGTTCTGGGAGGACAGGGGTGGGTGATGGACGAAAACGAGGAAGAGGGTGTGAAAGAGGAGGAAGGGGAAGAAGGGGAAGTAAGGAGGAGGCTGGGACATGGGGTTCCGGTGGACTTTGCGGGAAGTGTGGGGCAGACTGAGCGGTACGCTGAACCAATCCGCCTCAAGCAGACGCCTCGAACTGACCATACAGGACAAGACTACGATCCATCATCATCTCCTCACGAGCCAAATTCACCGCCTGGGCGAGAACATACGGCTCCTTCGCTGGCTCAAGCCTGGAAGATACCGCTCAAGCGGCCCGAGGGGAAAGGCGGACGATGGGATGCGAGGGTCCAGCAGACTTCGATCCTGATCCGCCGACATCGTATCCTGCTCTCGCTCCGGCATCTCGCGCTGGGGATTCGGTGGAGAGCGCGGGAGTCGGGGGAGGCGCATGGGAAGATCGGATATTGGGAATGTGGAATACCATCCTTGAGAGCTTGACGGACCAGGATCTGGGCGCTGGTAGAGGTCGATAATGGACCAAGCTATGTATGTTGTAGCGATTATATTCATGCAGTTCAGGTCAGAACCTTCCGTCGTCACTACCGGGTCAGCTTGTGCCTCTGCGCTTTAGATGCACGGGAGCTCACATTCTTCTCGCATTCTGCACGCGGACATACAACCAATTCACGGCCTCCTTGACGCCCGTCCTGCAAGATCAGCTTTGCCCCTTGTTTATTGAATCATAGGACTCACCCCTCAAGGGCCGAAGCGCCCATCACATCCAGACTAGCCAGTCTCTCATCCCTCACGCCCGCGCTCCCCCTTCTTTCTCGTTCCCCACCATCTTCTTCTGCCTCATCTTCAGCGTCCATCGCCCGCCCCTTCCCCTTCCCTTTTGCCTTCTCCCTCGCCGCCTCCCTGGCGTCTGCTTCTCGGGACTGCCGAGCCCGCTGCCATGCGTCAAAGGACTCGCGGATTTCTGCGACTGAGAGAGAAGTGGGATTGTCTTGCTTGTTGGCGAGAAGGAGGAGGGGGAGGTTCAGGAGTCGAGGGGAGTTGAGGACTTCGTCTAGTATGTCAGCTGCGTCCAGTAGTTAAGCTCGGTAACTTTGACTGACCAAAGACCTCCCATGTCTCTCCTAGTCGCACTTGGTCCACCGCATCCAGGACGAATACCACCGCATGGCACTCATCGTAGTATTTGGGCCATATAGACCGGATATCTCGTTGCCCGCCAAGATCAAAAAAACGGAGTGTTGTCGAGGGAAGCGAGATCTTCCCGACTGTAGTCTGTCAGCTCGATCCCCGCAGATGTAGGGCTATGGTCGAGCTGAAGATGTGATGCCCATCGAGCAGACACTATACGCACTGTTCTGACCGACAGTAGGGCCTATCTTCTCTGGAGGCATCCCTGGCGTCGGATTATACAGGGTCTTGATCTTCTCCAGCATAGTCTAGTGTCTGAGCTCTACAGGCCTTTTTTCAAGCCCGGTTCCTCAAAGCTCACTGTCTTGCCAGCCTAAGCGTCAGCTGGGCGTCGTGTATCGGTCCAACTAAGACTGCACAGCTCACATTGTCCAGACCGATGATGACCACCGAGTACTCGTCTTTCCGCGTCAAGTGGGCATGAAGCCCTTTGAGGAGGTGGTACATGGCCTCAACGCTGTCCTGGGCTATCTTCTGTCCGCTTGTAGGAGCATGGCAATGTAGAGAGGTAAAAGGTGGACTGAAATCGCTCAAGCGCGACGCGTTTCACTTTGAGGAATTTGAGGGAGTGTGCATCCGAGGAATGCTGCTGGCCTAGCTGCCCCGTGCGAGAGCAAAGAGAGCCCCACCCTCACAAAAGGCTGGAGCTTGCTATCATTGTACGCTAGACATCCTTGAGCGCTTTCCTCTCCGTCCTCCCTGCGCCAGCTTCCAGATTCCAGATCCAATTCTCTTGAACTTCCGAGCGCTCTCGCTAAACGCAGCAGCCCGCTCGCTTTTGGACTAGTTCATGTTTAGACACTAGATGGACAGGAGAGGACTGGTGCCCGCATAGACCGATGCTAGGTTCGTCAGCTGGAGCTTCCATCAATCAGGAGGCGCCATGTGGATGGTCACAGCCGGTCTGCTTCCATCCCGGCAGCCTTATACAATGATGGGGGAAGCGATAGGTTCCATCTACTTACCCTTTCCGCGCAAGGCCTGCGCTGACCAGTTCTCTGTGAGTCGGGAGACAAGGGTGGCGAGTACCTAGAGCTAGGCCGATCAAGGTCTTGAGACCTGTGAGATGGTGGATCGACTGATAGCTGCGGGTCGACGCTGCGTCGGCTACGATGTCAGCCTCGTCTTTGTCCTACTCGAGGACACCATCTCACTCACAGGTCAGAGGGTGGCACCGTACAAGGCAGAGTAGGTCAAGGAGGTCGGGAGATAGTGGTATCGCGGAAGAAGGTATGGTCTGCGACTATCCGTCTGATACGTCAGCCGATTATCCGATATGAGAGGATACCTGGGCTGTTTAGTGACCACATACCGGATGATACTCGACTCCAGAAGAGCGTGTCTAAAGCTGATTATAATGCGCTCTTCGGGAGAGAGCCATGGTGCTTCGAGCCAGTACTGGTGCACTGGGCGCAGTTGGAGCTGATACCTTAGCCAAGTATTACAGCGGAAGAAAACGGGAGATCTCACCAGCGACAACGGGTATCATGAGCATAACCAGTGCTGCGAAGGCCCGAAGCTGGCGCGGATCCGGACGATCCGGGATGTATGTAACCCTCTTGCTCACTGTAGATTGTAACTGTGGTCTCAGCTTAGTGACCATGAACAGCGAGGAGATAAGACTGTGTCACTCACGTCTGACGTCTAACTGAAGCTGCTCAATGGCTGGGCCTTCTCGGCCGCGATCCTGATTTGACCAGGCGGAGGAGTCCTCGATTGGCTGGCTACGAGAACCCATCCCGCTGGATCGGACCCATCTGGTCCCAGCGGACCGTGTTTGGCGGTACAGGGGTGAGGTGCGGAAGGTTGAGCCGCGCCGTGCTGATCAAAACATGCTGATTCCGCTACTGCAGCTGTACGAACCCTAGGATCAGCATTCATCCAGCAGTAGAATATTGTTCGCCTCTATTTCCCTGCCGGCGAAACTCGGAAGCTGCACGCTGTGATATTGATATATTGGATCACCTCACCAAGGGCAGATACCATTTTAAGCGCAGGTACCAATCTTGAGCGCTAGCTTCTCTTGGGTCCGATACCCCACTAGCTGAGCTTGAAGCCGGATTCCGACCGAGATCGAGACACTCCAATCCTCCTGCCTTCACCTAGCGACTGTCAGTTGATAATCACGAGCTGAAATGCTTAGTCAGTATACTGACCGAGTGAGGTCGGGACTTCATCCTTGCTGATCCCGCCACTCGGACCGAGGGTCGAGCGGAAGCGGGTGAAGGGCAAGGCGCTCTCCGGGGCGGCAGGACCTGCACGAGGAGTCGGGCGTCACTGAGCAGGGATGATGCAGGGCTTGAGCCCTCCAATACATCGAGGGTCTGCGGTAAAGTGCTGTGACGGCGAGGTGTGTCACGAACGACACAGACAGCTGAGGACCATCGATGGTGGCGGGGGAAGGTGGTTGAGTGAATTGGGCCGCCACGTGGTGACCCTTTGGGGATGCGTCGCGTCGCGTCCTACATATGCTATGGCATGGCCGAGGCCGAGGTGCCCCTTGCGGTCCTGCCGATCACGGGTCCAAAGGAGGGGGTGTGGGCGTTTCAAGGGGCACAAGCTAAACTGAGACGAGGAATGTGGCAGTTTCAGCCCCTTGGTGGGTGGCAAATTTCACCCCGCGGGACATTCCTCGCCCTCCTCCCGGTCTTCCATCTATGCTAACAGGGGACTACAGGATGCGAGGGCTGCGGAAGTAGCGCCATTCTGTAAAGTACTCGATTCCTTACAACTCCTCATACAACAGAAACAAGCGTGAGATAGCCGGATGACCTGCCACCTCGAGAGCATGCCCTCCGCACACACCACGTCCGCCTGGGACCCCCTCCTTTGACCTTGAATAACTTCTGAACGGCTGAAGCTATGGCCTTGTTCAAGGGCTCCAGGCTTAGAAGAGAAGCAGGAGCACAAAACAGTGGCAAAAAGAAGACGATCGGATCAGCCACAACGGCGGAAACGGCCGGCAAAAGATGGTCCGAACCGGGAATTGAACCCAGGACCTCTATCATTGGAACAGCTGCTGTTTGCAGGCCCTAAGATAGCGTAATACCACTATACCATTCAGACTGTGAAGATGCTTGAGCAGCTTCTGATGTTTTGGCTTCGAGAGCAAAACATATAAAGAGCAAAACGCTTTTTGGGGCATCTTTTGGTGAGATAACCCCTGGGACGTGTGCAGGAACGGAATCTGATCAGGTTTGCTCGAGACGGTTTCCCTGTATCTTGCGACCTGGCCCTGACATGGCCGAAAGAGTCTGGACTGTCCAATGGGAGAGAGGGAGGCCTGGGAGGGGCCGCTGCACCGAAAGGAGGAATTTCGCCGGGATCAGATTCTGGCTTGAGAATGCGAGGCGCGCGGTCTCAGCTCCGCGTCGGCGTTAGCCGCTGAGCGCTGAGCCAGTGACGATATCTCACGTGGCTGCCTCTTCTCACGCCGCAGTCCTCACGCAGTCCTCACGCGCGCAGCTGGCATGGCGCTCCGCAAGCTCAAGGCAAGACACGGAAAGGAGGAAAGGGCATACTCGAACCTCATCCCAGTAGCTCAACTCCGGTCCTCCCGCGTCAGGCGCTCCCCCTCCCCTGTTTATCATCCACCAGAAGTCCGATCCCGACCCCACCTGCATTAGAAAAGGCAATGATGCTGCTTAGGGATCTCGCCCGGACCCGCGTCGGATCCCTTATCATAGCATACTCGCCGTGTCGCTGTGTCGGACCTCGGAATCCAGCACGCATCGATGCACTATCCTGTACGAAAGCTGACAAGCAAGAGGCAATTGGATGCTTATTATATATACGTTCTAAATACGCTACAGATTATACGAGCCTCTGACATACCCTACCCATACCCTGATACAGCCCGCTCCCCCGCTTCTCCGCTACATCAAGCTCCCAAACCCATTCCCATCATTCGCAGTGATCGGCGGCGCCATCGCCAGGTTTGACTTGCCGAGCTTCTCCCCGTCCCCAAACAACACCCTCGCCGTCCCTGGACTTGCTGGCGCCGCCGTCCGAGCCGCCTTCCTAAGCGGACTAGGCGAGTGCGCCAGGAACATCATCAGATCCGCCGCGCTCCTATCCTCTTCTCCTGGTTCTGGCGTGACCGCCCTGCGTCCAGCGCTCCGAGGTGGTTCTGGCGGGGAGTGGGCGAAGGATGAGGAGCGGGGACGTGGTGGAGTGGTTGGGATAGGAAGGGAGATGGAATGACGAAGGGTGTTGTCGGTATCGCTATGCATAAATGCGAGCGCGTTCGCCGCGTCGACATCCTGCGTGGTGGTTGAATGCGAGTAGGACCTCTTTTCCTTTCGCATCCGTTCTGGAATGTACGCCCCGCTCGAGCTGTTCCGCCGACCCGAGTCTTCTCTGACCCGCTTGCGAGGACTGGCCGGTGCTGGGCGGGAGGATGGTGGGAGGGGCTGCCAGAGGACGTCGATGAGCTGCCATGGCCGTGATGGAGATGGGGGGTTGTACGAGGGAGGTGCGGATGAGATGGAGGGGGATGAAGGGGAGTAGGGGTGTGGGCGATAGGTATAGGGATCGACGCGTATTGGCGCAATGGCTTTGAACGACCGACGCCGTGGTGGAGGGGACATGGTCCGCTCAATCTCGCCTATAGATTTGTCCGCCCAGCCATGAGTGGCTTTGACCGAGGCCAGCTCGAGGCGTTGCTGCAAAATTTGCATCTTCTGCTTGTCAGCGCGTCCACGTATCATGCTTACCTTCTCCATCTCCATCCGCTTCAAGAATCTATCCACCTCCTCGTGATTCTGGGATTCCTGGCTTGACCCGCTGGCCGAGGCATGCTCGATCGAGTTGCTGTGGGTGGACGAGGGTGTGGCATCGCGTGAGCGCGAAGCGGGTGGCGAAGCCATGACGCGACGCGTCTGGGGATGTCGCGTCTTTGGGCGTGGGGTCAACGCTGTTGCTATATGAGTCTGATGAGAGCGATGTATGATATCTCGAGCTGTTGCATGCCTTGGCTCGGCGCGGTGTCTCTGCCTCCCTCTCTCTCTTTCTACGCGTCGCGGAGGACTCGAGTGGGGAGGACCGACAGAATGACCTCAGGGCGAAAAAGATGGCGGAAGCCGCGTGTTGAATTACCAAATCTAGTAATAAGGCACCCAGCCGAAATCGGTAGTACGCAGCCCGAAATGGAAGATGTCTTGTTCCGGCAGATTCGGCGGCCTGGACAGTAACGTAAGCGTATCGTAAGCGCGATGACATCAGTGGGACTGGTCGGAGGCATTGGAGGCAGCACCCGCTTCACTGCTTTGAAAGTGCAAAGGTGGATCAAATAGCGGAGCACAGTCCGAAGACGGGAATCTCATGCCACGGCACCGAGATCTACTCATGCACGGTCAGCTCTTACTTCTTCTATCAAGCAGCTCCCGCCGTGGGTCCTATTCCGAGACGGTGCGGGCGGCGCAGCGCTTCACCACATACCCTAAGGCCACGACCGGAAAGGACTGAGAACTTCACATACAGGGTGTCATCGTCAGCAGGTACGCCAGCTGCATGTCTGTCGAATAATCTGCTATGTATTGCCTACTCACTCATTCCTCATCGTTTCAGATCGGAGAACAAGCTGAAACGGGCACATGAAACGTCGATCTCCGCTCCGCATCGGCGACGACACGAAGGTGAGTATCTTCTTCGGTGGATACTGACCGCAAGCTCTCCGCGGACCTCGGGGTGGAGGTCTAATCAATCGACAACCTTGTAATCTCGGGAGGAGCGCTTCCTCGAACCTGTCAAACCGTCCGCCCAATCCGCCGAGTATCGCCCATACCCCTCGTGGATCCTCGCGAATGGTATGAGTACCAATCCCGTGATCAGCCAAGCACGCGCTAGATGACGATCCTGACCACCTCGCTGGCTTGGACGGACTGATCAGCCCCACTGATCACTCGGCTACTGCTCGCCGGTATCGATTCGCGGTCGATACCCGGGAGATTGATTGTGCGCTAGTATCAATCGCCCGCAGGCCCCGCATCGCTTCCCCGCAGAGATATAAAGTCTGCGCCCAACTCTACTTTACTGATCGCCACTCACCACACATCCACACCATCACCATGCACTTCCTCTCACTCCTCGCACTCGTCCCCCTCATCGCCGCCAACCCGGTGGCGAGGAACAACGACAGCCCCGTCAGCCTCTCCAAAGCGCGCAACAAGTACTTTGGAACCGCCTACCAGTCCTTCTACCCCGCGGACGGCCGCTTCCTGCCTGTACTCGAATCGCAGTTCAACCAGTACACGCCCGAGAACGAGCTCAAATGGGAGGTGGTTCAGCCGCAGCGAGGCGTGTTCAACTGGACCGGTGCCGATCTTGTGAGTTCAGCTCAGGCTAGAGCTGACTAGATCTTTGCCGAGGCCAAAAAGACCGGCGCGATCGTTCGTGGTCATACCCTCGTCTGGCACTCGCAGCTCCCGATGTGGGTTCAGAATATCACAGACGCCAGCGATCTCAAGAGCGTCATGAAGACCCACATTGACGCGGTCATGGGTCGATACGGATCGCAGATGGCTCACATCGATGTGGTCAATGAGCGTAAGTCTAGACTTGGCTAGGCTGACTTTAGCTCTCAACGAGAACGGAACTTGGCGCAACTCGGTCTGGTACAACCTTCTCGGAGAGGAGTTCCCTCGCATTGCCGTAAGTTCTCCTTTGGCTTCGCTAACCTCAGCTCGACTATGCCCACGCCGCCGCCCCTCAGGTCAAGCTCTACATCAACGACTACAACATCGAGTCGATCAACAACAAGTCACTCGCTCACGCAGCTATCGCCAAGAAGCTCCTGAGTCAGGGCGCACCCCTCACCGGCTATGGTTTCCAGGCTCACTTTATCGGCGGGTCCGCTCCAAACGACACTGCTCAGGCCATGAAGATGTTCACCGACATGGGTCTCGAGGTCGCCATCACGGAGCTGGACGTTCGAGTGCCGGTCAACAACAGAGGTCTGGCCAACTCTACTTGGGCGGATATTCAGTGAGTTGTTGTATGAGCTAGGCTGATCAGATCCCGCGACTACGCCAATGCCTTCAAGGTCTGCATCGACAACCCAAAGTGTCCCGGTGTTACCATTTGTGAGTTGTCCTCTTAGTGGTGAAAGCGGAGCTGACAATCAGGGGGCGTCAGCGACGAGACCAGTTGGGTCCCGGGAGTCTTTGCGGGCACGGGCTCGGCCTTGCTCTTTGACTTTGACTACAAGCCCAAGCAGGCGTACTACGCCGTCCAGAACGTCTTGAAGCAGTAGGGAACTTTGGGGATCAGTAGTCAGAAGTAAAAGAGATATAATCAGATATGCAAAGTGTTTTGAGCTCACATCGATTTGCAAACATGAGACTGGAATCGCGCTCAGCTTGGTATTCATTTGTCGTCGGCACAATCTAGATGCGGGCTCACTATCTTTGGAGGCTTAGGCCTTCACGGGTCGGTCAGGGCATGACCGCAGATGGAGGGGCAGCTCCAGCGACCAGGCTAGGTAATTGGCAGGAGTCTCTGTGTGGGCCAGCTCGGCGCTGCTCGCTTGACTGTAAGCGCAATCTCAAGCTCGGGTAACATGGCGTGCAGACGTCTTGAAGCGGTAGCGTACTTCGGAGAGTAGTAGTTAGGAGCAGAACAGATATGATGAGAAATGCCAAATCCAGGCCTACATCACCGTCCATGCATAAAACTAGAACCCCTGCTCTGCCAGGTAGTCGGACTAGCATCAGCATTGTCCAAACGCAGACTTACAATCTCGAGGTAGAAGGTGGCTGGCTTGAAGGTAATTGGCTTCCCCGTCCATCCTGCAATAGCATACCGAACATGATTCACCCATCCCACCCTGATGTCAGCCAAACCCATACAAGCACTCACAAATCCAAATGGTTGACGCCGAGCAGGGTCCCCCTGTACTCTCCCCACTTTGCGCTCTGCACCGAGACAAGCCCGTCATTCGGCCCCTCCTTGCTAAGAATCACGCCATGAGGCCACTTGAAAGTGTCGAGCAACCCCGGATCGTCTGACGCGCCCCACGAGTAGTACTGTACGTCTGGATTGTCGACGACTTGGGCGTTGAACTCTTTCATTGCTTTGGTGCCCAGGCTGGCGAATGCCGATCCGTCGCCTGACTGGGGAAGTCGCAGAGTTTCGAGGAGGGAAAGGAGTGATGGTAGGCGTTCACCTGATATCAGCTACGTCTCAACAGGACTTACGGCCAACGACATTGTCGATGAGATAGTCGGCAAAGGGACTACCGCGGTGGGGTGTGCTGACGGTGGTGACGCTGACGGGGGTGAACTTTCTGTCCTTGATCTCGGAGACGAGATATCTACAGTCCAGACCGCCCTGAGGTCAGCAGCGCTTAGTAGTCACTCACCATGCTGTGACCGATGAGGTTGATCTTTCGCCCGTTGTACTTTTCCGATATGGCGTCGTTGAGGATGGCAGCCCGGTCCGCTATAGACGCAGTGGCTGGGACGCGCGTGATGAGCACCTCGACTCCGTTACTTTCCAGTACTTCGCGTATTCCCCTCCAGTGCGATATTTGAAGAGGCGGCAGAGACGTTGGACCTGGATCAGCTCGTCCTAGCATGACGCACCTATAAAGTCGAATCCCAGCAGGCCGTGGCAAAAGACGAGCGGGTACTTTGGCGTCCGGTCTACATCAGCTCAGCCAGACGTCAACTCACACTTTCGCCGAAGCTTCTCCTGCTCCTCCTCCACTGTATCCGCTTGATCATCCTCGCTCATCAAGTTGTCCATCTTGCCCTTGTTCCCGCCCCATAATCCAGACGCCCAGGTCCCCCAATCCGCCTGTGGGGCAGAGGTACTGAGGCTCCGAGCCGAGCTGGAGCGCGACATGTCGAGGGAGGAGCGGCCGGGGAGGGAGGGAATAGAGACCCGTGGCAGGCTCATTGATAGGGAGGATAGATTTGGCATGGCGAGACTCGGCATGGAGGGGAGGTAGCCGGTGATACCGGCGGGTGCGACGGGCTCGTCGAGGATACCGGTGATGGTGCGTTGAAGATGGAGCCTGGGATCCGCTTCTAGTGTTTCCGAGCCTAGAGGCAGGCCAGTACTTGGGTCCAGGTCGGGATAGGGGTCGTCTATCAGGGCTGAGGGAGAGCGACGATGGGTAGAGCTCTCGCCCCGCTTGGGCGGTTCCGTAGTGGAGACCAATCTTGTCCCGTCCGGAGCGTATGCCAGACTGGCCGTGGGTAGAGTCGAGCGCGTGAGCTGCGAGACGAGGCGTGGCCGACCGAGGCCAGTCATACTGCTGGGATAGTGTGCCTGGGGCGGAGTTGGTATCGAAGATGAGCTAAAGGTCGAGGCCACAACAGGTGGGGGCAGGGGCGAAGACATCGCATCGTCGATGAGCGAGTCGAGTGATGCCTCTCTGCCCTTGCCCTTGCCCGCGCTGGGCAGAATAGGAGGCGACTGCCTAGACATGATCGCGAAAAGGCGGCTTGTACTCGCCCTCATAGAGGCGATGAATGAGGTGTAAAGTCGAAACGTCATCGAGTTTCAACGCGTCCATCAACAATGACACTCAAGGCAAGGAGGTCGTCCATCTCATCAAGCAAGAAGCAGGCAGAGGGCACTCTGCCGCTCAGTCTGGCTCTGGCATACCTGCTGGTCAAACTCCACCCGCTCAGTCAGGACGGGGAGACAGTCTACCCATACTCGGCAACCTTTACCGCTGCCATTCTTCACGTCGTCTCGCGCGAGGTCTTCGAGGTGAGCAGACCTTCGACCGAGCTGATGTAGCTCTCTGAACGCCCTCCGACCTTCAAGGAGCTCAAAGCAGAGACGGATGCTCTACTCAAGGCAGAATGCAAAGGTCTGGAACGGAAACACCGCCTCTTGCGGTCGAGAGGTCAACCGGTGTTGCCCTTTCAGATGGATGCCGAGGAGTATTTCAGCTGGCTGGGGCTTTTTGTAAGTTATACGTCGACTAGGCTGACGATAGGCGGACGAGTTCTCAGACCCAGCATCAGGTTGCTCGTACCTAGACCGTAAGTCCAGCTTGGATCCGCTGATGTAGTTCTGGAGCACGATGTCCAGGGGCGTATCAGCGACAAGATGGACGAGGACCTTGCAGAGACGCAAGAGCCATTTGTGGGTGGCTGATAGGCTGTGCTGATGGTAGGAAAACCGCTACCCCTTGGCACTGTTCATGCGGTCTCTGATCATCTCGCTGAGGAAGCTATCGTTCGAGGACACTGCCCATCTCGCACGGCAGATCGCGCAGTGGTGCGGCACCCCGATCCAAAACACCACGCTCCGGAACGTCTCTTTGATTGATCGTAAGCCTCGCAATGGCCTAGCTGACGGCAGGACGGATCGCGGAAGATAGCAAGCGCTCCGGCGCCATGAAAGAGTGGGTCTGACCTTGACGTGACTGACCCCAGCTACCAAGGAGCGATCGCATCCGGTGACTATTCCCTGGCGATAAGCTCCCTTCGTCGTTTCTACGACCACAAGCTCCCAGCGTCCAGCAAGAGCCAGCACGCTCACGGTCTCCTCAACCTCGCTGCGTTCTACTATCAGACGGGCGGTGTCGAGTCTGCCAGAACCGTGAGTTCTTACCAGAAGCCGCTAATGACAGGCGGTCGAAGAGGCGATCCGGATAGCCAGGAAAGACGGCGACAAGTCGTGTCTTCAGCACTGTATGAGGTGAGCCAAGCCTTGACAAGGCTAATCAGTCTATCGCATCAGATTACCATGACGGGGAGGTCCGAGGCCGGCTCGTCTACCCCTGGCGCTCGCCGTGCGACCCTGTCTCACCTACCAAAGCCATCTACGTCAAATGACGAGCTCGTTATGCTGCTCACGGCTCTCGACTTGGTAAGTCTGACTATCGCTAAGCTGACCTTAGGGCGAACCTCTCCCCGAAGCGTTCCAGCGTATCCATCTCGCCCTTGCTCGCCATCTCACTTCGCCCAAGGCAGAGACGATCCAGTGGACATCTCACCTGCCTCTGGATCTGGCTGCTTGGCATGTCCTACAAGCTCGGTTGTGGGACGATATGGGTGAGATGGAGCTGGCAACTGTTCACGAGGCGCTAGCACTGGAGGCGGAGAACGGGTCGACTCAGCGCGTCAACGTGGAGATCGCTCGAGCTATGCGAGTGAGTCCGCGTGCGATCAGACTGACGTTAGGCGGCAAGTCGCGGAGACTTTGATGCAGGGCTGGCACGACTCCTGGACAATGACCTGATCGAGGGGATGCCCTTTGCAGACTACTCCCGTTGGGCGGAGGCGGTATGGGAGATTGTGCAAAGACAGGCAGAACTGAGGTACGATTGAAAGCGGACCTGGCTGATGTCAGCGGTGACGACAAGTCGATCTCGCTGATAGCTTCCCTACGACCCGAACCCCCATCCGATCATACCCGCGCAGCTGCGAACCTTCGAACCTCGCTTCGCAAATCCCTCAAACTCCTCGACTCTGCCACGCCTGCTCATATCATCCTCCCGGACGTCCTTTGCGCTGTCCAATCCGCCCAGCAGCTCGGATCGTGGCGATTACACCGTCTGGCCACAATGGTCATGGCGGAGGTCCTTCTCGGACTGGGCAAGGGGCTAGGGCCGAAGGTTATCGAGATACTAGAGGGTGTCTGGTACGGTATCATGGGTGGAAACGACGAGGACGTCAAGGCGCTCGCAGCATTGGTTCTGGGGAAGGCGGAAGTGGAGGTCGCGATGAGCTCCGGGGAGGACGGTGTAATGCTAGGTAAGTCTACACATGAGCCAGACTGACGTCAGAACGCGCAGTTGGCCACCTCCGACAAGCTCTGGACTCTGCCAAAAAGCTGCGGTATCGCAAAGTCGCGGTCTCAGCCAGTGGCATACTCGCGATGCTCGCGGATCTGACCGAGTCAAGCGAGCGCGACCGGCTCGCCGACGACTGGGCGGAGCTCAGCTCTGCAAGAGATATGACTGGACTGAGCGGGCAAGTGCGGCAGGTGGGAGAGATTGTCAAGCTCGTTGGCGTGCGTGTGGCGCAGGGCTGGAGATGAATACCAGTTCACCTGCTCAATGACCTAAGGAATGTGATTAGTATCAGATTAGCTGCATTCGGCAATTCCGATTAGATCTCGTCAACGCCGTGCCTGAATGATCAACAGCTCCGAATAGAGCCGCGGGATAGAGATGATCCATGTTCCAGACTTTGTACTTCATCTAGCATGCTCCATAGACATCCAGAGACTCTGTCATGACCATAAGGGTCAACCTCAGGCCCGTCATCGCTCTTCTGGGTATTGGAGTAGTCTCTATACTGCTCTTTGTCCAGTACACCGCGCGGGACAATGCCGAGGAATGGAGATATGACGAATACATCTCGAGGACGATTGGTGTACTATCGTGCGTGCTGTCATCAGGTCCGCAGGCGAGGCTGATAATTAGGGAGCGAGAGTACCGCAGAGGACTGCAGCATGAGGGCTCGGGCGAGCGGATCAGGCGCTTGCTCCAAAAAGCGAGCAGAGGGGAGACTATCACTGTTTCGGTTATTGGGGGTTCTGGTACGTCTGGCACTGCGGATGGAGCTGATGAGCAGTATCGAAAGGCAGAGGTCTAATACCACCTCCAGATTTGCGCCCAAGAGATCCGTCAAATCCATCCGAGCGGAAGAGTGACCGATCCGATAGGGCCGTTCAAGGCGCGTTCACGCTGTACTCGCCCGAGAACATGCACGTCCTAGTCTTTGACTGGCTCAGCAACATGTTTCCTGACAAGGAACATCGCTTTGTCAATGGGGCCCAAGGGGCTGTAGGTGCCGAGTACTTTGGATGGTGCTTCAGTGAGTAGCCTCTGTTCTTGGAGATTGCGCTGATGAGCAGAGGAGCACATCTCGGACGACGCGGACTTGGTCATTGTCGAGCTGGGCATCAACGACCTGCTCACTATGTCGGGCTACGCAGCATATGAGCGGCTGATACGGTCGGTGCTGGAGATGAAGAACAAGCCGGCAGTGATCAATATCGAGTGAGTCCCGACTGGACGTTATCAACATTATGACTGGGTTCCGCACAACTCACGCTGACCCGCAGGACATTTACGGTCCTCTTCTCTCCCATCATCTCCGCTTCGGCAGTCCATCAGGACATCTGCGCATACTACGACATACCTTCCATTTCCCTGCGCGATGTGGTGCTGCCTCGAATACTGGCAGACCCAGAGGATGAGATCCCACGCTGGTTCCGCACAGGCGATGACTTGAGCCATATCGACCCAAAAGTCCGAGAATACGGCAATGAGCTTGTCGACATGATGCACGTAAGTCCTGCGTGTGATTGAGCTGAAAGAAGATATCCGCTGTCGGTCACGCACTAGCTGCAGATCTTATGATACGATACCTGTCACAACAGCTTCACCGGGTGCGGAGAGGGAAGCGGTGGTGGAGGATGGCCACTCTGGAGGAGGACGAGCTCTTGGTGCCATCGGTAAGTCATCGCAAAGACCGAGCTGACCTTAGACCCTCTTGACTGGCTCCTTTGATCCGCATAGCAAAATCCCGATATCGCAGCCCGTTTGCCGATCTATGAACTCGGCCCATATCCACAGTCGCGTCTCACAAGACGAGGAGGAAGATCTAGACGTCGAGGATACTGTTGATGGAGTCAGAGGTGTCACACTAGCTGAGGGGTCGAGCGGATGGTACGTAACAGCGTGGAAATTGCTGACGGCAGGACGATCTGGTCCTGGAAGGAAAAGCAATACCTCGTATCGAGCAAACCCGGCTCTATTGCCAAATTCGCCTTTATCACCACCAGTCCCTCCTTTCCCCCTCCGCCTCGACTCCCGGACCAGCGACCTATCCGCATAGAAAGGCCGAATCGGAGCAAGAATTCACGGCCAGGCGGAAAGCAGCATCGCGAGCGTGCATTAGCGGATCAGCGGGCGTCGAGAGGAGGATCAGTGGCGATTGCATATCAGCGGAGCAAGTTTTATGGGCTGGGACAGGTGTCGTGTTGGGTGGATGACGATATGCGGGGGACGAGAACGGTGGACGGATATTGGGATATTGAGGAGAGGAATATGGGCGTGTGGGTGACTGTTCAAAGGAATTGGTTTTGGCTGATGTCAGTGTAATGGAGATTGCGAATGGTCTTCTGCCCGGACCACATACACTGTCATGCGAGCTACTAGACGAGACGAACGATCCAAAGGGAAGAAGAGAGTTCCGGATCATTGCGGTCATGCACGATTAGGTAGATTTTGGGTATCCAGGTATGTATATCTTGCTGTCATAGCCAGCGAGATGACCTGTCTTCGACGTCTGGAGAATTGACACGTACCTCTGCCAGAGCCGCCTTGCCCATAGTAAGACTTGACCGACCTTGTCAGTCTCACAAGAGCGCCCATCGCATCGCACACGTATATCAGAGTCAGCATATATCGCAGGTGGGCGACATTGCGCGATTTATTAGGATCCCAGTCTCGAGGTCAGCAAGTTGGCGGAGCGCGCATCAGTGGAGAGCCAGAGCCGACATGTCCGAGATCAGACTTGATCTACTGCCCGGTACATATCCACCCTAGAATATACCCGTACTACGCTACAACTCCTCTCCCTTCCACACCCACCGCTTTGCCAGATCCCACATTCCCTCCCACTTTGGCGTCAGCCACTCCTTGGCCGACCCATCCGTCTCTGCATGTCTCGCCCGGAACTGCTTAAAGGTCCGCTCCGGCACTTCTCCCTCCCAGATCATCTCGCACTTGTTATCCGCCAAATCCCCTCCCTCCTCCTCGTCGCTCTTTTCCTCCTCCCCATCCTCGCCTTCGCCCTTGGCCATCGGGCGTGCCTGCTCCGTCCAGTCGATCCGGTTGAGCATGAGCTGCTTGTAGTGCTTGATGCTCTTGTCAACGCCTTCGACGAGGACGAGGGCAAAGTTGGGGCTGAATAGGCAGATGCCAGATAGCAGGTCGGTCCTGGCCGTTTCCCGCACCTTGAACCGATGACGCCCGTTGGTGAGGTAACGAATTTTGAAGACCGCCCCGTGTAGGCCTTTGCGCTCCCTCGCCACCATGAGCTGGTACTCCTTCTCCTTGCGTTCCTCGGTGGTGAGTTTGCGCTCCTGGTTGTCCTTTTCGTGCTTGGTCGCCCGGTTGGCCACTTCCTTGCGGACCTTGGCTTCGACTTTGGTTGGATCTTGGACCGCGTCGGACGTGAGGACCTTCATGAGGTTGGCGAGGCGCACTGGGGTCAGCTCTATCGTATAGCAAGACTCACCCTTTGGTGGATCAGGAGGTAAAAGTCCCATCTTTTGCCTATCCCGCTTATCCTCCAACTCCGCCATTCGCCGCTGTCGTCGCATCTTCTTCTGCTCCTTCTTGGTGAGCATCAGCCCGCGCTCTTCCGCCTTCTTGTCGCCAGGTGCGGGGATGGGGATGGGGTGTTGGATAAGGTGGGTGATGAGCGAGTCGTCCGACTTTTCTAAAAAGTCCATGGCCGTGTCGAGGTCGTCGTAGGTTTGTTCGTCAGGGAGGAGGGCCTTGTCCCACCACTCGACATCTGGCGGAGGAAGGCGCTGCAAGATTAGCTCAATCCCCAATCGTCCGACTGTGCTCACCTTCAAACTCCTCCCCATGGTGTCAAACTCGCTATCCAACCCCGCCTTTCTCGACTTCTCCATAATCCTCAACCTCAACGCCTCCATCTTTTGCTCATTCCGCAACGCATCACCCTGCTTGACAAACCGCCCCGGCGCCGCAAAATGTAATTGCCTCTTGGTCCGCCTCGCTACGCCTCCCTCCTCGGCACTAGGTCCAGCTGGCGCCTTGGCAGCGTACGGGTTCAGACTTGGCTGAGGAGCAATGACCACCTCGACCGGTTTGGCCTGGGTGGCGACGTTCGCCTTGACCGTAGAGAATTTCGGCGCCATAGGTTTGTACCTATCCCTCATTGCCTTCTTTTCATTCTTCTCCTCCTTTTGTCCCGCCAGATCCCCCATGAGCAACGGGTGCAGGGCGATACTCGAGGACAGGACAGGCAGGGGCGCGCGCTCTTCGTTGGGTTTAGGCATGGACCCGCTGCCAGAGAGGTAGGGGTTGGATTTCCGGGTGTTGAGCGCCTCGATACGAGCCTTGGCGGCGGCAGCTCGCTCTTTGATGGAGGGATCGGCTTTGGGAGGGGGAGGGAGAGAGGAGGGTCCGGCAGGTCGGGAAGGAGCAGGCGCAGCTGCAGCGAGCTTGGCCTCTGCTTCGGCCTTTTTGGCTGCGATTTGGGCTCGGATAGAGGAGATGTCGAATCCGCCCGGCTTGGGAGCGTCGACCTTGGCCCGCTTGGGGTCAGGCTGACCTGCAGCTGCATCGTCTGCTGGGCGGCGAGAAGACATGGTGATGTATACTTGGAGAAGAGTAGGAGTTGTGCGAGTTGAACGTTGAAGGTAAAGGTGGAATCAGATGGTCCCCCCATTTACGTCCTGCCCAGAATGCATTCGTCTATCTAAACAGCGGCTACGATAGCCTCGGCCGAGTTGAGCGCGCCGACCATCTTGACACACTCGCGCCGTCTACCATTAGCCATGCCCCGTCTCGCACTCACCTAGCAACAACATCCGGCGACTCCTTGAGAAGCTCCTCCAGCACATCCGGCTTGTACAGATTCTCCAACAACTCCCTCTGCAGATTCTCCTTGGCAAAGTTGACCAGCGTCAACGTGATCGCCTTGGGGACCATGTCGATCATTTCCCGCTTGACGACCGCAAAGTACGACATGATGAGGAGTTCTACATCAGCCCAGCCAAACCTTTACTCACTGATGACTTCCGTCTCCATCAGTTCGCGCTCGCTGAGCGTTGCAACCGGTTTGATGATGGATGGCGGCGCCTCCATCTTTCCGCCGGCCCGCTTCGGCTGCTTGTCCTTGGCAAAGAAGCTGCCAAAGAAGCTCGGCTCCTCCTTCTTAAAGTCGGCGTCCAGGTCCTTGCCGTTATTGATGGGGTTGACGATAGGCTTGCCCGTCTTGGGGTCCACCTTCTCTGGCGGCTTGTTGGCGGCCATACGCTCATTGACAATCGCCATGGCCTTGTGACCGTTGAGGAAGTCGGGGTGGGTAGTGTTGACGTAGCAAGCCTGCATGGCAACCATGTCGGTGACGAGCTTGTTGGTGGGTGCCATGCAGTTTTTGAAAAAGTTGATGACGACGAGGTTGAACCGGTCCTTGAGTTCCGGGTAGCGTTTGAACAGGGTCTACATTAGCAACGCCCAGACGAGACTTACAGTTTTACCGAGAAGCTGGCCTAGTATCCGGATCAACTCGTCATACACCAACGCGCAACACCTCAGACTTGGCTCCTCCAACCGCCGAATCTGCTGCTTGACAATCACCTCGAACGCCGTGGTCCCGACAAACAGGCTTGGCGTAGAACCGGACGAGTTGTAGAGAATGGTCCGGATATCCCCGTCCTTGACCTGGTCAAACGGGTCGATGCTCTTGACACCGTTGTTATAGAGCTCGTGGTAGACGAACGAGATACGCGCACCGCCCGACAGCTCATTGAGTGACAAGTCGTTGGTGTTTCCGTCAATGGCCGACCGGAACTCTGAGCAGAACTCGGTGATGGTGGAGAGGACGACCGAGCCGGGGTTGGTCTCGCCCATAGGTCCGCCGAGCGCCGCGAGTTCCGCCGTATACTTTTGGAGCTGTTGGCTGATGCGGGCTTTGATATCGGGAAGTGTGCTCCGGATGTGGTGCATGAGGATCTGATCAGCCGGGTCGAGCTTGGACTCACGATATTGAGCTTCTTTGCGAGCCATGGGGTTCCGCAGTACATGGCCTTGCTGGAATAGCTCGCGTGGTTCTCAAAGAACCGCTTCTCATTCTCGAGCGCCAGCGCGATACTCTTGGACTGGTCGATATCCCTCTGCCCTCGGTTGACGACCGGGACGTACCCCAGCCGCAACGGGATGACACGCCCAGCAAGAATATCCACCACGTCCGTCCCCTGATCCATCAAATCCACCTTGGTCAAGACACCGATCGTCCTTGTTCCCTCTGGATCCACCTCGCGCGCCATTTTCAGACCGTCCGAGTTGGCCAAGTCGGTGTTGGCGCCGGTGACCGCGAGGATGATGGCGTTGGGCTTGGATATGAACCGCATGAGCATGTCACGGATCTGCTTTTCGATATCGCGAGGTTGGTCTCCGACGGGAACTTTGGTGAGACCGGGGAGATCGACCAGGGTGAGGGTAAGGACGTTGGGCGAGAATATTCGGAGGTTGATGGGGTTAGGGGAGATGCCTAATCAGCACCGCTCATTGTCAAGCTCACCTGCATTCTTCCCAGTCATCTTTTCGGTGTCCCGCACAATCTCCTCGCGGATCTTGTGAAAGTCGTGGAATTTTTGCCCGGGCAGATGGAGGAACTCTCCCCACTCGTCGGGGTTGTTCTGGTTCAACTGCATCTTGTCCGTCTTGTCGGCGAGATCCTCGTCTTTGACCTCTCCGGCGGGTTTGGCCGCTGCCGGTCGGTTGATCAATTGCAGGACCTGCGGTCAGTGGAGTCAGCGGTGGGCTTACCAAGGGTCGACGCGTGACGATACCGGTTCCTCGGGGCAGAAAGTCCCGGCCGACAATGTTCTCGAGGACCGAGGACTTGCCCGAGGACTGGGAACCGATAACGGTGATTTGGGGCAAGTCCTAAAGTCAGTGGTGTCAGTAGGGGACTCACGATGTTGTTGGAGACGCCAATAGATGCAAACACATCTTGGAGCTGGACGTCAGCTATGAAGATACTGACAAGGTGAACTTACCTTGTTGACGAGGGAGATGAGTGAGAGATCCATGGCGGCGATAGCTGAAGGTCAGCGAGACCAAAGGACGTTTCAGCGCTATCTGACTCCCGAGCGGGCCTGTTGAGAACTCAGTGACTGTTGACCTACTCTGTGAATTCTGAGCGTGTAGATGTGAGCTGTCTATAGAGCTCTCAGATGTATAGAAGACAAGGTATGGGTTGCTGTGCGTGTGATGAACGCGTGGAGTTGTTGGTTGAGGAATTTACCCAAAGCGGCAACTCTATTGGCTTCCCTCAACCGGCACATCCATCGACGTGTCCACCATCTACCATCTATCATCTACCACCTACCGCTCGCTACCCCATCATACACTCATCGCCATGCCTGACATCTCATACGAAGCGCTCGCTGGAGCAGCCCTAGTCATCGTCCTCGCGGTCGGGTATCAATACCTCCCCAAAGCCGACGCGGAAGCCGGTGCCGGGTCCGCTTCATCCGGCAAGAGCAAGAAGAAGAACAAGAAGAAGGCCAAGGGCGGGAAAGAAGCGGTAGAAGAGGAGAGCGATAGGTCGGGATCAGCCTCGGAAGCCGGCAAGAAGGTGGGGGAAACGGTGAAGGGCAAGGCGAAGGATAAGCCAAAGAAGGGCAAGGCGGACCGTCATGACGACGGTGCGGCTGCACCTGCCCCGGTCCCTGCGCCAATTACGCCTGAAGCCGATGCGCCATCTTTCGCAGAGGTTGCCAAGGAAGGAACCGACCAGGACGAGCAGACGCAAAAGCCCAAGACGCTGGCTCAGAAGCTGGGGTCTAAGAATAGGAAGACCAAAGTTGACGAGTGAGTACGGTGATTCATCGGGCCGCCGCTGGTCGGGATTCTGTATGGCCGAGGACCGATCCTGAAGTGGTGAAGAAGGCGAGAGGGATGGAGGCCGAAGCGGACGGCTACAGCTCAGGCCTCAAGACGTAGATGCGCACGCCGGATCTATTGCGATAAGTGCTGACTAGCAGTATGCTCGCCCCGGAGGACCGCCCCGCCGAGCACGCCCGGGTGATGAAGGTCGTCAACAAGGACACTCCTGCAGCTAAAGCTTCACCTCCTCCTCCCGCCCCTGCTCCCGTGGAAGCGCCCAAAGCCTCCGAGAAGATCGCCAAGTACGAGGAGGACTACTTAGAGGGGGACGATACCACCTCCGGATCTGGCACGATTGAGGATGACGGCTGGGACGTTGTCCCTAGCAAAAAGAAGAGTCAGTCTACCTAGTCTCCGCGCTGACCATCAGAGGCCTTCTCCATCTCCAACTCCTCTTCTGCTGCGACTAGCACGACCGCCCCGCTCCCTGTCGACACCAAGATCCAGCGAAAGAATGCCAAAAAGTCGGAAGAAAAGAAGGCGATCAAAGATGCCGAGGAGGCGGACAGGCTGAAGCGGTTGTCGCAGCACAGAAAGACTCTGGAAAAGTGAGTGCCAGCGAAGTTCCCGCTGACTCCAGGGAGCGCATCGCCGAGATCTACAAGAGCAACAAGAGCGCTTCTGGCAAGACCAATGGAGGTGCTTTCGCTTCCCTGGACACCAATGGCAAGCTTGTATGGGACTAGCACTAGATAGGAACCTCTTTTTGTATAGGGTGTATGGGCAAAGTGCCACTTGTCTGAGCTCGAGCTTTGCCCGCCATAAACCCACACGCAAATTGTACCCAAAACGCGTCGATGAGATTTTGCTTTTACCTCTCCATCTCTTATCCACATCTAATCTTAATCTACTGCTATACCTGCCTGCTTATACTGTCGCCTTGTCGTCTCCACTACTATACATACCATGTCCGGGGCCGAAAAGCGTCGCGTAAGCCAGCATCCTGTTTGCTTTGTGTCGTCAAGACTTACAAAACAGGAGCTCCTCGAGGGTCTCAAAAATAAACGAACAGGAGGAAGCGGCGGGCTTACCTTCACCTCCGGCGCTCTCTCCTCTCCCGATAGCGACATCCTCGTCCCCTCCTCCTCACCCGCTAGGCCCGTAGTGCCCCCAGCAACGTCCAAGTACTTTGGTTCGGGCATGCCAGCCCCTACGGCGAATTCCCGGCCCAGCGCAATTCCCTCAAGCTTCGGCGGCGTCCCGTCGAGTCTAGGCGGTCGGTCAAGCGGTAGCCCTTTCCCCAACGGCTCTCCAGCCAACATCATGTCGGCGCTGCACAGCCGGCACGCCGATCAGTCAAAGTCTAGTGCTAGCGGGTCGCTATCGTACGAAAGCACCTTGATTGACCCCATTTCACCTCCCATCTCCCGCCTAAAACCCAAGTATACAGGCGATTCCCCTCAATACATCCCCTCCCCCGTCTCCTCACCGGCCATCGGGACCCTCAAGCGCACCCCCAGTCTCATCGTCGCGGCGAAAAACCAGGTCTCGACGGGAAAAGACGCAAAAGCGCGGAAATTGGCGGTACAGCATGGATTGCAGGTCGAGCAGGTTCTGCGGATCATGAGCAAGGTGGGGGATGGGGAAGAGGGCAGGCTACACGCCATGCTCAAGTCAGAGTCGACACGTCTAAAAGCAATCGCTCCGCAAGCGGCGTATTCGTCAGCCATTCCACGCACGACCTCGGCGTCGTCGTCGGCCACGCCCTCCCACATTCCCACCTCGTCGCCCGCTTCGGACTTTGACGCTACCCCTAGGCAGTCAAAGCCGAAGAATCAGTCAAAGATTTACGCCAATCGGACTTCACGGCCGAAGCGGCGGGACCCGGATGAAGAGGATTCTGTGGAGGAGGTCAGCGGGGGGAGTGCTGCGGAGAGCGATGAGATGGATTGGTCGGGAGATGAGGGGCCCAAGAAGAAGAGAAGAAGGGTCGACGAGGTGGACGCGGAGGGCGCGGCGTTGATCGCATTCAATACGGAAGCTGCAGACGTTCTGACAGGCACAATTGGTAAGTCATCTCTTCTTTGCTGTTTACGGATGCGAGAGCGGGCGGAAACGAATCGAGGGAGAGTGGTTCTGGTTCTCTTCACTCCGCTCTCCTCTCTCCTCTCCTCGCTCACCTCTGTACTCTCCTCTCTCCTCAGTCCTCTTACTTCTATCTTCTCCTCCCCTGTCCCCCTCTCCCTCTTCTTTGTCTCTCTGCTATCTTCTCGCTCCTTTCCTCTTTCCGCTTTCCCCGCCTCGCCTACTTCCTCCCCTCCTCATATTTCCTGCACAGCACTCCTCCCATTTCCTCCTTCACCCTTACCTCTCTCTCCGTTCATTGGGAGCCAAAGGCTGGATACAGCCGACCAACTTTGATACTCCGCAGTCCAAGAAGGATCTGGCTGATCTCCCAGCTTGCTCTCTTGATCAAGCGGCGATCATCATCAAGCACCGACCGTACACAAGCGTTGATGACGTTCGCTACAAGCTTACCAAAGCTCGGGGCGTATCCATGAAGCTATTCGAGCAATATACGGAAATCATGGAGGGGTACGTCCAGATCGACGCCTGCCTGAACAAATGCGAGGGTATCGCCAATGACATCGCCTCGACACTTTCGGTCTGGCGCTCCGCCAGCATGGGCCAGGACGGGAGCGTCATCGGAACTCCTCGGGCAGACGGTCTCAACGATGTCAAGGTGGACGTCAACAAGGTGTCTGAGCTACTCCGGAACGAGACGGACTCGCGAAAGCGGAAGATCCTGGCACAGTATATCAAGGAGCAGCCCGCCAAGCTGAGTAAGGGGACCGTATTGAAGGATTACCAGCTCCTCGGCGTCAACTGGTTGAATCTGCTGTTTGCGAAGAAGATAGGCTGTATTCTGGCGGACGAGATGGGTGAGTTTTGGGCAAAGGCCAAGCTGATCCAGGCCTCGGAAAAACCATCCAAGTCATTGCGTTCCTCGCCCACCTCCACGCGCAAGGTAACAAGGGACCTCACATGATTTTCGTCCCGTAAGTCCAAGTATTGGATGCGCTGATTCAGCGCTTCGACGCTCGAAAACTGGATTCGGGAATTCGAAAAATTCGCCCCAACAATCGACGTCCAGACATACTATGGGAGTCAAGCCGAAAGGGCGATGCTACGCTCGGACCTGAAGCAGCGATATAGGGCAAAGACGCTGCGGGTGGTGCTGGCGAGCTATACTCAGATGTCGTCCCATGACGATCTCAGTTTCTTCAGGAAGAAGATCAGCTTTGAGGTGAGTGTATAGTGCCTAAGCGTGCTCTCAGGGATGGAGAGGCATCAAAGAGCAAGGCGGATCACAGGAAGAGAAGCTGCATGCTCGTAGAGGCGAAAAGAGTCAGGGCTAGGAACTGTGGGAGGACCCGGGCCAGGGAAAGAAGGGAGAATACTGCAGATCGTCTATTCCCTTGACTCTTTCCTCCGGTGGCCTCTGCCTGCCTCAGTGCTTTGGCCACTTTCTCCTTACCACCATCTTTCATCCACCTCCCAATCCCTCTTTCATCCACCTCCAATTCCGTCTTCCGTCTTCCTCCATCGCCAACATCTCCCACCTTTCCCGCGCCATCCTCCGCTTATGGTGGGCATTCTCTGTCCGGCGCAAGCTCGAACCCGAGTTTCCCAGCCGCCTTCGGATCTAGCTGATCCACAGACCTGCATCTACGACGAGGGACATCGGCTTAAGAACTGCCTTACCAAAGCCTACATCGACCTACTGTCTATCAAGCCAAAGTGGCGTCTCCTCCTGACTGGTACTCCGCTCCAGAATAACTTGCAAGAGCTAGTCGTAAGTCTCAGCTGCAAATCCGCTGACGCTAGTCCATCCTGATGTTCATCCACAAAGACGCCTTCAGCGACGCCGAACCCTACCTCCGTGCCATCTTCAAATCCGGCTCCCAGATCAACCTCCTCTCGCAACAACGTGTATCGCGCGCTCGGACCATGCTCACACCCTTCGTCCTGCGGCGGAGAAAAGCTATGGTGCTCGACCTTCCCGCCAAAATCGAAACGACGCGGGAATGTCTCATGACAACCACTCAGGCGACGCTGTACCGCGAAACGCTGGAACGCTCAAAGAAGGTCTTTGCAGAGGTGGACGTGGACGATCTGGCGGCTATGGATGACGAAGAGGTGGTCAAGAAGGTCGCAAAGGGAAAGAAGGCGGTCGCGAAAAAGTCGAGCTCGTCCAGTCACGTCCTGATGGACCTACGAAAGGCGGCCTCCCACCCTCTCCTCTTCCGCAAAAAGTACACCGACTCCATCGTCCGCAAGATCGCCAAGGAGTGTCTCAATACCCCGAGGTGGTGCGATGCCAACCTGGACTATGTCATCGAGGACTTGGAGGTGAGTACAAGCTAGACCGAGCTGATTCAGGTCATGAGCGACGCCGAGATCCATCATTTCTGCAACGAATCGGAGTACGAAAACGTCCAAGCATTCTCGCTCGACCCCGACGCCTTCCTAGAGGGCGGCAAGGTCAATGCAATGCGGGAGATCATCGAGAAGGCCATGAAGGAGGGCAAGCGGATACTGCTCTTCTCGCAGTTCGTCATGATCCTGGATATCCTCCAGGTCGCTTTGGACCACCTCGACATTCGGTATACGCGGCTGGACGGGTCGACTAAGACGGACGAGCGACAAGCTCTCGTCGATGAGTTTACGGACGACTCGGATATCACGGTCTTCCTCTTGTCCACCAAGGCGGGCGGAGTCGGTATCAACCTCACGGCAGCCAGCGTGGTGGTCATTTACGACCAGGACTTTAATCCCCACAATGACCGTCAAGCCGCCGATCGTGCCTATCGAATCGTGAGTCCTGCCTAGACCAAGCTGATATCAGGGACAAGAACGCGAGGTAGAAGTCATTAAACTCATCACCAAAGACTCGATCGATGAGGACATGCTCAATATCGGGATGACCAAGCTGCAGCTGGACGATGCGGTTGGCGGGGAGGAGCGGACGTTGGATGGGGAGGGCAAGGACGATAGCACCGCCAAGGAGATCAAGAAGAGTCTCTTGACGACGTTGAGGAACAAGTTCGAGGCGGGCGGGGAGGTGCCGGAGGGGATCAAGGTGGAGGTCGGGATGGGGACGCCAATCAAGGGGGATGGCAAGAAGGAGGTGAAGAAGGCGAGGGCAAGTATGCCTATCAAGGAGGAGTAGACCATTACTATAGCATATCATATCCTGTACTGTATGCTAGGTGCTGATTCAGATGGATCTCGCCCAGCTATCGTTTGGAGCAGTAAAGCCTTTGCGGGAACGCTAGGCGTACAAGCACATACAGTAACGAGTCTAGGCGGTACATCGGATGATATTCGTCAAGTACCTTTGCGAGCTAGTCTGCGAATGTCCAGCCAGTTTTCTTCAGTACTTCCACCGCTCTGTCGAGCTTCTCTGATGGCACCAGTATGTAGTCGGTGTTCCTGAAAGATCAGACCTGCTCCCATGGGCGGGAAATAAACGCACCATGTGGAAATAGCGTATATGGGTACTTTGGCCAACCGAAGAGGAGTCGTGAGCTCATTCAGGATGCCAGTCAAGGCTGACTCCATCAGCCTATCGCCTCTATTTCTACCGGGAAGAAGCTCGGGGAGAGCTCACTGAGATCAAGGGGTCCCTTCACGCTGAGTACAGCGTACGGTCCACCTTGAGATGTGGGTTGTACTGCGAAGCACTCGAGGATGCCCGGAATCCCCGTCTCTGCTCTACTGGCTCCGCGATGATATTCGGGATGTGGGGAAAGCGCGCAGACAATAGTGGTCTCTCCTTGCGATTGAACGACGCTGAGCAGGGGGTAATTATTTCGGTAAAAGAGGATGGACGGTACAACGACGTCGCGCGGGAACTGGGCGAGAAACGCGACGAATGGGGAGACGATGAGCTGAAGCGATGGATCCGACTTGTTGATGCCGGTCTCCTGGACGGTGACGTCAGGCGTGGTAGACATCTGATCGAGGTCACTTTGGCTCAAGATGAAGCAGCGATGGGATACGGTGCAATGTTGACAGGTGCTAGTACTACGAACTTCACCGGCGGACCCCATGGCTGTGCCGTTTTGACCTTCACGTGGCTCCAAGCGGTGATGGTGTCGCAAAGAGAGTCGCGTCTAACCATCTCATCATAGCTGCAACCCATGGCTCGTTGGAGACCGTGCATATGGGTGGGACTCGCAATGCCAGGAAATTACTCGGACCCTGATCGTAGATGATGGGAGATGGGATGAGTGAGGAAGGCGATGGCCGCATCCATGTGAAGAGCGGGTATATGATGACAATGCATGACCTGCGCGTGTATGCTAGGTGTTGAACATAGAGAGACCTCGCATCTGTCTATCCACTGCTGAGCGGAACTGTCATTAGCCGAGTCTGGACTACTACTCACAGCATCACTATCTATCCCTATGTCCCGGCTGTTCATGTCGATGAGCGGATTCCGGACGACATATTCCATAAACGCCCCGGTGTATAGCTTGCGCAAAACAAAGCTCAAGGAGTCGCCAGAAGGGTCGGAGAGGAGGACGAAGCGGTAATTGGTGGGCGTCTCAAAGAGGTGGAATTTGTAAGTGGGAGTGCGGTAGGAGGTGAAGAGGTCTTCCCTGTACCATCAGCTTGAGTTGACGATAGTGTGGCACGCTTTTCATGTCCACTTGAAGCCGCCGTAATCATGGCCCCTGACTAGAACCAAGCATTTGTCCACCCTTCGTCCCTTCCCCTCGTTCTGTCTTCATCTCCTTGCAGCATTCGATCCTCTGCCTCCCCTCCTCCATCTGAGTCTCATCATCATAGTTCCACCACTCCAGCTCTCAGCCTATCCGCTTGCCGGCTTCTTCCATCCTCTCTCCTACGCCATGTTCATCTGCCGAAGAGGACTGGTGTTTGTCGATGAAGGGGGTTAGTAGGACCCCGGCCGGTCGACACGGCACATCATCGACAATACTTTTCTTCACTCACCGTCCTGATAGCTTCTTGGCCATATTCCTCAGACTCAGCACCACCCCATATACCAGCTTCGCCTCCTCATCAAACGGCAACCCGCCTATCCCTTTCCCTGTTCTTCCCACCGGCCCAGCCTGACCCCGCCCATCCTGCCCATCTACCGCACCTGATTGTATTGATGATCTTTGATTCGAGAATATGCTCTCCCTGATGGCGCCTGTAGGATCGGGCGGTGGTGGGAGGCGGTGTATACCCGCTTTGAAGTTAGAAGGAGGAGGAGGTCGAACGGGTGAGGTACGGTTCCAATCTTGGTAGTAGACGCAGTCGCAGTGTCTATGCAGCTCAGCATATGTAATATCACTACAGAGGGAGCTCACCTGTCGAATATGTAGAGGGAGTAGATCATGGTATTACAGGGATACAGAATGAGAAACCAAGATAGATGCGACGCCGATACATTTCAGTCGCGGCTTCAGCGCTTCAGCGCGTCCACGTGCCTGACCTCACGAGCGGCGGCACCGTCCTCGCGCTGCTAGTGTAATTATCCTGCAGGCGAACATTCAGACAGTGGCTCTAATTCAGTCACCGCCGGTGTCCCAGCGAGCTCAGCCAGCCCGAGCGCGTCATAACCATGACGACCACGAGACAGGTCAGTATAACAGTATCCACATTGCCACATCCGGAATCAAATCTGGTAACATTACGGCACACGAAACTCCTCATTCCTCAGTCCATACCACAGCGTTCCCTCTCTCTATCTCGCGTTTCTGACCTCCTGGACCTTCGCCGATGAGCGCAATCTTTCTATTCGCAGCCTGAGGCCGAGGACTCCATCGTTTCCGTAGTATAGTGGTTAGTACGGAGCTTTGTGGTTTGCACCCAAAGACCCTTCCAAAGTCAATCAATTCAGCTCAGACGCGTGTTCGATTCACGCCGGGAACATTTATCTTTTGATTCTGGGAGGAAGATACACTCCCTGGGGAGTTGCTTTTTTCGGTCCGGGCCTATCTTTCCTTGTTCATTGTCCACGACGAGGTACGTCGACACCATATTTTACACTGACTTGGCCTTAACCCCTGACGAGGGGATCGAAAGGTCAGTGTGGCGGCCGACTGAGATCAACCTGGACATACCAAGCCTTGCGGTCTGATTGCCAACGCCGCCAGCAATGGTGTAGGCGTTCGTGCTGTCTGATGAGAAGTGTGGCGCCTGAAAGGCCGGTGCATAAGTACTTATCTGTTAGCCTATAATAGTCGTGGCGATTGGAATGCTTGGTCTCGGTCACCTCGATGATGCCTTGATAAGATTGTGCACGGCCGGGATCGCGGGCCGGCGGTCGGTATATCGCGCCGCAGATAGGCATGGATGCCGAGATACTCGTACGCATCGGACGGCGCCGTAGTGCATGGCGCTGGTCTGAAGCCAATCCATGCGCTGACGACCACATGTACATAAGGCCATCCCTGCTAGTATATAGAGGCCATCCTTCCCTGTCAGTCCGCTTAGATCGCCTCAATGGAATATCCCGGAGTTGCGTTCATCACAGGCGCAGGTGGAACAGGTAAGCCCCGCGATAGCAAGCGCTGACAGCAGGTATCGGAAACGCTGTAGCCCTCGCTTTCGTCCGAGCCGGCTGTACCAAGCTCGTCATCACCGATATTAACCCCTCATCCCTATCCGCAACCGAGTCCTCTCTCTCCCGCGCCACTTCCCATCCCATCGAGATCCTTGCCATCAGCGGTGACATCTCCAAAGAGCAGTTCATCAGCGACCTCTTCGGACAGGTCAGATCCCGCTTCGGTCGGATCGACTATGCGGTCAACGCAGCAGGCATCATCGGCGACCAGCTCTCCACCGTGGAGAGCACACTCGAGGCGTTTGACAAGGTCAATGGTGTGAACTACAGGGGACTGTGGATGTGCGTCAGGGAGCAGCTGAAGATGATGAAGGAGCAGGAGATCAGCGCGAGGGAGGGAGTGGCGCCTGGGCGTGGGCAACGGGGGAGCATTGTCAACATTGCCAGTCAGCTTGGTATTGTGGGAAGGCCAAACTCGTGTAAGTCATCGCTCTTTGGTCCGGCGCTGCTGACAATGTAGCCAGCTACTGCGCCGGCAAAGCCGCCGTCATCGGCTTGACCCGCTGCGATGCCATCGACGCTTCGCCTTTCCGGATCCGAGTTAATGCGGTCTGCCCCGGCATCGTCGATACCCCAATGGTCAAGCATCAACGGGACGTGATGGATATCGATCCGTCTGTCCCAGTTGTCCCGGGCGACCCACCCTCGGCCGATATGGCCCATTTCATCGCCATGGCGCCGATGAACCGGATGGGATTGGCGGAGGAGATTGCGGATGTGACTGTCTTTCTGAGTGGTGAGAAGGCGAGCTTTGTGCAGGGTGCTGCGTGGGTGGTGGATGGGGGGTACACAATCAACTAGATGGGATGCATAAGTCGACGCTTCCGCACATCCTGACCATACTGACTTGATGATGGAGATCCGCTCGCCCAGTCAATTTGTTGGTCACACTGAAAGTAGCTCCGGATCCAGGTGATGTTACATGCCTCATCACCTCCATTGGACATCCGTCTTGTCCTTGGACTCCCGGTCCTCTAGCTCGACAGAGCATGTTATGATCTATACATGTTACATATACACATGTTACACTATACGCATGTTACACTATACGCATGTTACACTACGTTGACTTCTCGATTCTGTCTTTCTTGACCTACTGACCGAGCTGCCTGATAATACTATCCTTCTCCTCCCTCTGCTCCTTCGTCTGCTTGCGCGCCACCGCCAACGCCTCCTCTAGATTTTTCACCCTCTCCTGCAGCTCCGCCTCCCTGTCTTCCTTCCCCTCCAGCTTGACCCTCAACTCCTCCTTCCCCTTGCGATGAGCCCGCACTTGTAGTTTCAGCCCCTCGATCTGCTGCTTCATCTCCTCCGCCTGCACCTGATCCACCACGTGTTGCTTCTCGTACATCCTCGCATCCGCCTTGAGCCACGCACAATCCTCCTTGAGCGTCTCATCCGCCAGCTTCTGGCGCTTGCCCGATGGCATCCCGTCCGTTGTATTGACCGACGCGGCGAGTGTGTTGTAAGAGGCGAGGAGCAAGCCGTATTGTTTGGCAGTATGACCGTGACCCCAGGCGGACTGCTTCAAAGCATCGTTCAGACGTGTGATGTCCCCGCCGTCGAGGTCCCTTTGCACGCGGTGTCCCGAGATGGCCGCGGATTGCGCCTCGACGAGCTTGCGGACTTCTTTGTCGACAAGAAGTCCTTGGTCGTACTCTTCGCGGAGGTCGTCGATAGTGGCTGAGGGTAGGACTCCGATTGGCTGGGTGGCTCGTCGGCGCTCGATGTGGGAAATAGCGTGGAGAGGTTCGACCGTATCGTTGACGCCGGATTGATAGGCTTGAGCAAGGGTGCCCTTGTACACAACGGCCTAGACGATCAGCTCGGGAATTAACGTGCAATGTGGAGAGCCTCACAGGCATGAGCTGTCTCTTGACCCCTTCGTCCAAGACGGGCCTGTGCGGCGGAAAAGGAGGCTCATCATCCGAGACCTCGGAGAGGTATGACGAATGGTACCGTGCACGGCCCTAAGAATCAGCTTTGAACAGTCTCCAAGCTCATCCTATCAGTCGCTCACCGTGGGCATTCTATAAGTCGGAGTAGCCCCACGACTGATCTGTCGAGAGGGGAACCTCGCGATCGGCCCGCCATTGATAAAGAGAGATCAGACATGTCCGAGATCGTTCCGAGTGCTACGATGGAGGAGGGAGAGGAAGGAGAGGTCGGTGGGTGAGAGAGCCTGGTTGAGGAGGAAGGAATGGTGGGTTCGGCCGACTGAGGAGGGAAAGGAAGGAAAGGTCGGCGAGTGGGAGAGCCTGGATGAGGAGGAAGGAATGGTGGGTTCGGCCGACTATGAGGAGAAGTAGAGCCTTGATCTGCGGCGCGGCTATCGGTGTACTGGGACTAGGGTGTGCGGTTTCTTCCTTGAGTCAGTATGCCCTCCGCATCTCGGTGGAAAGAAGAACAGACCGGATCTTGGCGCTTGATGTGCGGATCTGGAACGCTGTGAGTGTGCAGACCGGATCAACGAGAAGGACCGCTGAAGGCGAGCTGCGTGATGCTGCCGCCGAGGTGCTGAAGCGACGGTAAGTATTGATATCCTAACTGAAGGGAATGAAGTACGATTGAGAGAGGAAGGAAGGAGTGCGAGCCGAAAGTACTGACTGGGACGCGGAAGGGTGGCGAATAATTGGGTTACGCTATTCGTGCACCCCACATATGTCAGCGATCTGAGCATCAATAACAGTCTGTTATTAGGCATCCCTCCCTCTCGCCAATCGTACTATCGTACTACGGTCAGGCTATCAGTAGTATCGGAGTGAGTCAGATCAGCGTCATCTACGGCTCATACATTTATCACAACCGCATCTCACGCCTAAGCAGCGCCAGCTGCCCCATCAGCTCCGCCTTCTTCGACGCGTCCACTTCGGCCTGAGCGAGGAAATCCTGATTCGCCGCCTTCAGATCCCTGTTCACCTTCTCCACCTCTTTAAGCTTCACTTCTCCCTCCTTGATCTTCTTCTGCGCCGTCTTTGCCTTCGTGTCAGCCGCCTTGGCCTTCACCTCGGCCGCCTTGGCCTTCACCTCGGCCGCCTTGGCCGTCTTTTCAGCCGCTTTCGTCTTTCCGTCCGCCACCTTAACGTCCAACTCAGCGGCCTTGACCTTGGCGGCTGCCTCCGCCTCCCTGGTCCGTATTCCCGTGTCCGACCGGTGCGCTTCGATAGTGCTTTCGAGCGTCCGGATCTTAGTAAGAAGGCCGGTATTATCGATCTCCATCTGCCTGAGATCTGCCTCCACGACACCGAGGTGCTTCTTGAGCTGGCCGAACTTCTCGACAAGCCGGTCGTGGGTAGTGGACATTTCCTCGGCAGAGACCGTGAGAGAGGTGTTCGATGCGTGCAGATCCTGGATCTGGGCCTGTAGATCGGAAATTTGTGATCCGACCTCGCGAGCCTCGGTTGCGGCAGCCGAGGCGCAGGTTTTCATCGTTTTGTTGACTTTGATGACGAGAAGCTTGGCACGGCGTTGCCATAGCTCGCGGTGTAAGGTCTCGATGAGGAGGGCATCGGTAAGGCCTGAGCCAGTCAGCCTGGACCAGGTCGAACAACGAGAAGTTGACACGTACCTTCCTGGGATGGTATAGCTTGGAGCTCCGGGCAGAAGGCTAAAGGTAGACCGTTCGATGCAGGCTGAGCGCTGTCGAAGACATCATCGAAATCTTCCTTCAGATCGGCCGAGTAGATTGACTGCAATCAGCGAGTAACAGCGAAGTAGTGCGATTCACTCACATATCTGCGCTTATGCGCATTGCCACTTTTTCCTCGGACAGGGTCCGCAGACATCTGCGCCGTGGCAGCTGCAGGTTCATCGATCGCCAATTGCCCCTTGGTGGCGATAGTAGCAGAAGCTTGACCTTCGGGTGCGAGGTCTGGGTTAGGGGTCGGCCCGGAGATGGTGATTTGCCTTGGTAGGTCCCGGTCCGAGTTCCTCGGCCATGCAGGAGACTGAGCAGTGTATTGTGTGACGCCCGGAAGTTCTTGGGCTCTTCGACTTCTCGTCAAAGCAAAGGCCATCATCGTAGCAGGAAGGTGTTCAGTCGAGTCGAAGGGGTAACAGGGATGGAGGCGTGGGTGTATGACGTGCGATTGGGAGGTGCTTGGTAGGGTGTGGGAGGTGGCTTGCTAGAGCGATGAGCAGAGGTCTGCGTTCGTTAACGATATACCGAATCGTAGAAGAGCGATATAGGAAGGAGGAGATGCTCAATCGTAGAGACTTGCTCTCCACCATAATGGTGGTCCGGATCGGGAGAGGGTAGGATAGGAGTTGGGGTGCGAAGAGAAGAGGCGGAGGACTTGCCTGACTGTGTGGCTGGAGAAGATGTAGAACAACCTTGCGAGGATGAAGTACAAACGAGGGATTTGAGGTTGGCCGGCGAGGTTATATAGTGCCAGTTGCGCACGGTTCTCCCGTACTGGCGCTGGATGTGGTCCGGGCGCTACAGGGTGAGAGAGGGTCAGTGCGCATCAGTAGATAGGTTGTAGACCGGTGCAAATCTGAACGTGACGCACGGGCCGCACGCACCGCCTGGATCACCTCAGGCAGACGGGTAGTGGAGAGTCTAGACACTAAAACGACTTCCCGCTCCTTTCTCCACCCCCCACTTTCGTCCCGCTGGATATTAACGGTCAGCGATGCGAGGAGGATCAGTAAGTCGAGATCCGGAGCAGATGTACCATACTACTCCTCCCATCCCCCGCCTCCGTCTCAGTCGCCTCGGCCAGTCGCAGACCCTACCCAAAGTTGGCCCATTCCAAACTGTAAAACTCGACTCCATCCTCCTCCCCTCCCTCCTCTTCCTCCCAGCAGCAAATCAGCCCCGCCTTCTTCGTCCCCGTCCCCAGCCTCCCCCACGCCACAATTTCCGCCGGCCGTATCGCCTCCTCTCCCACCACAACCTGACTCGTATAATGCGCATGATACCTGAGGTAATCTCCGGGGTACACCAAAAACTCGCCTCCGAATCGCGGTCCGAGTCCAACGCGGAGGTCGAGACTCAGGAGGCGGGTGAAGGTAGCGAGGAGTGCGCGATCGCGGGCTGACGAGGGGAATGGGAAGAGGGGGTGCGGGAGGGATGTGATTGACGGGAGATGGGCGAGGGCCGGGAAGTGGGGATGAGGGGCGATATCGTGGAAATGTGTTCCGCGAAGTGGTTCCAGCGATGTCTTGGCGATAGGTTTCGATGTGGGCGCAGGCTCTTCCGGCTCAAAAAGCTCCACTCCGCCCTTGGCGGCCTTCTCGGCGCGTATCCTCGCTCTCGCTTCTCGCTTCGCAGCGGCCGCCTCCCCCGCCTGCGTAAACTTCGCCTTGGCCTTCCGAGCATTCTCCACCTCCAGATCCCGCATCGACGCCTCGAGCTCGCGTAGCCTGCGCACCCTCTCTGCGCTGTACTTTTGCACTTCGGCGGATGTGGGCAGCGAGTGGGTGGGATTTGGGTTCACGGGTACGAGGTGGGCGATGCCTATATCAGCTACGTTGAGGATGGGCTCACCTTGGCGGACGAGATAGGCAGTCTCTTCTTGCATGAGCGTAATTGGGAGACCTAGGAAACCATTCTGGGACGATACGCCGGGAAGAGTACCGACGCGGAGTCCAGAGATCCCGTGGACGCAGTGGAGAGTTGCCGCGACTCATGTTAGCAAAGCCGAAGAGGGACCTACCCTGTGCATCCCAGACTGTTCCTACGCCATTAATGAGGTATATGGGGATGGATGAGGGGGAGGCTAGCATAGGCTCTATATCTATCGCCATTGTAGATGGATAGTACCTATAGGCTGGAGCTGTGAGTGAGGAGGAGATGAGATTTGAATCGTAGGAGGTGCCACGTCATGATTCCAGCTTGTTTCAGAATTGATAACGCATGCTTCATGCTTCTCGCGCAACAGGTCCGCCTCTTGATGTTACACCTATATCGAGTGACCTCCACTCAACGCAACACAACCACATAGATAGCTAGAGATCCGACACGATGGTAAGCTGGCAGGTGCCAAATGATCAGCCAAAGCGCACAAAGCTGACTCATCAGTTGATGTTCTCGTGCGTCCCTTCAATCCCCCTCTCTGTCCCGTACTGATCATCCAGCTTCTTCAAAACCCTGACAGACCAAGTCATAACCGTAGAGCTCAAGAATGACCTCTCAATAACAGGCACCCTCAAATCAGTCGACCAGTAAGTCTACTCATCGACAAACCTGATGTAGATTCCTCAACATCAGATTAGACGGGATCTCCGTGGAAGATCCAGAGAGACATCCACATATGGTGAGCTAGCTCGTCTTACCTCATTGCATGGGACAACATAGCTGATCGCTTAGCTCGCGGTGAAGAACTGTTTCATAAGGGGTTCGGTGGTCCGGTATGTGCGGATGCAGGCGAGGAATGTGGATACGACGTTGCTGGAGGATGCGACGAGAAGAGGTGAGCTAAGTATATCCCATAACGTTGCCCATAGCTGACCAACCAGAGGCAAAGGAAGGAAAGAAGTAGCTGGTCCAGGTCGTGCATGTATCATACTATCAGACTTATGGCGGAGGGACCGGACCGACCGGTAAGACTCGGCGATACAGCCAGGTCCAAGGTTCTCCTCTGCCCGGAAGCTGCGACTTACAGAGGAGAAGTCGCGGAGCTCTGAGTGGATCGTAGGAGCAGCGCATTCTGTCCAGTAGCACATAGGTGAAGAGCAGCTAGGAGTCGAGCGGCTCTAGGAGAGGTATTGTCATCACAGGGCAGTCAGGTCATGTGGGCGCGTCAGGCCAGTCAGGCACGAGATCTCGAGAAAGTCAGAAAGTTCAAGTCGCGCTCAGGTCTATCCACCTCCTACTCTCTACTTGCTTTCTACTATCCTGGCAATCACGATGTTCCCAAGCCCAATGCAGCGCCTCACGTTGGGTACGCTCCGCTATACCCTCCAGCGCTCCCCTACACCTCTGCGAGCTCCCATACGCTCTCTTCGGAGCTCATCCCGGCAACCTCCCTCCCCCTCCCCCACTTCTATCCTCTGCCGACATCGACAGCGTCATCTTCACTCCCCTACTTCTCCTACACCGCCAGAAGGTACACCCGTCGCACATCATATCGATGCGGAACTGCTCCATCCTGCCACACCACCAGCGGAGGTCGCGCCTGCTACGAATATCCTGGATCGGATCTTACCCGGCTGGGCGATGGGGGCAAAGCCATATCTGCTCTTGACGAGGATAGATAAACCTATCGGAAGCGTGCTGCTCTTCTGGCCATGTGGTGAGTGTTCTCCTCGGGCACAATGCACGGGAGTGAGCAAGGAGCTGGGCTTCTCTTGGGCGTATGTGGAGGCGCCAACCATCGACCAGGAGAGGGCAAGGGCGGGCTCAACCCAAGCCCAGTCTCTTTCCGCTGGGTGATTCACAAGCGGAGCATGCGCGGTATTAGAAGCGCGTCTGGATCAGGGGCTCTTGAGGTGCTCACAGCTGGAGGGCCGATTGGTTTCGAGGTGATAGTAGCTGATCCCAGCCTGGTCAATCACCATGGCGTCCACCGTGAACCACCTCCCCATCACCACTCCCCTCTTCTACATGGGCCTCTTTGGCGTCGGCGCCCTCATCATGCGCGGCGCAGGATGTACCATCAACGACATGTGGGATGCCAAGTTTGATCGTGCTGTAGGTGGGTCAGTCCTTTCTTTGCTGGGCGTAGTTGACAGGCAGAACGAACCAAGAACAGACCATTAGCGAGGGGAGATGTCACGCAGTTTGGAGCTCTGACGTTTCTGGGCGTGCAGTTGACCGCTGGACTGGCTGTCTTGACGCAGCTCAACTGGTATTCGTACGTGTACTCATTAGCATGGCTGACAGTAGGATCGTATTGGGGGCTAGCTCGCTAGGCCTGGTCATTCTCTACCCGTACATGAAGCGAATCACCTACTACCCTCAAGTCATCTTCGGTAGGTACCCCTTCAGGCCGAACTGACAGCAGGGATGACATTCAACTGGGGTGCCTTCCTGGGCTGGTCAGCCGTCGTCGGAGCTGTGGACTGGACGATCGCTACCCCGGTGTACGTCGGCGGTGTCCTCTGGGGCATCATGTACGATACGATCTACGCACACCAGGTGAGCCTCCTCTTCGCATGAGACGCGCGGGCAGACCCCTGTCAAATGAGCGCCAAAGGTTGCAGCGCTTGGGAGGCAGAGTTGAGCGGCGAAGCCATGGCTGCGGCGCGGTAATCGGTTGGCTGGGGTGCGACGCACGACAGCTGTGCGCCGGTCATGAGACGGCCCTACTGCAGACATTGCTGACGCCCAGGACAAACACGACGACATCCTCGTCGGCGTCAAATCCACAGCCCTCGCCTTCCCCACCCACTCTCGACACTTCATCTCCACCCTCTCCGCCTCCTTCGTCTCCCTCCTCACCCTCACAGGCTACCTCGCCGGCCTCGGCCCCGCCTACTACTCCATCTCGTGCGTCGGCGCCGCGGCGCACCTGGCTTGGCAGTGCAAGACGGTAGACTTTGAGTCGCGCCCAGACTGCTGGAGCAAGTTTGTCAGTAATGGGTATTTGGGCGGGTTGATCTGGTTAGGGATTGCAGTGGACTATGTGGGCGAGGTGCTTCTCAGTGGGTTATGGTAATGCATATAGTATGTGCTGTAGTCGTTCATCCGGGAGAGCCTGAGATCAGCTGATTCTGCCTCTACTCACCTCCCAGGAAATTATCGGCCTTTTGAGCTTGCGTCTCGAAATCATCCTTGAACACCGCGAGACCGACCATCAAACCCGCGCCGAAGACTACGTCAGCTCATCCAGAGGTAGGCTTACAGAGGATAGACTGGAGGAGCCAGAATGCGCCTAATGTCAGCTCGGCCACAGACGGACTTACCCCAGAACCGAGAGCTGCAGCAGCCGATGAGATTGGCGTATTCGGACGCGTCCGAGCTATTGACTTTGCGTGCGAGAGTGTCCTGAGATCAGCTGTGAAGAGGGAATATACTGACATCGACGATATCCCACTGATAGTCAGCTTGGCCTCCTCCTTAATCAGACGCTTACGATCGTATAGAAGCAGCTCATCACGCCTGCTGGGTCAGCTCGATACAACGCGAGGAAGGTATGTCAGCTGACATACCGATGAAGAGGATCAAGAATCGTAGAGCGACCGATCTTGCTACCAGCCAGCATACCTATATCAGCTCCATCGAGCCCTGACTCACAATGAGCAACGCCGCGACGAAGGCGAATGTCAGGTATGGGACCCAGCTCCTTCTGGCCCAGAACAGCGTAAGGAGGAGGAAGAAGGCCAGGACGAGCGCCGATACTTTGGACGCGTTGGTATCAAAGCCCTATGGGTCAGCTTTCTTCTACGAAGAGGACTTAGCTCACACAGGCGATAAAGATGGCGCCGATGAGACCGGAACCTAGATATCCAGCTGGAAGGGTGATCTGGGTGAGCTGATTCTCGAAAGAACGTACGGAAGGGATCCCGCCTCGCATGCGCGTAGTTCCGCCCTCGTTCGGTTCGAGCTGGACGTCAGTAAGGCGGAAGGGGTCCTGGAGGAGAGCTCACGGTGATGCTTTCGATATGGGCGCATGTGATCACCTATACGTCAGATCAGAAGCGAGATCCCTTACCCCTGCTAATGCGTGACACCTGGATCAGCTCAGTTAATGGCTATACGCACATCTCATGCAGACCGACAGTCTGTGAGTCAGCTAGTGAGCTGAGCTCGGAGAGGCGAAACGTACGAGGAGCTTGAAGGGGTAGATGGCCTTTTCGAGGTACGGTACTGGCGATCAGGAAGATTCAAAGAATAACATGAATCGCTTACCGTGCCTAAGGTGAGTATAGCGGTAGAACTAGCTCATGTGGACCTACCACTGCCAAGTGAGCCCCGTAGTCCGTCCGAGAGACGGTGAAACGTACGACTAGCGATCAGCTACCATTCGGTCTGACAGCTCATCACTCACATATTCCAATCACGACGATATAGCACGCCGCCACAATGAGCGTCACCCTATACGTCAGCTCTCCTCAGTACCGACTGCACAATGCGTACTGCTGCGTCGGATTTGGCGTGAGGTCTTCTCGAGCATCTCGCTTGGCCAAGATAAGCTCAGCGAGCGGGTCTTGGACCCCAGCCAGGATAGCGGCAGTGGCGAGTGCCCTGATAGCTTGGGTGCGGGTCGGCGCCATCTCTTCAGTCAGTCGTCTATAGGTCAAGTCTTGAGTAAGATGGTCAGTAGAGAAGCAGGAGGGGGAAAGGATGTTTACATCGCCAAGCTGTCACCGGGCCTCGGCGTTGAGTGAGCTTCTACAGCGTACCGAAGAATCCTGAAACACACACGGGGAAGGACATTGTGTGTGGCGCCACATCTGGTTCTCAAAGCAGGGTGATCTGGAGCGAGCCGGCCTCAAGGTCGGCATTTAGCGGGGTTATCCCCAGGGAGCTTTCGGTTAATCCCCGGTTGAATGTGACGCGCCTCGACGCGTCCAGCCAGCAACAAAGGTCAGAACCATCGCTTGACTGTACTCTCCGATATAACGAGTATACCTCACTCCTCATACTCACTCACGATGGCCGAAGGCATGGAAGAATGGCTGTGCGACTCGAACGAGGCGGTGAGCCTGCAGATGGGTGAGTTAGCCGGTCCCTGTAGGACTCTACATGGACATAGCTCACAATCAGTCCGCTCCGAGGAGGACAGCGCCGCTCTGGCAGGGGACGACCTGATCGCCCTCGCCCCCTTCTCCCCCGCCTTCACCTACCCCATCTTTGGCGAGCACGAGAAGATATTCGGGTACAAAGGCCTGGAAGTACAGCTCCAATTCGCCTCGGGGAGCCTGAAGCAGTACCTCTCCATCAATCAGGACGAGGTGTTGCAGTCCGCCACGCCAGCGGACGATATCGAGGGGAAGTTGTACGAGTTCATCCCGAAGGACTATACCAAGTCCGAGGAGAGCTTCCAGGAGGTGGTAGAGCGGGACGCTGTGGCCTTTAGGCCGATGGGGGATAAGGTGGGAAGTTACGCCAGGGCGGCGGCCGCTGGGAAAGTAAAAGGAAAGGGGAAGGCCAAGGGGAAAGGCAAGGCGAATGGGAAGGCTGCAGTCGAGGAGGTCAAGGAGGACGACGAGGGCGCGGTAGTCTTTGAGATGTACAAGGTAAGTGTGACTTTGGTCAGAGCTGATGATAGGCAACATGGGCGACGCCGGGGTTTAGGGAGTATCATCGTCGGATGCAGTTGTTCATCCTGCTGTTCATAGAAGGGGGGAGCTATGTCCACGTATGTCCCCCGCTTCTGAAAGGTCTTCAGCTGATTCGCTAAGGAAGACGAAGATGCGTGGGAGTTTATCACACTCTTCGAGAAGCGTAAAAGGCCAGAATCCGATGTCTACACCTACCACTTTGTTGGCTATACCTCGGTCTACCCGTTCTGGTGTTACCCAGATCAGGTCCGACTACGCTTAAGGTAAGCTCTGTATCCTGTACCGTCCAGGAACTCACAGCTGACTGGATAGTCAATTCGTCATCCTGCCGCCATATCAACAACAAGGACACGGATGTGAGTTCCCCTGCTCGTATCTTTCTCATACTATGCCGGAGCTGACTCTATAGCCAAGCTCTACTCGGCGCTGTATCAACATGTCCTGACGCGTCCGGAAGTCGCCGAGCTCACGGTCGAAGACCCCGCCGAGGCATTCGAGGATCTCCGAGATCGGAACGATCTGCGATATTTCGTTCAGCAGGGAGTGACGGAGGATCCGAACTTTTTGGTGGATGTGGGGTCGGATAAGCGGGCGGGGAGGGCGCTGTGGGAGATGGGGATCAGGAAAAAGTACAAGATTGCGCAGGTGAGTTTTGGTCCAACCAAAGGGAGCTATCCGGATTAGCAGGCGGCAATCGAGGGGGATCGAATGGGAGCGGAGCCGGGACTGGGAAAGCCTCAGCCGAAGGTGTAGAGCAAGAGCTGACGTTTCAGCGCCAATTCGACCGGGTCCTCGAAATGCTTCTCCTCCGCCAATTGAATCGTAAAGATCCGACAAAACTGCGCGCGTACAGGTTACACGTGAGTCTCGCTATCCACTAGCAGCTGACAAATCTCAACTTGCGAAGGCCTGCTGATCCCACAGGTCAAAGGCAGACTGTATCGCTTCAACTACGAAATGCTGTGTCAGATGACACTGGAGGAGCGGAAAGAGGCGCTGGCGAAAACGTACGAGTCGGTTGTAGAGGACTACGACCGGATACTCGAGATGACCTTCCACTGAGATGTATGAGCATGCAGCTGGTGCTCGATACTGATGGATCCTGACAATTGAGATACCCACGATGCGCTGGTAGCCTTGGCTATCAAAAGAAACCTCACGGGCCGCTCACGGACTCGCCATTTCTCATGACACGTTTGAGGACCGCTGCCTCGCCGCATACGATGAGCCAGGAACACTGGTCACATCAAACGATAACATGCATATGGTCTCAACTGACGAAAATGTGTACAGGAACCGAGGTTGTGAACTGGAGAGAGCACCCCCATCGAGGACTCAGGCTGGGTCCACGCTCGATTTGAGAGCATCGATCAATTCCTGAAGGGCCCGAGCCTTCTCCACTGCGCGTCCCGCAAGGACCTCAAGACCCTCGGCGGCGGCACTCTCCCCGAGTGTCTTGTCAGACTCGTGCCACGTGCGGATGACTTCAAGGACGTCGGGAGCAGACGCAGATCGGCCCAACGCCGTCCACTTGTCATTTACGATGCCGCCAGTCTTGGTGTCATTGACGATCGAGTCAAGGTTTGACGTACACTGACGCATCTCACCCAGGGACATGCCTCGCAGCTGAGTCCACAACTCACTTCCGCCAGCCCCACCATCCACTGTGCTTCGCGGCGCCCCTGAGACCTTCTCAGAGTACATCTCTGCCATCTCGCAGATTCCGATGAGAGACTCACTTCTCACCCGCTCGTCCTCGCTGAGTATGTCTCGGACGGTCTTCGAGAACTCGCCGGATTGCTTGAGCGCCACAGCTGTGTGCCGCCTGATCTTGTCGGTCCCGATCGAGGTCATCGCAGTAAGGATGGCCGGCATTGTCTCATGAATCTCACAATACTCAGTCTTCCCAGTCTTGGCTGCTGTGCCTTTGGCGTGTTTCTGGAGAATGCTGACGGTATTGAGAAGCGCATCGATCTCTTGGCCGACACCGTTCGCGACCTCGACTCTGGTCATCTGGAGTTGGAGCTGTAGCGCACCGTCCTGATGCGTCAGCATGATAGCGAGACAACAGATCTATGCTCACATCATCCATCAGCACCTTCGTCACCTCGCTGTCAAGGAAGTCCTTGCACCCAGACCACGCTCTTGCGGCTTCCTTCAAGCTGGCCTCGAGCTCCTCAAGCGTATGCGCGCCCGTCAAGATGTTGGCGAGGGAGGAGGGAGCATCGCCCTGAGAGAGCTTTGGCAGGGAGAACGGGAACTTGAAGCTGGTGCTGGTAGCATGAGACTCAGAGTAGCTGATCTCGCGCCTTCCGTCCTTGCTCGTGACGGAACGGGTCAGCTCCAGTGGGTCAACGACCACATCGAAGCTCTTCCCATCAGCAGAGCGCTGGAGGCCCGGACGGAGCAAGTAGAGGGGTAGCGCAGACATCGTTGTGATTGTGTGAGTGGGTGTTGAGAGCGCGGGATGAGTGGATATGGTGAAAACGATTCTCAGGGATCCTAAGGGGCCTTATATGTGCCTCGGAGGGGCATCGAGTGCGGGTCGGTCAGCCAGACCGCGCGGCCGCCGAAACATCAAACGCTGCGGAACATCAAGCTGAGACAAGGACAAGCCAACACACCAGCGCGCTGAGATTGCCCAAAGGATATAATCTGCATTCGCCCGCCCAGCTTACTCTTTGGCGTTTCATCCGAAGAAGCGGAGTCGGAAATGCCCTGAATGTGCCGACAAATGAGATATCGACTGGCGACATGATCGAAGCTGTCTGTCGGACTGTCAAATACGTGAAACACGTCTCAATCCCCCCGCTGACATGAGAGCGTACCGATCGCGATGACTGATCACGGTATAAAGGCGGTTGACGTGCAATCGGTGAGGGAGAGCGGTCGCTGTTCTCTCATGCTAGACCTCGCACAGCAGAAAGCAGATGGTAGTCTCACTGCTCCTTCGATCGTATAAGGGGACAACGGAACGAGACACTCTGAACGCCTTGAAGCCTTCACCAGAGCCGAAATATCGTCCGCGCTGCTCTCGCCAGCTTTCGTCTTCGTCCGGCCAGAGAGCCACTGGAGTCTTATGCTCGCTCATGTCACTCAGGCCGCCGATGTAGCCAGCCTCAGCCGATGGCGCCGCGTTCCCCACATCACTCACTGAGCGGGCATGACATGATGCTGAAATGGGCGGTGATGTCTGCGACTCAATTCCCTAATCAGTCGTGTCATGGTAATGTGTAATGCATGTTATTCACAGCCACCATGAGGAACTCTGGCACCTCGCATCATACAGCTCGATCAAACGCCTCGTCTAGTACGGCGGGCACGCCAATCGTCACCAAACTCCTGCATCATCGTGACCAGCTCCTGGGCTCTCTTCACCGCTCCACTCGCAACATCACCGTCATCGGGAAGTATCGTCTCCGCTTCACCGTCCTCATCCTTGACGAAACCCGGATCCGTCTCACCCAGACATCCCAAGGAGGTGGCAACTTCTGGAGCTTGCTTGCTCACGTACTCTCGGACATCGTTGCCACCCGAGCCCGTCGCGGTAGATCGATCGCCTGGAGCGGCTTCGCCTGTCCCATTCCGCCCCAATATCGCCTTCAGGAGGTCCTTGGCATCCGTCAGGCTCTTCAGGTCATCGCCGCTCTTCCCCTCTTGGTACATCGACTGTAGATTCGCCCAGCACTGTTCGGGACATGTCGGTCGCATTGCTCGATTTACCAGGCTTGACTTCCTCTGCCTCTGTTCCCCTCGTGCGCGCGACCAGACTGACCGCAAGATCGCTGATTGCGGTGCAAACATCTTTGAGGCCGTCATGCACGAGCTGGTCCTCACTCATGGTCGATCGCAGTAGCTTGACCACGTCGGCCATCCGCTGCGTGGCGTGGCTCAAGTATCGACCGCTTTTGAGGTTCCCGACCGCCTCGAGGTCAGCGACCACAGCAGGCATGCTCTGGTGCAGCTCGCGGTACCTCGGACCCTTCAGCTCTCTCTCCTTGCGGAGGTTATTTGCCTCCTTGACAGCCCCCAGTATCCCCTGCATCTGCTCTTTGAGGACATGGCCTGTTTCGGACCGAGCGGCGGTCAAATGCCCTTGGAGTAAAAGATCCTTGTCTCATTAGCGGCCTCCCGATAGCGATCATTACTCACATCATCCATCAAATGTTCCTGCTTCGAAAGTAACTCATCCAGGCAGTCAATGCTGGCGGCCCAGGCTGACGTAGCGCTCCTCAAGTTCTGATTGAGCTGTGCGAGAGAGAGAGCTTCATTGAGGATGTCAAGAAAGGTCATGGTCGGCAGCGAGGCATTGTGAAGCGGAAGCTCAGCCAGCGACAACACACGATTATCCGGATTCTCAATCGCTGACAATGCTGTGTACGAGGTATTGCTGTAGTCACTGTACTCGCAACCCTCAGGACTGTACGTGACCAGGACATTGTCATCAGCAGAGCGCTGGAGGATCGGATTGAAGCGGTAGAGGTATGGCGCGGACATGAAGGATCCGATAGGGCTGGAGGATGGGTAGCTGGAACGGCGTAGAATGACGGGGGAAGGGGTTCGGCCACAAGTAGCGGGCTTAAGTATCGCAAGCAGGAGTACTCGAGTCGGAGTATTTGTAGAGTCACCAAACACCAGCGGAGTTATCCTCGGTCTCGCAATACGAAGGCGAGACGGAGCGCAGATTGCTGTCTTCAGTTGCAGGAGAGTGGAGACATGTGTGAAAGGATAGACAAGCACTTTGTCAAGCTCGCGTTTCAAGCCTTGGAAGGGGCACGACGGTGTCCCAAAACAGGTCTGCAGCTGTGCAATATCAATAGAGACTTATGCAGAATCCAACCCCGCCAGACATAGCGCGTTTCATCCTACGGGGTCCGACGATTTCTCGTCAGACGCCGTGACCGACTCGGCCGAGGGACTTACTGCACCCGAGCGGCTGTCCGGGCTCCAGGCGAACGCTGTCAGCCAAGTAAGCCATGTATGAGAGTGAAAGCATCTAGGAGGAGGACCACTAGTCGCCGCTCGTGAGCCGAGGCCAGTGCCGCTTGCGGTTGTCAACTTGATTAGCACCGGCGGCTTTCCAATGCAAAAGAAGGACAACCTCCAGCGTTGCCAAGAGAGATATAGCCCCGAATGGGGCCCTGCGCGCGCCGTATTGCCACCTCAAAGGATGGCGAATGTGGAGCGTGTATGGCCAAGGGGTGATCGACCGACCCGGTCTTTGGGCGTTCCCTTGATGATGGCACGACGGGTTCGAGGTTGAGCTACCGCCGCCGTCGTTGCCTATATCTCGGACGACTAGTCCAGTACGTGCGCGGACCCGCGGAGACTGTGCGGTGATGCGGCAGTACACACATTTGAGTCAGCAGTCAATAGCCCAGGGGTCAGAGCCACGCTTTTGAGGCCACCCAAGTCAGTCGTCAGTCAGATCAGCATGAGATATGCACAATGGTACAGTCTAAGCTACCCCAGGCCCCTTTGATGCAAGGCCCCCTGCCTATCTGCCGCCTTCAAAAGTTAAGCCACCAACACCTCCTCCCCCTTCATGCTACCCAGCCCGCCCCCCATGAACGTCAACGACAACGGCTTGACCGTCGACGCCGCCATCTCCAAGACCGCCTCTACTCTTCTTCCCAGATCTTCCGATTCCGACTCCACCTTCTGCTCGTTATCAGCTCCACCCCTCGTTGCTCTGACCCTAAGCAACAGGAAGAGACGTACCATCGATATTAGATCCACCCGCGCTTTTGCCCCATCCAGCTCTACGATCAACGTCAACAGATCCTCGTCCTCATCCTCCTCTTCCCCTGTCGCGCCGTACAGGTCCGCATCGTCCTCCTCTGCTGTTGTGGGCGCCACCTTGGCCGGCCGACTGAGGGCGCCAAAGTGCGCTTCGAGGAATAGTTGGATACGCTCATGTTCGGCGGATAGGGGTGGGTCTTTGGTTGAGGGTTCGGACGGATGTGAGTGGGGGTGCGAATGGGAGTGAGAATGTGGGTGTGGGTTGGCGGTCACTGCTCAGGTCAGCTACGTCCTGATTAGACTCTCAGACGAAGCTACATGCAGCTAAACTTCGACTCACACTTGACAGTAGCTGGGCTGGCGTCTATACTGAGCAGTACGGCCAATGCCGAGTCCGCAATCATGTCGTTACTCGTACTCGATGACCACTGAAGCTCCGCAGCTGTACTCGAAAGCTGTACGAGTCGAACAGCATTCATGACCTTCCGTCAGTCCCGTCTTTCCCAGCACTCACAGTCAATGTCTCCCTCTCTCCCTCCTTGCCCTCTTCCACCTCTCCATACATCCCCTCCAAGTGCCACCTGATCACCGCCCAGTCCACTCCTATCGGCACCGCCTGCTTCTGCGTGATCGTACTCGTCCCCAGCCCCGTAAAGTCCTTCAGATCCTTCGGGTCCAACAGAGTGTATGAAAAGTCCTTGGACACCAGCATCCCCTTGACCTGCTTGCCATGCTCTGGACGATCCTCCGCGAGCGTCCCGATAGCCTTGACGGCCCGTTCTTGTCGGAACGTAAGCGTGAGGGGCTCGCAATTCCTTGGCGTGTGGATGTTGATCTCTTGTCCTTTCGTAGCGTAGGTGTCACGAAGGGCAGCGCGGAGACGACCCATCTGTGATGCTTCACCATGGACGAGGACGATATGTGGCGCGCCGATCTCCTGGATGAATTTCGAATTTTGGGCATAGTCGACGTGCGCGCCGAAAGAGATCTCCTTGACTGTTATTCGACGGGGAATGTTGCCGCCTCGTAGCGATTCGATATGGTCCGGTTCTCCCAGTAGTGTCTGGGATCAGTTCCACCCCGACACGCACTCACCCTAGCCATGGTCCCCTCAATCGAATACCCCGTAACAATCACCCCATTCTTCGGATCCGCCGCCCAGTCCTCCAGCAACTCCCTACTCAGCCCAAACGACATGAACTGCGCAGAAGCCATGACCACCACTGGACCCCGATGTTCCTCCAGCCTCCGCCGGTCCTTGAGCCACTTGACATACTTGAAGTCGAATGGGTTGTCGCGCCGCGCGAACCGAGACCGAATATTGGCATTCATGGTGTGGACGTATGTCTTGTAGACGCGCATCCCGCGTTGAAAGAGACCGGACGCAAAGTAGACGGGGACGTTTTGAAGCTCGGGGTGGTCGTTCCAGTATTCGTCGAGAAGGAGGGCGAGCTCTTGGCCGTTTCCGAAAGAGGGGATGGGCATTAGGCATTTGCCTCCTCGCTTGACGATGTTAGAGACGAGAGCTGGAGTCAGCAAAGTAGTATAGGTACTTACCTGTGAATTGCTCCTCCTTCTCTTTGCGGTCGGGGAGGGTATGCACCCCAAAGGTACTCTCGCAAATGAGAACGTCCGGCCGTACGGGTGGTATCTCCGCGATGACCAGATGTCTATCTTCTTCTCGCGAGTAGTCGCCCGTGTACAGGATCTTGAGGCCCGCTATTTCGATAAGGAACATCGATGCACCGAGGACGTGTCCGGCGTGGTAGGGCGTAAAGCGTAGACCGCCGGAAACGACAATATCTTGGTGATAGTCGACCGCTATGGTGGATTGCCAGGAAGCTTGGACGTCCGCCTCGTCGTAAAGCCGTCCGCTATTGTCGGAGCTTTGGTCGCTGAGCGTCAGCACAGCCCCAAGAAGACAGGGGAAGGCATACTTGATTCGGACGGTGTCCATCATGGTGAGACCGTAGATCGCTTTCGTAGCGTGTGTCATGTACACCTTGCCGTGCCCATCTCGGAAGTTGGTCTATGGTCAGCCTCTCCTCCTAGGGATCAACATACCTTCTCCATGATATATGGTAATCCGGCCGCATGGTCCACATGGAAACTACCATCAGCCCCTCCCTTGTCTCTCCTCGAGCCAGACCTACTGTGTGACCAGTATAGCATCCACCGTACTCCAATCCACCTCGTCGATGAAGGGCAGCGCCCCCATCCCCGGATGCGCAGGATGTAGTCCCGCATCGCACACAACCTTCTTCCCCCTGTGCTCAATCACGCAGCAGCTCCGGCCGACCTCTTGCCCTGCTCCGAGCATCGTTATTTTGAGAGGCGGCGCATCGGCCGAGGGGTTGAGAACCTGGACAGGCGCCACTGGGGCATGGCGGCGCGTGCGGCGGTGCATCTGGTGATGGTCTAGAGGGGGAGAAGGGCAGGTATGGAAGGGAGAAAGAGATGGTTGAGTTGGGTGGAGGAAGTGGAGGTTGACGAGACTGAAAATTCGGGAGAGTCGTTGCTTTCTCCTCTGTCACTATCCTTCCTCCGTCTCTTTCTTCTCCATATCATCGACGCTCTACAGGTCGTCTAGTCCCTCTCTACGTCTCCCAGATCAATCCACGGCTTTGAAACAGCTCGAAAGACCGCCCAGCGCGAAATCGAAAAATGTCATCATCCACTCCAACCCCCTTCGCCTCTTCCCCCTCCGCCTCGACTCAGCCGACCACCGCGCCTAGCACGCACAACGGCGAAGAGACTGAGATCATCAATGGCGATCATGCCGAGGATGCCGAGTCGTCCAAAATGGCAGAGCAGCATCAGGAGCAGTACGTTCACTCGTGGCCCCTCTGCCGCCCTTTGGTCCGAGGCCGAGCTGACAGGCAGGTCGCAATCGAACTTTGCACACCAGTTCACCGACTACGTCTTTAACGTCGGGTACCTTCAGCAGCGATGGGCAGACGTTCAGTTGACGTTCTTCAATGATGCGCTCAAATTACATCGAGGTAAGTCCGTCGTCAGCCATTGCCGCCGGCTGTGCTCCCTTGTCCTGCTCCACTGAACATGAGAGGGCAGGTGCTGATGCCGATAGTCATCCTTGCTCGAAGTCCATTCTTGGCGCAGTATATGGGGAATGCTGCCCCGGGGACAACGATACCTCTGCAATTTAGAGATGATCAGATCACTGCTGAGGTGAGCTCCTGACCCAGCATGGACATACTGGGTAGAAGCTGACCATACAGGCTGTCCATACCTGTATTCACCACCTTTACAGTACGCTTTGGCCTATCACCCCTTACCCCGAGCACGCTGACCCCTAGACCCCGCATTCCACCTCGTCACCGCCCTGAACGCCCGCGCCGTCCTCGCTACCTCCCTTCAGTTCGGAGGAATACCCGAACTGGTCCACCATGCCTACACCGTCGCCCGTGACTCCATCTCTGCCGATACCCTCTCGGACTGGATCGGATGGATATCGGCCACCTCCGTCTCGCCCATATCGAACGGTTATGGTTACTCTGACGCCCCGCCCGTGGGTAGCGGGAACGGCGAGGAGGCATGGGAGGATCTCGCAGGGGGCGAAGGGGGATGGTATGGACGTTATGGCGAGTACAGCGATCGGCTCAAACAAGACATGTGAGCTTTATCGTCCTGTATAGCCAGGGATTTAAGCTGACGAGCAGACTTGACTACCTCACTATAACTCTCCCCTCCTCCCCTCCTCCCGCTTCGGAATCGACTCCACCCACCCCCCTCGCCCACCTCCTCCCATACTACACGCCGCTCCCCTTCCCGCTCTTCAAGCGGGTGGTCGAGTCGCCCGTGCTGCCATTCAAGGACAAGCAGGCACAGTTCACATTCGCCAAGAAGGCGATTGCGGCGCGCAAGAAGCGTGCCGCAGGTGGACAGGCGATGGAAGAGGCTGCGGTATTGGCGTTCAAGAGTGGGGAGGGGGGTGCGGTGGTAGAGATTACGAGGAAGTCTAGAAAGGGGCGGCCGGCGCTCTGGAAGGTTGAGGGATAGGACGGGGGAGGGAGGTTGACGGGCCATGGGTAAAGCGGGTTCACACGGCGCTCGAGTCGATCAGGTGGGCAGGAAAGGGGGTACTGTGGGTGGAGGCGGATAGCTGGGAGGGACGACTCGCTGGGGAACCAAAAGGGAGGCAAAGGAGCGTGCCGCGGGCAGAGACGTAGCCAAGTCGTCATACATACAATACATCATCCAGCATCGTACCCTAGTACTTCATGCATTGCCCAATCCCATGCCCCTGTTCAGTCTCAAGCGTCGCTCAGCAGCCCAGTATCCAGCGTAGAGATCGTGCATATGAGAGACCTAGCTACCTACAAACACTCGGCCGAGCCCCCCTCCCGCACCCGCTCCTGTGACAAGAGACCGCCTGAAGAATTATTATACGTATAAAGATTTCGTGATTGGTATATGAATGAAAAGAGGGGTAGGGTCTAAGTAGGTATAACGATTGAGGGTCAAGGGGGAGATACTATGCAACAGACATGTGAAGGAAGAAAAAAGGTCAAGATCCCAGCGCGATCGTTCCCGCCCGTTCCCCTTCCCCTCATTACTCGTCACTGCAACCTCCAGAACCACCGATCATCACACCTCGCCGCCTGCGACGGGGTCACCGGAAACACCCGCAAGTCAACAACCTGACCAGCCCATTCTGCTTCTTCCCGCCCTCAAAGTCCGCTTCTCCCTGTACCTGCTGACTCGCGCTGTTGGCCGCTGTCCCACCCCCGCCGCTCCTTCCATGGACATTCATCGGCGCAATAGGCGTCAACCCCGCCTGGGACGGTACGGCCACGTTGGAGGCATCATAGTCGTCCCGCTCGGCACTGGCGAATGGGTGTCCGCCCGCCGCTGACTGGCGCCGGCTGGTAGGCAAGGGTGAAGGGGCTGAGACGCCAATGATGGCTTGGTTGGACGCGTTGGGGAGGCCGGACGTGCCCGATTTCCGGGTCTTGAGCGGGGAAGGGGCGGCGGCGCCGGAACGTAATCGGTCGACGCGGTCTGAGCGGTACTCTTTCTCTACGCGGGGTCGGGAGCGGGTAGGATCGGTCTGGAGCGATGGGTGCTGGAGAATCAGCTCGGCCTCGCTGTTTCAAGCACGGGGACTTACGCCGTTCAGTTCCCATCCCTTTCCGTTGTTCAACATCATCCAATCATATACTCCATCATCCTCCTCTCCCGCATTCTTCATCGCCGTCGCAAACAGCTCCTTCAAAAAGTCATAATCGGGCGTTTCGTCAAACGTAAGTTTTCGGACATAGTTGAGGTAGATGGCAAACTCTTCTGTAAAGTGTCAGCATGTTCCCCGGCTAATTCTGTGATGCGGTACTCACGCGGATTCCCCTCGACCAGCTCGGGTATCGGCGTCGTCTGCTTCTTCTCCCCAATCTTCTCATACTTTTGCTTATTGGTAGCCGCCTTGAGACCCTGCCATGGGAGACCGCCCCGCAAAAAGTAAAAGAAGACATGACCGAGCGCTTCCAGGTCGTCTCGTCGTGATTGTTCTGGAAATCAGCCCGGCCCTCTTATACGTGCGGAGAGACCTACCCCTGCCGAGATGGGTGTTGATACTCATGTACCGCGCCGTCCCGCTCAAGCTCTTGCGCTCCCGGTACGGGATATGCTGCTTGGTCTTGGGATCCCGATACTGCTTTGCCATTCCGAAATCGACAACGTGAATCGTGTTGGCAGCTTTGGTGTTGGGTCGGCCGATAAGGAAGTTGTCGGGCTTGATGTCGCGATAGATGAGGTTCTTTTCGTGGATCACCTGGACTCGGGATAGCTAATGATCAGCTACATCATCTTGGCGCAACCGAAAGACCCACCATCTGCCTAGCAGTCATGCAGCAAGTCTTGATGCTGAATTTGCGGCCGCACATGTCGAACAAGTCCTCCAGGGACGGTCCGAGCAGGTCGATCACGAGGATATTGTGCAGCCCTTCTTGCCCAAAGTAATACACCTGGGGGATTCCGACTGCCTCGTCAGCTGATATCCCCTCTTCTACGACCTGTACTCACCACATCCACTGAGGATCTTGTACGACCGGTACTCGTCCCGAAGTTGCGGCGCATCAGATTTCCTCGGTTCCTGTTGTTTCAGCCCGTGTCGATAGCTTGTTGCCAGTAAAGAAACGCACGAATTTGATAGCGACCGTTTGGGAGTTGAGGAGGTTGGTTCCTGTAGGTCAGTCTAGCCCAGCAGCATCAAAGCCAAAGAGAAGGACCGACCCTCAAAGATGACCCCAAAAGACCCCTCGCCAATCTTCTTGCCGACCTTGTAGTGGACCCCGACGATATTGCTCGAGCTGGACGAATGGGATCCCGAGCCCGCGAGGTGGGCGCCCGGGTTGGACGTGTTGATTATATGTGTGGTGGCCATTGTGCAAGAAGAGCTGAGGATGTGGAGAACAGTAGAGTAAGGACAGTGGTCGAATGGAGAGGAGGAGGTGCTCGGACCGGTTTTGGTTGTTGGGTTCGGGTTTGCGCTCTAGCTTTTTCGACGGGTACTTTTCGGATGAGCGCGGAGGAGGGATGAGCTGCTCTTGCAGCCGATGAGCGTGATCGGGGAGGGCTTAGGGGATGGAGACTGAAGGTAGATGAGTTGTATACAAAGAAAGCAACAGCATGGAGCTACCTCTTCTCTCCTCTCTCAACTCACAGTCACTCACTCAGGGTCAAAGCCAAAGCAATAGCCCGGTCAATTGAATATTCTATCCCCAAAGTAGTAATTACAATAGCTGCCGTAAGACACCGGAATCAAATAATTCCTAACCTTTGTCTCATCTCCTACTCTCTCCTCTCCACCTTACTCTACTACCTACGTTTCAGACTTACCTCACTCTTCCGACTACACAGCTCTCGCCAACAGACGGCCATGTCTGCCGTAGAGGCTTATGTCGACCGTGAGCTAAGACTTCCCTAAGGGTGACAAGAGCTGATCAAGTAGAGACTGTCCAGGTGATTCTGTACGACGGTCGCGTGATTGTCGTCCGTTCTTTCCCACTGAATACTGATGAGGGCCTATTAGCTGACAGATAAGGGCAAGCTGCGCGGGTTTGACGTTCGAACCAATCTCATCCTATCGGACTGCATGGAACGGGAATTCTCGCAAGACCAGGGGGTCGAGATGGTGCCACTGGGGTTGTACATGATCAAGGGGGATAATGTGTAAGTTGTCACTTCGGTCTAGGCGGACGGGATGGGGCGGGGTAAAAGGAGAGGTTGAAGCCGCACAGGGTCACAAAGCTGATTCCCCAGAGCGCTGATAGGCGAGGTCGACGACGAGAAGGACGCGGGGCTCGACTGGTCCGAAGTTCGGGCGGAGCCAATAGGGGAGATTACAATCTAAGGCGGGGACGGGCAGGCTGGGGAGTCCGGACCGCTGTGCCGGCGCTGGCGGCGGCAGGCGGCCCATGCGGCGGGGACCCGGCGGCGGACACTATGCGCTGGAAATACGGAGGGACCGCGGTTCAAAAGGCCCAGCATCATGGGACATGGCTTGACAAGATGAAGTGCTCAATTGTCAACAGTAGACAGGGAAAACCAACATGTACCATACTAGATCATCCACTGGAGGGTCTAGCAGGGTGTAGCAGACGCGTGAGCTGATTCAAACTTCAGGCTTGTTCCTGGTTCCCGATCCGAAATGCCGGCTGAAAGATCGGCGGTGATTTCCTCGTACCTCGCAATGTTTGTCTTGTGACCTCAAAATCACGTAGTTTTGAGAGGTACGACTCTTGACGCGTCCCTTTGTCCCGTGCTGGACCTGCGCCAAGTCACAGGCGGCCGCTGGTATCCGCACTGACCTGCCGCCGGAGCTGCCGCAGGTGAGCGTCGGGTTCTAGCCGTTCCTAACCTGTTTGCTCCTTCCGTCAGGAACCGCCCAGACACGCGCGTACGACTCTTCCCATAACCCCTTGATGGCTTGACCCGTACTTCCGGATTACCCCCTCCTTTCCGCAACTGATGTGTTGGATGTATCCCGACACGGTACGCATACCAAATCCTACTCATCCTGATTCACACGTTCGCCGCAAGGTTCACCGCACTCACGTCATATACTGCGCTGGGCGACTGGGCAATTGGACGTACGCTACACCTCTCGACCCGAGCTCTCGGCGCATATAGAGCCAGCCAGCCAGCCAGCCAGCCAGCCGCTCCTTCTTCTTCTTCACCATGTCTCCTCTTCACCTCTCAGTGCAGCTCAGTACAGCCAGCACACTCAACGTTCAAACCCCAAAAGTCGCACAGGCCCGCCCCGGATCCCCGCGACAGCGCCAGCCATGTTTGGACACAACGAGACGGCCGAGTATGTCCTCGCTACCGCAGGAGCATCATGCTGGATCGTAGCTGTGAGTGATCTCTTGGCTCCACCGCGTGATTGCAGACCAGGCTGACCAATCTCAGACGGTCCCTCAGTTGGTCAAATCGTATCGAACCAAATCGACCGAGGGGCTTTCTCCCTGGCTCATGGCGTAAGTCCCCTCTCATTTCGATCCACTGCTCCCTAGAACTCAAGGTCACTCAGCTCCTCTCGCCGAGCACGGCTGACACCCGCAGACTGTGGGCATCCAGTAGTCTCTTCTTCGGAAGCTATGTCGTCGCCGAAAAGCTCAACATCGCCATCCAGGCAAGTACAAGTCCCTCCCTTTGCCTTTCCCTTCCCCATCGCAATCGCTGAGCTCAGTGACAGACGAATAAGAAGCCCGCTGACAGAGCAGATCCAACCACATATATTCGGCACCCTGTGTATTGTCTCCTGGGCTCAGTGCTGCTATTACTCCCGAGGGTACACGCTGCGCCAAGCGGCAGGATACGCGCTCGCTATCCTAGCGTGTGCAGGAGCTTTCGAGACGACCTCGATCTTTGCCTTGCTTGTGAGTCCCTTAGAGCCCGATCCCGGCTACTCTAGATCTCGCAGGCATCTGTATCGACACTGCTGATGCCTCAGTATGGACGACTGAAGGGCACCGACGTCCCTCTCTTATTCTACGGATACCTTTCCACCGCCCTCACCATCGCTGGCTTCGTGTAGGTCCACCATCCCGCTCATGTTTCCCGGTGTCATGACCGAAGCTAGCACCTGCCCGACCCCTCAAGCCTGGTATCTCTGGTGTCCGCGCTAATGTCCAGACCCCAGCTATACGAAATCTACACCCTCCGCCAAGTCAAGGGCATCTCCCTCATCTTCCTCAGCGTGGACATCACCGGCGGTGTCTTGTCCGCCCTGGCCTTGTTCTTCCGAAAAGAGCTCGATATTGTCGCTTTGGTACGTCTCTTGCGCTATCTCCCTTCCCTGCAGATGGAGTCTCGACCGGAGAGAGGCGAAGCTGATGAGCTAGTCGACGTATCTAGGCGTAGCATCTATCGATCTTCTCATCATCGTCCTGTACTACATCCTCGGGGGATGTAAAGCAACAACAGCTGCAGTTGGCCAGTCACAGTCAGGAACGCTGCTCTGCCACACATCACTCGATCTCGAGGCATCGCGCTCCGTCCTTGGCCATGGCGACGACGTTCTTCTCCCGTGCCTGTCGGCATCAGCCTCGACATCAGCGGGAGCAGGCGAGATCTCGGCGGAGCAGAAGAGAGAATGCGTGGTGATCGAGGCGGATAGTCCAGTGGAGGAGAAATGGGCAATGTTTACGCCGGCGAGTACGGGGTCGGGGACGCTTGTGGATGGAGACGACGGGGGGAAGAGGTTCTTTGGGTAAAAGGTCGGCGCTTTCAGTGCGTCCTGCATGGTCAGTCATGTATATCATCGGGTGCACGGACCGTCACTGCGTGACCGATTTCTCCGGAGAGCCCCCTGACTCGACACTGATGACATGCGTAACATCTCTTATACCATGATACTTTGCCGCCCGACCCCTCGAGACCCCGCCTAGCTCCTGCTCTCCCTGCTTTCGCCTCCCACCTAGTCCCGGTCCCGGTAAGCCTTGTCGATATCCATCCATGGCGCCCAGAGCTCCCTCTCCTCCTCGGCCGTCTGCTTGGCATAATCACCTCGTCCCGCCAGCATCCCCACCGCCCTAGGCCAGTGAGGCGGGCGTGATCCGCACGCCTCGCACACTGGCGCATTCTCGCTCAGATCCCAGTAAAACTCATCCTTCAGCCCACTACCATCCCGGAACATCTTCTGTATCGAGCGCGCCATGTTCGAGACGTGCATGGTGCGCTTGAGCCAGAATGCGTGGTCCGGATTCGGAGGTGGAGGGGGGCGAGGGGGACCGGACGGCTTGACCTGTTCCGGACAGTAATCGTCGTCCCGGAACTGCGGCTCGGGATAGCCGTCCGTAAAGTCCTCGGTGGAGCAGTACATGGTGATGTTGAGGGTATCCGTCTTACTCCGCCCGAACGTCTTGGTGACAAAGTCGCTGGACCGGACGGAGATTGTATAGTGAAAGGATTGAATCAATTTTGGCCACATCGATTCCTTCCACTTGGTGGAGGATGGGGCGTCGCTGACCCACCGGGTCTTCCCGCCAAATCGGATGGGGAGCTGGTCCACGTTGGGTTGGAAATGGTGTGTGATGGCATAAGTGGAAGGGGGACCGCGAGACTCGAACGTCATAGGAGAGATCGCGAGGGGTCCGTAGTGATCCCTAGTACAGAGGTGCTGGAGGGTAGAGTTTTTGAGCAGCCGCTCAAAGGTCCCGTTGACGTCCCGCGTGCTAAGGGCGTCCCGGAGGAGAGGGGAGTGTTGGGCGTGAAGGTCCTCGTAGCGCCTCCAGTGACCGACGGGCCACACCGAGTCCTCCACCTGATAGATGGAGGCAACGGCAATTGTCTCCAGCTTGGGGAAGAGCCGCTTCAATGTCGTCCTCTTCCCCACCTCGTTCAGCCGCATAGACATCAACCGCACCTCCAGCGCCATCTCCCGCACCATCTTCTCCTCCCTCTCCGGTCCGCTCAACCCGAAAGACTTCCACGCGTCTCGACCGGTTGTGAACAACGCCAGCAGCGAAGGTTCCTCGCCGTGCAGGTTGTATTCGATGTGGAGAGAGCGGATCCGAGCAAAGAGGCGTTGTTTGGAGGGGAGATGGAAGTCGTGCAGAAACAGACTGAGATTGTCGGGGACGGGTGCGGACCAGAGTAGCGGCTCGACGATAGAGTTAAAGAGCTGCCTGCGTCAGTCTTATCGGAATGCGATTAATCCGGTCAGTCTTACTCGGCATACTCTGCTCAAAACACAGAGCTCAGGCTGACGAAGAGCGCTACGAGGGGATTTGGAGCGGGGTAAGGGAATTGGTTGGCGGAGATAGGGGAGGATGATCTCCCAAGCGTGAGAAGGGATCTCCATTGCGACGGGTCTGCGCGTCTTTGCCGTGTGTTTGCGGGGTATCAAGGCTATGGCGATGTGAAGAAACATAGAGGCTGCAGCTGCAGGCTCAAAGCTGGCTGCAGGCTGGCTGCAGGCGAAACATGACAGCCTGGACATATGCCCGGACAATGCCGAGCTGAGGAATGCGGAGTTGAGAGCAACGATGGATCATGCAGGAGGCCAGGCCATGGTGGCGAGTCGCGATCATGCTGATGCAGGCTTTTGCATCGGCGAAAGTCCGGCCAGGCCTGAGATGAGGACACTCCGGCATCCTAGTGCTAATAGCCAGCAAGGACTGACCCAGACCAGGTTTGACCGCGCAGCTTGAGGCCTTGAGGGCGGGGTCCGCCGATCCTCCCGGAATGCACACGGAAAGACCTCTCGTAACGGCCATGTGAGTCCACACAGCTTCACACCCGCCATCCTTTAGCCATCCGCTGATCGTCCCTTCTTCGGCTCTACGTCAACCCCAAATCTCGCATCCTTCCTTGTCCTTTCCTCCTTCGGCTCGAGCTTATACCGACGCCACTCACTCAAGACTGATCGCCCAACGGACGGCAGAAGGAGGGTCCGAGGCCCGAGCGTCGCGCTAATCCCCGCGGGATCTTCTGGTGGCGCGATGCACAAGGACTTGTCCTTTGTGTGGGGAAAGCGGCAACGGCAGCTGACGGGTCCCGGTGGACCCCCACTTTGAATTAGCTGGAATTGTGCCTTTCACACATCAACAGATGCTTTCATCTCTTACACCTCCCTTGTACTACTGCATCCTCCTCACTTTGTATGACTAGACCTCGCTTAGCGCTTACATGCCAGTACGAATGGCAGGAAGAGGAGCAATTAGTAGCGGACAAGGGGACGTCCTTGGGATGAGAGGATGGGCGGATCGTCGGCCGAGAAGAGCTGTGGCGCCCGCTGAGTGGTCTGGGCGTTGCAAGTTGGACATTGGAGAAAAGTGGATATAAGGCAGACAGGACCCACTGACTGAGCCCAACATCCATCCCCGACTCTCACTTCCCGCCCTCGAAAACACCCGACCAAGCCCCTTGCTTCTCCCCTTCTCCCTTGACTCTCCCCTTCCATCATCGCAAGATGTTCGTCCAAAATGAGATGGCAGAGTACATACTCGCCTCGGCCGGCGCTGCCTTTTGGATCGTCACGGTAAGTGCCCTTTCCTCGTTCTTCCAGTGATGTCCGGGGTGTGCCTGCTCCCTCACCCGGGATACTACAAGGGACTCAGCTGACACCATCAGATCATTCCCCAGATCGTAAAGTCATACAAGACCAAATCTACAGAGGGGCTTTCACCCTGGCTCATGGCGTAAGCTTCCTCCCCGCGACCCATGCTCCCATGCTGATCTCTCAGACTGTGGGCCTCAAGCAGTCTTTTCTTCGGGAGCTACGTGATCGCCGAGAAGCTCAACGTGGCCATACAAGTAAGTTTCCTCGCCCTCTTTCAGCTGTCATCCTCCCTTTCCTCACCGTCCCTTGATCAGTCCGCAGCAACGACCACCCGGCTGATCATTAGGTCCAACCCCACGCTTTCGGTACCCTCTGCATGGTCTCCTGGGCTCAATGCTGCTACTACTCGCGCCACTGGTCTGCTCGAGAAGCCGCAGGTACCCTGCTCGCCATCATGGCTATTGCCGGCGCATTCGAGACCACGTCGATCTTCTCCCTTTGGGTGAGTATCTCAACCTCTATCGATCCCCCTCCCCCATAGCAGTAGCATGCGGTACCCCGTCCTTTGAGTGATCCTTGGTGGTCAGCCTGTAACGCATGATGCAAGATCTATGAGCACAGCTGACAATACAGTATGGTCAGCTCAAAGGCACCGAGGTACCGCTCCTCTTCTACGGTTACTTCTCCACCGCTCTCACCATTGTTGGCTTCATGTGAGTACCCACTCTCAGCTAGGCTGTCCACGACAAGCCGCCAGCTGACCCCCAGCCCGCAATTCTACGAGATCTACCGTCTCCGCCAAGTCAAAGGCATATCCCTCATCTTATTCTGCGTCGATATCACCGGCGGGACCCTCTCCGCCTTTGCCCTGTTCTTCCGTGAAGAGCTGGATATTGTCGCTTTGGTATGTCTCATATCGCACCTCTCCTGCCTCTGATTTCTGTTACTCCGCTGACACGCAGATCACCTACCTCGGCGTCGCCTCCCTCGACCTCCTCATTATCGTCCTCTACTTTACACTCGGCCACTCTGACGCCCCGCCTCACTCGATCTCCAACCTCCCTCCTGCTTCCGGTCCCCGCTCACGCCTCTCCATGCTCCAGACGCAAGGGGCGCAGATGGAGGTACAGGCGGATAGTCCGGTCAGTAGTAAATGGGCTTTGACCCCGAGTACCGGCACGCTGGTGGAGGGCTTTACGCCGATGACGGGTCGATCAGAAAAGCGTTTCTTCCCGTAGTCTGTATCCCGTCGTCGCTGGAGGACTGTTGGATCTGTGTATAGATGTATAGTAGATGCGAAAGGCCTAGAAGCACATGCAGTATATTGGCTCTGGGGCCGCACCGAGTAGCTGCCCCCCTTGGGGCCTTGATGGAGAACAGTGACGTGGTATTTCCAACATGGAACAGATACAGCCAAAATCAAACGCGCTCACCTGAAATTTGCCCATCACCTACCAGTGAACCATACACCTCTCTCTTCGTCTCCGAGGCCTCCCCAATCTCACGCAAAGATGGACCGCCAGCTCGCCCCTCCCCTGCGCCTCGAGCCTGTATCCTCACCTCACGCCATGACCACCTCCGACGCCCATACCGCTCTGTCCAACTACCTCGGCTCCCTTCCTTCCTCCTCCACCTCGCGCTCACAACTCGAGCGGCTCGTCGACTCCCTCGGGGTCGATCTCGGTTTGATCGAACCTGACGAGAGCAACAAGCGGGAAGAGAAGCGCCGGGAGGCACGGGCGACGCGAAGGGCTGAGCGGCGGAAAGAGCGGGAAAGGGTCGGCTTGGAGGGGATGGAGAAGGAGGTAGAGGGCCTGGCTGGCGGAGAGGGTGGAGGGGACAAGGAGGAAGTGGACATGGACGAGGGGGCGGTGGGACTTGAGGGGGAGGAGGGGATGCAGGATAGAGGAGATGTCGAGTATGGGGACGTGGAGAGTGCGGATGGAGACGAGCCGGACGAGGAGGATGAGGGGCAGGAGAAGATGGATGTGGATGCGGACGAGGAATAGTCAGTTAAGTCCTAGGCAGACACAGGCGCGTGACGCTGACTGTGCAGATCTACTCAAAGAACCAGCGAACAAGGAGTGGTCGCGCACAGCGAGCATCGCCGAACGGCAACTGCATATAGTCCATCGCCAGCGGGCATTGGCAGGCTACCTACCCACAACATCCACGACGCATGGTCCCCGTCCTTCCGCGCGCATATCCAACACCCGAAAGAACCCACATCCCTTCAACTCCCCCGTATCCCCGCTCGACTGGCACTGCCAAAAATACGCCATATCGTCATCCTTCATCCGGAGTGTCGACTCGGCCTCGTCTTCTTGTGCCAGCGGACGGGCTGCCGAGCGAGCGGTCAGTGATGAAGGGGGGATTGCGGCGGTTCTGGAGCGGGCCTTACCTTTCTGGTCCGCGCGGAGTAGACTCTCATCAGCGATGAAGATGTATGACTTACGTCGGGATTCCGCATTTGCAGTGAGGCGTTCCCTGTCGTGGTCCAGTCGGGCCGGTACCTGGCGCAGGATGGAAGTCTTCCCGGTAAAATCTGATCTTCAGCTGATGAACGTATTCTGGCCGCTTCTTACTGACCTGAAGGTGATATTGATTCGGGTAGTATGCGGTTTCTGATCCGGCGTGGGTATAGGCTGCTGATTCTGGTCCCAGCCTGGTCGGAAAAGGTCGAGCGCCTTCTGGGGAGGTACGGTATGCTTGTACCGTTCCTGACAGCCCGAATCCATCGTGATCAGGCTGTTGTGACCCAGATTGACCTCGTACGTCCGGATCGCCGCTGACTGCTTGAAAGCAGGATCGACCGTATCTGTCTCTCTCAACCGAAAAGCGCGGGGCGTGCCTAGTGAGAGGGACGCAATAGTTGCGTATGGACCGAGATCTTAGATCAGCTTGCGACCCAAAGGGCATCAGTCTGGGTAGCCAGCTCACAAGAAAGCTGATCAGCGTGCCATCCGACTCCGCTACTTGCGCCGTCGTATCGATTCGCACCGCATACATTCGCGCGCCACCTTCCTGCCCATTCCAAGGGGTAGCGGGCACGCTTGGACAAAGCATCATTGACGGCGTCTTCCACTAGCGCGGCAGCTTGGCGCAGTAGATCCGGGTAAGGCTGATCGGATCAGTATGGCATCCGACTTGTGTGCTTAGACATACCTTGGGATCGCCTAGTTCTTTGCCAGAGTAAAAGTAGCGTGCCTTCTCACTTCCACCTCCCTCGGCTCTTCCATCCCCGTCCGTCGACCTGACCGCTCTTCCATCATCCCCATGTCCCCCTCCGACCAGATAGTACCCCGCCATAGTATGCGGCGACTCGACCCACTTGCCGGCCAGATACCACCTATGCCTCCCCCACGCCTCACTCTCGTCCATCATCGCGAGATACAGCGCCGAGGCGAACGCCGGGGACAGCGGAGACGTGAGGAGCGTAAGCGGGAGCCGATGCTTGTCGATCGCGGCTTGCGACGTGAGCAGGAGGGCCGGCTGCGGTGCCGCTTTGACCTTGACGGGGACAGAAGGTCCAGGAGCAGATCTGAGGAGCGCGAAAGCATCTCTCTTGCTGCTCCCGCCAGGCGAATCCTGTTTGACCTGGAGTGCAAGCGGGCGGGGTGGGGACGCCTGTGCGACATGAAGCGACGGTTTCGCGACCTCCATAGCGTCTCGTTTCTTGCTGAACCACCCTTCCAGGCTTGTGCCCGCTTTGCGCTTTCCAGCGCTCTTGACGCGGGGCAGAAGCAGCTCCTCTGCCGCCCTGCCCAGATCGCCCCGAGCGGACGAGAGGGCTAAGCGGAGCTCATCCTCGGGGTATGTGGCTGGTTCGAGCAGCGAAGCGAGGAGGAGGAGCTGCGTCGGCTCGTCCAGCTCTGAGTCGGTCATCAGATGTAGAAGCTGACGATAGTGAAGGCGAAGAGGCGGTGGTCACACGCTCTGAAGAGCTTTTGCCACCCAAACTCGGCCAAATATCGAATGCGGGGAAGACGCGAGCCAATGCGGGGTAAGGTTCGGGGACGTGCAGCCAAGCGAGACACTTCTCCATGATCTACTCTCTAGCTGCTATCCTCACTACATACGCCTCGTACTTCAGCGAGATGGTCTACGCAGCCATACTACTCTTCGCTGCCGCCATGGCAGCGGCCCACGGAGATCACAGTTTCGACCTAAATGACGCCGCAGACGACGGCATGTCGTATGCTGAGCGCCATGTCAGTCTGCCCCTCCTTCCCCTCTAGCCCAAGCCCTTCCGAGCTGATGATCAGATGCACACAGAGCATCATATCGATAACTTTGACCTCCCCGCCTTTTTCACCCTGCACGATCTGAATCTCGACGGGATGTGGGACGTACCTGAAATAGAAGCCGTTTATGGGGTGCACCATCATTCCGTCAAGGAGGCAGTAGGAGGACAGCAGGAGCTGGTGGATGGGCGTGCGGCGACTATTGTGGCTCAGGTACTGGCGAAGCTGGACAAGGATGGGGATGGTATGTGGGGCCAGCAAGCAGTGTCAAAGGGGTTTTGGCTGATAGGTTCAGGAAGAATCAGTATGGCTGAGTTTGAGGCGGGAGGTAAAGATGGTCTACCATCGTTCGTGGGGTACAAGAACTTGGGTCGTGAGTGCTCCAGTAGCGGTAGCGACCAGTAGTTGACGGGTAGATCACTATGATGAGGAGTCCGAATAGTAAGCTATCATCTCATGCATGACAAGGAGCGTCTAGCTGACGTCCAGTTTCTTGCACCACGAGGAGGTATGCCGTTGCCCTTGACGTCGCTGACGTCTAGCTGTATCACTCGACACCCGAGACTCAGACTGATGAGGCATACAGCCACCCAGAAGGTGCGCGTCTACTACCTTTTACATAGGACCTAGCTGACAGTCTAGATATCGCCCATTTCAAACGTATGCCCCACCCACCCCTTAGCTGATGATAGACCACGCCCACATAGAAGCCGAAGAAGACGCCAGAGAGCGGGCTTTCCAAGGCCTTGACCCCAAAGCCGACCTGACCAAAGATCACATCGCGGTTGATCCGCTCGCGGAGCACGCCCACGCCCCAGGGGAAGGACCGGACGATAGTGCTTCTCAGCAACCTGGTACGACGCCTCAAGCGGGCGAAGAGGCCGCAGAGAACCAGACGCCACCGCCCAGGCAGAGGGTCATGGCGGGAGCGCAACCGAATCGGATCAGAGATGCGGACGTACGGTCGGAATTGGACGAGGCGAAGCGGTCGGGAGGGGCCGAGGGGCGGTACGATGGGCACAAGCCGCGCTCGCCGGAGGAGAGATTGAGGGCTGGGGTGCCGTATAGTGAGTTGAAGAGCTTACTGTACTGCCTGATTGCTAGAGCTGACCATGCAGAATACAAGTGAGGCAGACTATTACTGGTTGGGGTCGGTACTGATGTTACAGGATGCGCAAAGGCTTCAGAGCGGACGAGTTCTAGGCGGATACAAATCTCTTGAAGCTCGGAGATGCAACACCTGTAGCATGGTTACTGCGCCGGATGGCTCAAAGATATACAACCCAGATCTACCTCACGTCCCCTCAAAGATCTCCTCGCTCAGCCCCTCTTCCACCCGCTCCCAATCCACCTCCTGCCCCGAATACACCCCCTCAAAAGTATCGATACTCGCGCGCGCAAAGAATGGCTGCAGCTGATGCAGACTCGTCAACCCCTTGATGCCGCTCAATCTTGGACCCCGCGGCCCGGTCTGCTCCTCCCATGCCACCGCTTCCGGTTTCACCTTCTTGGCCAAAGACGTCATGTGCGCATGTTCCGCCAGGATCTCGTTCAGGCGGTCCATGATCGCCTCGGGCTCATAGCCTTCTAGAGGGAACGCAGCGTCCGTTGTATCGGTCACGAACATCCATTGATGACTGCTTATCAGCTCATCCCATCAAAATAGAGGAACGGACGTACATCTGGAAATCCTCCGACTGCATCAAAAGGAGCAGATCCAAAAACTTGCACGCCGCCAGCACAAGGAGAAGTCCCTCATCCCCATCCGCGGGTGGCTCCTCCATTGTCCCCTCGAACACCTTGAGCAACTCCGCCAGGATGACCGGCCAAAAGTTGTTCATGTGCTGCGCCGACACACGCGTCATCAATACCCTAAGGCAAAGATACACCTCGCTATGGACCTGCGGTGAGACGACGTCGTTCCGGAGGATATCGACCAATTTCTCCTGAATACTAGGGAGTTGAGTGAGGTAGTGGTTGTGCTCGGCGGAGAGGAGGACGAAGGAGAGTCGACGGAGATTGAGCGAGCGGGAGATCATTTCCGACTCGCGGTTGATAAAGATGTTGGCGGAGGGGCCGGACTGGATACGGGATAAAAGCTCGAGGAAGCGGTCCTTGTCTGTGTCCATGAGAGCGGAGATGAGCGGTTGCCACTGGTGCGACTCGGGTGCGGAGAGGCGGAAGAAGCGAGCATCGTTGAAGGCGTCACCAATCAGGGGGCGCCAGGATCGACCGGAACTGTTCAAGTGTGACATCTCGGAGATGATGTCGAGAATGGACGATCCGACCCTGATATCAGCTGATTCCCGTATGGAGCTCACTTTTGTTGCCTGAACGCCGGGACAAGAACTCCAGTCGCGATGGACGAGCACGCAACAGCGATGCGGTCATTCTCGACCAGCAGCGCTCTGAGGCTGGGGACAAGCTCCGAAGCGATAAATTCGTGCACCTGGAATCAGCGATGACCAGCTAGAAACGCACCTTTGCCTGTCCCTCGACTGCACCTGTCCCTCGCTCCCAGAACCCCGTATCCGCCGCCTTTGGCAGATTCACCACAACGTTATCCAGTAATCTCGCATACGTCTCGGTCAGATCCCTCCTCAATCGCCGATCCTCCAACGCACTCGTAGTGGCCACAGTCCGGCCTAGAGCTACCAGACACCTCAACATCGGATACAGCTGGGCCTTGGCGACGGGCGTAGTAGCGACCGTAGACATGTCTTTTGCGAGCCCAAAGGTGGTGGACCACACCTGAACGGCAATGGGCGCTTCGAGACGCTGTATATACGCCTCGAGGAAGCCAGTATAGATCGGGTCGACACTGCCGTCAGCTTGACTTTGGGGCAGACGTACGTGTGATCGGCCTTTGACTTGGGTACGAGGACCTCGCCGACCATCTCGACCACCTTTTGCGCGCTGGACGTAAGGCTGTCGACCGCGTCAAAGATCGCCGCATCGGTGATCTCGGCCGATGTGAGCGCCCAGAGCCGAACGAGACTGCCAAAGACCGCCGAAGGGTGAGATTTGAACATCTCGTCCAGGACCGAGCGGGTGCGAGAGCGTATGCGCGCAAAGATCTGGGACTGGGATGACGAGCTCGAACCGCTTGGTGATGGGATATCCGTTACGGTCCAGGCGACCAAAAGTGCGTGGACCGCATCGTCGAGCCACTGCGCATTGTCCGCTTTCTAATATCAGCTGAGGCCGTTGTGCAAACTCACGATGTCAGCCGCCGGTCCCTCCACCGTAAAGACTCCAGACATATACCCCAATATCGAGCTCCCGCCCTCTCCATTCCTCAAACTGTCCTCGCTCCGCCGACTCCCCTTCCTCGGCAAGAGCAGAATGGCAATTCGCTCCAGACCCTCGAGAAGCATGCTCGGCTCCAGCTCAGACGATGACAGCCGCCCTACATCCGTTGCAAATCCCTCCTTCAAACTCAAGACCTGCGTCCTGATCTGAGCCGCCAGGCTCCCGCTGAGGAGCTCGAGCAAGTCTCGCCTTGGCTGCAAATGCGGAGCAGACTGCAGAATAAAGTCAATCCAGCTCTGCAAGATCGGGAGGAGACGCTCATCCGCCAGCGCGGTCCGGACGAGCTGGACGATCCGACCGTCCCGATCATGAACATTCTCCGCCGCCGAGCTCTTCTCCGTTGTAGACACCGAGGCGGACTTTCGGTGTGCCTTTGGCTTGTCGGACACCGAAGACCGGAGGAGAGCGAGCATCTTGTCCTGCAGGTCGAGCTCGGCGAGGCGGACGGCTTCTTCCGCCTTGTCCAGGATGGCGGACTGGTACCGCTCAACGAGGACGGGATCGAGCGCGCCGAAGGAGAGCTGAAGCTGGATGAGGCCAAGGACAGAGCCGTGTAGCCGTAAGAGCAGGTTTGAGCGAGTTGGACCAGAGGTGGAGGAGTGAAGAAGCCTATTGTCAGCTTATATAGGGGAACGAGCTTACTTGATGAGGATCCCGGAAAGCAGCTCGCTGTAGTTGGAAGCGGTCTGTCCGGCAACAAGGACGTAAGGAGATTTCCTCGGGTCGTCAACCTGACACGCCTTGGCCGTATTTTTATCGCCGGAGCGCAGTAATGTTGTAAGGGCGTCGACTAGGTGGATCGTGACAGACAGATCCCGCAAAGTCTTGCCGTCACCGATAAGACGACACAACATGGGGTCTAGCAGTCTGATCATCAGTCCAGGTCGGCTCCACTCTCACCTAGTGTACGACCCCAGATTGACCCTGATCCAGGTCCTGCAGATCCGCTGCATCGTCGGATCGGAGCTTTTGACGCCGTCCAGTATGATGGATATTGGTGTCCAGAAGATATCCCCAAGTAGCATGGCATCGTCTGAGATCAGCAATCGCCAAAGCGGGACATACCTGTTAGCCGCCAAAGCGTCCCAAACTCCTCGAACGCGCGGTACTCGTCCGTAGACTTCATCCGCTGGCTTAGCGCGTCTTCGAGAACGTAAGGACCCGCGTGAAGCTTGAACTCCCAGAGGAGCTCGACGGCGCGGATGTGGTATCCCGCTTGATCTGAACGGAGGAAGCGAAGGAGCTGCGATCAGCTTGGCCAGAAGATTGGCTTACCGAGATCATGACTGTTTCCACGAGTCCGTCATCCATGTCGAAAGAGGCAGACTGGGTAGACGGCGATCGGATGACTTGTAAGATCAAGCTCGAGATGGATTCGACGATAACGAAGGAGTTCTGGAGATCAGCGGGTTCCGCACTCCACGTACCCTTTTCAGCCGGAGGCACAGCTTGCTCATCCACGCTGTAATGTCCACTGATCCCATGGGCACTTCGCTCGCGAGAAGAAAGGCAGCCATATTGAGTACGACGAGATAGGCCGAGGAGTTCTGTACCGTAGTCGACATAGCTGCGGTGAAGATCCGTTGAATAGCGGAGGGTACGATCTGACGTTGAACTGATATCACCGCTTTATCGAAAGGTACAGAGCCATCGAAGAGCTGTTCTGTGGTGTAGTCGGGGGTCGCGGGCGCAGCGAAGGATCTGTATCCCTGAAGAGGGATGAGGCGGAGTAGAGTATCGCAAAGGCCAAGCATCGCTGACTGGGACTGCAGAGACGTCTGGGGTCAGATCCACCTTTACGAATCTCTTACTTCGATTGCTGACAAGCAGTGCTCTAGCGCAGCGGGAATGTAGACTTGTAAGACCTCCTCTTCATGGCGAGACATGGTGGCCAAGATCCAGCAGATGAAAAGTACGTCCTGATAATCAGCTTTGACCAAGCTCCGACGTACCTCCTCCTGTTGAGCTTTCAACATGGTGTACAATTGTCTCCATAATACAAGTGGCTCGACACCCTCGGAGACGGCATTAGCAGTAATGGAGAGCTTTTGTCAGCCATACTCAATCGAATAACATACCTCTGCTCGTGTTTCCGCATCGGCGGTCCTGCTCGCAGTCCACAAGGCTCTCAGACCTGGCATCACAAGACGTGGTGCCAAGAGCGACCCCGGTTCCCACTTGTCCAGCAGCGCCAGGAACGTCTTGAACGGTCTCTGAGACGTCGGATTCAGCGCCATATCCCCCTGCAACGCGGCGACTAGGGCATCGAGACCATTTTGCTGAAAGTAGGCAATATGCTCCTCGGACGTCTCGGCGGTACCGAGTAGCCAAGTGTAGACCCGCCGACTGAGCGATATGTCTCGTTGAAGAAGGACGTCGAAGGCCGCTCGTAGCAGGAGATCCCGATCTTTATCTTCTGATGACCCGACGTCAGAACTGTAACATGACGGACTCACTTGTACAGCTCGCCGTCCATCGGCAGGATGCGCAGGAGCAGATCCAGGCCGTACCGCCTGACCAGCACGTTCTCGTCCGCCAGTACGGCAGCTGTTCCTCGAAGGAGCAGTCCGCTCTGTAGGTCGTCCGGAGGTTTGAGCAATCGACGCGAGAGGTAGTGTAAAGCGGCGAGCCGAGCGGATGACGAGGATATGAGGACGAGGAGTATGTTGTGCAGGAAAAAGTCGTGCGATACTGCTGCAGATATGTTGCTCAACAGGGCGAGGACCTAGATTAGCCTTACCCATGTGTACACTCACTCTCTCGAAGAAGTCTCCCGTCTCCTCTTCCATGCCCGGCAACAGAGCGAGCATCATCGCCTTGGTGGCCGGTCGCAGATCCGCCCCTAGCGGCAGATAGTACGTCTCGTAGATGTTGAGCAGATGGGGCCTGACCGAGGTAGTCGCGAATTGAAAGAAGGGGAAGAGGCCGGAGGACCAAACGAGAAGATCTCGACGAAGACCCTCAATCTAAAGTCAGCGATGCCTTGACCGCAACTCACGCCGATAGTGCTGACGATGTGCGCGTAGACCTCTAAAGCGCGCTGGTGTACACCTGAAGGCAACGCAGGATTGAGGCATTGTGCGAGTCGCTTCGATACGACGAGCTTGCGAGGTATTTCGTATAAGGGGGGCTGACGAGATTGAAGGGTCTATATCAGCTACGCTCGGGAAGGGCATACCTTCAGTAATCTCGATAGGAATGAGATAAAGTCGGCCCACTCGTTCACGCTTTCAAAGGATTGGAGCGCTCGGTCCACTTGGGTAGCGAACTTTTTATACCGCGCATCGCTGGCGAGCAGGGATGACGCAGCTGTACAATCAGCTTGGCCCCGATTCGGAGGTTCAGCATTCCCCATGTCCACACCGCTCGTACCGTCAGCTTAGGGCATCAGGCTGGGACCGCTCGTATTGGTGGCCCCACCAGACCTCCCCACATCGGCTCTGAGCATTCTTTGTTGCGGCAAGACTTACCACGACCTGTCCTGCGCCGCTGCTCGGGCGTGCTTCGCCCGCTGTCCGCCTCCGCCTCATCATTGCCTGCTACAGTGTCCAAAGAAGCTGACGAGCTGCTCCTGGACCGTCCGGGCCTCATTAGACTTGCAAGTCGGCTAGATCCTCCTCCTAACCGTGGAGAGATCGCCGAAGGCAGCAACGTTGACGAGGGCAGGGCAGGCGACACCGCTGCCGAGCTGGGGAGGGTGGACGGCCCGGCCTCATCTGAGTAGGCGATTTTGGGAGTGTCGATACCGCTCGACATGACGGCTTCGACCGAGTCTGTCGCTAGTCGCCACGTCTACTCTCAGGAGCGATGCTGAGCTGATGTACGAGGTGCTTGATGAGGTACAAAGGGTGATTGGGAGATCTATAGTGGTCGGAGATGGTGTCCAAGCCTTTACGGCATCGGTCCAGCGCGCCTGATCAACTTACGTTCCTCCGGCCATCCTCGTCCGACCCCTACATACACAATACATCCCATCTTGCTATCGCCTCTTACCATCAACGTCAGCTCGGCCAGGCAAATCGAAGCGCAGCGTAACACCACCAGAGATCTGAACCGAAAACCTTAGACCACTTCCAGTCGCATTTCGTCTCCTATGCCTGACCGCGGAGATGCCCCTCGAGATCCTAGATGACGGTAGCAGGTATGTTGACTTTGTGGAGGGTGCTGACTACAGACTGGGAGCAGCTTGGGCCGAAGCTCTGAACTCCTCGCTATCATATTGCAAAGCGCTCCTCGCCTCTTCTTCGTCCTCGTCATGGCGCCCAGTCCAGGTCCTGCCTTTGACGGCCTCAACGGTGGCTCGAGACTCCGGCGGGACGTCCAGCAAGACCTCGTCTCTCGGAGCTCTGTCCGCCGGAGATGTACAGGTATCTAGGCGAAAGGGCAAGATGGGAGAGGTGTATCGGGCGGTGGCCGAGGTGGAGTGCGGGACGGACGTGAGCGTGGACACCTTCCGAGGCTGCCTAGCCACTCCAGAAACCAGGCCTCAATGTAAGTCTACTTGTTGACACTGCTGATGGTAGGGGACCGAATGGTGGAGGATGCAGCGACGCTGGATCTGCTCGATGCACATACCAGGGTCACGAGAACGAATTACCGCTTGGGCTGGCCTTCAAGGTGAGCACAATTCTGAAGGCGCTAATAGCAGCCCTCGAGATACAGTCACACTCGGCAAGACATTCGTCGACCCATACACGCTCATCGACATTTCCACCTCCGTACCTCGTACGCGCAACGAGCCTCCCTATCTTCGTCCCGCACCACCGCATGTTCGAGCCCATGTCGCCCTGCTCGCTTGGTGCATCCAGCTTCCGGGACCAGGGCAGGACATACCACCAGGTCGAGCACGGATCACTTGTATGTGGTCATGGGATCCCAAGGGATCATGGGCGGTCGGTGGAGGTGTCCCTCAACATCTACCCTCAGTGGTGGTAGGGCTGGTGGACTACGTGCGGGAGGGAAGCGAAAAGGTGCCGGTACTGCGGAGTTACGGTCCGGATGTCAGCATCGGTTCGGTCGGGTACGACACCTCTCGAGTCACCCTCTCGGTCGGCTACGCAATCGTCTCTGGCGAGACGGGCGGAAATGAGCACCTTCGGCGGCAGGTCGAATTCGGTATATCGTCAACCCAGTCTTGGGACGTCCAAATACACGTCAAGACGCAGCACGGAGAAGAATCGCCCTCCACGGTCTGGACGTCCTTTGTCGGGCAGGCGCCTTCCAACGTTGCTGGACAAGCGCTGCCGAAACGACTCGTCCTGCGATTCGCGCATGCTCCACTGGCGGACGGGGAGGAGATGGTTCGGGTCAGCGTTTCGATCGAGCGGACCTCCTCCTCATCTGGCGTACGCATCAACGGGATTCCCGTCACGGTAGAGCCAATGGAGAGGCCAGCGTCTAAGCGACCGCTGCTGCAAGACGGCGCCAGCGGAAGCGCCATATCCGTCAATACGCTCAGTACGATGGAGAGTCCGGTGCAGATGGAGGACCACAAGTCGGGGAGAACACTAACAGCGGAGAAGTCTATCGCTGGACTGGTCAGAAGGAACTACATCTGTAAGTTTCAATTATAAACTCAGCTGATATCAGACTTCACATCACTGCTGCAAGAACCCGAACCAAAATGGCGTCCAGTCCTCGACTCTCGCGGAGTGGCAGTACACCAGCTCAACTCGATCGACAAAACCCTCGTCGTCTTTCGGGCTGAGGCGGTCCTCGTCGGCGTCGGTATCTGGGACCTCTTTGCCATCATATCCAATCCTAGCAGCCGGATTGTCTGGGACAAATCGCACGAAGAGGCGACGATGCTGGAGGACGTCAACGAGCTCAGCGATTTGTGGTATACCAAATCCAAAGCAGCATGGACGGTTGCTGCTCGGGACTCGGTCATGCTGCGGACCACATACAAATCGCCGAGCTCGATCCACGTCTTTGGGTTCTCCGTCGACGACACGGACCTCTTTCCTCGGATACCCCCAAGTATCGACCCAAACGTCATTCGGACCCAGATAGACCTGCAAGGCTGGTCGGTCGAATCCTTATCGCCAAATACAACTCAGGTCACTCTGCTCGAGCAGAGCGATCCTCGAGGCTGGTCCAACAAGTCCTCCATTCCGCAAGTGATGATGTCTACTCTGGCAGGAATAGGCGAATTCGCCATCAAGCACGGTGCGCCCCCGGCGGCCACCCGGCTCGGCGGCGCCAAGGCCATCGCGTGCAAGTATGACCTTGAGCGCGAGTCGTACCGGTTCGAGTACGAGTCGGCGAGCGCACGGCGGTCGGGCTCGTCCAGTACCCATACGGCGTTCCCGCTTCCCGTAGCGGTCAAGGACCCGGGCGAGTCGGGGAGTCTCAAATCCCTCGACGTCAAGCGTCCCGTCAACAATATCGAATGCGAGATACGGTGCGACGCGGAGAAATGGGGAAGCAACATCATCCTCGTTGTTGATCCGCCTCAGGTCGCTATTTCGGCGCTAAAGCGGCATCGGCTCTCCCCGGGCGGTGGTGGGCTATGGCTCACTATCGAGCATGACCCCGTCAGCCTCGGGTCGGACAAGGTCACCATCACGGTTCGACGGGGGACGGCGGTGCCGGGGGCCAAGCCGGCGCTGTCAGTGAACGGGCAAAAGGTCAAGATTGACGTGGAGGACCTGACCGAGGTGGATGTTCAGCTGCTCAAGAAGCAAAAGAGGGCAAGGGCGACTCGGGCCCCCCTGGACCAGCCTGCCGCGCTCGGCACACTGCGGAAACGGCAAAGCGGGATGGACCTCGGTAGCACCATCAAATTCGAGCCCTTCCGGACACTCACTCCGTCCACCTATTCTCGCTTCGCTCTTCCCCTCGCGCGCATTTACAACGTCGCTGCCGAGACTACCCGCGCGGCCATCATCCCCATGGCGGTTCCGGCTCCCACACCGGCCGATGGCGCCACCCCGGTCGACGCGGCTGTCCAGGCGCTGAGGCAGCTCACGCGGATGCATGCCGATCGGGAGAGCGAGTCTACCGATCCATTCGGGTGGCAGCCAGTGACGGATAGGGAAGGGCTGAAGATTGAAAAGAGGGTCGTCTCGCACGTTTCGGAGACGTTTCCGGTGTATCGAGCTGGGCGGATCATCGAGGGATTTACGGCGGAAGAGGTGTCGGCCGCGGTGTCTAGTCTCCGCAAGACCGACACCTTCGATAAGCCTGTCATCCTCCAATCGCACGGGCACGGCATCGTCACCACCCAGATCACTGGCCATGCCAATTACTTTTTCCGGAGTCGCTCCCTCCTCGTCGCTACTATTGTGGCCAGACCTACCGAGGGACCTCCTCCGTCCCCCTCCGTCAGCTCATCGCCCTCCCTCACCACCATCTTCCACGCCTCCTCATCCTCCTTCGACCCCGCCACTATCGACTTTGAGGCCGCCAAGTACAACCCCCTCGCTCTACCTTCTGGCAACGTAATCCTCGAGGGATGGATCATCGAGACGATCGATCCCTACTCGCACGAGCAATACGCTATACCCTCCACCCGGTGCATGTACGTCGGCGCAATCGACTACAGCGGGAACGTTCCGTCAAGCATGAACAATATGCTCAATGCGTCTCTTCCTCGAGCCATATTGGTCATCGAGCAGGCGCTCAAAACGGCGGGGACGCCAAGTCGCGCTCGTCTGCCCGCGATTGGCGTTATCGCGCCTGATACCGCGGCGCAAGGGGCATGGAGTTTGGAAGGTGTGGATGGAAGCCGGGTGGGCGTGCAGCAGAGGAACGACGGGGACGAGTATTCGTTGACGGTGGCGGTCCAGCCAACATCAGCGACCATCAAAGACGGGGATGCGCTTCTGTCGCCCGGACTCAGGCACAACGAGTCGAGGTCATCCTTCCACTCTGGCCGGTCAACCGTCATCGACCTCGGCGAAGACATACGTCGAGGACGGCAGGACCTCACTCTCGCCGAAATCGATATTGGCAGCGGGACGGCCGGGTGCGAGATTTCCATTCGAGGCGTCTCGTTGCCTATCGCTCAAAACACTTCGTCCGACGGACTCTTGTCCCTTACACTCCCATCCAGTACCCTTGACCTACCGTTCAAGGTCGCCATCATCGCCTTGGCTCCATCAGTCCTTCAGTCTGCGTCCCTGGACCCGACCGTTCCCGCTCGGCACCTCCTCCGCGTCACTCTCCCCACATCCGGATACGAAGCGCCCATCTCGGACCCCCTCACTGGCAAGACCGGCCCGCTGCCCCGGCCACGGTGGCTCCTCGACCTCATCGAGGACGGGGTGGTGGTGGATATACGGCTGAAGTCGGTGCCAGGTCTGAAGGGAAAGTATACGTACAACGGGGTGGACGTCATACCGGAGGATGAGAAGCGCTCAAAGGTATCAACGGCAAGAGCGAGGATGCCTCAATTAGTCAAGTGAGTGTTCGCCAGGACTGAGCTGATGCCAGTCGCGATACGCCCAAAGCTGTCAGTCTGGACAAGCCACTGGCTGTTTCCAGGGAGCATATGGCCGCGCCGCCAATGGTGTCGTCCGAGTCTCGCGCAAGCATCTCCTCGGATGTGCCAACTACAGCGGAAGTCACAAAATCGACCGAGAAAGTGAGTGATACCACTGATAGAGCTGATCCAGACACCCGAGTTTGTGCGCCCAACACTAGCGGAATCTGCGTCGCGGTACACCTTCTGGAAGTATCCCCGCATGCGCGCCAATACCGTCCTGTCGCCCATGAAAACAGCAGCCATCATGCCTCCTACATCGATCACATCCGAGATATCCACCACTACCGACGCTCCCCAACCTGACATACCGACCGTTCCACTGCCTCTCGCCATCATCGCATGCCTCCTCTGCCTGCTCATCGGCTCCCTCGCCAGATCATTCCTGTACGAAGCGGACTTTGTTGTATATTTACCTGCAGGGATGCAGAGACCACCGGGGCGGCACTGGCGGGAGCTGCGGAGGGTGCTGGAGTGGACGATCTTTCCGGGAAGAGATCTTGTTGTAGCCATCACAAAGCGTACATAGCAATGTAGCTGGGTCGTTCTTGGCTTGGGCCAAGGCTCGGTCCGCGGCCCGCGGGAGAGCCATTATGATCTGCTGCCGAGGGAGTCACACGCCTCCGACGATCGCTCGGAGTAAATCAGGCCAGACGTCTGGTGAAGATCCGGATGGACCGGCAGCGAGGAAGTGTAGACAAGGTATGGAAGATCCTCTTGCGGCTATCGTTGGCTTTTGAGTTTCAGCCAGGCACGCCGGATTTGGTGAATGCCGTAAATGGCGTTCCGGCTAACGAAGTTAGCAGAACCCAACAAAAGGTCGCGCAGTGATCCAGCCCTTCCTCTTGGTTGAGCGACAGCGCCACAGAACGCTTAAGCACCAATAAGGGAATCGCCCTCTTCTGCACAGACCCGAAGCATGCATGCTGCAAGGAAAGAGACCAGGCCTTGGCGTAGAATTCGGACGAGTGATCGTCGTGTATCATCGTGTGACATCAAGTGGGGGATCCCCGGTGTTGCCGTACTTTGGATGCGTAGTTGTATTCTCTCCTTCATCATCGCATCTCCTCTGTAAATTTTGCAGCACCAAGCCACTTGTGTATATGTAGCTCGACCCCATCGTCAGGCGATCCTACCACACCCGCGCCCGCACCGCGCGCATCAGACCGGTCGGCTGAGTGACTGAGTCTGGCGTTTGGCGCGACCGAGGCTGTTCGCACCAGTCTATACGCCTAGCATCCTGCGGCCATGTCGTCCGGCACAGACTACACGCGTATCAACGCGATCGGAGCGACCACTCTTTCAGTCTTGACGGTCGTCAGTGCCGCCTACCTACTGTACCGCCTCTTACAACAGGGACGGGGCAAACTACGCGTGCGGTTGTTGATCGGTCTCGTCTCGTCGGATATCTTTCTCGGGTGAGTCTATGCGTCAAGGAGGAGGATCAAGCTAACACGATCAGAATCATAGTGCTCCCTACCGAGATAGCGTATCTTGCAGGAAATCCCTTCAAGACAGATACACCTGCATGCGTAAGTCGTCAAGATGGCAGGACTGACGAGCAGGACACGTTTGGCTTTCTCCTCACTGCAGCACTATTCACGCAGCACATGTGGACTCTGGCTATCGCAATCGCCACCTTCCTCCTTCTGGTGAGTCTATCAAGCGGCCAGTGCTGATGGAAGAAATATCCCCTCTCGCGATCAACAGCGATCATGGAGCGTTATTCCTGGACAGCCTTTCCAGGGATCCTTGCCATCTCGGCCATTCACTCGGGTCGTAAGTCAATTCCTCCTCGCCGTTCTCGCCTACCGCGCCTGACTGTCAGTTTGGCTCAAGTTCTACGGATTCGACTCGGCAGGCAACATCTGCTACTACGGCGGAAGTCCAGACGGCGTCATCCCCGACGCGCGCGATCTCATCCAGTTCATCCCGCGCGCCATCACCTTCATCACCGTCGCTATACTCTACTCGATGCTGTATCGCTTCCTCCGGCGGCCTGATACGATCCAGGTCTCGTCACACATGCCCAGCCGGAGGGGTTCTCGAGTGGACCGTGCCCCGGGGACGTTCAGTGGGGGAGGTGCGCTACATCGCCTGGGAACAAAGATGATGAAGCAGGGCAAGGCGGCGGAAGTGGACGAGAGGCCGCCCTGGGAGCAAATGGAGTTTGTTCAGGTGGGACATCGACCATGGGAGGACGAGGCTGGGCCGGTAACATCCCTACACTCTTTGCCATCCGCTCCCGACAATACCGCTCTTCCCAGCCGGTCCGAGTCATTGATCGTAATGAGTAACATTCGGCGGTCATCATCCGGATCGGTCAGAGAAACAATACCCAGTCTCGAGCGGCGATCGTCGGCGTCAAGTAGGGACGGATCAGGGAGGGATTGGGAGCAGCAAAGAGGGAGCGACGCCGAGACACTTGTCACCCCTCAACTACATCTGGCTCGGGCCCAAATACCACACGCCCTCTCGCCTGTGTTATCAGAGGGGAAGCCGCATTTCGAGTCGCAGGTCGGCTTTGCGGAAGACGAGGGGGATTATCAAGACGGGAAGAGAGAGAAGGAGGATCAGACGATGGCGGAGTTCTTCCAGGAGTATCAGGTGTCGTCCGGGGCGGGTCAGGCGGAGCTGGGATCTGCGTCGAATGGAGGGGCACCGCAAATGTCAGCGGCGGCTTACTTTAATCGGCAGGCCAGTCTGTTGATGCTGTATTTTCCTCTAGCTGTGAGTGATAACTACTTGAGTGAGAACACAGCTGATGACCAGTACGTCGTGATCTTTTCCGCATCTCTTGTTCGATTAATATACGACATGACGACTAATGGGGCACCCAACCCCATCCTCTCTATAGTTTCAGCTTGGTTCACGCTCTCCGTGGGAGCAATAGATGCGCTTGTATACGTGAGTTGTTTCTTGTTTTGGCTCGGCCATCGCTGACGATCTCCAGGGATTAGCAGAGTTCATGGTCAAGCGGAAGGTTAGACGCAAGATGCCAGATAGGATATAGGTACCTGCTGGTTCATGTAACAGTATATTTTGGGCGGTATCACTCGCGCGAGCTGTCAGAGCGACTTGTTGCCCGGTCAAACAGGCTCAGCAGTCGAAATGACTCTGTTCTTTCCGACCTGTGCAAGCGTAAGGGGGACACGCCGGCACTTGAACGTGGAGCGCTTGCTCGCAGATCGTTCGTCGTTCGGGCTTTGGCCCGCGCTGACCATGATGCACGAACAGCGGATGGGAATCTGATGAAGCCCTTGATGCATGATGCACGTCAGCGATAACGATAAGACCGTCATCATCGCATAATGGTAGAGGGGCTGGCCCTGGCTCTGTCTAGCCCGGTTTTCCGATGGGAGCGACCGATGTGGTGCCTTTGGGCATGATGGCATGATGATCAGGAGTCGATCAGGGTAGCTCGGAATCGGAATGCGTTCCTCCGACTTGTATCACCGAAACTGCGCAGGAGCTTTCAGCCGCGAAGTGCACTCCCGACAGATCTCAACTCTGGTAAGTATATGACGCACTGTGCTGTGCTGGCGGACCTGCGTAGAGCGGTCCCTCGCTGGCTGGCAGTTGGAGCGCGTACATACATGACTTCCCGCGTTGCCCCACGCAACATAGGATGGATGGAGGCGGAGCAGAAAAGCGGGGGAAAAGTCTGAAATAGCCTCTTTTGGAACCCATTCCTCATTCACCACTGGCGCACAAAAATTCAGCAGGCTCTGAAACTAATGCATGCATTAACGGGAAGGAAGTCCCTGCATGATGTCTAGGAGACACCCTGGGCTGTAGATATGCACAGAAGCCAATGATGGATGCGCAGCAGCGTCCTGGCTCCATGGATCACAGCGGTGCCACCTGCCATTCCCGGGGACGGATCAGCACTTCTCGGCATTCCCCGCTCTTTTGCCCTTACCCACTGGGGATAGACTGCATGTAACCGCAGTTTCGGCTACTACACCATCTCCCTCCATACCATAGACTAGACAGACATACCTTCTACATACCTCGCTATATACACGAGCCTGCTCAGCTGGAACCTCCAGTGAATTGCTCGGACTTCGGCAAGCCCGACTTCGGCCTCAAAAATTCTCGGGCGCAAAGCTCAGAGATCTGCCTTCCCCTGCCTCCCGCTGGGCATCAATTCAGCGTCTTTGTTCATCTCAACCCTACTTCTACCTCACGCTGGCCGGACTTCATCAGCTGGATCTTGGGAACGCCCTCCTTTGCCCCGCGCTCGGACTCCGGAGATCTAGATTTGAAACACGTCGCACGTTTCAGCGAGACCAGGCTGGAGCTTGACTACCCTACTGCGTGGACACCGCTCGGTCGAGGAACGTACCCTGCCCGACGTCTACGGAGCTGAAACCACCCAAACGTCTCTCCTGGACCCCTTTCGCCATACCTTCGCCTCTCCTCTCGGCCCAAGCGGACGTTCGACCCGGAACACCCGGCACACACACAGGACGTCCTCGACACCCTCCCTCGTCCATCTCGGGCGGAGATCTGAGACGCGGTGGCGAAAGAGCGAAACTGCAAGGGTCAGGCGCTTTAGAGAAGCTCGTACTTGTTCTGTTCTACATACCGTTGAGGCTTGGTGAGTGATTCCATCTACTTTCTGGAGATGTCCTGGGTGTAATATGCCAAAGGAGGTATGACGCATGGAAAGGGTGTGTGTCGCCCGTCGCGCGTGGCGGTACCTGTGCTTGAGGCTTCTCCAAAACCTTCCTTCCCCTTGCATTCATTCGCACATCACTAGCATCCTTACTGATATCTCAGCCTCAACTACATCTTGCCAAACTGTCGACTCCACCTCCTTACGCACATTCCACCTTCTTCGACTCGCCAGCATCCTCCAGCAACCCTGGGAGTGGACAGTTTTACCAATTTGGGGAACCATCAGGCGGCCGGGGAGGGTCATTTGGTACCAAGGGCGATTTTTGGGCGGGGACAGCGAACAGCTCCTCTCCACCATCACCTTCTACGTAAGTCCACCGCTTGGGCTTGACTGATGACAGCATTGACTCTCGCACCGACAGCATAGGAGGGGGGGAATGCTTCCCTCCTTCCGTGTCAGACTCGAACGGTGAAGGTCTGGAAGCTTTCAACCGGGCACGAGCTCTATCACAACCCACTGCTTCTCGACGCAACAACCTCTCCCTCAACATCAACAACCTCCCCACCTTCCAGCAAAACAATTCCCCATCCACCGTCGCCTCCTCTAGCGCCCCCTTCACCGACGCAATCAACTACAATTACTCTATTCCTTACGAGTATTTTCAGTTCGCACCCGCGTCAGCCGAGGAGACCAGCGAGGCCGCCGCTGTTCCTGCGCAGAACCCCCAGTTCGGGTATCGGCTGCCGGCATCACAACCATCCAGCCCCGTCCGGACCATCTTCCCGCCGGGCCAAGCGCCATTCTTTGCGCAATCCGGCCGACAGCGAGGAGCCACCTTCAGCGGGAGGTACTCGTACTTTAACGAGCAATTCGGCGGACCCCTCCTCAACTCCATCGGCGCTGCTGTCCCTGCCGGCCTCCCCACCGCCCTGCCTACCGCCATCCCACCTCATCTTGCCTTTACCCAACTCCAACAATCCCCAATACACTCCCCCCTCCTCGCTTCTCCCGTCATCCAGACCTCCACCGCTGGTCAGACGAGTTACTTTGATCCCGCGCCGGTCAAGTCTGACTTGGGATCGCGGGACGTGACGATGGATGATCTTGCAACGCCAACGCAAGCACTACCATCCGTCGCGCTACCCGGGACGGCACCACCTACTCCTTTACAGCACACCAGTATCAGTCGGAGCTCCAGTGTCGCGGTGGGACCTTCCGAGGTAAACGAGACGGGGGCTATGGTGGAGAAGCTTATGCTTTTTGACCAGTAAGTCTATAAATCAACCAGGCTGACGACAGAATGATCAATTCTGCCCAAGAAGCAAAGAACGCCTTGCTTCGCGGTGAAGACGCCTCGGCCAATCTCGGTCAAATATCTCATCAGCTCGACTCGGTCAACGAGCTCAGCGTGGCCCCCACGGGCACGCCGCAGTCCGCATCAAGCGCCTCCCCTCTCAATTACCTCGCATCTCCGGCCGTCAGCGTTTCCGCGGTAGCCAGCATGCCCCGCATCACCACACCGCAGAGCGTATCGCAGGTACAGATGGCGCAGCTCACTCAAATTCCCTCTCAACCGGCTCCGCAACTCGCCATGCCGCAGATGGTCCCGGCTCAGATGTTGACCCAGCACCAACTCGCGGTCGCCCATCAACAGCACCAGATGCAGCAGGCGATGCAGCAACAAGCGATGCAGCAGCACGTCATGCAGCAGCAGGCGTTGCAGCAACAGGCCATGCAACAACAAGCCGCGCAGCAGCAAGCAATGCAGCAGCAGGCCATGCAGCAACAGGCAATGCAGCAGCAGGCGATGCAGCAGCAACAGGCCGTGCAGCACGAGCAGGCGATTCAGCACGAACAGGCTGTCCAGCAGCAGCAGGTCATGCAGCACGAGCAGGCCATGCAACAGCAGGCGACGCTGCAGCATGAGGCGGCGATGCAGCAGGCTCAGCAGCGAGCTGCCCAGCAGCAACAATCGGTACTTCAGCAATCGGCACTCCAGCCGCAGCCCCAGATGCTACCGATGCAGCTACCTCCATCCCAGCCCACTCTCATCTCCCAACCTATCCCCACGCTCCACACCCCCACTCGCGAAAACCCCCAACCGCAGCTTGCCATGATCAACACCAACCTCTCACCCCTCCCCCTTTCCCGCCAGGAGCCCGCCTCGGCCGGCTACCCCACCGACACCATGTCCTTGGCGGTCCCTCCTCCTCTCGTCCACTCGCACTCCTTTCCCAACGGTCATCAGCTCCCGAGCCAGCTGCACAATCTCACCTCACCGCCCGTCCCTCTCGCCCCTTCCCCCTCCTTTGCCGCATCGCTTGGTATCGGCCATCCTCCACACATATCCTCACCCCTCGCAAACGTCGCGATCTCTCGACCTCCGTCCCCTCGGGCCTACCCAGTACCGGACCAGCAGTGGCTTCCAATCCAAAACGGCGAGTCCTCCATGTCACGCACGGTATCAGACTCGGCGCCTATGCTGGCCGTCCCACGTCGGCCTTCCCTACAGGATAGGGCGGTCAGCGACTCTCGCGCGGACGGGCTGCCCGTTGTCCACCGGGGCAGGAGTGGATCGACCAGTAGACCTCAAAGGGGACTGCATGGGATGACCTCAAGTGTTCCCCCGTCAGCTTGGAACTCGCGAGCGGTCTCGCCGGACGACGAGGATGAGGAGGAATCAGACGATGAGGCGCCAAGGAAAAGCAAGCGGCGGAGAAGCTCAGCGGGGCATGCCGTAGCCGACACCGCCGCGTCGACTCTGATCTCGGAGGATATGCGGCGGCAGCTGGATCGGATTTTTGAGGAGTTCTTGAATATCGTCTGCTCTGATTGTAAGTTCTTGTTAGGGTCATGCTGACCTATAGTGGATATGGTCGACGCCAAAGGCGAAAAGCTTCACCAAGTCCTCATGCCGAAAAAGATGCAGAGGATGGACGAGTCGGGCGACTACCGCCCATTCAAGTTCAGAATACAGGCCTTCACCAACGCCTTTTCGGACGAGGTGAGTCTCGATCTTGTTCGCGGCTGATCTCAGCTTGTTCACCGAGGCATCACCGAAGAGACCATGTCGGCCAAGAAGATCAAGTCGTATCTCTGGAAACAAGATCTTATCTCCCGCTTCAACGCCGACGGCAAGAAGGCCAAATCTAAGGGCAACCACATCTGGAATGTGGACGCCAAGAAGATGCCCGAGGGAAACGAGCCCAAATGGGTCTTTAGGCCGTTCAAGCGGAGGATCATCGGTACTCCGAGCGCTTATGCGTAAGTCTTTTTGGTTTTGGCGGGAGCTGTGCGGTTTTGGCGGGGGCTGTGCTGATGATCAGTCTCATCAACCAGCGGTACGAGTACGAGCCCAAGGTGTGGGATCCACAGGCGGCGACGGAGACTCTGAAGCCAGTATTTTACTCGCCTCCCAACTCGCTCCCGGATTGGATGCGGTGGGAGGATGGGAAGCTGGTCGGTGTGCCTACCAAGCTGCACGAGGCGACTGACATTGTCGTCAAAGTCAATGTAGGTCTACCCTCTGGTGCTGCCGGGGTCAAGCTGACTATCAGTTCACCGATGTGGATGGCCAAGCCCAGACCCTCAGTACGAGCTTTATGCTCGCTGCGATCCCACCCGCTCTGATGCCGGATCAGTAAGCTTGTCCTTGTGATGCTGAAACTGGCTGATAGCTAGAATGGTCTACGGCCAACCGCAATCGTACGCGTATATGCCCGAGTACGGCTCTCTCGATCCTCAAATTCAGCAAATGATGAGTCAGCCCATGTAAGTCTTCAGCTTCACCAGCAGCGGCGTCTACTGAACACCAGTGTGCCATACAACCAGGCGATGAACGTCTTCACCGGTCAGCATCAACACCTAAGCACCGTGTACTCGCTTGGGCCGGAAGGGAATCAACAGGGGCATTAGGGAGAAGTCATTGTATGCAGTCGGCGAGCTGCGCGGGAATAAGATACTATCTGAAAGGGGATGCAGCACAATTTTCATGCGCTCGAGCTGTTGAGAGGTCCTTCTCCGTCATCGGTGACGGTGATTATATAGAGGCGCCGCCGCGGGGGGCCGGCCGGTGTACACGGGGCATCGTTGTGGCCCAGAGAGGCAAGTTCGGGCCGCTGCCGTGATCGTGCCTGAGAAAAGGCCGTCACAAGCCAACCGCAACCAACGCAGACCCTTTCGCTCCTTCAGTTTGCGTCTTGTTCTCTATAGCTACCCATCTACGATCCAATCATCCTCTATTTCCTCACGCCCCTACATCCCTGACCGTCGTACAGCTTCCTCCGCCGCTCGTCCATCCGCGGTCCGCTGGGCAAGGTCCAAAATGGACAGCCCCGGCGCCTCTTCCACCGGCGTGCCCATCTCCTACCTTGAAGTGAGCTCAGCTTTTGCAATCCTCAATTGCATTCACTGACTTCCAGGCCTATCCCTACCCATCATGCGTAATCGTCATCCCCCAAGACCGAAACAAGCGGCCTCAGCTAAAGAGCCGCGATACGGATGTCACCGTCCGCGAGTTTGACGGCGTCTCCCCGTTATCAATGCCACCCCGGCCCCGCAGAACTTATCCGGCAACCTACTGGGCGAACGAGAAATGGTTGACCATCATGCAGGGGAAGGAGGTGTCTGACCGCGTGGACGAGGAGCAGGCGGATGGGCTGTACAGCTGGGCGGAAAGGGAAAATGTGCCAACTCCTGGCCATCCGGGCGGAGAGTCTGTCTTTCTGCTTCGTCTCCCCGGAACGGGTCGCCTCTCCCTCGCCAAAACAATCCTTCCTTTATCCCCTCCCAGCAGTACGCATGCTTTCTGCGTCATCACGTCACAACAGAGCGAAGCGGACGCACTCGGGCTGGGCCAGCGGCGGGAATCCGACAACACGGTCAGCCCCGGCCCCCGGTCATCTGCGTCCTCGGACCATACAACTACTTCCTACTTTGACACACATCGTCCCTCGGATGCCACCATCAGAAGCTCGCTCTCGTCGGACGCCGGGCCCTCCGCCTCGGAGCGCACCGGTCCTTCCCCCACCCTCGGGGCCAACGGCCAGAAAGGCAAGACAGCCTCGCAGGTGACCAAAGCCTACTCGGGCAACTCCTCGAGCTCGACGAATAGCTCGGAGAAGAGGAGGAATCAGCGTCGCGGAAATCGATGGGAGGCGCCATCGTCCGGTCTGAGAACGGTCAAAACCGAGACGGAAGAATGTTGGGCGATGGTCAACAGTATTGACTGGTCAAAGACGTGTATGGGACCAAGAGCGAATTGGGCAGACGTGATCGACCCAATCTTGTCGCTCATATTTGAGTCGAGGTCGCAGGACTGCCTTTGGCTTGGCGAGGATCTACACATGCTTTAGTGAGTGGTATGCGGGACGAGGCTGATCAGCAGCAACACCAACTACATTGACCTCCTACCGGAACCCGGACATCCCTACTCTTTCGGAAAGAAGGGTTCAGAGGTCTGGTCGGTCCTCATGGACCTCCTCCAGCCGGTCTTTGAAGGCGGGTTCCGAGGTGAATCAACCTACCGGGAGAACGATCTCATCATGTATGATCACCTCCCCAACGGCGAACTTTGCGAGCGGTACTTTTCCTGGCGGTACAACCCCGTCAAGGGCAGCGACGGAACAATCATCGCCCTTTATAATCAGGCGACCGAAGTCACGGATGCGGTCATTGCGGAGCGGCGGCTCGGGACGGTCCGAGATCTCTCGGAACATCTGCTCGTGGCCCGTAGCACTCGGGAATACTACGATTCCCTCCGCTACGTCTTCGAGTACAATCAAAAAGAGGCGCCTTTCATGCTAGCGTACAGCGTCAAGGTCAAAAGCGAGACGGTCGTCAATGTCGTCACGGAGCTCAGGCTGGAAACCTCGCTCGGCGTTCCCACAGGTCACCCATCGGCCCCGCCGGCCCTACAGGTCATCCTCGCCGCGCGGAATCGGGCCAACTTTGGCGTCAATGCGGACAAATTGTCGTCCCCGACGCTTTCGGCGATATCGGTGCTTTCCAGCGGTAGTGGCAATATGAACCACGTCTCCGAGGTGGCTAGCTGGCCTATTGGCAAAGCGCTGCAAAGCCGTCAGCCGGTCATCGTCGACGACTGCCGCGACCTCATCCGAGGGTATGTCAGTCGAGCGTGGGACATGCTGCCCATGTCGGCTATTGTCGTGCCCATCTGCAGCGACTCGTCGACAGACGTTCCGGACGCGGTCATCATCCTCGGACTGAATGTCCGGCGTCCCTACGACGCCGACTATGACGGCTGGATCCACGTCGTACGGTCGCAACTTACCAACTCGCTCACCGCGGTCAAAGCGGCCGAGGCGGAGACGGAACGTCGGGCGGAGAGTGACCGGATGGAACGGGCCAAGGCGGCCTGGTTCCGCGGTGCAGCGCACGACCTCCGGAGTCCGCTCACGCTCGTCGCTGGTCCGCTCGATGACGTCCTCGGATCGACCCTCACGCACACTCAACGTTCCTCCCTTGGCACAGCCAAGCGCAACGTTGACCGTCTCCTTCGGCTCGTCAATACCCTCATGGACTTTTCCAGGGTCGAGGCGGGTCGTATGGAGGGGCAATTCGTGCCGCTCGATCTTGGCGTATTCGTCAGCGAGCTCGCGGTGATCTTCCGTCCCGCAGTGGAGCGGCTCAAGATCGAGTACCACATCTCCATCGAGGCCAGCCCTCACCTGGTCTACGTTGATCCCTCCCTTTTGGAGACGGTCATCTCCAACCTCATCGGAAACGCCATTAAATACACAGAGTCGGGGTCCATTACGGTCCGCCTGACCTACGGCGAGATGGCGGAGATCAGCGTGATCGATACGGGTACCGGTATTCCTCGGGGTGAGGTCCACGCGGTCACGGAGTGGTATCATCGGGCGACCACGGCTATCCACTCTGGTACGCAGGGCTCCGGGCTGGGCTTGGCGCTCGCTCGAGAATTCCTCCATCTGCACGGAGGGGAGCTCACGGTCACCTCCAAATTCGGTCCCGAGTGCAACGGCGAGCACGGCTCGGTCTTTACCGCTCAGCTTCCCCTCACCGAGAAGGCCTCCTCAGCCGCATTCTCGGGGAACAAAATCGGGACGTACGGCATGCAAGTCGCCCATGAGGCTATGCGATGGGTCAAGCCTACCGATTCAGACACGGATACGGCGTCGAATCACAGCGATACGGCGTCCGATACCTACACCAATGGTACTTCTCGGTCACCCGAAGGCAGCGGTCTTCTCTTTGAAAAGACCGATACCATCCTCCTCGTCGAGGATAGCCTGGACATGCGCAACTACATCAAACAGATCTTCTCTCCCTACTGCACCGTCATTGAGGCGAAAAATGGGGAAGAGGGTCTGAAACTCGCTATTCAACATCAACCCAACGTCATCCTCTCGGACTACATGATGCCAAAAATGACGGGGATGGAAATGCTGAGGGCAATCCGGCAGGAGGAGTCGCTCAGATACACTCCGTTCGTCCTGACCTCGGCGGTGGCGGGCGAGGAAATCAAGGTGGACGCCTTGCTGGCGGGGGCGGAGGACTACATTCCCAAGCCGTTCAAGCCGAAGGAGTTACTGGCGCGAGTGCACCTCCAGCTTCAACTTGGCAAGAAGCGGGTCAAGCTGGAGATGGCGTATGAGCAGCGGCAAGGGGAAATCTCCGTCCTCAGCGACTATTGTCCGACGGGTATCATGCGGGGCGACATCGAAGGGCATATTACCTACGCCAACAATTCATGGCGGGAGATGGCGGGTATGCCCCCCGGCGCCGATCCCGATACCTGGACTGATTACACCGAAGCGTCGGTCGTGGAATATCTTTGGCCGCTTTGGACGGAATGGCTGCGGGGCGACGAGAAGGAGTTGACGGCTGGATGGAGATGGCTTTCCGGGCGAAAGGTGTCGGCGAGATTTGTCAGGTTGGACCGGGCCGTTCCCGGGATGGCGCCTGGGGTGCTGGGTTGCATCACGGATGTGACGCATGAGGAGGAGCGGTTGGCGGAGGCGGAGAAGCGGAGAATAGAGGCCGAGGAGAGCAAGCATCAGCAGGAGTTGCTCATCGACTTGACCAGTCACGAAATCCGCACGCCCGTCTCGGCCATCCTCCAATGCTCGTCCCTGGTCAAGGAGAATCTCGTCTCGCTCTTCGACTCGCTTAAACTGGCGTCGTCGATGCAGTCGGGGTTCAAGCCGACGCACGAGTTACTGGCGGATATTGAGGAGGACATCGAGGCGTTAGAAAGTGAGTTTTTTTGGGTTACAAAGCTGACGATAGGCATCTATCAGTGCGGTCTTGTCCAGGAACGCATCGCCGGCGATATCCTGTCTCTCGCTCGCATCCAACTCGACATGCTGTCCCTGCATGATATCGGGATGGACGTCCGCACCGAGGCTCGCAAGGTCCTCTCCGTATTTGCCTCCGAGGCAAAGATGAAGAAGATCGAGTTGGCGTTGGAGTTTGGCGAGACGTTTGACGTTGCCAAAGTATGGGGGATCAAGACGGACCCTGTCCGTCTCGGCCAGGTCGTCACCAATCTCATCTCGAACGCTATACGCTTCACCGCCGCGAGCGACGTCCGCAAAATTACCGTCCGGTACGAGGTATCCTTTGCGCCACCTGCGGAGGAGACATGCGCTTTGCCTGGGTCGATTGCTCTGCCGAGCCAGCTACCCGCACCAGAGGACACGGACATCTGGCTATTTGTCAGTGTGAGGGATACCGGACCCGGCTTGGGGCCAAAGGAATTGGCACTTTTGTTCAAGCGGTTCTCTCGTGAGTACGTGGCTAGAGTATGGCTGACAATCAGAGGGCAACAAGATGATACACACTCGATACGGTGGATCTGGTCTGGGTCTCTTTATCTGCAGAAGTGAGTCGTCACTTGTTGTCCGGGATTGTGCTGATTGTAGAAATCACCGAGCTCCTAGGCGGCCGTATCGAAGTCCAATCTCAGCTTGGCGACGGTTCGGTATTCCGATTCTTCATCAAGACCAGCACGGTCGCTCCGCCCGTCCGGCCAGCCCTTTCAGTCGGCGCTCTCGCTGCTCACAACGCGCAAGGCTCGAACAATGACATCACGGAGACCGTTGGCAGCAGCATGAGCATGACATCGACGAGCACGGTACCCAAGGCGACGGGCTCGCCACCTCCCGAGGGGACCGAGCACATGCACATCCTGATCGTTGAGGACAACATTATCAACCAAACGGTGTTGAAGCGGCAGATCATCAAGGCGGGCTTGACGTGTGATGGTGAGTCGGCAGACTTGGATGAGCTGACACGCAGTCGCCAACAATGGTCTCGAAGCGCTCAACCTCGTCCGAGAGACGGATCGGTCGATCAAGCGAGGAGGGCCAAAGATGAGGAAGCGATATGACTGCGTATTGATGGATCTGGAAATGCCCGGTAGGTCCCTGACACGTGTCTGCGGCTCTCGCTGACCCTCAGTCATGGACGGTCTGACGGCCATTCGCGAAATTCGAAAGGCAGAAAAGGCGGGGACACTTGCGAGGAACATGGTCATTGCCTTGACGGGTAATGCTCGTCAGGGTCAAATTGATCAGGCCCTGGAGGCTGGGATGGACGACGGTGAGCACCTCTCTTCGCTTGCTTGAGCTGTGGCTGACGAGTCAGTCGTGATCAAGCCCTATGTCCTGGGCAACTTGTTGAAGAAGATCAAGGCCATCACCATCAAGAGATTAGAGATAGAAGTGGGTGCTGCATTTGAGGACAAATGAGGGGTACGGTATCTCAGCTGTTCATCGATTGTATCAAAAGTTATAGGGCGCTTGTTGTAAGGTATATAGGATGCATCGCTTCTGCTAGCATAGCTCGGTAAGAATCGTCGTCGCTAAGGCCTTTGGCATCGCCCGAGCAAACCTCCAAAACGCGTCAGACGCGTTGCAAACGCGCATACCGTTCTTCATCTTCACCTCACCCTGCCCTACTGACTATGCAGCCTCCACAGCTGCTGTATCACTCGGACACGCCGACGCTGTACCCCACAAATACCTCATCTTCCCTCATCACCGTACGCTTCCCCTCGGCAGTCCGAATCACTTCGCTCCGCATCACACCGGAAGGCGTTGCGAGTCCCTCTGGACCAGGGTAAGCCAAGCTCTCTGGGTGTATAGCCTTCTTTCTATGTGCTGCGCTAGGATACGCACCGCAGCTGATATATAAGAACCACATACCCCTCGCGATGGACTGGCGAAATCTACCTCAACGCGTCGGACGCAAGTCCCGTCAATGCGCTGGAAAGACGGAATGTGGAGTATGCAGGAGGGGAGTGGCCGGTGGATTATGATGTGGGAATGCCAGACGATGTAGGTCTGTTCCTATGGACCGAAGTCGAGACGGTCGAAGCAAAGGACAGAGGGATGTGAAGCGATAGAGCTGACGAACAGGTAACCACCCGCTTGATATCCCTGCTCGCGCCAGTGCAAAGCATCACACTCTCCATCTACGGCTATCACGCTGCGGGCCCTTCCCATCCTGCAGTCCAGCATGAGCCGACCATGCACAAGGCAGCGAGTGAGGATCTCGCTTGGGTCTCGGCCTGGGCGGGCGGAGTAGGCGGATTGCTGGATATGCTGGGAAGCAATACGGAGTCAGAGAGGAAGCGGAGAGTCGTCGAGTGTCTCGAGCTCCTCCAGGAACACGAGGGGACTGTCATCCCACTGCTTCTCGAACGCAATGCCGCCCTTTCGTACCTCCTCCGCAGTCACCCAGGGTCCAACCTCGTCCAGCAAATCTTTGGCGATCCGGATCACGCCTTACATCCCTCCCTCTCGACCGCTGTTTCGTCTTCTCATCCTCTCTACATCCTTCTCACATCTACGGACGATCAACGCCGGCACGCATGGCGTCATATCGAGTTCGGATGGCTGCCCTTACATGTCCTGTCGAGGAGCAAGGAGGGGGATCTGATGGCAGTGGAAGAAGGGCAGGGGCGGAGCAACCTAGCTCGTCTGCTCGACTCGGCTGAGCTGTACGCGGCGAAGGAGGGACAGGATGGCGGGCGGTGCCTGGAACTCATCCTGGACATACTGGGCGACCCCCCGCTGGATCGGGTCGTTCTCGCCCATCTCGCTGGGGTCGTACCGAGATTGACGGTGGTGTCTGCCATTCGGAACGGATCAAAGCGGAGCATTCAGCTACCCGTCGACTACGCGCCCACCATCGCCCGGGCTCTCTTCCTCTGCTCGTCAGAGGTGATCGACTCCAGACTGGCGTTTCCCGCCGCTCAGCGGCTCGTCCAGCCCTTCCTGCCCCACCTTCCCCCTGATTCACCATATCATGCCGCCTTCTCCACTGCATCACAAGCGGTCCCCTCACTCCCTACCGCCGGCGACGCGGACTCCCGCCGCCTCTCCCGCCTCCTGTCCGCCGCCTCGTCCGCAGCCTCATCCGCATCCTCGTTCAAGTCATCCCCCTCCGCCCTTGTCCACAGCGCCACTCCCGCCGATCTCATCCAGATCCTTGCGCCCTCCCTATACGCCCTTCTCGCGACCGCCCCGGTTCCACTACTGGACATACCGACCCTGGCGAATCCCACACCTGATAGCCAGGCCTCGGCGTGGGCGGGCAAGGTGTACACATCCAATGCGTTCAGAGAGAGGGAGGAGGCAAGAGTGGGGTTGGGAATCAAGGGGGCCAAGATTGGGGGACTGGCGGTATTGAGTGGGGGAAGCTCGGCTGGCGGGTTGGGAGTCGGAAATGGTGCTGGCACGGAGGGGCAAGGGAGGCTGTCTAGGCCGGCTAGTCGGCATGTGGATGATTATGTGAGATGATACAGTGGGGAACTTCAGTTCGAGCTCATCGAGCTCACGCCATACTGAAGGTTACGAGGCCGTCTCACGTCGCTGCGGCACTTTACAGATGCGTCTGAGACGAGAGCTCAAGTCCTACCCAATCAATATAATCGCCGTGCAAGGAAACATAGTGCTACAAAGTCTGCAGCGACCATCCGCCACCTCCCCCACTCCTCTCCTTCCGTTCCGTCGGAACACCTCTCGGCCGAAACCCTGACTGCAGAACGCCACCACCTCCGCTTGCGTCACACGCCACCTCATTCCGCCGGCTTCTTTTCCTTCGTTGACGAGAGGATCACGATTCGTACTGCGCCAAACGCCGTCTTACTGCGATGTCAGCGGCGCTCCTGTCTCGGGAAGTCCGACGGTGCGGAAATCAAAGCCGAGGTATGAATGGATGAAGATTTTCAACTCACGCTCAGCGACTTCCTGCTGCAAACGAAGGGTCTCCTCCTGCGCGAGCTTGAGCTTGAGGTCTTTGATGTTGGAGGATTCTTCAAGTGATGAGAGGTGTTCTGGGGATCAGCAATGCATCACCTCACATGAGATTTTGACTTACCCTTCCGCTTTGCTCTGAACGTCCGCGCCGAGATCCTGTTCCTGACGCGCTTCCTCTCCCTTGCGCTGAGAGCGCGATACGCCTCCACCTTCATGCCCCAGATGACCCCGTCTCGCTCCACTCCCTCTGGCACGTCCGGCTCATGCTCGCTGTCATGCTCCTCGGCCGAGTCGAGCGAGTCGAGTCGCCGCTTTCCGACGCGCTTGGGGGACTGCTGAGGGGTGTGGTTGATCGAGTTGATGGGGGATGGAGAGTGGGTGAGCTGGTTGTCGACGATGCTGAGGGAAGCACGCGAACCGGGTTGACTTGCTCGGTCGGCGGATGGGCGGTGAGGGTAGGGATGAGGAGGGAGGGGTGCCGAGTAGCTGGATGGAGGGATGGATTGTTGCTGGTTCAAGAGGAGGGAGGTGGCGATGGACGAGTTGTAGTTGAAGGGTGGGGTATAGTACGAGGAGGGTCCAGCTTCGGCGTTGCGGTTGTATGGCAAGTCGCCGGCGGTGCGGTTGTAGGAAGGGACGGACGAGCTTTGCTGCATGGGCGGGGCGACATGCTGAGGAGCAAAACCGAACGAGTTGAAGTTGGGTTGCTGGACGCCGCTCGACCCATGGAAGGTGAAGGGCATCGACGCGTTCGATTCTGCTCCGCCTTGGTCCGTCCTGATCCCTTCCTCCACCTTGCCCCATCCTGATCCAAAGTAATCCTGCCCTTGTGCCTGCCCCTGCTGCTGTCCCTGTCCCTGCCCTTGCCCTTGCTGCTGCGAGTTGTGGTGAATCGCCGAAGCTCGAGGAGTGAGAGCGGCGAAAGGGGTGTTGAGATTGAGCCACTCCGACATGCTGGCAGTAGGCGAGAAGGCGGGAAGAACAAAGTTCTGGTAGAGGTAGGATCCCCAAGCTGGGACTGATGCCTGCAGATCATTAGCATTTGTGATTGCGCCGATGGCCAAGCGATTTGGAGGACTCACCAATCGCGATTTAGTCTCTGCGTCCATAGGCTGCTCCTGAGGGTTCATAGTAGCAACGATACTCATTGCAAGAGTTGTTGGATAGACGATAAAAGTTGTGGGTGCTCCGGCGAGACTTTCGAGGTATATAAAAGGCTGACCAAGATGTGGTAAAGCGGGGCGATGTGAGTCAGCCGGCGGTCAAGTAGATGTGGAGGCGGAGTTGCTGATCCCTGTGTGTCGCCGAGGCGCGGGGATTGGGTGGAGCAGTCGGGCGGTTGGCTGTTGCTGAGGGCGCCGAGCGGGTATGTAAGATATGGGCGCCGAGAGGAATCGGGAGCGACAAGCGAAAAAAGCAGATCTGCGCCGAGCCGAGCGAAATCTGTGTAGATACAGTACAGCTAGATTATCTACGCGATGATGACTGAGCTAGCGAACTTTCTAGTATCTCGGTGATGTGGGGTGTGGCGGGTGAAGACAGATGCACGCTCTGTCTTTTTAGTCATTGACTCCCGCAAAGACCGACTGCCGCCTGGGTGGGGTAACCGAGACTGAGTAAGACTTTCTTCAGCTCCGCGGCGGCGCGGAGAACAGGACCGCAAAGGGTTCCGATCGCGCTTCCGGCAGCCAAGACGCCACCGCCTGACAGTGCTGTGCACGCCGTTACGCTGTCCCTGTACCGTGGCTTCCATCGGTCCCCGAAGCGAGGCAAGCTTTGCGCAGAGTGAATCAGCTGAAACGCCTCGGCACGTCATTGCCGTTACGAGAAAGGAGTCGGATAGGCCTCACGTGGCAAAACGGCCGTAGTGCGCCCCCCGCGGCGCCGGCGGTTAGTCACTTGCGGAATGATGACCTCGGGCGCCGGATGCAAAGTTACGCAGGAAAAGGCGAGTTTGGCAGTGTTAAGCGAGCATGGCTCGGTCACCGGCCGTCGGAGGGGCATCGATAAGGCTTGCTCAAGCTCGGATCCGGGTGGCGAATATCGCAAGGAGAAGCTTGCGGTAGCGTGGGATCGCAGATCGGTCCGAGTGGGATCTAGGTCTTGCAGCGGCTACACACTGGCTGCACGGCCCGCCGGAGGCTCGCAAGCGCTTCAGCAAGGATTCCCATTGGAATGCTGAAGGTCCGTCGGAGCTTCTGGGTCTAATCTTATGCCCGCAGTCCTTGGCACCAGTCAGGCATCTTGATGCATGCATATGAGGTCCGTAAGAGTGGAGGTGGAGGTTGCTCATGCATTCCGTTGGAAACACTGTGTGCTCGGTCCTGGGTATCGAGCCTTGCATCGACATGTCGGAGGCGAGCTATGAAGGTCGGTCAGAGGTGTTTCGGAAGAAAGGCTACTAATAAGGCCTTCTGCCCGGACGCACAGATAATTACCCTCAACGTTCAACAGAGATCTGGCATGGGTAGTGCGCACTGATGCGCAATGACCTCTCGTCGCAGGGTTTATATATTTCTGAAACTGCCCAAACTTCTTAGCCCCCGAGTTGGAAACATACAGATGACTTTCTCGCCTTTTACTAGAAAGACCCGTGTTGTCGGCTCACATGGGGGCGTTCAATTTCTTCCTCAGACCTATCTGGTCCACACACATATAACCTATACTTTTTGCTTTTTGCTCCTTGAGTCTTGGCCTAAACCGATAGGACATGGCTTTCCGGACGCTCCTGTCTCACTCACATCGTGCATGTATGTCCCTGCGTGAGCTGATACCTCGAGAAGTGTGACAAAGATGCCAAAAAGACGACCAGCTGCAAGAGGCAGGGTTTTGATCCCGCTAATGGCTTTGGACGCGACGCGCCGGATTCTCGTAAAGGCATTCAAAGTCAACCTCAAACGTCAAGATGGTGTCTATGCATTCCTCGTTCATTCCATCTACCTTCAGGACACTGGCAGCTCTATATTTGATACACAGTCCGGCATCCCGACGCTCATTCACACTTCCTCAGGTCAAGGATCCAACAAGCTCCACATTTCGCTGGCTTTGAGTGCGAACCGCTTGACCGCCCCAACTTCCATCTCATCCAAGACCGTGTGCAGAAGGGAGACCATGTCGCTCGAGAACTACACCAAGCTGGAGAAGGTCGGAGAAGGTACGTTCCTGACCCTATCGTGTGATGTCCCCCAGTCATCGGCCGTAAACACTGGCTATCGGGAGGGAGCGGGCGTAAGCAGCAGAACAGACGAAGAAACGAGCGAAGCCTCCCTGTGAGCTGAGGGCAAGCGCTGAATCCGGCAGGGACATACGGTGTCGTCTACAAAGCCAAAGATATCCGGAACAACACCTTTGTCGCGCTCAAGAAGATCAGGCTGGAGGCGGAAGATGAAGGCGTACCGAGCACGTCTATCCGGGAGATCAGTCTGCTGAAGGAACTGAGTAAGGATGATAACATTGTCAAGTAAGTCTGGGTGGCTACTCATGCGACGGCGCGGAGGAAAGGAGAACACAAGCTAATGTTCAGACTGCTCGATATCGTTCATTCAGACTCCAAGCTGTACCTGGTCATGGAGTTCCTGGATATGGATTTGAAGAAGTATATGGATACCGTCGGGGATAAGGATGGACTGGGACCCAATATGGTCAAGGTGAGTCTACTATCATAGCTGAGATCTGCCCTTCTGTGCTATCTTCGGGGCACTCTTGTCGCAACGCTGACTGGCAGAAATTCACATATCAGCTCGTCAAGGGGTTGTACTACTGCCACGCCCACCGCGTCCTGCACCGGGATCTCAAACCTCAGAACTTGCTCATTGACAAGACAGGAAATCTGAAGATTGGAGGTGTGTCCCCCAATTATTCCTTTTTGCTGCTCGGGAACATGCGCTGATAGATAGATTTCGGTCTGGCAAGGGCATTCGGCATCCCCCTCCGTACCTACACACACGAGGTACGCAACGCCTGTCCTGCAGCAATGCAGAGCCAGGGCTGATAATCAAATAGGTTGTCACGCTTTGGTATCGCGCCCCGGAAGTCCTCCTCGGCTCCCGACACTACTCAACAGCCATCGACATGTGGTCCGTCGGGTGCATTTTCGCAGAGATGGCTATGCGCCAGCCGCTCTTCCCTGGTGATTCCGAGATCGACGAGATCTTCCGTATCTTCCGGTATGCCTTCTTCTCCCTCTTGGGCTCTCCTCTTTCTCTTAGCAGGCGCCAGCTGATCCTCAGTGTCCTCGGTACACCAAACGAGTCCAACTGGCCCGGAGTGAGCGCGCTGCCCGACTACAAGGCTACATTCCCCCAATGGAGCGCGACGTCCCTCCGCGCGGCCGTCAAGGGGCTGGACGAGACTGGACTGGATCTGCTCGCTAGCACGCTGGTATATGACCCCGCAGGGCGGATCTCCGGTGAGTCTTCTGGGTGGGGTGTTGCAAGTGGAGGAAGTAAGGGGTCGAGCTGACTATCCAGCTAAACGCGCAATGAACCATCCGTACTTTGCCTCGGCGGTCGGTCTCATCTAGGCGTAGCGTTTCTGTGGTCTTTCCGAGCTTCTCTTCTATTCATACCTTTCCAGGTGACTTGATCCGGTACCTTCTGCACATGTATCTCATACACAGCCCAAACAGCGATAATCTGGCACGCTCACGCAACCCTGGTAGCTAGCTGTTGCTTCACACTGCCCGTGCATGCTAATCAAGGTTACAATACACCCTAGCCTAGCAACATCTATCCCTGGTACTCGTCCGGGCCAATCATGACTGTTTTGTTAGCTTAATCCCTATGATCGTTTCCGCGGAATGAAAGATGGTGAGCAGCTCACGTTCAGGCCTGACTCGCTTGTCAAACTCCTCTGCGGTGATCTTGCCGGAATCCAGCGCGGACTGCTTCAAGCTGCAAGCGTCAGCTTGATGTTCACTTGGCCATACCTGTGAGACTATGAACTCACGTCAAACCCTTCTTGTGCGCATTCTTGGCGATGGCAGCCACATCATCATAACCCAATACACTGTTCAAGCAAGTCGCCCTGATCCGTCAGTTAATCTTCCCTCGTCGCGTTGGCAGACCACTCACAACATGAGCGATTCATTCATGATCTTGTCAATCCGGCTCTCGTTCGCCTTGATGCCCACCACACAGTTCTTGGTAAAGCTCCTGCTTCCGTCCGCGAGGAGTCGGATGGACTGGAGGAGGTTCTTGATCATGACGGGCTTGAAGACGTTGAGCTCGAATTGACCGTATGAGCCAGCGATGGAGATGGTGGTGTTGTTGCCCATAACCTGCGCAGCGACCATCGTGAGGGCCTCGCATTGCGTCGGGTTGACCCTGCAGCTTTAGTGCACTCCTCAGTGGCGTGTGGCGAAGGGGCTCACTTTCCAGGCATGATACTCGATCCCGGCTCGTTTTCTGGCAATTCGAGCTCTCCGAGACCGCATCGTGGTCCGGATCCGAGGTATCGGATATCGTTGGCGATCTTCATGTAGGATACAGCGACGGTGTTGAGTGCTCCGGAGGCCTCGACGAGGGCATCGTGGGCCGCCAATGCCTCGAACTGCTGGATCAGTTTCAGTGCCAATGCGGCTCGGTAAGCTGCACTGACCTTGTTTGGGGCAGTGATGAACTCGTAGCCGGTGATCTTGGAGATCTCCGCAGCGACCTTCTTGTCAAAGCCCTTGTACGTGTTCAGACCCTGCACGTCAGCTCAGTGCGAAGAAAGTTCCGTACGGAACAACACACAGTGCCAACAGCGGTTCCTCCCTGCGCCAACATGCTCAGGTTCTTGATGGTCCCCTTGACCCGCTCAATCCCCCGCTCGACCTGGCAGACATACCCCGAGAACTCCTGTCCAAGAGTAAGGGGAGTCGCGTCCTGCAGATGTGTCCGGCCAATCTTGATGATGTGCTCGAACGACTTTTGCTTCTCCAGGAGTGCGGCGTGGAGCTCTTCCATAGCTGGGATGAGCTGCGAGTTGATCTCGACCACAGCGGCGACATGCATGGCGGTAGGGAAGCTGGACAATCAGCTTCATGTTCCCAGTTCTGGGGAGAGGCAGCTCACGTATCGTTGGAGCTCTGGCTCATGTTGACATGGTCGTTGGGGTGGACCGGCGTCTTGCTCCCCAGCTCTCCGCCCATAATCTCGATAGCCCGGTTCGAGATGACCTCGTTGACATTCATGTTGGTCTGCGTGCCCGAACCGGTCTGGAAGACGACGAGCGGGAATTCATCGATGAGCTTGCCGGAGATGACCTCGTCCGAGGCCTGCGAGATGGCATTGGCAAGCTCAGGCTTGAGACCGTAGCCCTGGTTGACGTGTGCTGCGGCCTTCTTGAGGACACCGAAGGCTTTGACGAGAGGTGGGGGCATGCGCTCGGTCGGTCCACCTGGCGGGTCAGCTAACTCCTGAGGCGGGTGGAGCGCAACGGACCAATGTCAAAGTTGATCAGACTCCGCTGGGTCTGAGCACCCCAGTATCGATGAGCAGGCACCTCGAGCCAGCCGAAGGTGTCCTTCTCCTTCCTGATCTTTTCGGCCATGGTTGCGGATGCGGAGAATGTGCGGACGGCAGAGGTAGTAGCGGATGGGATGCGGTGGGCAGAGAGCTGCCAAGTGAGCTAGAAGTCCCTGTTCAGACTGTGCTGGGCATGCTAGCTCACGCTTGTGGCCGATCTGAGAGCTGTACGAGCGAGCATCTATATCAGATATGTGTGAGAAGAGAAAGAGGGGTGAGGGTCAGCTGCCTTATTGTATGAATGTCTCGGTTGTGAGCAGCAACCGAACTCTCCATACCTCGTCGGACAAATTCGGATTTTTCGGCCGGCCGCTGAATTTGATCACGTGCCGAATTGAAACTCTCGTAATCCCGCGGCGAAATCGGCATGGACGCGACGACGCGCCTGAATTGAGCACGGTTCTGTTCCTTCGTTCCCTTTACTTGTGCTGTTGTACGTCTTCCTAGCGATTAGCATCCTCTGACTCATCTCTTGCTGCCATCTTGGATACGATTAGATCTGAAATCTGGGCGTGTTATGACTTCTTCGGCTCGTATGGAGTCGCCCTCACCCCCACGGTCAGCTCATCTCTCTTCGTCATACTGTAGGGAAAGCGAGCTGACAAATACAGACTCAAGGCTACTCGTACATACGGTCGGCAACGCCCTCGCGCTTCCTCTCCTGACTTCGGTAGCTCATCATCATCATGGCAGACCCTGTCCTCCTCGCCCATGCCCAGCTCCTTCCTCGTCACGCCACCCTTATCGCCAGTCCGGTCCTCGAAACGGTCGCGCGTCGAGGTCTTGGTCAACGATGACTCTGGGCACGCCGGAAAGTTCCTCGACGATGAGGAAGAGACTGTCGAAAGAAAGGTGGCGGTGAAGAAGGAGAATGTCCCGCCTGGTGGAGCAAAGGCAGGTCTGGGGGGAAAGCAGAGCAGCCTGAAGGGATTCTTTGCGCCGCTACCTCGACCCAAAGCCAAGCTGCCTCTCCGACCAGCCACTACTGTATCCTCGCCAACATCCGCGCCAGGCCCATCCTCCCCCTCATCATCATCAAACCAGCCGCAGCCCACATCATTGTCTCGCCAAACCCTCGCACCATCAACAGGTCTCCAGCAAAGCCACCTCACCCACCTCCCGCTGCTCCAGACATGCAAGACGTGCAATATGACGTACGTGCGCGGAGACGAGGACGATGCTGTCCATGCTCGCCATCACGGACGCGTTATGCGAGGTATACCCTGGGACGGTCTAGGCAGGGGGAAGAGCTCGGCGAAGGGGAAGGACAAGGCGGATAAGGGATGGAGGGAGGTGCAAGAGGTCTCTTTCGGGAGTGGCGTGCATGTAGGGAAGGGGAGGGTAGTCGTATGTAATGGGTCCTGGGGAGGCGTAAAGGTGAGCTTGAAATTGCCAAGGCGTTGTGTGCGAGCCAAGCTTATGATGTAGCTCGAAGATATCCTCCAGACCGTCGACCTGTCCCTCTCGTCCCCTCCACTCCCTCCCTCCATTCTCGACCGGTGCCGCATCTTCCTCTTCTTGACATCCTCTCCACCTCCTCCTCGACCGACAGCATCAGGCAGACTCCGCCCAGATATGCTGGCCAAATCCAAATCTGGTCGATCAGCGAGCGGCGGGAACACCGAGCGCATTGTCAGCGTTGTCGTCGCGCAGGGCATCAAGTGGGCTATGCGAGTCTTGAAGCCGGAGGAGGCGGACGAGGATGTCAAGGTGGTAGACAGTGGTGGAGGCGTGATGTGCGAGTGAGTCATGTCGCTCATCTCCTCTCATGCCTAACTGACCTCAGCCCTACACCGCTCGATACCCCACTCGGCATACACCGCCTCTATACTATCCCAAGCTATCGCTCCCTCGGTATCGCTCAGTCCCTCCTCGACGCCTCGCGCGAGCATACGGTGTATGGCTGCTCATTCGACCCGACCCGGGGTGAGGTGGCGTTCAGTCAGCCGACGGAGAGTGGACGGGCGGTCATGGAGAAGTGGGGAGGAGGGGCGGTCAGGGTGTTTGTGGACGATGAGAGTCAGATCTGAGAGGGGTTCCGAGGCGGAATGGGGCGTAAAGGGGAGTCTTGGAGAGGTTCATCGGGCTTATTTCTCTCATCTTCATGCCATGCACCATGCTTATCACGTATAGCGACCTCGATCTTCGAGCTGGATGCAGCGGGCCCCTCACTCTGATGCGGCCTCAACTAGCGCGCAACCTCGCCTCGGTGTATGAGAGGTAGAGCGAGCATTTCGTATGGACCCTTTCAGTCCCACTCTGATTGTACTCATTCTAGGGACGCTGGCCCAGCGGTCGCGCGAGGCTCTTACCCATCTACTGACATGCACTTGCGCGCTGACAAGCTTACGTATCTGCTCTTGGTTGCATTCGGTCTATCAAACCAAAGTGACCTGGGTATCTGGCCTTTATGCCGACCCGCCAACAGCCGGCGGATAGCTGAATTGGCGCCCCCACTCCTACACAAGCGGGACACGGAGCGATGAACCTGGAGGCTGCGTGGCTGAATGATCCCTTCGCGATCGATTATGACACGTGAAGGATCCTAATCCTTTGTGTCACCACGTGCTGAAGCGGTGTAATTGTCTAAAGACAATGGGGAATATCGAGCGAGCCCCTGACCCCTGGAAACACTAGCGCTCATAAAGGACTTCCAAATGTGTTGCACCGCAATTGCGGGGTATAAGTAGGCCGCTCAGACTCAGTTCTATTTCGACATCACCTCTCATCCTACTACTTACTACCCACAAGAAACCAACATCCGATCAAATCAATGAGCATGACCAAGGCCAGCGACATCAGGCAAGCTGGGCGGCTGTTGGCATCGCTCAAGCGGGAGACCGAATTCCTGTCTGCGCTTATCGACTGTGTCGACTTTGATTCCGTGGACGCCGACCAGACAAAGATCGAAATTCTTCCGCGAGGGCGAGACTCGGATGTGAATGGCTTTCGCGCCTATCTCATCGAGTGTGCGTCCAACAAGCCCGGTCAGCCAAGTCTGCTCGACGTCGCCACAACGCTCGCTCACCCCGCGAATGCCACTGACGGCACATCTTTCTGGCTGAACGGCCTGCGGTCTGTTGCTGCCAGCAAAGCTCATGACATCGCGACGCAATCAGGCTCTGACAAGGTCCCGAGATGAGACCTTTAGTGCTCGCTTTCACCCAGGCTTACACGGACGTACTTTCGTCTGAGTACGAGCACCGGTGAGAAGAGAGCTCCACCTCGCCTCCCTCATGAGATACTGATCGATACAGGCTCTCTGTCGAGCGAGAAAAGGGCGGCCTGTCCCCTTGGAAACACACCTTGTTGGCCCTCTCCCTCATGCGCCAGTCCCGGTCGCCAGCTCACTGGCAGGGCGCCTCCCGCATCTTCAAAGCCTCTCGACAGAATGACTTCTCAGACCAAGAGATGTCGGAGACTCCCACTGACCCGTCCGCCGCGGCTGCCTTCTAGCTTCACTTGTACACTGCTTCATACTGGCTACGTACACATGCACTTGATATTGCGTCCACGAGCTGAATATATAAGGGACGTGGCCTGCATGGAAGAAGGGGAGATTTCGCTCAACTTCTCTCACACTACTTGTATCAAGTGTAAAGAGTGCTTGGCTAACCTACTCACCTGCCACCTGCCTACCTTGTGTTAGAGGGTATCGTCGCAGCCACGGAATCGAGAGGACGCTAGTAGGTGCGTCGTTCAACTGCTTAACTCATCGCGTATACCTGACATCGTACAAGTAGGAGATGTAAATCAGTGCAAAGTTCTGCAAACTCATCGCCTCTCTTACTGGTCCCCAGCCAGGCGGATGTGGACCGAATATTCAGACTTTATCGAGTAGGTCCAGTACGACGCGAGCCCTTACAGATTTGGAAAACAGACTTTAACAGCGGATGCTGGGGTCAAGTTAGGCAATGGCGAGGAGCGGTCTGTATTTTGTGAATTTGGCCATATGGTTTACGTCAAAGCGTGCGGAGCGAGAAGCGGAGCGGCCTCGGGCGGCGCGGGGACCTGGCGAGACCTCCAACGACCCAGATCTGTTTGACGACTTCACACCCAGACACGGGTCGAGGTTCTCGAACGTGAATCAAGGGGAGCGGTCATCATACACGTCTGGCAAACGTGGTGATACAGGAGACTAATGAAAAGAGCACTTATACTGTGTAAAGGATGTTCCATTGTATACACTCCCCCTTACTCTGTTGAACGGATGATCCTGCGACTGATGGTCGCGCCCGCTGTTAGGGGCGTGAGGTGCCCATATCGTATGGCGGAGACGTTGACTCTCGCTCAATTACAGTCACTCATCTGCAAGCAGAGATGATGCACTTCTTCAAATTTGCCACCCTGGTAGCCCTCCTCCTCAGAACGACAAGCGCTCAAACCAGCTCAGTCACCAATCGGATCGAGATCGTCAAGGATCTTCAGTTCCAGCTCATCGGTGATGCCGCACAAGGGGCGAAAGCTCAGAAAGTGGCTAGCGATGGACGAATCACCGGTCCAGCCACTATCGTACTCGACGGCCTCGCCGGCGGATCTGCGTACAAGGTGAAGATATGGGACAAAAGCAGGGATCCGCATGTATATGTTCACGAGGTGAGATCTGCGTTGACTCGCTGCGACGCATGCAAGTAGCAATGAAGTGGCTGATGAGTCCCAGTGCAACTTCATCGCTCCCTTTACCGGCTTCCAGACCACCGACTGGTACACGAATATCAGATCCCACAGAAGTTCGGATGCGGGTGGGCCGCTAGTCATGGACTGCGGTCAGGATCAGCTTGATCCGGAAAGCGGACCTTACCTCACTCTGTACCCAGACGGAGTGAAGTTACGGTTGGACAAACGGCCAGGTCTTGAACTCTTCGATGGTGCCACTATCGGCTCCTTCGACAAAACGACCGAGCATATATCAGGGGCGACGTTCAAGGGTGTCGCATACATGAAGTGGCCATGGGATAATATCGGGTTTACGGTTATTACCCAGAGGTTCAGTTACAGTGTGAGTAGCGTGCAGGAGCTGAGTCTGATGGCCGATATCGTCGAGTACCAGCTGAATGTGTGCAGTGCGTGGTCGGCACTCGTGATGGACATGACCAAACCAAGGATGTTGTATTCTGCATTCGAGAGGACCCGGTACCTGCTGATCAGGACAAAGACTCGATTGGAGCGACGTGGCCGATCCAGGATAATGTAGGCGTCCGATGTAAGAGGGCCTAGGCCTTTGCTCTTCTAGCTGTAAGATTTGATACCGAGTACAATGTAACAGCGAGCTGGTCAAGCTTATGGTGGCGCATTGCAGACGTGGCACTGCGGGAGCTGTGGAGGAGCTCGTCAAGGTCTCATGGGCCGCCTCATAGGTGAGAAAAGTTCTGATCCCCGACGGCGATGCAGTGTCACTCATCGCTGTGTCACCGCTCGTCCTCTCTCAAGCTTCCTGACCGTTGCGCAGTCGGAGAAGGGAAGGCGATGGAAAGTCGTCGATACACCCACGCGTATAATGTCCGCACATGCCAACGGCCAGCCGCCACACTTGGCAAATCTGAAACAGGTCCAAAATCGGTCAGCCAAATTCTGAAACACACCCCGCATCACGCTGCCGTAACGCCGCGCCTTGGGGCTCAACGACGTCAGAGATGTTTCTCGATCGATCTGTAAGGCGTGTCCGATGCTGACCTGTATCACACACCCTCACAGCTAGGGCGGATCGATGAGTCAACCACCGTGCCGCCCTGTATCAACGCGGAACCCGCCTGAGCCACACTTGTACCTGATGACGTCTCGCAGGCTCTGGGCTGTCAGGGCCCTGATCGGATTCCAGCGATCTCGAGGGGTATATAGTCTCGGCTGATCGCCCTTTCCCTCGCATAACAACACTCATAACCACCACCACACTCAACACTCCACTACCTACCACCACCCCTACCAAACACACAACCCACAACAATGTCTGCCCAGACCGAGCCCGGACACACTTCTGCCGACCACATGAAGGCTGACGGTACCCCCGACATGCGCTTCAAGGAGGTCAGTCCTGTTCCTCTAGTTCACCTCCCGTTTCTTCTCCTGCCTCATCCTCCATTTGTATATCGCTCTACGAGATCACCAGCTGATAATGCAGAACGGAGGTGGTGAGCATGGCAACCAGGGCGGTCGTCTTTCCGGCGGTTTCGAGGAGGACGGAGACGGAACTTCCAGGCTCGTCACCGAGGGTTCAGGCGAGGACGCGACGTACAAGCCCTCCGCACACGGTGGGAAGAAGGAGGATGGAACCGACGACAAGCGTGAGTGCTATCACGACCTGACAACCAAGGTGAACTTGGTGCTGACTGTCAGGCATGAGCTCGGAGCACGGCTTTGGCGGTGACAAGGAGGCAGCGTCCGAGGCTGGCAAGAAGGGTGGATCGGCCAGCTACGAGAACGGCGGTCTTACCCAGTAGGGCGGGTAGCTAGCTAGCCAAGGGGGATAGTAGTCGAAAGAAGTCAATATGAAAGAAGTTCACCAACCTCTGGCTTGTTCTGCCTAGCGCCCCTACCTTCTGGCGGGCCAGATTTATCCGCCTGCCCGCCTACCGACCTCTCAGACCAGTTGTACTGTTAATCATAAAAGTACATGCAAACCAGCAATCTATATACCGTCTGACCCATCCCTACTCCGCTTCCGCCCCAACCGACGGCTTGATCTCCTGACCCAACTTGCTCTTCCTAGGCTTCGGCTTCGGCTTGACCGGCTTGACCCCACCCGCTCCCGCTGCCGCACTCCCTGCCGCTGACCCCGCCGCAGCCCTCTTCTTGCCCTTCGCCGCCGCGCCTGTCGCCGCCCCTGCCGACGCGCCGGCCGGACTCGCAGCTACCCCACTCACACTCCCCTCCTCTCCATCCCTATCGCCCATCTCGGAGTCGTCATCCCCCTGTGTCTGCGTCTGGGTCGGCGTCAACTGAAGTACCGACTCGCTCGATATCGCCTGGTCGAGCTTTGGGCGTACTGCCCCGGCACCAGCCGGGAGAGCAGAGTCCGAGAAGAGGGGTGCGGACGATGCGGCTGCAGACGCGGAGGCGGCAGAAGCGGCGTTTCCGGCCTTCTTGGCGGCGCGTTGGATCTCTTTGGCATCGCGGTCGGCTTGGATGAGGCGGCCGAGCTCGGATGGCGGGCCTGAGTGGATCAGCTAAAGTTCCGCAGGTATGCAACGCCTAGCTGATCGTGCGCTCGCAAGTCAAGGGTAACATTTGTGGAATATAGAACTTACCTCGATTCCAAGTCTTGTAATGTAATGTCCCGCCCCCTATGCCCCGCAGAGTCGACGCACCCCGCTTCCACGTCCTGACTTTCTCTTTACGCGGGAATGGGCCGGTATCACCGCCGTTTGGCGGGGCGAAGAACTGCGTGATCTGCACTCATCAGTATTCGGATCCCTTCTGGATTTGTCCGTCGCGACAGGTGATGCGCCCAGCGGAGAGAAGGGGTTGGATAGAGCCGAGTCAGAGAGGGGAAGGAGAGGGCAACGAGATGAAGACCATGAGCAGGTACTGGATGCAGGATGGAACTTACCCTTGGGAAAGTGCCGAGCGCGAACTTGGGCCCGACGATGGGGTTGAGAAACACCGGGAAGCCCAGCTTGGCAGCGTCGGCTCGCTCGAACGGGGGTGAGTCGGCTCGAGGTAAGTCTAGCATATCAGCGCAAGCTTTTATGACCGTATGACCGGCAGAATCGACGAAGCTATGTGGCAGTCCAGAAGAAGAGAGACATGGAGGGGACATACCGAGTGGTTCGGGCGTACCGCCCACACTGGCCATACCCGCTAAGGACGGCGAGCCCTCCTGCGACCCCGGCTCGAGCTGGGATTCGGCCTTGAGTCCCGCCAGACCCCTATATGATCAGCTTGGAGCACGAACGTCAATATCATGTACCCGAGAGCTGAGACCTACTTCTTCTGCCCCTTGCGCCAGTTCTTCCCCGGCCCTGGCCCATCCGCCACTGCCCGCCTCTTCGAATGCTTCTTGACCGGCGCAGTCATCGGCGCCTCTTCTACCAGCTTGCCCCTCTCCACATGGTCCTCCGCCGCCCCCGGCCGAGGTGAGGGGACGCTGCTCGTTTCGCTCGCGCGATCGGGCGGGCCCGAGTGAGAGGCGGATACAGAGGAAGGGACGAGCCAGTCGTATGTCTTTCGCTGGCCTGGGATTTTGAGGGATACGCCTCCCGTTCCTGTACTTGGGCCAGGCATCGATGCACCAGCTCCAGCACCAGCTCCTGCCGACGAAGCAGCAGCAGAAGCAGAAGCAGATGACGGCTTCTTCCCCCCTCCTCCCGCTCCCACGCCATGAGCTACCTTGGCCCGCTTCGCCGGCTTCTTGGCTTTACTTCCCCCGCTCCGGTAGCTCGCATCCCGCTCGAGGTACTCTTCTTCGACATAAGGGATAGAGGCGATATCCATGTCGAGGTCGGGCTCGTCCTCTGAAGAAGAGTAGTCGGCTTTTTCAGCGAGGGACTGGCGTGAGAGTTTGAGGGTGATAGGGGGCGGAGGGGAGAGAGAGGAGCGTTGGCTTGTAGCTGTAGGTGCGTGAGGACGGGAGGGGCCCGCGGAGGACGTCTCGGTCGGAGGCTGGAGGACGGAGGGGCGGAGCTGTTGGATTAGCTTATGCTCCATTTGATGGGGATAAGTTCGACGGAGAGACCAGTGAAATGGGAAGGAGGACATCGTGTCGCGTCTTCCTGAGCACAGGCAGTAAGGGGATAGCTTACGGTGATGCGTAACGGATGACCCGTACTCGCCGTAGTACTCCCGCTCGGACCCCTCGCATGCGCCGACCGGGGCGAAGCTGACGCTCTCGACGCCGAAGCTGAAGCTGAAGCAGTGACGGGGCTCGAAGGCGTCGCTCGCCCCTTTGCGCGACTGGAGGACGCGGCGGCGGCGGTGGCGGCGTTACCACGCCGGGGTGTGGTCGTTGTGGATGTGGGCGGGCGCTCAGAGTCGGATTCTTCAGAGTCGGTAAAGTCGTTGAGTTGGAAGACCATTGTGAGTGGGAGGGTAGCGGAGGGGGATTAAAAAGGATCAAGAGGAGTAGGAACAGCTGTTATGCTTGGGCTGGAGGAGGCGGGACAAGGAAGAAGGGGCGAGGGTGAAAAGGCGAGAGGTAGGCGGGGCACGGGGAAAGCGGAAAGGGTGATTAAGAGGCTGGGCAAAATGGGGTCAGGATGATGCAGCTCAGCAAGTCGGAAAGTGGCGCCTTTGTCCGCCTGGGTCTTCCAGGAACAAGTTCTAGCATAGCATGCGCGCAGCGGTGACGTTTGAGACCTCTGATGCCTGACACGAGCTGCCTGATGCGCATGTATGCATCCTCACTAATCACAGATCTAGATGTATATACAAGATGCCAACAACTTCCTTAGCCTTCAGTACAGATACTCAGCTGCCTAGCTCAGCCGCTAATTCCTACCGGTAGAAACCCTGGTTACTCCCTCCCTGCTGCCCATACTGGCCCCCACCACCATACTGCCCTCCACTCTGCTGTCCCTGGTAACCCTGCTGACCACCATACCCACCTCCCTGCCCATGATTCTGCTTTCCTCCACCCATCACGCTGTTCAACATCCCGCCCAGCCCCCCTCCGCCTTGCTGGTGTTGTCCCCCATGCTGGTTCCCACCTCCCATGACGCTGCTCAGCATCCCTCCAAGCCCACCCCCACCTCCTCCGCCGTGAGACTGCCCGTACCCGCCCTGGTTGTGCTGCTTCCCGCCGCCCATGACGGAGTTGAGCATCCCGCCTAGACCCCCGCCGCCATCGCCGCCACTGGACATGAATGGCGGTGCGCCCGAGGGCTGGCCATACGATGAGTGACCGGAGTTACCGTAGTTGTTGTTGAGGTTGTTGCCGTATCCGCCAGAATTACCGTGCTGCTTGTTGCCCTGTACTGTCAGCGAATGATCAGGGGGCAAGAGGCGCAGGTGAAATGAAGACTCACGCCGAGGAAGCTGCTGGCGAGCTTACCGACCATAGCAGCCGCGCCACCGCCACCACCACCAGAGTGTCCCCCATACCCCTATACAGTCAGCATCCGCCCCCTTCTCACCCAGATCAGCCCGAGGGAGAGAAAAGAGACTCACCCCTCCACCGCCATACCCCCCACTGTTATGCTTCCCCCCACCCATAGAACTCTGCAACATGCTCATAGCCACATTCGTGCCCATCCCCCGCTCACCACTTCCGGCCCGTACGCCCGGTCCCGCCTGGCCATCCACGCTAGGCGAGTGCGGGTACTGCTGCTGCCCGCCGGCGCCGCTAGCGGGAGAGGCGAGGCTCGCAGAGTTCATATAGTCCACTGCAGACCCGTTGTGGCTTCCACCGTCATGACCCACGGCGGACTGGATAGCCTGGACTTGTTCAGGTGCGGCCTGCCCAACGGGGAGGGACGGGTGCGTCCACGATGTGGTGGGCGGGTTGGTGGATGGGTTGACGTAGAAGAAGGTTTGGTACGTTTGGTCGAATTCCCGGATCCTACTGGGTTAGTCTCATTCAAGCGATGATACATAGCGTCCAGCAGACTACAGGGTCTGAAGAAGCGGGAGACGGATGTTGAGTGGGGAAAAGCATACCAAGGAGGCGGGAGCTCATCCGCTCCGCCCTGTGCACCGCCCGGACCAGAAGGCATCTGGTGCGTCATACCGTTGTTATTGTAGTTGGAGTCCATTGTTGTGCTCGGAGAACTATGTTAGATGGTGAGTAGATGAGGATGAGATGCGGAAGAGCGATGTTGAGGTGGCTATATACGGTCGTCAACCTGATCGAGCAGGGTTGGCTTGGCGACCATAGCGATGACGGGGGAAATTAAGTCGCGCAGATCCTTTGAGGAATGTGGTTGCAGCTGCTCAAAGAGGCGTTTTCGGGCACAGCTTGCTCGCTGAGGGTGACCGGTGATGCATTGCTGTCCATCTTTCCTGGAAAGCTCTACGAGTCCGAGGCTATGAGGAGTATTAGCCGCCCCATCGCTCATTCGAACCGATGCTTGGTCGACTACAGGACTGACTTTCAACGCATCTTTTAGCGCTCGCAAGACGCTGACGTCATCAACAACCAACGCGTCAAAAGTTGGGTGGCAAAAGCGCTCGGACATTTCACCAACCCACTCACTCATCCACCTCACTTGACTTCCTAACCTATCGGCTACTTCAGGCTCCATGGGCCTTCTCCCCTCCTTAGGCACCTCCTACGGCCCCCTCCAGCCCCTACACGACCATATCATCCGCACCGCCCAGCCAGTCACGCTCCAAACGGCCCATCATCTCCTTGTTTACCCACTCACCCCGCTCTTCCTCCAGGCGTGGTTATTGCAGTATGAGCATACACGCAAGTATCGAATACCGCTCGGGATCGCTTCTGTCTTCTTCACCTGTATGGCGTGGAGGGGATATCGCTTCTACGGTACGTCGATCCAGCGTCAGGCGTCCAGCTCGTATGAATTCGAAGAAGTTGAACTGATTTTCAGAGCCATTCCTCAACGCAGGCAACAACCTCCTCGGAGTGATGTTCCTCCACTTTATTGGCCGAGCGGTCGAATTCGCTCTTCTCGAAGATCCAGTCATTGACCCTTTCATGGCCAAAGGGCGGTCCAGGCTCATGTGCGCATATGATCTATGCTGCAATTCGCGCTGGATCGGATTACGGCCCGTCAATGCCGTCGAATCCTCATCTTCTTCTATCAAATCTCCGGAAAGACATACATCGCCCACCGCACCCGTATCTGACGACAAGTGGCTCCCGCGCCCTTCCAAGATCCGGATCCGGCGTCAAGCTGTCCTCAGGCATGCTCGGTTGGCATATACCTACCTCCTCGCACTCGATACCCTCCTCAACCTCCTCCGGTACTTTGGACGCGAGAATGTCGGCCTCTCGCACGTCCCTCCAGGCGGCGTCGACAAGTTCTTCTCGGACCCCTACATCCTCCTCCCGCGCTCCCGGTACGCCATGCGTGCGCCGGACTTACTGGTCGACCTGTGCGTCAAGGCGTTCCTCGGCGGTGGGGTCCTGGCGATGCTCAGTGGGGGCTATCACCTCGCCGCGGCGGTGATGGTCGGCTGCGGGGTTTACGAGGTGGAAGCGTGGGAGGTGGATCTATTCAATGGGCCTATGGCGGCGGGGAGTGTTCTGGAGTTTTGGGGGAAAGGATGGCATCAGGTCTTTCGGGTAGGGTACAAGTGTCCCATATACCCGTCCCGGTCAGCTGACGAGGTAGCACCACTTCAACCTCCTCAGCACACTTATCGTACACCATCTGCGCCTCCCCCGCCTCTTCCTCCTCCCCCTAGCTTTCGCCCTCTCCGGCGCCCTGCACGCCCTCGGTCAACTATCCATGTCCCCCTCCCCGTCCCCTCTCGACCTCTTCCTTTTCTTCTTCATACAGTCCCTCGGCTGCCTCGCCGAGATCATGTGGAAACGAGTCACGGGCAAGAGAGTCGGAGGGTGGACAGGATGGATGTGGAAGAATCTGTTCATGGTCGTCACGGCGGGCGTGCCGTTACGGACGGAGTTGCAGAGTGGGCTGGGGGGGACGTGGTTTACCCCGCCCTTGGGAGGGGGGGTATTGGCGGGGGCGATGATTAGGTGGGTTGTGGATAGACCGTAGATCACTAGATGCATAGGACGACTCAGCAGGATCCACTTGACTGCTCTGTGGCCTGCCATAGAGTGCCTGCCTACAAGCAGGGTAGTAACCGCCTCATCGTCATCGCTGCAGGGTCTGCGTAAATCATCCCCCCATTTATCTTCACGCGCAGCTGCCGCGCCGTATCGACAGCGTTCAAATTCCAGGCAAACGAAGCTCCTTTTCGCTCTGCGTAGCCTCCTGTAGACAGCTGTGCCCGCTGCTCGCTCGCTCTCCGCTATATAGCTCGACAGAGTAGTCATATAGATAATCAGAAGCCGCAGCCTCTTTGCCTTTTCTAGCCAACTTGACAGCTTCGGACGCTTCGAAAAACACGGCGTGTATCCGCGAGACCGCTACCGCATCCCTCACTTGACATCTGTCTTCGACGCCAGCACCCTCCGTTAGCTATCGTCCAAGCTCTCAGAGCTCCATCCCCCCTTCTTACCAATCCACTAGCTTCGCAGGCCCCTCGCTTCCCTCCCTTACCTAAATCCGACCACTAGCCAAAATGTCAATGGACGGCGACCTCATCGCCATCGTCAACCGCCTACAGGACACATTCAACCATATCGGCGGTGACGCGCTCGACCTCCCTCAGATCGTCGTCGTCGGTTCTCAGTCGTCAGGCAAGTCGTCCGTGCTCGAGACCATTGTCGGCCGGGATTTCCTCCCGCGGGGACAAGGGATCGTTACTCGTCGTCCGCTCGTCTTGCAGCTTATCCACACCCCTGCTTCTGGCGCTGGTGCCGGCCACGGTCACGGTAATGGCACTTCCCCATCCCAAGCTGAGGGCTACCATGTCGATGGTTCCGGCCAAGGTCTCTCGGCATCCGCTACCTCCGCGACGCTGAGAAAGTCCCCTCGAATGGGAATGTCACCGGACAAGGCGGACGGCTACCTCCCTAATTTCGACGCCAAGGACCCCGCCGCTGGCGCTGGGATCATGCGCCCAGGCGGGAGTCGTATGGGCGGCGGTATGGGCAGTGGAGGTGCAGAGTATGCAGAGTTTTTGCATCTGAATAGGAGGTTTACCGACTTTGAGGAGATAAGGAAGGAGATTGAGGCGGAGACGTATCGTGTGGCGGGACAGAACAAGGTGTGTAGTTTCTGGGTTGGAGTGTGGAGGAGGACGGGGTAGAGCTGACGGATCAGGGCGTATCGAAATTACCGATCAACCTGAAGATCTACGGTCCGGGGGTGCTCAATTTGACATTGGTGGATCTGCCGGGATTGACCAAGGTGCCTGTAGGGGACCAGCCGACCGATATTGAGCGGCAGATTAAGAGTCTCGTTTTGGATTATATCTCAAAGCCCAACTCGTATGTCTCTTTCGTTGTGCGATCCCTCTTTTTACACTAATTCCATACTCTGGCCTGTTCGGCCTACCTTGTAGCTGCTCCTGCCCTCAGAGCCCAAGCTGATCCCCAGCGTCATCCTTGCCGTCTCCCCCGCCAACGTCGACCTCGCCAATTCCGACTCACTCAAGCTCGCCCGGTCCGTCGACCCGCGCGGGTTGCGGACATTGGGCGTCCTGACAAAACTCGACCTCATGGACGCGGGCACGAACGCGCTCGATATCCTCACTGGCCGGACGTACCCCCTCAAGCTCGGCTTTGTCGGCGTCGTCAATCGCAGTCAGCAGGATATCATGTCGGATGTCCCGATGGAGGATGCGCGCCGGAAAGAGGAGGAGTTCTTTAAGGGCCACCCGGTCTACAGGAATCTGGCGCATCGGTGTGGGACCAAATTTTTGGCCAAGACGTTGAATGGGGTGAGTACTACCTGGAGGAGGGAAGGGATAGAGCTGACGAATAGGTGCTTATGGCTCACATCCGGGAAAAATTGCCGGATATGAAGGCGAGGCTGAATACGTTGATGGGCCAGACGCAGCAGGAGTTGAATGCGTTCGGGGACGCCACATTCCTTGGCGAACAACACCGGGTGAGTTGATGTTCTACCCCACTGTGTTTCGCTCAGCTGACATACCAGGGCTCCCTCATTCTCAAACTCATGACTGAATTCTCCAAAGACTTTGTCTCATCAATAGACGGCACCTCCCTCGAGATATCCACCAAAGAGCTATCTGGCGGCGCGCGCATCTACTACATTTTCAACGACGTCTTTGGGCACGCCCTCACGTGTATCGACCCGGCCCACAACTTGTCGCTAGGCGATATCCGGACGGCCATTCGGAACTCGACGGGACCGCGCCCGAGCCTGTTTGTCCCCGAGGTGGCGTTTGATTTGCTGGTCAAGCCTCAAATCAAGTTGTTGGAGGGGCCGAGTTTGAGGTGTGTCGAGTTGGTTTATGAGGAGTTGATGAAGATCTGTCATAATTGTACTAGCCCGGTATGTCGCTTATCTCTATTATTTGGAGGGCTGGCGGAAATAGGATAGGGAAGAAGTAGCTGACGTGGTAGGAATTGCAGCGATTCCCTAGGCTATTGACGCAGCTAGTAGAGGTTGTCTCGGAGCTGTTGAGAGAGCGCCTCGGCCCGACGTCCGAGTACGTTTCGAGCTTGATTGGGATCCAGGCGGCGTATATCAATACCAACCACCCGGACTTCCAAGCTGGTTCGGCGGCGATCGCTAGGGCTGGACCTGCGCCTCAGGTCGCGCAAAAGGTGAGCTTCTTCTTGCTCTGGGTCAAGACTAATGCTATTCTGCCGCTCCTCGGACGGGGGCTGATCAGCAGGAACCGTCCCGGGCTTCATCGCAAGACGACGAGGACGAGGAATCCGGCTCCGAGCCCGAAACCCGACCGACCAATTCCAATCTCAATGGTCCCCCTCAAGCCGCACACCACCCGCGCGCGGCATCCACGTCGATCCCCGACGCTCGTCGACCCAACAAGCTCTCGGGTCCTGGATCGACCGACGAAAAGACCGGTGCGTCCGGAACCCTCGGTAAATCCAGTCGGCGACATCAACGCACAGCCTCCGGATCTACCTCGACACCTAGCCACCTCCTTGCGCCGCAACCGCACACGGCCGCTTCGCTCGTCGGAGGCGGATCGCCACATACTGCCAAGGAGACGTTCTTGAATTATTTCTTTGGGGGCCCGGGTGGGGGTGGGCAGGGCGGAGAAGGGGGGATGCAGCAGATGCGGCAAGGTCAGGGCCAGGGGCAGGGGCATGATGGCCGGCAGAGCCAAGGCCAGAGCCAGGGGCAGATGCAGATGTCGGGGCAAGGGAGCAGGAGGGGGGAGCGAGAGTTTGGAGGGAGAGAAAGTCAGAGGGAGAGAGGAGAGAGAAACCTCCTTCCTCCTCCTTCTAGGGATATATTGCCTGATTTGGGCAGTAGAAGGGGGACGATGAGTCGCGCGAGTGGGCTGGAGAGCTCTGGGGCATACGATATGCGGAGTTTGGGGAAGCATATCGATTTGGTATGTCTTTCCTTTGTCTTGTCTTTACGAATGGAGAGTAAGCTGATCCCACGCAGTCACCCGCGGACCACCCATTCCAGCTCAGCCCGAGGGAAGAGATGGAGACCACCCTCATTCGTAGCCTTATCGCCAGTTATTTCAATATCACCCGCCAGACGATCCAGGATCTGGTACCCAAGGCAATCATGCACCTCCTGGTAAGCTCAAGCTTCCTGACATCAAGTCAAAGTGGGGACGATGCTGATTAGTTTAGGTCAACTTTAGCCGAGAATCGATCCAACAACGCCTCGTCACGTCCCTGTACAAGCCGGACCTGTTCGCCGAGCTGCTGTTTGAGGACGAGGCACTGGTGGCGGAGCGGACGAGGGTCAAGAGTTTGTTGGATGCGTACAAGGAGGCGTTCAAGATCTTGAGTGAGGTCAGCTTGAAGGGGACGTAGATGGACAGGGGATGGTGGGGTGGGAAGGAGGCGGTGGCGAGGCGAGGCGATGGCGGGAGAAGTGCATTGTATACACGATAGCGATGTAGCTTCGGTCGGATCTGGCACATTGAGTGATTGAGTGAAAGGCTGTCAGCGTGCGCGGTCTGGCCTTGCTCGTGTCAGCAGCAGCTGTGCCTGTGCTAACTATGATGTGCTGCGCAGGGTGGCAAAAGGCAGGTGGTGATTATTTTGGTTCCGCCCCTGTGACCGCTACCGCTTAACTGACCCTGAGCTGTGCCCCCTTTCCCCTTCCCTTCCCTTGCTCTATCTACTCTATCCGCGCACCTTCCTCTATCCACGCGTAGATACGCTCAGTACCTCTATCCATCCAACAACTACAGCCAAGGGGAATAGCTCCTTCCACTCAGCCAGATCACCCTTTCAACCTCGAAAGCCCCGTTTCTAATCAGCCTGAAACGCGTTCCTTTCGACCCTCGACCCGCCGCGCTCGTCTTCATCCCTCATCCCTCTCGTCTGAGACATTCATCTCGGACTAGAAAGTCTCACGTCGGACCGTCATCAACATCTTGACGACAAGGACCATCATCTCGTCGATATCGCAATCGCGCACTCGGAACCCAAATCTTGCTTTCTCCGTACCCGTTTCCACTTTCCAACAAGGTTGAACCAAAGGGAATCGCACAAGCAGCTGGCTGCACCGTACCTTTACTACTTTCTTTCCTATCCCACTTCTTTCATCTAATTCAATATGGCGAGAGATCGTTTGGCCGGTGTGGTGAGTCTCTTTCGTGCTATGAGACCAAGAGTGGACGCGCTGACCTTTTAGACCCGCAACTACGGGTAAGCTCGAACCGCGTCGACAGGACCGCTCTGCCTTGTACTGACCGACAGGGACGAGTCCAACCCCCAACCCTCCTACCCTCCCTCCAACGGCGTCATCGGCCAGGCCCGAGGCGGCAACCCTTACGCACAGCAAGATTACTCCGCTCCTGCCCCTCAGGCGCAGTATGGCCAGGCACCCCCTCAGGCGCAATATGGCCAGCCTGGCGGTGGGTACGCCCAGGACGCGGGGAACCCATATGGGAACCAGCAGTATGGGCAGCAGCAGGGGTATGCGCAGGGCGGGGCCGGAGGTGGTGCGGCGGGCGGACAGGACTTTTGGTCCGAGTTGAGCGGGACCAACAGTTCTTTGGGGCAGTTGCAGGAGCAGATCCAGGCTGTTCGATCGGCGCACCAGCAGTCTCTCGTGAGTTTGAAACCACGCAAGAAAGGGGGTGTGACAGCAGCTGATACATTTAGTCGTCGACTGATTCTGCTGCCGCCGCACACGCATCGCAGCTGAACGACCAAGCCCGGATTCTCCGCGAAGACTGCAAGAACCAAATCAAGCGGCTCTTCAAGCTCGCCAAGGGCGACAAGGCGCAAAAGGCCCAGGTCGAGGCCGTCAAGACTCGGTTCACGTCGCTGCTCAACGAGCACCAAGTGATTGAGAAGGAGTTTAGGAAGAAGGTCAAGGACCGCGTAGAGAGGCAGTACCGGATCGTCAACCCCCAAGCGACCGAGGAGGAGGTTCGCCAGGTCACCGAGAGTGATAATCCCCAAGTCTTCTCCCAGGCTGTAAGTTATTATTCTGCAGAAAAGGGGGGCTACGGCTGATGGAACAGCTGCTCAACTCGAACCGGTACGGTGCGGCCCGAGGGGCGTACAAGGAGGTCCAAGAGCGACACGTCGAGATCCAAAAGATTGAAAAGACCCTCACGGAGCTCGCGCAGATGTTCAACGAGATGGCGATGCTCGTGGAGCAGCAGGATGAGGCGGTTGTGAATATCGAAACTCAGGCTCAGGGCGTGGACAATGATGTCAAGGAGGGGTAGGTCATCCGCCTTGGAGTAAGTGGAAGAAGGATGCTAACGCTCTAGTCTGAAGCAGACAAACCGGGCGGTCGAGTCGGCGCGCAAGGCCAGGCGGAAGAAGTGGATCTGTTTCTGGATCTGCGGTATGTCTTTCCTTTGGAGATTGAGGGGTCTGTGCTGATCCCGCAGTCGTCATCCTTGTCATTATCGCCGCTGTCCTCGCCGGATACTTCGGGTCAGGCGCCAACAACAGGCCAGCGTGATGCGACAGGCTTTTGCTGGCGCTGGATGCTGGGTTATGCGGAGGGTTGTGAGAAGGGGTTGGACCGCAGAGGAGGGGGGGGGTAGCGCGGAGAAAAGCTGAGCGGATTCTCAAAGGGTTGTACATACACCCACCCGCCAATCGTCGTGCACCTTTAATCAACTTTTTCTTTCTCGATATGTATCTCATGCCTCGGCTGTGCTCTCATGATGCGCTTCGGTCTCATTATAGGCTCTGACCCCAGCTCTAAAGCTCAGACTTAGGGGTAAAATCTGAAACTGGCATTCGGTGCCTGGAATGAAATGTCCAACGCACTCGTCACTATCTCTTCCTCCTTTGTCCATCTCATCTCATCGAGACATCTCCTCGACATAGCCGCCGGTCAGCACATCGTCAAAGGCTACAGGACGTAGCGCTCTCATATAAAGAATTCTCCGCAGAGCTCGCGCCCCCTGCTACCCTCCCCTCGAGCAGGCAAATCTTCCGCCTCGACCGCCTACCTGGTCCGAACGCCAGACCGCCTCAACGCATCATGGACCTCCTTCACTACCTCCACATCATCACGCCCGCCCTCCTCACTCTCCCCTTCCTCACCCTCCTCCCCTCGCCTCCCGAAGACCTCCCCGAACTCCCGGGTATTCGCCCTATAACAATCCGTACAGTCACCCCACGCCGAAGCTATACTCTCCTCTGCCTCTCCCTCCTCGCGCTCACCTCGGCTCTGGATGCGGTCCTGCTCATAGCTGGTATAGCTACCTCGGCAGACTGGGGCGAGGCGCCGCGGGGCTGGCCATTGGTCGCGGAGGTGGGCTATGCGTTTGGTGGTCTGTGCGTATGGGCACTGACGGCGATTGTCATTGAATGGAGGGGGCGATGGGGCGATCAGGGGCTTTTGGTTCTGGGATCACTGGGTATGGTGTGTGAGATACCGAACCTGGTACTGCTTGTGCTGAGGAAGATACACTCTGGTGAGTTATTCGGCTCGAAATGGGGAGCTATAGCTGACATATCAGGCGATGAACATGGCCTCTTCAACAGCCTCGCCATCCCTTCATCGGCGCTGCGGCTCGTCCTCCTACCCATCCTCCTCGTCCTCGTCTCCAACCCCATCGTCCGCTTCGAGCCTGCCAGCGAGAGCACTGGGCTCCTCGCCAACTCTGACGCCGAGTCGTCCAACCGCCAAAGCCCAGCCGCATACGGTACATTCGGCGGTGGCGAGGCCGGCTCCAGCAAGCCAGACTCTACCCGCACATCTACCCCTGCTCCTGGCGCAGGTGCTGCCACTCCCGCTCCAGGCCAGCAACCCCCTGTCATCCCCAAGAAGCTCGGCGAGGTCAAGAAGGAGGACAAGCCCTTGACATGGCGCGAGATCGGCTCCCGCCTGCGCAAGCTCTCCCCACATCTCTGGCCATCGACGAGCAAGAAGCTACAATTCTACGTCGTGCTCTGCATGTTCTTCATCCTCGCCATTCGGGTCGCCAATCCCCTCGTCCCTCTCGCGCTCGGCGGTGTCGTCCAGAGTTTGACGGATGCACAGGCCGGCAAGCCTACGCAGCCGTCCCCTTGGGTCTACTTTAGCTCGTATATCGGTCTTCGGTACCTCGTCGGAAGCAACGGCGTGCTTACGTTCGCCAACAATGTACTGTGGGTCGGCGTCTCACAGTACACCGACCGACAGATGCAGCTGCTGTGCTTCAACCACCTGCTCAATCTGTCGCTCGCGTACCACACCAAACGCAACACCGGCGAGGTTCTCAAAATCATCGACCGGGGTTCGGCTATCAACAACCTCTTCCAGACCGTCCTCTTTACCGCTATCCCCACCGTCATAGACATAGCGATAGCATTCGGCGTGTTCTTCTATCTCTACGGCGGTCTCCTGGCGTGCGTCATCCTCGGGATCATGCTCGTTTACATCGTCTTCTCCGTCACACACACCAATTGGCGGATGAAGGAACGGCGGATCATGATTGACAGGGACATCAAACAGCGCGGGATCGTCTCGGACGTGCTCACCAACTGGGAGTCTGTCAAGTACTTTACGGCGGAAGATCGCGAAACGCAGCGGTTCACGGACGCCATCCTATCGTACCAGGAAACGGAGAAGAAGGTCTCAATCGGCTTCAATCTCCTCGCGCTCGTCCAGTACTTCCTCCTCAGTCTGGGCTTGACGGTCGGGGCGCTCATCATCGCCTTTCGGATCCTGGACGGTTCGGCGACGCCTGCATCATTCGTCGTCTTCATCCAGTACTATGTCCAAATGCAGGGACCTCTGGACCGGTTCGGCTGGCTCTACCGGATCCTCAACCAGGAAACGACCGACGCTGAAAAGATGTTCAACCTCCTCTCGCAAAAGACGGAGGTGAATGACAAGCCGGGCGCCAAGGAGTTGGTCGTCACGGACGGTATCATCGAATTTGACAATGTCAGGTTCTCGTATGATGACAAGGTGGAGGCGCTCAAGGGGGTGAGCTTTAGGATCGGCAAGGGCGAGTCGATGGCGCTCGTGGGAGAATCGGGGAGTGGGAAGTCTACCATCCTGCGCCTGCTGTATCGGTTTTACGACATCACGTCGGGAAGTATCCGGATCGACGGGCAGGATATCGCCAATGTCACACAGTTGTCGTTGCGCCGCGCAATCGGGATCGTCCCCCAGGATAGCGTGCTCTGGAACGATACGATCGGCGCCAACATATCGTACGGAAAGGAAGGATCGAGCGATGAGGATATCATCATCGCGGCCAAGGCGGCCAAGTTGCATGATAGGATCATGGGGTTCCCGGACCAGTATGCGACGGTAGTGGGAGAGAGGGGGGTGAGGCTGTCGGGCGGCGAGAAGCAGCGGTGTAGTCTGGCAAGGATGTTCTTGAAGAGCCCGGCTATACTCGTGAGTGATGCCATGGTCGCGCTTTGCAGGACCCTGGCTGATCTGCAGGTACTGGACGAAGCGACCAGCGCGCTCGATACCGAGACTGAACGCGAAATCCAGCGAGCTCTTGCGGATCTCGCTAAAGGCCGGTCCAGCCTCTCTATCGCGCATCGCCTATCGACCATCATCAACTCGGACCAGATCGTGGTGATGAAGGATGGGCAGGTGGTTGAGCAAGGGGGCTACAAGGAGCTTATCGATCACGATGGAGCGTTCGCGACCATGTGGAAGAAGCAGATCTTTACCGAGGCGGAGATGGTGGCACAGCTAGAAGGGGCGGAGGGGGAGGCTAAAGTGGAGGATCTGATCAATCTAGTCGAGGAGAAGGCGGAGGGGAAGACGGGAGAGGGAGATAAGGTGCCGTCCAGGCGGTCGTCGAAGGGCAAGATGAGGGCGATGGAAGAGGAGGATGCCGTGGAAGCCCCGGCTGGAGAGGAGCTTGCGGAAGGGTTTGGAATAGGGGACCACGACGAGGTGACGCATCCCGCTCCCGCGTTCCACACGAACGAAACGGCCGTCCAGGACCCCTTCAGTGATTCTCAGATCGAATCTGCGCCTGAACCTACTACCGGCAAGGACATCGTCGAGAACGCCGAATGGTCTTCCGCATCCATCGTACCCGGACCCACTACACTTCCACCAGCAACCATCCCTTCTCCGCAACTCGTCGAGTCTCCACCTGTAGAATCGATCGCGGCACCCTCATCTTCCACCCCTACGCCCGAACGCCCCTCTCCCTCCCGCTCCGCCTCGTCCTCCGGCGCTATGGGCGGTAAAGTCCCCTTCCCGCAGATGCCCCGCTTGACCAGCTCTACCTCCCAGCGCTCGGATCTCTCCGCCAGTGCCGCCGACTCCCCTTCCGCATCCAACAACCCATCATCGACCGACCTGCCCGAACTCGCCAAAGCCGCCGGCGCGCCCGATGCCAAGGAGGATAAACGCCGGAAGCGCCTAAGCAGCCTCAAAGGGTTCGTCAGGCGGATATCGGACCAAGGTGTCTCGCGCTCAAATAGTATGAACAAGATTGGCAGCCCGGCGGAAGAGGTGGATGAGGCGACGGCGTTGATTGCGAAGAATACGAGCGGTACGCCGGCGGGAACCCCGGTCGGGGAGGAGAAGAGGAAGAAGAGGTTGAGTCTGAAGAGGGGCAAGTCGGATAAGTGAGCCCGGGGTAGGGAGAGATAGGGTATTGATAGATGGCTCGTATCAGTTGTGTAGCATATGGATCGTGGGGACATTCATAGGTCTTCCTGAGCTGTCTGGGCGGACCGTCACAGATGATTTGCGGGAGAGGAGCTCTTCGCCAGGATCGATCGCTGATCTCGCCTAAAATGTTGACACATTGAGCGACCGCTCGAACGTCGACTGACTGGCATTCAACTTTGTCTCCTACCTCCATCTATGCTCAGCACTCAGCAGTAATGGCCACATTTCCGGCTCGCAGATCCATACCGGGCCAGCGAGACGATATCGCCCACGCCCTAGACAGCCTGGACATCCAACGTCCCAGTGCTCCCCAGCCCGAAGATCCCGAATCCGACGAGGAAGAATTGGACTTTGAGGCACCGCAGCCATCGTCTAGTAGGCCTGTTTGGACGGCGCCAACTCCTTCCAAGAAGCAATTGGCGACTTCCTCCAAGATCTGCGCAGCGGAGAACAAGGCGTACGGAACCGATGCCCTCGGGGTCCGAATAGAGAGTAGGGCAGGGCGAGGGAGGGGGTTATTCGCTTCGAAGTCATTCAAGCCTGGTTAGCTCACGACGTCCTACCTGCAGCATGAAACAGGGTACCAAGCTGACTGGTCAGGCGATACCGTATACTCCGTCCAGACTCGCCCGCCCGCCGCTGTCCTGTCCACCTCGAACCTTACCTCTCACTGCTCAGCGTGTTTCCTCTCCGCTAGGGACGCAGCCACTTTGCGGCAGAAAGAGGAAGAACCGCTGAAGCGATGCTCGGCATGTCGGGTGATTCACTACTGCTCTGTGGTGAGCTGTCGTCTTGCCACAACCGGTATTCCTGTGCAAGACATAGCTGACGTCGCTAGGCCTGTTCAAGGGCAGATTGGACGCTGCATAAACCGGAATGTACGACGTTTCAGTTGCTCCGGAAACGCCACAAGGAGCGGTATCCTGATACGAAGGTTGGGAGTCTGGAGTTCTTACCTCATGAGTTGTCCAGAGCTTTGGGGAGGCTGTTGTGGGCGAAGAAGCGGGCTATGGATGCAGGTGTAGCATGTCCTGCGGTGAGCTAAGGCATTCTTCTTGTCGTCAATATCAAAGCTGACATCCCAGTGGGACGAATACTGTCTACTCCAATCCCGTATGCTCCCTACTCCACTTCACTCAAGTTAATTAAGCTGACGTATGATTTCTCAGAGCTTGAATCACAGAACGGCCTGATCTCGAAGACGCAGGACGAGTCGTACCGCCTGGCCTTCTACCTCGGGCTCGCCATACCCAACGTCCTCGAAGCGGGCGAAGGCACCGCTCTCAGTCTGCTCATGAAGCACTTTGGGATTGACGGGAACCCAGATCTGGAACTGATGAAGATGTGGTCCAGAGTAAGCTCAGTCGTCCTCTACGTTGAGCATAGAGAGGAGCTGACAGCGATAGTACCAAACCAACGCGTTCACTCTGGACTCGCCGGACTTGACTGCGCTGGGAGTGGTCATTGCTCCAGCGCTGGCTATGGCTAATCACTCTTGTGAGCCTAATGCGGTGGTCGTCTTCCCAAGAGGGCAGGGGATGGGACAGATGGTCGCTATACGGCCGATACAGCCTAATGAGGAGGTTCGTCAGCTGCCGTATCCCCTGACTGTACCATGGGCAGTCGCAGCTAACGCTCAGATTCTGGTCTGCTATATCGACGTCGCCTCGCCCTTCTCTCAGCGTCAATCGGAGCTCTCGTCGCGGTACGGTTTCACATGCGACTGCTCCCTGTGCCAGCGGGAACAAGATGCGAGTTGGGTCGATCCGAGATGGTGTCTCCTACATCCGGGGTGTAAGCTCAGTGGCAAGGGGCGGATGATCGACAGTATCAAGTGGGACACCGTGCCCTCGGATCTACGGCCTGGGATGGCGTCAGGAGTATCGCAGTCAAAGAGCTCCGCTTCGAGCGCAATACGATGTTCAGCTTGCGGGGAGACGTACGAGGTTAGAGAGAGGCTGTTGATGACCGCGTTGTCTCGAGCGAAGAGCTTCTTAAGGAGTGATGAGGATGGGTGGCTGTTAATTCGTGAGCTGATAGGGCCGCGGTTTGGCTTTGTAGGACCGACCCAAGCTGACTCGTCCAGACAACGCCGACACTGCGCCAATCATTCAGTCGACCACGACCGTCGCTTCCCAACTCCTCACTCTCTGCCCGCCCTCCAGCTATCCCCTCATTCCGCTACACCGCCTCCTTACTCGTCTGCTCACTTCCGACCCGCCCTCATCCCTCCCCTTACTTGCTGTACCTTTACACCACCTCACCCTCGCCATTGAAGGCGCTCGGGCCATATACGCCTCGCACCACCCAACCCTCGCCGTCCTCCTCGCTCAACGAGCGCGACTACTGGGTCTACAATTCCCACCCACCGAAGAGGAGATGGAGAATGGCAGGAAGCCCGAGATGGTGCGGCAAGAGATGCAGCGGATGGCTGCTGCCATGGCGGCGTATCGGGAGGCGGTTACTGCGTGTACGGGTTGTTTTGGGCGGGATGGGGGCATTTTGGGATTGGGACTGCGGGCGGAGATGGATGGGCTGGAGAGGGAGATAGGCGCGATGCGGTTAGGAATGGAGGATGCTCGCACGACGAAGCGAGTAGAGTAATCCTTCCTTGCTTTAGTCTACCTGCGGGGCTATGCTATCTTATGCTATGTACTGTCTCATCTACCTAAGTTCTATCTCTTCTACTCCCCCATCTACTCCCCTACACGCTTTCACACTTGAACGTCCGCCACACTTTCCAACTCGTCACCCGCACTCCCACCGTAATCGCCACCATCACCGCCAGATCTACCAATACCAGCGTCGCCGCGCCCATCATAAACCTCGGGGCAAATACCTTCCATACCATGAGATGCCGCCTCAACCACGCCGCAAACAGCGCCGACGCGAACGTCAGGGTCGTATGGTAGATGAGGAACGCTATGGCCAATTGCATAGAGTGGGCGAGGATGGGGACGGTCCCTTGAGGCCGGGGCGAGACGTTCCATACCGCCAGCAAAGGAACGGCGAGGGCCGTGAGGATGAGTGGACCCCATGTGTTGAGGATCACGAGGAGAGGGGCGAAGGGGTACGTGAGGGTGTTGAAGCCCACAAAGGCCGCTTTCCATTGGATGGTGGTGAGGACGGCTTGGTGGCCTGTGGAGAAGAAGCCGACGAAGCCCAGGAGGGCGAGAGGGACGACGTCTGTGAATGAGGGACGAACGAGGGAGTTGCCTGATCCCGGCTCGAATGCGCCCGGCGCGCCCGACTGGGAGAATTGGGACGTCATGAGGATAGAGTCGCGCTGCGTGTCGATGTTCTCCGTGTGTGCGATGACGGAGAGGAGGAGGATGGATAGTGCGACCTGGCCCATGGGCGGGCTGACGAGGTGGACAAGCCCAAAGGGGATGAGGAGGAAGAGGAGGTAGGTCGAGCCAAAAGCATTGGCGAAGCCGAATACAGTGACCGGTTTTTCGGAACCGTCTTGCTCCGTCCCGCGCTCTACGGTAATGCAGAGAGCCGACGTCAGCCACTTGTAAGGCAGTACGGCCATGGTTGCGATGAGGGAAGACCGAGCCGCCCAGGTCCGTATGATCTTGACGATCCGCCCGCCTTCACCAGTGAGGAATGTGGTACCGTCCGTATATTCCAAGATCCACTGGAGCGCGTTGAGAGTGAGGACGCCCCGCCAGAGTTTACCGAGGAATGAGTCGGCCGGTCCGCCGAGGGACTTGGACTGTGCGAGGATCATGCCGATCGCCCGGGGAAGCTGGAGAGCGAGGGGGATGATGACCATGAGGATCCAAGAGGCGGCGACGGGGGTTGAACCAGAGTAGAACGTTACTCGGCAGTAGGGCTGTTGTTCCTCCCGGCAGACGGTGATGCTTCCGAGGAGACGAGTGGCGACGCCGAAGCCGAGGGACAACGCAATGACCTTCAGCCGCATATCCGCCGTGGGGTGCGTGAGGGACTTTAAGAGGTAGACGGCGGTGATGGTGTTGAGGAGGTAGACGACCATGTGGTCTTCCCACATGATGAAGCTGTTGGATGCGAACGATACCGCGTGGAGGATGAGGAGAACCGGTCCGACCACGCGCTTGAGTGTGAGCGAGGATAAGGCGGGGAGTTTGTTGGATGTGACAAAGGCATAAGCGAAGCCCGCTTCCGCAGCGAGTACACCGCCTATCGCGGCCGAGTGGAGGATGAAGCGGGGATTCCACGTAGGTCCGTTGTAAATGAACGCGCAGCCCGCTGCCAGGGCAGCAGAGGGGACAAAGACGCGAACCGCCGAGTCGATAAAGAAGACGGCGACCTCATTCCATCTGGGCCCCAGATTCCGGATACCGTGATAGAGGAGGATGAGCATGGGGATGTTGAGCCCGAGGATGGCCAGACCGAGGGTGATGAGCGTAACGGAGAATCGCGCCCATAGACCTCGAAGAAGTTTGAGAGCCGAAGCCGCGTAGGCCTGGTTGGCGCGGTATGATTCCGCCAGGACGTCATCCAGCTCCGCCTCGCCCCGGCACATCGTGCCCCCATTCGCCTGTATCTCGCACAGAGTACGGATGCCGCTCACAGCGTCCTGTCTGATCGCCTCGGGACCGACGAGACCATGTGCGATCTTCTCGTCCCCGTACTCGGCGATATACCGGCTGATTTGCTCGGCGTTGACTCGCATAGCGCTCTCGAGGCGGGGCATGTTGCGGTCAAAGAAGCAGTCGGGGATGATGGACCCGAGGTTGTTGAAGGGGATAGGAATACCGAGGAGAAGGGCGAGGGTGGGTACGAGGTCGATCTGGTTGATGTGACGCATGGGTGTGGAGGTCCCGGGGAAGGTGTATCGAGGAAGGGATTCCGCGAGACCGGGCTGCTCCGACGCGGTCAGGCGGGCGCCCTTGGAGTACATCCATAATCCCGCAGCCACCTCGAGCTCCCCATCTCCGCCATGGTTCCCCTGCTCGTCCATCCCGTGATCACCCAATACCACCAGCAGGGTGTCCTCATCCAGCAGATCCACGACCCGCCGGAGGACATCGTCCATCTGCTGCAGTTTTTCCTTCATCGTCGGCGCCCCCGGTCCCACCCTGTGCCCAACATGGTCTACACCGAGGAAGTGGCCAATAATGACGTCCCAGCTCGACGCATTGGATGGATGGAGATAAGGAAAGAGGTGTTCAACGACGCCGTTGTCGACCGTATGGAGGTCTTCGACATTGAACGAGTCGTATGGATGAGAATGGGTGAAGGAGTCCGGGAAGAGATTGACCCATGTATCGTCCCCCATAAACACCACCGACATGTTTTCTGCGCGCATTTGCGAGATGAGCGAGTCCTCCTCTATCGCCGTACTCGCAAAGCTAGCTCCGACGTCCACAAAGGTAGGCAGGGACCCGGTCGTGATGCCCTTGATCCGCTGCATGGTTGCTGTAGGGGGGTCGGCGAAGGTGTTGAAGATGAGGGAGTGTTCTGGGTGGAGAGCAGACAGCTCCGCAGGGAGGGTGAGGACGCCATGATGATTCGGGTTGGGTGGAGAGGGGTGGGTCGGGGAGATAAAGTCCGTCCGTAACGCGTCGATGATCAGGATGACGGCTTTGGAGTGGGTGAGGGAGACGGGCGGACCATCGTCGTCATATTTGGGCGAGACGGCGGGGATCGATAAGCGGGTGAGGAGGAAGCCGCGCGTGAAGGTGTAAAGACCGACGAGGTGGGAGAAGGTGATGATGAGGAGTATGAGCGCGGCTAGGGTGGGGCGGGATAAACGGGACGCCCAGGACGTGAGGGGCGGTGGCCGAGCAGCAGCTACAGGAGGTTTGGGAGCTGGCGCAGTGGATTGCGGAGCTACTGGGATAGTTTCGGCTGCTTTAGCGCTAGCTTTGTTGGCAGCAGCTGCGGCATTTTTCCTGTTTCATTAGCTGGAAAGCCCGGAGAAGCGGACGTGGAAGCTCACCTCGCCGGCATTGTCAGACCTCTGCTGCCAATTTGGCGATACCTCTTTCAGATTCACGCTCTTCAGTCTGTACCCTTGTAGGACCTCCTGTATGCCCTTGTATGCACAGCTAAGGTCGGTTTCGCGGGCGGCTGTATACCACTCAATGACAGCCCTGCGCGCTTGGACTTTCTCAACTCCACATTCCTCAACCCGGCGATCACCGAACTCAGCCTGCTCAGCTGCCGCACCGGCCCGGTCACGCAAGCAGCGACCTGACGCTTTCTTTCACCTTCTACACCTCATCATCGACATACCAGCACCATGTCGCAAGCACGCCAAGCAGCTCCAGCTGCTCCAGGTGCAGCTCCAGGTGCGGCCCAAGCTGAGCCTGCAAACAAGTTTCTTGGGATCGCAAAGTCGGTCGCTGGATTTTTGGCGCTCCAAATGGGTGAGCTACACTTCTGATGCCCAACGGACGCAAGCTGACCTACAGCGATGCAGTATGGTATGAAATATGTAAGCTTACGCATCCAAAGATTTCTGTAAAGCTGACCCTCAGCTCGGCCTGAGCAAGTCCTCTCCACCCCCAAGTCCCGTCCCGGCCGCGGTACCAGGAAGTACTACTCCCGGCGTAGTCACGCCCCTCAACTCGGGTATCACCACACACAACACCAGCGTCCCCGCCGAGCCTGCATGGGATCTGGGCACGTCCATATCCATGCTTCTGTACACGTCTCTCCTTGAAACGCCCAGCCTGGCCAACATTGAGCCTGTGGTCCGGTGGGATGGCCTCACATACGGCAACTACGCGGATGTCCGGGCTGAAGATCTCCTCCTGGATGTCCCTCAGGCAGTAAGGACCGGGAACGCCAGCTGGTGGATGGACGTCGTACTCGTCAAGGATGGCGGGACCGTCAAGGGGAGACAGGCGGATGAAGTTGCGCTGTACCGGAAACGTGCGTTACCTATGGGTGTAGCGGCTGATCTCAGAACTCACTCGATTCCTCCCCAAGAAGCGAGTAAGGAAGGAGAAGAAGCTTATCGGCGGCGACGAATCGTCTGCTACCGAGCATGAGCCCGATCTTTCGCTCCTGCCCAAAGAGATCGTCGCGCACTGGGCGACCAACCTGACCCTTACCATCATCTCCAACGGCGGCAAGGCCGTCATCAGCCAGCTCCACCCCGCTGCGCAGCCGCACTACCTCATCGTTCCATCCACCGCTACGACATCCACACCCAAGTACTACCCCCCGGTCTTCCCAAACGACTTTTGGCTCCTCCGCGAGAATATCTACCCGATCAACGCGACCGACGCCAAGCTTCCCCTGCACGTCCAATACCACGCGATCGGGGCGATGAAGTTCCAGATGTTTGCGTCGCTCGGTCAAGGGTTCGAGGCGGCCGCGGCGTCCCAAGGCGGCGGAACGGGCGCCGAGATGGACGAAGTCAAGCGGATGTTGACGGAAACGAGCCCGTGGCTGCTCATCACCACGGCGCTCGTGACGGTGCTGCATATGGTGTTTGAGATGCTGGCATTCTCGTCGGACGTCAAGCACTGGCGCAAGAAGGACAAGGATCTGGTTGGGGTCAGTCTGAACACGATTCTGACGAATTGTTTCGTTCAGCTTGTCATTCTGCTGTACCTCCAGGACAGCTCGGAGGAGACGAGTATGATGATTCTGTTTACTCAGGGAATGTGAGTCAATTTGTGCGCAGGTGGGTCTCTCGCAGCAGAGCTGACAACTCAGTGGACTCGCTATTGAGGCGTGGAAGATCACCAAGGGTGAGTCATATAACACAGCAGGGGCTGACGATAGTGACCAACGTCCGAATTCGACCTTCGCAGAACATCATCGGGTACCACATCGCCTTCGAAGGTGAGCTAGGGTTATGTCTCGCTGGTATGGGATGCAGAAGCTCACGATCGAATAGATAAGAAGGTCCTTAGCGAGGATGAAAAGAAGACCCAGGAATACGACCAGCTGGCCTTCCGCATCGTTTCGTACTTTGCCGCCCCGGGTCTCGTCATCTACTCCATCTACTCTTGTAAGCTTTGTAGATTGCTTACACCGCAAACGACCAGCTGACAATGCAGTGATGTACCAGTACGTCTTGCCTCCGGCCATACAAGAATATTTCAACATGAGCTGATCATGCAGGACCCACCGGAGCTGGTACTCTTTCATCGTGACCACCCTCGCGCAGGCGATCTACATGTTCGGCTTCGTACAGCTCATCCCGCAACTCATCATCAACTACAAGCTGAAGAGTGTCGCCCACATGCCGTGAGTTGACGTATCATCAGCTACCACGGCCGTTCGAGCGCTGGACCAGAGCTGACCTCGCAGTATGAAAGCTATGGTCTACAAGACACGTACGTACACGTCTAGCAGCGCAGAAGCGTCCAGGCAAATGCTGATGGACAGTCGCTACCGTCGTCGACGATTTCTTTGCCTTTTGTATCCGGATGCCTTGGCTCCATCGTCTGGCTTGCTTCAGAGATGATGTCGTGTTTGTTGTGCTTCTGTATCAGGTAAGCTATGTTCTTCGGGATTTATTCTCCGCGAAAGGTGGCTGACAGCTTCAGCGCTACATCTACCGCGTCGACTACTCGCGTATCAACGAGTTTGGTCAGGTCGCAGAGGGCAAGGTTGAGCCTGTTGGCGACGTGAAGGAAGGAGAGAAGGGAGAGGTGAAGGCGATCAGGGAGACCAGGAAGACGCAATGAGCTGTACCTGCCATCGATCCAACTGCAGGCGAGGAAGAGTTGGGGCCACTGTAGGCACGGTGTAATCTACCTGAATGAACTATGTTCCGTCTCGCTTGGCCTTGAAATCCGCTATCCAAGCCTTCTCCTGTTCTCCCTTGACCAACACCACAAAGCTCAACAGCCCATCCCTTAATACCACCCCATCCCCCACTCTACCGGCCGCATCCATCTTGACCCCCTTTGCCAGCACCTCCACCAACGGCAGATCCTTCCCGACCTTCAACAGCCGCCGATGTCTCGTTTCCACATACACCACCAGGTTCGCGCTATGGTACTCTCGCTTACTATCCCATTCTGTCCAGCCGCTGGACGCCGCGGGGGAGGAGGGGAACATGGCGGCCAGATGATCTCCGAAGGACGTCGTCTCGTTGAAATGGGTTATAAGGTCCGATTGGGCGTGAGAGGGGTAGAGGAGGAAGACGGGGTAGATGAGTGGTGTGTGCAGCGCGGGCGGGTCCCATGTGGTATCAGAGAGGGGAGTGGCGGGGAGATAGGAAGGATCAAAGTGTAGTGGGTTGGGATTGTCGGGTGGGGAGGGGGTGTCGATGATGACCAGGCCGCGGGACTTGTGGCGTCAACTACTACGCTCCCAAGCTAGTCCACACCGGTGCCAACGTCGGAAAGAAGCTCACCTGTACCGCCTCTCTCAGCGCCTTCTTACTCAGTCTTTCCCGCCTCAATCGCTCTGCACGCTCCACCTCCGCCCGTTGCCCCCTCTCCACCTTCCCTTCCACCTCTTTCCAGCTCTTAGCGTCCCCTCCATCTTTCCCGCGCCCCACGACATCTCGCGCCTCCTTCCACCTCTCCAACCCCACCAGCGCCTGTGCGGCCCTGTACAGCGCCTTATTAGGCACATCCCGCCCTTCTTGCACACACAGGGCAATCACGGTCCCCGCATCCTTGAGGACCATCCCGAAGTTCTTCAAGGCGAGATTACACGCCGCCCGGTTGTTGAGAAGCGTGATTCGTAGAGCGGGGTCGGTAGGTCCCGCGTCGAGGCCGGAGGTATAGGCTACGACGGCGTCCTTGTAGGATTTCTGGACGTAGAGCTCATTGCCGTGGTCTTTGAAGTTTAAGGCGACTTCTGGGGATCAGCTCCGACCTCTTGTGGAGACTGGACGAGATAACGCACCATCCCCCTCCCCGTCGAAAACCAGACTCCTCAGCGCATCCAGCACAGGGTTCTCCTCAGACCCATCTGGCGTCTCCCGCATGAAAAGCGGGGTACTGTCCAGCACACTCTGAAACTCGGCCATGGTGATTTCCTTCCGGGGCGCAGCGGAGGGGCCAGCGGAAGCGGAGGCGGAGGCGGAGGTGGCTTGTGCTTCGGCGGCTTTGGTACGCGCGAAAGAGTCGATGAGTGCGTCGAGGGAGGCATCTTCGGCAGCCTCAATGCTAGGGGTAGGTGTCGACATCTTGGGCGGTGATTTTGCTGAGTAGAGTGGTTGACAGAGGACGACTGAGGACGGTGTAAATTTCTGGCTTGAAAGCTCAGCGGAGGGCGAGGTGGAGGTGTGGAGACTCCACATACCCCTCACATTTCGCTGAACCATCGACCAACCTCTATCTCGGTCATTCTACCTCAACCTGTGCTCAGTAAAGATGGCCAAACAGCTCGCAGCAGCGCCTATCCAAGTGATCAAGAGAGTATGGGAACGGATCGCCCCTCTCAAATTGGCCGATACCGCCTGGGACAATGTGAGGCCAAGGACCGATCCTCATTCCTTTGGCATGGCGTGGTATGGGTGGCCGCTGATGCTCAGGTCGGAGTGATGATCGGTACGCTGACAACTAGAACCTTCACCAGGGAGGCAAGGCAGCTGATCAGGCTTAGAGGCGCCATATCCCAATCCTGCTCGGAAACAGGTCTTACTGACGATCGAGCAAGTCTGCGCCCCCCCTGATGCCACTTGAATTGGGGGTATGCTGATCCCACCTAGCCTAACTACGGCTGTATGCAATGAAGCCCTCGAGCTGCCCTCTTGTGGCGTCATACTGGCCTACCATCCCCCTGTACGTCTCAACCCAGTGCAACCACGCTGCATCCCGCCAATATCGATACCCTTCGTTGTCGGACCCAGCATTGAGGTGCATCGAGCTGATATCCCAGATTTTCCGCGGTCTCAAATCGTTCACGATGGACGATCCCATCCAATCTTCCCTCCTCAAGCTTTCTGCGAAGGGGATCAGCGTCTTCAGTCCGCATACATCTCTCGACGCCACACCGAACGGTATCAACACATGGTACGTTCATCCGCTGCCGGCCGGTTTTCGGTTCGTCTGGCCCTATGTCCTTTTGCCTCTCTTGGGTCGGATATTTGAGCGCTACATGGGCTTGCACAGAGCGGAGCTAATCTCACAGGCTTGTCAAGTCATTCGAGAAGCACACAACCAAATCTAAAACCATCACCGATTCGACCAATATCCAGGGCTTTGAAGGAGCGGGGGCCGGGCGGATCATCCACCTGAAAGAAGAAATGGGACTGATGGACGTCGTGGAAGTCGTCAAGCCCCATCTTGGTATATCACACGGTAAGCCCTTCCTTCCCACCGATCACTCCTACCATTTCCCACAGTCAGAGAACGCGCTGACGCCCCTCAGTCCAGGTTGCCCACCCCGACCCTTCACCTCCCATTTCCAGCATAGCAGTCTGCGCCGGCTCCGGCGCCTCTCTGTTCAAAGGCGTCAAGGCCGACCTGTACCTCACTGGCGAAATGTCACATCATGAAGTCCTGGCTATGGTCGCAGGGGGCGGATCCGTCATTCTCACAAACCACACAAACACCGAGCGGGGGTATCTGGGGGCGGTATTGCAGGAATGGCTCGCCAAGGAATTGAAGGCGGAGGAAGGGGAGGACGGGGAGGGGTGGGAAGTCCTAGTCAGTCAAGTGGATAAGGATCCTTTGCGCGTCGTCTAGAGCAGGGAGTAGGGAGTTCTAGGTATATGGTATGCATGGTCCATGATATGCTGAACTCCTATGTTTCCCGGACATCAACATCGAGGAATGCATCTCCCGGCTCGGAGCGTCCTTGTCATTCCATCTTGATCTTCGCGGGCGGGTCTATTCTCGTCAGCTCTATTCCGTACCGCCACACCCCGTCTGTGCTGACTCACCAACAAACGTATTCGAGACCCATTTCAACACTTCATCAATCACCACCACCGGCGCCGAGATCAACAGCACCGCTTGCCACTCGTCCCAGTTCAACGGTGTGATCTGGAAGAGCGACCTGAAGAATGGCACGTAGAGGATCATAAAGTGCAGCGCCATCGACAGGGCGATGCTCGCTACGAGGTACGGGTTGGCCCAGATGGGAAGGACGAGGAGGGATTCGTTTTCCGACAATGAGTTGCAGGCGTTGAACATTTCAATGACGACGAGGATGGAGAGGGAGACGGTGGTGGCGCGGTGCGAGGGGGTCGAGGTGAACATCGAGCAGTCGATCTCGGGGAAGGCGGCTGAGCATTGGTGGAAGTTTGTCTGAGGTCTCAGCGGTAGCCTAGCGTGAGAAGGGGTTGGGAGATGACTTACCAATTGATGGAAGCTGATCTGGGGTCCGCCAGAGTACATGACAAACCACCAAGCATATCCCGCCACGGTCGCCACGCCGACATACGTCCCAATGACGCAATACCTAAAGAAGAGCCATTTCCCGATAAGTGGCTCCCGGCTGCTCCGTGGCGGCGTCCGCATGATCTGGTGGTCGGGCGGGTTGAATCCGAGCGCAGTAGCGGGCAACCCGTCGGTAATGAGGTTGACCCAGAGGAGTTGGACGGGGATGAGCGCCTCGGGCATGCCCAAAAGGACAGTGAGGAAGATCGAGACGACCTCGCCGATATTGGATGAGATGAGGTATCGGATGAATTGCTTCGTATTGTTGTAGATCGCTCGTCCTTCCTCGACAGCCTCGGCAATGGTCGCGAAATTGTCGGTGGCGAGGACCATGTCGGCCGCGAGCTTGGCAACGTCCGTTCCCGAGCCCATGGCAATTCCGATATCCGCCTTTTTGAGCGCCGGGGCGTCATTCACGCCGTCACCAGTCATAGCGACAACCTGGGGATCAGCTTCCTACATCATACAGAAGATGAACTACTCACTTGACCGAGGGATTGAAGCAGATCCACAAGCTGAGACTTGTGCGTAGGTTCCGTCCGACTAAACAGACTCGCCCTCTGCACCGCCGCAATCTTCTCCTCATGACTGAGCGCATCAAGCTCTCGGCCAGTATACGATTTCCCCGTCAAATCCTCATTCTTCCCAAATACCCCAATCTCGCGACAAATCGTCTCGGCCGTATTCTTGTTATCACCCGTGATGACAATCGTCCGGATCCCCGCCATGCGGCATTTGGCAATAGCGTCCTTGACTTCGGGCCGGGGCGGGTCAAGCATCCCGACCAGACCGACAAAGACCATATCTTGTTCAAATTTGATATAGTCCTCGGCCCGGTCCGTCTTGTAGTGAGAGACATCGCCGTCCGATTCGTCCTTGTACGCCAGGGCCAAGGTTCGGAGACCCGCAAACCCATAGTCGAGCTGCTTGGAGGCGAGGTTGGCGCGGAGGGCGTCGGTCAGGGGTGCAGGGCCAGAAGGGAGGAGGACGTGGCTGCATCGCTCGAGCACGGATTCGGGTGCGCCCTTGACGAGCAAGCAGTGCGAGCCGGTTTCGGACCGAGTGAGGACAGACATGGATTTCCGATCACGCGTGAATTCAAACGTGAGAAGGCGGGTGATGCGCGAGTCGTAGTGGTCATTGACGGCGGTAGAGCGGGGGAGGGGGGCAAGGGAGGAGAGGGAAGAGTTGAAAGTGTCCTGGTCAGACGCGAGCTTTTCGACCAGGACTTTGAGGGCCGCTTCGGTGGGTTCGCCGAGGTTGGTGTAGGTGTTGGTTTCCTGCTCGTCAGCGACATGTCCATCATCGGGGTGAAAATAACGTACATTGTTGTAGGCAATTTTGGAATCGTTGCAAACGGCAGAGATCTCAACGAGCTTGTTGACAGCCGCGGTCCGGACCATGTTCTTCTCCGCGTGCTTGTCCGACATGGTCGTGATGCTTCCAGTAGGCGCAAAAGTAGTACCGCCGACCTTGTACTCGGCGAATGAAGAGTCGCTCTCGCACGTCATGAACCGCGCCACACTCATCTGGTTGGTAGTGAGGGTCCCTATCCGTCAGCTAGGCTTTTCGTCCACCAGGCTTGGACAGCTCACCAGTCTTATCAGAGCAGATGACGTTCGTGCACCCCAGCGTCTCCACACTTGGTAGATTCCTAACAATCGCACCCCTCTTCGCCATCTTTTTAGTCCCCAACGCCAAACACGCCGTAATGACCGCCGCCAACCCCTCCGGGATCGCCGCTACCGCCAGCGCCACCGCAATCTTCAAGTAGTAGATGGCGCCCTTCAGCCATCCGTGGTGACTGGGATCGTTGAAGTGCCGGATGTTGACCAGCCACACCAAGAGACAAATGACCGAAATGACCTTGGCGAGCTGGTCCCCGAAATCGTCCAGCTTGCGCTTGAGCGGCGTCTTCTCCTCTTCGCCATCTGTGCGGCTGATACTGGTGTGGATCGCGCCGATGGCTGTGCGTGAACCGGTAAGGACAACGATGGCGCGCGCAGCGCCGTTAACGACGGTCGTGCCGGAGAAGAGCATATTGGTCATGTCTTGCTTGACGGCGCCCGTGTCACGGACGATACCGTCCGACTTGCCGACCGACATGGACTCGCCAGTGAGCATGGCCTGGTCCACCCGGAAGGAGGAGGAGGAGAAGTCGATGATCCGGCAGTCGGCGGGGATGCGGTCGCCGACGTGCACAGAGATGACGTCGCCGGGTACGAGCTGGGAGGCGGGGATGCGGGTGAGCCGGGAGGAGCGGAGGACAAGAGCTTCATCGGGAGAGTACTCGCGCAAAGCCTGGAAGTTCAGCTCTTGCAAAAGTCAGTGACGAGTGGTGAGCTTACATCGATAGCCTGCTCAGCATTCGACTCTTGCACGACTCCCACGGTAGCATTTGCGATGAGGATCAAGAGGATGACCAGCGGTTCGACGAAGGCCGTTCCCCATGATCCACCAGACTCGGAAGAGTCTTCAAAGAGGGCAAGGATGAACGAGACGACCGCACTTCCGAGGAGGATGAGCACGAGCTGATCCTTGAATTGAGCGAGGATGAGGGTGAAGAGGGACGTTGCGGGTGGTTCAGGAAGGGCTAGTGTATCAGCTTCAGCCCAAAAACATGGAGGAAGGGGTGTGGCTGACTATTCTCGCCGTAGAGCTCTCTATTCCGCTTGATATCCTCGGCTGATAAACCCGTTTCGAGATTGGTCTTGTAGAACGCTAATGCGTCCGCCGGTGAGACTGTCCAAGCGTTTTGCAGCATCTTTCCTGGAGTCACGAGCGTAGGAGCTCAGAGATCCGTCTAGATGATGAGGCAGAGAACGCTTCTCTGTTGATGTACAAACAAGCAAGACAAGAGGAGAAAGGAAGGCTGAAAGCAATATTTCCAAAACACGTTGACACGTTCCACGTCGCAGTGCTAAATTTGATCACGTGGTCAAAGTGAGACGCGTTAATCGATAGCCCGTGCGTCGCGTCAGGTTGAACTCTAAGCTCAGAGCTCTGACTTCTGTAGAAGGCTTTGTGCATAAGCTAGATTGCCCGTTTACCTTACAGCAGACCAGACCGTACAGCCGATTGCTCGCAGCAGCCTCGAGCATCCTCAAGATGTCGGTCAGGTACCACTGCTCCCACCTGGCCGACCCCGCTCCGCCCCTTCCACCGAGCTACGCCTCCTCCTCGTCCTCCTTCAACCCCCTCGGCGAGCTCTACTTTTGTGAAGAATGCGATGCGGTCCGATGCGACCTCTGCTGTGTCTCTGAGATCGCGAGCTACTTTTGTCCGAACTGTACCTTTGATGTACCGAGTGCGAACGTTCGAGGGGATAAGAACAGGTACATCTTTCCGCTGGCAGTTTGGCGAAAGCTGTGAAGACATTAGCTGATGGTGGCAGATGTGCTCGGAGCTGCTTCTCTTGTCCGGATTGCACGACGCCACTCCAGGTACAAGCTACCGGGACGACGGAGGATGCGGGGCCTTCAGCCCCAAGTGGACCGCCTTTTATCCTCATCTGTCCGTGTTGTCGGTGGAGTAGCCGCGAGGTGGCATTGGAGTTTGAGAAGAGTGCGGGTCTAGCTCGTGAGTCTACGTATGAGCCTTGCAATATACTACGTGCTGTGAATGCACGCCTAAGCTGATCTCTCAGTCCAACTCCAAAAGCTACTCTCCGCCAAAGACCCCGCTCAACCCGAATTCGACGCCCTCAAGGATCACCTCGACACGTACATCACCTCCCCCGCGCCCGCTCCTACCCCCGCCCGCTCAGCAAGCAAGCATCCCACCCGGCACATATCGCATTTGACACAAATGGCAGCCAAGGCGCTGCATCGGGATGTACCGGGTATGGCTGCTGCAGGGGCTGTAGCCAAAAGCGGGCTGAGGCGGGAGATGAAGGGTGGAGGGGAGCGGTATGGCTGGGATGAGCTTGGAGAGTATGGAACGAAAGAGAGCTGGAGGGCGAGGGGTCTGGAGAGGGGTGATGAGGACGTAGAGGCTATGCGAAGACTTGGTGGGATTCGGATGGGTGTGGAACCGGAGGGGTCAAGCTGGTATAACGATGGGAAGAGGCGAGTTTTGTCGCCTGATTGCCGCCTATTGGCATGCAGCTGACAAACAGGTATCCCGAAAGAATACCGCTCCAGACCAAATTGACCAAACGCTGTCCTCACCCTGCATGCCGCCACCTCCTCATCCAGCCAGACACGAAAAGTACCCGCTTCAAGATCAAGATGGTCGCTGCGAATTATCTGCCAGTTGTGGAGATTGGCCGAAGGCGCCGGCGAATTGACGGGGGTGGTCATGGCTTGATGTCTACGGGATCGATGGAAGAAGCAGAGGTTCGGCGGAAGGAGCGAAGACGGCTCAGAGGGAGAGGGGAGGAAGTGGATGAGGATATGGGCGCGCCAATACGGCCTGGAGAGGTAGTAAGTGTGCTCAATCGCGCTTGCTATTGGCAACGGCCGAGCTCACAAGGCAGTACACTTTCCAAATAGCATTCACGAACCCCCTGTACGACCCCATCCAAGTCCGCCTCACCCAGCCTACCGCCCCTCTCCCTGCACTCCTTCCCGCGAACCACTTGATTCACATTCCCACTCGAGACTTTATCGTCAATCCCCTGAAAGACGCTTGGTCATACGATGACGAGGAAGAGTACGCCGATATGGAAGGTACCGAGATGGGTACGAGCGAGGACGGGTCGTCTGTCCTTCCGAGCAGCCGAGGGACGCTTGGTCCAGCTGCAGGGAAGAGGAGCAGGCTGAGCGTTCTAGCTACGTCGAGTGGGGGTACGTTGAGGGATAAAGAACGGAGGAAGAGGGAGAGTGAAGTGGATAAGAAGGGAAACTGTACGAAGGTGGGCGTGGAGGTGGAGATTCTGCCAGGGGCGACGGGAGAAGTGGTAGTGAGTCCGCTGAGAGATGCCTGCTGTAGGATTGGCCGGATGGTGCTGCAGCTGATCATGCAGTTTGACCTTGAGGTTCGCTTCACATACCGCGTCGACGATACCGATGGGAGTAAACCGAAAGGAGCAGAGAAGGAAACGCAGAAGGGCAAGGAAGAGTACAAGCACTTTACTTTCTGGGCGCGGGTGGATCTAGGGTGTATCTCGCCTTAGTCAGTCACTACTCTGCTCCCAAATCCTATAACAGTACAGCCTTTACGAGTACATCTATACATCTACACATGTCCACAAGTCTGCCTCTAAAAATATGGCCTATGACCTCCAGATATCTCACCCCAACCAGCGCTCCGCGCATCACGACCAATCGCATCGCCAGCACTTCGGATCTGCTGCGCGCTTTATATAAGACATCATCATACTGCCTATCAGCTATCTCCGATTCGCATAACATGCTGTTAGAATGCCTGGAGTATGCACTCACTCGCCGAATATATATGTCGTCGGTCCATAGTCATAGTGCTGATCCCCATCCGAGAATCTGAAATCAGCTAGCAGTCTTTAGGCCAGGATCAGTGACCCACTGATTATATCCCTCCAACTTATCTCCCCATGTGAACTCCCTCACTCCCAGCCCCCTCGCGACCGCCCTACACCCCTGATCCAGCTGCTGGATCTTGAGCTGCAACCACCACCCGGTGATGAGCCGTATATGCCTCGTGCGGACCATCATGGGCATACTGGGCGAGTACATCTCTCGGAGATGGGTGATGAGCTGGCGAAACCGGGAGCGGTGCCATGCTAGTTCGTTATAGGCGAATGCGGGTGCTTTGCGGACGCGATGCGAGTAATGAACTCCGTACTAGAGTGTCAGCTTGGTCGGTGGACCGATAATTGAGATGGTGATGGTGGGGGCATAGCTCACCTCCTCGATGGCGCCCTCATCCCAAAAGAGACTGGTGACCACCATCAGATCTGGCTTCCTATCTATTCCATGCTCTACCATCAATGGGCGCATGACGTCCTTGATTCGGAGCTCGTAGGTGAGAGGTCGACCCTCGGCTGAACGGATCTTGGCCAGCGATTCGTCATCAATCAGACCGTATCTGCGAAACAGTGTCAGCGGATCTTTCGCGGTCCGAGGGGAAGGACGCACAAGAACCAGTGCGCGATGGTGAGATCGAGCGCTTCGATGTGGCAGAAGCCTCCTATGTGCCCGCCCCAGGAGGTGTACTCGCCGATTACTTCGTCGCACCACTGCCAGACCTAAAGTATCAGCTCTATCTCGCGAAGGGATCTAGGGGTGAATGCCGAATGCACTCACGTTATTGCGATCATCTGTATGCAATGTCAGCTGGGCATCTCTTAGTGAATCGTGCCTTGTCACTTACGCGAAGAACCTATCTGTCAGCTCCTAATTCATTTGTATGGCAAGATAGACTTACCGATAAATACCACCAGCTTGCCCCTTGCCCAATCCCACTCCGTTCCTAGCTCCATCAAGGCCACTTCCGCTGTTCCCCCTTCGACACCCTCCACTGCACCCGTGCCCGCGCCCGCTGCCTTCGCCGCCTCTGCCTCAGCTTCAAGCAGCGCCTGGTTCTCCAAACCCCACTTCCTCAGCTGCATCGTCCAATCCCTTGGCGCGATGTCCCATGCCTCCTCAGGGATCTCATCCGTCAACGGCAACCCACTGATCCTCCCATACTTCCAGTCGGCCGCATTACCGCCTTTGGCCGCCATCGCCATCTGCGCCTCCTCGTTCTGCTCAGGGAAGGGAACCCAGCGCGTCTCGTTGTACGCCCCAGATGCTGAATAGTGTACCATGCCGTGTTGGGCATAAGGGTCGGGCGGGCAGCTGGAGGGGCAGGTATTGTACTTGATGGATGGGAGGGCGGATGAGATCGTCGAGAGCCTATAGACGGTCAGTATAATCATGCGCGGGCCGAAATCTAGACCGCAAGGAGGGACATACTGCTCAGCCGCAGCGTCCGCGAAGAATACCAGTGCAAAGAGAACCGTCGATGCGAGGAAGACACCCCCGGCGAATACAGGTCGAGACCGTACGAGCGGCATGATTACGGTCCCGGGGGACCGAAGCAGGGTGTACGACCTGTGGGACGACATGGCCCGCTGGATCTGATGGTGGAGGTGCATGTAGAGTAGGTGAGTACTAGCGATGAGCGGCTCACCTCCACCGTTCCGCGAAATCATCGCTTCGCGACGCGCGGGAGGTTTTTGCTATCAAGCGGCTTGACTGGCTGTCTCAGGTGAAATTACGGCAGAATTACGGCTTGAGTACTGGAGGAAACCGGCGGCTTGGCCGAAAGCGCCACCGAGGCGCCTATCTTACATCTTATCTGCGGCTCACGCCTAACTCTTCCCGGAGATGCAAGCTATAGTCCGTCCTCCTCATTCCTCGATCTTGCCCCGCATGACGCACACGCAGCTCTGCGGATACTTACGAGTGCAGTTCACGAGAGTTCACGCTTGTCATCTCGGCGACTGAACCTTGAATGAATGCACACTGAGCAAGTGAATGGATAATAGAGCAGCGATGGCGTGGGGCGGGCGATAGAGCGGCTGCGACAAAGATCCCGGTGCCTGACTCAGGTGACATTCAGGTGACGAACGTCGATATGCAGGGTGACCACCTGAGAGGATCTGGATGATCTCGAGAATTGCTGATCCTGCGTCTGCATGTGCCGTCGGCACGGCTGGAGTTCCGGATGGTGCGGAGCCACCAGACAGGGGACGCCGAGGACGTCCAGAAGCGTCCAGGGCAGCCACATCTGGCCACATGTGCTCAAGAGATGCATGCTCTCGAGCCGGCCGCTTGATTTCACCTCGGCGTCACAGTCCTGCTGACGCCAGCAAGGACGTAACGTGCACCTTGAAGAATATCCTCATCCTCTGTTCACCTTTCCATCATCTTTCTCTGTCGGTGCGCGCTGGTCCGTCCATGTCTTATGAGTCGCTCGAGCAGCATGCGGTCTGATGAGTCCGGGGACGGCGCGCCGGGTGTAACAGGCGGCGCGTTGAGTCCAGCAATGAAGCGCTCGGCGGGGCGACTGTCGAATTTGTCTACGCTAACGAATACTATGTCTCGCTCGTCTACCGGTGAGTTCATCCCTCCCCTATCCAGTGTGCAGCGTACACATCTACAGCATGAGGGAGATGGAGAGGGAAAGATGGGGCTTAACTAGTGGAGACAACTTTGGTGGGAGTCAGCTTTACGGCATATTTACGACCCCTTCTATGCAATCCTCCTTTCGCGTCAGCGCACTGCGTCAACTTCCCCATTCCGCACCTCGCTCTCGCCTCAGAGCATCCACACCTCACAGCCATGCCCAGACTGATCTCCCCAGGGCAATCCACTTTTCCCGCTTCGACGTCATTCGGCGGAACACCCCTCGCTGACCGGCGACAATCCACCGGGACAGCCGGCTCGGGCGCAGGACTCGACTACTACTGGTCCAACGCGGCCGGGATGGGCCCTTCCTCCTCGGCCTCGTCGTCCTCTTCTATCGCCATCTCTCCCTCGCCGAGTCTCGGCCCAGGCGAAGGTCAGGAGGGCGCCAAGAGAGGGCTGTATAGGCGGTCAGAGGCGAGTTTAAGAGACTTGATAGCGCAGGAGCAGCGCAGAGGGGAGGGGCACGCCGCGCTAGAGAGTCCTTCGTGGTCCGGCGAGAGTGATTACTCTTCGTCACATTCACTCCCGCTCGGCACGTCGGCCACGTCGTCAAATTCAGGGCATCAGCATGCGAACAAGCCGGTCGAGGTGTGGAATGCGGAACGGGCAAGGGAATACGACTTTACGCGTCAAAGTATGACAAGTACGACCACGGCGCGGCCAGGCGGGGCTCGCGCGGAGGACACAGAGTATCAGCCTGCAAACGAACGGACGCCGGTAGTCGCGCAGACGGGGGATCGGCCCGACATTCGCGCTCCGGGCTTCACGTACGGCTCGGACTCGTTACATGCTACGCCGGTCGTATCGCAGACCAACTTCGGCCGGTCTCAGCCCAGTCCCAGTAGCTATACGCCGGGGAGCGGGCGGCTCGACAGCACTGGTGCGAGGAGAGGGGGAACCCCGCCCGCCTCGGGCTCACCCGCGACGTCTCCGGGATCCGGACCGTCCTCGGAGCCTCAATCGGCGCCGCCATGGCAGGGTGACTTTGGGTTGGGAATGGGCAAGGTGGGAGCTGAGGGCGAAGTGGAGGAGACGACGATCAAAGGGAGGGGAAGGGATAAACGGTCGACGTTGCCGGCGGTGCCTCTCGACTTGCCCGGCGAGTATTTGTCGCCAGACAAGAGGCAGAAGGGGACGGCGAGCCCGCAACCACCGCCCAGAAGTGCTCTGCGCACACAGTGAGCCACATGAGTCCTCTGTGTGAATATCACGCTTACCTCTAGGCTCGCTGGTATTACCTCGCCCCCGCCAAACCTCTCCTTCCACTACAGCCCCTCTGCCCACCGTTCGAACGACTCCCCCGACATCTCACCTCCCACTCGAAGCATTGGGCGCCTATCCCTCTCCTCCTCTCCCACATCATCACCTCCTCTGTCGCGCGACGCGTCAAAAGATCTTCCGTCATCACACGTTCTTTCCGGATTACGCAGCCGCGAGTCCGTGGACAGCACTAGCTCCCTCCAATCCCCCACCAGCATCAACGACCTCACCGACCTGCTCGGCGGCGCAATAGATGAGATTGGGTTGATGGACTCGCGAGAGACACCTCCGCCCATGATTGCCGCGGATAGCAGGGAGAAGCCGCGGCCGGGTGCCCTGAACCTGAGCACCAGCTCTCTGCCTCCGCCCGAGGAAAAGGTCGCCAGCGGCCCAATCACCCCACGCTCCCTGCCTAGCCGAGGGGAGTCCCTCGCGTCGGCCTCGAGCTCGAGCTCGTCTGCTCTCGGCACAGGTCTGGTCCCTGCTCCCACCCCAGCGGCTACCCCCTTTCCCGTTGCGCAGGAGGACGCATATCCACCCTCGATAGCGTCTACGGACCGGCACGCCCGTCAAACTTCGGTCTCGACATTGCATGCCCCGCCGACAGCGGTCGGGTTCTCGGCGAAGCCATGGCCTGCTGCGATGCTATTCGGGCATATCAAGAATATGAAGCATTCGGGAGATAGGGCAAAATATTACGCAAAAGGCATCAATGAGCTCTCTATTGCCGATTCGGGTCTGAGAGATTGGTGTATCATATCAGGTGAGTAGGACCTGTAACCTATAAAAACCAGGCTGATGTACAGCCTCGTCGGCCCATCGTGTCCCACCCGCTCGGATGCCCCTGAACCGCCTGCAATCCAATATCTCCGCTCGGACCGATTTCGCCCCTTCCATCCATATTCAACCCGCCCTCCCCTCCTCCTTGGCCCACTCCTACGCAAACGGTACCGGCCAGTCCAATCACCCTCGGTCCGTTTCCTCCTCTTCCGAGTTCCCCATGCGCGAAGACAGCTACTCGGCTCGCGAGATCTCCCAGCGCGTCATTGATCCAGGGGACGAGCCGACCTCGCTCCCTCCCAATCTACCATATCCGCAACTCCAGCAAGTGCGGAACGGGGGCATACGCTCCAGCCCCAGCGTGGCCAGTATGGCTAGTATGGCGAGTACCAATACCAGCACCGGAACAATACACGGCGGTGGAGGAGGAGGCGGCAGTGGGAGTAGTAAGCGGGGTTTCTTCAGTGCTTTGCGGGGGAAGAAGGAGGGTCCGGGGCTCGGACCGCCAACGGGCGCGGTGCCGTCCAGCAGCGGAAGCGGAGCCGGAAAGAAGGACGTCCGCGGTCTACCCATCTCCAACCCGGAACGAACGAGTCTGTCGGGCCCGTCCCCTATGGGTCCGCGCGGACCGCGGATGGGCGGTATGGGCGAGGCCAACTCGGCAGATGCCGGACCATATCGGAACTCGCTCGACACCCAGTCGCCATATAGGGGTAGCCTGGATGATGGGTCAGCAAGTCGCTTGACGCCACCTCCGACAGCGGGACTGGGACGGGCGAGCTTTGATACGGGCTCAGGGCAGAGTCAGCGGACGAACGTCAGTTCAAGGTTGCAGCAGGCTGCGACTGGGCCTGCCGCAGGCGCAGGCGGTGGGGGACTGGGCGGGATGATCATGCCGAAGGAAGAGGACGTGAGGGCGATGCAGGAAGTGTTGCCGAATGTGGACAGAGGGGTGCTGAGGGCGTATCTCGCCAAGTACGGGGATCAGATGGGGGCCATCACGTACGTCACTGTATTGCTCTCACCCGTAAAGGCTCAACTGACGGTCTAGGGCATACTTTGAAGATGAGAAGCGCGGCGGTATACGGGCGTAGTGGAACCAGGCTCTTGTATGGCGAGAAGGACAATTCAAATGATGTCGATCAGACCTCATTTGTGATTTGTAGCTATATCAGATTGATGCGAATCCGCTAGGTAATGCTGATGGCATGATATTCTTAGTCCCTCTGCCCACCTATAGACAGACCTACAAGATACTGACTGACGCTTGTCGGACTCAACGGTGTTCCCAAATCCGTAATGATGAAATCGATCAAGTCAGGCGTCGTCAGATCCACCCCCGGATTCCGATCCAGCATCTCTTGAGTCATGCTCCTTATAGCGCCCGCCGCTGTATTCGACTTGTCGTGCGGTGATGCTGAGGACTGGAGCTGTGATGCCGAGAAGGAGAGTGGGTAGACCGGTTTGGACACGGGTCTGGCTTTGGCTTTCAGAACCGAACGCGGATTGGAGGGGGTCTGAGGTTGCGCATTGGGATCTTGTGGTTGGGGGAGTGGGATGTCGGTCTGGGAAAGGGGGTAATGCCGAAGGAATTTGTACGATTCGGCGAGGGCGTAGAAAGGTTTGGAGAGGGCTTTAGCGATGAGACCGATCTGGTAGGTGCCGACAGCCGAGACGAGGCCCTGATAAGGTCAGACAGGAGAATCGAGAGACCGAAATGCTGAAACTCACCCCGCTCTCCACCACAGCTTCTGACCCGACAATCACCAGATCCACCCGTTCCATCACGTATGCGACGGCACTATCCAGGACGACCGTACACGGTATTCCAGCTTCCGTGAGTTCCTGGTACGTCTTTAGGCCGAGGCAGTTTGGCTTTGCTTCTGGTTTCGGTCAGCCTGGGATCATTCGGTCGCGGCACAATCTCATCGATAGCTGGTACGTACCCGTAACATAGACTTTGATCCTCTTGTGCTGCTTATGCGCCTTCAGCAATGCTTTCATTACTGTTCGCGAGTAGCTATGTGTGAGGATCTGATAGTCAGCAATTGTTCCCCAGAAAGGTATACGCCACAGCCCGTCTAGTCAAGCGCAAGGAGTTCCGTCTTCTTGGGTCCACCTACCGGCCGCACCTCTCCGCTTCCATCTAGCCGACTTTAGGACTCACCGTACTATCATCCCTCAAGAATCCCACCGCCACATCCGCAATCTTCTCTCTGCAATTCTCGGCGTGTACATTGCAAAAGTATGTTCCCTGCTTGATGAGGTGCTCCTTGAAGCCCGGAACGTCGGTGGGGAAGTCTAGCGCCGCCGCGTTGAAAAAAAGCTCCCACAACTCGGAGCCAGCTTGCACGCCGAGTGAAGGCTGCGTATTCTTGAGTGTGTGCCGGGCTGCGGTCGACTCGAGGACCATACCTGTCGTGGTCGAGGCTAGACTATTAGCGATGGTTGCTGAGTGAAAGAGGGGATAATTTACAGTCAGACGCCTGAACGAGCTTCACCAGTGACATGATTGCCGCCAGAGGATGAGGATACTAACAAGTCAGCTAGCTTATATTGGTAGTGGTTGAAGAGGGACAGTATACCACATACATCATTCTCCTCGTGAGCTCTGCGATATGCGCCGACAATGTCGAATGGTTCCTCCACGGGCCTGACGGGAGCGCTGTCCTTTCCCTTTCCGGTTTTCGAGCTCGACGGTCCGGAGACGGGCCTTGACATGTCTTGTGGCGACGCGACGGGCATGTTTTAGGTGTATTGGGATGATGTCGAGGTCAATATACAGCGTAGATCAAGTTCAGAGGCAACTTCCTGAGTCGCAGGCGCAGCGGGATCAAAATCTGAAACGCGGCGCCCCACGGCCGTTTGCCACCGAGTGGCAGAGGGTGGCGGCGAGCAAGTTGCAGCTCTTCTGTCTGTCGCTCATGAGCCGTCGTCACAGGCTGGCAGATGTCTCTTCTCGTCTGGCACCAGGGCGGGGAGCGAGAATCACAGCGTTTCGCCCAGAGAGCGCAGCGGTCGACAGCAGCAAGTGCTACATGCGTTCTATGCCATGTGCACCAGGAATGGTTAACGCTCGCCCTCTACCGTAGTCTTGTCAATGTCGTATCCCAAGTCTCTGTCAAGCACATATACACCACGCTCTCCATCCGTTTACCGAATTGGCCCGCCCTAATCCAGATCAAACATAGACAGCGTCGCAATATCCGCTTCCCACAAAGATTTTACGGTGATGCGCTCTTAGCCTCTTCGCCACTCTCCGTCTTGGTGTTCGCCTTGTTCTTGCGTAGGATCGCATCCATCGCGGCCTTCGCTTCGGCACAGAAAGCTGGCATTTCGGTCTCGTCAACGCCAAGCGGATACGGGATGTAAATCGCTAGCGATTCCAATCCACCGTTTCCCCGTGGGAATTGTTTGGCAGCGTCCTCAAGCTCATTGAGATACCATGTCTTGATGCCGGGCAGCATCCTGTTGATTAGCCAGGTCTGGCGGCCGGTACGTGTGTCAACTTGCTGGTAAGAATCTCCAAATCCTTCGTAATATAATTCACTGGAGTACCCGGGCTGTCGAGTGGGACCCTGTGTGGCGCCGCAGATCCACGTGTGGTTCGTAAATGTGCACCGGGGTCAGATTGGTAGTATTGTACCGGATCGGAGTCTGCACCACGGAACTTGGTGATAGCAGGGGCTAGAGCGGCAAGAAGCGGCCGTAAATCGTCTCCGTACTTGAAACCAAGATCAGCGTGTCGGGTGTCGGAGAATTCGCGATGCTTCGTTGAGTGTACCAAGACCTGTGTACCCGTCAAGTAGACGATCTGCTTCAGGTTCATCAGGGGTTAGATCGCCGTTCGACACATTTGTCCCGTCTTGGACGTCCTGTGACCCGGATGTGTCTTCAGATCCTCTGCCTGCCTTCTTGATCGAGCTTTTTATCGATCGCAGGATGGAGCGGATACCTTCGGCAGCATCTGCTCGAGCGCTTTCCCTGTCCTTGTGACTGAGGCCATCTCCCGTCGCGCTGTTCTGCATATCTGTCACGACAAGCCGGGTCAAGAAGCGATGTGTGGAGTAGTCATGCAGGGGACGTCCCAAGGAACTGGCTCGGAACGATCTCTCCATAGCAGACGTGATGATACCGGAAGCACGAGTAGGCGAGAAGAATTCGCGGACATTGTAGACGAAAAGCTGATTCGGGAACTGGCGCGAGAGAGACGACGGGCTCATGAAACAGCTCCTCGAGGTTCCTCACTTCGACCCGGATTGGGTCTTTGACTACCCAGCGTGCGTTCTCGCCGTCCCCGCTCGCCTCCTTGCTGATATGGAGTGGCGGCGAGAGAGGATTGCTGAGCTCGTTCATTGGGACCGCTACCAGGTCCCTCGGGAAATCTTCAGATATGTCGGCCATTGAACAGGTGCTGAGCTGCATTCAAAGTCTGGAGGGTGCTCCGACGGCCGAACTGATGGATCTGATGAGTCTGGCGCGGTGGCGGCTGCAGCACCGGCCGCGGCTGCTTCCTGCGGTATCACCGTGTCACCTCGGCGCTGACGGGATGATTGTCGCTGATCTCCTTCGAGGTCTGCTACCGCGGCCGTTCGCTTAGAGTGTTGCTCGGGGGAAGGGAATCCTGACATCACTGTCGAAGGTCTGACTGAAAGACTGATGAACAGCAGAGCAAGTCGAGAGCAAGCCACCTCCGAACCCCCTCCTCGGCGTTTCAGAGCCACGTGGTCGCGCTCGGGCCTCCGCTTTTTCCTTTCCCCGCTTCTGTCAGCACCGAAGCTCTCGATTTAGCTCGTCTTCCCATCAGATCTTCTTCCTTCCACACTTCTCTCTTCCCCTTCTTCTCATACACATCTCCCAGGTCAGTCGGACACCAAGTAGTCCTCCCTCTCTTCTAGCGATGTCGCTACGATCTCTCCATTGGCGAAGCCTCTCGCGAGCCAGCCAAAAGCAAGAAACATCTCGGCCAGAGTCCCCTCGCGGGATGATGGCTCACAAGTAGTAAACCCCATCCAAGTAGCAGCACCGGGCGGCCGCAATGGCGTCTGGCATGGCATGCCAGGGAACTATGCGTTAAGAGATGGCAACACGGGTGCCGGGTCTCATTGCGAGCCCGAGCTGAGATCATACCGTTCAGCGGATCAGGATAATGCCTGCGTCGCTAGTTGCTTCTCCGTATGTGCGCTGAGCTCACAAAGATGGCAGACACCGCCGTCATGTCTCCCTGGCAGGCAATGTGAGTTGATAATCTACACCTCAAGTGGAGCTTCAGCTGACAATCAGTCCGAACGTCCGCGACAATACGCCATGGCACAAGGACAAAGGCAGGATGAAGCTCAACTTGTAAGCTTAACGATTCGCGGTTATTGAGAACCAACAAGCTGACAGAGCAGCTTCCTGAGTATCATCTTTGCCGGAATGTTCCTGAACGGATGTACGTCTGACCAGTACTGACTGCTTGACCCGATCTGACCGTTTCAGATGATGGTAACCTCATCTCCGGTCTTCAAGCTTTCGACTCCTGGCAGGAAGACCTCGACTTCCCCACTGGGGCTCGTCTCGGTCTTCTCAACGCTATCGGCTATATCTCTGGCTTCTTTGTTGGCCCTGTCATTGTGTACATCGATGACAACTTTGGCCGCAAATGGGGTATTCGATGTAAGCTGTGCAGTACCGCTTCTGATGGTGGGCTTAGCTGATTGTGAAGTCTACGGAATCATGATCCTTATCGGGACCGTCATTGGCTGTATCGCCGGTATTCCGGGTGTCAATGGCTATGCTGGTAAGTTGGCACAGTTCGATCTTGACCGCAGCGAGCTCACCCACTAGTCTTCCTCGTCGGCCGAGCGGTCCTCGGTCTTGGTCTCGCCGCATACCTCATGACATCCCAGGTAATGATCCAGGAGATCCCGCATCCTCGATCTCGGTCGATCGTAGCCCAGTCATGGGTGAGCTTCCCGCACCAGATCTTCTCTGCATGAGCTGACAAGCAGAACTCGTACTATATCCTCGGCTCGGTCGTCGCTTCATGGGTCAACTTCGGTTGCTCCTACTTGACCACCTCTTGGCAATGGGTGAGCTTTCCATCATCCGACAGAGCTCGAAGCTGACATCGCAGCGCACACCCTACATCATCCAGGTCCCTTTCGCCCTCTACCTCCTGGTGGCCGTCCAATTTGTCCCCGAAACCCCTCGTTTCCTCATCGGGAAAGGCAGAGACGAAGAGGCCCTTCAATTCTTCATCGACTACCACGGGAACGGGGACGCTCAGGACCCGCTTGTGCTGTTCGAGTACGCCGAGGTCAAGGAGGCGATCCGGCGCGAGAAGGAGGCCAAGGCGGAGAAGTGGTCGACTATCCTTCGAAGCAGGCCGAACAGGCACAGGCTGGGGTTGGCCATGCTGATCACTTTCTGCACCAATGTGAGCTTAGTATGCCCGCCAGACTGCGCGGTTCAAGCTAACTGGGCGTAGATGTCTGGATCTTCGCTCATCTACTTTTACTGTAAGTCACAGTCGCCGAAAAAATGGTGTGCAGCTGACATGCCAGACGTCATCGTGTTCAGCTCAGTCGGTATCACGGACGCTACAACTCAGACGGGTATCGCTGCTGGCCTAAGCATGTTCACCTGGGTCTGCCAGATCGCTGCTGTCTTTGCCAGTAAGCGAGTCGGCCGCAAGACGATGCTCCTCTGGGTCTGGCCATTCATTCTCATCTTCCTGTCTTGCCTCTGCGCCACTTCGTAAGTTACACGAGAGCTTTACGAAGTGACTGAGCCGAGCTTATTTTGACAGTGGTGTTTATACCGAAAGTGGCAATGAGAATATGGCTGCGAGTACCGCTTCGATCGTCTTTGTCTGGCTCTATCTGGGCACCTTCAACTTGTCGAGTAAGTTAGCTAGGCTCCATAACAGCTTTGGCGAAGAGACAGCTGACATTCACAGACCCTGTTCTTTATTCTTACCCCGCCGAGATTCAGACGTTCTCGATGCGGAGTAAGGGTATGCTCGTCTGGAATGCCATCACGCAGATCGAATATGTCTATGTGGTCTTTGTCGATGCTATCGCTCTTGAAGCCATCGGTGAGTTTGGTTCCATGTCTTGATCCACCATCGCATGCGTCATAAGCTGACAATCTAGGCTACAGATACTACGCCGTGTACATCCCCCTGGTCGTCATTCAGTGGTTCCTCCTCAAGTTCTGTAAGCTATGTGTTCCATGAGGGAGTAGATCGAGCTGACGCCCAGTCATGGTCGAGACCCGCGGTTACACCCTCGAAGAGGTCGCTATGGCCTTCGACCCCTACACCACCAGCTTCGCTGATGTGCACCTTATGAGCGAGGAGCAAGGCGAGACAGCGGCGCATAATAGCAAGGCTAGGGATGTCGAGGACCAGAAGTAGATCCGATCTGCCGTCGATCATCCCATCACGGATGTTCAACACGTCCATTTGTTTATAATCACTCTGTCACCGATGCAATATTGCTGCTCTGTAGGTCTGTCGCCGTATCGGCTAAGAGGGCTTCATCAGACCATGACTTGCGCCAGCTGCATTCAGGTCTGTACTCGACAACGTTTTAAACGTGTTTTAAACGCGTTTTAAACGCGGTTATCACCTGGGAGTTAATAACATCGAATCGACGGAGTTATGCGGGAATATGATTGGACTGGATTTCGGAGCTTAGCCTTGGCCCTTCTCGGCATCTCTGTCCGCTCGCGGCTGTCCTTATGTCGCTTGTCGCCTTTTGTCCTCCACTTGCGGCATACAGACAGCCTCTTGTCCGCAAAGACCATGCAGAGCCTTTTGTTCGTCCCTCCCCGCCGCAAGCCCGCCCCGCGTAGGCTCTGGCTGCAGCGTCCGTCAGCACACAAAGAAGACTCACGTAGGGGTATTCGGTACAGCGACAAAAGCCCCTTCCGAAGATCTAGGTTTGAGTTGGAAGAAGTGCTCCGCTCCGTACTGACTTGATCCATTGCGCATCCCTCCCTCTCTTCTCTTGCTTCTTCATCCCACGCAGCGCTGAGAAGTCCTCTGTATCTAGTACCCTTTCACGTTGACACTCATCCAGGCTAAAGTAAGTAAGTCAGCACCGCGTCTTGCCTCATCGTGACCTCAGCTTATCCTCAGTTGAGCTGGTCATATTCCCCCTTACCACCATGTCCGCTTCATCCACGACCCCACCACTCACTCCCGCCGAGCCCAGCACGCCTCCTCCCACCGGTCCATCCGTTCGGATCACCCTCCCCACCCCACCTTCGTTCGCCCGGCGTCAGCGGTCCGTCTCCACGTCTGTCCCCTCCCCTCCCAGCAAGCAGGCCTCCGAGGAGGAAAGCGGCGAATCCACCTCGTCCGGCTCGGAGAACGCGGACGTTGTCTCGCCTTTCAAGATTGTGGAATGGAAAAAGTCGCACGGGCGAAGTGTGAGCTTCAACCTCCCTGCTATCCTCTCGCCCATCTCGCCGAGGGATACCAGCCGGAACGTCAAAGAGCCCAGCGCCTCACCCGGGCTGTACCGCATTCCTCAGAAGTCACCGGACTACGTCGAGTCATCTACTGTGCCTCTATCCGAAACGCCCGTCCTTGACGCTGGCGACAAGAAGCGTAGGGTGCCCCCTCGACCCCTCTCCCTCTCGCCCGCATCTCAGCGGTTCGTCGGGCCCATGACTGGCGTCTCCTCTACGACTCGCCATGGACCCATGACTGTCCCTGCGCACGGCAGTCGATGGTCGTCTACTGCAGCTGCTCGGGGCTTGAGCATCGCCCCCTCTTTGGCCAAACAGCGCCACTCTACCTCCTCGGCGTCCGCTCTCGGCTCCATCTGGTCCGCCAATCTCGCTGGGCTCGGGGCATCATCCGGCTGGATCTCGCCTGCACTCGCTTCCGCCCGGTCTACTGGTGGATCGTCGGCCCGTACGCGAGGCCTGACCGTCGCGGTTCTGAACAGCGGGAAAGAGGTCTTAATCGAGACCTTGCCCACTCCTGGTCTGGGTCGGACCTTGTCTGACCGGTCCGACGTCATCGCCGAAGAGAAGGAGGAGGAGATGGAGATGTTGAAGGATGAGCTGGCCTCTCCGACACCAAAGCCCAAAGCCTCCTCTCCTGCTCCCAGCACTGCTCGTAGTCCTACAAAGAAGCCCAGAGAGAGTGAGTCTCCCTCATGACACCGCTGACCCCAGTCATTCTTTGTCGGTACTATCATACCCCCGACCTGACCTGTACCTCCCGTCCCTGTCGATTCGTGCACGACCTCGCAAGCGTCGGTATCACCGAAGCGTCCATCTCCGACTACAACATGAAGTCACCCACCACCGCCAACCTCCCCTCGGCCGTACTTGACCGGCGCACGGGCGATTCCCCTGACTTTACGAGCGGGACTTTTGCGGCGTATCAAGCCGAGGCGCGGCGCAAGACGCTTACAGTCAAGGATGTGGATGAGAAGGGAATTGTACCGGGCGAAAAGGTCGTGGTGGCGTCGGAGAATGGGACGGAGGTGGAGGGGATGGTCTTCTTGATGAGCGGGGGAGGGAAGGGGCCAGCTGGGAGAGGCAAGGCAAAGTTTAAGAGTAAGTCTTTGCCTTCGAAGAGAAGGGTATAGCTAATCAAGCAGCTGTTGCGTGCAAGGAATACGCCGAGGGGCACTGCCCGTACGGCGCACACTGCTCTTTCATCCAGTGAGCTGGCATCTCCTTGTAGACAGCAAGACTTGTAGCTGACATAGCAGCGACGAGCAGCCTTCTGTTGTGGCTCCTCCCAAGTCGGCGATCCCCAATCTCGGCCCCATACTCTCCAAGCCCCTCGCAACATCCACTGCCACTACCAAGGCGGATCGCCGGCGCACATTCGACCCGACCCTCCTCCGCGGAGCCGTCAATGCCTGGCTTACCACACCCTCCTCCCCTGGGCCGATCAACTTATCGATGGACCTCGACGCGGTCGAGCGCCACCAGCAGAACCTCTCTGCTTTCGCCCCACCATATCGAGAGACGCCTATCGAGGTGAATGTCGAGGGCAAGCTCATCCCCACCACTCCCGGTCTCCCGAGCACATCAGGCGTCTCGCGTGGATCCGTCCCTGAGGTGCGATTCAAGCTCGAGCCTGCCCCAGCCATGGTCCGCGCCAAGAGCTCCGACTCCACCTCCAGCAAGCGCTCTGCATGGTCCAAAGGTCCACCGGCACATCTCAAGACCGTCACCATTGACAGCTCGCCGATCATCCACCAGACCCTGGCCGTCCCCGTCTCGGCAACATCCATGTTCGGTACGGGTTCCGACCCCGCTACACCTTGGGACCCCGCTATCCGCGCTCTACGGATCGCCGAGGCCGAGGAAGAAGCGGCGCAGGAGATCAAGCGAGATCCCGAGTACCCACCCACCGCGAGCTACGCTACCGTCGCTCCCGACTACGTCTACACATTTCCGGATGGACCACAACTTGGACCCATGTCATACCCGTACAGCGCCCCGGCGTACCCGTGGGGCATGCCGATGAGTCCCGTCAATGTGGCTGTGGGTGGCATGTATGATCCCGCACCGCAGATCCCGGGGGGACTGGGGGTGATGTGGACCCCGACGGGTTGGGCCGTACAGGACGCAGCGATGAAGATGGCGCTGTTCCAGGCTGAGAATGGTGAAGGGTGGCGCAAGGGACAAGCGAAGGGAGAGTATCAGCCAAAGACTTACTGGCGGAGTGAGTTTGCTTCTCGGCTGGATTGAGGTCTAGCTGACTTTCAGCGAAAAAGTGCAAGTTCTATGCCGAGGGAAGCTGCCCACACGGCGACACTTGCACCTAGTACGTGTCCTGTAAATACCAAGTCGGCCTAGGGCTGATCGTCAGCATTCACGAAGGACCAGTACCCCAAGAGTCCAAACCCAAGCGGTCTAGCAAGAAGAACCACCAGACCCAGCCCTGCAAATTCTACAACTCGGCCGCAGGGTGCCTGAACAACGACAACGACTGCGCCTTTCTCCACACCCTCGTTGTACCCACTTCCGCTCAGCTCGTCGCTAAGCCTCGACCGTGGCGGACGCGTCCGTGTCGGCACTTCCAAGTCGGCCGGTGCCGCCTAGGCGACTCGTGTCACTTCGCGCACCAGTACGATGGGACCGGAATCGGAGGTAGGGAGGAGGGGGATGGTGGGGTAAGCGAGGGAGGTCACGCGTTGACAGAGGAGAGTCTGCGTCGGTCTTTGGCGGAGAGTGGGATGAGGGAGAGGGTGAGGGATGAGGATGAGGATAGTGAGGATGATTTGGAGATTGTAAGTCTGTCTTGACGTGTCCGTGGTGGGGCCGAGCTGATTATATAGGTGACTGAAGACACGTCCACTCTTTCTCCACCTCACAGTGTACGAGCGGTTTGGTAGTTGGTGTAGCGGAGGTCATCTAAAGAGGTTCAGGATCTACTTGTATGGGCTATCTCTCATGCAACCGATATCTAGTAAGGTCTGAGATGTGGCTGGGGTACGCAGAGGAGATGAGGTATAGCTTGAGCTAGATGACCCTCATCGAAAGGGGAGAGGAAGTCGGTTCCTCGGCTCTTTGGCAATGGGACGATATCCATACAATCTAAATGTCTATGTGTACTAACCATGTCTCATTACCACTTCGTTACAAATTCTGACCCGGCGCCCATCTCTTTACGGTGGACTCTGTGCCCCCCTGATCGGGAACCTCGACCATCTTCCGCGTGGGAGCATGGTCGGACAGGCAATATGGGTTGCCAGTATCCTCCTTTTGCCTTTTGTCCCGCCATAGCACCTGCACTGAGTCAGCTTGGCGGCAGTGACAGCTGAGCTTGAGGCAAGGCACTCACGAAATCACTCCTTCCTCCTGGCGTAAAATACCCGCTCCCGCGTGCCACTCGCCGACTGCCCCTATATCCGCTTTTCCTCTCCTTGCTTGCGCCTCCCTGCCACTTCCCTTTGCCACGAATCCGCTACGTCTCGGCAACCATCCTCAGCACCATCTCCATAAGCACCGTATCCGCCGTCAGACTGGGATGATACCCATCTCCGCGGAGGTACGGTGCCGCCTGACCGCGCATACGGTCCGCGAACGGCAGTATGCGAAGGTTAAGCCGCCTGGCGAGCTCGCGCTGCGCTTGCCGCATGTGTTCCGAGCGGAGAGGGATGAACTGGGCTTTATGTTCGGGGTAGGTGTGGGTGGTATCGTGGGTAAGACGGATAGCTATGGGGATGCGGGAACCGTAGGTGACGCGTAGCCGCTCAACGACGAGGATGAAGCGGTTGATATAGGCGTCGAGCCAGTCCGCGAGGACTCCGTGTGTGACGTCTGTCTTCTCATTGTTCCGGTAGAACTTCATGAGATCCCAAAGACCCGCATTTAGGACGATGAGATCATAGTGGGTGTCCTCGCCGAGCAGGGGTCCGAGGAGGTCCACGCGCTCAAGAAAGTCGCTTGGGGGTTCATCGTGGGCGGGGGAGTCATAGACGCCGTAGGTGAAGAGGAAGTCCATCCGGAACTCGTCGGGACGGACTGTACCGCGGAGGGTGATGTTCGTAGGAGGGGAGAAGGAGGGGGAGTCGACGAGGCGGACGCCGACGAACCGGGTTGTGTGATCGTTGGCCCGGTTGTCTTTGGGGTCGAGGGGATCCCCGCTGATAGGCTCATGGACCATCAAGGTGGAGGTGGGGAGAGCGGCGGCCAGCTCGTCGAAGGGTATCCGATCGACGCTATCGCCGAGGTAGAGCACCCTCTTCCCCCTCAACCGCTTTGTCTCGGCGTATGAAGCCTCCAGGATCGCCGCGTCCGCGTCCCCCTCTGCGCCGACTTTCCCATCTAGAGCCGCCTGGCTGACCCGGAGCTGCGCGGCCGAGTTGTCACGCATCGCCCGATACAGCCGTATCTTGCTTTGGCACAGTACCGCCCCGCCGTCCGTCACCGTCTCCTCGTCGCACGCGTATCCCTCCATCGCCTCCGCCCGCGTCTCGTACGTGGTCGACCATGGGTCCGAGTAATTGAGCCGGAGGTACCCGGCATCGTTGAACCAGCCCGATGGTACGGTGGGCGATGGCAGCAACAGCGCGTAGAGCCGATGTTGTTGATGTGGGGAGAGGAAGAGGGCTGTAATGGAGAAGATGGCAAACGCGAGGAGAGGCAGCTTGAACGCTCCGACGCGACTGGATGGTCCAGCACCGATCGTCGGGAGCGGGAGTCTCATCATGACGTCTTAGAATCAGCTCATCTTTGCGATCGACGACAGAGAATCGGTGATCTGAGACTTGACTCACTTGTGGACAGACTGAAGTGTTTGCTGAACCTGTACTGCTGTTAGCAGTGACTGAGATGTACAACATGTGCAGAGCCAGCACCTGCTAACACGCACATGTACTCTATTAGAAAAGTCCCTCCGAAAACCTTAATCTTGTTCCTGGCCCTGAGGATAACGTAACGCGTAAGTACTAAGACTATCACTGGGGTTCGTGAGGGCGAGAGCTAGATCTGTAACTTGGGAATAGATAGTTATAGTGTAGTTCATAGACCTTAGTTGATTAGCTCGGATTTCCAACAGTAGGATAAGTGCAAATTTTAGTACTAAGAACGTTCGGCGGGTTTAAGGGTATCGGAGTCAGAGCGTGGCGGTCCGGCGGCTTCCGGCGGTCCGCCGCCGCGAAACTCTAAACAACCTGGTCTAATCAAGCGAGAGGCTGCGACGCATTTACTCTGGGCACTACAGATACATCATACACTATACGAACCACCAAAACCCAATCTGCCCTGCCACCTGCCTTGCCACATTCAAGCCGCAATGTGATCCACCTCCCGCTCCCATACCCTGTGCTTCGCTACCGCGTCAATGAAGCTCTTTGAGAACTCAGCCCCCGTCCCCACCTCCGGCGCAATCAGGACACCCTTCTCTAACGAGATCCCTCCTGTCTTGACACCCGCCGAGAACTCTCCTGGCAGCGCAATGTCCGCGAGCCACTCGACCGTGTTGCCGGTCGCACCGATGGCCTTTTTGTGCATGAATGCCTCCCGAGCAGCGTGGATGAGCCGGCCGGTCTTGAGCTTCTTGGCGTATGAAGCATCCGCGCCGCCCGCAAATATGATGGCGTCAAAGTGGGTCGAGCGAGAGTTCTCGAAGTTGAACTCGGCGTCGAGGGACTGGCCGTTCGAGCCCTTGATGGCGCCGGTCTGGGCGGAGACGATCTTGGCCATGACGCCGGCGGCCTGAAGGGCCTTCTGGATGGCGGCGACCGAGGCGAACTCGTACCCGGGGAGAAGGTAGATACCGACCTTGCGACCCTCGGCAGTAAAGGCTGGATGTCAGCTAGATTCACTCAATACTGAAAGCATATACTCACTCTGATTCTTGCCGGTAACCTGACTGAGGAAAGCAGACTTGCGCCCGTGATTGGGCTTGACGGCAGGCTTGACGGTGATGTGGGGGAAGACCTCGGCAACCTTGACGGCAAAGTCGTGGTCGATGAGGTTGTACCGGTCGATAGCGGCCTGGTGGACCTCGTGCTCAGAGCACTTGGACAGCTCGAACTGAGCGGCGGAAAGCATGTGCTCCTTCTCCGGCTCCGACATGGAGTTGTAGAAGAGGGTAGCTTGGTCGGTGTATTCCTGCCTGTCAGCTCTTTAAATGCAGGTTACGAACAGAGCCAGACATACCTGGAACTTGGGTCCGTTGAGCCTGGTCTGAATACCCTCCACCTTCTCCTCGTGGTGCCTCAAAGACTCCTCCGGGGCAGACATGGGGAGCGCGTCGTGTCTGTTGGGGTGGTAGGCCGTACGGTTCCTGCGCGAATTGAAGGCGCCCTTACCGTCACGCTGGTTGGTCGCGAAGGGGCAAACTGGCCGGTTGACGGGGAGGAAGTTGTGGTTGACACCGAGACGCGAGATTTGGGTGTCGAGGTAACTGAAGTTGCGACCGGCAAGGAGGGGGTCGTTGGAGTGATCCTGACCCGGCACAATGTGGGACGTGCAGAAAGCGACCTGCTCGACCTCGGTGAAGTAGTCGGTGGGGTTGCGGTTGAGGGTGAGGGTACCGATGTTCTGGACGGGGACGAGGTCCTCCGGGATGAGCTTGGTCGAGTCGAGGATGTCAAAGTCGAACTAAATGATCAGCCTTAGATCCTGATGTGGGGTATATGATTCTGCACGCAAGCGAAACAAGACTGACCTTGTGCTCATCCTCCTCCTTGATGATCTGCACACCAAGCTCCCACTTGGGGTAGGCGCCGGCCTCGATGGCATCGTAGAGATCACGACGGTGGAAGTCCGGGTCTTGTCCGTTGAGCTTGAGAGCCTCATCCCATACCAGCGAGTGGGTACCGAGATGCGGGGTCCAGTGGTACTTGACAAAAGTGGACTTGTTGTTCTCGTCGAGCAGCTTGAAGGTGTGGACTGCTCATGAGCTTATTTTCCGAAAGGTCACAACCCGGACTGACCTCCAAAGCCCTGCATCATCCGGAAGGACCGGGGGATGGCTCGGTCAGACAAGATCCAGGTCTGCATATGCGTGGTCTGCTCATGGAGCGACATGAAGTCCCAGGCCTGCTCGTCAGCGGACATCACAAGGTCAAGCAGCCCATTATCACGCAAATTACATTGTCGTGTGCAGTTTGTGCTTGGGGAATCTCATTGTGGGGCTCGGGCTTGACAGCGTGAACGAGGTCGACGAACTTGATGGCCTGGGGGGGTCAGCCGCGAAGAAAAAGTGAAAAAATCGAAGTAAAATCTCGATATCTGGACCGGGACTCACCTCCTGTACAAAGAAGACGGGCATGTTGTTCCCGACGATGTCCCAGTTTCCCTCGTCAGTGTACATACGCACAGCGAACCCTCGGGGGTCACGAACAGTATCGGCGGACCCTCGACTACCACCGACGGTCGAGAACCGGACATACGCCGGTGTAGTCTTGCTGGTGTCGGTGAGGACCTTGGCGGTGGTGAGGCCGGTCAGAGGAGTGTGAAGCTTGAACTCTCCAAACGCCCCGGCACCACGAGCATGGACGGCCCGCTCGGGGATGCGCTCGTGGTCAAAGTGGGAGATCTTTTCGCGGTTGTGGTGATCTGAGACATTAGTTGCGGGGTATTTCGCGAGGAATGTGGAGTTGCTCACCATTCAAGATCGTAGGGCCACGGTTGCCAGCCTTGATGGCGTGGTCAGTGTCCTAGGAGTCAGCAGAAAAGGGCTTGATCAGACGGAAAAGGACATACCGAGATCTTAGCACCAAAGTAGGTGGTGAGGGGGGTCTTGGAGTTCTCGTCCAGGGTGAAGCTCTCCATCTGGCGGGTCTTGGCATCGCCAACAGTAGCGTTCACAACTGTATTGTCAGTTGTGTCCTTGGATACACCACAGCCACAGGTATGAGCAGCAAGGTGGAAATTTGCGCGGGGAGGAAATCAGCCGATTTGCGCACCTTTCTCAACGATTTGCGCCATGTTACTGATGTTTCGTGGTTTGCGCGTGTAAGGTAAGTAGATATATCTGACAATGAAAGTCAGAAGGCAAGAGTGAGTGGCAAGAGAGGGATGAGTTGATGTTATATACCCTTTGTTCTTGGCTGGGCCAGTGATCCAACGTGGGTTGACGAGAATGTCAGCGTTCGATTGAGGCACGGAGGTTTGCTGGAATCAGGTCCCTGAGCTCATGACGTCAAGGTGGAGGTCCGATTCCGGTAGTTTCGGATTTCGGAGGCTGATGGAATCGGTCTCGGCCCGCATCGGCACAGGATCGGCATGTGCTGAACACACGAGTGGCAGTGGCTGCAAGAGCTGTGGCAAGGTGAGGCAGTGGAGGGAGTGGGTGGCGAGAGACGGTGGAGACAGCAGCTGCTGTCCAGGATGGAGTATCACGACTCTCGCTTGCAGCCCATGCCGCACGATTTGCTGGCTGATCTGCAGCGATTGGGTCCACCTGTCAGGCTAGCAGATATACATAGCAGACTATCCATACGTGTTCTAGAGCCCCCGCCTGGTCTACGATGTTTGTACCATTCTCATCCCGCTTCACCGTCCAACCCCTTCGCTCGTACACATTCGTGCCCGAGTGATCACGCAGACCCGCTTCCACTGTCTTCCTCGACCCCCACCAGCCATATCGAAGGTTTGGGCAGACATACGTCAAGTGGAGAGCCGCCACTTCTCGAGCCTGTTCCATCCTCTCTGCCCATGCTGCCTTCCTGTCAATCCACTCCGCCTGCCAAGCCTCGAATCGAGGAAGCTCGTCAGCGTTCAGTGGCTGCGTGACAATTGGAGGCTGGTCCTGCGAATCAAGCTCATCCCCCAATTGCACCTGTAGTCCCATGTCGAGCGTCTCAAGGTGGGTCAAAAGGGCGAATGCCGACCAGAGCCCCGCCTGCTCGTCAGCTGTAGAAACAATGTCAACAGAAAGAGGTGCGTACGATCTGCGTCCATCCTTCTCTTGACTGCTGGACCATAACACAGTGTTGGCTGCTTTCTCCGTCAAGCCAAACTCGCACTGCGAGAACGAGCCTCATCTCCTTCTGCTTGTAAGTACTGAGATGCAGCTCTCGCAGAACCGGACACCCGCCCCCGATCGCCTCTACGAGCCCAAGATGATCCATCTCCGAACCCACTCTGAGGTACAGCGTGTCCAAAGAAGTAAGGGGGTGACCAAACCGGTCACGGTACACACTGAATGTATCTTGCAGAGGCTTGAGACCCTTTGAGTCTGGTAGGTACATCTTCAGAGACCGTATGTTGGGCGCGACAGAGACGAGAAATGCCTCCATCCCGGATGCGCAGCCCTCGCATGAGATCTTGACATAGACGTGCTGGAGGTGAGGCAGGTGAATGTCGGGCGAGCGCAAACACGTCAGTGGTGGCTTCGTAGCCGCATGGTGTTTCGGCCCTGCATGTACCGGTCTTGCGACTCGCAATTCCCGCAGGTTTGGCATGCGTTGTAGCAGACGGATGAGGTGTGAGACGATGCTGAGGACGCCATTTGATGTATTGTCCTTGAATTCGCTGTCGATTCGAATCTTCATCCGCCTGCCTGCATTAGTCGAGTTGTGAGGAGTATGGGGGAAACTCACGATACGCTTCGCACAAGCTCATCATCCGACATCCAAGCATATTTCTGTAGGTCCGCCATGTTGTTCACCACGAGCCACGTCCCAGAGAGCGGCACGACCTGCCGGATGCGATGACATATCGCCCGATAGTCCCTGAGCGGGCGGAGCGAGCTGCGCGGTGGAGTGAGTGACTGCCACGAGGGGCCGTAAGCGGGGTATGGGATGTTGTTGTCTTCGCTGATGTAGTGGCCGATGGACGACAGGATGTGGTCAGGTAATGAGAGGAGTGAAAGAGGGGTAGGCAGAGGAGTGAGGCATGCTACTCGCAGCTGATCGAATTCGAGCATGAGCCCTTCACCGTGATTGGCTGATGGACATGGTGTGGATTCGTGAGTGTGGTGCTCAGTAGGTTGAATCACCGATCCCTCGGTATGCGAGCTTCTCGTCGAGCCAGCCGGCGAGACGTTGATTTCAGTCATGCGCATCCTCGCTCGCATCGATGCCTTGACCTGCTCGGATGATTGACCCGATGATTGACCTTGATGGTCAGCGGACTTGACGTGATTGGAAGTTGGTGGTCCCTCGTGCTCCGAGCACTGGGTGCAAAGCATACCCTCGCAATCGCGCGAGGCGGCAACCTTCCTTTGAGAAAGAGGGGCGCTCGAAAGCAAAGGATGCCCTGGCGAGTCAGAAAGTAAGGATTGCGGCCGAAGGCCCGAAGCGGCCTGACTGTGTTGCGCCAGAGTGGGCCCGCTTGGGCATCTGGACAGTCTAGCTGCTACATATGTGAGGTAGTGCATGGTAGGATATCGCGACACTTGCTGGACGTCCTCCAGGGCGTCCATCATGGTCCACTGGGGCCCCACTCAAGGGGGGCCGAGGCCGAGGCCATTCTGTATGCTCTGCGATGTCATTCAACCAGCCTACATCTCTCACACGGCGACCAGCGATGTCGAGATCACGCCCACAGCAGCTCGCCGCTCTCCTAGCCACCAGACCTCTGACCCAGCGCCAGCTTCATGTTGCGCTTCGAGCTCAAGCTGGGATCGCAGCATCACCTCCCCGGGACTTCCTGTCTCGATCGCGAGCTTCCGTATTCTCTGGGCCATCACGAGCATATGCGACATCCCCAGCTAGTGGACCAGGAGGAGTTCGTATATCGTATCTCTTCGGCGGACTAGTCGGGCTCGGCCTGCTCGTCACTACGTACGGATTGTACGTTGCGATCCCCCACTGATCTGTTCTGACAGACACTAACCCCGCAGGCTGGAATACTTCTTCTCGCTCCAGACGTGGCCGGAGCACATCCGAACCCCTCTCAAAGCAGCCATCAAAGCTCGCAATGCAGGTGACTGGGCACGAAGCGAGACATACTTTCAAAAGTGCGTTCTTTCCCATACCTCCCCCATCGGACTGTGCTGATTGTCAGAGCAATCGAAGCTGCCCTCTCCCTCCCCTCCTCCTCGCTCCAGCCCGACCCCCTACAGAAGCTCACAGGCCTATACGTCTCCTACGCCTCCCTCCTTGAATCCCAAGGCCAGCTCGTCAAAGCCTACACCACCCTCCGGACCGCTCTCCACCATCTTGGTCCCACACCCCTCATCCCCTCATCTACCGGTAGCGAATGGGCCGGACCATCCTACGTCCTTGACTCGGCGGACCATATTCGCGCCATAGGCCTCTCCCAGAAGCTCGGCCATCTCGCTCTTCAACTATCGGCCGGATCATACCCCCCTCCGTTTCCGGTAGATACCGACCGACCGACCGAGGCGGTCGGATGGCTCGATGCGGCCGAGTCGTACCTCTCCGGAGCGCTCACAGCTATGCTCAAGCTCGGCTTGATCCAGGGAGGATCAGCAAAGGCGTCTGGCGTGATTGCTGGCAAGGATATCGTGTTGCCAGAGGGTGGGACTGAGGAGGACGGGGGAAGGGTTGATAAGCGAGGACTGGGAATGACGATGGAGGCGCTATCGGAGGTGTATGCCAGGAAGAAGCAGTACGAGGTGTCGGCGCAACTATTGCTGCAGGCGATTTCGATCCTGCTGCCGCCTGGGTCGAAAGAGGCGCCCCCAGCTAGGGATAGGTGTCAAGGTCAGTCCTCTGAACGCCGTTTCGGGAACGAGCTGATGTACAGCTGCACTATTGATGACCTCCATCTCATCCCACACCCTCAATCCCCGCACACCACAAGCCATCAAAGTCTCCCGTTCGTGGTCTCTCCAAGGGCTACAGATAGCGGAAAGCACCCTGGCGGAGAACGGAACTTCCTCCGCTGCAGACCCATCCACCCTGATCTGCAATCGAGCAAGAAGCGTCGCTCTGCAAAACATGGGCATGCTATCAGAGGTACGTCTCCATCTTGACTTGGCCAGGACAAGCTGATGCGTCAGATCGAGCAAGATCTTCCTACCGCGTTAGGCTATTTCGACAAGTCATTAGCAGCGTCGAAGGAGATAGGGTTCGCAGAGGGCAGAAGAGAAGCTATGGAGGCGATCAGGCGACTGCGGAATCAAGGCGTGACCGAGCCTACGATTTCTCGGACGTCATGAAGCTATGCATTACAGTGGCACATCCCTCCAAACTAGCAATTCTGTAGATTCACATCCTGGCCAAAAACCCAACATCCCATGACCCCATCTTACGCCTCTCCTCTGGATACACCAGCGTACTCGCCTCCAGGGCGCCCAAGAGCCGATTAACCACCTCTGATGGATACCTAAGCTCCTCTACCTGTCCCTGACCTTGCGCGCCGTCTCCACTCGAGACTTGGCGATACATGATTTTGCACGCTCGGAGTGATCTGGAGTGGCCTGTGGACGATTCGGGTACCGTAGGAGAGGAGCGTGAAGAAGCAGAGGCGACGCTTGAGCGGCGAGAAGACTTGGCCGAACGCGAAGTGCGGAGTGGCGAAGGCGGAGCAGCGATGGAAGGGGATGAGCGGCGGTATGATATGCGTAGGGAGGGGTTGAAGAGCCAGATCTGTAGATCAGCTTAAGCCCTCTTCCCTGAGCTGGGGGACTAACCAAGATCTTCTGTTTATCCGTCTCCTCGTCGATTATCATGAGGCGATAGGTAGCGTGCGCTTGCGCGAGGTCAAGCATGTCGGACGTAATGTAAGTTTCGAGAGGATATCGAGTGGGTCTGTATCGTCAGCTACTGATCCAGCACAGTGCTGCCGCATGAGGCAGCTCACTCGACGTTCTCCCCATCGACATCATCATCCCTCAACAGCGCCAGCGCCCACTTGGAGAACCGCACAGTCCCCGCTCCAGGCTGATTGTCCATCTTTCTCGCCTTGCCCAGGATTTCGCCGCAGAGACATCGCTGCACATCCCAACTTGTATCCTGCCTGATCAGCTTACTGCATCACCGTCCAAACAGATCACCAAAAGCAAGAGCAAAGCTCAAAGCAAAGAAACAAAAGATGTAGTCTCAGATGTAGCCTCCCTCCCTTGATACTTGCGGGATAATAGGTTTGATCAATCCGAGACCCAACGGGACATGTGATGTTTATATAGGACCGTTGTATCAACCGAAAAGTCGTCGTGGGACGACCCCTCCGGCCCATCCCTATGTTATCCGACATCCCGCACAAAGAGCCTACTCGGCCCCGCGCGGACCTTGCGAGAGGTCCACAGCGGGGCGTTTCGGCCGGGGACATCTGGAGGGATGGGGGAGCGCCAATGGGTGTGGCGACGGCCTTCTTGTAGTCCATGGGGAAAAAGGAGGGGGGTGGAGGAAATACGAGAAACAAAATTGAGCGAGAAAACTCACCTTGGTAGACTTTGAGGTAATATTTGCCCGCTTGACGTCTGCGGCATTGACGAGGACGTAGCTCCCACCCACAAGAACCCGACCCTTGGCCGGCCAGAACCCCTCCTTGGTTTGCTTTGCCAGCCGTGCTGTAAAGCCAGGATCATCGTGACACATCCATACCTCCATCATCTCCGCCCAATGCTCGCTTGGAAGGTCCTTGAAACGCTCGTCCTCCTTCCCCCCTAAGCCTTTGGCGGATATAGAGGCGATCTCCCGATCGCAGGTGGTACAGCACAGACCGCGGGGATTGAGTTTGCGCAGTTCCGACGCCGAGAGCGGGTGGCTGACCGATGAGATCAGGCTCGGCGCAAAAGTTGCCATAGGCACGGACGAGAGCTTGGCTTCGAGGTGAAGACCGTGTGCGATGAGCGGGACGGATTGGTGTGACTGTATAGGGACTGGAAGGGGAATCCGAAGGGACGAGTTGCCTATCTCCAGAATGGCCTCGACGGCGGGGCGGGAGCAGGAGGCGGGGTCGAACGATTTGAGCTGGAGATCCGAGCTGAGGGGGAGCTGGGGGCCGAAAAATGTGACGGTGACGATGTTGAGGTTCTCTTGGTGCTCAGCGATATAATTGACCTGTGAGAAGTCTGCAAAGTCAGCTCGGACGCACATACAGCCGCGATAGAGCTCACCGGTCTCCTTTGCGCTCTTCAGCCCCAAACCCAGAGCCTGACTCCGCCTCCTCATCATTCCCCTGAGCGTCCCCGTCTTCTTCTCCGCCTCGACCGTACCAGACGAACTCCTTCCTCGCCCGTCCCGCGCATCAGGGATCTGCGGCCCGTCCTTGAAGAAGTTCTCCATCGTGACGAGCTCGTGCGGATCTTGCCCCTGGAAAGACCGGTGCCTCGGTGTCGGCGGTCTGGAGTCCTGGTCCGCCATCCGGCCTGAAGAGGAAAAGTTGACGAGCGAATCGACGAGCGACTGGCGTCTGAGAGCAATGCGGTCTTCGGGGGTCTGGGGGTAGTCTTGAGTTTCGAGTCGGCCAGATCGCATCCGGTCGACCATGTCCTGCAGATAGGCTTGTCGCTGCTCATCAGTCAGGATCTACGCTTCAGACGTGCTCACTCACAGCTTCGTGCTGCCTGTGGCGTACTGCATCTTCGGTCGGTGCGGACGCATCCTGATCCTCCAATCTCGCACCAGCAGATGTCTCCAGTAACTCCCGCAGAAACTGATCTCGCTACATTATCAGCCCAGTCAGACCTCTAGCGACACTCCCCGACTCACGTCTCTCAATTCCCTCGCCCTGGCCAGATCTCCGTTCACAGTCCCCATCTCCCCATCCTGCCCCTTCATCCTACTCATCTCCGCCCGCTCATACAATTCCTGCAAGAACTGACTCCTCTCCTCCGCTCTTCTGCCCCTCACGCCCTCCATATCCACCCGCTGATCGTCTCTCATCCGGCGCTTCCCATGCGCCCTCTCAATCTTGCGCCAGATATCCTCCAACTCCTTCATCTTGGCTTTATCTGACATTTGCCGCTCTTCCCTCCCTTTGCCCTTGGTACCATTCGCGGCGCGTAGAACAGGCGAGCTAGACCGAGGGCGTACAGGCCGAAGGACGGACCGTTGATCCGCGTATCCGGTGGAGAGGGCGCCTAGGCGTTCGATGGCGGAGGTGAGGTGTTCAAAGTCGTGGAGCATCTTCTCGGACGGAGGGGCTTGGCGGGGTGACGAAGGTCCCGCTTCCGACTTCTTGTCCGATATACCGTTCGCTTGAGATATCTCCTCGTAGTCCGGGAGATCGTCGAGGTGCTTCTCATTGAGCTCATACTCCGGTGTTCGAGCCTCCGTCCGCTGCTGTACGGTAGGCACATCGAGTGTCCCATTCCGCTCAGTCTCTGACGGACCTGACTCCCTAGCTCGCACCATACCCAGTACCACCCTACTCAATGTCTGTATCCGCTCCACCGTCACCTGCTGCCTATAGACATCTATCGCCGGCTGCAGGCTCTCCCTCGAGTGCGCAGCCCGCGGCGCCTCCAGGCCAGACTGCAGACCTCCCAGGTGCTCCGCCAGGGCCGCGAAGCTGCCTTCCGCTCCAGATCGCTCGGTGACCGCCGGAGGGGTAGACGGACCAGCCACCTCCTCATATGCTGGGGAAGGACCGAACGACTCCAGCTCATACGTCGTCTCGAGCAGTTCCGTCAAGGCGGCCGCGAGGGGCTGATCCCCTTCCGCCAAAAACGCCGAGCGGCGATCTCCGGCGTCCGAAGGCAATAGCGAGTGAAGGACAGCTACGCATGTAGATTGGAGAGTGGCATAGTCCTGTTGCAGCACCTGTGAGTCAGCATGAAAGTAATGACGAGCACGCTGAAGGGACGAGCGTACCTGCGGAGCAGTCGTGTGCCCGTTCTGCGCTGACCTATACTCCGGGAACGGCTCAGGCGGGGGAGGTAGCTCCTCGTCAAGACTGACGATGTTGCCGTTGTGCTGCTGATGTGACGGCTCTTGTGGGCGTAAAGCTTCCATAGCGAAGAAAGCGACCAACGAAACTTGATTGGGGGCCGAGATAAACGCCGAAATGAGGGGCCTTGCCGTCGAGATACCGGTTCAGGATGCCCAATAATTCAGGCGCGGGCCTATATGGTCCAGGCGTTCAGCTTCGCTAGATGATACCGATAGGTATAGATACATCGTCAAGGGTAGAGATAGCTTTCACGTCGCTCTTGACCAAACTTTGAAGGACCTGGGGCTGGTCCAAGCTCGATGCCGGCATGAGAGAAGCTTAATTCCGGCAGTCCGTGCGTCATTCCTCGGACAGTCCGGTTCCGGCCCGGACAGTTGTTGCACCGAGGTACCGGAGGTGCTTCAGTGGGCCACTGAGCGCGCGCTCCAGAGATTGCATCACTTGAAGAGTTAGCTAAGTCCACAAGCACTATCACGGGTGAACTTGAATCTTCAGCCGACGATCATTCACACACCGGGGCGACATCCGGTCATCTGACAAACATATCCCACTCCTCCATCATGTCCGAACTCCCCATGCCCGAGCTTCCGAGGACGAACGAAGGGAAGCGGATCTGCCAGATCATCCGGGTGAAGCCTGAAGCTTTAAAGGAGTATAAAGAGGTAAGTCTGCCTCTGGTGCCTCTGAGACACGAATGATACGGACGCTATGGATCAGAGGTACAGAGCTAACGAGCAGGTCCACTCGGCTGTCTGGCCAGAGATCCTCGCTGCACTACGACGAGCCCATGTAGTCGGTCCGTCTCCCCACTATCAGTGGCCAGTGACCAGACTGACTCACCAGACTACTCGATTCACTACTTTGAACCCCACAGCCTGCTCATCGCGCATATGCGATACATAGGCCAAGACTTTGAAGGGGATATGGCCAAGATTGCAGAGGACGAAAATACCAAGCGGTGGTGGAAGGTGATATGAGCCACTGTCGATTTTGCATACCTTAGAGCTAACAATGCAGCTTACAGATGGGATGCAAGAAAGCTTCGTGCCAGGCGCAACGGGCAGTGCGTCCGGTCCTGGCTGGTGGACGCCCGCAGAAGAGGTATTCCGTATGGAAGGATAGTCGGAGGCGTATCATCTATATACATGAACGACAAGCAGTACGAGTCGCAATCATGAGGGGGGCCCTAGCTATACAGTACTTGCTACAGCAACCACTACAACTTGCTTGGCTTCCACGGGGTATCTATCATTGTCCTGGATCTAAGTTGAGGCTTTGTTGATGTGACGGCGGGTGTGCGTTTTGATAGACCGGTGTCGGTAATGGAGAGTCAAGATACGTGGAGGATGGCGATGACGATGAGGGGACAAGGTGGGGATTTTGGAAGGGATAGGGTGATGACGGTAGGAGCCGCTCGGTTGACGGACCGCCCGACGCAGAGCATGCGAGAGGAACGGGATGTGCGAGTGTGAAGCGCGGGTACTCCAGCCCTTCTCTCATCCTGTCCCGCTCACAGCCAGAACCCCCTGATCTCCATTTCCCCATGCCCTCCCTATCCCTCCTACATCGCCTCGCGAGAAGCTTACGCTCCGCGCAACGCTCGACGCCGCTGACGAACTCCGCTCTTTTTGCCTGGATCCGTTCGGGGCGGCCGTGATGGGTGTGTTTGACGACGACGCCGGCGCGGGTGACGGTGCGATAACGGAAGAGGTAGCGGAGGTGGAAAGCGTATAGGGGACGGTAGTGGTTGAGGCCTTTGATGACGGTGGGGCAGTAGCGGCGTGTTGAGGGGGGATGGGAGGAAGTGCAGTCGCCGTGGCATTCTCCGTTTCGCGACTCCCGCTAGATTGCACCTGTCCAGCATCAACCGCCTCGAGGGGCGCACTAGCAGTCTCCGCTGGTTCCGGCGGAGGCTGAGCTGGATCTTTCGGATGACTTTCCGTCTCCCCCTGTCCCGCCTGATCCACCTCCATTCCACCTCCTTCCTGCTTCGACGTAGCTCTCGCCGCGTCCTCCTCCGTCGGTCCTGGCCCGGGCGTAGCCTTACTCTCCCGCTCTTTCCGCTCCTTTGCCCTCCGCTTCCCACCCTCACTGAGCTCTTTCCCGGTCTCGGCGTCCACGCCCGTCTCTGCCTCTCTGCCTTCCCAGTAGCTCAACAGCCGGTCGCCATATCGCTGCATCTCGTCCGTAGGAATAGCGAGCCGGAAGTCGTTGAGGAGGAGGAATTGGAGTTCGAGCTGATTCAGCTCGTGTGGTGGTAGACCGCCGACTTTGGCATAGCGCGAGTTGGTATAGAACACGTCTGCGAGTCAGCTGACTACACGGCTTTGTGAGACTGCCAGAACGGGGACGCGTACCTGAGAAGAACTTGCTCGCTACCGTCACTCCCGCAATGACCAACCGGTGCACATTGAAACTATCAATCGCAAACCCCTTCCCATTCTTTCCCACCAGCCCTGCTCCCACCCCGGACGCCGTGCCCAACCTCGACATCCTATCAAAGTACACCAGAAGACTGAGGAAGACTTCATTCGTCGTAGGGCAGTATTTGAGGATACGTAGCAGGTACGCTTCGATAGATATGGAGGGGACGTGTCGGGCGTGAAAGGATAGGAGTGAAGAAGGGTGTACGAGCGACGTGCGGGACGCAGTGAAGAGTGGGAGTGGCGACGAAGGGTCTATACCGCCTCCCCCGCGGGGAGTATTATGTGGATTATCCCGCTCGCTGAAGAGTGCGGCAGTCGGAGAGGGTAATGGTCCGCCGGTACCGTGGGGTGCTGCAGAGCTCGCCCGACTTCCACTCCGAGACGAATGAGACTCGTCCTCCACCTCCTCCGCTTCCGGACGGAGCTGGTCATTGGCCGCTGCGATCTGCTGTAGCAGGTTCGCAATCAGCCTGAGCAGCGTCGCTGTAGGGTACGCCGCGAGATCCAGGTGAGGGCCAGGTGGACGGGCGAGCTCGTCCTGCATCTCCGAGTCAGATTGGCGGGATGCGAACGCCGTCTCCGGTGAAGCAGGGCGAGAGGTAGTGCGCCGAGAGGCAGCAGTGCTGCTTTGCCCGTCGGCGTCGGTGTCCGTGTCCATGTCGGACTGTCCAGGGGTGGTTGGCGGGGGAGGGGTGCGACGGGGTCGAGAGGGACCCGCTTCACTGTCTACATCCATGATGAACGGAGAGGCGGCGCTCTGTCTGGTATGCTTGACTGCTTGTTGTCGCAGCTTATAGATGATATGTAGCCGACAAGTACAAGTATGATGAACAGACGAACGTGCAAGCAAGGTGCCAGGAGTGTAACGTCACTCAGGGCACGTCACTTTCCGTGTAAAAAGGCCATATTTCAATAGCGGGATCTATTGCATTTCCTAATGATGATATCATCCCTTGCTCATAGGCCTATACACCAAAAACAAATTGCCAGCAGGCATATCTCTCCTCTCTACCAGTCCAAAGCCCCATCGTTCGGCCATCTGTGTCAGACATGGGACGGTGCGGAGACCTAGGAGATCGCTTCCGGCTTTGATGTAGCCCTTGTCGAACTGCTCAATCAGCGGAAGCGCTGGTCAGGGAATAGGGCGTACCTTCTCGTCCGCTTCGCTCTTGTAGGAACCGTCGTCCGCTCGGAAGGGCGAGTAAATGGCTATCCAGCCATTAGATGGGTCCAGGAGAGGCGCTGTATCTGACTTGGTCGCAGAAGGCGAGAGGTGACGAAAGACATTCTCGGGGTACTCAACCGGACAGCAATGTACGACATTGACTACGGCGATTTAGCTGGAGTCCGCTCATGAGTCATGATGATGCAGAAGGGACAGACGCACCCATGATGAGCCCCTCGAAGAGCGCCTCTTGCGGATCAGTCCCACCGAGGCCTCCGCTTGCGGCTCTCCGCACTTCACCCTCCCACCTCTCCCAGGCTTGTTCGGAGCCTATATCCAGCTCAAGCCCATTCCTGACGTTCTGAAGACGTCCACCAGTCCTCTCGCTATCCAGAGCCTCGTCAATGGTCCTGTCCACCATCAGCCCAGCCAGGATACCGGTATGCGCCCCGAGCGAAGCATCTGGCTGGCTCACCTGACCTGCCCCTCGTCTCTGCCTGTCGGCCACCATTCGACATCTCCCCATCGACCCGCCCAATGCTTCATATGCACGCACGATCCCGATCCGATCTCCAAGACCCTCCGCTTTCGTCTTGTCGTTGATGCATCATCCACTTAGTGCCTGTCAGCAAGCGCGCTTGCGTCAATTCGTATAGCCATGAGCCGGAGGGCTTACCGGATCCAGAGGACGCCTCGCCAGCGCTGATGCCTGCGCCGTCCAGAACAGAAGATAGTGCCTCGGTGATGGGCGCAAGATTGCGCTGCGTCGCTTCTACGAAGCAGTCAGTGCAGGTCAGACAGGGTAAGTAAGAAGGTCAATATCGCTTCGCCTCCGCGGCGTCGTCTGGCACGTAAGAATGAAGTCCACTTACCTGGCGTGCCAAACCTGGTAGGGTATGACATTGATCTGTGCTAGCTCCGGTGAGTCTCCGAATGATTCTCGAGGGATCTGAGCGCGAAGCGACAGACGGCGAAGTAGCAGACGATGTTGGGCGAACGCAAGAAGTCACCGGCTTCAAAGCGAGCCGGAACTTCCGGAGCCAGTGTGCAGGTGTCCAGATCCCTCGGTTCCCACTTATGGCTGCTTTGGTTAAGTTTGGGCTGACTCTTCACTGCCTCATGCTCACACCAGCTCAAGAAGACAGCGACAGTACCTTGTATATATGACATGTAGAGAGTTGCCGTATGTATGACATGCAGAGTGTCAAACTCCTCGAACCAGTATGTTTCGATCCGACCCTTATAATGATACACCCTGCTGGCTGGACCCCTCTCTCATCCCCCCCACCCTAAGACTTTTTCGAACTTCGTCCTATACCACACCTTGCGCTCCTACATCGATTTTACTCAAGGCCTCGAAATCGAATTATAGCTGTCCCATCAGCTCCGTCCTCTTCACATCCCAACGAGACCCAAACTCACTTTGGCGGAATCTCCGTAACCTCCGCATCCTGCCCTGGCATATCCGCATGCTGATATACGCTCCGCCCATCGCTAAACGCCGCACTCGACCGTCTGTCACCTACACCAGGCGAAGTCTCCCCGCTCCCCGGCCCGTCATTATACCCCTCGCTCGTAGACGGGAGCATCGCCGCCCCGCCTGACCCGCTCGGCCCACCCATCATTCCGGACCCATGAGACGTTCTCGAGCTGTGCGACTGGTATCCCTGCCTTCCGGCGGCTTCGCGTTGCTTGGCGAGCGCAGCAGGCGTGAGTGGTGGTTGAGACTGCGGCGTCGAGTGGCCGTACCCGCCGTATGCGGATGACTCGCCGCCCTGGCTGCCCGTCTCGGAGCGGTAGTCCCGCTCGGACGGCTGCTGGTGGTTGCTGTATCCCCGAGCAGCGGCCGCTCCAGCTCCGATACCCGCTGCACCAGCTCCGGCACCCATGGCTGCAGCGACACCATACCCGTCGTTCCCGTACCATCCGCCGCCACCCCCACCTCCGCCCCCGCCGCCAGGACCACCGCCGATGTACTGATTCGCATCAGGCATCTGCATGGACCCCTGCATCCCTGGCGGCTGGTGCCATGATGACCGATTCGCAGCTTGCTGATAAGGATCGTACGCGTCCTCCCCGCCAGCAGCTGATTGAGGGTTGGCGTAGGGGAAGGGTTCGATCTGGCCGCCTGTGGAGCCAGCGAAGTGTTCGGGTACTGCGGGTGCGGCAGCGAGGTCGAGAGGGTCGGAGCGAGAGTACCGGTTCGCGGGGTCAAACTATAGATCAGCTGCTATTTCGGCCTTTTGTCGCTGGGCGACTCACGGTCTTTTCGTCGAAAGCGACCTCCTTCTGCCTCCTCCTCCTACGGATAAGGAACCATCCCAATCCGAGCAGGAGCAATAATCCAGCAATTCCACCGACGACCGCTCCGGCAATAGTTCCGGGACCTGACAGTAAGTGAACGTCCCCGACGCCTCATAAGAGGGCGAATGGACGTACTAGTGGATGTAGTGTTGTTGTTCGAGTTGCCGGGCACAGCTGTTCCCGAAACTGTTGCAGACGATTGACCGCTCGAGTCGGTGATGTATTTCGTTCTGATCGTCAGCGATGGGCCTTTGATTTGCTTCTGCTCAGAGAGCACTCACGTGAAGCTGGTCGAGTAGGACGTAGACTGCGAGCTCGAGCTCGCCGCTGAGGCAGAAGCAGCCGACGCTGAGCTAGCAGACGCTGCGCTGCTAGACAGTGAGGCCGACGACGCAGCCGACGCGCTCTGTGCTGCCGATGCAGACAGCGAGCTGCTGACCGATATCGACTGAGCAGCCGAGGCCGAAGCTGACTCGGACAGGCTCGCGCTGGCAGACGAAGCAGATGCTGATGCCGAGGCCGATGCTGAAGCGGACTGCGAGGCTGAGGCGCTCGCGCTGGCGCTAGACGAGACAGAGCGGGATGCCGAGGCTGACGAGGCCGCTGCGGAGGATGCGACCGAGGAGGAAGCTGCCGAAGTGGGCGCTGCGGTAGAGGCTGATGAGGCGGGAATCGAGGCGGCAGCGGAGGAAGACATGATAAGCTTTGTTGTTCCGTTCGAAGTTGTTTTAGGGGGTCCGAGAATTATAGAAAAAGTCGAAACGGCGAGAAGCTATGGCTACAGGTATATGAATGAATGGATGGTTGAGGCTGAGAAGGGAAGAGAAGGGATGTAGCAGTTGGGAAGGGTGATAAAGGAAAGAGGGTAGCTGTGAGAAGGCTGTGCGCGGCTCTACGTGGTCCCCGCAAAAAGGGTCCGCAAGGGTGAAACACGCTAAGCGTCCGGGTGTTCTGGACAACGAGGAGGGGAGAGCGAAAGATCACTCGCGAAGAAGAGAGATGGGTACATGCAAGACAGGACTGGAATGCGGGATTGGACGGTAAAGTGTGGGGGACCAATCGACCAAGACCTTTACTTACCGCTCGACATGTTGCTTGGCGCCTAGAGACAGGCAAGGTTTTGGGATGTGGCGCGCCGTGTCCGGTCTTTTGTGGATGGGTTTCACCCTATCGGACGCCCGGACGGTCGACGATGCGATGCAGTGGATGGCAGTGCGCGGAGCCTAGAACGAGATGAGATAGAAGGGCGAGAAGCTGTGGAGTGATTGGGGCAGCTTAGCTTACGGGCTGTGAAGGATGTCACCACTTTGAGATTAAGCTTTCGGGTCAACAGGCGCTGCAAGAGCAGAGATCTGGTCAGCGTGACGTAACGAGGGGACGCCCTTGCCGATCAGCTTCGGATATAGATTTTCCTCATTGGCCGTTACCTCTTAATTGCGCGAGAAAGCAGCGAGCGCAGGCGGTACAGCGAGGACCAGCGCCGCACATGGCACAGCGTACAGCGGGCGCGCGGGAGCAAGGGGGACATGTGGTGCTCACGGCGATGGAGCGATCCAGACAATGATACCGCTGACGGCATGCCCCAAGGGCTCATGCTCGCAGGGTAGCGAGGAGCGCATCGAGCTAATGGCGCCACTGACGATACTCACGGTCCTCTACCAAGACTCGCCGAAGGCACTGGCACCTGGCTACAGGGTATGTCTCAGATGCGCGATCGGCGAGAGTTGCACCTTGGACCGGCAAGTAAGGCCCCGGGCCCGGAGTACTGGACAAGCTGCGGAGTACTTGATACTAGTCAGGGGGAGTACCCTTACTAACATGACCCACACGTCTGCAATTCTGCATAGACACTGACTATACTCACGTCCATCATCAGCTCCTGTATCCGTATTATGGCTTAGCAGCATCCCACACTCCGCGCTGGAAGTGCCTAAAGAACTTGCCCCTTCCAGCTTCCGCGATCTGCTCAACCTCCTCCTCGCTCATATCCGCCTTACTGAGAGCGTCCAGCTGTTCCCGCTGACGTCCCTCATTCTTAGATTGACTACACTATCAGCATCCGTCCCTGCAGATCATCTCGAACTCCCAGTCGGTAGAGAGCCTCAGAGCCATAAGGAAAAGAACCCACGTGACTGCGATCCCGCCGCTATGCTTTGCGGCCCATGACAACAACACCTGCGCCTCGGTCGCCCCATGCTTCTCCGCCAGCGACTTGACGACAGCATCGACGGGTCCGCCTGTGACGCGGAAGAGCGAGTTGAGGGGACCGTACGCCTCGATCTTGATGTCTTCGGCGTCGAGCAGGGCGCGCAAGCGAAGCATGTTGGGCGAATGGAAGACGTAGGGGTTGTATTCGATCTATGACGTCAGCCATGAGTGTGCTGTATGAGTAGGGGACGGTAGACGGGAAGGCTTACCTGGTTCACAGCGGGAGGTATCGTCCAGCTCTTCTTCATCTCGCGCAGATCCTCTTCTCGGAAGTTGCTGACCCCGATCGACCTGGTCAGACCCTCCTTCTTCAGCGCCTCCATGACTTTCCAGCACTCTCCAAAGCTAGGCTTGGCGAACTGCTCTCGTTAGCTTGAACCCGGACCCCACCTACGATAGCGACTACATGTTAGACTTACGAGCGGACTGTGAATGAGGTCTATCAGCCTGGTCAGCTCTCCCGCGTATCATTATGCACCGCCCTGGAGGACCGAGCACGTACAAAGGTCGACATAATCCAGCTCCATCTGAGCATATCAGTAATACACTCTGGGAGATACCACTGTCGGGCTCGCTGAAACAAATCTCGGACTTACCAGTTTGAGCTGATCCTCCAATGCTTTCCTTGGGTCCAGCTCGTCCTCCTTCGCCGTGTCAAAACCAACTATGAGGTTCAGCGATCTCCTCGTAATCTCTGTGGCTATCTTGGCGTATGAGTCTGCTTACACTTTGTCACGACGTACACATCTTCCCGCTTTCCCCCGTCCCACTTCTTGATTGCCGCTCCTACCGAACCTGCGTTGAAGTATCCTTGTGCGGTGTCAAGGTGCCTGTATCCAGCTTTTAGGGCGGATACGATCTGATCGGTACACTCGCTCCTGGAGAGACCAGTACCTGAGGTTCAGCTGACTGGCTCAAATTACAGTGACCTTGTCGGAAGCGAGGGGTCGACAGAGACGCACCTGTTCCGAAGCCGATAGCGGGGATGGAGGTACCGTCGTTCAGCTGAACTGGGTGCGGTGGCATAATCCAGGAGTTGGCGCTGTGACCTGCTAGACGGTCGTTTGTGAGGGAAGGCTGAATGAGTATAGTAGCACTGGTCGACACTGGACACAATCAAGTCAGCGGGGCTCGTCGTATGGCCCCGCAATAACACTCGGCCCGGACCGGGCCATTGTCTCAGCCGGATCACCGATGACCGAGTTATGAGGAATGTGTTGCAAAGTCCGAGCTGCCACATTGCCACCTACCGCAGGTGCGCCGGCGTCGAGAGCGGCAATATAAGCTTCGATCTGGCCCAGCAGGCAGCTCGAGGAGACGCGAACCAATCAGATATCGAAACAGCAAGAACCAGATGATTGGGAATAGATGTCACTTCGTCGTCAATGTCTTCGCTTCGCGGACGTCTAGGCGCCATATTTAGCGCACGATGAGGAAGTAGGGTGGGTAGGTACAAGCGGCTGTGGCTGTCGTACCGCCCAACCTGACCTCAAGGTGGCTGTGCCCATCCGTGATTTGCCACTCCGGCCTGCGATCAGTTCGCACAGACCGGAAGACCATCGTTTGATGCGTTGCAGGCGGATTGAAGGGGCTTGAAATATAGACCGTTCCGCTAAGGCTGTCAGCTTCTCTGCCTCAAGCTCCTATGATCTTATGACACCTCTCCACGGCTAGCCTGTCTCTCGTCGTTCGGTACGACTCACTCACTGGTTCATCATTACCTCGAGTCGTGCCTACTTCAACTCCCAATAAAAGCCCTGAGCGCCGGAATCGAGGACCCATTGATTCCCATCCTGGTCAAACACCTTTGCGTACACAGTCTCGCCCCCATCGAAGTGTTTCTTGACTTTATCGTCACTCTCGACGAAGCGTCTCCCCTTGAATGCCTGTATCTCAATGGAGAGCCCAGCAGGAAGGGGGAAACCACTTCCATCCTCCGCCTCGTGATACAGGATTTGAGAGAATTCTGCCATTGTATGATTCTCGTTGACCAAGACCTGTCTCGAGAATCTGATATCTCAGTCTAGCTGCGTGAAAGCTGTGACGATGGCAGGACCGACTCACGGCCCAACACAGTACGCGCGGCGAAGCTGAACAGAAAGCTCTCCCCTCGCCCTGTGGCCCTTCTTTTGCGCCTTGATCGACCCGCCTCGGCGGTCCCGAGTGGACAGTGGGTACTTGGTCGGACCAGAGAGGGCGAACATGTCAGGAGATGGATTTGGGCGTTGTAGGTGGACGGTTGTAGCCTGATTGCGAGCGCGAAGGGGGCGGCCTGTTATAGTTTGAGCCAGGATCGAAATTCAGGCGTCCGGCCGGAATACAGCTCCGGACTTATCGGTTGAGGCACGAGAGGCTCGTATGAGACAGCGGACTCCTGGCGAAGCGATGAGCACAATGACATCACGAGTAGCATCTCCAGTCTCTACAAGATCATGCTCCTTGTTTTACGTCCAGCCCGGCGCCTGGCCCATATTCAGATCAAGTTCGGCCAGCTTCGGCAGCGTAGCCGCGATGTAGATGGGGTGATGGTACTGGGCGTGTCTCACTACCGTGTCAGCTGTCTCTACGATTCCATTGGGCTGTAAAGGAAGTCATTGCTCCTGCTGGGACTCACTGGTGCTCTCACCAAGTGACCCCTCTTCCTACTTCATCTCCCAGCCTACGCCGACATTGAGGACCCACTGGCTCCCATCCTCATCGAACACCTTGGCATGGACCGTCTCCCCTCCGTCAAAGTGCACCTTCACTTGATCCTGGCTGTCATTGAGCGGCTTCCCCCTAAATGCCTCGAATGTCAGGGAAAGTCCTTCGGGAAGCGGGAACCCCTCTTCGGATTTGACGTCCCACTCCAGCTCCTCCCAGAACTCGGCCATCGTGCAGTTCTCGTTCACTGAGTGGGTCCGCGAGAAGCTGATATATCAGCTGCTGAGCGTCTGACACGTGGCAGAAGGGCACTTACGGTCCAATACAGTAGGACCGCTTGAGTTGGATGTACAGCTCCCCGTCCTCCCTAAATCCCTTGCCGTGCCACTTGATCTTCCCTCCACGGCGGTCCCTGGTCGACGCGGTGTGCTTCATCGGCGGGTACCATGTGGGACGCATAGTGAGTGGCAGTTTTCGATGAGGTGGGAAGAAGTGGCTTGGACACTGAGCCGTGGGACGAGCTGGGTGAAGCTCCAAGCGTGATGGGTGAGTCAACCAACGTTTCACTTTGAGTTTCAGTCCAAGCCGGACGCGTAAATCCGGTGGTCCGGCCGTCCGGGGCCGGAATTACACCGAAGCGGAAGCCGAGACACGAGGAATGTGGTGCTTGATCTCGGTACTGGCGCCAGGCGCTTGTCGCCTCGCACTGCTGCAGCTAGCCATACATAGTGACGGCAACTGGTCACGCTGAGGCTGAGCCTCATCCGAAATGCCACGCAGTAAAGAAGAAGCGACGCCTGACTGTTGGCCTTTGCTCTCGTGCGTCCCCCTCTGTCATCTGCCTTGCCCTTGTCCACAGCCGAAGTGCGAGCCTCTCCCGAAACAAATCATGCATCTGATCGCAGCAGTGCATGCTGGTGGTCACGAGTGATCGCCGGATCAAGTAGGCAAAGCCGCGGTGCTGCGGGTCAGTGTGCCCGAGACATCCAAGGAGGAGGAATTGGTCAACGTAAGTGCCATTAGTGTGTACCCCGATCCGGATAGGCAAGAGCCATACCGATATCTCAGCATCATCAACAGACGAGGAAATATGATGCAGCTCTCACGAGGAGATCGCGCGTCCCACATATGGCCAGTTCCGAGCTGCAATCAGACCGGTGTCCCGCCTGAGCCTGGCGGATGCTGTGGCTGAGGTCGGTATGCCGGTCGGCAAGACAGCCTGATGTCTGATCAGCATCAGCCCCGTCCTGATACGAACATGTCGGAGACTCACCTGAGCTGCGCCGGGTGCCCATCCGCTATTTCAACTCCCAAGTAAACCGCCCCTGATTGATTTCAAAACACACTGATCCCCATCCTCCGTGAACACCTTGGCATGTACCATCTCCCTTCCTTCAAACACATCTCCCACCATCTCATCCCCACCTTCGAGCGTCGTTCCCCGGAACGCCTGAAATTCGATCACCAGCCCTTGCGGAAGTGGGAAACCATCTTCCATGCTCAGGTCCCGGTGCAAATCTTGCAAGAATTCGGTCATCGTGCAGTGTTCATTCACAGCGTGACCGCGTGAGAAGCTGGATGATCAGCTTCAGTACCGGGGAAAGAGACAGGAGAAAGGGGATGCGCAGAAGGACTGACGGTTTGGCAAATTAAGCGCGCTTGAGCTGGACGTATAGATCCCCCCTCTCCCGGTAGCCTTTCCCGCGCCATTTGATACCGCCTCCACTGCACTGGCGCGTGGACCGCTGGTACATCATCGGCATGATGCTGAGGTGCTGAGGAGCTGAGATCTCAGGACCCGCTGATCGCAAGATATAAGTGTGAAGGTCGGCGTGATGGCCGAGACCAGTCCAGGTTTCAGTCCAGTCCGGTCCGGTTGACTCACCTTGTCCGGCCGGATTTTCCTGGACAATCTCCAATTCCGATTCTCTCTTCGTCTCGTCCGACGTCCGTGTCCCACATGGATGTCAAGCCAATATGAAGGACATGCAATATGCTAATGCTGATGGGGTGTCTAACAATCCTGAACAACGATACTCTACTCACTCGCCACCCCACCTCGACTCATGGCTTATGCCTCTTCTCCTCCCTCGCCGCACCCATCGCCGGAGCGGTCGGGGGCCTCTTGACGCCCGCGAGCCCGCCCATCGCTCCACTCCCACTCCCATTCCGCTCATGTCCCATACCCCCTCCGTTTGTCCTTCCGCTCGGCCCAGCTCCAGACCCGCCTCCACCTGGTCCGGCCAATTTGAAAGGGGGGTTGGGTACAGCTGGTCTGGTCGGGAGCCCGCTCTTGTTGTTGTTGGCGAGAGCGAACTGCCCGGGCGGTACGGTAGATTTCCGAGGTTGCGGGTTGCCCAGATTCTGCGGGATGGGCGGTGGCATATGAGGGGGATATAAGCTGACTGGTGGTCCGGCCTGATTCGCGTTGACGCCATTGTGAGGTGGATATCCGTTATGGTGGGGAGGCTGTGATTGTTGATATGGTAGGTTTTGCTGGGGAAGGTATGGTTGTTGCTGTTGTTGGTTATATGGTACATGTTGTTGTTGCGGCGGCTGGAAGCCCGGTTGTCCCCCCTGACCATACCCCATCGCCATATTCGGCACTATCCCCATTCCCGGCATCGCCATCGGCATCTGCGGCTGCATGCCTCCCACATGCATGGGCGGCCGTTGCTGCTGTTGCTGGTGCTGTTGTTGCTGCCGGTTATTGAACCCCGGCTGTTGCTGCTGATAGAGCTGGTTATGGTTTTGCTGAGGTGCTTTGCGAGCGGGTGGATGTGCCGGGGCGTATTGTTCGGGACGGGTCGTAAACTCATGAGACGAGTTGACCGCGATAAGTTCACTGCTCATTGTCAGCGCATGCCCCAGCTATGAATCGATAGACTCACTCTTTCCTCTCTGCGGGCAAAGGAGCCACCCAGAACCAGCGATGCTCGAGCGCCTGGACGGCAGTGGGCCGCTTCGCCGGGTCCAAGCTCAGTAGGCTTCCCATCAGGTCGGCCGAGATCGCGGTCATACTATTCTGATCAGCGACGCGCTCCACACACGTGACGAGGAATGCAACGCACCCCCACTCCTTCTGCGCCTGATCGGTGATAAAATCCTCCAGCAGTGTCGACGCCCACGGGAAGTTTTTGGCATCGGGGAAACCCGGCAGATCCGCCCAGCCCGGAAAGGTCTCGTCGTCGATCGGTCCGCAGCGCGAGATGATCCTGCTCAATTGATCTCGGTCCGTTTCGCCGCAGATGATGGGACGACGATGGTAGATCTCGCCGAGGATGCATCTGATGATCAGCGAGATCCACTGGAGGTGCGGAAGGGACGCTCACCCCGTAGACCACATATCAATCTCCGGACCGTACTTAGTCTTCCCCAATAACAGCTCTGGGGCGCGATACCATCGCGTGACTACCATATTCGTATACTCGTTCTGCATATGAGGCGGCATGATTTCTTTCGGCGTCCAGGTGCGGGCGAGACCAAAGTCGGCAATCATGACTTGCCCAGAACGGTCGACGAGGATATTGGCCGTCTTGATATCGCGATGGATGATGTTTTGCTGAGGACGTCAGCATGTACCCTCCTAGCAGGAGAAGCAGGATGACATACCCCGTGGATATAGGCAAGACCGTCTAGGAGTTGCTGCATGAGGGTCTTGCAGATAGCCTGGGTAGGTGTAAAGTTGCGATTCGCGAGCAGTCCGCAGAGATCGTGGTCCATGTATGGGAAGACCATAAAGACGGTGCCTCGCTCGCTCTTGTCATTCGGGTGTTCTGAAGTATCAGCAGATCCTTGGCGGAGCGAAACGACAATGCTTACTTCGGTCAACAACCATAGCGCGGATAGGAACCACATTCTCATGCTCCAGCGCCTTGATGATCTTGATTTCGCGCACAGTAGTGACCGAGACCTAGTCTATCAGCTTGGAAATCTCGTCATAGCAATATATGGACTCACTCCGTCTCGCACATTGTGCGTGATCAGCTTCTTGAGCGCAACAACCGCCCCACCAACCTTCTCTGTCGCCTTGGTCACGACTCCAAATGTCCCCTCTCCGAGCTTTACGCCCAGATCATAGTCCTCCAGCGTCGTCGTTCCCTCCAAGAGATGACCCAACGCCTTGATCTCCTGCGCCTCTGTCCGGAGCCTGAACCGCTTGGACGTGGAATGAGGGGTCGACGTTCGTGAGGGCACATTGCTGTGGAACCGATCAGGCGGCTGATGGGAGGGGATGGGCGCGCCGTAGGGGTTCTGATTGTGTGGTTGCGCAAAGGCATTGGAGGCAGAAGGGGGAAATGAAGTCGAGAGCGGGAAGGATGGGGGAGCGGCTTGGGGAACGGACGGTTTTTGGATGTTGGCGAGATATGGATTTGGCCCGGGGGGCGGCGTTAGCCCGGGAGGCGGCGGTGTAGGCGGACAGCGAGGCGGCGGGGTCCGTGGAGGCAGAGGAGGTGTAGGCGGTCGGTCCTCCGGAGGCGGTGGGGGTGGATCCCGGGTTGGATTGTGGCGGGGAGTATGAGAGGAGGCGTCGGTCTCCCGACGTCCGGTATGCGTGTGCCGCTTGAGCTTTTTTGGTGGCTCCGGAGCTAGGAGAGACGGCCGGGGAGATAGGGACTCGGCAAGCTCACCCTCCTCTTTGCGGAGAGGCGGGGATGCCGGGCGGGCAGATCGAGTAGTCGAAGATGCCCTCGGTTCCGGAACGTAGCGGGATGTGGACGATAGGCGGCGAGGTTCTTGAACGCCCGACCCGTTCATGGCGAGGGGGTCGGGGTACCGGTCTGACCCGCGTCCGACTTCAGCCCTCCGCTTGTCCTCTGCCCTATCCTTGTCCCTGCCCCTGTCCCGCTCCCTGTCCCTATCCCTACTCCTCTCCCTGTCCCGACGGTCATCTCGTTCTGAGACCCTCCGTAGATCTCGGCCTCCATCTCTCCGTTCGTCTCCCCGATCTGACCGGTCCTGTTTTCTGCCATCTCCCTGCGAGCGCCGAGGGGAAGGTTCGCCCTCGTCTTCGTAATTCAGGTAGCCTTCCGCTCTGTTATCTCTCCCCCGATACCCGTCATGACCATAGGGAGAGCGTCCCCAATCCCGATGCGGCGCATACGAATCGCGTCTTCCGTCTCGCTGGTTTTGCCGTGGGCTGCGACTGGATCGAGAGGGTTTTGAATCATACAGGAACGACAGCGGGGAAGCCGGACCGCCGTTCCGATATCCCAGGCTCCGACGTGGTGGGGATGGCGATTGTCGTGACGGCACATATTCGTCCCTTGACCGATATGATCCCTGGTGGTTCGACCCACCGCCGCGCAACCCTGACCGCCCGTACGGCTCTTCTCGCCTGAGACCGCGATGAGGGTCTCCTCCAGAGTCGTCGGCATGACTCCCGCGCGCGCCCGTACGATGATCTCTGTGATCTACATGGTCGTCTCGCCTGTCCCTGCAGCGATCTCCCTCGTACGTCCCGGCAGAGCTGTGAGGCCCATCGCCCGGCCGCCAAGACTCGACCGGACGGTTTTGGGGTGGTGTCCGAGCGCCTGTACCGCTCTGACCCCGCGTACCAGCTGAACCGCGTGGATCATCTTGGAAGCCCGTGTCGGATTCCCACACTCGCGGTATATTCGAGGCGAGGGATTGAGAGGATGAAGCAAATGATTGGGTTTTGGAACCCCCGGCGCGACCGGTTTTTGACATTTGTTCCGCCGAATCTGTTTTGGCCGAGTCGGGCAAGCGAATGGAGACCCTATCCTCCGCTTTCTTCTCGGATACAGGCTTGGCCGGTAGCTTGTGTTGCGACTGGCCGGACGGAGGACTCCATGGATTGGACCGCGTGTCCGTTGACTGCCCAGCTCTTGCCGAAGAGCTGCTGATCTCGCCCTCTTCGCGGCCAGGGTGCGAGGAGTAGCTCGTCATGGCGCGCTAGGTCCAGGTATGAGATAGCGAATGAGGAGTGGGGTATTATTCGAGCCAGGTCCGAGGACACTGCGAAATCAGCGCTGTCCATCTGATCTAGCTCGCCAGCTCGCACCTTTTCAGCTGATTTTCCTTCGTGATATCCGAACCTGCGGACTTCGTGCCGACTTTTCGTTACTATATATCGTTCATAGAGGGATCAGCATGTACCCCTGGTACAAGGGGAAAGAGAAAGAGAAGCGGAGCAAAGGAATTACGCGGTGGGCTCAACAACCCCGCCAAAGGTACAAGTTCAATCGATCCCCCCTGTTTAGCTAGCAGTCCGTGCATGAGGAATGCAGGAACGCGTTTCCTAACGCGCCGAGCCAAAGTTGCGACCATGCCATCCTCACCTCTGCCCATTGCTGCTCACCTTTGCTGACACCACCCCGCCGCATCGTGGGATTCAGAAGCTCCGCTCACCCAGCTCTTACTGATCAGCGGACCACGCGACCCGCGCCTAAGCAGAGCCAACTCCTCGACCCTCTCCCGCCCCGAAAATGCCTTCCCCCCAGGCCGAGGCGCCCTCACAGCTCGCTGTGGTGAGCCAGGCTGTCCAACCTGGCTACATGAGTGATCGGCTGATATGCTCAGCTGGGAGTGATTGGATTCTACATGTTTGTGGCTATCAGCATGACGATGCTGAACAAGCGTAAGTAGACACGAATATTTCACGGATGCGGGAGGTGGCCCGAGCGGAGCTGACCTTGAAGGTGTGTTGAGCTCCAATCCCTTGCCAGTGTTCCTGCTCTTCTGTCAGTCAGCAGTAGCAGTGGGTCTCTTGTGGCTGGAGAACAAGGTCGGACCGTTCAAAACACCCAAGTAGGTCAAAGCGTTGAACTTGGGTTTTGAGACAAAGAGCAGTCGGCTGACTCGCAAGATTCGACATGAAGATAGCGAAGGCTTTGGTTCCGCTCACGCTTGTGAATGTGCTTGGCCTCTGGTGAGCACATCTCAGTGATGATTTGACGGCCCGCTGACAGGACTCTAGCTTCAACAACTACTGCCTGCAATACGTGGGTGATGCCACACGATTGAAAGCTCGCTCGGTACTGATTGTCAGGTCGATGCATCCTTCCATCAAGTCGCCCGAGGCATGGTCCTCCCTGCCACCATCGTCATCAGCATGTTCGCCTTGAACGTGAGCTTCCAGCACGTGACTGTAACCTAGCACGAGCTCTGCTGACTCCGCAGCAACATCCGTCAAGATTGACCATCGCTGCCGCCTCTGTAGTCACCGTCGGCTTCTTCTCTGGGGTTTTATTCGATCCCAATCACGCATCGTCCAAAGCAAGCGCGGCCGTATCAAGCAGCGGACACGCCAACCTCGGCATCATGTTTGGCGCTCTGTCAAGCGTGGCTAGCGCTGGACACGCCGTATTGATCAAGCGTGGCTTGGTGAGTTACGCTCTACCTACAAAGCAAGATATAGCTGACATGGCTCGAGGCAGTTGTGAATAACTCACCTATGGCACTTTCGTACTACAATAACATCCTCTCTACGGTGTTTCTGCTACCACTCATCGTTCTCTCTGGAGAGCTCCCGGGGACAGTACGGATCTTCCAGGGCTTCGAGGCCAAGACCTTCATCATCGGTGCTTCCATCACAGTGAGTGCAGTTCGGATGATCAGCAGAGTGCATAGCTGACACAAAAGGGCTTCTTTGGCTTCTTGATCAGTCTTGCGGCTATGCTGTCTATCAAAGTCACATCGCCAGTCACACATAGTCAGTTGCGTGTCCTGTGCCGGAGCTAAAGCTGACCTTGCAGTGATCTCCTCAGCGGTCCGCGGTGTCCTCCAGACATTTTTTGCAGTCTACCTGTTTGGCGATGTGTTGTCTCGGCACGTTCAGCTTTATGTGCATTGACAACTCCCGCTGATGGCAAAGCGGCCGCATCATCTCGATCTTCCTCATAACCGCCGGCTCAGGTCTCTACGTCTATGCCAAAAGCGAAGAATCCAAGGCCACAGCGTATCAGCCAGTCCCGCCTTCCTCGGACCCCAGATCGCTCGAACGAGGTGTACCAGAAAAAGAGGTCGGGTATGGATTGGGGCTGGGGCTGGGGGATGAGAAGGCGAAAAATTCCATGGACGGGAGATAGGGATAGATAGGGTTTGACAGGATCTTTTCAATATCTAGAGGGGATCTAAAGGGATACGGTATGTTTGGGCATCGGATCATGCGCCGAGTATGTCGGTTCCAGCTCGGGAGGCGATCCCATACGCTGATCCTGCCCCAACATTACGCGACTGTATTCTGCAAGAAGTCTGCAGTGACATCGGGCGTTACATGCTGGCCGCTGGCGTTACCGATTTTCTGTGCCGGCATATCCAGCTCCGGCCGGTACCTGATTGTCGTGCCTGAGGCCTGAGGAATGCTGCTCCACTCGTCGGCCATCTGCGACGGACCCGGCGCCGGTGCAGCTGACTTCAGAGCTCGGCAAATGCGGCAATTGCAGCGGAAGAGACAAAGATAGAAATCCAAGCTAGCTTTGGGCTTGGGCGTTCCCCCCTCCTCCGACTTTGCGGATTGTCCGAAGATCGACATGGGTATAACCTAGCCGGTGTGGGGTGGAGTAGAGTGCGGTGTAGGCCCGACATCCCCGAGAGGTTCACCACTAGCGTAGAAAGGTAGACCCCGCATGCCCCTCACTTCCTCTCACGAGTCACTGGCCTGATTTCTCGTTCATACCTCACCTTACCTTCTCACGAGCTCACGACACACGCTGCAGCCATGTCTGTCCGTCGCGTAGACTCCAACCGATCCCACAACTCGGAGCCCAAAGAGGAGCACCAAAAGATCGAGCATGCTCCGCATCGCCATGAGCCGGTCAAGCCGTCGCGCGTTTACACCGAGGCAGAAGAGAAGAAGCTGTATAGGAAGATTGACCTAAGGATTCTGCCTATCCTCTCTGTGAGTCTTGCGTGGTCTTCGCATCCGGGCAGATCCTCGCGACAAAATGGCTCTGATCGCAGTCCAAAATCTGCCTGGGACGCTGACGGCCAGTTCCTTTACCTCTTGTCCTTCATGGACCGAGGGAACATCGGTAACGCCAGACTTCAAGGTCTCGAGGCCGACCTCCAGATGACTGGAAACATGTATGCCATCAGCTTGTCTGTGTACTTCATCTCCTACGGTCTCTTCGAGGTACCTGCCAATCTGGCCTTAAAGAAGCTCACACCTCGGACATGTGAGTCTCGGTGAATCTCGCGTCCTAGATCTTGCTGACCGCTCTCAGGGCTCGCCTTCATCACTGTCTGCTGGGGTATCGTCATGACCTGTATGGGCCGTAAGTGTGTGCCTCTGACCGCACTGACGACCAGTTGTGCAGAACTGGGCTGGCCTGGTCGCTGTTCGCCTGCTCCTCGGTATCGCCGAAGCAGGTCTTTACCCTGGAGTCATCTTTTACCTCTCCCTGTGGTATCCCCGACATCTATATCAAACTCGCGTTTCCATCTTCTTCGCATCCGCTACCATCGCCGGCTCCTTCTCGGGTCTCCTCGCGTACGGTATCGGATTTATGGACGGAGTTAGAGGCTACTCAGGATGGCGCTGGATCTTTATACTGTTCGTATCGGACTAGCTTCTCACTGACAGCCAGGGAAGGCCTCTTGACCGTCGTGGCTGGCTTCTTCGCATACTTTATCATTGTCGACTACCCGGAGACTGCCAAATTTTTGACAGAGGACGAGAAGGCTTGGACTATCTGGGTCAGGAGCAGCGACCAGGGGAAATACGGAGAGGCCGACCACGTTACGTTCAAGTGAGTTGAGTCTGAGACTGGCGCTGATTCAGATTCATCAAGGATGCCTTGTCGGACTGGCAGATCCCTCTTTGTCTCTTGAACTACTTTGCTATTGATGTGGCACTTGTGAGTAGTGCTAGATGAGCGAGGCTGATCGATAGTACTCGGTCGCTCTGTTCATGCCTACCATCGTAAGTTCTTCTTCAGCTCCGTGCTTTGACAAGGGCTGACAGTGCAGATCAACAGTACGTTCCTCTGTCTTCAGCAAAGTGACCCCTCTGACGGTTAGGTTTCGGCACATACACCCGACCCCAAGTCCAGCTTTTGACTATCCCGGTGTACGCAGTCGCCTGCGCTTGGGTCATTATCTGCGGTATCTTGTAAGTCCGCGCTGTGGTGTGGCGCTAACGGGCAGGGCGGACCGTCACCGCTCGCGCGGGTTGTACATGATGATCAACCTCGTTCTGATCGGTATCGGATTTATCATCGAGAGTAAGCCATTAGATCAAGCTCTTCCGCAGAGTTCGAGCTAATCGTCAGTCACACCGGCACCGTACGGCGTCAAATACTTTGCGCTGTTCCTTGCAGCAGTACGTATTCTCTGCTATCCTCGGGGTCAGACCAAGCTGACATGGTAGTCCGGAGCCTACGCCGGCTTGCCCAATGTAGTCTCGTGGCTCAGTAACAATCTCGCAGGCCAGACCAAACGTGGTGTAGGAGTAGCCACCCAAATCGGTGTTGGAAACTTTATCGCCATCGTCTCGTCCAACATTTGTGAGTCGGCTGTTCCCACAAAGATAACCCAGCTGATAGACAGATACGGCCGACTCCGCTCCGCGATACATCACTGGCCACGCTGTCAATCTGGGATTCTGCGCGCTAGGTCTCGTCACCGTGCCGACGTACGCCTTCCTCCTCCGCCGGGCGAACAAGCGCAAGGCCGCCATCCTCGCCCTCCCCGAGGAGGAGCGACCCGTCTACACACCTGAAGAGGCGCGCGCATTGGGTGACAAGTGCGTATATGCTATGAGCGTTGCTGACTGTCAGACACTACACCTTCAAATACATGATCTGATCCTCCCTGCACCAAGCGGAAAAGCGCCATTATTGGCGTCTGTTAAAGGGGAGCTGAGGACTGATTTGAGTCTGCCGTGTTGGGTGAGATTAGGGGTGATTGTATATATGGGCCGCTGTTGGATTTCGTTTGTAGCTCTCGAGGGTATGCATCGGCAGAGGTGACCTTGGCGCATACCCCCATCAGCGAAAACAGACTTGAGGGATTGAGCAGTTTTACGCGGCACATACTCGCAGATCAGATCTCTCTGAGATGTCAGTGGTGGCCGTAGTGAGTATCGTTAGTCTGTAGGCCAATTTGTTGTCCGCCGAGATAGCTACTTAAGATCTATCTACAGCTATGCAGATTACAACTCTTCCCCCTCTCCTTCGATCCCCTCCACCCAATCTCAGATACCAAGCTACAGATCTACAATGTCCGAACTGCTACGGCTACGTCTAGGTCTACGTCTCTACAAATCCCCTCTCCACTCCGCGCTGTACCCTCTCTGCTCAAGATCCCCCAGCCTCCAACTTCGGCCTCTTCGCTTCCGACGCTATCCCTGCCCCCGGAGTCAGATTGATAGGGTTCTGCGCGCTCCCCTGACTGTCCTCCAACTTCCGCTTCAGTCCCGGCATCCCTCCCGCCCCTACTACGCCGCCGCCATTCATCACCGCCGCAGCCGCCGGAGGTGGTGGTCGGACGACTGGTTGTGGCTGTGGAGACGGCAGCCCGACCGTCCGCGCCGTGGGAGTAGGTGTTCTCGTCCCAGCAGACGAAGCAGGCGCGGGCGGTCTGAGCTGTCCTTTCGGCGCCAACGTCTGACCTTGCGCGCCAGGCATTCCCGGCTTCCGTACCATGCCATTCGCGCCGTTCATCCCAGGCCTTACACCATTGCCTACCGCCCCTCCCGCCGGCTTGTTCAACGGCGGGACGATCCCCGTCGCCCAGATCCGCTCTGCCGCCTTGAGATCGATGGCTGCGCCGACCTGCTTGATATACCGCAAGAGAGCGACAGCGTGCTGTCCGACCGTCTTGACGTCCCCCTTATTGGCGGCGACGCTAGCGATGAGGGTGATGATCTTTGTCATGGTCGCTCCGGGTGGTGCGGGACCGAGGACGGGGGCAACTTTGGCTGGCGCACCAGCGGCAGCTGGCGGCCTCGCTGCGGACGCAGGAGCTGGAGGGCGAGCAGCTGGTGCAGTCTGCGTAGCTGAGGTAGACGACGAGGCCGAAGCGTTCGACGCAAGAGGAGGGCGTGCGGGGGCAGGATGTACAGGAGGGCGAGCAGCTGGAGTAGCTGCAGGTGGACGAGCAGGCGGACGAGCCTGCTTTGCAGCCATACTCGGCCTTATGACCGGACGAGCCGACGCGGCCGAGGACGACGCCGAGGCTTGTGCAGCCTTGGCCTGAGCCGCTTTCGCCAGCTGCTGCTTGTTCTTGTTATTGACCCAAGAAAGCAGCACCTCGACCGCCGTGTGCGCACCGAGCATGTGGAGCTTCTCGATGATGTCGGGCGTGAGATGTCCGAAAGCCGACCGCTCCAGCACAAGTGCCGTTGCGTTACACACGAAGGGTAAGGGGTTCCCATTCGAGTCCATGGTCTGGATGAGCGAGTCGGTCCGCATAGCAGGAGTGATTGTATCGAACGAGACGGTGACTTTGCCCTTGGGTAGGACCGGACCTTTCGGTACCGGCGGAGCAGCGGGCGGACGAGGTGTCGGTCTGACGGTGGGTACCGCCACTCGAGCGGGAGCCGGGCGAGGTTGAAGAGCCGGTGTGGAAGCCGCCGCCGGTGCGGCAGACGGCGTTGGGATAAGCCCCTCTTTCTGCATCCGTGACCTCTCGTCAATTTTCTGACGCTCCCTCACCGCCCTCATCTCCGCCGTCCTCGTCTTGCCCTCACTCTTCTGCGCCTCCTTCCGCTGCTTCTCCTCAAAGATCGGCCCCTCCTTGGGATCAATGATCCACACCGACCCTTTTGACTCGGGATCGTCCTCCGGGATCCGCGGAACCTTGAGGAACGCCTTGTTGAGCGACAAGTTGTGCCGGATAGAGTTCTGCCATCCCGTATCCACGTTCAGACGGAACCACTCCCACTCGCCCGCGATCCAGTTGCACACCTCCCCGAGCGTCCCTCGTCCCCGCGGTAGATTGGCGAGCGCAGAGTAGATGATGATGGCGAAGGTGGCGGTAGGCTTGATAGGCGGTGGCCCGATAAACTCCTCGCCATCGAGACCGATGAGAGGTCCGGGAGGCGGACGAGGTCCCGCGCCAGAAGGAGGAATGGGCACATTGACGATGATGTGACCCGGTCGACCGGGAGTCTCGATGAGCTCGGTGAGGAAGAAGGGTTTCTGCGGTTCCGGAGTACCACCGGGTGAGGAAGCGGCGGTGCTCTGCGCCGAGATGGCCTGGACGGGGACGGGCCGAGGTGGAGTAGGCGGGATGGCGACTGGAGCAGGTGGCGGAGGTGGTCTGATGATAGGCGGAGGAGGCGGTGGGCGGATAGGTACCGCAACTGGAGGACGGACAGCTGGGGCAACCGGGACGGGTGGGACTGCTCGGACGGGAGGAGGCCTCGGTGCGGGTGGTGGGAGTGGAAGCGGGGGTCTCACTACGGGCGCAGGTGCAGGTGCAGGTGTAGGCGCGGGTGCGGGAGGTGGCCGAGGTGGGGGAGCAGACGCCGCCATAGCAGCGGCCAGCGTGGCAGGAGGTCGAGGCGGTGGAGGTGTTTGCTGGACGGAGAGACCCGGTATGAGTACACCGGGAACCGGAGGGGGTCTTGGCGGAGCAGCTGGGTTTGGAGCCGGTTTGACCTTTTTCGGCGCCGGCTTCTTTGGCGGAGGCTTTGGCTTCTCCTTTGGCCCAAACTCCGGTAGCTTCGCCTCGACAGTTGGCTCGGGCTTGTCCACCTTTTCCGCTTTTTCCGCCTTAACCTTCTTTGCCTTCTTCGCTTCAGCGCCGTCCTCCGCACTTCCACTCTGCTCCGCCATGACCACATCCTCCCCACTGCTCATCTTCTTCTTGACCACCTGCGCCTTGAGTGCCTTGACAGCCTTGACGCTCTTGGCCGGCAGCTTGCCGCTCTTCGCCGGGCCCTTGCCTATGCGGATGGGTGCGGGCGAAGGGATTGGCTCTTCCTCGTCCTTGACAACGATCGGGACCGGGACCGGTTGGGGTTGAGTTTGAGGCTGAGGTGGAGGTGCTGGCGGCTGCGTGACACTGGGTGCCTTTGGCCGACCGCGCTTCTTCTGCTGGACCACCTCCGGCATCGGCTCGTCCTTAACGACTTCTGGTTCGGACTCGGCGTCCACCTCTTCCTCCCCGTCTTCCTCCTCCATCTCATCATCCTCATCCTCATCGGATCCGTCCTCAAGACTGGACAGCTCCGATTCCCCCTCGTCGGCTCCCCGCTCACGTCTTCCACGACGATGTATTTTCCTCTCTTCCACTTCATCGCTCTCGTCCCAGCTGTCCCAGCTATCTTCGCTGTCCTCGCTGCTCCATTCCTCTGTCCAGTGATGCCGCCCCTTCCGCTTGTCCTGACTCCAGTCATATTCCATGCCCAGCCCCAGACCTTGCCCGTCCTGCGCCGTGAACGCGTTGAACGGCTGTGGGACTTGCGAGATGGTGGTAGGTCCCGGTCCGGCACCAGGTGTACTGGTGGCGGATTCGCCAAAGAATTCCTGGTAGCCGACTTGGCTTGCGGGGAGATTGTATGGGTACGGGACATCGTCGAGGGGGCTGTTGGAGTCGAAGGAGGCATCAAGGACGTGTGGAGTGCCAGGAGAGCCACCAGGGGTCGGTGGGAGGATGAAGGAGAAGATGCGAGTAGCGATCTGGATGACAGAGCTACAAGTCAGTTCTGACCTTCTAGGGGATCGGATGGACATACCCTTGGTACAGAGGCACAGCAGATCCCTTCACGTAATACCGGTCATCAACCCACGCACCATTCCGCCCTTGAATCTCCAGGCAGAAATGACCCAACTCCGGCCGAAAGTCAATCTTGGCGTGGTTCCGCGAGACAGACTTGAGCGGTCCGAGATCGACATCGACGTGTTCGACCGATGAGGCGGATCTGGGAGGGGGTGGGGGTGGAGGAGGGGCGTCCGATCCGCTGAGCATAAAGTGGATCATGGCAGCATCGCTCGCAACATCCAGATCGTGGTCGAGGTTGTATTCTCCATCCGGGAGCCCGTTGGCGTAGAATGAGGGGTGCTCGGCCGTGAGGACCTGCTGCATGTCCGCGAGGCTCATCTCTGCGCCGCCGATCGCCTGCTGCGGTACGCCGAAGACGGGCTGACCGATCTCCATAACGCCCCCCGGCGATACAAGTCCGTCAAGAGGTGGTAGACTTGGCGAGACCGAGGGAGCTTGTCCGGTAACGGACGGCGTATCGAGACCGCTATTCTCCGGTAAAGATACGCCTGGGAATAGGTCGAGCGGAATGTCCCCCAATTCTTCCGCTGACAGCATGTCCCCCAACTGAGCCGGATCCAGCATCCCTCCAGCACCTTCCGCCATGCTCTCGTCCGCATCAAGTGGTGGTCTCGCGGGAACCTGCGGCGAGGTGATATCCGGGGGAGGCACCTGAATGGGCTTTTCCTGGTTCAATCAGCTCAAACATTACCTTCAAATGCAGCATCTCTTCCCCAAGATAGAGACGTACGCATTTCCGCCCAATGACAATACCCAAAGTCCGCACATAATAGCTGAATCCCGTATAATCGTCTCCGAATTGCAGCTTGTAATACGCCGGCTTGGGCTCCGTCTTGCTCATATCGACCGGCAAGGCCGCCATGGACGGTACGGGTGGCTGCCATTGCGCCGAGCCTGCGTGGAGACCTGATGACGACGCATCTGCACCATTATGGGTGATGGATACCGACATGGTCCCAGCAGAGGGGAGGTGCACCGGGGAGCGTAGCTAAACGCTCCCGGGTGTCTGGATCGGATTGCCCCCTTCGATTTCTCCTGGGAGGGGCAGATTCCGGGCGCGACTGAACGGTCTAGGGCGATGCCCGTATAGTCTGCGCGTGAGATGTATGTGGTATGAGGTGTAGATGGTAGAGAGGAGGAGCAACGACTGTTTACGAGCAGCAGAGTACCCGTTCCGACCCGTTGGACGCACGGGAAGTCGGCAAAATCTTTTCCACGAGGAATTACCCAAAGCGGTAATTATAGGCTGCGTCAGACAAGGTCTGTTGACATTGCAGCTGAGGTGCTTGGGGGGGCCGATGCACAGTCTAACAGCTACATGGTATGGTAGAGGTCGTGCCGTCGAGTCCCCCAGCTTGACATGATATCTACCTGTACAACAAATGATACTACCTCGATATGTGCCAGTGAAAATACGATCCAGCCTCGACAGCTCCTCATCCCATCTCGCCTCGCCCATGCACAGCATACACGCTCACCCTTTCCTGGCATCTTGCTCAATCCATACCCGGCAGGCCGTCGAGATCCCCGCCGTCCCAGCTCTCCACGTCCCAGCTTTCGCTCTCCACCCTGTCGAACTTCGGCCGGGCCCCGCCCTTGAACGTCGGCGACCGAGCAGAAGGTTTGGGCAATGACTGCTGCGACGCCTCTGGGTCATTGTCACTTCCAATGACGTCGAGAGGATCTCCGCTGTCACCTTCTTCGGGGCCACCGTCGCTGTCATCGTCTTCGGGACCACTGCCGCTCCAGCGTGTATGGGTAGAACCTGGGTATAAGGCGGAGCTGCTGGCCCCGCTGGAACGACCGCCGCGTGAGGACGAAGCTGGCGAGCTCTTGACCGAGGTGTTCCGATATTGACCCTTCTTGGAGGATAAGAGTTGGAAAGACGGGGTGTGGGACGCCTGGGAGGACAATAGAGACTCGGGCTCATCCGGCGCGTCCGACAATTCCGAGTCGTCCGAATCGTCGATAACGATGGGATCAGGCGTGCGATTCGCCGACCTCTTCCCCCCGCCGACTTTCTCCTCAATCTCCCTCCGCCGCTTCTTCCGCGCCGCCCCTTGCGATCGATTGGCCGCTCGAGCAGCGCCGATCTCCTTCTTCATCCCCTCAATCATCACCTCCGCGTCCCTCTGCACCACTTGACTCTTCTCCGAGTCCTTGAACTTCCACATCCCATATTCCCTGCTCTGCGCCCACACCCCCTCCGCCTTTTTCCTGACATCACCTCTCTCCTCCCCTGGCTCCAGCTCTTCTCCATCGAGGTCTTGCTTGATGAGCAGGACGCCAGCTTCCGGGATGAGGATGTGCTCGATGTACTCGTCGGGGGTCATTGGGTCGACGGACGAGATTTCGCCGGGTCTGGGAATGAGGTTTGGGTAGTGACCCCATGCGAGGAGGGTCTTGATATGATACGAAATGATGGCTCGGCCGATCTCGCCGTAGCTGCCTGATCAGCGCAATGTCAACAAGTAACGAGCAAGAACAACTCACTACCCAACATGCTGCTTTTGCACCACCGCCGGCTGCTTGAGCTGCGCAGTCTTCCACCACGTCCGACCCTTGGCATCGATCAGTTGTCCAAATTCCGTGAACTTGGCGCTCCTCAGCGGGAACTCCGCCAACCCCTCTAGTGCCGTGCGTATCTCCTCCGTCTCCAGGCGCCTTGGCAGATCGAGAAAGTCCAGATGCTCTGGATATCCCGAATCCAAGCCGGCCGGAATGATCTTTGTGAGAGCCTCATGCCAGGCGCAAAAGTCGAGCCGCTTGGTGAGTTCGATTTTGCGATTGAAAGGGTATTTGGGCTTCTTCGGGGTCTCTGAGATGGAACGAAGGACGGCGCCGAGATTCCAGAACTCTTGATCAGCATCGACTGGCATATCGCCGCTGCAGTACTGATCTGTCAGCTGCGTCCAACTAGTTGGGAGAGAACGCGAAACTTACCGGACAGTACTCCCTCGTTTCCTTGTCCGCGCGCATCCTGGCCTTGGTGGGCGTCGACAGTACAGAGCCGGCCTTGAAAGCCGCCGTCGAGCTTTCCAGCCTCTCACTGTGCGAGTCAGCTACCACCCCACTTCCCGTCTGCGTTCAGGATATGACGTACATAGCCGCCTCCTTGGCCTTAGCGATACTCCTCCCATTCTCCTTGTCCATGGCCAACGCGCTAAACAACCCTCCAGCCAACTCATCCGACTCATCAACCTTCCCTTTCCGCTTCCTCCGCGGGGACTCCGGCACAGCTGTCGCGAATGCTGAGAACAACGCCGAGTGCTCGTCCTCTTTGGTCCGAGCTTTTGTCTTGACAACCGCCGGAGCAGCCTTATCCTTGCCCTTCCTAGGTTGAGGCTTGAGGATGAGCGCTACCGGGTCGTCATCGAGAACTTCTAGCACGGTCTTCGACGTTCCCGGTTTGGCTTTCGCAGCTGCACGCCGCTTCGGCGCGGCCTTCTCTGGTGTCGCCACGATGACATCTTCCAAGTCTTCCTCGTCGTCCGCCTCCACTGGCGAGCTTACTCTACGTTTCGACCGCTTGAAACCCGCCGCCGTCTCCAGCGGTGCTCTTTTCTGCGGCACAGCTTTGCCCGTCCCTCCCCTGCCCGCCTTGGTCTCGCCTTTGCCAGCAGCGCTCGAGGCGCCGTCCCCATCTTTCTTCTTGCCGGCTTTCCCGCCTCCCCGCTGATTCTCGGGCTCCAGATCGTACCCGCCGATCAGACGCTTGCTGACTTTCTGCCTGATCGGCGTAGAGCCTCTATGCGCTGCGATGGGCGAGTCAGGGTCCGGCCGCCTTTCGAACACTTGGATGAGGTCGTCATCATCCTCATCATCACCCGTGAGCTGCATCCTTTTGGCGAAGGCGATGTTAGATTCGGGAGTGGCAGGGGTGGAGGGAGTGGGAGAAGTGAGCGGTGGGGAAGGGTCCGGAGTGGAAGAGCGTCCGAAAGTGAGTGGGGGAGGACGTTGTGAGCGGGATGACTGGCCGCTGCTGCCCGAGCCGGACGCGTTCGCCTTGTTGGTCGGTTGGGCAGAAGAGGGACCAGTATCGTTGCTAGAGCGGTGCAAGGATGAGGGGATGCCGGTGAACCGCTTGGGAGGGACTATGGTACTGGAGCCACTGAAGTATGGTGACGCGGTCGCCCTCCCGGCGGGAGCCGTCGATCGTCCGTTGACGCTGGGGTGAAGAGGTACCAGCTTGCTGAGAGCATCTCGCGATTGGCCCGGCAATCTGGCACCATTCCCAGATCCGGGCTTAGGCTTGGACTGAGTCCTACTGCTACTTCCCTCGCCTTGACTGGACCTCAGTCCCGCCGCATATTCGGCCCTCATGTCCGCCGTCACGCCGCGCCGCGCTTGAAATTCCGGTCGCACCGGCGAGCCACTCTCAGCGTAGAAGAGCTCCATCACCATAGTCCGCGAGTGAAGAAGATGGATGCGGAGGAAGGAAGGCCCTACGCGTCGAAAGGCTTATGTACAGAAGCGAGAGAGGGCGGGGTGCGAGAGGTATAGGAGGAGAAGTTGATGGCCGACGCGTTGCGCGAGGTAAAGTTGACACAGCTAGAGCCATGCCGTAACGGCAAAGACAAAACGGGAGCAAAGCCGGGTGGCGAATATGGTGCATTAAATCAGTCGCGCTCGTCGAGTCGAAGTGTGGCGGTCTTGTCGAGCCTGTCTCCCAGTATCGAGGCTGACGCGCGGATGCACGGACAGGCTCAGGCGCAAGATTCGATATAATCAAAACGTTCGGGCTGTTTGAAAGCGGCTGGAACTGGTGACTGCAAATATCGGAAGGCAAATCGCCACAAGGTGGCAAGGTTCAACAGCGCATGAGTCGCACTAGTAGACAGCTACGGTGTACATCGATTGTGGCGGCCGTCAAACTACTAAGTCTGATGGAGGCCTCCGGGTGTTTGTGGTGTGATATTGTCAAAGACCCGGTCATATACTGCGTACTCACAACAACAAGCAGCCGCGCGCGCCATAAGCTTGGGCAACGCCTCGACGATCTTCGACATCCACACCCGTGCACGTATCCCGAGCTCCCAAAGCAAGGTGAGTATGAGAACTCAGCTCTGCCGCCCCCAATACTCTTGTCGACATTCACTCGCATTGACCTGGACTCCAACGTCCTAGCCGTGATCACAGGAACGAGAGGTCATGAAGCGCACGTTAGGACCCGAGACATGCTCGTCGAAGCAGTACGAGCGCTGTCTGAGTACCCCCACAGTCCAGAGAGCGTCATAAACCCATCCAGGACGGAGTTGGGAACAGTTCAAGGGCTCCTGGATTACATCAAAGACATGGTGTACAGCGTGACCGGCGACATCTACTCTGCGAGGAGGTTGGACGCCACGCTCAGCACTCTACAGCAATGTGAGTGGGACGCCATGAAACTGAACACAGAATGCAACACCCTGATGAGCGAGGGAGACAAGACAGCCCACAACATCCAGCAGATCGAGGCTCAGTACGTCGCAGAGGCACTTCACGCCCTCACCAACCTGATCAAGCCTGTACAAGGCGCGGATGTTTTGAGTGGATGGAGCGCGACACGCCAGTCGCTTGTGGCAGGCGTGACCAAAGCATGGTGCGCGAAGCAGAAGCACAAGCAGGCAGAGGAGGCGGAAGAGGCCGAGAGGATGATCACTTGTATCAGCGACGCCGACTCGCGCTCGTCCCTGCATTCGAGCTCCCGCGAGCATGCACCTAGTACCATTCGATACCGTATGTCATGTGAAGTATTGCACCCATTGGTGATGATCAGAGAATATGGACCGAGGTCACAGTTAAAGACTAGTGTGCATGGAAACGCGTGCGGTGAACGCGGGCCAAATGGAATTTGCCACCCAGTGGCATCCGGGTCCGCTAACAATGATCGGTGCTACTCAGACTGACAGTTCTCAGCGACCCGAGCAGCAGCTCGCGGACCTGATTTTGACAGAAGCCAAGCTGTTGGCTGGCCTGGTTCTGGCCGTACACGCCGATCGCGTGATCGCACACGATGACGCCCAGGACGTACGTTTACGAGCAGGGGCTGTGACAAAGGGCTGGCCGGACAAGACAGGCAACCATATGCTCGTTGACCTAGCCTTGATACGTTGATGCTTTCCTCTCCGAGAAGCACGAAAGAGCCAGGTCTCGGCCAGGCGACATCGACAGATCTGCCAGCTGGCCTGGAAAGCTGAGACGCGAGAAAGCGCAATCAAGCTAAAGACAAGCTAAAGACAGATTCAGATTGCCATATAGATTAGTGCTCTGAGACGCGATGCGTGATGAGGAGTAGGAGATGCTTTGACAATGGACGTTTCGGGTTCAAAGGAGGATAATGGCTTTTTGCGGGCTGAAAGCCCGCACTCTAGCCTCTCATCTGCTCCGCCCTCTCTCCCCATTTGCCACTCCTTGTCCCTGCAATGAGTTACAGTCCATCCTTCATCCTCATTCCAGTCCGTGACCGAAGCCCGTCCACACCCATCAGCCCATAGAATGGCACGATACAACTTCTCCATTCCAGAGAAGATCACCGGATCCGATCGCCAAGAGACCTCCGATGAGACCCGACGAATGCTCGAGCAGCGCCTTACGTTGCTCTCTGGATAAGACTACCAATACCCGTCCCCCTACTGGCCAACCATAAGCACCGACATCGAAGCCGCAGGCACCATCGCGGATGTCGAAGCCACAGGCACCGTCGAGGGCTGCTTGAAACTCATCTCTGAGGCCACGGAAGCTTTGGCGAAGGAGCAGTACCAGGACCCACAGATGAAAGCCCACTGGAGCCTCGCCCTCGAACACGAACGCTACACGCAGTTGGCTCTGGATGCGCGAACGAGGCTCATCCGCGCGATGCTGCCTGACGATCCTGGGCAGGCGGACAGGCTTCGCGTCAGCACAGAGCTCCACGCAAGGTCAGCGATCCTGCTATTACTCGACGACAGCATGGTCAGTCAGCTGGACAGCATGGATCATCAGGGTTTGTCTCGACTGCTGGCGTCCCGCACGTCTCTTTGATCAGCATCAGGATTTGTATCATCGCTCCGTAGCTGCATCATCTCGCTTTCTCACATGCACAAGCTGATTCTCAATTCATGCCCCTGTGATCGTGTGGCTCCCCGCAACAGATCTTGGTTAGGGTGATCCGCCTTCCTTGTCGAGCTGCGTCGTATGAGTATACGCCGTAGTGAGCACATCAGTTGCCAACGTGCTCCAGTCAGTCCACACTGCGAAGCTTGGCTGGAGTCCCCGGCAATTATCCACCCGAGCAGGACGGGTCCTGTTCCGGATTCGGATCTCCCAGGACCTCTGCATCCCCCGCCTACTTCCCCATATCCAACGAGAACGGCCCATCCGCCCACACATCAACCCTCCACGCCTTCCCTTTCCCCTCCCCCCTCCCATACCCACTCGGAACCAACACATACACTCCCGCCTGCAGAACCCCCGGCCGCGTCCTCGCTATCCTCACGCCTGACGTTTGATCACTATACGCCCCACTCGTCGCTATTTGCTTCCCGATCCCTCCGCCCTCTGCCCGAGCGAAGAGGGTGAGATTGAGCGGGATGCTCTGGCCGAGACCGGGATGGTGCAGTCTGCACTGAAGGGTGAGAGGTGCGGGGAGGAGGAGGTCGAGGTGGGGGTTTAGGTGGTATGCGTTGAGACTGGGACGGCCGCCGGTGTTGTTTTCTGTCCTACAGGCATTAGTCTCTGTACAGTGTCCGGCGCGAAGGTGAGAGATGAGATACTCACCATCGTCCTTCAAATCTGCGGTGATATAGCCCCGCGCCCTCTGGAGGGATTGGCGTGATAGTGATAGGCAGTGTCGACTCGAGCGTAAGGGTGTAATGACCCGTGATCCCCGGCTCGAACGAGCTGACGATGACAGTGTAGGTACCGGCTGTATATGTCAGCCAGACTTGATCAGTCGTAAAGAGCTCCGTACTGACCTGCTACCCCGCTCGCTTCGCCGAACGCCATTCCATAGGCATAAGGACCAGAATCAGCCACTACAGCCTCTTCCGACACACTGCATATCAGCTTCATCCCCGTTGTCCAGATTACCAGACTCACTCGTGTACCAGCCCACCATTACTCCAGAGCAGCTTGATATTCCATGGTCCCTCCCCCTCCCCTCCCACTTGAAGCCTCACATTCCCCCTCCTCTTCGACCCACTTGCAGCGGAATTACCAATGGTAACTTTATACTGGGGATTGCTCCCGTAACTCGGCCAGCCCGCATGTCCTCCCGCTGATCTTGAGGTCAGAGCGCCCGATACGCTCTGCGAGAAAGGCAAAGTGGTTGATATGCGCTCGAGTGAGAGAGTGGACCCGGGAGGACTAAAAGCCTGGAGCGTAAAGTTCGATCTGGAGACACCTCGATCTCGAGAGGGGACGACGAGGAGGGTGGTAGGTCCGGCTGATCGGATGGTGTGCCGATATAGGACGTGTTGCGCGTTGGAGTATGGGGACTATTGGGTCAGCTTATCTCGTCGATAGGCATTTGGAGAAACGTACGGCCATGTTCTGCATCGCTCCAAAGGCAGGACGGGCTGCACGCTCTTCGTGTACGTGAAGAGCGATGTCGTCCAGTGCTCGATCCTTGCTGACGATGTGCTGGGAGAGGAGGATCCACACCTCTGTACCGGCCGGTGCAGAAGCGACGGACAAGCGATATCGAGGGTGGCTGGCGGACATGGAAGAGGAAGAGGCAGCATAGTCAGGTTTTGGCCAGCTCCTACCCCATTCAGCTCATATGTCGACCACATACAGACCGCAAAGCTTACCAGTGCCGTTTTGCCGATATGGGGCGGAGCGAGGGATTCCAATTCAGATTGAGCGCGCCGAATTCGGAACAAGCCTCATCCCAGGTCATACTGAAGAGTCCTGTCCGACTGAGGTCGGCGGTGTTGTCGACCGTAAGACCTTCCAGGGAAGCCGCCAGGTCCGTCGAGGCCATTGGAGGCGGTAAGCCTGGATCAAAGATCTCTAGCATACGTTCACCGGCTTCTTCCTTGACATCTATCACGTCAGCTGTATTTCTCATTGATTCTACTAGGACCTACCGAGCACAGCATAGGCATGTAAAGGTATGAGACCTCTCTCAGCCTCTTTGCCGGTCCCCAACGTGACGAGCACTTCTCCCCTCGTCCACGCGGAGTATACCCGCTTCCACTCCTTCTCCCGCTGAAACCCTTCGCGCAGGCTGATCCGTTCCGGTATCCAGCCTGTGAACGCATAGATGTCCGGTGCTGGATTCGAACCCCGCAGAGAGTAGCCGCCGTGCGCGAGAAAATACGCTTTGAGCGCGAGAGGTATCCAGGGTGGACCGATGCTAGGGGTACCGCCGGTTTCGTGAGCTGTCGAGAGACGCTGCGAGGTGGCATGGAGGGGCAGATGGCTTGTGGCGGAGCGAGGTAGTAATGAGTCAATGATAACCTACCGTTTCATCAGTCATCTTTCACTGCAAATTGGGCAGGCACTCACCCCGCGCCATTCGCCGTTGAGCAGCAACTTGAGGATATGCTTGCCATTCTCCGATTGTCTGGGTTGGTATGCTCCTGATTGAGGATACAGGCTATCCATAGCCAGCTGGATCTCGTCAGCTACACAGCCACGCTAGCTGCGGAACATACCTTGGTACCCCATCTTCGATTGTGCTCGAGGCAAACACCCAGCCCGGCAACAACACTGCAATCCGCCCCAGCACCTTGATTGACCATCCACCGCTCTTCTTCTCCGACTACCACGGTCCATGCCTTCTCGTCCACCTCCCTCCACACCACTGTGTCCCGCTCGACTGCCAGATCCGGCTGAGACTCCGCACGGTAGACCCCTCGACCCAGCTCAAACTCCCCGTTCGAGGGCAAGCTCCACCTATCCAGATCCACTCCATTCATCCTTCCACCGCGCCTCCGTACAGCCTCCTCTTCCCCTTCATCTCCAATGCCAACCTTGCCGACCTGACCGCCGAGCTCTTCTATCCTGTTCTTGACCTTCTCGGCGCGTTCGAGTACGAGGCGCCATTTCCGCTTGATCCCTGCTTTGTCCGGGTCTGGGACAAGGCTGGAGGCTAGAAGGTGAGAGTAAGTCTCTGCGGCGGAGATGTATAGCGGGAACGCCTTCTGGAGGACCGGGATAGGTGATGCCAGGGGAGGGAGAGAGGGAAGGGATGCCTCGACGAGGACAGCTCGCTGAGCCAAGTCCTGTCTGTCAGCCATCGAAACCGCTGGAGAGGTCTGGAAGCTCACTGATGCTATCTTGAGACCTTGAGCATAGGTGTTAAAGGCCATATCCTATATGACCAGAGTATAGAGAGACAAGAGGTGATAGGGAAGAGTGGGCGTAGTGGGGTGCTGGGGAAAATAAGCTTTACCCCGCTGCCGTAAAGGTGACATCAGGATCGTCTCACCATTGATTGTGCACGTAGACCATACCTTACCTTGGCTTTCCATCTATTCAATCGTCTGACATCTACCTATAACAGCTCGGGTCATCGATAGCTTGACTGAAGACTGCCAACACATCCTAAAAAATGGCGCCTACACCGACAGTATCGCCCGTCACCGGCCAGCCCGTACCCCCTTCCTATATTCACGCTTCGACCGCCCACTTCCAAGACACTCACGGCCGAACCCTCCTACTGCGAGGCGTCAACCTCTCGGGCGGAGCAAAAGCCCCACACGGTCGGCCCTCATGGGATCGCGAAGGATTCTGGGAAGAGGGTGATAATGGAGAAGGCGATTTCGTTAATCGTCCACTGAACCTCGAGGACGGATCGGCGGATGTGCATCTTGCACGACTGCGGGCGTGGGGGTTCAACATGCTGCGATATGTCTTCACGTGGGAGGCGCTGGAGCATGCTGGCCCAGGCAAGTATGACGAGGAGTACATGGACTATGTCGTCCGGGTGCTCAAGAAGTGCAAGGAATGGGGATTTAGGGTGTTCATGGACCCGCACCAGGATGTGGTAGGTCGATCCGCATAATGCCGACGCTAGCGCTGACTCTGCAGTGGTCGAGATACTCTGGTGGCTCAGGTGCCCCTCTTTGGACTCTCTACGCCTGCGGTATCGACCCCCACCATATGGCCGAGACATACGGCGCTCTCGTTCACTGCGAATGGCCCTCCCCGTCCGCACCCAAACCAGCCACCTTCCCAGGCATGATCTGGGGCACAAATTATACCCGTATGGTCTCGCAGACTGTCTTCACACTCTTCTACGCCGGCAAGGTCTTCGCCCCAAAATGCATCATCGACGGCAAGAACATCCAGGACTATCTCCAGGACCTCTTCTTCGCGGCGGTCGAGACCCTCGCAAAGAAGATCGCGGCCGAGCCGGGATTATATGAGGACTGTGTGATCGGGTGGGATAGTATGAATGAGCCGGGAGAGGGAATGGTCGGACACCCGGATATCAATAAGACGCACCCGTCGGTGCAGCTGAAGAAGGGGCCGATGCCGTCTCCGCTCGAGGGGATGCGGATGTGTGTGGGACAGGCGGTAGATGTGGACGACTGGTACTTCGGGCCGCTGGGCCCGACCAAGTCCAAGAAGGTCACGATCGATCCTAAGGGGGTCAATGTGTGGCTTGATGAGAAGGGAGAAAGGGAACGAGGAGGTGGAAAGTGGGGATGGAAGCGGGATCCGGGATGGAAGTTGGGAGAGTGTAGTGAGTCGACATATTCACCCTTGTGACATACCTCAAGCTGACGATCAGTCTGGGCTCAACACGGTGTCTGGGACCCCTCGACTAACACCGCTCTCCGCCCCAAGTACTTTGCCTCGCATCCTAAAGACCCGTCCAAGGAGTCACACTACGTCCCCGATTTCTGGGCGTCCCACTTTATCGAATACGGTACCCGTCTCCGCAAAATTCACCACGAAGCGATCCTCTTCGTCCAGCCACCGGTCTTCCACCGTCCTCCACCTCTCCCGCATTCGATCCTCCTCAATCGCGCGGCGTCGTCCCCGCACTTCTACGACGGGCTGACGCTCATGACCAAGCACTGGAACTGGTTCAATGCGGACGCGCTCGGCATGATCCGCGGCAAGTACTGGAATGTGGTTCAGGCGGTCAAGATTGGGGATACAGCAATCAAGCGGATGATGCAGGACGAGCTGTCGACTTTTGCGGTGGACACGAAGGAGTGTTTGGGAGAGTATCCAACGTTGATCGGCGAGATTGGGTGCCCTTATGATATGGTGAGTCCAGATCGACGCGTCAGTGGAGTCGCGCTGACGAGTAGGACGACAAGAAAGCGTACGGCTTCGTCGATGGCGGAAAAGGCGAGGGCGACTACACGATGCAGCGGAGGGCGTGGGACGCGTCCATGCACGCTTTGGACGGCCCGAACGCACTCAACTTTACGCTCTGGACCTACGTCCCGGACAACAGCCACGAATGGGGAGATCTTTGGTAAGCCTCAACTCTGCACTCCCGGGCTCAGCTGACGAACAGGAACGGCGAAGACTTGTCGCTCTGGTCTCGTGACGACCTTGAAAAGCCGTCCGAGACAGACTCTGCTCAAATCGCGTCCACCACATCCTCCACGACGCTTACCTCCCCCACCACCCCCAAGTCCTCCTTCACCCCTTCGTCCATCGCTTCCGGCGCCTTCTCATCTTCCCTCATCATGGACGGCGCGCGGGCCATTGACGCCATCTGCCGGCCCTACTGTATCGCCATGGTCGGGCAACCCCTCCGTGCCGACTTTGACTTTTACACCTCCGACTTCAAGCTCACTATCCGTGTGTCAGCGGAGGATGTCGTGCCCGAGGGAGTCGCGACCGAGGTGTACCTTCCCTTCGTCCACTACGCGGCGAACCTCGGAGACTCCCAATCGTCCATCGTCAACCGGTCAGAGAACAGCTCGAGGGTCTCCCTGGTCCAGGCCGTCAAGGAGAAGGAGAAAAACACCAACAGTCCCCGGACTTCCACCATCTCCACTTCTACCGGCACCGGCAACATGACGCCCGAGCACCTCACCCTCGCGGCGGACATCCAGGTCTCGACGGGCCGGACTGAGGTGCATGGCCAGACCCTCAAGTGGTTCTACGACCCACCGGCTCGAGGGGAGGCGACCTACACATTGACGGTCAAGAGGCAGGGCGGGCCGATCGCGCGGGCGAGTGGGTACGGAGGCGGATCGGGGAGCTGGGCTGATGTATGTCCTTCGAGCTGCGTCGTGGCTTGATCTGATCATCGTTGCCGATGTTTCGGTGAGGATGTCTGCTTGGTGGATGAGAGGGATATTGGCTGATCTAGCAGTTATACTCGTTGATACGGGGTCTCAAGGCATAGTGCCATAGTACCAGTAGCTTTTTATGTAGCGGGATGTACCCTTTGTGTCCTTGTCTCGTGGACTCGGTCCGCCGCTTCTCTCCTCCAAGTACCCAAGTACAATGGGAACACAGCTCCATTGCACGGCAGAGGCAGCTGACTACATATGGCAAAGTGATACAAATGTTGCGAACGAGCACTACAAATGAGTCGGAACGAGCATATACAAAAGAGAGCAGAGAGCAGGTCCACCTCCCCAGTCATCCCCGACTGTCTCCCCCTCTGCTCTCCCCTTTCCCATCTGGCATCTCCGGCTCAAATCTCCTCCTCCAACCCCAAAAGCCTATACGTATCGGCGACGAGGTACAGACTGCCACAAACCACCGTCAACCCCCCGGTCCCCCTCGCCCACTCGAGCGCCTCGCCCAATCCCAGACCCGCTCCTCCCCACACCCTATCTTCTCCCACAACGCCCGCCGAGATCGCCGCGACCGTCGCCTTGGGCACAGGCTTGATCCACGGCATCCCCTCGACCGGTCCCTCAAACTCGACCGCCGCGACGCAGTCTCCGGGCCTGAGGAGGGGCCGAAGCACCGACTCGGGTGTTTTGCCTTTACTGTCCGAGAGAGAGATAATAAACGTCACGCCTGGGCCAGGGTGACCTCTCCCGCCGACGCACGAATCGATGTACTGGCGCAGCACCGTGGCAGAGTCCGCATTGTGAGCGCCGTCGACGAGGATAGGGGTCCGTTTGCGGCTCTCCGGTCCGACGTAGTCGAGCCAAGAGCACCGACCGGCCCATTGTGTCTTTTCGAGCCCGGCGCGGATATGGTCGTTGGAGACCATGCCTAGGGGAGGAAGGATGTTGCGCGCCCGGGGATCAACGCGGAGGTGGTGTAGGATGGAGATGGCGAGGGAGGCGTTTGGAACTTGGTGTGCGCCAGGAAGGGGAAGTCGGGCTTCGAGGGATGTAAAGGGAGAACCACCGAATCCGGGGGTCGTGTACCGGATGAGCATAGGAACTGGCTTGATGAAGGTACCGTAGGACGTGCACTCCCCAGCCGAGCCAGTGACGACAGCCACGTCAAACGCGTCGACAGCCTTCGCGCCCCGCATACGAGAAATAGCGACCGCTGTCGCTCCCGCAGCAATTATAGGCTGCCGCCCAATCGCAAACACGGCGTCCCGGACCGCTATGCTTGACTTCTCCGTGGTGATCGCCTCGATCGTATCGCCCAGGAAAGCCGTATGATCCAGCCCCACTACGGTGAGGGCGGTAGCAAGGACCAGCTCCGGTGGGATGACATTGGTAGCGTCCCGCGCACCGCCCATACCGCACTCGATGATCATGATATCCGGCTTGGCCTCGGTGATCAAGCAATACGCCGCCGCTGTGGCGATCTCGAAAGACGTAGCCTGGATGTCGACCCGGTTGGAGTTGGCCTCAGCGCGAGCGAGGGCACGCTGATACGCCTCGCGAGAGACGGGACGACCGTTCAGCCGAAGAGCGTCCCGGGGCTCGATGAGGTGAGGAGAGTTGTACCGCGCTGTCCGGAAACCAGCGGTGATGAGGCACGACTCAAGCATGGCCGATACTGAGCCCTTCCCGTTTGTGCCGGCAATGTGGATTGCGGGCGTCCGGAGCGGCTCGAGCGTCGCCATGAGCCGCTCCATACGGTCGAGACCGAGATCGATCTTTCCGACGCCGCCGGTAGGTGCAGGGGTAGACGGTACGGGGGTGAGCGATCCCCGAGTGGAGGACTGCGTAGAACCGGAGGGAGCGGGATTGAGGAGATGCTGCATCCCGGACGGACCACTTGGGACGGGCGCCTGAGCAGTCGAGCGGATGGACGCTTGGGATTGAGCTTGCTGCTGCTGATAGAGGAAAGCGGCGACGCGTGGGTCCAGCTGTGTTGGCGCCGCCGCTGCCCTTTGCAGCTGGGGCTGCTGATAGTGGGCGGCATAGGATGGTACCAGACCGCCACCAGCCGAGTTGTACTGCGGCGGGAACGTCTTTATGACCTGCGCCGGAGCCGACGGGTGATTATAGACGACTAGACCGGGTGCTTGGCCATAAGTGGGGGCGTGCGCCTGTGTCTGAGGCCGGTAGCCCGGATGAGGGTATGCTCCGGACGGCTGACCATGCGATCGAATGACCTCCGCACCGCGATGAGGTTGGGCCGAGGCCGCAGGGACGTGCGCCCACTGCTGTGTCGGTGGCCGGAGCACCGATGGAAGTTGCTGATGAGGCTGCTGTATCTGCGGCGTAGAGGCGACCGATGCCGCTTGATACGAGGCGTACTGCGGTACGGGCTGTCCTTGATGCTTCTTCGACGGCTTGGGTGCGGGATTTGGGTGGACAGCGGACGGAGCGGTAGCGTACATCGGAGGAGGGTGGATGATTCTGGCAGGTGGAGTAGGGATAGTGGACTGCGAGACCGTAGATGACGAGGTGGGTTTCGAGCTCGACGGTAAAGACGCCGGTGCCGGTGCCGGAGCTTGCGCTACAACAGACGGAATTGCTGCAGAGACAGGAGCGTCTGCCTTGCGAGATGTGACGTGGTGTCGAGCTATATCATCAGCTGTATGTCTTGAACCACCCAAACACGAAGCTCACCGTATTCGTTCTGCGTCACCTTTGGCGCTGCACCCCTCAAATCCACCCTATTCCACGCAAACCGCATCGTCAACCCCGCATTGACCGCCACCTCCACCATCTGCTCCGGCTCGTGGATCGCCACCAATCTATACTCGATACACCCGCTCCCCGATTTGAGCTTGATCATCTGTCCGGGGTGGAACTGGAGGATACGCTGTCGAAGCTCTTCGGCCTTTTCGCGCTCTTTGATTTCCTTGACGGCCTGGTGTCGTCAGTAGACATTCTCTTCACTTGTACATATTTGCCGAACTTACTGGGTTGTGCGTAGGGCATAACAGCTCCAACTTGACACTGCTGACCTTCTCCAGACCTGGGTCCGTCCCCTCCGGCGCGTCCTCGGGGAGAACAGCAGGCAGCCATTCTTCAATCTGCCATAGCTCCGCCTTGATTTGCTCGTTTGCTTTGGCGCACGAGTAGTGGTATGCGATTGGGCATTTACCCTGACTATCAGCGCAACCCCCTGCCTTCAGTCGATAGACATACCTTTGTACACTGCACCTTGACGCCGCTGGCCGCAGTAGCCTTATCCGGACAAAGTCTGCACTTCTGATCTCATCAGCTCATGTCCTCCTACAGGGAAGGACCACCGGTAGCTGATACGCACCAATCCAGTCCACCTATCCTTGACCACCTCATTCACGCCCAACACCCATATGACGTTCTTCCCATCCACATCCTCTTCGTGGAAATAGCACTCTGGCGTCGACTGGGCGCACATGAGATGAGCGAGCGGGTGATCGTTCGCGTGACCTTTCCATTGGCTGCGGACGAAGGGATTTGGGTCGTAGACGGGGCAGAGGTCGTCGGTAGATAATGAGGGGCAAAAGAGGCAAGGGTAGATCACCTTCTCTTTGACGACGGCGACCTTTTTCGGTTTGGGCGCCTTCTTCGCTGCTTTCGAAGGTTTTGTTGCGAAGAGAGGTGTGTCGTCGGCCATGACGTCGAGGGCGATGTTGGTCGATAATGGGTCCGGGATCTCGGCGACTTGGACTGACTCCATGGCCACAATTCCAGGCTCCCCGTCCGTCACCACTCCGATGATGGGTTTCGATTTCCGTGGCCGCTTCCTCGGCGTTTTCGCTTTTGGCTGCACCTTCTCATTCATTTCTCCGTCCACCTCCTCATGCGGCCTCTTCCGCCCGCCATTCACCCTCTCCTGTTCGATCACATCCGCCGCCTCCGCCAACATGTTGTCCACATCAATACGCACACTGCACATCAGCGCAGATCCTTTTTTTTTTTTTTTCGTGAGCTACTCACCTGAAGTTGACGCATTTGCAATGCTTGGCCTTTCGCCCATAATCGACCCAATCGTCCGTCGCAAAATTGACCGACTCGGCACAGTTGAAACCGAGGTTGAAGCCAGCGTGATATCCGCGAGGATAGGTGATGACGAATTCGCCTTGTTTGTGGACGAGCATGTTGACGCGGGTCTGAGCGTCCTTCAGGCGTGTGGGCGAGATGGCCATGGATTTGTGTCGGATGAATTGATCGCATTCGCGAGAGTCGAGGGGGAATTCGTCTGAAGGTTCAGTTTCAGTTCTGCTAGATCCCTGAGCGAGAAAACTCACTGGCTAGGAAGCGCTCAAAGTGATCCGCTTGCATCTGGGGAATGGCGTACCAGAACTTAGGTGCACCGAAGTGAATGAAGTTGATCGAGAAGAGGTCCATCTAAAGTATTAGCTCAAAACCAGCCAGATACTCGCTGTACTGTACTCACATCTTCGACGTGCCATGCAAAGGTCGCCCTCCACATCCCAAAGTACAGGTATGGCTCGTTGACACCGGGCACAACGCAGTTGATCCGATCCAGCAGGTTGGGCAGATGAGCAACATTCCAAGGTGTTTCTTTATCGGCAAAGAGTGATCCTAGCTTTGTCAGCTCTCATGCATTCCGCATGGAAATCGTAACTCACCCTGCATCAGATCCGCTCCATACCAGCTCGGCTCTCCCATCCCCATCGTCTTCCAGTACTTCTCCTGCAGCTTGGCGCACGCCTCGAGCGTATAGTCCTCTGGTACCGTATTCTTCGGAAGCCACGCCTTATTGAAGTCGGTGGTCTGATACCACTCATCGAGGGCGTCCTCTTCGGGTGTCTTTGGCGGTTCCGGTGACGAGTGCGACGATCCAGAAGACGGCGCGTCCAGCGCAGGCACACCGTCCCCTCCATCCCCATTGCTCTCTTCCATCTCCAGATCCGCATCCTCCTTGGGCACGGCCCCAGCCTCGTCGTCCGCCCTGGCCCTCTCCTCTTTTCGGCGTAACTTTTCCTCCTTCTTCCTCGCCCACTTCTCCTTCTTCTCCCTTGCCGCCTCCTCTCGCGCTTGTGCTGCCTCCCTCGAATCCCGCTCGTAGATCTTCGGCGATGGTCCGACGAACTTGTCATCCTGACACTTCTCAAACCATTCCTTCACGGACAATGGCCGAGTCTTGTTCTTTTCGATGTTTTGCGCGCGAAAAATCCCGGCCGTGCCCATCATGTTTTGCTGGATTGGGGATTTGATGTGGACCTGCGAGAGAGTGCGTGACGACATGGGCGGGAGGTTGTCGGTCCATTCGGCGGGAGGGATGATCTTGGCGATACCGGACCGCATGCCCCATGGTGCCGTTTTGTTGATATATCCCTCAAAGTCCTGCATGCATTAGCTTGAAATAAAGGCTATAGTCCAGCTGGACATACCATGAACTCCTCCATGGTCGGGCGGAACACTGGTATTCCCCGCAGCGCCAGCGGGTCATCCTCGGGCGAGAGGAATTCGTCTTCCGGGTAGAGCGGTTCCCAGCGAGAGCGGCCGGTTGTAGCTGGCTTCGCGCCATTGTTGAGCTCAGAACTGTACAGTCAGCTCTTCATTCCTCTCTTTGATAGGTCTTGCGACGACCCGGCGAGCTTGAAAGCCGACCAGTCGTATCTGAGACAAGATGAGACAGCAAGAGAAAGTTGAAGCTCACAAGTGGTCCGGCTGCAGGAATCTAGGTCCCGCCTTCTCCTGCGGCTCTGCATCTCCTCCCGAAGTTCCCGATGGTCCAGCTTCTGCCATTTCCGCCACCTTTGCTGATGGCTTCCTTGCCCGAGCTGATGACCGAGGTGTGGTCGGCGAAGTGGGCTGAGATGCGGTCTTTGCTTCCTTCCGAGCGGAGATTGGTGCGGATGGTAAGGGCAGAGGTGTTGGCTCGCTTGTTGGCGCCTGGATCATTGCAGGCATGACCAAAGTCCCCGGTACATCTGGTATCGGGGCGCTGGGTCCTTCCTGCGCCGGCGAGGACAAAGGCATTCCATCGGTTGTCAAAGGCGAGGAAGGGATCGCGGGAGCGGCCATTTCGGCGATGCTGAGCGTAGACATTCGAACGAAAAACGAGCTTAATTGCAGCGCCAGCACAGTCTGCTCTGCGCTCTGGGTAGAGCTACACTAGATATAGGTATGAAGGGAAGGAGTATGATGCTTGTATAGGGGAGGGAAAAGTCGGGCTAGCCATAGCGAGCGATCGACCTTCAGCTTCAAGACGCGACAGTGGCGTCGGCGATCTCCGGGTGGCGAATTACGTTAGTACGTGCTTGACGTGGACTTTGGTGGGGTAAGTTACCTGCAGTAGCTTGGGCAGTAGTTAGTGTGCAGCTGGTGGCTGGATATGGACCATGGGTGTACTGTAGTGGTATCGGGCGTGTCCAGAGACGTACATGTGTATGATATAATGTATTACACTAAGGCTACAGCTAGATGAGAAAGGTATATACAGCTTTGGCTTGGCGGCTTGCAATCAGGCGAGGGGGAGATTGAAGCTCTGCGGAATCTCCTTGTCAGGCGTCGCCTCGGAGGATGTCAGAGATGAATCCGAGTTGGCGGTCTGGAGAGCGACACGTCTTTGCAGAGTCAGCTGACAGATACCAAGGACGAGAGCCTGATCACTCACGCTACTCCCTCGGCCGTCTTGGCCACCGCCCAGAGAGCGGCTGTGTACTCGTACATGTCGACCGAGTATCTCCTGCGCTTCTCCTGGTATGAAGCTACTGATTGATCAGCGGATGCTACACATCTCAGAGGGCCCCGAGGTGGACGACGTACCGGCTTTGGCGCCATCAATCGTCAGGGCGTCTACGTCCGCGACCAGAGCAGCCACGGGCTCGACCGGGCTGGCCGGAGTGGTCGTGGCGGGCACAGCGTGTGCTTCCAGCGTGGCGGTGGCAGCCATGGTGTCTGCGTGATTGACGGAGTGGGGCATCCTGCGCGTAGAGGGGTTGATCGGATATAGTTTGATGTGTCTGAATGCAATCGGCACCGAATGATGGTGAGAATATGCTGGCTGGTCTGTTGGGCCGACTTGCTTTAGACGCGAATAAGAGTCTTCTGTTATAAGTTGTTGGAGGATGATGGGTGGATGAGAAGCACGCGCTCTTCACGGGACGCACACCACTCGCGCTTAGTAAGTCCATTAGTACTCGTTAGCCCAAAGGCACACAGATTGAACTTTGGTTAGCGTTGCATCCGTGTGTCTCGGAGCTTTTTGCGCGTCATCGCCCTCGGCCCCTTTTCTCACTGTCTCAGCATCCTACCCTGTTTGACAGCCTCTCCTCTTGCGCCTGTACAAAGTGACTCCGTTCGGAGCCTGATACTGGTGGCGCGTTCCCGTGTCCTTGGGCCGAAGTATGATACTAGTTCTGTAGGTTGAGGGTCCGCAAGGCCCAGACTTCGCGAAGGCAAATTAGCCGAAGTCCGAGCTCGGGCGGCGCCCGACACGAGGAATGTTCCACATTACGCATGCAAGGAGGATTATGGAGACCTGCGAGTGTCTACTCTACAACTATATATACACTAGATCAGAAGCTCGCGGATCCGCACTGGGCGCCCCTCTCATAGACAAACGGCGATATGGAGTCCTGACAAGGCTCCAGCCATCTGACGCCGTCGAAAAGCAAAGCGTACTTCAGGCGGCTCCTCAGAGATACTGCGCCGTCGAGCAGGAGTGCCGTGAAAAGTAGTGACGCGGACGCCGGGTGGCGCTGATGAGGGACTATTGTCACTCTCACGATGGCAAGGCGAGGTTCCTCTCGGCCAGCTTCCGAGCCTTCTCTTCTTTGGCGAGTTTGCGGGTCTCTTTCGTTCTCTCTGCCGAGTCCATCGACTTTCTAGCCCCCTTTCCGGTCAGCTACACTCTCATCATCAGATCGTGAAAGACTCACAACACCCCCATGGTTTGCGGCACAACTTGTACAAGTCAGCATGTCCCATCACGAGCGGGAAGAGAAGAACCCACAGGTAGGAAGCCACGTGCCCAGCAGTGATCTTCTCAACAGGCATCAGCCTTCCCATCATGTTCACCGCGATCAAATTCCCCTTCGCATCTCGGACCGGATCACCCTTCATCCTGATCACCTGCTCGAGGGCTCTAGGGGAGGGCGGACGGTGTCGCCAAGGGGCGTATCGAGAGAGTCTGTTTGCTCAGCGCATGCCCTTGATCCAAGTGAAGCAGTGACCTACTTCAAAAACAACTCCCTCCCCACCTTCTTCTCTGCATATCTATCGGCGGTCTGGAGTGCCCGCTCGAGCGTATCCGCCAGAGCGACCTGCCGGACTTTGGGAGAGAAGTGGCCGAGATAGGCGGGGAGCTTTTGACGGTAGTTGACGGACCATGCTGCAGCCTCCGCCGCAGGTGATGGTTCAACGAGCATATAGCCCTGGTCTGACGGTCAGCAGTGTGCAGACAAACTGCCTGTACCGACATACCGAGGAGCTCCAGGATATACCGGCTCTTCCCGCAATTGACCTATCCATCAGCTGCTGACCATCCTGCTTGGAGCGGAATCAAGCTCACCCAGGCACTGTTTGACATGACAGCTAAGGGCGCGTCCCCCTTCTTGGCGAGCCGGAACGGATCATCATGGTCCAGATACGTGACCTTCATACCTGACACATCGCCCCCTCCGCCTGGCCTCACAGATGCGGTCTCTTCTCCATGTTGTTGTTGCTCGCCCTCCATCGCGCGACGCTGATCCTCCGCCATATCGTCGTGGCTCAATCCCCAAAGTGTCGGCGAGACCAGCATCCCGTTTGAACGCGAGACATTGTCGACGATGTCGATGAGGTAGCACTCGGTCTTGCCTGTTTCGGGGCAGAGTCGGAGACCTCGTCCAACCTGTTCAAGTCAGCTCTGCGCGCACAGGCCCTACCGATCCGATGGTCGAACTCACCATCTGGGCCAAGAGGTTCTTGCTCTTTGTTGGCCGGGCTAGTATGATACAGTCAATCTAGCCGTGTCAGCTTTTACAGGTAGAACCGCCTCGCATGCTGCTCACTCACCTGGGGGATATCTGTGCCTTCCGTCAAAACCTCGCAATTGATCAAAACCGGGAACTCGCCCGACGAGAACGCCCTGATCGTCTCCTTGCGTTCATGCGGCCGAGATAGCGACGAGACGGATCTCGCATCAACACCGGCATCACGAAAGGCTTGAGTCAGATCGGCGACATGTGTGAGGTCGACGCAGAAGACGAGGGTTGATCGGCGGTCAGCTGAAAGGTCAGCTCTCATCACATACATTTCAACCAGGTGGGATTATGAGACCTACATGCCCGATGGAGATAAGTACCGACGACCAAGTTGTTGACATCGGGCGTATTCAAATGACTTGCTAGAGAAGCGGCATTGAAGTCGCCCTGGCTGTTGAGCTCGACGGTCCTGAGGTTGAGATTACACTTGACGGAGGTGGATCTGACGGGCGAGAGCCTGAGTCATCAGCCCATATCCGAGTTGTCATAGCTTCAGCAAGGTTCAGCTCACCATCCCTCTTCCAGCATCGACGTGATCTCGCGGTGGTAGACGATCTTCTCGAACACTGCGCTGAGAGCAAGCTGGTCTGGACGACTGAAAGTCGCACTGAAGCCTACGATGGGGACCCTATTACCGTGGTCGGCGCTGTCATGTCAGCTTGGGACCACTTCCAATCCTTTGAGCGCCTGGAGCCCCTCGAGAAGCGAGAAGAATCTAGACACCTCTGTCGATGGAGAAAGACACTTACGGTTCTATCGGAGACATGAGCTCAGGCAGCTCGACATCCTGGTTGAAGTAATGCAGCATCCTCAGGTACCTAACGATCAGCCGTGAGACACATCTATGTAGTGCAGAAGCTCACGATATAGCGGCCGCATGGTGTGCCTCGTCCACAATGACCAGCTTGAACAACCTCGGATCGAGCTTCCTCAGCCTCTCCACATTGTTCAGCGTCTGATAAGTAGCGATAGTCCTGCCCATCAGCTACCTGTCCGCCTCCCTCTTCTCTTGTCAATTATACTCACACGTCAGCCCTCCCACTCGCTCGCCGTCCAGCCTGCTCCACCTCCACACTATACCCCTCCCCCAACAACCGCCTTGCGGCCGCCTCTGCCTGATTCGCCAGTTCCACACTTCCCACCAGTATCAAAGTCCGTCCTCGCCCGTCCTGAGATCCTTCGGGGGACGCAATGAGAGGGATGAGGTGCATGAACATGGTGGTCTTGCCGCTGCCGGTAGGAGAGGAGACGCCGATCCGGGTCAGGCCGGAGGAGAGCGCGTCGAGGCATGCTTGGATAGCGTCGTGCTGATAGTCGCGGAGTACGACGGCGGGGAGGATGGCCTCTCCTGAGGTAGGGGACGAGTCTCGAGGGGTTGGAGGTGGGCGTGCGAAGGTGGGAGCGCTGGATAAAGGGGTCGCGTCGTGATTGTCGAGCTGAAGGGCATGGGCTGTTGAGGAGGCTCGACGTTGAGTCTGAGCTATCCGCCGGCGAACTACGACAGAGAGACCAGGAGAAGGCAGTGAGAGGGCGCTGAAGCGGTAGGCCAGGCTGGCCAGTCGCCTTGCCGCCATATCGGGCCAAAATGAAGACACTGAGGCATCAACAAGTCAAAAACCCGAAACGAGGAATGTGGGGCAAGCTAGCGTTATATACCAGCTATCACCAGGAGCTCAAAGGTCAAGGTGAAGATGGCCCAGCGCTACATCATGGCGCGAGTCTGGGGCGAGATCATGGAGACGTGCTAGGTCTCGTTGGGATAGAGTCCTCGTTGTGCAGCCAGGAAAGCTGCAAAGCATCTTTCGTCGTGCTATGCATGATCACTTCCCCAATTCGGGCGACCTCAGTACGCCTGACTTTGCTTACTGCAACGCCTGATCACGCACGCCAGGTCGGACGCCTCGCTGCAGACATCCGCTGGCGCATCCGCTGATTTACAGCTTTCTTCGAATCCAGACGAGCCTGCTCCCGAGCAGCGTGCTCCAGCGCACAGCTGAAATAGTCAGCCAGAACATCCGCATCTGCACGTATATGATCGAGAATGTCAGACTCACGCGCAGGATTCGAGATGACCCATTAGGACTTTTCTGACTGGTAGCCGTCTGCCCGACGTATCGAAGGCGGTGATACTCTCGCGGAGACCTTCAATCCCGCCCCATCTTGAAAGCCTCCGCTCCGAAATATGCGCCGCAGCAGGCTTCCTCCTCCACGGTGCGGATCGAAGCAGACTGCGACTATAAGCTTCTGCACTAACGGAAATCTGGGGAGAACCGCTCACCGTGAAGCCTCGTCTGACCCCAGGACGGTCACAGCATGTTGGTCACCCAAGTCCAATGCTGAAACCAGCCGATCAAGAACGCCTAAAAGGACTGGCGGTGGTCGGGATGGCCGTCCGCGCAGGTCGCCGGACAGCACAGACCTCAGGGGACTGTCGCGATAGGTCACAGCCCACAGCGATCGCTGTTTCAAGTACCGATGAGGGGCAATTCTGATGTACCGCAGTGCTGCTCAAGATCAGTCGGAATTGCCACCTTCCCTCCAATCCTGGATAGGAATGCCTCACCATCGACTTGCAAGATGTAGCACTCCTTGCCGCATCGGACCTAGAGACTATCAGCTGATTCTCGGCCACACGTGCAAGACAGCGAGCAAGCTTACCCAGTGATTGGGGGATGTGCTCGCTGGGCAGCTGCTATCCGCTTCTCCAATTCGCAGGGGGTCGCTCTGGTCGAGAGACGCGATTCCAGCCATCTCGACGTGATTGGCCATCTCCTCCCGCGGTTCTTTCGCCAGGTTCCAGATCCATTCCATTGTATAGTGCTCGTCGACAACGGCTTCGCTTGCGGGCTTGCTCGGCTTACAGCTCGACTTCGGGACGTTGTCGGGTCTACCAGAGCGGGGTGCTGAGCTGGGTAGATTAGGCATATCACCGACAAAGGCGAGGAGGTCGTCGGTCTTGCCAGTGACAGGACTTGGGCGCCTACCTCGGTCGAGCTGAGTAGTCAGCTGATGTGTCCTTTCTTGCCTGGTCAAATGCAAAGACCCGTAAGAGGTAGCAGGACGTACCAGTGTGTTCATGTGCTTAGCGAGGGAGGCCATCTGGTGGTCGCCTTTGTCGTCTGGTTCTCCTTTCCCGAGGTCTGGACCATTGCAGTTGACTCGGTGGTAACTGTTCGGAATCAGCCTAAGAATTCAGGAGCCTGTTCATCTGCGCGCCATGACTAAACTCACCGTCCCTCTTTGATCATATCTTGGGCCTCGCGGTGGAAGACGATCTCCTGGAAGACCGGATGAAGAGCCACTTGATCAGACCGACCCATGGTCGCGCTGAAGCCGACGATGGGGACTCTGTGGTTGTGGTGTCTAAGAACCGATCAGCTCAGCTCAGCTCAGCTCGCTCTCCACGCTGTTGAGGCTTACGGCTTGTCCATGTCTTCAGCTGGGAAGAGTACGTCTCGATTGAAGTGATGGAGTATGCGCAGGTATCTATGCAACGTCAGCCAACATCGCGCGCGATATGTCGATAGAGTCTTACGATTGGGCAGCCGCATGATGAGCTTCAACCACAATGACAAGCTTGAAGAGCGCGGGGTCAAACCTCTGGAGGCGGTCCAAGTTGCTGAGGGTCTGGTACGTAGCAATGGTGCTGATGTCGTCAGCCACGCCTTGGCCTCTGGGTCCTAGCGATAACTTACACATCAGCCTGGCCGGTTGCGACCCGACTTCCTTGCTCCACTTCGATGCTCCACTCCGGTCCAAGCATCTTCCGGGCTGTGGCCTCTGCTTGGTTCGCCAGCTCGACGCTCGGCGTGATGATCAGGGTCTTGCGCCCCCTCCCATCCGGAGTGGACTTGGCTGACGCGAGCCTCGAGATGAGGCGAGTGAACATAGTCGTCTTGCCGCTGCCGGTAGGTGAGGAGACGGCGAACCTGGTGAGGCCCCTTTCGAGGCCATCCACGCAGGCCTGCATAGCCTCCTCCTGGTATGGCCGAAGGACGATAGGCTGAGGAGCGGCTGACGTGATCCGCCGAAAGATCGGCCGAGCCGGCGGGATTGGGAAGTAGCGAAACGGGCGCGTCGGTCGGGCGATGTGAGAGGCTCGGAAGACCGAGCGAGCCAATGGTAGCGCGAACATGCTGATACTTCAACCTGCGAGGAAGATGGGCAGATGATGAAGTGAGTTCCACCTGGCAGTCCATCGAAGATCATCCAGGCACCGCGCTTGGTGCCTGAAATGAGAAGTCAGCACGGGTGGGTTGTGTGTGCGCCAAAGCAGTTGGTGAGATCTGTCCGGCGAGTGATGCCTGAACGATCAAACCCCGGCGCAGACTTCCAGAGTGCTCGAGCCTACCCGAATTGTCATAGAGGGAGAGCGGAAGCTGGCTTCTGGAGCTCTTCAGGATACCTCGTCTCCAGGCTCTCCAGTCGATATCAGTATCTATCTCACTAATTTGCCCCAGTCCTCTTCCAGCCCCTCACTGCCGCTGGAGCGGTCGGACCGCGGCTTGTGGGATCAAGGCTTACAGAGCAAAGGCGCGGACCCGCCAAAGTTTCCGTCATGATCGTCCTGCTCACTCTGAAAGGCATTCCACGATGTTCAAATTTCGACAAGTCAGCAGCACTTGCGTACCCAGCGCGTCTCCGCCGAGTTGGATGTGCTTGAGACCTTAGGTATCGGTAGTAAGGATGAGAGGCAATGGCAAAGACGACAGCGGCAAGGGAGGCGAGAAGGATCTTACTGTACTCTACCGTGCCTGATTTAGCCGCCAAAGTGGAGGCATCCGTCCAGCAAATCATGTTGTATCCGCTCTTCTCTCTCGCAGGAGGGGAACGCACATAGGGTCATTCTTAGACTGCTGATCCAGTAACTACTGAGACCCCTTCAAGATGCACCTGCTCCCAAGAGAACAGGTCAGCTACAGCCTGATTGGCCAGCCCCTTAATGTAAACGAGCGGAGGCAGCTGAAACGTCTAGGATAAGCTCCTCATCACCGCAGTCGGCCAGCTCGCACAGCGCCGTCTCGCCCGAGGACTCATTCTCAATCGATCAGAGGCCGTTGGGCTCATCTCGAGCCAGATCCAGGAGTTTATACGGGATGGGAACCACTCTGTTGCGGAGCTGATGGATCTGGGGAAGAAGATGCTCGGGCGGCGGCATGTCATGGGTGAGCCATGAGGCCGGTACAGAGAGTAGAGTAAAGCTGATAGACAGAGGGCGTACCGGAGGCTTTGCATGATATGATGGTAGAAGGGACATTTCCTGTATGTGCATTCCGCTATGAGCGGGACAGAGCTGATGAAATAGGATGGGTCAGTTGGTCCTCTTGTACGGAAGCAAGGTGTAGCTGATCGACCAGGACTTTCCTCGTTTCCATCCACGATGCTATATGTTCAGATGACGGAGACCGTAAGCCAGCCTCAACGGATTCGGCGTCCAACAGCTTGAGCTGATCTCGCAGTCCAGAACGCCCTATATGGCTCCTTCTTGCCCATTCCGTCGAGCGACCTCTTCCCCTTACCCGAAGTCTCAAATGCTCCCCTCGCAGGCGCCATAGTCTGCCGGAAAGAACGCATCAAGCTATCGCAGGGACGAAAGCGATGGATGGTAGAAGTCAAGAATGAGGGCGATCGACCTATCCAAGTATGCCTCCTTCCCACTGCCGCAGCTGGGAAAAGCTGATTCCCAGGTCGGCTCGCACTATCCCTTCCTCGAAACTAACCCTTCGCTCATATTTGACCGCCTGCTGTCTTACGGTACCCACCTGGACATCCCCGCAGGTACTGCAGTCCGCTTCGAGCCCGGAGAGCGGAAGACCGTTTCGCTGGTCGAAGTTGGCGGGGACAAGGTGCTAGCGGGCGGGTCCAGTCTGGGAGCTGGGAAGTTTGACGAGTCGAAGCGAGGGACCGAGATCCTGGAGTTGGTGCAGAAGAGGGGATTCGCGCATCGGGAGCAGGAGAAGGTGGTACAGGGGCCAGTACCAGAGATGGACCGGGAGGTGGTACGTATAGTATTTCCCCGGCGGAGGAGGGGAGCTGACCGGTCAGTATGCCTCAATGTTCGGTCCTACAGTAGGCGATAGAGTCAAGTTGGCGGATATGAACCTCTGGGTTGAGGTAGAGAAGGACTACACGTATTATGGGGATGAGTGCAAGTTCGGTGGTGGTGAGCTCATATCAGATCCGGTCCGTATCAGGAGAGAGCTGATCATACAGGAAAGACACTACGAGATGGTATGGGACAGGCATCGAACCGACACGATAACGAAGTGCTGGATTTGTGCATCACCAATGCACTCGTCATCGACTGGAGCGGGATCTACAAGGTGAGCTCGTTCCTGGGATCGTGAATGGTCCTTGGCTCGAAGCTGAGATATCAGGCCGACATTGGGGTCAAGGACGGCAAGATCGTGGGCATAGGAAAGGCTGGGAACCCAGATATGATGGATGGCGTCACCGACAACATGGTCTTTGGGTCCGCTACTGAGGTATGGTCCCTTTTCTGTGCAATGTGGAAGTACCGCTGATGAAGAAGGTCATCGCTGGTGAGAAGCTCATCTTGACCGCTGGAGCCTTGGACGTTCATGTCCACTTCATCTGCCCTCAGCTCTGGCAAGAGGTGTGTCCCTGTTCGCTGTCTCATGTTCATTAGCTGACGGCCCAGGCGCTCTCATCCGGTATCACTACGATCGTCGGTGGCGGAACTGGTCCGGCCTCTGGCTCCACTGCCACTACTTGCACCTCCTCCAAATTCTACATGGAGGCTATGTTCGCCGCTACCGACGGCATACCGCTGAATTTCGGGTTTACCGGCAAGGGGAATGACAGTGGTCCGAATGGAATGAGGGATATTGTCGAGGCGGGGGCGATGGGATTGAAGATCCATGAAGACTGGGGAGCGTCGCCGGCTGCTATTGATGCGGGCTTGAAAGTGGCGGACGAGTACGATGTCCAGGTGAGCAAGCCTATCAGATGTAAAGTATCGAGCTGATGAAGTAGCTCAATATCCATACTGATACCCTCAACGAGAGTGGGTATATCGAGAGCACGCTAGCAGCGATCGATGGCCGTACGATCCACACGTACCACACCGAAGGCGCCGGCGGGGGTCATGCACCCGACATCATCGTTGTGGTGGAGCACCCGAACGTTCTTCCTTCGTCCACCAACCCAACTCGGCCATATACAGTCAACACCCTTGACGAGCATCTCGACGTGAGCTGATTCGTTTTTGATGACGAGACCCTGAGCTGATACCCCAGATGCTGATGGTCTGCCACCACCTCGACAAGTCCATTCCGGAAGATATCGCATTCGCCGACTCGCGTATCCGCGCCGAGACGGTCGCAGCTGAGGACGTATTGCAAGATACCGGCGCGATCTCGATGATCTCTTCGGACGCACAAGCGATGGGGCGGATTGGCGAGGTAATTAGTCGGACATGGCGTACTGCTGCCAAGATGAGGGATGTGCGCGGCGTTCTGGAGGGGGACGAGGAAGGGAGGGATAATGAGCGCGTGAAGCGATATATCGCAAAGTATACCATCAACCCGTATGTCCCAATTTCACCGCCTTGTGGGGATGTCACTGACGGCCAGGGCGATCTGTCATGGGATGTCTCATCTTGTTGGACAGGTCAAAGTGGGGTGCCTGGCGGATCTGGTGTTATGGAATCCGGCAAGCTTTGGAGCGAGACCGGAGATGGTCATCAAAGGCGGAGTGATTGCTTGGGCACACGTAAGCTGATAATACCGAGCGCGCTTGGTTGGAGAGCTGACGAGGTAGATCGGTGATGCGAACGCCTCGATACCGACGGTCCAGCCGCTCATTGGGCGCAAGATGTGGGCGTGCGAACCGGCCACTGCGGCTCTGACATCGGTGCTCTGGGTCAGCCAGGTGTCCATCGATAATGGTGAGTTCTCGTCGAGCTGTATGCAGTCATCGGACAGGAGATACTGACGCTCCAGGGACGATCGCGGAGTATGGCCTGAAGAAGCGAGCCGAGGCGGTCAAGAAGTGCCGAGATATCGGAAAGAAGGATATGAAGCTGAACGACGCGATGCCAAAGATGCAAGGTGAGCTTCTGGCCCAAGATTAGAGTCATTAGGCGAGAAGCTGATCATGATAGTCGACCCGGAGACGTACGTTGTCATGGCGGATGGAGTGCTATGTGATGCGCCGCCAGCTACGACATTGCCATTGACGAAGAAGCACTTCATCTATTGATCAGTCGGAGTCCAAGGAGAATAGAAAAAGGGAAATACTTCAACCGTTGTACTAGAGTAGTGGTGCATGATAAAATTATGATACTCGTGAGATACAGTAAGATCGTCTATGCTCTATCGTCTATCCCTAGAGATGCCTCGGTACCTCAAACTTGGTGAACGCGATAATCTCGTCCCCTTCGCGGACATCCGTAAAGCCATGGAACGAGATCCCGCATTCTGTGCCCTTCCGGACCTCCGTCACATCCTTCTTGAGATGTTTGAGCGTCTCGATAGTCCCTACCAGTATCAGCTGACAGATCCTCGCCCAATCCTTGATGAGCAACAGGAAGACTCACCCTCATACACCTGCACCCTGTCCGCGCCTCTCAGCACCCTAATCCCCACACCTTCTTTACTCTCCACGACCCCATTCCCCACTTTACACCCCGCAATCTTGACGACCTCTTTCCCCTTCATCTTGATCTCAAACACCTGCTGGACAACCGCCTCGCCCGTCACGCGCGACTCGTATACTGCCGGAAGAAGCTTGATGACTTCGGATCGGACCGTCTCGATCAGGCGGTAGATGACAGAGTCGGAGTGGAGGGGGACATTGAGTGTGCGCGCGAGATTTTGGGTCGAGCGGGACGTAGGGACCGAGAAGGCTATGATGGACGCTACAGAGTCACCTACTTGCCCCTTCAGACGATGATGTGAAAATCAGCTCACCCTTCCCCGCTTCGGCCATATGGACATCACTCTCCCCCACTTCCCCCACTCCCACATGCACAATCTTGACCCCCGCTTGGGCATTCCCAATCCCCTCCAAGCTCCCCACGACCGCCTCCACACTCCCCGACACATCCCCCTTAACGACCAACCGCAACTCCTTCTTCCCACCTTCCTCCTCCGCCCCACTCTGCCGCTCAAACTCGCGCTTCCAAACCTGAATCTCCGCCTCGCTCTTCCCTTCTTCTTTAAGCCTCCCCACTCCTTCTTCCTCCAATTCCACCTTTTTGCGCTCGGCGACCCGCTTGATATTGATCGACTCCACATCCGCGAGGAGTTTCTTCCGCTCAATCTCGCGAAGACGGTTCGAGATGGCTTTTTTGGCTTCGTCCTCGTTTGATGCTTCGAGGAGCTGGTCGCCGGCCGAAGGGAGGTCGCGCCACCCCATGATACTGACGGGGGTACCGGGAGGGGCGGAACGCAAAGACCGGCCGGCCGAGTCTTGCATTTGGCGGACGCGGGCCCAGGTTGTACCCGCCACGATACAGGTACCGGCTGATAACGTACCCTTTGACACAAGAACAGTAGCGACGTTTCTAACGTATCAGCTCTCAGCATTTCGCACAGACCTGTAGCAGCCGGAAAGACTTACCCCTGCCCCCGGTCAACCCGGGACTCCAGCACATACCCCTCCATCTTCCCCGTCGTCCTAGCTCGCAGCTCCCTGATCTCCGCCAGAGTTGATAAAGTCTCCACAAGCTTATCCAACCCCTCCTTCTTGAGTCCCGACACTCGCACAGACGGCACATCCCCTCCGTCTTCCTCCAACAAAATTCCTTCCGCACCTAATGCAGACTTGATCTTGTCCTAACCAATTAGCTCCCTCCATCCCCCCTCATTCTTTCCTCCTGGGTACTCACAAAATCGATCCCCGGCTTGTCGCACTTATTGATCGCCACCACCAACCCCACTTTATCCTGATCCGCCTTCCACAGCTCAATGACTTCTTTCGTCTGCGGCATCACTCCATCATCGGCCGCAACGACCAAGACGACCATATCCGTCACCGAAGCCCCTCTGGCGCGCATTGCTGTGAATGCGGCGTGGCCGGGGGTGTCGAGGAACGTGATGGTGCCGGGCGTCGAGGAGTCGGCAGGGGCGGAAGGGAGGAGGGAGGAGAGGGGAACGGAGAAGGCGCCGATGTGTTGGGTGATACCGCCCGCTTCGCCTGTGGCGACGGAAGAGTCACGGAGGGAGTCGAGGAGGGTCGTTTTGCCGTGATCGACGTGGCCCTGGAAGTCAGCCATACCACGCATAATTGAGTCTACTGCTAGAGGGGTTGGCGAACCATGATGGTAACACTGTAGAGTCAGCATCTACACGCATGGCGATGTGTCATCGCGAAAGAGCTTACACTGGTGGTCTGAGAGGCTGCACTACACCCTCCGCATCCGGTCTGTAAAGTTAGCTGGGATCGCGGCGCGCTCGATCCGGAAACAGCTCACTCTGGGAAGATGTCGAAAGTTCTCTCATCGTCCACAGTGGGATCTAGACCGTACTCGAGCGCAATGTTGCACGCCTCTTCACTCGTCAAGACTAGATGATCAGCTTCTGGACCTGGACAAGCTCGGCCAAGTAAAGGTGTACATACGATAATCTGATCTCCGCTGGTCTTCACTAAGACCCAAACGCTGCATCGTTCTCTGCAGATTGACTACCCCATCAGCTACTTGACGCTCCATCCATGCTCCGCAGCTGAACTCACAAATCTTGACATCAAAGATATGCGCCAACCTCCCCACGCTCACCGAGCTCGGCACAAACACCTTCTTCTCCAACCGACTTTCCACCTCTTTGGGCTTCTTTGTCCTCTCCCGCTCGCTCCGGACTCTTGCAAGATTCATCTCGTCCCTATCCTTCCCTCTTCCTCTTTCCTTCTCTCTCCCGCCGCCATCGACCTGATCTCTCCGTTCCCGTCCGCGCGAGAGCGTAAACTCGCCCTCTGCGGCCCGGTACGATCGGGAGGACTTTTCGCTTTCGGCGCCGGGCCGGCCGGGAGGTCCGCGCTGATGGGAACCACGACCTCGGGAGGAGGACGCATTGTACGGCGCGTCATCGTCTGGTACGGCGTCGTCGGCAGGAGCTGGAGTGGAAGGGGCCGGCGCGTCCTCTGAGGGTGGAGATGGACGAGGCAGTCGACCGCCGTTGGGCAATGGTCGTCCACCTCTAGCTGGTCGAGCGTCCATTCCGAATCTTCCTTCTCCATTCCCGTCTGGTCGTCCCCTTCCGTAGCTCCCAGCTCCACCTCCACGTCCGCCGCGTCCTCCACCGCCGCCGAACGGCTCCCTCCCTTGAGATGGACCGCCCCTCTCGCCGCCTCTCTGCCCGCCTGCATTTCGGTCATACAGACCCGGACCCGCGGCAAAGCTGGACCGCGGAGGTCTTTCGGACGGCTCGAAACGTGCCGCAGGTGTGCGACTGCTTCCACCGCCTCCTTGTCCTGGGCGTCGATCTCCTCCCCGCGGGCTACCTACTCCACCCCGTACAGGCCTGTCTGGTACGTCCTCCCCCGCCCTCGTCTTGGCCCCGATAAAATTCTCTTTCCTCTGACTCCCACCCGGCCTGAACTTTCTGGGCGGACCAGTTCCAGGCGGATTGTGTCTCCAGCCGCCGGTATCTCCTCCTCCTCCGTCTGGGTTCGAGACGGGCGCAGAAGCAGAGTAAGCCGCTGCGTGAGCGACCGGGCCTAGGCGCGCTGCGGCGGAAGGGAGAGATCTGCAGCACGTGCAGGCTCGGCGAAGGAGGCTCATCGCTGGGCGGTGAGCTTTGATTGATGTAGACGCAGAGTGAACGGTGTGAGGATGGACGTGACCTTGGCTAGGTTTTCAGAAATCTTGCTATACTGCCCCCGGAACCTCTGTCACTCTCGGAGATTGCCGCTGGCCGCTGGGTCCACATTCCTTATCCTCCCGATGACGTTTCGGGTGTCCGATGGTGGCAAAATCTTACCTTGCCGCGGAGAAGGCGTTTCATCTGCTCATCGGTCGACATTGTAGTAGTTTCAGCTCAGCCTCACCTATCACAGTCCAGGGAAGAAGTCGCCTCGCCCGCTGCCGGAAGCCTACGGAGCCAACGCTCGAGCCCAAAGAAGCGGACCGGACAAAAGGTGTCCAAGCGGAACAGCCTCCACCTTCCCCTGCCCTTCACCCTTTCAATCGCCCTCTCACCTCTCACTTCATCATGTCGACTACATATACATCCCGCCCATCTTCTCTTCACCCCAATCATCTCTTCCCGCCACACCATCACATCTCTCGTACCCGCTCTCACTCGCCTCCCTCCTCCCGCGTCTCGGTAGGAACCTCGATCGGCGACATTGGCGAGATGCCCGATATTGACAGTTTGCGGCCGATGTATGCTGGGGCGGTAGAGTATCCTGCCAAAGTGGGGAAGAGCTCTACGATGGCGATGGATGCGCAGGATTCGCAGAAGCCGGGAGTGGGGGAGAAGGGGGAAGTGAAGCCTACAAGAAGGTTTCCGGAGGAAGAGGACGAGGAGCTATTGAGGGAGAGTGAGGATCGGTTTGTGCTGTTCCCGATCAAGTATAGAGAGGTATGTTCCGAACATCATCCACCAGCTGGCAAGTGGTGTCTTCCCACTGCGATAGTCTGAAAGCTGACATCGAAAGATATGGGCAGCGTATAAAGCATGTCAAGCGAGTTTCTGGACCGCGGAAGAGATCGACCTGGGACAGGATATGGGGGACTGGAATGACAAACTCAATGAGAATGAGCGGTTCTTTATACTTCGTGAGCTTTGTGTACACACTGCGGCTAGTGGGAGAAGCTTACTATCCCAGGCATATTAGCCTTCTTCGCGGCATCAGACGGGATCGTTGGCGGTATGTCTCTCCCTTAGCTCTGTCAACCCTTACCTACTCTCACAGCTATTCTCTGTTCTGCGCTGAGCTCGGTAGCTGACTTGCCAGAAAACATCATCTCCCAGTTCTCCCTAGACGTCCAACTCGCGGAAGCCCGCGCCTTCTACTCCTTCCAGAGCATGATCGAGCAGGTACACTCTGAGACGTACTCGCTCTTGATCGAGACGTATGTCCGAGACCAAGAGGAGAAGAGCTTCCTCTTCAGAGGAATGGAGACTAGTGAGCTGCTCTCCTCGCACCAGCGGGAGGATACAGCTGACCCGCCAGTCCCCTGCGTGAGGAAGAAGGCAGACTGGGCATTGAAGTACATAACGCCAGAATTGGTGAGCTTGCCGCGGCAGATTGTGTGCTATCCAAGCTGACTGAGACAGCCCTTCCGAGTCCGCCTGGTCGCGTTCGCATGTGTCGAAGGCATCTTCTTCTCTGGCTCCTTCGCCGCCATCTTCTGGTTGAAGAAGCGGGGTCTCATGCCCGGACTGACATTCTCGAATGAATTGATCAGCCGGGATGAAGGGACACATACGGACTTTGCCTGTCTGGTGAGTCATTGTCTTTTTGAGACTCTGTGGAGACCAGCATAGACTGATACGATCAGCTATTCAATCATCTCCACCACCGCTGTTCCGAGGAGGAAGTGCACGATATCGTCACCGAAGCTGTCGTTATCGAGAAGGAGTTCCTTAGCGAGGCTTTGCCGGTCGGCCTCATTGGAATCAACGCGGACGTAAGCTCCCGTCCCCCCTTTCGAGCTTCGGAGGAGCACGAGCTGACCCTATAGCTCATGTGTCAATACATCGAGTTTGTTGCAGATAGATTGATAGAGTCATTGGGGTACACCAAGATATACCATGCGCGGAATCCGTTTGAATGGATGGAGCTCATCTCGCTTCAGGGCAAAGCTAGTGAGTTGACGCGTTCTTCTTGGGGGGAATTCCAGCTGACCTCTTCCAGACTTCTTCGAATCAAGAGTATCGTCATACCAGAAAGCGGGCGTGTCGCGGATGGACAACTCGGGACAGGAAGGCGGGGAAGAACGATCTCAGCGGAGAGTGTTCAAGATGGATGCGGACTTCTAGGGGCTCGACCACGACGAGGGAAGCAGAGGGGTTGTTTTACCGTGTATCAGTATATCTCACCTCCATTCAGCTGTATCACTAGGTAGTTGTGACTATGCGATCCACCCTCACTCTCGTGTCCCTGGTCTTCCCGCTTGACTCAGGACAGGAAGCTGGGTCAAGAAGGGCAACGCACGGACATCTGACATCACCTTCCCGTTGCGGCACGACTGGAGCCCCGCAGTCGCTCCTTCCGGCTAATTCCCCGTTCTGGCAATTCCCACCCCAGCCGTCTCACTACTGGAAGCTCGATTCAACGTTCGACCTCCTTCCTTCTCTACATCTCCCTTCTCCTATAGCCGCCCCCTCCCTCTATTCTACAGACACGCAAGATGAAGCTCGCAGTCCTCTTTGGAGTGCTTATGGCCCTCGCCGGCGCTGACGCCGCGAAGCACAGGTGAGTGTTTCGTCCGTTCGGCGAGGCCGCGTCAGCGTTGCCACCCTACCTTCCCCACCCCATCGCGCCCTTCATGGACGCAGCTGACACCCCAGCCTCAAGCTCAAGAAGCTCCCCCTCACCCCTCCCTCGCTGCACCAGTACGCGTCGTCCCCCGCACTCGAGGCCGAATGGCTCAAGGCCAAGCACATGGGCACGCTCGGCGGTATTGTCGATGCCGGGCAGAAGGTGCTCGGTCTCGGCGCCCACGGGCGGCCGTACCGCCTCGAAGTGGATGAGGAGGCTGAGGAGGCCTGGGCGCAGGTCATGCCTCGTGATGAGGGTCTGGAGGAGCGCGTCGCCAAGGGCGGCCACGGCGTCCCTTTGTCCGGTAAGCTGTGCGACTCTGAGTATGGTGGCCATAGCTGACGACCAGACTACATGAATGCTCAGTACTACGCCCCGATCACTATCGGGAACCCGCCCCAGGAGTTCAAGGTTGTCCTTGATACCGGATCGGCCAACCTCTGGGTCCCCAGTTCCGAGTGCACCAGCATCGCTTGCTTTGTAAGCTTACACCCACTCAGATCATAATGGCACAGCTTACATCCCAGTTGCACGCCAAGTACGACCACTCCAAGTCGTCCACCTACAAGCCCAACGGTACCGACTTTGAGATCCACTACGGGTCCGGCTCGCTCTCGGGGTACGTCTCGGAGGACACTATGCAAATCGGCGATCTCGAGGTCAAGCACCAGCTCTTTGCGGAAGCGACCAAGGAGCCCGGACTCGCCTTTGCTTTCGGCAAGTTTGACGGTATTCTCGGTCTCGCGTACGACACCATTTCGGTCAACCACATTGTCCCTCCCTTCTACAACATGCTCAACCAGAAGCTCCTCGATGAGCCCGTCTTTGGGTTCCGTCTCGGAAGCTCCGAGGAGGACGGAGGTGATATGACTTTCGGCGGGCTGGACGAGAAGGCGTTCAGCGGCAAGATGGAGTATGTGCCTATCCGCCGAAAGGGGTACTGGGAGGTGGAGCTCGAGAAGATTGGGTTTGGAGAGGAGGAGCTCGACCTCGAGAACACGGGCGCCGCGATTGATACCGGAACGTCGCTTATTGTGATGCCTACCGATATCGCCGAGATGCTCAACAAGGAGTACGCTTGCCGATTGGGTAGCAAAATGAAAGGCAGAGCTGACAACCCAGGATCGGCGCCACCAAGTCGTGGAACGGCCAGTACACTGTCGACTGCAACACCATCGGCAGCCTCCCCGAGCTCTCCTTCTTCTTTGGCGGCAAGGAATATGCGCTCAAGGGCGAAGACTACGTCCTTAACGCCGGCGGAACTTGTATTTCTAGCTTCACGGGCATGGACATCCCGGCGCCTATCGGCCCCCTCTGGATTGTCGGTGACGTGAGTTCTTTTCCCCAGAAATGATGTGAGCGGGATATGAGCTGATATGATAGACCTTCCTCAGGAAGTACTATACCGCGTACGACCTCGGTCGGAACGCCGTCGGGTTCGCCAAGTCCAACTAGGCGGTGCCGGGGCGAGCGTAGGGCGTGAGAGAGAGATATAGGATGAGAGTATGAAGACGCAGAAGAGGTTCGGTCAGAAGTCAGTGTAGTGTAGTGCAGCAGTGGTTGTTCGAGCAGATACCTCCTCTTTCATGTTCGTTTGAGCTTAGGCTGAGCCTGCATCGCTTTAGGTAGATTTGTGCAGACATGTATTAGTGCGCGGTTTCGCCTGGAGTTGATAATCTCATAAATCCTGATACCGCAATGAAGCGTGCTGCAGCTGAGGCGGGGTCAGGCGCATACTTCCGCCACCTCTGGATCTTTGCTTTCTCGCCGAAAGATCCAACGAGCGGCTTGTGATTCAAAACTATCCGCCACAACATGGAGGGCGGAGGTCTCGGACAGTGCCTGATCAGACTGATCGAGGTGGAGGCGGAGGTGACGCAGCACTGACGCAGACGCGACCATTGATTTCCACTTTACCTCAATGCATTTCCAAGGCATGCCCCTAGCCCCGCGGCCGCTCGCCGGCTCGGCTCTCTTACTCGGCCCTCGGCTCTCTCGGTTCTCGGGTCCTTTTCAGTCGCCGGTGGGAAAGGTTACTGAAACAGCGTTAATACCTCGGCTCTCCCCAGCTTTGCATTTGCATGCCCCTCCCCTTGAAACGTGCCTCCGCTCTCCCCCGGACACATCACCAGCACCCCTCATTTCGCACACTCAGCCCCTCCGTTCGTCCGCTTCCGCCACCCGATGCTCCGCGCCCGTCACTCGTCAGCAGTCCGCATCTTGCTTGTCAGCAGAAGAGGACTCCGTCCATCCCCGAACAATAATCAAGGTTCCGGAGCCGTCACGCCGATGGTCGACCGGCACTGTCGGCTTGAGGACAGGAGGTGCTGTCAGCAAACGAGGCGCAAGATCACTTTCTTTCTTTCTTTCTTCCGCACCCTACTCCCAATGACAGGTCCAGTGCACCTCCATAGCTACCTCCATCCAAGCATGCATGTCAGTAAAATCGCGCAGCTTGGCAGGGCGGGAAGAGAGGTGCCTGCTCTTGCCGAGTATCACCCGATCTGCAGTGCTTTCCGGCGCCGCAAGGCCGTATCGGTAGCGTGACAGACGGGCGGCGATAGGGCCGCAGTCTCGGCCTCGGACTTTTAAGCATCGTTTCCGAGGATTGCGTCTCCGCGTCCATCGTCCATCGCGACCTTTTTTTCGATCGCCGGCGGAAGACCTCCTTCCTTGATGATGACATGCGTACCTTACAGTAGCCAAACGGATAGATCTGGGCCCTTGGTTCCCAAAGTGGTCTGAAGAGCTGTGGGTTTGTCACCGAGCGACGAGAGCAGGCAGCGAGCACCGAGAAACACGGACGGGGTCTCACTCCGGTTCGGTACGGTGAGGGGAGGGGGCGCGGTGACGGCGCCGGCGTTACAGCCGTTTCTTTGCTTGCTTGCCTCTCAATTGCCCGGCTTTTTCTCACAGCTTGGGTACCGTAGCCAGCCAATCCCCCGCTGTGCATTGTCGCCCAGTCGAGCTCGGACTGAGCTGCGGAGACGGACCTCGGACATCTTCCCTCTCGAATCCCTTGATTTGTACTTTCACCTACCGTACATTTGTATTTGCCTCGGCGCTTACTTTTTACCTTCCTTCCTTCCTCCTCCTCGTGCAGCGTCTCACGTGAGCCCGTGAGGCTAGTCACCCTTCCCAGCCACATCGCTGAAGTCAGCAAAAGACCGGCATCCCTTCAGCCCACCTCTTCACTCGTTCCCTCTCAACAATGACGGGCGAATACCACCTCGCGCCCTCCTCTTCCGCCTCCCGCACCTACTCCCGCTCTCCTTCCTACCAACAGCAGCCCCGATCTCGGTCGCCTTCCCCCTCGCGCTCCTCTCACCCCTATTCGCCGCGGTACAATCTCCCGCCCCTGCGCAATATCGAATCTAGTAACGGCTCGGGCTCGCCCTCTCTACAACACCCGTCCCACAGCCAGCTTCCCCGACTCGTCCTCAAATCCCCAGGTCAGGACCAGGATCAGCAGCCGTCCCACACCCTCCCGTCCGACATCTTATCGACGAGTCGCGACTCTCACTCGCGGCATACATCAGAGCGGGGCGCGGTGTACTCTACGCTGCGAGGCGGTAGCGGCGGGGCCGGGGGAGGACCGTCCGGATCCACCTCACCCGCAGACTACGTCAGCTCGAGGGGTGTCCAGAACCTGCCGGAGATCTCAAGGCAAAGGAGCTATAGCGGCGGAAGCATGAGTGGGCGAAGTGCCAGCGAGTCAGGTGACAGCCAGGCAAGCCTCCCGCTGGGTCCCATGGGCATGAGCGGCGAGGGGGATGCGGCGGGCCAGAGAGACGCAGACGCGCCAGGAGAGGAGGATATGCGCATGGAAGTGGGAGGGAAGAGGGTGACGGCAGCAGAAGCGGAAGCGGTATCTGCTCTGCAGCTCACCGAGATCTCGAGGGAGTTCCGAGCTGCCCCAGCAGCCCCAGGATGGCGGGATGAGGAGGTGGACCGGACCGTCTCGGGCGGTGTCACTCCGGGCGCGGTGCTTCCTCCTATCCCGCGCACGACCAAGGTGGTCAGCTCAACTTCGACGCCCACCCTTGTGACGGCAGAAACGCCAGTCAAGGTGGTTGCGAGGACGGTGGGCGGGTCGACGGCCAAGTCCAGGAAGAGCAGTTGTGATCTGTGCCATCATCGAAAGATCCGAGTACGTCCTTCTTCCTTCTTCCCTTTGCAGCAAGACAGCGGCTGACCCTCAGTGCGATCAAGGCCGGCCCGCCTGCGGCTCGTGCGTCCGGAAAGGGCACCGATGCGTCTACGCAGAGGATACCGAAAAGCCCGCTATGAAACTCATCACGGCCACCAATCGCACCATCACCGTCGTATCGGCCACGAACCCGAACGAGACGATGGTCGTTGAGGTGCCTATGCCCACATTACAGGATCTCCCCCTCCCCCGCCGATCGAAACACAACCCCAGCGGAACACATCACTCGCAGCGGTATCCCAACTCTACGTCTACTTCGTCTGCAAGGGCTTCAGGACCGGAATGGAGCGCTGTCCGGTCCTCGGGAATACCTACGCCTACTTCTGGGATGGAGCATGTGCGTTCAGGCGGAGGCGACAGGTACAACAACGGAGACGGGTACTTTTCGAATGGGCACGGCCATGGGAACGGGAATGGCAATGGCAATGGGTATAGAGGTGGGGAGGGAGGGGAGAGGTACAGAGAACGGGACAGGATGCAGATGGACTTTGAGTCGGATAGTGAGGATAGGCGATACCGAAGGGAGAGGGAGAGGGAGAGGGGATACGATGGGCGTAACTCGCTCAATGAGGACTCGGCAGATCTGGCAGGGGGCAAGCAGGATGGAGATGGGAGCGATCATGATATGGGGGAGAGGGGGAGTGTCACGCCTAGCCTGGAGAGCGCGATGAGGGGTAGTAAGCGGGAGACTGGCGGGGAGGACGAGTTGAACGGAGAGGTGAGTCTTTCACATCTGCAGAGTGGAACGGGACTGATGACCAGCTGCTCGAGTTGGCAGGTGGACAGCCGAGGAAGAAGAAGCCTCGCCCGTCCGGAGCGGACGGCAGCGCCCTCCCTCCTCTACGTATCGGTCCCAACTCGTACCGCCCTCAATCCGGCCCACCGTCCGCCACTGCCTCAGGGTCAAGGCGGAATCACCCACCCACCCCCAGTTCATGGACTGACGCCTACTCTTCGTCCATCTCGGCACTCATGTCTTCCCTCCCTAGCGCCGATATCCAGCGCATCCTCTTCGACTCATTCTTCACCGACCCGTTCCTCGCGGAAGGCATCACCCTTCTCCAGACGCAATTCATGGAGCAGCTCAAAACCGTCACGGAGCGCCAAGGCCAGCGCTCGCGTGAAGGGGACGCTACGACACTCGCCAACGCGTTTGCTATCCTCGGTACCGCCCTCCGGATCATGCCTGACGAAACCTCCCGTCTTCTCCTCGCTTCCTCTACTGCGGGAATGTACGGCCACCTCCAACCCAAATCCCTCAGCCGAATCATCTCGCCTCAGCTCGCATCCCATCTAGACCCCACCCCGCTCGACCAGCGATACTTTGATCTCGCGCTCATCTGCTCTCAGATGGCAGAGTCGGGGGATACGCCAAGCGTTATGCTCGTCATGCTCAAGCTGGTGCTGTATCGCAACTTGGCGATGCGGAAGGATCGACAGACCGTCTCGGGCCAGTATCTCTGCGGGGCGATCAAGATTGCGCAGACGATGGGATTGGGCAAGGAGTGGGAGTGGCAGCCACTAGGTGAGAGGGAGATGAAGCGGCGGATTATGTGGAGTTTGTATGTCGCGGATAGGCATCTGTCTTTGTGAGTTTCTCCGGTGGGGTTGTGGGTCTAGCTGAGAGGCAGCGAAACGGCCGTCCCATATACTCTGCTCGAAGCCCATCAAGGTATTCACCTTCCTTCGCCTATCTCTGAGCACGACCTACACCAGCTCGCGCCCGATGCCACTGCCCTCCCTCCCCACAAGACCGAACTTGGTCCTACTCCCTGTACCGCTCTCTTCCTACACACCCACCTCGCTCGAAAGATCACTCCTATCCTTGACTCCTTCGCGACCCTCTCTCCCTCCAAAACACCTCATGGCCTCGTCCTCGGATTCGACCAATCCCTTGACACATTCCAAGAGAAGCTTCCTACATACATGCGTTTCTTCCCACTCACCGATACCCGATGGGACAGCTCGCACGCTTACCTCTCGGCTCACCGGATCCGCCTGCACGCCCGGATCCTTGCGTACCGCCAAGGCGTCCATCGGTCATTCATCATCACGTACCTCCGTCCGTCCGCCCCGGCAGGCATTCGCGGCGTCATGGCTCATATCTGCCTCTCGAGCCTCCGGACACAGCGGTCGGCCAAGATGCTGGACCCGAAGATCGCGCCGAGGATATACGAGCCTTTGGTCGTCTTCGAGTCGGCGATGATCTTGGGGTTGATATTGTATGTGGATAGGGCGATGACGATCGGTCAAGGGGCGGCACCGGCGCCAGAGGCCATGATGTGGAGAGAGGGGCTGGCGAATGGGGTGGAGCTGCTGGATAACATCTCGGCCGGTGTGGCGGGCGATGCGGCCAGGAAGGCAGTCAAGGTTTTGAGGGAGATGAGCGCCAAGGTGGACGCGTCGCCTCAGGAGACCAAGCTGTGAGTACTTGTTTATGTTGGTGTAGAGATATCAGCTGACTTGTAGGTTGGTATCGGACGAGGAGATACCGAAAAGTACAACTCCGAGTGGCTCTCCCGGAGAAGCCGCACCAGTACTCACATCGCCACCTCACCCGCCTCATAGTCGGGCGAGCAGCAATAGCGGGAGCAAGCAAGTACAGGCGGTCGATACCTGGCTGGACGGTTTGGCAAAGGAGCGTCCGACGCTTGAGGCGCTGTTGAGGGAGCCGCAGTGGGAAGAAGGGTGGGAGAAGGTCATGGCGGGGATGTAGGCGATGCCCAAAAGTTTGTATTCAGTCAGTCTGGCATGGCCATCATACACGCATGAAATGGGTTTGTAGCGGCAGGGGAATCTTCTTACATACCGCATGGCTGAAACCAAAATCTACACACCGCGCAGTACCCTGATAGACAACATGTCTACTGAAAAGCCAAAATTACCACCAGAGACAGACTACCCTACATTACAACGCAACAGCCCCCCTTACCGACTTTCTCGCCGCCCTCTTTCTTCAGTCCCGTGCTCGGCGTGAACGGCTGCACAGGCGAGCTCGGCCGTCGTGTAGCAAGCTGAGCCGATCCGGAGGCGGGATAGCCCGTATATTTGGGGGTAGGGGTGGAGGATACGCCAGGACCAGATACGGGTCCGGCGAGGATTTGTTCGTGTTGCGCTGCTATCCTCTGCCGAGCGTCAGGTCCTGATCTTTCCATACGACCCATATTCTCCGCGACGGTCGTATATGGAGGGGACGAGGTAATTAGACTCACCCTTTCATCCTTCCGTACGAGCTTGACAAGCTGCCTAAACGCCACATCCACATTGACCCCTTCTGCCGCTGAACACTCTATGAATGGCGCACCGAACGAGCGTGCAAGGTCTCTGCCTTCGATTTGGCCCACCATCCGCTGTGACGCCAAGTCACACTGCTGATCAGCGCCCGATCTCTGATACCCTTCTTACAAGTGGGTGGAAGGAAAGGGTCAATGGTTAGGGGCTTAGATGCGGGGACGCCACTCACCTTGTTGGAAACCACAATGACAGGGACTGATGGCCTGTCCTTCACCCGCAGTATATCCTGGTGGAGCAACAACAAGTTCTCGTATGACACCCGATCGGTGATACTGTAGACGAGCAAGAACCCCTGGGCGTATTTGTACCACTGGGCAGCCATCGCTCCGTACTCCTCTGAGATATCAATAAGCCCCATGACAATGATGGCAGGTAGAAAGAGAGATGCACACACCTTGTCCGGCTGTATCGAGGATCTCTAGCGTCACTGCCTCTTCATTCACGACTACCTGCTTGCGATAGCTGTCTTCGATAGTGGGATTGTAGCCACTGAAAGGGTCAGCCTTGCCGTCGTTTCAGTGTATATGCACCCTGCGCTCTCCCATTCGCGAGTAGTCACCCGCCTCAGCTCTGGCCAGCTCCTCACCACCAGCAACTCAGTGCCGGAGAAGGGAAAGGTGGACTCACGTATCGTAAAACTGAGAAGTCACGAATCGGATAGTCAGAGCCGATTTACCGACACCTGTACGCATCAGCAAACCTTCCCGACCTCACCGGTCCTATCAGACCTGACAGACTCGGGGACTCACCTCCAGACCCCACAACCGCTATCTTTAATTCCCTCTTCCCCTTCGCAGGCTCCCTCTGCGCCCAGGCCATCGCATGGCCCGATGTGTCGTGATCGATGAGCGAGCTGACGAGAAGTTAGGCTGTGGAGGTCCAAAGTAGCAGACAGCGGCGCAGCCGTGATGAAGCTTGTAAGTGCTGGTGGGATGAGAGTCAGCGTATCAGCAACCCAATAGACAGTTAGCAACCGCTTCGAACAGCTTCCCGGTAGCGCACACACGCCAAAGGTACCCTTGAGCTCGATCTGGGTCAGTCCTCATGCAGCCGGACATAGTATGTGGAGTGTCCTTTGCGTCCCTCGGATAGCTTGGGTACTACGGAAGGCGTTGACGCCTCAAAGGGCCTGGGTGTCCTTCAGGCTGTGTGAGTGAGCGATCGTACCCTGTAGAGTATAGCCCCGGATCCCAAGCGATCTGCAGCGGTCGATCGCTAAATGAGACGCCCCATTCGCTTTACAACGCTTTACACTCTGGATACAGCGGGAATGTTGAGCCACTGGGTGATAAGGTAGAGGTGCAAGCTCAAAACCCAGCTGCGGAGGTCGCTGCTGCCTGCTCGGCTCAAGACAACTCGACCACGTGGCGGCAGTGTGGCAATGTGGCGGTCGCTGCGTCTCGAGCCTGGAGTCGCAAGGCCTCACACTGTCGTGCATGAGGCCATCTACGCGTACGTACATGGTATATAGAGCCCTATGGGCAGCCTCTTCCACTCAGCATATCGGATCCTTCGCTGCCTTCTCACGAAGAAGTCGCTCTCTCAACGCTTTCCCCCCACACTCGACCACCGCCTGCCTCGCCCTGCCAAACGCCAGATCCCCGGGCTCCACATCCTTGGTAATCGTACTCCCTGCAGCAGTAAAGCTCCCTTCTCCCACCTTGACAGGCGCCACCAGCGTATTGTTGGACCCCACAAACGCCCCAGCCCCAATGGCGGTCTGATGCTTGTTGACGCTGTCATAGTTGCACGTGATCGTGCCGCCACCGATATTCGCTCTGGCGCCGAGTTGTGCATCTCCTATGAAGCTGAGATGACCGACCTTGGCGCCGTCTGCGAGGGTGCTACTCTTGACTTCGACAAAGTTGCCCACGTACGACCCAGCGCCAAGGGTCGCGTTCGCTCGTACGCGGGCGTAAGGACCGACCCCGGCACCTGTCGCCACTCGCGTTCGCTCGAGGTGTGAAAAGTGGGCGATGCGGACGTCGGAAGCGATTTGGCTGTCGATGATGATTGTAGGCCCGTCGATAGTCACATTGTCGGCGATGGTGGTGCTGCAGTGCAGAGCAACGTCGAGGCCGATCGTGACGTCTTGGCCGAGACTGACGTCCATCCCGAGGAACACTCGCTCGGGGTCTAGGAACGTCACTCCTCCCGCTTGATGCTGGCCCACCAGCCGACCTCGCATGACCCTCTCCGCCCGGCCCAGATCCATACGCGTCTCGATCTAGAGCGCGTCCTCGTCTTCCAGCACCCTGCTCGCTTGCGCCGCCTGAGCACCTTGTACCTGCTGTACACGTTCCAGGTCTGCCGGACTCGAGATGGAGATTCCGTCGCCACCCTCCTCCCAGGTAGCCAGCGTCCCCCGCAGTCGCTCATAGTCCGCCCAGTACACCCCTGAAGCCTTCCCTTCACCAGTAAGATATGCAAGACCTCGTCCGCTTGCGCCAGCCCTCAGCGCCTAGAGACTTTCGAGGCGAAGCAGCGGCATGTTGCCAGGCAGGATCACGACCTGCTGCGTGTCAGGAGGTACAGCCGCCAATCCCGCTCTCACCGCCTCCCTCGACCCGCCAGTCTTTTCTTGCAGGGCAAACGTGAAGGACGCGGCTGAAGTGGGGAAGCTCTCTTCGACGATAGTGCGGATCGCCTCTTGAGTCTCTGGCCTCGTCACAAGGATGATAGAATGAGGTTCGATCTGCAATGCGAGGCGTACAGCGTGAGCGATGAGCTGAAGACCGGCGCATTCGTGCAGCACGACCGGCTTCTTGGAGCGCATGAGTTCCCCATGGTCCGCAGCGAGGATGATAGCGGAAACATTTGGTGCGGGAGTGACGGTCTCTTTTTTCCCCGAGAGTAGTTTCAACTTTTTAGTAGGAGGGATGAAAGATTCGACTCCAGGAGCGGCGGAGGAAGTAGAAAGATGCATGATACACCGGATGTGATAAGGTCTCTGCGAGATCAGCACCCAGGCCGGTGAGTACGGGTGAGGAGACGCCTACTGATGAGTGACACAGGGGTGGTAGTTGTGTACGATGTCAGAGCTGGCAGCGATGACGATATGAGGTATCAGTACTGAGTCTGCTCGCGTTAGCCTGCACTACGGGCACTCGCTTGACAATACGAGCAGCCCAGCGATACTCACGTCGCTCGTTTTGTACTTGACTGATTGAATGCTGGATCTAACGACGTTGTACGAGACCACGAGCAGGTCCCAGCTCTCGAGCTAGGCAGTGAGATAGCTGGCTACAATCAGCGCACCCTGCACACAAAGCAGGCGTAAAACCGGACAAAGGGCTTCCGAGGGGAAGAGTGATCAAGGGGCTCCTTACGTCCCGCGAGCAGGGGCCTGAGGTGCATGTACGTGAAAGGAGTGAACTCCGCTGCCTATCGAAGGCTCTACGCGCGCATGGAGTTAGACTGAACGGAATATGGCGCGGATATGTCACGTACGGGAAGTCATTGCGTGAAGAGAGGAGGGGAACTGCTCCGCATTCCTCAGTCGCACATTACGGCCGAGAGCGTCCGGTCGTCGGTCGAGACATTCCAATTGGGTCGCCGCTCCCCGCCTGCCGGCCTGACCCGCGCAGATCGTATCCGTTCTCACTAGCGCCAGCCTGTCCAGATCAACCACGCCCAGCTATCAGTGGCTGGACACGTGAACATCCCAAAGCCAAGTGAGCCAAGACGCCGCTAGATCAGATTATCAGCAGTCCAAGCACCTGCGCATGTCGCCCAGTCCAGCAGTCCACAAAATGTATGCAGATACCTATAGATACAACTACTTTTTCTCTCTTTTGTATTTGTGTATAGACTATATTCCCCTTCTGCTCTAGCCCTCCTGAATCTCATCGCCAGACAATAGGAATTACGGCTCATATCTCGGCAAAAACACCCTAGGCTCGCTAGGCGCCTCGCTGGGTCTCCTCCCTGCTTCCTCCTCCCCAGCTTGCCCCGCTGCCCCACTCGGTCCATCCTGCTCCGCACCCGCCGCCACGTCCGCTTGTAGAATCTCCTCCTCCCTCTCCTCCTCTCCGTCCTGCGGTAATGGCGGCGCTGACGCTGACACTCCGGCTCCCGGTCTCTCCGCCTCGTGGTCCTCAAGATCCTCCTCTCCATCATCCAACATAGGCGGTGCCGAGGGTGCCGCGACCTCTTCTTCCGCGTGAGCTAGTACCGGCGCACTGCCCATCGCCTGGCCGTGCGATCCGGGAGGAGCGGAGGGTAAGAGATTGAGCTCATCCAGCTGCTCTCTGACCTCCCGTTCGACAGAGTAGGACCTCCCAAACGAGGGACGTAGGGCGGGTGGGGCGGGTAATGCCGGATGATGACGAGCCGGATCGATAGCTGACGCCAGGACATATGATGACTGTCCGACCGCCTCATCCTCTGGCGCCTGCAGGTGCAAGGCGGGCATCCGCTCAAACCCATCCTGATCCACCTCTACGCCCGGCGCGCTTGGCCCGCTTTCCCCTTCTTCTTCGCCGAGAGCAGGAGGCGCTGTACCCGCCATCCTCAACCGCTCCAGGACGCGCTTATCGTCGGTAGCGACATGGCCTGTATGCTCCTCATCCTCGGAGTCGGGAGGAGGGGCGGGCATACGTGCTTTCCCGTCTGCGCGAGAAGCGACGGCGAGGGCAGCTTCGCCTTCGGCAGTAGCTGGGGCGGGGTAGTAGCCTGGTGCGTGGACCTTTTCGGTGGCGGGAAGAAGTGGAGGTGGAGATGAGGCTGGGGCACGGGAGGATGAGCCTGCGCTGGGACCGGAAGTGGCGATGACGAGGGAACGAACAGAGGCGGGTCTGTATGCGGGAGGGAAGTATGGGGTGGTTGTCGTCCCAGCCCCAGAAGTGGTCTGAGCCGGATCTGTAGATGGCGCGTTGGGATCCGCCGTCTCTGATACCGCAGGCAGATTCGAGACCGCCGACGTCTCGTCGCTCGAGATGGTATTTCCCCTACTCCCGAGCCCATCTGATCCGGACTGATCTCCCTCCTGAGACGGAACAGTCGGTGTGCTCCGATCCGTCTCGTCGCTTCCGCGCTGTACGACCGGTCCCAGATCCCCCTCATCCTTTTCCTCAATCATCCCCTCAGCGCCACCACCGCCAGCATCATCCCCATCACCTCCACCCTTGCCCTTTCTCCGCCGTAGCATCCCAGCCCGCCAGCTCCGGACCTTGCTTCGAGCAGAAGGGGACGAAACCACCCCCGACTCGCTTTTGCGCTTGGCGCGATGCTGCCGCTGCAGGTCGTCTAGCTTTTCACGGAGGTTCGCTTCGTTCCGACTATCATTGACGCCTTCCTCGGAGAGTCCGGCGGCGGCGAGGGCTTTACGGCGTTGGCGTTCTGCGCGACGTTTGGCTCGACGATGTGCCTTCTTCCGCTTGAAGGCGATACTGCTCGTCAGCTTGACTGCGAAAAGGGGGGTAAGGGGCGGACGTACATAATGATCGAGACGACTATGCCGACGGAGATGATACAAGATGCAATGACGATGAGTGGTACGCGGTAGAAATCTGTTCGGGTTGACTGCACACCCCATCTGTTTCATCAGCCTGGACGTTCCGAGTGGTTCGAGCGTGGGTCGCAGACATACCCAGGTGGTAATGCCTCCTCGATCGCCCAAGTCTGAGTAGTGGAAGGCTCATCCGGCGCAAAGATAGGCATATCCTGTATCATTAGCATATAATCCCCACGAAGCATCCTCTCCGAGTTCCTGAGGGGAAGACTCACCCCCGACTGCCGACCATATAATTTCCACCCGTCATTGACCTTGGTATACAGCCCATCCGGCCCTCTGGATACGATATACGGCAACAGCGTCTCATCCACCGAGACGAGCTCAGTTGGTAGGGACGTCGGCGGTGCCGCAGATGTGATGTATTGCACCTCGCGCCGATCTGGGGGAGGGACGAGATGGTTCCGCTTGGGTGTGGGGCGGGGAAGTAGGGTCGGTCGGGATAGGGCGGATGAGGGAGGTCGAGTGTAGACAGGAGGTGCGGCGAGGGCGACGGGTAGAAGGGGAAGGAAGAAGAGGGGAAGGAGGGAGGTCGGTGATGGACAATTGCGGGTGCGGGATTTAGGTATTGTTATTGGTCGATCCCCGTATCCGCTTTGATCCGATATCGGTCTGGGCGGTATGTCCGCATCCTCTTCTTCGTTGAGAGATGAAGAGGAGGTCGAGGTTGACGATATTGAGGATCGACGCGAGGGCCGACGAGCCCGTGGTGTCGTTCGTCGTAATTCTCCTTTACCGCCCGACCACACACCTTGTTCCTCCTCTTCCTCCAGATCCCCTTCCCATATTTCCCTCTCCCTACTCCGCTTGCCAGCTACCCATGCTCTCCGAGCATAATCACTCGGTCCTGCTTCTCCCTCTCTCCATCCTGCTGTCCGCGGGACAATTGCCACCCCCCTCGCGCCAGGGCCCGCGCCCCAATCGGGCGGTATAATCTCCCTCATCCGAATCGTTCCCATCTCATCCGTGCGATTCTCCTCCTTCTTTCCGTCGTCGTGGTCGAGATCTGTGCGCTGCGAGAGCCGCGAGCGATATGTTGGAAGGCAACGCGGTATGGACACGCAACGGCGAGGCCCAGCTGACAGCTGACGGGCGCGGGGGTTGGCGATTATTTATAGTCGTCCTCCAAGGACAGCGCGTCTTTGCGCTGTTTTTGCTTGCGGTAATTTATCGTTATTGGATATGTAGCAGCTAAAGAGGCCTTGGAGAAGACTGTTATACACAAGTCGGTACTGTATGAGAAAGCAAAGAGTGTATATGGTGAAGGGTGTATAGCGGGAAGTGGGGTCCGGTCAAGCTGCAAGTGCAAGGCAAGGCAAGGCAGCCGAAGAAGGGTTCTGGCTGGAACGGGAATTACGAGACCACCACCCAGAATTACCACTTTCAGCCAATTTGAATACAAAAGTCAAAGTCCCCGGTCCATCGCCAAAGGGTCTTTCGGCCTTCCTTCGCATGCATATCGACAGCGGTCACCTTCCATGAGATCTCAAGAGAAGCCACCTGATACTGGACCAGACGTCCTCCTTCGTTGCTTGTAGGAGGCATGATTCCATAGACGAAAATCGAATGTTCGAAGCGGAAGAGCAAGCCGAAGCCCACGAAGCTGTGTGGGGCCCGCTCTGTGCCCCCTCCGAAAATAGAACCTCAGCAGACGACACTCAGCTGACGCTTGCTGACACCCGCCACATCCGCGGGGGCCTCGTCTAGCTACAAGGAGGAATGCGGTATACTGACTGGTGTATTCTCGCCGGGCATGACACATGCAGCGAGTGGCATGCATGCGGCCTCGAACAGCCCGAGAGCAATTTACACATCACAGTCCACGATCGGGACGGAGTAAACGCGTCACGCACACACGCATCGTCACTGTCGGGAGAACCTCGGAGTATCTCGGGCAGCCGAATGGCACGGTGGAGCTGTGGATTTGCTCGCATCGTGAAGACACCCGAGAACGGTAAGGATGGAGCAAGTCAAGCATGTGGACGTAGGGTCAGCTGGTAGTACAAGCATCGCACCGCGTGAATGTGAGAGAGCAAGGCTTGAGAGCCTTGCTGAAGGTATACAGAACTCGGCTCACCCGGCTGAATGAACCACGTCCACGAGCGATCTCCCTCGGGTCCCGTGCATTGAATCAGTCTTCAGCGTTACCTGATAGAAATCATCTTACCGAGTTGATCGGCGTGAGCCAACAGGGAATGAGGCTGTCATCAAGACAATGCAGAATGCCCCGTTAGAAAGCGGTCAGCAAGTCAACACCAGTCAGCCTAGTAAGAATATCGGTCAGCCTGAGGATGCAATCAACCCAGAAAGGCTCATGGACGCATGAGAGCCATCAGCAATGGCTGCCAAGAATGTCGTTCGAATCATACAAGTATCACAGCAAGCCCGAGGATAGAGAAAAGAGCCCCAGTCAAGCTCCAAGCGCTGCGCGCCACATTCCGCTATTCCCGAATTTGTCCGCATTATGTCATCGGTGCCTCGCCCGAGTGTGGCGGTTTCACCTTACCCTTTGACTGTCAACAAGCTCGGCGGGGTGGGGGGAGGATGAAACAAGAACAAGGACCTGCTTTTTCTTGGGTCAGCAAGCGCGTTTCTGTCATGGCCTTGTGCTTATATCCCTTGTATGAGCTGAGAGTGTGCTTCGCGCAATTCTGAAACGCTTGACACGAGCTCGAGAGCACGCAAAATTCCCCGATCGTTGTTCGCACGGAACTCCTTTCTCAGGGACCCGGTTAATGTTTGTTTACGCATTGTTGTTGCATCCGATGAAACATGTACCTCCCTGTATCACTGTGTGGTAGCGCCACTTGGCAGACTGGGCGGGACACCCAAACAAACCTTCTAAAAGCTCAGACACTGCCACCACTCCTTTGCCTCCTTCCTTCATCCATCTCTCTCGCTTTGCTCAACTACTGACTCTACGACTTCGACATACTCGTCAACCCCACGCTCTTTACAACAACACGCTCACTAGCTACAGCACTCGACCACCTCGCCCCACGCCCACCGACATCGTCAACAGAAACCGTCTTCGCCTCAACTCACACATACCCCCCGACGCGTATCTCAACCTCACCCACACACCAGAAGTATCCATCAAAGATGTTCGGAAAGATCGTAATTGCTGCTCTCCCTTTTGTGACTCGTGAGTCTCTCTGCCTCCAACAATATGGGAATGCAAGCTGATCATGGTCCTTCTCGCGCTTCGCCCACTTTTGCACATCCTTTGCCTATACCTATATTCTACGCAACAGTCGCCCTGGCCGCCGCTGACGGATGCACCCGTAGTGCTATGGTAGAAGCCGGCGACACCTGCGACAAGATCTGTAAGTTCTCCGCACCTACGCGTTGAGCGAGACAAGGGGACATGAGGAGGGGACGAAGGCTGAGGTGGCGAGACCAAGGGTCCGAGCGAGACGATACCCGCCCGAGTTCCCAGCTGATCCCCAGCCCACAAGTTCGGCGCCTCGACCTTCCAGCTCGCACTGGTGAACGAAGCCTCTATCGCTGAGAACTGCGACAACCTCATGCCCAACTCGACCGTCTGCCTCGGTCACGCCGGCACGGACTGCACCAAGGTTTACACTGTCCAGCCCAACGAGTGCGTCTCAGTTAGCACAGGCGCTTCCCATGCGTGGACATAGCTGACAATACAGCACCTGCGCGTGGATCCAAAGCGTCTACGGTATCTCGAACGAGACCCTCTGGTCCAACAACCCCCAGATCGACGCGACCTGCTCCAACGTCTACGTCAACGAGGTCCTTTGCGTCGATACCGAGACGTTTGCCTACCCCAGCTTCAACCGGACTCAGTACGAGGTGAGCCTTATCTCTTTTGTGATCACCTGCCTCTTGTGATCACCTGCGTGGACCGATAGCTGATGGATAGACTATGGCATACACCTACCTCCCGTGGTGCGACGAATAAACGGCTCAATCCCCCTTCCACCTCGGCTTGGAGAGATCAGCGGCGGGGCAGATACCCCCTTCGTCCACCCGCCTGCTTGGTCCCCTTTCCCTCACCTCCCTTTCTCGTTCTAGACTGCTACACCCGTTGATTGGGTACGACCTATTTTAGTATATCTTCTCTTTTGCTTATTGTCGATAGGAGGGGGAGGAATGGACACTCTGGTAGTGGTAGGGATGTATCTATTGGATTCAAGGGAGGGCAGATGACTCCACTGTGCACCGGCTGGTGAAGTTGGTCATGGTGATCCATAATCAGCTCGAAGGGCTGGCTGCTTGCTCGGCGATATCCATCGACGGCTGTACGCTTCCACCTGTCCATGCCTTTCTCTCTCTTGTCTTCTGTCATTTACTCAAGTATCAGCTGCCATCCTTTGACGTCTGACCTCGCATAGCCGCTGTCTTATACTTTAGCCCACCCTGCTCTCTCTCGCTGCTCGTCATCCAGGCAGCCAGCGGCTATTATCGGCCCAACTGACTGGCTTGGCAGAAGTCGCACTTCGGATGGGGCCTGGTTCCTGGCGGATCTGCGCCATCCAGCGCGTGATCTTGCTTCCAACTTGCTTCTCCGCCTCCTTCCTTTCCTTTTTCCTCTCGTCTCTTGCCTGGCCGGCCCGGCCTCACGCGACCCGCTGCTTTGGGGCTATGCAGGGCGTTCTGACGCCTCAAATCTAGGTTGAGTATTTGGGAAGCGAGCAAGACTGAAGGACAGCTGACCTTCCTCACCCCCCTTACAGTACACCGTCCGCTGCCGCTGCCGCGCTGATCCGCTCTGCCGCGCTCGTACTGATATATAACGTCCATCTCTCACTCAATACCCACCCGACTCATTCTATTTTCACATCGATCAATATGCTATTCCCTACCCTGCTCCCCCTCCTCGCTCTCCTTCCCATCACACTCTCCGCCCCCGCCCCCGCCCCGGCCCCTAGTCTGGAGAAACGCTACACCTCAGTCCTCATCTACTCCTCCCGCCGCCCCTCCCTCTGCCTCTCCACAGACTTCATCCGTGGTCCCCGGCCCGGCATCGGCGTCACCCTCGTGGACTGCTCGACCGCGATTCTGTGGGATATCAGTCCCGGGGCGGGTGTGGTCAGAGTGACGGGGAATGATCTTGTGCTGGATGCGAGTTATAATCCGGGCAATGGGGGGTTGTTGACTGTGAGTGATTCCCTGGGTCTAAGGAGATGCGACGGGGGACGGAGATCGGACCGAGCGGAGAAAGAGGGGTCGAGCATGGATCAAGAGGGCATCGCTCACGATATATATAGGTGGAACAGCAACAGCAAGGCAAGATGTCTCAGAAGTGAGTCCAATTCCGCTCGGAGGGCTGCCCAGCTGACGCTACAGCTGGTACTTGACCGATGACGCCCGGATCGCCATCACCGGCGGGAATCAGTGCCTTGACGATAGTGGCTCAGGGCTGCAGACCTGGCAGTGTACCACAGGCAACACGAATCAGAGTGAGGACCTCCCCTCTTCCAGCCTGCTCAGGGCAGTGATCCCTTGGGCGAGGGCCGAAGCTGATACTTATCTAGTCTTCTATACCCGCGCCCCCACTTCCACTTCCAGCCCCGGCAGCAACAACCCGACCCTCCCGCCCGATATCCCATACAGCACCATCTATACCGACCCGGACACGCGCGACAGACTGCACGCTTTGGGCAGGAGCGATCTCTGCGTATCGGTGCTCGGCGGACAGGCGCGCGCAGGGGCTGCAGTGGGAGTGTGCGTCCTTCGCCTTTCCCTCGCATCACGTCTTCCCTGGAACCCTTGGGGAAGCAGGACGGCGCTGACATGCAGAACATACTGTGTCCCCAACTCGGACTCCCGCGTCAGCCTCCAGCTGTTCGATCTGTACTCTACGTACTCGCGCTCCGGCGGGCGGATCTACCTCGCCTCGGACCGAAACTACTGCCTCTCCACGCCTGACGGGAATGGGGGCGGAACGACGCTCCAACGCTGCGATCAGGCGAGGGACTGGACGTATAATGCTCAGAATCAGAGGTGGTTCGTCTCGGGCACGAGTGAGTTTGAGCCTCCTTGCTTCGAGTGCCGCTATGGCAACCTGAGGCTTGCGCGAGACTCAGAGGGTGAAGACTGGTATCGTAATGATCCGCCGTGATGGGCGCTTCGCTGATGTACAGCTACGTGCCTGGACGTCCGAGCGGAAAGCCGAGCAGGGAACGAATCCCCCTTGAGCAGCTTCCGGATCCTCCAGTCTTGGCTGTGCTACGACAACAGCCCGAATCAAAGCTTCTACGTGCTCCCCAACTAGGCCAATTCCGACCCCATTATTTAACACGTCACATCCGCCGACATGGACACTGCGAAGTATAGTCGGAGAAGATAAGTATAATCTGCAAGGGGGCGTTGTTCGCGTGTAGGCACCCCAGTGAAATAAGTCAAGTATAGTGTATGATGTGATAAGGTGCGAGATAATATGAATGTCTTTCATGGTAGGATAGACAGCTCTCAGTACCCCTCCAATGCATACTGCCTGCCAGGGCCTACCTCGTAGCCTTTCAAAGCTGGGTCAGGGTGGACCTCTCGGGTATCGGCGTGGCCGAGATCCGGAGCCGGGTAAGCCATGCTCCGGCCGGAGCATTCCTCGTTGACTTCCCCGCGTGAGCACAGCGTCCACCTGGCGCCTGCGCGAGAGCTGTTGACTAATGTTATCCTTCTTGGTCACGTATATACTCACTTCTGACTGACCCGGAAAGTTCTTATATCAGTCAAGGCCACTCAGACACCATGCCGCTCCTTCCTCGACCCCGGGCCGCCCTGCGGCTCGCCTCGCCTCGGCGCAGTGGCCCATCCCTCACTCGCACCCTGATCCCCCAGCCTCCACCCTCCCTCTCCACTCCTCGGTCCCTGCCTACCTCCTTCCTCCCTTCGTCCTCTGAAGCACGTAAGAACCGCACCCACATGTCTTCCCTCCTCTCCACCCTCGACGCCCTCCGCACCACAGCCCGCGCCGGCGGAGGCGCAGCGACGACCGAGCGCTGGCGCGCGCGTGGAACCGCAAAGCTCACCGCCCGCGAACGCATCTCGGCCCTCCTGGACCCTGCCTCACCGTTCCTCGAGCTCAGTCCATTGGCGGCGCACGAGGTCTACCCCGACCCCCTCCCCTCCGCGGGCATCGTGACGGGCATCGGAGTGGTTGAGGGGCGGAAGGTCATGGTGGTTGCGAATGACCCCACGGTCAAGGGTGGAGCATACCATCCGTTGACCGTCAAGAAGCATCTGAGGGCGCAGGAGGTCGCGTTGGAGAATAGGCTGCCGTGTGTGTATCTGGTGGAGAGTGGGGGAGCGGCGTTGCCCTATCAGAGCGAGGTGTTCCCGGATCATGTGAGTCGAGCGAGCGAGCGAGCGAGAACGTATCGGACTAGCGAGGTGAAAGAGGAGAAGCGAGATACAGGGGCTTGACTGATAGGCAGGATCACTTTGGCCGGATCTTCTACAATATGGCCCGGATGTCTGGGCTGGGCATTCCCCAAATCTCGGTCGTACACGGTATAAGCGTCGCAGGAGGGGCTTATATGCCCGCCATGTCTGATGTGGTCATCATCGTCAAGGCAAGTCAACTCGGTCCTTATTCGTGCCCGCTTCTGCCTGTTCTTCTCATTCCTCTTTGGTTCAACGCAAAGGGGTCCCAAGAACGGTAGAAAGGAGGCACTAGGCTGACCCGCCAGAATCAAGGCCGGATCTTCCTAGCCGGCCCTCCTCTCGTCAAAGCCGCGACCGGCGAGATAGTCGACGAAGAGACTCTCGGGGGCGGAGAAATGCACACATCAGTTTCGGGCGTAGCGGATTATCTGGCGAGTAGCGACGGGCACGCAATTCGGCTGGCTAGGGAGGCAGTCAGAGACCTAGGGAAAGTAGGGGAGCACGGGCGAAATGTGAGTGTTTCCTCATACCTGCCCTCTGCGGGATCAGGTAACGGAAGTCAGGCCTCCGGGCGGCAAGGTGCTGATGGCAGATGTCGAAGAAGGTCTCTCGACCGCCCGTTCACAATACGGCAGACCTGGACGCTATCATCCCTGCCGACCCAAGACAGAGCTATGATCCTCGCGAGATCATCTCGCGGCTGACGGACGGATCGGAGTTTAGAGAGTTCAAGGCAGAGTACGGGAAGAGTATCATTACTGGGTTTGCGGAGATCCATGGGCATACGTGAGTTCTTGTTCGCACCCGATGCTGCCCCCGGCCTCCCCCTATCCTCCTGCATCAATTTCTCCGTCTTACGGATCAGAACTAACGCCACGCAGTGTCGGCATAATAGCCAACAATGGCGTCCTCCTTTCCCCCTCCGCCCTCAAGTCTACGCACTTTATCGAGCTCTGTTCGCAGCGTCAAATACCCCTGCTGTTTTTGGTGAATGTATCAGGCTACATGGTGGGAGAGAAGGCCGAACGAGGGGGTATAGCCAAGGACGGAGCCAAGATGGTGAGGGCTGTAGCTAGGGCGAAGGTGCCCAAGTTTACGGTGGTCACGGGCGGGACCTACGGAGCGGGTAATTATGGGATGTGTGGGCGAGCGGTGAGTCCCCTCTCTGACTTCTCTGCAATCAGGCCCAGTCCAACTTGCGAGAGAATGAGTGGGTGAGTGCATGTGCTGATCTGGCAGTACTCGCCTAGGTTCCTGTGGATGTGGCCTAATGCCAAGATCTGCGTCATGGGCCCAGACCAGCTCGCGTCCGTCATGCAGACTGTCGGCGGGAAGAAGGCGAAGCAGTCGGTCGAGGAACAAGAAAAGAGCTTTGAGACTCTGCGCGGGAGGATAGAGAAGGAGAGCTCGGCGTTGTACTCGACCGCGAGGATATGGGTAGGTCCCTCGCTCCTTTGCCTCGCCTATCCGATGTAGGGGTGGATGAGCGGCAAAGAGCTGATTGGCAGGACGACGGGATCATCAAGCCGAGCGATACGAGGGATGTCCTCGGGTTGGCGCTTGAGTTGGCGGATGAAGAGCAGGCCGGTCGGATTGCTGAAGGAGGCGGAGGTAATGGCGGGAGAGGCGAGATTGGCGCGGAGGGCGATTCGGGCGGTTGGGGTGTATTCAGAATGTAATCTCTTGCACGTGGTTTTGATGGGTAGATGACAGACATTCAGCCGTCGTTGAGGTGCTGATGAGATCAAAAAAGTGTCAAGCTTCAAGGGCCTGCATGGGTCAGTCCACGTCGCGGTGTGCACCGGAATATCAGGGTATGATTGGCGTCAGCTAATCAGAGATGATACCGACCGCTGTACCTCTAGATCTCGCTTAATATACGCTAATAACAACTTCACTCCCAGTACAACTTCCCCTTCTCGCCCTGTCCTCCTCCATATACAAAGCGCACTCCCTCCTCCAGCCTGCACCTATACCTCCCTTCCTGATCGTCCCGATACCATACTCGTTCTCCCCTGCTCCTGTCCCTCAGCCGGCTCCACTCCCATCCTCACCACACCCAAACACATCCCTCCCCATTCCCTGACCACCTCCTCTGCATCATCCTCATCCTCATCGTCCCCTTCTTCTCTCCTCGTCCGCGCTCCCCTCTCCCGCGCTTGGACAACCTCCGGCGACTCTGGCATTCGTATCATAGTCACCAAGTCCACCTGCGCGCCTCTCAGCCCTTCCAGCTGTTCCGCCATCTTCTCCTTCGGCACGCCTTCCCCGCCCCATACCAGCGGCGGAGGGAGGAGATCTTCCGGCCGATACGCGAGATGACCGGGAAAGTACTTCAGGGTCGATTTGGGAAGAGGGGCATCGACGACGGGTCCGGTAGGCTGAGGGGGGATAATCGCGAGTGGTCTGAACTGCGGATCTGACTTTTCCGCCGCGAGGTCGAGGTATCCGCCCTGGTCATGCGGTTCCAGCTTTTCTCGAGGCGTAAAGGAGAACGAGGTCGATCCGAAGCCTGGGGAAGTGGCGATTCCACCAGAGTATCCCCGGGCGGGCGCGGACGGCCGGACCCAGGTCCGCATCCATCCTGCCGCACCAACTTCCCACCATTCCGGCCGGTATGTGACCCCGACGCTCCGCCCGTTCTCGCCAGGCATGAGTCGCGCGGCACGGCGGTCTCGGATGGATATGTAGCCGGGCATGCCGGGGGCGAGGAGGCCGAGGCGGGTAGCCTGGGACGTCAGCGACAGCCTTGTGGGGGAAATAGGGCGAGGGAAGGGAGACGTACCTCAGCATGGATGAGTCTACGACGATGTCTGGCTCGCCATAGAGAGAGGACGGCGGCGAGGGCAAAAGCCCCCAAAAGACCAATGAGGATGTAGAAGAGCTAGAGCGTGAGCTATCGTTCGCGCATCATAAAGCGGGAGCAGCATGAAGCGGAAGGAGTCCACGTACATTGCGATAGAAGTTGATCTGGGGATTCCCCTGGTCCTGCTGCTGGGCAGCGGCAGAGCTGGTAGCTGATGCGGAAGCCGACGAAGTGGGAGTGGAAGAGGACGAGAGCCGGACCGGTTCGGTGATAAAGTTGGACATGGTGCTGCTCATGCTGCCAGCCTAGACGGCGATGACTTGGAGGCAGCTATGAGAGAGGGAGGCCGGGGAGCCGTACAGGTACGAGACAGGTCGTCTGAACAGATGAAATATCTGATGTCTCGGCCGAGATCAGACCGGATGCCCGGAAACGGCGGAATGGGTGTAGGTTGCGATTAAGCGGCTGTGATGCGATATGCACAGATGCGGGCGCAGAGGGTATGGGACAGCTCTCAACGGGATGTGAGCGGTCTGACTTCTGGCGGCGACAGTCAAAAGATTGCTAGAGCGAAGTGGACGTCGTCACCGGTCTGGTCACCGGTACGACGATAGACGATGGCGGACGCGAGGAAAGAGATGGCGATGGACTATACACAAGTGTGGCGTCTGGGCAAAGGTGGACGTCTAAGATAGTAGCAGTAGATGGTAGATGATAGATGGTGCGATAGATAGTGCCGAGCCTTTTGCCTTATCACTTTGCACGTTTCCCCACTCACCTGACTCGCTCCAGCCGTCATGGTCTCGATCGCTGCGGATCTCAATCAATCTAGCCTCCACGTTTAAGCTTTTTGGCTCAGTGTGGCCTGGGCAGACCGTCCATACCTCGACATTCTCACACATGCCTCCCACAGCTCTTCCTCAGCGCGCAGCTATGCATGCCCAGGAGTCTTCTCACAGCGGCGTGATCGCTTCCCCAGCATGAGCTTCTTCCCGATCGTCGCCGCTTCTTTTCCTCGGCGATCTGTCAGATCTCGGCGTCGTTTGATCGCTAATCGGCTCGGACTTACCGTAACCGATATTTTCGCGATTCGTCACCATCTCACCCCTTTGTATATAGAGCAGCCATCTGGATCATAGATCAACAACAAACAGTCATCCTCCCTTGTCAGATCTCCCTCTCATCTCTCATCCATCGACCATACATACCATGCCTACCGATCCCGACTCAGACTCCCCCCTGCAGCTCCTGTTCCTCGGGACAGGCACCTCCACCGGCCTCCCCCTCACTCCCTGCCTGACCCTCACCCAGCCCTACCCCGCCGAGTTCTCCAGCCACCTACCTCTCCCTGCTCCCAATTCCTCGCCAGCCAAGGGCGAGTACAATCCCGATGGTGAATGGCCAGATACGATCCCCTGCGCGTGCTGCCGGGCGGCCGTCTCCCCCGATGTGCCCGAAGGATGGAAGAACAAGCGAGGCAATACCAGCGTGATTGTGCGTAAGCGCCGAGCTGCGACTCAGGCTGCCGATGGCGAAGAAGAGGAGGAAGGGGAGTGGAGAAATGTGATTGTCGATGTGGGCAAGACGTTCAGGGAACAATCAGCGAGGTTCTTCCCGAGATGGGGTGTCAAGCGGATCGATGCGGTCATTCTCACCCATGGACGTGAGTAGCGCTTCCTTTGTCAAGACTGCCGATCTGTACCGTGCAGGTGGACAATCGGGCTGACAATCAGATGCGGACGCCTACTACGGTCTGGATGATCTTCGGGAATGGTGTTTCCGCCAAAACTGCGTGATTCCAGTGTTCCTCAACCGGGAGACGTACGAGACGGTCGCGATGTCGTTCCCGTACTTGGTCGACAGGAAGAAGGCTAGCGGAGGTGGTGACGTGTAAGTCGGACATTAAGCTCGCTGTGGGGCATGAGCTGACACTTCAGACCGGCTCTTCGCTTCCACATCATTGAGGACGATGCGGACTTTGAGGTCGAGGGGATCCGAGTACGGGCATTACCAGGTGAGCTTCCATCCTCGAGCAGTGTCTTATGTATACGACTACGGATACAGCCTCTCTTCGGCTTGGTCTCATCTACCAGGCTCGAGCTGACCCTTCAGTCGAGCACGGCATCTATTTCCAAGATGACGAGCGGAAACCCCTCATCTGCCTCGGTTTCATGTTTGACGAATCCATCATCTACATGTCGGACGTTTCCGAGATCCCCCCAGCGACCTGGGAACGTATGATGGACCGAAACATCCCCGATTTGTCCGCAATGACCACCTTCAACTCTACCAACATCAGCGAGCAGCCATCGGGGTACGACTCGCCCAATCGGCCCAAGGAGTCCCCTCCCGCCGACTCCAAACCTCTTCCACTCAAGAAGAAGGTCGTCATCCCCCCAACACCACAGGACACTCCCCGGCACTCGCGAAACCACTCTCGCCGGAACTCGCCTGACCTCACTTCCCTCTCCATGTCGTCCACTTCCTCGGCGGACAAGGAGGCATCGGAGCCCCGCCCCCTCCCTGTCCTCATCATCGACAGTCTCTGGCCCCTCGTCCGCCACTCGTCCCATATCCACCTGCCCGAGGCGCTGCGTATCGCCATGCGCCTCAAGCCGAGCATCACGTACCTCGTCGACCTCGTCCACCCCGTCTCGCATTACATGTGGCATGAGCTCTGCGCGAGTGTGCGGGGTGAGAATGGGAAGAAAGGGTGCCAGCATCCGGATGATGAGCAGGCGAGGGAGCTCATCGGGCGGTTCTGGAACGATAAGGACGTCAAGACGATAGAGGGGAAAGTGAAGAAATGGGGTGGGAGGGTCGAGCCGGGCTGGGATGGGCTGGTGGTCGAGGTCAATGGCGACGGCGGTGGGGAGGAGGGATTCGAGGTGATTGAGGGGAAGGGCGGGAGTGGGCCCGGACTGGCCATGTGAGAGAGTTGTCGATCATGGGCGAGAAGACGAAGAAAAGCCTCAAGGCGCCGGTCATTGGGAGTATCATTTTTATTTTGCGGTCTATAGAGCACTTGATTATACCCTTGACTTTTGTACTACTACCTCTATCATATGCATACACATTACTGCTCAGCTTGCATGTTGTCCAGTCAAGTACAGGATCGTATGGACATGGCATAGTTGCATATTTGAGAAAATCGATGACATACGATCTTGATCTCCTTCTCTGGCTTGTTCCCTTCCAGTATATATAGCAGTCTCTCTACCGAATGATGTATGTGCCACTGGGGATGATAGCCCCGTCTGCCCTCCCTCAGTCTCCAACTGCCGCCTACCCTCTCGCCCGTCTGACCCCAAAATCTCTCAACAGCGGCTGCATCACCTCCGCCTTCGCCACCTCCAGCCGAACGAACCGCTTTTTCTTGAACGTATACTTGATCATACTCCCCGCGCTGGAGTGGACGAGGTGCCGATACCGCCCCGCTCGACCGTTGTCGGCGCCGCACTCGGTCGTTTCGCTCCCGCTGTCGCTCCCAGTCTGGCTGATGCTGGATTCCGAGGTGCAGGAGGACCACTCGGAGCAGGTACTATCGCCGGTTCCGTCCTTTCGGGCCTGGAGGTAGTCTGCGATATTGACGTGTCCCTCGGATTTGAGGAGGTTTTTGGCTGATGTGAGCGTTTGGGGCATGGGGCGGGCGAGAATGGTTGACGTGGAGAATGTGGTGGAGGTGGTTTCGGTTGAATTGGTTGAAGCGAAGGTGGAGGAGGATTTGATAGATGCGGTGTCGGAGAAGTCATGGTCGAAATCCGCGAGACCCAGCTATACAGAGTCAGCCATAGCCATGTGTCCACAATGGCAAAGCGATAAGAGAGTAATGCGCACCTCATAGCAGAGAGACTGCCAGATCCGAAGTTTCTCATGCTGCGAGAAGAGCCGTCCAGGCCGAAGCATAAAGCTGGATCATGTCAGCCACAAATCACGTTTCTGAGGTCAGACAAAGTAGCAGTAAGCTTACAGATCAAGAGAAGACTTGGCGTCCTCAGCAGAAATGATACTGCCGGTACGCATCGTTCCCTGCGAGACGACGTCAAAGCTCGACTCGCTAGACGCTCGGGACGACCTCGATTCCGCTTCGGGTGTGATGGGCTTGTCGGGTTTTGCCATCGGCGCCACCTTTTTCGCCTCCTTCTTGGCCATTCTTCGAGCCTCCTTGGCCTCTCGCCCAGCCTTTCGCACTTTTTCCTGCACCGCCCGCTCCCATGCCACCTTTTGCTCTTTCTTCGTCATCCCCGCGAACATTGCCTCCCTCTCTCTGGCATTCCTCCTGGACTTGCTGCTTTTCCCTTCGCCCCAACGTCCGGGACGACCGCAAGCGGGCGGAGGAGGTTTCGATCCGATTTCTGTCTTGGTCTCGTGCTTTGCGGAGTTGGCTGACGCGATCCCTCGGGCGGCGGAGAGGGAGAGACTCGAGATGGCCGAGATGAGCGAGTATGACGAGTCCGAGGCGGCCGAGGAGGTCGAAGGGGGTGAAGACGGAAGTTCAGACTTGATCTGCATGATGAAAAGCTCAGGTGAGGATGATGTATGAAGGAGGAGGGAAGGATGATTGGCTGTGTGAAGGTGAAGGGACAGTCGAGGAATGTGGTGTGGAAAGCTGGGTGATGTTTCAGTAGGGTGGCAAATAACGGCATTCTATGTCAGTACTGCAGCTGGAGCTTGACTGCTGGCTTTGAGCGCTGAGCTGCAAAGCAATCTCCTTCATAAGAGAGACAGAAATCTCAAGACATAAACAGAGCTTCTAATTATCAGATGCCTTGCGAGATCGCGAGAAAAACCGCAGCAACGGCTCAAGCGCCTCCCCCTTGGCTATCGCCAGCTTGACGAAACGCTTGTTGACGATGGTGTACCGGATCATGCTACCCGCGGTAGGATGGACGAGGTGGGCATAGCGGCCGGCGCCGACTTTTCCGAGCTTGCGAGCGTCGAAGTAGTCCCGGATGTTGACGTGACCTTCCGCCTTGAGGAGGTTGCGGGCGGCCGTGAGCGATTGGGGCATGGGGCGGGTGAACTCGGCGAATCCGGTAGAGGATTGGTCCGAGTCTTCCGAGTCCGAATCCGAGTCTGAGTCCGAGTCGCTGTCCTCCTCCTTGATGTCTGCGAGGCCGAGCTGCATCACTTCAGCCACCTCCAGTGAGGGCTTTGAGCTAGGCGGTATGCTCACCTCATAGCAGAGTCCCTGCCAGATGCGCAGCTTGTCTTCCTGCGAGAAGGCTCTGTCCGGGACGGCCATGGCCCTGAGGATATGTCAGCACAGTCTATCTTTGCGAATAGCAACGGCTCGCCTACTGCCAAAGTTTTATAGCGGAACTCACAGATCGACGTATACTTTCGCCTCAGCCGCAGAGCAGATACTGCTCGCCCTGGCCGAACGACCGGGGACGTGCAGACTAGCACGAGACGGCTTGTGATCTCCCCTCTCAGCCGCCACCGCCGCCTGGGCCGCCCGCTTCGCCTCCGCCCTTCTCGCCCTCCTCCTTCGCATCTTCCTTGCCTGCTTGGTCTGGCTCAGACCTGAGGGTGCAGCCTCGTCGTCGGTGGAGCTGTCGGACTCTGAGTCTTCGCTCGAAGAGTTGTCCGAATCGGACTCGACCTTGATTGTCCTGTCGGACTCCGAGTCGTCGCTCTCGTCGCTCGAAGACTCGGAGTCGGAATCGGACCCGACCTTGATTGTCGGAAGTTTGAGTGACGGTATACCCCCAGCGGAGACGGAGCGGCCAGAAAGGGCCGAGATGAGGGAGTGCGCCATGATATGTGGGATGGACGTAGATGAGGGGTGAGAGGGATCGGTCCTATCTGACTCGCTGAATATACGAGTAAGAGGAGGTCGATGGGCGAAAGAGAAGGGAGGGTCGGTGTTATATAGATGGGAGATGAGATGAGGGATGGGTGACGGTGTTTCTGCGGACTCGGTCAGCCTGTGTGAAAGGTTGAGTGACATTCTACTGCCTGAGGTAGAATGACGGCATCGGGCGGGTCAGATCAGATCTGGCTGATTAGCTTGACCGTTCGCGAGACCGGTCAGTACGCGGCTCAGGTCAGTACCTCACAGACGCATAACACTCGTTAAACTACAACGACATTAAAAAAGGACGTACAGCAAACACAGCGCAACAGCAACAGCCGGAAATCGTACACCCGCCGGATCCCCCTTCCTCATTCTCCTCATTCTCCTCATCGTCCCGCCTACGCCTCCCCGTCCCACTGGTACTCCTCCACCCGTCCCTGACCCTGCTCACCCCTCGTCTCTCTCGCCTCCCTGCCCCGCTTGAACCCAAAGTCCCTCAACAACGGCTGCATCACCTCCGCCTTGACAACGCTCAGGTTCACAAACCGCCCGCTGCTCTTGGTATACTTGCGCATACTCGACACGCTGGGCTGTACGAGATGAGCGTATCGTCCCGATCCTTCTGCTAGGCTAGATCCCGAAGCTTCGGCATCGGCTTGACGGGCGTCAAAGTAGTCGGCGATATTGACGTGACCTTCGGATTTGAGGAGTGCGCGAGCGGTGTAGAGGGTCTGTGGCATGGGGCGGGCGATTTGGGTAGGGGTGGAGGAGCGAGACGAGGATGTGGAGGTGTCATCAATCGAAGAGGAGGTACCGGCGGAGGAAGTGGGGAGGTCAGGGAGGGATGGCTCTTCGTCGATATGGGCCAGACCGAGCTGAAGTGTCAGCCAAGTCCGCCACAGTGACAGATAAATAGCATCAGGAGAGTTTCAATGCCATCATTATGCAGAAGGAATAAGAACCTACCTCGTAACATAGCGACTGCCAGAATCGAAGCGTCTCCTCCTTCGACATCTGATGAGATGGGTTGAGAAGGAAACTAGGGCATCAGCCGTGCTCCCTCCACAATCTGGCAAGCGGGACTCACCCGTCGATCGAAGACCTCGCATCATCCGCAGAGGTAATACTGCCCGCCGTCCTCCTTCTCCTCGGACTAGACACAGGCGTCTCGCCATCCAGATCCGTGTACACCTCGGGCGTCTCCAAATCCGACAGCCCATCCACCTCTTCCTCCTCGTCTTCATCCTCGTCGTCTTGGCTCCCGTTCGTTGACGAAGCATTCTCGCCATTGTTGATGAGATCGAGAAGATGTAGCTTCTGCAGTGACGCCGCCTGGATATTCGACCTAGGAGGTGTAGGAACCGATTTCCGGCTTGGCGAGCCGGATACCTTCGCGCCCGTCAGCATCTCGAGCGCAGCTCGGTCGATGACCCTCGACGTCCCGGAGATGGTATACGTCGTCGCGTAGTCCTCTGCTCGGGGTGGTGGAGAAGGGTCCAGCCCCAAAGCATCCTCCACCGCGCCCATTTCCCTGTTCTGCCCGTTCTCGAAACGCCGCCTGGCCGTTTCCCCACCTCTACGGCCCTGCCTCTGCTTTCCCTTCCCCTTGTCCACCTTGATCATATCATTATGGCTGGAGCCTGTGTAAGAGGCACTCGTCGTCTGGCTGACTGATGACGGCGCCTCCGAGGTTATCGACCGAGTTTCCGAATCCGCCATTCTCGCTTCGACCTTCCTCCTCGCTCTCCGCGCCTTGTTCGCAGCGGCCTTCTTCGCCTGCTTCTCCATCCTCCGCCGTTCGTCGCCGTCCACTTGACTGCCGCTGACCGACGTGAGGCCAGCATCACTGGCAGCGACCGAGCTGCCGCCGTACGCGACCGAGGGATGAGCGCTCCGCCTCGCCGGGGAGAAAGGGATCTTCTTGGCGGACCCCTCGAGCAGTTGCAGCTGCTGCCATGTAAGAGCAGGCTTCGGCGTTGCGGCTCCCGAAACTGGGTATATTTGGGCCGACTTGCCAGGTGTCGAGGGGGCGGGTGATCTCCCCGCATCCCGCCCGGGTACCGCCGTCCTCTGATCCTTTCTGGGTGTGCCCGCTCTGGATATAGACTGCTGTGTACTAGCAGCTGACGCTCCAGTCACGGATGGAGCAATACTGCGCGGGAGGAGGATCACCTCATAATCGTCCGACTCGCTGTGTGTGGCGGCGTCTGGTCCTGCCCGATATGACCGGCCCGAGCTGCTCGGCATGGAGATGTGACTACCGGTAGATGATGACTGGCGAGAGTGAGAGCTCCGGGCGCTCCGCTCGGAACGTCCGGCATTCTGGCGATCGGAGTGGTTTATGTGGTCTAGTGAGCCGGTGGAGAGGGAGAGACCGTCGAGGGAGGTGATAAGAGAGTACGAGGAGGCGGAGGTGGGCGTGGGGGAGAGCGGGACCGCTGGGGGAGTGTGCATTTTGGCTACTACCTTGAAGGCCCGGATGATGTGGTCCACAGGATACAGTAGAGGGGTGCAGAGCTAAAACCAGTGCAACTGAAGATGATAGGCAGATGAGAGAAGCTGGCAGCGGAAGATGTTTGAGTGGACGAGTGGCGAAGATCCCTTACGGCATGGTCATGTGCACTGTGGCGCCCACTGTGGCATGTGGCAGATGCATCTGTGCCCCTTGCAGCTCCGTGGAAGCTAGGCTGCTCAGCGCTCAACGCTTAACGACACCAGAGTCATACCATAGCGCCTGATAGACCTTGAAACAAGCGGAAAATCGTCTTACAGCTCCAGGAACCTGTTGCCACTTTTGCTCAACTACCGTCCACCTGACGACGTACCCGTGCTACCAGAACAACAACTTTCGCAGAAGGGCTGGTGATTGAACCATCCATCCCCTTCTGACATTGCATCACTTTCAGCAGATCCATCCAGGGCAGGTCCCTTCATATACTCCACACTGGCGGTGCGAGTCATACCTTCGATTTTGCCCATCTTCTTATATTTCAGCCAACATGCGCTTCTCGCTGCTGGCAGCCTTTGTTTCCGCCGTGTACCTTTCCCCACTCGCTACCGTCTTGGCATCGGGATCGCTGATCCCTCCCACTGCAACTATCGGTCGCTGGTCGATCGAGCGGCGTCAACTACCCCTTAATTCCAGCGCAGCGCCAAACGGAATCTTACCAACGCCTGGGACCTCATCATCGAGTACCACCTCAGCGTCTGGCTCGGCATCTACCTCGGCTTCGACATCGACATCGGCGAGCGGTACTATCATACCCTTGGAATCAGTTCTGGCATGGGCGACGAGTATCGCCCCGTCCGGACCCACTTTGACGGCAGGCGCACCCGCATCGTCCTCGGCAGACGCCGGCGCTCTGCCTCCACCGGTCGGCGCGGCCTCGGAGAAGGCGGTCCCGGCAGATCAGGCGCAAAACATGACAGCTACGGGAAGGGACGGGCAGGTGATTATGATGAGTATGAGAGAGACAAAGACCTATCAGCAGACGTGAGTGCCACTATTCGCATTCGATGTGGTGTCGAGCTGATCCCCTAGATCCGTCGGTAATATCACTACGCATTGCCTGACGATGACATCGGACCCATCGCAGGTCTTCTGTCGAACTCTGCTGAACGATAAGGTGCTGAGCGATGGTCCATCAGTCGCTGTCGCTGCCGCGCCGTCCGCAGCTGCCTCTTCGGTGTCACCATCGACGTCGAGTATCCCCTCCTCCGTCTCATCCCCTCTATCGGCCAGTCCATCTTCTCTCGCCTCGGCATCAGCCACTCCCCTCTCCTCTTCTCCCACCTCAGCGTCGGGACCCTCCTCGACCATCTCTGCGCCCTCCTCGTCCTCGCTTCCGGCTTGGACATGGGCGTCCGACGTATCCGGCGCTGTATCAGCTATGGCGGTGTCCACTTCAAGCGGTCCCGCGTTCGCCTCCACATCGGCGTCGACCATTCCCATCACCAGTCAATCAGCCCAGGCCTCTAGTGTTGGCGCGATCAACAGCTCACTCTCCGGCCTTTCAGCTAGTCGGAGCAGCAGCACCGTGAGCGACGGCTCTTCTGCCAGCAGCTCTGCTTCGGCAAAAGCCTCATCCCCAGCGGTCCCGGCGTCAGTCTCGTCCCAAGCGGCCAGCCCCTCGGGTGCGCTTTCGTAAGTACGACCCCCAAGTCAACAGAAGTCAACAGCACCGTGGTATGAGCTGACTCATGCTCTAGCTCCAGCCCAAGCTCGACTTCCACATCACTCGTCGATACCATCACCATTCCCGCCAGCTCGAGCTCATCTCCAACTTCCTCCGCATCATCACCCTCTTCATCCGCCTCATCCACCATCTCTGCAGCCCTAGCCAACGCCGAAGCCGGACTGACCAATAACGAAGCCGTAAGCCCCCAGACCCTTCCATACTCTACATCCCCTCCTTCCAGGTCTCTCCTTGAATTGCCCGTCCATGCTAATACACCAGGACGCGTACCCCGGCCAAAAGATCTCCGTCCTCCCGATCGGTCTCGGCGTGTTCGGCGGTCTAGTCGGTCTTGCCCTTTGTATCGTCGGGTATATGCTATACCAGCGCCGGCTGTATCGAGGGCAGTTTGTGCGGAGGAAGGCGGCGGAGAAGGCTTTGGCGGGACAAGGGCAGGGGATGGGGTATGGCGGGGCGTAGAGAACAGCCTTGATATATTAGCCCACACAGAAGTGCACATCATGTATCCATTTAGATTCCGACTTACAGGTTCCGATCTGAACAGATGGATCAGAAGAACGTCTCCAACCATTTCGCCTCCTTCTCCATCTCCTCCTCTGTCCTCGGCGCCCGCTCATCATCTTTGGGTACCGCGAACTTTGCACCTCCCGATCCACTCCCAGCCTGCTTCTTCTCAAGATCAGCGCGCAGCCCCTCCTCGCTAGCTTCGAGAGCGGGGTACATGCTGTCCTTGTCCTCGCTGAATGGGCCTGTTGAGCCTCGGGGAAGGATATGGACGTGTACGTGCGGGACTGATTGACCGGCTGCGATACCATCCTATCTATCAGCTACCCATTCATGGCGCTTGAGCATAACATCATCGTACCTGGATGGAGACAGTCAGAGCCTCCGCCTTGTAGGCCTTCTCAATAACTCGACCGATAGTCTGGACGGAGAGGAAGAGCTCGCTGATCTCGTCGGGTTTCAGGTCGGTCAATCGGGGTACGACTCGACGAGGAATGACTAGGACATCTGTCTTGATCAGCTACAGCGACAAAGAGTAAGCAGATCCCAAAGACGGCGCTTACGTCCGGGGATAAGCGGCTTGAGGTTGACGATGCCGAGGCACGAACGAGATTGGTAGAATACTGAAAGCAATCAGGACCTGGCTTGGGATATGCAAGATCAAATATACCCTGTCGCGCAACATCGAAGACGGAGAACAGAGTCTTGGTTGGCATCGTTGCGCTGGCTGCTCCGGCGTTTGATCTAGCCTTGTCAGCTCCGAATGCTGGTCCATTTCAGAGGATGAGGAGAGGCTTACGAGCTCCAATCCGCCATGCCGCTGTTTCAGCGCAGTCGCCTGGTGAACTTAGTCAGGCTGGTCGTCGTGCTACCGGCCAGTATGATCTTGCCGGTGAGTTTGGGCCAACGTTGAGAACTTGACTCAGCGTGCAATTGCTCGCGCGCGTTCCAAGCTCGTTCAAGGTAGAGCTCAGTGATGACGGCATCTGAGGAATGTGGAGTTAGGCGTTGGAAGCGAGAGTGGCGGGTATCCAGCGTATGTGGCATTCTACTGTAGTGCAGCCCAGCCGGCCAATGCGTTGGGGCGAAGTTCACCCTCACGGGCACTATTAAGCTAGCGCTCTATGATCCCCTCCATCTGGCAGCACGTTGTGGCGTCCAATGTAAGGATAGGGCCACTGATCACTGTCAAGGGGTCCAGGTGAAGGGATGCACAGCGGAAAAGGTTTGCGATTCGTGATCAGCCTGCGAGCGTATACTGGCCCACATCCTATTGCATCGGCTTGGCTTATACCTCATCCACTCTGCAACGCTCAGATACCGACCCAGCACTTCCAGTAGCCAACCAATCTGTACATTCACAGCGCTAGCCCCCGACATGTCGACTTCTGCCATCGTCCCAGATGCTACACAGCGACCGGCGGTTTTCTACACACTCCACTGCAACGCGATGTACCCTGTCAAGGGAGATGCCTTCGACCTTCGAATCGGGAGAGGGACTGCCAAGTTTCTCTTGACCGAGATGGAGAGTAGAGTCGTCCGGGCGAGCGGAAGCATCTTTACCTCGGATCTCGACTTTTACAAGATCTGCCAGGACGCCAGCGAAGCTGATGACGAGACCATCGATGGCATCGTCCAGAAAGCCGCGGAGTGCTTTACCTGGAGCCATCCTGACGCCGATGCTTCCGCCAAGACGCTCAAGGAGAGTATCGCTTCCGCACGAGAGGCGAGAGACAGCCAAGTACTGAGAGAAGAATTTACCGTTTGGCTGGCATTTGATCGTCGGGCTGAGAAGGAGATGACTATACAGGCTTCTCCTACGGATTGAATCATGGGCTGTGCAGGTGGAGTAAGGGACACCAATGTCGCAGGGCGGTTCTTGTCCGATGCATCATCTTGAGGCATGTCGGGAGATCACTACCCGATACATCAACGTTAAGTTGATACTGATTCATAGGAGCTCGTCTAGACGCAGCTGTCGGTGGCGTAACAACTTGGAAAGCTGTGGATCTGGTGCAAGCGAGGCAGGAGGACAGGACAACGACTCGCCACTGATATAAGTCCTTGATCCACCCGGAGTCGGATTAAGTATAGATTATCTCAAGGACAGGTCTTGATCAGCTGGCACAAAAGGCGCCGCTGCCGTACAAGGAATTTGTTAATCGTTACTACCATCGTTCTGTCGTTGTGAAATATCTCCCTCCGATCAGTCACGCCTACGCATTGTCAGGATCGAGCACCTTGTTCCTGAGCGAAATGTATCCACTGGCCAAAAGCCCCGCCAACCGTTCGCCTTTCTGCATTGTTGAGGTTCTCGACTCGGCAGACAGGATTGCCGCCTGCTCCGCCCTCAGATTCGCCAGCACCTCCTCATACTCCCTTGAAGTCTGGACGTAGCCTGAAGCTTCCATCTCGCGCAGCTCGTTCTCAACAGTTCCTCCAACGGTTTGCATTGTGCTGACGAGGTCGTCGACTTCTTTCTCTCGCACTTTTTGAGCTGCCCTGCAGGTGTTGCTGTCGATGGAGAGCAGAGCTGGTGCCTGCGCGTAGAACTTGTCAGAGCTGAGGTCATCAGCGATGCCATGCCAGACAGTGAAGAAAGAGGGTTACGTACTAGTTGGGGCGCGACGATGTATCATTGAAGACGACGTCACAGAACCCCTCGTGCTGATCGAGCAGCTCTTGGTACTTGGGACCCACCATCTCCTTGATCGATGCGCGTATGGATGACATTTGGTCCCTGTACCAATCGCGCCATGCAGCACCAGATTTACCGCCGTCAAGACAGTCGGTGACCTTGTAACCGATGTTTATCAGGCTGCGGACGTCCTTCTTCCGGCTACGCACCGCCTCTTCCTTGATGAGACCCTTGGAGCGTTGGTCAAGAATCCAGTCGCGACTGGCATCTCCGAGGACATCAGTGACTGTATTAACAAAGTCGCTCGTCTTCATGTACCGTTGCGGATCGAGCTCTGTCGTTCTTCCGCTTCTGTCGGCCGATCTGTATGGTAGGTCAATTGTGGACATTCGCACTGGTGCTTGGGAGATAAGGTATTGAGTGAATGGGTCTGGAGCGCGATGGGATGTCGTGCAGCACGGGGCAGGGTGATCAGGTAATGTAGCAAAGCACAAGTGTTCTGGTGCCTTGGGACGGTCATGAGGTCGCCATTCCATTCAGCAGACTGGTCTCAGGCGTATCATCGTGTCGGCCGGAACATACCAAAGAGCAATTTCTTCTTCCTGCGCCCACAGACTCCGCATATCGATAACGGGGATATCCCCGTGTATGTGGCGCCAGCTATGTAGACACGCTGCACGCTGATGAGGTCGTAGGCTTGAGCTTTGCGGCAGGCTATATTCCTCGACTCCCCCCAGCTGAGCGCTCGACTCCCACAGCTGCGATTTGCCACCCGTGCCACACTCGCATATCATCGCCGCCACACTCGTTATCAGTGACGTAATACCGACAGTGACTCACCCCGTGCCGGCGCTCTGCCGGCCGGCCGAGATGAAAGTGGCGACGCGCAATCCACTCCCCTTCGGCAGACCACTCACTCCTTCAAATACATCTCACTCTTCCCTCTCATCTCCTACATCCGCCCCTCATCGGGCATATCACCGCCACCCTCCTCATTACCACACACCATGTCCGCTCGGACCCCCTGAACACCCCCCACCAAACCGTAATCCCCATCCACCATGCCGGCCCCGTGGACCAGCACCACCTTCTCCTCGATCCTCCGTCAGGCCATCGCGGTCGCCAAGAATGTTCCTCTGGCCTCCCGGGCTGGAGCAGCTCTGACCGGTCGCCGGGCCCGCCAGGCGCTCCAGGTCTTCCAAGAGGCATTACCAACCCTCACCGAATCGGCGGGACATCTCAATGGTCGTCCTCTGGCGTACGCGACCGAGCCCATCCGGCTCGGAACGCGATCTCACCGGCCCATGTCGGCGCATGCGCGTATGCACGCCGCGGGGCGTAACTTTCGTTCTGGATCAGGCGGGAGTAGGAGCTGGAAGGCGGGACCCAGTATGGCGCGTAGCAATGTCGGGTTAGGATCGGCGAGGACGTTCGCGTCTGGTCCTACTTCATCGGCGGTGTCGAATGTCCCCGTCGTCCTGCGGGCTTTCGTCTCCCTGCTCGATGACGAAGAGTTCAACCATAAACTTCCCCGGGCAACTCGGTACACCCCTTACAAGCCCCGGAAGTCCACCCGTCAGGCCCGCCGTCGCCACACCAGGCGCGCGGCTAGCATCGCATGCTCGGTCGACTCTCGGCTCTCCATCTCTGAGCTCTCCCACTTCTTCCCGTACATCTCCACCTCAACCGCAACTCCCTCACTCCCTCCTACGGTCGACACCCTCGTTACTCCGGGTACGACCGCTATCCTCTCCCTTCCTCTTTCGCCCTCCCTTTCGGCGCTTCTCTCATCTACGACCCAAGTGCCCTACGCGGCGGCCGAAGTAGGCGTCTCGGTGCTGTCGTCACTTAGTATGGGCGTCCTCGGTCTACAAGAGGCGTTCAGCCTGCACTACTGGCATCGGATCGGGCCGCTCTTGGCTCGGCTCGATGACTTGGGGTTCTTGGGCGGCGAAAGCGGGAGGGGGGTCAGGCACGAGATGATTGTTGACAGCACGGGGAGGCCGGATATCCTCCGCCTGACATTCTCAGACAGGTCAGAGGCGGACGTCATGCAGCTGCTGGATGGGTGGTTGGTCGAAGAGGGCGGTAGGACTTGGTGGGGTCTTAGGGAGATTAGCGAGGTAGGGGGAGAAACGGAGATGGGTGCGATGAAGCTGAGCAATGGGGAGCGAAAGGAGATGATGGAGGACTGGGACGAGAGCGGGAACGGAGCGGTCCCTCAAGTCATCTTTGACGCCGACGCCCCCGCCGAGGGATCAACGGTCGACCTCATCTTCCCCTCCCTCGAAACCGGACTCCCGGTGGAGATGGACCAAGCCTACTGGTCTCCTCTTTCCCCTTCTTCGGGCTCGCCTCACTCCCTCCATTCCCCTATCTCAGACTACGAGCTCGAATCTGACTTCTCCATGGGCTCCGGCTCGGGGTCACCTATATCACCCAACTCCCCCGTCGGGTCCTTGTCAACTTCGATCCTCTCCCAGCTGTCTTCCCTGCCTTCGGAGGATAGCCGACGCTGGTCTGTCCATCCTTCGGAGGACGACCTCGAGGTGGAAAGTGCAGTGTCGGAGATGTGGAGCGGGGCGGGCAGTGAAGTATGGGACGAGGAGGATATGGTGGAGGTACAGTTGAGCTGGGCGGGGGTCGGGCAGGGGATGGGATCGAGGATGGGGCTGGCAGATTCGTGGTAGTTCATAGGTAGCTTTTGCTTGTCAGATTAGCTTTAGGATAGTCGGAGGGGCAGTGTAGGATAGCGCAGTAGGCGATAGTCGAGATATGTTTGTTAGGTTGACGATATCTAGCTAGCGATGTACACGAGATTTTTCGATGAGCATTTTGGCCACTACTCGGGTGCGCCGGACAGGCGTGGATGGACAATTGCGGAGGTCAGTCTACCGTTGGATGCTGCATGCCGCATGCGGAGCCCGTCTACTTGCCTCTCCGTCGCTGTGCGGTACCGCCCCGGGCCCCGCCCGCTCCTCCTCTTGCTCCACCCCCAGCTACCGCCTGAGGCGCGACCGCCGCATCGTTTCCTCCTGTCAACATGCTGGACAACCTACATGCTTATCAGCTCATTGCGGCCCAGCAACAATGGGCATGGTTGAGCTTACGATCCTGTCAACCCCGACTGGAGGCCATCCATCCGTTTCCTAGCCTCCATCATCTCCTTCTTCAATTCCGGGTCGGAATCGAGGCTCGCCTACACCGATCAGTTCTGCCCCCTCCTTTTTCACATCGAGATATCCTCTGTCCAAGTGCAACATCAGTAGCAGTGGGACATACCATCAGCTTTGGCATCCCAAACATCATGACCCCCGACGCGAGCATCATCAGCACCACCGGATTCTTCAGCATCCCCAGCACATTCACGCCCCCCTTGGGCGTGTAATAGTCTTCGCGCCCGATGGGTCGGAGGGCGAGCGGATACGCCAATGATGGAGATGAAGTGGTGAGGGGGGTCTTCCCGGGGTAGAAGGGCTGGAGGTGCGGTGTGAGCTCGAGGTCCGAAGCGGGGGTTTGGGCGAGGGGGGAGGGGTCGCGGGATTCGAGGTCGGATTGGGCGGGAGTGGAGGGGGCTGAAGAGGTGAGGATCAGTAGATACTGTTGTGTCAGCCCGGATTAGACGGGAGCGGAGACGACCCGGAGCGTGTGAGAGGACATGATTTAGGGAGATAAGTGCGGTGGCAGACTCACGGATGGGAAGGTGTATTCGGGGATCTGAGGAGTAATGATGTAAGTCCCTTCCGTCAGGTCAGACCTGGGGATATCAGTAGACGTCTCTTGTAGCTGCATTAAGTTGATGCCTCGGGTGTGCCATGTGGTTATAGACCTACAGCTCAAATGTCCCATCTTGCCGAACCAAGGCATATCTCGACGAATGGTCAAGTACGACCCGGCTTGACGGGCTCAGCGTGACATCTGCGCTGGGTAAGCAGTGGTCCACGACGCGCACCCATCCAGCGTCATCGAGCCGAGGTGATGAAGACTGATTAGTGTTAACGTAGGACTCACTAGAGAGCAGCCCGTCGAGTGGGATGAACCCCTTCAAGGTGAATCCCCATGCTAAGCTCGGGAGCCTACGGTTGTCAGCTCATCATCCTCGATCGTTCTCCGGGACAATCATGCTTACACAGTCAGTATCAGCAGCAGGTCTGAGGAGAACATGATGAGGTGGTCGCTGCAAAGATCGAGACCTTGACTGAAAGACCCAGGCCGCCATGAGCTCCTGGCCAGGCGCCACGTGGCGTGCTAATGCTGAGGAATGCGGAGTTGTCTCAGCTGGCGTAACGCTCAGAGGCGAGGGTGGCTCCCGGAGTCCCGGACAGATACTGCTGGTGCTTTGTGCTGCAGGCGCTCACTCCAGACAGGCCCAGACTAGTATTCGGATGATAATCAGGCGTGCAGTAGACTGACACGGATACATTCCTATCAACCACTTCTCAACTCTTTTGACAACGCGTCCTTCCCCGCTCTCTTGGCTCCCCGCTTCTCCTTCAGAGGTCCCGGTCACTCGGCAGATCACGCAGCGTCCTCAGCGTCACTCTCCTCGATCTATCATATCAGCTCTCGCTCTCTCACCCTCCTTTCCCCAAAGTCCAAAGTAGCAACACTCACATCACTCTCATTCGCAGCCTTGACCTTCCTCGGGTCCTTAGGCGTACGCGGCTTGGTGCCCGAGATACTGCTCCTTCGAGCGGGATTATCGGTAAAGATTTCCTTATCGCCCGACTTGGAAGACTCGGAGGAGGAAGAGGGAATCTGGAATCCGTTCGGTTTGCCAATAGCGGACCTGGCCATCAGCGCCAGCCGGACGTTAACGTTAAACTCACCTAGCCCAGTAAAACAACGCCTGCATGACGCTCGGCCCAGTCTTGTCGTACGCCCACACGTCGCTCACATAGCCGTGCGCGCGCGACTCGTCGAATACGCCAAACGCCCATCGCTGCCAGTCGGTCAGGACATAGTGGGTGCAGTCGAGACGCGTGGTGGCGCCGTATGTCCGGGACCAGTACCACGAGGCTTTGGACTTGGTGTTGTAGCGGTAGTCGCCCTGGGTGTCAGCACAAGCCTGGCGAATTTGCCGAGTCTGGCGGGATATGGGGAGAGGCAGAGGTGGGGGCCGATGTGAAGGGCATGCGGAAGGAGAGCTCTGGAGTCTACGGTATGGATACAGCGGAGGAAGTCGCCTTTTGGACGAAGAGGGGAAGAGGTGCCGACAAGCAGAAAAGCAGACTTACCGAAACGACATACTCCTCCCAGTCGTGTCCCGAGAACGCCGCCGAGTTGACCGTGCGCACGACGAGGTGCACCTTGTCCGACCCCTTCTGCATGAGAAGGAACTCCCCTGATCCTAGATCCGTCAGCTCGCGCTCTTTTTCCTGCGTTCGTTGCTGCTTCTTCGTTCTGCCCGTCTCCCAAGTTCCGTACTCCTCCCTTCTGCCACTGATCGCCAGATTACCGTAATCTTCCCCTTTCCCTCCTCAAGCGACAACGACGGAGTACGAATGAACAACAACGTACCCATGGGAGACTTGCTGTACTGCCAGTACCACGGCTTGACCCTGTCGTCCTTGGGAACGTGTCCGCGCGTCTCGGCTTCTTCGCCTCCGTCCTGTCGATCAGCTCTGATCCTCTCTCCCAGGTTTACAAGATTCCGAGACCATCTGCTCTCTTTCCTCTTTACACCCTCCTCTCGGGCCTCCCTCTCCCTCACCTTCCTCTTCTACAAACACTTCACCCCCTCTCAGATGCTCCTTCCAGATCCAGGCCAGGACCGAGATATCAACGTCAAGACTCACGCTCTCGTACCCCGCAGCATCCATCCCCTGGGCGCCCTTCGGTCCCGGCTCAATCCCGGCCTCCTTGCAGTCCAGAGTGGTAAGCATGGAGGAGACACCAGCGAGGGGGAGGGTCGACAGGCCTAGGCGTCAGCTCAAGCTCATTTCCCGCATCCCGTAGCCGCTTCAGATCACCCCGCATCCCTCTAGATTCAGCCCCTAGCGAAGGATCCTGCGGAGCAATCAAGGAATGAGGCAGAATAGACCCCAGGCAAAAGCTTACATGTCTGCAGATCCGTAGGCGACTTGATGACCTGCGGAATGGTGCTCATGGCCTGTACGAACTTGGGGTATTTGTGGGTAGGGTGCGGGTGGATCGGCTCGTTTGGGATCGTCTTGAGGTCTAGGGTGGGTCAGCTACTACTCCGTGTACGTGACAGTCCGCTGTCCGAGAGACGCCTGGCCTTTCGTACAGATCGCGCAGGACAACCCGCTTCCCGCATATACATCACATACCCCCCACACCCAGCGTCAACGCCAGCGCCAGAATCAGTCATATACTCAGACTCACACTTCTCCACATCCCCCTCGAGGCCCTTGATGACATCCACAGTTTTCAACGCCCCCTTGAACTCGGACCGAGGACCCGTACCGCCCGTTCCGGGGGGGTAGGACTCCCGGAGGGGCGGGAGGGGGGTCGCGAGGTATGGGACAATCTCGACGGTTGGCTGGGGCATGTTGCCTGATGGTTCTTTGAGATATGAGATGGAGGAGGGAGGAGGTCCCTTTGTATACTGGAGGTGTTGCTGGGAATAGCAAAGCGCGGACTAGACTGGGAGCGGACAGAAGAGGAGGAGGCTCGGGTATATGCGATTCCCGATTAGATCCGACAGGCGGAGAGGCCCTTTACGGCAGGGATCGACAGCCGGGTGGGGCCCATTGCGGCGCTGCGGAGGTGGAGTTCCGCGATGGTCATGGTCATGGAGTCATGGGCAGAGGGCAGCGGACAGCTGCTACGTGCTGCGTATCTGCCGCAAAGCCGTCACATGTTACAAGGTGGCGAGACACGGTCGTCAAGCAGACCACCTTCCTTTCCATCGCTGCGACGTGAAAGAAGCGTGCCGCTCTATACCGAAAGCACACGTGAGGAAACGCAATACATCCAGACAGACAAGATCTTACTACAACTGTGTCCTCTTCTCTCTTTGCACACCGACACCGATAGCTACCTACAACTTGGCCCGGGGCGCACCACCGCCTGAGGCGATCTTGGACCCATTCTCCAAACACTTCTTGGCGTCATTGACCATCTCGTCGATAATCTCCTTGGCCGGCTTGACGTCCTGCTCCGTGAGCTGCGACCAACTGGACGATGAAGAGAATCCAGGACTGACCTTGATCATCGCGCTGACATCACCCATCAACCAAGACTTGCCCGACATGGACTTTTCGGGGTGCTTGCCGAGCTCCACGTCGTGTGGGATCTTGCCTTGGGACGTGAGGGATTTGCTATATCGTCAGCATCTGTATTCTTACCACCAACCCTTGATCCCAGACATCCTGCACGGATAAACTTACATCTCCTCCTGGCGACCATTCCACTCCTTGACGTAGTCGGTCTGCCTGACCCTCAATGGCCGTCCAGTGTAGATCAGGGTCGTTCCGGCATCACCGTGGTCGGCAGAGACGATCCTAGAAAGTCAGCTCCCAAGTCGGCCAAGTATCGACTGTAGTAGCTTACAGATCCTTGTGCTTCTTAGGCGCGGCAGCCTCGGTACTCGCCACGAATCGGGTCCCAACCCATACACCCTGCGCACCAAACATGAGCATGGCGGCGAGTCCTCGGCCGTCGTAGATACCTCCGGCGGCGATCACGTGGACCTAAGAGTCAGCACAGTGATCTATTGGTTTCATGAAGTCAAGGAAAAGTGAGGAAGAAGAAGAAGAAGAGGGGAAGCTTACGGGACCGCCGGTCAAAGGCGACTTCTTGCCCTTGCACGCGTCGACACATGCAGGGATGAGAATCGAAGTGGCCGTGGTACCAGTGTGACCTCCGCCTTCCCCGCCCTACATGTCAGCTAGGTCTCAAGCAGGTTTGACCTGCCAGCTCACCTGGGCGCAGATAATGTCCATACCGACGTCCAAAGCCTTCTTGACGTGCTTGGGCGCGCCGACCATCTATGGATCAGCCCCATCCCCCTTTTGACCAGCATCGCTGACATATCCTGCGACTCAAGCTGGACTCTGGACTCACGTTCATACACAGGATCCCCGCCTTGTGCAACTTGTCCACAACCTCCTTGGGCGGCACCCCTACGGCACACACAAACAGCTTGGTCTTCTCCTCAATAATCACATCGATCAGGTCGTTCAGCCCGCCCTTGGTGTAGTCGTAATTGGTCTTGCGGGCGTTTCCGCCTACTTGGGGAATGAGGAGGTCGACGCCGAAGGGGAGGTCGGGAGAGGTGAGGGCGGATTTGAGCTCGCGGATCGAGTTGCGGAGGTGCTTGGGGCTGAGGGTTAGCGGGAGTTGCGAGTGAAGGGCGAAGCGGACTGGAGTCAACAGGGAAAATGGACGTACGTGTAGCCCAGGCCACCGATGACGCCCAAACCACCAGCGTTCGACACGGCAGCAGCGAGTTCAGGACCCGCGGCGACGTTCATGCCGCTGTCGAGTCAGTATTCTGTTTCAGGTCCAAGTATCCGATCGTGCTCGAATACGAGGCAGGCGTCACTCACGCAAGCATGATCGGGTGCTTGATACCGACTGCAAGTATCAGCATCTACCATTCGATCTCCTCAGAATCGAGAGGACTCACACATCTCGGTGATAGGGGTAGAAATGACTGCCATTTTCGCTAGATTTTCTTGCTAAAGGGATAGGATGTAGACGGTTAGTGGTGACTAGGAGATACGAAGAGGCAGATGAGGAAAACTGAGATGAGGAGCTGGGGGAGGGCAAAGTTATACCCCTCTTGAGAGATCCGGGAAAAACGGAAACCTCATAACCGGTATCGGAGTTCTCCGATGAGTTTGCTAAATGTTCCCCTCGCTTACAAGCTCCGCGTGTTTCAGTGTGTATCAGATTTAGCCGGTAGCCTCACGCGTCCGTACACTTCACTCAGGCTATTCATCGTCTATCATCCCAGATCTACCTCATCTAGTGGCATTCTGGAAGGACAGGATGACAGTCCGGACGCCGTCCAAGCCTGATTCTCTCTCAGCCCTCACTTTTGCCCTAATCACCTCTTTCCTCCCAGGCACCTCCGCCTCGCACGCCGACCTATCTCAACTCCAAGCCTGGGCTCTCCGCGAACTCCGGAATGATGCGCAAGGCTCCACACGGCGAGAATGGGAGGACGTACGCCGGACGCTCGAGGGCCTGAGGAGGAAAGCGGGGTTCAAGGTGCAAGATGCGCTAGAGGGGGGGTTGGGGAAGGTGTTGAGGGTCTTGGAAAGTCAGAGGGGAGGTGGAGGGAGGGAGTGGGATGAGGGGTTGCCTATTACTGTGAGCTGGAGTATGCTGCATTTAGGTATCGATACAGAGCTGACATATGAGGTATCCAATCTCGCTCAGCATGTCCAGCTATTGGTATATCACTCTTCCGCGGCGTTACCCTGTTCAACGCTAACTCTTCCAGCTGAACCTCTCCACACCTCCCACGGCAGCAACTCACGACTTGGCCGAATCATACCTCATCCGACAACCTCCTTCCGGTCCGACAGCAGACCAGATCCTCTACGCCGAAATCATGTCTACCCCTTTCCGGGGGGAACACTGGGGCGCGAGTTACGACGAAGAGGTCCATTCTGGCTGGTCAGAATCTAGCGGATCTTCCTCGCACGACGGATCATCGAGCGATGAGGAGCAGGAGCAAGTATGGACGCCGACGAGTGCGCGGGTGGCCAAGGCGAAACGAGGCACTGCGGATCTAACGGCGATGCGGCGGGGCTTGGAAGAGGAGGAGAGAGCGAGAGAGGCCAGGGCGATATTGGAAGATCTGGGGGAGAGATCGTATTGGCGTAAGCCTGGTGTCGAGGTGGAGCCTGTCCCGGAAGGGGTGTATGGGTGGAAGGAGATGAGTACTGGTGAGCTGAAAGTCGGCAATCAAGGGAGAGGACGCTTATTGAGCACAGGCGTGTCATCTTTCGCTCTCTCGGAGCGTATCTTGACTACCGGGGGACGAGTCAAAGTAGGTCATGCTTGGGGCGAGAAGCATTATGACCTATGTCGCTCCGGGCGTCGACTGATCCAGTAGCTCATCTCCGCTGCTCAACTCCAACGAGAGATGCTCTTCGCCCTATCTGGCCGCCCGAATCTTTTGCTCAATCTCTCCGACGCGGCGCCATACTGCACAGTCCGTCCTTGCTCTTTACCTCCTTATCTTTGGCGGCGCCGCACTGACGCCCAGATCATTCCTGACCATCCCAACACAATCCACTACTCCCGCTCGGCTCTACACGGCATCCTCCTCCGTCTTGAGGCCCGTTCAGCCCAACTCGCGCAACTGCGCACCGCCTCCCAAGCAGCGCCAACAAGCAAGACCCATGCCGCTTTCATTGAGTCCCTCCGGTCGGTCTTGCAGGGTATATCCACCTGGATCTCCGAGCTGGAGAGCGATCTCATCCGCGGTTGCTGTCAAGCTCCCGGTTCGTCCTTTTCGGCTGCGGCGGCGGGGACTCCGATCTCCCTCCTCCTGGCGTTTGATACGGCTCATGGAGATATACTGGACTACCTTACCTCGGCTCTTCCATCTGTCGGTTTCTCTGTCCGGCTGACTAACACTCTCTACACGATTTACACCTCCTCCCTCCCCTCAAAAACGGGAACAAGCCAGCGTCTTCTGGATATATTCATCGATACCGCCGAGCCCCTCTGGCGGACGCTCGGCCGCTGGCTTCAGGAGGGTATGCCCATCCCCTCTACGCTCCTGGAGGATGAGGTCTTAGGAAACGGGATGGAGGAGCTGGATGATGAAAAGGCGTTTGACGAAGAGTTTTGGATAAGGAGGGACAGGGACGTTTCGTGGGCTGATGAGGATTTTTGGGAGTGTGCTTGGGTCGTACAGGGCAGAGAAGGGGATGGAGATGGGGGTGGAGGATGGCCGGTATGGCTCGAAGAAGGTGTGCGGGGAAGGATCATAGAAGCCGGAAAGGCGAGGGGTCTGCTAAGGGGCTTAAAGACTGAAAGTGGTGGGACGGGGAGGGTAACGTGGAAGACGTTGAGAGAGGTGCTCCGGCCTTCAACATCGGGAGTGATATCCTCGGTCGACGTGCATTCGGACACCAAAGCGGCGGACAACGTCGACTCCGAGATCGATATCCGCTCGACAATCCTCACTGTCCTCAAACCCATATGCGACCTCGCCATCGCCCAAATGCGCTCGGTCCTGGAGGACGAATGTGGGCTGATGGCGCACCTAGAAGCTGTGGAGGGGACGATGTACATGCGGTCTTTTGGCGTGGTGGATGAGTGGTCAGGATGGCTTTATGCGCAGGTGAGTGAAGGCGTTCATACCGGTCCTCAGGTACGGATTCGCCAGACAGAGCTGATATATCAGGTCCGATCGTCCAAGCGCACATGGGCAGACTTCCAGACTCTCTCGTCGACGTATCGGGAGATCATCCGGATTCAGGGTGAAACATGGATGAACGCGCCTGCCATCAGGCTGTCTCTGGCTTCTCGACTGAAGGATCAGACGGGAGTGGCGGCTATTGGCCTCATCAAGGTGGATTATCAGGTACGTTATGTCCGCTTCTTCGGACCCTCCGCTGTCTTGGTCAAAGAGGGAAAGGAGCTGATACCCCAGGTCCCGTTCCCCCTGTCGCAATTGTTCTCGCCTACATCGATGGAACTGCGCGCCGAGGTATTCACGTTTCTGCTGCAGTTTGGATATGCGCGTGAGGGCGTACGGAGGCTTCACTCGGACGCACTACGGGGCAAGGGACTAAGGGGGGCAGGGAGGGAGATGAGGAGGGTATTGGGGATGAAGCAGCGGTTGATCTGGGTGCTGGAGTGAGCTTCCATCCTGTTCACCTCTCTGATATACAGGAGCGTAAGATTGAGCTGACGCGTAGTACGATCTGGGTGTGGATACGTGATCGAGTCATCGAGCCCCTGACTAGGGCGTATCGTGCGCGTCTGGCGGAGACTATGTCGCTAGGCGAGATGATCCAACTGGAACTCGCACAGTGAGCCTATTCACCGTATGACATCATGGTGAGGAGGGGTGCGGGCTGATGAAACCAGTACGCGCGCAATCAGGAAATACTGCTTCTTGCACGATAGCGTCAGTTGGCTTCACGCCTCTTAGGCCTGATCTGGAAGGAAGCGAAAGAGCTGACACCGAGCAGACATCAATAATCAACGGATGTATCCACGATCTCCTCGATCTGTCTCAGACACTGGTCGACTGTTTTCTCGCCGCCGAGGCGGAGGTCCGATCGACAAGTCTGCTCCTGGTCCCCAAGACGCCGCAGTATGTCACGGGTCGGTCTCGACGTCGACAGCGGCGCGCAGGCGCGGGTGCGGGACGGCGGAGGATTGCTGTAGAGTCTGATTCCGATTCTGGCGCCGACGATGAGGGCGGAGGGGGCGAGACGACAGGTCAGGAAGGGACCGTATCCTTTTCTGGGCTGAGTCCGGGGAAGAGAGTGGAGAGGATGGAAGAGAGGATGGAGGAGGTGGTCCAGGTCTTTAAGGATGGAGTGGAAGATCTGACGCTGGGGGAAGGGGGCGGGACGGACGCAGCGGAGAGGGAGATATGGGGTATGTTGTCGTTCGCGCTGGAATATTGGCAAGGACGGACACGGACAATCAGCGACGACATAGATCTACCGGTATAGATGCATCACATGCCGGGTCAAAGGTTCTCCCATGCGTCCTCGTATAGGGACTTCCCTGTGGTAGCGGCGGAAGATATAGCTTTCGAAGTAGAGGATCAAGTGGGCGTATATGTCGAAGCGGGAGATCTGACGCTTGGGAAAGCGCTTAAAGACGCAGGAGGAGCGCACATCACAGCACATCACAGCACAGCACAGCGCAGCCGGCTCAGATCGTGCATGATCCATCCGTCACATTCTATCTCCCCAACATCCGCGTCCAGTGTACTTTCCCCTGCATCCTCAGCCCCTCCCATACCTCCCTCCACCATCGCCGGACCCATACGCCCATCCGGTCCCTATTGGACGCTTGCCAGTCCGCGTAGAATTGGGAAAGGACGTCTTCTCTCCGTTTGATGTCTTCGGGAGTAGGCGGAGAGGCGGGGGTGGGGAGGAGGGAGAGTCGGAGGGCTAGTTGGGCGTTGAATTCTTGATTTCGGTCCGCCTAGGTATCAGATCTTATCCCAAGGGATAGTTTCAACAAGGGGGAGGAACATGGACTCACCCAGAATCGATGATTCATAGCATCTACCCGTTCTCTTCTTAATCTCCATTCCAGCTCCAGCTCGCCCAGCCTCGAAGGGGCAGAAGCGTTCGGGAACTCTCCGGTAGAGTATGGGGAATTAGCGGTCTGATGCCTTGACGAAGGGGACGAGGCGTAGATGACGGGACGGATATTAGAGATAGAATCTGGGCTGAGAGGTCAGCTTCACCGTCGTTTATCATGTTTGGTCTACATCGTATCATGAAGGGAGTGAGATGGAAGACAGGAACTAACGGAGCGATCAGATCATCCCCTGCTTTCGCCTCCACCTGTCTTCTCCTTCTCCTCGGCGCGGGCGCAGCCGGAGAGGCAGATGTCGAGGCATGGCGGATGAGTATCCAGAGCGCTACTGGGCTAGCACGATGAGTGAGAGGCTGTATCATGATGCGTCGATGATGGAAGAGATGGGGAGGTCAAGAGGAAGAGTCGCTGGCTCTGGCTCTGCCTGGTTTAGGTGAGGATCGGTCGGTTCCGTTGGAAGCAGGGCAAAATTTCCGGTTGACCACCCACCGAGAGGCAGGTAGCCTCTTGACCGACTATACTCGTTCTCATCACATAATCTAATCGACAACTTAGCACCATGTCTGACCTGGAGAGCACAGTTGGAGCGCCGGTGGTGGCGGGCGAAAGCAAGAAGCGAAAGCGGACAGGCAAAGACAGGAAAGAGGCCAAAGCACTCGCCGAGCAGGTGAGCTACACGAATCTCTATGCCCCTTGACTGGGGACAGCTGACTCTTAGGCTCAAGCGCGTATGGCCGAGCTCATCGCTTCTGCTAAAGAATCTGAGCCTGTCCCTGCCCCAGTCATCGCGCAGACCAAAGTGGAGACTGGTGCCGCTGAAGCGGCAAAGGAATTGAAGGCGCAGGCGGATGCTGCTGCGGCTGCTGCATTTGCGGCCGCGGCGGCAGCTAAGCGCGAACCGGAGAGTATCGCCGGACGGATAGTGAGTTCATAAGCTGGCAATGTGGAGAGCAAAAAGGCTGATGGGTCTAGCCACAAGGTCTAAAAGCGATCCATCCGCTTTTGAAGCAGGCGCGGACATTCGAGACGCAGCGATTGATCAAGAAGGTCCGGTGGTCTAGGTGGGTTGGCATCTGCACAGCTCCAGCCATTCTCTGGAGCTCAAGCTGATGTCTCGCAGGAGTAAGGAGGAGGATGTCACAGATATGGAGGCCCAGATCGCTGCTCTCTCGGTGAGATCAATCATGTCCTCCCTTACCTGAAGTCCCGAGCTGACTGAGCAGGACCTTGACCTTCACGACCTCGCCATCACCCACCTCCGTCAGAAGATCTCCAAGCACCACCTATTCAAACATAATCCTCTTCCCTCGCCCATCTCCTCCGCTCTCGAATCTCCCTCGGCTCCATCATCGGCTGAATCAAGTACCAGCGCCCTGGCCGCTCAGAAAGCCAAAGCCGAGAACCGTCTCGTCAGCGCCAAGCTAGTTGCTGATGGGATGAAGGATATTCTAGCATGGGTAGCAGGAGAACCAGGGGCGAGGCTCGTCAGTCGGCCGATGGCGGCCAAGAAGGAGAAGGAGAGGAAGAAGGGGAAGGGGATGGATGAGGGACGGAAGAGGATGTTGGAGGCTGTTCAGGATATTGATGAGGAGGCTGACGAGGGGAGCGAAGGGGATGACGAGGGAGAGGAGGGGATAGGGGGAATAATGATCGGCAGTGGATCTGAGGGAGAGGAGAGCGATGGGGAGGTGGATGAAGAGGGTATGGCGGCGGACGCGGCGGGATGGGAGTCTGGGTCGGTGGATGATCTAGACTCGGGAGATGAGGATGAAGAGGAGGGCTTCGAGTCAGGGTTCGAGACGGACGACTCTGGAGCGATCATCCCGGCAAAACGATCCAAGCCCACACCATCATCGACCAAACCCAAATCTACCCTTGTCCCAGTCCCCACTCCCAAAGCCAACGCCAACGCCAAATCCGCACCTGGCACCAAACCCGCAAAGCCAACGAAATCGACCAAGCTCGAGAAGGTTCCCAAGGCCAAACCTCAGAAGCGGGAAGATATCACCTCGTCCCTCTTCCTACCCTCGCTGGCGGCCGGATTCACGAGAGGCGACTCGGACGACTCGGATCCGGATATGGACTTTGATGCGGATGGGTCGGGGATGATTGGGAAGCAGGGGGCGGAGCGGAAGAACCGCCGAGGGCAACGGGCGAGGCAGGCGTGAGTCTTTCCTCTTACTTGAGCTCTGTGCTTGTCGAGCGGGAGAGGAAAGAATGGGGTGAGAGGGTCAGAATGACCAAGATGGAACACAAGATCTGTTAGGGGCGAGGGCCAATGGGGACTGATGCTGACGTGACCAGGATCTGGGAGAAGAAGTACGGCAAAAACGCCAAACACGTCGTCAAGTCCCGCGAGGCCGACAATGTCGCGCAGGCCGAGAACAACATCAAGAACGCGTACGGCAAGCGAGCTGCGGCGGTCGGAGGGGAGTCGGCAACACCGGCTGCGGCGGGCGGGCGGACAGTGGGCAGGCCAGCGGCCACCGCAGCGGCGGTCAGACCGACAACGACATATACGCCAAAATCAGCTCCAGCAGCGGTCTCGGCGTCTGCACCTGCGCCTGTGTCTGCACCGGCGGCAGGTGGGGGACAGGGATTGCACCCTTCTTGGGAGGCGGCGAGGCGGAAGAAGGCGATGCTGGCAGCGGCGCCGGCGGCGCAGAAGATTGTGTTCGATTAACACGCGCGCGATTCTAGATGATGCATTTCAGGCGATTACAGACTATGAGAAAAAGTAACCTATAAGAACACGACAAGAGCTAACGCCGAATGATACTAGAACAGAACCCGAACGTACTACAAGCTGGTCCCCAACCCTTCTCACATCCTACAAGTCTCGATCCGATAGTGAGCTAAGCCCACTGCTATCCTATTAATCATGAAAGCGTAACTTCCGACTCCGATGCGTTGTTGCATAGCATGGGAAGTCAAGAATATCTTACGCGTGCACGAGGAAAAGTTTCAAACCGTTAGTTTTGAGTTTTTTGCGACTTGAACCGTTGATATCAGAAGGCAAAACAGTAAGAGGGGCGTTGCCGGTGCCATGAATGGCGTGGATGTCACAGGCCTGTACAGTTGTGATCGTACAGGTCACAGCTATCAGAATATGGTCTGAGATGGCGACGAGACCCCAAATTGAGCCTGGTAGGCAACTTTATCTGCAGTCGCTCCTGCCCATCTTCGACCCAGCGCCAACGGGAATTCCAAGCCGGGATATGCGTCAAATCCCTATCCCTTGATTCTCGTCTGCAGACGAGGGGGTAAGCACCTGGATCCTGAGTCTCTTCTGATGCTGCACTTGCGATTCAGAGTGGCATGATGCATGAGATAGAAGCAGTACCGCACTTCGAAACAGAATACAGAACGTAATGCAATAAATAAACCACCATTTTCTCCTTCGCTATCCAAACAACGGTTTAAAACTTTTCCTCTATCTTACACCCTTCACACCGACGAAGTTTACTGCACTCGTACATGACATGATAGCCCGACCAAGCTCCCTGACATCGTGTTCCCATCACCCTTATAGTCTCCTTATCGGTGGGAATGTATCTGTAGAAGTCAGCTTGTTTCTCCTGACCCTGATCCCATATGGCACAGGAGACTCACTGACCACCTCACCCTCGACCCGCTTCCTTCCGGAAGATCCCGCCCAGCGTCAGCGTCAGAACGAGAGCCTGACGCATATCTCCTGCCCGCCCAGCCCGCCACTGTGGACGTTGATACCGGCCGGTGACACATTGTGGCGTCTTGGGAACGAGGAGCAGACTCGCCGCCTGTAATTCTTCTGCCTCTGCAGCGATAAAGCGGTCGACGAGGGACTGGTTGAGATTCAGGAGGTCGTGCATACATCCGTTAATGACCGATGTCTAGTGAGTCAGCTCATATGCCTCGTGCACAAAAAGAGAACTCGAAGAGCAAACGGACGTATTGTGCAAGAAGGGGTATTTTCGTATTGCTCGGATACTGCCTGTTCAGCTCTGATTTCATTGGAGGGAAGAGCGGATCGGTAGGCTCACTATGCAAGTCCCAGCTGAACCATATATACAGCCTAACGGCAGATAAGACGCCTACTAATAACCCCGAGTCAGAGGACCGATCACCGAAGGTTGATGTGTCCACACCCAAATCGTACTGCTCGTCAGCTCCAGTACTACACATTCTTGGACAGGGACATACACGTGGAAGCTTCTGCTTCCTCGAGGACCCAGATCATTCTTTACTCAACCCCAATACCCGCCTTATCTTCCTCCCCGCCTCTGTTATCCCCTCCCGCCACATTGCCTCGGAACGGACCATCTGGACCCCCTCACGCGCATACCCAAACTGCAGTAAGAACGTGAATCCTCTCCGCGCCGATCCATCGACGTGGGCGAGAAAGACTGGGACAAGGGGAATAGAACCTATTGTATCAGCTCCGCACCTCTGACATCAGAGGGTTGGTCGAGGTGACATACGTGATAGTCCGCCTTGATTAGACCAATCGCCGCCAGCCCCGTATGATCCTTCATTAGAGAAGGAAGAGCTAGCCTGATCGCTGGGGCGTTCGTCCATGTTTCCCCCAAGTGCGAAGGATTTCTCGATAACTTTGATGAGAGGGTCCGACAGTCGACCCATGTACGCTTAAATGATCGGACCTGTCATATCAGCTTCGGTACTCCGCACCTTGATCAGAAGACCAGTATGGAGGTAGAACTCACCTGCGCGTAGAGCCAGCTCGACTATTAATCCAAGACCTCGAAACAACGCATGTATTTCGTACGCTCCAAAGCTTCTGGGTACGCCATCAACCCACACTCTCTCCAGTACCGAGCGCATTTGGGAGATGGCGGAGTAGTACATTGGCTCGAGGTGGGCGAGGAGTGTCTAGCGGTTGTTGAGGTTGTTGTCCACGTTGACGATATTCGCCTTTTGATGTTCGAGGCCCGACCTCGACCGCGGGTTGCTTAGCGACAGACGACGGCGTGAGCACCACCTCCTTCAACGTCTGCCACTCCTCATTCCCCCATCCCCCACACTCTCATTCTGCAAGCCCTGCTGAAACCCCCACATATTCTCAGCCCCCACGACACTCCCCCACACCAGTCCTTGCACCCAAACTAACCTTCCCTCATCCCCATCACCACGTATTATTCCGGGTTGAACGACCCAATCACACTCCCAACAGTTTTCATCCGCCCACGAGACACCGTTATCCGTCTGTATCCAAAACTCAATGTCAAACGCCTTCTGATCATCAAGCTCTTCCATCCCATTTCTGAGTGATTCATCCTCTAGATGTTTCTCCTCTAGAATCGCCGAGTGATGAACATTCACCCAAGGAGCCAGAGAACGAGCGTCGACCTGAGGGCCTCGGAGGTATCGACGAGTATGTCGTAGAGGCGCTGCAAGGTATTTGGGGAAGAAGAGGGAAGGGAGTAGGTGTGGATCAAGTGCAGAGTGTTTGAAATGGTCCGATTGGGAAACCCGTGAATGGGTGAGCGGAGACGAGGTAGCCGAGTAGATCACCGTATGCCGGATCTCCTCGTACGCTGTGTCCCGCGCGAAGATGTGAGAGGGAGGTGTCCCTGATGCTGAATTCGAGGTGACAGCCGGGGCGGACGGTTCTGGTTCTGGTCATGATGTCGAGCCTGATGGTCCAGCTGGATATACCCTGCTGAACCGACTGTGGAGACTCGGTGGAAGCGCGTGACTTGCTTGCAGGTGTAACCTGGGAAGAGAACCGTAATTGGGAGAGTTGGGCGGAACGGGCTTGAATACGTGGAGAAACCCGTTGAAGGCGGGGCGGGAATAGTGAAAGTAGTGAGGATGGTCGGAGATGATCTGACCGTTAGCGTGACACGCGGGTCGAGAAGTAGGGAGACTTACTGAGCAGTACGTCTGCGTCGGAGTAGCTGGGTAGGAGGTTTGGTCTGCCAGATAAGGCGAATAGCATTTCTCGGTATAGTTGAGCAGCGGAGATGAGCTGCTTTGTTAGCTGGAGTTAGGGCCTACAATATGGTTCGCACCTATTCAGATGGCATGACCTACTCGGATACGCTTCCCAGTATTCAACTTGCACTCTGAAAGGACCAAAGACGACAAGATACGCCTTTGGTGATCAGCTCTGCGATCCATAATGAGAAGATTTCTTGCTCACCCGTCCTGATCTGCTGCCACCCACACACTCCCTTCGAAATAGACTCCACCCCACCCCCCGGCTTCCGCCAATGAGCCCTCTCCCCCAAGCCCCACAAGTCCGCCCTTGCATCCCTCGCCCGCTCTTCCTCTTCTGCTTGCCGCACCGCCAGTGGAGCCTGGCTTAGTAGCCAGAACCTCCGCACAAGTCCGGCTCAGGCAGAGGCCCCGCTTCTGCCATCGCCGAGTCAGCGCCGTGAACACACCGGTTGACGGTGGCGCTGGACCCGTTGGCTGAGGGCGTACCCCATGCGCCTTCGCTGGACGGGCGCAGAGGGAGCAGCGCGTCTACAGAGACCAGATCTTAAGTCAGCAGCGATCTTCAATGCTGACTCACCCGGACTGAAGAAGGGTCGGAACTGATCCGGCAGCAGCGGAAAGTATGGACCGGCAGTCTTCCCAGAGCAAACCACGAGCATGTCGATTTGGTTCTGAGAGCTTCAGCGCTTGTCACGTCGCCCATCCACATGCTCTCGCGAATCAGGTACAATCAGAGCAATAGACTGCCAACTCACATCGTACTCGGGTTTGTCTGATTCGGGGACTAGGCACCTCCCGAGGAAACCACCCATCATCAATTCCTTCGCCTTCCAGCCACTCTCCCCATACCTCTCGCCATCACGCCAAACCATATCACCCCGACTACTGATGACATGCGGAGGGGTCGGATTGGCTTCGGGCAACTATCGTGAATTAGCACAATCCGAGATGTTTGCGTCAGGCAGCCTCATGAGACCGCTCCGTCAACGCCTACAGCCCCGGCATTCCCCAGAGGTTCTAAGTCTGAGGCCTCAGGACTTGAGGTCTCGCGATACCGCGATGTGCGGGGAAGACCTACCATTTGCGTACGCATCACGTGCATATGCTCGTGCATGACCGTAACACCAAGGTGAAACAGTCCCGCGAGGTACGCGTCGGAGCGAGCCCCATTCTGAGCGCGAGCCTCAGCTGCTGCTTCGACCAGCTGATATATCAGCAGACAGGCTGTGTCCAGCGCGCGCCGTCTATGCACGTCCTGCAATCTGTACTCACTGCTAGGCCAAGCACAACCTCCCTGGGCCCATCCTTCTCCTGACCGCCCGGGACTAGCGCGCAGAGGTCGGGATCTTTCACGTTCCTCGAGTGCAGGTAGCGACAAGTGTAGAAGACCCTGTCTTCCGCGAACCACCTTCGAATGAGCTCCTTGGTAGGCGACCGGTAACGGCCTATGCCCTTATGGTCTAGAGAAGGCATCGCGGCTCGCCCCGAGTCCAGGTCCAGCACGTATGCAGCGACTGACAGACCCCGATCAGAAAGACCGAGAAGCCGACCCAAGGCTACGGCATCCTGGAGCACTGTGACTGCAAGTGGATCCTTGTGGGTTCGTACGGAGAAACGCCCGTAGGGGAAGTCTTCTTGGATCGTGTACGGGCCGTAAGTGTAGGCTGATTTGGACGAGTCGTTGGTCGGGGGGGTGATGTATCGGTCTGTTACGCCGAGGTGGGTCGAGGGTGCTCGGAACTGCATTGTGATGAAAGATGATAGAAGCTATTAGAGCAGGTGGTAAGTGATGAAATCAAGATCATAGATGAGGCTGGGCATGAGATGTGATCGTTTCGTAAGCGGTTTACCCGTGCCGGAGCGCGACCGAGGCCGAGGTCTGCGTAGAGCACACAGAGCCCGTTCGTGGCACCTTGGCCATTATCTCCAAGTCGGCGTAGCCATTGTGTCCGGGACGAAGTGCCATTTATGACAAGATACATGCGACAATCTATCTGCTTCTGACATGACTTCACGCTGCCGGAATCTCATTGTTCACCTCGACCCGCCTCTCCTTCTTGCGCCTATTCGAGCAGGTTGGAGGGGTAGTGGAATTCTGTTGGAGCGACAAAGTTCTCCTTGATCGATCGTGCGGACTATGGGATCAGCCAGTGCACATCCGGGGAAAGCAAAGCAAAGCGTAAACTCACAATGAACCGGTAAAAGATGGAAATAGACCCAGACTTGTCGTTGGTCCCGCTCGCCCTAGCCCCACCGAACGGCTGCTGCCCGACGACCGCGCCGGTGCACTTGTCGTTGATGTAAAAGTTACCAGCCGAGTTGCGGAGGAGGTGAGCCGCGCGCTGGAGAGCAGCGCGGTCCACGCCGAAGATGGCTCCGGTGAGCGCATAGTCGGTAGTGGTGTCGATGAGCTCGCACGTCTGCTCATACTCGGCGTCCTCGTACACGTAGACGGTCATGACGGGACCGAAGATCTCCTCGGTCATGGTCACCGACTTGGGGTCCTTGGTGACGATGACGGTGGGCTGGATGAAGAACCCCTTCGAGTCGTCCCATGTCCCACCGGCCAGAACCTCCCCGCCCGCCTCCTTGGCCTTGGTGATGATGCCTGAGATCTTGTCGAACGCGGGCCGGCCAATGACGGGTCCGGTAAAGTGGTTGAAGGCGGTACAGGGGCCGATAGTGATGCTGTCGACTTGGGATTTGAGCTGGTCCCGGAATCCATTCTCCCACATTGAGCGGGGGACGTAGACGCGGGAGAGCGCAGAGCACTTTTGGCCAGAGTACTCGAATGCGGACCGGATGGCCTGGACGACGCCGGACTGGATGTCTGCCGAGGGGTGGTACAAGTGGAAGTTCTTACCGCCTGGATGTTAGCCAAATCCAAATATTAGACTCGTAGAAACTTACCAGTCTCTCCGACGACGCGGGGATACCCTTTGTACACGTCCAGGTTGTTGGCAATCTTCTTCCAGAGACTCCGGAACACCTGGGTCGAGCCCGTAAAGTGGAGACCGGCGAATTTCGGGTGGTCGATGCACTGCTGGACGATCTCTGGGGGGTTTCCGGGCACGAACTGGATGACGGATGGGGGAAGACCAGCCTCGAGCAGGATCTTGTGGATGAGGAAGTTGGAGTAGGTGGCCATGGGAGAGGGCTTCCAGACACAGACGTTGCCGACGATGACGGGAGCGCCGACTAGGTTACCGCCGATAGCGGTGAAGTTGAAGGGGGTGACGGCGAGGACGAAGCCTTCGAGGGGGCGGAACTCCGTGCGGCTGCAGAATCAACAAAAGTTAGAAACAGGGCAGGCGTAAGTGCTCACTTCCAGGTACCGGCAGAGTTGCGAGGAGGTTGCTGGGCGTACAGCTCCTCGACGTACTTGACACTGAACCGGAAGAAGTCGACGAGCTACGGGATCAGCTCAGTTCCCTCGTGCGTGGGATCCAGCTCACCTCCGCAGCAGCGTCAATCTCAGCCTGCCAAGCGTTCTTTCCCTGACCCAGCATGGTTGCCGCCATGATCTCAAACCTGTACTTGCCAGCAATGAGGTCCGCGGCCTTCAAGAAGATGGCAGCGCGGTCCGCCCACGGCATCTCCTCCCACTGGGACTTGGCGCGCAGCGAGCTCTCGATGGCATTCTTGACGATCTCGGGGGTGGCGGCGTGGTAGGTGCATAGGTTGTTGGCGTGGTCGTGGGGCATAGGCTGGGACTGGATGTCGCCAGTCTTGACGGGCTTGCCGTCGACGATGCAGGGGATCTCGAAGGGGGCTTGGGAGATCATCTTCTTGACGGCGGCTTCGAGGCCAGCACGGTCGGAGGAGCCGGCGGCATAGGCGCGCTGAAGGTCAGTATGGTCTTCTGGAGGCTTGCTCAGTCCCAGATCTGCTCACCATGGGCTCATTGTCAATGACGGGGACACGGAATGCAGCGAGCTGGGAGGACATGGTGGGCTGGATTTGAGGTATGTTTGGAAGAGGAATGAGCGGGAGTAGCTTCTTTCGTAGGGCTGTATAAGCGCTATGTTAGAATGGAGGGGGCTTGCGGGGGAAAAGCTGAGGCTGCCTCGACTTTATACGGTGGAGATGTGGAGCTATAAGGACGGCACTGCCGCTGGTTGAGTGGAGGACTTTTCCACGTGTCCCGTTATCGGCTCAGCCGCGCTCGGGCAACTCCGCTGCCGTAAAGCTGGCATTCCTCGTTTCGGATGTCGAGTGTGGCGGATCCGACGCGTCGGTGGCAAAGAGGCTGTGGCAGCTGATGCAGATTTGTAAAGAGCCCGTGTCGCGGTTGTACCAGTGACTCTGTGATCTTCGCCGTATGACTGTAGGCTGAGCTGACATGTATCGAGGAGGCTGAACGACCTTTTGACGTGGGTTTTCGCGGGCCGGGTGAGAGACTGCTCTCCGTTGTCGACAAAGGCAGCGGAAAACGCTAACAAAGCAAGCAGAAAACATCGTTCGGACTGCGTTTGCCGAACAGACATGCTGGATTTCTTGCTGTGAGTGCAGTCGTACATCATGGCTGGCTCTAAGAACAGCTCACGCTGGATCTTCTACCTCCTCTACCTCTCGCTATCCGCCAGTGGGATCTACTACTTCCACTTCAGCCCAGCCAGTCAGATCGGCGCCAGATCCCTTAACGCCCTGACGTCTACATCCGCACCCTTTGCCTATCCGGATCATCCCAATGTCATCATCCGCCGAGTATATACCGGCTTCTCCGTCCCCGATAGCATCCTGAGCTGCATCGTCACAATCTTCCTCGCCGGCCCAGCGGGCTTTTCTGAGCACATCCGGATCCAGCAAATCAACTTCCTCCTCAATCTAGGGCCTCTCGCTTTAGTCTTTTCCATCGAATCTATACGTGCCAAGCGATGGTCACTGGTGTACTTGTGAGTCTCCATGGGCTACCAGGCAGATGAAGCTGATACCAGATCATCATTCTAGGCTGTCCTGTATCAGTCCCTCGGAGGCGCGATCATCGTACCCCTCTACTTTGTCGCTCATACCTACATCTTTAGCCAGTCTGACGCCACACGACCGAACCCCACAAGATGGGCCAGCACAATACTTCCCACAGTGGCTGTAGCCTACATCCTCCCGACAGCGATCCTGTTCTACCCTTTCGCCAACATCGAGTATACCATGCTCGCGACGGCCGTCTGGCAATTCAGTCCGGTTCTCATCAATCTGGTATGGGTCCTCCTCACACGCCTGGCTCCCGCCCACACAGGAGAATCTCGGTCTACTGGACATATTCTCCGCCAAGCTCACAAAGTCATGGGCAGCCTAGCATCCCTCTCACACCTCACCACTCTCTTCGCCTGCTTCTCCCCCTCATACCCCGATATCACCCTCTCTTCCGTCTTTTGGTCCGGACAGACTCCCAAGGTGTCCTTCTCGGAAGCCATGAACTTCATCTTCCAAGTCGACTACCTCATCGTCTTTGCATGCTCTACACTATGGTGCCTACAGATCCGCGACCGAGCGAGGCGAGAGCGTAACAAAGCAGGCCGGGTCACCATGGATCTTTTAGTGCTAGGCGCGAGCGTCGTTTTCCTGGGTCCAGGCGCAACTGTCAGCTGGGCGGTGTGCGCTTGCGAGGCGGGTATCGACGAATCGCTTGAGAAGGGACTTCCATTGTGGACGGAAAAGTTGATGTCTGGTCAGTCGCGCGGTTGGCTCAGACCTGTCAAATCGGTTTATTAATGGCAATCAGGCTGACCTGACAGATACTAGTACAGTGAAATGAGCCGTTGGTAGTAGGCCGCATGAAAGAGGGATGTCTTAACTTGCATAGAATTTGGTACATTAGACATCAATGAGCAAAAATATTTGGTCTGGTGCCGTAGTACCAGCCCGTCTCCTTGTGGAGACAATATTGTTCATATTGTTTCATTGGGGTTATAATCGTTATCGCTGATAAGTTCCTATAGTGTCAGCCCTTCTCGAGTCTCACTGATCGTGCTGTATTCCGAGGTGCTATGGTCGACTGTCTTCCTAATCAGCTCGCATCGTGATTTTAACGTACTCATGCTGTTGCTAGCTGATTTCGGCCGGTGGTCGAGGTGTCGATACTGCCCTTACCCCGTGCATTCTTGCAGCACCTCCTCGTTTGCCTCTATCGGCGATATGGGAGCCACGCTTTGAGGCGGCGTGGGAGGACGGGGCGGGTTGAATGGAGGAAGTGAGACATCGGGACGAGGTTGAGTCACGAGTGGCAAAAGTACGATCATAGTGGCAAGTGGCAGCTGAGCAAGAGGGTGCATCATCCTTATCCCACAGCACGCTTACTCCGTAATGATCTACCTACGCCATCCAGCGCTCTCCGGACCCACTCCTCCTCACTCCCCTTCCCATCCACAAGCCCCGCCACAAGGCCACCGACGAGCGTATCCCCCGCTCCTGTTGTACTAATCACCTCCTCCGGCTTGATCACCGGTGCCGAGTGATGCGAAAGCACGAGATACTTCCGCTGATGCGCTCCGTCCAGCTTGTGCGATATCGATGCTGAAGTCGACGAAGATCCCTCGCCCCCTCGTTCCGCCGGAGAAGTTGCAATCCGAAGATGAATCACCCCTCTCTGCCCCGCCTTGATCCACAAACTCTGGACGAACGGTAAGACCCCCACCGCCTGCTGAACGATCCCTTCCTGCACGACCCAGCTCATACCCTCTTTCCGCCCGAAGGCTTCCAGCCTGGCGCGCCAGTCCGATTGTAGGTTGAGGGAATTAACGTAATCCCATGCGGGGTTGGACGTCTCGCCGGGGAGGTCAGAGAGGAGGGCGTGTAGCTGCGATAGTTCGAGGGTGTTGGGGGAGAGGTGGGTGAGTGGGCGGCGGGCGGTAGGCGAGGTGGGAAGGAGGGAGGCGAGTGCCGGTAGGAGGCGCCGGAGCTTGGGGGTGGAAGTGGGGTCGCAGAAGGCTATACGTCAGCTATGTACTCGTAGCCTGAGCTCAAGGGGGGAGACTTCTCACTGTCGATGTCCATCTCATATGCTGTTGATAGGATACTGGAGATTGTTCCAGATGTGGGATTGCAGTCAAAGACGATCATCCTGGGCTTCGACCCCTGAACAGCTGCGGTCACCTGCCTTGTAAGCTCAAGGTCCTGACTGAGTGTCGAGTCAGCTGAACTCACGTCTTCCCCCGCCAATCGCTCCACAATCCCCATATCTGCCACGCCCGATACCAAATCACCCTCCGGTCCCAGGTGTAACGTACACGCTGCCGACCCTGCTCCTCCCTCTTCGGTATCTCCTGCCCCGCCCTCATCTCGCACAGTGACAAGCCCATCCGTCCGCAGCCCCACCGCCTCCATCTCCAGCCTTGTCACCCTCCCTACCATATCCATCTCCCCTGCTTCGTCCCCTCGCATCGGCGAGACAAGCTTGACAGTACCCGCAGGAAGGAGGTTCTGCGCCGCTTCGGCAATGTTCCGCCCGACGCCGCCGGGGGTGAGGTGGATCGGGCCGGGGGTGGTCGTGCCGGGTACGAGTGTGATGGGGGACTGGGAGGTGATGTCCAGGGCGGCGGAACCGAAGACTAGGACCGAGGGTGGCGGAAGTGGTATCGGTGAGCTAGAGCTTGCGGGTATTGAGGACGGTGACGGTCCTAAGCCCGGTCCTGCGTTCTGCAAAGTGGCTGCTTGAGAAGGCGGGAAGTAGTAGTTGGCACTCTGTGCATGCTCGGCCGACTCGCGCTGTAGTCGAGCTAATTCCACCGCTACGTCCGCACCGACCCTCGCGTTATTCTCGATGAGCTTGACATCTGCTGATCAGCTTGATTCCCATATCGATCATCTCGATACTGTCCGCGGCGCTGATAGGCTCACTGAGTTGCAAAGCAATTCCACCGCTCAGCTCGCCGACTCGCTTCAAGAGCCAAGGCGTAACCTCCTTCCCGCGCTTGTCGATCCCCTGCTCGATACTCTCCCGAACGGCCTGTTCGACCGCTTGTTGGACCTTTTCGCCCTCCGGGGTATGTATCGAGGGGATGGGGACGGCTAGGAGGGTAGAGAGGGGGTCCGGAAGGGTGAGAGACGCGTCTGGGACATCAGCAACCGCGTAATCTTGTAAGCGACTAAATGACGTACGGATGAGAGAGGCAGCTTCGCTCGCGTTTTTCACAGCCCAAGGGCTCTGCCACTGTCAGCTGAAGCGGCGCGAGATGGCCGGAGAAGACGCACTGTCTGGCCAGAACTAGGGGTGTAGAATGCCGGGAAGTCAGGCTTGTCCCCATATGTGGCCACGCAGACGCCTTGCGTCTCCTGTTTGGTATCAGCTTGGTACCATGTCGGACAAGATAGCGTCAAGCTGACCAGTACTTCCAGTGTCCGAGGGATGTCCAGGATGCTTTTGGCACCAGCGCAGATTACCGCCATAGGCTACTTTTTCGTCAGCTCTGTAGGTCACCAGAGAATAGTTCTGACAGCGGCTCACAGTTCTTCCGAGCTCAATCAGGTCCGCAGAGACGTCCATACCTGCAAATCAGCGCCAGCCCCTCCGCATGTCTCTGTAGCTCAGCGCCAATGCAGACTCACTCTTCTCCGCGCCGCGATGCACACCCCCAATCCCACCCGTAACGAACATCCCAATCCCCACCGTCCTCGCCACATACATCGTGCCCGCCACCGTCGTACCCCCTATCAATCCTTTCGCCAACGTCGGCGCGATATCCCGCCTTGAAACCTTGACCTTCTTGACCAGTCCGGCGGACGTATCGGCCAGCTCTTCCAGCTGCGCCTGGGATACACCGACATGCACCTTCCCGGAATGCAGAGCTATCGTTGCGGGAGTCACGCCGCGGGAACGGAGGATGGACTCGAGGGACTGGGCGGTGCTGAGATTGGTGGGATGTGGCATTCCTGCGTATCAGCTTGATGTGCGGTCGTACGGGTCGGGTAGCTGACCATGCGTGATGATGGTGCTCTCGAGAGCTACGACTGGGTTTCCGTGCTGCAGTGCATGCTCGACCTCTTCGGAGAGCACAAGCCTGCCTCCCTATCTTATCAGTTGCGCGTCGGAAAGCGGAGGAGGCGGGGATCCGGACATACCCATTGTTGCCTAGCGGTTGCAAGGCTCGCCATGCCTCTTCTGCAGCCTCTAATGCGCCCGGAGCAGGCTTTCATGGCTGCCAGCATCCTTGTTGACGTTACTTGTGGTCCGAGAGCGATATAAGGGCGATGTGATTCAGCAACAGAGAGCTCTTTCGTCCCAGTCCAAGTCCTGTCCGACTTTCGCGTCTCGGATTTACCGAGATTTAGCCGGTGACCCGTGACGTCATTCCAGGTGAAGCAAGCCTTGTCCGGCCTCGACTTGCGACTTGCTTCTTCAACTTCCTCTCATCCTAGACTACACTGCTTGTCAACGCCGCACCCGTCATATCGGCACTAAGACTGGCGGATAATACAAGCCTGGATTCTCTGGTATTTTACGGAACATCAAGTGCAATCCTACGTTTCAACTCAACCTGAAGGCCGACGTCCGAAATGCCTTCTTGTCGCGTCGTAAACAAGACGGGCGTGCCCCTCAATATCTGCCTCAAGCAGGTCGCAGCCCTCCACTTTGAGAATACAGTAAGCTAGCACTTGTGCCCCATACACAGGCAGCTGATAAAATTCAGGTAAAGCCAGATCAAGAAGTCAAATTCAAGGTTCGCCACCTCACCTCAAGACCGAGCGAATTATGGGGCTGATGTTCCAGCCAGGTCGCGTATGGTTCACTTTCGAAGCTCAAGTAGACGATCCATCAAAGGATACGCGGTATTCGATCTTGAAGTCGGCAGCTACTATCGGGTTGCTATCGATCGCGGTGGGTGCTGTGGCTGCCACAGCTGGAGCTGCTCTTCTACCTGCGTCGGCTACTGCTGGAGCTGTGAGTTCTCACTGTGCCGGAAGAATATGAAGGCTGGGCTAGAGCAATCGGCTGATACAGCTCAGGTCGCCGGCGCGTCTGCTACCGCTAGCTATTTGAGCCGAGCAGGGTGGGTGGCTAAGACCGCCTTGGTAAAGAATGCTGGTACTATCGGGAAGATCTGTGAGTTGCTTCATGTCCCAAAGGTCTGACCGGAGCAAAGCTGATATGCCAGCTTCGATAGCGGTTCCGAAAGCTGTGGAGAAGATATCTTCTGAGGTCGGCGGACTGACATCTCTCCAGAAAGAAGGTATGTCGCTACACTGAATAGACAGATCTGCCGTGCAATAGTGCTTTGAGCTGACTCGTCAGTCTTGTCCATCGTGGCGTCGCCAACTCTCTCCTCGGACGTCCGCAACAAAGCGACTCATCTCCTCCGGTCGCTCTACGGCGCTTACTCTACCGACAAGACCGCCCCTCCACCCGCCTCCACCACCGCTCTGCCTGTCAACCCAGCTCCTAACTCAGCTTCCACGCGCGAAGCCCAAGCTCTGGACTCTGAGCTCAATACGACACACGCCGAATCGCATATCGAGAATGTCCCTGTTTCATCCGGTACAATTCTCCGCGTACACGGTATCTACATGGACAGACGGCGATACTTTGAGGTCCGGCTGAACAGCTCGGGCCATCTCGAGCTTTGGGATGCGGAGCGCGGGGAGAGGTGGGATCGAAAGATGGAGGCGACGAGGGATAAGGCCGAGAAGGATAGTTTGAAGCGGGAGGAGAAGCAGGATAAGGAGATGAAGAAGGCGGAGAAGGCAGAGCTGGCGGAGAAGGCCGAGAAGGAGCCGTCGAAGAAGGCAGGGTGGGGATGGCCGTTAGGCGGAAGAGGAAAGAAGGGGGCAGTGGACTCGGATGGGGAAGAGACGGACGCGGAGGATGATGGAGACTCGACGAGCGTTATGCTGGATGAGAAGAAGGAGGGGGAGGTGACGATCTTGGAGAGGAGGCCGACATTGAAGGAGAGGCTGGACGGGCTGGTACATCCCACGCAGGACGCGGCTGGGGAGACCACGGATGCAGGGGTGAGGCACGATGAGAGGTTGCCCCCTCGGATGGCGGAGTGAGACACGGGGCGGTCTTGAACGGAGCAAGGGGTTGTACATATCCATAATCATACACGCTGCTGAGTATCGATCCGAGCTGCAATGCGGATGACTTGCCGACCCGGACGGCCGGACACTTCCCTTCTTGTCGGAATACAAGGGATCCACCTCCGATATCCTCATTCCTTGCCGAGACATAGCCCGGTATGGCACACGACGGCCGGTCCTGGTCCTCCGTGATCGGGATTTAACGGGGATATCACGAGGCATTTCGGGCAGCCTCTTTCCGGGAGGTTTCCGGTCCCGGTAAGGTGCCAGCGAGACGGAGATTTACGGGATTATAGCGGGAGCTGCCAATTTGACCGGTCCGTGCGTCCATCTTCAGCTTCTGTTGCGCGTTGCGAACGCGAGCGAGAGCGAGAACAACGAAGCAGCTTTCATAGCTCTCATCAGACCTTGTTTCCTATACCAGACCAGCAGATCCAGCAGACAAAATGGGTGACATCAATGCTATCGCAAAGCAGTTCACGGGTGAGTATGATTCATCATCGCTTCAGCGGAAAAGAGGCCGGCAATCTCGCGTCTTGCTGACCAGCCTCCTGAATCCGCCGAGCTTTGTCGATGAGAGGTCGTATAAGCTGACTGGGTAGACTTCTACTACCAGACCTTCGACGCCGACCGGTCACAGCTCTCCGCCCTTTACGTGCGTGCCTTTGGGAGAGGTGCACAGGGGAGGAGGAAAACGCAGACTGAGCGGGAGCTGACGGGAATCAGAGGGACATGTCCATGTTGACATGGGAGAACAACCCAATTCAGGGCGCGAAGGACATCACTGAGAAGCTCGTGGTGAGTTCATGGAAGCTATGGGTATTGGGCGACCACAGTTGCGGAAAAAGCTAGGCAGGGCGATGAGCGAAAGGACGCAGAGGCGGGAGGGGAATTGCTGCTGGTGCAAGGGATCACTCGTTACTGCCTCGTTTTTGTGGCCCTGCCTCATTAGCGCATGATCATACATCTTCTGGTGATAGAGAGCTGACGCCTAGTCTCTCCCTTTCGAGAAGGTCCAACACCGCGTCCTGACCCTCGATGCCCAGCCCGCCTCCGCCTCGGTCGCTGCTATTCTCGTCCTCGTTACCGGCCAGCTGTTAGTGGATGATGGACAGAACGTGCTTCCTTATTCTCAGATGTTCCACGTGAGTTGGGCAATCGTGCTGCTTGAGTAGGAAAGAAGGGCAAGGGGCTGACAATATCAGCTCGTACCAGAAGGACAGGGCTACTTTGTCCAGAACGACGTGTTCCGATTGTGAGCTAAATCTCTTCTGCACGAGTCTATGGGAGTCGAGCTGATCCAGCAGGGTGTACGGATAGACGATCCCATCCGGTATCTCCCCGTGTAGATGTTGAATGAGGGTGATCGACTATGACGCATGCATGCGCTCTGAGCTAAAGGCCCCTCGGTGGCTCCTCTTCGAGTGCTGGGGAAAAGTGAAGGTCAAGTGATGGCCGAGGTGAAGCGGCTCTTCCTCGTCAACGGACAGCTGATTGCTAGACATGAGGACCAGCGGCCAGCTGATAATCAGCGGGATTGACAGGACCACACTTACCCTAGATCTACACCAAGGGACACAGCCACACACCTAATGCGAGATCTTGCTCCCAACATACACATGTTGAGTGGGGGACGGTTCCTCCTTTGGAGAGGTATGCTACCGACCGTCAAGAGTGAGCCCATGCTTGCAGATCTCTGATGATGACTGATCGTCTCAACTAACTTTACTGATTCCTGCTTCTTCCCATAAACCCTCATGCGGGCTTCCCAGCTTCTCTCCCTGTGTCTCAATAAGCTGACATGTTGATCGACGATTGTTCATCGTCCTGGGCTCCATCGTCCTAACATCCTGTACTCACAACGTGCCTGGATTTTGATATCTGAAAAAGATGCCGATTTCACCAGCTACCGCTCGCACCCGAAAACACAGCATCGAGGCTATTCTCAAGGTCAGCCCAACCCCTCTCTCGGGCCGAAGAGATCCCGCCTCGTTCGGCTGACAAAGGCTGAACCTGCAGGAAAACCTCATCAACTATCAGGCCATGTATCCCACCCCCTCTATCCTGATATCTCACTCCGCCGAGCCCATCTCGACTGCGAACCTACACGGTATCATCTATACGACGACTTTCTGGCACTTCGGCATCGACATGCACGTCACCTGTTGGGGTCGGCATTTGTACCCCAGCGTCAACGACGAGGAGGACTCGAGAGGATACGATGTGATTGTCTTTGAAGCGGGGACGGTGGTGCTTCCGTCGGGTCGCAGGTGGTCTCATGGTATGCATATTTGCGGAGGTTGGGACTTGAGCTGACGATTGCAAAGCCCAGGAGCTGGCGTTTAGTAGCGGCGTGGGCAGGAAGTGCGAGCGTGTTGGCGAGAAGATGGTCGTGTTCACCCGAAACGTGTGTGGCGATGCCGTCGGTGCTGTAGCAGGTCCACCACGTAGGATGAGCAGGTGAATTTAGGCACCCCAGAGGCTGCAACATTGTTTTCAGGTATGAACAGAACGACAGAACATAGGCGCAGCGTCCATAGGATATTTGAGCTCTCAGCTCTGGCTCGAGCTATCGACCTTAATGCTGCATGCACTCCGGCGAGGGACCGACTCTCGAGCCACGCCGGTGAGGCCTTGTTACTGGTCAGGAACGGTGGTCAGGAATGGCATTATCAGGTATACAACCCCAACGTAGTCCTAGCGTAGTAACAGCGAAAGGTAGCCTCAATGACACTGAGGCAAGTCACGGACGTGATCCTCCACGGCGCTCGGGGAGCTCTAGAGCTTTCCATATTACGACGCACAAAGGAAGTTACGGATGGCGTGCTCGCAAAGCAGCAGCTCTCTGTTCAGAGGCCGACTGTCTGGAGTCGCCACTTCCCCTTGTTCCCTTCAACTTCGACTTGACATCGTACATCCCCCTGACATACAACTGGATCCCAATCAACATCTCCCTATGACGCGATTTGACAATCCTACCACCAGCCTGACTGGGGCGCACATCACAATCACTCGTCTTGGAGATGGGTCTTTCGCGTATCTGGCCTTCAGGCCGACAATCGGAGTCGCAGGGAGCACGGAGGAAGTTGCCGACTGCAAGAAGAAGTGTGGGCACGAGATCTGCACCACTCTTACCGACCATTTCCAAGAAGTTCATGAGGCTGGGCCCGGCGCAATCCTCACCGACGAGGCTGCGATCCTGACGGCGAGAATGCACTCATACTCCGGGCTCAAGGCCAGGGTGGCAAAGTATTGTGCGCGTCTCCACACAGATGATGTCACCGCCGAGGTTTCTACCCCTTATACCCCCGAGGCCTGAGACTTCTTGGACGCAGCCGGGGGTCAAGGGACGAGCTCCCAACTTCTGTTTTCTGGTGATCATATGTTCAAAGCTTTATCATGCATCTGTGCGCTACATTATTGCTGCGGCAGGCATGCTGGCGGAGGTTGCAGGCTGTTCATTCGATACAACTTCGGGGCGAGCAGGGCGTGTGGTGGGGGCAGTGTGGCACTAATCTAGACTCATCCACACCATTCATTGAAGCTATAAGCTCAGACTCGATCGCCACTCAGTGGGGCTGAGGAAGCTGCTGAGAGCTGGAGGCCGCGTACAAGTGTCAAATTTGCAACTGCAGGTCGCTTCCAGGTACCCCACCCACGGGAAGCACATGTCACCTGTCTCCACTCACTGTATGCTAAGCCGATGGCCTCCTTCGGCGTGGGCTGCCCCATGCGCGCGCCCGTTCATTTGTCGTGGCATGCTCTACGACTATCTATGCATCCAATTGCTCGGTGCGCTAGACCCAAGTATTAGGGCTACCGTCCGCATGTATGGTACGTGGCTGTTAAATATGAGCTATAAACTACAGAGCCAAGTGGCAAACGAATTCGCCACCCGAGGCTTAGCCTGCAGCTGATTCGCCACTGCAAAGCACAAAAGCCGCCACAGCTTTCCGTCACATTCGCTGGTCGGAAAGACGAGCGTGTATGTACTTGCTCATATTGGCTGGCACGTGGGATTCCGGGCGCACAAATAAAGGATCGGTAAGGCTGACACGGTATACGGAGGGGATACTCGTATCTAGAGTTGACGAGTCGCGGTCGGAGCTGGTCCAGCTGGAGATCGACCATAGTAATTTATGGTGGTCAAGCGCCGTTTTTGTTGTGGAACCCCGAGCCATATCTGCCTGCAAGGGCACTTTTGACGATAATCTGATCATGAACAACTTTTGTCGAGGGCGGGTCCAGTACATGCAGATGCAAGGTGCCAGTATTGCGCCACTTCCGCAAGCGCCTTCGAATCTATCCCGTCCCCCCATTTATCACTGAACTGAGCGCGCCTCGCTCGCGCTCCTCATTCCTCCACTCCACCTCACCTCGCCCCACCCATCATCCACCACTCCCCTCTTACAGCGCCCACCATGGCAGCCTCCACCTCCGCCCAACCCCCCTCCTCGGCCCCGATGCCCGCCCACCCCGCCTTCCCCTCCCTCATCCCCTCACACCTCCGCTCCGCCCCGACCAGCAACATCTCCCCGCCCACAACCCCCGCAGCCGTCCTCAAGCTGATCACCTCCTCCACCACCCCTCACGCCGTACACAACCAGCTCATTCCTACTTTGAAGTTCGTCGCTGCCGGTGGGAAAGGCGGGGATAAGGACAAGGAGAAGTTGATAAAGAAGGGAGAGGAGAATATGGCGTTGTTTGATCAGAATCTGGGGGATGTGACTGCGGACGATATTAGGAATCTGGCGGCTGGTCTGGTCTTTGTTGTGTGAGTTATACTCTCTGGAGAGCGAAGATGAGATGAATGGGAGAGAGCTGATGGGATAGGTCGGCCCGGATGCACCCAAACCATACCGATCAAAAGACGTACAATGCCGATCTGCTCAGGCTTGCGACCGAGATCTGTATCAACGGTGATGCGGACCAGCTAAATGCTTGCGGCGCGCGATGTCTGTAACTTTCTGATCGGCTGGGAACGCAGTCGCTGACAGCACAGTGGGCGAGCTTGCATGGGGAATCCTCCGGCTCGCGAGATACCTCAAAACGGTACGGCTTCCTTCCCGGGTCTCGGAGCATGGCTGATATATCAGCCTGCCGCTGCTCTCGAGCCCATTCAAGCTCTTTCATACCGTGCTGTTGACCGTAATTCGTTATCGGGCGTTCACGCGGCCTTTCTCGAGGTATGTCAACCCCCAAACGAAGCTCGTGCTCTATCCCGAAGGGCTTTGGGACGGTAGAGTTCTCATCGGCTTATCGCTCTAGGCTTCCCTCCTCACTGGAAACTTCAGCGGAGTACAGCGCCTCATCTACAACGAATACTTTGAGGTCAAGCAGGTACGTGCGGATATGCTGATCCGAGCTTCAGTCCTGGATTAAGACTGATCGTTAGATGTCGCCGTCTTACCTTGACGTGATTACCTTCTATCACCACGCCGGGCTCATCTGCGCCGCGTGCAAGCACTGGGAGAAAGCCGTCGAGATGTTCTCTATGGTATGTCGTGTTCATGACTAGGCAAGGTGATTCATATAGCTGATGCTTGCAGGGCGTCTCTGTTCCTACGGCCGCTGCTTCGGCGATCCAGCTGGCTTGCGCTAAACGCGCCATCTTGTGCGGTCTTATGAACAACGGCAAAGTAAGCTATGTCATCCTTGAGTGTAGAGAAGCGTGGTGGAGCTGATCTGATAGCTTGTGACATTCCCCAAGTATACGGCTGGCGTCGTGACTCGCGTGGTCGAGAAGAATGCAAAGGAGTATGTCAAGCTCGCCGAGGCGTTCATCAAGGAAGAGTGGGTGACTGTACGGAGTGCGGTCGCGACCAAAGAATTCAAGGATGTGAGTTCTGCGTGAATGGTATAGTCCAAGTGAAGACCGAGGCTGACGGAGCAGGACTGCAACTTTGGTCTTCTCGAGCAAATCATCTCGTCTATCCCCATCAGACGGATCCTCAAGATCAAGTCGCGGTACTCGCGCATGACCATCACCGATCTGGCCAACAGAATCGAGCTTCCAGGGACAGAGGGGGAGAATGAAGTTGCGGCTCTGGTGTATCACATGGTGAGCTACAAGATTCCCGCCTTGGCTCAAAATGAAAAATGGCAGGCAGAGCTGACACCCAGATCGAGAACGGGGATATGCGAGCTACAATCGATAGTTCGGCAGGACCGACGATCGTCGCGTTCATGCAGGAGGATAAAGACTATACGTCCCCGAGTGCACTGGAGGAACTGAAGGCGGAGAATCGCCTGGCGAACTTCTTAGAGATGGAGTTGACGAGGAGCGGGAGGGAGTTGGGCGTGAACAGGGAATATCTCAAGAAGGTGAGTTCATGCTCACATGAGACCACTGCGAAACCCGGGGCCCAGAGCTGATATTCGCAGCAAGCACACAGTCTGGAAAACAACGGCGGGAAGGGCATGGGCGGTCAAGGAATGAAGGGCGGGGAAGAGCTGGACGAGGTGTTGAGCGGGAGATCTCAAGGCGGGTTTGGGGGAGGCAAGAAGATGGGAATGCGGGGTGTTGGATCGAATATGGGGGACACGGGATTCTGAGGGGCGACTTGAAGATTACGACGCGTAGTAGACAGAAGTAGATCATGCCAGTCAGGCTGTGTATAGTATGTATACCATACAAGACCTCTAAAGACGGGTACCCAAGAAGCTTTAACTGCAAGTGGTCTGTCATCCGTCAACTATAAGTGTTCATGATCCCCTATCTACTCCTCCCCGCCCGCTGCCCTGTCCGCCACCCAAGTCCCTACCCAACTTTCCAATCTCCGCACATTCTCATCTACGTCGTCCCCCTCCCCATTGCTTGCAAGCTCGACAATGATCTCCTCGGCATAGGATTCACGCGTTTCTGACAGACATGTCTGCATGATTTCGGCGGTGATGTTCTCGGTGAGCTTGTTGGGGGGATAATTTCTGCTTCGGTCAGCTCAACCTTCCGGACCCTGGAGAAGGAGGCAGCTGACCTTGCTGTCAGGCGCTCGTGCAGTACTTTGTTATCGCACAAGAGCACAACGGCCAGATCTATCCACCGTTCGGGGAACAATGAGGGGTCATGATGATCTATTATGAAGCCTGTACCTCAGCTCCTTTCCCTATACACCCAGATGGGGGACGTACCAGTAGCAGCAGCCCCTCCTTCTGGATTTATGATCTCCTCCAGATAATCCAGTAATCTATCCTCATCGATGGTCCAGCTCTGCCATTCCTCGTCCCATCCTTCGTGGAACCCCTTTTCTTTGACTATATCGCCGATGTTGAGGTGGACCAGGGGAGTGGAGGATGATTCGAGGGCTTGAGCAAGGAGTAGGGAGTGGAAGGATTTGCCGGTCCCGGGTGTACCTGCTAATCAGCCCTGAAACCAGAAGCAAGAGGGGGAGGGCCAGCGGAAGGGACAGGAGATGGGTCACCAACCGGTGATCAGAATGACGGGAAATTTGCGCTCGTGGTGTGTCGTCATCTTCGCTAGGTAGTCTGCGAATTCAAGGGACAGAGATCTTGCAGGTAAGTAGCGCAGTAAGGAGAGTAAGTGTATGGAACACCATCAGTGAACGCGTTGCTCCGTCGTCGCTGCAACTTTTTAGCTTGTGTGGAGCTCCACACAGCCCCCGGAGATCGCCGCGTTTCAGGTTGTTTTAAATTACGGCACGCCCTTTGACTTCATCGTACAGCCAAGCTCAAACTTGTCTATTAATTCTCGCTCTTCATCTCTTTCATCTTTATCTTCCTACACAGCAAGGGCAGTATCCACCCATCACAGCTATACAGCTAGCCTTTATCTTTTCTCACAATCTTTCGTCCTTTTTCCCGTCACGAAAATGATCGCTTCTCTCGCTCTCGCCGCGCTTTTGCCCCTCCTTGCCACCGCGGTCCCGTGTGTCCAATTCGACACCCAGTGGAACTTGTACGCGTTTGGCGGGAGTCAGGATGTCAATCTGGGGAAGAGCTCCAGCTGGGCGCGTGAGTGTCTTTTTCCGTTCATGACTGTTATCACGAACAGGTGGAGGTGGTCAATATCGTCGATCGGACGCGTGCTGCGGAAGATAGTGAAAAGTCGATCGAGTGGTGCTAATGTCCTCCAGAGCCCCAAGTAACGCCCTTGACATCGACTGGTAGACCGTAAGTCTATGGCTTGGCTACCAAGAAGAGCATAGTCTGACATATAGACCATGGACGGGCAACACCACCCAGTGCCTTCTTTCGCAGTTCAACAACGCGATGTACGTTGTCGGCGCCGACGCCTCGGATGCTAGCGTATGTCCCCCGTCATCTGGATCGAGTCTTCTTGACCTGAGCCTGGCGATACAACGCTGACATGCAGAAAATCTACATCTACTCTTTCGCCGGAAACTCGTGGTCCACGCAGAGCACCTCCTCCGCCCCTTCCCCCCAAACCCGATCGGCCTCTGTCCTGGACCACGACACCAACGTCCTTTTCACCTACGCCAACGGCGGACTATCGCAGCTGGACATGTCAGCAGTGACAACCGCCGCGTCGGGGTCGGCTCTGGCATGGGAGGGTGTGAGCGCGCCGAGCTGGGGGTCTGGGTACGCTTCGAGCGCGACTGCTGCTCAGGCGAGTAACCATATCAGTGAGTTCAGCTTAGTTGAGCCAAAAGGGACGAGCTGATGTGCAGTGTACTTTGGCGCACCAAACACCGCGGCTGGCTCGGCGCAGATCTTCGTCGTGCACTGTGAGTAGAGTCCGCTCCGCAGCGGTTGGGCGGGTCAAGCTGACTGGCAGACGCGTACTGGCAGCCTACCGCCCAGAATTTTGCTAGCCGATCAGGCGGACAAGCCTTCCCTGACCTCGCCGGTCAAGCTGTCAGCTTCCCAGTCGACGGCGAAGGAGTAAGTCCGCATGTTCTTCATCATACCAATCTTCCCCCTCTTCTCCATTCACGCCTTTCCCACCTGCTCGTTTGCTGACACCCAGGTCCCTACCCAGCTCGTCTACATCCCCTCGGACTTCTCGGCCTCGTACGTGGTGAACCACTGGACCAACCCCTCTTCCTACGCCTCGACCGACGGCAGCCCGTACGCCTCCAACCTCATCAACACTACTACCACCCTCCCCGCTCCTCCTACCAAGGACGCCAATGCCGCGTACGCAGCATCCTACCAGTCCCTCGTACAGATCACGACCGGCGGAGAGATCAACTATATTGCGAACGCAGTAGGATCCGGGTCGGCCACTTCGGGAGCGAGCTGGACAAAGATGAACTATGCTCTCGCGGGTGTGTCGGGCGGATCGAGTGCTAGTGCCAGTGCCAGCGGGAGCGCAACTGGGAGCGCATCGAGCGGAAGTGCAAGTGCCAGTGGCACAGGAAGCAGGAGTGCGTCGGCCAGCGGAACCGCTTCGGCCTCTGGCTCCGGCGCTGCTGCTGCTTCGAGCAGTAGGGCTGCAGCTGGCAAGGTGGTGCAGGGCGGTATGGGCCTCGTTGGGATCGCGGGCGCGGCGGTTGTCGCTGCAGTAGCGGGTGTTGGGATGCTGCTCTAGGCCGTTTATTTGACGCGGGGGCATGAGGAGACGATGTCGAACGAGCTTCCCAATTTCCAGTGTAGCGTACTACGCAGTACTCGGATACACGATACCCACATCATCATCATGCATGGACAATTGCATTTCACGTCTACAAATAGTACTACATGTTCCCGCCATCCCCAAAGTCCATAGGTAAAGGTGCTTGATCCGTAAACATGGCCCCGTAGTCGAAACTGCCCTCTTCTAGGAGGCTGAGGATGGTAGCGGCAGATCTGGCCATCAGCTCTAGCCCCGCCCCCCGGCCAAAACAACAGAAAAAAGGTGAAAAAAACTCACAATCCCTGATTCTCCCCACCCTTCAACCCATCACTCACACTATCCATCCCTTCCCCAGCCAACATCTCACCCCCGAACCCATTCTCACCTCCAAAATCAAAGTTGAGCCCCCCCGAGGAGGCGCCTAGCATCGACTGATCCGTCCCTTGACTCTGACCCTGCCCGGATCCCGAGCCCTGCTGCGACGTATACTGATCCCCATACCCCATCCCCATCCCGCCCCCACCAAGACCGTTCCCCTGGACATTGATCGAAAAGTCGTTAAACCCTTCTCCCTGTCCCATTCCCATTCCCATACCGCCCAATCCCGTCCCTGTCCCCGCCCCTGCTCCGCCGGAGCCCAACATCGGATGATACTCCATCCCCGTCCCTGATCCAGTGCCCGACATAGCCATCCCCCCCAGATCAAAGCTCTCAGTCGACGGGCTCATCGCATTGAAGTACTGATCCGTATTGAACAGCGCATCGAGGTCTGGGCTGGTTCCCCCTCCGAGACCCAGACTGAGATTGGACCGATGCGTCGGTCGACTACTTCCAGCTCCACCTGTAGCGTTGGCACCCGCACTGCTGTGGACGTTCGGGTTGAATGACGGTAGTGAGCCAGAAGGAAGGATCTGGTCATGTCCGGCAGACATGATATCTTCGCCGCTGTTGCCGTTTCCGGTATAGGTGGCATCGGCGGGAGAAGACGAATTGGCGCGGGTGGTACTAGGCGACGGGGTGAAGCGCTTATGGACGGGCCGGAGCCAGGCGGGGGAGGGGCGGTTCGAGCCGTCCGGGACGCGAGGGGAGTCGACGGGGATATTGCAGACTGGCGTATCAGCTGCTACACTTCGGTCCCGTACGAGGAGGGGGTAGGTGGCACAGCTCACTTCGGCAGAACTCATCAATGATATCCGCACTCCGCAAACCACAGAGGTATCGTCCCGAGAATCGTCGCAGAAGACCAACGCACGACCTCAAGCCTTCGATAGCGGGGGAGACGAGCGGGCGGAAGTCTGCATTCCTGCAGTTCAGGATGACAGCCACGAGTGTTCGGCCGGCTTGTGCGAGCTGGTGGATCACATGGACACCATCTGACGGATATCAGCTCTCCGCGTCTGCCGAGAACGTGAGCGGATGCAGAAAGCTTACAGTAAGTCATCATCCCCCTCTGGCTGATATGGACGTGATCCGCAATAATTGTCAGAGCGCACTGCATGGCCTTTCGGCTCATCTCGAGATGTCGGTTCCGGTCCTCGGCGGTCGAGGCGGGCATGACGACGAATCCGGAGAAACGGTGTCGGTAGATGATCATTTTGACCAGGTGTTGTAGCTACGGATAAATCAGCCATACTCACCGCACCACCTGCCTCTCTCCCTGGTGAAAAGAAGTACGACAACCTACACAGTGTAATCGCTCCGCCTGGGTGATCCGGATCGGATCCCGACTCGACGTAGTCTCCTGATCGTACTGCCAGTACTTTGGCAGTATCCTCTCCCATTCATCCAGTAGGTCTTCCTCTTCTCGGAGATCGTGCTGTGTCGAACGGCGCGCGATGGTCGCGGCGGCCCGGGCGAGGAAGGGGGAGGTAGGGAATGAAGAGGGCTGGGTGGCAGCGTCGATCACTCCCTAGATATATCAGCTCGTCCTTGAATGGACCTGGAGGCACGGAGTGAACTGACCTCAAGGATAACATGTAGCCTGATCGCTGCGACAAAAGCGTTCAAGCGAGATTTGGTCTCGTTCGGTTGGTCCGTCACGCCCTCAGGAGTGAGATAGTCGTCGTCGACAATAAGCGGTTCTGTGACGTCGCAATCGCGGAGGTGGATGATGGGCGGTCGGCCGAAAAGGGCTGGAAGGTCAGCTCTCGTCTTTGGATTTCAAAGGGTACAGATAAGCTTACCGGCTGATTGCTTGTCCCACGAGTATATGGCCCAGAAGGTACGCTAAGAGATCAGCTCTAAACATCTACACAGGCGAAGGAGTTGTGGAGCTGACCTTTCTCGTCTCCTTCTCGATCGCATCGAAGTGATCATACCCATCCACACTCCGATGCAGCCCTCCATCCAAGCACAACGTGATACTCTCCGCCTGCAGCGCAAACGCCTTGCTGAGATTCCCCAACCCAAACGCATAGATCGCAGCCAAGAACGCCGCCTGCGTCGAATATAGCGTCGGCCGATCTGCCGCCGGAAGATCCCTCAATCGTTTGAACAGCTCAAAGTACGTTTTGCCAGCCGTGGACGGGTCCGTTGGATTGGCACGTACGCGCGGATCGTCGACGTGTCTGGACGACAAGGTACAGACGGCGACGATGAAGCATGCGAAGCCCGGTTCGCCCCATTGGTTCGGGTTGGCATAGTCCGCGAGGAAGGACGGGACGTGGAGGAACGGCCAGAGGAGGTGAGAGGTGGAGAGGTAGCACCGGACGAGGGTATCCATGAGGTCTGGGGGAATGACCGAGGTGATGACTTTCCAGGATGCTTCGGGGTTGAGAGTCTGGTGAGGCCGGGGAACACGGTCTGGGAAGAACCGAGATTTACCGGCTTGGTCAGGCGCCACAGAGCGGGGACGGGCGGTAGATGAGGACCGGGGCGCGGGGGCGGCGGTACGGCTCCGTGACGGATCTCGAGCGGAGGATCGCTCGGGGGGTGATTCGGTAGGTGGGGAAGTGAGGGCGCCGTTGGAACTTGACTCCTGCTCTGACACATTGGCGGCGGTGAGGAGTGATAGTAGCGGGAAACCAGAAGTGGCGCCTGGAACAATCAGCGGGGTCCAGGCGGCAAGCAGAAACGTAACTGACCCTGCCATTTGGCCATTCCTATCTCATCATGATAGAAGAAACCACCACTGAGGTTCATTCCCTCCAGCTTGGCCGACATCGCTTCCACCCCCGAGGTGTCCGCTGCTTGCCTCCCCATTCCGCCGTCTGATCCACCCGTCCGGCCCAGCCCTGTCCAGCTCGGGGCGAGCGTCTCGCTCCCTCTCTGACCGGTAGCGTTGAGCCCTGTCATTCCTCGCCCATTGAGGGCGCCGTTCGTCGTCGCGCTCGCTACCCATTGTTGCAGTGCTGACGACTGCCCCACTCCCGCTCCCGCTCCCGTCCCACCCGTCAACGCCTCTGGCGCAACGCCCACCCCATCCCCACCTCTCCCTTCCTTCATGCCCACGCCTACACCCCCGCCGAGCCTCGCATCCAAGCTCGACAAGAACGCATTGTGCACATTGGGCGGCACGTCCCTCAACATCGATTCCAGCGCCGCCAACCGCGCCTCCAGCGCCGTCTGATCCCTCCCTGACCCCCCGCCCGGTCCGGTGCCTGGCGGGCTATGCGGCCGCTTCACCCCGCTCGAGGACGCGCTCCGTACGCCCCCATCTTGGACTTTGGGCTTCGTCGTCGTCCTGCGTGACGGCGTGTGAAAGGTGCACTCATTCTTGGTCGCTTGACATGGCCCGCATGGCTGCTGCGTATCGCACCGGATCTTGCGTTTCCGACACCGGTCGCATGCGTGCGCGAGGCGAAGCCGGGGACGTTTGGCGGACCCCTCGGCGGTGTCCCCGCCGCCTTCGCCGCCCTCGTCCCCCTCGGCGTCGTCGTCCGAGTAGTGCTCGGCGATCTCGGCGGGGTGGGCTTCGTCCACGGAGGGCTTGGATTCTGGACCAGCGCTGGGGCCTGGATGGCCAGATGGACCAGATGGGCCAGAGGGGACCACCCGAGGCTGAAGCAGCGCCGGGTCCATACTGATGTATGTTACTATAGTGGGTCTGTGGAGATAGCTCTGGTGAAGAAGTGGATGATAGGTCTGGAGCGATAGCTGGTGTGAGCAGTTATGAGCCAGTCCTGGCTGGGCATGACGTGGGATTATCAGCGAGATAAAGACCTCACCAAACCTTATCAATCCGCCTTGTGGGCTGGCAGTCCATGGATGGACATGATGCATGAGATTCATGAGACGCGCTATGGCAATGACTAGCTACTATACGGTCGGGTCGATACTATAGGATACGAAGCTACGAGAACTATACAACATGGACTGCTTCCTTTCCCTTGCCTTCCACCTCCGCCCATCCCCGCTCATACCCATCCATGAAGCACTGTCTCGCGATATGTCACATCCTCGACCCCTTCGACCGTTGTCAGAATCTCCCTGACCTAATCCGAGTCAGCTTCTATCGCCTCAAAAGGAGATCGATTGAGCTGACCTCGTCTGGCGGACTCAGTCCCCACTTCTGCGCTCGCTCCCACCGCGCGAGACGGGTGATACCGACGCATGGACCATATTTTGCCGTCATGTCGAAAACACGCAAGATGTCTGATGGATCAGCTCAATCGCTCGCGAAAGTATGAGAGCGGTGGTGCTCACGGTGTACGTTGTTGTGCGTATCTGGTCCGGCGTGGACTGTGCGTCAGCGAGAACTCAAGACTGAACTCCATGGAACACAAACACCATCAGACCTCTGCCCTGCATACACACGTCAGGGATGTACACTCACTAGGCGTCTTCGTCCCCATCGCACCCCGCGCGTCCTTCAACGCCGTATCCCACTTCTTGCTCTTGACATCCAACTTTCTCCTCTCGCCCGCCTTCAACGCACTCTCAGGGTGAATCACAACCGCCTCATCCTCGTCCGACGTGACCAGCACCGGATCTCCCTCTGACGCCGCTTGGTCTCGCCGGATATCGTCGGTCGAGACGGATTGGCGAAGGGAGGATTGGCGGGAAGGGGCGGTGGACTTCTTTTTGGAGGGTGAGGGGAGGGAGGGTTTGCGGCTTCGGAATGCAAGTGTGGGCTGTGGGTCAGCATGGAGCCTTGACATGCGGCAGAGCGTCCCAAAAGGTAGGAAGTATGTGAGGAACAGATGATCAGTAGAGGTGACCATGGCGTAAGCGACCTGGCAACTGTGCTATTTGGTCTCTTCGGTTTCTTCTGGTTACTACGAGAAGAGAAAAGACGGCTTACCTGCGCCAGACCAGCTGCCTTCTTCGTCTTCGACCCCCCACTCGTGCTTGCCTTGGGTGCCATGTTGACCTGTTGAATTGGGTACCGGAAAAGGTTGATCGAGCTGGATTTCGCCAGGAAATGAGTTGAAAATTGGTTGGTTCTGGGTTTATCGCTTGACCGGCAAGGATTCAGTATTGAGCGAGGCACTAGGCGACGATGTGTGAGAAGTGTTTGATAGCTTGTTCGCTCAGCGAGGTAGATATGAGGAAGAGAAGAGGGTGACAGAGGATCGAATACATACTGGTCGAAGTCATCGCGTCATGGCAAGCTTCCGCTTTGGGCAAGTTCGTCAGGCGGGGATCACCGGTCTGGAATCGCGTAAGAAGAACACGTGGCTCGGGCCGAGCCCGCCGAAGCCTCCCAGCTCTCCTCCCCACTCTTGTCTTCCTCCTACTTGTCCAGACTTGTCCCCCATTCACAGCAAATCACCGACCGCAAAAGTCCCCGTAGTGGCTTCCGGGCGATTCTCGGGCGCGATTATTGCAAGTCTTCAAAGAGTCTCGGGTATCCTTCCGGTAGAGAGACGAAAGAACATCGGCGCCGAAGCCCCGCGCGCTACACATCCGCAATCTAATTGGCTCAGCTCACCTTCGGCATCCTCGGCACGAGCTCCACCTACCGACCCAGCATGCAGGGCTCAAAGTCCGGCGCCCACAATGCTGCATCAGCTGACTTGTTGCTAATCAGGTACTCTTCCTCCCCTCTATCGCCTCATGAAAGAACAATCCGAAGTCCGCTCGCCGATCATGCCAAGTCATCACCACCCGATCCGACAGCTATTCGGACTGCTATCTTTGGCTGCGGACCCAAGCATTCCTCTGCATACCTCACGTCCGCACGTCCGGCTTTGACTTGCTCAACTCCACCAAGGTTTCTATTTTCAGCCTAGTACTCTTCTTATCTATCGGTCGTGACCGGGATATGCTTGGTATGTCTTGGTGGTGGAGGCGCCTCCGCATTGTCCTGCGGGGTTCAGCTCGAGGTATAAGAGACAAGCTTTGGTGCTCCACTCTCTTCCCCACATCCCCAAATCATCTGAACACGATGCCTTCTGCTACTACTAAACTGACCGGTACTCCGCTGGCCATTGACCACGACATCAAGCAGGACGTGGTACACGATGACGACCCCGAGGCGAACGAGCACGAGGTCGACCTCAAGGGCGGCCAAGAAGAGCTCAGGACGTTTGATCCTGCTTTCGTCAAGCGGACTCAGCGCAAGGTAAGCCATCACTTCCCTGGGCTGTCTGTCTTCGCTTGAACCCAGACTAATTCACAGCTCGACCTGCTGCTCATCCCCCTCTTAACCATGGTCTACCTCTGCTCATCCCTCGACAAGTCCAACCTCGGCAATGCAAAGACCTTGGGTATGGTCGCCGACTTTGGCGGTGACGCAAGTGGCGACAAGTACGCCTTGCTCAACGCGTTCTACTATATGAGTTACGCCCCTTTCAGTACGTCCAATCTCTAGCTTCTGACGCTTCTCTTATACTGATCATGCAGTTGTCCCTCTTGCCATCCTGGCGAAGCGGACTCGAATGGGCAAGACCCTCGCGTGCTGCGCCGTCTTCTGGGGTATCGCCGCCACTGCCTTCGCCGGCGTTAACAACTTTGCCGGTGCCAATGCCTGTCGGTTCCTCATCGGTCTTGGAGGTTAGTCTGCCTTTCATACCTTCACCTTCTTCGCATCCCTCATCCCAAGGTCCCGTGGCTGACAGGCACAGAGGCCGGATACGCCCCCCTTGTCCAGCTCTACCTATCCCGTTTCTACTCCCGTCAAGCTCTCGGCTCCCGAGTCGCCTTCTGGCTAGCTATGGCCCCCATGGGGTAAGCCAACCCTCCCTCACTATGCGGGAGTATCTCTGACCCAGTGCAGAGGCTTCATCAACGGAATCATCGCCTACGGTGTCGCCTTCGTCACCGGGCCCCTCTCACCCTGGAGGGTCCTCTTCCTCCTCGAGGGTGGGCTCACACTCATCGTCGCCATCGTCGCGGTCGTGATCCTTCCCAACGACATCCCATCCTTCCGCTACCTTACTGCCGAGGAGAAGGACTACAGTAAGTACAGTCCATCTTCAGCCTGTTAAGGGCTTCTTGTGCTGATTCATCTCAGTCATGTATATGCGCGCCATGGACTATGGGACTGAAGTACCCAAGATCAACTGGTCTCACGCTCGCGGCGCTTTCTACCGATGGCAGCAGATCACGCCCGCCGTACGTACCAGTCTTTCACCGTCCCGTTGACACACGAGCTGACGTAGACAGTTCATCAATATGGCTCATCAGACCATGGGCGCAGCACTGGGAGCTTACCTCCCGACCCTCATGGCCGAGAACGGCTTCAAGGTCAGCTCATTCTACTTCTTGATTCATACGGAATATGAGCTAATCATCGTAGGGTGCCAATGCCCAGATCGCCACTCTGGGTCCGTACGGTGCTGCTGCTGTCGTAAGCCTCTCCTCTCTGCCGTCCTACCCGGAAGCTGACATTTCTAGTCCATGGTTATCGGTGCCAGGATCTCCGACCATTACAAGAACAGAGGCTGGGTCGTCCAATTTGGCGGTGTCCTCTCGACCATCGGTTTCCTCATCTACCTCGTCGTTCCCTCCACTAATCACCCTGCTCGTTTCGCCGCCCTCATTCTCGCTGAAGTAGGGCACTACAGTAAGTCTCGCCTGGACGACAGGAGGAACACTGCAGAGACCAAGCTGACATTCCAGTCGCGGTCCCCTTGCTCACTACCTGGGTCGCCAACAATGCCGGAAACGAATCCCGCCGTGCCATCGCCGTCCCGTGGGGTGTCTCTCTCGCTGTCGGACCAGCGTACGTTGCCTTGACCACCTCCTGCCCCACCTTGACGCGTTCTTGCTGACGATCAGTGTCGGCTCAGGCTATCTCTTCCCGGCCAAAGACGGACCCGTCTACGTCCTGGGCTCCGCCATCTGCGTCGGCCTCTCGGTCTTCTCATCCGTCGTAGCGGGCATCTACCAGTTCCTCATCTGGCGCGAGAACAAGCGGAGGGACGCGGAAGAGGGCGGGCCGCCCGCGCTTGGGTTCAGGCCGGACGTGCAGACTTATGCGGATGAGGCGCCGGGGTATAGGTACATCGGATAGGCTTTGTTGAGTAAGAGAGAGATAGAAGATGGTGGGAGGGTAAGGAGAGGAGAGACGGTGGAGGGGTTTCTGGTCTGTCTTGTATATGTTTGCTGGTCTTGATCGGAAGAAGAAGCTTGTATTTGGAGATGAAACGAGTATGAAGCACCGTATGATCCGCTGATGTCTGTCGCCACGACCACTAGGATGGTTCAGTAAGCAGAATTCGGTACGATGGGACAGAAGACCAGATACCGCGCCGATACCGAGCTCGAGTCGTGAGGGCACATACAAGACGATTGCATAGCTCTCCACCTTTAGATACCGCACAATGTCCACGCTAGCCCACAACACTCTACCGGTACCACTGCGCCACTATACTGTCACCATCCTAGTTGCGGTGCGAGCCGGTAGACTTCATCGAGGTGATCTTGTGGAGGAGTTCGTGCAACTCTCGAGCGGCCATCTCGGAGGTCTGTATGTCAGCTCATGCTCGACCGCGGGAAAGCAGTGAGCATAGAGGCTAGCAGGGCCAGAGACTTACAGGCTGGGAACGACGGGCGAGGCCGATAGACTCCATCAACTCGGAGAGCTTCTGCGTCTACATCATCAGCCAAAGCCGCAAAGAAGGAGGAAGAGTAAGACTCACGTCGGTGTGCCCAAAGTCACGCTTGCCGAGCAGACCACCGCCGACGATGTTACCGAGGAGACCGTCCGATTTGACACCACTCTTGCGGGAGCCGGTCAAGCCGCCGAGCTGGTTGAGCTGACTGAGCTGGTTGAGCTGGTCGAGTTGCTTGAGCTGCTTGAGGTCAGGCATCTCTCGGGAGCCGCCAGCGCCGCCGAGTCCGCCGAGGCCGTTGAGGAGGTTGCGAGTCTTGATGCCCTTGAGTACCTTGCTGACAGTCTGCCATGTCAGCCTGGAACCAGAAGTATGAGAAATGAGGAAGGATGCCCACCTTGCCGACCGCGTTCCCGTGGTTCTGACCCATCTCGTAGCCGAGAAGACGCCTCTCCATCTGCTCGTCGTACTCCTCCTCCTCGGATCCGGGCTGGGCAGGCTCGACATCCTCGTCGTTCTCCTCGTCCTCGTCGTCAGCGTACGACGCGCCCTCAAAGCTGTCCTTGACACCGTGGGCGACCTCCTCGTCATGGTCGCGCTTGAGGTTGACGTCGAGCTCGGCCTACAGGTCAGCCAGGGATCAAATACAGAAAGAAAGGAGAAGACATACCACGACGCAGACGGCATCGCGGAGTACACCCTCGTGCCCGTTAGCGTTGCAAGGGATACCCTGGCCCAAACGCGAGAAGGAGGGCACGCCGGTGTGATGACGCTTCAAGTTGAGGTCGATACCGAGTAGCGAGCAGTCGGATCCCGACCAGATACCCCAGCTGCCGGCGCGCCAGCACTTGTCGCCGTTCTTGAATGGGAGGAGCTGGGTGTTGTCCGAGTCGTCGGCGATCTGTTCGTCAGCTATAGACCCGAGCGCAAAGGACAGGAAAGCTTACGATGTTGCAGTCGTTGTGCCACCACCTGCCCCATACGCCGTTCTTGAAGCACCGCTCGCTGTTGGTGTAGCTGGATCGGCCGGCGCCGTTGAGGATGTCAGTGAGATCGAGGGTGTCCCGCTTGAGGTTGACGTCCACCTTGGCCTGAGGAATCAGAAGTAGATCTGCAGGGCACGAAGTGGCCACTTACGAGGAGGCAAGATGAGTCGGTGACGGTCCCGTACCACCCGTCGGACCAGCACCGGTCGCCGTTGGCGAAGGGTCCGTCGTGGAACCACCCAAAGTCGTTATCGGGGCTGAAGCGGGGCTCGGCCCAGTAGTCGGGACCCCAGACGTTGCGACGGCCGAGGTTGAGACCCTTGAGGAGACCGCCGTCTGTGCCGCGGCCGGTAGTGGCATCGACCTGCTCATCAGCAAGTATAGGCGGTTCTTGGAGGAAAGACTCACGTCAACACAGAGGGAGTTCTGGACTATACCGTCTCGGCCGTCCTGGGTGCACCTGTCGCCATTGAGGTACGGGCCGGGATGGTACCATCCGAAACGGTGGCCGTAGCCGTAGTAGGGCTTGTCGAACCATCCGTTGAAGGGCTGAGAGTTGCCATCACCGATGTTGATCTCGGCCTGGACGATTAGCTTAGGTTTACGCAGAGTTTGACTCAAGAAGATGACTTACGATGACACAGAGAGCGTCGATGATAGACCCCTCGCGGTCATTCTGCCAGCACCTGTCGCCCGCCTGGAACGCGCCAGGGTGGAACCAGCCGAAGCCATACGGGGTGGGACCGGTGGGGCGGTAGCCTTGGTCGGAGCCGAGAAGACCGCCACCGAGAAGACCGGAGCGCTTGGTGATCGCCGCGTCAGCCTGAGTGGTCAGCTCAACCACGAAGAAGAAAAGTATGAAGGACTTACGACGACACACAGCGCACCGTCGAGCAAACCGAATTTGCCATCAGCATAGCACGGCTGATTGTCGGCAGGCGGGAAGCCTTGGCGCCAGGTCGAGGCGTCAGCAAAGGCAGGGCTGCAGTGTGCGAGGACCGAGAGGACGCCAAAGAGGACAGAAGTGGTGAACATTGTTGAAATCGTGTATGTGATCAAGCGGGCAAGTTGTAGTTGTCGGGAAGGTCAAACAGGGAAGCGAAGAGACGAAGGCGAAAGCGAAAGCGTAATGCAAAGGGACGAAGGGGAGCGCAAAAGAGCTGTCAAGAGAACAAGTGGTGTAGGTAGAAGGCGAAAGCGAAAGAGACAGCGGACGAGAAGGGCGAAGAGGTCTTCAGCTGGCGATATATACTCTCTTAGGGCCTACAGCTTGTTGTGATCAATATGATCATCACACAGCGGCGTATGGGGCACAATGAGACACCAGACGGGGCTGGACACGCCAGCCCAGGATGTAGTGTTGGCCATCAATGATCCGAGGTCTGTGAAACGCCCCGCCATTGTCTCAAGTTGATCTTTCCGCCGATCGTTCATGATTATTGCGGGTGGATGAGAGTAGCCATCAGGCGTCAGATATGTGAGCTGCATGATCAGGATCACCGAGTCAGAGTGCTCTGAGACCTGCTCAGCACGTCACCGGTCATAGCCGGAAAGCGAGGGTATATGAGCGGTCGATGCGATCCCTCTCCTCCCTGCTGGACCCCTCTCAGGCTCACCGACATACGCGCTGGTGTCTGCGCTTCGCCTTCAGCCATCTTGGTAATGCGCATAGAGTCAAATTTAATGTATGAAGTCAAGGTTCTGTGTGGTCGGAAGCGAAATTTGTCCAAAGTCAAAGTCGCGTCAGCATGAGCTTCACCTTCGCACTCGTCCTCCACCATCTATCACCTTGAATCCACCTATCTTCCTTCTCCGCCAGATCAGATCTCGGCGGAGCTCCCTCTGTCATGGCCACCACCCCGCCGACCGCTCAGGAGGTTGAAGCCGTTCTTGCCAAACGGGCGGCAGCTCATACCAAGCCGACCGATGAAGACCTTCGTCCGATCTACTACTACCTCCGCTCGACCTTTGTATCGGATCGTAATGAGGGCTCTTCCACCTCAGCTACTCAGGCTCCGCACTGGTACTGCGCCAGGACGCCCGATAAGCTTCATCGGGAAGCGGCGATCTACCTGATCTTCCTGTTCGCCTTCAACCGGGTCGAGCGGGCGCAGCTGTGGCTCAAGGAGCTGCAAGGTGTGCTGAGGGGATGTGAGAAGTGCTCCAGGTGCTTTACCTCGGCGAGGAGACGCTTCGCTACCAAGTGAGTGATTGTAACTTTCAACAAACTGGGCTGATTGTAGGTACATGTCCAACTTCCCTCCTGCGGTCCGTACCAATTTCTTCGCGGCTGTGAACCAGAAGCTGGTGGACTTTATTAAGGAGGAGTACACTCTCTGCGCCGAGCCACCAGCCAGTGGGACCACCTCTTCATTGAGTTCGGGTCTCTCGGCGCTCCCGCAGTCGATCGTGCAGCTCTACCTGGGCGAGCCCACCCTGCTGGCCGATCCCAATATGGCGGCCATACTCGACTCCACCATCGACTCGTCGGCCACACCCATGCAGCCCTCGGTCGTACTTCACGGTCTTACTCCCATGGTCGTCGATCTCCTATCTTCATCATCAGCTGTCAGGCGGACATGGGCTCGCGCTCAGCTACCGGCTCTGGCTCGGCAGCCATTGAGCTTTGACGAGTGGTGTAATCTGGGAATAGGCGTTCAGCTACAGGCGATGTATAGCGGGGGAGGAGGACTAGGAGGGAAGGAGAAGTGGGATGTGCTGTCGACGATCGTGGCGAAGGGGCTGTTGAATCAGGATACGGTGGCTCGTGGCATTTTGGACGGACGGAATAGCGTGGAAGAGGGTGCGCGGAACGGGAAGAGCTTGATGGCGGTTCTGGCCCCTTCATTAGGTACTCCAGATGACGGTGAGTCGGTCCTTCCTCTCGGTGTCAAGAGCTAAGAGGCAGAATTCCCTGCTGTTCTCGCCTGCCTCATTGCTCTCCTCCACAAAAGCCCTACGCATCACATATGGACATTCGACACTTCCGCCGAACTACCACATACCCTCTTCTCGGACATCAAAAACAACGAGTCGTTCCAGAATCTCCTCGAAGCCAACTACGGCCCCAGCTCGGACCCGGCGCTGGCTACCGATGTACTCTCGTGGATGTCCGACTACCTCGTATCGCTCACGGACCCCTCGCCCCGGTCAGGGCAGTCGGAAAGTTCAGAAGCAGCCTCGGGCTTCGGAGAAGCATTGGCGAAAGTTACCAGCTTCTGCTTCTCGGAGATGCAGCATACGCGTCTGGATGCGGGCGTCCGTGCGGCTGTGGCGCAAGCGGGGATCAATGTAGGTCTCCCACGACATTCAGAAAGGCGAAAGCTAATAATCAGTCGCTCATTGCGCTTCAGCAAACCGTGGGGCGAGATCATACCCTATCCAGCCATCTCTCCTCATCCCTTGACATTCACGCCTCCGTCATCTCCAGCATCGCCCTGCGCCCAAAAGATCACCCTAGCGCAGCTTGGCAGGCAGCACGAGTCGCCGCGCGTTCCCTTCTCCAGGTCTTCCTCTCCGTCGACGGCAAGGAGATCGCCGAAAGCGCTACAGGACTCGCAACGGTGGCATACGAGGAGCGGGCCAGACTGCGGAAGATCAAGTCAAAGAGACCGGCCGGGCCTCCCGTCAAGGTGGACAAGCTACGTCGCGCGACCATCCGGCGCGAGCTGTGGACCATGGCGTTCAATTCGGTCCTCCCGAATGATCCGTCGGGTGTCGCCATCCTCATGTCGGCTCTCGCGCCATCCTCACATATCGAGTTGCTCGACCGGCAGAACGCCTGGAAGGGCGACGACCTGGTCCAATCCATCAGCCGGGATGACTGGGTCGACGGGGTCCGAGCGGTGAACGCTGGGGTCCAGGCGACCCGAAGCCACTTCTCTCAGGCCATCGAGTCGTTTGCTTTGCAACCGGACAACCTCCTACTCCGATCCCTCTGGGAACTTCCCGGCGTCCCCAAAGTAGGAACTATCCTCCTCCTCTCCCCCGCCGACAACATCCATGATCCCCTCCTTAGCCTCATCTCCCAATCCTTCGAAGCGGACGAGCGGGGCGACTGCTTTCGCGTCCTCCTCACTCGGTACCCTGACCAGGCGGTCGATGGTCTCTGCGATTTCCTATCCAGCTTCATCAGCATCGCTCGGCACTCGCCCGAGTCCTGCTCGTTAGCCAAATGGCTCGTACGGTGCTTTACAGACATCCTTGATGCCTTATGTCAACCAACCGACAATGGCGAACCCCTCCTCAACTCGACCGACTTCTTGTCTACCTACTCCAACAGCCTGAGCATGGCAAATCGCCTTCGCCAGCTCTGGCATCTCATGACCACATCGCTGGCAGTCATCTTCAAGCGGACCCAGGCGTGGGCACCGCTGTTCGAGAACGACGTCATGATCGACTGGATGCGGGACGCCATCATTTTCGGTCGGCAGATGACGGAGCATACTCGGATGTTTGAGGCGGCAGTACTGGGGCAGTCGGGATCTACCTTTGTGGGCGGGGTGAGCGAGAGCCCGCTCAAAGTGACTAGGGCAGGGAAGGATCTGGTCAGCAAGCTGCATCTTGTGCTTGTCGACCTAGTCTCATGGCTCCGCTTGACCGAGTAAGTTGCGCGCAGAAGCAGTCGCTATCAAGCTGAAAGGCAGTGTCGAGACCCTTCACCAAACCTTCGAGCTCCTGAAGGACATCCTCGAGCGGATCAGCAAGACTGAGCCGGATCTCGCAAAGGCGCCAGAGCTCGAGAAGGCGTTACTGGAGCTGGACAAGTTCTGCCGGAAAGCCACGAAGAGCTACACCAGTCGGCTGTCGGACGACTTGCTGTCGGAGCTTTCGGAGCTGCTTGCACCCTTCAACCTTCCCGTCAGCGATGACGAGGAGCGCTTGCTCAGAGGTGTGGGCAACATCTCGATACCAACATCTGCGGGCTCTTCATCGGCGCCAGAGATGCTCCCACCCAAATCCACGGTCCGCGAGAAGCCAAAGCCGGTGGGCCGCAATGCCTTTGAGGAGATGATGAAGGGAGCCAAGGGCGGAAAGCCGTCATCGAGCCTCTCCAAATCCTCCACCCCTTCCCGCCCCTTGGCTCCCTCCAGCAAGGGCTCTTCGTCGAAGCCCATCAGCATCGACGACTTCGACGAGGATGACGACTTCTTGTCCAACCTCTCGTCCAAGGACCTAGACATCATTGAGAAGCGGGCGCAGACGGCGGTCTCCACCGGGAAGCCTATCGCTGGCCACTCTGCCCGCCCACCTGTACCCAAACCTACCGTTCCGGCGCGTCCACAGTCGAAGCTCAACGTCAACGTCGTGCCCAAACCTTCCGCTCCGAGCGGAAAGACTGGCTACAAGACCGCCTTTATGAAGGATCTTCGCAAGGAGCACTCTATGGCGGAGCGCAATCGGGTGCCCGTCGGCGGGGTTACGCCCCGCCTACCAGGAGCGTCCAGTGCCGGGACGGGACTCGGCGCGTATCAGCCGGTCAAGCCAAAGACGGCGGTCAAGGTGGATTCGGGCTCGAGCGCCAGCGAGTCGTCGGACGAGGATGATCGAGGCGGACTCAGCCAGCTCATCAAAAAGCAAAAGTCGCCGCTCAAACCCGCTAAGACGGTCAACGCTCCTCGGACTATCCGGATCCTCAACAACCCAGAGCTCGACGCGCTTCGGAGGCGGGAGGATGACCGGGCTCGCAAGGCTCGGATGAAGGCTCGGCTGAAGCCTGATCTCAACCCCTTATATCGCTACGTCCTCGGCTGGAACCCCTCCCATACCGGCCAGGACGTCCCGCACAGCGAGGCTACTCGCCGGATCCTCCACCCGCCTACCATGGTGCCGAACGCGTTCCCTTCAGCGCAACGATACGAGCAGGTCATGCTGCCCATGTACTTGCAGGAGCTGTGGCAGCAGGCTCTCAAGGGAGAGGGACATACAGCTCCTCTGGTCATCGAGGTGACATCCCGTTCGTACGAGGACGACTTCCTCGATCTCGAGGTGGCGGTGGCGGGGCAGATGCCTGAGCGGTTCTCCCTGAACGAGTCGGACGTTGTCGTACTGGTCCAGGGTGGGAACCCGAACAAGGTGTTTGCCAAGGTGCAGGGGTACAGACGGCGATTCAAGGATGCCGGAATTAAGCTGCGGATCCTGCAGTCGATGGATCAGAAGGATCTCGGAGGGAAGAATAAGTGGTTCTTGCATAAGCACCTCTCGTGAGTGTCATTGTACGGGAATAGGCAATTGCTGACGATCAGGCTAAGCACAGCACTTCGGGAGTTTGCAGCTCTGCGAGGTCTGCCATACTACGAGCCCGAGATTCTGCGGGATATTCTGGCCGGGCGTAGCGCTCAGCTTCCGCGACTGTCCGAATCCGACATCCGCAAGGCGATGACCGCGTATGAGGTCAACGAGCCGCAAGCTAAGGCTATTCTGGGCGCGACCAGTGTCGATGGCTTTGCGTTGATTCAGGGGTGCGCTTTGTCTCTAATAGCTGGCAAGCCAGGGGCTGATGAAGCAGACCTCCGGGTACCGGCAAGACCAAGACAATCAGCGGTCTCGTCGGCAAGTGGATATCAGAACGGCCAAACATGATCGCCATCTCTGGCGAAAAGGTCAAAAAGTCCAAACTCTTGGTCTGCGCGCCGAGTAACGCCGCTATCGACGAGGTGTGCAAGCGCCTCATGAATGGCGTCCCGACGAGCAACGGCGGGCGCACCCAGCCCAACCTCGTCCGTATCGGCATGGACTCGTCTGTCAACGACGCCGTCAAGGATCGGTCGCTCGATAACCTCGTCGAAGCTCGAGTCAGCAGCGGGATGGCCGGTAAAGCGGGCGGAGGAGGCGAATATGGGCGCCTCACAGCGGAGCTGGACGAGGTCAAGGAGTTGATCAAGACCAAGCAGGAGCAACTGCACAAGATCTCGCAGAACGACGAGGGTCGGCGGCTCGTCGAAAACGAGTTCCACAGTCTCGTCACTCGGCGTACCCAACTCGGTCAGGCTGCCTCAAAAGCCAAGGATGCTGCTCGGGATGCTACAAGGCATCTCGAGGGTGCTCGAAGGGCAGCCAAGGAGGCGATTCTGGACGAGGCGGATATCGTCTGCGCTACCCTGTCGGGATCCGGACAAGATGTGCTGGCGGCGTACGAGTTTGAGACGGTGATCATTGACGAGGCGGCCCAAGCGATTGAGATGAGCTGTCTTATCCCGCTCAAATATGGGTGTAAGCGGTGCATCATGGTTGGAGGTCAGCCGTCATTTCACTCGATGTTGAGTCTTGCTCATACTGCAGATCCTAATCAGCTACCTCCTACCACCTTCAGCACGGACGCCGAGCGCTTCCGCTACAACGAGAGTCTGTTTGTCAGAATGGCCCGAGTCAATGCGCAGAACATGCACCTCCTGAGGTGAGATCACTATGCTCAAACAAGTACATAGCTGACTTTCTAGTATTCAATATCGGATGCACCCCTTCATCTCCGAACTCCCCTCCAAGGTCTTCTATCAGTCCCACCTCAAAGACGGCCCCGATATGGCCCAAAAGACAGCTGCCATCTGGCACAGCCGCCACATCTTTGGTCCCTACCGCTTTTTCAACGTCAACGGTGTCGAGAGCAGGGCGGGCACGTCGACCAAGAACGCGGACGAGGCGAGCACCGCTGTCAGCCTGTACCGTCGTCTCGAGGAGGATTTTGGGTCGAAGATCGACTTGGCAATGCGAATCGGCGTGATCACCATGTACAAGGAGCAGCTGTTCGAGTTGAAGCGGGCATTCAACGCAGCATTTGGCGCGGCCATCCTCCAGCTCATCGAGTGAGTCTGCACGATCCTGATGAACGAGTCCAGCTCACGTCTCAGGTTCAACACTGTCGACGGATTCCAAGGCCAAGAGAAGGACATCATCATACTCTCCACCGTCCGATCCGGGCCGAATCTCAACAGCATCGGTTTCTTGAGGGACGCCAGGCGAATGAATGTTGCTTTGACTCGAGCAAAGAGCTCTCTCTTTGTCATCGGGAATGCGGCTACGCTGGAGCGGGGAGATGAGAGATGGAAGACCATCGTGCAGGATGCAAGGGAGAGAGGCTTTGTGGTCGACGTAAGCCTTTCCTACTCTGATGTGGTGACGGCGACTGATCTCCAGGTGACACCCTCCACCTTCGCTGCAGGGGCAGTAGTACCCTCGGTTGCGGTAGAGAAGAAGGTGAAGAAGGAGCACCCTCCCACTCCCGATCGGAAATCGCGCGTATCGAGTGCCAACACCGCGCCTCCCGCGTCCGTTACCGCCGTCGCCTCCCCGCTCAAGCGCAAGCCCAGCGAGACGTCTTTGCGCGATACCAAAAAGCCAAAGGTCGAGGTCAAACCAAAGCCAAAGCCCACTAATGGCGCCAACTCGGATACCTCCACCTCATCCTCTTCCAGCTATTCGTCTGGCAACGCTCCCTCGGCCAAGAAGGCCAAACCGGCCAAGCCGGAACCCAAACCACCGACTACTTCTCGTCCCATCCCCCAGGGTCCCGGCGTACCGACTGGTCCCAAGTCCATGCAGCCAGTCCACAAGCCCCTCGCATCCGCTGCGTCTTCCTCTCTTCCTGCGGCCCGCCCGCCACCTCCCTCAAATCCCCCGCCTACGCGACCAGCTCTGCCACCTCCTCCGCCACCAGATCAAAAGTCACTGGCCTTTATCAAGAAGAAGAAGGTGAGTCAGCACACAAGCTTAGCTTACATCCAGAAACGACCACTCCCAAATGGCGATAGCAACATCGTCCAGCCACCACCGGTACCTGCGGGAACCGCACGACAACAACTGAACGACATATACCGCGGCCCAGGCCGACGACCATGATCACTATCATGCCTCACACGACCACCACATCAAATATTAACATGACACACGCATCGTCACCTGTACATAAACCAGTCACCTCAGCATACGTCGCATACAGATCGACTCATCCGGAACCTAGCATATGCATAGCAGCTATCATGGACTAGTAGGTAAGATTGCCTTCTCCGACACGCTCAGGCCGCTACTCCCCTGGCCGATAGCCAGCTTGGCTTCTCTCGCCTTTCTCACCCTCCTTCTCTCCCTGTCTTTCTGCATTTGCTCCACTTGCTCAGGTGTGAGATCCATCAGTCGCAACTTTGTTTTGAGGTTCTCCTTCTCAGTCCCTTTTCTCTCTTCCCGACGATGCCTCCTCTCTTTGTCAGTCCTCTCCTCCTCCTTCGAAGCCTTGCCCGGGCCCCCTCCCGTCTCCTCGGATGCCGCATCATACTTATCACGCCTTTCTTTCCTCCTCCCGTCTGCTGTATGACGATCAGAAGCAGCCTTGACGCCAGACAGCCCGGTCTCCTTCCTCTCCCTCCCAGCCTCGATTGCCACCTCCCGCTGATGATCTGATTGCTTCTTGTCTACCTCTACTGACGATCGACGAGTTCTTGCCTTTCCCTCTCTTTCCGCTCTACTCCCGTCACTGACCCGAAGCGCGCTGGTCATAGCAGAGCTCGCCTGCCGGCTCACGGTATCATCGACCCTGTCGCGCGCACTGCGCTTGGCCTTGGCTTTGTCCGGCTCGGTCGACGCTGCTGGAGCTTTCCCGATGGGGGCTGTCCGCGGTGGGTCGGGGATTTGCTCCTTCCCGCCATCGAAACGGATGACGCCGTACGAGCCGACTGACGAGGACCGCCTCGTCGTTCGAACGCCGTCGCCGGCGGCAAGAGCTTGACGGGCAGCCACGACGTCCTTTGTCAGCTTGGGCGTGGGATCCGGTGGCGATGGCTGTTCTGACCCAAGTTCCGTCATCTGCGAGTACACTGACGTGGGAGATAGGTCTTGGTCAGCGGGGGAAGGGAGTGGCGGCTTGACCTTTTGTTCGACCACTGCGGGTCTGGAGCGTAGGAGTTGGGACCGTCTCTCATCCTTCAGCTTCTCGACCGCTGCTCGCCCATCTTTCTCCGCGGTTGGCGTGACTGGTGCCTTTCCGACACGGGCATCGCGCTTCTCCGCTTTGGGGGTGGGCGCCGTATCTCCATCCACTGATGGAGTGCTGGACCTATCGACCTCAACTAAAAGACCTCGCGAGACCGTTGCGTCTTCATTCCCACTGGTTGTTACACCTCGCCCACCTGACCTTCGATCCTTCGTCCTCTTCTCTCCACTCCCTGAGCCCTCTCTTCCCTTTGCGGTGGCAGACTCGACGGCCCGTGCCGCTGGGCCAGGACTCAGGCGCCCTGCTGTCTCTACTTCCCGTCTAGGCTGCTCTCTGCCTGACTTTTGGCTGACCATCTTCTCACTGCCTCTTTCACTCGCTTGACGCAATCGGTCCTCACGCCTCGCAGCCTTGGCCTTCTCGGCGATCTTTCTCGCCTCCTCCTCCGTTGACGCAGGGCTAGGCTGGATAGACTGGGCTCCTTCTGCCTTTGATCGCTTTGGTAGAGAGCTAGCAGAGCTAGAGTGATCCTTCGTCTCGCCAGCTGAGCTGGCCTTCTCCGATCTGGTAGTCGTTTCCAACCTAGGCGCTGTTTTCAATGCTCGTCCACCGGCTCCCTTTTCGCCGCTGACTTGCTGTGAGTTGGGATCTGCAGTACCCTCCTTAGTCCGAGCCCCAGCTGTGGGAGCTGGCGAGCTACCAGCTGACTCATCTCGTTCCTGCCCCGTCGACTTCGCCTTCGACTTGCTGTCCCCTCCCTCCCCGAGCACCGGAGGACTGGCTCCCTCTTCCTTCCGACCCGCCACCTTGCGCTCATACTTCGCTCTGACATCGGGCGACATCTCCGACAGCTTGGCTGGAGTGTCTGCACATGCGGTGGAGTCTTTGACACGCCGCACAGGTCTTTTCGCACCCTCGGGAACCGGGACAGCGGTATGATCATCAAGCGCGCCGTCGATGGCTTCCTTTGTCTTGCCCTTTTTGACTTCTCTTTCTGTCGGCTTTACAGAGCTACTCTCCGTTTCTCGGGCTGCTGCCGCCACATGAGGGGTCTTCTCATTACTATCGGCGATTGTAGTACTGACTTTTGACGCCGACGGAGTTGGGCCAGACTTCAAGCCCTCAGGCGCAGCTTTATCGGCAGACTCCTGAGCGGACAGTTCCCTGACCCGCCGATTGGGATCTTCACTCTTGATGGCTATCTTGGTGGTATTCGTGCTCTCACTGTTGAAGGCGGCTTTTTCGCTCGCCGCTGGATCTGTGGAAAGCATCGGCTCAGCTTTCTGCCGAGGGGAGGATCTTGGCCGGTCGGATGCTGGAGGCTCGGTAGCTGACTTACTAGCTTCCTGGCCTCGACTTATTGCCGGCCTAGTTGACTGAGCGGTGCGAGCAGAAACAGCCTGAGGTACCGCAGCAGCAGCCTTCGCGGTCGCCTCCGAGAACAACGCCATCGCTTCTGCCCGAGCTTTTGATTCTTGCACATGCTTCCAGACGAAAAAGCCTAACACGACGAACGCAAGCTGCTCGTGGACTGACAGTCAACCTTCAATCTTATCACTGACTACTTCGAGACAACTCACCGAAGAAGAGCAAAGTGCACAGCATTCCTTGGGTCACCCAGGTCGCCTTCTGTCTGCGGGATGTCAGCTGTTTCCGCTCTAATGTCACAAGGAGATCTCACACTTTGGGATCCACTGCCGGCGGCATTTGTATCGTGGGGAGAGCTGGCACAGCTGCTCGACCCTTCTCCTCTTTCGCCTTGGCCGCCGCCTTCGCCTCTTCTTTCGCTTTTTGCGCCGCCCGTACCTTCGATTCTTCACTTGACTTGTCCTCGCCTTCTTTCGACCTTCCGTCCCTGTCTGCTGAAGCTACCTTTCCTTTATCCTCACCTCTGCTGACATCGCCGACCTTTTTGGCTTCCTTGTCACCGGTCACGGGGGGTATCTTTCCATCCACCTTCTCCAAAACCTTTCTCCCATCTTCAACTGACGGCTCAAGCTTCTTGTCACCCTTCTCACCCGGGACGCCTGCCGGTCCACTGTCCGCCTCCTCCCCCGCTCGTAGGGCTTCAGGCTCTTTGGGTATCTTGGGCGTCGCCATGATATGATCCGCGTCCTTCGGAACGTTGCCCCACCATAGTGTGTTCCTCGGCTCCTGGGGTTTGGGGTGCAGACCATGCGGGAAGGGGACAAGGGCAGGTCGCCACCCCCGCATGGTCATGAAGTAGTTGTGGTGGATGTTCTTCTTCTGTCGAGGCTTCTTCTTTGACTTTTTGAGTACTGATTTGAGCTGACGTGTCTCCCCAGCCATCAGGTCGTCGTCGGGAGGCGGCGAAGAGTCAGAGTCGGAGGGCAAGCCAGTAACGGCTGTCGGGGTGGGTGTCGACGGGATGGATTCGGCGGAAGCGTCAGTGACTGCAACGGGCACCGCCAGCTTGAGCTTTTCTCGCTCATTCTGCAGGTCGCGGAGTCGGGACGCCCTCTCGGACTCGCTCAGACCGGTGTCGGCTTTGACTGCTGCCATCCTCCCCTTCAGCTTCTCGAGTTGCTTCTGTTGTTCGGGACTGGGAAGGGCGTTGGGCTTGGCCGATGCAGTGGCTGCCTGTGGGGCCGCTGTGGCAGGCGCTGATGCCTGCTGGGCCACCTTGAGCTTCCTTCGCCCGCTATCGAGCTCCGCCAGCTTCTTGGTCCGTTCCTCATCGCTCAGCGTGGTATCCGCCTTGACCGCTACCATCTTTGCTTTCAGCCTTTCCAACTGTTTCTGCTCTTCCGGGTCCGGACTGGGTGGCGCAGTCGCCCCCTTGCCACCTTCTGATGAGCGTGTTGTGACCTGATCACTCGTGATCCCCCCGCAATGGTCCCTGGAGGCGGTACTTTGCCCAGGTGTAGATACGGGTCGAGGCGCCTCCTTCCCCTTCCCCTTAAGCTGCCGCTTCATCTTCTCATACTGACTCATCTTCGCCGCCTTTTGTTCCTCACTCAAGCGAGAGTCCGCCTGTACAGCCGCCATTTTGACCTTCAGCTTTTCTAGCTGCTGCTGATCAGAGCTGCCAGCGTCGACCGCGCGACTGCGCTCAGGCAGGACTGACGTATCACCAGACTTCTCCGGGCCAGGCTGGCCAGATGCCAATTTGGCCTTGAGCTTCTGCCTCTTCCCATCCAGCACTTTCAGCTGCATGACCTTCTCCTCCTCTCCCATCGTCTCATCTGCCTTTATCTTCGCCATCTCCCGCTTGACTCGCTCCATTTCCTTGGCTATGATGGCCTGCTGTTCCGCCGAGACGGACGGTGCTTTAGCCTGTGCTGAAACGTCGGCAGCTGCCTTCGCACTGTCCGTTCCTGACGCCTCGAGACCTCTAGACCGTGACGCCGAGGGCTCAGACTTTGCCTCTCGCATCTTCTTCTCGGGCGTGGCAACCGCGACTGATGCCTCTCGCATTTTCTTCTCGGCAACCGCGACTGATGAACGCGCCTCTGGAATCTTTGTTTCGCGCGAAACTGTGGAATCATCTGGGTGATGAGGGGTCGATGTAGTCGCAGGGGTCCGATCTTGCCAAGGCGGCCAGAATAGGTCCCAGGACGTTTTGATGTTTTTCTTGACATCGTGAGGGATCACCAGGAGTATCACGTTGACAGCTAGGAGGGCTACAAGTATCGTAGTCATGTCAAGATGCTGTTTCACCCATGTAGCTAGGCTGAACAGTAGGCTAATGGCAAGATCGAGGGTGGCGCTGCCCGTGACTAGGTGTGGCGAACTGATGGAAGCGGCCAGGGGCAGGGCTGCCGCCGCAGTGGCCGATCCTTGAAGAGCTGGGGACGTGGTATCGTTCTGATGGGATACCATTGGTCCCGCTAGAGGAGTATGTGTCGCGGCTATATGAGGAGGTGTCTGTCCAGTCTTGATCGCTGTTACTTCAGCGCTGTCCAGATATCCCGACGGGAAAGAGGGCTCACCTAGACCCAAGATCACCGCGGCGGTGACGAACTCCTCCACTGGCCCGAACAGTCTGTCAACAATCAGCGCAGCTCGACGTGGCTCCACCAAAGCCAGTCTCACCGATTGTCGTCTCGCTGGAGGAAAGAGCGGATTGCTCCGCCCACTTGACGCTTGTAGTGCGGTATCAGCCGTAAGGGGTGCAGGAACACGGGAAGCTCTTTGGGCGGGAACTCGAATTGGGGCAGCTTCGGCCACTCCGGCCATAACATGGTGAGCTGATATGGTGGATGTATGAAGACAGACTATCTTTGCATGATCCGTTGACTTTTGGACGGGATCTGGAAGAAAGGATGCGAAGGAGGGCTTGAGCGAAAGGAGGAAGGTCCGCTCGTCGATATGCGTGGGCAGCGCGCGGGGAGTGGTCTGCACATCTAGCACGTGTACTTGAGATGAAAGGAGATTCATTATTCGCCAGCTACCTAGCTACCCGGTCGCTGTGACTGATTGCGAGGATTTGATCTGCGTATGAAGCTCCCCTTCCTACGCCATCGCTCCGACCACAACTAGCACAGCCCTAAGAGTGACTCCAGCGTTTCGGTGATCCCATCCACCTCCTTCGCCTCGTCCAACCCGATCAGCGAAATGTCTTGGTCGGAATCGACCATAACGGGAGACGAATCGGTTTGTGGCGCTTCAAGCTCTTGCTGTTCTTCCTCGATCTTCATGTGAGGCGCGGAGGGTTTAGCGATCTGGATCGGTTTCTTAAGGATGTATGGGGATTTGAGGGCATCGGTCGCTGAGACTCGGGCTTCGGGGTCGAATTGCAGGAAGCCGTTCAAGAAGGCCGCAGCTATCATCAGCCATGTCGGGGGGTGATACTCACAGGTCGGATTCCAGAATCTACCAAGGATATCGGTGTAGCCCTTCGGAGTGTACCACGGCCACGACGCGTCTTCCACAGACCAAGGCTGTAGAATTCAGCGATGTCGATTGAAGGAGACTGGCGTCATACTTACCAGAGCTGCCAGTCGGCGGCTACGTTCGAGCTCCTGATGGGACCCCCGGAAATCGAATACCCCGATTACCTGTTTGATGAGATGACGCCGTCTGCTCTGAAAGAGCGGCTCCCCTCGAAGCATCTCAGTGTATCTGGACATCAGCTGGGCACTGATCCTAGCATACGAGCCACGACCGTAGCTCACATGCACCCGGCACTCCAGATGTCATACTCTGTCCCATATGAGATGGAGCCGAGATGGACGTCGGGCGGCCTGTAATAAGGGATGCCTTGCTGGGATATCAGCTATGTTGCGCCATGGGAGATTCTGCGGCTGACCAAGTATCGCTCATTGACTTCGCTCGCATTGATGGCCCTTCCGAAATCCGATAACTTGAGGGTTGCGTCGCCATTCTCATCGTCCTCGACGATGAGCCGCTTAGGCTGGATTTCCCGATGAATGATGCCTTTCGAGTGGATCCACTCCAGTCCCTGATACGATCAGGAAACTTTGTGAGTTCGTGAGCTGGTACACTTACCGAGAGTAGCTGGGTCATAAGACTCTTGACTGTAGCTTCGGGGAGTCGACGGTCCTCATACAGGTTCTGATAGGCATCGAGCGGACGGCCGTCATCCTGCGGGTCAGACGACAGTCAGTGACCGCACTCACCCTCAGCATTCTGACCGGTGGGTAGCCCGGATCGTCCAGAACAGCGACGTGACCCCGGATGGAAGGATGAGAGTGGTCGGGAGCGGTCTCCAATTCTACAATCTCAGCGATGATCTTGACATGCTTGCGCGTGATTAAGGGGTCACTTTTCAAGAATTCGACTTCTCGCCTCAGTCTCGAGCGTGATTCGACTGATCCATCTCCTTGAATGACGACGTAGGAGATATTATGGGCTCGATTCTTTGGCTATGCGAGTCAGCTTGCCCGGAGTCACCCAGTCTCACCTTGTACACCTTGACGTTCCCGCGTTCGAATCGCAGCTGGTGGTGGGGAAGCAGGGCGGCGAATAGCTCATTGAGCGAGAACCCCTCGGCGCCGTCAATTGGCGGTAGCTCATTGACCGCATCGGATACCGCGGTACTGTCAAGCTTGGGAGGGGTAAAGGGCTCGGCGGAGGGGTTCAAGAAGGCCATTTTGTTGATCAGGGGGACAAGAGCGGTGTAGAAGACAAGATTATGATGGTATGATCATGGAGTCAGGACGGCATAAAGAGCCCCTTCATAGCTGGGACTCGTCGAGAGGTCCAAGCTGGGGCGGTGTTCCAGAAGCGGCTGCCACAGAAGCGTGAAACACGCGGGGCCGTGCGCCACTTTCAGGATGCTTCTGTGCCACACTCAAAATGCCACGTCATGCCGTCTGATACCTCCACTTCGGCCCAACTCCTCATTCCTCGTTGGACCGCTCGCTCCTCTCTTCTCCCTCTCTTTCTCGGTAAATGGTTCGAGCTAGAGTCTTGACTGGACCTTGGCTCGGCGCGCGTCTCAAGCAGTATCGAACAGTACGGAATGAGAATATCAAAGCGAGCTTGAGGTACATCAGTCGCTCCGATACAAACCAAGCAGAAGCTGATGTTATGGTAGCGCTCCATCAATCAACGTCGGGATGAACGGCTCATCCTACCCGTACGGCGGTGATCCTTACGGCTATAACGACAGGCCATCGTCTTATGATCGGACCCCCGCGCAAGGCAGTGCATACGCTCGTCCATCGCAGGAAGCTGGTCCATCACGTCAGCCATACGAATCTCCTGCTCCCTCGTACGCCTATCAACCCTTCCAATACCCTTCGCAGGACACGCAATACTGGGAGGCCCCAGCCTATCGGCGTGTACGATCTCAACCTGTCCCGCAGTCTGCGCCGAGATATGACTATGACCGCTCAGCCACCTCTTCGTACGCGCCCGAACCGGTACGGACACAGCCTGGGCATGATCACTTCTATGGCTCCGATGCTGGGCGGAGCCGTCACGGCTGGGACTCCAGAGAGGGACGGGCGGAGTATGATGGTAGAGATGTGGGCAGGAACTATCGCGAGCGCTCCGTCGGCGGGCTTGGGCAAGGGCAGAGGTCATACTCCACCCAGACGGACCCTCCTCGGTACCCCTCTCGGCACGAGGATCGCCAACGAGCGGAGCAGGAACGAGTTGCTTCACCTCCCCCTCGTCCACCCAATGACCCTCCGGCGGATCGTCGCGTTACTCAGCTAGGCGGTCTCGCTGCATCAAGCTCCTACGTCCCTCCGCACCGGCGGGGACACAGTGCGCCCGAACCGCAAGTCAAAACCGAACCTTTACCTCCTCCTACCATGGCACCGGCCGGCCCCTCCACCCCTGTCCCCCCTCCACGTCAAGATACCTCGTTTGGCACTCCCACCATGTCATCGGTGGGAGATACATCCTTTGACACTCCACGGCAATCCGCCGGGAGCGCCGACTTCGTCGTCACCCTCCCCTCAGCCGAATACATCGCTCTTTCCGACCCCAAAACTGCTCCTCCGCTCCGGGAAGGCCGTGGGTCATCCACAAAGCTCTTGGTCCTGGACCTCAACGGCGCCCTCATCTTTCGAGACAAGAAGAGCGGAAGCCGCCGGACCTCCTATCCCCGCCCATATCTTGGAGCCTTCCTGGACTATCTGTTCCTCCCGGAACCGAATGCCAAACTGCCGGCGTACCGCCCATGGGAAGTGTACGTGTGGAGCTCAGCGCAGCCGGGGAATGTCCAACCGATGGTGGAGTCTTCGTTTGGGGAGAAGTATATCGAGGGAATCTGGAGGAAGGAGACAGACCAGGCTAGGGAGAAGAGAGAGAAGAAGGGTGAGGGAAGATTGTTGGGTGTCTGGGCGAGGGATAAGCTTGGGCTGAGCTCGGTTGACTACCGTACGTGTCCAGATATCGAGCCTGTATCGGTGGCAGTGTAATTTCAGCTGATACTTCTAGGCCAAAAGGTTCAAACCGTCAAGGATCTCCGTATTCTCTCCAAGCACCTCCTCACCGCGCTCTCTCTCGATCCCAGCGACTGCCTGAACCACCTTCGATTCGACGAGACCAATATGGTCCTCCTTGACGACTCGCCACTCAAGGGCGTTCGTCAGCCATGGAACGAGGTCGTCCTTCCCGAATATGACGGGGATGGGTATCAGAAGTCTAGACTCGCGGCGCTGAAGGGCGAGCAGGACGAGGAAGTTATTCCAGAGGGGATGGACACCGCCCTTCTTTGCGTCATCGGCATCTTGGACGAGATGCGAGTCGTGCGCAATGTCCCCGCATGGGTCCGTGCGGGCGGGCTCACGCCCAACGTCGATGCTTCCGGCGCGCTCGGACGGAAAACATCCGCACCTTTGGTGATTCCGGACCTGACCAATCTCCCCTCCCACACTACCTTTCAACATTGGCACGCTTCACCCGCGGTTCAATCATACTGGCTCGAGAAGGGCAAAGCCGCACTTGCCCGGAAAGGCATCGAGCTTCGACACGGTATCGACCCGACCGCCCCTGCGTTATCGCGCGGCGGCTCGCCCTTTTCGTACTCGGCAGCTCAATCCAACAAGAGCCTCCTGAAGGAGATGCGTCATATCAATGGTGCACTCAACTCTAGCTCCCTCAACGACACTCCGACCCGTCGGAACGGTATGCCGTCTCGGAGATCACGAGATTATACCCCATCCCGGCCCATGTCGGGCATGTCGATCTCCCCTTCCCCCTCTCCCTCGCCCGGTCCCGCACCGCTGCCCGACGCTGAGGAGGGCAAGAACGTTTCTGCCCCTTCTCGCCTCCCGGCCGGTCTTCCTCAATCCCCCACGCCGGCCAGAACGACCTCCAAGTCTCAGTCAAATCGCACAGCGGATTCAGAACAAACATGGCGTACGTTTAGAGCGCACGATGTTGCCTTGTTCCTCTCTGATATGTCCGAACGAACAACAGTCCCGCTCACACCTGAACAGCGCGATCTGATGCGCCGGACGCGTGACGTCCTCGATACCCTCGGACCGGAGTACGATCGGGAGGCGCCCGCACTGGGAGCTGGGGAGATGTGTCTGGATTGCGTTGCGAGGGAAGGGGAGAAGGAGGCGGAAAGGAGGACGAGGGAGATGGTGCAGAAGGGGAGGGAGAATGGGATGGGGAGGCAGGAGAGGGGGCCGACTCGGAAGGAAAAGAAGATAGCGAGGAAGGAGCAAACTGCTCCAGCGGCGGTAGCGGTGGCGAATGGGAGCGGTGGGGCCGGTGACGTCTATGACCTGCGGTCGGGTCCGGTGAGGAGGGAGCCGCAGCCTTGGCGATCGGCGATGCAAAACGAAACCGGCCGGGATCTCATCCCTACCGACGCGGAGATCGAGGCTCCGGCGCCGGGCTGGCAGTACAACGACCGGAACGCCAACCCTACCCCCGCCAAATCTCAAATGCGGTTCAAGCCCATCTCGCCCAAGGACCTTCGAGCCAACGAGCGTATCACCCGGTATCTCGAGACCCGCTCGCACCTCGATGTACTTCTCCAGGCCATCAAAGACGTCAAGGGAGAAGCGGATGACGCCGTCATCGGGCGGCTGGAGAGTGTTCTCGCCACGCTCGAGGGTATCAGGAAGGAGATCAAGCAGGGGAAGAAGACCCCTGCTGTTCGGAATTTTCTCGATAATTGGGAGGAGCTGCCGGGGAGGCAGTACGTGGCACAGCATCGGGCTGCGGCGAGCAAGGCGCTCGCTCTGCAAGAGTCGCAGAAGAGCCGGAAGGGACATGAGGCCCCCAAGTTCGGGAAGCGCGCGGACGTGAGCGCGACGAGAGAAGGGTTACGCACGGCGGAGAATGGGGACCGCGGGGCGGAAGTGGCGGAGCGCTGGAGTCAGGAGATGGCGACGTTCACCCCAGCGGTGGCCGAAGCGATAGCGGCCGTCAATGCGCTAAATCCCAAGAACGCACTCAAGCCTGTGTTCTTTACACGCCTTATCGATCAGGCAAATTGCCGTCTTCCGTCAGTATGTCCTGCGGGAGAGGAAGGGCGGATGGAGGCCTCGGGATCGACGAGCGTCCACGACAAGGGCAACGAAGCTGGCAAGGCGGATGACGTGGAGGATCAGGGGATTTCAGAGTTGGATGGATGGAGAGAGAAGGCGTTTTCGCATCTCATCATCCCCAAAGGCAGTCGTGGAGAGTTGACGATCAGTATCTTGCGTCAGGTAAGCATCCCCCTTTCGTTGTGACAAGCTTGACGACCGCTGATATCCCAGATCTGCCAAGACCTCCAAACAACAACCTGTCAATCTCTGCCTTCGCATATCGGCAAAGCCAGCCTCTCGTCCACATACGGTTCACGGATCCACCTCTTTCGAACCGACAATCGTCTACTCAAAGATTCCAATCTGCGCCGAAAGCTCGTCGTCCACTTGGCGATCTACGAGGCGTGCCGCCTGGTCCGGCTACGCGATGAGGCCACTGCGTGGGTCACGAGCGTGCGACGTGGTCTGTACGCGATGGAGGTGGACATGCTGGAGCGGATCGAAAAGCTGCTCGCTCCGCCGGAACCGAAACAGGATCCCAGCCAGGCGGTGCTGTTCAAGAAAGGCCTCGTCCGCCTGCTTTCAGGTCTCGGATCGGGTCAACCTTTCGTCATTCAGCCTGTCGGTGAGATGGGCCAATCGGAATGGGCTCGGCCTGAACGCCGCATTCGGGCTCCGACTTCCATATGGCCGGACGGCGATTACGCGGACCCGTCTTCTCTCCATCCGGCTGCGGGTGCGGATGTCTGGTCGGGCCAGGACAGCGGGGTGCCACCTCCGTTGATGCGGGCGCCGCCTGGGGATGAGGGGGAGGTTTCGGACAAGGAAGTTGCGGGTCTCGTTCCGCAACAGGAGGAGGGTTACATCTCACTCTACGATGAGTCGACCGACCACTTGGCGCAAAAACTGGGCTTCGATCTCCCATCCTCTCCTCGCGCCGACGTCCTGTTTCCGTGGTCGTTCAGCGGCGGCGCCGGCTCAAACACCGGCTCGAAGCGTCGGATGTCCAATATAAGCTTGGAGGCCGAGGGCGAACCTTCGAGCGAGCGTACTATGCGGGAGGGAGATGCTGGAGGATCCGGGAGGATGGGAAGGAAGAGGAAGAAGCAGAAAACGGTGGAGCTGGACGGGGCGGTTTTGGACCAGCTGGTCATGTCTGCTGGGTCTGCATCCGACACACGTGACCTGCAGGCGGAGGGGAGCATGCAAGTGGGGTCATGAGGAAGTGAGCGGGAAGGAGCGAGAGGCGGCGAGGAGACTGTACTACGCGGGTTTGAGGGGTTCCATTCGATTTTGTCTATATCTCACATATTATTCGGCCGTTGACAGCAGTACCCAACATTGTGTATAGAGAGTAGAGATAAGATCCCATCATGTAGCGCAGCATAGCCATCGTCCCGATCTGCTGGAACCTATCGCTTGAGAGCCTCCTGTACGAGTCGCCCGATCTCTTTCCGATCCACCACCCCGGCCGCTTCCCCTAACTTCTCCAAGATCCCCTTCATTACCGGCCCCATCGCTCCCTTCCCAGCGCGCACTTCGGCAGATAATGAGCTGATGACTTCGTCCACTAGGGCTGATAATGACTCGGCGGACGGAGATTGAGGGAGATAGGCGGAGAGAAGGTCGATCTCGGATGTTAGTGTGGTGTGTTGCTCTGGGGATGGGGAGGGAGAGGTGGGTGCGTAGATCTCGGCGGCTTCTTTCTGTGGACGTCAGATATACCCCCATGATTCAGCCCTGATGACCCAGAATTGATGGCTTACCCGCTTGTCTATCCCCTTGCGAAGAGCAGTGATCACTGCGGATTCCGTTGCTGGCTCGTTCGGGCTCGGTCCAGCTTTGGCGGCATTCGTAGCATCCGCTATGACGCTCTGAGCGGTCAGTCTAGTCTCGACATACATGATAACCGGAGGCGTGTCAGACTCGCCTTGATAGCCGTCGCAGCCTGCTTGTCCCGGGCCTTCATTGCGGATTTCAGACCATCACGCAGGCGAGCTTCCAGCGCGGACGGGCCAACGAGGAGAGGGGCGGAAAAGTGGATCCCTCGAAAGACGACCGGTAAGCGAGCTGGGCGCGAGGCGTGACTGAGTGCTAGCTTGAGCATATTGGCTGTGATTGCAGCGAAGAAGGAGGATGGAGGAGCCACTGAGGAATGCGGAGTTGTGAATTTTAGCAGGGCTCGTTTAGCTCGCCTAACGGAGAATCGGCGATGACCGCATCAACATCCACCTCACCTCCTCTCAACGTTTCTCCTCTCCCTCTTCGTTACATCTCACACTCTCCTACCCAATCACTGACTCAGCCGGCATCACCAGTAGAAATCTACTCTTCCATACACCCAGCTGGGTCAGCGAAGGCGCTGGTGGACGTTATGTCGTCTTTCAAGCGGCACATCCCATATCTCCCATACCACAAGTCGATTATCCGAGAGATTTGTACTCCGCAGAAAGATGATCTCCTCATCATCGCGAAGGGCCTCGGGATGCGACGCGTGAGCTGGCAAGAGGGTCCCAGTCGCGCGAAAGCGTGGTCTACAGTAACTGACAATCAGATCATATGCGCTCTTTTGAAAACGTATGACCGTAAGGAAGACCTGATCTTGGTGGTAAGTCTCCTATCACCTACAATAGGACCTGGGGCTGACAGGCAGGTCAACGCGACTCCCTCCGATGAGGCTGGTATCGGAGACGAGCTGGGCATCATGGGCGTCCGAGACCCCGGGTTTAGGGTCCTCACTTATGAGATGAACACGCAACAACGGTGAGCTCGCTGGTGCCGACGAACATCGCTTGCTGCAAGGGCCTAACCCGGATCAGAGAAGATCTGTATCGATTAGGCGGCATCTTTTCAGTTACCAGCAAAATCTTAGTCAACGATCTCCTGAGTGAGTGAGCTGGCCGAAGACTTGAAGACATACAGCTAGCTGACGTGAACAGAGGGGACCGTGCCCGCTAAGCTCATCACTGGCCTCGTCATCTTGCACGCCGAAAAGTAAGTCTTCATGTCCGGCAGAAGTCGCATACTGGAGCGAAAGCTGATACTGCAGGGTCTCTCATGGTAGTCAAGAGGAGTTTGCCGTCCGTCTCTATCGACGTGAGAACCAGGTAGGTCTCCGAATGACCTCTGGGCCGGGCGAAGCTAATGTGGTAGAGTGGCTTCTGCAAAGCCTTCTCCGACGAGCCAGAGGCATTCGCACACGGGATGTCCCCGCTGAAGGACATGCTCGTCAACCTCAACATGAACAATGTCATGGTCTGGCCCAGGTCAGCTCATCAGCCGCGATGATTTTACAGACAGCTCAGCTAACGATCCAGATACAATGAAGGGGTCAAGGTCTCACTTGCGACGCGGAAAGCCGAAGTCGTGGAGCTCTATCAGCCGATGACAACCCCCATGCGGCTATGCCAAGACGCCATCACCGAGTGCATGGAGGCTATGCTTGTTGAGCTCAAGCGGGATCATTCCTTAGTGAGCTTGTCGGATGTCCGGACCATTTGAGTGAGAGCTGACTGAACGAAGAATCTGGACCTTGACGACATCAACGTGCGGAACGCACAATTCAAGAACTTCGACACGATCGTGCGGATGCGCCTGAAACCGGTGTGGCACAAGGTCGGAGCCAAGACTCGAATCCATGTTGCTGCTTTGACTGAGCTGCGTAATCTACACACGTCAGTCAGCTTACATTGCATTCGAGACTCTTCACTGACGCGATAGCTGGCTGCTGGAGTACGATTCGGCCACATTCGCATCCTACATCAACACCCTCCAACGCCAATTCTTCGTCGCCGAGAAGCTTCCCAGCGGGTATGGAGGGCGCCATCAACACGACTGGTTCAACGCCAAGTCTGCATCTCAACTCGTCGAGGCCAGCCAGGGTCGAGTCAGCCAGAAGAAGCTCGTGATGGATAACGAGATCGAAAACCCTGATCAGCCGGACGACGGCTGGGACTCGCGTCATCGAGATCAGCGCTCCGCCAGCACCACTCGGCGCGAGTTCGAAGATGAGGAGGAGGCCATGCGGGATCTAGAGGGGAATCGAGGAGAAGATGACGAGGACGTGATGGAGATGATTGCGACCCAGTCGCAGCCTGTCCCCCGCCCCGACTCGGAACCTATCGTGATCGATGATGACGATGAGGAGATGCGGGAGGTGGGGCCGGACGAACAGCCTTTGCCGCCCGCTGCGGCACCTCCGCCCGTATTCCGCCCGGTCAATTTCGACCTTGATGAGAATCTGGAGAAGAGCGTGAAGAGCCGGATGAAGAAGGGGCATGAGCCGGTATTGGAGGAGTTGCCAAAGTGGGCGTTGTTGGCGAAGATCCTGAAGGAGATTGAGGATACAATGGCGAGGATGCAGACGAGCCGTGCCAGTAAGCTAAGCGCCGCCCTCCAGCGTGAGAAGGGATAAAGCTGACTTACAGATGAGCCAGGAACCAATATCGTGCTCGTCATGGTCTCCTCGGACCGCACCGCCCTCCAGCTCCGCCAGTACCTTACTACTATGAATACAACGGAGGAGCCACTCTTTGGTCCCAAAGCAGGTCGACGGATGATGGAAACACTCTTCCTCTCGAATTGGCAGCACGAGAAAGTCGGTGCGCACTTTGGTACGACGTTGATGCCTGGGGGAGGCGATGAAGTGACCAAGCGGGGCGAGATGGAGCAGAAGAAGATGGACGATAGGCGGATGCAGAATGGGAGACCATATTACAAGCGACGGAGGATGCGGGGAGGGATGATGGCTCCAGGTATCAGGTCGAAAGACATCGATGCGTGAGTTGCGAAAGACACCTATGTTCGAGGCGCAGAACTGATGGTGTAGGAGCGAGAAGGAGGCGGCTATGAAGGCTGCATCAGCATTTGGCGGTGGAGGCGATGAGGAGAACGTGGAGATGCAATGGGCTTTGGCAGAATCGTCAGTCTCCCACGTATTCCCTCCGTCTTGCGGCGCTGACTCGGTAGATCAAAGACAAACGGGTCCTCCTCAAACTCCCACTCTTCCGTCAATGCCGTCGCCGGCGCTTCATCCGAATCTACCGCGAACGGCATCCCGTCCTCCAGCAGCGGACGCGGAATCAACCCCGCCCAGGCCTCCCAGAGCCTGATGGCCTCGGCCGAAATCATCGAGGAAGAAGACCTGAACCGTCTCTCACAAGGTCCTGCGAAGCTTTCGGACGCGGACGCCGCAGCTGTCGACGCGTGGCTGAAGGAGCGGGGTATCTTCCCCGAAGACTTTGATACCGACTTTGGACTGCTCGATCCGGAGGACACGGTCATTATTCGGCCTTATGGCGGAGAAGATGACGACATCCTGCTCAATGAGCTGAGGCCGCGGTTCGTCGTGTGCTACGAGCCAAATTTGGCGTTTATAAGGCGATTGGAGGTGTGTTTGCCAGCTAGAGGAGTGATCAGAAGCTGACCGCGTGCGGGTATACAAGAATTGCAATCCCGGCCTAGCGCTCCGAGTCTACCAGATGGTGTACGCCAACTCGTTCGAAGAGGACCGATTCTTAAGCTCGATGCAAAGAGAAGATGATGCCTTCAAAAAGCTCATCGATGATCGCTCTGTGAGTAGCTGGCTCCGCCGAAAGATTGCGAGACACCGCTGACGTTTTCTAGAGCATGGTTATACCTATATACAACAACAATCCTCGAGCACCCATGCGCGACAATGTCACGCGTTCAAAGACAACCTACTCGTCTCGAAATGCCGGAGGCGGTGGCGACGCAGCTGAAGAGGCGAGGGTAAGCTGCGAAGTTCTGATCGTCCGGTGATGCGCGAGCTGACTCTCGTTAGATTATCGTCGATATCCGAGAGATGGGCGCTCTTCTCCCCTCGCTCATCGATGCGGCTGGCATAAAGGTCATCCCGGCGACATTAACAGTGGGCGATTATGTCATCTCGCCAAAGATGTGTATCGAGCGGAAGTCTCTGCCGGATCTCGAGGGAAGTTTCGCGAACGGAAGATTGTGAGTATAGATGTCGAGCATATGAGGGACATCGCTGATGGACAGGCACACCCAGTGCGAGTCCATGACCGCGCATTACGAGATCTGTATCCTGCTCATCGAGTTTGAGGAAGACCGATTTAGTCTTCGGGTGAGCTACCAGGACGGTCTCTGATATGACGGAGCTGACCTTTCAGACTAAAGAAGACTCGAAGCGCGAGTCGATGGGCCAAAATAAGCCCAAGGAAGAAACATGGGACGCCTTCCTCTTACAATCCAAACTCGTCCTTCTCACCCTTCACTTCCCCAAGCTCCGCATCATCTGGTCTTCCTCTCCGTACGAATCCGTCCGAATCCTCTCGGACCTCAAGCTCAATCACGACGAGCCGGACGAGCTCACTGCCATTATCAAAGGCTCGACCTCCGCCTCTGCCTCCGCAGCCGGTATGGCGCTGATCCCCGAAATGGAGAATACCGCGGCGGTGGAGATGTTACGTACGATCCCCGGTGTGCAGGGCCATGCGTTGAAATACGTCATGAGCAAGGTGGAGAGTATCGGGGAGTTGGTTGAGCTCAGTGAGAAGGAGTTGAGGGAGATGTTGGGGGAAGAGCAAGGGAAGAAGGCGCATCATTTCATCCACTTTGATGGGCGGCGGGGCGATAAGTGGGAGACGGAGGAGCGGTATGCGCATGGGCTGGGTATAGAGCTGGATTGAGCAGGGAGGTGTGTATATCGATTGTTCCATTGTTGTACGCATATATGTCGATTCTTGCACCGTTGTTGATAGCGAGTGAAACCTTGCATCCCGGATTGACTGGGTATTTTCTACGAGTACAACGGAAATCAACCTATGTGTATCTGCTTGCTATCCCTAGAGAGAAAGAGTGTACTACGACCCAACCCAAAAGACCCAAAAGTAGAATAATATCCCGCTCTCCCCCTCCTATCTTACTCGCTACGCCTCCGCCCTCAACTTGTTCCTCAACAAGACCAACAACCACTCGGGATCCCACTCGCCCACTCCCGGAGCCGCCACCGCCGTCCCCTGCGGGCTATACTTGTCGCTATTTCCCGTCGAGGGCGACCGTCCCCCGCCGCCTGCTACGGGCGTGACCATGTCATTCTGCAACGGGTTGTTGTAGGCCGGTGTGGAAGGAGGATAGGCAAAGTCCCGCGGCTTGGCGAGGCTCGAACGCCGAGGCCCATTGTTCTCCCGCAGGCGATGCGAGGGGACGTTGTGAAGCATGGGGACGGGCGCAGAGGGTTCCGGGTCGGGTGTGGAGGGGACGACAGGAGCGGTTCCGCGGGCGGGGAAGGAGAAGCCTGACCAGGATGGGGCGGGCTCGACGATACCTGATTCGAGGTCGGTCGATGTTCCGGAGTATGAGGGATGGCCGAGCGGGGAGGGAAGAGGGGGAAGGTACTGCTGGGGCTGGAATCCGGGAGCAGGGGCCGTAGCGTTGGAAGGCACTTCGAATTGCACCTTACTGGGCCGCCGAGCAGGGTTGAAGCCCTCGCCGCCCTCTCCGGCCGAGTTGGTCGTCGCGCTCCGAGCGATAGACAGCTCTCCGCCGACATATGGGGCCATGACGCAGCTATTCTGCGCCCGAAACAGGTTGAACGGCAACCACTTGTCCGTGAACGTATTGACCGCCGCGTCATAGTTGGCATACAGCACAATCATGTAGGGCGGGATGTAGCTGTTTGACGATATAAGGGGGTTGGGCCGCGGGCGATGTGGCGTGAGCGGAACGAGGACGGGGTGGAGAGCGAGTCGTGGGATGACGTGCGCCATGTCGTCTTGGCTCAGCATGCCGTCTAGCATGGGCACGACGGCGCGCTCAATGTGCTTGAGAAGCTGAGCGACGATGGGACCCCCGATGGCGTCCCGAGGTGACGTGCCGGCCATGGCGACGTTCCGACCAATGACGGAGAGGAGGTTCATCCCTTCGAGCCAGGTCAGGGCCTCACCGATATCCTCGACGGACCCGCCGAGCTCCTCTGTGCCGCCCGTCGTGTGGCTGAGGCGGGACATGGTCGCTGAGGTGAACGTGCACAGCTCGCGCATGGGCAATTGACTCCGGTTCTTCTCCTCCAGGAGGATCCGGAGCCCGTCAAACGGCGTGGCCTGGACGATGGCGATACCGGCGTATAGTGTTCCGGGCTGGAGAGCGACTCGGGTCGTGGCGTCGCAGAAGCGTTGGACGTCCTGGAGGAGCGGATTCATGTGCTCCAAAGGGACCGAAAGCGTCCGCTGGAGGGCGACAGCGACGGCAGAGGCTTCCGCAAAGATGTAATGGCGGGTGAGGAGATCGGCTCGTTCCTGCTGTGCAGTGACGCGCCGAACGAGGATGATGAGCTGGCCTTTAGAGACCGTATCGGACGAGTTGGACAATTTGACCCAGCCCCTACCTCGTCAGCTCGGTCCTCAATAAGGAGGCAGCTGTACTCACGTGGTCAAGATCTGATCGTACAATACCCCCAATCTCTGGATCCCATCCTCCTGACCCGTCAAACGTACCGCCAGCTGTCCCGCCGAATAAACAAACCGCTCCAAGAACCGATTCACCGAGATCTTGGACGTCCGCGCCGTACCGCCAATCACCGAGCTATTGACGGTAGCCAGCGAGCCGCGCCTAATCTCCTGGATCGACGCATTGACACTGGGGACAGTACCAGTTGTGCCGTTCGTGGCGTTGCCCGAGTTGGCCTCGCGGTCTTTGGTGAACGGGTTCAAAGCCGAGTATTGGGGATTGCGCCAGAACCAGCTGAGCCTGAGGGCATTGACGAACGCCTCGTGGCCGGGTGTAAGGTCCATTCCGAGGATGGTCGATGCACCAGAGGAGAGACTGGGCGTGGATCGCCTGCTTGTCCGAGCAGCCTCGCCCGCGCCTGACAATGAGGCGATGTCGCACATGGGCGGAAGACCGTCTGTCGAGTTGACGAGAATCCGATCTTGGTCGTCTAGCATGATGGAAGCGACAACGACGCGGCGCCGACGCTGTCGTTCCCGACGGGCCTGGATCCACTCAAAGACGAAGAAGACACCGCAGGCGAGGCACGCGGTGAAAGCGAGGGCAGCGACGATACCGACGATGGCGCCGTTGGTGCCAGCGAGGAGGTCATGTTTGGTGATGGGTGTGTCGATGGGCCAAGCGTAAGTCGTTCCCATCATACCTGATAATCAGCACAATCCTGTCGTGAAGATACGGGACTTACCGCAGAAGTGCATGCAACAGACGGCGATGGCGAGGATGATGGCGGTGCAGATCTTGTAGAAGATGCCGTGCTTGAGTTTGGGGCGGAGCATGATGAACATGAGGTAGAGCGCAACGACGACGGCGCCAGCAGCGATGATGACCGATCCGACGACGAAAGCGGGGTCGTACTGGATCCATGGCATCCCGACGATGGATAGCTGGCCAATGTAGTCTAGATATCAGCCAACCTCGCAAGGAATGACTCACGCATAGCAGCAACCCCAAACCCCGCTATCGTCCCCGTCAACACGATCTTGAAAACCTCTTCCTTCGTGACCACATCCATCCCCAAGAACTTCTGAATCTTGATCGTCCAGCTGTTGTTCTGCCATCGCTTGGCACGCTCCTCCCTGTCCGTCCGCGCCTCCTCCGCCTCGGGCGCAAACTTGACGTCGGGTGCGCTGTCCATGCGCTTGAGACCGTCCTCGAGAAGGGGAGTAGGGACCTTGTTCATGCTGAACGTAGGCGAAAGTTTGCCGAGAGGAGGTGTCTGACCGGTATGGTCCTGGTCCGCTTCGGGAAGGGATTGTATACGGGTGAGACTGCCTGGAAAGGCGGCTGATCGATTGGGTGTGGAAGTGGAGGTAGGGAGTGAGGACCGACGACCAAAGTCGAATGGGACGTGAGGTGGGATCTCCATGGAGCCGCGACGAGCCCATGACGCTTCCGAGTCGTTGGGACTGTCGGGTGCCGACTCGCGAAGGAGGTCTGCGGTAGATGAGTCGACGCGGGGTGGGAAATTGTAGCCGGGCGTAAAGACCTCGGTGGAGGCACCAAAGTCGACGCTGGGGCTGATGAGGTGGGCGGGGACCGAGCCTCTACGCGGTGGATAGGCAGCAGTGGGAGGGACGGTGGGGAGCGAAGCTGTCGAAGCGATGTGACGGATTGACCGCTCGGTCGACTTGCGACCGAGAAGAGGAGGTCTCGACTCGGTGGATTGGCGTTTTGCGATCTCCATCCGAGCGGCATCGCGACCGAAGCGAAAGTCGATCTCCCGCAGCTTCTGATCCTTGGCAATGACCTCGTCCTCCGCCGTCTTGGGCACCGCCATCTGTCCCTCCTCCCAATCCTTCTCCTCCTCAATCATCTTGCCCTTGCCGCCAAGCGGACTGAGCCATCCCGCCTTGGGAGAGGTGTCGCCCTTGTTTGGGTCTTCGACCAGTGACCACTTGGCAACTTTGCTCGCGGCCGAAACGAGCGCGCCCATTCCCTTTGAGCTCTTGCTGAGCATCTCCGCCTTCTTGATATGCTCCATCTTCCACTTTTTGTACTCGTCCGCCTGGCGCTGATTCTCCTTGTCCTTCCTCCTCCCGCCAAAGACGCAACACCAGTTGCCCAGGTCGGTGCCCATGACGAAGAAGGCAATGGTCATGGCCGCGCAACTCGCCACGAGGGAGAGGACCGTATACCCGGGACCGTAGATGAGCGCGAGGGGTTGATTGTTTTGTATGTCTGGCGAATGGAGTGTGAGTGCCTGGTTGAAGATGAAGTGCATGGAGAAGGTCGAGACGGACCCAAAGCAAATCCCCGCCGAGAGAAGAAGGAGTTGGTTTCGCCATCCCGAGTTGGACGTCCGCCGGATGAGGAGCTCGAGGGTGCAGAGCGATCCCACGAATGCGATGAGGTAGGAGAGGACGATGAAGCCGGGGGAAAAGCGTTGTTCCAGGATGACCCAGTCCCAGGGGACGTCGGTCGTTGTTGCCATCTTGTAGTCGCCCGCGACAAGGACAGGATGCGTCCGCGCTATGAGCTTTTGGGCGAGGCGGTCCCATTCTGGTGATGAGGGAGTGAGGTCGGAGGGGAGGGACAGGCGTGTAGGAGAGGGGAGGGCATCGGCCGCGATGATGTAGGGGAAGCAAAGGGAGAGGGCAAAGGTGGCCGTACGGCGGGCGTAGGGAGAGAGGCGGCGCCGGCGCCGTGGTGGGGGCCGAGAGGAAGGCTGCCGATCCGCAGCGTCCAGATCATCGAGCGTGACCCGGGATGAGGACGCGCCAGGCGAGGATGGGTAAAGGTCGAGCATGACCTGGCGAAGACGAGGTATGGAGGGGGAAAAGGAATGCGGGGAGCGATGGGATCGCTGTCAACGACCAAGAGTTGACTTTTGCGCCCTAGACGACCGCCCAAAGCAATCAAGCTATCAGGCCTGGAATATCCCCTCACGGCCTTTGCGTCAATGCTCCAGTGCTTGACGGAATGTCTCAGTCAAATGCGCCTGAATGGGCTGCCGAGGGATGAGCCAAAGATGGGGTAATTCGATGACTGATTGTGGAAATGACGACCGAGTCTCGGATCCGTCTCGGCGGTGTAATAGACAGGAGGGGCCGTTGAGGAGGGGGGATAAGGTGGCGAGGCGAGTTGTGTAGGTATGGAATAGGGTGAAACCTCTTGGCCGACCGAGTGATTGACGTCGGAGAGTTTCGACTGAGACGTCAGCGAGATGGTCGCTGGAGCGATGGTCGTGTGGGTAGCTAAGATCGCGTTGGAAAGTGACCATTGCGCGTGATGTGTGAGATTGAAGCGAAGAAGATGAGGGTAGGAGTATGAGGGCGACGGAGGAGCTCGGAGATGAATGAGAGGAAAGGAGGGTACCATCGACCGCGGCAACACCGGCGCCCGCGTGCTAAAACACACACAATTATGACGATGCAAGGAGGGTCCAAGCGCAACATGAAACAAGGCACTCACAGCTTTTTAGGTTCACTGGTACTCGTCGATCTTCCCAAGGCAACAGGGCAGTCCTGTCGACAGGAATGAGGTGGTGCGAACCCGCAACTGAGCGCAGAGAAGTCTTGATAGATGTAAAGTGACAGGTCTACCAAAGATTTGGGTCGCCCGGTCCGTCTGAACGCGCCGACGGTTCCCCGCACTCTGTGATCGCCTGATGGCTGTTCGGCAGCTGCCTTCCTCAGGCACAGCGACAAGGCGTCGACGACAGGGCGAGTAATGAAGGTGTCTTGTCGGTCGTGCAGTAAAATGAGGTTACGGCTTTTGGGTCGTCGGACAGGATGCAGTTCGGTCTCCGAGCTGCCGCTGCGTCTAGAAAGGCTGCAGCTATGTACAAGTCTTGCGCGAGAGAAGAACAGATGGATCCCTCGCATGCATGGTCGCTCCTCGCTCCTCGCTACTGCACAGCTAGCTGCCAACGAGGCTGCCGATGCGAGCAGGCAAAGGCTCGATCTTCTCATACAACATCTCTCTGGATTAGGAAATGGGAGAGGCAAATTGCTATTGAATGGCACGAACAAACCTTATGGCTTGATCGCTCCGGGGAATTAAAACGCGATCGGCAGGGTCTCAGCCAGCGACAACCCTAGATCTCCCGTTCATTGCCGGCATACCGCAGGTGTGCACGAAAGTTTTCCTGAAGGGGCGCGGCTGGCGTAAATCCACGCCCGTTCGATCGGTGCCTCTTCCGCACGTGGCCGGTCTAGCACTGGTCTAGCTGATGAGGGATGTGCGAGGAAGAGGAGGGAGCTAAGGGGGGCTAGCTAGCTTGTCTTGTACCCGTCACCTACTATATATAGAGATAGAGAGAGAAAGGGAGGCAAGAGAGGGGACAGCATCAAAGATAGTCCCTCCGTTCCATCCCATTTTCTCTCGCGCCGGTAGACGTCTGCCGTTGACACTATGGGGTGCTCGCCCATTAGTTTGGGAGATTGAAGACATTACATGCCATCTTCGTCTCCTACGTTTATGGCCAACTTTTACTTCATGTTCTGCTTGAAGAATGCAGCGAGGGTGGAATACCCATCGTGGAACGCCTTGGACCCCTCCTCGCCCTTGAGCTATACGGATCAGCGCCTTTCGTGTGCTTGGATGTACTGAAGACTCACATCTCCACGAGCGGCCATCCAGCCGTGCGGCATCTTGGGATACTCCTTGACGAAGCTGGATCCGGGGCTCTTCTTCTCGAGGCCTTCGTAAATCTCGTTAATCTGAACGGTGCGTCAGCTACATCACTGGCAGAAGTTGAGATTGAGGACTAGAAAAGCAGAAGTATGGGGTGAGGTTTGAGGTCTGGTGGATGTGGTGGGAGTTCGAGGTTAGGAGGGCAAAGATCAGGAATGGAGGAATGAGGTTTAGGATGGTGAGGCTGTGTGTGACCGAGGGTAGTTGGAAGGGTAGAGCTATAGATGTCGAGCATAGTACGCACAATCTTCATGTCCTCGCCTTCGGAAGGGAGAAGAGCGACGGGCACAGAGAGCTTCTCAACGTCGTCCGCAGCAATCAGCCTGCGTGTCAGCCTCTTCCCGCTTTAGCCTCGAGGAAACACTTACGAAGGGTGGCACCCCGCAATACCCGCAAGCTTGTCCCCGTTCTCAGTCATGACGAGGACCTTCCAGCCCCAGCAGAAACCGGCCGCGCCGACCTGGCCGTGCTTGCTCTTGATCTCGCTGATGACGTTTCCGACGGGCTTGGCCTGGCTCGAGATGGAGCCGGGGAACTTGGAGAACCAGGTGGTGCGCATCTTGGTTCCCCTAGCTGTCAGCCAGGTGTTCTCGAGGTTGAGATTAGGTGCTCGACTGTAATCGTAGACTTACTCCTCGCTACCGCTGAACCACTCGGGCTGGGCGTAGTCCCCACCGAGGAAATCAGGCATGTACACCGCGTACCCCTGGCTCGCAAGCAGGTCCGCTCCTGAATGATATCAGCTATCCGCTCAATTCTCGGAACCGATAAGCCCGGAGCGCACCTTGGAGGATCTGCGGGCTGAAGCCAAAGACATCGTATACAATCAAGACGGCCTGCTTGGCGTCCTTCTCGCCGGTGATGTAGGTCTTGAGACCGGTAAAGTCAGAGTAGGAGCCCTTGGGGGTGTACTCTGCCTGCACTGGGGGAAGCGTGCAGCAGGCTGCTGTATTAGTGACAGACATCAAGGCGGACATGCTCAATGTAGCAGCTGCTGCGACGTGAGACAGACATAGGTGGAGCCAGACGTACACTCGGGGATCTTGCCAGAGACGGACATGGTGCTAAATCGAGCTGTGGGTTTTGTCTGGAATGTGCGAGTGATGTGAGATGTGCTTTGCGACGCGGAAGCGAGTAGTAGTGATCTGACTGGGAAGAGGGTTGGTCTTGTTGAATGAAGAATGTGGAGGTGCATGAGCAAGCAAGAGACGAATATAGCGCGGACCTTGTTGGCGGGCTATGAGCCACATCGGCCTCGGCCATCTCCTTGCCGTTCTTCGGCATATATGTCAGTCGCTCTCTCGACTCACAATCATCCCAATCATCACTCATCTCTCTGCAAATCTGGCAAGCGAGTCTGTACATCTACCTCGTCTGGGCTGATCAACGCTCTGAATCATGGGTGTACTGCATGCATGCATGGCCTCGCGCTGAGTTGGCTGGCTGCAGCTGTGCGCAGGAAAGATGGTACGTCATGACGCACGGGCATGCTCTCGATCTCAGGCACGCCCGGGAGCAGAAAGTTCGGAGGTTCTCGACTCAGGCAAAAGACCATCACTTCGCACACTCGACAATCTACATCACTTCCTGTATACTGGCACTATGAGCACATTCGGCCACCTGTTCCGCGTCCACACTTACGGCGAGAGCCACTGCAAATCTGTCGGTTGTATCGTAGATGGTGTTCCCCCGGTAAGTCTCGCCTCATGGTTCGAGCGAAGAGGGAGGAGGTTGAGCTGATGATGTAGGGGTTGAAATTGACCGAGGAGGATATTCAGGTCCAGCTCTCTAGGCGTCGTCCTGGACAGAGCGACATCACCACTGCTGTGAGCTGATCCGACCTCTCCGAACGGCACAAGCTTTTCAGCTGATAGATCAGCGCTCCGAGTACGACACCGTCCACCTCCAATCCGGGACCGAACACGGTGTCACCCTCGGCACGCCCATCGGTCTGCTCGTGCACAACAAAGACCAGCGGCCTCACGACTACGCCGAGACTGATCTCTACCCCCGCCCGTCCCACGCCGACTACACCTACCTCGCCAAGTACGGCGTCAAGGCTTCGTCGGGAGGAGGTCGGGCTTCGGCGCGCGAGACGATCGGCCGAGTTGCTGCCGGGGCCATCGCGGAGAAGTTCCTCAAGGAGGCGTATGGCGTGGAGATTGTTGCGTTTGTGAGCGGCGTAGGGAAGGTGGGGTTGCCGTTTGAAGAAGAGGAGAATGAGGTGTTGGGGAAGGAGTATATGGATCTGGTGCGGACTGTGAAGAGGGAGGAGGTGGATAAGGAGATCACGAGGTGTCCTCACAAGGAGACCAGTCAAAAGATGGAGGCTGTAAGTCTAGTCCGTGTTCATGGGCGGACTCTTCTGATTTCTAGGCCATTCGAGCAGCCAAAGCAGCAGACGACTCCCTCGGCGGCGTCCTTACCTGTGTCATCCGGAACGCCCCTCTCGGACTCGGCGAGCCCTGCTTTGACAAGCTCGAGGCGTCCCTCGCACACGCGATGCTTTCTATCCCGTCTACGAAGGGCTTCGAGATCGGTTCGGGGTTCCGAGGGGCCATGTTCCCTGGAAGCCAGCACAATGACATGTACATTGAAGGTGGACCCGACGCGCAGGGACGTTTGAGGACAGAGACCAACTGGAGTGGAGGGGTGCAGGGTGGAATCAGTAATGGGGAGGATATCTATTTCCGGTGAGTCTGATGCTGGAGAAAGCGAGACTTTATGAAAGGACCGATGAGAGGAAGGGTGATGCTGATGATATAGGATCGCCTTCAAGCCGCCAGCAACTATCGCCCAGGCGCAGTCCACAGCCCGATACGACGGATCGGCAGGTACTCTCGAGGCCAAGGGAAGACATGACCCGTGTGTCGTGCCCCGTGCCGTACCTATCGTGGAGACCATGGCCGCCTTGGTCATAATGGAGTAAGCTCACTCCGCAAGACTCAGTTCGGGCCGGACCAAGCTAATCCAGCAGTATGGTCCTCCAGCAGAACGCGCGCACGGCCGCCGCTTCCCTTCTTCCCGCCTTGACCCACCTTCCACCAACTATGGTCCTCCCTTCCAAGAAGACCGTTGAGAAGATACAGAATGGGGAGGAGAAAGTTCAGGTGCAGAACCAAAAATCTGGCGAGGAATAGTCGAGCAAGGTTATGCATAGATGATTTGATGGCTTTCTGAAGGTGTCACTATACTCAGTTTGACCAGCGTGGCCATGAGGTCCCCTCACCAAGGAATCCGCGTCCGACCAAATCCGAAGATGGGGAATGCGGATCTGGTGATCGGAGACCTTGTTTACGAGCAAACTATAAATAGCAGGTTCGCTGGGCGAGACTTCGACAGTCGGTCCACCTTAACGATGTATCGTCCCAGCTTTGCCCATCTACCTGTTCGCTCGACCACAGCTAGCTCGACCAGCACCCAAGGCTGAGGCAAGCACCTCTCTGACCTTCAGGCCAAGCTGGCTCGTACCCCGGTCATTCGTCCCTCTCAAGATCCTCAGAAAACCTGCAAGGATGTCGATGTTCCGTACCGCGAAGGACGTGTGCTTCAGGTATGTCCCCCCAACACCCCAACTTGGCTCATGGCTGACCTCCGAGACATCTCCGCTTCGTCGGACCAGGCCTCGTCGCCGCTGTAGCCTACATTGACCCCGGAAACTGGGCGACCGATCTCCAAGCGGGCGCGAACTACGGGTACAAATTGCTCTTTGTCGTCTTGCTCGCAGGTCTCGCTGCTGTCGGTATGTCCTCTACACCCCGTCTTAACATGCAGTCCAGCTGATGAGCCAGTCCTCCAAACTCTAGCGGTCAGGATAGGAACCATCACTGCCACTTCGCTCCCTTATCAAACCCGCCAGCTCTTCCTCCGGCTCGAAGCCAAGTACCCAAAGTACCGCGTACCCCTTCATTGTTGCCTATGGGCCTTATACATCCTCGCTGAGATTGCGATCATCGGGACGGACCTCGCCGAGTTAATTGGCAGTGCGGTCGCTCTCAGTTTGTACGTTCTGGCCTTCGCCTCCCCACCGCACCGCGCCCAATCACGGAATCAGGCACAGCTGACATACAGACTGTTCCCAGCTCTTCCACTATGGGGCGGGGTCCTAATCACCGCCGCCGACGTCCTCATCGTCCTCATCTTCTTCAACTCGAACGATGGCCGAAAAGGAATGCTCTTCTTTGAGATCCTGATCGTCACGCTGGTACTGGCGGTCTTTGTGTCATTCGCGATCCTCCTGCATCTCATAAAGCCAGAATGGAAAGAGGTCTTCTTTGGTCTTCTGCCTTCTGCTGCATGTCACCTCTCTCTACAGCGCTAGGAGGAGCTGATGCCCAGACTCTCGTTGCTCCTGGAGCCACCTACACCTCTATCGGGATTATCGGAGCGACCGTCATGCCCCACGCGCTATTCCTCGGCTCAAGTCTCGCCAGTGTCGATCGACTTGATATGGTCCCTCGGTCGCCCAAAGCCCCATCCGCTAACCGACGACGATCGCGCGCTCGTATCTCCTCCTTCCTTCGCTTTGGCAGAAATGAGAAGGTGTCCGAACAGGATCCAGAGGGCGAGTACGAGATGGACCCGGTCGATATCCACCGCGTTCACACCCTCACTGGGCTGAACGAAGAGGCGGTCCGACCGCCCGTTACCGGTTCATCTGCGGGTATGGTCGAAAGGGCGACCGAGGTGGAGACGGAGCAGGAAGTCAAGCATCTCTCGGACACAAGACCATCGGAAGACGATGAGGAGGACGGAAGGCGGGACGACTTTATGCGCGCGATGAAGCGGTATGAGGCCAAGCTGGGGGCATTCAACCGGATCAGATGGGTCGATTTGCATCTCAAACACGCTACTGTAGGCTTCTTCTGTTCTCGCCGATTCGATCTGCAGCCGTGGGATTCAGCTTAAATCCAGGTCGATACAATCCTCTCCCTCCTTGGTTTCGCACTCACCATCAACGCCGCGATCCTCACTCTGGCCGGAGCGGCGTTCTACTACTCTGACAACGGAGCCGACGCGGACGATGCAACCCTTCAAGGCGCACACGATCTGCTTTCCAACTATGTCGGGCAGGGCGCAGGCCTGATTTTCGCGCTGGCATTGCTATGTGCCGGTCAGAGCGCGAGTATCACGGCGACGCTGGCGGGTCAGGTTGTTTCTGAGGGGTTTATCAATTGGCGCACATCAGTAGGTCCTTCAATGGACAGTATTGGGATAGGAATCAAGCTTATCATCAGCCATTCTGGAGACGGCTCATCACTCGCCTGATCGGTGTCATCCCAGCTGCCGCTGTGGCTGCCGCCGTCGGACCCGCTGGGCTCAACACCATGCTCGTCGCCAGTCAGGTCCTGCTCAGTATCGTACTCCCGACGGTCATCTTCCCGCTTGTATACCTCTGCAGCAGGGAGGATTTGATGACGGTTCACGGACCGGAAATCGCTCCTGCCTCTGCTCAGCCATCGGCACCGACCCCGGCACCGGCGGTCAGCCCGAGTGTCGAGGTTCCGGCATTGACGACACCGGTCGAGTCAGCAGCAGCAGTGGGCGGGACGGAACGGCCAACGAAGAGCTTCAAGACCCCTCGGTGGCAGACGTGGACGGGGTATGCGCTGTTCGGGGTGATTGTCCTGGCGAACTGTTATGTGATTGTCGAGCTGGGGTTGGGGAATGCTGGGGGATAGCTGGGGGGACAGTTCGGGGTGTGTATATCTAGGCGTGATCTTTATCTTGTACATAGGCACTTTGCTTAAAGTCACGAACTCACGAATAGTACTAGTTACCCTCGCAACGCGTACGGGCCCAAGGGTGAGTGGCGAGTCCGTGCGTTCCTTCAAGACGGCTTCGCTCGTGTGCCCGCACAGCGCTCAAGCGCTCATGCTGCAACTTCCTTTCTTCCACTTAACTCCTGTTGTCCAGCTCGTAAATACCTGACCAGAAAGCCATAGTCCAGCGCGCCCGATCAGACCAAGCAAGATGTCGGCCGACGAATACCTCCCAGCGGTCTTTATAATACTGGGGATATACCTCCTCATTCGCTTCCTCGGTCGAACGCGTAAGCTCTCCTCTCCTCTTACCCCTCCCTCGTCTCCCCCTTCCTAGCTATAGTGGTTAGAGGTCAGGAGTTGACGAAAACAGCTACGCCAAATGACCCAGACACCATACCCGGCGTATCGGCCAGTACGGTCGATACGATCCACGCTGCCTTCCCGGACGTTCCATTACCGAACCTGATATACTCGCTGTCCACGACCCGGTCAGGCCAGCGGACAAGCGAGGAGATCATGGAAAAGGGGTATCTGCCGAATGTGAGCTCAAAGGTTCCCTCCACTTCGAGCGCCGAGCCGTCAGAGCTCATTTGTCTAGCCGCCCGCATCGTTCCGGATGCCATCCTCCCTCCAGCCCGCAACCGTCAATCCCCCTTCGGCCCCTTCATCTCCAGTAGCGTCTACGGGCGGCTTCTCCTCTAAATCTCCTGCGGTGGCAAAGCAGCCGTCCTTGATTGAGCGGTATGGGCTAGCGAACAGGGTACCGAGCCGGAAAGGGAAGGAAGTGGATGCTGGGGAGAGGCCGGAAGCGGCTGGGCAAGACGAGGGAGCTGGGGAGAATCAAGCGAGCGGAGGGAAGGCCAATTGGGCTGATTCGAGAGAGGGGAGGGAGAAGGTACTGAGGGAGAGAAAGGAGCGGATGATTCTCGAGGCAAGACGGTGAGCTGCGTCATACGCGTACCGCATCGAAGCGAGGTGGACCGCAGCTGACATGACTAGGAGGATGATGGAGAAGGAAGCTCAGGCAACGTCGGCTGCGTCATAGCATATACCTACTGGTGATACATATGGCTGTACAAGATTGTCTTCACCTTTGGTGACAATATAGCACTGATTGATGTATGGTTCCCTCAGCTCATACCCATAATCTCGTTGAACCTACGTAATCTCGGCCCGACCTTCTTGATCGTCTCGTCGTCCACATTTGCCACTGCGAACCTATCCATCAGCTCATGTTTCTTCAGTTCAGAGTACGCTTAGCTCACCTCAACCACCGATCCTCTCTCAGCTTCTGGCCCCCTACCACCCCTTCCCAGACCTCATCATCCTCCAGATCAGGCATACTAAAATTTCCCGGCAGAACTACCACCCCGGCCTTCACCGCCAACCCTTTCGCTACATCCTCGCTCCCTAACCTCTTCCGCTTGAGACCCAAAGAGGAGCTCGCGGACAGGTATTCGGACGGGAAAGAGACGTAGGCAAAGTATCCGCCGGAGGACTCTATCTTCCAGCCAGGGACGGTGGATATGATTTCGCGGAAGAGGGCGCGGCGGTGTGCGAGAGCGTGGGAGGCAGTGAGGAGGTCGGGGCGGAGAGAGGGGAGGAGTGGGGGAAGGGCGACTTGAGCGACCTGTGGGGCGCAGATCTGGTTGGTCAGCTTCGGGAGCGATGCATGTGCGGACCGATAAGCTGGACATACCTGGACGCAGTCACAGATCGTCTCGAGCCGCCGAAGCAGCATCGGACTGCCCGTGATGGTCCCCAGTCTGTATCCCGGGATTCTGTAGCTCTCTGTGAAGTGTCAGCTGCTGGTAGATCCTTATCTGTTTTTTGTAAACTCACTGCTGAAAGAACCCAAGCTGATGAAGGTACTCCGCCAATCAGCCTCCTCGAACAGCTTATGCGGCACCCCTCTCAGATCTTCCGTCTCACCCTCCACAAAATCCCGATACGTCTCATCCACCACCAGTGCGACCTTGTACTCCCTCGCGAGCTCATACCACTCCTTCAGCAGTTCCGGGCCCATGATCGACCCAGTGGGATTCGACGGGTTGATGAGCAGTATCATCCGCGGCTTGACCTTGTTGCCCGCATCGTTTCCCGCGGATTCGAGGTACGCCCGAGCAGCCGGAAGGGAGGGGTAAAAGTTGTCCTCCGGATCGCAAGCGAGGTGGATAGGCATAACGGATTGAAGGGAGAGAGTCATTGCGTGAGAGAAGTAGTTGGGCATGGGGAGGAGGACGGAGGATGCGTTAGGAGGACAGAGGGCCATGAGGGTGACGAGAAAGGCCATGTTGCCGCCGGCGGTAATAGCGACATCCGGGGCTGTAACCCCAGGTCCGGATGCCAGTCCATTGACAGGTCTCTTCATCCGATACAGGACGCGCATCTCCTCCGCTACGGCTTCACGCAGAGCAGGCGAGCCAAGGATCGCACCGTACTTGGCGACCGGACCTTGCTTTGCCGCCTCGGACAGCGCAGTGAGGACCGACTCGTGTGGTGCCGTACCTGGAAATCCTTGCGAGAGATCCACGACAGGTCCCTCGATGGGATCGAGCAGGTACTGGTCACGCCATGCCCAGGCTTTGGGGATTCTAGACCAATATCAGCCTTCTTTCGGTTGAATCAGGAATGAGGAGCTGGAGGAGGCAGACGGACGGCGGAGGTACCGTCTCTTCTACGGCTTGGGCGAAGGAGTAGTTCAGCGACATTGTAGCAGTGACTACGTCAGCTGCTCGTGAAATGGATGGGATGTTGCGGGTGGGTCCATGTCCCCGCTTGTTAGGAGCAGCAGCCTTGCATCGTGACGGACAGCAGCGCAGTGGCCTGGATCGGGCTTACGGCATGCCGATGCTCGGCGCTCGGTCGGCCGGGTGGGCGCAGAGACGGCCGACCGAGCGCAGAGAGAGTGGCTCCAGCTGGCCTTTGCGCCCTTTGCGCCACCCGCACTCGCCATCCATTCACTCATATAGTGTCTAGCCGGCGGCCCCAGGTTTTGCGACACTCGTGTCACGCAGAGCTTTCCCGATCTTCGATATGTACACCATGGGATGCCGGTCCAGGAGCACAGCATTCAATCCTCCCAGAAAGTAGGCAAACGAGGTGCAATGGTGCATGGAGGTCCCAGGGAAAAGCAGAGGCTGACTTCAAGCAGCGCTCGTGGCTGTGGTGTCTATTTCAGAGCCCGCAGCGTTCTCAGCCATCTCACTGCGGCCCGTCAGAGAGTCAGTTGCGGCAGGAACAACGGTGCTTTGACACAGTCTGCAGTCCTCCATCAACTCTGGGGCGACGTCTTCAACCAGACTCGGGAGGGGATCTGCGAAGACATCGTACCGCCAGGCTCTGTCTTCTTTGTCGACCGTGATGCGTGATCCCAGGTGATGCAGACCCCACTCGTGGTACCTCTTCCGCTATCTGATCAGCCTCGGGCTGGGAAGTCCGCTGAGCGAGATCATGATATTAAGTGAACTCACCACCTCCGGAAGGGTTGTGCAGCGTACCACCGATCGTCGCATCGCCTCTTGCTCATGACAGTGGCAATCGGTTTTGACGTACTCGTGGAAAGCCCGGCCAAGCCCTCTTCGACGGCGATCTTCGCGGAGGCAGCTCCACAAGACTTCGTCACTGCTCACCTCGATCTCCTCGAGTGTATCCCTGCTGAGCTTGTCAGTCAGTGTGGCGCTCGGATCACGGAGCAGCTTGGTAAGTCCCCTACTATTATGAGCACTGGTATGATTCTGCAAGCCAAGCATGCCCCGAAATTGAACCGTCGGCGTTGACTCGAAGGAACGTCAGGGAAGCCTTAGAACCTACATTGTGGTATATCGCTGGCCCATCGGGGTAATGAGAGCCACACCGATCACTTCCTCATTTGTACCATGCTCCATGGGACTTTGCGCAACGAGAACCAGGCCTACAGCCTGCCCAGGTCCTGCAGCACTCGCCACGCTGTCCTTGAAGGTCTGCTGCAGCCATCGCTCCCTACCCTCATAGTAGCCCGGAACTAAGATTTGCATGTCAGCGTCTCTTGTAGGCTCGGCGGTAGTGCCCCACTCACGATTGGTGAACGAGACATAGAGAAGCTCTTCCGCAGCCTCGCAGTCTGCATCGGCGTCAATCCCAGCTTGTTCTGCTGGTGTTGAAATGTAGATCCAAGGGAAAACTCACTGCTGTGGTCAATTGGTCTGGTCCTGTACGCGCAGGTGTCATCCGCCATTCTACACGGATCTTGAGGCGATGTGCTTCTGAAGTGATGTGAAGAGGACAGAGCGTGGCGAGGGTGAGGATGAAGATAAAATATGAAAGACGAAGCAGGGGTCCAAGGGTCAGCTTGTACGCACCTGAGAGACGCCTGAGTCTGAAGAACCGTCGCCTGAAACGCAAAAGCAGGCACCTCGAGGGAGGATCAGGTCAAAGGATATGATCGCGATCAGCTGACCCTAGTACCTGATTTCATCTCGCGTCTAGCATGTTCTATGGACTTCGTCCGAACAGCGCAAATCCAACAGTGACCCTAGGAGGGAGCGACGGGTCAGAGAGTACAGATCGACGCTTCGTCTGCTGTCAGTGAGCACCCTAGCCTGCTGTCGGCAAGCTCTCCAGCGGCACGCATCGGACTGCATTTACACATTTTGCTTACTATCACTATCCCAACTCTACAACCCCAACCTTCGCCTACAACCCCATCTCATCCCAGTGTAAATAAAGAATCAACAATCCTAGCACATACAATCATCAGAGAAAGTAGGAAGAAACAACTTGTCCCGCCCGCTGGGAATAGTTACAACTTCGTCCATCGATCGCTTATCGTCGCACACAACAATGGTATCTTGGTTCGGTCGGTCGATCGGTCGTTCTCGCCTTGAATCAATTGCACAAGAATCTTCGGTTCAAGCAGTGCTACCTTGTCAGCACTAATCCCCCATCGGTTTGGGCATGAGGGAGTACTCACCAGATCCCGACAGAAACTCGGCCACGAGTAGTATATCCTCCTCCTCCCCTCCTCCGCTTTTCTGAGTGCCTCGAGCTCCCCTTCATCCTTCAACCCATTCCGCTCCAGCTCGTCCTTCTTCATCTGACAGATCTTCTCTTCGGCTTTGGCGAGCTCGACTTCCCAGCCGAAGAGCTCGTGGAAGAATCGGAGGTTGGGCTGGATCAAGACTAAGCTGTCAGCTTACGGCCCAAGATCAATCAGGAAGCATTCAAGACCCACCATTCAGGCGCCGAGCCCTGGTAAGGAGGTAAGCGTCCATGAGCCCCATCTTGCGATGCTGCATCATGTACGCCATGACGATACTGGCGCTCCGGCTAACTCCCACGCGCTGTACGTCAGCTCATTGCCAGATCAATCCTCCACTGAAGCATGACTTACACAATGGACCAATACCGTCCCGCCACTCTGCCGAGCCTCCTCAATCCACGTGCAAGCCCTCGCAATGAGCGGCCTGAGCGGGTCGTTCCCATCATCCCGGATATCCGTGAGATCAAGCACCTTGATACGACCCGCGGCATGCTCTGCAGAAAGCGTATTCGACCCGATCTGGCCGTACATGGGATCAAAGTCTGTCGGGCAGGTGATAAGGGATTCGCCAACGGATACGACGTGGGTGATACCGATAGCGTGGAGCATCGCTGCATTACCGGCGTGTTCACTGATTGTAAGCTAAGCTTGATGGGACGAAAGGCACAACTTGCAGGTTCCCAAGGTACAAGAAGTCCATGATTCGGCTGGGGAAGCCATCAAACCGTTTATCCTCAAACCAGACTTTCGCATCTTGACTCTCCTTCGAACCTCCCTTCTCCTCGGTGAGCAGCATCTGCCGTGCCACATCCACCGTCTGCTGGTGGTCTGAGCTGGCTGACGAGACGGCCACCGCTGTTGCAGTAGTGGTCGTCGAGGTGGAGACAGAGTCCTTGACGCCAAATCCCCATGCCTTCCACCGGCTGGAAATGGGTGAAGAAGTTGTCGGGGAAGGAGCCGAGGCAAGGGATGTCGAGCTAGACGAAGGAGATGGGGAGCTGACGAGCTTGAGCGCCTGGGCTTTACGGTCGGCGGTCAATCGCGCGTCGACCCGCCGGAGAAGAGGTTTGTCCGAGGGATAGAGGAAGAAGCTCCGTTTGGCATTGAGCTGAAGGTGGAGGTATGCCTCTGGCAACGAGATGCTGAGGCTCGACATGATGTACGCGAGGACGATGATGCTAGACTCGGTGTAACCATCTTGGCAGTGCACGAGTACTCTGCGCTTGACGCGCGACTTGTCCCGCCCTTCCACAATTTTGCGGAGAAAGTAGACGAGCTCGACGACCCGGTCGGTCATGGTGCCCAGGTTCCGCAGTTGGCCTGTGATTGTGCGACATGAGCCGGCACAGTCAAGGTGGACCGGTTCGACGGGGACCGCCGCGCGGGATTTCCGAGGGTTCTTGGTTGGCGTGGTGTCGTCTGCCGGGGAGCTGGCGCGTTTAGACCCGGTATCAGAGACGGGAGTGGCGGCGCCGCTCGGCGAGAGGAGATTACGAAGAGCAATGGTGGCGGGGCTGGCGACCCAAGACGACTGGGTAAAGCTGCCTTCCGCTTTCCTCCGCTTATCGAGGTCCGCGAGCTGACGGTATGCGCTTGTCAGCATAGACGAGCTTGGCATGTCGAGGAGTTCCGATGCTCGGAGGCAAAGATCAAAGTTGATCGACGACCCGCCATCCCCGTCTTCTGGGCCAGGGACATCCGAGTGATTCCCCACCCAGAACCCCTCAACCACTTCGCACGCCTTGGTCATCGCTCGCGACTCGAGCCCTTCCCGCTCAAACAGGTCGGTGAGGACGGAATGCGCCGTCGTGTTGCCGCACGAATCGAGATTGACCAGGTGCGGTGCAAACTTCTCGACCTGCTCAAACGGTTCCAGCAGGACCCAGACGCCGTACCGCACCGGCTCGCTCGCTCCTTCCCCTCGTCCCGCCTCCCGCTGGTGCTCGTAGTACTCCTTCATGCGAGATTGGTACATCTCCTCCTGAGCCTCCGCGATCATCTCGGCGATCTGAATGACGCCAGCTCCAGCGCCGCCTTTGGCGTAGAGGATGATGTCCGAGATGGTTGCGTACTTGATTTGCTGGATATTGAGATTGCGGAGATTGATATGGTGAGGAAGGCGTGGACGGCGGAAGGTAGCTTCGCCCTTGTACGCCTCGGTCGAGAAGGCCGGGAAGTTGAAGATGTCCTGGGCATGCAGGGCGTTGGCGAAGAGGCATGATGGTCCCAATTCCTCCGCACTGGCCGAGGCGGAAGAGCTCGACGACTCCTCCTCGCTATGACCGAGCGAGGGAGGACAGGGAAGAGGATGATTCTCTTGGTCCAGCCCTTGCGACTTGGCGACGCCCGAGACCCGCTTCGACTCGCAAGGGTGCATCTGGACGTCGTCTTCCGAGATGACAATCTCTGGCTCCATGGCGGGTGGAAGCCGGACTGGCGAGTCGGGCGTCTTGGGTTGAAATTCGGAGATGGAGGGGGAGGTCATGTCTGTTTCGTTGGATGAGCCGTATGATTCCGAAGACGTAGACATGGTCTCGGACCGCTCGCGCGGTTCCCGATAGTCATGCTCGTTATCGGTGGAAGAGGAGTGATACCGCTGGCTAGGCAGCCGCATGGCGCTGGGTCGAGGGAAGGTGGGGCGCGAGTCGAGCGGGTGAGCCGGGGCGAGAAGAAGGCAGAGGCCTCGATAGGGCGGTGGAGCGAAAGGAGGTGATCGACTGCTTCGTGAGCAGTGCAAGTGGCTGGACAGGATCTGACTTACCCGAAGAAGGCTGCCATATCTTGGCCTTTCTGCCCGTCATCCGAGATCCCGTGCAGCCAAGGGAAGAGGATCTGACTGGGGACGTCCATCATGTTATGCTGTCCAACCAGGGCGGGTAGCTATATCGTCAGTCACACTCCGCACCTTAGGCCTTAAGGCTCACCTCCTCCATCCCCAACAGCCTGACACCCTTCCGGACTTCGTTCCGGTCCTCCTCACAGCCCCACTTTGGCATACCCCAGACCTGCGGTGCCTCCTCCTGCATCGCCGCCATCTTCTCTGCTACTGCTTCCTCGCTCAGCAGATCCGGCTGATCATCCAGGTCAATGTCCATCTTGTCATCCTCCACCGGATCTACCTCGGGCAGACTACGGCTCTCCACCCGAGCAATCGGTACTGGCGCTCCCAGATGGTACGTCTCGCCGTTCTCCAGATCCTGTATTTGCTCTTTAGACGGCACTGTCTTGAAGAGCAAGCTTGTTGCCTTGACGTCCCGCCTGCGTCCATCCCGCCCATCTCCGACCGGTGCTGTCGTGACTTTCTGGCTGCCTAGCCCTGCTTCCGAGGAGCGGCATCTCTCCATATGGCTTGTCCCGGGCTCCAAGTGGAAGAAATGGGTAGGTGTGACTGGTGTGGTCGGTGCGGAGATGGGCTGGCCTGTAGAGAGCACATTCCCTTGGAAGTCCTTGAGGGACGGCGGGGTCGAGGGGCGGGACAGCCGGGGCGAGGTCGGCGATGAGCGGGTAGGGGTATGTGGACTGGATCGCGGATGGAGTGGGGGAGACGAATGGGACATTGGCGCTGGGAGGGGGAGCATCAAAGACATGGCGCCTGTTACGCAGGACCACGGACGGTCTCTGGGAGATGGATGAGATGCGGATGATAAGTAGATGCGATGAGCGGAATAGGCCGAAGGAGGGGTGGTCGGGTGAGATGTCTGAGCGTGTGTGCGGCTGACAAGGGGTGGGGAGAGCGGCCCGTTCCTGGTTCAGGCACGTCGAAACGAAGCTGACGGCGTGACTGTCTGGGTGTCGAGGAAGAGGGTGAGGCGTACAGAGTAGAGGTACAAGGGGTATGTATATACAAAGGGTATGAGTGGATAGCCGCTGCCGCTACCGCTGTCTGTCCGTCGATATCATACAGAGGTCTGGCGACCATCCACAGCGCAAAGCATTTGGAGCGGGATTGTTCTAATCGATTTAGGGTTCATTAGGAGCCCCAGCCCGATCAAGTAAAAAGATTAGCCCCACTTCTCAGGGATGACCATATCCCTTTAACCCCGAGATCCGAGAGATCTACCCCTTGGGGAAGTTTGCACCGTGACCTAAGCAGATCACCAGTCATGCATTAAGCGGCTGAATGATGGTGGCAGAGAGGCGAGAGTGGCGGTCCAAGGCTGTCCAAGGTGTTCCAGATGGCGGAGAGTCAGACCGTTGTGGGGATTTGCGAGTGACTACCGCCAGACTGACTGGAATGCCAATGGCTGCTGACAAGAGGCGGGTATCCTTCCGCTAAGCTTTGAAGGGGTACCTGGGAGTGTTCACCCCGCACGGACGCTATCCGCACGGCCCCGTTGCAGAAACGGATAGCATACAGCTGCCCGTGTGGTCAGCCACGGGCTTACCACAAGGTTCAGCTGGGATAGGCCGTCATCGTCATGCATGCATGCACACACACACTTCTCATGCACACACACTGTCCTCTCCTGCCGGTTCGGCACCCGCGCCGGCTTCCTTGCCCCCGTACGTCTTTTCGAAGAACTATTCGAGTCAGCCTGCTCTCACCCCTGTCATACTAGGTGCCCTGATATGACTCACGTCGACAAAGGCCTCCTCTCCGACCGCACCGCTGATAGCGTACTTGTTGTCCACAATGAAGAATGGCACGCCAGTGACGCCCATTTGCTGCGCCGAGCGATACCCCTTCGTCACCTCCTCGTCGTACTCTGTGCCATTCTCGAGCCACTCCTTCGCCTCAGCCTCGGAAGAGAAGAGCTTGTACTTCATCGCGATGGTCGAGAGAGTGTCCAGGTCCGAGGGGTGGATACCGTCCGTGTGGTATGCCAAGAACAGGTCCTCAGCGAGAGCGGGCTGCTGCGAGGGGTTCTTGTGCAGCGCGAGGGTCTGGAGGCGGTGGCCTCGGTGCGAAGACGAGACCTCCCCTGCTGGGTGACTGCGACGTCAGCTTTGGTCCAGCCGCATCATCCTCTTGAATGCACTCACAGAGTGAGACCGTGCGCGGTGAACCTGTCCGCCATCTGAGCACGCAGATCCTTGGCTTTCGGCCCGAATTTATCCTCGTACATCTTGACCTTGGACCGAGGCTCAGGCGAAGTGTTCTCAGCGCTCAGCTGGTAGGGCAAGAACCGAATCGTTGGGTCAATACCCGCAGACGGGTGCGCCGTGTTGAACTTGGTCACAGCTGAAAAGTCAGTTCCTCCTCAGCTTCTTTCCACGGCCTCGACAGATCCTCAAAGCCCATCCACGATCTGCAAGTATCACTAACCTCCTTCGAGCTGCTTCTGACCCAAAAGGCAGAACGGGCAGACAATATCGCTCTATCTTGGTCAGCTTACAAACCACCTCAGAAGGACGAACGACTGACAATAATGTCGACTTTGACTTGACGGGGCGCCATAATTGCGAGACCTCGACGGATGATGTGTTGTATAGACACTTTGAAAGGTTGATTGTTGGTCAGAGGCTGCTTTGCAAGATGAAGTATGATGGGGAGAAGGAGAGTCGCTGAATAATAGGTCAAGTGGACGCCTCCACCGCTGCGGTTTGGCTTAGTCATCAGTATGACGTGACGTCATCGGGTGTTCCTGCCGAAGGGCGGCGAGGCTTCCGCTGCTGCCGTTCAGAATTCACTCTGCAGATCAGACATTGTTCAACGCTGCCTCTTCAGGCTGAGTGGATGCCGCGCTCAGAGCTCTGCACAGCGCCTGCAGATGCTGACCTACCCCACACTCGGCTTGAACAGCCGATTCACGAAATACTGTGATCCGAGATCGCCAGCAAGGCGCAGGAGGGGGTACTTCATCGGCCGGATGCTGTCCAAGTATCCAGCTAATATCGCCTGACATCACTTCGCTTTTGGCCCATCCTCTTACGTGTGCTGACTATCACCACAGAGTGTGGTAGCTTGAACAAGAAGACGAAAGATCTGCTAGACGCCTCACGACTGAAAGGATAGCCTGAAGGGTGATATGGCGTGCTCACTGTGGCATCAACCGACTGAGTTTCTGGCAAGCGGGTTGAGAGTACACATATAGTTACCGTCGCGGAGGGAAGTAGAAGCTAACGCTGTACAGTGGCGCTACTGACTCTGACATTCAATTGGCAAGATGATCGCCTCGAATCCACCCCGCATGACCATGTCGGAAATCAAGGCGGCGCTAGTGGAAAGGTCGCTGACTGCGAGGTGGCTTTCAAGGTCCGACGGTGAGTCTTTTCACGTATGACAGGTCATTGCTCCCTGAAATGCTCCTTGGACTTGCGTAGCACGAGCCAAGCATACATGATATCACATGGACTGATGTTGACCAGCCTCCGACTTGAAAGAAGCCGAGGATGCACTGATAGCGTCATGGACAGACGGTAAGTTGAACTGCGGTCTCTGGGACCTGCGGTCAAAGGGGAAGTGCGATGGGTTCTGGACATCACATAGTGAGGAGATGCTGAGATATACAGCCGGATATGACATGGACGTTCACGAGTCGCAAATCATTGAGGATTTCGCCAGCATGAAGCAGGTTGAACCGTCGATCGGGACGCAAATACTTGTGTATCGGGATACGAGCTCCTCGGCTGACAACGAGCCGATCGTAGCCGTGGGGATCCTCGCTCCACACAAACTTTCGTAAGACGACAGTCCCAGTCACTCGCCACACTGCTGATGAACTAGACCTACAAGAGCCGATTACCTGAAATCCAGACCTGCGCCCGAGTATGCTGCTTACCCAGGAACGATGTGTCTTGATTGGCTGGGCGTCAAGAGCGAGTACCGGAATCGCAAGGATCATATTGGCTCACTGATGCTTCAGCATCTGATCAGCGAGAGTCATCATGCAGGGTATGACTTTCGGTGTGAGACGGTCGAGGGGGCTGATGTGAGTTTAACAGCCGAGATTCTGCCAACGTCACATCTTACTGATCCGCAACTAGGGCGTGCAGGATTGCTTGGTGCGTTTTCATAGCATCCCCACCATTTCAATGATATCATAGCTAACGGCTTAGCGAACATATTACACTGGACGTCATGGACTCTCACACGTGGACTCAGACAGCTCAGACACGGGCCACCCAGTGTTTTACGCCCTCCGTCCTCCATGCTGTGCGACGGCGAGCATGGCTCCGAAAAGCGGAACCTTTGGTCACGCACATACTGATACCGGCTAGCCTTTTGAGCTGCCTGTCCGCCGTACAGACGTCTTACTCCCCATCTCATTCCATCAACCATCCGTAGGGTTTCAATGCATGCCATTAGCTGTCATCGATGCGCATTCAGGTCCCGGTGACGCGTCTTTGGTCTAGACGATATGACTCAGAGGTTTGTGCTAGGGAGCTATAGCCGACCGAGCTCCTCGGCACGTCTGGGGCTGTTGACTGGGCGTCGGCGCCTCGGTACGTCAGTATGTCAAATGAAGCCGACTCGCTACAGCTGTCGCTCTTTGCCACCCACCCATCCTGTGGCGCCACTTTCACGGTCCCCATCTGCTTCCGCTCCGCTCTCGGCATAGAAAGTCAACCAACGTCACCCAAAATCAGTCGCGTCCATCGGACGGGCTATATCAACCGACCTCCAACTTCCTCTGCTCTCACCTCAACTCAATTGCTCAGCTATCTTGCCACCATACATAGCACTCACCTCTTGCCACCCACCCACACCGCATCCACACCCAATCTCAACTCCAGCAAACAGCTTTACAAAGTACAAGCCCAAAGACAGCCCTCATGTCGTCCACTACTTCTTCTACCAACTCTACGCCCGCCAAGGGCTCGGCGGGCGCTTCGCCCAACATCACGCCCATGCATGACCCGGCGCACCAGGCGAAGGTTATCCCGCAGACGAAGCCTTTGGGGCTTGCGAACCGTGAGTATCCAATATGCTGATTGGCTTGTACGGTGATGGGTGGGAAGGTTGAGTGATGGATGGAGGAGAAACAAGACGGGGCTTGTCAATCTCGGACGAGGAGCGCGGCGTGTGTGCTGGTGTGGCGACAGATCAGTGGTGTGAGAGAGTATCAAGCTGACTGGAACAGCAAATCCCATTGTGCCCGGGCAGAATGTCGACCCGTCCATGGCTGCCGGACTCGGTCAGAAGGCATTACTCGCCAAGCGGTTCGCCAAAGCCAGGTGAGTCCACCATCAGCTGTCTCTTGTGCTGGGATCCACAAGCATCAGCTGATCGTTTAGTAGCAAGAGCACCGTCAGCCCTACCGACCAGATGCAGTCCCCTTGCACTCAGAAGCTCTCTGGCGCGAAGCAACGCCACTTTGTCAAGTGAGCTGGCCCTCTCGCCTCTCTTGCCAATGGGGCACTCAAGCTGACACGTCAGATCGAGCAAGCCTGCATCGCTCGCTGCGTCCTTTACAGCCATGCGTGATAGTCCTGCCGCACCAAAGTCCGGCCCACGGACAGACATGTAAGGCGGTCCCTGTGCCTCAACGTGTGAGTCGACACCTCCCTTCGCGAGGATTTGACTTGGGCACAGCTGACATTGCAGTTGCCCTTCTGCTTCGACCGCATAACGACCCTCTTGACGATAACGACCACCCCTTCTTGACGCTATGTCTGCCCTCGACGTATGCCCCTCGCTCTGTATCTACCTCCCGTACCTTATCTTGTAATTGACTCATGCATACTATACGAGTCTGCCTCGGGCCATTGGACTGGGCCACTGGCGATATGCTCTGACGAAATCTCCCTCGCTTACACAGTACGCTCATATAGGACCGTATACTGCGTCCAGGGTGCATCAACTAAACATCTCTTCTAGATCCATGACAAGATCCTTCTGCCCCCAACCCGCCGAGATCGCATGAACAATCAACCAGCACCTCCCCAGCGTCTCGTCCACGCTCGTCTCGTCATACTCTTCCCTCTCATTCGGAGTGATCTGTTCTTTCGCCGGACGAGCCATCTCCTTCTCCGCTACTCCCGTCGCCTCTCGACTGTCTCGCGCATACTTCCACCGCGCACCCATTACCCACGGTACTGGCGCCGGCGCCGCCCCCGTTCCGCCTTCGCCCACGGCACCGCCATTAGAGGAAGAAGCAGGCAACCCGACTTCACCAGCCATGACGGCCTCGACCCACCGCCAAGCGCCCACACGCATGACGACCCTCGCGAGCTCCCGGAGTGCCGAGACTTGCGCTGCGGAGAGGAATGGGTCGAGCACGAGCAGAAGGGCGTAGATCCAGCGAGAGTAGTGCTCGGTGAATGGGTTCTTGCGGGAGTGGGGGCGGTATGAGGAGGAGGAAGAGGTAAGGGGATCGTATGAGGGCGGGATGAGGTCGGACTCGAGGGGCGTGAGGGTATTTTGGATGTGGGTGGTGAGGGTGGTCAGGACTGAGATGATGTGGAACTGAATCATTAGCTCTTGGCTGGGGAATACGAGAACGGGAGCGCGGAAAGAGCAACTTACAGTATCCAACTTCTGCAATATACAGACGTGTGGATCCCGGGATTTATGACGCTCCCCAAGCGGCTCCAGCGTATCATAATTCAGGGCAGCCTCCTCCTCGTCCTCAAGGTCCATGTCCACATCGTCTTCGTCTCCGCCTCCGGCATTCATTCCCTCCTCTTCATCGACCTCAGCGTTCAGTCCCTCTTCCTCGTCCACCTCAACAGCAGGGCCCTTCCCTTTCGCGCTCGACGCAGCGGTCTTTGGCCTCGCAGGGGGTGAGAGCTTCCGCCGAGGATACCCATTGATGTAGTATCCCCATTCACCGCGCTGAGAGGTTGGTGGGATCTTTGGCCAGGTAGAGGGGTATGGAAGAGGGGGAGAGGGAGGCCAGGACTGCGCGATGGTCTGTGGATCAGCTGTAAGCACATTGCCCAGTTTCACGGCGTTCAAGTCTTGAAAGGGGATAGACATACCCTTCTGTACTCGACAAAGTGGTGCGGGAAGACAGTCTGCCATGACTTCTTCGGGAGTGCCGGATGTCTGGACGGTCCAGCGGCAGCTTGGTCCGGCTGAGCAGCCTCTCCGATGTCTGGCAAAGCGGGCGCCGCAGAGCTGCTCCATGGGTTCTCAGCTCGAGTAAACGTCGGCAACACTTTATCTGCCCTCCTGTCCTCGTCAGCTCTTTGCTCTGCATCATCGCGCTGGAGAGCTTCTAGTTGGAAGATCACACTCACATAGCAAGCGCAAGATACGTCGCTCCATCCTCTGCATCACCTTCCCAATCATCAGGCAGGTCCGCAACTGGCAGAACCTGCGCTCCACCTCCCTTCTTGTCCTTCTTCTTTCCCTTCCCCTTCCCATCCGCATTGCCTATAACGAACGCCTCGCCCGCATCGCCATCTTCATCCTCATCCTCGTCATCCTCTTCCCCCTCCTCTCCTTGCTGGGCAAACGAATCGTACTCCCCGCCCTCCTCTTCCTCTTCCTCTTCTCCTTCCTCGTACTCTTCTCCCATGTTCCCTTCGCCCGCAGCTCCACCGCCCAGGCTCATCCGAGAGGAGGCAACCTGAAAGGAAGGGCCCGAGCCTTGCACCTGCATCTGCAATGGCAGGCCAGCTCGAGGGGTCGAATTGGACCTCGAGCTCCCGCCGTGTGATTGAGCTCGGGCGGCAGCCTCTTCGGCTTGTCGTTTCCGTTTGCGGTGTTCTGCTTGTCCGGGGCGGGCCATGCCGTGCTTGCGAACTGCAGGATGACGAATGGAGTGATAAGCGGACAAGAAGGGAAGCAGAGGGATGCGCGCAAGTTGATGGGCGAACTATCGACGGTGGGTGGTAATTTTGATCACGTGCCGATCTGTAACTGAGCAGCTGGTGAACAGCTCTGCTTCACTTGAGCGCTTCACTTGAGCATAGCAACCGGTTCTCTATCGGCGCCGACGCCACAGCTCCCGATGGTCAGGTAAGGCGGCCTCTCTCCCCTCAGATCTCAAACTCAGATACATCACCCAGCTCTACTATTGAGCGCGCCCACCCTCCTCCTATCCTCCGCCCCACCGGCACCCGGCGTGCCCGGCTGACTCGCAAACTGCCCTCGGAACCTAAACGCATCATCCCCCGATCCACTAGCAGCTCCTCCAGCAGATGGCAAATTCCGCTGCGCGGCATACATCGCCGGATTGCGATATGCGGATGTCGAGCCTAGACCTGATCCCGGTCCGGCTCCGGGCGTCTGGTATGCCCCACTGAAAGAAGGCTGGGGTATCCTCGATGATCCGCCTACGCCAGGCGTGGGCAAGGGCGTCGCGCGGGATGAGGACGAACCGCCTGGGAATCCAGCTGGCATATGAATCTTCCTTCCCCCGCCTCCTCCTGCAGCTCCGGAAGGCGTAGCGGAATGCACCCGCATTTCCGGCCCGTTGGTACCGCCAGCAAGTGACGTCCCCCGCGTATCCGTTCCGACTTGAGAAGTCTCCGCCGAGTCCCCGCCGAGGCCGAGGTCATTCACGATCTGCCCGAGACCCTGCCGGACAGCTTGGGACATGACTTCCTTGGCTTCTTCGCCTAGGTCGGCCATGAACTCCTTGGAGGAGAGGTTGGTGCGATTATTGAGGATCTGAGGGAGGGAGAAGGAGAAGGTCTTGGGGTGGACAATGCGGTCTTGTATGAGTGAGCGGATACGGGAGAGGAGGAGTTGCTCGAGTTTGGGTATGTCTGAGAGGAGTCAGCTACGCCCATGCTTTCAGACCCGAAGCATCAGATGCAATGAGCTGACCTTGCAGCTTCGCTCGAGATCCCAGTAAAGATGTTGTTTTGAGATTCAAGTGAAAGTCGGGCAAAAGGCAGGCGTGAAGGTGTTGTCGTCCTTCCACAGGATCATGTATTTGTACGCTCAGCTATCAGGAGTCAGCTCAGACCGCTGCGAAGAATTTAATCGCGTAGCTTACTGTTCCACCTATCGCTGCGAGCTCGACACCTAGTGATACGGGGAGGACGGCGAACCGAGGTCGAGGGAAGTTGACGAGAACGGCAGTGGAGAGTGATAATGAGACTGCGTCCGAGTAGTCCATATCTATTTCGGCTCTCTACCATGTCAGCTCGGCAGGCGGGTATACCACGATCCGAGAAGCTCACCAGATGCCCTTGCCCGTCCGCGGGTCGTATTCTCGCATTTGAGAACAAGGGGTATGAAGTGCCTAATGATATTGAAGTCACTTTGATGGGATCCTATAGGGTAAGCTCTCTCGTCGTGGCCTCACATGTAGCCAGTACTCCCGTGGCGCCTGACTTACCAGCCAGCTCATCGCTCCACTTTCTGGATTCAGCCACTTCTCCACCTTCACCCTTGCCCCTTCTTCTCCTCCAGCCGAAAGCAGATCGTTCCGGTATCCCTGCATCACCTTAACGTGTTAGCTGCTGCTTGTGATTGTGATCATCGTAGCGTGATCTCGTCAGCTCACCTGAGCAAAGAGGACATTGATCCAGCCCGTGGACTCCGCGGCGTGAGTCGACATATCATAGCTCGTCTTCGCCAGGATTTGGGATGGAGGTGGCGGCGGTAGCTTATTGGAAGCGGCTAGTGATTTCTGGGTGATCAGCTCCAGTCTAAACTCTCCGATCTGTCCCCAGCCATGAGCGCAGAGTCGGTCTGCTTTGGGGGTCAAGTCCAGCGGACCACAGCTAAACCCCCTACCCCCACTGGGAAGGCGAGATGCCATGACGCTGTAGTAGCCCAGGTATTGCTGGACTCACTCGTACGCGCTCATCTCTCCGTTTCCTCCAGTCCTCTCCATCCCGTCTATCGGCAGGCGAGAAGACGACATAGCGTATGAAAACCAGTGTGAGCAGCAGAAAGCTGGCCTGGCCGAGGATCAGGCCTTGTGTGAAGGTCCACTGACTCGAAGCCGGCTCGACTGTGCGGACCGACATTCTGAAGATCTTCCAAACACGACTTCGCGCCTCTGTCTAGCGCCCGGGGTCCCTAGTGAGGTCTCGAGGAGAAGTGATAGATGATAGTGAGCGAACTTATACCGCAGCTCGCTGGACTTTGACTTTGGTTCGGCGGTGACGATTTCTGTGCCGAGAACCTCGGACGTCATGCCCGAGGTGGATATCTAAACCATCCCCCCTCTTACGACCCCTGAGTCCGGGCCAAAACACGCGTTTGATTTTCCTTCTGTCTTCCATCTCACACTTATCCTCCCCGATCTCTCCCGACTATCTATCTGAACCCACGTCCCTCATCCACCTATAGTCATCTACCATGTCTGCCAACGCCTCAGCGCCTCTTCAAGCCCAGAACGGGAACGGTGAGCTTTGCCGCCGGATTGCCAGTTGGAGCGAGAGAGAAGCTGACTCGACTGCAGCCCAACAACCCGCTCAACAACCGATGTTCCTTCACAAGAAGGGTCTTCTCGGTGGTCAGAAGGTACCAGGGTGAGCTCCACCTCCCTTACCGCGAGCAGGCCAAAAGCTGACTGAATAGCGGGATCACCAGCCCAACAGACAATGTCCTCTCTCCCTGTTCGGCAAAGTTGAGCGGTGCCAAACAACGGCATTTCGGCAAGTGAGTGACCATGCCACTCGTCTGCACCTAGTCGACCTAGTGTCGTTTATGGCTACTCTCCGCTCATCCTCGAGGTCCAAGCTGACATGCCAGATCCAAGCCAATGGGCCTGACCAGTCAACTCAGCAAGCTCGCCGTGTCCAACTCGTCGGCATCGGTCGACAGCAAGTCAAAGATCGACTTCTGATTTCCCACCTTACCTCACATCTGGGGCACCCTCGCATAGTGCCCCTACCTTTAAGGGCACCTCGCAGTCACCCGGCCGCCCTCCATCGCTTCGTCATTTTCAGTTTCTGGACCGGCATCTCTGTAACGTGTAACATCATCTGAAAATACCATATGTGCATACCACTCGTACCATCAAACTTCAACCTGGTCGGAGGGCCTTCTAACATGGCTTCCATAGCTCTGCCTTACCGTCATTGTTCGTTCTGATCTGCTCATATATACTGATACATTACCTTTGACAGGGCGGCAAGGCGGCCTGGCAAATTCACGAGATCCAGTATATCATCCGCACCTACAGAGGTAGGTCGATCTCTCGCTACAAACAAGCAAGTGGACGTACTCGCAATTGAAGGGCGAAATGAAAGGCTGAGCAATATCTTTCGTCTCTCTGGCCGGTCACTCCTCGTCGAATGTGCCAGTGCTTTCCGTTGGCGAGTCGGCATTTGACGGGCTTTCAGCGGGATCCTTTCACTCAGTAAGACGAGGTGGAGATCCGTTGACAAACTCGTGCGCGAGCTTGCACATTGACTCATCGTGTACAGCGTGATTGATCAGCGCCCTTTACCTCTCGGTTTGTACCTGACCTTGCGACCGAATCATACAAACCTCACTACATATCTTGCGGATATTAGATCAAGCGGACGCACTGATGAGCAGTGGACATACAATCACGCGTCTACAGCGGGGTTGCAACTCACAGCCCTCTCGGCTGGATTGCTGTCGTACGTAGATACACTCGTCTCAATGAACCAGGGCCCAGCTCACTGATAAACACAGCTGCGCACGCGGAGCTGCACACAGCGATCCAAGTCATGCTACAGGCGATGATCCGCAGTGAGTCGTGCTGGTCCTTCCGATGCTTACGCAATGGATACTCGATGTCGCTGATCGGTAAAGCAAAGAAGTACAAGGCGGCCAATGAGTTGGAGGAGGACATCCACCTGGAGGTGGAGAGGGCACTGGAGACTCACGGCGGGGTGTACGTATCCCGCAACTCTGAAGACGATTCTGATATCCCCGCCGCCGCCATCTTCGACCACTTCATCGTGAGGAAAGTGCCCCTGTGAGCTTTCAAAGCATCTTGTACCCGCACATCGTACGCGCTAAAGTCATAGCGCTCCGTTCAGTCAGCGTGGGTCTCGGACACGCGAGTGGTCTCAGGCGCTGGAATCCACACTCGTCTTGGTGGGTACGCATTCCGATCACACAAGGAAAGGACATGCTACAGGTCTCATTCTACACTGCTCAAGAATCTCGCAAGACCAGGACCACAAGTTGGTATTCCAGGTAACGGACCCCGCACTGGTCAGTCTGCCCTGCGTGTTTTAGAGCTACCACAAGGAAGTCAACGTGCTAAGACCCTCAGTCTCAACCTATCACAACAGAAGGCTGAGACTTCATCATACGCCAGGTAGCAAGCTGGAGAGTGGTCGCGACGAGTTCACCTCAGTATGGCCCGAGCTGGCGATGCCCGAAAGGGAGTGTGACTGTCCCTCTGACGAGTGGGCGATCCGGCAGATCAAGCGCAGCGAAGGTTCCCACCCCTGCGTTCATTGATGCATTTGCCATCTGCGAGCATAGATTGCGCCCGAACTTTTCCGCCAGCTACCGGCAATGCTCATCGGCGCTCATCGGACATTGCGTGAAGGCAATCAAACCCTAGATGCACGCTCTAGATGTACGCTTAAAGCTAGATATCCCAAGACCCATCTATCTATGTCACTTTCCGATGACTCCCTCGCCACGCCCATGGCCTCCACTCTGCACCCCCTCCCCCTCCCAGCCCTCCGCCAATCTGCATCCCCCTCGCCGTCCCCATTCCCATCCCCCCGAAACCCGAGCCCGGCCCCAATGTCGCCCCTTGCGCCGAAACCAGAACCACCGGCGCCCTCGACCTCCTCCCTTTACTACGCCACCTCCACCCGCCGACCGCCAACCCTATCAACGCCATAATCACCGCCCACCTCGTCCATCCCCTCTCACCTCCTCCGGCCGCGGCGAGTAATCTCGCGCGCTCACTCTTCTGCCTCAGCGTTTCGCGCTCGCGGCTCTCTCGCCCGGCCGACTCATGCGGGACATTGAGGATCGCCTGGTTCGCTTCGTGCCCCGAGTGATCGTCGTGATGTTCCCCTGGAGTCACTTCTGTGTTGTCTTCAGGATGCGTGAGGAAGTGATGGTGTATACGGGATTGGATATCGAGGAGGAGCTCATGCTCCCACGCCTGACGCGTCAGCGCTCATGACCTATATACACTGTGTCGTGCGAAAACGGTCAAACTCACGTGAACCTTGCTCATCTCCTGATTCCATTTTTGCATTCCCCGCCTCAGCCCCGTAGCCTCCTCCACTAACTTCCCTTGATCCTGCTCCAGCGCCTCTACCCGCTTTTGCAATCCCATCGCCCCCTGCCCTGGGACCTGGGCCTGCTTGATCTCCTTGACAGGCACCTTGTGCTCCCCTCCACCTGGAACCGCCTGGAAGAGGCTTTCCATCCGTTGATTCAGCCGTTCAATCTCCTCGACGACGCGCGAGCGAGAATGCTCCAAGATCCCATCCATCATCTCCGATCCGGTATCGAATTCCTCGAGCTTGGCGGGCGGATGCCTAACACCGGCCTGGACATCTGCGTCGGGGACGGTCTTGCCGGGTGGAGGAGGTGTTTTCGGCGGATGAGCAGCCGCGACCGGCTTTTGGGGTTGTGCGTGTTTGGCCATAGCAGCCTTTCTGGCCTGTCTCCGAGTTTGCGCTTCGACGGGATCAAGGCAGGCCGCTGGGATGTTAACCAAATACAAGGCAGTGAACGGGACATGACTTACCATACTGAAAGTCGGCATCGACAAAGTGAGCTTGAACCTCGCTCTCCGTGATACTCTTTGAGGTATACATGAACGCCATTGGGTCCGGGTTGATCGCTTCAGGGAAACACCTCTCTCCCCTTCTTCCCTCATAAGATGCGCCGTCCACATTGTCCAGTATCTTCCACCCCTTCAAACCCGCCGCCGCGATCCCGTACCCCATATGCGACCCCTCCAGCCTGTTATGGAGGACCGACCCGCCCGTCAGGATCGTCTCGGTATCGTCAGACCATACCGTTGGCCCGATGCCTATTCCCACCCTCAGTCCGGCGCCCCGAGCATGGACGATGTTGTCCCGTACAACGACGCCTGTATAGTCCGCGTTGAACGGTGTAGCATCGACCATGAGGATGCCGGCCATTGCGGATTTCTTATCCGTGTAGATGGTATTGTTCTCGACGACCGTTCCGGGCGAGCAGTAGAGGACGATAGAAGCGGCAGTATTGTCGATGAAGACATTGTCTTTGACGAGACTGTCCCGGCATGCGATAGAGAGACCGTCCGCGAGTGGTTTGCCCAGAGGGGAGAGCTCCGGGTCCTCCCCGTCCTTCTTCGAGTCGTACTCTTCCCCTACGGGCCCAATCACATTCCCTGTGATCCTCGCTCCCTTGCATTCCAGCTTGTCTCCCTCCCGAACATGTATCGCCGTGAATCCTCTTGGATCCCTCAGGACGCAGTTCTCAACCACCTGCCCCTCATTCCCGCCGAGAACGACGAGCGGGCCCGCAGCCTCGTCAGGCTTCGACCGGCCCAGCTTCCACCGATACCCGTCAATGATGAGATTTCGGACTTTGACGCCCTTACACCGCCGACAATCGCCCTGGATGGCCGTCTCCCCGGACGCCTGTATCCGAAGGACGGCGCGCGTGTCGTCGGTGGGATTCCCGAAGGTCGTGATTTCCTGGTCCGCAGCCGTAAAGACGATAGGGCCGGACAGGCGGTATATTTTGGACGGGCAGAGCTGGACTACTGTGCCCGGACCGCCTTCGGTGAAGAGAGCGGTGATGGAGTCGTAGTCCGCGAATCGGAGGCAGGATGCCGCGGCAGCATCGACCGGGACGGATAGTAGGAGGATGAAAGCGAGGGTGAAGATCAGGGTAGGAAGGAGTGACCGATGCCGGTGGGTTGATAATAACGGACGGGGATGGGAAGATTTATCGGCGAGAGGTGCGAGTGATGGACGCGCTGCAGCCGCAGTGCTCGCTTCAGCGACAGCGGAGGGGGACGAGCTGCTATCTCGTGGTCCGTCCACTCGTCTCCGCTTCCTCCGGGCGAAACAATGCTCCGCCGAAGAGGCTCCCTCGCCGTTCGTGGTCCCGCTTCTGCTCATAACGACCGACTCATGACAGTCTCAGCAAGGCGTTTGAGAGGTGAGAGAGATATCGGGATATGTACAAGCTGAGAGATACAGAAGTTCACAACGCGTCAAAGTCAAGTCAGGCACGCGCCCAGTTCCCGATCGGAAAACCTTAAATTAGGTCACGTGCACATCTCAAACAGCACTGGCTCCAGCATCTGTCGCTTGTCTACCATCGCTATGAGGCATCAAGCATCAAGACGGTAGATAAGGTACTCACAAAGCTTTCTGACAATGCGGTAGCTGTGATATAGCCACAAACGATAACGACCCGACTCACTCACTGCCTGTATATCCGACTCGCTCTGCGCCATCTCCCAATATGACCCATCCCTCGCAGCCGGAAGCCGGCCTCACCCTCGATCTAGGTGGGTGCTCTCATCTTCACGCTGATCAGTACTGACCATCAGTCGTCAATGTTCTCAGCCAGACACTATTCTCGGCATTCTTCTGCGCCTTTGTACCGGTCGCCATAGCTGGACATGCGAAATCGTGGCATCAGCCGGCGGTGTACTGGTCTGCCGGATGGGCTGCTTTCCTGGTAATCCTCGGTCAGTCTCAAGCTGTATCCACCTGCCAAGATCAATGTCTGATGATTCAGCCGCGCTAAAGTACATGAATCGTCTTTACGCCGCAAGAGGGTCATACTTCTTCCTCCCGCCGAGGCTGAACTGGGAAGAGCAGATCGTGCTCATCACCGGAGGTAAGCCCTTAGCCTGGCCTCTCGGTGGCTCTGAGGTCTGGCTGACTTCCAGGCGGCTCGGGAATAGGTGCTTTGCTCGTTGAGACCCTGGCACTGCGCAATGTGACGGTAGTCATACTGGACCTTGCGCTACCGAAGGAGCCCATTGAGAATGGTCAGTCTACAGCTCCGCCCTATAGTGCAGAGGGGTAAGCTGATCATATTGCAGACAATGTTTATTCCTACATCTGCGACGTGTCGGACTATAAGCAGGTCCAGGCCTGTGCGGAGAAGATACGGTCTGAGGTCAGCTTATCGCTGCCTCTTCAGCACAGCCTAGCTGATTCCTTCTCAGGTCGGCGATCCCACTATCCTGGTCAATAACGCCGGGACCGTACGAGGGAAGCTACTGCTTGATCTTACAGAGGAAGACATCCGCACGTGAGCCTGCCTGCTCTCTCCCAGTCTTATTTTGATCGACCAGGACATTCGGCGCCAACACCCTGGCGCACTTCTGGACGCTCAAGGCCTTCCTCCCCGCGATGCTCGAGAAAGGTACTGGACACATCGTCAACGTCGCGAGTCTCATGGGGATGATCGGATGTGCGCAAATGAGTGAGCTTGGATTCGATCCAGTACGGCCTAGCTGACATAATAGCTGATTATTGCGCGTCCAAGGCCGCTTTGATCAGTCTGCACCAGAGTCTGCGCTTTGAGCTTGACAACCGGTACGTTTCATTCATTGCCCACGCACCACTTCCTTTCCACCCACGGTATCATGAGGCCTAGGGAGCTGACCACTACAGCTACCTCACGCCCCAGATCCGCACCACCCTCCTCATCCCCTCATTCCTTTCCACCCCCCTCTTTGCTCGCGCGCACATGCCCCACTCCGCCACCAGCCTCGGCGCGTTCGCCTGCCCGCCCGTCTCCCCACCAACCATCGTCAAGGCCCTCATCGCCGCTCTCGACGCAGACGAAGGCCGGGTCATACGACTGCCGTTCTACTCGCAAATGGCGCGCGTGTGGGGCGTGGGGCCCGGTCTCATGCCAAAGTGGTTGATGGATATTGTGCAATGGCTGTCTGGCGCGGATTGGGCTATGCGGGATTTGGGGTCGAGACCTGACGCAGGCGAGCTGTTGGAAGCTCGTCGGAGGGAGAGGGCGGCAGGTCTGGGGGATAAGGACCGACAATAGCGCTTAGACTGTGCTAGAGCTAGATCATGCATAGGATGACCGATAATCCGCCCGACATTGTGCATTTTACTGAATGACTACATCTCGCCCTCCTCCGCACCCAGCAACCATCCCACCCCTTGCCTCAAAGCTCGTCTCGCGCCCCTTCGAACCCGCTCCACGTCTTCCATTCCCAATGGCTGTGCGTCCCTATCCGGATGTTCCCCGTCCGCCCCCCTCAACGAAGCGATAGCATCCAGTGCCCGCCCATACTCCCCGCTCACTCGCCCCGCCAGGGTGCCGTCATCCCTCCTCTCCGCACTCGTACTTCTCGCACTTGACGATCCCGCATTCTCCCTCGTCGTGGTGCGCGAAAGCGAATAGCCCGCAGTGGAGGGACTGGCCGACCGAGGGAGATTAGGCAACTGCAACGGGATAGGCGGTATGCGCGATCCCAATCGACCGCCAATATCAAAAGCCATCTTGGCCGCACGCGCGGCCGTTCGAGATCCAAGCACCCGCTCCTCCTCCGTCCCGGGCGGGATCACCTCGTGGAGATCGTATTTAGGGGACGCCCACGCCGAGGCATTGACAGAGGAAGCCGAGGTTCCCCGCGCATGTCCCCTCTGGTCCTGTCCGCCCGGAATACCCTCCACCCTCCGTCTCTTCGCGGCCGTATCGAGCTTGATCCGCCCGTCCTCTACGCGGCGCCAGGAGGTCAAGACCCTCTCGACCTCATCGGGCGGACACAGCTCCACCGCCAGACCCAGTAGATCCATCTTGCGCGGAATATCCGAGTAGTCGTCCGCGCTTCCAATGACCAATGAAGTCCGCCAGACATCTTGGCGCAGTCGCGCCATCTGACTGTTCTCCGCTTCGGGGTCAGACGCCTTCTTTCTTCCTCGTCCCCCAGCGCCACCACCTCCGCCACCGGGGCCGCCCCGAGCCTCGCGGACCACCTCGGCAGCTTTAGCAGTGTACTCGTCCCCGATCTCCCACTCGCCCCGCTCGGCCGCGACGCCCGCCATCATTCCCCATACTCGGCCCTTCTCGATGCGGTTCCCCACGCCCAGCTTGGCCGCTAGATCGAGAAGCATCTGCTCGTGCCTAAACGCATCGGCCGAGTGAGCGAGGACGGAAGAAATGAGGTCGAGGCGATGTTTGGTATGTCGGATCTCCTGGGGTGAAAGGGAACCGCCGTGGGGTGAGAGCGAAGGGAGGGAGAAGGTCGATAGGCGGGATGTGGCTTCGATGAAGGATCGTTCCGTCTGGATTGCGGGAGTAGGCTGGGCGATGGATAAGCTACAATGTCAGCTTCTCGAATCGACCATAGCGAAGGAACAGATGACTGACCAGTCGTATGCTGTCTTCATATCGCCAGTGTGGATGTTCCCATTCTCAGCGCCTTCATACAGCTCTCGACTGGTGGCAAGAACGACAGCCTCCAGCGTTTCTGGTTTCAAGCTATGTTCCGACTCGAGCCGTCGGACCGTCTTTCGCGCCATATCCAATTCTGCCAATCAGCCATGCTCTTTGCCTCTTCAGTCAAAGTAAACTCACTGCCAGACCTCAACAATCCTCCCAGATACACCCTCATCAACTCACCCCCATCCACCATTCCAAACGCCCCTCTCAACAGCTGGTCTCCCGACCCATTCAGTCTCAGCATATCATCCCACAACCTCGCCCATTTCGCCTCCTCGCCACCACTTGCTCCGCCCAGACGAGTCTTTTCCGGTCCCCTCAGACCCGCCTTGACCCCACTCACAGCCGCCTTCCTGACCATCCTCTCCGCAAGCTCCACCTGCTCCTTTGCGTCCCTGCTCGACTGGAGCAAGAATCGGAGCTGGACAGGGACGTCCCATCTCGCAAGAATCTCGCCAGACTCGAGGTGGACATCCAGGATATCGAGGGCGCGTGAGAGCGAAGCGAACGGGAGTGGCTGGAAGAACATCATGAGGTCGGCGGCTTTGGGTGGGACGGGCTGGCTGGCAGTAGGTCGGATAAACGCCGCGATGGATTCCAGTGTTGTGGATGTCAGTTCCGCGTCGTCTTGGGGGTCCCGGCCGGATAGCTCCCAAACCGGTAGACACTCGAATATGGAGGACATGACGCCCCAGACGTCCCGCTGGTCCGAGCCGTACAGGCATGCCAAGGCCAGCCGGGCGACGTTCAGATCATCCTTGATGATCCGGTCGGACTTTCCGAGGGTCGCCTTGGACGCCTCAAAGATGGGGAGGGAGATCGAGAGGGGGAGGGAGAGGATAGTTTCGCATAGGTACCGCTCGATGAGGTTGGGATCGGGCGATCCGGACCGTTCTGCCCGAGACTCGAGGACGTAGAGGTAGGGTAGGACTCGGGATTTGAGGTCGGCGACGATAGAGGTAGGGGAGGACCTGGAGAGGAATGCGCCGATTATGGTGGATGGGGTGGAGGCACGCCATGCCTCCAGCGACCATCTCTCGTGTTGCTCAGGAGAGAGCGCGGACTCGTATACTAGCCGAGAGAGGAGGGAGAGGTCTTCCCCCAGCTCGTCCAGACCGGGTACGCAGCATTCCTCGGCGTGCTGCACCCAGCTCAGCTGCAGGTCGACCTGTCCCGACATATCGAGCGAGAGGATGTGGGCAGAGTACCAGTCTTGCAGCTCTTCCACTGTGGTAGCGATTGCTGTCGGTAGCTCCGGGTGGCTAGACGGCTCGACACCGAGCATCTCGTATAGCTGAGCGAGCAGAGGAGCCGTGTTCTCCGCATGGCCAGTCGGTGGCAGCACCTCCTTCCCGCCCGCATCCACCCGAGGGAGCAGGCCTGCCTCGTCCAGCTCCTTAGGCGTCACCCAATCAGGGCACGCTTGCGCCAGAGAGAGCCTGACCGGACCGACGAGATCGGCGAATTGTTCCAGGAGGACTCGAAGACCGGAGAGGTAAGCGGCCGCAGCGAAGTCGACGGCAGATTGTAGGAGTGGTTGGCGTAGAAAGACGTAGAGAGGGATAGGGAGCTCATCATCCGGCTGAGAGCGTGGGGCGGGTAGGGGTGTAGGGACCGGCACCACCGAGCCCTTCGCGGACGCCTTGTCCGATGCGGCATCGTTCCACGGGTCGTCGATCTCAATGTCTTCCGCTTCTGCCTCCGCCCAGGGATCATCCAGCTCCATCGCCTCATCTCCCTCAGCAGCCTTCCCTTCAGAGGACGCGTCTTCCCCCAAATCTTGCTTCATTACTCCGCCCTGCAGTATTTCCCACGCGGCAACTCTCCGTTCCATCGCGCTCAACTCCGCGTATCGCCTCACCCTATCCTGCTCCTCCGACCCAAAATTTCCCCAAGCAGCTTCCACTTTGCCCCTATGCAGCTCTCCGCCGCCCGGTATACCGAGGGACGCCTCAAAACCCTTATAATCGCCCACCGCCCTTGCCAGCCCCAGATGGAGAATCTCTTTCGCTAGGGCGAGATCCTCGGTGTCTCCCCCCAAAAGGCGAAGACATAGAGCCGGTGTGTCTGCTATAGGCTGATTTGATAGGGTAGCGGAGACCTGGCCGATGGTCAAGGTGTTGACCGGGGCGGAGAGGAGATCGTCGAGGGATAGGGTGGGTTCAGGTTCTTCTACCGGCTCTTCGACGAGAGCGGCTGACTTGTCATCGAGCGGTACGTCCAGCAGGCCAGCTGCTGGATCAACGGCTTCTGCCATCTCGCAAGCCTCTCTGAGCGTGGGATGGGTGAGGCAGAGAACGATGTATGGAAGGTGGGATGACATCGTTTAGCCTACAGACCATGCCAGATCGTGATCCGTGCGTAATTTTCGAACCAAATACGCGTTGCTCTTTGCTGTATGGCACTCCAGCTCTTGCTCCAGCTCCATACACCTTGTCTGTCAGGAGCTAAGATACAAGCAAGGAGCTCTTGAAAGACGTCATGGGGTCTGGTAAGTAGTTATGAGCCGAGGGGAATGGCTCAATCAAACGCTGATTCTCAGGGGACACCGTCAGCTTCGTCCTCGCCATCTTCCTCCTCGTTATTTATGCGGTGGTATGGACGCTCAGCTTGATTGGGCTACGAGTAGCGTGGGTCGCCTCCTTATCACCTACTGACTACTGACAATGTGCATACTGACGGAGTAGGCGTAATCGCTACTCGGGCAAGTCACTCCCATCCCGACTGTCTACCCTCCCCAAAACGTCCGCACCAGGCGTGACCATCATTCGCCCATTATGCGGACTTGACAACAACCTCTTCAATGCCTTGGAGGCAGCCATGAACTTGGAATATCCAAAATATGAGGTGATCTTTGCGTTGCAGGACGAGCGGGATGAGGCGCTATTGGTGGTGAAGTTGATAATGGAAAAGTATCCCCACGTCGATTCGAGGATAATCATCAGTGAGTCTGCCAGCAATGCCCTCCGTAAAGAGCATGTAGGCTGTAAGCTGATGCCACAGACGATGCAAAGGTCGGCGTCAACCCTAAAATCAACAACCTGATGATGCCGTTCGCAGAAGCCAAGTATGACTTGCTCTGGGTCATTGACGCAACTATTGCCTTCACGCCGGGAACACTGGCTCGGGCGGTAGCGACCTTCCTCGGCGCGTCGTACTCGGACTCTTCCTTCGACAGCGAGCTGGAATCGACGCCTCTTCTCGCTGATAACACCCGGTCTCCGCCCAAAGCGGGGGATGTGGGACTGGTTCATCATGTTCCCTATGCGGTCACGTATAAGAAGTCGCTGGGGAGCTTGGTCGAGCAAGCTTTCCTCAACACGACACATGCCAAGATGTATCTCGCCATAGTGAGTGATGTTCTCAGGATCTATCCTGATAATTGGACTGACCGGTAGAACGCCCTGGGTATCGACTCGTGCATCATGGGCAAATCCAACCTCTACTCAAAATCCAACATCGACTCCTTGACCACCCCTTCTCCCTCCCTCCGCAAACTACCCGACCCACCTACCGGTCTCGCCGCTTTCAGCCCTTTCATGGCCGAAGACAACATGATCGGTCTTTCGCTCTGGCATGAATTACGTCTCAAGCACGCCATGACCGGGGACGTCGCGGTCGACTGTCTCGGTACCCTGTCGCTCAAAGACTATATCGCACGCCGGAGTCGCTGGATCCGCGTTCGGAAACGCATGACGCCTATCCCAGCGACGATGCTCGAGCCATTCACCGAGTCCATCTTTGGCGGGCTGTGCGGTACGTGGGCGACATCCCGGCTGTTTGGGGCGAGTGTACCGGCGCTTTGGCTGGTGCATATGGTGGCGTGGCTGTCGGTAGATCTGAGCGTGCGGCGGTATCTGGGCACGAACGTCAAGGGGATGGGACCGCCCCAGGGGACGGCGATGTTTGTGGGGGCGTGGTTGATCAGGGAGGTATTGGCGATGCCAGTGTATCTTTACGCGCTGTGCGGGGATCAAGTGATGTGGAGAGGGCGAAGATATCGGATAGTGCAGTCAGGTATGTTGATTGTCGGGATTTGGATCTTGGGGCGTAGCTGACATACACAGGCGAGGCGATCTGCGTAGATGATCATAGACCAGATGCTTTGTCCCATTAGCAGTATGCCTATGGTGCGCCTTGCCTCCCAGCTGCCACACTGTGCCACACCCAAGCCAGCTGATAGATCTACCGGTATTCGCCGGTGCCACCTCGTCATGTGCCTGAGTAGCTGCCTGAGTTTCATGTGGGGCTCCATTCCCTCCCCACATGCTGTTTGCACAAGGAAGGTGAATTTCACCCTTAGCTTTCTTCATCCTGCCTCACCCTGCCATATACCATAGCCTAGCATGGTCAGCAACGCCGAGTCGAGGGCGCAACCGCCCACGCCAGATACTCCTCCACGACACGAGTACACCTCGTTCTCGTCCCTCCTCAAGAACTCGCCAAAGGGGCAGGGCGCCGGGACCGGTCCGGGCTCTGGATCTGGATCTGACGGTTGTCCGCAAGTGAAGAAGAAGGCTTCGAGAGAGGCCAACGAGCCCGGAGGCGGAGGCTGGCATTTATCTAGTGTGAGGGAAGAGCCGGCATCGATGGATGCGGAGAGGAGCCGGTCGAGGGGTAGGGGTGGGAATAGGGATAGGACTGTCGCGCAGGGAGGCGGGAAGGAGAAGAAGGAAAAGGATCATATGGGATTATGGAAGATGATGGCGTTGACGGTATCGATGGCGGGTAGTCAGGTGAGCTAGCTCCCTCTTCTTGTCGGAAAGCAAAGCTTACGCCATCAGATAGCTTGGACAGTGTACGTACCCTCGCTTACCTCGATTTTGCTCGTCTGACGCAAACAGAGAACTAGGACTCGGAACGCCTTATCTCCTCAACCTCGGTCTCTCCGAGCAGCTCACCTCCCTCGTTTGGCTCGCAGGTCCCATCTCGGGACTGATCGCCCAGCCACTCATCGGTGCGATCTCCGACTCGTCGACTTCAAAGTATCGAAGACGGTACTGGATCGTGGCTGCTACGATTCTCCTCGTCTTTTCTGGTCTGGCTCTGGCTTTCACGGAGCCGATCGCTGCTTTGATTGTGGACCTCTTGGGTGGTGGGCAGGGCGATTGGGACCCCAAGAGGCGGAGATATGTGAGCTTTCTCAACCAGGGTCAATTTGATAAGTCCGGGTTGAAGCTAACGAAGACAGGTCCAGAACACTGCTATCGGAATCGCCGTCTTTGCGTTCTACTGCTTGGACTTTGCGCTTAACGGGTGAGCTATATGACTGTGACCTTCACGCCCAAACTTACGCTCCAGTCTGCAATCGTCTCTCCGAAACCTGTTGATGGACATCACACCCGGAGAACAGCTCGCTACCGCTAACGCATGGCACGGCCGGTTCGCACATACCGGTAACATCATTGGATTCGCTCTGGGGTTCTTGAATCTCCAGAATGTCCCGATCATAAGGCTCGTCGGCGGTGGGCAATTCCGGAAGGGTGAGTTGCACTGTTCCTTGTCGAGATCGCAAGCTCACAATCCTAGTCTGCATCCTCGCGCTGGTCATCCTAGTATCTACCGTCTGGTTGACATGCTGGACCCAAGAGGAGGTGGAGAACAAGAGTATCTTTGGCGAGCGGAAGTCGTGAGTTAACGATTTCATCTCGTCGAGATGGAAAGATAGCTCACATTGCTAGGCGCTTCCGAGATGTCATCTCCACCATAGTTGAGGCTGTGAAGCACCTGCCCAAGCCGGTCCGCCGAGTCTGCCTGGTGAGCTCTTTACAATCTCCGATCGCTGGTGCCCGCTCACACTCAGGTCCAAGTCTTCGCATTCATGGGCTGGTTCCCGTACCTCTTCTACTCGACGACCTACGTCGCCGAAGTGATGGCCCAAGAGCTCAACCACCAACCCGACGTCGACCGCGCCACCCGCGCCGGTTCGCTCGCGCTCCTCATCTACTCCTTCGTCGCCATCATTGCGGGCACGCTCCTCCCCTACCTCGCGGCAAGGGACCGGCGGCTCCTCAAGCCTCCTACCGAAAAGTCGAGGCATGGCGATGAGGAGGATGATGAGGATGACGAGCACGATGCGGAGCTGGAGAGGGTGAGAGAGATGGTCCGGGAGTGGAAGGCGGAGGCTGCGAGGGACGGGCGGCCGCTCAAGCTTCCCACCAGTGAGCTATCTTATGGCTGTAAAGCGCAGGAAGAGAACATACTGATGGGACTAGTGCCGTTCATGCTCAGGAACATCTGGACGGCCGGATTGGTTCTTTTCGGGATGGTCATGGCCTCTACTTTCTTCATTACCAAGGTCTGGCAGGTAAGTGAGGAATTGCGCCGCGCGGTCCAAGGCTCAAAGCTGATTATCCAGGCCACGGTCGCTATCGCCCTTGTCGGTATCTGCTGGGCCATCGCGTGCTGGGTGTAAGTTTCCCCGTCGGGAGTCCCATGCCCTAACGAGTCAAACTGAAAGAACAGACCCTTCGCAATCATAATGGAGTTCCTCAAAGAGCTCGACGACAAGCGCAACAAGCCCGACACATCCAATCAAGGCAGGGACCAGCACAATCGGAACCACGGCCCCAGCGCGGGCGGTGCGGCCGCTCGAGGCCGTTTCCCCGCGCACCTCTCGGCCGGCGGGAATCGGCCCTTGCACGCTCGGGCCGCATCCACCCCTGTGGCGGCGTGGCAGTCGATGCCCAACTCGCCCAGAGTGCCGACGGAACGATCTCCGCTCACCCGGAGTTACTCGACTGCGGATATCGAGGAGCTAGGGGAGGATATGGAGTATACGGGTTCGGGACCTGTAGCGGGGGGTACGATCATGGGGATTCATAATCTCGCCATTGTGTTCCCGCAGTTTGTGGTGAGTTGACGGATGAAGCTCGGTCGTCGGTTGCATAACTAACGTTGCATAACTAACCTGGTAGGTCGCTTTGGTCGCTTCCCTCATCTTCAAGCTTGCGGATGGGGACGATGCGGCGCCGATCCCCGGTTTCGCAAGTGGCGGAGACGAGGATATCCGGGCCCCCAAATCAGGTGTCGCCTGGGTACTTCGTTTCGGAGGCTTGATGGCGCTCGTCGGAGCGCTCATTTGTCGCAAAGTCCCACCGACCAAGACGGAGAAGGTGAGCTAGCCACTCCGCGGCGCTCCTCGAACAGGATTGCAGAGCTGACTATACAGGCTATGCGACGTCGACTTGCCGAGATGCGCGAGGAGAGCGAAGAGTAGGCTCTCTTGCCTCTTTCGCTGTACAGAGAGGTGGTCCGGAGCCCTCGTGCAAACGACTCAACTGCTGCATTCTACTATCTGCTGTGGATTCCCATCATTTGTTGCAATTGCTCACTATATATACGCCTGAATGAAATGCATGATTATTGTGACGCCACGCCACGCTCAGCAAGGTAGTCGTGCATCTATCTATGAGTGGACAACAAAGATCAAACGGCTATCCTTTCCCCACACTCCTCAAGACTTTTTTCTATCAGAGCTGTTCTTCCCTCCCCCTTCCGCTGGCTCCCGACTTCGAGATCTTGCCCTCTTCACCAACCTGCCTCGCTATCGCGTGCTCCGCCGTGCTTGTCCCTGACCCTGAGCCGGACACTACCCGCTTCCCCGCCTGACCCTGCCCATTGTCGTTTCTATCGACCAGCGGATCCCGCCCCTTTCCGTACTGAACGCTATCCGGACCCCCGACGATAATACCGCCAGATGGGACCCGCTTCATCCCAGCCAGCGCGGAAGTGGAGGAAGAATGTCGAAGCGTCTGCTGGCTTGGTCTCCTTGGGGATTTCCGAGGACTGGTCCGATCCGCCTGTGCGGACGTGCCTTCTGCTCGCACCTCTGTATCAGGTCCAGGTCCCGATCCAGGGCCAGATTGGACTTCTCCGTCTTGCCGGCTCGCTGCATGTTCGTCGGTGCTCCCGACCACTTCGGCCGAAGAAGCCCTATTCCGTCCGCCCGGACGAGGCAGGACACTTTTCCGCCGCAGAGCAGCAGCGACCGCCTCGGGCTTGGCTCTTCGACCCGCTGGTGCATTCTGCGTCGGGATGTCGAACGGTGCCGTGGGGTTGGCAGGGACAGCCTCGGCCGAAGGGATGACTTCGGTGGAGATGGGCTTGGTAGGTGATGATGAGGAGGATGGGGGGCCAGAGGCGAGAGAAGAGCGGGAAGGACCGGTAGATGGGATTTTGAGGGCGTCCTCGACAGGTGTGCCGTCGGGTTTTCGCATCTTTCTAGGCAGGGTCAGCCATGTCGTCGAAACTTGTGCGACCTGGACAGCTGGTTAATTCGCAGGTCCAATAGAGCGGTTACTCACTTGTTCAGGCTCGGTTCCTTGTAGCTGACCACGCTATTCCGAGACCGCCGACCTCGTCCACCATTACCACCTTCTCCATCATCCGTGACCACGTCCTCCGAGACAGACGCTGCGCCTCGGGTGTCATTCGATACGGATCCGGGAGCGGGTTCATCCAACGGGACGCCGTCTCCGAGTTTCGCGGAAGATACTTTGCTCGGCGACCCATGTGCGCTGCCCCGCTGTCCTGGCACGCTGCCCTCACCGTGATCATAGACCGCGGCTCCATACTCCCTGACCGCACCGCCATGCCCCTCGTCCCGCTCATCTCCATCAACCAACTCTTCTCTTTCCCCTTCCTCGGGTTCTTGTCTTCCCTTTCCTGGCCGGACATGCTCGGCCGGTATAGGCGGAACAAGCGGCAAAAGCAACCCGCTCTCTCTTCTCCTTCGCGCCTTCTCTCCGCCTCGTGACTTCCGGCGTGGCGATGCCCTAGTGCTTGGACTGGAGAGGAGCGGGGATTGGACTGCAGCGATGACTGCTTTGGGGAGAGGTTTGTGCGTCCGAGCGGGTAGAGGAGGCGGTGAAGCTGGTCTTGTCGATTCAGAGGCTATACCGCTCGTCCTCCTGCACACGTCAGCTTGTCTCGTCCGTACAGGGAGATAAATCTATGAGCCTACCCTTTACTCGCTATCCTCGATATCCGCTCCTCCACCTCTTCCGGATCCACCTCGCTCCCGCGTTCTGAGTCCTCTACGAGCGTCCCCAGCCCCGCATCCTTTGCAGCCGCCGCAATAGCCGCGGGACGCTTCGTGAATATGACGGGCATCTGGCAGGCCGGGGGCGGTATGGACCCCCCTGCAGAGTTCGGGCTGAGCCATTCGGGTAGGCTTTGCGGGGTAGGCGGCGCGACGTATAGAGAGGCAGCGAGGAGGTTTTGTAGTGCTGGGACGGCAGCTAGGATAGTCTCAATAGCTTGTCGTTGTTCCTGAGTGGGTCAGCTGCGGTCTTATCGCCGGTAGGGACATCTGAGCTCACTGGTTGAAGAACGGCAGCTCGAGCCTGAGCAGAGGCTGAAGCGCGCATATGCAGTTCCCGCCTCAGCGAGAGGTTCTGCTGTCGGACTTCCAAGATTTCAGAGCGGAGCGCAAAGACCTCGGCGTTGATCGTGCTCAGGGTCGTAATGGCGGCGACGTTTGCGCTAGACGTCAGTTTCGCTCCCTTGAACCTCGGCCCTCCCCAACAGCTAGCTTACGCGATGACTTCACGATTCTGCTTGATATGTCGACGCCGGACTATACTGTCAGCTACGTCCAGCAGCGGCCTCAACCCAGGCGCGGGTCGCATAACGCACAGTCTTCAAATTGGAGCGTTGAGGCAGACTTGGGTTCTCGTTCTCTTATCGACCCCACCAAGTCCGTCGAGCTCCCCTGCCCGCTGGTATATCGTTGCCTTTTCGACATATTGATATCAGCGCGCCGTTATGAGCGCGTATGAACTGCGCAGGAACTGTGTCTAGAGCTGTGGAGAGCAAGATGGAGGTTAGAGGGTCAGAGGGAAAGAGGGGCTGCGCGAAAGATCAACAAACCGCCAATTGCAAAGTCATCCACGTCCATTACGGCATTTCCGCGCCTCCATTTAGCTTCCGAGAGTGGCGGACGCGACGGTCCTGCAGGTCAAGGTCATTGTGGATGGGACAGTGAGCTTTAGGAGCTTAGGCAAGTGGGGTTTGGGGCGCTAAGAGGTGGGTGCAGGGAGCCAGCGGCAGCACCCCCGCCCAGAGAGCATACTGCGGAAAATGGACGGTGCAGTGGATGCTCGTCAAATCAAGGTAAGAGGGGGTCGCTAAAACGTCCCGCATTGCTACAGTCAGGCTTTGTAGTACATCCTATCCGACCTTGTGTCTACGCCTTGAGCTGATCATGCGCCTCCTCCCATACCTGTGATATCAGCTTATGCCTCAGGGAACGATCAAGTCAGTCAAGTGGGGATGACAAGCGCCATTCAAAAGCCACTCCCCAGTGCCAACTCCGCATGTCACCGCCTCGTCTCCGCTTCCACGGCAGAATCTCCATTCCCCTACAGAAAGTGCCAGGAAGAATCTGGTGGTTGTACTCACCATTCACCCCGCAGACATCTCTGATCAATGCAGCCTCTCCCGCACTCAGCCGCCCCTTCATACTGACCAAGAACCCCTCCCACGCCGAGTCCGCATCGTCCTCGTACACAAACTCGCTCACGCAGATCGCGTGGATCTTCTGCCAGAACAGCGGGTTCGACACTGTCTGGTGGAACGCCGCGGACGATACTTGGGCTTGGGGGCCGAGGGGCGGGGCGTCCGTCACGATGAGTGGGGATCCGGGGGATCCGGGCCGGGCGTCCACGTCCGTTGTGATCGTCAACGAGGGGACGCGGGTGTGGCCGTGTCCTGCCGGTCGGGGGATGGAGGAGGAGGATGAGGACGAGTTGAGACCGGACCCGTGTTGGATGGACGCGCCGGCTTCGAGGGGTGGGGGGTTGGTCGATCCGGCGCCGGCGGGGAGAGCGGTAGGAGCGACGATGGGATTGGTAGACATGTTTCCGGTGGACTCCGCGGCAGCAGGAGCGGGGATAGGAACCGAGGTAGGCTTGAGGACGAGGTGGACCGTAGACCCCTCAGCGATATCGTACTCCTTCAATAGCTTGTTATCCGCCAGTGCTTTCCCCTTCAGCAGTAACCTCTGCGAGTCGACAGAAGGCGCGGATGGCGAGGATGCAGCCACTAGGGATTTGAGTGTCGAGATGGGGTCGGTAAGCGAGGCGGTGATGGGGAATGTAAGGGATGGTTTGAGGGATTTGACGATGAGATTGATTTGACCAGGACGAGCTTGGGGCGTCAGCTGCTTTGTCTAGGGCAGAGGATGCCTTTGCGGAGCCTCGCTTCGCTGTCGTGGAAGGATGAGGTATGATGGACAATGCAATAAAGATGCAGTGTTGCGCAGTACCCAGCCAAGACGCGGATGTCTCGCTTGGAAGGACCATGACACATTGTAACGGAGAGGGGGAAGAAAATGCCTCACCTGCCTCGTCCACCTCCATCGACTCTGGCGGGTCCGCAATGTCGGTCTGTACTATCAGCCAGGCTCTAAGCCGTTGCCCGGTCCTCCTCGACATGCGCTCGCGATGCAGACCGATACTCACCCCGATGACCGTGACCTTCCTGGGCCGGTCGCTGAGCGGTGCCGTGTAGTCCGCCCCATACTCGACCGACCGATTCCCCAGACCATCCGCATATCGCTTGACGAATGCGCGCTCCTCTGCGATATTCTCTACGCTGAGCTGGGCGTCCATGATGTTCGAGACAGGATAGTAAATACGATGTATAGAGGTGGCTTGAGCGCATACCTCATCCCCTTGTGTCCAAGCCATTCACGCGCCGAGTGGAGCCCCACACCAATCGTCCATCGTCAATCGGCAGCAAAGGTTGCGCAAGAGATCGCTCAGAGTGCATGTGCCATTATCGCTCATCTTTCCACCTCTCTAGTCAAGATCCACTGAGAACTATGGGCGCGTCATCCTCCAAATCCGTTCGAAAACTACCTACCACCACCCCCTCACGTCCTACTCCCGCTTGGGCCGGCGCAAGGACCACAATCCCTCGACCAGAAGAGCTAGATGCCGCACCTCCGACATCACCATCGGAGCATGAAGGCTCGCAGGGTTCGGCGTTCACCCAGCCGAAGGATATGTCTGGACTAGGGAGGAACAGGGGCTCGGCGCTAGAGTACGGATTGGCGGATCAGGGGGCAGAGCCGGGGTCGACGGGCAAGTCGAAGCCTGGGTTCAGTGGGGAGAAGGACAGCGGTGAGTCTGAACGACAGAGTGCGAGGAGTCTTGCTGCATGCGGAGGCTATGATTCCATGGCGGTGCTGACTCTTCTTAGAGGTGCTTCGAGATGGGAGAGATCCGCAGTTCATGTCAAACCTCTCGAGACTTGGTCAAGTAAGAATACACGATGCCGGTCGATTTGTCGAAACCGTATGTCTCCCTCTCTGCCCCTTTTCCCCTCCTCTTCTCTGACAATCCTGGCCCCCGAGCTTAATCACCAGCTGACATACCAGCCCGCCCTAGCTCAACGCACCCTCTCCTCCCGCACCTCCCTCCTGACAACCCCCACCCAGCTCCCGCCTCCAGGCCACCTCACCCCCCCACTCCTCTCGTCCCTGCTTGACAAGCTCAAATCCCTACCGCCTGGCGGGGACCCGGCACCACTGTACGCAGAGTACAGTATGGACGCCAAGACGATGGAAGGCGTTCGGCGATGGGTCAATAGTCCGAGTATCGGGGAGGAGGACGTCGAGATTAAGGATGGGGAGAGGGTGGTGGAGCTCAGAGCAGTGTGGGTCGATGGAGGGGATATGAAGGGGAAGCGGATAGCTGCTTGATAGGCGCGGTAGAGCACAGAGCGAAGACGGGTGAAAAGGTGACGGCACCGGCGCATATGGTCATCATGTCATAGCATACCATGTATAAGTAGTACAAGGGGATCGTGACTAAACCAAGCAGACTGAGGGAAATGTTGAAGAAGAACCTAATGTCCGCGCAGCTTCTACTTTCCAGTCTCCTGTAGAATCGTGTTGTTGAAATCCTCAAGTGGGACGAGGTCCTTCTCGCTGAGCAATTTGAACTGGATGTCAGCTGACAGCGGTTCAACGCACCGAACACCACAGCTGGGTCTGACTGACCTCGTCGACAAAAAGCAAGAAGTGGCGGTAGTTTGTGTTCAAGTGCGCTGGCGGGTATCAGCTACCTCCCTGCAGACTTCCAGATACGAGACTTGTCGAGAGGGCAGCTCACCCTCTATACCCAAAGCGCAGATCTGATCAAAGTGCGAATGGTAGATATGTGCGTAGACGCGGAACAAGCGCCTCAGGATGGTCTTGGCAGTAGCCATGAAAGTCGGAGGGAACTTGACACCTGGTTACCAGTCAGCTGTGCACTGCATCGCGCTCAATGCGGCGGAGACAGCTCACCGATCTTCTGCGGGAAATGCTTCTCATCGTCCAGGATCGTCTGGGCCCATGTCATCAGTGCTTCAACGTAGGCCGGTGCGGAGAGTTGAGCAGCACGGCGTCTGAGTATATCAGCTTTGTTCAGCACGACAATCCAGCGCCATTATAAGCTGTTCTGGCTGTCCAGCGGTTTCAGAGCTTGGACACTCACTGCCCGTCCCCATCATCCCAGTGGAATTCGTATCTGACACAGTCAGCTCATGACCGGGTACGTGCCGCCGTATATGGTCCGTCAGCTTACTTTGGGCCCGCATTCATCACTGGACACTGTTTAATCAGCTCGTGGCCGACCGCTCGAAAGGTACCCGTTAGCTCACTTCAGTCGGCGTGCAGAACTCCGAAATGGTGCCATACAGCATATTGACGTGGTTGAAGAAGTCCACAACTAGTGTTGTCAGCTTCTGCGCTCCACGGGCGATATTGACGAGCGTAGGCGAGAGGTAGCTGCACGCACCGTGCACTGCGATCCACTCTTGTACATCCTCCCCTTCAGGCAACTGGACGGCTGTCCGCAGGTTCCCCGAACCCTATCTGATCAACTTCAGGTCATGGATGATATCCAGCAGCAAGCATGCACCCTGAAGCGGATGTGAATAGACCTACCAAGGTCGCCTGAGCATATTGCTTCAATTGCCACTGCTTGGTCCCCTCCGCCACCTTCTTCGGCTTGAACGTTCGAGACGGGCCATTCTTGCTACTTTGTCAGCTGAGTTGCGCGCACCAGACGGATCTCTTCAGCTCACAGATTGAACAGTGTGGACATGGTATTAGTTGTGAGTATATGTTGCAGGGGGATAAAAGAGAGAAGGAAGGGTTGACTGAAGTTGAAGCCATTCCAAGCTTGGGTGGAGGCTCGAGCGGGGCGGCGTACGCGTCGCGTCGGCGCGTCAGGGCGTGTACGTAAGCAGCTTCCACCAGCCAAAAGATCGCCGATATCCCTCTTGCTTCCATACATCTCTCATCCAACTTACAATGTCTACACTAGCCGCAGCCGACCTCCCATCAGACGAAGAAGGGGACGCAGATTTCGTGCCCTCCACTCGACCCGCCAAAAAGCGCAAGCTCACCAAGTCGAAGCTCAAAACCGGCGCCGGGTCTGGGTCTGACGCCGGCTCTGGATCCGACTCGTCCGGCTCGTCAGAAAGTGATGAGGACGATGAGGATGATCAGGTGGATAAGGAGGAAGCGAAGAAGTTGAGGGAAGAGGCGGAGAGGGTAGATGCGGAGGAGAGGAAGAGGAAGGCCGCTAAGGCGTTTGCGGCGTTCAAGGATGAGGCTGCTGGTGCTTCGCCTGCAGTAGGAGGGGTGGGGAGTGGGAAGGAAAAGGAGGAGATGGTGGTTGTCAAGAGGGAGAGGAAGTTTGCTGGGGAGACAATCATGTGAGTTTGCAAATCGGCCGGCTCTGTTATATAGGCCTGACCGATGAGCTGATGGGCCAGCGAGACTGTTTCTCTACCGAGGAGCCATCCAGAGGCGATTGCATACCTAGCTGCATCTACCTCCTCTCCGGAAATGGAAGTCGATATGGGCAAACCCTCATCCTCTGCGACCACTAGCGGTGATGCTGGTCCTGCCTTGACAGCCGCCAATGTTGCTCCGTCATCCACCTTAGCGCCCACTCCATCCTCGTCCACTGCCCCATCCTCCTCCATCCCCAAACCGCCTGCCAGAGGTCCGCCCAAGCGTAAACCCCGCCAATCGCTCGAACAGCTCTCAGCAGGCCTGAGCGGGGGCAAGAAGATGACGACTCTCGAAAAGGTGTGTCTGTCTAGCCCGCGTCCGCGCTGATCTGATCTGCGGTCTCTGCCGATGACGCGCTTGCAGCTGACTTTGAACAGTCGGCGATGGACTGGAAATCGCACGTCGCGTCGTCGTCAAACGTCTCGGACGAGCTTGACGCCAATCGCCGGTCGGGCGGTCTTCTCGCCAAGCGGGCCTTTTTGGATCGGGTCGGGGATCGGCGGAACGAGACGATGGAGAGTAAACGCAAAACGGGGAGATGAGGGGATTTCGACCGGAAGCGGGAGGATGAAAGGCAGCGAGCATATAGAATGGGAACGGTCACGCCACGGAAAAAACGGGCAAGGCCACATTCAGAACCAAACCTTTCGCCTCGAACGGACATACGACACGCTGTGCTCGATCGCGCGGCGGTCGAGCGATCGTAGTGCGGACGCGGGAGCACGAATGGCCGCTTTGGCGAGACCTCGAGCTGTATGGAGGCCGTAGAAATAGGGAAAGATCGGTGGGGTGCTGGCTCGGCTCTAGGTCTGTCCGGTAGAGGATTGCATCGTGTCAATGATACCCTGTAGACTGACAGATGACCGGCAGCGCACTGACTAGACTCAATGTGTGGTTTAAAAGGAGCAAGAGGCAATACATTCCGACACTAAACGAAGTATAAAAAGGGCATGACGAGGCGTAAAGACATGAGAGGCATTAGAATCTACTTGTCGTGATGCTAGCTAAATGAAATGATGAAGAGCTATGAGAAGTACGATGAGCAAAAGCTATAAAGCGAAAAATCGAACCGACCGAGGCGTCCCACCTTCATTCCCTAACAGCCTTCTTACTCCCCTTCCGCCTCAATTTCCCCTTTGGTTTCCCCTTTCCCCTTCCCCAATCACCCACCGATCCCAACCCATCCCTCGCATCCCACTCTTCACCCTCAAGGAGCAACTGCCTGGCTGGCAGACCCGCCTCCCAAGCCCCCGGACTCAGGATCGCAATGACAGGCGGGGCGTCATCGCCCATACGCGCACCGGCTTTTTGGGGAGGCGTGGTGACTGCAGAGGTGGAGACGGTGGATGCGGACTGGGCCGAGGTGGAACGGACGGTACCCGTAAACTGGGCCGGGATGGACGGGACGGGGGGGGCCACGGGGAGGAGCAGTGCCGCGCGAAGAGACTTGATGCTCCGCTGTCTCCGCGCCACGAGGTTCGCGGGGACGGTGGAGGAGGTGGACGAGTAGGCGTAGTCTGTGCTCGCGGATGTAGGGGTGACGTTGGCGATAGCAGTGTAGGTAGAGGAGGACGCCGCGGCCGACGGAGGAGTGCAGGGCTTGTAGAAGAATGAACGGGTATAGTCAATTTCTGTAGGACCGTACCCGTCTTCCTGACTATCACGCTTGGTCGGTGTAGCCCATGTGGGCTGCTCCGCCTTGGCCGGACGGCGAGGGGACCAGCCTGCAAAGTATTCCGACTCGGCGAGGTCTAGACGGGGACTGAGGACGGGCGCGGATGAGTCGGCCGAATCGGACGAGGCGGACCGGACGGGGAGTGGAGGAACGGGCGGTGCGGAGCCATAGACGACCGAACGGAGGTGCGCGAGGGACTTGCGTGTCCGCAGCGCTATGGACGCGATAGGTCCGGGAGCGGCCGCGGTGGTGATAGTCTGAGGAATGGCTGGGAGGTCCTCCGCCATATCCGAGGACGAGTCGCAGACGACCGCTACGGGTTTGGCTAGCGCCGGGATGGCCGGCAGGGCGGGGGAGAGCTTGATTGGTGCGGGCTTCGAGGATGATGGATTTGGGTCGGCGGGGATAGAGGCGTAGGTGGATGAAGAGAGGTCGGTGGCGTTGATGAAGTTCCGGATGGAACCGAGCCATCCACTGGTGCCGGTGGGTGGGGCGCGAGTGAGGATAGGGGTAGAGCGGGCGAGACGGAGTTTGGTCGCACGGTCGGCGTACTTGCGTACTGGTGGTGCGGCCTCGACGACCGGTGTGGGCATGATCAATTCCGGCTGTATTGCCACCTCGACGTCTTCCGCCTTGGCCTCCTCCGCAACAACAACGGGGAGAGCCTTGATGAAGCTCCCCTTGGTGGGCGACTCGTGGTCATACTCATCATAGTCCACCGCCTCCGCCATGATCCTCCTTCCAACATCCACACCGCCCATCCCCAGACCGTACGTCCCTCGCCGACTCAGCCCGAACCCGAGGCTCCGAACGGAATCGGGCGACTCGAGGTTCACCTGATTCACCTCGTCCAGCTGTTGCTGGAACAGCGAGTCCTCCGCATCGTCATCCACCACGGGTTCCGCGCTGCTCTCCCTGCTCCGATCAAAGGGAGTCGACCCCAGCGATCCGACGTCAAACGAAGTAGTGAAGAATTCGTCGTCGTCGCATTGCGCCTCGTAGTCCGCCGGAAGAGGGGAGAAGCCAAACTCATCCTGGTCCGCCATGGCCGCCGGTGGGAGATCCGCGAGCGAGGAGATACCAGTGAGGACCCGCGGACGTCTTGCCGGGACGTATTCTGCCGCGGCGATCTGCTCCTGATCCATCTCTGAGCGCCCCAGCTCCCAATTCGACTTGACTTTCCGGACCCCCTCTCCGCCCCGTGCCAGTCCCAGCCCGATGCTGGACGACATCTGCGCGGCCACCTCCTCGAACCGCTCAGCTCCCTTACTGGGTGGACTCATCTCCATGACCGCCTTGGCCGCTCTGCCAAGCGCAGCAAATCCGCCGCCCCACCACGTATCGTAGCTGGTCCCGAACTGCGGCGATGGGGATTGCTGTTGCTCGTACTCTGCCTGATTGACGTAGTTGCTATCCTGCAAAGCGAGATTGCGAAGGAGAGAGGAGGAGGATTTGAGGGGGAGACCAGGTTCCGTGACGTGTGTGACGCGATGTTCCGCCATCCCGAACGTACTGTACAGATCCCGTACTTCCTCCGCGTCCACCTCGTCAAAGGTCTTCTTGATCCGCCGTCCAATCCGCTCCGCAGGGGGAGTAGCTATGCGCGTATCGGCGTATCCGGCCTGTTCCAGGAGGTGCTGGAGCGACGAGAACTCTGGACGGGGGTACGCCTGGTACTGCAGTTGTTGTTGCTGTTCCTGTAACCGGAACGCCTCGGGCGGGGGTATACTTGCGTATGTGGGCTCCGGCTGATTTTGGCGCGAATATTCGGAACGGAGGTCCTGGTGCGACCGTAAATTTTGGGGTGTGTAGGGTTTAGAGTTGGGATTGAGAGGTCGCGAGGCGGACTTTTTCAGCTGAGGTTGTGGGAGTGGAAGGGGGAGGGGTGGTGGAGGGACCTCGTCGTCGACTGAGGAGGAGGTATGGGTGCTCCGGATTGGACGGCGGGAGGGACCGCCCTGACCTTGCGACAGGCCCGAGGGATACCGCTGAGCGGCTTGAGTGTACGGCTGCGGGGTCAGCTCAATCCTATAACGGCGCCTCGAGGACGAACAAGCGAGCGTTGAGTCAAAGGACCCGTGCGGCAGTGGAGGGGATGTTGACTGATAAGATGCGCTTACCATATGGCCTAGATTTCGCCCCTCCTTATACTCCAATAGGATGTATCTTGCCCTTGATGGAGATGAAACAGATCTGAGGAGACAACAACTCCTGAATGGCCGGTCGCTGCTGATTTTAGGTTCGGCTGCCCAGAGACGGAGAGGTGGGTGATGGTAGGGAGTACGTCTGCGATGAAGCAGTGATGCTGTCGGTGCTGTAAGTAGACTATGGTTGTATTGTCCAGTGTATAGTGGTAGATGAGAGGTGTGGCCGGTCAAACTGGTCCAGGTCAAAGCAAGATCAACAAACACCTCCAGCCAAGGGAAAGGCGGCACCCGCCGCAGGGGAAACAAAGCAATCGCGTAAGAGCTAGCAAGTGTTCCGTCCAAAGGGGTATATCACCTGTCGATGATGGATGTCACCTCCTCCTCCATCAGATCCACATGCATCAGAGATTATATGCAGCTATCAGCCGCTCCATCCGTATACTTTGCCTGCATAGTGGACATTCCAACTGTTTGGTCAGCAGAATCCCAACGCAGAGGGGAAAGGACGTACCTTTTCCAATCCTCCCAGACAGCCCCAGCAGAAGATATGCCCGCACTCCGTCACCGCGACAGTGCCGCCGCTCCCCTCGCCTGTGCCCCGAGGTTCGAGGCAGAGGGTACATTGTCGCTCGGGCAGCTGTTGGGCTCCGGGAGTAAGGTAGGTGTTGGGCGTGTCGTAGTCGGACGACTTGGTGAGGAGGAGGGTCTGTTCGGCCGATAGGTCCGACGTGAGAGGCAGGAGTGGGTTGTCCACCTGCAGATGCGGGGCAGGTGCGGCGAGAGCGGACGACGACGTGACGTCAAGGCTCGATGAGGGCCGGTGGGTGAGCAGGCGGAAAAGGATAGGGAGAGCAAGGAGGATTGCGAGCGGTTCGTAGCTGGCTTGTCGACGCTCAGGGGGTCGAGGCGCTTGAGTGGATACCTGTACCATCAGCCTCTGCCAGTGGACCAGAAGCGGCCTACGTACGTATGACGTTCCGGTCAGACGGCGCCCAAACTCAAAGAATCGCCCGCTCATCAGAAACCCAATCATGTGCAGCTCGGGCAGGCTTTGTGCCAATGGTGATTCCAGAGCGCTGGCCAGTCGGTGTCGTATTCTGCCCCATGCTGACGATGTCGAGCTCCCACGGAGATAGGCGGATACAGCAGAGTTTGTGAGCACACTGGGAGACAGCAGGAAGAGGATAGTGAGGATTCGACGCTACCGATGTCAGATGCAATCTGGTTGTGCAAAGCGAGGCTTACAGCTCGGCCAGGCATACGTCTACGTCCGCTTGCGAAAGGAGTGATGTCGGTGTACTCCTCTCCTAGTGTCTGCCTCCCTCTTCCGAGCGTCAAGATGAGATAAGCAGCCCTGACGGCCACATCAATCATGGCCTGTCGATGGGCAATCCATCTCGTTCCTGCAGTGTCAGCTGCTATCCCATCTCTGTACGGGTCGACTCACCGACCAGAGATCTCAGTGACTCAGACACCAGCTCTATCAGCCGTCGTACCTGCCCAGAATCCCTCTGGTGGGCTCGTACTGCGTGCAAAGTCAGCTTGGTCGCACCATAGAGGATGAGATGGGACGCACGGATTTGGGCCTGAGAAGCAGGCTCGAACGAGAGCCGGCTATATGGGTCCGGCGTTGTCTCTACACGTTGAGTGTGGATGGACGGCGGGAGCGCAGAAGCTCGAGATGAGGAAGCTTCATTAGACATCGCAGCAACGTGGATGAGAGGCGGTTGAGGGAGTTGCGGTCGTTGCGGTTATGGTTTGACCCGGCCCGGGGAAATCTCGCCAGGCACGGTCGAATTTGAGGAATGTGGCGCAAATGAAACGAGCATGCAGTCCATTTCATGTGCGCGATCTAGTACGACGAGCCAGTAGGAGCAGGCACTATGCGGCCGGGGCCTTGTCGACATCACCCTGTTAAGCCGAATTCAATCGTGTCGCCGGAGGAAATTAATCAATGACATCCTCACAACGTGCCACAGCCACTTTGCCACCCGGCCCTCTCCACCTCATCCTGGGACGGGGCGGGACACCTCCACTGCCTCAAAGCTATAATCCCCAATCTCCGATAGTCGCGCCGGTGGTGCAGAACAGTAGTTGCCATCCGCATGTACAGACAGGGAGTCCGCTCCTCAGACAATCGGCCTCTCGACTCCGCCACCATGTCGACGACTCTCCTATCCGGACATCCCCGCCTATGCCACCTCCCCGTATAGCAATCTTTCCTCCGACGGTCCGAGCTGTGTCACCTCCCAGCACAGCATCTTCCATCCTACAACTACATCATGTCTTCCGGAAATCTACAATATCACCATCAATCGGAGAATCGGAACGATGCCCTGTTAGAACGAAAACAAAAAAAAACCAAAAAAAAAACCCCCCTTTTTGCCACTCCGCTAGACCGCTAGACTCCGCTTTGAGCCAGCCTGCGCCATGACTGATCGTAGCCTGGGCATACAGTCGTTCAGGATGAGAGAACACCGCTCGACGTTAGTATCTTTGATGTTACGAGGCGCTTCCTCAGGGACTGACCTGTCTGCCTTTGGGCTCGCAGGCCGGGCTAAGACTATGGAACACTCAAGGCTTGGTCCTGGTATCCTGATCGACTGGCAGTGGATTTGCGGGACAATTGAGACGTTCAGATCTTACGCTGAACTGACATTTGCATGACGAGAGGAGCCACAATTCATTGTACGGAGCTCAGCCGCGCTACCAATCGTCGCCCTCCTCTCCTCCGTCGTAAAATTCCCCGACCTCGGTCACCTCGGTCCAAGCCGAATCTTTGATTCGAATCTGTTTGACTCGCTTCAGCATGAGAAGTGCAAAGAACTGAGCCGTGTTCTTGAGGTCCTCATCAGGGACACCTTCCCAGGGGAACCCGCCTGGGCCGTTCTTCGCGGTGCTCAATCGTCCATCGCGAATGGCTGCTTCGACCTTGGCAGAATCAGCGAAGGTGAGAAGTGTGGCATCCGATTCGGCGCCGAACTGTTGGGTCACTCGGTCGACGATGGCGTCCACTGCAGATCGCCAAGTTCTCTGCTCCGTCAAGCCTGAGGGATGAGTACTAAGATTCTCAAGGGGAACTGGTGGCTACCCTCTGGGTAATGAAGTGAGTGAGAAGAGTCAGAAGACCAAGGGAGGACTTACTGAGCTTGGAAATGTCGAAAAGTGTCGCCTTCCTCAGAAGGCGAGCGGTGGGCTGGGGCTGAGCGTCCTGGACCATTCGAAGCAGGATCATCAGACGGTCGTTGTTGCTCAACGTCTCGATGGGAAGTAGCACGCTTTCCCACTTGTCCACATCGTACACGGCCTCCTCAATGTCCTTCTTGAGCGCGGTCAGCAGCGCGTTCACAACCTCGGCATTGTCGGCCTCCATCGTGATACCTGAGTCGAGCTGTAAAGAAGTCATACTGTCGAATGCTGTTGGGAGAAGTGCAGGTAGTCTTGGTGTGGTAATGAGGAGTGCAAGGGCAGATAGGGCAGAGGAGAAGGGCGGGCCGGGGTGGCGGCGAGCTAGATTACTGTGTGCCAAAGAGAGCGTGATCAAAGGATGATGCAAAATAGGCTGTGCGCCTCGATCCTTTGATTGACACTATACTCGCATAGTGCGTGGCGTTTGGAGCTGGTCCCACAGGAGGACAAAGGGGCTGATTCTGCGTGCAATCGTCGCTCACGACGGTCCCCTGACCACCATGCCCGGGTCATGCCCCTCACTGTGAAGCCGGGATAGGCTTCCAAGCCTCCCAGGTACCCTAGTATCTGGGCATAGCTGACTCTAGCTGTGGGCGTCTGCGCGACATCAGTTGCAGTCAACCTATAATCATGATGTCACAGACGTACCAGGCCTTCGAGATTGATGGGGAGATACTTGATGCGATGATGTCCCAGCCCCAGGCGCAACATGACTTGTAGTCCTACGAGTGACTGACGTCCCCGGATTAAAAGCTGGTCCCAACCCTAGCAGCGCGACCATGCAATAGGATAATAGCTGCTACAAGCTCTGCCACACCTCCGCAATAGTGCCACATTCCGCCCCGTGCCTGAATTGTGCACAATTGGGTGGCGAAAACAAACCCACCCTTCGCTCGCTGCCTTTACATCTCATCCTTCCTTACCTACCCCCCTCTCGACTTCCTGCCTTACAGACTCAGTAGAAGAGCAAGCGCAGATGCTACAGCCGAGATGACAATAAATATCGACCCGCCTACATTCTCCGACGCGCCCTTCTTCTTTGATAGGCGGGCGGGATATTTGCTCGAGCCTGAGCAAGAGGGAATTGTACAGGTCAGTACAGTTCCTTTGTCTTTCATTCTGTCGTGTTACTCATGAGGAAGGTGCTGACAGACAGTCGCACTCCAAGACGAAAGTAGCGTACTACCATCCCAAAGATGTCGGGAACTATCACTATGGCGTGAGCTTGACAGCTCCTCCCAGAGGGCGAAGAAGCCACAAGCTGACAAAGGAAGGAACGGCATCCCATGCGTCCACATCGTCTTGAACTCACCAAAGACCTCGTCCTGGGGTATGAGCTCCAAAATCACATGACGATGCATGCGCCGAGGAAGGCGACAGAGGAGGAATTGGGCGAGTTTCATGATGCCGACTATGTGGATTTTCTAAAGCGGTACGTCCCGTCCTTCAGCTTACGTGGGCTTCGCATAGTCAAGATCTCAAAGCTGATATGGTAGCGTCACGCCCAAGAACGCCCAAACGCTCACTCGGGACTATACCAAATTCAACGTCGGAGACGACTGTCCGGTCTTTTACGACGTCTTCTCGTTTTGCCAGCAGTACGCTGGGGCGTCGCTCGCTGCGGCGCGAAGACTAGCGGCGGGGTCTACGGATATCGCCATTAATTGGTCGGGCGGGCTACATCATGCCAAGAAGGGCGAGGCGAGCGGGTTTTGCTATGTCAACGACATTGTTTTGGCTATTTTGGAATTGCTACGGTACGTCCCAATCGAAAGTAAGGAGGGTATTGCTGATTCCTAGGCATCAACCCCGCGTCCTCTACATCGATATAGACATCCACCACGGCGACGGCGTTCAAGAGGCCTTCTATCTCTCCAATCGCGTCCTCACAGTCTCCTTCCACAAGTACTCGGCCGACTTCTTCCCCGGAACCGGTAACCTCTCCGAGACGGGCTCCGACCTTGGCAAATACTTTTCCCTCAACGTCCCCCTCCAAGATGGGATCGACGACGAATCCTACATCTCCCTCTTCAAATCCGTCATGGAACCCACCATCACCACCTTCCGCCCCTCGTCCATTGTCCTGCAATGCGGCGCCGACTCGCTCGGGTGCGACCGGCTCGGGACGTTCAATCTGAGTATCGCGGCGCACGGCGAGTGCGTACGATACATCAAGAGCTTCAACCTGCCGCTCCTCGTGCTCGGCGGCGGAGGGTATCGGCAGTCCTCGGTCGCCCGGTGCTGGGCATACGAGACGGGTATCCTCGCGGGCTTCAAATTGGCGGACGATCTGCCCGTGACGAATTACACCGAGTTCTTTGGGCCGGACTACAAGCTCCATCCGCCCTTGACGGGCCAGATTCAGAATTTGAATACCCGGCAGAGTCTGGAGCGGATCCGAGTGACGATTAGGGAGAAGCTGCGGTATTTGAATGGAGCGCCGTCCGTGCAGATGCAGGAGGTGCCGCCGGATCTGATGGGGTTTTTGGAGGATGAACGGAGGGGCAAAGAGGAGAGGGAGGAGGAAGAGGTGGGGAATGGGAAGGCGGGCGAGACTAGGTGGGAGACGGAGCTGGGGGAGGGAAGGCGGACAAGGGTGAATCAGGGATGAGACGGTGATCTGAGGTGGAGTCGAGGACAGTCAGAAGTAGGGAAAGTAGTTCGAGTTGTATTGCCTGTTGTATCATTAGATGAAGAATATGTTCAACGGATTGATGCTGCACACGCAGTAACAGAGCATCAGGCTTCGGGTAAGTCAACGCAGCATCAAATCTGCTCCGACCCCAGTCTCCACCGCGCGCAAAGCTCCGCTGTGAGGTATAAGATGCATCACCCCGCCCCGCCCGAAACCAGAAGCCCAACTCCCTCAGTACAAAAGGTCGCTCTACTTCTTCTTGGTCGCAGTCTTGGCAGAGTCGTCCTCAACCTTCAGCCCTGGAATGTCAGCTAGGTCCTCCGGGCAGTATTGGCCACAGTGCAAGGCTCTCTCGTCCCGTCCCGTCGACCGCTTCAGCACCTCTCTTCCCCTGCGCCGTCCCGCACAAGTCCTCGACCTCCTCAGCGTCCTCTGGCCCCCACCGATCCCTCCCCCTGCCCTCTGGCATTCTCTGCCTCGCGGTGCTCTCCCATTTCGACTTCACCCCAACTCACCTGGTGGCAAGCTCTGCTTGAGCTTCTCTGCCTTCTCCGAGTCGGTCAAAACGAGTGTGTAGAGGTATCGCGAACACCGGATCTTGAACTTTGTGACGGTGTGGGATTTGCCGGCAGCCTTGCCCTTGGCAGAGGCGGTGGTGTTGGCCCGGACGGTGGTCTTCTTGATGCGAGCGACTGGACCGTAAGCGCTGTCACCTCAACATACGGGTAGTTGGCAACTCACGAGTCGCATCCTTCCGACGTGCCACCTCGAGGAACTTTTTGATGTCCTGGACCTGCTTGGGCTGAGGGGTCAGCACGACGCCCCTAAAGATGTTTCCACATTCCAGGCTGTCCTCCTAGTCTGCTTCCATCCTCCATCCCTCGGCGCTCATCATGCCACTGCTCGGCCTTTCTTCCATATCGTCTTTCTGATGTTCTCCGCACAATCCGTCCTTGTCCCTCCGAGCTGGCCTCCTCGACCAGCGATTCCTCCCAGTGCTTTCGTTTCGCCCGCCATGTAGGATTCGAAGCTGGTCTGTCAGAGAAGGTGTGGCCTACCATTTTGGCTTTTGTGTATAGGATGGGGTCACAATAGAGATCACTCGACTGACTGAAAATGAACGGTGCAGGGTCACAGTGCCGGAAGCTAATTCTCTTTATCGCCGACTCGCACCCAATTGCAACTGCCACATTCAGATTTCCGGGCGCGGGATTACGGCGTTTTCAACTTGGCGCAGGGGAGCCGAGCAGCTTTCACCTTGCTGAAACCGTCACTGCCTGCTGAGCTATTCATCATACACCTTCACTTGCTCGATTATCCTATCCTCGAAACTCAGTAACGATGGTGTGTTACGCTTCCTGCTCCCCAAGTGGGCGTCACGTCGCGCTCTCTCTCGCCATTCGCCCAGCCTAGTCGCCGCCTATCCAATCGAGTCGGACGGTTCTCACCCCGATCTATCTAGATTGGGGCACGAACCTCCTCGACCTAGACCAATCTCGGCTTCACAGCCCTGATGATGTCTTATTGGCGCGCAGGATGAGCCTTTATACCTGCCTGACCTCTGCAAATCGGGCGCTTTAGGCGTTCGACCTCTTTGCTTTGCGGTAAAGAGGGAGGTTGTTGGCGGGAGGGCGATGACTCCTGTTGTATGATTTCGAAAGAAATCGTAGCGACCTTAACTGCGTGGCCGGGCAATGGTCTGTCTGTCTGCTGAAAAGTGGATAGACGCCAGAACCCGTGCTTAGAGCTCTAGACGTGATGCCCTTTACATTCTCAAAATGATAGGGGCTTGCGCTGACTCAATGATCTGCAGCCCAAGGCAACTAAAGGAAAGTCCAGGCCGGCAGCCACCCCTTGTGAGTTTCTTCTCGAGCTTGATGGTTCGAACTCGTGAACTCGTGAGAACAAGCTAATCTCCAGACGGCACCAAGAAGACAGCCAAGAAGGAGACCAACCCTCTCTTCGAGAAGCGATCCAAGACCTTCGGTATCGGTAAGTTGATCCGTCATCTCATCAGGCCACAGCTTATTCCCAGGTGGTGACCTCCCGTACAAGCAGGACTTGACCCGGTTCGTCAAGTGGCCCGAATACGTCCGTCTCCAGCGCCAGAAGGTCATCCTTCACCAGCGTCTGAAGGTTAGTGACTCTTTCTTTTCCGCAGTAGGCTTTGGCTGACCCGCAGGTCCCCCCCGCAATTGCCCAGTTCTCGCACACCCTCGACAAGAACACCGCCACCCAGCTCTTCCAGCTCCTCAACAAGTACAAGCCCGAATCCAAGCAGGAGAAGAAGGCGCGTCTCTTGTCCGAGGCCGAGGCCAAGACTAAGGAGGGAGACAAGTCGACCACCAAGGACACCAAGAAGCCTTGCTTTGCCAAATACGGTCTCAACCACGTTATCGGTCTCGTCGAGCAGAAGAAGGCCAACCTCGTCGTCATCGCCGACGATGTTGACCCGATCGAGCTTGTCGTCTTCCTCCCCGCTCTCTGCCGCAAGATGGGTGTCCCGTAAGTGTCAGCTCTCAAATATCATAAGGCAGCGCTGACCATCAGATATGTCATTGTCAAGGGCAAGGCACGTCTCGGTCTCATCTCGGGCAAGAAGACCTCGGCCGTCCTCGCCGTGACCGAGGTCCGGTCAGAAGATTCGCAGGCCCTCGCCAACCTCGTCTCGGCCTCCAAGGCCAACCTCGAGAAGTCCGAGGAGGCACGCAAGCACTGGGGTGGCGGTATCCGTGGTACCAAGTCGTAAGTCTATGGTCTGCTGAAATGAGGGGCACCAAAGCTGATGGAATAGGGTGGCCAAGCTCAGGAAGCGGGCGAAGGCTCTCGGCCAGGACGCCAAGAAGGTCCAGCTTACGCTCTAGAGCGTGGGTGGTCAGATCTCTCTGGGGTTTTTGGGCGGAGGGGTGGAGTAGTGTAGCACGCTGCATGTATGATATCCTAGCACCACTGTTCTGCAGGTAATAGCGCTGCTTGGCTTTTCCTGCTGCAAGGCCAATGAGAGACACGCTGAAACATGGCACGACCGACGCCACCCAAAAGTTGATGATCCGTGCGCTGTCGCGTCAGAATCAGAATTCAGAAAAGGATCGAGCTTTTTTCCATCCACTTTGAAGTTCTCTATCATACCTCTTCCTTCCAAGCTATAACCCCCTCTTCCATAATTACCATGTCCGCCGACGCCTCTTCCTCTTCTGCACCGGGCGGTGACGCCGCACCAGCGGAACAGTCCCACCCTTACACGCTCGAAACCCTCAAAGCGCACAATACGAGGGCGGATCTGTGGATGTTGTTGCATGGCAAGGTGTATAATGTGACCAAGTTCCTGGATGAGGTGAGTGCGCGTTTGGCTGAAGTGTAATGATGCGCGTCTGCTTGGGTTATGAGGTGGAGTCGGGAAAGGCGTGAGCTGCTACTATGGGGGGAATGGGTGATCGAACGGGGATGGTGTTGCTCGACGAGGCGGGGAAGGGGCCCGAGCGTTGGGTGCTGTCATTGGCTTTGGAGACGATCGCGAGAGACAGGAAGGCTATACGAGCCCTATAGTTTCGGGCGCTGGGATGACTAACCTAAATTCTGGATGATGATATGAGCTTAAATGCTTCGAGCGCAGCTGATTCGCTGTAGCACCCCGGAGGAGATGAAGTGATGGTCGAAGAAGCCGGTACGTCTATTATACCAGAAGCTCCTCGAGCCAGTTGTCGTAATCCCTGCCTTCTGGATTATCAGCTGACCTCTCAGGCCGAGACGCGACAGAAGCCTTTGAGGACGTCGGACACTCTGACGAAGCCCGCGAGATGTTGCCCAAGATGTACCTCGGGGAGTTTCACGGCGAGGTGAGCTCGACGCTTCCTATTCCCCTGATATGGGCTGAGGGGGGAGAGCTGATATGGTCTAGACAAAGGAGAAGAAGGTGAAGCGAGCGACGGCGACTGGGGCGGCATCATCATCTGGCGGGTGAGCTGCGAATACCCCGGAGTTGAGGGGATTACAAGCTGATCCTTTAGTGGTCTGACATACCTTGTTCCGTTCCTTGCGATCATTGCGGCGTACTTTGGCTGGAGGCTGTTCCTCGCTTAAGGTGGCGCTGTGACTTGGGCGAGAGGGGTAGATAGGCGGTGAAAGTATGTGGGCAACAGAGCACAAGGACTCAAAGCGGGGGAGGATGCGCGGTCTGAGCGTGACGGAACGTGTATAGGACTGGCAGGACGTCGGTGGGATGAGAAGGGGAGTATGGTGGGGAGCAGTCGAGTTATAGATTTATGCAGATACATTCTCTCTTTTTTCGATCAACCTGTACTTCACAGTGGCAGTAGGAAGGCGCGATCGTACATGAGGAACCTGGAAATACATGGTGGTCTACATGATGAACAAGATATGATACCTTTTCCTCGCCGCGCCTCCTACTTGTACTAGCTTACTGGATACCTCTTATAGAGCTTTCCCACCCAGTGCGGCCCCCCTCCCTTCCATGTCCCCCCAGATCCCTCGCCTCAGATTTCATCCCCATTATAACCTCCTCGGCGCCACCTCCCCCACTTCCTTGCCCCATACCCCGCCCGCCGTGCCCTGGCATCTCCAAATAATCTCCTCTGCCGTCCCCATCCCCCTTCCTGTCCCCTCGCGCTCCAACGCAAACATGACGTCTACCGCCGTAAGCGCCTGGTCGTCGGGTACCATCCGTCTCTCCGAGCCCCCACCAGCACCACTCGGTCCAGACCCAGATCCAGGACCGGTACCAGACGCTGACTCTGTAGATGTAGAGGGAGCGGAACCTGGACGTGGGGGAGCAGGCATGACGGGGACGAGACGACGAGCTGGGATGGTGATTTTCGGGCGTTTCTTCTTTTTGGGCGGTTTGGCGGGCGTGGCGGGAGAGTCTGTATCGACCGAAATCGATTGAGAGAGTTTAGACTTTTTCCTCGGTCCCCCTCCGGCTCCCAGACCGGTAGAAGGCCCAGAGTCCCCATCCGCCTCGTCAAGACTCCGCTCCCTCTTCATTCCCGACCCCGATGCACTGGACGTGTCCTCCTCGCCCTCCGCGTCCGCTTCGCCTGGCGCATCCGCCTCGTCCCCCTTCTTTCCGTCTGCGTCCGCCGCTCCTACCGCTGCGGCCTTCTTCTTCCTCCCAGCGAGCGGACTAGACACGTTTGGTGCGTTGTTCAACCAAGAGTATTTGCCCATCTTCACCCCCGTCGCGCGCATAGCGGTGAGGTTGGACATCTTGTGCGCCGTCTCGGCCGAGACTTCCCCTTTGCCCTTCTTCTTCTTGGAGAGTGGCCGTTCCTTGACCGCGCCAAAGACCGGAGTGGACGAAGCGGCGGCCGGTGCTGGGGTGGACGAGGTCCCGTTTGGCTTTTCCCTGGGTGTCGCGGGAGTCGCCGATGTGGCCGTAGTGGACGGACTCTGCTCATCCACGTCCATTCCCTCTCCTTCTCCGACCTGCGAGCCCCCGCCCGATCCCTGCCCCGACCCACTAGCCTCCGCATTTATCTGCGCGCTCTGAGGCTGCTGTACGCTCTGCCCAGTCTCCCTCGCCCTCGCCTCCCTCATCTCCCTTATCCGAGCCATCTCCGCCTCCCTCGCAATCCGGTCCATCCTCGACGCCCTAAACCCCAGCTCGGCCTCTTTGTTCTGCCGCGCGAGAGCCTCCATCACCGCGTTCACATCCGACGTAACGACATGAGACCACATGGGTCTCGCCGCGTCGTCTTCATCCTCGTCCCGAGTGCTTTGTGGGCGGTGGGAGGGCGCGAAGGGTGGTGGGCGATGATGGGAGGTCTGAGTGCGGTGGGTGTGAGCGCGGACGGACGAGGTCAGGAGAGCGCGGAGACGCTGTTCGGCCGCTTGCGAGAGATAGGCGAGGGCTTCTTCGTCCAGCGTTGTATTGGCGTCTCTAGCTGCACATGTCAACTTTGAGCCCAGAGATCTATACGGACTGGAAAGCTGAGGGAGACCTACTCAGACGCGAGACTCTCTCTCGTAGAAACGACCTCGAGAACAGATCACTGATCCTCCCTTGTGGATCTGGCCTCATCCCACCGGTCGAAGGACCTGTATAGGGTCTCCCAGTATTATATCGACGCGCAGCTTCTTCCTCTGCCTATGCTTGTCAGCAGCCATTTCCAGCCACAGCAGCCAGCTGCGCAGGGTGGTGGAGAGCTCACCCGCATGTTGAGCGTCCCGTCCCCTGTACCCGACGCCGACGCCAGCGTCGGACGCATCATCTTGACTGGCCTCCCCCCCTCCCCATCCTGACCCGCCGAGGCCGAGTACTTGATTGGCGACGTCGATCTCTTCCGCGATACAGAGGGACCAGCGCCATTGCCACTGCTGCTGGTGCCATTCCCATTGCCGTTGCCTGGGTGGAAAGAGGTGTATGACGAATCGAGGTGTGGGGTCGGGTGGATATACCCCGAGGTGGACGTCGAGGATGAAGGGAAGGACTGCAGGGGCGCGTGCTGCATCTTGCTCTTGGCCCTCTCTGAGCTGCTGCTGCCGAGCTAGGGATTGGCAACGTCCCGCTGCTGGGGTTACAGGATGGAAGGAGACTAGGGGAAAGGGAGTGAGAGGGAGAGGCAAGTGATTATGGCGGCCGGTTGTTGCTGGTAACACCCATGACTTGAGTCCAGTGATTAGCGGAAGCAAATTGAAGGGGAATTTCAATAGGAATCGAGCGTTACGGCAGCCCGTGCGCACTGCCCACACCGCGCGCCCCGACGTCCCGACGCGAGTTTTGTTGCTTTGCCTCTCTTGCTCTGCCTTTCTCCTTCTCCTTCGCTTCGGGTACCACAGCAATAATAAAAGCAGCATGGTAGGTCTCATCGCAGACACGAGGATGCGAGGCTGCGCGCATACCTCACGATCTGATTCGACTGACATACCTCAGAACCCTCTGCTCTCCGCGTCAAGCGCTCTCAAGCCTGGGAATGGGGTCGAGGATGATAAGCTGTCCGACTATGTCCCGGGCTCAAGGGATATCTCGGTATCAAGAGCTGTATGTCCTTTCTCAGCTGGGAGGCTCCTGCAGGGACGGGATACATGGCTGACATGACAGCCTTCCGCGGTCGCATCTGATGAAGTCCTCGGAGGGCCTTCTGGTGGGGCCGGCGATGGCGGCGAGGACGAGCTCGAGGAGGATGAGGATGAGATCATGGACGAGGATGATATGATGGGTGATCCTGTAAGCTTTTAGAGCCTCGTGAAAGTACACACGGTAGGCACTCAGCTTACGTCCTCAGGCGACCGTCACCCCATCCGCGAAAAGAAAGCGTGATCAAGCCGATGCTAAAAAGGCCGCAACAGCAGCTAGAAAGGCGGACATCTCGGAGATTGGGAAGCGGCGTTCAGCTGTCGAAGACGCGAAAGTGAGCTCCTCTGCCACTCCTCGTGGCAGAGCTGTAGCTGACAGTATAGTTTGCCGATTCGATGAAGCGGTTCAGCTATCTTCTTGGCCAGACTGAGCTCTTCCAGCACTTTATCGATCTCAAGGTGAGCTTCCCCGGCCACGTCTGCCCTGGACACTGCAACGCAAGTAGCTGACAAAGGGCAGAAAAAGCGCGAGCCAGAGTTCGCGGCTATGCTGGATGAGCAAATGGCTAAGACTGCAAAGAAGGGCAAAGCGCGTGCCAAGTGAGCTCGCCCGCCTGCAGTTTGGTGCGGAGTGACACAAGCTGACGCTGCCAGCGATGCCAGGCACCGCAAGTCCGAGAAGGAGGAAGACGAGGAATTGCTCAAGGAGGGAGATGAGGGGGATGCCGCCTACGTGTTTGAGGAAAGCCCACCTTGTGAGCTGACAATCGCTCTTGGCCTTCAGAGCTGTATCGCAGCTGACCGTATAGTCGTCAAAGGTGGCCAGATGCGAGACTACCAAGTCCAGGGTCTGAACTGGATGGCTTCGCTGCATCATAACGGTATCAACGGAATTTTGGCGGATGAAATGGTCAGTCCAGTGACCTACTTTGATCTGGGTATGAGCTGACGGAGACAGGGTCTCGGCAAGACCCTTCAGACCATCTCGTTCCTCGGGTACCTCCGAGACCACCTCGGCACGAGCGGACCTCATCTCATCGTCGTTCCCAAGTCGACCCTGCAGAACTGGGACCGAGAGGTCCACAAGTGGGTGCCAGGGTTCACGACGCTGCTCTTGCAGGGTACCAAAGAGGAGAGGGTGAGCTAACTCTCTCGCGACTATTGAGGGTACAGTGCTGACTGTCAGGCCGCGCTCGTCGCCGACCGGGTCCTGAAGCAAGACTTCGACATTCTCATCACCTCGTACGAAGTCGCCATGCGGGAAAAGACGACTCTCAAAAAGTTCTCATGGGAATACATTATCATCGACGAGGCGCACCGGATCAAGAATGTCGATTCGCTCCTTAGTCAGATCATCCGGACATTCGTCTCGCGCGGACGACTGTTGATTACGGGTACCCCGCTCCAGAACAACTTGCAAGAGTTGTGGGCGTTGTTGAACTTCATCCTTCCGGATGTGTTCTCTTCCAGGTGAGCTTTGATTTGCAGATATTAATGAGGAACAAAGCTGATTTTCCAGCGAGGACTTTGATGCCTGGTTCAAGACCAAGGACGATTCCGACCCCGACGCAGTCGTCAAGCAATTGCACAAGGTCTTGCGCCCCTTCTTGCTCCGGCGAGTTAAGGCGGATGTGGAGCATTCGTTGTTGCCTAAAAAAGAGATCAACCTGTATGTGGGCATGACGGAGATGCAGCGGAAGTGGTACAAGATGTTGCTGGAGAAGGATATCGATGCTGTCAACGGTGAGCTCCTTACCGTCGAGAGTTTGGCGGAGAGCTAACGATGTAGGCGTGGGAGGAAAGAAGGAGGGCAAGACGAGATTGTTGAATATCGTCATGCAACTGAGGAAGTGCTGTAACCATCCCTATCGTGAGTCAGCTTTGAAGCGCACTACTGCCTTGCCAAAGCGGTCACGAGCTGATCAATACAGTCTTTGACGGCGCCGAGCCTGGACCGCCCTATACTACCGACGAGCACCTTATTGACAACGCCGGCAAGATGGTCATCCTCGACAAGCTACTCAAGTCAATGAAGGCCAAGGGCTCCCGAGTCCTCATCTTCTCCCAGATGAGCCGTGTATTGGACATCCTGGAGGACTACTGCCAATTCCGAGGACACAGTCAGTTCTTCGATTGGCGGATGGCGGAAATGAGTAAGAGCTGACATGTAGACTACTGCCGGATCGACGGTGGAACAGACCACGATACCCGTACCGCCAATATCGACGACTATAATGCACCCGGAAGTGAGAAGTTTGTCTTCTTACTGACTACGCGTGCGGGAGGATTGGGTATCAACTTGGTCACTGCCGATATCGTCGTGCTCTTTGATAGTGACTGGTGAGCTAAGTAGTGCCGATTGCGGTGTAACAAGCTGACAGTGTAGGAATCCCCAGGCAGATCTACAAGCTATGGACCGAGCACACCGGATCGGCCAAACCAAGCAGGTCTATGTGTTCCGGTTCATCACGCAGGATGCGGTCGAGGAGCGGATCCTGGAACGGGCGACGCAGAAGTTGAAGCTGGATCAGCTGGTCATTCAGGAAGGTCGGGCTCAGACCGCTGCCAAGGGTGAGTTATCGAGCAGAGTTTTAATCATGCCTGGGCCGAGCTGACGGGATAGCTGCGCAGAACAAAGATGAGCTGCTCGACATGATCCAGCACGGCGCGGACAAGATCATCAATGCCTCGAACAAGTGAGCTGCGAATCGCGTCGTGGCCGTGCGTAATCGAGCTAATGTATGTAGCATGCTCATTGATGAGGATATTGACGAGATCATTCGGCGCGGAGAGGACAAGACTGCCGAGCTGCAAAAGAAGTATGCGGACCTCGATCTTGACGCACTCAACAACTTCAAGTCGGAAAGTATGGTGAACCAGTGGGAGGGCGAGGATTACACTGGCAAGGTGAGCTTCGCCCTTCATGAGATGAGACAGTGAGCTGATCATTAGCGACCGAAAGGGATGATCTGGATCGAACCCGCAAAGCGTGAACGTAAAGGCAATTACTCGATCGACCAATACTACCGTGACAACTTGAAGACGGGTGGACCTAGCGCGCCCAAGACGGACAAGCCAAAGATTGCTCGCCCGCCCAAGCAGGTCAATATCCACGATTTCCAGTTCTACCCTATGCGGCTGGTCGAGCTGCAGCAGAAGGAGTATGATGCGCATATGGTACGTTGAGAAAAATCGTTTGCGTGGCCTAGGCTGACAAAAGCAGAAAGCGCAGAATTACGTCGTTCCTGCGCGTGAGCCAGAGGCGGGCGAGACGGCCGAGCAGGTTGAGAAGGAGAGATTAGAGGAGCAGGAGAAGATCAACAATGGTGAGTTGCGACGAGCGGAGATATCTCGACGGTTGCTGATAGTTCCAGCTGAGCCTTTGACGGAAGAAGAGAATGCGGAGAAGGACGCGTTGGCAGACGAGGGGTTCCCCGACTGGAACAGGCGGCATTTCCAGTCGTTCATCAAAGGCCTCGAAAGGTTCGGGCGGGACCAGCTCGACAAGGTCGCTGTGGAGATTGCGGACCATACCGAGGAGAGTGTACGCAAGTACGCCAAAGTGTTCTTTGAGCGGTACACCGAGATTGAGAGTGAGTCGAGTGGCGCACGTGGGGAGGCTGAGCTGATGTAAAGACGCCGATCGGCATATGGACCGAATCACGACCGGCGAGTCCAAGCTCAAGGAGCAATCCGAACGGATCGACGCGCTCCACTGGAAGGTCAAGTCCAACAGCTACCCCATGCAGGACATGAAGATCACGTATGGCCAAAACAAGGGTAAAAGCTATTCGGACGAGGAGGACCGGTTCCTCCTCGTCAGGATGCACCACCATGGGATCGACAGGGAGGATTGCTATGATTTGATCAAGCGGGATATTGGCGAGTGGCCGTTGTTCAGGTAAGTCCTGGCCCGGGAGCGGTGGTTTAGCATGGGGAATAACACTGATGGGTCAGATTCGACTGGTTCTTCAAGTCCCGGACGCCGGATGAGCTCAAGCGGAGAGGCCAGACGCTCATTCTGTGCGTGATGAAGGATTACAATAAGGAGGATGAAAAGGAGAAGGAGTCGAAGCCTGCCAAGCCGAGTGGAAAAGTTTGTTCTCTACTTTGGACAGATGGGGTGGATAGCTAGGCTGACGGGCAGAAACGCGCGATAGATGAGCTCAAGAATGGGGGCGCGAGTCGGGATACTACACCTGGATCGGCGGCGACGGGGAAGAATGGGGCGAGTAAGAAGCGGAAGACATGATGCGTGAGGCGAGGTTGAGATCATCCCTCGGGAGACGGGGTGGGGTAGTATCTTTCAGTTGTTACATATGCTATACACTTACTTTCTGACACAGCACGCACACTGGTTACGTGCCAACAGGGACTGGCCGATAACGGAGCTGATATCGACCGCGGTCATGGTGCTTACAATGGTGGCTCCCTCACTATCACCCACTCTGGCCATTGACCCGGGGGCCGGTGCATGCTACAGTCGGGTCATCGGGCTGATGTGTCGCATCCTGCCTGATCCAACGTGACGACCTTTTGTTCTTGCCCTGCTGTGAGGGCGCAGTAGTGTGAGTCTGGGACGTGGGACGTGTGTCGTCGCTGATACTTTCTGCTGAACGCAGACATGTCGTGCTATCCTTTCTTGCAATCCACCCTGACGCTAGGGGCTGATACCTTGCGGAAGGCCTTGTCCCGTATCAGTCGTCACGATTGGATGGCTACATAAGGCGCTTCATTCCCCTCTCCTGCTAGCCTCTTTCACGGCTACCAAACTGGACGATATTTCCGATCAATTGCTCGCTCAACGAAAATACTCAGCCTCGTACTGCTTCCCGCTCCAGCCGACATTTCGCACGTCTCTCGACTGCATCACGCACGATCCCGACGAATACGATGCGTGTCTCCACCCCTCTCGCCTTTATTGCGCTCTTCTACAGCTACGTCTTCGTCGCAGCCTCCTCGATCATCCGAGCACGAGGCAGCCCCATCAACGACATCCAGATCGAGATCGAGAGCAGTACACTCACAATCGTCTCCGGCACAACGACGATGGGACTCGCGCCGTCGCATCACTGGGGCCCGGATGTCCTTGGAAACCACTCTCTCATCACTATTGCTGGTCTAGGCGAGCCCGATACTCCCTGGGGCTGGACAGCGAAGGCCGAGATTACCATGCAGAGCCTGACTTACAAGGGCTCCTACCCGTGTCGAAAGTCTCCCCAGGAGGTCCGGCACGTTGCGGTACACGGTACTGTGAGTCGATTCTGCCTCACAATTTTAAAATGGACATTGTAGCATCGCGCAAGGCAGGCGATCAGGGCTGACCCACCAAGTGTACCATGACGTTCATCGAAGGTGTCAATGCCATGCTCGCCCCCGCCAAGCTCCAGCTGAATGGCGAGTAGCTCGTCCCCGGGCATGAGCACACTGATCCCTACGAATGGAATAAGAGTTTCCATCAATATGATCGCCAGGCGGGTATCGAGTTCTTCTGCGAGATATTTCAGTGACGCCGGTACAGGTGTTCTTGGTAGTCGAAGCTCACCGTATCACATCTACGCGCGCATGTACCAGTAAGCAGTTCGACATTGAGGTCGTCCGACTGGACGCATGGGACCCAGGTGCCCCAGTCATGAACAGCTGATCTATGCTGCCTTGGCTTGATTGGGTCGACCGGAGTCCCCATCTAAATCTGTGGCCAGTGGCATCGCGGAGAATGGTGCTCCGTGTCGCCCGCTTCAATTGTCATGTATCAAATCACATCATGGTCAGTCATCAAGATGCCCGCTGTAGGGTCTATCTGCCGTTCCTGTAGATGTGCACCCAGCGAAGCATGGTGCAGCCATGTGGTGTTCTGGCGCTCGTCCACTCCTGCGCATGGAGACTCATGCGCAGTCAGTAGTTGTGTCATTGCGCAGAACCATTGCTCTCCAGCTGCCCTGTCCATCTCTGTGGATCGTGCTGAACCCATTCCGCGTGTAGAAGCCTTCCTGATATCGTAAGTGAGGCTATTGTACGGTATCACAGCCGTCCTGGACGTACGAGTAGCTGAGTCTCCGCGAATAAGCCAATGTCAGTGCCCCTGGCAGCGGCGTACATCTTGCAGGCTTGGAGCAGGTCAGTGGCGAGTCCGATACCTCGGCAACTTGCTTCGTCCCGGGTAGCAAGGAGGTCGAGGCGGTCAAGGTCTCTCCATTCTTTCTCGCCGTATGCGTCTTCAGGGAGCCCAGCCTGAGTGATTGACCGGCATATAGCTGGCTGTTCGCTGTAAGTAGTGCTATTCTGACTGGGAGGATGTCTAACGCACCTCGGTGATGTCGTCAGGCAGGTGCATGAAGTGGCGGCAAGACTTCAAGCCTTGTGCGTAGTGCTTCCTACCTTGATCAGCGAGAGCCAATTGGCTTGGCGATTCATCGAGACTCACGCTTGGGTGATGCTCTTCCCAGCTGGAATAACGCACGCTATACTGTCCATCGTGCCTGTTTCCCGATGGATCAGCGCGAAGACCATACCTATATCCAGACATGATCGGATACGGAGCCTGTGTAGTAGTTTGGCCGCTGGTAAGCAGACGTCATTCCTTGTCATGTCTGCAGCATCAGCACAATATAGCGTTGCCACGCTAGATACTCAGCAAGACCCACAGTCCTGATAGCAGTCTGTCACCAGCTCCACTGCTTCCTCGAGAGCTACGGGGTCAGCTCAATCCCTATGTGCAAATGTGTGGAACTCAGCAGGTGATCAGAGCTGGTCAGCCTACATTTGATGTCAGTAGCAGTGAGTATCTTGAAAGCATGAGTGTCAGAGGAGCGTGAGGGAGGTGTCAGACTCTGGTTGTCGGGAGCTCTTGCTGCCGAAGGTAATGTAGATGATGTCAGTCGAGATCCGCTCGGCACGTGTCTCCACGCCGGCGCGTGCGCCTCGAGTGTGAGCGTGCTGGTCTCCATCACGGGGTGGTAAGAGATGTAGTGGATCTTGAGACTCTCACGGATCCTCCTTGCCTTAGGAATGCACTGAAGAGGGCCTTCGATATGATTGCGTTTCGGCAACGTGCGAAGTGAACAGCTTATGAGGGGGGGTAACGCAGGGAGGTGATGGAGTCAAGATGAGCTGCGATGGCGGATCTCAGGCGACGTACGAATGAACGCGGCCGGGCTCAGGCGTTTGTAGAGATCTTATAGCAGGCGTGAACTACGGTGAGATGGGAGCTTTGCACTGTGGACGCCTCAAACGCGGAGGTCAAACTCAAAGGAATCCCGTGCTCGACGTTGCTCCTTTGTTCGCGCGTGACAGCACGCAACCGCGGCTGTAATTAGAAGTGGGCAATAGGCTGCTACTGCTCGCACGCATGCATCCATAGAGTGTTCAGCACCGCCACATCTTACCGCCACACTCTCGCCACCCAGTGCCACTCTGGCCTGACCTCGGCCTCGGGCTCGACGCGTGTGATTTTACGACGCGTCCGAGCTGAAACTCAAATCCTAATCTCCTGAAGCTGCCGTCATCGGGCAGTTTCCCCTCGTCTCCCGCCGTTTGGGCGTTACCCCGAGACAAGGCTGGGCTGCCGAAATCTCCATCTGGCTGGTGGCAATCATCAATTGTTGTGCTGGGCACTGAAAGATCGCTGACAGGAGAGCATTCAGATTAGATCTCGACAAGTCTCACACCTATCGAAAGCTGCTCGACGCGCCCTGCATACTACCTAACGACGATCACTCAACGATCGACACCCACCCACACACGGAACGGAGTAACGACCTCGCGCTTGGACGCGAAGCTTCTTTTTCCCGCCTCACCCTCGTGTTTCATCCTCGTCCCCTACCTCCCTTTTCCAGCTCCCACTCTCCCTTTCCAGCGTCATCACTCAACCAGTACACCCTTTACATACATACAGCTCTTCTCCACGCGTCCATCTCAACACGTCCACACAGCCGAGCCCGGGCTCAATGGCGATACTGCTTCAACCAGAAGGACTAGCAGCCTGAAGGGGTTGGGCAGACAGGGACAACTGCATCACACGATCATTGGGACCGCGCAGGGTCAGGCGGAGCGCAACGAGGCGTTACCATCTGTGCGTCAACTTCGTCCTTTTCCACACACCTCTTCCCACTCGATCAGGTTCATTGATCCCTACCTCTCTCTTGTTGACCGCACCGCGTCGACGCCGAGCTGACTCTGCCAGCTTTCATCTTTATATACCGATAATCCAGGCTTCAACCCGTAATCGCCTTCTTTGATATCCGCGCAACTCCAACGTCCAACCCACCACCTCTATACCCTCACCCCACATCGCTCATGACGTCCGTCCTCGCCTACTCTCCCATGTCCGACCCATTCGCCTCGCACGCGGCCATGGCTCAGCAAAACCAAGCGGCGATGCGGTATCCATCACCTCCTTTGTCGCCCCTCTCCTCGGCGCAAACCGTCCATCAATCCTTCACACCACCCTCGACCGTGACCAAGAGTACTACGCCAGCGCAAACACCCCCTTCACAGCCGTCGTCAACGTCCAAACGCGCCATACCAGCCGCTGACGAGTTTGGCGCGTACGGCGGTCCTGTAGCAGGGACTAGCCAGTCGACGGGCGCTGCGCGAAATAGGAATAGCATGACCCACGCCACAACCACCATGCCCCTTCCCCTCGCCGGTCCGGTCGCGTCCACCTCGGCCACTACAGCTCACGCGTACGCGTTCAACCCTGCTACCGGCTCGGCGACTACCCCTCCCAATGCCGCAGCTCGGAAACGACAATCACACAACCCTTCTTCAGCTCTCGGTCCCTCCGCTTCCCCTCCCAAAGCAGAACACCTCACCGACGAGTATATTCTTCATCCCTCGGTCTACGCCTGGCGCACGGCTCATGCAAAGCGGCCGATGGTGGCGTTTGGCCCCTATGTCCTGCTGCAAACGCTGGGCGAAGGGGAGTTTGGCAAGGTCAAGCTGGGCGTACATACGGAATACGGAGTGGAAGTGGCGATCAAGTTGATCAGACGGGGGAGTTTGGACGACGAGGCCAGGGCGAACAAGGTGGAAAGGGAGATTGACGTGCTGAAGGTGAGCCCAGGGTTGAATTTTGGCTGATCCCAGATGTTGAAGCACCCAAATATCGTTCGCATGTTTGACGTGATTGACACCGACAAGTATATCGGGATCGTACTGGAATTTGCTGGCGGTAAGTCTGCGTGTTGAGCACAGCTGATGGCAGGTGGAGAGCTCTTTGACCATATTCTCGCCAACAAGTACCTCAAAGATCGCGACGCGCAGCGCCTCTTTGCCCAGCTCATCTCGGGGGTGGACTATCTCCACAAGAAGCACATTGTCCACCGCGATCTCAAGCTGGAAAATTTGCTTCTCGACAAGCACCGGAACGTCATCATCACCGACTTTGGCTTCGCCAACCGGTTCGACCAGGCGTCGGACGACCTCATGGCAACGTCGTGCGGTTCGCCATGCTACGCCGCACCGGAACTCGTCGTCTCGGAGGGGCTGTACGTCGGGTCGGCGGTCGACATCTGGTCCTGCGGTGTCATCCTCTACGCCATGCTCTCGGGCTACCTCCCCTTTGATGACGACCCGGAAAACCCAGACGGCGACAACATCAACCTCCTCTACCGCTACATTGTCACCACCAAACTCAACATCCCGGACCACGTCTCACCCGTCGCAAAGGATCTGCTCCAGATCATGCTCGTTCCGGATCCGGAATACCGGTGTACCATTCACGACATTATGACCCACCCGTGGCTGGCGTCTCAGCGGGAAATCTTTGACCGGACGGTCGAGTACAACGAGTGGATCCTGCAGGATAGCATGTACAAGAAGAGTCAGCAGGCGAAGCGGGAGTTGAACGAGCGGAAGAGGGTGGCGGAGGAGGCGAAGAGTGTGCGCGCTATTCAACGGTCGCAGTCGAGCATGCCCGGTACCACTGTCACTGCCAGCATGCTCGAGCAGAGGCGAACCCAGCGCCATCAGTCGGCTCTACCCGGAGCGGTCACGGTCCCGGAACATCTCGCCAATGCCGGTCATCGTACACCTCCTCTGTCAGCCATCATGCGGAATACCCCACCAGCGTCGGCGGCCGAGGATCTGACAAATCCCAGCGTTGCTGCTGCTGCCATCGCCGCTCGACTGGCAAATATCGCCCCCGTCTCGGCTCCCCTCACTCCGGCGGCGTCAAGCGGTCCAGCCTCGGCTGTTGCGGTGGAGGACGAGCCTCAGACTCGCTCGTCGGTCGAGGACGCCGTACGTCCGCCCATGGCGCAGAACAAGAATCGGCATACTATTCAGGTCGAGTATGACGCGGATGCGACATACGAGCGGATGCAGGCGGAGTTGGCGGCACAGAGGGGGAGCGAAGGGACGTCTGAGCCGTCCGGTACGCCGCTGGACGTCGGAGCGCAGATGCTCAGCGACGCCGAGATGAGCGAGTCGGAGACCGGTCATGCGGCGGAGCAGAGTGGCGATACTCGCATGTCGCCTGATGTCAGCCAGATCCTTACTCCCATCGAGGGAGTGCCCGACCCAGTCCCCGTTCCTGGGACACCCACCAAGCGGAAACCGGACGAGTCGATCGGATCGCCTTCAACTCCGCGGGCTGGGCGCGTCGCGGCCCAGGAGGACGTCTCGGCAACGCCGCGTCCGACCTTCAGTACGCCCAAAGCCCGTCGTGCGAGCGGGAAGAGCGCATCCCGACCACCGGTATCTATGCCTCCACCCATCAGCTTGCCAACATCGAAAGGCGCTTCATCCGGTCTCAACAACGCCGGCCTGCCCCAGGTACCGCCACCAAAGCGGGACCGAGCGAGGAAGGGTATGTCACTGGACAAGTTTGGTCTCACCAAGCTGCTCAATTCAGCTGGAATGGGTAGCAGCGTGGACGTCTCGCGCCCATCGCCGAGCGCGAGCTCCGTCACCGCTGCTTCCATGCAGAATCAGCAAGAGGGGAAGGCGCAGCGAGATGCTCGGAGAAGCAGCATGCGGCCGGCTACTGCACAAAAGGAGGAGAGGCAGTCCAAGCGGAAGACCCTGACGGCTTTGGTCCGGTAAGTCTACCCTCTGAAGCAATGGCCCAAGCTGACCGCTAGATCTGGCTCCATGCGCGACAACCGCTCGTCTGCACCCGCCACACCAGCACCTCTGTCCGCTCGGGATATGAACCCGGTTCAACATACTCCCGCGCCCACTTCTGCACGGAGCAGGGCGTCACCTATCGTCGGTGCTACTGGGATCCAACCGCAAGCCGCCAACCTCGGACAGAACTCCCCTTCCATCGTCACTGTCGACGCAGTCGCCCAGTCTCAGGGCACGAACGCGTCCAGCTCGGCGGCCAAAAAGGTCATGGACTGGTTCCGCCGCAAGTCACTCGCAAAGGACACGTTCAATGCTCGCGGCGAGAATATGAGGAGCGACTCGACGAGCAGCTTTGTCCGCGTGGAGGGGCCATCGCAGTCCAGCGGAAAGGCTGGTATCCCACCACCTATGGCCAATTCGAGCACGTCGAGCGTGGCGGTCATCCCGGAAGAGGAGCAGGAGTCACTTGCGCCTCCGCCGCCGAGGGAGGAGGTTCCAGTACCGGACTCGGCCACTCTCCCTTCCGCCGCTTCCCGGATGCCCGAGCCTACTCGTCAACCTCTCGGCGACGCTGGAAATGCCACCAATCTCCCTCGCGCTTCGCCGCAGCGGCAGACCATCGGCACGGCTGGTCGTTCCAAGTCACACGCATTGCCCAGCCCGACAGCGGCAACGGCGATGTCGCAGATACCCTTCAAAGCGCCCGCTCCGTCCAGTGCGGCCGCCAAGCTCCGAGCGGAGGAGGCCAAGTTGCGTATCCACACTGGTGTCGTCGATCAATCCGCCTTGTCGTCAAAGCTGCCCTCCGAGGTCATTGCCGAGGTGATCAAGGTGTTGATGGATATGGGATTGGAGGTGAAGAGGGAGAACGAGTACAGGTTGCGATGTACCCGCGTGAAGAAGGGGGCGGCGAGGAGCGGTCTCAGGGGAAGCGTGATGAGCATCGGAGGCAGCTCGGCCGGTTTCCTGCTCGGCAATGCGTCTTCGTCGAGGGTGAGTCTATGTCTTGAGGTTTAGGACGAAGCTGACGTTCCAGGTCGACTCGAGGGGTCTCCCTATGCCCCAATCACCTTCTGCTTCTATCCTCTCACCGGGCGGGTTCAAGGGCATGCTTCGTCGCGGCAGTACCGCCGCTGGCGTCAACCTTCCCCGCGCTTCCTCCGAGCCGCAGGGTCTGGTCAGCCCGGCCATGTCCAGTGTTACGGGAACGCCTCTGTTGCCTAGTGTCGAGCCTATCTATGGGGAGCACTCGTAAGTTGTCTTGCGCAGGTCACACGCAATTGAGCTGACAAGTCAGCGTGGACAGCGGCGACGAAGTCAAGTTCAATGTCGAGCTTTGCCGGATCAAAAACCTCCCTGGGCTGTACTTGCTCAACATCAAGCGGCTGCGCGGAAACGTATGGAGCTTCAAATTCATCTATCAAACCACTCTCGAGTAAGTCTTGCTTTGAATATGGAAGAACCCAGCTGACCACCCCAGGCGCTGCGAGACCCTCACCCACTAGACCTGCTCTCTCGATTCGGAACGGACAATACCTGAATATCGACTCCAACGCCCAAAACACGCAATCACATCATCTGCAGCATGGCCTTTTTTCGGACTTTCGCATCCCTAATCAGCCCTGCCTTCTCCTTTCCGCACCTTCTTGTATCTTTCTACCTCGGCTCTCACACGACGCGACATACACGGGCGCCGGATCGCCCACCTCACCTCATCAGGCTACTCTCGTCCCTCCATTCCCGTTTCCACAAGATATTTCTGTTCTACCATCTGTGTATATATATAGTAGCTCATCTGGCCTCGCTGGCGTGTAAGGATCAATGCATTCTTGCGCGAGCGAATGCTACGGGAAGGCGGCATGGCGGCCAGGTACACAAAAGTCCAGCTGGTGATTCTGCGCGCACGGACGCAGCCCGTTCGTTACTCAGAAGGACCAAGCCATCTTTAACCCCTTAACTGTACATCCTCCCTTGACGATCACTCGATCAATATCATGAGCCTGACTCGACCCGCATTCGTCACCTCGAAGGCCCTGAAGCTGCCAGTCCTTAAGGAGCTGGCCAATAGGCGGATCATTCTGGCGTCCAGCAGCCCCAGGCGAAAGGAGATTTTCGAAACAGCTGTAAATTGCGTTTCCAATATGGTTTCCCGATACGGTCGCGAGTGCGATGGCCTTAGTTCACAAGCTGATAACCTCGCAGGGTCTGCGACCAGAGATTATACCTTCAAAATTCGCCGAGGACCTGGCCAAAGATCTGTACGATGGTAATCTGGCGGATTACCCCATTGCGACCGCTGGAGAAAAGGTAGCCCGCCAGTGGGACCCCGATTATACCAGAGAGCTGATCGTCTAGGCCATAGATGTATATGAGAGCCTCGTCAGAGATAACGATCGCGATCCACCAGATCTGGTCATCAGCGGTGAGTGGAAATGAATCCTGCCAGTCCGATGTCGAGGCTCATCCTGCAGCGGACACCGTGGTCATCTTCCCTCCAGAACGCATCACTGCAGAAGCTAGTGCGAATGGCAGCACGGTACCTGGGATGCAGTCTCAGATCTTAGAGAAGCCATCGTCGAAGGAGGATCAATTTAGGATGCTGGATCTGATGGCTGGGAAGGAGTGCGAGGTGATTACGGGCGTCACGATCGGTATGTCCCTCGGGTTCAGACTTTAGCTGACAAAGCAGTATACCCAACAGTAGATGCGCCCGGCTACAAGCTGGAGTCTATGTCTTGCTCGACCCTCTGCCGATTCTATGACAATTCTGTACGTGTACCTCTGAGATCAGGTCGAGGGCGAGCTGACTGGCCAGAAAGAGGTGATTGATGCCTATATCGAGTCGAATGAGGGCATAGATCGCGCTGGCGGTTTCGCAATTCAGGTCAGTCCGGGTGGTCTCTGTATAGGCGTAGGCTGACGAGATAGGGACTGGGAGGACTGCTCATTGAAGGCGTAGAGGGGAGCTACGATAACTGTGTCGGCTTCCCCTCTTCAGCTTTCTGGCGGTGGATGACCGAGCTGTCAGACGAAGGCACCTTCTCGGACGCCTGGAACTAGATCACGGACGATTGTGTACAGTATCATACATGTATCCTCTAGATGTCCTGGCTACAAAGTGATCTCCTGCTCTTCCACCGCGATCAATTTCCGACCATTTGGGTAGATAGCGTGTACTTCTTCCCTCTCTACGTAGCGCTGTCCAGGTATTGGCTCATCGCTTGTCATCACGGTTGGAGCGACGAAGGGGTCTTGTCGATGACCGCCGTGTTTTGGGTGATGGACCGAGTGGAGCGTGTATACTATTTCCAAGGCAGAGAGCACGCCGCCATATGCCCGCGATATACCGGTATCGATGATGATAATCGAGGCGTTGCACCTGTCGACGATCTTTTCAAAGTTCGGCGTGTGGCCCTGGCCGTCAGCGTAGCCACCCAACAGTTCGTGGACGTACTCCAATGATCCGCCTGACGCCCATCTTCCTCTTCAGAACCTCTGCCCACTTGCAGACGGTAGCTTCATTCCCCATCTCCGCGAGACCTCTCCACCAGAATGGACCGCCGCCAGCGTAAAGATCCGCTTCCTCGCTGGTCGCATCTCGAGGCAGGCCGGCGTACGGGTTGGGTGGATGTGGCGGGACCTGCGCATGGAGAGCTTTTGACAGTAGAGATCGGCCGAGGTCATTGATCTTGTCGGGGTATGGAAGAAGGTTGGAGTATGAAGGGCGAAGGGACCCGTGTGTGAACGAAAGGAGGGGGGCGGATGGGTAGGGGGAGAGAGCAACGAGGGCGGTACTGGAATAGCTGGGCCATCAGTTCAGCCTTTCACCAGACTTACTTGGCCAGCCACTCTTTTCCTAGCCATCCATCTGCCGACATATCTCGCATCCGCTGCTCCGTCCCGCCGTTATATTTGATCTCGTCTGGCGTGACATATCGCCAGTCCCCAATCGCATTCATCACCTCGTGATTGCCTAGTATGCTGACCACTTTTCCCCCGGCACCAGCCGCCTCTGATCTCAGGCTCTGCATTAGGCGATAGATGTCCCAGGCATACGTTCCCCGATCGACAATGTCGCCTGTCTGAACGAGGATCGTTGAGCCTGCCGACCACGTTGGGTTTGCTGAGGAGTCGATGATACCTGCCATATGTAACACAGTCTTCGCATTCTCGAAATCTGCAAGTAAGCTCATCATACCGAGCTTCTGGAGGTACTACCCACCTCCGTGAAGGTCGCCGACAGCTACCAGTCGCTGTTCAAATACTGGCCTACCGCTGGAGGAGGGGGCTTTGCGGACCGGTTGCGGTATTTCGCTTCGAGGGATCGCGACGTAGAACAGTCCGCATATTGTCACGACTAATGTAAGACCCAGGTATAGCTGCTGCCGTGTCATAGTGATCATTGTGAGCTTGCGATGGAAGGACCAGTGAATGTTAAGCTTGTCGCGAGATGGGTGCTAGAAATCACTCCGCATTCCTCAGCCAAAATTACGTGATTGGGACCGCCGGATCCAAAGGCGTGTCGCGCTACATCTTCAGCTTCTATTTCGCCCTTCGTTCGTGTCGTCTAGCTCAAGTAGCACGAGATGCCGCGACCCTTACTACTGCTGGCAGCGGTGCCAGCCATTCTCTTCATCATCTATTCCGTGGTCCCTGCCAGTCTAAAGGAGTCGTACGCGTGGATGGATCCCATCTCGCTCAACACCCCCGCATCGAATGGCAGGCCCAGGCGATGGTTCAACATGGGCTACTGGAATGTGAGACCGCTATTCAGACATCAAGTAGAAAGTGGCTGACAATGATAGGAGACGGGAGCGGCCTGGGCGGATGACTTCTCTAAGGCGAATGAGAATTTGGCTTGGAAGCTGCGCGAGTTTGCAAACGTTGATGCGAGGGGTGCCGTCCTCGGTGGGTGATTTCCTCCTGCCTAGTGATGTCTGCTGACGGCACAGATATAGCACATGGGACTGGCGAGTCCTTGCGTGAGTGCCACAATAGCTTTATCACGAAGGGGGCTGACGCCTGCAGTCGTTCACTTGACCTGGGCCACTTCGCCCGCACGCCTCGATGCGCTTACATCCATACCATCCGACACGACCTTGGCGCGCGCTCTGGTCCGCTCTCACAAGGTGAACGAGAGTATCGGCATCCCCGTCGAGTTTTACACCGGCTCGGCTATGCCTCGGATAGGAAACGTGGACCACCAGTCTCATCCTCTCAACCCTATGAAGGGCTTTCTCGGCCAGTCTTCTGGGGCTTCGGCGCACGGCAGCTACGACGAGGAGGATGACGGCGAGGAGTATGAGAGTAGCCCCACCGGACAAACCCCCGCGACGAAAGGATACGACCTCATCTACATCTTGGACGCAATCTACCACCTTCCCCCCTCCATCAAGCCCTTCCTTTCAGCCGCGTACCAAGGGCTTGCTCCGGGAGGGGCCATTGCATATACCGACATCCTCCCGCCTGTAAAGGGCCTCAACCCCATCATCGCTCGGATCGTCTCGTTCTTTATCGGGGTACCTTTGCCTAATCTCACCCACCGACCCGGCGGTTTGCAGGCGTACAAGGCGGAGCTGGAAAGTCTGGGGTATGATGACGTCAAAGTCGAGGACTGGGGGGAGCACGTCTGGCTGGGATTTGCAACGAATCTGCAACGGCGAGGAGGATTCTGGGCGCGTGTGGGGAAACGGGCAAAGTGGGCGTACGAGGAAGCAGGATGGCGGTTCTTGGCTGTGAGGGCGAGACGGCCTGATAAGACATAGGGGAGTAGACGTGTCATTAGATACCAGCATCTTGGGGAAGGCTCACCTATCCTGCTGAGGCTTAAGATTAAGGCTTCCACTCTCCATGCGGCACACCGCGACTGACTTTACCCACTTGGGGCCCCTTCCGCAGCATTCCTCAATCTTTGAAAATCCCCTGAGCGCGTCATCGTGTTTTTACTCCGAGCAAATCTGCAGCAAATGTTCCTCACCATCCAGTCCACATGCTCTCCAGAAGAGCCAGCTATGGGCTAGCTGGAGCTGCTCTATCGCTGATAGCCATTACTTACTACACTCTTGCTACAGATGTCGAGATCCCCTATCTCCTGCCCTCCTCCTCCATCCGGCACCAGCCTATTGCTGCTCCCGACATTTCAGAAAATCGCAACAGGCATCTGACCGAGTCGCAATGCCTGAGCCGCTATCCAAACCTGTATATGGAAGCGGACCGCGCGGAAGCGTGGTATGCACGCAAAGGAGGTATCACCGAAGAGATGGTGGACAAGGCCGAACAGGATGACGGGAACGCTAGATTGACGATTGTTGACAATATTGTGAGTGGATTAGACATCTGGAGCTGAGTCCAGCTTTATGTCAAGGCTTTCAACGGAGGCATTGGAAGTAGAGCTCAGGCGGCTATAGCGACGGTCTACGCCACGCTTATCACCAGCACTGAGCCTTTGCCAGACGTAGAGTAAGTTTAGCTCTGGCGCTGCTGATGCCTAGCTTTGTGATACAGACCGGAGACGCAGGCGGAGGAGAGTGGCCGCACTTTGTGTTAGACCGAAAGGCGGAGCAGGAGGCGCTGTGGCTGATGCCTGGTATGTGCCAGAAGCGAGCAAGCTGACGCTAGATTTTGGTTTCTTCTCATGGCCCGAACCAGGAGTGGGGTCGTATGTGGACGTGCGGAGGCAGACATTGGCATATGAGACAGAGCTCGGCCTTTCGCTGAACGGCTCGGCCGTCCTGTCGGATAGCTGGACAGCAAAGTCGAGGCAGCTATTCTGGCGAGGATCTCCGATGGTCGAGGTCCGGCAGGTACGTCTGTTAAAGACCAAGCTGACTTTCAGGACCTCTTGCGAGCGAGCCAAGATCAACCTTGGTCCGACGTTCGCGAGCTCAACTGGGGAGCAGTTAACCAGGACGAAGCTGGTCGCACGGCGAATAATGGGGATCTCAAGACGCCGGCGCAGCACTGCCAATATGCCTTCCTCGCCCATGTTGAAGGCTGGGCGTATAGCGGCCGACTAAAGTAAGCAATATGAAGCCCAAAGCTGACGCCAGGTATCTGCAGCAGTGCCGGTCAGTCATCGTCACGCACCCGCTCGAGTACATCCAGCACTACCACCACTTGATGAACGGCATCGACGGGCATCCAGACCAAAACATCATCGAGGTGCCTCTACCGTTCACGGACAATCTGGCACCAGCAATGGAGAAGCTCTTAGGCGAGAAAAGTGGCGAGCAGATACAGCGTATCTTGCGCAACAGCTGGGACATCCTTCGAGAGGGATACATCAGTCCGGCGGCCAAGTAAGTCCGAACGTTGAACTTGAGCTAACCACAGTGAGTGCTACTTTCGCCACGCATTACGGGCGTACGCGAGAGTCCAGCGATTCCAGCCGTCCGTCGCCGATAGGGGCGTATCGTACGAAAGCTTTGTATTGACGGGCACGACTCATTGGGATCCGCATAGATGACGGGTGAAGCATATGCATGTGCGCTGGTGTACAGTCTCTCCTACTTTATACCTGTAAGCTATTATTGAGTACAAACATGATGACTATGCGTCTACTACCATTACTCACATCGCCTACTCGATCTCGATTGGCTTCCCTGCCTGACCCTTGGCCCGCGCCAAAGCCTGACTGTCCCTCGCTAGCACCTCTTTCCTCAGCCGCTCAAACTCGCCACCTCGCTCCTTGACGTACTTTGCGACTCCCTCTTTGGTCGTCAATTGCTCCCCTAAGGCGTCCTTACCCTTCTCCTTGTCCCGCTTCCGACTCGCCTCGATCTCGTTCAATCTGGCTCGTAACGCCGGGAGAGATTTGGGATGGGAGGTATCGAGATTGGAGTTGTATAAGAGGATCCACTCTTGGACGCGCGCTTCGAGGGCTGGCTTGTCGCCGGTGATGGGGAGCGAGTGTGCGGAGAGGATGGCTTTGAGCTCGGCAGGTGTAGCGAGGTGGTAATTTGGTTTTGTGATACGTTTCATTGGCCTGGGGTCAGCGGGAACGAGGCGGCAACTTACTCCTTATCCTTGTTCTTCGCTGTGGACACGCCGCCGAATACCTTCTTCCAGTCCGCCTTCTGGTTGCCGCTACCAGATCCGTTCACTTGCTTCTTCGGTGGTGGACACCCGCGCTCGATATGAAGCGGTATAGCTGCGATCGCAAGGCGAGCGGAACATATTGGGCATTCTCCCTCATCTGCTGATCAGCATAGCCGCAAGGAAGGACCCACCATTTTCCGTCAGGACCGGCTCATCTTCGTCTTCTACCCCTCCAGAGCTCGAGATGTCAATCGCTTCATCCTCATCCGCGCCTGATGACCTTTTTGCTGGGCTCTGACTTCTGCTTGACCCCGCCTCATCCCTTCGTAACCGCTTGACCTTGTCGTTGGATGCGCTACTCGTTGTGGGTTGGGGAGGAGGTCTCTTGCGGGATGAAGATGCTTGTGGCTGAGACAGGTTGATCATGACAGCTCTGGCATTAGCCCTGTGATTGTATATACTCACCTAGCATCCTCCCATGAATCGACAATCTCCTCGAGCGCCCGATTCCGCCTGATGCTTCCTTCTCCGGCGGTCTCGTTGCATACCGGACATTTCTTGAGGCTTTCGAGTGATGAGCGAATGCACTACGCCATTAGCTGCGTCGTTAGATCTCTCATTCGTACTCACTTGGGAGCAGAAAGAGTGGCCACAAGCGATGGAGACGGGACCTTGAAATGGCTCTTTGCAGATTTGGCAGTAGAGAGCGCGATCTAGGCGTCTAAGCTGGGTTTGATTTGGGGGAAACGGGGGCGGGTCGTCGCTGGCTAGGAGCATTGGGTGATTGAGATCCATTTCGACAGGGCGTTGTGAGTGATATGAGCAAAAGGACACGCAAACATCGATAGTTGCATCAAAAGTTGACAACATCAGACGCGATATGCGCACGGGTCGTCAGCGTGACGTAATGGAATGTAATGTGGGGTCTCCGCGCGAGCCATCCGGCCCTGCATGCAGTCAAAACAAGCTTGAATTGATTCGACATTGTCAACTCGCTTATCATCGATGAGTGATGACTATGTAGACACTTGCACTTACCCTCTACTCCACCCTCTTCAGCAGGAAACGTGTCTAATTCGCGCTGACTTCACTCTTCGCTTCCCGAGAGAACAAGAAGCTCAGATCTGACTGTTTCAAAGGAGCGGCCGGAGGCGGACACGGAGCGATGCGTGCCTGGATAAGGGCAAGGCAGTGCAGGTCAGCAGAGGTATATATACTCGGATGAACGTGCTTCCTTCTCTCCAACACCTCTTTGCTCAAACACGACAGCCATCACTCACATACCATGAAGGACCAACGCCAGGGAGCGGCCGCTTTAGTCTTCCTCGTCTTTTACGCCTGCGCTCTGGCCTTTATTTTTTACTGCCTATTCACCCGCCGCGCCAAACGATACATATTTGGCGTGATGATTTTCGCCATGATCCGCCTCGGAGCCAATATCGCGGCACTGGGATGGGCCATCAACCTCTACGACAACTTTGACTGGCTCATTGCCAGCTTGATTCTCGGAGCTGAAGGTGAGGAAGGCTAGAACGTGGCTGATGTCTAGGCTACTTTGCGCTTATCATCACGATTCTCTTCTGCATCGTCGGGTACGAGAAGGAAACGCTCGGCAGTTCCATCTTCTACCCCGACATACCCAAGGGACGGAACAAGTGTCTCCATAGGATGACCCATATCTCCTTCTGGTTCGAGTGGAGTGAGTGTCGGGCTGACCACAGCTGATGACAGGTCTTGTCCCGGCGAATGTGCTCCTGATTGTCGGAGGTGGGTACAATTGGGGACTACGCTCATGTCAGGCTCAATGATCTCTGGAGGTCTAGCCCGCGCAACTCTGGAGGAGCTTTACGACCCGGCATCGATTCCGCGCGTCAAAACGGGCCAAAACTTGCGGATCATTGGCCAAGTCCTTTTCCTCTGCGCCATCATCGCTGGGTATGCCGCACTCGTCTACGTCATCCGGAGAGCGGGCGCTCGAGGCGCGGCCAGGCAGCCGCTGTGGTGGATGGCGGCGACCGCTCCGTTCTTGCTCCTGAGGGGTAGTTACGGAGTGCTCAGTTCTGCCGACTGGCACTACAGCTATTACCTTCCCACCAATGTGAGACTCGACGAGGTCAAGCTAATCCCCAGTATGGCGCGAATGGCCTTAACCAGTCCGAGCTCATCGCTGAATACCTCATGGCGGTCACGCCGGAAGCCATCGCCCTCATACTGCTCCTTCGGACAATCTGGCTGATTACGATGCCAAAGCACCTTTTTGTGCCGTATGATAAACGAGCAGGGAACCTCGATGGGGCGGAGATGACGGGCAAAGCGCAGGCGGGTGATGGCGGGAAAGTGACGGTATGAGCTCTGTCTCGAGTGCCTCGTGCTAATTTTGTGCATATTAGAGTACCGTCGCTTTATGAATAATATAATCGATGATTCTCCGTCTGTGTAATTCAGCTCCTCTAGCTGTCTAGATCGAGTGCGGTACTTTGCCACATCTTGTGCGGTTACATTATGTCTCGGCCAGGTCCAGATTGGCCAGGATGACGCCAACCTCCCCTCAGCGCGAGTTCTGGCGCAGGACAGCTTGATCTGAGGTGACCGTCGCGCGAAGCCCTGACGAGACTAGGTGCCTTCTCTGGTCATGGATGATGATATGGCATGTAATGTATGAATTGCTATCGCTATGTCGACTTGTATCTCGCTTGTGACTGTGCGTGAGTGAAATTCCCATTGATAACGAAAAACGTACCACATCATGCGCCTGCTGCGCCCTCCCCCCTGCTCCCGTCCAGCTCCCCGCAGCATGCCCCTGACTCGCTCCCAATCCCGCCCGCTCCGCAAACTGCTGCACCTTGATGGGTTCTACTCTCCCCGCCCCCTCTGCACCCAACCCGGTCCCACTCTTCCATCCCATCTTGGCCAGAAGCTGATTGCCAACATTCGACTCGTCCTTACCGGGTTCCGCGGGCACGACGGCGGCCGGTATGGCTGTGGGACCGTCGAACTTCCGCTTCTTTTCGGGATGCAGCTCCATCCAGCCTGGTTTGTCGGGTTGGTTGAACGCCTTTCGTCGCTCGGCGGCTCGATCGCGATACTCGCTTTCGGTCGCGGCTGCTTTGCGCTGTCTCCCTGCGGATACGGTTTCCGGATCGAGGAGGTTAGTCTGTTATCGCAACAACAAGCAAAAGGGTAAAGTCGAGGTATGCATAACAAAGAATATACGATGTCAGTAAATACGTCAAGGATGTTGGACCCACGGTCCAAAGAAATAAGCGAGCCTTGTGAAGATCCGACTGGGCGACGTGCTTTCGAAGCACCTCTTCGGTTTTGAACTGCCGTTGGCAAAGCAAACAGGCGACTTTGCCGGTGGCCGCAAGGGTGGAGATATCGGTAAAGTCGTCGGCCGTTGGAGCGGGCGTCTACGCTTAGCGGTGCCTATAGCAGTACTCACGATTTTGACAATGGTTCTGTTTGCGTCGGAAAGCGGTTTGGAGGGTTGTCCAGGCTTCAGTTCTGACTGCTTGTTGTTCCACTTGTTGATGTTGTTTGCCACCTGGCGTTAGCTTTCGTAGATCGAAGCTTTACCTTCTTCCCTCGCTGAGGGAGGACAATATTTGTCCCTTTCGCTAACATTAGCTCCCTCATATATGTGCTCACTTCTTGAAACCAATTGCGTGTCCTTTTCTTCGGCCACCTCCTCTTCCTCCAAGACATTCCTCGCGCTCAGCTCAATCATCATCGGTTCCTCCTTCTTCTTCTTCTTTGCCCCGATCTTGATGGGTGCTATTCCGCCGGTCAGGTCCGGTAAAACCTGGACGCCAGATGCTGGTGGCGGAGGGGGGCCAGCCAGCTGCCCTAGCATCTCCCTCAGCGCCAGCGTCATTTCTGGTATCTGCCCGTCTGGTCCCATCTGGTTCTCCCTTGGGATCATCTCGACCGCCCCGCCCTGTTCGTGCCAGTAGGAGCACCAGATCCCGTCCACGTTACCGATACCGCCTGTCCGCGCGCTCTTGACGAGGAACTGACCGCCTGGCGGAGCGGGGATGAATGACGCAGTTGAAGCGAATGACGCTGCGACGGGAATGCCGGATATGCGGAAGCCTGACGGCTGATATTGAGGCGAGATGAGGAACGGTAGGAGTGCAGCCGCAAGCTGTCGTCAGCAGCGCCCAAGTGAAGCTCACCTCGGGAGTCGCCAGCTCGACAAAGCTTATTCCCCATCCCTGACCTCCAGCTCGGTCGACAATCATCACTACGCGGTGGATAGCGTGGACGGCGGTCTGCTCTTGCCCAAACGCTGAGAGCAATTTGGCAATCTCCTCGCTGATACGCGTGATGACTGTCTCGGCTCGAGCTGCGGCGTCCAGCTGACGTAGGACAAGCACGCGGTTCCCTCCGCCCATTGGGCCGACATCGCGCATTCCGTCATGAGGCAGGCGCGCAATACGTGGGTTGGCGTGGCTAGTGACCGTGGGAGGGACTACATAGTCGATTCGGACCTGCTTGGGTTCTGACCGAGAGTACAGCGCGGGCATGACGATACCAGGAAAACTGATCAGCTTCGTTCTAGGGTTACGCACTTGTTCTTGATGAATCCTTCCGCTCCGGCCAGGTCGGCAAAGGTGACAAAAGCGAGATTGTTGGAACCGCCAGTACTGGCAAAGGGTTTGGGGGTGATTCTGACAGTGTCCACCATGGCGCGATGCTCGATGCGGAGATAGCTCATGAGCTACCGTCAGCTAGGTCTTATATTCACTCACGTCATTCTCAGTCAACTCCTCGTCTAACCCTATGAATATGACCTCGCGACACGGTGTAGAGGACTGAGGTCAGCGACATAGACATGGGATTTACCGCTAGCTCGCTCGGGTCTCGACCACGCTCCCACTGATCAACGGGCGCGAAAGGCCGGCTCGCTGGCACCGTAACTCGGTCCGCAGCCATTCTTCCCGGAGATTTTAAACGAACGTCTGCGGCGGCAGGAGCAGGGGCAGGAAGTCGACTCCCCGAGTCGCGCCGACGCTCGTCGTAACGAGGTGGCGAACGAGACCGAGGGCGCCTGGGTGGAGAGCGGTCAAAGCGCTCGCGAGGAGGCGAGTACGGCCTTCGAGGAGGCGACCGGTCGTACCGTGGGTATGAGTCACGACCACGAGGAGGTGGAGAGTAGCGCCGAGGCGGAGGCGAGTACTCGCGTTTCGGCCGGGGCGGCGGGGAGTAGGCGCGATCGGGATGATAGCTGTCGACACGCCCTCTTCGGTCGTCCGGGCGTGGAGGGTATGGGGCGTAACGGCGAGCCGGAGGAGGTGAGCCCGACACGCCGCGGGAAGGCGAGTAGCGGCGAGCCCGGTATTCTGGTGAGGGCGATCTGTAGGGCATCTTGAGAGTGACCAGCCCAGTATGCAACCAGTATGTAAGGAGGAGAACGAAGGAGACAGCAGAGAAAGCTGATGAGGCAGGTCCTTGTTACAACCGAGTGATGACTGATGACAGCGTTGTAACGTACAGGGTGAAATAGTTCCGCCTATTCCTGTTGACTTATCCCGAGCTCCCTTCATCCTATGCAACGTCTACTTCTTCTGCCGCTGCTTCTTCCAAACGAACACACTTATAAGAGCAAACACAATGGCAGGAGGGGGTCATCATCGTGAGTCTGAGGGGCGCTGGCTTGAGCTTCAACCGAGCTTGAGGCGCTGACGAGGCAGAGTCCGTCCGTCTGGACCCGGCTATCGAAAGATGGAGCGCCATGGTAGGTGTTCCTCTCGGATGTCCAAATAGATATGACCAAGTGGAATGATGGAATCATCAGAGTCGTTGTGACCCGCTCACCCGAGCGGCAATGCTGATCTTACAGCGGGAAAACGTCTACCAAAACTTCACTTTCACTCGCCGAGCATCCAGGACAGCAATCGCCCTCGGTATCCTTGTACCCGGCGCTATCGCCTTAGTGGCCATGGCATATGATGTGCGTCTCAGCCCTTCTTCCGGCGATGGAGCTAATTGTGCAGGAAAAGTTCGACATGGCAGGGAAGCGTCGGGGAGAGAGCCTGATAACTGGCCAGTCTGGCGCAAAACCGGCGGCTAAAGAGTAGGATCATACCGCATTGATGTACTAGTATTCACCAGATCCGCTTCACCATTGTCCATCTCTCAACATCCTCGAGTTTCCACCTTTTCCGACCATCCGCTTTGGCTTCGGCAGGAGGCCTTGACGTGCCGGAGAAGAAGGCTGAGGGAGCTGGATAGTCTGGAAGCTCATCCCCTGCTCGAGACAGGTACTCGCTCGTGTGCTTTCGGTAGTCCTGATAGTCAGTCGTGTTGACACAGTACTCACCCTCTCTTCCTTGGACTCTCCGACCGCTGACCGGCCCATATCGTTGACCACATCTTCAGCCTCTCTCTGCTCCATTCCAGCCTGACGCGTTGCCGAGTAGCTGAGCAGCAGCAAACCGAGCAGCACCTTCAAAGCGACCAGACTAGAGTCAGCTCACTCGCGCAAAGACGTACCATCCCCAAGCGCTCAGACCAACACCTAATCCCGCCAACCACTTGACCGCCCGCCAGGCCAACCTCGCGATGGTGACGTTGGCCGCTTCGTCCGAGTGATATGACGAGGCCGTCAGCATGCCGAGCGCCTGTACGCCCACGCGAATGACCAAACAGGCAAGCGGTATCGAGGCGAAACCGAGTCGACGTGCTACCAAAGGAGATTGGTCCAGCAGAAGAGGATGCTGATCTCAGCAGAGTTGATGCCAAACTCACGTTGCGACCCTTGCGCTTTTCGCCGAGGTTTCCCGCAGCCAGGACGTCCTTGGCGAGCACATCGGCAAAACGGCCATATACGGACGCTCGAATGTGGTTGAACTTGGTGATAAAGGCGTGCTTGAGCCAGTCGACCGCCATTTCAGACACAACCACAAAAAAGACGGGCTACATCAGCCAACGCGAATGTGTGACTCACTGAAAGTATCGAGTCCAACAGCCCTTTCCCCCTGATGAAGCTCTTTGGTAGAAGTGCAATCTCTGAACCCGACATCTCCAGGATATTCCGAAGCGAGATGACGGTAAGCATCAAACTGAGCTGGAATCGCTCGACGATATCGGCGCAGAGAATCTGGAAGAGATTCTCCTTGTCAAACTTCTTGAATACGGCTATCATCAGCTTTACCTTGCCGCGACTTACATCCCTTGATCTCGACAAACTGGTTACTGATCAACAGTGATAACAGCGTGTAGTCGTAAGAGTTGATGGCGACGTTGAGCGAGACCAGCATGTAAAAGTATATAAGGGTGTGCGCCACTGATATCAGCGTTGAAAGCGCGAGAACTCACTGACATAGCCTAGTGACAAGGCAAAGAAGAAGAATGGCCTCGCCTTTCGCCGCCTAGAGCCCACCCCTGGCGCCAGGGTGTCTCGCGCAAAGAGCGTATCCAGTACGTCTTGTCCAAACGCGCAACATAGTCGATCGGCGATCTTATCAGCTCGTCCAGTTCTAGACTCACCTCGAGAGCGTTAAAAATGACATAGAGCTTGATAGTGTCTTGTCCGCGGACAGTGTGATACATCTTGCTGGCATCCGTAGCGAATAGCAGGATGACCGTGGGGACCAGGATGAGCAGCATCCGCAGGAGCGAATGAAGGTGCGCAGGCGAGATTGGAAAGATGGAGGATCCCCGCATGAGACACCTCGTGATGCGCACAAGCGCAAAGAGAGCTCGGATAGGCAGGATGGTAAAGTTGTAGAGGAACCCGTCGAGGCATAGTAGAGCGCCATACAGCGTTACCTGAATCAGCTATGCCAGACCCCCAACTCACCCGTTCTACAGCCAATGGTACAGCCAGAAAGTTCTGTATCCTCTCCCACTTGCCGTCCACCGCCCATCCCTCCCATCCTTCCGCCCCAGCCTCGTCCTTCAGCAGATCCCATAAGCTTGGCTCTGCCACAGTCTCCTCCCTAGCCTCCAATACTGGCCTTTCCGTCTGCTCCATCGTCCCCCGGCGACTTCTTGCCGGCCAAAACACCTCATCCACGTCAACCCCATCATCCATCAGCTGTCCCAGCTTGCTCTCCAACTCGCTGATCCCCAATCCCCGCTTGCCGAGTCGCGCATACAGCTCGCTGCCCTCATCTGCCAATCTGGGGGATGGAGGAAGCGAAGAGTAGGTAGTGTGCCGCGTTAAAGGGGGAGGTACGACCGATCCAAATATATCCGAGGCCGACGCCGAAGATGGCAGATCCAGGGCAGCGAGCGAAGGGGGGACAGTAGACCGGACGCGAGGTATATGCGGACGATCGCGTCCAAAAGAAGAGAGCTTTGAAAGATCCGGTGTCTGTGATGTCTGAAGCTGATTGCGGCGAGGCGTATCGAATAGCTCTTCCTCTAATGTCGATACCTGAATCAGCCGAGAACTTCCTGCACATACCTCCATCTCCCGCAAGCGCTCAGCCCGATCCTCTTCCTCATAGTGCCCATCAAGCCCCAGCGAGTTGCGCTCCGCCTGCTGTCGTGGACGAGAAGGGCCAGGCGTAGCATTAGGGCCGTCCATCATGCCGACGATGAAAGTAAGACAATTGAGGAATGTGGAGTTGTCAACAAATTCAACTCGTCATTTGCATATTTGCATTAGCCACAATACTTTACACCCTAATATGGTATGACCAGCAATGGAGCTATGCGATGCCTCGCACACCTCAGGAGCGTCCAAGACCACCTGGGAGAAGGTGCTCTGGCGGCGACAGCCTTTTCCCGACAACTACGTCCCGCCGTCGTTCCTTGCGGAACTCAAAGACCTGCGTCAGTACCTTCGCGTGACTCGGCTGATCTCTAGCTGTGCGTGCGCGCCCGAGCTTCACTGCGCTTGTGATCACTGCTCTACCTATAAGCCAGCATCTAGGCGTAACAGCCTTATTCTTAGCGGTGTTCTATGGTCTCATGGTCGGTGAACTAGGTGCCGGAGAGATCGGATGGACATGTGTCCTTGGGGGCCTCGGAGCTTACATGATTCGACACGTTGGCTGGGGCACTGCCAGGAAAGCTTCCTCCACAGGTGAGCCCGCCAGCATGTGGAGCTGACCGTGTTGCGAGCCTACTCCCCCCTTCGACTCCGCTCCGGCCCCTCATGCTTCCTCCCCTACTCCTGTCGCTACTATCCCCTGTGCTGGGCACGTTGACCAGCGCAACAACCTCCGACTCGATCTGGCCACTCGCTGGCGGTCTCTTCTTTGTTCACCTCCTCTTGGCAGACTTTTCTACCGGTACCGATGCCAGAATTAGGCGGCTCGTTCTGCAGCGAAGAGAAGCCAAGCGACGAGGTAGTATCAGCGCAGCTACCCAATTGGAAGAGGTCCAAGAGAAGAGGTGAGCTAAACACCTGCCCAGCTAACAAGCAGTCTGACCTCTTCACTATCGCTTACATCCGCCCTCTCAGCTTCAATTGTACTGGCTTCGCGGCTGTCATCCACGGCAGAGGTATTCTCCCTAGTCCTGCTCGCCGTCGCCCTCTTTGCTGGCTGGCCAAATATAGCCAAAGGCATCAGGGTGAGTCTCTATTCATCATAGCTGACGTCCAGGAGGCGGGCAAGGCCTACTCTCTGGTCCTCACCTTATCCACAATATTGGCCGCCGTCTCCCTCTTCCCCTCGACGCTCCTCGCACCTGCGACCCTCATTTTTGCGGCCGCCCTCTTTCTGGTCAACATAGCGGGTCCTGGGATGCTGTGGTATGGCTGGCGCTGGAAGACGAGGCGGGGAGGTGGATGGGACGTAGCGGTGGTGAGGGTGAGGAAAGCTAGATGAGTGGTGCATTTACAACTATATTTATACCTTGAACCCGAAACTCCGCATGCACGCCTTGTGTGCTTCCACCACGTCCCGACACTTTCCGTCTGCTTCTTCTGGCGAGTTCTTCAAGAAGCAGTCATCGCGAACCGCTTTTGTCTCGGGACAGGCGCAACATCTTCCTGATCAGCCGACGCTCAACAGTGATCGACTCACGGCTTGAGCCCTTTGGGATTCAATGGGTTGACCTCCTTTGTAGCGGCGTGGGCTATTGATGCGTCAGGTGAGGAGGATCGGGAAGTGGCGGTGGAGGAAGAGGATCTGATTAATCAGCAGGACGTTTCGACTTCCCAGGGACGACTAACGATGGGGGGGCTGATGAGCCGAATCCGAGGAACGATACCATCGCTGCGTGTGGTCGGGATTGGGTTTCTGTCTTGTATGGGAGACTGGCGAGATGGATGAATGGTGCAGGATGGCGATCGCAACTCGAGCGTTGACAACATTTGGACCGCAACGGATTTAGCCGAAGCTAAACTGGAGGGATCGGATACAGTTAGTGCCAAGCTCGGTCCGGCTCTCCCGAGGACTGACTGTGATTGATTGTGATCTTCTTCCTCACTATCAGCCAAGCTATCAGCTACCCTTCCCACTTAGCGTACACCCAGTCAATAGGATATGCTACCAATATCCGCAATGAGACCTGCGACTGGCTCGAGGATCCTGTCCGTCGTGGCTCGCTCACCACTGCGAGCTGCATCGACGATGCCCTCTCCATCCCCTGCGTCAGGTGCGATGCCTGAGACAGCCGAAGCTATGAGATTGAGGGCGATCAAGCTATACAAGGAGGTGAGCGGGATCGCACTTGCTCTTATATGAAGCTGACTTCAAGCTACATCGACTCGGCCGTGACTAGTGCGTACTCTCGCGTCTCAAGGTCTTCCAGCTGACATGGCAGCCCGGACCCAGCGTACGGTTTCAACAAGCGCTTGCGGCGGACCTTTGAGAGTGAGCTACTGCCGAAATGCTCGCTGATCCGACAGAGAACGCAAAGAATACGGATCTGGCGGTCATCAAGAAACAACTTGATCTAGCCGAGCACGTCAAGAAGGGCAGGTCATGTCCATGATCCAGCTAACCCTCAGAGGTACTCGCCCTGATATCACTCAAAAAGTTCCGCCACCTGCGGCGTGCCTACTATCCCGATGACGCTCCTCGCTGAGCATGCTGTACCGCTTGATGACGTTCACGATTTTGTATCTGCTCTGACTGTTACATACAGGTGTTTATAATCCGATATCTATGCAAGGTGTAATCATACTCGCCGTTTGACGGGCCGCTCTCGCTGCTTTGCATCCCTACCGGATCAGCCAAGACCATGTCATCTGCAATGAGACTCACGCAAACGCCCTAACCTTCCGCTTTTTGGACTCCTTCTTCATCTCCCCCCTCTTTCCCTTGCGATCCGCCCAAGCTTGCGGGTTTGCAACAGCCTACCGTCAGCGATGACTATGACACAACTCACCATTCTATTCTTCTCCTCTCGCCGACCCTCCCTGGTCTCCCTAACCTTCTTGCGCAGACTCTCCCAGACTTGCGAAAAGTCACTAGGGCCGATCTTGGTTTGCACAAAGTCTCGTACTTCTGTAGCGAGGAGGCGAAGATCGTCTGTGGTCAGTCGGTCCTGGGTATAGCTCACCTATAGCTTGATCATCCTCCATGTTGGCTAGATCCCCACCATCGTCAAGTACCCGGTAGACTGGAGCCAGTACATGCCTGGAGAACTGCTTGGCCTGCTGTTCGCTGAGGATCTCATACACCCCCGCAAAAAACCGGAAGATCGACGTCACCGGGCGGGTCCACTCGGTCTGGAGGTAGGCAATGTGCGAGGATGGCCGATCAATGATGAGTCGACGAGCCAGGAAAGATGTACGCGACATGAGCCACGGCAGCGGTTGCTTGCTGTCTTCCTCGATATTCTCTTGTGTCTGAAGATTAGCTTGGTCTCAATCTTGAGGGATAGACTTACCGCCCAGTGCTTGGCAACGTTCCACAAGAGCTTGACAACCTCATCCGCCAGCTTCGCATCCACCACCATTTCCTCTCCATCCGCATCCTTTCCGCCCTTCAGCAGCAAGCAGCTCTTCCTAGCGATATCCAGCAATTGGTCGTCGCTGAACAGCTCGAGACCATCCGGCTTGGTGAGGACCGTGGTGATGACACGGGCCGTATCGAAGCGGACCCAGTCGTGAGGGAACAGGAGCATATCGATGATGCCCGACCAGGGCAGGTCGGCGGTGACATCGTCGCGGACCCGGATGATTTTAGCGAGTGTGACGAGGGCTTGGTGAGGGAGCTGGTGGTCGAGCTTGTTATCCGCGGTAGCGTCCTCGGCCGAAGCCAAGACCGAAGCGCACTCTTCCACGATCGGCGCAACAATCTCCAACGCCGCATCGACCACCCCTGCCTCACCCCCACCTGCGAGCAGCCCGAATACGCTCAACGCCGCGCCGCCCAACGAAACGTGCTCTGCTCGCCGTTCCACCCAGCTCTTCAATATCCCCACAATCCGCTCGCGGTGGCGATCGTCCACCCGCTCGACCAGCTGCTTGACCAGCGCTCCCGCCATAGTCCGGCACTTTTCCGAATCATCATTCGCCAGCACCATGACCAGTGCAACAAAGAAGAGATCCGCGTACTCGGTAACAATGTCATCCGAGAACTTGCTGAATACCGCGGAAAGCAGCTCCATGACCGAGATCCGTCCCGACTGGTAGATGTAGTCGAGGTTCTGCGCGAGGAACGTCATCTGGCTCTTGAGCCGACCAGCGCCTTGGGGATAGTCGAGGAGGAATTGGATGAGGACCGACCGGCACTGCTCCTGGACGTTGGTGGACTGACTGGTGACCATGATCGAGGAGATGCGGTCCATCATGTCGTAGACTTCAGGGACAACAAAGTTGCGCCCAACGATGGCGCGAAGGACAGCAAAGATGGCCCCTTGTCGATCCGCATCCTCGAGATCCGGAGTGATGATCTCGAGAACATATTTGAGCTGATGCTCCGAGACTGACGCCGTTTTGCAGTCCCGCAAAATCACCGCCAATGTCTTTAGCGCCGTCTGTGCGAGGTCCGACTCGGCCGAACCGCTCAATTTGAGGATGCGAAAGATGTTGGTAATGTAGACGGGGAGGGCTTCGTCCAATTGAGGGAGGGGGCAGCGAGCGATGGCCGCTGTGGCTTTGAGGCCAAGAAGAGGGACGTTGCTGTGGGTAGAGTAGAGGGTATTGCCGATGGCGTTGACCAATGGGCCCAGCCGACCAAGGATATCGACATCCTCAAAGTCAAATTTGCCCCGCCGGAATGCGGTGACAAAGAGGTCGAGACCGAACGCGACGAATTTGGGCGCATTGAGAGGGTAATAATCCTCCACCTTGTTGTCGTTCCGCTTCATTTGCACCGAGAAGCGGTCGCCCCGCGCCGCCTTGGTCTTTGGCTTGGATTTGTGATACGCCGAGTTGCCGCTGACCAGGGAAAAGCACAGGTTGAGCAGGTCCTTGGCGTCGAGTTGGGTGTTGGCGTTGAGACCGAGGGCGATCCGACGCAGCGCCTCGTCGACTTGCAGCATTGTCTTGACCGACTGCGACGCGTGCATGACATCCCGCAGCGGCGCCAGGATAGTCGACACTTTGCTAGGCGAGGCCAGCCGTGACACCAGCTGGAAGGTGTCGTACCCCCTCGTCATGGCTCCCTTGACCTCCCTCATCTTGGTCTTGAACCCATCCGCCTCGACGTCCCGCCCAGACTCCCCCCAGACCACCTCGGCTGAGACCTCGACTGCATCTTGCACCGCAGTATCCATATTGCTAAACTCTGCTTCGGACGCCTGTACCAGGATGGCATGGGTAGTCACCGCCAGGACGTGCTTCTGCGGCCCCCGCTGGAGCGCATCCCGCAGCTCCTTGAGCACGCGAACGAGCCAATCTGGCCCAAGGTAGATTGCGATTTTGCAGATCGTGTCCCGGGCGAGGTCTCGCGTGTCTTGATCCTTACTCCGCAGGATCTGGCTGGCCGTGGTGATGATGCGTAAAACCTCATTACCAGATAACTCGCTGGGAAGGGCGCTAGCGATTTTGACGATGCCAAGTGCGACCGGGATGCGGATATTATCATCGGTGTCGTCCTTGTGATCGACAAACTTGCTCAGCGCCGGGAGCAAGCGCGTCAGGACGACCTGCGTGATCACCGCCCGTTCAGGCAGGGCCACGGCGTCTTCCTCTCCCTCGTCGTCCGGCCCCACCTCCACCACCGCTTGCGACTTGAGGTCAAATCTAAAGTTGTCGATGATGGACGACACCGTACGAATGTAGAATTTCTGCTGGGCCGATCTTCCCGATCCGAGCCGAAGGTACCGCATGATGGTGGCATTGTAGCGGGACCACTTTAGAACACCCGACAGTGTTCCGATGGCGAGGATAGCCTCATTGGTGAGATGATGGTCCGTCACCTCGGTAGCTCCGGTGATATTGTGCTCCAGGAGGGGAATAAAGATGGTCGATACGGCGGATTCGCTGATTTGGCCTTCCGCGCAGAGATCCCGAAGCCGGTGGATTGCCCGAGTGCGCCGATGCACCTGGATATGGGTCATGTTGGTGAAAAAGTTGACCTCCTCGTCCCCGCCGCCGAGTAGCGGTTGGAGATCTACCAGAACTGGGATCCCCGTGCATGTTTTGACCGCGTGCGAGAGCACCGACAGTGTTTCGTTCCGGACCAGCTCCAGCTTTGACCGCAAGGCCTGCTTGAGACTGGGTAGGACGACGTAGAGGAATGTCTCCACGAGCTCGCCCTCGGTCGAGTCGCCGACGACCGTGAGGAACCGCTGGATGACGCTGGACGCGCTGGTCCGGATGGACAGCTCGTCCGGGTCGCGGATGAAGAAGAGGCAGCTCCGCAGGAGAGGAATCCATTGACGCCGTGTCGAGGGAGGGTCGACCTGGAGGATCTCCCCAAAGGCCGTAAGACGCCGGTCAAAGTCGGGCTCCTCCAGCCTCCGCGACGAGTAGGCATTGATTTCGCCAGTGACACGGATGACCTCCTTGACCGAGCCGTCCACCTCGGCAAAAACGTCGAGCAGGGTGATGAGGGCGCGTCGGGAGGAGGGGAAGAATAGGATTTGCAACAAGTTGCAGATTTGCTCATAATTTTGGCTGAAAAAGGTGGATTGGGGATCCGCAAATTCCGGCGAGATGGCAAAGAGCCGTTGAAGGGTGCGGAGGATGTTGAGCTTGGCCTTTTCGGAAAGCTGCTTGGAGGGGAGGCGAAGCATCGGGCTGAGAAGGGTAGCGAGTTGCTGCGCTTGTTGCCCGTCAGCGACGATGGTGGAGAGGCTAGAGAGTATCCCCAGCAGGCGCCGCATGAGGTCGTCATTGCCCGATTTGAGATTTGGCACGAGCTGGATGATGCTCTCCAGGAGAGGCCGCATGTTGGGCGCAATGGCTGTGCCCTCCACCGGAAGGGATTCGATAATGTCAAAGACCCGAGCAATGACGGCGGGTTTGACCTTGACCGCGACAAGGCAGGCAAAGGTTTTTGGGAGGGTGCGCTCGTCCAGAGCATTCAAGCTGGGCGCAGTGTGTGAGGACGCTGCGATGGCTGCGATGAGCTCCAGCGTACCGGATGGAGCTTGCGTATTCTCAATCTCCAGCTTGTCCAGCCGTGGAGAGATGGCCGCGGCAAAGATGGAGGGTAGGTATTCGCCAAAGTCAAAGTCGACCCGGGAGCGGAGGAACTGGACGATCCGCTTGATACCGGTCGACCGAATGTGCCGAAGAGGCGCCGTGCCAGTGGCATCCTCCTCGGGCTCGTCTTCGACCTCGTCCACCTCCTTGCCGACGATCGCCTGAGCATGCCCAACCAGCGCAATGGTCGTTTTGAGCATCCTCGGCCAGTGCTCCTCGGTCTGTGGTCCGAGGTACCGCAGGACGTCGTGCAGCAAGCTGAGGAAACCCAACTGCTGTCGACCGGCGGCATGCTCCGAGCTGAAGGGCTCGAGCATGAGATCGACCAGAGTGGCGAGCTCGTCCGACGAGCAGCCCGACATGGACGTAAGGACCGCTTGTTTCCGACCCGCCAGTCCGTGAGCGCTCGTTCGGCCCCGCCGAGCGGTGATGATGCCATACATGAGGCGGATGACGACGGGAATGGCCTCGGAGCGGTGCTGAGGGTCAATGATTCCTGCGTCCTGGCCGAGCTGAAAGTGGACGAGCTCGTCCCGGAATTTGGTCTCTTCCAGCAGGGCTTTGAAGTTTGCCTGGTAGGACACTAGTGCCGGCGACTTGTAGGTCAACAAGCAATCCAGCGAGAGCTTTTGGAGGTGGTTGTCCCCCTTGGCGAGAATGTCCAGGTAGATTTGGCGCAGCTCGTCCGACCGGAACGCAGCTTTGGGGTTGACAAACTTGGCGAGGAGCCCGAGAAAGTTGGCCGTGCGCTGTTGTCGGGCCCGAGTGGATAAAGTCGCACCGTCCTCTTCGGATTCATGGCCCGCCACTTCAAAGAACATGGGGATGAGGACCCGAGTATGCTTTTCAGCGAGAGAGACCACGTCGCCGAGGACCAGTAAGAGTTGGGCTTCATAGTTGAGGACGTCGAGCCGATCTTGGCTGATTTGCGACTGACATTAGCCATGCCGCAAGTCAAACTCACCGAGATCTCCCCCTCGTCCAATGTTTCGGCATCCATCCCACCCGCCAGCGCCTTGGTGACCACCTTGTTTTGACGTTCCAGATTCGGACAGCGAAACTCGGCCTCGTCCTCTTCATCCTCCACTTCACGCTCGCGCGAGGGTTTGGACTGGGCCCACGCGGGAGTGACCGCGGCAAAGTCTGGGATGGACATGACGGGAGCAGCGTGGGTTTGCTGCAGCTCTGCCCAGACCAGCTCCCAGATGGCTTCGTCCCGATTTGACGCGAGTTGGCCAAACCATTTGATGGTCTCGGGGTAACTAGGTCGGTAATTGACCTTGAGCTGGACGAGGAGGTATCGTAAAGCGAGTCTGAACGTCACCTGCTCGAGCTCGAGCGGAAGAGCGAGCAAGAGCCGGCCGAGTCGGGCAATCTGCGTTGGCTTTTCGCGCGAATTGCGTAGTGTCATTTCCGCATTCTCAACCTGGAGGCAGGTGTCCCAGACCTCCTTGTCGGCCGAGGTAGCAGACAAGATCTCCAGCGAAGATCTTCGAAGGGATGAGTCGGCCGAGAGCAGATTGGCTTCGAGCTTGGCCGCGTTCAGGGTGCTGATATCAGCGGTGCCGGGTGTGGACTCACTGCTTGCCCTCCATCGCTGCCACCTGCTGCATAACCTCTCTGTTCCACGACCATCCATCAACCAGCTCCTCCAGTGAGGTGACATTCCACACAACTACTCGTAATCGCTCGCCGATAGGCGTGTGCGATATGGCATTGACACATCCGAGCACCGCCGCCAAGATATGCCCGTCATTCCACACTCCATCCTGCCAATCCGCCGGGGTCAGCCGAAGGGCCAGTCGAATGATGCGCTCGAGGTGTGTCTCGAATACGGCCAAGTCGCCCAGTGCGTGCACGAGTTGCAGCACTTGACCGAGCAGGCGCTTGTCTTCGACCGTCGTGAGAGTGACCCTCTCGAGCACAGCAGCAATGTTGCTGGTCATGGTCGAGCGCCAACGTCCGCCTTGTACGTTCGAGAGCCCGGTGCTCAGGTAGCCGGTGGTGCGAAGGGTATTGAGGAGGATGACGGTGGAGAGGGGGTCTTTGTTGATAGCCTCGGTGGTGGATCTAATCAGCAACGTTTGAGACAAACCTACCTTGCGATATGCGGAAGAAGGAATTGCTCCACACCAGGCCATTTGAGCAGAACGAGTGCGTCGGCAAACTCGAAAGCCTCGCGATGGGACTAGATCAGCTCGGCAAATGCTTGACTTACTAGACGTTTCCATATTTTTTCAATCAGCACGACGCCCGGACTCAGCCACTGCTCGAGCTTACTCGCCATGAGGACCGCGACGACGGTGCGGAGGTAAGCCCCATGAATAGGTAATTCGAGCAGTTTGAGCATGGTTGGTTTGAGAAGCGATTCGGGGTACCGCTTTCCTTTTCGGATGAATAGCAGTGTCGAGAGGAGGGGCAAGATCTGAGATGATTGTTTGTCGAGACGGTCGAGCAGGTTTTGGACGACCGGGAGGAGGTTGACTGAGGCACAGTGGTGGCAGACCGACGTCATGACCAGAGCCATCGTGTCCTCCTGCCGAGCATCGTCCAGCAGAGCGTCCAGGATGGGCATCGCCCTGGAATGCAGTTGCTTGGGTGCCCCCTTGACACTATGCGCCCATACCGCCTCCATCCCCTGATGCTCCTCCTCGAGCATGATTCCCGTCAACCGCTTGAGGCCGTCTCCTCTGGCCTTGCGGATGATGGCGACCCATGCGTCCGCCACACAACGCCGGACATATCGCTTGTTTTCCCGCGGCCGAAGGTACGGAGTGAGTTCTGACCAGGTCTGCCTGAGGATAGCGTCGGACTCTGGCTTGAGCAGCGTAGCGGCGACGTGGCGGAGAGCTTCCGAGAGTGTCAAGAAGCTCTTTTCGATGAGCCGAGGTTCCAACGCTCTGAGTTTGCCGGTCCGGAGGAGGAGCTTGGCGATGGCGGGGAGGTACGGGGTGGCCTCGCCTAGGCAAGTCGCGTAGAGGGCTTGGACGAGGGATAGGGCCGATTCGAGACCAGAGTTGACGTGGTCCTGGCCGTCTTTGAGATTGGTGAAGAAGGCATGGAAGATGTCGCAGATGGGCTGGAGGTTGAGGAGGGTGATGGGCAGGGTCGAGGTGAGGGGTTGGAGCTGTCGGGAGAGCTGTTGATAGGGCAGAGTGAGGTCATGCAGGCCAAGACGGGTGAGCTCAGATGTGAAGGGGGTCTACATCAGCTGTGCCATAGTTCTGGCTTACCGAGTGCCCATCCTCCTCTTTGAATTCTGCATCTGCCCATTCGACCGCCTTGCTTTTGCCTTTGGTGACGGAGATGTCTCGAAGTTTTTCATTGTACGAAGCGTACTGATCATTAGTTGAGCCTAGTGTGAGCTCACCTTGAAGCGCTTGGCTGGTGGTTCTGCCATGCTGCTTAGAGTATAGCTACTATAGTGAAATCGTCAAAGTGCAAGGTCACAGAAATCTGAAATTCTCGGCACATAAACTTTCCCACGGTCGATTTGCCACCCTGGCAACGCATTCCTCGGAGCTGCTGATCGACCAACGAGCTCGCTTCCCTCAAAGACGTCAGCGCACATCAGTGCATCAGCAGAGCCTGGTCAATCAAGACCGCCACTCGAGACCGCTGCACCGCCACCTTTCGCTAGCGCCAAAAAAACATGCACATCCGCCAGCGGAAACCCTAATAAAAGATAGTATAAACCCCCCTACACCAGGAAGGAGGCCGCCCCCTTGCGCCTCATACACATGGGCTCAGCCCGTATCGTCACCCCCTCGTAATATCGTAAATCCCCTAGATAATCCCCCATCTCAGCTGTGATTCCGGCTCCTTCGCTTGAGATGACCCCGGCGGCACACTTTGGTCTTTGTCGGCGCTGCCGCAGATGACGACGTGGAGGATGCAGCCGTAGTCGTGGAGGATGATGCGGTACCCTCCGCGAGGTGCTGGTTCCACTGGGTAGGCCGGCTACCGCTCGAAGTGGAGTTTGCTTTGTTGTCATTCCAGTTGGTTGAAGTGGTGCGGGGACCGCGAGTGGATGTGGAGGATGCGTCGTCGTTCCAGCCGGTTGAAGTTCGGGTTTGGGTGCTGCTGCTCCGGGTTGTGCCGCCGCCGGCGTTCCCGGCTGCAAACGCAGAAGTTTGCGCTCCGTTCCGCCAACCGAATTTGGAGTTGTAGGAGGGTCTATCGTCCCAGCCGGGGGTGTAGTCCAGGTTGGAGCGGTCGTTGGCCCAGCTAAAGTCAGCTTTGTGACATGCTAAAAACTCACTACATTGGCTGCGTTGGTCCGGAGATGGCACCGCGCTTGGGCTTTGCGGGAGAAGGGAAAGCGGTGGCCATGCCATTCTCTACGCGACACCCTAAAGTCAGCCATGGCCAAGCCGCTACTCACTGAAGCCAATCATGTACATCTCCGCCGCCGAGTTCTTCCCCTGCCAGAACCAGGCACACGTGCATTCGCCATCCGGACACGACGGAAGGTTGGCGGGAATGGCAAAGGGAGTGTCGCGTTGGCGGACGCAATTCTCCTGAACGCTCATCACGACAAAGTCCTCGGGCCTGACATCCGACGCCTTGGCCTTGGGCGCAATAGCAAGAGCACAGCCCATAAGGTTGGACTCGCTGTTGCCCCACCAGCCGCTGGAGGATCCCGTTCCGCCGCCAGCGTGGAACGAGCCAGAGTCGCCGGGACAGCCATCGGGACTGGGAGAGTTGCCGAATGTAGAGTAGGATTTTGAGCAGGCGAGCTCGACTGTGAGGTCGCGGCCGGGATAGATGGACATGACTTCGCGTGGTTGCTTGTAGGTGTAGCCGTGGAACCACTGATCATTAGCTGGGTCGGGGTTGGGACTCACCCATTGATCGAATGGCTTGTTGGCTAGGGGAGTGACGGGCTCGTAGGATTCGTCAAAGCCGTACATACTGGGCGACCATAATGACATGCTAAGGCGATGTTAGTCATGCTTCGTCACGAGAGGCTGGGGGGTGAAAGGGGCTTACTGAGCGCTGCAGCCGGTGAGAAGGGCCAGAGCGAGTAGCGAGCAGCGAGCGTTCATCGTGAATGATGTCGTGGGTAGTTCGTAAAAGAGAGGTCGAGTAGGTACTGCGCTGGGCAAGAGAGGGTAGAGGAGATGGCGAAGAGACCTGCTCTTTGCTATAGGGGAGGAGGGTGGCGAGGATAGGAAAAGACTGGAGAGATGGGTGAGTTGAGTGAAGGAAGGAATGGAGGAGAATAAAAAGGCCTCGACGCGACCCCCGTCAGCAGAAGTCTTACCCCGTGATCTGAGCCCTTTGTGCAAAGTCTTGGCATGATCATACTTTCGCTTCTATACCTGTGCGCAAAGTGGAGCCGACACAGCGGTGTGCCGTTGACGGTGAGGTCAGGATATAATAAAGGAGGAAATGGCACACGATCTGAAACGAGGCCACGACGCGTCGACGCGTTTCTTTTCGACTGCTGCTGGTAAAGGCCCAGGTTCCGGGGGAATCTCGCTATCTATTACGTCACTCCCAAGTCGGCGATCCCCGAAACACTACATAGTTGGCCATGCCCCGCACGACGTCAAGACAACGTCAAGAGCTATGGTAGCGACGAGAGATTGTCGCTCTCTTACAAGGTGCTCTATATACCAGTAGGGAACAGTAGTCCTGTAGCAGCCATGTCGCGCCAACCTCCCCCATCCAAATACAAAATATCCAATCCTCAACCCATCACATCTCACGATGCGGGACCCAGCTCGAGGCCAGCTCGACCCCCAAGCGAGGACGCTCCCACCTCTCGCACCAGTCCCGCTCGCCCAGCACGCTCGCGCCTGAGGGATGCACCCCGAGTACCCAATGAGGTCCCTGCACCACGAGCTCAGCTCCGTCCTCTCATGACGCAAGACCTTCGCCGGCCTTCCGCAAATTCCGTCGACTATGGTTCGCCCATCGCTTCACCTGCTCAGGCATCGCCAAATACCGCCATGTTCTCAGATCCCTTCGCAGCGGACCGCAATCAGCGGAGCCAACTGCGGCAGCAGACCTCAGAGGCCAAGCAGGCAGCGACCATGATCCCTGCGCCGAGCGGAGACAAGCTGCGGAACGCAGTTGGCGCATTCATGGCGGCCGGAAGGCAAAAGGAGGTCCAGAGACCGCCCCGGCACGCTCGACCCCCCATGCAGGAAACGTGGGACCTGGAGACGCCAGACGGGAGCGAGTTTGGCGACATTGATGTGGTCCTACGCAAAATCAAAAAGGATTGGCCATTCATCCTGGAATCAGACTTTTCCCCCTCTACCCTCGCCCTGTCGCTGCTCTCCCAATCTTCGAATCATCCTCCCATATCCTCCTTCCTCCGCCTCAACGAAGCTCTCTCCTCCGCTCTCCAAGCCGCCGTACAGGCCCATTTCCAAACCTTTGCGGCGTCGCTACCCGGGCACGCAACCTTCCTCACTACCCTCGGTCGGGCACAGGAGCAAGTGCGGAGGTCAAAAGCAGAGTTGACGGAGGCGAGGGACGGCTTTGCTGGCAAGGGCAAGGGGGAACTGGCGGGGGTGAGAGCACGCGAGCGGATGGTACGGGATATAGTGTCAATCTTGGACACAATGTGAGTTGGCTGCCAGCTGTGCTTACTCAGTGATGATCTGAAGCAAGTCCCGGATCGCCTCGAATCCCTCATCGGGGACAAGCGATTCCTCGAAGCCGCTGCGCTCCTCGTGCGCAGTCTCAAGACCATCAACCGCTCGGATGTCCAAGAGCTCGGCGCTCTCTCAGAACTGCGGAGCTACTTTCGATCTCAAGAAACAGTACGTTCCAGCACAGCTGCGCTGATAGACTCTTACCGATATCCTCGTCGACGAACTGCACAATCACATCTACCTCAAAACCTTTTATAGCGACTCTCGCTGGCAGCCCTACACACCCGGACAGCAGGATCGTAAGTTACTGTTGTATCTCGCTCACTACAGTTGCCGAATTCAAGGACGACGTCCCATCCCGCCTATCCGACTCGCATGACTCGGCTTGGTCGCGCTATATCGCAGGCCTCCAGCCTAACCAGGCTCCGGCGCGCCAGGGGCTGACCGGCTCCGCGTCGCTCGCTTCAATCGCGAATGAGGAGCCGCACAGTCCCGAAGTTGAATCTTTCAGCTATATCGAGACGGTCTTGGAGGCGTTAGCGGTGATGGGGCGATTAGGCGTCGCGATGGACCGCATGGTACAGAGGGCAAGCGGAGAGATCCACACCCTGGTCGACACAACGCTAGACGAGGTGGATAGCCGAGTCGAGCTGCGGCGGGAGGAAGCAGTCAATGCCAACACCAAACCTTCCAATCTCGTCGGCACGACCATACTCGCCTTGTCGTTAGACGTCGTCGGCCCACCGCATCACGCCGCCATCCTCAGAGATCTTTTCTGGACCCTCTACTCCAAGTTGGTGGCGGTTTTGGAAGGCCACCGTGTCACCTATGAGATCGCTCGAGGGATCTCAGCCGTAAGTGAGGCCTTGATCGCGCTGACGGCAGCGCCGAGAGTTCCGCGACGTAACGCTCAAAGGGTCCGCCACGCTTCGCATACCCGTGGTGGAGATCTACAAGCCAATGCAGGCCGAGGTGAGTCATGTTCTAGAGCGAGCTGATTCAGGTACGGACCATGCTACGTAATTACCTCGCGGACGATGGGTCTGTAACAGAGACTCTCCAGTACATGTCGCTGAACGAAATCATCCGAGATGGTAAATTGGCCAGGGACAAGCAAAGGGTGAGTCCAAGCGTGGCCCGGCTGATATCAGCAACTGTTCAAATTCTCCAACACCGACACCAGGACGCACGGGCAGGACTTTGACTCTCTGCAGCAAGTCCTGAAAACCTCGGTCCCGGGACTGGTCGCTCTGCACGAAGCTACCCCAGAGTCTAGCGAAGAATCCGCGAAGCATCGCAACCTCATCCCGCCCAACGCATTCAACGTCTCCACCCTCTTCCAGCCTACCCTGGCGTTTATCGAACGCGCCGAACACATCATCCCCCCCGGTTTCCAAGACGAAATCGGCTCGTTCAGCACTGTACTCGAAGACTTTGTCGTCAAGGTCTTTTTACCACAACTCGACGAGCGGGTCACTGCGTCTTTCCAGCAGGCAGTCTCCGGATACGACGCCTACCAGATCGATCGGCGCCTCCCAGTACCATTGCCACCGCTTAAATCCAGCTCCCGAGTCATGTCGCTCATACATCACCTCTGCGTCATGCTGCAGACCACCCCCTTCCACCGGGAGAACTACAGTCGACTGATCGTAGGGGTCATCGTCCAGTACTATCAGCAGTGCAGCGGGCGCTTCAAGGGTAAGCTCCGATCTGACGTCGCTAATGTAGAACTCGCATCATTACGAGATGCCTCCTTGTCCTCGCCAGCGACCTGGGCTCAGCGCGAAGATGTCATACAACTCCTGTCGGAAGTGCAGGCGGTCATTGTGAGTCCATACTATCCAGAGCTGATATAGCCCTCCGACAAGCACGAACTTGGCCTACTCTGCCTACGAGAGATCAAGCTCGGTCTGGATATGGACAAGCCACTACACGAAACAGAGCTCATCAGCTCGCCTCGCAAGGTGGAAGCGTTGGGGCATCTCGCCGAAAGCTTGGTATGTACGGTCGTCGCTCGGCTGACAGTAGCGCTGGTTCATCGACTCGCTTCTCGACATCGAAGCAGAAGACGGTCAAACTGTAAGCGATGCCCTGACAATGCTGACTGTAGACTGCCATGGATGACGGACCCAAGTTGCCGCTTACTCGAGCCATGATGCAGTGAGTACAGCATAGACTTGTCTAACGATAGACGTTTCGATGCCATCATCCAGACCTATGAGCAACTCGCAGAGATGGTGCTCAATACGATCCGCCTCGAAGTCCGCGGTCGAGTCATCTGCAACTTGGGCGCAGCTATGCGAAGCGTACGTCCTCGCAAGGCTCAGCTAATGTCAGGGCGATTATGATCTCGCCAGCGAAGCGCTCGAACTCGATCCAGATGTCGTTGACTTGAACTCCAGCCTAATTGAGCTCGAGGAGATTACCGGTCGTACCCTCTCCAAAGAAGATAGGAGGTGAGCCAACCGTTGACACGGCTGACCCAAGCTTCATCTTCCGCGGCCTTAGCTACCTCGTCGATCACCTCTTCATCCACTGGGCTCGCTTGATCAAAATTGTCAGTGCGGCCGGCGTGGAAAAGATCAAGCGCAACATATTCTCGGTGCAGCAATGCCTGACTGGCATTGACGGAGGGGACGAAGTTCTCGCTCGATCTTTGACGTACTGGGATCTGTGGCAGCGCGGACCCAAGGCAAGTCCTCGAAAGACCGAACTAATGCCAGTACATTCTCGACACGATCCAAGAGGGAACACCAATGTTCTCGTTCGACGACTACAAGGTCATGCTTGAACTGCAGTGCAAGGAATCATCTTCGGAACTCAACTCGTATCTCATCGATCTTCATGCTCTGGCAATGTCTATCGAAGGATGGGAAGTCTAGTCAAATTGTAGCCCCGAGATGTGATAGCTCTCTCCCAGCAGAGTCTTACAAATGACCACTATCCTGTCAAGTCGGGCGAGAAGCGAAAAGGTGGTGGTGACCGCCAATGCGTAACGCAAGTATTCTTCAGATTGAAGGACTAATCAGCAGTGTTCTCGGTCACACTCACCTTCAATGGTAACTAGGGTTGGGAGCTCGTCCGAATGGGGGATCTCAATACCCCTCACTGGACCTTTCCGCTGCCTTTAGCTAGCTCAGTGCGAAACTCACAAATCTTGAAACCAGTGGCGAAGGCGTAATTTGAGGCAGGGGAGTCTCCGACTTCAAAGCGGTGGAGCATATAGTAATGACGGCCAGAAGATCCCCAATAAAGGCGTGCTCAGATAGCCGGGTGCGCTGCAGTAGTGCCTTGCTCCATGGTCTGTCCAGCTGATTCAAGATGTGGTGAAGTTGGGACAATAACGAAAGTGCGTCTTGCAACGCTTCGAGCAGTGCCTACAATCAGCCAGGTCGAATTGACTCGTACCTTATAACGATCTTCCGGCCATTTCCCCTTTAATGAGTATTCGTATGTGGCATGCATATGCTGGACGGGAAGCTGAATTAGCAGAGTCTCAGGATGACTCACTTTGCTCAATTTCGTCCGCCAGGTTAGAAGCTTCTGCAAGATGTCGGTGTCTTCATTGATGTGCCGGTGGTGATCGTTGGCATGAGACAGTATATCACAGAGAATTGTGCCGACCGCTGCGATGCTTTGGGAGTGGGTGTACCGAATGGCTCGCCGAGCAGAGTACGAAGGAGGAACTAGGTCAGCTGGTCAGTCTGTGCACTTACGATAGGAGAATAGCCAGGCCGCCGTGATCCCGATGGACACTGTGACGAATCTTCGCCAAGCCACGTCAAAGCCCCACGTCGTGTCTGTCAATTGAACGAATGTGCCATTCAGATATGACTTTTCATCAGCAAAGCCCTGTCCGATACTCACGTAGCCAATAACCAGGACAAATGTGGTAGGCCCCATGATAGATGTGAGGATATTGCCGGGGAAATGTATTCTGAAGAACATTGCCATGGGGAAGGCGACTAGTGATACCGCGGCGAGCCCGTACTTATCATTAGCGGACCCAAAGATTCAGCTCACGGGGTTTCCACTACCATTGCCGGAGCCGATGTACCTAGAATTAGCAGTGCTGTAGACCAACATACCATACGAGCGTGCCCAATACGCCTCCCCAGAAGGTGGCGACAATCCGTTTAACGAGCGCAAAGGTAGTGTCACCCTGATATCAGTGGTGAGCTTGGTACGGCTCACCGAATACACGGCGAGAGCTGCTCGTCAGCACAACTCTGTCTGTTGGCTTACTCAGTTGAGCCATTATGGTAGACCAGATTCCTCGATTGTAATAGTAGAAGGAACCAGAAGAACTGAATCAGCGTGCAGCCCAAGGTCGAGCTCACATCAGGAAAGCCGGTAATGTGGTGAGGGCGGTCATCACTCCTGCCTTCAGTGCGTACATCAGGCTACGGTTATGGGCCAGGTCGCTGACGGATGCAATCTTGGCAATCAGGCGGAGGAATGAGCTGTCGAATGGAGCATATTCGGGGTTCCGCCGCTTCGCCTCCCCGAGGCCTAGGGCGTCGTCGACTTGACTGTTGAAGGCGGCTATGGGTGAGCTTGGCCAGGATTTGCACTCACGGTCATTCTCGTGCTCGTCCTCGCCATCAGTCACATGCCTATCCTGATGCGAACGACGAAAATGCTCCAATAGCTTCATCGGCTTCGGGTACCACAGGCGTTTTGGCCCGGCCACATCGTCGAGTGTTTGCATATGATCTAGAAGGTCGAGAAGGGACTCGGAAAACTCAATCTGCGCTTCAGCTTGACAATGCGTGTACATACCAGGTGATACTGGGCGCAGAAGTTTTGAAATAACCCTCGATGATGTGTCTGGGGATCAGCTACTTCCAAGAGGGGTACGTACAAATCGCGAGTCCGGATCTTGAGCCGCGCTGGGGTCGAAAATGTGCCAAAAGGGCTTGATCATCTCCGTCCGATGCGCATGGAACTCCGACAGGGCGATCCGCAGTGTCTTGACAACTGGCTCGATGGAGGTCCGGGTTTTCTTGTCTATCGAGACTGACCACTTCGCCCCAGCTAGGAGCGCGGCCTGGCATGCACGCACAAGCGGTAGACTCCCGGCAGCAAGTAAGTCAAGGTGAGCGAGTACGTTGGGGGTGTGTCTGCGTCAGCGCAGATCAAACCGATACCTACTGATCAAAATTCTTCTCGAGCTCCATATAGGTAAAGCTTTCATAAAAAGCGACCGGCTGCTGAGATCGTCGGAGGTGGTCCATAAGAGAGACGTGGCTATCCCGCAGCGAATGGCCAAGACCAGCGGGCGATGATTTTCGGTGTAAAAAGCCTGGCAAGTGCCGATGGCCATGCCCTTCCTTGACCGAGCCGGGTCGAGTAGAGGGTTGACTATCCATGAATTGGCGAACATTGTGTATCGAAGAGTCGAGATGTGAGTGTTTTGCGTTGCTGACCAGAATGTCAAAGAAGAAAGCTAGCCCCGACGACCGAGCCTGAAGTATTGCGAGTCTGTCAAACAGGCCGCGCAGCTGGTCGCCAGAAAGTCGACTGACGCTAAAGTCGACCTGCAAGTACCTCTGTTGCGCTCGAAGGGGTGGGATACCGGCAAGACTAGCGAGCAGCTGGGCCCGAATGATTTTGCTCTTGTCGGCCCAATCTTCCAGTCGTTTCAGGACCGCCGGATCCTCGCTCGCCAGGTCGTCGCCAGGTATAGGGCTTGATTCCGACTCGGCGAAAAGGTCTTCGACGGATCCGACTGCTATTGAAAGCGGGTTGAGTACTCCGGAGAATTTGCCCCGGAATGAATGTCCGACGGATTCTGGAAAGACGGTGACGCTGGCGAGCACGCAAATACCTGTGGCAACAACCATCGGGAGGAAGAAGAGGAGCCCTGTGGTATATTGGGCCGTGGGGTAGTAGTGGGCAGTCGTGAGGCACTGCGATGAGCGTTGACCTCCGCACTGTACTTACAACATCCGCCAGAATGATCGCCAGCACTATTGGCATAGTCGCCGGGCTCGGTTGCGTCTTTAGCTTGTACCATAGCAGGAGAGCAGCACCGGCCGAGAGGAACACTGCGCAAACCACTGAAGCCCGGGCGTCGACGTACGTGCCATCGTAGATCTCATCAGCACGATCCGCCAGGAACTCACTAATCGTTGCTGGAAAGCCCGCGTGTCGCTCGATAGGTACGCACTGCGTTATCAGCCTGCTTTTCAAGCCTTGTAGAGCTCACAGTCTCTGCTGAGCAGCTATCACCTGGCTCGGATCCGTCGGTAGGCGCACTCTGCTGGCGATGAAGATGGCCAGGCAAGACTGAACGGTCAGCCCACAGTCAGTCAAAACGTCGCATTGCTGGATGCTGACCCAAGCCCAAGCGATCCCGCAGAAGAATAGCAAGTTGGCATATGCCTCAAGGTTCTGCACAACCGGCTGCCATGGAGGAATGATGATTGTGACAATTAGTACGAAAAAAGCGGCATATCCGAGAGCGACCTCCGACTGAGGGACCAGCTGTAGTACCCAGCACAGCCACAGCTATCATTAGCGGTGTCAATGGAGTCACGCACAGCTACAGATGAGCGAATGACAGGCTTGAGACTGTTCCACGCAAGCTTTGGCGGTATCCATGCGACCCATCGGTGCTGAAAAGCATGTTTGAGACGAGCGGAGATCGGAGAAACCCTGGTGCGGGATGTCGAGGCAGATGCATTGCTGCGGATCGAGGGTGGGGTGGACCTGCCTCTTGTGCTGATGTCTGAGAGGCGGATCGACGGTCCACCAAGCATGTCAAATAGGTGTGAAGGACTGACAAAACGTATACAGCTTTGAATAGTTCTCGCAATACGCGAAACACGCGAAACAAAAACAACCATGACATCATCTGAGATGCTTTGAAAAAGCGAAGTAGAGCACAATGCTGTTACAACTTGACCCGACGTCCGACGGAAAAGTCGCATGATGCTCAATTACACTACCTCCCCGTCATCTGGAGGCCATACCACGTCCGGTAATGGTGTCACCCAGTCCACGTCTGCGCTCTTTGCCTCGGGGAGTGACTGAAAGGATGTTGATAGGAAAGCTCTAGCGAATCCAGGTAGATTTGTGTCGGGCAATTCGGACAGTGACAATACCTCCAGATGGGGAACTGCCATCAGCGCAGACCATAGATGTACTCACCGAGCCGCCCAAGTACACTATCTGGAGGGACAGACGCAGGCGTTCTGTCTTTGCGTTTCTTCTTTGGCTTCTCAAAGTCGGTGTTGGTCGGGCGAGCTGTATGTGGGACGTAATCTGCTAGATCGTTTCCGAGGAGGACGTGGGCGGTCAGGGATGGAGAATAGTTGGTGGACAAGATCGATTCGTATAGAGGCTTGCCAGTATGTGGCATGTACATCAGAGTTGGCTGGTCAAGTCGATGCCGACCCATCTATCGTCAGCGCGGCTCGCAACGTGAACGCACCAGATTCTCCTGCAAGACTTCCACCTGTAAGTTCCTCAGTATTTGCTGGTCGTAGTTGTCCCAGACTGGATCGAAAGCCGATATAGGGACCTATTCGTAAGCGAGATTCCGCGAGAACATACCTTGAATTTTCTGGACAGAACCAAAATCAAAGCCAATTGTATCTGCGCAGTTCGATCCGTATACACTCGGCCCAAACCAAGGCAGAGGATAGTCTGTATAGAAGATATCTTTGCCATTATGTCTGCCATCAGCTATTATGTTGGTGAAACTTACTGGTCCACTCGCTCGCCCATCGATCTTCGAGCTTTTCACACTTGTCCTCGATGCCTCGGATCACCTTCTGCAAATCCAGCTCAGTGACTTCAGGGACTGCCTCGGCAGCTTTCTTCTTCATCTTGACCTGAGGTGGTTTCGCCAGTTGGATAGGCGTTTCACTCCTCGACGGCGGCTTCCCCCTCCGACTTCCCTTTCCATGATCAGGAGCGAGATCGGATTCCGTTTGTTGCCGGCCGTTCCTCCCCTTACTCGCTTTCAGCCTCTCCGCCTCCTCCGCCTTCTTCTGGGCTTCTTTGGCTCGACGCTTCTCTCGCTTCGATGGCCCTTCCATCCGTTCGACTGGCGTCGCCCCGGAAGCCTTCTCGGTAGTCGCTATGGCTGGCAATTCAGCCGTTTCGGCGGCGCCCGGCTCGAGCAGGTGGTCCGATTCTGGGTCCGGTTCGTTGGCTTCTTCGAAAGCATCCTCAGTAACTGCGACCTTGCCCTGCATCGCAGCATCACCCGCCACGTCTGCGCCCGCGCTGCAAATCAGCTCCGCCGAGATCTCACTCACTCTTCATCGAGTAACAGATCCGCCATACCCCTTTCCAGACCTTGCTCACCCCCGTTCGACTCCTCTTCATCAGATTGATCTCGTGAGAGGTCGAGCGCCTCATCCTCAAATGCCATCTCCTGCCGCAATCTTTGTCAGCGTCGTTGACCTCCTACTCACCTATGCACAGCCTGTTTGTGCTTCTTGCTCCTCTCATGATTCGCCCAACTCGCTTCGGACAGGAATGTCTTTGCGCACGCAACGCACTCTAATGCCTCTTCCTCCCCCTCGTTCTCACTCCCTTCTTCGTCGCTGCTATGCCGGAGACGTTGCCAATCCTGCTCCTCAAAGTCGTCCGTCGGGGATGGTGCACGAGCGGCTGGTATGGGCTGCGCAGGAGCGACCTTGGCGGCCGACTTTCGTTGAGCCTGCGTCTTGAGGTAGGATTTGTAGCGGGGATCGCGATTTTGTATGAACAAGGCGAGTTTCTGTGTGAGCGCCATCAAGATCCAACTCACTCTGACTGCGTCGTTGTACTCTCTCCGATAGTCCTCGCGGACCTTCTTGTTCTCCTTCTCCATCAATCGCCTGATGCCACGGTCATCCCCCCGTTCGACGTCCCATTTCCCCACCCACTCGAACCCCTTCGAGGTGACAAACTCCGTCCAGACCGCGTAAAAGTCACGAACCCAGGGCAGCGAGAGACGTTCCGCGCGGGGCATACCGGGCGGGGGAGCGTATGGAGTCTGCGAATCGCCAAATGATGGGTACACTATCGCCTCGCTGGAGTGAAGGCTTTCGTCCGATGCCAGGAGTGCAAAGAGATTCCGATACACTGAGAAGAATCCCTATGTTTCAGCAAAGGTGATAATAGCACTCACCTCGTTGCTGTCATCGAGCCTTTTGCCCAGCTTCGGCTCAAAGAAGCGCATAAGCTGCTCCAGCCTGACCCCTGGCTCTCCCTGCCGCCGCTTGACATCCTCCTTGGTCTTCCCTGAGCGTACATGGTCATACAGATCTTCGTCGGTGATGACGGTCGTATTTCGATGCGAGTCGTAGAATGCTCTTTCGTTTGGATCAGAGAGGATCTCGTATGCCGCCTGGAGATCTGCAAAGAATTTTGTGGCCTCTTCCACTCGGTCTGGGTTCTTGTCTGGATGATGGACGAGCTGGAAATCAGTCTCATCTCAGTAGGGCACTCACGGCTAGCTTGCGATAGGCCCTCTTGATCTCTTCCCCGGTCGCTTCTTCCGACACTTGCAGTAGCTCGTAGTAATCCAGCACCTTCTCGCCCTGCTGGGTACTGGCTTGGGACTGATCGTTACCCATTGCAGCCGGACAATGCAGAATCAAGGGGATCGAAAATCTTGGCTTGCTTCTGGTTGCTGTCCTCGGCCGCACGGACTTGCCTCAACCCACGTTTCAGATTAAACAACCGAAACACGCGGAGATGTCGTAGGGTTGGCTAACATTCTACGCCATCTACGACGTCGCTACCCATGCCTTCTGTGGCATCATGCGTAAACATATCATCACAGACAATCAATATGGCGATCAGCGACAGCCAAGACATCGAAGCGGTCCGCAGTGAGTGGGAGACGTGCGAGGATCTGTTGGCTCAATCGCAAAAGTAAGCCGCAACCGTTGCGTCATCTCACCGCCAGGGACAACGAAGAGAAGTACAAGATCATCGAGAGATACAAACAGTACACCAAGGTATGTCAGGCTGCGAATGATTAGGACTAGCTGACGCCTCAGGAGCTTGAGAAGCTCATAGAGTGCTCATGTGGCGCAGCATGGAGGGTGAGAATTCCCCGCATTCGCACTAATCATTCCAGGATGATCATGGCATTCCTCCCTTCTCGACCGCAATCCCGGCGACATCCGCGTCCACACCACTACCCAAACCCCAGCCAAGTATGCTCCGCCATTCGACTTCAATCACTCAGTCGACCAAGCGCTCGACACGGCTTGTGGGTCGTATCGCTTCTCAACAGATCGATCCCCGCCACCTAGACAGCCTGCGTGAGGTATCAGAGACACTCACGGACAGCACTCCCACGGATGCGATGAGAAGGTTACAAGGCAAGGATACTCCTGCAAGGCCGGGCTCGCTCCTCGACAAGCAGATTACAGCCCAGTCGACCCGCGAGCGCGATGCCATTCGGCTGCTCCTGGACGAGATGGACCGGAACCTTGATCGCAGGGAGAGCGCAATCAGCAGACTCCGGCAGGAGGTGAGTTTGACACTAGTCACAGCTGATAGTAGGCATTCACGGAAAGATCAGCAGTCAGTGGCGAGCGTTAGATTCCGCATAAGAGCCCGAGTAATACATCATCTACACGTCTACATACAGCAGTATTGGTTCTCCTACTTCGTCTATCTCGGGTATCACACACTAATCAGCATCGCGCCAAGGTTGGACTCACTCTCAGATCGAAAGCTTTCGCGAGGACAATCTTGAATATTTTCTGAACGTTGATGCCATGCGATGTCGAGCAGAAGATCTATCAGCACAGGGTCCATCGTGTGACTCACGATAGGCGCATGCATCGCCTTTGAGAAGCGTTTCGCCTGCTTTGTAATTTCCTCTTGTTCATCACGATGGAGAGTAGCGAACTTGTCGTATTTCGTGCCTATGAGGACGGGTATTGCGGTCTATTGTGAGCGGCTTTCTAGCTCGTCCTACCTTATTGAATCCCCTCGCCTGTCTATACCACTCCTTGACGCTGTTGAGCGTCGACTTCCGAGTCAGATCAAACATGAACAGTATCGCGACAGCGTCATTCGAGACGAGCGGAAGCATGGACACGAATTCTCGTTGACCGCCCAAGTCCCATATCTGCCTTTAGCGGGAGCTTCACTTTGACCTACCGAAAAGGTAATCTCTGTATTCCGTATGGTAATCGCCTTCTCCATGAAGTTCACTCCTAGCGTTTGAATATAGTCTTCGCTGAAAGTCAGCTTCATAGCGCCAGCATACTCACTCAAAGCTCCCCTCAACGTATTTGACCATCAACGACGTCTTGCCTATTTGAGAATCGCCTACCATCCCGACTTTGAGGACGATGCTGAGACTGCGTTAGCACTCCTACCACGTGAGGAATCAGCACTTACTTGTTGCGATCAGCGCCCTCGCTCCCAGACACTCTTCCACTTCCAGATCCCGACGAGACATAGCCCGGATCAGCCATGGCGGATCTCTGCATTGGAGCAGGTGGTTTCCCTGGCCGATTACGAGTGCGAGGAACTGATGAGCGTTTCAAGAGGCAGCAGCGGTACGCGAGAATGACTGCGGACCGGCAAGTCGGGTCTAGGTGCCCCGGAATGTGGTCATGAAGTCGGTATGAGGAGATATTGGGAGGTTGATGGGTTGGACGCGTTCGCAGGGTGCTCGGTCGCGTTTCAGATATTCGGCAATCGCCGCATACCGCAGCGCTGAAATATCCACCCAAGCGCCTCTCTTTTCAATCTATATCTGCATCTCTTTATCTATCTCTATCGCTATGAGCAGGACGGTGCAGGCAAGACTAGTCCTCACGGTGCAGCATGCTTCACGAATACCATCCCCGCGGCGGATAAGCAGCATTGCACGTCGGCGCCACCCTCATCGCCCAATCTCCCCCCCTTCAAACGGCGGTCCACGCTCGGTATCAACGGCTATCATTGAGCCGGACGTACCGCCAATACGCAGAGACCCAGCTGAGGATCTCAAATATTGCCTTGAGCTTCTGGAGCACGATGTCGGAGGGGATCAATTCTGGGCGGATAGGTTGCGCGAGGCAATTTCGGATCTCCGACCCAGGAAGCCAAGGGTCTCCAGTGAGTCCGAGGACTCAGGCTGCCAATATCATGCTGATCATAGTCTATGGTGACTCACTATCAGCGCCAGATGATCTCGTATCAGCAATCCTGCAAACGCCATTCAGTGACGGCTCCGAAATACCGAGCTTCGTCACAAGCCGGACCAAAGACAGTGGAATAATAAAATTCGAGTAAGTGCTGACCTGTCCGAGGCTGATCCAAGATTCCGCTCTGAAACGGTACAAGGACCAAATCACTTCGGCTTGCCATCAGGTTGGCTTCAGCAAAGCGGGGCAGACCTCTTCGAGATTTCTGGGCCTGGTGCCCTCACCCACCTCATCCGTTCGGATGTTACCGTCATCGTGGTCGACCCGTACCGGCTTCTCGACGTCGCCGAGATCCGCGCACTCCCGGACCTCCTCAAGCAGCGGAGCGTCATCGTTGTCAACGGACAAACGCCCTTGAGAGACGCAACATCCACTCGCCTCCGGGCGGTGCTCGGTCCAAACTTTACCGGTTGCATCATCTTTACCGATGCGCAGCTTGCGACCAAAGCATACGATACTCTGCGCTCGGGCGGACATTCCCCATCAGCAGACGTCGTCAATGAGTTTCAGAGACTCTTCCTGGAATCCGGTGTCGGCACCGCCCAAAGGCTGCTTGCCGAGCTGGCGACAGCAGCCCAGGCTCATCCCAACCTGGCGCTTGCTCTGGCGCGGCAGGATGTCCGCACCAACGTGGAAGCGCAGACCGAAAAGGCCAATCAGATGTTGCGGACGATCAACAGCCTGCGGACGGCTGCCAGCGCAGCGGCAATGCGCGCCCGCCATCTCAGCGTGGCGAATCGAGCCATCGATGGCGGACAGATCCAGGGGAGCGTGGGGGCATCCAAGGTGGACGCCGCGAGCAGGATGGCGTCGGCATTTAGTGGAAGGTTGGGGTGGCTGTCGCTCTTCCTCCGGTTGCGGGTCGATGACGTCGGAAAGGAGCTCGGCCGGGAAATCGAGGGGGCTTTTAGCGATGTGGAAAGACAGGTATGTCGCCGTTGAATGCAGCTAACCGCAGCTTGTCTATGAAGCCGGACAACTCTTTCAGATGCAGGACCATCTCTCGAAAGAGGCGGATCGCGTCATTCGCCAGGCGGAGAGCCCATTCGGCTCCGCTGTCATGACCAATCGTCTCTCGACCCTATCGCTCTCCATCCCGCCAGTCGAGGCGACCACCCTGATCTCACCTATTCACCACCGTCGCGCCCAGCTCGTTGCAGACATTGTGCCCATCACACAAGCTCGCGCCAGGGCAATATTCTACCAGACCTACATGGGGGCAGCCGGAGGAGTTTTTGCCTCATGGGCGGCATATGTTCCTCCATTGGAGTTGGTTTCTCCACAGACCGCCCTCGGCCTGGGCGGATTATCGGTCATTGCTTCTGTGTGGTCCGGTCAAACACGTTGGCTGCGAGCACAAAAGGTATTTTGGCGGTCATGGGAACGGTGTACCAGCATGTTGGCTTCGGATATAAAGGTGAGCTCCGGTTGAAGGTCTGCTGACTTAGACATCCTTTGCATCTGCCGTTGACACACTGGTGGTATCCAAGCCAACTGCCGCTGCCGATGGGCTGGAAGAGCTGGCAAGGAAGCGAATTGCTGTACTGGATGGGCTAGGATCACGCTTAGACAGCGGTAGCGTAGACAAAGCATGACAGTCTGTCCGACATTTCGGTGCTTCATAAGCGTCGCTGCCGCGTGTGGCAGCGGTGTAAGCTACTATTGCAGGAGGCACGGAATTGGAGTCGGAGAAGTAGCGGATCAAAGGTGGGAGGATGGACTACTTGCCGGTGTGCGGGGATAATGCCCAAACTCATCTGACATATATGATACTCGAGGTAGCGGCAGCGACAAGCGGGACCCAGATACGTCGCGGGCTCTGTAGTACAGCTGTAATAGGTAACAGTTGAAGTCTAGATAAAAGAGCGCCAGTGATTTGTCTCACATTTTCCTGGGACATGTTGACTAGGATATTTGATAACATTCTGGACAAAGCGCCTACTATGTGCCTTTTGCAGTATCGAACTTGAAATGCACGGGATTGTGTGCTTTCGACTTGCGCCTGGCGGTCAGTGGGCACTTTTCATAGCCTAAGTCACTCACATACTGCTATGCCGACGGGATGCCGATCTGCAATTGGGTTTCATGCCAGCATCCAGGAGGGCAGCTCTGTACTGCGCTGATCAACCTGGTGTCCCGGATTGTAACTCAATCGTTTCAGGCTGAAAGATAGTGATTGGTTGACACCCCGATAGAGTCGTTTCTGCATGAAGTGGCAGGATGATTCGCTTCAAGCTGGAGGCTCGACTTATGCATGATAGAGAAGCGACGAGCTGATCCTCCAGGCCTGCAAGGCAAGGCGGACTATATAGTGAAAGACGAGTGTTTACTAAAGATAAATGAATGGGCAGTGACATACGTAGAACTGATATAGAAGTGAGTTCAGTGCAAAGGATGCAGATATACAGCCTCGTACATCAGACCCCGAGCCCGACTACCGCCTAAGGCACCCCGCTCTTTTCCAGCCTAGACAAGGAAACAATACCAACACTCCCCATGCGACATGTCCAAGTAGACTCGGGTGCCGAATTATGGTAAGAAAGACTGCTTTCCATCCTGAGTCAATAAGAATGTCCTGTTCTATGATACTTCCAAGCGCTGCAAACCTCAGAGTACACGTAGCCGGGATCAGGCGGCGTTGCTATATATATCGGAATCCAACACACTGCACCAAGAGCCAATTGCTCCTTGATGTGGCGCAGACCCGTATAGCAACAGCCTGTAGACCGTGTCTCATCTACCAGCCATAGGCCTCGATGGTATGAGCTCAAGCTTTGCTGCGGAGGTGACTTGAGCTATGAAAAAGCAAAGTGTTCAGCGAAGAATCGTGATTGACAATTATTCTCGCTCCATGAGCGTAATTAGCGCGCGATGCCGTTGAGGTGTGAGAGCTTGCTGAGGATCGGTGCAAGACCCAGGCTGCAAGAATAGGCAGGGATGGTTCGCTTCAAGCTGGAGGCTCAGCTTGTGTATGATGAAGAAGCGACAAGCTGATCCCCCAGGCCTACAAGACGAACTATATAGCAGAAGACAAGTGTTTACTGAAGGCAACTAACTAGGCCGAGACATAAGTAAAACTATATTAAAGTGAGTCAAGCCTACAACCTACAAGGGTACAGCCCCGTACAGCAAGCCCCGACTCCATTCACCGCCTGAGACACTTCTCACTCTCCCGCCTAGACTGACACCGGTACTCAGCGGATTCCAACACAGGCAGGATGACTACGGAAGCTGCCTCGGGAAGGCACAGACCCACGGCTTGCTTGTATATATATGCTTCACCGTCGCAGGTTGTAGACCGATCTATTTCTGATCCAGCTTTCCCCGACGTACCACTGCTATGCGCCACCTATGCGCATCGCACACCAGGTATTGCTCGAAGAGGTATCCCAGCGATGGTGACTGGGTCTGTAGATCTCGTGCTACTACCTCATCGCATGGATTGCTCTCTTTGTCAATATCTGGTGTCTCTGGGTATATAAGACATGGAAGGATAGTTCACTTCAGGCTGGGCGACCTGGGAGATCACTTTGTGAATGATGAAGAAGTAATGCATCGGCTTCCCTGGGGACTCAGCTTGTGTATGATGGATGATGAAGAAGCGATAAGCTGATCCCCCTTGTGTACAAGACAGACTATATAGGAAACGACAAGTATTTACTGAAGAGAACTAACTAGGCCGAGACATAAGTAAAACTAATGTAAGTGAGTCAAATCTACAACATGCAAAGAGACAGCCCCGTACAGCATACCCCGACTCCATCTAGCGCCTGAAAAACTGCCCACTCTCCCGTCTAGACTGACGCCGGTGCTCAGCGGATTCCAACATACATGTCCTGACACCTACCCAGCTACACCAGTCATCGGCAATGCAACCCAGTGCTTGAAGCCTCGTCAGGCTGGCACGCCCAGAGGTAAGAATCATTACCAGAAAGCGACTGACAGGGGAATTGGTGAGGTGATTTACCGCCTGATGACTAAGCCGCTGAATTTTCACGTAGTCGACCGGAACGAATATGAATCCTCGATGAGCTGTAGGAAATGACTTGATGTGCGTCTGTCAGAAAGCCGTCCCTAGAAGACTACTGACTGGAGACAGGGGCAAGAACGGTTTACTAGCTAGGTGACACCTGTACATGGTTGACTACTACGGACTAGCTGGGAGTGTCGATGTGATGGGTGTGTATGTGCTTGGGGGATCAAGTGGCGAGCAGAGTGGGTGTCGAGTCTGAGAGAGAGTGGCGAGGTGAAGGTAACTGGGTAGCGAGTGAGATACGAATGAGCTGAGCTCTGAGTCTGTTTGGCTAAAGACTTATGATATTCATATCCGTGGGAAAAGGATCTCTACCTACGAAATGGGCTGCATCATGTATGTCTGATTTTGCTTGTCGACACCCCCTTTCCATCCGATCCGCTTGACCCGGCTATGATCCGCCTGACCCGCCTGTTCCGCCTGCCTTGAGTATGGGTGAGTTTGTGGTGTAGTGACGAGTGGTTGTGCGAGGGCTGGCCAGCTACGTGGAGAGTGGTCGTGTGAGGTGTTGGGTTTGGGTGGCGACCACGTCACTACAGCGTCCTAGGAGGTTTTAGGCAATGCTTGCGGAGCTGGGACGAGGTAACAAGAGATGACAAGCTCATGCAGCCGCTTGGCAGCGGGGCGAAAGGCAGACTGAAATTGGCCTGACATCGAATGACGTCTGACATCGACGTACAGATAGAAGTAATCTCATGACATGGTCCCCGATGTCCCGCAAGCACCTTGTAGTGACTCGCCCCCTGCGTCACAGTACGATCAATGGGGTAGTCAGTTCAGGATATTGATCACTTCCCCTGCTGATTGCTGTTGATGCTCAGCTAGATCTAAAGAGATGTGGGAAAGATGCGATGGGAAAAGGTACAAGTCTAGCTGGCACGGCCAAACTATATTCGGGAGGTCTACAACAGCGTCGTCCTGCTGGATATCGCTACTTCCCGCTCTTTCTCGACTTTTCCTTCTTGGCATCCAGCCTTGAAGCCGTCTTTCGCCAGCTCCGCCAAGATACGCCAAGACAAGATAACCCGACGAATCCCGACTTTCCGTCAATTCCCACAGTAGGAGCTTGGGAGTTGCTATGCTATGCGGGTTCTACGCATGGTAAGATATCACACTACTCACAGCTAGCGCAGTCGTCAATCTTCAGTGGACAATGATCAGTCGGGTCCTGGTAGTTGACAACAGCACCAGCTAAACATTGAGACAGCCCTCCAAGCTGCCAGCGAAAGCACAAAATCCTGATATCAGCGAGAGGTTGGGACTGTGGTATGAATATGCTCAGGTTCGATGTCACTTGGCTTCAGGTCGCTGATCACAGCTAGCCCTTCTCGATGTGTGACCGCCCGACCGATTTGCATCTGCCACTACGTCATGTGGCAGCTCGGCACGAAGTTGCCCTCACGGGAAGAATGCCCAGGCGTAGTCTGACCAAAATACGCTGCGCCACTTGACGCCGATTACATCGTGGGCGCGCCTGATAGGGTAGAGCCATGGTCAACAGTTCTACGCAACACCCGCGTCGCACAGGTCGGACCGCGCTGTACTACCGCACGCGACCACTCGTCGTACACACTCGCACTCCTTACTCGTATTGATTTAAATATTGCTTCTGTCGGATGGCTTTTAGGTTGATCGGGCATGAAGGTTGTCTGGTGCCGGGAGTACCGCATGACCTATACATGCCACAGACACGGCAGGCTTTGCTTGGCGGACGTCGACAGCTGTGTTGTATGGGATACGAAGCTGTGGCCGATTTGCATGGATGTTCCTGTTGGAATCCGCTGAGTACCGGTGTCAGTCTAGGCAGGAGAGTGAGAAGTGTCTCAGGCGGTGAATGTAGTCGGGGCTTGCTGCACCGGGCCATCGCTCTGTATACTGTAGTCTTCTCTTTGTAAGCTGTAGTCTTGACTCGTTCAAATTTGTTTCACTTATTTCTCGGCCTAGTTGATTCTCTTTAGTAATCACACCTCTTCTGCTACATGGTCTGTCGTAGGCCTGGGGGATCAGCTTGTCGCTTCTTCATCATACACAAACTGAGCCTCCAGCTTAGAGCGAACCATCCTGCCACTTCTTACATTCTCTGGGTAGGTCTACGGGGTATTACATAGGTTGACAATTGCGAAGAGATAAAGACAGAGATCTACCTAGTGACGAGAGGTTTACTGCGGTGAGCCGGTCTATCTACTGGTAGTTGCTCCTTCATCATAAGCAAGCTGAGGCTCCAGATCACACAGCTTGCAGCAGACTATTTTGCCACTTCTTACAGTACCCTCACGACGGGTAGTCTGGACGCTGGACACGTTGGCAGAATGTGTATATCCCGTCAAGCGACGCTATCAAGGTTGTATTGAGCAGCAGGGCGGCTGACCCCGATAGCGGACAGGGGGACAGCGGAGGGGGACAGCGCTCCTATATCGGATAGGCGAAGGCGAACCGATATAGTAGAGAAAGAGAGGCAGAGTTGAGGAGAGGGCTCTCTGGGATATATAAGGCTCTCCGCTTGCACACTTGATTCTTCCAAGCGACCTCCCCCTCCACAGTCTACTTTCACATCCGCAGACCACTCCCACATTCACAGTCCAGCATCACATCCACAATCCAGGTCCACGATCAGCACTCATAGCCGTCGACCAGTCACAAGTGTCCACTCGCTAGCCTATGCCAATCAGTCCCTTTCTCTGGTCCATAAGGTCTTTCTAAGGATAGCATCCCGACGTAGGGCAGGCCCGTTGTATTGAAAGACGGCAACCTTTTCAATCTTATAATGAACAGATTCTTCGGCTATACCTGGTGGACTATACCATAGCTCTTCGCAACATTTCTTCGTCAATATCGATGGGGTGGTCTTGATGCTGAGGAGAAAGCATCGTATCTCTTTGCGTGGTTAAATAGGATTAAAATGACCGCGGCTCATCTGAGTCCCGTCAGCTCAGTACAATGCCGTCCGCAAGTCCGGACTCCCGCGAGCGTCAGCAGATGCAGTACTGAGTCTTGTCAGAAAATTGAATGAAAGGAAAGAAGACCCCAGCCGGATCAGCAACAAGTCCAGCTGTACGGATGGAGAGGCAGCCACGTACGTTCCCTCAGATACTCGAGCTATATATCGCCTGCGAAGTGGTGACTACCGAGACCTGATCACGCCCTGACGTATATACATATCAGATGAAAGTGAATCACTCTCTTCCCTCTAGCACTTCTGAATCTGGACCCTAGTTCTCAGCGGATCCCATCAGCTATTCCGATAAGAGAGAGCATTGATAGGAGGGAGTTTCTGTTGGAATCCGCTGAGTACCGGTGTCAGTCTAGGCGGGAGAGTGAGGAGTGTCTCAGGCGGTGAATGGAGTTGGGGCTTGCTGTACGGGGCTGTCTCTTTGTATATTGTAGATTGGACTACATTAGTTTCACTTATGTCTCGGCCTAGATAGTTGTCTTCAGTAAACACCTGTCGTTTCCTATATAGTCTGTCTTGTAGGCCTGGGGGATCAGCTTGTCGCTTCTTCATCATACACAAGCTGAACCTCCAGATCACACAGATTGAAGCGAACCATCCTGCCACTTCTTAGACACGTGACGCACTTCTATACTGGTTTTGCTTACGTCTCGGCCTGGTCCTTTCTTCCCCGTGAACAATCGCCTTCTGCAATGCAACCCTTTTGTAGACCTGGGGCACCAGCTTGTCGCCTGCTCTTTATTGACGAGCTGAGCTCCCAGGTAAGCCAATGTATCGCTTTCTCATCATACGCGAGCTGAGTGTTTCGTAGTTGAGACGCTTACGATAATATTGACGCGTCATAGAGAACCAGCAGATAGAGTGCAAGTTCACCGTAGTCCTACTAGCTTTCTCTTTTGTACGTCTTTGCATCTATTGCGACCTGACTATACGTCGACACACCTTGAAGCGAACCATCCTGCCACTTCCTCCCTTACCGCCGTAGCAGTGTACAGTGTAATGCGCTGTCATGCGTGGATTATTATGTCACCGCCAAGAGAGACTGTCATCTCCTAATTTGGATCCCTGTCATCCTTGCAGGCTTTCGTATTCAGGTCAAAAGTGTAGGTTGCGTAGCCGCAGTCTTTTCTTATCTATCCATACGAAGATCTGGCATACGCCCCATCAAGCGGACTTGTCAGTCTGCTTCATTGCTACGCGTACACCTCGCTGGGTGTATGCAAGTCATGATGCATCACACATGGGTTCTTGGTCAGTCATACATCTCCGCTGTCGACGTATAGTCAGGTCGCAATAGATGCAAAGATGTACAAAAGAGAAAGCTAGTAGAACTACGGAGAACTTGTACTCTACCTGCTGGTTCTCTATGACGTGTCAATATTATCGTAGCGTATCGAATTTGAAACACATTTCTCATTCCGTCATCCGCGCCAATAGCAATCCGCAGAGACTTAATCCATATGGAAAATATCCCATCTAGGTCTGTTCACTGAAAGATTCTTGCACTGCTTTGACATTACCTGGGCTTCCTTTAGCAGAACACCGCGGAGGGAGTTTGACTCTGTCGCACTCGGATCGCTCATTCGACTCGACATTCATCCGGTGTCTTTGACCAGGCGCGCACATGGCTACTTTGCTTGCTCTTCCGACGGCCACCTTCCGAGGAGTCTTAGGTCGCAGGGAGGTTTATTGCCTGTGCCGCCGATCTGGTTCTGGATGCAGGATTGTGAATGTCCACTTTGTCGGCTCTACATGAAGCGCTGCGTGTCTTCGACCTGGATCTCGCGAGCCCTGAGTCAAACTTCCTCATCGGTCTCAGTAAAATCATCAATACAAACCCGGCTGGGGCTAAGATGCCGAGATCGACAAAGAGCCAATGAGCAGATAGCGAGGACGGTCTCAGTCGATGCGACCCTCTCATAACAAGTACAGCCCATACATTACACGATACGCTCGATCAAACACTGATCGATCCCTAAAACGCCCCCGAGCTGAAAGTTTGCGATGATCGAGTCGGCTTCTTCTGTTTACTCAGACGCTACGAGTGTCAGCTATACCCAAGTGTATTTCATGAGGACCTACCCATTCGTCCTTGTCTGTAGCGAATCTGTCAAACAGAGGCTCAATCTTTTCTGTTTGTTTCCGCTTGCTGATCTTGTTGTGATCTGCGACGCGGAAGAAAGTCGGGGCGACCTCGGATAACCACTTGGGCTCAATCACCGTGACCTGGTGCATGTACTCCTCTGGATGTTAGCTGTGCCGGGATGCAAGACTTACTCGCTGTCAAGACCAGCTCATAGTACACACACCACTCTGGAGGGCGCTGGAAGATGGCACTCGAGGGGTGGATGCTGACGGGGGTGCTTTCGACGAGAGTCTTGTAGCCTTCGGTTGGATCTGAAGTCAGCAGTGTCAAAAGCGCGACGTACCCTTCTTGGCCGCATTGCGGAAGAATCCCGAACAGATGGCCATGCGGACGCGGTTGAAGTTGTTGCCGCAAGAGACAAGATCGTGCTTGTAGCGATCCATGATGCCGATGAGTTCTGATATCAGCGGGGTCAAAGCAGGACTCACGTTTCCGGACGTCCTGAGCAGTCTTCATCGCTCGCGTGTGGATGAAGTTTTCAAAGCACCAGGGGTTGCTGAACTTTGACGCTTTCCAACCATTGTAAACGGCCTAAAATCAGCGATGTATAGTAATCACTCACCAAGAAGGTCAGCAAGTCTCCCTCGGGCTGGTGAAATTTGGACTTTTTCGCGTCCGCCTGCGCCTGCTTGTCTTTTGGACGATAGAAGACTTGTCCCCCGGATTGCAACATGGCCACAATGGTGAGCGCCTCTTCGGAACACCCATAGTCGACCGACTTGATGAGCATTTTTGAAAGAGGCGGGTCCAGAGGAAAGTCGGCCATTTTTCGGCCGATGCGAGTGAGGAGACCCTCGTCGTCTAGCGCGCCCAGGGCGTAGAGCTGCTCCAAGGCGGTCAACATGGTGGCCGCCGGGGGAGGGTCCATAAAGTCAAAGGCAATCAAGTCGTTGATGCCCATGGCCTTGAGGGTGAGGATGGTATGGGCGAGGTTGGTCCGCTGGATTTCGGGGATGGGGTTGACGAGCATTTCGTTTCGATACGCGATTTCGGTGTATAGACGATAGCATTTACCGGGTCCGGTTCGTCCCGCACGTCCTGATCGCTGCCGTGCTTGGGCTTGGGAGATGGGCTATTGTCAGCGACGCCATTTGGAAACTTACTGTCACTTGCAACGAGTCCATGCCGAGTTTGGGATCATAAGCGTTTTGTTTGGCGAACCCGGGGTCGATGACATAGTATATACCGTCAATGGTGATACTTGTCTCGGCGATATTGGTGGCAATGACCACTTTGCGAGCGCCGGGTGGGGCGGGGTCGAAGATGCGGGACTGCATTTCCGAGGGGAGGGCGGCGTAGACGGGGAGGATGAGTAGTTCCGGCACTTGTGGACCGAGCGCCTTGACCCGTTCGAAGAGGACCTCACAAGCGGTATCGATTTCCTCTTGCCCGGTTAGGAAGAGGAGAATGTCGCCTTCTGGCTCCATGAGATGGATCTGGAGGATGGTGATGAGGGATGCCTCGAGATAGTCGGGTTCGGGCTCTTTGGTGTAGAGGACCTCGACGGGGAAGGTACGGCCGGGGATGGTGAAGATGGGACAGCCCCAGAAGTAGGTGGCGAATTTGGCCGCGTCCAGGGTGGCCGAGGTACAGATGAGTTTGAGGTCCGGTCGGCGCTTGCAGGCTTCTGTCTGGTCAGCGGGGCAGGTAGAGGACATACTTTTCATGAGACCAAATAGGACGTCTGTTGCGACGGTCCGCTCGTGCGCTTCGTCCAGCATGATGACCGAGTACTTGGTACAGTCTGGGTCGACCAATAGCTCTCGCAAAAGCATTCCGTCGGTCTGGGGTTAGCTGGAACAGGCGCCAACTCACCATGAATTTGATCTTGGTTTCAGGACTGGTAAGATCCTCGAATCGGATGGTGTACCCGACCTCAGTCCCTAGGCGACACCCTACTTCCTCGGCGACACGCTTGGAGACTGACACCGCGGCGACTTTTCGGGGTTGGGTGCAGCCAAGCTTGCCCCGCTCCAGCATCCCTTCCTCTGCCAGGTATTGCGCCATTTGCGTGGTTTTGCCTGATCCAGTATCCCCCACAACGACAAGGATTTGATTCTGTCGTCAGCCTTGTCGAGTGACAACTCACATCTTTGATGGCTTGGACGAGCTGATCGCGGAGTTTAAAAATGGGGAGGGAGCGACGTTGATCTTGGATGCTGAGGGATGTGATTTTGCCGTAGGAGATCGCCTTGTTGGCGGATTTCCAAGCGGGAGCGGTTTTTTGGCCCATTGCGTTGACCCGAAGGTCGGACGCAAACTGCTTGTCTTGGTTGTTGGCCATCGGATCGAGCCATGCGGTGTTGACGTCGCGGGCGTCAGAGTCGGCCTGGTCATTCGCCTCCATCTTTTTGAGGTCGCGACGTTCCTTGGCAAGCGAGGCGCCGGCCATGGCTGCGCGATTGAGAGATCTGTCGTCAGCGGGGCCTGGAGTGCACTTACCCATCCGGAGCTTTGATAATTTTGACAGGGGAGAGTTCGAGGGTGACCTTGGTTTGGCCAGAGAGGAAGCTGGGCTCAATGTCGTTGACCTCAATGTCGAGCTCCTCTTCAATTTCGGGCTCGTCGATGGTTCCGTGCCGGTCGTGGTCTAGGAGTTCGGGATACTGTCGTCAGCGAGGCAGCAGGTGTACTCACGTCGGCAGCGCTGACGGCCCCGCTAGCAATTAATTGTTGGATTTCGAACCGCTCTGGACTGGATAGCCGCTTTGCGCTGCGCTTTTCCTCGACGCGGATGAGGGGGGTGGAGTTGCTGCCGGTGGCGGCTCGCGCCGAGGCCCGCCGTTCGTCGATGGCCATTTCCTCTGCGGATTTGATGTAGAGATGAGGTCTGGGTAAGCGGTGTCAAGTCATCACTCACGATTGATCCTCGCCTGTTCGCTGATCTACATCCTTCATGCTGAGTGAATACTTTTCCCCCACTATCGACATGACCTTGACCTTGACGCGGTCATTGCGCTTGACGACATCGGCGGGGGTGTTGACGCGCCCTCCCGTGAGGTTTGTGACGTGTACCATGCCTGGAATTAGTGGCGTTGGGCAAGTGCTCACCTTCGGTCCTGCCCCGCACCCCTTCTAATGACACGAATGCGCCGAATTCTCGAACGTTGGTGATGGTCCCGTCATAGATCTTGTACAGTATTGGCCGCTCGTCCGGCGCCGAGTATGCGGGTCTCTGGGTGTATCTGGAAGGCACCTCGGGGGAACGGCCGCGAGGTCTGGGCTCGGGCGAGCGATTTCGAGGCCGCTTGGGGGCGGGTCCGTCGATAAAGTCGGCGGCGGATGGGCGACTGCGAGTCTCCTTCAACTCCTCCTCCAAGAAAGACTCGGCTGGCTTCCACTCCGAGTCTGGCATGGAGAGACCGGGGAACTTGCGCGACTGCAAGTCTTTCTGCGTTGAGCTGACCGTCTTTGCTTTCGCCTTGGCCGCCTTGCGCTTGTACTTGGGGTGCATCGTGACGATCACGCGGTCGAGGTTCTTGACGAACCATTCTGGAAAGTCGGCGCCGATCTCGCCTAGTTTGGATTGAAAGATGTGGACGGATTTGCTCTGCTCGTGTAACTGGGGTCAGCGGGGAAAGGGGTCGACTTACAGCTATCACAAACTCTGCCAGGTTCTTGTCCTGGAGCTTGGTGTGGTTGAATAGCTCCTGTGCGACTCTGGATACAAGGGACAGTAGCTCGAGCTTGTATAGCTCTTTATCTGTGGACATTGTGGATGGAGAAAGAGAACATGCATGGTGGCAAATATATATAGGCAAGATTACGTTATCCGTCGGTAACTGGGTCAGCTCTGGCCATCGTGACAACTTACTGCACCCCCTGCTCGCGTCTGCCACAATCTTGGTGTACTTGTACAGGGCTCCCTGGGATACTTTGAGAGGAGGAGCGGTCCAGTGTGTCTTGCGCTCGGCCATTTCCTCGTCGGAAACGTCCACGGCGAGAGTGTTGGCGACGGCGTCAATGTGGATGACATCGCCGTCTTGGACAAGGGCGATAGGACCGCCAAGCTGCGCTTCTGGGACGACGTGACCAATGACAAAGCCGTGCGAACTATATCAGCTAGGCCGGAAGTGGACGTACCCTCCACTAAATCGGCCGTCCGTCAAGCAGGCAACGTCGTAACCGAGACCTGCGCCCATGATGAGGGAGGTGGGTTTGAGCATTTCCGGCATGCCTACATCAGCGGGGTCGAGTGGGGACTCACCTGGACCGCCAGTAGGGCCGAGGTATCGCAGCACGACGACCGTCTTTTCCCCTTTCTTGATGGACCCGCTCTCGACCGCCTTGACAAAGCTCTCCTCGTCGTCGAACGCCCTGCACTTGCCGGTGAACTTTAAGCCCTCCTTGCCGGTGATTTTGGCGACGGCGCCACCGGGTGCGAGGTTGCCGCGCAGGATACGAATGTGACCGCTAGATTTGATGGGGTTGTCCAGAGGGCGGATAACGTCCTGGCCTTCCCAGCGTTTTTGGTTCTTTTCCATCCAGGCGTCGCAGTTTTCGCCGAGCGTTTTGCCAGTGACGGTCATTTCGTCGCCAGTCATCAGGCCGAGACGGATGAGTAGTGGATGACGCTGGGAATACGCGCCGATCCGATGAACATCCTGCCATGACGTATTTTCCACTGGGTTTGAGGTCGGCAGGAAGGGGGTTGCGGTCCGAGACGCTTTGGAAGTCGTCGACGGTGAGGGTGACGCCGACCGAGTGGGCGATGGCGATGAGGTGGAGGACGGCGTTGGTGGAACCGCCAAGCGCCATGGTGAGGACCTGATTAGCACAGCTCAGGGAGAACTCACCATTGCGTTTTCGAATGCCTGCCTGGTCATGATTTGACGTGGGAGGACGTTCTTCTCCAGGAGCTGCATCATGGCGGGGCCGATGGTGTCGCATTCCTTGAGCTTTTCTTCGCTCTCGGCGGGGTAGGAGGAGGAACCGGGAAGGGCCATGCCTAGAGCTTCGATTGCCGAGGCCATGGTGTTGGCAGTGTACATACCACCGCATGCGCCGGAACCAGGGCACGAGTTCCGGATGGTCTCAGCACGGATCTGCTCGGCCTCTTCGGTCTGGCCTTCCTGCAGGTATCGACCGTAACTTTGGAATGCCGAGACAATGTCGAGTTGCTCGACGGGACGGCCGTTGCCGCCGCAGTGGCCGGGGCGGATGGTGCCTCCGTACACCATGAGTCCAGGGCGGTTCAGACGGCCGAGCGCCATGAGGGTACCGGGCATGTTCTTGTCACATCCGGGGATGACGACTGTCCCGTCAAGCCAGTGACCTCCGGCGGCGGTCTCGACCGAGTCGGCGATGAGGTCTCGTGATTGAAGAGAGTAGCGCACTATCAGCTTGAGTTGAGGTAGACTTACTTCCTGAGGTTCCCATGCTGATACCGTCTGATACGCCTACTACACCGTATTGGTAGCCGATGATGCCTGATTTGACGAGGGACTTTTTGATCCGCTGGCCCAGGCCGAGGATGTGTTGGTTGCATCTGAGGTTAGCGTGGAAGAGGGACGACGTACGGGTTGCCTTCGTACCACACGCTAGCTACACCGACCATGGCCTTGTTGAAGTCCTCCTGCTGGTCGACGCCTTCGGTGGCATAGAGCATGGCCTGGGAGGCGCCTTGGCTTTTGGGTTGGGTAACGGTGCGCGAGTGCCGATTAACGGCCTCTCTGGCTGGTGCTGAAGCTGAGGAGTGCATCCTCCTTAGTGAGGCTGCCGCCCTGACTGTAGACATGGAGAGAGTGAGAGGGGTAGGTGTTAGTTGCAAGTCGGTTGATTGGCGGAAATTTCAGATCAGCTGCTGCCAGCTGTCGAGATTGAGGATGACGGCATCATCCACATTCCAGTCCGTGCGCGTCAACTCACAGCAGCTTCAGCGGGCTGAGCCTTTAACTCGCTGCTTTGCTTTCCTGCCACAGTACTGCCCTCCCCCGTCCAAAACGATTACAAGTTCGAGGGACGATGGTAGACGGAGATGGTACGTTCACTGGATCAATCAAAACTGATCTATAGGGCCACTGCTCGTAGACCTCCTCCGCGAGAGCCTCGACAACTCCCCCGCGTCCACCTCCTACCTCGACCACCTCATCTCCCTCTCCCTCGACGACCTCCTCCACGAACCCTCCCTCATCGCGTCTGAAAGCTCCACGGTCGAGGCCGAGCTCACAAACCTGTGCTATCGCGAATACACCACCTTTACCCTCGCCCACAAATCCTCGGCAGCCGTGCATTCCGCATTCGACGATTTCGGCGCAAGCCTTCACGCCCTCGTTGAAGCTGCTCCCCCGCTCGAAGAGGCATGCCGGGCATTCACCAAAACTACTGCGTCTGCTCAGACCGCGCGCGCACGCGTCACCCTCGTTCATGAACACCAAAACAAGCTGGCCGAGCTGCTGGAACTCCCACAGCTCATGGAGACATGCGTCCGGAACGGATTCTACCAAGAAGCGATGGACCTCGCGGAACATACGCGCCGCCTAGGCGACAATCCCCTTGTCCAGGATGTGGTGATGGAGGTGGAGGGGGTACTGGAAATGATGACCACGCAACTGTTGGCGTTACTGCGGGAACCCATCAAGCTGCCCGCTTTGATCAAGGCGGTCGGATTTTTGCGCCGGCTCGGTCACGAAGACCTCGGGCTGGTCTTTCTCCAGAGCCGGCTATACAACTATCGGTCCAAACTCCCCCGCACCCCAGACCTTCGCCGCTACATCGACCTCTTTCGGGAACACGTCTACGACATCATCTCCCAATACTCGGCGATCTTCGAGATCTCTTCGCACCTGGTAGCATTTGCCAGTCAGTGCGTAGAGGAGCTCGTCCACACCATTGCCACCTCCATTCCTCTCATCCACGACGCCGCATCCCTATCCTCCATCCTCGTCCAGCTCGGGTACTGCGCCCTATCCTTTGCGCGCGTCGGCCTCGACTTTGCCCTCCTCACCAACGAGTACTTTTTCGCCGTCGTCGAGGCCACGTACGCGCAAGCCGTATCCGCAGCGACGACAGACTTTGCCGCTCGGCTCAAAACCACCTCCCACTTTCCCCGAAGCGAGGACTCCATCTCCCACTATCCCCCTCTAGCCATCTTCCTTAACGCCCACGTCGACGCCTTGAATGGTCTGCGGCTCCTCGCGCCCCTCGAGTCGAGGCGGAACATTGTCGTGGTCCAGCACGCCTCCCTAGCGGCGGGATCGTCCGCCCTCCTCCAGTACTTTGACGAGACACTCGTTTCGGAAGCGCCCAGTGCCCCTTCATCCCCTCGGTCTCAGCTCTTGCGGCGGAATACGGAAACGCAACTCGCCCCGGAGGTACGGGCGGCCAAGCGGAGAGAGACCAAGCGGGGGTGTATCACCATGGCGCAAATGTGGCGAGACCAGGTCATCCCTACTTTGGTGCAGGGACTGCAGGGTGGGGTCTACGAGGCGGGGGAGGCATACACAGGCGGTGTGGAGGATTGGCTCGCGCAGTATGAGCCAAATGGGGAGCCAAGGACCCCGCCACGGTCTCCAGTACTTGCGCCAGTGACGCCATGAGTCAGTAGATGAGTAGGCGGGTATAAGCTAATAGAGTAACCTTTGCGTCATTATAGCAGAGTAAGATAGTTTGACGGCGCAATCTATAGTCAGCGTTGTATATTATAGACTCACCCCTGTCTGCCCGGCCTGCGTTTTGACTTGGAACCATTTGCCAGTGTTGTCGAGCACTTCGAGCATGTCGCCTTTGTTGAAGCTGACCTCGTTGGGGTCTGCAGGATCGGCCTGGTACGCGTACATTGCCCTAAAGTCAGCGATGTAGGGGCTGGACTCACTTGGCGCGCGCACGGAGAGGCTCTGCGACTTCCGAAAGAGCCGGCTGGCTCGGCTGGGTTATGCTGTACTCTTGTCGCGTAGGCTTTTGCGGGGTGGTGTCGACGCCGGTAGGTGTGTAGCCGTACCCGCCGTACCCCGCGTTTTGCCTGGGCATAGGCGACTCGCCAAACCCATTGGCGGTAGACTCGACCCGCGCCCGCCGGTTGTAGCCTGACAATCCCCCGTTTCCAGCCGCCGTAAACATGCGGTAGAATGGGGAGTCCTCTTCGGATGTGAGGTAGAGGATCCAAATGAGCTGGGGTCAGCTATGTCTCCACCGCACTCACATCGACCAAAGCCAATAGCAGCCATCCGACGCCGGTCGCAATCAGCGCGCTGTTTGTGGAAAAGATAAATTCCGCGCCGAATACCGCAAAGACTTCGGCGATAGCGAGGACGACCGACAATTGGAAACGATGTATGGCGAGACCATCCGTGCAGACGGCCATGCTGCTGTCAGTCCAGTCGCATCAGTACGCACAAGAGGTGTATGATGCAAGCCCTACCGTCAGCGTTGTATGATGTTGCACGTACAGTTGTATCCAGATATTGTACCAGAGGAAACGGACGACCGGCTGGCGAGTTCCAGTACCTGACATCAGCTCTGGAGTAAAAGAAACTTGCTGATTCGTGCTGTCGCGGCGGATTGAGCGATGAACGCAATGATCCACGCAGGAATGGCGATGGCGAACGTGACCAGAAACACCGGATGGCGAATGTGGCCGAGGTTGAAGTTGCTTCTGGGCGCCATAGTAGAGAGGTTGAAGTACAAGGTGAAGAGGCTGCACCGCAAAAGGCGTCAACAAATGTTTCAGTTTTACGTCATTCAACCTTTGAGCTTTGAGCTTTGAGCTAGAGTACGTGAAGCAGCGAGAGCACTTTAGTCGACCTATCACTCAATGGCCGAGCAATGCTGCTGCTGCTGCACAAAGCACGACAAGCTATTCTGCCATCGCTGCGTACAGCTAGGGTAAGTCCATCCAATCCAAAGCTGACAACAGCATCGACCAACAGGCATCTCTCAAGCGGCAACTCTCAGACCAAATCAATATCGTCACTCGGCGATGCGCGGTGCAGGAGCAGGCCGCGGCGAGATGGAGGACCCTGCGAGCCGAGGTGGCTGAACAGGAGCGGCGAGTCCAAGACCTCCAGCGCCGCTTGGCCATCAGCTCTCCTCTGCGCCATTCGGCGCCCCGCTCACTCCGCCCTCCCGTTCCCACCATCGAGCTTCGCCAAGTCCACTTGGAGCAACGCAAGGTCGACAAGGACATTGCCGCTGCCAGGCGTGTACTGATACTAGAGGCGGCATCCATCATGGGTCTGACACGAGGCGGGATCGCCGGACTACCCCTGCCCCACCCGCGAGAAATGAAGCGTACGTCCCCTCACAGCCCCGCTGATATAGTCCGCGACGCCACCAAGATCAACGCTGCTCTACAACACACCTGCCACTTCCTCGACCTCCTCACTCGCTACCTCTTCATCGCTCTCCCCTTTGACCCTGGCGCCGACAGCCGCAGACGGATCCAGCTCAAACCCAACCTCCCCTTCATCCGCACAACCAAGTACCGCGACAAGAATCTCCTCTCGCTCAGCCGCAAGAACCAGCGAGGCTTCTACACATCGTACGGACTGCTCGCGCACTCGGTGGCGTATCTCGCGTGGATGCAGGGGGTCGAGGAGGAGGATCTGGGAGCGAATCTATACGGGCTGGTCTACGCGCCCGGCGTGGCCAAGTCCCACCTAGAAATAAAAAGCCTAGGCTTCAGTCTGGATGTCAACGATGTGGTTGAGCAGGTCTTGGAAGACTGCGGGCTAGAAGAGGAAGGCTGGGCACTAGTAGATGCATAACTATTTAGTGAAATAATACATTGCCGAATAGGCCACGGTCAAACTCTCTCCTTCGGTAGAACACTAAGTCAGCTTGAACAATCGCCAACTCACAGATGTAGGAGGCTGGCCCTTGACAGTGTGTGTGCGAAAGACGCTCTTGGCGAGGACGCCCGATGTGCCGGTCAGACGTAACCAGGGGACGTTGGTCGCGGGGTCTTTGGCGTCGACCCTAGTAGTGACAGCTCCGATGACTTCTTGACCAGTGGCCGGGTCGCGGAAGACGGGGGCGATGCCACCTGCCGCGGTGCGAGTGAAGAAGTGATCCAATTTGACCGGGAGCTTGGACTGGTCGGGATAGTCGAGGAGCCGGATGGCGGACGAGGTGAGAGCGTCGCTCGGCATGTCGGGGCCGATGACAGGCTGGAGCAGAAAGACGATGCACGAAGCGTCATAGAGGCTGATGTCAGCGAGCTCGGGGTGAGACTTACTTGGCTACAGCGCCGGCACTGACATACTTGCCGGCCGTGCAAGTGTAGTTCTGGGTACCACGGCCCAGACCGATAGCGACCGTCTTCTCGCCAGCGGGGACCTCGAGACCGGCAATGAGGGGGACCTTGACCGAGCTGACGGGGCAGGACCGCATGGGGAGGGTCATGCCGAGGGCGAGAGGGAGGAGGGTAAAGAGTGTGAAGAGCATTGTAGGTGGAGTAGGAGAGCAGAGGTGATTGGGGTGTGAGATGGGGCAAAAGTAGAGGCGCGCTGCCTCATATATATCCCCACTCGCCCGGTCAGGGCGGCCGGAGAGGGGATCGACAGTCTCTTACCTACCGTTGTGTGGTTTCAAAGCGACGATCATCATCCTTAAGATCGACGAAAGGGACGCCATTGTCGGGATCGACGCGGAGGAAGCAGCCTCCACCGACGCTTCAAAATCTGAAACCGTCTCGCCCGTCTCCGTATCCACCTTTAATTGCGTCCGTTGCAAAGGTGCATCTATATCCGGAACTCTAGCTGTCCCAGCACGCCGTACAGTACGACTGGCCGTCCTTTGGAAAGAACAGGTTGCTAAGCTGGTTGCCGCAGCCCTACCATCAGCCAAGCCCACCTCCAAACTCACATCGCAGACAAAGCATTCCTTGTGCCATTTCGCCCCCATCGCATTGACCGCAATATCCGGTATGGGCGCCTTGCACCCTTTGCATTTTGGCTTATGCAGCCGCAGGTGACACCGCTCGCAGTACGGATGACCCCGATGAATGGTAAACGCGTTCGTCTCGTCTTCTGCGCTGCCGCCGGCTTTGGAGGGGTCGAGAAAGGGGTCGCCGCATTCCGAGCAGAAAAAGTGAAGCTCGTGATAGTACCGCTGGCCGAGGAGATCGTCGTTGAGCGTGACGAAGCGAGGGTCGACAATGGGAGTTTTACAGTGATGGCATTGATGGGCGAATTTCTGAATTAGCCGAGTCGACCATCAACTCACATCGTGGTAATCCAAATGACAATACGCCTTTCCCTCCCACTCGTACGAGCTGACGTGCTCCAAATTCTCCCCACACTCTGAGCAGGCAAAGCAGTGTGGGTGAAAGCGCCGCTTCATCGCATTGACAATGCGCCCAATGATGGACTCGCCGCATCCAGCGCAGATGATTGCCGCGTCACTGTGCAGACGGACGGGGGAGGGGGCGTCGGTCGTGACGGAGATAGTAGGGATGGCGGATACGACGATGCCGGGGGGAGGATCGTTGGGAAAAGTGAGATCAGGGATATTGATGATAGGAGTTTCGTCCTCTTCCGCAATGTCTGATGGTTTGCGCCGAGCTTGTATGCCCCTGTCCAAACTCCGCGAGCTGTTGACATTGACAGGGGGTTTGGGTAATGGCCGACGAGTTGAGCCAAACTCGGGACGGTCCAAAGAGCGAATGGAGGCGAGTGTATCGGACCGCTCCAGTGTCGCCTCGACGGGTGAGCGCCGGGGGGGAGATGGGACGCGAATGGGAGGATCAGACGGCAGAGTAATGATGGGGGGTGGGGGATTGGAAGGGGTTATGATGGGGTCGGAGGGAAGCGATATACTGGGTAGCGGCTGTTGGGAGGAGGACGGGCGAGGTTGCGGGAGTGGTCGAGTTGGGTTTTGATGGATACTAGGAAGGGAGGGATGTGAGGGGGGCGTGTAGGTCGGTTCGATGCTCGCCCGGAGAGCTGCCTCCTTGGCGCGTTTCCGATCTTGGAAAGTCTGGAATACGGGTGCAGCATACGCTGCTTTGGGTACAGGTGCTGGGATGGGCGTAGTATTGTACATGATGATATAAAGGTGATTGTAGAAAAGAGATGACAAACGCGTCGCGTCCTATGGAATTCTCAGATTCTGAAACAAACTCTATTCCCTCTTTGGGCAAGTTATCCTTGTGCCACCATCTGCTCCTCGTAGTGAGTCCCAATCGTATCCCAGCTAGAGTCAGCATGCTCACAGCACAGACTCACTTGGGGAGCCTTCGACCAACACGCTCAGGGTCAAGCTCCGGGTACGCGTTGTGAATGACCGAAACCAACTGTCCAAAAGCACCTGATATCCGGCGGATGAGAAGTGAACCCCATCGCTGCGATCAGCTGCATCCGGTCTGGCACTTACTATAGGTATGGGTCAAGCTTGTCCGGCGTAGCACCCCCCGCCGCTTTGACCATCACGTCATAGACGTTCAGCACGGGGACGCCGACCTCAATGGCGACCTCTTCGCAGGGCGTGGCGTATATCAATGGCCTGTCCGGGTGGCGAAGCGGATTGACAGTGTTGCCGGTCGGTCCAGGCGTAAGGATCACGATCTTGGTGTTGGGGATGCGATCGCGCACAAGCTCAACGATGGACCTCATGTTCTGCTTGTATTCGCCGATCGGGACCGACTGATGACTCTCGGGGAGCATGGCATCGTTGGTACCGAACCAGACGGTGATGAGTCTGATGCCCTGGGATGGCGACTCTGGCTTGGCAAGTATCTCTTTGAGAGCCGGGATAGCCCTGATTAGCTTTGGCACAGACTCTACTCACCATCGACTGTTATACCCGCTGAAGCCCCGGTTGATGATGTCCAGGACGCGACTGTAGCGTTTCGACATGCGCTGATGAAGGGACTCAGACGCGCACGACTCTGTAATGCTATCGCCCTGCTATCAGCGAGGTCTCCAAGGCACTCACAAAGAGGAGTGTCGAATCTGTGAATTTGGGGTCAGACATGATGTATGTGGGCGGTTGAAGGAAGAGTTGTTCGTCGCGCTTGGAGCTCCTTGTGTCAGCCCGTATCCGAACTCAAAATGGGGTCCCCTGGAATTCAAAGGGCGTCCCTTCCCGAAAGGAGGCCTTTAAGGAGAGGACTCGGAGATGCCGGCAGCCCCGATGGCCTTCGGACTTTTAGGATACCGGAGCTTGGGCAAAATGTAGGGCGGGGTTCCGAAAAACATATCAACCTCTAGCATAGAAGCTCATAATCCACCCTGCGCTCTGAGCTCCTTCTCATGGAGCTTGGTGGCGAATAGACACACTTTGGATCCGACAGGACGTCCGACGTCGTCGCTCGGCATTCGGACGTGACACTGCTCACTGAAATTGCATCCACCGCAGCTGCAACCAGTCTTTATAGCGCTGAGCAACTCGCCCAGGCTCCTGTGCGTGCTGAGCGCGCTCTTGAAAGCTGTTACATCCACGATTCCACGCCTCGAGGGCTGTCTCATGCCGGCACAAGGAATGAGGAGTTTTATTTTGATCCCGAAGCCCGAGGTAAGCCTGCTGATCAGCTTGTGTTCTGCCTTTGACACACGCTTCATACCATCATGTCAGACCCAATACCCACCAAGCACATTCTCACACCTATCCACCTCGCCGCCTTCCAGAGATCGCCCACGTACCGTGATGTGACTACCTTTATCGATGACCTAAACGAGTCGGTCATCGGGCTTCAGCTCGCGGATGTCAAACCATCACCTGTACGTGTCGCCCTAATCCAGCTGACCCTAGCGTACACAATCTCTAATAGACATCCTGGATCAAGTACTAGATATCGCCCATCGGACTCCACCCGTCGACAACAAGCTGTCACGCTTTGGCAATCCAGCCTTCAAAACATTCTACGACAAGGTCGGCGAAGCGTCCACCTCGATGCATCGGGGACTGGTCCCAGACGAAGCGATACCAGAGGTGGAGACGTATCTCAAAGAGTCATGGGGAAACCGTCAGAGGGTCGATTACGGGAGCGGGATGGAGTTCAACTTTCTGTGCTGGATGTGAGTTACCGGCTGGACGCGCTCATCCAGGCTGTGCCTTGTCAAGCTCAATGCTGTACAACAGTCCGACTATCCCTTCCTCGTCCTGGGTGTGTTCTGGAAATACATCCAGGTCATGCGATACCTACAATCGACATACTGGCTCGAACCGGCGGGGTCGCATGGGGTATGGGGATTAGACGACTACCAATTCCTGCCCTTCCTTTGGGGAGCTGGTCAACTCAAAGGTGAGCCAATGGTGGTCCCAGCTAATCAGGCCACAAACACCTCAAACCCAAATGTATCCACGACCCCGAAATCCTCGAAGCCTTCTCTTCAAAGTACATGTACCTCTCGTGTATCTCCTTTATCAACTCGATCAAGACGGCCTCCTTGCGCTGGCATTCACCCATGCTCGACGACATCTCCGTCGTCAAGACGTGGGACAAGGTCAACTCGGGGATGATCAAGATGTACCAGGCAGAGGTACTGGGGAAGTTGCCAGTCATGCAGCACGCCTTGTTCGGGTCGTTGCTCCCGTTTCCGACTGTCCAAGAGGATCCTACCCTGGCCGACGCGGAGGAGATCGAGCCAGACTCGCACGGACATGTACACGCGAAAGGCGAGACGGGGTGGACGATGGACTGCTGCGGCATACCAGGTGAGTCACTCCAAGTATCCGCTGACGAGCAGTACCTTCCGCCTTTGCCGAATCCGCCAATAGATCAGGAATCAAGCCAATACCCTTTGACTAGTCTATGTACAAACGCTTTACCCACTTCTCCACCCTTCCCCACAGCTCTTCTACATTCACCTGCTTCTCCGTCAACATCATCTCATAACCCTGCCCCAGCTGAGCCGCCATCGTCTCAAAGTGTCTGCTCCCCACTGTCTCTGGAACCGTCAACTCGATGACTGCTCCCTCGCCCGGCGGCAGGAACATCGACAATCCCAGACCGCCACCGTGCAGACCGATGAGTATGGACGCGTGGCCGACCATATGGACTTGAGTGTCGAGCGAGTGTAGGGATGGATCGAGCGTGGCAAAGCGGATCCCGCGCTCCAACGTTTCGGACCAGTGACCGGGCGTGGCGTCCTCGTCGACAAAGCACCCCCTACACATTCCCGCCAGACCCGTCCTGAGCCTATTGACAATCTCATTCTCGTTGGAGATGTGACGGGAGTCCCGCCACATGCTCCACTTGTTCTGGCTCATCGCCCAGTTGTCAAACTTGGCACGAGAGAGCCAAAGAACATTGACGGTGGTCGGTGGTTTGAGGCCAAAGAGGTTGCGATAAAAGTGGGATGCTGCCCAGGTGATGGATGAAGCGCAGGCATGCCTGGGGTCAGCATAGTTGGAGATTCACATACCCTACACCTAGATCCTGAGCCGACAATAAGGATACCCCCGCAGTGACGCTGTGAATGACCGTATTGACTACATCAGCGCCATCAATCTAGCACTCACAGCACGCATGGTCCCAAGGATCCAGACCTAGCCGACGAGGGGGCCAAGCGCCAATCTTATCCCACATTGCGACAAAGTGGTTTCCCTCGAGTCCAAAGTCGTCATCAAAGATGATCTGGACGGGCTCGTCGACCAGCTGCGGCCGGGCGCGAGCAGCAACCAGGGTCGAGACGAGCGTTGTAATCATGTCCTCGGCGACGTGAAATCTGCCTCAGCTCCGTCACGCTGCGACTTACGGGTTCCATTGATCTTGTCTCGGTATCACCAGGAGGGTCCTCCCGATGGTCTCCGCGCACTCCCCTTCCCACTCGCCTAGATGCGACCCGACAAACCTCTCTCGCCTCATTTCCTCCCATAGCTGCTCGCCGTCCGTAGTCACCGCAGCATCCATCTTTTGCAGCTCCCGCCCGTTCGCTCGGAGATTGGTAGACAAGCATGGCGCCGCCGGGACCGGCCACCACTCCGAGAACGTGTCGCTTTTGACCTGCGCACACGAAATCTCTGACCCGCCCGGACTAGACGGAGAGACATAAGTCAAGCGGGTCCGGTGATACGCCTCGACGAGTGACCGACCGAGCTTGTCGTCGCAAGTATCCAGGTCGCGCGCAGCAATCTCAGCCTCGGCCCGCTCGAGATAGTGCACGATGGACCGGATGGGGAAGGCATCCCGGTAGTAGGTGTCGTTGGAGATGAAGGCAGGGACCACAGCTTGAGGCGGATAGTGGTAGCGAGAGTAGCTTGGAAAAGCTCCGAGCGCCGCAAAGTGAAAGAGCACGCCCAGTGCAGCCGCAGCCCCGACCGCGACGGCAAGGATGCGCTTGTCGGCTCGATGTGTGCGAGTCCACCTTGATGGTGGATATGCTCCCTCAGCTGCTGGAAGCCGCTCGTACGTGGTCATAAGGGCATGCTGGTCGATATGAGCAGATGCAAAGTCGAGGTGGAGGCGCAGTCTGAGAAGCTGGATTTCAAGCTGTGCACGCTGATGCGGAACGATCATAGGCCCGAGCTTGTTTATACAAGTGATGTGTCTACAAACCTAAAGTTGCCCCTCTTCACCGCCTTGGTCTTGGGGAGCACCTTCTCCTCCTTGACCTCCACATGAACCTGGTCCGGGGTGTCTGGCGCCGCCTCTTGCTCCTTTACCGCCTTCGCTGCACCCGTTTCCGCCCCTGCAGCCGCCTTGGCTTCCGCCGCCTTCTCCGCCATGACCATCTCCTCTGACCTAAACTCCCACACCGTCCGCTCAATGCTCTTCTCGCTGTTGCGAGAGTTGCCGAATGCGCCGCCTCGCCCTATTCCCGCATCCAGCCGTTCCTCCTCCTCCCGCTCCGCGACGGTGCCGGGAATCTCCTCGCGAAGCTGAGCAGCCTCGCGGTCGATGATGCTTTGCTTCTTGCTGTCGTTGCGGGGGGCTGTCTCGACACCGAGGAGAGGCTCCATACCGTTATGGAAGGCTTGTTGAAGAGGAATAGCCTGTGCGTCAGCGACATTCAGGGATATCGTTGTTGAGGAGGGCGAATCAGAAAGCCATGCATTGAAAGTTTTTTAACCACGTTGAGGTCTTCAAGACTAATCGATTTTGGTTCATCACTGTGAGTATAGGGAGGAGAGAGGAAAGATATTCACCTGATAGTCAGCTCTGTTCAAATACGAGACAGTTGAACAGGATGGAGGGTTCAGAAAGTGAAGAAGTTTGTAACCAGTTGAGATGTCTTCAGAACGAAGGTTATGTCATAGTTTTTGTCATCATAGAAAAGAGAGGAGGAGGATCAGAGAGAAGCTCACCTGGCGTCTGAACTCGTCTTCCACGAGCTTGAGCTTGCGAATTGCTTCAATTCGTGCTTTGCTGATATTGTATTGCTCGGCGAGCTGGCCGACAGTCTGGCGTTTCAAACGGCGATAGATGGTGTTTTGAAGCTCGTTCGAGACTGGCGGAGGTGGACGAAAACTTGGATTGGTGGGATATGGCTACTATTAGCGACGACGAGAGGTCAACTCACGTTATTCGACTCCAGCCAGCGAGCCTTTTGGCCTGGGTTGACATCGTAAAATTGGCTGGCTGCGCCGGTCTTGAGCCAGGCCTGATACCCGCCCTTGGTACCATAGAACTGCTTCTCCTTCATGCGAGCATGGCGAGAGTCCTTGTCATCGAGCTCTGCGACGACGTCGGCTGGCTGGGCCTCGGACGGAGCTGCGGCGTCCGTTGTTGCGCTGCGACGAGCTGAGGAAGGGATAATGGGAGCCAGGGCTCGCCATGGGAGGCGTGATGGACCTGCTACTGCTGCTAGGAAAACCATGAGGAAGGGATGTATGAACAAAGAGAATAGCTTGAGAATTTCAATCAGCCAGCTCCAAAGACCATCACGGCGATATCGGCGATACCTTCTTGTGGCATTCCGAAATAGAATGCCGTCCGGATCGGAAAATGAGATTCTCATCAAGCTAAATCCGGATCGGATATGCCAGAGCCTCAGATTCAGATTTCTCTGTCCACCTTCCTCACCAGCGTACACACCTACAACACCCCTCTGCAATGGTGCCCAACCCACTCCCCATCAGGCTATGCTCTCACCTACTCAACACATCCAAAGCTTTCCTTTCACAAACATCTCTCCCCTACACTCAATCCTCGCTCGCAATCACATCCCTCCTCCTCCGCCATGGCTTCCTCTCCAACATCACACTCGGCACCCCATCACACCCATCACCTGTCGAATTCGCCTCTCTCCCACCACCTGCAAAACGTATATGGGTCGGTCTCAAACATCGCAATGGCGTACCCGTCTTGAGACGGATGAACCTCGTCAGCAAACCAAGCGTACGGATAAAGGTGGACCATGGGGAACTGGGGCGGATACTGAGTGGGAAGAGGGCAAAGAATGTTGCGGGGATGGGGTTAGGGGAGGTGCTGGTGGTCAGGGTGCCAGAGGATAAGGCGACGGGAAGAAAGGGGACGGAGCTGTATATGGAGGGGTGGGAAGCATGGCGCGCAGGGTTGGGCGGCGAGATCGTATGTAGGGTGGGATAGCGTCTACAGGAGGACAGGTTGCCTGTAGGGCGGGACAGCGTCAGAATATACCAGAGTTAGCTGTGGATTGTATGTGGGGCAAGGTAGCAATTATACAGTAGCATATGTCTAGCGCATCTCCTTCAAACCCTCCAATCTCGACGTTGACGCATACCGCCGATTCCCATCCTCCAAGATCTCGTTCAGCCGCAGAGTATAGCGCTGCACCTTGGATCTTGCGATGTTGAGCGCGAGGTGGTCTTGGTTTCGATTGTGCAGTTCTACGTCAGCTAATCCTGACTGCAACTTACTCTTCAAGCGGTACGCAAACCACAATCCCAATACTGGCTGGCCTACCTCGTCTGGACGATCCTTCCCACCCAACAGCCCAGCGATAGTCAACCCTGTCTCCAGCTGGGCTTGAACTCTCTCCTCGCTCCCGGTGAGGTGGGTGGTCGAGGTGAAGGCAAAGATGAGTGCTCGGAGCAGGTTGTTGTTGGACTGCTGACAGAGGTCGTATGCGCGGCCAATCTTTTTCCTGAGGTTAGCGAGTTACTAGGCCGGACTTACTTTGCCAGCATCAAGTTGTCTTCTGCGAGCGCAGACAGCAATGTACCGATGGTCTGGAGCGCCATACTCGATGTATGCTTGCACTTGTGCGCGAGATCCTTGACCAACGTCTGCCGCTGGTGATCGTCCTTGAGCCCCTGAAGATGACCCTGCACGCCCAGTAGGCTCGCCTCGATCATGATTGCCAACTCGCTGCCTTTGCCGAGGAGAGCTGAAGCGGCGTGGTAGTATCGCTCCGATATTGTGGCGTGTCCGAGCAGCTGCGCACTCATGGCTTGGACGAGGCAGAGATGAGGGCCTAGCTCGTCCAAGATGCCGTGCGTGTGGGCAAAGTGGACGAAATGGTCGAGAAGCTAATTAGCACGAGCTGGTGGTCCCTCACCTTTTCGGCTGCTACAAAGTCGCTCCGGATCAACATGGCTGTTCCCTCTTCCAAGACTATCTCGGCCATCCGCCGGATGACGCCGTTTTGCGCGGCCAGCACATCCGCGAGGCCATGTTGGTGCGAGACTACATTAGCCAAGTCAAGCCTGGACTCACATCCTATATCCCACATATCGTCCTTGCGCGCCATCCGCTCAAAAACTCTCATTGCGTTGATGTGGACGAGGGTTTTGCAGGATGCTGCGGGTCCGATAAAGTCTCGGCGGGTAGTCACCGTTGCGAGGAAGGTGAGGACGTAGAGGACGTTCGGAGGAGTGGTCTGGAAGAACAGTCCGTCAAGCTAACGTCAGCCCGGTCTACATGTACGCACCTCTACCAATCCTCCATTTGCCCTGAGCGTCTCCAGCGTTCCGGACTCTGCCGCCTCGTCCATCAAGATGTAGAGTCGTTTGAGCAAACTCCTTGCCTTGCTGTCGTTGCCGATGCGCCCCTCCCAAAGACTGCGCAAGATGAGATAGTGCGCGGTGAGATTCGTATGCCATGGCCCGTCTTTGCCCGAGGCGGTCAAGCTGTTTTCGTCCCAGTTGAGGAGCGCACCGATGTCGTCCAGGGATGCTGATATGGAGTCCCAGCGTCGATAGGCAAAGAGTAGCCGACACCGAATCAGCGCGAGAAGTTGTCGCGTATGGTGCTGCGCTCCGGCCTGTCATCAGCACAATCTTGCCGAGACCTACCTGCATCTCCTCAACCAGGTTTAATGCCTCTCCGCAATCCACCGCAGCAGTCTTGTCAAGGAGCAAGAAGTATATGGCGTATCGATGGGTAGAACTGCATCAGCAGGATCAGGTCAAGACTCACCTTGTACCCCGGTCCAGATATTGCTTGACTAAACGCTTGCCAGCATGCACACGGTTCTCCATAAGAGCGATTTTGATGTTGAGCCATTCCAGGCGCTGCCGAGCATGTGCGAGCGAGGTGTTACGCTCGCATACCGCCATCTATAGTCAGCCGGCTCACTTCGCGACTCACCCCTGATGCCATCGCATCATGCATGTCTTCCGCCAGGCTGATGCTACCCTTTGCGCATTGTCGCACCTTGATTCCTATACTCAACCACTCGATGGTGAAGGCCGCTCGCTCCGAGTCTGACAGGTTCGGCAGCTTCAACCCCGCAGATAGCAGGTCGAGTGCGAGCAGCTGCAAGGCAAGAGCGGTGTCCGCGGCGTGAGGATCCGGGGCCAAGCGCTTCGTCGGGTAGAGGGGTACCGGATCGAAGGTTCCATCCGAAGCGGTCTCTACCCATGAGGGAATGAACGCTTGTTGGAGATGTTGCGTTGATGCAATGTGCGCGGCGGTAGCTGTGTGGTATAGCAGAGCTGCGTCTGTGAGAACCGGCGATTCCTCGGGGGTGAGGCGAGGTCGCTTCCTGTCCAAGCTGGAGCTCCGATTAAGAGGGCGAGATGGGCCCGCTTCTTGCCCTGATGGCCGCTTCCTGCTGGGGCCGGACATACTAGAGTGGTCCATAGCTGCTGTAAGGTATACTCCCAACTTGTCTTGACTTCTTTGGCGTCAATATTGACATGCTTATCGCACGGATCTCGCTCAGATCCACCGTGGTGATCTCTAACTTTTCCTCTGATCCATCTCTACTTCACCTTATACAGATACACAGCCACAACTATGTCGGAGCGAACAGCGACAGTAGAGCGAAAGACCAGCGAGACTGAGATCTCTTGCACAATCAACCTGGACCATGACCCGGCGGTCGGCAAGCAGGTCATCGAGGTGTCCACCGGTCTGGGATTCTTGGACCATGTCAGTCTGCTCCAGCTAATAGAGCTGACGGTAGATGTTCACAGCGCTTGCCAAGCACGGTGGAATGTCTCTGACTCTCAAATGCAAGGGCGACCTGCACATTGACGACCACCACACCGCCGAAGATTGCGCGCTTGCCCTCGGTGCTGCATTCAAGAAGGCTCTGGGCGAGAGGAAGGGGATTAAGCGCTACGGATTCGCCTATGCCCCTCTGGACGAGGTGAGACGATGACCGACACGGGCTGATGGTAGTCCCTCTCTCGCGCGGTAATTGACATCTCGTCAAGACCGTTCTTTGTCTGCAACCTGCCATTCACCCGGGAAAAGATTGGAGATCGTAAGTTGCCCAAGTCCTCGGCTGACTCTAGTGTCCACCGAAATGGTATCCCACCTGCTCCAGTCCTTTGCCTTTGAAGCGGGCGTCACCCTCCACATCGACCTGATCAGAGGCGACAACAACCATCACATGTACGTCTTGCCCTTCCTCAGCTCGCTGATATGCCAGCGCCGAATCCGCCTTCAAGGCGCTCGCTCTCGCAATACGTATGGCCATCACCCGTACAGGAGGCGACGACGTACCGAGCACAAAAGGCGTACTAGCCATCTAGATGCAGGTAGTTTTACTGTGCATCCAACATAGCAACATTTTTATCGACACATCACCCCTTCCGGACCTTACTACTGCCCGGCACTGCCAATCTTGCCGCCCCCTCGGGCTGCTTTAACTCCATCGCTTCCGCTTCCGACAGCTCCCTGTATGGCGTGGCGGCCCGTCCAGCAATCGGCGAGCGGGGAGCACGAGGTGGTTCCTCGGTCTGAGGAGGTGTTGATGGGGCTGAATCTTCGTCGAGCACTTGTTTTGATGGTCGCTTGGCATAGTACCGGCCGCCCTGAGACTCAGAACTAGCCTTGCTGCAGACTCACCTGAAGCAGCATGACGCCGGTAAGCATGACCGCCGTCTTGATATTATCGCTTGCAAGTTCCTTTGCAGCGTTCGACAGGATGGGAAAGAGAGGCGAACCGACCAGCTTGGCGGGAAGCGGTGTCGGGAACAAGAGAATCGCTGCGGAATCAGCCCTTGCTCCAGTATTCACATACCTGGAAAGACCTCGCTCAACTGCGTATATGTGATCGCAGCAAGCAATACTGCAGCATCAGCCAGCTCCACTACACCCTGACTCACCCACACTCCCTCCATCAAATACCACCTCTCCCTTGCCCGTCCCGAACCACTTGAACATCCTCCCGGCTGTGCTCAATAGCGCAATCATCCCCACGCCTATGTAGGCCCACCCCAGCCCATGTGGCGCTGTCGACAGCAGCGAATAGTATGATATAGATGTCAAGAGCGCTTCCTCGGTGATGGGTGACCGCCAGAGGACATTATGGTCCGCGATCCAGTGGGTGAAGGTGGTACCTGCCCGTCAGCCCTGGTTTCCGCTCGAAAGGCAAAGCGTACCCAGCAAGAAGCATATGGATATTGTGATCAGGGTCGTGCGCCAGACCATATTATAGATAGCAGGTAGACAAGATACAACAGCAACAGGAAAGCTGCAGCGTCATCAGAGCTGTCGGGACCGGCCGAGAACCGGCCGAGCTTTTTACTCCCGCATTCCTCGTTCGTTGGGAAGAATACGCGCTTGAAGCTGGACGTGAAGCAGGCTCCAGCTCAACATGCTCGCCTCCGCCTAGATCTACTTGAACAACTATATGCAAGGACTTCTAATCAAAATCCAGGTCCACCGCGGCCGCATACCCATTCGCCGCGCTCATCACCGCCTTGAGACCCGACGCCGTAATGTCCGCATCCACCCCGACACCCCAGAACCCGCCCTTGGTCTTGTTTTTAGGATCCGCATCACTCGGGATGAGCTCGACGTAGGTCGCAGCCTTGACGTCTGACCCAGCGCCCACACCATGCTCGGTGTATTCCCGAATGGACAGGTTGATTCCCAGATCCCCTTGCAGGGCGTCCAGGAGGGAAGAGAGCGGGCCATTCCCTTCTCCGGAAATCTCGCGGAGACTTCCGTCAATGAGGACCTTGGCCGTGAGGCGCTTGGGGGTTTGGTGGAGGTCGGCACCGTTGTTGCGGTCCGGGCTATCGACCCGGTCCAGCCGGTCAATGCTGAGGGCGAGGTTGGCGATACGGTGTGAGTTGCGGGATGGGGACCTTTCTGGGGTAGCATCGCCGGATGGCTGGACGTCGCGAGTGATGAAGGATTTGAGGACGATCCGGCCGTCATATATGGAGCCGCCGAGGTGGTATGTTTGACGGAAGGCAGTGGTGATGTCTTTTGAGGTGATCTCCTTGCCAGTCTTTTCCGACAGCTCCTGGATGACCCGGTAGAATGAGATTTGCATTCTCCGGGGCATGTCCAGCGACAAGACCTGCTTGATGATGTAGGCGATACTGAAATCAGCAATGCTCAGTCCGTGACTCACCCTCCCTTTCCAGATTGCGAGTTGACCCGAATGACCGCCTCGTACGTGCACCCCACATCTGCCGGGTCGATGGGCAGATAGGGTACATCCCACCGCACATCTCCCTGCGCCTCGCGCTTTTGCTGCGCCTCGAATCCCTTCTTGATGGCATCCTGATGACTCCCGGAGAACGCGGTAAAAACCAGCTCGCCGGCGTAAGGATGTCTAGGGTGGACTGGGAGGCCGGTGCATTCCGTGACCGTGTCGATGATGGAGAACATGTCGGAAAAGTCGAGGTTTGGCGCGTAGCCCTGAGAGTATAGGTTCATTCCCAGCGTGACGAGGTCGACGTTTCCGGTCCGTTCTCCGTTCCCGAGGATGGTGCCTTCGATTCGGTCCGCGCCGGCTAGACGACCGAGCTCGGCGGCGGCAACGGCACATCCTCGGTCGTTGTGTGTGTGCAGGGAGATGATGCACTTTTCCCTTTCAGTGAGGAGGCTGATAAAGTGTTCGATTTGGTCCGCAAGGATATTGGGTGTGAAGATCTCGACCGTTGCGGGAAGATTCTGAAATCAGCAAAGCTCCTTCTTGAACTCACAAAGATGATCCGCTCCTCGTTCCTGCCGTCCGCCCATACACTTCCCTTGCCCGCAAACCATGTCTTCTTGACCGCTTCGCACACCTCCACCGCGTACTCGGTCTCTGTCTGCGAAAAGGTCTCGGGCGAGTATTCGTACCGGAAAGTCGTTCCATGCTGGATATCAGCTAGGCCAAAGCCGAACTTACAGATTTAGCATATTGCTCTGCCAGCTCCCGGACCAGCTTGGTATGCGATACCGCAAGCCTAACATCAGCATTGTCTTTCCGCAACTTACTGTATTGTCTCCTCCCTGTTGTTGTTGAACACAACCTCTCGGAACAGACAAGACGTAGCGTTGTACATGTGGATAATGACGTGCTTCATCCCCGCGACAGCTTCGAACGTGCGTCTGATCAGGTCTTCCCGAGCTGGCGTGAGGACCTGCAAAATCAGCTCAGCCCACTGCGGCACGCACCTGAATCCACACGTCATCCGGGATCTCCTTCTCATCCAGCAGCTCCCGGCAGAATGCAAAGTCCAGCTCGGACGCAGCAGGGTACGAGACTTCAATCTCCTTGAAGCCAATCTGGCAGAGATGGCGAAAGAACCGCATCTTTTGGGCATTCGACATGGCTAGCTTCAGCTTGGCTTGGTTTGGGACGTACGATTGGCTAGAGACTGGTTCCCATCCCGCAGATCTGTACTGAGCCAGATAGGAGCAGTGGTGTTCTCCTTATTTGGCCATGTCCGGGCAGGGTAGGGAGTAGGTCGGAACGGCTTATACCGCTGTGATGGGTCGGCACTGGAGATCAGCTGGGCCTCTAGGCGGTGGGGATCTGCTCACAGCATAGGCATTTTGGGCAACGAGCAAGCAGCAAGCTATGGGTATGTCCTAGGTGTAAGTGAGAGCTACACAGTTGATGAGAGTGTGTCAAGGAGAGTGTGTTAGATTTCAAAGGCAACTTCAGCTTCGACTCGGTAATGACGGTGATCAGCAGCCAGATCTGCATGACGTGGCTTTCTTTCAACCGGGGCTTGGGGCGAAGAATCGTATATGCATCCCCTGCCTTGCCTGCGTACAGATGATACCTAGTATACCGAGAAACAAAATCTAGCTGACAGAAGAGATGAGGGGAAAAGCCAACTAAACTAAATCGTATCTAGCGTCCATCAACGTCGTCAAATAATGTCCACATCGTTCACTTTTCTAGTATCGAGATGGTGGTGCCTAAGAATCAGCTGCAAATCTTAGTACACGGACTTGAACTCACTGCTCCTGGAGGCAGATGCGAAGATTGGCTACTCCCAGTAACTGGGCTGACTAGCTGATTCCGGCTAGAGCTCCTTCGCTGATGCCTCGAGACCCTTCGAACGGGGTCGTGCGGCGCAGCGGGGACGGGTCCGGTATCGACGAGCGAGACCCCGCGGCTGTTGGCTGACGGAGTGCGCTGACGCGGCGTGTCGGACGTTGGGTAGACCTGAACCGGGGCTTGGCTGTAAGCCTGGGGCTGGCGGTAGTTGTCATTGGCAGGGAAGCCGGAAAGGATGGGGGCGTCATTGTCGTCGCTCTGGCTAGTGGGGTAGCCGTAGGGGTAGGGCGCCTGGGGTAGTCTGCTGGGATCTTCCCGGCCACCCGACTCGGATGACGCTGGAGATGGCATCATTGGACGCGCCGGGGGGAGAGCGAGCTGAGGGATGCCGTTGGGGTCGGTCTTTTCGCTGTACGGGCTCATGGATGCCATGCTGTGGCTCGGGCGGAAGAGAGGGTTGCTTTCCGATGTGTTGAAGCCAGACATGTACGTCTCGCTCGTCGAGGCCATCGAGTACCGGTTGGACGGAAGGTGACTGGGATCAGCGTAACCCAAACACCAACTTACCTTCTCGGACTGCTAGAGCGCTGAACAACATCATACAACCCGCTATCCCTGCTCGCCGTCCCATTCTTCCACCTCCTCTCGCGCTCAAACTCGACCCAGCGCTTCATCACGATATCCCTCGAGTTGAACTGCCCCTGCTTGGCACCGTGCGCCTCCTCCTTGTGCTCTCCTACAATCTTTCTCGTCTCTCCCCAGGTAAAGTCGTCCATGTGCCAGTAGGCATATGCCGGGAGGACCAAGTTCCAGATGGGCAGCGAGAGGAGGTACATCAGCATCCACCCGACATAGGCGACCTTGCGGGAGGTGATGACGATGAGGACACCGGGGAGACCGAGGATAAAGGCGAGGAGGATAAGCGAGATGATGGGCTTCTCCATGCCGGTCACGCTTTGCGGGAGGATGGTGATGATCAAGATGTAGAGGGTGAAACTGATGGCGGCCGGGAGGACGAGGGTACCGACGAGATCCATAAAGACGACAAACTGCATGGAGAAGCAGAATGTCCCGCACAGGTCCCGGACGAGCATGAGCTCAAAGAGGTTGTGAACCGTCGAGTTGATCCACCGGCGACGCTGCGACAGCAGGATGCGGAACCGTTCCGGGACGACCGTTTTGCAGACCGCCTGGGGGCAAAAGACCATCTTCCGCTTGGGGAAGGTCTTGAGCATCAGGGTGGAAAGGTACCGGTCCTCGCCGAGAAGCAAGAGGTTCTTCTTGTGCAGGGTGTCGACGATGTTCTCCGAGTAATGTTCCACGATATCCGGGTTGGCGAGAATAGGCACCCAGTAGCCGCGGTCGCCCTTGGGCGCCTTGATCCGGTACATGGAGAAACATCCCGGAAGACAGGTGACACCGCCGAAGACCGACTCGAACGCCTTGGTCAAGTGGTGGGAAATGTAGTATTCAAAGACTATGGTCAGCTTTGCTTGGCGATAAACCCACCTTGAATCATCGTGACCCAGCTTTCCGACTTGTTGGCAATTTTGGTCTCTCCGCACAACCCCATGATCTCGGTGTCGTTCACCATGCACGCGTTCATGCGGGTGAGCGAGTCCGGGAACACCTTGGTGTCTGCATCGACACACAAGACCGTCTCGTACCGGTCCGGGGTGATGCCGGTGCACCGCCAGATAGCGTTGAAGAACTCATAGTCGAACGTGGTCATCCGCTCGTCAAACATGACCTTTTGCAAAAAGCTCATGAGGACGATCTGCGAGTCTCGCTTTCCGCGGTTTCCGGGCTTGGCGTCGTTCCGCTCCATGTCGTTCCCGACCTTGGCGACGAGCACCATGGGCACGCGCTGCTGCTTGCTCTGCTCGACGGTAGAGTCGTCATAATTGTAGAAGCCGGCATACACCTTGGCCTTGTTGTGTTTCTTGTGCCCGTCCGCGATGGCGACGTACGAGTGAGATTCCGTCTCCTCGGGCGCCTCGACGAGTTCCGTCATCATGCCGAGGACGATGTCCGGGGTGAACTGCTTGGAGCCTGATCCCTTGACCATCCCGTCACAAATAACGAGGAGCAATTTGTGACTGTTGGGATAGTCGGTCGTGGCTAGCGAGTCGAGCGTGGTCCGGAGACCGTCGATCGACTCTGAATAGGCGGTGACGAGGAGGATCGAGTGGGGAAGAGGGAAGCCAAAGGGCTCAAAGTCCGACGCGGGCTGCGGGACGACGTTGCCGAGGGGGAAGGGGCAGTTGCTAGCCTGGTCCGAGAGGGATTGATGCGATTCGTCGCGAAAGGGGAGGGAGGTGGACGACCGGCTGTTCCGCAGCATGGGCGAGCCGGGCGGAGTAAGCTTGTTGCCGTACATGCTCTGCTGACGCGAGCCCTTGTCGACGGCCAAGTTGTAGGCGGTAGTAGGCCGTCCCGCTCCGACCATCATTGGCTCAGCCTTGCTGAAGCGCGAAGTGGTGGGGAAGAAGACAGTCTTCCGACTCGCCTTGGCATTGGGCCGCATGTACCCCGGCGCCGCCTTGTAGATATCGTCCGTCCACTGCTCAATCTCCGCCGCCCGCTTCATCCGCTGCTGGTACGACTCTCCCTTGAAATTGCCCAGGCGCCAGCTGAGGAACCAGCCAAACACCACCGCCATTCCAAATTTGATGGCGACCGCGCCGAGAATGAACGCCAGCGAGACGTAGAGGACGATGGACGAGGCGACACATCCTATAGATGTCGAGTCGATGAAACCGACCTGGATGATATCCGCCAAGCAGTCGGCGTACTGGTTGAGCTCGGTCCGCTCGACGTAGCCGGTAATGTCTTTTCCGGCAAAGGTCGAGTTGCGGTTCTTGAGCGTGTCAAAGAATGAGGGGTACTGGACCTGGCCAGTGCCGAGCCAGTTCAAGAGGTCAAAGTCGAGAACGGCACTAAAGTCAGCGATGCCAAAGCTGAACTTACGATTTGTAGACACCCAAATTGCGGTTGCCTTGCGTGATCCGGTCCCAAGTATAGTAAATCTCGGCGATAGGTGTCTGTTGCGCGAGCGACTGCCGGCCTTTGGTCGTGGTGTGGCAATTGGTCGATCGCTCTACACCGGTAACGTTGGTGGGCATGGACGAGTTCTGCTGGTGCAGGTTGCAGGGGAAGTACCACCCCATCTCGCCCTGAGCATTGGTGTTGATCGCAGAGCCGGAAGCGGGTCGGATGACACCGTAGCACTTCTGGTTGACGCGCTGGAACAAGAAGCTGGCGTCTTTACCGCCGGCTTGGTATTGTTCCAGGTAGAGGGGGTTGGTCGAGCCGTTGAATGTGTTTCCGGCGGCGGGGTGGCGCCATTGCGAAAAGTCATACGCGTAACCGTTGATAATGAGTGTTCCGTTGTTGGCTTGGCCGCCGGCGATCCGCAGAGGCTGCGTACCGCAGACGGTCTGGGTGAAACCGAATGTAAAGAAACCGACGAGCGCCATCAAGCCAGCGACGATGCTGACCAGACCCATCTTCTCCCTCCACGCCCGCTGTGCGTCCGGTGTCTTTCGGCCAAACAGGCCTGAAAGGACAAAGCCGGGGATGCAGCACGTGAGGAGGAAGCAGTACACCATCCACCCGTCCTTTGGCCCGGGCGCAAAGTCACCGAGACACCCGCAGGCGCCATCGCTCGTGCCCGCTGGCGCAGCGACCCGGTTGCTCTGCACAGCATTTGGCGCCTGCTGTTGTCGAGCCGCCTGGGACGCGCGTCGACGAATGGTGTTGCGCTTGAAGATGTTCATGCCGGGTTCGGGCTGATCGGAGTCGCGCGCGAGAAGCGATTTGCCTCTGCGTAGGCCTGGTGCACCAGCTCCGACAGGTTGGTTTCCGGTAGCTATCATCAGCTCGTCCTCGGGATCAACTCACAGCTCGGCATGACCGTCATCCCATCCTCTGCTGCGTGCTCCCGATAATGCCACAACCGATGGCCGGGATCGATCCGCTCCCTCTCCGGCTTGACCATCGACTTTTTCCGCCTCACATCCGCGCCTGCACCCGAGAAGCCCGGCTGGGCGCCCGCATCAACATAATCGCCTTGATAGCCTAGTGTTGGCTCGTTGGGCGAGAAGGCGGAACTGGAAGAGAGGGATGATTTTGATGGACCGCCTTTAGCTGGTGGTCGAGGGGGAAGCTCATTGGCGCGGCGGGAGGGAGGAGTAGGGAGATTGTCGGAGAAGGATACGTTGGAGGTGGGGCCTTGTGGGCGAGACATCGTAGGGTATGGTATTGTCTAGCTGGGCATAATCGAGGAAAGGGTTCTGCTTTTGTCAGTCAGCAATTCCTTGAGGCCTCTTCTCATTTGACAAGATCGTCAACGCACCTATAGGACGAGCTGAACGCGAAATGCGGTGCTCCTGAAGATCGAAGCGGGTGTTTACGGCTGGCTCCAGCTGTAAGGTTCGACGACCGATTGCGCGGGGTCGGGTTGAGCGTAGCGGGCAATTTCTACGCGCGTGCTCGATAGCTGTACGTCTGCTGATAGACACCCGCGGCTGGGACGTCTAACGTGCTCTAGATGGGGTATGGAGGGTATGAGGAGGGCAGCAAGACAGGAGGAACCAGCGGCGAACCAAGCAAACCTCAAGCAACGGAAAGCGGGATAGAATAGGTTCCGCTAATACAAAAAAGAGGGCTCAGGGTGTTTCCTATCAAGGCTATTTAGTAATCAAGGGTAGATGTGTTTCAGGGTGGATAGCGTCAATGACGCAACCGCCTTGTCCCAGCTTGCACGCCTATTGTACCTGCTGCGGACGCGTTTCAGCTGCACAAAAGGGAAATAGGCTCGACCAATGGATGTGGCCGCGGCTGATGGCTGTTGGCCCAAGCCAAGTCCAAGCCTTTCAACCATACATCATCCCTGGCGAAGGAGCGGTCATAAACACTAGGCAAGGCAGGCGGACTGCTCCTCACCGTCATCGCTCACAGCTGACGTCGACTAATCTCGAAGGCCCACCTGGTGATGTGCCACTTTGCCACCCAACCTACTCACCCTTGCCACCGCCCAAGACGGGGCTGGTCACCTCTACTGCCTCAAAGGCATAACCCCCAATCTCCGATAGTCGCACTCGAGGAGGTCGCACACATGCGCCACCAACAGGTACTAACAGGGGTCCGCTCCCCAGTCCATCGGCCTCTCGACTCCGCCTCCCTGTCGACGACACTCCTATCCGGAACCCTCCGCCTATGCCACCTCCCCGTATAGCAATCTTTCTTCCGACGGTCCGAGTTGTGTCACCTCCCAGCACAACATCTCTCATCCAACAACTACTACCCATCTATCGGAAATCTACAATAACAACATCAATCGGAGGATCGGATCGGTGCCCTGACAGAAAAACAACAAAAAGAACCAAAAAAAATCTTTTTGCTTCTCAACATGCCTGAGACTCCGCTGAGAGCAGGCCAGCGTGTGGTGTCGAGGAGTTCTATCTGGGGTATTGGTCCCCCCTTACCCCCTGGTACTGGGCGGCTCGGCATCGGAGGCGTCTCGAGGTGCCGAGAGATTCCATGCCGTTCCAGCAATCATCATCAGCCGTTAGGCGGACTTTGCCACATCATCTAAAATGAACATCACATGCACCTGTACAACGTGTATCACTAAAGCTACAACTGCTACGTGTATAGACACAATGTAAATCTAGACTAGACCCAATCCGCAAGCCGCCACACCACCGGCAAGCGACTAACCACTCCTTTTACAATCCCTCGAACTATACCCCGCCGCATCTCAGCTTCAAACGCCCGGTCCTCGCTCGCTTGATCCCGCAGTACCACCTCCTTCCCACTCGGCACCAAATGCAGGTTGAAGCTAGGTATATACTTTCTAGCGGGGACCCAGAGCCAGCTCCGAGGCTCGCTCCAGGCGAGGTAGAGCTCGACGTGCGGGATGGTCAGCGAGAGCGGATCCGATCGGGATTGGCGAGCGATCCCAGCGAGGAGGGTGACGGCGAACTTGTCTTCGTCTGCGGGAGGAGGGGATGACGCAGTAGTCAAACGATAGGTCTGGCCGGGAGCGGATTTGCGGGGCGCGTAGGGAGGGATGTAGACTGTTCCGTCCGATGGCTGCGCATCCGCGGGGTTACTGATAAGCTCAGAAGGAATCTGCGCGGCCTCGACCTCATCGTCGGTAATCTCGTTGAGCTTTGGTGTCAACTTCGGCTCATTGACGTATGAATTTGACTCACAACAGTGTCCAAGCTGGATCGGGGTTTGCTCTCCGCAATCCCCGTCAATTCTAGCTCGGACCCCGCAGCATCCGCCTCCTCTCTCTCGACCGCCGCCGTCTCGACAACCTTGGCTTCCTGGTCCCCATCTTCCGCAGAGACCGACGCATCTTCTAATGGGACGGGACGATCGGCACCCGTAGCGGCGCTCGGATGCGGTGCAGGAGACGGGACAGCGGATGGTTCGGGCTCGGTTTCCGTCGCGTCATCATGATGCGAGTCCCGATCGTCGGTTGAGGTCTGATCGACTGCGAGGGGAGACAGAAGTCTGTCCGCCGCTGGCTCCGCTGGGGATTCGCCGATACTGCCGACCATACTGTGTACGCGCGGCTGTGCTGAGACGAGAACAGCGGATCGTGCCGACGCCGGCTGAACACGGACGGTAGTCTGAACGTGAGCGAGAATAACAGGAGAGGGAATGATACGCGACTTACTTCAGTCTTCGATACCGGGATTACTGCTGATCCGACCGGCACGTCTGACGATTGCACTGCTCGTGCCTCCTTCGCCCCTAACGCGGACATGTCCTCTATCGTCCCATTGTCCTGTCTGTCCGACTCCTGCTTCTCCTCCACCGACGCAACCGAAGATTTCGCCACTTCGTCTTCCTTGGACTCAGATGTCTGGCTCTTCTCGACCGGCTCCACTTCCTCCTCTGTCGACTGCTGCTTCTCCCCGATCGGAATATCTACAGTCTGCGCAGCCTGAAACTCTTCCGCTCCAACTCCTTCGCGAGAAGAAGGATCCCCACGTACAGGTCCGTCCGCGACTTCCTCCTCGCCACCTTTCCCCTCCAACTTGCCTCCCGGCATCTGCGCCTTAATCACACCCGCTTCTCCTGGCTGATCTACATCTGTCGCGCCGAGATCATCCCCGCCGGCTGCTCCGTCGGTGCTGCCGCCTCCGATGTCCTGCGCGTTGGGCGATATACGTCCAGAGGACGAGTCATCGACGGGCTGAAATGGTGTAAAGACCGGCGCACCAGCTTCCTTCGGAGACGGCTGCTCGATCGAGTTCCGGTAGAACAGCTTGTGGCCGCGCGTTGTGTCTGACTCAACGCTACCCTCTCTTGAACTGCCCGCTCGCTCCTCCCCTCGGGAAGGCGCCGTGGAGCGTTCCGATGTCCCGCCGCTATTATGGTCCAGGCCGGGAAGCGTGTCATCCGCGCCGAGCTGATCATGGCCAGCCGCTTCCCCCGACGCTTCTCCGCCCACCTGGATTACGCCCTTCTCCAACATGGAAGCCGCTGCCTTGTCATCCGCCGTGGTGTCCGCTGCAGCTTTGTCCGACTGGGCAACGTGCGAGAAGTACGAGCCCACGGATGGTCTGGCGGTCGGAAAGTGGATAGGCGGACCGAGGTCGCTCAGGTACGACATGGGTCTTGGTCGACTTCCCTCTCCGCCGCTGAAGGAATGGTATTTCCTCTCCCTCTCGCTCTCCTCCGATTCCCCCATGACCGTCGTCAAGGAGGACCGGGGTGACATGCTGGCCCTGGATTTGTGCGGTCGACCCAGACTCGACGTCTTGGTAGATACCGCTCGACCTGGAGGAGGCACGAACGAGACGACCCGACCAGATGTCGAGCGTACGACCGTGGGCTGCTGAAGCCTGGGCATCGAATTGGAGTTGGAAAGAGCCGACGGATTCGGCATGGATACGCGGGACGGCCGAGCGCTCTGAGGTGTCCGAGGCCCAGATATGTCGAAACGGTCCGGAGGAGTAGCGAAACCGGATGTACGCCCTGACCGTCTGCCGAGCGACGATGTGTGGAGCGAAGCGTTGTCCGAATCGGCGTTGTTGGCAAGTGTTGCGAGGATAGACGCCGATCCGAGCGGTGGCGATGACGACGACGTGCTGGATAAGGATCCGCTGCTGGCAAGTCAGTAAAGCCCTGCTCAATAGCCTACCTCATGGACCTGACCATCGTCAGACTATCCCTCGTAGCTGCCAGCTCCGCAGTGACTGTGGTCCTATCCACCTCTCCCGGCTGCCCCACTCGGCTCGTCTTCCTGCTCCTCTGCTCCCTTCCCCCAAATCCAAATATGTCCTCCGCGATCTCATGTCGAGGCATACCGTCGTAGCCGCCCCGATAGACCTCTGGCGTTCCAGGCAGACCAAAGATGTTGAAGCTCCTTGAATCGGACAGGCTTGGGCTTGCAGGCACCGCCGCGCCGAGGAAGAGTGAGGGCGGGCGCGAGGCGGTATGTATATTCTCACGAGGAGGAGAGGGTGAGAAGGGGCGGGAGGGATGAGAAGCGGTATCTTGTGCGGGTAGGGCGATGCTCTGCGGGGTCGTCGGTGCCGACATGGGAAGGTAGGGTATCAGGGGTATAGGTAGGTGAAAGATGTAGGCGTCGATAAGCGGACTGGCTATCTTGGATAGCCGCTTGCGGTCCGCGAGAGAGACACAATGTCTCAGTGTATGATAGTAACAGAGCGATCAGAGCAAAGGTACAAAGAAGAGGATGAAAAGTCGTGCCCAGAGACCTCATGGTCGTCATGCGGAGCCCCACACAACATCCTCATTCCGCATTCGGATAAATCTCCGGCGGCCCAGGCAAAGACAGCTGGGGCTGATACACCTATTCATACTCTATACCTCGTGTCAGCTCTCGACCGAGAGGGGTGAAGGGCTGACAATCAGCGAGCACCGTCGATTTCTGGTTCAGCCATGCGTTATGAAGAAACGTCAAGGGCCCTACTCGCCGGACCGGCGCTCCTAATCATTGACAGCCGGACGGGCGGACCCCAAGCGCTGTACAGCACTGCGATTGACCGACTGAGGCTCTATCATCTCTGATGAGCTGGCTAGAGACGGTGGATCACCACATCTCTGACTCTGCGCCAACGCACGCCCCCGAAGGACGGCTTGTGTGCACTAATTCAGCTATCGCCCGCTGTTCCTGGGACCTGGAGGCTGTCTCAATGTACTGATTCATCCTCGAAATAGTTTTTTGCTCTCTGCATCATGACAAGACTCATCATGAGGGATCAGTCTCAAACTACAGGTGCATGCCCTGCGCCCCAGACGGGCCCATCACCCTTCTCTCCTCACAATACCTGCGTTCAAGCCGAGCACTGGCTGACCTCAACCCGGCAGAGCATCCTCGACAAGGGCTGGGCGGATTACGGGAGGTGGGTCGACGGAGATGAAGAGCTACGCGCTCCTCTGTACCACCAGCCTTGGGATGCGGAGCGTATCGAGGAGTGGCACCGAGTCCGAAGCCTGATCTGGCATTCGCTCCCCGCCGAGCTCTCTCGTCAGCCAGAGGTCATCGCCATCGTCGGTCCGGACGCACCCCTCTGCTCAGACTTGCATCAAGTCTTGGAGCAGATACACGGTCGGCTGCTGTGGGAGCTAGTGAGTCCTGATACGTGCGTAGCTGACAGCAGAGTCCCAAGGAAGCTTCCTCGCGCTGCATGCACCAAAAGAATATCCATCCTCCTGGGGAGCCCGTCCGTCCTTTACCGCAACATCACGCCTCGCAACCGGTCGGTCTCGGCCTCGCTCGCACTTCCGGACGCATCATCGACACGCCGATCTCGCGGATCGTCGGCAGCACGGCGGTCGGGGCTATCTCATCAGCCATCGGTCTACCCCCACTTATCCCAAGTCGAGCTACGGAGGGGCGTGAAGCTCTCCATCCACATCCAGGACGTCGTCTGCTGCGCTCCAAAGCCGTATCGGGAGCAGCTCCGCAAGATCTTGGTCTCGGTCGGCGACGATCTCAATCCTGCTTGCCATACCTGCCCGCTCGGGAGCGGGACCTACAGTCCCTTCGCGTACTCCAGGCCGGTACGCGGGTCCTGCAGGAGATAGCGGACGGGTACGATCAGCGTCACTTCATCATCCCCGACATCCACCCCAGCCACCGCCTTCAGCTATGCGATGGCTCCTTCACGGCGGCCAAGCTCGTCCTCATGCTACACTGGAGCTCTCTCCACGACGACAACCTCATCCTCTCCTCCGAGGCATTCACTACCGTCCTACTGCGGCAATTCGGCCTTCTCCCGCCCGAGGAATCGGGGCTGCGTCAGCTCGCAGCTCTCAACCTTTTCCCCATCCAGGCCACCGCGCATTCGAAAGCGGATGATATCGCCTGCCCAAAAGTCGATGGGACGGAGCTGCCATACCCAGCAGTCTGCCTAGATCGGTTCAAAGCGGATCGGCTTGACATGATTGTCCAGTCCATCAAGACGGGCAACAGACAGATATTTGCCCTTTTTGGCAAGAAGAGGAACGAGGAGATCGTGGCGGGCGTCATGGACAGGTTGGGGGATTCTTACAGTCGGTACTCCTTCAAGGTGGCGGTACCGATGCTGCTGGACTGGGAGATGGGGATCGAGGGAGTCGGCTTGTCGGTGGTCAAGCAGTCCCTCCTCGGTCGGAATACTATCAAGGCGGACGAGCACATCATCCGGAATCCGGACTCGCTCTTCAGCATCGAGGAGCGGCTCGCTCATCATGCGGCGAATCGTCCTTCGGTCGGCATCGACTTTGACCTGATTGTTCAGGGTGGTGATATTCGGACGGTCCTCGTCCGGCCACCTCATCCTTCCTGCTGCGGTTACAGCAATACGTCTCGCCTCATCGCGCAAAGCCTAGACTTTACCTGCCAATTTCTGGCTGGTCTCCTGGACGGGTCTTTGCTGAATCGACCATCCTCTCCACCCGTGGTGCTCCACTTTCCCCACTCTACCGTCCGTGCTGCAGTGGCTGTGGACACCCAATTTCGGGGTGTTGCTGCTCTTCAGCCAGATTCCTCTAGGTACAAAGGCGCCCTCGTCGACCGACTTCGTATGGAAATCGGTCTTCACCCTGGGCCAGACAGTACCGCTACGCCTTTCGACCTGGCGAATTTACCAAGCTGCCTCCGGCATGACATCTTCCGTCATGGCGTCGCTGCGGTCGTCCCAACACCAAAGATCTCAACATTATCCTGGCGCGACGCCCCTCGTATCGCTCTCGCAAATCTCAGCTCCATATACGCGGACGAAAGAAAAGGAGCAAAAACACTGCGCCGGTCACGGCGGCATGGCCATGCGGACCAGAGCGGACCAGCGCAGTCGGCGCGCTCAAGCCTGGACTGGCGACTCGCGCCTTCACGTTCACGTCGACCCAGTCCCCTACGTACACGGCACGATCGCTGCTGGTCGGTTCCCGCTACGGGTGGAGACTGAAGGCGTTGCAGCGTATCAGGCGTTTCCTCTGGTGGAGGAGAAGCTGACGAGGGGAAGTAGCTGTAACACCAGGCAGCATGTCCATACCACGCAGGCAAGTACCACATAAATCAGGTTTAGTCTCAACATCTGCTATACATCTTCTAGACTCGCTTGTGGCACGAACAGAGAGTATGCTGAGGGGCCAAACATAGCGCTTGGACACCATCCTGTGCTTCTGTGTCCTTTCTGACGCACTGACCGCCGCCGCGTTAACCTTCGGACATCGTCTCGCCGCCCCAAGTGGCTGACATGCTGACCATTGCCTTTCATCCTCCAACACTACACGTTCTCCCACCATGCCGCGAGGATCAATATCCGGTACCCTCGCACCGCTACAGCTCGATCCGCAGTTTGGTATTGGGGACTTCTCGCTTGTATCTTCCGACAGGTATATCTTTCGAGTCTTCAGCGATGCTATCTTGAGCAAAGGGTAAGTGGGTCTCCATCCGCTGGGGTAACAAGAGACTACACTTTTCAGCGCCACTGATGGATGGTTTCCGTATGAGTCTGTCCCAAGGCTGACCCGCGCAGGAACACCGCTCTCTCCGGCGCCATCAACACCTGCCTCCTCATCCCCGACACGACCTCTTCCATCGAATTCGACCAGCCCTCGCCTGTCCTGCGCCACTTTTTGAACGCCTTCCTGCACTCGCGCATCCCCGCAGCCTCTTCCCTCCCTGCCGACACATACCAAGCCCTCATTCTCTTCGCTACCAGTCTCAAAGCTACGCCGGTCATCAACCTCCTCAAGCCCCTCCTGCCCGCATACCTAAAACGGAAGCGCGCCGACCCGTACAATATCTTTCGGTCCGCCATCGCCGTAGGAGACTGGCAGATCGCAGGCGAGGCGATGGCCAAGCAGTCCAAGGACTTTTACTGGATGCGCGACAAGTCCGTTAGAGGTCCGGGAGACTTGGCGTTGGGATGTAAAGTCGGGACGTTCGACGTCGACCCCGCGGGACTACCGTACCATTTCTGGATGGAGTTGCCGAAAAAGGTCACGTGGGCGATGGTCAGGGCTTGCGCAGAGAAGAAGGACTGGAAAGAGCGGGGCGAGAAGTTCACTCAGCTCATGATATACATCGAAAGTAAGCTCGAGGGATTGCGCGACCGAGAGTCCTCAAGCTGATGATGTCAGACCGGGACAAGATCTTCCCTCAGTACGTCGACATGGAGGACGACGACGACGCTGCGGATTCGACCCCGGACGCAGGGCCCGGCCCCGGTAGCTACGACTCTTCTTCCGACACCGACGAAGCAAGCGCTGCGATCGCTCCGCTAGCGTCTCAAATCATGTCGCAAGGCTCAGTCCTCAATTCGCCGCCCAATCTCGGCCGGTCCGCCCGAGTCCGTCTTCGCGTGCAAGAACCGCTCTTCTTACCTGCCGAGCCAGTAACACCAACCAGGGGCCGGGTGCTGAGTGATGACTCGTCCCAGGGCGCTGACCTGTTCAAGAGGAGGTAAGGTAGGGAGGGACCAAACAGCAGTGTCTTGTAAAATCTTGTAAGGGTATTCGAGTATTGAGTGATTCCATGAAATGGTATCAGCATCCATCAGAGCGTTCCGCTTCAGCTGCCACGCCCGTACCCCTCAGCATCGACATATCTATCTCTCTAGGCGCTATGCTTACGCCAAAAACTTCTCCAGACTCTTCCTCGCCCCCGCATCCGCCTTCTCCCAGTACGGTCCCAGACCGACCGCCTGGGTCCGTTGTAAGCAGTCGATAATGTACGCCTTGATCGGGATGGCAAAGGCGGGATCCGTGTCTTCCACCTGAAGTCGTCGAGCGCCTTCTGAGGTGCCTGAGACCATCAGCTTCGCCCCCAAGCACCGATGACGCGATAGAAACTCACCGTCTATCTCGGCCCATTCTGTCGAATGCTCGTCCTTCCAAGAGCGGACAGATGGTCTGACCGATCAGCTCAGGTCCTGACCATGACGGCGTGGCGCAGACTTGATAGCTTACTCTGTGCCGCCTCCATCCTCCTGAGACGCCTGTACTTCTCCTAAAACATCGAGGAAGATGTTCACTGCCCGTGTCAGCCATTGAAAACCACTTGTGTCCGAGCAGGAGACTCACTAAACTCCCCATCGAGCCGTTCCAAACATTGCTGATGTCCCTGCAAATCAGCCTTGCCCCCCAATCTCCCATCGAGCACAACTCACAGTGGTCAACAGCGACCCAGCAGCCATCGCAATAGCCTTCCGACTCCTCGCATCCGCGACATAATCAAAGTTCCGCCACATCGCATCTAGTGTCTCCTCTAGCGTCTTGTGCCCATCCCGATTCTCCATCCTCGCTATCTCCGCCACCATCTGCAAGAAGACTGCCGGGTCGGACATCGCTAGGCGCGCGAGCACTTCCAGGTGCGCGGCGAGCACAAGACCCGCCGCCTTGTCGTCTTCCAGCGCGTGTAGGGTGAAGGTGAAGAGACCTGAGGTGATTAGGAGGGGAGCGAGGATGGCGATGGGGGCGGTCCGAACGAGGAGGGCGAGGGTGGAGAGGAGGCGTTTGGAATTGTCGACATTGCGCTTGGCCCATGTCAAGCCTGTTTGTAGGGCGGTGCAGATTGCCGCACCATGCAGCTATTATCTTAGCCTAGTCGAGTACAATCATCAATACGGCTCACCTGCAGAATCCCAGGCGCGTCGAGGAGGATATACGAGTCCAATAGCTTGAGGAAGGACATCATCAAGTCGAAATTGCTCTCCAAACCAACAGTGAGACCAGGCAACAGGCGTATTAAGCCAGTCTCGCGAGTTGGCTGATACAGTGAAGTGCAGTTATACATACCTGCCTGCCATCTGCCATGTCAGCTCATGCCTCTCGCATCGGCGCTGCCACTGACAGGTCGATCCCATCCTCCTCGAAAAAGTCCTTCGCGGGCGACTGCAGACTCTCCTCGATGAGCGGAATGACCAGCTCCATCAGATTACCGGATGATCCCTTGGCAGCCTGCCCGTCAGCGCAGATCAAGTCAGCATATCGAAAACTCACCTTGACGATGTTGGTCGTAAGGGTAACCAAAGACGCTTTGAAGAGCCATTCCCCTTCTAAACCGCCAGCGCCATGCCAGAGTCCGGGAATAGCCTGAGCTAATGTTGGGAGGTATGGCATGATCTGCCTTGTAAGTTACCGTGTATCACATCTGGATCCGGATCAACTTACTTTTCCCTCGACGCGTTCAATGACAACGCTGATGGTCTCGTTGAGATACCTCTTGCCGCCAAGTGTCGAAGCTTCGCCCATGAGGTTGATGCTGCTGATGAGCCCCGTTTAAGACATCTTAGAGGTATGCTTACAGCTGAGTCACAGTCTGTTCCAGATACGGCTCGAAATATACAATCTCCAATTCCCACAACTAAAGCATTAGCTAAGCCGGAAGCTGTCTCGGGTGGCTACTTACATCGACACACTCCTTGATGGCGATAGCTGAGCTGAGCCGTACGGCCATATCGCTAGCCTCTCCGCGCTCCGCAATGAGGTGAATGAGGGTCTGCCAAACTATCGGGAGTTTCGCGCACTCTTCATCGGACGAGACCCATTGACCGATAAGCCAGGCAAGGCGTCGTTTCAGTATCCGATGCCTTCAAGGTCAGCTGCTGCTCAGGGGGGCCTTTCAGAGCTTAGCTCACAGTGGTATTCCTTGAGTAAGCCACGACGAGGTGTGGGTAAGGAAGGCATTGAAGTCGAGACCGCCATATGTGCTCAAAGATCGACTGAGACGGCCAAGAGCGCAGTAGACGGCTTCCCGGCGAAGGATCGCTCGAAGATCGTCCGGTGGCAACGCTACCTGGTCAGCTGGGCGCCTAAGGTAGGATTTGGGTACTCACTCTCAGCCTGGTGGAACACCTTGAGCATTTCAGGCTCCATGACTTTCTGCTCGGCCGGAAAGGACCGACAAGCATTGTTGAGGGCCATAAGGACCCTTTCCGCGCAGGGCTAGATCCGTCAGCTGCGCCCTCAGATCGGGGTGACTTAGCTTACGCGGAACTCAAACTGCCAGGCCTCCTCATCTACGCTCTCCGAGATCAGCCATTCCTCTGGCTCGTCCTCCAGCCCCTCGAGGTCGGTCGATGTCAGCGGTAAGAGCTTGTCGATGAGGAGATGTAGGGCCGACAGAACGAAATCGCGAGTAAAGACTGGTCGTCAGTTCAAGTCGCCTAATGAATTGAAACGTGACTAACTAGCCGGATGTTCAGCTGAAAGTATAGGCAGAATATCCTTGAACAGCAGCATGCCCAGCAGGAGGAAGCGTTTAGGGTATGCAACGTCATCCGTATCTGCCTATCAGTTTTCGACCGGCACCTAGACTCACCTTCATTCGCGACAGCTCCATCACTTCCAGCCACCACGCCTCCCACCTCGCCCCACCACCATCCTATTCCCGATGTCACACCCTCCATTGCGCAGAATCGTTTTGGATCAATCCCAATCATCGTTCTCCACCACTTCCCAGTAGCACGCAAGTGCTTGAGCAACGAATGGAGTAACTTCGCTCTGTCAGCGCCGGCGGGAGGGCTATCAGCGTTGTAGATGACGCGAAGGCGGTGGGCGTGGAGTATGGGAGCGTGGGCAGCGGTGTGCTGGACGAGTCCTTGTATCTAGACTATCAGCTACTGTCCGAAGGGTACACACTTGATGGCAAACTTACACGTTGGATCCCCTCGGGCATCTGTAGGTTCTGAGCCTTGCTCCAATGCCATTGACCGAACCGAGCGAGGATTCTGGACGATCAGTAACGACATTCAGTAGTCTGTCCGCGCAGACCTACTTGAAGGCATATCGACCCGCTTCGCTGATCACCCAATCATCCAGACCATTCCTCTCCCTTTCAGACCAGATACCCAGCATCCTCCCTACCGGTTCTGCGAATGTATCCTCCAGCATCCGCATTACCTCCTGGCCCGAAGCGATCTTGACCGAGCGCCATTCCTTGACGAGGGCGTTAATGGTCCATACGGTATTGAGGAGGACAGTAGCGGTGGAAGAAGATGTTCCAGAGGCTGTGAGTTGGGAGAGCGAAGTGAGGAGCGGATTGAGCAGGAGCTGAGGGAGGTTGGGAAAGATGCGAGGGAGTTCGATACGCGAGACAGAGACCAGGAGTGAGAGCTGAGGGCGAGCGATCTGCCGCGTCAGGTGCGGCCGGATTTCAATGATGGAAGACTTCTACCTGAAAGTCTTCCTCCTCCAGAAAGGAGAAAAGACGCTGCCTCGCATCTGGCTTGCGAGCTTCCGGTACAAGGCTGGCATATTAGCTCGAGCCCAGGCAGTAGTGTGCAGAACTTACGTCTTGACTCTCCACTTGGTCTTCAGCTCCCGGCCTGATATGATGGAAGCCAGCAGACGTTCTGGCTGTGACAGAGTGCGGTCCGCAGCAAGCTCCTGTAGAGCTAGGAAGAACTCTGAAAAGGGATAAGCTGGGAGTATTGGCGGTCGGATGACCAGAACTTACCGGGCTCCTTGTACAGGTCTCTCAGTGTCTGCTGGTCTGACGCATAGCTCTGATTGGAAGTCGGGTATGAGACCGAGTGGACGAGGCCTCTTAGACCTTGAGCTGACCCGTTCATCATAGATAGATGTATGGGAGATGTCAAAGAGGTAGAGTTGACTTTCTTTGCCCTCATCCAGCGCGACTCTCTTCCGATGGAAACTCTGAAACACTATCACATTCCTCAGTCTCAGAGAAATCCACGTCACCCGCACCCAGCCCAGCCCGAGCTCACTGCTAATTTCAGCAATACTGTCTGTATCACCTCTTCTCATAGCCTAGCAAGCAGCCTTCCTCAGTGTCATTCAGTCGAACGCTCATCGTCTGATCCCAGCAAATTAATACTGGCGAAAGAATCGGCCCGACAGCCAATCAGCTGTCTAACCCCCAACCCGACCGACCATCTGCTTCAAGATGTTCCACTCAAAAGTCCACATAGAGGAAGGGGATCTAGTCATCCTGTACATGGTGAGTGGGACCTTCTTCATCTCTGTCTGGACGACTATCTGACAGCCACAGGTACGGGACGACATGACTGCCATCACCATCAAGAAGGGCCAGGTCTTGCACAACAAATTCGGACGATACCGCCATGAAGACATGATCGGTATGAAGTACGGCTCCAAGGTGGGTCTGAGAGGCTCTTATCATTCCAATCTTTTAGCTGAAACTGGCAGATGCACTCCCCTCCCCCTCAGTCAGGCTACGTCTACCTCCTCCGCCCTACACCAGAACTATGGACATTATCCCTCCCACATCGGACGCAGATCCTATACATGACCGATATCGCATACATCATCATGCGCCTGGGCGTGCGTGTCGGTGGGAAGGTCATTGAAGCGGGAACGGGCAGTGGGAGCATGACGCATTCGCTGTCAAGAGCTGTAGGCAAGAAGGGGCAGGTGGGGAGTTACGAGTACCATGCTCCAAGATGCGAGAAGGCGAGGTAAGTCTGGCTGCTCTTTGTAAAGTTTATGTGCTGATCTTCAGAGCGGAGTTTGAGGAGCACGGCTTGACCAATGTCCAATTACAACATCGGAACGTCTGTAAGGACGGCTTTGGTGATATCGAGAATGTGGAATCAGGTGAGCAGGATTACCGAATCTGACTTAATCAAGCTGATCTGCTAGTCTTCCTTGACCTGCCCGCACCATGGGAAGCAATACCACACGCTATCAAAGTGCTTCGGCCTGACGTTATTACCAAAATCTGCTGCTTCTCGCCATGTCTTGAGCAGGTCCTGAAGACCGTTTCGACACTACGGGAATACGGCTTCTCGGGTGCGTCTGCCCTTTTGGACCCAATGGCGCCGGGCTGATGATCAGATATATCCACCCAAGAGGTCCTCACTCGCACACACGAATTACAACCCCCACCCCTCCCCGGCTCAAACCACCTCCGCTCCATCGACGACATTGTCATCGGCCTCCACGCGCACGAGAAGAAGAAGGAAGAACGGCGCTTGTTACAGATGAAAACGGCGCGGGAGAAGGCGGCGCGGATAAGAGAAGAGCGAGCGAGAGCTGAGGATCCAGAAGGTACGGGAGTGGCGGCGGCGCTGGCAGAGATGCTGAACGAGGAGCTGGCGAAGGATACGGTGAACGCGGGTGCAGAGGCAGAGACTGGGGCGGCAGTGGAGCAGGGAAAGAAGCGGAAAGCGGACGAGGCGAGCGCGGTGTCAGAGGCGGTACCGGCAAAGCGGACCAAGGCGGACGCGACAGCATCCGAAGCGGACCTTTTGCTCGCTGTCAGCAACGCACCTGCGCCTGTGCCCAATGCGTTGTCGGAGGAGGAGACACCCGCCGCTTCATCCAGTAAACCCCAGTCGCCCAGATCCTCTCTACCCGAGAATACCCTATCATCACAAGTCCTCCTTCGCGTCTCACCGGAAATGCGCGGTCATACTTCCTACCTCACATTTGCGACATTCTACCCCGCTGCCGTCCGGGAGGCAATGGCGAACCAGGGAGGATCATCGACCAAGCCGGCATCACCGGCGGCAACGGTGGAGAAGGAACCGAAGGCGCCGAAAAAGCCCAAGGAGCCAAAGGAGCCAAAGGAGAACGCGGCGGCTGGGCCCAGTAAGAAGAAGAAGTCGACGGTGGCTCCTCCTCCACAAGCGGGGGCGGGGGCGCTGGAAACACCTGCTACTGAGGAGGCCGCAGTGGCAGCTACGCAAACGACGGAGACTGAGACGGAATACGGGGACCCGACGCTGGACAATATAGTGGGGACGTTGACCGAGGAGGAGCTCATTGCCTTCATGGGGGCATGAGCTGCTCTTGGCGGTCGAGGAGGCGTGCGGATGCATCCTCGTTGCTTGTGTCGTTGCACAGACGTCCGATACCGGCACAATCCGGTGAGGGCAAGTAGATGAGGTCAGAGTCCTGTAAGGGTTCTCGGGCTTGTGGCAACACGCATCACCTACCTCCAGACACCAAAGAAACTCTGAAACTCTATACTTTGCATTCTTTCAAGAGGAGCCTTCTGATCTATTGCTTCACCTGACTAAGCCCCAGACCCGCCTGCTCCCATATTACTAGTCGTACCCAAGATCCCTGCCTCATCAGCTCCCTTCCATGTCTTGATCAGCGCCGCGAAAGGGACTCACCATCAATCAAAGCATTCCAATACTCGTCCGCATTCTCTCCACTTCCCGCCGCGCCCAAAACGGGGATATCCCCCATTCCCATCCCCATCGATCCGAGCCCATACCCCGCTGCTCCACCTACGCCGAGCCCCATACCCATGCCCATGCCCATGCCCATAGGCACATTCATCCCTGGATCAAACATCATTTCTCCGGATACATGGCCGTGTCCATGTCCGTGCCCGCCGTGTCCGAGATTAGCGTTACCGATGGGCATGTCCAGATTCATATCACTGATCGGCATGGACGATGGTCCGGCGCCGTATGTCGCCTGCGGGCCCATGCCGCCCATGCTGTATGAAGACTGGGGAACGCCGCCGTCCCACGACATCCGGCTTGGTAGGGGCGGGGCCATAGGTGTTCCGGGATGCGAGAGCGGTGGTCGCATACCCATCGGACCTGGGACAGGCGGGGGTGCCATGGGCGCGTACGAGCCCTGTGTGAGGGGATCGAGCGGGAAGGGACCGGTCAGAGATCCAACCGCAAGCGACGAGTTGGCATTGAGCCAGTGGTCCAGCCTGGACATCAGCATGGATTGTCTTCGCGGTAGATATGCCACTCACATCCGCTGGGAATCGTCCTCATGGACGCTACTTCCCGGACTGACCCTCCCCTCCCCGTTGTTATTGTTGATCAGGTGCGCCCAGCCCTTGTGGCCATTCGTCGCTGGACCAGGCATCGGGGTTGGAGGTGCAGTATTGTCCTCGCGTAAACCAAGGAGAAGTCCTACCGAGTCGCGCTCGGGCGGAGACAGCTCGCCTGGGCCAAACGATTTCTCATAGATTTGCGCAGCGCGTCTCGAGAGAGTTTGGATCTGACAATATCAGCTCACCTTCACTTACTAGCCCAGGATGACAGCTTACAATCCTGACTTCCTTCCTCGTCGTCTCGTCCTTATTCTTGACGACCGCCCACGGGTTGAGCTCCAAGAACGTCCCTAGAATCCGTCGCATCGTATCACCATCTGGACCCCTCGGGTCGATGATCGCCGAGATACCAGCAATCATGGCCGAGTTGAACATCTTGAACTGGCCCTGCGATTGGTAGACCTTGTGGTCGGGCACAGTCTTGTAGTGTTCAGTTCGGAGAGCAAAGTCGAGTTTGGCCATCTCGAAGCAGGCTGTACGGGAAGCCTAGCTTGTCAGCTTAAGTAACTAGACTCTGGTGGAGCGACTACTAAGCTTACGGCGTATCGGTTGCTAGACAGTCTGCGGAGGAGCCAGGGGCGCTGGAGCGTCAATTGCCATCCCTCTGTATACTCATCAAGAAGGATGCTCACATGCAGGATGATGGTAGTCATGATGATCTCGGACAAGAGCGAGAATCGATGAACAGGCAACCAGAACAGACCTGGCTATCAGCCTTCTCTCTCCATCTCCACTGCAGACTGCTGCGCTTACTCTCATCCAGACTCTTATCCGGATCGTACATCCTGAAACACCCCGGCAGACCGTCAATAAACCGATCCATCTCCACCTGGAGCGCCTCGACGTCCGAGTATTTGGCTGGCTCATCTAGCTTCTGGAAGTGATGTACGACATTGCCGACGATGGTAGATAGCGATCGGCGGAGGATGAGGAAGGTGGCTGTGGTGGGCTGAGAGAGGGGGAGTGGGGGCGGCGGAGGTAGGGAAGGGTGGAAGGACGCCATATCGATGTTGGAGGGTGGGCTGGGGGTCAGTGCGAGTCGTATGCAGAGGGGAATGACTTACAGAGTGTCGGTGTAGCTGTCAGAGATGCTCGGCGGTCTTCCGAGGACCAATGAGTAACTGAAGATGTCAGCCTCTCGCTTAGACTCTGGAGGGGTCAAGCCAGCTTACAGCTTGTCAGCGTGGTATAGGTAGCTCCAGATCCGCCGTCGATATTCCGACTGATGGGGACTGGGTTATCAGCAGAGTCATGCGGTCGGAAGGACAAAAGATACTGACTCAAGCCCGAGTTTCGCTCCATCACGGTGCAAACCGATTGCCTGAGCCGTCCGTAAGCTCGCTCCGAGCTGAGACCAGCACTCGGTCAAGCGGCGATCGTGGATGGTCACCAGGTACATAGCGCTCTGAAGTAGTCAGCGTTTACCGCTCGGAGCGAGAATCGGAGAGCCGGGCTGGTGAGCTTACCAGCAGCCTGCTGAGAACCAGCTCTATCGACTCGGACTGGACAGCCGTGGCGACCAAGATACTGCGTCTCGCTAAGACGTGTCAGCTCGAGGTTCACCCCGACATGAGCATGACTCACAGCTCCAGTACATCCTCAGACTGCTAAGTTTACGGGTCTCATCGTTTCCTGCCCATTCTTCAGGAGCAAGCCGGACAGCCAGAGCAAGTACGATAAACACCAGAGGGAGAGCGCGAACGTTCGAAGGATCGATCGCTGTTGATCTCTGGTATAGATTCTCGTAGGCTGCAGCTCGTCAGCTTGATCGTCCCACGCATCTTGGTTGAGGGCAAGGAAGAGGCTAACTCACACTCCCGGAAAGAGCGCTCATCGATCGGATACCGAGCGAAATTGAGCTTGATGAAGAACCAGTTGATAATCTTGTCTGCGAGTTGTTTAGGCGGAAGCTCCTGCACAAGCTCGGCTAGCTGCGAGATCAGTTCATCGAGAACGTCAGGGAGAAAGGTAGACTGACCTTGTGAGGGCTCATCCCGCATTCCCGGATGAGCTGCTGCAAATTCTCCGCGGGTGTGCCGTGAAAGTCGTGCTTGATATTGACCTTCCCTCTGGCTTCCATCTGAGTCCATCAGCTCCATCCATCCCGCGCCTTCAGCGCAAAGAGGCTCACCGATTCAGGCAGCCCCTCCATCTCGCCCAGCCGCTCTAGCCTCTCCTCATCTCCACCCACACTCTGACTATGCTCCATCTCGAACACATCCTGCTTGATATGCCCACTCCCGCTCGCAATCTGCGGCGGGTGCATCTCTCGTTGGTGCTCCCTTTCCCGCTCAGAATCGAGGTCGGGGTACGCCCTTGGTGTGCCCGAGGGCGACGATGGGAAGAGCTTCTGGAAAGTTCCGACTGGAATGTCAACCACCGTCGAGTGATGCCCGAGCAGAAGACGAGACTGACCTTGCATCCACTCTTTGACATCCCGATAACCCCACAGCCCGCCGTGATGCCTCACCACGAAGCTGAGGACGGTTTCGAGCCGGTCGATACGGGCCGTCGTCGCGGGGTCTGGACCGCTTGTGGGCGCTGCCGTCGGATTATACGGTACACACAGCTCAGGCACTTTGCGCGCTGAAGGCGTCAGTAAATGTCACAGTACCGGCCGATGCCATAACCGGGGGATCTGCACTGACCGACGCCTGCGAATCAGCTAGACTTCCTTGTCTTCAGTATGGTGAAAGGTAGGCGGCTTACAGTGATTGCAAGGAAACTCTCTATTACACTAAGACGGTCAGCACCGCCTTCTCCCATTCTGCAGCATTCACCAGGACACATTTGATGCTGAAGTCAACATACCTTCTGCTTTCGCTTTGTGCCTACACGTCAGCATAATCCATCACACCAGGCCGAAGTCTACTTACACTGCGCACAACTCAAGCTGACCCGCTTCTTCTTTGACTCTCGGTCACTATCCACGCTTCCCTTCCTGACCATATCCCTCCTGTCCCCACTCATACCCATCGCATTGTCGGAGTTCTCGTTATTCGACCCAGATCCTTTCCTTTGGGGATCGCCGCCAAAGGGCCGTTTTGCAGGAGTCGACATTCCGTATGAGCGGCCTTATCAGGCACGGTCGCTCCTTGAGCACTATGGAGACAGACGAGCAGATGCGCCGATAGTAGCCTGTTCGCTAACGATGGAAAATGGCCGGATGCTGGGTCACCTCGAAATCGAGTCGATATTCGAAGGTCGTACGAAACCCGATTGAGCCTCTTTCGTATGGTTTCTCAACGGACGAGAATCTCTTCAGAAGACCGTGAGGTGATGATGAGGCCTTCTGACGAATACAAGGCAGCTTGTGCTGGTGTGTGAAGGGCTGATAGATGTTGACGAAGCAGTTTCGGTGTGAGCTTGTCTTGTCTTCAGTTCCGGCGCGGAGCTTAGAGCGGAGCCCGTTCTTTATCTGATAAAAAGCAGCGGAATCAAATGACAAGGCGGTTTCGAATTACTCAAAGTGGAAGTTTCGGGTTATCGGGACGGGTCATACAACGCCAGCTGTTGTCTGGCAGGAGCTAACTGGGTGCAATATGGCTGTCCCGATACTGGAGAACTCGCTGCGGCAGCGCTGTCCTAAACTGATACAACCAATAATTACTCCCCGGTGATGAATCCGCCTAGTCCCTTCTTAGCGCGTCCAGCCGCTTCTGCAAAGCCTCCTCGTCTCTGTTCATCGGTCCGCCACCACCCCCTCCACCAGCAGCCGCTCCAGTAGCGGCACCTCCTCCAGTGGGTGCAACAGGCGAGCTCGTCAATCCCTCAGCGACGGCGACTCGGCTGTTCGCGACAGGCTCGTTCGCTAATGGATTGACGGTCGGTGCGGATGCGAGCTACAGTTTCAGCACTCAGTCCATCATGAAGGAGAGACCGGACTCACCGAGTCGTTCATGCTCATTCCAATCTCATCCAGCACCTCCTTCAGAATCTTGTCGCCCTCCGCCTCCTCGCCCTCACCCTCATCCTCTCCCTCCATCGCGTCATCGACCGCATCCGACATCATCTCTTCCTTCATATCCATCGTTGACGACTCCTTTTCAAAGTCATTCATGATCTTTTGGATCTGAGGGAGATTGAGGGATCGATTCATCTGGCCCATTGCCTAAGACGTTAGCTGTCGTACGTGGTCAGCAAAAGCGAAGCGACATACTCGAGTAGCGCCCTTCATCGCACTCGCCATCTGCTCATTACTCCTCAGCGTCTGCATCCGGAGTGACACAGCTTGCAGCTGGACCCGCATCTGCGTAAACTTCTGCATGTACCGCCGTGTCCGGACGAGATCTTTTGCGAGAATTTTGCAGGCGTTCTGCTCGGTGAAGTCATTGCGAGGGATATAGTGAGCATCATATAGGTGGAACGGGCGAGCGTAAGGTAGATAGGGAAGTATCAAGACAGGAAAAACCTAGATCAGCACCGCTCCTTCAAATACACCGTCACCACCTATCCCCCTTGCAGAACCTTCATATCGCTTGGACATACCATATTCCCCGCTTTAGCATTCTTCTTGATGTCCGCCATTGTCCTCTTCTCCTGCTGTTCCAACTTGCTCTTCTCCCTCTCAAGCTCCCTTTGTGCCTTCTGCAGCGAGCGTTGATGTTGCCTCATCCGCTCCGCCGGGGTCACCGTCCGGCCAAATAACGTGTCCTATATCGGGCATCGCAGGGTACAGATAGCGAAAGCGGACGAGAGATGTTCGGTAGTGCGATGAGATACCAAAGCGCATGAGGAGCAGTACACGAAGAGTCGGTTGAGGGCGAAGAAGGAGATACGATCAGCTTGGTCTCCAGCTTGAATACCCTGTCCTCCTGGATTTCGCGTAGGTGTCACTCACGAGGATGTTCATGGTGCTGAATCTGTATGCAGCGTCTTGATGATGGAGGGTATATGAGCTAGATGATGGAGATTGGGTGATAACAACAATACTTGCTGTGCTGTTGCTGTTGCTGCGAGACCTCTCGGCGTCATCGCAACAGTCAGGCGGCGATCGCCGAAACACGTCCAAAGCAGCGACCACCACCCAGACGACAACGACTTATAGGAGCTTCTCGATAACCTTCCATTTCGACCCAGAGCTCTATCGTTTACCCAATGAGGTTGACAGGAGCCCTTCTCTGGGCTGCGGCACATGCGCTTTCAGCCGTAGCGGACTCGGTCAATACCGTCCTCGAGGACGGGTTCGAGCTTCGGCACCTCACCGAGAGCAATTTCAAGGGGAGCATATCGAGGGGATTATGGTGAGCTGTTTGCCACCGATTCAGTTCCCGATCAGTAAAGCTGACCATGTAGGCTGGTAGAGCACTTCTCACCTCGATGTGAGCTCAGTAATGCCCGATGAGTCTCGGAGACGCGCTGACGAATAGGTTCGCACTGCCGGGCATTCGCACCGACCTGGGAGCAGATCGCCAGGGGGAAGAACCACCTCGAGAGGCTGACAGGCTTCCATATGGCTCAAGTGGACTGTCTGGCTCAGGGAGGTGAGCTGCCTGATCCCGTGTCTTTGACGCAATAGAGGAGGATTAGCTGAACGAGACAGACCTGTGTAACTCGAACGGTATCAAGTTCTGTGAGCCTGTGCCCTATCGTCTCGCTGTCTATTCTCTGACGCCAATGTAGACCCCTCCCTCATACTATACTCGAACGGACAAGAGCTCGCCCAGTACTCGGGCGACCGATCCCCCGCAGATCTCGGGAAATGGATAGACGACCAGTCCAACTCCTACGCCCGGGGCCAGCTACTAGCCACCTCCTCGCTTGAATCAGAGGTTGTGTCTTCGGGCTTCGGAAGGCCAAATAGCGAAGGCAAGGTGCTGGAGGTGGACGAGGCGCAGTTGGAGGTATTGAAGGGGAACGGGCCGGTTCTGGTGGACTTTTACGCGCCATGGTGTGGGCAGTAAGTGTCTTCAAGGATATCATGGAGCTATTCGCTGACATCACAGTTGCAAGAAGCTGAGACCAAGTATGTCTCTTCGCATGGCAGCTTGTGAGGACACTCAGCTGACGGCGTGCAGTCTATGAGACCCTCGCAGGAGCGCTCAAGAATCAGCTGAACGTGGCTGCGGTCAATTGCGATGAGAACCCTATATTATGCCGGAAATCGAACATTAAGGGCTACCCAACTATTCGATTGTCAGTTTACAGCATTTCGAAGACTGCTTCTCAAGCTAACGCGGTAGATTACAAGATGGCGGATCAGAGGACTACAAGAGCGCACGGAATCTCGGCGGGATGAAGAAGTTTGCTATGAAGGCTGTGGAAAGGTCAGCTGCGCGGCCCGCTCGCATGGAGTTTGTTCTGCTGACGCCTAGACCCTTCCTGCAACCCATCAAGCTTGAGGACTTCGAGGACATTGTCTCCTCAGAAGAAGCTTTCTTCCTGTATCTGCAGAATTTCGATACCTCTGTTGACGACCTTGTGAGTTAGCTCGGTCGGAGGAATGCCCGTGACGCACAGCTCATATCTTAGAACGCCGTCAAGTCCGCCCTGAAGCCCCTCAAATCGTCCCTACCTTCCTACACCACCTCCGACCCCCTCCTCTACGCAAATCTCTCCATCTCCAATCCGCCACCCACGTCGGTCCTCCTCGCCTTCTCTTCCCCCTCTTTCCGGCCAGTCGCTTCCCTCCCCTTCCCGGCCGAGAATCAAGCCATCACCCGCTTTGTCAACCTGCACATGCACCCGACGCTCCTCCAGCTCAGCTCGTCCAACTATGCGGATATCATGAAATCACCTACAAGAGCGATGATTGTCTTGGCGGCTGTGCATGGCGGCGAGACGGGCCGGAAAGAGCGCGAAGAGTTTGAGCGGATATCGAGGGCTTGGAAGCGGGGCGGAAGACGGTTTGATCAGCCGGTATGGTTTGTCTGGATCGATGGGGAGCGGTGGGCGAGCTGGATGAGTCAGGCGTATGGGTGAGCTATTAGAGCTTGGCGATCCGACCGAGAGTAGTAGCTGATAGATTTAGGATCAGGAAGCGGAATCTTCCTGCAGCGGTCGTCATCGACCCACCAGTAAGCTATGTCCGACGTGAACGCCGCCGAAGCAGAGCTGATCAGCTAGCTGTCAGAATACTACGACCAGACCCTCGAAAGCACATCCATCTCCTTCGACGGCGCCTCCATCTTCTCCACCCTCGAGGGGTACTACCAGAAACTCTTACCGCCCAAACGGTCCGAGACCGCCCTGGAATGGGGGAGTCATAGCGCCACCATGACCCTCATCAACCTCAGCGTGAGTTGTCCTTTTCGTGGCAAATCGCTTAGAGTCTAGCTGACAGAGTAGGAATTCAGCTATGATCACCCATTACTAGCGATGGGCACCGTCATTGGTGCAGTAGCGACTTTTGTCTATCTCCTGACCAGATGTCTGGGGAAGGATCCGAAAGAGGGTGGAAGGGATCATACTACTAATGGACATGGAGGTGGGAGCTATGGGCATGAGAAGTATGGGAATGGGGGGCATGCGTTGAGTGGGAGTAGACTTGATTAGGTCATGATGTACTCGAGTATGGATGATTTGAAAGTCGAAGAGACGAGCCCGATCCCGCTCCGCAGATCCACTCCTCATTCCTTGTGTTTCAGGCACGAGGAAGAGTTTCATGTTCACTGTGCGAGCCTTGCGTCAACGGTGAGTTACACGACCAGGCCAGCGTTATCGGGAGTAGTATAGCCACAAAGATCTATCACAAACGTGCCTCATTCACTCCTACTGACTCCTTTGTTCTCCATTGTATATATGCTGAGGTCATCCTAAAGGATGGTCAGCATTTCTCACATGATACTGCCTCGGACCTGCCAGAAAAGGTAGAACGCCTTTGTCCGTGTACCTGTTCGACCCTCCTTTTATGTCTGACGCCCCTCTACACATGTAAAGAGTACATCTGTACCTTGTGCCTGGGTTGACATCATATACACACGTTCCTGATACCGGATTACATCTACGAATCTGCTCCTTGGCTTCATTCTTGACACGCGGCACGCACGAAACACGCGATTACATCATTGCACTCGATCAGCACCTGGACGTCTTCTCTCCAGGTAGATACCAGGGATAATGCTGACGCGTGTGCAGATCTCCTTACCGTCCACTCTGCTGGTCTTGCCACCCGAACGTTTCACTGTCAATTCCTCCTGGTCGTCCCTTCGTCCACGCATCGCGATACCGAACCAGCAGGCCGCGGGTGTCTAGCCTTACTACAAGTAGTATTTGACAGTCCGAAACGATATCAGGGGAGATGTACGGAGGATACTGGTCCCCGATGTCCACGATGGGGGTGAGTCTTTTCTACCTATAGTCATAGCGTGCTGGTCGGCTCGCACCCGAGATCCGCCTTGATTTCAAGGCTGACATAGCAGGTGAGTCCATACTACTCGGGAGGACTGGGAATCCCATACATGATGGGCATGGGAGGGATGGGTAAGTGACCACTCCCCGTATTTCAACCTAAACTAGCACGCGGTCAGGCTGATGAGCGTAGGGTACGGCCTCGGCGCGGGGATGTACGGGATGGGAATGGGTATGGGGTACCCATATGGCATGATGGGAGGGTACAGCCCCTACAACTGCTCTGGGATGGTGAGTGAACCATGACCGGAGTCGAATGCTACCCTTCAGGCTGGCTAACATTTCCAGTACGGGATGCCATTCTGACCGCGCGGTATGCGTGACATCTACGAGTAGGGTCGGTACCGCGGTGTTGATGAGAACGTTGTAACTGCGCTATATTAATTACATGCATGATGATTGTTGGATCGATATACATACACTTGTCTCGATATCCAGCCTACTGCACAACTCGCCCGATTTCGCTTCCGGGCTCTCTTTCAACCTAGACCTTAGCGGTATATACAACCTCGACCCCCGCTACCGCCTATCAGCGATCATATATCGACTGACAAAAACCACCTTCCTTCCGCTTCTCAGCACCTCGACGTCTTCCATCCCGCCCATACCCTCCCCTTCCTCCTCCACTGGCAGATCGATCACACTCCACTCGCTCCAGACCCCAACCTCCCACCTCCCGCTCTCCCCATCGTCGACCTTCTCTCCCCTCTCCACCCGATCCCACCATCTCCCCGCTATGACCTTCACGTCCGCCCCTGGTCCACCAACACCTGCTGCCCCCTTCGCCGCCTGTGCGAAATTCACCAGTACCTCCTCGGGTGGTATCTCGTCTTCGGCCGCCTCGGCCCATCCGGTCTTGCCAGGGGGTAACGGCCATGTCCTGACAGAGGCGAGCCAGAGCTGCGCGGCGTGTTCTCGTGGAGAAAGAGGGCGGATGAGACGAAGCCGAAAGGGGGCGGTACGAATGTGCTCTAGTGCGGATGGGGGTAGGATGGGCTTAGTTTCGACTTTCGAAGAGTTGCCGGAGGTATTGGCAGAGCGATGTGATGGGTGTGAGGGATGCAGGGTGTGCTGGAGGGAAGTGTAGAACAGGGTGAGGGAGGATGTTTGGGTAGTGAGGAGCGCGTTGAGCCGAAGGGCGAGTGGCGGTTCCCTACGATCAGATCAGCATATTCTCTTTTCAAGCTTAGTCACGCCAGTATCAGTAGCCATCCACCGAAGGCCCAAAGCGCAGAGACAAATACACGCAGAAGAAACCCAACTCACCCTCTTCCCGTCCATTTCACTTTCCCCTTCCTCGGACTGATCCCCACCCCCACCTCCTTCTCCCCCTCATCCTTGCCTACTTCCTCGATCTGGCCCACACCCTCCAGCCTCACCCCTTCGCCCATATACCGAAGCGCGACCCGCCGCCCGAGATCCTCCTTCTCCTCCTTGACCTTCTGAACCGGCAATTGCACCTCCAGATCCCCCAGCCGGCGCCGCTTGCTCGATCCTGGCGTATGGTCCGGAGTGACCGGACGATCGTTCGGTCCCGATCGCGAGGGCAGGCCCCACGGCGTAGCAAAGGAAGAGAGGGATGTCATTTTGCGTGGTGTCTTGGTCGAGCGCTCGTCCTCCCGTTCCTTCTTTGCGATCGTTGTCGGTGGCAGAGGTATGACCGAAGAGAGCTTGATAGCCGATGACCCAGCCGCAGTGGGAGGCCTCGAGAGTTCCCGGATAGGCGTCACCATCGCCCTCATATCCCCATCCCTCTTCTCCGCGGCCCCTCCCCCAGTCCTTTCTTCCCGCTTGACTTCTACGCCTCCGCCGACATTCGCTTGTCCGCCCCGTGGCTGTGGCGTCTGAAGCCCTACAGCGCTCAGCGCGCTCATCGCTCCCGCAGACCGCCCATCCCGCTCCTTCCCCTTCCCCTTGACATCCCTCTTCCCCTTTGACCCGGGTGAAGGCGTAGCAAACGAGAACGCGCCCGCCGTGAGGTTCACAGCCCGCTTTGCCGGCTGCTGCGGCGTCGGGAATGCTGATGTACCCATCGTTGCCCGGTGTCTCAGTGGCTGTGGGCTGTACAGGCCGCCATACCGATGTACTCGGCTGGAGGAAGGAAGAGAGGTGGATGCAAAGTGGAGGGTTTCGGATTTTTGATGAAACAGCAACAAATCGTACGGTCCATTTTGGCTTCATCCTCCCATCCTACTAGAACGACAGACAGCTACGTAGCCGTCCATACTAGCACGCGCAGGACAAAACGTGCACCTGAATAGACCGGCACGACCTCTTCCAATCCCATTCTTCCCGAGACTTCACCAGTATGGACCCAAAAGCAGGCGCTATCCAGGCGAGGCTGCAACAGCAGTCTTCCATCTTCCAGAAGCTCGAAGGAGGTGAGTACGCGCCTGAATATCCCCGGGGTCTGGCTACGCTCAACTGCTGCGCGTTTCGAACATACCAGGCTAGTCATCATGGGCTGACGCTGACTCTCAAGACCTCACAGAAGTCATCACCGCCCGTCAACGTCTCGACTCGCAATTATCCGAGAACGAAGTTGTCTTGAAAGAGTTCACCCTCCTCAAGCCACACAATACGGTATATAAGCTCGTCGGACCGAGTCTTGTCTCTCAGGATCAGGCGGAAGCGAGGGGGAACGTAGAGAAGCGGTTGGAATTCATCAGGGCGGAAATGTGAGTCTGCTTGTTTTCGTATGGTCATGTAGATCCGAATGCGGGACGCAGCGGGGCGAGAGGCAGACGCGGACGGAGAATGCGATCACCGATAGGGCAAGAGCTGACTGGTGTAGAAAACGGGTAGAGACGCAATTGAAGGAGCAAGAGGAAAAGGTCGGCAAGAAGCGGGGGGAGGTGAGCATTCTTCTTTTTGAGGACCCTCTCTTCGTCTCTCTGAGACAGAATCGGGCGACCCTCTGATCACCTTCTCATGAAGTCCGAGCGCGACTGACGCACAGATCATGGCGCTCCAACAGGAGCTTCAGGCTTTACAGCCGAGCGGTCCAGAATAGTCGGATCGAGCTGGCGTGGGAGGTCTTAGGAGAGGCGAGGAAGCTGCAGTAGCTACGAAGGCTAGGTCAGCCATGTAGACCCAAGAGCCAAGTCCATACATGATCAACAGATGTCTACAGGATAGTACAGGTAGATAAGTACACCATATGTCAAAAAGATCCCTGACAACCTACCCTCACCCCCTCCACCCTCCCCCCGGCCTCATGCTCAGGGTCGAGGCGCCGGCCTCGGTCTCGGCTTGCCCTTAATACTCCTCATAAGCGTCTCCTTCGCCTTCTCCACCACCTCCTCCTCTTCTTCCACTGGCGAGTCCATGATCTGCACCTCTTCCTCATCCCCATCCACGGGTGAATCCACCATCTGCACTTCTTCCCCTTCCTTCACATCCGCATCCGTAGACCCCGCTTGGTCGAACCCGGAATCATCATCCTCGTCCGTCGGCGTCCCAACGAGCGGGTCATCACTACCCTCCGCGACCTTTCGGGTGACCGGCAGACCGACCCTCAAACCCGCCATCCCCCTCGCCATCGCATCCGCAGCTGGAGCGCCATTGTTCGTGCTCGGACTATTCCCCAGAAGCTGGCCGGGCGAACTCGGCCTCTCGCCTCTCTCTGGCAGCTTGAGCGTCGCAGTCCCCGTATCCAACTTCAACGCCGGAATCTCCGCATCCACCTTATGGCCCTTGTCCATCCCTTCTGGACTGCCCACTTTCGCCACCCCCTCGTCTTCCTCTTCTGGCCCTTTGACGGTACTTTCACGCCAACCCCGTTGCTCCTCGTCCTCCATCGACGTGTCCTCCGTGGGCATCTCGGAGACGTAGCTGTCCATCGAGCCGGTCGTGCCGGTTCTGGTACCTGACGTGATACTGTCGAGAGTGGAGTTCCGGATGGGCGGAGAGGGTTTGGGACTTGTCGATATACCGGCCATACGTTTGAGCTTTTGCACAGCGCGAATGACGGTGCTGTCGCATCAGCTCTACGACCGAGTCCCATTGAACAACAGTGAGCAACTCACAAAGCGCCCTTGACTCGGATAGCAGCGCTGATTTCTTGCTCTGTGGGCTCCTCGACAATCTTTCCGACGTGCGTCATGTTGTCTTCGCGCGAAATCATCGGGTTTGCGCCGTCTTCCGTCACCCAGGGGTGTTCCTGGGCGTCAGCATGGCCACGATTACCAGCACAGCTGAAAGTGGAACTCACTCTCAGCAGGAACATGTGTATCCGGAATGAAGGCTCTTTGCGCAGCATCTGCCTGATAAGATCTTGCTGGTCGCCGGGCCATTCATCCGGGATGGTCGGTCTGCTGGTCAGCTCTTGGGTTGCAACAGGCCGGAGAGGACGGCAGGACAATAATACTGACTCTTCATGCCGCACCTTGTCGAACAGTTCGATGGGATTCTCGGTGTTGAAGGGCAAGACTCCCGTAAACATGCAGTAAAGGGTGACACCTGAGAAAAGCGTCAGCTAGCTGCTTGCGGTCGACTTCTTGTCGGGTCGTGCTCACCCAATGCCCAAATATCGACAAGCTTGCCATGCACTTCATGGGCATGCGCTAATTGGATCAGCCTGAGCTCGCGTGGTCAGAAATCAATCGCGGAGTTTCTATCTCACAAGTGAAGCTTTCAGGACTGAGGAACGCCGGACTTCCTCCAGACCGCTTGATCCGATCATCCGAATCGGCCACTTCAAACATCTCCGACACGCCAAAATCGCACAACTTGACAGTCGTGTGATCTCTGGACAAGAGAATGTTGTCAGGCTTGATCTACAGGCGTCAGCTTGTTCAATCTCGCAGTACAGCCGATCAGGTAGACCAAGTGGACCGGCCCAAAGACCTCGGAGGACTTACGTCGCGATGGACCACGCCATTCCCATGCAGATACTCGAGCCCCAGGATTAATTGCCTGAAATACTCCCTGGCTTGCTCGATCCCGAACGGCGGTTCCCCGGCCTCCTCGCCCATCTTGATGTGCATGAGGACCCCGCCGGGCATGTATTCCAGCACGAGGTACAGCGCGTCCGCATTGGGAACCGAGATCGCTTCGGTCAGTTTGACAATCTAGGCATCAGCGCTGCTTCCTCTTGGACAAAGGCAGATTCGGCGTACGTTTGGATGACTGTAATATCAGCTTTCAGCACTCCCGGCGTGCGCATGGAATCATAAAGACTCACTCTAGCTTCTTCATCACCGCAATCTCCCGCCTGATCAGCCCTAATGGATCATTCGCATCCGGCTCGCTACTCGCCCTCTCTCGATGCGCCTTCTTCTCCTTCTTCTCCGTCCCACTCCCGCTCCCGCTCGCCTCGCTGCCATCCCCACTTCCATCGCTCCCGCTCATACTGCACCTCCGAGCAGGAATGGGTCTGCCCCCACTGGGCGTTCCGCCTCGTCCCCGACCTCTGCCCCGGAGCTTGCGATTCATCGTCACCCTTCTCTTTTCAAGTAAGGACTGCGTCCGCAAACGGGACTGCGAAAATTCCTTGATAGCCTATTTCAATCAGTCACTTCCCTCATTTCGAGTCAAGAGCCCTCACGTATTCTTCCCCCGTACCCACATGCACTGCCAGCTCGACCTTGGCAAACCCTCCTTTGCCCAACGGCTTCCCGATCTTGTACTCATTTATCATCGTCTCCCCATCCTCCGTACTTCTCTGATGCCCATTCGGCGTCTCCTTGACTCTATGCGTAGACGAATGCCGCCGATGACCTGGAGTCTTTGGGTACGCCTGGGGCGATGAGGGCATAGGAAGACCAGGGGACGAGAAGGGCGAAGCGGAGAAGAAGGTCTCTCCCTCTGAGCCGGGAGTACGGCCAGGCGAGAGCGCCGGGATAGGGACAGCGAGCGAGTCCCTCCGGCCCAGGTTTGGCTGAGGATGCGACGGCCCAGCATCGGGCGTGCCAGGGAGCGACGAGGCGGAGGAGGCGGGTGACATGGATTGCGGAGGGAGGGAGAGTTGGGTCGCCGCGAGGGGTCGAGGTGAACTTTCGGCGCTCGCGGCAGACGTGGTGGCTGCTCGTCCGACCGCCCCGTAGCTCCCCTTCTTCCGTCCAGCTGAGAGCTTGGGTGGAGGGGTAGACCAGTTCCATTCCTCCTTCCCCTTCAATCCGCCCCTGTCCCCAGCCCCGCCCCCGCCTTCCATTTCGTCCGGTGTCGAGACGGGCGGAGAGCTATACACCTGTGGAGAGTCGGATGGGACCGGTATAGCAGTGGGCAAGGTCCCTGTGCTGGGCTCTACAGGTGACGGTGGGGAGATCACCGTCGCAGGCGGACAGAGCAGGGATGGCCGTGAAGGACTGTCTTTTTGGCTTGCTTTGCGGCCGGGCGGAGCGGAGGGAGAAGGGGAAGGCGAGCGAGACGGAGAGGTCCGCCGTGGTCGGAGGGTATCGGCAGAGACGGCGGATAAGGTGGAGGTGGTAGAGGATGGGGAGGAGGTCAAGTTGCTCTGCGCTCCGGCGCTTCCGGACCCGCCGGACTGGGTGGAGGAGCCGCTCATATCCAGCGAGTTCGATCGCGGCGCGGCGACGATTCGCTAGCCGGCGGTCTGATAGGCTACAGCAGAGCCCTGAGGAGTACTAGGAGAACGGCGGGAGCATGTACAGGATACCAAGACACAGCGACAGGCACAAAGGAACCAGAAGATGAGTAAAGTAGAGGGTGATGTCGAAAGCTACAAGCGAGTAAGGTTTTGGTAAGGGTAACGGAATTATCGTAATCAAATTCGTAATCAAAATAGAGTCTCGGTATACGAAATAGAGTCATACCCGATAAGCTACAAGTACTGCTGTTCACCTAATGCAAGCTGATCAGTTGATGAGCTCCTCATGGGGCACGCCTAGACAGGGTAGAAGAGATGAGCGAACAAATTCAATCCAAAGCAATACATGACCGTACTTATTTCTACCGCTTCTGTCCTATCTGCTTGCGCTATCCGCCCTAGTAATCAACGTAGAATCCCTTCTCCTTCCTCGCCTTGGTCATTGCTGTCTCGGTCAGCTCCTGTATCTGGATCTACGACAGCTGAGATCACTCACCAGCAATGATGGCACTTCCCACACCCGACCCGTCCTCCGCATGGTGCGTGACGATGCGCTTCCCCTTCTCGCCAAAGATATCCACCAACGCCGCGTGGACCCGGTTGGCGAAGTTGGGGTATTTCTACCGTATTAGCTTCGCTCTTCTCCCGAATAACGTGGACACCACGACTCACGTTGTACAAACTCCCATCAGCCCCCACGGCGCATCCTTTCTCGAGGTACCCCTTCTTGCTGACAATCGCGGCAATACCGCACGCGCTGAGCCGGGCAGCACGGGTCCCAATCAGAACAGCGAGTTGACGGAAGAATTGACGTTCTTCGAGGGTCGTCTCGATACCGAAGAAGTGGGAGAAGACACCGATGATGGTGAGGAGCTCGTCGGTTGGGTCACTAGCGGTGTGAGCTCTCGACTTGTGGCATATTCGTCAACAGATCCTTGACAGCTCACCTTTCCATAAGTGACAAGAAGGCAGTGTCGAACGCATAAGCCTTTTCAAGCTTGTACGTGTTTTGACCCAGGAAGAGGTCTCCGCTGTCGATGAGCTCGCAGAGGATCAGACGGAAGACTTCGCCGAGGTAGAGACCGGCGATCATCTTCTCGAATGACTAGACTGTCAGCTCAATCCCCGCAAGACCTATTCGAGTCAGTGAAAACTGACCTGCTCTCCGGGCTTGTTGGACGACTCATCAATGATGATATCGTACTTTGTCCGGGCTAACAAGTCAGCTTGTTTCCCATCGCAATGTGGCACTCGTACATAAACTCACGAAGGTGTTGGTGGTCAAACGAGTCGAATGCTCCCCATTCGCACTATTTCGTCAGCTAGTGCTCACGCTCTGGGGCAAGCCGTGTAGCTACATACGTTGATGGCCATCCCCTGATCAGCTTCCAACCCCACGCTGCTCATCTTCGGGATGTTCCCCGCCGTCTCCATATAAGCAGCATTGCACCCTGTTCCGAAGATGACGGCGATTTTGGTGTTGGGATCGACATAGTTGGAGGCGATGAGCGTTCCGGTGGTGTCGTTGATCAGGGCGGTGAGCTCTGCGTTGACGTTCTGAGGCATGAGCTGACGTTCTCCGACAAAAGTGACCGTAAAGGCCAATACAGCACACAGAGAAACCCACCAAGCGCTTGAGTGAAGATGCAAACATTGCGGCGACGTCGTGGCCTTCGATGTTGGGTGCACCGAAACCCTTGGTCCAGCGGATCAGCTCTGCCTTGTCAGCTAACGCCACTACTTCCGCCGAGGAGAGCTGGAAAGCTCACCTCCGTGGTCAATCCTCAATTGCCTGAAAAGATCAGCTTTTGTTTTCGCGTTATTCGAGCGATATTTAGATTGACTTACGAGCAAGGGTATGAGAACTATGGAGTCAGCTATGCGCACGAAGTATAACCGCATCGAACAGCTCACCGTAAACCCAAGAGGGAGCATCGGGTCATTCTCAGTCCTCCCAAGCGTGTTCGTGATAAAGTTGTCCAGACACTCGGCACAGAAGTCCAGCCTATCAAATCAGCTCGAGCCGCTACTTCCGTATTATACAGCTGGAAACGCACAGCTTCTGCCCATCCTCCTGCTTTTGCTCCTCGGTCAACCTATACTTGGTCTGCGTGACTTCAAACTTGCCGTGGCCTTGGAGGTCGACAAGGCAGACTCGGAGGTTGGTTCCTCCCAAGTCGAGGGCGAGGTATTCGCCGACTTCCTCGCCGGTCGGCCACTATTGGATCAGCCTCGTGCGGGTCTTGCCTTCGCCAAAGCTAACGTACGCCAAAGACGAATGTGGGAACTGCTCCGTCAGCTCTGACTCATTCGACTTCTTGAATGAGGAGGTAGCTCACTCATCGGCACGATCTGCCCATCCTTCTGCAAGCCCTTATCAAGCGTCTCCTCAATCGCGTGCACGATCATCCTCATCCGCTGGGGAGTGAGGGTAAGGAGCGACTCGTACTTCCTGAGCAAGTCCGCGATCGTCTTCTTCTCGGCGTGTGGGAACTCTCGGTCCTCCTACTTGATCAGCTATGTCCTCGATCATCTGCTCGACCCAGCTCACGTCAGTTCTGGTGTGGTAAACCACCGGCGCCCCTCCCGGAGTCATAACCACCCCGCTTCCTCGCCTGCTTCCGCGCCTCGCGGGCCCAGACTCCGCACTCCCCCTGCGCTCCATCGCAAAGTTCTGGCCGAGCGCACCACCGCCAAAGCTCGCCTTCCGGCCAGAGGCGCTGCCAATGTTGGTACCGTTGTCGAGAACCTGACTCCCTGGGGAGGCCGTGCGCGGGATCCCTCCTCCCGTGGTCGGGGTGGAGAGAGGGGAAGAGGCGAGCTCCATCGCTGCGACCCGCTCGGCGAGGGTTCCGGGCGTAGTAGCCCCGGAAGCGGGCGCGGGGGAGGCAGAGCCGCTGTTGTGCGTCTTGAGAGGGGGGAGAGAGGGCGTCATGATGATTTCGGGAACGGCAGACTTGTGAGGGGGAGAGTGATGGGCTATCTGCGTCATTTCAGCTGGTGCTCCCGGAGCTTTAAGATCGGTTCGAGTGATATAGGAAAGAAAAGTTGATCAGTAAGACCAAAAGTAGCAGCACGAGCCGCCTTGCGCCTCGACGCTGCAGTTGAAGGACGCACACACACAAAGGAAGGGGCAAAGGACCCCCTTCTCCCCGGGGGCCCGGACCACGCGGGGCCCTGTCTAACCCTTCCCTCCTGCTTTCGGGCTACCTTTTCACGCAGAAGGAATCACGCACCTGATCTAGTCCTTTTGTCGCTGGTGTATTGCTTCTGCTGCTTGCCTTATGTGCTGCAGAGGTCGGACTGAGAGGATGAAATGGACAAAAAGGTGGAGCGGGGCGTGCGGAGTAAGGTCACACGTCATACCTTGTATTCAGGGGTGCAGCTTTCTCACGGTTGACACAGATCATGCCGCCGGCAGTGGCAGTGGCGTAGCGAGGAATGTGGCGGACTGATTCGAGAACTGCAAAGAGGTGAAAGAGGGTTTCTCATCAGGGACTGTGATCTGATTGATCGTCTCAGGCATTGTGGCCAGCCAGAGTCAGAAATGAAGCGAGACATGAACGCGCGGCACGCGCGTGTCTTTCGGCTCACTGCATGAACAACCGGCTCGATGGCATTGCCTCCTCAGATCACTTTAACCAGCTCACCCATAATGTTCGCCTGTCCATGTCCCGGCCAACATCAAGATGGCTCAAGTCCACCCAGGCCCGACTGCGAGGTGAAGTGCCACACAATCACTATCACCGAATCGGCGAAACACAAGGAGAGGGTGTACCTTTGAGGGTCTGCTCCCTCAAGCTATGGCGTGATCGTAAGGATCGCAAAATCGGGCAACGGCCAGGCTATATCTTGCGGGGGGTGTGCCCCGTCTCTCCCTCTTTCTTACTTCATTCGCCACTGCAACATTCCCATACAATCCGATCATATTCCTGCCCCAACACCTACCATCACAACCAAGCACCAACAACCTACACTACCAATGGGCCAATCCAACGAAACGTCGAAACCCACCACCGGCACGGAGGGCACCGGGGCCTCTCAGGGCGGTGGCACTGACGCCACTCAGAGCGCCGGAGAGTCGAACAATGCCCAGACCAACCAGACCTGCGGGTGCGGAGACACAACCTGTGACTTTGATGCAAACCAGGCCTCCAGGCTCGCCGCCTTGGAGATCATGTTCCCGCCAGCTATGTTGGAGGTCCTGGCGGCATCCAGCGTTGAGGGGCGCAACCTCCACTACGCGCAGGTCAGGGAGGCATCTGCGTCAGGCAAGAAGGCTTGATAGGGACGGATCCTCACCAGTCAGTTCTTGACTGGCTGGCTTACACGTACCTTTCTTGCTCGAGACCCTCCTATAAATATGCAATCATCTGTCGAGCTTGTGCAGGCCCGATTGGAAAGATCTTGCTAGGTTCTATATAAACCATAAAACCTCTCAGCAGCGATATCGTACATGGTGATATCAAGCACGCTCGATCCCAGCGTCCGCGTGGCGCGGGTGGCAAAACTGCGACAGCGTAACTTGAGCGTACCTTCGGTCCTTCTGGGTTGTGCTAGAAAGCGCCAGTGTCATTCAGCATATCCTTTTATGGACTGCATGTTCCAGGTCTCACCTATACTGTTGAGTATGTATGCTTGACATATCTTTCACCCATAAAAGTATCGCTTACCCTCACTCTGTGACGCCACCTTTCCGCTCGACTAGTTACACTATATATAGCTATAGAGCTCGTTACGCAGATATGCACCTACCCTACTCAATCAGCAACTTGTCCTTCTACGCCAGTAGCCTGCGCTCAATCATAGCAAGCTGCAAAGGGAGAGTCTCGAAGGATACCAAGACTTATCGCACCCGTCATTCGTTGCGCTCAGACCTGCCGAAGAAGGAAGGAACCAAGTCAGGCTGGAGTGCACTCCGCTCCTCTCTGCACACTTACGATTCTACCGTCCCTGCCAGCAGCACCGTCTACCCATCGCCGACCGAGAGCTCCAATACCGATGAAAACTCCGATACAAGCTGCTTACCTTCCATTTCGTACGCAGCTTGGGGAGGGGCCGGCCTGTTACTAGTCGGAGCGGGTGTGGCACTATCCATGAGCGGGTACAACCCATGGGGTACTTCGACCGCAGCGACCGAAGCAGATATCGATTGGTGATACAGCATATCAGCTGTTCCATGCTCATGGCTAGCTGCCAGCGAGCTTGGGATCAGGGTACCTGCCGTCGAGATGGGCTGAGGAGGCGCACCGTATTACAGTTGCCACACTCACACTCGCCACCGCCACCGCCACTCTCGGTCGCAAAATGTCGCCGAGGGGCCCCAGACAACCCAGCCAGCTCAATCTTCGCTCAAGCAGCTCTCCTCCTCTGCCTCCTCCTTGCACCTGTCATCGCCTCGGCTGAGAGCTCGAGCTACAAGTCAGCCATGTCCTCAGCAAGCCACATCACTCCGCTTTCCGCTGCCACAATCTTACCCCTACTCGCTCAACCGCCATCCTCAGCACTCATCAACGACTTCCTCCTCTCCCTCTCCTCCTCTCCTTCCAATTCCAACTCGACCTCGTCCACAGTCCCACCTGAGCCGACCGTCAAGTCCTATCCCGATGCCCAATACCACACATACCTCCCTCTCGGGCTCGACCTCATTTACTCCCCATCTTCCTCTTCCCCCTCTGCTGTGCAATGGGAACTAGACCGGATCGACATATACAATCCCGTCCCTGGTGTCTCCGTCCCCTCAGCCGGATCGAGCAGACGTCGTGCTCCCCCGATGTACACCCCGCCGGCACTACCTCTCGTGACGCAGCTCGCGCGGGCGCCAGTCGTTCCTCCTCAGCCTGCACCACCTGCTGGCAACTCGGGCGCTGCCTTACCCACTGTCGCTCCAGCTGCTGCGGAAGCCACTCTGCTGGAGGTGGAGGGCGTAGAGGAAGGAAAACAAGCGGGAGGAAGACCCGAGCCATTCCTCATCACCTCGGAGAGCATAGGCCGGGAGTTTGTGTCTGCCCTAGGCGAGCCGAGTCGGAAAGGCGGCGCGCAGGGATGGGTGGGGCCATGGCTGGAATGGGCAGATCTGAAGATCCTCGTCCCGCGTAGGCGCTCGATACAGGCCGATGTCGAGCCAGGGCAGGGTGGAACGAGTATGGAGGAAGCCGAGGACATGGAGGAAGTAGGGATAGGGCTCATGGTGGAGCTACGGGATGGACACAAGCAGCCCACCGAGGAAGAGATGAAGAAAGGCTTAGGGGGCGTATGGGATCGTGCGGCGGGATGGGGGTGGGGGTGCGTCAAGATCTTCAGGGTGGGGAGTACTACATGAGACTATAATAGCTAGACCTGTGTAGTAGCATAGGAGGCAATGTACATAATACGGGTGCAGCTATGCTTCAAGACGAAGGCAGGGCATTCGATATTGTACTGCATTCACACTTCTACATCTCTACGCGGCGATAGCCTCGATCCTCTCCTTCAGCTCCGCCTCTGCCAGGATCTGGAATCCCTTCTCGGGTGTGACCTATATTGTCAGCTTGGACACCAAGCTTTCAAGCCGTAGGAGGACAGCTCACCCTTGCGAGCTGAACGTTGTTCTCGTCCAACTTCTCCTCCATCACTTGCTTCAACACCTTGAGTGCGAGACCGGCCGCTTCTTCCAGGGTCATTTGCTGCTTTGTCAGCATGTATCATCGCATGATCATGACGAGAGTAGATTGGTCTGTCTACATGACTGGCAGACTGGGAGAAGGGGGAGTAGGTGGCGATGCGCTGTTCGACGTACCCGGTGGTAAGCATCCTGCAGACTCTGTTGCGCCGCGTCGGATCCACTTCCTATCGCCTTGGCGTCATACCGGGTGAAAGTACCTGATGGGTCGGTGTGGTACCTGGGCGGTCAGCTTTGATTTCACCCGGTGGTATTGCGGGCTGTTCAGCTCACAGTTGCGGTCCCTTCTCGTCGATGCCTGCAATCAAAAGAGCGACACCGAATGGCCGTGACTACTTATCAGCTGTGCCCACCTGGCTCCTGACTCCAACTCCATCGGCTGGGCCGAGGGAGCGGCTCAACGCTGCGTCTTGACACCCCTCCGGCTGACCCCGTCACCGTGGACCCAAACTCACCATCAACGCATCGTCATCCTCCACACTCTCTCCAAACCTCAGCGCCAAATCACACACTGCCTGAGTACAGCTCTCCACCCCAATCTTCTCGTCATACGTGAACGCGTGCATCTGGCTCGTCACCCGCGCATGGTCGACCATCGTGCGCGCATCGGCCGTGAGACCCGACATGGCGCATCCGACGTGCGCATCAATCTCCATGATCTTTTCGATGGATGAGGATTCGATGAGCGGGGAGGGGACTCGCTTTTCGACAGCGAGGATGACGCCGTGTGGGGTCGTTATGCCGACTGTGGTGGAGCCGAGCTGGGGATCAGCTGATGATCTCGAAGTCACAGCGTGGTGGAAAGGAGAAGTCAAGATATAGCAAGGGGGGGAGCACTCACTTTGATAGCTTCCATAGCATATTCGACTGAGGCAGTCAGCTAGGCCTCTCTCTTCATTGGAACCCCTCGCTGGAAGCTCACCTTGGAACAATCGACCCTAACGAGATCAGCTTGAAAGGTCTTGATTGGGAGTCAGGAGCTTACCTCAGGTGAGAAGGTGTTGACACCACGGTCATATTCTGATCTAGTAAGTCAGCTCTGTCCTGTCGCGACGGTAGCTGAGCTGTATAGCTTCCATGCTTCGCGAAAGGGGGTCGAGAGATAGACCAACCTTGTCAAGAACATGCTGATCTAGAGCTATAACAAGCCGGTTTCTGTGTTTTTTTGGCGGGTCGGAGTGAATTTCTGGGGTCGGTAGAGCGAGCTGAAAGCCTGCTTGTAGCTGTTGATGGCGTTACTGAGGTTAAATATGAGAATGGTGAGAGGTATGTGAACGATGATCTCGAGCTCGCGAGGAACGCGGTGTCGTCTGGCGCGCTTACGTCAGTACGCACGGACTAGACCGGGGATTTAATCCGGTTAAGGTTACCAATTTCAGCCGGATCCGGAAATTCATTTGACTGTCGAGCAGAATCCGGAATTCCGACGCGACGATGTCCACCTCAGCCGGAGCTCTCGCCCGCTCTCACTCTTGCCTTCTCCTCTCTTCCTCTTGTGTAGTGCTAGTATATACATGCTGTGAGAGACCTCGCTCAGTACAGCAAGCGACACCTCTCGCATCTGCGAGCTCCCCACGGACCTCTCGACTGGTACGAGTGGGACAGGACCACGCGGGGGAGGTGAGACATACCTCCGTGACAAGCTCGGCTCGAGGAGGCGTTCTGACCCCGACGAGAGTAAACGCGGAGATACATCCGATGATGGCTTTCGTGAGTGCTCTTCATCTTTAATTCTTGTCCTTGTCGCTGCGCTACGTCGAGTGTGCCCTGTGCGTTCTCAAGCTCACCACCTCAGGCCGCCCAACCCGCCAACCCAGCCAATCTATCATCTGTCCCTCATCTAAACGCAAATCTTCGTCCCGGCCCCGCCCCCGCCACCGCCAAGGTCAAAGCCAGGTCCAAGGCTCTCTTACCTTTTATCGACCTCTCCGGTCCCGACCTCGACCCCGACTTTGACTTTGACAACATCCGCCTTCCCCTCCTACCACCCGGTCCATACCTCTCCTCCGACGCAGCCTCGGACGGCATGTCGGATGATGTTGAAGTTTTAGACGAAGCCCCAGTGCATATGCGGAAGAAGCAGATTCTCATTGATCTGCTGTCTGAGAGCGAGGAGGAGGGCGAGGCGGAGGAAGATGAAAAGACACCGAAAGCCGGTCCGAGTAGGGGGAGGAAACGTCGGGCGTCCTCCTCGCCTCCTCCGGTCAAGGCGGGGAAGGGACGCGGTGCTGGTCCAGCCAATGCCTACACCCTCGGTTCCGCCGTCAATGGCACTGCGGGCGCGGCAGGTCGTCCGGTAAAGCGGGGCCGAAAACCAAGCGGCGGAAATGTGTTCGGCGGCGCGGAGCAGCCTGTGGCGGGTCCGAGTCGGGCGGCGGCGGCACCGGTCCCAGCGCCTCGAGAGCCAATGATGCATATCGCATTCGGTGACGAGGATGCTATGGAGGTGCCTCTGGGGTGGGGCGGTCTGGGCGTACCGGAAAGGAACCTCCCCGCGGCCGCCCCTGTCCTTGCTCCTGCGGCGGCGAGACCTGCTCCTCTTGACCAACCGCAAGTGCCCGCCGCCGCTGCTCCACCCGTCGCACTCCCACCTGCACCCGCCGCTGCTCCACCTGCTGCCCTCCATCTTCTTCCCGCGGCCGTACAACCCCGCATTGACCCCCTCCCCCAACCCGCCCAGCCCGAGCCTCGGCTCGCAACCGACTTCATCCCCGTCGTCCTCGAAGTCCTCCCGGACATCTGCACCGACTGGGCCCTCGAGCGTATTTCCAACACCATGGCGATGGGCAAGATTGACAATCCGGCGATGACGGTCATTCAGATGGCGTTTGACGTGGTGGGCGGATACCCCAAGGCGAAGAAGGGCGAGGCTGGGAGTTCGAAGAGCAAGGTGGTGGATAAAGTGGCCGAGGAGGCGTTCCGGTCGGTCGAGTACAAGAAGGACGAGCGGCGTGGAGCATTCTACGACGACCAGAGTCAGAATCTGTTGCTGGAGCTGCTGCCTATGATTCCAATGCCTCAGTAAGCTCATTTCCTTATGACAACGGGAAGTCGACTGACCATTCAGTGTCAAAGCGGCCTTTAGGACTACCGGCTCCCTCCTCGCTCCTGCCTACTTTGCCTTGCTTGCCCAATCCCAAAACGCCGACAAGCCCTACATCCCCCTCAAAGTCGGACGGAATGCCAAAGGCAAGGCGAAAGGACTGCTGAACGAGCCATACACCGAAGACGAAGGGGCCGATCCCAACAATCCGTTCGTCGCGCAGCGAAAGAGGGACGGGCGGACGATGTATGATATGGAGCGCAAGTGGCTCGCGGATCATCTGCGTGAGTTACGAAGTGCGTGATGCACAGGACAAGTGCAGTAGCTGACGAAAACAGGTAGAGAGGCTGAGGAGAGCGATGCGCAAAAGGCGAGGGAGATGGCTCGTGCGGAGGCACTGGGGAATGGAGGTGGAATGGAGTGCGGATGTTGCTTCACGGACGAGCTCATGGTAAGCTGTCGTAACTTCACTGTGGTCCCGAGGGCGGAACGATGAGCTGACATGACCAGGAGAACATGTTCCAGTGCTCTGAAGGCCATCTCTTCTGCCGCGACTGCACTACCCAGTACTGCGAGACCAAACTCGGCGAACACAGCCATGTACGTAGCATCTCGTGGCCCTTCAGACAAAGCTGACGTATAGGCCATCACTTGCATGGACGTTTCAGGCTGCACGTCCCTCTTCCCCGACTCGGAACTCACCCGGCTCCTCGCTACCAAGTCCCTCCTCCTATACCACCGCCTCAAGCAGGCCGCCGAGCTCAAACTCGCCAACATCGACGGCCTGGAAGCGTGTCCCCGGTGTGACTACTCGGCGATCATCGATAACCCACACGAGAAACTGTTTAGGTGTATGGCGCCCGACTGCGGGACGGTCAGTTGTCGGAAATGTCGTCGGGTCGAGCACCTGCCCAAGACGTGCGAGGGTGAGCTTGATCTTGCTTTTCGTCGTCAGAGTTCAGAGCTGATCAATCAGAAAATGAAGCCGAGTTGAGAGCGGACAAGCGACATACAGTCGAGGACGCCATGTCGGAGGCACTGATCCGGAAATGCCCGAAACCGACCTGTGGGAAGCCATTCGTCAAGGATGGGGCTGGGTGCAACAAGATTATCGTGAGTGATACATCAGAGTCGAGATGTAGTGGCTGATGACAATAGTGCAATCAATGCCAAACCGTCTCGTGCTATGTCTGCCGAAAGATCATCACCAATGGATATGCTCACTTCGACCAAAGTGAGTCAAGTGACGTATATCGGTGGTAGATCATGAGCTGACTTGTAGATCCTGCGGATTATCACGCGCCAAGAGTTTCTGGGAAGTGTATTCTTTGGGATTACGGAAGAGTCGCCGAGACCGCCGAGGTAGGCTTTTCTTTTTCCCGTATTGCGATTCTGACTGATGATCAGGTCGTTGCCGCCCGAGCTGCCGCTCAAGAACGCGCCCGCGCCGCAGCCGAAGCTGACGGGGTCGCTATTGCCGATGCCGATCTGCACGTCCCGCCACCCCCGGAGGTCCCACACCCTCACCGTCCTCACCACCAAGCCCACCACCACCACCACCACCACCATCATCAGCATGTACTCGACCCCATTGCAGCACAGTTTAACGCCCAATACCAAGGGGCTGCCGACGGTCCCCAGCTCGAGGCTCTTTACCGAGCTCAAGTGCAACGCTTGCGCGAAGGCGCCTTTCTCGCAGCGGAGGACCAGCGACGGCAGATGCTGCAGCTGGACGCTATCCAAGCGGCCCAGTTGCGGGAGCTTCCAGAGGGCATCGCGAACCCGGGATACAACCCCGCCGAGGCGCGCCGGCTTATGGCGATCTTCCGAGCGGAACGGGCGGCGCGAGACGCTGCGGCGGCTGGACTGCCGGCCCCACCTGGACCGGCCGCTCCGGTACCGGCACCCGCGCCGGCAGCAGCTGCTGCCCCCGGAGGACGCGGTGTACGAGTCGCACCCGCCGTTGAACCTCAGCCGTATCCTCAACCGGGGCAACCTGTTCAACCTTTGGGGGCCGAGGGGCTACGGTATGCTGCCAACCTCGCCGCGCAGTGGCAGGCGGTACCGGCGCTAGGGGACAGGGTGGAGGATTGGCGGAGGTTCGGCGAGCAGCAATTGGAGAGATATGGGGCGGCGGTTCATCCGGATGCGGCGGCCAGGGCGGCGTTGCCGCGACCTCCAATCGAGGTGCCTGCGCGGGCGCCTGTGCCGGCGCCGAGGGTTCCGAGGATCGCGAGGGTCAAGGCGGAGAAGCGGGCCAAGTAGGAGCTGCGGCGAAAAGAGGATAGGGAAGATAAAGGGTTATGGGTTAAGCGGTGTTCACCTTTTGGGTTCGGGTGGGGTACGGGTGGAGTGGTGGTAGATGGTTTTCGTGTGGATAGCGGAGGGACTGTTGTATTCAGATCGTGGGGCGTACGAGGGGAGGGTAATGTGTATAGTTGTTTCCTATAGATAGGTCTTGAGCGGTGTAACCTTCATGCAGCTGTGAGTAGTAGATCATCACTGGCTCTGATATAGAAGTGCCTAGCTTCGCGATGACGTATTGAGCTGACTTCGTGGTCGCGCCTGACCATCGCCTCCACTCTTGGCCTCTTGCCTACACTACTTTGCCCACAACCTTGTCTTGTTACTATCGACAGCCGAGCGCGCTCGATGAGGCTACCGCTTGACTTGAAACCTTTGACGCAGGCTGTAAGCTCGCTCGGACGGCCATCGACATCGCGCCACAAGGTCCAGATTCTGACGTTCAGGATGTACCGGATCCCGCATCTCAAGGCTTCGATGATTGGCTGGACGAGATTTTGGCTTTCGGTGATAGACTAGTCGACTCTATGGAGTGAGTTCTACATCTTCTCATGTCAGGGAGCTATAGGGCTGATCAAAACTCAGCGGCTGGAAAGCCAAATCGTCCAAATGTGGAGGGATGGTCAAAATCAGAGTGCTGCAATCTGGCGAGGTAGGTCGCCGGCGCTACACTGCACACGCCTCGCGCCTTACGGTACTTAAGTACTGAGCTGCTAGATCAGCAGGTCGTTGGGCATATCCGAGCACTGGTGCGGTCGTACATCAAGACATACTGCCGAGAGCGTCACTGCGGGAGGGTCTTCGCAAGCGGGCATATATGAGCGCTTTCGGTCAGGCTTGATGGAGGATCACTCATTAGTGAGTGACAGACTCTGATCCTGATGCTACGCCCAGACCTGACTTGTTCACAGCACGAGCAGGAATACATCGAAGCGCTAAAGGAGAGTGACCGTCTCCAAGTCTTTCAACCGAAAGTCGCCGAGGTCTGGAGACTTGCCTTCAAGACTCCACCGCCTAGCACACCAAGAACATTCGTCATCTTATTGCTCACGAAAGAGACGAAACCAGATCCCAGAGGGGAACGGGCATTCATCAACAGTAAGTTACCGTCGTACATCATACGGTTGAATCTTGGGTCGAGGCTGATATTACGCAGTCTCGATCCCATTCCATCATCCTGATTGTGTACCAAAAGAGGGGAAGGAGAAGTCGAGGGTGCGTGGAAAGTATGTCTCTGTTGAGCGTATACAGGAGACGGAAGGTGGAAGATCCGTGGAATGGCGGATGGCGACAAGCAGTGATGCTGGTGGTGAGTAGAATCGTTTTCCTCCCATTCCGAGGGTGATTGGATATGCTGATATGGCAGGGAGCATTCCACAGATACTCACCAGGGTGAGCCTACCGAGTAGTATAGCGGAAGATGTGCCTTGCTTCCTGGAGTGGCTAGCTAAGCGTTCGATATAATGCAGTGTTTGCAGAGCATGATATCAACTGTACACTGCCCATGTATCATCCAGCCAGGTCATGGACTCTATCAGATATGCGAGTCACCATCGCATGAGCACTATATGTTTACAAGAGGACCTAGCTCTCATCATGGAACCTGACGTCCCTTCCCCCTTTCATCCGGTCCGCCGAATCAGGCATTTCCATTTGCGCTGGAGATTGGGTTACCGAGGACGCACTGTCTGTCTCGCGAATGGGCAGTTGGCCCATACCCGCCGAGATGGGGGGAGGCAATCGCGAGACGTCGTGTAGATTCCCTCGTCTACCTCCTCCGCTCTCACTAGCTCCGGATCCTTCAGTACCATCGTTGTTATTGTTTGTGTTGGATCGACTGAACGTCAAAGTACGCGCCCTTGATCCTGCTTTGCCGATTGGGATGGTTACTCCGTGGACGATAATCGAGGTGAGAACGAGGAAGTACACGACGGGAGTGATGACTTCGCGCAGATGTGTCGACTCGGGGTTGTCGGGCAAGGTTTCTAGAGCTATTTGCACATAGAACACCGCGCCGACACCTGAAGATTAGTCAGCTATACTCCAGCCAAAGATAGACACGGATTTGATGTCGGACTTACCGATGGGTCCAAAGAATCCGGCAAAGAGGGATTCGCGCCATGATGGCAAAGCGGGAATAAATTTGCTCTGACAAGTCAGCTGAGCAGTTCAAGATGACTTACCCATAGCATGACCCATGGAAGTCGCCTGACCAGCATCACCAGGATACCCAGGATAACCAATCGCCACGGGGTTATACCGTACCACTCCCCAAAGTGACTCCAGGGTAGGATGGCCCCCACGTAGATGAAGATTGCCTGCAATCAGCACCGGCCAGAGGGCACAAGGAGGACGGTCACGTACACTGTTGATCAAGTTGTCAATAACATCTTGGAAAGCGTGATCCTCCGTCTCTTTTCGAAACCAGTCGTCCCAAGTGAAGCTGTTGCCCACGACGAAGCAGCAAAGAATATCATCCGAGCCAATGATTCCGACGATGCCGAGAGTGAAGAACGTAAGGGCGACGCCGAAGGCGAGGAAAGACTCGTGGTCGATGAGCCTGCGTGTCAGCAAGAAGTACTCTTCCTTTCCATCATCTGACGTTGCCAGACGTCATAACTATTTACTCTTTGCTTTCCGCAAACCGCAATGCCTTGCGTGCGATATAGCCAATGATAGTTCCGAGGATACACGAGAGGACGATCTGATACAGAACGATGTTGTAAAACCTAGACTCAGCACGCTGTGCCAAGGCTAGACTCACCATTCCAAAACTGCTCCTCCGACAGTATGCCACCGGTGTGTTGGTTCGTGGATGAGAATCAGGTAAAGCGGGATGAACAAGAACGGGAAGCCCAAGCCATCGTTCGCTCCTGCTTCCGCCACGATGATGTTCCGGACGCTGAGGGGGACATGTTCCTCTGCAAATCGACCTAGTATCAGGGCCATTCCAGCACTAGTTGCTCACCCTTGCAAATGGAGTTTGCCAATACCGGATCTGTCGGGGTAACGCAACTCCCAATGACCAGGGCTTCCACGAATGATAGACCAGGTATCAAGCCCCACACCAGCAGACTGGTGACGAACCAGGCTGTCGTCATGATCGGCAGCAACAGCGTTGTAAGACTGAGCCATTCTTTCCGAAGATACGCCTTGGGCAGGGAGATTCCTGTAAAGAGCACTTGGATGGCAATGACGATCCGAGTGATTTGATGCGTGAGGCTTTCCAGGTCTTTTTCGCTCCCGCCAACCCAGTCGAGGGGGTTGAATATATTCGCACATAGCGGTCCGAATATGATACCTGCGATGGTGGCCAATAGTGCTTCGGCTGTTCATTTGTTAGCAGGCGATACTGGATTCGACGATCTAGGCGACAGGGACTTACACACGAAGAGGCGCTCTTTCAGCAGATAGGAGACGAGGCCGATACTACAGACGTACCCGCCCACTACAGAGAGCGCCAGCGAGACATTATTGATGTCAATAGCCACCATTACGATCGCGCTGACTGATGGTACATGTCTACCATGTCTATCATCGAGAAGTCGACCATATCAAAGTCAACAAATCGCGCAAGTACGTAAGTTGCGTCATTTCTATTTTTAGGCGCACAGAAGCTGAGCGCTGAAGCTTAAGGCAGTGTTGCAGCCAAGTTGCAGCTCAGCTAGAGTATGTGCAACGCAACTCTCGCATGCGATAGCTACAGTCATAGACTGCATAGACTGTAGCTACACGACTGTGGCTACAGACGCATGCTCACTTGGACTATTGATCCTTCTCACATGCTCCATTGAGGAGGTCACACCCTTCAGCACTCTGATGCCTGATTCTTCGCCAAGCGCAAAGTCCAAGTGGACTCGAAGCTTGAAGCGTTGTCGGCCAGACGCCATACGTGAGCAGGGAGCATCTGGGGAGCACTAGAGCTGTGATACATCTTGCTTTCTCACATCCCGGCACGGTCAGCACTTTACTGGATCCTAACTACTTGCACGTGATTGGCCACCTTCCGTTCGCCACCCTATATTTCGCCACCCGTCGACGAAACGCCACTCTCGCTTTCCTCCATCCAGTGGGCCGTTTCGAAGCCCGCTACGCGCCTTCCTATTCACACATGCTCATATGACCAAATGACCGGCATAAGCGCCGGAACTGAGAAGATAAAGGGGAGAGCGTGCAAGCTCGTGACCAGAGCTATCAGGCACAAAGGGGTCACTGATTGCGCGGAGATTCTACGATCTTGGCTGACCTGTAAATGTGCTTGAGGGTCGGCTGGCCTGGAGCAGGAGGATTATAAAGAGGAGCACCGCTTTGTCAGTTCGCATTGCCTCCAGACTACCTTTCCCTTACAGTCTGTTGCTACTGATCCAGCTACAACGTTGAAGTTTGGAAGGTAGAAGTACAAAAGCAGAATCAAGATGCATTGGACACGATCAGGTCTACTTATATAGTCCTGCTGGCGTCGCTGCGTCGCGACACCGACGCGACGACACGACGCCGACGAGTCGCTGGGACGTCGCTAGACGACGTCTCACGTCTCTATGTGCTATAGGATACTTGGGTGGCGGCGTTGCCTCGCCGCCACTCAGCGCCGTCAGTCCGACACTAATGTAAAGTGTCCGGACACCCGGACAGACAATTCTGTCCGGCCCGTACAGTGACTATCCCGGATATTCACCTAGCGCTATCTCAGATCCAGTCGGCGCCGGCGCGGCGCCGCGACGCCGTGACGTCGCTGCGACGTCGCAAGGACATCCAGCGACGTGCTCCTGTTCTGAGATCTGTCGGCGCAGTCGCCCAGCGACACGCCGCTATGCTCCTACAGCCAACATACAACACTCCCTTGAGCATCCAGTCATTACACTTAACACGTGTACCGGGCAGCGATGCCTTTCAGATTGGGCAAAAACAAGAGGGAGACGGGTGGCAAAGAGGCAGGGGGCAAGAATCCACAGGGAGTCACTGTGAGGAATCCGGCAGACGACCTTTCAGACACGACGGTCAAGGACCATCGCGCAGCGATGCTGGAGCGCAAGACACCGACGGAGCGCAGCGATTTGGAGGATGCCTTGTCCCGAGAGCCCACGAGTGTTTTCGACGACACCAGCAGCGACGAAGATGGGCCTGAATCACTCTCTCGCAGTCTGCTGTCACTGTAAGCTGGGGGCCCTCTCCCCTCTCTACACCTATACAGAGGAAGTTTGCGCTTACGACGGTAGCTTGCAGAAGTCCAGAACATCACCGCCGGTCGGAGTCCGCAAACATTCCATGTCGGCCAGTTGGCACAGTGACAAAACAGGCGCGGGCGCTTCGTCCACCTCTCCCACCAGCTCGCGGACCACCAGAAAGTGGATGGTGAACAGAAGCAAGACCAATGAGACCGGGACGAACGAGGAGTGTCAAGAGCTGTCGGCTGCTCCGGGCTCAAGCCAGCAGTCCCGCAAGGCGTCGACCACCGAGGGCAGCTGAGTTTCGACCGTGGAAATCAGTCTTCCGAGATCGATGATGGCCTGACAAATAGAGTTCCCTATCTATGCAACGCTTGGACCGTGACTGGAGTTGAATGCAATTACCCAGCCGCTCTGACTGCCTATAAAGATCTCGCTACATCGTGATTGAGGGGAATGTGCTCGACCTCCTTGCCGCGTACTTGGGCGTGGGAAGCTGGCGAGCTACGTCTGCATGAGGTCTTATTGGATAGACAGCCCGCACATATACAGCTCTTGTGTTCTCACAGCCATTGGGTTTTTCAGCTCGATACTTCGATGTCCTGTCTCTGGGCGACATGGAATGTGCTAGAGAGCAGTCGCAGATTCAAAGTGGCTACTCCTCTTGTGGGCAGTCCTACTGCAGGCAACGCGGCGGAGCCTTCAAAGCACGTGCACGTCTTGATGCCTTCTCCTTTCAGCCTTCGTTTCGGAGAGTTGGCCAAGTCTCTCATGTCGTGCTGCGGCTGGACACAGCTTCGTGTTTGGGTCATCCTGGGAGAGACTCCGCCTCGCCACCCATCATTTCTCGACGGCGAGATCAACATCTGGGTTACTTTTGCCACTCACTTTCTCCCGTCCTTTTCACCTATCACTCGCCTCCAAGCTCGTATTACAAGCAGATCATCAACCAGTGAGCATCTCTACGGTTGTAGAAGACCTCAAGGCATGACGGGAGAGATACATAAGTCTGCGGAAATGATCCGATACCCCATCTCGCGACTTGCAGGCGGCGGAGATGCGAACAGTCAACTTTTGCCGGCACAGAGCAGAGGTGGAGGTACAGAGGGTACCCACACAGTCTTCGAGGAGGACTGCGAGACAGGAGGTGCGGTGGGGCCACAGCAGGTGGAAAGGAATATGTCCGCGGGGGCTCAATCGCTTGGCGATCATACACGGGATGGTACCGTATTCTCGGGCGATGAGTCCAGCTTGGATGACGTGCCTTGGCCTCAAGTCCATGTCCATGGCGGTGAATCTCATACATCCGCGCCAGATGTACCTCCACGTCGCAATGTTCTGTCGGAAGAATGGCTCAGCGACCTTCCCGTCAATACAACAAGCCCATACGAAGACGTTCCCCTCACATTCGACACATCAGTACTTGCCGTTCCAGAACACGGCGGAGACTCGGGCCAGGCAGGCATGACCGAGCCGGCTGTGATCAGCGCCGCAAGGTGAGCTCTTTTGGTATCGCAAGGACGTGGATCTACTGATCCTCAGCCAGGGGAAACTGAAGCGGCCGAGTTGGAAATGGTCCTGCAGCTGGCCGTCAAATTGCTGCCGCTCTGCGTCCAATGGCGAGGGGTCTCAAGAAGAAGATGAGAGCAGAATGGAGCGCATTCGAGTCGTCCACAGCCTGGCTAGTCATGGCCCGAGCGTCGTTCCTATGCGCTCGGATCTACCTGGAACGCGGACGGCAGAGAACATCCCCACGAGCCAGCCGAACACTGCATCTGGGCCTTCTCATCACTCGAGCTTGAGAGTCCCGACGAATGCTTTACAGACGTACCATCTTACTGGCCGCCCACCCCCCTTCACCATGAGCCAAGGCATGCTGCAGCAGGTTGGACTCCAGGAGGCTGCAAGCCGCTGAGCATCCCAGACATCATCGTTCCCGTTTCAAGCTTTTTTGATCTATGCACGTCTGCAGCTCCACCTTCCCTGTCATCTCTCTGCCGCCTTCGTATGCTTGCCGCAGGCTTCCTTCTTGCAGTCTCAGCCTCAGATGTGCTCATATCTCGTCCACATGATATGCATCCGATGCTGATCGCCGCTCGTGTACAGCCCGAGAACGCTGGGGAGTAGTTCGGAGATCGACCTTAGCAGGATTCGGAGGCGCCAGTCACAGTACCGCCCGAACGGATCCGTAGTTGAGATAGATCCAGCAGCTGAAGGAACATGCCAGACCAAGCCCAGCGACCACTGACAGCTCCGATTGCTGTGCAGCCATCCTTTCAGCCTTTGCTCAGCGAAACACTCTAGAAAGACTGATAACCACGTTCATAGCTAGCACCTTTGATGCGAGCCCCCTATGCCCCCTTACACGTCATAGCACGTGCTCAGCATGTGGCTATTGGTCAGCACGCTGTTAGAAGTCCGCTCGCTGCGCGGACTATATATGGGCGCCGCACCGACAAGATCCCCCTCATCCTTCCCATATTCACCACTCATTCTCGATTCAAGTCTTCCCTACTCACCTTGTTCTGATACTACCCATCAAGCCTTCGGTCCTGCACTCCACAACAATGTCTTCTCGTGATGACCGCACCGCTGATCCCAACACCACCGAGGGAGGTGCCCCGCGTACCTCCTCCATCCCTCCGTCCATGACCGATGAAGAGTCGCGCGGCAAAGCGCCGTGGTTCTCAAAGCTGTTGAAGTCATGCAAGCCGGGCGACGGCGGCGAGGCATCAGACACAGACTCTGAGCCCCCCTTGACTGATCTCCGGCCCGAGCCCAGATCCATGCGCCCCGAAGACTACGCCCAAAGCACTCCTGCGTCTGCTGGACCCAGTACTGCGAGGCAGAGCACTGCCCCTCACGCAGTGACGGCTTCCGGACCCGCTGGGAGGAACACACATGCGAGTGCATCCAGCAACAACGAGGTTCCACCGTCGACAGACGTTGCCAGGAAACCCTTCACGGGACGTCCTCTCCGCTCGCAGACCTCAACCCGCTCCCTCCGCGGCCGCGGAACATTCCACAACAGCTATCCGCGCATCATCAAGCCTCCTCAGCCGCCGTCGAAGCCTTGAGTGACGTCTTCACTACGCCGTAGATGGCCATATACACGAAGGGCCTATCTGATGCATTACATTACTTCCTTGCTTCTCATCTACCTGGCCGAGCTTCGTTTCCATTTCTCGCCACTTTCAGCCACATCCGCCACTTTTGCCACCCATCCTTCCCTTTCCCCCAAAAAGTCCAAATTGATAATAGATACAGATGTAGAGTACGCCGAGACAGAGAGTGGTGGTTTGTGTCGATGAGGCCCGGTCTAGCCGGCTGGTGTATCATGATGCTTGCTGAGTATCCGCCGCGGTTGCGTCCGTGATATGATTGTTGTATAGCTTGGGTAGGATGCCTTGGCGGACCGAGATGTTTTCTGACCCGTCAAAAGAACGAGCCACCTGATACGTCAGCGCTGCCCCAACGTGATATCATCCACAGCGCAGACGGTCAACTCACCGAGGCATCATCCACGACCGCCCTGACCCTCATATACACTGCCCACGGATACGACCTCGCCTCCATCCTCGCCAGTACCTCTTGCGCGCGGTCCTGCTCCCCCGCACTCATCTCTGCCCTGACCATCGCCTCATACGTGCTCGGCTCGCGGTACACCATCTGTGTCGGCCCCTCCGTCATCGTCTGCGGCTTGGCATACCCCGAACTCGTCAAGAGCAGAGGATGGTTATTTGGCGCCGCCACGCCGGTGACTGAGTCCCCCATCGACTCAAAGATGGCGCGGGACTCGTCTATCCGCTCCAAGCGCGCATAGCCCGTAATGAGGACATTGTAGACGTACGCCGTTGGCTGAATACCGGACGATTGCATCCGCTGGCGCATGGCTTCGAGGTCGGCCAGCGTCCCTCTGTGCGCAATGACGTTGAGGATCGCCTCCCATACGATGGGATCGTGCACGGCAGGCCGATTATGGACAGGACCAGGAACCGGCATGTCGAACCTCTCCATGGCTTTCGCGAGGTCGTTCCCGTAGATACCGTAGGCGGTGATGAGACTGGCGACGTGAGTGCCTTGAATACGGACCGAGCTGTCCGCGCGCAGGTCGGCGAATACCCGCTCCATCGCGACGAGGTCGATAGGTGGGAGTGTGGAGTAGGCATCCAGGAGGAGTTTGTAGGTGTGTGCGGAGGGGGGTACGCCGGCTTGACGGAGGAGGGTGTAGTAGTGGAGGACTTTTTGGCGGGAGGCGTTGTTGTTGATGAAGAACTGCATCATGGTGCTGATGATCAGCTTTACTCTGTGGCAAAAAGAGGAAAAACTCACTTGTAAGGAGGCACTCTAGCCCTGAAATTCCCCTGGTTCCGCATCTCATCAAAGAGCGTTTCGGCCGACTGGGCATCTCCGACTCGACAGCATGCGTTCTGGCCATCAGCTGCAGCTCAAACAAAGACTCCGAATGACTCACAATGACAGCACCGTATGTGACCGAGCTAGGCGTAATCCCTGCCGCTTTCATATGTCCAAACAGATCCAGCGCGATCTCCGCCTTTCGCGCCTTGCTCAACTTGCTGATGATCGTATTGTAGAGATACAGATTCGGCACGACGCCCATCGCTTGACTCTCGTCAAACAACGCACGCGCAACCAGCGCCTCATCCGTCGTGTCCTTCGAGCTGGCAATCATGGTCGCATAAGCGTCGGCCGAGGGAACCATACCGGCGTCTACTATCCGCTGACGATGTATGCCCGCCCGCTCGAGGTGGCCGAGATGACACGACGCAATGAGCATTTGCGTCTCGATCTCGAGCCACTGCGAAGGCGCGAGGTGCTCCTCCGTGCCGGCAATAATGTCTTGGCCGAGCATGTAGAGTTTCGAGACCGCCTCGTCGGCGCCTTCTCGACTGAGCGAGTTCATGAGCCGTCCGATGGATTCTATGCGGGGGACCTGACCTCCCTCGAGGGCTCTGAGGAGGATATCGTACGCCGCCTGAGGGGTAAAGCGGGCGTTCCGACCAAAGTGAGCGTCGACAACTGTCGATAGGTGCCTGTCAATCTTGTAGCGAGCCGGGGCCGTGGAGGGTGTTTCCGAGGTGTACGAGGATGGAGCTTCAGGGATGGAGAATGTGGAAGAAGGAGGTGTGGTTCCGGTCTCCGAGACGACATTGTCCGAGCCCGACTCGATCTCGCTGCCCGGCAGCTGGATCCCCGTGCCCTCCAGCATAGCCGCCGCCCGATCCTTGCCGAACCTCTCGACGAGTACCCCCGCATGCCCCTCCAGCTGCTTAGTGGCCGAAGCGAGCAGCTCCGCCCCATCCGGACCCGTGAGCCGTGCCCTCAAATCCGCCCACTGCTGCTCCAACACCTCGTCAAACCCGCCCTCGCTATACCGGTCCCAATCCCGCTTCATCTTCCGCGTCAACCAGAGCAGTTTTCTCAACTCTGCGAATCCCAACTCGCCAATCATGGACGCCCACGCTTCGGGGTCGGCCGCCCGATCTTCGACATACTTGTCGAGTAAGACCGAGACGATCTCGTTTGACCTCTCGATGTCCATCCCGACGTAGTCAGCCGAGCGGAGCAGGGCCAACAGGCGGGTGAAGGGCAGAGTCGGCGCCGTATTGATGACGAAGGGGACGAACCACTGGTCCCACCCACCGACAATATCATTCGACTTTTTGAACTGGCGCAGGACCGCCTCGCCCTCCCCTTGAAGCCCATGCTGCTGGAGCACCTCAAAGTGGTCGCTGACCGGGAAGCCGAGGAGACTTTCATCCTTGTTGAGGAGGAGGGCGGGGATATGGGTGAGGATTTTGCTCGCGTCCTCGGGGTCCGAGGCGGCGCGCGCAGCCGCAACGATCGCAGTGTAGAGGTGGCGCGTACGGGTGGAGTCCGATTCATGGCCCAGAGCGTTGAGCAGCTCGAGCGCTTTCCGCCAGTGGCGCGCAAAGATGAGGCGGTCGATAAATTCGAGCGCCTCGGTGAGGGGGAGCCGGCCGAGAGCCGAGGCCGAGATTTTTGACTCGAGCTCTGTATACTTGGCGAGCGCGGCATCCGCGTCTCTTTCCGCCATGCCGACGATAAGGGCGGCGTACGCGTCCGCCTCCTGGTCGAGCTCCGCCGTAACCTCAGTAGCCTTCTCCGCTATGACCAGCGCGACAATCTCTTCCGCCTTTTCCGTCTTGCCCAGGCGCGCCAACTGCCTGATGGCCGTTTGATACGCGGCCATCCTTGCTCCTTTCCTCTGTACCGCAATCTCCTGCTCCGACAAATCATCCTCCGCCCCCGCCTTTGTCCACGCACTGAGCCTATCTCCCTTGCCCGCCTCCTCCGCCTCCCTAAGCTGGTTCCACTTTTCCAGGAGCTCATCCGCATGCCCCGCATTGCCCAGCGCGCGGAAAACAGACTGGTACAGCCCCATCCGGCCTACCGGCTGCCTCGAGACCGCATGGTTGAACACCTGGCGCAATCCGCCGAGATCCGGTTTCGTCTGGGACGCAATCGCCTTGAGGATGGAGCTATACACGTCGGGCTGGAAACGCCAATGCGAGTTGTTTTGGAACACCCTCGCCGCCGAAAACAGCTTGAGCGCCGAGTTGAGATTACCCTCTGATGTGTAGCCCTCGACGAGGTCGGCTCGTTCCGCGTGTCGATGGGTGGTCGTGTACTCCCTCCCCATGCCCTTGTGGCGCCACTCCAACCAGTCCTCTTCCTTCTGCCACCGCTGGACCACGGTCCAGACGTCCTGCTCCCGCTGGCAGAGCGCACGGATGACGATCTGGTACGTCCGCATATTCGGCAAGAGGTCCCGTTCCAGCATCTCATTGTACGCTTCTAGGAGCTTGGCGATGCTCTCTCCGGGCCGATGGAGGATCATCAGCGCCTCGAGGCATGCGTTGTACGTCTGGACCGTATATGTCGATGGGAGGGGATACCGCTCGACCAGTTCCGGATCTCCAGGTTGAGTCCGTTTATCGAGCGGCGCCAGCTCCCGAGAGGACCGGTAGTGCGCTACCAGAGCTGCGAGTTTCTCCCGGGTACCGCGCTGGGGCACATGCCGACCAGTGCTGATGAGACCGTAGTAGATGGTTTGATCTTTGGCCTGCTCGATCTCTTGCTCCGGCGTGAGGCTTTTGGAGGGCATAGGGGGGACGGGGAGGTCGTCCCATGATCCCCGGGGGGCGTCGGTCGAAGTGGCGAGGGAGGAGTTGTATCGGCGGGAAGAGGATGAAGAGGGGAGATCTCGACCAGCGAGATCCATGAGGACGCGATGGGGTTGTGGGGAGGGTGGTGAACGTGAAGAGGTGGGTAGTGTGTTTTCGAGCTCTTCTGCTTCTGCGAGCTCCATCTCGACGTCCGGGAGAGGGACTGTCCCACTCCGACCAGAGTACGCTCGGAGCTGCGGCCGCACGTGCAGCCCCGTCCCCGTCCATACGTCCATCGAGGACGTACTCCGCCCCAACTCCCTCCTCCCTGTAGCCGTCCCCGCAGCTGGCGATCCAGGCCTGGACGTTCCCCCTATCCGCTGCGCCGAGGGATACGCAATAGAGCTCCGTCCCGACGACAATGACTGCTGCGAAGACGCAGCAATGTACCTCGCGGCCGCCTCGGGGTCGATGGACCGTACCTCCCCCTCATCCATCGTTATGGACCTGAGGAGCCGTACATCCCGCCCGTCAATTCGATTCCGGCCCTCTCCTTCTGCAGCGGCCGCTTGGGTCTGAGCGAATCGAGTCGCCTGGAACCGCCGACCTCGGGATAGAGTAGCGAGCTCTTGATCCCTCGTTTCGTCCGATATCCCAGAGGAGGGATCTACTGCCGAGGTCTGAGGTATACCTAGAAACGCACGAGCGTGGCCCTGTCTGTCAGCAGGAACCCTCTGCTCTCCCTTGCCAAGCATGAGAGAGAAGGACGTACGGTATACCCATTCCCGCCTGTTCCGGCTCCCCCGCCCCATCCTGCTCTTCCTGCATTCCCGGCGTTCTGGCCCGCCGCTTGCGTGGTAGACGGACCAGCGACGATGCCCTGTCCGCCAGACTGGGAGAAGTGGTGGAGTAGCGAAGGATTGGAGGTGAAGTGGTCGGGCTGCGCATGGGACGGTAGTCGCAGCAGAGGTCGGAGGTGGGATCTGGGGGTCAGCGGTGGCCTGTTGCAGCTAATTGGAGCGGGGCTTACAAGGGTTTACCGAGCATCTTGACCGATCTCGAGGGGGACGAAAGGGATGCGAGAAGACGAGGACACCCTCAGGTTGACTGGGAAGAACGAATAAGCCCTGGCTAGCCTATGATTCGTGTGGTGTCGTCGATGATGGTTGTGCTAAAGAGAACAACAGATCCTTCGAGTAGGTCGAAATATTTCTAACGATCTCTGCCGTAAGTGGAAAGTTGGTGGCGTGTTCGAGGTATGCGGCTGAGGTCGATGATCACGATCAAGAGATGGGCATCTCAGGCGTTGTAGATGTACCCAGTATAGCGGGGGGCAGGGGATAGTTATGGGGCGAGACAGGTGTACAGTGAGAGATGTAAAGGCGTAGAAGATCTGATCGACTCGCTCATCGCTCATCATCACCGAGCCTCGCCTCGTCTCGTCTCGGCTCGGCTTGGTGCGTCGTAACCGCCTCCGTGAGCCGGCGCGGGTTCTTCCGAGTCGGTGGCAAGTCGGCAAGTCGGGTGGAGATGGAACCGCTCCTTATGCATCCAAGTACTTGGGGATCGCATCTCATAGCATGGACAGTTCAGTCGAGCCGGGCTTCACCTCCCCGTTCACATGCATGCGGGAAAGAGGGCATCGTCTCCTCGCGATCGCAGCTTTCGGTGCATTTGCCACCCAGTACTGGACACCTCGAAGAGCCAGGAAACGTATGCACATTCTATGCGCAGGGGGATACAACTATGTACAGTCCCAGATCGTCTCCTTGATGAACCGGTCGTGATCATCGTACTTCCAACCAGGAAGTCAGCGGTGTGACACTTCCCACTCCACTCCCCATCGGCCCCATTCCACCCGGTATAGCGTTTCTGCACACCTACCGCGTCAGCTCATTCTTCTGTCTGCCCATCTTCAAGCAAATCTAGGCTCACCGGGCACTCTCCCTCAATGACCACACCCCCCGGGATCCTCCACAGCCCCTTCAACAACTCCACAACGAGCCCCTTCCCCCCCTCTGGATCCTGCGCGCCCTCCCCCGTAATCCCCAATCCCATCTTGGCCGCCTCCCAATTCTCCCGCTCCATCCCCGCCGCCTCAAACTGCCGTTCCGCCGCCCGCTCCATCTCTTCCCGCCTCTTCTGCCGCTCGCGCACGACGTGCGCCTGCAGCGTCGTCATGCTCCATTCGTACGGCTGCGCATCGGTCGATTCGGGTAGAGGGTTGTGGACGGGGTCAGTCTTGTGTTTGGCGCGGGTGTGGGTGGCGCGTGGTCGAGCTGGGGGACGGGCGGGGCCGGGGCCGGGGTAGGACAGGGGAAGGGGATTGGCGGATCGCCCAATGGCGGAGAGGAGGGTGCCATGTAGGCAGTTGGCGCAGAAGGCGTGGCCGCTGAGAAGTCAACGAGGATTCCAAACCTCAGAGCTCAAGATGAACATACCATAGTGTGGACACAGGTCGACTCATGCTGTCGAAACAAACAGGACAGGCTGAAAAGTCAGTCATGACCGGACTGACGAGCCTTGCGAAGTCTCCCATCCCTGATCGAATACGCAACCTTGCGCCCATCCCCTTCACCTCCCGGACCCCGTCTTCCACATCCCCCCTGCACTTCCCCTCTGAACCATTCCCGGATACTCACCAAGATCCTCCATCCCTTGACCCTCTTCCTCCTCCTCAACCTCCTCCTCATCCGTACTATCCAACTCATCCACCTCCTCCTCTCCTCCCCGCCCACCCGCCATCGCCGTCCGCTTCCCTTCCCGCCCACCCTGCTCGCCCCCATTCTTCCGCTTCATCCCGACCCCTTTCGGCAACACCTCCACTTCCGCATCCACCACCGCGCGTCCCTTCCCCTTCTCCGCACGCGTATACCGCCTTCCTTCCCTCGTGGATGGACTGAGCGCCGCGACTTGCTCGTCGTCCAGGGCCATGATGGATGAGTCGGAGGAGCTCTGGCTAGCCTGAGCTAGAGGAACAGGTATAGCCCGACGTAACTTTCCGTTACCTATGCCATCCCCTGCCGCTCCGGTTCCCGCGCCGGTCGGAGAAGCACCCCCTGACGAGACGCTCGATCCGGCGGTGGATTCCGGACTATCGACGATAAGGTGGGTAGGACGCCGGGCGGTATGTGAGACCCGGTTGATACGTGGTGGATTGGAAGGAGGAAGAGGGAGTGGAGGGGCAGGTTCATCCGGTTGAGCAGGGATAGGGATCGATATCCCTCGATTCGACCTGGACCTGGATCTGGCAACGATAACACGCGAAGATGCGGGTGCCGGTGCCGGTGCAGGTACGGGCGAAAGAGAAGGTGAGGGCGATGCGACCAGCAGAGCGCGCCGAGCGAGAGGTCGAGATCGTGATCCAACCGCCGCGGGAGGTGCAGGTGAAGGGGAATGAAGTTCGCGCTTGGGTATGAAGGGTTTTACGTCCGCTTCTTCCTCGCTTACATCGGAAGAGAAGGCTAGGTCATCTTGGGTTATACGGGTTTTCGCGGAGGACGGGAGAGGGCGGGATGGCATGATGACTGTGAGGATGGGTGATGTATGTAAAAGGACAATGAGGACCACAGTCAACCTTGCTTGCTTCACCTCCATCTGTGATCAGCAAAGGGTCACCTTGACGGAACGGGAAATGGACTTTCCCACGGTCAATGTCAGCTTTCGCCACCTGAAATGAAACCTTGTTCTCGTTCCACTGAAACGGAAGTGGCAGCGAGCACTCGTGGGTGTGGCACCCTTCGGGGAGGTCGATGCATCGCGATCGCAGAGGAGAGGAAGTACAATGCGGGCACGACTCTAAGAATGGCCTCCAGTGGACGACGAGTTGCCCAACACCACCGCTAGACTCTACTCCTCTGTGACGCCCTCTCAAGAAGAGCCCTCCCCCTCCCCAGAACCCCAACCCTCTGCACCTCTCCCCCAACCGCGACGATCGAAGCCCTGCCCTGCCCTGCCACAATCATGGTAATGGATCCTTGATCTCGATACACCACAGCACCGGCCGGCTCGTGCGCAGGCATACAGCCGGGTTCTCCGGTAAGAGGTGATTCGAAGTAGATAGCAGGCCATCCATCGATGTTTCGCCGTCTAAGACCAATATCAGCTACATCCCCTCGCCACATTCCAGCGCCTGAACCCTCGAGCGAAAGTTAAGGAGCTCACCGAGATCCCACTTGAGTCCTTCAGTCTTGACGACGGCGCTATCCACCCCAACCGGGAGAATCCCACACGTCTGCCCCATGGTCTTATGATCAATCTCAATCAGGTGAGATCCCTTTCCATCAGCTTGCCCCCTTTCTCCTTCTCCTTCTCCTTCTCCTTCTCGCTTTTCTCGCTTTTCTCGCTTATCGACGGGAAGGGAGGACTCACCTCGTCCAAGACCCAAGCGACACTCTCCCCATTCAACACATACACCTCGGACCGCCTCCCCCGGAGCTTGTGAAGCAGGGACATGGTATGTACCGTTTGGTCCACTCTTCCCGATAGGCCGCCCATGAGCAATGTCGGGATCTTCTATATCAGATTTCTTTTCCCCTTCCCCTTTCCAGCGCAAGCGCCAACGGTTGGGGAGCAAGACATGAGGAAAGCTCACCTGTTCACCCGCCTCTGACCCAGCCCCAGCTTCCCGCTCTTCCACCTCCGTTACGCACTTCATCAGATCCGTCGAGTACTCATCCTTGTCTTGCTTGACTTGGACGCCCTGCGCGAGTCAGCTTGATCCCTCTCTTTCCGATGAAACGAGACCTCAAGGGCGAGACTCACTCGGTCTGCGTAGTACCTGCGGACATCCGGACGTAGAGAGTCCAGATCGCCCTTGATCAGATCGGGGAGATATCTAGGCTGCTCAGCATATCTATCCCTTTGTAGGAGAACGAGCAGCTTACTCCTCCCTCTCGCCTTCGTTGAGGTGATCATGCAGTCGATTCGCCCCTCCATCCGCACATATCCTCAACGAGCCTAGGGGATCAGCACTTGTCCCGCTTCTCCATCTACCCCCCTGGTCCGTGCCGGTCACTTACTGGCTCTCCACGCTCGCCGGAACACATCGTCCCTCGTAATAGGCTGGTTCAACACAATCGTGGCGTATCGTTCCTTCCCGCCCGATGTCGAAGCAGCATCCTGATCTGACGGGCTGAACAAGCTCGACAATGACCACAGTCGCGGAGCTGGACCTGGATGTTCGGAGGACCACGATTCCGCGTATGCTCGAAAGGAGGGGGAGATGTGCGCGGGGATACGTACGGCCGCAGAGGGACCTGCATGGGACGCCCCGCCGCCGCTATCGGTGTCCGCCTCGGCAGGTTTGCGTTTCTGTTTCTTCCTGCCGTCCTCGCCTCGCTTTGTTCGACTTGAGCTTGAAGATACGGCCTCGCTAAGCCCTCTCAGCGGTGTCCTCGTTCATCATAGCGATAGTGAAGACGACATACGATGCATCGATGGCTATGATATCCCCGTCCCCATCCTCGTCCCCCTCGTCTTGATCCGAATCAACCATGACCGCCTCCTCTTGGTTCCTTCCACCAGCCACGGCTCCGCCTCTCAGGCGCTTGACGGCCCCTATGGCGCTAGCTGACCCCTTTCTGACTGATCCTCCGGAGGTCTCTCCCCGTCCCCGGCTGGATCGAGCGACCGAGGAGGACCGAGAACTCCCTGTACTGACACTTCCGCTTCCGCTTGCACTAGCCACTGTGCTCGCTCGACTGCCGCGCAGTGCCGCCGAGGCCGTACCTCCAGAGGCCGACACGGAAGCGCTGGCGCTAGCGCTCGTACCGTCCCGGAGTCGACGGCGGGGGAGGAGGGGGATATCTGCCAGTGTGGGCGGAGGGGCCTTGATTTCGTCCTCGAGGGGGATCTCCGATCCTTCCTCGAGCTTCATGCTGCTGTCGCCGGTGTATTCCAATTGAGAGAGCAAGGCAGCAACTTTTCGAAGCGGTCTACCTCGGCCTGGCCTGTGATGTTGGTGTGCTATGTGTATAGGGTAGATGCAGGCTTTGTCTGGGGCATGTACCTGCGCTGCCTCGCTCTACGAGTCTATGGACCGATGACGCACGGATCGGGTGACACGCCTAATCCGCTGCATCCAATCACGCCTAGCTTGACCCGCCGAGTTGGCTGCGCCTAATTCTTCCGGGATCAGAAGAAGCTGAGGCTGAATTTCAAGTGCAGCCAGCCTTTGTTCCTCCTATTCCATACATCTCTATCTCACGATTTACAGCGAAAGGACAAAGCAGTCACACTCGCTGCTCATATACAACAGACCGCTGTACCGAGCGCTTCTGACCTTCTCACACCGAAAACCGTATACTGATAGGACATGCCGAAGGTGAGTTACGATCTGTTTGTGTAGGGTGGCGCATGTGACTGAGCTGATGGGTTAGGCAAAGGGAAAGGTGCGTCTTGTTCCTGCTCAGTAGGACAGGGAGATGATGGATCTGAGATGCGCGATGGACGATTAAGTGGAGAGACGAAAGCTGATCAGTGTTCATCCTACCATCACCGCTCCCACTCTCGCCCATTACTATTCTTGCACTCTCGCACGACACGACCGAACGCTATCAACTGAATCCCAACATGTAGGGCGGTAAGAACAGGAGAAGGGGAAAGAACGATGAAGACTTGAACAAGCGAGAGTTGATATTCAAGGAGGATGGACAGGGTGAGTTACTGTTTCGAGCTCTTGGCTTTCGGATGACGAGGATGGCGACGATGAAGGGGAGGGGAGGGGAGTGTGGTACGGACTAGAGAGCGCCATGCGCGAGGAAAGGGGAGAGGCAAGACGGGAGCTTCAACTGACTGGGACAGAGTACGCGCAGGTCGTCAAGATGCTGGGGAATGGGCGGTTAGAGGCCAAGTGCCAAGATGGGGAGACACGGCTGGGTCAGATCAGAGGGCAGATGCGGAAGAAGGTGAGTCTGGGGTTTTGCGTTGGGAGAAGTCTTGGTCTTGGTCTGGGTCTCGGTCGGGCGTGATGGAGGATGAACGAACGCAGGAGCTGGACTGGCCAGAAGGACTGGTGTAATGGTCACGATGAGTGGGCGGAGTGTATGTTCAGCTATCAGGGCTAGACGAAAGGTAGACGACGCTTTGGTGGAGATGTCGAACCGGAAGAAGGAGTGTATTTCCCGCGCCGCGATATCGATCAGAGAAGAGAGGAGGAGCGGCCATACTCGCGAATTCTGCAATCACCCCCGCAGAGAGCTAAAACCCCCAGATCTGGATAGTAGGCGGCGACATCATTCTCCTCTCTCTACGTGAATTCCAAGACGGTATCGCGGACGTCATCCACAAATATACCGCAGACGAGGCACGGAATCTCAAGACGTATGGAGAGTTGAAGGCCGACTTCCAGGTGAATGACGCGGATGCGGGTGGTGAGTTGTTGTTTCTTTCGCTTTTTCCCTTCTTGGCCCTTTTCTGCAATGCCATCCATCCCGAAAATCCATCTCCAGACTCCCTAACTCGAGAATTGGTTAGGCTACTGGCTGACCCTTCAGGAGAAGGCTCGTCCGATGAGGAAGGCGGGATCGAATTCGAAGAAGCAGAGATTGACGATATCTGTGAGTTGCAAGCCGTCCAGACGTTGGAGGAAAGAAAGCTGACAGTAGTACAGAATGCTATTCGAAGTCGAGACTGTCCGGGGACTTTCGCATTGCATATGTACAATGTAATATGCAGAGCGTATACGATCCTCCAGCATGAGTTTCGACTGTGCGGGTCGGCTAATCTAGTACTCTGAATGGCTTCAGCTTAATCTCGATGTCCGTCCTCGCCCTTGAGAGCTCGAGAGCTCGAGTGGGACGGTGGGGACATGACAAGATCCAGAGTTTGGCTGCTCCCTTTCGGTTCCTCGTGAGATAGAATCTCACTCAACTTGCCCTGCCCGTCTTGGCCCATGGCCTCTTCCATTCATCAGCTGTCCATTCATCCGTCCTTATTATCCGTCCGCCTCAACCCTTTACTTACTCAGGCAGAATGACATCCTTCCACCCCCTCCCTCTCAACCTACCCCCCTCCGGACCTCTGCAGAACCCGACCGAGCCCAAACCCTCTCCGGACGGCTCATCGCTCAAGCTCCACACCGGCGAAGGCACCAACTACTGGCGTGTCCCCTTCCCGGCCCTGGGATCTCTAGTGCCCATGCGGGTATGTGGGGGTGCAGGCGTCAGGTCGGGGAGAAGGGGTTTGAGGTTCGGTGCGAGATTGAATTAGGGCACGAGTCGGGGCAGCGTGTGAGTACGAGCACGAGTACGAGTACGAGCATGTGTTGTACCGCGTTTCGTTTCGTTTGACATAGGGGGTTGAGGCTGATAAGTGCAGTTGTGAGCTCGCTTCGTTGACGTCTCTGATCCGATCTGAGAAACGGACGCGGAGGCTGACGGTGACCAAGCCGCTCTGCTCGTCCAGCTCTCTCCTACGGAGTGGGTCAAGACAGGCGCGGAATTCAACCTCGGAAAGCAGTGGCACGGCGTCGTAGTTTGCAATTCATTTTCCGACTGGTGAGTGCTATCCTCCCCAGTCCCTGATTAACCTGATTTCTTGGCCACTCGGCCACTCGACCCCGACGCAGAAAAGTTAAACTGATGTCCAGGTCAATTCAGACCACGTCCGACGCGAATCTCAAACGCTTGACAATCTCCTTTGACCCCACCTCGACCACACTCAGGGTCTACCTCGGTCCCGCGACCTCCTCTCCCTTCGTCCCGATGGGCGGGGACGGGGACCAAGACGACACCGCAGGCGATATAATGATCCGCCAAGTCAGCACATTCGAGCTCGCCTCGGCTGGTCTCGCCCACCTCGTCCCCGGCCAGGTCCCGCCCAATGCCGATCCGGCGGCCAAGCTCGCGGGTATGGAGATGACGGTGGGTCTGATGGCGTGCAGTCCGATGGGGGAGGGAAGGGGGCCGGAGTGTGTTTTAGGAGGTTTGAGATGCGGGAGGGGGTGCGGGATGAGGCGTAGCTTCTGGGTGGAGTAGGTGGGGTCTAGAGGGTAGCTATCAAGAACGATCGGGGGATATCGATATGCGGGTGGATACACATCGTCTTGAATATGAGATCCCGGTTAAAGTAGCGTCGTCCCCGCATGACGCAAAGAAAAGAAGCGGAGGGCAAAGATGAGGATTAAGATCTGGACCTCGTCTGGACGTCTGGACCAATGGTGCAAGGAATGAGGATCAGTGCAAGTCCGGAGGGTCCGGCGCCGGATCCCCATCAACTAACCTCAGCCTCTAAGCCAGCCCATCGAGCTGTCTTCACGTTCCAGTAATCCAGCCCAAATCCCCAGACCAGACCTCACGACGATGTCCACCTGGCGCACTCTCCCACTAAACAAAACCCCCTTCGAGCCCCTCCAAAACCCAACCAACCCCCAGCCTTCATCAGACGGCACCGAGCTCCGCCTCCATACAGGCTGCAAAAGCAACTACTGGCGCACGCCCTTCCCGGCCCCCGGACGCGCACCGGCCGATGGTGGGATGTGGGGGTTCAAGCGGAAGATCGGAGAGAAGGGGTTCGAGGTGCGGTGTGAGGTTGAAGTGGGGGTTGAGTCGGGGCAGAAAGTTAGTCCTGTGGTCTACCGTTGAGCCGGACTCGAGGTTGGAGCGTGCTAATCACTGCAGTTGTGAGCTCTGGGTGACAGGGACCGCTGTGCGGCAGTAAAGAAGAGTGATGAGCTGAAGCCGTAGTGATCAGGCGGCGCTGCTCGTACAGCTTTCACCGACCGAATGGGTCAAGACCGGCCCCGAGTACAACCATGGAAAGATGTGGCACGGCGTCGTCGTCTGCAACACCTTCTCGGACTGGTCAGTCCTCAACTTCTCGTGCCCATTCTATACCCGTTGAGATAGGCTTCACGCCAATACTCAAGCTGATGCTGATGCTGATTCTGATGCTGATGTACAGGTCTGTCCAGCCCCTATCGCCCCTCAAACGATTCACCATCTCCCTCGACCCCAGTCTTACCACACTTCGGGTATACCTCGGTCCCTCCTCCTCATCCTCTTCTTCTTCTTCCTTCTCGCCCTCTTCTCCTTCATCCTCCCCATCCGGAGGGGAAGAAGATGACATCATGATACGCGAGGTAAAGACATTCGGACTCGCCTCTGCTGGGCTGTCCCACCTCGTCCCTAGTCAAGTTCCACTCGATATGGACCCAGCGGCGAGACTGGGGGGGATGGAGGTCATGGTCGGGCTGATGGCTTGTAGTCCGCTTGGAGAGGGGATGGGGCCGGAGTGCGTGTTTAGGAGGTTTGAGATGCGGGAGGGGGTGAGGAGTGAGGCGTAGGTAATGGGACAGATGGCGTTTAGGAGCGACGCAGCTACGATGCAATACTATCATTAGATGCATCCCGATAAACGTGTCCTATACGTCGAGACGAGGTCTCGCCGTGCGCGACCGACACTCGCATGATCTATATCGTGAAGCGGGGTCAGTGAGGCCAACGGACGTTCCTCCTCCGCACTTTTATGCGCAAGTCCGCACGGTACCGCCGCACCAGATGCAGCAAAACCGCAGACTTCGCTCCTTCATCTTGCCTTTGCACCTTATCTCTCCTGAGCTTGTCAGTCTCTCTGTCGCCCACTCAGCTCCAAGATGCCTTCTGCCTGGACGACCGTCCCCCTCAACTCCCCCGATTTTGCCCCTCTCGGCAACCTCGTCAACCCCAAACCCTCCTCAGACGGCTCCGAGCTCCGCCTCAACACAGGCAACGGGACAGACTGGTGGCGCGTCCCATTCCCTGCTCCGGGGCGGGACGATACCTCTGGGGGGGTATGGGGCTTTAAGAGGAAGATTGGGAAAGAGGGGTTTGAGGTTCGGTGTGAGCTTCAAGTTGACGCGGGGTCGAAACAGCAGGTGCGTCGCAGCTTGAAACTGGAGACCTTAGTTACTGATCCTGACAGTTGTACGTCGGCATCAAGGCTACGACTAGGGATCTGACTTGTACTGACGCGCCAGCGACCAAGCTGCTTTGCTAATTCAGCTTTCGCCTACTGAGTGGGCCAAGACCGGTGCCGAGTTCGACCACGGAAAGATGTGGTACGGTGCCGTTGTGTGCAACCCGTTCTCTGACTGGTGAGTCAATCTCATACCCACCTGTCCTTCAAGGATGGCCTGGAGATCATGCATTAATACACCAGGTCTATACAGCCCAAATCAGACCTGACCCGCTTCACCTTCTCCCTCGACCCCACCCTGACCACTCTCCGAATCTACCTCGGACCCGGCTCCTCGTCACCCTCCTCTGCAGAGGACGGCGACATCATGATCCGCGAAGTCAAGTCGTTCGGTCTCATCTCGGCCGGCCTCGCGCATATCACACCAGGTAGCGTCCCCGAGGATACCGACCCCGCTGCGAAGCTCGCGGATATGGAGGTGACGGTGGGCGTGATGGCGTGCAGTCCGATTGGGAAGGGCGAGGGGCCCGAATGCGTGTTTAGGCGGTTTGAGATGAGGGATGGAGTAAGGAGTGAGGCATGAGGCCATGTGGCGTAGCTTCATCTGTGCGGTGGTGGGGGATATGGGATGGGAGTAGTGAATATCTCAGCGCTGGGGCTAGATGCATGCTTCTCGTTCTCCTGGCTGCGTGAGGTGGTTGTATGCTAGCTCTTATTAACCGCGTGGGTATACGTCTCGTGAGGACACGTCCATCTCAACAACCTCAGCTCTCCTCAACTGTGCAGCGGTGCTTGAATTAATCTGAAACGCGTCATACCCCCGCGTGTTTTGAACTTCTCACCCCCCGTCTTTGCTCGTTCACCTATTAACATCCTCCATCTACATATCTCTCGGCCGATATTCTGGACTCTATCTCCACCTCTACTTCGAAATTGCTACGAGGCCAGAACAGCTGCCGGATCCCTCCGCCCCGCTTCCCTGCCCCAGCTCAGTCTACAGCGACTCGCAGCTCGCAGCTACCCGTATCTCGTCTCCGGTCGCAGCGATCCCGCAGGTCTCCAATCTCAGACTATCGCCCTTCTTCTTCTCGCCAAGTGAACCAAGTTGTGGACTTCTCACTCTGATCAGCCGCCCTTTCTCGCCTGTCCACTCCTCGCGATCTAACTGGGTCCGACATATCGCACAATGGGGATCCAATCAGATATAAGGGATCACCTCCTCTCCCAGCCTGCGTCATTCAGGAAGAAGAAGGAGTACCAGATCGAAGAACTTCTTGGGCGGGGAGGATTCGGGAAGGTCTTACGGGCAGGGTGGACACCTCCGGGCGGAGAGAAGCGGGATGTCGCGTTGAAGTGAGTCTGGGGCCATTGACTTGTCGACGATGCCTCGCCAGGCTCAGCTGTCTCCGCGACGCCGGCGCAAGCCATGATGCATGAAGGTGGAGAGGTCGCGGATCGAATCATTCTTACTTTCACAGCTGACTCCTGCAGAATCATCAATAAGCGCCTTGTCAAGGATAATGATCAAGTCATGGACGAGATCCGTGTCTTGGAAGGGCTGGACCACCCACATATCGTGCACGTATGGGACCACTTTGAGTCGAGAGATAAGTGAGCTGCCTCTCGTTCCTTGGCGATCAAAGTGGAGCTGATGCGCCAGATACTATATCGCATTCGAACTGGCTGTCGGTGGAGAGCTGTTTGATCGGATATCATCCCGAGGCAGATTCACAGAAAAGGACGCGATGGACTGTATACGGTCAGTGCTAGTCCCGTCCGGTCTCTGACTGCCCATTTTCTCAGTCGAAAGGCAGCGCTGATCCTCCAGCCAAGTCCTCTCCGCGACTGCCTACCTACACCAACACCGTATAGTCCACCGTGATCTCAAACCCGAAAACATCATCTACAAGACCAAAGACCCTTCTTCTCCGCTCGTAGTGGCCGATTTTGGTATCGCCAAGCATCTCTCAGACGAAGGGGAGGAAGGGGAGGAGATTTTCAATGCGGCCGGGAGCTTTGGGTATGCTGCTCCTGAGGTGTTATTGGGGAGGGGCCATGGGATGAAGGTGGATTGTTGGAGTATCGGGTGAGCGCCGTTTCTTCTATTCTCTGCGACGAGCCTGAGCCGACGAATGACACGACTGATACATGCAGAGTTATTGCGTATACTCTGCTCTGCGGATACTCGCCATTCCGCTCAGATGACAAAGGGGAGCTCATCAAGGAGACCACGAAGGGGAAAATTCAGTTTCACGAGCGGTATTGGAAGAAAGTCAGCGAGACTGGTAAGCTAGTGGTGTCTTTTTCTTGCGCGGCCAAGAAATATGTCGCTGACCGATCAGCGAGGGACTTTATCAAGGCGATGCTCCAGGTTGATCCGAAGAAGCGCCTCACAGCGGAAGAAGCTCTTCAACATCCAGTGAGTTGCTGCATACCCTCTTGTCTCATTGGAGGGTTCTCGAAGCTGACTAAGTAGTGGCTGAGAGACTGCGTGGGCTCAGAACACGACTTGGCACCCGGCATCAAAGAGCACTTCAATGCCAAGAAGCGATGGAACAAGGCTTTCGTCGTGAGCTTATCGGCTTGACTTTGATACAGTACATGAGCTCATTCATATAGGCCATTTCAGCAGCCAATCGTCTTCGCTCCGCATCAAATTCAGCCTCCAACACCCCCGTTCTTTCTTCGATGCCCACACCAACACAATCACCCTCCATCTCCCCGTCCACTTCAACAGGTACCGCAGCGCACCCGGCCACGCCTTCCACCGCTGCAGCTTACCTCGGCGTACCACATACGCCGCCCTCCGCCGGTGCTAATGGCGGAAATGGAGCGCTCACGCCGCTGAGTATGTCGGAAGATGAGGATGCGACGGATGGGTTTGTGACTGCCGATGAGGCACATACGGGGCGGAACAGCGAGGTGGCGCTGTCGCCGAAGAAGAGCGGAGGTGGGTCTCCTATCAAGGCGGTGAAGAGCGATGAGAAGAGGGTCGAGGCGAAGGGGAGCCCAGTGTCTGAGGAGAAGCCGGTGAATGGGTCCGGTGGGCTGAAGGGGATGATGGGGCGTCTTGGACTTGGCCGAGGGTCCATCTGATGGCGGGAAGGACCGCTCTATCCTCTTTCTTCAATCTTGGTGTTACTGCTTCAGGTCTGCTCTTATCATCTATCTGTCCGCGCCAGCTATGTTGTACATCACCAAATATCAAATGTCTAGTTGTATATCAATGCATGTGACTCTTGCCGTCAACGTCTTGTCTCTTCGGCCGTATCTACAGCCCTCGTGCCCCCATCTTCATCCCCCTCCGCCTCTTGTATCCGTAACCCCCGCCCTGACCATACCCCCCGCCCTGCGCCTCCCCATAGCCGTACTCGCCTCCAGCCGGTGCACCCGCAGCCACAGCGGATGCATGCGCTCCAGCGGCAGGTACCGTCGCCGCCGACATATGGCCCCACTTGGCCGAACAGCTCGCATGGCACGCGCCAAGCTGATCAGGAAGGGACGGAACGCCCGCTACCGCACTACCGGCAGCTTCGGTCGTTGTCGCCGTGCTGGTGACGGTAGCTGTGGTCGTAGCGAGAGCCGTGGTGATTGCAGTAGCGGTGGTAGTCTCGAGCTGTACCTGATTTTCCGTGGCCGTAGCGGTGACCGTGTTGATCGCGGTGGCTGTGGCAGTGGCAGTGGCGGTAGCCGTGGTGGTCTCGAGCTGTCTCTCCGTAGCTGTGGTCGCAGCGGTGACTGTCCGCTCGAGGGTGTTGGTCAAAGTCTCAACAAGGACCTACAGTGTCAGCAAGACTGTAATTACCGGAGTAGAAGTTGTACTCACGCTGGATACGGTCACTTGCTGGACCTGGGTGGCGGTCTGTACAGACGTTTGCGTGATGGTAGCGGTGACGGTGGATATGATCGTGGTAGGCACAACCTGGGTGGTGGTGCTGATCACAGTCTGCACGACAGGCTGGACGACCGTCGCAGTATGCGTACTACTTTATCAGCTTGGGAAGCGTTGGTCTGACGGGTTCAGACTCACACTGTAGCAGTCGAGGTGACTATGGAGTTGACGACGCTCGTCGCGGTCTCAGTGACCGTTCTGAGTGATCAGCACACGGTACGTCTCGGACGGATCGGATGAGGGAGAAGCCCACTTGGTGCTTGTGGCGGTCTCAATGACGGTCCGTTCCGTTGAGATGGTCACTGGCTGTGTCTCCGTCCTGCCCATTAGTGAAGTGCTTTTGATTGGCACGAGCGACATGAGCTCACAATAGCTGAGCGGAGACGATGGTAGTCGGCACAGCCTGAGTACTGGAGTGTCAGCTTCTCCTCGATCGAAGTTACGCCCTAGGCAGCTCACATTTGGCTGGTGACTGTCGCAGTGGCCGTGACCTGGGCAAGCTGCGTTCTGCGATGTCAGCGCTTTCTTCCTTCTCCTGAGTCGTCAGTATCACGATGACGAACATGGTGTGTACGACTGCGATATTAGCTCTCGCTCTCATTCTCAAGTTCAGGCGGGAACTGACGAGTCTCTGTTCTCGCATGGCAAGTCTGGACCGGCGCAGTGTCTAGCACAGTCAGCTACTGCCTCGACAATGTACGATTTGACCCACTTTTAATGATCGTAGTCTCGTAGCAGCCCATGGTAGCGGGATACCAGTCTGCAGGCTTACACCACCCGCCCGCATCCTTGACGTGGCCGTATCCGCATCCCATCGACGTATGCGCCCATGCGGTAACCGCCGGAAGATAGCTTGGCTGCCTGTCTTGATCAGCGGACTTGTACCCATAAAGCGTAGATGACGAGAGGCTCACATCTGAGTCGACATGACCGCCCCACATCCCCATCCTCCACAGCTATCTCCAGCTTGGCTCGTATACACTCCACTCACGCACGGGATGGGCGAGACGTATGCCTGCGGGACAGCCGCTGACGGAGTAGGCGGCGCCGCCGGAGCAGGCGCGGTCCCGCTGAGGTACGACTCGGCGTTGGCGACCATCGACGCTATCCCAGTGAGGTTCATGTATGGCTCGGAGTCGGTCGCCAGCGCCGGGAGAATCAGCGCGGCCAGCGCGAGCGAGAGGTGGAACGGATGGATCATGATGGACTACGGCCGACGTATGTGTAAGGAGGGTACTGGTCAATGCAAAAGTGCCGCCAGGGCCAAATCGAAGTCAGGCGAAAGAGACTAGAAAGAGCGAAAGAGCGCGAGCGGTGCGATGGAAACACGCAGTTGTCGCGGGCAACGACTTGGTTTTGTTCTGCCGGTCGTGGCCATCTTACGAGTGAGCTATCGCCAGGCGAAGGGGGGCGGTTCGTCGATAGCTGATACTGTAGTTAGATACCGTTTCAGTCGTCAAGGTATGAGTAGCGGTTTCCGAGGTGCGTCGTCAGGTTGGTCAACATTCATTCGATGGAGTTGGAATCTCCTTGTACCTGAGCTGACGTCTGGGTGTCAGCGTCATCATTATATTAATGGCTTGTGGACCCATCAGCGGCCTGGCATCACCAGGGCAAGTACCGCGGCAAGACCTTGGGGCAAAAATCGGCGATGCCCTATTGCGTTTCAGATCTGCATATCCCGTCTCTCATCCAACTCCCCCGGACCGCCTATGCCTTCCCTACGCTCTGCGATGCTATCAATCGCGCCAGTGCTGATCCCACATCCTTCTCTGAAAGGTTCGCTAACGATGTTTGGCTCTCTGCCCCGCGTTCTGGCTATCAGCTCGGGTCCTCCTTGATCCTCTCCACAGCTCCCTCTTCGCTCGCCCTGCTCCTAGCCGCGCATTAGATCCTTTAGGCTGACTTGGGACTTACCAAACCGCACAAACGCCTTGGCCTCCACTCCGCTTGCTTCCCTCACCAACAGCTTGACATCGGGGTTTGAGGATTTGATAGATGGGTAATTTGAAACAACGAATTGTCTGGGCACATCGTCAGCTTTTGCATCCCCCACCGGTCCCCCACCGGTATAGAGAGGGTGCTCAAAAGCTCACCTGAGGCCTTGTGATGCTTTGGCGGTCTGGCAGAGGTGCAGCCGGATCTCCTTGACCGCGTTTGGGAGCTGTTTTGGGAAGGACATGCTGGATGATGTCTAAGTTCTTTCGGGCCGAGTCTTCGAGTGCAGGGTGGTATACCAGACAGGGCGGAGTTTAGGCAGCTGTAGAGTTGGTGGTAGCTGAGTATGACGGGTCAGAAGCAGAGAGAGCAAGAGGATATAAGTACTGGGTTGGCGGAGAGAGGCCTCCTCGGGAGCGGAACCTAATTGGGCCCCGCCAAAGTGGCGCCAACAAGCTGGTTTGCCACCTCCAAGCTCACACAGCTAAGCAGCAGGTCTATCGGCTGACCGAGGCTCACTCAGAAGAGGCCTATGCGCTGATGTGACTGGTAGGATTACAGCGAAATTAACAGATCAGCCATCCCGGACCGACCGGGACGGGTTGGCACCCCTAGGGGCTCGATCGGCTGCAGCTCCCACCTCCTACATCCATCCCGGCCGCTGGGTGAGATTAAAAGGGGGTTCCAACTCTTGGACTTCAAGTCAATCGAATACGGACTGAGGATCATATGGAATGTGCTGGACATTATCGCTACAACCTCTCCTTTCTTACAAGCTCCTTTGGTTCTTCACTCCTTAGTGTGCTTTGTCGCACTGCTCATCCCGCCAGCTGGTCAAAAGGCGCCAATTCTCTGACATGACTTCCTTCTTCTCCCCATATTACGGATTCGCGGCCCAATTCTACAATCAGCCAGCAGCATACATACCGATCCGATTTCAAGATGAGCATCGACCCTTCCACCCAAGAGGTAGCCTGTCCTGTAATCGATGAAACCCACATCCCCGTCCCTCACTTCCCATACAACAAAGTCTGGCGCCACCCCCTCTTTCCAGGACTGTTCGAATACGTCCGCACTATCGCGTGCGATGGCAGTCTCGATCAAGGCGGGGTGAAGCGCTTCCTGAACGCCCTGCAGCCGGCGGAAGAGTGCGAGGCGCACCTACAAGCCCAAGCTGCGACTCGGGTCGTTGCCACGAAAGAAGGAAAGGAGGTCAAGGTGGAGACGAACTACCTTGCCGCGAATGGAGATGAAGGGGAGGATCGGATGGTTGTTGAGGCGGTATCGTGGGCGAAGCTGGGGGATGTATTGGAGAAAGCAGGGGATGCGGGGCGAGTGGGACGAAAGACGGTTTGGGGGCGGTGGAAGTCCGTCGCTGAGGTCAAGGCGGCGGAGGAGTCCGAGGCCGACAAGGACAAGCACAAGGAGAAGCGCAGTGTCGAGACTGTAGCCGACGTATCCGAGGATGACAACGACATTGGGAAGGCGGATCTGGATGTCAACGAGGATCATGGGGACCAGAAGCACGATCCGGCTGCGAGCTCGAAGGCGCCCGCAGACAAAGATCTCATCCTGTGCACCGTGTTGGATGGCCATGGAGGCGCTTACGTCGTCGATTGTGTCCAGAAGGGCGCGCATGCCGCTCTGGCCGTTGGGCTCGCGACGAACCCCGCTGCCCTCGAAGGGGACGAAGCAGCGATCACGCAGATCATCAAGGATGTGTGAGTCCTGTCAGTTCGAGCTCTGCCATTCGATCAGTACTGTAAGAAAAGCGTAGTAGAAATAAAGCTTACATCAACAGCTACACGACCATCTCCCAAGACATCGCCGCCGCCTCCCTCTCCGTCCTCACCCACACTCAAACATCCGCGGCGTCCACCATCCTCCCGCACCTCCCCAGCGTCGCCAGCCTCCAGCTCGCCGCGCTCGAGCGGGGCGGAGCCTGCGTCGCTACTGCGCTCATCGACCTGCGGGGCGGCAAGGTGTACATCGCGCATGCGGGAGATGTGCGCGTGCTAGGGATCTGGACCGATGACCAAGGAGGGGAGAGGGCGGAGGTGTTGACGGAGGATCATAATGGGGTGAATGAGGCCGAAGTGGCGAGGTTAGTTGTCGTTCCGCTGACTTTAGCTTATAGCTCTCCACTTCGACGTCTCACGATCTGTTGCGCTTGCGGTGTGCTTATAATTAGCCGGGGGCCGGGGTGAGGCTATAGCTGAAGCTGATCACCAGAGTCAAAGCAGCGCATCCTACCGACCCCAACGCGATGGTCAAGTACAAGGACGAGCAGTATCATCGCGTCCTGGGGTGGATCATGGTCTCCCGCACCATGGGAGATGTGGATTTCAACCGTACCGAGGCCGTCAAGCAGCAGTAGGTCCGACGTCCGTGTACTGGTCCAGCTGAACAAGCGCGTGAGAATGTGGTAAGGCGCTAGCGCTGATCAAGTAGAATGCTCGCTGAGGGCGTGCACAAATTGAGCGAAATCCCGAACCCGCTCATCGATCCGCCATACTTGACATGGGAACCTACCGTTACGGTCCGCAACCTCAAGAAAGGGGTAGATGGTGAGAAGCTGGAGACGATCTTGATGGCTTCGGACGGGTGTAAGTAGTATTCAGACCCCCAGGGTGCGCGCGATGATGCTAAATGTCAGTGTGGGACAAGATGACGGATGAGGAAGCCGCCCGAGCGCTGATCGCCCATGCTCAGCTCAAGGCCAGGGCCAAGGCCAAGATAGAGATCGATCCTGCCGTCGATATCGACGTCGCTCCCGCCGGCGCCGTCGAACCCACCGGCATCCCCGCATCGACCCTGACCGCGCAGCACCCCTTCCCCCTCTCCGGCCCGCACACCGTGCCTCCCTCCGCTTTCGCCTGCGCCGCGGCCGAAGCAGCCCAGCACCCCGACGTGCTCAACCGGACCTGGACATTCCGGGACCCCTCCAACGCCGCGACGCATCTCTTGCGGAATGCGCTGGGCGATGGCGATGAACTGCAGGAGAGGGAGATGTTGAGTTTGAAATATGGGACGAGGTTGTTAAGGGACGATACGAGCGTCATGTGAGTTTTAGTCTCAGTCGACGTCACGAGCGCCCTCCAGATATGGGGATTAGAACTGATCAGTGCAGGGTCATCCATCTTGATCAGTGATTACTTGTCAAATGTCCCATCCCATCAGCACTCAGCCGCCTAGCTCAGAAACCTCAGAGCTTCAGAGCAGGTTCGTCTAGTATCAGCCCATCTCCCTTTCCTGTTTGCAAACCAATTCTTCGTTACACCCCAGTGTAATCAGTCATGAGCATCTCAATGTATCACCTTAAACCCCATCTCGTGATGATCCATGACATCTCCAATGATAGATGACCGATGGCAACCCACCATCAAATTCAAAGAAAGTATCCACACTTAGATCTTTTGATTTCCCCCCTTCCCTTTTGTCTTCCCCTTAACCCTGTCGCCCCTCGATCCCTCCATACCGACCCCAACACAATCACAATCACACTCTACTGCAATCGCCCATCCACCGCAGCGGCCTCTCCCGCCCCCGCCAACGCTGCCGACTCGGTCACTTTCTGATTTCCATTCCCATTCGGCTTCGGCCCGCCCGGTCCATTCCTGAACCCCCCTCGACCACCTGAGGAATCAGCATTCCGTTTCCCATCTACCTCCCGCCGCTGGCCGCTCCTGGCGATGTAGGGACTTACCGTTACCGCCATTCCCGCCCCTTCCTCGTCCTCCAGCTCCACCTCTATACTCCCCTCCTTCCCTAGCCTGGCCCTGCCCCTGTCCCTGCCCCCCAAACCCGCCCCGTCCCCTACCCCGCCCTCCCTCTCCCGCACCGCCTCCAGCCCCTCCTCGACCCCTAGCGGACGGCTTGACCCTCATCTCGAACCCATCCTCATCGATAACCACGCCGGCCTTGGTAGAGCCCATACGCCCCATTCCCGGTTTGGTAGGGATCGGAAGTCCAACTTGTCCCGTCTCGCCGTTCGCCCCGGTGGAGCTGTTACCGTTACCGCCCCGAGGTCCAGTAGGCGAAGATCCATTCGCTCGGTTCCCGCCATTACCGTTACCCCGTCCACGCCCGCCCGGACCCCCTCGGCCCCGTCCCCCACCTCCACCTCGACCTCCACGACCGGTCTGTCCGTCTGCCGCCCGCGGGGTGGGCGAGTCCGATTTGGCAGCGGCTGGTGCTGCACCAGCGGGGGTCTCGGCGAATGTATCAGGCGCGACCGCTAGGCTAGCCGATGGTTCCGCAGCTGCAGCAGGCTCGTCTGCCTTCTTTTCCGTCTCCGTCTCCGCAGCTCGCGCAGGAGCAGAAGCGGGAGCCTCGTCCGTTTCGTCCGCCCAGTTGAAAGTCTCACCGGCGAGCTTCTCGATCGCCGAAGGGGCAGCAAGCAGGGGCGCGGGCGTATCGTAGTGTTCCGTCTGCAGGGTCAGTCTGACTCACAATTCTCTTAAACATGTCCTACTCCGAAAAGAGGAACAAGGGGGACGTACCTCGTGCGCCGCGGGCTGCTCTACCATCTCAAACCCATCCCCTTCCCCGTCGCCTTCTGCTTGTGCTTGACCCTGCCCATCCTCCTGGCCGACCTCGGTCTCCCGCTCAGTCCGCCCAGAATCCAACTCATCATCCTGCAAGAAAACCAGCCCGCCCCCGGACTGCTTGGACGGGTGTACGGGCGCGGAGTCTTCCTCTTCGTGTCCGCTTCCATTTCCTTTAGCGATAGATTTTGACTCGTCTTGCGCCATGGAAGCGCCGACCGGAGTTCTGTCCTGCCCATTTGTGGTCTGAGGGGCGGCTTCGACCTCGGCGTCCGCGTCCGCGGCGGGCTCGACAGCCTCATCGACCGAGGATTGCGAAACAAGCTCAAGCAGCTTATGGATGTGATCATCTACCATCAGCCCCTCTCTATCTCTCCAGAACGCTGTACTCACTTTCCTCATCATCCCCCGTAGACCCCTTCACGAGCCCCCGCAGTACCCCCGCCGCGGCCTCGCCACCGCCAAGCAGCTCCTCGTACATCTTGCCCACGCGAAGAATATCTGTCGCCTGGACCTCGTCCTGCAGTTGACTCGGGAGCGACAGGGGCGAGAAGGTGAGGTGCTCGTGGTCTGCCGATCGGGCGGGATGGAGGAGGGCGTGGAGCTTGAGGAAGCGGGACAGGGGTTCCGCAAGGGAGGTCTGGGGATCAGAACGGTTATCCTCGTCGTAAAAGAAGGGCTTACAAGAGACGCAGCGGAAGACCCCTCCGCGGCGACCTTGGACTCCTTCTCCGCGTCCTCCTTCAGTCCCCGCATTTTCGCGGCCTCTCCAAGCTCAGCGACCTCGACGGGTCCGCCAGACTTGATGAGGTCCTCCAGCTCCCTAGATTGCGCCTCGAGGACGGGGAGACTGGCGATCGCGGCGCGCTGGTCGGCGTTCAGCTTGTCCGCGGGCTGGGCGGCATACGCGCGGAATCGTTGCTGCTGGTCAGTACAGGCTCTCAACGCAGGTTCAGGGACCCGTGAGGTGCGCAGTACAGATGAAAGGAATCCAACGTACAATCTTCTTGCCGAGCGTCCTCACTCGCTTGGCGATCACTTCCTCTACAGGACCCCTGATCCGCCCACTCGACTCTTGCTTTCCGAAAGCTGAGGAGGGGTCTGTCGTTGGGACTGACGGGGCCGCAGGGCCTGCCTCAGCGGGGGGGGCGGCAACGGCAGGCTCTTGCGCGGCGGGGTCTGCGCCGGTGCCAGCTGTAGCGGCTGTGGATTTCTTGTTCCTGGGCATTGTGTCTGTGTCTGTGGATGAGTAAGGAATGTGCTAGAGATGAGATGAGATGAGATGGGAGTTGAGTGAGTGGGGTCTCCAGCTGCCACCCAGCATAACGCCGCCAGTGCCGCGGCTTCCGACGGAAAGAGAGTACAGACAGCGACAGCTGGTGGACCGGTCCGTGCGTTCATACTTCAACTTCTGGTTTCCTCTGCTCTATCCTCCCAGTCTCCAAGACCAAGACAAGCTCAGCTAGCCCCACAGGCCCTACCGCCCGCTCGATCGTCGTCCAAACAACCCGCCTTTGAACTCTCAGCACGAAATGTCCGGCTTTCAGCTCCCAGCGGGTCTTCGACCGTCCTCTGGTCCCTCCTCCGGTCCCTCGGGTGGTGGTGGTGGAGGAGGCGGAGGGCAGCAATCAGAAGAACAAAGAGCGGAAGCGCAAGATAGGCAGCAGCAACAGGCGGAGATGAAGCGGAATATGATTGCTGCGATGTTGGAGTCTGCAGCTAGGGAGCGATGTGAGCTGTCCTCTGCTCGGTTTCCTGTATTGAGCTTAGCGAGGGAGAGCTGATATGCTGTACAGTATCGAGAATATCCCTAACGAGACCGCAGCTCGCCACGCAGGTCGAGGACCTGCTTGTACGCATGGGGCAACAGGGGCAGATCAGGGGCCAAGTATCGGATGAGGCACTGAAGGGGTTGTTGGAGCAGGTGATCTGCGCAGCGCAGATCCTGTGAGGGACAGGAGCTGATGGGTAGGTGTCAAATCCACCACAGGCCAAAGCGAGTACGGCGCCTACGTCGGCGAGGGTCAAGTCGCTCGGTGGGGGGATTACAGTGAGCCCTGGCTTATTCGGATGTCTCAGGAGCGGAGTAGCTGATGGGTGTAGATACAACGGAAAGGGCACGATTCGGATTCGGACGAGTATGATTTATAGCCAGGCTACGGCGTTACAGGACCAATAGGCGGCGAGGCAGAAGGGCGGCTACTGGATAGATGATGACGCCAAGAGCGCAGAGGGCCGCGCTGCACACAGTATAATTTCGGCCGATGAACGATTCCTTCCCCTTCTCATTGAAGTCTACCTGGCACCGACCTTGAAGGCAGCGAGCTATGTAAAACAGCTGACGACGCGAGCGTGACTGAAGATGAGCGGTCTGGCGTAATGTCACCCCTTTGCCCTTCTCGCCCAATGAAACCCAATCTACAATGCAAATGCATGTCCCTATTTTCTCTACGCCATCTAAACCTAAGCAGTGACGACCCAGACACGGACGAGGTTGTCTGAGAAACCACCAAAGAGGGTCTGGCCATCGGCGGACCAGGCGAGCGAGGTGCACTCGGGTTTGCGGGCGGTCTCGGAGAGGTCGGAGAAGTCGGGGCGGAGGTCGTCGACGACGGACCTGGGGGTTAGGTCAGCCGGGTCCAGAGGCTGATGAACTCAGAGACCATGGATGGGGGAGAACCTCCATCGTAACCCCCATCCATGCCTGTGCTTAACGATGGAATAGCCAACTCACTTGGACTCCAAGTCAAAGATCTTGATACCCGAGCTAGTAGCCGCGCAGAGCCAGTACCTGTTGGGCGAGAAGACCAACGAGTTGATGATATCCCCAGCCTCGAGCGAGTAGAGGTGCTTGCCCTCGTTCAAGTCCCACAGCATCGCAATGCCGTCCTTGCCTCCCGAGGCGGCGAGGGATCCGTCCGGCGACACGGCGAGGGTGTTGATGTAACCGGTGTGGCCGAAGTGGTTGGTCTTGAGCTTGCACTTGTTGAGCTCCCAGACCTGGAGATCAGCATCAACCCCCTCCATTGTTTAATTTCGATGGTAGGAAGGAAAGGAATGGATCAGAGATCTTGGTGGATAATGTGGTCTCATCGGCGCGAGCCTCTGAAGTAGCAAATATATCGAATATCATCAGGTCAAAGCGGTCAGGAGTTGGGGGAAACGGGTGCAAACAGAAAAGAAATACTAACCTTGACGACCTTGTCCCAGCCGGCAGAGACGATGACGGGGATGGTGGGGTTGGGGGAGAATCGGACGCACGAGACCCTGTTTATTAGTGAAGCTCTTTGTCCATTTCGTTCGGGATCCTCATTGATCCCGGCGCGAGTAGACTCACCACTCGGAGTGTCCATCGTCGGTGATGTTGAATTTGCACTCGCCGAGGGTGTTCCAGAGCTTGATGGTGCGGTCCCGGGAAGCAGAGACGATCTGCCTGTTGTCGGCGGAGAAGGAGACGCTGGATATCAGCTTGGTCCAAGGTAGCTGCGAAACGTCGAAACTGCCAAATTCCCAATTCCAAAGTCCCCAAATTCCGCCCGACCACGGTCATCCCCAGTCCACAATGCCCACGACCGTGCCCATCCTCATCATCGCACAGCGGATGGATTAGTAAACTCACGAAAGGACATCCCCGGTGTGGCCGACAAACTTCCTAGTCGTCAAACCCGTGTTGAGGTCCCAAAGCCTCAACGTCTTGTCCCACGAGGACGAGAGCGCAAATTGCCCGTCCGACGAGATGACAACGTCAGAGACAAAGTGGTTGTGGCCGTGCAGAATCTTCTTGGGGAAGCCGAAGGACGAGTCGTCGCGGGTGAGCTGCCAGACGATGATGGTCTTGTCTGTCGGGATCAGTTGGGCTCTTGTCATCTATCAAGGTGGTAGATAGGTAGGAAGAAGAGGGTGGCTATAAAGGCAGACGAGACGAATGAAGCGCTCGGATCCCACACCCAAAGCTCAAGCTCAGACCCAGACCAAACACTCACCTCGCGAAGAAGTCAAGATCATGTCCGGGTTCTCGGACGAAGTGGCGATGGCGGTGACATCGCCGGTGTGGCCCGCGAGGGATCCCTTGTAGGCGAGTTGCTCAGACATTTTGGAGAGTGTATACGTTCAAGTAATATGAGGTATAGATGCAGGAAGAGGAAGGATTTCGTGTACAAAGTATGCGCAAAAAGCGTCCAAAGCGGGGGCGACCTGGGGTAGATATGCACCCAGTTACTCGAAGAGGTGATTTAAGAGCGAGCCCGGGAGTTTCGGCCATGTTAACAGAGATCTAAAGCCCACGTCATGGACATCAAAAAAGTCGAGATTTTGAGAGAGGAAAGTGGCGCCAATCGCTCCCAAATCGCCCGGCTGAGAAGAGCGTCCCTGGAGGTCCGTATTGCCATCAGAAACTGACGAGCTGGTGAGGGACAGGTCATGGGTACAAGCGGGCCATCAGATAGCCTATATACCTAACAGAATCGATGGAAAAAGACGCAAAATGGACGAAATTGAAGGTTGACTGGACTGGGGACGTAGCTGGACAAATCGCTGTGAACCACTGGTATGAGACCGGCGATTTATCGCCTCGCCTGTCCAACACTGCACAGCAGAATCAGGCGAAACTAGCAGGCAATGGTAGTGTGACCATATCGCCCCGGATTCAGACAGCAGAGGAGGCGAGCAAGTAATAGCTGTCGGCGTTCAGGAATCCCAGATTCGCCACCGAGCTCTCAAGACGTTTCCTTTCTGCTCAGAGCGACCGTTGTGCCTGCGTCAGTCGCTGTACGGCCTCTCCCGTAGTATCAGGGGATAGCTTAGCATCTGACAGACACGAAATGAGCATGCATGCAGCCTGACCTAGTAGGTAGCGCGGTGGGCGCGAAAGTGGCGAATGAATGCGGTTGCCCGCAGCTGGATGGTGGATGGTGGGCAAGCAGGTGTTACTCTCCCTGGGCTGCTGATGCATCGGGACAGATACAACATCTGACGCAATCCTTGAGGGTGATACACTTATCTGCGACAATAAGAGCTCGGATCTGTCAATATGACTGTGCTGACCAGCGGTGATCGCAGTCTCGCTCGCTGCTGCCTGCTGGCATCGCCTCCCTGTATCTGACACACATTCTCCCTTGAGCTTGGGCAGTACGCCTCGAGGCCTTGCCGGTGTATGAGTTTGACGGCCAGAGATCACAAAACATCCAGAGACTGCTGATCTAGCATAGCCATACCTTTACCAGCTTGCCGAATTGATACAAGTTGGCCACACGGCGTGCGGGGTGCAGAATCGTGTAATTATATACACTGATCTCCAGAACTGACCGGGCGCCACAGCTTGATCAAGATCATGCCATCTACGACGATCATGCACTTGCCAAGCCTGCAGAACTCTCCATCGGTATCACGGAATACCGTCGATTGAGGCCAGAGTTTCAAGCCATGACTCCCACTGCTCTTGCCTCATGGTGGTGTACGCAGATCTGACTTGTCGGATGTGAGCGATGAAGTCTTCCCGTGATGATGTGGTGCCCTTCGCGGCTTCCAGCTCCTCCCATACAGCCCTGGTCTCCTTCATGTTCATGTACCGATCAGCCTTGTCATCATCTACCAGTCGTCTTCCGTATAGGTCGTCCTCGTTCCCGAGCACTGGGACCACATTGAAGGATTTCAAGGCCGCATCCATGCCCTTTTGAGTGTATCTGGATGGGCGAACTCCCTCCTGCAGCTTCTTGCGAATCTCTTCTCTGTATGCCGCCAACATCGTCTTCTCAGTGACCTTGTCAGATGACCCCGAGGGGCAGATGTAGAGCGTGACGGGCTGCCCGGTCTGCATAGCGGCGACCATACTCAGGACCGCGACCACGTTTCTCGTGCACGCCGGCAATGGCAATGTCCTGCTTGCTGGGGTTCGCTGCAGCCTCGAAAGCCCTGGGCCTCCTTCTCGAACAAAAGATCGAAGTATATCGGTGGCCTCAAGAGGGGACCTGACGACCTGAACGATTTCTCTGGCGTTGAGTCCCGAGCCGCCTTGAAGAGTTCCGAATTTCCACATCCAGTGCGGAGAGGCGGAGAGGAACAGGCGATCGATGGTCAATTGTTCGAGTTGATCGAACGGCGGTTCAACGCTCCTGCCCTCGACCTTTCGGACCTGGACGTGGACGTCGTGGCGATTTCCCTTCGTGGCGTCGATCATCTGGGACGTCGTCACCAAGGCCATAGGATCGGATCGAGTGTAGTCGCCCTTTGACGAATCGTACCGCTCCAGCACGTTGTCAACGATCCACCTCTCACATTCGGGCATCTGAGTCCAGCCAGGCCCGGTCCGCTGCGCCCATTTCGCCAGACTCTGATTCAGCCTCGGACCCTTCGTGAAATCATGTAGAGTACGCAGTATGTCGCGGCGCTCAATCTCCTTCGCCATCAAAACTTGGAAACTTCGGCTGACAAGCTGACAAGTGCGCAGATCGGTCATGTCCAGCAGGGCCGTGAACATCTCAAACACCTCAACGGGGATATCCTGTATCGTTTCAGCAGTGGTGTCGCTCATGTCTGTATCGCCTGCCATGGTGCCGGCCGCGTCTCCAGCCTCGGAGTGTTCTGGTGCAAGTGACAAGGCTGCTAACTGTCAACATCAGCGCAGCTCGCATACCCGTCAGTACTCGTCTGTCTTTTGATGACCCGGTACAAGAGTCACCCACAGTCAGACTCACCTTCTCGAGTTCAGGATGTTGTTGGCTTGCCATGTTGTCTTGCATGTGCGGTGATTCCTGGCTGGATTTGTACGGAATGAGTCGAAGGTGAAGCTTTGGACCTTGATTGATATGTCTCAACGCGGGCGGGTGGCGATCGAGATAAGGGGTGGGGAGGATCAGCGAAGCTCCGCCGAGCTGAAGCTGACCATTTGTCCCTTTGTCCTACACCCAGGCGCAGACTGACCAGATCCCCGCAAAGGAGGCAATGCCCAAACGCGTGCGCTTCGCATTATCCTTTCACCAGCTCGTCCTCGAGATTTCTGTGCTGGATCCTTTGTGCCAGATCAGACTCGTGAGCACTAGGACATTCCAGTATACATAGTAAGTATACAACCATGAACGGCATAGACCCTTCCGACGTTCTCACAGCAGTAAGGCAACGGATACATCATCTTCCAGCTTACACTCTTGGTCTTTGAGATTTAGCGTTGGAGCCGCGAGCCCCGCAGAATCGGAGTATGCAGATCTCGGTACGATGCGGTATATGCAGGCACTGCTTACAATGGGCATGAACAATCGGAGATCCCAAAGGATCTGGTCATGAGTGGTACATGACAGTCGTGCTATGTTGGTGTGCGGCTGCTCCTGGATCTGGACCTTGATGCGAGAGTCCGGGCTGACATCCGCTGCCCTGCCGAGCATTCTCAGATCTCGGGTCGAAAGGATTCGGTCGATCACTCGATGAGCGTGTAGTCAGTCCACGATCAGTATGGCGGATTCGCAACGCCAGTGCCGCTTGTGCCTGGGTTTTAGCGGGTCAAAGATCAGTACGATTGCACAGGACCATCAATGCATCCGACTTTGCAAGCGAGATCAGATTTCAGCTGCATAGATCAAGTCAGACCAGCAAACGCAGGCGCGGTCCTGATGTACTCCTCCCACGTCTTTGCCGGCTTGTCAAGGATCTGCCATATCAGCGACATCCACCGCTCAAGTCTCAACCAATAAGACCAAAGCCGTAGATCAACTCACCTTGTTTGACGCCCCCAGATCCTTCCCATCAAAGTACCCCCACTTCTTGTTGAGAAGCAGCATATTCTCCGTCAACTCCTCCGCCGCCTTTTCGGGCAATCCCATGCCCACCATCGCCCCCCTGAAGGCCTCCTCCGGGATGGTCACAAAGCGCGCCTTGTCCCCTGCCCCTGCGACGGGATAGATCTCCTTGAATCCCTGCACGATCTCCAGCGGCGTATAGTACTTGACCGAGCCGTACACTGACTGGCCGAGCATCGCGTCTCGCCGGGCAAAGATGGACGAGACGTAGTTGCCCGTATCGGCCTCAATGTCGATCAAGGGGATCTGCGCGTCCGTCTCGATCGGTAAGGCGAATACCCAGGCGTTGGAAGATGGGTCGAGCCGGAACATCTGGCCAGGGATGTTGGACATGTAGAAACCGGCGAGGTAGAGGGTGGTGGGGACGCCAGAGGAGAGGGCGTAGGATGCCACCTCGGCTTTCGAGTCGAAATGCTCGATGCGGGATAGAGCGCCGCTGGTGACTGCCATCATCAGCGAAAGAAGGTGGATCGGATCGGCAATGGACTGAGGTCCACTAGAGCTAGACGTACATTTCTTGGGACTCATCAAAGTAGACAAGACGAGATGCTCCACTCCTGCAACCTAGACTCGGCATCAGCTAGCAGCTCAAGCCCAATTCAACATTCCAACACGTACAGGATACCAGAGCGACGACTTACCTTTGAAGCATCCACCATATTCTTCCCCTGCTTGATCTCTCTCGGACCATCCATCGTTGCCCAGTAATCTGTCACCGCAAACACCCCATACGCGCCGTCCAGCGCCTTATTCAGCGTGGACGCATCATCCATATCGGCCGAAACCATCTCGACGCCCTGTGCTTCGAGCGCCCGAGAGGCCCCCTTGGACGTGTCGCGGGTGATGCCCCGGAGGCGGTATTGGCCTAGAGGGAGGAGGTGGGCGATGACGGAACCGCCTTGTTTGCCGGTGGCGCCAAAGACGACGATGAGCTTGCGGGTGGTTTGGGCGGTTGCAGGGTCGGACATTGTGTGGGATTCAGCTGTTTTGGGTGGATGGGTATGTAGCTGAGGTGAGCAGAAATGAGTGAGTATGGGATAAGCTGTGAGGACGCTGCGAGGGGTTATCTTATATAGACCTGAGCCTCAAGGGAAGGGGACAGCAGACATCTCGGTCTTCGGAGCTTCAGATCTCGAGCTTGATAATCAATTCAAGCAGCTGCGCCGGCGGTACATACGAGTAGCTTATCCATCAGAGTGGTCAGCCATGTGCATTAATCAGCATGAGTAAACACTGGGCGTTGAACGTTGAACGCTGACTGAGACGCAACCGGCGATTGACGTACCGTACCCGCTATTATTATATTACCCAGCCCGACGAGCTTCGAAGCGCGAGCTGGCTCGCTGAGTCGCTGAGTCGCCGCAGGAAGCTTGGTCATGATGCATGATGCTTGAGCTAGGTGCTCCCTGTGTGGAGACTGACACATGCGAAAAGACCGGGTAAATCGTACGGTAACAGTGGGTCAGGCCCCTCAGATCTCAGATCTGATATCTCAGAGGCTGAACTTCCGCTGAAGCGCAAAGCCTGTAATCTGTATGCTATCGTGTCCTTCCATTTTCATATCGATGTATCCTGTACATACGTACCGCAACGCCCCAGTGATAGGTGTGTCCCCTATATAGCTTTTCCCATATCCCATGTCTCCACCCCCCCACCCCCCCTTTTTATCGCTACCCTATTCGCCCTACTCGAGCTCTTCCAAATCCGCCGCCGTCTTTCCCCCCTCCCCCGCATCTTCAAAGTTCTCCACCAAGTCCGGAATCCCCTCATCATCCTCATCATCCACCTCTCCCTCCCTTCCTCCCGCACCCGCACCAGCTCCACCGGCCGCGGCCGACGCGGCGGCATTGCGCGCCGTGAGGGACTGGTACGATTCGGCGAGGCGGCGGAGGTTGGCGAGCGAGTCGGGGCCGAGCTGGTTCAGGATACCGGGGACGAGTTCGGTGAGCTCCTTGGTTTGACCGGGACCGTAGATGGCGAGTGTGTTGGAGGGGAGGGCGGCGTGGACTGTGGGGTTAGCGCGAGCTGGGAGCGGTGCGGGAGGAAAGGGGAAGGAAGGAGAGAGGCGAGCAAGGGTAGAGACGCGGAAAAGGGGCATAGAGGGAGGGATGAAGGGGTGGGGTGATCTGGTAGGTGGACGAGAGAGAGTATGAGGTAGGGGATTATATATCTGGGCAGCCTCGCGATACGTCTGATACCCCATATCTCCCGACCTCGATCCGTGTCGTACGCTGCTCCGCCTGTCACATTGTCCGTCCACAGCAGTAGAACGACGAACACAACCCCTCTCCCTGACCCACATCCGCGTGTCCCCTCGTGCGCTATCTCTTCTGGCCGGCCCGCCCTTTGTCCCCTTAATCCGACCACTCTTCAGTCTCATCCCGCTCATATCCTCCATCATCCCCGGACGTAGCACGACCGGCCCGACCGCCCCCGGCCCCCACACCCACGTCCAACTCCACTTCAAAGTCCACATCCACTCTCCGCGCGCCCGCCCAAAACCCAAACTCACCCTTTGGCGCCGCAAAGTGCAAGACATTCCCATCCTCCTTGAACATGTTGACCTCCTCAACGCCCGCGATCGGCTGCACCGACAGCTTCTTCAACGCCGCCTGGAGTTTCCGATCGTCCCCTTGCGAAGCGGTCACGGACTTCTTGACCTGTTTTCGGCGGGGGGTACCCTTTCCGCCTGCGGGTCAGCTTGCGTCCTCGGTGATGATGTCAAGTCGCAGTGGCAGTTGCGAGCAGAGTCCTGTCCGTTTCGTATCCCCAGCTTCGACGTCCCTCGGTTCTCTCGAAGTCTCGACCTCTCCCTGCTTATTCCTGATCATCCGCCAATCACTGCTTCCGCTCGCCGTTTCCTCCGCCCCACCCCAATCCTCCTCCCGTCGCGTCCTAGCTCCCCACTAGCATCCCAGATCCAAGACCCGAATCCAACGCGGCCAAACGCACCAATGCGGACCTGCTGCTGCAGCTTGGCGAGCTTTTCCTTGTCCATGATGGCTGAAGCTGAAAATTGGCTGAGGGGTTGATGGATGTCCAGGTGATGCGAAGTCGGGGATAGCAGTAACAGGAGCAATAGGTTCAGACGGCGCGTATATATATAGTCGGTGGAGGTAGAGTAGCGAGTGTAGGTATGTGATGGAGTAGCCGGATGAAAGGTAGAGGTTGGATTCGAGCAGTTGAAAGAAGCAGATCAGCTATCGTCCTGAATCAAATTCGCTGCCCCTTCCTTGGAGCCGTCCACTACTCACCTGTCTTGTGATAGCTCCTAGTATGAGCTGAGGTTGAGTATATAGACTGATGTGTAGGCTATAGCTACAGTATAGCTTGGTGGTGGACGCGGTGACGGTCTGGGCGGGCGGGAGTTATATGTTCGGCCCCGCTTGACTCGGCGTTTAAGCGAATGTGGCACTAGATCCGTGCGTCACTAGAGACGTGTTTGACTTCTCTCCTATGCTATGGTCAACCCTCCATCTCCTCTCTGCAGGCAACATGTTCTACCCCGCGACGTCACACCCTACACGGACGTATGGCGCGCCCACAACAGGCCGGCGAAAGCTCGCTGTGCATAATGAGAATAATCTGGACGGGCTAGGAGGAAGAGGTCTGCCCAGTAAGACCCCGTCTCGCGCTGGACCGAGTGGGCCAAATGGGGCAGCAGGAAAGGCGGCGTTGTTGGGTTCGGCGACGGTGGGGAGGGTAGGACTGGGGCAGAAGACGGAAGGGAAGGATAGGAATGTCCTGAGTGGGCAGCCAGGGGCTGGAGTTGGGAAAGGAAAAGGCAAAGAAGAGGAGATCGGTGAGTCATCACTCAACGGCCAGGTTTTGCATTTTTGACCTGAAACACAGAACCTAAACGCCTCTTCGCATCCACCTCGACCCTCCCGCCTTCCAAATCCCTCTCCAACCTCCCCTTCATACCAACCAAAACACCCGCCCGCCCGCCGCCCTCCTCGCGTAAACTCCCACCCAACAAGACGCCCGCCCCGTCAACTTTTAGAATCGCGCAGGACGTTTCGTCTACGCCCTTGCCATCTGCAACAAGGAGGCGGAGATCGCGCTCGTCCAATGGGCCCGGGGGAAGTGGTGGTGGCGCAGGTGGGGGAGGGGGAGGGGCGACACCGATGCGTCCAACAATGAGACCGGCGGAAGAGTTCCGCACTCCCCTGCCCAGTGCGAAATGGCAAGATGGGGATGGGGAGGGAGATAGTCCAGAGGGGAGTGGCGGGCTGGAGGTACAAGGGACAGGGGCGGAGGGGGATGTGGGGGTCGTCCTGGATGTTCTGGGGGAGGTAGAGGAGGAAAGTGAGGATGAGGTGGAGTATATGCCGCCTAAGCCTGACGGTGAGTCATGCCATGCTATGCTCTCTCGTCTTCTATCCCCATCCTCGCTGTTCCCGGCTGCTATCTCCGGATCCCCTGCTCCTGTACATGTCGGGCCCAGTACTGATAGCCAGAACTCCCATACGAGCTAGACTGGGAGCCTCAACTCGACATCATCTCCCTCACGCGTCAACTCCAGACTGTCCCTTGTGTCGCATTTGACACGATTGGGGAGGCGCCGGAATTGAGTATGGAGGTGGATACCGAACCGAGGGGGATCATGCTGGAGTGTAAGTTTTTCTTTGTTCCTTTTGGTGCGAGCACAGTAGTAGGGGGAAAGGCTGATGTGCAGCGGATGATAAGCTGGAGGATCCGATATTCCAACGCGAGCCCGCTGCGGGCGTACCATCACCTCCCGTGCGAGTTGCTCCACCAGCGTCGGGGTCCGGGACGGGACCGGTGCGAACCACATCGACTACTTTCCCACGGACTCGGCCCGCCCCGCCCGCTGCTGTACCGGCGACATCCCGGTCCAAAGCAGGAACAAGCCTCAAGTCCAGCTTGAAGCCAACATCTACCTTTTCCCGATCTACCCTCGCCTCAGCGGGAACCCGAGCGACAGCGCATACTCGACCCCCGCTCCCATCAGGCTGGAAAGCACCCACACCGGCTAGCGCTCGTCCAGCTCCCCCTGCGCTGGCGCTGTCCGCTCGATCGACCAAGGAGAATATCCCTCCTCTCCCGACCCGGGTAAACGGCACCGGTACGGGGCTCGGATCAAAGAAGGGGAGTAAGGAGGTCCAAGGGAAGGGTGCGTGGGTGGAGGAGGATGACGAGTTGATGGAGGCGTTGATGCTCGTCGGGGGACAGGAGGCGGTTTTTGACCTTGACCTTGGTCTTGACCTTGACTCTGGCGTTGGGTCGTGAGGAGTTGATGAGTGATGTGGTGAGGAGTTGATGATTAATAATGACCTAATGTTCTTGTGGATATATACCGTCCGGTTTCGTTGTAAACATCCTCTATCTTGTAGCATGTGAAGACCTTATGATGCCTTATCAGGTCTAAGAGCAGCTTCGCGTCGGCGAGCAGCTTGGCGAGCAGTGGGTCATGCCGAGAGCAGGCGCAGAGCAAGCCCGACTTCTCCGCGTGTTTCAGATTTTCAACCTCAACCTGAACCTCAATCTCTAAACTCACTGAGAGCTAGCATGTCGTTCAAGTTCAACTTCGACCTCGTACGTATCCTTAGCAACTCCTGGTGCTCTCTCGTTTGGTGCGGAGGGGCGTTCGGAAGAATGGCTCGGGTAGCAGCTGATGATCTGTAGGAAGAGGATGATTTGGACACCCCCGAGACTTCCCATATCCCGCAAGCCGGGTTGGAGAACGCTAGTGCAGCCTCGGGCTCAGGCCCAAGCGCAGCTGCAGCTCCAGATTCTTCAGTATCGGCAGAGACAAGTGGAGCGGAGACCAAGTCCGTCTGGGACGAAAAGAGCTATACCGTCTCCCTTGATGAACTGGTATGTTTGTCCCAAACCCGATCTGCCTGTATTCCATATCACGTCCAAGCCCACCTAGTCGGGATATCGATATGGTGCGGGACCAATGGGCGGATAAGTAACGGAAACGGAACACAAAAGCTGATGACTGAAGCTCGACACCCTCCCCTCTCGGATCCTCTACTCCCCTCTCCCCCTCTCATTTCCCTTACCGCACCCACTACTCCGGCGAGACCTACACGACGCGCGATTTCAGCTCGCTTCGACGTCTTTGCTGGGTGCGGAGCTCGCGTCTTCGTCTACATCGGGTCACGGCGACGCCACGACCGGGAACGGGAGCTCTAGACAAGAGACCGGGAAATCAGAAGGGGAGCAGAAGGAGAAAGAGAAGGATGAGGGCGAGGCGTACGTCTCGGCGGGTACAGGTACAGACCTCATACCGGGCCTGTATGAGGGCGGGTTGAAGACGTGGGAGGGGGGCGTGGATTTGGTGCAGGTTTTGGCGGGTAGGGAGGGGGATTTGGGGGGTTGGGTGAGAGGGAGGGGGGTGTTGGAGGTAGGTCGGGTCTGGTCTTCCCTTTTCCTGACGCTAGAGTTCTCTCCCTCTTCTCTCTCCTATGACCTATACGCAAGGCAGCGCTGATGATCAGGTCGGATGCGGTACTGCCCTTCCCTCAGCATACATCCTTTCCCGCCTTCTCGCCTCTCCTTCTCCGTCCCCCCTCGCTTCCATAACAGTGGCGAAACCCACCAAGCTCTTACTGCAAGACTACAATCTCCCCGTCCTCACCCTCGTCTCCCTCCCGAACCTGCTGCTCGCTTCTCTCCCATACCTCCCTCTGACCATGCTCGAGCCCGAACCGTCCACCTCTTCTCGGTCTGAACCGAACCCGATTCCGTCAATCCCCGAAGGCGACGAGTACGAGGCCGCCGACATCGACGCCAACGGCGAAACGGAAACAGGTACACGTCTCGCCGAAGTGGATGCCCCATCCGACTTCTCCACGCCGGGCGAGCTCGAAATCACCCCAGACCTCAAGTCAGCCTTCAAGCGCCTTCTGGAGGAAAAGGGGGTGGAGCTGGAGTTCCGGTATGGTGGATGGAAAGGCTTGGGCGAGGCTGTGCGGAAGGAGAAGGAGGGGTATGGGCTTGTACTGAGTGCGGAGACTATTTATGCGGAGGGGAGTGTGGGGGATTTGATTGGTGTCTTGAGGGGGGCGACGGTGCGGAAGGGCGCAGAGGATGAGAAGGACGGGAAAAGCGGAGAAGAGGGAGAAGGGGGAGATGTGGCGGGGAAGCCGGAAGAGGGGCTCGATATGGGGAAGCTGTCGGTCAAGGATGATCTGGATTGGGATAGGGTTGATCTGCAAAATGGAGGGAGTTTGGTCTTGATAGCTGCCAAGGTGAGCCATTGTCCCCCTTGTCCCCCTCACCCCCTCACCCCCTCACCCCCTCACCCCCTCACCCCCTCACCCCCTCACCCCCTCTCCGCCTTTCCCCCTCTTTCCCTATAACCTCCTCACCCTTTCTCCAAAGATCACTACCAAGTTGGATTCGGGCGGTATGGATGGAAAACAAAGCTGATGTGGCAGATCTTGTACTTTGGGGTCGGGGGTGGTTTGCAGGACTTTTTAGGCTTGGTGGAGAGGGAAAAGGGCTGGTGGGCTGGTGTGAAGGATTGGACTGCGGGTGTGGGGCGGAGGGTGGTACGAGTAGGATGGTGATACGTCAGGTCAGGCTCCTTCTTGATTCAAGGAGTAAGGGAACTGATCTACTGATGAGAAGCGACGTGAGATACTGGTATAGCGGAAGAAGCTGAATGCAAGCACAACTAAGACTGCTGATCAGTACCACTCAAACCGTTCAACTGTTCAAAAGTATTCACATGTCTCGCCTATGGCGCTGATACGTGTACTAGGCGCCAAACTCGTCATACACAGTACTCATCTTCTACCACCCAGATTCGATCATGATGCACAAGCAGCTCCGCCTCCAACCTGTACCTCTGACGCGGCCTGCGAGGTTACACCGGGTTTGCGTCGCCTTTGGTCCCCATCGCCTCGGAGGCCACCGACGTCGGGATGTAGTCAGGCTCGACCCCCGTGACTCGGATCAACTGTTCGAAACCAGTCCCCGGAAACCCCCGCAACCAGGTGATCGTATCCTCGTGATACGCCGGATTGTTGGCCTTGGTCTTCTTTGCAAGGAGACTCGCCAGCTGACGTCCCGTGAGCCCGCCCGTCTTGCTCAGCAGGGCATGCTTGACCTTGTGCTCTTCAGTTTTCAGGTCCTTGAAGGCAATCGTCTGGGTGGCAATGGTGTCGCCCAGCTTGATCTCTTCATCCGGCAGAAAGCGACTGAATAGACTGTTGCAGATCTCGATTGTGTCCGTCTTTCCGAGCAGCTCTTACAGAACTGCGCGTCCTGACGCGAGGCGGATGTCATGTCGGTATGCAGTGGCCGTCTCCGGCCACTGGTCGCTTCGGGTGATTGCCGGGTTCTTTCGTAATCAGAAGCACCTCGCCCCCTCTGTGAGCCTTTCCTCTCGCCCCTGGATGGCGCGCTTGGAAGGCCGATGGCATGACCGTCACGCAGCGTAACCTTTGACGACACCTCCTACCTCTTGCTTACGCTTGTCCTGAGCGCTTTCTAGGGTCTATGACGATCGGCAGTCACTGAACCGCCACCTGCCAGGATGCAGCTGCCGTCAGGCTATATCAGTATACAGACGATTCATCTATTGTCGGGATGTACGAGTAAGCAGACCACCCCTCACATCCCCCCATCGCTCGCTGATAGCACCTGCTGAGCTCCAGCTTCGGCTCGACCAGATCACTTCTGCTCCTCATGACTCAAGACGACAGTCCTTTCATCCTCTGCACCGGAATGATCGATGATGCTGACCGCGTCGTCCTCTTCAGGATTGTGTCCGACCATGTCGTAGTCGGACTCTGCGTCCGACTCCTCCCGCGCAGTGTCGGGCAGCATCTCCGGCTGAGATCCTGAGGATGGTGAATCTGCCGCCGGGACCTCAGAGGGGTTCAGATTGTTCTGGCTGTGAAGCTTCACCTCGGCGGGACTCAGCTGGGTCAGATCATCCGGGACCTTGATTTCAGTATTCGCGCCGGCGATCTTGTCCTTGCCCTTGTCATCCCAGTGCGAACCCCAGGGTGTACCAGGCTGAGCATCATCGGGGACTTGAGTCCCATGACCTGCGTTGGCGGTCTTGTCCTCGCTCCCCCAATGCGAGCCCCAGGATGTACGATGAGCGTCGTTGTGGGCCCCGGTGGCATCGTAGAAGGAGGACGCGGAGGTTACCGGCCTTCGCAAACTCGACCAACCGTTGCGATTGGGTATGGGAGACCCGACCCAAGTGTAATTGCCAGCTGACTTTTCCCCTTGAGACGCACCACGAGCGCCTTCTGACGAAAGGCGTTGAGCACAGGCGTCCAGGGTGTCGTGGATCTCCTTTGCGAGCTCAGCAGGAGAGGGTCTGCATCGCTCGGGTAAGCCGCTCATTATCAGAGATACAGTATGACTGTCAGTAAGTGTCGTGGAATGTGGGTCGTGCCTGCGAATGTGGGAGTGCGAGTCGAGCTGTAGGAGGCGGGGGCGTAGAGCTTTACAGAAGATGGCTGTAAGGACTCAGAGGTGACCCCCCTCGTGCCAGATATTTACAGCGCTCGCATTGCCCTCTGTTCCCCCATGACCATGTCCCTTAACTCCTTTCAACCTTCGCATCGCCACAATCTTACTCGCACCCGTCAATCCGCCTTCATTTCCGTCCGAACGCGTGTCACACCAATCGACCTTTCATCCGCTGCTCCTATACGTGCCTTTTAAAGGGGGAAGAAGGACAGGAAAGCGAGCTGTATGGGATCCCCACCTGTCGAGCACCGCCACCTAGCTAGGGACTGCGCACCTTGACGTGTCGCGCCTGGACGCGCTGGACGGCCTGCTTGGAGCTGGGACGGATTGCGTGCTGGATTTCAGGTTGGGGGGATCATACACGTAGCAAAATGTCAGTCCGTTGTCCGACTGACAGGCTGAGGTTCGCCATTCTATCGCCTAGCGGCTTTCGGGGTCTCTGAAGCCGGACTGGGTTTGCCCCATTTCCGTGAAGAGTGGCATCGATATCGGCGCAGAAACGCATGAGATGGTGCGTATATCTTGGTAGATGGCTAAGTCGCACATCAGAGCATATCAGTGTCGTCAGTGTCAGCGCCGCTAGGGCGATCTAGTCATAGGACCGCCGGCCGTCGTCACAGACGCGTCAGATATCAGGGACGTCGAGACCCACCGAAGCCCGCAATCCCTTTTGTCGTTCTCGTCTGACACGCGCCCCTCCGGCGTATCCAGGTGGATCAGTCGGGATCCATCGAGACGGTCGGGCTCGGTTGGATCACTGAATATGCAAGGACGAAGCAGGTATTCTCAAGCTGCTCGCCCTTACATCGATCAGCGGTCAGCGCAGACCAAATGACGAAACCCCCCGTGCCTGGTTTCAGGGAAGTTTCAGAATTCCTCCAACTTTAACTCGACTCCCCCCGTTCCTCGTACCTTACAAGACCCTCCTGAACGCTTCCTGAGCCTTCCTCCGCCTCCGCAGTACCCTCGCCGAAGGCTCGCCGAGCTACTGCCGCACTGCGTCATGTCATCGCCCTCTCAGGCACCGTTCCGATGCTCTCGGAGGCGGAAAGCCGGGGTGGGAGAAGGTGTACGGCCGAAAGGCTGAACGGAGCTCGGATGTGTGTGTGTCCTCTTCACACTGCGGCCTGATCCCCCCACACCACATTCCTCAGCTGGTCCTCGGATTGACTCTGCGCTCAAGGCACGAGAGCCACCGCCCACTCTGATGTGCTCCCCCGGCTGAGAAGCCGAAGCCATACCATCAGATCTTTGATCTGCAAGAGTAAGTACTACCGTACTGCGGCGGGGTCGCTACCGTACTCAAGAAAATTGGACAATTGCTGATCGACAGCATGACTGTAACGCAGCCGTGTCACATGTTTCAGACGCGGCATCAGCATTCGGCTATCGACGCGTTCTTGGTGGCGAAGAACTAGTCATACGGCCGGCATTCCAGCTGAGACATTCCTGTCTCATCGAAGGCAGGCCTAGGGCAGTAGCGTTCCTACGGCCTACCCAAGTTCGACCACATTCTACTTCTCCACGTCACATCAGTCTCAGCTCTCCTTATGCTATCTTCGGCGTAGAGACTCAGCTCGTTCCTTGTAAGTGTTTTGTCTACAACCATAGCTGACCGGCAGCACATCGCCCACTGCACACTCCCCTCTGGTGATCACTCACCTTCGATCGCCAAGCCAAGATGGAGCCATCAACTTCCTTGGACCAGGTCGGGGCGCCTCAAGGCAACTCAAAAGCCCGCGAGCGGCTTCGGAGAATGCGCGAGCGCGCCGCAGCTCAAGCCGCAGCCGAAGCTGGCGCCGGTACCGAGGCCAATCCGGGCGAGAGCGCTGTCGCCGGTCCATCAACCCTACCCTCCCTACCCACATCAACCACTCTCCCGGCCTCACAGACTCTCGCATCCTTGACGTTCTCATCCGACTCGTCTTTCTCCGGTCTCCCATACCTCCAACCCTCATCCTCCGCCCTACAGCTCGACCTTCCCGGCCCCATGACCCCCCTGCCCTCCAGATATCCCTACGGTGGGCTCGGCGGAGACTCGCCTATATCTGGACTCCCCCAATACTCTACCCTCGGACTAAGCACCTCCTCGCAGCCCAGCATCCCCATCGCGCCGAGCTCGGCCCGCGCCGACTCTCGCGTCGGACCAGGCGGCGGTCCCGTCCCCCTCCCCTCCGAGGTCTCACTGACCCAGTCGGAACGGCGTCGAATACTAGAGGCGACGGGGCAGGCGATCGGGATCGAGGATGAGATCGAATGGGCCGACGACGAAGAGACGCTGGATAAGATGCAGGGCGAGCAGGTGGAGGTGATGGGATCGCTGCCGGTCAAGCCGAGGAGCAAGTGGAATCCCCACGGCCATGCTTTGACGGGTCCGGACATTCCGGCGTTCCAGATTCTTCGGGCGGAGGATATTGAGGCGCGGGCAAAGGCAGAGGCGGAGGCCGCGGCGGCTGCAGAGAAGAAGAAGGGAAAGAAGAAGGAGGAGGGGCAGAGAGGGTTGAGGGGTCTGTTTGGGAGGAAGGGGAAGGAGGGGCAGGTGGAGCGGATGACGAGTCCATCAGGGACAGCGGACATGGATCGGGGGAGTTTGAGCCAGGGTGAGCATCTCCTAGTGCAGAGAGGGGAGGAGCTGATATAGTAGCTGGGAGCAGGCAGGGCTCTCTCCGACTTTCACTACAACCCTCCCAGGCATCATCATCCAAGGCCTCTCTACCAGCGAGCCAGTCTTTCCCGGCCAAAAGCATCCTCAAGAATCCAGGCCGGCTCCAGGCGTCCGTCACCGCCCCCTCCCTCACCTCGTTCGCCGATCCCACTCGACCCTCACCTGCTACGCATAGTTCACAGCTATCAGCCCTTCGGACTCCTCAGGACAATATCGTCCCTCTCCCACAGTCTCAATCTGCCGGAAAGACCAAGGGAGGGCGCCCGGACACAAGCGGGACCATCACCCAGTCCACATTCCACGACCTCGCGCCGCCCGTCCGCCCATTCGGGGAATCGGCGAATGTGGATCGCCGTCCCAGCGTCGCTTCGTCAGGCGCTGAATCCGGCCAGTCGGTAGACTCGACCCAGCTCTTCTACTCGGCTCGTGCACCTACCTCCGAGCCCCGGACTGAGCTCCCATCGCAGTCCCAAGTCCGCCTCGGCGCGCCCATCGAGTCTCCACCTCATCCGCGCGGACCCCGTATCGGCGTAGCTCCAGCTACGCCCGGAACTCCAGTGCCTCGGCTCACACCCGCCCACATCCCACACAACTTGCCGCACAACCAGGACTCGCGATACCCCGTCCTATTCCCCAGTCGAGCCGGCATCGCAGCGTCCTTCTCTCTACCCTCCCTACCAAACTTCCTCAACCTCCCACGCGGCTTCAACGCCGACCGACGCCCTTCCGACAGTATCTTCCATACCTCCCCACCCCGTAATCCTATCCACACACTCCAGCGGAGTGCGAGCACCACCTCCCTCGCCCAGCCCACCCACAACTATATCGTCGATCCCAAGTCCCGCTTTGTGCCCCATCGTCGGGCGCGAACGGGCGATTCGGGGGACAGCGATACGTGGTCCTTCCATTCTCTTGCGTCCGCCACGCGCGAGAGCTTGGGCGTGGAGCATGCCGATCGATCACCCGTACGGCGCATGTCCCGGATCCCACGGGGACCTATCTATGGCTCGCGGACCCAGATCCAGACTGTCGTCACCCCCGTCATTCCTTCCGCTCCGGCCGCACCCCACCCGCTTCCCCCTCCTCCACCCCGCCGCCAGCCAGCCCCATCCGCACCGAAACCTCCCGGCCTCCTCGAGAATATCGGACAAGGCCTCGAAAAGGCATTCTCGAAGAAGCCCGTCAAGGTCTTGACGATAGATGAGCACTTTCAGTCCACGGATACGGTCTTCCAGACGGAGTTCAAGATGAAGGAGAAGGATAGGGAACGGCGGATGGAGACGTACTTTCCGCCCGCACAGGAAGATACAAGGGGGTTGTTCGATACCATGTTTCCGCCCCCTCCAGCTACGCTGGGGCGCTTGGAACCTATCTCGAATTTGACGGCGACCGTCACTATCCGGCTGCATCCTAAACCCGAAGAGAAGAAGAAGGGGAAAGGTAAGGGAAAGGAGCGGCCAGATACGGCCGTCTCGATGGCGCCTACGATCGTGAGCTTGGCGCCAGACGTACCGGACGATGCAGCTTCGGAAATCGAGGTCCTACCGGCGGAAGAATACCCGCCGGTCTGGAAGAAGATGATCTTGGTTCTTACGACCTGGACTTTCGACGCGGCGACGGGACCCGTCCCTTCCTCCATCGGCACCAGTAGCGGCGGCAGCTCGGCGCAAGACCGACCCCGTCGACTCCGAGAACGTACCGTCGGTGAACAACGCACCATCGCCCACCTACACCTCTTTGACCCCTCGTCCTCCCCCTCCGCTTACGCCCCACAGGAACGCCGACCCAAGACCTCGGATACATTTGGAGTCCCCACCCGACCGTTCGGGGGCGCGGCGGTCTACCTGCCTGAATCTGAGCGCATCGAGCAGGATCGGCGGCCCATGGGGTATGCGCACGGGGTGGTTTTGGGCGATATTGTGGATTTGGGGATGAGGGATGAGGATCCGGCAGAGTTTGCGGGGGACGGGCTAGAGAGGCGGAGGAGGAGGGGGGTGATTTGGTTTAGCTATGGCAGGACCGAGGGGTGGTTTGTCCAGTTCAAGGATAAGTGAGTGATGAGTCCAAGGAGAGGGAATAAGTGCTGATGAGGTAGGAAAGAGACGGATCTTTGGTTGCATACCTGTCGAGGTATCTGCATGCGGATCGAGTGAGTATCTGCCACCCTCAAAGATACAGAAAAACAAGGAGCTGAAGATCAGTCGCGAGAACCTAGCGATCAGTATGCGAAAGCTCAACCCTCGGATCGAAGCCAATGCCCGACGTCTTTCCGATCTGCAGCGACACCGAGAAGGATTGGAAGCGGCGCATCAGCCGGAGCAATACGTCCTTTCCCGTCTGGCGCAGGGATACTCTATCTGGGACCCTCAAACCAATCCGCCCCTTACGGTCTCGTTCAAGGAGATGATGGCTTCCCAGGAAGTCAAGTGGGCGGGGTATGAGCACCCCGCGTTAAAAGTTAGGAGGGAGCAGGATAAGTGGGCGACATTGGGGGATATGGTGTATGGGCGGGTGGATGAGAGGGAGTGGGACTGGACGATACCGGTCGACAAGGCGAGGAGGGGCGGTGAGGGCCAGAACCAAAAGGCGGAGAAGAGGAAGGCGGGAAAGAGGAGGAGGAGGGCCAAGTTTAGGGTCAAGGAGGCGAAGAGGAAGGCGAGGGGAGAAGTGAGGGTTAAGGGTAAAGGAAAGGGGAAGAGTGCGGGGACGCCTGTACAGGACAACAAGGGCAAGGGGAAGGCGGATACGCCCAGTAGTACTGCCAGTGGACGTACATCGCAGACCGTGCCCCACCCCTCGCCTGGACCGTCCCGACACCGCCCGTCCCCACTTTCGAGCCTCTCCACCCCTACTCGGCCCGTCATCGCCGCCTTCCCATCCCCTTCACCTACTCCGTCGCCCCTACGCCCTCTCATGCTCCCGGCGACAGTGGCCAGCCGACCACGGATGCCTCTTCGGGAAAGCGACTTTAGCCTTTCCGCTACGCCGTCGGCACGATCCCTCGTTTCGCTTCAGTCGGCGCGGTCGGGCGGATCGCTGCAGTCGGCAGCGTCGATAGGGACGGCAGGGGGGTCGGATCCGTCCATCAGGTCAGGTGCTACATTTGGGCGGCCACCTTCTTCGGCTGCTTCTACGTCAGGCCCTACCCCTCTTCCTACCCCTGCTCCAGCAGCGGCGGCAGCGACGGGGTCAGGAACAGGGACGGCTCCACGATCCAGGCCGTCCACCGGGAACAGGACATTACCACCTCCATCTTTGCCCCCTCCGTCGGATCCACTGCCCGCTCCTCCCACAATTGAAGATTCCGCCTCGTCGACTTCATCCTCCTCGTCCGGCTCTATCCGGCGGCCAGGCCAGGGCCAGCGGCCTCAGCGGCCGCGGACGAGGGACGGCGACAAGACACCGAAAGCGCTTACGCTGGGTATGTTTCCTAGTCCGCCAACGACGGAGCCGTCTCCCTCTCCACCGGTCAAGTCGGTCGCTGGAGGTGGCGGGGCGAGCGGGGTGACAACAATCTCTCCTCCACCTGTCCCGCCCAAAACGACCGCGCCGTCCTCTTTCCCGCAAGGGTTCGCACAGACCCGTATGCCCAGTATCCACACTCAGACTCCATCGGTATCGTCATCGGTATCGAATTACTCTATCCCTATCCCGACATACATCCCCACTGCCCTTCCTCGGTCTACGCCACCGCACTCAGTCTCGGCCGGACCATCAGCGTCAGCGTCGGCTTCGACCTCCACGCCCGGCCCGGGCACGCAGCGGGGCGTATCGCCATATGGGCAGGTGGAGAGTTCAGGGAGTGTATATTCCGATTCGGGAAGTGTGGCGCTCAGTGCGAGTGCGAGTGTCTTGAGCGTCACGGCTGGGGGAGGGCGAAGGAGGCGGACGACGACGGCGCCTATTGATCTTGGTGAGTCTTCGCTCTTTGCTGGGGGTGCCGTGTGAATTGGACGCGAGGATTAGGGCTGACGTTATAGCTGGCGAAGTCAAAGCTGAGGATGACGCCAAGAAGGCGGAGATCAGGGCGGCGGAGGCTGCGAAGGCGGGAGCGGAGGAGCCTGTTCAGGAGGATAGGCCGAGAGCTATCCGGTTTGCCTGAGCCCTTCTATAACCATTATTGAATCGTATTGCACATAGCATAGAGCGTAGACTACATACATACATACATAGCATTGCATAGTACCTTGTCATGTTCTGCCCGTTTTGAAGACATCTAATACAGCCTTAGCACCTGCTCTCACGCCCTCTCTTCGGGAGAATTCCAGTCCCGCCCGCTTTTCAGCCCATATGGTCAAGTCTGACATGCTCGGTATTGGCGCGGTGTTCTCGGACGGAATGGCTGAGGATGTTGTTGTGTTCGAGGGATCGGATCCGGGGATGGCTGAAGAAAGTGGGATGGGGAGGGCGCCGATGAGGTTTGTGGAGAGGAGTGGTTGGAGGGAGAGCAGAATCTGGGCGTCTGTGCCCGTCAGCATGCTCTCAGCAAGGCAATGTAGTAGACTGATCGAGTCGTTACCCAGATATAGCTAGTGTCTTCACTCACACTCTTGCTGTAGCGCCATGATACCACCTAGTGTCCCCCTCGACCCATTCCCTGGACCCTCTCCTCCCGTCATTCCGCTATCCTCCCCTCCGTCCCCTTCTTTTGCCCTAAACACAGCCCCGTACTCCCCCTTCATAGCCTGAAGGATCATCTCCGCTCTCCCCAGCAGCACCAACACCTCCTCAATCCCCAACAAAACCCCTTCTAGCCCCACCTCGCTCGGTGCGCCCGCTACCCCGCTGCCTCCTGCCCGGCTCGATCCGCCCACTCCTGGCGGGACGGACAGTAGCGTTCCTGGAGTCCCAGCTGCTGTTGATCTTATATTGAGGAAGCCTGGGAAGCCGGCGGGCGTCTGCGCTTGACTTGACGCGAGGAGGCCGGCGAGCGGGGAGGTGGATATGGGTATGAGCGGGGAGGGGGGGAAGAGGAGGTTGGAGGTTCCAGGGAAAGGGGATAGGAAGCCGGAGGGGAACGTGAATGGAGAGGACATGGTATAACTCCGTACAGTATAGCTGCTGTAAAGAAGGTAGATGTGAAAAGCAGAGGCTCATGATGATGGTCGAGTTCGGGTTTGCAGCTGTTGGGTGGGGGAGATGACGTAAGGGGTTTCAGATCCGCGAGGTGGAGGTGAGAATTTTGCTGCAACAACATCAACCTATACATGCTATACATCATCTTTGCACAGCTATAGGACCTTCCGAAGATCCCAAGATGCCTCACAAACGTGAGTAAATCGATGACGGGTGGTATCAGATAGAGGGCGGGGCTGATTTCTCAGGCGCAAAGCACTCTGTCCGGGTCGAGGAGCACAAGAAGAAGTCAGCCCCCTCGCCCATCTTCTGGCTGCTTTCAGCCATGCCGTTCATTGTCACACTATACTGACATACCAGAGGCTTCAATCACGACCCCAGCCCCTCTTCCACTCGAGACGACACCCCTCGCTCCGCCAGCCGGATCCTCAATGCCCTCACCTCGCGCGAAAAGTTCCGGGAACGCGGCGGGCGCTCCGGGGAGGATACGGGCGAATTTCGGCCAAAGAAGAAGAAGCAGTCTGCGGCGGGAACTACAGAGCCGGTCTCGGCGTTCGCGAAAGAGCCGGTACTAGTCAAAGGGAAGGAGAAGGAGAAGGCGACAGAGAAGGGGAAGGACAAGAAGGCAGAGGCGATCCCGTCGATTCTCCCTCATGAGAAACTGGGGGACTACAATCGGCGGATAGAGGCTATCCTTCGGCCAGGGGTGAACAAGGCGATCAAGACGGCCAAGTCGGCCAGGGCGGATGCGGTCAAGGCGGCCAAGGAGAAGAAGGGGGCTCCGGCGGGTACGGGGACTGCTGCGGCCGAGGAGGATGCGGCGGGAGACGGGAAGAAACGAAAGCGGTCAACGGAAGAAGGGGACTATCTCGAACCAGAAAACAGACCGGTCAAGGTCTTTGCGCCCAAACCTGCCCCTCGGCGGCTCAACGATATCGCTCAGGCCCCACCACAATTACCTCAACTGCGTCGAGCGACCAAGGTGGGCGCGGAGGGACAGAAGGGCGCGAGTGTATTTACGACATTGGGGAGGGATCCGCTCAATGCAGGACAGAAGAGGCTGTTGGAGGAGGAAAGGGAGAGAGTTGTTAAGCGGTATAGGGAGATGAAGGAGGAAAGGGAGGCGGTCGCCCGGGAAGAGAGGAAAGAGAGAGAGAAGGAGAAAACGAAGGGGAAGGGAGGGAAGAAGAAGGGCGGGACTGTTGGTATGGGCTCGGAGAAGGACTAGGGCATACTTTTTGGTTTGGGTGAAAGGACATCGGGCGACCATGGCTAGCAATAGTTACTACACACCAAGCGAGATCGAGAGACGAGGTATGTGAAGCGCTCACGAATACTGATTTCAACGAGTCATCTCATTTCATCTGACATCTACAGCTGGCTCTCGCTTGCTACTCGGCTCCCAATGTCTTATCCCGATCTATTATACCCTGAAGTTGAGCCTTTCGTCAAATGACCCTCAGTCCGCTCGTCGTGCAAGTAAAGGCCTCGCGCCTGTTGAGTCCGTACTGTCCTTGCTTGGTTAGTACCCGCAGTATGGTTGGTTTCCTCGAGTGACTGGGTCGGCGCATCGATGGTAATACTGGACTTGAGGGGGGCCTCCTGCGTTGTCGTTCCGCAATACCAGCCTCACACGGCCCATTCTTTGGACCTCTCCTACGCCGCCGCCTTCACCTCCTCGCTCCCTGATCCGGGAGCGGCAGAGGTGATGAATGGAATTCCGCCTGATAGGCTGTCAAGAAGGGCATTGCAGCAGTACGGGTATTTCCTTGCTCCTCCTGAGTTAAGGCGTTCTAAGCGAATAAGCGGGATCCCCGCTAACAGTATAGCTTTAGCTTGTATTGGTGACGGTCGCCAATCCCGCCAATCCGGCTCCTCCATCATCCTCAACGCCTCGCCCGAAGCCGCTACGAGTGGTATGCTCGGCTGCCTCGAGGACGGCAATGTCGTCCGCATCGATCTGGCCCAGCACCGCGCAGACGCAAGATCTGGCCGAAGGAAATCGGAAAAAGGAAATGGGCCCTTTCAAGTTCCCGCCGAGCCAGACGCCGTGACAGGAGATCTTCGGGAAAGAAGTGAGCGAGCAAAGAGAGGGGATGGCTTTGAACGGGGCAGTCAAGTACCAGCGGGTTGCGAAGACGTTTGGTGTGTACAGAAGGATCATTAGCTGTATGAGTGGGAGATCCACTTGCGTGTACGGTGTATGAACATTTGAGATGGCTAGCGACTAACTCTATTGAATCCCCCTTACCTGTTCGGGTCAGCTCCGCTCTAGCTGTTTCTCCATGCAGACCAAGGACTTACTTTGCACTGCCACTAACCCTTAATCTTGGTCCCGCACCTCTACTGGGAGCAAGCGGACGCCTCCAAAGATGAAAGGAGCCCTCAAGATCCCCTGCGCCCCCCCTTGATCCTCGTTCGTGCCCACAAACATGCTCATTCGCTGCAACACGCCTTCTCCAACCTCAAGGGGGCTGGGAGGCCGAATGATGTGAAATTCGTTCAGGCGCTCGTTCCCGACCGAGTCGCGGGTCACCTCGGTCATACCGACCGAGTCGGCGGGCGAGATGGGATAGATATCGCCTTTGCTAGTATCGACCTTTCCTCGACCGAGGGAGATCAACCACTTCTGCTTGCCGCCTTGTGTCGGATGCCAAGACTCGTAATCCGTAGCCTGGCCGTAGAGCCATTGTACGCCGGTGAGGTCATGTATGGACGAGTGGAGGATTTCGGGTATATTCCAGCGAGATGCCCAGGTTTCGCGCTCGGGCGTGTTCATGCGGATCTCAAGCTTGTATCTGCTGATTAGCTCAGGACAAAGTGTCAGGCGGAAAACGTACTTTCCGGCCGGCGCGTAAAAGTCACAATGAAACTTTGGGCGTTAGCTGTCAGATAGACGAACAGTCAGGGATTGACTCACATCTATCCATTGGCTGTGACGATGAGCCGCGACATACATATCCTGCGGTATGGATTTAGGCTGGCCGAGGTCCCATGAATGCCGGAGGGAGTTTTCTTCTTTGATCCAAGTGGGTTGGACCTCGTCGCCATTTTTCTCGCTAAGGTGATAAGCTCAGGCATAGTACGCGCCCCTCTGCACTCACTCCCAGTCTGATATAGGATTCGTCGCCCCAAACAGATCAAGACAGATCAAAGACAGATGGGCTCGTGATATCCAGTGCCAGACAGGGCCACCGGGTAGGTATGTCTGCCGCTTGTCCAACTTCTGCTGGCCCGTCCTGTAGGGCTCGTGATCCTTGGCCCTGGTGTCGGCGCTCTGCTCCGGGATCCAGCGGCAGAGAGCGAGGTGATGAATGAAGAACATATTCGGCTGTAGATCGAAGGCGTCCTGCGCCGAAGGGGGGCTGCCAGAGGCGAGTTGCGCATTGCCCGGGGGCAGAACAAAGGTCCTACATGTCAGATCCCGTCACCAGCCGCCCGCGAGTACTCGCACTCACAGAGAACCAGATGGCTGATCGTCTAGCCCGACCACACCGGCCGCACAGGATCCCAATGAAGGTGTGCCAGCTGTCCCAGCGAGAGCTTCTGCGGGGTAGGGATCTTTCCCCACGACCTGTAAGCTCCCTTCGGCAAAATGTAAGATCGTTTCCCTCAGACGTACTGCAGATGGACATATCAGAACGATACTTTGCAGTATGGCCTAAGTCGGCTTCCACCACACTAGCGGTTCAGCGCGGTAAATCGATGTGGAGGATGATCACTTACTACATTGTCCAGGCACCCTCTGTCTGGCTTGCAGAAAACAGCTCGTGCTCAGTCAGATTGCAGGTGTACTTCTGAGTCCGCGTCAGAATCTGTACGGACCATCGGTACCGCCCCGGCTTTTACGGCCCCATCCATCTGTGGTTCCCTCTGCTCACCTCCCTGGTGCCTTTCGTTCCCGTCGGCCCTTCTTCATGCAAAACAGAGGTGAAGGTCCAATCAGCGGCAGATCCAATGTCGCCAGTCCCCACGGCTCGGAGGATAGTGAACTTGACTGGGCGAGTGTCGTCGTGCGGACGCTTATAGGTGAAAGACAGTGTGTCTTTCGGCAGCCCGAAAGTATGGACCACGCTCTTCCAATCCTCCCTTATGGCCAACGACTTGCGGAATTCAGGAGGAACGCGTCGACGACCGAGATCGCGTTTCTGTTGTTTATTACTTGTAAGCCGTATCCGATTGATATCGATGATGTACGGTAACGGCCTAAGACCGGCCGCTGCACGGATGTCCGAGTAGGAGTTTTGCTCGCTCCCTGTACCGTTGGCGAGGGCGTCAATGTAGTCCGTTACTCTGCTATGGGTCGCCATCGCTATGCCTTATGATCAATGATGAGTGAAGTGTTCGGCAGCCTGAGGGCAGTGAGTGCGAGTCCCTCTTGTAGGTCTATAGTCACAAGCTCTACCATCCGTAACCTCAGCCTCAACTCTCAGGGAAGGCGGCCGGCTAAATCCGATTGCGCGTATCCTTCCGCCGGAAGTGGGGGAGAGACAGAGAGTGGGGGAACATTACTGTGTGATCTTCTGTATGCTCCGGATACCATTGCATAGTACTACTATACAAGCTAGACCCTGAACGATCCATCACCTGTCACAATTATGAGCACTGACGATGTCAGCAAGCTTGCCGCAGTAGGCCTATGAACAATCGGACGTACACTTACATTGCCCCTCGCGTCGGCCTAGATACGACCCGGTCGCTCTGTGACCGCCCAGATGCCGCCGGTAAGGGTCAGCAACCCTTGGGCACCGGTAGTCGCGGCGAGACCTTGAACCGTCACACCCGTGAAGCTGGCGGCAAGGAAGGGAGCGATCGCGGGAGTGAACAAAGGACAGAGTATCGCAGCGCCGCCCATGCAGCCGACGAGGAAACGGCCGTAGGTCTAGGAGATCAGCACGCGCGCGAGGATTCCCGTTAGGCTTCGTGCAAATCAAGCCAGCTCACCGTCTGGGGCAGGATCCAAGGAAAGGCCCCAGCAGCGGCGGGCGCGTTAGCCATCGTATAAGTAGGTGGTTGATAGAAGTGATGTAGGTTGGGGCTTATCGATGCGGGATGGGAAACCGTCTCGATCTCGAGCGTCAGCTTATGTAGCGCGGCAGAATTCCAGTGTAGACGCTCCAGCCGGACAGCCGGGTATGTACGGACTTTTGGCTACAACGCATCCCCGCAATGTACAAAGTGTAAAAAATGCAGGAAATGCGATAAATGCGTTGATTTCAAGCTTGACGTCACTTCCGGCCAGGCACCGGACCTGTATGCAGTGGCCACCAGCCCGAGCTCTTGAGAGCTCGCCTTGGAGCTCGCAGCCTGCTCGGTGCTATATAAGACAAGCTCTCAGCCGATATGTCCCCCGTCCTATCCCTTCCTTTCCGTCCTTTTCCTCACTATCACCCTACAATATCCCATCTGCAACATGAATGTCATCAACGCCGTTAAGACCGTTGCGAATGCCATCCCTCCTATCGTCAATAACGTTGGCCAAGTGGTCCCGGAAGGCATGCGTGACTACTATGAGTGCCCTATCAAGGGCTGCGTTAATCCAGTCTGGGTCATCAAGGGTGTGCCGCACGGTGAGTAGGACTCCTTTCCTCACTTCACAGCCTTATGTCCTGGTTGCTTGCTGACGATTCAGTCCCGTGCTACCGGCACTACCACTTGAAGTGATGAACCGGAGTATCCACGTTCTGCATCGTGAGTGCGTGGAAGAACTCGCTGATTAGCAGACGCTGTGCTCGGGTCGGATAAATGTCAGGAATAGCGAATAGTCAAAGGGGTCGCGGAGAGTCAGACGGGGGTGGTAGTTGCTGAGGTACCTAGCAAGGTTGAATGGGATCAGTATTCAGTGTATGCAGAAGGATCCTCGATACTGTAGTGACTGACGGGTGCACCCGTCAAGGTGCTGGTCGGTCGTACTCACAAGTACGCATGCTGGATTGACTTGCCCACCCCGCTCAATCTCCGCCACCCGCTCCCGTAGAGCACCCGCCCAGCCCAGAAAAGGACCTATACGCTTTATCCCCATTCGAAAGCGAGTGATCTGCTCCGATGTGAGCTGGACCGAGCTTCCTTGAGAGAAGTATGCTATAGTCAAGACAACGTCAGCCTACTTCCTGCTCAATGGACCGACTCCAATCAAGCGATCAAAGCCATCCATACAGTCTCTGTCCAGTCTATGATCCCAAGCCCCTCGCGCTCCTTCTCCTCTACTCCAAGTCTAGCTCGCACATTCCAATCCAGGCCAGGCCGGACGAGCTCTTTCGGCCTCGATCCTCGCCACTCCAGCCCTGCATTATCTGGCTGGGGAGCTGTTTCGTCGCCTTCCCTGTCCATGTTGGATGCCACCCCTCCTTTGTATATCTCGCCAGAATAAGGATAGGCGTGGCAATCTATGATACCCTCCAGACCCTTGCCTCCAAAAAGAAGGAGGTTCCAGAAATACTGTGCCCGGGCCTTTACCGTCCGATAAGCCCACGTTGGGTACTTCTTCGCTGGAGCGAAGCTGTAACCATTCCTCACAAGTACGCTCATAGTAGTGTGCTCGTCAATGTGGAACAATACGCGTAAGATCTGATCAAGAGGGATCCTGCCGCCACGCCGAGCGGGTACTCGAGCAGATTACGCAGTCTATACGCAAAGGGCGTGCGACTCGAGCGATCGGCGCGCCTCCCAAGGCCTGACATAGTAGACGACAGACGTGCAAGCGCTGGCTCGGCATCCCCAGCAGATCTGCGTTATAAAACAGAGCTCCGCTGCGAAGAGCAGCTTCTCCTCAATAAGCAATCGCCCTAGAAGGTCGCAGGGGCAATGAGCGGATCGCAATTGTGGCCCTGGGAGTGGCATCGTCAGCGGTATTAGTATGAGAATACTACTTGGAGCCATTAGTCCTTAAAATTCACTGATACATGACCTACACCCGCCCATGCACACCGCCTTCTTCTTCCCAATCACTCTTCAACCGACTCAAATCCCCAACCAAACCCCAAACCACCTCATCCACCTCCCTCATCACTTTCAACCTCTCCTCCAGTGCGTCCCGTGTCCCCTGTATCGTCATCCTTCCTCTTGACCGGATGGAGTCCTGTCCACCCGTACCTGCCCATCGATGACCGCGAGGAGAGGCGGACAGGAGGTCGGAGCCGGGTCGAGTGAGGTATGGGGTGAACCTAGGAGTCTCGCCGCTTACGTCCAGCTCGTCAGTCGGGTCGGTGTCGGTAGCTTTCCCCTTGCCTTCCCCTTTTCGATCAAGAGCTCGAGTCGAGCCGCCCTCCTCCGAATCTTCCGAACTGTCCTCCCGCAACTCCTCCTCCTCCGCCGGCTTCTCTAGGACAGTCATCGCCGGCCGCTCGGTGAACGTGTTGGTCGTAGGAGTCAGCCTCGCCGCCGCCGCCGTCCCAGACCGCAGCCCCATCCGCCTTAACGCAGCCTCCGCCGCTGCTCTCCTCGCTCCCCGTCCCCCGCCTTCTTCCTCCGACGCCGACGCTGACATCGACGCCGCTCCCGCCATCTCTTTCCCCTCGTCCCCCTCTCCTACACCCTCCAGACCTACATGCCCATACTCCCCAGCGCCCGAAGCTGAGCCCGAGCCCGAGCCCGACGCAGAGAAGATCTGCGGTGGGTTGGAAGTATGCGGTGTATTCGCCCCAGAAGCCAAATGGGGCGTAACTGCACCGGACGCAGACGGACCAATATCGAACGTCGGCCGATCCCTCTCTATCCGCGGTCGGGGAACCGCCGTTTCCGAGGTGGCCGAGGTGGAAGGGCCGGATGGAGGAGGAGTGGCGGTATTACTACTCGACCCCGAAGCTGACGAAGGTTCGGGAAGCCGGATGATAGGCATCGAAGCACCCTGAGATCGAGTAGCGGGGACGGGAATCGGCATCCGCATCGTCGGATCGTACCGACTTGGTCCGGATCCTGAGCCCGAAGCCGAAGCTGAAGCTCCCGATGGCGGCCAAGCAGGAGCAGCACCGAGCGGAGTAGCGAAGAACCGCCCAGGCGCGATCGGTCCACCCCAGATCCCGCGCTGGATTTGCTGATCCCTCGAGATTTGGGGAGAGGGGAGTGGCGCGTTGCTCGAAGTTGCAGTAGTGGGACCGGGCACCGCTGTTGGTGCTGGATGCGCAGGGGTGGGTGGTTGTGGCGGACGGAAGTACTGGTCATATACCGCTTGTATGGGATTGGGTGCGCCAGGCACGGCGTTGAGGCGCGGAACGGCGCCTGCGGCGGGAGGAGGTGGGTTAATCTGGACGTTGACGCCGTTTTGACCAGCTCGGGGGCCTGGTCTTGGGGCGACTGGAGTACGGAGGACATCTCGACGACTAACACATCAGCTTTCTTTCCCGCGAACGCCGAATAAAAGCAAGCTCACCAAGTCGGACAACTCTGCTGCCTCTCCAGCCAGCTCCTAAGACAGTGGAAATGGAAGATATGTCCACACTGTAATCTCTTCGGCGTCTCGTTTGGCCCTCCCGCCTCCGCTTCCGCCGGTACCTCCCCCGCCGCGCTCGCAGCAGCCGCCGCCGCCGCCCGCTCCGCCGGTGACTGATACGGCACCATCTCTTCCCTGCAGATAATGCACGTCCGATCTCCATTGCGCGTCAGATCCTCGTTGGTCGCGTTGGGATAGAGCGAGTCCATGTCCCTCGTAGCGCGGCGATACCGGACCAGGTCGGAGCAGCGGGAGAGGAATGAGCGGAGAGTCATGTAAACGTCTCGGAGGATATGGAGGGGGAGACCGTAGTTCAGGAGAATGACCAGGAAGAAGGTGAGGTAAGTAAGGAGCTTTACGAAGTCTGGGGTATCAGCTTGCGGACCCTACTGGCGACGTCAGGATGATGTTAGCTGAAACTTACCGACTCCGAGATCCACATAGAAGAGGTACATGCTCTTCTCTTCCCAGCTCGGCGCGTCCTCCCGTCCTCGTGCGCGCCGGAGATCGATGATGCCCACGGTATACCGAGCGGATGTGCCTCCGATGGACGCGAGAAGGATCATAAATTCCGACGCGAATAGGACCATTGCTGAGACGCCATCCACGACGATGGACTCCAGGGAGTAGATGACGAGCGCGCAGTCGATGAGTGTGAGGAGGCCGATAATGAGGGAGCACCGGACGTGGAAGATCGTCGGTGGGCCTGGAGGAGGAATTTGGTCCATCTACTACATCAGTCGTGAGCCCGGATAGAGGGAGACGACGAGGCAACTCACGTAGTCGACTCGATCTGCTGTGATCCAGTGGAAACACTTCAAGAAAAGCAGGACTCCGTACATGACCGCGAACGGCGCAGAGAAGTCATCCCGGAAGATGGTCAGAGCGAGTAGGGACTCGGTCAGGAAGAGCCATAATCGCTCGAATAGATGCTGCCGAGTCAGCATGAACCATAATAAAGAGCCAGCATTCTTCCTTCCAGCCTGCAGATACTCACCTCGTATTCGATACTCCTGAGACGGCCAAAGAAGATCGTCTTGACTACAATCCCAAAACAGATCGTGTTGAACAGCGCAAAGTTGGCCAGTACCATGAGCGCGCCAGAGCTCCGTCCGACCGCTACTGCCGCAGCATAGAAATTCGCCCGAGTGTGTAAGGCTGACCCGACTACTGACGCAGCGCCAAGCGTCGAGAGCGCACCATACAGGACCAAGCGGGAGGCCATGCTGGGCAAGAGGAGCGATCTAGCCCGTTCCTCGGTGGATCGGCGATATTTCTTCGCTGATCGAGCGGGCAAGAGGCTATTTACCCTCTTGACCAGCTGAGGCGGAGAAGCGGGAGAGCAGTGGTTGAGATGTTCAAGGTGAATGTATAGATGATTGACAAAGGAATCGTTGGGTGCATGGAGAGATAGAAGGACGTGGCGGATGACGTAACGCGTTTCAAGCCTCCACCTTTCTTTCCAACGGAACTGGATGCCCCTCAAAGAATTTCAGAGCCAAGCGCCCATAGCTGTTCTTTCTACCTTTTCATAACACCTATACACAATGGTCAAGCCCTCGAAGCAGTTCAAGAAGTTCGCTGCGTCCGGCAAGCTCAAAGAGACGATTCAAAAGCGTCGATCGATCCAACAATCCAAGCGGAAATTCGACGAAAAGCTTCAACAGCGAAGCAAGCAGCGCGGGAAGCCCGAGGACGAGGGTGTCGACGATGATGAGGATGACGAGGGAGCCAACGCGCGGGATATGAAGAAGGCTGGGACGGGCGGAAGGGCGGGTGGTGTCGCTCGAACAGTAGACGAGCTGTTTACGGATGGAGGGCTGGCGGGTCCGCCCGACGCCGAAGATGGGGATGAGGAGGAGGATGACGAGGAGTTGAGCGAGGGGAGCGATGAATACGAGGACGAGGGGAGTGAGATGGGCGAAGAGCTAGAGAGGGACGAAGAGGCGATGAAGAAGGCGATGAAGGATCTGGAGAAGAAGGATCCGGAGTTCTTCAAGTATCTGGCGGAGAATGATAAGACGTTGTTGGACTTTGGGGATGGCGGTGAAGGGGAGGATGAGGATGAGGATGAGGATGAGGATGAGGATATGGAGAGCGGGGCTGAGGAAGATGAGGAGATGGAGAGTGGCGATGAGGAGGAAGAAGAGGAGGATAAGCCAAAGAAGGTGGTTGTGACGGGCAAGATGTTGAGGCAGTGGCAGGAGGGTATGCTCAGGGTAAGTCTACAAGCTCCGCTGGCTAGGATGAAGCTGATTGACAGCAACACTCGCTCAAGTCGCTTCGGAGTACACTGCTCGCTTTCCGTTCCGCCGCGCATATGAATGAGGAAGAGTCCGAGGGAGCCGGCGGTACAAAATACGCCATCAACAGCCCGGCCGGTAAGCCCACCTTTCCACCCTCCTTCCGCTCTTGCTGATCATCAGTCTTCAACAAGCTCGTCATTACCGCTCTCAAGTTCACACCCGTCGTTCTGGCTCACCACATCCCATACAAGCCGCAACGAGATGGCCGAATGTAAGTGCTACCTTTCCGCCCTTGAACAAGCTGATCCCCTCAGCAAAGTGTCTCAACCCAAGAAACCCAACCCGAGACTGAATCGCCTTGTCCTATCCCACTTCACGACCCTCCTCCATTTCATCAAGACCCTCCCCTCTCGCCCCGCCCCAGGCACAGAGGAGGGCGAGGAGGCCGCTGCGGGCGGATTGTTGCTGGTCGCTCTGAACGAGAGTAGTAAGCTCGTACCGTGGGTCCTGGGCGCAAGGAAGCATGTCCGGGCGTACTTGAAGGTGAGCTATGCCGTACTGTTGCGTGAGAATGAGCAGGGCACAGCTGATATGCAGACTCTGCTGGAATTGTGGTCCTCCGCTAGCGACAATATCCGGATCGCGGCGTTCTTGGCTGTCCGTAAGCTGTTTGTCGGTGGTGACGATGCGATCCGGGATATCTGCCTGAAGGTATGTTTTGCGTACCCCTGAAACACGGACTGCAGTGCTGACTGGTAGAACACCTACCGCGCCCTCCTCGCTCCTCTCCGCAATACCACCCCCCACTCCCTCCCCACGCTCAACCTCCTCAAAAACACCTCATCCGAGCTTTTCCTGCTCAACCAGCCCATCTCGTACCCGCACGCATTCACCGCCATCCGGATGCTCGCCGTACACCTCCGCGACTGTATTCGGGACGTCACCGCCGCCCCTTCCCAGCGGAACGCCAATGGCGATGCGCCGCCCAAGAAGGACGTGGGGCAAGAGGCGTTCCGGAAAGTCTACAACTGGCAGTTTGTGCATACGATCGACTTTTGGTGTCGGACCCTCGGGGCTGGATGTAGTCGGGAAGCGGAGCTTGAGCGGGGTGGTGTGAAGAGCGAGTTGGAACCGCTCGTTTATCCCTTGGTCCAGATTGCTCTCGGTGTGATTCGGTAAGCTAGGTTCTATACTATGGCGGGAGTATAGCTGACATCCAGTCTTCTCCCTTCCCCCCGATACTTCCCGCTCCGATTCCATATCCTCCACTCCCTCCTCTCCCTCTCCTCCAAAACCGGCATCTACATCCCCCTCACACCGTACCTCCTCGAAATCCTCGATTCGGCCGACTTCCGCTCATCCGGCAAAAAATCCACCCTCAAACCGATCGACCTCGAGTATATTATCCGCGCACCCCAGGCATACCCCCGCACCCGGATATACCAGGAGGTCATCGGCGAGGAGCTCGTCTTTCTGCTGGCGTCCTTCCACGCGTTATACTCGACGCACATTGCGTTCCCGGAGATCGCGCTTCCGGCGGTCTTGACGATCAAGAAGCATCTCAAGAAGGGGACGGCGGGGAGTGGGAAGACGGCCCAGCAGTTCAAGGTGCTGGTTGATACATTGGAAGAAGGGCGCAAGTGGGTGGAGAGCAGGAGAAGAGGGGTGGGGTTCGCGCCCCGCGATAGGAGCGAAGTGGGGAAGTGGGAAGAAGGGCTAGGAGGGGTGGGGAAGACGCCGGTAGGTATGTGGAGGGCGACGCTGGGTAAGGCGAGGGAGAGGAAGAGAGGGGAGGTGGAGAGGGCGTTGAGGGAGGAGAGGTGAAAACGATCGACGAGGCGGCCCCGCCGCCGGCTGCTCTGCGAGTAAGGGCCAGACATTTGCTTCAAATTCAGATAACTTCCAAGGGGGATATGGGATGTATATGTTCGCTATTATCAATCCCTTACTAGTGTGCACTGGGTAAGGCGAGGTAGAGCCAGAGCCAGAGGTAGGGGCAGAGGTAGAGGTAGAGGTAGAGGTAGAGGGGTGAGGTGATGGAGTGGAGAGGGATGTAGTCTCGCCCGCAGACCTCTACAGCTCCGAGAAGGGAAGACAGTCGCGGAATGGAAGATTTCTTTGGTGCTGCCCCTTTCTTTTGCCTCCCTATCTCCCCATGAAATAGGGTATGGATGCGAGACTAAGAGGGATGCGGACAGTAGAAGGACCGTCCCTCTGAGCGCAACCGACGGGCTTGGAGCGAGCGTACTCTTCGAGTAGAAGTCAGGTTACTAAGCGCTCCGAGAGGCATTCAAGATTTATACATTTGCTAAGACCAGTCACGACTGGCTGATTTTTACAACTAGGGAGCGAGACGGTCGACCTTCCAAGACCCATCAGGCTGAACGAGGTACCTGAATCGATCGTGCAGTCTGGAGGTATGACCCGCCCAGAACTCCACCTCGCTATAGAGTCAGCTCTGACCTTCGTTTTATTATGCGATGTCTTGATTCAAGGTTACTAACTTTGGAATGACTCTCCATCCGCCCCAGTGCTCTGGTCGCTGAACGTCCCCCTCCCCAAACTTGCCCTCATACTCCTCCACCCTCTCCTTGAGCGTTTTCTCCCCAATCACACTACTCTGCTCGCTCGCCCACGCGCCAATCTGACTCCCTCTTGGCCTCCCCCCAAAGTACTCATCACTGATCTCCTTCTCGACCTTCTCCGCCCGCCCAATCACCCTCACCTGCCTCGCGACTTCCTTCCAGTAGAACACAATCGCGATATTGGGATTCTCCGCCAACTCCCGCGACTTGCGCGACGTGTAGTTTGTAAAGAATACAAAACCGCGGTCGTCCACTCCGCGGAGGAGGACAAAGCGGGACGAGGGGACGCCCGATGGCGAGACGGTGGATATCGCCATGGCTTCCGGCTCGCGCACGGGTGTGGGAGCATTAGGGTCCGATGCTTCCGCAAGCCACTTGTTGAATTGGATGAGGGGGGACGAGTGGAGGGAGTCCCGGAGAAGATGGGGAGAGGTGTACTGGTAGTGCGTCGTTATCTTGACGGCGGAGTGGTCTGCCTCGGGAGCGGAACCGGGGGCGGCGGCGGGTTCTTGGGGTGGGGGAGGGCGCGGGGTTTGCCAGGCATGCCGGACATCTTGCGGACGGGTGCGAATGGGTGTAGTGTGGATTGAGATGGCTGAAGATGAGTACGGGCTGGGAGAGCTTGTCTTATAGCTCGTCTAAGCATGTATAGGTATAGGTAGCTGGTCTTGACTCGATATGATCCAAGAAGACAGGATATCGAGTCGAGCTCGCCTTCAGTCAGCGATCGTCAGCGGACATGCTTCCGAGGTTCAGCCGAAATGGATCCCGGGATAACGCCGTTAAACTCCGTGGGAGCGGGGGTGGGTTCTGACAACCTTTCGGAAGGAGGAATGAGGAGTCGGAGTCTCGCTTGCGCCCCTCTCTGCGTCGACTCTGTTTAGGTAGGTAAAGCTGTTCAGGTAGGGAAAGGGAAATGGACTGGAGTGTGGTGATAAGCTGGAGTCGACCGCGTCCTTGCGCCCATCTCTGATGAGGATCGATACCGCCATTTACTCAATTCTCAGTGTCTCGAGACTGAGAGACATTGCATGTGTGATCCGATGTGAACAGGTAACACTGGGGGAATTGAACTGTAAGAGACACCAATTGTGAGATATATAGCGGAGGGGAGGGTTGTCAGGGCAACGACGAAATTTCAGTGGTATGGGAAGTTTGAAAGCTCAGGCGATAAACCCAGCGCCCTCTCCCTCGACCTGACATCCTGGCATCTTCTCAGGGCTGAAACACTACTTCATGTCTCACTTCTGGCTCTGAGCAATGAGCGCTTGAGCACACAGGTACCTGGAGGACATCGAGGTTACCGTCTACACTAGACAGTTCGAGGCGTTTTCATCAATCTCCTTTGGAAGCCAGTGTGCAGTGTTTTTGCAGCTTGGGTAGGCGAAAGTTACCTTTTGATGCTCCAGAAGCTTCTCGTCGACTCGCACTGGCGATGACATAGTGTAGTGCTCCATGTGAAGTACTCCACCACACGTCTCAGTATCTCTCGGACTTTATATCAAGATGCCTTGCTTCTCCGGAACCTGAACAGGTCATGCTGCACCCGGTGAATTTCGGTCAGAACGAGCGATAACATACATGATATGAGTACGGTATAGTCCGGGGGCCTAGGGGTAATGACAGCAGTCCGGTCGGGTAAGTCTCGAGCGCGAAGAAGGGGATCCAGAGCCGCGAGACGGGCGATGAGTGAACCAAACGGGGCTTGGGTCCAATCCGGGACCGTCTTGCCCGGGGGAGAGCCCAGCTCCGGAGCTGACTCGCTGGAGTCTCCCCCGCTTTTGACCGCCAAGAGCGCGAGCATGGTGTTGATGATGCCCAGCTGCGCTGCATCAGACTCGGTGGGGCCGCCCGTGCTGACAACGCCACCCCGCACCTCACTCTCCTTGGCGGCGACATGCTTGTCAGTGTCGGGCATGGTGCAGGGTGGTCTGATCAGCGGAGTGAGTGTGGTTGGTGCGAATGCTTTGTTTGGAGTACCAAGCTGTGACGGAAGGTTCGAAATCTGGACCAAAGGAGGAAAGAATGAGGGGCAAAGTGGCAAATCCAGCCCGATGACGCCCGGCTTATATCTCTCTAGGGTGCCCAAGACTCGTCTCTGCTACTCGATAGCCAATCCTTTGGGGTCCCATAACCACAAAGGGACTGCTTACTTCGTATGATGTGCTTGCTGACGCCTTGTGACCTCTCCCAGCGGAACACAACGCCGGGGGCCTGGACTGGCTGCTGGCATATCGGAAGGTGGCGAATTCGCTAATACCGCGCTGATGTTTCGGCTGGACCATCTTGTCTAGCACTACACTTCTGTTCTGCTATATGAGTCGTCTGTGCTGATTGGGAGTGCAGATGACACCGGTCAAGCTCTTTCAATTTCATCGTTGAGGGCCCGGAGGTCCGCGGAGCATCCGAGATTCAGTGACGGCATTCCTCGGCCATGCCATCACACGACCTCGGCCACCGATCTTCCTCGCGACCGAAAACAGCAGGGCAACGGCTGTGATCCGCATATAGTCTCAAATGGTCAGACCTGATAGACACAGCCATGGTACCCACCAATCCCAGAACCGCGCAACTCACATCCACCTCTTGCCCAACCTCCCTCACTCTGATCCCCAAAGTCCAGCTTCACCTAGATGTCAAGCAGCACGGGCGCGGCGCAACTTACCGCCCAAATAGGGGGAATCCCAACCATCAATCTCGATGTGCCCATCTGTGCGGTATTCATCGCGCTCTTCGTTGGGCTCGCAGCGGGTCATATGACCCTATTGCAGCTCAACAATAGACGGAAACACAAGTTCCTCTTCTCAGGTAAGTTTTGTCGCTTGACCATCTAAGCGCAGAGCTGACCGGCAGGGATGCTGTTCGGCTTCTCCATGAGTCGCATCATGGCCAACGTCTTTCGCATCGCCTGGGCTACACAACCTGCCAACGCCGATCTCTCCCTCGTTGCCAGCGTTTTCCTTAACGCCGGTATCCTCCTCGTTTACATCATCAATAACCTCCTCGCGTGGCGTATGGTCCGCTCCGCCGTCCCCCACGTAGGCTGGCATCCCGTCCCTCGCATCCTCAACAAGATCTTCCTCTGGATCGTCGTCGGCATGATCATCCCCCTCATCGTCATCATCGTCCTCCGCGTCAAGAACCCCACCCTGTCTGGTATCGGAACGGCAACCACGGTCGTCTCCCGCCTGGCGCAGACGTACTTTCTCCTTATCTCCCTCTCGGCGGCGGTCCTCCTTGCTTTTGCGGTCATCAGGAAGCGAAAGGACCACGATCCATTCGGACACGGATCATTCAATGCCAAAGCGGCGATCCTCGCGGTATCTATCGCGTTGGCCACGATAGAGGCGGGCTTCCGGTGCGGGACGGCATGGGCACCCACTCCCCTGGCATCAGACCCGGCGTGGTGGGACTCCAAGGCGGCGTTCTACTGCTTCAACTTCATGCTGGATGTGTTGATCTTGGGGGTGTTGCTGGCGGGGCGGATAGATCGGAGGTTTCACGTGCCGAACAAGGCGGATGGGCCGGGGAGCTTTTCTGGGGTCGCAAGGGTCGGCAGTGGGTCAGAGAAGACGGCACAGAGGGATGTCGGGAGCACAGATGAGACGAGAGTGTAGTGTATACCGGTACAATGTAGTATTTCTCTTCAGTCAGCGAAGAGATGATCCCCGAAAGAAGCGCTGCGTCGGCTTCGCTGTGATTCGATTACATACCCTGTATATGGCCGCATCTATCTAGTCCGCAGCTGACGTCCGCGGCTCTGCGACATCCAGTCCTGTCAGAGCATGGCTCGCGCTCACTTGCTTTCCTCCCTGGCTCTTCCTTCCTATCACCTCGAATGCTACATGACTATCTAAGCTTTACCGCGGCCGGATCCGAGACGACGTTCCGTGCCTGAGCTAAACACGATGCTCCGTCTCTCGCCCGTCTCGTTGCATCCTTGGCCGTCTACCCCTTTCATACTGTCATCGATTGGAGATGTTGGCATACACTCTCATCCCATCGCCTGGGGTCTAGCGACCGGAAACTGCCTGCCGCCTCTAATAGCTCGCCAAAGGAGTACCATACTATCTAGATGACTTCTCACATCCACCCCTCCCCGGTCGACGACAGGTTTCTCGGCCAGCAGGCCGATGTCCTGTCAGGAGAGCTTATACTGGGGCCGCCGATTGGGTCTGGCTCGAACGTTAGAGAGCCACAGGTTGAGGAGCTCAGCACCGGCGTCACAAAGGAGGAGGACGCAGTGAGCCCGATCGGCGAAGGGTCGACATATCCGCTATCGTCGTCCAGTATCAAGGAGTTCAACCCGGACGTCCATTCGACATCGGTCGCGGGCGCACGCCAATCCATGGAGAGGCTGGGCAGCGCTCGTACCGGTCAGGCCATCATCGACGATAACGCGCTGCTCAACCTTCCACCGCCGAGCCCATTCCACCTTAAGGTTAGGAATCTTTGGGTTGGGGTCCCCCACAAGACTCTACCGTCGTAAGTCTCTCTCGATCTGCATGATATCACTGTGTGCGCTGTAGTCGCTGACTATTTGCAGATGGCTGCCAAAGGCGCTCAAGCGCAAGATGGTTCCGGAGGACGAGGGCGAGGAGGAGACACGGAAAAAGTGGATCTTGAAAGGCGCAGAGTGCGAGTGTCGATCTGGAGAAGTACTGGCTATGTGAGCTATCCTCTACTATCAGGTGCTGCTATGAGGAAGTGGCTGATTGTCTAGTCTGGGAGGCTCTGGATCTGGGAAAACCACACTGCTCAATCAAATCGCATATCGCTCAACCGGCCTGCCCGTCGAAGATGGCGAAGTGATCTACCACGCTGTTACCTCTCACCATTCGGGATCAGCCCCAGACGGGGAGGGCGCTGACGCTGTCTTGGGCCAGGCGGCGCCGGATACGAGGGCGAAAGCGGGCAAGAGGGAGATGGGGCGGAGAATTGGGTTCGTGAGGCAGCAGGACTTCCTGGTGGAGCACTTGACCGGTGAGTCGTTCTCATCAACTTCGTAATCTATACTGACCAGAGGCAGTCCGAGAGACTCTTACCTATGCTGCCCGGCTCCGTCTTCCGCCTGATCTATCGAGGGAGACAATTGCGCAAATCGTGGAGCAGGTGATTGATGAGTTGGGGCTGAGGGATGCTGCGGATACGGTCGTGGGCGGGCCTCTGCGGAAGGGTATATCAGGAGGGGAAAAGAGGTGAGTCTACTACTTCGAATCGTCCCGGGCAAGGCAGAGAAGCTGATTGGTCAGGCGACTGTCGATAGGATGCGTGATGGTCACTTTGCCTAGTGTCCTCATTCTCGATGAGCCCACATCCGGTCTTGGTGAGTAGATCATGCCTGCAGCCTGGAGAATGCCTAGAGCTGATATAAACAGATGCGTTCACATCGTACCTCCTCCTCCTGACTCTCTCGCAACTCGCTCGACGAGGCCGCACGGTCATTCTCTCTATTCACGCCCCCCGATCTGATGCTTTCGATATATTCGACCGGATCGCCCTGCTATCGAAGGGCGAGGTGGTCTACTCGGGACCAAGAAGAGGCTGCCTGGACTGGTTTGAAGGGCTTGGTCATGAGCTTGAGATCGGCGTCAATCCGCTAGGTGAATTCCCCACTCGAGCCAGAGACGAGTCTGACCTCCAGACTTCCTGATTGATATCTCATCCATCGACAACCGGACAGCAGAGAACGAAGAAATCTCGCGCTCTCGCGTCAAACACCTCGTCGACGCATGGAAGAACCGCTCTTCGGAAGACCGCAATACCCTCCTGCTCGAAAAGCTCAATAACGGTTCAACAAACACCCTCTCCCAAAGCTTTTCACGCCCGGAACTACAGCGCATCGCAACCGCAAGATCTGAGATAAACGATCATCTATCGAGCGAGCGCCGACCTGGCTTCTTGCGCCAGACCGGTGTGCTTATCGCCAGATCGCATCGGAACGTGTATCGGAACTTCGCGCAGCTGGCGGGTCTGATTGCGCAGGGGGCGATTCTGGGTATCATCATTGGCCTGACGTATTACAAGCTGCCCGAGGTACGTCCTGGTTGGTGCTGGAAGTGGAGAAAGTTGCTGACTGGCAGGATCCTACTGGTATCCAGAGTCTGAAGAATCTGTGTTTCCAGCTTGTTCCGAGCGTGTTCTACCTGCAGCAGGTCTTTTGTAAGTCGTCTCGTTTCTCCGGGAGATGACATCACGCTGATAATGAAGGGGTCTACAAGTTCTGTACGGATCTGGTCATCTTTGACCGCGAGCGAGAAGATCACCTATACGTCAGTTTGCCCGTTCACCGCCAAATCGAAGCGGGACAAGCTGACCACTCAGGACGTCGTACCGTACATCATCTCGGACTGGATATCCTTCCTCCTTCCCTCCATTGCCGCACCAACAGTCTACCTGATCTTTGTATACTTTATGGTCGGCCTTCGACCGGACAACATTGCTGCCAATGTCTTCACCCTGATTGCAGATGTCCGTGCTTTCCTACCTAGATCTCACCTAGATCTCACCTAGATCTCAAACATATGCTCACAGTGCAGGTTGTCCTTGTTCAATTTTGCACCCAAGGTCTCGCCAAGCTCGCTGCTTCAGTCACACGCTCTTTCGCTACCGCTAGCGTGATTGGGAACGCCCTCAACTTGTTCCAGATCATGAGTGCCGGCTTCATCCTGGTCGATGTACCGCCTTATGTTTCTTGGATCAGGTGGATCAGCCCATACTTTTATTCGTTCAGTACGTACCTCCTATCTCACATCCAGCGCGGAGGATGACGCTGACTACACAGGAATCATGAGTACGACGCAATTTCGAGATCGGACGTTTGATTGTCCCGCCAACTCCTTGGCCAACTTGGGACAGGTACGTTCTTGCTTCTCGTCCATATGTCCATATAGGGTTGGAGCTGATCAGATAGTGCCAAGGCAACAATGTCCTTGCCAGCTTTGGGATCAATCCATACACCAACATCGGTGTCTGGTTTGCCGGTCTCATTGGAGTCGCGCTTGGCGAGTACATCATCGTCTGCCTGATCTTGTCATTGTGGAACGGCGGAGGGGTGAAGGTGAGCTCATGGCTCTACTGTCAGGGGCCTTCAGTACTCAGCTAATTCTTCAGCACGCTAGCGAGATCGACTCGCACCATCGGGGAAAGAACGCGGATGTCATGGAGAGCCATATGACCCGTGATCGAATTGACGTCGAGGTGTGTTTTGGAATAGGAAACTTCGAGTGAAAGCTGACTGGCAGGTCCGCAACCTGTCTCTGACGTGGGCGAAACGAGCCATACCGGGCATTAGCGGACCAAAGACAAAGGTCATCCTCGATGACGTCTCGATGAGCTTCCCTTCCGGTCAAGTTTCCGCCATCCTCGTAAGCCTCTTTTCGTCCGCCCGCAGGTCATGCTGACCCGCAGGGCCCCTCCGGGGCCGGCAAGTCAACTCTACTCCAGCTCCTCGCCTCCCGCCCACTAGGCTCCTCCACCCTCTCCCACTTCACATCCTCTGGCTCCATTCTGCACGCCGGTCAGCCCTCATCTTCGGCTTCCCAATCCCACTTCGCCTTTGTCGAGCAAGATGACGACTGGCATCTCCCTCGTCTGACCGTCCGGGAGACACTGCGCTATGCGGCCATCCTTCGATTGCCAGATAAGATGCCCCGAAGACAGAAGGTGGCGCGGGCGGAGACGGTGTTGCTCATGCTGGGATTGAAGGATTGTGCGGATCTGCCAGTGGGAGGGGCGGTGTTGAAGGGGATCAGTGGAGGAGAAAAGAGGAGACTGAGCTTGGCTGTTCAAAGTGAGTCGTCGGTTTAATCAAGCTCGACTCCAAGCCCTCACACCAAAAACAGCCGAGGCACAGATTTTGCTATAGGAGGCATGGGGATGAGGCAAGGGGAGCAGGAAGGGAGGAACATGCAGAGGGGAAGCCAGGATAGGAGGCAAGGGGCATGTGTTGGGCCCAGCCCAGACTGAGTGCTAGGATCAGGGCTGACAAGCAGTGATCAATGATCCGGCTGTACTGTTGGTTGACGAACCGTGAGTATTGCTCATCTGAGGTGATGCGGCGAATATGACTGACCGACAGGACTTCTGGTCTGGACTCTAGTATCGCTCTCAGCGTCATGCAAGTGCTCAAAGATATCGCAGCGACTGGGCGGACTGTCATTGGTAAGTCCGCAAATCAGCAGGGTCGGAGCGAAGCTGATATCTAGCAACGATCCATCAGCCAAGAAGTGACATCTGGAAACTCGCCGACAACGTCACCCTCCTCGCCAAGGGTGGCAAAGTAGCTGTAGGCTGCCCATGTCGCTGATGTGCGGGATCTAGCTGATGGTTAGTTCTCCGGGAAGCGCGAGCAAGTCATCCCATACTTCCAAACCCTCAACTACCCTATGCCGTCCGAATACTTCAATCCCGCAGATCACCTGCTCGATCTCGTCTCTGTCGATTCAAGAAAGGCGAATCACGATGTCTCGCAGACGCGGGTCGAGGGGCTCATCGAGAAATGGCGGGGACAAGCCGGCAAGGTCGATGTTGAGGAGCGGGTGGCGAGTCGGTCCGAGAAGGAAATGAATGACAAGGCGCAATTGGGGGAGAAGGGCATAGTACGGGAAAAGAAGGCGACGGGGATGGTGGTGGCGCTACCGGTGGTACTTGAGCGACACTGGAAGAACCTCTGGAGGCAGAAAGAGGTCAGCCTCACCGATTCCGTTGTCATCAATCGGGATCCCGGCTCATGATTTAGGTATTCTTTAACCGGATATTCCAACCTCCCCTCCTCGGCTGCATCTTCCTCCTCTTCTTCCAGCGACTCTCACGCGGCCCATCAGGCGCCCAAGATCGGATTGGTATTACCATCGAAAACACCACTGCCCTCTCCTTCGTCGGCCTCCTCAACGCTATTGCCGTTTTTCCCGCCGAGCGTAATCTGTATCTGCACGAAAGCCGGAGTTCAGCAAGGTACAGCCCAGCGACATTCGTCATTGTCTACTCCGTGGTGGAGGTGGGGTTTGAACTGATCGCTGCGCTGGCTTACGGAGCATTGGTGAGTGTAATTTGAGTAAATAATCGAAGGGACGCTGACTCTGCAGATGAACGTGGCGGTCGGGATGCAGACGTCGGCTCGGATCTATTTCCAATTCTCGATATCTATTTGGGCGCTCATCAACATGGGGGAAAGTCTGACTATGATTGCTGGGTCTTTCATCTATGTGGAGGGTCTGACGGTCACGTGAGTCGTTGCCACGCACCAACATCCCCAACAGATGGACTCTACGGCGGTTGGGGAACGAACAATGGAGGCCTAATGTATCAGCGTTGTCTCCACCGTCCTATCTATCATCGGACAATTCAGCGGTGTCATCTCCCTGTCAGTCCCGGCCTGGCTTGCTGCTGTAAGTCTGCTGTCTCTTCAGAAATCCTCTACCCTCTTCTCGTTACTCCTCCCAGCTTCTCAAGCACCCAACGTTTTGAGTTTTCTGCTCTCCCCTTCAAGACTGTTCTTCCCTTTTCTCATTTCCTCCTCCCAGCTTCGAGGTCACCCGCCGGTTTGGGCTCTCTGCTCTCCCCTCAAAGACCATCTTCCCTCTTGTCAATTCCTCAGCCCTTCCTCCTCCCAACTTCGAATCTCGAATTATCCCACCGCTCTGAGTTCTCTCGGAAAGTTTGCATGTACTGATATCACGTACTGATATCGCAGATTGCATGGGGCTTCCCTATCAAACCCGCTACACGGATACACATCATCAATGAGTCCGTGGGGCTTGTCTTCCGTTGCTCACAGGAAGATGTCCAGTCTGGAGTCTGTGTGGCTCAAACAGGAGAGCAGCTGTGAGTCTAGCTCGTGACTTCCGGCTCGGTGGTTTCTCTGGCTGATTCTCAGGCTGGCGCTGTTCAATTGGCAAGATCTCAATGTCGACAAGTTCACGGCGCTAGCTGTTGCCATTGCTGTGATATGGAGGCTGCTCGCCTGGTTCGCGCTGTGTATCAGAGTGGGTGGGTTTAGATGACACCAGGAAGCGAGCGTACATAGCTGGCTGTAGGTGCTCGAGCCTCTAGGTCATGATGCGGCAGTCGTATCATCTTGAAACGTGCATTGATTCTCACCCGTGCTTCCCCCCCATGTGTTTCTCGTCCTCTGCTGATAATTTGAATAGTCGTATATTGGGGTATATTGCCCTGGTCGTATGATGACTTGGACTTGGCGCGGGGTCGCCCTATTAGCGGCCGGTGTCAGGGAGGAGGCGCAATCCCGGCTGATCCCGCCGATGTGGGGGTATCGAAAGATATAGCAGGTTTCTCGTTGAATATCCAGCTGTTGTTTACTCCGACAATCAGTGGATACTCGCGTGTGTGAGGGTACGTCTTCCATACGACGACCGCGCTGGGTCGGCGTAAGCTGAGGCTTCGAATTCAATCGTAATGCTCCCTTGCTGTAAAACAGTGATCATCAAAGCAGTAACGCAAGCGAGGGAGAATTCACATGCATAATCCAAGCGATAAGGTAAATTACAGAAAGTCAGTCTTGCGGTCCATGTTTGTGTATCGAGTGCAGGAAGGGAGGAGTGTGACGATGGAAGCGCTCAGACCTGAGGGCGGGCGGCCGAGCCTGGTCCGGGAGCAGATCGCCGCGTGACAAAGCCGGTCTGAAGGAACTCTCGAAGCATCTCGGCTTTCTTGGTCTCTCGCTGATCATCCGATATGCTGTTCAGATAGACAGCCATCTCCTGATTGGTGAAGGAATCGGAAGGAGCTGCAGAAGCGCCAGGAGCCCGAATGCCATCCCGAACCGCCTGGAGAGCCGCATCGGGTCAGCGGAGCAGCGTGATGTCGATCAACTGAGTGGAAACGCGCGACTGCTCGTCATCGGTAAGGGTGCGCAGGTACTGACTGATCTCCGTAGCACGCTGAGTGCGACGCTCTTCGTGGTCATCAGCACTGCCATGAGGACGGTCGGTTCCGGGATAGGCTTTAGCCAGGATGGGCCCCAGCGGCTTCGCCCTGAACTCAGCTCTGGAGTCAAGTGCGAGACTGTCCATGTACTCTTCGAGCTGCTACATGGTCTCGATCGCGATCGTCCGTCCCTGAGTACCGCCGTCACGAGCGATTGTCCCCTTGCTGTCTCTGCCAATGGGGCTCTGATCCGGTGACATGATGTATCAGGGTGGGAAGTTGCAGCGTGAATGGTATGAACCTAGAGGAGCGAATATGATCCAGGTCCGAAGGAAGGGGGAGATATGGTAGAGTAAGTTGACAGAAAGAAGGGGGGCTGAGTGGCGAGGCGGGCGGCATATATGTGCCCAGAACCCCTCCTGCGACGGCGCTCTTTTAGCACGCAATCGGTGTTCCTTTCAAGACGAGCTCCTTCTGAGGCTCAGCAGACTGCACAGCTTTGCACAGATTTGCGTCCCTGTTCACATTTCAGCTTGCACTAGATCTTGTCCTCCCATGTTTCACTACATCACGGCAGATTGTATTCTACTCAGGGCTGCAGGCAGTGCAGGGCAACCTTTTATTGTCCTGCCGTTGTGTTCAATTCCGCGTTTCACTGGTCAGCGTGCCGCTTTCTGCCCGTATACGACGACCTAGTCATGGAGAGACGACATAAAGTCGATGATCTGAGCTAAAGCGGACCGGGCAGCTAAGGGTCAGCACAGGATGTGGCACATATGATGGGATCTTGGCCTGACCAAAAGTTTTAGAAGAAGGAATGAGGAGTTGCGCCGGTGGCTTGGCCTGAACCCAAGAAACCTTGAAAACCCCATTGTAGAGATTTGGCGGTGCAATCTGGAGAGCGTGGCCCAAGGAGAGCAATCTTGGCCCAGGTATAATGACCCGCCATAGTATATGTAGGAGTGCTACAGCTCTAGCGAAACCACACATCGGTTCCTAATAACCACTAGCTGCCGCATAGTGATGACGTGATTCGGGTAAACGTCGGATGTCTCTGGGGCCACGAACCACATCGCAGATCGATTGCAGATCGAGCAGCTGAGTGGTGTCAGGTGGTGTCCCTGCTTGTACACCTGCCTTTGGAGATCCCCGGGCACCTTGACAGTAAGACGGCGGCCAGTCATGACCCGCGAGCTCATCCGAGTTGGGATCATCGGCTCTGGAGCATCGGGTCTTGCTCAGTTGAAGCAGCTGCTCGATGCGTTCGCTCGGCCAGAAGTGAAGCGACGGGCTGATCTCGAGGTGGTATGCTTTGAGAAGCAGGAAGAAGTGGGCGGAGTATGGTGAGCTACCTCTTTTATGTCGGAGCCTCGGCTGGGCTACAGCAGGTGCACAGGACTCATGAGATTAGACAGAGCTGACACATAGGTTCGCGAATGAAGATGCAGAGAAACGCTACCGCACTGCCTCGACCGACGCCTCTTCCAGTCTACCTGCCGGTGAACAAGCTGAACAGGTGTACGTCTACCCGCCAGCGGGCGAAGATCCATCTCCAATGTATGAAGGTCTGCGTACCAATCTCCCACACGTAAGCCTTGTCGCCCTCATCTAAGAACCTCCGATCCCAGCTGATAGTCCAGGACCTCATGGCTTTTCGCTCGCTTCCCATGCCTCCATCCCTCCCTCTCTTCCCCACCCGCGCCCAGATCCAGGCATACCTCGTATCCTACGCTACCATCTTCGATCTCTACCCGTATATCCGATTCCGGACGACCGTACGGCGGCTGTATCAGCCCTCAGACCCCTCTGCCGCTGGAGGGCGGCGATGGATGATAGAGTACGCAGGAGCGGATGGGGACGTGACGGAAATGGGACTGGACTTTGTCTGTTGCGCGAATGGGCATTATGCGGATGGGTGGATAGCGCCTGTACCCGGTCTGAGGTGAGATCCAGCCTACCGGTGGTGTCGGCTCTGGCTGACCAAGTAGCTCATTCAAGGGGAAGGTGGTTCATTCGCGTTACTTCCGCTCAGCGGAGGACTACACCGGCCAGAAAGTGCTCGTTGTCGGCTCATTCGCCTCGGGCGGGGATATATCGCGCCTCCTCGCAGCTTACAACTTGGGTATGTACACCAAGACCGACAACTCAGCCAACAACGGCGGAACCGCAAGCCACAATGGCAGATCGATTATCGCGCCGGAGCGTCAGATAGACGTGCACGTCTCTTGCTCGGCTCGATCGGCGTTCTCGGTGGACACGGACGATCCCGATACGCCATGGGGAAAGTACGTGACGTATCACCCGCTCATCGATCATATCTCTTCCTCAGGCGAGGACAGTATCATCCACTTTGAGGACGAGACTGCCCTCGAAGGAGTAGATACTATCATCTTTGCCACTGGCTACAACTTCGCATTGCCCTTCGCAAAAGGCGAGGACCGACCATGGTGTGATTCACCTCTTTTCGACAAACGGATAGAAGAGGGTGAGCGGGAGCTTGGGCATGCATGGGAAAAAGGCGGACTGAAGGGGCTGGGCGTGAAGGGGCTGGATGGGTTGATGCTGTTCATGGAGAACGACCGGAGTATTTGCTTCCCAGTTATGCGTGAGTCCTCCACAACTTCTAGGATGTAGGTGCCAAGCTGATCAGACAGAATATCAAGTCGTCCCGTTCCCGCTCGCCGAGTCCCAGACTCGCCTCTCCGCACTGCTCTGGGCGGGTCTCCTCCCCTCCTTCCCAGACAATCCTCAACCACCTCGAAACGCTAGTAATCCATACTCTAGCTCTCCTCCCTCCACATCCACTGCAAAATCTTCCGGTGCTTTCAGCGCGTCCGACCCCCAGCCTCCACCAGAACCGTCAGCTACAGCTGTCAAGCCCCCTCGGAAAGTCATGCAGACGCGTCAAAAGCTCGTCTTCGGTGCCCCGTACGAATGGGAGTACCAAGAGTACCTCATGGAACTTATGGTTGAAGCGGACAAGGATGGAGTAGGAGTCGAGGAGTGTTGGAAGGGGATTGAGGGGTTCAGGCGGGAGAAGCGGGCTGATACGGGACTGAGAAAGCGGACTTTGGGATACTAGATATAGATCTGAGAGGGTTAGTAGTAAATGGAGACGGTAGATATCGATGTTGTAGATGACCCATTGTATCTGCATGAAGCATCCGCTAGTCTTGTCGGTCCAAGAAAGAGGCACCGCGGTCATTCTCGATCTTGCGGGTGAAGTTGTCGTACCACTGCTGGAAGACCGAGAGAGGGATGGGCGTCTCTGGTCTATACGGTCAGCATACAAGGTACGCGCCAAGACATGGGAAGAAGCACTCACGTCAACTTGACCTCGCCGCCAAACGAGTGCAGATAGTTAAACAGCTGTGGATCAGCTCGGCTCCTTCATCAAGCCCAAGGTTTTCCTCTGCGGACAGACGTACATTCTTCACCACCTTTTCAGCCACCTTCCCCACATCCACCTTTGCCGCCACTTCCTTTCCGGCCCCTTCGCTCGTGCTCGCCGCGCCAATACCTAGCCCTTCAATTTGCGCCAGTGGAGCAATCTCGATGCCTAGATTTGCGGGTCCGGCCGCGCCTGATCCAGGGGTGATACCGGCCGGCAGATGAGGACGGAGACGGAAGATCGCGGAGGGCTTTTGGTTTGTCAAGATGCCGAGGGGGATGTAAGGAGATGAGGGCCAGGCGAAGTGGACTGAGGCGGCGTAGCCTTCTGGAAAGGGGACTGGGCGTAAGCTTGATCCTCATTATACCTATCAGTGAGATGGATCTGAATGGGAGGGGTCTGGATGGAGTCTCACCTGTGCCAAGTAGGAAGATTGTCAAGTGGTTGATGTCATACGGCTGTTCCAGGTGGAACACGAAGTGGGTGTCATCTCTGCCGAGTAGTTAGCCTGGCCTTCCGCGCTTGCCAGATCGTTCCGTCTCCTCGATGACCAGCGTGTCCACACCATCTTGACTTCCTCAACGGTTTCTCTTCCTCCAGGTCCGCTTCTCTTTGGCCTGCGAAAGTCCCAGTACAGAGAACAACCTCGAGGGACAGGCGGCACTCGGTAATAACGCCAGGGTTTCTGACCGCACGATGGCCAAGCAGCGGTGCGAGGGGAAGATCATGCGGTACACGTTGTGGGGCTGCAGTAAGGGTGTGAAGAGGGTAGCTTACATTTGCTGCAAGTTGGTCTGACTGTCTAAAGCGCGTTAGCTATGCGCGAACGTCGGTCGACGAGCCGGTGAGATGGTCAACTGACACTAGTCTTCCTGCGACGATTGCCCCAAACATGTTGCTCGGTGTCAGTCAGGGATATGAGAATCGGGACGATGCGAGATACGAGGAGTTGTGAGGTAGTCAGAGCGTGGGGATGTGGGAGACGGAGCGAGGAGAGATGCAACCAAGATGCAACAACAAAGGAAACCTTCACCGTGCGCGTCCCATCTGAAAGATCCTCATTCCTCAAATTTTCAGGGACCCTCTTGAAGTGGTACATCTCACTCTTACACCCATGAGGATGACTGAATCGACCACTACCCGTAGCGCTTCCTCAGATAAGTACGAGGATGACACTGATACCATCTCGGCGATGCGTCATGCTATAGTTTGGCTCTGGGTTGGATGAAAGGATGGCCGGTGTGCGCTAAAGGATGGGGGAGAGTGGGGAGGGTTGATACAGATTCTACTAAGTGACCAAGGGTAGCCAGTCTCTTCACTCTTCTATACCTTACTCATACCCTCCTATACTAAAAGAGCGCAAACGGGTCCGCCAAGAAAAGCAAGATGGAGCAGCTAGACGAGAGACAGCAATTTACTCCGGAGGGGCAGGAGCTTCCAGCTTGGCTGTCGTGTCAAGCGGTGAGTAATCTCTTGCCCCTTAGCTCGTGAACTATCGCTGATAGTCCAGATCACTACCACCGTGGATGGCGTGGCGGTGACGACTGGGACTATCCTCAAGCTACCTCTCACCTGTAAGTATTACGGTGACCTTTACTCTCTTCCCGCAACGTGAAAGCCGCAGCAGCATCTACAGAGATCAGGCGCTGCCTGATACCACTCTCGGGACACAGACCCTATTGGGAGAAGATTTAGGGCAGATAGAAGGCAGGATAGACTGTGAATGAGGAAGTATCACGAAGCTGATATTGATGGACTACGGCGCGTCCATCCCGCTTGGTCCCGACTGGATGTATGGGGGAGAGACATCTCCTGCGTCCTCCCAGGCCGCCCCGACCGGAACGCCGGTGGATCCAGCTTCCGTGGCCACGGGCGTAATGAGCGTACCGCCTCCATCGGGTCCGGCGGCGCCAAGCGACATGACGGCTGCTTCTTCCTCCGCTCCGAGTTTACCGACATCATCAGCTGTGTCGGTCCCGTCCTCCTCGCCGCTGTCCTCCTTATCCTCCTCTACCTCGGCTTCGGGGCCGTCCACCAGCCAGATCACCTCCCCCCTCGCGTTGCTGAGCGGATCCTCAACTACGTCTTCGTCCTCGTCCTCGCTCTCTACTACACTATCCCGGACTTCGAGCTCGGCTTCAGCTACAACCTCGTCAACTCCTCTAGATGGTATTCTTCCCCTCCCCTCGGACCGCACCTCCCTGACGGTCATCCTCTCATCCGTCCTGGGCCCCCTCTTCCTCGCTATCATCCTCCTCGCGCTCTTCATCTGGCTCCTTCGCCGATATCCATCGGACTACGCACGTGCAGCCACCAACGAGCCTGCCGAACCTGCTGTCATCACCACTACCCCTCGGCGCGCCTCATCGAATCACAAACTCCCCTTCACTCCTCCTCGGTCTAAAGCCGCCCAACCAGGCTCACGTATTCCGAGCGAGAAGGCGCCGCTTCTGACCGGTCCAGCGCAAACGGTCATAGAAGAGGAGGACATAACGGACTACGCCAACCCTCATCCGCGCTCCTCTATCCTCTCTCGCCTATCTCTCGGACTCGGAATGGCGCCGGCCATGCGCCGCATTTCCAACGGCGCAGCGGAAAAGGCGTATCGGACCCCTTCATGGGCTTTGGCGGGTCTCGCAGCTCTCCCACGGCGGATCGGCTCGGGTCTCCGGTCGGTCTCCACCTCCACCCAGCGCGCCGGTCCATATGGTCCGCCCGTCGGAGCTGGGATCAGCGAGAAACAGCCGGAAAGCCCAACTAGGGCAGACCGATCCAGAGGTACTTCTACCCAAAACAACAGTAGCGGTAACGAAGACACCCAACCCTCCGACCCGCCTCCTTCAGCGGCGTATACTCGGTCGATGGCGACTGAGGAACTCTTCTTCCGGCCGCCTCGCAATACCCCGTCGTCCCAAGGAACCAAGTCGTCCAAGGCTTCCTCGGGAAGCTCGGGATCTGGATCGCGGGGCTCGAGATCGACGAGGGGGACCGGACCGTCAAATTGGCAGTCTGCCTTTCCGGCTCTGGAAGAGGACGCCCCTGCTGCGCTCGCCTACGCTACCGACACCGTCCGCAGAAGGCCAGGATCGGGGTATACCCATCAGCGACGGAATGTCAATACGGTCAGCGTAGGCGTACCCGAAACGCCCCGGACTGGAGCAGGGAGTATCGGAAGCTGGTCAGCTCTGGGCCTGGATGGCGGGGAGAGGGAGAGGCGGAGCAGATGGGTCGAAGAGGGGGACAGGTTGGACTTTCCGGTCCCTCCAGACGGGATGGGATGGGAGATGGAGCTCTTCCCGCCGAGGAGCCCCGGGTGGGGAGGCGTGCAGAGGCACAGTATGGCGAGTACCTTGAGCGAGATCAGCAAGTAAGTAGCCCGTCTCTGGTGTAAGGAAGGCGGAGAAAAGCTGACAGCACAGCTACTACTCCGCCCACTCCCATCCCGAGACTCCACCACCATACGACCGCGCCCAAGAGCCGAGTACGATCCGCCTCGTCCAACCCCTACCCCAGATGGATGAGGATGGGAATCAAGATACTCTCCGGGGAGGTCGTCCCATACTCTCTTCTCGACTGTCAGAGGATCAGCGGGGATCTGACAATACTCGGAGGAGCTTCATATGCGAGCCCCTATTGGGACCACCGGATGTTATGGCGGAGTTTGGACAATTGAGGAGCGTTTCAGGAGGGGTAAGTTCTCTGCGCTACTTCTTTAGTACCGCCTCCAGCCCCAAGTACCATGTTTGGGGAGAGAGAGGGAAATACAGGTGGCTTGGGCGCAGGATGGATGATATGGGGAGTGTGTCGAGACTACTTGGAGAGAGAGAAGTGTAAAGGCGGCTTGAGCAGCAGGATGGAGAATACAGGGAGTGGGATGTCGAGACTACTCTTTCTGAGGCCTGAGGCGCAGCTTTGGGTTATAAGCTCATCATGATAGCCCGCAAGCACCCTCATCTCCGCGCTCCACAACTCCAACGCCCGGTCCTCACACTATGCCTCCGTCCAGATCTCCGAATCTTCCGCGTATTCGCAGTCATCCGGGTCATCTCTGGAGCGGACGTCTTTACGGGGAGGGACGGAACTGCTCGCGGAATCAGGGGCGACGTTTGGGGTTGTATCAGATCGAGCTTTGCGTGGACGGTATGTCTTTCGTCTTTGAACAGTCCTCTCCAACCTTCCCTCTTCTCTCTCTTTTCCTCTGCCTCCCTTTCCCCTCCCCCATTTCCACTTCCCCGTATGTCTGAACGCGGCTGATATCGATAGGCAAAGTCATGCAACTCTGGTCAGCACCAGATCGGTCACTGCAGGACAAGCCCGCAGCGCGCGAAGCGAGGACAGCATAGGGGGCCAGATTCCCCCCATGCCGGACCGACACGCAGCTCGACCACCTGCTTTGCCTCGCGTGTCGTCTGACCGCGCGGTGATGGCTTTGGCGGACGGAAGTCGTGCTGCGAGTCGGGATCGAGCCGGTCCAGGGTCTAGAGCGGAGAGGAAGAAGAGCTGGTTTGGGTGGAAGAAGGAGAAGGGGGAGGAATAGAAAGAGGAATCTGGATACTATCAAGGTAGGACAATATTCGGACTTTGGCCGCTGAGTCTGCCCTCACTGATCTACTGATCAATCGTGCTGGTACAGACCGAGCTTAGTCACTACAGAGTGAAAACGTCACTCTGCTGGAACGGACGTTGTCGGCTGAGTTTGGGATCCTGTACACTGATATACTAATCGTGCTCACACAGACTGTGCATAGACCCTTCTCTTCCCCCTGATGATCTACCATGTCCGCCAGTATCAATCGCGACCGAAGCTGACCACCCTGAAGGTCAGCCATAACTCTCTCACGCTTCACACACTTACATTGCGGTCGTGTCGTCCCTGAACATCCTCGTCCCATGCTTCAAGCTCAGCATCTGATGGAGTAAATCTCGGTCTCCGTTCCCAAGCGCGTTCCGGATGAGATGGATCGCTGGATTCTCATCCTCAAAGACCCAATCTCCTTTGGCCATATCTCCCTCTCGTGATCCAGGAAGGGGCTCAGCTGGAAATGGCCGAGGCTCACGAGGAGGGGCGAGATCGAACAGCTTCGGAAGTTTGACCTTGGGCACGTCGTCATGATGAGGGTGAGCTGCGTGCGCGATGGTGAGCAAGGCGCTCTCCTCGCTGGTCATCTTCTCAAATACTAAATGGTCAGCGCACAAAGAAGACTGGGCTCATCCCCAGATGCCCGGTCCCGATCTCGCTACCCCATGTCAGGTTCCTTTACGAACTTCAAGATATGGAGTGGGAGAAGGGTGGTGGCTGGGGACTAGACTGAGCTGGAACTGCACTGACCACCATCACTTCCGAGAATGATGAACTTCAGCTCTGCACCTGTCTTGCCATTCTTCATGTCCCTTATGACCACATCGGGGCGCCAAGAGACGTAAGGCGGATCGACGGCAGGGAAGCCAGGCCGATAGGCGCTTCGCGTCATTGCACCCTTCAACAGACTAAAATCAGCTCAACCTCAGCGGGAGCACTCACGCCTTCCGTTCCTCTTCAGTCCGATTGATCGCTGGATCACCCACGCAGTGCGTCACCTGACCCAGACCGAGTAGCTGGTGGAAACCCCGGCCTGTATCGATCATGACGTCAGGCTGATTCGGATGCTCCGCCTTGATGCTGATGATCAGCGAAACATCGAAAAGTGTCAAGGGTGTCTACTGACCGCGCAACCTCTCCCGGGTTGAAGCCGTTGTGATCCTCAGTCAAGACTGCGGAGAACCACTGATCCTCCTCTTCTTTCTTCCAGACGCCAATCACTCGGCAGTCTCCAGCGTTCACCACGTACAGCTTCCCATGCTTCAGGTCCACGACCGCTGTGGCAATGCACGCTCCGCCATGCTCCAGGTGACCGCTGATGAGCTGGGCGACACTGGGCATACCGGGGAGCTGAGCGTCGGTTGGGGCAGTGGCCGGCTTGTGAAGGATGCCGAGTGGCGCCGCTGAGATGTCTTGATTCAGGGTGAGGATCCTCACATGCGTCAGCTCGACAGTATACTGATCATGAGGCACTCACGCATCGCTCAGCGCTTCTTTCATTGCTTGCTCATCGCCACCCAGCGCCTTCGAATCGTTGCCGATCGTCCACGCAAGACAGGCGTTCGCCGCCACCTCCAGCAGATCACACGCCTCGGCGCCGAGATGTCCATCGATGACGGTGAAGAAGAGGAGGTCTTTCTCTTCCGACCCCTCCTGCAAGTCCGCCCACCTCGCCCACCAAGTCTCTCCCGTGTGTCTTTCGGCAACTGCCTTGACAGCGGGCCCAAGCTGCTCGATTGACACTCCGCTCACCGACCGCCTGTCTTCTCCCTTTGCGTGGGCGGAGACATAGTTGGACGCATGCCGAATGACCCCCGCGCTCTTGGTGCGAAAAGCGCCCGAATGCTCCTCGGATCGAAGCAGCGCCTCACACTGCTCGAGCGGCTGAAAAGCATTGAGGTATCGATCCTCGGTCCTCACGCCGTTCTTCTCACATGTGCTGATGAACTCAAAGAGGCCGGGAGAGATGGTGCGGCGGTAGTCCTTGTCGACAACCGCGCGGGGAATCTCGATGCGGTCAGAGTCGATGGGACTGGGCAGGTAGGTAGGAGTAGGCATGGTTGGTGTACAGTACGAAGTGTAGACACTGAGGAGGAAAGAAGGAAGGTCAGGACTGAGCGTACGAGCTTGGCAAGGTGGGCTCTGTCCTTTGTCTCCTCAAGGAGTCTGCCTTGAAAGGTATATGCAGGAAAGCCAATATACTACGAGACTGCTACGTGATACGCCAGCCACTCAGCTTCTAGAATACTCCTAGTGCACAGTCTGGACCAAGGTAATCACAATCGACTTTACTACTCTAGATCGGGAGGAGCTACTCACGCGTCGCTCAGAGCCTGCTTGATGGCTTCTTCGTCGCCCGCCCCAGTTGTGGGGTCGTTTCCGATCGCCCAGGCCATACAGGCGTTTGCCGCCACCTCCAGCAGGTCGCACACTTGTGCACCCATATGTCCATCGATGACAGTGAAGAAGAGCAAGTCCTTCTCTTCTCCTTCCGCTTGCAGGTCTCCCCATCTGGACCACCACGTCTCCTCTGCTGCCTTGTCGTAAATCACCTTCAGAGCTTTGCGCAAAGAGGCGGAAGAGACAGCGCTGACACTCCGCCTGTCCTCCCCCTTACCACCACCCGCAGGCACATAGCTAGAGTCATATCGGACAGTCCCCCCGTTCAGTCCATGTATGACACCGGACTCTTCATGCGCATGGTGGAGTGCCTCGCACTCGGCCAGTGGCTGAAGAGCGTTGATGTACTTGAGGTGTGGCTTGAGGCCAGTGAGGTCTGTTGAACGTCTGTTGAACGGTCAAATTCAAAGACACCAGGTGCGATCGTCCTACGATGCGCCTTGTAGGCAACCATCCGAGGGATCTCCATATACTCAGGATCGCCCAGGTAAGCTTGATATGTCTGGCCGGACATAGTAGAGGTGTGGGTCGAAGCAGAACGTTCTTGGGAGGTAGGCGGTATGTCGGTCGGTATTGCGCCGGTAGTGGTACACTGTCAAGTCTCAGTGTCGTGTATGAGCCTGCCCTAAATGGCCTGGTGTACCCTGCAAAGGATCACCAGGCACCTAAGGTGAAAGGGAGACAAGCAGCACTGCTTCGCAGCGGTCTGAGGTCACGTGCGAGGTCAGGATGGTGCCTGATGGCTTGTTACGGTCCTACACAATGCCTGCTGGCTATAATGAGCGCTGCACGCCAATGAGATCTGTAGCCCAGTCATCTGGCATCACTGAGAGACGGCGTCATCAGGTCCACGAGCCCTCATCGTCGCTGTACTGGTGGCCAAACCCAAAAGGGCCAAAAGTCTAAAAAGGAACGACCTGTTTCAGACGCAGTTTGCGGCCGTCACTACTAGGTAGAAACGGCAAAACCAAGTACGAGCGGGTAGCTCAGATGCTAGGCTATCCAACAGTGTATGCATGCATGCAAAAAGATGGCTGGAAGGCCGCAAAAAGACAGGTGGAACAGGGATTTGAACCCTGGCCCCTTTCGAGAATTGATATCAGAGGTTTAATTCTAATCAATCACCTTAACCGCTCGGTCATTCCACCATGTTTTTGATGTTTTCCACTCGTTTCACTCAGATATATACGGTTATGCCCAGGATAACCGCCTTCCGTGCCGATCGCCCTGGAGCTGCAGATCGGCGTCGGGTATGAGAGGTGGACGTGCATGGGACATCGAGGCTGCTGTTCGCTCGACTCATGCATACAGTACTGTGAACTCTCATCAGGTCATGATGCAGAGTCGCCTCTCGACAGTCTGCGAGCTCATGTGGGTCCATGGGTCGTGAGCTCAGCGCTCCGCTGCCTCAGCGCACTGTCACATCGCAGGTCCCGCCACGCTCGACGGCACCAACTCGAGCTGGAGCACCGACCTCTGCTCCCTCCAACAGGGGTGAGCAATGAATGGAGCCTCGTGGCTCGAAAGGATATCCAAAAGCCAGCTGCCTGATCGAGTCTGAGAGGGGCACAGGAGATTCCCCCGTCCCCCCCAGGTGCATTTCCTCTTTCGTACTTCGCCCTTCCCACTCAGCATCTGCTATCTCTTCTGCAGACCCTCAGTGACATCCTTCCGCCCTCTCTCCAATCGATACTTTCACCATGCCCTTTACCGATATCGACCCGAATGACGGTGGACGGTCCGACGAATCGGATGAACTTACTGGTGAGTACGCTAGTACGCCCTCTCGTCCACGGCACTTTGAACGTGACATTCGTCTTAAACCTGACCGGAGTACTGACCATGTCCAGCTGATCCTAGTGTAACCCACTGTGCCTGTACAACCTGTCCAAACGAGGCTCTCGTGACGAACTTACGTGCAGAGCTCATCAAGGTCAATGCGGACTGGAAGACAGAGATGGATCGGCTCACAGCCGTACTGGGAGACACCAAGATGAACAACGCATTGCTCAGGACTGAATTGGCAGAGCTGTGGCCAAGCAGCACGGCGACATCGGTGGCGGATTACATCGCCAAAATCAACAGCCGCACTCACGATCCCACTCCGCCAAGCCCTTAGACGCAGTAGGAGACGTGGCGTCCTCGTGAGCGACCAGACCCGCATCTCACGGCGAGACCTGCAAGCAGTCTGAGCGGAGAGAAGATGGGAGAGTTATCTGGTTCATTACAGAGGTTCATTGGGATTAGTATGACATGCACCATATACCTGGAATTGGAATTTGAAATGGAGGAAGTAAGATATCAACGTTCTTTACCGGACCGCACTCATGATCGTTCAAATGACCTGCTCTGTTCATAGACCTATCATCGAAATACACTACGTATCCTCGTAATACCTCTCCAACTTTGACTGGAACCATCAGCTCTGCCTCTTTCATCTAGGCTTTGTGTCCATCTCCCTGAATAAAGGTCTGGGGCAGCAAGAAACTCACCCTGCCCGCAAACGGCTGCAGCCCTGCCGCGATCCTCTGCCCCCCTACAAGCGCCGTCCAATCCATCTCCTCCCCTCCGTGCGCGCGCGCAGAGAGCATATGCTGGTTCGCCACGTCGATCGTGGGCATGGGGACATTATGGACATCGGCGAGTTGACGAATGTGCCTGTTGGATCAGCTTGGTCCTCGGTCTTGATCAACCCCGCAACTCAGCCCCAGTCTAGTCCGCCTTGGCCCAATCAGGAATTCACCCATCCCCTCGCTTTAACCTAGACTCACTTGGCATCCACAATCCCGCCACCTAGCGTGAACCCCCCCTCCGCCCCAAACTTGTTATGCAATATCCGATCCGCATACCTCACCAGCGCCGGCGAGCTATGCTGCTCCTTGATGAGCTCGAGGAGCTTGTCGGACCCGACGCCAGCTTGGTCAGATAGGGTAAAGCATTCAGAGAGGAGTTCGATGAAGCCCAATTCGAGGGCGTTCCCGACCAGCCTAAAAGTCAGCTCCAAACTCCCAGGTCTTCCTGATCTGATCTCATGTGCTCGCCACGCCGGACCTACTTGAACGACATCGCCCTCTCGACATTACTCCCCAAATCCATAACCTTCTTCGCTAGGGCCGGGACGAGCGCATGCGCTGCGTGCTTCTTGGCGTAATAGTCGCCCGAGATGGCCAGGGTGATGTCTGCCGTCTCGGCCGCTTTGGGGACGCCGAATACGGGGCAGGAGAGGAAGGTGCGGTGCGGCTTGGAAGCGGCGAGCCGCTCGAGCTTGCCGGCGGTCGCCGGGAAGATCTGGCGGTCAGCACAGGCCGGCGGAGGAAGAATGGAGACGTACGGTACTGGTATCGACAAAGATGGTGCTCTTGCCTGCTCCACCTGGAATGATTCCATCGCCCTTGTCGCTTTGTTCCTGAATATCAGCATCTGTCGTATATCGGATGTAGCAGCTGACCCACCTCTTGTCCCGCGAATAGCTCGGTAAAGACCTCCTCAACAGCCTCGTCCGATCCAAGCGACGTCAAGATCATATCAGCACTGATTATATCAGCTTCGAGCCCCAAAATAGCGCTTCCTAAAGCTCACGTCTGCCCGATCTCCTTGAGATCCTTGACGACCTTGTACCCGTCCTCGCTCAGCCCACGCTCTTTGGCCCATCGCTTGAAGTCGTCAATACGCGCGTCAGATCGGTTCGAGACGATCAGTGGTGGCTGGTCGTCAGCTATAACCTGGTGGGCAGCAGCACAGAGCTTGCGAGCTCACCATGTGCTTCTTCTGGAGGTCGAGAGCAAGGTTAGTGGCCATTCGTCGACCCATCGCTCCGAGACCGATCAGAGCGAGTTGGTCCTAAAAGTCAGCTCTGCGTGCAAAGTCACTGGGCTTTCGTCAGCTCACATGTCTGGGCGTAGGAGTGGAAGGCCTACACGGTCAGCCAGCCTTCTCATCGAGCCGCGGATAGAGGACATACCTCGAGAACGGAATTGCCGCGTCCTCATCGACGATCCGCTGCTTGTTTCCCATGTGGAGAGTTCCGCCGACTTTCTCTACGGGTGGTGTTTGCTGGCCGGACATTATGGTGTATGCTGTATATAAGTAGATGAGTATGGAAGGAGAAGCTGCAGACAGTGCTGGGTTGGTGACGACGTTCTAAGCCGTTTGGAGACCCCACTTACCCCGCGTTTCAATCTGATCCCGCTAACACAAATACCCCCTAGCTTCTATTACCAGCAGCGCTGTTTGTATTCTCCACCTATACTACATAGCATCTATCTATACCTGACTGTAGCTACAGAGGACAAGATGAGCGCAGCACCAGCTAGAGCAGCCCCTCCTCCACCTCCACCGGCAGATGACCAGACAGGAGCATCAGCAAGTGAGTCACTGAGCACAACTCGCAAGGGGTCCGCATCCTTCGATGCTCGAACGTCGTGGCATGGGCATGGGCTGACAAGACAGATGAGCGACTCCTAGCTGCCGCCAAGTCTGATAATGAGGGTATGCTCGAGGACGCTCTGTCAGATCTGGATGATATCAACTATACGGACGGGTCCGTCCTCCCACTATGTGTATAGCCTCGGATTCAGCTGATGAGAGCTTGCAGAATGGGCAACACAGGTGAGCTGGATGGTGTGCATCGTTACACCGGCTATAGCTGACATCCTCAGCATTACATCACGCGTCAGCTTCCTCCTCCTCGACTTGTTCAAAGTATCACAGCTGACTCCTCAGCATAATACACGCCTCAACCTCGATCTTAGAAACTATCCTCTCGCACGAAACCTGCGACGTCGATCCCCGGAATAGGATGGGCGGGGAAACACCGCTTCATATTGCCGTACGGAACAAATGGGAGGAGGCGCCGGGATTGAGATTGTTTCTGGTGGAGCAGCTGTTGGAAGCTGGAGCGGATACATCGTGAGCTACTCCTCATACTCTTGGGATGGAGCTGACAGGTAGAATACGAAACAGGCATAATCAAAAACCTATCGACCTGCTTCCTCCTTCGCCTGATTCAGACTCGGATGAAGCCAAGATCAGGGCGATGATACGGCATGTGGAGGCGGAGAATGCGGTAGCGGCGAGGGGGGACGTGGTGGATGGTATGTTCTCGCTAACTTGATAATGGAGGGGACGAGCTGACTTGGGCAGAGGACAATGATGTGTTTGACCCGAACGATGTTGCTTCGGATTCTGATTGATCCTCCTTGCGCTATCACCTTGTATCTTTCATAACATGACCGAGGCGACGGAGAGGTTAAGTCTCGGCGCCTTGCCCGCTTACTCTGGCGGTAAACTAACAGCTTGAGCCTCAATACTCATCTTCACTGACATCCCTGAGATATTGAAGTTGGCCGTATGTCCCTCATCCCTCATCGCTCATAGCTTGGTCACGCGAGAGTGCTTAGGGTCCGGACCAGAATGGTGCTTATGGGCATCGGTGTAATCGTTTCGAGCGCGACGACTCGGGCAGAACATTCGTGTTCAAGCTAATATCCGGGTGCATTACCCTCGGGAGCAGATTGGGTATCTCTCAACGGGTAGATGGTCGATGACGGACACGAAGAGGAGGGTGTCACTCGGCATGATGCCGGGATTGCGCCAGCCCACGGGCCAAAGTTCGCTCGCAGCGTCTATGGCAGTTGCTACGGTCTCTGAGGGATGTTCGACACCGCGTGCGCCTCGCGCTCGAGAGGCCCCTTCCGTCCGTGGATTGTCTCTGCAGCTCTCCTGCTCGGCACTAACCACGACCTGCTGGCCGACAACAACTCTGATGGGAACGAAAAGGCAAGAGACGAGGTGTATAAGACACGACATGTAGCATATTCACAGATGTAAGCAGGACTAGGGCAGTATGGAATAATGGAATACTGATGTGCGGAATGGTATCGTTGATATAAGCTGAAACCCACGTGGGAATCTGACGGGCCCCGGATGCAGGCTCAAGCATCATCTTCCTCCTCTTCGCCATCGGTCCGGACATCTTCACCCTGCAACTGCGTGTCAGCCGGCTGCTCCGGAATCAGACCCGCGTCATTGCATGAGTGGCAACAGCCGGCGAACTCCAAGATGAGCGGGTGTGGCTCGCACGGATGCGTAGTCAGGTCAGCCTTGTGTTCCTGATTCGTAGTCTCCTTGGTCGAATCGTAGCTCAGATGGAATCGGCCCCTCTTCCAGTTCCGCATATTGTGCCCGGCGTAGGAGATGAAACTATTTGGGTCAGCACCTCATACGCGCTGAAACAAGGCTCGAGAGGCTCACGCCTTCGTCGCATTCTCCTGGTCATTCAGGTCGGTGATGCCAGGGAACTTCGCCGCGATATCATTGATCAGTCTCTGCGGTGGGCAGATCCTCCCATCGGCTCTGGGCGGACAACACTCGCCGTTCCACAGAGTCTCACCCTCCTTGCGCTTCATCGCCCATGTCCCCACAATCCCCCTACATGTCAGCTCATGCCAGAAAGCTCAGGATCGTGCTTTCCTTGGTAAGGGAGACTCACATCGTGCCAATGGGAGCCGTCCCGCTCATGGAAAACCTGAAGACCTCGGTGCCGTTGGAGTCATCGCCGGTCTCGTTGTTGGTCGTGTTGTTGTTGGTGATGGGGGAACGTGAAGACAGGGTAGCCGAAGCGGAGGTGGTGGCGTTGAGGGCAGGTGCAGACATGGTAGCTGAAGCAGGTGTAATGGTGTCGGTGAAGTAAGGTAGTTGTAGTGGGGGATGAAGATGATGAGTAAGAGCTGAAGGATGAACGCACTTCTTATATATCTCTGAGAAGGGAATGGGGGTGGGTTTCTGCGCTCGTCGGAGCAAGAACATCAAAGAGGCGAGCACAGCCATCCTGCACATGATACACGTCTGAGCATACAGATCTTTTGTGCTAGATTGCGCCTGTGATGTAGCAAATGGCGTGCTCACCAGGGGCCTAATGCATCTGCACGATCCTCTGCGTCCTTTCAGTCTCTTATCAGCTCATTTGTTCGAACGCGTATCAGCCCCTAATGAGTCGCGCCCAAGATCTGATCAGCCCGATCGTCTGCCGATTAGATCTGCACCGCCTCGTAGAATGGTCTAGCGTGGCCTTGTTCTGATGAAGGGATGGTCAGGGGCTCTCACAGTCCAGACGATGGTCGGAAAGTAAGAGAATCTTTTCATTGCCGATGGGCCGACACGTCAGGACAGGAGTAGGGATTTTGGGGGTCTATGAGGCTTGAAAGGCTCTCACCGCCCGGCCCCCTGTCCCTTCCTGCGATGCAACATCGTGTATAAAACAAGCATGTGTCCCGCGCACTTTCTATTTCGTCGGCCACGACAAGTGCATACGGTTACAAGAGACTCAAGTGTGGTGCACCTTATCGCTGGAAAAGAATGACTTGAGAGTGGTCAGGGCGCCGGTCAGAAGTGTCGCGCTTTCCGCGGGCAGTAGGCCAGGTAGCTCGCAGGCATTGGAATACGCAACGCCATCGGCCGGTTCGAGTGAAAAGCCAATGGTGTCGATGTTTGTGCTGCGCTCCCAATGACCCCACTTGGTCCAATACTGGAGTCTAAGATAATCAGCAAGGTGGCAGGCCAGAAACCACAACGTGGTCCATTGCTTTTACCTTTCAATGACGGCCGTGCGGTCACTTTCAGGAATGCCCATCCCCGTGAAGGCATCAATGACGCTCTGACCAACGCAGGGAGTGGTGACGGAGTTGGCCGGGCAGGGGCATCGATATCCCCAGAGGGACGTCCCAGCATCTTTGGCGTAACAGCCGAGCACGAACCTTGACAAGACATGAGCGCCACATAGACACGGTGAGGCAAAGACTGACGTACATGGATGCTTCTTGACCGGTGCATGAAACACTTGAACTGACCATCTGAGCAAGAACGTGGATGCGTGAAGCAAGTAGGTGGTGCTGGGAGCGAGGACCTCAGTGAAGAATGGGTAAGTCAGAGAGTAGGTCGAGGAAGCCAAAGCTGCGGAAAGGCCTTATAAACCTGCCGAGGCCGATCGCAGACTCGAGGGTATATCGTAAAGGGGGTCACCGTGTAAGGAGGTCTCTGTCGGGCGGCATGGTGTCTCAAACCCAGGGCAACCTTTGTGCAGCCTCATAATGATGATTTACATGGTACGTTCCCACCTCACATCGTCGCACAACGAGGTGAGAGCCTCGAAGCTCGCAGCATTAGCGTGAGCATCTGACTACAAGGCGACCAGGAAGAGCCAATATATCGATATACATAGCATCGCTTGACCGCCAACGAGAGGAAACGCCTGGCCAGGGATCATGCCTGATTCGGACGTGGCAATCAGTGGCGGATCAAGCTCCTTTCTGCTACTGCTAGATTGCACCGATATCGTCATACATGGCGTGCTCTGGGGGCATCCGAAGACATGCTCGCTCCTTGCGATCCTTTCACTGTCATTTGCGTCGACACGCGTAGGAACGTGGCCCATCCTGTCATCCCACTGACCCTGCCTGCTTTTTGCCACTTTGACAGATCTGCGGGTCGGGGTATATAATCGCGCCCCCTCCCCTTTCATCATTTCTTGCTTACATATAGCTCTCACCCACTTTGCTTTCCGTCGCTCATACATCCCGCTCCCTTACTCACTCAGATACTTACCGGCTCAAGTACTACTACCGGTATGTTCTGCCCGGTACGCGTTGTGGGGCTGCCGCTGATCTTCCTCTCGCTAGGTCATCATTCATGAGTGAAACTACTGTGAAGGGGGGTGACGAGACTGGGATGAGCGCACAGGAGATTGCGACAAAGGCAGCGAAGATGTCCTGGGCTTGTAGGTAGCGCATTATGAAAGTAATGATATCTTGAAACTAATTTCTCAGGTGGTCCAGCGGGATTCCATGCCCTCTGGGTCTTTGATCAGATGCAGGCGGCAATTGTCGATGCCAATCCGCTGACTTTCCCGACCGCCGACCGGTACGTGTCACCACGCGAGGCCGCACCATAGCGACTCAAGTTACCCGAAGTCTCTCTCGAGCGGAGTGAGATAAGTCTAGAACGGACTGACATAGTAGGAGCGTTCCCGACCAGGCCTCCTTGCCGCGATACGTCACAGCGAAGTTCGCGAATTTGAGCAAACAAGAGATTGGCACTTTGTATGTAAACTGAGCTGCTCGAAGATGTCGGCTGACCTGTTCAGCCTGCAGTATCTCAAGGGCGAGCGGTCAATCGGGCATACGCTCTCAGCATCGACAGCGCCCCCGAATGTGCTGAAAGAGGAGATGCTGAAGGCTCTGGGAGGTGGCGCCTCATCAAACCCATCGGCGGACAAGGCGACGATGGCTACATGGGACCAGTGAGTCTTTTGAGTAGCGCTCCGCTTGCGCTGACATCTGCAAGCACGATCGACGCGCTTGAGGCCTGTCTTGGGATGAGCAACACGGAGGGACCCACTGTGGACTGGTCTCGCGTCAATGAAACGATGCCCGCCGTCACCGTCAACCCCGAAAGCATGGCTCTTTTCGAGGCTCGCCGGACCTCGCTCCGAGCCTGTCTGAACGAGTTGTCCGTGTTGATGCCTAGTCGAGCGGGTTGATGAGCTGTTGACTCCGATCGACATTGTGCTACTGTGTATGCGTTCGTCAGACTTTCTGCACAGCCTCTGTAATCTGACTGATTCTGAGCGATGATGTTTACTTTTCTTCGGCTTCATGTGGATTGGCGAGCCATCCGCGATGCCGCGACTGTGCGTTAGGCCAATATTTCGAGTGCGGGATATAGCGGATGGCTGGGCCTGAGGAATGCAATCGCTATCTGACCATTGACATTTGGCAACTGGTCGCCACTCAGCAGCATCCAGCAGCATCCAGCCGTGCTGCGTTGGCATGCGCTTGACTGCTGTCTGAGCGACAAAGCTTGTCCTGACATTAGCAACCAGCCGCAGATCGAGCTCCTTTCTGCTAGATTGCACCGATGGCGTCGCACATGGCGTGCTCTGAGGCTATTCGAAGACCCGCACGCCGCTTGCTGTCCTTTCACGGTCATTTGCGTCGATACGCGTGAGCATCACTCATCCTTTCATCCCAGTACCCCCGCGTACTTTTTGCCACTCTGGCAGGCCTGCCCGTCGGGGTATATAACCCATGACGTGTGCACCAAAAGATCACGATAGTAAGGGGATATCCCACTTGCTTGTTCAGTGTAAAGTCCTTCGCATGCAGCGGACAGTCGCCACCCAGCGGGATCAAAAGTGCCACATGCAGAGTGCCACACTGCCGGCATGCACAGGTGAGGAAGTATATAAAGGACAGCTCATTTCCCCCGTCCCCCCTCTTTCTTTCGCCTCTCACACCATAGAGACAAGCCACCTATACCTTATACACCTCTCCTTACTTGACCAAGCATAGCTCAGCCCACCTCTCTGGCCCTCCCCAGCTGGAACAAGCTAGAGCTCGATCGAAGCAAACAATCGCTTGACAGCTGAAACCTCGTCAAGTCAACTCGTCTCGGCGCGCCCAATCCTTTTTTCCCTTCTCTACCTTACATCCACCTCGTCACTCACCTCCCATTCCATCATCATGTCCGGTCTCGCCCTACCTACCAACAAAGCCGCGTCCAAGCGCCCTGCGCCCCAGAACAACGCAGTGGCGAGCTCGTCCAAGCCGAGCGGGGCAGGCGCGAACCCAAGCAGCGGAGGGATGGATGAGGACGACGAGGAGTTGATGGAGAAGAGGCCGGTCAAGGCGGTGGTGGGCGTGCCAGAGATTACAGCGGTGCAGGGATTGGTTCCTACCCTTCAGTAGGTATCTCTTCTGCTTACACAGCTTGTTTGGGAGGTGGCTGGACGGGGGCAAGGGTTCAACTGGACGTGACATCCAGTTGACACTGCAGGAATATCGTCGCTACGGTGAACCTGGAATGTCGGTTGGATCTCAAGACGATCGCGCTGCATGCTAGGAATGCAGAGTATAACCCAAAGGTGAGTCTTCTGTTCTGAGAGGGTGAGGGCAGGCGAGGGAAGGGGACCTCTTGGCTTTACAAGCTGTGATCGTCCATCCCTACCCTCTACCTCCCCACTTCTTTCCCTCTTACCTACCTAGTCATGAGGTACCTCGGCTGACCCCCAGCGATTCGCCGCAGTCGTCATGCGCATCCGCGATCCCAAAACCACCGCCCTCATCTTCGCCTCTGGAAAAATGGTCGTCACCGGCGCCAAATCCGAGGACGACTCCCGCCTCGCCTCGCGCAAGTATGCGCGCATCATTCAAAAGCTCGGCTTCGACGCGAAGTTCGCAGAGTTCAAGATTCAGAATATCGTCGGGAGTTGCGATGTCAAGTTCCCGATTAGGCTGGAGGGGCTGGCGTTCAGCCATGGAGCGTTCAGCAGTTATGAGCCAGAGGTGAGTACTGTCTGGGTGCGGTGGGCGCGTTGGGCGAAGGGACGGAAGGATGGAGCGGAAAGGTGGAGACGATGCGGACAGGCTATAGGGACCCGGGCCAGGACGAGCGGCGATGCTGGGAAGGGAGCGGAGTCGTGAAGCTCGTGCGAACATACATCTTTTGAGAACGCGGCTGATGTCCAGCTCTTCCCCGGTCTGATTTACCGGATGATGAAGCCAAAGGTCGTCCTCCTTATTTTCGTCTCTGGCAAGATCGTCCTCACAGGCGCCAAAGTCAGGGAAGAGATCTACATGGCGTTCAATCAGATCTACTCTGTGCTCGTCGGTGAGCTCACAGGACTCAAGCATGGTAAGGAACTCTAGCTGACTCTGCAGAATTCCGAAAAGAGGCATAGCCCTTCGAGTCAAGCATGCGGTCCCACCGTATGGCCAATCCGAGGCGGTCTCCACATTGTATATCAAGGGGGTGTGAGGAGAGAGGGTGTAGGCGTGTCTTGTGTATAGCCTTGTATCAGTATAGACGTTTCTACCCATCGATTCCACGGGTTCTCGCCCATCGACGACCAACCCATCGCGCCCATATACAACCCCCAACGACCGAACCCCGGTCCCTCGGATCGCCAACACTTTCTCTTCTCCTGTCAGTCTCTTCATAGTAGCTAGCATGGTATGAATCAGTGTCCGCGTCTTCCTGATCGCCATCGCTAGAAGGACGCAGCACAGTGTTGTCGAAGAGTCGGTGCTGAAGGAGCCCGAGCTGAGCTCGGCCTCGGGCACGGCCGAAGCGATGACGCTGGCGACGAGGACAAAGCAAACAACACCTTTGGCCATTCGCTCTCCACTGTACATCAATATTATACTGACATATCTGACGGAAGACGTGGAGACCAGCCTACTATCACGAAGGATGAAGGCATCATCATCATCGTCCAGCTTGTCCTCGACCGAGACGAAGAAACCGATCCACCTCGTCATTCTCATCCATGGCCTCTTTGGTTCGCCCGCCAATGTAGCGACGGTAGCGGAGGAGCTGCACTACGTGCATGGGTCTGGCGGATCCACATCAGCGACAGGGATCGCGGGAGAGTCAGGATCGGACAGGGAAGACGGGGAGGATGGAGACGAGGTGGAGGAAGAAAGGGAACGGAACGGAGGGAGGCGGTATCGCAAACCCTCCGCCTCCAACTCCCCCTCGCCCCATCGTCTGCCCTCGGCCCGAGCAGCGCAGAAAAGGAAGAAGGCACAGAGGGAACGGGAGAGAGGCAAGGATAGGAAGGACGAGCTGGTAGTGTATAGCTGTAACAGCTTTGGGTTTGGACATACCTGGGACGGAGTGGATATCAATGCCCAACGAGCGGCGAAGGAGGTGAGCTTTGCGTTGCTCATTGCTGCAGGCTGGAGCTCTAGCTGACGTAGTAGGTGGATCAGGAAGTGAGGAGACTAGAGGAAGGCGAAGGCAGGAGAGTGGGGTCAATCAGCTTCGTACGTCCCCGTTAAACCTTACGGCCGATCTGAAAGGGGGTAGATGCTGATTCGCAGATGGGATACTCGCTTGGCGGACGTGAGCTTGACGACTCTTCCCTTCCTCTGGGGTGTGTACGATACAACAAGCTGACTCCAGGAAGTGATAGCCCGATACCTCATCGGCGTCCTCTACTCTCGCTCTCCAGACTTCTTTGAGCGACACAAACCCGCTGCCTTCGTGACGATTGCGACTCCCGTAGGTTCTCCTCAGCTAGCTATCCCATATCTTCTGCTGGATAAGGGACAGCTGACTACTTCAGCACATCGGGACACTACGCTATGGTCAGCTCCTCTGCCTCCACCGCCGAGTAAAGTAGCTGATCAGCCGCAGGAACGACGACCAACAAGATCATCCATACCATCGGGAGACGCCTCTTTTCGAGGTCAGGGAGACAGCTGTATTGCGACGATCGGGACGAACAGGGAAGGTGTCTGCTGGAAGTTATGGCCGATCCAGGTCCGTTTCCGCGGCGATTTTCTCCTGAATGGACGTTAAGCTGACGCTTCAGATGGGATCTTCATACATGCACTACAAGGCTTCAACAAGGTCTTGATCGTAGCCAATGGGTGAGCTTACCAATCTCGAGCTTCCGGGACTGGGATCCGAAGCTGACCCCTTATCAGCTGCCACGACCTCACCGTCCCCTTCCCCACAGCTTCTATATCCCTCTCGGACCCATTCCAAGACTACGCAGCCGGTGCCTCCCCACTCCATCTAGAAGTGGACGAACGGAACATCGTCACGTCGTATCGCCAGATCTCATATTCAGAGCATGAGGAGGGGCCGGGTCATATCGCACATACGAAGGAGGACGATGGAGATATCACGGTCACCGTGGCGACGACGAGGAGGTCCGGCGGGGAGGACGAGAAGAAGCAGGTCAAATTACCGCCTAGACCGGCTTTGCCGCCCTTCCTCTACTTCAGGTGGCCGTTCACATACGTGAGTCAACTCTCCGCTCCCGCTCCCCATCGCTTCCTCAAGGGGATGGGTCGACTGAGCTGATTGTTATAGGCCATCTTCTTCATCTTGCCATTCTTGATCCCACTCTGGATATGCTTAATGTGAGTTCTTGTCCCTCACATAATGCTATCGGGACAGCGAGCTGACGCTGCAGAATCGGCTTTACCACTCTGCAATCGTACCGGTCGTAAGCTACAAAGCCCTCTTCATTGCGTGCCTCCAGCTGACGTATCAGGGCGAAGCGGCATAGGCTTCTAGGCTCGAAAGGGGAACATCAGCCCCTCCTCGCCTCTCTCATCCCCGCTACAAGTAGGTCTCTTTCTTCTATCTCACCCTCGGTGGGCACAAGACTCCCGGCGGGCACGTATAGCTGACGAAGAAGGACCCAAATCCCGCCCGATTTCCCGCCGAAGTACCCCCGAATACTCCTCCGGCACTTCTACACCCCCCTTTGAACTTCTGTCCCCCAGCACGATGAAGATCCCGCTCTACCTCACTGATCGACAAGAACGGATGGTACGGAGTCTGAACGGGGCATTACCGCATATGGAGCGGATTGTGGCTTGGTTCCCGTCGGCTTTTAATGCGCATGCCGTGGTCATCATGAGGTGAGTCTCACAGCCTCTTGGTCTCTCGATGAGCTGGGTTGGAGGAGGAGCGTCTGAGGGAACAACGGGGATGAAGGTGGAAATGGGGTATGGTCCAGAGCTGAGCTGATCTTCGCAGGGACTACAAAAAGTTTCCGTCACAGGAGGTGGCGAGGGGAGTTTTGAGGGAAGTAGCGGGTAGGATACTGGATGCAGCTTGAAGCCCGGGTCGACGGCCCCCCTGATGAGCTGCAAGCCTGCTATGTTGAGTTCCTGGGTGACCAAAACTCACAGCAACCCTTCGCTGGCACCGGACCAGTTGGAAAACGTCTGATCCTTGGCCGCAAAGATGCCTACGTAATACTCACAATTGACCTCTGAGACGCCACAATACTCACACACGGAGTGACCGAAAGGATTTGCATCGTATATGATAACGGTAAAAGGAATGTTGGCGGAGCCGACTGAATGTCGTATCAGACAGCTGTATAAGAGGGGCAAGTCTCGCTCTGCATTTCCCCCTCAGCTTCCAACCTATATACATCTCGTAACTCATTCGCGCTCATCACTGCGCCATAAACCTGAGCAAGCGGCAGCCCCGTCGATCTTGCACATTCACACGCTCACCTCTTCCACACTCCCTCCTCTTCCACATGGCTGACTGCTGTATACCAGGGTCAAATGGGGGGCTGCCTCTGCCGCCCATGGAGTTGCGGCATCAGGTGTACCGCATGCTCGGTGAGCACGATTCTGAAGGCACCTTGCCATCTCGCGAGAACGGTCGGACCACTATCTCGCCCTCAGCAGATTGGAAGGGCCAGACGGACACAGGCGGTGACGAGCACTCTCACAAGCTTCGTATGCTATTCAGAACGGCAGCGCAGGAGAATTTCCGCCTTACAAGCAGGGTGAGTAGAAATCTGTGTACATGGCCAGTCCGCTGCACACACCATCCCAGCATAGCGCTGATTTCATCAGGACTGTGTGGGCGTATCGGACAAGGTAGAGCAGCTGACTTGGGATGCTTGCTCTCCAGACACGGTGGCAAACAACACTGTACTGATCGTCGGGGCAGGCTCAGGGTTGTGCACACAAGCGGAAAGTGGAAGCTCACTGGCGCTGTTCAACGTTGATGACTACGGTGAAGCGTTCATCCGCGAGTCGCTGCGGAACAATCTCGGTCGTCGAGATGTATACATCATTCCCCACGTCGCCTTTCCGTCCTCGGTGACCGAAGGCAGTGTCTTCCGCGGGCAACACGTCCTCGTTGACTTGCTCGCCAATGCTGTCGCAAAGAATCATGAGTTGAGTCCCAGGCATGTCGCGCTTCCGGAGGATCCCACAGCGGCGTCATCAATCGATCACGCGCCGTTGGGATGCGTTCGCATGTGCAAGGCCATGTCGAAGATCTCCAACGCAAGTCCCGCAACTCAATTCCACTGGACGACGTCCAGCCGATACTCAACGATCCATTGCTCATTCGTGCGGGACCTGCGCGTTGACAGCACCTCGGACACGATGCTGAGCCTCGTCGACGAGACTCCCCATCTGGAAGCGGGTCAGTGGGACAGTCAACTCAGCTGGTTCATCACGGCCGTCGACCCTCGAACTGCGAAGGAAGGAGACGAACGTGTGAGCCGCCGGGATGAGTACGCCTCATTCGGCGAAAGTCTGTCTCTCAGCCCAAACAGCAAGGGCAAGAAGCGCATCGTCAAAGTCCACCTTGGCGGAAAACTGACGGAGCTGACGGAGGGAAAACTGAGGAAGACGCTGGTGGCTGATTGGTTGAGAGCCGCTGAGGAGTCTGTGGGGCCGCGTTTCCAAGACAAGGGCGTCACCTACCAGCTTTACGATGGCTGGACCCAGATCTATCCCCTTCCGCGTGATGAGTCTTCCACAGGGCAGGCGGGTGATGAGGTCGTGTAGTATCTCGTTCGTTTCCGGGCCGTCGCTTGTCATGTTATGTTGATATCAGTCTCTTCATGCAGTCCTTGCGGTATTTATCAAATGTGAGCTGCACTGGTGGTTTCTACGGCCGCATAACAAAGGTCGGGGTCCAAACACAACACAAAATCAGGGGTGTCAATGCCATCTGAGTGCGCAGGGTGGTACAGCGCGGAAGAACTAACGCTGGTCGATGTATACTAGTAATGTGCGCTCTTCTGAGCGGAGTGATATTCAGAGAGTTAGTGATAGAAAATTTCTGCGTTCGAGAGGCTGAGAGACCAAACTTCTGAGAAGGCTGTTTATGTCGGTAGACCGACGCTGGAATTTGGATATCGTAGGTAAATTCGCAGGATGAGTGGCCATTGAGTAATAAAGGTCAATAAGTATCCAGTAGCGGCCGTTCGAAGCCAAGACGTCCGCAGTGGTCAGGTGGTTAACACGTCATCGTCAATGGGAAGTATCAAATAGGGTCACACGATGCATTAACCAATCCCTAGCTCAAGATCAAGCTGTCTACTGTAGCCATTACTACTAAATTGCCTTGTGCTTCTTGGGAGTAACCACCGCCTCGGACGCACCGCCACCTGCTGAGTTTCCGATCAGGAAGAGAGAGATAAGGCCGTACGACACGCTCCAGCCCTCGGGGTTACCACCGCGGTGAGCTCTTCCGCCGTTGAACGGAGTAATACCATCCCCCTTCCAGACCTTAGCGGAAAAGACCACAGCGACGTCGGGCCCATTTTGAAGGAGCGCGCGGTTGGTGAGGAGGGGCGAACCGTTGAGACTAGTGCGGCCCCTGGCGTCGTAGACATTCGGGAAGGTTCTGATTCGTCAGCGGGGTGCTAGCGAGATGTAGGAATGGTGGGAGGACAAGATAGAAGAGGGATAGCGTATGATCGAGGGAGGAGGGTGTAGATCAAGGAGGCAGCACGGGTGTGGAAAGGGATTAGGGGAATATAGACTCACAAATTTTCCCCCGCCGTCTTGGCCGCCTCGATCTCCCCCTTAGGGACATCAGCCTTGAAGAATATATCACCATGGGTGCTCTTACTGACAGATCAGCGGATACGATTGAAGCACAGGAACGACTCACGGATGAATAGGTCGCGCTCCGTTGTCGATACCTTCGACACCGCCTTGGAGCGCCTCCAGACCCGGTAAGTGATCGGCGACGTTGACACCGGACCCAGTACAAGTAATAGACCATGTGGCGTATTGCGAGGTTGGGAGGTGAACGAGGAAGGACTGGAGGAGCTTGAGACCCAACACAAATTGCTGATGTCATTAGCTTGTGCACAAGACCACACTCTCACAGATCGACAAGACCTACAGCGGCCTCTCCATCCTCCATGACCATCCCGAAGCCGTACCCCGGCCCCTTACCGGCCTTCTCGAAGGTCAAGGACCGGGCACCCATGTTGGTTGAGTGGAGAGGACTGGCACGAACGGTTTGCATAAGACTGAGGGTCAGCATGTGTGTAATGGACTACAAGTGAGTGGGACTTACTGGCTGATCTGGGCTACGTCGGTGGGGATGGGTATGCCTCCGACGGCGGGGCTGGCACCTTGACTGGCATGACAGAGGAACAACCCCGAGTTGTTGGTGGGGGAAGTGATGACTGCGGCGGTTTGGAGGGCGGGAGGGGTTGCAGTTGAGGCGTTCCCGGGGCCGGTAGCGTTGGCGGTGGACGAAGGAGCAGTAGCTGGACCAGCTGCGGCGGGAGGAGATGATGTGGGGGCATCAGCGGCGGGAGCGGCGGCGGCGACCTCGGAGGCGTTGATGTCGGCGTCGATGGCCGCATCAGTGGAGACGTCCTCGATGCCCTCGAAGGAGGTCGCGGAGAAGGTGAGCGACGGCGCGGGGGACGCAGCGCGTTTCTGGGGGATGGTTTTGGCGGTGGATTTGGACTTGGCCATTTTGAGCAAGGGGTTGTTGGATGTGGACGTGGTGGGTGTGGTGGGTGTGGAGAGTGGAATGAGAGAGATGGGGGAAATTTGAGCGGCCTTGTCACACTTTATATCTTCTTGTCATGGGCCTTGTTAATCGAGGCCGTACCCTAAAAAAACTGACTCCCTGATGGATCTCGCAACCGGGACGAGTATCAAGCTTGTACCCCCACTCCCGTCCACCCCAAAATGACCGACCCCCCGCTGATATCGAAGCGGGACGATCACCCCCCCTTCACCGATGGATTTAATTGAATGACCTCCAAAACTGATGGATCTCGGAACTAGCACGGACACCGGGCTCCTATTACTACTCCTACCAACCCCAAAAAGATCGATCGTCTACTTTGGCATTGAGGTGGGACGATCACCACCCTCTTGAAAGACTGACCCCTCGATGCGGGAGTGGATCCTGGACGCAACTGACCACATATTGACGGCACCCGCAGCATCTGCCCTGCCTCAGCACCGCCTCACGCCAAGCGGGAACAGCGAGCGGGGAGATCGGCAGAGGAAAGAGGGTGTCGCTGAGTGCTATTCAAGGTTATTCACCAGTGACGATTTACAGCATACACCAAGGATTGGCTGAGTGGCGTGCGCATGCTGTATCAATGCGGGAAGATGTTTTCGACATGCATGCGTTGCTGGGGTCGGAGGAAAGCACGTCGGTCATGATGGCGGAAATGAAAAAGCTGGATGTCATTGGGGAGGAAACGACTGGGAAGATTGCGCGAGTGAGTACATTAAGCGCTGATTGAAAGGAATGAGCTGACTTGACAGCGAATACATGACGAGAGGTGGACAAATCAGTACGAGGAGTTTGTAGAAGAAATATGAATCGCTTATGCATGGACTCATGCACCAAGACTCAATGGATCTAGGGGAGCTGCGAAAGGAAGACGGCGCAGTGCATGCCTTGGGCTGCGCAAAGGGAAGTCCCCCGGAACCACCAACAACAGATGAAAGAATCGGATGACGGCATAATCTGCCACACTCGCACATTTCGCACTCAGTTCGAACGATGCGATTTTTGGGTGTGTTTCACTTTTCTACATCTTTTGCCATGCATAGCAATATAATAAAAGATCTAAACAGTATAATTGGGATGGGGCGGTTTCAGGCTATCATATAAGACCTTAACCGGAGCACGAGAACGCCTACAGCGTGCTGGCCAAACTCAAAAACCCCTATATGTTGGAATGGAATAGTCAGGTTACCACCTGACAACGCAATTGCACTTTGGTTGTGACTCGTGTACCGGCTGATGATACAAGACAGAACGCCATGACAATGCATCCTGTGAGTATCAGCTTGGCGGTCTCGGTCAATCAGGCTGAACTCGCACTTACGCCTGCTTCAGACACAGTGCTCCTCCAGAGACCTCGTAAACTCTGTTGGCTTGAATGGGTCCACGGTAGAGCGTAAACAAACAAGGCGTCGCGTTACTCCCATCCATTGGGACAGTGGAGGAGTCGCGACCGGTCGCGACTCGGTCGCGACCCGTATAGACCGGTAGCGACCGGTATATACTCGTATCTACTCGCGGCGACCGGTAGCTATCGGTAGCGACCGATAGCGACTGGTAGCGACCAGTAGCGACTGAGTAGCGACTCGTAGCGACTCATCGCGACTCGTAGCGACTCAAGTAGATAGCCAGTAGCTAGGACCACAGTCAGCACTATAGAAGGAGCAGTAGTCAAGCCCTATGCATCCCCAGTCTGCTCTTGAAAACTTAACAAACTCCCCTACCACCGTATACCAATACTCCTTCTCCCACCTTTGCACCCCGTGCGCCCACCGACATTTCTTATCCGCCAGCCTAACCCCACATTCCAGCGCATACGCCCAGGACGGCGACAGCTGCGCCTCGTTCGCCTTGGTCCATGACGACGATGTAGGACGTATTTGAGCGCCCCAAGATGACGGTGACTCCGCATGACGGGCGTGAAGGAGGACGCGGCAGCCAGAAGGGATGTCGTCCAGCTCGCAGGCGAGGACGAAGATGTCGAATCGCTTATCTCCGGGGTCTCTCAGAGCGGTCATGTGGAGGATGTCCCGAGCGACCGCGTCGCATTGGTAGTGACGAGCTAGGGCGACAGCAGCGGGAGCGATGTCCCAGTCTTAGCTGTGCTGAACACCCGGCTCGGTGAGGTGTAGGAGAAAGAGCAAAACCGTTGCCTTGTTGGCGGGGACATGGAGCTCGAAGCTGGGTGTGTCTTCGTCCTTGAATCGGCTGCGAAAGAGGTTGCTAGCCCATAAGATCCATATGGTCAGTAGTTGTGTATCACTCACCTTGCTTTCTTCAAGACCCGCCTGTCCAGCTTGAACGCAATCTTGTCATCTGACAACAGCGTGATCATCCCCGACTGAAAAGCCGGCATCGACGAAGTGAGTGACGCCGCGCTCGTCTATATGGTGGCCCATCCCGCGTAGAGCATGAAGAGGAGGTCATGGCAAGTCTCTCAAGTGAGTCTCAAAAAGGTGATGGAGAAAGGAGGTTTCAAAAGGCGGTGATATAGCAGCTTCTGCTGTGTTAGCTGTGGTGGGGCTGGTCCTGCGTCGAGCTTCGAGGAGGATGTGCGCTAAGCTTTGTTCCGCGTTCAGTCTATGTACGCTACGCTATGGGACCAGCTCGGCGAGAGGAGCGGGAAAGGAGAGCTGTAGCTCTATCCCTACCACATGAGCAGCTTGCTAGCTCCGTTTTGGCTCGGAAGGCATCGAACGGATGGCTGATGACATCAGTGCTTCATGAGAGAGCGCGATCTGCATGCTCGCCTAACCCCCCCCGCTTAGGTTGACGGCTACTCTAGTCCCAGCCGGCCTCCCGTACACTCCTTCCTCCTAGCTCCACCTTGGACCCCCGATTGGAAGAGTTGGGTGACGATGATCCTGCGATATCAGCTCGTCCCCATCGCCGGTCACCAAGCTGGATTCCTAACTCACACCTGGTCACATGAACCATGAACTCCCCAACGACCGCGCTCCAGTAGTCCTTCCGTGCACGTTCCGAGACGGTGTTATCCTCAATCCCCACCCTCTTGTCCACAATATCGATTGCACAGGTCAATGCCGATGTATCAGGAGGCTGACGAGAGTCAGTAGTCAGCCAGGCACTATACCCACACATGATGATGTCGCACGTCCTCCTTTTCCCCGTGCCTGACTGCATCAAAGTGCGCCAAGATCCTCAAAGTTCTCATTTCCAGATGAGCCCAAATCCTCTACTTCTCCCTACGATCCTCCTTGCTGCGGACCCATGTATGGCGGCACGTCCAGCCACATCGACAGCAGCTGCCACATCAGCACGTCGTATTGAGATCAAGAACGCGGACATACCTGGTCCCACCCCTGATCTCCCAAATCTGACAAACCCGGCAGTGCACCCTGCATTCCCGACCCTCCATCCTGCATGCTGAACGGCATAAACGGGCTGATTCCTGCAGATACCGTCCCCATGGGCGGCGCATGATAGGCTTGATCCATCCCGCCGACCGCGTCTGGATTATTGAACCAGGAGAGCAGGTCTGTGGTAGCCTGGCTCACATCTCCGCCCATCCCGCCCATCCTGCCGTTCATCCCGGGATCTGAAGCTGATGCTCCACGCAGATCCCTGTATCCATCCGAGCCCCGAGGTGTAGCTGATTGAGGGAGGTCTGAGGATGTACGGGCGTTCGAGGTCGTCCATTGACCCTGCGGACGGGAAGCTTGACGTTGTTCCGCCAAAGACTGGAGGAACCTCGCTTGGATCTGGGCAGAGGTCTGACCAGACGTGCTCGACCCTGATGTGGCAGCTGTGGGATCGCGACGAAAAAGGCGAGAGGTATCGTTGATGGAGGTGATTGCGCGGTCGCGTTCTTGCTGAGTGAACGTGGGACTATTGACGAGCTGTACATTAGCCAAGCTGTCGAGGGGGTGAGATGTCAGACTCACTCCGCGAAGGAAGCATGCAGAGTCTGCGATATCAGTGCCCATTTAGGTAGAAAGGATAGGTACTCACAAGCTACCATGATTGACATGCTATCCTGCGCATACTGTAAGATTCGCTCATCGATCATAGACAATACCCGCAGCTGCGCCAAGCTGTTAATGGCGAGATGATAGCAGTACTGCTCGGCTTGAGCCATAGTGTTGTTGAGCGGGACGTCAGGGCTGAGGTCGTTGACGCTGCGAGCGAGGTTGACTGCGTGGCTGTTCAGATTGAGACGTATCTGCAACAAGTGAGCTCTCGCGGACGAGGAGATAGTCTGGGCGAAAACAACGACCAAGCACTTACATGCAGTTCAAAGAAGCGGAGCGTCTCCATGTAGACTGGCGGTGACCCACGGGCGCTAGTCTCGCCCTCCCAAAACAGATGCCAGTCGTCCAGGTCGAAGCTTATTGGTCAGCATAGGTTTGCTTGGATCAAATTCGCGTTGTTCTAGGCTCACTTGGCATCTGTGGATCAGCGAGAGCATCTCACTCGAGCCAGGCACGGCGCTTACTCAGTAGTGTGCGGGCGAGACCGTGTTGCTGCTCGGCCGTAGAGACCCTGCTTCTACCAGGTAGCTTGTCCGTGACTCGAGACTGATCAGTCAGCATAATGCTCCATATCGCACAAGAAGCTTACGGATATCAGTCGTAGCTCGGCAAATCCAGCAATGACCGCGTCGCCATGCTGGCGCAAGGGATGGTCAGACAGGGAACGGCAATTCTGGATGATGTCGTCTTTGCCTCTGATACACCAATCTGCGAGGTCAGCTGGGTCCACCAGAAGAAAATTGAGCCACTCACCCTTGCCAGTGACCGAAGCCAATGCGCGGTCCATCATGAACGCCCTATCGATCAGCTGCGCTCTATTGTTCAGGTTGATGACTTACAACATCCACGTCCGCACTGAGTTTCGCCTCTCCCTCTTCTGCACGTCCAACATCCCCGGCGAGTCGACGATAGGCGTGCGGTCGAGTCCGATCTCTACAGCTATGCGGCATAGCTGGCGAGTTAGCTTCGTTTTGTTCGACAATGAGAGGTAGAAGACTGACCAGACCGACATACGTCCAAGCCCTGGTGTCCCTCGGATCCTTCCAAAAGTAAATCTGCTATCAGCTCGCGTAAGCTCAGGACTTACGATCATCCAAGCCTGTACGACCTCGACAGTACGTTTCGTCCCAAGGATAGCTTGCACCGATAGCTCGCCAAGCTCCCGAGCAAGTCCACTGGAGAAGACCGGAGCGATGAAGATGGCTGCGGACGCGAGGATACTGGTGAATCTGGAGAGTCAGCCAGAGGCAGTCGGGGAGCATGGTGAATGACTGACAGGAAGGTACTGCGCGACCGGATATAGTCGAATGTATGGAGTTCAGGATCAAACAGCAGGATAATAGGGTTGAGGGTGTTGAAGAAGCTATATCATCAGCTGTGGACCGTCTCCTCCCCGCAGGAACTCACAAGTGGAACAAGGTCTGAGCGATCTCAAGCGAGATTGCCCCCTTGCTGACGATGTCCACAATCTGCTGGTCCCTCCTCCCTTGTCCTGGATGTCGAGCCGAGCCCTCCGTCGAGTCTGGTGCCGGGTGAAGTAGATGATGGAGCGAGAGCGAGCGCTGCGCGCCGGTGATGAGCGGCATGTGCTCTCCGCTTCCCTCCTCGCGCATCTCTTCATCGCTCTCTGACTCTTGGTCTCCCAGCTCGAGAGTCAAGGGGGGCTTCAGTGGACTGACGCTGAAGGGTCCGTGGGATGGCGAGGGGTTATGGGCATTGTCGCTATTGGTCGACTCGGCCGGATTGACCTTTGGCAAGTCTTTACCTCGTACCCTGCCAGATCAGCTCGTGCCTCTCTAGCCCGTCTTAGTCTCACCTTGGGCGGCCCCGCTTGTGCGTTTGTATCTCACAGACGCAACCTGTGATTCTGCAGCGATCACACTGGGCGGATTGGGGATCTGATCGTATACATTTCGCCTTGCACCGTCGGCAGAGTACACACGCGACGAAGGGAGTCCGCTTGGGAGCCATGTTGTTGTTAAGCGGGGACGCATGGGGTATGGGATGTTGTCTCTCAGACGAGTCGGTCTGGTGTGACTGTTGTGATGGCCCAGCGTCCATACTGATAGGATGGGCAAGCGTGTGATGTAGTATGGGGGCAACAGACAAGGAGCAGGCTGAAGTGAACCTCTCAGAGTGGCCGGGATATCCGGCGCCGAGGTGGCGGAGGTGACCTTCTGATGTCACACCTGTCATTCCGCCTCAGCCTATGGCTGTTAGGACGCTGCCTACGGACAATGCATCGCCTCATCTACTATATACACTCTGGCACAGGCGTCGGCCCCATGCCCTTGGTTACAAAGTCCCTCAAATTCGTCAGAGCCAAAACCTCCATCTTGCGCCTCGCATCTTGGTTCTCCGTCCCGACGTGGGGCAGCAAAGTCACATGGGGCATGTCGATGAGCCTCTGATCCACCTGCGGCTCTTTGACAAAGACGTCGAGACCGACCGAAGAGAGCTAATCATCAGCCAAGTCCAGACAGACACTCACATGTCCATCCTGGAGAGCCTCAATCATCGCCTCCTCGTCAATGATCGGCCCTCGGGCGGTATTGACCAGCATCGATCCCTTCTTCATCGACCTGATCTCCTTCTTTCCCACCAGCCCCCTGGTCTTCTCATTCAGCGGGCAGCTGACAAACAGCACGTCCACTTGACCCAGCATCTCGTACATGTCCGACACGTAGGTCAGATCTTCCGGCGCCTGGGCGTTTGGCTTGCGATTGTGATAGATCATGCGCATACCAAAGGGACGGATGTAGTTGACAAAGGTGATACCGATAGATCCGAGGCCGAGGATACCGATGGTCTTGCCGCTGAGGTCGAAGGAGGACTGCTCGACGCCGGGAGGGGTGAAACCGCCAGCTCGTAGATGCGCTTCGGCCATGCTGAAGTGCCGCATACAGGAGATCAGTAGATAGACCGCGGTAGTAGCTGTTGCCTCGTTGACCGCGCCTGGCGTATTGGAAACGATGATTCCTAACATCAGTCTTGCACCTCTTCAGACTCACCCCTCTTCTTGGCTGCTTCTACATTGACCGAGTCGTACCCAGCTCCCTTGTGTGCGAACCACTTGCACGACTCGGGCAGAGCTTCCATCATAGCCGCGTCGGGATGACCGACGAGCTTGGCGGAGAGATGCTCGTGGTAGATCCCGACCACGTCCGAGTATTCCCCTCCCGGAGCGAACTGCTGAAAGAGTTGCTCTCGGCTGTCTGACTGCATGTGCTGTACTATCAGTCACGTCTCGTCATGAGTGCAGCCTACTCACCACTATCTCGGCTACTGGACTGAGCAGATCCTCGCACTCCTTCTGCGCCCATACCAGCTTCCCTACACGATCAGCTAGACCTCGAGCGGGGAAATGAAGGGACTTACCCATGATCAGGATTTTTGGTGCCATCTTTGCTTCTGTAACCTTCCTTAGATGGATCTAGTGCTCAGTCGAATGTCGATGTTGGCGGTCGCGTGCGGTAGTAGCCTGTAGCTAGAGGTCAAACTAAGACTCCATGTCGCCTCACAAGGCTGGTCGCTGCCTCCGCACACTCGTGACTCCGGAGATAACCTTAACCTTAACTCCGGCTCCGGTCGCCGGCCGCCGATTAGCCGGTGCTGTCAAGTGACCGGTACCTTGGCCTCGGCGACTTTTACGCTGACTTCCTACTCCACGCCATCGTCACTGGTCCCATGCACCAAAGAGAGATGACATGGTATAAGATGTACAGGATACAGCTTCCTGCGCCACCTATACCACTCCGCCACCCACATATTCACCATGAACGACCAATCCCTCATCCAGCTCAAGCGCGATATCGCCGCCTCCATCCCCGACTTTGAGGCCAAGGTCACCCGGGCGTTCTCTGAGGTCATCTCGGAGCTCGCGCGAGTCAACGCCGATATCGCCGCCAAAGGCCCAGACTACATCCCCTCGGTCAACTCGTCAGACCTCTCCTCCCTCGACCCCTCCACTATCGATCATCTCAAGCGGACCGGTACCTTTATCGTCCGCTCGGTCGTTCCTCGGGCGGAGGCGGACCAATGGCGCAACGACCTCCGCTCGTTCGTCGATGCCAACCGGTCCACCGTCGAGGGTACACCGGCGGAGAACCCCCAGTACTTTCAAATCTTCTACACCAAGCCGCAGGTTGCTGCTCGGGCGCATCAGGGCGTACTCGCTACCCAGACCTGGTGTAACAACCTCTACTCGCACTCGGCGGAGGCGGAGCCGGTCGACCTCTCTACCCCTCTCACCTATGTCGACCGGTTCCGGATGCGCCAGCCGGGCTTCGCATGGGGCGCACACCCTCCACACATGGACGGCGGAGCGATCGAGCGCTGGCGGGATCCCCGTTTCCGCTCTTGCTTTACGGATATCCTCAACGGAAACTGGAAGCAGTACGACTCGTACAGTCTCAAGGGACGGATCGGCGGTACCACCTCCACTCCCGGCCAGCCCAACCAGGCTAGCGTCTTCCGCACCTTCCAGGGCTGGCTCGCCGTCTCGGAGACCGCTCCAAGCGAGGGTACGCTCAAGGTCTTCCCTGCCATCCAGCTCAGCACCCCCTATATTATCCTCCGTCCCTTCTTTACCTGCACCGTCGACCCTTCGGGTCCGGGAGCTCTGGACGCCAAGAACTGGAAGTTTGGTAAGTCAACCCTGTCTTTGCGGTCATGACTTGGCTGACCCTCAGACCTCTCTCAGCCCGACTTTCAAGGCGTGAGCCGAGACGACTCTGCCGGTGTCGCCGGTGCCGCCCGTCCCTTCGAATTCAACCCTGTTACCCACCCCCACCTCTCCCTCGAAACCTCCATGATCTCCGTCCCCCGCGTCTACCCCGGCGATATGGTCTTCTGGCAAGCCGATGTCGTCCATGCCGTCGAGAAGGAGCACAACGGCAAGGGCGACTCGTCGGTCATGTACATCCCCGCCGTCCCCGTCTGTCCCCAGAACATCGAGTACGTGGCAAAGCAGGCGGCGCTGTTTGAGAAGGGATGCCCACCCCCAGACTTCCCGCAGGGTCGGACGGAGCTGGAGTATGCGCTGCACGCCACCAAGGAGGATGTAGGGTCAGATATGGCGAGGAGGGCGATGGGTCTGGCGCAATAAGGAGGGGATACAGCTTGGCGTCAGCAAGAAGGGAGAACTGGTGGAAAGGACAGGAGTTGAAGTAGGAACGGGGAATGGGATACTCCGAGTAGACTCGTTAGCGATACAATGTATATCTTTCCTAAAACTTGTCTTGAGGTCTAAAGAATCAGTAATGAGTGATAAGCGCGATACATCAGTACTGACCGACCCGATCCAATCCGACATCATTCATCCTCCTCATCGAACTGCACACCACACCCAAACGCTCGACCTCGGCGATCCCACGCCCATCTTCTACGCCGCCTTACTGCTCAACCACTCCCTCATCGGACCCCATCCCACCGCACTGATTTCTACCCCTCTCCGATTCCACTCCGCCTCGCTCGCCCCCTCAATCTCCCGCATTCGCGCAAGCACCTCCACGGGTACCACCGGTTCCGCATCGCTCCACTCATCGTCGGCCTCTGAATACGCCGTGTAGTCCTGCCAAACCCGCTCCCCAACACTCAAGAATCCCTCCATACCCTCCATACCAGTCATATGTGGTAGCCACATCGTGTAGTCCTGCTTTGGGAAGGTTGGACTTTGATCCTCCACCTCAACCTCCCGCAGCTGCATGCGGATATGGTAAATGAGCGCCGAGGGATGCCCGACGAGGTGGTAAGAGCGGCAGAAAGCAGTGATGTCTCCAGAATCCAGAATGACGTGGAGATCTTCGGCCCGGCCAACGTCTCCGGACCGCGATCTGTCTCGGACGAGATGGACGATACCCAATTTTGGGGCATGCCGCGCATCGTACGAGTAGCCTCGGGGTACCGATTGTGCGAGAGACGTAGGGGCGTAGGAGGGGCTTCGTGGATGAAGAGGCTGGATATGAAGGCGCAGTCATAAACGAGGGACTCGAGTTGAGGTAGAGGCGGCACTCGAATGAGCTAGACGTCAGCGCGTGTCAAGATCGGTAGGGAAAGCTTAACAGCACACATTTTCGGACCACCGACAGTGCCTCACCACCAGGATCCTCAAATTCTTCCCAAAATCACATCTGGACCTGCGCCACAGCATCTTCCTTACGTGGTATAGCTCACCCGAATAATCGAGATACTCCAGCTGATCTAGTTGACCCAGGGCCAAGAGGTATTCGCCGTTGTCTATCTCGAGTTCTCGAGTACCGAGCGGTCAGAGTACGCCGTAGCGAGCTGCCGTAGAGCCGGGCTGTGCTCGACAACGCTGGCGAATACGTCAAAGTCTGCCGTGGTCGACATGCCTGTTCCCTGCAGGAAGGAGAGGCTCGCCCGCCGGAGTTTGGTGTCTCGCTCGAAGGCGGGAAACGAGGGTTTGCGGGCGATTGATCTCGGGCTCCAACGTTTCTCCGTGTAGATAGAAACCTCGAGCGACTCGAGGTTTGGAGCGGCGTTGCAGATCATGGGGATGCACCTCGCATAGTACATCGCCGAATCGGCGAGTTGGAGTGAGGTGAGCGAGGGGAAGTGGATATTTCGGCCGAGGAAGGATTTGGCGAAGAGCTCCGTGTCCCGTAGTCCCTCCTCATTATCCTGCAAGGATTGCACCGATCCGCTGATTTCCAGCTTTCTCAGCAATCCCGCCGCCCGTGATATCACCTCCACCATACTCTCCACCGACCCCGGAATGGGGCCAAATCGGATGCTGCGCACAGCTGACCAATGCCTACTGCCCGCCTCATCCCCAGCTTCCAACACCCGAGCCATGATCGCCTTCATACCGTCTCGGTGCCAGTTGACCTGGGCGGCCTTGAGCAAAGCATGAGCGGCCGGTTCGCCAGCTCGTTGACGAGCCCCGCGCGTTTGGATGCCTTGGGGGATCGGAGGGGTCCAGACTGGGAAATGATCGGGGATATGGAGGGTGAGTTCTCGCCAGATGCCAGACTCGGCACCGAAGGTGAGGAGGCGGGAGGTTCTCGCCAGGGCGTTGGCTGAGTGCCGGTCGAGGAGGACGGCGATGGCAGAGATGACCTCATGAGGGAGTGAGGTGAGATTGGCGCGGGGAGCCGGTGTCGATCTTGCGTCCACCTATATCGTGAGCGGGAAGCTTTTCGTTGAGCAGGTCATACTCAAGGACTCACCATATCTGGTGTGAGGCTGGACAGAGAGGGATCGACAGGGGAGTGAGGGGGAAGAGGGGTGAATCAGAAAGCGATAGATCTTGAATTTCGAAGACAAGATCGGACCGCTAGTGATCGCGGAGGCAGGACTCGTGACAGTGAACTACCTTAATGGTGGGGATAGTGGTCGGAAAGCGATGTATAGTGTATGCTGGATGTAGATGGAGCTGATAAGATCAAGATAAGGTGAAGTTGTCTCGCGAGAATTTCGGCACTCGACGCGTCAACATTCCTCAATCAGGCGGGTTCTTTGAGCTGTCCTTTGCAGACTGAGCTCCCCTCTTACTACAGGAAGTATCGTCCCCACGGGTGATAGCATCACTGGAGGGCCAACAGCAGTGTAGGTGAGGCAGAAGGGGTCAGAAGAATCAGGTACATGCTACATTTACGTTCGATCTACAGCAAGAAGTCCCCGCCCGTCTCCTTCTTCAACAGCTCAAATTCTGGCTGGAACTGATCGAGTCAGCTGAGCTCAGTCGAAAGATTGGTCCCACTCACGTTGTTGTACATGGTCTCCCAGTACCCATTGCTCGCCTGGGTATACGCCGCGTCCTCGGCCGCAATGATGGTCTTGGGCAGCCCATTCTTTGCAGCCGCCTCGATGACCAGCTGCTGCTTGCACGTCTTTTCCAAGAGGCAGAAGAGGTAGATGCACTCGTCGACCGTGCGACCCACTGCGATGTCAGCCAAGTCCAAGCGAAAGCTAGTTACAAACTCACAAGTCAAGAGGCCATGGTTCTGCATGATACAGCAAAGCGCCTTCTCGCCGAGCGCGTCGGCAATGTTGTTGCCCTCTTGGTCGCTGAGGATGATACCGCCGTAATTGGAGTAGGTCGAGAGGTTGTTGTGGAAGAGGCAAGCGTCCTGCTGCATGATGTCGATAGGCTTGCCGAACGCGGCCCAGGTCTTGCCGTAGAAGCTGTGGCAATGGGCAGCTGCGACAGCATCCGGGCGACGCTGGTGCAGAGTGTGGTGAAGGACGTAGCCGGCCTCGTTGATGGGAAGCTGGGCGCCGTGCTCCGTGACATAGCCATCAGGTCCTACGAGGACAAGGTCTGAAGCCTAGACATCAGCATAATACATGGGATACGAGGTTCGGACCCACCTTGATGAGAGAGAAGTGCATTCCAAAGGGGTTCATCCAGTAGTGGTCCGGCATGACCGGGTCCCGCACCGTGATGTGCCCCGCCGTGCCCTCCCCAAAGCCCATCTTGCCCCAATACCGGAAGCTCCCCGCCATGTGCGCCTTGATCCACTTGCGCTCCTCGTGCTTGTCCTCGAAAGTCGGCACACCAGGCATGCGGATCGAGCCCTTCTTGTCTCCCCGCCAGACCCGGTTGAAGGGGTTCGAGTCCAGGTCCCGCTTGTGCGAGTTCTGAGGCTGGACCGGCTCCGAGACCTGGACATCGGGTCCGCCACGCAGGATGAGCTTGGCGTTGGCGATGGCGCTCTCGACCATGGAGGGAGTAGAGGTGGAAGCGCTGGTGGTTGCTGCGACGGGTGCCATGTTGACCTAAGTGTAAGTGTAGAGTGAGAGTGGCGAGATGTCAAGTCAGAACAGATGAGCTCCTTCCCGCTCCTAGATCTATACCTCTTGTCAAACCGCGCTAGGCGACATCTGCAGTGCCCCAAGCCGGCCAATACACCGAGGATCCAGCTTGCGCCGCTATCGGCGAGTAGATGATAGGTGAGCATCCAAGTCGCCGATGACAGCGATAGGTGAAGCGCGGAAATAGAGTTTGTCCGGCCCCGGCGATATTCGATAATCCGGCCCGGAACTCGCCGGAACTCCTGCGCCCAAACCCGGTTTGTTGATCGCTGCTCTCTCCTCCCTCCTTCGTCATGGTCGTCCACGCCTTACAAGTCACCGTAAGACACTATGACAGTCGGCAGTCTTCTGACACGGCCCCGCTGCTCCTCATATATAGCAGATCGGGGCTCCGACTAACTCCCCATCTGACCCAATCACACCTGCAAGATGTCAGATATCCAGAAGACTGACTCTCGCGTCGCTCAAGTCGAGGACATCGAGCCAGTCATCTATGGCAACCAATATGACGACCTCGTCTCGAGCCTGCTCGCCAGCGACAAGACGCCCTGGTACCAGAAGCCCAATCTGCGCCGGCTATATCTGCTTTTCATCGGGAGTGTGCTCTGTGTGGAGACCACGTCGGGGTACGATGCGTCGGTCCTGAACGGTCTTCAAGCGGTACCAAGATGGACAGCTTGTGAGTTTACTGCTATGTTGTCGCTGCAAGATGCTGACCTTCAGACTTTGACAATCCCGTTGGAACTATGCTCGGTCTGATCGGCTCCATGTACGCGCTTGGAGTGAGTCTCCCGTCTGTGCTTTGCTGGTCGGTCGCTGACTCGCAGGCCATCGTCTCGGTTCCCTTCGTCCCCATCATTGCCGACAGATTTGGTCGTCGTCGTTGTACTCAGCTAGGCTGTCTCATTCTTTTGCTTGGTGCTGGTCTGCGTGAGTTCTGTTTCCAAAACCCCGCGTACCAGGCTGATGACTCAGAGGCTGGATCTATCAATACTCCCATGTTCATGGTCGCTCGAGTCATTATCGGAATAGGAATCACTCCTGCAATCGTCGGCGCGTCCAACCTCATCAGTGGTGAGTTGGTCGATTTGGGTGGCGGGGCCGAGCTGACAACCAGAATTGGCGCACCCCAAGGAGCGCGCTCGACTTGGATCACTCTTCAACGCCTTCTTCTTCACTGGTCAGTTTATCCCATCACATCTTAGGAGGATGAGCTGACGTTCAGGATCCTCTCTCGCGGCCATCATCACCATCGGGACTTTCAAGATGCAGAATGACTGGGCGTGGCGTATTCCGAGTCTTCTCCAGTCTCTGCCTGCTATGGTCTCTCTGATCTTTATCAACTTCATCCGTAAGTCTTCTCCTCCATCCAGACTGCCCCGAGCTGATATGACAGCCGAATCGCCTCGATGGCTCGTCGCCAAGGGTCGCGCCGACGAGGCGTTCGCCATCCTCGTCAAGTACCATGCCGAGGGGGACGAAAGCTCCGAGTTTGCCCAAGCCGAATTCGCCCAGATCCAGCAGACCATCGCTCTCGAAAAGGAACTCAGCAAGCAATCTTGGATGACCCTGCTCAAGACCAGCGGGAACCGGAAGCGCACACTTATCGCCGCATTCCTTGGTCTCGCCACCCAGTGGTCCGGTAACGGTCTCATGTGAGTTATAAGACACTTCATCGTTGTGCCTCAGCTGACCGGACCAGTTCCTACTATCTATCCCCTATTTTAATCAACGTCGGTATCACCGACTCGCAAACCCGGCAGGTCATCAACCTCGGTCTCACCCTCTGGGGCGCCATCACAGCATTCACCATCGCCTTCCTCGCCACCCGTTTCCCCCGTAGGCGGATCTACCTCGCCTGCACCCTCTCCATCCTTACCGTCTTTGCCCTCTGGACCGCCTTCTCGGCCCAGTACGCCGCCACCGGTTCCAAGGCATGGTCCGGCCTCGTCGTCACCCTCGTCTTCCTCTACCAGCCCTGCTACAACTTGGCCTTCAACGCCTTGTCGTACGCCTACCTCCCCGAACTCTTCCCCTACCAGATGCGAACTCGCGGCGCGTCCGTCTTCCAGTGGTTCTCTCGCGCCGCCCTCTTCCTCAACACCTTTGTCAACCCGATCGGGATGGCCAACGCGGGGTGGAAGTACCTCACCTCGTACTGCGTCTTCATAGCGTTCGAGGTGTTGTTCATCTACTTTATGTTCCCGGAGACGTACGGCCGGAGCATCGAGGAGCTTGCCTTCATTTTTGAAGATTCGGCGCAGGATGAGAGGAGTAAGCGGGTCAACCAGGCGGTGGTGGAGCGCAAGGACTAGGGAGTAGTTTATTTTGGCTGCCAATGTATATTATTCGAGGCTCGCTCTTTGGGTCACTTGAAAAGCAGCTGCAGATTTACAGACGTTCGCACCCATCTCATATTGCAAGAATTTCGCCCGTCAAGTGCTAGGTTCATGATCGGCCTGATGAGGGGCTCGCCTTATATAGAATGACGGAGATTACCAGGTGTACCCCGTCGGGATTTCGGTGTACCCCTTCAGTGCTTCACCTGGATCTGTAAGGGGGCGGTGGTCTGCACAGGACGCGGACAAAGTCGGAGTCACCACTGTGGCTTGGCAGGGTCTGACGCATATGCGGCGCTCAGCCCAGTAGGCGCCACCCTCGATACCTGTACAACACTGGCTGTCCAATATGGATGTCAGTACCGCGCTCGATCAGAAGCACGCCATGTATGCACTTGATGTCTAGGAGAGGCATGGGAAGGGGTGTGGGTGTCTCGAGCAACGGCAGCAACGGTAAGGGCATGACATATCTGGAATGTCAGCTGACTTCCCGCCTTCAAGCCCGCCACTATAGCGGCAAAGACCCACGATTGAAGAGGTAATGTCTCTCTCGGCGTATTCGCGATCTCATTCCCCCTATAGTCAGACGGGTATTCCATGTCCCTCAATGGGCATGGAGGTGTGTAGTTTTGATTGGTGGTAGCTTTAGGTACGAAGTGTCAGACTTGAAAAGACTGGGCATCTGGATCAACTGAATGACCTCATCAGCCCCGGAAGGTCCAGGTAGGTTGGTATATTCGCGACCTGGTCCCCCCCCTGTTGTCTAAGGGGTATTTCTTGTCTCCCAGTGGGCATGGAGGCGTGTAGTTCTGAATGATAATAGATTTGGCTACGAAGCATCAGACTTGAAAAGACTGGGTATCTGGATCGACTGAATGACCTGATAAGCCGCGTCAGGTCAGGATTGTCTAATGAAATTGTAGCCCGACAACCCCCCATAGTCTATGGGGTATTCCTTGTCCCCCAACGGGCATGGAGGTGTACAGTTCTAGAGGGTCATAGCACTGGGCTCTAAGTCCTATCATCTCAAAGATGGGGCTCCTGGATCACCTGAATGACCTGATCCGCCCCGGCAGAGGAAGGTAGTTCCATGTTTTGGCAAACTGGTCCCCTTATATACTAAGCGGCACTCCTTGTCCCCCAGTGGGCATGGAGGCGTACAGTTTTGCACAATGGTAGCGTTGAGTATTGCATCTCTTGATTGTTGAAGCTCCGGCAGCTGGATCACCTGAATGACCTGATAAGCCGTGTCGGGTACGGCTCAGGTGCTGGAATACGGCAGTCCGATCACCATATAGTCAGAGGCCCAGGCCCGTGGCATCCACTCCAGATGTCCCAATTTCAACTTGTCGGCATATGTGATGGTCCTATACAGCAGTATCCTCACTAGACGCTCCGACGCCCTATCATAGCAAGGTCAAGACTCGGGAAGCGGGTTCCGCACACCCTACAGATGAGCTTTGGAACGTCAGATTCTTGCCGAGTGACATATACAAGGTGAACTTCCCGCCTCGTCTGTAAATAACCTCTCTCCGGACCTGACCAGCGCAAAGTCACCTATGTGGTCACCGGCAGTTGATACATCGATCTATTACCAGGCAGATCGAGGTGGAACGTCGCCACTCGCGGGAAGATGAAACACACGGGGTTTTACGTCATATGAGTGGTTTACGTCACGTGACGTCACGAGCGGAGCAAGGCAATCGTGTTCCAGAATCCCTCTGAGGAGTTGCAGTTATACATCTCTTCTGCCCCCAAACCAGTATGAGCAGCCAGACAGCATAGCTCTACCATAAGCGCAGTCACTGGTCACTCTGCGCGAGTAGCCCCGATACAGACACAAAGACGGCTCGCGCACAAGCTGACACTCGAGAAGTGCGGATCGGACGCGAATGCGAGCGTGTAGTGCATGTAGTATGGGCCCATTAGGCAGAGTCGCTCAAGTCGAGGACATCGAGCCAGTCATCTATGGCAACCAATATGACGACCTCGTCTCGAGCCTGCTCGCCAGCGACAAGACACCCTGGTGACAGATTCAATCGACTCTACTGGATCAGCCCGATTGTGCTGAGGGAGACACGTCGAGAAGGGATGGACTCACACTTGCTCAGAAACGTCATAAACTCTCCGCAGACCGCAATCCAGTAATCCTCACTGATCCGCTCAGATCCGGCTTGCCCCGCAATCTTCCGTTTCCGATCCACCTCCTGGACTGCGCAAGTGAGCGCCCAAGTCCAGGCGGGTGACAGGCTTGCCGCTTGGCGGGTCGTCCATGCTCCGCTATTGGGGCGAAGCGAGATACAGTTCTTCATACCTCTCTCCCCATGGTTGCCGTTACGCAAGATTCGCCAGGCCGCCAAATGATGTGATAGCTGGCAAGCCTCGGCCAGGGCTTCGAGGCGATAGGGACCCAGATCGTACTGGCAGCCTGTGTATAACAGCTTTCTGGCGACTTCGGGGCAGTCGTACTGTCTCGCGATCTGGATAGCCGCCGCCAAGTCATACCAGGGCACAGTTATTGATGCCGACGGTTCTCGGACGATAGACAGGAAGATCTCTAGGATTTCGCGGCTTGCGTCCATGTGCACCTCGGACCCGCTCACAGCAGACCCGGCGAACATGTCTCGAAAGACACAGCTGGTACTATCAGGTACTATCAGTATGGTCTAAGGCATGAGTAGCAGGATCTATTCACCTCACGTCAGCCAAACGGGACCTTGCATTGAGAGGCGGAAGGCATATTTATCGGCGGATAAGAGGACGATATCGCCGTCCGAGTGAGCCTCGACGCGTGGTGAACGGTACCCTTCGCGTCGGTATGCTTCCGCTTGTCGACTGGAGAAGGTATGGTGAGGTGGACAGAGGAAGGATGGTCATTGCATGATTCTCAAAAAGAAGCGGGCACGGAACTTTCGCATGGCCACATTAGTGGCCCTTTGCCCTGGTTCTGTTCAGTCCTCTTCTCAGCTGCTCAGTCTCGCTCAGCTCAGTATCTTCGTCAATGTCAGTAGGTGATAGGGGACAGAGTATCTCATCTTCTTATCTACGCATATTACGCTATACCCCTCCCAACCCGCACACTCTACCTTCCCCTCTCAGTGCGCCAGCTATTAATCCCGCCATGACGATGATGTATTGCTGAAGTCTTGTCTCTAAGTGATCAGCTCGAGCAGCAAAGATAAATGAGGCGAGAACTCACAAGAGGTCATCCTGCTCATAAAATCTCCGACCACCGCCGTCCAGTACGCATCCCCCGTCCTGTTCCCATCTTCATCCAACTTGAACAGCTTATCCGCCCACTGCACCGCACATGTCAACGCCCATAGCCACGCCGTAGACAGACCGTCCACATCCTTGGCCGTCCAGCTCTGCGACGCCGGGCGGAGGGATGCGCCTTTCCCGCTTCCCGACGTCTCACTGGGCCCCGCCCGCTTGAGGAGTCTGCACGCCGCTTGGAGGTGGTCGGCCTGGCACGCGAGGACGAAGGCCGCAAAGCGGTGCTGTTTCGGATCGTACAGGCTCGACTGGTATAGGTATTGATCGGCCAGAGAGGTGCATTCGTACTGACGGAGGAGGTTGCAGACGGGCAGGATTGAGTTCCAGTCGGTGTTGACGAAACGGGAAGGATACTGTTTAGGGAGGATGTGGTTGAGGAAAAGTTCGGTCATGAGGGCGTCTACGCCCAGGTGCAGCTCGCCGTCTTTGAGGCTATCGTTGGCAAACATCTCGCGGAAGACGGGACTACTTGATCAGCTTCATGGCCCGTCTGGATGAAGCAGAAAGGACGTACCTCACGTCAGCCACTTGAGCCTTGAGACAAGGGTAGGCCCATCTGAATGTGCCGCGGCTGAGCAAGACAAAATCGCTTTCATCGTTGTCTTTGAAGTCCCGGCAGATTGTGTATTCTAGACCTCGGGCGTCCCAGCATTGGGGCATTTTGAAATGGGGAGAGCGAAAGATGAGGGTGATGGGCAGAAGCAGAACTTGATATCGGGCTGCGATGGCATCAACCACACTCGTCAGGTACCATACATACACAACTATGCGTCATAGCTGACGTACCTGGATCTAAATCGTCCGTCATCATGCAGGAGCTTGCAGGAGTCAGAATCATTCCGCAACCGCGCTGCGTCTATCAGCAGACCTCTTTATCGACACAGGGCGCAGCACGAAGCTTATACTCACGATCGACTCTGTCCATGCTGATCGATAACATGTCCACTTTCAGCAACTCAAGCGCATTGTTGTCCTGCAATGTCAGCTCACGCTTCTCACTGTGGTATCAACTAGGCAAGACTCACCAATACCTCTAATCCTCATCCAATCCCAAATCTCCCCACAAAACCCCCAAAAACCCCTCCGCCAACGGCACATCGACCTTCACATCCTCCCACCCCTCTCCCTCCTTCATCTCCACCAGCGCCCTTCCCGTCTCTTCTTTACTAACCACCTCCCCCTCTATCGCCTCCCTCCACATCCGTCCAAAAGCCCGACGCGCGCGCTCGTCCCTATCTGACCTGGTCGCGTAATTTTCGCACGTCGTCTGCCAGGCCCTTATCAGAGTATCCATCCTTCCCATACCCTCCGAGACGTCTCGTATAGCCTTGACAGCGCCCCTTGTGAGATCCGCCAGCTGACCACCCGGGAGATAGTTGACCGAATAAGCCGAACAGAGCGTCGCTACCGCCTTATCCGCCGCCGTAGGGTACTCCGCCCCATCCTCCGCCGTAGAGCTCCCATCGAGCTCCCGAAGCTGCCGCATGAACCCCGGATTAGGCTCCGCTTCTTCCCGGACGGACCTGACGAGGGCGAGGGCGGACGCGAGCGAGTGACCATAGTTGAGCATAAGGGTGGAGAGGACGAAGGTGACGCTGCGGGAGATTCCGAATTGACAGTGTATGAGTGTTCGGCCGGGTCGTCTTCCGTCCCTTATTTCTTTTCTTCTCTCTTCTCCTGCTCCGGAGGCCACCTGGTCCCCATCCGCAGCCCACACCCGCGTCGCCTCCGCCTTGGCCACAAACCCAGCCACCTCCCCAAAGTACAGACTCAACACCTCGTACCCCCGATCCCGGCACCCAATGGTCAGGTACCGAATCCGATCCGGGTGCGCATTAGGACAGCCTGCGGCTACGTTGACGATGTGCGTGATGCCCGCTGCTTCGAGTGCGGGGAGGGACGAGGCGGCGGCGTGGTCGCTTAGGTAGAGGGAGGGGGTGATTTGCGCGAGAGGCGTAAAGGAGGAAGGCATCTTGGCCGAGCGAGCTGCAGCAGCGAGCAATCCCTGTGGTCGGGTGTGCGATCCCCGTGTACTATCGAGCTTGTTAAGGATAGATGAGATAGCTACAGTGCGCATGAAGCTGGCCACCAGCCTGGTGTTCCCCGTGTGTTTCATGTCGCACGGATCAGAATGGGGAGATAACGCCGTAAATTCCCGTGTTCCGGGTGGGGTGCATTGTCACACATTCACCTTCACACTGGCCTTCTCTCCCTCAGATCCCCAGAGTAACCCCTATACTCAAGTCTTCCTATCATGACGCCCACCCCTCTTACCTGCTCAGCGCCGACGTCCGCCAGCCCAGCCCAGAGAATACCCTGCTCGCCATTGCCCGCAAGAACCATCCAGCAGCTCAAACCAGCCCACAACCTCAAATCCTCAAAATCTCACTTCTGTATATCCCCAATGCATATCATTACACCCCAAAGCCCTCTACCGCTCCCCTCTCTACTCATCCGGAACGATCGTTTCCCCGTTGTCGATGGATTCGATGATATCGTGAGGGGGCTTGCCGTCCACTGTGCACCCGACCGACTGGGCCGTACCGAGGATCTCCTTGACTCCACCGGCGAGGTTCTTGGCTAGGGATTTGTGGGCCATTTTGCGTGCGATCTAGAGGGAGAAGCAATCAGCATTGTGCCCAATCGTACAGACAATTACTCTGTGCTGCCTCGCAGACCCCCGCACAATGCTGAAAAACTCACAGTGTAGATCTCGTCAAGAGCAATGTTACCGGTGTGCTTGATGTTCTTCTCCTTCTTGCGGTCACGTGGGGGCTCTGCAGAGTCAGCGATTGGTCCAGACAGGAGTGCGACTAGAGACCCGTCCTATCAACGCAACATTCTCATGTAGCCCGTGACCACCCCGGTCTTCCTAGCCAGTAGAACCTCCGGCACCGCCTATATGGCCAAGTCCATCCCTTCCCCTTGCCCATATCGCCCTCCCCCAGCTGCAGCTATCCTGGTCAATCCCATGATCCCATCCATTCATCCATTCCCGAACCTCCTCCACACCTCTCCCTGAGTCCCCCGTCTCCAGCCCATACCCCACCCGACCCAATCATACCCGGCCAAAACTCACCCTTAAGAGCCTTGATGACCAACGAGCTCGCACTGGGAACAACCGCCACAGTCGCCTGACGATTTTGGATGGTGAGCTGGACGGTGACCCGGAGACCCTTCCAGTCGCCGGTCGCCTTGGCAATGTCTTCTCCGACCTTCTTGGGGGACTGGGGGGTTAGCGGGGCTTTCAGGGGAGTGTGTGGGTCTGTGGACACCGTATCATGATCATAAAGTCGTCGTCCAGACCAGGCAGGTAGCCTCGGCCACTCCTGATCTATCCGTACAGCTCGATCCTTTCCCCCGCCACTGTCCGCCGCCTCTCCAACCGACCTCTCCCCATATTGCCCATCGCCACCATCCACTTGCTTCCCATCCACACCATCCATCCAGAGCAGAGAAACCACACTCACCAAACCAAGAGGACCAATCTTCGGCGCCAAAGCCGACGAGGCACCGACCTCACCACCGGTAGCCCGGAGGTAGATGATCTATTTGGGCGAGCGAGCGAGCGGTAGAGAGCGAGAGAGATAGAGCGAGCCGAAGTATATGGGCGGGTAGATTCGAGAGCGACAGAAGTGTGATGGGTGATTCGCAAGAGCGTATAGGTTGATGCAGGATAGTCGAGTTGAAGAAGGATCTAGATCAGCGATCTTCTTTATAGCATGATCCCCTCATCCCCTCGCTCCCTGCGACGTCCGCCAATAGCCTACAGCTCCCGAGCCCTCCCTTCCGCACATCCATGACAGCCATCTCTGGCTAGCCGCCTATCTTCCCCCTCCGTTCCGTTCCGTTCCCTTCCCCCTTTCCTCTCTTCTCCCCAATCCCTCTATATCTCCCTATATCTCCGCCTTATCTGTCGACCCGGGCGCGTACTAACCTTGATCTCGGTAGGGTCGATCTTGGGGGGCATAGCGACTGATGTATGTGGTGGATAGGTGAATCAGAGGAAGAGAGAGAGCTTTTGATGCAGGTCTCGAATGATGGTTGGCTGGAGCGGCGGTGGTGCGGTGGACGAAAAGCGAAGTAAGAGGGGGGGTCGGGTAAGGATGAATGAGGTAATCCCCCTGCGGGAAGGGGGAGTTTCGGACTTTGGAGGGCGGGATCTTATCGCCGATACTTGCGGGCAGGTGCATTCCTCGTTGCGGCAGCAGGGCTACTGTATGAGCCCAGAGCACTCCAAGACGCAGCTTCAGCGCGAGCGGTAGTTCGGTCGGTCCAACGGTAGCCTACAGCATGCACAGCCCCTTGGTGCGACCCGTATCAGAGCAGATCCGGAACACACATCCATACGAGCACTACAGAACTAGCCTCAACGCCCAATTCCCCCATCCTACACCCCAAACCCATCCATCCAAGACCATCCCTATCCTTCCGGCGAGACGGCTCATGAACGATTGGATTAACGGTATCGGCGGAGAGAGAGGCTGTGGGTCAGCACAAGAACGAGACCAGTCAAATCTCCAATCTCCGTCCTCTGCTGCCCATCCCCTGCTGGCCTCGATTTCCATCCTGCTCCGTTTCTCACATCCCAGTCCGCTCTGACCCCGCTGTGTAGACCTAAACTCACGTGTTGTGCTTCTTCCAAGTCGCCCGGGCGGGGGTGTGGTTGTGCTTGGACCCCTTGCCCAACCCCCTGTTCTTCTTGCCCTCGGCGGTGAGACCTCGGGACTCGCGGTGCTTGTGCACGGGGTTGACGATCCAGTTGATACGGGCGTCGCGGCGGATGGCCTTGTGTTGGGGGCTGCGGGGAAGAGCGAGCGAGCGAGAGAGCAGAAGGAGAATAGGCGAGGAAGAGGACAGGTAAAATTAGGTAAAAAACGAATTTGAGGAGTAGAGAAGAAGAGACAGATCAGCGCAGTTCTCTTGCTCGAACAGAAACCAACTCACTCGACAAGGATGACCTCGTAGTACTTGTACACACCGTCCTGGTTGATCCAGTACGAGTTGAGTCTGCCCATCAGCCAAAGTTCCCCCTTTCACCCCATTCCCTAATTCCGCGCTCAACTCACACTCGCAAGTTCCCACACCGTCTCCCCACTCTCTCCTCGGCAATGCTCCTCAGCCCCCTCTGGAACTTGAGGTGGTTCACCCCCTGTCTCACGGGTTTACCAAACGTCGCGCCCTTCTTGACCGGCTTCTTGCGGTTCCCCCTGCGCACCCGCACCCGGTAGATCAAATAACCCTGCTTGGCCTTGTATCCGAGCCGGCGCGCCTTATCGGGGCGCGAAGGACGGGACGCGCGGTGGATGACGGCGAGCTGGCGGTATTCCCAGCATCGGACACGCGAGACGAATTGGAGCACGTCCGACTGCTTCTTGGTGTAGAGCTCGGTGAGATATTTGTAGGCACCCATCTGAAGCGTCAGCTTGCGGGAGGGACGGGCAGGGGTAGAGGTGGTATAGCTGACCTTGACAAAACCCCCTGGATGGATAGAGAACAGGCAGCAAGAGCTCGTCAGAAAAGATTGCACCCAGCCAGCCAGCAGCCAGCCAGCGAGAGAGCGGGGCCGACGGAAATCACACCCAAAGATGGAAATGCCGAAAAACTCCGAGGGATGTGGCGGTTTTTGGCGGAAACAAGCGTGGGAGATCTTGTTTCGCCCCACCTAGAGCACCCCACTTTGCGCTTCCAACATGCATGCATACCACTCCGTCAAGCTCCAGCATACTGCAAGCTCCTCTTGACTGTGCTCTCTGACCGACGCGGGGAGAAAGAGCAGCATGGTGTGGATGCCGACTCGCCTCGCTATATCCAGCTAGATGGAAAGGTGGGACCTGAGCGGGGACGAGCAAGGGGGGCAACGGACACACCAAGAGTTGTGTATGGCAGAGCTAGGTGTTGAGGGAGGTGATTGCGATCTTTGACTACTGACGGACGCCTCAACGAGGCTAATGACGCTGACTGATCGTGCTCGTTATCTGAAGATGAGCTTCCAGTGTGCCCCTCGGCTACTCCCAATGTACACTCAGGGGGCGCACCGAGTCTGCACTACTTCCTGACCACTAGTAGCACTCGATGCATCTGGTTCAGGAATATACAGAGGGAAGGCAGCGGGGAGATGAGAACGCGATACAATGGACTGACAGGCTGAGGCGGAGGGAACACGAGACCGGGCGCGCGCTGAACGGTGATCCCCTCACTGAGCTTCCTCGCGGAGCTGGAGTTCAGCGAGCATCTTGCGAATATCCTCAGCAAAGTGTCCGGCATTCTGCAACGACTTGTCGGGGCCGTCGGTATCTGGATCACTCGGCGTGGCTGACCCCGAAGTTGACCCTTGCTCCCCGTCATCCCCTTTGCTGACGCCCTCGTCGAGCATGAGCTGAGCGACCTTCTTGCTGAGCTGCTCAACAAATGCTTGAGTCGGGCACAACGGCTCGGCGGGCGCGCTTGAGTCTGAACCACCCGGTGCAGCTGACATCGCGGTGGGATCCCGATCAAAGAGGAACTCATCTCGTGGGAAACCCGCATCAAGATCGCCAATCTCCAGCCAGAGATGTGTAGCGAGCTCGTCCGTATCATCCAAAAGCGTAAACCCCTCTGTATGGGGCTATTCTGCCTTGTCAGTCTGCTGTAAGGCCGGCAGCCTGACGATCTAGCGGTAGCACTTACTCATTGCCACAGCGCTCAGCTCCTTGTCCCCGTTCTCGAAACGTGCGACCCGGAAGTTCAGTGTGACGCCCGTATGACCCAAGCGAAGAAAGTGATGATCTTCGCCGACGGCTGTGGCGTACTTGACCGGATCGACGTCCTTGAGATGATCCACGTTCTCGTACTCGAGAGTGGGTTTCGCGCGATCCATGCCGTAGTGGTGCCACAGTGTGTCCCGCATCTCGTCATTGCTCATGATGTGAGGCTCACCATCGGTGACTGCATCGTCAGCCACATCTCTCTCACTCCTGACAGAGCTGACATACCTTTGATGGCCCTCGTACAGTCCTCGCCCTCCTTGTTCGGACGACGCGCGAAGTAGATACCACTGTGGGACATCTCTGCGCCGTTGCTGGTTGCATCGAACGTGGCCGCGGGGAGGGGGGGGGGTAGGAGATGACATCTGGGACAGGTGAATTGATCAGTGCGGCAATGAAGTTGATAAGAATAAGAGGGTGAAGACCGCGAGAAGACGATAGTGACGTGGGAGTGTGATGTGAGTACGGTCTCATCACTTCGGAAACTCACCTACTTACAGGACAGCCCAAACGTCTGATACCCTCCGTGCTTTACAGCCCAGCTCACAATCAGCTAAGCGAGATTGGCAATGCACCGCCCTGTCCCTGCTCATCTAGCGACCGTTCGACGTGTCAGGCTGCTCCCCCTTCGGGGATCTCTCATTCAGCTCACATTGACTGCCTTTTTGGGGTGATCTGGGGTGATCGACCTTTGTTCATGCTCATCTGCTCAAACGCGTGTGGGCTGATCCCTTATTGAGCCTTCTCCTTTCGCCACTCTAGATTGCGAGATCTGGTGGCTGACCGGGCGTTAGCATTGTCCTTTGAGCCAGTCATCTGCTCGAACGCGTAAGAGCTGCCCCTGATCCAGCCTTCTTTTCGCCCCACTCTAATTGAGAGATCTGGTGGCTGACCCGCTGACAGGTCCATTCACTGAGGCAGACATCTGCTTGAACGCGTACGAGCTGTCTTCGCGCTCCCCACTCTAGATTGCGAGACCTTGTGGCTCAATAATCTCAGTACTTCGTCCTCCAAGGTACCCAATAACCTGCCGAAGCGCGTGAGAGCTGTCCTCCCTCAATTCTTCCTGCTCTTTGCCCCACTCGAGCTCTAGCTTGCGAGATCTGGTGGCTGAACTATCTAGTACTATCATCCTTTGCGTCACGAATGCTCGAACGCGTATGAGGTGCCCCCTGACTCAGCCTTCCTCGTTCGTCGTCATTTGTGCGAAGCACCTCGAGGTCATCAAGCGATCCTTGGTGTCTTCGCTCTCAAGTGGGGCTCGTACGCACAACTACAGGGCACCATAAAGCCCGGCTCCTCCCCCCTCACTTTCTGGTTTCGTACATCATTTCGCCTAGCCCGAGCCCGTCTTACAGCACCACTTTGTCACACAGTGACAACACGAACCTCAACAATTTGATGTCGCCGCTTTCTGAATCCGGCTTTCTCACTGACCTCATTTACGCTGACGAGGGGACAAGGATTGAGGATGGTCGCCTCATTCCTGTGGACGGCGGTGACGTGAGGCGCATGGTCATTGGTCAGTGCCTTCCATATGCTCTCCTTCACGAGTTGCTACCATATCGTAGAGCTGACAGACAGTCTCAAAGACCGATGATACCATCCATCGCGTGATCTCCCACTGGTACGGTAGCTTTCGTCTGGAGACCCTGGATAACTTCGTGGCGAGGATCACGAAGAGCAGGAACGATGACACACAAACCACACAATCCAAGGCCTCCCAGACCGACGACCGGGGCAAGTGAGCGAGTCCTCCTCTTCTCAAGTACAGGTCGGCTTGGTGAGTGACCCCTGTCTTAGACGCTCTGCCAATCAGACAGCTGGGGACTGCGTGCTGACTTCGTCTGTGGCTGCGTAGCCTTGTTTGCCACGCCCAGTCTCGTTCCCATCGTCAGCTCGATCGTCCCCGATGCCTATTGTCTTCTACCACATGCATGACTTTTTACGTGATATCGTGTGCAGCGGCCACCTAGTACGCTCCTCAGAGCTACCGCGTTCAGCCAAAGACCATGTCAGTACCCGTCCGGTCGACTCTTAGCATTATCTAAGAACCGCAGCCTCACAAGTTCAGCAAAATACATGAGGATATATAAGTAGACATGTGTCCCGGCAGGGCGATGTACGTAGGGGTGTCAGTCGTCAGAAGCCCAGCGATAAGAATGGGTTCAGATCTTTCCACCTCCGCTGCCTCCCGTGCCTTCAGTCGCGCTGGTCCCGGCAGGGCCCACAGTCTGACCGGATGAGCTGGTAGTCGCGTCGTCCTGAGGGATGAACGCCTCGGACCATCCAGTGGAAGTGGCTGTTCAATGTCATCAGCACATAAATTCATGCTCCAAGGTGTGAGAACGTGAGATCTAACCGAAGTACACCCTGTTCTCTCCGCTCTGCAGGGTTGATCTGACACCTCCCGGCCATGGAGCAGTCTCCACAGCGGGCGCGACGGTATTGCCGGTGCTGGATTGAGAGGCAGTAGACATGGTTTGAGCTGTGGATAGAGTCAATGACGTGTATCGATCTGAGTGCTGTTAGCGTGAAGTTGCGGATGCGGTGAGGGAGAGGGAAACAGAATGGGCTCTCGATATATAGCACAAAGTATGTCCGCAGTGCTAGGCGGAGCGCCACACAAGGGATGGTGCCCAATTGAATCGAGCACTAGAATGTCCCACTGGTTCATCCGGTCGCGTTTCGTCGACCGGTGTCCTTTGTTACATGTCCCCACAATTGCACCCTCAGCTTCTCTTTTCGATAGCAAGAAACGCTCTGCGCTTTCGAGTCTCACTAGATAGCAACCTGCCAATGCTCCTTTGGCGAGCACTGCTTTGGCTAGTCAGCCATCGGGATGAACCGGAGGATGGCTCTACCCCACTTGATACTGCGAGATCTCAACTTGCAGCGGATAGCTTCCTTTGGGTGGGAGCCGCGATGGAGCTGATAGCGCCACCCTTTGATCAGCCAGTAGGAATCTGCTCGAGGCGTTAGAGCTCGCTGCTCGGTATGACAGCTATCGTATTCCTGACGTGCGATACTCCCCCTCCTAATGACTGGCTTGATACCGGAGACGTCGTGAAGAGAGGTTGTGAAAGTATGGGCATATCCACCCCACTTTGGCTTTGATAGGCGAGACCATTCGCTTCTTGACATATGTTACGGACTCTCCAGGTTTATGAGCTACAAGAGGAGCATATCGGTGCAGGAACTTCACACGCGCACTACAGTTCACTTTTGCCGAGGTTAAAAGATGCATACGGTAAAGGTCACAAGTCTATAGCAGGGTGTCCAGCTTGTCTTGGTCAGGAGTAGCGGAGGTTGGTCCGCAAGAGTTCTGGGCCGAGGAGCAATGGCTGCATCAGAGAAAGAGTGGCGGGTTCCAAGCCGAGTCGGGCCCCCCGTGCTTCTTGATAGACGCTCTCGCCGATGAATTGCCCCTCTTTAGACAAGGGTTCACCCGCCCGGATCTTCGCGTGTTGCCAGAGGAATGTTGCCATGCTGTCGTCTTTGCCCAGTTCGTATGAGCGGTTGCGGACTACATATCATCAGTCTTTGCAAGCGGTACGAGGGGACTTCACTCACGAAAAAGAATGTTCAGTGTGGCCAATCCCGGTTTGATCTCGGCACACTCGAAGGCGAACTGAGTATCGATGTCTGAGTAGTTTGGTGTCTTGCTGATTGTGAGCCTCTCCACGCTCCGCGCTGAAGACAGCCAAAGTGAGTTCTTTCGCAGCGTGATCAGGTCCGTGTCTGGGATAACGGGACCGCGATAAAAGCTCAAGATGTGATCGAACACCTCATCGTTGGACATATCTTTCGATTTCCCTTCGGTGACTGGGGAATGAGTATACATTCAGGAGGCAAGGCAAAGCTTACCCTTGGTGACCTTGCTGACCGGATTTTCTGCCCACTCCAGGTCCTCCCTTTTGAACGTGAACCAGTAGCCATTGTACATATTGCCGTCACCATCGCGGTCGGCCCCGGGAGTTGTCTCGAGACTGTCGGGTGTAGGGAGAGAATCGGAGCAGTCAAGGGTGAATGCGCGTCTGGGCATGATGACTGATCGGTGGATGAGGAAGAAGATGAGAGGCGATCGGCAAGAGCCCTCCCTGCTCTGGGTCCTATATGTAGGGATGGTCCCCCACTGCGCGCGGACTACAAGAGTGTGTCATACCGCTAATCCTTTGGCGCTAGCACCGCTTTCTCCATCTCAGGGGTCCTGTCCATACGCGTTCCAGCAGATTGCGGATCCTTTATGCCCCTTCGTCTATCGATGCCACAGTGCACACCCGCAGGAAGTATCTATAACGGACTCGGGGTGAGGGTTCCAGAGAAGAGGAGAATTCTGTGATCCGCGGCGACGGTTCTTTCTTACCTGCCAGAGCCTTCCATGATGAACAGCTGCGGTGCTGCTCCATTCAACAGATGCAGATCCGTTCGATTCTGAGGATGGCGAGCTGCGAGCGCCAACGAATGTGGCACTTGCAAACGGGTGGTGTCACATTCCGCGCCACTCTCGGATAAACCTCGGAGATCCGGAGCCGGCGATCTCGCGCGCTTGATGACCTTGCGACAGATCAGGCTGCAAGCCAAGCATGCTCCGCGCTGGGTACCTATGAACCTTCATACATCAGCCTGAGCTACCTACAGTCGATAGGAAGCGCCATGATCAGCTCTGCTCGAAATCCTATACGGTCCGCTCTGGCCCAGGCCTCGGTATTCCGGAGAGCAGCCCCGGTCGCTCGCGTCCGGCGGTATGCCACCCCCTCCTCAAGCCCCACTCCACCCCCTCGCCCAGCTACCGCTACCCCCTCCATCCCACCCGCCAGCCCCGGGCCGAGCTTTGCCCCCAATATGAATCTCACATCCTACGGTATCCTCGTCGCCTCCCTCCTCGGCGCCGCGCTCGCCGGGTACTACACCTCCGAGACCCTCTCCGCCCGCCCCAATATCCAGTACACCCTCATCGACTCGGCGCGGGCCAAGGAGCTCCAATCTGCCAATCAGCCCCGGTTTGGGGACCACAAGGCCTACCTCGCGGCTATTGACGAGCTCAAGGCGAGCTGGCAAAAGAAGGGAAAGGCGGATCAGGTCAGTACGGACAAGGAAGACCTGGAGACGCACGGGATTAGCGATTGGAGCTACCATGAGGCCAAGGTGCCGACGGTGGTGGTCTGGGTGGAGAGCACGGAGGAGGTCGTGGAGGTGGTCAAGGTGGCGACGAAGTATAGGGTGCCGATCACGCCGTTCTCGGGCGGAACAAGTCTCGAGGGGCACTTTAGCAGCGTAGGTGCAAGACTTTCCCTTTGGTGTAGGTCAGGGCGATAGCTGAGTCTCAGCCATACGGCGGTATCTCGCTCGACTTTTCAATGATGGACAAAGTCCTCCGGATCTCCGAGGCAGACGGAGACTGTACCGTCCAGCCCGGTGTAAAATGGGAAGACCTCAACAAGCACCTCGCAGATAAAGACATCAAGCTGTTCTTCCCGCTGGATCCGGGACCGGGGGCGACTATCGGGGGGATGGCGGGTACGGGATGTAGTGGGACAAATGCGGTGCGGTATGGGACAGCCAAGGCCGAGTGGTTCTTGAACTTGGTAAGTCTCGTTGTCCCACGCCGCTGGAGTGCCTGGCCCCGTCCGCAGGGTATGCAAGGCCTTAGCTGATTCCATAGACTGTCGTTCTTCCGTCTGGCGAGGTTATCCGGACACGACAAAGAGCTCGGAAGTCTTCAGCAGGGTTTGACACTACCAAGCTGTTCATCGGTGCCGAGGGGACTCTCGGTATCGTTACCGAGGCAACTCTGCGGCTTGCACCTCTTCTGCCCACAAAATGTGCTGTCGTGGGCTTCGCTGGGGTGGAGGAGGCGGTGCAGGCTGCGACTGAGATGTAAGCAGATCTTATACCTTGGACCGGCACCCTGCTGATCTCACAGTGTCAATGCCGGACTACCAGTCCGTACGTCATGCGCTCTATGGACCGATCTCCTTGCCACTGACGAGGAAGTGCGCTGACAGCCAGAATGCGTTGAATTCGTAGACAAAAAGACGGTCCAGTCCATCAACGAAATGGGTCTCGCTGGACGGTCATACCCTGAGCGTGACTCCCTATTCTTCAAATTTCAGGGGTGAGTCTGAAGACCTTCTTCCCCTCTCCGTTGTCCTCTGATCCCTCTTCTTCTTGATCACTACCCATTACCCTACTCTCCCCCGCCCCTTATGCTTGCAAGCTTTAGCTGACCCCGCAGATCTGACGCATCCATGACCGATGTCGCCAAAGCAGCAGCCATCATCGTTCAAAAACACGGTGGCAAAGACCTCGAATTCAGCAAGACCGATAAGGAAGCTGCAGATTTGTGGCAAGGACGAAAAGCGGCTCTGTGGAGTATCATGGGGTTGATACCGGAAAGTCGCGCATGGACGACCGATGTTTGGTGAGTTTGGCTGTTGATACAGGTGATGAGGCAGGGATCAAAGCTGACCACCAGTGTACCCATATCGAAACTGCCGCAGCTGGTACGAGAGACGGCAGAAGATTTCGAGCGGAGAGGAGTCGTTGGGTGCCATCTAGGGTGAGCCCTTTCATTCCCGCGCTCCATCTGAGGCCGAAGCTGACGGGCCAGACACGTCGGCGACGGTAACGTCCATTCCATCCTCCTGTTCAAAACGGACGAGGAGCTCGAGAACATCCGTGAGGGGGTACACGAGATGGTACACCGTGCTATCAGGCTCGAGGGGACATGTACAGGCGAGCACGGTGTAGGGGTGGGTAAGGTGGAGTACCTGGAGGAGGAGTTGGGCGTGGGGACAGTGGGGCTAATGGAGACTATCAAGAGGACGCGTGAGTACTCCTACATGGACTGGGAGAGGATGTGGCTGAGCACAATATAGTGGACCCCCTGGATATCATGAACCCGGGCAAGCTGTACCCAAATATCAAGCCAATCAAGCCATGATTCTCGGTTTTCTACGATCTTTTTGGGATTATCTATCTTGTATGGATCTCATGTTGCTCCTCCCACGCTATACAGAATCCCAACTACCTATCTCGCCGCCTTCACAGCCATAGCATCCTGCGTACCTCCTGCCAAGACCCCCTTCGGCTTTGCGCGGGCTGGCGGAACCAAACTCCGAAGGAGGAGCCCCGATGACACTCTGAGCGTTCACGTCGTCTGGCAGCGCAGCTTTTGCATGCATCTTGCTATACATACCTCAGCTATCAGCTCGATCCACGCGCAGTTTCTGGCTCCTAGCTGGAAAGAGGTGGACAAGACGGAAAGAAAACCCACGAAAAGTCGATCTACTGCGCGAGAAATCTTCACGACTGTCGCGTGCCGCCGGAGCTTGATAATCCGACGTGCCTGTATCCTCTGACCTTCGTACGTGCTATGCTTGACTGCCTAGACCTTCGATCGAGGCTTTGGACTGATAATCCAGCGCTATCGACGACTAGACTGGCTGGCTTAATCATTATGAACCCCAATCAGCCCGAGGCGTCCTCGTCGAAATCCCACTTCTTCCCCTCGCAACCCTCCCCGACCCCTGCTCGACCCTCCTCCGAACATGGCGCTCCTACATATACCTTCTCTCCACATGACGCTCATTCGGACCCACTCTACCCCGTGAACCCCCTCGAGCCTTCCCTACCCATAACACTCGTACCAAATCTACGAGAACCGCCTAATCCCGACCTCATTCCTCCCGTCCGACCAACGCTCGCCCAATTTCGCGCTGCCGAAGGCCCAGCAACCCGCTCGACAAAGCTATCAGCGCTATGGGAGGCACTCCCGGCGTTACCGGAGCTAGGCGATGGGCCGACGGATACGCAGCAAATGAAGTTGCCGGGGCAGGATACGATGACTGCGTTGAGTCCGGAACGGGCGGAACGGCTGCGGAAGCTGTATGAGGAGGAGCTGGTGCGCCGGTGTAATGAGAAGCGGCCGGCGGCGAGATTATGGGGTGGACCGGACAATCAGGCGGGAGCAGGGACTGGGCTGGGCAAGGGCATCCAATATGAGGATTTCAGGTACGATCTGCTCGCGCCTCTCGGGAATCGCTGCTTGCGCTGACAAATAGGCGATTCCTCTGGGATCAAGAATCACAATTATGGGATATCTTCCAAGACCTCGATAAGAATGGGGATGGCCGGTTGGACGCGACCGAGATGCGCGCGGCGTTGTCGCGGTCGGGTATCGACATCACCCCAGCGACCGTATCGGATCTGGTCCGTTTCCTCGCCTCGGGCTCAAAGCTGTCTGTTGCGGGTCGACATACCCCTCAGACCAACCAAGATGACGGCCGGAATCTCCGAGGCGATAGCGGGAAGGCTCCATCGACAACTGCGGGGTCAGGTGTGGTAGATGAGATGTACATCACGTTTCAGGAGTTTAGGGATTTCCTCATTATGCTGCCGAGGAAAGCGACTCCGCTGGAGATATACAAATGTAGGTCACTGATGAGTGATTTGTGGAATCGGCTGACTCGATAGTCTATCAGGTGCGGAAACGCTCTGACGGCCGAGGCGCGGCTCGCGTGGACAAGGAAGGGGATATCAGCATCTCGTTCCCAAAACGACCGGCCTCGCCTCCACCTGTCCCGGCAGATACGAAGGAAGATGAGGAGTTTGGGGATACGGTAGATACCGAGTCGGCACCAGAGGAGCGGAATGAATCGTGGCGCTTCCTCCTGGCCGGTGGTCTCGCTGGAGCAGGTGAGCTGGATCGACCTCGAGTACTGGCGCATAGCTGATCTGTCCAGTATCGAGAAGTGTCACGGCTCCGTTCGACAGATTAAAGATCTACCTCATCACCACCCAACATACGCATATCGACACCAAAGCTACGTCCTCGTCGGGTCTGTCACATCCGTTCAAGAGTGGAGGTGGGGCGGTGAGGAATCTGTGGGCGGCGATGACGAGGATATATGTCGATGGTGGAGGTGTGAGGGCGTTCTGGGTAGGGAATGGGTTGAATATCGTCAAGATCTTGCCGGTCAGTCTCATCTCCTTACCGATGCTACTGTCGCCTTCCGGACAACGAATCGCGATTGGATCAAGCTGACATGATAGGAATCAGCAATAAAATTCCTCTCATACGAACAAACCAAGAAAGTCCTCGCACGATACTGGGACCGCGTCGCCGACCCATCCGAACTATCCTCCTCGTCTCGTTTCCTGGCGGGAGGTGTAGGCGGTATCACCTCTCAATTTGCAATCTACGGGCTCGAGACGCTCAAGACGCGGATACAGAGTGAGACGGGACCGAGTGGGGTGGTCAAGATTGCGAGGGCGATGTGGCGGGAGGGGAGATTACGGACTTTTTATAGGGGATTGACTGTAAGTTTTGCTCTGTCCTCACCGGAGCATAGGGAATGGGGTCAAGGGCGGGGATTGGCCGCAGGGTTGTGCTGATAGTTCAGCTCGGCCTGATAGGCGTCTTCCCATACTCCGCTATCGATATGGGCACGTACGAAACCCTCAAGCGCGCATACTGCAAGTCGACAGGCAAGGACGAGCCGGAAGTGTATGCCACGCTGGGCTTTGGAGCCATGTCGGGCAGTATAGGAGCGGCTAGTGTATATCGTATGTATCCGTCCGGGCTCATCAGCCTGACTACCACATGATCTGGCTGGGCGAGGATTCAGCTGACGTCTCAGCCGTCAATCTCCTCCGTACTCGACTCCAAGCATCCGGCTCCTCCGGCCACCCGCAAGCATACACCGGTTTCCGAGATGTTCTCACGCAGACGCTAGCAAAGGAAGGATGGAGGGGCCTGTATAAGGGGTTATTGCCAAGTATTATGAAGGTGGGGCCGGCGGTGGGGGTCAGCTGGATCGTTTATGAGGATGCGAAGCGGAGGTTGGGGGTGTAAAGTGGCTCTTCAGAGTCAGGGAGGGGATTGTGGGGGATGATGGTGCGGAACGGAGAGGTCAGGCTGAGGGTGAAGGTGTGGGTGAGGGCGGGAGTGGGGATCTGAGTGGCGGGTTGGAGTACTCATCGATCGCAGTGTATCCTGGCATCTTGCATCTTTACAGGCTGTACACTGCAGGGCAGGCGTAGTAGAATTTATGCGCACGCGAGGTTATACTGATGCCGCTGATTCCGCTCCCAATCCGCCACCGCTCACAAAGATCACTAACCTGTGGGGAATCCAGGGAACGGCCTTGAGTGCTGGGGACCTGACAAGTCCTCACAATGTACCTTTCACCAATGTCATCCCTTGTCCAGGCGAAACCATGGATTGTGAGATCTGCTCGGCCCCGGTTTGCTCCGAGAGATTGTGATGCTGAAAGCGCTAGAACACGTTTGTCGCTGAAGGGATGGACGCGGTGAAGCACGACTTATCGAGATCTAGATCGTCAGTTTGCGCGAGATTTCAAGGATGTGGTGGGCCCTCGTACAACGCGAGCCGGCGTGGGCGTGAAAGCTCGGGCGAAATCGGAACGTCAAGGTACATAAAAGGCTGCTGCGCTGACACCAGGCTCCCTCACTTCGCCTGATAATCAGTCAGCTACAACTTTCGTTCATCACTTCATCGCTTGTTCTTCCATCATTGCAACTATGTCGGTGTTTTTGGATGGAGATACGATCGCGACGCATGCAGTTGTCGGGACCAAAGACGGGCAGGAGACGATTGGAATCGGAACCTGTATGTGACACATCACCACTGTATTTATTGCGCGCTAACAAGGGTCAGATCGGAACGGAGTGCTCACCCAGGTCACGTACTCGCTCATTGGCAAGGAGTCGAGGCTGTGCAATGTGGATGTACTGCAGGAGGATGGGTGGGTTTTCGAGCGTGCCACGGTCGCGGATACCCAGCGGCTCGTCGATCCTCTCAATACCGCTGATGGCCGGGGTTCTGGAGGCTGGAATTGGCGCCACCCCTGGACTCCCCCCGGCGAACAGGAGGCCTGAAGGCGGATGTCAGCTGGCTTTAAGCCCATGAACGACGCTTTGCTCCCGAGGATGAGGCGGGTGACCTGCAAGATGCGTATACGATGAGATTCTGTTTCGTGAAGAGATGTCCGGGGGTACATATTCAAATCGTTTTCTGTGATCCTTCTGTGCAATGCTACCCCACTTAACATCATCGGGCTTTGCCATCAGACAATACTGATTCGCTGACGACTCTTTACTATTGCCTTTCGGTGATTGACATGTCAAGGAATCCTGAGGTGGCGAGGGCGAGAGGCGCAAAGCCGGTTTGACCCTGACAATCCCACTGCAAATGGGCTTTAAGCTGGCTTCCTTTGACCAAGGTGTTCTATTGAACAGCTGAAACCGCGAGACCACTCTGGACGATAGGTTGCCCGATTTGCTCCGAGCTGTCGAACGCTCTGGCAGATCTGGCTGAAAAGATCTCCGTGATGTTGTGTGCCAGTCAGACATCCTGATTGCGCCATATCGAAAGGATTCGCCTCACTAGCTGCGAGATCCTCGAGTGTGATCAGGTCCTTTCGTTCTGCGTACTCGGGCAGGACCGGACGGCTCTGGGGCATAAAAAGGCCACCTCTGGGACCCGTTTCTTCTCACGCTTCTCTCCAGTCTATTCGCACTCACTTATTATCTGCATTTTCGCTACAGATTGCCAGGTGCCTTCCAGCACGCCATTCACCACCATCGCAGCATGTCCAGTACAAGTGCTACTGGGGTTACGCTTCAGCGCGTTGTCGGGACAAATTCGCAAACCGGGAAAACAGAGATTGGTCAGGGTCTGTGTACGTTTGGCGATGTGGACAGTGACAGCGCTCAAAGCTGACGATACCGAGACATCAACGGAACGCTGTGGGGCGTCGCCGTTGACCCCGAGAGGGTGAACACCCAAGGGCTGAAAGGTCTGACCCTTCAGGGTTGGACGTTCTCTGAGGGTGTCGAAGCGGTTACGAACGAGGTCTCTGGGCCCGAGTCCACGAACGCGGCGAGTGATGCGCAGCACCCTCCGGCATCTACCAACACCACCAGCGAAGGTGCGGCCTGAGAGTCGGGTAGATCATTCGGCTTCTTTGATTTCCTTCCTTGCTGATGTTACACCGCAGACAGGCCTATCCAATCTCAGCACAATCTCTGGCCTGTATCGTGTTACTGATCCATCACACTGTCCATAGATTACCACCCATGCAATGATCATGCGTTTGCCGTGTGGCGTGTGCTGCATGATCCCTATGCTGATCGACATCCTGCTGAAATCTTCTCCCCTGCTCATGCTGCTTAGCCAATAGCTATCCACTATGTGATCTAGTCGCAGACGATGCATATAGCGCACCCGCATAGCAGAATCGACAAAGACATTGACCAAGACACAAGCGCTGTCACGATTGTGACACATTGAAGGTCGGGAGTCTACCTTACATGCGAGAAGAGTGGCGAACTCGAATGGCCTCGAGAGCTTGGGTCGAGGCGAGTCCGTTCAGGCGTAATGACCCTAACCCGACAGCTATCCAGCGCTTGAATGAACTTGGCAGAGCGCTCACCTAACATCAAGCCGTTCCTAGGTGGCGGCAACACGCACGGCGCATTAAGACAACGACCATTGCCGACCCCCTCTGCTATGCCTGGCTAAAAGCATTTCTGACCCACCGCCAAGTTTCAGCTCGTTATCCCTCGCTTGCCTACCAGGTCCTCTTTATCAATAGATACACACATTTAAGACATCTAGAGCCGGCCGCCGCCTTATTGAGGCCCTTCGCCTGGAGTATGCCCGGGGAGACAGCAGTACATACTGCGCCATCGCAACCGCCACTTTGGTGCAACAGTGGTCCCGGGGGCGATTTGCGTTCGCCTCGCCCAAGTTCCCATACTTGCCGCTCTGTACATACGGTAGGCTTTGCCCTTCGAGAACACACATCGATCCAAGCAGTGTAGACCTGCCAGGATGCGGATCCCATACATAAGGGAGCTTTATGGTGGGCTTGGACCCCGAACCCAAAGGCCGCCCGGGCTTCCTCGCTGATCAAGTAGTGGACGAAGCAGAAGGCTTCCTGCTCGACCACGCCCTCTTCTCACCTCCGCGAAGATGGCCACCGTTAGCACCAGAGGAGACTCAGTCTGCGCGTCTTCAGTCCAAAGCGAAGAAGATGGACTGGGAGGATGAAGCTCGAAGAGCCCCAATGGGCGAGGACGACCCAATGGATGGAGCGCACCATCACTCGCCGGCAGCCGAGGGGGAGTCGAACAAGGAGAGATGCGTGATCTGCCTGATGGAGCTGCGGGACAGGACCATCGTGGGCGTATGCGGGCATGAGTTCTGCGTAAGTCAAATCAAACCCCTGCAAGAGCCATACCGCAAGCAGAGCATGAGCTGATATACAGTTCGAATGTATCGGCGTCTGGGCGAACCAGTCTCGCCGCTGTCCTCTCTGCTCCGCAGACATGGCGCCGTTCTTGCTGCATGACTTAGACAACCCAGTACCGACAAAGGTGAGCTGTTGTGCCCCAAAATCCCCAGACGTCCAGGCTGATCTGCCAGTTCTACCTCCCTCCGCTGCCCACTCGTCAGATTACATCGTTCAACTTACCTGGACCAAGCAGACGCGTCGCTGAGCGGCCACATCCCGCATTCGAGAAGACTGAGCCAGACGAGCTGGATCTTCAGATTGAGCGGAGGAAGGAGATCTACCAGCACGGGCTGTACTGCAAGGTGAAATCCAGCATCTCTATGTCTATGTCTACACCGCATGTCGCTGACCTGCAGCACATCGGCTCAAACGCCCAAACTAGGTATCGCCCCAACCCAACACCACACGAGATCGCCAACTCCCCGCAGCTCATCCAGCGGACGACCGCCTTTCTCCGGCGCGAGCTCCGCGTCTGGTCGCACGCCGACGCAGAGTACCTGACGTCCCACATCTTGAGTCTCATCAAAGCTGTTGATATCCGGTCTGACGTTGCAATCCGTCTCCTAGCAGAGTTCCTCGACCCTCCCGCTGTTCAAGGCCGCGCCTCATCGTCCGCACCGGGGATCCCGAACGGGCCGGAGCACTTTGCGCACGAGCTGTACAGCTGGTTGAGGAGTCCATTCAAGGAGTTGAGGCAGTGGGATTTGGTCGCTCAGGTGAGTTGTGGTACGGTCGGAGCTGATGGTAGTATGACTCTCCGGACGCCGAAGAAGAGCCTGAGCAGGACCGTGATCTGCCGGCTGAGAAAGAGCGGTCGCGCAGCATATCACCTGAAGACCAGCCGCCCAAGAAACGGTCCCGCTCTCGCTCGGTCTCTCCCTCCCCGTCCCTATCATCGCGCTCATACTCGTACTCATCCCGATCCCGGTCCCGCTCCCGCTACCGGTCGGAATCTTCATACTCCCGCTCACCCTCTCCGCGGCCCAAGCGAGACTCGTACAAGCGAGACCGCTCTCCGCCTCGTCACTCACCTAGCCGGCGGGCATGGAACGAGGCAGACCACTGGGTCGACCCGGATATCCTGGCTGAGCGGGCGGAGCGGCAGCGTCGGATCGAGGAGCGGATGGAGCGGAAGCGGATCGAGCGGGCTGCGGAAGTTCAGCCGTGGACCGGAAGGGGGATGCGGCCGTGGGGTGCCCCAGTCGTGCCCAAGGAGAGGATCGAGCTGCTGCCGGATAAGCCAGATCCGCCCGTAACGGCATTGCGCGCAGAGGTGGAGGAAGCGGCGCAGAACGCACTGTCAATCAAGGGGGCGGCGGTGGTGCCGAATCGTCGATTGACCCTAAAGGAACGGCTGGCGGTAGCTCGGGGCGAGCCGATTCCTGCTGATGCGGAACCGGCACCAGCACCTGTACCCCAGTCACCCTTCCTCACTCTCAAGGAACGCCTCGCCAAGGCTAAAGCGGAGGCGCTCGGTCTTGCGCAAACCCCACTCCCGGAGAATCCCGCAGAAATTACGGCAGAAGACCTGCTCGAAACCTCTCCTACCGCCCCCTCTGCCCCCCGGCGCTCCATCTCCGGTCTCAAAGAGACCGTCCGTGCCCGGCTCCGTCTTCGGCTCAAGCTCGAATCGGAGCGCGCCAACTTCCGGCACAATATCGCCGAGTCCAGGGCGCAGGAATTGCGGCGGCAGTTATTGGAAGCTAAAGTCACAAGGCAGGCGGCCGAGACGGATGCGGTCCTCAGAAGGATGGATCGGCTGGACTGGCAGAAGGAGGTGAGGAGGAGATTGATGGTCGAGAAGATGTTGCAGGCGGAGACGGAGGGGGAGAAGCGGGCGAGGGAGCTCAAGGAGAAATTGTCGGCTGAGAAGAGGAGGAAGATGTTGAGGGAGGTCTTGTTGGCGAGGAAGAGGGCGTCGGTGGTTGGGGACGTGGAGGGGGAGGATGGGGCGGCGATGATATGAATTGAGCGTAGGAACGAGAGGCACAGGTAACGAGCATTAAGGTGTAATGACATACATGTATGTACATGTAACTGACCTGTCTTACTGAGCGCGCTCACTGACTTCGGACAAATGGCGAATCCTTCCTTGCATCGGATCGCGCGAGACCGACAATGAGGGTTGTCTACACTGAAAGTATACCTCATCTACGCCTGAGAAGGGATATGGTCCATGATCTGAGTGTCCAAGGCCTTCGTATTCAGCAAGTGTGGACCGAGCTGATCCAGCTTGGTCACACCGAGCAGCCGCATCGTGGTCTCGATCTCATCCCGCATGACTGCTCATCAGCTCACTCCAAATCAATCGGCGCGGCAACAGAGGACTCACTCTCAATAGCATGGGTGACCCCTTCCTTGCCATACGTCAAGCCATACAAGAACGGCCTGCCCATCCCTACTCCCTTCGCCCCGAGACACAACGCCTTGATAACGTCCGTGCCGCGTCGTACACCGCCGTCGAGATAGATTTCGCACTTATCAAACACCTGCGGAGCGAGGCGGCGCAATTCAAGCAGGGTGTATAGGGAAGGAGGAGCAGTGTCGAGCGCTCGGCCACTGATCGTCAGCTCACAATCCTCAGCACGGAAAAGGGGCGGACTCACCCGTGATTACTGAGGTAAATAGCGTTGACGCCAAGCTCCGCAGCTTTGATACAGTCCTCTACACTCTGGACCCCCTTCAGCCCGATCGGAAGGTCCGTATGTCTCCTCAACCACTTCAAGTCCTCCCAATTCAGCTTGGGGTCGATGAAGCCGCCGACGGACCGGCCTATCCCGCCTCCTTTGGAATCTTGGGCGATCTTGCCGCCTGATACGCCTGACGCCTATTAATCAGCTCAATCCTGTAATGCTCGCGCTGAGGAAACATACCACTTCGATCTCAGCTCGGCTCCGCTCATCCGCCTCCCGCTTCCCTGGCGCAGCAGCATCGACCGTCACAAAGATAGCCTTCATCCCCAGTCCGTTGATCTGCTCCAATAGCTTCTCGGTCTTGGGCCGATTCCGGTCCACGTAGAGCTGCATGAAGAACTTCTGATCTGGCCGGGATGCGTTCGAGACGATCTCGGCGAGTGGTGTTGAGGCGTTGGTGGAGACCTGGTGTTCAGCTCAGACTGTGCTTATGGCGGGAACGAAATGGACTGACCATGTAGATGACATTCGCCTCGCCCGCTGCCCTGGCCACGGCTCTCTCTGCGAGCGGATGAGCGAGCCCCGCCATCCCCGTTGGACAGATGAAGAAGGGCAAGCCGGCTTCTTGGCCCATCATTGTCCGTCGGGTGTCGCATTCTTCTACGTTGACCAGGATACGGGGGCGGAAGAGGATATGGTTGAATGCGCGCCTGTTTAAGTCGAGAGCTGGTTGTCAGCCTGAACCACAAGCAAGGAAAGGTCGGCAGCTTACTGTACTGGTCTGTAGCTCCGCTAGACATGTACGCCCAAGCCTTGCTGGTCAACTTTGCCTTGGCCGCTGCCTGCCCATATCAGCTTCAGCACCGGTATCGAGAGCATTCAGGGCAGACATCACTCACGTCAAAGTCCGGCAGCCCCACAATCTCCGCCAGATCGATCTCCCTCTCCTTCCCTTCTTCACCCTGCGTCTTCGCCCCTCCACCATAGCTCAACACCGTCGGCAACGTTTGCGGATCCACCATCCCCAAGAACGCTGACTCGTCCAGCCCATTCTCGATGGTTCCTGGTGGATGAAGCGGCTGGAAGATGGCGGTTGCGTCTCTTCCTGCGACTCTATGGATCGGTGCTGATCCGCCTGGATGTCCGGACTGTGCAAACTGGAGGATCAGCTTGGTCTCCTCGATCTGTGAGGTGGAGATCGCTTACCTCGGTCAGATCATACACCTTCCCGGCTATGACAACCCAGCAGTCATCCACTGTATTGTGCTTTTGTACTTCTCCGTAAGGTATGAGACCTCCCGCCGAGGCCTGAAGAGCCGGAGGCGAGGGATCATCAACGAGCTCATCGTTTCGTATCCGCGGCAGAGCCCAGGCTGTACCGAGCGAAATCGCGAGCTGAACTATCAGGTTGATCCCCCTGCTGGTTATAAGGTTGACTTACTGCTCCTCCTATCTGGAGTGCTAGTCTCCTTCTTGCAGGGAATGTATCACCCAGTATACGCGCAGTATACCGCCTGGAACCCCGCAAGGGAGCAGAAGGCGAGGCCCGCGAGCTGGCCTGGACGCATCCAAAGACCAGGCGCGCTGTGCTTTCGACGAATCGCGACATGATGATGTGTCGGAATTGAGCCGATGAGACCTAGGAGCTAGAAGATATGCTATGAGCTCCTCCTGCAGGCATATAGCATGCTGAAGCTTCTCCGCACCAACTTCTTGCTTGGACCGCCCGGCCCGGTTGATGCCGGACGCGCCGCCTAACCGGTTCGAGCCGCGAGTTACCGCCAGAGCGAGAGCTTGGCCAGGACAAAGTCAAGGATATCAAGGAGCACATCCCCCTTCATCCACCCATCTGTCACCTTGTCCATAGCCCCTTACCACTTCCCTCACTCTCAGTCAACACATTTGACACACCATGTCCCGACCCAACGTCCTCATCTTCGGCCTCGGCGGTATCGGCGGAATATACGCTTGCATTCTGCACCTCTCGGGCGCGTGCGACGTCTCGGTCGTTGCGAGGAGCAACTATGAGGCTGTCAAGAGCAAAGGCTTCAGGATGGTCAGCGACAAGTTCGGGACCCACGAGGATATCAAGTTTGCGGGTGGTGAGCTTAGGCGTCTTGCCTGGGGGATAGAGCTGATAGAGCAGTGTTCAAGAGTTGCGAAGATGCTGCTGCAAGTGGCCGCAAGTTTGACTTCGGTACGTCTTCTACTGAGATCGCTAGGAGCAGTAGAGCATAGAAGCTGATCCGTAGTACTCTGCGCGAACAAGGCTCTTCTGGACGCAAAGCCATCCCTCTCCGACCAGCTCAAACCCATCATCTCGTCCGAAACATCCATCGTCCTCCTCCAAAATGGTGTCGGTGCCGAAGCCCCTCTCCACGACTCCTTTGCCTCCAACACCATCATCTCCGCGGTAGTATGGACTGGTGGTCGGGTCGCCGCTCCCAAGGACGGCCAAGCGGGCGTAGAGAACTTCAATCGCGAAGGCCTGACTATCGGAGTGGATTACAAGGAGGGCGGAGACCGCGCGGCCGAGAATGCCCGATTGAAGGCGATCGTCGGTATGCTTGAGAAGGGCGGGAGCGAGTGCAAGGTCGTGGATGACATCCAGTCTGAGCGGTGGATCAAAGTCATCTGGTACATCGTTCCCAGCTGCGTCACAACACGGCTGACCCACAGGAACTGCTGCTGGAACTCCCTGACCACTGTATCTCGCCAACGTACATCCACCTTCTTTCTCTCCTCGGACGAGGCGCTTCCGCTCTGCTACACCATCATGCGCGAGGTTGAGGCGGTCGCTAAGGCCAAGGGCCTGACCATCCCCGAGGGCACGGTCGACCGGCTCATCAAGGAGTGCACAGTCGTCAAGGCGGGTCTGCCGAGCTCCATGCTGTTTGACTGCTTGGCGCATCGGGCGATGGAGGTCGAGGTGATCCTGGGCACGCCGTTGAAGGAGGGCAAGCGGCTAGGCGTGCCGGTGCCGACTCTGACTGCGTAAGTTGTCTCGCCCGTAACGTTGAAGGCACAGCTGACTCGCAGACTGTATACTATCGTTAAGGCGCTGGACTACGCCAACTTGCATCCCGATGAGATTGTCTTGTAGATGGTGGCATGCAGAACGAATGTATTCTGGAAGCCGCACAGCTATTAGGTTCTGGTTTCCTAATAAAGTGAATATCAATAGTAGCTCCATTTCCTAATGGAGTGATGACGAGGGCTCGGTGACAATCTACCGCCCGCTGGCCCATGCCGGCGGCATGTTTCATGTTCTCCCGACGAACGTGTGCATCATTCAACCAATAGGATTCCGAGCACACACACACACGGCACACGACACTCACGGGGTGCCTGTTTCAGGGCGGGGGAATGTGGAGTCTCCGTTCTATTTGTAGCTCAGCCGCTCTTCCCCGAATTGGGGGCATTCAACTTTTTCTCATGACGAGCCGAGTGTGAATATAGAAGCAGCAAACATCTCTGTCCCTTCTACTCACCCTCCAACTCACTCATACGCGCCCTCATGTCGGCCGGCCCGCTCTCCGCGTTCAACTCGCCAAATATCCCCGCTCGGAATCCAACGATCCCCGAGACGTTTGACGCTGAAAATGCGACGCTCGCTGCTAGCGGCAGTGGTGGTTCCAGCGAGGTAGTTCCAAGCAAGTTCAGCAAAGAGCACCTGCTTTACGATGATCTGGCTCCCGAGGACAGCTACCAAGATGGTGTCTACTGGGTGAGTACTGTCGTTAACGCACTACGGGGGTGCCGGTCATGTCGAAATGGTCTGCTACGGCGGTAGCGCTTCACTGCTAATATCACAGGCCGACCTGCCATTTGCCAAGCGGCAAAAGTGGATCAACGCTCAAGCCAACGGAGAGACCAAGCGGGAGATGGCACACGTCTGGGGCATGTTCAAGAAGGACCCCTTATCCCCCCTCGCCGCCTACTCCAGGCGATACGTCATGACCGGCTTTGGACTCTTCACTGAGGGCTATACGTGAGTCCTCCTTCTATCGGTTTGGTGTAGTGCTGACGGTCAGATTGTTCTCTATTGGAAATCTGTCGGCATTGTATCGCTCTGTGTGGCCACAGTGCTGGTCAACGCATGAGGTCTGCAGCGCCAACTGGATCGCCGCGGTCGACTATTTGCAGATCATCGGTATTATCGTCGGGCAGATTATGGTCGGCTTCGAGGGAGACTGGGTGGGGAGGAAGGTCGGACTTGTTCAGGACGCGTTGATCATGACTTGTGCGTATCATACACCTTGGCCTTTTCCCATTTCGGCATGGCTAAGCTTGCAGTCGGTCTTGTCATGCTCACTGCTTCATGGGGGACCAATCTCAATGGCTGGGTAATATGCTATGGATGGTATGTTTTTCCTCAGCTAGTGGTCGGATCAGACAGCTAATCAAGGCAGGTGCCAGTTTATCTACGGGATCGGTGTAGGCGGTGAATACCCCATGACCTCGACTACCGCCCTCGAGTCCCAGCGGGGGCATGGGGCACAGCGGGATGACAAGCTTCACCGAGGACGGAATGTCGTGCTGGCGTTCTTGATGCAGGGTGAGTCTCTCGTCTATTACTTCTCAGCTCATGCTGACTCTCAGGATGGGGACAGCTCTTCAACCAGGGCCTGCTTATCATCCTCCTGCTTATCTTCCATGGAGGAGGAAATCCACCGTAGGTCTGCGTCCCCCTCGACTTCAAGTATCGCGCTCATCTTCAGCTACGGTACGGTCGCCGCCCAGTGGACTTACCGAGTGTCTTTCGGTATCATGGCAGCCATGACCCTCTGGCTCGGTGCGTCGCACCTCAAATCACAAAGAATCAGCTCATCATCAGCGTACTACCGATACTACCGCAAGGTCTACTCGTCCGCTGCTCTCAAAAAGTCAAAGAAGAACGCCCATGTCAACCAGTCGGGCTACGATGTCCACTCCCTCAAGCTCGTCTGCTCGCACTTTGGCGGACGGATGATCGGATCCACGATGGGGTGGCTCTTCAACGATTTCCTGTTCTACGGAAACAAGCTCTTCGCATCGACTTTCATCGCCATCATCTCACCCTCGGCCGCCAACAATGTCATTGTCAGCTGGAACTGGAACCTTGTCAATATCGGTGTCTCGCTCGTTGGGTACTACCTCGCCGCTCTCTTCATCGACCACAAGATGTACGGCCGACGCAGGATGCAGATCGTGGGATTCCTTGGGGATGGAATCTTGTTCTTGATATCTGCTAGTAAGTCTACCTCTACCCGTGCTGAACTTAGCTGACAAGTAGTCTGGTATGATGAGCTCCGCACGCCCGGACGGATTGCAGGCTTCCAGACCATCTACTACCTCTCTTCCTTCTTCCAGCAATTCGGTCCCAACTGCACCACCTTCCTCCTCGCCGCCGAGATCTTCCCCATCTCCGTTCGCGCCACCGCACACGGGCTCTCCGCCGCCGCCGGCAAAGTCGGCGCCCTCCTCCCCGCCGTCATCTACAACTACGTCGATGGCCGAACCCGATTCTGGATCGTCTGCTGGTTCGGTTTCGCCGGCTGCATCGTCACCCTCCTTTTCATCCCCGACACCACCGGTCTCGATCTGCGCGAGCAGGACCGGTACTGGAACTTTGTGCGAGAGGGCAGGGCTGGCGAGTACAGGGGTATTGCCGTTCACCCGCGTCATTTGAGTTGGTGGGAGCGCGTAGTGCTCAAGCGGCATCTGGCGTATGATGCGGAGAAGGACCGGGAGATGCGTGTCAAGGAGTTGAGGGTGGCGTATGAGGAGAAGCAGGCGTCGAGTCTGAAGGAGAAGACAAGGGAGGAGGAGATGGAAGAAGAGGAGGATCAGGAGCTGCTCAGCACGAACGCGAATAGCTTCTTTGCTAGTAAGTCCTCTGCAGTCCAAGTCAGGGGTCAGTGCTAATCTCCAGATGAGCGCGCAGAGAAGCCGAGCGGAACAATCTAGACGAGTACTGCTCGATCTGACAACAAGTCAATGTATCCCTATGTCCTGTATGATTCTGATTCAATCCGCAAGGTCGCCGTCTCTTTCACACTTAACATTCCTCGAGACTGCGCGCTACTGTCCCATAGGCAGCTTGTTCATTCTGCACACGGTGCATGTTGATGAAACTGAGTCTAGATATGAGGGACAATAATATAAACAGTAAGATCCCGGAATCCTCCCGCCACTTGCTCGTCACCGAGTACGCCCAAGCCTAAGCGCGGTCGAATCGCACGATCGGGACCGTGTGGATACTATCCTCTTCGACATCCGGAAGCTTCTTGAACCCGTCATTACCGTTCCCGCCATCGCTGTCGTAACTGACGTCGAGCTCGTTTCCATGACCCCTCTTGCGCTTAATCTCGGTCTCCAGCTAAGACAATCAGTTGAAAGCGTACGATGCAGAGGACCCAGACTCACACCAGAGATCTCGTCGTCCCGCGCGCGGTAGGTCTCGGTCTGGACCATGACCTGGATGGTGGGCTGCTTGCCGCGGGATTTGAGAGCGTAGGTGTTGTTGCCCTGCAGATCAGCACGATTCGCGGCGCAGAGAGACGATACTTACTCCATTAGTGGAGGCGGTTTCCAGCTCCCGACGAAGGGTGAACTTGGTGTTGAGGACAGCAATGAGGCAGATCGCAAACACCTTGGCGGAGAAGACAAAGAAAATGGGCCAGGAGGTGGCCGCGTTCGAGACGTAGGTAATGAGGAAAGCGGTGGAGCTGGTCGTCAGCGCGGTCCAGGGCTCTGGAGAGCAGGCTTACAGGATGGTAGGCGGAAGCTGAGTCTCGGCGGTCATGACTAGCAATTGCATCATGAGTGCGTCGGTCTGGGACCAACCGGTTTTGCTGCGGTAAAGGAAGACGGCGATGACGGTGGTGGTGGTGACATCGCACGCAAGATGGCATGAGAGCTGAGACATCAGCTGGGCCGCTAGTAGGAAAAGGTCGGTACATACCCATACGCAAGAGAGGATGATGAATGTGGGGGTACCGTACATGGTCGTGGCGATCGCCTTGGCCGTGACGCCGAGAGCAAAGGATACGAGGCTATTGCCGTCAATAGGTGTCGTCGAGTGCGCGTGAGATACTTACAGCAATGACATGAGGACAGCGCCGAGGATCTTGTTCGATCCAGACATGCGGTATGCGCGCTCGGCGAAGAATGTCTACTCGGTCAGCGCAGAGCTTCGCGAATGCGGTAGAACTCACGGAGACTGGGAACCGGACGAGGGCGTCGATGAGGTAGAAGAATGAGGCATCTACCGTATCAGCTACTAGCAAAGCATAACTTGTGAGCCGCAAACGCACACTCGATAGAGAAGAATTGCCTGGACTCGTCAGCTTGTTCGAGGGAGGCGACTGAGCGGAAGATGGCTCACCTGTATCGCCCAAAGTTGTACACGAACATTTCAAAGTTCCAGACCATCAAGCTGTATCGTCAGCTACTGTTTGGCGCTCATGGGGAAGGGACTCACAAGATCGTGATACCAATATTGAGCAGTACGACGTAGAACTACCTCTTTAGCTTCATTGTCGGCTCCGCGGCGGATACACTTACCACAAGCAGTCGGATCACCCATCGCTCAGCCTTGTAGCAGAAAGTATGCCATCTATTCGCCTGCATAACGAGGACACCGAGGAGCATGCAATCCAAGAACAGTCTGGAATCGTCAGCACTCTCCCCACAAGAGATCAGAGAGACTCACCCAAGGATATAGGGGGTAAGGTAAGCGGCCGGAGCGAGGCCAATGGTGCTCATTCCAAGTCCGTCGAGCTCTAACGGCGACGCCGCCAGGATGGCTTTGAAGTCATCCGACATTGCTGTTGCTTGAGGATGAGGACGAGGAAAGGAAGAGTGGGGAGGAGGGTGAAAAGACGGTGATGAGGATGGGGAATGAGATGAGTCTGCCCCTCAGCCGTCTCAGGTCATGAGTGTTCTGCTCATCTACCTAGACCTTGAGCTCGACCGCCTCCTCATCCCGAGAAAACCTTGCATCGGGATTCCGGGGCTCAGCGCTCGGATCTACGACCTCGGTGAATTCAACCTAATCCGTCGTCCAGGGTAACAGGCTTCGCAATATCAATTCTACGGTCCTCGTCTGTCCCCGTGGTGATGCTTGCCAAGGGGCTGACTCTTCGTAGCTTCGGAGGTAATATGAGTCTGGAAGCAGCGCATTGACAGGGTTAGCAAAAGGGGGCATGCGAGGCGTGTTTCAAAAGTTCCAAGATGAAAGGGGGTGAGTAACCCGATCGGCGGTGGCGTGCCGATCCGCGTACTGTTTCTTTTGGTCTCAGATCCCTGAGCTAGAACTCAGCTTCAGGTACCGGGAGATTGCGATGGCGTAAGCAAGATAAGATTACGGTGGCGATCAAAAGCTCCGGTCATGCCATGTGATGCACGGACCCAGCAATTCAATCATTAATCATGCTCTATATACAGAGCAGAGGTGTGGAGAAGCTCAGCGATCGTATTGCGCAGTCCACCCTGTCGAGCCGTCCCAGCAGGTCCCAGCAGTCTCCAGCGATTGCGATTGCGAGGTCTGGGCTGGCAGTACAGAGTGTGGGGGATACGAGGAGATGCAGTCGGCGGTTTGAAGCTGCGTGCATATCGCACACGAGCTAGAGATGCATGCCTAAGCTTCAGCCGACTCAGTGTTGCGTCGATCACAAATGAGCTCACTATGGGCGTGACCATATTACGACTGGTTGCCTGGCTGCAAATTGAAGCCATCTGACCTGACACTCAGCTCGATGACTTCGCGGCTAGATCGTGAGCGAACCGCATTTCGTTGAGACATGAGCGAGCCGCATCGTACGATACGACAAAAGATGCATCTCTTGAACGTATACACAATGCGCGCTGGAAATGCCGAGGCGAAAAGTGCCTGCCAGTCCCCTCCCACAGCAACGACCCCACATTCCCCTCATCCCCGCTCGAACCGCACCGACGGAAGCGGGTACAGGCTACCCTCCTCGATGTCAGCTAGCTTTTTGAACCCCTCGCAGTCGGCACTGTCTCCACCGTCAAATTCCACGTCGAGCTCGTTCCCATGGCCTCGCTTGCGTCTGATCTCGGAGCCAAGCTGTGATATCAGCTTCGGAGTCAATCGAGAGTAGAGGAGGACAAGTGAGCTCAGACGAACCCCACTATTGGCATCGTCTGTCTCAAGATACGTCTCGGTCTGCACCATCACCTGCACACTAGACTTCTTGGGGCGAGACTTCAGTGCGTACGTATTGTTGCCCTATTTTTCAGCTGATCCCATCTCGCCGGGTCGGCCATACAGAGTAGGACTCACGCCGTTCGAAGAAGCAGTCTCCAATTCCCGACGCCGTGTGTATTTAGTATTGAGTACCGCGAGGAGGCAGACTCCGAAGACCTTGGTGGTGAAGAGATAGAGAACGGCCCAAGTAGAGTTGGGATCGAGAACGTAGGTGATGAGTAAAGCAATTGATCTGGCTATCAGCCACGTCAAAGCGCCAGAGAAGAGACGTACATGAGGGTGGGCGGGAGCTGGGTCTCGGCAGTCAGAAGCAGCAATCGCGTCAAGATGGCATCAGTCTGGGACCAGCCGGTCTTGCTACGGTAGAGGAACAGGGCAATGACGGAGGTGGTGATCAAGTCGCCTGCGAGATGGCTAGCCATCTGAATTGTCAGCCAACTGGCGCCTTTAGGATGAGCGCATCACCCACCCAGATGTAAACGACACAATTGAACGTGTTGCTCCCGTGATATGTCGGGGCGATAGCTTTGGCGGCCACGCCGGTGGCCATCGACGAGAGGCTGTTATTGTGCGTCAGCTGAAGTCTCAAACAGTGAGAAGGTCGGGTGCCGAGTCACTCACCCCAAAGTAACGAGAATCATCCCCAAGAACTCGTTCGACCCTGACATCTTATAGGCGCGCAGGGAGAAGAATGACTGCTTGCTTAGTTTCAATTTTCAAAAAAGAGCATCACCCAGCACAGCTTACTGAGACCGGGAGCCTGGCGAACGCATCGAACAGATAATACCACGGAGCGACTACAGCGATTAGCGTCAGGTCATGTTGTGAAGGGGGGACGCGGACTGGTACGAGAAGAATTGTCTGAAAGGCTTTAGCAACGTCTCCTGTACCGAGATCAAACGCTCACCTGTACCGGCCAAAATTGTAGACGAACGAGTCAAAGTTCCAGGCGATGAGACTAATTCTTCAGCTCTCTCTCCGAGTTTTGCAGCTGAGCAGTACACACAAGATGCTCGTCCCGATGTTGAAAAGCACAACGTAGATCTGAGAGTCAGCTTTCCTGCAGTCGTCATATGGGGGAAACACATACAACCAGACACCGAGTCGGCCATCGCTCTGAGCTATAGCAGAACGTGTACCATTGATTGAACTGCATCATCAGGACGCCAAATAGCATGGAGTCCATAAATAACCTATAGATCAGCGCGGCTTGATGTGATGCAAAAGTTGACTTGCGCTAGGATATAGGGCGAAAAGGCCGCTGCCGGGTTCTGCCCAAACACGCTCAGCCCGTACATGTCCAGCTGTGCCGGAGTCAATGCCGCAAGAGCTTTGAGGGCTTCAGACATCCTGCAATCTAGTCAGAGATGGATATGAGGCAGTGAGCGGAGCGATGAGAGCGAAGGCAGCCAGCTGTGAAATCTTCTCCCGCTAGATTCAACCTGAGTATCGGCAACTCTTTCGGTCGTCAAGGTCGTCAGCGCCGCATATAAGACCCCAGATCGCTTGACGGCCCCTGAGCGTCCCAGAGGCGCCTCTGCGATGGGGCTGCATGTACTGATGAGGAGGGTGAAGGGAGGACCGAAGCGTGTATGTCAGGGCAAACGAGTTGTGTGGATCCACTCGGAACAGAGTTTCGGTCCGAGTTTCATCCGGTTTCAGCCCCTATAGATCTGTGCCTTTTCGGCACCGGGGGATAAGATTATGGGGCAACGCTGGGGCCATCACCACCCGAGTCAGTAAGTTGGGGTAGTGATGGATCATGCAGGAATGAAGTGATTGAGCGCAACCCAACAGATCTATCCGGGCGGGATCAGGCAAAATCCGCTTACGTCCGACCAGTTGGAACGTGGCGCCTGGTTGTTCAACGGTCATGGCAAGGGGGGTTGTCCTCCTCGATATCTGACAGTTGTGTTCTCTGGATGTAGCCTAGATCCATATACACATAGCTATTTTGACACCAACATTACTGACCCTTGCCCAATCCGCTAGCTGACACTCTGCCCTCAGCAGTCCCTTCTCTCACCCTCTAGCTCCCTTTCAGACCAGGCGGATCTCGGACGTGTTCATATCCTTGGCATCTTCCTGACCGTCCGGGAGTGAGTCGGTCGAGTCGTCCAGGCGAGCCACACTGTGAGTGGAGGCGCGTTTCCCAGCGATACCGATAGAGCCTGCGGCCTCGGACTGGTCATCAGCGCATCTCCACAAAATAGCAACAGAAGCTCACATGAGAGTACGTCTCGGTGGTGATGTTGATGTTGCATGCGGGCATGGACCGGTTGTGCGATTTGATCTCGTCTTTCTGCTGGATCAGCTGTTGCCCCTGAGCGGGAGGGACAATGGCACACCCAAGTGCCGGATGTCTCGCTGAGCATTCGGACAGAGAGCTTGTATCGCGAGTTGAGCGTCTCGAGGACACAAAGGATATAGACCATGGGCGTGCACCTTTGGATCAGCGCAGCTACTCAGGTGATAAAGAGACTTACACGAAGAAGCCGATATACGCCGGAGAGGGGGCGGTGATGTATGTGATGAGGAAAGCAAGGGTGAAGATGGCGGGTGGGAGTTGAGTTTCGATACCGACGCTGGCAATGAGCGCTTCCCTCCGCTCAGGATAGGTAAGACTCACACGACCAGCTTGTGGATCAAGGAATCGGTCTGCTTCCACCCAGTCCGAGAAGATAGAAGCTTGACAATGATGAGCGCGGTGATGGCCGTGTCCGCCGCGAGTTGGCTTCCAAGCTGCCCAGTCAGCAGATCTCGAAGTGCGGAGGACGAGATCAAGCTCACCCAGATGTAGGTGAACACGTTGGCAAGCTGGAGGCGTTTCTCATCGACTGTGTAGATGCCAGTGACCATGGCACCAATAGCTCCCGCAGCGTTAATCATTCTGTAGGTCGTCAGCTTGCTTCCATCTACTGATCTGCTGTACTCACAGGGTCGAAGTCAAAGCGACAGCCAAATATAGGGCTCGATCGTGCAGTTTCCACGCCCGCCGTGCGTAGAACCCCTTGAGCGTCAGCCTACCTTAAGATCCGACATGAGCGAGGCAGCTCACGCTGACGAGGATATGCACTGAACAGTCGAGAAGATAGTTCATCGAGTTCCCTAGCATTTCAGCCTAGTCCATGAGAAGAAGAAACACCTACAGATCGGATCTTGAGGGCTGGGCCTTAGCCCAAACCGGAACGCAAACTGCCGGAGTGTCGTGGCGAGTACGCTGCAGGTCAGCTCGCGTTCTAGGACGAGATGCTCAACTTACAAGGCTGTAGTGATGACGGACCAGAATGCGAGCAACACCTGCGAGGATCAGTAAGGTTCAAAGCGCAAGAGACTGGTTTCACTCACCACGAAAGCCTTCATCCCCCTGCGGTCTGTCGCATAGCTGAATTGCCAGTAGTGCATGAGGGACATCAGGCTGCACCCAAAGAGGATAGAGGTCGCGATGAAGCCGACCAAGGGCGGACCTTTGTAGTGGGCGATAGCGGGGAAGGTGTCGACGTTCATCTCCATCTTGGCGAGACTATCCTAATCGTGGTGATGAGGATGTGCGGGGAGCGTGGTAGGAGATGGAGGGAAAGAAAGAGATGATGAGCAGATCTATGAGATTCTGTCGTGGAACCGAGTGAGGGTTGATCAGCGGTGCACGAAAGCTAACATCCCCTGATGCCGCACGCCTCCCACACAGACTCGGGTCCGCCAGATCCGCTGGCATCGGGATAGGCTGGCCGACGAGAATCTAATCAGTATCGGTTGAGATGATGGGGAATAAGCTTCGAGATCGGGTGTCGGCAAGCGAGGAGACAAAGCGACAACCCTCCTTTGGCTGCGACCGGCATGATGGCCGATGTCAGACACGGTCCATGTGCGGATGCCGCCCCATCAGGGTACCTGAGACGATCAAGCAGAAGATAGAGGGCGACGGCGCTGTAGAGACCAAGGAAGAGTTGGAGAAGAGACGCGAAGATGATCCTCGGCGCGAAGATTCCTTGCATGGCCTCCGAGCGCGGGGCCCCAATGGCTTGTCCCATGAGCTATGGCTCTGAAGCTTCTCTGGCCAAGTCTGTCGCCCCATGACTACGAGCAGCGCGCAGACCGAGGCAGGGGCATGATTTGGATGACATACAAACCCTGAGCGCTCTGAGCTCCAGCGTGGACGAGGCATAGCATTCCTTCAATCCCTCTCGACGTTGAGGAGTGGCGAAGTCGAGTACCGGCTGAGGGGAGATAGCTGGCTGGTCCAAGGTATCGTGACTGGCTCATGTGCAGGCATAACACTGACTCGGGATTCGCACGATGTACAGGGGATTATACCTTCAGCCAATACTGTATCGGATAAGCTAGAGGAAAAGATGCATGAACCCAATGAGCAAAACAAAATGTCTGTAGACCTACGCCCACCACCTCCTCGATCGCATCTACGCCGAGTCCAGCCTATCTCGCAGAGAAGACCTAGACCAGGTGGATCTGAGACGTGTTCAGCTCCTTGATGTCGTCCCTGTCGAGCGATTCGTCCGATTCGGAGGCCTTGCCGCCACCGCGGACAGGGGTGCGCTTACGCTCCATGTCGTTGATCTCGAGGGTGTCCTCCTGCATGGTCAGCGAGCATCCTTGAGGATCGAGCCCGATATAAAGTGTGAATAGGCTGGTACGCACATGACGGTACACATCGGTCGTGACTTCAATCTTGGTAGCTGTCTGAGTGCGCCGAGAGAGTGCTCCATCATCCTTCTGTATATCATCAGCTGGGCGATCTACTGCCCGAGAGGTAAGACGTACCCAGGTGGAAGGCTTGTCGGTCTGACGTGCGGACATGGTGTATCGAGAGTTGAGCGAGGTGATGAGACAGAGGACGTATACCATGGGGGTGCAGCTATACTTTCAGCTTGGACGGGGATTCGACATGGGAGGACCTACACAAAGAAGGTGATGTATTCAGGTCGGGCGGCAATGTAGGTCGCCATGAAGGCAATAGCCATGATAGCAGGGGGAGCTTGTGTCTCGATACCGATCCTGCCCATCAGCTACTGTCCGCTCGTCATGAGTGGGAAACTCACACGACGAGCTTGTGAATGGTAGAGTCGGTCTGCTTCCATCCGGTACGGAGCTTGAGCAGCTTGTACACAATCAGGGCCGTGATGGTGGTGTCGCCCAAAGCTTGACTGATGGACTATCGCATCAGCACTGAGTCTTCTCCAGATGTGAAGTGACTCACCAGGGTATAGTTGAAGGCACTGAAGCGCTGAATAGTAAGCTTCGACCTCAATCATCGTAAAACGGTCTACTCACAGCGAGATCGCTCAAGGTAAGAATCCGAGCCATCCGCGCAGCCATGGCTCCAATCGCAGCTACAAAGCTGATCAGACTGAATGGTCAGCTCACTCTGGGAAATGCCTAGGCTGTCACTCACAGGATAGAGGACAAGCCAATAGCGAGGTATATGGGCCGGCCGTACATCTTCCACGCTCGTCGAGCGAAGAAACCCTGCAAGTCAGCAGAGCCGATGGTGCGATGTAGATATAACTCACACCGACAACGCAATGCGTGAGGGCATTGACCAAGTAGTTCAAGCTCTCCCCTGTCATATCAGCCACGGCTCAGGCCAATCTGACTCTGGACTTACACATCGCATCATCTGGACTGAAGCCCTCTGCAAATCAGCACCGCCCTGATCACAAGGTGGGTCACTTACGGCCATATCTGAATACAAATTGGCGCAAAGTCGAAGCTACCACACTAGCCGTCAGCCAAGGCCCCTACTTGAGGTCCAAGACCTACAACACCATCGAAATGCATGCGAGGAAGGCGGTGACCAGCTGAGTGGGTCAGCCAAGGCTCGCTCTGGTCTTCCGAGGGTACTTACCACCAGCGACCTCGTACCCTTGCGATCAGTACCCCAGCTGAACTGTAGGTAGTTCACCATGGCGAGGAGGGAGCATCCGAAGAGTACGGTGGTCACAATGAACCTGGGCAATCAGCTAGATCGAGCCGACAGAGACATTACTCACCCCATCATCGGCGGGCCCTTGATGTGCGCCATCGCCGGGACGAGGTCCGGGTTGATGATAGGGAGGTTGAGGGGTAGCGACATGGCGGGCAAAAGAATGTGAGGAGTGACGAGAGCTGAACAAGAAATGAGCGAGGTGACGGGTCGAAAGTCCACTGAGATATAGGAAGGGGAAGAAGAGGTCAGTGCACTCGCAATACGAGCAGTACGTTAGACCGTGCCTCGTCCCTAGTCCGAGGTCCGAGCTGAAATTCTGAAACAAGCCACATCTTTATCGTGGTTAAGCGCACTTGGCCTCCGCTCAAAGTCCAGAATCACGGAATGCGGCTGTACGACGCTCAGGGGCTTCCCGGTGCCGATCTCGGCGCTCGGAGATTTTCAGCAGTCATTCGAGGACTATATATTGGCTCTGTGTTGTGTGCAGGAGGAGCTTGTTCCCTATGCATGCCGACGGCAGTGCGGGCACGGTTACAAAGTTGATGCAGTATCGCCGAAAGCAGTAACTCGACTCAATCTGAAACGTGTTTCAAAGTCGCAAGGAACGAATTGCCCAAAGAGGCAGGCGCGGAAAAGCGGACATCGCCGAGGTATAGTAGCCCCCAAGATAGAGAAACACCTCGTCTCGGAGCTTGGTAGAAGAGCGAATGCGGCCGTATAGTTTCGGTCGATGGTATTCGGACTTGAGAGTCTGCGCATCGACGGTGAGATATTAATGAAGGTGGATGGGGCGTGTGAGCTCGCGTGAGCTTGAGTAAGAAAGGCTGAAGGCCACCGATCCGGTACCGGCGAAAAAAGTTACGTGATGTAGAATTCCGTCGGAAGCAGGTCCATGAGGAATGTGGTGCAGCCTCTGCATGGCCCGCTTCTGCACTTCCATCCCTGCCACCTGCTCTCCGCTCATGTACCTATGCCAGCCTGACCGCGGACGTGCCCATCTTGACGCCCTGGGTCTCCTCAAGCTCGTCCAGCGAATCGGTTGGTCCGCTTGATCTTCCCCCGCCGCGTACTGGCGCGTGATTGACGTCTATCTCGGCAGTATTGGTCGCCCGCAAGTCAGCTTTGCCCCTCATCCTCTGAAATGATGGCCACCACCCTGAGGACTGGGAGGTGAAGAAGAAAGCGGAGAGGAGATTGTGAATGGCGTGTGAATGGAGGAGAATCAGGGAAGTAAGGACAGCTTGCAGAAGTGTACGTTTCAGTGATCGATGACCTCGATACTGGTTGCGGCGAACGCGGATCGGGAGATTTCTGCTCCTTCTTGATCTTTGTCAGCTGCAGCTAATATGAAGAGCTCAGGCCAGGTGCTCACTCGAGAAGCGGTCACCTCCTCGGTCAGATTTGCTGACATTGAGTATACGTATCGCTCGTTTAGGATGGCAAAGAGTCTGGTTCCAGAGCGTATATCATGGGCACGCAGCCACAGCTTTAGTTGCTGTCGATTTGGTCCTCATACTACTCACATGAAAAAGCCGGCAGAGAAGCAGCGGTGATATAAGCGATTAGGAACCCGATTGACCTGCTTGGCAGGAAATTAGATCTCGGTTCACAATACTCGTTGATCCCGGTGCATTGCTCACTTTTCAATGATATGATAGCTCATCCCGATACTGGCGTATCAGTTGAGTAGTTGATACTGTTCCCTACCAGCGGTCAGCGGGGCCCGCGCAGCGATGCCGGACGAGAACTCACAGATAGCATCTTCTGCGTTGGAAGCAAGGCCAAAGCCGGAGGCGGATTGACGCAACGTGGGTGGCCAAGACGCTGCACGTCAGGTCCATTCCAGACAGCCTCAGAGCTATTTCTCACAACGCTATTGCTAGGACAGCAACCGAGGCCTCTCCAAACCGCTCGCGTCAGGGTCAGGCATCACGCGAGAGGGCGGCCATCACCCAAGGATTCTCAGCCTTTTGCCCTCCGAGGGGTAGCTGTACTGCATATAGGTGGTGGATTGCAGCGTGAAGACACCGAAGCAAATAGGGGTGACGATGAACCCGCTTGTCAGCTGCGGTCTAGCATTTTGCTCTCTGTTTGGACGTGACCCTATCAGGGCGGACCCGGGTAGTTGGCAATGTCAGGTAAGTTGTCCGGTGTCGTCTCCATTGTGGCGAGTGGCTGGGCGGGATGAGCGCGATGAGCAAGAGCAGAAGGTACAGCTATAGATTAGATTGAGTAGCAGAGCTGGGGAGCGAAAATTTGGGGGCCGCAAAGTTCAGAACTCAATCTGGCGCGGTCGGCTCAAGTCCGCTGAGGTCGGACTTGTGCTAGGCACAGATGTATCAACATGCAACATGGCTGCCTTGAGCTATCCGGTAAGACGATGACCTATTGTCAGTACCTGCCGTCCTTACGGTCACCGATCTCGTTAGCGGTACCGGGGTCAACATGAGCAAGAAGGGACTCAGGTCCAGGGGAGCGTCAGTGATGCGGCTTCGCGCCAGGCAACCCGCGGCATTGTGTGGGTTTCTGCGGCTCCTCAGAGGTCACTGTGACTGTGATACCACTGCAGCGTAGGGTTGATGAGGGACTGCACGTCAGGCTGGCTAGCGATGACCTCAAACCCGCATGTCGGATATTAGCTGACATTCGCATCTCCTGATTGACCATGTCCCTCACGCTTGAGGAGAAGCTTGACGAATCACCCAGTTTAGCGCGAGCCAGCGCGATCAGCACGTCCATTTCAGTAGCTCAGCAGGATACGGCCGTAGATGATACAAGCTAAGATGATGGGCGGATCATCATGGTCCGAAATCCTCCTCTCACTCAAGTCCGAATTTTTAAAATACAAGTGCTCATCTTCGCCTTCCCTTTCCCTTCTTAGCACCCATCTCTGCCCTTTCCATCATGTCACCCGACACAAAAGCCCTTGACAGCTCGTCCACTCAAACGGGAAGCTCTGACAGCGCACAAGCCTCCGGCAGCCATGCGCAGAGCACGGCGGAAACGGAACACGACCGCATGGTCTCCGGCCAGCCTTACCTCGCCATGACCGACCCCTCTCTCCTTCTCGCTCGGCTGCGCGCCCGACGACCTATGCAGGCGTACAACAACTACCCATGGCCAGATCATAAAGCCACGGACGACTACTTTGGGCCAGATGAGCGCCGGGAACTCTTGGGCGAGGTGTTTGGATTGACGGTGGACGAGATTAAGGCCAAGCCGCTAGAGATTGAGCCGCCGTTCTATGTCGACTATGTGAGCAGTCTGTTTTGGTATGTATGTATCTGCTGATTGACAGGGTACCAATGTCACGTTCGAAGGGTCTTTCTACGCCAATATGGACCTCATCCTCCTCGACTGTGCGCCCATCAAGATCGGCACGCGCGTTCTCTGCGGTCCTCGCGTCGGCCTTTACGCCGCGACACACTCCACAGACGTGGATGAGAGGCAGGGAGGGTATGAGAGGGCGTATCCGATCGAGATAGGGGACGACTGCTGGATTGGCGGAGGGGCGATCATCAACGGGCCGAGCAAGATTGGGAAGGGGTGTACCATCGCTGCTGGCGCGGTGGTGAGTCACGCTTTCTCCAAAAGGGATATGAGCTGACTCTCTAGGTGAGGGGCGACTTCCCGGACTACTGCGTGATTGGCGGGGTACCTGCGCGGATCATCAAGCATATCGACCCGCCGAAAGGCCTGCACGATCTGGAGAAGTATCGCTGATCTTGCTCCGTGTTTTAGCCGTATGGAATCCCCCGGACCCATGGACCAGTCGCATTCTTTAGGCAACCGATTCTACTGATCGAGCTCGCAATCTCCGTCGAGTAGCGAAAGATGACTTCCTGCAAGCAACGAGGACTCCTCCGGCCGGGACGAGCGGGGAGATTGGCAGAATGCTCTGCTTCGGTGGTCTGACCGTGCTCTAACCCTTGAATCTCTGATAGGCATGCCAATGCATCTGATAGTCATCGCTGCGCTGATCCCAGTTCATCCAATAGAAAGACAGCGATGCGAAGTGTAGTGCAACGAATCCGCGTCCGAATCCGGCTCCGAGCCATCATCCGACCCCGGACGTGGAAGACCTTGAGCAAGCGATTCCATCTGGCTTCTCCAAGATCTGACCACCTCGGGATCCGCCATTAGCAGCCTGATGCGATCAGAGGCCCGCCGAAAGTCCCTGCTCTCACCTCTCAGCTTGCGAGCGAGAGTGATGCCCGGCACAGGTTCCCCTACAAGGTCTGTTTCATCCTCAATCAGCACGTGCAAGTGCTTCTCGCGATTGATGGCATCATCCATATCCTCCTCGAAGTCGTCATACACCTTGATCAGCGAAAGTTGTCTGCCCTTCAGATGATGGTGAGGGTCCATGCTCTGGTTGAGATGGTCGGCGATCGCCTGAGCGTCGCGCAATCGATTGGCGGCGTGTCGGTCCTCTTCGCCCCTCCAGTGATTGCGTGCTCGGGCTCTTGTGAGTTGCTCTTCGATGGACTCGGTCACTGCTCTGCTCGGGTCTCCGCCACTCCCCGAGTTGCCGCTGAAGTCGTGCGTGAGCGCCATCGTGTCCTGACTCGCGTGCACGGGAACCACAGTGACGGGGGACGCGTGTACGGGCAACAACGTCGAGACAGTCCTCGTGCTGCAACCCTCGTATGTTCTGTAATGGACCATCAAAGCATTAGTCAGAGTGTTGAGGATGACGAGGCGGAGATCCACTTGAGAGGGATCAGGGAGAATCGTCGCCAGAGCGATCTCAGACCATGGCTGGCTGGTGATTGCATCGGCGTTGATCTCCACTGGTCCCCCGATCACGTTGCTCGGACGCCGTTCCGCCTTGATCAAGCAACCGAGGTGCTCCACCTCGCCCTTGCTGTCTGTCTTGGGACGGACCGCGCACATTGTGATCTTGAAGTCATCGCCGCACTTTGAGCCCTGTATAGAGGCTGACAGGAGTTCGCGAAAGTACTCGATGGAGGCCGTATGAGAGCTCATTGCCTGTATCTGTCTTGTGAGGAATGATCTTGAACGGTAGGGAGAATGAATAAGGGGTTGTGTTGCGTATGGTATCGTCGGTTTGTGGGTGGCGGCGGCGATACGTACAAAGGCGTGAGGGAGGCTGGGCGATTCAGGTCGCCACTTCAACTCGCCCTTGTTCACCGCTGGGAAATCAAAGGATGAGTGAGCACGGCAGTTGTAGTCGTTTCAGGTAGACGCTAGCACTTTCCACTTCCGTGTTATCAGTATTGGAAGCTGCCTGTGAAGTCCACGCGTAATTGTGAGTATGGTCAGTAACCCGGAGGTCCTCGGTCGACCTGGTATGTCCATGCTATGCACCACACCAGAGCAGAAACACCAACGGATACACCTAGTACCCCTCCCTCATCCTCGGCTCTACCAGCTTTCTCCGCTCAATCACACCCCTCCTCGCACTCTCAATAAGCCCCACCCACTCCTTTGCCTCCTTGGCGCTCCCCGCCCGCAACGCGATCGTATCCCCTCCTCTGTGCCTATCCACTTTGACCGCAAAAGCAGCGTCCCTTCCCTCCTTCACCGCCAGCTCAAACAGGGGTATCGGCATGCGGTACAGATTCCTGCTCTCAATGAGAATGAGGATATCGTTACACAGCACCAGCTGGAGCTTCTTGCCCGACTTGGCCTTGCTTACCGCGCCTTCCTTGATGAGACGCCGCGGGCCCTGGTATTGCGTCGGCGCGGTAAGGTCGATCCGGCCCTCCCCGCCGACCCAGAGATCTTCCGAGAGGACGCGGAGCCGGTCTTCGTTCTCTGCTTCCCGGACAGACTCGTTGATGTTGCCGACGATGGACTCGATGGTGCGTAGTGCCGAAATGACGAGGGCGAGGTCTTGGTCCGGTTCGGTATAGTGGGCGATTTGGCGCAGGAGGAGGGGGTAGCGCGTGATTCGTTGCACTAGACTCAGCTGAGTCCTACCTTGAGCAGGGTGGGCTTACTGGGTATGAGGAGGAAGCTCGACAAGTCCAGTCCGCGCACTTCCGGATTAGTGTCCCGGATGTTCTGTAATCAGCCCCGCTCAACCCAAACCAAACCAAGTGAGGACTCACTTCCAAATGCCGTCTCAAGCCCTCATCCCCACCCCTCAGACTCCTCAAGACCCCTTCTGCTCCTTTCTGATTCACACACCACGTCTCGTACACCCCCATCCCGCCCGCATTCTCCGCCAATATATCCCCGATCACATCCACATACAGCCTGCAGCTCTTCTGCCTTTCCTCGAGGCTCGACAGGAAGCCGGTATTGAACAGCAAGATATCCTCGATATTGGCGAAAATGACGGTCAGGGCCTTTTCGTCCATCTCGGGGAAGGACTGGAGGAGGGAGGCATAGTAGACGTTGACGATGAGTTGGAGGTCCCGATTGTAGGTGGATTCGGTGGCTATGAATTCGAATATCGCCTGGGAGTCAGCTTGGTCTCCCAGAAAATGAGATTCCAGCTCACCTCTTGCCGCTTTCGCTCGCGCGTACTCATCGTCTCCAATACACTCGGATCGACCAGACTGCTCCATGTCTTCCCCATCTCCCCGTCCTCCTCTGCGCTAGCTTCACCCTCGTCCCCGCGCCGGATCGGCCCACTGATGACTTTCCGCCCCGGCGTCGACCCCGTAGCAGAATCGTGGCTCGCAGAAGGCGCCATCATCCTCGAGAAGAAACCCGTGATCTTTCCTCCGCCTCCGCCTTGTCCAGCTGAACCAGCCGTCGGAGTCGGCGAGACCGGAACGGGGAGACCGAGATCCGAAGCCGTAGAGGCAGGGCGCTGAGTCGCGGTGTTTGCGCGGGGACGACGAGACTTGGTCTGCGCTTGATGGAGGTACTGCTCGTACTTGGCATACGCGTCTTGTACCTCCACCTCGGGCTCCCTGCCGTCTGACGAGACACCCGATATAGGTCCTTTGAGCGGTACGCCCGGTGCCTTCCGCCTTGACTTGCGCGCTTTGAGCTTGGCCCCGCCCGCACCACCGCCACCAGCAGCAGCAGGAGCAGGAGCAGCAGGAGCAGGTCGACGCGGCTTGGTAGCCTTCGTCGAAGCCGGCGTGGATCCAGGTGGTTCCCGCCGTAAGATTAGACCTGCAGTTTCGAGGATTTTCTGCCGCGTCTCTTCCCGCCGCTTCCGCTCCGTCTCGCGCTCCTCATCCTCCGAGTCCGCATCGTCGCTGGACCACCAGGACAGTACCGAGTCGTCCCCGCTGGACGAGCCCTCGTCGTCGGTGCTCCCGGCGGAAGCGGCCGACGCAGCGGAAGTAACGGAGGAGACGGTGCCTGACCGGAGGCGGGATACTGCGGGGATAGCGGCAGCGGGCAGAGGGGTAGGAGCGGGGAGGTCTTGATCGTGGTTCGAGGGGACAGGCGCTGGTGGCAGAGAGGAGGGTGTATGAGTAATGTCAGGTAGTCCTGCATCTCTGCCTGGTGCGCCTCGCTCAGTCGACCTTGAAGCAGATGGTGTTTGCTGGGCGAGAGCAGGCGGAGGAAGAGCTTGACGTCGAGAATCAGTACCGTCACCTGCTTACCATAAGCCACCATCCCAATACAGGTATTCCGAACCAATAAATTGCATTCCAGGGTTTTTAGGGTATAAGATAAACAGGAGAAAGAGGAAGTGGATTTCAGCCTGTGTAAAGAACCAAGCGTAAACAGAAGTTCTCTCTCAGGGATGAAATGTCGACTTACCCTGTACGACCTCGAGATACGAAGCAGGAACCAAAAAGATGACGCCGGCCTTTTCAGTCTTCCACCAGTCGTCCTCTGATCGGTCGACGATCGTCAAGGTGTCGCCCTCGAGGAAAGGGAGCTGGTCGGCTTCACCGCCTTCGTACGAGAAGAGAGCGCGGGCTCTGGTTGCTGAGGAGATGAGTAAAGTTCACCTTGAATTGTCCTTGAGACCATGGGGGGAAGGGGGGTTCGCGTGAGAAGTGAGAATAGGAATCGAGAAGTGGAAGGAGGCGATAGGGATAGGGAAAGGTATTAGAAGCCAAGAAACCACTTACACTGCATCTCCTCGGCATAGGTATGGGGGAACCACCCCTTCTCCCCCGACTTGACGACCGTACCATACCACCACGGACTGCTCGCGTCCTTGGCGGGGTGTGCGGCAATCACGACGTTTTCGGCAAACGAGAGGTCGACCTCGCGTTGACCGTCGTAGCTGTAGAGCGAGCGAACTCGGATTTCTACTGTATCAGCACTAGCACCATCGATCCCCTTGCCCCGTTGCCCCAACTCCGCGCCTCCTACCCATCGTCTCTGAATACCCGAAAGCTGAAGTAAAAGTCAACTCACCTCGCGTCATATCAAACTCATCCAATCCGTCTCCATCCCCATCCCCTCCAGCCGCCGCCGCCGCCTCACTCTCATCCTCCTCCCTCGTCGTCCCCAAAGTCTGCTCATAATTCTGGGCCGGATGACTCTGATCGGCCGCCAAGCCAGCATACCAATCCACCGATTGACGCTTATTGACACCGTGGCTTTCGTCCCTCGGCTCCGTCTCCCCACTCTGCTCCCTCGAGTCAGTCCTCGGCTCATCCCTCTGCTCGGTCCTCGCACTCGCCGGAGGAGGGGGAGGCGAAACAGCCCTCGGCTGCGCATTAATATGCGCAGGGGGGGCCGCATCACCCACCACCCGTCCAGAAATACCCCCCTTCTCCACCGTCTGCGCCTTCTTCAACCTCGCCCCTCCCTGAATCGACGCAAAGAGCGCGCCCATACCCCCCGATCCAGGCTCGGGCACACCCCCGCCCAGTTTCTTCAGCGCCTCGGGATTACTGCGCGCGGTAGTTGGGGTGTTTGTGCCAGATCCGGGCGCAGGCGAGCCGATCTCGGGCCGAATAGACACAGGAAGCATGTTGGTGACGGCCGTAGGCAAAATACCGCCAAAGAGGGCCGAAGCGAGCTTGTTGCGCTGTTGACGAGAAGTGGCATAGTCGTCATCGGACGAATCGTCGGAATCTTCGTCTTTTTCTTGGATCTGCTCCCATTCGTCTTCGGCTGGCTTGGGGGCTGAGCGGGGTTGCTGCTGCGCCACTATAGCAGGCGCAGGCGCAGGAGCAGGGGGCGCAGGCGGAGGAGGTGGCGGGGGCGGTGCCGGCGCGGATTGAGCAGAAGTGGGTGGCGTAGACGACGCGGCCGCGGCGGCGGGAGGACGGAAGAACGGGTTGAATCCAGCTCCGCCGGTACTTGGCGCAGGCGCCGGAGTGGGGGAAGTCACAGCGGAGCTGGCGGGGGAAGTAGCAGCCGCCGCTGTCGTCGACGGCTTGCGGAAGGGATTGTACCCGCCTCCACCCCCAACAGCCGGAACGGACTCCGCGGCTGGCTGTGACTGTGACTGCGGCTGGGCCGAAGCAGCCTTCGCAGCCTTGCGCTTCGCAATCATCTCTTCCTCCTTGACCCTCTCCTCCTCTTCTTCCTTCTCGAGCTGCGCCATCCGGGCTTTCCGATCCGCCGCTGCCTTTTGCCTCTTTTCCTCCCTCTGCCTCAACTCGACCTCTTCCGGGTCTTCTTCTTCCTCTTGTTGTACCTCCTTGACCGGGGGCTTGGGGACGGGGCCAGGGGCGGCGCTAGACTTGGACACGGGCGGTGCGGGGGGTTGCTTGGAGCGCGAGACGGGCGCAGGGGGAGGAGCAGCCGGTTTCTTCATGGCTGATTTGACCGGTGCCTGTGCCGGTACCGCCGAGCTGGGCGGTACCTCCTTCTTCTCCTCCCCACCCCCAGCCCCTGCTCCGCCGACGAGCCGCTTCTGCCTAGACTCCTCCCGTGCCTGTTGCTCCTTCTCGGCCGTCCTCGACTTTTCCTCCGCCTCCTTCCTCTCCCGCTCCAATCGCTCCTGCACCGAGTTGTCCACAATCGGCTGCGCTTGCTCAGGCTCCGAGGTCTGGACGCCGAGCGCGCGCAGACGGTCCTGGATCCGTTTTTGCGCTTGCTCACGGATGAACGCGGACCGCTCTTCGGGGGTCATCTTGGCCGTAGATGGAGCAGCGGCCTTGGTGGTGGTGGGTGCGGGAGGGGCGCGGGGCGTCGGCTGGTCGTCTGCCGATATGTCCTTGGGAGCAGGTGGGGGCGCGCGGTCTCGAGTCGATGGGGCGGGGGAGCGGGGCCGGTACTCCCTCTCGCGCTCCCTCGAGCGATCTCGGGAAGACCGATCATAGTCCCTATCCCTCGACCTATCCCTGTCGTCCCGCCCATACTCGCGATTCCGATCCCGGCTGTCCCGCCGCTCACGATCATACGTCCCCTTCAACCAATCCTTATCGCCCCCCTCATCCCGATCCCGACCATACCTCCCATGCGTATCATTCCGCTTATCCCTCGCACGCACCCCCGCCCGCTCTTCCATCCTCCTATCCTCCTCCCTCTGCTTCTTCTTGCGCTCCAACTCGGGCAGTTTCTCATGCATGAGAAACAGCAATTCCCGCTCATACTTTCTCCTCTTTTCATCATTATCAACCGACCGCCTCCCCTTGTTGACCCTCTCGATATCGTCTTGGAGCCTGACGACCTGGACTTTGAGGTCGTCCAACTCCTCCTCGAGCGCCTCGTCCTCGGCGTCCCGGTTCGCCGAGTCATGGGCCGACTTGTCGAGCATCGCCGAGGTCGATTCGAGCCGACGCCGAATATCGTTGAGTCCCGCATCGGGGTCCTCGCCGGCGTATCGCACGGATTTCCGGTCCAGGTGGCGCGAGGAGGGCTTGTACGCTGTTCCCGTGCCCTCGTCCGAGTGTTTATAGGCCGAGGCGTCTTTCGAGTTGGACGCGGAGAGACGGGGGTCGTAGGACGGGGACGAAGCGTTGGAGCGGGTAGAGGTCTCGTGTTTGAGTAAATCACGCATGAAATTGACGGTAGTGTCGATGTCTTTGGAAGAGGCGGGGACGAGCTCTTCAGGTAGTTCGTCCGGGATATCATTCCCGTTCAGAGCTGGGCGTCAGCTCCGCCCTTACTTCACCAATGGATGACGGAAAGCTCACCTCGGTAGATGAGACCCATGGCAACGTGGAACTCTGCAACGTTCAACGAGCCCCGATTCGTCCCGTCCGAAAGATTCCTACTGGTCAGCTCTATACTTCCCCCAGGTCTCACACCCAGTGGACTTACCAAATCTTCATCAGATCGTCCTGACTCAGCCCGCTCTGCCCAAACACCTCGATCGCCGCCGGACCAGTAATGAACCCGTCTCCCTGTACGTCCCACGCCCTAAAGATCTGGTCATAGTCCTTCTTCTCCTGCTTGGAGAGCGTCCAGGGAACTTTCGGGGTCCGGACCTTGGGATTGTCAAGGAGGGACTGGAAGGACTGTTGCAGGGGCTGAGCGGTGTTGTTGAATTGCGCCTGACCGGACGGGTTGAAGGGCTGACCATTAGCGAGAAATCTCAGTCCCCAGCCGAGAGGGGAGATGGTGACTCACTTGGGACATGTTACTGGGCATGAAGCTCTGCATCATCTGCTGCAGACGCGGATCGTGCACGCCCGTAGGCTGCGGTCGGAGTCCGCCTCCCATACCCATCCCCATCCCTGTCGGCTGGGCCATCAACCCCATGCCCCCGCCCATGCCCATACCCGTTTGCTGCGGCATCATCCCCATCCCAGTGGGCTGGGACATCATCCCCGTATGCATAGGCATCAACCCACTTGCACCACCCGCGGTAAACCCCGTCATCTGCGAGACGAGACCGCCGTTGGACGCGCCATTAAAGCTTGGCCGAGGGGGTTGATTGAGGAAAGCAAAGTTGCCCTGTCCACCCGTATTGTTTTGACCGGGCCGCTGCTGCTGCTGTTGTGGCTGAAACCCCGTCGCCATGGGCTGCTGCTGCTGCTGTTGCTGGGGCATCCCATACCCGGTCGGCTGAGAGTTGAGATACCCGGTGTTCCCGCCCATCCCCATGCCGCCCATTCCGGTTTGCTGGGGCTGTTGCTGGAAGCCTCCCTGGCCTTGCCCTTGGCCTTGGCCGTAGCCGTACTGCTGCTGGTTGTACATGGTGTATAGATGTATAGAGGGGAGGTCAGACTGGGTGGGAGATAGGGGGTGGGTGGGTGTTCAGGGTCTCTAGCTGGGAATATGACGCACGGGGCGGGGGAAGCCCAGCGGCGATCGCCGAATGTGGCACTTTCAACACGTCCACCCCGCAGCTCTCACTCCTTTCATGCACCTCATTCCTTGTATAGCCAGAGCGAGCAGACACAGCTACCAGTACAGCTCATACACTCCCCCCGATCAGCCAAGATGCGCTCAGGAAGCATCAGAAATGTGCTCGAGTGGGTCATAGCGGCCTCGCTTCTCGCAAGCACCGTCCAAGCGTTCAGAAGTGGGTTGCTTCTCTTCTTCCAGGGAAGGGTATATAGCTTGGCTTCGCGCCTCTTCTGACTTCTGACTATACCTCATCATCGAGGTATCAAGCTCATACTCCTCTCAAGTCAACATTGTGGCTTAAGAACTGCCTCAGGACCGCAGCTGATGCTGCAGTCCCAATAGCAGACACGGACTCGGTCCGGGAGGTCTGCTCTGGAATGTATGGCGGCGGTGAGGCGCATATAGAAGGTATGTCAGCTTTCGGATCATTGGCACGGAAGCCCGTCTACCATTCTAAGCTGACACCTCAGTCACCTTCTATCCCGAATCAACAGGTCAAGTAGCGCTGGTCATATATGAATGGGGAGACGTCCCGTACCTCGGTGTGGACACGCCAGAACATACAGTGGGTGGAGTCGAGAGGCCTGTGAGCCTTCTTTCAGGATCGAGGGGTCTTTACTCATACTGCAGAAAACATACATTTGTACAAGCTCAGCAGGTGAGCTTCCTTGTACTAGGCTACGTTTAGCAACTGCCAAGAAGCTGACGTCCATAGTCCGCACGAACCTCTGCACAGCCGGCCAGCTCGGGCAATTCATAACCACCTATCCAGAGGGATACGACGCGTCCTCATCCTCCATATATACCTCGGCACTCCAGTTCTCTTCATCTTCGGGAGGGGGATCTTCGCCGCCCGCCCAGTCCCCGCCGATCCAGGATGAGGATGAGCCCGAAGAGCTTACGCCCAGCGAACAGGACGAAGCGGCGGCTTTGGCAGCTATGGCGAGTCTCGCGGGAACTAGCGATGGCGATATTGACGAGCGAACCGTCGACTTGGATCTGGGCTTGGAGAGACGGTACAAGAATGCCTCGGACCCAGAGGGAAACCCGGTGTCTAGTGCGGGATCAGCAGGTCCGCAGACTTACGATGGGCCGGTGAGGTATCAAGTCGCCAAGACGGGGTACTACTGTGTTGGTGAGCTATTGTGTCCATCGGCGAGTAGGGCAAAGAGCTCATCCATAGGTATCGTACCCGTCACGCTGGTCAACTCTCGCTCAGTCTCGGCTCGCCAAGCGACCCATGCCGAGTACGCCGGGGAGGTATTGTTCCGGAACACGTTCGAGGGGGAGCTCCCCGCCGTCGAGTACCCCAAAATCAACGTCAGCTTCCAGCTTCAGTTCGTGCCCTGGGCCAAAGCTGACCCTGTAGCTCTACCTCGGCCTGAGCGTCATCTACCTCGCCCTCGGCCTAGGCTGGGGTTTCCTCTGCTTCAAGCACTTCCGGGAACTCTTGTAAGCTATCCCGTCCTCCTCTCTCAGTAGTCCTGACTAAAGCCCAGACCCATGCAATACTACATCTCCGGAACGATCGCCTTCCTCATCATCGAGATGCTCGCCCAGTACGCCTACTACCGCTACATCAACAAACACGGGGGCGGGACGACCTCCATCGTTTTCCTTTTTGTGATTGCGATCCTGAATGCGGCGCGTAATAGCCTGAGCTTCTTTTTGCTGTTGATCGTGTCGATGGGGCTGAGCGTGGTGACGCAGAGTTTGGGGGGTGTGATGACGCGGGTGAGGGTATTGACGGGGTTTCATTTTGTGTTTGGGGGTGAGCTAGGACGTTCTCTGGGTGCGGGATACTAGAGAGGGGACGAGCTGACAGGTAGTCATGTATGCGGTAGGAACGGTTCAAGTCGCCCTGGACGTAAGCTATCTCTTCTCCCTCCGTCTCCGTCGTTACCTCTTGCGCATGCGCTTGCGTTGAGATTACTCAGAAATGAGCAATGGGTTAGCTGATACCCACAGAGCGCCAACCTCTTCCTCGTCCTCCTCCTCATCTTCCCCCTCTCCTTCTCCCTAACTTTATTCCTCATGTGGATAATCATCTCCCTCAACGCCACCATCCTCCACCTCTCGCAACGTCGCCAAAAACAAAAACTCCTCATGTTTCAAAACCTATGGCGCATCCTCGTCGTCTCGGTCATTGCCGTCCTCGCGTTTTTTGTGGTGAGCTCCATGAGTCTGAGCAGCAGGCTGGACGAGGATTATGCGCCGCGGAATTGGAGGTGGCGGTGGGTGTTGCTCGATGGGAGTTTGGCGGGGATTTATTTGGGGGCGTTTGCGGCTGTGGCGTGGTTATGGCGGCCTGTGAGTTGCATGTCCTTTACTCTCTCTCTGTCATGACCTATTCATCCCTCTCTTTTCCCGCTGATGCCCTCTCTTTGTGCTTTTCTTGCTGGGGTTGCAGCTGATCCGCTAGACCCGCGACAATGTCCGCTTCGCAATGTCCCAAGAACTCGCACAGGACGAGAACGAGGCCGATGCGGAAGATTACGAGATTGATTCGTTGGAGCGAGGAACACATCAGCGTCTGGGTACGGGGGACGATATTGACGATGGTGATGATGATGGGGAGGAAGGGGGGAGGAAGGGACAGTCAGGCGTAGGAAGCGTAAGGGAGGAGAATGTAGTATTCCAGATGGGGGAAGATAGTGATGATGAGTCGGAGGCCGGTGGAGAAGGGGGGAGAAAGAGGGGAGGAGGGTATGCGGATGAGCCGGGGGCAGGGGCGGGAGAGGGAGCAGGGCGGAGGAGGAGTGGGAGTGGGAGTGGGGGGAGCTTAGATGGGGAGAGGGAGAGACTGAGAAGCTGAATTTGTTGGCTGCTATTACACCGTAGAAATTATGAGATAGATGCCGGATCTAGAATCGCAGGTCGATGCGAGTGCATGATGAGCTAATGATAATTGACTAGATCTGGTGAATTCGGAGTTTGACTTGACTGACAGTTGCCGTCACCGTCGACCCAAGCTATGCGCGCTCCCCCGCGGGATAGCCAAATGCCAGATACCAGGCCAGCCGGATCCTACCTCACGTACCCGGTCGACGCGGCGTCTCCCCATACTTTGAGTGCGTATCGTCTCTTCTGTGGAGCAGAGCGTCCCGCGGCGGAAATGAGTTCCATCTCGGCTGGCGAGAGCGAGAGGGAGAGGGAATCGAAGATCTCTTCGTATTGATGTTCCTTCTTACAGGTCCTGCTGATTAGCCTGACGATCAAGACGCGCGTCACGATGGTAGCGTGCACCAGGAATCATGGCTCCCGATAGCCGCGGCCCGATGATGGCGTTCGAATTTCAGATCATTTTGCGAGGCTTGACTTTGAGACGGAGACGGAGAAGGAAGCCGCTGACTCACGTCAATAGAGGCCCACCAGTCATCTGCCTCGCCCAGACCAACAACACCTGTGCTGCCGACACGCCCGCGCCCTTCTTCTCAGCCACCTCTCGCGCCGCAACCTCCGCAGGACCGCCCGGCCACCGAGTGAGCGGCGCGAGGCACGTGAAGGGCTGTACGGCGATGTCGTGGCTGTGGCACAGGGCGAGCATAGATTGCATTCGGGGGAGACGGTAACAGTAAGGGTGGTACTCGACCTGAGTATCAGCGTCTAGTGAACTCGAGGTGTTCGGTCCTTGAAGTATGTACAAGCGCGGTGCTGCAAGACTGGGAGATTTTGAGACTCACCTGGTTCACGCTCGGCTTGACCTTCCAGACCCTGCTCAACTCCTCGATCTCCTCCGCTGGGAAATTACTCAGTCCAATCGACCTGACGAGGCCCCTAGCGTGGAAATCTTCCATCTTCTGCCAGGCCTCCACGAGAGTAAGGGGATACATGAGCTTCGCCTTCAGTTCTGGTCGTGGTTTTACATCCTTCCACATCATGTACTCACGTTCGGGCCGTGGATGAGATCTACTCAGTCAGCGTCTAGAACATAGTATGTCCAGCTAGTGACGTGTTGGCAACATCGTCTGTTCTGTACTCGTGGCGGACGTAGAAACTCGCCCTCACACATGTCCAGATACTCAGTCCCCAGCAATGTCAAAGTCTCCATCAAACTCCTCTCCGGATCATGCTCATACCCTACGGCCGAGGTCTCACCCCAATTCGACTGGATGAACACATCTTCTCGCCCACCGCCTTCCCACTGCTCGATAGCGGACTTGATGAATGACTCGTTCCCGTACACTCTGGCGGTCTCCACGTGCCGGAAGCCCTTTTGGAGAGCGAGGAGGATGGAAGGTGTGGGATCGGTGTTGTTATGGACGGTCGCTATGACGTTAGCACGTCGGCTGAGTGGCTTACTTCAAGTCGTGGGTGTGCTGTGAGGCAGATCGCAAGGACCTAAGCAGTTGTTATAGTCTTTATGAGCTGAAGAAGGAAAAGGAGATGGAGCCAGGAAAGGTGGACTGACCGGTTCCGTACGCCAGCAGCGGAATCACCGTCCCATCGTTCAGCATCTTGGTCGTCATTGTCGGATGCGTGGATGATCTTGTGTTGTCAGATGATAAGAGGACTATCCAGTCGGACCGTATACTGATTGTGTGTTAGTCCGCCCTCGAAGTAAGAGGTGGAGACCGCTTAGTAGCAGGTCGGACCACGCTACCTCCTTTGTCCTCCGCTTGCTTTCTTCAGTACCCATCCTTGCAGTATCTACCTACCCAAGGAGCGGCAGCCGACTGATTGGTGCCATCTGACCTCATCGATTCCGGAACACGATCCTCAGGTCGAGTGCCCGCTCGCCAGGCCCATCGCACCTGCGGGAGTGCATAATCCCCAATTCGCGCCCTGCAACTTCGCTTCCACCGTTCGTCGGGTCAAGTATGACTCGATTCGTCCAATTTGCGACGCCCGCATAGCCTGATCAAAGTGACCAGACCTCAGTCTGCTACGATCGCGGAGTGTACCGCCCATGTCCATGGTAAAGTAGAATACTACGAGTATAGTAGAGTGAGAGGGGCTCGGTAGAAGAGATCTTGCGAGCACTGAGGCACCGGACGTCCGGACACCGGAGCATTTCCGGTCCGGATCCACGAGGAATGTGTAGCCGCGCTAATCCCTTCTGAGCAGTTTTTGGCACTTCCCATGCTCTATTTCAAGCTTGTTCTGCATATCCTCATGATTTCAGTCTCACCGCGGGAAGTGCGAGCCTCGGGAGATATGGAGCATATTCCTGCCGAGGGCTTTATCTCCGGCCCGGACGGAGGGCGGGTTGTAGATCTACCACTGTCCAGTCCAGTTGTCCAGATGGCTGGTCCGGGGTACGGGAACCGGTGCCCCGTCACCCAGCGCCTAATGCCGAGCTGCTCTGACTGTCTCTAATATATCAAGGAACGAGCGGAGTGGTCCAGCTGCTGTACTCCATACTGCTTGACCTATTGATCGATCTCGACCAGAAGGTGCACTAATGAAGATGCTGCTCAACCTCGCCAGCGCTCTCGGCCTCGCCGGGACTGCCCTGGCTGCTATCTCCTACAAGGACGGGACAGATGGTAAATCCCACCTCTACTCCACTTTGACAAGATCCTAGGCTGATTTCCAGTTATATCGCTCTCGACAAGCCGAGTCTATATCTCGTGAGTCTACCTGCCCATACCCCGCTCCCAGAATACTCGGCTGATCAGAGCAGAGTCAACAAGACCTTGGGCGCTATGACTGGTCTGACATATGACGGGATTGACGTTCTGGGTCCCGTCTCTGGCCGGATCGGTATGGGGTGAGTGCCCCCTTTCCCTCGTTACGTCCTCAATGCTGTCTCTCCCTCTCCTTTTCCATTCTCAGTCAGCTCTGCCTTTTCCCGACTTCCCTCTGACCCTCCTATACGCATTTGTTCCGCAGCGCCCCGCTGACGCCTCAGCTACTTTGACTGCTACTGCATCCCCGCCGTCAACGCCTCCGTCTGGTCGCCCTCCAACCCCAACCCCCAATCCTCTCGACACTACTACGTCGGCGAGAGCAAGAACGCCACCTTTGCCGTCAAGCAAGGCACCTCGTCCAACGGTCAGGCGTGGATCGGTCTCATCATGAACGACACCTACCGACCTACGGGGCAGGAGTTCCAGCAGTGGTGGTTTGTCCGAGATGGGGAGGCGGGGTATCACAGTTTTACGCGGTTGCGCTTTGATAATGGCACGCAGGGGGTGAATTTGGGGAATGTCCAGGAGGTGAGTGGTCTCGAGGAGACAACAGGAGCAAGGGCTGAATGATAGTTCCGACAAGTCTTATCGCCCAACACACCCATCTGGACCCAGCTCGTCACGAACGAGCAGCAATACGCGACCTTGCCTTCCAAAGCTGCTATCGCGAAACAAGTGTAGGTCCCCTCCCTGATCACAGCTGATAGCAGTGTCGTCCAAGACGCAACATGGTACTACAACGTTACCGCCGGTAACCCCTACAAGACCGAGTCTTCCGACTACTTTACCAAGTACCAATACGCCGACATGTACGGCGATCACCTCGCGCACGGCTTCTACGCCGATGGGTCCAACTCGAACGGGACCGCCCTCGGCCTCTGGACAGTCTTTAACGAGCTCGAAGGATACACGGGCGGACCCCTCCGATCGGACTTGGTCGTCGATACCAACATCTACAACTACTACCTGTCCAATCACCGCGGCGCGTCCACGCTGAACCTGACGAGCGGGTTTGATCGGATCTTTGGACCGTCCTTCGTTTACTTTAATCGGGATGGGAGTTTGCAGGATCTGTACAAGGACGCCAAGGCCAAAGGGGATCGCACGTTCGCTGCGGACTTTTACGACGAGGTGGCGGGGCTGGTTCCTGGTTATGTGCCAAGCTCGGGCCGGGGGGACTTTAACGCAAAGATTGAGCTGCCGAAGGGTGCGGGCGTGGCTAAGGCGGTCTTGAGTGAGATAGGTAGGGACTTCCAGGATAATGTGGGCAATTCAAGTGAGTCTCGCAGGTCCACCCCGAGAGATCCATGACACTCTATCACCCCCTACACCTTCCGCAATCCCCCTCTCCCCCGTGAGACTTGTCTGTCCGCTCGCTTTCCCCACGCGCATTTCCACACTATACTGGCTCAAGCTGACGTCCAGGTGCCTACCAATACTGGTCCAACGTCTCCTCAGACTGTACCGTCCACATTCCTCGGGTCAGGGCCGGAACGTACCGCCTGACCATCTACGCCGAGGGCGTCTTCGGGCAGTATGAGCAGGACGGGGTGGTCGTAGCCAAGGGAGATGGGAATGGGGCGCCTTTATGGGTGGTCTGGAAGGGGGAGAACCATGGGAAGGAGCTCTGGAGGATCGGGACGCCGGACAAGGTGAGTCTACCTTCTTGACGCTTGCTGCCTTTTCTTCTTCGCACTCTGCCTATACCTCCATTTTCCCTGTACCTTCTCTATCCCGTCTTCACGTTCCGCCCTGATGTCTGTTTTCGCCTTTTGGACTTGGCTGACCCCCAGACCGCCGGCGAGTTCCGACACGGTTTCGCCCCCGACCCCAACCACACCCTGCACCAGGAACAATACCGTCAATACTGGGGCGCACACGACTTCCCTACCGATTTCCCCACTGGCGTCAACTACACTATCGGCGTCTCCTCTCCCTCCAAAGACTGGAACTACGTCCATTACTCCCGATACGGCGGAACCTACTCCCGTCCCGGCTACATCATCGACAATGTCAACGTATGGACCGTCAACGCCCCCGTCAACTCTTCTTTCACGACGACCGGCAAGAACGCGACTCTCACCATCCAGCTAGCCGGCGCTCGGACGGCCAGTGGGAACCTCGACCTTCCGGAGCCATCGTCCAATTACTCCAATGTCGACCTCACCGTCAATGTCAATGGGAGGCAAGAGAGCTTGGCGTGGACGATCCGGTATAACGAGTCGTCGTCCTGCTCTGACCGGAGTGGGATTGCGTGCTATACCCTAGCGAAGAAGTGGACGTTCCCGGGGAACTGGTTGCGGAATGCGAGTGGGGAGGTGAATGTCTTCAAGTTGGCGTTGCCGTATAATGCGAGCGGGGGGGATGTCAACTTTAGGAACTATAGTGTGAGTGTGTTGTATGATGCGGTGAGGTTGGAGATTGGGGAGTAAGCTCGGCCGGGCAGGTGAAAGGTGGATTGTAGGTATATAATCGGGTGAGATGAATCTGGAGTGAGCTCGGAAAGCAAGACAAGCAGGGAACAGGCAGACCGCGAGAGACAGAGCAGAGAGTATAGGGAGGCGATGAAGCATTCGTCATCTATCACATTGCTTCTTGAACACTACAGCACGCCAAGACAACAGTTCCAGCCACCTACATGACCGATCCTAATGTCTGCCAGTCAGACCAGGGCACATCAGATCAGATCATCCACTCTCTTATGCGCCATATCCTCCTCGATCCTCCCCTACTTGGGGCCCGACACTTCCCTCCTTCCCGCCTTCCCTGTCTCTCCCTCGTCTACCTCGCCTACTTCTCAATCAACCACCCCGGGTTCAGCGCCGCAAACGCCGCATATCCCAGCACGACAAGAACGCCATCTAGATAGACGAAATATACCTCGTGAGTCATCAACTCGCCCGTCCACCCTTGCGCCAGCTCGATCGACCGATACACTCCCCGGCCGTAGAGCATTGCCGAAGCGAATGCCGTACCGATGAGCAGAAGCTGGGTCTTCCGGAGTTGACGCGCGCGGTCGGCTGATGTCGGACCGTGCAATGGCGCCGGGGTGTGTTTCTCCGCGTCGGATCCAGCGGGGGGAAGAGTGGAAGGGGAGACCTCGGCACCAGACCAGAGGCCGTGCCGGGCGAGGGACTGGACGCGGTGCGCGTATGGGCGCCGAGAGATGACGCGAGCGATAAAGTCCACCGCGAGGATTGAGAAGATGGTCATGGTACCAAGTTGGACCAAGACACCAGCGAGCACTGATGGTCAGCGTTTACCCACACAGGAAGAAGAGCGACGTACTGATTCGGGTGGGCGCGTCAGTATCAGTCCCTGCTTCGGCCGCGACGGCGGCGAGACCACCTCCGATCGCTTGCAGCACGAGACACACGGCGTCGGCCGTGACGAAGATGGCAAGATAGGCTTTGGGGTTGAGGAGCGAGTACGCCGGACCAAGGGCGACGATGCAGTATCCGAGCACGGTGTATGCCCAGGCTGAGAAGAATGCGGGGCCGACAATGAGGCTGATTATCAGTTGTGTAACTTCTTGAGACTTACCAGCACATCTGCATGATGAAGGGGTCAGAGTCGAGCACAGAGTAATGACTCCACAACCTGCCCGCCCAGCCGATGATCTCCAAAAGACCGCCGGGGACCAGTGTCGCAAAAGCGGCCCAATTCTTGTACCGCATGGCGATACCGCAGTGGACCAGCGTGACCAGGCCGAACGCAATGGTGAACGCCAGTCCGGGGGCGAGTTCGGGGGTGTAATCATACGGCGAGCGCAATTCGAGATAGTTGGTGATGGTCGCGGCGGCCGCAGAGGATGTGGAGGAAGGGGTAGCCATGATGAGGTGAGCAGAAGGGTATGAGGAAGATTGGGCATTTTGATGGGATTGAGGCGCTCCGTAATATATACCTCGCGAGCGGAGCTGCGGAAACTTGCGTCGCCTGACGCATGCTGTGCTCTGGCTGTGAGCTGTAAGTAGGTTGAAGGTGAAAGTAGTAGGCGAAGAGTCAAGGTCGGCGCCCGACTAAGTGTTAGACCAGTTAGACCGCAGCCGCCGGTCAGATCTCAGATCTTACTCGGGCATGAGCTCGGAGCTTTCTTCCCTCTTCCCCGCCTCGTGTCCACTGATCCTACCTCTTCGCAGTCCCTCGACGTCGACCGGCCTGCTTTCCGACCTTCAGCCTGACCGCATCCTCCATGTATTTCCTGTAGTCCGAGCCATGCGGGGATGGCTCGCTGACCGTGGGGGGCTGACCTCCCGACTTACAATTCACACTCAGCGCCTTTTGGTCTACACGCCTCTGCTATGTGGAGGGCGCAGCCCCGCGCTGATCAGAGCCGTACTCAGACTCGCGAAGACCCGATACGAGTGTACAATAGAGTATGTATCATCTGCTGCGTCAGATAGACACCTTTGCTCCGACTGACATGGTATTTGGTCACGTGGTGTGCCTGACCCTGTTAGATCTGCGCCGCTAGCGCGCCAATGGCATAAAGAAGAGACGCTGAAGAGACAGCTAGAGCAGGGAGACGACAAAGCTGATTTCATCTACTTGATCTCATTATCTAAAAAAGCTAAGACAACTATACCCAGATGCACTGAATAATCGACCCGAAAGCAACTCTATACTGTATACAAATCTCACTGACCCGACGATTTCACCGCCTTCCGTCCTCCTCTCGAGCGCGCAATACCGAACCCGGCCCCCGTACCCTATTGTCCGTCCTGACATCTCGCAGCATCCTCGACGTCGCTACTCTCCCGTTCCCCCTCGTCCCGTACCTCTACCACCCGGCACCCCCTTCCGCCTACTTCTCAATCAGCCACCCTGGGTGCGCTACCGCAAATGACGCATAGCACAGCAACATTGGGAAGCCGTCGAGCCACGTGAAGAAAACCTCGTGCGTCATCAGGTAGCCCGACCATCCCTGCGCCAATTCAATCGACCGATAAACGCCTCGGACGTAGATCATGGCCGAGGCAAAGGCTGTACCGATAAGCAACAGCTTGGCTTTCCGGAGACGACGCGCGCGGTCCGCGGCAGTGAGACCGTGTACCGATGCGGGGATGTGCTTCTCCGCGTCCGAGCCGGCAAGGGGAGGGGTGGAGGGGGCGACGTCCTCGGCGGTCTCGACACCGGACCAGAGACCTTGGCGGTCGAGCGACCGGACGCGACGGGCATATGGGCGCCGAGAGATGACGCGAGCGATAAAGTCCACGGCGAGGATGGAGAAGATGGTCATTGTGCCGAGCTGGACGAGGACACCGGAGAGCACTGGTGATTAGCGTGATATGGACGAGTAAAAGGGGGTTGGCTTACTGATTCGGGTGGGCATCTGAACATTGTTACCGGACTTGGCGCGGACCGCGGCGAGACCACCACCGATAGCTTGGAGGACGAGACAGACTGCGTCGGCCGTGACGAAGATGGCGATGTATGCTTTGGGCCGAAGTAGGGAGTATGCGGGTCCGAGGGTCATGATACAGTACCCGAGGACGGTGTATGCCCAGGCTGAGAAGAACGCTGGACCGAGGATTAGACTGAGTATCAGCCAGGTCCATCATTATAGGTGAGGACTCACCAGCACATCTGCATGATGAAGGGGTTGGAGTTGAGCACCTTGTAGTGACTCCATAGCCTGCCCGCCCAACCTATAATCTCGAGGATACCTCCAGGGATCAAGGCCACAAAGGCCACCCAGTTCCTGTACCGGACGGCGATACCGCAGTGGACGAGAGTGATCACTCCGAAGACGATACTAAAGGCCAGGCCGGGGGCGAGACTGGGCGTATAGTCGTACGGCGAGCGCACTTCGAGGTAATTGGTGATGGTCGCGGCGGCCGCGGAGGCTGTGGAGGAGGGGGTAGCCATGATGCGTTGAGCGAAGCGTGTGTGGCTCGCTGATGCTGTGCTGTACGAGTGATGAGCGAATGAGTGGGGAGAAGGGAGAAGGGTGACTTATAACATGAAGGGGAAGGATGGGTCCGTTATTCGGGCAGTGGGCACAGACTTTCCGGCTTGGCCGAGTAGTGTTACGTACACATCCGAGAATTCCCCAAAGAGGCAGGTGTTTCATACCCCGCACTAGTGGCGCAGATCAGGCACGGCATGTGTTCCGGGGGTTTCAGGGGTCAGCTCGTGAGGTATGTATTTCCAGCAATGTGGCCGCGTGGCACTGTGGCAGCCTGCAGGAGTGTGAGTCGGCTTTCGGCACTAGATGGCCTGTCAAGGCGGTCTTCATCCTATCACTTGACAAAGACTAGAGAGCAGCGTGCCAGTGCAGCTCCTTTGGCGTGTTTGTCTCTTGCTGTGCACCACATACTAAACGTGTCTCGCCTTGACCAAGGATCCTTCGGCAGCCGCACAGCACAGTTCAAACGCGTGTCGCCTGCTCAAAAGATCACCATCCCTCGGTGTCCCATTTGGGCATTGGATGAGGAGTCCATCAGGGCGGCCAGCTCTCACTGCCACTATCTTTATCACCACTCATACCGCACTTTGGCAAGCCACTTCACTAGTCTTCCGCCCTGACTAGACTACACACAATCATCTAGACGTCAAAAACAGCGAGCAGCCCTGAAAAGCCACCACGATGCATGTCGAATATCCTGATTCCATCGCCGATGCGATCGAAAAGTGGTGGGACACATGGATAAATCCTCGGGAACCAAGTGGCTGCACGAGGAAGAGAGACATCGAGCACTCGAACGATGTCGAAAGGGCATCGAAGCGACAGCAAACTCAGAGGCCCTACAGCAGCACCGGCGAGACCTCGGATGACACTCACACCCTCAAATTTTCAGAGGGGCCTCAGGATGAGAACGCCATGGGGCAAGTGGAAGACGAGGATGCCTGGCCCTCACGTGTGGAGGACATGCAGGATGAGGTACAAAGGTGGCTTTTCTCATGGAACGACATAGGAAAGTCCACAGAGGGTCTTCGTGTCCCAGAGACCCCAGGGCAAGATCTGTGGCAGGACGACGGGTACTCAGGAGAAGGTGACACGTTGTGCACGAATGGAGATGGGCAGCACGTTGTGGAGGGAGACTCGACGTGGGGTTTTCCGAATCCCGAAGGTGCTGAAGGCGGTGCTTCCATCCCGCAATGTCCGAGCAGCAATCACCCAGGAAGCCTCATGCAGAGTGACTCCACAGGGCAGACTGGCGGCCTCATCGGATCCCAGCACACCGCGCAAGATCAAGTCCGGGACGAGCTCGAGGGGGATGACCGAGCCCAATACCATCTTCGCTATCTGGTGCCACACGGATGGAGCTCGCATACTGCGGCAGAAGCTGGATACCTACTCATACCCGGATATGGCGACAAGCGCAAAAGCACTCCAGCTTATCTGCTTCTTCACGACCCCTTAGACCCATCAATGCATTTGGCCGATAGTTGTGCGACGGCAGACGACAAGATCCGTTGCAAAATTGCGGGCTGCCCTAGCTATATTGACATGTCCGAGGAAGATACTTACGTCGCGCGTGGGTCGAAGCTCTAATTCGGCTGATATCAGACCAGGAACAGTATCCTCGTCCTCATCACACGTACATCACGAGAAGGGCATGCCCGACCAAGCGCACCGTGGACTACTCGTGCCTCAACTGCGCCATCAAGAAAGACAAGGCATTTTCCTCCTGCACTTCTGGTCCCTGGATTCGAGACTGAAAAAGTAGATGTGCTCTCGACCGTCATGCAGCAGGTATACGAGTCACGACCAAAGTCGGTCGTTCGGGTATGAACCATCCCAGACCCAGACGAAAGCGAGAGGGCAGCGATAGACTGATACGCTGGTGTTGTATGGAGACCTTCTTGTGTGGCGTGTCTGAATATCGTTCTGATTAATCTCAGCGCAGGGGCAAGCCGCTACGGCCGCAGTGAACCTGTCCGCCACGATGGATCTGCCACAGGCCACTGACCCGGACCGCCTTACGGCATATCGCCTAGCTGATATAACCGGGACTCGGCCATCTCTTCCCCACTGCCCCACATCCATCTCCACTCAACTCACACCATGCCGCCTCACATCTACACCTCCTCCCTCCCTTCCCCTCCCCTCCCCCGGCAGTCCATCTTCCACCACCTCTTCCCCGAGCTCGATGGCGCGTGCGACATCCCTCCCTCGACCCCGACGCTGATCGACGGGCTCACTGGCAAGACCCTCTCGCGCGAGGATGTCCGGATCCAGGCTCAGCGCTTAGCGGGTGGACTGCACAAGCTGGGTCTAAAGAGGGGAGACGTGGTCGGTGTGGTCGGAACAAACAGCCTCGAGTGGTGTAATGCGGTCTATGGGAGTTTGGCGGGCGGTCTACGCGTCTCGCCTATGAACTACGCATAGTGAGTTCTGGACTTGACGTAGCTGAGATAGTACCCCGCCAGAACTGCTACACCAGCTGAGCCACTCCGGCGTTTCTCTGATCTTTGTCAGCCAGGATGTTCTCCCGACGCTGCTCAAGACGCTAGAGCTCGGGCGGACCAAGGGGTTCTCGGTACCTTCGGACCGGATCATCCTGCTCACTCCCGCGAAAGTGGAGGGGTACAAGTATATCGAGGAGATCTGGGCAGAGCCTATAGAGCCAGAACGATTCGAGAACGGGGACGAGCACGAAACGGCCTGGCTCTGTTACTCCTCCGGAACGGTATGTCCACCCTCGACCGAGCTGATGGTAGACTGGCGTGGCCAAAGGGGTCGAAACGACACACTACAATATGACGTCCCAGCTCCAAGCTGTCAATGCGGTCTATGAGCCCCTCAAGCGCGGTCAGGACGTCGTGCTCGGCTATCTCCCCTTTTCGCACATGTACGGTCTCGCTCTTCTCGTCCATCAAGTCATTACCGTCGGCGTGCCTATGGTCGTTCTTCCCCGCTTCGAGGAAACGTCCTTTTTCCGCGCTATTGAGCGGTACAAGGTGACGTGGATGCTCATCGTCCCGCCGGTCCTCGTCAACATGCGCAACTCGACCCAGGTGGACAAGTACGACTTGTCGAGTCTGAGAGGGGCGCTGAGTGCTGCGGCGCCGTTGTCGGAGGAGCTGTGCCGCGCTGTCGAAGCCAAGGTCAAGCCCTTGATCGTCAGCCAAGCTTACGGTGAGTTCTGGCATTCCAAGTCTGATTGCAGGTCTGACCGAAACCTCTCCCATTTCCCACTACACCCCTCTCGAACACGCACGCGGCCGTCAGTCCAAGATCGGCCGTCTCATCCCTACTTTTCGCGCCCGCCTCGTCGACCCCGATTCCGGCGAGGACGTCGAGATTGGCCATGCCGGGGAGCTATGGCTCCAAAGTCCCAGCGTCATGAAGGGGTACTATCTCAACCCGGACGCCACACGGAATACATTCAGCAGCGAGCAAGAGGAGGGAGGGAGATGGTTCAAAACGGGCGATTCGGCATGGGTGGACGAGGAGGGTTTCTTCCAGATCGCTGATCGCCTCAAGGAGTTGATCAAGTACAAGGGATTCCAGGGTACGTTGGGCGTCCGAGTAAGCTGACGATAGTCGCGCCAGCGGAACTGGAGGCGTTACTGCTCACTCACCCGAGTATTGCCGATTCGGCGGTCATCGGTGTCCACTCGGAAGAACAGGCGACGGAGCTCCCCAAGGCGTTTATCGTCCCCAAGGCGGGTGTGGTGAAGAAGGGCAAGGAGGCAGAGTTCAAGGCGGAGATTGTGAGCTGGGTCAAGGCAAAAGTGGCGAGTCACAAGCAACTGCGCGGCGGGGTGGAGATTATCGAGGTGGTTCCCAAGTCGTGAGTACTCAGTATGGACTGAGCTGATAGCAGACCGTCAGGCAAGATTCTGCGCAAGAACCTGAGGGCGAATATCGGGTTCGTGGCGGGTGGGAAGGGACCAAAGCCAAAGTTGTAACACATCTGTGCCCAAACATGTATGTCGGATCGGATGAGTATGCACGATCCAGAGCCCAGGACTGACTTGCCTGATGATGAGAGGGAGAAGCGCCTTAGCCCCGATCAGAACGGGCACTCCGCAGTCAGTCGGCGCTGAGTGGTACCGCGTGACTTCTGGTTGGCCGGGAGTCACGTGATGGGTGGAATCAGTACGAGGCACGTCCAACGTGAAAGAGTATGGTGTCTCAGGCCCAGTCGATAGTCGCTCGCCATCCGCAAGCGATACATGAGCATGTCCTTACGGCTCAGGCGGTACCTGCACCCCACCCTCCTGCACCAGCCGCCCATATGCCTCGACCCGCCTGTGTTTGCCCAGGTTGAACGTCCGCTCTTTGCCCTGATTACACTCATCCAGATCAATCGTAGCGATCACGAGCTCGTCCTCCTCAGTCTTGGACTCGGCGACAATATGGCCTTCTGGATCGACGATCATGCTCCCGGGAATGAGAGGGTGGATGCCGTCGTCTACCCCTGACCGAGCGGCGGTGATGCAGAACACTGGGATCAGCGAGAGGCCCTTTGGCGTCGAGGAACCGGAGGAGATCAGGGAAGGGGATGAGATCAGAGGCTCACTGGAGTTGGTATAGGCATGACATTGTATCACCACTGCTATATCAGCTTTCGCCGGTAGAGGAAGACAGGACGAAGCTCACGTTTGTGATGAAACTGCTTGTCAGCTGTCACATCGCCTCGACTAGCCCGGACCACTCACCATAGCCTCTGCGTAAGCCTTCTCACGCGAGATATTCTGGTCCCCTCCCCATAGCTTCGGCGCGTACGCAGTAGTATTCTGTCCTATCAGTCCAGTCCCCGCCCTCTCTGACCAACCACTCACATAGCCGCAACAAAGAATCTCGACACCCTGCAGTCCATAACATCGCCACCCCTCCGCCCATCTCCGATCATTGCAGATCAACTGGCCAATGATGGGACTCTTTCCGCCTGTTGCCTCGGACTTGAGCGATGTGGCTCTGAAAGCAGGGAAGCCGAGGTTTCCGGGGAGGAAGTAGCGCTTCTCGAGCTGGTTCGTTGTGTCCGGTTCGTAATCGAAGGGCTCGACTGTTCCGGGCAGATGTACCTAGATATCAGCTGAAGACAAAGAACCTACTGCGTTGCTTGCTCACCTTGCGATATTTTCCCAAGACCTCGCCTGTCCCGCCAACGTAGACAGCCGTGTTGAAGCGCTCGGTCCCCGTATCCTCCCCATACCCAATATGCACGTCCACCCCCAGCTCCCTAGCCTTCGCAAAGAACGCAGCAACGTTCGGGCTCGCCGTCACGCCCTTCTCGTCCTCTTGCTCAAAGTATGAAGCAAGTTCAGCCGCGTCCGGGATATAATAGCGAGGGAAGAAGGTAGTGAAGGTGGTCTCGGCTGAAATTTTAGCTCGTCACACACGGAGGAATGAGGATGATTAGTGCTTGAGCTTGGAAAACAACATACGGAAGACGACAAGCTGGACACCCTGCTTCGCCGCGTCCTCTAGAAGGGCGATGAGGCGCGCGAGGACCTCTGAGCGGGGCGTAGAGCGGTGGACTGCTCCGACTTGAGCAGCGGCAACTTTAATGAGACGGGTCATAGTGTGTGATGATGGGTGGAGGTGAGCGTGCAGTCCAGCGTTGATGTCCGTCGATATCTTCTCATCTTACCGGTCCCAGCGTGCGGACTGCTGGGAGCGGCGCCAGAACAACTCCCGAAGCCCTCGCCGATAGCAGATAGAGCAAAGCGCCGCGGCGAGCACCAGGCGAAGAGGCTGATAAGGCGGCGGCTTGGCTAATTCATAATTGGCTCATCCGACCTTCCGGCGGAACTCGGGCCGAGAGGTGGTCGACCTGGTCCACCTTGTGTTTGGCTCTTGCTCTGATCTTTATGAAGGTCCTGTCCTAACTGGCCTCACAAGATCGATCAGCATCACTCACCATGCCCTCGGCTCCTGCACCTATCGTCGTCCTCGGCGCAGGCATCATCGGCCTGACCACCGCCGTGCGACTGCTCGAGTCCGCCCCTGTACGCAAGGGCAAGATCCCGGTCCATGTCATCGCGGACCATCTCCCCAATGACCCGCTTGACGCGCGGTATGCTTCAACAATAGCCGGAGCCCATCATCTGAGCTTTGCGGATGATTCGGATACGCGCCAGTCCAAGGCGGATCGGAGGAGTGAGCCTGGTCTCACCCAATAGAGAGAATGAGAGCTGACAGGCAGCGTTCGAGGTGATGTATGATGAGTGGCGGAAAGAGGGGGAGAAGACGGGTCTGATGCTGCTCAAACAGACCGAGTTCTATGTGGGGACGAAGGAGCATCTGAAGATATATGAGCAGCATCCCGATGTGAGTCGCATCTAGATCAAAAGAGGGAGGAGCTGATTCCAGTTCATCATCAACTCCGTAGGGGATATGAAGCTCTCATTCCCCGCCGACCACTCTATCGCCTTTACATCCCTTACCATGACGCCCCTCACGTACCTCAACCGTCTCCTTGCACGGATCTCCAGCCTCGGCGGGCGGATACACCGGGCGCACCTCCCCTCCCTCTCCCATCTCTCACACACCGGCATCACCTCCCTCATCGGGTCCGCCCCGAGTACCGTTATCGTATGCACTGGACTCGGAAGCATCTCGCTCGGCGGCGTCGAAGATACGACTGTCTATCCTACTCGGGGCCAGGTAGTCAAAGTCCGAGCACCATGGGTCCGGAATGGTTTCACTCGGCAGCTTGGAAGTCTGGACGGCGGAGAGGGCGGCGAGCGGACGTATGTCATCCCCAGACCGGACGGGGAGGTGATACTAGGTGGAACGAGAGAGGAGGGGGATTGGTACCCCTATCCCAGGGAAGAGACGAGTAGGGATATACTCCGGCGCGCTCTCGAGATCTGCCCGGATCTACAGCCGGCCCATCAGGTAGCGCCTGCTCTAGCGGTGTCCGGTCCGCCTTCGCCGGAGAAGGTCGATGAGATGAAGACGGGAGAGGAGGGCGCGCTGGATGGGATGGTCGTCACTCACTTGGTGGGGTTCAGGCCATCGCGGAAGGACGGAGTCAGGCTGGAGCGAGGGCCAGAGGTGAAGCTGGAGACCGGTGAGAGGGTCAAGGTAGTTTACAATTATGGGCATGGAGGTGCCGGATGGCAGTGCTGCTGGGGGTATGCAGAGAGCGCGGTGGATCTCGTACTGGCTGATCTGCCGGCTCAAGCAAAGCTGTGATGCATTCTTTTTTTGGCTTCTGCTGCAGACCCACACCGCGCTCGCTGAAGGGAAATCCTGACTCATCCGCTCTTCGTCGCTTGACGGCGAGCGGATCAAGGACAAGAGAAGTGAAGCGGAGTCGTGCCTGGAGCTGGAGCCAAGATAAGGTTTGGCTGCCTGCCTTCACTTGGCGACTCAACATCTTCATTCCCATTTCTACCTCTACATCTACCACCATGGATCCACATCAGCAGCAGTATAGTGGGCCCCCCTATCCACCCACTCATCTCTCGCACTCGCCAAGCGACTCATACCCTTACCCACACTCGCATCAGGGCTATCCCCCACTCCCTCCCCCACCCCCTCATACCGTCAACAACGCACAGGCCGGCCCATCTTCATATCAAGGCCCGGTCCCACCTGCAGTGCCAGCTCTACTACCAGGTAGTCGACCGCCACGGTCTCGCAAGAGCCGGCCATGCGACCACTGCCGTCGGTCCAAGTCGCGCTGCGCGATAGGGCCCGGAGGTCCCCCCTGCACCATGTGCAACGATACGGCCCGAGCCTGTACTTTTGACTTTGCGCCGCCTCCGCGCCCTGTCAAGCCGAAAGTTGTCGATGCGACTGAAGAGTCGATAGGCTCGTCAGGGCGGGATATGGGCGAAATGGCGGAGGAAGGGGGGACGGGCAGTCCGGAATTGGGGAGGAGAGGGTCGGAGGTGTATTCGCCGGCGCCGGCGCAGAAGCGGGCAAGATGGAATGCTGTTGCTTCTGGCTCGGGATCTCAGCGGAAGGAAGAGGAAAGAGGGGAAGGGACCGGGAAGAGAGCTATGAGCGGGCTCGATATCTTGACGTCGGCGGTGCCTTCCTTCGACCACCTGGCGAGCTCAAAGTACGACCCGCACGGTGAATCACAATCACCCTCGCTGTTGGCTGAGGATCAGGGAGCTGATAGACTCAGTATTGACAGTCGTTCTGACGGATGACCTCTTGCCTATTGCTGATCCCAATGATGAGGTGCCGGCGGGCCACGGGGAGCCACACGTCAAGCAGATTGTGAGTTCTAGAGCCGTATGCCTCTCTGGATGACATAAAGCCTTGACAGGCAACACACAGAGTGCGCCTGAAGAGGGTATCGCTAATGGACAGTCGTCTGACCCATCTCGACCAATCTTTGTGATCATGAATCCCAAGGCGGATAGTGAGTGATTCTCTCGGTCTGACAGCGTTGAGATTACCGCTGACACTGTAGCTTCACAACAGCCTGTTCCTGGCGCTGTAGCTCTAGGCCTACTGCGAACGTTCCTCAGACATCACCCTTCCGAGTATACCGAAGCGCATCTCCTCGGTCTGTACCACGAGCACGTCCATCCCGCCCTGCCTATCCTTCCAAACCTACCTACCGACTCTCTTTCCCCCGCACTGCTCGCTATGGTTCTCACGACGAGCATGTCCCATTCATTCGATACGCGCAGTATCGCCGCCCCGAGCTACGCTGTGCTAGAGGCGGGGAGCACGCCGTTACCAGAGAACAACCTTGCCGGGGTGGCTAGTGCGGTATTGGAATTGGGGGTACGACCCGTCAATAGTAGTCGTTCTGCGTATATCTTGCTTGCCAAGGTTAGTCTTTGACCATGACAAGAGCGTACGGGAGGGAAAGCGCTGACGAATAGACGGTAGCTCTGGCGCAGCTGCTTGGGATGCATCTGAACCCCCTCAAATGGGCGATACCTCTCTGGGAGCAAGAGCTAAGGATACGCCTCTGGTGGGTATTGGCGATACATGATGCGTGGATGAGCTTCCGTACGTCATGTATCTTCTACATTTGTACTTCGCTGACCGCTAGTCAACTCCCGGCCGGCTCTTATCCAAGCCAACAACAACTCCGTCCCCCTCCCGACCTTCTCCTCCTTATCCGAAGCGGGGTGTACATACGGCTCCGCCTCGAGCGACTCCGCCAAATCTTTCATCGCGTCCTGTCGGCTCGGACTGCTCGTCCGGCGACTACAGAGCAACGTGTGCACACTCAATGTGGTAGCGAGCAAGAGTAGCGCAGAGAGGCGGGACGAGGTATTGGCTATTGCGAAGAAGGCGGATGGGCTGTATGATGAGTGGCGGGCGATTGCAAGTGGGACGAGAGCAAGAGCTACTGGAGTCAGTGAGTGTGGAGAATGGACAGAGCTGACGTAGACTCCTTCCTGATCCACCTTCTTGGATTCAGGTGTATGCTTCGCCGGATCCATCTCGAGCTGGAATATGGTCTCGGCTCAACGTTCACCCCTGGCCCTGACGTACTCGCACCCTTTACAGACTGCGTCAACTTTGTTACCCGCCTGACCAGGGAAGAGTGTGATGGGTACTATCTAAATTGTGAGTCCTCATTGACCATCACACCGGGTGGCTCTCCGACCGCTTGACCAAGTCCGCGAGGGTGCTCGCTGATACCTCTAGACGCCTCGCACATCCTCTCATCCGTCACTTCCTCACTCACCCGCCTGACCCTCGCCTCCGCCTCCACACCCAACCAGCCCGCAATGGATCTCCTCGCATCCCTCGTTCGAGCCCTCCACCGCTTTCAGACGGAGTACAAGTGGGACATCGCCGTCCCAGCTCTCCGGCGCGCGGCGGCGGTCGAAGCCAGACTGAAAAGTATAGGGGAGCACGAGGCGGTCGTCACTGCTCTTCGAGGGGGTGATATCGCGACCCCCTTCGATCTGGATGCGGTCTTGCAGAATATGGTGGCGGGACCGGCGCCGGCGGTAGAGACGGAACCGCAGTTGGTATGGGATTGGAGTGGGCTGGATTGGAATTTCGGGGATGTGATCGGTGCGGATCTGGGAATGCCTTCTGGACCGATCTAGTCATGGATCTATGCGGGACTCTGGTTGTGCCTATTCAGATCGTTATATGCCCGGCCCGTAATTCCTGCATAAGACAGCTGATAACACAAGTGGGAACCAAATTCACAAGCTCTCTTGCCGCACACTGGTACCATAGCTATCTAGAGGCTCTGATCATGCCTACCAGCATCTCCACCCCTCCTCTTGCCCCATCTACAACCCTGACACTCTTTCCCTTCTCCTTGGCTGCATCGATGACCCACCCATCCATCCCGCTCATCCCTGCACACCCCAAAATGATCGTCCCCGCTCCCTGATCTACCAGCCTCCCCGCTGTTTCCCTCATGCCCCTCTCCACTCGTGCCTGGTCCCCATCTTGCAGCTCTGTGATCGCCAGACCGGACGTCAGGACCCCGGCGAACCGCGTAGATGAGGACGAGCCAAGGAAGTTGGCGGTAGCCAGTACGAGGTTGGGTTTATCGCCTGTTCCAGTGGCAATGATCCCGAATGGCATAGGCGTGAGGAGGGCGGACGCGACCCCGGCGTGGAACATCCCAAGGATTGGGATAGTGCGGTCAGGGTGGAGGGTGGACAGGTGATCGGAGAGGGTGGAGATGAGGGGGTGTTCCGAGAAACAGCAGATGAGGACGCCGTCGACTCCTTCCAGAAGACCTGGAGTGAGCTCCGCCATACATGCAGAGGTGGAGGATGCAGCTGTGGCGGCGTTGCTGATCCCCACCGGCCCGGAGGTGGGGTTCCAGAAGTGGAGGGAGGTCTGAGGAGGCGGGTAGGGGCTGAGAGCGGAGTGGAGAGCGGAGGTGATTGATGAGGAAGAGTTGGGATTGATTATGAGGAGCTGATGGGGAGTGGGGTTGGTCATTTTGGCAGTGAGCAATGAGACGGAGGAGGTAGTGACCTTGTTGTATGGAAGATCGCAATGTGTTATGTAGGCGCAGCGGAAGTCATCAGAGATATCGGCGCGACGGCTCTTCGGTCGATCGGGTCCGAAGGTACCTTTGGCCGTCCTTTGGCTCGTTTCAGATAAACCTTATCTCCTCAGCTCCTGCTATGCTGTGACTGGTCGATTCAGCTTGGTCACTGTCGTCCAATCACCTGGTCACCTTCTCAGGCTGTCCACGAGGTTGGGCGGGCAAAGCCAAGCCGCCCCGACATCTTATCTTCGCCGGTGGCCTTATCGGCAACGCCTTCCGGCGCCGGCTGGCCTCTTGCTTCCGCCAGTCCAAGTGCGGGGCAACTTTGTCTTCTTCTCTACTCACTTCAAAGCTCCATCCACAACTCTACCATCCTCATCATACCGTCGAGTCCTAGCTACCATGTCGAGCCCTTTCAACTTCGATCTGATCATCAAGAACGGTGTGGTGGTTACTGCGGCGGTAGGTTGTTCTCTGCACATTCCTTATCCGTGCCTGACTAACGGCATCAGGATGAGACCGAGTGCGATATCGGTGTCAAGGATGGAGCTGTCGTCTGTCTTGCTAGAAATCTGCCTATACCAGAGGGATGTAAGGTCATAGATGCAGAGGGAGGTTACATCACTGTGAGTAAACTTCTTCAGCGCGAGATCGAAAAGATTGAGCTGATAGTCAGCCTGGAGGAGTCGACTCGCACGTCCACATCGGCCAATCCGCCTCGAATGCTCGGTCCGCCGATGACTGGACGACCGGTACCCGCGGTGCCCTTGGCGGCGGAACCACCACCGTCGTAGCCTTTGCGGTACAGGCCAAGGGGAAGAAGGTCATGCCTGCCGTTGAGGCGTACTATGAGCTGGCGGATGGAAAGGCGATGTGCGACTACTCGTTCCATGCTATCATTACCGACCCAACGGAGGAGGTGGTGAGGGATGAAGTGCCCAAGTTGGTGGACTTCGGAATCACCAGTGTCAAGGTGAGTCTTCTCGTGTCAAAGAGAGCTTGAGCTGATGGGCAGGTGTACATGACGTACCCTCTCATGAAGCTCGACGACAAGCAGATGCTCGATATTCTCGCTGCTGCTCGTCAGCAGGGTATCACCACCATGGTCCACGCCGAGAACTCCGAGATTATCAGTAAGTACCCGTTCCTCCGTCCAGATGCCCGCGCTGATCTCCAGACTGGATGACGGATCGTCTCCTCAAGCAGGGAATGACCGAAGTATGGCATCACGGTACCTCCCGCCCTCAGCTTGTCGAGGACGAAGCGACCAACCGCGCGCTCGCACTCGCCGAGGTCGTCGATGCGCCCATGCTCCTCGTGCACGTCAGCGCCAAGGAGGCGACGCGGGCAATCCGCAAGTCCCAGACGAGGGGGATGCCGATCTACGGCGAGACATGTCCGCACTACGCTCTCTTGACCGCCGAGAAGATGGAAGCGCCGGGCTTTGAGGGGTGAGTCTCTCTTCCTGGTTGATGAAAAGTAGCTGATAAGCAGGGCCAAGTGCGTGTGTGCTCCACCGATCCGGTCTGACCCGCTCGATAATGAGGGGATCTGGGAGGGGCTCTCGAACGGGACGTTTACGGTGTTCTCGTCAGACCACGCGCCGTACAACTACCACGATGAAAAGGGGAAACAGGCGAGTCTCTACCGGTAGTTCTGGGCCCTAGCTGATCCTCCAGCTTGGCCTGATCAACAACCCTACCAAGAACCCTCGAGGCAACGTGAGTCAACCTAATGTCCCGGCTGATCGCCAGTTCAAAAACACCCCGAACGGCCTGCCTGGTATCTGTACCCGTACGCCTCTGCTCTGGTCCTACGGTGTCCTCAAAGGTCGGATCTCTCGTCAGCGCTTTGTCGAGCTCAACTCGTCAAACGCTGCCAAGCTATACGGTATGTCCCATCTACCCTTACCATTTCCTCTCCCTATCTCTCCCTATCTCTCCTATCTCTCCCTATCTCTCCCGTCCAGGTCTGTCCTCATCTCCCCTGTGCTTCTCGGCTGGTCTTGCTCCGCTCTCCCGCTCGTCCAGAACCCGAGCTCCGGCTGACCCCCAGGCATGTACCCAAAGAAGGGAACCATCCAACCCGGCTCCGACGCCGACTTTACAATCTTCCGCTCCGACGCCGCCCGCAAGCCCTCCATCATCACCCAAGACCGCCTGCACCACGGCGCCGACTACACGCCGTACGAAGGCATGGAGGTGCTGGACTGGCCGAGGCTGGTGATCTTGAGGGGGCAGGTGGTGTATGATGACGAGACAAATACGGTGTTGGCGGAGGCTGGGACGGGGCAGTGGATTAAGAGGGGGCTGAGCACCTTGCCGTGAGTATCTGTATCGGTCTGACCATTCAGCATAGGGGTAGAGCTGACTGAGCAGCGGTCCGAGGGGAACGTCCAAGGCGTGGATGAATGGGTTTGATCCGCATAAGATCTAGGGGACGTACTTGTGCTATGCATATAGATGATTGACTGTGTACATACGTCCAGCGAGTCGCTTGGATAAGTCTCGACTCTGGCACAATTGAGGCCGGAGCGGCACGCGGCCAGGTCAGATACGCCATAGCTCAAGGCCTCCGGCATGTATAGACAAGCTGACTGGGATCTTGAAGCAGACATAGGCTGTGAAGTGTCGACGTATAGTCAGGTCGCAATAGATGCAGAGATGTACAAAAGAGAAAGCTAGTAGAACTCCGGTGAACTGCTGGTTCTGTATGACGTGTCAAATTTATCGTAAGCGTATCAACTGTGAAACAGCTATGAAACACATTCCTCATTCCGTTATGACGAGGCAAGACTGCATGACCGAGACACTATTCACCCACTTTCCCAAACAACTAGACAACGTATCTAAAGCTATCAAACCCATCTGACCCCTATCCCATTTCCATCTAGTACTTCTTCTCCTCCCCATCCAAATCAATCTGATCCACCTTCTCATCATCCCCCTCGGCATCATGCTCCACCACCGACCTGACATCCTCGTACCTGTACGGGAACACCATGTTGAGCACGATATACACCGCCGCCGAGACCGTCACGCCCACCGGCCAGACACAGCAGTAGATGTAGCTCGCCTCGATCGCGATGCCCATCTTTGCGCCGCCGATCTGACGGATGAAGCCGGGGAGGGTGGGGATGACGCCGCATACAAACGCAGCGACGGCGCGGGGGTTGAAGCCGTGCCAGTAGAACTGCTCCGTTCCGGGACCAAGGCGGTACATGGCCGCGAGGTTGAGACGGCGCCGACGGACGACCCAGAAATCCGCGAGGAGGACGCCGCAGGGAGGACCGAGGAAGACAGAGTAGCCGGAGAGGAAGGCGGTGAAGGAGGTGGCTGAGTTTTGGATGTTCCAGGGGGTGGTAGCGAGGGCGACAATGATAGTTAAATATTGTCCGCGTCTGATATTTACATATTTTGGAAATGCGAGCATCAAATCGTTCGCGACCGCGGTGGTGTTGGCCGAGATGTTGGTGGCGATGACCGAGAGGCACCAGCAGAACGCCGAGAAGAACATCGGCGCCCTATGCATGAGTATGCTGATCTGGAGGGGGTTCCAGGTCTTGACGCCGTAGATGACCTCGGCGGCGGAAGAACAAATTACGCCAAGGCAGGCACATAGGGTGACGAGGATCGTCAACGACACGATGTTGGTCCACACAACAGTGCGAGGGCTCTTGGCATACCGTGTGAAGTCGGCAACTGAAAGTCAGCTCCGTCCTGACGAAGAGAAGCTATGTTGTTCCGAAGGAGGCTGCGGATCTTGGGATGCAGATGGAGAAGGCGGACTTGGAAGCTAGGGGTGTAACTTGGAAGCAAGGGGTGTGGGGACAGGTTTATGGGGGCTGAGAAGCGATTGGAAGAGGCTGACTCACTGTTAAGAGCAATGGTAGCCTTGGGAGCAATGGCGCTACTCATAGCAGTAAAGAAGACAACGGCGGCAGGTACGCCGGTGGTGATGTTGGTCTCCTTGTTGAAAATCGGACCAAAGCCCTTGGCCGAGCCGACCGCCCATCCAAACATGGCGAATCCGAAGATGGGCATGATGATGACCTTGACAAGGAAGAGATAGCGAAGCTTGGGCATCCTGGAGGTCAGCATAGACCAAGGGAAGGAAAGGGAGAGGAAGAACGCACGGGATCCAGAGCAAAGGGAGCTGGATGATGTAGAAGATGAAAAAGCAGAGGAGCTGGGAGGATGTGACATTGGCGGAGGCAGGCAGATAGTTGGGGAAGGTAGCGAAGCTGGGCCAGATAGCTCGGATCATGACCTCAACGCAAAGACCGCCTTGGTAGGTCTAAACGTCAGCCGAGATTTCGTCAAGTTGAAACAGATTACGCACCTGGGTACCGGCCCATACGATAGCAGCGACTGAGCGACAGATAAGAGCGATGAATACACCTCGCTGACCGAAAGACGAGCGGGTCATGACGGGGAAGTTGACACCGTAGACGCAGCCGACATAGCCATTGGCAGCGTTGGCGCAACCGACGAGGAAATGACCGAGGAGGACCGCGCCTATGGTGGCTCCGGGAGAGAGACCGGCGGCGACAGCAGAGGAGGCGACCTGGTACTGCGAGATACCGAATGCTTCAGCGACTGCATAGTCAGCAACGGTAGATGACAGATGTGATAGATGGAGGAGTAGGGTTGAGTGTGAGTCGTGAGTTCGATCGAGGCACGAGGAATGAGGATTTGCTGCCCGCCACGTGGAAAATGCCGTAAATTCTCTCGCACAGTCTTTCCTCCCCGCTCCATCTTTCTTGCTATTCGACCTCCTTCTGCATGCTGGGTAGATGGGAGGGGACGATGGGAGGGGTGGACGGGAAGAAGAGAAGAACTCGCCCCAGTAACCGAGAAGATGGACCACTCCCCAGGTTCTCTCTCCTCCCTCAGAAAGCGGTTTGATGGGCAGCATGTCCGGCTCGACTTCGATCTCCTCTCCGACTTTGCTGCCTGGGACGTTGACGACCGAGACCGTCTTCTCTCGGTTGATCCGGAGCCGGAACTCGGACGGTTTGGGCATGGTGGGAAAGCGCATGTCGAGCGAAGGTGGCGGTGGGGAACGGAGGGAAGGGGGAAAGATTGGAGAGCGAAGGGGTACGTCGATCACTTGACCATACTTATACATGCATCGCGACGCTCCCTCGCTGTTCGCTGGAGAGGAAGCCGAGATAAGGAGCGGAGCAGCATCGGCGAAAGAAGGGGAAGAGACCAGGCCGAACTGGACTTACGGCAGATTCTAGCTCCGAAAGATAAGGTTGAATTAGCTTATCGCTTCCGTTTTCCTCCTTCGCCTATTCGCCAAGCGAGTGGGCCACGGCGACGAGGACGGCGAAGCGTATCCTTCGTCTTGCATCCTTCCCTCGCCGCGGGAGTCCGATACGGCGCCGGTGGGGTGGAGGGGTGGAGGCTGTTCCGGATGGATGCTGGATGAGTGACAGCTGATACGCTGACTTGTACTGAAGCAGCTTGCTCACTCGCCTATACCCGACACTCAAGTCAACCTCTCAAGCTCATCACCTCAACTCGCCTCCCGTCCACCTCAGCACCTCAGTCCCGTACCCATACCACCATGTCTCCCATCGCTATCGACGCCCAACCCGTCCCCTCCCACGTCCCCAGCAAGACCACCCACCCCGTATTCCACCAAACCACCTCCGACCTCCCCAAGAACCCTCTCGAGCGGACATGGCGAGGCGACAAGGAGGGCAAGCTCCGTATCGAGGCGTATCCGTCTTTCATGAACGCAACAGATGAGGCGGGGCTGCTCGAGAAGAGGCAGTGGGTCAGGGAGCACTTGGCGGTTGCGTTCAGGTTCTGGGGCAAGATGGGGTATGGAGAGGGTATCAGGTGAGCTTTCAGCGGTGAACAAACTGACGCCCAGTGGACATATTACCGTTCGTGACCCTATTTTGAGGGACCACTTCTGGATGAACCCCTTTGGCGTCCACTTCTCCTCCATGACTGTGTCGAAGCTCGTGCTTGTCACTCCGGAGGGGTTTGTCCACCCCACGCTCGGCGCTCAGCGGCCCATCAACGTGAGTCTTGATGCTTCTCTGCTTTGATCAGGCCTTACGATCGACTCTACCTTTGAGGCTGGAGCTGACCTGCAGATGGCCGGCTTCTATATCCACTCTGCCATCCACCACGCTCGTCCCGAGGTCGAAGCCGCCGGTCACTGTCACTCGCTACATGGCAAGGCTTGGTCCACTTTCGGCCGCCCTGTCGAGATCACCACTCAAGATTCGTGCCTCTTCTACGACAACTTGGCGGTGTATCATAACTTCGGCGGGATTGTAAGTGCCCTTCCTTCCACCCCGCCCCTCCCTGTTTTACCTAACATCTGGTTGCGTGCCCTACCCTCCTGGATCCAGCTGACATACAGGTCCTTGCCGCCGAAGAAGGCGACAACATCGCCAAAGCCCTCGGACCCAAAAACAAATGCTGCATCCTCCAGAACCACGGTCTTCTCACGCTCGGCCATACGGTCGACGAGGCCGCCTACCTCTTTTCGGCGCTCGACAATCAGTGCAAGGTCCAGCTGATGATTGAGGCGGCGGCGGCGAATGGGATACAGAAGACTGTGATTGATGATGAGGATGCGCAGTTTACTGCTAATACTATCCAATAGTGAGTTTGCGCCAAGTCTAGGTGAGGGGTCGTGCTGATCACTTTCCTTCTTCTGCTCTTCTCATATACAGCCATGAAGTAAGTTACTCGTCTGGGTGGACTAGATGTGGGGAATGATAGCTGACCCGCAGAACGTATACTTCAACCTCAACCCCGAAGTCCAGCTCATCCTGGAGCGCGAGCCGGGAGTTCTCTTGTGATGGATCAAATGTCTCGGGCTTTCATCTTCTCTTTATCTTGTACTTGGGATGTAGCCTCCTCCTGCGGCTCTTTGACCTCGCAACCGAGACTCTGAGTTTACTTTATATTCACTGACAAACCTGACGTGCATGTATGGGCAAGATGGCTGACTACTATCGTCAGGTGATCCTCGAGCTCTGGCGCTGACGCCGCATGCGCTGAGCTCGTCCTCTCCGGAGACGCGTACCCTGCGTAGTTCCGGTACTCCGCCTAGCAGTCGACGACGATGCCTCACCCCTCGTTGGCCTCATCTCCAACATCCTCGTCCCGTCTTGAGTCTCCACCGTCGTTGCACCCTGATAGCTCTTCTCCAGCTGCGCATGCACCTGCCGCAACGTCTCCGCCTCTGACAGGCCGGATTCGAGGGTAAAGACCTCGTGTCCGCTCTTCCAGTCCTGCAGCGCCAGGTCCTCCCTTGCTGACAGCTTGATCGCCTTGCGGGCTGTGTCTGACTGGGATGAATCGTCGTCGGTGGGGATAGCACGCAGCACCTCACCCCATTTGGTGAGGTCACCCGGTGTCAACTGATACATGCTGGGATTGAGCGTGTACGAGGCTTCACTGCCAGGGAAGCCCCGATCGAGGATGGCGGTGATAGTCCTGTCGTCTTGCTTGTTCCTCCTCGCCTTTGCCTTGGTCCAGATGAGTCTCTCTCCGCCGTCGGTCAATGCGAGGTCGGCACCGGCGTATGAGGTCTGGTGCTGTGAGAAGCCCGCGAGGACATTCGAGGCGAGACTTCCGTGCGAGGTGAATGGACTTCCTGTGACGGTCCGAGGATCATCCGCAGTCGGTACCTCGAGGCCCTTGTAAGTATCTTGCCTCCTGCCGTTGCGATACCTCAGTGTAATGTACTTGTGTGTATCGTCCTGTGCAGGACTGCTTCGAGAAGCGCCATCGGCACTAGAGCTCGCTGACGCTGGTACAGAGCTCACGGTACCGGTGCTCCCGCTCCTACCTGTGCTTCTGGTTGAGGCTGACATACGGAGTAATGTGAGGAGGTATGTAGGGGAGTAGTGTCGGGGGCTTGGGAGGTTATGAGGCTGCCTGGAAGTGGTTGGGGTAGAGTAGGATCTGAGAGCATTATGTCAAGCGGGAGGAGACCGGAGGCATGCTCGAGCTTTTATACACCCTGCCCTGCCAAAGCTGACACGCAGATGAAGCTAGATGTGAAGGGTGGCGCAAGGGGTACCACACCAAAGGACGACAGCTCTCGGCCTTTCCAGAATATTCTATGGCAGTTCCAGCAGCGCACTCCGACCAGCGCTGCACCATCGCGGGACAGCCTAGCTACTTTTGGACACACGAGCATCCCTCCAGGCTCGAGCGTTACCGGCAAGGCCTAGAAGGCGAGCCGACCGAACCAGGCAGGAATGATAGTGCAGATCTATGGGTGGCAAATACGTCGTTCTGACAGCTTAGCAGCTACTGCTATCGATGTACTCGGCAACGGCGTCCTGCAGCGAATCCATGCATGACGATCCTTCCCGATATGATGGCTGTATGACCTCACTGCGCAGCGGAGGATACCCGAATCACCGTCGTTCCATCGCTCAACATCACGCCTTGCTCGATCGCTGTGTCGAGGTCCTCGCGGAGACCCGCATGCAAGCGTTTCACGAGGTTGACGAGTGCAAGTCCCTTGGGCTTCTGACCAGGCACAGTCAATGAGCTGGGCAGCCATTCTTTCTGTATCTGTCGCTCCAGCTCGGATAACTCGTATGAGTAAGGGCCGTGGCCGCTCGGGACATCAGAACGTCGGATCGGAATGACGGTGATCCTCCTGTACCATGTTTGGTTCCCGCTCCCGTCTGGCTGGAGAGATGTCGAAGGGTGAAAGGTATACCCAGAAGTGCTCCCCTCGATCTGAAATCCGTCGCTGAGGACGATGTCGATCCTGGCCTTCTCAGGCTCTCTGGTCTGGGTGAGTTTGCTGAGTTCGCCACCCGGTACCGTACACTCTGAGTTGGACTCCCTGTAGTGATGGGAGATGAATCTCGCGAGCAGGTGTGAGGCGTAGATGGTGCCTGCAACGATGCTGGTGGGTTTCCCATACTCCGCTTGGTGAGTCGCGAGGCTGTCTGCGACCTTGATATTGCGGACTTTGTGCTTGTGGTCACCGTGCAGATACGTCAAGTGCACGATGCCCGCGGGGACTGTGTTGACCGTAGAGCCGGTGGGATCGGCGGTGTCGGCCATGCTGTCGGAGTGATGTTGAAGATACGGATTAGTGCTATCACCGAGTGAACAGAGTCGCGCCGGACTTGCTACTGTGAGTGATCTGGGGGAATTGAAAGAGGAGGAGGGCGCCGTGCTAGTCAAGGCACATGGACGGGAATGACGTCCGTTAAATATCCAGGGAAGGACACGGAGAAGCACATAAAAGGAACAAGGCAGATAACGCTTCCAGCTCATTCCATATAGCTCCCCATCGACAAGCCAGCAGCCTGAAGCGAACTACCTCTCTCGTATAGCATTGGCTGGTCGACAGATTCACAGCTGACTCGGTGGCGTATCCGATTCACTTCGTGGTCAGCAGTAAGAAAGATCGTTGACATAAAGATGACGAGTCTCGGGAGTATCATTCATACGCAACGCAGACCCGAAAATGTATGGATCCACTCGCAGCTGACAGGAGATCACGACTGGAACCGGAACCTCGCTGTGGATATGGTCTGGTTGTTGGCCCAGTCCCGCGTCTTCCGCCGGATTTCCCTCTGCAGAATGCGCGTTGTGGTGAAAAAGGGTGGAAGCCGGGTGATGGCTAGCGAAAGAGAGGAGATCGAGGTGAACCAGGGAGGACTGGCGCACAGGAGAGGGGTATGAGAGGGATACGAGGAGTGTGCCGAGCCGTATAGATGTCGATGGGAGTAGCACCGAGTGTCGAATGGCCAAGCTGCAGGTGAGACAGAGCAAGAGCTACATGAACATGTATGTGGCTAGTGCTATGTACGGTGCTTGACGATCTATCCAACGCTTAGCCATCCATGGCTCTCGTCAGCCTCGCCTGTGTGCTGTGCACGGACCTCCTCATTCCTCGTTGTGTGGCGGAATTGTATCAAGCCTGCGCTTTCCCCACAACCCCCTCTCACTTGCGGTGATGACCCCATCACCCTGAATGTCTCCCATCGAGGGAAAGCGCTCTTTCGGCTGCCTACCAATGTACCATACCTCGCAAGGGCAGGCTCTCCATTAGCAACGACCTCGATGTCGAACAGCTCAAAGGCTGTGCGCAAACTGATTCCGCTTCGCCGCTCTCGGTCGCAGACTGATGCGGTACTGGATCTAGGGGCTCTTCCTTTCCATCTACTCATGGTTGAAGTACTCCTAGTCGTTACTGCCAACAGACCATCCATTTGGCTTAGTGTGCTTGACGCTTGTTCGAGTACGGCGAGTCCAGCTGGGATTGGCTCGCTCCGCCTCTCGAGGTGTCTGATCTGGCGTTGACAGCTTTTAGCTAGTCAGTGCTTCGTCAGTTATTGAATTGTGACCATAGTCAGTTGAATAAGGACCAGGGTACCTATTGCATACTCTGGCTGGCATCTATTGCTACCATTTAACAATCCTTGGGTGCCTTTAGGCTGGGTCTTTGCTCTTCTTCTGGAACCGCTCGTGAGGGGGTTTCCAGTTCCTCCCCTTGTACCCGCCTCTGATGTCAGGAATGGGCAGTGACTCCCTCGACCTCTTCAGTTTGTTCTCCATGCTCTCTTGAACAATGGGCACCTTCTTGACCTCCTCCTTCGGCGCGGCGACAGGGTCGTAAACCACCTTGTACCCATAGAGGCCTAGCACTCCATCCATCGTCTCGTGCTCCTCCAACGCCAGCGCCTGGTGATCCACCGCCATGATCGCCTGACAGTCCAGACCATGCTCGTTGATCTCCGTGGACTCGGCCCACTGGTTGACGTTGGCCAGGTCGACTTTCCGGACGATGTCCATCAGCTCGTGCCTGAGCCATTCCACCTCGACGATTCCCCGGCGGCATCCGTTCTTGTTCCAAAAAGGGCTCAAGACCATCAGCTCCTTGTCATTCCGGAAGTAGCGGTTCTTCCGGAAGTCCTTGGGGTTGCGCAAAACGGTCCCTCCATTCGCATGGAAGTGGGGCTCGAAATGGCAGGTGGTTCCTTCCGGGTGTAACTCGGACGGTTGAAATTGGAGAGCAGGAGGTCCCCCGGTAAGCACCATTGAAATGCAGAACGGGCAACCCCACTCCTTCCTCTTCCTTTCCTCCTCCGCTTTGGCCTTGTCCGCCCTCTGCTGAATAGCGGCGAGGTTGGCCGCGGCTTTGGCTTCAGCGGCGACAAGCTCTTCCGCTTTCTCGCGCTTGTATCTTTCGAGGATGCTTAGTCCAGACTGGACCTTCTGATCTGCGCCTGAGTCAGCATTCCCGATCCCATTGTTTTGAGTAGTGTCAGCCGCACCGGGATGGTTAGGTGGGTTAACTTTATCATCTCTCATCTCCGACCAGGGCTCTCCGCTCTTGCGAGCTTCGGGCATAGCGGTATCCTCTGAGGACATTTTTGAGTTTGGGTTTGGGTTTCTTGGGTCCTTAGCTCTGAAGAGAGTTCCCGGTTTTGATGCAGCAATGTGCTTTGGGTGTGACTTTTGGGAGGAGGGATTGTAGGAGTATGAACTGTTGTTCCCCTTTCCCCTCTCACTTGCGCTCTGCCATTGTGGCTGAGCAGATTTTTCGTCTGCGGTGACCACGCGGTCACTCCATCTCCGGCTGTCCCGGACAGATCTTCGGTCTATTCTTGGCTGTACTCTTTGATCGTTGTCTCCTTCGACTTGCCCTTCTCGGACTTGTCGTAGGGC